TTGGATGGCAATCAAAGAAGGCCAATAGTATAAGGTCGGAGGCCGGTGACGATAAAGAGAGAGTGGCGAAGAGAGAATGGTGAAGGGTGGTGAAGGGTGGTGAAGGGTGGTGAAGGATGAGGTCCAACGGAACGGCTAAAACATGTGGTTGATCATCAACTAACCAAATACCAGACCCAGAGTATCAATATCCGCGCCGAAAGTTGAGGACTTGAATTCAGACAACAAAGAACTAGAGTAAAATTAGCTGATGGCTCATAAAAGTAATATTTCCTAGGGCTGGACTCATTGCGGTACATGGATGCTTACTGTCCTTGGATAAATTGGTGAGCAGAGTGACTGATGAAGACATTGGTTTCTATGGTGAGGGGCTCAAAACAATATCTTGTTTGTAGCACCACCACTTTATTTCTGATAAGCGTTCACGCACTTAAAGGGGTGGGATGGTTCAAGTTCCTGGGAACCCGGGAGAAAGTTGGCCAATATGTGGGCCTGAGTAAGAAATCTTACATGCGTCTGGAAACGTTGAGGGGGTCCGGTGGAGTGTAGGGCCAGCTCCCAGGAGCATCGTTTGGGGCATTGCAGAACCTGGTGATCCAGTACCCTGTTTTCATAATCTTGCTCAGCACAATGAGTCGACGAATGGTCGTAGAAGCCGTCTGGTGCTGCCTTCATTGGTCGGAGAAGTGGTTCCTTGTCGTGACATCTTGAGCAATCATCTCACCAACCTCTTTTCCTCCTCTAGGCCGGGGCCCAGGTCAAAGATTGTAGATCTCCAAGCAACTATTCGGACTACCCTGGCACTGGTAATATTCCGAAGCCGTTTAGGAGATCGGCGGGGCAAACAACGTATTCCCAGGAGCATGTAGCCTGAAACATAGTATTGATTGGTCCACCACGTAGCAGGCTCCATTGCGGCGCAATTGATTGCCGCAAGTTTACAAGGATGGAAGATCACATTGATGATGCCAGCACTTTTTTGACGGGACAATGGGGGCAAGTTTGGGAGGGTAGACGTCACGTGATAGTAGCTAGCGTGTCGCATTTTATTGAGGCAGCTTTAAGAGGTTGCTCACCCCTAGATCAGGTTCTGCTCAGTGAGCAAATCAGGGCGCTCAGATCAGGATCAGTGAGTGGACCAGACCGCTCAGCTGAGTATCACGTGATGCTCAGTGAGCAGATCAGATTGCTTATGTAAGAATCACTGATTAGGTCAGGCCGCTCAGAGGCATGCTCAGTTCTACTCAGTGAGCAAAAAGCGGCAAGGTCTGAGCACTAAAACGGAAGGGGAAAGCCAAGAAGTGGCAGAGGAAATCCGCTACATAGGTTCCTGGGAACCTCCAAACTGAGATCATCCAATTGCACCACGACGAACCCACACAAGGACACCTTGGCATTGAGAAAACCATCGAAAAGATTACGCGGAATTACTACATTCCAGCACTACACAGAAAAGTCAAAAAATACATTCAACAATGCGACTCATGCCAACGAAACAAAGCATCGCGACATGCACCATACGGAGAATTGGAATTGGCAGAAGTACCAAAACGACCATGGGAATGGATTACAATGGACTTCATCACGAAACTACCCATTTCGGAGGGTAACGACATGATCATGGTAGTCGTCGACCGACTGACTAAATATGCCTACATGATCCCAACAACGGAAACCATCGACGCACGACAAATGGCCAATCTACTACTCAGATATGTATTCGCCAATCACGGAACACCGAGCAAGATTACCTCGGACAGAGACAAGTTGTTCACATCCAACATGTGGCAATCACTCGCGGATCAACTCGGCATTGAGCATAGACTCTCTACCGCGTACCATCCACAAACCAACGGACAAACAGAACGAGTCAATCAAACACTGGAGCAATACCTTCGACACTACGTGAACTTCCAGCAGGACGACTGGACCGGATTGCTACCAATGGCACAGTTCGCATACAACAACGCAATGCATGCGACAACCAAAGAAACACCATTCTTCGCAAATTATGGGTTTAATCCCACTATTATCGGAGAACCAATCGGAAAACAACCACTCGCAGAGTCATCTCGACTGCTGGCGACTGGGTTGAAACAACTCCATCTACAACTGTCAAGGGACATCGAGTTTCTCAACCTACGCATGAAATTCTACTACGACCAACCGCGCCAGGAGGCGCCGGATTTTCAAAAGGGGGAGAAAGTTTACCTCTTGCGACGCAACATTCGCACCAGACGACCCAGCGCAAAACTCGACCATCTCAAATTGGGACCATTCGAGATTGCAGAAAAGAAAGGACCACTCAATTATCGTCTAAAGCTACCTGATAGTATGCGACGCATCCATGCAACATTTCATGTCTCGTTACTGGAAAAAGCACCCAAAAACGCCGAAATCGCTACCGATGTGGAAATCGAGGAGGAAACAGAAAACGAGTACGAGGTCGAGGAAATTCTGGACACAAACAGAATCAGTGGAAAGCCTCACTACCTGGTGAAATGGAAGGGATACGATACCTCGGAAAATACATGGGAACCTACCGAGAACTTGATGGGCTGCCACCAGCTGGTTCAACAGTACCACCAGCGAGCAAGGAATTCCCCAGCAAGGCGTCGCCCTGGGCGTCCCAGAAGGACGCAGGGAACTGATCCAGAGACGTCACAAACCGATTCAAGCTAGCGTCCTCGGACGTAGCAGCCAACTGTCGAACCTCTTGCTGAGTGGCAAGACGGTCAAATTTAACAAACTCCGCAGCGGACGGAGGATCATCTTCGTTGAGACGGTCGGCAACCGCTTGGTCGTGATCCAACATCCGACCACCACGATCTTTCAAGAATTGTTGATGTTTTTGCAGACGAAGCACCTTCGCCATCGCTTCGTTCATTTTTTGAGAATGTTGAAGAAATTGTTTTTGAGCCTTTTCGAGCTCTTGGGCCAGCCTCTTCTCTTCACGCTGGAGATCCTCCCACTCTTTGTCGGAATGGAAACTACGCTCGCAGACCTGACCACGGCGGGCGCAAGTCGAACACTTCCTGCTGTTGGCGTACGAGCTCATGATGCAAGGTTTCCACCGAACAAAACAATAGTCACAAGGGGAAGATGTGGGAGAACCAGATTGCTCAATCCTGTTGGCCAAACGGTTGTTGTCAGCGTACTTATCACGTTTGGGCTTGACCACGGCACTACGAGGCATGCTGGGCCATGAGGGGAGGGGAAAGGAGGAGGGAAATTGTGAGGAACAGAAAGACAGCGCACATACCTGAGGGGAAGTCAGCGTTTAAATCCTTTGAGGACAAAGGACAGGGAAGGAGGGGATGATGTTACGAACCTCAAAGAGGCGCGGGGGCCGCAGCTATTTGAGGGGCAACCGTGAACCAATCATTCTACGGACGCCAGGCACTAGCGTCATCACGTGCGTTTCGGTATACTTGGGCAAGCCCCGGAAGGCCCCAAGGAGGCTCTTCGACAAGAGAAGCCAGAAAAGGCCTGCGACTAACCGTCACAAACAATACCCGCTTACACGATGGGACGGTCGGCACAACGCAGGAAACAGCCACACCCGCACGTGACACCCGGGGTATACAGTTGGGTATACCACTCGGACTCCGGGAATACCCTGTCCGGTATACCATCGATCATTCCCAACTGTAGACCACAACACGAAGGACTGGATATATAAGGACACTCATTTCAGCATCATGTATTTAGTTCTTCGCGATCAATTGCACATTGTTACTCGGTTACTACCTTTAGTACTTTGCACTTCACAGTTCACCTTCAAGACAACCCAACCTACAAGTAGGGGATTCACCTAGTGGTAACACTTAGTGATTGACTTACTTGGCGCGCACTTCTGGCACGTTCTGCAAGATACTCAACAGGACCCGAACCCGACGTAAGGCTTTGCATAGCAACGGTACGGTTGCGAGATACTCTTGGAATCCGCAGTTGGAACTAGGCAAGTATAACCCGTGGACATTCTAACTCACAGTGACCAGTCGGCTACGCGTAACACAGAAGTCTTGAATCTAGCCATCATGTCCGCCGTGGTGTTCGTCGGTACTATTAGCGACATGAATCCAAGCCAGGAAGTGAAATATGACTTGAAGGTTTTCTGGTTGCGATCACACTTTTTGATTGGCTCGCAGGTGATGTCGGATATCACTTGGTTCGAAGCGGAGTCAGGGAAGAACTAATCAGAAGTCTTGATCAATCCCGACATGCCTTCAAGCCATTTGGTTTCTTCGCCATTCGTCTATACAACTAGTTAGTTTCGGATGGTCATCTTTCGGGAGAGGACGGGTAGAAATGCATAGTTGTGCATATAGCCCGCACCGCAGATATACGTAGCGTAGTTGTAAGTCCATCCAATTTGAAAGTCACCATGATCCTTACAATTCGCATCCAAATTAGTGGTATCGGCGATAACCCAGGTTTTCCTCAATAGCGGCGTAGTCGCACTCCAATCCCAATCTTCTCAGCCCACTCGGCATAGGTCGCGTTCTTTGTATATAGCGCCAGACGCGCTGACAATTGGAATAAGCCCCCATTCGATATGGCATTCTTCAATTTGAATCCATTCTGGTAGGGCCAAATCTGCCATCGCAAACCCTCACCGCAACACGTCATGTCCCAGCGCGAGGAATCTGACTATTGAAGACACCCTCCGCTAGAGAAACCCACGAGGGTTCGTTGTCTCTCTTCGGGAAATTCAGTTCTGCCGCGCTTATTGCCGCTAATCCCCAGAACAGTTGATCGTCGTTGCCGAGATACTGCCGGCGTTTCGGCGACGGCGAACAATCCGCCCGGCGAACTAAATCTTCGGGGCTTCCTACCCCAGGCCTGATCATCCACCCCGCGGGGAGCAAAGTATACTCTATGGATTATCTTTTCAAACCTCGGGTGATATGAGACCGTTGTGTCTAGCCGGTATTCAAAAATTAGAATATTGACTGTGTGACTTTCCTCATATTGTGTCGCTCATATTATATTACACAATGGACCCTATCCCTCCAAGCGATCACATCAAAGTTGAGCAGCATGGAGCTGTCTTTGTTGTAACCTTGCAGAAAGCGCCCGAAAACCGGTTGACTATGCAACTATGTCAGACCCTCGTTGAAACCTATCGGTGGATCGAAATGCAGCTGTCGCGGGGAAAACAGGAGCCCGAAGGCGCCGTAATTCTGCAAGGGACCGACGATAAATACTTCTCGACAGTATGCTGATCTATCCAAGTGTGCTCATTGCATCTATGGCATATACTAACTCCATTTTCCTCGCAAAGGGCCTTGATCTCGACGAGCGAGAAACAAATCCATTTGCCAGCACAGATGGGTTCTACCCAGTACGTTCTTCGATTCGTTCTCCTACTTCCCTTTCCAGAAACAGTTCAGTCTAACCGAATTAGCTCCTTCGCACAATTCTCGACTTCCCATTTCCAACAATTTGCGTAGTCACCGGGCACGCCTTCGGCGGCTCCGCCGTCCTCACCCTAGCCCACGACTACCGAATCATGAACTCAGAGCGCGGATTCTGGTCAATGCCACCGGTCAATCTCGGCCTTCACTTCGACGGCATAGGCTCATTACTTCGCGTCAAGCTGGAGCCCAAGGTCGCTCGGAAAGTGCTATTGGAGGCGCACAGGTTCACTGGGAAAGAGGCTCTCGCTGATGGTATTGTTGATGCGGTTGCGACGCCACAGGAGATGCGGCCTGCTGCTTTGGCTTTGGCGGATAAAGTGAAGGGAAAGGCCAGGATGGGCGTGTATGCTCTTTTGAGGACCGAGTTGTATGGTAAGGCGCTACGTGCTTTCCAGGGGATTAGCCATGTTCATAGCCGGGAGGTGTCAAGGCAGCCGAAGGTAAAGTTATAGGTGGGAAACCGAGAATGGCACTTGGTATTGAACAAATAATTGGTTAGAATTATCTCGCTGTCCAAGGCTGGGTTATGTGGTGGTAGTCCGTCGTTAGTTTCAGCCAAATAGAAAGTGAAAACATTTTTGGTTACTGGCGAAAAGATGACTATTCACCCTCTGGAGCATGTCGAAATCTTAAAAATAGACTGGAGGGGGTAGCGAATGAATCTGAAGCACTAGAAAAGTTTCTATTCAGGAGATATGACGACGTTGGAGACTGTTGTGAGGAGTCAGCCCGGAGCTATTTCTGAAGCAAGGGACTCTGATGACCTCTAGTAAGGTGGAAGCTACATGAACAATATGCTGAAGTAGATCCTGAATAGCTATCTCATGCACCATACCGAAATCCATTCTAAACCTTCGACTTGCGGAATGTCCATGTTTGAATCTCAGGGTGCCCGGCAAGTGGGAACAATTCCTTCTTCAGTAACCTCTTGACAACTTTGCCAGTAGAGCTTTTCGGAAGTGCAGGCACGACACGCAAGATGGTCGGCATCTTATACCCTGCCAAACGCTCACGGAGATCCAATCGTAGCTTCTCAAGGGTGAGCGGAGTCTGCGACGATGTTAGCTGATTGGTGCTTGACTTTCGCGAAATTTGTAGTCGAAAGTAGCTCACGTTATCTCTGAGAACGATTGCTGCGGCCACTCTTTGTCCGTACTCCTGATCTTCAGCTCCGACAACCATTACCTCGCTGATATAGGGAAGGTTGAGAACTTCCCGTTCAATATCAAGGGCTGAAATCTTATATCCACCCGATTTGATGACTACTACGCATTAGTTTGGTGGGATTCATGGCCAGGATGGTATACGAACTGTCGATAGAAGCACGCCCGAGAATGAAGTAGTAGTCGCCCTCCCTTCGCGCAATATCACCCGTTTTGAAGAAGCCGTCGGAAGTGAAAGCAGCTGCCGTGGCCTTCGGGTCGTACATGTATCTATATTCGGTCAGTGATCCATGCATTCTACAGTAGTTGGGAACTACATACTCTGTGAACATATGCGGGCTCTTCACCAAGATCTCTCCCTCATCTCCATTGGAAAGTTTCACCTCAAGTCCAAAGAAGACCTTGCCAACGGAACCCTATAATTATAATCAGCACAGATATCTTCCCCTGAAACCCAGGCCAGTGACACTCACATCCGGATTCTGTGAATCCTCCGGCTTGACACTAAACACACTACTGAACTCAGTGGCACCGTACCGCTCTAGGATCCGCTTCCCATTCAACAATTTCGACCATTTCATCTGTAGCGAGAAAGGAAGCGCCGAAGTACCACACATCATCAATCGAAACGCACTAGCAGCCTGCACATAAGAATGAACCTCGGGGCCTTTTGAGATCACCTCTTCGAAGTGCCCAATCAACCGCATATACATCGTCGGCACACCAGAGAAAACCGTTAGACCACCCTTCCTCCAGCGATCCCAGACCTGGGCGGCGTTGAATCCAGAAGACTGGAATTCTATCGTAGCGCCTGCAAGCAGGAATGGCATGAAGGTAATCCCGATTCCTGTTGCGTGATGCACGGGTAGAGTGTGCAGAACGACGTCTGTCTCTTGTAGACCGTACCAATCGGAAATTGCCTTCGCGTTCATGTCAATGAATGAGCGTCGCTTCACGGCACATTTGGGAGGACCGCTCGTGCCCGACGTGAAAATGGCTAGTCCAGGCCCGCTGTAGTCAAGGTAGTGATCGGAAGAGACGACAATGTCGGTATGGGGAATCAGCGGTTTGGAGATCTCTGGCCGGATGCTCATTGAGATGAAGTTGGGATTGCGGGTTGCATGGACTTTCTTGGCTAGGCTTTGTCCGAAGTCGGCATATCTCGAGGCACAAAGAATCGCGACCGATTGGCAGGTGTCTGCGAAGTAGAGGGCTTCCTCTAATGGGACTGATGTGGCTTGAAGCAAAGTTAGTGATGCATCTTTGATTCGATAAGGGAGCTCTTACATATCGGCACAAGAACTGCACCCAGTCCCACCGTTGCTAAGAAGGCTGTAGCAAACTCGTAGCCTCCGGGTGCAAGCAGGTTTATGGAGACTTTTTCTCCTCGAAGCAGGCTAGACTTGCAGCTGACGTCTAGGCTTCGGAAGATTGCGTTGCGCAGATGAAGTACATCAGACAAAAGTTGACCGTAGGTTGCTTTGTGCCCGTACGTAACATCGTTGATTGCGAGGGAAGTGCGGTTACCTGCAAGATATAAGAGACGATTGAAGACAGGGAAGTTGGGAAGAATGTTGTCGCCAACGTGTTTTGGGAGCTGGGTTGGACGACGTTGGACTGGAAGGCTTGCTTCAGTCGATGTGACCTCCATACCGTTGGGTGTGTTGATGGAATGGCACTTGCTGGTTACGGACGCATCAACCACAAGTGTCTATTGAACCTAATAACAACTCATCCTGAGGGGCGGATGCTCCAGCCTTATCTGCCACTGAGGCTGATCTCAACTCCTCGTGCTGTGCTTAGTGCAGAAAGCCTGCTTTCCCTCCATGGGGCACGATCAAGGCCATTTCGCCGAAACGCCGAAACACCGTTACTAAGTCATTGTCCTTCATCATAGCCAGTAAGCACCTCCAGGAATTGCTCTTGATGCTACACCGGCTTTTGATGTACTGTTGCAATATTCCCAGTTGAGGTCGGCGGTAATTGTTGATGGACTCTCGGTGTTTTGGCCATCCATGCCATGTTTCTCCCAGCAGCACCGGAGATAAAGGACATTGATTTCCAGTAGAGGACATAGCGACAGAATGGAAGTATCAAGCTTCTGTGGCTCCTCGTGCGAGTTGAATGTAATTCCCTGGGAAGTGTCTTTCGGAACTACTGCCTTTAAGCAGCTTGCGGGGTGCGTGGACTCCTATACCACCAAGATGTTGCTGCCACGCCCTCTACTACATTTCGTATTCTCTTCTGTCTCGAGGCGGTTGCCCTCACAATGAAACGTTGTCAATTACCTGACACTCCTAGGCTACATTACGCCATCTTCACCTACGTAGATCTGCTGTAAAGCTTTCTGTAGATGAGGAGCATAACAAAAGATCGTTGTAGGAGTGAGGAGTGTAGTGGAAACAGCCCGCCGTGGTGATAGGCGCATCAGGTCAGTCTTTGGCGTCCTCGGCAGCTCACCATTCCAACCCAGCCCTTCCCGGAACACTTGCCTATGTATCTGCCAAGCCTTGTGGGGTAAAACCGTGCTCTGTGTGTTTTGCGGGGACCCCGCATTCATATTCGGCGGCTGTGTAAGTTCCGGCGATTCTTGCTTTGATTTACTTCCATATGCCATCAAGTATGCACGCTATATAATCTTACCTCCCGAGGTGCCATTTCATTCATGAATAGAACTTGCTTGTTAACCAATTTTTGGCAATATGTTCAGCGCAATTTCTGAGCGTAGGAAAGCCATTGAGGCAGAAGGTGTCTATATCGGCGGATTTGGATTCAATGGCGCCGTGATGCCGACAAAGACTGCTGATGGCAAACATGGTGAGTTGACAATCATGTCCCGTGCCGTATCGCAGTTCTGTTCTGATCAACTCGTTAGATTCCACCGAGGACCGGATCGAACAGTTCAATGCTGCTCAGCAAGACTGGACACCACAGGAAGAAGCAAAGCTCTTGCGAAAGCTGGACCTTCGGATCCTGCTACCTTGCTGTATTATCTACTTTGTTGCGTACGTTCCAGCTATCAGAGAAGTCGGATGGCCCGAATTAAAGCTTATGGACATAGATACCTCGACCGAGCGAACTTGGGAAATGTGAAAATCTTACAATCCAAAACCCCGGACTCAATTTCCTCGTCGCTAAATCTGAAGGGAGTCGATTTCAATTGGGCTGTTTCAATCTCATATTTCACCGTCACTGCGTTGCTCATCCCGTCAACGTTGGTTTTTAAGAAGTATTCGGCTAAGATATATTTCCCGACCATCATGATCTTATGTGAGTACTGCCATCCAGGTTTACTCTTTCAACAGTCGCGCTGATACTCGTGCTGCAGGGGGCGCTGTTGTCATGGCCATTGCAGGCGTTAAATCGAGCGCCGGTCTGCTCGTAGCACGCTTTTTTCTTGGTATTCCAGAGTCAGGTGTCGGTAGGCATTTCCTCGATCGTCTTGCTGTGTATCAGAGTCTAACACCGTTGTGTAGTGCCATGCTGCGTGCTATATTTCAGCTTCTGGTACCGTCCTCGAGAGCGTGCCTGGAGACTCGCTGTATTCCATGCATTCAATGCACTAGCAGGCGCAGTCTCGGCGTTTTTTGCGGCAGCTATTGATCATGTGAGTAACATCACACGCTTTTTGAAAATGGTTACCGATAATTAATAATTTCCAAGCTCAACAACCGGGGCGGCCTGAAATCCTGGCAGTGGGTGTTCATCATCGAGGGTGCTATCCCGGTCGTCCTCGCATTTCCTGTATACCTCCTCCTTTTGACATTTCCCGAAACTTCCAAAGCTCTGTCCGAGAGAGGTAGGTCTCCTCTTCAACACTTCCCTGTTCGAACCTGACCATCCAAAGAACGCTACATTTCAATCAACCGCTTTGGCCGGGGCGCTACCCGTTCAACTGATGTAACATGGGATACGTCGGCCTTCATTCGTATTATGACGCGGCCATCTACCTACTGCTTCTTTGTCTCCTACATTTGTGTGACAATTATCGCCGTCTCGCAAGCGACTTTTCTGCCGTCGATTTTCCACAATGTCAGTATTAGCCGCCGGGTTGTAGCATCCTCGCTGACAACTACAGTTCATGAGTTTCTCAACAACCAAATCCAACCTCTACACGGCTGCAATGGAACTTTCAATCATACCTTTGTACCTAATATGGTCACTGCACAGCGATTGGGTCAGAGAGCGCACATGGCATTTCATCTTGCCCTGCATAGCGAGCATCCCTTGTTACGGTATGTCTCGTCCATCAACAGCTGTCTTTCACATGGGCTGACATAAAACACAGCTGTTTGGACCCACTTCTCCTTCAACGCAGATACCACGTCTATCAAACCGATCAGTTTATACGGCGTCTCACTCCTCGGCAAAGGGATCGTGATATCGCAGCCAATCATTCTCAGCTTCCGCTCATCGACTCTATACGGTGCTGCCGAACAAGCAGTCGGTACATCCGCCGCTGTTGCGAGCTTGTCGATTGCGAGTATCATCGCCCCACAGGTATATCCTCAGTAGAGCGGTAGCATTTCCCGTGACAGTCACTTATTTTATCAAACAGATTTTCCCGGATAGCGATGGACCGCTCTACCAGCGCGGTTTCATCGCCTGTCTTGCACTGGAAGTAGTTGCCGTTCTATCATACTGCTGCATTCCTATGCTTTTGCTTTGGGAAGCCGAAAGCCGGAAGAAGAAGACCGGCCATGTCATGCCTCTCAGAGCCATCCTTGATGCCGAGAATGCACAGGTCTCCGAGGCTACCATTGCTCGGCTCCATGCTATTCAGGCAGAAGAAGAACAGGCGCATTACCTTGAGAAAGCTAAGTTCAAGGGAAGCAGTGTGGAACATGTGGATCTTGGAGACGGGTCCGACGTAGTGGGTAAACTCGAATAGCTCCATAGGCTTGATGTTTATCGCTGTAGGCTGCTACGGCAAGCGATCGACGACAGCGAGGCTAGGGAGACATGAATGACAGATCGAATCTGAAGTGGCTAATTGGTGTTGAACTTCGAAAGCTTTCTACCCAGCTCTCCGCTTGATGCTCTTATGTCCATAAAGGCTGCCCCATGAATCTATACTTCCATGCATGTAGCTACGCTTTCATGTTCATATATATAGTTCCTACCTATGCGTTTACCTGGTCCATCAATACTCTCGATGCCTAGGTTCCATACACAGGCACTAGCCAGAATACAAATGCCTGCCCACACCTCGGTAGGCAGCCACACATCAATCTATCAGCATAATATGTTTTTTTCCATGTCCACTACCTACTCAAGACACAATGGATCCCTTTCATATTATAGCCATCCAACGATAAAGGGCCAATCAAATCACAGCCATTCAGGTCCAGGAAAAGATTGTAAGCTAACGCAGAGACGTATTCCAGTGTCCCAGGACTCAAAGGCACTCTTTCCACCAACGTGATCTCCGTATCAATCGTCTGGCCCCCAACATAAGACGTAACAGGTGATCCATATTCCATGCTCCCATGTCTATTGGCATCATCATTTGACAGATCCTCAGAGCCGAAATGATCATCCCCTTCGAGAACGTTGTGCCCGGGCATCTTTTTGTCGAAAATTCCTGTATGCGCTGACAGCGAATTATGCAAAGTCATAACATCAGCCAAAATATCTGCAGCCTGCAACAATTTCTCCGAGCATGTTTCGTGAAACTGCTCCATATTGAGTTTATCGGATTTGGTCCGCTCTCTTCTGGAGATGTCCTCGAGGCGTCCCCGCACGCTTGGCGAGCATAAGCTCCATCCATCGAGCAACTTCATAGCCCCGCGACTTGGTAATAGGTTGGGTTGGGATTCGCTGTGTTTCAGAGCAGAATGTGAAGACTCGGAGCTGTGTGACGTTACTAGACGTTCTTCTTGCTTTTTGCAGTGACAAGCCGGCGCTGCTGAATTGCGCAACGTAGTCACCAGGATATAAAGCAGACGGCACCGTGAGATGAGGCGGGAGCGACAAATCGTCATTGAACCTCTCTGCGCGATTCCTCAGCCTTTGAGGTCTTGGCTTTTGCCTCGCGGGCCCGCGGCAGGGGCAACACATTCTTTCATATCGAGTTTGCAATTCGTGCATGGGGTGCCGTGGTTCAGCGCGTTGCAGCGCACTTTTCGCTTGTGACAGGAATGACACGCCCAATTGCGCGCTTCGTTCGGGTCTTTCTGTCGCTTTTGGTGTTTCCATTGGCTCTTGTTTGTCGAGAATTGCCTGTTCGGGAGATCCCGCTTGAACAGGTTGAGTGGGTTGCGTCTTCGGTGGCCATTGTGTCTATTAACGTTTACGATACTCTTCAAAGTGTTTCCAGGTTCTTGAGGACACCCAGCTAATGTTTATGTATTCTTTGTCTACGAGGGCAATGAACCTAGAACCATTGATGGGGTTTATTGACGTCGTCTTGGCTCTCGGTACGGAGTACTCGGCAGCCGATTCCCAGGGCCTTCCATCGTGAACGTTTGAGAAAGCCGAAACGCCGAACCACTTCACTGCGAAAGCGACGATGAGAGAATAAGATGAAATATGCTTTGTAGAGTACGATCCGGTTCAAGGTTAATTACAAAGACATTCGAAAAGCAGCACCCATCTATAACTTGGACAAAATTGCACCGCCGTCATTCGAGCCCTTGACCAATTCGTCGGTCCGGTAGTCGGGATTGAAGGTGAGAGTATTCAAAGGATTGAGACGATGAGCCCGATTGAAGAGATCTTCATAAACTCTGCCATCGGAACGTCCCAACGCACTATAGAAGTGGGGTTAGCAAGCATTCCAAGATGTAGACATCATGGGTTTCGAGGGTTACCTGTCAAGTAGATAATCCGGGATAGACCACGCGTCAACCAGACGAACAGCATGTGGCCGCATCTCTTGCATAATATTGACAATAGTATCTGGTATCGCATCCAGCTGCGTTTCCAACACAGCACTGGCGCGAGCAAAGTCACGAGTAGACTTGCCCGTGGTGCATAGAGCGAAGAGGCGGAAGTTCAGCCAGAGGATGTTTCGAGTCGCTGGTGGCAACGTGGTATCAGCAGTGAGGCTGTCGAAGAAGTTGTGAACCAAAATCATTTCTGATTGCGCATGACTCAATTGGTGCATTTGAATCAAAAGCGACTTCCAGCTCCGCTTTTGGACGTGATGGGCATGGTGCGCCTCGAAACTCTGGAGTTGCAACAGTCAGTCATTGTAGTACCTAGAGCCGAGGCGAGCAAAAAAGGCTTACAAGATAGGCCGCACGTCGCTCAAATGCCTTCACGATGTTGCCATCATCGCTAAATATATCCAGTGGCTTGGGGTCTGTGGATTTGGTCATGTAGTATTCATGCAAGACGCTCTCCGTTCGATTTGATGGGACGAAATTCGTAGTAGAGCAAGAAATCAGTGTCACCTTCTTTATCAAATAGCGCGCCATTTGCTGGGTGATCATCCAGTTATCGCCCTCGACGGTAGGCTTTGCTAGATAGTCCGCGTTCAGTTGAACGAGACCGCTTCCTCCGCCGTATCCGTGACCTCCCATGGATCGCCGGCAGGTCTCGATGCCATTGGCAGCCAACTCGCTTACCAGACTCTTGAGACCAGACGACAGACTGTGCAGATCAATCAAAGATGACAGATCTCCTCCGTCAACATTGGAACGCGTAGCTTCGTAGATTTGTCCCATTCGTTCCCCGGTATAATGCAGAGCGTATGAGGTAGCAAGAAGAGGTAGCAGACGAATCTGAACAGTCGGGTAATCTAAAACTGCTGTTTCATAGCCACCAGGAGAGCGCGCTTCTTTATCATGGAACTGGCGTCTGATTGAGCAGTATCGAACGGCGACAGTCACTGCCCGGGCAAGGGCAAGACGAGCTGCCATAGTAATACGCTTGCGGGCCTGGCTTTCTGTCAACATGTATCCCGGGGCATAGCTCGCATGGTATTGCAGCCAGTACGTACATGTGTCATGGAGCCGTAAAGGACAGCCTTGTTCTCAGGCTTATAATATTTCCCTGTCTCAGGATCTACCCGGCTGTAACGACTGAGCATGGCGTTGTGGGGAATACTGTCTTTCAATCAGAATGAAATCATCTTTCACCCCTAGCAGAGAAATGAGATTGACCGACCGGAAGTTATTGAAAAGCATATAGGCATTATCCATGGACGCATATCCATATTTCGGCCCAATGTCACCGATCACAATTCCCGGCAGAGGCTTGTGAGTTTCAGGATCGCGGACCCGCGTCACAAACATATGAGGGCCGTAACTCTTGTATACTGTTTCCCCCTTGCCATCAACAACATCCGGCAGAAGCAGCTGCGCAGCGACAATTGAATGCGTCGCAGTCCGTCCTAGCGAGCCATTCCACCACTTACTAGCCGTAAGCGTAGGAGAATGCAAGATGAATTCCTTCGTCTTCGGATCCCAGCGCGCAATCAACTCAATGCCGCTGACATTACTGCCATGACCAAGCTCGGTCTGCGCATATGCACCGACAATTGTCCACGATTCATGCAGATCCATCCAATATTTCTTCTGCTCCGGGCTCGTCTGCTCGAGCAGTGTCTGGCGGAACATCGTTTGGTGGAGCTGGTATGGGGAGATGTCATCGACAAGATACTTTGCAGTTTCGTAGTCCTCCTCAGACCAGTTGTATCTATCGGCCATTTGGCGCATGCGCTTTGAGCGCGCCAATCCAAGCATGTATCGTTCCGGACGACCAAGATTTGCCTGTCTGTCTTTCGAGAAGAGAGGGTCGAGCTTGATTTGAGCGAGGATACGATCTTGACGCTCGAGGAAATCAGTTCCTAGCAGATGCTGTGCCAAGGAGTCAACGTCGAGATTCGATCTGCTGCGCTCTGTTGTTATCGTTGTTGCGCCATCTGGGGCGGCGGGCTTGAGGCGATCAACCCAGTCGATATTGTGATCAGACATTTCACGCAATGGTTTTGAAAAACTCAACACAGGGCCTAAGGGTGTCAATAGATGCTTAGTAGTATTCCGCTTGTTTGCTGGGTAGCCAATCTGATTCTGGCTGATGTTATTTGAAATCCATGCCTCTTTCTGCGCCGCTCATGAAACGCCGAAAACGCCGGAACCGCCGGGGTCATTTCCAAGTTCACATCGGGATCTGCAACTTCTGCCAAGGTCAAAATTAAGTTCCATTGAAGCTTTTCTTTGCTATCGCCTTGCTCATTCGCCACTGAATGGAGGATCAAGTGTTTGTTATGGCCTGTCGCATGTCGCCCAGACTTTGACATTCGACTTTCCCTTAGCCATGTTCACCAATCACCACACTTGTGGAAGGAAATGCACTCAGAGCCTGACTATATCTGCTTTTGATATCTGCAATGCTTACATGTTTCCAGGAGTGTAAGCCTGAGGATACCTATGCAATGCAGAAAATCAAGACTGGACGTGGGGTTTCAATTGTCATATATCTTATATCTTACTGAATCCCAACAAATGCTTCAATACGCGTCCAAGGGTACCTAAAAGTTGGGATCCTGTGCTAAAGAGTTATTTCATTCCTACAATGGCTCATCGAACAGGACACCCGGCATCTGTCCTAACAGCCAGCTACCACTGGACTCGATTATAGGCAAACTCCATAACGAATTTTCATCCTCCGTCGTACCAATTGCACCTGCCTGCTCTATCAGAGATATGGAGCCATAAATATCAGATGAGGAAATGCCTTGACCTAGCTGTAGTCCAGGACTAGAGACGCTAGGTGGCAGGTCTCCTGAAACTCGACAAAGTGCTTGCGAAACGGCACCTGCCCCACTTGATGCCCATTGCATATCCGCCTTCATGGCAATTTGGGTGTTGCTAGAACTGGAATTTGGCTGAATTAAGTGCCATAGACGGCACAGATCAGGGCCCAAGGCACTGAAAAGCGAATGGGCTTCGTGGGAACTGGATAGCGGGGAAAGACTCGGCTTCTGCTGATGCACCGTCATCTTCTTGTTGGCGTTTTGAAGAATTCGGAGGTTATCATTGGCCGAAGACCAACGCACAGCGAGCGCGATTAGTGACGTATTGACAATCTCGCTCTCCTCGGTAAGAGTTTCCGAGGGAGTAGATAGAAAGGCTCGCGCATGTGCTTGTGCCATGCCCGCTGCAAAAGCGTAGAATTTGAAGACGGGAGCTTGAAAGCGAAACTCATCACGGGCGAGAAACTCTTCAAATATACCAGCGAGAAAGGAGGATGCAACAGCGGCGATAGTGATGGGAACGTCTGGGGGTGATGCAGATCGATAGAGGAATGTCAAGATGACAAAATACGGGACGTGTAGAGAGCGCGTGCGCAGATTATAAGGGTTTAACTGCCCATTGTGTGATTGACTGAAAAGGCGCAGATTGCTCGGCAATTCGTTGACCCAACAATATAGTGCGTGTCGGAAGTTCCGTTGCTTCGGAACCGTGATTTGGTGGCGGAGATAAGTCTCAGTCACATCTCCGAGGATCAACGAGATATTCACATAAGCTGAAAACAGCGCTCCATCATGATGGACATTGACAAAGTCGTGGGGGGATGGCAAAGCAACGTCCGAATCAGCCAGACTGATCGCTCGCGGGCGACCATGCGCGGCCGACATCTGAGAATCGCGGGCCTAAGGCTAAGTCAGCAAACTAGTTCTCCGAGAAGACGAGGGATCCCCATTGTGTGTCCTGACATACCACCAGTGTCCACCAAAGTCTGCGTCGATAACTAGGATTTTTCCCATTTGTGGACTCCTTGTGTAGGCCAATCTGGTAAGCAAGGCTTACAGCAACTCGTAGCCAAAACCCGCTCCCATCTAGGGATACCTTGTCGGGCCCAAGTGGGTTCCACCAGTTCAGCAAACAGGCCGCAGCGATTTTGATAACAGGATTCGGCTCGTAGTTGCTAAAAAATAAGGCTTTGGCGCGTCGATAGTACGTTTCCGAAGAAGCAGATATATGAGCTGCTGCTGCTACCCGGCTTCCAGCAACGAACACACTTTGCAAGAGGAGTATAGATAGTGAGCTTGGATTTTGGAGGTGCCTGGTCTCCAATATTGGCATCCAAGGCGCACAGTACATCTCAAAACTGTCGATGAGCGAACGTTGCACAGCGAGTGGAGGCAACTCAAACGCCCGGTAGATGTCGAGAACAGCTCTCTCTTCCTCCGTAAGCCGGACACAGCTTCCGGTGTCTTGTACGCTTGAAATTTCATTCGGTTGCGGTGCAGCTAAGCCAAGGTACTCTGACCGTCCAAGATAGCCCTGACTACCTGGGGTTTCTTTCTCGAGCCCATCCTGGCCCTCAGGCACAGGTGAGTTAGCTGAACTTTCAGGCTCAACTTCTGGAGCAGGCGCCAGATTGGAGGGTCCCTCGGCCCCTTGCATTTGGGATGTTGAGGGCAAATCATTTTGGTGATTGGTCAAATGTGAGATCTGCCCACCATGCAGATCACCTGCATCATATCTGGAAGCTGAGGCTCCCCTGGCTACTCTTGGTGCGCTGGGAGGTGGAATTGATCGCTTGCGCTTGCGCTGGCGCTGATGAGGTCTATTCCAATTAGCGCATCTGGCGTAGATCAAGCGCGTAGATCGACCAGTGTAGTCTACTCACCGGCAGGTAACGCCATTAGTGCGGCAATGCGTACAAGGGTGCTCTCCAACAAGATCGCAACGAATCTAACTGCTGTCAGACAATACTCACCACACATCCCCGGAGCGAAGTCTCACCTTCTTTTCGTGACACACCTCACACGCCCGCGATGGCCGGCATTTCGGCATGTTCGGCACATTCGGCTGATCCATTGTAGAAGCTCCTTTTTGGAGATATCTCAACAATTTCAGCTGATATCCGGCGTTAGACAATGCCGACTTGATATCCATCAATATTATCCATCTATCCGAGGTACATGGGCTTCCCCGCGCGGGGTGAGATGCTCAAACAACCTACGCCTGATGGCCCGGCGCTTTTCCCGAGCCCCGGCCTTACGCACCGAAGCTGAAAACGCCGGCATCCACCCTCGATGGTTTGGGCGCAGTTGCTCACCTAGTCTACTGTAGCAAAAAGACCTCGACTTTGAATCTGATTAGATCTTTGTGTGTTGTCGGCCGGAATATGTAGGGTGTGTGCGCACAATAGGATTGGTGGGCGGGCGATCTTGCTGCCAGGGTAGGTCATCAGGCATAGTATGGGGTGTAAGGCAGAAACGCGGGGATGGACCCACCCTTCCCTTCCTAGTACACTAGCACAACATAGATGTATTTCTCATTGAATGACAATGCGCAATCTCTGCGTATTTCCGATATGACAGCAATAGAATAACCTGCGCGGTTCTGGATCTAGGGGAAGACACTGTGTCACTTATAGGTCGGATGGAATCATGTTCCGCATGAGCGCCGAAAACATAGCCGCTCTCTGCCAGTTGTTTGCAGCGGTTCTCTTCGGCCATCTCTTCTTTTTCAAAGAAAGACGGTTTTCTAGGTACCCATAGCTACCTACCTATGGCTTGATGGATTCCCACACAATTCAAGGAAAGGCGAAAACCCGAAAGGATGAGATAGAAAATCGTGAATGCCATTTTGTAGGCGGGTTTCCCTTTGAAAGAGTATTCAAATTATCTACTAGGACCGAATTGAAAACGTCCTCATGGGAACTGACTGAATTCGCAGAATTATGGTATTAACACGATCAATACCTACGGTGGATTGATGGAGTTGAACGATGCGATAGATTGAATATAAAGTGAGGCGGGCACATGCTTCGATACCTATGATGAATGGATCGGATAGAGAGAATACGCGAGTCATAGGTCTTTCCCACGATATCAAAGCCCGAGAAAGAAGAAAAGAAGAAAATGAAAAGCAAAACGAAGGCAACAGCTCCGACAGGTCACACGAGGATGCGTCCCGTCTCCAATCACGTGTTCTGCATGTGTTCTGCATCACAGCTCGGTTTGGCTTGCCCAAGAAGGCGTACGCAGTACACAGACCATTCATGACCCGTGATCATCCCCCACGTGGTGAGGCCATTCAGTTGGCGCTGACTCCGTTAAACAGAAGCTTTGTAGTTGTGCCGGACGGAGCCCTGGAGATAGACGAGATAGCAAGCTCAACAATACGGGCGCAAGCTTTATCAGCGGTTACACCCTCGAAAGCCATCAGGTACGCGGCAACCCCAGCAACATGTGGAGCAGCCATAGATGTTCCAGACAGGGTCTTGGTGCTACCACCAGGGAAGGCTGCCGTGATTCCATCACCGGGAGCATAGACGTCGACTGTAGTATACCATCAGTACGTTTTCCCTACTAGCAAGCACGCTGCTCACTAAGGGAGGGGGTGGAGGGGGAACGGGGTTCTCACCGCCGGAACCGAAGTTAGTGAAGGAAGCACTGCCGTCTGAGCTGGTGGACGCGGCGACAGTGCATACGCTCGGAGCGGAGGCAGGGGAGCTGTTTTTCGAATCCTGGGCTTCATTGCCGGCAGCAACAGCGAGGAAGACACCGGACTTAACGACACTGGCAGCGGCGTCGTTCATAGCGCGAGAATAGCCGCCACCCAGTGACATGTTCATAACAGACTTTCCAGTGACGCCGCGGGACTTTGCATCTTTAACAGCCCACTCCATTCCAGCGATGACCTGCGAATTAGTCCCAGAGCCATCGGAACCAAGGACCTTGACAGCAACGACAGAGGCCTTCTTTGCAACGCCGTACTTGCCGCCCACCGCAGTAGAGGCAGTGTGGGTGCCATGGCCATTGCCGTCAGTGTCATCATTGTCGACAGTGTTGGTGCCCCACTTAGCGCGGCCCTCAAAGTCGGGATGGCCAATGTCAATCCCGGTGTCGACGCCATAAACCACGATGCCCTCACCAGCAGTAGAGTCATACACATAGTCGGTAGCACCGGGCTTCTTGCTAGAGATCCGAGCGAGGCCCCATGAAGGAGCATCGGGCTGAACCACGTTCGCGGTCGCGTTCACAATCATGTCTGGTTCAACGTACTTGACCTATCTCTCCGGTGCGTGTTAGATTTCAACACGCTCTTGGGGAATCAACATGGGTAATGGAATGTCATACCGCCGGGTCATTGGCAATGTCTTTGACGGTACGATCATCGAAGCTAGCGCTGTATCCTTTCATGCCATTGATGTCAAAATGCTTCCCCGGTCCAGACACACCACTATTTCGGCTCGCGAGGCGAGAATGAACAGTTGCAGCCCAGTTACGGTGGACTTGGAAGTCCGCGGTGCTAACGTCATCATTCATGACAACAATGTAGGAGCTTGGGACCACCGCATCGGCATCATGGACGGTAAGCAACTGACCGGCATTGACGACTGCCAGAGTCGCAAGGGACGTAGAGAGAAGCTTCAGGAAACCCATGATTGTAGGTAGAAATTGTATGAAGATGGAGATGATGAGAATGCCCAAGTTGGGAGCCAAATGGCCCTTTTATAACATATTCAGAGATGGAGAAGAGGCCCATCACCGCCGGTCTTCCGAGCTTCACTCCATCTCCATCTTCACACCCTCGTGATGCGAGCATCGACATGCCAGTCTTGACGGAGAGAAAAGAGTATATTAGACGGAGCAAACCATCGCTTTGGGTATGGATTTTCTTCAATCAATCAACCAGACACAATGCCAGGGTACCCTGCATGATAAGACTGTAACGTTCTTCTCACGAGCAGTAGACGGGCGACGAAACAAACCTTAATGCCCCCAAGGCAAGGGCAGGTATAGCGATTACCTACAGCCAGCTTAGCCCTAGGTGATGAATACCTGGGATAAAGACCCAGGGGGTTGCATTGTGGAGTGTTTATAGTGCTTGGAGGGTCTTGGAGAGTCTTGGAAGAGGTGTGAGCGTGGAACTTGAGTAACTTTCAGTTTAACAGCAACTCTTCGCCCGTCGGAAGTCCGATTGTCCTAACTGATGTTTATTAGGTTTCGTGAGTAGCTTTGCCTCGCTCTATTCCAGACCATATCTCCAGGACGAGCACGGCTCTCTGAAGTCTGAATGCTCCGATCCGTTTTGATCCATTACGTACAAGGGTGCTTTGCAATATTCGGGCGGGATGGATCGGAGCGCATTATCATGTCCACTCGGAAAATATATTTTCCCTCGGAGTGCGGCATGACCCACCCAGTAGGTAGGATTGTCGGCCTCATCAGTATCTTGGAAGGGATCGACGGGGGAAGATCCGAGAGGTATCTAACATGTGACTAAAATGATGGCCTTGATGATGACTGCACAAAATCCGAATGTACCGCAATAGACTGGTCGTGGCCATAATCATCGGACACCGAGGCGTTCGAGGGATATGTGTTCCCATTTGGACCAACAGTAACGCAGTTCGTCAGCCCGATTTCGTCGTCGTTTGCCTTCCTCTTCATCTGCTCAAGCCCAAAATCAAACGTTGGCCCACGGCCACTGGTCCTTTTACCATGATGGGGACCTTGTTCCGAACCATTGTGAGGTCTTCGTGCCCTGTGCGAAGAAATGCCGATGGATTGCTGCGAACGAACAGTAGATAATATCGATATATGGGCAAGGCGGACAAGTGGAGCAAGATGAGGTAGGCAGGCACATACGATCGCGACCGACGGCTCGATGGTTGACCAGATGAATACAGGTCCCATGAGCCAAGTCACGTCGATGGCATTCGAAAACTCAGATAGATAGTGAATGCGCACAATACTGGCAATACAGACACTGTGATAGAATAGGTCAGCTTCGTTCATGTTCATATAGCACGAGAAAGGTCCATACAAGATGCCCACAGCCATGATAGCACATATTGCTGATTTCTTCTTCACGCTCATTTGAAGCCGGATAATTCGCGGGAAGGGAATAATTAAGACGACGAAATCATTCAGCATATTAAGGATTCCCGCTGCGAAAAAGAACTGTGTGACATTGATGCAATGTCCCTCTGTGCCGCTGAATTGGGTCCAAAAGTAGCTGACGGGTTTGCAAGCATTCCCCATAGTTACCCAGACGATGATGGGGTATGAGAGAGTAAGAAAACCACCGAAGAGTAGGGCCACTTGCAGTGGGCGCTCTAAAGGGGAAAAGACGCGTTTGTAGAAAAAGAGTATGGAAAGTCTGGTGCAAGTACATGCGGAGGCGTAGAGGAAGGTGTAGGAGTATAGAATCTGAAGAAAGTTAGGTCAGTAAAGTCTCAAAATGTCACGAGGGGGTAAGCTGACCCTGTACAAGGCCATCAATTCATCTAGCTTGACTGCCCAAATATGCTTTCCGGAACCAGTAGTGCCGCCTAGATACGTCCATCGTCCATTAGAGTAGTTCGAGATCCAGACAGAAACTATCAGAACTCACCCGCGACACTGAGTCCCGTCGTAGCACCTATACAGATCTTCGAAGAAAAGTGTCAATGGTGGCTAAATCTTGATGTAACTGATCGGAAACTTACTAGTGCCCCAATGATTGCCCAGTCATCTGCCATCAAAGCATTTCGGAGGAAAATTCGAGCAGTGAAGCGTAAGATGACCAACACTGCAGCTAGACAGAACATTGCAATGACCGCACCATTGTTGACGGATATCTCACTAGCAGTGAGGTCAATATTAGATGGGGCCGGCCCAAAAGCAGCTTGAATTGCTGGATCCTCAGTCATAACTGCATGTGAGGAGAACTGCTCCAGCTTTTCATCGAAAAAGGTCAAAAGACATCTGGAAAGCACAGCCCTTAAAGCTCAAAGTTGATTTAAGCTAACAGAGATCATCCCGCTCCCGAGAGCAAGAAAATTTAGAAAAATATAACGGCGGCCCAGATGACGGCCCCTGAGACAGCGACATAGACACAGAAGTACGATCTACAATGCAGAACAGAAAGAAGCACTCTGGGAATTGCCTAAGTAGACCAGGATCCCACATCCACCCCTCAGTCAAATTAGTGGAGAACAATCTGTGTGATGTGTCTGCAACATAATTCTCCTCTCTTTTTCCCTCGGCTTTTCTGCGGCCTGTTCCCAGTCATTGTGATGTGATACCAATATAATAGTAACTTCGGTGGGCGGTATCCGACTCAATTGAGGTGCGCTGGCATCGTGTGCTCAAGATTAAACTTAACATCGCTAAATGAAGCCGTTGATGCTTGACATAGGCATGTACTATGTACGCACAACAAAAGCCGTGGCGGAGATCTGCATGAGCCAGGACAGGGCTTGGGCCGAAGAAGCGTTGATCCTCACCCAGAATAGTGCGTCAAGGTTAGACGGGAGCCACGGGGCCATTCCTCCTAAACGATCGGCGGACGTTAGACCGAGCTAATTTGACAAAGTACATTGTCTTCCACATGGAGTAACTCAGGCCATTACGCACTTGCTCCAGTATCCTGTGATCCTGTGATCCTTTGATCCTTTGTGCAACTGATTTCGTGATCCAAGTTCTGTTGTATGTCTGAAATAGGACTCTGACATTATTCCCGAGATGATCTACAGTGTCGCAGTTGCATAGGGCGGGCCATGCCTGGCCCGCAATGCCTTTTAGGCTTAGCCTTCTATTAAGTGGCAGGTGGAGAACGGGAGTTGTCAATTCGGGAGACCCATCATTCCGGTCTGCATCCAACACATCCTGGCTCATAAGAGAAGATGCACGAAATCAGATTTGAAGTCTTCGAATGAACTATATGATGGCATAAACGGACTCTGCGACTGCGACTGCGACGGCATATTTCCCTCACTAGACTTGTCACGGGTGGGGTAACGGCAAATCAATCAACTAACTAGTCTTTAGAGGTTCGACTTCCCATCGCCCTAGGGCTACTAGGGCCTAGTCTAAAATCCTGATCCTTCAACGGGATTTGAGCTCCTGAGTCCTTTCCCGTCCCCGCTGGGCCCTGTTTCAACCATAGCCAATGATCAGTCTCAAGTTATTATCAGACACAAGTACGGAGTACATTGGTCCAACCAGACGATTTTCCGATTCGGGATGATCCTCAACGACTGCTGTGAGAGCTACCCATGAGCACACTCCCCCCTCACTTCCCTCCCCTCAGTGTCCCCTATTTTAATCTGTCACTCTCACATATTTTTCCTGTACGTCCAACCGACACAATCAACATGGGGTCTGTTCAGAACGATCGGCCTATTCCTCAACTCACACATTTGGAGCGTATTGGGCCCAAGGGCTGGCTACGTTATATCTTTCCTTTCCAGCTTCAGGAGGGTTATGACTTGCACGAGGTTGCTCGCGTCCTTCAAGCTGGATACTGTGGCTTGGTTCGACGCCTGCCAGAGGCCGCATGTGAGGCCGTTCCCGATGTGGAAGCAAAGCAACGTGGCGTGATGAAATGTCAACGACGGGAGGATGCCGATGCGGAGCGAATAGTGATCAACGACCTACGTGCGTCTTACGGACATGAATATACGGAGCTGAAAAAGAAGTCTTTCCCCGTAGCGTGTTTTGACGCCGATACATTCTGCCCGCGGTCCGTTTGGCCTTCCGCCGGGGAACAATTGCCAATCTCCATGGTACAGGCTAACTTCATCCGCGGTGGATTGATCTTATCATGGAACCTTTTTCACATGGTGGGAGATGGTACGACGTTTACACTGTGGACCAAGATCTGGGCAGAGGAGTGCCGCCGCGCACAGGGCCTTGAGATTGTGGATCCAGTCGAACTTCCAGACATCATTCGGGACAACCGTGAACAAATGATGAAACCGTCCGGTCGCAACGCGGGCAAGCTTGAAGATCATCCGGAATACACATTGCTTCCCTTCACACCACCAGGACCGCCCCCGAAGCTCACATCCTCGAGTCACCGCGGCCAGGTTTTCTATTTTTCGCCCGAGTCCCTGGCAGCACTAAAGGCAGATGCCTCTCCCAGCAATGCCACTAAGCCATCCGATCAGAAGTGGATTTCTACCAATGATGCTCTATCGGCCCTGCTCTGGCGCACTGTCATGGCAGTGCAGTCACCTCTCGAGACTCTTGAGGGAGAGCCGGTATCCGTGTTCAATGTTGCCCTTGACGGACGGCTACGAACAGATCCTAAGGTGCATCCTGCGACTCTAGGATGCTTCCTGGAATATGTTGCAGTCTCAATTTCTGTTCGCGAAATCCTTGCGACTCTGAATCTGGCCGATTTGGCTATAGAAATTCGCAAAGCCCTTTTGCGGGCCGACAACCAGTTCACGGATGACGTCATTGCTCTTGTCGACCAGCTTGAAGACGTCGATCGTCTGGTCCCTACTGCTTTCCTGGACGTTCCTGGCTTCAACTGTGTGCTAACCTCCTGGCTGAGCTTTCAGTTGTACGGTTCAGAGTGGGGACCTCTATTGGGGAACAATATCCAGGCTGTGCGAACGCCTCATGTCGGATTAATCAATGGCGGCCAAGTTGTCCTCCCGGCTCTGCCTGATGGTGGAATGGAGATCTTGGTTGGCGTGGAAGAGAGTTGTTTGGATCGACTGCTGAAAGACCCACTCTTCACAAAATATGCTATTGCTAGGTAGATGTTACAACATGTCAACAACATAGCCGAACATCCGCACACAGTTATACCATATTTCTCCTAATTTAGGGGTTGATAGTCGCCAGGCATATGTTTAGCTGCGACGCCGATATTATAACCGGGCTTCTTCAAAAAAAGGAATGCCGTTGTGAGTTCAGCAACACCTGCGCTACTCAGATCTCAATATTAACTATCGTAAACTGATATCACTAGGTTGGGAGAAGCAACATACCCAATTGCGGATACGTTCTTTGCCAGGTCTATTTGGCGTCAGAATTTGGTATCCAGTGAACTACCTGTGGGCATCCACTGCGTACACTTAGCAACTAGTACGTAGCTAGAGACATTTACGGGGCAGGTACCTATCAGGAGCGCCAAAACCTATGTCCTGGCGGCGAGCACGAAGTTTTAACCACCATGTGAGTCGCTTGGATGGGGGAATTCATTAGAACATGCACTTGGGAAACTGTAGAATGATATGGCCTCGAAATATATTAGTTATATACGTTTAAAAATGGTACCTACTACCTAATCCAATTCGGTTGACCTAGCTCGAAGCTGGTTGACAGCTTCCAGGTGAGGTTAAAACGCCATTTCCCCATGCTTCTAACAATGTGCGACTCGTTATGTGCCAACTTCGCTTTCCTCAATGATTGTGGAGAACTTGCTGAGTACTTGCTTTAACGCAGGCCTGCGGATAGGTTTACTATTTCTGTTAATAGCGGACCGAGGACGTGTTGCGTGTCATCAGATACTAACCTGATAAACATATCCATTCCGCAATCCATACAATCCTTGACGTTGCTCTCTTCTGCAAAAGCACTCAGTGCGACAATGGGAGCAGAGTAGCCCATCTGTCGGATGAGGCGGGTGCTTTCAATGCCGTCGAGATTGGGCATCTGCGTTGGTTAGCGTCTTCCAAACCAACATGATGAGAATTACATTACCTGAATATCCATGAAGATCAGGTCGAATACCTCGCCTTTCTCCATACTAGACTTGACAGTATCGTAGGCCTCCTGGCCATCTTTGACAATCATCACATCATAGACTTCCTCTAATGCAAGCATCCTATCATATATCATATGTCAGCACTTGAGACATTCAATTGGAATCCATGAGGACATACCGTCGAACTACTTCCTGGTTCACGGTGTTATCCTCGGCGACCAAAACGCGAATTTTCTTTGATCGATCAGCCCTGTCCGTGGAGGTCGGCAACTTGTTAGGCGTTGACGCAGGCGACGACGGAACCGTAGGTGTAAAAAATGGTTGACTGAAGCCAACCAACCGCGGTTGGATCTCTGATTTATCAAACCCAGGCGCAGGAGCTTCATTTGTCACTGAGCCGTTATTGGATGGTGTTCGCGCAGGGTTGGAGAACTCCTCCAAGGAGAGAACACTGGGGGTTCGTGACCCTGGGATGCTAGAAGCATGAGTGCTTGGCGCCAATTCTTTGACGTATCCTAGGGGAATCTTTAACGTGAAAAGGGCACCCTTGCCTTCCTCGCTTTCGAGCAGAATATCACCCCTCATAATGCGGGATAACTGAGCACAGATGCTGAGGCCCAGCCCTGTTCCTCCGTATTTCCGATTCAATCCTAGATCCCCTTGCACAAAGGGATCAAAAATACGCCGATGAAGATGGCTAGGGATTCCTGGCCCGTTATCTTCGACTTCAAATTGGAAGTCGAGCTGGCGAAAGCTGGACTGTGATAGCCTTTGTCCTCCGGCTTGGTTTTCGGTCGCATCAAATGTACGACGCATGGAAGAGTTTGCACTTGAGGTAGTCTGAGAGCGTAGTCGTGAGTTATGGCGAGGCCCATCCCTTGAGGTCACCGGGTTCGCAAGACCCAAAGGTTCATCCACGAGGCGGACGCGGACTTCCACCTTCCCATTCTCGGGTGTGAACTTGAGACTGTTGCTGACCAAATTGATTAGTACCTGAAGGATGCGATGCTGATCACCCCAAAGGACCATGTCTGCCAGTCTAATAGGCTGCGCTGGACTGAGGACTGGGTATGTTTGTTCCGACCCTCTGTCACGACACACAGTTCCTTTGGGCTCGGTGATTGATCCGGACACAAAGTTGACGCTAAAGTCGATTTGCTTTTCGTTCACTTGATTTTGGAAAATGATAGACAGTTGAGAGCGAATATCGGATAACTTGAACTCCTTCTCCTCGATCTGAATGGCTTGGTCAATCTGGTTCTTGCTGAATGTGAGCAGATCATTCAAAAGATGCAAAAGGAGATCGCCTGATTGATAGACCACCTGAAGTGACTTTTTGATGCGAGCAAGGTCATCCTCGCCCATGCATACGGCGCACATGCCGAGGATTCCATTGAGAGGAGTCTTCAGCTCGTGCGAGATGTTGGCGATGAACAGGGTCTTGCTCTCGTTGGCAGTCTCGGCAGCCAATTTGGCTTTTTCAAGCTCCCTAGTGCGTTCAGCCACTCGCTCTTCCAGCCGATTGTACTGAATTGTGAGCTCATCCGACATCTCATTGTAGGTTTTGGTCAGGTCTGTCAGCTCGTCTGTGATCCAATGTTTCCTTTCTTTAACCCTGCCGGGTATCTGGAAGCCTCGGGTATTTCTGGAAATGTGCAGGCTGGCGGAACTATTCAATCGTGCTAAGGGACGTCGGAGGCGGCCCACCCACGTGCTGCCTGACCCTTTTTCATTGATGTGTTCCTCGTTTCGCTCAAAGGGCTCCGCGTGTGCATCCTGTGATTCTGGTCCTGGGGGTAGTGATCCAATTTCAGGCTCGACAGTTTTCCGAGCTGCCGCACGCAACCTCCGTATAGGAGTCACAGCCCAATGTGTCAGAAGAGGGACTATGAGGATAATAGCGCCTGCCGTCCCGAAGAGGCAGGCGAGAATAATCTTCCGTAATCGAACCACTGGCACAAATGCCTCCGAGTGCGCTTCTTCTACGACAAGGATCCATTGGACGAGGGTGGTTTCAGGACGAACTGCTCCCACTGCAACGCTTGCATATTGCTCGTTTGTGGTTGACAAATGACTGACAGATTTGTCTCGGCTCGCATATGGCTGCAGCATAGCTTTCAGTGCAAGGGGGTATTTCGAAAGGGCAAACGGAGTATCGGTCGACATGCCAGGATGTCGGCTAGCCTGGGTGGGTAGAGGAGTGGGCTCGAAGATGTAGTGAACCTGTGCTCTCTCGAGGGCCGCGGCATCAGCGGCAGATGTAGCCGTAGCGGGCTGCTCATCGGAGAGGAATGTGTTCGCCGGTCGGGTAGGGCCAATGAGGAGAACCTGGCCAGTATTTCCTAACCCATCTCGTGAGTTGACGACACTTTGAAGGTTTTCTGCACTAGCGACAATACTGAGTGGTCATAAGTCAAATCATTTTCCCAGTATCCGTATCGACATTTGGAAACGCTACTCACGTCATGAAGCCCAAAACCTCTGTGTTGGAAGTGTTATTGACAATAGGCAAGGTCAGTGAGATAAGAGAAAACGAGCTGTTGACTTTCAGTGGACCAAGAAGCAGTGCTGAGTTCAGTCCAAGTGTGTAATCGGAAAATGAATAGACAATTGTCGAAGCATTTCCTGGCACGCTCCTGTAAGTCAAATTCGGGTAGAGTGACGGAGGGTAGCCCAGCCCCTCGTCTCCCAGGTTGACAGGTGTCCCGTTTGGGTGGCTATATGGGAGGATGATATCCGGAACTGTGTCACTGGTCTGGTTGAGCAAGGGACCGATGCCTCCTTCCCCATTCTTAGAATATATGATGGCCTGGTAAAGGCTCATATATGGTCTGCTACCCAGTGCCGACTGAACATCCGCGATGGAATTAGTCCAATTTTCGTCCGACACATTTCCGGCATAGTAGCGTGCCAGGGCGGATTGTATCAGGATTCGTGTCGCGATGGTCTTGCAGGTTATTTCGAGGAGGTCTAGATTCGAGGCAATCTGACTGGCCTTGATGGTCGCGACAAGTTCGAGGCCCTTCGACCTGGTCCAGTTAGGGTTCGGCCCAATACATTGGAAGTGAAGGGCAATACATACTCAACGTCGACTACAAAATTGTAGGTGGTAAACCACTAGGGTTCGTTGTCAGATTCCAATCGTTGTTGCGCTGGGTGGTTTCGATCTTTACCGTGGTAATGGAGAGCACCGCGACACCGGAGACCGCCGTCAGCAATACCAGCAGCGCAAGCTGCAAAGCAATTGGAACTCGCATCCGATCACATATGACTCAGGGTCAGGACCCTTTACAGTCAGAGTCGAAGGACGGATCAAGTGTCGAAGAAGCCGAGGCCCGATGCCTACAATTCACGAGTCAATTTTCCGCCAAGAAAGTCCAGAACTTCTGTCACACCTACATATGAGGTCAAGTCTTCAGCTTTCTCCGAATGTCACTACCGGATTTTCTGGGTCTATTATGGGTTTGAAGTGAAGAAGGTCTAGGAAATGAAAGACATGGTTGAATTAGACAGTGAGATATCAAGGCACAAAAGGAGTGTTGAAAAGGTGCAAGGGTTCCAAAATCCAGAATCTTGGGAAGATGTTGGCAACTTTTCATTTCTGATTTCTTGATTTAGCCAATCTGGAGAGAAGAGTCCGAGGGTCTGGACTGGACGTTGAAGGTGAAAATTGCCGAGTGGTTTTGTCTTCTCATTGGCTCTGCGATTACCCCCATACAACTTGAAAAAGACCATCTCCAGATAACTACCCAAACGGCCTTTTACATCTAGTTATGGGGTACTTGATTATTCCTATTGACAAGTCATTTCGCAGTCGAAATTGGCGACTGCTGGCTATGAGAAACTGGTGTTTTAAACGCATCTTCTTATGTACTTCCATGTTGGAAGCCGCAGTTGCTGCCGCATTCTTGAGCGATCCTCGAGTTTGTCCGATATCATCCACAGCCGGTCGTTTTGAGGTTCTCAGGTCCCTATACGGAGTACATGTGAATGAAATGGCTAAAGCCTAACGCTCGTTGTCGATATCCAGGTCACTTGCCGCGATAAAGCCTACCGAAAGGACGTGTGAGGTCGGTCATCAGCATTCTGTTAATTCAAAACGAAATGAAAAGGAAAAGAGGTAATGCGAAGACAGAGATGAGCACTAATACCCTCGTTGTCTCGTAGATATCGAGGCCTTGTAGGTGGTTTATTAATAACTCAAAGTTTCGGCCCCAGTCCGGGGTCCAAAGTCAAAGCACCTTCGAAGGGGCCATCACATCCCGAGGGCGTCCTTTGGCGTCCCCCTACCGCCGCTTTAGCTGGACCATGGAGATAGGAGTAGCAAAAGTAGATTTGAGGTTTTCGTATCTTGCTTGACAAGAACCTAAGATGCTCTTTAGTATCATACATGTGTGAATTTGTACGGTCGAGTCAACCAACTATTGGCTGGAGCATAATGGTCCGCACTACATGTACGTACCTGGCGTTTTGCCTATGAACTTGGAAGAATTTATTGGAAGAAAATAGAATATTCTCCAAGTCAAATGCGCTGAAAGGCATGCTTAACATGGATCATAAATAGTGAACAAATTAATCTCTATACATGTCTATATACATATTTCGCTTCTCGCTCCATAATACCATAAATGATCTACCATGAAGATGCAATGCCTCGAATAAATTTCTAAACCCCAAACCAACCAGGGTCGAGAAATGCTCTATACAAGCGCCAGCTTGGACACGTTCATAACTCACGTGGAGATAGAATGATATCAGAGTGATGAGTCTTACTCAAGGAGGAGAGCAAGAGAACACTCCACCAACCTTTCCTTGGTCGTACTTGATGATCTGTTTGAATCGAGTTAGCAACGGCAATCTCGAGTGACCAACACCTTTCGATAAACTTACAATGTCGTCGATACTGGAGTAGGTTCCTCCGACAAGTACCACAATGCCGATCACAAAGATCAGGCCGTTGACAATGGCCAGGGCGATGTTCTTGGGCTCCTTCCAACTACCCTCGCGAAGGAGCATAAACCAGAACATGGCCGGGAAGTAGAAGGTGAAACCGGAGATGAAAAGCGCGGAAGAGATGGAAAGCAGATCATTGAAGAAAGGGATCACCTCGGCAATGATGAAGGCCACCACAGTGGCAGCGGTGATCACTGCCAGCCACGTTAGCCATCCCATCTTCGTGTTGATGAAGCGGATGGTAGAGTTGGCGAAGATGCGACCGTGGACCACACGCCCGAAGACTACGGTATTGATCGAACCACTGATGAAGATTACGGGCAGGGCAATTCCGTATGCAACGCGGCTGAGGGTATCTCCTGCAGAGGTGAGAGCAGGGCTGGATACGTCTTGTCCAACGAAGGCGTAGATCAGAGCACCGGTGAGTGTGTAGATGGTAATCTCGGTGATGCCGAGCGTCCAGATGGACTTGATAAAGTCCCGAGGGGTGTGCATTTCGTCCATGAAGGAGAACTGACACATGGCAAAGCTGTAAGCAAAGACGATGTTGGTCACAGCGATGAAGGCTTCGGTGAAGGTGATGTTATCCTTGGGCCACGCAGACCACGGGACTTCGGAGAGCCCTCCCGGTGAGTTCGTTGCCTGCACTCCCGTACCGATGATAGTAATTCCAATGGCGGCGATGATAGATACGAAATCCACGTAGCCGAGAATAGCCACTTCGGTGAAACTTGGCGGGATGGCAACGATCAGAAGGATGATGGCGGACACGACGGCAAAAACGATAGAGCAAACGTTGGCCTTGGTGATGTCGAGGAACGCAATGGTTCCTGTCAGAGTGTGCGAAGCCGTGAGGAATATCAGTTGGAGACACAGCATCGCATTGACAAGCTCATATGCAAAACGACCACACCCCAGGCGGCGGCCCAACAACCGACCCGCATCGGCATAGTTGGCAACCTCAGGAAAGGCCAATTTGACCATGCCAACAAGGTAACTGGTATAGATGGCAATGAGACCGATACCGACGCAGCAGATCACACCGGGGACCATGCCAAGAGTTGCAAAAGTGGAAGGAATGGACAAACTGCCGAGGGCAATAGCTTCGACGATGAGGACGATGGTGAGGCGCTTCCAGCCGAGACGATTGAACTTCTGAATACCGTGATTATAGATATTCCTCTCGGCATCAGTCATCTCCCCGAGCATGTCTTTCTCAAACGGCGGCAAAGCGGCCGGAGCCTTCCCGCCTTCCATCCCGGTTACCTTGTCGGCATCATGCTCGTTGGAGATGTGTTCGAAGCCCATGATGTTGGAGGTGAGGCCGGATGTGCCGGGGGTAGGAATGAGGGGAAGACGGCGGGTATATAAGAAGGCAAAAATTCGCTCACGTCGAATGCGGTCTTAGGAGGCAAAAGCAAGATTTCCATTACTAAGATGGTTTGGTGATCTCAACGCTCTTTGGTTCCAACACGTGGAGTACGACGTTACTCCACTGGATCAGCCACCCAATGAAGTTCCCGGAAACAGGATTCGACCCAGTACAGAAAGTGGGTTATGGCAGTTAGGGGATTTAGGCGGCCAGACACCTCATTTGCTATGATAAGAAAACCGTACGGGGCGTTAGGTAAAAGAAACACAACATTGGTTTATGCCCTGCTCAGGCTCATTTTAACCTGGACACTTGGGTGTTTCAACGCTTTGACATCATCCACAGTATGGAGTCATACCCCGCGTTATTCTGGATTGCGGGGATTTAGTAACTTGGGGAATTTGAGTAGAAGAAGACTAACATAGAATCAACAAAACCATCGAAGATATAGAAGTTTCTTCAGGCACGCCACAAGCGATCCGAAAGCCGAATTACCAATGACAGACTCGGCAGGTCTGGCTGGTGGCTGGGCGTTGCTGGGCGCCCGAATCACCCGTCTGGGCACGGATAAGACTTAGGTCACGTGCAAGCCGCAAACAGGACAAAGCAGTAAAAGGGGTTGATCCCTCTCATCGGCGGTTTAGGGGAAATGGTAAAACCTTCAAGCTCCTCCAATGTGGCATATCATAGTGCCTATCAATGCGGCCCAACACATATCTTGCTCATCATGTCTCCATCATGCCCGCCCCAGATTCGAAGCTAACGGTACGCAGATGCGCAGCGCCACCAACGCCATCGGGTTTAGCAGCACACGTGGAAAAATAGCGCAAACACCGAACTTTATGGATTCGTCGTCATGTCCGAAGGCTCACAACGAATATGGGAGAGCAGAAAATACTACGGAGTATGGGTTCCAGAAAATCAGATATCCACTTACATCATGGCCAGAGATCTGGGGTCGATCTCCAATTTTCGACTCCATCACGCGAGGTCCGGGGTTCTTTTCTTTTTGTACGTAATGAACTCAAATTCCCGAGTTTCGCAATTCTACGGAGTACCTACGGAGTATCCATGGCCCATTGCCGATTTTGGGTTCTTAAGTTCTAACCTTCTCAAACTAGTATCCCGCCAAGAGAGATCGTCGGGCTAGAAGCACACTAGAACATAGGAGCTGCGGGTCATTTCGCGGCTTCGCCCATGCGAGAATACCCTTGCGATAAGACATGCGCGATTTAACGATCTGTCAAATCCATCCTTCGCTGCATCGACCTGTAGCTCAATCAGGTGTCGTATTCCTATCTATCGCCCTCTGCTACGCCCGACCGCGGAGATCCTCATAAAGGCTCAGCCTGTGGCTCAGCGATCAGTCTCCGAGAATATGCACGGGCAGGAATAACTAGAACCGAAATAAGCAAACGGCTCACACAGGTGTCAGATTGTGACCTTGGAAAATTTGGTAGTCTGACGTCTCGTTGATTTTCAACCCCCTTCATAAGGCGTGTTCTCCGTCTCACAGGAAACATGTGAAGTCAAGGGCAGGGGCATGATGTAGTAAACCCCTATTCCTGCCTCGAAACTACATTTCAGTGATGTCGAAAATGTGAACGTTGTCGATATCCACAGTTTTAGGTATGTAAATAGATCTCTAGGTCAGAGACTATGACGAATTTAGACTAGCATTCTCGACTTAAGCATTCAGTTGACCCTCCAAAATAATCCACTTTCCTCCGTTGAGACCAGCAATTGATATGCGAGACTTGTCCACAATGTAGATGTGATACGGCTCTGAGGTTGCCAGATGTCAGTGCCTATGTTCTAAGAAGAGTAGCTAATCCAGGATCAAAACAATTAAATAAACCGCAGAGTCTCAATACACCGCTCGAGGAGAATCTTAAAAACCCAAACATTCCGGACTAGAGGATTAGCTGCTTCCAACCTACACAGTAGATCCCGGGGCCCACTCATTTTATCCTCTCAACTTCCATCAATCATAACCCCTTTGCTCGTGAATCAGCTGGTTACAGGTCGATACCATAGACCCATGTTCTCCGCAGAATACAGGCAAATTCTAGCTTCCAACTTGAACTCCTCGGCAAACGGTCAATGGCAAAGGCGTCATTGTCAATATATCAATAATTGAACCCGGGTGGCGCAGCGTCGAAAAGCGGAAACGACCCCTTCTCTTTGAAGAGGCGAATAGTTCTCACCGGGCATTACTCCTGGCGGGGATCACATCCTAACGAATCATGAGCACATGCATGAATGATGCACAAGGCCTCGGGGCCAGCCCGTTTCAGTGCCGAACGTAAGATTCGATGTCTAATTCTTTTGTCTCCTGGTCGTATTTGGAAGATTCGCAGTACAAGGCAAGAGATGCAATGGAACATCCGTCCTGTCCGGCATCTAAGGTAGTGGTTGGCTTTTTAGGTCGGTGGAAGGTCGAGGAATACCTATACTGTGGGGAGACCTGGAGTCTTCCAGCACGGCTTTTAGCAACATTCCATACAGCCAACCTGTGCAGAGCCTCAGAACCGGAGAGACTTTGGCAAGTCACCACTGGGCAGCTTCCATTAACATGCGGCCATGCCGGGCAATTCGGGATTATCTTGCGATAAGTAGAGTCGTTACCTCACTTTAGTGTGTTGCTTCTCATCATGCTCCGCCCCCAGCACTAGCTTCTATCGAAGTTCGCAGCCTTTCGGGAAAAACCCTCCAGGCCGATGATCGGCACCTAGATATATCGTGATTCGAGAACAGCTTCCTGAGGTGCTTTTGAGGTTGCTGACGGAAGAATCCATGGGTCACCGTTCCCCCTCGCGATACGTACCTACCCTGGCCCAGGACCTGGGTTTACATTTTTGAGTGACAGAACTGCGATATACTGGGAAGTCGAAGCGAATCCGAATCGACTCTGATCAAAGCAGGACTGTCAGGCAAGATTCCCTATAATCGGTTCGGAAGCCATGCCGCAAGATGGGAATCAAGGGCAATCTAAATCTGTCGGAAATACTGCATACTCAACTATGCCACTATTCCTATTTAGGATATATCATGTGACCTCTGTATCGTAAAACTCCGTTCAAGGGGTCAGATAGAAGAATCAGACATCATTCGTTTATTGGATACAATACATCGCCACCCTTTTGCTTCGACAAAATCCTCTATAACTATGCCTTGGGGAGATGACCTAATTACCCGGTGTTTACCCGCGATGTTCGAGGTAATTAATTCACCAGGGTCTCCAGCGGTCCGTCGCCCTTACCAGATCCATTCTGTGCCCACGAGAATATTCTACATAATCATGCATTTCGAGAAACCGACCGCCTCAGCGATTATCGTTGCGGCTAATTAGCGCATGAGTGATGAACATTCGGGCGGAGGGTCCGAGGGAAGATGGGGGAAGTGGACGTCGGTCTCCGCATCCGACGGCCAACTCAACACTCGGGAACATCGCCGTTTCCCCTCCCCCTCATGATATGAGCGGATACATCCCCGAACGATCTTCTTGTTATAAGAAGGTTAGGTGACTATGTACATGGAATCTTGCGCTCACATTATCATTCCTGATCTTTGACGATACATCCTGCCTACATACCTCTAAAATGACCGTCTCTCTTCAACCCCATGTCCCATCATCAGGAGTCTGGTGCCCCGCAGTCACTTTCTTTCATCATGACACCGACTCATTAGATCTCGTCTCCCAATCTAAATACTTTGCCTACTTGTCAACAAGCGGACTGGCGGGTCTGGTAATCTTGGGAACCAACTCAGAGGCCTTTCTTCTCACCCGCGAAGAGCGGTCCCAGCTGATTTCGACCGCGCGAGCCGCAGTTGGGCCCGATTTTCCATTGATGGCTGGCGTTGGCGCGCATTCGACTAAGCAAACCCTCGAGTTGGCACAGGACGCCGCTGCTGCCGGCGCCAATTACCTCCTTGTCCTCCCTCCCGCTTACTTCGCCAAGGCGACAAATATGAATGTGGTGAAACGCTTTTTTTCGGAGGTAGCAGCGAAGTCGCCTCTACCAGTGGTGGTATATAATTTCCCGGGGGTTTGTAATGGGGTGGACATGGACTCCGAGACTATCACCGCCATTGTACGGGAGTCAGCGTCTTCGCATCCTAGTGGACGGTCCAACGTGGTCGGTGTCAAGCTCACCTGTGGATCGGTAGGGAAGATCACCCGGCTGTCTGCAGCTTTTGCGCCCGAGGAGTTTGCGACCTTTGGCGGACAGTCCGACTTCCTGGTTGGCGGGTTGGCTGCAGGAAGCGCTGGATGTATCGCAGCCTTTGCCAACGTCTTTCCTAAAGTGGCAACGCATATCTATGCGCTGTATCGAAAGGGTCAGATCGACGAGGCTGTAAAGCTCCAGAGGAAGGCGGCGCTTGCAGAAAGTCCCATTAAAAGTGGCATTGCTTCAACCAAGCATGCAGTAGCCTGCTACTCTGCCCAGTTAGCAGGGATTCAGGATGCAGCAATGAAACTGGCCCCTCGGCATCCTTACGAGGAGGTGGGAGAGGGGGCCAAACAGGCTATCCGAGAGGTTATGGCCGAAGTTGCCGAGATTGAGAAAAGCCTATGATAGGCCGGGAGCGAGCATAGTCAATGAAGATCAAAAGTTATCGATCCGCTTCAAGATTGTCTTTACAGTATGTCCCCTGTAATTAGCGTTTTTTCTACCTATCTGCGATGTGATCCAGTCCACCTTAGCGTCATTCGCTAGTCTGCTACTTTGGTCGTGCATGGAACCTTTCCTCCAGGTCAACACTTGTCACCTGGGGTTTGCTATACGGGCGTTTGCTAGTCACAACGGCCAGACCAACTGCTAAGCGCAACGCTAACATAGATCACACGAATCATAGGCCTTATCTGCCCAATAGGCGGTTAGCAGTCTAACGTCGAATGCCAGATAGTTATCACACCGTATCACACAACTAGGGAAAATCAAATGGTACTTTCAAATTGACCGTGTGCACCGAAGCGCATACGGGCAAGTCGATATGCATTTGTACTAGCAAGAGACAGTCTTTGTGTTCATGTAGTTATGCGAATTTGCTACCTACGTGCGTTCAAGGACCAAACTCCCAACAAAAGCCAAGACACTCGCTAAGGGTTGTGCATCCACGGGACTCTGCTAAAGTACTTTACAAGATGGTCATACAAATGCTTAACATCGTACAATGTCTTTGATGTATTATATTCCGCTTTACCCGAGAGAGAGATGAATTATACAAATGAGCCTCGGCTGCTAAAAGCCCTGCTACCAATCAGCGTCCGGTTCCCGATCTCTCTATCCATGGATCTCATCTGGGCCGAGTCTGAATTTCCAATCGGGCCGATCAAGCGCCGATTTAGTGGATCTATCGGGATCTTGAATGAAAGGTTGACCAATCATCGGCCACGTCAGTTTCATTTTTATGCAGTTTGGTGATGCCATCCATGGATGCTCCACTGCCAATATCGAAACAAGAAGTGTCTCCGGCATGGCGGATGGTTTTTTTCCTTCTCTTTCCTTTCGATATTGGAAAATTCCTTGCTGTGATGAATAATGTAAACATAACAGGTGGATATTATGGCGAGGATAAAAACTACAGTTGTCCGCCGAGGTCCCATTCGTAACCGAAATTTAAACAAAGAGATATCCAGATAAACAGCGTCATATCGAACTATCTCACATCGCAGATTGCAGGTCTTGAGCTTCTACCTGTCCCATGTCCACCATGGAAGTATCTGAGACTGGGACCAAGTCCCTCCAGCTGCCAAATTCCATTCCATTCTGGCGACTCGTCCTAAACCCTGGAGCCATCACCCAAGAGGTAGTGGACTATCCTTGCGCAGGCTCGGGAACCGAAGAAGATCCCTACGTGGTTCAATGGATGCCTAGGGACTTCCGAAACCCTCTCCAGCTGAAAACTTCCATGAAATGGTTCATCACAATCGTTGCTGCCCTCGAGACCTTGGTGGTTGCTCTGGTCTCCTCCGCATATACAGGTGGTCTCATTCAAATTCGAGAAGAATTTGGAGCAACCACAGAGGTTGCCACCCTGGGAGTATCACTCTATGTACTGGGATTCGCTCTGGGTCCGCTGATCTGGGCTCCCATGAGTGAAATGTATGGTCGCCAACTCGTCTTCGTCACAACCTACGGTGGTTTGACCGTTTTTTGTGCTGCCTGTGCGGGCGCAAAGAACATCACAAGTTTATTGATTTTCCGATTTCTGTCTGGTGCATTTGGTTCCTCCCCCTTTACCAATTCGGGCGGCGTTATCGCCGACATGTTCATGGCTCGCGAGCGGGGTCTAGCACTGTCAGCCTTCGCGCTTGCTCCTTTCCTCGGACCAGTCATCGGTCCTATTGTCGGTGGCTTCCTTGGTATGTCTAGCGGGGGTTGGAAATGGGTGATAGGTCTTTTGGCCATCCTCTGTGGTGTCATGTGGTTCTTAGGAGCTGCATTGAAGCCGGAGACTTATGCTCCCGTTCTGCTCCGCCAGCGTGCAAAGACCCTGTCCAAGCTCACAGGTCAGGTATACTGCAGCAAGCTTGATATCGATCAAGGACGCGTCACTTTGACGGCCGCTATGAAGGCCTCCTTCTCGCGGCCACTGGTTCTTTTATTCAAAGAACCCATCGTCCTGTTACTCTCAATCTACCTGGCGATCATCTACGGAACCCTCTACATGCTTTTTGGTGCCTTCCCGATTGTGTATCAAATCCATCGTGGATGGAATCAAGGTGTCGCCGGCCTAGCCTTCATCGGTGTCATGATTGGTATGTTAGGAGCGATTGCATACTCAATTCCCGAAAACAAACGATATGCCAAGCTACTTGCAAAGAGCGGCGGCTATGCACCCCCAGAAGCCCGTCTTCCGCCGTGTATGCTGGCCTCAATCGCTCTCCCTGTCGGACTCTTCTGGTTCGCATGGACCAACTCCCCCTCCGTCCACTGGCTCGCAAGTGTCGCAGCTGGAGTTCCATTCGGTTTCGGAATGGTCCTCGTTTTCTTGAGTGTGTTCAATTACTTGATTGATGCTTACACCATTTTTGCGGCGTCCGTCTTGGCAGCCAACTCGCTACTTCGGTCGTTGTTTGGCTTTGCATTCCCACTGTTCACCACGTACATGTATCAGGATCTGGGGATCCACTGGGCGTCTTGTATTCCGGCTTTCTTAGCACTTGCATGCGTCCCTTTCCCCTTCCTGCTCTACAAATATGGTCTCTCTATTCGAAAGCACTGCACGTACTCTGCGCAGTCTGAAGCCTTCGTCCAAAACCTTCTTCGAGCGAGTCAGAAGGCTGCTGAAGAGGCCGTTGAATCTGAGCCTGAGGTGTGCTTGGCAAAGGATGAAGCTCCATCGCTTTCCACCGACAAGACAGTTGCGGATGTCAACAAAATTCGGCACACACTTTCACGCACTTCCACCAATGCCACGCATGCCATTCACCGGGTGCCCACCTACGAGGCCAGTCCGTATGATATCGACCGCGTGAACACACGAGAATCGTTTAAATAAACGAAGACATAAATCAAGCAAGTGGAGCGGCATTTGATTGGATCCCTGATTATATGAAGAAATAGCACAGGTGTGAACTTCAGGTACTTCCATGTTGGATTACTTGGGCTGCTTCTTTCTCTTTCGCTCGACTCGATGTACCATAGACAGCGTTGGATATTTAATACTGATTGCATTTGATCATTCGCGACGTTCTCTGCCTTTGCTCGTAGCGTTGTGATATGCTCGCACATTGCAGATACTGTCTGTTTGGAGGTGCTCTGTCGTGTCTTGAAAGAACCATTCCTGTAATGAAAAGTCATCGCCATATGCGCCATGAGAGGCGCTGGCAACAGACTACAGGTGAACGCATTCTCTAATCAGTAGGGACGTATGCATATGAAGTATCCACGCCATGCACGATAATACCTGTCAGATCAACATCCGATTCTCTACTGGCAGAACGGAAGATCGTCCTTATATGAACCATATTGAACTTCTGACGGGACAACACGATTTGGTCGATGGAATACACCTCAAAATATGTAGAAAGGACTTCCATCTCTCTCGTGCGCCGTGCATATCGTATATTGGCCAGTCTGAGTTATCCCAGTGCTACCAACCATCCAATGAGTAAGTACATGTATTGAAGTGAATGGACGTTGTGCTCGACTTGTCACTTCTATCAATGAACTCCATTGGTCAGACCATTCGACATCCCATTACTCACTCCATTTGAGATGGTATGTTTCACGCCGTTAGTGAGTCCCTTGAGTTTACCAAGAGGCACTCCCGGAGGCACTCCAACAGAGATGGTACTCTTCTTCTGTGGTCTTTCTGGTGCATTCCAAACAGTGCCATCGTCGAGCAGTCCCTGGCCCAAAGCGAGCGTTCTCGATGGAGCTTCACCCAGCCATTCGCTCTCTAACTGGCCGATGTTCTCTTCAATTTCCCAGGCGCGACCTCCCTCGATGAACATGGATTTGCCGTTGAGAGTCTGATCGGTCAAGACTCCAGTGGCCACAGTAGCAACCTGTTTCGGGGTGTTGATAGGAAGACCAGCCCCCTTCCACTGCGCCTCGACTTTCTTGATGCTGTTGGTCTGGGTCACCCAGGGGCAGACAGTATTGATGCGAAGGTAATGCTTGTACGGAGAAGAGATGTAGGTGCGTAAGGAACGCATGAGACCCACAACGCCATGTTTGGAGGCCTGATATATGAAAAGAGAGGGGCTGTCTTTGAACCCCGAGACACACGAGAACAGTAGGATGGACCGATCGCAGTTGGACCCCCGGTTGTGGCGCAAGTAGACGGAGGCGATGCGGCAAACGTACATGGAACCGAGCAGGTTGACGTCCAGAACTTGATGGGTTGGGGTCTTGAGGTAAAATGTTACTATGAGTCACCATGACAAAGCTTGGCCAAGCATCAGGGGCCGCTGCCTAACTAGAATTGACTTACCTGACGGACAGTTTCCATCGTGAGTGCAGTGTCAAACCAATTCCCTATCTCCACTATGCCGGCTGCAGAAACGACATGGTCGATGCGCTTGTAGGTCTTGAAGGCAAGATCAAAGAGAGCCAACACCGATGGGTAAATGCTCACATCGGTGGGTTGGAAAATAACCCGCGGAGGCGAGTCTTCCTCCTCTGGGGGAAACTTATCACGACACTCCTTCAATAGGCGCTCGCCCGAGACGCCATCCAGGTCACCAATACATACATTGGCACCGTACTCTAGACATTGTGTCACGAGGCTCGCACCAATGCCATTGGCACCACCTATATGGGATGAGACGAGATTGAAACAAACAGGCCGTGGAAAGGGCGTAACATACCCGTAATGAGGATGACCTTTTTGGCAAGGGAACTGGGGGAGATGCTGGGAATGTACTGCGACATTGGGGGTAGATTAGTGCGGAGACTTTGGTGGGTCGATAGAGATGATCGTGGGGCCGAGTACAATAACACAACGATTTGCAGATAAGAGAGAGAATTTGACTGTGGACAACAAGCTCGACTTTATATTCAATTGCCACCATCTGAGCGTGCACCGTCAAATTGCCTAGTAAAGTCTCAAATGAACCCTGGTGTTGAGATGGACGAACCAATCCGTGATCAGGAAAATCCTAGACGCTGGACACGAACGGCAAGTCAACCGAGGGTCCGAGTATATTGGAGAATTCCCCGTCTGGTCTCCCCCTGATGGGCTTGCTGGGTCGAATGAGCATTTCCATTTTCCACAGCCACCCGGGGTAATGTGGAGGCCCCCGCTAGTTATCAACGTCGGATGATGCGGGGAGGCGTCAGCCAATGACGCCGGGGTCGCAGTTGGAAGCGAATGCGCCGGCAGCCATGGCATAAACAAATGCGGGAACGAAATTAGTCAAACACGAGTTGGCATTGGCTTCTCAAAGCTATTGGTCGCGCTGACTCGAAGCCGAGAGATCTCTCGGAATCCTGTGGTCCGGAGTGTATATGGCTAGCTCGTACTCTTCGAAGTCTGACAGCCTTACGACGTGAGACGGCAACAATGATCTTTCAGACTTTGGTCTGATTGTCTCGTCTGTGCTCGTAGATCTGAGTATCTGGGAACTGGCGCATACATCGTATGGAGATGGAGAGGGAATTGTGCGGGAAGTTGAACAAAGTACAAATCACGAGATGTAACCTTAAAACCCGGCTAAACCACATTCGTATGTTTGATTAGATCTATCCTGAATCCCAAAAACGTCGTCTTTTCCAATGTACATGGACCACACCCCAACCCGAAAGATTAAAAGAGAAAAAAACATAAGCCATTTCGGCCGCACACATGGGGAATACAGGACATGACCGTTAGGAAAAATTCAGAAACACACTCTATCAATGATCCCCAAAACCACCCAGGAAGAAAACCATGCAGATCAACAGAAAGATATTTACAACCAGTCAGTAAGCCCTTGAAAGGTCTAGCGACGGGAGACACAGCACAAGATACCAGACTTGCCAAGGAACCAGATGGATCCAATGAAACGGAAGATCGATAGGCCAGCTGTCGTCCACAAGATAGCAGCGAAGTATTTAGAAGTGCGTTCGGTAGAAGTGTTCTGTGTATGTTAGATAGAGTGGCAACATGAACTCGGGGAGAACGACATACCGTGAGACAGAAGCGAGTAATGCCTTCGCTGGTGATACACAGTGTGAGAATCAGATTACTGAAAATCCAGATCAACACCAGGTTGGTTCGGAAAGCCTTGTAGCCGTCATCGTTGCTTCGTTCTTCCTTCTCTTCCGGCACGACATAAGGCTCGAGCGCTCTCTTGACCGTAGATTCGAACTGGCTATCGATGTCGGCCTGCGGCTTGTCCACTTCTTCAATGAAGTTTGACTTGCCGTCATCCTTCTTCGTCTCGGCAACAGGCAGCGAGTCGCCCTTATCGGATCCTTTGGTTCCCCAGGAAACATCATGCCAGTTGCAAAAAGCGTAGACCATCAGGATATTGATCGAGCAAGTCATGCCGGCAAAGTAAGCCCAGGAGGATGTGAACATGTGCCAGGGATCCATGTACATGAAACTTGCGAGGAAGTAGATACCGTAAGTAGAAACCAAAGCAATCAGGACAATACCGGCGCCGGATGAGCTGAAGAAAGACTTCAGGAAATGCGCGACACCTTGGTCCATGGAGAAGTCAAGCGTGCCTCCAGTGAAAGCGTTCTTCACAAGGTAGAACGAGAGAATGATGATGTAGGTTTGAACCACACTAAAGTAGATGAATGACAGCGTATATGCCAAACGTGAGCTGCCAAAAAGTCAGTATTTGATGAGGATTGGTTCTTGTATGCATCTTACCCTTTGGGTCGGTTTCCTAGAGCAAGAATGAACTGCAGCATCAAGAAGAACACATATCCATATTTCAGGAAGTTGTTCACGATAGGCGAGGCATCATTTCCAAAAGGCCAACCCTTGTTTTTGTTAGCCGGACTGGGTGTTCCGACAAGATCCATGATGACAGTGGTGGTCAGCCAGAATGAGGCTAATAGTCAATTAGTCAAATTTCCAAGGAAGGAAGACAGTGAGCCCGGAACATACCGAGGGAGAACCAGGTCATGATCAGACCCGCAAAGTTATAAGTCATTTGAATATGCAGGAAGAACAGCCGCAGGATATTGTGGCCACTCTTATAAATCCGTCCGAAATGCATCATTGCATACAAACTAGCAGCAAATGAGCCGTTCAACCAGCGACGCCGCTGACTGATAAATTCGGCTGCGCCCTCTGGCACATCGGTCTCACCCTTAGAAGCCTTCACGTAGGTCAAATGCCACTTGAACCCAGCCTTTGCGACGAGCTCAAAACACAAGATACGGTCCTCGGCAAGGAACATATTCTTTTTGAAGATGTTCATACCCTCGATACCTTTCTTGCCCAACTGCTTTGAGAGTGTGTGGTCACCGTGGAAGTACTGCTCTAAAGGACGTCCCATGATAGCGCGATAGCGGTACGCGGAGAAAGCACCCGGTAACACGCTGACGTATCCAAAGGCGCTCTCGAGTGGTTTATCGAGGATATTAGAGATTTTGTACTCGAAGTTCTGTGCGGCCACGAGAGGATTCATCAAGTTCCTCCAACCCTTTCCTAACATTGCGTGGATCTCACCACAGGATCCACCCAAATTCTTATCATTGTAGAATGACTCCCACAATGCAAGAAGGGATTTCTTTCCGGGTTTCGTTCCAGCATCGATAAGAATGACGACTTCGGGGTTGAGGATTCGACTGAACCCATTGAATAGCCAGCGGTGGGAATTGATCTTTTTGCTGTTCTTTTGCTTGAGACAGAAGATCATTTGGACGGGAGGGAGATTGCTCGCCTCGTTGCCCTGAGGTCGAATCAACTGTTGGCTGGAGGTAACAGAGAGTTGGGTAGTGTACTCGAACTAGATATGGTCAGTCGACTGTCAACATCCATCTGGAACTCAGGCCACAGCAATTCAAGTATGGACCAAGGGCGGAGGAAGCAATAAGACTTGTGTACTTACGATGTGGGCGACGGTTTCCCGGCCATCAACGGAGCGCTTCATGATGCCATCCTGGTAGATACCGACAGTGGCCAACATGTCGAGTGTATTTTTATCACAAGGATCGATACCATCGAATACCAAGGAGACCACAATTTTTTGCCAGGCAGGGCCACCTTTGTTCCAGAATTCGGACTTCTTCAAGTTGACAATATCCCGGATGTTTTGCATCACACCATGCAACGTACGCGCTGTCAGAACTTTATCTTCGTTGTAGTAGGTGATAGCGATCAGAAGCTCGGTGTGGCGATTGTACATGGCCGGTCGCAAATTGTATCCGTTGCGGAGGGTGAATTCGTCAGGATCACAGGTGGCGGCGGTATCTGCCCTGAATTAGCTCTAATCCCGTTAACAATATCTCATAAGAAAACTCACACCGCAGATGAGTAAACTCTTCCGGAAAGCCCTCCTCGGATTCACGGTATTCCTTCTGAATGGCATTTTGAATTGCGCTTGGGACAGGGTAATCCACGCTCAGCACAGAGCCCTGGACCAATTTAATCTTTCGTGTGGCATAACGTCGCAGTCCAGACCCAGGCGCCTGTCTGTTCTGCCAGGCTTCTGATGGAGTCTCCGACATGGGAGATTGGATTCCCGAGCGACGGTTTAATCCACTTGCGGATTCCTGGTATGGGCCATCGGGGAAGATGGTGACGCCGGGGTCATGTAGGGTATAGCGACGAAGGGAATCGGTTGAGGCATATGGGTCATCGAAGGGAGCGTTGAACGGGCTAGGCTGGTTGCGATAGAGCAGAGACTGCTGACTGTCGACATTCTCGGGCTTCTCTTCGTAGCCGTACACTTGCTGTTGAAGCGAATAACGTTAGCCTATCTTCATGAATTACTCCTTCCCTGGTTGCGTGCCACTCACCTCACGCGTGCCATATAGACTTGTCTCACTGGCCTGAGGTGAATGGGATGAGTTCCCTGCTGAATGAGGCGAGTGAGGCGATGTGCCTCTTGGTGGTAAAGACATTGTGAACAGGTTCTGCGTCCTCTGAGCGTGGTGAGTAGCGAGTGGGAGGTTGGCCGATGATATTGTATCCCACGGTTGATGTCCAAAAAAATTCTCTCGTGGCGGCTTTCAATCCTAGGTGCAATGCGGCGCTTCAATGGCAATAGCGCACTTGCGCAATAGTGCTTTCGAGAGGTAGATCGAACGCAAAGTATTCTGGTCGATCTATCCAGAGATCAGACCTATGTGGGAGGGCGATGTGAGAGAAGGATATGAGACTAAAGCAGAAGGGAGTGGACAGTTAACGTTCGAAGACAGATGTGCGCAGGAGAAAGGCTCCAGATGCCGTGGAGTGTACTAGGAGATATTTTTGGTGCAGAATTTGATTGGAGGTGCCGGCGATGCAGGCTGTGAAAGGGCGAGTGAGGTGGAACCCCAGCGCGCATCAGCAACTGTCGTTCGTCATCCGCCCTTTGTGAGGCTCCACCGTGGAGACCCCTCCGAGACAGGGCACATTGGCATTGGCAATTGTTCCCCTGCGTAGGGTATCGCATACCTAACCACGGAGGCTGCATCTGCTATAGACCCAGCCACATCATGTCATAGCCCAGGAAATCCTAATGCTTGTCTTTCAAACATACAACGTGTATATACCTGTATGGGTATGAATTTGAGGCCGTGATCCGCGCCTTGCTGAGGCGAACATAACTCGTCGAACATGTAGAAACCAGCGGGTCAACGACGCAATACGCCGTGGCATTGGTCAACGAAGGTCTCCTGTGACCCATCATAGGCTCCGATCCCCCGAGAATTTCTGGTACACATCCATATCCCTTCTACGGAACCTGAAACACCATACACTCTGGCCTTGGATTTTCATGTACTCCGTGTACTTTGGGTATACTTCGTCAGGGCCATCAAACCCTGTAATGAGTCCGTCTGCCAAGCGGCCATATGTAGCGTGGCTGGCAAGTGCCGGGAAATGACGAGAAGGCGTGAGGAAACGATCGGCCGTGTCTTCCAGGGGCTGAATTCTGCTTCCACTACTGGTTCACGAGGTTCCACATCTCCAGCCATCATAATTATTGTACGGAGTAATGTATGGTATAAATTGGGCATGTGGAGAGCTCTTGATCAGGGCAAAGGCAAAGAAGGGGGAGGGGGTAGAGCGGCTTCCACAGCAACGGACATTCCACAGTGTGGCTACGAATGTGTATCACGTGATGGATTTGGAGATACGTGTACACAACACAGTACAAGTTGCACAACGTCGTAGTACTGTGTACTCCATACAATAATGTACAGGTACACAGTAGGTAGTATGGACATTAAAGTGCGTCATACCTTTGATGTCATAGAGCCAGCTCGACTCTTTCCTGGTGAAAGTCAGACTACTACACAGTAACGTAACTAACACACTATCTAACTAGTCTAACCTATTGTCTGAAATACTGCACAACATCATTGCCCCCGGGCCGCAACCTTGCATAATGCGTACCTACGCGCAGTATGTTGGCAACCTTCCAAAGAAACAATATATCCTGTCAACAGCATTAAAAGATGCTGCTGGTCTTCACAATGGATACCTAGACCCCTCTCTGGAGATTGCGAAGGGTTCCAAGTTAATCCGTTGGAAGCTTACAGACGACAAACAGGTTGCTGTTATCCTGGTATGTACGTGTTACTTTCGGCTCTGAACCGACATTCGGACTTCGTTGCGATGAGTGCTTCCCCCAAATAATTCGACATCTACGAGATTACGAGAATGGCACAGTCGGACCTAATGTCAAGAGAACCTACCGGTTTCCATTTTGGCTCGTCGACAGATTCAGAAACGATTCAAGCGTCTGGAACAAAACCACATCAATGTACATCAGGTTAATATCGCCCAGTCGTCAGAACATGACCGAGGTCATCAAATGGATAATGGATGCCGAACTATATGCGGGGTAAAAAGCGGGTTCAGCGTATAAAGGATTTGTGGTCTTCCATCCATGTTTATGAGCAATACTCGATATATAGGCGATCGTCTATTCTAATTCCTACATACGATGTCACCTCCGAGGCCTGCGTTCGATTCCCTGCCTTTGCGCAAAGATGGGCCCCCAGGGAATGCGTGGGGGATGTTTGGTGATCAGGATCAAATGGGCATGCTCAATCTTCTAACGCCAGAGAATACCGCTGCGGCTGCCCGTGAGATTGTTGAGGGTGTGCGTGTCTCGACGGATTGGGCTCTCAATAGCATGGCTACCCCTTGCTTTGGACGATCCGCTTTCGAGCACGTTATCAAGAACAAGGCTCCCCGACCAGTCAACGACGATATATTGGTCTTCAACACACAGAGTAGTAGCCAGTGGGATGGCTTCAGGCATTATGGCTCGGCGCAAGGAACTTTCTTCAATGGATGTACCCAGGACGAGGTCGACAACTCTGCTCGAAATGGCATTCACGGTAATCCACTCCTATCAGAACATTGTATCCTTCATCACTGACTTGCTCAGTATGGGCCGACAACGGCGGCATCGTTGGGCGGGGTGTCCTTTTGGACTATGCGGGCTGGGCAGAGGCGAACGGGGAGGAAGTGAACTGTTTTCAAACCCAGTCAGTCCCAGCTTCTGTGCTTCAAAAGGTGGCTGCGAGTCAGAAAACCACATTCCGGCCTGGAGACATCTTGTTCATCCGCACTGGGTGGACACGAGCGTACAATGAGCTCTCGCAGGCGGAATGTCAGCGCCTTGCCGACTATGCTGCGCCTCCCGTAATTGGAGTCGAATCGTCTGAGGCCATGCTTCGCTGGCTTTGGGATCTCGAGGTGGCTGCTGTGGCGGGAGATATGCCGAGCTTCGAAGCATATCCCTGTCAGAACAAAGACTTCTTTCTTCACGAGTGGTTGTTAGCGGGATGGGGCGTCCCGATTGGAGAATTATTCGACCTTGAGCAGCTCTCCCAGGAGTGTCGAAAGAGAGGTCGCTGGACCTTTTTCTTCAGCAGTGTGCCATTGAAGGTGTGTACCAGACGAATTCTCAACCTCTCTCCCACGACTGACCATGAACATCTAGGTTCCTGGTGGGGTCGCAAGTCCCCCGAATGGTGTAGCTATATTCTGAAGCATTATTTGGGGTCTTTCTCATCCATGTTTCTATTACACAGCCAATTGATCTGGTGACCTGGAGATAACACAGAATGCAGGTAGTCGCAACAGTGGTCAGCCAGCACAATCCTCCTAAGAGCCTTGTAGGTCTGAAGACAATCAAGACATCAGGATTTCAATCTGTAGAGACAATAGTGCCATCCCAAAGTGAAGACTCATGCATTCCTCGCGATTATGGTGAATGTTCAGGTGAAATCGGGCCGGTGGAAAGATAAGCGGAGAAGCGGGGAAAACTGGGGAATTTCCCTCCTGAGTGTGAACGACAATTCTGCTTCTCACTTGATGATAATGCGAAACTAAGACGAAATCAACATATCTCTTGAGGAACAGAAGAAAATGGTACTTGCAAATGCAAGGATCTCGCGGCAATCAGAAGATCGCTCCAGAAGGTCGATGGTAGCGTGTAATCGCTGCCGTTCTAGGAAGACTCGCTGCGCCGGCAATCCACCCCACCCTTGTGCAGCATGTGTGGATGCAGGCAAATCGTGTGTATACTCGGAAGCCGAGAAGAGAGTCTCCATAACTGAGAGGTGAGACAATCCGAGGCCATGAACGACTCAGCACTGACTCGGTACAGCTACTTTCGTCAATTACAGTCGCAAGCTCCTATACGAGGTACCCTCTATACCTGTTTGTATTGTCTTGATGCCAGTTGACAACCGAGGTAGAAGGCAGTCATTCCACCTCGTGTAGTGAGCCGTCAACGTTCACCCGCTACTCTGATGAGGTGCCACCAGAACGCGACGACTGGTGGTACAAAGGAACCGACAACTTGCTGTTGAATCGGTCGGGTGAACATCGTATGTACTCAGCTTATCTACGCTGACTTTTATTGTTCGCTTGCTCATCTTTCTCTAGATTTTGTGGGTGCCTCGTCCACCACACATCTTGCGAAACGCTTGAACCCCGGATCGACAAATCTTGCTTGGGATGTGCGCCCACTCTACAATGACCCTGCTTCACTAAGAAGACCGATCAGCGGTGCTCTACCCCAGTTACCACCATTCGAGTTTGCCAAGAGGCTATTTTGGGTGCAATATGCTTACATCGGGACTATCTTCTCCCTTATTCAACCGCTCGAATTTGAAGATCGCCTTGACCTAGTCTATCACCAACCACTTGACTTTTCACATCGCGAGTCCTGCTTAGTGTATTGTCAAACCTTGTTGGTCATTGCCTTTGGCTTGATGTACAGTGTGAATCAGTGGAGCGGTGAAGAAGGGCCCCCGGGCTTCCAGTATTTTAAGTATGCGTTACGTTTCTTGCCAGATATCCATGAAGAAGGCTCTATCTTCTTTGTTGAGGTCCTATGCTATGTGGCATATTACATGCAGAACCTGAACAGACGGGACGCTGCTTTTCTTTACGTGTGTATCACTTAACTTGACCTTTCGCTGCGCCGCTAATGACATCAGATCGGACTTGCTCTTCGGATGGCAATCTCTCTTGGACTTCACCAGGAAGTCTCCGATCCCTCGATAAGTGAAGCAGCCCGCAACCGTCGACGTCGGGCTTGGTGGTCTGTCTACAGTCTAGATCGGTAATTGGCCCACTGCACACGTCCTGGAAACATAACTCATGCTTATGGATAGGCTACTCTCTGTCAAGTCTGGCAATCCTATTACAATTGATGATGCGGATATCGGTATAACCTGGCCCACAGCAGTGGTATGACGCCTTGATATCTTGATGTATGAGCTGGTCTAATCTGCGCATAGGATGGATCAACATTCGACCCATGGCCCTCAACCGTTCTCACCCATTACACCCAATTGTCCCGTATATTGGGACGGATTGGCGAAGGTACATTGTCATTCTATATCTTCTCTGTTTCTGGTTAGGAACTAAGTCAGACGGCTACAACAGAAATCTATAGGAAAAAGCCCAGATCTGGATCCAACCTCGTTGCTTCTGTTCAAAGTATAACGAATGACCTTTCTGGCTGGCTACGACAAATACCAGATCGGCTCCGCATGGATTTCAACTCACTCGATTCGCATATTAATCGAGAGTCTGTCTCCATCAACTTGCACTTCTACTCATGTGTGAACATGACTGCACGTCCATTGGTCTTCTATGTTATTCAACGACGACTCGACGCAGAAGCGCTGGGATCTGCCACAAAAGATTGGAAAGAAGGACTTTCTCCCAATACTGTCGCTGTCATTGACAGCTGCATCACGGCAGCGCGAGCAACTACTGTGATCATGGATGCAGCTGCGAAACACAATCTCGTTGGTAGGTGATAGAGGTGTAAGCCCCTATCTTTCTCGTTCGTTCATCTGCTGATATGAACCTTCAAGCTACATATGGCTACCTGGATGGCGAATATATCTTCTCCGCTGCATTGCTGTTGGTCATGGTGAATGCCGCTTTCCCACTCAATGAAACCAATGCCCGGGCCATGGAGACCGCATTGAGCCTGCTTCGCGGTATGGCGGATCGCGGTAATACATATTTGGGTGCACGCCATGTGCTACTGCTGGAGTTACGAGCCGCTATTGGACCTAAACCTGCCGATGCTAATAATGCTGCTGTGGTAGATGCCCTTGCTGCGGATCCAAGGGGCCCTGAGGCGCCGGAAGATGATAATGGCACAAGCACCCCTAGAGAAGTTCCATATAGAAGCGCAGATCTGGTTGCTTCGCAGGTGATCACTGATGACTGGTCACAGAATCTGGATCTCCCTACTCTACAAGACATTGCTCTTCAGTTTGATCTCAATGATGATCCGGCACTCTGGGAAGGTGCTCTGGATCAAATTGATATCGACATGGACACTGACTGGATTGAGAGTACGTTGAAACGATAAGAATCAGTGCATACCAACAAAGATCAAGTTGTTGTGTATTCAATAACTACCTACCTATCGTCCTCCAGCTATCTCATATAACCTAGTTACATCGTAACCTACCTACCTAGGGCTTGTAGGTAACTACCTAGTGCGCACATATCTTAGGTACCTAGGTTCTACCTACCTACCGACATCGGGAAATAGCCCGTGGAGGTACCTAGGTAGGTATGGGGAGAGAATGGTAGGTACTGAGGTATGACCCAGCCAACATGCACAGCTACTAACCTTAGAAATATATAAGTGGAACTTCCAAGTTATCCTTAAGTTCAGCTGGAAACTGGAAAGTGAAAAGCATGGAACCTAGTGGCTAGTACTGAGGTGTGTAATACTAGGTACCTAACGCATGTACTGTTGGCAATAATCACAACGATGCCATAACCCCCCTAGTTATCTCAACCCTTCCCTGAATCAGCGCCCATTAAGGAGCCGTCGGCCCGGAGATGCCGACATCGCAGTCATCGGGCCGACACGTGACCTCCACCTAATACGCAAGATCGCGTCGATCAAGTCGACAACGTCGGGGCATCGGGAGGCTTTGAGGCCATAAATGAATAAAGTGGCTCCTTCGTATATTCTTTATGTTTTGAACTTTACTTACTGAGCTTTGTGACCATATTCAAATACAGTGGTTCCCTTAGCATATATCATTCTCTTTCTCCAACGTTATCATCCTACATACCAATCCTCATCCCACCTGTGCCAATGTCTGACTCAGGGAAGATCACCATTTCCATCGATCGCGGTGGCACTTTTACAGATGTCCACGCGATTCAACCTGGTCGTCCAGACATTATCCTGAAGCTTCTCTCCGTTGATCCATCTCACTATCAGGATGCCCCCACCGAGGGCATCCGTCAGATTCTAGAGCTGGCTACCGGGGAGCCACATCCCCGCGGCCAACCATTAAAGCTCGACCGGATTGGCTGTCTGCGAATGGGCACAACGGTTGCAACAAATGCATTGCTTGAGCGCAAAGGTGCTCGTTCAGTACTTTTCACAACCAAAGGTTTCCGAGATTTATTGAAAATTGGCGATCAGTCCCGGCCGGCCATTTTTGATCTATCAATGGCTCGCCCTGGGGTGCTGCCAGAAAGTGTCGTCGAAGTCAACGAACGTGTGCTGCCCTGCCATCCCTCCGCCGACAGCGACTGTTTCTCGGAATGCCGGATGGTAGAGGGAATCACTGGTGAGAAATTCCGAGTTGTTCAAGAGCTGGATGTCGCGCAAGTGCAATCAGAACTTCAGCGTTTGAAACACCAAGGGATCCAGTCCCTTTCTGTGGCACTCTTGCATTCCTACGCATATCCAGACCACGAGCGTCAGATCGGCGAGCTCGCCCAAGAAATGGGCTTCTCTGTCACCCTCTCTTCGAACCTCCAACCCATGATCAAGATCGTGCCTCGTGGCATGTCAGCTGCCGCCGATGCCTACCTCACACCGGTCATCAAGACATACATTGACTCCATCTCTTCTAGCTTCGAGGGTGGCTTGGGAAGCCAGCAAGATTGTCGATTTGAGTTCATGCAATCTGATGGTGGACTGGTCGATTTCCGCAAATTTAGCGGATTGAAGGCTATTCTGTCTGGTCCTGCAGCTGGTGTGGTAGGATTTGCAGCCACCAGTTGGGACCCAACCGAGAAGACCCCCGTCATTGGTTTTGACATGGGTGGCACCAGCACTGATGTATCCAGGTTCGATGGTCACCTTGACCATGTCTTTGCATCCAAGGTGGCAGGCGTGATGATCCAGTCTCCTCAGCTCGACATCAACACTGTCGCTGCTGGGGGTGGATCCATTCTGACTTGGCGCAATGGCCTGTTCTATGTCGGACCCGAGTCTGCAAGTGCCCATCCCGGTCCGGCGTGTTATCGAAAGGGAGGCCCTCTCACCGTGACAGACGCCAATCTGTTCCTTGGTCGTCTGCTTCCGGAATACTTCCCCAAGATCTTTGGCCCCAACGAGGACGAACCTTTGGACACAGAGACGACTGCACGCTTGTTCACTGAGCTCACGCAAAAGATCAATGTCGAGCGCCGACAGCAAGGCCAGGCTGAATATTCCCCGGAGGATGTCGCACTTGGCTTCCTCAAAGTCGCAGACGAGTCCATGTCCCGCCCAATCCGCAACCTCACAGAGGCTCGAGGCTTTGAGACTGCGTCCCATCACTTGGCTTGCTTTGGAGGTGCTGGCGGCCAGCATGCGTGCTCAGTGGCTGAAACGCTTGGAATCTCTCGCATCATCATTCACAAATATTCCTCCGTTCTGTCAGCCTACGGTCTCGCTCTGGCAGAGGTTGTCAAGGAGTCGCAGGAGCCTGTGTCAACCGTCTACCTGTCATCCCAATCTGCCCTTCTCGAACAGCTCGACAACATGGCATCATCAGCAACCAAGGACATGGAGCTCCAGGGCTTCGCTTCCACTCAAGTGCGTCATGATAAATACTTGAACATGCGCTATGAAGGGTCCGATACCAGCCTGATGATCCTGAAGCCCGAGAACTCGTCAGACTTCCTCGAGGAATTCCGCATCCGCCATCGCCGCGAATTTAATTTCAACTCCGAGCGCCCAGTTCTCGTGGACGATGTTCGAGTGCGCTCCATCGCTTCGTCCAAGGTACGAACTGAACAAAGTCCCTTGGTTCAACTGAAGAACGCCAATATTCGAGATGTCACCGCCGCTCCAGCCTGTACAACTGCAGCCTATTTCGATGGCCACTCGAGTCGGATCGATACGCCAGTTTATCTCCTGGGTGAATTGGAGAAGAACTCTCGCATCTCTGGCCCTGCCGTCATTATTGATCAGACCCAGACAATCGTCGTGGCTCCCAACGCTGTGGCGAATCTGCTCGACACCTGCATTGTCATGGATCTCAAGGATGAACCAACCTCTTCTACCGGCAGCGCCATTTCATCGGAAATCGACCCCATCAGACTTACGATCTTCGGACATCGTTTCATGTCTATTGCCGAACAAATGGGTCGCACACTGCAGAAGACTTCTGTCTCAACGAACATCAAGGAGCGGTTGGATTTCTCTTGCGCTCTTTTCTCGCCCGACGGGGGTTTGGTGGCAAACGCCCCCCACGTTCCGGTTCATCTTGGATCGATGCAATTCGCCGTACGATACCAGCATGAAAAATGGCTAGGAAATCTGAAGGACGGTGATGTTCTCGTGGCCAATCATCCCAGTTGTGGAGGCACTCATCTGCCTGATATCACAGTAAGTCATCTTTGTACCAACCAATATCGTCAGATACTGATACTCTCTAGGTCATCACGCCTGTCTTTGATCGACCTGGTGGCTCCAACATCATGTTCTACGTGGCTTCCCGAGGTCATCATGCTGATATCGGCGGTATCCTGCCTGGGTCAATGCCTCCCAAATCCACAGAGCTGTGGCAGGAAGGTGCTGCCATTGAAGGCGACAAGATTGTCAGCGATGGTGTCTTGGATGAGGCACGCCTGATTGAATTGCTGGTTACAAAGCCCTCGCAATACCCAGGCTGCTCTGGAGCACGGTGCCTCAGCGACAATCTGTCCGACCTCAAGGCACAGATTGCCGCCAACACCCGTGGAATCACCTTGATCCAAGCTCTGTTCAGTGAATACGGAACCCAGACGGTGCAAAAGTACATGTACGCCATCCAAGCAACTGCCGAGTCTGCTGTGCGCAATCTACTCAAGGAGCTATATCAGAAGTTCGACGGTCAACCATTGGAGTCGGTTGACTACATGGATGACGGTACCCCAATTCGATTGAAGGTCACTATAGATGGTACCGATGGATCCGCTGTCTTCGACTTCGAGGGCACAGGCCCCGAGGTATATGGCAGCTGGAATGCTCCTATCTCCATTACTCACTCGGCCATCATCTATTGCCTGCGCTGCATGATCAATGCAGATGTTCCATTGAACCAAGGATGCCTGGCTCCCATTGACATCCGCGTTCCACCGTCTACCATTTTGTCGCCCAGCAAGACCGCTGCCGTTGTTGGCGGCAATGTTGTGACCTCACAGCGCATCACTGATGTCGTCTTGAAAGCCTTCCAGGCTTGCTCCGCGTCTCAAGGCTGTTGCAATAATTTGACCTTCGGAACTGACGCTAAGCTTGACCCGTCCACTGGTGCCGTCGTGACTCCTGGATTTGGATACTACGAGACTATTGCCGGTGGCAGCGGAGCTGGCCCAACTTGGAAGGGCGAGTCCGGTGTACATGTTCACATGACCAACACGCGGATCACCGATCCAGAGATCTTGGAAAAGCGTTACCCGACGATGCTTCGTCAATTTACACTTCGCGAGGGCTCTGGCGGCAAGGGCAAGAACCCAGGTGGTGATGGAGTGGTTCGAGATATTGAATTCCTTTCGCCGATGCAATGCTCGATCCTGTCAGAGCGACGCGTCCATCGACCTTATGGACTCCAGGGTGGCCAAGACGCGCAAACTGGATTGAATATTTGGATTACGCGAGATGCTGAGACTGGTGAGGAGCGTCGAATCAACATTGGTGGCAAGAATACTGTTTCAATGGGGACACACGATCGCATTGTGATCAACACTGCCGGCGGTGGAGGTTGGGGCGCCGTATGAATGTATTATGACTATGTAGTGGAAATGACAATATAACGATGCTAGTATCCCCCGTTCTCTATCTCGTCGACTATGTACTGTGTACTGTGTAGTCTCGATGGATCCATTGTCCTGTGATCAGGAGGGCCGGTCAGGAGATGTTAGTAAGCATCACATGCTTCCCAGGTTCCAGCCATGTTCCATCGGCGGTCCCATGCTCAATTTCTTTCTTTATTTTGACTCTGTTGTGTTTTTCCATTGCAACTATGCTTGTCGCCATACCAGGTTGATCAGCCCTGGGGCTTGACCTTTGAGCTCTTCGTGTCATTTCATTTGGTTGCCTGATCGTTTTCTGATAAAACCCAGAATCGACGTCAAAGTTGCATCTTACCGCAAACCAACAAAGTAAAGAGACAGAGGATTCAAAGACACCCTCCACTCTTGATCTCAATGACAAATTCACCGCCTATCGTGTTCATTGCCAGGTGAGCTCTGACTTCTGATCCTCTGCCTCTACTGCTAGCTAAAACTGGCCTTTTAGACATGGCGCCCGCCTCGATGCCGCAGACAAAGATTGGCACTTGACCTCCCCAAACCCCTTCGATCCACCTCTCTCCTATGGTGGATGGATGCAGTCTCGTGCACTTGGAGTACGTATTGGTAGTCTCTTGAGGGCCCGTCAATTCACCGGCGAAGACCCAGTGAGTCAGCGCAGCCATGATTCGACCTCGGATGATCAGGCAAAAGCCAACCCCGCATCTTCGGACTTGTCCCACCGATATAACGTCATCATCCATACCTCTCCCTTCCTTCGATGTCTTCAAACTGCAATAGGAGTCAGTGCTGGCATCAACCAACAACATCCGGATACAGAGGCATCCGAGGCAACCAGTTCCGCTTTCACGGTTCCCGAAACTTCGTCAATCCCTGATCGGCGATGTCTGCTTCGCGTCGACGCATTTCTGGGAGAATGGCTCTCACCCGACTACTACGACCAGATCACGCCCCCGCCGGGCTCAGACAGAATGGTGGCGTCTGCGAAAGCGGAATTACTTCGTCGCGCCGAGGCCATCCCAGCGACCGACGGGTCACCGAGGGCGTTATCAGGCAACTTCCCTGGTGGTTGGGGCAGCCAGTCTCAGCCTACTTCACCGTCCGAAAACGAAGATCGACGCGTGCGCCCCGCAACAACGCAGCGCCAGCGCGCCAGCACGCACAACACTCTTCAGAGCCCCAGCCAAATGCAAGATGGCAAGGAGAGGCTACTCCGTCTCAACACAGATCTGTCACCTGATGTAGTCGCACATTATGTACCCCCAACTCCCAATTATGCCGTCTCCAACTCTGACCCTATCCCTACCGGCTATGTAGCTCATGCGCGGAATGCATGTACAAAGATCGATTACCAATGGGATAGTATGCGCACCCCGTACTGGGGTACAGGTGGCGAGTTCGGCGAGGAGTGGGGTACTATGCATGAACGTGTTCATGATGGATTCCAGCACATGATCAACTGGTATCGGGAACAAGGTCAACCTAAAGACGATTCTATAGCCGCAAAGTCGAGCGGGGAGACAACTGACAATGCGCAAACGATCTTGGTAATAATCACACATGGCGCAGATTGCAATGCTTTGATCAGTTCGCTGAGTGGTCATTCGGTTTTGCTCGATATCAACACAGCTTCGCTTACCATGGCTGTGCGAAGCAATCGTGTCAATCAACCGACGCGTGACGAGGATCCCCAGCTTAAATACCCGGACCCCGACGACCAATCGGTCTCCCAGGAATACTCCTTGCAGATTGTGGCGTCAACTGATCACCTGCGCCCGGGCATCAACCCTTCACAGCTCACCTCCCTGTTATCTTCATCTGCGAAGGTACTTTCACCGCCCCCAGTCCCTTCTTATCGGAATCGCCTTGGCGCTCGCCCATCACTCCCTCAAGGAACGTCTACAAACAGGCCACCAAGCTCCGGTAGTACCAGCCCCCGTGCATGGACACTGGCGATGCGCCCACCTCCTAATTCCCGCGGCATCTCTGGGCTCTGGAACTCGGTCCCATCCGCTGATAAAACGGACGATTTTGAAGACAATTATGTTCCGGACTTTGGTGATCGGTCGGTCAGCCAAGATTCAGCTCTCTCTTCAAGACCTGTAGTTGACCGTGGCTGGACGAAGCAGTTACCGCAACGGACATTATCCCAGCGTGGTCTATGGGGGAGTGCTCAGTCATTGGGGGAACGTGAAGGAGGGACAAAACGGAGATGGACGGTGACGGAACAAAACTTGTGAGATTCTCATTGGATTCTAGGATATTTCTTGCATAGCGATCATGGGTTGTGACTTTCTTAATTCATTTTTCCTCTGCTCTTATTCGTTCTTGGATTTCGGTTCTGGTTCTGCACGTTCAAGGATATTTTACGAGACACGACACCTCATGGTTCAGGCATCTACCCCGGTCCCAGGCACCAAAGTGGCGGGTTTCCCCCCACTCCCTTTGTCATTACCCCCCATGCGTCATTCCCTCTTGTTTGTTTCTCCAATCCCTCTCCCCCTTTACTCTCTCTTCCCCCCTCTTCGACCTCTCCAACCTCTGCAACCTCTCCAACCTCTTCCATAGCTCTAGAATTTCCATGTCAAACATTGAAACAGACGGACTTTCCGTCACTTATTCATCTGATCGAACCGGAGCCCCGGATTTACGGCTGATCCACTTCAATGATGTCTATCACGTCGAGTATCTCTCCCACTAGTCACATAACTTTCGTCGGGACACATATTGAGACTTTTTATCTAGATCTGGCTCTGCGGAGCCTGTCGGAGGCGTCTCTCGATTTCAGGCCCTCGTAAACCACTACCGTTTCCACCCGCAGTTCGCCGGGCAACCCGATATCCTGACCTTCTTCTCCGGCGATGCTTTCAACCCCAGTATCGAAAGTACAATTACAAAGGGCAGACATATGGTGCCATTTCTCAATACGGTGGGCACCGATGTGGCGTGCGTAGGTGTGAGTATCACCTTCATTCGCCAGGTATGTATCCGGCTAATTATAATGTTAAGAATCATGATCTAGATTTTGGAGTCGTCCAATTCCGTCACTTGGCTAGCCAATGTCATTTTCCTTGGCTTCTGGCGAACGTACTTGACCCAGCACTAGGGGAAGATACCCCAATAGCTGACTGTGGGAAGACTTGCATGTTGACCTCCTCCAATGGACTCAAGATCGGAGTGTTGGGTCTTGGAGAAAGAGAGTGGTATGTATCCGTTGAGGTTTCCTTTTCTTTCATCATTATCATTTCCCTTGCTAATTGAGGTCGACTTTAGGCTCGGCAGCGTCAATGCTCTCCCGCCTGATCTGATCTACAAATCTGCATCCGCAACAGCTCGGGTCCTTGCTAAGGTGCTCCGAGCCCAAGGAGCAGACCTCGTTATCGCCGTGACTCACCAACGGGAACCGAATGACCACAAACTAGCTAACAACCTTTCGCCCGATCTTGTGGATATCATTCTCGGTGGCCACGATCATTTTTACGCGCATGCAATTGTTAATGGAATTCATGTGCTACGGTCGGGAACAGACTTCAAACAGCTGAGCTACGTCGAGGCTTTCCGTAAACCTGGTGGTTTACCTGGTTGGGACTTCAATATCACTCGGCGCGATGTTGTTCGCTCAATTCCCGAGGATCCCGATACCGTGGCATTGGTAGCTCGGCTTACTTCTAGCTTGAAGGCCAAACTAGACAAGCCAATTGGCTTCACGGTCAGCCCGCTCGACGGTCGTTTCTCAACTGTGCGGCAGCGTGAATCTAATTTGGGAAATTTTGTCTGCGACTTGATGCGCTTCTACTATGGGGCCGACTGTGCCATGATGGCAGGCGGCACCATTCGCGGCGATCAAATCTACCCGCCAGGGATTTTAAAACTAAAGGACCTCTTGAATTGCTTCCCCTTTGAAGACCCTGTGGTCCTGTTGCGGGTCCGTGGCCATGCTCTACTGGCTGCACTGGAGAATGGGGTAAGCCAGCTCCCCGCACTGGAGGGCCGATTCTCGCAAGTATCAAACATCAGTTACGGTTTCAGGTTGGAGGCGCCGTCGGGGTCACGCATTACGTTTGCTCATGTAGGAGGTGAGCCCATTGACTTGCAACGGGATTATGTTCTCGCCACGCGCGGATACATGGCTCGAGGAAAAGATGGATTCGCGTCGTTGCTTATTCAAGCCGAAGGAGGCGAGGTGGAGGAACTTGTATCTGAAGAGAGTGGTGTGCTTATCAGTACGATCCTTCGGCAGTACTTCCTAAGTCTTAAAGTACTCGGTAAATGGAACCGTTGGAGCGCTAGCCTGGGCCGTCATTGGGGTACTGTACATCGCAGTTTGCACGGTGAGGGCTGGCTAAAGCCACCAACTGCCAAATCATCCCTCAAGAAAGAAAAAGCACCAGGGAAATACTTGAATGATCGACCTACACTGCGTCGGACAGCTCGATCGGCTTATTACTACGGTCGATTTCCCGAGGAAAATGAGCTAGATACTGACGACGCCATCGGGGCGGAAATGAATGGCAATGCCATGGACTCAGACTCAGATGACAACCCTGATATTCTTACATCCTCGCGACCCACGACCAATTATGTCACCCAGCCTGCGCAATCCTCCGCTGAAGAGGAGCATCGTCTACAAATTGCGCGACGGGTCGTGCGAAAATGGATGCGGCACGCGGGCTTGCAGTGCAGGAATTTGGAGACCATGGACGGCGAAGGGGAGTTTACTCCGGCTTGGACCTCCGGAATCTCTCCGCGTCTGGAAGGACGCATCGTTATAGAGTAGACCGCATGTTGGCGTTTTCGATCTTTGGTTTCAGGATCTTGTATGTTTCAGTGTACTCCCTTTCTTCGCATTGTGTATGTGTGTTGGATGGCCTATTGGCGTTTTGATTGGATGGCATGCATTAAATACCCTGAAAGTACATTATTATCCTGCTCAATCGGCCTTCTGTCGAGGAGTCTCCTTCTGTAACAGATAGTCTCCACCTCTCCACGCCTTGTAGACCCCATAAAGACCACAAAAGGGCCAAACGTCCCAGAGAGCACGTTTGACTGATCCCTTCCATCCAGTCTCGAACTCTCCCCGATGTGCGCCCGGAAGATCAGACTCGCGTACCCTGACTTTGTCAAACAAGGATGGAAGATGCTGTGCATGATATTTATTCCGTAGAGAGTCATACCCGGGCTTGTCGTAGATGGCCCAGAATTCCTCCTCTGCATAGTAAGTATGAGCATATAACCACTTCTTTCCTCCCAGATTGTGGACCTTCTGTTCCAATTGCCGATTCTGGGCCACAAACCCAGCTGGATCTATAGTGGCGGCAGGGCCCCAGATTCCGAAGTTGAGGAGCTGTGTCTTGTGTGTCTTCTGTGTCTCCACATCCACTGCCTTTCCATTATTCATTGACTGTCCTTCTAACCCACCTGCGCTTCCTGGGGGTAGCGGACAGAGCCAGAGCGGGTACTGTGCAAAGTTTTCAGGACGGTCCAGCCAGTCCAGAAACTCAGAGGCAGTTGAGATTGGCACACCGACATCCTGTATGATATACCGACGCGCAAGCCCACTGACGTGCAAGGCGTGATACATCACCTTGGTATGCATGAATCGGTTGAGGAGCCAGCGAGTAAGGAAGTTGAACGGAACACAGAAGTAGCGAAACGCATAACGAGCCACCCAGAACCCACCCCGGTCGTACCGGAAGAGATAGTCCGTCAGAGGAATGTAGTCGACGGCATCTGGCATGCGAAGCGAATTCTCTCGGTCGGAGGTCTTGGATTGAGCAATGCGCTCGACGTGCAAATAAAACCAATCATCTTGTCGGCGAGTAAAATTTCGAGGTTTGACATTGGAGCTTTGTGGAACCTGTTTTCCAGCACAAACAACAATCTTGCTTCGTGAATAAACGATCCCATCTAAATACTCGGTGGCAGGATCGTCGCCGGCCTCTTGAAAGACACGCACCGCCTCGTTCATGTTCGAAGTGACGTAGTATTGCAGCTCCACCAAAGGTTGCGCCTTCTTCAAACGAATCTCCAGTAGCGTCACGACCCCCAGGGTTCCAAAGGAAGAAGCCGCGCCCCAGAACAAGTCTGATCGCTTGTCCCCCGGGTCCGAATGTGTGTTGACACGATCGTTGTATGCCTTCACCACCTGACCATCTCCCAGGACTATCTCAACCCAATTCACTGTATGATCGAAGAATCCCTCGCGAAACGAGCTGCTTTCCCCAGACGTGCCTGAAAAGGCTCCCCCAACCGAGATATTAGGAAACTCAACAACTACCAAAGGGACCAGGCCGTGGGCTTGAGTAGCGGCCAAAAGAGCGTCCATACAGACATTGGGCTCGACTATAGCGGTGCAGCAGTCGGTATCGACCTTCAGTACATGGGAGAGAGCTTCCGTGCTGACGGTGTTTGAAAGGGATCGATTGGAGGGTCGAGTACTATTGGTCGCGCCATGATATATGCGAAATGGTAGTTGACGACGGTGGAAATCAGCCACCCTGACCGAGATCTCCTGTACAGCGGTTGAATGTTCCATAATAGAAGAGTGTGAAAGAGAGAAGAGAGAAGAGAGAACAAAATATGCAAAATGCAAAATGCAAAATGCAAACCTACGACGCTGTATAAGCGCCAGGGGCCAAAATGCCGTTTCTAACTAATCTTGATGCCTTAATGCCTAAAATCCACCAGGCCGAGGTGTAACGTGCAAATTTACGACGGAATGGAAAAAGCGGGATTTGACTTTGCATTAAGGTTTCTCGGACAGTGACCTCGTTGATTTTGGAACCACGTATCTAAGGCATCGGTATCATAAACATGAAATTGCAAAAAAACGTTATTGATGGAGATATGTGAACTAGCCCTGGCCGACTGGTCGGGCTCCGGAGAGAGATTGACAACTCTACCACCTCCAGCAGCTCCAAGCCCGGTAGGCGCCCGAGATTGAACCCAACCGGGGACACTGGAATCATGACTTTCACGAGCTGAGATTGTTTGCCAGACATTGGGGAATCCGGTGGGCAGGATTCCCTTGATTTTGGCACCGGGGATTGCGAATCGAGGCTCGCGATGGAGTAGATAACCTCCCATCAAGCCTTGTGTAATCAATGATGCGAAGATGGATTCGACCTCTTGCATCATAGTAAACCGGTCCGCTTCGGTTCTGTCATCGAGGTCGTATGCATATGGATCCAATTCGCAATCATCATAGTCCTCCTCCGGATTTCCATCGATCAATTGACCAGGTACATTGGGCTGTGGGCTTCCTCCTTCATCATAGAACCCATCTGGACCCAGGAAATCACCATATTTCTCCAAAATTTCTTCATCTGTGGTGGGACCGGCCGTTCCATCTGCCCCTCCCAGGCCAGCATAGTCGACGTCCGTAGGCTCGGGAACCACCTGTGATCCATACAAGTTAGAGGCCGCCATAGTGCCACTCTTCGTTGTTGCATGTTGTGCCTGCAGCCATTCTGTAGCCGCCGCGAGCTTTTTGAGGTTGAGAACTGGTGGAGGTCCCTTTTGCGCCTGCGCTTGTGGTCCTCCCCAGGAACCTCCGTACATGAAAACTTTGCGCGCAAACGAGCGCCACACAAGTATCTCGCATCGGTTTCGGAGAGTAAACAGAATCCCCTTTTGCGCAAACCATTCAGCGGTGGTCGAGCCAAATTGAAGATGTTGTCGGAAAGCCAGGTAATCGCCCCGGACAATCAATTTACAGAGTGGCTGGAAATGTTTTGCGAGGGCTTGTGATTCTGGTCGTTGGAGGAGTGTCTGAGATGGGAATCGTCCCAACATAATGTTGCACGGAATAAGATAAGAAAGGATCAACTGTCGTTGGCTTATGGCCTGGCGGTGGCACTGGTCGTAAGCGGCCTGCAGAGCGATCTGGGCGGGGAAGAAGAGGTTGTTGGCGAATAGATAGCGCCCAAGGTAGTAGAGGTAGGTGACACGCTGTGAGGCTGGGAAGTAGGCTAAAGGGGGGGACTGGGCGCTGATGCTAGCGAACATCTGCTCGGCGTTGCGCAGTTTGCCGCACTGTATCCCTTAGCCTCCGATTTCAAAATATATGAGATCGCAAGAATAAAAAGTCTCTTCCTACCTGAAAAAAGAGTTTCAGACAGAGATTCGCCATTAGGTAGATCCCAATGCGCTTGCCTTCTGGCTTCCCATGCGGGCCAGGAGTGCCGGTACGATCAGTGAGGCACTTGATGAAGGCTTCACGCACCACGTTGGCGGATTTCTCCACCAGGGTCACCTTCTCGCTGCTCTCTTCCTGGTCCGCCAAACCTTCCATCCGTCGAATATGCGCGATCAAGTCCGGTCGACGATCGAGGCCCATTGCCAATTTTGCCAGAATTTTGGACAAGTAGAGAACCGTAGGAAGAACGACGACGCCCATTTGACTATCTCCGAGAGCCAGCACACATTGACTGCAATTGGTGAAAGGATCAAGTCAGCCTTCTTGCTCGTCAACACGCTATCATCATCCTCCGAGAAACGACTGCATCTAGCATACTCCACAGGGAGGCGCAGGACTTACTTGAGCAGCACCTTCAACTGATTGTATGTTTCCAAGAGATTGTCGGTGTTCATATCTCGCAAGAAGATCAGGTAAAGCTTGACGAAAACTGGGAAAGCTGTCCATGAGCCGCCACCCTTGGATCGCGGCACGAGAGGCTCGCATCGTTGGAGAAGCGCGGCCTCAGTCTTGGGGCCGGGGGCATAGCTCTGTCGTAATTCACCGATCATGCGCTGGTATATATCCGATAATGGGGGCTCCAGCTGCAGGAAGTCCTGGACTTTGGCGCCATCGCGATTCTGAACCAATTCCTGCAAACTGACGAGGAACTGGTCAAGGACGGGTGTTGGACCCATGTTGAAAGAGCAAAATGCTCGACTTATCACCGGAGGGGTCGCACCAGTAGAGAAATCAATCTGAATGAACGATCATACTGTCTTAGTGAGATCCAAGGAAGCGAAGTGTTTAGATCGAGAGCTCAATTGCGATGGGGCATTGATGGCAGAACCCGTGACCGCCCTTTGTATTGCCTACCGCTGTCCATCGTCTCGAACAATTGATCTGGGCCCTGGGCTATTGATATGAGTGAGTTACTCATACATATGTTTAACATTTGAATACCTTCTATTGTTATGATTGACTTCAATGAGTGAGAGTCAGAGCCCATATCTACGATATCCATGGTCACTGACTCACTATTGATCTTCCAGGGCTAAGGGCTTTTCTGGTTACGACTATTCTCGTCTGTAGATTCCATTGAGACCACAAAGACCTAGCTAGAGCTAGCTAGTAGAGTGCTTCAATGGTGTCCTCTTAGTGATTTCCAGGAGTATTTTCTTGGCTATAGGTTACCATTGTCTACGACTTTACGGAGTACTCCGTACGGACATATCTAAAGCCCCGGCCTCCCGAGGTGGATCAAAGAATGTGAATTCGAATCTCTCTCTTAAGATCGATCCAACTTTGGTGCTGAAACTCGTCAATTCGTGTATTCCGTCTGCTAAACAGCTACTGCATTCTGCAAGAGATGTCTACATGTTTCTTATCTACCCAAATAGGAATTGTGTCAATCACAATGCAAAGTCATGCTTCAGTATTTACCAAGCCCCGAGTGCTACAGAGATCCATTCTCCACAGGCGTGCTAGTCACTGTAGTCAGGCCCTCTAGTGGAGTCTTGTAACTGATATCGGGAGACGACGGAGGAAATAACTCATAGATAGAAGTTATGTCGGAGGTTACCTGTCTCGTTCCTTGTCAGGCAAACTTGAAACGACCATTTCCAGGTTGAGTGCATGATGTCATATCGCGAGCCCCATCACATGCAAAAAAAGCACGTCACTCCACCAAATGCTTAAATATCTTACTTGTACACAGTAAAAAGATTTCGATTGTCCTTTGAACTGTTCAATTGCCCGATAATCAACAGAAATGAGCTCAAAGTCTTTTTTCGAGACGCTCAAAGCGCTCATTCGGCATCCATTCGTGGAGACCTTTACCTGGCTCTACATCACCCTGCAAGCGGTGTTGACTTACATATTTTCTCCTATCCCTCCACCTCCCACGGCTCAGAATGAGAATATCCCCCGAAAGAGAGTCGCGGTCATTGGCGCAGGCCTGACAGGTGTGTCCTCGGCCGCCCACTGCGCTGGCCATGGCTTTGATGTCCAATTATTTGAATCCAGACCAAAGGAAAGCGGCTTGGGTGGTATCTGGAGTGTCAGTATCGCCCGTTCTTTAACAATGAAGAATACCTGCTAATTCCTCTACAGAGAGTCAATTCTACCTCCGCCTTGCAAGTTCACAGTGTCATGTATCGTTTTCACCCTTCGGTCAGCTTCGATAGAGCGTATCCCACCCAGCAGCAGATCAAGAATCAAATCATTGAGCTCTGGAAACGCTACGATCTGGAGAAACGTACGGTATTTGACACCAAGGTGACATCTGTGAAGAAGACCGAGAATGGCCAGTGGATTATCAACGACGACGAAGAGCAATACGGATTGTTCGACGGTATATTGGCTACAGTAGGCGTTTGCGGAGACCCGAAAATGCCGCCCCTCCCCAACCAGGACAAGTTCAAGGGCCAGATCTGTCACTCCTCTGAGCTGGATGGTAAGAATGCCAAGGGCAAAAAGGTGCTCATCGTGGGAGGCGGCGCTAGCGCCATCGAGGCCCTGGAGTTCGCCGTCAAGAATGGCGCGGCCGAGATCGATGTCCTTTCTCGATCTGATAAATGGGTCATCCCTCGAAACGTGCTTGTTCAGTCTTTGTTGGCGTGCAATATTCTTGGACAGGAAACAGCACTTTCGTGGATTCCCGAGTGGCTCCTACGCAAGTTCTTCTACCGCGATCTCCAAGATATTGCACCAACAGACAAGGGAATCTTTACTACAACCCCGATGGCCAACGATGAGTTATTCAATCAGATCCGCGAGGGCAAAGCTCACTGGTTACGAGGTGACATCGTATCAGTGGAAGAAAATGGCGTGGTGTTCAACCATCGGTCTAAGGGTGTTCCCAAGGGAGGTCCTGGCCACGATCGACTGGTTGAAGGAGACATCATTGTCATGGCAACTGGCTTCAAGCGACCTTCATTGAACTTTTTGCCCGACGAGTGTTTCGATGAACCCTACGGGCCGCCTAGCTGGTATCTCCAAGTCTTCCCACCGAAATACCCCGATATCTGCGCGAACAACAGTACCTATGTCGATGCTATTGGTACGGTGGGCAACATGCATATCGGAATCTACACGAGATTCTTGCTCATGTTCCTGACCGACCCTTTGACCAGACCCACCGAAGCATGGATGAAGACCTGGATTGACTTCACGAGGTTCATGAAACGTCTGGCACCTACTGAGGCATTTGACTTCTTCACCTATGCCGAGCTGATCTACTGGTACATCTTTGTTCTTGTCATCAACCCATTCCGTTGGAAATGGGCATTGTTCGTGTTCTTCGGTATTGGACGTGGCTTGCCCTTGATGTTTGTGGAGCGGGAGAATTCCTTCCGCAGGGAACTGAAGAAACAGCGCAAGGCGAGGAAAGCTCATTGAAATAAGTTGCGATAGAAGTTGGCCGGCGTTATGAATCGGAGGATGTGGGTGGAGTGAAAGCGAGGAAACCCATACTGGCTTGTACTGGCTTGTGCATTTATTGTTGCCCTGTCGGGCTTACAACATGACTTCTCATGGTACATTTGACTCCTGTGATAGAACCCAAGTGGATATAGCGATTATAATTGTTGATACCATATGAAAAGGTCTTGTAAGATATTCTATTGCTGTTCCTTGATTTCAGGAATCTTCTTCTCCATGTTATAAGCCAGATTGCCCCCTCGCAAAAAGCGGCCAGGGATATAACGATTCTCTTCCAGCCATAGTATGGGCCACAGCAAGGCCACCCCAAAGACGCAGAAAAGGGTTGCAATCAGATGCCAGCCATAAATCAGCCAATATCCGATGTGCGGCATGACGAACTTGATAAACTCCGAAGTCTGATACAGATCTTCCTGTTTAGAGATGTAGTACGCCCTATGGTCACCATTGGTGGTAACATCACTCCGAACTGACTCGTACGTCAAATCCAGGACGCTTGTCAGAGTTGCCGGGGCGACATGAAAGGGAACAAGCCAAATTGAGAAGATCTGGGACATGGTCACATAGAGCTTAAGCTTATCCTCGTCAAATGCTAGTCAAGAGTCAGAATTTCAGGGCGAACACATTTGCTTCAGATGTTTGGGGTTCTCCTAGTAACATACCAATCGAGTGCACCTCTAGCTCAATTCGAGGTGACATGATCTTGTACCACTGGAAGATCTTTGCAATCCACCATCTGCTTCCTTCGAAGCTGGGAACTCTGCAGAATGGATGGATGAAGGATGCATTGTTGGTAAAATATCGCTCAAGAACCGTTTCTTGCAATGATGGCGGCGACTGTGTCAGAAGCCGGATGACGGTTGGTATTTCAGCCACTGTAGCAATGAGCAAGAGATAGATAGAGGACACATATCAAACTGGCAACGCACCTGGGTTTTCCATTTTAGATGATAGATCTAAGAGATACAGCGAGTATGTGTTGTAGGAAAAGAATCGAAGAAGCACGAAATACATGTACGTACCTCGGAAGATATCAAGATTGCTTTTGATGACATCATACTTGACACACGGGGCCGGATCACATGTGATGATGTGAGCCTTTCTTTGTGACGGTACTGCGTACACAAAAATGCTCTTCCGCTGAATTGAAGCATTGTGTTTCAATTCCTTACAGTGAAATCCACTGAAATGAATACTGGAAGCCATATCAGCAGAGACCACCTTAAAGATCTACACAATGTATCGGGCCGTGTACCAGCGTCAGCCGGGCCTGGGTTTCGGCATGCCGAGCCTACGGAGTACAGTCATATCCCGGCGGTGAAGCACCAAGCCTGCAATCTTTTTACCTGCGGACAGCCCTAGTGATGATTGATCCGATAAAATCATATCCTTCAATGTATGTCGTAAGAAAGGTAGATACAGATATGCATTGGTCAAGATGGACCTTGGGTAATCAAGAAAATTTCAGTAACGGCCAAAGTGCTTGGATTCCAAAAGAAACGCCTTTGAACATGGAGGTGGCCCGCTGCAACAACCAATCTTTACCGCTTCCAGCTGTCAACCTTCTTCCGTCGCTTGTCAAAGATTTGACCCATGCCCACACCATCACCGCGTTGTCCGTCCTCATTGCGGACACGCTTCCGGCTCTTCTCAAGTGCGGCACCGTTGCTCTTCGATCTCCGGGTAAGACGTTCGATATGATCTGCACCCTCATTGAGCCCCTTCCATTCATCGCCGCCATATGTGGTATCCTTTCCGTGACCCCGTTTGGCCAGTTCCTTTTTGGTGGCCTTCGGCAAGCGGACAAAGTTGGTCTCTTCGTAGGTAGTACGCTCGGCCTCGCGTTCGCGGTCCTTCTTTGACTTGACCGTTCGGCCACCATCGATAATTGTGCTGCCAATACTTGGCTCAGCCATGGGTGCGGACGACATTTCAGCGCTGACGAATTCGTCAATAACGTTGGATCGAATAGGCCTGCGCTCTTGGCGTTCGCGACGCTCTGTCGTAGGCAAAGACGTCGGCATGATCCTCGGGGGACGATAAATGCCATCTCCAGGTCCTTCGTCGGCGCCCTTGGAGGGTTTGGCTTTCTTCTGCTCAGCCACCGCTTTGGCCTTGTTGAAGGCGGAGACATTAGGTCGGTAGGCCATTTCATCGATGTCCTCTTCGTTCTCGCTACCGCTCGCGTCTTCTTCCTCATCCGACGAGGCTTCGCTGTCCGATGTCGCAGCTTTGCGAATTTTCTTTGTCTTGGCCGGCTGAGTCTTCTCTGTCCGCTCCGCATCCGCCGCAGCCTTGATAACCTTATCCACTTGGTACTTCAGTCGCCCTTCCAAGGGACGAACACCGCGCTCGAGGAATACCCGCAGCTCGATCAGCTTCTTCTGGATGTCATCTTCGAGGGAGTTGTCCGGGGATTGGCCCTTCTCTTTTGTATTCTGTTTCGCAGAAACATTTCGCAATTGAAAGATGATCAGAAAGACGAGGTTTTGCAGATAGGAAAGAAGGATTTCGCTTTTGGTATCTAGAAGAGAGATGCCGTCCTGGGGAGGTTCAATTGTGACATCGGAGGGCGCATCCTTGTGTGACTTAGGTAGAGATGATGCAGCTGTCGATAAACAAGTGTTTAGGGTCTCGATCAATGTCGACAGACTCTGAGGGCGTGCAGACGCCTGTGTTGAAGCCATGGTTGATTTGATGGATATGAAGATCGGACAATAAATCGTGTAACAAAAAATTTTGGCCGCTTTCACGATAACGCACATCACGTGTGATAATGACAAGGCATCCAGGCACCAACCAAGGCACCCTTACCATCGTCATTGCCAGTCTGTCACTCGCAGTTTGTCACTCTGGCATTATACAGAGCTTCGAAAATTGTCGAAGTTTCCACGGATGAGGTAGTGATTATCTCCGACTGGGGAAGCTTCTTACTGTAAGTACCCCCTTTTATTCTTCCCGACAGTCCATTGCGACCCTAGCTCTACTCCCTCCTATCCTTATGCAAACAAACGATCAAGCGCAACTTGCCAACCTTCAAGTTCTATAGGGACGCCCACCATGCGGTTCACCGACCGAGCTTCTCTCCTCTCATCGATTGTGCTCACCATACCTTCTTTAACTGCGGCCTTCTACTTGCCAGGTGTCGCACCGACCTCCTACAACGAAGGACAAGCAGTTCCGCTTTACGTGAACCACCTCACCCCCGGCCTTTCCCGCGACGATCAGCTTCATTCAGTTTTCTCCTATGACTATTACCACCCGGCATTTGGGTTCTGTCGACCCCCAGATGGGCCTAAAGACGTGAGGGAATCCCTGGGGAGCATTCTCTTCGGTGATCGCATTCGCACGTCCCCATTCGAGCTTCACATGGCAAAGAATGAGACTTGCAAATCGATATGTGGAGAAGCCAAATTCGATGCTCGCAGCGCAAAGTTTACCAATCGGCGGATAGCTCAGGGCTACAACATCAATTGGCTAGTGGATGGCCTGCCGGCTGCGCAGTTGAACTATGACAGTGTCACCAAGACCAACTTCTATAATCCTGGATTTTCTCTGGGCGATCTCGACGAGAATGGACAGGCTCTACTCAACAATCACTACGATATCGTGATTGACTACCACAAGGTGGGGTTCGGCGGCAAGGACAAATATCGTGTCGTTGGAGTGCTTGTGCAGCCTGCATCTCGCAAGGACTCGAGGAATCTCGAAGGTGGGTCCGCCGAGTGTGGCACCCAGGGCAATACTCTTACCCTCAACGAGGACGGGGAGACTACAGTTACCTGGACGTATAGTGTCATCTGGAAGGAGTCTCCTACTGCCTGGGCCACTCGGTGGGATAAATATCTTCATGTTTATGACCCGAAAATCCACTGGTTCTCTCTCATCAACTCCGCGGTTTTTGTGGTCTTCCTCGTTGGCATGGTCAGCATGATCCTTCTTCGCGCACTCAAGAAAGATATTGCTCGCTACAACCGGCTAGATTCATTCAATCTGGAGGATTTGGATAGCACTTCGGCCGCGATCGAGGATGGAGTCCAAGAGGATTCTGGCTGGAAGTTGGTCCATGGCGATGTCTTCCGCTGCCCGAAATATCCACTACTCTTAAGTGTGATGGCAGGCAACGGCGCCCAGCTGTTCATGATGACCGGCGTGACCGTCGGTAGGTAGCCCGATTGCCGATGCTCGTTCTCTTAGATACTAACATTCCTCTCTAGCATTCGCTCTACTTGGTCTCCTCTCTCCTTCCAATCGTGGATTCTTGGCTACTGCGATTCTTCTCATTTCCGCCCTCTTCGGGGGTATCGGCGGCTACGTGTCAGCTCGAGTGTACAAGTCATTCGGTGGCGATGCTTGGAGACGCAACATCATCATGACTCCTCTCTTCGTCCCCGGCATTATCTTCGGTACTTTCTTCATACTGAATCTCTTTGTTTGGGCCAAGGGATCCAGCGGTGCGGTGCCATTTGGGACCATGTTGGCACTGGTTTTGATCTGGTTTGTTATCAGTGTGCCATTGAGCGTGGCTGGTAGCTGGCTGGGATTCAAGCAATCGGTATTATCAACCCCCATTCCCTTAGTTATTCAGCTCAAGAACTAATCTTAGAATCCTCAACAGCCGCTGGAGGGTCCTACCAAGACCAACCAGATTCCCCGCCAAGTTCCTCCGATGTCTGGTAGTCTGCGTCCGATTCCATCCATTCTGCTGACTGGACTGCTCCCCTTCGGTGCCATTTTCGTCGAGTTGTTCTTCATCATGAACTCACTCTGGACCAATAAGATCTACTATATGTTTGGATTCCTGTTCCTCTGCTACGGACTGATGATTATCACCTCAGCCGCTACGACCATCCTATTGGTGTATTTCTTGCTTTGTGCGGAGAATTACCGGTGGCATTGGCGCGCATTTGCCGGTGCTGGTATGACCGGAGGATACGTCTTTGTGAATGCGCTCCTCTTCTGGGCGACTCGAGTCAGCTTTGGTGGATTGACCGGGGCAGTGCTCTACGTGGGCTATTCGGCGTTGATTGCCTTTATCGTGTTTGTTCTGACTGGTATGTTCGACCCATGCCTTTGTACTGATCTTCTGACTGACTTCTTCCTAGGGTCCATTGGGTTCTTTGCCAGTTGGGCTTTCATCCACCGCATCTATGGCTCAATCAAGGTGGACTAAACATGTTCGCATTGATCTACCAATACTCTTTACATTGGTTTTTTTTTTGCATCTTTGGCCGTTCGCATTTTCTCTTCATCGAATACCAAAATTATTTCCCATTTTATCCTAAATAGATTGATGAGCCCTGAATGGAAGTGGACTTTTGTATACAACGTGTAACTAGTTATGTACTAAGCAATTAGTGTAAAAGCGCCAAGCCGGTTGTTCTGGACTTGCCAACGTTGATCTTCTCGCCACTTGCCATCGTCACCGTTTGTGATTCATTCTTTCACTCTAACCCATTCCATTCACTTCATCTTGTTTTATTGTACGCCCGTTGAACGCCTTAAAACGCCTCGTGTTGACAATTTCCGCCGCAGCTCAGCCACACATCCCGGCTGTTTTTACCCCGCGTCACCATCCCGCTCTTCATCGAATCGAAAGATCCTCCCTTCTGCCTTGGCTATTTGTTGTGATCTTAGGGCTTTGGACATTTTGACGTGCGCTGCACACCATTCCAGAGGATTTGACCATGGGCAAATCGTAAGATGCACACCCTTCACCCTGTTGGAAACTCCGGTGGCACGCTCTCCGCGGATATTTGAAACGTGTATCTTCTCTAGGGAAGAGAGTCCAGGACTACCAATCCTGCATACTCTATTGCCCGTTAAACCACTGCGTGACCTTTATATATTCGAGAAGAAGCCTCCGCTAACTTGTTCTTTTCCAGCCAATCGAAGCTTTCGCCGACGCAGCTCGAAGAACTGCAAAGGGCAACACATTTCGATAAGAAGGAGCTACAACAATGGTATAAAGGTACGGCCATATGAGTGACCCTCCCCCAGAGTTATCACTGATTCTAGAATATATATAGGATTCTTGAAGGACTGCCCATCCGGCACCTTGACCAAGGAGGAGTTCCAGAAGATCTACCGGCAGTTCTTTCCCTTCGGTGACCCTTCAGCATTTGCGAACTATGTATTTCGCGTGTTCGATTCGGATAACAGCGGCATGATCGATTTCAAAGAGTTTATCTGCGCCCTTTCCGTCACTTCACGAGGCAAGATGGAAGATAAGCTGGACTGGGCGTTCCAGTTGTATGATATTGATGGCGATGGAAAAATCACTTATGACGAAATGCTGGCCATTGTCGAGGCGATCTACAAGATGGTATGTATCGTGAAGGATATGAGTGTTGTGGATTGCAATGAACTGACGAGGGTACAGGTCGGATCTATGGTGAAACTCCCCGAGGACGAAGATACTCCGGAGAAGCGTGTACGGAAAATCTTCCGGATGATGGACAAGGATGAGAATGGCAGCCTTGACCTCGAAGAATTCAAAGAAGGCAGCAAACGGGATGAAACCATTGTCAGTGCCTTGTCGCTTTACGACGGATTGGTTTAGAGGTTGGTTGGGCGAATACGAATACTGGCGCAATGCGAGGCAAGTCTCTTTTGGATGGCGAAGGGGGATACAATGCATATTCTCTATATTTCTCTTTTTCTGATCTCTTCATGGTTTCGATTCTCCCCCCCCCCCCCCCCCCCCCCCCACCCCCCGTCTTTTGTATGTTTGAGACTAGTACACCCTTGGTGAGGCTCTTGCTTCTTTTTCTTTTGGCCTTTAGCATTGACTATATCGTTTCATGACCCTAGACAGAGTGGAAGTGAGTTGGCTTTCACAGGGTTCACGGCTAGTCCGACATATCTTATTGTGATCCCATGCCTACATTACGCTCTCGTACAAAATACTATCTCACTTCACATCAGGTCGGCCAATTGTGGACGCGCAGATACCTATCAGCTCTGCTGCATTCTATCTGGAATTGATGTACATGGGTATCGGGAAGATTCAAGAGCCTCGAGTCCCCGACATGCAGGGCGCGATCTAATGTACTGGAATGGGAGGAGGAAAAAGAAAAGAAAGAACGAAAGAGAGAAACATGAAACATATCGAAATCATCTCAGAACGAAGTCTGTCAGTCAGACGATGAAAGGAAAAGAAGAGACTCGTGAAACAGCGTAAAGAGTAATCAAGATAGAACAGCCTATGTCAACCACATGCTAACGAAAGGAGCACGAATTGCACAACATCCGGCGTGCATGGTAGACATCCATCAAGCCTTAGAAGCATCTGTGCAAGAGATGTGCAGGCTTCTGGGGGTGGGCCAGGTTTATCGGCGATCAAAAAACCAACTGCTGCGTTTCCCCGTCGCTTCCTGCGATTGTACACCCGCGACGTTCGCGTTCGCCGGTCCGTCGCCACCGCCACGTAGCGGCTTCGCGATACGCGACCCACCGAAGCTGAAACTCGCATTCCCATCCATGCTCGGTAGCCCGCGGGTGGATCCTTGCTTCGCAGCTTCGAGGCGCTCCTTGACAGCCGTGAGTTGAGCTTCGAATCTAGGTAAGTTATTAGTATTAGTACGATCAACAGAATCGACATCTGGAAAGAGACTGGCCAAAACATACCGGTGGTTGGCTTGGGTGAGTTTCTCCTGACTTTCCTGAAGCAGGGCTTCCAGGCTGGCAATGCGCTCATTTCTTGCAATCAGCTTCCGCTCTGCGATGGCCACCTCCTTCTTCAGACTACTGTTCTGTTCCACCAGTTGACGCTGTACATGTGTCAATTGTTCGAGGTTGCGCTCCAGGAACGCCATCTTCTTCTGTTGGGCGCGGTTGTTTGATGAGCGGAGGACGTTGTTATACTGCTCTCGTGCATCGTCCAAGGAAATTTCTAATTCGACCACACGCTCGCAGCGGTTTTGCAGGTCACGCATGAGTGACTTCTTCATGGCATCGAACTCGGTGATTTGCTGCTGCAAGGTCTTGCTGGCGACGCCATTGGTGGATGTCCGGGATTGAGTGTCGACAAGAGACTGCCGCAGCTGAGTCAACTCCTCATCCTTCCGCGAGATGTCGGAACGAAGATCCCCAGCGGCTGCAACCTCCGCCTCTTTCTTTGCAATGTAAACTTGTTCTAGCCGTCCTCGAATCTCTTCCACGTCACTCTCGCCCAGATTACGAGTCAGGAGACCCTCATACTCTCGTTGAAGGTCATCGAGCCTCTTCTCCAAGTCCACGCGGCGGCTGTCCTGCAGCTCGCCAAAGTCGCTTCGGTCGTTGACTGTCAGCTCGGCTTGCCGGATGAAGCCTTGTGTTTCGAGTAGACTCGTGCGAAGCTCGAGGATGTCGTCTGGTGCAATTACTTCACCTTCAGAGCTAATCTGGTGGAGGGCATCGACACGCTGGATGAGGTCCTGTAGCTTGCGTTCATTATCAGAGAACACCTCACCACCAAGGTCAAACCCGGCCATCATCTTAGCCATCTTCTCAGACTTCTTCCTCTCCTTCTCATCAAGAGCCGCAGTGGTCTCCTTCGCCCTCATTCGGACATCCAGAAGCTGCTGCTTCACTTCGTCGAGCTCGCTTGTAAGTTCTGAATTGGCTTCCCGGAGGCCATCCATCGTGATGGCGGCTTCCTTGCTCTCATAAGACACCTTCTCCAGCTGCATTCGAAGCTCGTTCACCTCTGTTCCCAAGCGCTCATTATCCTTTCCTGTTCTTGCGCCATTCTCTTTCAGAGATCGAAGCTCGTCGCGTGCTTCGCGGAGGCTGCGCTCCACGTTGACAATATGCGATTCTCTCTCTGCAAGCTGATCTTGGAACTCATTCTCCCGGCGCAAGAATTCCTCGCGCTCATCCTTCTCCAGCACCAGGCTGGGAGTGCTGGACCGATCTCCAACACGCGAATCTGGGCGGGGCGTTTCCGAACGAGCAGTCTCCTGTAAACGTGAAGGAGTACCCGGCCGCGGACCACGGGACTCTGTTTTCGTGGCATTGACTAGTTCGTTTCCTCGCCCGGGGGTCCATTGTTCCTTTGGAACGCTATCACCACTACGCCACAGGTTGACTTCGCCCTCCAGTGCTGAAATGTAATGCTCGAAATTGGTCATTTGACTCTGCGCCTTGCGCAGTAGTTGTTTCATCTCGGCGGGACTCAGCTCTGCGTTCACCTTAGCCTTGTTCTTGATGGCCTTGGCGCGCACACCGAATCGAAGGGTCGAGATCGTTTCCGCATCGTTGTAGCTGCTGGGCGAACAGTTGATAATCAAGGTTGTCCGAGAGTTACCACCAAGAGATTCTTGAAGAATTCGAGTGAGTTTAGAGTCACGGTAAGGAATGTGTGTCGATTTGCCGTCGGTCAAGGCGTTGATGACCATGCCCAACGCACTCAAGCTCTTATTGATCTTTTTGGCCTCCTCTAAAGTCTGGCCACTTGCGCCGGTCTTTCCAACCTTTTCACTACCAGCCAAATCAACCAAGAACAACTGGCCACTCTTGGCAGATCCAGTCTCGACATTCTTCTGGGTGACGGTAATCACAAAGATGGAATGAGAGCGAGATGATTCTTGATTCATGTTTGTTGCAGCGACGGCCCGCGCTGCGCCTCCTCGGCGCATAACTTCATAAACCTCCTGCACACTGGACACATAGACTTCCAACAATCCTTTAACGTAAACTCCCCGAGCTTTCTCCTCGTGGACTGGCAAGTTGTCGTTCTGGGGCACTAGCAAATCGCGAATTCGCTCCATGTAGATTTCCATATAACTGACCCGGACGGTGTACTCGATGTTGCTCGGACTAGTCAGGATGCTGGCGAAGATTTGTTCGATCATTCGTGGAATGATACCCTTCTCTACCTCATCATCGATGTCGGCACCCATCATTGTGTACGACTTTCCAGCACCGGTCTGGCCATAGGCGAATACCGTTCCGTTATATCCATTGAGAATGTCGTCCACGGTTGGTCGAATAGAAAAGTCGAAGATGTCGTTTTGGGCGGTGTCCATGGGGAACACGCGGTCAAATGTGAATGCCCCTGTGCCCTCTCGGGACTGGGTACTCGTCAGTTTGTCTCCGTGAGTTCTTCTCTCGTTCTTGACTTACGTTGATGATACATGACTCTTCATTTTCGAATTCGACGATAGGTTTACCTCCGGAGGCCAATTCAACCTTATTTTGCGGACGGAACCTAGCAACGACTTGATATATCCAGTCAGTATTCCTTCCAAAATTCACTCCCTAGAAATGTTATGGTAGCTGGTGCATACCCTTGATGGTGTTCGACCCCGCGGACCTGTGGACCATATCAGTAACGGTTGACGCATAATAGGGCTGAGTGTACTCACGCCATATTTGGTGAATGCAACTTAGCTATAACAATCTCGAGTACTAAAATAGGCCCCAATCAGGGGGTGGGCCTCGAAGTTCGTTAAAGGCGTCTCAAATAGGATTTCGTCTGTTGCGGTGTAGTGATTCTGAGGAGGGGGTAGAGGATCAGGGGGTCCACGTGCACCTGAGACCGAAACGCTCAAGTGAGGAAATGTTAAGCAGCAAACAAGCCGCAAAGAAAGGCCGGCCAAAAAGAAAAAAGAAAGGAAATAAAAACACAAGAAGCTACTTTGCAGGGGAGAGGTAACGCGAGAGGGTGGGATTCCGACTGTTGACAGTCGCGCATTTAGGCTTACCGCCCCCGGACCCGGAGATGCAACCACCTGCAGATAAGCTTAATGTACATCATTTAAACCCCTAGAGGGAGCTACATATATGTAAGAAATACTTTAGCTAGAGACCCTCTTCGGTACTTGGATAACATGTACATCATCTACATGTACAATGCACGTGTCAAGAGAGATCAGGGCACAGGATTAACGGGGGAACCAGGCTAATGCACTGACTGCATGTACAGAAATGATCGATAGACAGTGAAGGATCGTTGACATGAAAGGATGAGTAGAAGGATATTGGATAAGTAAAGAAGAACGATCGATGACTAGCAAGCAAACCTAAGGAACCGAAAAGAATAAGAGACCAAGCGCCAGAAACCCCATGCTGTGCAGATTAAACGGTCAAGCTGTTGTCCTCATTCATAAGACTCTTAGCCCATCGGACTTGTTTCAGCAAACTTGGTTGGTCAATTATCCTCCCAACTCCTCTCAACCGTCTCTCGCACTCTCTTCGTATACTCCTTGCGGTTGTCCTTGTAAAGGTTCGAGGCCTCGACGTTGGCTGGCGACGACGTGTTTGGATCGTTCAAGAGACTGAAATTTCATGACGTAGATTAGCATGTGAAATATGACATCTATATCCAACAGAGCCCCTACCTTTGGATACTGGTGAGAATAGCCGCCACATCATATGTCGGACTCCACCGGTTCTGTAGAATGTCGAGGCACAGTTCACCAGTTCCATAGACATTGGGATGGAACATTTGGCTGATGAATTTGACGCCTGGTGGCTTATTTGGGTATTGTTCTTCGAAATTCATGACCAAGCGGAATGTGCCATCCTCGAACGGCGTGTCGGCGGGGCCAATGATGACGGCATTCCTGATGATTCGTCAGAACTATTGTCAAGTCCCAAAAGCATATTCAGAAGTATTTACCATGTCATAACATTATCGGCGACTGGAGAGGCAGAGACACCAGCTGGAGGATCAGTCTGCATGCGCTGTGGTGATGAGAATGTTAGCCAGGGCGACACATCTTGACTACCGAGCTCTGGGAAAGCAAAGTAGCAAACTCGTGCGAAACAAAAAGACATAGGATTTTTGAGCTATATCAGTCATGACAGGAGTGGGGGACGATCGAAGGAAGCTTGATGGCGAGATGATTGTATTAACTCGTACCTTGAAGTCGCGCATGAGACGACGGCGGGCGGATGTAGACATGGTACAAGAGCGAGGACGCAAGATGTATGGAGTGATCTGCTAGAGCTGTGTGTATGTAGCCAGATACAAGTGATGCTTAGAGGACGAGGGAAAAAGAGAAGTGAGGATGCAGGGAACGAGAGATCAATGATATGGCAGGCGATATGCAGCCAACCGATGGAGGGGAAGACCGGAAGAAATAACTGAATGGGGAAACTACCTACAAGAGGCTAGACTCTAGCCGTTAGACTTCGGAACTTTTGACTAAGCAATTATGTCATAGCCCGGTTCGCTGACCGCTTTGAAGGGCCTCGGTCCAAGCGGGCGCGGCGGTTATCGGCGGTTACACGGGCGGAGGCATTCCGGCATACACATGCCACCAAGAGTTATTACTAGCTCTTGATCCTTCATCCCTTTGACCTTTCTTCCTCCTCTTCATACCCGATCATCCTGCAATATTGTCAATCCACTCTTACAATTAAACGTCATGCTTTCCCCGGGCCTGTCTGTTCGTTTCCCCAAGCGAGCCTTCCCCGCATTCCGTGCCCAGCGACAATTCAGCTCCGCACGCCCGACATGCAAGGAGATTCAGGAAGCGTACATCCTGAGTGCATCTCGGACACCAACAGCAAAGGTATCTCTTTCTGAAGAAAGACATGGAAATATAATATTGACGTTGGGTTGACTAGTTCAATGGTTCATTTGCCACCGTATCGGCACCTGAGCTTGGTGCTGTTGCCATTAAATCAGCTCTCGAGAAATCCAAGGTACCTGTCGAGAAGATTACAGATGTTTACATGGGAAATGTTCTGCAGGGGTCAGTGGGCCAGGCCCCTGCCCGTCAGGCATCTATCTTTGCCGGTCTCCCGTCCACCGTCGAATCCACAACGATCAACAAAGTCTGCGCTTCTGGCTTGAAAGCAGTGGCACTGGCCGCACAAAACATTCAGTTGGGCTTGGCAGAAGCACAAGTGGCGGGTGGCATGGAGAACATGACTCGTGTTCCCTATTATATGCCACGCTCCAGCCAATTGCCTCCTTTTGGCGAGATCAAGTTGGAGGACGGTCTCATCAAGGATGGTCTGTGGGACGTCTACAATAAGTTCCACATGGGCATCTGCGCTGAACACACTGCTAAGAACTATGACATTTCACGAGAAGACCAGGACGCATATGCCATTCAGTCATATGAGCGGGCCCAGCAGGCATGGAAGGAGAACAAGTTTGCCGAGGAAATTGCCCCGGTTACTGTGAAGGGCAAGAAGGGGGACACCATTATCGAACGCGACGAGGGCTTTGAAAACCTCCGTGCGGATAAACTGAAGACTTTGAAACCCGCCTTTTTGCGAGATGGAACGGGTACTGTGACCGCTGGCAACGCTTCTACAATGAACGACGGAGCATCGGCACTGATCTTGGTCAATAAGGAACTTGCTCGCGAATTTGGTGCTAGCAGCCGTGTTCTGGCCCGTATTGTTTCCTCGTCCGATGCTGCCATCGACCCTGTGGACTTCCCCGTCGCTCCTGCCAAAGCAGTCCCGATTGCTCTGGAGCGTGCCGGTATTACGAAAGACCAAGTGGCTGTCTGGGAGTTCAATGAGGCCTTCGCTGCTGTCATCAAGGCCAACGAAAAGGTTAGTTTTGACTCCACCCCTCTGAAAACATCCCATCTAACTGAACTAGATCCTCGGGTTGCAAAACGCCAAGGTCAACATGCTCGGAGGCGCCATCTCACTTGGCCACGCTCTCGGTAGTTCAGGCTCGCGAATCCTTGTGACCCTGCTCCACCAATTGCAGCCCGGCGAGTATGGAGTGGCCGCAATTTGCAATGGCGGCGGCGCTGCGACTGCCATGGTTGTGCAGAGATTGGACCGGGTGGATTGATTCGATCAAATGTCAATATCTTCGGTACTATGTCATGATTATACCCTCAAATGCACATTATATAACTGTTCCCATGTACAGTACAATTCTTAATCTCGGACGTTTTTTGTAAAATGGTGCCTCTAGGCTCTATCTTGCCGTATCCTTGGTTCTCTTTTAGACATTCATTTCACCGGGCATCCTCCAGCTTTTCCAGCTGCATTTCAGGCTTATTTTCGATCAGGCTAGCTACTTTGTCGCAAGTTTGACGTGGTCTTCGAAGTGACTAGCCCTGTGTTTTGATGTTGCGGCCTTGTTCCTCAGGCCACCTAGTCCGCAGAATGCCGCATGCAACACAAAACAGAAACAGCTCGTCGGCTCTGCTTCTTCGTCTTCACTTCTTCACATCGTACACAATTAATAAGACTCTACTATCCCAGGATGCCTATGCACCTGGAATCAAATACATAACACAATGCTGAGCCCCGTTGGCTTATCTTTACATCCATCCTGTCATAATGCCATTTCTTGGTCCCCGGAGGGCGAGCTTGCCATCGCCGCGGGCGAATACTTTCAAATCCTTGTATGTTTCTGACTGTCTGTTATATTATGAGCTTTAACGTGACTGACATACTGAGAGACACCGAAAAACGGGAAAGGTGATGATTCCGCTCCCAATTCAACTCAAGATTGGCGGATAACTCGTGTTCGGGCGAATCAATTTACGAATTCTGAATGGCCAGTCTACCTCCCGGGAAAGCGAGATGACTTTTCGATCGCTGCGGACCTTTCAGAAGGCAATGTGATCGGTATATCCTGGTCACCGGCAGGACTAGGCAAATATCGGCGCAGTGTGCTAGCCGTGTTAACGTCGAATTTGGTGCTGTCAATTTGGGAGCCCGTGGGATCCAAGGACCAATGGACCAGAGTCTCTGTCGTGAATCATGAGCTTCGGGCACATCTGCAGCCACCCCAAGATCCAGATGGTCACATATATCGTAAGGCCAACATTCGATCTTTCGCCTGGTGCGAGTCTCTGAAGCCTTCGGTGCCCAGCGACGGGTCTTCCTTCCTGCATTCACACGAAAGTCGCTGGGGAATCCCGTTGCTGACGGTGGTTAACGATTGCAATCAAGTCACCCTGTTGCGAGTTCGCAGGTCGGACCCAATGAACAGCGCTTCCGGGCTTTACGATTTTCAGATCATGGCGCAACACTCCCTGAAGCACCAGGAAACGAGAAACATATCACTCTGCTCTGGGTCCCTCTTGGAGAAAGTGATCAATGAAGGACAACGTACTACTGCACTTTCCTGTGGCCCGTGGCAATCCTTACCCGCGAGTAGTCCAGGAGACTTTGGCCGCGCAGTCGCCATGGTAGCTGCTGTATGCGGAAGGAATCTGGAATTAATGATGGTCGAAGTCAATATTGGAAGCTCGCCTGGGGAAACCTCGGAAAATTACACGCTGGCCACAGACCTTACGGGGCGATCTTCGAATTATTTGAAGGAGAAATGCTCATATCACAATATCACTGGTCCTCTTCAGTGGATTTATGATGTATGTTCAATCTGTTGCATCAAATGCTAACGCGTGCCGTCTCGCTGACAGAGAGCTATTAGAAATCATCCACAACCATTGATTTGGCAGTGGGCGTCATGGCAGGTTTCATCGTCATATCCATGTCGCATGCTACCTATCATGGCGGCAATGCAGATTTCGATGCGTTTGAACTCCGTCATTGGCCGCTGTATGAACCGGAAACAGAGGAGAACCGAAGTCACCAGCAACGGCATCTGGAACCCATTTCAGGTGTGTTATTCAAAGCTTCGTTGGGATTATACAACACTGCTGACCCCCGTTAGCAATGCTCACTTCAACAGATAGTCGGGATGGCACATGCAAGTTCCACCTAGGAACACTTGGTGGTCTTGGTTTGATGGCAGAACTTCACCAACTCCAAAGTGGCAATGCCCTTCGACGGCCAAAATGGAAGCTCATAACTGAAGAATACCAGGAGGATTATGACTTGGAGAATGATCTGGGCGAAATGTCTGTCTCGAGGATCTGGGGTTTAGCTGCTTATCGCAACGTAACTGCCGCTATATTCACGTCACACCCTACAGATATTATCGAGTATCGCATCACATCTGACGACAGGTCATTGTTGGTTTTTTCTGAGGAGGGCGAACATACCACAGATCCCCAAGCCTTATTCGCGCCGCAGACACCCGATTGTCAGACTGCCAACTGGAACCAGACACGCGAATTGATACGTTTTGTGTTACCTGGTGATGGCGACGATATTGGAACCGACATGGAGAGCCAGCGGCTCGTTTATGCCGTTGCTTGTCGAGCCATTGTGGGCGAAGAGGATAAGTCTCTTCGAGCCCACGTCCAACATGCTCTGGAACATCTGGCACTAGTGACGGGTGCAGATCTGAGCGAGGAAATATCCAAATGCAAAGATCGCCCTAGCCCGGTGCCTGCGAAATCTGAGGACCAACTGAATGGCAAAGGAGGTCATATCTACGAGAGATGCGAAGTTTGCGATGCGGCAATTGGCTGGCCATCAATCGAATTTGCACAGTGTGGAAACGGACACCGATGGGGTAAGTTGCCTTGTGATTTGAGTCTCGTATATCCGGACATATTAACCTTACTCATCCATATAGTGCGATGTGGGCTCTCCTTCCTCGCCATCCAACAACCAGGGGTCTCCAAGTATTGCTCTCTCTGTCGCATGGAGGCCCTCGATGAAGAACGTGTGGCTTGTGTGAGTGGCGGGAAGCAGGGTCGAACGTTCAATGCTCTATTTGAGACGTTCGATGTTTGCTCACACTGCGCTGCCAAATTCCAAGCTAGCTACTAAGCGCTATTAAATAGTTCAAATGATAGCGAGAGCAAAATCTTTGCTGGCCCGCGGCAGGAGTAAAATGTAAATTTGCTCGCGAATGAGACATCCCATCATAGAACGATGCCACTGAATCAATGTTACAGAACAGATCATCTTCAGAGGCCCACAGACATCCTTTCAAGTCAGCCCAATGAGCGAGCCGGCAATAGGGTTCCATTCATCGTCCCAGCGCCGAGAGCTTTCTTTCTGGGCTCCTACACGAAGAAGCTCCAATTTGTCGTTATTTCCGAACAGTTCAACTAGGTGTTGGACCAACTCCTCTGAGCTTCCAAAGCCCAATCCATTGACGCCCTCAGTCACCAACTCGGGCCACGCTTCAAAACGATCCCATCCCACGACTGGAAGACCGGCCCCGAACATATCTACGACTTTCATGGGCAGATCTACCCCGCTGCTACTGGTATGCAGACTGACCCCGAGTGATGCCGAGGCCAACAGCTGAGCATAGTCCGGTACAGTCAACCATGCAGTTCGGATCGTCACTTTTTGTAGCTTGTCGCGCTTTTCCAATGCCGCGATCTGTTCCAGGTACATTTCTTTTTGTGGCCCCTTCCCAGTGATAATGGCTAAAACATTGGGAAGGTGAGTGTGCGTTGTAGTAGCCATTTCAGAGTACTGAAGAAGAGCATCAATGAGGACTGAGAAATCCTCGTCCGGTGTCCACGATGTTGAACTGACCAGTACCCGAAGGGAACTTGGTTTCAGAGAGGCAAAGGCCTCCTTTGTTTCTGGCAGTTTCGAAAGGAACGCTGTCCGTGCATTTGAATCAAGTATTGGTTTGAAATGACTAGCAGGTCGGTCGTGCAGTGGCAAGATGGGGGCCTCGAGATTGAAATCTGTCTTGAGGACGGTTTTCATGGCATTGGTGACACACAAATGAGCTGAAGCGGATTTGCAGAACACCTTCTCGTACCATATCGACAGTTTCACCAATGGATGGCTTTGGCCGAGTTTCAGCGCGAGTATAGAGTATCCAAAATTATGCCAATCGATGATTAGTTTTGTCTGCCGCAAGAAACAGACAATTGAGGCAATAGCAAGTGTAGGTATGGAAGGTGGATTCTATCGTCATCGTAAGGGCGAGTCAGCAACTCGATCACTCTAGCAACCTCGCTCTTGCTAATCATACCTGAACCAAGAGCCAACGAGACGGGGTCGTGGTATATGCAAGGCACTTCCAGAGACAACCTATCTGGAATAAAACCTTCAACGGCCCATATATTATGAACAGAAGCTTGTTGCTGGTTTGCAGAAGTCTGGGGTGCGGGCGAAGCGGAACAATTGAGATTTTTGGATGAGTTGTGATATCAGGATGAGGATCAGACTCTATTCCAAAGAGCAATATCAGTAAATATGCACTGCAGTCTCTATTTAAATTGTCACACTAACCATTGTACCCAATAATGACCACCTTCCCACCATTCCTCGCAATGCTCAATGCATGATACTGCATACGGGGGCTTCGGCCAATGTCGCCAAGAACAAGGATTTGGACACTCGTCTTGTGCTGTTCAGTGTCATTTGAGCTCCCTCCAGACTTTGCTCGTTCTGGCACGTACTGCGAAGGAAGCAGCAGGATCAACACAGTGAGGACACTAGACAGGCAGAATGCTATGCTGATAACGGTCTCGATCATGATAACAATGGTGCTCCATGTGCACCGCTCATGATCTTGATTAGCTTCGATGCACTGAATGGCCCATATGAAGCTATGACAAGCAGATAAAACACCGAGCCGGAACAAGCTGGGGCATCAACTCGGTCGGTAAAGCCGCGGAGGAACATTTGAAGATACGTAATTCGATATCCGATAAGCATTCACGTGATTCTCCTTAGATATGGGAACCTTGGGGAAGATCCTCGGACTTTTCCCCAGAGACAGTGGCCATTCCATTTCAGCCAATTCTGGCGCCGAGCATCCCGATCGCATTACTTCGCTATATTCATACTCCACGATGCTGGATTTGCTGTCCTGCCCACTGATCTGAGCTCACGCCCGATCCACCCTTCCCGATATCTTGGCAGTGGCCCTATCTCCTGTCCGGTTGCTGGACACCCCAGCTGTGCGCCAACACTCAGAGAACATGTCGATGAGGGCATCGCCACTGAGCGTGGATCTAACCCCACCCTCCAATGGACACAATCACGGCCATAGTCGTGGTCGTGGGCACTCTCGATCAAACCGCTGGGCGCAACCTCCACCTCCCCTCTCTCAGCCAGCCGAAACTAGCCTTCCAGAACACCCGGAGCCGACCAAAACGGTGAACCTGGGTTATCCATATGGGCATACACGTCAAGGATCTGGCCACAGCCATCATACACATTCTCATGCACACCATACTCACAATCATAGTGTGTCATCGATTCGCCACGATGTGGGAGATCACCAAGGTGCCTATGGTGTTCATGGGATATTGTCTAGGGATACGAATTTATCGGCAGAACTTAGCCTAGATAAGACGTACGTGAGCTGATATGTACTTTGGCGAGTAGAACTAATCCTAGGCGCAGGCCTGAGTTTCTAACTAGTGCATTCATCGTGCTGCCGTGGATTGCGTTGTCCTGGTATCAAAGACAACATGCCCAGGCACAAGCTTCGTCCGGTGAAGATATTCCTCTTACAGCTACCACTGTTTCTGTTGGCCAAATTGGTCATAAAACGTGCTTCTTAACAGCACTCACCCTTATCATCTTCGGCTCCGGTCAAATATTACGGACGAGCTACCAGAAGGCCGGCCCGTCCAGTCTCCCATCCATCAAACTCCAGACATTGACTTCTCGGAGCGCCCAAACAGCCCTTTCACAGATTATATCGGTGGCATTGCCAATATTTGCGGCACTCAAGGTCGGAGGCTTTTTGGTAGCATTCACCATCCTTCTTGCGACCGCGTCAGGGGTTCCTGCCATCATGAACGGGGCCTCGCGTGCTCAAGAGAAATACAGCAAGAAGACCATGTCTATCGCCCTACTGCTGGTGGGCATTATATCCAGCTACCTGGGGCTGAACCGTGCCTGGGACGTATCTCCGGTGATTGGATATGCGGCGCTTTTATGCTCCGTTTTTATTGCCCCTCCTCCATTTCCTTCCCTCCGTCATAATGGTCCTATTCCCGAGCCTGGTCTCGTCGCTCCACAGAGCAAGTCTCCGGGGCCTGACCACTCTTCGGTAGTAGTCACAACCGATGCCCCACTCGCTATCATCGCTGGGTTCTCCCTCGCAATCTCGACCATACTTCTCAATCGAGGGTCTGTCTTCGGCATCTCGAATTTCGCATACGTCTCGATTCCTACAGCTCTTTTTGCTGTTTCGCTTATGATCTCCGAGCCCACAACCCTCCGCTCTCCTAACAAGACCGGACTCGCCATGTCCGCTGGGGCTGCAGCTTTTCTTTCTTCTCCCCATGCCCAGGATGACTTGCTCATGGTTTATGCTATGCGTGGTATTCTAGCCGTTGCCTCATTTTTCGCGTCTCGAAGGGATGATGCTCATTTGCATTTGGATGCGCATGCGCATAGTCATACGCATGGCCATTCGCATTCACATTCGCACACTACGACAGACACCACCAGAGTATCCAAATGGCTCCTCCATAAGAGTGAGCCATATCCGCTGTTGCACAGCATTCTCAAGGAAAAAGACTCTCGTAGCATTTTCTACTTTATGTGGTGAGTGAAGACCTCAAAAGGCCGGCGCTGTTGTAACTGCTGCTAACTTTATGTAGCCTGAATTTTACCTTCATGCTCGTCCAACTATCATACGGTTTCCTGACTGGATCACTGGGTCTGCTCAGTGACAGTATTCACATGTTCTTCGACTGCCTTGCACTTGTTGTTGGTTTATGTGCTGCTGTCATGAGCAAGTGGCCTCCAAACGCTCGGTTCCCCTATGGCTATGGAAAGGTCGATACTTTGTCAGGATTCGCTAATGGCATCTTCCTCATGTAAGTGTTCTCAACCACGCCCCTTATGGCAAGCTCTAACGACATGCAGGATCATCAGCGTAGAGATCATCTATGAGGCGGTGGAGCGGCTCTCGTCGGGGAGTGAGATGCACCGCATCGGCGAGCTTTTGATTGTCAGCATTGCTGGTCTGGCAGTTAACCTGGTCGGGATTTTCAGCTTTGAGCATGGCCATGCTCATCACGGCCACGATCATGGACACGACCATTCTCATGGCAATGAGAACATGCATGGCATCTTCTTGCACATCCTCGCTGATACGCTTGGTTCAGTGGCAGTTGTCATTTCCACCATTCTTGTGCATTACTCTGGCTGGTCTGGGTATGATCCATTGGCGTCGTGCTTCATTGCCGTATTGATTTTCGCGTCCGCTGTTCCTTTAGTCAGCAGTACGGCAAAGACATTGCTTCTCACTCTGCCAGCCGACACGGAATATAACGTTCGGGAAACACTGGCGGGAGTCAGCACTCTCAGAGGCGTGGTCAGTTATACGGTGCCTAAGTTCTGGCTTGATGAGACGGGAGTGTCTTCCGGTCATAGCCATTCCCATGGCCATTCTAGCCAAAAAGATTGTGACCACGATCATAGCCATAGCGAGCATCATCACGGTCATGATCATGAACATCACCACAGCCACGATCACGACCATCATCACGATCACGCACATGAGAAAAAGCCTCAAAGTGTCTTCGGTGTGATCCATGTCATTGCTTCTAGGGGTGCCGATGTGGAAGATGTGCGTCATCGGACCGTTGAATTCCTCCGAGAGAAGAATATGGACATTCTCGTTCAAGTTGAGCGTGATGGTGATGCGCGCTGCTGGTGTGGCGTGGGAAGCAAAAGCTTTTGATTGACGAGCATAATGTTCTACCAGTAATCAACTGCTCCCAAAGGGGGTCAGGATACGCGGTTTATGGTCGCTTGTGCCCGGCCAATTTGTATGTATCTCGTGTACAGATAGAAGTGGGCAGATTGCCGAATCACCCCAATCGACCGCATATAAGCAGTAGTCCTCTCCCGAGCCTTTTGTCAGAGATGAAGGGATGTACCTTGTCTCAATAGGATGCTCCAATGATGAAACTTCATCAACCTATCGCGGTTTCATGGAAGGTTCCCATGCAATTTCACATGCAGCTGTCTTCATGAGATTGTACTTGTATGACCCGTTCGGCTACCGCCGGTCTTGTACCTGCGCTTGATCTAAGCCCTCCATGCCCAGACACGTACAACGTCAGGCTCGATCTTGAGTTGCTACACGACGATCTTTCGGGTCACACGGTCACAGACTTTCCGAGAGGTTGATCTGTTGGTTGCAACTTCACATATACCTAACTTACATCTAAGGCCTAATGTAAGAGTTACATCTGAGTCTTGTCCTACCAACCACGACGTTTACATAGAGTTATGTTGGATCTTATATACCGTCCGAAATTCATCTCTCCTGCCATTGTTTCTGCGGGCTCTCTTTTAACTATAGCTGCAATTCATCTCTATTGTCCAGTTCAATGTCATTAGCTTCAGCCGCACAATCCCCATATGCCGACGAGATCGTGCGGAAAGGATATGTAAGGATATTCGAAGGCCACACGGTCTTCCTGACTGGAGGCACTGGGTGCTTGGGGGGATGTCTCCTGTACAAACTATCTTTGCAACTGCCCACGCGCAAGATATATGTCTTGGTTCGAGGGGATTCACAGGGGGCTATCTCGAAATTGCGACAGTCGATGCCACATCATGCCCAGGCAATCTTAACCAACAAAGTCGAGTTCGTAATTGGAGATATAAAGAAAGCCCAATTCGGCATCGACCCCGACGTCCTCCGGCGACTTCAGGACGAAGTCACCTTGGTCATCCACGCAGCAGCCAAGATCAAGCTCGAAGGCCCAATTCGGGATGCACTGGAGAACAACTGCCTGCCCGCGCTGGAAATGGCACGTATGGCCTCGGGATTTCGACGACTGAAACTGTTGGTCCAGCTGTCGACATCATACGTCAATACTCATCTCCCCGATGGCCCGGTGCTAGAGCGAATATACCAACTAGGAGGCGAAGAAGATCCAGAAGAAGAGCTCGCCTCCATGCTGACACTGGACACATCACCTCACTCGACGAAGTTCTCGTCAACCTACACCCAAGCCAAGCATCTCATGGAACGTCTTCTACTCAGCCGCTTCCCCTTACTTCCGATTCTTTTAATACGGCCAACGATCTTCGGTCCTGCATTTAGAGACCCATACCCGTTCTATGGATCAGAGGACTCAACACCGCTCACGAAGTTCACCAACCTCTGGTTCTCCGATCGAGGTGCGACGCAAGTCTGGCATGCGACCGAGGGTTACGAAACAGGCACGAATATCTTAGACGAGATACCCGTGGACCTCGTAGCAAACGCGTGTCTACTGCACGCAGCAGCTGGGACGACGGGCATCGTGCAGATCGGATCCCAGCTCTACCACCCGGTGACATTCGACGAGATTTTCCGTTTAGGAATGGAGAACGCCAGCCCTGAGTTACGACGGGACTTCCCTAAGATTGTCTTCACCCAAGATCGCAGCACACCACAGTGCTTCCTTGCCGAGTTGATCCAAGTGGGGACTCGTAACTGGCTATTTGACTGTGGCCGGTCCTACTGGGTTAAACAGGTGAGCGGTCCACTGAGTATACAGATCTGCAAGCCTGAGGCGGATGCTTTCCTTATGAGACGGATCCGCGATGGTCTTCAGTTTGGAAAGGAAAGAGCTCGGATTTGAGATATGTGCAGAACTCTGAATTGTGTTCATGTTATACATGTATGAACGTGACCAGATGAACCGTAGGTTTTTGCAATGCACCAGTTTTACAAGTTTCTCTAGTGAAGGACGGTTGATGTATAGCGAAAGCTGACTGACTCAGGGAATGGACAATAGACATATCGACGTAGATTGTGGAAAATCTCGGAAGTTCGCATAGGCCCAGACCCTGTAGCGACGTTGGAAAGTCGGGAAGTATTTCGGCTCCTTTTGCGGTTGCAACATGTGCTCAATACATGCAACTGTGAGTTTTGTACTAGTCACGGTGGTACGAAGTATTAAAGGCGGCCAGGATGTTTCCGTACTCTGATCTGGAAGTCGCACAGCCCTAATCTTATGAAACACGCTCGGCACATGCCTCACGATTTCATAGTTGAGTGGAGAGTGTGAATGTGCAACGAATTTGGCACATTGACGATAACCCATTGTGTTCGAAAACGAGGGCAAAGAACAGTGGCTCGAGTCTTAGTTTGAGACTCTCGAAGATCGCTCTATTTTGCGCTGATCTCGGCGTTTTAGGCCGTAGCAGAACACGGTGTTGGCCTGACTTTAACCGTAAGAGAAGCCCGATCCAACAAACTAGCATGTCCAATTCTCAGGAAGTAGAGGTCAAAGTCCCATCTTTTTCTGCGGCCAAGCCACAGCGTTCACCCATTGCATGTCTGCTGGACGCAATGCATCCAATAACTCGGAGATCAAGACGCGGCCCGAGCCTCGAGCCCACCAATGCCCACCATCAAGCTCCCCAAGCAACACGCCCCAGTGCATGAGGATCAACAATGCTAGCGGCCGTCGGCGCCGCACGTTCTCCACGAATTCCTTATCGAGCATAGCAAGCCAAGCCAAGACGTTAGCGGGGTCGACAGAATTATTAACTCGCACTGAGAAGTGCCGTAGATAGATGATGGCATCTTTGTTGACCTGGTGCTGGGCTGGATCGACACTGGTGAGAGTCTCATCATTCAAAGTCTCGAGTCGCTCGAGGGCAGCCCGCGTTCCGTCGTCCAAACTGGCTAGTTCGGGATCCCATTGGTTTCTTCGGCTCGAGAAGAGCTCCAGTTTCATCCATGATTCCCCAATGCGGTGGATCTTTCTCACGCCTTGCAGGAGTTCGAAGACCACAACGATGTTCTCGGTCATGCTTGAAGAATCCCCACGGGAAGCGCTGACCCCCGGGAGGGCAATACCGATGACGGTCGTGATAATTGACTGCGCCAGCGCAGCCTCACAGTTCATCGGGTTGATGTTATCCACAGCTGCGCGATATGGCGCGAATGTAAGGTTGTGGTACTGCAGAGCCGTGTCAATGTACATCAGCGAACCGGGTGGCTCGATTGTGGCGGCAATATGAAGAGCTCCCAAAGCCAGGATGCCATTCATCAAAAAATCATACTGAAGGGCCAGACGGGGAATGGAGATTTGCCAGACATGATGCTCTGACTGCGAAGAGCAAAGACTTTTGAAAGTATCAGTGGAGAACTTGTGCATCAGCTCCAGATCTCGCACTCGCGAAATGTCCGGAGAAACGGACACCCCGAAACTGGGGATCCCCAGCGTCCGGGGAGGCGGGTCTACGGCCAGCGGGACCGGGGTATGGCTTGCTCGCACACAGCCGGACCGCGACGGCGCTCGCAGGTATGTACATGAGAGCTCTCGTGACACACAATTGGAGCACGGTGGCCCTTTTTCGTCACACTGCGGCTGTTAGCCTCGTTCTCAATGCGGAGCCAGAGATCTGATCTACGTGGTCGGACTTTCCGGGACTAACCTTGACCCGACGTTTCTTGCACTGATCGCAGCCCTGGCGAGATTTGGTATGCGCTCGGCGAGGAGGCATTCTCGGTAACCCTCACTTATTAGTGTCCCATGTGACCAGTCGGCTTGTACAAGATGAAGAGGAGTGTCCAAGCGCGGGAGAGAAGGTGGGGTCACGTGGGATCTATAAAAAGAATATCGGATCGCGTTGTCGTTCGACACTTTGTTCTCTTACTTCTCTCCGTACTATCTTTCTGGTTCTTTGATATTTATTTTTTCATTCGATGTGAGATCACTTGCTAGAACTGCTAGAACTGCTAGAACCACTAGAACTTGAAGGATCTCAATTCCATCCTCACGTCAGACAGGTCAGCCTGCACAGCCACCGGGGCATTGAGTCGCGACTGTCGCGTGTCATGAATCCACACTGCATCGACGACTTTGACCAGGAAGCTCCATCTTAGACTCTTATCTCTCTTGATTAGATCCTTCTTTTTCTAGAAGCGACAATTCCCCCGAAACATAGAACAATTCTCCGGATTCCGAATGATAAGAAGTGGGTCTCCGATCTAAGCGATGGGATACGCAATACGAGAACGAGAACGACAACGACAACGAGCTTGGGAACCAATGACAATGCATCTTCAACGCAGTTTCATCTCATTTACTGCGTAATGAAACGGAGTCTCTCCATCAAGGGCTCCACCTGCTCCGTCAGTGCGGGCTCTGGAGCCTCTTGGCCCCTCGGGCCATTCAAGAAAAAAAACGAGCTTATGGCAATCTTAGTGAAAAAACCCTTGATCTGCTCTTCTCCTGAAAGAGCTCTCCACGAGCATCTTCATTCTGTTATTACATCTTGAAAGGTCACGAGACTCTTCCTGCTCTCTTGTCTCGCTGCCCCCTCTCGTTTCCTCTCTTCCATCATGGCGAGTTACAACACTTGCCACGAAGTCGGCCCTCTCTGTCCCGTAGAATTGACCACTTACGGGTATTATCCCAACTTCGGCGGCAATGTCTTCTTCACAGTCTTCTTTGGTGTCCTCGGCATCTGCCAGGCTGGGTTGGGAGTCTACTATAAAACATGGACATTCTTGATTGCGCTACTGATTGGAACATTGATGGAAATGGCTGGATACATTGGTCGCGTCCTCATGAATGATAACCCATGGTCCTCACCTGCTTTCAAGCTCCAGATCGTGTGTCTGGTGCTTGCGCCAACCTTCGTCGCAGCAGGTGTCTACCTGACATTGAAGCACATCATTTTGACCCTCGGCCCTCAACACTCGATCTTGAAGCCCCGCCTTTTCACCTGGATCTTCATTGGATGCGACGTTGGATCTCTCCTTTTGCAGGCTGCAGGCGGTGGTGTCGCAGCAGCAGCTGACAAGGACGACATGGATATGCTCAAGGCTGGAAACAACATCATCATCGCTGGTATCGCCTTCCAGGTCGGCACAATGGCTGTGTGTGGATTTTTCGCTGCTGCCTTTTTCTGGAGAGTCTACCGGAGCGGCGATGGATTTTCGGGGGAGAAGAATCTTGACACTGATGTTTCGCCTGTCGTCTCCAGAAGGATGCCATTCGTTGTGGCCGCCGGGGTCTTTGCCTATACGACCGTATTGATTCGATGCATCTATCGGTGAGATACGTCCGATCAAATCGCCCAGGACACTGTGCTAACTACAATATCAGTATTCCAGAGATGGCTGGCGGATGGGGAAACCCACTGATGCAAGAGGAGAACGAGTTCCTTATCTTGGACGGAGCGTAAGTTATTTCTTGGTTACTTCTCCTGAGAGGATTCTAGCTGACCTGGTTTAGGATGATTGCTCTGGCCTGTCTGACTTTCACCGTTTTCCACCCTGGAATCTTCCTGCCTTCTTTGCGCTTTACGCCCAAAACTCGTGTCTAATCACTTGCATTTCTCTTTAATATGGCAATACGCGCATCTTGCATTCTTCCTTTAGATTTTACAACAGAGTCTGTTTCCAAGGAATGGGCCGAATGGCCTCTATCTTTACCGTTCAGGCATATTGAGAAGTCCTGCTTTATTAGGATACCATGTGCCCTGGCTCATCTCTCTCCGCCATCGAGTGAGGTGATTATGAAGCTTTAGCGAATTAGAATACCATCAGACCACGCTTCTATGCGTTCCGATACGACTTGATCAAACATCAAAACTCCTTGTTGAGATGTAGAATTACTGCAGGCCGGTTAACCAAAAGATCTCACAAACTCCCGCCCCCATGAAACTTGCAAAGAAATGCGCCGCAGAAGAACTCGAGATCGAGAGCATGGCAACGCCATTGCTCACTCACTCTATGCAAGAAAGGTGAGAGATTCCGCTTATGACGGTACATTGAGATGGTAAAAAGGAAGAACACCCGCAACCCAGCGTTAAATGAAGTCGTAACCCGCCATCTCATATTGCCATAACTATCAGGTTCCTTACTCCGTCGTCAAACGGACACACCGGCGGACACGCTTCTTGAACTCCGCAGGGTCCTCACGCCACAGCCGCGCAGCCTCGACGTTGGCCGGGCTTTCGTCGTTCGGGGTAGACAGCATGGAAATCACGGACAGCAAGATGGTCTCCGGCGTCTGCACAGGAGACCAGCGCTCTGCAGCCGATTCGTACCCATATTTGTCCTCCTCGGGAGGATGCAGAATAGAGATGCAGACCTCACCATTCTCATAAACTAAGCGCGATGATATATCAGTATACAGTATTGCAACAGCCGCTCATGTCTCGTAAATCAAGGAGAGGGTAAATAGGCACGTACTGTTCGGGTGGAAGATTGGAGACTCAAACTTCATCTTCGGTGGCATATGAGGGTATTCACTTGGGAAAGAAAGACGAGCTCGGAAGAATCCACCTATGAAAGCATATTGGTTAGTGATGTTCAGAGCATGTATAGCATGGCAATCAATATTCTAGGGCTGCTTTATTTGCCACAAGACCGAGGCACTCGGCTGCATACGCATTCTTCCAGGTTTCAAGTCTCACCTCCATACAACTTCACGTCATCCGAAATCATGAGCATGACCTCCCATTCAAAGACGTTATTATCGACAAGCCCGCAACTGATGCCAGGAATGTCCTTATCGGACTGCATCTGCTGCAGCTGACGGGATAGCATGCGCCCGGCAGGAGAAGTCGCCATATCTGTGATCGATGGGAGAGCGGCTGCGGGTACAGGTGGAATTCAATTTTGAAGTCGGCTTCAATGTGGAGAGGAACAAAGAGGAGAAGGTGAGGGGAATGGGAAAAAGTGATGAAGGCGGTAAAACTAGAGCGGGGATCGACATCGCCCGATAGGAGGGCGGTGGATGCGCCATGTCGGTGCATCAGCTACAATACGAAAAACCTAGGGACTCGGCTTATGATTGCTAAGAAAAAGAGCCAAAATAATATTGCATAGAATGTATCTCAATCTGTTTCAGTGATGTATCAAACGTATTTCAAGCATATCCCAATCCCAAATCGGCCTCGCAATTTCGTGGCCGATGTTCATCGGATCCCAAATCCTAGATCACACCAAATTCCTACTCCAAACTGATCTAGAGCGCAGAGGGATCAGAGCTGACAGGCTTGGCAGTCTTCAGCATCAAAAAGACCTGACCACCAAGGACTAAGACGGTGAAAATAGTAAGCGCCACCTGCATAACGAACGTCTTGCCAATGACCTTGGCAAAGCGAACACGGGCGGCCCAGTCAAATGTGGTCCATGCATCCATGAGACCGATCTTGCCGCTGCCACCGGTGATGGCAGGGCTAACCTTGCCCCCGAAAGAGCGGTCAAAGGGCACGATACTCTCGTCCTCTTCGGGCAGCATGGAGGCAGCCACACGGACGAAGATGACTCGAGCAGGCATGGAGATGAGGAATGCCAGAACGGCAGGGATCAGAGTGACACCCATAAAGCGGCATAGTCCCTGAATGGGTACAATGTCCTGGTCATTGGTGGTATCGAGCCAGCCCGCAAAGTCGGCGACAGACATGGGGAGGAAGAATGCAGCAGTAGTGAGGACATCCTGGAGGGCAGCAGCTGGAGCAATCTTGATCCAAGTCTTATAGCTGGGGATGCGCTGGTAGAAGCGCTTGGGGGAGGGCTCCGAGATGACGATGTGCACCCAAGCCATCTGCCAAGTAGCCAGAAGTACGCTGATGAGAGACTGAATAACAAACTGGGACAGATAGGAAGTACTTGACACAGCAAGGCAAGACGTAAGGAAACCACGGGCACCGGTGTAAGCGAGGAACATGCCCATGCCACGGAAACGGGACCAGAATCCAGCACGGTTGCGCAGGTGCTTCACCGCGGTGCGCAGCTTGCTGGTGATGGGCTTGACGGGAGTAGCGGCAATCAACCCCGACTCTTCCACGTTGGAGGGCTTGGTTGGGTCGGGATCGGAAGCAATGCGCACATAGATGTCAGGGTTGGTATCCTCGACCGCGGCCAGAGTGGCGATCACCATGCCGTAGGTATACTCAATCTGATAGGGTGTCAGCTTTTGCCAGTATCCAGGAGACGATTATGGTGTTTACTTACACTCCAGAAAGCAAGACAGAGCATGATGGCACTGAGGGCGAACAAAGCCACCAGGCCTCCATTAGGTTCCTTGGTCTCCGTGGACCGCATGAACCCGACCGCAACATCAGTGCTTCGACGGACAATATTACTAGTGACGGACGACATGATGAAGCCGACACTTTCTGGGCATATAAGTTGATAAAAATGTAATAGGAAGGGACCAAGATGACAAGGGAGGGGGAATGGGGGCTTTTTATTGCTGATACAAACAGGCAGCACACCACTAGCGCCGGATCTCACGGGTACGCTGACAGTACTTAGAGTTTTATGGGGGTTCCCACTTAAATGAGAGTACCTGACTCGTACCCTTTTCTCACGGGACTACTTGTACATCCTATTGGAGACTCATTAGACTTGAACTGTTCCTATTTCCATTTAAACAAGTTAAACGAATTTATTCTACTCTATTCAACCACCTTTCATCTGTATAAAAATAGAAACGCCCCTTAAGATCGGGGTGAAATGGCTCCGACCGGTTAGCGCTGGGTCTAGGCGTTTGTGTTGGCTGTAAAACGCCACTTTCATAGGCGAGACCAGTTGCCTTGAGGCTCGCTTATCAGGCCTGCATGGAGCGGAGAAATCTGCTGAGTACTTAGCTCACTCCTGGTTGAGCCTCAACTCAAGTGGGGAGATAAAGTTCTTAAGTCCGGTCGTCAAAGACGCTTAGCCAAAGGTTCCATGGTTACTACTTCAGCAGCTTATATTCCCTAAGAGTGACTTTTTGTCAATAGTGGGAGATTCCATTCGATTCTGAGATGTCACGAGTGTCACGAGTGTGTACGGAGAAAAGCAGAATTGATTGCGAGGCGGGAAATAGATGAATCGAGTTACTGTGCGTTTGAAAGGCAAGTGTCAAAGTCATCTGCAAGATTCCGACTGAGTAGACCAAGTGACTAACTTAATAGGAAGCAATAGAAATCAGTTTCACAATGTTTACAATCGAATGACTTCTTGTTTGACCCTAGGGCTCATTGTTTGCCCAACAAGAAATGTTACTTCCAAAGTTGTCTGATCAATTGATCAAATTTCTTCGAAGCTTGTACACGATTCCAATCCAATGTAGCCTTAGAAGGATTGCTATACAATGTCATAGCGGACGCGCAAGGATCAAAAGTACACAAAAATAACCCTCTATGGTATATCGGAGATCCAAACTGACGCAAAACATGATCAGAAAGACGCGAACAAGCCTGTTCGAAGATAAACCATCCGTAGACAGCACAAAACGCCGCAAAAAGAGATCAAGGTATTTACACACAAGCACCCGCATCGACACTTTAGTCAAAGAGTGCCTTCATGCCCTTGTGTGCAAGCTCGACGCCGAGGAAAGTGGCGGCATTGGCGGGCACCGCACGAGCAAGGGCCGGTCCGAATCCAGGGAAGAATGCCTTGGCGCCGCCGCTGGCGTAGACTGAGCGAATGACACCGCCCATGGTGGGCTTACCGGGGGCACTCTGCAGGCGAGACTTGATGGTATCGATGGGGAAGACGGGGATCCACATGGCAATACCGGCGGCACCACCAGCGCACACGACGGCAGGCAGGGAAAGCTCGCCGGTCACATTGCCATCCGCATCCTTGGGGGTCATGCTGCGCTTGATGTACTCGTAGGCCGCGAAATAGGCGGCTGAGCCGGGACCGTCACGCGCCAGAGTCATGGCGCTACCGCGGAACACACTGCGAATACCACCCTCCTTGTACAGCTGGCGCACAACATCCATACCACCAGAGTACTTGGGCTTCTCACCCGGGGCCAGGGTCTTCTGGCCCTGGATCTGGAGAAGGACCTTGACACGCTCGAAGGGAGCGGTGATCAGGGTCATGGGGATGGCGGAAAAGAAACCCGCGGCGGAGATCTGGGCAATGGAGTACTGCGGGGTGTCGTGCTTAATGGGGACAACGGAGAACTTGTTCACGAGGGTCTTGCCCACATCGTAACCCTATCGCACAGTTAGCATCCCTTCCGACCGGACGATCGCGGTTATCCCAGGAACTGTAGGATATCATACCCAGAAGCTGACAGCGACTATGGGAGAAGACTGATTAGCTCATAGCTCGACCAATTGCTGGTGTGGGACCCATTGAAGCCAATGCGAGAGGAACTTACACATAGGAGTAACTCCAACGAGGGGTGCGGAGACACCGGCATACAATCCCTACGCAGGCATTGTCAGTTTTCGTCGCGGGGATCCAATGCACAGGGAATAATCGTACTCGAGCCAAACCTTCACGGGCAATTGTTTTCCTGACCACATCCATGGCGCCGGAGTAAATCCCCTTCTCAGCAGTCTGCAGGCGCACCTTCACCAGGTCGAACGGGTGACCGACGATAACAGCGCAGAGACCACCAGTAGCACCAGCTGCGAGCGAGCGCAGCTGAACCATGGTCTGGTTGACGGCCTTGGTCTCGACGACCTTGAGCTCTTCTTTCAGCTGCTGCGGGGTGGAGCTAGAGGAAGACATTGTGGGCGGAGCGGGGCGGGGAAAGGATGGCAATGGAGGGGATGGAGGATGCAGAAAGAAGATACAAAAGACAAGACACAAGGCAGGAGTAGGAGTCAAAATTATTCTGTGCGATGGAAAAAAGACCTCAGATCTCGCAATGACGGAGGCAGACCGAAGCCCGACTTGTCTTCCCCGGACGCGGGTGTGCCTCGGCTCGGGAGCGGATAAACCGAATTCCGATGGTTGTGATACTACGAAGAGGAAGTCGGCGATACTGAAGTACCAATCGTTATAAGAACTAAGGCGTCTTTGTGACAATTGTGAGATAAATGAGTGACTTCTTTTGGGGACCTGAGGTTTTTGAATTGTGATGACATCGCTGACCCCCGAGCGCGTCCGCCCGGGTGAACGGGAAACAGACCTCAACCACTCCACGTTTCCCCGCGGGATAAAGGATGGCTGTCTTGAGACTAGGTTGCTCTCTATTACTGTTAAGAGATCATTTGATTTTGGGTCTTCCTGAAAGATAGAGATGCAGGACAGATAAAGTGCATATGTTGTGCACAGTACAATAAGAGGCGCTTGGAAGTAGACCCGGTCGCAATCACATGGAAATCCACGTGCTTCTTCCTCCGTAAGCACTTTCTTATTAGACTGTGGACGCAGAATCGACAAGTTCAACATACGTCGATGAAAGTGACATTAAGGCCCGAGATAGTTTAAGTCGTAAAAAGCCAATCATGAATCAACCCTCTATTTACTGTTATCGGGGCCGTGAGACCTGAAAGAATATCATTTTGTAGATTCATTCATTAAGTCCGATCGACATTAAATTAACAGCTCCGCAAGAGCGAACAGAAGATAAAAACACAATTGTACCCATCATGAACCTGTTTCATGCTGTACCTGTACAAGCCAGAGGGCGAAACATGAATCATAACCCATGAATTACCGCAGAGACCATGAGAGCGGACTCTGTTCCATCACTTGAGTGAGATGATTTACAGAGCGAGAAGAGCGACCAGGCCGAGGGCACCCATAGCGCGGGAGCCAGCGGTGGCCATGGAGGCAGCACCATCACTGGTGCTGGAAGGAGCAGCAGAGCCAGTCTCGGAGCCAGAGCCGTTGGAGTCGGAGCCCGAACCAGAGCCAGAGGTGGAACCAGCGGCACCGGAGCCGTTGCCAGAGTCAGAGTCGGAGTCAGAGCCGCTGCCGGAGCCAGTCGAGGTGGAGGAACTACCGGTGCTGGTCTTGGTCACCATGGAGGTGGCAGAGCCAGCGGCGCCAGTAGCAGAGGCGCTAGCATCGGAGGCAGTTTGGCTGGCAGAGCCGGCAGCGCCAGTGGCAGAGGCGCTGGCGTCAGAGCCAGTAGCAGAGGCAGAGGCACCAGCACCGGAGCCAGAACCAGAGGTGGAGGCGGAGGCGGTGGATTCAGAGTCGGAGCCTGAAGTAGAGGTAGACTCAGAGCCAGAGCCGGAAGTAGCGCTGGAGCGAGCCTCAGAGCCAGTGACACCGCCTGCATTCCATTATTAGTTTACCGTCGCAAGAATTGAGATACCAATAGCGGGTACATACCAGGGCACTTGGCAATGGCCATGTCGAGGACCTTCTGGGCATCATCGTTGGGGCAGGCCTGGCTGGTGCAATCACGGATACCGAACTTGTAGTCATCGGTCTTGCACAGACAGGCGAGGTCACCAGCCTTGCAGCCCAACTCAGAGGCCTTCTTGGCCATGTTGGAGAGACACATGCTCTATAAACAAAACATGATTAGCATATTGCACGATTGCGGCATAATTGACTGGATTTCAAGTAACTCACAGCACACTCAGAGGCAGAAGGTTCAGCGGCGACCATGCCAAAGGCGGCCATCATGGCCAGAGCGATGGGAGAGAAGGACTTCATTGTAAGGTGAGTGGGAAGTGAGTAGATTAGAGAGAAGGATTAAAGAGTTTAGAGGTGGGTATCGAGAGAGAAAAAAAGGGCTTTGTAGGAGGACGAAATGAGAGAGAATCTGGAGAAAGGGCACTCATTTTATAAAGGGAGCTCCAGCCTCCAGCTGAGAAACAAACTCTGCATATAATTTCACCAGCCACTTGCCCCAGACTGGAAAACAAATATCCATAGTGGACCAAGTCGGCATGAAGCCCAATCACCGGGGAGAATTGGCCATTGTGGATTGGACTGCACCGTGCTCCATGTACCTGGTCAACGTGGGTCAGAGTAAAAGATATTGATCCCTTCGAACCATGAAGTCATCAAAGAGCTTCTGAATCTTGGATCGACTCTCTCACATTGGAGAAGATCGGCCGGAAATAGCTTGCACCCCTTCTCCAAGCGCCGATCGAATAGGTTCGTCCAATGCGACGACGACCCACTCTCAGGGCTCCATCAAAGCCCATTGGACTCGGCTACTTGCATCCAGTGTGGTCCTTTTGTTGGGTCAAACTAGTTTTCCTTTTTTTCGGTATTTGCTAGCTTTGCTTCCCATCCCAAAGTGATTGACAATGCAGAGGTTTGGCATGAAAGTTGGCAACGGAGATGTGTTGTACAACTTGTACTCAATTTCAGTCTGAGTTATATACTCCGTAGTCAGTCTCATCTTCAGAAAATTCATAGTCAATACAGTAATCGCAGAATCCCACAGATCAAGGCAGAGCATGAGGATCGACAGATCCAATCGGGGGTTGAGATTGGATACGTCCGATCGGACTATCGAAAACTCAGCCCTGGACACCGCTAGTTGTGGCTGAGCACAGCCACGCATTATCCTGTCACTATTACTGTCACAACAACATAAAGTATTATCATTCCCTACTCCGTATTGTAGTTAGTCGTTGTTATCATCGCTCTTAGTATTATGGAGTACACATAAACGCCATAAACCTACTGCCAAAGCTTGTTTCAGCTCCTCACAGAAAAAGTATCTCCCTTGCGTACAAAGACAGGAGCCCCACTGCGAGTCTGCGTTGAGATGGATGATGGATCAGACAGAATCGGAACCGAAAGTGGCTGAGATCTCCCTCCTCCTTCCACTTTCGCCCAAACTACGCAGTCTTATGCAGATCAGAATCAAATATCCACTAGCTCGCTCTATCACTCCCGCTTGAATCGATTTTCATCTACTCCATACTCGTGTGGAGTACAAGGCACTCTATTCTGGTGGCAAAAATTAGCAGAGTTCCAATATTAAATGAAGTTTCGAAATTTCTACGGAGAAGTCCGGCAGTTCTTTACAGACCGAGAACTTGGGAATCGCAGTTACCAAGAGATCTCTCTTCTTTCACCATGTGGGTCTTTCGGATTACATCGTGCAGAGTCCTCCGTGTTCAGATCAAAGTTAAAGAGTCGACGGTTTCTTCGAAGTAGACAGCTACCGGGTCTGCATCGAGGGTAGATGAAGCTGTGCTCCGAATATGACGGTACGTCTCATTGGAGGGAATTACCACAAGGGGTTGGTCGGTTAATTTTTCATCGAAGGCCCTAACGATCGCTGGCGATAATGGGTTCATAGTGGCCGAAATCGTAACAGTCACAGAAATGGCGTCAAAAGTGAGATAGTTGGCATCGTCCAGGCGACGGCAATTTGTATTCCCCTCTTATCGTGTCTGTCTCGGCCTTCGTCATGTATGCATTGGTGCCTATTAGTACACTTGTTGTGGGACACCCGCAGGCTGCAGGAGCTCAGTATGGCGGTTAGTTGTCACTGTCAATTGGCCAGCACCTTTATAAACAACCCCATTCTGAAACAACCTGCGGCGCTTAACGCGTCGAATGAACAGGGTAGCAGGCAGAGTCATGTGTCCATGCGGCCGGAAAATTGATTTTCGATAGATGGGCGAAGTTTTCCCGCTCTCCCTTTCAGATCTCCAGCGCCAACTTCGAAATGCGCTCACATGTCGCAAAAGCCTTCAACTCGACTGGTCCATTACAGTGACAGCGAATACTATCATGCCTATCTCTAAAGCGCTCACGTCTTTGTTCGGGCCTCTATCGACGGAATTCCCTAAGCCGCCTTTGCCATATTCTGCCAAGTGGAGATTCACCGCAAAATCTCACACTGTTTCGAGCCCAACACCGGTAGTGCGAGGCTGCTGCATCAACAGTGAAAGTGATAGGGCAGAGAGAAGGAAATTACGTTCAATCAACCGGTGCTTAAAGCATCCCCCTTTACCCGGCAAAGAAGGATATGACACTGTCAGCTTAGAGGTCGTGGACCTCTTGAAAGGAGGCGATGGTCATAATTCTCAGGTATTTACGGTCCGACTACTAGACTTTGAGTCATCACCAGAATTGCTTCCTCGGAAAGGGACAATGCTTGTTGCAAAAGTATACGACCCACTTTACTTCGATGACGACGAAGGGCACCTCAACCCATTCCTCTGCGTGGACAGATACTACACTCATGAGGCCAATGCATACATGGCCCTAAGCGAACTTCAAGGTGAAGGGATTCCGAGATACTACGGCTCATATTCCTTGAGCCTTTCTGTGAATTCAGTACACACACGGATAGTTCGAATGATTTTGGTCGACCACATTGAAGGTATTACTATGGCAGATGCGAAGCCGGTAAATTTCGCAAAATCAGTCCGTAAAAGCATTTTGAAGTCGATTGTAGACCTTGAGAGCCGGATCTTTGAGAAGGACATTTGGCTCACCGATCTCGAACCGCGAAATGTGATGATAGGTTCTCCAGATAGCGACAGGCCCGGTGTCGTAATCATTGATTTCGCCCATGCTCTTTTCAATCGCAGGCGAGACGATCCCCCTTTGTTACAGTTGGATCAGGTTTTGGGAGAGTACATTTCGCCTGTCCTTCGGTGGAAGGAAATCAGAGGCAAAGGAGATTCTTTTTCAGAATGGATTGATTGGGATTGGGATCCCTGGCTCGAAGCCGAATTTGCGCATACGATCCCAAGGATAAAGCCAGGTATGCGAGAACGATGGCCCGACGATTAGTTAGTTCTGCGAGGAAGTTAGGTGGAGGCGTGAAATTTAGGACTACTGTTACACGTGGTTTTAGCTCTTTCGAATACTGAGCAGATATCCTCTATGGTCACGTCGTAATACGTCCCGTTTTGATATGGGGTTTGAATACTCTTATACTCTAGCGCACATGACAAGGAAATGCCGGCTCTTCCTTCCCCCGGGGTCGATGGCCTACCACTCATATCTTCTCTATCGTTATCCCTGCATGTCGAAAGTGGCCTTCGGTGCTCTGCTGTTTTACACCAACCTCATGTACGCACCGTCGAAGGAAGGCATGAAACCCCTGGCCAAAGCTCTCTTCGTATTCTAACCAAGCTTTCTTGACATAGGCTTTTAGCTCGGCAAAGAATTCCTCAATGGGGTTGAAATCTGGTGAATACGGCGGCAGGTACAGTACTTTGACCCCCGCCTCAGCACATACGTACCGCCAGGAACAGAGTTGAAACTAATGTAAGTAGCTTCGAGGAGTATACGTGGAAGTTACTCCGTCCGTACTTTATCACGGTTGGGAACTACCGATTGAATTTGGCAGTTCGGGCTGGATACTGTGCGCCCATTGGTCGGAGCACTTTGTTGGCGGTTCAGAATCGCGACTCAGCGATTCTTGTTCGGACCAAACCATACGATCTCCTTCTGGGAGTTTCCATCGTCCGAGAAGGTGCGGTAACTTCCCCAAGGGACGGAAGCAGTGTTTCTGGTTTTTTACGTTTAGCTGTATCGAAAGGCCAGAGATGAGAACCAGGAATGTGAAGTCGGACTCTAACCCAAACCTTCAAATCTCACCAGGATGGAGCAATCCAGTAATCCTCCCAGGCGCCATGATCTGCGTCCTGAAACATCTCGATCCCTCCCTCAACGCCATTTTCGCCTACTGTCCACACGCCACTTTCGATCAATTCAGTCCATCGATCAAACAGCCTCTCCAATCTCTGCGCCCGGTGCTCCCCGCCAAACGGGTGAAAAACGCCATGCTGGAAAAGCTGCGTGGATGAGCCAGATGGCACTAGAGTTCCATCACTCCGCCTAGCCCCATCCTCGTCGGCAGGATTCGGTCGTAGTGCGAATGGGAGTAGAAGGCGGAATCCAGTTTCTTCAGAATCGTATTCGAATCGATTGACCGTTGCACTATATAATCCTGTGGGAACAGGATCACCGTCGTTGAATGGCACATCATTTCTCGATCCAAAGAACAAACGATGAATTTCTTCGTTGAAACTGATCGTGCGGCTATCATCCGCAGATGTAAAGAGTAGGAATGACGGCACAGCCCTGCCCTGACCTTCCGCATTAAACATCTGACGCGCTGTGAAGGCTTCCTTGTCGTGCGGAACCTCCAGGCCGGGCGCGATTAGCTTCAAACGTGGGGTCCTCACTCGGGTCAGAAAAGAGCGAATAAAGCACTCCTTTGGCACTAAAGCCGCATCGAGCTCTGCATCGGTAAAAAATGGTGCATCACGGGATATTGGCAAAAGAGACTGCACGCGTGATTCGATCGCGTCCGTGTAGCGGTCCATTGCAGCAACCGTACTATCAATCTGAGCAGCGCAGTATGGGTGCCAACACCACAATCCAATTTGATGTCGCGAATTCGCTTCTTCATCGGACAAGTCTCTCTCGTTCCGTGGATCGGCCGTGATTTTTCCCATTCGGAGCATATGGATCCATTGGGTGAGAATCGTCTCTAGAGGAAACCACATATCCCAATGTTCAGCAACAGGCTCGATACTTTCTGAATTCTCGATGGTCAATGGGAATGAGGCACGATGGTTCAGCTGGTCGTAGAGAACACCAAGACAGTGGGAGCCTAGATCGGGAGATGTGCCGTAAATGACCACAAACCGCTCTTTATCCTCGAAATCGTTGTCTTCGAGGGAGAAAGACTCGTCGGCAAGTTCCATTCGAAGCCTGCTCACCCAGTAGAAGAATCCCGGCGTCGGATCATAGATTGAATCAAGGAATGAGTTTAATGATGGGTCAAGCCGAGCACGAATGGCGTCAATATTCTCGTTCGGCTGGTTGAAGAACCATGACTCGCTGGCTAGGGCGTCGAGATCAGGCGTATTTGTTCCGTTGCGGGCCACGTAGGCATATGCGACCAGGTAGTTGTGCAATCTAGCGCAGCGTTGAAAATCGAGTGTATCTCCATCGCGCGCTGGATTCTCGTCTGAAACAAGAGCATCTTCGATGTCAAGGATCTGTTCTGGCGTGGTGTTCATGATGAGGGTTGAGGGGCAAGAAAACAGTCTGAGACAGTCGAGTATGGACGGATGCCTGGTTTTGTAATTACGCATACAGAGCGGTCCCACGGTGTCTTCAAAAGTTCAAATATTAATGCCCGAAACATGGTATGGTATTGTAAGTATGGTATATCAGTACTAGCACCACTCCCCTGTACTCTGCAGATCAATATAACCTTGTTCTTTTGGCTCCTACGATTCCAATACTACAATCAAGCCATGATATAGATGTGCACAGCGCCTCTTGATTTCAAGTTTTATTGGTCTACACCCCCCATGGTGGCGCTAGATTCAGACATTTCGTGAAACTTTCCCTTGAATTCATGGTTCCCATATCAACATCTGAACCGTAGAAACGGCGCCTCGAGTACAGGACAAGGTGGAAGAATGAAATTCGGAATTCCCAAGTATGAGCCGGGCAATGGATAATGTTGAACAGGGAATTCCCCATTTGCTGCCGACGACCCAATCGCTGGCAAAGCCAAACGACTTATAACGAGCGAAAATCGGGCGAGCTCAACCTCGACATGATGATACCAATTTGCCAGACGGAGACGGGGGGGGGCTGGACGAATTCCCGGAGAGCGACAAATGCATGCGTCGGGACGGTGATCGCCTCTTCGCCTGCGGGGGAACGAAGTTCCAACCCCAGGGCAGCGTAAGCCTCCACGCTGGGTGGTGTTGCACTGATTACAGCGCCTTTTGGAACCACTCTCTGGATCGGTGTGAGTTCTAAGACCTCGGAGGGTATTCGTAAGGTGCCAAATGTGCTGGCGAACCCATCGTGTCGCCAAGAACTTTCGATTTCGGCACGGCTCTTGAAAAGAATCACGACAAAGCCCGCTTATAAAAGCTCTTGACGCCGATCGAACTGGGAAAATTTTTGCGAAGACGATGGAGATGATCTCGACAGATAAACTTCCTTGGATTTAGAATGGTTATCCACATCTTTCGGAGCCATAGGTATTCCTGGGCCAGGTTCGACATCCCGTCACGCCTCTTTCCCAACCACTCGACGAGCCCGCGGTTGTCGGAGAGTGAAACACCAGCCGCTGAGAGTCTCCGAGCCCACGCCCCCTTCTCCGGTCACATCCCTGGCTGAACACCATGTTGGGCAGGCCTTCCAGGATGACGCCTTGGTACATACATTCCCCCCCCGTCGACGATCCACCAATCGAGTGCAAATCGACTGCGGCATTGCGCAGCTGAAACAAGCAGAGTATCTCTCATACTTGATGCTTTGTCGCACTCTCAAAAACCATTGTCTTGGTGAGTCTGCGGTGGTTTGGTTCTGACCCTGACAGTTGTACAGATCATGCTCGTTTGGTAGCCGCTGCTGGGTACAATACCAGCATCTACCTCGCCACAGCGCTCCCTGCTCTCGCAAAAATGCGACCCCCTGAACAATCGCCTGGCGCCGCACCTGAGCTGACTCTGCAGCCGCCTCCCGTTCACGGTCTTGCTGCGCGAACTGGTGAAGGACAGACGCGGGGACCGAGGGCTGGGACAAATGCGCCGGTGCCACTTGAGGCTGCTGTGGCCTCGACTCGACCATTCGTGCTGGGGCTGAAGGGACTATTGCTAAGAGATTGGTTAGCCGCCTTGACGCCGAAATGAAACTATGGGGGGGGGGGGGGGGTCTATTACCTGGTGTCGGACTGCGACGATACGGCGGACTGGCCGACTCGAACTGGTCTCGAAGTGGCTCTGAGTCGGTTCCACTGGGATCTGTATCCTCCTCGGGATCAGTCGTCGAGTTGATCTCTTCCGGTGGCCGCTGGGTGTACACGATATCCTCCATGCCTGAATCGACCGGGTCATCGGCAAGCTGGCTCCGATCACGGGGCAAGGACATGGCATCCGACAACTCGCATCCTGCCCCACTTGCTAGCTCTGGCTGACGCTCCACCTCGCCCTCATTTTGCTGCCAGTCCACGTCGCAAGGGAGTGGCCGATTCGAACTGCTATAGAAGTGCGTCTGATTCAGTCTCACTGCGCTCTGTATCTTCCTCGGGATCGGTGGTCAAACGCGTGGTCGCTGGGAGTACCCAATACCCTCCATGGTTGAATGGACCGGGTCGTCGACCAAGGGGGTCCGCTTGACACTTCAGCCACATCGTAGTTATCCTTTCAGTGAACCCACCTGGTTTCAGGTGGATTAGAGACCACCCGCGTGGGCGCTGATGGGCTTTGTTTGAATGATGACACCCATTCGCCTTTGCTCAGATTCTTCTACCAGTAATACCTGGCCAAGATGACTGAGCGAAGGGTGATATGTTCGTATCAGTTGTATGTTGGCCTCTGTTACATGGGTTCGACCAACGCACGCGAAGCTGCAGCTGCTTGGCTGCCCCATTCGACACGACTTGTCGATGGAGGCTACGGCGACGATGATGGAAAATGATGACTCTCTAAGAGAGAGGGGAGAAGAGAGAAGGAGAAGAAGGAGGCAATCAGGGAGGTCCTGAGGTTGCAAGAGGGGTCACATGACCACTGCGTCCATCACTTGATTCTGAAGAAGAGTAAGCTCATCATGATTCTCTTCCTTTTAGAAGTTGAGACATATACGGGGAACATCGATCATATGCCGTAGCTCTTGTACTGACCCCGCTGGTAAAGAATCATCGTGATCGTTGTTAGTGCAGTTGTCCAGAAGAACGGGGTAAGGGAACATGGAGCCATCGTAGAAGATATACGAGGTTTCTGGCATGGTGACTCGAGTCTTAGCGAAGGAGGCCATGCTAAGAAAGGCATGGCGGATATGTTACCAGCCAAATCTTTTAGACAAAAGAATGCATTTAGACGAAACAACAACTATGAGAAAGAAAAGAAAGAGAACAAGAAAGAATCCGCAGAAGACTTTTTATCCCTTCTCCCAGTCACAGGACATGTCCTCTTCCTCCTCAAGTCACAGGACATCACAGCTCTCGTAACACACACGTCACACACTCACCACCCATCATGTGACGCCTGACTCCTGAGCCCTGATCGTCACAGAGGCAGGAAGAAAAATGACCTGGGGAGAAATAGAAGGTACAGATGGAATAGTACGGAGTACTATGTACTAGTTAACTAGTACATGCACTGTACATGACAGCCTCACTAATCCTGATTAGCCTCAGAGGTACTCCGTAGTTATGGACATAAATAGTGAGTACTAGTAACTGAGTAACTAGTTACTAGTACTGCGGTCAGTGGTCACCAGTACTCACCAGTCTGCATCTAGTCGGGAGATATATTCCGACTTCCGAGACTACCTAAGGGTAAAACGTTGATCGGATCGGCCCGAGTGGATCCAAAGTTTTGAATTGCATCCCAGCCCGGAACTTCAACACTCCGATATCTCCACCAGGAAGGGCGACCTCACTGGGATTGTAATGTAATGTAGCATGGTTATTACCAACTTCCCGGGTATACGGTGTTGGGGAAAAAAAGGAAGATTAAGAAAAGAAAAGATGAGCAAAACAGGAAGCGTCCAGCATCCACTCGTGTTACCACCAAATCCCCGATGACGCCGACCCGTGCTGGTTCTTGCTGAATCCGGCCGGTGGAGCCGAACGAAAAAAATTCAGTTCTGGCGCACAAGAAGGTGCAAAAAGTAATGACCGACGCAGGGATCGAACCTGCAATCTCTTGATTCGTAGTCAAGCGCCTTGCCATTGGGCCAGCCGGCCGATGAGATGTTTCTCATTCATAACGACTTATGTACCAGGAGCCAGCACCGGGTATAGCTTTGAACCATTAAGTCATAATCAAAGACGTAAGATACACTAGAGTCCATTATACGCATCAATGAAAGAGAGAGAGAGACAACAGTAAAGACAAAAGAATAGTCCTCTGATAGTTGTTGCTGGAAGAAAACGATGGAAGAAAAGCCAGAAATCCGCCCAAATCGCCGCCTAGAAACTCATACATTCGACTCCGATTCATCTGTCGCGTAGATCAATGACACCATAGGAGATTTCTCAGAAGGTGTCCCTTCTTCCACGGACATGTTTTGTGATTTGCAATTCGGCTCCTTCTGCCAGCCCAGGCGCACCGCAAGGGACATCAGCAGATGTCCAATGAAAAAGCCAACCAAACAAGCCACCAGTCCAGCTGTTGCACCTAGCACCGCAGGTAGCACAGCAGGACTGAAAATAGCCATGAAAGAGTGCTTGGGACGATGACCGTGGTGAGGCCCATGGTGGCCAGAGCGGTGGTGAGGATAAGCCGCAGCGGGAGCAGCCCCAAAAGCAGAGATCGAGAATGGAGACTTGGTTTCCGACACAGTCGTGAACTGGCTGCCGGTTGCCTTTGGGGTATCATTTTCAGCGGAGGATTCGGCAATTTGCCTGGAATCGTCGGTTGAGACTGCAGTCTGCGTCTTCTCGAAAATGGAACCGAACTGGGTCCTCCAGTACTTCACTACCCACGGCCGACTGTTCTGAGTAAAGCGATCCTCTTCATCGCCGCCGCGGGCTGGCTCGATGCGCACCCGGGTAATGTGGAAGTCTCCATTCTGGTAAGCGAGCAGATCGACAGCCACGGCATTTGGAGATATCAAGTTGCCATGTAGATCGAATAATTCGACTCGCACACGGACCATGCCGGCGACAGAGCCGACGCGGTCTGTGAATAGCGGGCGACTGTCGAGCGTGTATGAAACTTCGACGGTCTTGTCACTGGGATTAGTTTGGTCGACGCCTTCGAGGAGAGGCGCACGGAGCTGCATCGTTAACGATGGCGGATAGATTTTATCCTGGTTGGCGTAAAGAGCCCCATTTTTGATAGACCAGTTGATAGACTGTGTTGGATTAGAAGGCTGGTTCGGAGCTCCGAGGTTATCGGAAGCGACCTACTAGTGATGATCTGACGCCATTTTCGAGGTTGTCGGGAGAAGGAACAAAGGGAAGCCGGAGTTGATGTAACTTGGATGGGATGGTAGAGGCAAGGGCATTGCCTAGACAGAGGGCCCACAGCAGCCGCATGATGAGGGGTAAGATGGAAGATCGGCCTGGGCGAAGGGTGAATATCTTAAGATCAAGGGGAAAAGATAAAGACGTGGAGGAAGTAATGACGAGTAGACAAATAGCTCGAGTGGGGAAGTAGGAGGGATTTAAGGTCCGAAGAGTACAACAGATGAAAGAAGTAAATATAGCCTTTCAAGACAAAGCTAAAACTTAAAGACTTCGAATAAAAAATAAAAAATAAATCAGATAAAAAATAAATCAGATAAATACATCTAACGCTCAATCGAAAGTGGCTGCTACAAGACCCTGAAGATGCTAGTTACTAGTTACTAGTTACTCGCCTTGACTAGTTAGTTAGATGTAGTAACTACTAACTACCTGGTCAGGTGAACCAAGATTCTGGCCCCCTCGAGAGATCACTTATGAAAGTCTTTCCCAGAGTTTCAAGAATTGCCAACCTAGCCTGGGTTTAGGGAGATCCTTCTGTCCTATCAGATTACTCGAGAAACGCTTATAATGTCCCCGTGTCAGATCAAGCCTGACAAGGGGGTCCAGTGTCCAGGGTCCAATATTGCGGGACTCGGGCATTTCCACTCTGCATGATATCGAAGTTACTGATTTGTGCCATGACCTTATGCATTTGGTTTATTTCACTCCATTCTCATTGTGTATCCTCCACAGTTTAACAACAGCACAACTTGCTGCTTGCATAGCTTCGAAAATCGTCGAATTTGGTTCGGCCCTCGGGAAATCCGCCGATCACCCGCTAGACCAAATCCCGTTAGTGGGAGACGGACTGTCGAAAATCCGATCAGCCCGTAGAAGAGTTGCAGAATCTAGAGTTCTAGACTCTTCACTCTACTACTGTGTACCTGTTCAGACTAATCTATATCATTTTCCATAACCCTCCGATATTAGAGCTACACAGCTGTGCGAGTCCGATGGAAGAATCCGTAGTTTTAGTCTCGAATGGTTTCTACTCCGTACTTATAGATCTACAGCTCGATACAAGGGAAATGCAAGAACCCTCTAGATCAAAGGGGCTGTGGAAGATAAAAATAGCAGGCAGAATCTCCCAAGTCCGAAACATAACCTAACGCTAAGCTTTCTCGGCCAGTTTAACCACATGTCTAGGCAGCGATTGCGTTTGTACGTAGTACTACTTAATTTTTCCCTGCCTGTGGGGCTCTTTCCAATATTGGCTGTCGCTTTTTATGAGGGCCTCAGAGTCAAACGGAGCAGATTCGGAAGATTCCAGTCCGGGTTCAATATTGAGTGCAACTTGGTGCAATTCCACAAACTCTCCTAATTCCAAGGTACCGCCAAGATGCCACTCTACTGGAACAGTTCGCAGGCGCGGTCAACTGGCCAATCCTTACCACGCGGAAATTGACATTATGATTAGGAGGGATCATACCTGTTTGCAAATATCTTCCGAGCAGGGAAGTTGGACATTCAGCTCCCAACTTCCTGCTTGAATATCTACCAACCGTTTGGCTTTACATCCATTGTACTACCTCGCAGATTATGTACATCGGCTGCATTAGTTTAGACCTAGTCTCAGCTTAGCACGTCTGCATGCCCCATGGGAATTGCATTATTGTAATTGCAACAACAACAACCTAAACAAAGTTCTGCTCAAGTTGGTTTGTTGTTGCGGCGCGAAGCGTCGCCTTACTTACAGGCGAAATGATCCAGAATCGGGCAGAATTATTTCCCCTCTGATTGGTTGTTCGTAGTTTTGGTTGCCTATTTCGGAGTTGCAGTGCCTATTGTGGATAGTTTGCCCTTTCCGGTCCCATCCTTACCCTACCGCTTTTCCCCAAACGGAAGTAAAGAGTTCGACTTTCCGCCTGCCATTTACGGACAGCTTGCCTATCACGCGCCCATCGGGGCATCCCTAACGCGTTCCCCCAAACACTTCGTCCAGCCCCTGGAAATCAACCTATCGCCTTCACACGCCAAGCCGCTATCTTCTTTCCACGTTCTACAATTCTACGGTCTACACATTCGCGATGACTGTCGATCCTACGCTCCAGAATTGCCGGATCGGTCGATGCATCATCCGAAAGATCTCCAGTCTGGATCTGGATAGGGCTTCCAGGGGGCCCAACTTGAGAGTGCTGACCGGCAATGGAAGCGAGACCTGGGGTCGCCTGATCCGAAGCTGGGAGGTTGGTATTCAGAATCATAACCAATAACTAACCAATATTGTCGAAAATCCGGGGATTATCAAGGTCGTCGGAGGCTGGGCAGAGCTTGGTAGATCTCGCACATCAAGATTCCAAGACCGAAAAGGCTCCAGGCGATACGTAGCATATTGTGCGCAACAGGAGTTCCTATCCTACCAGGTAAGTCAGAGAACTCCTTAGCTTTTGTTCCAGGTAAAAATGGGGAACCAACAGGAATGGAACTCTCGAGCAGAACAGGCCGTCCAGTTACTACACAACATCTACATTGCAACCCCAGCCCCCAGAATGTCCACTAGTTTCTCTTGAAATACTTATCAACAACATTTACTACAGGCTGAAAACAACATGAACATAAATTGATTTTTTTCGATCAAAGGAAAACATAGTTACATTGGACCCTGTGCTTAGGTAGGTTGATCACAGAAATCCAAGTTGCTGGTCCATCACATCTCGCACGAGAGTCTCAACCGAGCGCCATTGCATACCAAGCTCTGTCTCCGCCTTGGTCGTATCAGTTGGGAACCCTCCACCCTGGATGTCTTCAGTGACCAATGCACCGGAATCTGGATAGAACTTCTTGACGATGGGCGCAACATTCGCGCCTGTCATCTTTGGTCCAGCCAGCAGATACTTTGAGCCATCAACGATTTTCGCATCCAAGGCTTTGATCTGTGCATCGGCTACATCTTGAACATGCACACCTCCGATATTCACAGTAGGGTCGCCTTTCATGATGAAATTCCATAGAAGACTGTTAGTCCCGGTCACGTCTGCGGACGTCTGCACATTATTGTGACCGAACACGAATGCAGGGTGCAGTGTCACCAAAGCATAATGCGGCTTGGCTGTTGCCCGGAAATCCCAAGTCGCCTGATTCGCAAGAAGCTTAGAGGCCATGTACAGTCGCATTGGCGTTGCGTCCGGGTTTTCAGGGTCCTCAAAATTTGCATGTTCATCGACCGAAAAGTCCCAATCGTTGTCCTCTGAAAACTTGTTAATGCCTTTCTTCTGCGATAGTGGGGGACGAAATGTGAGAGGATACGGTACCTTTGATCACACCACCAGCAGGGATTCCAGTTAACGGGATGAAGGCGGCGATCGATGAAGTGATGACAACTTTCTTGATGCTCGACACCTTTGCGGCTGCTTTCAGCACGGCAGTGGTGCCTTTCACAGCCGGGGCGAAGTGGGATTCCTTGTTCGTTCCATGGGCAAGAGGAGACGCAAGATGAAGCACATAATCCACACCGTTCAGCTTGCCGTCGAAAGCCGTCTCGGCGGTGATATCTGGAACAGTAACAAACTCGACTTGGTTACTATACTCTGACAGCAAGGCCTCCAATTGCTCAGAGGGCTTGCGAAGACAGACTCGCAGACGGTATCCAGCCTTGAGAGCTGCCAGCGCAGTTGCGCTGCCAATAAAGCCCGTGGCTCCGGTAATAAAGATCAATTGGTTGGACATATTGTGGAAGATTTGTTCGTTGGTGAGAGACCTCTTTCACTGAAGGAATCCATGGCTTTTATAGAGGGAATAGATCTTGAATTTCTAAGCTGTCGACACTTTCAAATTGATCCTCTGTTGATCGTTTGTCAGGAACGAGATAAGGACTTCCCCTTCGGGCTTCAATACTCCGAACGAAGTCCGACATAGGATCGATAGATAACCGGGAGAGTCAAGCTTTGTAATCTTTGATCTGATTAGTTAGAATCGGATTACTTGTTGCAGAGTATGGACTTCGCCCAAGAAATTAATGATATGGTGATCTATTGCGAGGGTTGTCGCCACCCGAGGTTGATGAAATGATCATAAAATTATTATGCTGCCAGCCGACCCACCATTCTGTTCATTACACTATCATTTCGAGATTTCGGCTCCTTCGTGCTACAAACTCAAGAGACACATATTCACTTCTTCGAAAACGACACAGTATGTCATAATATCACTCATCACTGAGCTTCTCGGTGATCTGTCAACTCATTCAACCAACATTCCTTCATAATCTACACGGGGACTTCTCGCCACTTGCCGTAAAATACCCAAACCGCAACAATGCCTGTCTGGCATATCGAACACAGTCCGAACACCATCACGGACCTCGAAAAAGAGCAGCTTGCCCAGTCAATCGCCAAGCACTATGTCTCCGTCGGCCTACCTGCATTCTATGTCCAGGTCCACTTCGTTGAAAGTCCTCCTGGTAATAGGACGTAGGCCGGTAGAACCGGCAGCGCGATTTATTAGTCGGATGACTGGGATGCTGTATTTGCTGGATGGTTTTGTTCCCAAAGCTACCTAATGAGCTGTACGCGCGACCTAGGGTATTTGAAGACAGGCCCCAGATGAGACTTGGGATACCGTGCTGGACAAAGTTGGTGTAAACGTGCAAAGTGTATGAGATATCCCGGCCATGCAGCACGGGCGGCATGCTGAATACATAGGTACCTAGTGAAGAGGGAAACTCTCGAAGGAAGGCTCTGTGCTCCGAAGCACGACTCACAGCTCCCCATTAGTTGTATCCTTACCGCCAACTGGCAAGCCCTCCGCCAACTGGTAGGCCCTCCGCCAACTGGCAAGCCTTCCGGTCAACTGGCAAGGCTACATTCCTGCCAATTGCCCTAATAATCCCACAGCGACAGCATGTATGTAAAGCGAGTTAACTGGGGTAAATGAGAATATCATCATAATTACCATCATCCAACAGCGACCACGTGCCGCGTCTGATCTGGTGTTTAATTCTATCGCAGAGATCGAAGCAGCGCGCGGCAGGAAGCCACTGGTCGAGAAGCACCGCCGCGCACAGTACCGAAGGAGTCTGAAAATCCCCCTAGAATCCACGAACGCTACTCTACGCAGTAAATCGAGATGGCAACCTGGTTCTGGATGTTGTAGCCAAGTGGTTAAGCTGCGGGGTTTTAACCATCTAGGCCAGGCAGACGGAAATCTCGAAAATGTGAGAAATGGGATAGTTGTTCATGACTCATGTACTTAATTACACAATGAATCATCCCGTCGTTTATCAAGGCTCTCATCGATCCCCACCTCGCGGATCTGATAGTTAAACATCAAGTTCGAGGGCACTGCATGCTCATCTCGAAGTTTGACGGCACTCTCCACGCCAGCTGCTGGCACTCGATACTCAAACCGCTTACCATGCGCTGGCACAGACCCATCGGGAAGTGCATAGGGAAACGGAAGGTATTCGGGTAACAAGCCGAGTTGCACAAGAACTGTTGCTTGGTCCCATGCAATGTGTTCATGATACAAGCGATCCCCGCGGATGTTAACGACGGATGTGAATGGAACTTGAACATGTCTGCCCGTGGGTGGAATGCCGGGGATTCTAAAACGAGTGCGAGGTCAGTGGTCTATTTCATTCCATCATTGAAAAGTCACCCACATCCAATCCATTTCCTTCACATGAGTAAAAACTAAGATAAATTCGTCTACGATTCTGTCGATGCCAACTGTCCGACTAATCAGCTCCAATTCTGAGTCATCGGGGTTGTTGAAAATGAAATTGTTGAGATAAAAGTGGCTCAGTCGAGCTCGTCCAATGCCTCCGGTCAAGGTTGGCACGTGGTTCACATAAGGCTCTTGGACCATTGTCGCCATTGTCTTTTCGACTGAGCGTTCTTCAAATTCATAGAAAGTGTGCTCATCCCAGATCTTCTCGAGGTCAAAGAAAGGGCCGCCCAAGTGCTTCTTGATAAATCCGAGAGTACGAGTGTGGGCCACTCCAGCGGTCGATATCTTGAAATCGGGGTGCCCTGGAATGATAAAACCTGGCGAGGGCACGTCGGAGTATACGCGGATAGTCTGCCCATCCCTTTTCTCGCCTTCAGATGGACTAGAGAGCTGCATGAGTGTTGATTGAAAGTAAGGAATGTTCCATGAGTCAAAGAACACAGCTGCGATCGATTTCGTGCCTTGAGCCAGTGCATCTTGGAGACTATCCTCGAACTGGGGAGGATAATCTGCTCTTGCACCGTAGACTGATCAAAGGTCAATAAATGTTATGGAAAAGTGACTCTGACAACTGCATACCTATCAACCCGATTTTTTCCGTGGTATCACATTCTGGTCTCTTAATCAAGTCCTGCTCAGCCTTGAGGAGAAGCTCTCGTAGAACTGATTTGTCGCTGGCAGATTGATCATCCAGGGTAACCTGCGCTACCGTAAAGCTCTCCTCAGCCCATTTCTTAAGAGGCTCCGGGTCGAGTGACTCATTTTGCTCTTGGCATGTCGCATAACAATGAGGTCGGATGAGAAGCAGTCCTGGACCGCGTCCACAGCGGGACATGGGAGGTTGAATAGTCACATATGGACTTACGACCACCACTGGAGTTGAAGCAGGTGTTATACTTGAAATGGCCATGATAATATGATTGGAAGTTGTCAGAAGCTGAGTTGGGAAACCTGGGCAGGTTGATGTGTTGGATGATCCTTGTATAGGCGGGGGGCACGCACACGGTCACACCCCCACTTGGTCCAGTGAAGAGAAGCATGAAACGAAATTGGAGTAGGCTATGAGACTACGTAGACTTCATCACTTCAAGAATGAATTACAAGTAGAGAACTATTCCCAGTTCCCTATCAACACCCCAAGTATCGCAATCGTTTTTGAAGTTTGACCATCCACGTGACCTGTTATTGGATGAGTTTCCGCTCGATTTCCAGAGCTCTAGCTCTTGCTCTTCCCGAGTAACCCAACAATGAACGAACTCATCCAGTCTGCCTTGACTGAAATCGAATCCAAACTCAATGCGCTGCTGACAATTCTCACAACCTCTCCCACTGCTGCAGGAGCGCCTGCTGCGGCGGTCGCGCTTCTTGACGCGGACGATGCGCTGACCTCCGCCATTGAAACCCTTCGACAACACCAAGAAAACCACGCAAAGATCCTTCGGTTACGGGCTGAAGCACAACAATTGGAGGACCGGGTGAAGGGAATTGTGAGGGAGATCGAAGTGTACGACAAAGATATCCGTACGGCTTGTGCAGACGGCGGCGACAGCGACAGCGATTTCGATTCTGACTCGGATGATGGTACTGGAGACAAGGCAACGGACTTGCAGGGAATCAAAGAGATTGATTACAAGTTACTATTGGATTTCGCACGTCGCATCAGCAAGTACAACCACGAGGCAGCAGCCGATGCCGCTTCAGGCGCCGCGAAACGACAGGGACAAGGAAAAGTCCTTGCCGGCAAAGACGTGATAATGACGGGTACAAACGGAGACCAGGCCACAGAGGATGGTGCAGAGCCAGTGGCAACCGTCACCAAAAACGCAACGCAGTGGTTGGACGAGTCCGCGAATGTCACACGCGAAGTTTACATGCTGCCATACCCAATGGAGGAACGGATACGGATGGGTCTGATGGGTCAAGTTCAGCTCGTCGCTGGCAACGACCCTGAAAAGGAAGTCGAACGGCTATTACGCGAGGCCGAAGGTCTTGGGGCCGCAGAACCGCCTTCACAGGTGGAACCTGCAGAAAGTACGAAACAGGCGGACGAGGCCTCGAAGGCCGCAGCTCAAGCCGGATCATCGGCGGCTGGAATGCCACGGGTGCCTGTTCCAGCGGCTGCGCCGAAACTCAAACCCAAGGCTATGCTGGATCTTGATCTTTACGATCCTGACGACGACGATGATTGAGCATACAGAAGCGGGCGTTGCATTCGATTTTCATAATGATACCACCTACACAGCGCAAAAGTCTTTTGTCTCAGATAATCTCTCCAAGAATGTGTTCGGCTAATATTGCCCATTCTAACATGGCCTTTGCTACCCTTTTTCCCCCAATACTGGCATCGAAGCTTCTTTCCACGGGGGTTGGCTGGGAGAAACAGGCATGCAATAATTCTCTCAACGAGATATTCGCCATATCGCGGAGAAGTTCACTCTCTACCGCTTTCTAGCTATGGGGTAGTTGACTTGCAGCCGTAGTCTCAAATTCTTTTTGGCCCTGATGGACTCGGACATCGAGCCCGCCGCAGGCTTTGTAGCTGTCAAGAGCACCTGTGTCGATATGCGCTGGGATGACTACAGCCTATACACGGTTGCAACGTATTCGGTCATGGTTACGGCCCATGGGCCCTTCCTCTGCTACCGATAAAGTCACTGCTCCATTGGGACGTGTACATAGTCGACACACATTATCCCCGGATTCCCCGCAGACCATGTGGTTTGACGCCCCGATTCGTGGCTATCGAGAATGGATGTACTACACGAAATCAAATATGACAAGCTTGGCCACTGTCTAGTAGCATCGTTATCTCTTCATGTGTAAACCGGCCTTCCCCTCTCCAAAGAAAGGCCGTCACCCATAAATTGGAGAGAGATACCAAACCTCCATGCGAGTTGGAGCAATGCAACAGACTGAAGACCGTCTTCGATCACCGGATGCTCGAATGGAAACAGGCCATATCCATGATCGGCGAGGACCATGCCCCGGAACTGCATCCCTCTACACATCATGACCAAGACGCTCCAGACTTTCAGCATATTCAACCATCCGGACAATTCCACCCATCTCCACGCGGGGAGCACCTGGGGATTGTGGATAAGTCAACCGGAGGATGTTCCGGGGCATCTTAAGAACCTGGGGACGCCGGATCCTAGTCGCGACCTGTCGCCCAGGCTTTCCCAAAATGTGATCGAATTCGAGCGTATGACGATCAAGCGAGTCATGATCCTCGGATGTCATATCCACACCAGGTGTCTCGCGAAGAAGGTTGGTAAAGTTTGTTGAGCCAAGGAGGTGATAGTCACCGGACCAATCGGAAAAGGCAATGCTCATTCTATAGAGTCAATATACAGGCCTCTCGGCATTTCTCTTGAGCAATACCAAGGGTTGCCGACAAGATGAAAACATTTATATAGCATCAGGTGCCCGGTCACTGCTAAGATCCAGAAAGGCGGTCATCCTTTTTGGCATGCTGTTTTTCTGAGAGCTGTTCAAACAGATGGTCGGATATCCACTGCAATGAGTCATAGTCACATCGATCCTTTCACCGATCTCGCAGACGGGGATCTAGAGAAACAAGATGAGAGCGACGGCCATGCTCGCTCCCCTGGAGGCACCCCCAGACGCGGCGGTAGAAGAAAAGAGGGCGCAGATGGAGCTGCCGGTGGACACGGCAAAGTGGAATTGAAAGAATGGGACTGCTACGACAAGCTGGGATACACTTTCTCCTGGTGGAAGAAATGGGGCATCCTCTCGGTCATCTTTGCTGTTCAAACATCCATGAACTTCAATGCCGGTTTCTATGCCAGCAGCGTCAGTCTTTACGCGAAACACTTCAGCATCTCCGAGCAGGCTGCACGTACTGGTCAAATGGGCTTCCTCATTGCCTATGCATTTGGCTGCGAATTCTGGGCTCCCTTCAGCGAGGAGTTTGGCCGATGGCCAATCATGCAACTCAGCCTGTTCTTCGTCAACATCTGGCAGGTTCCCTGTGCTCTGGCTCCAAACTTTGGTACCATTGTTATCTGTCGCATTCTCGGCGGTCTGTCGTCTGCCGGTGGCTCTGTGACACTTGGAATGGTTGCAGACATGTGGGAGCCCGAGGACCAACAATATGCCGTGGCCTTCATTGTGCTATCTTCAGTGGCCGGCTCTGTAGTTGCCCCAGTCGTGGGTGGCTTTGTGGCGACCTTCCTTGACTGGCATTGGAACTTCTGGCTTCAGCTCATTCTCGGTGGCTTTGTGCAGATATTGCATTTCTGTATTCCAGAGACCAGATGCAGCATCCTCGTCACGAGAGAGGCCAGGCGAAGACGGAAAAACGGGGAGATGGTATACGGTGGCGATGAGCTGAAGGGACACCGCATGTCTTTCCGCTGGGTGTTCATGGTTTGGGTTCGTCCATTCATTATGTTTGTCCGGGAACCTATTGTTCTGTGTCTTTCGCTTCTTAGCGGCTTCAGTGATTCCCTGATCTTCACTTTCCTCCAATCGTATACTCCGGTATACAAGCAATGGGGATTCAATACCATCACCATTGGACTCTCCTTCCTCCCGTGAGTGCCCGAGGTCTTAAATTCTGATGGCTCTGACTGAATCTAACCGACCCAACTATACAGACTTATGGTCGGCTACTTCATTGCCTATTTCTCGTTCCTCCCTTGGATTTACCGGCATTCCAAAATTAGAGCCCGGGACCCTGATGCTCTGCAACCGGAAGCTCGTCTTTACTGGTTGTTATGGGGTAAGTTTACTCTCAACTCAGCAGGTCTGGACCATTTGTCTCATCATTCACAACAGTGGTCCCTCTGTTATCAATAGGCCTATTTGGATTCTCGTGGACAAGTCTCGGTCCGCCCCATGTTCACTGGATTGCGCCTATGATATTCTCCACGTTGATCGCCATTGCCAACGTAAGCCAAAGAAACAATTCTTCCCCCGTGCCCCGTACAAGACCGAGCTAACTCGTGACCCAGTATGCCATTTACATGGCCACAGTCGACTACATGATTGCCTCGTATGGCCCATGGTCAGCCTCGGCCACAGGAGGAAATGGGTTCGCCCGTGACTTCCTGGCTGGAATTGCAGCCATGTACTCGGTGCCTAGTAAGTGGCCTTCAGTCCTACAACGGGACACCCACTAATCGCTAAAAACAGTGTATTCAAACATGGGTAAAAAACACCACCTTGAGTGGCCATCGACCTTCCTGGGCTTCATGGCGATTATTTTCACCATTCCGATATATGTGTTCTATTGGAAGGGCCCCAGAATTCGGGAACTGTCGCCATTCGCCCAAACCTTGGCTGCCGACAGGAAGAAGGCTGGTCGCAGGGTTTCTTCCTGTGGCTCTGGTGATCCGGATCCTGTGGAGAGGTATTTTTCCTCTCGTTCCTCGGAATAGATTCCCTGTAGTTGAAAGGTTGTCACTGCTGGGACCGGCATGTGCCTGTGTCCCATCTTGACCGTGGCTGCCTTGGGGTTGGAATTTGCATTAGTGGCAGGCAAGATGGAATTAATTGATTTCGAGAAGACGGAATGTGGCAATTGGTCGCATCAAAAGCTTCACTTTGATTGTTTAGGGGCGTTTCTTCTTTGATTTCTGATTCTCCTATTTTGGCATTGATATCGCTCGAGCTAGAGAGATGTAATAATCTGATTCAACCTTATGGACTCATGCTGTCAATGTCTTCCTGTCGAGGTGCTGAGGTGGCCCGTTGGCCATACCACTACCTGTCACATTTTCCATAGATGCATGAAAGAAGAATGGATGCCATCATCACGCTTTCAGATCCCGAGGTCGTCCGCTTCTTTCGGGATTAACTCCCGACAAAGACGCTCAAGCGGCGAGTTCCCAACATCTAGCGGATGCATTTCATTAAGTATTGAGTATAGACATTTAAATACATTAATCGATAGCCGATATAATGGCCAATCATGATATCAAACAACATAAAACACGAACCGGGTTCATTGGTTCCAAGACTCCTGGAGTTTCCGAACGGCGTATTCCGTAGCCCAGCCCAAATCAGCCTCAACGCCCCGTAGCAGATCGACAATAATCTGATGTTCTTCGGTGGATTCTAAACACTGTCCGACAGCGACAAGGAGCGGTACCATGTATATGCGAACTCCACCTTGTGGACGGCCCAATGCAACACCACAGAGCTCCCGGGAGCGAAATTCAACCTCTTTCGTGACCTCCCGGTAGCCCTGTAAGCGGTCGAACGCAGTAGAGGGTGCACCGATCACATCGGTCGGACGATTTAGCAACAATGCGATGCGTCCGAAGTGGTAATGTTGCATGGTAGCAGCACAGGCTGTTGAGCCGTGGAAGATCTCCGGAAATGGCAAGTAACTCCCTTCCATCGGTTTGGAAATATCCTTAGGGCGATCGATTCGCACGGAAGGACGGAATGTTTCTGGGACATTTTCAAACCATGTCTGAAATTCGAAAGACAATTTAAGCCAGGAATCCATATCTGGAAATGGCAGTTGGACAACGCTTGCCGGTGGGATATCGGGTGAAGATGCAGGTGGAGATCCTGTCCACTGTGCGAGCTGCAATTGTTTAGACCTTGCGAGGAAATTGATGACTTTCGTGACAAGCCAGATCAAGCCATTGGCGGCTTGGTCCTCTTGCGATAAAGATGAGCCATGCTGGATGATATTAAAGGCTTTCTGGTCATTAATTGAAATGCCTGCCGCTCGCCAAAGCGGCAGGTTTTCTGGGTCGAAGTGGGTGGGTGAGCGGGTGAAATAGGAACCGATATAGTCTTGACGAGCGAAATTCCAGAAGGCAGCTCGGATCCCATGAGAAAATGGGGTGGATGTTTCCGAATGTAGAGCGAGAATGGACTCAAACAAAGGCCAAACTCGAGACAGTTGCCTAGAAGTCGTTAGTATAGGGAGAGCAGCCACCAAACACGGGAAACTTACATGTGCCATTCATCTCCAGGCAAATCCAGGAGTCTGTACATGGTGAGAAGCGTGGCAGTCGCAAAAAGGTCTTCTGACTTTCGAATAAGCGACATATCATTTGAATCTTCGCTCGCGGGTTTCAAGTTTGCTTGAATATGGCTAGAATTGACCCATCGACCAACGATCTCAAATGGGGACTCGAGGATGGCTGAACTAGACACAGTGGTATAGCCATCTGACGTATTGTTGTTTAAATCCATAGCTGCCAGATAATAGTAATTGGCAGCCTTGAGGAACCAATCAACTTGAGTGGCATTTGGGTAGGTTTCCGTGCTGGCGGGACTTGTGAACATGCCACCCATGGAAGATTTGGCCCCTTTCAAACGGCCTAAGTGCTTGGCTGCTAGCGCTGCAATGGCATATTTCACGGACATATTGTTGATGGCTCGAATAGGAGCATAGACGGTGAAGAACTTTTGAGCATCCGACAAGTCCAACCTAGTAGCGATATTAATGGATTAATCATGAACAAATTTGTATGTTTCACCTACCATGGCCCTATGATCTCAGAGAAATGTCGAGTGAGGAACGCAATCTCGTGTTCAGTACCAGTCATGAGCTCCGAGAAGATATCTTGGAACTCTTCCTTCTCACTTCGAAGCGATGAACTCTCAGACATCACGCTCTGGTAATCGGGACGTTTGCGTGGAATTTTGTTGTATGGGTTCTCAAATGTTGGAAACCCTCCTGCGCTAGTGTTGGGTGAAATTTCTCCATACATCGTATCTCTCATGGATCCGCTGCCGTCTTCCATGGCAGAGACTGGATTAGGAATAGAGATAGGTGGGCTTTCAGAAGCGTTCATGTTCATTTGCTGGATACCTCCCACGGCAGGCTCTGGCCGGCTAGGAGGACCCGACATATCCACCGCCATTGAATCATCACGCGAGTCTAGACGCGTTTCGCCCATCTGTAGGTGAAGGGTGGGATCAACATTCTCTGGAGGCTGGTCCCATTGCAAGATTTGCTCATTAAACCCTATCTGCGACCCTTTTGGCTGCGATGGGCCTGAGCTGGGCTCTGAGGGGCCCTATCATGAAGTATGAGTGCCCGGACAGAGACATATTTGACAGGCTGACATACTTTATTTGAATTAAGCGGAGAGCTGTGCCTTGGAGGCTCCTGGTATGGAGCATAGCGGCGTCTTACTGTTGCTCCTTGATCGATGAACTTGCGAGTTTGAACATATCCGGGACATTCTACCCCGGCAGTTGTGCACCGCTGACAATGAGGGCGAGTCTCATCACACTGCCACCGACCATAGATTAGCATCAAGTTTCAATTTCATGTTCAAAGTCGAGATTGAACTAACTTTGAGATGCCTCTTTTTGCATCGCTCGCAAGCCTTGTTGGAAGGCACCCCGGGCATATTGTGGGCTGCGTGTGCGATCTTATTCGTAAGTTGAGGTCATTAGTGAAGGTCTTTCTATACTCCACCCCTTCTTCACATTTCGAACATGAGATGAAGATATAATATCAAGGGCAAGAACCCTGAGATCTTGACATGATGCAAGTTCCAGCTTCTAACTAACTACGACGTGATGACATAATCCCGGGATTTTCTCGGAGTTCGGCATCGGGTCACGTGCTCCATTTGAATGCAGTACATCTTGTCGTCATGTACTTTTCTTTCTACTTTCAAAGGCCAATCTATGCGAAAATCATGCTACGATCTCCGGCACTGCTAGTTGATACTCATGGTAATGGTACATCCAGTCCATTGGTTCGTTCCATTGAAGACCATGATGTACATCCCAGGAGCCAGATACGATGGGGCTCAATATCTTCGACCCAGCCGATTCTCTCAGGCCCGGAACAAATTCGCGTATATCACGAATGGATTGGTACGTCGCTCTAGGAGATTGAGCACTTCTACAATGTCTAATTTCTTATCGCAGATGCTGGGAGACCTCATAATATAGTGTGTTGGGAGTGCCGCCTCCCGGACAGTCTGATTGGTTGTCAGACATGCTGTAGATCATATCATACAGCATGCCTACTGGATGTGGTTCGATCTGCGAACAACTTCTATTGTCCATCTTGTAAGACAAGAGCTTGGGATCGTGCTCCGCCTCAGTTCCCTACGCCATCTCCCATTCCAAGTAATCGTGGAATAACTCCAAGCTATCGTCCAACCCCTACGTTTGAAAATCTTCCAATTCATGCTGAACGATCTCCCTCGGAATCTGGGCGCACATCTTCCGGGATATCTCGGATGCTGTCTACCCCTGCTTTGGGTCGAATCAATGAATTCAATCATCGCAGCACGCCAGCTGAGCCATTTCCAATTGCAGAGATGTACCCTCAGCTTTTAGAGTATTTGGCGTTGACAGACACTGGGACAGATCAGCGTCCCCAGTCATCGCAGTTCAAGCATCAATTGGGATTAGCGATGAAAGAGATTGAATCAAGCCGATCACTGTTGCAAGAGAAGGCCAACATTAGAGAAGAATATCTCAGATTACAAGCGGAAAATGCGCAAATCAAAGCTCACCTCGATTCCAAGAATTCACCTCGAGAGTCCGCCAGGCCAAGCCCTTCGATGATGCCACTTAGCACATCAAACCCGGCGGCGGAGCAACGGGGAAAAGCCTGGGACAGCATTGCCGTTGACTTATTTTGACTGTCCGCCTGGCTGCAAAAGAATTCCTCGAGACAGAGTTACAAGGAGACGAGGTCGACACTCTGGAGCAGTGATTGGTGAGGGGTTGCACCCCCGCAGCAGAGGTACGGGGATCGAGCCCCTGGTTTTATATTCGCACGTCATCCTCAGTGGCCGCAATATCTGTCAAACACCACTTTCTGCCATTCTAGATGCGTGTTGGAAGCTTCTCCCTTGTCTTTTGCCCGAAATCCCGACCGGCCCATTTCCATGTGGATCGTGTCAACTCCAGGTACCATCTCTGTGCATTTGACGCAAAATAATGCGGAGAGGGTTACATGAGGTTCAGGCCTTGACGCAGTCTGAACTCGCCCTACTCGCGGAACTGACAGGTTCTGCTGCACTTTCCCCGCAACTCGGGGTAATCGACCTCACCGTAACGTCAATGATCGCCAGTCCGAGATACTGGCTGTGTATTTGCATCAAATACCTCGGGAATGTTTCCGGTGCTTGGTTACTTCTCATGTGGGGAACAATTTAACATGGCAGGACGCGGAATATCTCAGATATCACATCACTTTAGCCGGCTGAAGATGTTACGTGAACTGCCCCCTGAATTTTCATCCGGGCTAGAGATGTGACTGGAAAGGAAGTTCTCATGCCGATCTGGGGCTGGAATAGCTTTCCCCCGCGATTATTGTCGATCGGCAAATAAGCAGCTTAACTCATAAGTAAAACGCGTTCCTTTGGTTGGACACGTGTGGGACATCTTTGTTTTCAGCTGTGAATAGCATTCTTCTTGTGTCTACTGCTGTTGCGATACTTTTACCTGCGACATGGGGCTGCTCCGTGGCGTTGTGACGGCCCTCCTTGCCTCAAAGGTTATAGCTACGAAGGGGTTGTCCGCAGATGATTTTGACGTCTTGGACTATGTCGATCCTCTAATTGGCACTGCAAAAGGAGGTTCGTCTTGGCACTCATCGGCCAATTTACAAGAAAACGAAGGCTGAGGGTCTTGTAGGTCATGTATTTGCGGGCGCGAGTTTGCCATTTGGTAAGTCATACCATTGCAGCTTCTGAGGTCGAATACAGCAAAGCTAACAGACTCAGGTATGGCCAAAGCCGTGGCAGATACCAGCGGCGAGAATCAGGCTGGCTTCGCTTTTGATACGGATGTCGTAACCGGATTCTCTCACATGCACGATTCTGGAACTGGCGGCGTAAGCTATTGCAATTGAACGAGAGAACGTGCCTTTTCTGACATACTTCGAAGGCCGCATCGATGGGTAACTTCCCTATCTTCGCACAAGGAAGTTGCCCGCAGGACGACCTCCAGCAATGTCAATGGCAACTATCTGACCGATCGGTTTCTTGGGACAAAAAATCAGTCAAAGCTCGCCCTGGATATTTCGGTATCTCAATAGCTAATGGCGTTCAAGCGGAAATGACAACAACCAATCGGTCTGCTCTTTACCGTTTTACGTTCAATGAGACCTCTGATCAGCCGCTCAGTCCAGTGATCCTTTTGGATTTGATTGATTTACCTCAATCACGATCCAATGGAAGTGCAAACGTTGACCGTAAGACTGGGCGTCTCACGGGAAGCGGTACTTTTGGCCCAAGCTTTGGTACTGGCAGTTACAAGTCCTATGTCTGCGTTGATTTCAAAGGAGCAGACCTCCGTGACACTGGAAGCTGGATGAAGAATCAAGTCAACGCCAGCAGTCAAACACTGTCAGTCGACAATAGCATAGACTCCACTGTCTCAGCCGGTACATTCGCCAGATTCCACGCCCCCAAAGACAAGAAGAGTATTATGGCTCGCGTGGGTGTCAGTTTCATAAGTGTACAGCAGGCTTGTTCCAATGCGGAACGGGAACAGCCCAACTTTGATTTTGAGGGCACGGTTCACGCTGCCGAAACTGCCTGGCGGAAGAAGTTGGATGTCATCTCCATGGATGCAGATGGTGTCTCAGAAGATCTTCAGAAGGTTTTCTGGAGCGGAGCATACCGAACAATGCTCAGTCCCCAGGACTATACCGGTGAAAATCCCCTGTGGAAGAGTGACGAGCCGTACTATGACAGCTACTACTGGTAAAGTCGACTCTGCTCTGAGAATGTAATTTGCATGCTAATATGGTGGCTCAGTATATGGGACTCTTTCCGCAGTATTCATCCACTGCTGACTCTGGTTGACCCTCTGTCACAATCCCTCATGATGCGAAGCTTGGTCGACATCTACAGAAACGAAGGATACTTGCCCGACTGTCGCATGTCGCTCTGCAAGGGCCTCACCCAAGGCGGTTCCAATGCAGATGTGGTTATCGCAGATGCGTATCTGAAAAAGGTCGCGAACGTTGACTGGGCGACTGCCTATGAGGCTGTTGTCAAGGACGCCGAGGTAGAGCCCGAGAACTGGGATGTAGAGGGCCGCGGCGGCTTGGAGAGCTGGAAGAATCTTGGCTATATCCCCATCAATGACAATGATACCGCCGGTGAAGGAACACACACTCGGAGCGTCTCCCGGACAGTGGAATATGCCTACAACGACTTTTGCATTGCCGAGATGGCGAAAGGCATGGGGCACCAGGCCGACTACGAGAAATACTCGAAACGGTCTAAAAACTGGGCACACGTGTTCAAACCTGATCAGAAGTCAAGCATCGGGGGAGTCGACACTAACTTCACGGGATTCGTACAGCCCCGATACTTAAACGGCTCATGGGCCTACCAGGACCCGATTCTTTGCAGTCCACTTTTGGACTTCGACGGATGTTATCTCAACCCCGAGGGTCATGAGACCTATGAGGGCAGTGCGTGGATGTATACCTTGTAAGTACTCCCATGTGATTTACCCTGCTTGTGTCAGTGACTGATCTCGTAAAGCTATGCACCGCACGACATGGGCTCTCTCATCAAGACGCTTGGCGGCGCCAAGTCCTTCACCTCTCGTCTCAGCTATCTCCATGACTCAGGATTGCTCTACGTGGGAGACGAACAGGCCTTCCTCCCCGTCTTCCAATTCCACTACTCAGCACGACCTGCTCTCTCGGCGAAGCAAAGTCACTTCTACATTCCATCTCAGTTCAATACGACAGTCAATGGTATCGCCGGCAACGACGATAGCGGAGCTATGGGATCATTCATTGTGCTGAGCATGATGGGTCTCTGGCCGGTGCCTGGTCAGGACGTGTATCTGATCACTCCCCCGTACTTCAAAGAAGTCAGCATTCGCAACCCCCTTACTGGGAAGGTCGCGACGATCCGCAACATCAATTTCGATCCTACTTACAAGTCTATCTACATCCAGAGTGCCAAGTGGAATGGCAAGCCATGGACAAACAACTGGATTCGACATGAGTTTTTCGCCGAAGGTGGTGTTCTTGAGCTTGAGTTGGGGCCCAAGGAAAGTGAATGGGGAACTCGTGTTCAGGATCTTCCGCCAAGCTTGAGCAATTATCATTGAATGTGTGATGGCTGGTAAAGTGACACCTGCGTTGGGAAAAAGAATACTGGACACATTCTTTCCATCATAACGCTCTTTCTTCGTGTATTGAGTTAACAAATTATATAATTGGTCTGTTGATTCAAACACAGTGTGCTTATCTCCCAAATCTATGGCAAGGTGTATCCTCCATCAATCACAAGGTTTGCACCTGTCATATAGCTAGACGCATCCGACGCACAGAACACGTACAGTGGTGTTCCACAAGTATTTAACCTCCGGTACTTAGGTTCCCACTTTTATTATTTGACCGCTATCTAGACCGCTTACTTTATCAGCTATTTAAAACTCACGCGTCACCAACTATTGGATGAAATCGAATTCCCGAGGTTTCTGCCGGGCAATATTAAAAGTGGGTCCTTGGCCCCCAAAGTACTGGAGGTTAAATACTTGTGGAACACCACTGTAGGCCTAGATCAGGGTCGTCAGTTGATTGTCAGGAGAAATCCTTTTCGTTAGAACTTACCCCTTTCAACTCATAGCATTCAGCCATTCGCTTAGCAGGTATCATATCCAACCACTTCTCACGCCATTGCTCTGGGTGGATATCAAGAATGTCGGTGGCAATGAATCCAGGCGAGATGCAGTTGACTCGGCAGTAGTCAATCCACTCGACAGACAAGCACTTGGCTAACTGAACAAATCCTGCCTTGGACGCATTGTACTATGCAACCCTAAGCATTTTGGCCGAGACAATTGCAAGGAGAGCTTACCGCTGCTTGTTTCTGGGGCACATTGACCAGAGTCGCACTGACCGAGGCCGTGAATATCACATTCCCACGACCTTTTTCCTTGAAAATCCGACCTGCCGCTTAGGCAGAATAGAAAGCACCATCAAGATTGACCTTCATGATCTCACTCCATTGATCGGCCGTGTAGTCTTCAGCGGCAATATTGGAGACAATGCTTGAGTTAACGACCATGATATCGAGACCGCCAAAGTCCTTTGCGATCCGTTGCACAGTCGCTCCTATCTCAGTCTGGATACCTACGTTGGCTTGGTACGCTGCTGAGCGGACGTTGTTAGTGGACGCAATCTCAGCTGCAATGGTATCGGCGTTGGTGGAGGTATTGTAGATCAGGGCAACCTTGAATTATTTAGTTTAATTCTTGCAGCATTCAGTATTGCTCACATTTGCACCCGCTTCGGCCAATGCTTTCGATATCTCAAGGCCGATTCCACGGGCTCCTCCTAGGGCAAGCGGTCAGCGAGACTCAAAGGTGATTTGGAAGTACCTGTCGTACCAGTCACCGCTGCGATCTTGCCTGTCAGGTCAAACGCCTTCATAACATGCTGGTTTTGGGGCTGCGCAAGAACCATGTTGTTGGCCTGTATACGTCTGATTGTGCTTCTCAAATATAAAGCCTGAGCTGAGTAGAAGTATGAAGAGAGAGATGATGTTGGGTCTGCGTTGTGTCCCCTCCATCCCCGCACCGGGTTAACTCCGACTTATGCCGTCCGGTCAGAAATGATATTCACACGTTACACATATCGATGCTTTCCAATGAGCATGAGTTCCACATGGCTGGCGAAACGGTCTGTTTTATCTCGATAGGCGGTGGCCTCTCTCCCGACGTGCCACTGATCATCCCGACTTGTGCGCCTTTTTTACCCGGCGACCACTTTGGCGTGAATGGCCGGCATAGTTGGCTGGTTTAGCTTTCTGAGATGCATCGACACGTCGGTTCATCTTCTTGAGTCCCTTGAACAACTGCATGTTCTGCCGGTTAAGCTCATAAGCCCAGAGGAGTGCGAGAGCTTCACTGGACGGAGACTTTGGATCCATTGTGATGCTCCTGAGATGAGTGAAGTTGGAAAATCTCTGGAGATATTCAAGTCCAGGCGGTGAAGGAAAGTTCAATGGCAAAGGAAAGAGCTGGGCAAATTACTTTCGGAAGGTGCCATCCATGCTTACATATTGCTACAACCTCTTATCCCGCTCGAGAGGGTTATATCCAGCTTGTATCTACGAGAATTACACTTAGAGGAATGTCAGCAGAGCAGAGTTCATGATCTCGGTTTTCAAACGTTTGGGGGAAAGAAATGTCAACTTTCTAGTCCAATGTAAAGCATTGGTACTGTCGTTGGGATCTATGTTACGCATAGGTAGATTCATCTTCAAGATGAGGGTAGCATCGCTGCATCATAAACGATCCCTAGGTCAGGGTGCGTATGTACTCATTGTGTCATGTCGAAAAGCGGGATATCTCTATGTACACAAATATTGAATCACCATAACCACCAGGTCTGCTATGAATGACCAGCTGCCCCATACGAGAGTCTCAATATGGTCACACATCTCTCCCAATATCCCCGTTATGATGAAATATCGCTGGTAGTTGCAGCCCGTCGACCCCACCCACTGAAAAATCCCCCAGTGCTACTGGGCATTGTTCCAAGCGTCTTGGGCGCTTCAACGGGGCACTGGTTCGCCAAGCTAATCCGCGCTGGCGATAGTCCGATCAGGGAATGACGGGCTTCAGACTTTGACCCCTGGGGGGCACTGATCATCTTCCGCAATGAATCTAGCTTGCCCTTTACTTCTTCGAGCTCCTGTTTAGCAACGGCCTCTGCCGTCTTGGCTTGCACCAGCTCCATGAGCAAGGTCTCCTCGGCGGCCGGCCTGCTGCCCTCCGTCGGCATAACGTTTTGCGGGCCCAGACTGCTTGTGCGTTTGCTGTACGTGGGGCTTTTGGTGGAGTTGGTGCGGGCTAGCTTGAGCTCACGCAGGCCATTGGTGGGAGATTGGGCCTCTCCGGAGTCAGCCGCAGATGAATTGGGCGTGTCTAGCGGAGATGGACTCTCGGATGTAGGGGTCTTGAGGGTACGCAGCTCTCTGTTCATGCGTTCGAGGCGCTGTCGGTCCCGATAACCGTCCTGGATACGGCTTCGGGCTTCCCTCAGCTGCTCCTTGAGGGACGAGTTCTCCTGTTCAAAATCGTCGATGCGCCGTGTGAGGTTCAAGCAACGACCGGCTTCCACCTCGTGCATTTCTTTCCACCGGGTAACGTCGTCATTGAGCTGGAGCTTGGTTTGAGTGATCGAGACACGTCTCGGCTTCTCCAAATCAAACCGGGTTTGAGCTCTAATTACTAGGTCTGTCGGCTGTGTCTCCGCTGGCAGCTCTCTAATATGGCTCAACATCTCTTTAGCCAGGGTATAATCTTCCTCGCGGTCCTCTCTCTCCTGCTGTAGTTCGCGGGTGAGATCAGCCTGCTGGCGCTGAAGATCGCTGAGCGCGATCAGAAGGTCTTCAATCTGGGTATGTAGATCGCGGTCTTTGTGGTGTGAAGACATGTTAGATCTGACGCGCGTTTTTTGGTTATCGGTATTAGCAGGAGCTGCTGATAGTTCAGTTGGAGCCGTGCTTGCGTCAGAGGTGGTTTCGACGGAGTTGAGCGTAGACGTCAGGCTCTGCTTAGAGGTAGAGCGACGAATTGTACTATTTTGACGCGAGGGACTATGGTTCGGATTGAGTGACTTGACCGAGCTGTGCGAGTTCGACGAGCCAGCCCACAGCCGCCCAAGGAAGCCAGATGCCGTTGCTTGCATCTGCGGAAAGGAGACTCCCACTGGAGAGCCCTTGGACTGGTTGTAATTAGCTTCAAGAGCCTTAAGACTCTCATTCGTCACGAGAGGGGTAAGAGACACGAAATCGTTGACAAGGTCATCAGCATTAAAGGCGTATCTAGAGATCACGGGTTAGCTGGATCCTTTGTTTCAATCGATTGCTTTGTGCCAGGGTAAGAACGTACGCATCCCATAAGCTTCGAGACAACAGTAGTTGCATCACGTCCTCAAATTCGGTGCAGGCCAAGATTCGCTTCTCATTACGCTGCATCAAGGAAAGTGCGACTCGCATCAAAGTTTCACATGCACCTTCCAAGAAAATAACGTCATAAATTCTAAGAAGCATCGGCAGCGGACAGGCCACCGCAAAGAAAGACAAGAACCACTGCGATACGTAGACCGGCTCGACGTGTAGTGACTCTAGGTGTTGGAACAAGGCCGGTCTGTGCCGTGCCAGGAGATTTTGAAACTGATAAACATGAAGGTGGAGGCCTGACAGGTCAGGAAGATAGCAAGTTCGGAGATTGTAGTGGTCCATGAGGCTAGAATATGAATGATGATGTATCAGCCTAATTTCGCCGGCTTCCAATGTATCATTTGTCAAGGAACTTACCGGACAAGAACGCAGAAAGCCTCAGCATCTGTCATGTGCATGAGAAGAGGGCCTACCACAAATCCAAGACCTTGGCAGTAGCCGATCTTGGTATCATAAAGACTGAAACATCGCAACACTCTGGCCAGCATCTGTTGACCCTCGCCATTCGGATCCCGGAACATCTCAACATTGGGGAAACTTCGACCAATATCCTTTCCGATCAATCCATCATATGGACTATTCTCGCCAGAAAGTCTCTGGAATTCATTTAAGAGTGTAGGATCGCGTGCGCCCGCTAGACTGGGCCACACCACTCCCCGCAATGGTGGAGGCACACCACCCTGGATCTTGTTTGACGTCAAAGTCGGCAAGCGTTGAGCAGTTTGGTGGTAATCGGCGACGAGTGCAGCCCAGAACTCCAACTCGGTCATTGGGGGAGGTGGGAGCTGAGAGTATCGTAACTCAGCCCGAGCTGGATCCCTGATGAGTCGCTTAATCTGATGTAGAGACTCGGAACGGGATTGCCGTTGGTGTGTCTTGCCCTCGGGGGTCTCGGTAATTCCAGATTTGGGATTAGTCGCCAATGCGTTGTTCTCTTGTTCGAGCCGAGCGAGAAGGAGGGCCGTGGACTAAAATTAGGTCAAGAATGTTAGCACCCATACCAGAATCTTATGACGCATGGATGGCAGCTGTCACCTACTTCATCTGACCCCTCCCCGCGGGGTTCTTGTTCTTCGGTTTTATCGAGGTTCTCCCAATCCGCCTCATTGTCAAACATCTCACCTGTCTGTCTCACCCTGTTTGGGCCTTCATCCTCCAGAATAGGTGTGATTTTAGCCGCGTCCTGGAGCGGCATTGGTCCGAAGGAATCCTCGCTCTCCTTTTCCAGGTGACTCATCTCCATTGGAGTTGGAGGAATATCAAGTGTACGCCATTCTGGTTGAGTATGCTCCGAACTAGACTGTTTATCGGATAACGCGACGGTGACCATTGAGTCGTGATTTGGCGCGTGAGCGATAGGCGATGTTGGCTCGGAACCTTCCATTGCGACGCGTCGGAGGACTCGGTTTGATGGTTGGAAGGATAGACGCGCAATTGTCGATTTCGAGGGTGGACGGGGATTTGATATCGGAAGATAACAGAGGGTTTGATTCAAGCCGGTTTCAACTGCATCGCTCCTGACAATTTCGAATATTCACAAGAACAAACTCCTTCCGGCAGAAGTGGACCTGGAGATAACTCTAGACTTTGTATCCAGGGCAAGGCGGACGAAAGGCTGGAGAAAGAAAAAGGGAGTCAGGAGAGATCCCACTTGTTTCGCTAGCCCCCTTTAACTTTCCCCTCTTAAGTCTCGGCCCCGTAGATCGTCTTCATACGCCGACCGTTTGACCATTGAAATCAATAGATTATCTTTGTACGTTACTAGTTATAGGAGATCGAAGCAAATCACGATTCAGGAGCTACATGTGTAAACTGAGTATATAACACTATGCATTCTATCGCCCTTCACTTTGTTTATCCGACCTCGGACCTCCCCCACATGAACCAAAAATTATGTCCGAGTACATACGCAGGTACGTCAGAGGATGTTTTTTTTAAAGTACTGGTGGTACATACTGTGTATGCGAGTGATGATGAGGTATTCTTCTTACTACGTACAGTTACACAGTACCTACAATTTTGCATGTTATCATCTGTACTTGATAGCCTCCCACATTCTACTCCAAGGATAATTACGGTGTCATTTTTTAAAGTCTGTATTTGTTGTACATGATGATCTTCCACTGTAATCTTACGTACTTTCCATTGGGTGCAATACAGCCTGAATGCATATCATTGGTCTAATTAATTATACCCTACTGAAATCCATTTACCAGCCCCCTGTCGGTTTCACCTCAATCGGGCCTGATGCATCTACTGTGTAAGAAAAGGAGACTTGGTAAAGCTGGCCAGCAATCGTCCTTGCATCCTACTTCACCACTTCAAAGTTTGTCAGTGGATCAATGATATGTATTCTAACCACCATGTCAGCCAGGCTCTATCTAATCCGAACGTATGCGTCAGGATTATGAAGGTTCTTTCTTTTGACCACTTTGATAATTCTTTGCAATTTTTCGTTCGGATCGATACTCTTCTTCGGTTGCAATGCTTTTGTCAATGTCGTCCAATGTGGTTTTTCCGATCTGCAGCCGTTCCGGTTCTGAAACGCTATCGAGTAGCTGGCGAATCGACTTCGCTGACACTTTATATACTCGTAACGACTTGACTCGACACTGATTCGCCACTCCTCCGTCAAGCACTCTGACTCGGGTGCGAACTCGAATGCACGGGCGATTGAAAGACCAAACGAGTGCCGTTTACAGTTGCATAGCATTGACAGTCTGGATTTTTGGACAAATTGTACTTCATTCCCTGTGACATCTACTAGACACCGTGGTGATTCGTCTTCCAATATTCTCCTGAATCTTGATCCCCTCTGCTCCTGCTCGCGTCTGAGAACAGGAGCTATGTACTTGTAACTTGTTAGACTCGATCCAGGAGGCTGCGGTATTCTTGGCACACGGCACCAATGATTTAGCTTCTAGGGTGAGGGACGCGGCGGGCGCTAGTGGGCCGTGGCTGACTCCTGTTCAATATCACGGGACTAACATCCTTAACTAATTCAGTGATTGTTCCTTGCCTTCCATCTCATCGTTTTCTCGGCTACACAGACGCGCCTGGCACCACCATCAAATCAATTAGAGAAAATTGCGTCGCTTCAAGCGCATTCACAATGTTGTCGAGCCTGTCGAAGAGTATCGTCCTGGAGGCTACCACCCATGACCCAGTTCACCTCGAGGACATTTTCCTGATGTTACACATAGTTAGGTAGCATAGTTATAATACGTAGTTTTTCCTGTCATTTTGTAATTTCTGCCAAAGGTCCGTTTGATTAACTATCCACAGGGACTGCGCTTCTGCGATCGTGACATAAGGACCAAACTTGACGAAGACTTTGGACTCTTCAAAGATCACAGGCTGCGGTTGTGGGTTCGCGTGGATGTCTTTGGGCAAAGCCCTTACTTGTGCTGGTGTCGGAAGGCTTTTGCCAGGCTCTTTGAGAAAGGAAGGGTCGAGAAAGTTCATCTCTCGCATCGACTCATCGGGGAGATTTTCTGCAATTGAAGAGAATTTTGCCATTTGGTTGATCAGGCTTAGTTGTAAGCTTTGAATAAGCCCGTGAGATGAGGGCTAAATGCACTATATTGAAGGAAGCTCAGCCATTAATATCCATATTTGAAGTCTTCCTGATGACTTGGCATGAAGATGAAGAATAGAGTGAGGGGAAGTTCGCCTGTCTCCCTCATTTGTTTGTAAATTGCCTATTTAGGCCACAGCTGTGGGCGGTGAGGAATAATAATGATCCGAGTGGTCAGAAACTGCATACCGCCCCCCTGGGGGTCGCGACTTCCCCGGGCAAAAAAAACAACAGGGCGCTTCCCCTCTCCGTTTCTCCGCTCCCTGTCTACTTGTTTATCTTCTTTACCCTTTCCCGGCTTGAGCATGCCGCAGCAGATTTGTCTGCTCTTCGACATTGGTACATAGCGTCGCTCTTTACTTCGATCTTAGGCCCCGATAGGCTTTTCTTTCTACTGTGTAGACACGCGCTCTATCGCGCCCTATCCGTCTATTCGTCCGCGCCATGGACGACTCCATGATGAGTGACTCGGTCTTCGAGGATGATGGAGGCAGCTCTGACTTTGTTCCCGAGCCTGCACCGGTATGAAATGCCATTGACACCAAGTTTATGACCCTGGTTGCTGACATGACGCGTCGACAGAAACCTAAAGCCAAGGCAGCCCCTAAGAAAGCCCCTGCCGCTAAGGCTGCCGCCGGAAAGATGACTCAAACTACACTGAAGGTTAAGCCTGCTGCGAAGTCAGCCGCTGCTAAGAAGAAAGCGAAGGTCGACAGCGAGGACGAACTGTCCGATGCTCATATGTCCGATGCTGACTCATTGCTCTCGCACACTCCCCCGAAGTCCAAAAAAGCGGCTGCGCCCAAGAGAGCTGGCTCCAAGCCTCTTGCTGATGTAGAAAATGAATCGCGCGGTGGAGACGCTGCCGATGGCGCGAGCAAGAGTGGGAATGCATCAGATAAGTACCAAAAGGTAAGTTAGATATCGCAGCCAGAGGAATTGTCCAGCATACTAATATCGCTCTTTTTTGACAGCTTACCCAACTCGAACACATTATCAAACGTCCGGATACCTACATTGGTTCAACTGAACGCACCGTCCAGCAGATGTGGGTGTACAACTCCGTGACCGAGGTCATGGAATTTCGTGATGTTTCTTTTGTGCCCGGTCTCTACAAAATCTTTGATGAGATCGTGGTTAATGCCGCCGATAACAAGCACAACGACGCGAACATGACCGAGATGCGAGTCACAATTGATCGCGAGGCCGGTGAAATTAGTGTGTGGAACAACGGCCGCGGTATCCCCATTGAGATTCATTCCAAAGAGAAGATCTATGTGCCGGAGCTCATTTTTGGCCACCTGCTCACTTCCTCCAACTACGACGATAGCCAACAGAAGGTGACTGGAGGTCGCAACGGTTTCGGTGCCAAGCTTTGTAACGTTTTCTCGACAGAGTTCACACTTGAAACACAGGACTCTCAGCAGAAAAAGAAGTACAAGCAGACCTGGACACAAAACATGACCAAAATGGGCACAGCAAAGATCACAGATGCCAAAGGAAGTGACTACACCAAGGTCACTTTCAAGCCCGACTTTGCCAAATTCGGTATGGATGGCATTGATGATGACTTCGAAGCTCTTGTCAAGCGCCGAGTCTACGATTTGGCAGGTACCGCCGGTGTGAAGGTGACATTGAACGGCACGCGCGTTCCTATCAGCAGCTTCCGAAAGTACATGGAAATGTACACCAAAGCAATTCGCAAAGAGCGCGGCGATGATGGTCCTCCCTCAAAGGACGAGATCATCACGTGCAGCCCAGATCCTCGATGGGAGGTTGGTTTCGCAGTCTCCGATGGCTCATTCCAACAGGTCTCATTCGTCAACTCCATTGCGACAACCTCGGGTGGAACCCACGTCAACTACATTGCCGATCAGATTTGCACTCGCTTATCTGACCAGGTGAAGAAGAAGAATAAGACGGGTGCAACCTTGAAGGCAGCACAGATCCGCAACCACATCTTCATCTTCGTGAAGGCCTTGATTGTCAACCCGGCGTTCACCTCCCAGACCAAGGAGCAATTGACAACAAAGGCCAGTCAATTTGGTAGCAAGTGTCCCCTTGATGAAGACTTCTACAAGAAGGTCTTGAAGACCGAGGTCATGTCGAACATTTTACATTTTGCGGAACAAAAAGCCGATCAGATCTTGAAGAAAGGTGACACCGGCCGCCGCACGCGCATGAACAACCCTAAGCTGGTCGATGCCAACAAGGCTGGTACCAGGGAGGGCCACCACTGCACTCTCATCCTGACCGAGGGAGAGTCCGCCAAGGGATTGGCTATGGCAGGCAGAGCAGTTGTTGGGCCGGATTTGTTCGGTGTGTTCCCCTTGCGTGGAAAGCTTCTCAATGTCCGTGACGCTTCCTTCGACCAAATTTCCAAGAACGTGGAGATTCAAAGCATTAAAAACTTCATTGGTCTCCAACACAAGAAGGAGTACACCGAGACAAAGGGACTACGATATGGCCACCTCATGATCATGACTGATCAAGACCATGACGGTAGTCACATCAAGGGTTTGTTGATCAACTTCCTCCAAGCACAGTTCCCTAGCTTGCTGAAAATCCCCGAGTTCCTCATTGAGTTCATCACTCCTATCATCAAGGTCTGGAAGGGTGACCCCAAGAACCCGACCAAGCAGAAGTCGTTCTTCACTATGCCCGAATATGAGACGTGGCTGGAAGCTCACAAACACGAACGCGGCTGGGACCACAAGTACTACAAGGGTTTGGGAACCAGCACTACGGAAGATGCACAGGTCTATTTCCGTGACCTCGATCGTCACTTGAAGGAGTTCCACACCATCCAAGAGAATGAAGCGGGACTCATTGAGCTGGCTTTCTCCAAGAAGAAGGCAGATGAGCGTAAAGAGTGGCTACGTCAATACAAGCCAGGCACTTTCCTGGACCACTCAGTATCAAAGATCACATATACCGACTTTATCAACAAGGAACTTATCTTGTTCAGCATGGCTGATAACATGCGCTCAATTCCTTCGGTTGTCGATGGCTTGAAGCCAGGTCAGCGCAAGGTGCTTCACACATGTTTCCGCCGCAATCTGAAGAAGGACATGAAGGTTGTCGAGTTGGCGGGTCACGTATCCGGAATGACAGCCTACCACCACGGGGATGTGTCCCTTCAGCAAACTATCGTGGGTCTTGCTCAGACCTTTGTTGGCTCCAACAACATCAACTGCTTGGAGCCCAGTGGAAACTTTGGTAGTCGACTTCAGGGTGGTGGCGACTGTGCCAGTGCTCGTTACATTTACACTCGCCTGTCCCCATTTGCGCGTAAGGTTTTCCATACGGCCGATGAACCCTTGCTGGTGTATGGTGAAGACGATGGCAAGAAAATTGAGCCTGAAACCTTCATGCCTGTCGTTCCGCTGATTTTGATCAACGGTGCTGATGGCATCGGAACTGGTTGGAGTTCTTCTATCCCCAACTATAACCCTGAGGATGTCGTGGACAATCTCAAGAGACTGATGGCTGGCGAGCCTACCAAGCCAATGCAGCCTTGGTTCCGTGGTTTCACCGGTGAGGTCGTGGCCATCGGTGGGGATCGATATAAATTCAGTGGCATCATTAGAGAATGTGGTGACAAGGAAGTTGAGATCACTGAATTACCCATTCGAACCTGGACACAGGATTTCAAGGACAAATTGGAGGACATCATCAAGGCCGAGAAAGCGCCATCCTTCATCAAAGACTACAAGGACTACAACACTCACACCAAGGTCCACTTTATCATCCAGCTTGATGAGAAACACATGAAGGCTGCTCTGACCGAGGGCTTGGAGGAGAAATTCAAGCTGACCAAGACAATTGCAACAACCAACCTGGTCGCTTTCGATCCGGAGGGTCGCATTACCAAGTATGCTACTGTCGACGACATTCTCAAGGAGTTCTTTGTGGTTCGCCTGAAATACTACGAGCGTCGCAAGCAGTTCCAGCTTGGCGATATGCAAAGGGAGCTTGAAAAGCTGAGCAACCAAGCTCGCTTCGTGCAGATGATTATCGATGGCAAATTGGTCATTTCTAAGAAGAAAAAGCCTGTTCTGGTTACTGAGCTGAAAGAGAAAGGTTTCAAGCCAATCCCTAAGGTGGCCGACGCTGCCAAGATGGGCGAAGACCAGCCAGTGGTAGAAGAAGAGGAGGAAGGAGAAGAGGAGCCCGAAGACACTCAAATGCTGTCAAGTGCCTTTGACTACCTCCTCGGTATGCCCATGTGGTCGCTGACCCAGGAGCGCGTGGAGAAACTCCGTCGTCAAATCGGTGAGAAGGAGACAGAGGTTGACACCCTGATCAAATTGTCCAAGGAAGACATCTGGAAGCGTGACCTAGACGACTTCATCAATGAGTGGCGCTTCCAGCTTGAGGACGAGCACAAGCGAGCCCGGAAGCTGGCTAATATGGACCGTCGTGTCTCGGCCAAGCTGGCCACCGGCGGTGGTCGCGCTGCGGCATCTCGGAAGCGCAAGGTTGTTAACGGCGATGACCCCGATGATGCAGACTTCGGAGGCCCGAAGACTAAGAAAGCTGCTGCAGCCAAGAAAAAGGAGAAGCCGAAGAACACTTTGATGAACTATCTCAACAATGAATCATCCAGCAAACCAACCCCACCACCTGCCGCAGATGGAACCGGGGACTCCGACGATGAATTCAACCTAGACATGGAGATTCTCCCGAAGAAGAGTCGTGCTGCGCCGAAGCCGAAGGCTCCGCCCAAAGAAGAGGACGATTTCGATTTCCTCGACATAGACGAGGTACCCCAAACCTCGCGAGCATCAGCTCAGCCAGTTGATGATATAATGGACATTGATTCTGACCAGACCTCAAAACCCAAACCGGCGGTCAAGGCGGCTAAGGCAGCTGCGAAACCAGCTCCTAAGGCGGCCGCCAAACGAGCACCCAAGGCCAAGGCCAAGATTGAAGAAGACTCCGATGACGAGTTTTTGGAGATTGCGAAGACGGAGACTTCCAAACCCGCAGTGCAGTCGTCACGCGCTCGCAAGCCTGTTAAGTACTCCGCTCCTAGCGACTCAGACAGTGACAACGGCGACGACCTTCTTGGAGACGTCAGCTTGATGGTCAAAGGCATTGGTGGTGACTCGGCCGCGGATTCTCGGCAGCTTTTCTCAGAGCGCCCCCGTTCTGAAAGCAGCGCCAGCCTGAAGACTGCCACAAAGACTTCCAAAATCACCGACGATTTTGACCCGGATGAAACTGACTACAGCAAGCTCATTCCTCAGAAATCGCCAAGGCGGTCCATCCAGGTCAAGCCCAAGGACGTCAAGGTCGATGACAACGACGGGTCCGAGGATGAGCACGAGCCAGTCAAATTAGCATCTAGGGCGAAGGCTGCTCCCAAAGCCAAGGCTGTCCCCAACGTCGTGGATCTTGATGACGATGAAGACGAGGATGAGCCAGTGAAGCCAACTGCCCGCGGCAAAGGCAAGGCCGCCCCCAAAGCCAAGGCTGCTCCAAAGGCCGCCGCCGCCTCGGCACCGAAGGCACGTGGTCGACCGAAGAAGGAGGCTGCTCCAGTGACTTTGTCTCCAGCGGCCAAGGCCTATGCTTCGAAACAAGCCAAGGCCAGCAAGAAAATCGCAGATGATTACTCGGAAGACGACATTGACGCAATGGCCAATGACATCTTGGATTCCCCGGCAGGAAAAGTGAATGTAGATTATTTAGATGGGGACGACGAACCTGCTCCTGCTCCACGCCGCGCTGCTGCAAGCCGTCCCGCTCGTCGTGGTGCCGCACAGCAGAAGAAGTCGTATGTCATTGAAGATGACAGCGAGGAAGAAGCGTCAGCCGATGACTTTGACGACGAGGATGAGAGCGATTAGGCGACGACAATGCAGCGACTGGATGTCTTGTCTTTTTTTGTTTTATTGCAAATGCTCTCCACTGTGTCTTTATTTTCTTTCATTTTCATGTCTTAGTTCACTGGTTTCTTATGGTGGTTTGGCTGAGCCAGTCAGTCCTACAATGCGATTAAGAATGTTTAGTCTTTTCTATTGCTTCATCGATCAATTGGTAGTACCTAAATTGCATCCCGTTGGCCTTGAGATCCAATATTGTCTCTTAGTCTACTTAGTCTTAGGCATTGACTTCGTGTTTGGTCTCCTGCATGGAGATGGAGTCGGTGTGGAGCGGCAGAACGCCCACATGGTTTGCTAGGATAGAAATCCAACTCTCTTCGCTTCCCTTCTGGCCCTCATCTCAACACTTCGCTTGTGTACAAACATCGAAGCATCCTACTGAACTTGCAAGGCAGTGTCAAGGCTGAATAAGCATCAAGATCTCCATTTCATGAACCTAGGCAAAAGGGAGTCAAAGCACTCTCAAATTCAAGAGTCATCAAATAACACAAAGGTCCTCACACAAATGCATACACAAAGTTACACCACTGTACAAGAAGAGCAACATTCATTTCCTAAACCCTAACTCCATTCCCACTCCATTTTCCCATCATATCAGATTCATGGCAAGGAAAACCCTCAAAGCGAAGCACGACGTCTCTTGCGGGTGCGAGGTGCAGCAGCACCCAGGGAGAGAGTGCTGAGCGGTGTGGCGGCGCCATCATCCTCAACCTCAGTTTCAGTCGACATTTCCTCCAGCTCGACCATGTGCAGACGGAGAAGAGCCTCCGCGGCGTTCACCTCACGGATAAAGTGAGGGACGGGCCGAGACCGTGCAGGTCGAGATATCCGATCAGGGTTCTTCTTGCCCTGGGATCGAGGGCTAGCAGATCTTCCCAACCTTGGTGATCCATGTAGCGGCTTCTTGAGAGGCGGCCCGCGATAATCCTTGTCCTCGGCGTCGTCTACTTGCCAGTCGTCATCGGAATCGGTGAGGTCGCCATCGTCCGAAGAAGGCTCGACAGGTCCGTCGGTCTCGGTGGCTTTCTCAGCGTCCAACTGGTCGTCGGCGGAGGTCGAGTGCGGAGTAGAGTACAGGTTCGACGAGCTGATGCTGTCCGTATCACTCTCTCCGCTGATATCCTCTGGACCCATGGCCTCTGGCATCTGATGCAAGTTGCTCTGAGATGACTCCACATGCGAACGAGGCGTCGGAACAGTCTTGCGCGAGGGATTGACCGGGGTGAAAGCAGAGAAAGGAGATGCGCTCTTGGGTGACATACAGTATGGCTCCGTGGAGGAGTCCCGGGCACTGGCGCTGCTCTCAGCATACTGGTGGTGGGGAATTTTTAACGGAGCCAGCTTCAGCGACGGGTCCTCCCGATTGGGTTGTAATAGCCTGTATGTGGAGGAAGGCACCCTTGGTGCTGGACGGCTAAATTGGCCGCTATGGCTCGGCTCCAGAGATCGGTAGTGTTTGGCTAGCTCAGTGGCGCGCGCGATGATGTTCTTGTCAATCACCATGCGGTTGTATTTGATGCGATCTGTCGGGGGAATGCACATGGCTGGGAAGTCGTTTCCGAACAATGGAGTCAGGGCGTAGCGGATTCGCCAGCAAAAGGTTGCTGCCAAGGCTTTGGCACACTCGTATGGCATCCAGTATCCTGAGTGCGAGTAAAAAAGCGTCAGTAGCCATTACTTTCGAAAGGCAATCTGACGGCTAACAGATATTGCGGACATACCTTGAGCAGAAAGTGCGCCGCCAGTGATGCTGTGGCATATCTCCCGCAGGCTAGGGTTCTGGTTCAGCATCTTTCCTGGAGTTGTCTGCAGCAAGTTAGACAGCTTGTTACTATAGGAGTCTACAGAACTGATATATCTTGCACTTGCCTTGGAGTACCCATTGCATTTGAACAGGTGCGTGATTCGAACGATGCCGATATTGTAGTCCCACATGACAGTCCACTCCTTTTCCTCGCCAGGGATTCGAAATGTGTACTGGAAGACTAGAAAGAGTCAGAACCTTGAAGGTAGCAAGATGCAGTCGAACATACCATGAAAACTCTCTCGGCCAGTTTTCTCCTGAAAGGTCTTCTTGTCGCTTGCGTACGGGATCTCACGAGGATACTTGTCAATGGCACCCATGGGGTGTATCGAGAACTCGCGATGAAGCCTTTCCAGCTCTGGGTCTCGAGCCAAGTGAGGTCTGTAGCGAACCTTGCCCTGGGTCTCACCTGGGCGAAATACCGGGGCGTCCTTGGCCATCTTCTGTCGTTTCTCGCGTGAGATGGACACGGGTGGCTGAGTGTAGGCTCGCCTTTCGGGCTGCGGATTCAGAAGAGAGTTGATGGATAGCATGAATAAAAAAGATTCAAGAGCTATCCTTAAGAACTTGGAAAACTTGAAGAAGAGATGGGATGAATGAGAGAGAATACGAAGGCTCCGGGGAGGGAAAGTGGAAGGTTAATGTCTCTTCAGTGGAACAAAAGGCGTTTTCCAGAAGGTCTCAAAGACGCCAGCGATGCCAGACCTGATGAAGGCAACACAAAGTGAAGCAAGACAATTCCTCACCTTTGTTCAAAAGGTTTGTTTTGTGAGAAGGGGTGAGCACAGTGAGGGCACGCGTTTGCTGGCAAATAACAACACCTCGAGGAAATAAAATAGCAGCGGTGAACGGGCGAACTTCCTGAACTTGGAGAGTGTCTAAGAATTGACCTGCAACTGGCTACACCGATCTTTGGTCTCTCTATCTCTCCTCCACTGGGGGCTCTTGCCTTATGGAAGTCGGGACGAGTCCACCGACTGTTTCTCTCCTGGAAACTTCCAATTATCTTCGACTTCGGACCGGAAATATCATTGATTTTGGTTGGTGCGTCTGCGGAATCACAAACTACGATTGTGAAGCCTGTGTCTCTGGTCTCTCGAGGCATTACCTGTTTCACCTTCACAGCTACGACTATCTAAGCCGCGCCCTGAGCGACTAGAGAAAGAAACATGGTAATAGCCGTTTCAGAGACTATGTGAATTTAGGAGAATTCTTTCTTGAAAAACGCAAATTTCACCGCTGTGTGCAAACAGAGCGTTACGGCAATATGCACAAAGGTCTACTATACAATCGATGCCATGGTGTACCCCAATATCCCGGGGTGGGAGAGTCGACCGTTGTCCCACCGTTAGAGGTCCTATACCAGAGCTTCATCATTACACTAGAGCCAAGCTGCTGCAGCAACCGGAGGAATAGGACACCAGTTGAGTGGTCCAATAAGAAACGGCATACCCCATGGTGGCTCGACAGAATAGGCATCAATGAGGTCTCAGACCCACGGCAAGCTGCAGGGCAGCTCATTCCTTGTATGAACGGGATGATGCATTACCTGCTGGCGAGTCCCGCGAAGTGCGTCTGAGAAAAGCAGTGCTGCAGAGATAAACTTCTGACCGGATCAAAGATTCTGGGAGGACAGGGAATGCTTTTTTCTTTTTCTACTGGGGTACACTTTATGCATACCTGTCAGTCATACAATGCCTTAACGGTGACTTTCTAAAGCACTCCTTTGTTGGGAGATGGAGTAAGGCCGAACTATGCGATCAAACAATAAGTGACTGTGATGGTATAAGACTGGTTTGATTCAATTCTTGTAATCGAAGGAATATCTCCCTCCTGTCCCGGTCTTTTCCACCTGGTTCAATGCCCTGATTCGAGAGCTTGACCAGTATCAACTAGACCGCTGGTTGAGCGAGTCTGAGGACGTGTGTATACCAGAGACATGAACACTCCGGAGGTGGAGGGGTCAGAGCGACCCCAAAGAACATTCCATGCAGGCTTCTATGCAGAGGCCCGACACGTTGCTGGACTGTCAGAGCCCACTTTTCCTGTCAGTTTCTTCTTTTTTCTGGTAGAAAAGACTTATACCCTAGTACAACACTAGCTTCTTTCAGTCTGTTTTGCAATTCGTTATTGTACCCACCTGCCTGTCCAGTGCAGTTTGCATAAGACGTTCAGAAAGGTACAAGGGCCACTGCCAATCGGCCCCAGGCCGGGACAGCAATGCAGAATACCGCAGAAAACGGTGCATTGAGACGACAGGACGCTATGCAATCAGACTACGGACTGAAAAGGGTCGAGGACTGGGGAATCAAGTAGACGTCAGCACGACTGGGCTAGTTATCGAGGGGCAATTGGGCTCAATTGCATTGAAGTCGGTCTGTAAAGACTCCCAACAGCCGAGACCGATAGCAGCCTAGAAACGAGGCCGGGTTTCGAATGTCTAAGACACTCGCTGGTGGGTAGATGCTCGATTGGGGTTCCAAAGAGCGGTAAACCCGATGCGTGTCCCTCAGCATCTGCGACGCGTCGCAGATCCCGAACTTCTGGAAAAGGGGCAAGAAACCATGTCTCAATTGGGATGTTGCTGTTGGTGTTTAGGCCTTTCAAGCTTGTTCGTCTCGGGAAAAGTATCATCGACTACCTTTGGTGACATAAGCGCTTTAACGCCACGCTTGAACCTCTTTTTCACATGTTGGGAAAAGGTCAGCTAGTTCGTATCTCTATCCGTAGTCCAATACTCTTGAAGAAGCTGTTGTATGAGGATAGTCAAGCCTCGGTAATAGGCAAGCAATACAAGGAGGGTCATGCTCCATGAACCTACAACGCTCCAGACGAAGACTGATCTCCGTCACAAAGAGATCTAGACCTCGACCCGTTGAACACAGAATACGAACCGATGCCAACCCCAACTTGAAACGAGGCACAGTAGGATTCACAAGATCCGATCCTTCACAGACATCGCGCAACACACCGGATCTGTACCACAGCCCTCGAATCCGGGGTATATGGGGGAATGAGGAGGCAGGTCAGTAGGAAATACAGTTCCGAGCACGACTGAACAAGGCAAGTCTTCGAGGGGGAGAGGAAGTACAATAAAGACAGAACCGTCACAGGCCGGTCTGAATCGCGATGCGGTGAATAGGCAGCCGAATCGGTGGACCGGGATGAAACTCAACGGCCTTGCACTCCAACTGGCCCGACTGTTGGGTGGTTAAGGCCGCTTGCAGGTGATTGGGAACAACTACCCAAGTAGGTTAAGTCGAGGCTTTTTGTGCGTCCGCTTCCTCCCGCGGAGATGGGAAAAGAAGTTATGACACACGGATGTGCATTGATGGACTCTTTCCTAGTACGTAGCACTCATACGATAACGTCGTGGCGGCTGCCTAGATACATAGTAGTCGCCGAGGTCCCTGCCCGAGGGCTCGAGGACGGGCACACTGCAGGGAGGAAGGCCCTGATTGGGGGAGCTACGAGAAGGCAAGGGAAGGTCGTGAATTTATGCAAATGAAGATACATTAGAAACAATATGGACCCGAGAAAGACATGAACAAGGGGCGTGGAGAAGATAAAGAAGCAGATGATAATGCCCAGTGCATTGAAAAGAAACAGAAAACAGTGAAAAAAGGGATAGAAGAAGCATTGGAACTCATTCATCGCTCGAGGATTCCTGCAAATTCATTTTTTGGGGTTCGTCGACACGAGAATAGAAGGGTTGGAGCCCAGGATGTCCCAAAAGGTAGCCCTAGAAAGCGTAGGTAACTTAAACCCCCAATCCCGCGTCATTCGGCATATCCAGAAATCATCATGACTACAATAAAGATGTCCATGCACCAAAGGATGTTTGATGGACACCCATCTTGTGAAATCGAACGATCTCTCTGGTCAGGAAAAGTGAGCTGGTTTCAGTGAGAGACCACCTTAAATAGCCAGAAGAGGCTCGCGGTCACCAGCCTGCTCAGCGGGTTCGACAGACGCAACAATGTCGGCCTCCGGAGCCTGGGCGAGAGGGGCAGTGATGGGAGCTTCGGGGAAGTCCTCGCGCTTAATGGCGGGGTCGGCCACAGGGGCGGTGAAATCGGCCAGGGGCTCAGTCTTGGTGGACTCGACAACGGTCTCCTTCTTGACCGGGCTGGCAACCTTGGCCATCTCAGGAGAGGTAGAACGGCGAGAGCCAATAATTTCCTGAGCCTTGGAGCTGTACTCGCCGACGTACTGCTTCATCAAACCGGTGGCCTGCGAGGTACGCTCACCAGCCAAGTCCCGAAGCTGATTTGTCTGAGAGTTGATAATGTCCTGGAGGTTTTGGATCTGCTCATCGATGATCTCGCGGTTGCTGATATAAATGAGGGGAGTGAAGTATGTAGTGGTCACAGCGATCACAGCCAAACCCCAGAAAGGAACGAAGCGGATCAGCCAGTAGCCGGTGAACGCGGCGCTGAAGGCCTGAATAGCTGTTAGTTTCCGCTCATTATTTTCGCCTTCCTTCTAGACAAGTTGAAACATACCAAAACAGTGTGCAGGACGTTCTCGGCGAACAAGACGCGCTGGAACTCAATCAAGAAGAAGTCCACCAGCTGCTCGAGATCCTCGAGCACAGCCTCGACGGTCTCCTTGGGAACAGTGTAATAACGACGGGGGCGGAATCCGCTGGTGATTCCCCGCTTGAAAACGACAAGGCCAGCAATCTCAACGGTGGCAGTCACTGCGTACATTGTTAACCGACCACTCTCTTGACCGGGCACGCGACCAACTCACATCCCAACAACATGTACAAGATCTTGAAGGCCCAGCGGAGGAGGGGCAAGTAACGAGCGGCGAAGATGAAACCAACCACACTGGCATAGGAAACGGCTGTCGCACGGGGTTGTTCCCACTAAGAACGCAAATATTTAGCATGAATTCCAGGCTGAACAGAACAATTGGGCGGCAACTCACGCTCAGAAGGCTATACATCAGAGAGTGATAGTCTGCGCAAAGGTTAGTATCCTGCTGCCCGATCGATCCAATCTCATAACATACGGGTCAAAGGTTGACCATCGGCGGTGGTGGTCGAGGGGGTCACACGAGAGTTTTGCAATTGGCGGAGCTCCTGGCCGGTGCGGGAAGCTTCGGACTTGACATGATCGACAATTGGGCCTATCAAGAGTTCGATTAGAATGCTTTGCTGGCTTCAAAAACTCTGCGATTCCAACTCACCCTTGGTAACAACATCGCTGATGCCTGAGCGTGATAAGGGTCGTTAGTTTGTGTCATCGCAACGGATATTTGAGAAAGGTATTGGAAAATAAGACAGAGCGCAATACTGAAAAGCAGCTTGGTTAGCTTTGATCTCAAAGATTTAAAGTAATTGTTGCTCTCACCTTACTGCCCGTGTTAGGGTAGGTCACGTCACCGGAAGCCATGACGAAATTTGTGGGAAGCTTTCAACAGAGGTCTTTGGGAGGGATTCGTGAGATGTAAGAACCCGTTGGGCAGGTTGTCAAAAGACAGTGTAGTTGGAAAAGAGAAATTAAGGGGGGAAAGAAAAGGAGAGAAGAAGTCAGAGCAGAGAAAAGAGATAAGGGAAGATTCGATATGTTGTGATGCTGTCATGTGCGTTGCCAAGCCCCAATACCGGGAACTTCAGGGAACTATGATGTCTACAAGGCGTAGAAGGTGGAAGAACCTGTTCTTGGTTTTGTTCTACTCTATTATCAAACGCAGTCTGTGTACACTGTACATGGGTATTGAGCTAATGCTACCTTGCTACTATGTACCTACAGCATACCTCGTAGTATGCTGAATTGCTGATCCCAGTCTGTCGAGTGTCGACTGTCGACAGACCCCCTCTTATGTACGAGCTATATGGCATATGATACCGAGTACTTCCGCGGCTATACCTCCTATGCCATATCAGCTTTGTATAATCTCGTTTCTCAGTCTTCTACAGCGTATGGATGCTGTATGGATGTACTTCGTAGGTAGCACAAGAGGGGATACACCGATATGCTTTGACTCCGGTCTTGTTGTAGCTGAGACTTCTGCGGCGCACATATACACTTCGAGAAGCTCGACTTCGAGATTGTCAGAATCATGTTGCTATTGTCCTGGATAGATCATATATTGAATAAAACCAAAAAAATCTCGGAATATGAATCCATCGACATTCGAGGTGGAGAATGAGTGTGCACGTGACCCACGCGTTGCCTGGCATCCCAATTAGGTCTGTTTTGATTCTCGACCTCATCTCCATTCTCGACACTCAAGCGCGACCCACAACCCACCACAATCTCCATGATTGTACATTTACAATTCTCCTCCACGTCACCTCGTTAATTTCAGGGTTTTTGTTTCTTTTTTCTCTTTCTCTTTTCTCAGTTTCAGCAACGGCGCATTGATATCATGGCGACGGCAGGCGCGAGGGCGCAAAAGCCCGTCGGCTCAGCGCCATGGATTGCAGCAGAGAAGGAAAACATTGCAGAGCTCGTTGAACAAGAGATGGAAGAAGTGGAATATCCTGTCCGACACGAAATGGATTGGTTAAATGAACATATGACCGAGATATTCTCCAAGGGCCAGACGTGAGTCGCGACCGCACACCATGGTTGGTCTCTCATCGGTGCTGACTACAAGCCAGGAATTTTGCGGATGTGTTCAAGACGCCTGGGAAGATGAGAGGCAAGACACCCCGTACAACTCGGAAGCGTGCTCCTGAAGAGTCTCGCGTGGTGAGTGTCCAACGGATGCAATTTCTCAACCGCCCTAATCTAACTCCTCCTTACAGCCCTTGAGCGAAATCTTCTCGTCAGCCCACAAACAATTAGAGGATCAAGCAAATTCCAGCCCATTCATTCATCGTGTGGTTTCGAAGCCCGCGCCCGCCGCGGCATCACCTGTGCCCCGCACCAAGGACGTGCCGGAGCAAGCTTCGCAGCCCGAATACCCTGATCTCACCCAAAATCTCAACTCCTTCCCCAAATACAACCCCGATTCGGGCTACCATGGCATGCCCGACGATGATGAAATGGTACTACCTGACGTGCAACAAGAATCACAGGCTTCGACCCAGCCTTTTACCCAACCTCTCGAAGAACAGGAGCCCGTGAGCATGGAGATCCATGAAGTCGACGGGTCCGTCGGTCAACAGACACATGAGGAATCCTTCCATTCGGCGCAGGAGAACGTCCGCTCCCGTGGAGAGACCGTCGAGACGGAGAGTGGCCCAACCCCAACCCGTGTGCGAACAGCGCCTCCAGCCGCATCAATTCCCAAAGAATCTGAGGTCGAGAAAACTTCGACTCCGACTAAGATGTCAAAGCTGAAATCAAAGACCAAAATCTCGGAACGGCAAGAGATTAAGAAGGATTCTGAGCCTATGGAGCTTGATCACGCTGTCTCGGAACCTGAGCCATCACCAGAAAAGGCCCCGCTGGCCCCAATAGCTCCGCCTGTTGAGCCTCAGGGGCTTCAGCCAGAAGACGAGGACATGGAAGATGCCACACAAGATGTTACGAAAGACGACCCGGTTCTTGACAATCTTGACGACATCGGCTCTCCTTCAGATGGCTCTACTCCTGAGCGACCGTTTGCTCGGAAGAGTAGCCTGAGCTTTGCCACCCTCCCTGCGCGGGAGCCTCTGAAGACCCGCACGAGCTACGTTGATCTAGCCAAGATGAGTACGGCTGGACGTCCCAGTTACTTTGGTAGACAGACCGGTGGCCATAGGGTGCCGCAGGCGGCGGCGGAGGAGACCGCCGCTACCAGGACCTTCGACAACGATAATATGAAGGAACCAACCGAAGAAGCGGATCCTGCACAGGCTACCAGGATGCACAGTAAGAAGTCTACACAGTCGTTGCACGAGAGAATCAGCATGCTGGGAAAACTCCAGCCATCCCGACCCAGGAAATCGATCCCATCCGCGTCTGGAATATCAGTTGGACAAGTTTCCTATCCCGACCTTGCAGCTTCCAAGCCTGAGACAAAGCCGGATGCTTTGACTGAGAGAACACAGGAGGTTCCAGCGCCGGAGCCCATGTCAGTCGACGATGACTGGATCAGGCCTTTGAGCTCGCCCCAGAAATCTGAGCTTTCCAGGAGCAAGACCACGGATATCATGGAAAGACTCGCTATACTCGAGAAGGAGCGCGCAAGCAACAGAACAGATACTTTGAAAGCAGAGCCTGAGCGTCCCAAATCATCCGCCTCGATATTCTCATCTCCCCGGCAGCATGGCCACCAGCAAAGCGCTTCATTCTCCCATCTTGCCGCTGATTCATCCACTACACCCACGGGCTCCCCGAGGCGATTCGACGGTCACATCAGTGCCTCAAAGATGAGACTACACTCGATCATGAAATCTGCTAAAGGCTTGTTCTCAAGCACCGGCAACACACCACGCGCCGAACACTCTTCGCCTGAGCAGCCACGCATTCAGCCGGGCGCTGACGCCTCTGCTAAAGCTGCGAAGCACTTATCTCAACCGGTCCCGATGTCTAGTCCCCAACGTCCGGAAGGCCGACGGACGCGAAGCTCAACCGAGAAAGAGGAGAAACGGCGCCAGCACGAACGGATGGAGCATGAGCGTGAGGAAAAAGAAATGGAAGCAATGCGTGAAAGGTCTCGGGAGCAGGAAAGGCAGAAGGCCCTGCAGCTCAAGGCCGCTCAGGAAGTCTCGTCGGCCGAGCCCGAGGAGAGGTCAAACCCAGCACCGCACAAGCCCTCCTCCCAACGACAACCATCGCGTGAGCCTGAATTGTCTCAAGATTCTAACGCGAGGTTTGCCATTCCCCAGCCCAAGCAAAACGAGCGCCGTCCTCTCAAGCCCACTCGCGAGCCCGTGAAACGACCAACACCTCAGCCCATGTCCATTCGTGTTGGCAGTACCATGTCTCGTCAGCAAATTCCTGTCGCATCATCTTCGGCTACTCAAGAATCGAACGTTCCCGTCGCCGCCGCTGCTCCTGCCTCGCGGCCGACCCTGAAAACGAAGGGTAGCAATACATCTTTACACACATCATCTTCCGCAAGCAGCTTCAAGAGCTCAGTTTCCAGTCAGACGCAAGCTCAGCGCAAGGCTCAGGTAGCTAATGACCGCAAGAAGGAGCAGGAACGTGAAGCGCGCCGAAAGGAAGAACAAAAGCGCGAACTGGAACGCAAGCGTGCTGTCCAACAGCAACAACAGGAAGAAGCTCGTCGGCAGGAAATTAAGCTTCGTGCCGAGGCTGAACGAGAGCGCCAGGCCGAACGGGAACGCCAGGCCGAGCGGGAACGCCAGGCCGAACGGGAACGCCAAGCTGAACGAGAGCGCCGCGAACGGTCGGCTCAAGAAGACCCAAACAAAGCCGCCCGTATGGAAGCCATCAAGAAGCGTCAAGCAGAGAATGCGCGGAAGCATGGGAGGCAAGGCAGCCAACAAATTGTCAACGAAGTAAGCATGCATCTTTCAAACGAGCTTTATATGCCGCTAACACCATGGCCCACTCTACAGCATGAGCAGGCATATTCCCAGTCTTCGCAGCGAAGTGATCTAGGTGCTTCTCGCCCTGCATCTCGCTTGGGCAGCTCAATCCAACCATTTGGTGGCCGTACTATCATCCCACCCGCGCCTAACCCCGCCAAACCGCCCAAGAGAGGCAACAATGATGAGCCCAGCCAGCGGCCTGCAGTGACCAAACCCAGCAATGTGCAATCAACTGGCGAGTTCAAGCGGCGAAAAACGGAGGATGAGCATAACCCTATGCCTCCTGTACGCACAATGGCACAGCCCATCCGCCAATCGAGCATTAGAAAGGTTAGTACCACCCAATCTGGTGAATCTGCCGGCGAACATATTGCTGACTTTGACAATCTGCGCAGCCTTCTACTCTTGGCCGTGGCCAGTCATCGTTGGCACCCCAGCCTGCGTCTTCCGGCTACAGAAATGCTCAACCTCAGCGACCCGCCCACCCGATAGTGACGTACACGAACGGCAAGATACCGTTTGCCGAACCGAACCATGCGCCTCCACCAAGTGCTCACAAGCCTCCGCCCAGCTCTGTGCAGCGTCCACAGGCGAAGCCATCCCCCAAGTACCCCAGTGGTGAAAACATCCATTTGCCAGAGATCAATACGGACAGTGAGGATGATGACGATTCTGACTCTGAGATGTTCCCCGTTCCCAAGTGGGCACAAGCGAAGGAGCTAGAGGGTCTTCTCCGCCAACAGGATGGTATGGAAGTTGACAATATCTTCGGGCCTATTGCACCGTTCTCTCTGGAAGAAACCTTCAAGGCGGACAAGAAGATCAAGAAATACCGTGATCGTACCAGCAGCGCTAATTGGTCCGGTCCCGATGGACTTACCCAGGAAGAGATCCGGAGGGATCTTGCCGAGCGCCAACGGTTGCGACTCAATGGTGGTTGGAGCTTCACCACCCAGTGACTGGAGTGAGAAGACGCGTTTCTTCCTTTCGTGTAAATTTGATCCGTACATTGAACAGCGGTGGTCTTGGTGTTTTTTTTAGATGGAATTGGCAGTGGACATGGTCCTGTCGGTGTTCAGGTGTTCGATACATCATGGCGTTATTTTGTATGATTTTTGTTGGTTATTCCTGTTTGGATTTATTGTCTTAGACATCAGCTGCATGAAGCATCCATCGGAGCATGGGGATAATGAAATGCTATTTGCTACAACTACATTGGTATTGAATGCTGTGCTGTGTGCATCTAGGTTAACTTGGGCATTCCGACCTTAAAGCTTGTACAGTGTGTTATTTGGGGCCGACTATTTCAGCAATCAAGCTTATGTAGACCCTTGGTGAGCACTATCACATGAACTAGCATCATTGGTCTAGTGGTAGAATTCGTCGTTGCCATCGACGAGGCCCGTGTTCGATTCACGGATGATGCACATTTCTTTTTTTTTGCCCTAATCATTATCTCTTACTAGGTTACCTACCTATTGTTTCTTGATTTTTGTCTCTATCCAATTCAAGTTTTACTCATACTGTTTCTGAGAGCTTCATAATCTTTTAAATTATGTTCGGAGATATACAATCTGTTTTCCAATGGGGGATACCACAACCTTGGAAGAAATATATGTACGCGACGGGACCCCGGTCCGAAGTCACGACTATAGCCCTAGGAAGGTAGGTATGAAACAAGTATTGTGGCCCCCAAGGAACCAGGACATAGCCCAGATGGATCATAGCTCATTCATTCTACAAATTTCCAATGGAACCTAAGTGAGTCCTGGGTAATTCGTAGTATTCATGCAGAAATACTGTCCTTGATCGAATACCGTCATTTGATAGAATACCAGGAAAATCAGAATACCGTAGTTCACACGGTATTTATTGCAACGTTATAGTATTCGGGCAGTACGGTATTCTTATGGAATGAGTGCCGTGTTGAAGATGGTATCCTGGGATTATATATGGCTGGCTTGGATGCCCTGGAGGATGGGCAGCAACATATGGACCTGGGGTTGAGAATAGTAGTAGTACCTAGTATAGGTGCAGACCTTTCCACTGGCCAATTGCACAAGAAAGCAGAAATGTGGCACATGTGCAATGTTCATGATTTTGTACACTGTTGACATATGGGGACTATATAGATGAGACGAATAAGAGATCTCAAAGATGGATATGAAGCGCAAAGGAAATCCCCGATCCAAACCCCCGAACCCCACCCCCGGAAGCGCCGAGAAAAATATCGTACAAGATTCTCCGACCCTTAAGCAGGTAGATATCGACCATCCACCGGTACTTAGTCACATTCCGGCTCGATGTCACTGCCTCCATGCTCCGCACCCTCATCCATGGCATCGGGGTTGAGGTTGACGGCATCGGGCGCCACACCGACCTGAGTCTCGTAGGAGATGGTGCGCCAGCCGGATGAGGTTGTGGGGTCTTTGACATATTCGGACATAGGGAACTGTGAGGAGTCAGAGGGGTGTTCTTATCACAGTTTGATGTTAGTGTGTAGGGTAAAGACTTACGTAGTGGTCGTTCTTCTTCATGGTAACAACCCAGGGGACGTTATCGAAGGTGACGGCGCGAATTCGGAAGTATTCGTTATCCGGGATTTTGCGGACTTCGCGGATGAAGCTGTCCAGGTCTGGAGTCGAGACGCTGTTGACAGCAGTGAGGAAGTTGGTGGGTGCAAGACCGTAATGGTAAGCGGGGGAACCACGGCTCTGAGGTGAGAGATAGGATTAGTAAAATTGAATGTGTGTCAGTTAAGGATCAAAACTCACTCTCGCGCTGACGTAGATCTCACTGTGGACCTTGGAGATCTGCTGTCGAACGGCATGGTGTGGCTTCTGCAGGACAGCACCACAGAAGGCAAGGGCACGGTCCGTCTCGATATCCCGAGTCGGCACCGTAGGGACGCGGATGCGGACTTCCTCGCCGTTTCGCACGACCAGCGCATCCAAGTGTTGCTTTTCATACATGACATCCAGCTCGGAAACGCGAGTGATGAGCTGGCCATCCAGTGTGAGGATGATATCAGCTTCTTGGAAGCTGGTGCTGGGGTCAGGAGTGACGCCTGCCGGAGGGCTGTCAACCTTGCGCACCATGAATAGCTGGTGTCGCGCCGAGTTGGCCTCCGTGACTTTGTTAATCCACTCCTGCGAGACGCCCATGATGCGAGCCTGACTCATCTGCACAACGTAGCTCTCCATGTTCAGGATTCGTAAGGAGGGTACCTCTCCCTGCTGGATCTTGGAGATGACGGGAAGTAGGTACGGGGTGGAGAGACCAAGGTGGTATTCGATATCCTTGTGAGAGCTGGCAGAGCGCTCGCCGAGGTAGTTCAACCACAAGGCCTGAACCACGCCATCCTCGCCGATGAGCACACCGTTCGAGCACTGAGCGCTGAGCCCAGTATCAACAGTGACAGCATCCAGGTTGATCGCGCGGTAACGAGGGGCAGCTGAGTTGGCGGGGATCGACACAGTTGTGATGTCAGTGACAGTGGTTTTGGCGACGACGATGCGATGGTTTTGATTGAAACCGACGAATATCGTGTCCTGGCCTTGCTTAACATAGTCGGTGCTGAGCTTGGCGCTCTTGACCGGGGCCTTGACAAGGGCTGGGTCGTATTGAATGATGCAGTAGTTCTGAAGCGGGTGCAGGAACACCACCTTAGCACTGACGAGGATCGAGTCGGCCACAGTGATGCTGATGTCGCAAAGATCATACGGCACAATGGCTCGTGATACTACCACTAGACCCTTCTCAGCATCAATGACCAGTCCAAATCCTGTCTTTTTTGACTGCGGATATCCATCCAGCTTCAATGGCATGACGCAACCCACTCGCACAAAGCTGCGGACAATCTCGGCCGCGGCAGGCTGGTTGATGCCATCTAACTGAATAAAGTTGGCCTCCCTTGGGACCGGAGGTATAGCGGGAATGGGGTCAGCGATGTCGGAGAAATCCCAGACACCAGTCTCATCGTTACGGACCGCCAAGCGCATCTTGGGATGCCAGTGACGGTCGACGTGGACGATGCTGGTTCCTTTAGTGTGAAGATCGCGGATATGGCGATAGGAGATCACCACGCGAGCGCGATCAGGGATCAACTTCATGACTTCTACGAACTCCTTGAGGTTGCGAACCGGCTTCTTGTCGATTGAATCGATAATCCAACCCGCCACAGTGTTCTCCAGCTTGAAGGAGCCTGCCGATTCACAGACGTAGACTCCGCGAGTGGCAATGGCATATAGACGTGACTGCTGGTATGACAAGTCATGGAAAGTGGCGCCAGCCACGGTGACGAAACGGTCAGGGGTGATATCGTGAAGGTTTCCTACCTGACATTCAACTTCAACGTCTTGGCCACCTCTCTGAACCAGCAACTTGATAGTCTCGCCGACGCTCGAATCGAGGATATCGTCGAGGTTGACAAACTGTGTAAGAAGCTTTCCGTTCACCTTGATAAGTACGTCACCTTCCAACAACTTACCATCTGCAGGACCTTCTGGAAGAATAATCTCTGCGGCAAGCATGTTTGTTTCAGTAGGCGCAGCCTCACGCACAGCAGCCTCCCACTCCGGCGTGAGACCAAGACGGCGACACTCGTCGAAAGGCCTCAAGACCCACTGAGTCTGAATTGTACCACGGGTGACAGGCTTGCCTTGGCGGATGCACTCCAGCGCACGAAGGGGACGGTCCAACGGCAAAAAGTAGTCTGTCGCAGCTCCATCAGCTCGACCTCCAGCCTGCAAAGCAACCGCATGACCAGCGAGGTTAACGACGGGACTTCCTGAACTTCCACCACTAGCTGCAGCGGCAGCCTGAATATAGTTTGTGTTGAAGTCACAATAGCCCTCTCCATATTCGGGTGCATTTCGGTCCAGTCGACTGATCACGCCGGAGAGAATGCTCAGCTTTTCTCCAGCATCATTACCCACGACACGAATCTCTGTGCCAACTCGCGCTCCATCTGGCTGAAGTTTGAGCTCGGTGACTTCCATATATCGAATTTTGGCGGGGTCGAACTTCAGAATACCGAAATCGTGAACGGGGTCCCGGTATACAGGCTTGACGTCGCACTGTTGATTTGACAATGTGGTTAGTAACCGAGTTGCAGCTTCAACAAGAACAGAGCGAATTTACCTCCTCATGGTTGTCGAAGATACAATATCCCCAGAAAGGACCGGAGCCGACGACATGACGGTTGGTCAAGATGTACCCACGCTCTGCATCCACCACAAAACCAGTAGCTTGACTGGACATCGATAACTCTGTGTCAAACGAACAGGTTTGGCAGAAGTGAATGGAGACAGCGCTTTTCACAACCTTCTCAATGGTAGCCTGCCATTCAGGCGAGTCTGTTGTAGCGGGCATGGCAACTGGCGAGGGTGCTTCATCCATCTCCTCCTCGACATCATAGACAGTTCCGTTTGCGGGGGTTGCGTCGCTTGGAGTCAAAACTGCTGCGTCTGGTCTGAGTTGCTTGTTGGGATAATCGGAAGCAACGGCCGCCGTGCTAAGCTTGCGCTTTGCGCCCAGATCGCCCTTGCCGTCCATGGTGAAGCAATCTGAGGTGCGGAAGTGGTGCGAACGGAAGTGAAGGCTGCTCGGGAAGTATGAGGTTGCCCGAAAGCTCCTTGATGCTGGCAAGGCAGCAGAGAATGGGAAACGAGGCGATTGGAACCTCTGAAGATGCGGGCGATGCGGAGTTAAGGAATGTGACGCAGATGATCGATCAGCGGCGTGAAACTCCAAAGGTGTGAATGCTGTCTTTGAAGCTGGATAGGATGATAGGGGTAAGGCAGCGACAATTGACAAGCTCCTTCTGTATATAACCGACAAAGAACCAGACATCCACCACGCAATTGGGGAGATTATGTACGCGCCTTGACTTCAAGACAAAGAGTGCCTCTAAAGAGTCTTGAAGGCGGTGAGGAAGAAGTGGCAGACTTATTGGCGGAGATATCACTGCGACTACACGTGATTGCACTGAGGCGGTGAGATGCGGTGGTTCGGAATATCTTGCCAGGCAGAATATTGACTCGCCGATCTATCTACAGGTCCAAGCACAGCCTATGCTACTGCATTACAGTTTATGGAAGCAACTATATCAGACATGAAATTAGGCTGTGTCCGATATTCAGAGTGTCGCTATTCAAAAGTGCAAAGGATTCTGAGAGTGACGAAATACAACATTACATTCAAGGGCGCGGAGAATAAAGCGCCAATGGGATAAGGCAAGCATGGTGTAGTTGCGCACACGATGTGGTCCTGTGGTAGCCTCATGCGCCCACCCGAATGCCAGTTCAAGGTCAATGTCGTCCTCTTTGCCTGATTTCATGTAGAAAGTATGCAACAGAGAGGTTACATTCTTCTAATATACAAATTCTGTGTCATGCTTTGTAGCCTGGTTTCAAACATAAGAGTTCTTCCTCGGGATATTGTCCCATATATTCAGGGCGGGGACTTCGCTGAGTCTGAGGAATGTGTCAACTTCTAAATAGCACACAGATATGGCTGCTTGAAGTCATTCAACTGGTCCCATAAGTAGTGCAGCAGTAAGACATGCATGTTGGGGGGTCCATGCTTCTGCTGGTAGGCATGGCATTGGAGGGTTGCCCACGCGCCTCTAAGGCTTGTGTTAATTGCTTGAGACACATGGGCGCATGGCCAAGGAGAGAGATATTTCAGGAACTCCAATTCAGTTGTGGACATGTCTTCTCTCACAGAAAACTGAATGTTTCCCCATTTAATCCACTCAGATGCCCGACTCAGTACCGCTAGGGCTAGGACCACCCGTGCCTTGCATGGACTGAGGGCTCAGCCTTTGCGGAGTAGAGGTCTTCGCTGGTCGCGAGAAGAGCTCATTGAGCTTGGCATATAGTTCATTCAAAGCAGGAAGGTTTTGAGGAGGTGTCATGATTGCAGGGGTCTGAGGTACGACGCCACTGGCCTTCTTCGCTCGATCAGCAATAGTCGCAAGGTAGGCCAAGTTGACTTGCAAGCGTCGCATGCACTCGATGTATTCAGGGCTCGGCTTTTGGTTGGCCTTGGAGGGATCGGGTTGCTCTGATGCCGGTGAATTGGTTTCTGGGTTGGAAGCTGGACCAGCCTTGCCGGCCGCTTGAAGGTTCACCACTTCTTGCAACAAAGCCGAGTTGATGTCAAGGAGAGTTGTGACGCGGGCCTTCTCACGCGCCGCAAACTGAGCCTGAGCCTGTGCCTGCGCCTGCGCTTGAGCGTGGGCTTGTGCCTGGTTTTGAGCAGCAGGGGCAGGGGCCCCAATTTGGGGTGAATTCATTTGTGAAGTGGGTCTAGGTTGTGTGTTGAGTAGGTTGTTCGCTGATATGGAGGCCATGTTCTGAGAAAAGGTCTGCGCTACTTGCGATGGCATGTTTGCGCCGGAGGTGCCCTGGGGGGGAACAAATTGCCCCATGGGGTTGGGAATGGGGGCTTGGACGAAAGGAGCTGAGAAATTATCCATAGGTGCTGTTAGGACCAGGAAGAGGGTTAGCTCAAAGTACTCCAACGTAACAAAGGCGCCGGAAGAGTAGAAGCCAAGTGGTCAAAGCCAAACAATGCCAAGGCTGAATGCAATGATAGCGGTACATCTAAGGGTTGGGGTGACACGAGCGTGAGGGTTAAAAATATCCCGTCCAGTCTTGAGGCTCATGACATTCCTCCTCTTGCTCCGATGACTCGGGATATACAGTCACCCCGCTAGGGTAATAGTGACGGGTCTTGTGCCAATGATAACGAAAAGGGGGGCAGAGGGGTGGGCACGTACCGGAGGATTGCTGCGGGTAACCTGAAGGCATCATCGCTCCACCAGGACCGGGCTGCATGGGCATAGTACCGAAATGTTGAGCGGAGGGTGTCTTTGACTGGGGGTATGGGGGAACACCATTAGGGTAAAAAGGCATCTGTTGGTTTTGCGGGCTCTGAGTCGGGACGGGATAGCCGGCGGGATAACCAGTATTTGGGTCCATTGTGTAATGAGGGAGCATCACGGTTAAGGGGTGGCTCCGAGGAATCTTCTCGCCCTGTAATAATTCTTCACTTCAGCGATCCCTGATTCCCTCGGTTTAGGGATGCTACTAGGGGCAACAGGATGAGTTACGCAGGCCGCACGGACGAGATGTGAAGGTCCAAAGGCGGCTGTTAACCGGGAATCCAGGGGGAGATTTGGCGTGACCCGGACTGCTCAAAAAAGCACGTGGTGATTGGCTCAGTCAAAAGGGCAGGGATATGTTGGAATACGATCGGCCTTCAGAACAACCTTGGACTCAGTGCAAGTCTGCAAGACAGATTTTGGTGGCCCGGATTCAGAGCGATCAGCCGTGGGCTAATGCAGCGGAGCCCTTTTCGGAATGGTGGAGACGCAAATTTCCAGAACTCGAATGATGAATTGATAATGTCACCTCGAGTTGACCTGAAACTGGCGTTCGAGATTAATAGAGAGGGTGGGCAGGATAGAGTACAGTGTACTTGAGATCAGCGAGGGCAGTGCGAATACGGACATCCTCGATGAACGTGACGGTGCAAAAGTCACGGGATTTTCTTAATGCCTGAGGCAAAATATATTGATGCCTCAGGATTATTAAGGCGACCATCCATCATCCATGGATGGATGATCACGAGAAGGGACTGTAAGATCAACATCGGAATACATTGAGACGATGAAGAAGAGAAAGTATCTACTAGTAGTTAAAGCTTTCAAAACTACATAGCACTGGGCGAAAAATAGAGCAAATTCTCGGCATCACCTCTTCCTCCTTCCCAATGGAACCTAGTTCACTTCGAGATCATTCAGCCTCATGAGTATACAATGTAGTGCAGGCGGCACTGTTATATCTACACAAGCCTTTTACCCTCGCTTCGCTCGGGAGGCTTGAAGGCGAAGTCCGTAGTCAGTAAGCTAATCGCAGGAGGTTGATAGTTAGGACATTTTCATTTGGGCATCGCGAGAGTAGGCTAAACAGAAGGCGGGCATGCAGTTTTACACAGGTCCAATGGTAACGCGAGAAGAAAAGGGCAACCCCACATCTAACTAACTTGTACAGCTGACTCCGTTGTATGGAAGCGCTGTACGACCTCTGGAAATAGGACATTTTCTGTTGCATCCAAGGCCTCTACGTGTAGACCGATAGATTGGCCACTCCACACCCACCTTTTTAACGACTGTCCCTGGCTCTTATTAATCGTCATAGCGAAATAGAGACGGATTGGAATCGACATCAGACGGAGAGTGAAGGATAGCTGGCCCTCGGTCGTCTCCAATGGCACACGCGGGATCGTGTGCTCCGCTGCTTTATAGCCGCCAGCGATGATACGGCGGTGATATTCCAATCATACAGACCCGTAATGATGAGACGGGTGCCGTTGCAGAGGCCGCCCTCTTAACGTAGGTTCCAGATCAGCATAATCGGGGCGCCGACCTTCAAGGCCAGCTCCGACGGCGGCAGGCTGGGGATATTGATGGAATGTAGATACTCCGGAGGGTGGTCTGTCAGCGTGGGTTGATCCCTGGCAGAGGCACCCCGGGCACGATCCGCAGACCAATACATCCTCGAACGGCCAGGCATATGGCCAATCAACCGGTCCTTGAACACTGTCGCCGCGTCGTTACAGATGGTGATAATCGACCGCTCGGCAAAAGTATACAGGACTCCGGCGACTGCCGACAGCGCCGTGGCGGGGTAGACGGCATCACAGAGCTCTTCCACGGTATCAGACCCGGGGATATACTGGGGTAGAGGATCAGCACTTGTAAAAAGCCAGTGTAGATAAGGAGGTAGGGGTGAATTGCCGGCAGGCGTGCTCCATGCGGCCAAGATCATGTCTCTGCACGGTGCCAGGGCGGTACTGGGAGCGAAATGCAACGGGCGTCGCCACGGCGGGTGGGCAACGGGGGCATAACTTAGGCGGCTGGCGGCGGCGCGCCAGGTCGATAAATTGGGGTATAGGAAGCCGATGACACAATGAAGCAGGGCTGCATACCGGTACGGGCTGGGGGCACTTGACGGATCTGGGGTCTGCATCTAGCACGATTAGTGAAGAGCTCGGGCGCCGTGAATAGTCGACGAAAGCCGATAGCGGGTGAATGGCGCCGCAGCAAGTGCACTGGCGAGTCTGGGCCTGGCATGATTTTCAGCAGTATCAAAAGTATTCGCACGTACGGGGGCCTCGCTCTCGACCTGTGTTGACTGGGGATGACGGCATCCGTGGCAGGATTTAAGCCGACATTTCTGTCGTGGAGGAACGTAGTCAGGGGTCGTTTGTTACGGCACCGGCTACAGCGCTTGGTAGACAGGCGGGCGTTTTCGGCGGCGGACATTCACGCAGTGGTGTTGGAGGGGAGATAGGATTCGACATGGCGAAAGGCTGTAGTATGAACAGGCAAGAGGCCGTAGGATTGAGATGGAAGACGCGTGAACAGGTAAACGAAGCCAGGAGATGCGATCGCGTACATAGGCTAAACCCAAGGGGGGTAAGCGCTCTCGGAACAGGCCAATGATGAGGCGAGAAAGGCAGGCAGTGGGAACACTAAAGCAGAATCGGCAAAGATCACCATGTACATATGCAATGCAGTTTTCGAAGTGGATCCGAGGCAACATTCTCTTATATTATAGAATCCCAAGGAAAATGTATCTCGATTTGACTGGGTTTCATACTTAGCCCAATTATACTATAATCTGTTAGTTCATGGCCATCTGTGACCTGGGTAGTCTCACAATCACTTAGTGACCCCTCTTACCGCCATATCGTTCATTACATGAAGCTGAACAGTTGTCGGTTTCCTATGCAGTATATTGCAGACGCTTCACATCCAAAGTGGCGGTGCAGGAAAGAAGGTTACACAGTTCGTGGCTGAGTTGGATGGAGATGCCGAGTACCCCAGCATGTACGGGACTCACTACGGAGTACGCAGGAAGAAAACACCGAACTGGCAAATACCGAACTACCCGCACATCGATGTCGGCACGTACAGCATTCCGCATAGAGCATGTAGCTGAAAAAGACTTCTCGGAACTAGTAGCTCTAGGACCACTTGGCGTTCATAGCCTGGCAATCTCACTTAGGTCCACCCCACAGGTATCCACGGCCCTTGCTGTCAAACCACGTTCGGGAATTCGGAATGCACATAATACGTCGATATACAAACATGAAAAGAGGGGCTCAACGCCCGTGAAGTCGAGTAAAGATTGGCGATCTTCCAACCCTTTCAAAGTTTATGTGTCTAGAGATGCTACGGCTCTAAGCGATACCTCTCATTTCCCGAAAAGGGCAAGACAGATGGGCGATCCTGTGGGCTTTGTCACAGGTGGATACATGTAGTCCGTCAGCGATCTACGTTGTATACAACCGAGGCATACGACGTAGCTCCATCGCGGTTGGAGTATATCTTGGTCTGTAACACCAAAGGAATAAAATGAAAGCATTGCAGCAGGACCACTGGACCAGACACTCAGAGAGTGTACGGGATCAGGTGACGGAGTACAACAGTAAGTACTGTGTACAGAGGAGATGAATACAAGTATGCAGGAGGCTAAAAAGGGACGGTGGGTCTTGCTCGTTAGGTACTAAGTAGAGAAATCCCCATTCCCAGGAAATGCAAGTTGGAGATCCTTACTTTGCCAGAACGGGGTCATGGGGCTGATTGACTGAAGTACGGAGTATTGAAAGACTCGACGTGTGGTTTAGATCGCCCTTCAGCTCATGACTAGTTCAAAGATTTGATCCGATATGAACTAGGTCAAACTCAATCTCACCAGTCACAATAAGCTCAAAGCCTTCCATTCCTGCAACTATCGGTAATTGGAAAAAAGGGACAAATTGGTATTTTTGGTATTTTGGATTAAAACCTTAAAAATCCTCCGAGCTCCCTGGTCACTTTTGGCTAAATTTGTCATTGTGGCTGAAACTAGTTATGACCTCATCAGACGGAGTTCAACGGTCGACGTTCTCCGGTATGACTCGCATGTACTGCCAAAACCGTCAACCTCGTTAGTTTCACGACACGACCACAAAAGTATGCATACATGTTTATTTTCCAAGATCTGTAGAACAGGACAGTCAACATGTCTCCAACCCCCCACAAGGGAACATCCGAGGATTTGAAGCTAATCGTGCATTCGATCACGATCGAAATCGCGCTCCACTTGTTCCTGGCGGAGATCTAACCGAGCAAATCTTGAAATCTATTGACAGGTGTTGGCAATTATATGAGGCCTGTCTAGACCGACGCTTGCTGCCTTTGGAATTAGTGGCGAATTCGAACACTCTGTTTATTTAGACCGTATCACCACTATGCACATCTGCGACTTGATTCGAAGTTAAGATATTTCCGGCGATACTAGTCATGTCCGCTCCGCTGGTAGAAGATTTCAAATGCTTTGCTTTCGCAGCCACCTGAAGGCAAGACTGGATAAGCTTCTTATGCATGGGGGTGCTAGGGCTGGTCTAGTAGAACCAATGGAGAAAGGAGGAAGTTTTCGATTTCCGAAATGCATCCCAGTCTGTGAGAAGGGATAACAACTTCTGTGGCTGATGTGCATGCACTGGATATACCTATCTAGGTCCCTAACCCCTACTCACACTGGGTTGTCTTGGGGGTGAAGGGGGTGGTCTAGCACCCCCCGAAAGTACACACTAGTACACTACAGGTAGGCCACCATTGACCTCGAGAGAATGCCAAATTCATGCCCGCGGTTGAATGGCCTCCGCGATGCAGCGCCTTCGGCCGAACGGGCAGAGGATATCTATCTACTTAGGTTGTGGAATAGCGGTGATGCTGCATCGACATTGCCGGATCCAGGGAGCAACCCTGCATGAAGCCCGTAACGTCCCCACGTTAGAGGCTGCGGTATCGTCAAGAGACGGATAGCCTCATGTGGGTATCTATCATGTCTCGTCGCCTGCTGGGACAAGCCAGGAGCCTGAATATAGCACACACTACAACAGTATACCAACATCGGACACATGTGAAATGTGGGGGTGTAGGCAACCGGGGGGTACAAGGGTTTGGCCACAAGCCACATGCCGGACAGCGAATCATGCTTTGACGGGGATTACCATCAAAAAGATAGTCGTAGTCTAGAATATGGGGCTCACGCCATCAAGTGTTATCCATGTCCCCTGATGTTCATTGAAGATCAATTGATACATATCCATTTTTTAGGGCTCCTAAGGTTCCGGGCGTATGCAGTACTAATCCGTCAAGTCTTTAGCACGCCACTATGTTGTATACTGAGATTTGATATTGCAAGGAGGCCATGGTCTTGAGAGACAACGTTTCAATATAGATCCAGAGTTCCCCCACATAACAAATAGCGTGCTATTGATATAAGCACCGCCACACAATTGTCTTGGGGTGGAATAATAAACAAATGAAAATCAGAGAAGCTTTCGGGGAATACCGTCAGAGCACAGGGGAAACTACATCCATGTTTCCACATTTGAATCTAGTGCGTCTCCATACGGCCCCTAACGGTCTGTTTCGATACTGTATCTGTCTTTGCGTTGCAGATCAGTCCCAAGGTTCTTTTGTTAAGGACTCCAGCTCTTTGGAATTGGGCCTCCACCTTTTTGGTGCCCTACAATATATAATGAGTGCGCCACAGCTGACAGAAACTCCTGTGGCTATTCACAAAAACCTTCTCTTTCGGATTCACTTCGCTTTTAGCCGGTACTTACTGAGCAATTGCATGGCGAAAAGCCAAAGCCACTGCTCTAATCGGTCAATCTTACCTGCTCTGCAATTGGACCCTCATCTATACCGAGTCACCCGCTTCCCGAATTGATCTTCTCCCCCCCACCTCCCCTCGCCCTCCCCTTCTGTCCATCAGAGGATAAGAGGACTTCAACCCTGAAGTCTTTCAACCAGTCAGCCGTCCAGCTGTTGAAAACAGCCCCTCGAGCTCCTTATCCGGGGTATGGTTGTCCTTTTAGTGTGGTGGCCCTTGAGTTCACGGCTGACTTTAGCCAGGCCCCAGACGTGATGTCTCGACAACCACCACTAGCGGAGGGGGAATATGCCCACTATGCTATGATCTATCTCGATAGAGATGGTAATCTGTGCCAAAGAGCCTCCGAGTCAATCGCAGATAGCCAGCAAACTATCTTGTCTCCGAGGGTTAAGAGTGAATTCTTAAGAGCAGTGAGGATGTCAACAGAGTCCCAAGCAGCACCATATGAGAGTGAGCTTCTACCACCCCCATTGAATACCCTTTAAAGAGCGCAGAACAGCTCCTTACGATGTGACAGTACCGTCTAGACAAGAGCCACAATTTAAACAACCTAGCCCCACCCAGTCGCAGGGGGGTCTCGTGGCGTACAACGGAATGTGTCTCAATGGCGAGCAGAGCCTACAAGGCCCAGTTCTACCAAATGACACCTTCCAGCCTCCAATCTGGCCCCAATTAAACGAATCCTGGCCTCATCTGCAGGTAACGGGCTCAAAACCCAGGAAAAAGAATTTTGGAGGTCAGAACCTTGACTTGACTTCACACCAAAGGGCCTCAATCTCCGTGAAAGACAAAGAGCTTCTACGCCTTTACTATGAGAAAGCCTTCCAGAATTTACAACAAACAAACTGCCGAGTGATTGCGAAAGCTTACATCAAACTGGTCGAGCCTCGTAAGCAAGTGAACTACCCCTACAATGGTCGGAAGATCGTAGGTGGGATCACTCGACAGCTCGAACCAGAGGCAACCAAACCACCATGGTGGCCAAGTGGAGTGAGCCACCGGGAGCCAGACCATCTTCCGAAAGTTGGTAAGAGAGAAGACTTCATCATGAACGCCTAACAAAGCTGACAAGATCCAGAACGCATTCGCCTATTAGTACACATTCTCTGCGAACTGCGTGAAAGATACGGAGTCACCACCGCCAGATTAAAAGAATGCGATCAGCCCATTCGCCGTCAGATTCTCCCAGTCGAGCGTTTACACATTTTGGATGAGATTTATCGAGTTCGAGAGGAAGAGCAAAAGCTCCTTGATGGGGTAACAGGTACACCATTGATCAAACCTCCTCTCAATGCTCGAAAGCTGACACATTCTCTCCCAACAGATGGAGAACAGGCCGTCTTTATATCTCGAACCAACCTCCCCCAACTAGCAGAAGACACATTAAGCGGACAAAGCTCGCCAGCCGACCCAGAACCAGGCCCCCAGAACGCCGGATCTGAATGCAGCGACGAATTTTCCGGCATCGACGACCTCAATCGAATAACCCCCGGAGACCTCTCCAGCGCGAGCTCATACAACATCAATGCTCCCGATCTCTACAGCCCGACGGTCCACATGCCTCCAGAGATCCAATACCAACCCGTTGACCCGTCCACAAACAGGTCCACATCCCCGGTAAAGTCAAAGAGGAAACGCGAGTCTTTTGCTGGAACGCATTTGGTGGATCGGACGCGCCCAGTTGACCTCGCACACTACCCATATCCCGCGGATTCTACCGTTCCACCAATCCCGATGGAATATTATGCTACGGCCCCTATGCCCCCTAACGCTGGTGTTCCGATCTCTCATCCTTCAACAGAGAGCTTGTCCACGGAGCCAATGATGCCATATGCCCAGCCGGGCCAGCCCTACTATTTTAACTACTGAGTACCCAGATCTCCATCGGGGCACATATAATGTCTGTGACGATAACGAATTTCCTTTTATTATGTCTTAAATCATGACGAGCGATAGAACTGGGCTTTGATTTCGAACGTAACAATCGAACGTAACAATAAATCCGAGTTCTGAGTGCAAAGATCGATCCAACGGACGCTTAACCCCCGACAGCGCAATGTTTCTTCCTCTCTAGGAAGTGCTTGTTGCGCCATGAAGCTACAGACACTGTGAGTACCAGTCATTTTGGTATTTACACGTTCCAGTTGCACAGACTTTGCCTCCAGTCCAGCCCAATCCACCACACTGGCCATAGAGAGGGACACCAGTACCGCCACCATTATTAGCCGAGGTCGTCGTAGTGACAAGGGTAGTAGTCACCGTGGAAGATGGAGTTCCACCGAGAGCAGCCAAGATGCCCGCATAAGCGGGTTTCTTCACGAGATTCGAATCCCAAGGACAAGCATCACCCTGACCAGAGAAAGTGCTGGGCACCCACGAGTACTTATCAGTCCAATCCCAGATAGTCATACCGATACAGCGTGTGTTGCCCATGCACGCAGCAATGGTGCTCTGATAATCAGCCGACTGCTGGGCAAGTTGCGCAGAGGTCGAGGGCAGATTCATGCGGATATCGAGTTCCGTGTAAGCGACATCAACACCGAGAGCAGTGAATGCTGCCAGGTTGGTAGACTGTGAGCTCTGGCTAGGTGTGCTTCCGACGATGAAGTGGGCCTGGAGACCGACACCATCGATCTTGGCTCCGTACTGCTTCACGAGCTTGACGATTCTCTGAGCGCCGGAGGCCTTGGCGCCGGGAGACTCGATGTTGTAGTCGTTGTAATAGAGTTTGGCGCTTGGGTCTGCGGCTGCCGCGGTTGCGAAGGCGATTGGGAGGAAGGCTTCGCCGATGACCTTGTAGAAGACACTGTCGCGGTAAGTACCGTCTTCGTTGAGGACTGATCCAGATGTTAGTAACGTGTCGATGGTATTATCCAGGTAGCTTGTCTCCGGATTCAGTGCTTACCTTCATTGGCAACATCCCAAGCATAACATTTCCCCTTGTAGTGAGTCACCACATTGGTAATGTGGTTCTTCATAGCAGCAATCAGAGTTGCGTTGGTCCAGGATCCGCTTGAGACTATCTACTTGTTAGCGGAAGAATACATGCGATACGAGTGACAACACATACCCCAGTTCGGCAACTGGCTGTGCCAGACCAGTGTGTGGCATCGCAGCTTCTGGCCATTCTTAGCAGCAAGGTTGGCAATGACATCGCCGTTGTTAAAGCTGAAAGTATTCTGCGACGGCTCGGTTGCATCCCACTAGCGACGGTTAGCGAGAGCCCAGAGAACACCCGACGACGAGCCCAACCTTCATCGCATTGCCTGGAGTGAGTTGACCGAAGTCATCCGTGTTGCCCAGCTGGGCAACGTATGCCGTATCGCTCAACTCGCCGTTGTCGGTAGCTGTTCCGAAGTACAACTTTCCCTTTGCGACAGCCGAGCTGTGCAGACCGGCTGCTTGGGTTCTGTAAGAGTAATAGGACTATCAGTGCGATGTTCTACCAGCGGGTCAAGGGCTGATCATACAGCGATGGAAGAACGCTGGCCGCAGCCAGGACGATAGTGGACAATTGAACCATGGCGATAAATCAACACTCGTTGATACTCGAATTCACCTGAAGATCCAGACTGGAATGAGGATCGACAAAGGCTCAAGCTTCCTTTATAGTCCGAGGGAGACAACAACAGCCAAGCTGTAAAGGTTTCATCTGGATAATCTCCAGCATCTACCCCGGTTCACATCGAACAACCATGCGGGCCAAGAGCCCGTGTTGTAGTTGTCGCGGTCATTCGAAATAGCCATATAGCCTGGATCGGAGCTTATACACCTGAATGAGCATAGCAATATGCACAGAAAGTCGATATAGCCAGGGGAAAGAAGAGAAGGAAGTTAGCGCCAGATAGTCTGAAGAGAAGTTCATGTAAATTCCCCACCCGGAGCAACCCCCGTATTACCCCGTATTCTCTTCACGGCAAAACAACCCTGTCGAAGGCGTTTGTGTGGAGGTGCAACGTTGCTGAAGAATGGGCGCCGGGGAGGAATCAGGGCTAAAGTCAGGAGAATCGGGTAAATGAGCTAGCTGTCTTCTCCACTTGCTTAAACTCGTGAAGCTGGGGAAGCTGGGGGAACCCTGTCGATCCCCGAGCTTTGGTTCCCCTCTTCTTGATCTTCTCTAGGATATAAGGCAGATCTCGAAAATTAACCAGTGGTGTTGATTTCAGCCTGACCATTCAGGGTAAGTTGGTTACCCCAGGTTGATCATTCAGGCTAGACGGCAGACATTGCCTCATTTGGACGATGGACCTACATTAGCGCTTCGTATATAGCATGGGTACATGGGGTATCATGCGATCTATGTCTGGCTGGACTCTGACCCCTGTACAGGTCGGCTATAGAAGCCCATTTCATGTCATTCGAAATGCAAGCAGTCCCAAGCGCCGAGGTCAAACACCTCTCGACCCGGCGAAGGCTACGTTGCTTTCTAACAAACATGGACTCGTGACCTATAGACCCCGCCGTGACAGACAAGCGACTCCTCTTACTACACCCATGCGAAAAAGGAAGTCTTGGCAGACTGCTCGAGGTTGTTCCAACTGGATGAAGACCCTTGTACCCCTTGATTCTTGAACAACCGCAGTTACATAGGGCTGGGAGATCAGTGCTTTGAGGTAACAGGGATTGCTACTAAACGATGAGACCTAGAACATTCGCACTGTAAAGGTCGAAGAACCACCTGCCACAATCAAGCAGGGTCAAGACGGCCTTAACTCGTTCGATCGTGTGCGATAGTAGGACTCTGTGCTTCCAGAAAGGGAATTGCCACTTCAATGTGTCATATCTAAGAATTTGATAATGCATCTATATACATGAGAGCTTGCTTTTCAAGGGTATCGTGATTTATTTGTAACTTCATCTTGCTCCGTAAAGTGCCAGAGCGGAGCGTGGAGAGGGCTCGGTGGTCCACAGCAAGAAGCCAAAGACAGGTAGCTCCAAAAGCACTGGAGCACCTCTGCCAAGGGTAGGGTGGTACTTGTGGATGCAGCTTCTATAAAGCCACGGGATAGATGGAATGGGATGACGGGCTTCATGTCATTGAGATATCGTTCAGCCCGTTTTGCGAGCCTTCATATCCGCAATGAATTTACCAGTCTTGGAAATTGGCACGACAAAAATGCTGACAAGTTCATCCACAACCTCAACCTTACCACCAGAGAGAATTTGCAACAAAGGCAGCTTCTTGCCTGCCTTGATCAAACCACCGGTGACAGTCTGCATAAAGCACTCTACACCTTCGACGGTGTATTCCTTCTTAGTGTCCCACGGAAGCGGGAAGATGTACTGCAGGTGGTCCTCGATGGCATTCATCTCCGAGAAAGACTTAATGAAGTCAGACTGGGCCTCCATGGGATAAAGTAGAACGACCGGGAATTCGATAGTGCTCTCAGGTGACAGAGGATCGGGGACCATGCGGATCCTGGCGTCTTCCAAATCAGGAGGCTGTTCGGTTTTGCGGGTTCTGATCTGACGGGCGCGAAGGGCTGTACTAAGGATCATGTTCTGCTTGCGCACTTTCTCCTCTTCGGCCTTTTTCCTCGCGGCAGCACGCTCCAACAGAGCCTTGCGCTCGGCGATCTTCTTGGCAGACTCCTTCAGAGCCTTGCTTTCCGGGTCAATTGCCAGTCCTCGGGCTGCAGAGTCTTCAGCCTCGGCGATCTTGTCCAGCTTAAAGAGTGCCAAGGAAGAGCGATAGAAGGCCTTGATGTTTTTGGGGTTGAATTTGAGGGCGGCAGCACAGTCGAGAGTGCAACTACGGTAATTTCCTATGAAAGCAATATGTTAGCACGTGTCTTCTACAGCGAAGAAGATGTTAACATACCCAGCTCCAAGTTGCACAGTGCCCGGTTGATGTGGGATGCCTCCTCGATCTTGCGCAACAACGCCTCCTCTTCCTTGGGATCTTCAGGCTTCTCCCATTTATCCTCCTTAGCATTAATAACAGCAATAGCCTTTGTGTAGAACTCTTTGGCGTCTATCCATTTGAGTTCCTGCACAGCTTCGTTGCCTTGTGACTTGAATGTCTGCGCGACCTCGGCCCTGGTACCTTCGTTCTGCAGAGCCTGGAGAGCATCTAGAAGCACGTTTTCACCCTCTATAGGAAGCCATATATGTCAGTCAAATCCCCAACAGGTTCAATCAATGATCCAACATACTCTCGTCACCCGCATTCTCGATATCGGTCATAAACAATGGAGTCTTATTCATCATTGCCATCAATTCCTCTGAAGTATGCGATTGAACCGCAGCAATAGCTGGAGGAAGTTCAGGCGCATTCGGATCTGTTTGGCGCGCCTTCAGCGCCTCCTCGTTGATCGGGAAGGGAATTTCATTATTGGCAGCCGCAAAGGCGTCAAAGCCTGGCTGGGGAAGGCTCTCGGCGATGGCGGGTGGGACCTTGTTGAGGTCGAGCGCCTCGTCGAAGTCATCTGGAAGTTCTTCAACCCGCGACATCTTGATTCTATTTCACAAGAAATTATTGATCCCTCAAAAGTTGGGGATCTTCAGCTGCTGAGAAATGATGCCCGCAGTGCAAACAGAGCAAACAGAGCAAACATGAGGGGATTCTGTTGGCCCTAAGCCCTATTACCGGATTAGTAATTATAAGTCACAGAAGAGTTAAGAACAAAGAAGATGTGGAAGAATTGAAAGGAAGGAATATGTAGACTTATTAGACACTAGAATTAGATCTGATCAAAACATTCTTCCTAAGTTTCTGCGACTGGGCATGGAATCCTGACTTGTCGCAGTAAAAGCCACGTTGATGCCTGAGGTTGCACTATTTTCATAGTACCTCCAACATCGATGTATTAGACCACGACTTTCATGGAAATATTGATCGCTATACAGGCATATTCCGTTCAATTACTAATTCTGACCAGAGGACAGTATATACTGTACAATTTGGAGGTCGCCTTAGATAATACAGCAAGTTGACCTCCAAGACTCCAACACCCGCAGCCCTAACCATTCTTGTATAGACCACATCAATATGTACGCCCAGAAAGGTCAGCCCCTGAAAAGCTTAAAAGATAGGCTGCATACTTCAAATACCAGCAGACAGCCTCCACATAGCAAATGTCAAGCTATCGGCTTCGGCCAAAGCCCGATCAAATCCAACCCCGCAATGCGCATCCTTCGGATGGAAAACCGAGCTCCGATATAGGCGACTTATACTCCCCTACTAAGCTTGTAGACATATCTACCTTACCACAGACATTCTTGCAAGATATCAAAAGCACCAAGATCATGGCCCAAACTCACAAAATCCTTGTCCTACCCGGTGATGGCATTGGTCCCGAGATCATGGCCGAAGCCGTCAAGGTTCTCAAAGCCTTCGAGACACCCTCGCGCAAGTTCGAACTGCGCCAGGAGCTAATTGGCGGATGCAGCATTGATGCAACTGGCAAGTCTGTGACCGACGAAGTCAAACAGGCAGCTCTAGACTCCGACGCAGTCCTCTTCGCTGCAGTAGGAGGACCCAAATGGGACAATCAGCGTCGTGGTCTGGACGGCCCTGAAGGCGGGCTTCTGCAGCTCCGCAAGGCGATGGATATCTACGCAAATCTGCGTCCTTGCTCTTCTACCACACCAAGTGCTTCAATTGCCAAGGAGTTCAGCCCGTTCCGACAGGAGATCATTGAAGGAGTTGATTTCGTTGTCGTGCGGGAGAACTGTGGAGGAGCTTATTTTGGCCGGAAGGTTGAAGAAGAGACATATGGTGAATTGAACTGAGACTCTGCCTGAAAGTATAACTAGTTGACCTTTTATAATACAGCGATGGATGAATGGGGCTATTCCGAAGCCGAAGTCCAACGTGTCACCCGCCTGGCCGCCGAAGTGGCACTCCGACACGATCCCCCCTGGCCTGTGATCTCACTAGACAAGGCGAATGTGCTGGCGTCATCGAGACTCTGGCGCAAGGTTGTTGATAAGACGATGGCAGCTGAGTATCCGCAAGTGAAGATTGTGCACCAACTGGCCGATTCTGCTTCGTTGATCCTAGCAACGAACCCACGATCGCTGAATGGTGTTATGCTGGCGGACAATACCTTCGGCGACATGATCTCCGACCAAGCTGGATCTATTGTTGGTACTCTGGGTGTGTTGCCTAGTGCTAGTCTCAACGGTCTTCCTGGAGATAAGAGCTTGAAGACACGGCCTTACGGACTGTATGAGCCGACGCATGGATCTGCTCCGACGTAAGTGCTGAAGCCGAAACCCTGGAAGAGAATACTCTAACCAAACTTTAGTATTGCCGGGCAAAATATTGCTAACCCAGTTGCAATGATCCTTTGTGTTGCTCTGATGTTCCGGTACTCTCTAGGCCTGGAAGATGAGGCTCGACGTATTGAGGAAGCTGTGCGTGGAGTATTGGACTCAGGACTTCGGACGTCTGACCTTGGGGGTAAGGCTGGGACTCAAGAAATGGGCGATGCGATTGTAGCTGCTCTATAGGAAACAAATGGAAGCGCCGTATGGTTGCTTCACTCAAAGAATGGGACACTACAAACACCAAAACATGCCTGAAACCAGACACTGGTGAATGCATCTGATACTCTCAAAGAAAGCTGAAAGGCAATGTTTGTCTGATAAACTAGACGACAAAGAACAACTTGATGAGCATTCCTGATCGGAAGCATCCTCTTAGGTCCATTCCATTCGTTCCCTGATGCGTCACCTCTCACCTCTCCCGTCATTTATTTTAAGTCTGCTCGTCGCCAGTATTCTCTAAGTCTACATCCCCTTCTGCCTCCAAACTTCCAGCTTCCAACATTAGAAAATAGTTCAGGGGATACATCGGGCTTCCACCACTTGACTATCATCTCATTTTTCTTGCTTGTCGTCAAGATCGTCACAAGACGGTCAACGATCAAATATCGCACTCAGTATATGAGTTCATACCTCACTTCACCTTCTCCGAGCACGACACATCAAGATCATCACGCAATTACATCCGTAAAAATGAAAACCGAAGCTCCAGATACGGCCACCGCACCGAGGACAATGATACCCACCCACAGACACTCATACACACGCCGCCTTGACAATGTCGAGCACGCCGACTCAGAAACTAAAATCGTGGTGCTCAAATCAATCGCACGAGACATCTGCGAAACCTTCCAAGCCATCGCAGAATACGCCGAAGAAGGCGTGCTACAAGACGAGCACACGAAGCCGATCGACAGCGTGATCATGAGCATCCGCGACACGGACGTAAAACAGCGGAGACAGCTGGAGAAAACGAATCGGCGGCTGCGCAAGGAACGATACCGTGCTCACCAGCGGCTCCGTGGATTGATGAGCCTCGGGGATGCATTGGGGCGCGGTGCTAATCGAAGAGTGAAGAAATTGAAGAATGACTTGCGCAAGGCGCAAGAAGAGATTGCGCAGCTACGGGCTGAGCGAGATATCCTACGGGAGTGGGCGATAACCCGAAGGAAGAAAATTGTGACTGAGGTTACAGACGAGGTTACGGACGAGGACGCTGATGGGGAGTTCGAACTTGTTACTGAAGACAATATCCAGGAGAAATCTCAAGAAGCTGTGGATGCCGGAGAAGACAAGGGGACTGATTGATTGGGATATTCTTTCTGATTTTTCTTTATGCGATTATTTGAAGTCGTCTTTTCAATGCAAGACATGTGTAAACATGACTGTATCTGTTTTTCTTTGTTTAGTTCAAGCATCTGAAGGTTCTGTCGGGATTGATGGTTGTATGCTGTCTGCGTATGGTCTCGTTAGTGAGTAAGGTGCCTTGATTTTGATCTTGACTGGTTATTTCCCCCTAAAAGTCGCTTGAAATCAAACCTGAATTTCCCGGATCCAACGGAAAATCTCGCAGAGCAAACGCCGAAAATGCAGGATGTTCATAAGGAAACCGAAAGTGTTGCCACCCGTTATCTCAGGGACCTCGGCATCTGCTGGCAATCCGCCAAAATTGATTCGGTCCGCGGATCCACTCTACCTTCGCGCATGTGGACAAGAAGTCTGGAGTCGCTCCCTTTTCTCTGTTTTCTCTTCACCTGGATCTGTTACTCTTCAATCTCCCTGAACAGCCGAGTCGAAACAGTTTGTTCTTAGACCATCTCCCCCAAGATTATCCAGACCGTGATATCGGCCGAGACACCCCCGACAATGAGCCCTCACCACGATTATGACGCCGTCCGCAAGGACATCGCCGCTCTTCTGCACATGCCCGACTATGACGATGGCAGCGCAGGACCCGTATTCGTTCGACTAGCATGGTAAGTCTCCATCGATTGTCGAATTCCGTAGTCGTTGTCCCGGTCGGAGCTTCACCCGAACGAATCGCAGCGACAGGCAACCTCTCAGCGCAATGTCACTGACACCGTTATCTTCCAACAGGCACTCATCCGGTACCTACGATGCCGAGACTGATACGGGCGGTTCCAACGGAGCCGGTATGCGTTACGAAGCCGAGGGTGGTGACCCTGCCAACGCCGGTCTGCAGTACGGCCGCGCCTTCCTCGAGCCGATCAAGAAGAAGTACCCCTGGATCACGTATTCCGATCTGTGGACACTAGCCGGTGTAGTGGCAATCAAGGAGATGGGCGGACCCGATATCCCATGGCAAGGCGGCCGTACCGATCTGGTGGACGACTCCAAGGTACCACCCCGTGGCCGTCTGCCGGACGGAGCCCAGGGCGCCGACCACCTGCGGTTCATCTTCTATCGCATGGGCTTCAACGACCAGGAGATCGTAGCACTGACCGGCGGACACAACCTCGGTCGGTGCCACGGCGATCGCAGTGGCTTCGAGGGTCCGTGGGTCACGAACCCCACGCGGTTCTCCAACTCTTTCTTCAAGCTGCTGCTGCAGCTTGACTGGCAGCCACGTAAGATGCGCTCGGGCAACACACAGTTTGTGTACGTTGATCCCGATGCGGAGGAGGGCGAGGAGCCCTTGATGATGCTGCCAACTGATATGGCACTCGCTTCTGATCCCGCCTTTGCTCCTTGGGTCCACCGGTATGCCGAGGACAAGGAGTTGTTCTTCGATCACTTCTCCAAAGTCTTTGCCAAGTTGATTGAGCTTGGTATTCAGCGTGATGCCCAGGGCAATGTCACCAACACGGATGGCTCCCTCGGTGGATACGTCTCTGCGCCTAAGAAGAGCGATACCCCCACAGGCCCGCCCCGAGCGCGTCTGTAGATTGGCATGTTTCGTTTTTGCCGTTTTGTTTTGGCTTGTTTTTGGATCAATTCCCCATTGCGTTGGTAGATTGCGTTGGTAGACCTGGGATGATAGAGTGCAGAGTCCAGATGTGTAAATAGACGATAGAATGTGAAGATATCTCAATGGATGCTGAGTGTATGGTCAGTAGAAGTAGTTTCAACATAAGAGAATGAAGTAAAGACAGAAGAAAGGGGGATGGAAGTGCTAAGTCTGGGGTAAAGACTGCGGGGAAATGCTCGCACGGTCTGCAGATACAAGCTGATTACTATTTTGTTGCGTAATTTGCGTAACATTTATGCGCTATTTGCGTTATTAGTGCTATTTGTGTAGGATTGATAGGACTGTTCAATTACTAGCCTGTTATTCGCTGTATTCTATCGTGCTGACAGCTTTACTTCCTCGGTTATGTCTAATCCGAGTCCTCGGATTGGCATTTGATATAGCCTCATTATCACAACCTAACAATTCTGGTAATCACATAAACATATAAACCAAACGACTGCAATATACATCTACGCCAATGATATAATCAAGACTCCTCACTCTCAACCTTCCCACCACTGGGTTTCCACGTTGGATCGGAGGGTTTCCTCGAGTTCCTTAGCCCTGGTCTTCTTGAGACCGTCTCCTCCGTCTCCTCCGTCTCCTTCGTCTTTGCATCTTTTTCTTCTTTCTCGGGTTTCTCCTTCTTTTCCTTCTTTTCCTTCTTCTCCTTCTTCTTAGTTGTCTTCTTCGTTGCCGCCTTCTTTGTACTCTTTGCTTTCTTTGGCTTCTTTTCTGCTGGTTTCTCTTCCTCGTTAGCCTTTCGTTCTTCCTCTAATCTCTTCTCTTCTACTTTTCTCCGTGTTTCCTCTTCTTGCCTCTTCTCCTCCTCCTTTCTTAGCTCCTCTTCTTCTAGTCTCTTCCCTTCTTGTTTCTTCTTCTCCTCCATCCTCTTGAGCTCATACTCCTCTAGTCTCTTTGTTTCTTTTTCCTGCTCTTCGTTCCTTTTTTCCCGGTCAGCACTCTTCTTTCTCTTCACCTCATCACTGAATCTTTTCTGTGTGTCGTAGTCGTCCTGCTTCCTCTGCGCATAAATCCTCTGTCGCTGTTTGGGACTAAGGGCCTGTTTTGCAATAGAGTAGTTTGCAATCGCAGCCTTTTTAAGCTGATCGGTATGCGCAATGCGGAAAGATGGGCGTCGTCCCATTGTAGCAAGGATATCTGCATCGCGCATGGTAGTATCAGACCCAGAATCGTTCCTGCGCGCTGGGCTACGTTTCGGCGACGCCCTAGGTGATGTCCACGCGAGGAAATCAGGGAAGTCCAAAGCTCCTTCCTGGGTAGGAGGCCCAGAAGGCCATAGTCCGGGATTTTGAATAAGCCAGTCCGGGGCATCTACCATCGAGGTAAACGGATGGGTTTTGTCGACAATGGGCTCCTGGGTTGGAAGAGTGATCCAGCCCGTCGACGGGTCCAGGTTCAATGGCGACGGACCGAAGATATTTGTATCATCAAATGTCGGAGGCGTGGTGGCCGGAGGATAAAGAGATGGATCAAGGAGCGCCGGGTCAATGAACGCTGGATCAAGGAGTGACAGATCAATATTTGACATAGATATTGGAGAGATTGGTTTACTATTGGCGGCGCCCGCATCCGATGTTGCCCATTCGGGGTTGAAGCTGCTGAAGCGCTGACCATTGTCTGACAATATACGATCCCAAGGCTCGGTCTTCGCTGGAGGCTCCGGAACAGACCATGGGACGTGATAGTCGAGAACATTCCCATTCCAGGCCACGATATTGGCCATGTCAGATACGGCTCTCTGAGCCGTCGCCAGAAGCTCATTGGTTGGGTTCATGATTCGCTCAAAAAACAGCATCGGGATAGCAGTTTGACTGACCCAGTCGGTGGGGACTCTCTCGTTGGCAGCAAATTGTGGAATTCCGCCGACTATCACCCCGGAAGTGACTTGACTGTCATACATAATAATATTTGTGTTATGCTCACCTCGTTTGGCATCGGTCCAATATACACGAGCATGTTGCTGGCTGCTATAGATGCCGCCAAGCCAACGATAGTGCGCGACCTGCGGTTTGTCTTCATAGTCCACGTAATTGAATGAAAGGTTATCCGTGTGGTGAATGAGTCGTGTCTTCAAATCAAAGGCCAACACCAGACGCGGCGGGAGTTGGCCGATCTTTCGTTCTCCAACCACCCCATTCGGATCATGGCAGTTACGACACTTGAAAGACTTGCTTTTATAGAAGCAACGCTCGATTAACGTCTGTAAATCGACTCCAAGTTCATCACCCTGATTAAAGGCCGGCAGAATACAGGAGCCTTGTTGGAAATTGACAAAAGGCGATGCGTTTCGACATTTGCAAGGAACCACTCGCTCAGCGTGGTGGTAGCGGAATTGAGCGAAGCTTTTCGTAGCCACTGACCAAAGCGCCCAAGGAGGAAGAGGCGTTCCCATTTTCATCGTGGTTTGACCGTCGATAAACAGACGGAGGAACTCATCGCGCACTTGCGTAGACGTCTCTACATCGAGAGTCTCCCAGCTCGCGTTTGTGACCTCAATATATGCCTTTTCGAGATCTGTAAACTGGGTGGTTCGATTATGAGCACGGTCTATCTTAGTACAGCCAGCATCGAGTAGCATACCTGCCACGATCACAACATCAGTGGCACAAGACATGTTACTCCAGACAGGTCCCCGACCCCGGACGGGGAACGAAGTACCGTCTGGATCCCATTGAAGATCGAGTGGCGACAACTTCACTTTCTCTGTTAAAGGGAATGCTCCTAGTTTCATTGGAAGCATGTCATCAAAACAATGGGCAGTCAGATAGCGGGGTGGCTTGTCGTTGGGATGAATTTTAGGATCTCGCTCCAGATCATCATACACAGCCTGCATCACAGCTCGTTCCACGGTCTCCGTGACCTTCTGTGGATCAAAGCTAAGTGGAGCAGGAGGAACAAGAGGACCACGTTGCAGCTTTGCAGGGGGTGGCACTGTCTGATATGGTCCAAGACCAGGAATCCAGGTAAACCCCTTGGGTGAATCAACGGCAAAGACAGGTTCTTGGTCTCGAGCGGGAGGACGAGGAGCAGGTATGAAAGCAGGAGCACCAGGCGAAAGATTCCTGTGTCGCTTGCTGGGAGATTGCAGGCATTCAGCAGCAGTTCGTTTGTTGCTGGGTAGTGTAGTAGGCGGATCCGCTGGCGGGTCCAGTGCATACTGAGGCTTAATTTCCATATCCGGATACAAGTATGACAACAACTGTATACGAGTATCCTCCTCGAATCGTGCATCTTCTGTCGGTGGCGGGGGGAGTGGAGAGACAGGCTGGGGAGTGGGAGAGGAGGCAGGCTGGGGGGTAGGGGAGGTTCGCGGGGGAAGGGGGGAGGCAGGCGGCGTGAACAAGCTGTCGGCTGAATATAGATACTGCTGGAGAAGGTAGTCCGGCATGTCTGGCGGCGCATGTAGAGGACGTAGATACGCATCCAGAATCCTGGTGCAAATGTCCGGAGCAGTGGTGTACCATCGGCTGAGAGGTTTGGGGCGCGGATTGAGATCCCATCGCAAGAGTCGTGGCCCGGAATCTCGGTTAACATTAAGCACTTCATTCCATGTCTTGGGACGATGAAGTTCCTGCATGTAGTACCAAAGCTTGAACAAGAGCATCTGTTGCACCTTGACAGATGGCGGCCTCCGCCGAGTGGTCTTAGGAGGGTCGGCCTCCTTGGATATTATTCCCCAGAAGTAGTGCTTCATCAAGACTTTGATCGTATCAATCCTCAAGAAGCGCCAAGTACCCTGTTTGACACTATAATATGTTATTCCCATAAATTCGAAGTCGTCAGGCGGATCGTCGAGACGTCTGAGATCATATAGGGTGGCAGGCTGGGGTGGGTGATCGAGGTCCTCTGGACGCTGTGGTAGATCCACAGGTGGAGGAATCTCAATACCATCATTCATTATGGTACAATAAAATTGAACTGATCAAGGTCACCACGACAGGCCCAAATGATGAACAGTAACCTGGTGTGAGGGTATCTGATACAGACCGTGAAGGTTCGAAGACAACAAGTAAAGGCCAGATAGAACCGGTGCGAAATGAACGCTTTAATGGACACCCAGCGGCCTCCATTGTCGATATTGCCAGTGAGAACGCCGTCTTTGGGTCCAAAAGAAAACAGAGTGGCATATTCTAACGGCAAGCAGAAAATGAAAGAACATCCCAAGCCTTCCAGATCCGATGCGCAGGGCGTCATCCTATTTGCCGGTAAACAAAGCAGTCGAAGACCAAGAAAAGTCCAGAGATCCGAACATGGTTTAGATCCAGGACAGTGTGAGCATGGTGGACTTCTATACTTGTCACAAATGGCTCGAATCATTGGGTGGAGGACGAACACCCATAAGGACTCAAAGAAGTATGTAAAAATAGCAACATACTTCTGCTACATCAGCAGCGAGGTTGATTGACAAGACAGATCCTTTTGAACCGAGTCCAAAATTTCAGGGACTGGTTCCAAGACCAGCCCAGGCAGAGGATCAGGGTCTCGTGGCCATGTTGCGTGAACATGAGTCAATCAAGTCGAGAAATGGTTATTTGAGGGCCAAGTAATTCCAATGTCAGCATTAATGTACTTGCTTGATAACCATGTAGCAGTCGTTAAGCCTCTGCATCTGATAGAAGAGATCAAGCATGTCTGGCAGAGCATCGCTCATCCAAAGGCGTACGGTACCTGGAAGATGGAGTATAGATGGCATTAGGCGGAATATTCGAGGGAGTCGCTGGATCAACGTTGAATATCTCTCCTTTACGCCCAAAGGAGGGTGCAATAATGACATCCTGATCCTTCAAAAATCAAACCAGTGGATCAACCCTCGGGATCGAAGATCAAAACGCATCTGTCAAAGACTCGACAGTTCCATCGAGTGATTCAATCCACAAATTGCAGCAGTGATCCTCGAAAGCACAAAGAGACAAATGAAAAGTGGCTGCTAGACCCGAGATTTAGCTTTGTCGCAGTTTCAAACGGGTGTTAAGCAAAACAAAGCCCGTCAAGTCAGGGCTTCGGGTAAGATACTCGTAAATGACAGAGCAGATTACCTGAATCTGACAGATTCAATTACAGTCATGTGATCCCACATGATCCGCCTTAGGCACTAGCCCTTTCTGGATTAGCGGCTCACAAGCGAGCCCTCGTCCCAAAATGGCTAGCGTCCCAATTACCCGATCCCACAAGCAAAGTCACTCAGTTGGACTTCCTCCTCTCCATCCCTCCGTCGACAACCCATCGCGATCCTCGCCCATCGCCCATCATGTGTACGTGCCGACCCTCCTTTGCGTCTGAGAATATTCTTGTTATACAACTACGAATTTGCCAAAAGAAAATCAAGAGAAGGAAACAGTGGCAGGGACAGTGGTTCTCGAAATTGAATGTCGGCTAACATGCGGTTTTCTCGATAACAGCGCTCGTCTCCGGCGATAAGACGAACTTCCAGTTCATCTTGCGTCTGCTCAACACCAATGTTGACGGCAAGCAAAAGATCATGTACGCGCTGACCCAGATCAAGGGTGTTGGTCGCCGTTACTCCAACTTGGTCTGCAAGAAGGCCGATGTCGACCTCAACAAGCGGTACGTTCGCCACAATCCCCTCCCATCGGACACACATTCTTTCCCACCCCTTGGTTTTGGATAAAACGTGGAAATGAGGATTCTCAAGAAATTTGGATTTCAATTTCGACATCACGACAAAACGGAGGAAGGGGGAGAATATCGCACAACAATCGCGCAAATTCTCTACAAAAGCAACAAATCTGACAAGAACCTTTCTTTAGTGCTGGTGAGCTCACCACCGAAGAGCTCGAGCGTATCGTCACCATCCTTCAGACCCCCACCCAGTACAAGATCCCCGCCTGGTTCCTGAACAGACAGCGCGACATCACCGATGGCAAGGACACCCAGGTTGTCTCCAACGGTCTCGACTCCAAGCTCCGTGAGGATCTCGAGCGCCTTAAGAAGATCCGCTCCCACCGTGGTCTGCGTCACTACTGGGGCCTCCGTGTCCGTGGTCAACACACCAAGACCACTGGCCGCCGCGGTCGCACCGTCGGTGTCAGCAAGAAGAAGGGCTAAATTATTCTGTTCGTTTTTTTTGCCGGGGGTTCTTGGAGGGATCCCGTTATTTCCGGTGTGTTTCTCGTGGGACCTTTTTCCCCGCTGAGCTGGGTATGACCCCGGTTCAAAAAATTGAAAATGAATCATACCATGAAATGAACCAATCTCTTACGAGTACTTTGCTATGCTTTGGGTGTGAGGGTGGTAGCTGGAGTAGGATGCTCTACTCCAGTCCCTTTCAATCCTCGGCCTTCGTAGGGTAGAACCTCTTGCAACCTAGAAGTCTTGGTGCCATGCTTGAGGGATGTACGTCTATATCTTACAGCGGGGTATGTCTGGACCACAGATGTGGGATCGACATGCTTATTGTCGCTTATTGTTGAAGGACATGGAACTCCGGGGTACACTGGATGTAGTCTTTATCCACATCAACATTTAGGGCTACGCCCATCCAATCATTTATCACAGCGTACCCTGCACTTGTGTGTACCTAACTACCTACGTCTGACCTACACACCTGCAGCCTTATTGTACTATTTGAAACCCAGCCTTCGGTCTATTCAAGATTGATTGTAATCCAATTGCCTAGACATATATACCAGCAAAGGCAAAGTCAACGAAAATAAGCAAGCACCACAACTGGTACCGAATATGCGACCCCTGTGAGTATAGGGGATTGAGTGTCAAATTGTATGCAAATAGCCGTCACAATATCAAGAACACGCGGTTCAACAAAGTATTCATCAACGCGTTGTATCATGGAACAAGTCGGCTAAGCGTTTAGAACCACTCACCACCGATCCAGCGATTGAAGAACTCGAGGCCAGACTCGGGCTGATCCATGGGAACCATGTGACCACCGCCGAAAATACGCATGAAGGTGAAGTTGCCGTGGGACTTGATTTGGCCGATCTTCTTGCCAATGTGCTCGTTTTGGACGATCTTGAGGTCCTCAAGCTCGGCAGAGGCGAACTCCTTCTGGCCAGGCCACTCAAGAGCCTCAGACCAGGCCTTGTTGCCGAGCCAGTTGCAGATGAAGTCGGCATCACCGGCGTAGATCAGGACAGGAATCTGTTCAAGGAGACCGGGCACAAGACGGTGGTAAGGTTTGAACCAATCGCCGTTGAAAAGGAAGTTACGATTGATATCGAAGTTGCAGGAGTCATAGCCGTCAACCTCAGCACCGACAGCCTCGCGAACACTAGCCTGGCTGAGGTACTCGCTGACGTAACCCATACCCTTGTAGCAGAGGTTGCTCTCGTCCTCACACTTGCTGCGAACATCGTAAACGTTCTGACCAGTACGCTGGTAGGGGGCAAGCAAGGCGTTGTTGCAGTAGATAGAGGCGGGCACGCAAACCCAGGCGCTCTCGCTGTTGTAGCAAGACTCGATCATGCTCTGGCAACGAGACAGGGAGTTGTCCATGGACTGGCAAGTGCTCTCATCCAAGACAGCGGGGTAGCCACCGTCACCGCAGGCCATGGGGCGGTAGTAGCCGTACTGGGTGAGACCGTCGGTGAGGCCATTGCCGATGAGAACAGACTTGAGGTTGATATTGCGCTTCTTGTGGGAGAGAATCTCCGAAGCCATGACAGGGATGTAGTGACCAGCGTAGGATTCGCCGGCGATGTGGAAGTCCTGCGTAGCGTACTCGGGGAATTGCTTGAAGAACAGGGTCAGAAGGGCGTAGACATCCTTGGCAGCAGCAGTGGTACTGCTGACGGAGGAGCCGCTGTAGGAATAGCCGACGTTGACGGGCTGATCCAGGAAGATCACAGAAGCATTGTTGTTCCACGAGAAATCATTGTAGACAGGCTTGATCTTAGCGTCAATGGAGCTGGGTCCAAGCTCCATGAACAGTCCGGTGAGGGACGAACAGCCAGGGCCGCCATTCAGCCACAGGACGACGGGGTCGTTCTTGGGATCATTGCGAGACTCAAAGAACCCTTGCGAAGGTTAGATAACCATAATTTAACATATAAATGATGTCTTTCACTTACAATAGAACAGATGCTTGTCATCCTCGTTGTCATCTAGGTAGCCACTGTACTGCTTGACACCGGGATCAATGCCGAGGGCGCTGGGGTCAACCTTCTTAGCGCGAAGGTTGTAAGCTTCCAGCTTTCCGTCAACCTCACGCTCCTTTGTGCCGTCGGCACCATCAACCCAGATGCCTTGGACATCTGCGCCGCTGACGTGATAGTCCCAGTGCGAGTCAGGACGACGGGTGTGCTTCTTAGGCAGGGAAAGCAGGGGAGCGCTGTCCATAGCGTCGGGGAAGTAGTTGGAAACTTCCTCCCAAAGCTGCCGAGCCTCACCAGAGAGAGACTTGAACTGGTCCTGGAGTTGCTGCAGAGGCTTGGAGACCGTCTCCGCGCCCTTCTGGGCGACGTTCTCCGCATATTCCCTGTGAGCTCCGAGGACCTGCTGGAGGGATGGAGAAGCCGCCGAAGCAGCTCCCGCCAAAAGAGTGGCGGATAGAAGTCTCATTGCAAACTGTGTTCAGGATTCACAGAAGAATGATGCTAATGATGGGTTGTTGATGGTGAGCGGGTACCTTGGGGTCTGGGGTTAGGCAGCTCTTATCAGTGACAGTTCGCCGACGAGGTTGGCTGAAGGAAGCCAAAAGTAAACAGAATTTACTTACACTATGAAGATACCGCCAGAAAATAATAATTGAGATATGTGTTGAAGCGTCAAAGAAGCAAGACGATGATGCCTTGATGTCCTGGACAAGGTTGAGAGGTGAGGAGAAGCAGGAACCCTTGGCTGATGACGCCGGGGACGGCTGATAAGACGAGACAGCTGGGCCAATCAGGTGTCTCAAAGTGGGTTACATCGATGATTCAGCCTGAGTCACGGGATCACATGGATTTGAGGGGCACGAGCTTTGTAGCTAAGCCCTTTTGGGTAAGTCCTGGATTCCGCTAGGCAATTTGGACAATCGATCTACATATCTCCGTACTAACTACAAAGTAGTTAGTTACTTATCTTCATAGTTATTGGAAACTTATTCACAGCAACATACCAGGTAAATAGTCATATGATGTGGCACCGGCCACCGCCATAGTCCAAATAGTGGAAAGCACGGGTCCGAAGCCCAAATTGGCATCGGGGTCCTATCTGAGCAACCGCTCCTCTTATGGTCCAAGACCGACGATACATAAGTATCTCTTCTCTCCAACGCACTTTGAATCTTCTCTGCTACAATTATCTCTTCACAACTACAATCACCGTTCTCATCAATGCACTTTTCGAGTCTCTCCCCTTCGAACATCTCGCACCTCGACATTCCCGTCACCACAAATCCACAATTCACATTGTAAGTACCAACTATCAAGTGATCCATACTTCTCTTTCTTTTTTCAAAGGGCTAACATCGTTTAGCACAATGTCTCAACCGTCTGACCCAGTTTCGCCATTCACATCTCACCTATCTGTCCCTGTTTCGTTCCCTTCGAGGACACCCCTGGTCCACCATCTCCGAAAGTTGAAAGCTGACCTGGAAAAGGTGGCGGCATCCCCGGGAAATGTTTACGAGAGGAAGGTGGCCCTCCTCGTTAGATGGGACAACGACACCACCGGCGAAACCAAAGATATCGGAACCATGACCGATACGATGAAAACCTTTGGGATCCAGTGCACCAATTTCCTGCTGCAAGCCAAGGACGAGGGTCAAGGCTCGACTCTTCGACATAAGATCAGCACCATGATTGCTGAATGTCGTGCTTCCAAGGTACACTCGTTATTCGTCTTCTACTATGTTGGCCACGGAGCCATCGCAGGCGATGGGAGCCTCTATTTTGTCCAGGGCGACAACGGGATCTCATGGACCAAAATCCGGGGGGAACTAGTCTACGATGTCTACGAAGAAAAGGACAGAGCAAGTATGCGACGCGTCGATGTCCTCTGCGTCCTCGACTGCTGTTACTCTGGCGCCGCGACGAGAGCGGGGGCAACTGCGGGAAATGTGGCCCAAGTTCTGGCGGCCTGCGGTCCCCGTGAGACAACACAAGCTCGGGACCCGTCGACATCATTTACGATGCGGCTGTTCAGTGCGGCGCATCATTTTAGACAAGCAGGGCAAGCGACCGTCTCGACAGCCGCTTTATTCCAGCGGATGCAGGAAGAAAGGACTCCAACTACTCCCCATGCTGTTCTCGAAACTCTCGTCGGACCCAGCTGATCAGGCTGGTGTACAATAAACCCACTCCGACCTCACGCATCCCGATCCCACGCCAGTTGCGGCATGTCAATGAGAAACGTGTGCTCGTGAAACTGACCCTTCACGGGCGCAGTCCTATGCCGGGCCACAGCGATGTGTTCGAAAACTTTAAGCAAGCGATCCAAAATCTACCACCCAATATGAAGGTGGAGATCTCGGACGCTTACGAGACCGACCAGTCGATCTTCATCATTCTAGGGATGTCGTGGGAAGCCTGGGCCCTTTGGACCATGGTCGCCCATCTGGACTTCGTCGGAGTCACTTTTGGCCTTTCCTTGATGCGCAGGAGGCCAGTCGAATCCTCAGGTCCAATCTCGGATGAGAACCATCGCCCTTCGGCCCCTTCTGAGCCTTCCCATGGGAAAGGCAAGGCCGAATAACTGGGGGCTATATTGACGTGTTTTTTGTGTCATTTCTTACTTGCTTCCTCTGACACCTGCGCGCGGCCCCTATGTTTGAGATATTTTTATGCCTCCTACTAGTTCACAATAAATGCTTTTGAGACTTCTACTGTGTAGATCATATTCCTATTTCGGTGTCTCCCGTGTCCCGGCGCCCAATTATCTCAGCATGCTCAGACCAAACATGATTGGCTGAGTCATGTGAGATCACATGACATACCTAACCAAATTAGGTCGGCTGGATCTTCTGAGCTGACCAAACTTGCCCGGTACATAACTACATAGACATATATCTCTCGTTTTCTACAGTCTCGTCTACTCGAAAAAAAAAGCATTGAAAAGGTCATTTTTGAAAATATCTACGCATCCTCTGGTCTCTGTATCTTCCTAGCGACACTCAGCCCTCAGCGGCTCATACGTTCAAAATGCCTATCAACCAACCCTCTAACCAGATCAAATTCACCAATGTATCGGTGGTCCGATTAAAGAAAGGTATGGTTGAAGCTAATCTACATTACCTTATCCGTTCACTGACATTCCATCTCAATGCAGGCAAAAAGCGCTTCGAACTCGCCTGTTACAAGAACAAACTTCTCGAATACCGCTCCGGCGCCGAAAAAGACCTCGACAATGTCCTCCAAGTCCCGACCGTATTCCTCTCCGTCTCCAAAGCTCAAACGGCCCCATCAGCAGAGTTAGCAAAAGCTTTCGGAACCGGTACCCCACGAGAAGAGATCCTGCAAGAGATCCTCCGCAAAGGCGAGGTGCAAGTCGGCGAGCGCGAGCGCAAAGACATCCTCGAACGAGTGGAGAAGGAAGTCCTAGACATCGTATCAGGCCGCCTAGTCGACCCGTCAACCAAGCGCGTATACACAACAGGAATGATTCACAAGGCCCTGGATCAACTGAGCTCCGCCAGCGGCCAGCAACAGACACAAGCGCACGTGGAAACGAGCGGAGATGGCGAAGAGAAGACGTCACAACCGAAGAAGCCGCTTTGGACGGGAGTTTCAGCGACTCGCTCAGCGAAGAGTCAAGCATTGGATGCCATGAAGGCTCTAATTGCCTGGCAGCCGATTCCCGTTATGCGAGCCCGTATGCGTCTTCGCGTGTCTTGTCCCGTGTCACTGCTCAAGCAGTCTGTCAAGGCCGCCCCCAGCGCTGCGAACAAAGAGAAGGAAGCACCCGCCAGTGGCTCGAAGAACAACAAGAAGGGGAAGGGATCGAAGAAGGGAGCTAAGCGAGATGACTCAGATATCGAGGGTGGTCAGTCTGATGTGGAATCTTCGCCCAAGGCACCCAGTACCGTCAAGGACAAGATAATAGCGTTCATTGAATCGGTCGAGTCGCAAGAAGTCATTGGTGGGGATGAGTGGGAGATTGTTGGGTTTGCCGAGCCCGGTGCCTTCAAGGGATTGAATGAACTGGTCAGCAATGAGACACGCGGGAGAGGTCGGGTGGAGGTTCTGGACATGTCTGTCACACATGAGGACTGAATTATGACGTCGTTTGGGTTTTATAGCACATGACCTATATGATTGATGACCAAATGTTAAAAATGTTAAAGAACATCGAAATATATTGAAATCTTTGAGATATCATCTCCTTCCAATACGAGGCAAGTGGCAACACAGCACACAAGCGAACAGTAAGCCCTAAGGGGTTGACTTGAGAAAGTTTCCTCACAAAGAAAAAGCAAAGAAGATGCAGCTGCAAGTGAGCCAAACAACAAAGGCCTGCAAAGAAAACACGCATGACAATAGCGTAGCATTACTGACGAAGAAATTGCCAAACATGAGAAAGATCGTCTCTGCAAGTAAGAAATACCCCTATCAAGTAAGTTCTGGACATCACTCATGTATCATCGACTACCAACACTATGATACAATTGGACGGCTGTCTCAGAGGAAAGCAAACAAAGACCTAATAGCGCCATAAACAGAGGGATCAGGGTATTCCCAACAGAAATGAGAAAGAAAGCACTAGGTTCGTAACTCGTACTTGTGCTCTAAGCAACATAACATAAAACCCCTGACCCAATCAACCCTCCAGTTCACACGCTGCCGGGATATCATCACACCCAGTCACCAACAAAACAACATTCTTGCCTGGACCAAGCTCTTTAGCAAGATCCAGTGTCTTGGCCACCGCGTGACTCGAGTCAAGACCAGGCAAGATCCCCTCGTGGTTCTGAAGGGTTGCGAATCCATCCAGGGCATCCGCATCAGTAGCCGTTGCAATTTCAATCCGTCCAGAATCCTTCCAATGAGCAACTTCAGGGCCCACCGTCGACAAATTCATGTCCGGGGAGATAGACTGTGAGTCAAGTATCTGGCCATCAAAATTCTGAAGCAATAGCGTACGAGCACCCTGAAGCACCCCGATTCCCCCATCCGTCAAAGCAGCCGCCTCCGCCGCCTCAACACCAACCAACCTTACCGACGAATCATGCAAAAAAGGCCTGAATAACCCAATTGCCCCGCTTCCGCTCCCAACAGCGGTAACTAGTGCATCCGGCTGCCGACCTGCCGCAGTATGCATCTGGGCCGCCACTTCCTCGCCTAGAAGAGCCTGGAAGGTTCGCGCCAGGGTCGGCAGGGGACTGGGCCCCACAGGACTGCCCATGAGGTAGTATGCAGACTCATGGTTGCAGACCGAATACCGCAAGGCTTCTGTGATAGCAGCACGCAGACTGCCCATTCCCGACGGCGTGCGGGAGGTGAGCACCTTAGCGCCGAGCGCCTTCATCTCTAGCACGTCTTTTTCCTGAGCCTGGGCATCGTCGGCACCCATGGTGATGGTACACTGCAGACCCAACCGTGCACACATGGCAGAGGCGAACTTGCCGTGTTTGGCAGAGGCGCATTCTGTGACAATTTCTGAGCGACCCATACGTCTGGCGAGGAGGAGCTGACCGATGATGTTGCGCGCTTTGTGGGTGCCGTAGTCGTTTTTGTCCTCGCGTTTTAGCCAGATGGTTGCGCCACCGGCTAGGGCTGTTAGGTTCGTAGCCTTGTAAAGGGGTGTTGGTTGGTCACGCTGGAAAGTGGCATATTCTTCCCAGAAGGAAGGGTCCGAGACAGTTGCCTCGAAGAATGATGTCAGTTCGTATAAAAATCCCATTATTGATTCAGGAGCGAACCGGCCTCCGTAGACACCGTATCCATCGAAGGTGACCTGTGGGGCCCGCAGACTGCCATCTGCCTGCAGGATGGAAGTATACGGTGTGATCCTGTCCAAGTTCGAGGTGGAGGACTTGGCGGGCGTCTCGGGGAGCAGGGATGTGTTGCCAGTGGCGACTGACACTGCTGTAGTTCCCGTTTCGCCATCTGATGCACTTGTTGAGTTTGTTGGTGTGCTGCTAATGCAGCTTGAGGGGGGAGGCCGACGGAGATCTGGAATGGACGCTGCCAAAAGTCTCCGGGCATGACACACGGACTGATGGACTGGCAATGCGTGCTGGAGGAATGCCCCTGCCAGCAGGTCTCAAACGAATGACATCTTGTGCATTCTCCGTGCCATCTGTCGGGGGCTCAGTTGTTTCGCACGGTTTGGAGGAGGGAAAGCATAGAAGACGGCGCAGAGAGCGCAGAGAGCGCAGCATAACCATGTGCTTCATTCTTCAGACGTAGGAATGGGAATTGACACTTCAGTATATATGCCGAGAATCAATAACCATGAAGGAACAATACTCAGTACAGATAATAGATTCAGAGGATGACAATGAGATATCCCATGCATGCGATGAGGATTAAGGTAAGTCACAATGGCGGGCGTGAGATGCATTAAACACATTCTACGCACGGTGCGGATGCTCCCTGCTAGACAATGTTCAGACCACCAACTCCCATTGAAGGAAAAGAACATTCCATTCTAGGGCCCTCTTCTACCCAATCGGCCCATCCGACCGGGCTCTTGTTGGTCTTCCTATTTGCGAGGAAATTTGACCATGTCAATACGACGTTTGGCCCGGGGGACCTCCTTCCAGGCCCCAATCAACATGCCGTCTTTCCGAGGTTGATAACTCCCTGCGCTCGAGATCCCTTGTTTCAAAGCTCGCTGCCGAGAATCAGGCTGAGCTAGGCACAGTACTTTTCCCAATCTCAAGCCATAGCCTTTGGGCTACAACGATCTACACCGGTGGCAGCGGTCCCAGTGGTGGAACTCGAAGCTTGGTACCAATGGCACCAGTAATCTAGTAGAGTCTATTCCCATATGGTAATCACGGCTTGCTACATACGAGGGGGCTAGGAACCTCTTTCAGCATCAAAGTCGATAACGCTAAGGCTGTTCGCACGTACTGGGACTCAATACCCACAAGGCAGAATGCTATAGATGCAGTGTTACACGATCAAATAGGATCCGCCCCCTAGCATATTTATACCTATCACTGTTTCACAAGGCAATATCTACCTTGGCCCAACCTACAATTCACATGTATGATGTGATTGCATCCAGCCCAGATCCCGCTCCACGTGTTGCCGTTGTTGTGTCAGTTTTGTGTCGAACAATGAAGGCCGAAAGCACAGACGATGGGTTCGGTGGACTCAATGGCCACTAGTATGGCGCAAAATTGGGTGGAATCTTGTAATTCTTATTGCGTCATTGATATTGGGGTATGGAATCCTAGTGAATTGATATTCGCCTGCACGCAATTGGTGTATGCGCATTCAGGTCGTGCATGAGCTCTATCATACCTCGGTACAGGGGTCTCTTTCAGCCACTTCCTCTTTGATCTGCCAGGCCAAGGCTGTACATCTTAAAGCGCACCATACAGGGTATGTCTTCTGTATTCTTCCACAGCTTATTGGGTATGTACAGCCCCATCAATGAAAGGATATGGTCCGTGGATGAACACTTGGAGTGCTGGGAATATGGCAGTTCCGTTTGTGTTCACCTTAGATTTACTAAGATGATGGTATAGGATATACACTCATTCTAGAATGAAGTTCTCGGCTAATCTATCAGACTACTAAATATCTAGGTAATCTCAATATCATGGTAAGCTCCCCTCGATTTCATACATGATGCTTCCTGCAAGTAGGGCGAGGATGGTCATGTGACAGGGTTTATACAACAGTCTGTCAGTCTCTGCCAGGTGCAGATGCCCGCACATAGCCAAGCGGTGAATAAGTCTATTTCTCAAGCAGGGTATACCCTACATTGGTTCTTTGACTTAATAAATTATGTAAATGCTACCTGGGTGGATGTCGCATACCTAAGGGTTGGGGAAATTGGAACCTAGTACTTAGCGTTGTGACGCTGATATATCGAGGCGGAGCCGCTCCAGTCTGCACCTACCTAGTGGACACACCTGTACCTATCGCCAAGCCAGCCCAGAGGCTCGCAACTCATTTGTAGCTTTGCTGCACAACCTGGAAGCCGAACACATACCCAAAACGGACATCATTGATAATGTTGCGACAGCAACTAAACGTAAGGCCACCAAGCCTGGAAGTAAGTTGGCTACAAGGTAGTTCATATCTGCAGCAACACCATGGTAGAACTACATGACTCCGTAGTCGAAACGCCAGCAAGCAGCAATGATTAGGTAGCCGATCGAATAATCATTACTGAAAAAGAGTGATATGCAATCTTAGCGCGGGGAGGAGAAAGCTTGGCCCTGAGGCGGGGCTGAAGGTTGCATCGACAGCTGGATGTCGATCAGGTCTAGTTACGACTTACGACTTACGATGTGTATCTTTTGATATGCTCATTAGTTCTTGTACACTTAGTTGGGTCCGGGAACATATCTAAAGATAAAGACGTTCTATTTTGTCTAAGATCCTAACCGAGAAACTGGACGTATATGTCGTGATAGGCGCAAATGGCTTCAGTAGCCATATTGGATCCAACCATCAAAGCAAAAGACCAACCATGCAGAAAAAACAAAATTAACACCCAAAGTCCGTGGGTATACGCTCAGATGCAAATGCGTGACAGATAGGAAAGAGCATCGCCGACCGGGGGTCCTCGAATTGAGCGAGGGATACCCCAGTCCGCGATAAAATTGAAATGACGAGCGAGTGCGTCATTTCAGGGATGGCAGACATCGATGATCGATGTTCTGGCATCGAGAAGCCGATGTCCGACCGAGATCCCATGAAGGGGCCGAAAGGAGCCAAACACAAAAAGAGGGGTTGAAAGGGAGATAGAAGACCTCGATTCCATAGAAATGGAAGGGATGACGAGAAAAGAATCATCTCCTGGATATGGAAAAAAATAGGGTCATGATCAGGGATAGATGATCAGGCGCAGAGCTGTACAGCGACCAAGGCGCGAGCGAGTTCCTCCGGGGCGAAAGGGATGTGTTTGCGGGTGGACATCACGCACGGGGTCATGGCGGGGAGGGGCGAAGTATAGCGGACCGACTCCTCGAAGTAATATTTCGACTCCTTTGAATCCTCGGGTATCTCGTAGATAGAGACATCATTCCAAAGAGTCATTGTTGAGCCACTGTAACTGGATGCGTTGATCATGGTGGAGGTCTGTGACCCGGAGTCAGCAGCGCGTGGCGATGATTCGGCAGGGGCCACTTGAGCGACGGGAACTAACAAAATGAAGTTAGAATGAGTTCTGAAATAAGAGTTGGGGAGATATTTGCATTCGGACTGGAAATGCGTACCTGGATCGACATCAACTTCATCATCCGGAGACACCGAGTCGTCAGAATCGGATGGGCCGGTGCAACCCTCGTAACCCGCGTACGTCGCACAGGGTGACAGGGACAGTTCGTGGGAACGAGTTCGTTCAATCATTGCACCGCCAAAAGACCAGGCGGCCAATTTCTTTTGGTGGGCGCGATCGAACGGGCCCTTGAATTTCGAAGGGGGACACTCGTGGCGGCGATAATATTCCACTTTGGGCTTTCCATCATTCTTGGAGCGGAACACCCGCTTGACCGTGTCGCGGAACGTCATATTGGGATGAAAAGAATTGTGAATATAGAAGATTCAAGATTCGAATTTCCACTCAGAGATCAATGCGGGCTCCTGGAGAAAGGCCTCAAAGGTGCATACCAGACCCGGATTGGGAACGGACGCGATGGGTGTGCAAGCACGAATAGCGGGGTTGTTGGCTGGGTAAATTTATGATCATTCTATATGGTGAAATAGAGAGGCAAAAGGAATAAAAACAGAAGAGAGGGGAAAGTGGACTACTAATAACGTGGATCTGGATGTAACGGCAGAGATAAGCCCCATGGGATGTTCCCCCAGGATGCGTTCGGCACATATCCGGTGAAGACTTTGGGGGCAAAGTCGTAGACTGTGATCTCATTCCATTTAATTGGCTAGCATAACTGTCTGTGCGAGGAACCGCCATAACTTACTACTGTAGTTATCGTGTTTAGATGTATTATCTAGTAACACAGTATCTACACAGTACGGAGTACTCCGTACTTATCCATAAGTCTCGATTTCTACGGAGTCCACTCCGCAGATGGATCCCTTAAGCGAAAGGACTTGACCCGGGAAACAGACATGTCTGGTCTCATATCGACTTACGTACGTAAACGTACATATAAAAATATGTGTGTCAAATCATAAGTCCATGTTGGCATATTGGCATGTTCATGCAGGAAGATGAGATCTCCGAGTCTGAGCTGCAGTTACATCGTAGAACATGATCCCCAGATGTCAGTGAGTCGGTGGCGTACTGCAGCGAAGGCTTCCAGAAACAATGGCCGATCAGTCCTGTAAAGAGCCTCTCGGTTACATCATCCGAATTAATTAATTTTGAAAGAGAATGTGTCACTTACACAGTAAAAGGGAATTATCTGATATCTGATTCCTCTCTAATTCTCTCTCGCGTACTCCGTACGGCGCAGGAATAAACCGGAAACAGAGTGGACCAATTGCCCCGTGGCTATGACCTTCCCTTTTTCGCCTCCCGACTTTGCCGCTTAAACCGGCACAGCTCGGGGGTATGTGAAGCCGAGTTGCTGAATCATAATACATTTACATACAAAGTAACCATTCAATTCGGCCGGCTGGCCCAATGGCAAGGCGCTTGACTACGAATCAAGAGATTGCAGGTTCGATCCCTGCGTCGGTCAATCTTTTTGCATCCCATTCATCTTCGCAATGGGGTTTGGCTTTTTGTGTATGCTTTGTAGACACTGGAGTTGGGTAATGATAGACGTCATCGTCATTCGAGAATATTCCAGTGCAGGAGGTAATGAGATACTTATAGGCAGTGGTCTCATGAGCACATTGCACTACTGCACAGCATAAATCCGTGGGGCTAACTGTAGAAGATATGTACTGTGTAGGACTAGGAACAAACGATTAGTTAGAGGAGGCCTCTCCTTCCATAATTTACTTTGTTCTATTTTTACTACTACTATTTCCGTTTTATCATGATCTCCAGGGCTGATTTCAGGGTGGACAGTCCGGGTGCGACTCCGCTGTTTCGGCGATGATGTAACCGTTTTCAGCTGGAGCCCCTGGCCTGCTTCCACTTTCTCTCCCCGTGTGTTAAAAGGATCAAATATCCCAAGGACCTAAACTCACTCGAGGATGGCAGAGCATTTGCCCTAGACTATGAAGTATCCGTACTTATCCCCAGATCCCTGAGCTCCTGATTGCTGGCCCCTAGTGCAGCCCTATTTACCCGATGTAGATGTTAGGGCTGGCCCAAGCTCTAGCACACGAGAGCGAACTATGAAAGGGCATCGCAGAGGAATGCTGGAGTGGACGTACGGAGATACTGTAGGTATCAGAAAAAGAATACGTAGAAATAGAAGAGAGAGAGAGACATTGACCTTTGTGAGTGTCTGTTCTAATAATAATTCAAACGAAATTAAATTTCTCGCAACGCTTTTGTGTTCCAGAAGTGTCCTCACCACGGATCCGACCCTAGAGGAGAGCATACCGGATCATCGTCATCCCTTACTTGGCTTCTTCCTTCCTACACTTCACCTTCCTGCCACATTTACAATGTAAGTCGTCTTCTTCCCCCGGAAATCTTCAATTTCTTCATCTGTACCATCGCAATCGCATTCGTACTCACCAGCGCAGAATCATCTCACGAATCGAAACGAGCACCATGGCTAAGAAAGGAGGAAAGAAAGGCAACAAGAAGGGCAACAAGCCCGCAGCTGCTGCCGCCGCTGCTGTCGACAAGGTCAAAGACGCCGTGTAAGTTCCCAACGAGGTGAAAAATAAATAAATAAAATCGGGGCGCACGAGCACGCGCCAATGCCACATTACCAACAATCACTAACTTGTGTGTCGCAGCAACCCCGATCAGGATGTTGAGAACAAGACCCAGCAAACTGAAGGCCCAGCGGAGACCGTCAAGCAGACAGAGGCGCCCGAGACTGTGACGCAGCCTGCGGAGACCGCGGCTGAGTCCACTCAGGCCCCCAAGCCCACCGCCGCCGCGGCTGAGACCCCCATTATGACCGAGACCGAACCGACCAAGGAGGCTGTGACCGCCGGAAAGGCTCCCGCGACCGAGAAACAGGGTTCATTGGAGGAGGCCGTGGAGAAAGCGCAGGCCTCCAAGACCGGCCAGTTGGGCGAGGTGGAGGGTGGGGATGGTGCAGGCACTGGTATGACGCGTGTCAGTCAATCTGCGACAATGAACCCTACTAACCGTAATTCTGCAGCTGTGATCTCAGACAGCAAGCCGAAGGAGTTGGCCCTGACACCGGAGGTCGTGGACCCTGTTCCCGCGACCTCCGCCGCCGGTGCCACCACACTCGCTGAGCGCCCCAAGACCTCGGAGTCAGCCGCCCCTGCTCCCGAGCCCGTCGCTGCTCCTGTAGCTGAGCCCGTCGTCGCCCCTACTGCCGTCCCTGCGCCCGAGCCTTTCCCCGCCCCTGTTGCTGCGTCCAGCGAGAGCGAGGCTGCCCACGCCAAGCGCCCGTATGAGAAGCCGATCTTCAACACCGACGAGAACCTGAAGCCCCACAAGATGCCCAAGACTGACGAGGAGGCGGTGGCTGCGAGCGTCGCGGAGGATAAGAAGGCCATCGAGAAGGCGGCTGTTGGACCTGCCTCGACTGCTGCCTCCAAGACTCCCGAGCCTGTGCCGCAGGCTGAGGCTCCTAAGGTCGCAGAGACTCCCAAGGCTACAGAGGAGAAGATCCCCGTCGACTCCGCCTCCAAGAGCTCCACTGCTCAGCCCGGCGCCGCGAAGCCTTCCTCTCCCCAGGCAGTCGCTGCCGCAACTGCTGCCTTCAACTCCGGCAAGGCCGACAAGTCTGCCGCACCAGCTGCCCCCAAGGAGTCTGAGATCCAGAAGCCCGAAGCTGCTTTGAAGCGCGGCGATGAGCCCCTGCCCAAGGCCGAGGAGCCCAAGACCGAGCCCGTCAGGGAAGAGGCCGGCAAGGCCCAGGAAGCGACCCAGAAGACCTCCGAGCCCTCAGAAGAGCCGGCGGAAAAGAAGAAGGGTGGATTCCTGTCGTGGTTGAAGCGCAAGTTCAAATAAATAAAGTAATAGTGGGGAATGAGAGACCCGGTGTATGATATGCGTTGTACGCTAGTTGGACACGTTGGGGAGGTTGCAAATTGCCCCGTTGCTTTGTTGTTCTCTTTTGTCAGTCTTCGATGATACACCAAGTTGAAATTATATACCAGAATCAAAATCATGCTCCGTATGTGGTCTTCTGTCGATGTGCACTGTAGTTGAAAGAAATGTTCTCAGGGGACTGTTGGGCCCCAGCTTCCAAGTCTGTACACCGCTACTCGGGCATCAAAGCGTCGATGACAGATGGGGCGTTGGGGGTATGTACTATGTAGAGATGGTCCGATATCGTCGATCTTTAGTACTTTTTATAGCCCACGAGTCATCCAGTGCTGGCCAAGGAAGTGGAGTGCTGACGAGTCCGGTGTGCGGGTCAAACGGGTTCGATGTGAATACGCAGTATGGGGAGACAGCAACTACTTCCAAGGTTAGTACTTACGAGTATATGGATTTACTACACAGTACCTAGGTAGATTTTATCATTTTACTCTGATCTCATGATCTTAAACCAGAGCACAGCCATTCAAGCTGGAAAAATTCTAGTAACTTCCATGTGTCCCACAACGCCTACTAGGAAAGAGCGACCCATCGTCATCCGTCACGTTCTTTCCAATGAAATAGATATCAACTGCTTAAACATCAGCTGAATCCTGTCAAGGATATCTCTGGAACAATCTGACAATGCCGGGCTCCGGAATGAATCAAATGAAATAGCAGAACGTCCATACTCGAGCTACGTTGGCCGAGAATGTGCTCAAAGGCTGCTCGAAGAACGAGAGTATCTGAACGATTGAGGCTCTTATACCTTTTAGGCATGTACCAGGTTGCAATTTGCAAGCGGTATTTGCAATGAGAGCTTCACGTCGATGTTCTTGGTTTGGTTGGACGATGTTCAGGCTGGTAGATCTGCCATGGCATCTAGAGAGTAGGAGAGTAGGATTTACCTCAGTTCCAAGAGTGAGCTTTCTTTTGTCTGGACCTCGCTATTGCATGTTATTTTGTATGTATGTCGGTACTCCAAGATCAACTGGGGAAAGGGTCTTGGAATCGAAAACCCAACTCGGTAGACTATCTCTGGGTCTTCGAAGAAGAGGGTTGAATGGTCTCAAATAGGGATGCAGCCCTGAGATATGTAAAGGAGCTTCCAAAACAAGACTGCTGCCGATGATGGCACTTCTGTTTGTCCCTCGATTTGAACGTCAATACCCCGCGCAGAGGCAGGCAATTGCCCAGGTACATAAGCTAAGGTAGGGCGTCCCGGGATGGATTCGATAAGTCCTCGTTGCGTGCTGCTGGCTCAGAGTTCTCTTGAAACCCCGATAAAACCAATCCCATTCAACTGCAGTGTCTTCTGCTGCAGAGTAGAGATAGATCTCCCATCTCCAAGTGGGGAAATCTTCCCCACACGGGGGTTTACCGGCGTTTAGTGGAGGAGGTTCTTGGCAGGCCGAACTGGACTGCTATTGTTTCGGCCCTCGGTAAGATAACTTACGACCTTAAAGTAGCTGCTTGTCCTTGGATTTGGAAGCTCGACATCCCTTTCCACCTTATACCCGCGATCAACATGACATCTCTTCCCCGCAAGCTATGGCAGCATCCAAACCCGGAGTCAACCCAAATGGGTTATTTCCAGCGCGATCTGGAGAAAGCCACCGGACGCAAGTTCGACGTAAGTAGTATTGACATGCATAGAAAGAAAAAGAAAAGGCCATATCTGACTCTGTTAGTCTTTCCATGACATGTACCTATATTCAATCAACAACCGCTCGGCATTCTGGGACTTCTGTTGGAAGTACTTCCAATTGATCCACGAAGGCTCATACACAAAGGTAGTGGATGAATCCGCCCGAATGGACTCTGTACCAGAATGGTTTGCCGGCGTGCGTCTGAATTTCGCAGAGAACCTTCTTTTCTCGCGTTCTGCTGGCGACAAGACCGGCAAGGAAGATGACAAGATTGCCGTGAGTGAGGTCCGAGAAGGCGCTGCGCATGAGGTCGTTCATCTCACCTGGGGCGAACTGCGACGACGCACTGGAGCCTTGATCCAGGCTATGAAAGCGCACGGCGTTGTTCGTGGTGATCGCATTGCTCTTTGCGCGGCGAATAGCATTGAAACGCTACTTGTGTTCCTGGCGGCGACCGCTCTGGGCGCTATCTTTTCGTCCAGTTCCACGGATATGGGCGTGAAGGGCGTTCTCGATAGACTGTTGCAGATTAAGCCTCGCTGGTTGTTTATGGATGACTCGGCGGTATACAATGGCAAGACCATTGACCTTCGATCGAAGATTCGGGATATTGTCGAAGGTATGGGGTCAGTTTCTGAGTTTGAAGGAGTTGTTTCAATTCCTCGGTTTGCTGCCCGACCGGAGGATATCAGTTCTATTCCCAGGACTCTAACTCTGGCCAAGTATCTCTCAGCAGCGGGAGGCAACGAGCAACTGGAGTTCACTCGAGTTGGTTTCCGCGACCCTTTCTTGGTCGTCTACTCGTCGGGAACAACTGGACAGCCGAAATGTATCGTCCATTCTGTGGGTGGTGTGCTTCTGAACGCCATCAAGGAGGGGACATTGCATAGTGAACTCGGGCCAGACTGCGTCACCTTGCAATACACAACCACTGGATGGATCATGTATATGGGTGCCGTGCAGACGTTGCTCTTCGGCGTGCGGGTAGTGATGTACGACGGAAGCCCATTTATTCCAGGTATCACTGCTCTGGTAGACATTGCCGCTCAGGAGAAGTGAGTATCTCGTCCAACCTCAATTGAGGATCTCGGCTAATCAGTTGCAGGGTAACGCACCTTGGGATCTCACCTCGATGGCTCCACGAGCTACAACAGGCTAAGATCAAGCCTCGTGAGATACGCGATCTCAGTTCTTTACGGCTTGTCACAAGCACTGGTATGGTTCTTCGAGACGAGTTATTCGAATGGTTCTACGACGAGGGATTCCCAACCCATGTCCGCTTGAATAACATCTCCGGTGGCACTGATATCGCAGGATGCTTTGGAACTAGTAACCCCATTAGCCCCGTGTATGTTGGCGGGTGTGCTGGTGGCAGCTTGGGCATCCCCGTGGAAGTTTACGACTCTACAATCGAGGGCGGCGAGGGAGTCAAGGGTGTCCCCGTGGAGGAAGGTGTGGCCGGCGAATTGGTCGCCACCTCCGCCTTTCCCAACATGCCCACAAAGTTCTGGGGTGATGAGAGTGGCAAGAAATACCATGACGCGTATTTCGGGAGATTTGACAGTAGGACCACCCGCCCCCGCATGTACACGGTCGCTAATCCTTTGCAGACGTTTGGACACATGGCGACTTTGTTTCCATCCACCCAATCACAAAGCAGCTGGTATTCCATGGACGCGCCGATGGAGTACTCAATCCCTCAGGGGTGCGGTTCGGATCGGCAGAGATCTATCGTGTGATCGAGGGCCAATTCTCCCAAGAGATTAGCGATTCGATCTGTGTTGGCCAACGACGACCAACTGATACGGACGAGCGAGTGCTCCTGTTCCTGCTCATGAAGCCAGGTGTTCCGTTCACTCAAAACCTCGTGGACCGAGTGAAGAGCGCGATCCGGACAGAGCTCAGCCCCCGCCATGTGCCGATGTTCACGTTCGAGACCCCTGAAATCCCGGTATGTACAACGGACTCCTGTCACTGTAGGAAGACCAAGTCTTGGAAAACCGGAACTGACCCGTATCGTCACAGACCACAGTCAACCTCAAAAAGGTGGAGCTGCCTGTGAAACAGATTGTGTCGGGTAAAATCATCAAGCCATCGGGAACCCTGCTCAACCCGAAAAGCCTCGACTTCTATTATAAATTTGCCAAATTGGAGACTTTGCGCGAGAGCAAGCTCTGAGTGGTCTCTCGGGCCTCGTCTCCTCAACGTGGCTCCATAGAGGAGCAAGACTGGGATCCATCGAGATCGTCACTTTCTAAGGTTCTGCCAAGCTTTGACCAAGCTTTGGCTACACTTGGGATCGCCTGTCGTGTTTATGATCAGCATTAGCATAAAGGAATTGATTGAATAAAAATGTATTGATTGGAGTAATAAAAGAAAATAGAGTCTGGACAACTGTACAACGTAAAAAGAGGGTGAAAGAAAAAGTGAAAGAGCCTTGGCAGCCGGCAGGTGGGCTGATCGAAGGTGGTTCGATGATGCCGCTGCGTCATTAAATCCCCGCACGTGGAGGTACGTCTGTCACCGTGCCCTGTTAATTTGAAGACTTCTTGTTTCTCTCCGTCTTCTCCCCCTCAATTCCTCTCCAGATTCCTCTTCAGCCTCTTTATCTATTCCCACGCAATCATGGTTCATCTCGATGCTGTTAAGAAGGACAATGAGGTTGTCACCCCTGCTTCCCGTGGATTGGAGGCCGTCTCTGCCGCGGATATAAATGACTTCTACACCAATGTCTATGGCAGTCACTTTGCCGTAGACCACATGAGCCATCATGAAATGCCAGAGCGAGAAATGCCCCGGCAAATCGCCGCCCGGATGATCAAAGATGAGCTAAGTCTAGATGGCAATCCCAAACTCAATCTCGCCAGTTTTGTCACGACCTACATGGAAGAAGAGATCGAGCAGATCATGACCGACTCGTTCAGCAAGAACTTCATTGATTACGAAGAATACCCCCACACCGCCGAGATCCAGAACCGTTGTGTCAACATGATTGCTCGCCTTTTCAACTGCCCCACTGAAGCCTCCGGCGAGAATGCCATGGGCACCTCGACCATTGGATCTTCCGAAGCTATCATGCTGGGAACATTGGCTATGAAGAAACGGTGGCAAAACAAGCGCAAGGCTGAAGGGAAGGATGCCTCGCGTCCAAATATCGTTATGAACAGTGCCGTGCAGGTCTGCTGGGAGAAGGCTGCTCGCTATTTCGATATCGAGGAGAAATACGTCTACTGCACCGAGGATCGCTATGTCATCGACCCCAAGCAGGCGGTCGATCTGGTGGACGAGAACACGATTGGTATCTGCGCCATTCTGGGTACCACTTACACTGGTGAATATGAGGATATCAAGGCGATCAACGACCTGTTGATCGAACGCAACATTGACTGTCCGATCCACGTCGACGCGGCCAGCGGTGGTTTTGTCGTACCTTTCATTAACCCCGACCTCCTATGGGACTTCCGCTTGGAGAAGGTAGTTTCGATCAACGTCTCTGGCCACAAGTACGGCCTGGTCTACCCAGGTGTTGGCTGGGTCATGTGGCGGTCTCCAGAGTTCCTACCAAAGGAATTGGTGTTCAACATCAACTACCTGGGAGCTGACCAAGCCAGCTTTACCCTGAATTTCTCCAAGGGGGCATCTCATGTTATTGGCCAATACTACCAGTTGATTCGCCTGGGTAAAAGCGGATACCGCGCAATAATGTCCAATCTGATCCGCATCGCCGACTACATGACCTCTGAGCTTGAGAAGATGGGAATGGTCATTATGAGCCAGAGGGCCGGCCGTGGCCTGCCGCTAGTGGCCTGGCGCCTCCCATCAAGCGAGGATCGCGTGTACGACGAGTTTGCGGTAGCCCACCAGCTACGCGAGCGCGGCTGGATTGTGCCTGCATACACCATGGCACCTAATACCGAGCACATGAAGATGATGCGCATTGTGATTCGCGAGGATTTCAGCATGAACCGATGCGATAGTCTGCTCCAGGATTACAAACTTGCTATCCAGACCTTGCAATCTATGGACAACACTATGTTTGAAAGATACGAGGCGTATGTATCCCTAGCCATGGCCGGGCTGATCCCTATACTAATATCTTTATAGACACATGAAGAGCAGCCGTGATCAGCCTCGAAACACGTCACGTACTCACTCCATTTACAAAGACGAGAAGCACTCGCTGCAGGGAAAGACTGGAAAGACGCATGGCGTGTGTTGATTCACTCTATTGGTTCAACACTCTGTTTATTTCCAGGGTTTGAGTCAAAGAAGGGAGTCTGGGGAGATTAGAGAACTATGCGACCGTTATCACAATACATGTGTCATTTTGGCCAATATTCCTATCCAGTGTGCTGGTTCCTAGCTGTAGGATATGGATGAACCCATCCAGATGAAGGGAATGACTGCGGACATCGCCGCTACCCCCGCTAATCCTAATATAGTAAGTGCGTTCTTGCCTGCATATTATTAGGGGCCTTTATCCACGTGATCGCGCGTTCAAACGCGCGTTGATGTTTTCTTTTGCTTCGAGATTCCCAACCCCATACGGAGTAGTACGTACTGTTCACATCCTGCTCTTTGCACCTCTCCGAACCTCCTCTCCGCATTAATACCTCTTTCATTATGGATTATCTGTATCCTATACCCACCGAGGCCTCTCCCATGCCTACCGGGTCCCTTATCTCGCTGCCTACGCCCTCCTAAGGCCTTAGTTTCGGCACCCGCGATGAAGCTATGCAATCAATCAATACATTCGCCAAGGACCACGGTTACGCCATCACAATAAAGCGGTCTTCAGCGGGTAAACCTACCAAACTACACTGCTCTCGGAGCCCGGTTTACCGAGGTCGGGGTACGCAAGCAAGAAAAGCCTCTTCCCGCTCTACTGAGTGCCCGTTCCGGGCCGTACTACGGCTTAGTAGTGGACCTAGCGGTGATGGTAGATGGCGATTTCAAGTGAGCAATCACTACCATAATCACGATCCTACCGCCCTATCTACGCATGTACGCCACCGCCAGCAGGAACTCCGCGAGCATCAGGACGTTATATGCAGCAAACTACGCCAGGGTATCGCACCCCGGGTAATTAGAGAAGGGCTCCGTCTATCTGCACAAAACGCTGGCAGGGATTTAGGGCTCCGGACTCGGGATATTGTGAATTTTAAGAGTAAGATGAAGGCTGTCTCCTTGCTTAATAACACCCCAGTACAGGGACCTGATGATGTACCTAATGCCGGGGAGAAACAACTAATATTGAGAGCCATGTATATAATCCAGGATTTTGCGAGTGATAGAGCCTATCGGGTAGTAGAGGTAGATAGCAACCGATGTCTGTCCGTTTCGAAGTAGAGGTCACTGTCATAGGTAGTCTGGATCTTCTAACTGCAAATAAGCTATTGATAATGAAGAAGTCTTTGCTTTGAATGGAGCTCATTACTGAGGTCTAGGATGATATGAATGCATATTTGTTGCTTTGTTTGTTTCTTTCCTTTTTGTATCGCTGATGACGCCATACATACGCAGCGAGCAACCTAACATATTGAAGTAGCTCAACCCCTCTCTCATGTCTCTTACTGTGTAAATGTATGCCAATTATTCCTCCATTGCCCGATCATGAAGAGTATCTCGATTGACCCGCAGAGGAATGCCCCTCCAACTCGGGACCTTCCGCTGTCCACTTCTATCCCGGTACAATTACCTGGAGCCAAAGTGGTAAAGCAGCATCCCACTTCGCCAGGCAACGAAAATGGAGCCGTTTTCTTTGTGGGAACGGCCACTACAATCATGTTTGTTCAACTCCAGCATTTCTAGGGCATATGCTAAATGAAGTAGCGAGTGGGCTGGAATACGGATTATGACTGATGTCAGCACTTGATGCTTGGAACATTGACTATCCCAAAGCTGACTACCTAGTATATAATAGCCCAACTTCCTTCACGCGGGCGACCATGTTCATCTTGGCCCAGGCGTATCAAGCAAGCGCCTGACCGAACCGGCTGTCGACCTGCACGAACTACCTCGAATTGATCTGGTTCTTCTCTCGCATTATCATGAGTAGGTCTGGGGAGCAACTCATTGGGCAGACTCCTGTACTGATGTTGTCAGAGACCATTTTGATAGAAAGGTGGAGGCTTCATTGAGACGTGATCTCCCAATCATAACCACACCTCATGCAAAGGAGCACCTTACTTCTAAGAATGAGGATTCCTTCACATCTGTGCATGCACTCGATCCATTCGAGCAGATGAATGTCAACATTAAAGGCACAACAGGACCAACAGAGCCCCGGTTGCGGGTGACGGGAATGCCCGGACAGCATATACCTCCTAATTCAGTGGTACAGAAGCTCAATGCACTAGTCAGCGCAGTGAGTACCTAGATTTTATCTGTCGTTTTCGTTTCAATTACATGGCTATTCATCTAACAACCTGGAAGATTCCGCCAACCAACGGCTGGATGCTCGAGTTAGGCAGCGGCACCCATAACACTGCTGAATTCTCGTGTGGGTACCGGATCTACATCTCAGGTGACACCCTCATGGTAGATGAGCTGCACGAAATTCCCAAACGATATGCAGGCCAACAAATTGATCTGATGCTCGCCCATCTCGGCGGCACGACCATTCCATCTCCGCTGGTGGGAAGAATAATGGAACCGCTAGCGTTGATGGTCACTATGGATGCGGAGCAGGGCCTTCAATTGATTCAACTGATCCAGCCAGACATTACAATCCCAATCCACTATGATGATTACGACGTGTTTGCGAGTCCGCTGGAAGACTTCAAGCGGGTGGTTGAGGCGGCGGGGCTATCGGACAAGGTTGTGATTTTGGATCGCAGTGACCAATATCGCTTTCGTGTTAAGGGATAGCAGAGCACGACAGAAGCACCGGTGTGTTTGTCGTTCTATTTATGCGAGGCTGCTGGTTTCGTTAGTCCGGGGCTGAGCCGCTGAGGCAACCGACGTGCCAGTATTGATTTTTGACCCCACCAGTCTTGGTATGCATAACCTTTCTGCATAACTTCAGGTGTGGACACTCTTCTTCCCTTTTACTAGCAGTCTCTTGAAACTTTTGGGGACGATTTGAAGCCCTAGGGTGGCGATGCTCGTATGTGGCTCGTATAGTTCACATACCTCGTGTTTTAGTCTACATTTCACCCAAACTATTCGACTCCACAAGCGCGTTTGAATTTGCGGGGATGAGAGATTTTCTGGATTTCCTTTCAGCCTATTCGTGTCCTTTGATCTGTATCGTCTCATCTCTCTGGGGCTGGCGGCTAATGTAGTTCTATGGATTTGAGGTCATGTCAATGTACTTTCTGTCCATCTCCAGGATTTCATAGCTACTATCTTGGATGTCTGTATAGAGTCTAAGCGATAACCCCCAGGTCTTCTATGCCTTTCATAGTGCTCTAAAGCGTGTACAGACAGGCCAGCAAGGTCATCCATTGTTTACTTCCTATATATAGAACACAGCCTCTCCAATCACGGCCCGTCGAACGCAGATCCACCAAATCAGCCTCTCTCACCCTCTTTCCCCCCTTTTTCTTCGTGTTCTCAAGAGATCGATGAGCAGTGATGCACCTCTTCAAAAGGAAGTCGCCTTCGAATCGCACTACTCAACATTCCATGCGCAGTGCCGAACAGCTGGCAGACCCCGCGTTTACTCCACCGGCCCCCGACTTGGACCGGCGCTTCTCACAAATTGAGTACACGTACGACCCCGTCCCTGGTCCTGTACAAAATCAACAGACCTTGAATCGCTCTCAAAGCCAACGTACCACTTCGCGCGATCGCCCGACCGTTAACATTGTCGCCCCTGACGACTCGCAGCCTCGTCGCGGCAGAAAGGGCCTGTTCTCCTCCAGTATTGAGCGCAGCGCCTCGGTCAAGGGCAAGACCTCTCATTCCGCGCAACCTGTTTCACCCCGAGTTTCACATCCACAGACCCTGAACGAATCCGACGAGTTTCCCGAGCATTATTCCCATTCCGAGGACCTCACACCTGTGACCGCGGGATCTGCAGCTTCCCAAGAACAATACAAACAATCCCAACGAGGCCCCCGACCCTCTCATCCTGCTCACTCCCAAGATAGCTCTGAGTGGTCACAGCAGCGACCTGTGCAACCCCAACTTTACACCCAGCCGCCTCCACCGATTCGGCGGTCAAACACCGACCCATCCTTGCTCGATCCATACATTCGCCCATCACCGACCGAGATTGTGCCCGAGTCACCGCGATATCCGGAGAATCATCGTCAGGGACAACATTTTACTTCTCAGGATCCGGTACTGTCCCAGACTGACGAGCTGCTTTCCCCGTTACCGTCTCATAATCCTGACGCCATGCAGTCTTCCCCGCAGGCACCACAGGCCCAAGGTCAATTTCTGTTGGACAAAACACCATCGACAGGTTCGCAGGGTCGGAGTCGGCAGGGTAGCTTGTCGAACAACATGCCTGATCCCGGGCGGAGTACACCTACGAATACACACCGCCGCGAGGGGTCCGAGGAAATTGATGTGCGGGCATTGCTCCAGAAGCATGATGAGCTGCGTAAGACTTTCGTATTTTTTTGGTATTCAGCGATGAGAGATAGCTAACTATGAACAGAGGCCAAGTATTCCAAAGTGAAACGATACTACTTTGAGAAAGATGCGCAGGTTCAGCATCTTCAAAACACGGTAGCCCACCAGCGAATGGCGGTGTCGCGCACCGTCCTTGACGATAATGAATATTCGAACCGATTTCAACGACTTGACGGAGCTATCAAAGACCTTGCCTTTTCTGTGCGCAAAGACTGGCGCAGTATACCATCGTGGCTGAGCGGGATGGTCACCGATAATGCTTTGTCAGTGGGCACAAAGGAGATGACCGCGGTCGGACGGGCAGTGATCAGCCGATGGCTAGTAGAAGAGGTATTCCAGAGATACTTCCACCCATCCTTGGATGCAGCCTTCAGTGTGCAGCTAAAGAGTATCGAAATGAACCTGCGACGACAGCGACCGTCGTCCGACGAAGATCGCGATAATGCATCTGCCAGAATTTCCTACTGGCGCCGGACAACCTTTGACGGATTAACCGACTCTTTGACCGGACCCGAAGCTGACGAACACCGCGGACAGCTTGTCGAGCATCTAATCGTTGAACTCGCCGCATTCCTGGGATCGCAGTTAAAAGAGAGCGCGCAGCCAGGCCTGGAAGCCAGCGTGCGCATGATCATCGAAAACTCCATCAACATTATTGAGAAAATCCCCCTCGAAGCCCGTGATGTATGCGTCGATTACTTCCCACCGGGCATCTCCCTTACCGAGCAATACATGAAAGTCGAAGGCCCACTACCACCACTAAGCCAACCGCCCCCACCGCCAGACCCAGAGCAACTCGACGAGCCCAGCGCAGACGGAGACGCGTCAACCGGAGTCACCGAGAATGCCTCACCGTTGCACCACAAGCCCACGAAGAAGTCCTCCATCTTTGGCGGGTTGATAAGCCGCAAGCAAGCCCCCAATGAGATGGGTCGCCCGGCGCTAGGCCCCGGACCAACCGAAGATAAGAACGAGGTCGACGCAACCCCGAACAACCCGCGTATCCGCTTCGCAGCGTTTTTGGCTGTTGAGGTGCGTGGTAAGGGTCCTGCAACGGTGCTGGTCAAGTCACCCGTATGGTTGGTGGAGTGATTCATTTTGAGAGAGCGAAATTCAGCTCGGCAGCGGATTTCACTCCGAGCAATATCGCCGGTGTATATAGAGAGAGCTGTCACATGCTGGCATGGCGACGAAGATCATGACTTGCATATCCCTTGATATCCCAAAGCGCTTTCGGTCGTTCAGCGCTGGCAGTTTACAGTTGAAGTTGGACGAGTTTGATGTTTTTTTTTTTTTTTGGCCCTGTTTTCCCTTGACGACTAGAATCTGTGATTCGGCTATGATTGTGCTTTTTTTATGAGTAGAAAACTGTTCTCAAGTCCATGTTGATGGCATTCTTCGTATATCATGATCATCTTGCTCGTTCCATTACATTCAATTTGCAGCGGCTGGCGCACCGATGCCTCCAATAGATACCCTGCGATATCTCATGAACTAACCGATCTTACAAGGGTGGCGGCGTCAAATCCAAGCCCTCAACCTCCAATTTAAATGCATCATTCCGCGAGTAACTACCAGCAACGTCGAGGTCCAACCGTCCACGCTCACAATCATCCAGATCAATGCGCGTGATAGCCAGACCATCACCCGCTGCCACGGCAGCACTAGAATCCGTAGCTGCGGCCCCAGGCGCCGAATCGGTCACAGCCGCATCGCTATCATCCGGCACATCATCCGTGCACACTTCCCACAAGGGCCCGGCCAACACCTCCCCAAGCGGGGAGATGATACAACTCCCGCCACGACAGACATACTCCAAGTCCGACTCCGCAGTAGCCCGGAATTCCCTAATATTGGTCGTTGAAGTATCCTTCGTCTGACCCTGATCAGATTCCTGCTCATCACAATGAGCCTGTGGCCAGACAATCTCGTGCGGACCCTCAGCGGTGATGGACAGTTTCCGTGTACGGTCCTGGGACTTGACGGGGTCTGTCTGTCCTGGATCCGGAGCTGTGCGGACCTCTCGGGTCGGAAGTGTCTTTGTGCTTGTGTTCCCACTGGAAATCCACTCTGGTAGCTCAGAGTAACGCACACACTGGTTTGCCGAGAGGACGAAGCAGCGGCCTTCTATTCCGACGGTGCGCATGAGCGGGAGCCAGGTATCGCGGGCGTCCGCCGTGGGAGCGAGATAGATATTGACGTTCTGGGAGTAGAGGCTCTGACGCAGCAAAGGCATGTAGTTTTCCCAGCAGATGGCGGAAGCGAGAGTTAGCGGGATACCGTTTAGAGTTGTTGTCACGGCGCGGAGGGTGGAGGGGGATCCCTGGGCCCAGATCATACGTTCAGCTGCGGTCTATTCGAAGTCAATACCGGATGGCAAAATAAAAAACCGACAGGAAAAAATCAAAAAGAACATGAACATACCGGCATTACCTTCCTCCTCTTCCCCAAAACACCTCTCACAGGATCAACATAAACAACAGCACAATACAAACTCCCACCCGCCCTCTCCACCAACCCAGTAACCACAAACACACCCGTCTCCCTCGCAACCCTTTCAAGGAACTCCCTCGTCCCGTCTCCACGGAACCTCTTCCCCTCAGCAACCTCGAGTTTCCGCCCAACCCAGTCATCCCCCGCCCCAGCCGGCGTATCGCCCAAGTCGACGGCAGCCTTGAAATATTGCAGGAATTGCTCACGGCCACGCGGGTCTCGACTGCCAACCGCCGAGCCGAAGGAACATGTCCGCGGGTATCCGCCCAGATAGGCTTCTGGGAAGAGGAGGAGGTGGACGCCGCGACGGGCGGCGAGGGCGGTTGTTCGTTCGAGGGCGCGGAGGGTTGCGGGTAGGGTTTCGTGGGTGCGGGATTGGGCGACCGCTACCGTAAGGGAGGGCATTGTTGATTGTTCGCTTGATTTGTGAGTTGAAATTGGCTTGGAAAAGGAGAGAGGGAAAAGGAGAGAGGGAAAGGGAGAAAGGTAGAGAGAGGAATTGGGATTCACAGTGACGAGATGGGAGGGGAGGGGAACCATGGATGGAAGTGGGGAATGTGGGGAAGTGTAGAAATGTCGGGGAGAACCCCGGATTAGATGACTACGAGCGCGTCGTGTGGTGTTCACTAAAATTGATATCAGATCATGACAAAGAGCAATCAACCTGGCTATCTGATCCTTGGATACAGGTCATACGTGAAGAGGATGAGTACAAGACCAGGTAATTTCCGCTATTAGTCAATATGGACTCTCATACAGTCTGATTATCTACCCAGTAAAAAAAAGAAAAAGCCAGAGCAATATGCAAGACAATGACACAAGAACCCAGGGGACTAGAAGGGATGCGTATATACAAAAGAGAATCCCATGCAACCACAACCGACTCTTGTAAAGATGCGAATTGGGGAAATGACAAGACCCGGGTATAATGCGCCCATGCTAACGAACCAGCAAGCAAGATAGATGTCTGAACAGAATATAATGGAGAATGGATCAAAGCCCAAAGAATGGAAAGCTGAAAATGCAGAAAATGATATAATGAATGATGCGTAAATGCGATGGGGAATATTGTGAAATCAGTCAAAACGCATCAATCGGTTATAGGTAAGAATCTGCACAAGAAGAATTCCCAAGACCCCGTAAGGAATCAAGGAATTTAGGTGGAGATTCCATGGGCAGTAGCGGCTTGCTGCAGCACACGGGGCCAGCGCGAAATGAACTCGACATCGTCGAGGGCACCCTTGCCCTGGTTGCGCACGTACTGGGTGCTCGGGTCGATACGAGGCTCGTAGTCCCAGACGGTCTGTGTGCCCTGGATCAGAGCAGAGTAGACAAGACGGCGGCGGCGTTGCGAGCGCAGGACGTCCTGGTGGATCTTCTCCATGTCCCAGCGGGAAGCGGTCTCCTCGAGGAAGAATGCGAGAATCTTGCTCGGATCGGTGGTGTTGGGCAATGCAGGTGGGAGCTTGGCTGGGCTCGGTGTGCGAGGGGGAGTATGGGAGGGGAAGGGGAAGTCTGTGGTGGTGGTGCGCTGGGGAAGCGGCGATGCACGCGGGGTATCGCTGGGAGTTGGCAGGTTGATTGCGCTTGTTGAGCTGGTAGGCTTGGCTGCGATGGCTGCACGGGTGGGGCTAGATGGGATAGGCAGGTCGGCTGCTAGGTTGACCTTTTCTTCCGGATCGTTCACGATGTCGTATAGCATGGGTGGATCGATCGTCGAGTAGATGAACTTCCAGCGGCCACGACGAATCATCATGAGAGGAGCCTGGGTGCCCTCGCCCATGTACTCGCCGTACACAGTGTCCGTGCGCAGACCTTCGCCGCCGGTGAGGTACGGAACAAGAGAAACACCATCCAGTGGCAGTTCCGGGATAAGTTTGGCACCTGTCAGTTCTGCAAATGTTGGGAGAAGATCCATCGTAGACACATTCTCGGACACGCGCTTCGGAGCAAAACGCTTAGGGGAGTGGAAGAGGAAAGGAACGCGGGCCGAGTTCTCGAACCAGGTCATCTTGTACCATAGACCACGCTCGCCAAGCATGTCACCATGGTCACCGGTGAACACGATGATGGTGTCATCCGCCAGGCCAGTGTTATCGAGTACGCGCAGCAGCTTGCCGATGTTTGTGTCAACATATGTGCAGGCCGCGTAGTATGCACGACGCGCGGCACGGATGCGTTCGTCAGGAATATCTTTGTTGAACAAGTCGATACACTTGAGCACGCGCTGGGAGTGAGCATCCTGTTGGTCGTGTGGAATCGCTCCGTTCTTGGGGAGAGGGATCTCCACGTCGTTATACAAGTCCCAGAACTCCTTGGTCATGGCATATGGATCGTGGGGGTGCGTCATGGAAACCGTCAAGCAGAAAGGCTGTTCGTTGCGCTGACGGACATGGTCATACAAGTACTGGGTCGACTTATAAATGACCTCTTCGTCGTAGTCCAACTGATTAGTGCGTACGACAGGTCCGGCCTCCAGCACGGAAGACATGTTGTGATACCAGTCGGCACGGATGTCCTACATACAAATTAGTACGGTACCATAAATAGTTCATGGAACTTCACATACGGGTTCATCCCAGTTGACGGACCAGCCATAGTCACCGGGGTAGATATCACTGGTTAGGCGCTGTTCATAACCATGCAGTTGATCCGGGCCACAGAAGTGCATCTTGCCGGCCAGGGCTGTGTGATAACCCTCCCGTCGAAGATAATGGGCATAGGTAGGGGTATCAGCGGGCAAATCCGCCGCATTGTCGTATGCTCCAATCTTGGAGGGCAACTGGCCGCTCACCATGACAAAGCGTGAGGGAGCACACAGTGGTGAGTTACAGTAGGCCGAGTCGAAGACCACACCGCCATCAGCGAGGCGATCCAGATTGGGGGTCTTGATGGGGGAGTTCTTGTCATGCAGGGACAACAAGGGGGCGGCCATTTGGTCAGCCATAATGTACAGGATGTTTGGCTTCTTGGTCGCCATGATGAATACCAATTTACAAGAGACACCTGATATGTGTGAGGAGCTGAGACTTGAAGAAGCTGAAAAGGAAAGGAAAAGTTGGGGCGGAAGATTAGTATATGAAACCGAAGCTATGTGGGGAAATCGAAAAGAAAAAAAAAAGAAAAAAGAAAGAAAAAAAAACAAAAAAACATAAAAAGACCTAAAGAGGAAAGATGATACAAGATAACCCCAAACTGGGCTCAAAAAAGCGAAGCGACTCGAAAACGTTTGATTTCGTCAACTCCACATGAAGGCCAAGACGGAACAGTAGATGTATTTTAATTTCTCTCGATACCAGTGCAGATCGTGTCTATCTTACTCCGTACACCAGAACAATAGACATCATGCTGTAAATTGCCTTAAAGTACAAAGTACAGTAGTTCCCGCCTGCAACGGAGATCAGGGTGATCCGGCACTGACGTACGCCCAAAGGCCAAAGGCGATGGGATCATTTGCGGCATCGATGGTGTGATTTGGAGGATGTGGCAGATCGGACCGTGTATTGTAATGAAAACATGTACATTTGACTTTAACGACCATGGATTGTCATAATCTCTTGTGTCCCACTCCCAGCTGATGTTAAGATTGTAAATGTAAAGTACATGTCTCATCGATCACACGACCAGTGATTATCAATTGTAGCAATAAAGTCCCAAGCCCGACACGAGTGCCGAGTCGCCACAACGAAAGCACGACGGGGAGGTGTTACATCCGTCACATTCAAGATGTTCATGTTACCACCACGATACCAACAGTATGTGTAAGATAGCCACTCCATTCATCCCCTTCAAGTCCAAGACGTCAATAAAATAACCTCATCTCAACTCAAAAGCTTGTTGTACAAGGTTAAGCCTGAGTGCAGTTTTCACACGCACTCGACCCCGGAGTGGATAACGGCATCAACACCACTGCCCCATGGCAGCGTTTCCAGTGTAACGAAATTGTTAATACTTCTAACCAGTTTTGGCTTAGTGAATCCCGGAGCCGACGACTGGCACAACCTTGAGGTCCACAAGATCTTGCCGCTAACTTTCCAACCAATCAGTTCGATCACTCTTCCCCTGGGATACCCCGACAAGGTTAGTGGCGAAGCTTAGGAATAAAGGACCCGTTTGCTTGTCTTGACGCCCAATCACAACACCTGATTCGACATTAGCGGAAGGACAAAGATAACGACAAGTCTTGACCACCAGTAGGTTTTTTTCTCTCGGCAATGTCTTGGTGTTCGGTCTGAGTTTGCTTTCATTCATCAAATGTGAGTTTACAGTATCAGCAGCAAGAAAAGCAAGAAACCGATAGAATGTAACGCATCATAGCTCCACAATGACCAATTCCCCCTTTCCGAGCACGCCATGAGGCGGTCTATGGTCACCCCCGGATTTACAATGTTACGTACGGCGGAGGCAAACTTCAGTCACCGCCGTTTCTTAGACCCAGCTTACTCCACATGGCGACGTCCGGAATACACAGCACTTGGAACATGCGCATCGGATGGGTTTCCCCGATGCAGCATACCTATCCTGTTCTACTACATGGAACTTGGAAGCAAAGGCTCAAATCTTGAACTGGTCAGGAGATGCATAAATAGAATAGTATACGCCGGAGTGGTGGATGATCCCACCCATGCTTGTCAGACGGATCAAATCGTGAAAGGGTCATGGCGGCGAGAAGCCAAGTAATGAGATTAAAGAGATAAAGAACGGAAGATTGTGGGATACGTCGGGTCTAGTCGACTTTGATGGCACTGTTCGTTTCTGCGATTAGCGTGCTGCCGGTGCCATTTCAAAAGAGTGACCTTACCTATAGACACGCCTGACGAAGGCATAAGCAGCCAAAAAGCCAACGGTACCAGTCAAGAGCCCATACACAGCACAGGCGAGGAAACTGTAGCTGAAGAACAGCAAGCTCGAAACGAACCCAGTGATATGGAGCTTGAACAGGTAGTACCAGATGCAGTAGGCAAAGATCCAAACCGCACTGCTCCCACCAGTGAGGAAGCTCTGCCACCACCAGTGATAATTCTGAAAGAGTCAGCAAGGCAGCCCATAATCTGACCCAGAAGAATAATCTTACCTCGGAGCAAAGCTGGTTGTATGTTGCGATGACCGTCACCTCAATGACCGTCACAATCAGCACGGTTGAGACAACGCTCAGGAAGCCGAAGAAGTAGTAATAACCGGTCTTGTCTTGCCACAAGTTTTTGAAAATAAAGAGCAATTCGATGAAGAGAACCCCAAATGGGATGAGACCAGTAAGCAGAGGGCCGAAATAGCCATGAAGATACCAGGGCTGAGGTGGAATTTGGCGGGGAATCGCATTTGTCTTCAGTGGGTGCTCCCATGGTAATGCACGGACATATCCGACCCAGCTCCCAATGTAGACCAACGGAACTTGAATGAGGAGCCAAATGGCAAGCAAGCCAATGAGAGTGCTGAACGGGATTGCCGTACTTGATGCTTGAGCCCAGACAAACAGGTTCAGGATCAACACGAGGCTAAATGCCAGACCAGGGAAAAGGAAAGCAGTCTGAAATTGTAGATTAGTATGGCTCATAAAGGATGGGATTAGGGTGCGTACAATCAACGTGTTCTTGCGCCAAGCGGTGCCGCCGAAGGTCTTATAAAGCCTTCCCGAGAAATAACCAGAGAAGAGGCCAGCAAACACGAACAAGCCCATGCCAACACTGACAAAGCCACCACGGAAACTTGGATTCAGGACACCCAAGCAGCTGAGAAGAAGCAAGCCTGAAGCCATGAACAACAGCTGCATGCCTGATCCGACTAAGGGGGCAAGCAGACCACTATAAGCAGGAATCCGGAATACATCACCATGAAGAAGCTTCCAGCCACTTGTGTCTTCGAGTGCTTCTTCGTCCGACGAGTAATCCGCGTCACGCTCCACATCTGCATTATCATCAAACAGGCCCTCGGCCTTTTTCTCGCCAGACTTGCCACTCCTCCGTCGAGATTGGCCCTTGATCTTCCGGTCATCCATGGCGCCATCGCCACGACCCTTAAGGTCACCTTGCACCGTGCGGCTCCAGATCACGAACACAGTGACTCCCAGCACGGTAGAGATGATCAATGAGTTGATGATCGCCAGCCAGTGGGTTATCGAACTATCACTCTGGTTGGTGAAGTATAGGTCCCAGCGATCAGACCATTCAACACTAGTGTCCTCTCGGAAGTAAACAGAGTAGGTGTAGGGGATCTTCAAAGTGGCACCATCGTCATCCTCATCATCTTCTGGAATATAGGACAGCCCGGAATACTTCTCTTGCATCCGCGAGAGGTTAGGTGGGATATATAGCTGCAGACCGTCGTTGTTGTCGTGAACAGCCTTGGGGCATCCGTTCTCCTTGCGGTCTTCGGCGGTAATACTTTTCGGATACACCTCAAACCCAATGACCACCTTGCCTCCTTCGGGTGCGCTCCGCCAGCGGATGACAATGGTGAAGTGGTTGTTGATAAATAACCGTGACTGCCCGGTGATTGGAGAGATGTCTCGGTAGCCAAGTTTGAATCCGGACGCATAATACTTGCGGCTCCGATCCACGGTCACAAAGCTCGTGGCTCCTGGCAAGTTGTCGGCTATCCATTCTATCACATATCCCTGCTTAACGAGCTGGCGCGCCCATTTCACATCTGAGCGACTGACTTCGCGGGTGCAGAGAGACTGACATTCGACATCCTTCCCCATCGCAATCTCAAAGTCAGAGGTCATGATTCGATCACCACGTAGCACCTCCCCAATATTGAGCGAGATACTCTGGCCAGATCCGAATGGGGAGCCACCGTGTCGCTTACCGCTCGGTGGGCAGACGAACGGAAGGTCGAAATAGGCATATTGCAGTTCGGTGTGATCGGAAAAGATCTTGTTCACGAGAAGGGGAATGGGATCGTTGTCATTATATCGAGTGACCGAATATCCTAGTGATGGGAGAAGGTGTCAATGTCACATGCGTGATCTCTCTGATGCGCCTAATGCTTACCAGGGATATAAAATGCGCCCGTACAGGACACGAGCAACAGCACCCACAGTGTCCACTGACGGGGAGAAAACAGATTAATGGCCATGTTCACTGGACTCAAAGGAATCAACCCTGTCCTCGAGCCGGAGTGAGCGTGCAGCTATCAAGCTGCATGTACACAACGGACGTAGGAAGGCTGTAGGTCGGTGGGTTGCGGAGTATGGTTCCACAAAGGACAAATCCACACAACTTTACTGGATCGAGGTTGCGGTATCTTGTCCAAATGCTACAGTACTTCGTGGAGATAGGCGATAGAACAGATCGATGGTGGACTTGATTCTAGAAAGATCTAGAAAGCGCGTAACGGGGCGTCTGACTGCGCAAGAATCGACAGCCGGTATCTGCGGGGGTAACGAGTGAAAACGGCACTTAATGCCACAACAATGATAGCTGTTGGAAGTATCAAGAAGCAAAGGGCTGTGAGATCCTGGTTGGAATAGTGAGGGTGAGCTTGTTATCGTGACCTCCTGTGAGCGGGTGGGTCCCCGGATGACCTAATCGGAATGCCAGATCCCGTGCAGAGCCCAGACCCTGTGGCCTTTGACGGTGTTCTCGATAGGATCATAGGATGACAGCGACATGTCGGACAATTGCAATTATTTTCAGTAACTGCACAGTTGACTCGGAGAACACGATAGAAGGAGAACAGTGTGTATGCTAGTGCATGAATCTAGCACGCGCCACGCGGGTCCAATCATACAATCTGCAGCTCCCCGTTAGTCCCTCACATTGTGTAGTCGGCCCAATTCATGCTCAAGAAACTATTGCTATGGTAGACCGTTTAAAGGCAAGATATTTCCATGGATCTGTTAGACCTTTCACAACTGCGCGAGAGCCAAGAGGCAAGAGTCGCTGCATTCGCTACGAGGGCCCTAGGGAACTGCGAGCGGTGAGTTCATCAAACTAATTGGAGATCGCGTCGATCCTCAACGTCTCACTGGTCCGTTATAGATGCGAGCGCCTGGGCAAAACCTGTCACTTTTGAGAGCTACTGCACGTCAACGGGATGGTTCATGTAGAGAGGATTGTAGGGCGGAGGGCCTACCAGTTGGCGGAGGGCTTGCCAGTTGGCGGTAAGGATACAACTAATGGGGAGCTGTGAGTCGTGCTTCGGAGCACAGAGCCTTCCTTCGAGAGTTTCCCTCTTCACTAGGTACCTATGTATTCAGCATGCCGCCCGTGCTGCATGGCCGGGATATCTCATACACTTTGGACGTTTACACCAACTTTGTCCAGCACGGTATCCCAAGTCTCATCTGGGGCCTGTCTTCAAATACCCTAGGTCGCGCGTACAGCTCATTAGGTAGCTTTGGGAACAAAACCATCCAGCAAATACAGCATCCCAGTCATCCGACTAATAAATCGCGCTGCCGGTTCTACCGGCCTACGTCCTATTACCAGGAGGACTTTCAACGAAGTGGACCTGGACATAGAATGCAGGTAGGCCGACGGAGACATAGTGCTTGGCGATTGACTGGGCAAGCTGCTCTTTTTCGAGGTCCGTGATGGTGTTCGGACTGTGTTCGATATGCCAGACAGGCATTGTTGCGGTTTGGGTATTTTACGGCAAGTGGCGAGAAGTCCCCGTGTAGATTATGAAGGAATGTTGGTTGAATGAGTTGACAGATCACCGAGAAGCTCGGTGATGAGTGATATTATGACAGACTGTGTCGTTTTCGAAGAAGTGAATATGTGTCTCTTGAGTTTGTAGCACGAAGGAGCCGAAATCTCGAAATGATAGTGTAATGAACAGAATGGTGGGTCGGCTGGCAGCATAATAATTTTATGATCATTTCATCAACCTCGGGTGGCGACAACCCTCGCAATAGATCACCATATCATTAATTTCTTGGGCGAAGTCCATACTCTGCAACAAGTAATCCGATTCTAACTAATCAGATCAAAGATTACAAAGCTTGACTCTCCCGGTTATCTATCGATCCTATGTCGGACTTCGTTCGGAGTATTGAAGCCCGAAGGGGAAGTCCTTATCTCGTTCCTGACAAACGATCAACAGAGGATCAATTTGAAAGTGTCGACAGCTTAGAAATTCAAGATCTATTCCCTCTATAAAAGCCATGGATTCCTTCAGTGAAAGAGGTCTCTCACCAACGAACAAATCTTCCACAATATGTCCAACCAATTGATCTTTATTACCGGAGCCACGGGCTTTATTGGCAGCGCAACTGCGCTGGCAGCTCTCAAGGCTGGATACCGTCTGCGAGTCTGTCTTCGCAAGCCCTCTGAGCAATTGGAGGCCTTGCTGTCAGAGTATAGTAACCAAGTCGAGTTTGTTACTGTTCCAGATATCACCGCCGAGACGGCTTTCGACGGCAAGCTGAACGGTGTGGATTATGTGCTTCATCTTGCGTCTCCTCTTGCCCATGGAACGAACAAGGAATCCCACTTCGCCCCGGCTGTGAAAGGCACCACTGCCGTGCTGAAAGCAGCCGCAAAGGTGTCGAGCATCAAGAAAGTTGTCATCACTTCATCGATCGCCGCCTTCATCCCGTTAACTGGAATCCCTGCTGGTGATGTGATCAAAGGTACCGTATCCTCTCACATTTCGTCTCCCACTATGGCAGAAGAAAGGCATTAACAAGTTTTCAGAGGACAACGATTGGGACTTTTCGGTCGATGAACATGCAAATTTTGAGGACCCTGAAAACCCGGGCGCAACGCCAATGCGACTGTACATGGCCTCTAAGCTTCTTGCGAATCAGGCGACTTGGGATTTCCGGGCAACAGCCAAGCCGCATTATGCTTTGGTGACACTGCATCCTGCATTCGTGTTCGGTCACAATAATGTGCAGACGTCCGCAGACGTGACCGGGACCAACCGTCTTCTCTGGAATTTCATCATGAAAGGCGACCCTACTGTGAATATCGGAGGTGTGCATGTTCAAGATGTAGCCGATGCACAGATCAAAGCCTTGGATGCGAAAATTGTTGATGGCTCAAAGTATCTGCTGGCTGGACCAAAGATGACAGGCGCGAATGTTGCGCCCATCGTCAAGAAGTTCTATCCAGATTCCGGTGCATTGGTCACTGAAGACATCCAGGGTGGAGGGTTCCCAACTGATACGACCAAGGCGGAGACAGAGCTTGGTATGCAATGGCGCTCGGTTGAGACTCTCGTGCGAGATGTGATGGACCAGCAACTTGGATTTCTGTGATCAACCTACCTAAGCACAGGGTCCAATGTAACTATGTTTTTCTTTGATCGAAAAAAAATCAATTTATGTTCATGTTGTTTTCAGCCTGTAGTAAATGTTGTAAGTATAGGTTTCAAGAGAAAGTAGTGGACATTCTGGGGGCTGGGGTTGCAATGTAGATGTTGTGTAGTAACTGGACGGCCTGTTCTGCTCGAGAGTTCCATTCCTGTTGGTTCCCCATTTTTACCTGGAACAAAAGCTAAGGAGTTCTCTGACTTACCTGGTAGGATAGGAACTCCTGTTGCGCACAATATGCTACGTATCGCCTGGAGCCTTTTCGGTCTTGAAATTTTGATGTGCGTGACCTACCAAGCTCTGCCCAGCCTCTGACGACCTTGATAATCCCCGGACTTTCGACAATATTGGTTAGTTATTGGTTATGATTCTGAATACCAATCTCCCAGCTTTGGATCAGGCGACCCCAGATCTCGCTTTCATTGCTGGTCAGCACTCTCAAGTTGGGCCTCCTGGAAGCCCTATCCAGACTGGAGATCTTTCGGATGATGCATCGACCGATCCGGCAATTCTGGAGCGTAGGATCGTCGGTCATTGCGAATGTGTAGACAGTAGAATTGTAGAACGTGGAAAGAAGATAGCGGCTCGGCGTGTGAAGGCGATAGGTTGATTTCCAGGGGCTGGACGAAGTGTTTGGGGGAACGCGTTAGGGATGGCCCGATGGGCGCGTGATAGGCAAGCTGTCCGTAAATGGCAGGCGGAAAGTCGAACTCTTTACCTCCATAGGGGAAAAGCGGAAGGGTAAGGATGGGACCGGAAAGGGCAAACTATCCACAATAGGCACTGCAACTCCGAAATAGGCAACCAAAACTACGAACAACCAATCAGAGGGAAAATAATTCTGCCCGATTCTGTCCGGGATCATTTCGCCTGTAAGGCGACGCTTCGCGCCGCAACAACAAATCAACTTGAGCAGAACTCTGTTTAGGTTGTTGTTGTTGTTGCAATTTTTTAACGTCCGGCAGTAGCCGGGTGAGAACCCGGCTGCCTTAGGCCTCCCATGGGGCATGCAGACGTGCTAAGCTGAGACTAGGTCTAAACTAATGCAGCCGATGTACATAATCGGGCTGCGAGGTAGTACAATGGATGTAAAGCCAAACGGTTGGTAGATATTCAAGCAGGAAGTTGGGAGCTGAATGTTCAACTTCCCCTGCTCGGAAGATATTTGCAAACAGGTATGATCCCTCCTAATCATAATGTCAAATGTCAATTTCCGCGTGGTAAGCATTGGCCAGTTGACCGCGCCTGCGAACTGTTCCAGTAGAGTGGCATCTTGGCGGTACCTTGGAATCAGGAGAGCTTGTGGAATTGCACCAAGTTGCACTCAATATAGAGCCCAGAGGGTTCTTGCATTTCCCTTGTATCGAGCTGTAGATCTATAAGTACGGAGTACCTAGAAACCATTCGAGACTAAAACTACGGATTCTTCCATCGGACTCGCACAGCTGTGTAGCTCTAATACCTATCGGAGGGTTAGTTATGGAAAAATGATATAGATTAGTCTGAACAGGTACACAGTAGAGTGAAGAGTCTAGAACTCTAGATTCTGCAACTCTTCTACGGGCTGATCGCTGCCACTAGAAAAACATCTAAAGCGTGTTCAATGATATTATGGTGGGTCGAATATTGGCTGCTGTCAGGATCCAGCAATGACTACTTTCGTGATAGGGCAGATCTTGCACGTGCCACTTGGAGCACCCGCCCAAGATGCTACTCATGGAGTCAATGTCTTTCAATCCGCCATGGACGACCTCGACAGCTTCACCCAGAGGCCAGACTTGAGGTTTCGTTACACATGCGACAATTGATGATACGTTCATCGACTGGATGGCTTGGATGACAACTTCATTCGAGCCGCAGCCCTTGAGCCTCCGTTCACTGGGCAGGTCAGCGCCGGAGATTCACAGCTATGCCAATATAGACGCCGTGAGCACAGAATAAGGCCCGATGCTAGATTGGAAGGTGATTCAGTGAAAGATTTTGAAGACTCAAATCAGAACATGAGATACCCGGACAACTGCACTCAGGCAGTGACGGTGGCTGATATTCAACACATAATCTATTCTCAATACATCCACCAGACTTTACGAAGCCATATGGCGGGGAACGTTACGAAGGGTGTGCACATGTTGAAATAATAGCCGAGATTGGGGCTGAAAACCTGAAACATCAGACATGTCAACCTCGTCCACGGCACCCAATAACTGAACTGAAATGGCGTTATGCTGACCTTGGTGGTGGGTTTGTGCCGTTTTGTGGGGTTTATTTTCCGACCTGTGTGTCCATGGCCATATCGTTGTCACCTAACAAGCTATGCCCTGTGCACCACATAGCTACCTGTCTAAGCCTTTGTGTCCGTGTCCGAGTGCGTTTCAGACTTCACCCGCCAAGATGTCCCATATTTCAACAGGACTCCAGCTGGCTGTTGATGCTTCCTTCGAGCTCCCATCACAGTACTAAAAGGCATTATACGCACCACGTCGATTTATGCAGTGGCATTGGCACTGTAACTCGACCATGGAGCCGCGTTTCAGCCCCGCCTACCCAGCTCACCGGCCAACTCCGTACAGTGAGCGCTGCGGATCAGGCTCCAACATAAAATTGTCAACGGCCCAGAATCACCGGAATTCAGTGCGTATCGGACGGATCAATGAGATCTATTTTGGGAGTCGTCAGGGCCGCAGTCGCAACATGGACTCACGGCTATATAACCCTAAGCCGCTGATGTCTTCAAATAATCTCATCACATACATCCATCAATCCATAGCCCGAAGACACAATGAGCAACTCAACGGAGCACTCGTCCGAATACTGCACGCTTGACCTTTGTCCAATCACCGAAGCATACGTCTACTACGTGCCTTCGCTGGCAGGGAATGCCATCTTTGTGGCCATCTTCGCGCTTTTGTTGGTAGCGCAAATAGTTCTGGGCATTCGATATCGAACCTGGGCATATTTGGCTGGATTGTTTGGAGGATTGGTGCTTGAGGTCATTGGCTATGCAGGACGAATCCAGATGCACTACAATCCATTCCGCTTTGACCCTTACCTGGAGTACGTCCATAGCCTCTACGTGTATCTTCTCACCACTGACCAACACTGACAATCACAAACAGATACCTGATCTGCCTCACAATCGGCCCCGCATTCATCAGTGCCTCGATCTATATCTGTCTCGGACGAATTGTGGTAGTCTATGGCGAAAGCATCTCATTCCTTCGCCCGCGGACTTACACCATTGTCTTCATCATCTGTGATCTGATCTCACTACTCCTCCAGGCTGCTGGCGGTGCCATAACCTCCGTCGCCGACGCTGACGAGGCCGACCTATCCCAAGCCGGCATCAACATCATGATCGCCGGTCTGGCTAGCCAGGTTGCCTCCCTCGCCATCTTCATGGCTCTTTGTCTAGCGTTTGCCTGGAATGTGCACAAGAACAAGCATGAACTCAATCCAGACCCATCTATGGTCAAGCTCCGCAGTAGTATGAAGTGGAAGGCGTTCATAGGAGGTGAGTTTTGCACCTCAGTCTTTATATCTCCGTGGCTAGTAGTGGCAGTTGCTGACTACAAGTGCAGGCCTCATTTTAGCAACGATTACGATCTTTATCCGCTCCGTGTTCCGAGTCGCAGAGCTAAAGAGTGGATTCCACAGCGCATTGGCGAATGACGAAGTCATGTTCATGATTTTGGAGGGTGCTATGATGGCAATTGCGCTGCTGTGTTTGACTATTCTTCATCCTGGTGTGTGCTTCGCTGGCCATTGGAATACTACCAAATGGACGTTTCGCAAAAATGCTCGAGACAGCGAGATGAGCATGCTATCTCTGGTTCCCGAGCATGAGAGGACTGGACACAGTGATTATGCATCTAGGTGAAGGGACATGAGTGTGGGTGTCAAAAGATCTGTTGAGATGTGTACACCTGTCAGCTATTTCTTGTCTAGTCTTCACGCGATGGCACTATCATGTGTACCCCTCTTGGCAGTTCAATAGTACACCATTGGACGAATCTCGTTTGTTGGCTCTGAAAAACGAAAGTAGGATACCGACAACATGGAGTGGCTTTAGCGTGGTATACGCTGCTGTGCGTTGTACTTTGGTTGCATACTGTCGTCAAGTCTGGGTGGATGTGCAGATTGGAAAGCGAAGAGGTCAGTCACGACGGGATGGGCCTTTTTAATGTTTAAATGCAGAATCTTCCTTAACAGATGGGACGAGACAAGCATGTCCAGTATATGCTTCAGCCAGGATGTGCATACGACAATATTTTGTCCTGGTTTAGGTTTACAAATAGCGGGAACCGTTCTAACCATGTGCCCGGCTAGGAGATGCCCGGCTAGGATAGGTTCAACCAACGGTATGATGCATACAAAATTGGTGACTCAAGTAATGGATTGGATGGAAGTGATTGCATACCATTTTCAGCTCCTTATAGGAATCACGTAAAGCTGGTTAAATGTACACAGAAGAAAGCATGCTAGATGGGGAATGGAAACGTCATAGATACCGAGGGAGCCCGTCACCCCTCGCAAGTTCAGGAGCACTCGAGGTCATCGTGTAAAGTCGTCACAAGGCTGTGCTAGAAGGAAGAATGAAAAGCAACCCAAATTCTCATGGGTGGCTGAGGAGGTACTCCACTGCTCCTTGAACACTTCCGCCCGTGCGACGCAAGGCCTCGATGTTCCTCTCGAACTCGAAGAACCCCATATCATTCAGTTGTCGCAACTGATCGGCATATCTCTCCTCTGGAGGGCGGGTGTCTGTAGGTGGCGCGGCACCGAAACCGTTCCCAAATCCACCAAGACCACCACCACCGAATAGAGCTGCCAAGGGATTTCCACCCGCGGCCCCACCCTCGGCACCCTGTCCACCCATTCCCTGCATCATTTGTGAGAGAAGTGCAGGGTCACGAAGGAACGGATTCTGCTGAAGGTTCTGAAGGTTGAACGGGTTGCCGCCGCCCTCGCCGGCTTGTCCAGCGTTGCCGAACAAAGCTGGGTTCAGGAGAGAGGCGAAGGGATTTTGCGCAGCTTGAGGGGGTTGGCCTTCGGCAGGGGCAGTAGATTCAGCTCCTTGCGTAGCGCCGGGCTGAGTTGCTCCTGGTGTGGCAGGAGGTTGCGCCTGGTTCGTGAAGGGGTTGGCTCCAAAGAGAGCACCGAAAGGGTTCGCATTACCAAACGGATTTTGAGGCATCTGCCCAAACGGATTCGCTTGCGCATTCTGTTGTTGAGCACCTTGGTTCTCGTCGGCGGTCGTGTTGGTTACACCTGGGGCGGGAAAAGCACTATCACCACCTCCGAGTCCGCCGCCCATTCCCATAGCTCGCTGCATTTGCATCATCTGCCGGAGTGAGCTCGGATCCGTCAACATACGGCGAAACTCGGGGCTTTGCATCATTTGTCGAACTCCAGGTCCCATGTCGCGAAGCATGGGGTTCTGCTGGATCATCATGTCGATCATAGCGGGGTTTTGTAGGGCTTCATTTATGGTCGATTGGAACTGAGGATTCTCGAGCATGTTAAGCATTGACTCGGTATCAGGGGGAGGGCCCATCTAAAAGGCATCAGAAGTTAGCCAACTGTTAAGAAGCATTGGGGAACCAATTCCGATAAGCTCACTTACCCCACCATCAGGGCCGAAGAGACCTGCTCCAGGAAGTTGTGCGAACCCAGCATATCGTGCACCAGTCAATCCCGCGAGTGGGTTGTTGCCAGTACCGGCGGCGAGATTAGTTGGGACACCAGCTGCCGCCGGGCTTGGGGTTGCTCCAGCGGCCGCGGTACCCGAGCTAGGCTGCGCAGCTGTGTTCTGGCGTTGTTGATTGCTTGCAGCACTCTTCACTAAATGAATGGTATGGCCGTCCTTGATATTATATGCCTGGAGTGTCTCATTGTCCTTCAGAACCCGGCCTGAGTAGATCAAACGCTGACGTTCTGCGGGGGTATCGGCATATTCAGAGCTCGAGAGCTTCGACTTGAGATCCGACACCAGGGTGGTGAGCGGAAGTGTAAGGGTATATTTGGCATCGGTCGATGACTTGACAGTGAAGGTAATAGGAGCCTCCTCCGTGGCAGCCGTATCATCGGCCATGACGGTGTACTGTATGATGCTTGTGAAGCAGGTGGGGTTGTGATTGGGCTATACGGATGACCAAGGGAAGTCTACTCAGGACGTAGACGAAAAGGATCAAACTTCTGACAAAAGCAGATTTCGGTTCAGAAAACAGAATTACTGAACGCGAGATGAAATGTAAGAGGGAAGTCGAGCCGGTTATGCTGAGGCAATCTGCCTGTTATCAGCGGCGCAGCGTGGAAGGCGGTCGAAACATATATCACGTGCTCTAACACGCTAGTGGGAGCTACCACACTGAGGAATATTTTCACTTCTTCATTCCTCTCTCTTAGTCCAACCCACCCGGCTACGTATCTCTCTTTATCCCTGACAAGTGGGCTCGGGAAGTTTCTCTTTCTTGACTCCACCCAGTAGGGATGGGACTAATGTGATATCCATACGCCCTGACTTGCAATTGCATGCACAAATCTTCTATCTCTTCTGTGCGCCACCGGGAAACCGAGAGCTAGCCGGCCATCATGGCTACCACTTCGCATATGTTTATGTACTCTTTGACGATACAGCCTCCTACTGCAGTTACACAGGCCATTCTAGGCCAGTTCGCTGGAACTAAGGAACAGCAGATCGTCACTGCGTCAGGGTCAAAATTGACCATTCACCGGCCTGACCCTACACTAGGCAAAATCACACCGATCTTCTCTCAAGATGTTTTCGGCATCATCCGCTCGCTCGCATCTTTCCGCGTGTCTGGCAGCAACAAAGGTATGTTGAAACATCTATACAATCCTCTCCTACCCCCTTGCGAGTACAGCATAGTGATTCTTCCAAGCTTCCGGGCCGCACGGTCCTCTCCCGAAACGACCCTCGAAGAAGGATGGAGACCTGCCCTGGACAGCGACGTCGAAGTCCACAGTGTTTCAGTGTCAATGAACTGTGCTGAGTGAATATTACAGATTATATCATCATCGGCTCGGATTCGGGTCGCATCACAATTATTGAGTACATCGCCTCACAGAACCGCTTCAGTCGGATCCATATGGAAACATTTGGAAAATCTGGAGTTCGTCGCGTGGTTCCAGGAGAATATCTCGCAGTTGACCCAAAGGGACGCGCCTGCCTGATCGCCTCTGTGGAAAAGAACAAGCTGGTCTATGTTCTCAACCGCAACTCCCAGGCAGAACTCACCATCTCCTCACCCTTGGAAGCACACAAGCCCCACACCTTGGTGTTCGCGATGGTTGCCCTGGACGTTGGTTATGACAACCCTATCTTCGCTGCCCTTGAGGTCGACTACTCAGAAGCTGATCAGGACCCGACTGGCCAAGCATTCCAAGAACTTGAGAAAGTTCTGGTGTACTATGAACTGGATCTCGGATTGAACCACGTCGTTCGCAGATGGTCTGACCCTGTGGACCGCACATCATCGATGCTTTTCCAGGTGCCTGGCGGAGCTGATGGACCCAGTGGTGTCTTGGTGTGTGCAGAGGATAGCATCACCTATCGACACTCCAACCAAGGTGCATTCCGCGTGCCCATCCCGCGTCGCACTGGGCCCACTGAAAACCCCGAGCGTAAACGCTCGATTGTTTCAGGTGTCATGCACAAGATGAGGGGTGCTTTCTTCTTCCTGCTTCAAACCGAGGATGGTGATTTGTTCAAATTGACCCTGGAAATGGTCGAAGACGAGAACGAACAACCAATTGAAGAAGTGAAGTGTCTGAAAATCAAATATTTTGACACGGTCCCTATCGCGACCAGCCTTCTGATTCTAAAGAGCGGCTTCCTCTATGTTGCTAGCGAATCAGGGAACCACAATTTCTACCAATTCGAGAAGCTCGGCGATGATGACGAGGAGACAGAGTTCTCCAGTGAGTCCTTCTCAGCTGATCCGTCAGTTCCCTCCACCCCCGGTTACTTCCATCCTCGAGGTGCCGAGAACGTCAACCTCATGGAGAGCATGAACTCTTTGAGTCCTCTGATTGGCAGTCAAATCGTCAATCTGAGCGAGGACGATGCACCCCAAATCTACACGATCTGTGGTTCCGGCGCCCGCAGCACATTCAGGACCCTCAAGCACGGCCTTGAGGTCTCAGAGATCGTGGAGTCCGACCTCCAGCAGTTGCCCTCAGCTGTATGGACGACGAAGTTGACTCGCGCGGATGAGTTTGACACATACATTATTCTCTCCTTTGCGAACGGCACACTTGTTCTGAGCATTGGAGAGGTTGTTGAAGAAGTATCGGACACCGGCTTCCTCTCAACTGCCCCTACTCTGGCCGTACAACAACTTGGCGAGGATACCCTGGTTCAAGTTCACCCCCGAGGAATCCGTCACATTCTTGCTGATCGGCGTGTGAACGAGTGGCCTGCTCCTCAACACCGGTCCATTGTCGCAGCAGCGACCAATGAACGTCAGGTTGCCGTGGCGCTTAGTTCCGGTGAAATCGTCTACTTTGAGATGGATGCAGACGGTACATTGGCCGAGTATGATGAACGAAGACAAATGTCTGGTACTGTCACCTCGCTGAGCATGGGCGAGGTCCCAGAGGGCCGCATGCGAAGTTCTTTCCTGGCTGTTGGATGCGATGACTCGACTGTCCGTATTCTTAGCCTCGATCCAGACACAACACTTGAGAACAAGTCGGTTCAAGCCCTGACATCTGCACCATCTGCCTTGCAGATTATGTCAATGGCCGACTCGAGCTCGGGAGGCACGACTCTGTATCTTCATATTGGACTTTACTCTGGTGTCTACCTTCGCACTGTTCTGGACGAGGTGACGGGTGACCTTTCGGACACCAGAACCCGATTCATCGGTGCCAAGCCAGTCAAACTGTCCCAGGTATCAGTCAAGGGACAAACTGCTGTACTCGCCCTCAGTGCTCGTCCCTGGTTGGGCTACTCTGACATCCAGACCAAGAGCTTTATGCTCACGCCTCTCGACTACGTCGGACTCGACTGGGGATGGAATTTCTCCAGTGAGCAGTGCGTGGAGGGCATGATTGGCATCCAAGGCCGCAACTTACGGTACGTGCTTCTTCCTATCTCTACATTTAGCCCAATTTTCCCCCATTCCCTTGATTACATGATGAGAAAACAATTCCGAACTTCTATGTGGATGAAACTCTTTAAAGAAAAATTCCAATTGTTCCTTCTGAAATCAACCCTCTTTCATGTCCTGTTGAAACTTTCCAATCTTCTTTGGCACCCATACTGACTGAAAGTAGTATTTTCTCCGTTGACAAATTGGACAATAACATGCTCCAAGATTCTATTCCCCCTCTCCTACACCCCTCGAGAGTTCGTGAAACATCCCGAGCAACCCTTGTTCTATGTCATCGAAGCCGATAACAATGTCCTCTCCCCTGCCACACGCCAGAGACTTCTTGAAGACTCTCAGGTGCACAATGGTGAGGCCACAACATTGCCACCCGCGGAGTTCGGATATCCCCGCGGCACTGGCCATTGGGCCTCCTGCATCCAGGTAGTAGACCCTGTCACCACCAAATCTGTGGTTTTCACCCTGGAGCTTGAGGAGAATGAAGCGGCAGTCAGCGTTGCCGCGGTCTCATTCGAGAGCCAGGATAACGAAACGTTTTTGGTTGTGGGAACTGGTAAAGACATGACTGTCAGTCCTCCTGGATCCTCTGGCGGTTTCATCCACATCTATCGATTCCAAGACGATGGCAAAGAGCTGGAATTCATTCACAAGACCGAGGTTGATGAGCCTCCTCGCGCCCTGCTGGGTTTCCAAGGTCGTATGCTCGCCGGCATAGGACCTATTCTCCGCATCTATGATCTTGGCATGAAGCAACTGCTACGAAAATGCCAAGCATCCGTGGTTCCCAAGACCATCGTTGGCCTGAAAACGCAAGGAAGTCGAATCGTTGTCAGTGACGTTAACGAGAGTGTCACCTACGTTGTCTACAAGGACGGTCCCAACGTCTTGATTCCCTTCGTGGATGACTCCATCGCACGCTGGACTTCCACTATGACCATGGTTGATTATGAGACCACTGCCGGTGGTGACAAGTTTGGCAATCTGTGGTTGGTGCGTTGCCCCAGCAAGGTCTCCGAGAAGGCCGATGAGGATGGATCTGGGGTGCACCTCATTCATGAAAAGGGCTATCTTCATGGAAGCGCGAGTCGCTTCGAGTTGATGATTCACTTCTACGCTCAGGATATCCCCACCAGCGTGCACAAGACCCAATTGGTGGCTGGCGGTCGTGACATTATTGTGTGGACCGGCCTCCATGGCACCGTTGGAATGTTGGTTCCCTTCCTCAGTCGTGAAGATGTCGACTTCTTCCAGCAGCTGGAGACACAGTTGGCTTCACAGCAACCACCCTTGGCTGGTCGAGACCATCTGATGTACCGCGGCTACTATGCCCCGGTGAAGGGCGTTATTGACGGAGATCTCTGCGAGATGTATCTCCTGCTGCCCAGTGATATGAAAATGATGATTGCCGCGGAACTTGATCGCTCTGTCCGTGAGATTGAGCGCAAGATTTCGGTAAGTTCCCAGACGTTCCTCAACTCTGCCAGTGTCCCTTGACTAACCATTTCCCAGGATATGCGAACACGGGTGGCGTATTGATTTTGGGTTGGTTCCGGCGTGTTTTGCTGGCGTTGCTTACTGCTCTGTAAACGGGCTCCAGATACCTACCTCTTTGTTAATGATGATCAGCATGCGGCATTGAGCCGCCATTGAGTTTTGCGACCGGGGCTCACTGTCTCGGCTTTGCACTGCATAAATCTCCCTCTCCTTCCCCGTAGACTGTTCCTGTCGTCTCTTGCCTCGCTCGGTCTGCCGTCTCCCCTCGGCTAATCTTGAGCTGGATGCAAACAGTCACTTTTCAAGTGCTGCTTGTACGAGACAAGAAGAAGCGTGCAAACGCCTCGACGATCTTTGAGTACGATTTGATTCGCCTTGCAACACGGGTCTGCGTCGTAATTTATCCGTCGGGACAACCATTTATTCTTACACTGTATGAGTTTCATAACAAAATAACAAATAACAAATGAAGTTTTTCAGAACATCGGTCATTCATTTTCTCATTTGATTTAATGTTTACTTGTTTAGTGAAGTGACTTCGTAGAAGTGAAGTGTTTGTATCCAACGTTGAGATGTCCCGTTCGTGCCGAAGTATCACCTGACATGCAACCGATCAACCTTCCGACTCCCGACTCTGACACCGAGATCTATTGCGGATCCTGCTCTAGAGTCTAGTCTCGTTGACTCGGCTATATCCGAAAGAAACAAGGGCAAAAAAAGGGAAAAGCCTGTCCGCTCGGGGTACTCGGGGCCACAGCAGCTCGGCTATGGTCGGAAAATTCTGGAGCCTCCCGAAACTGGGGCCGGGGATGATTCTTCTCCTCGGGAAACTGTTTAGATTATAAGGGTCCCTAGGAGTGCTGTGAAAAGATGCCCATGACCGTCACAACATACAATGGCAGATGGGGAGACTATCACGGGACATTTTACGTCGACTCTCATGCTGATCAACAAGGTTTAAAGGTTCGACAGGACAGTGCAAATGATTGGCCATATTGCGAGCAATTGCAGGGAGCTCGGACGTGGGGAATGTGAACGGACATGTGGAGAACCTCGAAAGGCGTGCAATAAGGCGCGCTCCACTCTCCACGGAGTCACTACTTCGGCATTGATGGGGTTTATTGGAGTTGGAAAAGGAGGTTCTGGTTTAGTGACGCAGATCAAGGGTTTTATTCCCATTTGACGTGACTACAACACGGTTGAGTCCCTCACATTAGATCCTAACATGAGATCTCCGTAGTGTCTTGTCTTGTTTTGCGCACGTTGACGTTATGCGGAATGTCAATCGAAGGGCGTGAGCAAGGATGGACCCGCGCATGGCGCATCCAATCATGTTCGCTATGACGATGACTCCTCTGGCTCGGCTTCTCCATAGAGCATACGGAGAACAGGAGTATACTCAGTATACGCCGGCTATTTGCACTCGAGCCTATATGGACTATCAGTTGGACACGAGGAAGTGCAAGAACGTTCGATGGCGTTATTCTCGTGAGTCACTCTGACTTTGATTTCAAATATAAATCAACCGTTGGAGAAGGCTGGTCGAACAATAATATAAAGCCATCTCACATTGTTGCCAGGGATCCTCCACGCTTGTTTTGCATGCCCCCAGTGCGGTTGTCGACGGCTCCACCCTTCACGTATTTTTCTTTATTTCCCTTTTTATAAGACCTCACCTGATTCCTACGATCTTCTTCCCTTTTTACGATTGTATCCTCCTCTTTCTGAGTTGCCCGGTTGCTATCTTCTTGCTCCGTTTCCCGTGGGACCGGAGGCCTTGCATCCTCGTTGCTGTTCCTGTCACACGAATCGACCGTGAAACAATGCCGGCCACTTCAATCGTCAGCTCAGGTTCGGACAGGCTAGATGCTTGGACCCGCCGATCACAGCCTAAAATCGAGATCAATCTCGCGGGACAAAAGCCAGGTCATGTCAACTCCTATACGACTGGAGAGAGCATTGAAGGCACTATTACTGTCACTGCCGAACATGACACCAGATTCGAAGAACTCGAAATTGTGTTTGAAGGTACCTTCCCATCAACAGTCGGTTTAACCGAATTAGATACTGATTGGAGTCAAGGGTCATCACGAACGACGGTGGAACGCGCTGCATGCCCTGGCCGCACCGGATCGCAGCAGATGTTCCTCAAGTTGCGCCAGCCCATTGACGACATGGAATACCCGACTCCTCGGGTGCTAGAAAGCGGCCGTAAATACATGTTTCCCTTCACATTTGTTGTTCCGGACCGCCTGTTACCCCAGGTCTGCACTCACGCCAAGAAGAATGCTCACGTTGAACAATCTCACACTTTGCTGCCTCCGACATTGGGCGATCCCATTCTTGCAAGCGATGGCAAGAAACTGCTGGACGACATGGCGCCCAACATGTCACGGATTGGCTACATCGTTCGCGCATCCGTTCTGCAAAAGCAGATAACCGGCAATGCCGTTGTATCTATTTGCGCCGTTGCCAAGAAGGTCCGCATCATCCCAATCGTCGAAGAAGAGCCCCTATTGAGATATCCGCGGGTTCGTCCCTCTGCACACGCAAAGAGAAGAGTGTCAAGCGCGGGACCTTGCGAGGCAAGCTGGGTCGAATTGTCGCTTCGTCATTGCAGCCGAAACCAGTTCAATTGCTCCCCCCAAACGGCATAGCGAATGATACTGTGAGCACTGTAGCTACTGTCAACCTTCGCTTCGATCCTATTGGAGATGAGCAGCCGCCCCCGCTTGGGAAAATGACCTGCGAACTGCGCGCCAGCACATTCTTCAGCGCCTCCCCATGGGACGACTTCCCTGCCTCGAGCGACATGCCCTTCGCCCATGTTGGACGCAGCCTCTACACAGAAAATGTGCCTCTCTTGACCATGTGCGTGGGATCTGCTCAGTGGACCAAGCAATCCTCATCCAACGACTGTCTGCGCCGCGGCTCTACCCAGTCATCCTCGTCTGATGTATCAGTCGAGCCGTCCTCTGCATTCTCCGGCGACACCTACTACACCGCATCGATTGTAGTTCCAGTCACCCTTCCCAAGTCGAAGGCGTTCGTCCCAACCTTCCACTCTTGCTTGATGTCCCGCACCTACTCCCTCGGCCTCTCCCTGACATATCACACACCCGCAGCCAACCTCATGACACCAACCATCTCCCTTCGCGTCCCCGTACAGTTCACGAGCCAGGCGGGACCCACAGAGAGTTTGAAGGCTTCCCTTGGCGTCACCGTGACGCAGGAAGAACTAAACGAGTTCTTCCAGCCAAGGAACGTGTCTCGCCCAAACGGGGTTCCTAATCCCGTTACCAACGTGGTTTTCACGGACATCGCACCACCCATGTACTCGGAAAGGCCAAGAGTGCCTATCACGCGCACTGTCCGTGCCAGCCACTAAGTAATACGAGATGTGGCTGATCTTCTCCACTGTGCATCTGTTATATGCCGACCAATACCCCTAATTCTGTCGGCCGACAAGTCAAAGTTCTTTTGCGCGGCGTTTGAGGCTTGCATACTTTAATCTTTGTTCATTTTGTTCGATTATACCCACATGTTCTTCACAAAAGTGCCATTTTCTATGTCTGTTTTCGATAGCTTTCTTTACCATCTTTACCAATCAACAAAAAACCTGATCATGACACTTGAAAGACATAAAAAAAGACCCGAGAAAAGTCTCGCGGAAAGGAATAATAGTAGTAGGTATGCAGGACGCCAAGCGAAACAGCCCGACAGCCCTATTGTGAGTCTTGAGAGGTCAGACTCACTGTCCATCCTCATGACTCCGGATATCATCCCAAACTCCTGAAATCAGAAGGAACTCCATGCAATGGCCCATGGGCCCGCATGGTCACTGTTGCACCGTCTTCACCAGCAAATCCACCGAGATATCCGGCTCATTCTAGTATGATGTTTTGACCCTTGAATATCCGAGCCAAACAAGAAACCAGACACTCTCCATGAAGCCGCCTCACTCCACTTCCAGCGCTTCCATCCCTCAAGATGCCTGTCAAAATCCTTATCTTTCTCTACCGCAATCCCCGTCTGTCACCAGAAGACTTCAAAAAGCACTACGAGGCACACATCAAACTCGTCAAAAGAGTCACCGGCGAACATTTCCCCCTTTCTCACCATCGAAACTATATCGCGCGCTCCCGGGTTGAAATCCCTCCGGATGGCTCCACCGTGCGCAATGCCTTCACCCCGGCCACGATCCTCCGCGGGCGACAGTCGGATTTCGACTTTGATGCCTACGCCGAACTTACCTTCGCGGATCAAGCTGCCTACCAGGCCTTTGCGGCGAGGATTTATGCGCCGGATGCTGCGGCGCAGATTACGGCTCACGAGGACAAGTTTTTGAGTCGGGTGGAGTGTGGGATTGCTGTTGTGGAGGAGGTGAGGATCACGGTCAAATCAGTCAAATGAGGCTTGGTGTGATCGTGAGGTATACTGAATGTAGCATAAGGATTTAAGTCCTATATCGATGATACTATGACATCCGAGTCTAACTTCATAAGCTTACTATTCATGAATTGAGCTAAGATATATACCCAGTCAGCCCGCCCTATTGGTGGAATGTATGAAGGCCACGTGATAAATGTGCCCGGGCTGTTAGATTCGGTGCTTTCGGTGCTTTGGCTGCGGACTTTTCAACCTCTACAGGATAATCCTCCAGACTGTGGCACACTCCACTCACATGGTTTGACCGTTTGAGAGTCACACTGTGTACCATTAGTATTCTGTTCACCGCGGACCCGTACCTGCAGCCCTTTATCAGGGGGCCAGGGGTCAGACACTAACCTCGATCAAATCATGATCAAACGCCTTGCCTCAGCCTGATTGCATCAATGATCTTCTTGTCTAGGCCTAGATCCTAGATCAGGTAGAGAGTTCGGCTGAAACATCCCAAAACAGAACCCTGGTCGCGAACAATCCAATATGTTCCGGGCTGGATATCCTCCACTGAGATGGCAATGATGATGATTATCCACAGCCATGCTAGGTAGCAGATGGCAATGTTACCCCTCCTCAGGCCTTTCCTGGCCTGTTCGGGGAATCTTTAAGCCCGTGATGAGAGCCTAAACGACCTCAAAATGTTACCCTCTAGGAATACATGGGGCCGAATGGTTTGCCGCCGTTGGCGATTACAAGTCAGCATTCTCACAAAGTTGACACTGAGAAAGGCACATTGTCATTGTCGCATTGAGGTATTGCCCATTGACCTCAAATTCTACGCTTCTATTGACTTGTTCAGTCCTGCGTTTGCCTCATCTGACAATCCAAAGCATAATGATACTTCTGACAGCAATGGCCGAAACAAAGGAGCATTCGGGTCAGGCAACGAGAGCCAAACACATTCAATAGAGAAGAAAAGTATTGTCCGCCAATCCTCCGAGGTTTGTTTGCCTGTTGAGCTCGACTACAAATAGTGAGGTCATTCCTCATCTTCCATCTCGACAACCTTCACATCACTCAACCTCGCAGGCACGAGAACCACTTCGACACTCCTTCGTGATGCAGCTTGCCATTCCTTTCCTTCTAGGCCTGAGCTGGCTCGCCAAGGCCGCCTACATCCCTGTCCTGAGCTCCAACTCTACCGAGATTGTATCTCGCGATGTTGGCGGGTATCGCTCTGTGGCATATTTCGTGAACTGGGTGAGTCAGAGAGATCTATGCATTTGAACTGAGGCGACTGTATCCTATCATAAGTATAAAAAGCGTCAAGAACAAACTAATGGAATCAACATTATCCAGGCTATCTACGGTCGCAACTACCAACCCCAGAACCTTCCCGCCGAACGTCTGACACATGTGCTTTACGCATTCGCCAATATCCGCACCAACGGCGAGGTCTACCTATCTGATACCTGGTCGGACACCGACAAGCACTACGACGGTGATTCCTGGAATGACGTTGGAACCAACGTCTACGGCTGTATCAAGCAGCTGTTCCTGCTGAAGAAGCGAAACGCCAAACTCAAGGTTCTTCTGTCAATTGGAGGCTGGACCTACTCGTCCAGCTTTGCCCCTGCGTTTGATAACGATGCCGGACGGCAGAAATTTGCCGACTCTTCCGTGGAGCTGCTGAAGAACCTGGGTTTCGATGGTATTGATGTTGATTATGAGGTGGGTGATGCAGCTTTTGCTTGCAAGGATTGCGAGTCTAACAAGGTTATAGTACCCAAGCAATGATGATCAGGCGGACAAGTTCGTTGACGCGCTTCGACGCCTGCGTGGTGTATGTTCGCTCAGTCGTTTTTAAAGAGCTGTGACTAAATATTTCCAGGCTTTGGATTCCTACAGTGCCGGCAACGCAGGTGGTTACCATTTCCTGCTTACTGCCGCATCCCCCGCTGGTAAGATTCAGTTTCTCGTATTTTCCAACACATCTAACGCAGCACAGGTCCCTCCCACTACCGCCAGGAGCGTCTGAACCAGATGGACCAGTACCTGGACTTCTGGAACCTCATGGCCTACGATTACTCCGGCAGTTGGGACACAGTCGCCGGCCACAATGCCAATCTCCACGGATCCAAGGATAACCCATCCAGCACCCCATTCAACACGGACCAAGCTATTGACTACTACACCTCACAGGGAGTTGCTCCACACAAGATCGTGCTTGGTATGCCGCTGTACGGCCGGGCATTCACCAGCACCGACGGCCCCGGAAAACCCTACAACGGGGTTGGAGCGGGCAGCTGGGAGAATGGAGTGTGGGACTACAAGGGTCTGCCGCTCCCCGGCTGCCAAGTCACCGTTCTGGACCAGCCCGGTGCTAGCTACTGCTACGATCCTGCCAATCGACTCTTCGTTAGCTACGACACTCCTGAGATTGCCCGTCAGAAGGGTCGGTATATCCGCGACCGGGGACTCGGTGGTGGTATGTGGTGGGAGAGTAGTAGTGATAAGGCTGGTGGTGACAGTTTGATTACAGCGGTATGTTACCTTCTGGTTAGATGGATTATGACACTACTGACAGATACAGGTTGTTGATACACTCGGCGGCGTCGGGGCTTTGGAGCAGAGCGGGAATCAGCTTCACTACCCTGCCTCCAAGTATGAGAACTTGAAGAGCGGTTTTCCTTAATGAGATCCCGTGATCTTTTGCTGTCGATACTCCATTCGATGGACATTTGCTGGCGTACGTTGGACATCTGGTTATCTATGATTGTTGTACGATCAGTCTTGATGATTGATGAGATGTACGCCACTTGCTTACATTTAGCATAAATATGACTGAATAAACGTTGCTATTGTTTCTATGGATTTATCTAGTAAAATAGAGGCAGAAATACGCATTAAAGGGGAAAATCGCCATATATCCACATTCCCAAAGTCCGCTATAAGATCTCACACGAATATGCACATCCAATCAATCATTCAATCCCGGCTTGTTCTCTTGAATTTCCCCAGTGCGAGTCGCATCGCTGATAGACCCATCAGAAGGCGAGGCATCACCTCTCGCTCCGTCCACCTTCTGTCCTCTCAACCCGCGATAGACATCACGCATCTGTTGAATCCCACCATCAAAGATGGGATAGAAAATCGCAACCAGCATGCTGAGCCAGAGCCAGATGATAGCGACAACCACCCAAGCAATAAAGAACTTCTTCCCAAACACATACCCAGACCCATACATAGGCAAAGGCCAAATAACCCAATGACCCAAGAACGTCGCAACAGACCAAATAGCCGCAATCCTCGCCCACCTCTTCAACTCCTTCTGATCGAAGCCCGCCCGACCAGCATCCTCCTCCTCACCCCCGTCCACACGACCATTCTTATTCAAATGCGCAGTGGTAAGATTACTATCCAGCTTCTCAAGCGAAAGCTTCACCTTTTTGAAATCATTCCAATCGTAGTTCTGCGGCTTGACCAGCGTGATTACCACCGAGTAGATGATCGGCGACATGCAGGATGCAACGGTTCCGTAGAGACAGGGAAGGACTTGACCGGTTGAAGCGACGGTTACTTCGCCGCTGAAGTGGGATGCTGTACCGAGCCAGACGGATAGACCGGTTGCGAGGCCGAGGATGGGTGAGAGGATGGCTGCTGCTTTGCTTTGGCGGCGCCAGAGGATTGTGAAGATCATTGGGAAGATTCCTGGGCATGTGACGACGCCTTTTCATTTATTAGCTCTGTTGATAGAATTGGGGAAAAGGGAGGGAATGGGCATGGGGATGGGGGGAAAAGACATACCGAGCATATACAGCGTCCAGCCAAGATTAATACCAACATAGTGTAGCATGGTACTGAACCCGGCGGAGAAAGCAGCAAAGAAAATAACACCAAAGTGACTAGCACGGATAAGATCCCGATCCGTCGCCTTCTTCTTAAAGTACTCGCGGTAGACATCGAAGCTGAGAATCGAGCTGACGGCAATCACCTGTGCGGAGAGGGTGGATGTGCATGCCATGAAGGTGATTAGGAGGACAGCTGCTGCACCGCCTTTTCCGGCGATTGTTTGTGCTGCGTAGGGGAGGACCAGGCCGTTGCTTACTTCTGTGGAGGTCATTCTCTGTGTATTGTTAGTATTGATTGGTATATATCTAGTATAAAGGGGGAAAGGGGTTAAGGGGAATGGACTCACTCTTGGGAAGGTAGGGAAGTTGGGCTGGTTCTCCAGACCTAGGGCTACGGAGCTCATGACTGTGCCCAGGGCCCAGGGGATGGCAAAGTAGGCGATGCCGCCGATTGTGTAGCCTGGGACTACTGCTGCTGGGGAGGCAGAGAAGGCTTTGATGAAGTAGCTTGTGTCCATCTAGTATTTGTTAGAAGGGAGTTTTTCTTTTCTTCCGGGGGTGTTGTACGTACGATGACTAGGCCGAAGTTGCCGAGGGTGTGGAGGATTCCGAAGAGGATTGCCTGTAGCGTTTGTCAGTGAGTAGGTTTAGATGCGAGTTCTAAGGCTAGGTCTTACACTCTTGGAGGTCATTGTCAGATATGTGCCACTTTGGTTACCAGAGACTGGGTGTCGTGTCGCTGCAGCTTGTAGAAGCTCGAATAGTTCACCGACAGAGCCGATCTGGGGGGTTGAGAAGGCTTTGACGGAGAAATAGCATGCGATGATCATAATGATAGCCGTGTGGAAATAATCGGTGAGGAAGCTATTGGATGGTATAGTTAGTGGATGTTGTTTCTTTTTAGGGCTAGACACAAGAACATACGTTGCTTTGATACCACCAACAAATGTATAGACAGTCACTCCGACGGGCAACAGAAATGTAGCAGCAATAATGTGCATTCCAGTACTAAATTGATTAGCCCGAGAAACATCGACGGAGAAGGGGTCTTACACAGCAGTGATCACAGCAGCGGCGCCGAGCAACATGTTAGCGCAGGCGAAGATGTTATTAACCAGACAAAGGATCATGAATACGATATGTGCCACATGGCCTATAACCCCCATGAAAAGTCAGTTTATATCCGATAATTGAGTCGAAACCTGCTTACCGTATCGAATGCGAACAACCTCCAGCGAGGTATGCGCTTCAGGGATCTTCCGCTTGCAGGATATTCCCAAGAGGGCGAAAAACACAATCATCGGACTGCAGCCAGCTGCAAACCAGAAAGGACCGGCGATACCATAGTCATAGCCGACGAAAGAGGAGCCGAGTAAAGCGGTTGACCAAAGCCATGACTGGATTTTTTTAGTTATGACAATCGGTAACTAGAGGGTGTAGAGAGACGAACCGATATCACAGCGGAGGCAGTCAGACCTGTGCGGATAGTGCGGTTTGCAGTCATGAACCTGGTTGGGGATTAATATGGACTGGACGTATGTGGAGAGTCATTGGAGACGGGGAAAGTACATTTCGGTCTTCTTGTTATCTTCCCCTGCAGTTTTCTTCAGGACTTTTGTGACGAGCATCATTCCTGTTTCTTATTAGTGCTGGTTTCAACGCAGAATTGCAATATTGACTAACCCAGAGCTATAATCGCACCGATGAGAACGACAACGATATACCCAACTGTCTGGGACAGTGGAGGCTGGACAGTCGAAGGGCCATCACGGGCAAGCAAATTCGACATTGTAAGAGCCACGGCTCGAGGGGGTAAGGAATGTTCACGTATGAGGGAATGGGTATATACGTTGAAGACGAAAAAAAAGCACCAATGGAACGATAAGAATATGAATAAAGGTGTTCGGTCTCTATGATCTACGAAGGACGAGCTTGGGACTTAAGAGGTAAGCTTGAAGAAAAGTAACGATTGGGTCCACTATGACTTGATTCCTGCTGGCGATGAGGTGCTTTCTTCATGAGATTGGTCTAGTTATAGGTGTTTTTAGGTTCTCACGATGGCTTTACTTAGTCCGTATCTGGTTATTAGACTGGCTAGCTTCGGTATATGATGATTGATGTAGATCTGGTGATTAATTAGGGTTAGAAGCACATTCTGCACTGCGTAGATGGAGATGCTGTGCAGACACACTTCAGACTACTCAGTCATAGATCATTACGAACGACTGTCAATCCCGATCTAATTCTTCCAAAATTCAGATTCACAAGCTGATAGGAAGAGTAGAGAGAAGGTAGCCGAGGAGATCGGAGGAACGGGGAATGAGATTCATATTTGTGTTCATATTTTTGGTTTTTGCATACAATAAAATGCAAATTAACGAAATAAATAAAGAAAGAAACCGTATAGTTCAGCTGTCAACCAATCAGAAGTGAGTGTTGAAGGTATTTCGTGCTGAGGCTTATCCTCACGCCATCGAGATCCACTGTGATGCTATAACTTCATCTTGGCCAGTTTGGGCATTTCCTAATCGTCATACCATAATTATTCGGCCTTTCCTCGGTTAGTTAAATATAACTAATTGACTGTCCCTCTTCTTCCTCTCTACCGTGTAGAAAATAAGAGTCTTGTACAATATCTCAGCAACTCACAACATGTCTACAACTCAACCATCAGACGCGACTAAGCCTCGCAAGTCACTCATCCTAAATGCCTTTGTGGAGATGAGTATGTTGCAGCACAGCCCTACCTGGAATTCTCATAGCTAACAATTCTACAGCCAGCGGCCACCAGTCGCCTGGACTCTGGCGTCACCCCGAGGACGAGTCGCACCGCTTCAACGATATCGACCACTGGACGGAGCTGGCTCAGATGCTCGAGGCTGCCAAGTTCCACGGCATCTTCATTGCAGATGTTCTGGGTGAGTGGAAAGCTAAAGGGCCCAATGTCTGAATGTGAAGTCCTGACAAGAGGGTTGGTCTACAGGAGGCTACGATGTCTACAAGGGACCCCGAAACCTCGAACCTGCTATCGTCTCCGGTGCCCAGTGGCCTGTGAACGAGCCTTTGGCTGTCGTTCCCGCCATGGCTGCTGTCACCAAGAACATTGGCTTCGGAGTGACTATCACCACCACATACGAGCAGCCCTATCACCTTGCCAGACGGTTGTCAACAGTTGATCACCTTACCAAAGGACGGTAAGTCATTGGATCAAGCTGCATCCTAAATCAACACTAATTGAAATCATTTACAGTCTCGGATGGAACGTGAGTAAGCAAAAGAAGAACAAAAGAGAACCAAACTAATTCAACCAGGTCGTCACAGGATATCTCGACTCTGCTGCTCGCAACTTAGGCCAAGCCGAACAACCACACGTAAGATTCCCTCCCCAATGGCTCATACTCCAACTAACCAATATCGCAGCACGATGACCGCTACCTCCTAGCAGAAGAATACATCAAAGTAACCTACAAGCTCTGGGAATCATCCTGGCGCCAAGACGCCGTCCAACTCGACCGAGAACGCGGCATCTACACCGATCCCACCGGCGTTCGTCAAATCAACCACGTCGGCAAATACTACAACGTCCCCGGCCCACATCTCTGCCAACCAAGCCCGCAGCGCACCCCGGTCATCCTACAAGCCGGCACATCCAAAGCCGGCAAGACCTTCGCCGCCCAGCACGCGGAAGCCATTTTCGTGGCCGGCCACAGTCCCGCCGTCGTCGCCAAGAATGTAAAGGAGATCCGCGAGTTGGCGGCTAGCGAGTTTGGACGCGATCCGCAGAGTATCAAGTTCCTGGCGCTGTTGTGTCCGATTCTGGGTAAGACGGAGGAGGAGGCAAAGGAGAAGTTCGAGTATTATCGCAGTCTGGGGTCTATTGATGGTGCTTTGGCGCTGTTTGGTGGGTGGACCGGGATTGATTTGGATACTTATGGGGAGGATGAGGAGTTGAGGCATGTTCAGAGTAATGCTATTCGGTATGTTTTACTCCTCGTGGTCACTGGGTATGGTGAAGACTGACGGTCTATAGCTCTGCTGTTGAGGGCTGGTCAAAGGCTACACCGGAGGTTGCGAAGTGGACAAAGAAGACTGTTGGCCAGCACATTACTGTCGGAGGTCTCGGTGCCACGCCAGTTGGTACACCCGAGCAGGTTGCTGATTACATGGAGCGGTGGGTTGCTGAGGCTGATGTTGATGGGTTCAATCTGGTGAGTTATACTATTCCCTGAATCCCACGAGACTTGCTCTTCTCTAGAGACCCCCGAACCGAACCCCCATCATGCATGGCTAACACAATTCCCAGGCATACGCCGTCAAGCCCGGCTCCTTCAAGGATATCATCGATCTGCTCATTCCCGAGCTGCGCAAGCGTGGTCTCTTCTGGGATGACTATGCCGTTCCCAAGGGGACATACCGTGAGAATCTTTACTCGCTGCCCGGCCAATCTGGTCCCCATGCGGACCACCCTGCTTCGAAGTATAGATGGAACGCTGGTGTCGATGCTAAGGACGCGCATTTCCCCGAGAACTGAGTCTTGTATTATAGATGGATAAAGAATGGCGAGCTATAGACTTACTCGTCGCTACAATAAAGAAAGGTTGGAATTGGATACGAGTCCAGAATTGCAAAAATATTATCATCAATTTTTAGCATAGACTATCCGTAGATCGCTGCCTGTAGGTACAGAAGGCCCAGGACTGCCTTTGAATTCTAAGGACGCCACTCAAATGCAAATTTTGTACACACAAACTAAGTCAACATATCATCCAGACGCTCACCAAGTACCTTCTCAATCTGCTTGACCCACTTCCTCACCTCCCTCTCAACACTCTCATCCTCATCCTCCATAAGCTCAGAGATATAAGGCAACATCTCCGGCAAAAGCGCCAGCCACTCCTCGCCCAGCTGCGCGGTAAGAGCCTGTTCAGTCTTGAGCGCTGCGAGACGGGTGTGCGGACTATCGCCGCCCGCAGAACGGGCATTGGGCGCCGAGGAAGGACGGAGGTATTTCATAAGGGCGGTATTCAGCTCCTTGTGGTTATCGGTTGAGTCGGCAGCAATGGCCAGCTCGGTGATTGTGGGGACGACGTCGGCGACGACCATGTTGGAGGTTGTGGCGGTTGTGGCGTGGCCGAGTTGGGCGATTAGGGGCCCGGAGATACTGGCGAGATGGGAGGGGCTTTGCCAGAATTCTGGAGGTTGTTAGCATTTTACTCGGGGCGGGGGAAGTATGGGGGCATGTGGGAACGTACCATCTTGATCGTGCTCGAAGGACTTGCGCAGCATGCGGAGGGCTGCTAGCCAGAGGGACTTTTGGGCCTTGGAGGGACCGCATGTGTTTAGGACACTGATAACGTTCTCCAAGATGTAACTAGAGTACCCAGTGACAATGGACTGGAGAGTGCCGAAGAAGACTTCGAGGAACTTGTAGAAAGTCGTGAGACGCGAGATTCGAGCCGCCGCGTCTGTCTTCGGGACACCAGTGGTGGCCCACTCGACGAACTGGAGGAAGATGGGGCGGAAGGTGCTGTCGTTGAGCTTGTAGATCATCTTGATTGTGACATCGTTGAGCGCGGCCTCGGCCTCGTCAAGAGCAGACGATTCGAAGATAGCCTTGTCGCCAAGAGCGATCTGCTCACGGCGCAGATCGAACGCCTTGAACAGGATCTTCGTGAGAACACCAATGTTCTTGGCAATGGTTGACTTGGGGTGCTTGTCGACCGCGACGGTGACCACTTCCAAAAGCTCGTTGACAGCAATGGGACCAGCCTGAACGGCGTTTTGCCAGTTGCGATCGACAGCACCAAGGGTGGCAGCCACGTCTACCTTGCGAGCCATCAGGCGCAGGGAGTCTTGACGGCTTTCATCACTGGCCTCCTCGATATCCGCGTTAGCAGACTTGAAGGACAACACCAAAATCTTGTCCAAGTGACCAGCTGAGATCATGAATGGCAGGTGGACGAAGAGAGCAGAGAAGAGTGTGAAGATAGCGTCGTGCAGTCGCGAGTTCTCCTTGCCAGCAGTCAGACTCAAGTCGAGCAGTTCCAATGAACGCTTGAGTGTGTCTGGGAGGGCAGGAATCATGGCCTGACCCAGCACCTCGGCCATAGAGGCCAAGCACAAGATACCCATGTAACGGATGCGGTCATCGGATTGGCCAAGGCAAGATTCACTGGCAACCACTCGGGCAGCAGCGATAACCTTGGATGGGTCCTTACGGCCGTACTTGTCGGTGATACGATCGATGCACGAAACAGCAGCATGCTTGAGCAGCATATCCGGAGAGGACTCGACAATGCTAACCAGAATAGGCAGGAAGTCCAGAACGCGAATCTGAGACAGATTATCGCGCTCTGCGGTCTGGCGCAGACGAGTCTCAAGCAGACGGAGAACCTTGCGGCGGAGCTCGTCATTGGGGCCCTGGAGGAGAACCTCGATGGTGTCCAGGAAGTCGACGAGAGACAAAGTACTAAACAGAGCACTGAGAACCTCGCCACAAGCGTGGTTGACGGGCTTCATACTCTGTACGGCCTCGCCAATGCTGAGAACCTGCTCCAGGACGCGGGAGAAGCAAGCGCGGGACTGATCCGCAACGGGGCCATCAGATTCAAAGGCTGTCTCAAGCTTAGACTTGAGAGAAGAGTGCTTGAACAGGTGAGCGAGGTCACGCAGGAGGTCGACGCAAATGCTCTGCGGATCGCGACCATCGTCGCTGTTGATTCCAAGAAGAACCTGGGAGATACTGGGCTTGGGCTTCAAAGAGTCGCTGACCAAGTTGAGGTACTTGCTGTAAGTGGTAAGCTCCACGACAGGAGTGGTATCCGAAACCAGACCAGTCATCAAAGTGAGGACATCCTTGTCGGTAGAGTACCGGTTAGCAAGCATGGCCAGGACAGCGAACAAGAAGTCTTGTGTGCCAAGCTTGCTGATCAACGCATGGAAGAGTCTCAGGCGGCGGTGCGAGGGGATATGCTCGAAGGCTGCAGTGAAACTGAGCAGCAATTCGGATGTTCCAGAAACAACATCTCGTTTCTGGTTACGCAGAGATTGGATGAGGGCCGGAACAACTTGATCGATGGTTTGGTCAATAACCGACACAGAGTAGTCATCATCCTTGCGGAGAACAGTACTGCCCATGAACGTGAAGATAGGCATGACACTGTGGAGGACCAATTCAGGCGCAATGACAGACAAGCTTCCCACCAAAAGAAGAGCTCCGTTCTGAACCTGGGGGCTGTCTGTAGTCCGCACGCAGTCCACAACAAGGTCAGCCCTGATGACGGATGTGTCGAACTGTGGCTTAGCAGAGCCCTTGGACTTGTTCACAATGGCCAGAAGACTTCCCAAGGTCAGCGTGAGAAGGTAGCTCATACCAGATTGGATCTGGGACTTGAAGTGGTGAAGAGCGGCGAGAGTCTGGAACAATCCAGCGACCAGCTCAGGGTGGGTTTCTGGGGAAGAGCTGTCCACGATCTCCAAGATGAAAGTCATCTTGTCCATCAACTTGCTGAGTTCCGCCTCGTCCTTGACAGTCATAGCAACCATGTTGTTCTGGCTCGTGCGTCTGCGCTTGGGTGCAGGACCGACGGACTCAACATCGGTGATAGACACAGGAATCTTCTCAACAAACTGCTTAAGAACAGCACCAGAAAGCTCGACGGTACGGAGCACATCTCGGCAGTTGTTTGGCAAAGAAGCATTTGCGGAATCTCCAAGAGAGATGTCGAGCAACTTCTCGGATGCGGCCAGCTGACGGTCTTCATGGATCTTCGGCCAAATCTGCTTGATTTGGCCAAAGCAAGCGGCAACAAAGGCCGGGCGCAAGGCATCGCCAGAGCTAACATTAGAAAGAAGAACATCGATGGCGTCCTTGTCCTTGGAAGTGACAATAGCAGCGATCAGATGCTCAGTCTCAGACGCCGCAATACGCTCCTTGCTGCAAATCTCTTCAACTTCCTTCTCGCTCAAGCGGCGCCAATCTTCGAGTAGCGGGAGAAGCTCGCTGGTCAGCGTGGCAGTAGAAACTTTTTCAACGCTGTTGATCAGCTTCAGCAAGCCAATTTTGGGTGCAAAGACCGGCACCTTGACAATATGAGAGCAGAGGAAAGTAAATAGACTGAGACGGAGGGACTTCTTCAGTTCAGATGCACCCGAAGCCTCGGACAGAACATAGCCCCGTAGGGTAGCCTCCACCGTCCTGCCAATGTGGTTAGGGTCAAGAATAGACTCCTCCAAACCAGGAAGCAATGCACGCTCCAAGACCTTTTGCGCATCCTTGGCTGGCAGCCATGCAAGATCCGCAGAATGCTGTCCCTTGCCATATATCGTGTCGTGGGCCCAGGGCTTTGCGCTATCACTAGCCTTGGAGTTCTTCTTGTACAGAGAGTCGACAACAGCTAGAACACCAGCAGTCTCGCGGCGGATGCGTTCGGAAGGATCCGAGAGAGAAACAAGCAGGAACGGCAGCAGTGTCTGAGGATCAAAGTCCGCGGGCGCAGATGACAGGACAGATGATACGACGTTCAAGGCAGCAATCTTTGTTCCGATGGGGTAGTGGCCAGCAACGACTCTGATGAAGAAAGATAAGTACTGAGGAGACTTGATAGCCTGTGATTTGCCAAGGATCGGCAGATTGGTGAATAGCTCAAGCCTCTCCTCGGAGTCCACAGCCAAAGCGAAGACGCGTACCAGGTTGTCGAATTCGACAATAGATTGCTGGGAGAGGAATGATGAGGGGTACAAGGTCTCACTGGTCAAGGACTCTAGAGCTGGAGTGAAGGAGTCGACTTCGGGCTGCTCATCTGCATCGACCATATCGACATCTTCGGTAGCTGGTGCTACAAGAGGTGCCTCCACAACAGTCTGGAGATTGTGTTCCAGGGCTGAAATGTTGAATGAAGCTCCTGTCAGAGTCTTCCGGAAAATAGGCTGGAGAGTTTCCGAACGGTTAAATCCTTGCACCAACTCAGCGAGCTGGGTCTGGGCGTCCAACGACATCCCACGGGTTTCATCGGTGTTGGAAGCGGCTTCCAGAACTAAGCTCATAGCCTTGCCAATTTCGCCCTCACCAAGCAGCTTGCGTTCAAAGATAGAGGCCAAGATTGCAAGGCGAGAGTTGTCCTGCTGGTCAAGATCCGTCAAGCAGCCGGCAATGATCCCCAGCAGCAGATTCGATGTCTGATATTCGGCAGCAATTTCGGAAAGTTGGCTGATAGGGTTTTTGAGACGCAAGATACCCTTGAAGACCTTTCTCGGGATTGTCACCGTAGGCTTGTGTTGAGAAAGGACCGATAGACAAATTAGACCAGATGTTTTGGTATCTTCAGTCCAAGACCCCACAACACTCTCCATGACGCCATTAATCACATCGTCCGAGAGGAAGGCTTTTTGTGCCAGTACAACACAGATCATGTAGCTTCCCACAATCAATTCCGAGGCCTTTTTCATTGTAAAAGCAGCACTGAGCACCGGCAATACCCGTAAAAGGATATCTTCATGCTTTCGCTTTTCGGTCTCCCTTCTGCCTGATCGAGCGCCATCCAACATTGTTGCAACGGCCTCTGTAACAACTCCAGCCCAGAAGGCGAGCAGTGCGTGACTCTGTGCTTCCTGTCGACACACTTGAAGGACGTATTGGTTCAGTTCAGCGAAAAAGGCCTTATTCGTTGCGGCGCTGTGAACAAGCGGATGCCTCGGCGGGTTGATGAGCCCATTCTGGTATGGCTTGAGTACCTTGAAAGTCGTCGGAAGACCTTCCGGAAGAATTGATAGGAGGTTCAAGAATAACGGTGTTGTATGGTAGGGAAGGAACGTCAATAACACGGCAGTGGTGTTGAACTCATGGATCCTGTCTCGCAAGTTAGCTAAACACGTCTCAACATACTTCACACCACCTCATCCCGTTTCATTTCCTCACCTAAACCGCCTCACAAGCCAATCCACCGCCTTGACCGCAGGACTTAACTGCAACCTGCCGCCAACCAAAGCCAAGAAAGCTTCAATCGCACTGTCCAGCTCCTTGTTTTGCTGTAAATTCATCTGGCCGCGGTCTTCCGCCTTGCTCTGCTCGCTGAAGATCGTACGATCAAACTCCGCAAACCGGGGGTCCAACGAGCACAACTCCTGGAACCCATCATAACAGATATCATAGATTGCATCGAAGTCTTGACTCCCAGCGACTTTCGCATCAAAAATCAAAGATTGTGAGTGTGACACCCTTTGCGCTTTGAGATCAAGCTCGTGTGTCGACTTGGCCGCGATTTGCGACAGCTGCGCGGCAAGAGACGAGGCCATCTTGAGGTCTCTTTCGGCGGGCTGTTGGTGTTTTTCGATTTGGTTCTCACAAAGTTCGGCAGTGACCCATATCCGTAAGCTCCTTTAAAAACAACCTCTGCGTTTTTCTGCGAACCAAGACACTGGGTTCTGGCAGCCTGAGGTAGGTCTAGGCTTTCATTTAGTATGCCGCTCCGAACAGACGGTTGACATTTTTTTTCTGCTCGGCGCCTTCACCGCCCTCGGAAAAATCATTTCGCCGACTTATCTGATCGCGATCGACTTCCCGATAAGCAAGCCCGAGTCACCACGATGGACTCACCTGGGTCACAGGTTAGTTAGCCCTCATGTTGAATTGATAGATAGACCATTCTAACGAGCTGTAAAGGGTGTTCCACGATTCTCCAGTTTCCGACCCCCTCCGACCTCTGCCCCAACTTCCGATGCCGGCCATGAATCCGGACGACATAGTCGTCGGCGTTCTCGCCATCGCTCGCCCGAACAACATTGGCGTCGGCGCTCTCGCCATCGCTCGCCCGGACAACTTAGGCATCAGCGTCCTCGCCATCGCTCGCGAGTAGAGCGAAATACCCCTTTGCATGATCATCGTGAGAGAGAAAACAGTCGAGGCGGTGGCTCAGGTGAGAGTATCGCTGAAGAAGGCGAAGAAACTGAGCCCTTAGTGGGTGGAGAGGCCGATGAAAGCAAACACGCGGAGGGTGAAGCAAACGCCGAGGACCTTGGGTTCGTCGTCGATGTCCAAGGTGATCGTGACATTACGCGTTACGGTGCCAATCAATACGAGTCTCCAGCGTATCGTCGCAGCGGTACTGGCTTTGTTGTTGGGCTCCCCGGCGAGCGTGTCGACTATGAAACTCGACATGAAAATACCCTTATTACTCTTCCTGCCAACAGGGTTACGGCATCCCAGCCAAAGCTTTTGTCTGCTTTGGATCAACGTGCTTTGCATACGACTGTTCCCATTCCTGTTGCCAATCGACGGCCTCTCGTCAACCCGGCCAACCCAGCTGCCGACATTGATGATTCTGCCGATTTCATTTCCACGGACTCCCCTCCTGGGCCCCGAGTTGCATCGAGTGCTGCTAGACTTAACGCTGAATCCTCGCGTTTCGGTGTCCCCCCTTCCTCCAATGAGGAAGAAGACGAAGCAATTTACGAGGAATCCGTTGAACATCAAGTCGATCCGAGCACTCGTGAAAACGAGATCCTAAATCGCAATGCTGAGTTGATTCGCGCAGTGAAGCATGATCCTCTGAACGCCAGAGGATGGATCCGTCTTGCCGAACATCAAGAACTCGTCATCCTCGGAGTGAGACCCGACGATCGTCCTCTTAATGAGAACAAAAGGCAAGCCGTGGTCAGTGCTATTCTCTCGATTTATGACAACGCGCTGGACGCCAACCCCCAACACCCTGAACGCGACCGCCTCGTGTTGGGGCGGATGGAACAAGGGGCCAAAGTCTGGGATCCTGAAGAGCTCTCAAACCAATGGGAAAAAGTTCTTCGCTCTGACTCCAAGTCAGTGAGTGTCTGGGTGGAGTACCTTGATTACTGTCAAACGAACTATCAGAAGTTCGATTTCGACACTTGTTACAAGGCGTATCTTCACTGCATGAATACGCATTCACGTGTCGGCAGCGGTAGAGACAGGTACCTAATCACTTCGTACCTATTTTTGCGTCTTACTTTGTTCCTTCGTGAAGCAGGGTACCTCGAGCTGGCCATGGGCTATTGGCAAGCAATCCTGGAATTCGTGGTGTTTCGACCCCCGGGTCTTGCTGATAACCATGAAGAAGCCTTGAGAACGTTCAAGATGTTCTGGTCGCCTGCATATGTGAAGATTGGGGAGCATGGCTGGCGGCCCTGGAACGCCGGCTATGACCCTTATGCCCCCAAAGTCCAAGTCGCCAACCCCGATTACGAGTCGAGGGCGTATTCCCCTGAGTCGTTTGAAAGCTGGACAAATGCGGAAAGGGAACGCATGATGCGAAACCGCATGCCGTCACACGAATTTGAACCTTTAGCTCAAGAGGGCGGGGTGTTTGAAGTGCCCCTTCTTGCTGATTGCACGCACATTCTTCAATGCTTCCGCGACTTTGCTGGAACATTTGGCGTCGCTTTGCTGATTGATGCTTTCCTGCAGTTCTGTCACTTGCCTCACTTTACGTGTCCTGCGAATCTACATACCAGTAGACTGTGGATCGGCGAGAACTTCCTTCGAAACCAATATATGGATGACTGGCAAAACAAAATCACTGAATGGATGGAATTTCACGATCATGCCTCAACAACCACCGTTAAACCGTTTGCGTTCAGCCATCACACATTCATTCCCACCGCAGACAGTCTATTTTCAAATCCAGAGCTGTGGTTCTCATGTCTAGCCAAGTGGGCTGCGAGTGCTTCCCGGCCGTCCTGTATCATCAAGTCCGATTTCGTCGTTGAGACACTTTTTTCTCTCGCTCAGATTTTCGAGGAGAGCAGCTTTGGTGAATACGCCATCGCAGTGTCTTTCGCATGTGACAGGGACCGAGCAAGGAAGCACGCAAAGGCATTGCTAAAGCAACGACCAAACAATTTGAGATTGTGGAATTCTGTTGCGCTCATGGATTGGCGCACTGGCAATAAGCCATTGGCTGAGGCAGTGTGGTCAAAGGCTTTAATGTCGAGCCGGGAATTTCCCGACCACGAATTTGTAGAAAGCGCACTTTTGTGGAACTCATGGATTTGGGAAAAACTTCACGCCGGAGAGAATGATAGTGCAGCGTATCTGTTGAACTCCATGCGAGAGGGAGCCCCTAAGCAATCGTACGAGCCAGCCGACCAGGAAGAGTTGAAACCCGCAGATATCCTCAGACTCACCCAGGTAAGAGACGATCCATCATTGACCTCAGTGAACTATTCCAAGCTAACTCATAACAGCTTTTGCGCAATGCCCAGTCTAGTGCCTTGGAATGCCGGGGATTCCAAGCTTATGCAGCTTACACTGATTGTCTTGCCATCATCCGCTACATCCTGGATGCGTCAATTGGAGATATCCTCAAGCCCTACGACGATGCTTTGCAAAGGCTCAGCGACGGTCTCGAGTCCGACATTATTTCTAGGACCTTTGGCAGCGAATTACTGCACCAAGCGCGAGCCAAATTGGTGTACCACTACGTTACAACCAAGCCTGCCCAGTACAGACCCATTGAGGTCCGTAACATATTCCTAAGCAGCCTGGAAGCCTTTCCCCACAACACCATGTTCTTGGCACTATTCAAATGGAATGATGCCCGTGTGGACATGACCCACCGCTTCCGCGACATCATCCACGCCACCATCGGAGAAAAGGCCAGAACAACCAAGCAGGCTTCGGGAAATGGCGCTCAAATTGACCGCGTCCCCATCACGACCTACCTATTCAACATCTACTGTGAGATGGGTCGCCCTCGCCAAGGCAACTCATCCCCTCACTTGGTCCGCGCAGCATTCGAGCGAGCAATCGGCCACGGTCCTGTTTCAGTCGGTCAAACCCCACAACGCCGACATCTCGAGCTAAACAGCTCAACATCTGCGCAGAACAATCTCACCATCTGGAAGTTGTACGTCCTGTGGGAGGCGCGCGTAGAGCACGATTTCGCTCGCGCCCGTAAGGTTCTTTTCCGCGCCCTGCGCGCCTGTCCCTGGTCGAAGGAGCTGTACATGCTCGCCTTCGAGCATCTTCGGGACGATATCGTCGATCTGTCCACCAAGCGCACCCTCCGCGGTGGAAAGTACGTCTCTTCGGGGTTCTCGAAGAGAGAACTCCAAGCTCTGTATTCAGAGATGGTGCGCCGGGGAATTCGTATCCACCACCACCTGGTGCACTACTGGGCCGATGAAAATGTCCCGGCTGACGATAATGGGGGGTTCTGAGAACACCTCAATCTACTTTCACAGTCCGGGAGGAAGAGGGAGAGGGGAGGGGTGGAATGGGGAGTGAAGTTGGAGGGGGCGCTCTTCAATCAGCAGAGTGAAGGGGTGTTGCCAGGCTTCCTTCGCCTGCTTGTAAGATAAATGTCGGAGATAACTCATGCCGAAGATGTTTAATGGTTTAACTTTACCGTTTATTCTTAGGGCCTTTAGCGCCCGCCGGGCCCCAGCCTCAGTTGCTGAGTGTCATTTTTTTTGTGACCTCCAACTCCAAGTAGATTTGGATCACGTGAAATTTATTGTTACCATTTTTGGAAATTGGGATCCCTGAAGATCGGTAGTGGGCACTGGTCACATGATCATTTATCCCAGTCCTTTTCCCATTGGTTCGTTATTCTGGTGATCGCCTACTCCGTACAATGTAGTCTGTTCATGACCCTGTTGATATCCGCGACAGAAGATAATACCCTGTGATCCACAACAGTCCCTTTCCATGTGCAATGTCCAAATGTTGCAGTCCAAACCCCCAAGATAACATTACTTACTTACATGTAGTTGAATATACCTCAATTCATAAGATAAGCGAATTAAAACACCCGCCCTGAGCACGCCATCTCATCTGAAATTGAGCACACTCTTGGAGAGCCGCAGGGCTTAGAAATCGGATTTGAAATCCATGTTATCAACTTCGCAACTTCCAAAGAGCGGGGTATTATAAAGACAGTTGATTTCACCATGCCGAGAAGCTGCATCCAAGTTGACAAAGATCAGACACGCGAAAGACAACTCGATATGGCAGACTCCCAAACCCACCGCCAGCTGCACCTCACGGCTTTCATGAGGCCGGTCTCGTTGCATACAGGTGCATGGCGATACCCAGGCTCATATCCCGATGCCAACTTCAATTTCAAACACATCACTCACTTCGCTCAAAAGCTCGAGGCTGCCAAGTTTGACGCTTTCTTCATGGCCGACCACCTGGCCGTGTTGAATATGCCCGTGGAAGCTTTGAAGCGCAGTCATACCGTTACTTCTTTTGAGCCTTTCACGTTGCTCTCCGCTCTGTCTGCTGTGACAGAGAAAATTGGCCTCGCTGCAACCGCAAGCACGACATATGACGCGCCGTATCATGTTGCTCGGCGGTTTGCCAGTTTGGATCATCTGAGTGGCGGCCGAGCAGCATGGAATATTGTGACTACGGGAAATCCGGAGTCGAGTCATAATTTCGGCTTTGATGAGCATCTGGCCCATGGCGATCGGTACAAACGTGCCCGTGAATTCTACGATGTTGTCACGGGACTATGGGATAGTTTTGCCGATGATGCTTTCACTCGTGATATCGAGACGGGAGAGTATCTTGACCCCGCAAAGATGCACGTGTTGAACCATGTCGGTGACGACCTGAAGGTCCGTGGACCATTGAATATCGCTAGGCCACCGCAGGGATGGCCCGTTATTGTACAGGCCGGACAAAGCGAGCCTGGGCGACAGCTGGCTGCTGAGACTGCCGAGGTGGTGTTTTGCAGTCCCAGGGATATTGATGGCGCGAAGGCACTCTATGCGGATATCAAGGGGCGGGTGGAGAAGGCGGGACGAAAGAGAGATCAGTTGAAGATCTTACCTGCGGCGATGATTATTGTTGGAGATAGTAAGGAAGACGCGCAGCGGAAGAGACTCAAGTTGGACAGTCTCGTGCATTATGACAGTGCCATTGCTTCTTTGTCAATCATGCTCGGGACGGATGTCAGTAACCTCGACCCGGATAGTCTGTTGCCGGATGATCTACCAGAGACAAATGCGAGCAAGACAGCCAGAGAGGCGGTCGAAAACCTGGCAAGAGAGGAAGGACTGACGATTCGCCAACTCGCGCAACGCTATGGTGGATACTCGGGGCTGGCATTCCTCGGTTCGCCAAGTGATATTGCTGACGAGATGGAGATCTGGCTGCGTGAAGAGGCCTCGGATGGCTTTACCTGTACATTCCCGTTCTTGCCACAGGGTTTGGAGGAGGTGACCGACAGATTGATTCCAGAACTGCAGCGAAGAGGCCTATTCCGCAAAGAGTACACGGGCTCAACACTGCGTGAACACTTTGGCCTGCCGAGACCTGAGAATCGATTCTTTAGTGAGGCATCTTAATCTGATGTAGGCAATATAGGATTAGCAATGAGATAAGATGCTGGTCACGGTATCTGCTGCCCTCCAAAGTCGCGATGTTCACGTAGCAATAAATCAGGTGATGAGACAGATGACGTATTTGGACAGTAACAGCAGTTGGTAAGGAAGGTGCAGCTGACACTGACAGTATTCCATTGCAGCGCAGTTTCCCTAAAATTGACTGCAGTACTGCCACTGCCGCTTATCTTCCATGTCAACTGTGCACAGAGTGTACAAAGTGTTCAAACATCGGAATTAGACAGTAGGTCAAGTCTATTGCTATATTACTCCTACAGGTAACAGCCCAGTCAACGCCCCAGTACCCCCATATAATGTGTTCGCTCCTCTCGCTCAGTCCATCGCCAGGAAATCATGGGTAAGTAATAGCAAAGAAAAGAAGATTCGTAACTCGTATCATTCGTATACGGTTGAAGCGCAAGACGCAACGGTACCAGAAGCAAGACTAGAAGTGTTCCTTCCAGAATTTGAATCGGACATCCTTGGTCGACGACGACTTGGCTGCATCGCTAATTTGCATCGCAGCAGTATTAGGTCCACAGAAATATACTCCTATCTCCGTGGCAGCAGCACTTTGCAGACCCGTCATGTAGGACTGATTCAGCAAGCCAAGTCGCATTGCCGTGAAAAGGCGCTTGAAGTCCGGACGACCGAAGTTCGTCCGACTCTTCAGCTCCGTGAGAGGGTCGAGGGCTTGGCCGACAGAGTTCAGGTAGATATTCGCAGCGGTATCGGCGTCTAGACGCTGGGTGAGGTAGGTGTGGATGCGCAAGAACTCGGCACTTCCCTCGCTGGCAGCCGCGCTGGCAGACTGTGCTTCGAGGGAGGATAACAGAGCCTGGAACCACTCAAACGAGGAAGTGTCCTTGCAGACCCAAATAAACTCTACACGTCGTAATCGGCGAGGAGGGTTGGGACTTGAACGGAGATGCCAAATATTTTTGAGGATAGAGGCCCAGGGTGTAACACCGATGCCGGTGCCGATGAGTACAGCGATTTCGTTTTCGAATACATCCTCTGCGGGTGCACCATATGGTCCATCCACGCGGATCGCGGGCATGGTTTGTCCATTTTGCAGTGCGACTTCGTACATGCCGTTAGGGTCGAGGCCTTCGAGGTCTTTGGCTTGCGCAGGACCGCAACCGAGTGCGTCTCCGAGTGCTCGGGTGAAATCTCCGACTTGACGAACGTGAATGCTGAGATAAGGGTCGAAGGGACAGGAGGTAATGGTAAATGGGTGCCATTGGGTACTGGAAACATCAGGCACTTGGAGGAATAGCCATTGTCCGGCTTTGTACTTCATGCCTGGCTTGCGAAACTGGATCTCCATGGCGGCTAGAGTCACCGATTAGCCGAGTTCAATTCCACAGTACCGAGGATGGGGTCATACCATAGGGATGACGGATAACCTTTGTGATTACCGTCGGGCGTCGGGCGCGAATCTCCCTGTACAGTCGCTCGAAGAGATACAAAGCCCCGATCACCAACTCCCATCTCCACCCTTCATAGCCTAAGCAATGGTCCCAGAACTGTTTTCCTGCAAAGGGCGAAAAAGGGGCAGCGGTGTCCCGTACAAAGCATCCAGTGGCGTGTGTATAGAGCGCCAACATGAACGGAATGAACAAATGATGGGCATACCAAAAGGTCTCATATGCTTGCTGGCGGATGCGATGATGTGCAGTGGTGTACATCAGCATCATGCACAGAAGCATGACATGACCAGTGATACCACTTGCACGAGTGAAATGAATTGTGACTGCCAGCTCTGGCCGTATCCGTTCTTTTTCAATGTTGTAGAAACTATATCGGGTTAGCAAAGTGGCCACGACAAGCGGAATGAGGAAGCAGCTTACTTCACGTAGTGAGCACCGGTATGAATGGCGGTGAATACCAACATTGAATAGGCTACCTGGCGATGAAACCAAGCCGATTCGTCGAGCGGTAGCCATCTGATCTGCGGCCTCAACCATCGAAGGATATTCCGACACATCGGAAACAGGATCAAGGTACAATCGACCGAGAGCACAAGGCCCGCGCCTCGTGATATCCAAACTGAATAGGAGAGAGCATTTAGAGCCGCCAGTTTAGGATTTGATGCCTGCATGTACCTATGCGAACGTTAGTCAAGAATCTCCGAGCCAAGGTCATTCGAGTGCATACCAGCCTACAGCAAAAAGACCAATATGTAAACCCCAGAAGAAAAGATGAAACAAGACCTTGGAAAAGGTCAAGTCCGTTCTCTGGAGCCAGGAAGCCTTTACGGCTGCCATTCTGGCTTTTTATTTTTTTCAGAAATGTCGACCGGCGACGGATTATTCAGGCGATAATCAAAGGAGTGACGTGTCCAGACGGTTGACCAGCAACCCGGTGATATGAGCTGCAATGTTGTCCGAAGTGAGATCCCCTAATCCCCATTCAAAATAACACTTCGGTACCAATGTTGAGATGTTCGAAGCTTCAAATTCCTCCGTTGTTGCTTCTCCATCAACTTGGTCCAAACTCCGAACTTCGGGGGAGTTCTCTCTTCGACGCTCAGAAGCAGAATGTCGGAATATTACAGAATAGACCAGAGTATCGTTCGATGCCTGATAGTTGAAGAGAAGACCTCACAACTTTTCAATAGTGCTTGGTAAAGGTGTACAGGAACCGACTTTGTGCTTTGCGCGCCTTGTCGCGAGCGCTGCTGGCTTTTTCCCGTGGATCACGCGATAGGTATCCTAGCAAATACCAGTGTGTGATGGATACTTGCGAAGGAATGCGAAGTATTATGATTCAAGTCGTTCCCGACATTGATGTCGGTGGATCGAAGCAAGGCCGGGGGAGAGTTGGAGGTTCAAAAAATTCCAGTGAGGTGGTTTTAGCTGCAGGGGTGAGGGGAGTCAATCTATAATTAATCGCTTCTAGCGGGCACTACACCCAAACTACGGCTTTTGGTCCAATGAAGAAGTTAAACCTCGACTAGTCCGTGCTTTAGAATGCTCGGGCATATATTTCCAATAGATCAAGACGAGTCTAGAGGCCAGAATGTCCGTTGCTTACAGAGCTCGTCAAATCTTGCCCGCATCACTGCGTGGACTATTATCCTTCTTGGGCCTGGCTCGATCCCTCCAAGGCTTTTTTAGATGTCCCGACTGTGATCCTGGTCCTCTGGTTGAATTAAAGTCTTGAGCAACTTGCTATTTTTAAATGCCGTTCGTAGCAGGCACACCAATCATCAGCGAAGAGTTATGCGCCATAGTTTATAGCCAACATGACATGCTCCCCTCAACTTCCCCGCGATGAAGCGAGACCAAAGGGAAAAAGGAAGCGGACAGTGTTCGTCCAATCTGATCTGATTCGGGATTTCGCCCAACAGACGGCTTGAATGGCGTGGAAGCTAGGCGGGTGGAAGCCGAATTTCAAAAGGATCAATATCCCGAATGAGGTAACAAAGAGGCTGGTGAATGGCCATGGGGGTCTGTGACTGGTCGGTGTTCAATGAGGCCAGCGAAAAAGGTTGAGAGAACAGCCTATCACCAGCCTCCTGCAAGCGCTGTACTTTCGTCACACGGAAACCCCGAGAGTCGATCGGTAAGAAGGCCTGTCATTCGATCCAAGATGCGGCCTGAATGGTGAGATGGACGATTTCGCCTAAATTTAGAATCGCAAATTGCCTCGAGCTATCTGCATTTTCCTCAACGACTTCCTGGTCAGATAATGATATTCTCCACTCGGAAAGTCAGGCCGAGCACTGGTTGACTCTGCAGAAGATGCAGAAAGACGGTGTGTGATGTGACGGGCATCTCTATTGTGTAGAATTGAATTAGAATCAGGGCTACCGTGGTCATCTGATCTGGAAGATCTTAGATTCCAAACTGTTTCAACGTAAACAAAGATGAGACCAGTCTCTGACAATCTCAGGTATTTCACGACATCCCAGGCCTCGGTTGAAACCAGCATTGATCAAAAGGAACAATTCGAATGTTGATGAGACTTGAATGCCCTGCGCGTGCCTGCAGTTTCATCACGCGCTAAGCCCGCCCCGGCTATAGCCCCGGCCTCTGATTTGCAGCCATCCACTTAGCGATCCGCTCCGTCACATCCCACATACATCACCACTCACCAATCACACAGTTATGACGCTTCTTGAAGAATCTCACCATGAGGGGTTGTCAAGGATTCGACGACTTTTTCACCAATGATTGGCTTACAATGCTTGCATCCGTGCGGATCACGGTTTAACCCTATCATCCTCGCCGCACCAACCCCGAGCATACAGTGATACACATTTTTGGCGCGCAGCTATCACATCCTGGCAAAGTGTTTGCGGTATGATTTTGAGTTATCGGAGGGGGTTGCTAGTCTAAGTATAGATTCATATACCCGGTCCTGTCTGCAAGCATGCCACTTGGAAGAAGCTACTTTTTTACCCCATATCGGATAATGTCACCTCGATGACCCCAAGCAATATCATCTTCTCTCCATGTGCTTTGGATTACTCAACTCAATAAACACATCTATGGTCTGCTGGATTACACGATGAAGTGACACCGAAGCAAGTATCTTGCGACACTTTGCGCCCAAGATTAACTTCACACTTCGTTGCTCATACCGAAGTGACTTTATTTCCTCCGAGACCTTCGCTGGACGAATCTCTACCACACACAACTTTCACACAGCCGAGAGCCCGTAGCTCGACACAATGGGCAGGCTGATCAAGAACCATTGGGGGCGGTTAATCATTCTCACCGCAGCAGCTTGTATGTTGTCCACTGAACAATCCCAAATTCAAAGCCAGCACTAACAGTATCAACCAGATCAAGTTGCCAGCGCCGTCGAAGGCTTCATCTGGCCCAAAGTATTCTGGGATTTCGTCTCCAAGAACCTCGATGCGGCCGTCGCCCCGGTCCCCGTCCTTCAAATCCTAAACCTCATCATGGGCCTCGTCGGTATAGCCTGGGAATGGCCTCTCAGGCCACTTGCTGGTTCAGTGCCACATCGCAGCATCGAAATCCGTCTCATCATATACCCCCTCAGCGCAATGCTTGCGGCGCTTCTCTACCAAGGCACCGACCCTGCAATATACTACTTAATTGGGATTGGTGTCTATTTCTGGGCCTACAGTGAAGGCGAGGTACGTTTTGCGGATCTGATGCAGGCTGTTCCATGCTAACGAATGTATAGGTCGTTTGTCCGGAGCCTTGGACTTTGCCAAAACGGCATGGCCTACTCAAAGTATAACGATATGGTGTGCCGCATTACATGCAGCGGACACAGATCATGTATATAGCCTAATATATAACGAACTTGATGACTTGAAGTAACATTGGCACCTAACTATAACGGATTTCCTGATCGACGTATCTAGACTCGCCAGTTGGTTCTATTTCTCGCCAGTTGGCTCTATTTCTCGCCAGTTGGCTCTATTTCACGAGGCCCCCACTTAGCACGTGTACGCGCACGTGATCATCTATCCAGGCAGAAACAAGAGACCATCGTCATCTTGACAGCACGAGCTGCACGACCAAGTGGACCCCTCAAGCTCCAAGCCCCCAAATACCCACTCAGATGCTCTGCGCCATACCTATGTGTCATAGACACCTCAAACCCGAGCCGAAAGTCAGAACTGACCTCCCGGACTGACACCATCGGTCCCGAATCCCAGAAAGAAAACAAGATGCCCTCGTCTACAGAACGCAAAGTCAAGCACGAGGAAGCCAATCTCGCTCTCGAACCAGCAGAGGATGTCCCAGTCAACAAGATCACAAGCTTCAACGGCAGGTTACAACAATACCTGCACAGCAGCAGCGCAACACAAGAGACGAACGCCACGAGCACGGTGACATCGCAACGCAAAACCACAAGTAAGGTCGAGAATCAAGCAGAAGAACCGACGGCTAGCCCAAAGCGCCGAAAGGCCACCACACAAACGACATCAGCAAGCACAATCATGCTCCCACGCATGACCCGCTCCCGCTCCCGCTCAATACCGACACCGACACCAACACCAACACCCCCATCCCGCCGACAAACCCCAACAAAACGCAAGCGCACCCCCCAAATCCCTCCCACACCCCCAAACACAGGACCGCAAGCAACAACCTCCCTCCTACGCGACACAATCCCAAAGAACCTAGTCCTCCTTCTCGTCGGCGTGAACCCAGGAATAATGACCGGAATAACCGGACACGCCTACGCACACCCGTCCAACCTCTTCTGGAAACTGCTACATTCTTCCGGCATAACGAGCATCCGCCACATACCCGCCGACACATACAAGCTGCCCGCGCTGTACAGCGTCGGCAACACGAATATCGTCGAGCGGCCGACGCGCGACGCGAGCATGCTCAGTAAGGCGGAGATGGATGCCGGTGTGCCGGTGCTGGAGGCTAAGGTTGCTGCGCAGCGGCCGGAGGTGGTGTGTCTGGTTGGGAAGAGTATTTGGGAGGCTGTTTGGAGGGTTAGGAAGGGGAGGGGCATTCGGAAGGAGGAGTTTCGGTATGGGTGGCAGGGTGAAGGGGAGAATATGGGGAGGTGTGAGGGGGTGGGAGGGGGCGCCGGTTTTTGTTGCTACGACGACTAGTGGGCTTGCGGCTGGGATGAGGCCTGCGGAGAAGGAGGCTATTTGGGCGGAGCTTGGGAGGTGGGTTGTTAAGAGGAGGGTTGAGAGGGGGTTGGAGCCTGTTGTTGTTAAGGATGAGGTGGTTGTAAAGGATGAGGTTATTAGGCCTTCGATTCCTGGATGATTGACTTGTGTATATGTAGGTACGATATCGAAAGGAGGTTGTGCCATGTTATGACGAACTATGATCACGATTGCTTACAATTACTGTGCCACACATGGGATGTCTATGAAGTTTCAAAAGTATTTCTCATTTGTAGACGAGTAAAATCGCTCATCATTCATCATCTCATGATATCAGGTAAAGAAGCCTGTGAGTCCCGAGAGGTAAAGCTAAAGACGGCAAACACTCCCTCCGAGCCCATTCCAGAGCCGAAGAGAGAGGTAAAATGCACCATCTTGGCAAAGGACCATGCTTCGAAGTGTGGTACGGACGATCGAAGGATATGGATATCTTAATTCAAGGTGGAGAAGGGGTAGAGGAGGGGAAGGTAGGAGCCCAGGGCGTGCTTCGTATGAAGACACCGACACCTATCCTCATTAACCCAGGGTAAGGGAAGGTGGTGCAATTTAGCGAGAGGTGCCCATAGCGCCGTTGGAGTCGTTCTTGGATCCCTCACGCTCGCGTGCCTGTTGAGAAGAGGGGTTAGTCTGCGACCCCGCGATTGAATTTAGAATCAGAGCACTTACCGAGGAGGCCTGGTATTCGCCGCCTTCAAGAATCTTGGTAATGCATTCATCCTCATTAGTTGTGCCGAACTCGTTTTGCAAAGAGCTCTGGCTGGCGGTGTCGAGGACACCTTGGGCTCCGTGGCTGTACTTGAGTGTCAGTGAATTGAACGGTAACAAGCTGTCGCCATTGTCTTGGATGACACTTACGAGTGAGTGAGGAAAATCTTCCAGCCGTTCAAGACATTGGAAAGGGCAATGCTGCGGTCATTCTTCCACTTCTGAAGGATGTCAAGGTCGTCAACGAAGACGATGAAGTCGTCAGAGCGACCCTTGTAGAAGATCTTGGCAGCGGTTTCGTTTCCACGAGGCATGTTGGAGGGATGAGAGATGAGTTATTTTTGGATATGAAGGAAGTAGTTTAAGTAGATGATTGTTGTAGAGTGAAAAGAAAGGTCAACGGGGTAAAAAGCTGTGGTTTAATAGCTGGGAGCTCCGGTGATGATGACTGATGACGTCACCTAATGAGCTGAGCTCGACCATAACAACAAGTTGTCCTTAAGCTGTTTGATTTGGACAGCTTGCAGCTCCATCAAACGATAGTGGATATGCTGGTTAAATTAGATCTCATTTGTGGTTCTAATCCCTCACCTTACGACTGTGGTGTCACGGTGAGTGCTAACTACTGCTGCAGTCGACGTCATAGGAGGGTCCTGGAGCTGCCTGCCCGCTTCGAGATCCGCTCTGACGCCAAACGTGGGGATCATTTTCACTAAGCCAACCAAGTTGGAAAAAGGAGAGAATCTGGTGGCATTCCGATCAGCTATAGTGTAAGCCACAATTACGTTTCGCCAAGTTAACAATGCAAAATACTCCGTACCCATTCCCCGAATCCCCTGACTCCAATGCACCGAATGTACCAGAATCCAATCCCACAGAACACCGCGTACTGTTCGGCTAAAAATATAAGTACCTGATGCTTCACTCAGCCTGGGAGCGGTTCTTCTTTATCTTCTTAGGCGACAAGGTACTAAACAGACTCATAGGAGACGACCACCTCTTGGGAGATGGAGTTGACTCGGAAGTCCCGTCCTGGCTATATCGAGTCTCACTGCGAGGCGAGGAAACTGTCGACGTAGGCTTCTTAGGTGAACCTTTGAAAAGAAACGTTTTCGAACGCCGGGGTGTGGTTGGTGTTCGAGGCAGCTCAAACTCCACTGTCTTGTCGTCGCCTGCCTCACTGCTGCCTGCCGTATACTTGCCTTCCCCATCCTTATCTTCGCTGGGGAGAACATCGCCTGATTCTGATCTTGAGTGAAATGTACTGACAGAGCTCGATCGTTTGGTGAAGCCCGGGCGAAGACTCAGTCGCCTCATGATTGAAGGGCGTCGGAAGAGGTCACCCCGTCCGAGAACCATTCCTGGCATGGGAAGCAGATCTCCTGTATAGACATCTGAGATCAATCGCTCCAACCGAATTCGGTCAATTCGACGGGCAGTCAATACCAACGCAGAGCGGTCGGCGGGCGTCTTGAGCCTTTCAATCTCGCCTTGGGCCTGTACGATCGGCTCTTCGACTTGACGCGGGAAGTGCGTTTTCCTAATGACTACATGTTGGACGCGAGATCTGCGTGCAAATGTCACTGAATCCATCGATGATCTCCGAGCCATAGAAGATACTGTATATTGGATTCGGTCCAGAGGTGCCAGACGGAGAGACAAGAATGAATGTTTTCCCGGCTCCCATGACCTGTGGGCCTTTTCGACCAAGGCGGCGGAAACTTTGAGAATTTCAGTATTCCATTGCTTTTCCTCCGCAGCAGAGGATGCACTGAGGACAAATTCGTAGTTTTCTTCTTGATTCCGGAACAGGAGCTTCCATGAGAATATGCATCCGTAGCAAAATAGTCCTAATGAATTAGAAAGATCTTCTTGAATCTTAATGGAGAAATGCTTACCTCGTCCATTTTGAACCGTGTCTATCTTGAGGCTGTCTAGATAGATACATGCCACTGCTTCCAGGCGATGCAAGTCATCGACTCCTTTGGCGACAAGAAAGTAGTGATGAAAAAGCACACAGACCATGAATTCGCCGTTGGTTGTTTCCTCAGTTTGATATGTGACATGGAGGACACCGCAGAGGACCATAGGGCCTAGGTCTCTGTATATACTCTGAAGGGCGTGCTGCTCGAAATGTCAGTTTATGCGCATCTAAATGGATCCATCCATATTCTGGGTCGCCTACCGATTGAGGGATGTCCACTCTGCGTTGCAGCGCAATTGTCTTGTGAATGCGATCTTTGTTGATGGGATTTCCATTTGCCGAGTTGATTCGCGTTACTAGTACCCTCATCTGATCCAAAATTTGCTGCATGGAATCGTGACCAGACGGGCAGTCACTGACGGGGGTAGCTCTGAGCAAATCCTGCAGCATAAGAGGGTATCTACAAAGACGTTGGATTGGCTATATCATTGTCAGTCTGTGAACACTGTGCGAGAGTTCGATTGCGAACCTTAATAAGCAAATCGTTCAAGGTCATCGATTTATGATCCTCCTGTCTGCGTCGCGCTGTAGATGCCACTGATTTGGACAATGCCTCGATTCCCTGATCATATATCGTCCAATTGGCAACCGATCGGCGCAGGAGAGCAACATCCTGCGTCAAGAGTTCATAGTTGTTGCAGAACTGCTCATACGCAGAGAAGGAAAATGACTTGAAGATACTAGTCAGTGAATGAACTCCCACTAGATTACCATAACCTACTAATTCTTCCAGTTCACGTGCAACTGCTAGCGCCTCTTTTGGCTCGGCTGAGAGTGCTTGGAGGCGCTTGTTGATCGATGCCTTGAGTGTTCGAGTTCTCATTGATCTTTGTTGGAGTCCCCTTAAGCTACCCAGATCAAGCGAACCAATTCGCTTCGTAATTCCCCAGGGTGTGAGGTCGAAAGCACCTGCTTGTTGAGCCTGAATCGATGACATAGGAGAGACCGCCTGGAGCCGAACCAGAAAGCGTTCATGAATTCCGAGGATCTCCTGAATATTCTCATAGATCTCGCGCCTCGTGCTGAAGATGTTGAGGACCTGAGATTCCACAGGTCTATCAGCATCGAGTCATCATATGTCTAATAGTATGTTACTTACTCCGATTAAAGCCTTCAAACCAGACACATAGTCAGTCTCAGTGTTAACAAGCTCTTGCAGGATATGACGCCGTTTGGTGGCGCGTATTTCCGCTGCCTCATCGATCCGTTGAATTGAGCTTGGCCGGGAGCTGTCGCCAGAGCCACGTACTTCAGACGGTATACTCTGAGTTGTCCCACTCCGTATAGTTGTTCTGGTTCTTAGAATGCTTCGGCTTCTAATACTGTCCGTGGCCGTGCTCAGGCTTCCGAGCTGCGATGTGTCGGATATGCCCGATTGTTGGCTTTGTGACGCTTGTGAGTCTTGTGAGTCTTGTGAACCTTGTGAGCCTTGAGATGAACGTTCAGACCAGCCATCGACGTGTCGCTGTTGGAATACAGGAGAGTCATGTTTCCGTCCTCGAAAGCTCTCGATCCATTTCTTGAATGGATGAGAAGTTGTCCTATCGGTCGGCGTCACTCCACCGCTGCTCGGGATCTTCTCTTCAGCATCTTCATCTTCTAACAGGTCGTGCCTCTCCGCCTCAAGTTCATCCTGGTCTGCCATGGTCCCAAATAACGATCCTGCCCAACAAAGTATAAGAGTCGGAGTCCGATGGCATGGAGAACGAAGAGGCGGACCTAAACGACTGCTCAAAACAACCGGATTGAACTTCATGACGAGGGAAGAGCAACTGGGAGTGTTTCCCTCGTCTACATATCTGGCGCTGGAAGGTGCATGTGTCTACTCCGTAGAGGAGAAAGGAAGCTGCGGCAGCCGCCTTCCGTTATGCGTAGAGATCGTAGATTTGAATCTGATCCATGTACGTCATGAGATCAGGCAGCTGAATAGCTGAAATTGGAATGACGTGCTTTATTCCCCGGACATTGGCACATTTTCTGTACATATGATTAGTCTTTAATGTCCGTAGAAATGATGGGAAGCTCCAGAGATGAAGAGGTAACGCCCATACTTCCAGCGCCAAGCATCGCCGCTTAGACATCAAGCTGCCCCCCAAGGACCCACCCGGGGACTTACCTTCTTCTTCCGCTTCTTCTTCCATTTCTCTCTAGGCTATGGGAATCCTCATGGACGATAATATCCACGCTCCAACTGTTGCCTCCGGACCTGCATCCGGGGGTGCCCCTCGCGATTTGTCCAAGCTGTCGATGCCAGATCTGATGCAAGAGAAAGAACGCATCGAGGCGGAATTGTCAGCGCTAAGTAGCGTCCTCCAGTCGGTGTGCTTTCCCAATCATAAGCTCTTGTTACAATTTCTGACGAGTCTCGCCGTTATAGCATGGAGTGCGCATGACCTCATCACTCACCACCTTCGATGGTTTCCCGCGGGATGATATCGACATCGCGCAAGGTACGTCCTGCCAGAACCTGATCGACGACGACAAGTGCTGAAAGGAGACTATAGTCCGTACAACCCGTGTGCGCATTATCCACCTGCGAAATGATCACAAGGAGGTGATGCGACTTATCGAGAAAGGCGTCCACGCACATTTCGCCAACCTACAAAATACGCAAGCCACTGGCCCAACCACGAACGGCACAGACGTACCGGCAGTTGTACAGTCGACGACAAATAGCACCACGTTGGGAACACCATTTGCGAAGGTCAATAGTGTGGTTCCGGATAGTCCAGCCGCCCAGGCAGGACTGAAAGCTGGTGATGCCATTCGAAGCTTTGGGGATGTCAATTGGCTGAACCACGAGCGTCTTTCGAAAGTTGCGCAAGTAGTTCAACAGAACGAAGGGGTACGTCCTGGTTCCTATGCTGCTCCATTAAATTACATACGTGTCTGACTCCCACTCTCTACAGCGGCCAGTATCAGTCAAGGTCAGTCGCAAGAATGAGACTGGATCCGATACCACGGAGTTGGACATTCAGCTCACCCCTCGGCAAAATTGGGGTGGCCGTGGCATGCTAGGATGCCATTTGGTGCCTTTATAAGGGTACGCCTCTGCCGATACTGAGGAACATGACCCGATAGCCACCATTCTAAACCATGACGATATGTCCTTTTCATGACTTACGTGAGATGTCTTTCCTGCCCCTTCTTGCACTGAATATCTAGGGTTCTGTATGATTGGAGAAAGCGTACAGGTCATAACAGCGCCCGAGAATACCTTTGCGCACAAGGTCTGACCGTCATAAAAAAATACAATAAACTAAGACAGGGATTACTACCAGTAGGCGGTTACGCAGTAGGACCCATTGTAGCCATGGCAGCTTCTAGTCCTTCAAGCATAGCTATATCCATCAAAGTACACAGTAGATGTGGCTGGCGCGAGAGATTGTTGACACTACGTCAGTGCGCCTCAGGCATAAAGTCATGTGACCCCCAGTGACGGGGCAAAAATTCCATCAAGCGCTATTATCCATTCCCCTTCTTTCACCCCTCCCTTCTATTAAAAACCCGCTCCTATCCCTACGGCGCGAATCCTTGAATCTTGCTTTGCTTCAAGTTTTTCTCTAACTAATTTTCATCATGGCTACTGAAACCCCCACTTTCAAGCTTGTTCTGGTCGGCGACGGTGGTACTGGAAAGGTAAGCGCATGCGAATCTCGATGCTTCATTGTCGATGGGAATGGGCTCAGAGATGCAGTCATCAGCTCAACGATGGTCATCTCCTCAACAATATCTCCTGAACACGCTGGATTCCTTCATTTCTCTTGACTGCCCTCTGCCCCGCGCCTGTCGACACCGAAATATCTGCCCAACGGCCCCGCCCTCACCGCGACTTCGTCACTAACAAATTGAAACCCAACAGACCACTTTCGTCAAGCGCCACTTGACTGGTGAATTCGAGAAGAAGTACATCGCCACCCTTGGTGTCGAGGTGCACCCTCTCAACTTCAACACCGTATGCTATACCCCGCTGAAGATCCCCGCTTCGAATCGTTTGGTCGTTTCAACTAACCGAACCCGAACAGAACTACGGTGCTATCCAGTTCGATGTCTGGGATACCGCTGGTCAGGAGAAGTTCGGTGGTCTCCGTGATGGTTACTACATCAACGGCCAGTGTGGTATCATCATGTTCGATGTCACTTCCCGTATCACCTACAAGAACGTCCCCAACTGGCACCGTGAGTGATTCTTCCGGCAAATTAAAATCGCATCAAGCTAGTTCAAAAGTACTGACCTGTACGATAGGTGACCTCGTCCGTGTCTGCGAGAACATCCCCATTGTCCTCACCGGTAACAAGGTCGATGTGAAGGAGCGCAAGGTTAAGGCCAAGACCATCACCTTCCACCGCAAGAAGAACCTTCAGTACTACGATATCTCCGCCAAATCCAACTACAACTTCGAGAAGCCCTTCCTCTGGCTCGCTCGCAAGCTTGTTGGCAACCCCCAGCTCGTACGTCATTTCTGTTACCTGAGTTGCATCTAAGCCAGTCCAATACTAACCAATTTATCTTATAGGACTTCGTTGCCGGCATTGCCCTTGCTCCCCCCGAGGTTACTGTCGACGAGAAGCAGCTCGAGGCTTACCGCCAAGAGATGGAGGAGGCTGCCAACCAGCCCCTCCCCGACGAGGACGATGCCGATCTGTAAAGCGGTGCGCTCAATGATGGGTACACGAAGTTTCCGACACGAAAGTTGGGAGTCGCTCTGTCCTCCCCTCTCCTGTTTTCCCGAGTTTCAACCCACGGGAGGGAGAAAGGCAATACACGACACCCGGGGATTGCTTTTTTTTTAGTTTGGGTTTTGCACTGCAAAAGCAAAGTCCGTTCTCCGAATCACGATACAATGAAAGCGGACAGGGGGTAGTTGTGGTTTGAAGACACGGACCTATTATGCATTATTTTTTTTCCTATGTGATTTCCCCCAATCTTGGTAGTTTAGACATCCCAATTGTCCCTTTTTTCTCAAAACGAGCACAGCATCCAAAAAAAGCATGTTCTCCTTTCGACAGATCTAGACCGTCTTTCCCATGATTGCACATACCGATTTATCCTGAGAAGCAGACATATAGATCTCTGGAAATCTCGTTAAGTTACATTTTAGACATTGCTTGAACCGCGAGTAGGTTACGAGAAATCATTAACCTAACAACTCTATCTAGACTTTAATCAGACAGCTCTTTGTGCAAGAGATCAAACGCCAGGGTATAGCAACAATTGAACTCTTGATTAAAGAGCAATAAATCAAAACAGGGAGGCCAAATGCCTTCCATGTAGACACAACAACTGAAATTACAATTCCCGTTTCACGAAGGCAAGCCTGGTGCTTGAACGCGAACGCAAACCCGAAATGGAGTCAGGAACTACAAGCCTCTCACGCCCTGTATATTGAAAGAAAGGTTAGCCAAGAGTTCCAGGATAGGAGATAAGAATCAATACATACGAAGAGGTAAGCGAGTTCCCTCGCATCCAACCGGGAGACGTTCATAGTACCACCCTCATCAAGGGCACCACTAATCAGCTCCCGCTTCTGATCCTGAAGAGTGACAATGCGATCTTCAACGGTTCCTTCGATAAGCAGACGGTGAACGGAAACCTCTCTAACCTGCCCAATACGGTGGGCACGGTCGACGGCCTGGTCCTCAATATACGGATTCCAGAATGGATCGAACATGATGACGTGCGAAGCAGCGACGAGATTCAGGCCGGAGTTGCCAGCTTTGAGAGAAACGAGCATGATCTTGCATTCGGAATCATTGGTGAATGCCGTGACGGCTGCGTTGCGTTCCTTCAGAGACATGCTGCCGTCAAAGCGGACGTGGTTCCAGCCGCGGCGGGCGAGAGGCACTTCGAGAAGATCCAGAAGAGAGGTAAACTGGCTGAAGATGATGGTTTTCTCTTCCAAGCCGCGGTCTTCGTTCTCCTGGAGGATTTCTAAAGCTTTGGTGATTTTGGCGCTGGGGAACCAACTTTTCTCAAGGCGGCGAAGGTACCTCTTCTTCTCGGCCTTGTTTTTCAAGGAGTCTGCTCGCAGCTCAGCCAAGGACTTTTTCTTTCGGCCTCCTTCACCGTCATCGGTGGAACTATCCGAGTCACCGTCTTCACTGCTGACTGTTGATTCATCGTCTTCATCGTCATGGGTCTCACCGGTTTCGGTGGCAGAGTCTTGCGCAGGGTCGCCGTGAACTTTATTGAACGCGTTGGTATCAGTGAGCTTTGCAGGGTCTACAGGCCCACGGCAATTCTGGCATCTGATCACAGTTGGACCATCGTCATCAATGACGACAGCTCCACCATGGGCAGAATCGGAAATGCGGATCCAACACTCCGAGCAGACATGGTGTCCACATGGAATGTAAATGGTCGCATTTTCGACGCTGTCCATGCAGACAGGGCAAGTACCGTCTTCTTCGTCGTCATTTGCTTTGATACGCAGCACCACAGAAGGGCTCAGAAGCTTAGCGTTGGCTATTTTGTCCACCCCGGGAATGCTAGTCTGAGGAGCTTGGTTTCGGAAGCCCTGCATGAGGAGAGGATGGCAGCATGCCTGCCGGAGACGGAGAAGGAGAACCAGGACATGACTATAGTGTTGCCCCAGAGTGCCGGCGTCGAGGTACCGGTTGATCTGCCGTTGGGTGTTCGCGTTGAGCTCTTCATAAACCTGGCTTTCTCTCTCATCGAACACAACGTGGACTTTGTTGATGATCTTATTTGGCAGCTGCAAGATGGGCTGGCCATCAATTGTGGAGGTTTTTGTTCGTCGCAGACAGACAGACTTGACTAGCACTCGTAGTTGTTTCATCACATCTTCGCCTCCCCAGCCTGATTTGATGCGTCTCACAAAGTCCTACAATAGAGAAACGTGTGAGCTACCCGGAACAACTTGCGCAGAATGAGCTGGAAATGAGTAACGGCGGGGTCACTTACCGCTTTGAATTTCGCTGCATTGCTGTATGGTCGAATCCGCAGGAATCCCAGCAGCGACTGGAAATCTTCAAGACGATTCATCATAGGGGTACCAGTTAAACACCAGCGGTAGGTGGCATTGAGCCGACAACAGGCTATGGCTGATTTTGCGCTCGGATTCTTGATGTTTTGTGCCTCGTCGATAATGACCCGGTGCCACTTGGCAGCAGGGCTGAGAGGGCCTGCCCTTGCCTTCATCTCATTTATCAGCGCTGTGCTTCCCCGTCCTTGCTCTTGCATATTCTCCGCTTCGAGCAATGTTTTGTAGTTAGCGGTGAGGGTACCGAAAGTCGTGATGACCACATCGAACTTTTTCAGCTCCTTCCAGGGCCTGCGCAGCGAATGGTAGATCAGGACGGACATCTGGTGCCTCCCCGGTTTGACATGACGCTGAATTTCGAGTCTCCATTGGTCCATGAGTGCTTTGGGCGCTACAATCAAGGTCGGGCGTCGTTCTTCATCTTCGAATGGACGAGAGACCATGAGGGCAATTGCTTGGACGGTCTTGCCGAGACCCATGTCATCCGCAAGTATCCCACCTTTGTGGCTGCTTTCTTCCTTGGCCTTCATCCACCTCAAACCAATCTGCTGATGTTTCATCAGTGTGACTTTCAGAGCACTAGGAATCTCTGCGCTGTCTGCTTTAGTTGCCTCCCGAATATCGTTAATTCCGTCGAGCAGGTTCTTGATATCTTCGGGAAACTCTTTTTCGTTGTACGCACTAAAGCGAGTGGGTTAAGACTGGATCTATGCCTGTAAGCCGAAGGGGGGAGTAACTTACGCTATGTCTGCATCATCATCCCAAATCTCTTCTTGGGCTCGGACAAGGTCGAATGCCCTGTCGAATCTATCATACGCACCCGGCATGGTAGGGTATGAGGGCTTGTTCATCCAAGGAAGGGGTCTGGGTCCAGCTACTGGTGAGCTGTTCGACATCTGCGAGGAGTATGACTGGTAGGAGGGATGGGAAGGATGTAGATGTGGATGTGAGTATTGAGTCTGGTATGGCATGTGCGTCGGCAACTTGGACGAAATGAAGGGCATATTTGAATATCCCGAACCGGGCTGGCGGGCTGACTGCTGGCCAAATCGGGAATTGAATGAATTGGCGTCAATTTCTTCGAGATCATCATCGGAATCGAATGGCTTTCCCTGGCCATATTGTCCATACACTGGAGGAATGTATAAGCCCGGAGGCCCGGCCTTGACCGGATGGGGCCGGTCTGGAAGTTGCGAGGTATTCTGCTTTGGGGCATTGTTCACCGATAAACCATTCTTATCCTCGTCGGCTTGGAGGACACGAGCAAGTTCTTCATCTCGTTTAAATTGGTACTCTGTTTCAATCAACTGCACACTTTCGTCATACTCCTCCTGGAGTGACTTCAGCTGCTCCTCGTCATTACCAGCCATTTTTCTCCATCCCGCGAACAAGCGGTCATTGCTGTCAAGCTGCGCTTGCTTTTTTTCCTCAATTATCTCTAGCTTGGTTTTGCTAGGTCCAGGCTGCGAAGGCGCATTTCGTTTCGACGACCCTTGCGTTGTGGGCGAAAAACCAGAAAGCGGGCGCGGGCGTTTACGAGAATTATCTGGAGGATCGCTTGGGGAAGCCGACAATGTTGGCGGACGGCGAGACTCAGCCGCGAAAGGTGAAGGTGCAGCCGAAGGCCAGTGAGGGGATGCGAACGATACTCCCGGGATTCCAGTAAAATGAGTCGACGGCATGCGCGGAGTTGCAGGCGTAGGCGCCAGGACTGGCGGAATGGGCGACGGCACTTGTGGGGTTGGGGCAGCCGGGGCAGCTTGGGGAGTCGGAGCAGAGTCGCCGAGAAGCGCAGCAACCTTGGCTTCCATCTCGTTGATCGTCTTCTGGTACTCATCTGCCTCTGCGCACTGACCCCGCGACAGCATGATATCGTTATAGAGATATTTGTATAGTTCGATTTCTTCCACCATATCTGTGATTGTGTCCTCTTCGGACGGATCGACGGAGGAAGCCATGGTCTCAGAGTATGTATTCCTGACCCTGAAATCTTTCAAAGCCAAAGTGTCCCAATCGTTGGCGGCGTAGCGGAGTCACGGTATAGCTACAGCGATAGGAGCAGTGGGTGGGATAGAATACTACAGCCCAGACTCAGCAGAATCACCGTGAGAAGTGAGCGAGAGATTTGGGGGAAAGAAAAAGACCGGTCTGAGAGAGTCAGTCAGCGAAACTTGGGCTCCAAAGGCAAACGACTAGGCAGCACACGGGTGGTGGCAGGACGGCACAGCGAGGAATAACAAAGTATGAAAATATGGATCATGAATACAAACCACGGTCTGGCAATTGCAGGGTATGTACTGGACTTATCTCGAGTTCTACTGACGAATGAACCCGGGTTGCTCTGCGGACGAGGGGGGCAGGTTCGGAGAGCGAATAGGAGAATGAGGTGGGATCGCAGAGACGATATGGCCCCATTTATATCATTTGTATCGAGGGAAAGATCGGATGAGATAGAAGGTGCGAGACTCAGTGCTCTTTGCGACTGGTCTACTAGTCCCCTGTGCGGCTTGCGGGGTGTAGAAGTTTACCCATGTCATCGCGCGTCTGCCAAGGATCCACGTGGATTCGTGGACATATCACATTTCTATCCTTCCTCGGCCAGAGTTTTCTTCCATGGGTTTTACGAAACAGATTTCTTACAGAGGATAATACATTTCAAAGTCAGTATCACTTTGTATTTACTTCCGTGGGAATGCGCCCTTAATACTTTTGGTTTCCCTTTGTTCGGAGACAGACACTCAAATTTTCGTTGATATGGAACGCGCTCTTATCGGCACGTGAACTAGCGCGTACGCGTAACTGGCTATCGGGACCATTGTGAATTTCATCATACGTTTTGCCATACACTTGATTTCTGTCAGTTATCACCTAATCCATTACAGTGACTAGTTAGGTACTTTGTGACATATTTGTAGGAAGCCTCATGCTCGTTGGTGCATCCCCAGGGGGTCGGAAAAATTGAAAAGCTTTCTTGTGACATAATGCGTATAGATGCGCCTGGAAGTTTACTGGGACAAAGCTGCATACAAATATGTCACAAGGAGCTTTCCAATTTTTCCGATCCCCTGGGGATGCACCAACGAGCATGAGGCTTCCTGCTTCTCACAAGCTTTCCCCTCCTCAAATCTTCAAGATCGGGACCGGTGTAGCCTAGACGTTAAAGAATTAGATCCGTACATCTTCACCGGGGCCAGGCACACCATCTACCCTTTCTGGAGATGTGAAAAACTGATTCAGCTCCAGAGACGTTAGGTCCTTCAACGGCTACTATTGGTATAGTCGCAGAACCAGTTTTTCGCATCTCAAAAAGGGTAAATGGTGTGCCTGACCCCGGTGAAGACTGAAGACCGTGAGGAATCCAAGCCGGAGGGTGAATCAATTGACGACCGCATGGCTGAAATGGAGAAGTGGCAGGAATAACACCGTCACGTCCAGATAAGGGAACGCAAAAAAGGCAATGAGACATCCCACAGTATAGTAAGAGCTCTCACTGCTGCACAACCGATGATGAACGTGGCGAAGGACGCGGGGGAGACATCATTAGGTGATAACTGACAGAAATCAAGTGTATGGCAAAATGTGTGAGGAAATCCACAATGGTCAATTTGTCCAACTAAATAAAAACACCAAAGTCAGAGGGCTTGGTGGCACTTGCCCTAATGCCCCACTCAGGTAGTACAATCTACGAAGTAGATTTGCTTCGGGTTGTCTCAAAATATACATGACCCGACCTATGTCTCGCCGTTTATTGTCTCGATGACAGTGCCCGGACATAAACATTGGAACCTTCATTGGAATTCACGTGGATTGTTTGCTGAGCGTCAGCGAAGCAATAACAGCAATGAGGGAGTCGATTGTCACGTGATTGTGGTCTTCCGTCCAATGACCAATCTTCCGTCCCGAAATCTGAAATTCTGATCGGTGAAAAATGGCAGAATCATACTGTCTAGTGTAGCTCCTCCAAAACAAAATCACATCCCGGCGATCCATCTTTCAATTCTTTACCTTCTACACATCAACTTTATCTTCCCTTGCTCCCAATGGACTTTAAGAGGTGCACATTGTGCAATCAACGCCGTGCAATCAACGCCGCCCCCTACACCAGTTTCGATTCCACCGTGACCTTATTTTCCCGAAGGTTATCCAGCGCTTGACGAAATCCCTGTTCTCTCCGCCAGCAGGGAGAGTCGGAGAAGGGATCTCGTAAGCGCTCGATGAATTTCGGGAAAATAAGGTCACGGTGGAGGACTGGCGACTGCTCAGATCTCCGAGTAGCCTCCGTTAATTCAGACTGGGTTGGCTGCTTCAGAGATGCCCTCCGGATCTACTTTACAAGGGATGCTGCGCGGGATCTAAATCATGATCGCCTGGCGAGATCTACAGGGCCCAGTAATTCGGATTAATACATGCAATACTGGGTCGCGGGCGCACGAGGCTTCGCCACACCTGGCTGGGAACATTGCCTGCACAGATTGTGCTTGGGCTTGCTGCTCGAGTAATCCTTCTCGACAAATACAATGTCTGGACCCCCAAATGACTCGTCAATGGCGCGATCGGTGTTCACCGGGGGATCGACTGGAAAGCGCATGGAACGGACCCCCGTGCGGAACCGCGACATGTACTTCTCGTCGAGTTTCCGAACCACACGGGACCGGCATTCGGATTCGCGCAGCCGAATATCGTCCCAATCTTCCGGTGCTGTCAACAGTTCACGTACCGAGGGGCTTCGTGCTCGCGGACTGTCATGAATCTTCACCAGGTTCGCCCCTTACCTCGCCTTCTCGGTTTAGTCCTGGCAGCCTGCGCCTAGGGCTGAATGTGAGCTGCCCCTCGCTGTCGCCGGAGGTTCCGTTGGAGTTACTAGTCTTGTCATATGGTTTGTTTACTCACAGTTCTTAAGTTGGCTCAGCGCGGGGAATGAAAGCTACAGGATGCATTGCCTATGGCGGTGAGAGATCGTAGTTCTCGTCCGTCGGGACCCCCGGACAGATGGCCATCAGGTCTGTTCGGACGAAGAGCGAAGGGAGGCCGCCTGACTCGTTCGACTCGCACGGAAAAGGTGCCGTCGGTCCTCGCAGCATCTCGTTATCTTCGCGTCATGTTAGAGGCAGAGTACTCCGGTTACACCACCGTCTACCAGCCGAGTATCTCAATCCCTACCCTCTCGGCCTTCGAAGGGTCGTCCTACGCCGGGGGAGACGGCCAGCCACTTGCCGCCGTCGTCAGGCTCATCATCTCCCGTCATCAGGAGTCACCCTCAGCCCGTCGCCGTAGTTAGACCTCCATTGAGTTTTAGTAGCCTGTTTCAATGAAGTTCGGTCTGGGCGCCTCTGATATATGTAATCAATGGAACTACCTACGGATTGTGACTGGCGTTTAAGGAAGGTGGATAAGGCTACCTAATGCTCAGCAATTGAGGCTGGGGGTCCGGGGGGCGCCCAAAGCCCGGGAGGCCAATGCGCCTACTTGTACATCTTCTCTTCGCAGACATAGAAGTTCATTTTCGCAGCAGCACCTTCAACAGAACCCCACGGATGCCAGCCCTGAGGCGCATTGGGAGACAGGTCCACGTCATGGCCTTTGAACTCCTACACGACAAGGACACCTTCCTATCCCCAATCTTGGATCCAAACACGAACAGAATCTGCCTCCGTTGCATGTATCAACCGACGTCGCGTTTTTATCAAGGCAATGAGGATAATGACTGGGTTGCGGCATTGGCGAATCTCCTATGAGGGGCGGATACCCAAGTCACCGCTACCGCCGAATTGTCGTGGACTAAGCATTGATCTCACTGCGTATCGCGATCGAACAGGTACCGTTAAGAGATCTCCACGCCCTATCGAAACTGTCAATCCACCCAGGCTTCGGCGCCTCACCTGCTTCGTGCAAGGGCTGGTCCAAGATCTGTAAGCTCACAGCTCACAATCCACATGACGAGTTTCGGTCATGAGCCAGAAAGTCGTTAGACCAGCTCAAGCTCCTCTACGTGAATCTCGGAAGTTTTCCTGTCGTGCAAAGTATGGCCGTTCACCGGGAAGGCAAAGGGGGCATTCCACTGCTGTAAGTTGCGATAAAGCCAAGCCTCACCATGGTACACGATGAGAAGCCAAATTGAGTTCGTCCCCAAGTGTGGTGCATCGCCTTTCCAACTGCTGAACCCCCGACAACTGGAACGGATGGAACTGGTCAACGCGACAATGGACGCGTCGCAAGTGGCATTTTCACCCAAGAGCACCGGAAATTCCTGCGAGAGCTCATCTTCGAGAACGTAGGTAGTGCTCCGTACCGGCACTAGAGACGAGGCGCTGGCACAATTGACAGGACTCCGAGGCAACGAAGGATGGAAGCAAGGTCAACTCGATATCAAGACTGTCGACGCGCCCATAATATTGAGTCCGGCTGCCGGCACGCCTCAGCGGGAAACAATCACAGAAGGCGACATGCATATTAGCAACAAAGGTCTCCCAGCATGCTGCGAAACTTGAGCCAGGGCACGATCTCGGTGACACGCGAATTGTTGTGGGGAACCCCGGATCATGTGGAGCGATTGTACGGTCTTCCGTCTTCGGTACTAAGTTGGCGGTGACGTCGGGGGCGTGCGGTTCGCATATGTGCTCTCCCGAGGGAGGATTGGCATAGGCTAGGAATGTGTTAGGTAGTAGTGTCGCGGTGAATACCGAATCTGTGCAACCCCATTCAGGACCCAGTGCACCACAAGCGCGGTACATGTGGAGTCAGGGGAAGTTCTGGAGGTCCCGGGGCAAACACCTTGGGGCAAGACTGGGCAACCGGAGGACCAAGTCTTGTTCATAAGGAAAAGTGCAGATCATGAACGAGTTCGGCACAAATCTAGCGAGAAGAAGAGTAAAGAAAGAACCTTGGAATCACAGACATATGTTTCCGCAGTCCGCACAGAGAGCTCCTCGGTGTAGGTGTGGGCGCGGTGGATGCACGGGGCCTCGGCACGGGAAAGCCAGTTCACATGCTCACGGGGTTTCCATAGTCGTCATTTATATTCTTCGGTCACCCGCACTCTGTTGACTTACCACATTACATCTGTACTACCACATTCACCATGTCTGTCAAGAAAGGTATGCTTCACTTTTCTGTTCAGATGAGAAGAGAAACCCAGTTGTTAATGGTGAATAGATTCCCACCCTTCCTCCGCTGCCTTCGACGTCATCAACCAGACGCTCCAGGCCAATGAAGCCGACCGCAAGAACGCCATAGGCCAGGCCAAGGCTATCTTCTCCTTCAACCTGAAGAACTCCAGCGGCGAGGAGGCTGCCTGGTATCTTGATCTCAAGAACAAGGGCGAGGTCGGCCAGGGCGCTGCCCCTTCTGGCGACAAGGCCGATGGTGAGTTCACATTGATGATGTGGGCGCTGAGCTGCCTGGCGCGTTTTTCTTTTTCATACGCTAATTTTTCTTCCTTTTTCAATAGTCACCCTCACCCTCTCCGACGAGGACTTCGCTCAGCTTGTTTCCGGCAAGGCCAACGCCCAGCGTCTGTTCATGGGTGGCAAGTTGAAGATCAAGGGAAACATCATGAAGGCTACCAAGATGGAGCCTATCCTGAAGAAGGCCCAGGGCGGTGCCAAGCTGTAAAGAATAGATACCCTTTTGACAAATTATATACACCCTCATTCATAAGGGCGACTATTTAATGGCTTTCTACCTGTGTTGTGTTCTTCGTATCTGTCCAGTCTCGAGCGTATAAGCAGCCGCCGTGAGTGCCGATCAGCGGAAGCGGTAGTCCTCAATCTGATCGACAATATCCTATTTACAAGTCTCGCACATGTCCCTGTCTTGAAACCCGCCCCTGATCTAAAATCACAAAATAATCCGCGTCCTTAACAGCTTCAATGCGATGCGCAATCGTGATGACAGTAGACTGCTGCAACTCCTCCCGGATAATTTGCTGAATGTCAAGAGACGTCTCATGGTCAACAGAAGCAGTCGCCTCATCAAGAATGACAATCGCGCTCCGACGAAGCACCGCTCGTGTAAGAGCAATAAGTTGCCGTTGGCCCTGACTCAGGTTTCTTCCTCCGGCCTCAATATGCGTTCCGAGATGCCAACCATGCCGACTGCACAGACGGTCTAGAACTTCAGTGCACTGCTCATCTGAGTAGTCTTCCGTGGGATCTAGATTGAGGCGAATACTCCCAGGGAAAAGGACGGGGTCTTGTGCAACAAAGGTAACCCGTGTGCGCAACGCTTGTGTGTTAACTTCGGCAATGTCAATGCCATCGATGAGAATACGGCCAGATTCCGGTCTGATGACGCTCAGGAGCGACATTGCCAGTGTCGACTTGCCGCTGCCTGTACGCCCCATGACTGCTGTAGTGGATCCGCCGGGTATGCGAAGAGAGATGTTCATAAGCGAAGGGTCGAGATGTGGCGCGTAACGAAGAGTTACATCTTCGAAGACAACATCCTTGCCGTAGGTTGGCCACGCGGCTGAGGGATCCACGGTACCTGGGCTTTCTTCTTCAATATGGAGTAGCTCGTCGACTCGCTCTACCGAGACAAAGTCCATCTGAAGTTGGCCGTACTGTTTGCACAATGCATGTGTGGACTGCACAAAGTTGTTGGCAGCAATAAGCACAAATGCTATCAACCCTGGCGTAGTGTTTGTGTACAGAGCCAGAGCTGTCAGGCAAAAGGTCGAGAAAGCGGACAGGCTCTCAAACCGGTACATGAGCCAGCTCTGGAGTGACCAGTAGAAATGGTCCATCCCTTGGAACTTGTCTACTACAGATATGACCCGGGCTTGAAACTGTGACTCTGCATGGAATGCTCGGACAGTGGTCAGACCATGCAGTAGCTCGCCGAAATTGGATAAGAGAGGGCTCAAGGACACCATCTCGAGGCGTCGTAAGCTCTGAGAAGTAGGAAGGAAACGCAAGAATACCAAGACAAATGCCACTGTGAGAGCTAAGGAGAGTACCAAGAATATCGGGGTAGCAGTGGCGATGACCAGCACAGAGGAGATCCAGGTAATTGCCTGGAATGCAATCACCTGGAATTGCTCACTGATATTGCCATCGACGACTCCAATGTCAGATGTGAGGCGGTTCATCAAGCGCCCCAGCGGGATTGTGTCCAAGTATCGGAAAGTCGCATGGCTGACTCGGACCAGGACCTGTCGGAAAAATGTCCGCCCAGCACAATAGACGATCACCAACATCAACAGCTGAGCAACAAGAAGTGTAGCTGCTTGGAAAGATATTATGGCAAAGAATGCCCATAGCCAAGGCCGCACATCTTCGCGCGGAGACGGAAGTTGGTCTATCGGGTTTTGGGGCATGAAATAAGTGTGGATGCTCAGCCCCGAGACTAGCCAGGAGCCTTGTGGTGACATCTCGTCCCTCAGAACAGTGGTCCGCTCATAGGCCTCTCCCCATCCTTTGAGGAACCATGATTGCCCAACAGCCATTAGCCGATAGATTGCCAGGATGAGTACGAGGGTTAACCACCATCGATACTTTCCGGCTCTGACGTAATTCCAGTAAACTCGAGCCTTGACACCTCCCTCTGCCCGATGCTCTTCCTCAATGAATTTATCAGGCACAGCAGCTGTCTCTTCCTCGAGAGTGCTTTCGGCTTGAGTTTCAGTTTCATTTTCATGACCAATGGGTTGTAGAGTACCTGTCTCGGTCACGTCAAGCTTTATTGACTCCTTGTCGTAAATAGTGGCACGTTTGTCACAAATGTCAATGATCTGGTCGGCAATTTGACGAACTAACGTTGTTCGATGCGTCACTAGAACAACAGTGCGGTCTTTCATCAACGGCCCCGAAAAGCACTTGCGGACTATCAGCTCTGCTGTATTATGATCCAACGCAGACAATGGGTCGTCTAAAAGCAGGACCCGCGATGCGCTATAGACAGCTCTTGCCAGGGCTACTCGCGCTTTTTGTCCACCTGATAGACCAATTCCATTTTCGCCCACAAACGATAAATCACCTTGTTTGAACTGAGCTAGATCAGGAAGCAAGGCACATGCTTCCAGTGTCCGCTTGTAGCGCTGTTCGTGATAAGGAGCGGAGAACAGAATGTTGTCCCGAATAGTCATGCTTTGCAGCCATGGCGTTTGAGCGCAATATCCAACCATTTCATTTGGAACGTGGGCTGAGCCACTGATCCTATCTAGTTCTCCTAGAAGGGCTTGCAAGAATGCGCTTTTCCCAGCCCCAACCTTGCCAGTGACAACAGTCAGCCCTCTGGGTATGACGACGTCGATGTCAATGAGGACGGGTGAGATTTTCCCAGGCCATGCAAACGAACAAGACGTCATTGATAGTGGATCCTCGTCTGCAGAGGATTCAATGGGCAGAAGTTCCTTGTCTGGTTCAGACATGAAGTCCTCGATACGTCCAAGGGCAATGAAGGCATTGATAAGCGAGGTGATGAGACCAGGAATATCCCGAAGGCGCGTTTCGAGCATTGTGAATAGCTGCAATGCAGGGAAAATGATATCGATCCGTAGATCATGGCCAGCCAACAGGGTATATGCGTACAATGCAACCACTGGAAAGACGCCACTGGCGAAAGCGTTGATGGTGCGAATCAAGATACCCCATAGACTAGTCACAATCCGGATAGTCAGCTCATGCTGTCGAGCCTCCATTACCTGTTTGAGCCAATGATTCTGCCACCCGTACCAGCGCAGGTGGCGAATCGCTTCGACAAATTGCGAAGTGATCTGGAGTCTGGTATCCGTTGCCGCTCGTCTGACTCGCTCCCACCGGAGAAGGGCTCTAGTAACCAGTGCGTTCACGGCCTGTGCAACTAGGACTGCTAGTATTCCTAAGAAACAAGAGGGGCCGAAGAGAGTCCAGACAAGGATAGTAGCGATCACAAGTCCCAGCGGCTTGTCGATGAGCGAGTCGACCTCCCAAAATCTCTGGGCAACTTCGTAGACATCCCCTCGGAGAAGATTGAAAATTTTGCCAAGTGACGCAGCTTCTTTGGCCTGTTTCTGTGGGGTCTTTCGCCCATGTGGGACGATCTGACGCCAGAAGCTTTTTACGGCTTTGACGGGAGGTTCTTGTGTTTCTTCAGGTGGAGTGGCGTTGACATTGCCGTTGTCTTCGCCGTTGGGCTGACCTGTGTCGCCCTCAACCATAAGCCCGAAGATGTTCTTTCGTGAAAGGGCTTTCTCATAGACCATCATGATCATTTCACCTCTTGACCTTTCATAAGACCGTCTTCCGTACCACAGAAGTAGCACCTGGGACTGTGCCGCCACCAGCCTCAGAGCGAAAGATAGGAAGGCATAGGTCAAAGGTACGCGCTTTGGTCGGGAGGGGTCTTTCATAGCCTGCAATAGTTGCTGCAACAATACTGGGGTAGAAAAGTCTGATAATACTGTCAGTGGCAGGGAGTGGAGTGGAGCCTTGTTCAGATTTTACCCACCACATATGAGTTGTATAATCGAGATTGCAGAGATGATAAAGACATCGATTCCATTAGCTCTCACTAGCCGACTGAGAACAGACCCACGAAGTCGACGGAACTTGTCATGTAGACGACTGTGCTGAAAGTCAAACCCAAGCAGCCAGACATCTCCCTCGTGCAGTTGTCTTTTGCGCCCAGTGGAGATGAGCGGTGCCATCCAGGAGACCGTAAGAAATTGCCAAAGCCTTAGATTATCTTCTGGAGTGCGAAAGTCATTCGATGGCTGTTGACCAACAGCGCTGATATCTATTGATGGCATTGCAGGCTCACGGAATGGCATCAAGAGGATTGTTGTACAAGCTGCTGCTGCGGCGGCGGCGGCGACATAGCGAGCCACGATCTTGAATTGCGGACTCACGTCTGGGTGTCTCGTCAGAGAGAGCTCAATTACAAATGCCAGAAAGTAATAAGAGAGCATCAAAATAGAACAACGCCTGGGCCGCGTGACTGCGACCAGAATCGATACTGTTGCCTGAAATAAGAGTCAATGACCAATACACCCACTTAAGAATAAAGGATAACTCACCCATGAGACGATAAGTACAAAAGCCGAAGCACCAATCCTTGGAGGGACAAATTGAACAGTCTCGGCCAAGAGACCCGTAGCTGAGAGTACAAGAAGAGCTGCAGTCCATTGCAATGATTGCTTTGGCCGATCCAGCGGGAGCTCCTGAGTATCATGTTGCTCAGATACGAAAGGGATAGTCCACTCAGGACGCCATCTCTTAAAGTAGCTCCCAAGTATGTGGCCCAATGCAGCGAGCAGTATTATAATGGCTGGGATGCATGCCAGATAGGGCAATACACAAGGCGATAGCCACGCATTGTGTGAGTCCTAGATCTCAGTTAGCTGCATGTGAGCTAAAGGAGGCGCGGCGACTGCCTACCCAAAAATAATCACACCCTGATATTGAGGCACCCTGGACCAGGGGTATTTGATTCATATTTGGTCCGAAGAGCAATGCCAACTCTTAGTAGCCTCAAAGATGATGAGTACTACGTAGACATACGAAGTACGCATAGAGCGTGGGGCTGGATCAATATTCCTCCGCTTGGCCCGTGCTTATACAGGCACCATGTCAGCCTTGGCATTTCAGTCTCGTTTGGTATTAGCGCGGAGTGCCTACCGGGAAATTCCATTTCCGGCGGCGAGGGTCTCGTCTCCGTAGAGCTGGGCAGCTTGGCAAAGCCAAAATTCAACGTCCACGTTAATGATCATGCCTTTTTACCAAGCCGCTAGTCTTAGATAACATTGCTTAATTTCTTGTCAATGCTTGGTGATTTTAGTCTCACGCTGAGCTGGACATTACCGTCGTCACCTCGTCACGTCCATAGAATATCCTGCGAATATCCGCCGGCAAACTTTGAATTGAAATACCCTCCGTCCAACGTCATCTACCAGAGTTCTTCCCCGTTACTTTTACAGTAACTTATCTCAGGCTGATGGTCCTAACGTCTTGATCAAGTCACTTCCCATGTCTTGGGCTGAACCTGTACGGAGTACTAGACTGGTGGCCTGGCCGTGTCCGGCATGCCCAATGCCGGGCCGATCGACATCGGGAAAGTGACGGCTCCACTTGAGTTCCCCGGAGGCGTTCAAAGAATTTTCTTTTTTTCCTTCTGGCCTGTCTAGAGGAAATTCCATCGTCATTCGGTTTGTCGATATAGGCTGCTCATAGGTCTCGCCTCGGAGAATCGGTGAGTAGAGATCCTGGCCATCATGTTCGACAAGACATATGCCGGAGACGGCGAGGCGGCCGATTGGTCTCTCGATAAGGACATGGAGAAGAAATTCGACCCGAAGCAATTGGAGCCCTTTGGAAATGAGGAGACGGCCGAGATCAAATATCGGACTATGAAATGGTGGTAAGTTGTTACTGCTAGGTATACATTTACATAGTAATGGCTAATCATGTTGAACTAGGCATTGCGGAATGCGTGAGTCCTTCTAAATATTGTGCATCTGCAAAGGTCCAGCTTTCTAACGCCAATTTCAGTCATGATCGCAGAGAATGTCTCTGTTGGTATCCTTTCTCTGCCTTCGGCTGTGGCTACTTTGGGAATGGTTCCGTATGTATCTCCCTTCGATAGTTAACTAGACACAAGGGACAATGACTAACAATATAAAACAGCGCTGCTATCATGATCTTGTTTATCTCCGCGCTCTCATGGTATACTGGCTATGTCATTGGACAATTCAAGCTTCGTCATCCTGAGGTACACAGTATGGGAGATGCCGGCGAGATCTTGATGGGCCCTTTCGGCCGTGAGCTACTGGGAATCGGCCAGCTGCTGCTACTTATCTTCCTTATGGCAAGCAACATCCTGATGTTTAACATTCTCATGAACGTGCTCACAGACCACGGTACCTGCACGTTGGTATTTGGTGTCGTTGGTCTGATTATCTGCTTTTTGGGTGCCTTACCTCGTACAATGGACAAGGTCTACTGGATGTCCGTTATTTGTGAGTGGAATCAAGACTGTAACGATATGCTCGAAGAACGATCAACTGACCAGGGTCAAGCATTCTTGAGTGTCTTTATAGCAACAGTGTTGACCATGATCACCGTGGGAGTGGAGAGCAAGGGACCTGTCCCGAACCAAGTCACCACGGAGGTCAGCTTCCGCGAAGGCTTTTTGGCTGTGACCAACATCATTTTCGCTTACCGTACGTTGATCACTAGATGGATATGGAGATCACGGCATTTGACGAAGTCAACCGAACTAACTGAAACCGATGTATAGTTGCCCACGTCGCGTACTTCGGCTTCATGTCTGAGACAGAAGACCCACGCACATTCAACAAATCACTCGCCATGCTCCAGATCGTCGACACAGTGCTGTATCTTGTCAGCGCTCTGCTCATCTACCACTACGTGGGGCCTGAGGTCCAGTCACCGGCCATTCTGTCTATGAGTCCTGTGATGAGGAAGATTGCTTGGGGCATATCAATCCCAACGGTAAATCATCCTATTATAATATTTGTTCTTCCAACGTTCCTCGCTAATTATATACAGACAATCCTCTCCGGAGTTGTCCTCGGCCATGTCGCATGCAAATATATCTACGTGCGGCTTTTCCGTGGATCCGACAAGATGCACAGCCGAAGCTTCCTGTCGATTGGTTCCTGGGTCGCCATCTGTCTTGCAGTCTGGGTCGTGGCCTGGGTTGTGGCCGAGTCGATCCCTGTATTCAATGACCTGCTCAGTTTGATTGTAAGTCACAAACATTCCAATTTATCTGAGAATGTGGGTTAACAAAGAGACTACAGAGTGCGTTGTTTGGAAGTTGGTTTAGCTGTAAGATTTCCTATCAATCTCATGGATTTGAACTGCATACTAACCTTTTGAACAGTCGGACTCCCTGCAATTTTCTGGTTCTACATGAACAAAGGCCGATACTTCCAGAACTGGAAGAAGGCCGTCTTGACGATAACCAATGTGCTTGTCTTCCTTATTTCTTGTGCCATTGTAAGTATCTCCTTTTTGCTCCTTTGTCTGGATACCTAACTAATCTTCCCTAGTGCGGATTGGGATTATGGGTGTCAGGAGTTGCAATTCACGAAGACTCCAGCTCCCGAAGCTGGTCTTGTGCCAACACTGCATGATGGAGCATAACCATGAGAGTTCCTTTTACTAGAGAACCTTCTCTTTCAAAATGAACACGATATTGTATAGATTGAATTTATAGACAGATGGATAGACATAGACAACAACTCACTAGCGTATGTCATGCATTTCACATTTCTCATTCTAATATGTTAGACAGTTGTCGAATTCTACATCAGTTCCAATAAAGATGCGTTGGCCACTCCGCTCGATGTCTCCAAGAAAGAGGAGACGAACATCCCCGCACTGAGAGAATCCCGTGTCCCACCTTGCATAGTTCGCCTTAGGCCATCCCCGGCCCATCTTTCCCCTACCGGGCACCTGCAGATACTTGCGGGGATGTTCTTGCTTCGGTTGACAGAGCTCCGAATCAACTTCACAGACATCTACACCCACAACTGCGACTCTTTGTCCTTACTATCAGCATGATTTGTCGTTACATACATCCAAATTGATCTCGACTCCCATTGCATCTTACTGCTCTGACATCTGGGAAGCTACGATTGCAACAATACCAAGTTACCACCTCTTTCGGCATCAGAATGTCTGCCAATACCGGAGCAGAGGCGGTTGAAGACGAGCGAGCCTCGCTTACTTCCCGAGTTATTCCTGTGATGACATTTTCAGAGGGATCTAATCCACTCACTCGGCCCCTCCCGCCTCTACCCTCCTCCACAATACCCCTCGCAAGAGCAGCAGCCCGATTCCAAGTCGAGGGGAAAGCCATAATCACTGGTGGTGCCGGAGCATTAGGCCTCATCTCGGCACAAGCTCTTCTGGAACATGGTCTCTCAGCATTGTGTATCATGGATCTCCCCAGGACTCTCGAAACATCCAACGAAGAAATCCAATCACTGGCAGTGAAGTTTCCATCGGCAAACATCACCAAGATCGCCCTGGACGTGACATCAATGGACTCTATCGAAACGGCATTTGAGCAAGCATTTCAGAGCATGGGAGGCGTCGACATTCTCTGTTGTTTCGCCGGAGTCGTGAGCTCCCAACACTCCCTCTCGGTGGCACCGGACCAATTCAACAAAGTGTTGGACGTGAATCTGAACGGATCCTTCTTCTGTGCTCAGGCAGCAGCAAAGCGCATGGTAGCTTCTGGAAAAGGAGGCTCTATCCTGTTGACTGCATCGATATCCGCCCATTGTACCAACTTCCCTCAGCCGCAAGCTGCTTACAATGCCAGCAAGGCTGGTGTCGCGCATCTGACCCGCAGCTTGGCTGCGGAGTGGGCTGTTCATGGGATTCGAGTGAATAGTATCAGTCCTGGGTATATGGATACTATTCTCAATGCCGGAGATGGGTTGGCGGCTGCCAGGGAGATTTGGGACTCTCGGTGCCCTATGGGTCGGATGGGGGATCCTGAGGAGATTACCGGGGCTGTGGTGCTTCTGTGTAGCCGGCGTGGGGGACGATTCATCACTGGTGCTGATATTGTTATTGATGGAGGAACTTTGGCTCTGTGAGGGTGTCTGTCTGCGCGAATTCTTACAGAGCCATATGGTAATTTTGGAACGTATATTCTTCATTGATCGATATGGACATAAACATGAAATGAGCTTAGAACAAATATCCCGTTGCGATTCACCTAGGCCCTTTTCCATCAGGAGAGCATATATGAGATTTGCTGGGGAAGACCTATGATACTCTAAAGAGTGAAGTATGCAATAGTGGCGGCAAATGTAGCCAGATTGTCGCTGACCACCGCCAGCGATGTACCATCCTTTACAATCATGTTCGTTGTGCCAACAGTGTTGAGCCCATAGACCACCAATCCGCTTGTATTTCCCTCAATGCTGAAAATCATGCTTTGGCAGTTCTCCGGGACCGGGAACGTGGAGCATGAGGTGTCATAATTGTTGAAGAAGCTGTATAGACCGACTCCGTAGAGGATCACGTCATTGGTATCGAGGATGCGTAGACCGAGGGCGTCGCAGTTACCTCCGAGACAGCTACTGAAGCTGGGGTCGTTGAAACTGGCGTCGCTTTTGTAAGGACCGTCGGCCGCGTTGGGGTTTGGCTGCCAGTATCTGCGTGTCATTCGTTAACACATAAGCCCGTTGAAGATAGACATGGTGTAGGGTCACTCACGGTGTCTCTGTTTGTACATATCCTGCGACAATCGAGCTTGCATCCGAGAACTGGTACTGGTACAGCTGGTGATGCTCGGATGCAGTGCCATATCTAGCACAAGAGTTAGCTATTATTTGGCATGTGACTGGATTCTTGGTCACTTACAGCCAGACATTCTCTCCCTCAACCAGAAGACCGCGTCCGGTGTATACTGTGATTTGTTGATTAATTGGACTTTCGAGATCATGATCCGCGGTCCAAAGCCAGATGTTCTCTAGGTAAGCACCCCTGGCACTACTCGTAATGTGCATGGACATAAAAGCAGCCTCACAAGCCGTAGAGACAGCCGCGTTTGTAGGACACTGAGCAACCTGCTGGTTAGAACCTCGGAAGCCTCCAATGCGCGTATGCACATCCCACATCCCGGATCCAGATGTCGCTGCCAAGTTCCACTCAATAAGTACAGCGCCCGGTGTGGAGCCCGAGGTGCTGACCATCATGTCAGACCATTCAACGGATCCGGATTCTCCAGCTCTGCCAATCTGGACGACAGGAATGGGGTTGGTAATACTCGACCATTTACTGCCCGTGGCCATGATGACGGAGTATGCCTCGCCGACGATCCGAGAGCCGGGTGGGACATAGAGTGTGTCGGTGACCTTGTAGTTTCCTTGATCGAAGAAAAGAATCTTGTTATTAGACGCGGCAGATGTCAAGGCAGACTGAATAGCAGCCGTGTCATCGGTTGAGCCATCACCCCTGGCCCCAGCACTTCGAACACTGACAAACGAAGATACGGGTGACGACGCGTACTGAGGCTTGGACTTGGTGTAATACCTGTTCGATCCACTAGCAAGTAAGGCACTTGGGCGTGATGGCGGAGTGAACGAGCCCTGGAAGTTAACGGGTCCGTTGGGAGTATACTTGTGGCCCTGGCCCCAGGCAGCAATTGTCGTGGAGCCCGACGAACCAGCAAGGACAGTGCCGCTGACACCTTTCACGGCAACTGGGACATTGTTCAAATCGATGTTTTCCAGAATAAGGCTGCCAGTTGATAGTGTGGAAGACTGCCAAGCGGTGGTCACAAATGTAGGGCAGTTTTCAATGGTGCTGTCAAGGACATTGACTGAGCCAACCTGCTGGCTGCCAGCACCACCGTTCTCGATTGAGAGGCCAACTTGACAGTTGATCAAGTGCAAGCCTTGGTAAGTCCAACCCCAATCCCAGATTTGAGAAATAGCCGTCACGGCGTTCTGGATGACGATATTCCGCATTGTGAACTGCTGGTTGCCAACATTGGCTCCATAGAGACCACCGGTAATGGTCACATCGGTCATCCAGCCACCGGAGCCTATTTCGTTCATTAGAATAGGTTGAACATGGACTCGAGTTAGAACATACCATTTTCAATAAAGATACCCTGGTGCTGCGTGCCAGAAGCAGAGCTCATGGCAATCTGAACATTCTGGATGCTGGAGGCTTGGCCAGTCGGCCAATGAATACCTGTAGCAGCAGTACCGGCAGGGATCGCCGTCAAGTCCAGTTTCAAATTGCGAATCTGCCGGAAAAACACATTGGTCGATCCCCAGCCCTGGTTGCCATCGCTCTGATATTGGTCACCGTCAATCAGCCCCAGTCCGACGAACCCTGCAGTTGCTTTCAGAACTGGCAAGTTATTCGCATTGCCAATCAGCTGGGTGAAGTAGTAATCAATGATCGATGACGAAATCAGATACGTTCCAGATGGGAAGTAGACAATCGCAGGAGTTGTGGTCGATGACTGCCTGCTTGCTGGGCCAAAACGACCACCAGCGCTGATAGCTGCATTGATGGCAGCGGTATCGTCGGTTACACCATCACCTATGCTTGTGTGAGTATGTCTCGGAGATGATTCATGGAGCCCTTGCATGCTTACCTATGGCTCCGTAATCTTTCACATTGCGGAAGACTTTGTAGCCAGAGGGATCCGAATTGAAGGCGGCGATTCCTTGATGAGCGATGTCCGCTAGCCAGTAAGCTGTATCTGCCGCGGCTACTTCAGCGCTGAGCTCCGCAACTTTCGCGGTCTTCGTCTTCTGGCTTGCAACGGCCGTGGCGACTCTTGTCGGGTCTCCCAATGTAGTATATCGCTCGAAAGGCCGCAAAGCAGAACTGACTAGCTCATCCACAGCAGGGAGGTCTAGCAGCTGGGCATTGGCCCTTGCCAGTAAAGAGAGACAGGCAATCACAGAAGAATAGTGCATTTTAGCCCTCAAGCACTGAACAGTGCAAATCAGGGAGATGGGAGATGCGCGCCACTAGAAAAGCACGGGTTCCAGAGCCGGGAACACATGGCTTTTGTATAGCCACCTGGCCCCCCTGTCATTCCGAGCATAGACTCAATCGGATAATGCCTCAATGCGCATGATAAGAAAGGGGTGGCCCAATGACCCTGTTTCTTCAGCTGGAGGCTATTGAAATCAGGGAATGCCACTCCGAGATACCACACGAGACGGGGAAATAAATAGCGAGTGACTGGTGAACAGGGGTAGTTATTGGCAACAATTTTCCGGGGAAGTCGTTCGGCTTGTCACGCAGCCTTGTCCGCCTCATGATGCGATGGGTGGAAATGAGAATTTTATGTCTCCGTACATCGAATACGACTGCATAGTGCGGACCTTTTCCCCACAAGAGAGCTATTCCCCTGTCTCTGCTACCTTGCTTGCAGGACGACCAATAGGGCGTCGATGTCGTAAACGTCACGTTCTGCGGGAAATCGAGCTAAGATACTAGTCTGACGAGGAGGCGCCTCCTAATAAGGGCGGAATGTGACAGTGTCAACACCTATTGAGCCACTTTTTGAGCGAATATGTGATTTCGGTGTGACAAATAGCCTAATAGGGGTAGGAATAAGCAATCATTCAAGGACTATGGAGATAATCTGAGTCTCGAGCAGATCATCTTCACGATCAACTCAAACGGAGTTAAGGTCAGAAGACCCATAGGCCCTGACCCGAGTGCGGGGAGATCAGGGATCAGTGCCGAGTTGCTAGTTGCTGACTTCGGTACTACCTGAGAGTCTGAGGCCCCTATAACTATACAGTCCATCGGTGTAAGCTGGAAGGCACCGATACGCACACTCACCGATACCTATTTGTTCGGCCTCGGCTCGTCGTGACACTTTGAGGGGTTTGAAGTGAGGACTATTGAAGTTAGAGGTCTCTTCGATCCCTCCTTCTATCGATTATTGCGCTAAAAGGCAACTGAAGCATGTACCTACAGTACCTGGTCATTCTTCGACACTTAGAAATACTTTTACACTTTCACTGCGTAGCGCTGTAGAACCTCCAGTACATGCATCAAAGGCGGTAGCCGCGGTAGTTAATTACTCCGTAGGTTTTGCTGCAATATACGTCACGTGAACATGCGCGTACACAGTATTTGTATTTAGCTAGAAGTCTCAGGTTAGGCATTGCCAAAGGCGCTTGAATTTGATACACGTAGTTGAGAAGGTAGGTAGATACTAAGATACACAGCATAAAGCATTTTGTCCGTTCATGCTGTATCAACTGTCTCAGGTCTTGCTTGCTACTTGCTAGTTACTAGTTCAATCTGTAGCCTTTCTGTGGTGGTTCTTTCTGCGGGTCCAGCTTAGCAACATCGTGAATGAACATGGCCTCTGTTAGGGCAAACAAGCTTCCTCAGTTGACCCTTTGATAGATTGCTCCAGTGAGCTCCACCTTAAACAGATCAGAATTACTGTGCCATAATTATCGAATCTCCTCCACTCTACTCCGTATGCGGGCAAACAATAGCTCAACCAGCTGCCGAGCATACACAGTAGACCTTGCCAAGACACAGCACGTGACTGGATTTGTCCGCCTTGGATGCTTCCTGCAAAAAAAAAAAATAGAAGAACAGTAGTCGCGACTTCCCTCATCGTTTCGATAGGCATATCGAACTTCGAAGACCAAATATCATCAGCGAAGCTACTTGGTCTGTCTTGATATCAATTTCCTCGCTTCGAAGCCTTGGGTTTGTTGCCCGTGCCGTCAGCTTCCTGCGCGCCGGATCGCGGACGTGTCACCGAAACCGCGTAATATCACCTTACACCATATCGCCAGCTATCGTGTCTTTCGCTATCGGCAATTTCTAAGAGGAGGAATAGCCATAAAAGTCGTTGTCTTTTTTGAGTCAGTGCGCAATCGGAAAGAGCCTCGCCGCACGCCGAAACCTCCCTGTCTCGACCGTCTCGATTACCGCAAGTGAGAGGACTCATCTGTGAGCCATCAAGGCGTCGGAACTTTGCTTGTGCGTTGGTATTGTTGGATCAGCTTCAACCCGTATTGCATACCGCCCATAATATAGTAAGGCGGTTCGTGCAGTTCGAGCTTGAAGCATTCGATCCGCAAGTCGTTGCCAACCGCTCAATATGTTGAAACGTGGAGCCCACGGTGATCATATGCGCAGGGAAGAGGAAGGCGTTTTGGGGATGGCCAGCACCCCAGATGAGAAGCCCCAGCGGGCCACAGCGGCCCAGCTAGCTAATAGAAAGTAAGTAGTACTTGGATGGCGATGGGTGTGCACAGACTGACCGAGGATCTCTTTGCGAACTTTAGGATCAAGGACGTTCGCAAACGCCGAGCCGCAACGCCCACTGCCGGTGCAGGCGCACCTGAGACGGCATTCAACCCGTTCGCCGGCGCCGCGGCACCAGCACAGACGCAGTCTAGTGGGTTCCCATTTGGTCAGGCTCAGAGTCAAAGCTTCCCTGGTGCAAGTTCAGGGCCGAATCAGGGGGGAATCTTTTCGTCGGGCACCAACGGCCAAGCGGCTGCTCCGGCACCATTCAGTTTCGGCGGGGGATCTACCTCGTTCGGGTCTGCACCTTCGAGCAATCCCTTCTCTGTGGACACATCATTTGGCGGAAGTACACAACCAAGCAGCAATGGATTCAGCTTTGGGGGATTCAATGCTGGGGGTCAACAGTCCGTTCCTTCGTTCGGTGGATTCGGAGCCCAACCGAATACAAGCACCCCAGCAAGTACCCCAGCAAGCACTGGGTTGTTCGGAAAGTCTGTAGCACACATTGCTTCGCCTGCCGATGACAGCATGCAAACTTCGCCAGACACCAAGCCCAAAGGAGATTCCATGTTTTCGCCCAAGCCAGCCGCGGGTGGGTCGACGTTCAGCAATCCCTTCGCCAACATTTCGGGGCAGAGTACATCCACCAATATCTTTGCACCCCCAAAGACAACTCTGACAGAGCAATCTGCCGCCAAGCCTGCGGAGTCACAGCCCTTTAAGCCTTTGTTCGGATCAACTGCCGCTGCTCCGAAGCCGTCGGATGCGCAAAAAGAGCAGCCACCGGCTAGCAATCCATTTGCAAACCTATCAGGGCAGACTTCAGCCAACAGCAGCAACATATTTGCCCCGAAGGCACCGGTAGTGGACGGGGCATCCCCGAAGCCTGCAGATTCAGCGAAGCCTTTCGGGTCTCTTTTCGGGTCAACTCCCAGCACTCAGCCTTCAGGGCCTGCTAGCAATTTGTTCGCCCCCAAGCCAGCGGCGGAAGAAGCAAAGGCAAGCAATCCGTTTGGGAACCTGTCTGCGCCGACTTCGTTCGGTGCTATGCCCTCGCCGACTTCGTTCGGTGCTATGCCCTCGCCGAAGGTCACTGGAATAGAGAGCCCTGCGAAGGCCGCTGAAGCTCAACCGTTCAAGCCTCTGTTCGGCACACCTGCAGCGTCGAAGGTCGCGGAGGCTGACAAGGGGCAAACCCCTCCGCCAGCATTTAATAACATATTTTCACCAAAGCCGGCCGCTGAAACAGCAGCCGAAAAGCCTGCGGCAGAGCAGCCGTTCAAGTCTCTCTTTGGTACACCCGCGACATCAAAAGCCCCAGAGGCCGCGAAAGAGTCTGCCGCAGCGCCAGCCTTTGGCAATATGTTCTCACCGAAGCCGGCCGCCGAGGGTGCAGCTGCAAAGCCTATCGAAAGCCAACCGTTCAAGTCCTTGTTTGGAACACCTGCGACCCCAAAGCCTGCCGGGGCGGAGAAGGAACCCGCGGCGGCGAGCAATATCTTTGCGCCTAAGGTGACAAGTGAAGAGCAGACTACCGTGCCTGCAAAGACCCCGCAATTGGGGTCAGTCTTTGGGTCTCCTGCACCGTCGAAGCTTGGAGAAGCACAGAATACTCAGGCAACTCCTAGCAATCCATTTTCTAATCTGTCGGGGGCAGCCGCATTTAATAATCCGTTTGCGCCTAAGCCAACAGAGCAGGCTGCAAAGTCTCAAACACCGAGTACATCGTTGTTTGGTGCAAGCGCAGCAATTGGAAGCAACAAGGACAATAAGGAGAATAAGGACAATGGCGCAGCTGCCTTGGGGACCTCATTGAGCAACCCATTCGCTGCTAGTGCTCATGCTATTGATGAGACACACAAGGAGAGTGCGACTGAGGCGACTGCTCAAGCATCTTCTAAATTCTCACATGATGCCTCCAAAGATACAAGTTCTTTAGCTCTCCCATCTTCTTCTTCTTTTTCTCTCCCCTCTTCCACCTCAACTTCTACTGTTACCAATCCTCCTACTCCTTCAGATCTTTACCTTGCTTCTGACACTTTCATTGCTACGGACGCTGACAGTCGTTTCCCCCGACCTGATCATCCTCCATCACTCGATTATCCTGAAATCATGCCTCTCAAAAATCCTGTTCCGGGTGCGAAGGAGATCAACCCTCGCCACCAGACCGAGGCGGCTCTCCTTTGGAAACTTCGCATGTTGACTGAGTCATTCAAGCGTGAGGTCGCCAAATGCGATCCTATGACTGATGATATCGACGATGTGATTCTTTTGTATGTTGATCTCCGTCGGGAGCTCGGCATTCCCATCGGGGCTATCGATCCCGACGAAGAGCACGAACGGACCAATCTCGATGAGACCGAGGCTTACGCTCAGGCGCCACCGACGGAAGTGCGCCAGCGCGCCTCGACTCCTGAGAGTTTCACAATTCCTCGGACGCGCATGGACGAGCCTGCGATCGCCAAGAACCCTGAGACCGGTTCGTCGACCGTCTCTAAGTTCGCCCAATCTTTCTCTTCTTCGGCTCCTGCTTCGGCGCCTGTTACTGATTCTGCTGGCGCTGCTGCTGCTGCTGCCGCTGCTGCTGCTCCTTCGGATTCTGTCTCTACTACTCCTGTCTCTGAGACCACTGGCTCTGTCGCCGCTACCGCCGCCACCGCGCCTGTTTCAACTACTCCTGTCTCCGAGGCATCTGCCACTCCTGCCCCTGTCGCCAGTTTCACTCCTCCCACTCCTGCGGGAATCCCCAAGTTTGGTGGTGGTGCCACTTCGACCTCCGCTTCGACCGCCACTTCTGCTTTCCAAATTCCCAAGTTTGACGGTGGTGGTGCCACTTCGGCCCCGGCTTCTGCTTTCAAAGTTCCTAAGTTTGGTGCGGCATCTGGCACCGACTTCATGGCCCAGTTTAAGGCGAAGGCAGAGAAAACCGCAGCTGAAGAAAAGGCTAAGAGGAAGGCCGAAGACTTTGACTCTGACGAGGAGAATGAGGAAGAGTGGGAACGCAAGGATGCGGAACGCCAACGCGAGAAGAAGGCTGAAGCTGAAGCCGCAGCAAAGAAGCGCGCTGTCTTCGTGCCCGGCGTAGGTTTCAAGTTTGTTGATCAAGACAGTGCTGCCGCTCCCACTGATGCTGCTGCCCCCACTAACACTGCTGCTCCCACTGGCACTGCTGCTTCCACTGACGCCCCCGCTCCCACGGATGCTACTTCGAATGCTGCGAGCGCTGCGACTACTCCAACTGAGGACTCTGCCGCCACCCTCCAAGCCAAACCTGCGAATCCACCCTCTCTCTTCGCTACCACCGCAACCTCCTCGGTATTTGGATCGGGTGCCCAGCCAGTCCCAGCCTCGCAGAACATCTTTGGTAGTATCAAGCCGACTATGAAGCGCAAGGCTTCTACGGATGATACCGATAACGAGGATGAACTCCCTGCCAAGAAGAGTAAGTCGATTGTTCCTTCTGATGCAGGTGGCAGTTTGTTTGGACGGGTCGCATCCCCTCCAGCTGCGTCAAACACTGCTCTCAACACTGCTTTCCCCCCAGCGGCCTCGAAGAACCCTTTCAAGACACCTTTCCCTCCTACTCCGCCTAAGCCTGCCCCTAACACTTCTGTTCGTCCAGCTGCTTCGGCTATGAAACGCAAGGCTTCTACGGATGATACCGATAACGAGGATGAACTCCCTGCCAAGAAGAGTAAGTCGATTGTTCCTTCTGATGCAGGTGGCAGTTTGTTTGAACGGGTCGCATCCCCTCCAGCTGCGTCAAACACTGCTTTCAACACTGCTTTCCCCCAGCGGCCTCGAAGAACCCTTTCAAGACACCTTGCCCTCCTACTCTGCCTTCCCATCCTACTCTGCCTTTCCCTCCTACTCTGCCTAAACCTGCTCCTAACACCTATGTTCGTCCAGCTGCTTTGGCCAGTTCTTTCCCATCCGCCACTTCGCTCTTTGGTGCGCCAGCGGCTTCGACTGCCTCTTTCCCTCCGGCTGCCTCGAACGGTCTTTTCGGCACTTCTCCCCGACCATCTGCTTCGCCCTTTGGCACGCCAGCTGCTTCGACCCCTTTGTTCCCTCCGCCTGCTCCGTTTTCTGGCTTCGGCCAAGCCGCCCCAGCCAACGCTTCCCCTCAGCCTGCGGTGGCCACTCCCTCGGCTCAGGGGGGTGAGCCCACTGCCAGCACCGAAGAAGATGATGTTGAGGCGGGTGAGATCTTTGATCTGACCCGAGCCAACACCGGTGAAGAAGAAGAGAACGTTCTTTTCGAGGACAAGACGCGAGCTTTCAAGCTTGACTCCCGGTGGGCGTCCGTGGGAACCGGCCCCGTTCGTCTTCTGCAGCACCCCGTCACTGGACGCGCACGGATCGTCGCCCGCGCTGAGCCCTCTGGCAAGGTTGTCTTGAACACTTACTTGAAGAAAGAGCTTGACTACAAGCTCACCACCAACAGTGTTCAGTTCTTGGTGCCCGAGGAGGGCGGTAACCTCCGCCATTGGGCGCTTCGCGTGAAGCGTGAGCGGCTTCAAGAGTTCTACGACTTGATCAATAAGTCCAAGAACTAAATTTGTTTCAACACTTTTTTTCATATCGAATGATCTCCTTCTTATCCTTCGATGTCATTAAGGGAAGATCTCTTACCCATCTCTCTATCTCTGTCCTCCCTTTTGGGAGTGTATGTTTATGTCTAGCGCGTTGCATAAGTGTCGCATTTGCGCGCGGTGGTTCGGGTTTCCAGGTATCTTTTTCGTTCTTGTTTTACTTTTACTGCTTTCACTTTATGTATCGATGCTCTTGGACGAGTTCGATCCGGCTTTACGCAACGGGTCGACTTTGTTAGAGACGATGCTTGTGAGGGTGAGGACCGGGTATTTCCCAGGGCCCATTGGCTTTGAACTTCTTATTTTTATCTAAATCAAATCCAAGCAAATTGATATTTTGATTACTATTCCAAGTATATAATTAGATATGATCCATCAGCAGGCGAGATTGGAAAAAGCCACAAAAACTAAGGTGGGAACAATTTCGATCCTGTTGGGCGCCACCAGAGCCTCGGCCTTGGAAAACAACGCCGTACTTAAGCCACGGATTTTCTCTTCCCCTTTCTTCTGATTTTTATTCTCCCTTCTTCTGCCGAACCAGTCACTCGTTAAACCCCCCAGTCACTCATTCCAAACATTCAATATGAAGTTCGCCGCTCTTTCCACCCTTCTAGGGCTCGCCAGCCTCGCATCAGCCCGCACAGATCTCGAAGGCTGCGTCTCCTCCACGGTTGTAATCGGCTATGGCGCCAGCCTCCTCTGGTACGTCCCAGACAGCGGTGAAATCTGCTCTTTCCTCGACTGTGGCGGTGGTCGCGCGCCCCCCAAGACCAACGTCCCGGGCTGTGGTGGGTACCACGGCACTGCAACCGTCACCCCGGACTACATCGAGGGCTGGGGCCCGAACGGCAAACAGGCCGCCTCTACGACCACCGTTCTGTCGACTTCGGCCACGGCTGAGGCCTCGCCTACCGTTGACGCGTCGATTACCACCCAGGCGTCTGAGACGTCTACCGCGTCTTCGTCTGCTTCTGTTTCGTCTTCTTCCGCCTCCAGCCCGGAAAACACTTCGACGGCCTCTGATTCGACTGCCGCTGGGTCGATGACTATCACTACCTCCCCCAGCTTGGCTACTGCCGCTACTTCCACTGCTGCGACTAGCAGCCCTACTTTCAACGCTGCTAATGGTCTTGCTGCGAAGGGTGCTGGTGTCATGGCTATTGTGGCTGCTATGGTCGGTGCTATTGGCTTGTAGATTTGATTTGAAAGGTTTTACTATACGTAACCTTCTGTATTTGGATGTTGTGGTGCATAGCGCCAAAAACTTGTATCTAGATCTATATTGTAAACAGGTACCATCTAATACAAACAAGCTTATTCGCTGCCACCTGTTCCCTAGGAAGTTGGCCAATGCCTACCTAATAAGTATACGCTCTCTTTTTCACCATGGAATGCGGCAATGCCCTGGAAGTAGTCCCACTCGAGACAGTTGTATCCCCTGTCCAGTACGTTGTAGACAGTCGGGCCGTAGACATGAGCCGCACCGCCGATCCCACCTGCATGACCCGCTCACTTGGCGAGACCCAGCGGCAGCAGGGTTGGTGATGCACGTGAGCTTCATTGACGCTTGATACGAGTCTGAAGAATGCTAGATATAGATGTCATATAGTGCAGCAGATCAGATCTACAGATTGTACAACGATACACGGATACAAAGAAACATTGGTGATCGATATACTGCGTGCTGAAATCCCCGAACCTCAGAAATGGACTCCAAAGGGAAGAGCAGCCGTAGAGGTATCCAATGATACATACATGGACACGCAGACAAGCTGAAGCTGGCTGCTGCCTGGCAGCATGCCAATTGATTGGCGTTATTACTGTGTTGTAAGGACGATTTAGAATGGATCTGAAGTAGTTGGAGCCGCAGCTTGAACCCCCACGTCTGTCGGGCCCAGCCGGGCTTATCAAACTAATCCCCCGCACGGAACCGCTCCGATACCTCCCAACTTCCAATTCCCCTCCCTCATCCTCTTCAACTCCTTCACAAACATGGCCGCTATATTGAAACAACCCTTGAAATTGGCTCTTGTCCAGCTCGCATCGGGTAATGACCCTTTCAAAACTTGACATTGTTTTAGACTGACAACTGACCGAAACATCTAGGAGCGGACAAGGCCGTGAACCTCTCTCATGCTCGAAGCAAAGTCCTCGAAGCTGCAAAGGCTGGCGCACGTTTGATCGTTCTCCCCGAGTGCTTTAACTCGCCTTACGGCACAAACTTCTTCCCGAAATACGCCGAGACCCTCCTTCCCTCACCACCCACCAACGAACAATCGCCCTCCTTCCACGCACTGTCAGCCATCGCGAAAGAGGCAAATGCCTATCTCATCGGTGGCAGTATTCCTGAGCTAGAGCCAACAACCAAGAAGTACTACAACACCTCCCTGGTCTTCTCGCCCACAGGCGCCTTGATTGGCACCCATCGCAAGACGCATCTGTTCGACATCGACATCCCGGGCAAGATCCAGTTCAAGGAGAGCGATGTACTTTCGCCTGGCAACCAGCTGACCGTCGTTGATCTACCGGAATATGGAAAGATCGGTCTGGCCATCTGTTACGACATCCGATTCCCAGAAGCTGCGATGATCGCCGCCCGCCAGGGCGCTTTCCTCCTCGTTTACCCCGGTGCCTTCAATACTACTACCGGTCCCCTGCACTGGTCACTTCTTGGCCGTGCCCGCGCTGTTGATAACCAGGCCTATGTGGCGCTTTGCAGCCCGGCCCGTGACATGGAAGCCGCCTATCATGCGTATGGGCACAGTTTGGTCGCTGATCCCAGTGCCAAGATTGTTTCCGAGGCTGAAGAGAAGGAGACAATTATCTATGCTGATTTGGATAATGAGTCTATTGCTAGCATTCGCAGTGGAATTCCTATCTCCACTCAGCGACGATTTGACCTGTATCCGGATGTGAGCGCAGGCCCGAAATAAGTGGGAGTATTGCAACTTATAGATGTTAAGAGCATATCAGAATTATCTATAGAATAGTTGTCAAACATAACACTGAAGCGACTCCAGAACTCTCTATGGAGTTCTTGGATACGCAGTGAAATGATGATTTATTGCCTGAGGCAGAAGTACCCACACATAAAATGTGATTGGCTGTAGCATAGCCCCACCCTAGCCAATTAAACCCCACACACTCAAGCGAGACCACACTGAATTTCACTCGAAAATCGACCGCGAACTTTCCTTCCCATCGATCATATCCGCCCACAGTCGACCACCCCTTCAGTCAGTATTTTCGATCACCGGTCTGAGAAAATTCCTCTAACCTCCCCGCAGAGATGTCCAACGTCAAGACCGGCAACAAGCGCTCGGCTATCGCCGATGTGGTGTCTCGCGAGTACACCATCAACCTGCACAAGCGAGTATGTTGAACACCACCCTTCCCTGTCTACCTGCGACGATTCGAATACGATTCTGTTCTGGAGGCATATAATGGACAGAGAACAATACACTTTTCCTGAAAATGGAATTTGTTACGGACAAGAATGTGTGTGGTGTGGTTGGTGTGTGTGTGTGTGCGTTGAGGGTCAGTATTGAACCTCACTCCCCACCACATCATCCTCGCCATGACCTGTGGAGAAATCCCAGGTAGGAAAAGACGCTTTTGTCTTTTGTCTGCTTCGCGATAGAGACAGCTGAGAGAAGATCTTGCAAAAGACTTCGATCGCATCCACACATATCCGAACCCGGAACACAAAAAAGAAGCATTAGTTTTATGAAGTCCACTTATGGCCGAAAGACCAGAAACTTTCATCGCGCAGAGTTTTCTCTTGCAGATGGCATTCGGGCGGAAGACTGATACAACTTCTTTTCCGGAATTATAGGTCCACGGTGTCAGCTTCAAGAAGCGTGCTCCTAAGGCTATCAAGGAGATCCGCGCTTTCGCTGAGCAGGCCATGGTAAGTTTGAGCGCTCTCCCTAATCCTCTATGGGGAACTAATTTGCTGACCACACCAACAGGGCACCAAGGATGTCCGTGTCGACCCCCAGCTGAACAAGAAGGTCTGGGAAGCCGGTATCAAGGGTGTTCCCTTCCGTCTCCGTGTCCGCATCTCCCGCAAGCGTAACGACGAGGAGAACGCCAAGGAGCGTCTCTACTCCCACGTTCAGGCCGTCAACGTCAAGGACCCCAAGGGTCTCCACACCACCACCGTCGACGAATAAATGAGTCGCTTTGTGCATCTATACCGTTGCCAGCTGGGGTTGGTCCGGGTTTACAAAATAAAATACCTTTTCCCGTTGGGGCATTCTTGAAGAATTTCTAGTTGTATACTTTAGTAGTATTGTGTAGTCAGGCGCCCAGTTTACCACATGTAGACAGGTTGTCGATGTATCACAGACTCACAGTAGGCTCGAGGGTCTTGAGCCTCGCCGTACTTCCAACGCATGGAAGATGTCACCACAGACAGCACATGAACACCGGAGTCATTGTCTTAGAGAAAGTTGCGTATGATTCTATGGGGTAGCCCTAGAGAGGCTGCATAGTCAATGAAGCACACAAGAGTGCTGTTATATCAGAGATCATGAATGGACTCTGCATGGACATAATGTGTTCGTAATATGAGACCTTCGCAGAGAGAGATAAAAGGGTTGTTGATGGCGTCTGATGTTCTCATTGAAAGCATAAGCCATGAAGCCCCGATGGAATCCATCTCCACTTTGATTACAGACCTCTTACTCGTTAGTCGCTCAAGGGTTCCAGTTCTACTACAATGCTCCCTGTTACTGTATAGCCTGGAAAGATAAATCCATCGAAGACACAATGTTGCAACATTCAAACCTGCGACATGTCACATAGATCGACCATAGAAGGCGGTGAGTGACAGCTCCCAAACTGCCGACGTGAGGACATCAGATCAGCTCTCTTCAGTCCGCATCAACCATCAACACCTCCAATTCCCGTACCCTCCTCTCCTTCTATATCCCCACGTACTCCAAAGAAAACACCACATAACTCTCCATCATGGAGTCCAAGATCCCCGACTTCTTGGCAGAGCAGCAAGCAGCAGGAAGCCCAGAGACACAACCCTACTTCCTCACCTTTGAAGACTTCTGGGAGCGCAAGCTATGGCATCAGCTCACAGACTCCTTGGTTGAATTCTTCCGCACGCCAGAGAGTGCTCCCCATCGGTTAACCATCTTTAAGACGTTCGTGCTCAGCTTCGCCGATCGGATCAACCAGCTCAAGTTTGTGTCGCTGGGGTTGATGGCCGCAACAGAATGCACAGGTTGGTGGCCCCGACAAATCTCCAGAACGAGGATTCAGTTGCGTCGATGCAGGCTGACACTTTTCTTAGATGACCAAGAAAGACTGGGTTTCCTCACTTCCCTCGCCAGCAAGACCGATACGCCCGACACACAGGATGCATATGTCTACGCACTCGCGGACGTAGCCAACGTCAAGCTGTCTTTGAAGGATTTGGATGGCGCACAGAAGGACCTGGAGACTTGCCAGCAGGTGCTGGACACATTCGACTCGGTCGAGACGGTCGTGCACGCATCATTCTACAAAGTGAACGCCGATTACTACCACGTAAGTGCGCGGACTCTCATTTCGTCTCCCGTCATAATTATAATGCAAGCTAATTGGTCTTACAGGCTAAGCAAGAATTCGCCTCTTTCTACAAAAACGCCCTCCTCTACCTCGCCTGCATTGACCTGGGCGAGCTCGCCGAGACGGAACGCGTATCGCGCGCCTACAACCTCAGTGTGGCAGCTTTGGTCTCCGAGACGATCTACAACTTTGGCGAGCTCCTCCTGCACCCGATTCTGGACTCGCTAACCCAGACCCCGCATAACTGGCTCCGCGAGCTTCTCTTCGCCTTCAACCGGGGCGATCTGACTGGCTATGACGTGCTGGCGGGCAACATCAGCAAGAACAAGCTGCTGGAGGCGCACCGGGTATTCCTGTACCAGAAGATCTCTCTCTCGGCACTGACGGAGATGGTCTTCCGTCGTCCTCCGCACGACCGCTCTCTCTCCTTCCAGTCTATTGCTTCGGAGACGAAGGTGCAACCGGATGAGATTGAGCACCTCGTTATGAAGGCTCTGTCGCTGGGATTGCTGCGGGGATCGATTGACCAAGTTGCTCAGGTGGCACAGATCCACTGGGTTCAGCCTAAGGTGTTGGATATGAAACAGATTGACGGGATGCGGAATCGTCTGAAGGATTGGGATGCGGGTGTCAACCAACTCGGACACTGGATTGAGGGAGCTGGCAAGGATGTGTGGGCTGCATAGACTGTTTAATGAATACAGATTCCATTTGACCTATCTCATTCGTATATCATTCCTATATCTCTTCATTCCTAGGTAGCAGCTTCCATCTTCTTCGCACACATCAAAGACCCAAAAGTCGGTGGATCATACCCAGCCAGCCTATTCTGACACCCCTTGGCCTCATATTCACTCTGATAATGATCCAAACAATAACAATCCGTCCCCTCAAACCCAGTACAGAACCCTTCCTTAACAATCCACGACTGCGGCGACTTCAACGTCCCCTTCTCACAAGGCAGCTTGGTAAACCCATCGTCCGTCCAGAAATTGCACGTCACCTCAGTCTCTGAAAACACACTATTCAGTCCCCCGCGCAGAACGAGACAATGGTCTTTATCGTCGTATAGTTTCTCGTTGTACCCTTCCAGATGGTAGTAATCGCCCTTGCAGCCTTTCTCGGCGTACAAGGTCATTTCCCAGGGTGCGTCCCACGGATCGGGCGTTACTGGTTTGTCTTGGACGGGGTCTGGTTTTTTGGTAGTTGTTGCTTTTGCTTTCGTCGTTACCTTTGTTGTTGCTTTAGCTGCTGCTTTGGTTGTAGTCTTTGCTTGGGCTGTAGTCTTTGCTTTCGTCGTAGTTACGATCTTCGTAGCTGTACCTGCACCTGTCTTCGCCGGACTACCAGTCTTCGCAGACGCAGACCCAGGATCCGCGGTAACAGGCTTAACAGTCGCCGTGGCACCAGCAGGCGGTTCTCGAACAGCTCGTTCACAATATAACTCCGAAACACCGCATTGGCCCCACCAAGAACACTATCACGGGGCATCAGTTACCAATCCTTATCAACACAGATATACAGCACCTGTATACACAAGCGGGGGAAAGGGGGTAAGGAAAGGAACTCACACAAGCATCCATCAAACAAGGATTCAACCCGGCCAAATCATTCCAATTCTCCGGCCTCGTAGTACCAGGCACCTGCGGACCACAAGTAGCATGCGGCAGCGCCATAGGCATAGGCGGTTTCCCCGGAGACAGACAGATAAAGTCACCCTGGTAGAGATGGCCACAGCCCAGCCAAGCCCAGGTATCTTTATTGAAGGCTTCGATGTCTGCCTGGGTGATGGCGTGGGCGCTAGCAATGGAGGCGCAGGTGTCGTAGCCTTGGATTATGTAGCTGAAGCAGTAGCCGTCTGTTGTTTGGGTTGGGGGGAGGAGGGCGGTTGCGAGACGGGAGGTTAGGAGCCAGAGGGCTAGGAAGTCTAGTTGGAAGATTGCCATTTTGACTTCCTTGACATGGAATCGGGATAGAGGGGGAGAGGGGGTGGACATCTTTTATATATATGTTATGTTATTGGGGTTGGGGGGGATATTGGAGGTAGTGGGTTGGAACTTGGGGTGAAAGGACGGTCCCGAGTTAGGGCATGGCACATGGTCAAGAACAATCTGATATTGATGCAGTTCATGAATGTGTAAATGTTAGTATTGTTCAAGGGTAGATAAAGGTTCGGGGAATGGCTTGTAGGTGAGGATTGGCTTGCTGGATGTCGAGATTTCATGGGTGTGTGGTTAAATTTAGTTGTCTTTGTTGAGCCTCTACTTGGTGATCTTCTATACTTCACTAACCTGGCCTTAGCTGAGGACTCGACTTGGTCAGATTGGTGGTATCTGGCAGATCAAAGAAAGTGCAAATACACTACTCCTTACATCCTTTGTAATTATGTGCCATATCCAGCGCCACAACACCTGACTCAAGCCCTGGTCCATGTAGCCACTGCCCATGTACATTCTTTGTCTTGTACGGAGCAGTCAATCAATATCATTTCACAAGATGCCAAATTGCACATCAGAAAATAGACGAACCCAACAACACAGAACCAATCAACCAAGCCGGCCACCAGACACACCAAACCACAACCTGAGTCCACATACCCCACACATCCCAACCGAACGCAGCCTGCGTGAGAACCTCCTCGACCGAGACACCCATATAGCCACAGACGCCAAGGAGAACCGTCGGTGGCGAAAGGAGATTAAGCAGCACCAGCCCCAGACTAGAAGTCGCTAAACGGACCGGTGCGGAGCTCTGCACCCGGGTGACGAAGCTGAGTGGCGCACAGAGGAGACCGATCATGAATGAAAGGGAGAAGTTGAGGGTGGCGAGGGTGGAGAGGGAGAGGCCGAGGAGGAGCAGGGAGAAGGATTTGATGAGGTGGTATTGTTGGGGGACGATTGGTTTGGAGAGACCGAGGCCGTGGGAGAGGATTGCGGCGAGGATTAAGGGCAGGATGATGCCTACGACCACGAATATGTAAGTCGTAGTGGTAAAATACTGCCTCGTTGTTAGCAATTACATACGTGTTATGGGGTATAGGGTAGAGCTACCTGGTGGAAGATATTGTTAAAGACCCAGAGCGGGACCAGGCCGAGTAAATGGAGCCCAGCAACAAGTGACAGGGGCAGAGCCAGTTGTCGTTCTGCGATGTTAATCGTCTTGGCCTCAACAGAGACCTTCATGTCCTTGGGTTCTGCGACGTCCGTCTTCCCATCCTTGGGTTCGGCTGGCTTGGTCTCTGGATAATACCCCGTACGCATCCACAAGGCAATGGCCATAAGAGTGAAGTTCCCAGCGATCAGCATGGCACTAGGCAAATATGTTCCAATGCTGACAAAACGGTTCGACTGCATGAGCAGGTAGAAGAAGAAGCTCTGGTGCAGGTGCTCCAGCAAGTTATTCAAACTGCGGCAAAGAGACTCAATCGTCCGGCCCAGGGCCATTTCATCCTCCCATCCCTCGCCCTTGGTCTGCAAAGTGATAGCATCGATGTGATACGGCATGAAGCTGCTGTGTGCACCGGTGGCATACCCAAGACCCTGTTTGGTCATTCCGCGGAACATGGTCTGCAGACGATGTTTGTAGCTGTCGTCGTGGCCCCACATTTCCTGCAGATTGGCCCCGATACCCATCTGCCCACCTGCGATAGCGACGGCGGTGTTGAACAGATCGAGGTTGGGGAGCTGCCCGTTGACGCCATCGTATACAATGTGGAGTGTTTGGAACCGGTGCTCGAGGGGGTATTCAATCACCAATGCTCCTTGCAACGCTCCGCTCTTCAGGGGAAGTGACTGCACCGAAGCTGGATGCATATCGTGATACGCGTCAATCCAAGCCTGGGTTCCGGACTTGCTGTCGGGTGTGATTAGGAAGATGATATCCTTGGACCATAATGACCATCCTGTAGTCTATCAGCATTATCACTGGTTGAAGAGGACAATCTATACCCACGTTTGAAATATCTCGCCAACGTCAGTGCAAGAGTAACGCCATTCAGGTTCAGCTTATCATCAGCCGTCATCCACGGCGCAACCAACACAATTGCCTCCGTGGCATCGCCGCGCGGCGCATGAATGATAGCATAAGTGTTCTCTCCCTGGTGTGTAATCCCAGCAGACGTGTATTCATACTTCTGCGTAGCAACCTTGAGACCGGCCGCCTGCAGAATCGACTGCAGCTTGTCCGAGACCCTGTTAGAGTATCAGCAACGAGCTCAGTCTGTGGATGGATCCCACCTACGCAGCTGTCACTTCGGCCTCGTCTTTCTGACCGCCTCTCGCCTGTCCATCATTCAACAATCCTTCCAATTCCTTCTTATATCCCCGGAAGATATTCTGCTCGCTTCCAGTGAAATACGCATGGACTTGGCCCGGCAGGAGCGCATTCTCGGAGATGTAGGTTCGGCGGGAGTACTCGTTTAGAGGCAGGAGAAGTAGCCAGACAACGCCGACAACGATACAAAGAAGCGAGAGGAGATTCGGAAGTCGGACGAAGAGGAGGTAGGGATTATTCCGCAAATTGCGGATTGCAGCTGACAACTTTTTAGGTCTTGCGGAGCTCGGAGGACAGGTGGTCTAGCTCAGTTACTCACATTTCAACGCCATTTACAAATGACCATTGGGCAGTGTCTCGTGCCGCGTAGGCAAACCGATTAATGAGCGAAATAATTCGATTGAACGACTGTGGTCTTACGTGGAGATCGGAAGCTCCGTTGTTTAGACGCGGAGAAGTGGATACGGCGAACGATAAAGACCAAATGTGCGAATTAGATGGGAGTATGCGCACGCTATGCTATTATTATCCAATTTCCCCTGACAAAATAATAAGAACTATAGTAGAAAATGTACATTAAAAGAAGAATGCAACATATATAACTCATGCTCCCAGGCGCTGGTTGGAGCCTAAGAAGCTCATGGGTGTTGAGTTGCCGCTGGCGCCAGGGGCATTGCTGGTAGGAAGAACTCCGTAGCGACCGTACGTCTTTTGGTCGACGGAGACATAGTGGGGGAGGCGTCCGAGAAGGTTCAGCTTGCCCTCGATCCAGCGGAGGACCTTCTCGGGGGGCACGAACACCTTGAGGTATCCGAGGCCGACTAGCAACAATTAGCGTGGTCCGGAAAAGATAGAAAGGGGTACTCACGAAGATAACCGACAAGAATAGCACACATGTGGCCGAGGAAGCTCACATTCGAGACGAGGATAGAGACCACAACGCATGCGAACAAGGGCGAAGTCCATGTGGGAATCTTGTACGGGCCAAGGCTGGAGGACACTGTTAGCACCAGTTCGTATAGTCGCTTGTGATGTATCATACCTGAAGTTGGGATGGGACTTGTAAGTTTTGATAGACTCCGAACCGAGAAGCAGAAAGACCCAAACGCTGAATCAATTAGTGACCGAAGCATTCGTGGAAAAAACCAGTGCCTACCTTGCGCCAACCACGGAAGTATTCATGTGCAGAATCCCCCTCTCGATCAAGATATAAAGCCCAGCAGGAACAGTCGAAAGAGCTAAAACCCAACATTAGCCATCGCTCCCGCCGAGATTGCCAAAGCACTCACGTCCAATAAACAACGCAACAGCAGTCAAAGTACCATGCTCAGCCTCAAACCTCTCGAGCAGGGGTGTAAGCGCAAGCGCATTGAATAAAGCATGGAAGAAGCCCGTATGGATGATCGGATAGGTATTAAGTCGGTACACTGACACTAGATTAGCAGACGTCCAAGACTCTTCACGGAAATTGAATCACATACTCGTCCCCAGATTGATCTCTTCCGGAATAAGAGCACCCCATTGTACAACACTCCATATGGTCTGGAACTCGAGCAGCCAGAAGGCGATTATGGCCAGCAGAACGAGGCGCGTGAACAGCGGCAGTCGGACAAGGTAACTCCGCACCCGACCCGGATTGAAAGGGAGCGGGGGTAGAGCGGCGGGGGGTTGTCATCGTCGCTGGACTTCTCTCACTGTCTCTTCAATGTTGACTATAATGCGACGAAGCCACTCAGGGTCGGACCGTCGGTGGGCTGCCAAGTCAAGGATGAAGGATACCGCGAGGTCAAAGGGCAGGATACGCGGTGAAGATGTGAGTATGAAACAATTTGACCGCAAATGCGAGGATGAGGTCGCGAAGGCTAGGTAGCGGGTTGGACAGTCAATGACTGAGGGAGAAATGGACAATTGTTAGTTTTGCTGACTTTCTCCGCTAGACGAGTTCCGGACCCGATGATCTTCCCAGGGATAACTCACGAGGCGCGCGCGATCCCTTTACGCGAGAAAAAATGGAACAGAGGGCTCGGACCAAACAGAACCGAGGGAATCTCTGGATTTCGAGGTCAGAAATGACTCGAATAAATTAGCACATTGAAGAGAGCGAAGTCTTGGTGAGATAGTATTGGGATGACTTTGTTCGTTGGCTAGTTTACGCCCCGCAATAAAGACCAACCACGCAACTTGACACGCCTTGTAGGGTTCTACTGTGTAAGGGGGGAGAGATCAACATGTGATTATCTATGTACTGGACTCGGCAGATCTTGATGAAAATGCATATATTTGTTATGTATCATTCATAAGTTCCGGATTCCCATGTTCATTAGGACATTACAGGTACTGGTTGAACCAGCCAACGGCCTGGCAGAAGGCCTGCTCCTTAGCCCACTTCTGCTTGGGGTCGCTCAGATCAGCGCGCACAGCGAAGCCATGGCTGACACCGCTGAACAGGTTGATCTGCCAAGGCTGAGCGGCCTTGATAAGAGTGTCCTCAGATTCGTGACGGAGCTGAGTAGTGAAGATAGAGTCGACCTCTGGTAACACACCAATTAGCATTCATTCTCAACCACCATCCAACAACCGTAACTTACCAGCAGCAGCGATGGACAGAGGACCCTTAATGGCACCGAGTTCCTCGTGGGTGACGAAAGAGGGGTGGGCAGTGTAACCGACATCAATCTTGCCGTTGAGGTAGCGGCAGACGTACTAAGAGAACAGTTAACAAGATTGTTGCAAATGGATCTATCATCTATTCCAACAACACATACCTTGCCGCCGAAGCAGTAGCCGACAGCGCCGATCTTCTTCACGCCGAGAGTCTCACGCAGGTACTTGATAGTCGAATCAATAACGGGCTCGACATTCTCGGGCTGGTGCTTAGGGAGCCAAGTGGGGAAGTCGACTTTGCCGGAATTCATATCCTCGACGCTGATCTGGTCGCCCTGGAACAGATCCGGGATGACAGTCAGGTAGCCATTGTTGGCGAACTCGTCGGCGAGGATCTGAGAATTGGGGAAGATGCCGAAGATATCGGGCAAGAAGATGACGGCCTTTTCGGTCTTCTTATCCGTAGGGTAAGTGATATATGTGGTGACTGGATATTTGGTTAGCTGGGATGGTTCCTGCTTGGCTGCAGTTCGGGGGAATCTCAATCCTACCTCCGTTGACATCCTTGGTCTCGCCAGCGGGAGTTCCCTCGTGTCTGAAACCAGAAGCACAGCAAGCAGCGGGGGCGTTGGAAGCCATTTTGGATTGTAGTGTTGTAGTGAGGTGAGGGAGTTTTGAGAGATTTCAAGGGTACTGGAGGGGCCAGCTCTAAATAAACTGCAATGTCCCACCAGACTTTGTAGTTGTACCCCAAGACTGATTTCATCACCTTCGAGATTGTTCCAATCAAACTCGGCTGTGGAGTTCCTTTGCCCCCTTTGATCCACTTCGTACCCCTCCTCGAACTCTTAGATTTTTAAAGCCCTGGTTCATTTTCAGCCATTGAGGCTTGGTAGAAGGCCAAACCAGGGGCTGAGCTAGTATACAGCTCAGCACTTCTTCTTATAGTGTATACACTATGTATGTCTGGAGTATATCTAGAGTGCTTACAGCTGTCATCGGCAATTGAATGACCGATCATCATCCGATGTCAGAAAGCTCAGAAACTGCCCCACGGGACTCGGCACTGACGGCACGGGGATAAGCAGCTAAATCCGACGGATGTACATTTGCTAAATTGCTTGTTGAATTTGTCTATTTCAACTATGACATGTCTGTGGGAGACCATATCCAACCCCCAGTAAATATTACCACATTAACGTATCTCAACATCTCGCGTCACAAATCATGTCCAATCCAAAGAAACTGTCCTTCCCAGGGTATCCCTTGACCTTCTGCAAAAGCGGGGAATCATTATCGCACTCCCAAAATGCACAAAATGGCTCGGTATATTCGAGCATGAACCACAGATCCAGTGTGAAAGGGGTACCGAAAGGTAAATATTAGAAAAAGGGAAAAAAATCGCGGGTCGTTCACTCGAAGCGGAGGTTGGGGCGGGCACGCTGGGCACGCTTCACAGCCCAGGCCTTGATGGCGATGGTCAAGATCTCATAGGCCATAATGAAAGCACTAAGGCCTAGACCGACGGTGAAGGTGAACATGGCGTCGACTTCGTAATACTCCATAGCTTCAATCACATTGCGGGTCTAGATTGAAAGTTAGTCATGCTCCTGGCTTGATAGAGTGATGATTGAACGGATGCTTACACTCAACATGAAGATAAGACCTCCCGAGATCAAACAGAATGCCGCAACGATCTCTGTTGGGGGTCGAGCTGGGAGGTACGAGGTTGGCGGCCTGAGGAACAACAGAACGTATGTTAAGCCGCGAGCCAGGGCAAAGCCAACCAGCATGTTACCCCACTGCTTGTGTACCATGGTTGAAGTCATGCTGGTCTGGTGGTGCGACCCCATCATCATGCCGAGTAACATGATGACCAAAGCTGGCATTGGGTTCAACGACACATCCTGTGTCTCTGGGCGCTGCCAGACTTCATCAGAGTGATGGGCTGGGCTTTGGAGGATGGTGCTGTTGAGCCAGTCACGGATGCGAGTGGATTCGAAAAGCATACCGGCCTAGTGGAGGATATCAGTCAATGGGATCGTAGAAAAGAAACGGAGAACAAGAAAATCAGCTCTTACCATACCGCCGCCAAAGAACAGAATTGTGATCGAAACATGCTCGAGGTCTGTGGCAGACCATGCGCCACCTGCAGAGGCGAGGTGCTCCAAGAACACATTTGATGCACCATATAGGAAGATAACGAACGACTCGGTAGCTTCGCCGGATGGAACCTTCGATTTCCAGCCACCGACGACAGACGCAGGCGGCTTCTTATTCCAGGCCCAGCCAAGGTCTGCCCAGCACCCGACATACCGGCCAAGAGTGAGAACACCGTACCAGAAGAAGATACCACCCTTGATGAAGTGCGCCAATCCATTGAAGATCTCTCTGCCCCGCATAATGCCACCGTAAGTCACAGCGCCAGTCGCGATTGCAACAAATCCAAATGGAAGGATGATACGGTCGACGATATTGTACACCACATTCAGGATGCGCAGAACCCGGCTGGGCATCAGACCAGGGACACGCTTGGACAAGAAACGACCGACGCCTGTGTTATGAATCCAGCCGCGTGGAGCACTGGCATGTGTAGGGACTTCTTCGGGCTTCTCAAATCCGTCGTACTCGGCAGGCGATTCACAGGAGGGTGAGTATGGGCCCCTGACAGACCCATTACTCTCGGTACCCTGGCCACTATCGCCGGACCAGCGACGTTCATGCGACCCATTGAGGTAAGTGTGCTCATTATCATGATCATCCGTCGCGACAGGGAAGAATTTCGCATGGTCATAAGAGAGCGCAGTTGACTTCCCACGACCGGCGAAAGCAAACAGCAAAGACAGAACAACCTGCGCGCCGACCACACACGTCGCGATCCAGCCAATCTTGTGGTGCGCATTGTTCGGGTAGAGATCCGGCGTCTGGCTGTTGTAGACAACTCCGAGGAGGACTCCGAAGGCGTTGAAAGCGAGGAAAGCGAATTGCGACGGAATCGCGAGCCAAGAGCGCGCAATACTCAACATGACAGCTGTTTGAGTGTCAATTTACCGTCCGTATACTTTTCTTCTAGGGTCACATGCGTCACTTACCGACAGGAAGAACAAAACACCATCCCAAAACCATAAGCGCAACGTGAGCTATGAGAGCACTAGAGTGCTTGCTATAAGCAAAATAGCTCATCGGACCATCAGCGGCCACAGACCCTGCCGTGGCTGTGGGTTGCGATGCATTGTGTCCCGCGTTCATATCCATATCCATGTGTCCCATATCCATTGAATCATCGTCGCCATGTGGAAGCGCGGTCGCCAGCGATGCCAGAGCAAGGGTGAACGTTGCCGTTAAGGCCAGCCGAGTAGCCATGGAATGCATCGCAAAGATAATCTGTGAATACAGAAAGAGTCTCGGAAGCTATATGCGAATGCTGTGAATATGCTAGAGCTCCAACCAGTTCGAGGTCGAAGCTCTATCGAATCGTGACGTAACCAGCCTACCAATCCGGTAGCTTAAGCCGGTTGAATGGTTGTTTTTCTTTTATATGAGCGTATATGAGTGTATTCTGATGGCGACCAGGACCACGTGCGTATTTGGACGGGCCTGGAACTGTCGGTTTGGGTAAATGGTGAGAGGGTGGTGAAGCTGCAGGGCTGAAGTATGAGACTTCGGAAGGGAACGCAAGTATATAAGGGAGCTCGGATTTGAGTCGGGTTTAATCCAAGTTGAGAAAAGCAGCGTATTAATAATTATGGAAAGAGAAGTACCGGAAACTGCTTTCTATTACGACAAAGCGCGAAAATCCAAAATAAGTCATAAAATACCTCGCTGTCGCTGATTTTCAATGTTAAGGGAAAAGCATGAAGCATGCCAAGTGCGTGGAAGAAAGAGCTCCGCAGGGCTCTCGGAGCCGACCCGGGATGTTCTCATAGTTCCACCTGTGTATCCTTTCCATACTCCGTGGTTGTCCTGGACTGAAGGGTTGTACCTATTAGATCATTTGGTCATAAGCCTGCTATACTCGGTATACTGTGTACTGCATCTTCAGCTCCTTAGTTCATTCAACCCATCTTGTATTGCAGCCTGGGATGAGAAGGCCTTGGCAATATGATTTCCTTTTTTGTTCTCTATTTTTCTTTTAGTTTCGGTTCGCTCGGGAGCCTCCAAGGCACTTACCATTGACCTGACCCTGGAACCGGTATAAACTGTGGATTCCATCCCATCGAAGCTTGGATGAAGAACTATGACTAAATATCCTCTCGCAAATTTATTGACTATTAGGGAATTCCTATATAGTTATGTGGCTCAAATCTACTCTGTCGGAGTAACTAGTACTCCGTACTATGTATGACTGAACCATAAGTGCCTAATGACGTAGCCGATCGCTACCCTATCTGGCCGGGGATTCACCAATACGCTGCAGTAGATCATTGTCTGACCGTCCCGTCTCCTAAGAAAACGGATTTGTATCCTGCTATCTGCACATAAGACGAGTATACAGTTCAGCCTTCACAACATGACAAAGTACGGTGTGATGCATCTCTGCTTTACACAGTAATAACTACTCGAACCTTCCAAGATGATTACCAATATTGCTTATCTAGTAGTGCGCGGGCGTATCGTTGAAGTGGATGATCGTCAGGGAATCAGGGATCTCTTCCCTCCAATCACCAACACAACTTGTCAACTGCTTCCATGCCCCATACACATTCCTGTGTTTGCCGATCAGCTCAAGTACCATTTCAGCCCTAAGATAAGTTACACAGTGGGTTATCCTTACATGTAATTATGCAGTGCACAAGCACAGACTTTAAGCATCCTAGTGTGTACAAGGTATGATCTAGCGCCTTTTGCTCCAAACTCGAGACGGCTCCATCACGAGTACAGTTGCAGCTGTGCTACTTGCCCCAGGTATCAAAGGTCCCATGTCCGGATGAACTATATATCCAGATTCCCATTGGACGTCTACCCGTCTTGGTAATCGGCTTAATCGGAGCCGTGCGGATCGCAATAGTGCCGGGCTTCCGATGACTTGTGACAGCGACCTTTCTCGATTTGGCAAGATTTTTGCGAGCTTGCCTACATGTCAGTAGTAGAGAGATTGGAGAATTGGACGTTTCTTTATCAAAGTTTGCAAATTACACAAACAAAGGTTAAAAATTATGGATGGTTAGCCTGTTAGGACATTTGATTCCGGAATAGAATCCCGGTTAGTATCACGAGCCAGTCACTGTTGGCTTGAAAGCTATTCGGGTCATCACAGCGGGAAGCATGCGGCTTAACGCACCAGGTCACACACCGCCTGGAAACGAGGGTACAACGAGATAGCCAATGAAAGCGACCTAGCCAGTCTAGTTAACTACAGCATACTACAGCAGTTGAATAGTAAAATTTTGGAAATTTTGCCAGTAAATTGCCCAGGGCTGCAGTTTAACCTACATCAATATCATAATCATGAGCAAGCATGAGTCACAGCAAAGCAACACGAGGACGAGTAAGTTGCATACGCTCGGCGCTCGGAGGTAAAGCGGAGTTTGTAATCAGATCATTCATTGTTCAATGCAGATCCTCTGGAAACGTGCAGGGTGCGTGGTTGTAACATCCAAGTTCTCTACAGTTCTTAGGAGGTCTGCGGATGCACACGGATGCCGATTTCAGCAGTTGCCAAGACCGGGCTCGGGCTTGGGCTGACCCCGAATTTTTCTTTGTGAGTGTTGCTTTTTTTATACGGGAGAGATCACGGTCCTCGTGGAGTCTGGGCTCTGTCGCTCTGCAGTCTTCCAGGTGTTCGGTTGACGATGTACAGTGGTTGGTGGTTGATGGGAGGGCCCGGAGGGGAATGCTGGGGATGTGAAGATGTTGCTTTGTTCGAGTCGTACCAACTTCCCTATCTGGGGTGGTTGGTACTAGACCACATGATGGGATGCATAAAATTGTGCGTCTATCACCTTGGCTTGGCCTTCTTAGTCTCTTAGCTGTGGGGGTTTGGCGGGATTGTGCTGTGACAAGGTAATATTAATGTCATGTCGATCGCCTGGGCTGGGGCGCGCACCAGTTGTACCTAATCTGGATCTATGGCCCCGGGTCCCGAGTACTACCTACCTTCCTTCAAGGATTCAATACTTCGACCAAAGGTTTCAGTGAGACGGACTTATACGGCCTGTCAGCCTCCAAATGTTCTAGATTCGGGACTATTTACATACGACCTAGGCGCCACGTTGCACAGTCTAGAAAATACGGAGATTCGCAATCTGTCTTGATGTCTAGCTTCCATTTATACTCATGGATGCTCTTCCACCACATCTGAGCTGGCTTCCATTTCCAGATTGATTTCTTCAGTTGAGGTATCATTTCCAAAGCCTGCAGGATGCCCGTCGTACATCCTATCCGCTCAAGCGTTCCAACAACCCGATCGAGAACTTCATCGGGGTTCCCTGCTGCCCCTCCAGCAACTCCTAACGGGAAAAGCAGAATGAAGGTACCATGCGACAGTGGTATATGTGACATGCTCGAGGCACCCGTCGCCATCTAGATGGAAGAGTTCCTACGCGGGCTGAAATCGATGGGATCCAAGCCTAGGTAGATGATCCTACAGAGATGATAAGCGCCCGGGAATATAGCAACACTGAGACCAAGATGAACGAATCCTGAGAGACGAAAAGTTTTCAATCCGTTCTTATTGTGACGGCCAGAAGGAAAACAAAGATGATGTCTGATATTCCTGTGCACAAAGGAAGAAGAAGAAACAGCTGTGAGAGAACCTTTTATCCCAGTCCTGCTCCTGTCTGAGAAGCACACTCGTTCCCCTCAAGTCACAAGACTTATTCCAGCAAGTTCCTCCCTGAGAACACCTCCAAACCTTGCCAGGCGTCACACTTATCGACGTTGGAGCCAAGGTGGGAAGCCGCTCCTTCCTGGCCTTGCCTTCCTTCCTTCTCTTAACTTCTGTTTCTCTCTCTCTCTCTGCGCCTCCCCTCTCTTCTCTGTTCTCTCTTCTCTCTTTCTCGCCTTCTCTCCCTTCCCAACTCGCCTTCACCATTTTAATTCATCATCACTGTGATCCATCATCCTTTCTGCTGCTTTGGCACGAGACGGTGTGCCCTTTCCAACTGCTCATCACGATTTTCTTCCGTCCGATCGAAAAGGTATGGATGACGCGTTCAACGAGACTTTCCAAGGTTATACGAGGCTTACCAAGACTAGCGCCAAAATGGCCGCACTTTCTCACAATTCTTCCGCACCCGAAAATCCCGTCACCAAGCTCCAGCAAACAGATATGCCAGACATCCCAGAGAATTTCCTCGCCATTGACCGCAAGTGCTTGAGCACACTTCCGGACGATACCCTCGTCGTTGACGGTTCATCAGTCCGCAGTATCCGCAAGCTCGACGCAATCGTCAAGCGGCAGATGGAACTGGGGATCGACGTAGCGAAATACGTACGACTGAATGATATACCGCCGGAACTGGCAGAAAAGTTCTCGTGGAAGTCTGCACGCATAATGTACTGTCATGACACCCGGTCGCTGATCGTAAAGCTTGTGGGCGGACCACACGAGAGTGCTGCGGGACGCATTGATTACATGATCATTATGCAGTGCGCGAGTATGGGGCTTTCCCAGTCGCTCCGCCCGTCAGGAAGTCTACGGCTGTCAGGTGTGTCTTCTGCCAAGGAGCCGGACGGGTCGTTCATCCCCACACCGCCCATTCCAGGACGCGGCCAATGGCCGACGATTATCATCGAAGTTGCTGCGACGGAGTCCTACCGAAAGCTTACAGCAGACGCAGATTGGTGGTTTTCGAACTCCAAGGGAGCGGTGAATGTCGTGATCATTGTGGCGATCAGTCAAAAGAAGGCGGAGAGAAAGATCACCTTTGAGACGGTTATCCTCGAGTCAACCAACCCTCTCCGACCCTTGGCACAGACACGCCGGCGACGGTACTACAAAACAAGTACGCGGCAGAAAATCACCACATCCCGCGCACCCGGACCATCTGACCCCGGCACTCCGATCACTGTTCATCCCGAGGAAGATTTGCGCGTCACGTTTGAGGAAGCGTTTGACCGCCCGCCGATCCCTCCAGAGCACGACTTGCTCTTCACGCCCGATGTGTTGAGAATGGCCTCGCGAGAAGTTTGGGAGAGTCAGGACTTAGCCTTTGCTGAAAAGTCCGCCCAGAGCATGACCTGATGCTCTGCGCTAGTCAGTTGAATGAAACTTTTACTTTTTATCAGTTTCGCATTGTACTCTTAGCTCTGTAAGCTCCCCTAGCTCCTTGAATGACACAATTGCTGTGAAGGGCTAAAGCCAAATTGATTCAATGTGGCTATGTCGATTGCATTTGACAACGAACTTAAAGAAAGAGTACTAAATACATCGGGGGATTCGGGGGGATGTTGTGTCCACGAGCGGACTTACTGCGATTGCTTCGCTAACGCTCAGCAATAACGCTCAGCAATAACGCTCAGCAATTATAGAGATCGAAGTATGATTGGTGTAGACAGAAAAACAGGACTACGATTGGGAGAGAAGCGGGTTCGAGCATGAGGTGTTCGCTAAGTATTTATGATAGAGATTATAACAGAGATTAGTTAACTAGCTCCTTCAAACAATCAAACAATTGCTAGTTGCATGGGTAAAACTGAGGGCCTGTGTAAGCATGGGGTCATATAAGACTCTACGATATATACTCCGTACACTGGCCTCCAGCTTTGGCATGCGGCATACTGAGTAGGAGCCGAGTCTATGATCTCCCAATAATCCCTACGATGGGTCCAAGGTCCTATGCAAGAACCCCATTTGCCAGCCAAGCATCGAAGCTATATCAGATCCCCAGAAGGAAGAAGAGCAATGCATGTAGCATGTCCCCAAACCAGCCCAAGAGAGATTCCGAAGGCCGAATTGGAAGGATAATTCCCAGAGAAAATTCCGTCATTGAAATTGTTAATAAAAAACCAGGATGAGGGAAATAACAAAGACATCCTCGTTTTTCAAGTCACTCCACGCAACAACCCCAAATCCTCCCCTCGGAGCCAATATCTAATTTGATTTCGCAACCCCGAGACACCGAACACGCAGGTCCGAATATCATTCCTCCATTCACAAAAAACATCAAAGACGCCATTTTAGAGCTCGTCTGAAACATTGCTCCACTGGACGCTACCGTAGTCGAGCCGGGTGCGTAGATGGATTGCATGGATGCGAACGGTTCGAGAGGAGGGAGTCAGAAATGAACATGGTTTTTTTGATCGCTTAGCGGTACTGTAGGTTGGAAGATTCGTGGTTAGTCTTCTGATTATGCAGCGTGGTGTGATTGGCAGTGTTGGGTGTGCAGGTTGTGTCGATTGGCGATTGAAATCTTCATGTTGTGTATTGTGATTGTATGGTATTCGGAGGTCGGAGGGGAATGAGTGGCACTGTCGAGCGAGGGATTGAAACGAACCTTGGTGAAACCGATGTCTGTGGACTTCTCGCGGAAGCACTGACGGCAGATGTTCATCTAAAATTCGTATTAGCCACAGATGCCCGTATCACTGCGCAAATTCCGTTCTGCAATTTGCTCAAGGGTCGGGTCTCCTTACGCCGTACTTGCGGATCAGACCAGCGCGGTGGGTGCAGACGCGGCTGAAAGCGCACAAATATTAGCAATTCGTTCCATTTGTATCAATCTCGAATTTCGTCCATGACTCCTCCAAGCGTCTTCTCATTGTCGTCTGGATTCGTTCATCGGGGGGAGGTATATCTGAGGGTAAACACACCATTCGCGGGAGCCCTTGCCGTACCTAAGGAAAAGACTGGTCAGCATTGTCGTTCTTTTCGAGATGGTGCCTGTGTGCGCTTGGATTTTCGACTTACTTGCGGGGCCGGCTGTACCAAACGCTCTCGTGAGTCATCTTGAAGGTTTTAAGGCGGGACCTGGGAGTTGACGGGGTTGTTGTCGGGACGAGGGTCGCTGGCGTTGGGCGTTAAAGGACGGAGACTGAAGTTAGGGTTGGATTTTGCGTTGTGTGCTGCCCCAATGGGGAATAGGGCACGGGCCAACTCGCTTGGGTTGCGCTAACTATTTTGGGTGGGTCATGTGATCGTGGGCGATCACCCCATCTGGTTGCCTCAGGCTGCGAGATCTTATACTTCATGTTCCAATGTCTCTTTTCTTTCCCGTGGGCCAATCTTCAAATACAATTCCCTTTTCGAGATTACCGTTATTTCATTTGAGCTGCATGTTTGCATCTACTAGCATGTACATTCCATATCGCGCGAATTGGTGGAAATTGATCTCAGCGACCAACTGATTTGAGCTCGGGAGGGTATGGATCGCCTCGATGACTTGGGGATCAGGTTGCTAGGGAACGGTTTACGCAATGGTCTCCCTCAACGCATCGTCCTATATTGTCCAACCAAGTTGTATCACTTGTATTCTTTCTGATTGCCATTGATAATAGCATATGAATAAAGTGGTCACTGGCTTAGGTACATTATTGTGTGGCTCGAAAAATCCTATTTCTATGTCTTCGCAGTGCGAAGACAGCTGGCGCTGTAGAACAGCAAGTACGCGTCCTGGCGCAAGACCTCAGAGACGCCGACGACGGTTACCTTGTTGTCGTCCATCAGGACCCACTATAGAGGCTAATTAGCAGAGGATCATATACGAATGAAACAAATAGAAGCAAACCTTGTCGTTCTCGAGACGGGTGTAGGCATAGTAGTGACCCGAGTCCATTGTGCCTTCATGCACAATGACAGTGGACAGATCGTACATGTACTGGGACATGTCGACGGGGAGATGGTCCTTCTTGACGGTGTATGGCAACATGTTCAGGGTCAGAGGAAAGTCGATGTGGCCGTTCATCTTTTCGGAGGTGTTGGAGGTGTGTTCGTAGCGCTCAATAAATGTTAGAATGAAATTTTCTTGCAAGGTAGACAGGACGAACCTTCAACTGCATGCAGAGCATAACAGGGAGTTTACGGATCTGCAGGCGTTTCGAGGCTCGCTGTGGAGTATTGCCGCACTTTTCGCAGTGATAAGCAGCATCGGCATGTAGGTCCTCGGCAGCAGTGAAGCTGTCTAAGCAGCCGATGAGGGTTCCGGTGGTAGATGCAGTAGAGCGACCGAGTTTGCGCTTTTTGTGCTGCAGCTGGACGTCGAGACTGAGGTCGGCCATTGGGTCGTGGGTGTTGGTGGTCTGGCCACATTTGTGGCACATGACGCTGCTGCGCAGCTCGCCGTAGAACATTTGATGGAAGAAGCACTGACATGGCTTGTCGTAGCTTTCCACGTGTCCAGGGGTGGATGAATGTAATTCGTTGACGAGGAATTGGAAGTATTCATGGGCATCTTGCTGGCGGTATCCAGCCATGTCCTTGTGTGTTGTTAGCCAGGTTATTTCAATTTTCGAACTGATTTCCAACGTACCTTTGATTTCTGCCAACCGTGGTGGAGCAGGGTGGCTGCAGAGACTGCGTCGTTCCTCTCGGCGCTGTTGAACTCCATGAAGACTTCGGCAGTTGCACAGGCGAGACATTCCTTGACTCGACAGACATGAACATCATGGCCACCTCCCAGGAAATAAGCGGTCAAAGTGGGGTCATGCAGCATGGCTTGTAAGATAGCAGCTTGATAACATGTTTGACCCATGTTCCATACACCGCGAGCACCACGGTTGATACATGGGTTCTTGTAAGCGTTGATTTTGACATAGGCCTCGGTAGCAGAGTCCTCGGCCCAGATAGATCGGCCATCTGTGAGACGTGAGCGAATGTTCATGAGGGCACGCAGTATTGTGGATTTCTGGAACTCACCGAGAACTTCATACTTGCCAGTAGGACCGCGGAGCCTATCCAGGCCATGGTCATAAACAAAATCAACACATTTCTGGCAGAAAAGATAGCGGCTGCGAGAGTCCATGTCTAAGTTACTTCGTCAGTATAAGATACCATGCTAGACATGGACCATCGACTTACAAAATGCATGCCCACTGTCCGCAGTATGTTCCGCTCGCGTGGTGCCCAGGCATACCTCAGGACAACTCAGGCAATGGTACTTTGGCTTCAGGGACTCTACGGTTCGCAGTCCCGTAGTTGGAACAGCAACCGTATCTGGTTTTGAGTACGGAGCTAGTGATTGATATAGTTTGCGGAATTGTTCCTTGAACTGGCCAGCAGTCTTCTGGTCCTTGGATAGGATGACCGCAAGATGTTCTAGATAGAAGTTAGTGGGATGACACATGAGAAATTTTAGCAGTTACTTACCGCAGCCAAATGCGGCCTCAGAAAGCAGTTGGACAGAATCGAGTGTCGCCATAGTGAGCGACATGAGATTGGATGAGAAGTGCGAGTAAGATGAGGTGAAAGAATAGAGCTAGAGCCGATCAAAGTGGACAAGATGCGATAATATGTAGTGAAGTTACGTTGAACAGAAGTTCCAGACCTCTATCCACATAGAGACAAGTAGGGCACGTAGAGCACGTTGAACGAGTCACCAAGGGAGGAAGAGAAGAGGCTGATTATGACAGTCCAGGTACAGCCTCAAGGACTCCTCCTGTATAGGGCCAGCATTGCACTGTGATAAGATTAGATGTCAACCGGATTAACAACAATAGAGATGAGATCTATGCAACTCACAGATGCAAACGAATAGGGACAATAGCAAGCGAACAAAGGGAAGCTATACAATCCAGAAAGGGTTGCAAATGACCTGATTGGACGTCACGATCTTTACCAATCCAGCAGCAATTCCCTATTCACAGTCCAATAAGTCCTGAATATCAAAAAAAAATCTAGTGTACGATGAACGGAGTCTCCTTCCCCGAGGATAGTAAATGGTAGATGAAGTGGTGTGCCCGGGCGGTAGTTTTTCGCCTGAACCCGAGTTACCGCCGGATAAGAAATCACACGGCAGAAGGCGCTTTGTCTGCGTTTATGTAGGGTTAGTAGGGTACAGCATGTTGATATGGAGTATGGAAATAATTAGACCAATTACTCTAATCCCATTATCTTACAATATCTAGGAGTATGGAAAAAATTCATTCAATGGTCATTTCTACGGAGTATGCTTATTGGCATAGTGTAACAAGTAGATGCGCCAGTCCACTGCAAGCTCCTGGTAAAGATCCAGCTCTTGGATACCAATATGCAAGCATGTGGCATGGAAGGGAAGTTCCCAGTCTGGCCATTCTCAAGCAACCCACTCTTGGACCGTCTACCGAGGCCCAATGCCTCTACCCCGAGGCAGTGCGCTGGGACGAGCACCACGAGCAGTGCCTCTAGTAGTATACCGACTGCTTGCTGCACCACGGGCAGTGCCTCTTGATAAACCTCGTGAGCCTGCAGTGTACTTGGATGTCGGTCTAGAGGAGGAGGCGGTGGTGGTACTTGGAGGATTATCGACAAACGTCGTGTCCGTTGTCCTAGGGCGTGAGAACCCATTAGCTCAATTATCCTGTATGAGAATTGTTGCATCACTTCACCGACTTACATAAAAGTCATCTCGCCATCATCTGTCGGTCGGGTTGGTTCTGCCTCTGCCTCTGCCTCTGAATAGCTGTTAGCAACCCCGTTCACCGTACGTAGCTAATTCCCCACAGAGGACCTGCTTCATACCTTTCTCCTCCTCATCTCGCTTAGCTTTTCTGAATGAGTCTGCAATCGGAGCCTGTTCCACAAGTCAGCAACCCTGCGCTGTCCCCACTGTCCCCCGACGCGTCTGCGAACTTACCTCTGGGAAATCCACACAGAACGCGTTCATATTCAGTCCGTATAAGAAACTGGCAAAGCTCTCGCTGAAGCGCGTGAGGCTCTCATGCATCAACTGCAAGTGCATGAAGTTGGCCTCGAGGTCCGCCATCGAATCCGCCAGCTCGGCGAACTGTGGCTCCAGGGCATTGAAGGCGGGCTGTGTATATCCTGCGTTCCCAATGCTGGTTCCAAATCCATGTGCTTCCCGTAATGAAGAGCGCGAGCTTGGGCGTAGAGGTGTTGTGGGCCTGGAGGGCCTCGGGCGCGAGGTCGATCGAGGTGCGGCGTCCATGTTCGTGGTGTTGTGAGGAGGATACCAGATTGCCCCGGCCTTGGGAGAAAGGGACCCTAACGAGAGAGACTCGATTGCGGTTGCTCGAGGTGGGTGATTGTGGATAATCGAGGTGACAGTCGAGTGGGTTTGGATGTTTTTCAACGTTTAACGTTGTTGATCCCCCCGCCAGACAAGTCGCACGCGACAGTGTTAAGTTTCGCAACTTAATTTGAGTCAAGGATGGAGTATTTTTTAAATGTTAAATGGTTTCAAATACATGTAATATATGTTCAAACACGACCTAGAATCAATCCAGACTCTAAAGCCTATTGGGGGACGATCTCAGTCCCCGCATAGTCGTCATAGTCCTTGATTCCGCCTTGTCTGGCGTTTCTCCGTTCCTCATCCTCAATCTTCTCCCTACTTTCTCCCCTAATATCAATTCAATTACGCTGCTTTATGCGTGGTACAATCCTACGTCGTCTATATCCTTCAGCCAAATTTCCTGTCGCTCGTTATTCATTTGCGCGACCATTCTCCACGCATCCAATACAACCAAGACAGGCTTCGTCTTTCTGGCCCCTCACATTCGTTATCGCAGTTGTTGGAGGAGGCGCTTGGCTTCAGAACAAATATTATAGTCCTAAAGACACACCAATCACCTCACAACCCCAGCTCATATCGCAAGAAAAGGCACAACTTTCCCTCGGAGTAATCGACACCCTCGCGACAATGCCCGCCGAACCCGCCCCCGGAACAGTCGGAAACCTGACCCCAGAGCAGCAGATCAAGCTGCAAGAATTCTGGGTCCTGGCTCTCAAGGTCTTCGGTCTGACCCTCGAAGAACTCGAGGCACCACCTCGGTCCAGCAACGCCAGCGGAGCCTCGACGCCCGCCGCAGCCCAAGACAAGAAAAAGGCGAAGAAGGGATGGAACCTCTGGGGCCGCGCGGAAGAAGACAGCAAAAGCGAGTCCTCCTCGAGCGCCGCTGCAACCAATGTAGCGGCTATCCACGTTGCGGACGGCGACGACAAGTACGGCCAGACGAAGGAGTACAAACAGGCGCTGGAGGACATGAAGCCCGAGGAGATCCGGAAGGCATTCTGGAGCATGGTGAAGGGCGATAACCCGGACGCACTGCTACTGCGGTTCCTGCGCGCGCGCAAGTGGGATGCCAAGAAAGCGCTTGTGATGCTGGTTTCCACGATGCGCTGGCGATTGCTGGAAATGCATGTCGACGACGATGTCATGTTCCATGGCGAGGAGCTAGCTTTGAAACAGTCACTGGGCTCTGATGCCAAGGAGAAGAAGAAGGGTGATGATTTCTTGACGCAGATTCGCCTGGGGAAGAGCTTCCTGCATGGTGTTGACCGGGCTGGTCGGCCGATTTGTGTGGTGCGTGTGCGCCTGCATAAAGCTGGTGATCAGGATAATGAAGGACTGGAGCGGTTTACTGTGTATACTATCGAGACTGCGCGTTTGTTGCTTGCGCCACCGGTTGAGACTGCCGTAAGTATCCCGGTGCGACCATTGTGTGTCAGTGGCTGACTTGTGCAGACTATTGTCTTCGATATGACGGATTTCGGTCTAGCCAACATGGTAAGCGTTCCGTTTATAGATCGTTCATACAGAATACTGATATCTGTCAGGACTACGCCCCCGTGAAATTCATGATCAAGTGCTTCGAGGCCAACTACCCCGAGTCCCTCGGGACAGTTCTCATCCACAAGGCCCCCTGGCTATTCTCAAGTTCGCGTCCTCGCCCCTCTATAAGCAACGTCCGTTTCTAACCACCCATACACAGGCATCTGGAGCGTGATCAAGGGCTGGCTCGACCCGGTTGTCGCAGCAAAGATCCACTTCACGAAGAACCGCCAGGATCTCGAAAAGTTCATCCACCCCAGCCAAATCCTGAAGGAGCTCGAGGGCGACGAAGACTGGGAATATAAGTACGTCGAGGTGCCGGAGAACGAGAACCCGAAGCTGGCGGACAAGGAAACGCGGGACAAGTTGATGGCCGAGCGTCAGGAACTCGCCAAGGAGATCCAGACGGTCACCATTGAGTGGATTCGTGCCAGCTTCAGGAAGGAGACTGATGCTGCTTCTGCTGCCGAGGAGAAGCGAAAGGGGTTAGTTCAGAAGCTGCGTGAGCAGTACTGGGTTCTTGACCCGTATGTCCGTGCTCGCTCGCTCTATGATCGAACCAATATTGTTCAGGGTGGTGGTAAGATCAACTTCTACCCTGATTCGGAGAAGGAGAGTACGTCTGCATAGACTATACAGGGCGTTTGAATGTGGTGTTTGATTCGTCGAATCTCGGACTTATGTCTTGCTTGTTTAGAGTCTTGATTTTGCATTGTTGCAGTATACACAGACTAGGGTTGCTGACTAGAACATATACCTATGAACCTTTCATTATTTGAGTGCACATTGAAGAAAGCAGGCTTTTGATAGAAGCAGATTCATGGACTGGCTACTCAGGGTTTCCTACACGAAACCAATGGACTTCGCCATGATTATAGATCTCGACTCTTAGGCTGCCGGGGATGTATGGCAATATGATGGTGAGCGAGGTTACCTATGCAGCGCACCGGCGCACCAGCGCTTGAGTCTTGACAGCATCGTGATGACTACAATGATGGCCCAAATCATAAAAGCAACGCAATCATCATTGTTATACGGTGTGCTTTTCCTTCCAAAAGTGATCCAATCTGTTTACATCTTCGCCTTGATCTCCTCGTGGAGAGCCTTAAGCTTGTCCATGTCCGCGGACTGCTGAGGCCATCCAATAATCAAACCTTCCTGCTCGTTGGGCTTGGGGATCTAACGAGTAGTTAGTATACATATCGGGGGATTTCCTAGAAGGCGTTAAGTGTCCGTATAAACGGCGAGACATACCATGTGGAAGTGGACCTATCAAGAAGACAACCCGATTAGCACTGGCAAACATATTTATAAAAATACCTGGTTGAAACTTACATGGTTAACAACCTGGTGCGCAATGGTGCCGTTGTTCTGCAGGATATTGAAATCCACGGCTCCGCTGGCTTTGGCGATGTTCTTCGCGACGGGCTGTGTATAGACCGGTTAGCGATTCCTCGCCAAGCAATCAAGGACCTTGCGGGTTTGCCCCGAGGCAATATATGTCGTATGTGAACGGAGATCAGAGATATATGGTCATTCCTCCTCCCATCTCTTCGTCGCAGATTGTTCATAGTCGACTTACCAGGATCTCGAGCAGGTGGTCGTCGGGGATATCAGTCAGCTTCTCGCCGTGGAACTTGGGAATGACGAGCTATGCATAATGTCAGTTCATAGATTCTGACCTGTTTGCCATTGCCACTGAATTGCTTGTCGAAGCTATCACCGAGGTCCCGGTGATTAGCTATCGCGGAGGAACGGGCCGGATGCGGGGAAGAGGTAAGGCAGGGAAGGGAATACGCACCGCATGGCCACGGCTGAGAGGCCCGATATCGAGGAAAGCGAAGACCTTGTCGCTCTCGAACAGCTTGAAGGAAGGGATTTCTCCTGAATGCGGATGTTAGATAACACATATGGCTATGACGTGGGCCACGGGCACCCTCGGAAGATGGCGATAGCTCAGAGCTATCAATCGCGGGCGTACATACCCTTGATGATCTTGCAGAAGATGCAGGCGGCGGCAGACGACATTTTGGAGTGAATTAATGGGGGGTAAGGGGGATTGAATTGAATGATTTGATTATAGTCTGGGAAGTGAAGCCTCTAAGCCGATGTTGCAGGTGTGGTCATCGAGTCAGATAAATAATCGAAGTATGCGGGGTCGAAATAAAATAAAAAAAGAAATGGTGTCGGCTCAACTCGAACCCGGACCCTCTAAGTGCGGGGTTACCCGAAAGGGTAAAGAGTAGGGTTATAAAGAATTAAAATGATGTTCTACCTGAGGAGTGGGACAAATTAGTGCAGAACCCATTTCTTGCCTTTTACCAGAGATGGCCGTGATTTGCCCACAAAACTCCTCTTATCAAATCTTTGGAACTACACTGCGACACAGCCGTCGTTTCTTTTTTTATTTTTTAAAACTTAAATACTCGATACTGTGAATGGTTTTTATTGTTTTTATGCTTATCTACTCCGCACTAGTTATGGCCGTTGGAAGGCAACTAGCTGAGTATACAGGTGCGTATGCATAGGGTCAAGGCCAAGGGTATGATGATGATGATGTATTCATTTGCTCGATGTAGCTCGTTCTAAGCACAGTATATCCTGCTATGCAGGTGTGCTGTTAAGCCTGCTGACAGCTGGAAAGAGTGGTTGTCAGCCCACTGGGCGACTGTTGGAAACTGGCTTTGCGCATTTCCGATCAATCGCCCTCGAATGGGAACATGTAAACTTGAACAAAAGAAAATGAATTCGGCCACAATCGTGCGAGCCTCCGGCCGTGTCAGGAGCTTGTCTCATTGGAGAGCGATTCCTTTGTCGGAGTGATTGCGTCTCATCCGGTCTCGCTCGTCCCGGGGCAGACTCCAGCAGGACGTTTGCTATCGTTTGATTGCCAAGATCGCAATCACACCGCGCTGTTTCGCACCGGTTTGATACGACCTTGGCAATCAAACGATTGCAAACGTCCTGCTGGGGTGTCGCGGGCGAAGGAGATGACCAGTCGACCGACGAGACGCCTAATTGAGATACCGACGAAGAAGACACTCGAATACTGGTCGGGCTTCCCACGCAAAGCGACAACATCGATTCCGATACAACTCAGAACTGGGCGGAAATACATCATAGATGGCACGTGATGCCTTTCGAGAGGGCGCACATAAACTCCTAGGGCAAAGAAGGGTAGGATGCATAGCTCAACAAGCTCTTCGCAATATGCTGCCATAGTTACTGTGTGGTTAGTAGAGAAGCCGGGAACATCCAATCACAGTGCGTGTGTTGTCAGACAGTGGTTTTACCATATAGCTGACCGTGGCTGATTAACATCCAACTAATTCTGTAGATATCACAAGATCCAACTCAATTGAAGAATCGAAAACCATATTTCTCCCAAGTTGAAGCGAAAGGAAGAAAGACTGAAGTGGTGGGTAAAGTGGTAAAAGTAGTCCAAATCCGGTCTAGCGCACTAGTCCCGTGCGGTTCTTCCGACTTGCTTCGAAAGACCATCGCACCATCACCACGCCCTTCTTGGCAACACTCCGCTCCAATTCGCTGGTCTCGAGAGATATACTCAGCCAGAGACCATGCAGAAGACACGCACTCTCAATGCTGCCCTGGGGTCGCGCCCCTTTGCGCCCCTCCCCCGCGTGCAGCTTCAGTTCCAGCGCAACGTCCACCAGGATGTCCGCATCACCCGAACTGGCAAGCCCCTCTTGAAGGTCCAGGGTGGCCGGTAAGTGATCAATCGCTCATTGTGCTGTGGTTAGAATGATGGTTCTTGCTTACTGACACCCTGTCTGTATAGTTCCTCGATCGGAGGTAGCTAAGCCTTTCCATTCCCACCCTACGCCTCGGTCCTGATGTGCTCACACGATTCTAGGTCACACCGCAACGGTCTTCGGTGCCACTGGTTTCCTCGGTCGCTACATTGTCAATAAGCTCGGTAGGTTGAAAGTTTGCTGCACCGCAATTGGACCATGGACTAATGGCCCGCAGCTCGCCAGGGATGCACTGTTGTCGTCCCCTACCGTGAGGAGATGGCTAAGAGACACTTGAAGGTCACTGGTGATCTTGGACGGGTTGTGTTTATGGTATGGCCTTCAATTAACGCATACTCCGAAGACTCGAGTGTCTGACATCGCTACAGGAATACGATCTGCGCAACACCCAGTCCATTGAGGAGAGCGTCCGTCACTCCGATGTTGTCTACAACCTTGTCGGTCGTCAATATCCCACCAAGTGAGTTACACTGTGTGATATGCACAGCTACGTGGTGCTGACAACTCCAGGAACTTCTCTTACGAGGACGTTCACGTCGACGGTGCCGAGCGCATTGCCGATGCTGTCGCCAAGTACGATGTCGACCGCTTCATCCACGTTTCATCCTACAACGCCCGTCGTGACTCGCCTTCCGAGTACTTCGCCACCAAGGTCAGTGCATGTACAGGAAGCACACAAGAATGAGGGTGCTGATTATTCATAGGCATGGGGTGAGGAGGTGGTGCGCAAAATCTACCCCGAGACCACCATTGTGCGACCTGCGCCTATGTTCGGTTTCGAGGACAACCTCCTCCACAAGCTGGCCAAGGTGGGCAACGTTTTCACCGCCAACCACATGCAGGAGCGCTACTGGCCTGTTCACGTAAGTTCTTCCCCGGGAATCGGAGCGCCGCAGAACTAACCATTTCCAGGCCATTGATGTCGGAACCGCTCTGGAGCGCATGCTGCACGATGACAGCACCGCCGGTCAGACGTTCGAGTTGTACGGTCCCAAGAACTACTCCACCGCCGAGATCGCCGAGTTGGTCGACCGTGAAATCATCAAGAAGCGCCGTCACATCAACGTCCCCAAGCGCCTCCTCAAGCCCATGGCCTACTACGTCAACAAGGCCCTGTGGTGGCACACCCTGTCGGCCGACGAGGTGGAGCGCGAGTTCCTCGACCAGGAGATTGACCCGACGGCCAAGACCTTCAAGGACCTCGGCATGGAGGAGACCGCCGATCTGGCCAACCTGACTTTCCACTACCTGCAGGGCTACCGTAGTGCTTCTTACTACGATCTGCCTCCCGCTACGGAGCGCGAGCGCCAGGAAGACAAGCGGTACCTGCATGTGCTGGACGATCAGTAGTTTGTGATTTTAATGTGTAAATAAGCCTGACTAGACCCAATCGATTTCCTTGTGTTGGCAGTAAGCAGTCGAACAAGGTAGACAGTAGAAAGAAGCTGTTAGATCAAGACACATCTGAACCAATTGAATGATTGATATGAAGCCAATTGCTCAATATCGAAGCAAAGCTCATGTCTTCATTCCCCGGAACCTCCCCGCACTCCGATAACATCCATATCAATCCCACCTTACCTCACCTTCACCAACCGACCACCAAAAAAATACCACAATGCCAACACCAATCCTCCTCCTCAAAACAAAATCCTCTCCCAATGACGGCTACGAAGACTTCTTCACAGCAAATAACTACACCCCAACCTTCGTCCCCGTCCTCGAACACCGCTTCCAAACCACAAACCTAACCCACGTCCGCAACCTCTTCACCAGCGGTGCCTTCGACACAACCGAAAATGACCAATCCAAGAAATACGGCGGTCTGATCTTCACCAGCCAGCGCGCCGTAGAAGGTTTCGCACAGATGATAGAGGATAACCAAGATAGTATGTCCACCACCATCACCACACTACCCTTACCATATATCCATTGATAATAACAAAAATAGCCACCTTCAACACCCCAAATCTCGTCCTCTACACCGTCGGCCCAGCAACAGCAAGAACCCTAACAACCCTCCGCGACAAACACCTCCCATCAGCAACAATCCACGGCGCAGACACAGGAACCGGGGAGAATCTAGCCCATTTCATGCTAGAGCATTACAATACTCTCTATTCCAAGGCCGAATGGAATCAGAAGGAGAAACCATCTCTTCTTTTCCTCGTCGGCGAAACCCGCAGGGATATCATTCCGCGCACACTGATGGATCCGTCTCTGGGGACCAGACGGATAAACGTTGAGGAGGTTGTCGTGTACGAGACTGGTGTTATGGGGTCTTTTGAGGGGGATTTTGGAGACGTTATACGCCAGACGCAGACACAGACCGAGAAGGAAGATGGGGAGGTTTGGGTGGTTGTTTTTTCGCCGACGGGGTGTGAGGCTATGTTGCGGGTTCTCGGGTTGGGGCCGTTTGCGGGAGATGGGGAGAAGGAGGGGAAAGAGAAGGTGTTTGTGGCTACTATTGGACCTACGACGAGGGATTATTTGAAGGAGACGTTTGGGTTTGAGGCGCATGTTTGTGCGCCGGTGCCGAGTCCTGAGGGGGTGTTGGAGGGGATTGAGAGGTTTAGGGCTGGATGCTGAGGGTATAGTGGTGTACGACTATATGATGTATATAAGACTAGAACTACGATACAGGAAACTGGGCGAAAGTCGGACGTATCTTGAATCGTAATCACATTTCGAGTTGCCTTGCTATCTCTAACATGTATGAATCACGCTGTCGAATTCAACGAGCGCACTAATAGAATCCATCGCCCTTGGCAGGTCAAATTCCGTTGAAATAGTCCAAGATCTAACGCATGATCTCCTCGTAGATCAACACTAAGAGATATTAGCATAATGACACGGAAGCAAAAGTAAAAAGATCACTCACGCTTCAACTGCTCCTTACTCAGAGCATCCTTGTTCTTGTCGAAATCGAAGAATTGATCCGGAATAGGTGGTGCAGTAGGCTCATCATCGGGATCGTGGTACGGCTCGAGGTAAGGGTGGCGCAGGGCGTCCTCGACGGTGATACGCTTGGCCGGGTTGAAAGCAAGTAGCTTCTCAAGCAGATCCAGAGCCGAGGCGTTGCTCTTGGGAAAGAGCGAGGCGAAGGGAATCTTCTTCTTGAATGGGAGGGAGCGGATGTATTCACGGGCACGGCGGGATTTGATCCCGTAGTAATCTTCCATAGTGGGGGTACCGAGGACATCCAGGATAAGGGTCAGCTGGTGGTGATCTGGATTCATTTGTTAGTTGTTGTAATCGCTTGAGACGGGGAAAGAGAGATCGTACAATCCTTGCCCGGGAACAAAGGCTTCCCGCTCAGCATTTCAGCCAATATGCAACCAACACTCCACACATCAATGGCCTTGGTGTATTCCTTGAATGTCAACATGATCTCCGGTGCGCGGTACCAACGCGTGGCCACATATTCTGTCATGAATCCGGAATTGTCGTCAGTAGAGGCCGCCGAACGGGCAAGACCAAAGTCGCAGACTTTCAGGTCGCAGTTGGCGTTGAGGAGAAGATTAGAAGGCTTCAAGTCGCGGTGGAGCACGTTGGCCGAGTGCATTGCCTTTAGTGCACGCAGGGTCTGATAGATAAAGTATTGGCAGTGGTCGTCTGAAAGGTCTTGTGTGCGGATAACCCGATGCATGTCGGTTTCCATTAGCTCCTATAGACGGTTAGTAAACCATAGACATCCCAATGACACACATCCTTTGTCACATGGAAGCTGCTTACTTGAATCAGGTAAACTTCATTGAACCCCTCGTAGTTTCGGGGCCGTTGGATATCCAAGATGGAAATAATGTTCTCATGATTAAAGTATCGCAGCAACTTCATCTCGCGCAGGGTGCGCAGACAGAACATGGAGTGGTCGAATGGCGTGATCTTCTTGATGGCAACCTTCTGGCCGGAGGGCTTGTGAATGGCAGAGCTACCTGTTGTCAGCGAAGCCTCGAACAGGCGACATGCATTACTTACCAGACGACACCGTAGGCGCCTTCACCAATGACGTCTTGAATCTCATATTGGTCGGATACATTGAAAGAGATCTTGCGGGAGCCCGAGGACGCCCCCGCGGGAGGGTTTTGCTGTCCCATTCTGATTGCTCTGGTAAACTTAGCTTGACAATAGTCAGCATTCAAAATTCGTCGGGTCCAGTGAAGAAAAGGTCGAAAGAAATCCATGGCAAATGAAACGGGACCGGGGAATTGAAAAGCACAACCGGAACGCAGAACAGTGCGCAATATGGCGACGCAAAGTCCAGGAAACAAACAAGCGCAAGGCAATAGCAAATGAGGTCAGTTACTCGAAAGTCTCAAGCAACTCGACCTCAAACACCAGCGCGAGCAAACGCAGTAACCATGCAGGAAACGGAAAGAAAGCTTACTTTCGTTTGCGCAGCAAGCAAATTGGTATTTCCCCGGGGAAATCGTTTAAACTTTCGATGAGCCTGGGAATTTGGGTTTCGAGGACCGGCGGATCGCAAGGAACGAACGGATGAGAGATGTAGAAAGGTTGAGGGAGTTGGTCGTACGAAGCCCCGGGTTGGGGAAGATATGACAGGTATGGCTTCCAGATTTTAGAGGCTGAAGTGGAGTGCTAAGCTCAAGAGTTAATGTGTCAGGCCGAGATCACTGTATCAACTGAGTTTGGAGCCTAAGAACGTGGTATGTCAGTGGGATTTGATGGTGCTGGGGCGCATGGAGGGGAGCGGCCAAGACGCTCCGAAGCGGGGTCATCCCCTGATGCGGATCACACATCGGTTCGGGCCAGACTTGGACTCACTTTGTCTCGGGTTTCTCGTATGAAGTAGAGAGTGTGTGAGTGAGAGGAAAGGAGAAGAGGAAGAGGAGGTGTGAATATGGAGAAACAGCGGGCCGTAGGGGAATTGGTGGTTGGTGGGGCAAGAGAGCTAGGCGGCTCCAGCGATTTAATGGGTGAAACAGAATTGGTTCAGAGCATTTGAAACTTACGGGAGAGTCGAGACTGGGATCAATGAGAAGAGAGACCTGGAGGTAATGGACTAGAGCTGAAGAGAGAGAAGTAGAGGAAGTTGAGTTGTCTACTGTGTTTCCCCGTTTCTCTGGTTTGATGGACGCGGAACCTTGGATCACTGGAAATTATCTCCACAACTACACGGAAGGTACCTGGCCTAGACTGCGGTCACCCCCTATTGTCAAAAGTAGCTAGGAAGTACACAACTGAATAACATTGGAAACTCTCCGCCACAGCGCCAAAGTCTCGCGGATTGTGCTCGATGGACGGCGCTACTGCAGGCGATGAAACTGATCACAATCACAAGGAGGGGCCAGTTTCATCTTGATTGGAGAATTTGGAGATCCCATCACTATTGGGGCACCTTTGGTTTCACCAGTCTCATCCATGGAAAGACGGCTATTACCTCCCTGGGTAAAACAGATATAAGTCAGGTGTCTAATCTTCAGCTTCTCAGAGACAAAAAACCATATCGTTAATTCTTCATAGATGCGCTCAGCGTCTATCGCTTGTGGACTATGAACCCGCAATCTACTAGTACTAGATAATCCAAACATGCCCGCCGTGACAAGAAACCAAACGCGATCTTCCCCAACGTAATGGTACAGGCGGGAGGACTCGCAGAACAAAACATGAAATTCGTCGAACCGAGAGAGAGATGTCCGCTCGGAGACCAACCCCGCCGGGCAGATCCTCATTACTGCACGACCTGGGAGCAAATCGTCAGTGCTGACCGACAGCATGGCCAGAACAAAGGGCTCAAACCTTCTCCTGCAAGGTACCCATCCATTGATCCAAGCTGACGCTTTGATCGGCACGGTCCTCAACTAGCATCGTCTGAGCCCAGAGGCGCAGGCCAGGCTCGCCATCCTCGCGAACTACGTATAGGTGAGGCACAATCATGCTGCCCACACCCTTGGCCCGGTGATCCCGGCTCTTCTCGATCACCGCGCGCACACGCTGACTGAACTCATTATCGACTTCGGGAAGAGTCTGCTTGCCCACGCGCAATTGCGTCTTGTCAGGGACGCCGAATACATCCTCGATAAGCTGGGGAACAGCGTCCCGGCCAACCCAGAGGAACTGAGTCTGACCGTCATCGATGAGGTACAGGCCGTAGGGCACGAGGCGGCTAGAAGACAAGTTGACGGGAGGGGGCAAGAGGATCTCGCCGGTCTGTCCGTCAGGCACACCTGCATTGTCGGGCATATCATGGAGTGAGTACATCTTCGGGTAAATGTATTGGATGAGGAGCGGCAGGGGCAGTGTCGACAGGAGGCAGAGCGCCGCGGACCGCATATCCGTGGGAATCTGGGCAGACTTGCGAAGACCAAGCTATCAAAAGGTTAGCATCAAAAGTTTAAGGGGGGCAGTATCAGACAGGGCGCTCAAACTCACGTTCTTCATCATCGCGAGGAAAAGTACAGGCAAGGCCCGCAGGTTGGCAGGGAACTGAAGGCCACCACCGCTGACGCTGCCACCAGCAAGCTCCTTGCGGTAGGTCTGGAGCAGTTCGACAATCTTAGCTTGGAGAGCTTCACGAGCGGGCTCAAGACCGCTGCTCAATGTGCGCTCGACAGCCTTGTGGCTGAAGAATGTGGCAATGGCCTGCTGATCGGCCGAGGCATAGATATCTGCCAGGTTCTGGGTCGTGGGCAAAGCCAGGGTTAAGACACGGATACGACGCTCGCCGTTGCATGTAGTGTGAAGGACGGCCGCTTGCATGCAGACGACCGGCTTGGTGACAGTCTCATCAATGGCCACCTCAACCACGTAGGCCTGGTCACGAGGGAAGGCGGGGAAGGCGCAAAGATCGGAGCTACGGTTGAAAAAGTTGCCGTAGAAGGTGCTCATGCGCAGACCAGTGGTTGCGCGTACACGGAGAACGGCCTCCAGGCCAATCTCCGAAGATAGATAGTCGGAGAACTCACGAGCGAACTTGATAGCATCCTCGCTGCGTGCAGCATTCCAGCCAGGGTAGAAGTAGGTCTGGCCACCAGTGTAGCGAGGCAGGCAGCTCAGAGATGCCACATCCTGGTACTGCGATGAGAAGAGGAACATATCCACAGAAACTTGTGATTTTGAGCACTCGACTGCAAAGCTCTTATAGAAGGAGTTTGCAGTTTGCAGGAGACTCGATTCCTTACTCGTGCCCAGCACCTTCTTGTCTTCTCTCATAGTAAGCGCTCCGTGACCAATGTTAGGTAGCGAGGAGCTGAGGACGGTCATCTTTCCACCGACGGGGGAGATCAACTTGTAACCAGCGCGCAATGCCGAGCCCATGGCACAGCTGTTGTTCTGGGTGTTCTGGAACATCTCCTGCAGCTTGTCAAGGAAGACCTCAACGTTCTCCCGACATTCACTCATTGTCACCAGGAGATCGCCAGGGATGGGGAGGAAAGGCTCATCCAGATCACTGACAACCAACATTCGGGGGTCTGAAGACCCTGACTGATCCCTTGGAATGCTGAAGTAGTGTAAGCTCGAGTCCACTGCAATAAAGCCGAGGCGAGTGCGTCGGTCTGCGTTCGGGATACGATCGAGGCTCTCCTTGATTGTGCGAGCGGTGGTGGCCAACAGGCCGTTGGTCACTGATGAGTAGCTCACGTCGATCAAGAAAAGGTAGACCAAAGGCTGAGGTGGTCGAACCATGTATTCCTGCGGCGCAACGAACTCTACCATGCTGTGGTTCAAATCGGCACGCAACGAACGATCGGTCGGCTTCTGCAGCGTAGAATCCCAATCGAACGCCTGGGGCACATCGTTTGTCAGGTTACACATGTTACAACGCCAGCGGTGGCCATGATCGAGGAAGGTAACGAAGGGGTTGATGTAGGAGCGGCACCGTCGGCATCGGGAGATGACTTGGTCGGGAATCACAGGGATCGGGTCCTCGGCGTCGTGGAGAGCAGCATACGGTTGGATGACAAGGGCGAAGGGCAACTTTGACTTCTTGAGGAGTGCGTTGGTTGTGGGAACGGCGTTAAGCGTCGACCGCATATATTTGGTAGGGCAATTGGCTTCGGGCGAAGGGTACACACTAGTCTGTCACTCGTCAGCATATTGCCCAAATGCGCGCAATGCAGCATATATACATACTCCCGGAGGCAAGATAACTGGAGGAGGAGGGTAGTCCAGCTCAGCGACGTTGAAAGGTTGAGATCGAAGGTCGGTGGGGTAAAGCTGGTTGAGTTGAACTTGGGGTCGCATAGGGGCTTGGGCCACAGGCTGCGGGGCGGGCATGTGGTGCGGCTCACTCATGCCCATTCCGCCGAATTGCTGGGTCATCTGCGTGACATCGGCGGCAGCAGGGGCGCCGTATGAGGGTGCTGCGGGCTGCATCTGGCTGGGGTCCGCACCGTAGGTGGGTTGTTGATATCCGGCAGCTTGGGGCTGTGGCGGGAAAGCCCCGTAGGCACCTCCAGCGGTGGGTTGTCCACCGAGCGCGGCATTGGCACCAGATCCAAAGTCAAAGGCTTCACCAGCGTACGCTCTCTTCTTTTTCCCGCCAGCTGCGGCTGGTGCGGGCGCACCTTGTCCAGGGATCGGGGACTGTGTGGGTTCTGGGGAGCCGTAGGCAGGCTGGCCATACCCCTCCTGGGGAGGGAAACCTCCTTGTGGTGCTGCCATTGCAATCGAGTCGGGTGTGTGTAGTCGGGGTGGAGGGCTTAGAGGAAAGGGAGATTGCGCTCGGCACGAGTTCGGGTGCAGCTGAGATGAGGAGGCGGGTGGTAACAGCTCCTAGACCCCACAATCAGTTTTCTCGTCGGAACAATAGGAGGGCAGCTTGCATACAGGAGAAGGCTGTACCGGCAAAATACCCAAGATAATCACAGAAGACAATAGCGAAGCAAAAGACAAGCTCACCAGAAGCAACCAAGGGAGTGTGGGAGAGGCGGTGATGATGGTCTAAGGTGGCCTTTAGGTTGGGGTGGTCCAGCCAATCAGCGGTTAGGGACCATGTGACGAGGGGCGTGTTTTTATGTCCGCAGTACGAGCTTTGATATTGACATGAGGCTATTCAGATATTTGCATAATTGAATACTGATTAAGGTGATATATACAAACATCTCGGTGCTTTTGAGCTGGTGTATATATTCTATCGAGGTATTTGGGCTGATCGAGCATGATCATCCCCTCCTCGGTTCATCAAATGTCTATAGATCGCTATTATGTTAACGATCCAGTATAATAAGCCAGCTACTGTCCCAGGATATAGACTCTTCCTGACTATATGCATTCGTTAAAGCGCCCATACTGTGTAGCTCCGTTGTGGTGCTCGAATATCCAAGAATGCTGAGGGTAACTACTGTGTATGACAGCGGTTGCCCTGCCAACAACAGGCGCTTCGGCTGCTGCACAAGTGACCTCCTCCACACGTTCCACAACCTCAAGTCCTGCATACGTCGACAAGTAGCTAGTTTCGTTTCTTTTTTTCTTTGGGGGATTTTAATTGTTCTTTGGGGGCTCTACTTCAGTTCTGGTCATTCCGTTGGATTTGTTTGCATTGAATCGACTTGACGCCCAGGTATCAGCCCATCGCACGATTGAATGAACCTTCCGCCACAATGAGTGTCCGAGTTGTCGCGCGCATTCGTCCCCTTTTGAAATCCGAACGAGAGGCCGATGTGATCCTTCGCACAGGGTCTGCAGCCGACTCCAAATCTCGCCAATCTTCAATTGGCGACAAGAGCGACAAGAAATTGGCGGCATTGAGGGACAGGGATAACGTGGTGCGGATTCCAAACCCCAAGAATGAGGGGGAGGAGTATGCTTTCCAGTTCAATGGCGTGTACGACGCAACGGTTTCGCAGCAGGAGCTGTTCGATGCTGAGGGTGAGTTGTTCCAACCTCAACATGCCTGCGATGGATCGGTGTATTGACAGGAGTTACAGTCGCGCCAACGATCAAGCACCTGCTCAACGGATTTGACGTAACCCTCTTTGCGTACGGCGTCACCGGAACAGGAAAAACACACACCATGCGCGGCGGCAAAACCCTGGCGGACCGGGGGGTGATTCCCCGACTACTCAGCGGTATCTACAGACGCAGCAAGAAGATTGAGAAAGATACCGAAGGGAATACTACCGTCAAGGTTGCTCTGAGCTACTACGAGATTTATAACGACAAGGTTTACGACTTGTTCGAGCCGCCAGAGAAGCGCACGTTGGCGGGCCTCCCCCTCCGGGATAATGGTGGAAAAACCGTGGTTTGTGGCCTCAGCGAGAAGCCATGTACTACTCTGAAGGAGTTTGAGCAGCTGTATGACCAGGCCAACACCAATCGGTCTACTTCCGCAACAAAGGTATGATATTATGTCAGATTGGAATTAGGGATCTCCCGCTAAACATCAACATCTAGCTCAACGCTCATTCATCTCGATCACATGCCATTCTTGGCGTAAAGGTCACCGTTACGACCCCTGACAAGATTCGCGTCAGTACTGTTTCCGCTATTGATCTTGCAGGATCCGAAGACAATCGACGGACGGAGAATGATAAGGAACGTATGGTCGAATCGGCAAGCATCAACAAGAGTCTGTTCGTTCTGGCGCAGTGTGTTGAGGCTATCAACAAGAAGCAGCACCGCATTCCGTACCGCGAGTCCAAGATGACAAGGATCTTGTCCCTTGGACAGAACAATGGCTTGACAGTGATGATTCTCAACCTTGCCCCTGTGCGGTCTTATCAACTGGACACGATTAGCTCTCTGAACGTCGCCAATCGCACACGGAAGATTGAGGTCCGCGAAGTAGAGAATGATCCGATGTTCAAGGGGCCGGCGCGGCCATCAATCCGGCCATCTCTGGCAGGCACGCGACAACCTTTGCGTGCATTGACAGCTTCTGTGAATGTGAACATGCCGGCACCTATAAAGGATGCCGCAGCCAGAGATGATGACAAACCCGTGAAGGCGTTCAGCGTATATTCTGACAAGCCGCAGGCCAAGCTTGTTAGTCAGATCCGGAAACCGGAGGCGCCGAAACGTACCTCTCTGTCCAACGCTCCGTCCGGCCTTCCATCACTAAAGCCCGCTCGCCAGCCGCTGAGTGCACAATCTGCCGCGCAATATGATGACCTATCAGCTGCCAGGATTGAGGAGATGGTCGAGAAGAAGGTGGAGGAGATGTTGGCTATGCGAGCTGTGAGTGAGCAATCCAAGCAGACGCAAGTCCGTGAACTCAACGAACAGCTCCAAAGGCGATTGGAACAATTGGAGCAGCGCATTGAGGGCACAGAGGATGCGCGGGCTGAGGGTCTATCATACCTGCTAATGGCCAAGCAACACCAGGCCCGTGGTGAAGACGGGTCGGCGCTCCGGATGTACCAACTGGCAGCTCCTCACTTCCCCCATAATCAGAAGCTGGCAGGCAAGATTGCTACCCTAAAGGAGCGGGTACACGCAAAGGCTTGGGAGCAGAAAGCGCCATCACCGCCTAAGGGGAAGACGGGCAGCATGCTCTCCCTCAAGAAGGATTCTACACAGACCCTCGGCAAGCGCCAAGCAAACAGTCGTGACGATGACCACATGGACTTAACCTACAATGGCTTCTCTAGTGATGAGGATGTCCCTCGTCCACAACACAAGAAGCGTGCTTTGGCCAAGCTCGCCCAGATTGAGGAAGATCCAGAGCTTCTTGACAGTTCTCCCCGGACTATGCATTTGCTGTCGATCATCAACTCGCGTGACGTCAGCCAGATCAAAATGCTGAAGGGAGTCGGCGCAAAGAAAGCAGAGGCCCTTGTCGATTGCCTCTGCGAAATGGACCAGACATCAATGGATGCCGACGATGCATACCGGTTCGAGGTCCGCAGCCTGGCAGAGCTGAGCCAGCTAAAGGGGGTCGGGGTGAAGACGGTTGAGAACATGAGACAAGGCGTATTGGCTTGATTGCTGCATTTGGTGGCATATACTGGGGGCATAAGTGGGGTTCTCTTTTTTTTAATTTGCATCATCCTTCAGCGACGGTGCTCGGGCGTTTCGTGTCAATACACTTCTTCATAGGTATCCTGCCTACACATACTTTCGAATCCATTTTAGCTTCTCTTCTTCCATCTCATCGCCAATCATTTTAACTTCAAGGTCACAGAATTATCAACCGCCCAACCCACCCAAAAGCCCCTTCTCCCTCAAATCAAGCACCTCATCCACCTTCCCCCACAGCCTCCCTCTAGCCTCAAGATCCTGAGACCAAAACTTCGCCCTCGCCTCCCAAACCCGATTGAAATACTTCCCCCCACCCTCCTTCCCCTCCAACCCGACAGCAACAACAGCAACGGCCAACCCGCCCTGCCTCGCTGTAACAGAAAACCACCGTACCAAGCCCGCAACGCCAGCAGACATCTTCCCAACACTCCTCAGCCCCTCCCAAATCCCCGTCTCAACAAACCCAGGATGCAACCCATTGATCGTGATGTGGTTGTATTCCAGGTGATTATCGAGTCTCCTCTGTAATTCCGCAACCCACATCTGTAGAAAAAGCTTACTATTCCCGTAATCATTTGTTCCTTTCCGTTGCTGTTGCTGTTTCTGTTTTGGCTCAAGCGTATCCAAATCGAAAATGCCGAAATGGTGCGAGCAAGACGTTGTACAGAGGATGCGGGGATTGTTGGCACGGGAGAGAGATGGGAGGAGATGAAGGGTTAGAAGGGTTTGGGAGAGGAAGTTGACCTACATTACTGGGATTTAGAATGGACATACACACTCGACATCGTCACAATCTCCAAAAAAAGCAAAGAAAAGAGAAAAACAGACCTGATAAATAACCCTAAACCCATCCCCCGTCTCTTCCCCTTGATCCGCCGCAATCCCAGCATTATTAACCAGAACATCCAAAACACGACCGCTTAGCAACCACCTCTTCGCAAAAGCCTCGACACTGCCGAAATCAGCCAGATCAAGGGGCCAAGCTTCGATTGTGGATGTGTGGCCGTGCGCGACAGCGAGGTCTTTGCATGTTTCTACTGCGGATGCGGGGGTGAGTTCCCAGGATGGAGGCTGCTCGCGACAGGCGAGGAGGAGATTTGCGCCCCATTTTGCGAAGAGTTTGCATGCTTCGAGGCCTACGCCGTTGTTGGAGCCGGTTATTATTATCCATTTGTTTGTTAGGGTTGGTGGTGGGCTAGGGTCTGGGAGGGGGGTTGGGTTTGTGCCGCGGAGGGCTTGGAGGAAGTCGGTGATTGAGGAGAGGAGGGACATTGTTGGAGGATGGGATGGTGTATATACGATAGGGGTTGGGATAGAAGACTGAAGTAGTTACGGAGTACGGATAATGATCATAATGTTTCTGCCAAGGCAGAGCCTCGGAGGTTAGGGTAAGAATTTAATTTCATCTTTTCACGTTTTTTCTTGTTGCTGAGCGTTAGTAGCGAAGCAATCTGTAATAGGGGCTCGTGTGTCACGTGACTGTCGTGCTACGTCTGCCACTGCCCATGAATATCACTTTTTGATTCCAAAAACTTCATTATATACAATTGGTCGTGCTCTAATCTATTATTCCAGTAATCTATTAAGCCACTACAAACACGAGGGTCAGCATGGCCCCCATCCCCTCCAACGCCAAAATACCATGCAAGTTCCAGTGTAGCCCTTACACCTTGTTCAGCTTGAAGCCGCCACCCACAACGCCCCTCGCCAGAAGGAACAGAACCGACCCAGCAAGCATGACAACCCCACAAAAGACCTGCAGCCTGGTGTAATCACCGTGCAGCACATCTGGCACCAAAGCACCACCAATCGGTGTGCCAGTGAGCGCTGCAAACGACAGAACAGCAAAGAATGTTCCATTGCGCATGCCGACCTCGCGAAGGTCCGAGATCTGGGCGACGAGAGCCGGTGCCAGCGAGACAAATGCTCCTGAACCAAAGCCGTAGAGTGCGCTGAAGACAATCACCGGGGCGTTGCCCCTGGATGGAAGCCAGAGGGCAAGAACGAGGATGGCAGAGAAAAAGGACGTCACCACCATCATGTTGTACCGGCCGATCTTGTCAGCCAGGTAGCCAGGTAGTGTGCGACCGAAGACACTGTGTTCTGGTTAGATTTTAAAATTCTGAATGGGTGCACTGGGGATAATGAACTTACCTTGCTGCGTTCAAGATAGGGATTAAGTAGGCCGCCAGACCGGGTGACATGCCGTGTCTCTCTCCATAAGTAATTATAAAGGTAAAGGGTAGGAACATGCCCCAGAAGAAGCAAAATGCCGCAGCAAGCGTGAGCGAGAACTTCAAGTCTGTTAACGGTCTCAAGAAACCCAGTATCTCGAATGGCTTGGGCCGATGAGGGAATCTCGACCTCAGGGTCAAATTTGAAATGCCCAACATGAACAAGATCACAAAGGCGCAGATCCTCATAGCCCATGGGAACCCAACCTGAGGAATGAGCTTGTGGACCATGATCGGGAAGATGACACCGCCCACACTAGATCCAGAGGCAGTGACGCCGAGTGCGAACGCACGACGCTTGGCGAACCAGCTGGTGACGGAGTTGACCGAGGCGTTGAAAATTGCGCTTGCGCCGATGGGGCTGCAAATTCCTTGGGCAAGGATGAACTGATAGTACTCCGTAGACAAGGAAGCCATCATCAGCCCGAAGACGTGGAGGAAGGTGCCGAAGAGCAGGATCCAGCGGGGGCCGTATCTGTCAAAGAGGATACCGAAGACTGGACCCTGTGTGGATGTTAGATGGGTATGTGGTATAGAGAGGGATGGTAGATACATACGCAGAAGAACATCATAAAGGTCTCCAGTGATGTGATCCATGTTATTGTGCTGGTGGAGAAGTCGCTCAGTTGGTGGCTCTCATAGTACTCCTGGAAGACTCCAATGCCTGGGTAATGGTATCAGCATCATGTTGGATGGTTATAGCAGACGAGACTTACAATTGATCCAGCCGAAGCTGACAAAGAGACCGCAGAATGCGCCGAGTACAGTCAGCCAGGCCTGGGCACCTCCATCTGGAGGCGGGCCTATGGCTGATGGTGCCGGTGCTGGGCCAGCGGCAGTTGACTTCTCGATAGGCGGCTGGGCTTCGGCCTTGTCAGCTTCGAGTTCGTGTCCCTTTTCGAGGTCATTCTGTCCCTGTACGCTGACAGTAGGGACCGATTGCTCGGAGTGTTGCTCGTTGGTAACCGTGTTGACGGAGGAGGCGTTCTCCTTCTCAACGTTGGAAGACATCCTCTGTTTGTCGGAAGATAACCGAGACGTCTTGGATCTACTGAAGAATGAGATGATTAGCATCTGAAACCTGACGAACTAAAGCGATGTTTTATAGAGCAGTACTCGAACACCAGACGGGAAGGTACAGGAAGTATAAGATGAACAACTGCAGACTGTGCGCCGTTGGACAAGACCGATTCAAAATGCAGACTCACCTTAATATCACCGTTTGATGAAAAGTGGATATAGCTTCCAGCTTGGTGACGAAGAATTTCTGTGAGAATGGCGAAATGTTATGGCTTTTCTCTGGAGTTTCAGAGACTTAGGGCTGAACTGCCAACGATCTCCTCCCTCTTAAGTATGGAAACCAGGGACGATGTGAGTCGGGAGAACAGAAAAATAAGAAAGGAAATGGCGTCTTCGGCCATCGCTAAGTCCGAGCTGGATCATCCTTGTCTTTTGCGATACGCGATTCGCACTAGACCGATACGCGGTCCCACTAGAACAGGCAAAGCATAGGTACTTGCTACGATACGGTTGGTCAATATGCAAGTAAATCAAGCCTCTATGGATCTCGAGGCTAACAAGCGGCCGTTAGAAGGTCTCGATGTAGGTGAAAACTGCATCAGGAAATTTAAATGCGAAGGCCCGAAGGCCCGAAGGCCGAAGCGGATTTAGTGACTAGCCCGAGTTTGGTGCCCGAGTTTTGTGATGGAGATTCCATGGTTAACTACCATTGGTCCTGGCATTGGATTGGTCATTTTATCTGATTTGTTCAAGCTTTGCGGATATTTAGAGTTTCAACCTGTCCCACCTGAGTCCCCGACCCCTGAAACTTCCATCATAAACCGTGGATGTAAATAATAATGAAACAAGGACAAAACTCGTTTGAGATCTGTTATGCACCTCATACAAACAAAGTCACTGTCACTCGGCATCCTGACTCGGCCCATCCCGGTCTAATCCCAGGACCTTTCTTCCATCTGGGAAAGCGGAATTCCCCCTGTCTGAACTTGGTTTGGGCCCAGGCTCTGTTTGCTTTGGAAGGGATGGAAATGAATAGTTATTGTAAATGAAACAAACATAGGAGAAGCTATTATGCACACTTGGTTCTTCAAGAATCGGCTATATCTCACAATCCACGTGGGTATAAACCTAAACTGAAGGACGTCCATGCCCTACATACCTGTAACAGAAATGAACTACATTCTGGATGGAACATCTTACACGCGATGTATATCGCTTGCTCATATATGATCAGATGTATGGGGAATGCTATGTTCATCCGGCTACACTACCTAGAGGATAAGTTATCTGATCATGTAGACGACTTCCCTCATCACGAGTCACAGAACTAGATTGCTCTACGGACAGGCTTGAAGAGCATACCTTCTTACCTTTTGATTGACGTACTACTTTAGTCCAGAAAATATTTTCCCATATTTTCCCACCGATATGCAGAGCACTGACACATGACAGTCCCATCGATTAGTTCATGATGCGTTGATACCGAGGGGCGTTAAGCAAGGGACAACTGCCACGCGAGTTCGCACTTTTAGGTAAGAAGTACAAGAGATTCATGCATTGGCCACATGAGGGTTGACGCCACATCACTCAGTGGCCCTCTCAGTTCGGCTGGGCGAAGTCAAAACGAAAGGACTCGCCCGGTTGGGCTGTCGAGTGTCTTCACTGACTTTGGAGTTCCACAAAGATCATGCCATAGCTCAGACCCTGTCTGATTTGCATGAGGGGATTGAATATAGTGGATTGGCCACGGCAAAGTCAGCAACTTAAGTTCTCTCTTCGTCCTTCCTTCCTACGTGGAGAATGAACCTAATAGGCCTAGCGGTATAGGAGTTGGAAAACAGAAGCAAAGAGGAAAGAGATTTTTCAAGCGGTAATTGCCAGTATAAAGAAATGCCCATATTGTACAGGATGCAACGTGAAAATCATCCCAAATGGAGACAGCTCTAGTCCGCACAAAATCCAGTGCGAAGAGAACCTCCCCAAGCCGACCCCCTTTAAGCGAGTCTGTCTATCTAGTTCGTGCGACCAACTTCCTCAACCTCGACCTTTCCACCCTTGTGAACCTTCGCGACACTCTGGCTAACTCCCTTGACTTCCTGTACCATATCCTCGACAGGGCGTTCTAGGCCAGGGATGTTGCTCACGGCCTGCTCGGCCTCTGTCTTCTCGCCTTCCTTGGATTTAGAGGCAGGTGTCTTCTCACCTTCCTTGGAGGGAGAGGCAGGTTGGGTGAATCCACGAGGGACATTGGCAATCTCGTTGGCGTCCTCTGTGGACAACACATCGTTGAGGCGAGGACCACGGGATTGCACGATAATGGTTGTGGGGCCGTCAAATTGCAGGAAGAGCTAGATGACAAAGTCAGCGGGTGTAACCTGTAGTACCAAGAATCGGAATGTCATACTCTATCTCCCCAGATGGTCATACGAGACCATGTGCGCAGCTTGTGGAACCATCGCATGGTGGATTGGTATGCCTTTGAATCAGACACATCCCGGATGAACTTGGCATTCTGTAGTAGCCTTGGTAGCGTCTTCAGACTAGGGACCTGGAAATTGAGAGTGGTGGATTTGAAGCGGTAGGGGCGAGGGGGGTTAGAAGACATGGTGTAAGCGACCACGTTGCTGCCGTCAGATATTAGCGATGCTAGACGTACCATTGTCGTTGTAGGTCATACCTGGGATGCGCAATATACTGCTCGCCGTCCTTCAATTCGACGGAGTATAGCTGGCCGTTTCCAACCAGCGCTATTAAACCTCTGCCAGTCACCTCGGAGCTACCCCAGTGAGATAGGCTCTGTCAAAATTAGCTTGTTGCAGGTCAAGCGGGAAAAGCCGCACTAACCAAGTTACCATTGATAGTCGGCTTGATATTTAGAGACCGGCCTGTCCATGCAAGCAAAGCTCGTCGTTGGACAACCATCCAATCCACAGAACCATTCACGTTCACGACGGCGAAAGAAGTGTTGGGCGATCGAACGGAAACAAGGGCTGTGACGGGGCTTGCGGAGGAAATCTAGAAACTTGTCAATCGCCGCTTTCCACAGTCAAGACCTCATCTGGCTCGCGCATCTTACCTTCTGATAAAGGAAGGGCACTCCAACAACAGCCCGCCGGAAGGGTTCTAGAACGCTCAAAGTGGAAACCACCTGCAGACCATGCGTTAACCTGACGATCCCTTCAGAATGTTCCCATTGCGAGATCGCATACATTATCCGCCTTGCCGCTTAATCCAACCAGTGTTCCGCGGCGTGTGTATAGGTTTTGCGAGGCCGAAAGCGAAACGGAAAGAAGTGAATACGGAGCGCCAACGACGTCAAATCGTGCATCTAAGCATCATTGTCAGTTCATGCCTCACAATCAAACTTCCCGCCACAACCAAGACTCCCTTACCTCGTGATTCAACAGAGACCGGCGTGCTAGCGAGAGGCAGATTATCGCCATTGACCGTAGGCACTCCCGAGGGCGCGGCGCGAATCTGGACGCATCGCGTTTGCCGATGAAAGCGAGGAACAACTCTAGTCCAGGACAGAGTCCGAACACCTCGCTGGACGGGGCGCATGGTGTATGAAATAAAGAGTGAAGACGCCAGAAGGGAAGAATTTACGTCAGTTGTGACGAAACATTGGAAGGGAAATCGGGAAATCGTGGGCCCGAGAGCGCGATGTCTACGAAGGAAGTACACAACTGACCTCGTGATTTGACCCTCGTGATTGCGACATTGGATGTTTTGCTATAAAAACTCACCTCCTGCTTTCTGACCAATTTACATTTATGTTTCCTTAACCAATTGCAACCATCTCGGACTCTGCACAGAGAAACCACGAGTTTTCCTCCGAAGCCGGCGATTTCACTTCCCCCACGAGCTATCGGAGATAGCTTCCTACTGCGGCACGTCAATTCTACTTGTTCGCACCCATCATGCGCTCTTGATTGTTCCCTAGGTGACTCGAACTACCCTTGGAACTCGATACAATTCTACCAAGCAGCCATGCTGCTCAGGGCCGCACGATCACCGTGCTGGCGCACGGCGCAATTCGCTTTTCCGAGCTTCGCCTGCCGGCCTCGAAGCACACGACTCAACGGCGCGGCGCAACTGCGTCTGTTCATGTCGTATAACAACCCCCCGCCGAGCCATCCTACAGACAAGAATGGCGTATCTGTCGGACCTGGGTCTGGTGCGAACACCGCACCGTCGCAACTAGCAGATGCCAAAGTCGTCAAGTCGGAAGGCAGCGGCAATGCGAAGACCACGCCGAAGAAGGACTTGCTGGGCGAGCCTGCAGAGTCGAAAAAGGAACAAAGGAAGGCAGATTGGGCTATCATGAAGGAAATGGCCAAGTACCTGTGGCCCAAGGTAATATCCGAGTGTCGTTGTCATAGAGTAACGGGATATTGACTGGTCGTTAGAATGACTGGGGCACAAAGCTTCGTGTTAGCTCCGCACTTTCACTCCTTATTGGAGCAAAGGTTGGCATCGTCTATCAGTGCAATTGAATCGATTATGCTAATGAAAACCCAACACAGATTCTCAACGTGGAGGTTCCCTTCTACTTCAAGAACATTGTCGACTCAATGAACATCGACTTTGCTTCCGTCGGTGGAACGGCCTATACCGTGGCTGGGTCAATGATCATTGCCTGTAAGGATACAGTCTATCGGAAGACAGGACTATCGCTGACTGGTTCTAGACGGTGTGACCAGAATTGGAGCTACACTTTTCCAAGAACTCCGCAATGCGGTCTTTGCTAGCGTTGCGCAAAAGGCAATACGGAAAGTGGCATCAAATGTTTTTGAACATCTGTTGCGCCTGGATCTTAACTTCCACCTCTCTCGGCAGACTGGAGGTCTGACTCGTGCAATTGATCGCGGTACTAAGGGCATCAGTTTCCTCCTCACTTCCATGGTTTTCCACGTGGTTCCCACAGCACTTGAGATTTCACTTGTCTGCGGTATCCTGGTATGATACACCGACAGCCGGTTCCTAATTCACTCCGCTAACCAGCTGTAGACTTATCAATATGGCCTCCAATTTGCCGCCATCACAACCACAACAATGATAGCATATACCGCATTCACCATCACTACGACAGCGTGGCGAACAAAGTTCCGGAGACAGGCCAATGCGGCTGACAATCGCGGAGCAACCGTTGCTGTGGACTCACTCATCAACTACGAGGCCGTCAAATACTTCAATAACGAGAAATTCGAAGTAGCACGATATGACAAGGCCTTGAAGAAGTATGAAGATGCGTCAATCAAGGTGACTACGTCTCTGGCATTCCTCAACTCTGGTCAGAACATGATCTTTTCCTCTGCGCTGGCCGCAATGATGTACATGGCCTGCAATGGAGTTGCAAATGGAAACTTGACTGTCGGTGACCTGGTCATGGTTAACCAGCTGGTCTTCCAGCTCTCCGTCCCACTCAACTTCTTGGGATCTGTCTACCGTGAGCTGCGCCAGTCGCTACTGGACATGGAGACGCTTTTCAACCTGCAAAAGGTGAATGTTACCATCCAGGAGAAGCCAGATGCGAAGCCGCTGCAACTGACGCGGGGCGGTGAAATTCGCTTCGAGAACGTCACTTTCGGATACCATCCAGAGCGACCAATCCTGAAGAATGCCACCTTCACTATCCCAGCTGGACAAAAGTTCGCGATTGTCGGCCCTAGCGGCTGCGGCAAGTCTACGATCCTGCGTCTACTCTTCCGCTTCTACGACGTCAATTCTGGCCGCATTCTGATCGACGGCCAGGATGTCCGCGATGTGACTCTTGAGAGTCTCCGCAAGGCGATTGGAGTGGTGCCTCAGGATACCCCGCTGTTCAACGATACTGTTTCCCACAACATCCGCTACGGACGGATCGATGCATCGGACGAAGAAGTACGCCGAGCTGCAGAGCGGGCCCATATCCACAAGCTTATCGAGGGACTGCCAGATGGCTACGAAACTGCAGTTGGCGAGCGTGGTATGATGATCTCTGGTGGCGAGAAACAGCGGCTTGCAATCTCTCGGTTGATCCTGAAGGACCCAGCATTGTTATTCTTTGATGAGGCGGTACGCTATCATCCTTCTTATCCACTAGCGACGTAACCCATCTAACATTCACTTCCTCTCTCTAGACATCCGCCCTGGACACATACACGGAGCAGGCCCTGCTCCAGAACATCAACAGCATTCTCAAAGAGAAGAAACGCACCAGCGTCTTTGTGGCGCACCGCCTCCGCACAATCAGCGACAGTGACCAGATCCTGGTCTTGAAGGACGGTCAAGCTGCAGAGTTAGGTTCGCATCGTGAGCTTCTCGACCGCAACGGCATCTATGCCGAGCTGTGGAGCAGTAAGTCGTCATCCCTTGTCATCTGTACTCACTGCTAACTCCATTTTAGCCCAGGAGAGGTCCATGGCCCAGGATGTGGATCTGGAGCGCAACCAGGCGGAAGATAGTGAGCCCAAGGTGTAAGATCCAAATGAAGATCTCCGTAGAGTTTGTAGCCTTATTGAAACATGAGTTTTAGCAGCATGCTCGCTATCATCTTCTACTTTCTATCGGCTCTCTGCCAAAGAATCAAAACGTGAGGCCTACTAGATTTGTGATGTGTACTTGCAGAGAGGAATATCTTTATCTTCTCAGTCATGGTCCTTCAAAAGCGCCTCGTTGACTGTGCGTGGTAGGCGACCATGCCCTCAGTGGACGGCGACGGAGCCTCATGCACAGCTTATCACCCGGGTGCATATGAGGCGGAGGCCGGAATCCAGAGGATAGGGCCACGACTACAACGCCCCCTCTTTTGGCAGCAAACGACATGAAAGATGGCACGTGTATCCAATCCGCATCGAAATGTCGCTCAAATCCGCATATTCTCTCCGGAACAGGAAAGAGAAGCAAAGCCGTGCCAGGAAAGGCTACATGTAGCAAATGCATGGGTGATGGGAGTCTCGAACAGCCTGGAATATCACCCAATCATTGCCCAAAAGATACCAACTAGGCGCTTTAACCGATAGGATAGGCGACAGTCCAGTTTCCAATTCAGTTCCGCCCCCAGAGGGGCCGTTCGTATCCTCTTATCCTTCGTCGGCTCAATATAAATACTGGCGTAGTATTCTGGACATCTCATCCTTCAAAACACTTTCGCCCATCTAGAAGAATTCAGACTTCCATCCAATCCCAAGACCCCAACATGTATAGTATGGCGGATCAATACTCTCAGCCGCTGTCCTCGGTTGAACAGCTCAAGATCTTCGAGAAGAAGATCAATTATAACTTTAACGACCCTGCTTTGATCCGCAAAGCACTCCACCACCCATACAATAAGCAACTTCGTCTTGTTGGTGCTGCGAGTATGCGGCTCGTTCTTTCAGCCGATGGCTTTCGCAAGAACGAAAGTCTCAGTAAGCATGTCTAGATCGACTGTGATGCCTCAATACTGACGGTTGTCCATCACAGAGGGAATTGAAGCGGTCCTGAAAGAGAGGACCGGGAAAGGGCACCTTTGCATCCAAGGTTTCAACCTCGGCATCGACAAGTTTATTCTTCTAGACGGATCCCACCGCGGGGTTGTTGAAGAGAGTATGATGATCACTACTATGCAGGCGATCATCGGTGCCGTGCACGTCGACTCGAGCACACCCATTGATTCGTCTGCTCGCACCATGGCTGCTTTGGGTCTTTCCTGGCCGGAGTAAACGTCAATTATCTGCCCACGGGAACGTACAAAAAGTCCTGGCGGGAGGGCACGCAGGAAATATTGCAAGAGGTGGATCGGGTTTGTTTGGACTTGAAGCGAGGGGTACTTCACGCCACTACCAACTGGACCTGACCCAGTTTTTGGAATAGTTCTTGCTTGCCCTCTCGGTGGGGATTTTTGTATATTCGTTGTCGGTTGAGATTGGATTCTCTGATCTAGGAATGACCACTGGTCATGAGAGTGAGATGGATGAGGGTTGATAATTTGGATTTTTGAAGAGAGAATCTAGAAAACTGTTGCCCTGATTATGATCGCCTTGTAGTTGTAGTTGTATGTCCCGAGGGATAGCAATAATACGTGTGCAAGTAGTGGCGCCAGGGCCAGTATACTCATAGAGCCCCTGTCGAATCATCTGGTTAGTAGCATTTCTGATACCTTGTTTAGACACGGCCTCAATATATAAGCAGTCGTGCCTCAAAGTTGCGTTATGGTGATGGTTCTATCTATTGGAAATTGGAATACTTCGGGCCTAGTGGGCCATTAGTGGCCAAATAGCCTCTTTTCCCACGTGTGCGGCCCAGCACAGACATTTGGTGACTGTGCTTGAAATTATCCACCTTCTCCCTACAATTCTGATAGGAGAAGTCAACCCCTCTCGAGCTAGAACGATCGAATCGAGCTAAAATTGTTATGATCTTGATCTAAAATGTATGCCTTGTCGCATCCAACCTAGCGTGTATGCGTGATTAATATCGGTCGCGGGTCTACAGAGGTCTGTGCAATTCGGGAACGTCGAGACTCGAGAACGTCGAGAACGATGTCGCGTGGTTCTTTAAAAAGTAACAGAATCCTGGCAATATGCTTCAATTGGGGTTATGTTTGCATGTTTTCTTTGCATAAGGTGCTCTCAATACAAACATCCATTTTCAAACTAATTATTTACCGCATAGCAGTGAATATAAAATGGATTTCTAGATGAAACGCATGCGCCAGACCGGGCGCTCTAGCCCCTCTCAGGATATTGACTCGCGCTAATTTAGTCAGGTCCGTTCGTTCTTTCCCCCCACACCCCCTTTCTTTTCTTCAATGCTTCTCTTCTTCTTCTCTACCTTGTAATTACTACAATTGATACTCTACGTAGTGATCAATCGTCATTTCCGGTGATATTCCATCGCCATTCCTCTCATTCAATTGATTTTAAAGCTCTGCAACATTCTTTACTAGTCCGGAGATCCGACCATTCCAGACCCTCGTATATCCTCCACGCGGCACTCCTGCATATCTTCCGTCTCAGCCTCTACATCAGCGCTTACTGAAACAGCTCGATCATTGTAAGTAAGAATAACCTCTGATGCTTTGAAGCCAGCCGTGGACCGGTGTTCAGCTTCCATGGTTGATAATCGGACACTGACCCGTGGTTCTGCAGAGCAACTCCCGATATCTCACCAACTCACATTACGTCCCACCACTGCATACGGGAACGATTGTCGCTTGCCTACCGAATTCAGAATTCTCGCCAGGAACAAATCTCAGGGCCAGCTTTCCACAACTTTGGAGCATCTCTGTTTCTGCATCTTTCAACCGTCACAATGGGCCTCATCGACAAGCTACAAGCCAGTACGTTCTGCAGCTCCCAATGACCCCAGCAAAGTGATGTCTCACTTTGAGCCTGCGATGCGATACAACCTGAAAGCCAACTAACACCACGGCAGAACTCGAGCTCTACCGTCTTGAACAGCGCTATGCCCGTCGCAAGCACCGCAGCACCTTCTCCACGGGCGCGCAGTATGTCGACGGCGAGTATGTTTACTCCAATGGCGCTAGCTCGCCAACCAGCACTGTCTCCAAACACTCCACAGGCAGCTGGCGCCCATCAGGCTGGGGCAGCCAGACATCGCGGTAGCGATTGTCATTTCGAACTGTCAACTGGCTTGCATTCATGCCTGAGCGATTCATTGGGTTATCGGCGCCATTCGTTTACTTCATCGTGTCTTTAGCATTTTCACCTTTCTTCTATCTCTTCTGAAGACTTTTTTCCTTTTGTCATAAACCTTCGCGTGATGCTTCCGTGGAGTCTCGACGACGTTCTGTATAGTCACGCGATGTTTGTTTTTCTTTTGGGATTGTTTACTTTTTCTTCACGTCTTAATCTCATGATTGATATGTGTCGGCAGGCAACCATATTCAAAATATACTGGGACCTGCGTTTTCCATTTTTCTCGAGATCTGGATATCTCCTGCGATGTGATCGTTTGGGTGTTAGCTGCTTTCAGCTTCGAGTTATCTTAGAATCTTGATCAATTCCACGGACTTGATGCTTATACGTGACACCTATCTCCCGGTATTTTGCAACGTAGTAACACTATTATTGACGACCTTGTAGAAATGCCCTTCAAAGGTCGAGGTTGGTGTGTACCTGTTTCAGCTTCTTTGTTAGGGTTTCTTTCATCTCGTAGGGCAGAAGGTTATGAATAGCACTCAGTACAACTAAAGATGCACATATACGTATGAGCTCATTAGACGAATATAAAGCATCGTAGACCAGGTCTCGAGTAGCAGGAATTTGTAGAGTTGTTCGCTCATCCAAAGCATACAATTTCGACCTCTTGCCTAAGGCGGTAAGGCCGAGTCCGACCCTACGTCACACCACTGGTCTAAACATCTCCACACTGCCAACGCATCTGCCTCATCTTGTGATTGCTTGACCTCTTACTTCGATCAAACAGCTCCCGGACGATCTAGCCTTTTCTTATCGCTACGACTCATCGACCAGCCTGTGACCTCCCTGACTTTCGAGCTCCTGACCGTCTCGCGACTCCGTTCCACGCGCTCAGATACCTTACGTTCATCATGAGCATTGCTTGATCGACCAACGCTGGGGAAAGATTGCAGCATAGGCTGCCTTGAGCGATGGATCAATCAGTCCAGCGGTTTCTGAATGATAAGCTCTACGACAGGAGGAAGCAAGGAGCCTTGGAGTATGCCAGCTTGGATCCACCTCACCCCACTTGGAAGAACTCATACTGATCGCTTTGACTTGGATTAGACTTGAGAAAATTGTTCGCGACGCCGTTTTCCAGGGTGACCAGGAGAAAATTCGGAAGATCGTTGAGCAGCTCTGCCACGATTATGCTTACGCAGTGCACCAACCCCACGCCCGCAATGGAGGATTAATCGGACTGGCTGCTGCCTCGATTGCCTTGGGATCGGTTCGTGGTGGTCGAACCCGGGACTCGGGAATACCTTAGCTGACATGAGATACAGGAAGGAGTTGCGCCGTACTTGGGTGAGATTGTGCCGCCGGTCCTCGCATGCTTCTCCGACCAAGATGCGCGAGTTCGCTACTACGCATGCGAGAGTATGTACAACATTGCAAAAGTTGCCAAGGGAGAAATATTGTTGTTTTTCAATGAGATTTTTGACGCGCTGGCGAAGGTAGGAGGCGCCCATTAACGTTAGGTGGGGTATCGCAAACGCTGACATACAACATAGCTCGCATCTGATTCGGAGTTATCAGTCAAGAACGGCGCAGAGCTTCTCGATCGCCTGGTGAAAGACATCGTCGCTGAGTCGGCAGCCTCATATGTATCGATCCTACACTTTTCTGAGAAGGACCCGCCAGACGCAGACAACCAGGATGACCAGGAATACCCCATGGCGTTCTCTCTCGCTCGCTTCATTCCCTTGCTCCAGGGGCGAATCCATGTGGTTCAGCCGTTCACTCGCAACTTCCTTGTCTCGTGGCTAACCCTTTTGGATACAATCCCCGATTTGGAGCTTGTGAGCTATTTACCAGAATTCCTCGAGGGGTTGATCCAGTTCCTTGGTGGGCCCAACAACGATGTGAACATCGCAACGCAGGAGTTGCTTGACCGGTTCCTGATGGAGATCAAGAGGATTACAAGATTGAAGAAGGGGATTGAAGAAAGCCGGAAAGGCCAGAAAAGCAACAGAAACTCAGTCAACAGCAACACGGAGAGCAATGTGACAGAGCAGAGATCCCAGACAGATGGTGCCCATGAGGGCAAATTTGACAGCGCTGTCGCAGACTCGGAGTCAGAGACGAGCCTTGATGATGAAATTGCCCAAGCCGATGGGGACTGGATCCCGGGACAAGATGTACACATCGACCACCCCAAGATCCTTAATATCCTCGTCGGCTTTGTCGACACTTCGTATGGTAAGGATGGCCTCACCCTCTCATGAAGATTGCTGGCTTAAATTTGTTAGATGAGGAAATGCAGCTGACAGCACTTCGTTGGATCGATTCCTTTTTCGAGATCAGCCCTGAAGATATCCTTCCCTTCGTCCCGCGGCTGTTGACTCAGGTACTCCCAGCCATTTCCAGTGGCTCGGACGGAGTGCGAAAAGCAGCAACCCAGGTCAACACGTCCCTTATGCAGTACATCTACTCCCTGTCTGATGATACAACTGAAGAGGCTCTGATACCAGCGTCAAAGATCCCTTCTGCTACAGCCAGCAAAGATATCTTAGAACGAAAGTCTTCCACTCCCGGAATGAGGCCTTCAGAAACGGCCAGCGGTGATACGAAGAAGCCAATAGCACAGGATAACTCCGTTGCGGCCACACCACGCAGTAGCGTTGTTTCTACGCCGCTGCCTGCTGTCGACCTTGATTATGCTGCTGCTGTCAACTCCCTTACTTTACAATTCCTCAATGAAAATGAAGCTACTCGAGTTGCAGCCCTTGTATGGCTCATCATGCTACACCGGAAAACCCCGCGGAAAGTGGTTGCTTTCAATGATGGTACCTTCCCGGCTTTGCTCAAAACGCTATCCGATCCTTCGGAGATTGTTGTGATTAAAGATCTACAGCTCCTTTCGCAAATCTCAAGACACAGCGAGGATACCTACTTCACCTCTTTTATGGTGAATCTGTTACAGCTCTTCTCAACAGACAGACATTTACTCGAAGCGCGCGGTAATCTGATCATCAGGCAGCTTTGTTTGAACTTGAGCCCAGAGCGGATCTATCGAACTTTGGCAGATTGTCTCGAGAAGGAAGAGGTAACTTGTGTCGCTCACTGTGCTGTACACTTCAAATGCTAACAAGCTACCAGGATCTTGAATTTGCGAGCATCATGGTCCAAAACTTGAATAACAACCTCATAACTGCGCCCGAGCTCTCGGAGCTGAGAAAGCGCTTGAGGAACCTTGATTCAAAAGTACTAATACCAATCACTTCGTCCATGGAGCTTCAAGCTAACGAATTGTTTAGGACGGACAAGCCTTCTTCGTTGGGCTCTTTCGATCATGGTGCCACAACGCTGTCTCCACATTCTCCCTCTGTCTTCTTGCGCAGGCCTATGAGCAGGCTTACAATCTTCTTCAGATCTTGTCAGTACTGACGCTAGTCACTATCAACTGACCATCTTGCTGACATGAACATACACAGTGCCGAGTTGGAAATGACAGTTAATATGCTGATCCAAATCGACAAGCTGGTGCAATTACTCGAGTCGCCAGTATTCACACGTACGTTGCCTGTCGTAACTTGGACGTCAAAAGCTAATACCAGCAGATCTCCGCCTCCAACTCCTTGAACCTGAGAAATACCCCTTCCTCTACAAATGCCTTTACGGCGTCCTTATGCTCCTCCCCCAGAGCTCCGCCTTCGCCGCGCTCAAGAACCGTCTGAACAGCGTCAGCAACATTGGATTCCTCCACGGCGGACCCCGCAGGTATAGCTCCCGCCCTGCGCCTTTTGCCATGAAACTTGCTGAGAACTCCCCCTCCCCTAGCGCCCAAACAGCCCCTACATCCTTCGACCGCCCCACCGGAGCCCGCCTGAAACCCCGCGACGAGAACGCCATCCGCTGGGTCGACCTCCTTGACAAGTTCAAGGCCGTCCAGGAACGCGCCCGTCGCTCACAGACCAATCAGTCTCTGCGGAATTCCTTCGACCAAACAGGCCCCTTACTCAGCCCCTCCATCACAGCTGCTCTTTCCGCCGCAGCCACAGAACGCCCCAAGGACCGATCCGGTCTCCCTGATGTCCCGCGCGGCGCTCCGGGTGGTCCCACTAACCCTGCTGGCGGGAACGCCGGACTGGGAGGTGCTGCTGGCAATGTTGCCGGTCGTGCAGTGGATCCAAAGGCTGGGTCGCCGACGACTTTGGGGTCCGCGCATAAACATAAGTCAAGTCTGCCTAATTTGGGACGGCTGGGCATTGGAGGACGTAAATCTAAGAAATAGTTCTGCGGAACTGGGGATCTCGCATAGATAGACACCTTCCTCTTGATTGCACTTAGCTGGATCTTTTCGTGTGATACCCAGCATCCTTCATCAGTGAGTAGGGTCAGTTTCAATGACATCGCATCTTATGAGTAAAGGCTTGATACCTCTTTGTCCATGTATTTACCTATCCGTCTACCTACATGTAAATTTCTGACCACGGCGAATAGGTAGAAGGCAACATAGTTCAATTCATTCTAGGGTCATAATAATTCGCTCTAAAGTCATAATCGCTTGAAAGTACATCTCCCCAAGCATATCAATGACTGATATACTGGAAAACAGCAGAAACATCCCGTTCCCCCGTCTCCTGTCGCAAAAGCAAATCCTGAATCTGATTCAGCGGACCCTTCTCTCCGGTGTTAACGAAATGATTCCAAGAACTAGTATCGCCGTACAACATAGCCGGGGCCTTAATGTACTGCGTACCGTCCGGACGACAGCGCTTACACTTAAAAGTGTCATGCGTATCGCTCGAAGTATCCGGTTTGAACTGGAAGAGCTCCCTGAGTGAATCAAGGGAGAAATGCCGCTCGACATCTTCAGCAGCATCAACGACACAAGACGAAAGAGACTGTTTGTGCGACTGGCGCTGGAAGATCTTCTCTTCGATTGAGCCGGTCGCGATGAACCTGTAGACGAAGCAGTCTTTCTTCTGGCCGTCGCGCCAGACTCGTGCGAGCGCTTGCTGGTCGGCAGCTGGGTTCCAGTCTGGATCGAAGAGGACGAGACGGTTGGCGCCGATGAGGTTCAGGCCGCAGCCGCCGGCTTTGCTGCTCAGCAGGAAGACGAATTCGGGGCCGTCTGGGTCGTTGAATTTGTCGACTAGCTTGGTTCGCTTCTTGATGTTCATTGTTCCGTCGAGGCGGAGGCAGCCGTATGCGCGTGACCGGCAGAGTCTTTCGAATAGGTCTAGGGTTTGAGTGTAGTTGCTGATTAGAACGATCTTGTCATTGGTGTCTTGTCGGATTCGGGCGAGCATGCGATCGAGGACCATCATTTTGCCGGAGTACCAGCTCTTGATATCCCGATCGCGGCCCCGGGTATCGGGAGGCGAATAGTCCTCCGGGAAGGTATGCTCACATCCCGGGAGGTCGTTTGTTAGATCGAGCAGGTCCGGATGATTGCAGAGTTTTTTCAGGATACCAATTGCTTTCAGTGGCTGGCTGCCTTTTCCGCGGAGAAGGCTTTGAATCTCCGGGCTCTTGATAAAGTGATTGTAGATGTCTCGCTGGAACTGTGACATGTTGCAGAAAACGACATGCTCGTACTTGATTGGCAAGTATTTCGAGAGAAGCTCATTAGTTCGGCGGATGATGAACTTGTTGACAATCGCAGACAGCTCCTGCAATCGTTCATCACCTAGCTTCTTCTCTTCGTCGGTGCCTGCGGCATCTCGACCTCGCAGGATCGGCAATTCAAATCTCTTTCGGAACTCGGCTTGAGAGCCTAGAAGGTTTGGGTTGGCGAAGTGTAGAAGAGCGAAGTATTCAGATAGATCGTTTTGAATAGGTGTTCCAGAAAGAATGACTCGGCGAGTAACGTTGAGTTGGTTCAAGGCGTTCCAAGTCAAACTCTCCTTGTTTTTGAGTCGATGGCCTTCGTCACATAGAAGAAGTCCAATCGGTGTATCAGCCAATGTATCCGCATACATACGGAGTGTTTCATAGGACACAATAAGAACAGGCCGGACAATTCCACGTCCTGATGCAATAGCCCACTGCTTGAGTTGGGTTATAAGCTCTGCTTTTGTGGCTTTTCCATCGATCGCAAAGGGTGTTGTAGCATCCTTTCCAAGCCATTTTGCTGATATGGTCAGTCGGGCTCAAGAGAAAGTAGAGTACCAGGCATAACTTACTCAGTTCGTTAGCCCAATTGCCAACCAAACTTGAGGGACACGCAATCACGCATTTCTGAATAGTAGTTTTCCCAGCCTCGGAGGACTGCTTGAGGAGTGTCCACATCAAAGCAATACATTGAAGCTGTGGTTGTTAGAACAAGTCGTAGAATTCAGGGTGTCCAAGCTCACCGTTTTACCAAGTCCCATGCCATCTGCCATAATGCATCCATTTGCATTTTTGTCAACCAAGCCTGTAACGCAACGGTAAAGAAACTATGCAGAGATAGACTGTCAGTCGTGCTCCTATGACTTGGCAGCCTGGAACGATACCTTTACACCCTCGACCTGATGTGGTCGAAGCACTTTGCATAGTCTCGGATCAATCACAACGGGCACCTTCGGCCGTTCCTCCACATTCTTCTTGAGCCCCAAAATATCGGCTAGACTCTTATGCATAATCGGCTCATCCACGACTGGCATGTCTCCCGGCGGCGCCTCCAGACTTTTGGGCGCAGGCTCCTCCGCCACATCATCTACCGTCGGGTCATACAAAACAATTGCAAACTCCCCACTTGGGTCGTGTAACGGCTTGACAACGAATGTTGCGCCTCGTCGCATGCCCAGTGTCGGAGCGAGCCGGCCAGAATTGTAGCCATCTGTAGCCTTGTTGATGAAAGGAATCTGGAACCGTGACCTGAAAGCCACGTCTTTGTCTCTCGGCTTAAACACGGGAAATTTGTTGGCTTCTCGAGTTTCTATGGCGAGCCTGTCCTCGTTTGTATATGGCTTTTCCTCTCCATCTTCCACGCTTCCATCGGCGTTGGCGTAGTTAACCTTTCGTCTCTTTCTCGATGGCTTCTCGGAGGCTCGCGTCGGTGTTGCAGTCCCTGGGCATTTGAATGGCTTCACAAGCCGATCGATCGAGTTCTGCGAGTTCACCGACTTTGGTTGTAAGGGTGTCTTTACACTGTCGCCACCGGCCGGACGTGGTCGATACCTTCCAGAGGATATTAGCGTAGAACACATCGCCGATTAGCATGAGGCCTTACATTTATCCAAAAGTGAAGATTAGGAGGGCACCAATGCTCCTGCTGTACAATGGTCTTAATGTTGTTGTTGACTTGTGAGGCAAGTGCTGATGTCGACGCGTCTCGGCGTTAGCCTGAGGCTCCCAAAACACCAAATTGCCGCGTCCCAAAGATTTACCGCCCTAATCCGGGGATGGTCCGAGCTTAGGTTATTTTAGGCAGCCACGGATAAGGCGACATCATATGCATACTGTAGTAGGGTTCAGACAAACAAGTCAACATTCCTTTGACCAGGCATGACAAAACCGAGTTCTCTGTCTCACGATAACTACCTGAGTACCTCTATTATCACTTCATGTTCTTGAGCCTGGTACGTACAGATGATTCTATATCTGACTCATTAGGTATATAAGAGTGATTCAGAGTGTCCAGTTCGGTATCTTGCTTTATCATGAAGACGGAATTCCCAGGACAATCTTAAAGACACAAGGGTGCATGCTTTGACAGCACATTTTGTCCAATTAGGGTATCGACGGCCCTATATGCAGGTACAACGTCCATCGTGCCTGCGTATGTATGCCGACGTTGCACGTGACAAGCATCCGCATGACCTCGGGAGGGACACCCCGCCATTATCATCGGAAAGCCGGGGGAGCTTCGGTATCTACTTTCCTGTGTCAATTAATCTTCAATCTGGCCTCAAGACTGAGATCTCATGGCCGCAGACTTCTGGGCTGGCTACATCAGTGGAGCCATCGGGATCATCATCGGCAATCCTCTTGATGTCGTCAAAGTCCGGCTGCAGGCAGGAGACTCACATTCAAATGCACCATCGACGCAATTAACTCGCTTCGAAAGAGCAAATTCTCTTATTCGAGGTCTGTATTGCATCAAAGCTACGGTGACACCAAGGAACGTCAATTAACCACCAATACAGGCGCCGCTGCTCCAATATTAGGCTATGGAGCCCTCAACGCTATTCTTTTTGTTGCATACAACCGCACTTTGACAGCATTGGATGGGCCCGTAACGGATCCCACCAATCCCGTCGGTGTCTCACCCTACAGCATCTGGTTAGCCGGTGCCGCAGGCGGCCTAGCAAGCTGGACCGTCTCCTCCCCAACGGAGTTTATCAAGTGTCGGGCCCAGCTAGATCGCCGACCGGAAGTGTCATCGTGGGCCGTGGCTAAAGACATCATCCGCACTCGCGGCTGGAGGGGTCTTTACTTCGGTGGCGCGATTACTAGCGCCAGGGATTCAATTGGCTATGGATTCTAGTATGTAATTGAACCCACCGCCCCCGGATACATGCCCCAGGGTATCCGTGGAATTGTGGGAATCGGTGCTGATCTAGCGCAGTTTTTGGTCTTACGAACTTTGCAAACGATATATGACGTCCAATGACGAGAGCTCGCACCAGGCGGCTTTGAAGGTTCTACTTTGTGGTGGGATTGCCGGTGTTGTCACTTGGGCTTCGGTTTTCCCTTTGGATATGATTAAGACTCGATTGCAGGCGCAGACTATCGCGGATCATTCGCCCCGGGCTACTGAGGCACAGTCTTTGCTACGACCGCAGGGCCAAACGCTCAATTCTTTTCAAATTGCGAAGGAGACGTATCGTGCTGAAGGCATCAAGGCATTCTACCGGGGTCTTGGAGTCTGCAGTGTCAGGGCTTTCATCGTGAACGCTGTTCAGGTATGTGTTTCTCGTTTCGTTGCAATTGGTAGTCGAACAACTAACATCTCATCAAGTGGGCGGCTTATGAATGGTTGATGAAGAGCTTCACTAAATCTTTGGGCTCAGAGGTGAAAACCCAAGAGCCCATGACAGCTGCATAAATATGTCCACCCAGAGAGGTCATACAACTGTATACATAGCATACAACACCAAGTATAGAAGATCTAGTAGATAGCGAAACAACATTTGAAACCGAAGCCGACATACAATTACCGAAACCCCATGACTAGTCAGAAACTACTGTATTTGGTATTGAGGCATTTCTATTGGAAATTTACTCGGAGGTATTGCTAGTAAAGGTGTGTAAATTTCGCCTCGCCATTATCGCCGAAAGTCGGAGTTTTGTGTCTTGTCACCCGCAAAACGGAATAACGGAAACCCGGCGAGTATCGGCAATATAAAAAAATTGTCTCACGTGAGGAACTCCACCGATATGCATGAGCAGAATGAGAGACAAGATCAGAACAGCGGTCTAGATGCATTGTCCTGGAAAACTTTTATAGGTCGATTTGCTGAAAAGGGTATCGTGGTCGCATAGCAAAGATTGGAGTTGTATCCCGAAGGTGAAGGTCGAGATCCAGTTTAGTCCTCCATCACGTCAGGTTTTTCTTCGCGCTTGCCGTTGTCGACGAAACCGAGTCCGATCGCACGCTCGGCGAGCTGTTGGCTGTGAGGCTCATCGCGCAGGATACGAAGTCTGAAGGTTTGAAATGTTAACGATGCGACGAGGACATAGATGGTGTTGCAATGCACTAACCTGCGCTTGTGGTTCTTGCCCTTGGCGTGTGCCTTGAGATTGTATTCGCTCTCAAACCATTTTGAGCATTCCACGCAGTAGTGCTTGCCCAAACCGGGGAGATCCTCTACATCCTTTGAGTCCTTGTACTTCTGCAAGTGACGGGGAGTCTTCAGATCCGCGATGACTTGGTCATAGTCTCTGTAGGCGGGGTCAGGTTAGCAATTATCTGAACCAGCAATATGCCATGTACAGTCGATCTGGCAGCATACCTTGTGCGGCGCTTGTTCTTGACTTTCCTGAGGGCACCCATTGTGAATGATAGCCGAATTACCTCGGAGCTTGGGCTATCCAAATCGATGCAAGATGAAAATTGATATCACCGATTTCCGGAGTGAAAGGTGTGGAAAGTGGGTCAAGAGGCCGTGGACAATAGCGAGGTTCAGAGGAAATTTCGGTTGTGGGCCGCGGGCAGCAATTCAAACGCCTGAGGTGTGATTGGCTGGTGCTCAGACACGGCTCCTTGGCGGCCGTGCGGGATTGCCATCCATTCGGCTCACCTCGGCTCAGTCGATTTCGTCACTGTATTTATGACGTTTGCATGCGGTAGGTGATATCAGTGCATGGCAATACCGTGTACACAATATGTATATACGCGGATAGAAGCTGTAGAGAGAATATAGAGAAGAGCATAGTATTATAGGACTCTATAGGGCTATGGGAGCGACTTCATAGGATTTCTTTAGTATACACTGTGTAGCATCGGTGGTAAACACTTGCGGATCATCCATCTCCAACCTCCCTATACCCACATGCGGCAAACTAGCTAAATATTACGGGGTACCGATTACAGACTACAGACTACAGAGGTATGAGAACAGATTGACCTTGTCCCAGTTTAGCCCTTTGGTCCGAAATGGTCAGGAACCTGGGCGAAGGGGGAAAGCCTGTAATTGGAAACTCCATGATTGGTGGCCGAGTTATACCCGTCACATGCCATGTATTGTCATTACACACCCCGGAACATCATAACAACCCACACTGAGATATTGCATATAGCTATTATTGAACTTCATATATGAACTGGAGATGGGGAGAATAGAAAAAACTTGGGAGTTTAGCTTATTGACAGTGTAAGCATTCCTTGTAGTAAATTCCTTTGATTCCCAACCCTGAAACAGTATCAAATAGCCAGCCCTTTGCCGTCGCATGCGGCAAGCTTAGGTCAATACCAGCGTATTGTATCACCCTGGTAACAAGCGGTTACGGCTCTACTCCCGGTCCCCGTAGAATCTTTCTCCCACTCAAAACCAAGCTTTCCTCCTCTTCTTTCTTTTTGATCTCTTCTTCTCTCATTCTACTCTCCACTCTCATATTTGGTGAAGGTGGTTTTTAGCTCTTGGATGTGCAATCCCCCATCATAGAGCCTCCATCATGATTTCCACACGCCTCGCGCGCGCTAGTGCGCTGGTACGTCTACTTCCTCGGCTCATCATTGCCACGAGATGGCAGACTCTACCCAGAGTGGCCGTCTCGAAAAATCCCGATCGTGAAGAATGGAAAGCTAACTGTGTCTCTCAACTCTAGGCCCCCAAGTTCCGTCTTGTAAGCAGTGACCTCATCTTCATCGAGCTCCGAATCACACGTGGAGTGGCGCACATGCCGACGTGCATGATGGCTTCGATATAACTCGAGACTCATAGTTGCTAACCATTCAACTTATAGATGACCGGAACCCGGGCCTTCGCTACCGCCAACGATGCTCTCGACAAGAAGGTCGAGATGACCAACCACGAGACTGTGAGTGATTGCTGGAGTGGCGCCTGAGAAATGGGGCCGGAATATGACGTTGCCAAGCGATAATAACTAACATATTTCAGGGTCACTACATCAACTACAAGAAGATGTCCGAGAACCTCGAGATTGTCCGCTCTCGTCTGCAGCGCCCTCTCACCTTCTCCGAGAAGGTCCTGTACTCTCACCTTGACGACCCTCACGGCCAGGACATCCAGCGTGGTGTTTCTTACCTCAAGCTGCGTCCCGATCGTGTTGCTTGCCAGGATGCCACCGCCCAGATGGCTATCCTGCAGTTCATGTCCGCTGGCATGGACCGCGTCCAGACCCCTACCACTGTCCACTGTGACCACTTGATTGAGGCCCAGATTGGCGGTGAGAAGGATCTTGCCCGTGCCAACGACATCAACAAGGAGGTTTACGACTTCCTTGCATCCGCTACCGCCAAGTACAACATCGGTTTCTGGAAGCCCGGTTCCGGTATCATTCACCAGATCGTCCTCGAGAACTACGCCTTCCCCGGCGGTCTGATCATCGGTACCGATTCCCACACCCCCAACGCCGGTGGTCTTGCTACCGCCGCCATTGGTGTCGGTGGTGCCGATGCTGTCGACGTTATGGCTGGTCTCCCCTGGGAGTTGAAGGCCCCCAACGTCATCGGTGTCCGCCTCACCGGTAGCATGTCCGGCTGGACCACCCCCAAGGATATCATCCTGAAGGTCGCCGGTCTCCTCACCGTCAAGGGTGGTACCGGTGCCATCATCGAGTACCACGGACCCGGTGTTGAGTCCCTCTCCTGCACTGGTATGGCTACCATCTGTAACATGGGTGCTGAGATTGGTGCCACTACCTCCATCTTCCCCTTCAACGAGCGCATGTACGACTACCTGAAGGCCACCAAGCGTCAGCACATTGGTGACTTCTCTCGTGAGTACGCCGCCCAGCTCCGTGAGGATGAGGGTGCTCAGTACGATCAGCTCGTCGAGATCAACCTTGATGAGCTCGAGCCCCACGTCAACGGCCCCTTCACCCCCGATCTTGCCACTCCTCTCTCTCAGTTCAAGGAGGCTGTCAAGACCAACAAGTGGCCCGAGGAGCTCAAGGTCGGTCTGATCGGCTCTTGCACCAACTCCTCTTACGAGGATATGTCCCGCGCTGCTTCCATCGCCCAGGACGCTCTTGACCACGGTCTCAAGGCCAAGTCTCTGTTCACCGTCACCCCCGGTTCCGAGCAGATTCGCGCCACCATTGAGCGTGACGGTCAGCTCAAGACCCTTGAGGAGTACGGTGGTGTCATCCTTGCCAACGCCTGCGGTCCTTGCATTGGACAGTGGGATCGTAAGGATGTCAAGAAGGGTGAGGCCAACTCGATCATCTCTTCTTACAACCGCAACTTCACTGGTCGTAACGATGCCAATCCCGCTACTCACGCCTTCGTTGCCTCCCCCGACCTCGTCGTCGCCATGACCATTGCCGGTACCCTCAACTTCAACCCCGTGACCGACACCCTCAAGGACAAGGATGGCAAGGAGTTCAAGCTGAAGGCTCCCTCCGGTGATGGTCTCCCCACCCGTGGCTACGATGCCGGCCGTGACACCTACCAGGCTCCTCCCGCCGACCGTTCCTCCGTCCAGGTTGCCGTCTCCCCCACCTCCGACCGTCTCCAGATTCTCGCTGGCTTCGAGGCTTGGGATGGCAAGGATGCCACTGACCTCCCCATCCTGATCAAGTGCCAGGGCAAGACCACCACCGACCACATCTCCATGGCTGGCCCTTGGTTGAAGTACCGTGGCCACTTGGACAACATCTCCAACAACATGTTGATCGGTGCCACCAACGCTGAGAACGGTGAGGCCAACAAGGTCAAGAACTACTTCACCAAGGAGTACGACGCCGTCCCCGCCACTGCCCGTGACTACAAGGCCCGTGGCATCAAGTGGGTTGTCATCGGTGACTGGAACTACGGTGAGGGCTCTTCCCGTGAGCACGCCGCTCTCGAGCCCCGTCACCTCGGTGGTCTCGCCATCATCACCCGCTCCTTCGCTCGTATCCACGAGACCAACTTGAAGAAGCAGGGTATGCTTCCCCTCACCTTCGCCGATCCTGCCGACTACGACAAGATCAACCCCGAGGACAAGGTCGACCTCCTCTGCACTCAGCTCGAGGTTGGCAAGCCCATGACCCTCCGTGTCCACCCCAAGGACGGTGGCGCCGCCTTCGACGTCTCCCTCAGCCACACCTTCAACGAGTCCCAGATCGAGTGGTTCCGTGACGGCTCTGCCCTCAACACCATGGCCCGCAAGGCTTAAAGTATTGCGCTCTTTTCTGTCATGACTCTCATACCATCAAACCTTCAAGTGTCTCGGTTATCACCGGCGACACCTGTGTAAACTACGTTCTCTCGTGTGTTGAACGATTCAGATACATTGCTTTCTGGGTCCCACGGGGTGTGATGACCACCATTCGGGTTGTCTGATCCTCGTGTACCTTTTGTTGAGCAGGATTCGAGGAGTTGCGCTCTGGGAAAATTATGAATGATCTTGTGTTTTTGTAGGCCTGATTTCTAAGCCTTGCGTTGATTCCCGATATCTGGGTGGGCTCAATGGATATACTCATTTTTTTTATTTTTACATCACTGCTTTTGTATGTTAAGATTGGCATGCACAGACAATTTCTTTTTGTTCAATCTTTTTGGTTGGATGTAGGCCATAGCCAATGTAGTAGAATGTCTTCAACACGATAGACAACGACCTCAACATCGTAGAACCGGAGATCTACGGAGTACACCGAGGTCGGGCATCTCCAAATCTCCAAAGCTGAGATAAGCTACCGAGGCTCGTTTTCTGCCCCGCGTTGAGAAGTCGCTCGGCTTGACATAAAAGATTGGCCTGCGCGCTATCAGATCTTAGGAAGTCACCTCTCTAGACACCTTCGATATATTTGCGTCAGAACATGGCAACCCAACTCGTCCCACTCCCAGAAGTGGAGCGCCTCAGTGCCTCAGTCGTGAGGATACTAGCCGGTAATCCGGGGAAGGTGAGTTCATAGATGGTTGTCTTGACAGCATTTGCTTTACAAGAAGCTGATGGATAACGAAACGCAACATAGTTCACACTACAAGGTAAGCAACTTCTTAGACCCCTGCGAAAGACATGTAGTTCCCTAACCCGACATTAGGCACAAACACATACTTAATCGGCCGAGGCCCTCAGCGAATCCTAATCGACACTGGCGAGGGCAAGCCGTCCTGGGCAGCAAATCTCAAGGCGGTGCTCACAGAAGAAAACGCAACGGTGCACCAGGCGCTCCTGACACACTGGCACCATGACCATGTCAACGGGCTTCCGGATTTGCTGAAGCTGTGTCCCCAGGCACAGATCTTTAAACACCAACCTGGCTCCGATCAGACGGATATCCAGGAGGGTCAGGTGTTCTCCGTTGAAGGTGCTACTTTGACTGCATTCCACACGCCAGGACATACGGTGGATCATATGGTGTTTATGCTTGAAGAGGAAGGTGCGATGTTTACGGGTGATAGTAAGTGATCCTATTCAGTCCATATACGACGTATACTCCAATATTTCCATAATTACCTCTAACCCATCTAGACGTCCTCGGCCACGGCACAGCCGTCTTCGAAAGCCTCAAAACCTACCTCAGCAGCCTCCACCGCATGCGCGACCGCGTCTCCTCCGGTCGGGGCTATCCCGGACACGGGGCGGTTCTCGAGAACACCGGGGCGCGAATCACCGAGTACATCCAGCACCGACAACAGCGCGAAGACGAAGTTCTGCGCGTACTGCGATATGGCAAGCTGGACGTGGCGGAAGGGGAATCCTCACCGGAGCGCAAGCTAGAGTGGACGCCTATTGAGTTGGTCAAGCGGATTTACCGCGATGTTCCCGAGTCGTTGCATTTACCTGCTTCGCATGGTGTGGTGCAGGTACTGATGAAGCTTGAGGATGAGGGGAGGACGATACATGATTCTGATAGTGGGAAGTGGAGATTGAGTGAGAAGCCTGCATTGTGAGGTACCTACAATGTTGTACACAGTAGAGGAAGTTACAAGTCAGGCCTTGAAACCGGATAATTGCCCATAGATGGTTCTGGACACTTTTTCTATTTGTGGTGGGCTGGAACACGGAGACAAGGAAAAAACAAGCGATCGACGTCAGTGGATGGTCACTTACTGTGGTAGAACTTGAAGGAACTTGAGTCGAGAACTTGTTCCCAAGGACTTGGCCCTGTTGTACACAGTACCACAGTACAATCTTGTTGGAGTTGGAAATAGACCACTTAAACAGACCTAGGAAGGATCTTGCTTTCCAATTATTTTCTTTATTTCTTATCGTCTCATACAAAATAAAACCAAGTTACCCTGCTGATTTCGTTGAAGCCTGATGAGAGCGATATTGAGGACACCCCACGTAGTTTCCAAGGAAAAGTGACGTTCGCCATTACCAAGTCCCCGCTTTGCTTCTCACTTCTCTTCATTTTTCCTCTACTCTTCTACATTACTTCTCTCTACCTTTTTCATATGGAGATTGATTGCTAGCTAAGCTCTCACTCGGAGTTCTTATCCACCCTTTTTCTTTTTCTTGTCAAGGTGGGTTGTCGTCATTGAAGATCTTCCCCGCCAAGCTCAAGTCTAATCGCATTTCTTTCGGAACTCCAGGAGCTTCAACTGGCCTTATTTGACAGTATCTATTCGAGTCGGCTTATTACTCTAATCTCAATCTTCACATTCCGCCCCCCGAACATCGCACCATGCCGTCGATCGAGGAGCCCAAGCAGAATGAAGCGCGCTTGCTTCTGGTCTCAAACCGTCTGCCGATCACCATCAAACGGTCTGAGGATGGAAAATATGATTTCTCCATGTCTTCAGGAGGTCTAGTCAGCGGACTGAGCGGCCTCTCAAAATCAACCACCTTCCAGTGGTACGGCTGGCCCGGTTTGGAGGTGCCCGAACCAGAGATCCCGGTCGTCAAGCAGCGTCTCAAGGATGAATACGGCGCTGTGCCAGTCTTTATCGACGACGAACTCGCAGATCGTCACTACAATGGCTTCTCTAGTTAGTTGACTCTCCCCGTGACGCTGCTAGCATATGTACTGACCTTCCATTTCTCTCCATAGATTCCATCCTTTGGCCTCTGTTCCATTACCACCCCGGTGAAATTACCTTCGACGAGTCTGCCTGGGAAGCGTACAAGGAAGCAAACCGTCTCTTTGCAAGGGCTATTTCCAAGGAAGTGCAGGATGGTGACCTGATCTGGGTCCACGACTACCATCTCATGCTGCTGCCCGAGATGCTGCGTGAGGAGATCGGCGATAGCAAGAAGAATGTCAAGATCGGCTTCTTCTTACATACACCGTTCCCCAGCAGTGAGATCTACCGAATCCTGCCGGTGCGAAATGAATTGCTCTTGGGTGTTTTGCACTGCGATCTTATTGGCTTCCACACCTACGATTACACGCGTCATTTCTTGAGCAGCTGCTCACGTCTATTGTTAGTATACCCTCTACATCTCTTTTTGATTTACATGCTAACCCGAATAGGGGTCTCGCAACCACGCCGAACGGTATTGAGTTCCAGGGCAAGATCATCACATGTGGAGCTTTCCCAATTGGTATCGACCCCGAGAAGTTCAAGGAAGGATTGAAGAAGGAGAAGGTGCAGAAGCGCATTGCTATGCTCGAGCAGAAGTTCCAGGGTGTGAAGTTGATGGTCGGCGTCGACCGTCTTGACTATATCAAGGGTGTGCCTCAGAAGTTGCACGCCCTCGAGGTATTCCTCAGCGACCACCCCGAATGGGTCGGAAAGGTTGTTCTCGTGCAAGTGGCTGTCCCTAGTCGACAGGACGTCGAGGAGTACCAGAACTTGAGAGCCGTGGTTAATGAGTTGGTGGGTCGGATCAATGGAAAGTTTGGTAAGTACCTACTTTTGTTCTCTTTTGGCATTCCTGTGAGGCTAATGATCTGCGAAGGCACCATCGAGTTCCAGCCTATCCACTTCCTGCACAAGTCCGTCAACTTCGATGAACTCATCGCCCTCTATGCCGTATCAGATGCCTGCATCGTCTCGTCTACCCGTGATGGCATGAACCTGGTGGCCTACGAGTACATTGCCACCCAACAGAAGCGCCACGGAGTGTTGGTGCTGTCTGAATTTGCCGGAGCGGCTCAGAGTCTCAATGGCAGCATTATTGTCAACCCCTGGAACACCGAAGAACTGGCCGGTGCCTATCAAGAGGCTGTTACCATGAGCGATGAGCAGCGGGCTCTCAATTTCGCCAAGCTGGACCGATATGTGTCCAAGTACACTAGGTATGTTTGGCTACATGTCTCTGAGGCTGTCTTGTGCTTGTGACTAACTTTTTACAGTGCATTCTGGGGTCAATCCTTCGTCACCGAACTCACCCGGATATCCGCACACGCTGCCGACAAGTTCCAATCCAAGAAACTGTCGACAGTTAACGAGGCCGATGCCCCAGCAACGGAACAGACCGCGGAATAGTCTTTCGATGTTTCCCAAGACATGCTGTCTCCAGTCACTGGCGTTCTGCAGATGGGATCTTTCGAATGAAACTTAGACGGTCTTCACGAACATGGATGAGGCGAATTGTATTATCTAGGAGGTTTCTCCTTGGTTGGTTTCTGCTTTCTTGAGATTATGATCTTCGTACACGGTTTGCATGGGGTTTCTTTCATCTTTTCTTTTTTTTCCTTAAAATGAATAATCACCTTTTCGAGATTTGGATTCGGTCTAGAGTTCGAGTTCATGTATGTTTGGACATTCTCCGCTCATGTGTTTTCTTTTCTCATACATTGTTAGATAGAGAATATGTTTAGATATTCTGATTGCTGAGCGTTAGCGAAGCAATTATATCTCAGTATCACTTAGCTGATCGTACTGTAGCGTCTATACTTTTCGTTTTCTTGCAATGGCAGTGTTGGGATAAGGGCTGGGGCCGGAGAGAGCGGGAGTCCAGACGTGCTGCGACTTGTAAATATTGAAATGTTCCAAGCGACTGCCATTCAAGGAGGAAGAACTTCAATAACATTTGTGTGCTGATAAAACAGAAATTGCTACAAATGCGATGTTTCGTGTTGATCCAGGGCCAAGTTGTCTCGGTGTTGGATAGTACTGTGCATGCAAACAATGCAAACATGCTTCCCCGAGAAATTTCGAAATCTCAACTCCAAACATCTCAAGCTCACAACCATTCGGGGGTTGTCACCATTACCACAAACCCCTGTCTGCATCACCTTCTTGAATCTCCCATAATCTCCAATTTCTTATTCAAATCCCACCAAAGGAGTGAAAACCCACCCACCAAACCAACAATGTCCCGAAGCACTCTCCTCCGGGCAACAATGCCACTCCGAGCAGCCCTCACGCCTCTGTCCCTGACACGCCCTTCAATCCTCCAATCAACCACTTTCCTCCGCATCACCACCCCTCTCCGCTCCATCACCACAACCCCAACCACCCCGGAGTCCACCGCGCAAGGAACAGACACACGCGCCCCCTCCCGACTCCGCAACTACGCCTCAACCCTGAAAACTGGCACCGTCGTCTCCGTCGGCCGAATGGACCGCACTGTCCGCGTCTGCCACCGCCACACAGCCTGGGACCGACACATCCGCAAGTACTACCCGCAAGAGACGCACTACCTAGTGTCGGACCCGCGGAACTCGCTGCGAGAGGGAGACGTGATTGAATTCTCGTCCGGGGCGCCGAAGAGCCGACATGTGCGTCATGTTGTTGAGAGGATTGTTACGCCGTTTGGGGTGGGGATTAATGAGAGACCGGCTGTTATGAGTAAGGAGGAGAGAGAGGCGGAGAGGGAGGAGAGGTGGGCGAAGAAGTATTTGAGACGGGAGTCGAGGAGGTTGGGGAGGGAGGTGGATTTGGAGGTGGAGGCGAAGAAGGCGGGCGTTTATTTGGGGGCTAATTGGTGGGTTAAGGAGACTTCGGATGCCAGGTTGATTCATCGGATTCATGAGGGGAAGGAGAGGGTTGGGAGGGTTAAGGGGATTGTACAGGAGAGGACTTAGGATTCTTTCTTGATTCTCTGGTGGACTTGTTGACTGTTGGATATCCAGATGTGTGGAGGGCTCTGGGTTTACTTGGAGAGCTGTTGTATTGTACTATACCGTTTTCAATTTATTTTCGTTGACATTGTGATATGTTGTGTTTCTGGGGTGTGGACTAATAGGTCTAATGTATGGAACAAGGAGACGAGAAGGTCATCAATGTCAGACAGCCAACAGTGTACATCGTAAACATGGATTGGAGGTACCAATCGATCATTTGTAAACAAAAGAAAGTCACTGGTATCACGGAAGAATAAACCAACTCCTTGACCTAGAGACGGGTGCCTATCAGACCCTGGAACCTTCTTTGGGGGATGACCCCGGCGAGAGGCGGTGGTGTTCCTTTCAACATATCGACTGGCGGGTTTATTCATTCGAACTCGCCTGATCTCATATTCTGTCCCATGCTCCAAGGTTCGGCGCTAACTCCAATCAAAAACTCATGATGCAAAGATGCGGACCTTGAGATCGACACTGCCCGTCGCCAACACGCATCGAATGGACACCTTGGCGGCACTAACTTCTTCTTTGCCAGTCGCTGCCTCGGCACTTTCCTTGCCTCCGTCTTTGATCAATGGCGGCGCCCATCGAAGGGAACTGATGAAGTGGTTGTGGGCCACAATGGTACGCACGCACTTGCATTCTTGCGTGAGATCCCAGCACCGCAGCGTCTTGTCGTCAGATACTGATAGAAGATATTTCCCACCGGGGTGGAAGACCAACGAACGGACCCAGTTGTCATGGCCGACCAAGGTCTTGATGCAGTTTCCGCGGGTATCCCAGAGACGGATGGTCTTGTCTCGGGAACCTGTAGCTACGAATTCAGCGGAGGAGGATGCTGGCGGTGGTTTTTTGAGACCTGCAAGCGGTGCCAGGTGTTGATAGCTGGTTGGCGGGGCAAAGGCCACACACTCGATATAGTGCTCGTGGCCTAGGAATGTCGACTTGGTTTCCCCAGATGAGATGTCCCACAGACGCGGAACACGGTCATCCCCACCGGAGAAGAGGAATCGACCGTCTGGAGATGGTGCCACGTCTCGAATCCAGTCTCCATGGCCCTGCATTGTCTTGACACAATACCCGGTTGTGACGTCCCATATGCGCAATGTGAGATCGCGAGAAGCCGAGACCAGTAGATTTCCTGACATGGGAGATCCTGCAGCCCCGGACGGAATAAACCGAACCGCAGAAACACTGTGGTCGTGTCCTGGTAGTGTTCGGATGTTCTTATAGTCGTCGGCCGGATCCCATAATTTGATCGTTAGATCCGACGAGCATGATGCAAGAAGTGTTCCTCCGCGCGGTCCTCCATAATCGACATCAAGTACTGCCCGGGTATGTCCTTTGATTGTCCGTTCTAGTTCACCCAACTCCCAGTCCCAGATCTTGATCGTGGTATCGTCTGAGCCAGAGGCCAGTGAAGAAAATATTGGATGGAAAGCGAGGCATGATACTGGGGCGCGGTGCGATTCGAGGTCATGGCGCGGCGGTGCTCGAGGTAGCCAGGAGACTGGGTCTTGATTCTTCCGCAAGAGAGAAGTTGGGGTTGCGGTATCCAGCTCAGCTTGGAGTGCAGTGCATCGCGATTCCAATTCCATAATCTACAAAAGAAATGGGTTATGTTAGCAAAAAGAAATCGCTTCGATCTGCCCGGTTGCACCCACCTTCTTCTGTAACCGGACTACACTCGTCCATTTCTTCTCCAAGAGTCCCTCATATTTCTTTAGTGTCGTGTCATCAACTGTAACTGAGTCGCCAAGTTCTTCTCGTAAAGCAGCGGAGCTGTTATGCAAATTCACCGAGGTGAGGTAGGCAATTATTCCTTTATGTCTGTCGCAACATTATCAGCGTCTACCCCTAAATGAACTGGGAGGAGTCACATACAGCTCCTCCGCCTGCCGCGGCGTGAGAAGTTGGCTCATGGTGCAGCTTATATGTGCTCTCCCTGCTTGCTATTCCAAAGCGCATGCACCAGAAATTCAAAGGCTCGACCTGGGGGGGCAAACTGCGATTGAGGGGAGACGGTAAGAGCGATTGTTGGCGAAGAAACGTGACTGGGAAAGAATTGATCCGAAGGTTTAAAAGCAGAGCAAAGAATCAAAAGAGAAAGGACGTGAAGGTAGAAAGACAGCAAGTGCGATCCACCGCGGGGTTCCATAACAAAACAATTCGCCAAGGCCGGTTGTTTACTTTCCTCCAACTGTTTATTTTCTCTCCTACCCGACACTCTTCCAATCACTTTGAAGATATTTCGATCTATTCTTTCTATCGAAGAGGCCACATGATCCAAGATCAGTGTTCTCCTTATTGATCGCAGACTAAGACAGTCTGCAGTCCTTTGATACCTTTGGGCATCAACATACAGTACGATCTGAACCCTCCTCCAACCCCGACTCAGAACCTATATCTCTTTCTCTGGCCTTGCGCTAGATACCCTATACTGGGAACGCGCTGACTTTCTTTTGTTCCCTTAGAAACCGCTCGATAGTACTACCCTCTCTCACCCATTCGTCATGGCTGACGCCCCAGAGGACTTCTCCTCTTTGCCCTTGCCCGACCGGTTCGCTCATAAGGTGCGCTCATCCCTTACATCTGTCACAGTCGAGTCGATGATAGATACTGACAGTTCTTGCCCGCACAGAACTGGAAAGTCCGCAAGGAGGGATACGAAGAAGCTAGAGAGCAATTTGAGAAAACCCCCGATGAATCACATCCAGTATTCGTACCATTTATACAAGATCCCGGCCTGTGGAAAGGCGCAGTCGCAGATTCCAACGTCGCCGCACAGCTAGAAGGACTTGCATCATACTGCGCCTTTTTGAAGTTCGGAGGTCCTCAGGCCTGCACGAGGTGCGTCCCCCCTGGCCCCAGTCGCGACGGTCTTGGCCCACTCCGGATCAACTGACAGCGTTCTTTCTCATAGGACCCGCCAATATACAATTGGTCCAATTGCTGAGAAGGGTCTCGTATCTACACGACCGGCCGCTAAAGCCAGCGCGGTGGAAGCTCTTCTACTATGTGTGGAACTGGACAAGTCCGACCCGGTGATCGAGGAACTGCTGCCTACACTCTCACACAAAGTGCCCAAGGTGGTTGCTGCGTCTCTTGCAGCGTTTACCGCTATTTATCACAATTTCGGTTGCAAGATCGTCGACCCGAAGCAAACTTTGAAGGCGCTGCCTAAGGTTTTCGGTCACGCCGATAAGAATGTTCGAGCCGAAGCACAGAACCTGGCGGTGGAACTCTACCGGTGGCTTCGGGAGGCCATCAAGCCTCTGTTCTGGGCCGATTTGAAACCCGTACAGCAGGCTGATTTGGAGAAACTATTTGAAACTGTAAAGCAGGACCCCACCCCAAAGCAAGAGCGATTCACTCGGGCACAACAAGATGCCATGGCCGCGGCCAGCGCTGCGCCGGCCGGCGTCCAGGATGTAGAACAAGGCGGTGAGGAGTTCGAGGAAGAGGAGGAAGCTGATGCCGTTGATGCCTTTGACCTCGCGGAGCCTGTCGATGTTTTGAAGAAAGTCCCTGCCAACTTCCATGAGCAGTTGGCCTCTTCAAAATGGAAAGATCGCAAAGAAGCATTGGATGAACTGTATAACGTGCTAAATGTGCCCCGAATCAAGGACGGCCCCTACGATGATATCGTCAGAGGCTTGGCCAAATCCATGAAAGACGCCAACGTCGCTGTGGCTACCGTGGCTGCAAACTGTGTGGACGTGCTGGCCAGGGGCCTGCGCAACGGATTCGCTAAATACCGAAGCACTATCATGGTTCCTATGTTTGAGCGTCTCAAAGAAAAGAAGCAGACTGTTGCAGATGCCTTGGGTCAGGCATTGGATGCTGTTTTCTCTACAACAACCCTTTCGGAGTGTCTGGAAGAAATCTTCGAGTATCTCAAGCACAAGAACCCCCAAATCAAGCAGGAGACTGTCAGGTTTTTGGTCCGGTGCTTGCGCACAACCAGGACAGTACCGGCCAAACCAGAACAGAAAGCGATTGCCGATGCCGGCACCAAGCTGTTGACGGAATCAGCGCCGGCCATTCGTGAAGGAGCGGCTGAAATTCTCGGTACGCTGATGAAAATTCTGGGTGAACGAGCCATGAACCCGTATCTCGATGGACTCGATGAGATTCGCAAAACCAAAATCAAGGAGTACTTTTCAACCGCCGAAGTCAAGGCCAAAGACCGCCCCAAGCCGATTGTCGCACCCCCGAAGCCCGCTGCCCCAGCCGGCAGAAAGGTCGTTGGGAAGAAGCCGGGGGTGGGATTGAAAAAGCTAGCCCCTGCAGCCGCGCCGCCTGCTCCAGAAGAATCCCCGGTCAAACCTGCATCCAGAGCACTTCCTTCGAAGCTCGGTGTTCCCAAACCTGGCGGCCTTCCAGCTCCTGGATCCGGTATCAAGATGCAGAGGAAGCTTGCTGGTCCTGGCAGCACTGCGTCTCCGTCAAGACGTGTTGCTGCACCCCCGGCAGAGGAGGACGTGGCTCCCCCGCCAGCTGCTCCCAAATTCGGTCTTGGCCGTGGTCTTGCGGGGCGTCCCATCGCTAGACCGGCAGCGCCTGCTGAATCCGCTCCTGCCCCCTCATCCGCTGCCAATGCCATGTCAGCCGCCGATCGCGCCGAGTTGGAGGAACTACGAGCGGAGAAGGAGAAACTAAATCGAATGGAAGAACTACGCTCGGAAAAGGAGGTCCTCTATCGAACCGTCGAAGAAATGAAAAGCGAGCGTGCAAAGCTTAACTCTACAATCGCTGAACTCCAGAATCAGAACGCACAGCTAATCGAGGACCACACGCGCGATGTGTTAAGCATCAAGGCCAAAGAGACTCAACTAGTGCGAGCACGGAGTGACGCCGAAGCCGCGGAGGGGAGTGTCCAGAAACAGCAAAGAGAGATCGAGCGATTGAAGCGTGAACTCGCACGCGCACTTCGCGCATCTGCCATGAGCCCACCCAACGCTACCTCCGATACTGGCAGCATTGGCATGCCGGAGACGAGCTCCATGCATCCTGACCACACCAGCAATGGCAACGCGGCCACACGATCTGGTCTTCACCTGGGATCCCGCTTTGAGGGCTCGCGTCCTCGCAGCTACGCGTCCAACGAAGACAGAGAGAGTGGCATGGAATCACCAGGACCCAGCAGCCGCAATGGCGGCCTCAGCCGACGCAATCTGAGCCCTACATACGGCTATGGGGCCGTTAGCAGTCCCACGCGCTCATCACGAACCTCCGCCACAAACTTGAATGAAGACGACCAACAGCCTAGATCGAGTGAGCCGGCGGAGAACTGGAAGCGAGCTGCGGAAGTCACCAGCCAGCTCAAGGCGAGAATTGAACAAATGAAGGTGAGCGATCATATCTTATTCAATTGTCTGAATTCCTCTCTGACGTGAAACACAGGTACGACAAGGGCTTTCACGACCCCCCGCCCAACGTTAATGACCGAATGACCGCCATCATGTTTATGTTTTCGTCCTTTCTCGCTATACACCTTCTTCGCGTGCTTGCTTTACTTTTGTCTCTGTAGTCGGGTTGTCTCCATATCTTCCTCCGTTCATCTCTCATCGGCGGTTGAGCATATCTGGTCTTCTGGGAGCATAGGGCTGGGTTGGGTTTCCTTTTCTGTACTTTCCTTTTCCTCTTTTTTTGCTTCCGCTTTGGCTGTCGGCCTTGGGATCTTCATGTAATTTTCATACGAACCTTGTCTCTTCTTGTCCTTCGACTCCTACGAGTGCTAGTCTGCCTCATGTCGGTGTATTAAAACCTTGTCTTCTCATTATCACGAGATCTTTCTTATGGATGCTTAATATATATTTGCCAGCAAGACGAGGCTATTTCATCTAAACCAGGACGTCGAGCGCTCTGGGATCTCATGGGGCAAATGTGGCATATACCTGGTACCTTACCTCTCGGTACAAGAACTAGAAACCTATAGGTAGGTATCGGAAGCCCGAAACTCCTTATTCCAGTCTCCGGCCCTGGGTGCAGCTAGCTCACTACACGGACAATCGTAACCCTAAAAGCCGAAGCTGTGGATAAGGGTGGGACTGCAACGAAATTACTTGGGCGACCAAGAGGGTGGAAGCACCAATCTACCAGTATCTATACTCAGTACGTCTACAATACAACGCAGACATGAACGCCTAGTTCTGATGGACTACTGGACCATCAATAGATTGAACAGGTAAGAAATGCATTCATGGGTATCTGCAGAAAGTTGGTACATTGGGGGGGCCATTGGAGTTCGTGAGAAAAAAAATTGGTGTCTTTTTGTTTGTTAGAACAGGATCCAAAAAGGGCCACAAGGCTCCTTCGTACCCATCTAAAGCTAAAAGAATTGGCCGTCAATGAATCGTCAAAGCCCCGAACACCTCGTTGTTTCCCGGTACAACATATTATTTTTGAAGATCCGAGCGCTTCGATTAGAAACGATCCCGTCAAACACACATCGAAGGAAAGAAGAAAGCCGTAGTTACACGGGCTTAATTTAAACCTTGATGGCGGCATCGAGAGCCTTCTGCTTCTTCTCGATGCGGGCGTTGGCCTTGGCGCCCATGATACCACCACCCCAGTGACGGCGGGAGTCCTCGTTCTTGTCGGTGTAACCCTCCTTGATGGCGGAGAGGAGCTTGGCGAACTCAGACTTGTCCTCAGAGCGGACCTCGGTCAGGGCCAGAACGGCGGAGGTCTTCTTGTGGACGACTGTGCCGAGACGGGCCTTGCCCTTGACAATGGCGTAGGGGACACCCATCTTGCGGCAGAGAGCGGGCAGGAAGACAACCAACTCGATGGGGTCGACATCGTGGGCGATGAGGACGAGAGAAGCCTTCTTGTTCTCAACGAGTCCGACGACGTGGTTGAGACCGTACTTGACGTGGTAGGGCTTCTTGGAGACATCCTCCTTCTTCTTGCCCTCGGAGACGGCGGTGGCCTCCTGGACGAGACGCTCCTTCTTCTCGGCCTTGGTCTCAGGACGGTACTTGGCGAGGAGCTTGAAGGTCTGGGCAGCGGTGTTGCGGTCCAGAGTGGACTGGAACTGAGCGATGGAAGGAGGAACCTTCAAGCGCATGTTCAGGATCTTCTTCTGGCGCTGAAGACGAACATATTCGGGCCACTTGACGAAGCGGGACAGGTTGCGCTTGGGCTGGATGTCCTGGCCGATACCGAAGTTGCGAGAGCGCTTCTCGATAAGGGGGTTCTATTCGGAAAAAAAGGTTAGCCTCTTTCAATCTTCTCAAATGGACTCCCAGGGGAGAAAAAGAAACGAACCTTGGCGGCCTTCTTGCCAGTGCCAGCCTTGCCCTGGGGGTAGGGCAGAGCGGCGGTCTTCTTTCCGGACTTGGGAGGCTATCATTGAGAAAAGAAGATCAGCGTGCTGTCCACGTATTGCTGCATCTTCTAGGAACTCTAAGGAGAACAATGAGCCAAGCCGTGTTACGGGCATTGGACTCAATGCTTCCAGCCAAATCATCGCACGATCCAAACACACATCTCTTTCGAGTCTGTGTGCGCGATCGGCGGAATTGCTTAGATCAGAGATCTGAAGCAAGGCGAATGTCGGAAGACATCGCGAGAACTAGAAGAAGCCTCTGATATTATCAAGAGACAATGTTTTCATGTACTCACCACCATGTTGTCGACTGGGATTACGCTGATTGACGGTTGACGGATGAGAAGAAGAAAAGTTCTTGTGGATGGAACTTATGAACTTTGTGTGGGTCGCGCTAGTGCTATCATGTGATCAGGGCTAGGGTTGATCGTTAGGGCAGACCCACACATTCTCATGATTTTGATCACATGATATCGGGACAATCTTTTGAAGTGTACTCCGTACCTCCGCTCGAAAGACAGCACCAGATTCAGGGGCAAGATTATTCGCTTTTTCAACAACCAGCAGTTCAACACAACTATCAAAATTGGAGAACTACACTTGATCCTCAATCACAGTGCCTCATCAAAAACCCTTTAAATCCAGGACTGCTCCCCTTCGGGCGATCGGTCCCAGTTCTGCAGGACTAGGCCATGAGCAGACATCCCTGGACCAATGGCTAAATTCAGGCAATGGGGAACACTCATCGGCTCCAATAATCAAGGCCCCAGGCGATCATCCAAGAAGTGCAAGAGAGAGGCGAGAAGGCACAGCACGCGGCCATTACCACGGCCATTGAAGGAATTTACAGCTTTCCTCCATGGGATGGTCAGCGAGAGGCACTCCACCATCTTCTTTTAGACCAAGAACTAAGAAGCTTTTTTAAGAAGTGACTGTGTTCCTCAGATAGTACTCGATACTCTGGTTCTGCCTCTCAGTCTGCCCATCAGTCTGAGAGGCAGAACCAGAGTATCGAATACTATCTGAGGAACACAGTCAGTTGGTGCCAGGATGACTGGACGAGATGGATTCCACTTGCTCAGATGGTATACAACACTGCCACGCACAGCGCGCTGAAGATGTCTCCCGCTCAAGCGTTGCTTGGGATCCGGCCTGAACTGAGAACATCGGTGCCAGACGACAAGACCGAAAGCCACAAGCATGCTGGAGCTCGCGTGGAGGAGATGCTCACAATGGGCTCTCCACAACAGAGACTGCCCGTCAGACTTAGACTCCTTAGCGATTAGTTAGCAAGGCAAGTATACTCATGCTGATTAGTCCCGAACTTGCAATTGGGACGAATCAGAACATGAGTATATTTGCCTTCCTTTACTTCTTCAAAAAGCTTCTTAGTCTGTTGATACTCCAACGGTGCCGTTCACGCAGCTGGTCAAGTATCAAGTCGACCCTTTGCCGTACTGATAATCCAGAAATATAACCGTTCTCGTCGAATATGTCACTCGACGCGTGCCGGGAACGCGACGCAGGCGGGGTCGACTCGCGCACGCGTTTTCGAGACATTGCAGCGAGATATCGGAAATTACAGACGGAATATTACTATACTACAATAACGTTTGGACCTTATTGAACGTTAGGTATTTAGGTACACCTCTAGACCTTTCATGTGAGAAATTTGTAACGAACCATCAAACGGTAGAGGCTATCAATATCAAGAATCCATCGAGCCTGATTTTCGATACTTGCCTTGGTTCCTTCGTGTTATTTCTTGGTAGTACGTACCTCCATGGTCATATAAAACTGGCCGCTTAACCCGACATTCTAGGGCATCGATCGCTGAACAATAGATACAGACAAAGCATAACTCATTTCATTCTCAACCCTGCAAAGCAAGTCTAGGATGTGTAACCGGAACGCCGTAGACCCCTTCAGACTGAAATAGCCATCAAATCGACCCATATGCAGGTCATAAATCAAAAACAAAAGGTCCATCACCTCCACGCCCCCAACCCAGGCAAAGCCCCACGACCCAGACTACTGCTAGCAGCCTGAACAGCCTTCTTCTTACCCAGTGATCCCTCCTGAGCACGCACACCAGCAACAATCTTATCAATATTCGTCTCAACAACCACCCCGCCAACGATCATCTCACCCAGCACAGCATGAAGAGTCTCATACCCGAAGATAAGATCCAACTCGCAGACATTCTCGAACATGCGATCCAGCGCCTCGACAAACACCTGAATCAAATCAATCAACGCAAGCGGGGACTCGGTGGACGTTGAGATCATGATAAAGGATAGCGTTGCGTAGGTGCGGTATGTGATTTGGGTGGGGGCATCGGAGGGTCCGGAGGCGGAGGAGCTGGCACCCTGTGAGAGGAGTGGTGGGAGCGGAAGGAAGTTACAAGCACTAGCTGGACGCTGCGCTACTAGACGGTATATTTGCGCGATGAGAGATTGTTGTGTTTGCGTGTCCTGATTTCAGAGGTGTGTCAGTTGGGTTGTTCCGGCGCGGCGCGGGGGAATCAGTGGGTGCTGGCGTGGATTGGACTCACCAGCTGCGTATAGAACTTGGTCAACCGGGGCTGGCCATTATTATTGAATACGAGGACGGCGTTAATCATCTTGAGTGAGTTGGGTTGGAACAAGCTGTGAAGAATTGTCGGTCTTATCTGCGCGATGCGCGATAGCTGATGATGCGGTCTCGGCTCGGGGGAGACTTGCCCCGTGCGCCGATCTGGAGAAATCGATGTCAAGTTTGCGCTTTTTAAGACTTAATCAACACTTTAACACTTTGTCGGAAATTGAACAATGAACACAATACCGGTATGCAGGCGCTCTGCGTCTAGGGTTTCATCTTATACAACGATACGAGCCCTGTCCTCAACGCCGAATCCCAATTCAAAGCGCGAACTCAAAGACCTCACGCCGACCGATCTCTGCTATTACTGGGATACAAAACCTCCCAGTCCCGAACAACTAGCCTTTGCCGACAAAGTATTCGTCCCATCGCGTCACTCTCCTCTGAAATTATGGTCCGCCGCCAAATTCCGCACAACGCCAATGGAATCTCTCGAACCCGAAGTCGCATTTCTCGGCCGCTCAAATGTTGGCAAGAGTTCATTACTGAATGCAATAATGGGCCAGGAGATGTGCTGGACCTCGTCGAAACCGGGACGAACGAGGGAAATGAACGCGTTTGGGATTGGAGGCACGAAGGGCGGCGAGTCGAAGGTCGTACTGCTTGATATGCCGGGATACGGAAAAGCCAGTCGAGCGGAGTGGGGAGCGGAAATCATGAAGTATCTCCAAGGGCGAAAACAGTGAGTTATTGTTCTGTTTCTTGTTGAATACATGAATGAAGTAAGTATGTGTACAATTACTGACAGCTCGGTGTTGTAGACTCCGTCGCGCATTCCTCCTCATCGACAGCATGCACGGCATCAAGCAGACCGATGCCGAGATCCTCAGACTATTCCGACACAATGCAATTCCGCACCAGATTATCTTGTCCAAGGTTGACAAGTTTCTCGCTAGGAAAGTTAAGCAAATGAAGACTGGGGTGACGCCTGCCAGTCTCGAGCGGCTACATCTATTGCTGCAAGGTATCAAACCAATTGTCCAGCCAGGTCCGGGTGCTTCGGAGGGGCCTGGTGCCCTGGGGGAGATCTTGACTTGTAGTGCTGAGGCACACATCGGTCCCGGACGGTCCTTGGGGATCGATGCTGTTCGCTGGTCTATCTTGTCTGCTGCTGGCATTGATGGGAGCTTAGAGGGTGGTCGCCTTGCTGTTAAACCACCTGCTGCGGAGACATCCGCTGCTATCATTTGAAAGGATGTTTTGTGCAGTGTTGTAATACCCCGGTCAAGATCTCCACTAAAGCCTTCCGTACGGCTAGTCAGGTCTGACTGGTCAATGGTCATTGCCCGAGGACATGCATATACTCGGGTAGCGATGTCCATATATTTCGTCCTATTACAGGGCTAGAAGGGCACGCGGGTTCTCTTATGTGATGCCCAAGTCTTGAATTGGGTGTCCAAGCTATCACGCTGCCACAACCTAGCTATCAGAGTCTACCTACGACAGTAAGTCTAGCCACCACACATCATCGCCATGGTCATAATGCAAGGCATTTTGAATGGTTCGCTAGCTAGAGCGAAGATCAACTGCTACAGATACACTACATAGTATCACAATGAAAGCCGGCATAAAACCAGATACTCATAAAGAATTTTCAAGAAAAGACCACACTAATCAATCTATGGGCGGTCCATACAGACCAAGGCAAAACATATGCAAGAGAATCTACCAGCCCTAACATCAAGGAATTTGATGTCATTGAGCTGGCAAAGGATACGGTGTGGACATCAGCAAAGACAAAAAATATCGATGGCGGGCAAGGGTAATATTCAGTAATAAATAATGATGGGAGCCTCCACAAAGGAAATGATAGAAAAACAAACGCCTGGATCATAATGCTATAGAATGCCGACCACGCTATGCAAGGGATGTTTGTTCCGATGGAAGACGAGAGCTGTGTAAGGATGGGTATCGTAGATGAGGGAAGAGGATGAGCAAGGAAATATGCAGAAAAGGTTGGAATGAGGGAGGATGTTGCCCAGTATCGATAATGTGGTCGAAGCTGATCCAGGAGGTTATGCCGTGGGCTTTTTAATCAGATAGATCAGCGTCTTCGACGTGGCCGCCGACGACCTCCCGCCCATGTCGATTGACGACAATGCGCTGCGAAAGCTTGTTGTCTGGGATACCATCCCGGGAAGCGCCAAAGTCAAGAACCTGGAGAAAGTAACATTAGCATATCGAACACCTACGTTATTTTAAAAAGAACCTACCTCGATGTACGTCAAGCTGTCACGCTGAACCGCAGCAACACATCTCCGGTCGTTGAATTTGACCTGCCACACGCCACTGAGGTCGGTGAGGAGGTCTCGGACGCACTCGCCGGTCCGTACATCCCACATCTTCAAGGTGCGATCGGACCCGGAGATGACCTTCTGGTCGTCGTGCTGGAAGCAGGTTATAGCACCGGTGTGTGCACTCAATGTGTTCTTGCAGTGCCCGTGCACGGAGTCCCAGATTCGTAAGGTGGAATCAGCAGCAGCAGAAACAAGGAAATCGTGCTCCAGGGCAAGGAGGCCGACAAGGGAAGTATGGCCTTCCAGGTTGTACAGAAGGGATCCATCATCCAGCGACCACACCTTGACCATGTGGTCCATGGCTCCACTGATGCAACGATTGCGCTTGTGGTCAAGAACCACGCTGTACACCTTCATCGTATGGCCGTGCAAAGTGTGCAAGGTCTGTCCAGTTGAGATCTTCCACACCTTCACTGTGAAATCGTAGCTACCGCTGACAAGGGTATCGCCGTGAGCTGCAATGGCGCGAACGGATTGAGTATGGCCGGTGAGTACACGAAGGAAGTACGGACAGTCGGTGTCCTCTGGTATAGGATGACTCTGATAGTATGCTGGATCCCCGGGTTGCGGAAGCTTCCACACACGAAGGTTCGAGTCTCGAGAGCCAGTAATGATCAATGGCTCTTTAGGCATAACCACAGGGTGCCCATCTGCATCCCTACCTACTTCAGTTGGCAGGACTATTTGCAGACATCGCACGGTGGAAGTATGGCCATGGAAGATCTGAGTACACCTGGCCCGCTCAATGTCCCAAACTCGCACAGAGCGATCGGTAGATCCGGAGACCAGTGTGTTGCCATAGTATTCAAGAGCCCACACGCCACCTTCATGGCCCTCCAAGGTTGCCTGCAACGCACCTGTTTTGGTATCGTAGACATTGATGTTGGTGTCGTCGCTTCCCGTAAGCACCTTGTCGGCATCGAACTGCAAGCAGGTAACGACATGACGGTCATGGGCGCGAAAAGCGATGTGTCTGGGCTTGATATCCGGCTGCATCCATGTCTTACGAATCGCAACATGACGACGATAGAGGACCTTGAAAAGGAACAATCCACGAAGAGATGGTAGACCTACTTCGGCGTACGGCACAGCTGCGGCGGCAGCATTGGCAGCGGCATACGGGGTCTCGGACGCGGCAATACCTTTCTTCCAGTCTGGTTCCGCGATTTCTCCGCCGCTGGAGGAGATCTTCCTCTTGGCAAGTTTTCGGCTGGAAGCACGCGTGTTTGCCTTTCGCTTAGCTCCAGCTCGTCGGTTCGCCGACAAAGCTCCCAGGGGGCTTCTACCGCTTGGACCAGCCATCAAAGGAACAGGAGATGTCTCCCTATCAGCGCGGGGAAGGGCCACAATGCTGAGATCTTCTTCATGATTTTCAGGGCCGTTGGACAGCTGCCATCCCCATCCCTGTTTGATAGCTCGTTCCAGTTCCCCATCTGATAGGTAATATCCATCCTGGTCGAGGAGGGTTTTCCAACTTTTTTCATCGGAATTGGTGATGTGTCTCCATTTCTTGGAGACCTGTGCAGCACGGCACATGGTCTTGACATCGAGGTATTTGACGATGTTAAGGCTGAGCTCAAGAGGCAGAAGAGCGAGGAAATCACACTTCAACGTTGGATTAACCACGTCGGCCACAAAATGGAGCGTAGGTTTAGGGCACCTTCGAAGGAACTGATACATGAGATAAGTTTTGACCTCATCAGGTACCGCATCGAAGAACTCCAACACCTTGGGCATATCTAGAAGGGACGGGGGTGACTGTGGGTTGGCAGATTGAGCATTTACCCGGGTCTCCTCGCCATTCGGCAGTCCCAAGGCCTTGGAGAACCGTGAGACTTGGTGGTGATCTAGACTGGCGTCTATACCAATGTCAAGCGCCTCCGAGTCGAATGACTCGCCATGAAGGGCGTTCATAGCAGCGACTGGCGAGAGGCTGGGACTTGGGAGGCACATATCCTGCGCCATGGCATTGTCTATTGCTGAGAGTTGGGACACAGGCTCGGGTCCTTCATACGATGTAGATTCCTGGGTTCCATAAGTCGTATCGTGACCGAAGGAGGCCGCTTCAAGTGATTTTGAACCCTCATCGGGTTCAGTGGCCTGGGAGTCTTGGCTTGCGAGACTTGGGCGAGTTCCATGCGACCCATTCTGCAAGAACGAATTCAAGTTGGAAGTCTGTATGCACTTAGATCCGATTTCAGAGGACAGAGGTGATGGCAAAGGGGGTTCCCTGCGCGGAAACACAGCACTGTGAACTCTCGGTCTTGGTGCCACAGTTTCGCCAATTCCCCCCAGATTGTGTTCGGTATCCGGGGTGGCAAGGCCCGCAGCAGATTGAGTTGAGATTGTCCCATTTTGGCGGGTGCGGCGTGTGATGGGCTCGGAAGGTATCCGAGATGGGCGAGTTCGAGGAACAACCACCGAGGGTTGACGATCACGCAGGGTGGCGGGGGAGACGGCACGACGACGAGTATTGAGAGGTGGTTGACTAGCTATCCTCGAAGTCGGTAGCCGCCGAATGGGGGTTTCATCCGCGGATATGAATGAGTTTACAGAGCGAATCTGGCCGTTTGAAGACTTCAAGGCCTCCGTTCTCTCCTTGTACTGTATGAGGTGAGTTTTAGTACTAATGAAGACGAGAGTGGGATAAGATCTCACCTCAGCGGCAGCATTTGTCTTATCCTCGGGCTCGTTGAACACGACAGCTTTATCACCGATTTTAAACTTGAGACTCCTTAGTGCATCTGGCGTCGGAGCTGCGGCGAGAGGGTACTGTCGGGAATCCAGGTCCTTAAGGGCTCGTGGGGGTTTGAAGGCTAAAGGGGGGAATGAGGTGGTTGTAGTTGTCGTGGTGGTTACGACTGTGGTTCGGGTTGTAGGAGCGAAAGAGAACTGTCCGATGGCATCAGTTGACGACCCTTGGCCGATTTCCGCTGTTTCATCCATTTCGCGTTCTCGAGTGTGTACGGTTCGATGTCGAGTTTGATCGGGGCTGTGGGTCGCATAGGAAGCCTGGCGCAGATAGAGACGGGTCGTGGTCGGTCAGAGAGTTGAGTAAACTGCCGAGATTCGAAGAGAGCTAGGAGCATTTGAAGGTGGAGAGAGCAATCATATGCGAAGTGACAAAGGAACTAGGTTCCAGACTTGAGAATCTTTTTTCAGCAAACGTCCCTCAGCACGATACAGCGAAATCATCGATGCAAAGAAGCAGTCATCGCATAGTGTGTGTGTGAGAGAGAGCAAGATTATGGGGGAAAGCAAAACAACATGAAATATATTGGAAGCAAGGAAGTCAAAGGAAGGGGAGAAAGAAACAGTGGCGGCTGACAAGGGAGTTGGGGCGGAGAACAACATGTATTCCGGGTTGCCGTAGTGGACGATGTCATGGCCCAAGTTGCTACTTTTGGGGTTATTTAGTTGGAATTTCTTATGAATTCTACTGTTGCTTTGTTTTTTCATCTTATGTTCTATGAATCCCTCGATTCATCTCATCCCAGAACTGACACGAGTCTCTCTTGTGAAACCTGGAGACCCCCTGGCCCTGCTCTAGACCGGCAGAAATCATTACCAGATAGAGAGTCGACAGGTGGAACCGAGGATAACAACTTGATAAGCAGGTTTAAGTCCTTTCGATGTGCTGACAAGTTGAATCTTTTCAGGGTTCAGTGTTCACGTAAAATCCAACTGCCTGTCACAAACCCCATATCACATATCACATATCTCATATCTCATAGTCATGACCCCATACAAAACAAGTTATATCAGGTTTCTATTTGCCCTCGCCACCTATCACGTGAAGTGGGGGCGTGCCTGACTTCTTGGCACGAGGTTCGAAGCTCGGAGCTCATGACCAGACAATGTTGAAGGATTGATCCACGAGGGAATGCATAGTCATAATGTCATTGATATTGCAGGCTGATATTGTAGTATCGGTATGTCTTAATGCCTATGCAACTTAAAGCAAGTCATCTCCTGCTATTGCTTGATCGATATCGGCAACTTTGTTATCTTGATCTCCCCCACCTTGAACCATCTACTGTGTTGTTAGGGTTCGACGATTTTGACGTATTATGTAACGACACATCCGGGGACAATGCCGGCGACATTCATATTCATCTCTTTATCTCCAAATGCTGGTCTCGCTTTAGACTTCTGTTATCTTCCGAGGGGGGGGGACTGAGTCTTGTGAAGAGGCACCGTTCGTAAGACCGCCTCTGGGTGGACAACATCCTGGTATGGAATTGTGGTCCATCTTCAAAGGCTTCCTTTCCCATGGCCGTGACTACCTCGTTCAATGTATTCGATATCACATCATTAGTTAGTCGTATATTTACCTAACTACATCTCTCGATCTCATGACCTTAGCTAGATAGTTCTTCCATTTGCGTTGTATCAACCCCGAGTTAATTAGATCCACTCCACATTTGTAGTCAGCTAGCCTATCAGGTCTCCAGGCTTCAGAGGTTGTTCCGAGGCCATTCCTCAACACACTCAAGTTCATCAATGGACCATTCCGACACTTGGTAGACGATATGCAATTGAAAGACAGTATACTTTTCAACCAGGAGGACGTGTATGCTTCTAAGGTTGTCGCCCATTCATAAAGCGAGTGGTGCAGCCATGGAGCCTTGGGAGTCTAGTACACATGGAAAATGCGATATATGCTGCACTTCCAAAATGGATAGCTCCACAACCACGTTCTTGGTCTGTTTCATTGCCTGTTGATAGCTATCGATAATTATTTCAGCGGCATGGCATTAACTTCGAATAAATCGGAACCACCTGTGGTATCAACCTAGATTTCGCCGCTGGAAGGTTCTATATATATCCGGCCCGGCAGTCAGTCACCCACCTAGGAGGTAGGTATCACCTCATCCCGCGATGGAACCTAGGTAGTAGATTTTGAAAACTCCTCCAGACAGCCCCGGAGGTGTCCAGCGGACGATGTAGATTGGTACCATATAGGTAACCTCAAAGTATCGGGCTATGGGGAAGTACCTACCTATAGACCACAGTTGTTGAGATACCCAGTTGTCGCATTTACTAAGTATGCGTAGGTATTTGACTGCACCACCCACTTACTGAACATCCATGCGTCTGCTACAACATGGATGCGGTCTGCATGGGTACATACCGCGAAATACGAGATACTGCCTCCCGGGCCCTAGATGGATCTTCGTAGGTATACATTGGGGCAGGCGTAAGATCACCTTGAAACAAGCGGGACAAACGAGGACAGATACCTTGAAAGGCCTGGACCCGAGACTGCTAAGCGGGCTACCGACGTAGCTCTCAAGTGAGTCTTGATTTTTATGCCAGCGGTCTTCAATGAAATTGGGCCAGACAGTGTCTCGCGCAGATGACGGCCATCTCGTTCAATGCGAATGAACCCAGGGCTAGAATAACTTCGTTTTTGCTCGGAGGTCCAAGAGGCGAAAGTTGGCTGCAAGTTCAGATAGAAGATCTGCAGGCTATGTACTACTCTAGTTACCCAATTTTTGGATCTTCAGATCTCCCAGGACAATGGGTTGTTGGGTGTTTCAGATGAGCATAGTCCACGAGACAGAATTTGGTGGACAATCCTAAAATAAGCAGTATGTGGATAGGTAGCTTCACTGAATGCTAAGGCGACACTGCCTAGCTCTCATCATCATCTATTAGGTAGAGCATAGCCTCCACCACCTGATGTTTCATGCTTTTGTCCTTTTCAGCCTTTTTCCTTTTCCACACCGGGAACGAACGCAGATCACTCTATTCTGTGCATCTCTATCGGAGACTGACGCAAGAGTCCTTGGAAGGTGGAATAATGTGGAGGATTTTCATGATCCTCATTTGATCGACATTAAGTCAAGCCACCTTGACCTCACAGACAATAGATCGGATTCGGAACCTTGGAACGAGCCCAGACTAGTGGAATCGACTATTGGCGACCATCAGGAGAGAGTCTCCGCAATCATGCGACATAGCCGCATGCCAAACCACTAGTTCGGGTTTAATAGTCGTTTGACGTGTATGTTTTGTTTATGATTTGCCACTTCCGATTGTGTTTACAACGGTTTATTTCATGCGTTTACTATTTGACGATTTTGACCCGTTTGGACCCTTCCAAATTCCCATTTGGAGTGGCAGACGAAAGTGGCTTATCCCGCTAATTACGTACAGGGATGTCGATCGATGTTCGGCCAATAGATCTCGGATAACAGGGATCTCGATCTTGAGTAGCATTAGAGGTAAAATTACCCCGAAGCAGCAACACTGCTTGTTGCGTCTCGTGGGTCGACATTGAACGCGGCACACGGGCAGGCGCACGGAGGCGCCCGATGGATTGATCTACATGACCAGAGACCGATCTGTAAAAGGGAGACGAGGGTACGGAGTCCGGACTATGGCATACTCCGTATGTTCTATTGCTGTACGATGAGTCTATCTCAATGTTTTCATGAGGATTATGTGTCTGTTGACTGCAACCTGCAAGCCAACCCATCACTCCTCACATGCGCGTCCGCGGCTCAGGGGCCAAGGCTGTCAACTTGTCAGCCCCAAACCCTATGATGAGTGTCTCAAATCCTTCCCGTCTCCCGCGCATGTGCAGGATTGAGTTTAGTACAGAGAGGAGCGAGCCCGCCTACAAGCCGATCATTACCAGTTCCTGGGACGTGCAGATGCCAGGGCTGGGGGCCGGCTATCGTATTTGTCACGAAAGCAGATACGAAATAAAATACTGGGGCCTGTACTCCTTAGCAAGATCTCAGCGTCTTTGGCGCCGGGCCTTTGGGTCGATAAACGAGCGTCGATCAGGAACCACCGTTAGTGAATTGGTGGAAATTTGGGCAACTATCGCGGTGGATGCTCCATAGTTTCTGGATTTAGTTAGCCTCGGAATCCACCGGGGGTTTAGCTTAGGGGAGAAATGAGAATAGATCCCTGCGAATGGAGGATGAGTGAAGAATAGAGAAATAAATTACATTTAATTCCAAATCACCAGGATGTAAAGAGTTTAGTATGAGGGGGTCAATAGTGTACAACAACAAAGGGCCCACGTTCTGGAATTTCGATTCTTCAATCCCCGGAGTTTAGGAGGGAACTTTTAGGGTTTCCGGTAAGGGGGTTAAATCTCCTATCCACGAGGCAATGGAAAATTAATGAGCCTTATGCATTTGTATACGCAACCACTGTGATATCAATTTCTATACAATTTACCATTTACATTTCCAAGTGACTTGTACTTGGATGTGATATCTTATACCCCTGAGAGCCAATCCAAGGCTTTTTATGCGTATCAGCAGAACCTGGGAACTCCAGTTCTCACCGACAATCACTGTCGATCAACTTCTTTTGACAAGATGCCGCGCTCCACTAAATTAAATCCATTAAATGGAATTGGAATGAAATAATGAAACACGCCCGTGCCAGTCATTCTCAGCCTATGAGGCTTCTGCTTGCTAGACATACTGTGGGGATCCTTCCCCCCCCCTTTACCATGTGAACAAGAAACATCCATTTCAAGGATTTCCTAAATAATTCGTGTTGGGACGCTGTCCTACATTGAACATCGTACAAAAATAACTTCACCCCAACTTATAGATCCAATTCTGGACTTGGTGTCTTTGCAAACTTGAAACCTGCTTTCTCTCCAGTGTCTGAGTCGATCTGAGACGAATTCACTCATTTTCCACGTTCATTGTTTGGTACGTTGCCTCGCCAATTTCCCCTAAATTGGTAACTAATTTGGCTTGTGGAGTAGATCGAGTCCTAGTGACGGAAGCGAGAGGATACTTGAATCACCTGGGACCCGCTCACCTGTCAAAACATTTTGTTCACTTCGAGCTCGGGACACTGGTCGCATACGATTTTATGCCCAATTGAACCTTCAACGTCATCCTCCACCATGGGCCACCGAGAATTGACACCCGTCCATGTGCCGCTGCGAACATCGAGCCGAACTCCGGTACGAATCGACCCGGAGGAAAAGAAGGGTACCACAGTCGCAGATCGGAGGGCATCGAAAGCCCAACGGTTCTTCGGAACCGACATTACACTTCCCAAGGAACATGGCGGATGGCAAGAGGCCCCAAATGTACCCCGGCCGAGCTTTGTGAAGCCTCCCGGCAGTGCGCCTAAACAGGGCTCCGGCTTCATGCCATTCCCGAATCCTTCAGATCACTTGATCCCCGAGCAAAACCTTCGCGTGCGGGCTTCATCACCTCTGCTAGGCCAAAACTACCAATCACAGGAAGCTGCACCACCTCTCCCGAAACCGTCGAAAAAGATCCACCATACTGGCTCCTCGTCGACCTTATTCTCCTACTTCACCTCCAAAGAATCATCCAAATCAGTCAAGAACCAGCCCCTCCAGCCTAGAGTACGACATGGCCTCAGCATTGATCCCCAAGTCACATACACGCAGGTGTCAGATCCACCAAAGGAATCCAAGCGGAAGATGCGTCCATCGAGAATTGACCTTTCTGGGTTGTTCCCAAAACCGAAGAACCCCGCACCACAAACACTTCTGTCCCCTCACCGAATGGTCGACTCCCCCTCACCAGTTTCAACAGTTGTGGCGGAACCTGCTCCCCACAAGGTTGACAGGATAAGCACCACGCAAAAAATTACGTCAAGGAGACCGGTTGATATACCTACTCGCCGATCGTCGGCAGTCACTAAGAACGACCCATACAAGCATGGTATCGATAATTCGGATTTGCCTTCAATTGCAGAGAGCAAGAGCAGCGACTGGCTCGACCACCCGTTGGAACGGACGGTGGGAACGAGTGAGATCGACCTGGCACTGGATAGATATGCGGGACGGCGCTCACTCATGAGTCGCTCGAGTATGTATTCGAACAGCCGAGAACACTTGCAGCAGGAGCAGCCACGCCACCAGGAAACTCGTAAAAGCTCGCGACGTGCCCGCAGCCCTACTTCTCGACCCAAGGACAATTATTTGAGCCCTACCACATGTCCGGACTCGGGTCGGGCTCGTGGCAAGAGCACTTCTCAAGAGTCCTGGAAGTCTGACGTATGGAATTCAAAGAGCGTGAAGAGCTCGTTGACTAAGAAGAGCAGTAAGAGCACCTTGAAAAACAAGGATCTGCGAAATACCAGTATCCTCTGCCTTTCCTCTTCTTCAGAGGATGAGGACGATGATGAAGAACATACACCTACCACCGCGCCAAAGAACGGGAACAAGTTCCGAGGCAGTGTGGATCCCTACGGTGACTATGAGGGCGAGGTGTACACAGCTTCCACTGCGCATGCCACCACCGCCACGGCAGTGAGGCGCTTTGCTCGGGCGCCTTCGACTAGCAGTCGTGGCTCCCACCTCACCGAAAAGAGTCAACCAATCCCAGCAGCTCGTCCACGAAAGGCTTCTCAGACCTCGAACGGCAAGTCTTCTCAGACGACGCGACGAAGCACACAGGCCAATCGCTCGAGCGGAGTTCCCACTATCCCGGATGAGATCCTCGCGGCATTCCCGCAGCAGCCTTCTCGTACTCCCGCAGAGCTGAAGGAGTTAAACCGAAGGAGTCGCGTGATCGCAGTGACCCGCCAAGAGCAAGATCTGCTTGAGGCGATGCGAGTTCGTAAGGGCAAGGTCACACCTAGCCTGTTCAATGCGGCTGGAGCGGACCGGAGATCACTAGCCTCTGGCCCGTCCCGCGATTCATTCTGCGGATCCGACACTTCATTCTTGCGTCTTAGCAACGTCTTCCCCCCGTTTGACGCTCGGTCCGAAAAGAGTGTTGCCCAGACCGGCACCGCACTCCCGTCCCCGGGCTTCAGTACCGACTACTCCGAAAGCTTGCCCTCGCCTTCTACCAATGGTGCTTCACCGTTAACGCCTACTTTGCCAATTCATCGTTTTTCGCCGCTTCCTTCCCCGAAGCCCCCTCCACAAGGCCCCCCGCCTGCCATCCCGGAAGATCAGAAGCTACACACCCGACGCCGCAGTGATAGTAGTGAAGCTATCATGTTCCATGCCGGTGGTGAGTTAAAACACAATCACGGTCTTCCTCTTTGGTCTTTCGACTTTGATTGGAACCAGGAGCGCGCCAATATCGCTACTGTGCATTAAGGGTGTGGCTCTCCGATACCCATCACATTCATTCTACCCCTTACATTTCTGTACCCTTCCCAATCTGTATTTCATTTTTTTTCATTTGAATCATCTCCACGATCTTTCGTCCGTCTTTCACATTTTCCTTCTCATGCATCTTAGAAACTTTATACACTTTTGTTCCAATCTCTTGTCTACTCAACCACACAGACGTCACGTCTTCTCTTGTCACTTTCCTACATGACCTTGTTCATTCATGTCTTTCCACAATTCTGTTTGTTTTCGGATTAGCGTTTAAGCGCAGACTTCAATGCCTGCCATCATGTTCTCCCTTGGTTTCGTGTCTTTCACGACATTTATTTTTCGGCTCACGCTTTATTACAATTAATTATCTCAATGATCATCAACTCATCACTCGAACATGCGCAATTTCTTATCCCGACCTCTAACGTACTATCCACCACGGAAAGTGGTCCAGCATGGCCGATGTTGTACATACAAAACGCAGTATTAGCTGCAAGCCTAATGACTTCGGGGGCTGGGCTATTTCCAACTGGATCGAGACGATCCCGGTTCTCTAGAGCACCAGCTCAAGGATAGCCACTACCTTAGGAACACGGAGTAACTATTATGAGCACAATAGACATTGACAAATGACGGCATGTGTTTGTGGAATGGGGCGAGGCGCAGGAAGACGTGGGCCCCGGAGGGTGCTCAGGTGGAGGCCAGCTTAACTACAACGTCATCGATAAGCAACCCACAAAATTAAGGGGCTGAGACCAAAGGCCTTAACTATCCGTACTCCGTAAACATAAACATGAAGAATGCCTAAAGATGACCTAGTTAGTGAAGCTTAGAAGCCTACTCCGTAAATTTCGATCAGACCCCCTCTTCACATCCACTTACTTCTTGTGGCTGTCACTCTTAACATCCCCGTGATTGACTCTTTGACCGCCAACCCCTTCGTATAACCCCAGACTTTTAAGGGTCTACGCGAACTGTTTATCTTATCGTCCTTTCCTTCTTTCTTTCGCCCTCCCTAGAAATACTCGCCTCCAAACCGCCGAGTCTATCGAAGCTCGTCCTCTCCTTCGCCTTCCAGCCACCCGCGCCGCCTCCGCCATAGTGCTCCGCAGACCCTGACTGTCGGACCCTAGTAGGGAAGATCCCTAAACGCACACCCCTGCTTTGCGAATTGGCCTTGCCACCGCACACATTTCTGGTCGCTCTCTTCATTACACGTACTATTTCCATTTGCGACTCCGAACTGGCGATTGCACTCTGTGCCCGATTTGTGGAAGCGTCGGTCATTGTTTAGAGGGAACAAACACACGACCTACAACTTCGTCGTCATGGGGGATCGCGCCCAACACCAGCCATCTGGGCTGCGAGCTGCGGCCAATACGTTGCCATGGATTTTGGTAGGATATTATTGGAGATTGCACGGTCGTCTCGGGCCTCAGAATTCTGTTCACTGACTTGTTTTGGTTTCTATAGTTGACCACGGAGTCTACTGCGTTCGTCTTGGTAAGTGATCCTACGCGACGAGGGTATCAATACAACAGGAGTGAGGCTAACCTTGGTGGTCTTATAATGTTACAGTTAGCTCATTATTCACGAGTCATGCCCCCCGCCGGTGGTAAACGCTACCTTACCTCTACAGCAGTCTTCCTGGCTGAAGTGGTTAAGCTAGCCATCTCTCTCACAATGGCGCTCTATGACGTTTCAAAAACAGCACCAGCGTCTATGCCCGCCACCTCCCTCTTTTTCTCCCTCACAAGCGCCGTATTCTCAGGCGACAGCTGGAAACTCGCCATCCCTGCCGCTCTGGACGTCTTGTCCAACTCCCTTCTATACATTGCGCTATCTAATCTGCGAGCTGCGGCCTTCCAAATCACGTTTCAGCTGAAGTTTCTTACCACTGCGATCTTTGGTCTGATGCTTTTGAAGCGGAGCATCCCTCCCCGAAAGTGGGGCTTGCTCCTCCTTCTCGTGGCGGGCGTGGCATTGGTGCAAATCCCCGATGCGAGCCCCGAGCAGATGGTGCAGGAAGACCACGCCAACCACCATTTCCCCCGATCTCTAGAGGAATGGAAGGCTGTCAAGCAAGGTCTTGGTGCTGGTAGCAGCCTGCACAAGCGGTCTGCGACCTACGAGGGTATCGAAGAGGATATCCAAACAGCCGACCCACATTTGAACCCCACAATTGGTCTCCTTGCAACCATAGGGGCGTCTGTGGCGTCTGGTCTTGCGAGTATCTTCTTTGAGAAAGTCCTAAAAGACAGCTCTAAACATATTTCTTTGTGGATCCGCAATGTGCAATTGGCTGTCTACTCCGTCTTCCCGGCTCTCTTCATTGGGATTGTTTTCCGGGATGGCGAGAAAATCGCCGAAGATGGCTTCTTCCAGGGCTACAATTGGGCGGTGTGGTCTACCATCATCATCCAGGCCTTGGGTGGCATCGTTTCCGCCTTCTACGTCAGCCACGCGCAGAAGGACGCAATGAGTTTGGCGACAACCGCCAACATCATTCTGAGCATTGTTGGCAGCATATGGCTGTTTGACTTCGAGGTCACTGCAAGCGTATGTCCCCTTGCCTCTTCAACGCATCACCCCAGCCTCTACCTCCTCATTTGAGTCACTACCATGGCACATACTACAAGTATTGTGAACCCGGCTAACTGAGACATTATAGTTCCTTCTGGGCTCAGCCGCAGTCCTGGTAGCAACGCACTACTATGGAAACCCGATCTTCAGCCCTGCAATGGGTGCATCTCGTCCACCCCCAATCCGCATCGACGCCTATGAGAAGGACTCCGCAGGCCCCGAGGGCTCACCCTTGGCACCTCCCAACGACTTCTCCATCAAACTTCCATCTACACCTTTCCTCTCCGATGGCATGTCGTCGTCCCGTCCTACCTCACCTGGACCAGGTCATGCTAGAGTAAGCTCTAGCCGGAATGTAAGCGGTAGCGGCTATTTCGAGGAGAAATGATTGCTATGGACTGCCACACATATTCAAAACTAGCTGTCCATCATTAGCAAGCCTCTTCACGGGGCACGATATTCGATACCTGGCGGATGCGGATGTAAGTGCGGTATTCGAGGACTCCCGCGGCGGAATTATCGTAACCTCCCTGATGGTGTTGCTCATCTGGAGCTAGCTACTCCTTCGCAGCTGCATTTCGCCTGCCCTTTTGCCACCAGTTGATTACTCTTGGCTGATGTATGCATATATACGAAGCAATGAAACACGTTTATATACCCACATGACTTGAGATCTTACCAAATTCACTAAATCTGATTATCGAAACACTTGATTCCCGCTAGGTTCAAGTACAGTTAGGTATGGACGGTCCACGTGCCGTCACGTCATCGGGCCCACGAACCAGGGCTGGGTCTTTGAACTATAAGTTCCATGCAACTGAACCCCGCTAACTCCAGCTCAACCTCCATGCTCTAGAAGATATTCCGAGATGCGTCGGAATCATCAGAGATATCACTCTAAACCATTCCAATTGCCCACGCAGAGGCGTCCAAACTTCCCCATACCCCAAAGCAGTAGAACTGGCATCATCGACCAGAAACTCGTCGAGGGCTCCCAGCAGCCACGTGCCAGCAGTCCATCACCCCGAAAGCCTTTCAATGCCTTACCATCCTCGGTTCATGATGAGGATCCTCAGTTGGATGATTTTGGTTAGTCGGCTGTCTCGGTATCATGATGGATGCTGACAGAAGCCAAGATCTGGAACTACTAGCTTCAGAGCATAGAGAGAACGCATTTGAAGATGCTGGGCTTAGCTTCCCTAGGTCTGCACCGCTTCGGACATCTCGGCAGTCTGAGATTGACTCGCCGCAACTTTCGCGATTCTTTCCATGTGAGTTGGCTTGACTGGATGCTGGCATTGGTTTGACATTGACAAGAATTAGCAAGTACGAGTATCACTCCTTCTCGTGGCGGAAATGGGACCAGTTCGTCCGACGCTTTATTAGGCCCACCCTCGAGCCCGTTGGCTTTGTTCCGACCAAGAAAGAATGGGTCACAGCCGGGACAGCGCAGTCTTGGGACGAGTCTTGAACGATATCTGAATGAGAATACTCAATCGTCGCCGCAGAAATTGAACACTCAAGATTATCCGGCTGCCTCAGCTAGCAAGGAACAACGCCAGGACCTATTCAGCAACATCCCGCCTTCTGTGCGAGGGATTGTCCTCGTGCCAGTGAATGATCTACCAGAGAACCATCGTTCATTGTTTCCCTTCCCGCTCTTCAATGCCATTCAATCCAAATCCTTCCACCCGATCTACAACAGTAACGACAATATCGTTCTGTCCGCACCGACTGGAAGCGGCAAGACAGTGGTCATGGAGCTAGCCATATGCAGGCTCTTGAACACGATCAAAGACGAAGGTTTCAAAGTCGTCTATCAAGCACCCACCAAATCTCTCTGCAGCGAGCGCTTTCGCGACTGGCACTCCAAGTTCTCCAGTCTGGGCCTCACATGCGCAGAACTTACGGGCGACACAGACCACATGCAACTGCGTAACGTTCAGAGTAGCCAAATCATCATCACGACTCCCGAAAAATGGGATAGCATAACCCGGAAATGGAAGGACCATATGAAATTGATGCAGCTGGTGAAACTCTTTCTCATTGACGAGGTGCATATCCTGAAGGAGATGCGGGGAGCTACGCTCGAGGCCGTAGTATCTCGGATGAAGAATATCGGATCAAACGTAAGGTTTGTAGCGCTGAGCGCTACTGTTCCTAACTCTGAAGATATCGCGACCTGGCTTGGGAAGGACGCAACGAACCAATCCGTACCTGCGCACCGGGAGCATTTCGGCGAGGAGTTTAGGCCTGTGAAATTGAAGAAATTTGTGTATGGGTATGCGTCTAGTCTCAATGACTTTGCGTTCGATAAAGTCTGTGGTTCGAAGTGAGTAACTTCCATAACAGTTTCTTTTTGAGGTGCTCCTTCGGCATACTGATCATGATTGCGAAGATTACCCGAAATTATAGGAACCCACTCATGTCAGAAGCCTATTATGATCTTCTGTTGCACGCGAAACTCATCGCTCGCGACAGCGAAAGACCTGGCTCGCCTTTGGACATTGACGAATCCGCCTGCCAGGTGTTGGAAGGGACCCCAGAGGCGCCTCGAAGCTCATAATGAGGACCTCAAGAGTAATACCTTCTGCTCTGTGATAACAGTACGTCGCTAACAGACAATAGCAACACTTCTTGCCGGCGTAGCATTCCACCATGCAGGCTTGGGCCCAGCCGATCGCCATACCATCGAAACGGGCTTCAGAGATGGACACATCAGTGTCATATGTTGCACTTCGACACTTGCAGTCGGGGTTAACCTGCCCTGTCAGCTAGTGATCATCAAAAACACCGTCAGTTGGCAAGATGGCGGCTGCAAGGAATACTCGGATCTGGAGATGATGCAGATGCTCGGCCGCGCGGGCCGGCCTCAATATGACGACAGTGCTACCGCAGTCATTCTCACGAGGAAGGCGCGTGTGGCTCACTATGAAAGACTGGTTCAGGGCTCGGAGAGCCTGGAGAGCTGCTTGCACTTGAATCTCATTGATCACCTCAATGCCGAAATTGGCTTGGGCCATATTTCAGACGTCGAGTCTGCTGTCAAATGGCTTGCTGGGACCTTCCTGTTTGTTAGGCTTCGTCGGAATCCGACGCACTATAAGCTCAAGGAAGGTGCAAACCAGCAAGACGAAGATGAGTTGCTTCGCCAGATCTGTGAGAAGGATATCGATCTCCTCCGCCAGTGTGAATTGGTCGACGCGGAGAGGCTTTGTTCCACGCAGTTCGGTGATGCCATGGCTCGCTACTATATCCAGTTCGAGACTATGAAAGTGCTGCTGTCGTTAAAGCCGAAAGCTACTTTATCCGAGACTGTAAGCCAAGCGTTATCACATTGTCGGAATATGGATCTCCGCTGACATATTGTTCTAGCTTGAGGCGATTGCACAGGCCCAAGAATTCCATGAATTCCGGTTAAAACAAGGGGATAAACCACTCTACCGAGAGATCAACCGCGATCCAGGCATTCGTTTCCCAATCAAAGTCGATCTAGCCCTCCAAGCCCACAAGGTCTCACTACTCATCCAATCCGAGCTAGGAGCAATCGAGTTCCCCGACAGTGAACAACTCCAAAAACACAAATTCACCTTCCAGCAAGAGAAGTCTCTAGTCTTTGCGCATGTGAACCGACTGATCCGCTGCTTAATCGACTGCCAAATTGCACGCGGCGACTCAGTCGCCATCCGCAATGCCCTTGAACTCGCCCGGAGCTTCGGAGCAAAGGTCTGGGATCACTCACCTCTCCAGATGAAGCAAATTGAGCAAGTAGGCGTTGTTGCTGTTCGCAAGTTGGCTGCTGCTGGGATTACCAGTATTGAAGAACTGGAATGTGCAGAAGCTCATCAAATTGAGATGGCCCTTAGCAAGAATCCCCCTTTCGGGTCCAAGTTGTTATCGAGATTGAAGGAGTTCCCGAAGTTGAGGGTTGCTGTGAAGATGGTCGGAAAGGTTTGCACTGTCCTGCAGAATATATGGAAACTGCTGACTGTGGCATACATACAGGACGTGAAGAATGGCAGTGTCAATGTTCGATTCAGGGTTGAGGTGGCGTTCATGAATGACAAGACCCCGACACACTTTCTACGTCGGCCGGTTTATGTTTGTTGTTTGACAGAGAGGTCTGATGGTCATTTGATTGATTTCCGACGCACGAGGTAAGATCCGCACTTATTCGGCCACGATCCGCCTGTGTAGCACGTCGGATACTGACGCTCTCGCAGTGCAAGCAAGCTCCAGGAACGGTTAGAAATTGATCTTAGTGCGGATTTGACGAGCGCAGAACAGGCCATCGTGTGTCATGTTCTGTGCGATGACATTGGTGAGAACTCTCCAACATCAAACCAGCTTCTTTTTGTTAACGAATCTCTAGCTGGGACATCTAAACAAGCTGAGCTCAGACCCAAGCTGCCATCCCATATGTTTGCAGCTGGACCAGTCGAGAATATCAAGCAAAACGCAGGAAATGTCAAAGTACCACCTCAAATACCCACTGCGAGACGAGACGGGAGTTTGAATTCCAAAGTCACAAAGGAAGAGAAGACCAACGTGCCTCGTGCGCAGGCGCGAGATTCAGTCAACGGCAACACAGAATCTCAGCCAGATATAAGTTTTGACGGTGATGACTTGGAACTCGATGATTTCTTCATTTCAAATAAACGCTGCGGTAAAGCTAATGAGCCTACGAAATCAAAAGATCATGACTCCGATGACATTGACTGGTTCTCAATCGATTCCACCCCGCCAAGTTTGGTCAAGCAAGTGCCAAAGAGCGCTACATCCCGAGAGGATGACTGGGCCGCAGATATGGGCGAGCAAGATGACGAGGAGTACGAACCAGTGAGGCTCGCGAACGGCAAATGGGCCTGCAATCATAAATGCAAAGACAAGACGAGGTTTGCAAGGTTCTTCGTTGTTTCAGTATAGATCTAACGATCCCAGTTGCAAACATTTCTGCTGTCGGGAAGGCTTGGACAAGCCACCGAAGCCCCCGAAGCGGACAGGGCCCACGACCCAGAAGGACAATGGTCTCAATCAGCTGACGATTTCCGCCAGTATCACGAAGAGCACGCCGGTCAATAAGCCTAAACCGGGGAAAGAGTTGACTGGACAGCGTGCCAACAAGCCCAAGCAGAGTGAGCATCATCCAAAGGCTAAGAAGACTCTCCAGCCACAAGTCAAAAGGAACAATGGAGCTCGATCAACATCTGTCCTTTCGGAGCTGGACAGGAACATGTTATCACTCAAGAGGAAAACCACTAGTCCCGTAAAGACGCTCTCCAGCGACTATGGTGATGATGACTTCGACGATCTCCCATCTCCATCTGAGCTTCTTGGACATAAGAGGCATGATACAACAAGAACAGACGCTCCAGTCATCAACAGCGAGGGTAAAGGTGGCACCGAAGATGATCCCGTCGTTGAAAAGGAGAATGTGGATGTCACACAGAGCTCTTTGGCACGACCCAAGCCATCTGGGAAAGACCAAGGCCAGACCGAACCATCGACCCTGCGAACTAATACCGAAATAATTGTGATTGACGACACACCTCCATGCTCGGCAGAGTCTCCAATGCTAAGTGACAAAGGCTCTCCGGCCGAGGACAGCACAGTGCCGCCTCCCTCCCTGAAAAGGAAGGCAGGCGAAGACGAAACCCAAACAGAAGCATCCCCGAAGCGACAGAAGAAAAGTCCATCTGTCCGTGCTTTGCAAGATCACGCCCAAAATGCTCTGGCAGAGGAAAAGCCTTTGGAACCAGATCAACCGATCTCCCCTGTCCCCTGGACTGGTATGGATTTAACCACACCATGGGATGATGGCATTGACTTGCTGGATGAGTTCAAGGATATTATTAGTTTTATCTAGGAGCTCATGGATTGTGGGCAGTGGGCTGGATGATGGAATTTCATGTTCTTTTCTTATTGCCATTCATGTTTGGGGGCCTTTTACGTGACGAGGGATTTGCTGAGGACCGATGCAAGTTGCATCTTGTCTTACTTCTATATGGAATACCCCTCTCTATGGCATACTGAGAGACCTGCTATATTGATGTTACCTAGGTCCTAGAGATCATTAGCTGAGATGGGATCGTTCCAAGATCATTTCAATCTATATGACAAATTCATACTCACAATGAGAACTGTCATCCTGGTGGTTGACGATATCTGATGTCATCGTTACTATAGATCACGACGGCTCAAAAGCTGACTTCTTCTCAGTACAGCCTGGTCAACAGGTAATATAGCATACTGTGATTATCTCCGCTTATCCTTTCTAGGAGTCTAGAGCTGACCGTCTCGATATGGGAATCGGGCCGACTACCACGCAATCGAAGATTCATCTCGCCATCTCACATGTTCCCTGCTCCCGCCTGTCCTATCAAGCCCATGGGAGAAACGAGGCATTTTCAAGATTTTGAACTGCTCGTATTCATCCTATCGAGGGGGAGCGTGCCGAGTCCCGCTCTGTGTTCTCTGCATCGCACCGAGCACGACACTGGCTTCAATGTACTTGGAAGGTTTACAAGCCCACTTCCCTGTGATGTATCATGTGCAAGATGGCGAAAGTGGACTTTGCGCGCCAATCGGTGCAGCAAAGTGTATAAGCTGTACCGTACGTTGGCCATGATCCCTGAACTGCTGTAACCGAGAGGACATGACTGAGACATCCCGAAGCCTCGTGACGTACGCTGGCTATAATCCATGAGCTGCTGGAACCGAGAGGACGTGACCGAGACATCCCGAAGTCTAGGCCTGGGAGTTGTCGGATTTGTGCTATAAGCTCTTCTCATTCTTGAGATGTCACATGTTTTCGCATCGGCAGAGGAGTTCCGAGTGTCTCAGTGTGCAGGTTTGCGGTATATCAATTGGTCGCTCTATGAATATGCGGAATCTGCTATCTCTTGTACCACTCAGAACCATAGTTTTGATGTAGACGGTAAAGTCTAGACCTGACACTAGCCGAGCACTCCACCGTGTGCAATGTTCTAGAATGGGATTGGCACTAGACGTATGGAACTGAAAAATACCATCCGGCCGTTACGATCCGGATCTGCCTGCGGCCTTGTCAGGCGATCTGCGCGAAGTGGGCTGGGATTTGAAGCATCCAAACACAGCCATGCCCAAGTTCCAACCCTTCTTCCTGAAAATTGAGGCTGATGTTCTTAATCGGGTTAGCGTCAGTCAAGTACTGCAGATCTTCAGGCACGTGGCTGGTTCGACCAATAATATCGCTCCTTTCTTATGCTTAATTTTCAGCCCTGCAGGTCACCTCCAATCATAAAAAGCGTGCAGTTCGTTCGTTTATCGTCTGTTTGCCCTACAGTCTACACAATTTCCTTATCCACTTCTGGCTTCTCTTATCACCCGACCGGGGCCCGACCAGGGCCCGTCCCCGGTCGACCTCCGATCTGGACCCCGATCCCGACCCCGACCCTCCCATCCTCATCTTTGAGATCTGAGATCATAGTTCAGAGGTAATCTTTTGATCTTTGGCTCGAGCTTTGACCAGTGGACGTGGACCCGCATCATCGGCGATTTATCGGGACACTCTACAGCGATGGCCAGGCTACTCATTCGTTGCCATCAAGCTTCATCGGAACTGTGAGAACGGCATGCTATCCATCATCGATAATCAAACTACAAAGTTGGAATACTTGAGTTGCGGGAAAGACAGCCAACATATTATGAAATAGCGCTATAAACAAGATATCAAACCAATAAAACTTGAACTGCAATATCCTACAATTTGGATGTAATACCACGGAGATACCTCGGCGAGATCAACGACGCAAGGTTAGACTTGGTCAAGCCCATGAAAGTGTCCATGGTCATCGGATCATAGTACTTGCCATCAAAGCCCATAGACAATGTGACCTGATCCCAAAGCGAGAACATCCCAACCCAGGCAGAGTCATGGATCTGTCGACCGGTATGTACGATGTCGTGCACCTCAATCGACGCAGTCTTCGACGAGAACGAGCGTCCGAGAGGTAGAGCGCCTTGAGGCGAGAAGCCAGGCGGGCATGGCGCACCACTCGGCTCGTCGGAGTTGGCAAGGCTTGCCACGTACTTATCAGCCCCGAAGGAGATACTGGACAGATAATGCGGGGAGACAAGATGCGGTCCCAGTTGGTTTTTGATCGCACGACCGAGGGAAAGAATGGTGTCGCGCGTAGAGCCCCGGAACCATTCCTCTTTGAAGGGAACCCAGAGCAAGACGGTATCGGCGGCGTTGGGGATAGAGTTGCCAGTCTCCTTGGATGTGTCGATCCATCGTCGGGCGTTTCGGGTCATGCCGAGGAGCGCGCCAGTCTCGTGGCCCTTGCCGTAGACTTGTTTCACGGCGAGGACCGTTGCTGCGGCGGCTGCAAATGTGATGCTGAGCTTCTCTTCGCGGAGTCCGGCGAGCAGGGCTTTGGATTCTGCTAGTGTGTACTGCAATCGGATGCAGTGAGTTTTGTGCTCGCGGTCTGCTTTGTCTGGCTCTGGGTACATGGCAAGTGATTTGGACATCTGTGAGAAATGAGTTAATAAGTCTGACTTGGGCAATTCATTCGCTAGGGACATACATTTGAAGCGTAAAGATTGCTTTGTGCAATGGCATCATTCAACGATTCTTGAACGTCATTCTGGGTCGGCTTGTATTTGTTCTGATAGGTCGTAACAGGGCTAACCGGTAAACGATCAAGGATGCCTCTGTAGTCGAGATTGTTGAGAGTCAAATTCCTATCGCCAGGAACGCGGGTGATAGTACTGAAAATGTGATTGAACACGAGCACGACACTGTAGGCATCTGCCATGACGTGGCCCATATTCCACACAAGGTAATGACGCGTAGGATTTGCGGGATCTGCAGCGCCTGCCGTGACTAGGTAGAGCATACTGCGTTTACCCTTGGTCGGCAGACGACGACTGTAGGTCATGTTGACCACATCACGGGCACTTCGGTCGGTGACAACTTCGAATGTGTCGTGTAGCCACTCGGCAACGTCAGCATCCGACTGAAGTGGCTCAAACTTCATCATCTGGGGCAGTTCTCTCCCCGTGGTGAGCTGGATGGCAATCTCTGGGTGGCTTGCGTGGCAGGTAAGCCAACAATTTCGGACACGCTGAATGACCTCGGCTGTTGAAACGCTGGCACTGAAGGGGACCTCGCAGGTCAGTTCAGTGTGGCCGTCTCGTACATTCTGATTGTAGGAGACGGCGTGCTCGCCTCCAATGCATTCTCGTATCCATCCACCTTGAGTATTGCGCCAAGATTCACCACCGATAAGAGTTGGCTGCTCATCGTGGCTTTCGATTGGCTCTTGCGGGACAGAGGAAGAACCCATATTGGAAAAAAGAGAATGAATGTCTTGGGTGGGAATCCAGAAAATGAATGGGAATCTAGTAAATGAATGTCTTGGGTGAGAATTTTGAGAAGAAACCCTTTGGGTGTGTACTCCGGTTCAAGTAGGACTGAGAGATAAATCGAACTCTTGTCGCGATTTTCAGTCGACCCACCTACGGATAAGGGGATGGGAGAATTTCATTACGATATGCATACATTGGAGGTGGCGTAAGGTTAGACTTTCAGGGCGCGGCTTTCCGAGGGCGATAAACGCCTTACAGGTGCCAAGGCGCTACTAGCCTCCCACTAAGTTCCACGCGGGGACCCTGCCGATCCCATGGGTGGGCACCGCGCTAGTAATTTTAAGATTGACCTCGGGAGCTTGTTTACAGGAGGCTTACAAGACTCGAAGATAAGCACATGTAAGTCGTTAAGGTAATGTCGGTGCCTAAGTAAATGCGACATTCACATGGCTTCTAAATCACGCACGATTGCTCGTGATCTCGCTATCTTCACAATGAGCGGCCGAGTCAACCGGAATTGCGCGATGCCACGCCGGAGCATTACCCCTGTGCGATCATAGTGGAGTCTCCTGTCGAAGCTACTCAGAATCTACCGAGCTGCAGCACTATTAACCATAGGAGTGGGTACACTTCCTTCAGCACAGCTCTCACAGGACAGCCACGGCTTTGAGGTCCACTGATAAACAGTGTTAATTCCCCTGCTAATCCTGTCCCGATCTTGGACTTCGGAATTGAATTTGACACTTGAACCAACTTATTGGAAGCAAGCTCCAGTTTCCAACCTTGTTATCACGCCGCTTCCAGACTGCTCAAGATGCATATTACTTTTTTGACCAACCCGGCCTCAGGCCAGGTCAATGTACAGCTGGCCACGGCGCAGCAGTTGATATTGGAAGGTCATGCTGTGACGTTTTTATCGGCGGAATCATGCCGCAAGAAGATTGATCAATTCACAATGGAGCAAGAGGTGTGCAACCAGGGTCTAATCCGCTTCATCAGTCTTGGTTCGGGTCGCACTGTTGACGATTTGTATGCTTTATCTTTTCACTGTCTCATCTGCGAATCGACTGACATTTTGGCGTTAGCACTTCATTTATGCAAGACCGAATGCACCTGATGCGAAGCGCACCCGGTGATCCGATCAGCTTGGAGACATGCATTGAGGCTTCACTCGGCTCAGCAGAAGAGCAGGCTGAAACGGCGGTCAGGGTGCGCGACTATATCAATGCCCTAGATCCCGATATGGGTGAGTTTCTGAGATATGGGAGGTGTGCTGATTTCGAGCTGACATCGTCCACAGTCTGCGTGGATGCTCTGACACCACGACTCATCACCGGAGTTCTTCTGACAAAACGAAAATACATCCTTACGATTCCGTGCTCTCCAGGACTGAGTGCCATTTCTGGCGCCTTTGAACCTCATCCAATGGCCTCAAACCGCGATGGTTCATGGGGAACTCTACTCGAAAGTATGTGACTCTTGATAGACAAAGAAAGAGGATCAGGGCTAATCTCCATGCCATTGACAGATGTCTATCTCAACTTCCGTTTATATTACCACAGTTGGACACATCCCGGCTGTGTCGCTAGACAAGATCTCCTGTCGAAGCGCTTTGGTCTCAAATCTTACGGCATCTTCAATGACTTATCGCTCTTACCACCCCTCTGGGAGGACGAAAACTGCCTCGCAGGCATCCACTTTAACACTTTGGGCCTTATCGACTACCAGCGACAATCTTCCAAAATGGTGTTTGTCGGTGCCGGAATCTCCGAGGATACATCGACACACCAAACAACCTGTCCAGAGCTGGCCTGGGTGGACGAGGCCATGCTTCTCGGCGAAGATGTCATCTACATGAACATGGGCTCGATGTTTATCTGGGAAAGACACGAATTCTGGAACTGTATCTCTGGGTTCGAAGCCGTGTACAGAAGGCGAGGAGGTCGTGTACGCTTCCTCTTCAAAATCAACTTCCCCGTCGACTCGCACCACCGCTTCTCAACGGACGAGCTGCCTCCTTACATTCGACTTACCAACTGGATTGAGAACCAACACGCCATCTACTCGCATCCTGCCCTTAAAGCCTTCATTCACCATGGAGGAGGCAACTCCTTCAATGAAGCCGTCTACTTCGCCATTCCACAACTGATCCTCAGCCAGTGGCTCGATACCCACGAGTATGCCACCTACGCAGAGCTATTTGGTCTGGGTCTGCGAAGCGAGCGACCACCATATGTCGAAGCCAAAGACATTGAAGATAAGATCATGACCCTCCTCGGACCGCTTTGGCCTACCTTCAAGTCCAACTGCCGAACCTGGGCTGTGCGAAGCCAAATCGGTGGCGGTACAGCGGCTGCTGCTAAGATCATTCTATCTCACATAGACACGAGCAGTACGGAAGATCCAATGTTGACACCGCCGATGACTCCGGGAGCATCATCGCCAATTGCAGATAAGCAACTGTCGGTATATTAAGAACATTTATATTCGTGATGGATAAAGATACCCGGCTCACATCCATCTTCTCGAGTCGCCTTTACTTTGTTTTGTGATCTTTGTGTGTTTTTCCTACAAGCCTCTTTGTTTACGCTATAGAATTCGAGACATTTTCTACTGCAACCATTCAAATTTGTAGACCATACCTTAGTACCCAACTACTTTCAAAGACCAGAACTACCTAACTCCTAACATAACTAACTTGTAAAAACATGAAACACATAGTTATACTTGTCAATCAAAGCTTTGCCGGCACCAGCTCCTCCGCAATCAAACTACGGAAGAGGCCAGCAACAGCATATGCTAGCTGCATGACCTCATCCTGGACGAAAAAACGCTCATCGAAGATAAGACTGTATCTCAGCTCGTCCCTGAAGCTATGCAGTCCAAAGCACACATTTGGATCTGTGTTACGGCCACCGGTATAAAAATCAGACATTTGAATCTGGCCCGGGCCTGCAGGACGATCATCTCGCAACGGACCCTGAGACGTCAGCGTAGGACGACCAACAGTAGGGAATGCTGCAGGATCTTGGGGCTGGGCCAAGCCTTGGGCCAGAATAGGAGCCATCTGATCGTAGAGGCCCATAACGTGCGGGGAAGCAAGATCATCACCCTGGCGACGCTCAATGGCCTTAGCCAGCTGCGTCAGACCATGCTTGTCCTTCGCCCGGATATCGACTTCGCTAGAATCGATCCACATTCCGCCAGGGATAATACCCATCGTGATAGGGCCACGACCGTAACCATCCTCGATATCGAGCCATCGTCTGGCATTGCCGCTGAAAAGAAGATGGGCGCCTTCTTCGTCGCCTGAGCCGTATCTTTGCGCAATGGCAGACGTGATGCAGGCGAAGAAAGCCGCTGTAAGCGTCACGCCTAGTTTCTTCATGCTCTTCAAAGCTGCTACCGCTTCTTCAGGTTCGAACTTGACGATTTTACTATGGATCCGCGTCGGACGGGTCTGCCAGTCCGGGTGAAGTGGGATTCCGATCGTCGTACGTGACCAGCGAGCCTGTGCGCGCTCTTGGATTTTCATTACTTCTTCAAGATCTGCCGGGGTAGGGTGGTAGTGTATGGAGTATGCGTGAGCAAGGCTTTGCGGGAGGTTCGGCCTGATATCGGACCAAGTTTCTGGGGAAAAGACAGTGTCGATGCCGAGTTCATTTTCCGGACGTGCCATCTCCGTGATGAAGTCTTGTATAATTCTGAAGGTCTCATGGCTAACGAGTGTGTGGGACATCTTCAGGACGCAGCCTCGACTTCCGCGGATAGGGTCGACGACGAGCGTCATCATCGGAGCTCCCACTGGCTGTCGCGAGCGTGCCAGGAAGACGTCGGTAACTGTTGTACGGCTGACGACGTGGCATGTCTTTGCGATCCATTCTTTTGCTGCGTCGACGGTCGCGTGGGGTTCGAAGGTGACATTTTCCATATCGGTGCTAACGCCGACGACCGGACGTCTGCCGCGAGTCCGCCACCAAGCTGCTTGATGGCGGTTTTTCAGTTGTTCGCACGTCAGCGAGGTTTCGAAGAAGGCCATCAAGGTCAATTGAAACTAATTCCACGCGCTTGGGTTAGCTATCTCTGCGGTGGTGTGTGACGCGGGAGATTTAAGTTGACTTGCGTTTCCATTGACATAGTGCTCCGAGTACTTGAGCATGAGCTCAACTCCTCGAAGAGGTCGCACAATGCGAGTGCCCGAATTGACCAGCTCCCATTCAGAAGGTGGTGCTGGCGAGGCATCTCCCTGCGGCTGCTCGCTGATGGAGGTCTTCATGGTAAATCAACCTGCTGTTTCTGTTTCAAGGTAGTGAATTGGTCTTGGTTTACAATGCCGCCAAATTGGAATTCTGAATGACTTTCTGAATGTCTGAAGCACGGGAAAGCAATACATGTATACACAAACGTTCCTGCGGTCACACTGTATTGTATCGCAGCATGAGCTCGAGGTGGACCCGCTGATCACCCCATAAGCCTCCCCTATCCAAGTGAATGTCGATCATCGAATCCCTCATTTGCAATTCGAGCCATGGTTCAAAACCACTGTAGCTGGCGCTTGTAATTAATTACTCCCAAATAGGAGCAATTACACCCCCTATCACATCTCCCGAAACTCGCCCGTGGGATCCAAACTACGTACAAAGTCTATGTATCCGACCCACAACCTTGGAACACTATGGAACACCCTTAAAGCCAATTTTTGGACTATCTGTCCCGAAAGTCTATTAAGTGGGGCAAAGTGGGTCCACCTGAAGAAATGGTGCGATCAAACTCAAATGTGACCAGCCTCAGGAGTTATCGCCGATTAGAGTCAATTTCCCTATCAGTCTCAATTGGACTTGGGCCGAGCAGCTCATGTGCACTACTAGTTACAGATATAGCATTGACTATCTCTGATATCCCGCATTTTGCACCCCGGATTTTAGGTGCCAGCGTTTCATCTCAAATCTTACTTATACCGCTGTGACTGATCAGCCTTCAGGATCAGCAGGAGCTGTGGATTTGCAGGTGGACTTTTACCTTCTGTTCCTGAATCCTGTTGGCACAACGGCCAGTGGCTAGGTTCATGTGGCGAATTACTCATGGAGTCCGGGAGTTTATTGCGTTGTTTAATTTCCCACAAAGCGCTCTTCACGGACAGATGGATGGTACCCCTGATTGTTATGCCCCTATCTTAAAATCTTAGAGTGTACATAGCATAGTATGCTGTTTCTTCATGTTTATAGCATGAATCTTCAATGAATATTTGCATTTTTGACCTGGGCATCAAGGACATTGCAGGCCGGTCACAATAATTCTCTCATTCGAAACGAAGTATCTCGTTAGCACAGAGGCTGAATCTCCAACATGGATGCCGAGGACTATACAATCGTTCCCGTCCCCCTTTTTGACGGGACGGTGGGAAAGTGAGTACTGTCAAGGACGAGCCCAACTTCGAACCACCTAGCGCTGACCGTGTCGAAATGATCTTCTGCCTAAAAGCGCCGAGATTGTTGTGCGTAATAAGCCCTCATCAACTGCCAGTGGAAGAAGCTGACTCTCCTGTAGTGCAGACTCAGCATCATCTTCGATGCACCACTGTCGTTTGAGAAGCTGCAGGAGTCATGGCAGCAAACGCTGCAAGTGAGACCTATCATGCAGGCGCGCGTCCGTCGTTCCACTACTGCCCCTTCGGGTCTGGAGTATCACGTCTTGACTCCCAAGGGCATGGCCAAGTACCTAGAGGCACAGTCCAAGGCTCCGGATCATCTCAAAGATTTCTTTTGCCTGGATGAGTCTCATCGGGCTATTTCCGACTATTGGCCCGGTGTCAAGAACGGAGCAAATTCATCCAGCCAATCTCAGAAAATATTTATCGCTGATAATGCGGATTCAAAAGATCAACAGCGCTGCACATCCTTCAATGCGGTGCAAAACATTGATGAGCTTATCAACTCGGATCGCCCTGCAGTGACTCTCCAAATGACTCGTTTTAGTGACGCCACTCTCCTTACTGTTTCCTTCAGTCACATCCTCGGAGATATCTTTACCATCAATTCTATGTTGAAGGGATGGGAAAGCAGTCTGCACGGCCAACCGGTTCTACCATTCGAGCGCCTGGGAGAAGATCCTTTCAGCGCATACGGACCAGGCGGGAAGTTGGCCGGTGAAGACGCTACCTCCAAATCGCCTTCCATGCCCTCCGGCTGGCAAATCTACGGCCTACTCGACAAAGTCCGCTTTGCAGTCCAGTTTCTCTGGGACTGCTTTATCACACGACCGGAGAAAACCATGTCCCAAAAGTACATTTTCGTCCCGGAAGCGGAGGCCGTAGCCATGGAGGAGCAGGCAAAAGGAGACCTCGTCAAGATCGAAGCTCAACGCAAAGAGCTGGATATTAAGTCCGAACGCCCACTATTCGTCAGTCGGTCCAACGTCTTACACGCTTGGCTCCTCAAGCAAAAACACACCCATCTCAACCCAAACACATGGAGCGCACCCGTCACCATCGTCAATGCTCGCGCCAAACCTCCAACCGGAATGAAGGCACGATCCGACGACTTCCCCAGCCATGATTGGTACTCCGGAGCGATGGCAGTCGCGATACCCAGTCTCCAAGTACGCGATATCCTGGCTATGCCGTTGGGCGAATTGGCCCTGCACATCCGCGAGGGGATTGTGAAGGGGTCTTCTCCGGAGAACGCGAGGCGGTGGTTCTCCTTCAACTTGCATAATAATCTGTGGAAGAAACCGTCTGGGAAGGTGGCTCTCTGGTGTCCGCCGGATCACTACCTGTCTGGTGTTAGTGATTGGCGTCTTATTCCGCTTCATGAGTTGGATTTCACGCCCGCGAGATTCCAAGGCCATGAGCGTGTGGAGGTTTGTGGGTTCAATGCCCATATGGCTTTTGCTGGGACGCAGCGGAATCGATGGGTTTGTTTGGGAGAGGCGGGTGGTGGTGTTTGGCTTCTTGGGAATGCGAGTGAGACTGAATGGAGGGAGCCTAGTGGGTTTGGAAAATATGCCCATGTCAAGCGTCGTTAGTAGAGTTCTTATAGGTATTGGGCTTGTCAGTCTGGCGCTTTTTCTGTTTTCGTTCTTGAGACCATAGAGCTGAGTCCATAGCAGGCCGGATCCTTCTAGAATATCTGTACAATTATGAAATTCACTTTTCACCGTGAGGTACGTTCTGAGTAGGCATGCTTGTCTCTACTGTAACTACTTTCTCCTTACAATCCGCCAGTGAAGATTCCTGCCGTTGAGGCGAAGAGCTTTACATATAGGCATCGTAGTTTGTTTACTGGATCTCTATGTTTCACGCGATAATGATACCTATGAATTGACTATTGAAGAAAAATAGCTGCCTCGAATAATGAACCAGAACATAACCCAAATCGAGCATATCCGAAGTTTTGCAGACAGGAGTCATTCCGATCGAAGTTGAATTAGATCGAAATAGGAAAGAGAAGTTGAATTTCTCGGAGGCATGTGCCATTGATAGCAACAGCGACTGAGACTGTATCCTCACCATGGGTGAGTGTCTCTAGGAGGAAAGAGTGCCTCTGCCCTTTCCCCCCTTCCTTCTTGGGATTAATTGGGGGTTTGAGTCTGGAACACGAGAGTGGAGAAGGTCGAATCCATTCCCTCATTCATGTCTTCCTCGGTATCCATCTCGTCCGAAGTGTTCTCAGTTGCCGCACCTTGGACTTTCCTTTTATCAAACCGGATACGAGGAAGACGGTTGCGACGAGGACGAACTTCATGAAGTGGCTTCTTTCCAACAACAAACTTGTACACAGTGTCCGGCATCCTGAGTTCAAACTCGTTGTGTTCGAAACCGCTCGCTTTGGCGACCCTGTTCTTGGTGGCCTTCATGAACCGGCAACTGCGATTATTTACACACTCACAAGTTAGCAGGTATTAAGCATCGACTGATAGTGATACATACGCGTTTTCAGGAATCTCTTGACGTTGTCCTCAGAAAACATGGGGTTGTCCCATGAAATTCCCAAGATGCTGCCTGGCAGCAGTTGTGAGGGGCTGGCTCGAGTCGCTTTCGAGCGTTTGGCTGGAGTCAATTATAAGCAGCTGCCTGGAGTTACTAGGTTTTAGCAGGGGCACATACATTTTCTGGCCGCAAGCTTGGCATGGTGCCTGTTGTCTGCATGGGGCAAAGCTTCTATGAACTGTCAGAGTCAATGTGTATCATTGGAGTCACTGTGGCACACACTCTTGGCTGGGTCATTCCGATCGCGGAGGTTGAAGGTGCCGTTGGACAGCGGGTTTTGGCATCGCTCACATGGGACTCGCTCTCCAAGTTGAGGCGGTTTCAGGCTTACATGCCGACCCAGAGTCAGGCTTAAATGGTCCAACTGCTGCACAAGAGGCTAAAATACACCACACATGAGTCGGCATTTCAGAAGATTTGCAATAGACAGGGGATGAACTCACCATCAAAGTGTCCTCAGGCTCGGCTGTCACACTAACGGCCTCAGACAAATTCATCTTGTCTTTCATATCGGTAACTAGCATCGCCATGGAGTGCTGGTGCGCGGAAGGTCCACAGACTTTATGAGATGGGACGAAACCAGACCTATCAGAGGTTAGCTGGATTTCTCATTGAGATGGCAAAATCATGGAGGGAACCACTCACGGTTTCGCGAACGGGGTAATGACCTGCTGGTGCCCATCCACTGAGTGGGTCATAGGCCTATTGGCAAGCATAGACGTCCACGGATTGGCCTGGGCCTGGTCGTCCGCGCTGTGAGCAGACATGCTGACGATCACGCTAGATCTAGTACAGTAACAGAAGTTGGGGAACTGAGAAGGTGTACTGGCAAGGTGTATTGGGAAGGTGTTCTGAGAAGGTGTACTGAGAAGGTGTACTGAGAAGGTGTGGAAGAGCAATGGTAAAAGAGCAGTGGAAGGGAGAAGAAGTACAAGAGAGAAGTGGAAGAGAAAAGAAGTGCAAGAGAGAAGTGGAAGAGAAAAGTGGGAGAAGCGAAGTATGTAGAAATAGAAGCGAGAGTGCGAGAAGCACTCCAGGGCTGAGGGTAAACTGCATCTCATGCCCTCGTCTACTGACATTTGTTGCCCTCTACCCTCTACCCTCTGCCCTCTCATCTTGAACTTGTGACCTGCTGCTCTGGATGAACATTAGAGCCGCACGCCCACACCTTGGGTGTTCTTAGGCTCTAGGATATTAATTTACATATTGCGGGCTGCCATCAACTCCCGTCTTATATTCTCTTTACTTCTATCTCATATATCTCATCGAGGTAGGTAGTAGCGCCCGTGTGGCACCTGTTAGACCGAAAACTGTAAGTATGTTTGAAGAAGACACGCCGCTCTTCTGGATTGTCATCTACGCCCTCGTTTACATTCCCCCAATCTGTAGATCCATGGTCTCGAAAGTCAACCTACCTAAGCCATCAATATATACAATATGTTTTGCATCCCAAAGCCCGAGCCCAACCGCAAACATGTGTATTGTTTGTTGCGGGCCACTTGAGAAGATTAAGCCCTAGGCTCGATGGCCAGTTTACTCACCAGCATTCGACGTCGAGCACTCCCAGGAGCACCAAGAAGTGACGTTGGTAGATCCATATAAGACTGACGAATCGGCTATTCTCCGAATTCCTGACCCTGTTGTACAATGAAGTTCATGAAAGAGCAGGTTGTGGTCTGGAACTTCCAATTTCTTGAAGCAGGGGTTCTAGTACACAGTATGTACTCCGTACATGACGTCATGTAGCGATAGGAACTTTATGTCTGTGGCCACAATCGTGGTCTGTAAAATTTCACGTGCCACATCAACCCTGGTCCCTGGCTCTTCAGACATTGCTCCATGGTACAATTTCTTCTCTCATTCTACGCGTGTTCTTTCTTCCAACGATGCTTCGAGCCAAACGTCAAAATACCCAGCCACTGGAAGATGCCTCCGTGGCCCCTGAGACCTTCACCGATGGCCTCCCACTGCCCAAGTTAATCGCCTTCGACCTGGACTACACCCTCTGGCCATTCTGGGTAGACACACACGTCAGCGCTCCTGTAAAGGCACGCGATAACAACTCTCGCACCGTGGACCGGTAAGTGAAAATAGGCTGTTGCTGAATCTTCTTTTCTGCTTGGAAAAAGGAAAACCCATTGGGACCGATCGCTAACCCCGCATTCCTTATCTGAAACTAGATGGGGAGAGTCCTTCGCCTTCTACCCGGCCGTTTCATCTATTGTCTACGCCTGCAAACACCGCTCGATCCCATTGGCGCTTGCATCTCGGACTCAGGCTCCTGATCTGGCGCGCGACATGCTCAAGGCTCTGCATATTATCCCCACGTTCTCCGATAACCCTGCCGCCAACGCGAAAACTATCCGCGCGCTGGACTACTTTGACTTTGTTCAGATTTTCCCTGGGAATAAGACGTCGCATTTCTCAAAGATTCAGCAGGCGAGTGGTGTTGCATATGAGGATATGCTGTTTTTCGATGATGAGGCGCGGAACCGCAATGTTGAGACCGAGCTGGGTGTTACGTTTTGCTTGGTGCGAGATGGGATGACGAGGGACGAGGTTGATCGGGGAGTTAGAGCTTGGAGGAAGCGGAATGGGATCAAGCGAGAGACTGTGGATGACGAGTTATGATATTCCTAGGCTATCTCATCGGATATGGCTTACTCCGTACATTGGGAGACTGTTAGTGTCGCACTTAGACTACTTTTAGCCAAAGATACCCCGCGGGCTTGGAATATCTGTCATGAACTAGGTTATCATCTTATGTGGCTCTATCCTCCTACAGATTACGTCTAGCAAGTCCTCATCATAGCCTCATAGGTAGTACGACCTAACACCCTCAACAATGTAAACTCCCCATGGCTCACCGCCCACGGACATACCCCGAGTCCGAATACCAGCAACCTTAGCTATCTTCATGCAACCTATCAATCTCCCAAACACAACAAATCCAATACAAACCAAAAATGGCAACTCTCAAACCCCCAACAAACACCCACCGCTCCTCCTCCTCCACCCACAGCTCCGGCCCCCCGAAAGCCCCCCTAAAAGCCGACCCAACAGCCACAATCGCCGACACCGCCGTCTTCCAAGGCAAACACCCCGTGATAATCGGCGCAGGAACAATCATCCATCCGCGCGCCCGCTTCTACACCTACGAAGGCCCAATAACAATCGGCGACAGCTGCATAATCAGCGAAAAAGCCATAATAGGCTCTCCACCTCCACCCAAACCCAGTTCATCTACTCGGTCCGCCTCGCCATCCCGATCTTCAAGCCCAAGCACGACCGCAACCACAGACCCCACAGAGCACCGAAAAGAGGTATCGACGCGGCTCTCCTACTTCGTCACGGTCGGTCCATCAGCCACGATTGAGTCCGGCGCGAACGTGCATTCGTCGGCTATAATTGATAATTTGGCGATTGTGCGGCGGGGAGCGGATATCGGGGCCCATTCGAAGGTGTGTTCGAGGTGTGAGATTGCGGCGGGGGGTGCCGTTGCCGAGTGGGTTGTTGTTTATGGGAATGGACCTGGGATGCGGAGGAAGAGGGCGCGTGGGGCTAAGGCGATGAGTCCGGCTGTTGTGGGTGCGACTCGGGTTGCGCAGACGGCTGTTCCTGGTTCGGCGCCGCCGGGGAAGGTTGTTGAGGATGCGAGGTTGATGGGGTTGCAGATGGAGAGGGAGATGTTGGGTAGGGTGCTGGTTCCTTCTGCTGGAGGGAGGAAGAAGTGATCGGATCCTCTTTACGCGCGTTTCCTTGTAGGACCGGGATTCAGGTCTTTTTTTGGATTTCATTCTAGCAGCTTATACCCCAATCGTTTAGTTACGAGTCATTTTTCTTTGGTTTATTGATTACAAGGTTGTAATCGAACTCTATCATTTGGGATAGTTAAAGTAAGAACCCAGACAAGCGCCACACATTCGATAGTTACAAGACAAAAGAAATAAGTCTGCCATTCATGGCAGCTAAACATAAAAAGAGATGCGCCACAAGGCGTAGACCGACATGGAAACACTTTGGTCCACGCCGCATTTTCAATCAAATGGAGAATACATCATTGTGATAAAAACAACATTAACGAGATCTTCTTAAGCAGCACCTCCACCGCGAGGCTGCTGACCACCACCACCTCTCTGTCTCTTTCCACCACTTGCACCTTCAGCAGTAGTATCGGGGCCATCCTCGCGAGTGCGCTTGTTGCCCTGTTGTCCAGGAATGAACTGACGAGCCGCAGCGTTCAGGTTTCCACGATTGGCGGTGGGACTCTGGGCTTGCGCGGCATTGTTTTGGTTCTGGTTCTGGTGTCCACCGCGACCTTGGCCTCCACGACCGCCACGGCCTCGCATGCCCTGACCACGTTGGGCTTGACCCTGGCCATGACCTTGCTGCTGACCCTGCTGCTGCTGGTCAACGTGTTGACCATGGCCGAACTGTTGACCAGCGCCACGTCCTCCACCACGTCCGCCTCTTGCGACAGGTAGCCCGGATTGAAGAGCTCGCATGAGACCAGGAGGGTTTACACCCTGAGGTTTGATCGGGAGATTACTGGGTTGCTGGGTTTGGTCCGGTTGCTGAACTTGGCCGAATGGATTGGCGGGTGCCGCAGGTTGGGCTGCAGGTTGTGCCTGAGCTTGTTGGGGCGCAGCGGTTTGGACCGGCGCAGTCGAAGGAGCCACCGACCCTGCCGGAACATTGGGGGTCGCTGACATAGGTGCAGGAGCTGGGGCAGCAGGAGCCGAGGGAGCTGCAACTGGCGGTTGCTGTGTCGGGGCAGGAGCGGGAGCAGCGGCGGGAGCAGCGGTGGGGGCAGGCTGAGGAGCAGCAGGCTGAGCAGCAGGTACTGGTGCCGTCGGCTTCGCAGCCGGAACCGCGATGGGTGCAGGGCGGGCAGACTTTGCGATTTCCCATACCTCACCCACGGGCCTTTGTGGAGTTTCCGTTGCGGCCTTGGATACCACATCAATCTTGGCGGTCGCAGTTCGGAACCTGGTATCAAGCATGCTGAGACGAGCAGCAGTTTTCTTTTCGACAAGTTCAACTGCGGAGGTAACCTTTTCTTTAAGCTCAGTCTCATGCGCCTTGATCAACGCTTCCTTCTCCTCGGCCGATTTCTGCTGCAGGCTGGTCAATGCCTCCTGGCTGGGACCAGCAGAAGCTTGAGCCTCTTGTTGCGCTTTCTGTTGCTCACGCAAGACTCCGCCGCGGATGTTGTTCCGCACAATCGTGCGAATAGTCTCATTCTTTGAGACCAGCTCTCTGGCCTGGGCATCTGTCAACTCGGGAATGGTGAATCCAGCAAGCTCGATAGTCTTTGACGGAGTCGCAGGAGGTGCGTCTGGGGCACCAGATGGAGTTCCAGGTACAGGCTGTTCAGTGGAAGACAGTTTCTCGATTTCTTGACGATGAGCAGCCTTGGCTTCGTTGAGCTTGGAGTTGTACATATCCTTGAGGCGATCGGCGCGTTCCTTGACCTTGGCATCTAGCTCGCTGGCCTGTTTAGCTAGAAGTCCGTCCTTCTCGGCAAGAGCAGCTTCAAGGCGCTGGATCTTTTGCTCAAGGGCTTGAATCTTTTGAGTGTCTGCAGGACCGGGGACTGCGACGGTAGCAGTTGGGAATTGCGAGGCCGGGGTAGGGTTGACGGGAGCCGGCTCTCCTTCAGCTGGAGCGGGTGCGGGAGTGGGAGCCGTAGGCGCCATAGGCACCTCTGCCGTCTTGGTCTTCAAAGCTTCCAACTCGGTCCTTGTAGTCTGAAGTTCTGCTTGGATGACCTCCTTCTCCTGCACAACCGCATTAAGCTCATCTTGCTTGGCCTTGACCCGCGCGCTAAGATCCTTAGAGCGAGCTTTGAACTGATCGGTAAGCTTAGTTCGCAAGTCGTTTGCACGTTCATCCTGATGCTGCTTGATTTGCTCGGGGAACGCCGCAACTTGTGCCTGAAGAGTTTCGATCTGGGTCTGAAGTGCTTCCCGTTGGGACACAGCCTCGGCCTTTTCGGTTTCGAGACCAGTAAGCTTCTCCTTCAACTCTTGCATCTCAGTTGGATCCACACGGTCGTATTTTTGGAGGATGTTCTGGATGCGTTGCTGGTAGCGATCGCGATCGGCCTGTAGGAGCTGCATTTCTCCATCCTTAGCCTCGCTTTGGCTTTCCAACTCGCGAATCTTGATCTTGAGTGGCTCGATCTCTTGAATCAGCTCATTCTCGCGGGCGATCTTCTCGTCGCGCACCGCCTCGGTTTGCTTCAACTGGTTTCTGAGAGTGGCATTGCTCTCACGGAACACGTTGAGCTCGTTGATGGTTTCCAGGAGCTTGTTGTGATTGAGCGCATTGTGGTCATTATCGGCAGCAGCACGGCGCTGTTGCTCAAGCTTCAAACGGGTCTCATCGAGCTGCGACTGGGTGTAGTCGAGCTGTTGATTGAGTCGCTTGCTTTCCTGGGTAGAGAGGTGGTATTGAACTTCGACGATCTCCTTCTCGCGACGCAGGAACTTGATGACCTCTTGGAGACCCTCGAGATTGGGAGCGGCTTGGTCTCCCTCCTGCTCCTCATCTGGAAGATTCATCCGATCGCGTTGCAAAGACGAGATCTGGCTGGTAATATTCTCGAGCTGGGTGTGAAGCACAGAATTCTGGCGAAGGACCTCCTCCCGGCGCTTCTGAAGTTCAGATAGCTCTCCTTCATATGTGGCCCGTTGCTCAGCCCAGCTTTCCTCCTTCTGAGCCAGATCCGTCTTGTAAGTTTCGGCTTTGGATTTCCACTCAGCAATATCGAGCCGGAGTTGGTTGCTCTCTGCACGAACGATCTGAAGGTTTTTCGCGGCTTCCGCATGCTTAACAAGCTCGCTCTCATAGTTCTGTTGCGAATGCCGAGCAATTTCAGACTGGGCATTGAGATCCTCCTGGTGATATTGTGCAGCATTGACGTGTCTTTCATTGTCGGCCTTGAGGCGAGTGATTTCCGACTCAAAGTCTGCCTTCTGCTCTTCGAAGCGGCGGCTTGTCTCGGCTTGTTCTTCACGCAGCTTGCTCATCTCCGTGTTGGAGGCAGCGAGCTCAGCTGAGATCTCTTCAACCCGAGTTTCGAGGTCCTGGATCCTCTTGTCCTTCTCCTCCACGAGACGATCAGTCTCTTCCCGGTATTGATCATGGGTTTCAGTGGCGGACTCCAGGCGTTCTTCGCTGGCCTGGCTGATGGCCTGGTAGTCTTCGGCTAATTGCTTAGCGTGTTCCAGTTCACCCTTGGCCAACTCCAAGTCCCGTTTCAGTTCGGACACTTCGATTGATAGTTCTTGCTCACGGGAGAGACCAGTTGCCTCGCTAGCGTCTTCGCCTTCGAGAAGTCCCTCGCCAGTACCAGCAGAGACGCTTGGCCGAGAGTTCAGGACCTGCAGACGTTCTTCGGCACTCTTGAGCTCCACTGCAAGCTCATCCACACGGGACTGCAGGTGATCCCGCGTGGTCTTAGCGGCAACCAGCTCCTCGCGGACTGAGCCCAAAGTAGTGACCAGGTCGTCAATTCTTTTCTGAGATTGCTCCTGTTCGAACTCGCGGCGTAAGCTAGTCTTCTTGGATTCCTCAACAGCGTCGTTGAGCTTCCGTTTCGTGGTTTGAAGTTCGGTTTCGAGAGACTCAACGCTGGCTTGGAGACGGCGCCGGCTCTCGGTATCGGCATGTTCGCGTTCGTTAAGCATGCTTTGAAGGTTTGCGTTCAATGAGTCAAGACGACTACGCTCATTGCGCAGGTTCTCGGTGTCTTCGATAAGCCTCTTCTCAATGCTCTTCCAGAGATCCTTCTCGGCCTTGAGGTTGGCATTTTCTCTTTGGAGGCTTTCGGCAAGACCCTTGGTCTCGACGAGGTCTTCAGCAGCTTGCTGTGTGCGGATATCTTGACGATTTGCGTTCTCAGACAGAGCAGCATAACGCTTTTGAAGTTCGGCATTCTCTGTCTTGATCATATTGAAGTTGCTCTGCAAGAGCTCCGCACGTGAGGTTGCAGCAGAAAGTTGACTGCTTGAGCGACTGATATCTGAAAGCAGCTCGCTATTCTTCCGTGACAGCTCGTTGACCTGCTGTTGCAGTGCCTTGCGATCGGCGATCGTCTCTTCGCGGAAGGTATCGAAATGAGCTTGAACCTTGTGAAGCAACTCCGCAGAGTCAGGGCCGCCGCCCTCGAGGGCTCCCTGAGGAGTGGCACCAAGAGGCATAGATTGAGAGAAGCCAGACGAGTCGTCAGCGGTAAATCTTCTGTGCATGAGCATACTGCGGAATGTGTCACGCTCCTTGACGAAACTCTGCATCTGTGCGCTGAGGTTCGCAATCTCATCACGGCTTGTCTGTGCACGGATGCGCAGCTCCTTCAACTCATTCATGTCTGCCAGACGCTCAGCTTCCTTGGCTTGCGCCTCTTCGCCTTCCTGCTTGTCACCGAGCTCTCTCAGCATGCGCCGGAGAGTGTTGTTCTGATCTTGGAGCTCGTGAAGATCCTTGAATGTGGTCAAGTTCTTGCTGATGAAGCGGCCAGTCTCGTTCAGATCCTTGGACGACTCTTCGAGTTCACCGCGAGCAATCTTTTCGAGCTCCTCGCGGTCGTAGTCTTCGCCGTGTTTTGCGACGGCAACCTCCAACACAAGAACCTTGACCTCCGCGCTTAGATCGCGAAGTTGCTGGCGCAGAATGTCCCCTTCGCGAGCCAAGCCTTCCACCTGACCCTGCCACTTCCGGGATTCTTTAAGGGCATTATCCCGTTCCTTTGACGCCGCTTCGAGTAGGGTAGACATCTCCACGACAGCCTGCTCCAAACGAGTTCGCTCTGCTCGTCCCTCCTCAATCTCGGGGTTGGTTGAGTCGAGTTCCAAAACCATCTCGTCAACGGTCTTGCGGAGTTCCTCGCATTCTCTCTTCTCGGCTTGAAGAGCGGTCCGCATCCTGTCGTACTCGGCGTACATCTGCGTGACATTCATGCCACCCTTGCCACGGGAGGGCGCGGGAGAGAATGAGCCAGGAGTTCCAGCCCGCATGATGCTAGACCGGAGAGGTGTACTGGGTGCGCCTCCATTGATAGAGACAGCGGGGCTTGCTGATCTTCCTCTGGCAGGTTCAGACTCAAGCTGACCAATAAGTGCCTCAAGTTCGGCGATCCGACGCTCGGCAGCTTCCTTGTCCTTGGTCTCTGTCTGGAGTTCAACACGAAGGCGTGAGATTTCCTGTGCCGCGTCATCCTTTGCCTTCTCGAGAGCGAGTTGGCATTCCTGGACTCGTTGCTTGGCTGTCTGGGCCGCAGATCCTTGTAGTTCGGCCAACCGATTGGAGCTGTCAAGCTCGATACGGAAAGATTCAGTTGCCTGAATGGCTTCCTCTTTTAGCTGATGGATGGTGGCCAGAGAGCCTTCATATCGCTGCTCAGTCTCGTCCAGGCGACTCTTAAGCGAATTCTCACTCCTTCTGAGAGAATCAATTGTCGAGTTTGCTTCTTCATTCTCACGTTGGAGTTCAGAAATCCGAGCACTCTTCTCTTTGCGGAACTTGATGTATTCAGCGGACTTTGTCTTCAGTTCGGTCTCGAACCATTCATTGTTCTTCTTGGTGAGATCTAATTCTTGTTGAAGGTTCTGTTCGCGGAAGCGGGCGCTGGAAGATGCTGCATTGGCGCTCTGGAGGTTTTGCTCCGCGGTGGATAGTTCGCGTCGCAGCTCGATGGTCTTCTTGTGTTGGAGGGAAAGCTCCTCTGCAAGCTTATCGTGGGCTGCGGATTTGGATTCAAGCAAGGCTAATGTGTCCCTGTTGGAGGCCTCCAGAGAGGAGATGCGCGCTTTCAAGGAAGTGGCTTCGGATCCAGTGGCTGTGGATGAGGTTTTCAGGGTGGAAATTTCGCTCTCAAGCGTAGAGCGTGTATTTTCTAGTCGACGTTAGAAAATATCTTAGTTGCTGTAGGGTGGAATGATATATACCGGCTTCTTGTAGTTTTTTTCGTAGATCTGCAACCTCGGCGTGTCCCTTCTCCACGCTGGTCTTCAAGACCTTGACCTTCGACTCATTGCTGCGCACAGCATTTTCAAGCTCTACCTCCAAGCGAAGCTTATCTGCTTTGAGCTCATCGAATTCATAAGCCTTTTTGCCGATTGACTCCAAAAGTTGGTTCACAAGCTCCGCCGTTGGAGCCTGCGTTAAGGTCGTAAGCGTCGATTCGGGGAGCGCATAGTGAGATGATAAAAAGGGCAATTCAATTGCAATATCAGCCATGTTGCCGGATGGCCAACAGCACTGAGCTCTTGTGGCGTGGGAAAAGAGTAAAAACGAAGATGAGAGGCGCGAGCTGGAGCTGGGTTCTCGAGAACGGGCGCGCCGTGTACTGTTCAGAGACAACTACACACAGCGCTGGTCGAAGAACCTCAGGTCATGACGATGTGGACAAAGTGATTTGTTTCTTCTAAGCAGCAGAAGAAATGATTGAAAGGTGAATTGAAATGAATAGTGGTGAGGTAACTAACTCCAAGGGTGTCCGAGATCCATTTCCGCGCTTGGGTTGCTGAGCTCTTTGGTCACGTGCCGCCCATCGATTCTTTGTCCAGCCTCCGAAGCTTTTAATAGTTACACTTCGACCCGAGTCAAGGTTGTCCTCTTTCTCTGCGCATCTCGGTCTGGCGCATTCTCTTCTCTTGTTCCAGTCAATAATCTCGGCACATCTTAGCCACCTGACGATCTGAGTCTCTAACTCGGCACTGGGAAAGTCGAGCCAAGGCCTAGTCACAATCTCAGCTCCCTTTCGTCCTTCTCCAAATCTCAGCGATATCTGATCCCCCGCAACCATGTCGTACCTACAGAACCAACTCAAGAGCTTTAATGCCAGTGTCGTGGAGTCGGCAAACCGCATGCCTCAGCAGCGACGTGTGGTGGCCAACCAACCGACATCTGCCAGCAGTTCCCAAGTCCCCTCGTCCGCACCGACCCCATCAGCCTCCGGCGAGATCAAAAAGAAGCGCCATGATCCGGACATTGTATACTCCCAGCCGGCCAACACGGGCACGGGAAAGGATATCATGACCCAAGTGCTGTTCGCGATCGAGCACATGAAGAACAAGAACGTGGCGCTGAAATTCTCGGACATCATCTCATATCTCTCGCTCCAGCATCGCGCCCATGACCAAGGCTACGTCCAGGCTCTTCGGAGCATTCTGCAGATGCATGAAAAGGTTGAATTCGACCCCAGCGGTGCAAACGGAGAGGGCACATTCCGATTCCGCCCACCTCACAACATTCGCAACTCGGAGCAACTCCTCAAGCACCTTCAAGCCCAGACTACTGCGGCGGGTATGAGTGTCCGCGAACTTCGGGAGGGCTGGCCCGGTGTTGAGGAGGAAATCAACCAGATGGAGAAGGAAGGAAAGCTGCTGGTGACTCGCAACAAGAAGGATGACCATCCAAAGATGGTATGGCCGAATGATCCGTCCCTGATCGAGCACTTCGACGATGAGTTCAAGCAGATCTGGGAGAAGATCAAGGTTCCTGATGTGAATATTGTGAAGGAAGAGCTTGAGAAGTTCGGCATCACACCCACCAACAAGAACAAGGTGGTTGGTCCCCGCATTGTGCCAGCGTCTAAGAAGGCCAAGAAGCCGCGTCGAAGTGGCAAGACAACCAACACTCATATGACGGGCATTCTCAGGGATTATTCGCATCTCAAACGGTAAGAGAGATGTGCCACCTGAGCCCGTCGCTTTGATATTATCATTGCTTGCATTGCCTTGGCGTTTCGAAGGGACTGCATGCGACTCAAGTCGCCTACAACTCCTCCATGATTTTCATACTTCCCCGGGCAGATTTGCCATTTGTACACTACACGCCGACGATGATAGATACCCAGTAAACCAATATATTCAATTCCTGACAAGCCTAGATGTCAACATAGTCAATCCACCTACATTTACGCTTGGCCCTACTCCCGAGAAAAGAGTCTGATGATCCATATGTATAGATTTATTCAACCCAGAAAAAGGATATCCCAGAGAAGGCGTAGAGATGTACAAACATACACAGCAAAAAAACCAACTACCTACCCAAAAGCCACTCAATGCTTCCCATTCGTAGCAACAGTCCCCTCAACCCGATCCAAATACTCCACCAAATCCTCAATAGTACACACCTTGATCCCCCACTTCTTCCCGAACCGCAAACACGCATCCCTCCGCATCATCCCATTATTCCCCCCAATCTCCGCCTTCCCCTCAACAACGACCCCATCCTCAACAAGCTCCGCAATGACACCCACCGGCGCCTTCCCAGCAAGCTTACAGAAATCCACCGCAGCCTCGGTGTGGCCGCTGCGCTCGCGCACGCCGCCCGGCCGCGCCTGCAACGGGATGATATGGCCTGGTCGGCGGAAGGAGTCGATCTGCGCGGTGGGCGAGGCGAGGGTGCGGCAGGTTAGTGCGCGGTCCTCGGCGGAAATGCCGGTTGTCACGGAGTCGTCGCTGGAGTCAATTGTGATTGTGTAGGCGGTGCACTTCGGGTCCGCGTTCTCAACTACCATCTGGGGGAGGGCGAGGCGGGTGGCAAGGTCCGGGGTGATGGGGGCGCATATTAAGCCGCTGTTTGGGAGAGAGAATGTTAGTGAGAGAGGTCCATAGTGAATTGGAATTGAGATTGGTGCGGGTGTCGGTATGAAACTCCAATTGCGGTCCAATTGCGGGGAGGGGCTTGGGCTTGGAGGGGAGAGACTGGGTAGCCGGTCCGGCCGCTGTCTTGGTTGTCTTACCTCGTGTAGCGCACCAGGAAGGCCATCTGTGCGGCTGTGATGGACTCGGCGGCGATAATTAGGTCGCCTTCGTTCTCGCGGTCTTGCGAATCGAGGACAATGATGAACTCTCCATTCTCTGTAGTAGGGCTCGGTCAGTTGCTTGATCGACTCGGGAGACCCTGCGAGCAGCGACGCCCGTGGTAATGGTACAATCCGGTGTCTGGAAGGGATTTGACTTACTGAATGCTGCAATTGTATCCTCAATTGAGTCAAACCGCTGCGCGACTTCTGTGGGGGAAGGCATTGTGGTTCGGCGTTTCTTTTTTTGCCCCTCACTGCGGAAGTCCGAGGAGTAGTTCAAACGGCACGGGGAGCAGAAGGTATGAGATACAGGAGTCCTGGCGGTTTATCAAAAGAGTAGTATATGCAAATTATCTTAGAACGAAGAAGAAAGAAGAAGACTGAGTCACAAGAAGAGCATTGGAATTGCCTGTGAATATCGGCGCGGGGAGCCGGTGGATGACCGGCCAATTGCTAAGCCTCGGGACCACTTCAAATGGCCCCTCCGACTCCGAGGTCAGGCAATTTCCAAGCATTTCCCTCTGACAAATGGAACAGTAATCATTATTCATGCAGTGGCTACAACACCTACTGACTTCATGGAATCATGTGTGACACAATAAGTTACTACAGGCCTAAGATGTGAGATGTGGGTATACAAATGCAGTGCATGAAGGCTCTCAGCCCAATCTTCCCATCCAGCGCACCTCATCAGCTTGCTGCTCAAGTGCCCGACGCATGGCCTCCTCATACCGCTGCTCCTTCTCCCAGTCCTCACGGCGTTTATGCCGCATCGCCTCACGGGTAGCTTCATCGACCTCCGCATGCATAAACAAATCATCATCATCATCCTCGTCAACCTCCATCTCGGAATCCGCAGGAATGGAGAATTTCAGACGGCCAATCCGCTCCCCCGTCCACACAAGAAGCTCATCTCCAGTGAGATTCCCGCCAGTGGGAAGAATTTTGCGTGCGACTTCATGGGTCTCATGTGACGAGGAAGGCCAAAGCCCGCGCGGCGGTTGCCCCTCGTCTGTATGTGTTGGCTGTCGGCTGCCACGATCGAATGGGATCTGAGGCTGGGAGGTATTGATATTCCATCGCCGAACTTCTGAGCGGCCGTCTCGCTCGGTCCACTTGATGTTCCCCTCGGCATCGGAGAACACGATGCGATTTCCATGTGATGCCACGGAAAGCAATCTAGAGCTGGCTGCGCTCTGGCGATTCTTGTCTTCGGTATTGAGGGTGGATGACATGTCTGAAGGGTTGATATTCTGGTCCGATGTCGCCCTGAGATTATAGAGTTCCAGCGAGCCTCGCCCGTTGTAGTCTCCGCATGCAACAATCGAATGCGTCTCTGGGTAGGTATCGTCTGAAAAGATGGGGAACCGAGGCGCTGGTACGGAGGCAAGACCACATAGTCGACCCCCGGTATGAACGGTGGTTTGTAGACGAGGGAAAAAGCGGCGATCGTAACATAATATGCTTGGGAAACGGCCTGCGAGGAGAATTGTATTCACGTGGGGAGCTGGCGGGTGGAGGATGGCAAGAGGGCCAGGTTGGAAGAGGGGAGCGTAATTAGCTCCTTTGTCTGAGGGTTCAGGGCTGCGTATACGAGTAGGCGGCTGCCCATTGGATTGGAGCTGGAACCACGGCGTGTCTGAATGCGCGAATATACCAAGTTCTGGAGCACGAGAACTAGTCATCTGTTCGCATCGCGAGCTGATTGCTTCTTCTTCCTCGACAGCCGATAGTCTTGAATCATATATCTGCAGACTGAGTGTAGTGGCTAGCGTCAAGGGCACTGAGTAGTCTGTTTCTTGGGAAAGGGCGAAAATCGACCACGGATAACGCTGCTGCGAGATCACCTTTAATGTCTCCAAGTCAACTTCATTGAGAACATTCCCAACGGCAAGGTAGGCTCTTTGTCTTAGCGAATCCACGCTCACCCCCTGTCCCAAGTTGATAAACTCCATTGAGACCTTGGATGTCGAATGGTCTCGACGAGCAGACAAGTTGGCCATCAGAATACCTGGCTCACTGATCCCAATAATGCTGCCTTTGCTCGCCTGCGAGTCGGCAGAGTGAGAATGATTTAGATCCCAAATGCAGACGCTACCATCTTCAAGTGGCGCAACGACCTTATTCTGCCTGGCAGAACTCCAATCTTTGAGCAAGCCCATACCCTTAACCTCATACGACAGCCTTCGTTTTCCTTCACCTTTGCGGACCGCAGGCTGCTCAACCCATGACAGAGATATAGGTCCTTCACGAGCAATGTATTCCGAGTACCAGTCGACATGCTCCCCCGCAGCGGACGAGTCCCATTCCGCTGCTGCTCTCGTCCGCTCACTCCAAGTCAGTCCCTTTGGTTCGTTGGAGGCCTCATTTGCCTGTTGTTCAGAGGGCTCAATATGTTCAGGCAACGCATTAACCGCACCGGAGAGCAGACTGTCCAAAGTTATGGGGGCAGCGGCAGCCCGGACAGCTCGCCGAGCAGCCCATGACTGCTCATAGCAATGTAGTCTCCACTGATTATTATCGCGTGCGAGATCAAAGAACTTTTTAGAGATGGATTGGAGCTGGACCTTCTCTCGTGGGGTGAGGACTGAGTTATCGCGGGGCTATCAGTTCTCGGTCGACATGCGGGCAAGGTCCGGGGAGGGGCGGCGGCGCTTACGGTCGATGATTTTGGACAGGATTTCTACCGGCAGCCTATCCATGGAAGCAGAGGAACGAGCAGCATTGAGGGCCGTACCAAGATTAGGAAATTAGGAATCAGCAACGGGAGATGTCCGCTCTCTCGTAGGTTGAATACAATTCGGACTTTTGTCGTAATCGAGTTGGAATTTCCCCGCGATCTGCGCTGCGTTCAGATCGTCACGTGGATTCAAATGGCATTGACGGAGAGCATTAATAGAAATCGAATTGGACAAAAGGTTAGGTATGGACTAGGAGTCTAGGATGGTGTGTTGATTGATGGGCTTGTGACGTTTAGAGGGGCACAGTTGGGATAAAACCATATGTAGGCTCGGGAGAGGTCTCCGAGATAGGATTCGCTGGGTTTCACTGTCTTACAGTAACCGAATGCTAGAACATTCGGATTGCCACTCTATAACAAACGTCAAACGTACAGTCATTTGAACCCCGCCCTGAGTTATCGTTGCGCTAAAAATAAGCTTATGGCCCGACCTTGGATTGAGCAACTCAAAAGGCACATGTACGAGCTATCTACAGACTAAGACTCTGGAAGACTACACTTGAGTACATTAGTACACTGAGATAACAGTGAAACCTAAGATAGAGCCTTCGAACTATGCATGTAGGAAATACAACGTTGTGTGATTGATACAAGGTGTGCCTTCCAGTCAAACTCCAGCCTGGCCCGATATTCCCCTTCATCAATCAGTCATGACTCGTACATTAAAAACAAAATAGGCAGTCATGATGGCATAAAAACAGCAAAAGTCGACAACATTGTCTGTGAAAGCATACCCACGGCGTCTCTACTCGTCTGGTCTGAAGACCGCATCCTTACAGAGGATCGTCACCTTCTTGAAGAAGCGCCGCCATTCAAGCGGATCACCCTTGATTTTGACGAACTCCACTTCAAACACGCCCTCGGAGACACACTCAATGAGCACCTTGCCCTGGAGTGGACACATTCTGCCATCCTTGGCAATCACCCGAATCATGGCAGAAGCATCTCCAGCACTCACAGCAGGGACAGTCGGAACGGGAACTCCAAGTCGATGGAAAGCCTCACAGATTAGAGGCACGAGGAGTTTGAGCTCCCAGGCAGAGTAGAAACGCGTTAATGAACGCGAGGGAATGATATCCTGGAATTTCTGTGCGTTCTGAGTGCGGCTCACCGGAACAGAAGGCTGCTGTGAGAACTGTGACATAGAAGGCTCATCCTCGAGATGGCCTACCATCACCGCATCTTGAGAAGCAAATTTCTTCCCGACGGGCTGCGTTGAACCGAAGACATCGGCATCTTGCGGTCTGTCCCAGTCCATCAGCATGCCGCCACCAACCATCTCTGGCTGGGTGGAGGAGAAGCCTGCATTTGCACCGTCATCAACATCCATCTCCATAGGACCGAAGCTTCGGCTAGCCCCCTTTCGCGTCTGGGAAAGAGGGTCCTGGCTGAAGTCGATATGGAGCGACTCAAACATCGAGGTTGCAAGGTTGACTGGGTCTCTCAACTTGCCATCCGTAGAGAGGTATTTGTTTGCACGTGTGTACCAGGGATGTCGCCGGACATCTTCCAGCGAGAATCGACTCTTGGGGTCGACGGTCAACATGCCACGCAATAGTGATAATGTAGCTGGTGGTAACTTCTGCCACAGCTCATCTGTGGTCCGGCCATTTGTTGCAACATATTCGTGGTACTCGTAGCTCTCGTCCGTCGGGCTATCCCAGGGCGTATTTCCAGCCAATAGGACGAAAAGCACAATGCCACAAGACCAAATGTCCACCAGGTCGGGATGATATCCAGCGCCCTTGATTTGTCCTCTGGTACTGCTGCTAATAACCTCGGGCGCAATATATGGGGGACTGCCGCAGAACGTGGTGGAGAGTTTTCGCGTCCCCTTGTACTCGAACAGCGCTGCTAGACCGAAGTCCGCGATCTTCAGGTTCCCGTCGCCTGTGAGAAGCATGTTCTCGGGCTTGATATCTCGATGACCGACGCCTTTGGAGTGCATGAAGCTCACAGCACTGACGAGCTGCGAGAAGTAGACGTGGGCAATATCCTCGCCCACACCCTCGTCGGCCTCGATCTTATCGAAGAGATCCCCGCCCTCGGCCAACTCCATTGCAATCCAACGCCAGACTTCATCCTCTCCGGTCTGATAGAAGCTGATAATATTCCCATGACCCGAGACGTGTCTGTGCACCGTGACTTCGAGTTGTAGTTGTCGTGCGCTGATCTTGCCGTGTCGAGCGGCGTAATCTTTGTGAATGTACTTGACTGCGAAAACGGGGTTATCTGAATCTACCGGGCAGGCTTTCTTGATACTAGAGGAGTAAACGGGGTCAGTTATGAGAATTCCACACGAATCGCATCCGATTCTCACCATGCATAGGCGCCTTGGCCGATGGTCTTGGAGACGATGCGAAACGGCACGTCGTCCGGAAGCGGGGCCAACTGTGAGTGCTGCATTTCGAGGAGCTCACAAAGAGCTAGATAGACGCAGAGAAAAGGAGAGATGAAATTAATATTAAAAAGGCATAACGAGTGGATGGAACGAGGGACAAGAGTGAGAGTCGCGTTGCAGCAAGGGAAAAGAACGCGGGAGACGCGGACCACTTTAACCTGATCGGGTAATCTGTTGACAGCCGGACTATATGGGAGGGTGAAGTTGCCTTGCTCTTCAAGAGAGTAATACAGTATACTGATTATACTGGTAGAAAATATACCTACGACATACTAAGGAACTGTACGGAGTACACAATGCTATTATGAAAACTCCAGACCCGCAGTTGCTCGACGATCACACACTAGATCGACGTCTAACTAGGGAACTCTTGAAGCGATTACCGTTTAGCTTGGCTGCTTGGTTTGAATTCAATTTTATATTGCAACAACGACTGGACATAAATCAAACGATCTTCAAGCTGTAAAGTGGCTTTTAAGTACGGAGGAATCCCACTAAGCGGGGTTGGCTTGGTTGCCCCGGGCGCGTAAAAGCGAGTAAACAAAAAATCCCCCATCCAGCGTCATTTCCTCTTTGTTCCTCTCCTCTAACTACCTCACATCACAGAAACAAAGTCCCTCCATTCTCGCAATCCTGCTTTAACGTTTCCAATTCCATCATCTCCGTTGATATCGTTACGGGTTACGGATCCGGCGTCATTCCACACGTGTTACAGTGACCAGCATTCCACACGAGCAATCCACAACACACATCATTAGAACTCTTGATTATCTCTCCCGACCTCCACAATGGACTACAGCATGGAGGATACGCAGAACTCAGCGCCCGAGGCGCAGCAAGCCAGCAAGCTGAACACCTCCGGTCAGAAAGGTGATACCCACAATGTGACCAAGCGGTTCGTCCCCCTGCATCCATCGCTCCTAGAGGCTACACCGAACTAACTGCTGCTTTCTCATAACAGCCTGCAATCTGAGCTCATGCAACTGATGGTCTCTCCCTCTCCCGGCATCTCCGCCTTCCCCGACGCAGACGGCAACCTCCTCTCATGGACAGCAACTATCACAGGCCCGACCGAGACACCCTACGAAAACCTGAGGCTGAAACTCTCCTTCGCCTTCCCCAACAACTACCCCTACTCGCCGCCGACAGTGCTTTTCAAAACCCCGATCTACCACCCGAACGTGGACTTCTCCGGCCGCATCTGCCTCGACATCCTGAAGGACAAGTGGAGTGCAGTGTACAATGTCTCCACCGTTCTGCTCAGTCTGCAAAGTCTCCTTGGAGAGCCTAATAAGTAAGCTTCGCATATCCCCCAAATCCTCATGGACTCCAATGCTAACAACATCCCAGCGCGAGCCCTTTGAACGCGCAAGCCGCCGAACTCTGGGATTCAGACCAGGCGGAGTTCAAGCGCCACGTCCTTGCTCGACACCAGGATCTGGACGAGGAATAGACATTGAGTTTTCTAATATTTTGATTCTGCATCGGCGTCGGTTGGTCCTGTCGTCCGTTACACAGACGGCGGGATCGTGCTGCAAATGCATAACGGCCTGGTTTGGGGCCTGGGAGTTCTTGCTTTGGGTGTTGTTGTCTGATTTCATGTTGTATGTTCCTATTTTTATCCCGTGCCGATGAATCTTCGCATTCGGCACAAAGTGAGAAAATCTTACCCTAGCGACCTTCAATGGGTTGGTTCTCATCTCAGCAGTTCGGGCAATTGCCCTTTAGGCGGTAGATTCGTTGATGACAGCGATCTGTATACTACAGCACCATACCTATTGGTTGGGTCTGGAAAGAGCCTAACATTCTACCTACCTTTAAACACCGCCATACTGGTTCAATCGAGTTTAAGTCCGGCAAGTGCCCATGTATGTTGCGTGGCTGCGTGAGCCCTTATCGGTTGACCAGGCATCGCTGCGCTTAGCTGTTGATAGCTCTAACACGGATGTCGGCGGGCCTATAAATATAGGAAATGGCAAGCTCGAGAGTTGAGTAGTAAAGACTGAGGACGACCGGCTCGAGGCTTTTAGAGGTTTACTCCTATTCGAAGCACTTAATCGTGTTATAAGTTGTCTTGCGGGTGCACCTAAAATGATTAGATAGCGTTGTCTGCGTCCGGTGAGTAGGCATAATAGATAGCCGACCTTTGTGTTCTGTAGAATGCCCAGCCTCTTTTCTACGTTTCTGAAAAAGGTCCACGGTATAGGAGAAAAGCAGGGCGAACGAGAAATTATACAACATGGTTGTTGAGGTGATGGATAAGGAGGAGGGGGTACAGACGCCCTGGGGGTACATAAATGTCCCCAATATGAATCAACAGAAAGCAAAAGTGCAATTTCCAAATCATCCAGTAGTAGCAGTCATGAACTGCTTCTCGTTCGTAATCAACAATCCCGCAACAGCGGCACTGGTAAAGGTACTAATAGCACCAGTGATCATGGCGCTGAACGCAACACGCGAGACATCTCCACCACGACCAGGTGAGATCTGCGATAGCACACCGATCTGATTACCGACGGAGCCGATGTTGGCGAAGCCGCAGAGGGCATACGTGACGATGAGACGGGAGCGGTCGGACAGGTCTACGTATTCCTTCTCGGTCTGGAGGGCCTGGTAGGCGACGAATTCGTTCTGGGTTTTGTTAGTCCGTGTTTCCAAGGTGTGCCTTGATCTTAACGAAGGCGAAAAGCAGATAACGGGAGAAAGGGGGAAGAGCTTACGCTAACAAGCTTCAAGCCAATCAGCTTGGAGACCTTGAGCAAGTCGCCGTCACGGGAAACACCGAGCAGGAAGGCAATCGGATAGCAGATGTATCCGACGATAAGTTGGAGAGTGAGCTCGGGATTGTTGATATTCAGGTACCGGCCCCACCAGGTAAGGAGGCCGTTGACGAGACCGATAAGCGCCAGAATGCACAGAAGGGTCGAGGTGATCATGGCAGCAATCTTGAGACCGAGCCAGGCGCCGTTTGTAAAGGCGTGTAGGGCATTGGAGGCGCGGTGTTCATCGTTATCGGGAACGACGACGCGGCCGGCCGTCAGGGTCTCTTCTGTCTCCGGCCAGCGAAGTTTGGAGACGGCTAGTGAGGCTGGAATACTCATGACGCAAGCGCTGACCAACGCTTGCGGGTTGACGCCAATGCTGATGTAGGCGATTAGGACACTGCCGGCGATGGTAGCAAAGCCGGAGCACATAACTTGATGCAGCTCCGCTATGGTGAGATGCGCGATGAAAGGACGGATTAGCATCGCTGATTCACCTTGGCCGATGAAGGGGGACGCGGCGGCGACCACGGCTTCGGCGCCGGAGACGCGCATGCTCCAGAAGAAGAAGACGGCGAATTTGCCGACGAACCATTGGAGCAGGTTGTAGTAATATAGGAGCTGGACGAGAGAGACGAAGAAGATGATGGCTGAGATGACGCCGACAATGAAGAAGTTGGCTGGCACAAATGCCCCATCGTAATCGAAGAAGTCTTGGCTGGTCAAGAAGATGACACCTTTGCTGGCAAATCCGAGGAGACTACGCGCTAGACCCGAAATGAAGTTGAAGATATCATAGCCTACGCCGGTTCGGAGCACGAACAACGCAATGATGAATTGTGACAGCATGCCGACAATGACGGTGTGCCAGTTGATCATCTTGCGGTTGTTTGAGGTGAGCCATAGTCCGAAGAGGAAAACCGCGATCCCGAACAGACTGACTGCACGGTTGGCACGGGTGTTGTCTAGCGACTCTTCGGACGCAAATGCGCCGATAATGATGACACCAATGCACAGAGCAGCGGCAGCAGGTGTCCTCAGTTTCTGGGGAATGATGCGCACGAAGCGGTGGGCTGTTTGGTCCCAAACCCAGCGCATGGGCGTCGAGATGATAGTGATCGGAATATAGAAAAACAAGATCCGCAGCGAGATAGCGAGCCAGAGCAGGAACGGAACGACCCATCCCAGCTGTCGATTGAGAATGAGACCAGCGATCCACCAGCTAAAATATACGTATAAGTATCGTGTTTGGTTGAGGGCGCGCATAGAGCACGCCCGGTGTTCTCAAAAGCACACTACTAGTTCACTCACCCGGTGAACAGAAGCCAGATCACGGCATAGGCAATGTGTCGCCATTGCTTTGCCACACGACGATACCAAGTACGCTGAGCTGGGTAGTTCTCGCCGGCCTCCTCGTCGGAGCTCTTGCTGGCGTGATCTAGGGGTGTAGGCTCGGGGACGATTCCTTTCTCGAATTCACCGGCTTTGGAGTAAACCACTGTGTCCTCGCGTCCCTCCTCGGCGTGGGCGGTATGGTTGTGATGAGCGTGGTGATGCTGCTGTGTTGGATCCAATACCGGATCTACATTATGCACACCTTCAGATCCCCTGGAGGGATCAACTACCTGAGTCTTATCCATCAGAATCGATTTCCGATTCGCAGTCGGTGGGAACCGGGAAGGAAAAGCGAAGGACCGGGAGACACAGTAGTATAAGTAAAACTTGAAAATAGTTGAAGACCGAGAAGGACCCAGTAGAGTACGAATGTTGGAGCGGAAACAGGGAGTTTTATAACATGACCCGATTTATTTTTGATTGGATCTCATTGGTATCTGCCGACATTCCTCCAATGCCGTTTATCTTCGCATATCATTTTTTTAGTGTGCGGGGGAGTGCAAGATAAAGGAAAATGGTTAGAAATGGAGCACTAAGCTGTCGGAGGTTTCCATAAAGATCAAATGAACGGACTGACCGACGGAGAACTGCGGAGCTCCCGTCTTGCCCAGCGCCCACCCGTGGCACCCAGGGGCCATAAAAAGCCATAGAAAGCCACATGTAACCACATCCAAGGCAAAATGATAAGACAGTAACATTCTTTTGCCACACAGAACCCCGATCGGCCCGGCTGATTGGTGATTGAGAACAAGCTAAATCTACTTCCGTTTGTTGGTCCTAACAGTCTCTCTCCGCACCGGGTAGTGGTGGAGTTGGACATGGGTCGTGTGCTTGATCGAGCATTTTCCACCGAGCTAGGGAATGATACATACATTTTCAAGTCCGGGGTTCGCCATGGTTTTGACTTTTGACATGGCTGTGATACCCGAGGGACTGGTCAAGGGGATCTCCGAAGACGAAAACTTTACTGTGTACTCCGTACTCACCACAAGTCTGGGGAGCGTTTCACCACAACATGCATCCATCGAAAAAATTGTCCTACTCGAGTTCCATTCCGAATTTGCCTCACGTGGTTTTAAGTTTGGGAGGAAAACTGGAGACAACTCGATGAGCGGCAGAGGTCCGAGATACGCATTTTGCAGGTTCAATCTCACACAATTTCTCTACACAGTAAGATAGGCTCTTTACGAGGCACAACTTGGCTCGATTGGCGTCGCCTGACGGTCTGATTTAGCATAGTGCCCAACCCTGACCTCTGATTGATTAGACTGCATTATCATCGTGATCTGGTCACGTTTGACTTCAAGGTTAATTGCGGGCCCCCTGAGCCCACCTTCCAGATTTGGCAGAGGTGGGCCAGTTCCTATTATGTAATGTGGACACTAACTTTCAGGGAACCAGGGAACCTCCCGAGGTACCGTTGTGGCCCACCTGCCGTTACAGTTGAGCGTGATCGTCGAAACTTCGGTGTCTGTGTAGAAGGCGAAGCTGCCGATTCGTCCTCTGTCCGTGCGTTAACTAACCAGATCGCCAGTCTGTGGTCCAGAACCTTTCGAGAAGTCAATCCAGAACCGTCAACTGTCCTGACTTGGATGATAGCTGCAGGGCTGAAAGTGAGTGATAAGTGACTAAATATTCAATTATATTTGTCTTCACTGGGATCGTCCCAGTCGCGCTCCTCTGAATAAATGGGGGGCTGGCAGGCGGCCCATATATTTTCTCTTAGGTAGGTGAGAAAGATATGATGATCATGTGACAAGCAAACGATATCAAGAGGAGCAAACGACAGCTAGGGAAGGAGCAAGCATGGCAGAAGAACATAAAATGGAGTTCTTCTGCGCAGCTCTTCTTCTTTCCTCTTCCCTTCTCCATCTCACCACAGGATCAAATCATCTCTTCTGCTCTTTTCCCCTTCTGGCTTGTAACAAAAGAAAGCATTTTGGATTGCAAATAATTTTAGTCGATGGATTACGGATGCAGACTCGGGAAAACCATTCAGACCCATTCACTCTATTCAAAATGGGTTCTCCTTCAGTCAACCATACATGAATTGCTTGACGACTACTCGATTTCGCTGAATCCGGAGGTAAGTGATTTTACCTACAATGTAAGTATACAACGAACTTTGCTAATGTATCTGTAGGAGGACTATCAGCAGTTCACCGTCTCTCGATACATCCAATCCACATCGCAAAGCTGTTCACGCGATGGCCCCCAGGCGCAAACCCCAACAGCCAGCGAAAGAGGTGCCGCCAACATCTGCACGTGAACGTCCACGCATTCAGATCACTTCTTTTACACTCGACCACATGAGAGTGGATGGAAGAACCTTTGAGCCTGTGTGTCGAAACCCTGCCGACCCGTGCGGCCTCTCTCGACGCTGCGCTCGCTGATCTCATCTGGGAGCATATCCGAAGTTTTGGCGTGAGTCATTGCGGTAGAAGGTGAATCAAGACAAAATGGGAAGGAGAATTGAGCTACTTGGAGGCATGTGCCACTGATAGCAACAGCGACTGAGAGAGCCTGTATCCTCACCATGAGTGAGTGTCTCTAGGAAAGGAAAGAGTGCCTCTGCCCTTTCCCCCCTTCTTTTTCATGTGCTACCTCTTCACCTACGTGTTGGATTTCTTTACGTGTTGGATTATTCCTTTTCACATCTCCCCTCAACTTTCCCTTTTCGCTTTTGCTTTTTGCCTTTGTCTTTTGCCTTTCTTTTTCCCCCTAATACTCCCAGTTCTCGTCGCTGTTTCTAGTTGGCATGCTTAGGGACGAAGCACGAGAGTGGAGAAGGTCAGATACAGGCAACTGGGAGTATTAGGCAGCAGGCAAAAAGCAAAAAGCAAAAACGAAAGGGAAATAGGGAAAATTAAGGGAAAAAGTGAAAAGAAATGCAACACGATTCTCTCGTCGTCCTCGGTCTCAGTCTCGTCCAATTGTCACGTAGCACTCATACATGAGACTGCCCCAGAAGAATGAGTCTATGGGATTAACAACTACAAATGTTACTTGAAGGCTGTGTGATTTTGACTGGATAGTAGTTGGTAAACATGGACGCGGTATCTCAGTCAAACCCGACTATTTGGGAGCCCCCTTCAAGTTACTGACTGCCTTCTCCTTACAATCCGACAGTGAAGATTCCTGCCGTTGAGTCGAAGAGCTTTACATATAGGCATCGTAGTTTGTTTACTGGATCTCTATGTTTCACGCGATAGTGATACCTATGAATTGACTATTGAAGAAGAATAGCTGCCTCGAAAATGAACCAGAAGATAACCCAAATCCAGCATATCCGAAGTTTTGCCGACAGGAGTCATTCCGATCGAAGTTGAATTAGATCGGAATAGGAAAGAGAAGTTGAATTTCTCGGAGGCATGTGCCATTGATAGCAACAGCGACTGAGACTGTATCCTCACCATGGGTGAGTGTCTCTAGGAGGAAAGAGTGCCTCTGCCCTTTCCTCCCTTCCTTCTTAGGACTAATAGGTGGGGAAGGTCAAACCCATTCCCTCATCCATGCTGTTGGTCTCCTGGATCGCCATCTCATCCGAAGTGTTCTCAATTGCCGGAACTCGGACTTTGTTCTCGTCAACCTGGACACGGGGAGGGCAGTTGCGAAGAAGACGATGACCTCCATGAAGTGGCTTTTTTCCAAAAACCAACTTGTACGGAGCAGTGTCCGGCATTATGAGTTCAAACTCGGTGTATTCGAAATCCCTTGCTTTGGGGACCCTGTTCTTGATGGCCTTCTTGACCCGGCATCTGCGATTACCTACACACTCACAGGTTAGCAGGTATCCATCATCGACTTGACGATGATACTGTGATACATACGCGTTCTCAGAAATCTTTTCACATTCTCGTCAGAAAACCCGGGGTCGTCCCATGAAATTCCCAAGATGTTACCTGGCAGCGGTTGTGGGGGGCTAGCTCGAGTCGCTTTCAAGCCCTTGGCTGGAGTCGCCTTCGAGCGCTTGGCTGGAGTCAATTGTAAGCAGCTGTCTGGCGTTACTTATAGTAGCGGCACATACCTTTCTTGGCCGCAAGCATAGCAGCCAATTGCCTCTTGTGTGCATCGAGCAAAACTTCTATGAACTGTCAGAGTCAATGTATACCAATGGAGTCGCTGTGGCACCTACTCTTGGATGGGTCAATCCAATTGCGGGGACTGAAGGGGCTGTCTGACAGCGGGTTTTGGGGTCGCTCCCATGGCACTCGCATTGCGAGTTGACGAGGGTTCAGGCTTATAAAGCGACCCGGGCTCATGCTTAAATGGCCCGGGGGCTGAAGAAGCTACAAGACACCACACATGAGTCGGCATTCTCAGAAGACTTGCAATAGACAGGGGATGGACTCACCTTCAAAGTGCCCTTAGGCTCGGGTGTCACACTCATGCCCTCAGACAGAGTCATCTTGTCCTTCATGTCGGTCACTAGCTTTGCCATGGCCTGCTGGTGCGTGGAAGGTTCACAGACTTCATGAGATGGGACGAAACCAGACCTATCAGAAGTTAGCCAGATTTCTCACTGAGATGGCAAAATTATGGAGAGAACCACTTACGATTTTGCCCATGGCATGGCGACCTGCTGGTACCCATCCACTGCCTCGATCATAGGCCTATAGGGAATCATCGCCGTCCACGGATTGGCCTGGGCCTGGTCGTCCGCGCTGTGAGCAGACATGCTGACGATCACGCTAGATCTAGTACAGTAACAGAAGTTGGGGAACTGAGAAGGTGTACTGAGAAGGTGTACTGGGAAGGTGTACTGGGAAGGTGTACTGAGAAGGTGTACTGAGAAGGTGTACTGAGAAGGTGTACTGAGAAGGTGTACTGAGAAGGTGTGAAAGAGCAATGGTAAAAGAGCAGTGGAAGGGGGAAGAAGTACAAGAGAGAAGTGGAAGAGAAAAGTGGGAGAAGCGAAGTATGTAGAAATAGAAGCGAGAAGTGCGAGAAGCACTCCAGGGCTAAGGGTAAACTGCATCTCATGCCCTCGTCTACTGTCATTTGTTGCCCTCTACCCTCTACCCTCTGCCCTCTCATCTTGAACTTGTGACCTGCTGCTCTGGATGAACATTAGAGCCGCACGCCCACACCTTGGGTGTTCTTAGGCTCTAGGATATTAATTTACATATTGCGGGCTGCCATTAACTCCCGTCTTATATTCTCTTTACTTCAACCTCATATATCCCATCGAGGTAGTAGCAGTATAGTACCTACGGTAATAGGCCCAAAACTGTATGTTTGAAGAAGACACGCCGCTCTTCTTGTCACCCACGCCCTCGTCTACCCCCCGCCAACCTGTAGATAGTCTCGAAAGTCAACTTAAGCCATCAATATAGGTATACAATATGGTTTCCACTCCATCCAAAGCCCGAGTCCAGTCGCAAACATGTACTGTTTGTTGAAGGCCACGTGAGAAGATCATGGAAGCCCTAGGTTTGACGGCCCGTATGCCCACGAGCCTTCCACGGACCACGTCGAGCACTCGGGGGAGCACCAAGGAGTGACATAGTTATCCTCACGCTGCATTGTCCAACTGCAACGACATTCTTGATATGATTCAGAAACTTCCCACTGACGTTGGTAGATCCCTCGGACCCTCCGCGGGATAGACTTCAGGTGGAGATCCCTGATTCATCATTCGACTTTCGTTATTGAGATTGAAGAATACGAACCGCGTCTCAGACCACCTTCTTCGCTGGTACTTCAGACAGGAAACATTAGGGGTGCTGGAGAGCCTTCGTTTGAACGCGATTGCCCACCAGGATCCGATATGTTGAAGGAAATCCTGGAGGAGCCTTTTCCAGCTGAACGGTTCGAAATGGAGCTTTCGTCCAGACTGCGGGGGTGGGAAAGTCCTCAAGACTTCGTTCGGTGACGTGGTACCAGTAGGCGGGGCGGTTAAGATGGAAGCGGAGGGACGAGGATGGAGTGGCTTTTCTAGGTATCCTGTTACTGTTTTTCTATTGTTTTTCTGTCTCTCCAGGTATCTACATAATGACAGCGGCAAGAACGTCAAGTCAAGATATCCTTTATTGGCTACGCGGAAAGACGTTATTTCGATAAATGTTCCCATATTTTCACTCCCGACACCTTTCTTGATGCCGACGTTGATTCGTTCATCATCACTAAACCTTCAAATGTCTAGAACACCATACCCTTGACCTGAGCAACCTTCTTCAGGTTGATATCCTTGATCAAGAGGGTCCATAAGATCGCCAAACCCATCACACCCAGTCCAGCAGCAAGCATTCTAACCTGTGTATAACCATATGCTTCCTGGATACCCAATCTCATCGCAGTGCCGGGGGCGTACTTCAGTTGCTCCGGGACACCTCCATAAATATCCTCAAGATTAGACAGGTCCGGCAGATACCTGATAAGGGCCTTCTTGTATGTGTTGTTCCAAATTGCCGTGGAGATAGTCAGACCCGCCGAATCTCCAATGGTACCGACCACGTTGAGCAGGGCCAGGGCCGTGGCAACGTGCTGGTGGTCGACGGCAGCGAGAATGGACAGCTGCTGGACGAGGATGAAGATCGATCCGCCGATTGAGATGAAGATCTGACACATCACTTGATAGCCTACACTCTGGCCTGGGCGACGGAAGTAGATCATCAGACCCTGGGCGAAGATGTATAGCGGGACGGAAATGTATAGCAGCCACTTGAAGCGACCGGTTTTTCGGATGGCAAATCCAACGAAGAACAACAGTACGCCGGAGACCACGTCGAATGTGTTGACGACATACCCGGATTCGGCGATGGTGAGTTCATTGACCACTTGGAGGAAGTTTTGGAAGAAGTTGCTCCAGCAGTAGTTGGAAAGCTGGTATGTTGCATCCAGGAGGCAGGCACCGACCACTGTTCGGTTGGTGAGGAAGGAGTAGGGGAGGAGAGGGGTAGGAGCGATGTATTTCTCGTAAAGGGCGAAGAAGAAGAGCATCGAGAATCCGACCACAATCATAGCGATGATATAATCTGTGCCCCAGCCGTTGGGAGCTTCGGCGGCAATGTCAAATGGTAGCTCGAACAGGACAAGTCCTGCAGTAAAGATGAAGACTCCGATCACTTTATTTTAGGTTAGTATCTGGAATTTCGAGGGTCATTCTCGGTTTCGTATCACTTACAATCGAACTCAAGAGTCCAAAACCAGATACTCTGGAAGAGATTTCGACCACTTTTCTCTCTAATCACCACAGTATTTCCCTTCTTGGCCTTTCTCAGGTTATATTTGAGGATGAAAAACAACGGGGCAGCCACACACGGGAAGATGATGGCGAAAGTACCATAGGCCCATCGCCAGCCTGTGTGGTCGTAGAACAGATTAGCCACCTTTGGTCCAGCAAAGGCAGTAATGATATAAGGAGAAGATGTGAAGGCGTATGCCAGCGCTCGGTTCTTCAATTGGGACAAATCGGCGGTGATAACATCCACAGCGAATTGCATTCCTCCAAAGCCAACATAATAGAACACCTGAGTTTTTTCGGTTAGCATCTGCTCCGCTAGTATATCAACACAATGTCTTACATTTGCTGCGCAATAAACGGGGAAACTGTCGCAAGACGCCATCAGAATGAGGCCGATCGTAGAGCAAACCGACATGACGAGGAATCCCTCGGCACGACCCCAGGTGTCCATCATCTTTGCCACTGGGAGGAAGAGAGCAGCGGAGCAAGCATCGGCGATAGCGGTAGGAAGACCAGATAAGGAGTGTTGCTGAAACGAGCTAGCGACATAAGTGCTTAAACTACCATCGATGGATGAAATCCAGGCATAGACGAAGTAGAGGAACCACATACTATAGAAAAGGTTAGGGAGAGTCTGAGGGATGCAGGCAATTGACTTACTTGATAAAAGTGAAGATCAGAGCAACCTTTGACCAGGTCTGAGCCACAGCCTCGACTTCCTGGACACCGTGCTGCAGCTCTTCAAAGGGCACACCAGGCAATTCCGCGCCATTGTTCGGCAATGCCTCATCGGCATGACGAGCCGGTCGCTCTGACTTTTCCGGCCCTACATTCTGCCTGTCCACCTCGTCCGAGTAACTCGCAGCCTCATCTTGGTCGATCTTGATCCGATGAAAGACCGACCGGGCCCTTTGGAGCAAGGGACGAACATTCATCACTATCGAATGAAGCTCAAAATTTCATGGGATTCAACCAGGTAGAACTTTGGTCTTTGCAAAGGTGGAATTATTTCGCAGTGGGAACCTTGGAAGGAATTGCACTGATATATGAACTGCCAGACCGGCGAATTCCTCAAATAGCGCAGTCGGCACAAGCGAATGGGCCTCAAGAAACCACTAGAGAAAGGTCGGGTTTTGGTCGCTCATCTGTGGAGCATGACGGCCATTCTTTCCGTGTTTTTATCAATCAGGATAATGTAGCCCAACCATGTGTCGAGCTGATGTGGGCCATCGGTCCACTGGGAGCCGAAACAGGCAGGGTCAACTGGTGAGAAGATCTAATCAGATCATCGGTGGAAGTGAGATCGGCCATTAGTTACCCTTTTCAGCTACCGTTGTCGGACTCGTCGGAATCGTCGCTTTGGAGACAAGCTTTCTCTGGTTGCTTGGGAAATTAAATATGGGTCCGTGGCGTCTGAGTTGTCTCACTTGGCAAAATGCGAGAAGATGTGGATAAAAGGGAAAGTTATCAGATTATCAGATTTGCCAAGCTTTGGGACTGGACCAGAACCAGCTTCCAATCCGGAGGTTATTGGTGTGCCTCACAAGAATGATGCTGGTCCCCATTATTCTTACCTCACTCAAAGGTTGTTCTGTCTTATTCCACTCCAGGGTGGGGTCATCGCTTTGTCATTCGATCTCCACTGGGAAAGACACTCTACTACAACAGTGTGTGCGTGATGCATGAGATAGTCGTTCCGAATCCCGATCGTTTTCGTACGTACATCTGGTGGGTATTCTAAGCGAGGAAATATCCATTCAGGTTGATCGAGACCGGAAATACCTCGGGGTGCTAATGTTCCATTTGTTTGTATACCTACACGGGCAATATTGTGGTGTTTGGAACGATAGGTATATTTCCACGTCATGTAGGTCCCTAGCCCGGTGCCCTTAGGTACCGCTAATAGAAGCTACCACCTTTTGAGTGTAACCGAGTGATAACTAGTTAACTAGGTATTCGCCTAAGTGCTTTATCTATGAACATACCAACGTACTGTGTACTCTACCTCCCAGGAAGCCTGCTACCAACAAGGCATTCTCCATCGAGACGATGACTGGCCGAAGTGCTTTGAAGATGCTGTGGCCTTCCAAACAGGCAAGCAGCTAGGTTCGTATGATGTTTGTGTTCGCCATGGTCAACGTGCCTCTAGACCCGACGATTGTGCGCCGGATCTGGGATCGGTTCAAGGAACAGATGAGCGACGATCTGCCACGTTTCCTGGCGCTCCGTGCTCCCAACCTCAGGCCTTCGCATGATATCTCGCACGAGGATCTTGCTCTGTACTACATCTGACAAGACCTAGCATACCACGAGAAGACCATGGCGGAATATGGCCTACAGGGACCAACCAGGGATTGGCATTTCCTTATTGGTCACCGTTTCCAGGAATTGCAGGAAGAGCTCTCCAACGATAGGAATCGCTCTCAGGCCGATTTCGACGAACTCCATGCGCAGATGGATCAGGGCCAGGCAAATGTCGTCGCCGAGGTGGTCGCGCAGATCGAGATTGGGTCCGACCGATGCGCGGTACTTCTTGCATGGTCCAGGTGGGACTGGTACGTATTCTTATCGCTTATGTGCTATACTCGCTCATCCATGTATTATAGGCAAGACTCTCCTGTACCGCGCGCTTTCTGCGTACTACCGAGCCAAGGGGGAGACTGTCCTCCGCGTAGCATCTACCGGACTGGCTTCTCTGCTACTTCCTGGAGGTCGTACGGCCCATAAGCGCTTCCGTGTCCCGTTCGTCTGCCATGGCCAATATCCCCCCTCCCGGTCATCCACACGACCGATCACCCGCGTCTGACGCACAGTGGGTATCTCACCATTCACATTCCAGCGCTTCCTCCAGCAAGATGGCAGGTGCAGGAAGATGATCAGCTGATCCTCGGCTGCGAAGTCAAGCTTCAATAAACGTGCCAAACTTATATCACCGTCAAATGACAGGCTAAGTTCAGTCCGGGACCTCTGCGCGTTATTCAGCCAGAATGCGCAGACGAAGGAATACAATATACTCCTTATTCTCGGAGGCAGCCCCCCCCCCCTCCGGGCAGTGAAGAAGACTATTTTAGAGGTCCGGGCTGTCCTCTTTGCAGTCCTCTTTGCAGTCCTCTTCACTAGGCCAGGGCCCAGGTGCCTGCCTCCGATAGATAAGGAGTATTGTACTCCTTGGTCTGAGCATTCTGGCTGAATAACGCATCCTGTCATTTATGATTCGACGGCGATATGAGTTTGCCACGTGCAACTTGCCATTCTATGTAGTGTTGGATGTCAGAACTCAGACGAGAAGGAGAATAAGGTACCAGACAACGAAAAATCGGATGAGGTAGGTAGAGGGGTAGATAAAGGTAGCATTCATCTCCTGGGCGGAAACGGAGAAGGCGGGGGTTAGGCGGGGGAGCCGATTAATCTGCCCCCCTCCCACCTCCCGTGACAAATTGAAATGACAAGCTTATTCGATACAACAGTACGGAGTACAACTACACAGTTCACATTCTCACCAATTCGAGAAAAATGGCAAATACTGACAAAGAATGGGAATTGGAGGAGGGTATCCCTCAGTTCGAGGATCCTTTCATCCAACAATATTTAAAAGGGCGCGATGCTTTGATTGTCGAAGAGCATAAGCGACGTCATGGTAGTTCCCAGAATCAAACCCAGAAAACCTCAAAACTGATCATCGTTAGATGCAAATCTTCGGCAATCTCTGTCACCCATAGCCGCCCGGGCGGCGAAGATTGTATCGCAGGTCAGAGCCCAGGAACAACGAGAGCTGTGGACGGCTGGATTGGATGAGGCCACCGCCCACCAGGCCGATGAGATTCTTTACCCCGGTGTCATGTTCAACTTGGCCAAGGGCCGCATGGAGAAGACTAAACTATGGAAAATTGTGGAAAAGATGCCCAAGGGGTCTCTCCTGCACGCCCATATGGATGCCATGTTTGACATCGAATTCCTGATTGACCAGGCATTCTCCACGCCAGGAATACACATGTTGGCGCCGAAGCCCTTGATCACAGAAAAGGATTACGAAGAAGCGCCCGTGTTTTTCCACTACTCCTCGCAGCCTCTGGAAGCATCAGAGAATAAGCCGGGGATTTGGTCGGAGACATACGAGGCCGACTCACTAATCTCCATCCAGAAGGCTGCCTCTACCTTCCCCAAGGGAGGGGAGAAGGGCTTCCGGGAATGGCTGACCTCCCGATGTGTCCTTGTGCCAGAACATTCATATCATCATCACCACGGAGTGGACGCCATTTGGTCTATCTTTACGAGGTGTTTTCCCATCGTCGACTCTATCTTGATGTACGAGCCTATCTTCCGAGCCTGTTTCCGTCGTTTGCTAGGACAACTTGCTGCGGATGGGATTCGATATGTAGAGTTCCGCATCGCATTTGTCTTCCAGTTCCGGAGAGAAGGGAACGACAAACCCGATGAGGATTACCTCGGGTGGTGCCGAGTGGTGGAGGAGGTGGTGGCGGAGTTCAAAGAAACCGAAGAGGGGCATGGCTTCTATGATGCTCGTATTATCTGGACTACGCTGCGCCGCTTTTCCAATGATGGGATTGTTCAAAGCATGAAGCAGTGCATCGAAACGAAGCAGGAGTTCCCCAACCTGATCAGTGGGTTCGACCTGGTCGGGCAAGAGGATTTGGGACGACCTCTCGTCGACCTTGTTCCACTGCTATTCTGGTTCCGAAAGCAGTGTGCGGAAGAAGATGTCGACATTCCGTTCTTCTTCCACGCGGGAGAATGTCTCGGTGATGGCGACGAAACAGACCACAACCTCTTCGATGCTATCCTTCTTGGCACCCGACGAATCGGCCATGGATTCTCGCTTTACAAGCATCCTCTGCTCATTGACTTAGTCAAAGAAAAGAAGATCCTCATCGAATGCTGTCCAATTTCAAACGAGGTTCTCCGCCTTGCTAGCTCCATCAAGTCTCATCCTCTACCCGCACTATTGTCCCGAGGTGTCCCTGTTTCGCTGTGCAACGACGACCCGGCGCTTCTGGGTCACGGGCGGAATGGATTGACGCACGATTTTTGGCAGGCATTACAGGGGCTGCAAAATGTGGACTTGGTTGGCCTATCGATGATGGCCCAGAACTCCATTCGGTGGAGCTGCTATGAAGATCAATCGACCGCCGAGTGGAAAGCTGGCATTCAGAACGGAGTGATGGGGACGGGACTCAAGTCTGAGCGGCTGCGCGATTTCGGATCAGATTTCGAGAAGTTCTGCGAGTGGATTGTATTGGAGTTTGCCGAGTTTGACGCCGATGAGGACTGAGGCTCCGTCATGTTGATCACGCGTGACGCGATACCTGTCATATACTGCGTAGTAGCCTAGGGCAAACGTGAACAGGAGAATTAGTCGATCAATATCCAACAAACATAGCCCTAGAATTGTGCAGTAACGTGAAATGCGCGATAAGAAAATTATTGGTCAATCCGACGTGATCAGAAAGGGTCAATGATCGGTGAGTTGGACCTTGGCATCTCGCCGCCTGACTCGCACTTATCGCCTTTATCAGGTGCCCGGAACGTCATTGTTTAACTTCCAACACCCCCCTGCACCACTTCTCATCTACTCCCCTTTGCCGGGGCTGGATTTCCAGAACTTTTTCAAGCCATTTTCGATGCGACGTGCCTACCTATAACGGGCCTTTCCCCGGCTCTCAGTCACGATGGCGTCGTACTTCATGCCGTCATTCTTCCAGAAGCGGCTACTCAAATACGCCTTATCGCACCTGGGTCTGGTCGACACAGAGGCACTGGATCTAGACAATCTAGGCATCCGCTGGGGCCAACGGAGTACGATCGAGTTGAAAGATATTGGCCTCAAATTAGATGTGAGTGGAAAGCGGTGGACTGATCTCCCCCGCGGGCAGCGGGGCGGTGTTTGGTGGTCATCAAACGCGAAATGTGGAGCAACATAGTCTGACAGTTTTTTTATGGCGAAATAGAAATTATCAACGATTCTAGATCTACCTCCCTCCTGCGAGCTGCTCAGCGCCCGAGTGCAGCTTCTTCGACTTACCCTTCCGGCCGATTTGCATAGTAGTGGGATTCTCTGCGAGGCAAACGGCATCGAGATACACATTCGGTTATTGTCCGAGGAATCAAATAAGACGAAATCCGGGAGACGACATGACAACTATTCGGCCGTGCCCACACCATCTGGTCTGGCGGAGTCATTCCTTGAGTCTGAGCCTAAGAAAGAAAGGGAAGAGCTACAAGCCGCCATATCGTCACAGTCCCAGGTCCTGCCCCGTGACCCGTTAACATGGGAAGCCGATGACGATGAAGAGCTTGGCCTCGGGAGCGATACATTATCATTGCCGAGCTTTGTCGCCGGGTTTCTGAAGGGCGTTGTGGATCGACTCCAGCTCAAGGTCAAAGATGTGGCTGTACGGGTGGACATGGAGTTGAAGCAGGATGGACCATCAAAACGACAGCCTGAACATAAGCCGGATCTTGTCGCAGCCCTGTTGGGCGTCGGGCAAATTGATGTATACGGGGTATCTGAGAGACCCGCTGACTCGGAGGGTCTTCTTTTTCGGGAAGGAAAACGGCTGATTTCAGTTGCGGACATCGCCGTCAGCTTGATTTCGGACCCAACGGTCTTCTCAAACTACTCTCGATTTGCACCTCCTGCGTCCCCGACGACCACGCGGTCTCGAGGAAGCCAACCGTCGAGCAGAGCGCCATCTCCCTCTCTGCTGGATGGCTCGGAACCAAGGGATCTAGAACCCCTCGCGATGACCCAATCGACCATACTGGAACCACGGCAAGCCTTCGGCGAGTCAAGCGTCGTATCGCATAACTTGGAGGCGTCTGCAATTACCCATGATGGCCGGTTTTCGGACGCAGACTCCGAGTCAGGGAGTCAACGTGATGGATATTTGGAAGACTCGCAGATATTTGGAGACGACCCATTCCAGGATAACCCGGGATACCTGGATTCGGTGATTGACGCACAACTCGATGATTCTGACCAAGAGCACTCACCGATAATGCACCCCCAAGACCGACTGGCAGAAGTTGAATGGAGGAGCCGCTCGTCTTCTGGCCCGGAAAGTTTATACCAGAGCCAAGACGCATACCCCGACGAGCCCTCATTCCTCCCTGACAGCTACCAAAATCCCCATGGTTACGATACCCACCAGAGCCAGCTTGGCCATGAAACTGACGAGATTACGCAACCTACCCCTTACGATAATCACGACGCAAATGAACATAACGAACGTGTACGCTTAAGCGGGCCGTCTCATCCTTCCAGTAAATCTCCTGCCCCCTCAGAACCCGACCGCACAGACGCCCGTGAAGAAGCCTCAAATGCCGATCTCAACGAGTCCAAGTTCTTCTCTCATGATGAAGCCCAGAGTCTTTACATGAGTGCAATCAGCCAAGAACCGAATGCGAGCTTCATGCCGAACATGCCAGGAGCATGGGGCTCGTTCGAAGGTGCATCAAAGTCACATAGCGCTTCTGATGATCGCTCAACGCAGATCGCTGTTGACCTAGCACATTCTGCACAGGTTGAAGATGAAGTGCCCCAGATGACCACAGCTTTGTCCGAAGAGGACCATGCCGGACAGCATGACATGGACAGCCAGGCCTTGTCACAGTCAATACACAATGACATACCCTCGATTCCATCTCTTCGTCTTCAAGGGATCGATGAGATGAGAAAGTCAGTTTTGACTGTTGACAAGATGTTGCTGTGGATCTCGTTCCCGACGTCTGAAGAAGCATCAGATGACCCAGCACCTACGATACCACAAAAGGAGAAGGTGGATAGTGATATCAAAGGATGCACCATCAGCTTCGGAGATTCCGCGCCCGAAGAAAGCCTTCTCGCCTCTAGGGCATATAGGTCTACCCGATTCGGAAGAGGTGTTGAGCCACAGACCCACCCGAGCGCGGGTAGTGAACTACCTGAACTGGCTACGGAGCTGTTCTCCATCTCCGTGCATTTTGATATTGCAACTGGTTGGCTTCTCACCAAGATAGGGCAAAAGCTTCTGCATGCTTTTGATGCGGCTGAAAAAGATCCGTCTGAGAAGCAGTCGCGAAGGGAACATCCCGAGCGCAAGCCACCTGTTCATCTTGTCATCCATGCGGTTTCAATCAAGTTCGTTGAACGTGTGCTGGGTGACGTTCATTCGTCTGAAAATAGCGCCTCCCCTTCGTCGCCTCACCGCGTGGAAGATGTGATTGTTCGTTTGTCTTTGTCTGATATGGATGTTCGCCTCTCAACCCAAGATATGATCACCAGGCTAAACCTTGACGTGTCCAAGTTTGGGTTTGGGTTTGCCTCGGAAGACATTATCTTCTTTGACGAGACGTTGAAGATGCGTGAATCTACACGTGATGTCTTGTCACCTTCGCAAGGAGACATTTCTATCTCACTAGTCAAGTCGGCGGACTCGGCCAAGGTTGAAATCTCTACGTTGCCCTTGCACATAAATCTCAATATCCAGCGCCTCGAAGAGGTTCTAGGCTGGATGGGTGGCCTGAGTACCATTCTCGAACTTGGAAGTTCCATATCGTCGGTCTCAACAGTGAAAGGCAGCTCGTCTCCTTCCAAGCAGCGCCCTCGTGGTGTGCACTTTGAGACACCCGCCCCAATTGTGCAGGCATCTGAAAGCACGTCAACGCCCTGGAAACTTAACGCTCGATTGAGTGCTATCTTGTTGGATGTTACCGGGGAGACTCATTGTCTTCAGTTAACGACGACGGCCGTCAAGATTGTGAGTCGGTTTGAAGGGATAGGTGTCCAAATAGACAAGGCGAAGCTCATGGGACCTATTTCTCTTGATGACCGCCCAGTCGATCCTCCCGCAAAAATTACACTGGGCAACATTCGCCTTGAGTTCTTTTTTGCCCCTAAGGAGGTTGATCTGGATCGGCTTTTGACGTTGATTACTCCATCTCAAGACAAATTCGAAGAGGAAGATGATATCATGCTAGACACATTATTGCGACAGCGGCGACAAGGGTCCGTTCTTCGTGTGACAATCGGACGCTTGGAAACGCTCATCTCAGATACCGGTGGATTAGAGCCTCTCTCGTCCCTTGGTGTCGAGCTGAGTCGACTTTCCAACGTCACGAAGTACTTGCCGGAAGATGATCGCCCTGGTATTCTTACACTGATGCTGATTCGTGAATTCCAAGGCCATGTCCACGTGGGTGGAGAAGTTGGTGGCATCAAAAGTGATCTTACCGACGTTGAAGTGGCACATATCACCATGCCTTCACTTACTGCAGCCCAAATCGGGACCATCAATGTCAATCGGAACGACGAAGAGACTCTGCTGAAACAAGCCCTGTGGCCTCCAAACAAATACGAAGATCCAGACGAGTCCCATCCGCCGGTTCTCATGGCTCGTTTCATTCCTGATGAGATGGATCCGACCTACAAGGTCAAACTGCACAACCTCCTCGTTGAGTACACAGTGCCCTCAGTAACGGCATTTTTGGGACTTGGTGGTGACAAGATGGGCGGAGAATTGGCCAGTAGCATGGTTAATTCGATTGCCAATCTGGCAGAGCACTCGATGCCGTCTCCTGTATTGTCAGGTTCACCAAGGTTGAATTCATCAAGCTCATCGACTAAGCCGATGAAATTGGCAGTTGGGTTTAAAGATTGTGTGCTTGGTCTAAACCCCCGGAATTCTCCCGCCAAAGGCCTTGCAGTCCTCACCAATGCCAAATTCACAGGTAGCATGCAGGGAGATGAATCGGCCCAGGCGTCCTTGGATCTCAAGAAAGCTTCGCTCATGATCATCGACAATGTTTGGCATGAGGGTGTTGATAATCTGCACCAACGCAGCTCAACTGTCCCTCAGGTCACCCAGACTCAGGCATATATCGACAAAGGTTACGTTCCTGTGTCTACTATCTCGTCAGCGACCGCTGGTGTCGAGCTGATCAGTGCCGAGGATGGAACCAAGTCTCTGGACGTTCAGCTGAGGGATGAACTGTTGATTCTTGAAACCTGCGCCGATTCCACGCAGACACTCATCAGCATCCTGAATGGACTTCAACCTCCGACTCCGCCGAGCGTCAAGGTCAAATATCGAACAGAGATCATGCCCATCCAAGACATGTTTGCCTCCTTTACTGGGGATGCTTTTGCGGCTGATCCTACGCTTCCCACTCTTCCCATTGATGATGCGTTGGCATCTATCTCTGAAGAACCCTCCAGGGAAAATCAGCTGATCGACGAGCTCGACTATGTCAGTGACTTCTACCCCGCGAAAAGCAATTCCGGTGGTGCTGAAGGCCTAGGAGCGGGCCCCAACGGCCTTCCGGACAGCTTCCATTCCCAACACGAAGTGTCTAGTTCGACGGAATTGGACTTCCAGGAAGACCACTTTGCAAAGAAATCACCAGTAGCTGGAACTGCACACAGGTGGGATTCTACTCAGAACACCTACGGTCTTACCGATGACACAAAGCTCGAACACAGTCCGTTGCGTGTGTGCGTACGCGACGTGCATTTTATCTGGAATCTCTTTGATGGATATGACTGGCAGCGCACCCGTGACACGATCTCCAAGGCTGTGAAGGAGGTGGAGACTAAAGCCACAGAACGACGTGCCAGGGGCTCACGGATGTCACCATCAGCGGATGACGAAGAGGAGTCTGTCATTGGCGATTTCCTTTTCAACTCCATCTATATCGGTATTCCAGCGAACAAGGATCCACGGGAACTCCATCGCGAGATCAACCACGACATTGATGACCTCACCAGCGAGACTGGGAGCTATGCGACGTCTACCACTGTGACTGGGGCTGGCAGTCGCCAGGGCCGCCCGACCTCCAAGCGAGAAAAGAAATTGCGGCTTCACCGGAGTAAGCATCACAAGATGACCTTTGAGTTGAAGGGAGTCTCGGCCGACTTGATTGTCTTCCCGCCAGGTTCAGGAGAGACGCAGAGCTCGTTGGATGTACGGGTCAAAGATCTCGAGATTTATGATCATGTTCCGACATCTACGTGGAAGAAGTTTGCGACCTACATGCGTGAGGCTGGCGAGAAAGAGAGCGGAACAAGCATGGTCCACCTGGAGATTCTAACTGTCAAGCCGGTGCCTGAGCTAGCTGCGTCGGAAATTGTACTCAAGGTTAGTTACCCATTCGTCTACTGTTCCGATCTCTATTTCTAACATGTACTGCTAGGCTACCGTTCTACCTCTGCGGCTGCACGTTGATCAAGATGCCCTCGACTTCATGAGTCGATTCTTCGAGTTCAGAGACGAGACAGCAGACCCGTCCGGTGTCCCCGGCGACGTCCCATTCCTACAGCGAGTGGAGATCAACGCTGTGCAGGTCAAACTAGATTTCAAGCCCAAGCGGGTCGACTACGCTGGCCTTCGGTCCGGCCGCACGACCGAGTTCATGAACTTCTTCGTCCTTGACGGCGCCGACATGGTACTACGGCATGTGATCATTTACGGTGTCTCCGGCTTCGACCGATTAGGCCAAACCCTCAACGACATCTGGATGCCAGACGTGAAAAAGAACCAACTGCCGGGCGTGCTCGCCGGTCTAGCACCGATCCGCTCGCTGGTCAACGTCGGCGGCGGCGTGCGCGACCTAATCGTTGTCCCCATGCGGGAATACAAGAAGGACGGCCGAATCGTGCGCAGCATCCAAAAGGGCGCCCTTGCATTTGCCAAGACGACCTCCAACGAGTTGGTCAAGCTCGGAGCCAAACTCGCCATTGGCACGCAGACCGTCCTGCAGGGCGCCGAGGACCTGCTCACCTCGCCCAATGCGGCGACCTTGGACGACGACTCCCTCGACGAAGATGAAGCCAAGAAGATCTCCCTTTACGCCGATCAGCCGGTTGGGGTGGTACAGGGACTGCGGGGAGCATTCAGCGGCCTCGAGCGTGACCTTCTTTTAGCCCGTGACGCGATCGTCGCGGTACCTGGCGAAGTGGTCGAGAGTGGAAGTGCCAAGGCCGCCGCAAAGGCAGTGTGGAAGCGTGCGCCGACCGTGATTCTTCGACCCGCCATCGGGGTGTCCAAGGCCGTGGGACAGACTCTGCTTGGTGCGGGAAATACTCTTGATCCGAGTAATCGGCGCAAGATGGAAGATGTAAGTGGTTCCCATTTTGGGGTTGTATGTGGCTGTGGCTGACTTGAATTTTAGAAGTACAAACGGTACTGAGGGTGAAGCGCACGAGGTGTGGTCTCGGTTGGAGCGGCTGTTTCATTTTTTCTTTGTTTTCGTCCCTTGTATCCTCCGTACATATGCAGCTATATCCCCTGATGCTTTCACGTCTAATCAGTTCTTGTTTCTTAGCGTCCTTCTGGCTAGTCCCAAATTGGTATAGTGCATAGGGTCATTTAGCCGGTGAACACGAGTCCCAGAAGTGCTGCCGGTGCACACTCACTCACCACTCCCTTCATCACTTATTGTTGAGACGGTCCTCAGGTTTACGTTTCTGCTTGCTCTTTCCCACAACGCCCGGCGTTTTCTGTTTTTCCTTCTTCACCTGTCTGTAGAGTGTAGAATACACAGATTCCTTTCTTTCTGCAAGAGACAATTGTTTTTATCTTCCAAAGAGCCTCAAATTGCGCCAGTCCTTGCTCGAACACTAATCATTGACCTCCGGACAAGCAATCTTTTCCGCCAACGGTAGTGGTTGATCTTTGGCGCCTGTTTATGATTCCAAATTGTCTCAAGATCCAACATGTTCTGGTTTAGTCGATTCCCGAATCAGCAGTGCGCAGCAGGCCCCGAGTCAGCTAGTTCCAGTCCGGTTAGGCCGGAGTCAGCGGACTAAAGGCGAAGAGGCATTTACAGCAGATAAAGCAATCCAGCGTGCGTTTTCGACGTCCAATCTTCCCAGTCCAACACGACCCCATTCACATTGGAACGTTTTCAATTGATCTCTCATTATTATCTCGCCCGACATGTCGATGGTCTCCCGAGTTCCCTTTCAGCTATCCGGTCGGTACGCCGAGCGCAACCGGTGGGAAAACTTGAATGGCCCGGTTGACTCGCGTGTTACTGGAAGTCAGATCGTCGAAGACGAAGGACTAGCTGATCAATGGTCTGACAAGGTTGTGCTGATTACCGGTGTTTCCTCTGGAATCGGTGTCGAGACTGTGCGTGTTTTGGCCTCTACTGGGGCTACCATCTTTGGTACAGCCAGGAACCTCGACAAAGCAAAGGAAGCTTTGGGTGGTTCCTTGCTCGATTCTGGGCGTGTAAAGCTTTTATTTATGGACCAGACCGATTTCTCGAGCGTCCGGGCTTGCGCCGCGGAATTCTTGAAGCAGACCTCTAAGCTTAACATCCTTATCAACAACGCGGCTGTGAGTCCACTAAGGTTAATGTGGCTTCTAGACTTTGAGTGTTTTAGAGTCGCTGTCTTACTCTCTTATATAGGTGATGAACACTCCGGAGGGTCGAACTAACGATGGCTTTGAACTTCAATTTGGGACGAATCACCTATCGCATTTCTTGCTCTTCTACCTACTCAAGGACATCCTACTAGAAACGGCACGCTCATCGCCTGGCTTCCATTCCCGTATCGTCAGCGTTTCCTCCGCGGCCCATCGCTACAGCCCTATTCCCCTTGGCAATGTCAATTTTGAGGGGAATTACAACGGCTGGCTAGCGTACGGATCTAGCAAGACAGCCAATATCTATATGACGAACCAGATCGAACGCTTATACGGAGCGCAAGGTCTTCATGGTTTCAGTGTTCATCCCGGGGCCTTCATGAGTCCCAATCTCCAGAAACACTCCCAGGAGGAGATGAAGGCAGTGTTGAAGGACAAACGCGCTCTTGCGTACTTGTCAAGTCTTGGCCAGGCCTGTGCAACCACGGTCTATGGTGCCGTGTCCAGTGAACTGGAAGGGAAAGGCGGTTTTTACTTAGAAGGTGCATCGGTGGCTGTCCATCCGACACCTTCGGATGGAGATGCACTTGAATACGGATTTGGCAGCTGGGCATTTGACGACGCAAAGGAAAAGGAACTGTGGGGGCTGAGCAAGTCCTGGGTTGGCGTTGAGTAGGGGTTGTCTGGTCTTAACTGGATGGCAATTGCCCGGGACCTTGGACGCGGCGCTATATCAGTCAAACTCGACTATTGGGAGCCCCTTCAAGTTACTGACTACCTTCTCCTTACACTCCGACAGTGAATATTCCTGCCGTTGAGTCGAAGAGCTTTACATATAGGCCCGATAGTTTGTTTACTGGATCTCTATGTTTCACGCGATGATAATATGAATTGACTATTGAAGAAAAATCGCTGGCAACTTGGAGTATTAGGGGAAGAAAAGCAAAAAGAAAAAGAGAAAAACGCAGAAGGCAGAAGGCAGAAGGCCAACACATAAAGAGGAACAACATGAGATAAAAGGAACCACATGAAAACATGAGCATAACCCAAGTCCAGCATATCCGAAGTTTTGCCGACAAGGGTCATTCCGATCTAAGTTGAATGAGATCGAAATAGGAAAGAGAGGTTGAGCTTCTCGGAGGCATGTGCCACTCATAGCAACAGCGACTGAGACTGTATCCTCACCATGGGTGAGTGTCTCTAGGAGGAAAAGAGTGCCTCCGCCCTTTCCTCCCTTCCTTCTTAGGATTAATTGGTGAGGAAGGTCAAACCCATTCCCTCATTCATGCTATTGTTTCCCTCGATCACCATCTCATCCGAAGTGTTCTCAATTGCCGGAACTCGGACTTTGTTTTCATCATTCTGGACACGGCGAGGGCAGTCGCGAGGAAGACGACGATCTCCATGACGTGGCTTTTGTCCAAAAACCAACTTGTACGGAGCAGTGTCCGGCATTATGAGTTCAAACTCGGTGTATTCGAAATCGCTCGCTTTGGCGACCCTGTTGTTGCCGTTCGTGGCCTTCTTGACCCGGCATCTGCGATCACCTACACACTCACAGGTTAGCAGGTTTCCATCATCGACTTGACGGTGATACATACGCGTTCTCAGAAATCTTTTGACATTCTCGTCAGAAAACCCGGGGTCGTCCCATGAAATTCCCAAGATGTTGCCTGGCAGCGGTTGTGGGTGGCTAGCTCGAGACGCTTTCAAGCCCTTGGCTGGAGTCCCTTTCGAACGCTTGGCTGGAGTCAACTGTAAGCAGCTGCCTGGCGTTACTTATAGTAGCGGCACATACCTTTTCTGGCCGCAAGCATAGCAGCAAGTTGCCTCTTGTGTGCATCGAGCAAAGCTTCTATGAACTGTCAGAGTCAATGTATACCAATGGAGTCGCTGTGGCACCTACTCTTGGATGGGTCAATCCAATTGCGGGGGCTAAAGGGGCTGTCGGTCAACGGGTTTTGGGGTCGCTCCCATGGCACTCGCATTGCGAGTTGACGAGGGTTCAGGCTTATGAAGCGACCCGGGCTCATGCTTAGATGGCCCGGGGGCTGAAGAAGCTAAAATACACCACACATGAGTCGGCATTCTCAGAAGATTTGCAATAGACAGGGGATGGACTCACCTTCAAAGTGCCCTTAGGCTCAGGTGCCACGCTCATGCCCTCGGACAGAGTCATCTTGTCCTTCATGTCGGTCACTAGCTTCGCCATGGCCTGCTGGTGCGTGGAAGGTTCACAGACTTCATGAGATGGGACGAAACCAGACCTATCAGAAGTTAGCCAGATTTCTCATTGAGATGGCAAAATTATGGAGAGAACCACTTACGATTTCGCCCATGGGATGGCGACCTGGTGGTACCCATCGACTGCCTGGGTCATAGGCCTGTAGGGAATCATAGCCGACCACGGATTGGCCTGGGCCTTATCGTCCGCGCTGTGAACAGACATGCTGACGATCACGCTAGATCTAGTACAGCAACAGAAGGTGGGAAGTGAGAAGGCGGGAAGTGAGAAGGTGGGATGTGGAAGGTGGGATGTGGGAAGTTAGGATGTGGGAAGTTAGGATGTGGGAAGTTAGGATGTGAGAAGTGAGAAATTGGGATGTGAGAAGTTGTAGAAAAGCAATGGATAGAAGAGCAGTGGAAGAGAAAAGAAGTGCAAGAGAGAAGTGGAAGAGAAAAGTGGGAGAAGCGAAGTATGTAGAAATAGAAGCGAGAGTGCGAGAAGCACTCCAGGGCTGAGGGTAAACTGCATCTCATGCCCTCGTCTACTGACATTTGCTGCCCTCTACCCTCTACCCTCTGCCCTCTCATCTTGAACTTGTGACCTGCTGCTCTGGATGAACATTAGAACCACACCTTGGAGGTTTCTAGGCTCTATGGTATTAATGCACATATTGCTGCCATCAACTTACATGTTCTCTTTACTTCAACCTCATATATCCCATCGAGGTATTAGCAGTATAGACATAGTACCTAATAGGCCCAAAACTGTATGTTTGAAGACGACACGCCGCTCTTCTTGTCACCCACACCCTCGTCTACATCCCCCCAATCTGTAGATGGGTCTCGAAAGCCAAGCCATCAATATATACAACAGTGGATGTCTTGCACTCCAAATCCCGAATTCAAGTCGCAACCATGTGTACTGACTATTGTCTGTTGCGGGCCACGTGAGAAGATCGAGCCCTAGGTTTGACAGCCAGTTTACCCACGAGCCTTCCACATCAGCACTCCCAGAAGCACCATGGAGTAACATAGTTATCCTCACGCTGCATTGTCCAGTTTCAACGACTTTCTTGATAGGTATGGTTGAGAAACTTCACACTGGCATTGGTAGATCCACGCATGAGATGATGAGACTGACGAATCGGCCATTCTTCGCGTTCTTGTCTTGTCTATGTACTGGGGGCGGGAGTACGTTCTGATCAAAATATAATATCACTTTGATGCTACTGTTACGTACTGTATCTTATTGCTAATTTGCTATAGATCGTAGATCGTAGATTGTATGTTGAGGTCTCGTCACCCTCCCCTGATGCAGAGCAACTTAGGGCACGGGTATCCACATGAGAGCGACATGCACTCAAGAACAAGGGTCTGGCAGGGATGCAAACGGTGACAGACGAATAGAATGGTTCAGATGCAGTCTATACTGTCTATTTGACTCAAAACTTAAAAGACCTCTGCGAAGATGGTGAAAGAGAACCCGATCGTCTACTTACCAAACATGGGAGAACCCCAATACCGCCCCTGTCTAACAGTAACAGCCCGAATGCGGCAAAAGTGCCGATCACGTGGCCATTTCGCCTCAACCTTATTCCGTGGTCGACTTGGTGAGTTGGTGATAAGCTCAGAACAGTCACGTGCATGATGGCCAGTACTATGTAGTAAACTAGTAATTGTTTTCCAAGGTTATCGATGTTATCATGATAGTACTCAGTTTGTTCAATTTTCCTTCAGAGCATATGTGCATTGTTATGGGGTTTATGATATCATGTCTTTGTTTTTTCCATTGCTTATCGGTTTCAAGTTTGATACCACATGACCCATGCACATTGGAATTGCTTTCGTCTCCCCATTTGCTTTGACATGAGAGTGATTTAGAGTAGTTTAATCCTGCAATGGCCTAAGGAATCCAGAGTCCTACTGTGTACATTCCTGAATATAATTGGAATATGTATAGGTGCAGTGGTCATCTGCCCAAGTCGATGCCCGACCAGACCACGCGGTCGCATGATTCATATACTTCACTACCAATAGCATTGGAATAAAATTACCTCGTCCCACCAATGTCGATCATCCTGCCTGGGGCAACAAGGCACCGACGTACAGAACAAATCATGCAAGTGGAAACGGCTAGGGGTGCAGTCGCATCATGGAAGCTGACTTGGAACAGATCACACTACCGCCGATCACTATTTGTGTACACAAAAAGTATCTGCAGTTGTGCCTTGTTCTGTTATCTGTTGCTTGTTCCTGTGCCTTGAATGAGAAATACGACTGTTCGACCATGGAACAAAACCGAAGGGATTTCGGCGACCCCGATGTACGCAGTAAAGGAGAGGGAATAGCCGAAGCTCGGAGGAGAGGAAGTCCACCTGTACTTGGGTCTTCCAGTGAACGAAGTCAGTGTATGAATCATTGTAGGTAATCGTGAGGCAGGAACCCCATTTTATTTCGTGCATAAGGGTTGACTCCATAGATCGACTTGTCTCCGTAGTTCGTACCTCCGTACAGTAGAAATCGTTGGGTATGATCCAGTCATGATGCTAGTGGAGAATGTTAGATATTTTTTGTCGGGAATTTCATGCCGATATTCGAGACAATTGTAGATAACCAATGATAAGAAGTAAAGCCACCACTGTCTGAAGATGTGTTTTGCCCTTTCAGCTCTGGACTTAGACATATGTCTGTTCTGCACGCCGACTGGTTCTAGGCTTGGTGGTGGGAGGCGGTGGATATGGAAGGGAAAGAGCAATGTGAGGGAGATGATTGGGTGGGAGAGAGCGGAAGGGGTGTGGGGGCACTGGGGGGTGGAAGGAAAAAGATAGTACACTAACCAGATCAGGGAAAGTGAAATGTCTTAAAAAGACTAAGAAAAGTCAAAAAAAACTAAAGAAAAGTCCCCAGATCTCTGAGGCTGAGATCCATCTGTAAGACTGCAAGTGATTGGTTTAACATCTTGGTTAGGGTGAAAATGTCAATCTTACTGGACAATCTATTGTCAGTGCCTGATTCTAAGATTCTTTAACACATCATCTACAAGTACTCCGTACACCAGTAAATACTCAGACCGACTTTTTCCCAGATGACGTCTATGAGTGAGGGATGAACCATGGGTCCTTTTTGAGGCAACAATTGTCAGCGGTCTAGTCCACTCTAAATTCTCTTTCCATTGCCAGTCACGATGCCTAGATTGAACTGATGGGCTGATTTCCTTTGAACTTTCTTATTGTTCCCCGGGTAGAACGTGGATAACGTGGGTACATGATCGGGATTCAGGCACATTCCCGTCCATCCCGGTTTTTCAACTTCCGACCTGGACGTTTATTTTATTTTATTTTAAATTATCCCACCCCCCGTACCTTGCATCTCTGATATTGTGAACTATCATTGCCATTGTTATATGCTCTCAAATCCTGCTATCCCTTGCTGGGCAAATTGGACTAGTCAAATCCAGTGTGGAGAAGTGGGTTTGATCTACTGCATCGGATATGTCGACAATCTAAAAAGTGGGCATCCCGCAAAAAGACAAGAAGCAGGACTTCCAGACGACATAAGGAAAAGAACTGGTGACGAAGCCAGTATAAATTCACAGTTGAGCTGCCGAGAAAATGAATCAAAATACATACTCCGCAGCCAACGACATCTGGCACAGCCAGCTGCTGGACAGCCCCCTCTGCCACAAGTGTCTCGAACTCCATGACCACCATGCATGCACGACTCCTCTTTCCAAGCCCCTTTCGGCAGACGCTATCTCCCTCCCCCCTCGATCTATCAGATCCGGCATTACAGGTGCCCTCTCTCTCCACGATTACCGCAAGTTTCTCTCCAAATCTGCGGACCGCGTCGGCGATCGTGCCGATCATGCAAGTAGGAAATTGAAGCGAAAGACCGCCGCGTTGCATTTGAACCGCCCGCCCGCTCTTTCCATTTCTTATCCGGTCTCTGTGTCGTCTGCGACCTCGAGTCCTCCGCCACTGTCTCCTTCCTACTCACAGAGTATCGTTTCCCAGCGGAGTGAAGAGCCTGAGATTGCGGAAGCCCAGCCTGGTGAGTTTCCCTTGTTTCAATTGGCTTTTTGAGTTTCGGGGGATTGTTCGCGAAGAATCTTCGCTGACAGTTCAATAGCGCATTCTCAATATAATCAGGACCCACGAGCAACCGTTGCGGATATAGGGCGTGGTAGAGTGAATAGGAAGCGTTTGGTAAGTCGACTGAAACATTTACAAAAGACACAAACTCACTGACAAAGAACCAGAATACTTTTCGTGAAAAGCTTCAGAAGAGAACCGAAGCGAAAGTAGAAGCAGATCGTGCTGCTAAACCGCCAGACACAGACTCAATGTTGGCCCATACGCAGGCCGTTGCCACCGTGTCACACGGTGGCGCCTGCTTCGAGATACTGAACCCGCGCAAGTCGCTGGATCTCGCACGCATCGTCTCATACATTGAAGACGTGGACAATTGCTCCATGGTCTCTGTAGACCACCGTGACTCGGCCTTTTCTCTCGAGCAAGGACTGGACCGGGTGTCCCTGTCCCAACTCACCGATGCCTCGTTGCCTTCATTCTACTCCACGAACTCACTGTACACATCTCTCCCCGCCGACCCACCAACACCGAAGGCCCAGTCAACAGATATCCCATCCTCCTCTCCGCGAATCCGCGAGCGTATCCGCTCGCTATCAGACTACTCTCTCACCGACCAAGCCTTCAATTACTGGAGCCGGCCTGTACAAAACGAGCCCACGATTCACGAACCCAACCACCAGCACTCCTTCAGCGAAAGAGACGCACCACATGCACACCTCACCTCCATCCGCGAGGAACCCAGACCCCCAGCTCTGGACCTCTCTCTCGACAACTCCCGCCCCTCAACACCCTCCACCCGAACCTTCTACTCGGACAGCGAGATTGGCGAGCCAGGCTCACCAGTCTACGCCAACGGCGACTGGGCCCAAGTCGACGACCGCGACAGAGGCATCTTCTACGAACAACCAGAATACGAGGACGAAGACATCACCCCTTCCGCCCAAGAATATACCCCCTACCCCCATAATCTCGACCAAGAACACCTTCAAAACCAACACCGCCACCAACAAATCCACAGAACTCAAACACCCGAAACAAATCCCGAACCCCCAACCCCCCGTGAAACACCCCTAGACACACCCCTCACATCCCCAATGCATTCACCAATGTACTCATCCTTCGACTCTGCATACCCATACCCATCAACACCCTCAACCTCCAAATTACCGCACTACCCTCCCTTGGATCCATACACCTATGATCCGGTGTACTTCGATCCGCATGTGCAATCTGTCCTTGCAGCTGCGAACGCGGAGACGATGGGATTGCGCGGGACACCCGCACGGGCACTTGAGGAGTTACAACGCGGTCGTGGTGATGCGCGGTTTGAGTTCCCGAGGGGAAAGAGTCATGAGAGGAAGTCTGTGCAGAGGAAGGGATTGAAGAAGTTTTTCAGTTGGAGATCTGGGAATTAGATTCTTTGGGGGAGGAATGGATGTGGTTCTGGGAATCACAGAAAGGAACGCGTTATGAAGACTGGACTTGGTGTTTGGTGTTGTATGTGATGGACGGGCTGGATACTGGACTTTTACCTCTTTTCTTTTATCTTGGGTTATTTCTCTTGCTTGTTCTTTTACATACCTTTGATTTCTCGCCTGTCTGAGACGGGTTGTATTATTATGAATTTTATCTGGATGTTTCCTTGCTGGTCACTTTGCATTGACGAATCTGTCATTGAAGACAGATGAATGAACGTTCATACGTGTAAGTAGGGATCGGGCCCATGTCACTACATTCCTACATCATTTATATGAGTGGCAATTTCTTTCAAAGTGGATATATTCTATAACCGGGTATCAATATAAAAGTATATACATGCATAATGCATACTACTCCTCAATGGCCATACTGGCCAAAGCCGCACTAACAAGACTCTTCCTCCTCAAGCCCAGTCCCTGCTCCCCCCTCTTCCCCCCGAAATGACTCTTCTCAACCCGACTCGACAACACAGCCCCAACAGAACTCTTCCGTCTGCCCCTCCCCTCGCCATTCCCATTCCCATGTCCCTCAGGCCCAAACCGACTCCTAGCAAGCGTCAACGCCCTCCGTCTCGGCGAAGCCCGCGGCGGCAAAGAGCTAGGATGACAATCATCCTCGTCGCGCGCGCACTCGAAATCAGCGGATTCATCCATTAGCGAGCGCTGCATGGCCTCGACTTCGAGCTGGTTGCATTGGAGCTGGGAGATCTGTTGGCGTTGGAGACGGATGTCTTGGTACTGGGAATGAGATTGTTTGGATTGGGGGTTGAAAGGGAGGCCGAGGCCCACACCGGCGTTTGCGTTTGCGTTCAGACTTAGTTCCGGGCAGTCGGAGAGGAGGTCTGGCGGTAGGAAGGTTGGACTGGTAGTTATTGAAGAGGCGGAGGGGGAGGAGAGACAGTCGACGCCCGAGTCGTCGGAGTGGTCTGTGTCTGGTGGGGTCAGGACGTAGCCTTGGTATCTGCGACGGGTGTGGGAATTGCTGTGGGGAGGGCCGGCTTGCTGGGGTCGGGTTTCGGTTGGCGAGGCGAGGGTGTGTTCGTGCAGTTTCTGGGTTAGGGTTGAGATGGAGAGGCGTTTGTGGTCTTCGTAGGGGAAGGGGACGGAGGTTGGCGGTTGGTTGCGGTGGAAGTGGGTTGAGCGGGGGCGGGGGATGTTGCGGAAGCGTTGGGATTGGGGGGAGGGACAGCGGGAGGAGAGCGGGGATATGAGGTTGCTGTCGGTGTCGACCATTAGGCGATCGTCGGCGTCGAGGGCGAGGCGAGATGGTCGCGAGGACGGTGAGGTGAAGGAGAAGTCTTCGAACATTTTGTTTGTGCTTGTGTACTTTGTGCAGATGTGGCTTTGTGTTCGGAGTATAGAGGCGATGTATGTATAAAGCGATCGACGTTTCTTTGAGGATTGGAGGAGTCGGAGGTTGGCGGGTTTGGAGTGGGGTGAGGATGTAATTGAATCACTGACACTTGGATGCAGTATATACGGGGAGAGTGCAGTGTTATATTCGAATGGATATAAAGTAGACGATGATTTGCCCCTCGGGAGGAAAAAAATTGACTGTCGACCACGGAATGAGGTTGAGGCGAAATGGCCACGTGATCGGCACTTTTGCCGCATTCGGGGTATTAGACAGGGGCGGTATTCGACTTTTGATATGTACTTTGATTAGTAGACGATCGAATTCTCTTTCACTATCTTCGCAGAGGTCTTTTTGAGTCGAATAGACTGCATTTGAACCATTCTATTCGTCCGTCATCGTTTGCATCCCTGCCAGACCCTTGTTCTTGAGTGCATGTCGATCTCATGTGGATACCCGTGCCCTAAGTCAATCTGCATCAGGGGAGGTTGATGAGACGATTAGCATACAATCTACGGTCTAGTCAGTAGCGATGTAAATAATAAGAATCAATTATCAAGACATAGTAGCATCGAGGTCATCATGTCATGTTCTATTTTGATCAAAACGTAGGTACTCCCGCTCTAGTATATTTAAACAGGAACCCGAAGAATAGCCGATTCGTCAGTCTTATATGCGTGGATCTACAACGTGAGTGTGAAGGTTTCTCAATAGGTTAGATCAAGCAAGTCGTTGCAGCTGGACAATGCATCGTGGGGGTAACTATGTCACTCCTTGGTGCTTCCGGGAGTGCAGAGGTGGAAGGCACGTGGGTAAACTGGCTGTCGAACCTAGGGCTTGATCTTCTCACGTGGCCCGCAACAGATAATAGTCAGTACACATGGTTGCGACTTGAATTCGGGATTTGGAGTGCAAGACATCCATTGTTGTATATATTGATGGCTTGGCTTTCGAGACCCATCTACAGATTGGGGGGATGTAGACGAGGGTGTGGGTGACAAGAAGAGCGGCGTGTCGTCTTCAAACATACAGTTTTGGGCCTATTAGGTACTATGTCTATACTGCTAATACCTCGATGGGATATATGAGGTTGAAGTAAAGAGAACATGTAAGTTGATGGCAGCAATATGTGCATTAATACCATAGAGCCTAGAAACCTCCAAGGTGTGGTTCTAATGTTCATCCAGAGCAGCAGGTCACAAGTTCAAGATGAGAGGGCAGAGGGTAGAGGGTAGAGGGCAGCAAATGTCAGTAGACGAGGGCATGAGATGCAGTTTACCCTCAGCCCTGGAGTGCTTCTCGCACTCTCGCTTCTATTTCTACATACTTCGCTTCTCCCACTTTTCTCTTCCACTTCTCTCTTGCACTTCTTTTCTCTTCCACTGCTCTTCTATCCATTGCTTTTCTACAACTTCTCACATCCCAATTTCTCACTTCTCACATCCTAACTTCCCACATCCTAACTTCCCACATCCTAACTTCCCACATCCCACCTTCCACATCCCACCTTCTCACTTCCCGCCTTCTCACTTCCCACCTTCTGTTGCTGTACTAGATCTAGCGTGATCGTCAGCATGTCTGTTCACAGCGCGGACGATAAGGCCCAGGCCAATCCGTGGTCGGCTATGATTCCCTACAGGCCTATGACCCAGGCAGTCGATGGGTACCACCAGGTCGCCATCCCATGGGCGAAATCGTAAGTGGTTCTCTCCATAATTTTGCCATCTCAATGAGAAATCTGGCTAACTTCTGATAGGTCTGGTTTCGTCCCATCTCATGAAGTCTGTGAACCTTCCACGCACCAGCAGGCCATGGCGAAGCTAGTGACCGACATGAAGGACAAGATGACTCTGTCCGAGGGCATGAGCGTGGCACCTGAGCCTAAGGGCACTTTGAAGGTGAGTCCATCCCCTGTCTATTGCAAATCTTCTGAGAATGCCGACTCATGTGTGGTGTATTTTAGCTTCTTCAGCCCCCGGGCCATCTAAGCATGAGCCCGGGTCGCTTCATAAGCCTGAACCCTCGTCAACTCGCAATGCGAGTGCCATGGGAGCGACCCCAAAACCCGTTGACCGACAGCCCCTTTAGCCCCCGCAATTGGATTGACCCATCCAAGAGTAGGTGCCACAGCGACTCCATTGGTATACATTGACTCTGACAGTTCATAGAAGCTTTGCTCGATGCACACAAGAGGCAACTTGCTGCTATGCTTGCGGCCAGAAAAGGTATGTGCCGCTACTATAAGTAACGCCAGGCAGCTGCTTACAGTTGACTCCAGCCAAGCGTTCGAAAGGGACTCCAGCCAAGGGCTTGAAAGCGTCTCGAGCTAGCCACCCACAACCGCTGCCAGGCAACATCTTGGGAATTTCATGGGACGACCCCGGGTTTTCTGACGAGAATGTCAAAAGATTTCTGAGAACGCGTATGTATCACCGTCAAGTCGATGATGGAAACCTGCTAACCTGTGAGTGTGTAGGTGATCGCAGATGCCGGGTCAAGAAGGCCACGAACGGCAACAACAGGGTCGCCAAAGCGAGCGATTTCGAATACACCGAGTTTGAACTCATAATGCCGGACACTGCTCCGTACAAGTTGGTTTTTGGACAAAAGCCACGTCATGGAGATCGTCGTCTTCCTCGCGACTGCCCTCGCCGTGTCCAGGATGATGAAAATAAAGTCCGACTTCCGGCAATTGAGAACACTTCGGATGAGATGGTGATCGAGGGAAACAACAGCATGAATGAGGGAATTGGTTTGACCTTCCCCACCAATTAATCCCAAGAAGGAAGGAAGGAAAGGGCAGAGGCACTCTTTCCTCCTAGAGACACTCACCCATGGTGAGGATACAGTCTCCGTCGCTGTTGCTATCAATGGCACATGCCTCAGAGAAATTCAACTTCTCTTTCCTATTTCGATCTAATTCAACTTAGATCGGAATGACCCTTGTCGGCAAAACTTCGGATATGCTGGATTTGGGTTATGTTCTGGTTCATTTCACGCGGTTCCTCTTTCCCTACGTGCTGGATACCTTCTCATATCTCCACTCAACTTTCCCTTTTGCTTTTGCTTTTTGTCTTTTGACTTTTGACTTTTGTTCTTTTCCTTTTTGCTATTCGCTTGCTTTTCCCTTTTTTCCCTAATACTCCGGGTTGCCTGCATCTGGCTCTTGCTTGCCGCTGCTTTTGTTCGAGACAGCTATTTTTCTTCAGTAGTCAATTAATATCATTATCGCGTGAAGCATAGAGATCCAGTAAACAAACCATCGTGCCTAGATGTAAAGCTCGGGCTTCGACCCAACCGCAGGAATCTTTGCTCTCAAGGAGAAGGTAGGTCCCAATAGTCAGGTTTGACTGATATACCGCCGCGTCCAAGGTTCCCAATTGCCATCCAGTTAAGGCCGCACAGTCTCAAGTAAGATTTGTAGTTGTCAATCTCATAGACTCACTCTGTCACTCATTCTTCTGCATTGGCATTTGGCAGTCTCATGTATGAGTACCACGTGACAAGTATGTCCTAACCTAGTCATGACCATAGTTAGAGGATAAAAGAGTCCTTTAACATAAATTATGCACGTTTGATGTGATTCCTCAATTGCATGAAGCGCTGTGATGGATAGATTCCGTGTTCGTCGATCAGTAAGTCAGAACATGGATTCCATGGATCATCGGACCTAGGCGGAGTGTATCTTGCGCATGAACCAGAACAGACAGTTGTTCTATTGCAATCAAGATAAGAGGTATTGGCAGGTCTCGCAGGTGTTGAATAGTTAAGAGAAGCCGTAATACCACATACGCATATCCAAATTTGAAATCGTCGACGTGCGTCCAGTACCTGAGTATACTAGCCGTCGTTACCTATACTCGCAAGTCTAGCTTAGTCTTTCACATGCAGAGACTGGGCGGAAAGTCGACATCCCATTCAGAAGATGCCAGCTAATGGAGTACTTCTCGCCTACCCCAACTGCTAAGGTGACGACTCCAAATTGCAAGTCAATCAAGCAATTTCTATTGGAGAGACAATGCGGGGGTGGAAGTTATCCCGACACTATCGCGGACTTTTGTCCGCCTCTCCACTTCTTATCAATGACTGTGCTCCAGCATTTATAAACCAATTCCTAGGTACTCCCCATTATGGCCTCTCTGCTTTTTCGAAGAGTCTATCCTAGGACGTGTGCTCGGTCCGCCAAGCCTGCCTTTATTACCCCCACTCGAACGTTCTGTTCATCACAAAGACTCACTATGTTGACAACCGAGCTCTCCGAGGTCGAGGTCTCGGCACTTAGAGCCAACAAGGACCGCCTGGCTCAAGATCTTCACCACTCATGCCAATGGGGATCAGGGATTAGATGGGGAGAGTAAGCTACATCTATTTCTTTAGTTCCAAGAAGAGACCGTTAATAATGCTTCCGCGGGTTATAGTGGTCCTACAGATACGGGAATGCAGCGCCTCGCGCTCTCAGAAGACGATAAGAGTGTCCGTGACTGGTTCATCCAGACCATGGAGGATCTGAAGTGTAACGTCACCGTGGACGAAATGGGTAACATCTTTGCCGTTCGTCCTGGCCGGAGAGCGGATGCACCTGCCACATTTATTGGGAGCCATCTCGATACACAACCGACCGGTGGACGGTATGACGGTATCCTGGGTGTCTTGTCAGGCATTGAAGCCATAAAGACAATGAACGACCTGGGTCTAGAGACGGAGGGTGGCGTTGGCGTAGTCAATTGGACCAAGTAAGATCCCACTTCTCCACCTACAGAAGATTTGTCACTGACCCCCGTTCAGTGAGGAAGGGGCTCGATTCCCAGTCAGCATGATCTCAAGTGGTGTATGGGCCGACTGTATACCATTGGCGCATGCGCACAACCTCAAAGAGGTACCTACTGTAGCATCACTACCAACAGCAGCATCAGAGCCGGAGACCATGAAGAGCGCCCTGCAGAAGATCGGATACATGGGCGACGTTCCATGCTCGTACAAGTCGACGCCGATGGCCGCCCATTTCGAACTCCACATCGAGCAAGGCCCATACCTGGTAACGGCGGGCCAGCGAGTGGGCGTTGTAACAGTTGTGCAGGCCTTCAGGTGGTTCCGACTCAACATCATCGGCCGGGATACACATACGGGAACCACAGCCTTTGAACACCGCGCAGACGCTCTGTATGCATTCGCTCGGATGATGGTTCGCGCACGAGAAGTGGCAGCTGCAAAGAAATGTCTTGCCAGTGTTGGTATTGTGGAGGCGAAGCCTGGAAGTGTGAACACCGTTCCTGGAACGGTGAGCTTCAGCTTGGACATTCGTGGCCCTGAGACAGAGCTAGTTGCTGAAGTTGAGAAAGAGCTGCGGACTGAGTTTGATGCGATTGCTGCTGCTGAGGGGGCTGGAATTGGCAAGCCGTGTCGCGTAGAGTGGAATCTCGAATTCGACTCGCCCGCTGTCAAGTTCCATGAAGACTGCATTGACTGCGTGCAGCAGTCGGCAGAGGCGGTTGTTGCAGATGAGCCTGTTGCGGACACCAAGTCGCTTGTGCGGACTATTATGAGTGGTGCGGGCCATGACAGTGTCTTCACATCCAAGCGTGTGCCGACCAGTATGATCTTCATTCCGTGCAAGGATGGTCTCAGCCATCATCCTGAGGAATTCTCCACTGCTGAGGACTGCGCCACGGGGGCATCGGTCATTTTGCAGGCTGTGGTGCGCTACGACAGGAAGAGGTTCATGTAAGAGCGGGTGCTCTCCGGGCTAGGTTGGGTGCTATGAAGGACTTTGTATATAATCAGAAGAATCACATGTGCCTGCACAATTAACTAGGTTGAGATAGTCGGAAGATCCATGACGACCAATGATCCATACAACACGAAACTACGATTACAGTTACTGGATCGAGCTCAATGATGAAATCATTGGAAACATGACTTTCTTATTTTTTTGTTTGTTTCCTGTATCCCCAAGTCCATATAAAACTGGAACAGGATCCAGATACACCGAGGATTCAGCTCGTTTCGAGTTACCTCTAGTCCGACAGCCAAGCTCGTATGCATCATCAACCCCGAAGATTCACAAAGAAGTGGTTGACAAGACACCAAGAACACTCAGCATTTACTGCTGGGGAGCACCACGGCCACGGCCGAAGCCACCACGGAAAGAGGGAGCGAACTCGCCGGGGGCACCGCCCTCCTTGCCACCCTCCTCGCGACGGCGGTAACCGCCCTCACGGGGAGCGCGGGGACCACGGCGCTCACCGCGCTGCTCCTCACCGCCCATCATGCCGCGGGGGGAGCGTGGGAACGCTGCTGCTTGATGTGGGTGGCGGGGACAACCTCGGCGGGGAGGTGGAGCCACTCACGGAGGTAGTCAAGACCCTATTGTGTGATTAGTATTTGACGGGATTAATGAGTTGTGCGAGGGTGAAGCATACCTCGGGGGTGAGGGTGTAGTAGTAGTACTGCCACGAGAACTGGGTCTTGACAAAGCCGCGGGAGTCCAGGGACTGCAGGGCCTTGATGACATACAGGTTCTTGGTGTCAATCTCAGCGTGCTTGGGAAGGTTGAAGTCCTTCTTGGCCACGAGCACTCCCTCTAGTGTATAGGTTAGTCAATCTGCATGAAGTTGACGCGAGCGCAGAGTCGCAAGGTCGCTGGGACGTCGACGAGGGTTCTCGCTACATACCACGGAAGAGGTACTCGTGGATCTTCTTGCGGTCGTCTTTGGGGATAAGCCTGGGCCATTGTTAGCAAATCTGCTGTAAATAACCCCGAAAAATTAAGGTACGTACATTGTCGCGAGTTCCTGTTGCAATTCGGGGAATCGCTTTGACAACGCCCGGAATAATGGTTGATTTAAATGATGGATGAAGAGTGGAGCTTCGCTGCGAGAAAAGTGCGACAATTCAAATCGGGTGTAGGGTTGGCGCCCTAATCTGTCTGTGGTTCAGATCATATGACTAGGAACCCACTTCCCGGGAGGATTAGCTGGTAGATAATCGGATCATCAGTTATCCCTCGTACCGGTCTTATCGCAAGATCGTCCATGGGTTCAAGCCTCCAGACTTGCTTTCTCCATATTAGACAACCTCCCCACTCTACAAAGTACATCTTTTCAGGCTACTCCTCAACTACTTGTCTACGGCTCTTTCCACACACTACACGATGACATCGTCAAACGTCAACGTCCTTTTGGCGTCCTTCCCAGGATTGTCACTACCGCCGACTGTCTCGTTCTCCTTGCCATCAACCGCAACCATCGCAGACTTGACGCAAAAAGTCGCTTCTTATCTTCCATCATCGGTTCTTCTTCGGTCACTCACTCTTACAACAACCAGCAACAAAGAGATCACAGCGTCCTCTGAATGTATCCGATCTTTCCTCCCCATGTGCGATGGCGACTCTACCTCTTCCCTTCTTCCTCTTCGCCTGACCGTTCCCCTGTGCGGTGGCAAGGGTGGTTTCGGCTCCCAGCTGCGTGCCGCCGGTGGCCGCATGTCTAGCAAACGCAAACGCAACCAAGGCGACAACAATGGATCCAGTCGCAATCTTGATGGCCGCCGCCTGCGCACAGTCAACGAAGCAAAGGCACTTGCGGAATATCTGGCCGTTAAACCGGAGATGGACAAGAAGGAAAAGGAGGAACGTCAACGCCGATGGCAAGCCGTGGTTGAGATGGCGGAAAAGCGCCAAGACGAATTGAAGAATGGCAGTGGCAACCGGAAGGTGGATGGCCAATGGATGGAAGATCGTGAGGAGATGAGCGAAAAGGCCCGCGAGGCAGTCTTACAAGCTATGAAAGATGGCGACTGGACCGACAGTCTTCGCGATGCGATACTTGGGGGATCCAGCACTAGCGCCAGTGACGAGGGAAGCGGAGAGGATGCTTCATCTAGCGAGGATGAAGACGAGTCAAATGGGGAATCGTCAAAGGCTGTTGCCGGTCCCTCTGTGCCACAAAAGGCTGCGCCGAGGAAGTTCATCGGGTTCGACGACGACGACGAATTCATGAGCGAGTCTGATGAGGAAATGGACGATTCCGACAAGGGAAAGGGAAAGGCTCGTGCGTAAATCGCCATTGCTAATCCATGCCATTGCTCTTTCATGCTTTACGACGGCGTTCTTTCTCTTTCTCTTTGCCTCTTTTCCTGAGGCTCTACCGCATCTGTTTTCAGCGCATTCTGTTACGATAATTCCAGCCCCGGTGGGGGTTAATCATTCGAAAGCTTTAGATGGCTCAAATGGCTTGTCGTGAATTTCAAATCCAAATCCAAAGTCAATTCAAATTCAGGTCTAATCGGTTCAACAGCGAGACTTGTTCACGCCGTAGTATTATTATTATCTTACTACTGACTAGGCGGATAGCCGCCTCGCCCCTGTGGGCAAGCAGTCCCTCCTCAGTTCAAATCAAGCACTTAAGTACATCGTACGGGCAGCTTCGGCAAGTGTGCTGCGCCAGCAGCGTTATGTGCTCGATCTTGAGATCCGCCAGGGTTCTGTCCGTGCGCGTGCGGCGCCAGACCCGTTCGGCTTTCCGAGCCTTCTTGGTTGCCTCCTTGGTCGTCCGATCCCACCAGGGGGCCGTAGTGCCGGTGTTCGGTTTGCGTCTCGGGGTCGACGCGGCCGCTATGTTACCTAGTTCTAGCATTAACCTTGCTGACAAAGACTGCAGCTGTCCGGATGTGCCAGTCGTTTCTAGCGCTAACCATGCTTTTTCGGGCTGCTCGGTCATTGCTGGCTGGTATGAGTAGGCCTCCGTACCAGACTTCTGCCCCGTAGAGGAGGAGGGTCGGCATCACGCAGCGGGGCGGAAGTGTGGTACGGAGGCCTACTCATACCAGCCAGCAATGACCGAGCAGCCCGAAAAAGCATGGTTAGCGCTAGAAACGACTGGCACATCCGGACAGCTGCAGTCTTTGTCAGTAAGCGTCTGGACAAACAAGTTTAAATAACGTGGAGCATTTTTGTACGGCGGCCCAAACGTGCCATGTACGAAGCCATGGGCGCTATCGATAAGAAGCCTCGAAGTCTCCAATCTCCGAACGAAAAAAGCTCCGGATTTCCAGAACCTCGTGTGCCCGTCATGTCGCTCTGTTCGAGGGCCGCAGTTCTCAGAAACCCGAGATTGAATTTGCTACGCCTGTTACCAAAAAGTACACCATGCTCCCCGGCATCAAGACTCTGCACGCAATCGCGCATCGCGCCGCAACTCAAAGTGTTCGCAGATCTCCGCAGACAACACCGTTGCTTTTCAACAACTCGCTTTCGGCAAGAGCAATCTACAGTTGAGCCTCTAGCGGACTATCTACCTGTGTGTTGTCCAGGATGTGGCGCATTCTCACAAACAGTTGAGGCAAACGAGCCGGGATATTATGGTACCTCGCGAAAGTCAATCCGGAAGCTACTTGCCGTGAAGAGGGACGCAGTTGAATCCCAGAATGAAGCTGCAAACAGGGCATCTCGTGAGATAGATGGCATTCTTGCAGAGCAGAATGGTCCTAGGGGAGAGGCAGCGCCGCCTAGGCCAATTGAAGGTGGGACACAATACATCCTCGCTTGAATGTGCCATTTGCTGACAGTCTACAAAGATGGGGCGTTCCCTGATGACGCTGTTGATCCTGAGAACAACTTTCTCGGTTCTCCTGAGCAACTCACCCAGGTCTGCGATCGTTGCCATGATTTGATACACCACAACAAAGCGGTCTCTTCGCCCAAGCCCACCATTCTAGCTATACGAAACTACCTCGAAGAATCGCCCTACAAAAACAACCGTGTTTACCACATTATCGATGCCGCCGATTTCCCAATGTCCCTCGTCCCGCGAATCCATTGGGCTCTAATGCTGCAGGAGCAACGTTCCCGGAACCGTCGATCCACGAAGGAGAAATACCAGCGTGGAAGGAAACTCCCCCCACTCTCGTTTATCATCACACGCTCCGACCTATTGGCGGCTACCAAAGAACAGGTAGACTCGAAGATGGAATACATTCGCACAGAGCTCCGCGCAGCGCTAGGAAGATCAGGGAAGGAAGCCCGCTTGGGCAACGTACACATGATTAGTGCGCACCGCGGGTGGTGGACGAAGGAAGTCAAGGAAGAAATCCGGGATCATGGCGGCGGCATCTGGGTCGTTGGCAAGGCGAACGTCGGGAAGAGCAGTTTCATCGAAGCTTGCTTCCCCAAGGATTCCAAGAACTTGGCGAAGGTCGAAGAGTGGATGGAACGCCGTCGTGACGAAAGTGAAATTCCACAGCAGCATGAGGCGGCTCTTCGGAATCCCGATAGTCTTCTACCCCCCGCCCCTCGTGAAGATCTCTATCCAGTGCTCCCAGTCGTGTCTTCGCTTCCCGGCACGACTGTCTCACCTATCCGCATCCCCTTCGGTCGCGGCCGGGGCGAGGTCATTGATTTGCCTGGTCTAGAACGTGGTCTACTGGAGGATTTTGTGAAGGATGAGCACAAGCGCGATTTGATCATGACGAAGCGGGTCAAGCCTGAACGTTGCACGATCAAACCCGGCCAGTCTCTGCTGGTCGGTGGCGGTCTTGTTCGGATCACCCCGGTGAATCCCGAAGATACGGTCATGTCGGCCAGCTTCCTGTCCCTTGAGACCCATATCACCAATACGCAGAAAGCACATGAGATGCAGACCGAGGAACGACCATACCGGGGGACTGTCATTATGAAGGAAGGAACCGGAAGTACAATTGCCTCTGCCGGCAAGTTCGATTTGAAGTGGGATACCACCATGTCAAATCTGCCTACCTCACTTGCCAAAGCTGTGAGGGACAAGGGAATTCCTGTGCCCTCATTGCCATACAAGGTGATGTCGGCAGATATCCTCATCGAGGGCTGCGGCTGGATCGAGCTCAGTATACAGATTCGCAGCAAGCGAAGCACTGAAGACGAATTCTCGTATCCGCAGGTCGAGGTCTTCACTCCACATGGAAAGCACGTTGCGTCCCGACGTCCTATTGAATGTTGGAACTTCATTGCAGAGAAGAAGAAGATCGACAAGCGCAACCGGCCACGATTGAGACATTGAAGTAATTTTGGATTTCAAGACATGTACATTAAGCAGCATAGCGACTCGGCGTTTTCTCCTCTCTTATGCATTCGCATATGTACAATATTATCGTTAAAAGTTCACAACTTCTGTTTTATAGCTCTGGCTTCAAGTTTATTACCCGTCCCCACGGTCCCCGCAGGTGGGGGGCTTTCACCTTAGTACTACTGACTTTATCCACAACACTTCTACGTCAACTCTGTCTAGGTTCTACGATCATTATACACCGCTCTTCAGATCTTCGCCATTGACATTCAACGACTATCGAGCCCAAAATGCTGTCTCAAAGAGGGTTAAAGAATGTCGAAGAGCTGTCTATCCCCTGGCGCTTCAGCCTCACTCAAGACTACGACCCCGAGAAGAACCCAACAGGGCTCATCTCGCTTGGTATGGCGGAGAATGTATACATCTCCCGCAGACAGACCTCATATAATCATATTCCAGCCAAAAGCTAACCAAGAAACAGAAACCAATGAGGACAGAGATCGCCAAGTATGTCAACGAGAAGGTACACATATACCGGACCTGGACTTCATAGGTGGTTCAGTGGTTAAACGTAACTGGAATCACATCCATAACAACCTCACACAGGTCACCTTCACTCAAGACTCCATCAGCTACCGCTCAAGCGCGCCAACAGCCGCAAGATTACCAGCAGCGACAGCAGCGCATCTCAATAAAATCCTCAATCCACATATCCCAATTGACCCAGAACAGGTCTTCATCGCAGACTCCCCAACCTCCCTGGGTAGCATGTTAGGATACAATCTCGCCTCGCGCGGAGACGGGATCCTCGTCAACAGACCTGTCTACGGCCGCTTCGAGCTGGACTACGGTGTAGAAGCTGGCGTGGAAATAGTATATGCTGATACCAATACAGAGGAGGCGTTCACCCCTGCATCTGTGGAGAAGTACCAGATAGCCTTAGATGCTGCCGAGGAACGTGGAATGAAGATTCGGGCTTTGCTGCTGGTTAATCCGCATAATCCTGTTGGTGAGTTTGAATTTGGGTTTGAGTTGAAGTACATCCATTGACTGTCAGGTCCACTAGGTCGTTGCTACCCTGTCGAGACACTCAGGGCTATCGCCCGGTTCTGCAATGAAAATCGTCTCCATCTGATCAGTGATGAGGTGTATGCTTCCTGTATCTTCGATTCTGGGAACCCTGATGCTGTACCGTTTACCTCGGTACTTTCACTGGACTTTACGGGGCTGATAGACCCTACTTTGGTCCATGTGCTGTATGGGTTTAGCAAGGTACTTGTCACAAACACATCAGCAAAAAAGGCATACATCCATTGACAACACCGGTTGTAGGACTTCGCCTCCGGAGGCCTCCATCTTGGATTCCTGGTAACTCGAAACCAGCAGCTTCGACAAGGCTGCAAAGCGATCTTGTAAGATTTCTCCCTCTGGCATGACACAAAGGCTCGAGGCAAAACTAATCCTACATAGGCGACTCCACGGTGCCTCACAGGCAGCGGTAACAATCGGCACCGCGATTCTAGAAGACCAAGCTTTTGTATCGAGCTTCATAGCTAAGGCGAGACAAGTTCTCGCTTCAACATATCGTCTTACGACTTCGGTGCTTGACAAGGAGGGGGTCAACTACATCAAAGGCGGGTGAGTATAAGTGATTTCCTGTCCAAAGCCCTAATTAACGTTTGTTCCCAGCAACGCCGGCTTCTTTGTCTATATCGATTTGTCGCTTTATTTACCCACCGACGAGGGCATGACCCCACGGGAACGGGAGTTTGCTCTGGCGCAGAAATTTGTTGATGCTGGTGTCTTTTTGCACCCTGGGGAAGAGCATTCGAAGGAGGTCGGGTGGTTTCGGTTGGTTTTCTCACAGGAGGATGAGACGTTGAAGGAGGGTCTACGGAGGTGAGTTCTTTTAATCTTTTGCCTTCACCTGGCTTCGAATTTGTGTGTTCCATCCAATGGCTGATGAAATGCTTGAGTCTTATAGACTATTGAGCGTCTTGAGGCCAGGTGCATGTACGAGCTGATCTAGGTTGTCCGTACTTGAGAATTATAGGAAGAACCTAACACGACCAATATACTCAAATGAGCCCGTGAATATGCAGAAACCTCGTGAACCTAAGGTATAAAGATAAAGATAAAGTAATAAATTGTATATGTCGCCGTATGCCGTTTTTTATTTTCGCATAAACTCATCAGGCGTGGCTAGATAGCGACCGAGACTATATCGTGAAGAGAAATGACTCTACTCGACGTTGACGAACTGGAACGTAGGGTTTCCAGGGACGGCATTTTCGCCGGCCAGACCCTCACGCTTCTCACCAGTGCCTACAACTTCTCCAGTCTTGCCACCCTCGTCAACAGCAATGATCTCAATCTCCTTGAAGCCAGAGGTGCGCTTCAGACCACCGACCATCTCAGACAGAACGGCGAATTCATCGAAAGGAAGCTTGCGGTCGAAGACAGTGGCGGGGCTCTCGCGAGCGTTGACTAGACGACGCTTCAGGTTCTGCACGAAGGGCATGGCCTTCTTCATTTCACCGAGCTTGCCGACCTTGGCGCTAAGCTCCTTCTCGTTGAAGGAGAGGTTCAGCGAGTCAAAGGCATCGCGCACCAAGTCAATGTACTTCTCCTGCCAGTTAGGGAACTTCTTGGCAACGAAGATGGTAAGCTTTTTGGGCTTGCGGGGGTCGAAGCCAGCAGCCTTGCCCTTGGAGAGCTTCTTGGCGAAGGCAGCCTCGGATCCCATGATGTTGCTTGCAGTACCACGGACGTAGTTCTGAGCAGCGGTCAGCTCGGGGGAAGGCTCCGGCACGGCAGGGAACTGGGCGAAGTGGATGGACTCGGTCTGTATAGTATTAGATTAAGATGCAATGCAGTATGAAACAGCGAAAGAAAACTGACCTTCTTCAGAACCTCGAGCCAGATGTACTCAGCCCAGTGAGGAGCGATGGGTGCAAGCATGAGAGCTTGCAGCTCAACGTAGCGCATAACGATATCGCGGTGCATACCGACGCCGGCAGCGGTGGAAGCCTCACGGTAGCTATCACGGGAGCTGGTGAAGTCATATAGACCAGACTTGAGAGCAAGCTTGAAGTCAGTGCTAGGAAAGAGTTAGACGTTAGCTTGAATGAAACAGAATGAAGTACGGTTCGAGACTTACTCCTGGTAGTGCTTCTGAGTCTCACGAACCAGGCTGTTAAGTTCATTTTCAAAGAGCTTGTCAGCGAAGGCATCGGCAGGACCAGTACGCAGAGTCTGGTCTTTGGCAACATCCTCAATCCACTCCTTCAAGGTGTAGAGACGCAGGATGTTGCTGTTGGCAACAGTCTCTTCAAAGTTGGCATCTTCAATGCTGTCACCGGCATCGGCAAACGCAATACGAGTAGCATCAGCGCCGAACTTGTCGACGGCATCCTTGAGGGTCAAGAAGTTGCCGGTACTCTTACTCATCTTGTCGCCGTTGAGGAGCAAGTGGCCGTTGGCACGAACACCACGGGGCCAGTACTCCTTGGGGAAGAGAGCAATGTGAATGTAGAGGAAGAAGGTCAGGTGGTTCTGAATCAGATCCTTTCCAGAGACACGGACATCCAGGGGGTACCAGTATTCGAATTCACGGCGCATCTGCTGCAGGGATTCCTTGCTGATTCCGCTCTTGGAGATGAGATCGTCGCTGATCTCACGTCTTGTGAAAATGTAGTCCCAGACCTCATCGGTCATCTGGTCTGCGGTGATCTTCAAGGGGCCAGTTGTCTTACCGTATCGGTCACCGTGTAGGAGGTGAGCGATGGTGTAGTAAGCCATGTACACAGTGCTGTCACTCAGACTCTCAACCAGGAACTGCTTGTCCCATGGCAGCTGGGATCCGAGTCCGTAGGTTCTGGCACATGCCCAGCGGTTCAGCCACGACAGGTTCTTCTCGAATCCGTTCTTGCACTCGGCAGAGTAGGTATTGAGGTTGTTGACAACGTGGTTGAGGGTCTCCTGCTGCCATTCGGCATCATTCTCGCCGTAGTTCAGGAACCACTGGCCCAGGTAGGCAACAACACAGTCATCGCCACTACGGCTGACAACCTTGCCCATGGGGTCAGCGAAGGGGAAGGCATCGCCGCTCTCGTAGAGCGCCTTGCGGACCTTGTCCTTGGCATCGCTAACGGACTCGCCCTTGAAGTCACCAACCAGCATAGTTCCCTTGTAGAAGCCCTCCATGTAGGCCAACTCCTTGGCTTTGGCAAGCTGGGTGACGTCCTTGGGAGAGTTGATCTTCAGCTGCTTGACCAGAGTAGGAGCGGTCAAGTTGCCATAAGTAGGAGTGTCGATGAGAGGGAAGATTTCAAGCTCAGCCCACTCTTTCTGAATACCATAGTACTCGGCCTTCTTGGCGAGATCCACGAGAGTGGCGTAATCATCAGGGCTGTCGGAGGGGACAGATGTAACGACACCAGTGCCCTTAGATGCAGAAACACTCTCCATGGGAAGGATACGGATACCCTCGGTGTGGAAAGACAGGGGCGCATTGACCAGGGTCCCAATGAAGGTGGAACCAGGCACCTCAAGAACCTGGGGAAGCTCGTCCTGAGTCTTGGGGAACTTATCGCCGAAGAAGTGGCCCTGGAAGGCCATGTTCCAAGCAGCACGCTTAGTCACGACGATGTACTCCTTCTCCTTCAGCTTGAAGAGACCGTAGTTGATCTTGGGGCCAACGAAGCAGCTGGTTTGACCATACATGGTCTCGGGACGCAGAGTAGCCGGGACGAAGTAGACCTTAGCATCATCCTCGATCTTTCCCTTGACAAGCTCTGCCATTTTCGGTGACCATTCCTTGACCTGGAGCTTAATAGCGGAATATTCCTGGGGGCCGATGCCCTCACCCTCGGTGCGGTCGTGGTCCATGCAAGGCTGGCCATCCTTGGGCGAGTAGACGGTGTAACGGCTGCCGTACATAATCTTGCCAAGCTCGTGCAGTCGGTTCATCTGCCAGCGCACGAAAGCATCGTAGTATGGGTTAGCGTCGGTGGTGACGAACTGTCGGCGCCAGTCAATGCGAGCGCCCATGCTGTCGAGATCACGGATAGCGAGAGGGGGAAGTGGTCGAGCCAGTAGGCAGCATCAGCAAACTTGTGGATATCCTCCAAAGGAACGCCAATGGCCAGCATGATCTGGAACTGGTACTTCATTTTCACGGTCTTGGCAGCGGCCTTGCTCTTCTTGCCGGAGAACTTCTCGGAAGCCTCGGCCTTGACCTCTTGTGTGGGAGCGGCAACACTGTCGGCGGCAGCCTCAGCCTCTTCATTGTATCCCTCGAACCCTTTGCCGAACTTCTTTACCTCGTTGGCGAGCTTATCGGCACAGGCCTTGATAGGCATACCGGTGCAGTGGAAGCCCAGAGGGAAAAGGGCACGCTTGCCCTCCATGCGGGCAAATCCAGCCATGAACTCCACCTTACTGGCAGTGAAGCTGTGTCCGGCATGGAGAGTACCGTTCATGTAAGGGTAGGCCATGGTACCGAAGAACTTGGGGTACTTCTCGCGGAGTTCAGCGGGGGACATGGCGCCCTGAGGCGCCTCTTCGAAGGACGGAGCATTGACTTCGAAAACCTTGTCCTGCTTCCATTGCGCCTGGTACTTCTTTTCAATTGCAACCAGGGTATCTCGCTTCTCGGTCTAGAAAGGCAAATTGTGAGTCAGTGAATGAGAATTGGCAATGGCGGGGGAGGGGCATATAAACATTTTCGAGCTTGAGCGTATTCTTCGAGCTGTTGCTCGGATCGAGCTCAGCTGCGGATGCAACAGCAGCGGCCATTTTTTTCTGATTGTCAGGATTGGCCTATGATTTCCTTGACTTGGCGGAGGGGAGCAAAAGAAATCGCGGGGCGGATATAAAATCTGTTTGCTTTGTTTGTTTTAGCGTAATGGTGTACGGTGTTGTACGGCTCCACTTCACTGCTCGATGTTGAAAGTGACGTTGATAGTGAATAGATACTTGTAGGTTGAGGAAGCTCGATCAAGTCGTATTTATCTATTTAATGTCTGAAATATTGATTCAATCGCCTTCTAAGTGCGACTCTAGTAATCGCTAATCGCGACCTAAGTGACGGTTATGTGCGAGTGTTTGCTTCATATAGGTTGGAGGCAGCACGTGACGATCTCGGAGCAACTTTCTTTCGCCGACAAGCACATCTGCGATAAATTTCCCAGATCAACAACCTCGCGTTTCTGGGCCTATATCACCTGTCTACGAGTAATTCACTCTGGCAATTGATCCTAATCGACTGATCTTGTATCCGAAATTCGAATCGCATACGGGCCAGCCCCTGCGACCCATCCTCCATCATGGTCAACCTGTTCAAGCGGCTTCGCAAGCTGCAAACTGTAAGTCAGGCCGCTCTCCGCTCCCCCCATACGGACTCATTCAAGTAGCTTGGAATGCATGGACTAATCGAAACTCTTATTTACAGCGGGTAAGCCAAAACTCCGACCCTTAGCATATCCGACCCCTTCAACCTTTGAGACTAAACTCGCGCTATCTCCTATGCACAATTCGAACGGCAATAAATCAACTAACCCTCTATTTACTATTCAGATACTCAACACCAAGGTTGGAACCGGTGCTGCCATCCTCCCAAGCCTCGCCTCCGCAACAAAAGAATTCCCAGCTGTCACCCGACTCCACCTCACATATGCACGCAAGATCAACCAAGGCCACGGAGGCGCACGGCATTTCTGGCGCAAGTGTCTGCCCCGACTAAAATACCACAACCCGGGCATTCCCATGACAGTGACACAAACAAGCGACCAAGAAGGACCCTCAGCATTGACAATTTACTTCGCTGAACAGGCGGGCAATGCCGCAAAAGCCCTCGCAGCCGAGCGGAAGGTCGTCGACAAGCTTGCGCCGGCCCCGGTGGAAAATGAACAGTCAGTCGTTCTCGACATCAAGAACCGCACCTACAACCAGATCTGGGACCGTGTGCAGGCGATGACAGGTGCAAAGACTGTCTCACCTACTGGCGAGGATAACCAGATTATGGCCAAGTTGGCAGAGATCAAAAAGAAATCTGGCCCTGATCGTCAGCGCGTGCAGGCTATCCGTCAGGCCAAGAAGGACCAGGAGCGCATGCTTGCTGAGGCTAGAGGCCAGGTGGACAAGCAGGTTGTGTAAGATAGTGCAGTTTTGTTCTGGTGTTGTTTTTGTCGATTGGTTGTTCTAACTGGTTTCTTCGTTTGTGAAACTGGCTGCCTGTAGCATAGCATATATCTTTCTCTACAACTATGTATTTTTTGGGAACACTTTTGGATGCGCATGTCGCCTTCTCTTCTTATCCATATCCCATGAGCGCTCAGATGGAGCAAACCACTGGCATAATAGCAATAGCAATACATTGAAAGTATCAACGCCGGAAAAAATTGCCCAATCTAAAGTGGACAGCTTGGCGAAGTATATCGTTCAGAACAAAGTCATGCCACCAGAGTCAATAGCTGAAAATTGACCGGAAGAGAAGTTTGGACCCAGAAAATATTACATGACCTAGAAGATTGTTAGCGAGAACAGCCTAGTCAGAGCCCATATTGGAACCCTACCTCTGCGATTGACTGCCGCTCAATGATCGATTTTTGTCTCTCGTTGCGCGAAACACGGTAGTAATAGTCGCTGAAGTCCCCACATTGCATATGACGCAGGAATTCCTCGTCGTGGGTGATGACAATCAACTGGAAATTAGCCTGCTGCTGTCGAGTGCGGATAATGTCATGCAGTGACTCAGCCAGCGAGCGGATATTATCCCGATCAAGATTCGTGGTGGGTTCATCAAGAGCAATAAGACCGCAATTGACGCCAAAGCATTCCGCAAGCGCAAGACGGATGATGATGCTAGCCAGCACCTTTTGACCCGCACTACAGCGGCCGCGCATGTCCATTTCTGCTCCTGACTTCACCATACAGACTCGGTAGTTGTAAGATCGGTTACCCTTGGCGTTCTCATTATCGGACCGAATAAGAATAGTGTCGACGTCTGTTCCGCGGTATGTCTTTTGCCAGAGTTCGCCAGCAATGGCATTGATTTCTGCCATCTTTAGGCCGTGATATTGCATGATTGCCTTGTCAAGAGCCCCACCGTATCGAGCCAGATCTTCGACGGCGGCCTTGGTGGTCTCAACCTTGATATGAGACTCCTTGTATTTGCTGGCTGCATCCTTGTAGTCAGTGTCCCAGTCTGCCAACAGCTGCATCAGCTGGTCATCCTTGGACTTCATTTCACCCATTTTGCTCGCCTGTTTGGCAGCAAGGGCATTGTGCTCGCGAGTCCAGCGCTCTGACTCTTGTTTGAAACGGCCACGGTCCACTTCTGCGTTTTGTGCTTCCAGTTGCTCAACTTCCTCAGCAACCCTGTTTAGAGAGCGAGTAGCCTGGCGATATGTCAGATTGTCTGAGTATTGTCGTTTTGTGTTTTCGCTGTCTTTGAGTTGGGTGGAGATCTTGTTGATCGCCCTTGTGATCTCGCTTTGCTCGGATTCGAGTTTGCCGATCTCAGCTTCAATCTGTTGAAGCTCCTGCGCGCTACGTTCAAGCTGATCCGGGCCTCCTCGTTCGATGTACGAATCAATATCGCCGTTGGCAAGGTCGAGCTGATTGATGTTCTCGGACAAGCGGCTAATCTCATGCTGCAGATCTCGTTCGCGTTCATCAGCTCGCTGGCTGATTTCATCATAACGGGCTTGAGCTTGAAGTAATTCGGGTGTAAGACCTTCGATATCCCGATCTGCTTTCTCAATTGCCTCCCGCTGCTGACTGTTGAGCGTCTTGAATTCCTCCATCCGAGCAACTAGATCCGCTTTCTTTTCAAGCTGGAATTTCGCATTGTCTAGGTTGCTTTTCACATCTCGGAACTCAAGCTCGAGCTTGTTGATATCAGCCCGTGTCTTTTCTTTCTCATTCGTCACCTTCGTGAGAGTCTTCTTTAACTCTCGTGACTTTTCGTTGAGGGAAGCGATCTCGTCCTGTATATCTTCAAGAGTGCGAGCCATTGAAGTGTCTTGCTGCTTTGCAGCGAGCTCTTCTATCTGGCCTTTGATTGTCTTGGTCTCCGTATCGTAACGCGCGATAGTGCCGACTGTCTTAGCCAGCCCTTCAATGTCACGTTTGATTTCGGCCTTCTCGCTGACCTTCGCATCATGCGTTTCCAGCTTGTCTACAAGCCGGTCTCGCTGGGCTTCACATTCCTGCTCTTCCTGTTCAAGCTCCGGAATGACAGTCTCTGACAAACGGACCCAAGTATCGTAGGACGAACTAGCCTCGCGGGCAATTTCAAAATGTTCTTCGAGAGCCTTCAACTCCTCGTCGTCAGCATCGTGGCTAGCCTTCTTGACTAGAGCATCCAGCTTTCTTGTGAATGCCTGGAGTTCGGCCTCGTTCTTGAAAGATCTTGAACATGTTCGGCACAGCTTGGTCCGCTTAGCAGCATCAAGACATTTAATGAGATACTCTCCCATTCCAGCATATTGATCGGCGTCTTTCCTGGCAAGATCGTACTGTGCCTGGCGTTCTTTGACGATTTCAGGGTATTCAGAAGGTTCTGCGTCAACAGCCTCGCGAATCTCTTTCACGCATTGCTCAAGTTCCGTTTGACGTTGCTTGAGGTTCTTCTTGGCAGTCTTGAGCTTGAACTCCACATGCTCCAGCTCTCGGCTCACACCGTCGCGCTCTCGCTCCGCGTCAGCGACATTCTTGGATTCACTATCGAGGGCCTGTTGGAAGTCTCGCTCCAGTGTCTCGGGCTTCCAATCTGGACCAATGACCTTCACGAGACGATCGCCATGAGCGCCTGTCATCGTTTGGAGACTGCGCTCTCGGTCTTTGCATTCCTTCTTGAGGTGGTCAAGGCGAGCTAAGTCGCCGGCCTTCTTGGTTGACTCAATCAGCTCAGTGTTCAACCTGGAGCTTTCATCCTCGAGGCGACGAATCTCCGCATTGGTATCCTGGATATCTTGATCCCAGGAAGCAGTTTTAGCTCGCTCTTTTGCGTGCTCGAGGCCGGACGTGATGTCCTCAAGCTTCGACTCAAGTGCCGCTTGGGAACCCTCATCAACATCAATTGCATTGAGTTTCGTTTGATAGCTCGTTGCCTCCTTGTCATTTGCGGCAATCTGTCGCTTAGCAGCATTTTTGGTCTCTTGAAGAGCCGACTTGGTTTGCCCAATCTCACTCAACCTTTCTTGCACCTCACGGAGCTCTTTCTGGGCTTCACGCTTTACACGATCCAGAGACTGATTCTGCTCTTTCAAAAGGCGCTTGATCTTCTGCATGAATGTCTCAATCTCAGACTGATCCATTTTGTCATCAAGGCCACGAATGTTGTTAGAGCGAGCAATCTCATTGATCATCTCCTGGCGCCTTTGAGTCTGGCGCTCGAAATTGGCTTTATCGTTCTCAAATCTTCCGTTCTCGGCCTGTTTCAGACCAAGGCGATGCCGAGTCTGCTCAATGCGATCTTTGATTTCCATATATTTCTCCTTCTGGGACTCTTCTTCATGCTGATAATGGATCTGCTTCGTTTCAAATTGCTCTAGGGTGGATTCGAGCCATTCATCAGAGTCATCAAGCTCAACTAGATGTCTCTTGAGGTTGTCAATGGTGGTCTGGATGCTTTTAGCTTCGATGCGCTTCCCCTCAAGAGCACCAAGGACTTGGGCGTAGCTTTCAGACTGCGTCCAAGCCTTATCCGCAAGCTCTGCGACACGCCGCATCTCTTTCGACATCTGCTGAGTTTCTTCTCGCAGAGCCTCGATTTCATCTTGAAGCTTGACGGATCGTTTCTCGGCGCGGTCTGCCTTGTCCTTGTCTTCTTTCGCATGCTGTTCCATGATCTTGTATTTGCCAAGCTCCTCGTTCTGCTTCTTTCGCAGAGCTCTGATGTTGTCGATGGCCTTTGTGTACTTCATCGCCTCAAAGATCTCATCAAATCTCTTTTTCAACACCGCCGGTTCACTCATCGGCCACAGACTTTCGTCTTGATGACAGAAAATGACCGAATCAAGCACAGCCCTCGACACACCCAGATACTGTGGCAGGATTTGGTCTAGCTCGGCCACTCGCGATGATATAGCCGTCCGTTCGCCATTTTTGATCATCAGCAACTGACCCTCAAGTGTCTTCTGTTGTCGTGTGGTTTTCTTGACCGTAAGCTGTAGACTGCGCGTAGCAACCATTTTCGCTCCGGAGGTGCTCTTGAATGACAGCTTCACCTGAGCGAGCACCTCTTTTTCGCCACATAGCTTTGGATCGTGGATGAAAGCACCGCCTTTGCTGTTCGGAGGGAGGTCGCCCGTTGTCGCATATTTGAGACACTCGATGATGGTCTACATCCCCGTTAGTTCCCTGCAGGTTGCACGTCCGAGTCACCAGTTTCGCCATTGCATACCGTTTTCCCTGATCCATTATATCCGACAATCAATGTGAGGGGTGTATGAAATTGAATCGTTTCGCTGCGTGTATTATCGAAGGACCGGATTCTATGATAGGCGTGGTTTGATTAGCACGAGTTTCAATACCCTCCGCAGTTGTTGCATCAGGTCCGGACATGGTAGAAACATACCCCAGAATAGAGAGTTTATCAATCTTCGCTGCGGTATGTTAGATGTCCGTTTAGAATCTTTTTGCTGGTCAGAGTATGGAACCGCTGCACTTACACCTGAAGAACCATTAGCATCGCGACACACCACCGGTAAATAATTCCTCCTTACATCTTGCAAAAGCACTCCGATGGGCAGCTGAGCCCGTTGTAATTTTGCCCTGTAAAAAACCAGCGTCATGCACCTGGAAGAAGGGTCCTGGGGTACGGAGTAATCAAAGCGCTCAGATCTCATGGATACATAATCGGTCACATAGTCCCGCGTTCAAGGCGACACGAAGTCACGTGCGTTGCGATAAAGTGCAGACTGCAGAGTCCAGAGTCCAGACCCACATAGATCGACGGCGTCAAACCCGCAATGGCAGAGTACTCCGTACTCCTCCGTACATTCTTTCCACAGGGAGTTCCAAGCCCTCAATCTAAATGATGTGCACATCCTGAGAGATACACTACTCAGCGCAACGCAAATTGGCCACGAGCGTACCGCAGGCTCGAATTTGGATAATGGTCCCTCCAACACCCGCTCGACTATACCCATCGTCTCGTGCGGGCATCGTCTTCTAGCGAATCCCTTGGATCTTAATGATAAACACCGAATCCGAACAATTTCACAACACATAGGCCTGGTGCCCACAACATATTTTTCCCTCGCGATTTCGTCCTACGCTCAATATGGCTCTGAGTGGCCCGCAGGAATATGAGGGGATGTCCCTAGCTACTTCCCAGATGAGGTCAGGCCCCAACGAGGGGCATCCGGTGTACGCAATGGAGCAACAGCAGATCCCCGGATCCTATGGCCCACGGTATGGGATGCAAACTGCCCAACACGGAGGATACTCGAATGTGCAGGATGATTCAGGATGGACAGAGCGCGTGCTCGAGGAAATGAAAGACATGCTGCTTCTCTTGACCCCTCTGGGCCGGATCACCTACGCCACGCCATCAGCCAAGAACATCACCGGCCGTACACCGAAACAGCTTGAGGGAACCATTCTGTCACAGTACATTCACAAGGACGACCAGACAGTTCTCCAGAAAGACTTGGAGGAATCGGTCGCCACAAACCAACCGTTCCGGACCCACATACGATTTCAAAAGACCAACGGTACATACTGCCTCATGGAGGCTCATGGTCACGCACATATTGCCAATCAGTTCGAGCTTCAGGGTCGAGAGACACCGGCCAATGAGCGCTGCACCGGCTATTTCCTCGTGTGTCGACCGCATCCCAGCAAGATCTCGCAGCTGCTTGACTCCTTTTTGGAACACAAGGTTGAGAACGCACGTCTGATTCACCAAATCGCCAAATTGAGGCAAGAAGAAGATGAAGAAGAGGCAACTGGCTCTCGGGTCTTTTACCCCAAGGCCGAATTGGACACTCGCGCGCCGACCGATGTGCAAGCCCAACAAACCGCCCGGTCAAGGGAGGTAACTAGTGATCACGACTCCACGGACACCGTGGGGCCGAACTCGGATGAATCCGACACGAGCCAAACAGCGGACTATTACCAGGGGCCCAATACCGGCGAAGCTTACTCACACATACAGGGTATTGAAGTCATGACCGGCCTGCACTACGCCGAGGGCGAGAGATCGCAAGGCTTAAGTACAGGGGCCAGTCGTGGCGGGCTTGTGCACTGCGAAATTGATATCACTACGGCCGCCGACCAAGAGCGCAATGTCCAGGAGGGTGACCGGCGTAAGAGACTCAAGGGCCAACATGTCTGTAGCGACTGCGGTACGGCAGACTCGCCAGAATGGAGGAAGGGACCCAACGGACCGAAGACTTTGTGCAATGCCTGTGGCTGTAAGTCCTGTCCATTGCCTTTGATTCCCGACTCTAATCTATACCCCCCGCCTCCAATATCTCTGTTCTCCAAATATTCACTCTTGGCAAGACATGGGCTAATCAAGATAATATCATAGTGCGCTGGTCTAAAAAAGAGAAGAAACGTCAGGAGTCAGCTTAGTCTTTACTCCGTACTGTCCGGTTTTTCCGCTTCTCTTGGGCCTTGTAAAGCCCAGAGGAGATGATGTTTACGAATTTTCCACGTTTCTCTTGTGACATGTCAAGATACCCTCTCCGTTCTTGGAACACTTCGCTGTTCGATCATGCTGTCTATTGTGCTGGATTCGAGCTTCTCGATTTCCAATGATCATACCTCCAAACGAGCCTCAGCCTGTTATGGTGGGTGGAGCGTTTTGTGCGCTGCGGTTCCGATCACTTCTCGGTTCGGTGTGTATCCGGCTGCTATTACTTGGCCCTGCTTTTACGAGCATAGTGTAATTCAAGCATACGAAATTGTACATGTCTTTGTTATGCCAACTCAAAAACTTTAAATTAGAGGATTTTCAACGAACATAAGCGTCAGAGTATATCAAAAGTCCAAGGCCGACAATGACGGTATGTACTGAGGACTTGGAGGGCACTCAACCAATAAAGGCGAGCCCAGGGGCCATTGAACACGGTGAGCAAAAGGCAAGGAAACTCAACCCACTAAACGCCGTTCTTGCCCCGGTGAATAATGAAAGTGGATGTATGAGCAGCAACAAATGGTATCACAAAAACAATCCCGCACGACAAACAACAACACCGATCCCTTCAAGACTTAGCCGCCTTTTTCGGCGGCGGCGGGGAAATACATCGGTGACCCACCCGAGCTCTCCGAGCCGACGTCTTGTGGATGCGTGGATTGAGGTTGCGGCGCACGAGAGTTGTCCCGCAGTGGAAGATCTGAGGCGGTGCTGCCATTACCGAGTCGGTTAAAGGCCAGGGTACGCGGAGCGAAGGGTGAGATATTTCCTCCAACGGCCATGGGGGGGATGCCGGGGGTACGGGGTACCATGCCTGGTCCTCGGGGCATTGAACCGGGAGTCATGGGGATCATGCCGGGAGATTTGATGACTTCCTCTTCGAACTCTTTCTCGATGCGTCGCTCTTCTCTCTGCTCCAGGATCTCTTCGCGTTCCTCGGCGGTGATGAAGCAGGAGTGGATGTTGAAGCCGAGGATGACTGAATAGTACACACTGAGGGGTTGTTAGCTGGGTGGTTCATAGAAGGCTGGAAGGCAAATTTGGTTTAAAAAGGAAGGTCGAGCGTACATAATGATGACTGTGACGGCAAACAGCGCTTTGGCTTGCATGCAATATCCGATATTGGACTTTCTGAAGGCGACATTGCAATTCTTTGCAATGTACCAGGGTGCTCCTGGCTGAGGGTGGTTGGGATCTGACGTATCGGAGCCTGCTTGGTAGACTGCTGACACAAGATAGAGAGCGATCAAGGACGCGTGGACGGCGACCGCAACGGGAGGGTAAAACAGATTCATCCAGTGGGTTGGCAGCTTGGTGATGAGGAAAAACGTGCTCAAAACACCAAGGACAAGGTTATAGCTGGTGATACTGTCCCGAGTTAGTGATGATTTCTTCAATATAGAGTACTGCGAGTAACAACTTACAAGCTTGACCATACCATAGGGGGCGTAAATTGCCTGTAATTCGCTGCCGCATATAGAACCTCATTTGGAGCACTGTTGAAGCCATTGTCTGCTCCGTCTTGCCACAATAATGTTCGGTATAGATCGTGAGAAGCGATACCAGTCAAGGTCAATATTACGATGGTGATCGGGAGCTCGCCGGCCATCAAGTAGAGGACGAGCCTGTGGTGCTTGTGCTTCTTTGGGAAGAAGAACTGCATTTTGGCAGTGATTTTGGAAGGCTCGCAACGAAGATCGTCTCTGCTCTTATGTCCAAGCTGACCGTTCAGCTGAGCCTTATGGCAGAATCAAAGCTGTGTACAACGCGATTTGGCCAGGCCGGCTGGCTTAGACATCCAGTCTTCCACACTTAATAACCAAATGCTTCAACGTGCAAGAAAAGATCAAAGAGAAAGCAAAAGAGCACGAGTCTGGGCGATCCGGAGGGCGAGCGTTAGATATGGGTTCAAGGCCAGCGAGTGGCCGACGGAACAAGCCATCGTATGCAGGAGGGGGCACGAATCAGCATGGGACACCCGTGCAGAGGACCTGAAGTTGTATTTGCAAGGTGCATCTGGCCAATGCTTGATGGCGGCAAAGCGCCAGTGTCAGTAGTAGCCCGGGGTCATCACACCAATGAAATGGTGAGAATTGTGGCTGGGCTGCCGGTCGTCACACGCTAGACGGTGTGATAGGAGGGGAGATCTGCATCGAGCGCCCATCACATTATTTCCCTCGCCAAAACCAGTGGGATCTTGGCGCTTTGAGGGAACTTGCAGCTTTAGTTCAAAGCGCTTGGTCAACCGCTAATGTGGAGTGATGTGAGTCGCAGACTCACAGTGTACATACCCATGACTCTACCCATGTTAGTCTGGTGTCAAGAAAATGAGAACAAAGAGGATATTCTCCAATTTCAATAGCCATGATTCATACCCATAGTCAGGACGTATTGAGTGACATCGTGAGGTCGACTCAATGCTGGTCGGTTGTTGTAGAAAGGAAGTCATGTGGTCACGGATAAGTCCCAACCTGTGACGATCTACAACGACAGTCTCATACCCAAGACGCAAGTTCTATCTTTTTGCAAGGATAGTACATCAACCTATTTGATGGAAGTCGTCCAGACATATCCCTCTAGTTTGATTCCTATATGTATCTGATGAAGTCGTTCTACTCATTGTGTCCCTCTCGCTCCATCTCACCCCGCATCATCCGGCATAGTCAACCTGTGTTCCGCTCAATTTCAAGAACCACAGGCCAAATGAGCTCTCAAAGGGAGGATTCAATTCCCCACGAGCTCCGGACAGCTGCAGAGCCCCGGCAGAACAGACTATATCCAGTGCGCTTGTCGCATATTGAGCAGGTCAACCCCTCCGTTAGACTGCTACAGTTTGCTCTGCCTCCACCGGAACCTAATGTATGGCAACATATTCTTTTCCTTTGATCCCATCGCTAGTAAAATACCTGTCATTCTCAATCCATACCACGTCCGCTACCATCCCGGTCGCACGCTCTCTATCCCCCTGTTGCATCCCCACCGAATGCCCCCGCACGGCCAACCCCCGGCTCCAATCACATCACTCGTCACATATCATGCTCATGCCAAGAGCATAGCTAATGAGACTCATAGAATACCAATCAACAGCCCTCTAGCTTCTTACCAGGTCAATGGCTTGATGTGAACATTCCTTCCATTGCCCAGGCGGGCGGCTTCACTATTACTTCCACCCCCGCAGATGCAGAAGTGCTGCCACCCCCAGAGGCTTCTGTAGATCCATTAGTTGGGGAGGCACTGGAAGCCTCCCCGGAAACAGAAACTCAGGGAAGACCACCTTATGTGGAATTGGCTGTACAAGACTCGCCAGGTAACCCTGCTGCCGCGTGGCTATGGAGACCGAAAGAGGATATCCTAGGCAAGGAGCTGAGTATCCGAGTCGGAGGAAGCTTCGTCTGGCCACCCGCAGGGGTCAGTCTCAGCAACATCAAGAACGTGGTTCTTGTCGCTGGTGGTGTTGGCATCAAGTAAGTGATAATCGCCCAAGTCTCGCCATATCAGATGTAAAGGAGAAAGACTAATACTATTGTCAGCCCACTGATGTCCATCCTCTCACACTTGAACAACAAGGGACCCCACACCAATAATCCGAAAACCATCCGCGTTCTATACTCCAGCCGTCTACCACAGGATCAGGGAACAGCCTCAGCAGACACGAAACTAGACCAGATTCTCTTCCTCCCGCGTATACGCCAGATAATCCGGTCTCAGGAGAGTTCCCATCGTCTCCAAATCTCTCTGGACCTGTTCCTCACGAACTTGGCCTCGGCTGATCTGATGTCTGCTGGGTCCACGTCTGACATCAATATCCACACAGAGAGAATATCTGGTGCTGATTTGCGCGCCGCGGCTCTGGGTAAGGATACCGAATTGGATCCTCGGGGAACAGTCTGCTATGTTTGTGGACCGCCTCCTATGACTGATGCTGTCGTGGAGAGCTTGGGTCAGATACTCGGGGAGGGTGGGAGGCAGCGTGTTCTTTTTGAGAAATGGTGGTGAGGAGAGGCATGTGAAGATGGTACTTCCAGTGCCGATGTAAACTACTCTCAGGCGATTCCATTGCAGGTCCGACTCTTCTATAATTCGGTAGACCAACATGAAGATCCAAGCTTACCTAAGGTACTAAAGGTGCAGATGGAGGGAGACTAGGAGAGATGGCTTAATATTTCAGTACAAGATAGACTCCCCGCAGACGCCGACCTATTGCAGGCAAGGGGCAGAAATAGATATATGTACAGTACAGGAAGAACAGGACCGCTGACAAGAACGGGAATGACAGTATGTGAGGACAGGGGCAGTACAGACACACTGACATCTCGGTGCAATATAGAAGAGAAAAGGGAGGGAAGAGAAAGATGAAAAAAAAAAGATGCAGTGAGATCAGACTCCATTAGGATGCTTCTTCTGGACCCTTGACGGTACCGCGATCCACGATCATCATTTCGTCGATTTTGGCTTCCGTCTTGCCCCATTCTAAACGCTTGTATGTCATGACGCGACCGGAGCCCATGTCAAAGTCGAAGAAACGCACTCGGCGGACGTAGTTGTCGTAGCCACCGTATCCGCCCATTCCCACACCACCGCCGTAGCACATCCAGAGGGAAGGCTTCTCGTTGTCATCATGCTCGAGCATGCAATAGTCGTTGACATGGTCGCTGGAGAACTATTAGTATTTACAGTGGCATAGAAAGAGGGTTGCAACTTACTGTCCGCAACTGACAAACAAGACACCCTCTTCTTCGAGAGCACTCTTAAAGCCGGAGTTGAACCCGGGTGCTGTAGGGGGTTCCATCCACGCGCCCTTGAAGTACTTTCCAGGCATGCGGTACTCAGGGAGCGGGATGTGAATGAATGCCACGTTCATGTGGATGTGGGAGTATTCATGATGCTTTCTTTGCAGACTTTGGGCGGTATTCTTGAACCACCGCGTTTGGCTCGGTTTGATCCAATCGTACCCACGGAACTGACGCTCGTCGGGAGAGTAGGAATGTGTGTCAAGGAGGTAGAAGGTCAGGGCAGAGTGTGTGCTACCACCACGGTCGAGGACTTCGACAATGTAATTTCCGACCCCGTCAATGTCTTCGGGGCCAGCGGCTGCGAGGGAGTAAGGGAGGTCTTCGTATATGGCCATGAGTTGTTCTCGGTTGAGGTCACCCTCATCATCGTGATTTCCAAATATAGCTGCGTACGGAATTTTTCGATCAATCAAGAGCTTGACGGACTTGAAAAGAGCACTTTGAGCATCGGGGGCTGTCTCTCCATTGATCTGGTCACCAGAGAAGATCACCATGTCCGGCTTCTCTTCGTCGAGAAGCCGCTCAACAAATTCCAGGGTTCGAGGGTCGGCTTCACACCTTTGGCCAGCCACAGCTTCCGCAGGAACAGGATCACGACAGGCGCCGAGGCCTGTGCTCATGTGAAGATCTGCCAGCTGCATGACCTTGAACTTCTGGTTGTCGTTGATTCGGGGAATCGGTTTCTTGGCCTTAGCCAGCGGGTGTCCTCTCCGGATACTAAGGCGGGTCTCCAACTGTTCCGTTGTACTATCCAAGAGAATGGGTGTATCTTTGACTTCCCAGTTGGGACGAGGGTCGACGGCATCCGCTCCAAAAAGGACATCGACGTATGTCACGGCATTCTCGGAATCACTAGCATGACGAGAGGAAGAGCGCTTGAGCCAGATACCTCCTGGACGGGGTTCCCACGCTTCAATCGCGGCCTTTCCGACATGTTCAGAGGTAGGAGTAATGCGACTGATTTTCAAGTCGATGACCACCTTGTCATCGGCACCCAATTCCTCCTCCTTTTTACGTTGGAACTGGACATAGGCACTCGAAGTCCAGGCCGTGCGGAGGTAGAGGTCCTTTTCGACGCGATACCAGGTTTCCGGGTCCAGCTTACAGCTCGAGAATGGGTTGAGTGAGGAACATGTGGTGACGGTGATATCTGTGATCACGTAGCCGGAATAATGCGATGGAAGGTGGCCATGAATGGACGAGGGAAGAACGCGAAATCGATTGTCGAGAACTACCACGACAAGGAGTATAAAAGTTGCAATTAAACCGAGTTGTACGCCCGCTCGGACCTAGGTTGAATTAGCCAAATCCTTCGCAAGGAGCAAAACAGTAGGAGTCCCATACTAGCCGGCGAGCCATGATGGAATTGGAATCACCCTGGCAAGGACTTGGAGAACAGCGAGACGCAGTGTCGCATGATGCCTTACGAAACACAGGAGTTTTAGACAATGGGAGAAGACCAAATTTGGTCAACTCTGGCTTATAAAGGACAAGTATAATTTGTTTTGGGGATCGAAGTTCGCCCTCGACGCTCGCACTTGAAGGCGGTGACTCCTGACAGACTGGTCCAGGCTCTGGTGTTTTGGCTCGTAAGCTTGTAGGTGATTTGTTGGCCATTGTCCATTACGTCCATTAATTCTCGCTAAAAATATCTCTAGGTATGTGAAAATATTGTCTATCGTCACATGTCTGTCTAGTTCCAAGTCTATCAAAGCAACCCTCATCTACACACCGAGCGAGGCCTTGGCAGCCACTTCACCGGCGGTCACCTTGCCACTCAGGATGTCTTTAGAAGTTGAAAGGATTGTGGACCAATTTGCAAAAGTGGTGTAGGGCATGCCTCGGCGCTGGCAATAGGTCACCAAATCTGCGAGGGGTCAGGTCAGCATTCCACTGGGTTTCAAGGCGGGAGGAGATGAGTACCTTTGCCCTCCTTGGCGAAGAGAAGATCGGTTTCCGCGGCCGCAGACAAATCGGAAACACCATCTCCAGCGTACAAGAGAATCGGGCGCTCTCCATCGGGCAATGCGGCATAGGGCCTAATCTCCAGTGACTTGTCATGGCCAAAGTGGCTAGTGAATGATTGTCAGACGGCATGGACAAATGATAATCAGAACGGCAGAGGCTTACCTGTCATCGTGATATTTGATCTGCCAGCCACCCTCGCTATTGATATCCTTGCCATCTCGGCTCACGGCCTCGTTGGAAATGATGGTAAGGTGTTCCGCAGGCTTGTGACCAAGGAACTTCTCCAGCAAGGCGCTGATGATGGGTTTCATGCCCGACGACAGGATGACAATGGGCACATTGTTATCCTTGGCCCAGTGGTAGAATTCCTCGAAGTATGGGTCCAGCTTCATGTTCTTCAACAGCGTATCGATGCACTCGTTGTATGGCATCTTGATACTATCGAGCATCTCGCGGAAGGCATCACTAGAGACAGAAGAGGTCAATTAGGGTTACTTGTGAGATATACAGTGATTTCAATACCTACCGGAAACTCAAGGTCTCGTCAAGCACCTGATCGCTCAACACTTGGCGCTTTTCCCGGCCAAAGCCAATGTTGTCGATCTCATGGGTGTCAGTAAAAGCATTAGGTGGAAGTCGGGGTTTGATATACCATGAAGTCATTGCCTGCGATTGTAGTCAACACTGGGGTTTCTAGCACTATGCGGGGAAGACTCACTGTCATCGACGGTGATTGTCCCATCAAAATCGGTGAAAAAGATGAGCTTGGGCTTGGTCTCCATATACGGGAGAGAAGTGGAACCCATAGTTGCCATATATATCGCGCAAGCAATTGGATAACTGTGCAAATGATAGAGACTGTACAATTGCAAAGATGTAAAGAACTGAAAAGCCAGAAGTTTAGAGATGGACTGCCCGGTGAAACTGGGGAGTGGGTCAACTACCGTAATGGGTTAGTCTCCGATCAGCCAGATTTTCCTTGGGCAAACTTTAGCTTCGGACTGTTTATATGCGGAGGTTTAGGTCAACTTCATCTCCTGCAATATCATGTCTCGTTTGCGCCAGTCTATTCAGCGTCTCTTGGGCAGGACTCCATCACCCGGGGCATTGCGCGCTCGGACAATTGACACGAATTTCTCCATTATCAAAGGTACTTAGTGTGCAACAAAGTAACACTGTTCCGAACATCCGACTAACCACATGCGCAGAGGGAGATCGAGTCATTTTACATGGCAAACAGCCCGCATTATCGAAAGCATTGAAGAAGGGCGACAAGATTCAAACCCATAAAGGAGCATTGGACCATGATAGCATCATTGGGAAACGGGTCTGGGACACTGTACAATCTCGCAAAGGTCAATCACACCCAACGCTCAGTATTCCATGAATAGGTCACTGACATCTTTGAAAAACAGGCCATCCAACTCGGGTCAGCCTCCCAACGTTAGAAGAATACGTCGCACTGACCCCTCGCTTGGTTACGCCGGTATGCGCATCACTCCCGCGATTAGACAACCGAGAAACATTGGACTCACGCTATCCTAGTAGATCTACCCACAGGATGCCAATCTGATTGCTTCCCTCCTCGACATCCACGTCAACACCCCTGCCACCGGCGAGACACAACCCCCATTGGAAATCCTGGAGTCCGGAACAGGCCATGGATCCCTGACGCTACATCTGGCGCGCGCCATCCACGCCGCCAACACCACTCCTCCGCCTCGTCCAGCACGATCACAGATTAATTACATTGAAGGCCGGATCAGCAGACCGGGCGAAAAGGACTCGGAACAAACAGAAGAAAAGCGGGCCGAGCCAGTTGCGGATCCTGCACAGGAGGAATGGGATGCGTGGCGCGCGCAGCGCAACGCCATCATTCACACCGTGGACGTTTCGCCAAAGTTCTCTGCATTGGCTGAGAGGAATGTCCGTGGGTTCCGCCGCGGAATCTACTCAGGGAACGTCGATTTCTACGTGGGTCCTGTCGAGACCTGGGTTGCACAACAGAAGGAGCTGCGAAAGAAGACTGGCCTAGCCTCGCTAGCTAGAGGAAGTACTGTCGAGCCGTTCCTTTCACATGTTATTTTGGACATGCCGTCTTCAAACTTGAGGGTTCCGCACGTTACCCCGATTTTGAAGCGTGATGGTCTTCTGGTGGTGTTCATGCCCAGTATCACGCAGATCGGCGAGTGTCTGCAGCTGATTCGGGACCAGCGACTCCCCCTTGTTCAAGAGAAGGTTATTGAGCTTGGGTCTGGAATCAGTGGCGGCCGCTTGTGGGATGTGCGCTTTGCGACTAAGAAGTCCGGCGCTGACCCGGCGTCTTGGGTTGCTCCTTCAGATGCAGAAGGTGCTACTCCAGCTGAGGTTGACGAGCAGTCCGGCGCCTCTGATACCTCCTCTGAGGTATCTGCTACAGAAGAGCCCCTTAAAGGAGGCGAGTCTGTCTTGGTTTGTCGGCCTAAGGTCGGAGTGCGTATCCAGGGCGGCGGCTTCGTGGCGGTCTGGCGGCGTATCGAAGACCGTTAAGTTCCTGCCTTCCTGCCCCGGCTGACCCATGCATATGCCCTCTTCCAACCCTTGTACTATACACCTGTAAATTATTACGTCTCTGATAGAGACCTAGCTCATTTGTACCATATACCTATATTGTGAGAATGCTATCAACGAAAGCCCCGAGCGGATACCAAAACAAGCAACAAGCACATCACAGCTTCACTCGACCCTCCGTCCCGGGAACATGCTCCAAAACCCAAGTCTTCACATCAGCAAAGAACTTCTCCGTCGTCTCAGGCAACTCAGCATGCAACTTATGATAAGCATTCTCATAAGCACAAAACTGCACATCCCCACCCTTCGCCTTCAATGCCTCCACGAACACCTTCGTAGCAGGGAACGCCGTAATTCGATCCCCAGTACCATGCCCAAACCAAAAGGGCAGCTCACTCTCCACCCATCCCCCAGCCCCCTCAAACATCCCCTCCAACCAAATCCCCCGGTCCAACATCCCCGCCAACCCCTCGAAAGTGCCCGTATCATGGCACAGCGTATCAGCCACAAAATCTCTACATACCGCCTCATCACGGGACAGCAGTGTCGCCTCAAGCGGCGTATACTTCTGCATATGAGGGATGAGCTTCGCGACGATCCTGCCGGATGCGACTAGCAGCCTCGAGGGGCGGGTTGAAGGGTCCAAAGCGATTAGAGGGGAATACAGCAGCACGCCGGCGAAGCTGGGTCGGCTGGTCTTATCCTTGTTGTAGGGGGAGTCTGGATGGAAGATGTAGTTGAGGGTTTGGCCGCCGCCCATGCTGTGGCCCATTAGGAAAAGGGGTGCATTCTGGGACGGCAGGCTCTGGAGGAAAGAGTGCATGTCTGCCAGGACTTGGCTTGTTGGGCCTGTGTTGCCGCGGTCGCTGGGTTGTTTAACGCTGCGGCCCCAGCCTCTGGTTTTGGTATTAGTGTGGCTGTTGTATTGAAGTAGATTAAGGCCGAAGCCCAAAAGTTGAGGTGGAGTTCGGTCTTGGTAGTTGATCGCATAGAAAGGACTCTGGTATCTTACCGCTGATCAAAAGACCTGACCTCAATACCAGCTGAGACTAGGGTTGGAAACAGTTCGCCGTAGGCATTGCCTATGATAGTTACGCGTTAGGGCCTGCGTTATAGACGATCGGCTGTGCACTTATTGCTTGAGACTCACAGTGGTCACTGAAGCCATGAATAAAAGCCAATATAGCACGTGGAGATCCACTGGTCTATGCAGTGACGAACGATATTAGCTTTTGGACATTCATTACTTCAGTATGAAAGGCGTCCATGCCCGTCTGAACCCATTTTGAGCAGGACCGAAGCTGCGGCTGTGTTCTTGCCTCGTTGCGAATTCAACGTACCTTCCATGTCTTGGTATACAGCTCCTGGCCGTCTGGGAGATTGTGTACGCCTTCCTCGGTGTTCATTCTGGCTATTGTGGCTTGTTTAAGAAGCTTGCGAAGTGGGGAGATTGTGAGAGATGAGATGGAATTCAGATGGAGTCCCTTGCGCCGTTTTGCATGTGATACGACTCGTATGTACGAGGACATCATGCCAAAAAGTATCACGCGCTATCATATGCATTCTACTACCTACACGTGTATATCGACAGCTGGATTCAATCTCACCATGGATATATTCTAATCCTCCTCAATACCACCGATAGACATGCACAAAACGGAAATTATGCGATGCTCGAACAAAAAGGAATCGAATTGTTCTTAATACAGCTGAAGTCCACGAACCCGGTCTCAGCTTCCAGCCTTATCTATCTTGGATCCTCAATCGATTCCGTAGGGCTACGAATGTTTGTTCGAAATCCTTTCGATTTGGAGCAATCTCTACCAAGTACCAACAACCATTTGCCCATGGCGCGAGCATGATCGGTCGGGCCCACTTATATATGAATAAAAAGTTTGATTGGCTGACATTTTCATCCAATCACAGTCTACCAGTGACATACTCCCTTCTGGACTATATCACGCCAAAACATTGGTAGATCTCTCCAAGCGTCTCTCGTTCAATCCCTATGTTATATAACAATTTAAAAAGGGTGCCATCAGCAGTCCCGCCGGCATTCTCACCAACTCTGCTGCGCCCAGCATTTCCACAGAGGATTTCGTCCGCCAATCCCCAGCATATGGCTCCAATCACCAGCCAAGCCTCGGATCGGTCTCTCGCAATACACTCGAATGAAGATAGCCTGGAGATCCGCCAGAAATATCGACCATTTATCTTGAGCGACAATGTCACCGATGACTGGGTCAGCAACCTAGACCTAACCACCGTAACAGAACTGGCTGAACAAAATCTGAAAGCTACAAACGAAAGATTGAAAGTGCTAGTCCTCTACGGCAGTCTTCGAAAGAGATCATATTCCAAATTGGTAGCCTTGGAAGCCTCCCGCATTCTATTCCGACTCGGCTGTGACGTACGCGTCTTCGATCCCGAAGGTCTCCCAATGAAGAACGAAACCGACGTCAGCCATCCCAAAGTCCAGGAGCTCCGCGAGTTGAGTGTATGGAGTGATGGACACGTCTGGGTTTCTCCCGAACAACATGGGAATTTGGTGAGTGAACCCATAACACCTTCAGAAGAGCCCGGATGCAAGAACTTCGTGTACTAACTCCCGCTTCCTTTTGCGTCCATAGACCGCCGTGTTCAAGAACCAGATTGACTGGATCCCCTTGTCCACTGGAAGTGTCCGTCCTACGCAAGGACGCACACTGGCTGTTGCCCAAGTATGTGGCGGGTCCCAGTCGTTCAATGCCGTCAACTCTTTGCGTATTCTGGGTCGGTGGATGCGGATGTTTACCATTCCGAATCAGTCCTCGATTCCTAGGGCGTACACGCAGTTTCCTGATGAAGGTCAGCCTGGAGACCAGCGGCTTATGCCGAGTGGGAACCGGGATCGTTTGGTGGATTGCATGGAGGAATTCGTCAAGTATACGATTCTGATGCGGCCTCATATTGGGATCTTTGCGGATCGCTTTAGTGAACGGGAAGAGAGGAAGGTTAAGGAGGCCAAGATGAATGGCTCTGCAACTCAATAGAACCAAGAAGACATAGAATATAGAACAAAATATAGACAGTTGGAGTGACAGTTCATTGAATAGTACTTTTGGGGCACGCTAGGTATGCAAGTAATCTCTGGGCGATCTCGACTGAGGTGTCCCAGGCTGCTGCCGAGTGCCGACAAACGAAGCACTTCCCTTCTTTCATTAGTGTCTGTCGCTCAGCATACGTCATACTTGGTTTCTGCTCTCCGCTGGGACTGGGAGTTGTCGCCGCTTGGTACTCTGGAAGCTCTGGTTGTCGTCCCCTGCGGGTGTTCTCGACCCTGACTTCCTGAATCAAGTTGAGGTTTGCATTCGCGACAGTCCTAGAGCGCTGCGTCTACAAGGAGGCATTGATCTCTTGGATACGAGCAGACTTAGGCCATGCTTTCGAATATCTGATGTCCATCCAGCAGCAACGTGCTACCCTCACGGAGCGGGGACGAGATATGGACATAGCTGCAGCCTCTCTAACGAAGAGACTGCGAGAGACGGAGAGAGCCGCTTCCTCTCCTGCCGCGCAGACTTCGTCCGGGGGAGAATGGAAGCGCAGTGCTAAATTACCGGACGCCCCGCTCTTCGACGATGGCGTCAGTGTGAAATTCACACCCTGGCGACGTGCGGTGGAGAACAAACTCATGCTCAATGCTGACCACTATCCGTCAGAAAGGTATGGCATGGCGTATGTGTCTACCCGCTGCGCGGGTAAAGCTCAGGCACAGCCCCAACCACGCCTGGACCCCACGGTGTCGAATAGGTATAAGACCGCTGTGGAGATGCTCGACCATCTCCAAATCATTTTCAAGGACCCCATGGAACGACTGATTGCCAAGGGGGATCTATTCGAGAAACTAGTGCCTGGCCTCCAGACATTGACGGTGTCGGACGCGTTTAATGACCCGGTAACCTTGGAAGATTTCGTAGCCAGTTGTAGACGCAGCGCTCTAGGACTGTCACGACTCACGAATGCAAACCTCGACTCGATTCAGCAAGTCCGGGTTGAGAACACACGCAGGAAGAGTTCCCAGAGTACCTCAGAGACAACTCCCAGCGGAGAGCAGAAACCGAGTTGCTGAGCGACAGACACTTACTAGGGATTTTCTGCACCGAGAAGCAAGTGCAAGTGCAAGTGCAACCCGGCGTAATTAGGTTTAGCGCCGCCGAATTGGGTAGGCGGAAATTCCTTGGCGTGCATCTCTTGCACATGAGAAGCATACGAGATGCAAGGCCTAAATAGGAATGGCCAGTAAAATATGACACTGCCATGCAGTAATAAAAATTGGCTATGCCAGCAGCTGAGGGTGCCACGTGATAGATAAACCTCTAAGTACTAAGAGTCTAAGGCTAATCTCCACAATATTATATCTTCACTGAGGCATCACCCTTTTTCATCTGATCATGTCGGGACATATAGATCTATGTCTACCGGCGCGTTCCTGCGCCAAGCTACGAACCCGGTCATGTGACTGCCAAGAACCACCGTGTTCACTGGGATCCAGGGGTACCTTCCTTCTAGACATCAATCAATCAATACAGAATACAAGACCATTGCGTTAAGCACAACTGTCCACTTAGCTGTGTACACAGGACCTAGCTGGTGATACCAACAGATCATGGACGCAAACGAGGCAAATTCTTGTGTTTATACCCAATTACACGAGTTTTCCCTATCTTTACCGTCGCCAATGTCACCATCGTATAACAATTGCCCCCTTCTCGAACCAGCGCTTGATATTCGCCGCAGCCCTGCCTTCGCGTGCCCTTCTGCCTTCGCGTGAGTTCCCTACTGAAGGAACCCCATACGCTTGGTCTCCGACGCCCGCGCCTCCGACTGCGAGCACCCTTCTGCCTTCGCGTGAGCTCTCTACTGAGGGAAACCCATTTAGGATGACATCGGTATGGGTCGTACATGGCCTAATCCTAAAAGGGATAGAGGGTGCTCGCCGTCGGAGGCTGCGGCGAAATATCAAGCGCTGGTTCGAGAAGGGGGCAATTGTTATATGATGGTGACATTGGCGAGGGTGAAGATAGGGAAAACTCGTGTAATTGGAGAGGGCCTACTCTCGAGGAGGCTCCTGCTCGGTGTAATCTGTGTAGTAATCGTAGTTGACGTTTAGCATACCAGCAATATTGCCTGTAGTACCAACACCCGACTTAGTGAAGATATCTATTTTGGAGATTAGCCTTACTTAGAGGGATCCGAGGAGGATGTCCATTGTCCCTAGTCCTCGTTCGATGTGCTCTCGTCACATACTAGACAAAAGCCTGCTCCTAGCTACTGTGCGGGGGTACTGCTGCTGTAAACTGACTCCAGACTCATTGACTCAGTAATCATAAAGCCATCGAAATGGTTTTTTTCTGGCAGTGATTTTTCATCCATCTGCCGTACTCCGTAGTGGCGAACATCTCAGTCGCTGATCTGCGACGTGCCAAGAAGCAGTGAGTCGTGACATACAAGCCAGATTCCCTCGGCAAATCCGGCATCGCCTGGTGTCGAGATGATCTTTTATCGACCTTTCAATTCATCTAATCATCTTTAGTTCCATACACTGAACTGCATGCAGCATAGATCAAAACTATGAAATGAATACTTGACAGCCGCGATTCCGCGAAACCCCTCACGGACTCCGTTCCCCTCACCCCACGATGCCTCCTCCATCGCCGCCACCCGACGGTGGCTACGGCTGGGTATGCGCTGGCGCATGCTTCTCCATCAATTGCTTCACATGGGGTGCAGTTGCAGTGCGTTCCTCTACCTAATAATCTACTTCAAGCGCGGTACCAGCGACATGATACATCTCAGCTCACCTCTCCCAGTCATACGGCGTATTCCTAGCCCATTACCTATCCGACAATGTCTTCCCCGAATCCACATCTATGGACTTCGCACTAATCGGCGGACTGAATTTCTCCATGGCAATGCTAGTGGCGCCTGCGGTGACCATCATCGCTCGCAAGTACAGCACGCGATTACCCATGTTCCTCGGATTAGGGTTTCTAGCAGCGGGATATGTGTGCGCCTCTTTCGCAAAGCAAATCTGGCACCTCTACCTGTCACAAGGAATTCTGGTCGGGTTCGGCGTTGGCTTCATCTACGTCCCCAGCATTCCGATTCTTTCCCAGTGGTTTGACAAGAGACGGAGTCTTGCGAATGGGATCAGTGCGGCTGGGTCGGGTATCGGTGGCTTGATATTTTCGTTCATGGATGGAGCTGTCATTGAGAGGATATCTCTTCCTTGGGCGCTGCGATTGACGGCTATTATCAGTTGCTCGGTGTTAATCGTTGCTACTTTGCTAATACGGAACCGTAATGAAGCTGTGCGGCCAACGCAGCGGGGATTCGATTTGAAGCTCCTGTATCGGTTGGATGTGTTTCTGTTGCTGTCATGGTCGTTTCTCAGCATGCTGGGGTATATTTCTCTGCTGTTTTCGCTCCCAAATTATGCAGAGGCTATTGGTCTGTCCAGTAATCAGGCCGCGGTTGTCAACGCGATTCTGAATCTGGGGACTGCTGTTGGGCGGCCTTTGATCGGTGTGGCTAGTGATCGTTTTGGCAGGATTGAAGTTGCAGGTCTTTTGACTTGCTTTTGTGGCCTTTCTTGTTTCATTATTTGGCTTCCTTCCGCATCATACGGTGTGCTCGTTCTATTTGCTATTATTAGTGGAGCTATCCTTGGGGTCTTCTGGGTTGTAGGTTCTTCATTGGCATTCTATCAAGTATGCGGCTGCTAATATTCTTGATAGACTATTGCCCCGCTGTGTGTTGAGGTTGCTGGGTTAGAGGAGCTTCAATCCTTGCTATCTCTATCTTGGTTCTTCATTGTCCTTCCGACAACCTGTGAGTTTTATACCTACGCTGGCTTGAAGACGTTGGACTGACCATGAACGATAGTTTCGGAAGTGATAGCACTCAAGTTACGCCGGCCATTGTCCCAGCATCCATATTTATATACCCAAGTGTTCTGTGGTATCGCTTACGTTTGTGCCAGCATGGCGTTACTTCTGCTCTGGTATCTGAGACGACAGAAAGCTCAGATAACGCGTTGAATATTTTGGGGGTTATCTTCGCTATTTGCATACATGTAGGGTCGACTACAGCTGGTGATTGGAGATACAAGGATGCTACCAAAACTGCCAGGCCCGTTAGAGGCATATTAAATACCGCGTTATGCAAGGTCATACATGAGACGAGTTGACCAAGTCTCGAAGTTCTCCAGTCAAACTGTGCAAATTGTCTGATATGTGATGTACACAATACCTAGTATCAAACTGCATTGCGGCTTGCCACCGATAGGGGAGTTAACAGAGCTAAGAATACAGTGCAAACCCGAAAAAAAGTGAAAGGTTCATGCTCCAGGTTGTACGCCGCCCGAACTTCCCCTGAATCATTCCCAGCTGATTAGGGCAGAGCACCAGTGGGGGTCTTGCTCTGGGCGGATTTTTCAGCAGAGTCTAAGTCCTGACTCCTGAATCTCCCAAACTTCTCGCGAGGCCGTTCTCAACAGATCAGGCGTGAGTAAAAAGCCGTGCTCTGGAGGCGCTGATGTCTCGGTGATGGACGCCTATTAACCAGCAGAATCACATGTTATCGAGCTCGTCAAATCAACACTCGGTGGTAAGTGGTGCTTCCTGTCTCTCCTCAACGTCGGATCTGAAAAAGAAAGATCTGCACCATTATCGGGATAAATGGCATGCGGTTGACGTGGGGTTCATCTCCGTCGAGGAGAGATTGGTCCAATTTTACAAGCGCCCAATCTGCTAGCTTGCTTTCTCGGTCACATATAGCCTTTCCGGATGACAAGCAAGTTTTGCCCAAAGGACGGGGCATTGTTGCGACAATCCTTTTTTTGGTCTCAAGCGAGCGTATCTGATTGGAGGTAGAGTCGATTGTAACTTCCAAGCGCTTGGGTACTTTGTCTCCAATAAGTAGACGCATGTCCTTTTCCTCTGTGATCGCAACTGCCCTTGATATTGAGGAAGAGATGGCCCAGTTAGAAAAAGAACTAGCTGCGGTCACAGAGGAAAAGGACATGCGTCTACTTATTGGAGACAAAGTACCCAAGCACGTGGAAGTTACAATCGACTCTACCTCGAATCAGATACGCTCGCTTGAGACCAAAAAAAGGATTGTCGCAACAATGCCCCGTCCTTTGGGCAAAACTTGCTTGTCGTCCGGAAAGGCTATATGTGACCGAGAAAGCAAGCTAGCAGATTGGGCGCTTGTAAAATTGGACCAATCTCTCCTCGACGGAGATGAACCCCACGTCAACCGCATGCCATGTGACGACGCGAAGCGGCGCCTTATGAAAGTCACATCATGCGTTGCATCATCGAGATCTCGCAGGCCGTTCTCTTCAATCTCTTGCATGCGTTGCATCATCGAGAGGCCATTACCGGCAAGCATGCTCACCGACCAGGAAGTAATTCGATACTGGTCGTGTGACGATCAGGCGTGTATGAAGAGGGTTGACAGACGGCCGTGGACTATGATGGCTGGCAAATGCCTAGTCCGAGTCTTGTGACGAGAGGGGAGTTGAAAGGCTTCTTGACTGATCCCTTTCTTCTTCATATTTGTTGTTCGAGCCAGGATGCACTCGTTTATTCGAACAACTGGCACGTAATAGGGGGTGTAACTAGATCTTTGTTTATTAGATCGGACGTTGAGGTGAGACAGGAAGCATCACAGTACCACTTACCACCGAGTGTTGATTTGACGAGTTCGACAACGTTGATAGGCGCCCATCACCGGGTCATTGGCGGCAATGCCAGACAACTGCGGTCTGAAACATTGGCCAAGTAATACGATTTCCACGTCGAGTTACTCCCGGAGAAAATTCGAGATGCAAAACGTCAAGATAGAATCACGTCTTGATGATACGAGGACGAATGGAGAGGAATCAGTAGGGATATGGTGGTTGTAGAATGATGACAAGGATAAGTTGTAACTGACTGCGAGCAGGGAAGATATAGACAGAGACTGTACAACCTAGTCAGTCCAGAAAGGGAAGGAACCGCAACTTAATTTCACCCCAAACTAGGAAGGAACCTATCCATGGGTCGAACCTTCCTCCTACATCTGGAATATACGCAGTATATCATATGATAGAAGAAGGTAAACACAAACCTTACACAAACCTTCTATGAAGTTTAAACATCACATCTTCTACCCGAACGTAGGTATCTAGTAGGCAATAAACTGTCCTGATGATTCAAACTTTTGCCACAGTCACACTCTGCCATACCATAATCGCTTCGACTGCTACCGTAATGCGAGCTTATCTTCGATCCTACAGACCAAGCAAATACTATCGTTCACTGAGACCCCCAATGCGACCTAATCTCTGCTCGCGTTGGGCCAGGATGTCTCAAATTGCTCCGATCACCATTGAAAGTAATTAGATGTAGTATTATGACTAATTGTTTACCAGCACCTGGGCAGAGAAAATGGCAGGATTTAGGGGAAGACTTCAAAGTTGGTACATTGAGTCAGTGATTTCGAACATGCCTGGTTTTCTCAAAGCCATAGCTTTTGGATGTCTTCTAATTCTGGACAAGGCGCGTTTAGCAGGTTGTATCGTCATCATCCAGGCAATACGACCATAGGACATAGTGAACAGGCCTTGCTCGGGTATACTTAAGCCGATAGCCCGATATTGTTTCAGTCGGCTTGCCGTCCCCCTTCGAAAGGGGGAATGTCTACTAGCGTGGGGAGCAATTGAGGTAAAAGTATCAGGATTAAGCGTGACAAGTCACAGGGGTGTCAGTCCCCGTCACCTAGAGTAAGTTATCTATCCCTCGCTCTAACTAGCCATAGTCCTTCAAATCCTTGGAACGGCTGGGAAAGGTATCACATACATAGTTACACAGTATAGGCTTTCCTGTATAGCCCTCCATCTTTACCTTCATCACCACCTTTACCAAATCCATGCTATGTTGCTGGAGATAGATAGTACTACCTCAGGTGTGGACTGTCAAAAGCGCCTCGGTTTCTGGTGAATCGACCCAAACCCACCCTCCAGGCGATCTTGCGGCCCTGCGTTTCTATTTCTATCCCAGCTAGAAATTTCCCGACCACTCGTGAACATGGCTTTGAGTCTTTGACATCATCTTGGTATTTTCACTTTCATTGCCTCGGCCGGATCTTGTGGGGTTCAGAAACAGTAACTTGCAGCTTCCTGGATGAAGAATCAAGATGATAGTGAATCAAGTGGGGCTGGTTCATCGCTCGCAGGGCTTGGCGACCCACTGGTAGTAAGAAGTTAAGAACTACTAAGACGAAGGCAGAGGATCTGACTTTTGATCTAGTCAATTAGCGACCTAGTAGAAAACCTGGCGACCCTATATCTAGGGACCAGGGAGATACTATCATACTAGATAACTAGAGCACGTAGTGTTTAGGGCTTTCCACTACTGCGAGAGAAAAGCATGTGAAGATGCCGGAGAGACCGTGTCTCAGCATGTCCTGGGGTCCACGCCCGAGCAAGACATTTGCTATGGCCTGTTCGGAGTCCTCCGTCATTCTTCAAGTCCTAATAATATTCTCGAGAACAATTCCTTTTACTAATTGATTGGCTCAAAATACCTGCTCGTGGGGGACATCTATGTAAATGGTTAAAAATAGTTACTTCAACTTACTTGAATTGTACGCAGTACTACATAAATAAGGGCAAGTCTCTCCCCTACTTGTCTTCAATTCCAACAATTCGATTTATATGCGAGATCTCAATAACCACTGAGACCTACCACGAAGACCGCCATCATGGTCCGTATGAACCTCCTTTTGGCCTTGGCCATCACCTCTTTCAGCGCCACCATGGCCGCTCCTGGGGCTTCCACTTGTGACCTCAAGTACGATGCCTGCCGTGGCGCCCCTGGTGCAAACATGTCGACCTGCGCTTCCGAGAAGGCTGCCTGTGAGGCTGCTGGTTCGAGTTGCCAGGCCCAATACGACGCCTGCCGTGGTGCCCCTGGCGCGAATCTGTCGACTTGCGCCTCTGACAAGGCCGCGTGTGAGGCTGGTTCGAGCTGCCAGGCCAAGTACGACTCCTGCCGTGGCGCCCCTGGTGCCAACCTTTCGACCTGCGCCTCTGAGAAGGCTGCCTGCGATGCGGACAGCGGAAGCACCCCGACTTCAACTGAGGCTCCTCAGCCCACCTCGTCCGGTACTAGCGACTGCCAGACTAAGTACGATGACTGCCGTGGTAAGCCTGGTGCGAACCTGTCGACCTGTGTCTCTGACAAGGCCGCCTGTGAGGCTGCTGGTTCCAGCTGCCAGGCCAAGTACGATGCTTGCCGTGGTACCCCTGGTGCCAACCTTTCGACCTGCGCTTCCGAGAAGGCTGCCTGTGACGGCACAAGCACCGTGACTTCTACTGAGGCTCCTCAATCCACCTCGTCTGGCACCAGCGACTGCCAGGCCAAGTACGATTCCTGCCGCGGTAAGCCCGGTGCCAACCTCTCGACCTGCGTCTCTGACAAGGCCGCTTGTGAGGCTGCTGGTTCCAGCTGCCAGGCTAAGTACGATGCCTGCCGTGGTACCCCCGGTGCCAACCTTTCGACCTGCGCTTCCGAGAAGGCTGCCTGCGACGCCAACAGTGGAAGCACCTCGACTATGACTGAGGCTCCTAAGCCCACCTCATCGGGCACTTCCGACTGCCAGTCTAAGTACGATGCTTGCCGCGGTAAGCCCGGTGCCAACCTGTCGACCTGCGCCTCTGACAAGGCCGCCTGTGAGGCTGCCGGTTCCAGCTGCCAAGCCAAGTACGATGCCTGCCGTGGTACCCCCGGTGCCAACCTGTCGACCTGCGTTTCCGAGAAGGCTGCCTGTGACGCCAACGGCGGAAGCACCTTGACTACAACTGTGGCTCCTCAGCCCACCTCGTCCGGCACTAGCGACTGCCAGGCCAAGTACGATGCTTGCCGTGGTGCCCCTGGTGCAAACCTGTCGACCTGTGCTTCTAAGAAGGCTGCCTGTGACGCGAACAATGGCGGCAGCTCCCCCTCCTCGGATGGCTCTGCTTCGGCAACCCCTTCACCTATCTTCAATGGTGCAAGCCGGCTCTCGGGCAATCTTGCTGCCGTGGGTGTCTTGGCTCTCGGCCTGGCCATCTAAGTTGTTAGTTGATTAAGTTGATTGCTTTTGTGAATTTGTAAATTAGAATGTACGAGTGAGCTGAAGAGGCGTATATAGAAAAAAATTAAAAAAAATAAGAGACAAGGAATTGGCTCGAAGTGATGAGATGCATTCTAGGCAGTACACAGTAAGGAGATTGTGAACCTTGGGGGATAGAACTTAGAAACCTTCCACGTGATGCTAATAGTATTCGGCTGCTGCACGTCAGACACTATCTGTGCCTTTCAGCTTACGGTGCGCCACAGGCCTCAGGCCTCATTCTACTTATTACTGCATACAATAAGACGATGTTAAGAGGACACCATAAAAACTGAAAGAGGAACAAAGCCAGGCTCTATTCTCGGCTGCCTCGCATAGTGCAAGACACGATAAACAATAAAACAAGTACAAGGAACAGACAAAACTCCCTTCGCCTAATTCAAAGGAAAACGAAAAGCAACCTCGTCACGGAGAAAAAGGAAAAACAAGAGGGTGGGAAAAGGGGGTATAACCCCCTTCAACCACCTGTTCCACCCGAACACCGAAGCCCCCAATCCTAAGTATCGTGAAGCCGTGTCAGATGACGTTAGAGATTAGGTGAGATGAAAGTGAGATGAATCGGGAAACTCAATGGGAGGAGACAAGGACACGGATAGAGGGTGAAGGTTGGAGGAGACACGAGGAGGATTCGGAGGAGAGAGACAAAAGGCAAGTGAGTACATGGAAACTGCACGGCGTTCTACTACATCCGAATTGGATACGAGAGAAGAACGTTGTTCGAGGAACAGATACTCCGCTAGCAAAAGGGAATACAGAGGGAGTCAGAGCAAAGGCGACATGAGGAAAACGGTTCATAAGCAGGAGAGAAAACACAGGAAACGAAGGAGAAGGGAAAAAAGAAAAGAGATACGTGAAAAAAAGAACACCATAAGACAGCTGACTACCTAGGTAGACAGCCACCACCCAAGAGAGTCCGGAATAACAGGAAAAAAAGGAAACCAGTTGGATAACACCCCCCCCCCCATCTTTGTAAGATTCAAATGCTCCAATTCGTTAGTGCCGTTGTGGCCCGAAATCCGCCTCTACCACCTTTCCTTTCTTGCCCTTTACCGTAAACTCCGCAAGCAATGCAACGTGGTCGCTGGGGAAATGGAAATTGGGGAATCCAGGTACCCGGCGTAGATACTCCTTGTCCACTTCGCCGAGCAGCGCCGACACGTGGAGAGTATTGGAAGAGTACCAAACGTAGTCCAGAATTGCCGTGAAGTCGGAGGTGTAGTTGGTGAAGCTGAGCTCTCCCATGGAGGAGTAGGCTGACTTCAACTTGAAGGGATGGGTCATACCAACACGGCTGAGGTTTCCGTAAAGTCGCTTCTCAAGATCCGGATGGTCTTCGGGCAGGCGTCCAGTGGAAATCAGGTTGTAAGCTGCAGACCCGGGTGAAGAGTTGAAATCACCGCACATGAGAACTGGGATCTGATCGCCGCTGGTGTACTCCATTGACGGAGCGGGTTCCACCACGGGCGTGGACTCTTCGGCCTCGGAGAAGCGGAATGCAGTCTTATCCGTGCAAGCGGGCCATTTGGCATATTTGTTGGACATCTTGGTAATTTCCTCCATCAGAATGGCCGTTTGAATAAGCTTGACATCCTTGAACGCCGGGTCCCAGTACAGATGAGCGTTAACACTGATGAAGCGAGCACCAGTCTGTCTGTTTTCCAAAAAGACGACAACGGCAATGTGATCTTTCTGCCACAATCGGTTGTAGATATCATCTTGGCCCTTGGCGTCAGGTCGTCGGACAGCTGTCTGGCCGAAGTTGATCAATTGCTTGTCCAACAGAATGTACTTGCTTCCCTTGAAGAACGTAGCACAGCCATCGACTGAGCGGGCATCTTCCTCCTGCATGCCCATTGCACGACCACGCGGCCAGTAGACACCCTTGTAATCGTTGTAGGCAAGTTGTTCCCGGAAGAAATTGTTGTAACTGCCTTGATCCACTTCCTGTAGGCAGACAATATCGGCATTATGGGATCGTAATTCGTTGAGGATAAGCTCGCGGCGATACTCCCAAGACAGCACACGGGAGGGCACATAGCCATAATGAGATTGGGTCGCGGAAGAGTCACACAGGGTGTTGTACGACAGAACGGTAATCTTTTCCGCGCTGCTGTTGGACGAGCTCGAAGTGTCATCAAGGATGACCCAATCACGGTCGGGAGGAGGGTGGTGGACTGTGATGATAAAGTTAGTGAGCATGCTCAAATAAATATGCCCAAGATCAGGGACTCGGCAGTAGCACACGTACCTGGCATCTCTTCTTTCAGGTACTTGATGAGAGCCTTGGTGCCGTCCTTCATGATCTGAGATTTGAGGACCTCGTTCAAAGGGTTGCCCTCGATACCCAGCGTTTCCAAGCGGTAGAGATAACCCATTTCATAAGGGAGGTTGCGAATGTTGTTGTCAAAGAGGAGGAGTTTCTTGAGACTCGAAAGCATGCCCACTTCTTCTGGCAGCTCTGTCAATTCATTACCGGAGAGATCAAGATGGGTCAGTTTGCGCAGTTGCCCAATAGCCGGGGGCAGCACCTTCAACTTGTTGGAGTTGAGGTAAAGCTTCTCGATGAAGGCATAATTGAACAACGAGGTGGTCAAAGCGCGCAGGCCTTGGCCACCGAAATCAAGTGCATTCCAGCCCTGTCGACTAGTCGTCTTCCCCGCAGTTGAACCATTGCGCCCATCCGTTCCACTATCCGTGTCATTCTGGCTGGAGATAAGCTGGATGCCTTTCGTTTGTTGTGCAATGATACGAGCATGGTAATGGGGTGAAGTGGCTTGACGTGACTCGGCCGCAAGCTGGAGCTGCTGCTGCCAATGCTCGTTCATTGAATCATCCAAGTCATCGTCTGCGCTGGGTCCGTTCTGCAAATGAGTCGATGTGAAGTGAGAGGTCGCGGTGGTGGCCAGTGAGCCGCCGGGGAAATTGTGTTGGTGGGTAAGGTTGTGAGTGGCCTGAGTGTGGTGGGTGTGATGGTGTGGCTGTTGTGCGTGATGGGTGTGGTGGGTTTGCGATTGGAACTTCGGGATCTGCATGCCAAACCGCTGGTGGGCTTGACCGCCATTCATCATGACATGCTGGCCTTGGTGGGTTTGGCCGTACATGTTGTTGAAAGAGCTGATTGCAGCAGTCTGGTTTAAAGCAGGGGATCGAGATGGGGAGGGGGTGTCGTTGTTGAATTTCAGTCGACCCGTGGGGGAATTGGTCCCGTTTCGAACGATGTGTCGTTGGTGTGGATTCTGCTGTGCTTGAGATTGGAAATAGAATTGCCCGGCCCCAGGCTGCTGGAACCTGTAGGTACCATCTGCCATTTAACGTGGCAGACGAGACCGTGTGTTGTTTCCCTGATGGAAAACTTGTTGGCGGGTGGGCGGTGCTAAGTTGAGCTGAGTTGAAAAGCGAGGAGTAGAGGATCGGAGACGGTCTCTTCTCTTCTTCCACATAGAGACCTAACAGCAGAACTACCCCTTGTATTGGACCAGGATTGAAGGCGCCGGTGACTTTGGCAGAGTTAAAGGCGTGCGATCGAGCAGTACCGAAGGGCGGAGATCAGGCGGATGGGTGGGAAAAGAAGGAGTGAATCAGCCAAAAAAGACTTCTCGAGTTGAGGGCAAGCCAAATAAAACCAGTCAGGTGAGATTGACGTAGCAAAATGAGCAAATCACACGATTGTCTTCCGGTCAATGGGGACGAGCTGAGATGACACTGGTGGTTTGCAGCGAGGCGGGAGTCACGGGGTCACGTGAATCGCCGCAAGGGCCAAGTGAGAAGCTTGGAAACTGCCAAGACTCCGTCGATGAGACTGACAGGGGATAACTCAGATAAGTATTTCTCTTCTCGCAAGTCGCAACTGAATGGTCACCTATCTAGCAAATTATCTTGCAGTTTACTGCACATCGATGGCACGATTATGGAAATATGCCACGTGGTCTAAGTTGCCTGCTCAACCGTGGGCGCAACCGTCTTTCGCAAGTCGAGACATAGGATTCAGGTTCCGCTCAGACATTTTGAAGCAAAACACAGAACGATGAAATTTAATTGGATATATACTACGGAGGGCATTTATGGATGTGGGATACAATGGGTGCGACTGTTAATTTGGGAAGTGAAGGGATGCCGAATGGCTTTGTGTACATGTAGGCATGGTTTAAGCCTCTGCTAACATTGCAACGGTTTTGGTGTTGCTGCGATCTTTGATTTCAGTAAATCATGGCAGAAACTCCTAGTCTGAGCTGGTAACAGTGGGGAAATATCGAGAGGATCAGTTCAATGTTATTTTAACAAGGCCCAGCCTAGGTTGTATGATACCTCTCATGATACCTCTCATCCTCATGTTGATGGTCCAATACCAAGAGACATAGCATACTCTACTGACGTTAAGAAAGAGAATATCCCATAAATCAGAGTCCTAGAGAGACGTGATATAGAGTTGCACAGACCCTGTATATACATATTGAAAAAGGGGAATGCATCCAGTGGCTTACGCCTATCAGCACATAGGTAAGGACTTGGTTTGGACTCCTACCTACAGCATACTGCGTACCATAGCTAAGGCTCATGTGATATATCTCATCGCTTCTTATTACCCACTGCATTTCTAAAAACAAAACAGACGGAGTACATAGTTGTGAACAAAGGTACGTGAGCAGACGCCATGTCAAACCCTGTCGTTGCATTGATTTCCCTGGATGTAGAAAGTACCAACCCCCTGGAAGTGGCACGGATCACCGTGTGTGCAAATCAGACGATCATATGGCAATAGCCGATACCAAGGACAAGTGCCTGGGACGGAGGCTTCTTTAGCGTCAGGGCACGGGCAACTCAGTGAACTGTATGATCGTATGAGATAGAAAAATAAAGGAAAAAAGACAAATGGGCTAGTTAAGTTTCGGGAGTTTACTTCGTACTTAAGTTAATTAAGGGGGGAAAGTCCAGACTCAGAACCGACACTATGGACATGGCGGGTAGGGATCTCCGACGGTTGTGTATCCAGTACCTGAAAAACATACGATATCCATGTGCTGTCTGAAGAGTATAAGTGCCGAGGCCATGGACTATCTAGTTCCTGCATACATGCATCACCCCTGGATGTATCTTATCAATCTAACAAAAATCAAAGGGGGCATTCTCTGGTAGATGGCCATGCTAATGCAACGAATTCTCAAACAGGTTACTCCTCCACCTTCACATATAGGCGATGTAGACAGGTCCGAGGAATCATAGTATGTCAAGTAACGAGGCTTAACGTAGTTGACAGGCTATATTCTGAGTCTATCGGCATTTGGCATTTCCCATTTCTGGTCACTGGCCCCCACGATCCATGGCTCCAATTTGAGTCATGATGTCAGTGACTTTGTGTGTAACTATATGTGAGGGAATAGGAATACTATACTGTGTAAGACTCGAAATACAGAAGTACTGTAGATTGAAACAAGACGACTATTGGCTACCCCAATTTCTTCAATACAAGTATTTAATAATTTCCTAAAGACTAAAGTACTAGACTCGAGTGGATATTCTATGCCACTTCCAGGGGTTACTGGACCTGCTTTTCTAACGCTTTTTCTCTCCCCCTCCCTATCCCTCCAACACGCCTCTTTGTGCCTTTTAACCAGATCACAATCGTTCTCTGCATATCATAGACCAATTCTTCTCTTGACGTCGAACAAAGAAATTTCTTCAGCTCTGCGCCCGGCCGCTAAGGATATTTTCCGAACCCGCTTTGGCCCCGTCCGTCAAACCTTTCCTGTTCGACTCTACTCTTTCATTCTCAATTCCCTTTCCAATTCGCCTCGGAAATATCTTCCTGCCGGCAGACAAACAAATAAGAGAAGCATGCCTCGTTCATGAAATCGTCACCTTAGCGCCGAGAATGCGACCGAACCCACAACCCATCTTCAGAGTCATCGGGGACACCAATCGAGCAACTTGAGCGCGGAAAACCTGATATGGACGCAACAGCAATGGGATTCACAGGCACAACCTCCGGGTCCGATATTCATTCCGCCCTGGGCTCGACCCTGGCCGCAAACTCTACTTCGTCCCTCGGCTCGCTCACTGACTACTCGACATACCCTCTGATGCGGCAGGGCGACCGCACCTATTTCCGCGACCCCGAGAACAACTACCCTCTGCCTTGCGACCTACCCGAGATCCACCGCCAAAGCCTGCGCACAGTGATGCTGCTGCGCGTCCTCGGCGGCCCGTTTTGCAACCCTTACCTAGCCAATCGCCCGCCCAAGCGCATCCTGGAGATCGCATGCGGATCCGGACTGTGGTCTGGTCTGTGCCACGAATACTTCGCCCGCAGGGGCCATCCCGATGTTGCCTTCGCGGGGATTGATGTCATTTCCATTGCGCCGGACATGCGCAAACAGGGGATGAATTGGCAGTTCAAACGACATGACCTACGACGACCCCGCTTACCCTTCCCCGACGACTATTTTGACTTTGTGTTTATAAAGGATGCGGGCATGTGTCCGTCCAGCCCGGCGCAATCCGCATCGGGCTTGAGTGAGCCTCTGCGCGTGCTGAAGTCGGGGGGAATCCTAGAAGTATGGGATTCAGATTGGAGCTTCCGCTCGTTGCTACCCAATCCGGCACCAGCCCGCAAAACTACCTCCAAAGAACAGGAGATTGCTGACACAACGGCGACATATACATTCTCCTCGGCCACACCATTCACGCGAGCGCAGAACAAATTCTTGGTGGATTATAACTCTTGGGTGGAGAAGTCCTTCGACCGCCTCAAGTTGACAGCGCTTCCGTGCGCAACCATCGGTCTATCATTCAATTCAGAAGTGGATACATTGGAAAATGTCGACAGTCGCCGTGTCGCAATCCCACTAGGCGACCTACGCTGGGAGCGAGACGGCCAAAGCAAGGATTCCAACGGCCGTCCGCGCAAGACCCTGACCCCCGAGCAGTCCTCCATCCGGCGCACGGCTCTTCTCACCATAATCCAGATGATTGAAGGGTTGGAGCCAATACTGATGGAGACAAGCGGGAAAGGCCGCGATGAATGGGACCGATGGTGGGCTGCAATGACAGCAGACCTGCTGCAGAAAGGCGGACTTACCAGCGGCGAGTGCCTTGAAGTGAGTGCCTGGTGGGGTCGAAAAAAATGAAAATCCCTTGACGTCAAATCGGAGTTCCGGCGGACCAAAGTCAAGTAGTGAGCATTTCTGCACTTTGTATTGGTGATACCCCCAATTTTATATTTCTGTCTTTCTGGAGTTCTAACATGCATATGATCTGAACGTTTTGGAGATGAAGTGAGAGCCGTGGGAATATTAGGCCTCACTTCCATATCGTTTATTCAGCGTCCTGTACCGCTTCAAATAGTACCTGGTTTTGTTATCCTGTCAGTGCCATCAACGCAAATGTTGTGTGCTGGAGGTGAAGAAAGAATGGTCCTTGCATGATGCCATGATAATGAGGATGGAATCTATGCACAGTGTATCTACCCAGACACTACGCCACTAAGGGCGCAATGTATAGAAGAATGACATGTACGAACAATTCACTTGCTCTCACTCGTCGTAACCCAGTATTTTAGACTGGAAAGGGAAGGAATTAGGGTGTCCTTACAGTGCTTCCACTTCTGCATGGCATAGTTAGCATCATATACCGGATTCCAGAGCTAGAGGAGCTCCTACCTTTCTTCACAAATTCAGCCCGCGCAACACCCTTGCGGATCTCCTCATCATCGGTGATCTGAGCCTGACTTGAAAATGCACGGTGTAACCGGTCCCGGAAATACTGGTATCCCAATGGATACTCTCGCCCCAAGAACAGGAGCTCTGCATCTCGAAATATTAGTGCGAAACAGACAAATTGCGCAGAGCGGACCCATACCTTTGTAGACGTTAATGACCTGCCGGCGCAACTCTGGATTTACCATGGCCGCTCCATTCACGAAGATGGGGATTGTTTTGGTAGTGGATGTTGATAGTTTGGGGTGAGATGCAGTGACGAAACAAGAGCTTCCAGCCGTCGGAGATTGTCGGTGACGTTAGCGGAGTTAGTCTGGTTATGCTCCCGTGACGTAGGAATGCTATCAACACGGTACAGATTACTTTCTGGTCGAATTGAACCTTGTAACCCTCCGGAGCCAAAGGCCCTTCACTCAATGAGCCAATTGATTTTAGAAGATGTATTGCATGATGAGATAGGCGCCAAACAGATTGATACACCTACATTACCCACACAGCAACCCCATGGGCGACAAAGTCACGCGGGGTTCCTGCCGATAGTGGCCCGAGCTTTTCTTATCGGTTATCAGCCAACTGTCCAGCGGCCAGCCTCGGAGGACCGGGGGGTGCTTGATCCTATTGTCTCTCCGCACCCACGCGACAATGCTCGTCCGATCAGCCCTTCGAGCGCAGCTTTCTGCCTCAAATTTATTATCTTCAAAGGCCCCCCGTCGCCTGTTCTCCGAGACCTCCTCGATACTCTCAAATGGCCCCTATTCCGAGGTAAAACCGGTCGATCCCCGATGGCTTGCGACGACCAAGCAGAGGATTGGGAAATGCATGATGTTTGGGATGAAACCTGCTCAGATTGATGAGGGAGGGAAGATATTAAAGCAATTGGCTGAGGAATGGCGAGAATTGATTGCTGGGAGTGAGGGTTTCCTTACGGATAGGAAGCGGCGAAGTCTGTTTCGGCATAACGTGGTTTGGGGTGAACAGGTAGGAGCTTGATCTGTACGATTGGTGTGAGTCACTTTCTAATGCCAAGTTTGTTTGTGATGATTAGGATATAATGGTGAGAATATACTTACTCTACCTGTTGCACTTTCAGCACGAGGTGTACTTCATATCTGGATTTAAGCTAACGTGGAACTAGGGTATGCTCTATTTCACTATTCTCATTTTTGTCTTTACCATCAGGCATCCATATGATATTGACTTAGTCCTTTAGGTCATGTCAACAACGTTACCTACGTTCGATACGCCGAAACAGCCCGAGTGAATTGGACCCGCAACATTGGCAATAATATCGACCCTGCAAACAAGAAGCAATGGAACAGCATGGTCGGCAATACAGGAATAGGACTCATTCTGAAAAGCATCAAGATAGACTACAAATTTGTACTGTATCCCTGGGACTCGACGCCCGCCCATACCACCGGCACAACAATTCGACGAACCTAATACTAACAGTGATGCAGCCCATGCTATCTCCCGACAAAGTCACTGTCTACCACAAGCTGGTCCCAGACTCACCAGAGCATCTCGCATCCTCATCTTCATTTCGGTTCGAAGTCGTCATTCTTTCCGAAGCCCACCAACGCCCCGCCGCGCGTTGCTTCGAGGAAAACGTCATCTATGATTACACGAAGAACAGCAAGGCTAAAGAGTTCCCACCGTGGATTATGGAACAGTTTAAGGTTATATGGGAGTTGCAGGAGCAGGAGAAGGTTAGTTGTGCGCAGCGAATCGCGGATATCGAAAATCGAGTCAGGACTCTCGAGCTCGAGAGCTGGGATGCGGTTGATGCTGTCGAGGATACCGGATCTGCGGCGCAGTGAGTAAAACACTGCATAATGACCGCGAAGAGGTCATGTGCGGTTCTGGGGCACTCGTTGTCTTGCCTTTCTTTCGGGCCGGTTTATTGACATCTGTATTTATCTGCACTTTGTATATATGCTCATCATCAGAGGTCAAGGTATTCCGTCCTGCCAAGTGAAGGTTTAGGTATCGAAGGCGTGGTCTATCACTTCCTACGAATGAGTGCACGGCAAGGAGACGCATTCTAGGATTCCCCAGTCAGGCAAATCCATCAAATTTTCAACCTCTTTGCAATCTCAATTCCTTCCGCAATAGATCCCACCCGCGCATCAATCGCATACCCTCCCCCCTCCAGCCTCTGCAACTCATCAAAAAGCGCCGACACCGGAACCGTGAAGCACTCGATAAACTCATTATCCTCGAGGTCAGGCTTCGGATTCTGATTCTCCGGGAGCGACATATCAACCTGAACATAAACCATATTGAAGTTGGCGTTGCAGAACCCGGGATCTGAACATATTGAAGTTAGTTAGCCTCCACAGAGAGGCAGACAATGGGATAACTGACCATTATACATGATGCCACTTGTCTTATCTACGATACCGATATACCCAGTTTCCTCTTTCAGCTCCCGGACTGCAGTCTGCTCAATTGTCTCTCCCGGGTCGCTCAAGCCAGCAGGCAGTTCTATGACAACCTTATCGATAGGTGGCCGGTATTGCTTCTCTAGAAGGATCTCGGTGCCACCCGACTTGTTCAGAAAAGCGACGATGTTGACACCATCGACCGCAGAGTCGTTTGGTCTTGTCTATGACATGGTTAGACGAATGTGAATGTGATTGGATGTATCGAGGCTGCAAGGCTCTTACCTGGCGTTCAGCGGACTCCCAGTCTCTCTTTTCTCCATGTGGATCGAGGTAATTCGTCTTGACTAATCTTTTCCATTTTGCGTCTTTGGAGTCCTGGAGTGTGCTGTTGTGAGTGATGCTCCAGTATCGGGCTTGGAGTATATATACCAATGGCTCTCGCGAGAGGAAAGTAGACTTGCGTGACATTTTCGAAAGTACTGTTTGGTCTATCTCAGATCTGCATGTGGATTGTGTAGAAAGTAAGTGTGACATCAGTTTACAGTTACGACCTTGAAGAACTGACTCGGCTGCTTCCAAGGAACCTTCCCGGATTAGGTGTCACAAGGTTGCGGCTCCGAGGGACACCCGTGCGCCGGGCCCACGGTTCCGAGGTCGGCAAGATAACGATAACGAACGGGCGTTGCCCCCGCCTGGGCAGGAGCTTCCAGTTCTCAAAGTCATATTCATCGCTATTCCAATATGTCCAGTACAGCCCTACTTTAATGATTTCCCAAGTCTCTTGCGCTCGAGGAGGATGAGATTTGTGTGGAACGCCGTATCCAATTTACTGGTTCCATCTCCGCGTTCTCCTAGCCATTGATTTGGTCTTACGCATATCCATTGGCCAGCACAACTACAGGAGCAGTGAGAGAGATGGGTAGCAAGTACCTAAGGCGTTATGAAAAGTCGGTGTAAACTGCTTCTCAGGATTATACGAGTCCGGTGCTTCATCCTGCGTACCTACTACCTAGTAATATATGGCGGAGAACACAGCCACCTATATGCATTGTCTAAGTTCTGGGTTTAAAATCCGGGGAAGAAGATACCGAGCTGGTATCAACTTCTGCATTTAGTCCCATGGAGTGAACCAGTAGCATGCTTACACAAAGATATCTGCTTTTAGAGTGATGTTCCCACATGTGGAAGTTGCACAATATGCAGTGATGTACCCCGTCCATAGACACACCTAAGAGAGACGGGACCGAAGATCATCTTCACCGTAGAACTATGCACCATGGGCCATGAGCCACGACAACGAGGAGAAAGATGTCCACATGTGTGTACTGCGTATTTGATGCAACGAACGACGATGAGATTTTGATCGGATTCAAGTACTACTGTACGCAGTATGTAACCAGTATGCGGGGGATGGAATGTGGGCTGCGGGAACTGCGACGACTATGTACTTCATTCGTCTATCCCTTGTCCCATTCCGTTCAATATTGCTTTCCATTCCTACGGTCTACCCTGTCTATTCAGTATCATGTACAGGAGAAACACGAGATAGCAGTTGCAGATGTCACTAGTATATCCTGCACCAGAATAACGTCTATGATAAAACATAGAATTACACACGACTTCGTCAGAACGTTACATATTGCCCTCGGAGACTTGCCGAGCCAGCAGGTAACTTAGACGTGGACACCGCAGTAGAAAACAAACCTAGAGGCAAATTGATCGACCATGAAAAGGTTTATCGGACCAAAGCAAGAGCCCCGTTCCAAGGTTCTACATACAGCTAGCGGAATTTTGAGATAAAAGTACCAGAACTAGCTATAGAGCACACACTTTTCGGTTGCATCTTGGAACTGCGAGACCTACAAGCAAAATCCCAGCATTGATTCTTAATCAATGCCGGGTATGGGTGCCGCAAACATACACGCATACACAAGCCATCAACGAGCCCGGACCCCGGCCCCCGGGGTACATGCCCGGCCGGCGAGCCGATCTTTACGAATTGGTGGCTGATCCAGACGGATCTGCAAAGCCCTGCCAAGCCTACATGTACGCAGTACACGGTACTTCTGTATTGCATGGAAGAGGAAAGATCGAAATAGCTAAATCAAGCTCATAGACGTAACAGGGTCGACAGTCAAGAGAGCCAGTCACAGGATTCAGCTCTTCCAAGGCCATCGGGACTGGCTGGCTCATATCATAGTTATCGAACGAAAATTTCTACTGGTGCCGTTTCGTCATCCGCAAAACTCCATAGCCGAGAATATTGCAAAACAACCTTTCGTGAAAGAACCCGACCAATAACTATGAAAACTGAGCGAGTGTTGGTAAGATACTGGCCGGATGGATCGGTTGGTCCCGGAACGGCAGATCGGATGTTCGAGCAACCATCACGGTTAGAACGGCGCCTACTTCTCGGAGAGTAAGACATTCCATAATCGCATGTGGGTTAAAGCTTGACTGGAAAACTTCTTGGAGACCTAGCATGCGTCAATAACTAACTAGTTAACTAGTTTCTTCTGTTAAGTCCACATAGTTCAGGAGCGCTATGCTTCCATTTCGTCCTAGTATACCTATTTAGTCCCCATAAACAGCAGAGGAAAACAGAAAAGCAAAGTGCACCGATCTCTGTTCGTAGATAGAGCTTAGATCGCCGAGAGTACTCCGTCGGATGCCGGGAAAGCCGTATCTGAGGAAGCATCTGCTGGGATTGAATATGCCACCATGTTTGTTTGGCATGATCTTCCTAAGCATTCGGCCCATATGATAGTGTCAATTTCCCCCATCTGGATTCGGCGAATTCCAGGGGACTTTCGACATTAGGGTCATTCTGGACTTCTTAGCAGAGTCTGAAAGTCCCAGAGGTTATTGAGCCGATGTGAGAGTCTGGAGGATGATCCGCAGCCATGGACACCGTTTCGAGTGGATATCTTTGAAGCATGCTTTCCGGATAAGGCCGAGATTAACATGGATCAAAATTTACAGAGCCGGAGTTCGAGGCCTTGGAGATCACCGTGGGAAAGACATCAAGTTTCACGGCTCTTAAGTAGCTTGTAAAGTCGCTTCACTTCATCGCAACGGCTGAACTGGGTCTGTTGATCCATCTCCGCGTGAGACGGGAAGAGTCAAGAACTCCGAGAACGAAAGAAAAACCAATAGAAGTGATGATGGATGGAAGGACGATGGAGACTTGGAGTGTGGCCGTCAACATGTTAAACGGTCAGGTGATCTCTGGTAGGCCACGGCCGGTAACAGCGGCGTCGTTCTCGAGACCAGAGATGTCTATGGGGAAACCGACGGATCCTCGGTCAACGCTAGTCCTACCATAGAATCCGGGCGACGGTAGTGCTCTCATTGGATCAAAGTTGTTCACAATTTTCAGCATCCCGATAATAAGGAAGACTCGAGGAGAGAAAGATAGTTCTAAGTTGGATGGGCGACGTCTCACAGAATCGGGCATTTGGCGGCACGTGCAACGGTGCAAGATACGGCCCTGGGGTGCTGCAAGAGTTCCTTTCAGGCCTAGTTACTAGTTACCTACCCTTGCTAACATTGGAGTAAGGTGCACACCTTTTTAGGCTAATGGTATGATCATGGGATTTCCAAGTCCACCTGGTTTTGGCTGCGTCATAGAACTGCGAAATCTACAAGTGCAAGTCCTACATAGCAATGAGGGCACCTAGTTACACGATACCAGGTGCTAGTTAGGGCTCACCGCATGCATAAAAATAACCTAAGCCATCACCAGCCCGACCGTCGGGCCGATCTTTACTAAGTTTGTGGCGGGATCTACAAAAACCCTGCCAAGCCCAGGTATCGCATAGGAGGGGAAATATCGAAACCAGGCAAGCCTGTAATTTGCATACTGTGGATATTTCTGTTTCCAAATGCCTTCTCCATGCGATAGGTTTTGTAAGTAATTAACCCGCGCTGCCAACATCAAAAGCCTTCAAGAGTATCCTTATAGATCCACCGACAGCAGCAAATCTGTGGATCGTCCGTTGTATGTGCGGAGCCCTTCAGGAAGATGCACGAGATAGCCGAGCATGTGATGATCTCAGCCGGAATGTGGGCAGCCCTGTCAATACACACAAGCATCAGTCTTCCCCATACTTACTCGCAATTACGCTTTCTCTGCTCGGTGTTGCGCGTTCATACCTGCACGTATGTGCAAGCTAGTCCTCAAAACAGAGTGATCATCATATCGTGATAGCGTGGATCCGTAAGGCTCATCGTAGGTCTGGCGCAAGGATAACCCCGCAGCAGACGGGTCAAGTAACGGCAGGTAGGCAGTCTGATAGCAAATAGGAATCGGTGATCTGAACAGGCTCCCAACTTGATGTGTAGCCGTACGGAATGGTCTCTAGTTAGCTTATCAGCACTAGTAGTCAGCCCCGGGTGTCTGAAGCAATAGAACCCCGAAATAGCGGACATTATCCGTAAATTCAGGATTGGCCGACGTGTAGGTATCCGTTGCATGACTTGGCAACTTCAGCCGTTATATAGCTCCTCTGGGAGGAGGGCGTGACCTGTCAATTATAGACTCTGGAGTATCGTAAGACACGTAGTTGTGTAGGAAAGAAAGCTTGGCGGTGGGTTTGGGTCCTGCTCGCTGGGATTTTCCATGCAGAAACTCCAGATCGACAAAGAAACAGCCACGGGGAATATATTACCAGGAGCTTCTTCTCTAAATTGAATTTGCAACTGGCAGTTCTTCAAGTACACAGTACACAGTACCGAAGTGGCGTATGGGCAAATAATATTGAAGTCAGGTACCGCCTACCTGAAAAGTGCCAATGATCGACATTAAATGACAATACCAATACCGTCCTGTTTCTTTTCGACCTCATTCAATTCCGCCTGGGCACTTTTCCATTTCCCCTTCACGCTTCCCGTAGAGCCTCGTCTCTTGTCCTTCTCTTCTTTTTTTCCTTCTCTCTCATTTTCTTCTTACATTAACAATTCTTGTTTCACGTCTTCATCTCTTCGACATCCTCTCATCCCCTCTCCCCCCACATCATTCAATCTTAGTCCGTTTTCGCCTTTTTCCTGGTCCCAGTCCTTGGCTTCATCCCGCCAAGCTGACTCGGACCTGGGTTTCGGGCTCTTTCGTCCATGCCACGCTCTGCTGCGTCTAGGAAGAACCAGAGCAATCGGCACGAGAATGGAATCGTTGGTCCCGGCAAGAAAGTAACCAAGCAAAAGTCAAGCGGCCATCTCAACGGCAACTCGGTCAACGGCTCTGCTACCGGTCCGGGCGCGTCCGCTCACTTCGATTTATCCTCAGTACGGTCTACGAGTGATACGGCCGTGGCCTCTCCGACGGGTCCAGAAAAAGGAGATAGCATCAAGGCGGATAGCAATGTGCGTGGAATGTTGAATGGGCATAGCAAGAGTGCAGAAATGGCACGCACGGAGGAAAATAGCGATGTGCACCAGAATGGTGGCATCGGAGGTCACGGTTCCCGCAATGGAATCTCGAAGCGATCCGGATCCAGCGCCTCAATCAATCCGCTCCAGCTCGCATCCACCATCCTCAAGTCGTGCCCCATGTACGACACCATCGCCATCTTGATCTTTTTGCTACAACTCCCGCCGATGGTCTTGACTCTGGTTCAGTTCTTATTCGCCTCTCTTACTTTCATGCCCCCCGGTGGCGCCGCAGCCGGCTCTTTGTCGTCGAACTTTGACATTTTTCAGGGTCCGGCTGGGACGCCCTCTCTGGGGACAATGATTGCGATGGATGGGTTTTGCATACTTCTATGGGGCCTCTTTATGTGGACTTGGGCGCAGAACTTCGCCATCGATCTCGCCCATGTCCAGGTTGCCATCACGTTAGGCGGCGGAGGCTCCGGGAAGAACGGTGGGGTCAATGCCCTTTGTGTCGGAATCGTCTTACTTCTTCATCTTGTCCGCAGCAAAGGCATTCAGGACTTTGTTCTGGGTCATCTTGTCTCTGCTAAATTGCTCAGCCCCGATTTACTCTCTCAGTATTCGCACCTATTACCCGCCGAATTCCGACGCTCCGAAGCACAATCGTCCCCGAGCTGGCTGCGCAGCCTTCTTGCGGTGCATATTCTGGCCCAAGCCGCAACCGCTATGGCACGTCGTGCGATGGCTAAAAACCGGTCACCGACACCGTTACGGGCCGGCAAGCGGGGCGATACCGAGGCATCCGCGGGATCACAGGCACAGGCTGATTCTGCTATGGAATCCGCCGCCAGTGTCTCGTCTTGCTTCGTTGGCCCTGACGGCCAATTAAAAGATGGAAAGGATCGCTTTACTTCGGCCAAGAAACGCAGACGGCAAGCCAATCAAGTTCGGAGTCGGCAGCCGTTTTGGGCTGCCCTTGCCAGTACAAAGGTCACTGTTATGCGAGAATATGAACATTCACGGGCTATTTCCAAGACAGCACGCAATCTCACGATGACGGAGGAAGATCTACAAGGCGTCTCTCTCGATGACGGGTTAGTATGGATTACGGATGTGGACAGCTCTTCGATCAAATTTGCCGCGGGTGAATTCAGCGATGATCCTGCCGTCTCAGGTTCTTTCGAAGCCAGACGTTTGGAGGGAGACATGGAACCGTTCTATGTCTGCGTCAATGGCGCGCTCTGGGCGACGGCTTCGATATGCAGGGTTTCAGACGCCAAGGGGCCGAGTGTCGTCCAATGGCGTGGTGAGATAGCTGGTCTTGCTCCGAACTGCGCCTACACCTGTGCGTTTGTACGAAGCGATACCGACGAAGAAATCTGTGTCATGAGTGTCAAAACGCCTGCAACGACTGACACAGAGCAAGGTAAGTTTTTGCTGCGCAGAAACGCTCTTTTCCATTCTTCCCAATCATCATACTGATGGATTCTAGTGGTCTCGGCTATATCGACCCCCCCGCAGCCGACTTACCGACCATCGTCACCCACCACAACGCTCAAGAATTCGATCAGCAACGCGGAATCCAAACTGAATGAAAAGCGCAACCGCCTGAAGAAGACGAAAAATGACCACAAAGCTGTTATCTCCAAGATTCGCAAGGAACTCGACAACTTCAACTCTCGCCTCCAGAGTGGAAATGACGAACATCGGCAAAAGCAACGTTCGCTTCAACTGGAACGCAACATTCGACAAACCGAGGAGGCTACTGCTGCGCTAGACGACCAACTTGAATCTATGGAGAAGGTCCCCGAGGAGGAGATGGAAGAATGGTCAGCCCAGAAAGCAGCCTTCGAGCGTGAGGTGGAATCGTTCAATTCAACTAAAGAAGAAGTTGCTGCTGCTCGGACGGCCGCCGCTCAGCAGGTGGCGGCACTGGAGGGGGAATTGAATCAGGCAATCCAGAAGCGAGAACGTCTCCAGGGTCGGCGCACCCGTGTGAACGAGCAGTATGAGCGAATCATTTCGGCCAATGCTCAAGGGTTGAATGAGCGAGAACGCCGAGCCGCCGAACAGTTTGCCAGAGAGCAAGACCAGTCCAAGATGGAGGCCAGTTTCCATGAGCAATTTGCAAGCATCAGCCAGTCTGTCCAGGATTTCCAACTGCGGACTAGTCAACTCTGGCAGCAAGCGACTGCAATCGAGCAGTCTATTCAGCAGCAGCAGCAGCATATGCTTCTCGAATCTGGTCCTCTCACCCCCGAGGGCAATCTTCCAGGCACTAATCCACTGTCCGAGGCGAGTGTTCCACCATTGACCGCACCTACGACCACTGCGCCTGGTACTCGATCTCTGATGGGTCTCGGCTTTCCCCCGGCAAGGTCTAGTCCACTACAGATCTCATCGTCTCCAGTCCGTGAAATGCCGTCGAACCCAACCAGCCCATCGCAAGACATTCCCTTTCTGCCACAGTTTCCAACGTCTCCCGCTGGCAATGTGGGCTCTTACTTTGGACCAGAGGTCAACCACCGGGATCGCTCGTTCTCAAACCGCTCCAATCGCAGCAGCCAATTTGGATATGACTTCTTGGACTCAAATCGTTTGCCACCTCTCCAGCTCGATCTGTCCGAATTGCTCGGCGAGACCAAAGCGCGCCCTGGGTCCGATGGAAATGGGTTTCTGCATCAGGGTGGCCGTCCAGTCCTGAGTCCTTTCCAGCGAGCCGTCAGTCGAGGTAGTGGCACTGGCAGTGGTGGTAGTGGCAGTGGAAGTGGGACTGGGAGTCCGCACTCGTCGCGGGACTAGTTTCGCGGTGATTGCCCTTTTAGTCTCATATTCTCGTGTCTTACCGCGCTGTTCAACCGTGCTGGGTCTCGTTTCCATGCTGTTCTTCGAGAGATGGTCTCTGGTCATATGCGTCCATGCTTTCAATTCCGTCTGGGTGGGCTTTCGTTTGCGCTGGTCAGGTTCTTTCTCGTCGGCCTGTACTATGGTGGCTCCTGGATTCATGGGTCTCTGGTAATGTGGCACGCATCTCGCGATGAGATAGCGACTATATGCATCCGATCGAAGTGAGATTGCAGTTCTGTTCTCCGAACCAAAAGCAAAACTGTTCTATACTCGGTTCTCTGTATACTCTCTCATATCAAAAAGCGTAGACGCATCAATATCATGGAAGCATTTCTCATCCCATCTCTCCCAGACTCCCCTACTTTAGGAATCACATATAGATAAAACAAGTACCTACCGACCACCTGGGCACGTCTAATTTAAATCTATGTACAGTACAAACACCCGCTTCCCAGTCATATATGTACAATGCTTTCCAACCTTGGAAAAGACACAAGCAACAAAGCCTAAGGTTGTTCATCCATACCAACCTTAAATGCCAGACCTCCCCCAGTTCAAAGCTCACCTCCCATCTTCCAGAACTTGGTATTGGCATAGGTTAAACAAAGCCGTTCCGGCGAGTGTTCATCCAAGTCCTTACCATCTTCACCCAGCGCCATGTCAGACTCAGAGCCCTCAATCGTCCGCAGCACAGTCCCCAACACAATCGAGTGATCATGCACATCGATCTTATCTTTCATTAATTCACATTCAAAAACAAAAGGGAAGTCCGCACGAGCATTCGCATGACCCGCACCCCTCCGCTGAAGAATAGGTAGTGCATTCAGCGAACCCGCATCCTCGTCTCTAGCCGGCAAACGCGCGAACTCAAACTCCCCATGCCCACTCAACATAGCAGCAAGCGTAACATTCCCTTTCGAGAAATCCCTTGCGAGTGTAGCAGTCGCCGAACCCGGTGCAAGCAAATGAACCAGAAAGCGGCGTGAAGCAAGCAATGCATTCAATGTTTCTGATGGGCGGCGCACGTTAAACGAAATGACCGGCTGTGGAGTGAGAGTCACTGTGCTGAAAGAGGAGACTGTCATGCCGCGGAACGAGCTTGTATCGTCTGGGCCTGAGGGATCGGTTGCTGTGATTATTGCGACGGGGTAGGGTACTCGACGCATGAGGAGGCGTACATGGTCGGATATGGATGTTGTCGGTGCTGGAGGTGGTTGTTGAGAGTCGCCTTCAAGGGACGGGGTCTTGGGCTTGCCCGTGGGATCTTCGGATGAAGAGGCTGCTGAATTGTTGTACCGTCGTTGATTGCATCGTGATAGGTACTTGGTACGGGGTACCGAGGGGGAGCTTCGGAGGGAGATATATGTTCTCCGGGTTTGGGATGCGTGTTTCTTAATGCATAGCAGATCTAATAGATCCCCAATTAGTATGAATAGAAGCAGCTGAGAGATCAAACCCTAGAAAACCTACCTCCGAGTCCTGTCCGAGCAGACCCATGCGCGAGTGGAATTGAGAGCTTCATCCCGAGGGATTGACACTATGAAAGGCGCTCAGGGGATCACGCACACAGAATCACAGATACCCAGACTCTTCCAATTCATGTCTAAATCAGAACAGATCGAAAGACTTCCAAGACCAACGAGACATTTGAAGTCATTCGAAGTTCTGCAAAAATCCCCGAAACCAACAAACCCGCTTACATAACCCGCGATAATTTCTCTGCTCCGGCCTCACCTTCAAGATTCTCCGCAACCTCCGCGACAGCAATTGCAGTCCCGTCAATTCCTACATCCCATACGAATAATCACCATTCATCGGTGACTCAAACCCACTACACCACAATGTCAATGCACACCACCCTCCGCCGCACCGCGGCCACCCTCACAACCTCAACAACAACCATCCTCCCTACGCGAACAACACAAAGCACAACCTTCATCTGCTCTCAATGCCGCCACGCAACGCTCCTCCGCCGCCCCAAGCGGCCCTACACCTTCACACAGCTGATCACGCTCTCCGACGGCAGCGCCTTCACGCACCGCACGACCTCACCTGCACCCATCTACCGCAGCACACGCGACACGCGCAACTCGCTTTTGTGGAACCCGTCGTCCAGCAAGCTGATGAACGTCGAGGACGACGAGGCCGGTCGATTGGCGGCTTTCCGTGCCAGATTCGGTCGTAGCTTTGATGCTAATACGCCTGTTGTGGAGGCTGAGGCTGCGGCTAAGGATCCGGCTGCTGCGTTGAAGGCTGAGGCGGATGCGAAGGCGCAGGCGAAGGCGGAGCAGGAGGAGGAGGATAATTTGTTGGATTTGATTAGTGCTTTTGGTCAGAATGAGGCGCCGCCGCCGCCTGAGAAGAAGTTTACTAAGCCTGGGAAGAAATAGTGTGGATTGGGATTTGAGGGGGGTTTGGGGGTGAATCGTGGAACTGATTGCTGCTGGGTGGGAGTTGGATTCGATGTTTTCTGTTTTTCTCTTTGTGTTGATCTTTGTACAATATACATTTGTTTGGTATGAGCCTGCTGTATTATACCAAGAATTTATCTTTTGTCTCATCCATCTGCGACTCTATGTACATGTGTTGATTGACAAGAGATGTGCATATCTTGTCTCAACGTTGATGACCTCAACCCCCTGCTCTATACCTCTGCCATACAACTAATCGGCAGGTACAGCCTCATTACAGCCAGAAATATCCCTAAGACAGACCAACAACTTGAACCAAGCCCAAACCAACGGACCCCAAATTACCAACTAGTCATTATCATGAATTATATCCAGCCAACCAAGAAATAAAAGCAACAAATAACCCAAGACAAGAGCCTCCATCACCTCAACTCAGCAACACCAGACCCAGGCCCCGGAGGCCCAGGAAGCTCATGAACCTGCTGCGCCGACAACTCCGACATTTGCTGCGACTGAGAAGTCGACTGCGTCTGCGGCGGCACATAGACAGGAGCCCAAGAATAGCTATTCTCACCCGGTGCCTTAGTATATCCAAAGCACGCAAAGAGTTTCCTGCGAAAAACAACCAATAGCGCCAGGATGACGCCGGCCGCTACACAGCCAACGACGATGCCTGCTATTGCGCCGCCGCTTAGTCCTGAGTTGGATGAGCTGGATGAAGCTGTGCCACCGGTGCCAGTGGGCGTTGAGGATTCATTTGTGGAGGTCGTGGTCGAAGATGAAGCTGGAGATGTTATGCTAGCTGTCGCGAGGAAAGGCGGTGCATTAGTCTACATCTGCTCTCATACAGTCACAGTGAGGGCACTTACCGGAATCAGTTGGCGAAGAATCCGTGCCGGTGGTAGTTGTTGCCAGGTACTCTGCCGGTAGTGTTCGATATATACTGTTTGCTGCCCAGTTGTTGAAGCAACCGTACCGAGACACAGCGTACAGCCCGTCTTGGCCTACTGTTGAGAAGACCCGGAAGAAGTCGCATGACTTGTCGGGGGCGCTGTGTTCGCGTTAGTCGCATATTGGCCGGTTAAAATGGTTGCGATGTAACGAACCAGGCCACGGTCTTGGTTCCCCTAACCACGCTATTGCCGCGATAGCATGATGTTGCTATATCATAGGTGGCGGTCTGCCTACAGTCACCGTATTTACCGCTCGTCGTCCATGTGCCAACTGCGCAGGTAATAGCCTCAGCTGGAGCAGAGACGTTAGTGGATGGTCGACTTTGATGAAATGAGAAGCATACGTGCTGAGGCGATGTACCAGCCTATAAAATTTGCCTGGGTTTTGTAGTTCGCATAATCAGTGCTCGTCTCCATATTGAGGGCACAGAAGGAGTAGGAGGAAGGAACGGAGAGCCTCAAGTGGATTTGAGATTGACTGCAAGCAGTCAGTGCTTCAGGGGGCCATGGAAACAAACAGGAAAACCCGGCAATAAGCACGGAAATAAGATCGCGCTGGCGTATCGACCCATTAGGGCGAGAAAATGATGATCAAGGCCTCCAGGGTAGCGTATTTAACCGCGCTAGCGACTCAGAGAGACAAACAACTCCAGCTTGGGGGCCAAAATTGGGCGGTCGGCCTATGTTTGGAGGTTGTATGCATATGGACTATGGAGTCTTCCGTATCAGCCCCAAGTTGGCCCGCAATGGGGGTTGTTCCACGTATGATGATGTGGCTGGCACCGTGTGCGATGTGTGGTGCCAATGCCCTTAGTCCCGCGTGGAGAGCACATTTGATGCCTCCAATGTAGCTACGGAGTACAACCGACCCAATGAGACAAGCTGCCAACATCAAAGACCACTCCACAGCTTCCGACCAAGCATGTCAAGGTCTATGAAGGTCGGATGCAAATCTCGCCCAGGTTTGGTTTGGCGTCTGGGATGACTGCAGTAGCGTGAGATATCAGGGGCCTGAGCATGTGATGGCTGGTATTGCGGCCTTGGCATATATGGGCAACCCATCAACCAGATCGAGAAGCGATGCGAGGTACGCAGTACTAGGTTTCAGCGCTTATGGTAAACTCGGAGGACCTGTAATTCCTGTCAGATGCAGGCAGCAGATATCCCCGGACAGGTCAACAAACCACAACATCTTCTATCAAAAAGCTCCCTGATCATGAACCTTCCCCTGCAGGTGCTCTTTGGATCAGGGCTGGATGCCGTCCGGGTCGCTTAGTGCTACTGCGAGTATGAAGGTAAGTCAGGAGGGACAGATGTAAACGATAGTCAGGGTTTGGTTAAAATTGAGTGCAGTATCAGCTGGCTGCTGCATAACATGAATATATTGGCTACAGTACGCGAACAGTGGTATTCGGAGTGAAGCGAAGGAAGAAGAAACAAAAAAGCTTGCTGGGGACCATCATCAGTTGCAAAATGGCATAAACAAACATCACCGGCAGGTGGCTCCATAATGAATACAAAAAGAAATGCGATGTAACGGGCGCAGGCTGTGGGGATTGTGAACAAGCATCCGACGTGTCGACTACAAAAGGATATCAAGCGCCATCTTCAGCGACAAGTGGCGCCGAATCTGGCGCAGATCCCGTAGGCCCTGCCGCAGGTGTATCGTTCTCCTCAGTGGGAGGCACATAATATGGAACACCTTCCTCGCCAGCATCTAACCGCAAGAGGAATGTCTCCCAAAGTTCGATCAACTGTGTTTCGCGTTAGTTGAATGAGATAATCCGGCATGAGTTGTCGAAATCTTACCTCTTTTTGAGCCTCCACTGCACTTTCAAGGAATGTCTCCACACCAGACTTGAAGTCCTCCACCTTCTCTTTCTCAAATCGCTGCAGCTCGTTTCGCATGAGACGGCCCATGTCCTCAAAGAGCAGCCGTGTTTGGTGGACTTTGCGCTCTGCATCTGCCACGTCGGCATTCACTTGGTTCAAGCGGTCTTGCTGGGTCTTGCCTTGGCGGAGTAGCTTGTCTTGGGTATTCTTGCGCTTCTGTAGGTCGGACTCTGCTGCATGCCATGTGTGGAAGGCCTTTTGTCGCTGGCTGAAGGCCATCTTGACACTACCAATCAAGCGGATATATTCGTCGATCGTAATGCCAAGGGTTAAAACGTCCTGCTGCGCCTGTCGGTCATAAAGCTCCCGAATTCGCAATTGAAGTTCTGATAATCCTTCCAACGGATAGGAAAGAGCGGGAGACAGCTCGACAGCAGATAAAGCGTGCAGGGAGCTTGAAAAATCACCTGCAGCGTCGGCGAGTCCCTTCCGTTGCAGGACCACAGTATCCATTGACTTCATTAGAGCCTTCAGCTGGTTCTCCAATGCATCCAAGTAGATCTTTCTGTCGTGGAACCACTATTCATTTGTGAGTAGGCGAGAACAATGTATCAGAAACGTATCACTCACGTCGTCATGCTCCACAAACTTGCTTCCTCCACCAACAGAGATACCAAAGGAGCTCAACATTCCCTTGCTCTGACCAATATCAGGCTCCCGGTTTTCCTTATTCTTGACATCAACATTGAAGGCTTCACTCTCCAGGAAGATTTTCAGATCGCCATCATGTTGAAGAATGGGATGCCCGGCAATCTTGTTGAGCATCCTTTCCAAAGCCGCTCTCCTCGATTCCACAAAGTTGGTATCGAATCGGCCAACCGCTTGCTTCTCGGGCGGGGGCGCAACGACAACTCCAGGATTGTTGCCATGTAGGGAATTATAGAGCCAGAGGAAGTCACGGTATCGACGGCTGACGGTAAATTCGGGTTGGCGATACGCCTTAGATGTTGTCTAAATATAAGAAATTACTGTCAGTTTCTGCTTTCCAACGCAAATGGACTTCGAATGCTTGTGGACAGTCCAATTACCTTTGTCGACACTTGATAGACAATATGACTGCTTGTCAGGTCCCCCACTTTGTGCGGATCTCCAACATAAATCTGGAAGCTCGGCTTTGCAGCCTGTTCCACGCTCATGCTGGGCTGCGTTTGTCTTTTTGGTCCATCTTGTTCCACCGCTGGTTGCACGGGCGGGGGTCCCCGGAAGCCTCCGATTTCCCCTTCCAAGTTGACCGAGCCTGCTATCGCCGCCCCACCGGAAGCCTGAGAGGGTGAAGATAGCGGCCGCGCGCCACGCCCGACAAATGGCTCCTTCTGGGGCGGTGTCGGTGCCTCGTCTGCGGGGGTTGGGGTAGATTCGACGGGCGCCTCTCCCAAAGGACCGAGAGGGTCGACGGAATCATCGACCGACTCGAGTTTGGTGGCTTGCGCGCTAATCTTGCGCGTCCCTCGGGGGCCTCGTCTTCCTGGTGTGCGCACAGCGGGCGAGCTGTCTGACGCGGGGTGTGGAGCGGCTGCTGTACGGTTGAGGGCACTTAGTGGATGATTCGAGGAGGGTGAATACAAGAGAAGCAAAACCTACCATCTCCTTGAGTATCGGTTTTGGCGCCCTGGCTGGGTGTGAAGCGCGAGGGCTCATCTGTATCCTTTATATCAGACCGCGATCCATAGAGCTGTGGTGTCATGACTGCCTACCGCCCCACGGGGAGTCTCCGGAATCGAGATCCATTGTCCACCGGTTACGAGATCAAAGTGAAAAGAAAAAAAAAATCGGCGGAAATATGAATCATAAAATTGACACGAATTGTCTCAATCAGAGCTTAGATGATGCAAGATTACTTGGGGGAGAGAGAGCTGGTAGTTGGGGTGGAGGCGATCCGCATTCCTTAGTCACGGGGATCCGGCTAGGCCACATGCTAGGCACTAGAGGTGTTCTGGTCTTGAACTGCCGCAATCCAACAACCACTACGGAGTACTTTGCGATGCGAAGTAATTATTGAGAATCTACGAACCGTATTTCGCCTTTCCATCGCTTAGGATGGATACAGTCTACTTAACGCCACTCAGTGTCCGAGAACCTCTATACAGCTCACCCTAGCCAGCCTGGTTAGAACGACCCAAGTCCACAATACGTCGCATCATTTCAATTGGAGCTTCCTGGTTCCAGGTCATCTATTCATATATTTCCATCTCGGGTCGCCGACATAAATCAATTGGATCATGCAGGATCTACTTGATCCACGGAAGTCCCAGCTTGTGCATTTCCACAGCCAGCTGGAACAGGTAGTCTAGACTCTCACACTGGGTCTTTGCCTTGGCGGTAGTGTCTCCCCAGACATAACTGTAACAGGAACCAATACATTAGTACACAATTGATACTGCATGGAGCTGGTAGCTATCACTCACATTCCGTGTCTTCGGACCAGCACAGCGTATGTGTCCGGATATTTGTTCATAGCCGCCTCCAGGCCGCTAGTCAGGTCCTCTTCAAAGGCCGTGTTCTCAATAATAGGAATCTTCAAAGTATCGAAGAACCCGAGCATGCCCTTGCCTTTGCCTCGGGGGATGCCCTTGATCTGCTCAATGTTATTGATCTCGAAGCAGGCGTCCGGGCCCTTCTCCCGCTCTACCAGCAGGGTGACCAGGACCGCCCATTGTGAGTGTGTGTGAATGCAGCAGCCAGCACCCTGCTCAAAGGCAGTCAGGAACAGTGGGGTACAGGCGGAGGGATTAAGCTTCAGCGGTTTGCGGATGTAGTTGCGGTCCGAGGCAGGGTACTTCGGAGTGGGCCATTGGAGCACGAAGATGTTTTGAGGCTGCATCAACTCCTTCTGGACTCCAGATGGAGCGATATAGATGTGGTCACCTTGGCGAATTGAGGTCTAGTTTGGCATCAGCGGGGTACCGTTGCTTTTGTATCTCCGCAGTATGAGCTTACACCACCTCCAGTACCGGTAACCCATCCCCAGTTATAGAATTTGCGGCAGAGCTCGGGGATAAGGTTGGCTGGGTGTTCAGGATCGTCGGATTGGACCAAGTGGTCATTGTTGTCAACCGTTGCGACGGCTTGATCGGTGGAGCACATGGTGGGCTGATTGAGATAAATTAGCGCTGCGCAGGTAATGAGGTAGGTCGTTTGAATTTTCAAGGTTGAAAAAATGATTATGAGAACTTACTCAAGTCAGTGCGCAACTTGCCCTAGAAATTGCGAGTCAGTGAGGTGTGAAGTTTGCGCCGAGACTGCCGAATCAAAATAATTTGCTGGGCGGGGAGGACAATCGGTGCAATCAGCGGGGATCTGCATTCAATGCATTGCGACACATTGTCAGTGGACACTTTCAGGCCAATTAGTGACCCTCGAGATATATTTGATGGCAATTACTTGAGTTATTTTGTATCTGAATGAGTTATGACAGCTAATCGTACTAATTATATACTACAGGAACTATTTTCTACACAGCTTCATCCTCTAATTGTAGTAAAATCAAGCGTATTTAAAGGTCGACGCGTAGAATAAGATCGAACCCCGTGTGTACACGCCCTAGTCCCGATTGGGTAGCTTATGAAGAGGCCACCTGGACACCTTCCAAAGTGTCCGCTTTCTATAAAACCGACTCCTCTTCTCCTCATTTTGGTTGCTGTGCGCTCCACTTTCATTCTTCTGGCTTTTCGTTGTTTCAGGCAACATGCGCTTTAACACTGCGTTCACATCGGCTCTGGTCTCCTCCGCCAGCCTCATGGGCTACGCCCATGCGGAGGAGGAGACTGCGGATACCACGGTCATTGAGAAGCCCACCTTCACTGTATGCAATTGAGACCTCTATTGGCTATTTTATCTTCTTTCATGCTAATTGTGACTAGCCTACTGCCCTCAAGGCTCCTTTCCTCGAGCAATTCACGGACGACTGGGAGTCTCGGTGGAAGCCTTCTCATGCGAAGAAGGACGACACCAAGGATGACGAGGAGTGGGCTTACGTTGGTGAATGGGCAGTTGAGGAGCCATCTGTGTTCAAGGGTATTGATGGCGATAAGGGTCTGGTCGTGAAGAACGCCGCCGCCCACCACGCCATCTCTGCCAAGTTCCCCAAGAAGATTGACAACAAGGGCAAGACCCTGGTCGTTCAATATGAGGTCAAGCCACAGAGTAAGTCATATCTTGCATAAGCCCGGAATTTCAATCGCTGATTCTTATCGTTTCATAGACTCCCTCGTTTGCGGCGGTGCCTACCTCAAGCTTCTCCAAGAGAACAAGAAGCTCCACCAGGAGGAGTTCTCCAACGGCACTCCCTATGTCATCATGTTCGGTCCTGATAAGTGCGGTGCCACCAACAAGGTCCACTTCATCTTCCGCCACAAGAACCCTAAGACCGGCGAGTACGAGGAGAAGCACCTTAAGACTCCCCCCGTTGCCCGTACCAACAAGGTCACTTCTCTCTACACCTTGATCGTCAACCCCGATCAGACCTTTGAGATCCTGATCAACGGCGATTCTGCCAAGAAGGGCAGCCTCCTTGAGGACTTCAACCCTCCCGTCAACCCCGAGAAGGAGATTGACGATCCTAAGGATTCCAAGCCCGCCGACTGGGTCGATGAGGTTAAGATCCCCGACCCCGAGGCCACTAAGCCCGCCGACTGGGATGAAGAGGCTCCTTTCGAGATTGTCGACGAGGAGGCCACTCAGCCCGAAGACTGGCTGGCGGATGAGCCCACCAGCATTCCCGACCCCGAGGCCGAGAAGCCCGAGGATTGGGATGACGAGGAGGATGGAGACTGGCTCGCCCCTACTGTCCCTAACCCCAAGTGTGCCGATGTCTCCGGCTGTGGCCCCTGGACCGCCCCTTTGATCAAGAACCCTGCCTACAAGGGCAAGTGGTCAGCTCCTCTTATCGACAACCCTGCCTACAAGGGTGTTTGGGCTCCCCGTAAGATCAAGAACCCCGCCTACTTCGAGGACAAGACCCCCTCCAACCTTGAGCCCATGGGCGCTATTGGCTTCGAGATCTGGACCATGCAGAATGACATTCTGTTTGACAACATCTACGTTGGTCACTCCGTTGAGGATGCTGAGAAGCTCCGCAAGGAGACCTTCGATGTTAAGTACCCCATCGAGGAGGCCGAGGAGGAGGCTGCCAAGCCCAAGCCCGCGGCTCCCCAGGATGGTACCACCGTCACCTTCAAGGAGGACCCTGTTACCTTCGTCCGCCAGAAGGTCAACCACTTCGTTGAGCTGGCCAAAGAGGACCCCGTCAACGCTGCCAAGACCTTGCCCGAGGTTGCTGGCGGCTTGGGCGCGCTCCTCTTGACCATGATTCTCATTGTTGTTGGTGCTATCGGTGCCAGCAGCCCTGCTGCCGCTCCCGAGAAGAAGGGCAAGGCTGCTGCCGGTGCTCCCAAGGAGAAGAAGGAGCAGGCTGTCAGCTCCTCTGCTGATACCAACAAGGGTGGTGCTACCAAGCGCAACACCCGCTCCTCCGCCGAGTAAATGTGATGGCAATGCCCATATTTATTCGCAGAAAACCATTTTACCCCAATAAACCCAATCGGCTTTTGTTATCGTGATCCCCCTCTTGTTGTGTCTTGACGGATGTTGTAGTCAGAAGGTCCAATAAGGATATCCATTTGGAAGGAGGCCGGATTTGTATACTTCTACTATTTTTCCAATTCACTTGTTTTTCGTTCGGAGATAGTGCATCAGTATACAGTAAAGATAGCAAGATACAGCTAGTTACACAGTAGTCACAATTTATAGCTCTCATGGAAGTACTTGCCTAATCGGAGTGAAGTGCGATTTATCCGCATCTCGGCGATTCGAGGGAATGATCGACCACTCTCATTGGTTGAAAATACCGAAATTCCTTGCCCTTGGGCCCTGAGGAGCTTATCTGGGGGGGTTCCAATCCACGGGTGTGGGGAGACTGACTAAGGGCGGTTGACCTCGGGGGTGGCGGGCCTGGGGTAGATACTCCGTACTCCGTACATAGGCGGGTATTTCCTTCGCTCCGACGACTTCACCTCCCTTCCCCTGCTTAGCCTGTTACCTATCTTTTTCCTGGACCCTTTACCCTTCTTTTCATCCTACTTCTTCACCTCATTCCATCATGGCTGCTCGCCGGTCAATTTCTCGTTCCATCCCCGCTCTCCGCGCAGTTCCCCGCACGCCGGTGTCGGTAACCGCCAGAACTGCATCTTCAGCTCGTTCCATCACAACTGCTTCTCCCCTTGCCAGCTTAGTCTCCCGCAGAGCACCTGTGTCTGCTTCTTCTCTTTCTGCCACTCGTCGCTTGCACGCAACGGCTCGTCGGTTGGTCATTGCAACAACCTCGGCCGACTCCACTGCAACCGAATACCCAACAACCCACCAAAAGATCGCCAACCCCATCGATACTGCTAACTTCATTGACAATGAGTTCGTATCATCTAAGGCAACCAAGTGGATTGATCTCAACGATCCGGCCACAAACAATCTGGTCACACGTGTGCCCCAGAGCACAGACGAGGAGATGAAGGCCGCCGTGCAGTCGGCCGAGAAGGCCTTCCCCGCTTGGAGAGCCACCAGTATCATGGCCAGACAGCAGATTATCTTCAAGTTCACTAATCTCATCCGTGCCAATTGGGACCGATTGGCTGCGTCAATCACCCTCGAGCAGGGCAAGACTTTCGCCGATGCCAAGGGTGATGTTCTCCGCGGCCTGCAGGTCGCCGAGACCGCCTGCGGTATTACCACCCAAATGACAGGCGAGGTTTTGGAGGTGGCCAAGGACATGGAGACCAGAAGCTACCGTGAGCCGCTCGGTGTCGTGGCTGCTATCTGCCCCTTTAGTAAGTTGCAATGCTCTCGGCTATTTTGGAATTCCGTATCATACATACTGACTGTCATCAAGATTTCCCTGCCATGATCCCCCTTTGGTGTATCCCAGTTGCTACTGTGACTGGTAACTGCTTGGTTATGAAGCCTTCCGAGCGGGATCCCGGTGCTGCCATGATCCTGGCGGAGCTTGCCAGGGAAGCCGGTTTCCCCCCTGGTGTCATTAACATTATCCACGGTACTGCTCCCACCGTGGACTTTATCCTCGATGAGCCTGCTATCAAGGCCATCAGCTTCGTCGGTAGCAACCGTGCTGGCGAGTATATCTATACTCGCGGCTCTGCCAACGGCAAGCGCGTGCAGGCCAACCTCGGTGCCAAGAACCACGCTGCTGTCCTGCCTGACGCCAACAAGAACCAATCTTTGAACGCAATTGTCGGTGCCGCGTTTGGCGCTGCTGGTCAGCGCTGCATGGCACTGAGCACTTGTGTTATGGTTGGCGAGACCAAGGAGTGGCTGTCCGAGATTGCCGAGCGGGCCAAGGCCCTGGTTGTGAACGGCGGCTTTGAAGAGGGCGCTGATCTCGGCCCCGTCATCAGCCCCGAGAGCAAGAAGCGTATCGAGGACCTGATTACCAGCGCCGAGGAAGAGGGTGCTACAATCCTCTTGGATGGCCGTGGCTTCAAGCCCGAGAACTACCCCAACGGTAACTTCGTAAGTTCTTACAAACAAGTCCTCTATATATCTCCCACATGAACTAACTGCGTCTTTGCAGGTTGGCCCCACTATCATCACCAATGTCACCACCGACATGAAGTGCTACAAGGAGGAGATCTTCGGTCCCGTCCTCGTGTGCCTCAATGCCGAGACCCTGGATGATGCCATCGACATCATCAACGCCAACGAGTACGGCAACGGCGCCGCCATCTTCACCCGCTCTGGGTCGACTGCCTCTAAGTTCCAGAAGGAGTGCGAGGCCGGTCAGCTCGGTATCAACGTTCCCATCCCTGTCCCTCTCCCCATGTTCTCTTTCACCGGCAACAAGAAGTCTATTGCTGGTGGCGGTGCCAACACTTTCTACGGCAAGCCTGGCCTGCAGTTCTACACCCAGCAGAAGACTGTCACCAGCTTCTGGAAGAGTGAGGATGCGGTCAGCACTAAGGCCAACGTGGTTATGCCCACTCACTCTTAAAATGTCTTTGTTCTACCTTAACCCATCATTATTCGGCTGAATATGTCTTTTTTCTCATGTGCCTCACGGCTTTCAATGATTGTATTTGAACCATATGCTTCCTTTTATATAGCATTTGCGAATATGGACACAAATACCAAATTGGACATTGCATCGAGCATTTACCGATGTTTCGCTCAAATATAAACCAATCTGACATACTCGCACTTGACTATCCCACAAGTACTGAACCATGTCAATCCCTATACTCTACCCCACCATAACCCCGCTACAAACCATCGCTACGTAGCATCAGAATTGGAAACAATTACCAGGTTTAAGCGTTATATTGAACAAGGCTATAAGGAGCCTGGATAGAGAAAAGTATAACTCAACCGCACCCAAACAGAAGTACTTAAGCCTCAGCACGACGCTCCTTGAAAGAGTACACAAGCCGAGCATACTCAACCTTCCCATCCTTAGCAACAGCAATGCGACGAGCATGAAGTCTCTCCCCCTCAACAATCTCAAAGCCCCAAACCTGTTCAGCAGTCCACCCATTCTCCAGACTCTGCACAAAACTATGCAAAAACGCCTCCTCGCCCTCCTCGCCAACAAACCCATCACTCTTAGATCCATCAGCCAGAATCTCCCCAACCAGGAACTTCTGCACCTTAGCATCTTCCTCGGGGTTACCGGTCGAAGTTTGCACATCGAGAACAGGACGGATAGCGTCGCCCTCAGCCTTGCCACCGATGAACCGGGAGCGGCTGCTCAGACGACCGAAGACGGCATCTTCGCGCTCGCGCAGTTCCCAGTCTAGGCGGCGCTCCTCGGGCGAGGCTTTGATGCCGCCGGTGATCACTTGTTGGGCGTCGATGGCGGTGACGGAGGGGTTTTCCTTGTCTTGGTACTGGTGGATGTGGATTGTCACTGTTGCCAGGGAGAGGGTCTTGCGCATAATCCAGCCCATGCCTTGCTGTTTGGTATTGTTAGTTGTGTTTTGCATGTGATAGGAGGTATAGTGTGGGGCTTGGATAGTGTGGGGTAGGGCAGGGGTCATGGGTTTGATGTTCATAGACACATGTATGTACGATTCAGGGGAAAAGATGTGCCAAGGAGCTGTAGGACACCCGTTTAGGTTATAGACCCGGGGATTGTGTAGTTAGGGCTTGGGGCGTTTTCATACCAGAGCAAGAATGGGGTCTGTGGGGTTGGACTTGGTTGAGTCCTGTTATAGCTATACGTTAATTTCTGGTATTTTTGGTCTCGGAGGGTTCTTGTATCCAGTGACATACCAATTCCCATGTTCCATTCAGGTTCTTCATGGTGATATCGGTAGGGGCGGCCATCTTGGTGGTTTGTTTATGCAATGCGGGGTGGTGGGTGGGTATAGTTGAAGAAGGAAGGATAGAAGGAGGAACTTAGGAACGTAGGAACTTCGAACTCGGGGTGTTCAAGTGAAGGAGGGAAAGTAGCAATATATAGTCTCCGTGATCCTTTACAGTTAATGGTCCTCCCAATGGCATTGCGTCAATGGAACAATTTACATGTGGTCGCCCCATTCTCCGAGGCTAGAGTCACCTGACCAGTTCCTGCTGACTACACATGTGATTAGCCCCGGGGAGTTCGGTGTTTACTATGGAGAGAGTTACCCCAACCCAATCATGTCCTTCAATAAGAAATATGCCGGTCTTCCTGACCTGGTGAGTAAAGCGCTGCTGTCGATTTGGCCTTATATATTGTAGTAGAATCGCAACTGACCGTGTTCGCAGGACCCTTCCCCGGATATTTACGAAACCCCCGACTTGACCGATGAAGCATCCACCCTGCCCGTAAGTTCGGCAGTCCCACAAGAGTCAGACATCATCAGGACCAATCACTGACACAGCGCAGACTGCCACAATCCGCACTGACTCCGACCATGACGATGCAGGCTCAAACTCCGACATCGACCGCGAGGGCGTCAACGCGGACCAGGCGCGCATGCACTTCATGGGCGCGGCCGTAGACGCCCGCGACGTCAATTTCTCAGACAGCATTTCCCAGAAACGTCAGGCATACCGGAGCAAGAGCATAAGCCGTCATCGTCGGCGCAGACAGGATGGCACAGAGGAGGTTGGTGATTTGAGTGATAGCGAGGACGAGTCGCTGGAACGGAGGCTTGCACGACTGCGGAGGGAGGTCGAAGATCTCAAGGTGGAAATGGCCAATAAGCCACAGACTCCAGCGGCAGCTGACTCGACAGAGGAAACTGTAGGCGACGGCGTCGCAGAACTGAGCCGCGCCTTGGATAACCTGCACGCGTCGCGAAGCGCCGCAGGTCCATCGCACTCGGCGGCGGCTTTGCTATCGCAGAAGCTTGGATCCGAGACTCGCTCCACGGACCCAAAGACACAATCCTCGGCCGATGCGTCGAAGGGGGTGTCCGCATTGCCAGCACCGAATACTGCATCTTCCGGGATCCTCACTCACGCAGCAGCATTCGACAGCCGATTGGCGCTTCTCGAAAGCGCAATCGGCATTTCAAGTACCTCAAACCCCTTCGTCGTCGACGGCATCAACCAGTCCACGCAGCACCCAGTCCTCCCAGCCCTGGACCAACTCACCTCCCGCCTCTCCGCACTAACCGGCCTTCTCGTGGGCACCACTCCCGTCTCCGGGGCATCAGTCGGCAGTACCGCCGCGGGAACAACCCCGCACCTCGAGACACTCTCTACACGTATTCGAAAATTGACCACAGACGCCGAGGCGCTCACTGCCGCACGCAGGAAAGCCTTCGAAGCCGCCAAGGCCGTCCACAATGCCCGTCTAGCCAGTTCCGACCCGGACACCGTCCACGCACTCGAAGCATCCGTCGATAACGAACACGTCGCCAAAGTCCAAGCCCTCTACGCCACCCTCCCAACCATCCAATCCCTTCATCCACTGCTCCCCAGCGTTCTAGAGCGTTTGCGCTCCCTGAGGGCGTGTCATGCTGGCGCCGCACATGCCGCGGACTCATTGAATGAGCTGGAAAAGCGTCACGCTGAGATGGCGTCGGAGATTGCGCAGTGGCGTGATGGTCTGGTTACTGTTGAAGAGAAGATGCAGCAGGGTGAGGCTGCTCTACGCTCGAATCTTGAGACTGTTGAGCCCTGGGTAAGGGATTTGGAGTCGAGGTTGGCGCGGCTGGAGGGTCCGCCTGGTGGATTGTGATGGTGGTCTTCTACTTTTGATCTGCAGCAGATGCTTGATGAATAATACCCAGTTGTACTTTCGAATGTTGGGGCTGTAGTTCTGTGAAGTTGTTAATATCAGGTCTATGCCATATGCCATAGCCATAAGTTCACATTAGACCTAAGTAAGATCTTACAATTCCCTCACCCTCCTCAAAACCTTCACCCTCGGCCTCATCCTCACCTCAACCCACCAACCCCTCAAAACCCTTCTCAAATACTCCCGCAATCCCTCAAACATCTCAACACCAGTCTCACCGAAAACAGCACCGATCACACGTCTCTCCGCAGACCCCAGAGCAGATACACCAGGCTTCAACACCTCAACTCCCGCAAAAGCATCAACAACAACCACCCTCTCCCACACCGACTCAGGAAGTGCAAGTCTAAGACTAGTTTCATCTATATCCACACTCTCACCCCCCGCCTCGAACACAACATACTCAAACTGCTCCCAGAAGTTCCTCGTAGCCTTAACTGCCTTATCCTCTGTTTTATCATATACCCAACCCGTCCCAGGTTCTCTCTGCACAAAGCGCGTGATACCTGTTTGACAAGCGAGATTCCCCAGATAGACATTGACCGGTAATTCCAAGTTACCATCGCTATACAAAACATCGTGCCTTGCATGCAGAGCATCTAGCGCCTGTCCACCAGGATAATTCGCCGCCGAAGCAGGAAGAAGCACGAGATTCGATAGAGCAAAGGCGCAAAGCGTAGAAACCACCAGTGCGCGCGTTGCGAGACGCGCGAATAGCGAGCGCTTTCGATGATTCCATAGATACGCCGCGCCGAGCGCAGCAGTAGCTGTCAGCGAGGGGATGATGTATACAATGAACCGCCACTCCTTATGCGGCTGGAAGCTATACAGCGCCACGAAAGACAGGGCCGGGATGAGAAGTGCCAGCGCCGCGGATCTAGTTGCTGGTTGACGGATAGCGGTTGGGATAAGGAGGGTGTAGACGAGTGGATTGGCGAGGAGACGGGGGATAGCATTGACGAAGTAGAATGTGTATGGATGTGTTCCCCATTGCGAGGATTGGCCTGCTAGAACGTTGAAGCGGAAGGCTGAGAATTCGGGCCAGAGGGGGAAGCGTTGCCAGAAGAGGCTGTCTATTGTTATTGTGATGAGGAGGCCGGTTGCTAGTCCTGTTAGACCGGATGTAATGGCGGTTTTGAGGGTTATGCGGCTTGTTAAGAGGAGGTAGAGGGTTTGTGTTCCGACTAGCAGGGCTAGTTCGGAGCGGAAGATGACCCCGGCGATTGTGAGGAGGATCAGTGCTAGGCTGACTTGTTTTTGGTTGTGGAGTGGGAGGGGGTTTGGGAGGAGGAGGCGGAGGGCGAGTGTTGTTATGCTGAAGGCGAACATGTTTGATAGTGGTCGCGAGGCATAGTATATCAGGTGGAATTGGCTTGCTTGGAGCAGGATGTACCAGATAGCTACTGGTTGGCCGAAGGTGCGGCGTAGACCGCTTGCGTATACTGCTAGGGATGAGGCATTCAAGAGGCCGAGGATAGCTCGAGCTGCGTTTCTGTTAGCGTTGGACATATAGGTAGTACCGTAGTGTACATGTATGCGAGATACCTAGAAGCTGGCGATTGATCCCCTCATTCAACCAAAGCACAGGCTTCGAAAGCATAGCGAGGGTCGCGGCGCCAACGGCACTTCGGGGAACTGCCCCGGGGAAAGAGAAATGATCGTAATCATCTCGATTTAGGTGCAGGTCATTGAAGGCTTTAGGTAGCCCGTTGGCTAAGATATCATGCACAGCCTGGACATGGAACGACTCCTCGACTTTGGTGTATGGAGCAACGAAGAGATGCAAGATAATCAAAGCCGGGAATAAAAGAACGAGCATAAATGCTATAAATCATCAGATTATGTTATTTGTATAGAGAAAGGAAAACGAACCATATCCCATGGTGCCGAGTTGGAGGAGATGTTGCGGAGATCTGGCGCTTCCCGCACTTCACCTTCTACCATTCTCCAAGCAAAGATGTTCTTCTTCGGCCTTGGGAAGCTGGTCTACGGTATCAATACACAGCATCCTCCATCCTGATCTATTGCTAATGTTCTTTCCTAGTCATCGTCCTTATCATCAATGCCATCGCCGTCCTCTCCGAGGATCGCTTCCTAGCTCGCGGTATGACCCCCCACCAACTTACACCGCGTCTAACGAGAACAACACTAACGTCTGCTTCACAGTTGGCTGGGGCCGAACACAAGCAGAGCCGGGATTCGGCGCGACATACGATAGCACAAGCGTGAAGGCGAAGTCGGTGAACCTGATCGCCAGTGTGCGGACTGTGATGCGAAGTACGTTACTCCCTTTCCTGCTTCCATTCTCTCATTCAAAGTAGCCTGGTATCGGATTCGAGCAATCGGCTTGAGCTCTACGGGGATATATTTGAGAAGAGGTTGTCAGCGATAATAGCCCGAGAACATAGCTAACATCACAATGCAGTACCCCTTATCGTCATCAATACGGTCATTATTGTCTACGAGCTGATTCTCGGATAAATTTCCCCTCTCGTCCGTTTTTCACTAGTGGGATTCCTACGAAATATCGAATCCATTGCGACCCAACTGCTAGATGCCTACCTGCCCCGATCTCCATACCTGTTGAAACACGACTGCACGACTTAAACGCGATGCTACATGTAGCGCCTCCAGACCTTACGAGAATGTCGGATTTGTAGAGGGATACCAACGAGACCTTGTCGAAATGGCCACACGAACGGGTATATCGGAGAAGATGCAGAGCTAGGAATGAGGACTTGGATTATGTGTTACACCTCTATGATGCATTTTGCGTGGAGTAATTTTGGCATGCAAACAGCGTGTCTTCGCAGTACGCTTTTTGAAGTTTCCGGCTTCTCTTTCTCGGGGGGTGCGTGGAGCTATATCAGTTACGAGAGGCATGGACTCTACCGTGTATTAATATCAAGTCCCCTGCTACCCTCAACCCTAGGATTATTGACCCTAGTATACCTCTGAGCAGATCCTACAAGATAAAAGAACCTAAAAGAAAAAGCTCCGCTCAGATTGCAACGAAATGTAGGTAACAAATACGCCAAACCCGACAGAGATTACCCACGCTCAGCAAAACCTGACCCAAACGCCTCTTTCACGATTGTCCGTGTAGATATCACATATCACGCTTGATGATACAAAGATAGCAGTGATGAGGAGCAACGGTAGCAAGATGGAAGCAAGATAGAGAAGATAAAGTAGGAAAGATAGCTAGAAAGAGTCAAGATCAGAGGAGATGCGATCCAGTCTAAAAAGACACTGTGAATGGACTTTCACAAAGATCGAACCGAAGAGATGAGCGCAGATCGTAGAAACATGATAGTACATCCGCTAGGAAAGTAGTATGTGCAGGAAATTGCGCTTATATGCGCGCAGGGAGAGGGTATCTCCGGAAGTTCAGATTAGTTGGTTGTAGACGACACGGGTGTTGTCTGAAAGGAGACGGGAGTTTAGGAGACTTTCTTGAAACTGAAGGATCTCCAGCGGGGAGTATGGACGGGCTTTGCGTGGTTGGTCTGATCCTTAGCCAAGGGCTCAGGAGCCCGGACGGAGTATTTGTGTTGTTTGGGGTTGGAGATAGGTGGGAATTCCCTTGGGGAGATTGGAGAATGGATTGAATGCTCCGGTGGGACAGGGTTGGTGGCTGCCTGAATCGCTTCTGTCTCCTTGAGTGGTAACTCAGTGACGATTTCCGGGAGAATAGGTGGTGTCGAGAGATCTGATGTCGAGGTTCGAGGCTCTTTTTCTTTGTTGAGTCGTTGACTCAGACTGCGACTGCCTCGCTTCAGGAAGCCGAACCCGCTTGATTTTCGTGGGGATCCGTTCTCGCCATTGACGTCGATGGTCTCAGCCTTGCTAGCCTCGATGGCTTTCTTCAAGTCGTCCGCCTCACGCCGCTGCAGCTCTAGATTCTGCAGATGTTGCTCTTTCAACCGCATTCTTTCATTCTTTTCCTTCTCTTTTTCCAATGCACGACGTTCCTTCCGTAGGTGGTGATCGCTCTTCTTCGGGCTCAGCACTGAAGCCGGTTCGTCAGGGATTGGAGGGAGAGGCGGTTGAACCGGCCGTGCCGCTGGGTGAGGCTCCGAGGGTTCCTCTGGGTAAGTAGACAGTGGGGGTGCAGTTGGAATTCGGCTTAGAGGGGTGAGGGGGGTCGAGTTCTCGGGGGGAACCTGAGATGCGCTTTGGGCGTGGACTAGCGCCGGGGACAACGGAGATCCATTAGCCTTTGCAGCTTCACCCGCCTCAGCTGCAGCCGCGGAGGCTTGATTTTCTTGCGCCTGCTCTCGCATAACAGCCTCGATAGTCGTCTCTTGGTAGAATAGAACGTAGGCACACGCCAATCCAGGTCGATCGCCAAAGAAGTTCCGTACGTATGACTTGTCGACCGGTTCCACGAGCTCGTCGTCGAAGAGTAGCCAGCCGCGGTCTTCTGTCTTGATTATGGCAACATAATGGCCGTGGTATGGTCCTCCGCCAATGTGGACAACCACCGCATATAATTCGTACAGTCGGTCTGGATCCTCGGCATCGTCCGTGGTGTTGAACAAACGAAGGTGGTATGGGTAAACGACGCGATGGAACAATTTCTGCAGTCGCTGCAAATCCTCCGTATATTTGAAACGCTTCAGATGCAAAGCAAGAACGCGGGGTAAACGCTTGATCTTCATGCGCTTTTCCGCCTCTTGCAGTCCTCCGCAGTTGTCGCAATGGAACTTATTCCGCTCACAAAGCATCTCTTCGGCTGAGAACTTTCGGAGACAAGAAGTAACGGATGAATGCTGTTCAAGATCCACAGACAAGTCCAAAAACACCTCATCTCGCTGGGATACCTTTTCACAGGTAAGACACTTGGTCTCAGAAGTCAACGTTCCTTCAAACAGCTCATGAACCCAGCGCGTGGTATTTGGCGACTTCGAACCCGTGCTGGCTGTCAACGTTCCGAGGGAGTCCGCACTTTCTGTCGGGGGCAAAGCCTTCTCCGTGACTGTATGTTTCGTGGCCTCGGTTTCGACATTGGCCACCACTTCGTTGAGGAGCAAATTCAAGAATTCATGCGCATCCTGGTGCATGGCGGTCCGGAACATTTCGTGCTCTCGCCGTAAAACGTCCAGGAACTGTTGCGGGCGAACGATACCGATCCGTGCCTGACTTGCTACCACCGACTCAAATATATCCTTGAGCGAAGTGAAAAGAGACTCGGACATTCCATAACTGGTCGCATTGTTCTTGGTTTCCAGAATCGGAAGCGTCTGCAGGGCGACCTTCTTCTTGTATTCCGGCGAATCCTTGTCCTCCGGTTTCTGCTGTTGGGCTGGAGGGCCAGCTGGCGGCGAGGTAGCCTTCTGTTTGGCAGCGAGCGCCTCAGCTTCGAGATGTGCATTGGGATTCTGGTATCGGAGGTTCGTGGCGAGCGCCGCCTCGAGGCTGTCGAGCGGGGTACGCTGGGGGTAGTTGATGACGGCTTCGCGGAATGGTACCGAGTAGTAGAGACATTGTAGGATGGAATTGCAGTAACATGTGTTCCCATACTAAACGAGCGCGGGATCGCCGTCAGTGATTTTGCGCGACGAATAGATCTCCGGGGCAGTCCGAGACTCACATTTTCCATTCCGTAAAACTTATCACTCCCATCGCCACGAATGGCGCCCATGTCCTGTAATCTCTTTTCTAACGGGGAAATCTGCGGGGTCTGAAGGTCTTTCTTCACGGGTGGCGCGGTAGCCGGGGAATTGAAAGCCTGCGCGAAGAAACTCGGTCAGTGCCAGTCCTAATCTGAATGGTCTCACGGAGTGCCCGAAGCATCTGTTGTGCTACAAGGCTGAATGGACAGGGTTGTAAGGATGTATGGCTGTCACCTACCCCAGGCTTCGGTTTGGAGAAGAACCCCTTCATGATTGCTTAGTGGCCGGTCGCAGTCTGCATTGGTGATGGTCGCTGGTGTTCAGATGGATAAGAACACGGCAGTCAAAAGAGAAATACGGAGTAAGAGGGAGAGAGTAATAAGCGCGTTGGGGATAGCAAAAGGCGTCGATCACATAAAGTTTTGGAGGTTCCGGTGGAAATGAGAGGGGAACGGGAGAGGAGAGATTCAAGTCCCGAAGGTAGGGGGAAAAGGTGGAGGGGCAAATGATTTAAGGTGAGGTAAATGAGAGAGGTTGAGATGAAGTAATGTGATTAATGAATTCAGGTTACAGTGAGTAAATAGAAGAGAGAGTAGGAAGAGAGATAATGTGTACGGAGTAGAGTAGAGAGAAAAGACGTTCCCCCGAGGATGGACTGGATGGACCCAGTTATTTCTTAACGGTCAGATCGATCTCAGCCATCCAATAAACCTCATACTGTAGTTAACTACATACTGTAAATAGTACGGAGTACATAAGACTCGATCGAATCTGTAACGAATCATCCAGAACATACAGACATACAGACACAGCTGAACCTCCGCATCGAACAGTCTCTTGACCTACCCCATTCATCTTAGTCTGTCTACTCCACGTGGAGACCTAAGGCAGGTACTGGTCCAATCGCCGAATTTCATCGAAGCAGAGACGATCAATAACACAATTCACTCATCTTTTCTCAAATTCTGGGGTAAAAAGAAACATATATCCCTAACATCTAAACATCTCCAACGCTGCTTCTCGGGTATGCCGGGTTTCCCTCCCCATTTGTTGGCCCCATTGGCCAACTTCCCCAGTGAAGTGGCCCCCCTTTTTATCTCCTCCCCCCCCCACGTCCATGGGAAACGTTCCCCTCTCCCATCGGGGGGCTGTTTGAATCATGAACTGACTCCATCTGATTGGTTCTAGGCTGTCCTCGCTCACGGGCCATGTGTCCGCCCCTCGCATGGCGTGTCATAACGGCCAATGATCGTCGCGCTTGTGGGGAAAAGAAAAGTGGCGGTGGAGCCCCTTCCCAAGTGAAATCTGTTCCTTACTTGGCTTTCCTCTCGATATGTACGAAGTACGTACAATGAGCAATGTAGAGTACGAACACACAAGACTATGAGGACACAACCTAGGCTCCAATGTGAGCTGGTACGCAAGGGATGATGGGAGGAGGGGGAGCTGGATTCCATGTTGACAGATGATAGCGCATATCCGGCACCTAATCTACCTCGCATAATGCTAAATATGCTCCTTGCGGGTCTCTAAGCGCAGCAAAATACGGACATTGTATCCAGCCATTCCTTAACAACGTACGGTGCACGTTCCTGTGGCGGGAGTGATCTAAATCGAATCTGGTGACAATTCGACGTGAGCAGTTGCCTGACTCGACTATTCAAGAAACAATGATCTGTCCATTTTCCGCCAATAAGGAATTACCCGGGGAGAATAAATCGGTAGGCAGCCAGGAGGCCTCCGCTCCGTCCCGGATTCTGTACGATGTGCATCATAAATAGTGGGGGTGGCGAGACAAGCTTGACCACTGCCAAGGGGCTCGGCGGCTAAAACACCTTGTCAAAGGTGGCTGTCTTAAGTGCGCAGTACGGAGACCTACTGTATACATGTATGTGTAGTGTGTACAGTGTGTTGTCAATTGTAGTGTTACTACATATCCGATCAACCGAATGACGTTGTTAGATTTGTGGGTCAGATCGGTTTCTACCGAACTGAGAGATTTACTGTGGCTATGTCATACTCCGTAGATGCCACAATGTTATCGGTACTTACGACGTATGTACCTACAACGTGAGTAGTAACTACCGATAGTCGCTACGAGCACGGAATGTGCAGGGAACCCAAACAGGAAAGAGGTAAACTAAGTCAGCCATGGCTGGGAGGATGTCAGGGTTACAATTGAAGGACCCCTAGACATACGATGTCGTATCTTGGCATACAATACCGTAATATTCCTTTAAGCTTTCACCTGAGGGCCAGCTATAGAACACCTGACCTGATACAGTACGCAGTAGATCTCGAAAACGGCTTTGAAACACTCGCTTCTCCGCCCGTAGCCGAAACCACACTCATCCGTTTACTTTCCCGCTCAGCTTGTATGCAACTTGGAAATATGACGCTCAAGTACATTCTTTTCCTCCGAGCCTATTATGGTGTGAATTATGTTCCGTCAAATTAGTCGGGCAACCTGAAGCGTGGTGGATGCTCCTATGATGCTAGTGATGTGACGTCTCGTGGGACTGGGAATCACCCTTTCTGGCCCAACGAGTCTCTCTGTCAAAAGCTCTCTTTTCCTCCTCTGTCATATTCCTCAGGCCCCGTTCTCGAAGTTCTGAAAAGAAATTCAAGGCAGCGTCGAAGGTATCAGGATACGTCCAGCCGTCTCGTTTCACAAGACCTTCTATACTGTCAAAGAAATCTTGAACCTCATTCCAGCCCTCGGAATCGACGGAATGGCTACGTAGTTCATCCTGCGTGAAGTGATAGGGACATTCGCCCTGGATGCCAAGTTCTTGCCAATATCTAAGATAAGTGATCAGATACGTTCAAAAAAAAGGAAGACAATACGAAGTGAGATAGCTACCTTTCAACGTTAATGAGTGCCTCACGAAAAGAGACTATGTCATCATCCCATGTGTTTCCGGCAAATTCGACTGGAATACGCCTTGTCTTCCCATGGTCTAGATGGAAAGCTTCGGCAAGAAGGGGGTTGCGTTGGCTTGTCTCCAGCAGATAGAGCTGGTATAGTGTCGATTTGGATACTTGTTGCTTGATCTCAGCCTGCTGCTCAGGATCCATATCTTTAAAATTGGGTGGTAATTGAAGTAAAATGCTGCCTGTGAAGTCCACGATCGGAGACGGTTGGGCTTGAAGAAAGAGTGGACCTGCCCACGAGCCCTGCCAATCGATGATCGCCGTTATATGGCCATCCTCGACGAACAGATTAGACGAATGAAGGTCTCCGTGGAACAAGGTAGGGCGACTGAGAACGGGGTCAATATCCATAAGAGCAGGAGCCACTTTAAGATACTTCTCCAACAGCTGCAGATGGGCCTGTGGGGTGTTTTGGGCGGACGAAATTAGGATAGCTTCGCTTGGTGGTTTCGGGACGGCAAAATTCTTGATCCACTCGAGTTCACGCCGGCCAACACTTAGCGCATATTCTTGGGGTGTTCGCCCTTAAGAAGGTCAGCTTCTTTGCTTTCCTTTCCTACGTTCCTCTGTCTAATCATGCATGCCCATGTTGTGCGCTCGGGTGCGAGGAGGACGGCCCCTTCCAACACAACGCATTGCTTCTTTGCAGGCATTGCGGTAGCTGTCGTTGCACTGCCGAAGTCAAGGGCGTGACGGTGCGTGTCACTGCCTACTCCCAGGGGCCTACCTACACCCAACTCCAAGTTGGGATCCACAAATAAGGTTCCCTGAACGTATCACAGCGTCTGGGACAAACTCGACCTGCCAATGATTATAGTAGTCGACGTCGATACGCAAGCCGTCCGTTGGATTAATAACATCGTTGGCAGATGGAATTCGTCCCTGACCGGGCCTGTGATATCCGTTAGGTAAGGCCTTGGGCCCTTGGGAGTACGCAGTGAGACGCATCTTCACGTCCCTTGACTTCGGCTTCCGGAGGTGTAGCGAAAGCTACCACCCCGAAAGAAAAAGGAAAATCAGATCATGCTTACAGGGACCTCGCGAGATCTGCATTGACGAGCGTTGCTTGTTCCAAAAGCTTCGGTCAACGGTAGGACCAATACTGAATTTCTCGTATACTCGCTCTTTGAGTTCGGAGGAAGCTCCGTCGGTCAACAGGGCTGGAACTGTGCTTTCCACTGCATCGTTCGCAAAATATATGCTGCCAAAGCTGACGGGACGATCAGATATCGCACTGGTTTGTGAATAAGGAATTGAACATGCTGAGAAAACGACACCGCAAGCATCTTTGACTCGATAGTCACTATCTCCCTCATAATGGAAAGTTTCTTTTCCGCACTCAGCTGATCCCAGATAACTCCAATCTGTGTGCCAGATGCTTCTTCCATGATGATGTATTCCGAGCCAACGGCGTTATCTGATGTGGCACTCCAATCAAAGATTCGAGGCACAGGAATTTGAAGGAAATCTCGGGCCTAGGTCGAGCATGGACTATCTGTCCTTGCGATCAATGGATTTAAGATAAACTTACAAGCTCCATGGTAGCGACTTCGGATGCGGTCGTATAGAATGCTGGGCCAGCATTTGGGTTTGGTATACGAGCAAGCACTCTTTTCCCATCATTCATGGTCAAACGAAAGACCTTATTGTATCCTCCCTCGGCCAGCTTCGTTATGGAGATGCAGCTGTCTGATCGAACGACTTTGGCCGCGAGACTTTGGAGCTCAGCAACGTTGAAGGCCTTATATCTGTCCCTGAGCTGCTGTTCTTCATCCCAGAGCCATCGTCCGCTCGTATAACGGAAGAAGTGCTCGTAATCCGGATTTGGTGTTGACATTTGCTCGGAGAGACTCGTGATCGTTCGAACGACGCGAAATGGAAGGGAAGTGGTTGTTGATTGTAACCACGGTGGCGAAACAAGGGCAGGTGCTCGTGGTTGAAAACAGAAAGCTGACCAATTCCTCAACTTTGAGGTAGCTGAAAGTGCACGTCTCATGTTAATGTTCATTGCTCGTGTCTGGTTGAGAAGGGTTCATTTGCGGAGACTGGGGTCAATGGGTGTATCTGCTGAGCTTCTTGGCGCTTATTAAGTTTTGTGAAACATGGAGGGCTTGGTTTGTACAGTATCAAGCCAAGTGGAACCAATCCAAAATGAATGGATGAATTGACTGAGAAAAGAAGAGACAAACCGAGGCGAGGACACGAGGTGAGTAGCGTAACAGTGTAGGTCTTGCTAACACAAAGGCACGTGAAATCAAAGCATCCGCTAAGTCGTATACAGTCTAGCGTACTTCTACTATCCACATTCCTCGACAAGTCTCATACTATCGCCCGAGTTCTTTGTACCCAGTACTTATCGCGGAGGTAGCTGCGTTGATTCTGCATCTCACTGAGGTATTGCAGACGTGACTCAGGTCCGCACGCACCCAAGAAACCAGTGCTTCCGCATCAAGCACAGCTTTCGTCTTTCCTTGAGTGATCCTTCATTGTTGTGCACGTAAAGATCGCTTTCCTAGTTCGAGGTGGGAGAGAAGACAGGCGCGGGATCCAACCGAAGCTGGGGGTCTGGCAGTGGGGGAAGTGTTTCCTCATGGGACCTTCTCGGGCTCTTCCTGAATCGGCTCCTCAAGCTGGGTTCTCTCTCTTCAGGTCGCCGTCGTCGACTCGTCGTGTTCGTATTCGGCTTCTCGGTTCGGTCCGATACAAATCGTGTTTTGATTCGTCGATTTGTTTAGGTCGACCCACTCTTCCCCAGGACCGCTATGCCAGTGCACGCAGTTGATGGATCTATGTAGGTCCAGTAAACCTCCATAATACGATAACTACACTCTGGAGCCCAAAAGTATCGTAAAAACTAGGTATGGCACTATCATGTTGTATCAAGTTTATATACAAATTTTCATCCAAAAAACGACCTAATATCTGCTGTGCCTTTCGCCGCTTTCGGCTTACCCGCCCCTATTCGGTGTGTGGGAGGCTCAAGGGCGCGGATATCTCTCTGCTTCTGCGCATCAATCTTGGCCTGTAACAACCCTTGTTGTTTCTGAAGGTAATGAATGGCCTCCCTATCACCCTGCTCCTGCTGCAGCTCATACAAGAGGACAGTTTCGACTGCTTGTAAAGCCTCCCCCGCACTGATCAAGGGAGCTTCGGGGATATCAGCATCATCGTCAAATTCAGAGTGAAATTGAGATAGCACAATATTATCCAATGTATCTTGGTCATCCTGCACGATCTCGTCCAGAGGATTGAGAAAACTCTCAAGGCTCATTGGATTGGACATTCGAAGCCTCAATGCAGATAGACCGGCGCTGAGTTCAGTGGCCAACGGCTGTTGTATAGTCTCCGACTGATACTCAGAACCCAGTGCTTTTTTGAAAGAAGTACTGATTGTTTCAGCAGAGACACCAAATTGCCAGGCACTAATTGCCCATCGTAGTGCTTTTAGCACATTCATTGATTGGATTGGATCCCGGCCATTATCAAATTCATCCAGCATGAATTCAATCCATTCGCGTCTCCAGTGAGCTTTCCAGGTTCGGATGATACCTTGATCTAGTGGCTGAAACCGGCTTGTTGAATTTCCCGGAAGCCAGATGATCAAGGTATTTTGCAATTGCGAAGGAAACTCATTGATCGTCGCTCGTACGGCAGGCTCATGAGCAGAAAAATTGTCCATAAGTAGTACCACTTTTCGATGAATCATTTGCTGATCGAACCATCGAAGCCACTCCTCGAAGAGCTTGCTATCCATCCACGCCTTCATATTAGATTTCCACCGAAGATCGAGGTTATTGATGTTGATGTGGGCAGCGGTGAAAGCACGGGGCTGTTGTGCTGTACCGATAAACCAAGGTTGTAACTTCTCGGAGCCATCGGCATTGCAGCAAAATAATGCTGTGATTTTAGCCTTTTGTTGCTTTTGTCTCGGTGAAGGTTCAGCTGCAAGACTTTGATCAGGAAGCCGTTTCCAGAACAGTGCAGTTTCATCACAAGTGAAGATATCCTTTGGATCGTACGCTTCGAGAACTTGTCGAATTTGAATCATAGCTTCGGCTGCAGCTGCCGGCGTACTTCCAACTTCACCGGAAAGGGTTCGATTCCAGATTGATTGACGGTTTCGGGAGGTAGGGTTTTGGACGATAGCGCTTTGGACGGCAGGGCTTTGCAAGGCACGGATTTTGAAGTGTGCTAACCAGCCATTACTGAATATCGGCATTTCCATTCCTTCGTACGCCGGTAACTGATTCCAGAAAAAGCGCGCTTTTTCACGTATGATCTCCTGAGAAGTCGGAGTCTCGCCAAACGCAAGGCTGATCCAACGTAGTAGTGCGGCTTCGAGGTCTGCCCATTTCGCACCGCGGCAGCGCTTCGCGTTCAAGAGGTGCGCGGTCGCTCCAGTATCGAGACTGGAATTTAGAGGAGAGGATCACTGAGACGGTAGATAGCGTTGGACGATGCCCATAGGTCTCAAAATACCAATCGGCAAGCTGCTTTTGCGTTGCCTGAGGGCGTAAACGGTGCTGCTCCCTAAGAGTGGCCCTCTGACGGTTTGAAATAGACTGACGAGGCATTGATTGGCCAGAAGGATTGAGAATGATGAATGATTGAGTAGCGATGGTACGGAGACGATCTCAGGGGAAGGATGCTGAGAGAATTTAACCCTGTTTATGGAATAACCAAATTCCAGACCGAAATTCGTTATATCCAGCTGGTATTACTGTGGTGTACTAAGCCAATTCGTTATGTCGAGGTCTTACTGATCGTTTGGTCACTGGAAAAAGAATGTCGGATAAACATCGGAACAACACACCCCAAACAGACCAAAAGTCCGAACCAGCAAAGCCTCAAGCCAGGAGATAACCCGGGGCCGTGGATGAAGAGAAATATTGTTGCGCAGCGTTCCTTTCCTTTTATGACGTCCATTTCTGTTCCTTTGCGCTCCGTACGACGAGCCATTGCCAATCCATTTGTCGTATCTCCCCTGCGTCGCTTGACTCATTGCACGTCCCTGCAGAACCGTCGAGTCACCTTGAATGAAAATAATCTCCGTGCCCCCACCATCCCCCACCACCAAAACCATCCCCGCCGCACTCGCCAGTTTTCCTCCTCCCCTCGCTCCGCTCAATTCGACACCATGCCGAAAGACAAGGGTAACAACTTCAACCTCAAGACCCCCAAGGGCACCAAGGATTGGTCCGGCTCCGACGCCCTCCTCCGAGACCGCATCTTCACCACCATCTCGAACGTCTTCAAGCGCCACGGCGGTACCGCACTTGACACGCCCGTCTTCGAGTTGCGCGAGATCCTGGCCGGCAAATATGGCGAGGACTCCAAGCTCATCTACGATCTGAAGGACCAGGGCGGCGAGATCTGCTCCCTGCGCTACGATCTGACCGTCCCCTTCGCGCGTTGGCTGGCCATGAACCCCGATGTCCGCAGCATCAAGCGCTACCACATTGCCAAGGTCTACCGTCGCGACCAGCCGGCCGTTAGCAAGGGTCGTATGCGTGAGTTCTACCAGTGCGACTTCGATATCGCCGGTACGTTCGACGCCATGGTACCCGATGCCGAGATCCTGCGCATCATCAGCGAAGTCTTCGAAGAGCTCGGCTGGAACGGCCGGTACACGATCAAGCTCAACCACCGCAAGATTCTGGACGGTGTCTTTGCCGTCTGCGGTGTGCCGGAGGACAAGCTCCGTCCTATCTCCAGTGCCGTTGACAAATTGGATAAAATGCCGTGGGCGGATGTGCGCAAGGAAATGGTCGACGACAAGGGTCTTGACGGCGAGGTCGCGGACCGTATTGAGAAGTACGTTATGCACAAGGGGTCGCGGGAACTGCTCGACAACCTGCTGAAGGACGAGGCGCTCATCGCCAATGCCTCCGCTAAGGCCGGTCTCGAAGAAATGGCCTTGATGATGGACTACCTCTCTGCATTCGGCGTGCTCGACAAAGTCTCCTTCGATATGTCCCTCGCCCGTGGGCTCGACTATTACACCGGTGTCATCTACGAGGTTATCACCGAGGGTTCGGCTGGTGTGCAGGCCGATGCCCCCGAGGCGCAGAAGGCAGCTAAGAAGGGCAAGACCAAGACCTCCGAGGACGATGACCGCTCCAACGATCCCACTCTCGGCGTTGGCAGTGTTGCTGCCGGTGGTCGCTACGATAACCTGGTCGGCATGTTCTTGCCCAAGGCCCAAATCCCCTGTGTCGGTATCTCATTCGGTGTCGACCGTATCTTCTCCATCACCAAGGAACGTCTCAGACGCGAGCAGAAGACGGACGCCCTGCGCAGCAGCGAGGTCGACGCCTACGTCATGGCCTTCGGTGGCAAGGGCTTCAACGGCATGTTGAAGGAGCGTATGGAAATCTGCCAGAAGCTCTGGAGCGCTGGTATCAAGGTCAGCATTACCATTTTCGCTAATAAATCTCAAACGTTAACTAACATGTTTTTCCACAGGCCGAATTTTCCTACAAACTGAAGCCTAAACTCCCCCAGCAATTCAAAGCCGCCGAGCAAGGCGACGTTCCCTTCGCCATTATCCTTGGCGAAGAAGAACTCGCCGCTGGAAAGTGCCGCATCAAGGAGATGGGTCTGCCCGAGGGCCACGCGGAGAAGGAGGGTGTTGAGGTTGAGATTGCTTCTCTTGTTACCGAGCTGCAAGCCCGACTCGCGCAGAAGCAGCACGGCGTTGTTTCGTCTCTGGCACAGCAGCTGCAGGGCATGACCGTCTAGTCTCTATCGTCGTTTCCATTCACTTGTTTTTCGTCTGTTTCTTCAGGAGCGTGTTTTTTCCCCACAGGGTTTGCTCTGTTTTATCCAAAATTATATAGATCTCTTGCATCGTCGGGCTTAGGGGTTGAACCTCGTTGACCTACAAAAAGGACTGGACTGATATTCTCGAGACAAGAACAAAATCATTGTTTCAAGGAAGAGTGTTCTGGGTCTCTTCTAGTGGAGTGGAATTACCAATACCCAATTGCATTTCACTTTTGCTCTGGTTTGACGTTTGAATACTCAACAGTATACACGAATCAGCCAAAATCAACTAGAAGTACAATACTCAAAGCACAAAAACCATACATATACAATCCACAACCAACCTCAACCTACTAATACCCCTCAGCATTCTTCATCAGGAACCCCTTAACAAACGGCAAAGAATCAACAACCCCAAGCCCCAGACTCCTCGCCCAAGTGATCGGCCCTTCACCTGGAACATTATACATCTTATGCAGCAGATCACAAGCACCCCCAATCTTAGCATTGGGCAAGTACCGCTCACACGAGTAGCGCTCCAGCGTCAACAAATCCCCAACATCCATGCCATGCGAGACAGCATACTGGATGGTCTTCGACAGCGACGCAACATCCGCAAGACCGAGATTCAAACCCTGCCCGGCGAGTGGGTGAATGACGTGCGCGGCGTCGCCGACTAGGGCGATGCGCGGTGAGACGTACTGCGCAGCGTGGCGGAAGCGGAGCGGGAAGGAGGCTACTGTTCCTGTTTGGACGGCTGTTGCTGGTGGTGGGATTTGCGGGGGGATGGATGTGTGCTGGGCGCGCCAGGCGAGTTCGTCTTGGTGGGATGGTGAGGTGGACGTTGAGTCCGAAGAAGAAGGCAGGCCCAGCATGTAGGAGAGGTCGGTCATGTCTAGACGGAATGCAGCGTTGACCATGGCGAGGAAGGCCGGTGTCGGGAGGGACTTTAGGTAAGCTGCGTTTTCCGGGGTTGTTGACCAGACTAGTGTTGCGTGATTATTTGGTAGTGGGAGGAGAGCGATTGGACCGCCTAGAGCGGGCAGGAATCGCTGGTATGCTGTTCGCTTTGTTGCCGGGAAGGGCGGAGAGGCTGGCTCTGCTAGGGCGAGTGTTGCGACGATGCCGTGGCGGCCGTAGTCCCAGCCCTGGGTTGGGATGTCTGCGAAGGAGCGGACGGGGCTGTTTATTCCGTCTGCGCCGACGAGGAGGCGGGCGGCAATGCGCTTGGGTGCTGCTGTTGTTTCAGTCGGGGTTGTTGGCTTGACGGTGAGGATGGGCCAGGCTGAGAGGTTGGGGCCCTGGGGCGCGAGGTCTGAGCCGTTTTCGATGGAGGCGACTGTGGAATTGGAGAAAAGGGAGAGGTTCTCGTCGCCTGAGTCGGCGATTCGGCGGAGCAGGGCGCGCACTAGGTTTGCGTTCTCGGTCATTGTTGCTACTGTGCGCGGGTTTTCGAATGGGGATGTCTCCATTGACCAGTCGAATGTTATTCGGGAGCCGGTTTGGCCGTCCCAGACTTGCATGTCCTGGTAGTCTTGCACGCGGCTAGTGTCGAGGTGGTCGTAGGCGCCAATTTCGCGCAGGAAGGACACGGTCGAGGGCGTCAAGCTGCTGACTCTGTTGGAGAATTGCGTTGGTTCGAGGTTCCATGCTTTGGCTTTGTTGAGGTCCTGGCTCTCGATGAGGGCGACTTTGAGCTTGGAGGTGATAGGCGAGGATCCTATGTGTGATTTATTAACGACTATCACTTCTGTTTTGCTTAATCATGTTGCATACGGAGTGCGGCCAATAATCCTAGGCCCGCGGGCCCGCCTCCAACGCAGACCACATCGTAGATGTCGAGGGGATCGGATTTAGAAGCAAATCGACGTTGGCCAGCACCAATGCCATGTCGGCAGGTTGGGCAGACGTAGGGCCGAAGAACGGCTCTGGAGATTGGACGCATTGTGTTTGATATTTGGAGGTTGAATTGGATGGTCGAAGATGGACATGGATAGTGCAAACATTACAAACAGCTATCCACATGTACTGTGTACTCCGGGCTCTTGGCCTTAGAAGATCGGAACGGATCAAAACCCTACCCGACAGGATGGGACTGTAACGCTGCAACTAGCCCCGGAGTACTCCGTACACGGAAGCGAAATGCCAAGGGCTTGGCAGGGGACTGCAAAGGCAAACTTCCAGCCCAGGCAGCCCAGGCATGAGCTGCCAAGCCGCTACTTGTATGCGGGCAAGGATTAAAGGTCTCACATGGTCTTTCTAACCCCAGACACCCATTTAATTGCCTTTGGATTCTACCTGAGCGCTGGGCCGCTGGCGCAATTAGCGCGAGGGCTACTGTGATGTGACCTTAAGTTACGAAAAGCCGAATGGAACTTCTCTCTCTCTGAGCGCTGGCCCCCTAATATTCCTAATATCCTTGTTCATCTTACCTTCACTGTTTACCAATATGGTTCGCTGTTTTTGCAATTTGTCCTAAATCTGATTCTGCGGAGTGTTTTCTCGCTCCCATCTCTCCGCGATCACATTTGAAGGTCGGACTTGCCCTCATCATGCACATTTTAACGACGATCTGGATGCTCGCTGCCTGTCTGGGGACTGTGATCAACGCTTCTGATGTACTGGAAGTGAATCTGGTTTTCCCGCGCAATGAAACATATGCGCCCAACGACACGTTCCCTTTTGTCTTTGCGTTCAAGAATTCCGAGCTCGAGACACCTTAATCCCTCACTCAGTTACAGTTTATGGAACGAGCTTGACGACTCAGCCTACATCCTGTGGCATGAACCCCGCTGGGTAAACTGGACAGACCAGGAAACCTATTTTGCCTACAAATTCAGCGACACCTTCAACACCGAGGGTCGTTGGAAGGTACTCTGGACCCTAGGCTGGGATAGTTGCAACGTGGAATCACCCTCATATGGCAACGAGGTGATCAGCAACACCACCACCAGGGCAACCAGATTCACCACCAGCAATTCTGCCCCAAAGCTGGACCCCGTTGCTGCTACAGCCAACAAGACATGTACCGGGCAACCAGGCGTGGCGATCAATGTGACCGACAAAACCAAGTCCATCGGCAGCGCGCTTTGGGAGGGCGGTAAATACACCAACCATACATGCGCCGTTGTGGCAGCCTCCCCGACCCCTTCAACGAATCCCTGTCGGACTCAAATTGACGAGACTACTCTCGCCAGCATGGAGGCCTCTAGCTGGGCCAGTTACTGCGATTCCAACTTCAACGAGCCAGCCGAGTGCTCGGATAAGAAGAGCTCCGCACAACCATTGGCGGTGGCGGGCCTCTCCTGCTTGCTAGGCCTTACTGGGGCGTTGGGTTTCTTTCTCGTGTGACCAGGCAACTCTTAGAAAGTAAAAATAAAGGCCCTATGGGCCAGCAATCATCCGATTTGTGGATATCTCGGGTTTATCAATCCTGGCTAATAATGTAAAAGCAAAAAGCAGGGAAAAGACAAAGAAATCAAGGAACTGGCTCTGGGGCAATGCGCACTTTAGTAGCACCTGTGAGACTCTGGATGTCGTCGAAGATATCTACCATAGGCGTCATTGTCCCGGTGCCGTAAGCTTCGTCGCCAGCTTTCAACATTCCGACAAGTTCACCTTGGAGGTTGAACACCCACGACCCTGAGTCTCCCTTCTCTGCAAAATCACCCTTTCGATTGCTGGCAATCTGGTGTTCCCATGTGGGAACAATCACAATCTGCCCGTCGTCGCCTCGGACCTGGGTGAACATAACACATTTTAGCTCACTGTAGGTCCCGAATGTGATTTGACTAGAGCGGCCGGACTTTTGGAGCTCAAGGCCGAAGGGTTCTGTGATTGGCTGCTCGAACGCTCCAGAAAACTGAATGTTGTTTCCATAAGGGAAAGGCTGGAAACAGTCACATCTTAGCTATGCAGCAAAACACAAGAATAGACGTGATAACTTACCATATTACCAGAAACGCAATCCCCGTGCTGCTGGGGTTGAAGGCGCGAAGGATTGATTGCAACCAGTGCCCAGTCAGTGGAAATTTGACCTGTTTCCTTCTTGCTGTCCGTGTTAGACCGCATCGTGCTCCGTATGCTGTTCAGACCACTTCCGGCATACACATAACCTAGGAAATGATTGCCACTTTCACGCATTGCAATAAATGGGCTACACGCATCCTCAGTTGCTTTGATACGTCGGAGTATTGCCTCGTATTTAGCCTTCGCTGATTCCGGAAGCCAGCCGTCATCACCCTTGTTTATTTCGTCCTCGTACTCCAGGAACTGTGGCGTCCTCATGCTTGCAGCCATGGCACATCTTCGGTCAATGGTGTTGTTCAAGTCTCGCAGGGAAGGGTGATCAACACGAAGAATGCGACGAGCAACATGGGAGAATGATCTGGGGTCTCGAGGGTCAAGTGGACGAAACTCCCAGTGTTGCAGTGCTAGATTTAATTTGTTAGCTTGAGTGTACAATAATGAGGGTAATACGGTACCTCTGAGAGCATCTGGAATCTCGTTTAGCCGTTTGACGTCACGGTGGTTTGCTGGCGGCCAGACAGCGTGGAAGCATGTGAGGGCAAACGTATGCCATTGAGAGTCATTGGCAAACTGAAGTTGGACGAGGCCGCCCAGGGTCGAACTTCCTGCAGAACATTGATGGATGCCTAAGCTAACACCGGGAAGAACTGCTCCCGCACAAGCTTCAACAGGCACATAAGGGTCTTCCATGAAGGGCTTGCTGGTATCTCTCCGGAATAGCACATCCACATTTTCCTGATTGAAGAGTGCGAGGATACCATGAATGTCCCGGGCAGCTGTGATAAAGGGGTTCGTGCTCGTTTTGAACACTTGAACAATGACGGTGACAGGGTTGTGCTCCCCCACTGGATCTGTGCCGTATCTCCAGCATTCCAATGCGGTCCACTCGCGCGTATCACAACGAGAGATAATGTATTGCACGATAGATGGCCACTGGGGGAAGATTGGGTGTGTCCTTTCCACAGGGGAGCAGTAAATACCAGCGCAGAGCTTTGTTCGATGAGCTCAACCGAAATATTAGGGGCATCTCTCTGAAGCTCTGAATGAATTCGACGCACAGCACGATACCAGGTTTCTGGATTTGGTTGATCTGGCATTATCACAAGGATGGTAAAGACTGGCTCAGTCTCCGGGCTGGCCTTTGATAGGCGCCCAACTAGCTGAACAGAAATAAATTCCAAGGAAAGGTGCTGTAGGATGTCTCTTGTTCGTTCTTCAGCCGTTCGCGAGATTTGCTGGAACCTAGCTGGCAGAGATGTTGTGACGCGGCCAGGTAGGGAACACAGGGCTGGACCTCCAACACGGTGAGATGACTTGAAGAACCCGTGTCTGCCAACAGATGTTGATCCACTGAATGGAGATGAAGCTTCCGAGGCGGAACAAAAGCTTAGCGCGTGAGCGCTGGCCTTTGAAAAGGCAGAGGAAGTGGCTGAGGACATTCTTGAATAGTGTGATACTAGAGAGAAAGCAGTCGGATGCAAGAGAAGTAGTTGGATGTGAGAGAGAAGTAGTCCACTGTGATGAGAGAAAGAAGAGAGATAGAGAGAAGTCTGGTGATTGAACGTCTTAGGTGCCGGCCTAAACCTACGTCAACAATCATTGGCCGCCTCCAAATACGTGATAGACTTTTCGGTAGTCTTTTTGTGGTTAAGTCCTTTAGATATTGTTCGATACTATGTTTAGAGTCTGCAAGGAGGTAGACGGCCGGGGAATATAGGGAATAGGTTATGAGCCCGTTTCAGGGCTGCATAGTATCGAACAAAGCGTTATAATGGTATTGCATTTGCGGGTATGAAACGCGGAATAAGCTAGCAAAACGAAGACATAAACTGCTACAGATTCGGTGCAGACAATGACCCAAAACCTAAGAAAGCGATGTTCCTAGACAGCTCCGATGGCAGCTGCATCAGAGTCATGTCCCGGCTCACCCTCACCCTCCATCTCCGCTACAAACCGCTCCCACGTCGAAAGCACGCCTTGGTAGAACTGAATGTGGGCATCAGCGAGAGAGCCAAGCCCATCGCGGAACTCGACCGCCTTAATGCGTTCAAAGTCTGCGACTTCGCGGATGACCTCTTCGTCGAACATCTCAGATGTAGTCTTCGCAGACTCCACTTCGCGGGTCAATTCATCGATGCGGAGCTCAAGCTTCCGGACGCGCTCACGGCGTGACTGCTCATGATCGACACCGCGCATGTCTTCCATTTTCGACCGGATGAATGATGCTGGGGATGAGGTGAGCGGGTTTGAGGCGTAATAAGCAGCTGGGTTGGCAGCGAGAGAGTCACGCTCTGCCACCGCTTTATTGCGGTAGTCGACCAAGGCCTCGAAATCGAGTTGTTTTTGCTCCCGGGTCTTTAGCAGAGACTTGAGGGACATGATGTAGGACTCGCTATCGCGCAGCGCACCCAGGTAATTTTGATCGGTGTGATCTTTCAGATTGTGCAAGCCGCGCGCGGTCTCTTCCACCGAAGCTGCAAAGACCTGTAGTGGCATCTCGACGGCAGGCTCTAAGGGGACCAGCTTGCGGAATTGCGCTGCAAGCTCGGCATAATCCGTCTCCAGATCAGATTCACGACGTGCCACTCGAGCCACGGTTTTCTCGACATGCGATAGATCTTCGTCCAGCTTATCAGCCTTCTCTCGCACCTCGATGAACCGCCTGTCCGGTTTGTGCACCTTCGAGAAGGCATTAACGACGGAATCAGTGAAGTTATCAAAGATCCCAGCCGCCGCGCCATCCGACCCGTTATTCGTCGACACCCGCGTTGAGTGCAGGCGCATGTGCGCGTTCCAATCAGGTGATTCCAAGAAGATTGTGAGAAGAGGGGCCCGTCGAAGCACCGGGTGAAGCGCCAGCCGTTTCAAGAAGCGGTGCAACGACCAGGCTCGTCGCGTTGTGAACTCCGGCCCAAACCGATCTCCCCGCACGTACTCCATCTTGTGCTTATCCGGGAGCGGCGGCACCGCACATGCTGGGTATTCGCGATAGAGCGTCTTGTAAAGGAAGTAGAAGTCGGTAAAGCGTCGGCGAACACTAAAATCCGGCTTTTGGAATGATTTGAAGTCGGTCTAGAATGTGTCAGTCAGGATCTGTGAGGGTATACAGATGTCGAGCATGTCTAGGCAGCAGTTGCCGTTCTAGTTCTCCCACGGTACAGGCAAGGAAGGGAAGCCCATACATGTGTGGTAACCAGATACGAGATATATGCATCTTTCGTCCCGTCATTTTCTTTGAGTGGAGAATCGACGCGGCACTCCAGGACGCCATCGCCTATGCCTGCCAGGTCGACGGCGTCGGCTAGCGGGCCGGCCTGGGGCTCTTCTTGGGCGGAGCTCATTCTCCGCTTGCCATTGGTGTCGTGCTCAATTTCTGGTTCAGCCTCATCAGTGCCTGCGGTGGTTGGTCGTGAGATGTCGCTATCTGGGTCGTGCTTCCAGGAGACACTGTCAAAGTCGTCATGTTGATCCATAGCGGGGGATGTCTTGGCCGTGATCCGACTTGGTATGGGAGCCCAGTTATGTCAATAAATCAGTATTTGCAGGGACAATAAGCAAGGAATAAAAGGCTACAGGGAATGGGAGGAGAATGTTTGGGAGGTTGGAGCTGAAGCCTGAGGTTGATGATCGCCGTACCCCAAGGCGGAGTTCCCGACCCGAAACGTCGTCATCGAATCAAAAATAGCACATGTTTGTTTCTGCTGTGTACGCAGTAAGGCTGTAAGACTTCGAATATTGATTCTTCTAGATATTTTGACATTTACTCATAAAATTTTCGTATGCACAGAACGCTTTTGAATTCTTGGCAAATGGTAGATATACAAACAGACCCAGTATCGCCGTCTATTCCCAGTAAGGATGCTTCTTGGTTCACCCAAGTGAATATAGCATATTGACAACACCAAAGCAAGATGCAAAACAGTGTATGGACACTAGATTAAGGCTTTCCCTGAGGTCCATCATGAGATCCATCTTCACTGCGTCTCTCAGTGTTGGCCCCATCACGGTATGGTTCATCATCATCACTGAACATTTCCTCGTCACTCTCACCAGCGAATGCATTATACAGTTCACCACCGCGACGTTGTGTTCGACCAGTTGCTCCAGTCATTGGTTGCATTTCGTCCTCATCTTCAATCATTTCAAACTCGTAGTCATCATGAGCAGTGGTGCGACGACGCTGGAGTCGCTGCAACTGGAAGTAGACACCCAGTGCAATGAAGAACACGACGATCATAGCGAAGGATGCATATATCCAGATCTGCGTGCGCTTCGAAGCACCAAAGGTGGGAAGGTAGGAGGATATGTAGCCTGCTTCGGAGGGGGAAGGAGACGGAGCTTCACTGCCAGTAGTAGGGGCTGGCTTCTGATCTTCGACCGGCTCCGTGGGCTTGGTAGCCTCTCCTGGCTGTGTAGGATTCGGAGCAGTTGACTGCGGTTTTGCGTTCACGGGTCGGTCGTGGTGGTCATCCGAGTTGGCAGGGGCCTCAGTCTTTGTAGGAGCCGCCGTCACGCTAGTTGTGGCTACATGCGCATCCTCATAAGGGTGATCATCATCATGCTCCTCGGGGAGGGGGTGAAGCTTTTGCTTGGTGCCGTCGGCGGCCTCTCCCCAAAGATTAAGTCGCCAATCAGTGAATGTGCCGGAGTGATCATTGACATCAGTGTCTTTCACGATGATCGACCATTCGCCAACAGGCGATTCACCCCTGGGGTTGAGTTAGCAAGGCATAAATTATCAAGTGAAGAGGGACAACACATACCAATGGGCAACAGACATGAAGGTCCAATCCACATACCCAACCGCCATATTGTCTTTTTCGCGGGAGACACTCAGGTAGCTAATAACTCCAGCAGGACTGCGCAGCTCAACGCTAATATCGCCACGGCGGGTATGATTGACATTCATCGTCACAGTAACGTGTTCGAGTCGGGCAATGTTGGCCTTTTGCATCTGTTCTGTTGTGACTGTGTATTTGCTCAGCAAACCCTTATCGCCCTGAGGGATGGCTTGATGCACCCGCAGCCACGGCGAGTATAGCCAAGCTTGTGGCTTCACCAGATCCCAGGTCTTAGCAAGCTGCACCAGAGTATAAGTATCAACCTTTCCAAATCCCCAGTCATGGCTGAACTTGCGGCCAGAGGGCAAATTCTGCCAGCTGCCGTCGTCCTCGCTCACGGGGACTGCGGTCTCCACCATCAAATACTGCAGATCACGCCAAGTGAGCTCCGGGCGCACGCTGAGCGCGAGCGCGACGCTGCCTGCAGCCAGAGGACCAGCTGCAGAAGTACCACCATGCCCAGAGAAGCACTTGTTAACACCCACGTCAGTGGTGTGGATCGAATCACCCGAGCCACTACTGTAAGCGACCACGAGTTGGGCCGAGCATGACTCTGAGTATGTCGGGTGGTTCCCTTCGCGGTCAATGGCGCCGACCGTGATACTGTAGATACTGTTGGTGTAGCCATCGAAGTTGCAGTTGTCCCCAAAAGTCGCACCGTTACCGGCGGCAAAGACGTAGATTGAGCCCTTGCCTCCTCTGCCCTTCTGCACACCGTTGGTCATGGCACGCTTGATCAGGATTCCAGGCGCATCCATCGTGGCGCCGTCGTCAATCGGACCCCACGAACATGAATATATATCGTTCTTCTGGTAGGCAAAGTTGATAGCCGCTGCTTCGTCGACATCATCGATGGGCTTAGACAAGATGCGGATTCCGGCTATCTTGCTGTCGTACGCGACGCCTACACCACAAACATCGTTCTTCGCCGCCGCAATCTCGCCGCAGCATCGGGTACCATGGTTATCGTCAGGTAGCAGAGGGCGTGGCTCCGGGGTTCCTTCATTGAAATCCCAAGAGCCCTCTGGAAGGTAGTTGGGCTTGAGATCGTTGCTATCCATGTCCAGTCCATCGTCAACAACTGCCGTAGCAACACCCTTGCCGGTTATACCCTCCAGCCACAATCCCGTCACATTGAGATCGTGTCCCGGATTCAATGTGTTAAGAATGTGCCACTGCTCTCTGAATATCGGGTCACTGATCCCCAGAGTAGACATAGCCTTTTTCTGGAATGCAGCAGCCTGCGCATCTTCCCACCTCTTATCCAATGGTTCATACGGCACCGAGACCGGCGGGAGTCGCTTTTGCAACCGTTGCCTTGCCGGAGCAATCTTATGAGACCACAGGATTTTGTCTAGAGGGTCGTCTGTCCTGCGCGACGCGATGTCTCCGTCGGATCGCCGCCGGAGCTTTCTCTTGGTCCGTAGGTCAGTTAACAAGGCATCGAACTGGCCTGTCTGTTCCCGCGGCAGCGAGAAAGTATGGTGACCATCCAGTTGGCCAATTTGGCCCTCATGGCGAGCGCCTAGGACCTGTGCGATGTGGGAGGGAGATGCGGTATCGTCGAGGTGGAGGGCGAAGAAGTCGCGGGTTTCTTGGGAGCGAGGGTGTAGGCCTGCAGACACTGCGCCTGCAAGACCCAATGTGGCGGCGATGCCACCGACGATGCGCATAATGAGGAGTCAATCGGAGGAAGGGAGAAGGGAGGGCGATTCTCGCGATCGGATTCGAGGTAGCTAGCAGGCGGGTGCCATCGACGGTTCCGGACCGATGAATGGCGACTCGACGAATGGGTGGTAGAAGTGAGAGCGTAGTAAACAGGCGCTGAATAAAGATGTGAATATTTTCAAGGCAATAGTTGTTATGAAGAAGTCGTAATAATGAGAGACACAGAGTTTCAAGCAAAATAGGAGGATCGTCAGAGGCCACCCACACCAGATCCCTATGCAGATGTCTATTGGCCTCTACTTCGCACGTCCTTGGGGATATACTGTAGGCTTCCCACAAGGGTCTTTTCTTTATTCCTGCAAGTATCAAAGAAATTTATTCAGGTCACGGGTTTCTCCTGATTATTTGCCGAGGTAGCCCCGGAGGAAATTGGCTTGAGCTTATGTGTATGAGGCCTTAGCAGAGCTGTGGGATCTACGTCAGTCATGTCAACGGTTGAAGATGTCCAGTTCCTAACAACGTACAAAATACGATTTCACTGATGAAACATCGGTGTAGTATAAGGGAATTTGACTGCAACTGCGTGAGCGTTGACTCCGAAGTAATGTACGAAGTATTTTGATCAAGACATTTCCTACAGTACACAGTAGAATCAATACTCTACTGTGTAAACTCGCCACGAGTCCTTGCATAAGTCATCCATTCCTTGGCATTTCCTTTTAGGTCTGGCCCTGACGCTGCTTTAGCCCCTGCGTATAATTAGTCACATATTGTGTGGTACTGGACGTATATCAGACTGATATGTACGCACTTGCTGTGGACCACGCCTGCCAAATAAACAGTAAACAGTAAATAGTACTGCGTAAATAGTCTCGTACTTCAGAGAGTAATGGATTTTGAAGTACTCTGTACAAGTAGATCGATCACTTAATACTCAAGATGTATGTAGATATGCTGGTCTACATCCCATGATCCCAGGGGAGTCACAATACTGCCGCCGGACCGGGCAGAGACGTTTTATGCTTAAATCGTATACATCGCAGATTCCAGAACATCAATTGCTTTTTCTTGTCCGTGTCTGAGCAGCCATTGTATCTATGACTTCATCTAGCACAAAATTTATCTATATATTCATGGCCTATCTCGAACAAAGAACAATACGTACCAATACCGGCCGCTTGGTCTAAGTATTCCGTCCCGTCTCGCAGAAGCCGACCACTCTTCAATCTCAAATCAAATTCTGTAAATCTGCCAGCTGGTGGATCAAGAGGGTCTGAGGGTGCGTTAGTCTTTAACTCCGCTATAATTTAGAGCCCTTGATTAACTCCGTTGCAGAGCATGTGGTCGGCAGTATTAGGTCCCTGAACAAGCAGGGGAACAGTGAGCTCAATTGGTAGTTCAGACTCCTCGTTCGCCGCATCTGTGCAGGTTGTTGGAGCTTTCGTTCCAGCATGATGGATCGTCCGGAGTTACCAGTTAACTCCGTCCTTAATGTCTCCGGCTTGCCATCACTAACACCAGGAGAAAATAGTGTGGGATAAGGATAAAGGGGCCTGACGCCCTCATCTTCACTCCGAGATTGTCTTTCTCTGCGTGTTTCATGGTCCTTGAAGCCGCTTTTTTAATTCAGTACTCAATCGGCGGACAATGGAATACGCACGGTACGTTCCTCCGTATTCACCTTGATTCAAATGTTATTCAAGGATATGTAAAATTGCTGACCAGCGGTGATACGACACAGACTGGGAGATTCGGGCCTCAAGGTCTCAAAGGTGATACTGGGTGCCATGTCATTCGGCGCTCCAGAATGGCAGGGCTGGGTACTGAATGAGGAAGAATCTCTTCCGCTTATCGAATATGCCTACCAGAAAGGCATCAGAACATGGGATACTGTAAGAAGCGAATGCGGGAGCAAAACACAAGTGTTCTAACCAAATCTTATCAGGCCGATATGTACTCCTACGGCAAGTCGGAAGAAATCGTGGGAAAGGCCTTGAAGAAATACAACATCCCTCGTTCCCGAGTGGTAATCTTAACCAAATGTTACTTTGGTGTAGATGATTCGGGGAACTTTCCACCTCCTCTCTCGACAGGGAGAACGAACGAAGGCGAGTTCTTGAACCGCGTTGGTCTTTCTCGCAGACACATCTTAGAAGCCGTTGATGCCAGTGTCGAGCGACTGGGGACTTACATTGACGTGCTTCAAATCCACCGACTTGATCGTGAGACACCACGCGAGGAGATAATGAGGGCGCTGAATGACGTGGTTGAGAGCGGCAAGGTCCGATACATCGGTGCTAGTTCGGTATACTTCAACCTCCCTTAACAACCCTAGACAAACACCAACTAACACCATTCTTTGTTATAGATGGCCGCATGGGAATTCCAAACTCTACAAAACATCGCCGCCCGCAATGGCTGGCACAAGTTCATCTCCATGCAGAACTACCACAATCTCATTGCCCGCGAAGAAGAACGCGAAATGATCCCTTACTGCCTTGACAGCGGCGTATCTCTTATCCCCTGGTCTCCTGTCGCACGTGGAGCCCTCGCCAGACCTTGGGATTCTCGCTCTAGCTTGCGCGAGACAACTGATATCGGAATGAGTATGCTCATTCGTAACCGCGAGTCCGAGGCCGACAAGGCTATTATCGACCGTGTGGAAGAATTGGCTGGAAAGAAGGGAATCAGTATGGCGCAAGTTGCTATCGCTTGGTCATTGAGTCACCCCAGCATGTACCCTATTGTCGGGTTGAACTCTAAGGCTCGCATCGATGAGGCTGTTGCTAGTGTCCATATTAAGTTGACCCCGGAGGATATTCAGTACCTGGAGGAACCTTATGTTCCTAAAACTATTCATCCCGGGGAACGATAAAATTCGGGACGAGGAAAGCCATATGAATGTGATGGGTATTTGCTCGTATACTAATAGCTTACTTGAAATGATCATATTCCATTTGAGGCTCTGCGTTCATGATAGGTTTGACTGGCTTAGCTACTGCAATGCTTACCATGAGCATGGTCAAACCTCAGTACAGGCCTACAAAGCCCAAAGCCCAACCTGTCCCATTGCAGAGGTCTAGGCATAAGATCACTGGGTCAAAAACCAAGAATTGACAGTATCAAGTAACCAAAGGGCCGGGTTCAAGGAGGTAACCGAAGCCCGAAGTGTAGGTAAGACACCGTAAGAGTCCCGCAATGAGACACACACGTGCATACTGAGGCATTGACCGAGGATGACGCAGAGCATAATAGTTTCTATTATAATAAAGAACAAAGACGTTGCAAGTAGGGCGCTATGAGCCACATGCACAGGAGGATGAACTTCAAGCGGTCGATTTGGCGATGTAGTCACCGTAAACTCGCCACGAGTCCTTGCATAAGTCATCCATTCCTTGGCATCCCATTTTAGGTCTGGGCCTGACGCTGCTTTAGCCCCTGCGTATAATTAGTCACATATTGTGTGGTATTGGACGTATATCAGACTGATATGTACGCACTTGCTGTGGACCACGCCTGCCAAATAAACAGTAAACAGTAAATAGTACTGCGTAAATAGTCTCGTACTTCAGAGAGTAATGGATTTTGAAGTACTCTGTACAAGTAGATCGATTACTTAATACTCAAGATGTATGTAGATATGATGGTGGCACTAGATCCGGAGTCAATATCTAACAATAGTTCATTCCAACCGCCGGACCAGAGACGTTTTATGCTTAAATTGTATACTTCAAAGATTCCAGAACATCAATTTCTTTTTCTTGTCCGTGTCTTACACTCATACATGAATATCAATTATTGGTCTCCAGGTTAGGTCGCACCTTGCAACTACCCTTCGTATGACAATATTGGCCCCGCGCGAAGGCTGGGGGTAACCAGCCACCGGGATATCGGATGTATAGACCTTGCCTTGTTTTGCCGTTGGGTTTTTATTAAATCTTCGCTCTCCTTTCACCTCATCTTCTGCTTCATCGTCGAACCTGTTCGCCTTCATACGGTATACCCAACTTCCCTGTCACCGCCGCGTTGGTCGTATAAACAACCCCCGCCCAACCTGCCTGCTGCCAAATCAGCTTGGGCCATGGTGTGGCGATCCTGCGTCAGGTACCAAATAAAGTCACTCGAAACCGTCCCAACTATTCCGAAAAGAAAAAGTGATCGCGTACAGGAATTGACCTGAGTGCTTAAATTGCTTTTGAGGCCGACATCAACGGTATTTCTCTCAGCTTGATTCGCAATTGCGCATACTTGGGCCTTGGCACCTACCTACGCATGCCCCGACAGCCATCGTTTCGAGACCGGGTGTTGATATATAACCATCATGGCCACCGTGACAATGCGCGAATCGCCCGACATGGCAAATGGCAGCCCCAACCCACACGTTGCCAACGGAGCGCAACGAGCCCCCGGAAAGCGCAATCGCAAACAAGTCGATCCTTCTGAAGCAGCACACTATGATAATGAGACACAATATGACAACTCGAAGACACGTCACAATAGCGGGAGAGATGCCCAGTCGGGGCAAATAGGCAGGTCGTTCTCAGCCAGAGCCCGAGACCAGCCCGAGAGCGACTTGAATTATAGCACCCATCAGTCTGCTCTCCTATCGAGCCCAGAGCTATCGGAAGAATCTACAACACCCAGAGGTCTTCCCACAGAGCCATATTTTTCCCAACCCAGCGAAGCCATGCCAGAGATCCATGTTTCCTCGCCAACATCTGCGCCGGGTGTCTCTTCGCCCCCGACACGGTCCAACACCACACGTTCTGTCTCAGCCAGTGACTCGCGACGAGATTGGGCATCAGACAGGTCGCCTCTGCAAAAATTGGAAGTCACTTTGACCGGAATCAGCAAGGAAGAGAAACGGGCACGAGTACAAGAGGCTGAAAGGAAAGCCCGAGAGCGAATCGCGCGCAAAAAGGCTGAGCAAGAGAAGGCCGAGTTGAAGGCGGCATTGGCTCGTGAAGCATCCGCACAGCAGGCGCAGCCAGAAAGCCACCAACCATCCGATGCAGCCAGAAAGAACGAGCGGAGGGATATTCCTGTTGAGGATGGCATGCGAAACGGGAATGGGGCCATACCACCACAACGGCAACCAGGAGGCACGACTGTGCGTCAAAGCAAGACAAGTCCAATCAATTCTCAATTCCCAGCTATTCGGCGCCCCGAAGATCCTCAATATGCACGTGCGGAGACTGCTATTCCATCATCAGCCAAGATGGGCAGTGTGCCGCGGCGGTCTGTTACAGTGAGCGGACCTGCAGCGAAACCAGGAGCTCCCGGCAAGATCAGTCACAGTCGCTCTGTGTCTCAAGCAGGCCCTCGACAGGTGCCAGCCTCCGCCTTACGGGCAGAGACAACCGACGAGCTCCTAACAGCACCCCGAGAGCCCCAGGATAGTCCTGAATCACAGGCCAAGCCTAAGAAACAATCCGTTTCCTTCAATATTCCGCCACCTACGCCTCCGCCCATCTTTGAGTGGAGGAATGCGCAGCCTGCTCGGCTTGGGGCTGCCGACTTTGACTTCCAACAACTTGATATGGAACGCAGCAAAGCTTGGTGGGAAGGTGGTGGTTCCAAAGACCGCAGGAAGAGCAGAGCTCTGCCTAAGAACTACAAATCCCCTGCTCAGAAGTCGACAGGTAAGACTCCGCCTCAGATTTCAAGATATTCATCTCTCTTGTTATGAAACGTGGAACAGATACTAATAATCAGCAGGCGTGACTGAGCACAAGAATTTCCAGCCTCGCCTCTTTTTGCGATGTGGTCCTTTGCTGCGATACACAGGTATCAAGCGGGTCAGCGTTGATGGAACCGGTGATGTCATTTACAAAGACATATGGCGAGGGTCTATCATGATAGTAACCAAAGATTCACGCTCCTCCTATGACATCCCACCCACGCTGAGACTATTCTCTCAACCGATGGATCTTCTCCCTCCTCCGCCGGCGGAGATCAGCCATGAAGATGGAATGCAATTGGCTCCTGAATATGTCGACCCGACAGCCGGGCTCATGAAAGTTGGTCGCGACGGCCGACCTCTTTACGTTAAGCCAGTTGAACACGTTGAGGAGCAGGTCGACCTGTCATTTGTGGAGAATGATGATGGTATTTACGAGCTCTCCCCCAGCATGATCGACTACACCAGCGAAGGCATCAAACAGCCCATGCCTTCAAATCGAATGCATGCCATCGATGGCGAGACAGCAGGTCTGCGTCGAGACATTCCAGGAGCCCGTCTGTACGCCGATTCCGCAAGAGACGTCACCTTCTGGAGATTCAACCTGGAGATTGAACTAGGCACAACGCAGCAGCGAATCGCCTATCGGATCAATCAGGGCCCCGCCTTGGGATTCTGGGTGCCCGCAGCCGGGGAGGCGATGAACATCATGTTCCACACTGGAAACGGCTTCAGTCCCTCTGCGGACTCTGATAAAGTCTGCGGGCCTGACCCGCTCTGGCGGGACATCCTGAATGAGCACCAGACTCGTCCGTTCCATGTGATGATTGGTGGAGGCGATCAAATCTTCAACGACTCGGTCATCACAGAGTCAACATTCTTCCAGGAATGGCTCAGAATAAAAAACGCCGCTGAGAGATATGGGACACCATTTACACCGGAGTTCCGTGCTGAGTTGGAACAGTTCTACCTCGAGCGCTATGCTGCATGGTTCTCGCAGGGTCTCTTTTCATTGGCGAACTCCCAGATCCCCATGGTCAATATTTGGAATGATCATGAAATCTTCGAAGGCTTTGGTTCTTACCACGATGATTTCATGCAGACTTCTGTTATCTCCGGACTTGGCAAAATTGCCTTCAAGTATTATTTGCTATTCCAGCACCATAGCGTCCCCGACGAAACCGAGATGGACGAACCCAGTTGGCTACTCGGTGCTCAACCAGGTCCATATATTGAACAGAAGAGCCGGAATCTGTTCATGTCCCTTGGTCACGGTGTTTCATTCCTAGGACTTGACTGCCGCACTGAGAGAAGGGTATGTCATCTCCAATTTCTTGACTTACCAACTACGCTAACACTGTTTTACAGAGCAACGAGGTTCTCAGCGAAGAAACCTGCGACTTGTTGTGGGACCGCTGCCATAGGGAGATTATGAAAGGAGAGACAAAGCATTTGATTGTGCTTTCGAGCGTTCCCGTTGCATACCCCCGAGTGGTACGTGATCTTTACTGCTTTCAGCGAGGCCCAAAGCTAACTTCGACCACAGGCAATGCTCCGCAAGTTTACGAATAGCCGCAAATCACTCGGCAAGGCTACAGTTGCCGATGACCACTGGGCTGGCAAGCACCTGAAGTCTGAAAGAACGTGGTTGGTAGAGGATCTCCAGGACCTGGCTGCGGAGAAGTCCGTTCGTGTGACAATACTCAGGTAGGCCCAGACAATTTGCCCAAGGGCAACCCCAATCTAGCAGAGAATACGAAGACTAACTTGATTGCTCAGTGGTGATGTTCATATGGCCGCAATTGGACAGTTCTATTCGAACCCCAAGCTGGATATCGCCAAGGACCACGACTATCGATACATGCCGAACGTCATTTCCTCTGCTATTGCAAACATCCCGGAGTCCGATATTGTTGCCGATATGCTCAACAAGCGGAATACGGTCCATCATATGGACTCGAACACAGACGAGGATGCCATCCCAGTCTTTGCCCAGGATGTGAATGGCAGGCCCCGAAACAACAAACGCTTGCTACCTCGCCGGAACTGGTGTTCAATCCGTGAATACAAGCCTGGATCTACTCCGCCTGATACGCCGGATTCAGAGGTGACAGAAGTCCCAGAACCTCGGCCGAATAAGTTGCAGCGAACATTGTCGCTGGGACGAGGCGACAAGGGCTCTACTGGCAAACCCGGGATCCTCAGACGCCTTTCCACCCGTGGACCACCCCCAACACGGACCATGAGTTTCAACCGAGGCGACGAGGTTGCTTTCACACGACGTGCAAGCGTTGATGGGCCAGTTCAGCCCCGCGAGAATGGGGATAGCTATTTCCCAGGAGCTGGCGCCGGCACCGCTCCGCGGCCCGGTGTTTACCGGCGACCAACGAATCTCAGCCGGAAAGCAGCCAAAAGAGCTGCCAAGGGCGACGAAGGCGCAGGCACCTTTATCAACCTCGACGGCGGACTCGCTATCACCCTCAACGTAGAGATCAGCCCACAAGATCCGTCGGGTGTTACCGCACCCTACAAACTGCTCGTGCCAGCACTGTACTATGATGGGACTGAATATGATCCGCCCCCAACACAGATTGTCAAGGGCTGGAGAAAGTTCCTACCCCGTCGCAAGACGAATGACGGGGACCCCATCCACACGCTGAAGCCGAAGAAGGATTCAGTGATGACGACGAACAAGGCGATTACGAAGACCACGATCTTATCAATAATACCCGCGCGAACGCCGCAACTAGCCAGCATCAACAACCACAACCACACTACGAGGGATATCCGGGAAGTGAGGACGAGGATTCAGAGAGTGAGGTCCCACAACGACTACCACCACACATGGTCTCTGGACACGATTATTCGCCCGGTCCTGAGGAGCCTAGCCGTCCACGAAAGAAGTGGTTCGGGGTGATCTAATGTGCCTCATTTGAGATTCATGTTAAGCTGTGACTTTTGGCTTTTTTTTTCTTTTTGCATTCTCATGTTTTGTATGTATTGTTTGGATTGTGTGCTGGTTAAAATATTCCCCTAATTTCAGCGAGTATTGAACATTGGATATGAAGATGCATCATATCAATACCAAGTGAAGGTGTGAGTGAGGTACAACCGTACAACACAGTATGTGAAAAGAGTTTCGGGCAGGGCCGCAGGAGCGCCTCCCGAGATCAGCACGTGATACAATAACATTACGTTAGCACTTAGCGGTCTCGACCATCCACGTGACCAAATGCTTAGAAAGCCTCTAAGGAGATTCAGCGGCAAATGGGCCTAAACAAGAAATTATCTCTAAGCTCGCTGGTCTAGAAATTTCGGAAAGACAAAGAATTCAATCGTATCTACCAGTTTAGGGTCCAGTGCCTCTGTTATCATCGTGTTTATCAATCTCCCATCACCTAATCTTTTTTCGGTCCCCCACTCCCCCTCCGGAAAAAAGATATTATATTGCTCCTCCTCTCTCTTCCCTCTTCTCCCTCGCTTTTAAAGAATACCTTCAAGCTGTTTTCCTCCGCTTTTCGCCGTTTTCCCTCCTTACGGTCCATCGGATTAACCGCCGCTGCGGCTACTACAGTCCATTCACAATCCCCTCCCTCGGCTTCAGTCTTCTCTAAACTTCCGACGCCATCGCGCGTCAATTGCACAAATACCGCCAGAATGGTGCACTCCAAAGTAGTCAGTAAGTGGTTTCCTCAAACTACCCCGATTGCGCCAATATCAGAAGTTCTAACCGCATTTTACCCCCACAGTTATCGGCTCCGGCCCTGGTGCCCACACAGCCGCCATCTATCTCTCCCGCGCCGAGCTCCAGCCCGTTCTCTATGAGGGCATGCTCGCCAACGGCACCGCAGCCGGCGGCCAGCTCACAACCACCACCGACGTGGAGAACTTCCCAGGCTTCCCCAAGGGCATCGGCGGTGCCGAGCTAATGGAGAACATGCGCGCCCAGTCCGAGCGCTTCGGCACCGAGATCATCACCGAGACGATCTCCAGACTCGACCTCTCCTCCCGCCCCTTCAGGATGTGGACCGAGTGGAACGACGACGAAGGCAGCGAGCCCGTCCGCACCGCGGATGCCGTCATTATCGCCACAGGCGCCAACGCCCGCCGCCTCAACCTGCCCGGCGAGGAGACCTTCTGGCAGAACGGAATCAGCGCCTGTGCCGTCTGCGACGGCGCCGTGCCCATCTTCCGCAATAAGCCTCTTTACGTCATTGGCGGCGGTGACTCTGCCGCCGAGGAGGCCATGTTCCTCGCCAAGTACGGTAGCAGCGTTACTGTTCTCGTTCGTAAGGACAAGCTGCGTGCTTCCAAGGTCATGGCCGAGCGTCTGCTCAATCACCCCAAGTGCAAGGTCCGCTTCAACACCGTTGCTACTGAGGTTCTCGGCGAGAATAAGCCTAACGGCCTCATGACACACCTCCGTGTCAAGGACGTTGTTTCTAACAAGGAGGAGGTCGTGGAGGCTAATGGTCTTTTCTACGCTGTTGGCCATGACCCCGCCAATGCCCTCGTCAAGGGCCAGGTCCAGCTCGATGATGAAGGTTACATCGTTACCCAACCTGGTACTAGCTACACCAACGTCCCGGGTGTCTTCGCCTGCGGTGATGTCCAGGATAAGCGTTACCGCCAGGCTATCACCAGTGCAGGTATGTTCATTCCTGAATACCTCTCATTGTGACTGCAGTTTGCTGACTATTTCAAACCAGGATCCGGTTGTATCGCCGCTCTCGAAGCTGAGAAGTACCTCGCTGAGGCCGAGACTCACGAACAGCCCGCTGTCGAGACTAAGCGTCCTACTGATGGCCCTGCCGAGTACAAGTCCAACCCTTTGCTATAGACGCATTTAGATGCATGTTCGCTTCTTCCGACTTCTCATTTCCCATCATGATACATGAAACTTGCTTTTCGGTTCGTGTATCGAGAATTATACACTTCTAGACTGACATTTGCTATGCGATATCTGCTTCCTTTACATATTTTCAGCGGGATTCTTCCCGCCTTTCTTTTTTTTCTGTTTCTGGTCCTTTTGGCCCTCGTGTTGATTTGTCTGCTTCCATGGGATTCCTGCACTCATAGAGATAGATAGAGTGATGAAATGACGAACACCCCATCTTATATCGATTGTTACTGTCTACACTAGATCGTTTCATGTTAATGTTTTGCTGCTTTCCCAGGTAGAAGTTACCTCAGAGTCTAGGTATCATTGCTCTATCACATAGGCCAACGAGCTTTTCGTCTCGATTGGTTGTCGCATCATGCTCCAGGAGAATATTATATAGTCTGAGGTAACTGAGGTAAGTTGGAAGGTGTGAACAGGGTCGGACCGACCCGACCAACCTTAACCAATCACTTAAAGTAATCTATCTTGACAAAGGTAACATAACTATTCTATGTGTAATTAGGAATAGGATTTGATTCGATATGAATACAACGGAATCGATCCTCGTAACAATAAAAGATACTGGTAACAATAGAATATCGCAGAGACCGATCACTTCTCAGACTTCACAGCATCACCCGGAAAAGCCGTGGCAAGCACAGGCACAGACGGGGCATTATCAGCCAGATAATCCGGCACAACCCACCCAGCAAACGGATTCTCCGCACACCAGCGATCCTTCACAACAAAAGTATTCCGCTCCCACTCAGCGATATCAACCTTCCACTTATCCCACGCTTCCGCATTAGCACGACGATTCGCCTCCGTCTGCTCGATGTAGGGCTTTTTCACCTCCGGTGTAGCAGAGCGCCACATCTGGCCCAGGGCGGCGCGGATTTCGTCGCGGGGAGCCTTTGCGTTGGGATTATTGGATGCTGCGCGGCGGGCTGCGTCGCACTGGTCGCGGCATTGGGTCCAGTAGTCTTTTTGATAGAAGAGGAAGGGGTTTAGGCCTGTTTTTGCGGGGCGAGGGGGTGCCGGACCGAGCTCGGCGTAGATGGTTGTCCAGAGGGCTTGGTCGTAGGCGTCGCGGCGGGATTTCTCGGTTGAGGTTGGTTTGCGGGTGGAGGAGGTTGAGGCGGGTTTGGGGTTTGTCGATGGGGTTTCGGTGGAGGAGAGGGAGGAGGAGCCTCTTGTTGTTCTTGTTTTCTTTGCTCCGCGGATTGGTGTGGATGATTTGCTGTGCATCACTTTGCCCTTCTCGGGGACGAGAGGCTGGGGCATTTCGATGGGGCCGGAGACTGGCTCGATTATTTCCGAGGCGGCGCGGAGCCCGGAGAGGTAGGCTCCGTGGACGGTTGCTGGGTGTGTGCCGCAGGTGGCCTCGCCGGCGAAGTGGAGGTTGCCGATTGGGCGGGCCATCTCGTCGTAGTCGTTTGGGAAGGCAGCTGCGGCGACGTAGGAGTAGCTGCCGTACGTGAATGGGTCTTGGCCCCATCGAGTAATGATGGTCTCGAGTGGATCCGGCACTGTAGTGTCTTTGAAGATATTACGGAGTTGGCCGGCGACCTCCGTGACGATTTCTTCGTCTGGTGTCTTTTCCGCTTGGTGCGCTGCATCGCCGGCCATGAGAGCGATCAAGCATGGAAGTCCGGTGGTTTTCATGACGTTCCAGAACAGATAGAAACGGCCGCGGTTCGCCGCGTACTCTTCTTGTATCATTGTGGCAGGGTTGTCTGGCTCACGAAGAAGGCCGAACATATCCCGTTTGGTGTCCCAGAATGGCTCTTGGAAGACCAAGACAACCTTGTTCATGATTCCGAACCCCAGTCTACCAATTGCCCCTCGCTTCCAGTCAGGAAGAGGAGGCTGGAAGTTGATCTTTTCCTGCTTCAAGACCCCAAGGGACCCGGTAAATACGACATGATCTGCTAGAAACTTCTCGCCATCCTGGCATTGTACAACTGATTTCTGTGTCTTGTCGGACCCAGTTGCGTCGTACGAGATATCAGTGACGATCTTGCCAGTGCGGACGTCGAGCTTTTCAGGCAGCGTGTATAGCCCGTATGGTAATTGTTGGTATCCGCCGATGACCTGGGAATGCTCACCCTCGAACTCATTCCCGATATCCTGGTCCCATCCCGACAAGCTGAGCCTGTTGATGTTGGTTGCATTGGCGTACTCAAGATTAGCAAAATGCCAGTTCATCAATCGCATATCCTTGGGCGTCACCGGAAGCATGCGTCGATACTGCTTGACGCCCTCATCCATAACCGCACCGAGTGTCTGCGCCTGGGATGCTCTAGCAATCTGGTCCAATTCAATGGTGTCCTTCACAGTGTAACCCGGATTGAGCTGCCATCCAGTTTTCTGGCAGGTCAACGCTGCGGGGTCATCTTCCTCATTTCCCGCTAGATCGCTCGCCACATCGACAGATGGCTTGTTTTCCGCGGTCTTGTGCTTTATCCCTCGTCGAACTCGTTTGGTAGGGACCAATAAATCGATTGTGCCAGCTGCTCTTGCCTCTTCGTACTGTCGGATGGTAAGTCCATCATCCACCACCGATTCGCGGCCAGAATCAATCAGTTCGCGGTTTCCTTCGGCAGTGGGCACAATCTGTGCTTTGTGGCGATAAAATCCGGTGCGATCAAGCAAATCGTTGTAGAGTTTTTCCGCCATTGAGTCCTGGACTTCGTTCACGGGGGTTCCATCGATATCGTAAATCGTCGAAACGTCCCGTAACTTGTGGTAGTGGAGTGCCAGCTGGCCTCGTACTATCTGGTCCAGTGGGTTGCCATGATCGAAACCGACGATGATCTGAGCACCCATCTCTGCTTTCGGAACAAGCCCTTCAGGCAGATTATTCGACTTCATGCTGTGCAATGGATGTGAATAAATACGTCCACCGATCCTCTGACGTCCCTCAAGTACGATGACCCGGGGCAAGGCATCTGCGTTGCGGTACTGGCGGAATAGACTCTCCAATTGCCGTGCACATCCCAGACCAGCCATTCCAGCACCGATGACAACAACTGTAGGTCCCTCCTTTCGTCTTCCGCGTTTAGGTTTCACTGCAGCCATAGGGGATTCCACACAGCCATGATTGATGTAACCATTTCGCGCAAGCCAGTCATAGGCAAAAGAGGCCAAGTTCATCCAGCGCCAATCTTTCGCACATCCAAGTGCTTCCTCCTCGTGACAGCCACCATGGGGTTTCGACCCCAGAGTAGCAAGATTCCATTCCTTATGTTGAGGTAGATTGTGACGTGGACATGGCAAAGGTGATCGTGGAGCAACTCTTGTTCCTGACGGTGCAGGGCATATGGATTCAAGCGAGATGCATACGCCGCCTCGACACATTGCTCAGCGTAGACTGTGGGGTGGATCTTGGATGGGATGGACGATCGAGGTCGACATTTGGATACATCGACTTTCCCGCTTTCTAACACATTGGGCCCAAAGACAACTGCAGGTGACTTTGTAGAAGGAGACTGTAAGAATTTCGGAGGCGGAGATGTAGATAGCTTCGGGTCAAAGGAAGATGTCAAGTCAGTTGAGGTGGTCGATTCATTTGGGGTACTGCTGCTGCCACCGGTATACAGCCTCTCCGTGGAAGCCAGGAAGTTTGATCCATCAGATAAGAAGTTTTGCGACTGTGGGCCATGGTTTCCGAGACTTCCTAGAGGAATTGATGCTGAAACTGTCTCATAGGCCTTGTGCGTGATCCGCAGCCGTTTCGCAGGTGGTTCCGAAAGTTCGGTTGGTTCAAAATGAAGCGGTTTTTGACCCTGCACGGTGATACTTTCTGGATCTGGGGCATATTGATGGATGTATGAGTCTTGACCCGGGGGAATTCCGGCCGCCGCATGGGACCCCATGGATGTGGCGCCATGCATGTCCATACCGGGTATCTGCAGCTCGATAGTTTGTAAAAAAACTAAGAGCAGAATGATAAGGGGAATGACGGAAGAGATTCCAGGTTGATACAATCAGAAATGATGTAGTATGGACTTGACGACGTGGTGTCGCTGGTAAGTCCTTTCTACCCCCGAGAATGTGTGGATATCAGATGTTCGGACGTTCACCCATGATATGGTCCGCGTAGGTATTTGGTCTGCGCAAGTCGAGGAAACACTGGCAGGATTGAATTAATGGATCAACTGGATTTGTATTAGAGAACGTATGTTGTAGTGTCGACAACACAGCACAGGGAGTATGAGGGCATAGAGTGAAGAAGGCTGAAGAAGCATAAGAAGCACAGATGACATACATCGAGTTCACCCCCACAGAACCCTACCCAGAGGATGAAGGGGAAAGGTTTCCCATCAATTAAAGCAAGAATATTTCTGCAATGAATTGTAATTGAGTGAAGCCCGATGAAGGGACAGTGATGGCAAGACTCGAGAGTAGAAAACCCTGGCTTGATCCCCCGGGAGCCGGGCGTATTTCTCAGTCCGGCAGGTTGCGGCACCGACTTCTTCATCAAGGGCTCTTAATTTCTTCACATATTTACATTTCCATTCTATTTCATTTATTTCTTACTCAAGCTAGTGTTGAACATGATTGTGCAGACCGTATGTATCGTCCCCTGCAAACCCATCCGAGTCATTGTCAGTGAATTCATCATGATATGACCTCCTGTTCGACTTCCAAGGACTTCGCTGGTCACTGTCACTTTCACTGTCATCACCCAGGACCAGGTCAACATGGTCGTCGTCTAAATCAGTGAACCCGATTCGCTCTTCCTCGTCTCTAGCAAGTGTGGTGGCGGCTTTGTTCACATCGGGATCCTCCGAAAACGCATGATGAGGGCGGCGCGCTGCATGGTCAGACTGGAGAGAACCTCGGAGATCTGCACGCTCTTGTTCTTCGAGTTCTTTTGCACGAGCCAATGTTCTAGAGGGCATGATGAATTAGCACAGGTTGAAACAACGAACGGACGGGTCCATGGGACGCAAACCTTTGATATATGTACCATCCGGTAAATACTCCAATACAGATGGTAAGTATTATACTGCAGATGTTCACGGCTTTCGATCCTGCACTCATCTCCTCGCCCTTTTCGGAGAGCAGACGGATTCGACTACCGATGAAGGCAGGAACCAACAATTTGGGTGAGATGATGGCTGTCGCCAATCCATACATCAGTGGTTGCACTGTAGGGAACGTGGACACCGCTCCGTTGCAAATTGAGTAAGGTAGTGGGCATAATCGGATCATGCAAAGAAGCTTGAGCCCGTCATACTTCAATGTCAGGGCCAACGCGGCGAACCTCTTGTCACGTTCCATAAGGCGATGGACGAATCCAGATAAAATCGTCCGCGACACATAAACTGAAACAGTCGAGCCAAGAATTGTTGCAGAAGCGTAAATAAGCCATCTATAAAATGAGATCGAGTCAGTTCATTGTCGCTCCAGTAGCAATCAGAGTGGCTCTTACCCTTTCCATATGCCAAATATAAACCCTGCCACAGTCCCAAATGTCGACCAACCCACTAGAGGAGGGAATGAGACAAAAAACACACATAACCAGAGAATGAATGCAGCGAGCCAGGAAGTTTCCCATTTCTCAGCGACCGGGCCAAGCCAGATGAATAACTTTCCGGTAAACAACAGGAACGCGATGCCCAATACGCCTAATAATAAAGCGGCACAGACAGTCCCAATCTTCTTCCATAGCGACATCTCCTCCCATATCTTATTCACGCGTTGGTACAGCGCTGTACCACGACGGATAAGCTGTTCGCGATAACTCGTGTCCTCCCCGCTCGACCAACCAGAATTGCGCCTGTCGCGGCTCCAGGGTGGTTGAGCATCACTGCTTGGAGAAGAAGGTATAGGATCCGGAGAAGAGGGCGATAGAGACAATGCCCTAGCTGTTGACTGATAGTCGGCTGGCATTGTGAATTGTAAAACCCGGTATCAATGGGGGAGGTGGAAAAGGGTGATCGAAGAATCCGGGGGGAAATGGCTAGCGATCGACACTGCGAAGCCGAGAAAAGTAAATATGCAAAGCCGATTTAAGGGCGTGTAATAGCCCTGGTTGTTGCGATCATGGAGATAGATGAAGAAGCCAAGCAACTTTAAGGCTGAAAATCAAGTTTGATGAGCATGTCAGACAGTCAGCGGGATCCGCCCGGGACTGTCTTACTGCGACATGTTCTGGTTGATTGCTAAGGGTACCTGTCTACTTTGTATTACACAGTACAATGGACTCAGTTTACCTACTTTATCTTCATGAGGGCTGGTATTTTAATTATACACAGTACGACTTCCCATTTCCCCAAAGAAATTAACGTGTCCATCTGATAGCGGGGATGTCCCCTATGCGTTGCTCTCTTTCATGTGGTCGCCGAAGTCCATCTCTATCGATAATCTGCATGTCCCAAGGGGCCAAGTCTTAAACTTCTTGTCACTTGACTTGTCCTTAAATCAATCACAGTAGTGGCACATCAACTGCTTCGCCTCTACTGTGTAAGCGTAAGGACTTACTGCCACGGATCTTCGGGAGATGTGGGTCCGTGGTTGGGAAGCTGTGGTGGGAAGGCTTCGGATGTGTAGAAGATCACGTGACACGCGACCCCCCCCTTATAAAATGGGTGCTTCGTAAACCGACGTTCAGCAACAAGGCTAGATCAAAGAATACATAAGCTAGTTAGTCTATTCTCAGTATTCTATTAGACTGAAAAGACTTCTTTAGTTCTTTTGATTTTACTTTCATTTTTCGCTACGTAGTTATGTCAAAATACCTTGGACTGCTCTGATTTGAAGCTCAGCTAGCCGATAAGCTGTGCCCCAGTTGTTGATCGCCTTCTCCGCCCTCCCCCTCTTTGTTTTGTACATCATCTTGCACGCAGCACAACCCTTTCTTCTATTCATTGTCAGGTCGATCGGTGGGTCGATGGGAGATGCGATGTAATTTCCACCTCAACATTCATCCCTTTCGCCATTCTCATCGCCTTGCCGCTTTATTAGAACCCCAACCCCCCCTTTCGGCCCTACTTACGAATTTACCCGAACATCCAGAGCATGTCGCATCTCTGATATCTGGTCCTGAGCTCACTTTCATCGGGTATTATCCTGCTTGTACGACTCTACATAGTCGTTTCTTCTAGGACCCGACTTCTTCCCTACTAGGATCTCAACTGTTCCTCGATCTTTTGGCGTCCCCGTTCCCCCGCGTCCACACACATAATAACACATCATGGTTTCCGAGGAACTGCTGGAGCAGTGTCTCCAGATCCTGCAGGATCAGGCACTGGATGAGGAAGAGCAGGTTGAGAAAGTGGAGGACTTTTTGCGCGCGAACACATCCTTGTCGGGATCACCCTTGGAGAATGCAGTACTGGACATCCTTTGGCGCCATCGCAACCGCAATATACCAGATGCATCGCCTCCAGTTCGTCATACTGTGATTCGCCGCTCATCGCCCGCACCATGGCAGATGGCTCGTTCATCTACACCGCTATCCCCGCATTCGACTTTGGGAACGAGTCCCGGGAGCACCTCGTGGATGCAGAGCTCGCGCGGGCCTTTCACGCGGCCCCCGCTATCCTCAACTGTATCTCCGTTTACGTCCCCACGTCCATCACCTCGACTTGCCCTTGCGCAGCCTATTCCTCATTCCCCAAATCTCAACGCCTACGAGTTTTCAGATCAGAGCCAGCTCTCTGACTTCTACGGAGACCTTGGTGGTGATAACAACGTCGACTGGTTGGTCGCAGATGATGCCAACAGCACAACGTCATCCGCCGGCGGCCTCAGCACCCCCGGAGCACTCAGCGCCACTGCGGTTGAATTCGTTCCAGACATGAGCCCGCATGATATCTTACGCACGGTGCTAGGCGACAAACGGTCAAACGATGAAATAGAAGCCGCCCTGGAGGCCAACAGTTACGATCTCGGCGCGACTATTGCTTCCCTCTCGCAGGATATAGAATCAGAGGCAATCGCAAAACAAAACGACGACGGCCGTGTTCTGGTTGGCAAGTCCATGACAATGGAGCAAGTACGTCCGATCACACCATCCGGCAACGGCCGTAGCCCTGTAGTCTGCAAGTACTGGCTGTCTACTGGACAGTGCCTTCGAGCGGACTGCCGGTTTAGTCATGACCTAACCACGCATCTATGCAAGTGAGTGTTCCTGGAGATGCGCGAGGGGAATCCAACGTTCTTGCACTAACAATTGGGACTAGATATTGGGTAATGGGAAATTGCCTAGCTGGAGATGGCTGTCCTTTTTCGCATGACCCTTCAGCTCTCATCGGCAATCTCAATGTTACGGATAGTAGCCGGCCAGCTTCGCCTTCGCCATTCCAGATGGACAGCGGCTCCGATGCGTTCCCACCGCTGCAATCAGCAGACAGTGGTGATCAATGGGCAACTCAGTACTCCGGCCGATATCCCGGCCATCTCTCCGCTTATCAAGCCAACAAGTATGCACCCCCTGGCTTGCATCCTGGAATGAGTAAGCGGAATGGAAGTGCTACACACCTTGGACGACCCAACTCTCGCCCGTCCAGCCGTCACCAACACCGGGAGTTGAATCCTGCTGCGCCGTCTGTGGACGATCCAGACGCTTTCCCGACTCTTGCCGCGGTCAATGCCAAGAATGCTGCAAAGAAGCATGGAAAGCGGGGCGGTCATAACAACCGCGAAACAAGCCTGAGCAAAGAAAGTATTCCTTCATCTCTAGCTGATGTGGTTCGGATGACTCCGTCCCCTGCTCCATCTAAAACTAAACCCGGCTCCAAAAACAAGGACCTTAAGGGACGGGAGAATAGCGCGGCCGCTCAGTCAATCCCAGCCCCGCAAAATATTCCCTGGCTGGAAACTGGCACGCGAGCCAATCAACAGTACATAAAGTACCGCACAGAGGCTATTCGTCATGGCACTGTGCGTAACAAGTTCCTGCAGAGGTAAGCATTGCACAAACAGTATCTACTTCCACCCATTTCCTAACATGTCTATCAGCGCTGCCCAAGCATGGAACCGCAACGATGCACGAGCTGCCAAAGCATTGTCATTACGTGGCCAAGCCGAGAACGATGCGATGCGTAGGTGTCATCGGGAGGCTGCACGCCAGCTCTACGAAGAACGCAACCAACATCTTTCCCGTAAGGGGCTAGACGAATCGTCCGAGGAGCTTTACGTTGATTTGCATGGTCTCCATCCAGAAGAGGCCATTGAATATCTCGAGAAGATCTTGCTCAAGCATGCTAAAGAGGGTCTCCGGGTAGTATATGCTATTACCGGCACTGGTCATCACTCGAAGAATGGCAAAGATAAGATCGGCAAGGCCATCAAGGCATGGTTGAATGAGTGGCGGTACTTGTTCCGGGAGTTCAGTGTGCCTGGCGAACGAGGCGGCTATGTCGGAGGCATTCTCGGCATCGATCCCACAAGTTATGATAAGTCGATTGCGAAGGAGCTGGCAAGTGATCTGACGGAGGCCAACGCTGGCGGAGAGCCCCCGTCCTGACCATGGGCAAAATCCAATTACTCAAACGAGAAGAAATAGACCAGAATCAATGACACCGCAGGTCACTCGTTCCAATTTGCATCCAGACGGCATGATACCCCAGTACCGCGTCTATCTACTCAACTCTCTGATCTCCCACCTCGTCTGCAACCCTCAATGCGCAGCTCAGCACGCAGCAAAGAATATGAACTTACCAAGCTGGTTGAGGCTAACCTTTCGGGACTATTTTTACTGCCTACTAGTACTTAAGCGACGTCCCCGAGACGCTAGAAATAGACAGGCATCCACAATACAACCTACTCAAGTAAAACAATATCTCCCAATATGAACGATGCACTTCCATACTAGAACGAACTTGCAGGGGTATATTGTATATCACGCGTAGATACCTAACACGCAACTCTACACCAATTATCTACTCCGGCTCCTGATGCTTCCACTCCTCTCTCAAAGCATCAACATCAACCCCACAAGCCTTGGCCTTCTGCACAATAGCCCTAGCCTTGTGCGCAACCGGAACATCAATCATCTTCCCATCAAGCGTCCAAGCCCCCCTCCCCGCCATCGCCGCCTTCTCATCCGCAATAACAACCCTCATAGCCCACTCCGTCTCGTGCGGATCTGGCCCAAAAATCTCATCCGCCACCTTCACCTGCGACGGATGAATACACTGCTTCCCATTAAACCCCAGTCTTCTCCCATCCCGACACTCCTCCTGCAGCGCCTCCGGTGGGGACCCATCACCCTTCTCAGACCTGAACGCCGTGCACACGAGATCAATCGTCGACGGTAAGTCCGCCGCGCGCGCAGCCGTCGCGATCGCAGACCGCGCGAAAAGAAACTCCGTCAGCGATGGCGTCCGCGTAAGGCTTAGGTCTAAGGCGAAGTCCTCGGCCGCGAATACCAGGCCTTGTAGTAGTGGCGAGGCGGCGCAGATCTGCGACAGGTTCGTGAGGGACTTGGCGGACTCGACTAGTGCTAGAAGTGAGATGGGGGTTCGTTGGGTTGGGGGTTGTTGGGATAGAGTGTGGTTTATGACGTCTGTGACGAATGTCAGGTCTGAGGCGGAGTTGACTTTGGGGATTACGATTGTTGTTAGGTTTGGCGATTGGAGCTGGTGGTTTTGTAACTTGTTAGCACGCGATGGCGGATGCAAAGTGTCGCCGCGGCGTTGGGTGGTAATTGGGATTTCAACTCACAACTTCGGTCAGATCAGCCAGTGCGAGCCCGCTGTCTACGGAGTTGATGCGCACTGCGCGTTCGCGGATCCCTGTTGGTGCCGCTTGGTCGATTGCTCTCCGCACTAGGGTGCGGGCCTCGGCTTTCTTGTGCGGTGTTACGCTGTCTTCTAGGTCGTAGGCGACGCAGTCGGCTGTTAGGGAGCGGGACTTGTCTAGGAAGCGCTGGGAGGAGCCAGGGACTGGGAGAGATTGTTGGTTAGTCTTTGGGTTGTTTTTCTTTTTAGGAGCTCCGGGGTGAAATGAGGGGAAGATGCGGTGGTCTCGGAAGGGAAGGGGGGAGGTTACCGTAGAGGAGGGAGCGACGGAGAGTGTTTCGAGCTGCCATTGTTGGATTGGTTAATTGTGCATTGGATTCGGAAATTGTAGACCTGCGGCAGGTTGGAGTGTGTTTGGGGGAGGTCTTTATGCGGCTCGATCTCCCGGGAAGAAGCCGACTCGGGTATCTGTATCCTACGGCGTATCCGCAGCCATGTGCAGCTGGGATATACCCGCTTCCATGGGACCATGAGTATGTTGTTTAAGGCGATTTGACTGTGATTTGTGAGTAGATAATTCGATTACTTGTCTAGTAGCAGACATTCAGGAATGATATTGTACACTGTAGTACTTTCTCCATAGCAATAGGTTGGATTGATCTAGGCATCTGCTGGGTAGCTTTGATTATTCTGCCACATAGTACCGCCATTAACCCGTGTTTCGACCACCAAGCATCTTGATCAGTCAACAACGAACCTCACTTCCGAGGATCAGACAGGCCCAATCTACTGACCGAGAGGTCCGCAATACCCAAGATACATTGAACCCTCCCCTTGCAAATTATGGACCAAGCATCAGGAGGCCAAGGCGACCTAAACTGGCGTCTCAGCGCGCATCCGATCACGCTACTTGTCTTTTTGGGCATTCGCATCGGTTCGTACTCCCCGCGAAAAGCAGTGATGGAAATAACTGGACTAACTCAATGACTAGGCGCGCTACTGATGTACCTCTTCGGTGTACTGTTTATCGATGACTTGTACGGATCTTGCCCGAGACAACAACCCATGTATGAGCTTGCGAAGCTAACGTCTATCTAGTATTCTCGTCTTCATTTTCACCCTTCTTCTCCTCTCTGCGGATTTCTACTACCTGAAGAACATTGCCGGACGCCGGCTGGTCGGCCTACGTTGGTGGAATGAGGTCGATACCACGACTGGCGACTCGCAGTGGGTCTTCGAATCTTCAGACCCCAACGTTCGCACTGTGACAGCTACCGACAAGCGATTCTTCTGGCTGAGCTTGTATGTTACACCTGCTCTGTGGGTAGGCCTTGCGATTTTGGCTATTGTGAGACTGGTGGGCGTTATTTGGCTCAGTCTGATCGGTAAGTACTACGTCGCATGTAATCCGCTGTACTCAGGCCCTGGATACTGATATTAGTCCTAGTCATTGCTCTTATCTTGACCATTACCAACACCATGGCCTTTTCGCGTTGCGATAAGTTTGGCCAGGCTTCGACATATGCCAACTCCGCTTTGGGCGGTGGTATAGTGAACAACATTGCGGGTGGCCTGCTGGGCAGGCTGTTCCGGTGAGTGTGAGAATGTTGGCGTTTAATATACCGTTTTGTGGCATTTTGCCGCGGGGCTTCCTCGTGCTCTGTGTATTTGTAGCAGAGTATTTGACCACCATTGGAACACAATCAATTCCTCTTCATGACATGGTATCTTTAACTTGTGAGCAGCAAGGGTGAGCAGTAAGAATTATTTCCAATTTTCAAGGATTGGGGTTGTGGTGAAGGGGTATTGCCTGAGGCGAGTCAACTCAGGGTCGTCCCTTCCATGCCCAGGGCGATGTTGCCAATATCTGAACACAACACAGTTTGCGCATCACGTCACGGGAAGCGTCTGTTGTTTATTTATATCCGATGCTCGTCGTTCATTTCCATTTCTTTTTCCTTCTTCTCTGTGCCCAATATCTGTCGTTTTTATCTGTGGAACTTTCTGTTCCGCATCGGAGATCTCCAAGTTCGGTAAGTATTGTCCTCGTTGTTGACTCTGTTTTTCTGGGAGCACGAGGAAGGTGGAAACGCGATGTTCTCGTGTCCTTCAGGGCACGCGTCATTGACCTTATCCCCTCTGGCACCTGTCCCCTCTGTTGCTTCACAATCAGCCTTCATATATGTGCTTTTCTGTCTGCTCTGGCGCCTGTATAACCGTCTACCCGCATACTTTGTACTGGTCGCTAATGATGAGATGCTCTTGTGACGACTACACCGTTTGGAATCTGTGGCTAACGAACATGTATATCAAGTTGACTACCTCGCTCCCAACATGTCCGGGTGGGATCGCATGGGTAAGTACGGGTCTATCTCTGGTCATGGATCAGATTCCCTCTGTGTCTTGAGAGGCGGGACGGTCTTGTCTATGGAACTAACAGTTACTAGGAGCCGTTGACGAGGACGACAGTTCTCGTCACCATGGCCCGACCGACATTGAGGAATCGAATATTCGTGGCGCCCTCGACGATTCCTTCGCCTGCGGCAAGTAAGTTCTCCCTTCTCCCTCTGACTCGCGACTTTCGACTGCTTGTTTAGTTCCACCAGTTACTAACCAAGACAAGCTGTGGTCAAACTGGCCACATGACGCGCCAATGCCCGAACGACTCCATCCCTCTGAGAGAGGGGCGCAGCAACGGAGAGTAAGTCGTCAGAATTGCCATACCTCTTTATGCTGACTAGTTGACTAACTCTGCAATCTAGTGAAGCTTATGGCGGTGGTGACTTTGGAGGTGGCGGTGACCGTGCCTGTTTCAACTGCGGTCAGACTGGGTAGGTTATTGGTCTTCCTGCCGTCTGCCCGAATTAACTGACGACAATGCAGCCACAACAAAGCCGATTGCACCGAGCCTCGCAAGATGGGTGCTTGCTTCAACTGTGGGGAAGAAGGGTGAGTCGATACTGAGTGTCATGTAGTATACCCTGCTGATTGACTTTGACACCAGTCATTCCAAGGCCGACTGCCCCCAGCCCCGTGTTTTCAAGGGTACCTGCCGCATCTGTGAGAAGGAAGGTCATCCGGCTGCCGAATGCCCAGAGCGACCTCCTGATGTCTGCAAGAACTGCATGGCTCAGGGCCACAAGACAATGGAGTGCAAGGACAACCGGAAGTTCGACCTAAATTTTGTGGCTGATATGCTTCCCCAAGAAGGTTGGGCTGCAATGAAGAAAGCCAGCGATGAAAGGGACCTCGACGATTTCCGCGAGGTACTTGTGACCCTTGGATATCTTGCAGACTTCAAGCTTTGACTGACCTCATTCCAGGCCCTCAAGATTTACTCCAAGGCTGTCCCTGACGCGACCTGGGCTGACATAGAGAATAAGATGCGAGAGGAAAATTTCAATATCTACATCATTGCTATGGTGAGTGCTACGTGGTGTCCTTTGATGTTCAAGAACAAATGACTGACGGGTTGCTTTCAAAAGGAGGCTGAGGTTGACGACGTGATGAGTCTGATCGATCTTCAAGGAGTGCTCGACCGAGAGTATTCTATTGGATTCTTCTTTAGCCCGAAGCCGTCGCGTGCTACCCTCCGAGAGCGTTGGCCTTCGAGCCCCGAGGAGAACCTTGAACGTATGAGCAACGCTGGTATGCCCTATGAGCGCAAGGTGCCCAAGTGTCTGAACTGTGGAGGTAGGTCTCGAACCCTGGACTATGGATTGACAGAAAGCTAATAAGCTGGCGTATTCAGAATTGGGACATATCTCACGCAGTTGCAAGGCGGAGCGCACTGAGAACAATGATCGTGTAGAGATCAAGTGCTCGAACTGCGATGAGGTTGGTCACCGTGTGCGCGATTGCAGACAGAAGCGCAAGTACAAGCGTGGATGCCGTAACTGCGGGTATGTGATCCATATACAGCATATTGGCATGGACAATACTGACCTATGTGAAGTTCCGAGGAGCATGATGCTGCTGAATGCACCGAGCCTCGCTCTGCTGCTGGCGTCGAATGCCGCCGGTGCAATGAGAGTAAGACAGGATTCCGGCTACTCGATTTATGCGTTACGAGCTAATAATTATGTTTCAGCTGGTCATTTCGCCAAGGACTGCCCCAACATGCCTGACCGTCCTCCTCGTACCTGTCGTAACTGTGGGTAAGTCATATATCATCTTCCCGAAGCCTCAAAGTCGTTGCTTGTTTCTAACATGATAACAGATCCGAAGATCACTTGGCTCGCGAGTGTGATCAGCCTCGTGACGTTTCGACCGTCACCTGCCGCAACTGCGAACAGAGTAAGTTTAGTGCATGCCATGGAAATCCTCCTTTGTATCATGAAACTGACGCGTATGGTTTCAGCTGGGCACTACTCTCGTGACTGTGATCAGCCGAAGGATTGGTCAAAGGTTCAGTGCAATACCTGTGGCGAAAGTGAGTCAAACATGGGAGTTTCTCTGGTCCAGTCTATCAGCTAACGATACGCTAGTGGGTCACACCACCCGCCGTTGCCCTCAGGCGGAAAAGGAACAGCCTGATTATTCGACCCGTCTTTCTCCCGAATCCCACCCGGCCAAGTTGGCAGAGGACGATGAGCAGTATTCTCACGGACCTTCCAGGCGGGATGAACCTGATCTTCTGGGACCGGAGACTGCGGGGACTGGGGATGAGCCAGGCAATGACGACATGTGGTAGATGCTACAACTCGATGCCAAGGGGGAAAAGGCGGCTGGAAATTTCTCAGAGCTACTGCGATTCCTCATTCTCTTTTGTTCTGGCTGGCGCCGTGCAATCTTCTCCCTGGCTCATTGTGTTCGCGTTCACTGGTTTATTTTCCACGAGCATTCTAGCTGTTCGAGATCTTGAGTTTTTTTACTTTGAATTTTAGCCACAATTTTTTACCCAGTAGCTTTCAATGACCGCTGACCAACCGATGGTCTCACCTTTCGATGAGACTAAGGGCAGGTCTGGGCAAGAGGGAGCTCTGATCTGGGAATAAGCAGGCTATGATTGAATCCATATTCGTTTGACAATTCTTTGAATTATTGTAAGCCGCTGATTTAGTCTACATAGATGTTCCTCTACCTAGGCGTAGTTATAGGTTGCATGCATCCATGATCACAGCAACAAGAATAACCGTACGCACAACCAATGCATTTATTTTTGACCAAAGTATGCCGACATCTTTACAACTTTCGGCATGCCTACCTCGGCCGATTCGGTGTCCCGAGGAAGGCTCTAGCCCGATGACCAAGTCTCCCCAAAAACCCCGGACCAGAATGACGTCTTGCAGGGATCAATTCAGTGGAGATGATGCCTCTCTGTCATGACTTGGGCGCCATCGTCCTACACAAGCACCAAGATATCTGCGCATCTCCGACCCCATGCCTCATAATAGGAGCAATACACAGAAGAAGCATAGGTACATAATTGGGTAGCATCGTCAAAGTACGGAGTTGCAGTCAATAGATATCCGAATCGGGCATTCCGGGCTCCAAATTAGGGAAGCCGAGAGGGTTTTTATTGTGAATAGTACCTGATATATGCAAGGTGGTTGAATAGCATAAGATACTATGAGAATATCAAACTATGAGTACAACATGTTCTAACTAATACGTTCTGTACAAGACAACTTCATAAGGCAGCACACGGAGTACAGCCAAGTCTTCCCTTGCCGATCCCGTGCGGCCATGCCGATGACGTGACCAATCGGGTTGGTTTCGGCTTCCCCCAAGTGAGCGGTCTTACCCCTCACAGAGCAGGTTTTCGGCACCGCCGGGGAAACCTTAGGCTCCGAATGCTTAATCTTCCTTCTCTTGGCATCTCTCATTTGATGATCTTTGCCTGTGTTTGGAGCCTCCTTGCAGTATATAACAACCCATGCGTGAAGGGAAAGCTAACGGTGGAGGTATGTGCAGTATGCCTACAACCCAAGCCGGAGAAAAAGAAAAATGGAGATTCCGGGGGAACTGGAGAAATCTCCAGGTTTCGGGGCGATGAAGATCATTACCACAAACCACAACACTAGTCTCGACAGGAACCGAGTGACCTCACATGGCCCAACACATGTTGTCGGTTGACCGGTGGAACCCGAATCATGTAGACTTAACGACCCTATGAGAGAATGACGTGTCGGCGCCAGCACTCCCGAGGGGAAAAGAGATGGGGTACAGTTGCTCTTTCGCCCGATCCGGCGACGGTTTACTCCGTCTGGTCACCACCAATGCGACCTTGCGATTGAGCTCCATCGGTGGTTCCATCGCCTTTTGCTTCGTCTGATTTGTGCTCTAGATTTGGGGGTTATATATCATGTGGGGTTTGCACTTTCGGCTCTGGGGTTTATAAAACCGGTCGATTTCCCCGGACCTGACTGTCGGCCTATTGAATCGTCTCTTCTTTTCCGTGTTTAGAAGCCCTCTCTCTGTTCAATTGCCATACATTCTCGGTGGATGCCCTCGTACATCCTTACAGGGCTCAATTGTACACGTCGATTGTATAACCGCACGCTGCAACTCACCCCGCCAGCATGAAGCCATACTTCGGCCTTCGGGGCGCGAACTTGAATATCATGATCGGTGTCATCGCCGGTCTTGATTTCTTGTATGTTCATCTTCTCGTCTGTTGGAAGTATGCAGTGCTAACGTACCAATGTACAGGTTGTTCGGATATGACCAGTACGTCAAGCTACGCGTAGACAACGAGTCTGTTCCTCCTGCTAACATTTATCAGAGGTGTGATGGGAGGTCTATTGACTTTGAACTCATTTGTTACCGTCTTCCCCGAAATCGACACGACCAGCTCATCAGCGGGTGGCAATTCGACGACACAAGGTATGCGACTCCGTACCCAATCCTTACAATCAATGCTGATTTAGCAGGAATCGCCGTCGCCTCCTACAACCTGGGTTGTTTCTTTGGGGCAATCATGTGTATCTGGATTGGAAACTATCTCGGCCGTCGCAAGACAATCTTTGTCGGCTCCATCATCATGGTCATCGGTGCTTCGCTGCAGGCCTCTGCTTTTTCGCTCCCGCATTTCATCGTCGGCCGTGTTATCACGGGTGTCGGAAACGGCATGAACACTTCCACCGTCCCTACATGGCAGTCCGGTGAGTCTGTTTATCCCATTGAGAATGATGTATGATGCTAATCTTCCGTAGAATGCTCCAAGTCCCACCACCGCGGAAAGCTCGTCATGTTAGAGGGTTCTTTAATCGCAGCCGGTATCACGATCAGCTACTGGCTTGATCTCGGCTTCTCCTTCCTGGATCCCAGCTCAGTTGCCTGGCGATTCCCGATTGCCTTCCAAAACGTCTTCGCCCTGATAATTCTGATCTTCGTGCTGCCGCTGCCCGAATCCCCCCGCTGGTTGATTCTCAAGGGCCGCGAGGAGGAAGCTGTAGGCGTTCTCTCCGCCATTCTGGACCTGGACGAGACCGATCCCTACCTCCTCTCCGAATTCGCCGCTATCAAGGATGCAGTCCTGGCCGCTTCTACGGCCAGCTTCCGTGACCTGTTCACTATGGATGAAAATCGACACTTCCATCGCGTGGTACTTGCCTACGTCAACCAGATGTTCCAGCAGATCTCTGGTATCAATTTGATCACCTACTACGCGGCGACTATCTACGAGAATATTGGCATGGATGGCCTGACATCTCGCATTCTCGCTGCTTGTAATGGTACCGAGTATTTCCTGGCGTCTCTCATTCCCATCTTCATCATTGAGAAGGTGGGCCGGCGAGTTCTGATGTTGATCGGTGCGGCCGGCATGTCGATCTCGATGATTGTCTTGGCCATCACCACCAGCTTTGAAGACCAGCCCAAGCCCGGTATCGCCGCTGCTGTGTTCCTATTTGTTTTCAACACCTTCTTCGCCCTCGGCTGGCTGGGAATGACCTGGTTGTATCCCGCCGAAATTGTAAGGCTCCTCTTCTATCCTTTGCATGGATCAACACTAACAATTTGACAGGTTCCCCTGCGCATCCGGGCTCCCGCTAACGCACTCTCGACCTCGGGTAACTGGATCTTCAACTTCATGGTTGTGATGATCACGCCTGTGGCATTCGACACGATCAAGTACAAGACCTATATCATCTTTGCTGTTATGTGAGTATACCCAGGACAGTGATACAGAGCAATGCTGTCGGCTAACCTCATTCTAGCAACGCATTCATCTTCCCTGTCGTCTACTTCTTCTACCCCGAAACCGCCTACCGATCCCTGGAAGAGATGGACACTATCTTCCATAAGACAGCCAGCGTCTTTAATGTTGTCTCAGTTGCCCGCAACGAGCCCCACCGTTACGGAAAGAACGGCGAGCTTCTCATCAACTACGAAGACACGGAGGAGCATCTGCGTCGCGCTAGCTATGTCTCAGAGAAGAAGGCCCAGCTGGCTAGTGGCACGGGTGATCTGGAGACTGGGAAGGGTACTCATTTCGAGCATCGCAAGGACAGCGACAGCTCATCTTCAAGCAATTAGCTTGAAATAGGTTCCTTGATTGGTTACTGTGATGTATTATCAGATGTTTGAGATGACACAGTATATACCCTGTAATATTATAATGGATGAATGTTTCATGAGTCATGGCGAGGACATTAGTATCATCCACTGTAGGATGCATTATTCATTCGTATAGATCCAAGTCATCACAGATCCAGTTGGTAACGACCCCAGTAGAGTCAACCACCAATTCTCCACCTTCCTATTCACTCACAGTCCAAAAGCCAACCCACCAACAGCAGCAATCAAAATAGCAACCAAAACGCCGGTTCCGGAGATACGCAGTCCAGCAGCACCACCGGGAGCCCCCGTCCCCGGAATAACACCGTTATCCTCGCCGGGCTCAACCCCATTATGGAGACCAGTATCAGACGAAGACAGGGAAGTAGCAGTCGGAGCCGCAGCCTCCGTAACCGTATACAACGAAGCAGGATGCGTCGATGCACTGAGATACGTCGCGGTAAAAGGCGGCTGGAAATTATACTTCGACGACTCCGCCAAAATCCAAGAGACCGCTTCCGCGCTGTTCTTCGCAAACACTGAGAAGACGGTGTATGTGGTTGTTTCGGTTGATGTCACCGTTCGCTGGGTGTAAGGGTAGAAAGAGGTCCAGTAGTAAGACCAGTATGTCCTGATTGATCCATTAGTTCAATCTTCCCTTCAAAGCAAATAAATGGCCAACAAAAGGACGGCAAAGGGGCAAAGGGGCAAAAGGGCAAAGGGGCAAAAGGGCAAAAGGGCAAAAGGATAGAAACATACCAACTAATAGTCCCAGCATACAACACATCATCAACCACCCTCGTTATCGTCGTCGTCGTCGGCGCTTCCATACTCATCGTAGCATTGTAACCACCCGTCTGCTCGCCAAGACCCCACTCATCTTCACCACCCCTTTCCCGCTCAGTACACCCCGAAGGAGCACAGCAAAGTTTCTGCCCATTCGTAGACGCACATCTCTTACCCGCACGACAATAAAACCCACCGTCACAACACTCCCCGTCGACCGGAGCACACCCGTTCGTCCCCTCGCAGCATTTAAAGCCAGCCGCGCAGATCCGGCCGTTTGAGCAGCAGTCTTCGGAGGAGTCGGCGCACGCGAACTCGCCGCAGCAGTCTTTTGTGGAGGGGCAGCACTTGGTTGTGGCCTTTGTGCAGCCTTCGTAGCCTAGGGCGCAGGCGAAGGCGCGTGGGGAGAGAGAGTCGGATGGGAAGAGGGAGGAGAGGGAGAGTTGGTTGTTGTTGTGGGTTGAGTTTAGGTATTCTTGGGGTTCGTCTTCGAGTTGGGCTGTGGTTTGGTGGAGGAGGGGGAGGAGGAGGAGGGTTAGGGATTTGAGGTGCATTATGGTGGTTGTAGGGATTGGGTTGGGGTTGGGCTGGGATTGTTAGGGGGGTGTTGTTTATTTATACTGGCTCTCTGGGTGCTTGGATCAGGGACATTTCCTGGTGACAGGGGTGGATGTCGCTGTCCGTATTAGGTTGGGCATGTTGGATACCGCCGTATGCGTTGGGAATAGGAGGGGGTGCTGCTTGGCGCCCTGGGTCCCTGTTCGCGCTGGATAGGGCCTAGTACCTATAGTTAGGCGAAGTTGGATCTGAGTCCTGGATATCTGCCATAGATTGAGGCTGATTCCTGCCTGAAGCTTGACTTTGGGGGTGTTCTTGAACCTTGGCTTTAGGGCTTAACGGGTCTTGTGACGGCGGCTTTCTTGTGGAGGCTCAGCTTCTGGGCTTCACAGTTAGCGAGACAATGGTCTATCATATCATCTAGTGAGAGACGGTGCTGCTGAGACGTTCGACCTATCTGATAATCAGTAGTACTACTAGAAAGAGGCTATCTTCGGCAATCCATCAGTTCTGGCGGCAGATCCACGTGGGAAACGGAGAATATCCTCAAGAGGGAAAGATAAGCGCGAACCAAGATGCACGGTGAACGGGAAAATGTACCGAGAACTCAACCTCAACCTCAACGCTCGAATCGGATTGAGATTGTGAGTCACGCATTTCGGCATTTCCATATATTCTCGATATCTGTGAAAGACGAGTCTGAAGCTTTCCTTTTGCCAAGGCTCAAGAGTCCCTGTTCCCCCTCATTCATCGTCTTTATCAGATCCGAAAGCGGACCCCAGTAGAGTCAACCACCAATTCCCCTCCTATTCACTCACAGTCCAAAAGCCAACCCACCAACAGCAGCAACGAAAATAGCAATCAAGACACCAGTCCCGGAGATACGCAGTCCAGCAGCACCATCGGGAGTCCCCGCTCCCGCCCCCGCTCCCGCCCCCGGCATAACACCGATATCCTCACCGGGCTCAACCCCATTATGGAGACCAGTATCCTCACCGGGCTCAATCCCATTATGGAGACCAGTAGCAGTCGGAGCCGCACCCCCCGTATACAACGTAACAGGATCCGTCGATGCACTGAGATACGTCGCGGTAAAAGGCGGCTCGAAGTTATATCTCGATGACTCGGCTGCAAGCGAAGACGTCGCTTCCGCGCCGTTGCTCGCATAGACGGACCAGACGGTGTATGTGGTTGTTTTAGTTGATGTCACCGTTCGCTCGGTGTAGGGGTACCAAGATGTCCAGTAGTAAGACCAGTATGTCCTGTTCCAATTAGCCGTTCATTCTCCCCTTCAAAGCAGACAAAAAGACAACAAAAGGATAAAAGAAGGAACAAAAAGATAAGGAAGGAACATACCAGACAATAGTCGAAGTATAATAAACATAATCATCAACCACACTCGTCGTCGAAGCTTCCGTATTGCTCACACCACTCTCGTCCTCATCTCCAGCGCCCGTACCCTCCCCAATACACCCCGAAGAAGCACAACAAACCTTCTCCCCCTTATAAGTCCGACACTTCTGGCCCGTAGGACAATAATACCCACCCCCACAACACTCCCCGCCGCTGATCGGAACACACCCGTCCGACCCCGGGCAGCATTTAAAGCCAGCCCGGCACACCCCGCCGCTCGAGCAGCAGTCTTCGAGGGAGGAGGCGCACGAGGTGGCGCCGCAGCAGTCTTTGCCGGACGGGCAGCACGAGTTTGTCTCGGTTGTGCAGCCTACGTAGCCGGGGGAGCAGGTGAGGGCGCGTGGGGAGAGAGAGTCGGATGCGAAGAGCGAGGAGAGGGAGAGTTGGTTGTTGTTGTGGGTTATGTTTGCGAATTGTTGGGGCTCATCTCTGAGGACTTGGTCTTGGGCTGTGGTTTGGTGGAGGAGGGGGAGGAGGAGGAGGGTTAGGGATTTGAGGTGCATTGTGGAGGATTGGGCTGGGATTGGAATCTGGGGTTGTTAGGGGGTGTTGTTTATTTTATAGTGGCTCTCTGGATGCTTGGATCAGGGGCATTTCCCGGTGACAGACTGACAGGGGTGGATGTAGTTAGCTGTTCGTATTTGGGCATGTTGGCTACCCTCGTATGCGTTGGGAATACGAGGTGGGCCCCTGTTCTCGCTGGATAGAGCCTAGAATAGTTAGACGAAGATGGATCCGATCATCCGAGTCCTGGATATCTGCTATAGATTGAGGCTGATTCCTGCCTGAAGCTTGACTCTTGAGGCGTGAGGTGTTCTTGAATCTTGGCTTTAGGGTTTAATGGGTCTTGTGACGGCGGGTTCTTTTTGTGGAGACTCTGCTCTGGGCTTCACAGTTAGCGAGGCAATAATCTATGCATATCATCTAGTGAGATACGCGGCTGCTGAGAGGTTTGACCTATCTAGATGTGAGCAGGCCCTTTATTTCGTATCTTTTTAAATACTTCGGCATTTGTGATGTCTCGTGGAAAGGACAATCAGACACACTTCTTCGCTTCAAGGTCACCTCGGGATGATATCACTGGAAGAGATGAAGCTATTTCAGGGTAAACAGATCTTCACATGGATCTGAATCTGATAATAAATAGTAGTACTACTGAGTACTGTCTACTATTGTCTACTAGAAAGCGGCTATCTTCGGCAATCCATCAGTTTTGGCGGGAGATCCACGTGGGAAACGGAGAATATCCTCAAGCGGGAAAGATAAGCGCCAACCAAGATGCCCGGTGAACGGGAAAATGTACCGAGAATTCAACCTCAACGTTAGAATCGGATTGAGATTGTGAGTCACGTCCATATATTCTCGATATCTGCGAGAGTGCGAGACTGCGAGTGACAGACGAGTCTGTCTTTTCAAGCTTTCCTTTCGCCAAGGCTCAAGAGTTCCCGTTCCCCCTCATCATTCATCTTTATCAGATCCGAAAGCGGACCACAATCGAGTCTCCGTCTTTATTCTCAATTCTTGAAGAATTGACACTACATTTCATAGATCTCAAGGTATGTTGGCACCTTTCATCTTCACGTTCTCATTAACTATGTGCTGGGAGACCTCGGTAAAAATTTAAGATTTTAGAGTTTCAGGGAAAGAAAACTCAGAACTTTTCTGACTCAATACAGATTCACCCTTATTGATATCCCAGGGCCATTGGTGTCCATTGGCTTCTTGCGCGGTGATCACTGCTGTGGTGCATCCAATTGACCACATTGCCTGCAGAGACCAAAGGTCAATCTATACAAAAGAAACGCCGAACACCATGACAGAACTACAAGCCGCCAGCGGCGACAAACAGCCCACCTCCCACGCTCAATCCGAGCCCGAGACACCTCAAAGCCCCATCTCCACCTCAGACCTCGAGTCCGAGGAAGATCTAGACCACAGCGTAGCCAACATCGAACGAATCTACAGGTTAGCAACCAATTGGCACCTCTATCCACCTCTATCTGTACCAAAACTAACCAGAACCCAAGAAAATTGGACCGCCGGATCATCTCCGCCTTCTGGATCCTTTACTTCCTCTGTTCAGCAATCCGCTCGAACGTAGGCCTAGCCCAGACCATGAACACAGACGCCGGCCATGACCTCGCCAGCGTCCTGAATCTAACCCCGCACCAAATATCCACCGGTCTAGCCCTGTTCTACGTCTGCTACGTGATCTTCGATCTACCCTCGAACCTGATAATGACCCGACTCAGCCCACACGTGTGGATGAGTCGGATCGTCATCAGCGTAGGTTTAATCGGTAGCTGTCTCGCCGCAATGAAGGCAGCGTGGAGTTTCTAGTACGTCTCCACATCCTATACAATCCACCCATAAGCCCATCTAACAAGAACAAAGCCTCCTCCGCCTCCTCCTCGGAATCGTCACAGCAGGCATGTGGCCCGGAATGACCTACTATCTAACCCTCTTCTACCCACCCTCGCGCATCGGCAAACGCATCGGCCAATACTTCACAGCCTCACAAGTCTCCGCCGCCGTAGTCGGCCTCGTCTCCGCCGGCTTCCAAAAAATGGACGGCGCCAAAGGCCTCGTCGGCTTCCAATGGATGTTCCTCGTCTACGGTGTCATCACCGTCGCACTAGGCTTCGCCTTGCTCTGGTGGCTTCCCGACCGGCCCATCGCACCGGGCGAAACGGCCCCGAAACGTAGCTGGGTTACGCGCTGGATGCCGCGCACGGCGCCGGCGCTCAAGGGCGCGGATGCTCTCGTGCATTATCATGATCTGAAAAGGGTGTATCACTCTTCGGCGTGGACGCTGCGGGATCTGGTAAGGGTTTTTCTGGATTGGAGACTTTATCCGTTGCTTGTGATGTACTTTGGGGTTGTTGGTGTGGGTATTGGGGTGCAGTTGTATGCGAATTTGATTATTCAGGCTATTGATCCGACGCTGAGTGATGTGGAGTTGAGTTTGTTGACTGCTCCTATTTGGATTGTATGTTTCCCTTCCTTCCCCTCTCCTTTCCTCCTTCCCCCAGACCTACCACGTTTCAAACGCTAACAAAATACAAAGATGGACCTAATCGCCATCCTCCTCGTAACCCCTCTCTCAGACCGCTTCCACCGACACCGGGCCATCTTCTTCTCAATCCCCGTCCTCCTCCAAATCCTCGGCCTCCTCCTAACCAGCTACGCCGGCTCCGCATCTAACCCCTGGCCGCGCTACGGCGGCCTCCTAATAGTCGGATTCGGTCTCGGCCCCACAGTCCCCATCACAATGACCTGGACGACAGAGATCTTCCAGCCGCGCCACGGCGAGGTCGGCGTTGCAGCCGCATCGGCCGTCGTCTCGGGACTGGGTAATCTGGGCAGTATCCTGACGACGTATGCGCTGTATTCTGGGTGGAAGAGTGACTACGAGGCGCCGGGAAGAGAGAAGTATCGAAAGAGTAATTTGGTTATGGTGGGGATTTTGGTGGGGAGTATTCTTGCTGCGGCGGTAATGGAGGGGTTGATTAGGGTTGTTGATGGGGGGAGGGAGGAGGAGGCTGTTGATGGGGCTGCGAGGAGGGAGGTTAGGCAGAGGGGGTTGGAGGGGTTGGGGGGTGGTGTTAGACGGTGGGTTGGGAGGGGGAAGAGGGTTTTGAGGACTTGATGTGTGAGATGGGAAGTTTTGATATATACTGGTTGTTAAAAGTGTAGGGTCTATAAAAGTCTAGATGGATAGATATTTGGCTATAAAAGTGACGAATGATGACTGTCATACATTCCATGCCCTAAGAGAACCTTATTTGTAGACTGCTGCCATGGATAATACCAGATTGAGTTTTATCCTGTGCCACGAGATGATCTGATAAGCTTGAGTACTACAGAGAATAAGTGAATAAGAGTATGTATAGGTCGCAGTCAAAGACGTTGCTCTTTGCATTTATCAAAAATCTATGAGAAAATCACGAAAGATTGCAAGTCAGTGGAAGGTGAAGTTGAACCTGGAATTAGTGTCGATTCTCCAGAAGAACGATATCCAATGATATCTCTCGATGAACGATGGTGTGATTTTCCCATCCATGAATATTCTATGCTATTGTACGTATCACATTACCCTGTGAAGGGCAGTCAAAGAGAAACAGAAAAAAAAAGAGTGCGGCTGGTACAACGAGGGAGGGGCAGCAGGAACGCAAAGTGGCGGACACTGTAACCGGGAGAAAGAAAGGATAGAACACGAGAAAGGAAGAGGAAGAGAGAAAAGGCACAGAACTTCTATGGGGGCTCCCTCACATAGTCAGGCCGCTCTGGTCCGACTCCCAGGTTGACGCCGAGGGTATCGGAGCGCTAAGACCAAATGATTCGTATCCATTCAGAGGCCACCACACATAGTCTCAACGATGATACCAGTGATCTGGTAGGGATCAGCGTTGGAAGCGGGGCGACGATCCTCGAAGTATCCCTTGCCGTCCTTGGCACACTGGCGGGGGATACGGATGGAGCCACCACGGTCGGCAACACCGTAGGAGAACTTGTCGATGTTACCGGTCTCGTGGCGACCGGTGAGACGCTCCTCGTTGCCCTCACCGTAGACGGCAATGTGTTCGACGTGGCGGGCCTCGAGCTTCTTCATGGCGGCCTCGATAGCCTTCATACCACCCTCGGCACGGGTGGCGTGGGTGGAAACGTTGGAGTGAAGACCGGCACCGTTCCACTCACCCTTGATGGGCTTGGGCTCGAAAGAGATGCGGACACCGAACTCTTCGGCGACACGGTGGAGGAGGAAGCGGGACATCCAGAGGTGGTCACCCACTATAAGCGGTTAGTTTTGATCAATTTGAGGAATAACTTGGTTCAGACTCACTCTCAATGCCTTCGCAGGGGCCAACCTGGTACTCCCACTGGGAGGGCATGACCTCAGCGTTGATACCGGAGATGTTGATACCGGCGTACAGGCAGGCGCGGTAGTGAGCCTCGACGATATCACGGCAGTAGACCTTGCCAGTACCGACACCGCAGTAGTAGGGACCCTGGGCACCGGGGAAACCGCCACGGGGCCAGCCGTAGGGCCACCCATCGGTACCGAGCAGAGTGTACTCCTGCTCCAGACCGAACCAGAAGCCCTCGTGGGCGTTGGTCTCCATCAGACGGGCGGCGTCGTGGCGGTAGTTGTACTTGTTGGGGCTTCCATCGGCATCCCAGGTCTCGCAGAGGACGAGGATGTTGTCACCTTGGCGGAAGGGATCGGGGTAGAAAGCGACGGGGCGAAGGTATACATCGGAGTTGTCACCGGGGGCTTGGGAGGTGGAGGAGCCGTCGAAGTTCCATTCGGGGAGCTCGTCAACACTCGTGACGGGCTTGGACAGAGTCTGTGGAGAATCGAGTTAGTATGTGGTTCTCGAGAATCGCGCTATCTCACGTGACAGCGGGTGGCTGCGTCGTGCTAAACCGAGAATCCCTGTGCACGGGGCTTATCAAAGTCCATGAGGGGATTCCCGATAAGCACTGCAGCTATCTACCCGAAGTCCACGATTGTAGCCCACTCAGCTGGAGAATGACTCATACCTTTGTCTTGGAGCGAGTGCCGCCGTTGGCGTCAATCCAAACGTACTCAGCTTGAACACGACCGCGCTGGTCAAGGTTCATGTACTTGAGGAGCTGTTTCGCCGAGTGAAGTCAGTATATGTCATTCCTCTCTGGTTCAAAGACCAGTGTGGAAATCCAATGCATCATGAATCAAACGCACATTCCCCGTGTTGGAGACGACAGTTGAAGTTTCAGCAGCCTATGAATGTATGTCAGAATCGGCTCTTTCGTTGGAATATCCCTCAAATCCCATAAATGGGAGATCAGAGAGATCAGGGAAGGAGAGATGCGTACCATAATGAATATGGGTATGTGTGTGTGTGAAGAACGGTTGATGCAAGCAGAAACTTTCAGAGATGTCCCGAAGGAATGATATAACACGGAAGGACCTCAGAATGGAGGGAAGCAAAGCAAGATAGAATATGGATGGGAAATTCCAAAGGAGGAGAGAATGAGTTTTAAAGATGTGGAGGGGCAAGGGAGGGTTGATAAAAGAGATTTAAATTTAGTCACGATGAGTTCTTTTTGGTATTTTTGGGATTTTTTAGAAATTCCCTTTTTTTTACGTTTTGGAGGTTGGCGCGGCTCAGCCACTACCTAAAGTAGTTAAGCGCTGTATTAAATCTGTAATTTATGGCTCCATTACGGGGGTACCGATTAAGTACCTCATACTTGGCGGGCAACGCAGTCGGCAAGTGTCCTTGCACTTTCGGTCATTCTTTCTGAAACCGGTTGTCGTTGGGGAAACAAAAAAGAGCAAAAAAAAGCCCTCACTCTATTTTAGTCTTGCATGTTTCAATATTCAATATTCCATTCTAGCCGTTTTTAATGCCTCAATATTGAAGAAACATATCAAAAGGTAAAAGGGAGGTATCCTTTCAACAGCCGAGGGGGACGCCATAGCCTGTGAGACCGAATGGAATTTCCAGCTTTCTACCGGATCAACGCCACTTGCTCTCGACTTCCGTGTCATCATCGCATCATTCAGACGCTGTCGCCGGTCCTTGCCGAGGGATCTACCGTTTACACAGGGTTGAATTTGTTATATTCGAGCCTAGATTCGACTAGCGAGAGTACTCGTACTACTCCGTAGATGGACTCTGAATCCTTCTTCTAACAGAGCATCGTTTTCTCCAGACTTATCATCTCCGCATCAAAACTTCCCCTTACGTTGAAATCGCTTCCCGCCACCCGAACCAAAGTGAAGCCGTGTGGTGCTGACTGGCGATAACCCTAATCGATATCCAATCACAGACCCGGTCTTGTAATAAACTCCATGGAGTTCGGTAATAGAAGCAATTGTCATTCTCCCGTTGGACCGATAAGGTGTATAGCTCTATCAAAATATAGTACAAGATGTAGATGCAGAGCCGAATGGCGCATGTCTTTCTAGATCTGTATCAACTATCCTGCGGCATTCTCTCCGGAACCCCACGTCTTATCCGGGTATTCAGCCCTCTAAACGGAGAATTTCCTCCGTACTCTATTAGCCTTGACCACATCCCATGATTCAGGCACAAACATGGAATAACTATTCTGCCCAAGATAATCTCTGTGATACCGTTGGTCATGACTCTTAGCAACTGGCGCCAGGACCCCCTGAATAGAGCGCATATCAGCTGCAAAATCCACAGTCGTGCATATGCCATAGGTTCCAGACGTCCAACCTTTAAAAAAAGCAATGTGAACGAAACCGTGCACTAACCCTAATGTACATTCTGTCAGTTCTGAAATATAATTTCTTCTTCTTCAATATCTCCGCTTCTGAATTTAACCACGCGCGCGTGTCGCGAAAATACATCTGTGAAACGCGACGGGTAAGTACTCCGCGTGAGATCTCGGAGCAAACGCCAAATGACAGGGATCCCTTATCGCCCATCGCGTGGCAGAGTCAATGGCCAGAACGTTCCCCCTGTTCTTTGTCGCTTGGTTGTACTGCGCATGTAGACCGTTCATACCTACAAAATATCTCTACAGGCGCCTGTCAGATCTTGTGTATCTCGTTCCTGCAGACGGATGGACAGGTACCCACACCATACTTCAAATAACACACAGAACATCACGCGCGTCGAAAGCAGTCCAAAGGACGGAGTACCTCCACTATACATCTGTAATACAGATCCGCCGCACTTGATATGACTGGAGAAGCCAAGACGCGTCTGAATCGATCAAGTCGTCTCGGTGGGGTAGACCGTGGCGAAACGTTCTCGAAACCCCGGTTGATTGACTAAGTGGACCAACCAGAGATAACCAACTGGGGCCGACACCGGCCCTGGATAAGGGAATCAGTGCAGTATTACAGGGTAAGAGGGTTTTAGTTATTCATATGTGGGATTTCAATTATGTACTGTGGGAGTCATGAGTCAGGGTAGAAATTGGGGGATCTGTCAAGGTAGAAATACTTTAATGTTCTTGTGTACCGGGTACATCTGAGTGTCATAGACAAGATACATTTCGGAAAATTTAGGTCAAGGGTTCTAGGGGAAATAAAAGTGGCGACAAGATCTTCTTCCCCCGTATTTTCCTCCGGCAAATGGAAGACTGGCAAATATCGGGAGTTTCAGGGATAAAGAGCAACTCTGTGGCTGGAGTTCCGATCTTCAGCCCTGTCCCTCATTTCTCCAGATTTTAATTTCGCGGGACGATAAGTAAACAGCTCCTTAGTGCGATACCAGAGACCTCCCCTAAGATCTGTACTATGGGGCCTGTCTGAAGAGTTCTGGTCACTGCAAGATGTATTAATAGCACGCTGAGACATCTAGATTCGGGCTTAGTCACGGCCAACTCCGGGGGCTGTGTGGTGGCACTGTGTACACTAGCTGGACGTGTCTTAGGATGTACACAGTAGTGCTGTCGAGATGGACAGTATGGAGAGTATCAGAATAGTATCAGAGCAATGTCAATCATGCGTACACAATACTGTACAATGAAATTCATATTCAACGCCCAGTATCAAATATCAAACGCCCTCGGGATCGACATTCTTATCGTTCTTTTCCTATTGGCTCTATTGACCCCATTGACAAACCACGCTGACTGAGTATCGCACATTCAACCGATCTCCCTCGTAATTCCTGTCCTTTGATTTGTCGAGCTGATTTACAAAGTCACATGTTTCATTTCCCATCATTGCCGAAGTTCCTGGCCTACCAACATACGAACATATTTGAGCGTTTTATAGGACAACAATGCGACAAATGCCTCATCGGAATGTGTGAAAGCGGAACCAGGCACAGGATATGACACATGGATACCAATTGGATCTTCATATGTCAAGATCAGTTCATTACCATTTCCGATACAGTTCGTCAGCCTGTTTGGGATAGTATACTTCGTAGCCTGGTGCCAAGACTTTATATATTGTACTCCGTACCTCTGACATCGAACTGACAAGATCACGAACTTCAGTTCATCAGACTCTGAAAATCGTGTCGGATCCCGCGAATGAAAAGAATTAACAACAGTCATTGAATCGAAAACAAGGAAAGAGGGGCAGGAAGTTGGTGCCTCGTTCTGAAAACTAGTTGCCAACTATGACATCGTTCGATCGACAGCCCCATTGAAACCCTAGAATGATATCAGCCTCAACAAGCGCCCACTTAGGGTTTGCGCAAGACATCTCGAAACATCACCCATCATTCTGGGGAAGGAAAAGCGCAGAACAATTCAAATGATACCTCAAGACGCCGAAAAATGACACTGGCATGGTAACCCCTTACACCTTGGAATTCGATAGCTGAGCAAAACGAGGTATAACTCCTCGCGCAATACAAAGTAAACAGTAACTATACCAGTTCACATCTCGGTCATGAACCAAATTAGGAAAACAAGAACAAAGCATCCAAGCGATCGTCGCAGTCTCTTTAACGCCCATCGCGAATCACATATCACGTCGGCACTCGGCGCGCATTTGGGTCCATGGGTTCCTCCAGTTAACGTTGATTTAGACTGTTCTGTGCACTTCGCACCTGATCTATAGTGTCATACTACTCCAAGTAGCGTATCTTGGTCGAGGATGGCTTGGCCATGACGCACATTTCGGGCACGGTCCGGAGCCCCGCATCGGAGTCAGGGCCTAGACTTTATCTGATCTCTCTGAAACAGTGCCTTGTTCGCGTGTGCATGCATCATCATCATCATGCATGCATGCATATGCGGGCATATGAGAGAGATCTGCGGTTTTCTTGGAGTCTCGTAGGGCTTTATACGTAAGAGATGGAGTGACGGGCATGGTCATGGGACTTTTGTAGGAAATAACTGGTTGTGTTGATACAATGAAGTGAGGCCCGTCTTTGGAAGATAGATAGTTGAACATTGTACTTGTAGTCGGTCATAACTACGTTAGGGATCAAGTATCCCTTCTTGGTCTAGCCTAGTTTGGACACTCGGGATATAAGAGCCATGGGAATGGTCTACCAACGGGCCATGCATCTGATATGCGCCGTTGGCGGAAGGCTTGTTTTGGATGCTGGATTTGCAAGTATCGGCTTACTTCACCAGCGCCGGCTTCCAAAATTACATTAGCCACAATGTAATTTGCGACCAGTGTGCGATCGTAACTTGGCAACTTGAAACAAGTGATGGCAAACATAAGTCATGGGTATTTCAAAGACCACGATGTAGACTTTCGCGCTGGATATGCGGCGTGCTTCTCAAAGTATCGTAGTGCAGCGGCTCTCACCCATTGCCAGCTCGCTGCAGCCGACGCAAGACCCACTCAACCAGTATGCTCAAATCTTGGGACACTTCAAGTACCCGGACGATCTTCCTCTGCACATCTTGCAGAGACTGATCTGCGCCCTGCATTTCCGTGTCATCCCCGTGCTCATCGTCCACCAACCCAGCCGTATCCACAACTGAGATGCGGCCATTCAGTCCAACCTCGAAACAAATAGCAATTTGCTTAGGGGCTTGAACGGATCGATCAGTCCCGGTGTTCTCGTTCTGACCCCTCTGGTCAGTGATGAGCAACATGAGGGCTGGCGCTTGCCCGAGCTGAATCCGCAATGTCACGTCGACTTTGACGTCGTCCTTGGAAAGTTGCTTGGGATTCTTTCCATCACTGGAAGGAGTCAGAAGTCCAGTCTCAGGTTCGGCTTGGCTCTCATCCAAGCTACTAATACCCAGCAGAAGGTCCAGCCGTTCCTGGTTGGGATCGTTGTTGTTCAAAATGATGGGCCCGTCTTGGCCAGCAGCAAACAGTTGGTCTATGGTTGGGACGGGCGGGTCGCGGGAGTCCTGGGGGGCTGCGCCTGAAGTCTCGGTTGCGGTAGCTTGCTCTTTGGCAGGAACCTGGAATGTCTTTCGGATCAAGCTGGCGACTACAGCATATTGTCGGAGTATCTAGACTTAGTTAGTCTAGAATAATATCAAAATGGAAGATACATACCGGAAGGATATCTGCAATCTGCCGAGGGTGCGAGAAGGGTAGATCACGGATGGTGCGACCGGTGATGGATTCAAAGGATTGGAAGGTGTAATTGTGTTGTTTCTTGTATTGCTCGCCCTTTTGATCAATGCCATGCACCGATATGCGTCGCCTTCGTCGACCAATTTGGGAAACTGAACCCGACGGCGGAGAATCCGGTACTAACAGTGCGTCGTATGTGACCATTTTGAATTCCTGAGGTAACTGCATGCCGAGGTGCCGATAGATTTCGGAAGCGGCAAGTATAGGAACATCGAGCGCCGGCTCGAGTTTAGCGACGAATCGGCGATTGGGTGGTGATGATTCCAGCATGCTGGAGTCCAATGCCATTGGATCATGATTGCCATGTGTCAACCGCATAGTCTGTGGTGGATCAAGCCAGTTCACAGACCCAGCGGCACCATTCGAAGGAAGAGATTCAGTGCTTTCACCTGCAGTAAAAACTTCCGGTCCGATCCATTCCTTGGCAATGCGGAGTGATGGATATCCCTCTTCGCATTCAATCATGACCGCCCATGATCGGTCTTGATCCTCCAACTCGCTCTTCGTATCTTGGTCATTTTGTGCGTCTATCTCCATAGCGTCCGGAGATGGGAGGCCCTGTTTTGCATCCATGACTTTAGCTTGCTCAACCCAATATTGAAGGCCGAGTCCAATCCGAGACCCCCTATGCATTGTGGGACGGCCGAGCACACCTGCGCAAAGATGTTGATATTCACCGCCGTGCTTCCCATTTTTGCTTTCTTCGACCCAAATTCGCTTGAAGTTTTCTTCGAGATTCTCCAAGGCCTCAAAGCAGTTAACCTCCTGACTGAGCTTATCGAGATTCGCAAGCCACTGTAGATTTTCGTGGAATTCTTGAAGCGACCTCCATTTCCCACATTCAGCGTCTTCCGGGGACTGAGCAAGGTTCCGCTTCAAGACTGCCGTAGCTTCCTCTCGTCGCACACCTTCCGTGTATTCAGGTGTAGCATACCGCAGGCTGACGTCTTGGACAACATCCTGACCAGGGTAGAATTCGATCTCAAGATCCACAAAATTACCAGCGATGTTGAGGTTATCGTCCTGCCAGATGGATTCGAATCCTTCGAGTCGACTCAGCCGTTCCACACTCTCACGAGATATTCCTCGGCCAGATACCCGTGCGCGCAGAAGCTGGACAACCTCCTCAATGCGATGCCTCTGCTCTTGGTCGTTATCTCGCGCAACCCCGAGTTTGATGCCCTGCATACCGAGATTTTGGATGTCATTCTCGTTCATTCCCGTACCAACAAGCCCATCATGCACCGCAGGTGAAGGGCTGATACCAGTATATCCACCAAGCGCCAAGAGAGCTGAAGGCGAAGCAAAATTGACGGGATCGTCAACCCCACCCGGCACAGCGAGGGGCGTCGCATACTGAGGGGCCGAGAGACCGGTTTGGTTTGTATTACCAGACCCCGTGACCGTTGGTGTCTTCATTGAAGGTGATTTATGTGCGAGAGTTCGAGATAGAGGAGCGGCGGAGGGGTGGGGGGATGAGAGATGAGTCGGTGTTGCGCCTGGTTTTGCTGAAGGAGTCGCCATGATTGAAGGAACGGACTTGTCAAAAATTGTTGTAAAATATTTAAAATTAGATAGAGCACATCCGTCGAAAATTGGGTATCATAAGAAGTCGTGAAGGACAGAACGCGAGGATGCCGAGTAAGATTGAATGCGACTTAGTCCTCGCGGAAGTAAAAGCTGAAATGGCGGGTGCGCAAGGGAAGGATGGAAGATGAGAAGCGCAAATCAAATGTCATAATCCATCCAGAGACCACCGTTTCCACAGATCTGAAGTATCTCGCTGTTGACAAGCACAATTGTCCGCGAAAGAAACGTCCAAATAGAGAGCTCGAAAGAAGATCACGTGTGTTTTTGATGTTTGTCTTCATCGTCATAGCATGTCTCCACCGCCCTGGACACCGCCTACCATTTTCATCGAGCTATGATCTAACTGCTGGACTCAGGTCACAAGTTTCAGAAGATATCCAACCTGCTGGCTTTCGAGCTCTTTACAGCTGAGAGAGCATTTATACTGCTATCAGCCTATCATAATGTTTGCGGCAAGGGCATTCGGTCGACAGGCCCATGTTCTCCCGAAGTGGACTCAATTCCGTCGAGTATCAACATTAGAGGGAGCTCCGCACATTGTATGCAACTATGCATTTGGTACACCCTACCGAGCCCTTAACGATGCTAACATGGTAGTAGTACGTCTTCCCAAATGCTGAACAGGCGAATGGATCCCACATCTTATCACTATTACCCTCCGAGCCAACCAACCCAGACTTGGCCATCGGAGTCTCGTCTCAACTACCACCAACCACAGACACCTTCAAAGAGAACCCAAAGTTCCTAAGCATAGTTCAAGAGGTGTGCTCGCAATATGCGCACGAAGACCCCGACGCCAAGTCCCAAGCGCAGGTGATGGTGTCCGTGGCTGGAGCGAATCTGAGCTCAGGCGGCGTGTTAGTAACCGGCTCCCGAGGGAGGACCCGCCGTAGCGGAGGCGACTCGAGTGGTGGTGCTAGTGGTCAGGGTGGTGCGGGCTCCGGTGGACGTGGTGGCTGGATTCATGTCTCTGACAGCAGACGCCCGCCTGACTATGGGCGCATTGCTTGGTATGACCCTGTTTGTGATTCAAACGAGTATCAATCTAATGCTTTTCAGGCCTGAGGATATGTTTGGAAGTCTTGAGGTTGATTCAAAGGGTCAATTTGTTGGAGAGAATGGCAACTATCAGCCAAGTGGTATGATTCCTACTTGATAAAGCTCGCCGGGCCAAACTGACATTTTATAGGCACCTATCGTATCATCACCCGCGATGGGATGTAAGTTCTCGTCATTGTATGGCTTGATTTGTTCTAATGCTAATCTATTTAACATAGTTTCGGATTAAGTCCTTTCCTCAGGGAAAAGCTGGTTCAGAAGCTTCGGGAGCTTGAGAAATGAACGATCAATTATCGTGTAGATAGTTAGATGTTACGTAGTTAAGGGGCAGATAACTAACTAACCGGCCCTTAACTACATTCTTTACTAAAATTAGAGACCCTCGCATAGTACGACACCGCAGCCGCCGTCAATGAGGTCGTTGTCGGGATCAGGTATTTGTGCAGAAACGACCTCGTCGACGGCGGCTCGTAAAAAATGTAAGGGCCGGTTAGTTATAGTCCGAGGAAACTGAGGAAACTGGGGTAACTCGTCCCATGATTTACCGATAAGTAACCATGGTTGAAAACACGAAGTGAAACGGTGCGAGCGATATCACATATTGTCGGCATGATTACTGATCATTTAGCATCGGGTTATTAAGACATGGAATAGACCAGAACTTCATCAATTCTTTGGGTTATGATCATCTAAGCCGTCATCGGAAAGTGAACTAGGTAATACACTGATCAGCAATCATGCTGCGAAATACTCTGCCCATGGCCGAGAATGAATAATGATGCTTAGAAATTAGTACTTTACGAGGGCAAGAACGTCTATAAATGGCATTATATTCTCTCTCGACGAGCTAATCCCTATCCATCAGCTTATAAGTCAGCGGCATTAGGATACAACAGGCCAGCCAGCTATCACGAGCAGATCCTGCAAGATGTCAGATACTTCGAATCTAGTGTTGGTCATTGGAGGTACAGGTGCTCAGGGAGTCCCGGTCGTCAAAGGTCTGCACAGTCTTTCGTAGCGAGGAACTTGGCTAACATGGGGAATAGCATTGGCCTCTGGTTCTACGTACAGCGTCCGCGTCCTGACCAGAAATGCGTCCTCGAAAGAAGCGACAGAGCTAGCCGCAATCCCCAGGGTGACGGTTGTTGAGGGAGAGACATACCACGAGCCCACCCTTCGGGAGGCGCTGAAGGGGGTCTCTTATGTCTTTGCCAATACGAATGGTTTTGCCCTCGGCGAGAAGGGTGAAATATACTGGGGCATCCGCCTCTACGAACTGGCTTGCGAAGCACGCGTGAAGCATTTCCTGTATGCTGGTCTTGAATACGCCTCGAAACTGGGGAACTTTGACCCTAAGTATCGGACGGGGCACTTGGACGGAAAAGGGAAAGTGGTCGACTATATCTCTCACCAGCCAACTTCACGGATGGCTTGGTCCATCTTGACATCGTGCATGTACATGGAAGGCCTCTCGGAGACCCTTCGGCCTTTCCCGGATCCGGACGATCCTGACACGATGGTCTTTCCAGCGCCGCTGGGTGATGCAAAATTACCCCTGATCTATCTTGAAGACTACGGAGCCTACGCCCGATGGATGCTTGACAATCCTGCTCGCAGTAATGGCCTCGAGTTACATGTTGGTACAGAGGATATTGCGTGGAAAGATCTCGCCGCGGTCTTCACGGCAGTGACAGGCATCAAGGCGGTTTACAAGGATGTCTCCTTGGATGAATACTTTCAACTAGGGCTCTGGCCCGATCCAGATGCCAAATTGGGGCATTCCACCAGTCGTGACGATCCCACTCTCTTCACGGTGCGGGAGAATTTCTCCGGATTTTGGAATACCTGGAAGGATAGTCTGACCAAGAGAGATTATCAACTCTTGGACGATATCCTGCCAACCAGGGTGAAGAGCGTCAGGGAATGGATGGAGAAAACCGGATACAAAGGGCAGCGTGCATCAGTCTTGAAAGACCGGCGTGATGCGACTGGCAAGAAGTAATCAAACAGTTCAATTCTTGATTGGTTGGGAGAAAGCCTCTATCGTGTTTCAGGCTAAGGAAATTGTCTTGATTGTATTGTTCGCTTGTTTTCATACTGAGATAAGTGCATACAGATTGATACCTTGGTACCTACAGAATATAGTCATTATTTTTGTTTCCTGTCCTCGTATGTAACATCATTTTTGAAGAAGCTAGTAATTCGCTGCGACCCAGCTGTCGCGTTCGAGCCACTGGACTTCTTCATGGGGGTATTATGAGTGGCACTGCGCAACTTCTTCTTCTGCGGAGATGGCTCCTCTGGAGCTGGATCAACCTTCTGCTTTTTGCTTTCCTCCTTGGTATTAGGAATATCTGGACTATGCTCCCTTTTAACAGCTGGCGTCGGCTTCGGAGCATTGTCCTCACTCCATTCCGCATCCTTGGTTGGCCGCTCATCTCCAGCGATTTCCACCTTTGGCGATACAGGCTCCCGCTTGGGAGAGTCCGATTTGTCCTTCCTCGCGTTGGCAAAGAAGTTCGCAATGTTGCTCTTGTTCTCTTTGCTGTCAACAGGGACAATGAAGTTCGGCGAATTATTCCCAACTTTACCAACTTCCTTGGGGACCGGGTAGCACTCCAATTCACCCTCGTATGGCTTGAGAATAGATTGGAGCTCCTTTGACCAGGTCTTTTGCTTTGGATCCAACCAGTTCTTCATTTCCTCAGACCCTGCGTCTAGAATGACTGGCATACGGTCATGTAGGAACTTCAAGTAGGAGTTGGAAGAGGTCGTGATGATCGTATACGTGTAGAGCTTGTCGTCAGAACCTTCGCAAGTTATTCATCAGTCCAGATAACGTCCCATATCAATGTAGCAGAGTCTCACCTTCATAAGAAACACAATCCCATAACCCAGCGAAGCACATCAGCTCCCCATCTTTACGGCGGACAAAGTGTGGAATCTTCTCTTTACCCCCCGGTCCCTTCTTCAACCACTCGTAAAACCCCTGACAAACCACAATGCATCTCTTTCGTCGTTTCATGGTAGTCCACATCCCGGAATCCTCGATCAGCGAATCATCACGGCAGTTGATTGTGCGCATTGTGGATCCGTAGTCGGGCTGTCGCTTTGTCCAGAACGGGACGAGACCCCATTTCATGCTCTGGAGCTTGTATTTGACAACTTTATCGCCTTGTGCATTAGCCTTTGAGCTAACGGCATCCTTCTCGTTTTCTTGATCTCGGGTTTGGTGCTCAGTATCAGCGCCTTGTGTAGCATGGGAGTGCCCTTTCTCAGATATATCAGCGCGGTAGACGGCGCCAAAATTGCCCGGCGCAAAGTTGTATGTCTCTCTCACTGCATCATCATCTGGTGCTTCATCTACTGGCATGCCTTGCTCTTGCAGGCGATGCTGGACGTATGCTAAGCGCTTGTGATCGTCAGCATTCAGACAGTCGACATGTAAGGATCGTAACATACCACACCCAAAGCGTATCGACCACACATGTCAACCTGAGTTGCTGCGACTGTCTACTGGTAAGTGCTCTTCAACTGAATCGAAATCGAGCGAGTGCAGTTTCTAAAGCGAGGAAGTAAGAGAGTAGCATAGTGATTGGCGACGTCATATGGCGGAGCGGAGAGCTTGGACCACCAGAAAATCGAGGGCGGACTCTCCATCAACTCATCGGATCCATACCGTCGACCTTTCCATCTTGTTACTACACATTGTATTCGACAATCGTGTGCTTACTCTAAAATATTTGACATCCCAATCGAATACAAACCCATCGATTCACCATGTTCCGCGCAGCATCACGGCGCACGAGCGCGCAAGCGGCAAAACTCCTACAGCCACAACCAAAAAGCATCGCCCGCTCAATATACAGCAACAGCACCACCCGTCCAACGCTCAAGCCCCGAGTCAACAATGCCAACCTACTCGGAAGCCCTTGTATCTCCGGCACACGGCATCTCACATACACACAGAAGATCGGCCGCAAGTATCGCGAAGCATCAAGAGGAATCTGGCGCAAAAACCCCATCCTCATGCCACTAGCAATCTTCTCCGTCGTCGGCGGAGCCTTCATATTCGCCTACATCTCTTACGTTGAAGTGACAAGGGTCGCACCGCAGTACCACAAGTTTCCGGCTCCAGTGGCTGATTCCCTCCGCACGGCCGTCTACTATACCGAGATTGATCTCAACCCGGCCAAGGCGATGAAGGCATACAAAGAGGCGCTGCGGACGGCATTCGAGATGGGGGTTCACCCGTACTCAGATGAAATCCTCGGCATTAAGTTGCAGGTTGCTATGATGCTTGAGAAGGCCGGGCTCGTGAAGCCGGCGATTGAAGTGCTTGAGCGCACGAAAAACGAGACTTTGGCGTGGATCGACGAAGTCACAGCAGGAAACGCTGCAGCAGCCGCCGAAAAGGTGAAGCAGGCGCAGGCGCAGGCAGCCCCGACCAACGTCGTCGTCGATACCGAGGCGGTTAAGCAAACCGAGGAGGACCTGAAAGCGATGGCGGAGTACGAGAATCGCCAGCGAGACAAGGCGCTGAAGAAGGTTGTCGGTATTGCGATGAAACTCGGCGAGCTGTATGCCAGTGAGCATATCCAGGAAGATAAGAAGGCCGAGGCTGCGCAGGTCGCTGCCGTGGAGATCTGTTTGAAGGAAATGCACCGCCGCCAGAGACTCGGTCTCCCTGTTGGTAGCTCTGGCAGTGGCGAGGAATCAAACGGCGAGGCTTGGTTGAATCTCACTGAGATCGCGACGGCCTTGGCTGAGCTCGCTGCTACCTATACCGCCAAGGAGCGGTACGAGCTCGCTATGCCGCTGTACTTGCGTGCACTAGATTTGATCCGCGCCGCCGAAGGTACTTCTATAACCTGCAAACAGGTTGTACTGTTGAACGATGTCGCTACCGCGCTGGTTGGCCAGGTTCAGCGGCCTGCCAAATCTCAGCCGCAACAGCCGGTTACACAAGAGCAGACTGTTCAGGCTGCCCAGAAGTGGGCTGAGAAGGCCATTGAAGTTGCCTCGCACATCAAACCGCCGATTCGTGATGAGGAGTGTGATATAACTTGTGTGGTTGCGACTTATAACTTGGGCGAGCTGGCTGAGCTACAAAAGAAGCCCGAGGTTGCTAAAAAGAGGTATACCGAGGCTAAAGCGTTGGCTGATGGAATATCCTATGAGGAAGGGAGTCTGATGGCCAAGGAGGCATTGAATAGACTTGGGAAGAGATAATGGGTAGATCTGTGAAGGCTTTCAGGTAGCCTGGTGTATATTATGAATTCAAACCACTCTTGTATATCATACACACATTTCCCAGGGCATAGGTCGGCGACGAGCCTTACCCAGTACGTTACGAGTTACGAGTACAAAGTAGTAATGCATAGGAATAAAGACAAAACACATACGGCTACAAGAGTTTACAAACCCTCAATGAAAAATAGGAAACATTTTGATGCCTTAACTGGTATTAGAACATCACATGTCTTGTACAGGATTCCATACATTTTCATGCGGATCCAGCAAGCTAGACATGTCAGAAAACCTCCAGGCCGGGGACGGGTCCGTCCCGGCGAGAAGTGCTTCATTGCTCGTGGCTCATACATCCCAAACCAATGCTCATCTTGCCGTAATTTTGAACATTTTTTTCAATTCCCTTGTCAATAGATCAAAAAGAGGCTCCTCAAGCTCCGTTACAACAATAACTTAAATCTATGCGCGCGACATAACACCCCAGGCACGGATCTTGTTATCGGTGTAACCAGCGAACAGAGTCTGGCCATCAGCGGACCAGGCCAAGCTGATGCACTCGGGGTCACGGCTCTTCTTGCCTTTCTCAACGAACTCAGGCTTGAGCTCATCAACCTTGCTCTTCTTCTCAAGGTCGAAGATGGTGATGGAGCTGCTGGTGGCAGCGCACAGCCAGTAGCGGTTGGGGGAGAAGACGAGAGCGTGGATCTCATCGCCAGCGGAGAGGGAGTAGAGGTGCTTGGACTCGTTGAGATCCCAGAGCATGGTGGTACCGTCCTTGCCACCGGAGGCGCAGAGGGATCCATCAGGGGAGATGGTGACGGTGTTGATGTAGCCGGTGTGACCGATGTGATCGGTCTGGAGACGGCAAGAAGCGAGCTCCCAAACCTAGACGCGTATCAAATGTCAGCGTCGGTCCCATAGAGAATTTCGAGTGAGAAGGAAAAATTTTTCCAATCTTTCTCTGGTTCAATAAAAATCAAAAAGAAATTGTTGCTGTGCCCATCAGGCAAATTGGGTGAAAAATTGTCTCATGGCCCCGAAGGGCTCTGAAGTAGCAAATACGTTTATGCAAACATCACGCGGGCAAAGCAAGGCGGGGAGGAAAATATGCAGAAAGATTCGGAATCGATAGCGTACCTTGACGAGCTTGTCCCAACCAGCGGAGACAATGACGGGGTTCTGGGGGTTGGGGCTGAAGCGAACGCAGGAAACCCACTCGGTGTGGCCCTTGTCGGTGATGGTGAACTTGCAGTCACCGAGGGTGTTCCACAGCTTGATGGAGCGGTCACGGGAACCGGAGACGATCTGACGGTTGTCGGCGGAGAACGAGACGGACAGAACATCGTTGGTGTGGCCGACGAAAGTGCGGGTGGTGTTACCGGTGGAGAGCTCCCAGAGACGGAGAGACTTATCCCACGAGGCGGACAGAGCGTAGGCACCGTCGGAGGAGATCACCTATAATGCAGAGACCATCGGTCAGCCAAAAGCATTCCATCTTCTTTTTTTTCCAAATTGCGCCATCCAATTCCAACTGTCGCATCCAATGAGGAGTTCTTGGTGTGGTTCATTCGGGGGAAGGGCAACGTACACAGTCGGAGACAATGTGCGAGTGACCCTCGAGGCTGCGCTTGGGGTAACCGTAGGCCTGCTCATCACGGGTAAGGTTCCAGATGATCAGGGTCTTGTCGCGGGAAGCGGACAGCAGCATGTTGGGGCTATCGTGAAACATTCCAGTCAGAATTTGATCTCTCGAAAATTCACTCCCCGATCGGGATAAGGTCGCTCTTACTTCTCCAGGGAGGTGGCAAGGGAAGTAACCCAGCCATTGTGGCCCTCAAGGGTGCCGCGAAGAACCAGCTGCTCAGCCATGATGGGAATGAGACAATGAAGGAGAGAGAGGGATGGGCGGAGATTGTCGTTGACTCTGGGGGGGAGGTAAAATCGAGATGGGAGGCAGACGTGCCCGCTCTAGCCCTAAGCCGCTTCGCTGCTTCCCTTGTGTGGTTCCGTGGAGCCCTAATACTAAGCGAAGTAGTCACATGACCTGTATCTATAGAGACATTGGATTCAAGTTGAGGGAAATTGTTGACGGGGAAGTATTTAATATGAAATGTCAAGTTCATTAAGATGTTAACTCTATCCTTGAAGTTATTGCAATCTTTATTCCATGTGATCGCTCAACTCTACACCAATTAGTCCCAATGCCATCAAATCTACCACCTTCTTAATACACCCATACCATGACCATCACAAGTTCACAACTATAGTACATTTCAATCCGAGAAACACTCTCAAGCTCAGTCTCTCCAACAGATCCCTAGGAATTGAAGGTTTGAACATCAGGCATTCTTCCCAAGCCACCACCACCAGTTCTCTTATTCTTGGCCTTCTCAAAGCCAGTAGCACTCTTGTCCCGAACATGCTCTCTGAGCAATTTGAGAACCTCAGAGTCCTGCCAGCGTGAAGGAACGGGTCGGTAAGCAGCCCGGAAAGCACCAATTGTCTGAGCCCATTCACCGCTCTTGGCACCAGTCTCCTTCCAGGTCTCAGTGATGGTATCCTCCTTCGGAGTCGATTCGGGGACCTTCTCTGGCGGATCTTGTGTTGCCCAGTAGTAGATGTCCCAGTCATTCTCGTCAAGGAAGCGGTCATACTCGGTGAGCTGATCGTGGTTCATCTTACCCAAGTAGACGTCCGCGAAAGTGGAGAGGAGCAAGTCCGACTCCAGGATTCCGCGCTTGCGGCTCTGGTCTGGAATGAAAGTGGTTAGCTTGAATCATTGTCGGTATATGCATGCACCGGGACCTCGGCCTAGCCATTGGTACCAAGGTATATGCATGGGGTCAGGAACGAACATAGTAGACGCGCCCTCTTCGTGGCAACTTCCTCTCCTTCGCGCTTCAAAGGCTCAACCTTAAACGTGATACCCTCCATCTCGCCGACGCCCAGCTCGGGCTTCTGCGCTCCGTCATCCTGGCGACCGCCGGTGAAATGCTCGATTCTTCCGGGGTAGGGATCGTTGGGTCTGTAGTTGGGAGCGGCAGAGTTGATCATGTCCGGCGGCGGAGGGTTCTCGCCGACGTTGGGAAAGTCCTTTGTCATGGTGGAGGTCGTATTGGGGATGAATTGATTTGGCGACTTGTCAGCCTGGTTGGCGCGGTGCGCCTTTACTGCATCAGCAGCTTTGTCGCGGGTATCCTTAATTTCGTCGTCGGCATTCTTAAGACGTAGAGCTGATGCGCCGAACTGACGGTTCAGTCTGGCAATTGTGCTTAGGGATGATGGCACTGGTCGCACAAGGCGATGGAGCATGCGTGGCGCAGACATATTGATGTTTGGAGCTTGAGACTTCTTTTTCCTCTAGGACTCAGGGAGTTGGGGTTTGAAGCTCGGCATTGACATCATCCGCTGTAATGCCTCGGGGAACCGAGCGCTCCTGCAATGCCCGGTGTTTGTATTGTTTGCAAGCCAAAATATCCTATTGAGAAAGTACACACTTCACCGACATAGCGCCACCTCTCTCAGTCTATGCGCCGATCCAAGTGTTCTCAGTGGCTTAAGCAAGTACGCTATCTACTAGTTTCATGGTCTTTCCGTGAGACTGTGATGTGGTCTTATGAACCCGGAACCCCTTTGCAACATCGATCTATACACTTCTTCACATAGTGGTCCATCTATCGTGCTATGAACGCCTAAATACTTTGGTCGTACCTTACTGGGCTACATGGAAGAGCCCTCCATTGCGTCTGAACACCGTCCCAAGCCATCAGATATAAGAAGTAGAAGTTGTTATTATCGCCAGGCTGCAGAGCATGGTGTACATTTTATATCATTGAGATCATAACTGTTGAACAGAATGCCACTTGACATTAAAATAAAACAAGAGGAATTGCAATGCAACCGCTGCAAAACCAAAAAAGCGCAAGAGAACCATCAAAAATGCAACCGTTCCAGTCTCCAGGAAATCTAGATAAGGTGCTTAGATCTGCGAGAACATAACAGTCAGTAACCAATTGCTCTCCACATCGCAATCTCAGCCAAACACACCTGAAATAAGCCCTCAGGTAGACAACCTGCCAAGCACCGAGCCCAACAAGCATACCCATGGTGCCGAAGGCGAACCATTTCACACGCTCATTGGTGCTCTCGTTGGTATCACGCAGACGCTGCTCACGCGCACGCAGGTACTCCATCTCGGTGACGATATCGGCAACCATCTCCTCGATACGGCGAAGGTCCGTCTCAACGGGCTTGAGTTTCTCCTGGGACTGGATGCTGTTCCAGTCGCGGGCGTCGGCGCCAATGTCGACGTCGAGTTCAATCGGGCGGCTAGGGTTTGAGATGCTGTCTGAGAGGGTTTAAATCGTCTTAGTTATCATTCCTTCGCAGTGTCCAACTTTGTCCATAAAGATTGCAGCGTTTGCTCAATAGGATCGCCACTCACTGTAGCCAGTAAGGATGTTCTCGAAGCAGACGTCAAAAGCCGTGTCCGCGGGCGAAGTGAACAGCTGGCGCGTCTCGCCAACAACATCTCTAGGGCGTCCGTATTCGTTGCCCATGGCATCCTTAATCTGAAGAGAAAGAGAGGTGTTAGTCGCGGTCCGCAATTTGACGTGGATTGAGTAACAGCAAGACGAAGATGCAAACAAGTACATCCACCTCTGGAAAGAATCGCACATACATGAATGTTGACCTTCTGGCCATCACCCTTCGTTCCACCAACAGTGGCTGTGACAACGACAAGCTGGTCTTTCGAGACGAAGTTGCGAATGCATCGCTCGTTCTTACCACCGCCGGAGGTGGCAACAAGGTCAAATTTTAAGGAGTAAGCGAGCTGGACAAAGACGAAGAGGAAGCCAATGATAGCCCTCAGCGTGATCGGTGAGGAACCCATTGTGGCGTGGAATTGGCGGTTGTAAACACGGATGCTTGACGGTGTTGATGACAGCTGGTAAGGAGTGCGGATCAACCTTGTTCCGGGTTTGGGATGTGGGATCTATGGATTTTGACTGAGGCATGTCTCGTTCTAAATGTGACGTTGTCAATATTTATGTCCTTATCTATTGTGATACTTGTACAACTAGTTTATTCTTAGGTATTGGTTCTTTTATGTCAGGAATAAAATGAGATGGTTTCTGAGTGTCAAGGCGCTGATAATGGCCTAGGCACAGGCATGGTATCTTGAAATTCACAAAAGCTATGACAATGTCCCAAGAAACAGAAAAGTAAAGAAACCGAATCCCATATTGATTGTCCAGCCTCGCAAAGATGAAAAGAAAGTGGCACACGAGTGCAAGGGGATAATAGGAAAAAGCCACCTGGTCGTAGCCGGAGTAGACAGTGAAAATCGGAAGATGTAAGGATGTTCAGAGAAAGAAAGTGAGAGAGATGGGAGTACTTTAGCACAAAAAGAGAAGACCAAAGAGATGGACATGATGTGTATCGTTAGATGAATTGGAACGCTCAGCAAAGCAAGACATTAGTCGAAAATGTCGTCAGGGTGCTTTCAACCCATTAGGCCTCGGTTTTTTTGCGGCGAGTGAAGAAACGAGAGAGACCCCCATCCTTTCTGCCCATCTGTGCAGATGAAGGTTGTGTGGGACCCTGAGGCCCAGTATTTCGAAGGAAATCCGCCAGATCGCCCGTGTCGGTCTTGCGGTTGGCAGCATAAGGAATGGTGCCATTGTTGCGCTCCATGCCAACCTTGGAAGAATAGTTGGTCTGGATCCTGGTGGGGGTGTTTTGTGAGCGCAGGGAGGTCTGAGAACTGCGGAGCAGACGGGCCTTCATGCCCGCTGCGCCAGATTGACCATTCGACCCAGCAGTGTTGCTCAAAACAAAGGGCTGGGGAGCTTCTTCAGAGGCAGGAGGGGAGGGGCACTGCGAAGGAAATCCATCAGGCTCTCCTCTTCGCGTTTGGGCTTGGGATTCTCTTCCATTTCCAAGAGCTCTTCCAACAGCGCGTCATCGTCATCATCATCAATAGCGTAGGGATCTGGAACACGGCGTTGCTTCCGCACAGGCTTGGGATCCTCGTAGGCCGTGGCGCTTCCTGATGCCGTGGCCTTGTTTGAATCCAGCAACGCAGTCCGCGAGCCAAGAGATGTTGATGACTCTTTGGGTGTAGATCCGGTACGGGTGCTAGCAATAGAGCTCGAGGTGGTGTTGCCCATCGGCATCTCGTCCGAATCGATGGTGTTGCGGAACGGTGCCACCGTCCGAGGAATTCGGTGAGCACCAGCCGGCATAGGAGGTCCCTCGCGAATGAAGTCGATGAGGTCCGATGTTTGCGAACCCTTCGTCTCCGCAGAACGAGCTTGAAGTTTGGGCTTGTTTCCCCGGGTGGTTGTGGAGAGACTGGATGGGGACCTCACGGGCTTCGTGCTCTCGGCAGGGATAAAAGGCTTACTCTCGTACGGCACAGCAGGGCCAGTAGATCTCATAAACTCCGCAAAGTCACGCGTGGAATCTGAGGCCGCAACTCTTGCGTCGCGCGCTTGACCAATCCTGCTAGAAGACCTCGACGCCATTGAGACGTTACTTGACGATATGTTAGTCATGCGCGTCGTAAGCGGGACGGGCTTGGGTGACTCGATTGATCTGGTACGGGAGATTAGAGTCATCTCTCCAGTTGCCTTCGAGGAAACCGAAGCCTGAGGACGGTGCTTCTCTTCAATTGGGGGGGCGGTGGTCTTGACGGAATCAGCAGGATCTGAGGTGTCCGCCGTCTCTGATCGAGAAGCTTTTTTGTTTGACGGTTCAGGGAAGGTCATCTCCCTCACACTGCGGGGAGTAAGAGTGTAGTGAATGGTCTCGTCACTGTTGATCAGCTTGTCCAGATCGGCAACCTCGTTCTCGGTAGAATCTCCACTGCCGCCAGATCCGCGACTGGTTTCAGATGAGCTGCGCATGCGAAGCGAACCGGATTCACCCTGTGGTCGAGCGATGAGGCCCTTCAACTTGGTTGAGACCTGCGATGTTGCTGAGCCAGCGGTCACTGGTCGCCTGCTGTCACGAGCACTACTGAAGCTCCCAGATCGACGAGATTTGCTGTTGACCGGTGAAGCCACCGACGGCCCAGGCATACGCTGAACCGCAGCTCGTTCAATGGCAGAGGCGGAAGAAATTCGGTTGTTGGATACAACTTCCAAAGGAGCAGGTCTATGGCGGGGCTTTGATTTTTGCGAACCGCTTGAAACGGAAGTCGGACGAGAGATATCGGAAGGTGCGTAGGATTTACGACGATTTTCCACAGCAGTGTCTTCCTCCAAAGACCGAGTTGGAGGTGTGGTGGTCATGATTGTATTATTCCGACCATCATTGGTCGCATCACGATCAGTAGAAGATGTGACAGCCTCGATGGGGGGTGCGGACGGAGCCGGCGTGGTCTCTACCCCTTGCCTTGGAGGCTGATTCTCCTCAACGGCTTGCATTTCAGAGTCGCTAGTTTGAGGAGAGATCGACCTTGCATTCAGTAAATTGGTATCCCTAGAGGGTTGGCGTTTCGGCCGATGTATCGTCGAAGTCAGTTTCGGCTTTTCGCACAAACCAACACCCTCGATAACCTCTGGATCTTTCTGATTCGGTCGATCACCCAAGGATGCAACAGAGACGCGAGCACTATTGGATTGATCGGTCACAGAGTCATCATCTTGGGCGCTAGCGCGCAAAGATGCAATCATCTCGTTGACTGCCATGGGCGCCTCCTCCTCCTCCTCATGCAGGATCGACATTCTCGCATGTTCGGAACCTTCTGTTGCGGGTTCGAGGGGCAGGATCTCTTCGTGTTCTGTCGTGATAGCGATGCCAGGGGTAGCAGTTTCGGCTGCATCCACATATTCTGCGGATTCGTCATCCTCGTACATAGTCTCGAGTTGCTTCTTCTCAGACGGCGTTGGAGATGGTTGGTCTGTTGGCGACTCTGGCTCATCCTCAACAGAGTTGGGAACGGACGATTCATTGTTGGGTAGAGACCTCGCGCGAGCATGACGGGCTGATTTGCCGGGTTCAAGAGCTGACGCGCTCACGGGCGAGCTGTTCGCTGAACCAGACGGTTTCTGCACAAGGGATGGCGATGAAAATACCATTAAACTGCGTGGTCGCACCTTGTGGGCAACCATCGCCTGCATAGTCTGCACCTCTCCTTCCAATTCACCATTGTAACCGGGGACCTCAATTTCTTGGACGTCGAAATCGCTCATTGGCAAGGGAACGGCGGCCGGATCGAGAGTCGGGGGCGCCTCCACAGGGAGAGGCTCCTTAGGAGTCACCGGCTCTTCAATAGTCGCAATGCTGCTCTTTCGGCTGTTTGCGAGGGAATAACCACGACGGCGGAATGAGTCGCGGGATAGTGTTCGGGAAAGAGTGGTTCCGCGTCTGCGCTGCCTCCACGTTCGCCACAAGCGACCCAAGGTCGCATTCAGAGCCAACTTCTCCATATCTAGATCTTCCACTACAAGTCGGTCGATCCTCCTCCGCTCGTCGCCAGATCCATTGAAACCCTCGCCATCGTTCAGCTGTGCTGACAAGCGCGACCGCGCTGTCTCGCCGGCAATGACGAGTGCACGCTCACCGATGTATTCGATTATCGAGGTAAGGAAAATAGAGGCCGCTGGGGTAATGTTGTCAACGTGGCTGGTAAATCTGCGAGGTGCCCCATCGGTCTCCCCAAGACAATCCTGAGCGATGAACTCGTCCTCGTCGTCTTCCTCCATATCGCCCAATCGAGTATAGACCATGCATCGTAGGCGGGTCAGCTTCCATGAGCGGACCAGATCGAAATCGCCGGCAGGCTCCTGACCACCGCGGAACTCATTCTGCTCGTCTTCCGGTCCACCCATGTATTCGTTCAACTCTTCTTCGGCCGCGGCCACGACTTCCTTGGCCAGTCGAGGTTTCAGGACATCGGCCATGGCGGGGCGAATGCGGGCGAGCTGTGTCGACTTTGAAGCGGCGAGAATGTTGAATAGCAGGTTATCGAGGAATCCGTTCAGGAGCGAGAGCGCAGCCGGGGTTACCAGCGCACTGGCGACGAGACCGGTCTCCTCATCCTCGGCGACAAAATCAGCAGCGTTGAATTCCTGGTCAGCGGAAATGATATCTGAAGCCGCAGATGGCGAAATGAAAGCTGCGGACGGCGTGACGGACGGAGGGGACATGAGGTTGACTCGAGAGAACTGCGAATCGCTGGAGACGACACTGGGGCTGCGCGAACGGGAGGACAGGGCCCCGGTATCCAGGAGTTCGGGTGCTTTGAAGGACTGCATTGTACCCCAAAGTAAATTTAGGTCGAGGGCTCGAGGGCTCGACGGCTTCGAGACTTCTAATTGTCTCTTTTTTGTCTGTGTTCCGTCGCGGACCTTCCTCGATCAGGACAGGAAGGCGCTGGGTAGAACTCGAATTTCTAAATCATCCTGTACTCCCAGTAACGTCAGCCTGACACGATACTGCGAGCGAAAGCTGAGTATGGGTGAAATTGGGGGCTCATCTTGCGCCTTTGCAGTCTTGTACGACTACATGCGCAACGTCCGATGGCCCCCCGTGACAAATGAGGGCGGGTTTCCAACTTACCCGTTTGGATCAAAGATGCGCTCAGTGGTCATAACTCATTGGTGTTGACAGGGGAATGGCTGGAAGTATGAAGCAAGAGTGAAGCAGAGGAAGAGAGCCACGTCGGATGAGAGTCAGGAGAGGTGATCATCCCATGCGACTCGGTGGAGACTTGGAATATTCGGGGTCGACCACCGAAAAGGAATAATTAATTTACATTGTACGGAGTACGGGGCGTCTGTATACAAATTTTACCATCTTACTCTTTCATTCAGGTTGCATTGTAAAGACCCCTGTACCTTATTCAGGATTTCAGGATGCTTATTCTGAAACGCTATAGGCTATTGACATATACATATAGGCCCTCTACTCCTTACTCCGGAACTTTTGTACACTCGATTATTCACGGAGCTATTCCACGCAGTATACGACTTTCCCCCTATTTCGGAAAGAAAAAAGCAAAACCCACGTTTACAAAAGTGGCGCCAGGGGGAAAACCGAACAATGTTCCAGAGATCGGCGCACTAAAAATGCCCCGCCTGTACCGCGTTTCAGGTCCCATTGGCTGCTTGCCGCCAATCATCAGCTTCTGTTCCATGGAACCAGGCGGGGGGATCCATTTGGCTTCGACGCCATACTGTTTTAGTGCACCTATTGATTTTTGCCTCCAAGTATTTCTAAAAGATGTTCTCGCAGGGTCTGCATGCATCGTACATATTATCCAGTTATTATCCGGCTTCCAGGATGATGGATATCTCCGAAAGAATTTCTAAATTCCGTCCGATCTGACATGTTTTCCATGTAAGTAGGATCCGCTACCATGGGGCACATTCAGTAGTGCGGCTGTTAGCGCACGACATCCTTTTTCCACACGTTCCCCGGCCGTTCCACGGGTCCCAGGGGCACACGAGGTTAAGCCTGTGGCGCACAAGCGCCGCCATGCTACGCATACCCGGTCTCCATTTCCCACTCTTTGCAAACTCTAACCTCCGAAGTCCGAACGGAGGCAATAACGGTTCGCAGTACCGCTTCCAGGGTAGCTTCTGAGACAAATTTCTCTCAATTCACTAGATCACGCTAATCAACTCGATAAGCGGCAATCTACCGAGCTCCCATGCGGTGCCCCGTACCTGATCCGTACTTCAATCTGTGTATCTCAACTCTGGATCGCCAATCAACTCCCTTGCCGAACTCCTATCCAGCTACATTCCGTGGAACTAGAGTCTTCATTTATCAGCGCAACCACTAGAGCGAATGAGGAGCTCAGAACAACACTTTCTCATTATTGTGTCTGCCGGAACCACGATCTCTCCGATCGGGGTCCGGTCGCTTGAAGAGGGCGGGCGCTCAGGGTCCTGTTACTGTAGGTAGGTGTTAGTTAGCCAATGATTGCTCAGTGAGCGATTGTTGCCCATGTGGGTTTAATGGACGCTGCTGGGCTCTTGGCACGGTTATCAACAATACCAATGTGCCTCTATCTTCTGTCAGAAACCAAAAGAGATAGTAGGACTTAAATACTTCCTCGAATTTGGAAAGATGGATAGAGCCAAGCCGTTTGTTGGAAATAACAATTCCAAAAAGATGGAACCACTGGCACTGGTCAACCATGTCGCAGACGATTAGGTATGGGGTCCATTAGGTTTATCATGGAACAGCCTTAGAATATATAAGCATTCCATCCATACCTACAACACAATCTCTCTTCCCCATCTATTCTTTAATAGGTCCAAGGTTACACATCGGGGTAGGGTGCACTAGGTCGGACAATGGCATCGATCGCAAGCATACCTAATCATAACATAAAAAACCTCCATAGGTTAGAACCTATGTCGGAGAACAATAACAACCGTGATCCGGACGGGATGCTCGACCTTCCGCATGGCCCTTCCCGTGCCGACGCCGTGAGTTCGCAGGCTTCACGGATAGACTCATGATGTGGAAAAAGGCTTGTGACGTTAAACCCCAACTACTTAGTTATAACTTATGTGTTGGGAGATCCTTGGTTCCCATGCTACCCGCTACATTGGGTGTACGGAGCAGACTTGTCTGCTTCCCAATTCACTTCATGGATAACTAGTTCAGTCAGTGACTTAAGGTTTTTCCGCCTTGTTGCCTTGAGTAGTATGGACTTACTAGTAGTAGTACTCCGTACTCAGTGCTCAGAAACGGCAAGCGCCGGGCACCAAAGGCCCAAAGGGGAAAAGCATAGCTGCGCCTCACGGAGATGATAAAAGGTAAAATGGGACGCACGTGATGTGGCTATGAGCAATGGGCCTCTAGTAGAGAACACTAGCACTCACTAACGATTATTACAATGGGGTTTGTGCTGACCGGCCCTGGGTCTGGCCATGAGGATAATCGGAATCCACAGTCTCGTTTTGTTTTCCGTAGAGAGATTGAATAAAAAAAGGGCGACGATGTACGACATATACAAGTTGGTACGAAGTGCGCAGTATGAAGTACCATTGCACCATGCAGGAGGACTCTCCCATAGGTCCAGCCATGATCGGTATCAGATCTCACCAGATCTCACCTCCAAGCATCTCCCCTGCTCCGTACCACCCGGGCATCAGCCCTAGAAGCAGCTCACAACAGCATCCATGCTCAAGTACGAGCTTACGCGCATCAATGAACATACGAGCTCACTCGTATCGCACCGCGTTGTTCCTCACCACATCAGCAACCTCAGCAACCTCAGCGCCCGCAACGAATCAGCCTTCCGCCACGACCTCGTGTGAATCAACCAATCGATGGCTCCATCGCACACAACAGCACGCGTGGCGATGTGGTACGATCGCCATCGAAAAACTTGCTTCGCTGACCCTGGAACCAGAACCGAAATAACAGTACCCTATCGTCGCCCTCCTCCATCACGGACTCCATCGCTGGAGCCATCGTATTCATACTGAAAAGAGGTACTAGACCCCACCACCTATGTCCCTGGCTGTCAAAAGCCCCTATGACAAGCCTTTGTGGCCCCACAGTCTACACAGTAGTGTGCCCGGAGCTACCGGAAAGAGCCAAGACTAAGAGTCCTGCCGGCGCGATCGACAAGAGACTGATTCTGGACGGGGCACGATGGATCCTTTTGGGATGGCCGAGTATCTCCGCCTTCTACCCCTAAGTTGTACTCCGTACGGAGTACTATTAATCCTGATTCCAGAAGCTTACCTTACGAAGTTGTACGCTTGACAACAAATACCCACAATCGGTAACTAGTCCATGACGCCCACTACAACACCTAGTTAATTACAGTACAGTAGTTACCGATGTGGCCAACTGTGATCGTCGAGTATCAGAACCAGAAAAGGAAAGTGAGAAAAGAACAAATCAAAAGGAAACGAGTCAACGACAGTTTCGTTCAAGCCAGAGTCCCCTTCACCGCTATCGTCCGTCACCCCATTTATGTGTGCCGAACCTTTTTCTTTCCTCCCCGTGCTGTCTGTGCTCTGCGCCGTTGGGATCGACGAAATTGAACCTAAAAACGGCGAGTCGACGCCTCGACTCTGATAATAATAGGCATGTGGCGTTGGTATATGATATGTCATTTGGAGATCATGCCATTGCCAGGGTCCAGGGACTTATGTTCATACTGTACTCCGCAGGTGCGCCATGATAGATCGAAGTATACAGGTCTTTTCAGTCTCTTTGCTTTTTCGAGTTATGTGATGTTGTTAAGTAGTGTCGCAGAGCAAATCCCGATGTCCTTGATAGATATAATAACCCTCGCGCCAACTTCTACTATCGTGTAGACACATGGAACGTGTAAGCTGCATGCTAACGGAACTTGGCACACTGGCCTTTCAGCGTTCATTCAATTATGCCTATGCTATCGCTCGGGATCCATGCCCGTGTGTTGGTTGTCCTTGATTTTACATCGACACATCGTACTGCAATACCCATCGATGAACCCGCTAACGATTCCTGCTAGCTGCGACGGAGTAAAAGTCCCTGCAGAAAGTCCCACTCTGGATGGGTCCAATCTAGTACTATGCAAAAAAGAAACGAAGAATCGCAATGGATTAAGGATATCACCCCCTCTAGAGTCTAGGACATATTGACGACCTTTTACAACAGTACAATACACCACAGTAGTAGGTTATAACGAACCACCAGCACCAACAACAGCCCTCTACTGGAGGTGACTCACCTCTCAACTACTATCCAAATACCTACCCGGTGCCAGTCTGTCTCGGCATATCCCTACCGAATAGAGAAACCAATGAAATTGCACACGAAATAAGGACGATGGGGCTGTCAGGGGCGAGAGCGGCACTTGAAACGCTAGGTTTGAGGTTGGTGGGCTCTGCCGATGATCGCATATGTTCTAGCACAATGTAAGTTGTACATCGGACTCGAATGATTGGTTCGTATGTGTACAGTGTGGCTTGCTCCGTAGAGCTGGGAGTCGGAGAAGCTGGAGGAGATCGGGGTCGTTGTACGATGTACTGTGTACTCACATGTGCGGTTCTGGTAACAGTGCGGATGTAGTGCCAGAGGCGGTCGGGGCTTTCGAGGGTGAGCTATTTCGGATAAGATCAGGTGTGGCCTGTACTCATCTAGACTGAAGTCTGAGACTTGTTCAGTGTATTGCAGAGCGCAACTTGGATGGGGTAGGATGAGGGTCCGATATCTTTGGCCAGTGGCATACTAGTAGACCGTAAGAACATTCGCAGTTACGTTGTACGTCTGTTTACTTAGAATCCGTTGAAGATTTGAAATGATTTTTGAATATCAAATGCTATGTAGTCCGGGAGAGATACATGACCATTGTCAGATCCTAGGCCGAAAGCAGCTTGTGAGAAATTTGATTGCTTTTGCTGCCATTTCCTGGCTTAAATCCCGTGATTGTGTGCTTCGCCCGATAGTGGGCGAATCCGAAAGAAACGTTTTCTCATAATCGTAAAGTCGTAGCGTTGATGGTTAGTTGCGTAAACAGGTTTTAGACCAATGCGGGCAAGGCCTTTGTACCGAGTTCGTGTACAATGCCGCCGGCGAAAAAGCTGAGCTCATCAGGTTCGATGTTGACGCGACCATCGGCCAGTCTGTCGAGCAGGAATGTTTCGATTGTCTTCAACAGAGCTTGATGGTGTGCCAAGTCCTGGGGCGACGAACGTGTATCGTTGTGGACACGGGCGTACTCTTCGACGCAAAGTGGGATCAACTCCTTTAGCTCGTCTTCAGCAAGGAGATTGCAGAAGGTTCCGATGACATGGCTGGAGACCAAGTCGAGGTACAATGTAGGTGCGCCTTCGGTGTCCATGAATTCGATGTCTTTGCCCAAGCGAATGTGATCGACTTGACCTCGAAGGTATGTTTGGTACTTTGGCGTAGCGATTCCACGCATCCCATTCATGTAAGCGACAAAGAGACTGCGATCCAGATCCACAGCGTCGCGTGAAAACTCCTCTGAATGATCGGTGGGCTTTTGAATCCCTCGGGGGCAATCCTCGAGTTGACTCGCCTTATCGAGGTCCATTTTGTCGAGATGGTCCAGAAGAGTCTGGGTACCGCTGGACTCCCGAGCGAGCATCATCATTTCATGACAAGTCATTTGGGATTCAGAAAGTTCATCATCCGAGACTTCAGCATTGTCGATGTACTGCACCTTAGGATCAAACCGCACGGAGTTCTCTTCGAAGGAGATGAAGGCATCGTCAAACGACTCAGTGTGGTCCTCGTGCGACTCAGGGACGTCTCCGTTTGTCGAATCCCAAACGGAGAAGTCAGATATGTCACCGTCGTCCTCTTCATCATATTCATCGGAAAGAGCATCGTACTCGGAACCGATGTCATCCGAGCTATAACCCGATTCCGATTCGGACTCTTCGTCGGATTCCATGGCGATGGTTGGATTTTTGAGGATAGATTTCAAGAACGGGCGCAAAGACGGCTTGGTAGTGGCGGTGGAAACATTGGGCTGCGCTGGGGTGCAGCCATTCGAGGTGACCGAGACTTCGTCCGAGCCATAGCAACTGTCGTGGGAGAAAGACATCTCGAGATTAGAGAAAGCAGATGATACGGAGCCCCACGAGCCCCGATGTGAGGTAGCGTTGCTCATTTGGGAGGCCATTGGGTTGTCGATGCTTTCAGCGGAGTGGCTTCTTCGATGTGAAAGTGAGACTGCCTGGAACGAGTTTTGCGCGCACCAGGCAAAGAAAAACTTGTGATTGGAAGAAATGTGTATGAAGAAGAGAGGGCGTTGCGAAGAGTTGAGAGGTGATCAGTGAGTCGGACGTGAAGAAAAGCAAGGGCGTCGAAAGCCTGCAAAAAACGGGGGAAAGTGCATAGTGCAGGCACACGGAAATCGTGTAGAAAGCTTAAGGAAACTGGTTCCCAGCAATCGATTGGCAAGACATGGTTCTCCGAGAATAAATTGCAGTTAGGTGTGGAAGTGTGGCTTTTTGCCAATCTGATATGAGAGACAAGAAGATGATCGGGTTAGGTTGTTGAAGGGATTCGAGATGAACTGTTTGTAGTCACGGATAAAACGGGAGCTAAGCGTCTTGTCGAGATGCATGTAGGGTACAAGATGATAGCAGAAGAGAAGTTGAAGAGTGGTAGTCGCGACGTGTGGTGTTCGCGCGATACGACGAAAACGGCGTTAGAGTGTTGCGACAATGATCAAAGTCACAAGGAACGTCGCGAATAGGTGTATCGCAGGGATGAAGTATGATGAGAGGGAACTCTCGGAGAGAGATGCGGAGAAGAGGAGAGAGACTGAATGGCCCACGTTCCGCGGGGTGTAGGCGAGGGGCAAGAAACCGGGTTGAGTCACGTCGATTTCGAGGAAAAGGCGACGATAGTGAAGCGCGAGTGGCGGGAAGGTCCGAGAAGAGTGAGACTGCGAATACGCAGCAGAAGGGTTGAAGAAGTCAAGGTCACTGCAAGTGTCCTGGAGAGAAGGAAAGAAAGAAAGAGTTGCCTCCCTTGGAAGAATGGTGGCACGGCAGTTCTCGTCATCTGACTCAGCTGAACCGAACTTTCCAGGGTTCCTCCCGAGACCAAATTAGGCGGCCATTCATTGTCTGAACTTGACAATAGATCAATAGATTCTTTTGTCTATTCACAAATTATCTATTCATGAACTATCCATTCACAAGGATGCCTGTCCTTTGTGCTTCAAATATCGGCCTTCTAGGGCGGACCTCGGCAGTACAATCTACGCCTCAACCAACGAGTGCTTTTAGGTGCCAGTGGTCACGCCTAACGGAATCAGTTGGGTCTGTTGTCCTGGGGGCGCACAATATTATTGAATGATTACGCAGCTTTAGAAGCACTGTTAACTGACTTATTGGGTACCTTTGTCCCTGATCGCACAGCCTTCGGGGCTCTGGTAAGATTCAAGACACTTATCGGGCCCTTGCAGCAACGCTGGAATAACGCTCCTTTCAGGCTGTTTCTTTCAGGATTTTGTTTGGGCCGACAGTCTGCTTACACTAGCGCTTTGGTCTCTGTTTGAAAAAAGAAATACACAGTACAAGCAAATTGCATAACTAACTAGCAGCTTGCAGACCTACAAAGATACCTAGGCTGATCTAAAGCGCATCGGGTGAATCTCGGTTATATTGAATTTGGCCTTCAATAGACCCGGTTCCTTCAATCCAGGGCATCAAAAGACATTAATGGTTCTAAGCCATCCAGCCTGCAGTTTCGAATGGGACAACGAGGTTTGACTGTGGTTGGGTATTGATTCGTTCGTGCAGTCTCAACCCAAACTTGGCATCATACACGCACATGATGCCAAGCCACCTTCTAAGGACAGAAGAACAAGGAAGGTTGAAAAGCCATACACCAATGCACCTGTAGCCTACTACAGCCCTGGCGATTATTGTTTGATTCACACAGGTTTAGACGCAGTTGGTGGATGACGTCATTCGACAAGAAAACCAGCAGCTCCGGTTATATGCCCTGCGATTTGGCAACTACATGACTCCTAGAGTATCTCAAAAGGGGAGAGGCGTCAGGTCTTCGCCCCGGTCGAGGGAAAGGCCTGTCTTTTGCTGCATTTGAACAAGAGCTTATCTTGACCAACTGTGTCTTTTGATCATGCAGTCCAAATATAGAACATGGGGGTTGATTCAATCCCCCTAATCAAGGGTGTTGGAGGATGATCTCCTGCAGGTCGAGTTCTCCGACCAGGGGTGCTGAGGCTTACTGCGGAGATCTGACCTTCTCGAATACCTTAACTCCTTCTGTGCATTGTTCGAGCGGGCGTGACATTCCGCCCAACCTCTTCATTCCAGTCCACATTCCGCAACTCATATCATTGATTGCACATTGGCCAATCAACAACATTATCCCCACCTCAATTGGTTCGCCTGATTGGATAACTTTGAAAGAAGCAAATGAAAGAAAGTACTGTGTGCTAGACAGAGGATACTGTGGATCATACCATCACCCAAGTTACGTCCTCTTCGTATGGCTGATGATCGGAATATTGCTAGCATGACGTTTACACTGCGAGTAAAAGCTTGACAGGCGATGGTCCTCTTGAACCAATTGCTTGATGGTTCCTTGGCCAAAATGAACGGCTCGAGAGCGTTCCGACCCATTTCCACTTTCCCAGCAGTCTTGCTCCTGGGAGTTGTGTTGATCTTCAGAAGAAAGGTATCAAGCCGACATGCCTGAGTCCTCCTCCCCCGGGACCCGCAACGCTAGCTCATCCAAGGACTGCTCCACCCAGGCACTGCTTCTGGCTTAGTGATGGAGGGTTGCATTCCCCCGGGTGGCTATCCGGAGCGAACCCTCATTGCGGCCTCACAAAGATTGATAGCTCCACTGAGGGTTATGATTCCCCAGGCTACTATTGGCTCAGGGAGTCCTGAATCATTCCTCTGGGGGGTTGGTGGAGTGGGCCAGGACCAACCGGGCCCCTCGTAGCACATTCCTGTCCATCTTTAGAGTGCTTGGAATGTGTCGTGAAATTATGAGGCTGGTGTCCCCGGCAGCCATTCAAATACGCCTTGCATCTGTTTGTTTGCTTTGCTTTCTTTGCATCATCTGCAGTGTTTTCTTTGATTGACAAACTATCAAACATCGAAACACTCACTCATCTTTTTGCATCCTTTGCACTGTTCGGATATCCGGGTCGATCCCCCGAACTATTCCAATTCTTACCAAGATCTATCCGAGACTCAAATCTCCGGTTGTCCAATCAGACTCGGTCTTTGAACCTTTAGTCGCTGACTACACCACCTTCGCTCCGCTTCTTTACTTCCAATTGTAGCCGCAAACGGAAATCCGACAAGATGTTCGCCCAACAGTACGATCATTCATTCAATGACTTGTTCAACCAGTACGTCAACGTGGACACCTCAGCCGCCGATACCGACAAAGATTTGGTATTCTCCGGCGACTTTGATCAGCTCTTCCCGCTTGACTCGCTATCGAGTGAATGTGGCGATATTTCACCTATTGTCTCCACTTCTAAACGCCATCAATCACCCCAACCCTGGACCAATGAGTGGTCCCTGCTTGATGACGGCGCTGCTGCCGATCATCTTGATTTCCATGACACCGTCCACCCTTCTGCCATCTCAGAACCTGGCCTGAACAACTTCGAAGTCTCCCCTCGTCCTACAACTCGTCCGTCCGCATCACCATCAACCCCTCCAGCTACCCCCAGACGCAAGCCTGCCCAGAGCGCCCTTCTCACTCCCAAGTCTATCCGCCACCGCAGCCCGAATGAGCGCCGCTCTCATTCGTCGAAGCAAGGTTACTCTCCCAGCCTAATGCGCTCTTCCAACCTTTCTAAGGGAATCATGGCATATCCCGAGGCTTGGGCGCAGGGAATGCAGCAGAACTACAATCTTCACAACTCCGAAGATCGTCTGCCACTGTCACCTCCCCCGTCAGATGTCATTTGCAAGCATGAGAACATGCCTACCGAACAAATCATGAACCGACCTAGGGACTCCGCAGAAATGCCTCAGTACGACGCAAGACTATTCCAAGAATCTCCCTCTATTCCAATGCCATCACCAAACTCCGCAATGGCAGCACGGCACCAACAATACAATGGCCTCCCCAACTCTTCCGCCTTGACCAATTCCAGCCCTTCTTCCGCAGATGATATCTTCTCTTCATCACACTCATCTGATCCCCAATCTCTTTCCTCTTGGCAGTCCGACCCTCTCCATGCTTCGTCTCTCACCTTTACTCCTGATCTCCAGGGCCAAGATGCCCAGTGGTGGTCCCCCATGCCTTCTCGCGTCGCTCAACAGCAAGCAGCTTACCTCGCATCTCCCACACCTGTCCGCCATGTGCAGCACGTTGGGAACCAAAATGAGATGATGCAAGGTGGACTCATGATCCAATTCAACCCCTCCTATGATATGTCCGCCGAGCACTCATTCCAACCCACCCACATGCTCCCCACCAACCAAAAATTCGACACCTCCTTCACCCCCTCTCAAGTCCACAATACCTCCCGTTCTTCATCTATTTCTCCCAAAGCTGGCGCATCACCCAAGGATATCCGAAATGGATCCATCTCTAAATCCACCCATCGCCGCACTCACAGCCGCAAACTCTCCGGCAACAGTATGAACGGCCCCAAGCCTGTAAAGGCATCTGACTCATCGCCACGAGGCGCAAATAAGTCTGTCAGCGTATCGTTTGTCAACTTTACCGCCCATGACAGCAAGAAGATTCTGACCGGAGTTGCTCCCTCCGGCAGCTCTAAGACCAAGGCTCGCCGCGAACAAGAAGCCCGGGATCGACGTCGCAAGCTGAGCGAGGCCGCATTGAGGGCTGTGCGCAGTGCTGGTGGTGACGTTGAAGCTCTCGAAGCTGTTCTGTGCTGATTTTTATCTCGTTTTCTCTGGTCATTCTGCCTGTATTCTTTGCTCTTTATTCCTGTTCTTTTCAGCCGGTGTTTATGGTTATATCATTGGGAATATCTTTGTTTTCGGTGTTTGCGGTTTTGCTTTCATGCTTGGGCGACGGGTTATCTTACACCCTCAAAAATGTTAGACGTTTCTAATATTTAGACTCTTATGTTGATACTCTAATCTCATAATATTGTGTGACTATAGTCTATATGGCTCCCGCTGTAGTTGTATCTTCTTTTCTTCTTGCTCTCGCGGTTTCAAGAGATCTATCTTTGTTGCTGAACTAGTATGCTCGATCGTCTCCTCAGCAATACTGCTTACCTTCATTACTGAGGTTCTGGGCCTTGGCCTGGCTTCCTTTTCCGATTCTATAGCTCGATTCCTATATAGCCCATGCATAAAGGATCGATACTGAAGTGTCCGCCTCCCATATGAGCCATATCTATCTTGCGCTAGCCCCATCCAGCATAATCATCTATCACGGATACCGCCCTGAAGACTGGAAGTCCACCGGTCAGGAGCGACTCAGGTCATATGATCTTACATAGTAGTGTACATACTGCCACCCTCTCTCGAAACATCAAACAAGTCTCGTGCTCGCTCACCAGCTCCCACCGCCAGGGCCAAACAATAAATACTCCATCGATGACTTGTCCTCCTCCAACTTCTTCTTCCTCTTTCACAAACTCGACATCAACCAAATTGTGAGTATCTACCCTCCTTCTGCTTTACGAATCCACCCTTTGCCTATCATCATCATCTCTCTCCCCTATATCTACTTGCTATTATGCTTCATGCTGGCAAATGAGTCCCTCACATGCATTTACCTTCCCTATTCCTCACTTTACATTAATTCATGTCTCGCCCTCACTTCATGACCTCTGATCACTTCATCATACTCTCACTTTGGACTCGAGACCTCGACCTATACGTCCGATCTTACTTGTTCTCTCACTCTCTCATCCTTTCGCAAAGTCACGTGACTTGCTTGCCCTTCTATCTCTGCTTCTTCCACCTAACCTATACCCCAATCTGGCACTGTTGTTTGTTGCTTTGCTACTTCTTCTCACAAACCCTTGACTTCCAACTCTCTTTCTTTCATATCATGATATCCCTCTTCCACAAACGCTGTCCTGTTCTTCTTGCACTGGATTTTCCATTCTGTGCTTTTCATCATTACGATTTACGTCTATCTATACACAGTACATCTCTATTGCATCGTCCCCAATCCCTATCTATGCCCCTATTGCTATTGCCATCCTTGATATCATATCCCTTTGACTGTGGGCTGAGCCAGTTTCTCAGTGCCCTACGTGACATGCATTTCACATTGTTCTCGTGCATTTACACTTGCCCTCATACGTCCCAACAATTCAATGGTTCAGCATTACTGATAGGTGATTACAGTTTCAATCAGCCATCTTTGACTGTTTCTTTTCTGCACGACCTTTCCATTCCAATTTTTTCTCTCGGTGGGCAAGACACGCTTGCCCGTTTTCGAGCTCCTGCCTCTCCTCGGTTCAGCGTTGCTTCCTTCCCTCAATCGTATCTTCCGATTGAGATCATCGTTACGTCCCTTCCTGCAGGAGGCCCAGAGCTCACTGCATTTCCTCGCACTTCCTTCTTTCCGATTACATCCTCTTCTCTTCCCACTTTTACCAAAATGGTTGGTCGTGAACACGCTAGTTTGCCCATTCGAGAAGGTCGTGGCGGCGGTGATCGTGGTAGCTCCCGAGGTCGCGGTGATGGTCGTGGCCGTGGTGATGGTCGCGGTCGTGGCGATCGGGGTGGCCGTGGTGCTTCTTCCACGCCTAATCTGCCGACTAGGTAAGTTGACTGTGCTAAATCGGAAGTTAGCTCTATCTAATGTGCACACAGAATGATTACCGACAATACAGATCAGCCTGACGAAAACGTTCATAAAGCTGAGGATGACTACATTGTCGCATCTGCTCAAGTTCGCCCTGAACCTGGACGTCTGGCTAGACGGCCCGGTTATGGACAATTAGGCAAGCAGGTTATCCTTAGGGCCAATTTTTTCCCCTTGCAATTCAAGCCAGGGATTGTTTTTCATTCTTACCGGCTCAAGGTCAGCCCCGACAATGCCAAAAAAGGACAGCAGAAGTTTATCATTGAGTCTCTGATGCGCAAATACCGTGCGTTCGAGGGTATCGGTGCGGCAACGGATGGCGCCACTGAAATTGTCACAACCCAGCTACTCGCTGAGGATCGAAAGCCATTCACCTGCACGATGGGAACCGGAGGTGGGACTGGTAGTGGAGGAACTTCCAGGGTCTACACTGGTCCTTGGGAAGTCACTCTGAAGCATGACAGCTCTTTCTCTCCACACCATATGCTGGCTCTTCTTAAGGACAAAAATCACGGAGAAGAGCTCCCGGACGAAGCTCATTGTCTTCGTCAGCTCAACATCCTCATGAGTGCTTTTCCTTCCGAGAGTAGTGACATCTCTGTCATCGGCAGGGGACGAAACAAATTCTTCCGAATGGGGTCTGGAAAACAGGCTAAGGACATGAAGGGTGGCATTGAAGCTGTCCGTGGCTATTACTCAAGTGTTCGACTTGGCGCTTCCCGAATCATGCTGAACCTGAATGTCAGCCACGGGGCGTTTTACCAACAAGGTTCGCTCGTCGATTTCATTGTTGCGTTCGTGGCGTTGCACGGAAGGAATCGAGAGCTCCTCAACCGATATCTGAAGGGTGTTAAGGTCTACGCCACGCACCTGGAAAAGCGAGAGAACGGATCCGGAAACTTGGAGTACCCTGTGAAGTCTATTCTCGGAGTTGCCACTCCTGCGGATGGACAGGGCAAGAACAGTCCTTATAAGGACCATCCTCCAAAGGTTTTGCACGTTGCATCTTCTCCTGACAATGTCCTGTTCTGGTATGAACAAGATAGAAAACCGGGCTACATAAGTGTGACCCAATATTTTGACAAGAGTATGATTGCTGGCTATTCGTTGATAGTGTATGTACGATTTGCTAACGAGGAGCAACAGGCTACAATACCAAGCTCAAATATCACGACAACATACCAGTTGTCAACGTTGGGACTCGTGATCGTCCCACCTACCTTCCGGCGGAGGTTCTGAAGATCCTTCCAGGCCAAGGATTTGGTGGAGAGCCAGATATAACACAACGGCAAAATATGATCCAATTCAGTTGCCGGCGGCCTCCTCAGAACTATGATTCAATCATCACCGAGGGATTGAACATCATGGGACTTGGTGGCGGAGAGACCAAGAGGGTGGGAATCAAGATTCCCTCGAATGCCATGATCACGGTTCATGGGCGCACCTTGCCTTCCCCTGAACTGAACTATGGCAATCGCTACAAGACTAGACCCAATTATGGTGGGTGGAATTTGATCAGAGTCAAGTTTTCTCACTGCGCCACCATTGGCGATTGGGCTTGTCTTCTGCTTCGCAAACCAGGCGCCCCTGTGATCATCGATAAACCAAAGCCTAGGATGGACGCTTTTGCTAACAATCTGAGGAACCATGGTCTCGCGGTCGGAAGTTGCAAGGAATACCTTCAGCTCGATCTTTATGGATGGGAGCGATCAGAGGGGGAAGAGAAAAACAGACAGAATTTGGATGAAGTATTCAAGAAGCTGATCCGGTATCCCTTTGTGGTCGTGCTGCTTGCCGACACAGACGGCAAGACTTTCGATTACATCAAGTATATGGGTGATATCAAGTCCGGTGTCCTTACGCACTGCATGCAAGCGTCCAAGTTCCGTAACGAGCAACCCGATCAGCAATACATGAGCAATAATGCTATGAAGGTCAATCTTAAGCTGGGAGGACGCAATCAAGTCCTAAATCCAGACTGTGCACACTTCGTCGGACTCGGGAGGACCATGGTGGTTGGCTTGGATGTCACGCATCCATCAGGCTCTGATCCTGAGTCATTCCCCAGCGTTGCTGCAATTGTCGCCGCAATTGATCAACACATGAGTCAATGGCCTGGAGAGGTTCGAGGCCAGACACGCCGCCAAGAACGAGTGGAGTACCTGAGGGAGATGATGGAGGGTCGCCTAGCTTTATGGATGAAGCAGAACAAGGGCAATCCGCCTGAGAACATTCTTATCTACCGTGACGGAGTCAGCGAGGGCCAGTATGCCATGGTCCTAAAGGAGGAACTTCCGAAGATACAGGAGGCAGCTCACAGAATGTACCCGAAAGGAGGCCAGCAGCCGAGCATCACGATTGTTGTCTGTGGAAAACGTCACAATGTGCGCTTCTACCCTACGAAGGCCGAAGAACAGGACAGAACGAGCAACCCCATGAATGGATGTGTCGTTGACCGCGGAGTCACCCGACCTATCTATTGGGACTTCTACTTGCAAGCCCAGTGTCCTCTTCAAGGTTCGGCTAGACCCGCTCACTACATCGTCATCCACGACGAGATCTTTACGAACAAGAAGCTCAAGTTAAGCTCCCACCCACGAGCGCCAGCCGACTTAGTGCAGGAACTTACCCACAACATCTGTTACATGATGGGCCGGGCTACTCGCTCGATCAGTTACTGCACGCCTGCCTTCTTGGCTGACAAGTTCTGTGATCGTGCCCGGAAGTATCTATTGGCTTATTACCATAAGCATCCGGGCATTAAGGAAGGCGACGTGCTCCCTCGGGAAGTCCTGGCACTGTCGAACAAGTGTCTGAACAAGATGGTCTACATCTAAGTTCTTCATTATCATTTGAGCATTGAAGTCCCTCGGAACCTGGAAGATGATACGCTGCTGTGTTCCTTTATTCATTCATATCCTAGGTATTTTATCTACGGGGTTTCATGGTTCCAACGATTTGCTTATGCTGAGCGTATTCAAGGTGGCTCATGCTGGCCTGGAGGCTTAAGAGAAAGAACTTTACCTAGTTACTATAGGTAACTATGTCTGACCAGGAACCTTAACTTAAGTATGAAGTGAGATACTTCTAGGTAGGCGTATCGTAAAAGACATTCCAGCCCCGGCAGAAACTCATGTGGCACACTGGCCGTTGAACTGTCGTAGCTGGACACAGAAGATACAAAAAAACCAAGGTATAATATGCATGTACCATTTTATATGGCTTAGATTATTTGGAGGGAGATTCTTCCGTCCACGCTTCCCCACAAAGCAGGATGATGTTCACCACATCACCTCCCGAAAAAGTCAAGCAGAGGCTCTTGTCAGCTTTCACCGCTTCGAAGAGGGATCCCACGCTTTAGGTTGCCACTCCTCGCCCGGTCCAGCAGCATCCGCCTTAGCCCATGGATTTTCTTTCGGCGCCTGCGGTTGTGCAGGTGTTGCCTCCGGCACTGCGGTGGCAGATGCCGGTGCTTGTTGTGTGGAAACAGGGTCAGCGGACCGCGGGTTTAACGTCGCGTCACTGACTTGCGTTGGTGGTACCGTTTGTTGGGTCTTGGGTTGATCGAGGTAGGAGGCCTTGCTCGCCCAGCGCTCATCGGCGAGTCGGGCAAGCTGTTTGATTTGCGCCTGGCGGACGAGATCCTGTTTCTGCTCTTCGATGCTTGGGGGGTGTTGTCGGACGTGTCGTAGCCATTGGTGCCATTGTGCTGTATTTAGATTAACAAGTTAGTCCATGTTGATCGGTCTCAGATCGGTATTGGAACAGGCCTGCGGTTCATCTGGGACGAGCCTGCATCTTGCCTGCATGCGACAGAACTCACGTGTTACTTGGACATCACTGAAGTGCGTTTTGGGGTCGAATCGGACAATGCGACGCAATCGTGATGAGTTCAGCACGTCTTTGAATTCCCAGAAGGTATTCCCCCGAAGGTCCTGACCTGTGAAGAGGTGGCGGTTAGCGGGATTGAGGCTCCATGCGTGAGAAAAGGATCAGATACGAACCGACTAGAAAGGACTTTCGCCAGGGTAGACGAAGCTTTTTCCATTTGAACCATAGACTGTTGACCATTTTGGGGGTGGCTGTGCAGAGAAGAAGATTGGAGGTCAAAAAGATTGAGGCGGATCAGGAACGTCATAGTCATCGATAAGCAGCCCAGACATTCCACTCCTTTTCTTCATCTCTCTTGTTTACTCCCTTTTTCTTCCTCAATTTTACACACTGGAAACCCTCTATACTTTGAACTGGAGACTCATTTTCTAATCCTTGTTATTTCCAATTGCATTACGGGACATCCTCCTCTTCTCCTCTGCTACCCAATACCCGCCACCGCGTTAGGGCCGATTAGGCACCGGCAAAAGGGATACATAGCCCTCAAGGGACACTAACAGTCCGACTTTCCCTCCCCCAACAACCTCTGATCGATCATCGATCATTCGATATTCACCATGGCTTCAGTGACTTCGTTGGACAAGGACTTGCGTAACATGCGCCTGTCCCGCTATACCCCGCAGGCGGCCGCGGAGGTACGCGACTGGATTGAGGAAGTGCTGCATGAGAAACTGGCATCGCCAGATTTGCTCGAAGGCTTGAAAGATGGAATCGCTCTTTGCAAGTGAGTCTTAAGTCAAAAAGAAAAGCGCTTCTTGCATTATTCAGATCTGGACTGTGGCTGACCACTTTATCCACAAGGCTGATAAATCTCGCCGTGTCGCCGGGCGTGAAGTATAAACAATTATCGGCGCCATTTGTACAGATGGAGAATATCTCGCATTTCTTACGCGCATGCCAATTGCCGCCACTCAACCTTCCCCCACACGATGTCTTTCTGACGGTCGATCTTTACGAAGCAAAGGATCCCGCGCAAGTTCTGCAGTGTTTGGCAGCGTTCAGTCGACGGGCCAATGCACTCGCGCCTAACAAGTTCCCTCGTACTGTTGGACCGCAAAGTAAGCGCGGCGGACTCAGTCCGAATGCGACGGGGTCTTCGAGCACGGGTGTGCACAGCCCGCGATCAAATCGCTCCTCTAGCAACGTCGGTGGCGCGAGACCCACCCTCCCCTCGCGATCCGGCAGCCCGACCAAACCTTCCGGCTCATACAGTACTTGGGCAAAGAAGGGCGATGAACAGGATACCACGCCCGCTTGGAACATTCACCAGTATGGCTACATTGGTGGAGCAAGCCAAGGCAATCAGGGGATTGCATTTGGCGCTCGTCGACAGATCACTACTCCCGGGCCTGCCGTACCCAGTCTGGCTGAAAAGGAGAAGCGCAGGCGCGAGGAGGAAGAGCGGATCCGCCAAGAAAATGCAGAAAAGGAACAGGCAGAGCGTGCTCGCCAGCTGAAGATAGAGGAAGAGGAGGCCCAGGCTAAGGCGGAAGAAGAGCGCCGATGGGAAGAAGAGACTGCCCGCGTAAGGGAGCAGGAACGGCTCAGGGTTGAAGCTGAGAAGAAGCGCTGGGACGAGGAAAAACGCCAGTGGGAAGAAGAAGAGCAGCGACGTCTAGCGGAAGAGAAAGAAGCGGAAGAGCGCTTGGAGCAGGAACGGCAAAAAAGACGAAGCATAGCCGACACTCGTCTCAATGGCCAGTTCCTGAGCCAGTACCAGGCATCCCACTCCCAGACAAGCGATGCCTCTGCGAGATCGGCCGAAGAAACGCCTGAAAGCCGCCGCATCAAAGAGCTGGAGCGCGAGCTACAGCTAGCAAAGGAGCGTGAGCAACAATACGAGAACGAACGCCTGGAAGCACAAGCTCGAAAGACCGGTCACCAGCCCGAGTCCCGCAGCCGGAGTCGCCCTCGCCCCGTGCCCCCCAAACCCAGCTACGATCTCTCCTCCCTCGAACAAGAACGACGACTCCTCCGCACAGAATGGCAAAACATGCAGGATATGCCATCTACATCCGAGGCCGAGGAACCCACCCCCACCTCCGAACAAGCACCACCACCACCTGCTCGACCCCTCCCCGAACCAAAGCCCGCATCTCTCTCCAAACAGCCCGCACTCCCACCCCGTGACCTCCCCGCCCCTCCCCGCCCCCTGCCCGACCCAGCAACCTACAGCGCAAACCGCCGCCAAAACCGCGTCGACGACTTCCTCTCCTCCAACCCAGCCCCCACAGCCCCAGCCCCCTCTACCCACCGCTTCCAAGACTACACCTCGACCGCCGAGGTGGACGCAGAGAACAGCCGCCGCGCCGCCTCACAGCAGAAAACCAAAGCCGGCGGCTGGGCGTCCAAGTCTCTGCTGGAACGCGAGATGGAGCGCGAGCGCGCGCGTCAGCAGGAGTGGGAGGAGAATCAGAAGCAGACGGCCGCTGCGGCTCGGGACAGTGCTGAGGGCTCTGGGCCTGGTCAGTCGTGGGATGTGCATCAGTATGGTTATATGGGTGGTGATAATCAGAATCGTGGTGGTGTTGGTTTGGGTGTTGGTGGTGCTAGGAGGCAGATTATTGGACCGAGGCCGCCGCCATAAATTGAATTTGTTTGTGAGATTTCAGTTTATTCCCTGGTTTTTGTGGTTATTTCTTCTATATCTCCCGTATCCGCATTGGAGTCGGAGAGAGCCATTGTCATTTTACTTGGTGACTTATTCGCTTATATGCGGTCTATGATTCCCGTTCGAGGCTATTGATTGATCACTTCCGATTTTGTATCGTCGTCGTACATAACAACACAACTATGATTGCATTCGTATGATATTGGAAGTTGAAAGCCGCTCAGGCTACAGTGGACAAAAGTGACCGTCAGCAACAACAAAAACATGGGGAAACGGCATTTCAACCAATCATGGTGGGTTCATGGCTTTATTTTGTGGAGCCCTGACCCCTGAACGACTGGTCCGAGCTTGTTTAGTGTAATCAATGCTCATGTGACGTGCCAAGTCTATGCTAAGATCCAACTAGGGTCGGGTTGTCCATAGCAAGAAGTACCACAGTACATGTAGGTATCATATCGCAGATATGGTGCATACACCAAGTAAAGCTCCATAAACTCCCCAGAAGTTGAACCTCGATCATCAAGTAACAAAGCCATCGTGAAGAACCATTCACCTACCCAACCCCCAACTCCCTCCAAAATACCTCAAGGTAAGATATGCTCAACCATAAACTTCAACCTAAACCCACTCTCCCTCAAATAATCCCACTCCACCGACTCCCTGTCCCGAGTCGCCTCCTCACGCCTCCCAATACCCGCCATTACAGCATTCCTCAACCCCTCCGAGACAGACAGCATTTTACTCTTATACAAGAGCGTCATCAGCGCCTCGAGCAAGATCGAGATCTTAGCATTGTTGCCGACACTTGGCGTCGCGGCCGCATAGGGCAGGAAGCATTCCTCCAGCTTGGACTGGGTGAGGCAGAGGGCGTCTGAGGTTGGGGCGGAGCTCTCGCGCATGACGTAGAGGAGGAGTTCGCATAGGGTCGAGTGGGCTTCTGGGCGGAAATGGGGGAGGGTTGAGGGGGTGACGAAGTGCTGGAAGATAGGGAGGGGGAGGTCGCGGATGTTTTCGACGAAGGTGTGGTAGAGGTCTGCGAGGGGGATGAAGTCTCGTGGGAGTTTTTCGGAGACGCGGCGGAGGATGCTGAGGAGTTGTTGGCGGAGGGCGAGGGAGGTGTAACCGCCCAGACTGGAAAGATCGGTGGTGTCTTGGGAGGTGGAGGAGGGTATTTCGTTCATCTCGAAGTCGTCGTCGGGGTCGGCCATTGCGTTGCGCGTTCCGCGTCGGGTACGCTTACTGCGTCTTGTTGGCCTGGAGGCGGAGTCTGAAGTTGCTTCGTCCTCGTCGGAATGATCTTGATAATCGCCATATTGGTCCAGATCGAGGTTGACCTCGCCTGCCCGCTTCTTGGTGTTTTGCGTATCCTCTTTGGAGGTTTTCAGTTCATCGGCGAAGACCTCTTTGAACTCGCCGAGACTTGATTTGCCGTTGGCGAAGATCGCCCGCATGATCCTGCGATTCCGTCCGTGTGTGGTGTTCGAGGTGATGTAGCGGAAGATCAAGCTTTCTCGGAAGATTTCTAGATCATCATCAATCGGCACCGGCGCCACCTTCGACGGTCTCCCCCTCCGAGGTTTGCTCTCCGTTGAGTCAACCCCCCGCCCGTTCTCCGTCTCCAAATTTCCGTATTTTTCTGACAATTCCGAATCCGACTTTTGATTCTCCCTAGCCTCTGTATATTTCCTCTCCCGCTCCTTCCAATCATCTTCAAGTACATTGCACATAAACTGCAGCCAGACCTGCCAGCGCTCCCACCGTGCCGGATGAAGCACCGAACAATTAAATGCCCAGCCAACAGCGTGCCAAAAGTCCTCTGCACGTGTCCACAGTGAAGAACCTTGATTGAACTTCGTGTTAAGAGGCCTAGTATCTGGATCGACAGGTTCAAAGGACGTAGGACTATCCTGCCGGCGCCTGCCCTGCCGCGAAGACTCAAAATGCGTAAAAGCAAAAGCGACATCAAACTTCGCATCCATGGGGCTGACGAGTGAGTTCGTAAGTCGAAGGAATCGCAATGCTGCACTGGCTGCTTCTTTCTCGTACCCAGACTGGGCGCGCGTCGTCGTTTTCGGGTGCACCAGCATCGTGGCTGCGACGGCCAGATTCTGTGGTAGTGGTATCACTGCTTTGGAAGACGAGATCGTTCCTGATGCTAGGACATTATATAGTAGAGTGTAGGCTTGCGGATCTGGTCGAGAAGAAACATTTTAGTAGCTGCGTCTTTGGTTTCCGTTTCGCGTCAGGAAACACGGGGAGAAAGAAACATACAAAGTCCATCTTCGAGGAAGATCTCGCTCTGTCGGGTCAGCTCCCATTGGAGCGGTACTGGTGTTCGATATGACATTACGTCCACTGTCGCCATGGCTAAAGGGGAGGGGGGTTGTTGCTGGTGAAGTACTCGAGAAGAAACATTCTGAGCTGTCAAATCACGCGCTTATCGATAAGGAGTCGCGAGTCTTTCGCGTCGTGTTTGTCCGGCAGAATCCGGGGAGCAACATCGGAACTGTTTGACGTCGAAACATTTCAAAGTAGACAAGAGAGATACCGATGTACTATAGTAACATAATATTAATAGCCAGCAGAGTAATACTAGCATATCTCGATAATTGGATTCCAAAAATTTAAAAGATCGACATTCTTTGTTCCAAGGGCGGAAATAAAGGCGGTGGAAAGTGTACGTACGGACAATGAAGTTGGTTGTTCTCGCTATGAGAAGCTTCATATTGGAGGATATAGATATCTTCTATATAGTCGGAAGCTATAGACGTATGTAAATACTCATAATAACTCATCAGCTTGACCTAATTTCAATTACTCTTTACATGAATTGTACTGGAAGGTTGTTTTGCAATGAACCAGATGCTACCTATTTGATCTACATTGTTTTGGTATTGCATGTTGACCACTACTATTCATGTAGTCTAACCTCCAGAAGATTGTCGGTTATAACATCTATCTAGGTCTGACTCATAAGTACTTCACTGTACTTGAGCTCCAAGGTGATCGGTCCTAATCCCGCTCTGGCCTCCAATGATGCAATAGATCGCCCGCATGGGCCCCAGCCAAGAGATTGACTTGCATCGATCAAAGCCCTACGTAGAACACGCATAATCTTACCTCTAGATGCACGAATTACAGTTCTCCCCAACCCTAGCATCATATGGCCCCAAATGTCCAAATGAAAGGGCAGATATCCGACAGCGAGATGTATGTCGAAAGAAATCCAAGGCCTGGATACTTGACAATCTATACAAGAAGCTGCCCAGGTAGACGAAGGGATCGGAATTTAGACTGGGTTGCAGGGACTTCTGCGTCTTGATATTTGTCAACGAAAAAAAGAAGAGAAACAGCATGTGCGATAGCTAACAAAAGTCAGACTCTCCGTGTAATAAATTCCGCAATGCAAAGCCTTTTATGGAGAAAAGGAGGGAAGAACGAGGAAGCTCGAAAAATCAAGAAGGCTGTGTAGACGCCAACATGGCAACTGGAGAAAATGAAAGGAAGAATTAGGTTGAGGGCCACTATGACTCCTCTGGTATATCGGAGAAGAGACCTATTCGCAAGCGATGCGACTGCAGGAGAACGGAGAAGTTAGCAAATGAACTTAACCAAGTCGGGTGTCGTAGGAGAACATACGAATGGTAGCTTGGGAATGACCACCGCCAATGTGGCCAAGAAATTGATAGTGAAATGAGTCAGGTCGAAGTGGGTGTAATGAGTGCTGAGGAGGAAGAGCACGATAGGCACGCAGAGCAAGAATTTCTTCGCGGGTGTGTACTGGTCGCCGTTGTCGATTTGCTCCCACATGTTGAGATTATCGTAGGCACCAGCGTTGAACTCGAACGGGATGCCCCGCACCCAGTGGAACATGAGGAAGGATCCGAACATGTAGCTGATGTTGGTGAGAGTCCACGAGGTTTCCTGCGAGACGCCCGGGATGATGTCGTAGAAGATCTTGAGAACGGCGATACACACGAAGTGGATAGTCCAGGCACCTACAAACAACACAAAATGTCACAGATCAGTCTTCGGGGTTCATCTTGTGATGCGTGGTCTCTTAGCAGCTTTTTGGTTACTCACCCTTGGAATTGACCCAGTTTGCATTCAAATTCGGCAATGCAGCCTGATCACTCGTACGCTCGATAGATTCAGCAGGCTCCTGGTAGATAAGACTGCTGGATCTCCTCCGTCGACCTTGTTTTTGGGTCATGTTTGGAGATAGTCGCTGCGGCCCTGTGTCAACATCCGGAGGGAAGGAGATGCCACGGGGGGCCAGCAAAGAAGACGTTTTGGAATTGTCGGGCGCCAGCTTGACGGTGGGGGATTCTAGTAGAGGAAAAAGGAATAAGTTGGAGGATAAGGAGAAGAGAAGAAAAGGAGCGTGGGGATGAGGTGGCACGGCCCAGACTGGAGTTTGCCGGTCGGATCGGCTTGCGGTCACGGGGTGTGGAAGAGCTCCGTGATTTACCTTGGGGCTTGGACATTTTCTCTTCTCTTCTACTTATGTTCCCTGGTAAGCTAAGGAATTTGAGCTATAATTAGATCGCTTGTCTTAGCTATATTTCATATCTTTTACATTGAACCAATTCAAGGCAAATGCACAATGATGATGTGCAGTGATCTAGCATCGAGGCCAAGTGGGAAGCCATAAGTCCATAACTCTACGTAGTAAGGGGGAATGTAGATTGCTGAAAATCTCCATTATTGACTGTCATGTATTTGTTATTTGCAGCTATTTATTTTGCATCTTCTGATGATCAACTATTGGTTTTGACTTGTTGACATTCTCTAGATTTAGAATATGGCAATCTGAGACCATGGACGCTAGAGACAACTCCAGCTGCCCTCGAGTAAACCGGTTACCGGTCACAGCGATCTTGCTCACTTATGACTCTCAAACGAAGACTGTCATTCGCCTCTCTTCTAGATGGAACAATCATGCAGTACTGAGTACTTGTCCGTCCAGCCTTAGGGCAGTGAATTGACGTAACGGCGAAAGACACGAAGGCAAGGCATCTGTTGAATCCCTCCGACCCGTTGAGCATAAGATCTCGGAGAAGCGATGTATATGGCTTCAAGTGCCACCTATATTATCGCTTTATGTCCTATGCAGATATCAACAACATCCGGATTCGTGATAGGGAGAGAATTTCTCAGTATCCCAACCATTCGGTGTGTGAGTTCAGTCCATTTCACGCATCAGCTCGATGAATCTTCGAGTATGGATGATGGCAAGCAAGACGAACATAAGCCACTTTACAGCCGTAGGAGTTTTGCCCAATTCCCGACACAATAGCGCTCTAGACCTAGCGCGGACGGATAATAAACGGGTTGACATCACTTCATTGGCGTCCTTGCCAATGAAATTAGGGTCTGTTTCTATCCGAGATGAGTACCAGGTCATGAGACTCTATGTGAGACTTACTCCCAAAGGCTTTGGCAGCGCTAGACAAGCAGCCGGATGTGAACTCATGACACCGTATACGTATATCATCATGATCTTGCTTGAGTGTTCTCCAAAGGCCACTTGGAAGTGCTATGCGACGGTGATACTGGTCGATCACAAGTGAGTGATCCAGAAAACAGTGTTACCTTTGCACGTCCAGCGGCAGGCGAACGCATTTCCAGTGAGATTCCCATCGATCGTCACCCTGGTGTAGAAGCTCCCGGTCTTGTCCGTGCTTGCCGGTAGGTATTGTTCTCACAGTCTTCGTACACTCAGAGAACATTAGAGAACGTGTCTGGAAACAAAGTGCATACTTCTTCACCTGGCCGAGTTGACTACTCCCCCTTGTCCCATAGTTTTCGTTGAAGAAAACGCGCGGCGTCGAGCCGTCGACCAACATGTCGTCCGTAGTGTTAACTTGCTCCCCAGTGGGATTATGTAGAACAGTGACGCCATGCTGAAGATGCTTTTACTTTTAGTTCCGAGTGGCTTGACTGGCTTCAATTAATGTCAAGTGAGGTCTTGGATCAAATCTAACTTATCGGGGCTTGGGGCTTTTCAAGAGGGAAGTCTGATGATGAGGGATCGTGGAAACCCTCCATTGCATTTGTGCAGTGGAAGAACAAGTGACTATGTGATGGTAGCTTCAACTTCAACTGTTTCTTGATCATGTAGCAATGATCATAATAGCAATGATAACAGTAAACAGAGAATAAATAGACTACAGTCAGATCTGCATGAGAGATCCGAGAATGTTTGTTCTATGGCGGCGTATACCCCACTCTTGGCGCATCTTACCGCCTCTGATACGTAGCGGCGTAGGGCGGTATATATCGCGGTGAATAGCCTCGAAACTCAAAATGGCGGAAGTGGTCGATATAGCCTACCGTGAAATTTCTGGGGATCCAAACTCAACATTGATCTCTCCAGAGTCTACCCACAGTCCACCGTTCTTCGTTTCTCCTGATTATTATTGCCCATCATTAGCCAATTGTCCCAATCTCATCGAATCCAATCGAATACCAAGATGGCCAATACCTCGGATGAAGAGGCTGATTCGCGCACGGCTCTGGTGGGCGCACCGCGCCCTCGGCCAAAGGCGCGTTCCACGTCGCGTTCCACATCGCATGACAGCAACTCGCGCCCTAGCAAAAGACAACGGAGATACAGGAATAAGGAGTCAGACCTAGCAGACTTTGTACCCCGGGGTGGTGCTTTTACCGCCAATTCCTTGCCCGTGGACCCAGAGAGCACCTCAAGCTCCGGGTCTAGTTCAAGCTCAAATGAGTCTTCTGACTCCGATGATGACTCCGATCCTGCCGCCGCAAACCCTCACGCTGGAAACACCGCGCCTGCTATTAGTTGGAATCAGGGTCGGAAAGCCGCAGTGCGGACAACACTGGGAAAGCGATCGATGCCAACAAAGGAGGAGGTTCCAACAAAGCAGAACACCGCGCAATTTGAAGCCGTCAATGACCGATATTGGCGCAGCCGCAGCGGGTCTGCATCTTCGGCCGATGGTGGAGACAAGCCCTCAGCAAAGGAGCCTTCGCAAGAAAATGAATTAGAAGAAGGAGAGGTTGACTCCAGGAGTGAATCAGACTATTCAGACTCCCTTGGTTCTGAAGCCGATGACTCCATATTGTTGAATATTGGAGAAAAGATAGACATGGATGGTGCGAATGACTACAATCCTGCCGATCTGGCCCAACAGCATCGGATCGACAATACAGTCTCACAAGCGACAGGCTCGGGATTGAAAGAGGAGGCATTCCGAATTTTCTCGATCAAGTACCCCAACGCACCCACCGCTTTGGTGGACCTCACTCAGGAAGACCTGGAAATATTGGCCAAATATGTGTACTTCAACCGCAATATCCATGATCTCGACCTCAAGCTTCCCATCACCTGTATTGAATGTCACAGTGAGGGTCATCTGGCCGATGTCTGCCCTGCAAAGGAGGTATGTTCTAACCTTGCATCCGCTCAATTCCATATCGCTAACCTCCTGCCGTAAAGTGTACACACTGTGGTGCCTGGAATGAGCACCAGAGCAGTGTCTGCCCTAGCTGGCGACAATGCCCACGATGTCTAGAACGAGGCCATGACGAGCCGAGTTGCACCTCAAAGCTCCGCGAAATCCCAGGGGATCAGCCCTGTGGCAACTGCAACCGCAGCGGCAATCACCTCGAAAGCCAGTGCCCCTCGCTATGGACGTTCCCAATCAGGGACCTGCCTTCCGATCAAATCACAGTATCGATATCCTGTGCAGAGTGCGGCAGCTCAAAACACTTGGTAGGAGACTGCGATAAAGAGCATCCAGCATTCCAGTCGTCCTCAAAAGCCTCATTTACATTGAACGGCATCGACCCGGAGATGATCACGAACCTCAATACACAGCAGGGTCCCAGCCGTCGCTCAAGTCCCCCGTATCGGGGAAGCTTCTCAAGAGGGGGTCGCTCGGGGTCGCTCGCTTCTCGTGTGAGCTCCCAACATCGTCGATTCAGATCGCAATCCCCAGACGACGAGGACATGATGTCTCGTGTGTCTCGCGGGCGAGGAAGGGACGGCCCTCCCCGCGGCAACACTTCTCGCGGCAACATCAGGTTTGCCAGTGACATTGGAGCTAACCGTGGTCGCGGAAATTTCTCCGGAAACAACAGTCGCCCCCGCTCACGCTCACCCCTTTCTTCGCGTGGTTCTTTCTCTGGAGGCAGCAATAACAATCGCGGTCGTAACCGTTCACCCGCGCCTCCACGTGGTGGTTGGAATGGAAACAACAATCGCAACCGCTCGCGCTCACCCCCGCGTGGACCCCCTTCGTCAAGAGGTGGAGGTCGACGAGGGTCCCAACGTGGAGGTCCTCCACGCGGACCGCGTGGCGGCGGCGGCGGTGGTAGGGGTCGAGGTAGAGGGTGGTGAGGAGGAGGGTGGTAAGGAGGAGATGAGTATTGTCCATGAATCATTGTCCATCTTGACGAACACTTATGTGCATAGTATTCAGCATTTGTTTGGCGTATCAATACGAGTATGATGAACCATTGTCCATCTTGATGAATACTTATGTCCATGGCAATTAGCGTTTGTTTTGCGTATTCCTTCTGTCCCAATTATGCATATACATCTGCGGCCTGAGATCCGGTACCTACAGCTCTAGATTCCTGAAACAATACTGAAATGATTCAGAGCAAATAATAACATCATTCCGCACTGGGTTCATTCTCCCTCGTACCCAAAAACCCCTCCTCGAGAATACCAACCAAGTCATCCAGCTGCGAAATGCAAAGATCCGTGTGCAAATGTTCCTTCAAGTGCACGTTCTTCTCATTCAAAAGCAGTACCGTCGCAGCACCGGCCATATGCCCAGCAGTCATATCATCAATACTATCACCCACCATGATCAAATTCTCCGCATTCGGAAGCCCCCACTCGCTCGCGATGTGCAGGATACCCGCGGGATCAGGCTTCGGCAGGACATTGGCAGTGTCTCGCGTGATAATGGGCAGGAAGACATGGCCATTGAGGTGGTTCTTGATCAAATTTTGCACCGGTGCTCTAGAAGACGGGTAGAAGTAGTGCGTTAGCATTGCGTCGATCACGTAGCCAATGTTACCTATCGAGTCGCATGGCTTTGTTCAAATGGCTCGTATAACGTACTCGAAGTTCCGTGTGCAGAGAGCCCGGCGCAGACCTCGGGACTCAAGGTAATCCATTAGTCGGAGGAGACCTGGCTGCGGCTGCTGGTCTATCATCGCTCGTCGCTCCACTGCTTGCACTTTGGAGACGGCTGCGGCGCGGTCACCTTCTGGGAGGCCGCGGATGTGCTCGAGGATGTCGATGGAGCGGTCAATGCCGAGTGCTTCTCTAGAGCGGAATGTTGGTTTTGCTTCATAGTGGGGTTGGGTCTTGGATCATCTCCGGAAGTTAGGGCATACCTCATCTCAGTGAACATGTGGTGCTGGGGCAGGCTAGTCAATGTCAGCGAGGCTCTGTCGAGTCTATATTCCTGGAAAACACGATGAACGCATCTATCTAGAAAAATCGACATGCTAGGCTCTGACACAGCGCACATTTGAACCCAAACACAAGATTTGCTTTCCCAAATAAGAAAGTGGTCAATATGTTCCTGCCTGAAAATCATGTTTATGCCTTAATGATCACGCTCCCACCAACCACGTGGATGCAATTGCCAACTCCCCAAGCCCGCTCATGCAATGCAAGATACTTTGTACAATCATGCCATTGCAATAACGTCGTTTATATCGTGCACAGAATTACTCGAAAACAAAGAAAATTGACTTACCACAAAGTTCCATCCACGTCAAACACAATCCCCTTCAATGGAGGGGCATCGGACGTCTTGGCAGAATTGAGCGGCGCAAACCTCCGCGGACGAAGGTGCTTGCAAGCTGCAGAAGACATGATGCGTTGCGCAGAGGACAAGCTTAGATTGTACATGAAAAGAGGAGGATGCGAGATGAGCTCAGAATGAGGTTCCAGGAGACGGGAAGGTACCACGGGTGCGGTAGTCGCCGAAGTGGAGCCTGGAGATTTAGATACTGGGCATACTAAGGAAAGGGCAGCCCTACATCCAGGTGGCTCCTTCCTCTTTTACTCACAGGTTTGTTTACATTCGCTCTTTCCTTCTTCAAAATGACAAAATACAAAATGCGTGACTCCATGCTGCTCCTCTCCATCTCCCCATCTCCCCATCTCTTCTCTTCAACCCACCATGGACAAAAGCTCCTCACCAGCTGCACCGGGGGCTTTCCCCATACCCCTGCTAAGGACGATCTGCCTAATTGTCAGGCTCATATACCTCCAGATCCTCTACTTAATCTCAAGCCTCGCACGACCATTCAGGAACACTCGTCGCCAATTTGCATCCTTCAATCAAGCCATTGTCCGCACAGAAACAAGCATCACGGCCGCCATCCTCGGCGCCCAGGCCTCAACCTACAACTCCATCACGGCAACAGGGCGCCAATGGCGCGTAACATCAGGCAATGGCATCATAAGCCAAGAGCATAACTTCCGCTCCATGAGGACCATAATTCAAAGCCCCACCAGCTTACGACCTCTCTCCCCATGGCCGCGACAAATCGAATGCTCAGATTCCTCCGGGGAGCAAGAATCCCCAACGCTCCAAACAGATGGGAGCACAGCACAGCCCGGCACAAATACAGGCACAGGTACAGGCACAGGACACCCGCAAGAAAGCTCCTCCGTCTACGATACCATCTGTAAAATCCGCTCCGCCACACAAGAGAGCATCTCTACAATCGCCAACTCCGCGAAAGAGATCATGCGACAGTCACCAATAACGGCGCGCAATCTGGACGGCACGCCATTTGACGAGGAGCGACCTGATATATCGCAGCACACGTTAAAGCTGACAGTCATCCGGCCACCGGTGTCTACTCCAGAGCCACGCGTCGTCGGGAATGAGTCTGCCCGGATTTCTGCACCTGCGCGCATGGTTGATCACTTCAGTGATCCGGGTCCGGATATTGCAGTTAATGGGACACAGCCTGTTCTGTTTGGTGCGAGTATTGAGTCGACTGTTAAGGCGGAGACTTTGGAGATGAATCACTCGCGGGAATGTCACTCTATTGAGAGTTATCCTGGGAAGTTCCCTGTGAGTGATTCGCTGGATTTCAGCTCGCTTGCGACTGCGTATGCTGTTAGGGGGCGAGGGACTACTTCTGTTCGGCCTTTCTCGGACTACTGAGCTTTATGGGTCTGGGCTTTATGAGGGAATTCTTGATTGTTGGAGAAATGAAGGCATCGGGAGAATTGCAGTTGTCGGTTGTTTGGAGTCTCCAATTTGTGTCTCGGGAAGACATTTGGTGAACTCTGGTTGGTTCAATTTGCTACTTTTGACTGTGTTTGGTTGTTTTCGTTCACTGGAAAATGTCACCGGAGTCGGTGTTGTACTTGAGAGTCTACTATTATTATACTCATACCCGAAGACTAGGTCTTTTATAGGTACATGTCTGTCAATGGAATGTTCACACTTCACAACATGGATTTGACTATCTAACATGTTCGTCAAGAAGATGGTCTCCACTTGCAACATCACGGGAGCCTGGATACAGCAAGTCGCCAGATTTACATGGTTCGATCTACTAGTTTAGGGATGAATTATACTCAGGGAGTTATCATCGTGCACCTCGGGATTGCAATCAAGTATGTTCTTTTCTGCAACGCTATCTATACAACAGAAACCCTACAAAGAGGCTCAAAACCACACGCTCCCCAATGCACGAGAGCAGCTACAAGCTCGACAGCAAGAGCATAGAACAGAAATCAAAGGATAATGTTAAAAGGCACAAAGACGAAGAGAAGTCTTAACATCCCGTCCTAGTCCATAGCCTGCCATAAAGCATGAAAAGCCAAGAGATATTCCGTAGTTGGTTACACATTGCTCGTAGATTGAAGGATATCCTGGAATCGAAATCCCAATGAAAAGTCATAACATTCGTAAGGCAATGTAAAAGAAAAGTAGAAAACGCTAGAATGAAACAAATGAGAAGATCATTAAACCCAGGGTATCACAGCATCTCAATAATCATCATCGGTGTAATCGATTTGAGCGGGACTGCCTCGGTAACGGGTTCGCTTGATATTGCTCGGGCTGTAAGCGCCGGCGGAGGTGAGGGGACGCGGGCCGGTTGGTTTGCGTGTGGGAGGAGAGCGGATGGCAGAGCCCTGCAAGAAACATGGTATTAGCGTTTGTTTTGTTTGTAAATTGAAGAATAGGATCATTTGAAGGATGTGGAATACATACCCGTGAAACAACACGGTCGACGCTGTAAGCTGGTTCCTCGTCCTCCGCTACTTTTGATGGACGACTCGGAACTAGTGGGCCATCGTCCTTGAGCTTGGGAGGACGGGGTGGACCGGGGGCTCGGGTGCTGGTCTCGGAGTAGCCTGCGTCGGAGATTGGGGAGAGGCGGCTGTTGCCGCTGACGCCGCTGTTGCGGTTGTGGGCTGGGTTGGCTGCGGACAGGCTGGGGTTGGATTCCCATTGGTCTGAGCCGGTAGGGGAGATGGGACCACTGAATGCTTGGGCCTCAGTCTCGAGGCGGGACTGGTAGCGTCCGGTTGGACCTTGGCGAGGCTGAGGGTGCTGGAGCTCGAGACTGCCGCGGTGGCCGCGGTATTTGGGGGCCTCGGAGACCTGGGAAGGCACCAATGGCGAGGGAGGCCGGTTCTCATCTTGCTCGTCTTCGAGGGTGTAGGTGGATCGGATCCTGTCGTCTCCTTGGGGATCATAGTAGTCCGGCTTGTAGGCACCAAGGGGGGGCCATATCAGATCCAGAGCGAGACTGATCCGAGACCGGGCGTTCTTTGCGGGAAGGCTGGATGCTGTTGCGGATGTTGTCGCCCACAGAGGTGGCAGTGGACTTGGACCAGCGCGAGATTTTCGGGAAGATGGAAGAACCGCTGGACTTGTGCTTGCGTGCCTTTTCGGCCTTGGGGGTGGTCTCGGTGCTGCGAGCTGCCGAGGGCACCGGCTTCCGTGGAGGTGTGTCAAGCGGTAGTGAACCGGAACGCTCGTGACGAGGTGCGTCGCGGACAGGGAGATGCGAAGTCATGAAGTGGTCGTCATCGGTGAGTTCGAGGTCCTCGTCAACTTCATGAACGGTGCTGACACGCTGGTCCGAATTTCTGCGCGCCGCATCAGCTGGGCGAGATGAGCTGGACCCGTAGGGAGAGCGGCTGGCTTCGATAGGTGCCCCATTCTGGCCGAAAGTTCCATGTCCACTCAGATCCATACTGCCAGTGCGCGGAATCCCGCCAGCTTGTCCAGATCGAAGGGCCTCAACCTCATCCAGCAGCTGCTCCAGCATACCCTCAATCTTGCTAAGATCATTGCCCGACTTGAGGCTCAAGCCTTTGAGCGCACGCTTGAAGATGTTCTTCCGCTTGTCTTCTTCATCGGCTGTGTTCAGCTGGCGGTTCCGTGAACCACTGGCAGGCAATGGCCGGGGGCCTCCAAGTGCCTTTTGCGTCCGCTCATGTTCTTTCTCGGTGGTGTCCATGATGAGCTCATCCTGCTCAGCGATGAACTTCTTCATCTGCTCAAAGGAAGTGCGCATTTCAGCGGCACTTCGGACCAGAGTAACCAGAATTTCGGTATCCCTGGCATTCCGTTGAGCGTCCCGAACAGTCAAATGATCCATGAGAGCCACAATATCCTGGGACTGGATTCTCTCGATGCCACGACCGGTGGCACTGTCGTAGAGGGGCGAGCCTACACCATGAGAGTAGCCACTGAAGTGGCGTTCATGGCCAGAGACAAAGAGATCGTCTGCCCCAGTGGGACTTCCAAAGCTACCCATTCCGGCGGCATCCGTGCCCGCACCCGCAAGACCTCGACTAGCTTGCTTCGGGGTTCCAATACTGGGAGACACAGGGTTGGCAGCCGAAACATAGCCCTCATCCTTAGCACCAGGCGGGGTCGCGAACAATTGCCGGGGTTGGTTGTCATCAGAGTGGACAGAGTAGTCATCGCCACCAAAGATGTTCTGGGCGGTCTCATAGTACTCTGCGTCGAGTCCAATCTGCTGTTCGGGATTGAGGCCTTTGGAGCCGCCGATCGGGGTGTCGTAATAGTGTTCGACAGGCGGTGACCCCGTACCATAACCCCAGTGGTCTCCCTGAGCAACACCACCGATGGGGCCTTGGATAATGGACGGGTTGGTGTTGATCTCGGACTCCGATTGTTGGCTTTCGGCATCCACATGAGGGCTCTCCATCCGACGCGAAATGTTGCCGGCCATCAGAGCCGACTCGTCCATGTCTTCGAAGGACTGGGTAACGCTCTGAGGAGGCGACGTGGCACCCATGCGCCGAGGAAACGAGGTCTCATCGGCATTGGAAGCATCCTGGCGTTGTCTCAAAGGGCTTGCGCGGTATACTTCACTTGCTGGTTTTTCTGGACTTCGACTGCCTGATCGTGGGCCCAGTTCAGTCTGCGAGCGAGTTGTGGAGGAAACCTGGGATTCAAGGACAGAGGGATCCATCAGAGAAGCAACTGCAGATTCGACAGCGATCGGATGAACAAATTGGGGATTTGCTGCAGCGCCGGTTGCCACCTTGTGACCTTCCTTGACTTTGTCCATGAAATCAACATCGCTGTCTTCATCGTCGACGGAATGTCTGCTTTCCTCGTCATAGCCATAGTAATCATGATCTTGCGAGCCCTGACGCGAATGTTCGTATCCGAGCCCAGGCGAATCCTGGCTGTGTTGCTTGAATAGCCCGCTCTGGCTCTGTGGACTGGTGCCCAGGCGGGTAGATCTCGCGAGGTTCGTACTGGGAGCGGATGACAGAGACTCAATGGATAGTCGGGATTCCATCTCGCGCTTGCCCTCAGCATGTTGCTCATCCTGAGCTGAGTAATGAGCATGATGGGTATCAGTGCGATCACTTGCAATGCTCTGAATGGGACTCAGTCCGCGGCCGGCGGTCTGCTCATGATAGTGATCATCCGCGTTCTGCCCGGGGTGGGTGGCGTCAAGGAGATTGGCTGCAGCTGCAGCTGCAACCCAGTCGCCACCGTCAGTTCCCGGTGATTGGCTTTGGCGACGCAAGTCTCGGTCTGAAGCAGAGTGTACTGAAATATTATGGCGCGACTGGTTGCCGTGGCGCATTCCGAGTTCATGTCTCGAGTCGACCGAGTTTCTGGTAGGAGTGCGAGGTGCTGGCGACACAGCCTGCTTCGGTGATCCATAAGCAACGTCAAAGTGAGAGCTCTTCTTCTCAGGAGTAGGACTTGCCGTGCGCTCAGAGAGCAACGAGTTTCTGGTCAGCTCAGAGTCGATCTCGCTGTGCATTGGCATGGGCGCAACATTGTGCTTCTGGAAAACAAGTTCCGTCTCATTGTATTTCATACTCTCAGTGCTTTTGCGGGAGACACTCTTTCGAGAGCCACTGTTGCGCCGACGCTCTTTTGTGCCAAGACTGGAATTGGAGTCGTGGTGTCTCAAAGAAGCTGCGGTAAGAGCACTACCGACCCGTGCAGCCGCATGGGCATCGCGAAGGCCCTTGCTCCTCTGTCGTCGGATCTTGTCTTGTTCGGTGAGTACAGGCCTGTTGGCCCACCTCACTGCCAAATCGGAGGCTTCACTGCTCTTGCTGGACTTGCGTTCCTTGTTGCGTGGGGCAGATTCGGCGGAGAGAACAATGCCTTCGTCTTTGCTGCTTTTGTTAAGGACAACCTTGGGCTTCATCACATCAGGCGCACTGGCGTGCTTGGACAGCCGCCGGCCAAGCTCATCCCTGGAGCTAGTTCCGGACGAATAAGAAGTTGCCATGTCCCGGTCGAATTTGTTCTTGTTAGTCATGACCTTTTGGTCCTTCTTGAGCTCCTTCAGCTCTGGAAGGATCAATCGCCTGATCGCATCCTCGACAGTCTCCAGCAATTTTGGGTTGTTGATGGACGACTTTGATGCACCGGAGCGAATGGAATACTGATCGGACTTGTGGTTCGAAGAAACTCCAGATGTGCTGAGAAGACTGGATTCGGGACTCATGATATCTTCTTCCGCATACTTGTGCTTTCGGCGTCGGGACGTTTTTGGGTCGGCTTCGAGATATTCCTTGGTATTCTTGCTTCTGTGTTTGCCGCTCGACGCCTCTTGTGGTTCGGTGAGTTTCTCTGCCACACGATGCGCAATTCGCTCCGTACTCAAACTGCGACTCCTTTGTCGGCGAGGAGTCTTGAGCAATCCCTTGTCTTCATCAGGTGAACCACGCTCCATACTCTGGCTGCGTTTCTGTCTGGGGCCTGTCGACGAAGCGTTGATCATGCTTTCGGGCGGCATAGATGACACTTCCGATGTTGTGGGAATGTATCTGGTATCCTGCGAGAGGGTGGACATCTCGCTGTCTCCTCTGTTGACAAATTCGATATCTACTGCCTCACGACGTGACGAATGATGACCTTCCTCCTCGGCTGAGTTGGAATCGATACTCTGATCATCCGCTGCGCTCGATTCGATGTGTTTCTGATTTGCCGATGGTAGAGATATCCGGTGTGTGTACGATGGTTTGCGGCTGCCGCTTCCGCTCGTCTCGGTAATTTGGAACCGATCTCGATCTCTTCTGTCTCTAGACTTTCTAGCCGACGAGGGTGTGACACGAACTCGAACACTGGGACGAGAGACAATGCCGCTTGATCCTTTGCCGCCTTCGAAATACTCGATGAGTAGTGAAGTGTGGGAATCGTTGTGGGAGCGAGACAATTTCTCCTCGCGGTCCCGCTGACGCCGAGTGGGGACAGTGATGGGGCTACCGTCGTCCGGGATGGAGTACGACGTTTTGTCTGTGCGGCGAGATATGTCAGTTGCCAGATCTGTGCCCGTTGCGCTCTCGCCGGTATCGATGATGGATTCTGTGGGAGCAGGAAGGATCGGTCTGCGGGTGTTGACCCCCATGGTTGAGAGGCGGGTCTTCAACCCAATCGCATGCTCTGTCGCGAACTTAGATGATGGGATCGGGGTGAGGGGAGTGTTGTGGTTGCTTCGTACTCTTGGCACGATAGTGGGGAAGGACAAATTGAAGGGCAGCGAACCCAAGAACGATATAGATTGTGTAGGAGTTTCTAAGCGTACCAGCGCAGACCACCGAACAGTGGGGGTAGAGATTAAGAATGTGGAGGGAAGGAGAAGAGAGACAACAACGGTGAGCGTGTTGGAAGCTCCGCCGATCCCCTCACATGAAAATAAGAAATAGGACACAACGCAATGAGAAGAAAGGAGTCAATGAATTCAAGGCAAGAATCCAAGACAACGAGGGATGGAAAAGATGAAGCAAAAGGATAGTCAGCAAATATCAGCCGGTACCCGAGTATAATAAAAGACGATTGCCCAGCCTCCAGGGCAAAAATTGGAGAGGCTGGATGTGTTGGCGGTTCGTCCCATGTACCTCCCAGGTCCCGAGCGGCGTGGGCCAGTCTACAAAAAGTACCCAATGAGTACTTGCCCTACTTTCCGCACCTTCCCAGTTTCCAAGGTTTGAAGGTAAACAAACGGAACCCTGGAAACAGTTCGGGATCGTCTTTTGTTTCCTTGGTTCATGATCCGTCCGATTTACCTTATTTTCTTTTTTTAAAGGTACAGAAATGGACCTGACGAACTTCAACCTTCAGAGTTCTTTCATTTATCCCTAACGCTATGCTGTATAACCTCTCCGAGCTTCCGTGGCTGAGGCTAATCTTGGCAAATCCAACCTACCAACATCCTACGGTAAATACTTTGTACTCCCATCACACTGAAAAGGAAAGACACTACTCGTCACACACCAACACACACACGGTCCACCTGCAGTTCTCCGCTGGACCCGCAAAGACAAGACAGAGGAACCAGGCTCGACAAGGCACATCGTCGCCCAGACGACAAGACGGAGATCGGATGATTGGCCCTAGCGCCTGCCAACTCATCACATTTGTGCTCGGGGCTTTAATCTGGCCAACCTCTCCATGTTAAGAAGACTGCGATTGTTGGACTTACACGAATGGTTGGCTTATTACCCGAGGCTAAAAGTGGTAATCCTTACACCGTTGGCAATATTGCTTGCCCGGATTTTCGCCCGATATTGCCTCCATGATGTGGCAATGTGACTGGATGGAACTATAATGCAGCACTTGCAAGGGGTTGCAGGTAATTCTCATCGGGCCTACTTGCACGGCGGGGGGTAAGCACTTGCTGCATCCCGTACGTTAGTGATGATTTTTTGCTTGATTACTGTCATTGGCAAACGGTCACCTTGCAATCGTCAGTACCTATGGCCTGCGCAGGAGGTAATACTGCCATCTTCCAATTGGGAAGTTTGGTCTATATCGTGAGAAGGTATGCTACTTGGGATATGTAACACCAACTTATCCCACTTCCTTTGTTCTCATAAGTGCAGTATAGGTTTTCTGTGGTTCCCGTATTCTTGTTAGAAATCAAGCCATTCCACGTGGTAAAAGTCCGAAGTCCACATGGCTTGACGAATGTTCAGGTGCTCGCTGTGGCATTCCGCAAGGAAATGTGAGAACCATGGGACTAACCTAAAGTCACCTTCGGTAGCACAATTGTGGCATCTAGAGGCACATAGTTGAGCATATCGATCTAGACTGGTTATGCACACTGAGTGTAAGTAGACCTATCGGTTTGCAGTTGCCCCTGTCGCATACTGAGTATGGGCCAATTACCAAGGCAAGGGGACATTAAACGGAAGGAGACCATTCATCATACACAGAACAACATCCATTGAAGTACCCTACTGTCAACCTTATGCATATTGGATTAAATACCATTTCATGATTACAAATAAGGGGATGAAATTGAAACCCAAATAGATATATCCACATTGCTGAACTCCAATGTCCCTAAAATAAAGATGCAGAGACAATCGATCGCTTTTGATGTTCATACAGATTGTTCTTAGTCGTTGTGCTTCCGCTTGAACTTCAGTCCAGCACCGTGCTTGGGCTGGCTGCCGTATGTGCGGCGTCCTTGCTGCTCCTGCTTCTTGTCGCGGCTGAGACTGGAGCCCAATTGGATATCAATGCGAGGAGGGGCGTTGAAGCCAAAGCCCTTGGCGACCTTGACGAGGTCGAGCTTGTTGACATCGAAAACGGTGCGGAGAGAGTGCGAGGCGTATGCTTGAAGATAAGAACGGTAACCATCCTTGGCGGACTGCAGAGGAGCGTCAGTAAATAAAGCAGAGAGACAGATGAGAAAAATCAGGAAGATAGCTGACCTTATTGAGATAATAATTCTGACCAATGAGCTTCTCCAGCTGAGACTGAACATTTACAATCTTGGAGGCAGGGAACTCAAACTCCACGACCGGCACACGGGCCTCCTGGAGGTGCTTCAGGAAACCAACTTCGGAAGGCTGAAGGAACATCAGACTGCGACCCTTGCCTTCCTTACCACGAGCGGTACGTCCGACGCGGTGAATGTAGTCACGAGGATCATCAGGGGGATCGAACTGGATAATCCAGTCGACGGCGGGAATCTGAAGTTTGAGTCAGTCAAGTGATAATTATGCATGGACAGGAGTGAACACATACATCCAAACCACGAGCAGCAACATCAGTACAGATCAAGGTTCCCTGCTTAGCATTGCAGAACTCGAAGAAAGTATTGGTACGCTTCTGCTGCTTCTGCTTTCCGTGAAGCTCCAGAACGGGAAGATCAATGTAGTTCAAAAGCTCGGCATGGTACTTCACACAGTTGCAGCTTGAGAAGAAGACGATGATCTTCTTCTTGAGGTTACGCTTGAGGAATGAGAACAGAAGCAGGAAACGCTTGTCTGCCTCACACACCACGTAGCCCTGTTCCAGACCAGCCACGGTACTGTGCTCCTTTCGGTGGTCGACGTTAATGTACAGCGGTCCGGGGCGCAGAGATATACGGGCCAAATCCTCGACCTTGGTGGTCTGTGTGGCAGAGAAAAGCATAGTTTGACGCTCTTCTTTTGGCAGAATCTTAACAATCTGGCGCATTTCATCTTCGAAACCGACTTCGAGAATTCGGTCTGCCTCGTCAATGACCAAGGTCTTCAAGTTCTTGAAGATGAATCCTTGGGTGTTTTGAAGGTGATCCAACAAACGGCCAGGGGTTGCGATAAGCAGGTTGACACCCTTCATCAGCTTCTCGGCCTCGGCGCGACGGTTGGCTCCTCCGATAACAATACCGTATGTCTGCGAGTGGTGGGCCATGAGTTCACGGGCGACACCGAAGATCTGCAGGGCCAATTCACGGGTGGGAGAGACGACGAGAACACCAGTACCTACGTTATAGAATTAGCCGGTAGTCCCAATGGCAAGTAGATATTTGAACTGTCAGGAAACTTACCGTTTCTGGGCTTGAAGCGCAGGGCGTGCAGCATCTCAATTGCAGGGAGCAAGAAAGCCAAAGTCTTTCCGGAGCCGGTCTTGGCAGCACCGAGCACATCACGACCAGCAAGCAGAGGGGGAACGGTACGCTGTTGAATCTCGGTCATGGTTGTGAAGCCCATATCCTCAATACCCTTCATGGTCTTCTCCGAAAGGTTGAGCTCAGAGAACTTCTGCAGCTCGCCCTCGGTCTGGGGCAGACGGACATCTTCCATAGTGGGAAGGTCCGTACCATTTACAGCAGCGGCATCTTCAGCATCGACCTCTTTGGCATCGCCGTCCTCCTGCGCATCCACCTCCTCGACATCCTCGACAGCTTCGGCCTCATCGCCGCTTTCTTCCTCAGGAGTTGGCGAAGGGCTGACCTTGCGCTTCTTGGTAGCCTTCTCCGCTGAAGCCTTCGGAGTCGAAACTTTGGTCTTTTTCGGGGTCACTGAAGGGCTGGATTTGGCTTCCACTGGTTTGGCGACATCGCTCTCTGATTTCGAGCCGTGTTTTCTCTTGCGCTTGTTGATGGACTTGGCGGTGTCCACGGGGCCAGGCATGTTGTCGATTGTGACAGTGCAGTATTTGGCACTAGATCAGGCAATCAATATTTCGTCTTGTAGCACCTGAGGTTGTGATTTGCAGGTCTAGATTATTGATCTCTGCGGGCGGAAATCATTCTGCAACTTTTTTTTCCTGATCGGTGAGATTGGGCAGAACAGCACATCACGTGTTGATAGGCTCGGTTCAACTTTGATGCCTTGTGTTGCCATAATTGCAAGGCAATAATTTGGCCTCAATCGTAAGGCATCCAAAAGTTTGCCTCGAAGCACATGACGGGTCTCGATTTCAACAATTTACCGTTCTCAATGATCTCGGGAGTTGGGAGTTAAAGTTTGACCTCCACATGGATTCCCAAATTTCGGTATAAAAACTACCAGTAAGGGATTTGATTCATAGGCTGTTGTTTTAGCAGGTATCAATATATGTATTCTACGCTAAAGGCAGCTCAAGCGCCGCGCTCTTGGCCTTGGATCAGGCAGACGGGATATCTGTGGACGTGGAGCACAGGTGACCAGGATTTAACCGCTCAGTCATATCTTTAATATCCTTAAAAGTTAAATGTACATGGCTCTTGCCAAGGGGTAGACTTCTTCGTCCAGGGGCACTGGTCCTGGACTGCCTATGCCATGAGTTAATGACATTGGCCAAAAATCTCGTGTCATGAACACATGTGCAGGCTGAGGCAGCCAAGCCGTCTTTCCTTCCAACCTAGGTTCCTTGATAACTGAGTTATGTAGTAACTAGCTCGAGAATACACATTAAACGATATACTGTGTCAGATGAACGATGATTATGACGTTAGACTGCGCTAGATAGAAATGTCTTTTTTCTTCAACCCCTTGCATAATGACGCCTAGCATCTGACAACCTGTACTGTGTATAGAAATGCAAGGTACACAAGTGTCAAGCAGTCCAATAGGAAGCCAAGAACACAAGGTAGAGATTTCTGGCCAATGAAATGTAATCGTCGGATGGCCAATCAAAGTGAGATCGTGAGCCCAAAAATAGCCAAAGTCACCCGTGGCTCGAGTGCCACATCCGACCGTTGAGTATGAGGACTCAGGAGAGAGGTCATTGCCCTATCTTCGGGCCTTTGTATTTATGAACTTGTAGCCAACATTCTATAGAACATAACTTACGGGCTTGGAGGCTGAGCAGGATATCGAGACGTCATAAGTCGCACGCCAGATGAGAGATCATCCATGATCATCCAAGAGGGATGATCAGGGATGAAAGTAGGGCGCAAGAACGCTGCGCACACTATTGTCTGCCCAGGTGGACATGCAACTTGAATATGGAAGATATGGTTCTTCTCATGTGCTAAAGATCAGAAATAGACTATGCCAATGGAAGGTTCTTTATTTCTGAAACATGTCTGATCCAAGCAGAAAAATATGGTCTTTGCCAAACGAGGCTGTGCAAAACTGTCAACGCTAATGGATGTCAGTCGATTTACAGCATGTTGATCCCTATTTCACAAACTGTGCAGCCTGAGGTTATTTTCTAGCAATCACTGTCATAGAGTAGTGTTCGCTGTCATGACTTAGCATGAACTAATTTAGCATGTGTGTTGGAAATCCCAACCTGTTAGATCTATGAATGAAGATGAGAATTGAAGGATCTTCTCGGCTCTAGACTCCTGGTGGAGAGGAATGAGGATTGTCTAGCTCTCACTAAAGTACTCCGTACCTGACTAGTTAGTCAACGTAGCATTATTAGCACTGCTCGGAAAGGTTTGCGCCCGGATCTAAGACCATCAAAGACAAGAAGACATCAAAGTCAAAAGACAACGGCCAAGGATGTATGTGAAATGGGGAAGCCCTTTGTATCCGCATCGCCCAGAAGTCTAGGAGTAAGAGATCCAGCTTGAACGGGGCTATTCTGCCGTCTCTGAAGCCAATATATCAGGCAGACAGATATTATTCGATAGTTAACGTACGGAGTATGGAGTACTATTTTCCTCTTCCCCATACAACATAGAGAAGAGAAACACTCCACCCTAAGATTATCACTCCACAGCAGGGAGCAAGCGTTCCTGCGGTTCAGCGAAAGACTTCATTTAACATACCCGACTTTCTCTCTCCCATGGGCCAAGGACCCGCTTGATTCCGCCACGATCCATCAACCGCTTTCGGCGGCTTGGGATGTGCAGTAAAGACGGAGAGTATTAGTGAGGTAGTAGGTAACTAAAGGAATGAGATTAGAATATATCAGATGAATAGGACAAAGAAAAAAAGTTCAAGTCAATAAAATCGAGCCCTAGAGAGGGGGATTCTGCATGTTGATGGGGAAAGTACCAGTGGTGGCCATCCGGAACAAACTCAAACATAAATACAATATTCTGATTGGCCTCTCAATAGCCGCCCCTGTGAGATTACCATACATGACCACATACCATTCAGTGGAATGGCGACGGTCATTTGCACCAGCTGTGACTTTCCCACGGACCCTGAATGTCGTCCCTGAGATCAGTTCCAACTCTTTTACTCTCATTCTCTCATTGTCTCTCTTTTCTTTCCAACTTCTCTTCTTGGTGAATTCCTCACCACTTTGAAACCACTTTCAGCCCCCCTTCGAGACCGATTACTCCTTTACTCCTTTTTCGGCCATACTGTGTATCGCCAGTCACTCGCTCCTGACCCTTTCGCTCTTTCGCCTTTCGACTCGCTCCTCCTCATTTCTGTACATCGACACTCCTTCAGGCTCTGACCTATCAACTTTCATTCATATTCAAAACTCAACTTCGATTTTCATTACCCCTTGCGACTACTTGTCCGCTGTCCTCGTACTCGATGACCCAGTGAAAGGCTCAAAACTTTGAATATCCCCCCACCGGCAACTCGGGGAAAACCAAACAAATATTCAACGCGGTGACAATCTGAGGACACTTTGGGAAACAGTTTGCCCCACGGCGATCAACGACTCGGCCGTACAGAAACTTCCGCATCCGGCAGCTGGCAACGTGGTACTCAGGAGTGCCATTGACACGACAGCTGTCAGATCTCTTCCCCTCGCCCTGATCTACCACTGGACACCTATTCAGTGCTTCGGCTTCGCAATTCCTTTTGACACAGTCCTATAAGCTACTATGCGGTCATTATCTCTTCTCACTTGCTTCGTCGCCTTTCTGGCGCCGATAGCCTCTGCTATTCAGCTCCTGGAATCCAATGCACTCAGCGTGTGCATGGAAAGTAGCAACTTCACGGCAACCTACTTCAGTGTCGTCTTTTATCCCGGAAACAACTCTCTTGTGGTTGGCTTCGATGGTGTCTCCTACATTGAGGGCAAGGTCGTTGCGGAGATGACCCTCAGTGCATATGGTTATGAGGCATACAAAAAGACGCTCAATCCATGTACAATCAAGGGCATGGGCATGTGCCCCATGTCTGCTGGACCTATGGACCTTGGCCCGCTTTCTCTCGATTTGCCAGAGGGCACTTCAGAGAGCATCCCAGGTACGCCCTACGCTGCATCGCAATTGAAGCTCGCAATATGCTAACATGAAATGAATAGGAATTGCCTATACTGTTCCCGACCTTGACGCGAAGGTGCGCATTGTTATCAAGACGGCCGACACGGGTGAAAAGATTGCTTGTGTCGAGGCTGCGCTTTCCAACGGCAAGACCGTTAATCAAGTTGGGGTCTCGTGGACAACCGCTGTTATCTCTGGTCTGGGACTCGCTGCATCCGCCATCACCTCCGGACTAGGTCATTCCAACACGGCAGCTCATGTTGCGGCAAATGCGCTCTCTCTCTTCGGATTTATGCAGTCGCAAGCGATGATTGGTATGATCTCTGTAGACATGCCTCCGATTGTCGAAGCGTGGACCCAGAACTTCCAGTGGAGTATGGGTATCATTCGCGTGGGCTTCATTCAGAAGATTGCTACCTGGTACCAACGGGCGACCGGTGGAACACCGTCCACTATCCTGTCGCAACTTGGTGATACTTCCGTGGAAGTCCTTAGACGCCGCAAGCGTGATCTTGTGGACCCTGCAATGGATTTGGTGAAGCGGGCCTCTGGCATTGCCAAAAGATCCGACGCCCAGAAACTCACTGTTATCCGAGGAATCGGCCGTGTTGGATTCCGTGCGGGCATGGAGGAAACCAACATATTCCTTACCGGCCTGATTTTCTTCTCCGTCTTTGTTGTCTTTGTCGTCATCATCGTTGCGGCCTTCAAGGGCATCACCGAGCTGCTCGTTAAGCATGGCAAAATGAAGAGCGAAAGGTTCCAGGACTTCCGCAATGGATGGAAGGTGGTTCTTCGTGGTATCTTGTTCCGACTGACACTCATCGGTTTCCCACAAATGTGTGTCCTTTGCCTCTGGGAGTTCACCCAGCGCGACTCAGCAGCCGAGGTGGTTTTGGCCGCGGTCATGCTCCTGTCTATGCTCGTCTCTCTTGGATGGGCTTCTCAGAAGGTTATTCGGTTGGCCAAGCGCTCTGTTACTATGCACAAGAACCCGGCCTATATCCTCTACTCCGATCCCACCTGCCTAAACAAGTGGGGCTTCCTGTATGTGCAGTACCGAGCGACAGCATACTACTTCGTTGTTCCGTTCCTCGTCTACATCTTCATTAAAGGCATGTTCATTGGCCTGAGCCAGCCTGCACCGGTCGTTCAAACAGTGGCTTTGTTGGTTCTTGAGCTGGCCATGTTGGTGGGTGTGTGCGTGCTTCGTCCCTGGATGGACAAGAAGACCAACATCTTCAACATCTCGATTGCTGCAATCAACTTCCTCAACTCCGTCTTCCTATTGGTCTTCTCGGATGTGTTTGACCCTCCGGGAATGATGATCGGTGTTATGGGGGTCATCTTCTTCGTTTACAATGCTATATTCGCATTAATCCTTTTGATTCTAGTTTTGATCGCTTCGATCTACGCTATTGTCTCCAAGAACCCCGATGTCCGCTACCAGCCCATGCGCGACGACCGTGGCTCGTTCATCAAGTCACAGACTCAGCTTACCACTGAACTGGATGCCCTTGGTGCCACTGCCCGCGGTGATGTCAAGTCTGGGCAATATACCCACAATCCCTTCGACGATGACAACGCCTCTATCTCCAGCGGAAACGGTGTCACCGTGGCCCGTCAAATGGAGTCCACCTACCCACCACACGGCTCTGTCACCCAGGCACCGCGGTCACCCGTTGACCCATCCGTGCCACTATTCCCCAGTAACTCCCCGAGTCATCACAATCCCGCCGCCGGATATGACCACTACGGTCGATCTCCTTCACCTGCGCCGCGGAGCTATGATAACGCTCCTGTTGGCCAATCTGCTTTGTCCACAACCTATCGAGCCCAGAACAACGCCAGTCCTTGGCAACGAGGCGCTGGTTATGACCACTAAAAGAGGCCACTGGTCTCAGATTTTGTTGCTTCCGAGATGAAGATATGTGATTTTGTTTTAGCGCGGGATACCGATGTCTTTTCCTTTTGGGTTCGGGGTTTTTATTCTCTCCTATCTTCTCTTTTTGGATGTGCGTATAGACTTGTTGGACTCCTGTCGTTGCAGGTTCATTTGGAGAACATCTTCTTAATCCACCACATTTCTTGGTGTGATCTTCTTTTTTCATCACCCTCCCCCTTCGCATCTCCTACTTCTCCCCCTTTGGTCTGTTTCGTTTGAGTCCTGGTCCAAACCCTTTCGCGATCGACGTGTATTTCCCTTGTCTTTTGTCCTGCTCGGCGTTGATTGATGCATTCTGGATATGGTGATTGGCCTTGGGTTTTTATTTCTTTTTCGTTCGCGCAGGATGTCTGCAGCCGATGGAATCTATTCTTCGGATCTATCAGTTTTTTTCATACCCATCTTAACCTCCAGGTATGCTGGTTTCTGGCAAGTAGTTTATTTGTGTAGTGTAAAAATGTTATTTATGTCCTACCTCTACCCCCGATATTATTGCAGATGTCATCCTTCCAAGTCAGGTTTTTCCAGTCTACAGTTCATTCCATATGGAATTCAATTAGGTCCACGGTAGCCTACTACATCAAGACAACAGCCGCGTGATTGAAGATACGAAGACCGCAAGAGATCGCCTTGTACAAGACACGGAGAATAATCAAACAAAAAAGAAATCAATATAGAAAAACCGCTATTTTACACTAACAGTAAAAATCCAAAGCAACCGTCAGAGATAGATGCCTGACCAACGGCACCTCATCCCCCACTAAGACAAGGTATCAACACCAAACCACAACCCGAACTTCGAATCCAATCACCACCTCTGATCCATCCCACTAGAAGGCCCACCAGGAGGAGGAGGATACGCCTCCAACCCACGCGGACCCGTCGGAATCGGCGACGGACCACCAGGCGCAGGCATACCAGCCATCGGCTGACCCGGGATAGGCGGTGGGAACCCAGGAGCGCCAGGCGCAGGCATCGGGAAGTTCGGGAAGCCACCGGGCGGCGGGATGGGCGCGCCGTGGGGCAGGTTCGGTGGCGGGGGAAGCCGCCTGTTGGTGGGGTTCCGGCGGAGTTGGGGAAGGGAGGTGGGAATGGGAGGCCGTGGACTCCTGGGGCTGTTGGGTGGGGAGATGATTAGCTTGATTGTTTGAGATGGGTTTGGGTATGGGGTTGGGGTTGGGTATGGTGGGGATCTGGAACTTGTGAGTATGGGGAGCGTACGAGGAATCATGGCTGGGGCGCCGGGGGCGCCTGGTGGTGGAATGCCAAAGGGTGGAGGGGGCATGCCGGGGCGACCTGGTTTGGTTTTGTTAGCTTTGGCTTGGTCTTCGGGGATGGGTTCTTAGGGCGGGACTCTGGGAGACGTACCAGGGAATCCGGGGAAGGGAGGAGGCGGGAATGCACCGGGGGGCATCATGTTGGGGGCTTGTTGGCCCTCTGCGGCGTAGGAGGAAGTGATGGAGTCGATGACGGACTGGGCCTTTTCTTGACCGATTTCTGGAATGGACGTCTTGTCAGTTGTGCGTTCGGTTGGAAGGGTGGTTCTGCGTTATCGCGAGACGTACGTTGATAGTAGTCGACCACGTTTCTCAGGTGGTTTCGACCGGAGTTATGCGCCTTGCGCACACTCATCGAGTCATGTGTCAGGTAGACATCGCAGTAGTCGCCTAGAAGTTGGAGGCATGGTTAGTATTTCGTCGATAGGGCGATGTGGAGTGTGTCGCATTGCGCCTGGCATCGGCTCCTGACGACACACGGCTCTATCGGCTGGAACGGGAAACTGCGGGAGAACCTACAGAAGAGTGCATGGGTTGTTAGCTTCTAGTTGAAAGTGTCTGGGAAGAGGGTACTTATATTTAGGCATCTTGCCGGCTTTTGTAGCAAGTACCTTGCTGTCGTCGCGCGTAAGGAAAATTCCCTTCTGCGATCAGGGTTGTCGAAAAGCGCTTTTCTTGAACAAAGGATAGGTTCACCAACAAGCAATGGTCGAAGTTTTAGGTTGCAGCTGGAAGAGGCGGTACAGACGACTCAAAGGGAAGGGATTCACTCTTGACTGCATGCATGGCAGCCTATCTCGGAGCGCAATGGCGAATGCAAGGCGGCGAGGCGAGACAGAGTGGGGCGGTGACAAATGGCAGAATACTGTCTTATCAGTGCCCACCACGCCCACTCATGTTTATACATGTTGACGTTGTATATTGATGGATGATGATCGATCATAAGTTCGAGAATAGCTACCTCCTGCTTCCAGAACACCTGAAATGGTGGCATGCATACTGCTTCTGCGTATCCAGAGCGAATTTCCGGTGTGTTCATGATTCAATCACCATGCAATCTGGAGCCCATTGTCAAGCATGTGTGATTTGATTGGGATAATGCTATTCTGAACATTGAATCCCTTCATCGTGGCCAACCTTACCACTTGGTCAGATAGAATGTCTTCCGATCCCCTTCAGACATTCGATCTCGAAGAAGGACAGCTCCGAGCCGCAATGTGGCATTGCCACATCCCTTCACCACTGGCATCTTGGAGACGGACAAATTGGCCACCCAATCCTTGGATAGCGACATTGTGTCACAGGAGCCGAGAACAAGTCCTTGGATGGGATGAATGTCGATTCGACAGACTTGCATATGATGTAGGACAGTATATAAGCTTAGTTAGTCCTACTTGAAGTAATGCTCGTCTGTGCTATCACTGGTAGGCATGAAGTATGAGGAATAGACAGGGTACTGGTAGGTATTGCGACGATGAATGTGATGCAATCAGACCCATGTAGATTCTACGATACCTATCGCCAGCCACGGTTCCTTCTCAGGCAATATGCATTCTAGGACCGCCGTAATGATTAATAGGGATAGTCGGGGACGTGAATATGGGAGTGAATTCAACGAGAATTGTAATTGGAGAATGGATAAGACTATGTACATTCATCCGTACACCAGGCAGCTTCCCGGTGGAAATAGACAGTGATTTCCTTCTGCGGTGTTCTCGTCCCTTATGCCCAAATCGTCACCTTCTGGCGATACTGGATCTACTGGCTGAACCCATTCAACTACCTCATGGGCAGGATGCTGGTATTCACTCTGTTTGGCCGCGAGGCCAAATGCAAGGAGCTCGAATTTGCCAGGTTCGATACACCCTATGGCACGACCTGCGCTGAATATCTCAGCGGCTATATGCAGACCATCGGCAGTCGGATGAATCTAATCAACCCCGAGGCTACCTCGAGATGCCGAGAAGATTAAAACAATAAAGAGGAACCCGCAGAAGACACTGCCAATACTGCCAGGCAGCCCAGTCATCATCCGCAAGGGCAGGTGTGGACATGCAAGTGCAACGTCCGTGAGCTGGGAGTTACCTGTCACGGGATGAGCCCTGTTTCTCTGAAGAGCATCTTGAAGATCTTACAGTTTAGGTTGAAACTCCATTGATCTGGCGGGTAATGTGCATGAGAAGGGTATGGTAGAAAGGCTGCGCTTGCTGGAATTGGCAAGCGGGTCCATACACTGATCTGGCGAAATTCACCCCATGACACAAGATTCTCGGCATTCTCAGCACACAGACGGCATGATGTCGCCAGATCAGTGTATGGACCCGCTTGCCAATTCCAGCAAGCGCAGCCTTTCTACCATACCCTTCTCATGCACATTACCCGCCAGATCAATGGAGTTTCAACCTAAACTGTAAGATCTTCAAGATGCTCTTCAGAGAAACAGGGCTCATCCCGTGACAGGTAACTCCCAGCTCACGGACGTTGCACTTGCATGTCCACACCTGCCCTTGCGGATGATGACTGGGCTGCCTGGCAGTATTGGCAGTGTCTTCTGCGGGTTCCTCTTTATTGTTTTAATCTTCTCGGCATCTCGAGGTAGCCTCGGGGTTGATTAGATTAATCCGACTGCCGATGGTCTGCATATAGCCACTGAGATATTCAGCGCAGGTCGTGCCATAGGGTGTATCGAACCTGGCAAATTCGAGCTCCTTGCATTTGGTCTCGCGGTCAAACAGAGAACCACTCAGCTAAATCGGTTCCCACTCGGAGGCTGATACGGCTGCGCCGTCTCGTACTTGCTCTTCTCCACCACACGGTCGGCCTCGGTCAAGGATTCGTGTCGGGTAGCCGCCGGGCCATGGGCCCATGAGAGGCTTCAATACTCGGCGAGGAACCATCATCGGTAGCATTTTGGTATCGTGCCATATTCGCTCGCTTCAAGGTGTCTCGACCGAGAAATTGGAGATTGGAGAATAACCCCACCAGACTGACCAGGTGCTCCTATTTGCACCTTGCACTTTGGTCGGTTTTGACTGACGTCGCAGCCTGAGGAGCCTGGTAAAGCGAAACACAGGCAGTGGCGCCATTTTATGTCCGTCTGCATGCGGAGAGTCTTGTGGAATTCGATGGCATTAGCACTGTCGAGACCACGAGTGGAGTTATCCCAACATTGCAGCGGAGCCAGGTTCAGGCAGGCATCGGCGATGCTGACAGTCTGACACGCTTGCGCTCTCCACCATACCTTGGTAATTGAGGCCGAAGTTCTTGTCGACATAAAAGCCGTATCTCTCTCCAGCGATCGTCTTCAAGAAAGTGGAGCACCCCGAGCCGGGCGGCCCAAGGACCACAAGCATCTCTCCGGCCTCTACCAGTCCATCCAAGTTTTGCAGAATATTGAGCTTGCGCTGGCGTCGACCCATGCAGTGCCTCTCCCATCTTAACCCCCTTCAGGTATCCGTTGGGCATCTCGGTTTCTTCCGTGCAACGCCACGTGTGTGCGAAGCCTACGGGAGGCTATTCTTGGAGCAATAAGTGACTGGTCAGCTCGGAAACTTCCTTCTGGTTCAGATGTGGATAGGATACGCACTTGTTTGCATGACGATGCCGGTCGCCGGATTGATGGCATCGACGATGGCCGAGATGATGGCCACGCCATCGATGCGACCGTGGATCAACAGGTGCTCATGAGCAAGACGATGAATCTCAAAGGCACTCGACCTCCATTGGAGATTGTTTGAGATGCGCATCTTCGAGGCTGCGAACAACTGGAGCTCCGTCCCTCGTGGATGTACCGAGAGAGGCTCCTCTGTCTCTGTGTCGTCTGCAGTCGTCAGTATCAATTCTCGTCATCGAGATGGTCTGCAGACTCGGGGTGATGCATAAGAGATGAAAAGAGGTGAAAAGAGGTGAAAAGAGATGGCGGGATACTTACAGAGTGAGACGAGAGGTCCAATCCTCCTCGAGGCAGCATACATCTTTGCTTGTTTCTCGCGATCCTCAAACAAATCTCGGCGCTCAATGAAGGTGGGCTGCAATTGGGCGAGGCAGCCGAGGGAAGGACGCGCTTGGGGCCCTTGATATCCTACTCGGACATCGTGAGGCGCCTCGTCAATTGATTCCGCAGACCAGATTACCCAGGAACTTCGTTGTGGGAGGTATATTGACTGGTCTGAGGATGAAGGTTGACGAGGGATCAATTGAGAAAGGGGAAAATAAAGTGAGAGAGAGGGAGGGAGGGGGAGAGGCAGGGGAGGGCACGACTAATCACGAGCATATGACGGTACAGCCTTGGAATGACCTAAGCGCTTGCTATACCTGGACCTTGGACATGAATAGATCGTTTAAGGCGAGCGCATTGGAGGATCGTGTCACCTTGTGCTTTCGTGAGGCTGCGTTGCGGCTCACACTTCACCACGATACCATGCCAAATGGTCTTCATGTCTGGACAACCCACCTGCTTCCTTAGGTTTCCTCGAACGGTTGATCTTCACTCATGTTCAATCCGGTATCTACTTACACGACACATGGGATTGTGTAGTGCCTTGCGTTGACTGGTGCGTTTGCTAATCGATTGAGACCAATTACAAGACCCATGGAAAGGCTTCAGTCAACCATGAGTTATGACAAAGTGAAATGTGTTCCGATGAGTTGTGGAGTGCACCTTTCGTACTGACCTCCATCTCCACGCCGAAGTAGAAGCTGGGAGATGGCTTAGCAGAGCACTGAGAGCAGCCGCAGACCGGAGGGGACAATGAGTCGTTTGGTCGATAGTGAATGCATCAAACGACATTCTACACGCTGCAGGGCCAATGGCTCGTATAATTAGGTACACAGTACTCCTTAGGTAGTTCCTCGCCGACTGATATATATCCTGGGAGTTTGGCCATACCTATTCCAACCCGCCTGGTGGACGCTTTACTTGAAGTAAACCTATTAACTAGGTATATTCTGCATCCATTCCCGCATACTGGTTATATCCATCCAATGGAGGTACTGTCAGAACGGAGTCCTCGAATTACGACAGTAATTCAAGCGAAATGCAAACGACAAACGAAGCCAAACCCTGTCACACCGACTCACACCAAGCTATTTCCCGTCCATCTGCCATAATGTGCGGTCAATCGCTGTTTCAACGGAGCATTCGCACTACGCCTGGGCACCATACTAGGTTGAATGTCTTTCCGAACACCTTGGCCAGCTCTTCGTTATCAACAGGAAGAATCGCACTGTGGACTTCCTTGTAAGTCTTCGTCTTGGAATTCATCAGATTTTGAGAAGCAGAACCTATCAGGCATGTCGACTGATTAGCTTGGCAGACTCTGACTCTGGGATATTAGATTGAGATGTGAGCTAATATTGTACGGAGATAGTCATTGAGACGAAGCCAGCTACACGTGAGCGTCTGTGTTGGTCGGTCCTTCCTCAGGTCAACACAGTCCACGTGCCTGCGAGATGCGATGAGTCTTCGAGGACATAAACAAACAGTGGACCTGGGCACTTGTAAACACTTTGCGAATGCGACAAATTCTTTCACCTGTCCACCACTCCATTTCTCTCCTTCATGCCATCAACCACTTCTCACTAAATCTACATGGCAACCGCCAACTCCATCACCAACACTTCGGCAGACGCTGGAAAGCCTACAGCGGACCTCGAAAGCATCACGCTGGCCATGGAAAAGATGATCATGGGGGCCGATAAGGTCGACATACAGGACCTCGACGATTACGACATGCACCTAATGTACCTCGACAAGGTCAAGGACGGCATCGGATCGACAGGAAATCAACCCAAAAATCCACTCCAAGATCCCAACGAGAACAATATCTTCATATTCCCCCATGACGGCCATCTTGTGGCAGTTCCCGTCAAACTGGGCAGCAATATTGTAGAGACCCGTGTCAAATTGCGCGACATGTGCGAGTTCCCGCAAAACACCAACTTCCTCTTCGAAGACCCAGAAGTCGTGCGCCAGTTCTTCGATCCGCCCGAGGAGGACCGCGCAGGCCTGGCAGCTGTCTACAAAGCCGCGGCCAAGCTCATCCTGGTCCCATTTTTCCGTCTCGAGTACCTGTTTACCCTGAAGCTGAGGCTGGCACCATTTTCAGCCCGAGCTGCGGCTCTACCTCCCTCATCCCGCCTCAACCTGAACTTTAGGACAAACACGCTCTTGCCCACTTTCAAGTTGAACTGTACCACAATCTCAAAAAAGGGTGTTGACGTTGATCTAGTCCGGATTGTTGGCGAGGTGGCTAACGACCTCTTTGAGGACTGGCGGGCTGCTTGTCGGGCTCTCCCGCGGAATCACGGAATCAAGGAAGTTGCCATTTCACTTGAGGGCGTTGAGAGAGCTAAGCAGGATCTTGCTCCCAATCTGTTGCAGTTCGTTAGCACTATTTTCGCGCTGAAGGCCAAGGGCCCTTTCCACTGTTTTCTTCTGCCTCCGGCTAAAAGATTGAAAGAGGATTTTCAAGACTTTCTGGAGAGAACCTTGGTTAGTTGTTCGAACTAAGATGGAAGAAAGATCTTCCCAGTCTCGCGATTCGAAGTGAAGGACGAGGTCACGGGGAATCGTCCGCTTGAGACTGCAAATGCGTGGACCCGAAGGCCGGTCAATGCCAATCTTGAGGCTCAACGACGGGCCGGATCTTCCAGGGTTCGCTATTAGTTCGGTTTTCGAGAGCGGGGGAGGCTGGGAGCTATGAGAGACACCGCATTGCTTCCCATTTATGACAATGACAGCACTTTTCATTCTGATATCCACATGAATGGTAGACATTATCCCGTAGAATCGTCAATCGATTATAGAACAGTCTCTCTAGGAACTTATACTATATGGTCGAGTTCATTGACCTAAGAAAGTGTTTTGATAGTTATGCAATGGGGCTGAGGTGAAGGTAGGTTGGACACAAAAGGACGGCCTGGGATAAGCAACTGTATCAGGTGACGTGCAGGGATGCCCGATGGGTTCTGAGGCTCTGTTTCAGGCACACCAGTATCAAACCACCCATCGACTTGGGAACTACTCACAGGAACATCACAATGGCACGAACTTCAGACCTCGTTCAAGATTCAGAGCTACACACATACTTCCTCCCGGACCATACAGTGGAAACAGTCCACACGTTCCAGGTGTCAGACCCCGCTTCCGGACAGCGGCTTGTGACCAGAACGGAGCATTGGCAGCGGCAAAAAGAGATTGGGAGCGGTGGATTTGGTAGCGTCTGGCTAGAGAAATGCATCAAAGGCGGGCGATCGGATGCCACCCAAGCTGGTGCGCTCCGAGCAGTCAAGCAGATTAACACAGACCCGCGACACGGGTCGTTCGACTATAATCGGGAGCTGGAGGCGATTACCAAGTTCTCGCATTATCGTGTTAGTGTCTCAAGAAATTTAAGGGAAGAAACTTTACTAATTCTCAAGTAGTATGAACGATGCTTTGTGAAGTCATTCGGGTGGTATAAAGGGCCTAGCCAGCTCTTTATAGCAATGGAATACCTTGAACTTGGGGACCTTTTGACCTATCTACATGAAAGACCACCGCTGCCAGAGGCTGAAGCAAAACATATTGCATACCAGATCCTCGATGGTCTAACTCTAATGCATGAGAACGGGTTTGCTCATCGGGATTTGAAACCACATGTGGGTTTCTTTTCAAATGCGGAACAGAGAGTATATACTAAACCGAATATCTAGAATATCCTCATAAAATCACAACCTCCGGCGGAGTGGTGGATCAAGCTCGCAGACTTTGGTATCACTAAACGAATCGAAGAGAGCGGTGGGCAAACAAAGACGATAAGGGGTACCCCAGGGTATATTGCCCCTGAGACTTGGGGCTTCGTTAATCCAGGAAGTGCGTACGCCACAGACATCTGGGCTCTTGGGGAGATCATATATGAGGTTCTTACCAAGAAGCATGCGTTTACTACGACGGAGTCGCTTGCAAGATACAATACAGAGGAGGACTTCCCGGTCACTGTACTCACCGATGCTGGTATAAGCCAACAAGGCGTCGACTTTGTGCTTTCATTGATGTGTCGTGATCCCAATGATCGGATGACGGCTGCATCCGCAATGTCACACGAATGGATAGCATCCCGAATACCTTTCTCCCCAGAGTCTGCAAAGGCTATCCCAGCCGTGCGCAGTTCCTCGCCGGTTACAGTATTGACTGAAGAATTTGCCTCCTGGACAACAATAACAACAGTCCCGTCTTTAGCAGTTGCGAACACTGTTGTTCAAGATACGCCTGGTTTAACTACCATGCCACTTCTTATAAACGTGCCCCAAAGGGAGGTTCGCGGATTTAGCCCTACGAAGTGTGACAGCCAGCATCGGACTGGTCTCTCACTCTATAGTCAAGGCCGATACGAGGACGCAGAGGGCATGTTCCAACAGGCTTTTCAGGGGCGAGAGAAGATGCTTGGTCGTGACCACGAAAGGACGCTCCAGTCTGCACATTATCTTGGTCTCTCACTGTATCGCCAAAAGCATAACAAACAGGCAGAGGACATGTTCCGACGAGCTCTCCAGGGGCGAGAGAAGCTGCTTGGTCGTGACCACAAAAGCACGCTACATTCTGCACACCATCTTGGTCTTTCTCTCTATTACCAAGATCGGTACGAACAGGCAGAGAAGATGTTCCAACAAGCTCGCCAAGGACGGGAGAGGGTGTTAGGTCACAATGACAAAGACACGCTCGCCTCTACGCATTTTCTTGGTCTCTCGCTCTATCACCAAGACCGACACGAAGAGGCAGAGAACATGTTCCGACAGGCTCTTCAAGCGAGAGAGATGGTGCTAGGCCACCACAACGAAGATACGCTCGCTACAAGACACTATCTTGGTCTCTTGCTTTATCGCCAAGATCGGCACAGGGAGGCAGAGAGTGTGTTTCAGCGAGCTGTTCACGGGAGAGAGAAAGCGCTAGGCGAGAATCATGAAAACACGCTCACTTCTATACATTACCTTGGTCTCTCGGTTTATCGCCAAGGCCGGTACAAAGAGGCAAAGGAGTTGTTTCGACGAGCTTTCCAGGGGCGAAGAAAGGTGCTAGGTGATGTCCATGAAAGCACTCTTTCGTCTAGGTATTTCATGGACAAGGCCCAGAGGCGGGCCCTTCGCGTTTAGCGGTTAGGGGTCTTAGTTAGAGAACTAAGCTTGCCACACTCTGCATCAGACAGGTCGCAGTGGCCCTCTGGACAACGTGTTAGTGAATGGCGAATACTACACCTGAAATTTGTCGTAACCTCTTTATCCAATGAGCGATCACAAAAAGGCCTAACCACCAAAAGAGAAATCCGAAAGCCAAGTGAGAGCAGAAATCAAGTATGCAGGTGCAGTATCATAATACCCAAAACAGCCTCCAAATCATTCCAATAGCACCTTGCGTCATCAACTGCGGCCGCTGATACCTTACCAGTTACCCACCTAACGCCTGGAGCATCCGAAGCACTCTGAGCCATTTGTTTACCTGAGTGCCTGAGTGCATCGCAGTCGAGACCCGGCGACGATGATAATCATGTGTCATGGGCTCTGCACTATTATCTAATATAGCGGGGGAAATGGACGGGTAAATATTACTGCGTATTGGGGATTTGGAGTGAAGAAATGTTCAGGGTTCTTGGCTTCTACACAGTAGTTTTGAGTGGTCGGCTCGGTTCGGTTATTCAGGACACAAATGAGACAAATCCGGGGGAGCGGAGGTCTAGTTAATGGGAGGTTGGGTTATGTTGAGAGGTCTGGGGTTTACATCCATTGGATGTTGAATTTTGTCAGTACAACATAAGTGTCATAACTATTACTGCGGAAGTAAATGTTAAGAGCCAAGAAGGGGATGTACGATGTTACCCCTCAGGGCCTGGGGATTGTGAGTTTAATCGCGCATTTGTTGCTCGGACTTCCACGACACAGTAGAGGGGTTCTGAGCCATACTGATACATCATACATCGTGAGGGGATAATACACCGCATGTTTGTGTAGTTCGTCCTGGTTCCGAGTCTCAGTCAGGTGGTTCAGATCCATCCAATTGGGAGATCGGGATGGCATTCTGCGACTGCGCTGTACCTGGATGCCAGGGACCATGTGCGTGGATTCTGAATCTCAGCCATCGACATTCCAATGCTTCGTATGGAAATTCAACCACGTGAGACGGAAATGGTTCCTCGCGCGCCGTAACAGGGGACTACGTGTTACTTCTTACAATGAGGGACCACGGGGTTCAATGTCCGAGGCAGTCATTTGCACCGTCCTTACTATTCCCGGGCAACTGCAGAATGTCGGTCTAATTCCGAGACGCATGACTGCTCAGCTCTAAACTTGAATGCGCAGACTGGCAGTCGATGTTGAGTCTGGGGAAGGGGAAAATCTGGGGAAATGGGAAACGCACAGACGAGGACTGTGATTTGTCTAGGAGACCGCCTTTCGGATGTTTCAGCCACTTAGGAGGGAAGAAATTTCTTTTTTCTTTTTCTTTTCTTTTTTACGTCATTTTCATCTGGGGATCACGCTTACCTGTTCTGTCTAAAACCCCTCGCTACCAGCCTACCAGACACAATCTGACCATGTAGCCCCAACAAGAACCAAAGGGGTCTGTTGGAGGTTGTATATGCTCGGCATTCCTTACCACTTGGCTGTGAATATTCTTTCAAGGAGGATCTGTTGAAACCATCAGGTACGATGTGCACTTGGCGATGCGTTAGACTGGATCTACGCTGCAGGAAGAATTATCCCGCAAATTTCAGTGCGATGGGGTCATTGTGCCTCGATCGGCCCCCTTGAAATTTCGGTATGCACATAGCGCTAGTATTTTAAAAATATGATCAGCAGGAGGATATTCACGATCCATGCTGCGATGAACATAGATTTGCCATTATGGCACCATTTCCTCTTGACCTACTTCCGACAGTCTACAACATAATATACCTCACCTTTGACGTGCTCAGCATCATGTCAGACCATGCTGAACAACCCTGAAAAGTGCTTGTGCTGTCGCACAGTGCGACTCTCCAAAGTTAGAAAGTGGATACAGCTCGGTGAATGATGCAATGGTTGGAGTAAAAATACAACCTTTTCTAGTATTGTTCTGGTATTCGGTATTCATAGGCGAATCTTCTATTTTGAGTCAGTGTACGCCGTACGGAGTACCTTGTGCTTTTCTCAGCCTTGGTATTGCGACTATGCAGAACTAGAACGCCAAGTATTGTATAGCCACCTTGGCATCAAATGGTCACAGGAGAGTGAAAATTCCTTGCACCTGACGTGATTGAGAGAGATCTTTCCTCATCAACAGAACAATGTTGCGGTGTGTGATTTACAAGGGATAATAACGTGTGTTATGATGAATGGAAAGTAGAGAGATCTGGACACTGGCTGATCTTGAAATGAGAGGTTTTTCTGCATTTCCTGGGGGTAATGGAAACCCTCATTGGATGCCAAGGCAGTTTCTGTTACGTTTTGCCACTGGCTATTGGCGGAGGAGCCCCAGTCAGATGACCTGGTCGTTGTCAAGTGGGCGGCAATGCTGCAAAAGCGGCAAGCAAAACTGAAAGGACAGCGCTAGGGCTGCCGCGATCTGGGGGGGGTTTGCACCAATTATTGTCCGGCGGCAGGTCACACGGGTAGTTCCAGGAGGCTAGCGGGTGCTGACACAGCACTGAAAGTGGGAATCTCTCTGGCCGCTTCTCAACCGATGACGAAGGGAGAAAAGAATTTAATGGAAATTAAAAAAATTCAAGAAAGAATAAAAAAAAAATCTGAAAAAAACCCCACAGTACCTTGTGACCCGTGGATGTCGTTCCTGGGAGATGACTCCAAGGGCCCCAAGGGGACTATATAACAGTTTTGAGTCCCCGCTGTTGCTAAGGGGATCCATAGCAATTTTGAAAGCAAATTCTATTGTGCCTCACATGGACGTGCTATTATAGCATTCACAGCCTAGACTGTTCACGTTTGCCTCTTAAACTTCAGCTCTACAACCTATTCACCCTACTACAACCTTTTAATACTTCCTTCTCACCACACACACACACAACCATGCCTTCAAATTACCGCGTCGTTGAGCCTCACCCCTCCGTCCCGCACGCTGGCCGTCCAGCCGTCTACACCGGTCGCGGAGGATCAGGAAACATCGTCAGCTTGAAGAACACCAAGACGACCGACTCGCGCAGCGCAACGGGCCCTGCCTCCCTCACCCGCCTCGACTCCCGCACACAAGACACCTTCATCTCCGGCCGCGGCGGCGCAGGCAACGTCCACAGCAGCAGCGAGCGCGCCATCTTCAGCTTCGACGAAGAGCTCGAGCGTGATCTCCGTCGCGTCGCACCGGTCTACCACGTCGGCCGCGGCGGTGCGGGAAACACCATCTACCGCGACGACTGCAGCCAACCCAGTCTCAGCCGCAAGTACTCTGCCGCCAGCACAGCTACGAATTCCAGTACTGGCTCTGTCGCTGACCGTGCTCGTGACATGGCTCGTCGCGGTCTCGAGAAGGGTTGGGGCAAGCTGAAGGGTACTGCCTAGATGCCATTTCCCGACACATTCGTCCCATGGACAAACATCAAACGTATCAACGACATAACGACCTCAAAAAAGTTCTTTTCTTTTCTCACTTCTTCCATTCTCCTTGTTCGATCAATATCGACATCGCCGGGACTCTACCGATTACCCAGACCGAAACAGAGGACTCGCGTTAAAGTTTCTGGTCTTTTTACAAAGACCCTTTGATACCCGACTGTTTCCTTTCTGCATGTGCAACCGATATTCCCCACGAACATATTCAATATTTCATGCAACTACTCAGCTGAAACTCTTCCCTCATGAACAAAGCCGGCGTTTTTCATTGTTCTTGGTGGTTCATTGTGCCGAGAGCCAAACCACCCTGCATCACATTTGAACGTCTGGTCAACACACCGCACTTGCCCATTCACTCTATTCAATTCCAACGCACCATCACCCAGGAAACCAATGCCATCGAACAACAATTGTCTGGCCGCATCCTCGGGAGTTTATGTACTTGTTTTTGCTTGCTGTACACACACATCTGGTGCTTTTCTCTTTGTTACCTGGTTTCTTTGCTTTCAAACATATTCCCCCCATTTTGCGCAATCCGGGCTGCTACATAATTATGCGGCGGGTAAACCAAATGAATTACATGCTTGGATTCTTTTTCCGGGCTTATGACATCTCTCCTAAATATTTCCTACTTTCGATATCGTACTTGTAACTCGTAATATTGTAAATGTACTGGCATTGCAACAGCAAAAATTCCAAAGGTTAGACCGTAACATCGTCGGGTAGTATAACTGGTAACCTCATCTACACGGCCGCGGATAGCCGTCTCCAGCCGAGAGAATCCCCTTTCCTACATCTTCCCTACTTATGCACTGTCTCTGTGGCGATGAAACTCAATTCAAGATCCTTGTCATAGCCAGGTCTGGAAGACTTCTTCATTCACGTCTACTTAGCTCTATCAGAAATCACTTGAACGTGGCGAATTACTTTCTCGTGTAGACGGGCCGACCAGTCCGGAGAACTCGGAGCGGAGAGAACAAAGAACAGGGAACAAAGACCGAACTCCGAGGAGAAATGTGGTGCTTTTTTGTTCTGGGTGTGACTGTTGCTGGTTTTTCGTTTGGTCGTTCCAAGGACTTGATATAATGATATTCATCTAGAGCTACCTAGATCTATTATCTGACGAGGGGGCTGATCATAGACTTACTGGACAAAGAATTCCCGATTTGGCTGTCTTCTTGATTTGGTGAAGGGAAGTGTGGCTGGTTACTTGTACTGGTTGCATGCTTCGATATTGGTAGTATCGAGAACTAGACTGAACTAGCACTTCTGACTCCAATCAAAGGGTCGATGGCAGCTGCGTCAAGTAGACTAGCATGATACACCTCTAGAGAGGCTGTACGCATGGCAGAGAAATGGCATTACGATGATACATGCATGTATGCAGCCAGTATTTCCACATTGTAACATTATGTCTATGTAGAGTAGGCCCATTTCCAAGACGCGGGAGAGAATGTATTTGCACAGATAAAGATGGCCAATGCCATGACATGACCGGAGAGTAAATCGGAAGCTGGGGTATCAAGAGTCGCGCAATGCGACTCGGATTTAGGATGCGGGTCGGCCACTTCGTGTATGCACTGCCATATGCATGATGATCGACCAAAGTCAACAAGACCTTTGGTCCTGCGTTATGTATTCTGAGGGTGTAAATGGTGCCCTTGTGGCCGTGTTGGGTAGTGTCTTGACTAGCCCCGGGTGACTCCAGGGCTCGGGAGAAGGCACCATGATATTGAGGACTTCCGTATAGACGAGCCCTTATGCGAATCGCTTGTGAATCACCTCAGGATCCTCGTGCCATTCGTCGGCGCTTACCCACATCTAGAGAGTGACTTGTTAGTTATGGTGCATGCGTATGATGGATTCATGCATACCTTTCTAAACGTGCTTAGGCCAGCGAGAATGCTGCCACCAATCCACGTGGTGTACTTGCGCTCCGCAGGCGCGGAAATGCGGATCTTCATGTCCTCAACAGCCATTTTCTTGATCTCGCGCATCAACCGATCAGGGAAGTTCTTGCACAGCGTTGAGCCTCCAGAAAGCACGATATTGAGATATAACGATTTTCGCAGATCAAGATCTGTACGAGTGATGGCATCCTGTACAATCTGGTGCACACCGGGATACTCAAGCCCGATAAGCTCAGGATCGAAGAGGATTTCAGGCGCACGGTAGCGTTCTTGGCCGATCTTCATACATACTCATTAGCATTGCTGTAACCAGGCGACAGATCTCAAGTCGGTAGCTTACCTTGATTTTGTGACCGTCCGGAAGAGCATACTCCATTGCCTTCGCATCAGACTTGTGGTAGCTGTTCATCCATTCCTTCTCTTCGCGCTTCGGATCCAACGACACGTAGCAGACCTTCTCCTTAATCATTCGCACCACCTCCTTCTCAGCACTGGTGTGCAACACATGCCCAGCCTTCCGCAGAAGCACCTGCATCTGTTCCGTCACATCACGCCCAGCAACATCGATTCTGCGAATACTATTGGGAATAGCGAAACCCTCGAAAACAGGTACCGCGTGGGAGACACCGTCTCCAGAGTCCAAAACCACACCTGTCGTACGGCCAGACGCGTACAGCGACAACACCGCTTGAATCGACATATAGAGAGCCGGCACGTTGAAAGCCTCGAACATGAGCTGGGCAGCGATGTCGCGGTTTGCGCGCGGGTTCAGCGGCGGCTCCGTGAGCAGGACGGGGTGTTCTTCGGGGAGGGTCTTGAGTTCGTTCTCGTAGACGTAGTGCCAGATCGATTCCATGTCTTCCCAATTCGTGACAATTCCGTGCTCCAGTGGATATCGGATCTTCAGCAGGCCGCGGAGTTCTTGTGCTCGGGACCCGATGAACGAGTCACCTTCCAGACCACCGGCCATCACCCGGGGGTGTTTGGGACGACCGACGAACGAGGGAAAATAACATGATGGAATTTCTTCTCCGGCGAAGCCTGCTCGGATCGTGCCACTGCCGTTGTCGATGACGATGGGCACGTTGTGGAGGGTAGCCTCAGCCATCGCGGGGAGCGCGGTGTGGACGGGAGGTGAAGTCGGATAGGGACAAGGCGCGGGTGTAGACGGCCTCTCGGCCTAGGATGGACGGCTCGGGGGATCGACGAGGTGGTTGGATTGGAGGCTGTTTTGATCAGATGGTTGGGCGGCGATGTTGTTCTTGATTCAGGAGTAGACGCGCGCAAACCCGCAAATCGGGAATTGTCAACAAGGAGCTTGGGCCACTTGGTCGGCCACGGCTGCGATACGGGGGAAAGATGTTACTTTGATTATCCCAAATTAGGCCTTACTACGTAGAATACTATACTGATCATGTGTAATTCTATCAGACTATCATGCTATGGCCTAATTGCTAAGGGAATATTTGGAAAGTGATTGATTCTCCGTGAAACAGCTCGAATTCAACAGATCAAGCCTGCACACTTATCGAAATACCAAATTCGTCGCTAGAAGTCATAATTCATAATGAAGTCAGAGGCTCAGAGCAATGCCCCCAACTCAGTCAATGATGGAAAGTTCACCGGAGCTGTCTGTTTCGTCGCCAGAAAAGTACGCAGCACATGATACGAACGGGGTATTCTAGTCCAAAAACCCCATTTCGTCAGACAAATTCTTCGTAAGGTTTTCATCTTTAGCTCTTGAAGACAATACCTCGGCCTTCTGAGACTCCGCCAATCTAATGGCACTACCCACATTCCTGGCCGGTGGTTAGTATGTCCCAGATAGACAAGGGTGTGGCTACGTACTCAACTGAACTGCTGACCACATATTTATCTTCTTCCAACACATCAGCAAGCTCCTGCTGATGGTTATCGGCGAGATCTGGGTTGGGAACCACGATCATAGGCACACCCAGGCGAAGTCCAGCAAGAATAGTCCCGGTTCCTATGAGGCGGTAAGTGTCTGGGTTATCGAACTTTCGCGGATCCCATGCATAGACTGCATTTCTCGATATAAGAAAGAAATAAAGCAGAGGGTCATACCAGCATGGCAGATGATCAAACCGCGCTCTCGGTCATAAACCTTTCTTTCCACAGTCTGTAGCAGAAAGCTGTCGATGCTCGGCTGGAAGTCGAATCCTCCGATGGTCAGACCATTGTGTGCTTCCTCATCGGCGACAAATTTATCATAGAGGTCCTGGCCGTCTTTTCCGTACTGCACGAGGAAATGGGTGTAGCCATGTTCGGTGAGAGTCTTGGTGAACTTGGAGGTGAGTACCTGCTCCAGTAGTTTCCTAAAGGCAGCAGTCGCGCCAACGGTCACAAAACACAACTTCATCAGAACGGAGTTGAATGAGACAATTTGGATGAAGTGAAAAGCCCAATTATCACCCTTAGAAATTTATGCAAATACTTGTGCCATCATCAATCGTCAAACCAGAACATGCGTCAAGAAGCATGTATGAGATCACGTGAGATAGGCGAGCTAACCATATTTGGAGTAGCGCAGGGCGGTGAACCTCGCAAAAGTGGAAGCGGAAAACATCACAGTCGAGATCCTGTCCCTACCCACGCTATATCCTTAACAATGGCTTCAGCAGCTCGGTCATTGACCCAGTCAACCCGGTACATGGCTCGGAGGGGCCTGATGGCCCCTTCTGTCCGGTATTTCTCGGCTTCACCACTCAATCGCGCCCAGGAGGACCCGGTGATGCCTCCTCCGCCGAAGGACCTCGCCCCGGAGGATTTCCCTCCTATGCCTGAGTACTCTGTCGAGAACCTCACCAAGGAGCAGCGATCAATGTACGACCTGATGTCTCCGGAGGAGCGCGCGGCCTTCGACGAGGAGAACACCCGCATGGTCGCTGAATTCAACGACCCCGTGAAGCGTGCCGCAATTTTCTTCGAGCTGGAGAAGCGCGTCCAGCAGATTGATAAGGAGGAGGATATGCGATTTGAGGATATCCGTCCCCGCCAACCTGGCTTTTGGGCCGAGGATGAGCCCGATGAGTTGGCTCAAGTGGAGGATGGCGATGAGGAAATCAACGACGATGAAATCACCTCGATGGCACATGCCGAGATGGAATTGCACCGCGAAATGAGAGAATACGCCCGTCTCACCGCATGGGACATGCCAATGCTGAGCAGTAAGGCCAAGAGCCCCTCGGAATGATTGATTCCATTCGCTAACTTGGAAATACAGAGCTCGCCAAACCATTCACTCTGCCTCCCCCTACCCACATCCTCCGTTTCCGCTACACTACCTACATGGGTGAACAGCACCCCGCTGAGCCCAAGGTCGTTGTGGAACTTGCCTCCAAAGATTTGACCCCCACCTATCTCACCGAAGCCCAGCGCCAAACCTTCCTCAAGCTGGCCGGCACCCGCTACAACCCGCAGACCGATATCGTCCGCATGTCAAGCGAAAAGTTCGCCTCGCGCGCCCAGAACAAGCGCTACCTGCTCGACGTCGTCAACTCCATGATCAAGGAGGCTAAGGAAGGCGACTCTTTCGCCGATGTCCCTCTCGACCTCCGCCACCACAAGCCCAAGACTAGACTGCAGTTCCCCGAGTCCTGGAACATGACCGAGGCCCGCCGGAATCAACTGGCTGCCCGTCGCAAGGAGCGCTTGGCTGCTGACGAGTCCCGAGAAGCTCTGGTGGACGGTAGCACTGTTGTCGCTCAAGCGATCAAGAGTCTGCCCTCGCTTAACCCGGCTCTCCAGGCCAAGGCTGCCGAGGAGCGAGAGCGTGTTGCTGTCAAGGTTGGCGCTCGCAAAAAGCCAGCTCGCCGGTGATTGATGTTCGTCAAGTGTATATTGGGTGTGTTTGAGAAGCTGTTGTCAGACATTTGCGAGGCGCGGGCGCATACTCTAGGATTTTTCGCATTTTTTCTTCGAATGTACTATAGTCATTTTATTCAATACCTTGGCGGCTCGCTGATAGTGTTACCACTCCAATTGTAACTCGGTTCAATCTGCCACTCCATCTTAGCTTGGCAGAGGTCAATGTAACTCGACTGCCCATCGGTACATGGATGCTATCCTACCTATCCATATGGTGACAACGAAGACGGAAAGAGTGATCACATTCATATATTTCTAAATAAACAAGTCTCTACTCATAATGGACCTTGTTAATCAAAGTACCAATATTCTCAATCTCAACCCGCATATCATCACCGTCATTCAACACAACCTTAGGGTTGCGCATGGCACCAATGCCAGGACCAGTGCCGGTCATGATGACAGTTCCCTTCTCCAGAGTAGTACCCTGTGAAAGGAAAGCAATAGTCTTTGCGATATCGAAGATCATTTCCCTATGTCTTAATTAGCCACATATTCATATCCACCACAGAACAGAAACTCACCGAGTATTGGAATCCTGCACCACACTCCCGTTGTGAATTGCCTTAATGGAAAGGTTGTGCGGGTCACCGATAGCAGAAGGCGAGACCAGAACGGGACCCAATGGGCACGATCCATCGAGACCTGTTTTTCAGCATTAGTATAACCATATACAAGAACCAAAGGCCATGTCAATTCTTACCTTTTGAGAAACACCACTGGCTATTCTTAAATTGCTGCGTGCGAGCACTGACATCGTTACTGCACGTGTATCCAAGAACATAATCCATAGCTTCCGACTCGGGGATATCCCGACCAGACTTGGACAGAATGATAGAGAGCTCAGCCTCGTAGTCGCTGGAGCCGTCCTGAGCGAGCTTGGGGACGTTGATCTTGGCCGGATAGGGACCGTTGAGAGCTGTGCGGGGCTTGATGAAGAGGACTGGCACGTCTGGGATGGGCATGTTTGCTTCCTTGGCGTGGTCGCGGTAGTTGAGGCCCAGGCAGCGGATGATGGGGACTTCTTCGATGCCGATTGGGGCGAGCAGCTGTATTGGAATTGGTTAGTTGGTGTTTGGAGAGGGGAAGGGGGGTTAGGTTAGGGCTGGATAGGATACGTACGCGGGCGATGTGCATGGTTGTGTCTGTTACGACGCCGTCGAAGATTGTGCCCTTGACTAGTTTGACTGCGATTTTCTCGCCTTTTAGGACTGCGAGGCCGACATCTGGGTAGGTCTTGGAATCGACTTCGCCGAGGTGGGGTTGGCCATCTTCTTCGCTGATGAACTTGACGAGGTTGGTCCAGCTGGGAGACATTTTGGGGCGAGTGGGTTGTTTTGGGAGAGAAAGGGGACTTGGACTGGAGGAATGAAGGGGATGGATGAATCTCTAATGGACGAAGAGTTAGACCCTTTTGTAACTGGAGGTACTGGAGCTACAAAGAAAAAGACAGATTGAGTCCCACAGTCGGATGGAGATCCCCACACGGGGCTGTGGGACAACTTCGGGCTATTCTTTCGGGAATTAGGGCGTCAACTTATATCCGTGTTTTGGCAAAACGAAGACTGCTAGCGTCATAAGTGATCTAGGAGCCTAGTGTCTGTCTAATGTGTCTATCAATGATTTAGCTCATTCCCCTTCAATTGAAGGTCAAATATCTCCACCAATCCGATGCGGGGAAGCTCGGAAAATGCCGAGATGCCAAACCTTCTCGGGCCAATTTCGGACCGTCTCCGGTCACACTCCCCACATTCTATCACATCATGAAGATCTCCCTCCATGGAACTGACAAGACTGTGTGTCTCTGGGAGACCGACTTGGGCCAATTTATTTATCCGTTTATCTGTAGTGTCACAATGTGACCTCATGACCTCATACGCCACTGCTTTACAAATCGAGCCCTGGAGTTTATAGAAACACGGAGTTGATTAGAAGTAACGCATGAGCTAAAGTAGGCTCCGAAGCCCTAGTATCGATAGTACCAGTAATTGAAGACAAACTATATCCCCGTATACTACGGACCATTCTCAGTACCCAAAGAAACACGTATACAAGCCTACTGCAGGAAAGTAGGAGGCAAATCCGGACCTATCAAGAGATTAGTCTCTATCACAACAGCGTCAGACAACGGAAACATACCCCAAACATGCAAATTATCCGGCGAAGCAAGGCATCGATTGATAGGATGTTGATCATCCACTAAATCACCATCGACATAATGCTCAATGATGAATCGCGAGGGGTCGAACCTGCATATTAGAACAGCCATCAGAACTGACTTTCACCAACAATGTGTACAGAAAAAACATACCAATAATCAAAGATCTGACTGCCCATGATGTGGCGTCCAACACCCCAGCAGTTCTCGTACCCCTTACTGCGAAGCCAGTCATGACCCAGGACCTGGGTGTCGAAATCGTGCGTCTCGAATGACGAGTGGTGGACATGCGACTTGGGGCCTTCAAATAAGAAGAAACAGTGGTGATCGACTAGTTCGGAGCCGCGGTCCAGGTGAAGGAAGGCGGTTATGTCTTTTCCAGTTGGGTCGTGGACGAGCTTTATTCGGAGATAGCTTATTAGAATGCATAACAGATTGAGGGTGTCGCCTAAAACCGAGTATTGAGTACTCACATCACTTGGCTTGAAGTTGAACCTGGTGGTATAGAACTCGAAAGCCTTCGCGAAGTCGGTCACGCACATTCCAAAGTGCCCTAACTTGTGCACAGGAGCCGGACCTATTCAATCTTAGCATGAAGAACAAGCCCCAAGCAGCTTCTCATAAACTCACCCTTCGCAAACCGCTGTGTTTTATTCCCAGGCCTGTGTTTCTCCGTCGGCTGCGAAAACAATCAGCCAAAGACCCCAACAAGCAACAACCACAAAAACTCACGAAATTAAAGTCCAATTGCGGCAACGCCTTCTCCTCATCATATAACGTCTGCCCGTACACAAGATGGAACGGAAACTTATCGACAGGATCATAGAAAGTAACACAACGACCACCACCAGGCGCATCAAGCGGATAAATCTCCGTCGCCCCGGGTAAATTTGTCGCAGCAATGAGATCAGCCTCCGACTCGACGACGAAAGCCGCGCCGCCGAAGACGTCCTCGTCGCCTTGTCGGGCGCAGTATACGAATGGCTGGGCGCTCGTGCCGCGGTAGTAGATTTCTTTGCCTGCGCGCTTGACTTCCTGGAAGCCGAAGTCTAGGAGGAAGTCGTGGGCTTTGTTGATTTCTTTGTGCGTGTAGTAGACATGTGCGATGCGGACGAGGTTGATTCTTGGATTTGTTGTGGTCATTTTGGCGGTTTGGATGGATGGTATGGGTATGGAGAGGGCTTGGTGATGGGATGGATATAGTCGAGTCCATGATTAAGTATTGTTGAATGAAATGCGAGTGTAGATCTTTCTCGATGGGGGTTCGATGTGGCTTACAAGGGTGTTCATCGTCGGATTGGCGTCATGAAGTGCGAAGTTGGTCCGACGGAGGATCTTCGGGCTTTTGTTGGGAAATGGACTGAAGAGGGGAATTTGTGGAACTTCTATTATGATCGTTTCTATTGGAAGCAGATGGAAGTCATTGATTTCATTTCATTCTGTTGTGGTTAACTTCGCTGTGTTGAGGTTGCCGTTGCACTCATATCGTATATCGACGGAATCATCGCCTCAGCGAATACACCTGGCAATCCGTTCATGTTTGCCCAGGTGACCCTATATGCGACCTTCAATATCTACAGCATTCATACTATAGTAATTTTTATTTATGTACTTTCCGGACGGTCTTGTTGTTCAGCTTGTGGACGACACTGAATTGACCCACACTGATAATGCTTTGTTGGCAGGGTTGCTCAAGTTCCTCAAGTTCACTGCAGAACCTACACTTTTGAACCAGTCATCAAATATCAGTTTTCCTCCTAGCGTACCAAAATCATCGTGCCCTGAAGGCTAGACGGCTATTTGTCGTTCAAGTCAACTACCAGAGGGATGGTCGGCTCAGATAGGCTTCCTTTCTCAGGCTCTGATAGATATGGATTTTCAGCAGATTGCGAGTTGCGACATCTGCATGTTGATAAACAATTGGAGTGAGATCTGTAGGGAGCCGCGTCCATGTGTATGTGAGAACAGATGCAAGCGAATTCTGCTGTTGAATGAAGCAGTAAAGGGTATCTCAGGCATGTTTGAATAGTTCATGCCTCATGGGCTTGCCGATGTTTGGTCAGTGTCACTTGGTGGCTATGTAGAGGTATGCCCTGTGGGTTGAGATGAGAGTTGCCGTTGGGAAGATTTCAAGTGACAAGATGGTATTGGTCGGATGGATGGATGCACCGCGCTGCGCGCATATGACCTGCCTGAGGCTGCCTCGGTGTGGTTCGCTCCTTCTTCCTCGTTGACTTCTTCATCACTGCTGCGCCACAATCCACAACCGCCACAACACGTGATTTTCCCATCTGTTGACCAGGATGCGTCCATTTCCCTTTCGTCGCCGCGTTCGACATGCGTTGGCTCGCTTTCGTCCCTGGTCCGTCCCAAACTACCAAATAATCGAAAGGATAAAACCAACGGCCACATCGCCATAAGCGGCATCCAAAAATCCCCCGCGAGATATTCCAACTCATCATCGCATTCCTCCCAATACCAGATCAAATCTGCTTTGCACTGACTTGCAAGTCTCTGCTCGTCGCGTTCCAGTGCTTCCTCGATGGAGAGAAACTATCACTTCCTCAGCTCCTGCCGCGAAGAGATCGGCTAGCCTTGGCACCAAACGTTGATGAATGCCCTCGGATTAAGCTACTCCACCAACTTGAAAATGATCGCTGGAAGTAAGTACTGCGCCGACTGTTGGGACCTCCACCCACTTGCTGCATTCTGTGCTCCACGAGGCCGAGCATCACTCGCGATCTCGAGCAGCCTCCTCTCCGCCGATACCCTCCGTCCGATATGCATGCCGTATGCTGGCGAGGTTTCTATCTACCCTTGTCGAAGGATCACATTTCGGGACAAGCAGTATCTGATGGAAGAACCGAATTTTAACGAGATGTCCGACTCTCAGCTATCGCGCATCCTATACTACTGCTATACCCTCCTACACATAAGTGCGCAGTGACTGGTCATCCGAAATATGTGATTGAGGTCGAAACTGCGCTTCGGGAGTCCAAACGTACTCACACATTATGCGTGCTGAGTCGGCATAGGGTCTACCTTCGGTCAGAAAACACACAGCCGCCAGTATTTTCTTCGACTTGAGATGAAACATCCAACACCCGGTCGGGAGGCGTGCCGCGCCTTCCGGGCAAGGCTGCCCGAGAATTCCTACAAAGCCTCTACGGAGAGTCTGGTCCGGGCTTTGTGGGATGGAACAATAGCCGTACGTGTCGGCTTGAGTTCAATAAACGGGGTCGCAGGGTTTCGGTGTACCTGGTTCGGAGCCTAGGGAAAGAGGACTGGCCGGATCGCGATTGGGCTCGCCAATGTCGCTAAGAACAGCTTGCGACTTGGCCCTTGATATCCCAGGCTGGGCTCGAAGCCCAGCCTGGGATATTTGTCTTACTCGAGTCCACCTCGCTTTATCATGCTTATGACGCAGCATGAGGGGCCCACATATCCCAAGATGAGAGTCTTATTTGTATCTTTATTTGCTCCCGGAATATCTGAAACTAATTCCCTGGAATATTTTGGTTACTTCTAGCAGTAAAAGAGCGCTTCCTTAAGGGAAAGATGAGGTCATGAATAAGTAGCAGAAAGCATTCCCTCTGTGGTCGTGATGGATGGCTACCTGGAAACCAGGGAGACAAGAATCATGATACATAAAGGGGTTTTGGTACCTATTCACCGCTATGTACTAACTCACCGCTACGTATTTCTGCCTGTGGGGGAGGTGCCCAATGCCTTCCTTGACTAATCAAAACTCTCATCTCATCTGTGGGACGCGGCCCGTCCCGCACCAGCAACCCCACATTACTGTAGCAAGCCCAGCACCGAAAGTCACAGATTCAGACAATGGCAATAACAACGCCGGAGTACTTTTCGACGAAGGAGGACCGATATCACACACGCAGAGAAAGACAGACATTTTTTCAAAGGACCGAGGGGACACCCTCAGTCAACGCTGTTAGACATGAAGATCCTTCTCACATCATTGCTCAACGGAATTAAAGATGGCGACAATTTGATGCAGTCGCAGCATATCTTAATGCATCATGAGAAGAGTCAGAGAATACATGATCGTCACATCCTAGGAGTATTAAAGTACAGTATAGAGATCCTGAATAGTTACAGGTCAATTAGATCAGGTCAATATGCAGTCCATCCGGCAAGTAAATCCTGTATACCACCCGAAAAGTCGAAGGTAGGCCAATCAAGAACCTGTTCATGTTGGGCCTGACCCATTGCTGGATCGAAAAACTCAGAACTGGGAGGCATCAAGTACTGCCCAGATGTCTGGCTTCTATCTTGTGAAGGAGGCATCATCCCCAACATCACCATACTATCAACCGCATCGGGATGGTGTCTCGCATAGCCCTGGGCTACGACATCTGTTCCGCCATCGACAAATGTCGAAGCCTCAGCATAATCCCGCGGTGATTCCGGTATATACTGAGGCTGTTTGTGTCTAGGCTTCTTCGTCGCCGTAAAATGCGGCATAGTGGGGAGTGTCCGTTTTCTTTTCTGGTGCCCAACGTGGCTGGTCTGGTCAGACGAAGACTGGCTTTCGCGCGCATCCATCGTTCGTTTCCTAGCCTCGAGCTGCTCTTCAAGAGACTCCAGATTTCGCTGCATGGCAGTTTGCGTGCCCCAAAAGTCGACGCAGCGTCTATATGTCAGGTAGAGAACGTCAAAGCGTGATTTAATCAAGCTTCGACTGGCAGGTGCTCGAGCAAAGTGCTTGCGCACCAGCTGCACCGCCGAGGCAAGCCATATCGTACTAGATAGGAAGGGGTTGATGTGTTGGATATGCTCCTCGCAGCTTTGGCTGACAATTCGTAGGATGCCATCTGCTGCTTCATAGTACTGTCGCTGCGCCGCGCTCTCGGTATCTTGTGGATTGAATGGAATCGCACCGGCCACATCGCCAGGTCGGGAACCGGCGTTGATGTCAGATTGACGACTCTGAGGCCTGAATGCATCGTATCTGTGGATCATCAACCGAGTAAGCTGTGTCATGACAAAGATATTGTACAAGGAACAATGTTGCTGCCGTTGAGATTCCAATTGTCCCTGTACCGGCGCACCGAAGGATAAATACTGATCATAATATCGCAAATGCGCCGGTAAAGCCAGACTAAAGCAACGCACTGCATTTCCCAGCTTCTCCAGTTTCTGTCGACTCTCCTCGACCCAAGTGGTACGCTGACTCGACTGCTGATGGCCACTGTTGCCCATAGCAGATAGTCGCTGGGAATCCGAGATGTAATGGGCAACTTTCATCATGGAATTGATGACGAGGAACCATGCTTTCGGGGACTGATTGCCGCTATCCTGGAGCGCCTTCCAACACTGGTTTTTATCGGCGTCCATGAAACAGCTTGGAGCCGGCTGGCCCTGGAACCAATTGGCATTATCAACCGGCAGTAGTACCTCCATGTGTGCCCAGTCGATCGCCGTTGGTGTTTGCCGAATAGTGCTGGCGAAAATATCCATTTCGAAGACCGCCCAAAAGGCACGACGCTTTTCTTCGTCCGCTTGCCACTGTTGGGTATCGGTAGGTCTGGCGCTAATTTCACTGTCAAGTTGGTGCAGGCTTAGCTCGTATACCAGACGAACACAGAGGCCCAAAGACCTCCACGCCTTTCCGCGGACACCTCGGGTGAGCTGGCAATGCGTTGCAATGATGAGCGCTTGCAGAACGCAAAGAGGTGGCATCTCGTCATCACACTCTACAAGAGCCTTGTTCGCGTATTGAAAAGCACGCCTAACAAAGTGTTCAGGCTTCTCATTATCACGAGGCGGGATGTCGGCTCTCATGTCTCTGGGGGCTTGGAACCGTGAGGCATACCCAACTATTGCAGCGAGCAGGGCAGTCAATTGATAGAGTGAAGGAATGTTTGAGAGTTTTTCTGCAAATGTAGGTTCGTGAAAGATATTAATGGCAACCATGTTGTCAAGGAAGACTCGAATCCTATAAACAGTATCAATTAGATTTCACTTCAGTTGAATCCCAGGGCGGCCATGAACCTACATTTGATTCATCGTAGATTGCGATAAGCCTAGTTCCAGACAAGCGTCACGGCAAAGCCCACCTTGCGCTCGGTCGCTAAAGGTCGGGCTCTGCTCTTGATTAGTGCTGGGAGTCGTAGCTTCGTGAGATGGATGAAGTATGTAGGAAAGATCCTGTATGTTCAGGTGTGATGTCCGCGATCGATCGTCTTCATGTGTCTCTGCTACAGGCAATGTCTCCGAATATGCAGTAGGAACCAGCCCTACTGCATCGGTGTCACCCTCAAGGGTGTTGGCATGGCGGTCTTCATAGGTCGGTGGACTCCGATCAGGGCTCACGCGCCGGCTTTGGGCTTTGCCGTTTGAACGGCGACTGACTCTCCGCTTTTGGAAAGATCCTGCAATCTGGTCAACTTCATTTCCGACTGCTTCGTTTGGGTCTGCAATCAGATGCAGTCATTTCTTACCAATTTTAGGCCCTGGTTTTCGCGGCTGGAGTGGGTAATTGCACGTTTGGCCCGTTTGTATACAGACCACACATTGAGGTACTGCGCGGTCACTGGGCGGATGTTACTTCAATGGATGATCTGTGAAGTAAATGTGGGGCTCTCCGACTCCTACATACCATTTGACCTTCCGCCTAGCAGTTGATGTCTCGTCAGTATGGTATTGCGTTTCCCTAGAGAAGGCTGAGCGGCACTTACTTGCGACATGAATGACAAGCCAAGTCAGATCTTGGCATCAAAGAATGCGTGCTCATCAGCTCTGTGTGCATTGACCAAGATCGCCCCGGAAGATAGTCGGGAGGTCGGGATGTGAAGGAAGTTCGGGGTATTCTGAGGCACGGGGATGAATTCGGCGGCAATTAAACGCGGTCAGAATTAAGCCGAGGATAGACCGAACCCCGCATTCATGTTGCGGAACATGTGGGGATTACCACATGACCTAGGCCTAAAGGACTACTGATCTACGTAGTCAAAATGAGGTCTCGCAAACTTTGAGCGGGACAGGTCACAGCCCGAGGCAGACGTGTCCAGAATGCATGAAATGAATATGATTGTTGTGAGATATATCATAGTGCAGCGAGATGGTTGTCGCTGAGAATGCCAAGTAACACACATCTAAGGGGCTTAAAAAACAGAAGAATGTACACGCATCACTGTGAATCCTCACATCCCAGGATAGACCTCATGACCGTGAGAAGCTTGTCTGAACAAGCCTCACTAACCTGCAAGACTGTGGTTGCTCTCCATGCAACAAACCGATCCGGTCGCACCAGCACAGCCCCTGATTCCTCCACACCTCGGAGACTTTCCCACTCAAAGTAGACGTCCTCCCAGTCTTGCCTGAATCCAATAGAATAAACTTGAATGGGAACATTGAGCTTCTCGGCAATAACCCCAGCCGCTTCCTTCCATGCTCCACCCCCAATTCCAGTGAAAAGTGTGAACGAGCCATGGCCAGCAAGATCAATTGTCGAGACAGGCTCCTCTGGAGTAGCCTTATTGAGCCAAACATGCGGCAGCCGGGAGCCGGGGTATGTGTTTGGTTCGTGATATAGTACTGGATCCTCGACTGCCTGTCCTGATCGAGCAAAGGGCTGGGCTTCATCAGCAGTGTAGATTCCTTGGCCGTCGTAGTGTTGGTTCATCTCAATTCCCAGGCCGTGGAATTCATGGGAGGTATGTTTGATTGCCGTGCGCAAGGCACGGCGACGTTCAGAGCCTTGTGAAGTCGCGCCTCTCAACTCTTCCAGTATCTGCTTCCGCTCGGAAACATCTGTCGCCAGCATACCAAGCGCCTCCCACACTGGGTGATGATCGCGTAACGCCTGATTTGCTCGAGTGATGACTGCATGACCAACTGGCTGTCTCTCGCTGGAATATGTGGATAGGAGTGACGGAGACGCAAGGCCCTTATGAACATATGCAATCTTCCAGGCCAAGTTGAAGGCATCTTGGATGCACGTGTTTGAGCCCAGGCCGTTCAATGGGGGGTGACGGTGCACAGCGTCGCCGAGACAGAAGCTACAAGCAGGACATTAGAGGGAAGTCACCCAGTGAGTAAACCAGGGTGACACTTACATATTTCCTTCCGAGTATTTCTCTGCAACAATCTCGTTGATATACCAGGTCGAAATATCGAGGATTTCGGCAGGCGTGTCATCGCCAATAAACTCTTGCACTCTCTTCTCGTACTCCTCCTTGGAGGGCTTGTTTTGAGAACGGTCATAGCCACGTTCCGGGAAAAGGATGAACATCCACTCATTCCAGGGCTTGACCATTCGGACGATTCCCATCCAGCCAAAGTTAGGATGCTCGCGGTCTGGCTGCATAACCCAGTGGAGATTGCCTGTCCGATTCTTGACAAGATGGGAGAGATCGGCCTTGACAAGGACGTTGATCGCAATGCCTTGTCCTGGTTTGACGGCAAGAGGAAGATTCAGCTGCTTCACCACTTGGCTGCGGGCGCCATCGGTGCCAAACAGATACCTAGTGCGGACTTGGTATTCGTGTTTGGAGATTTCATCACGAACGGTAACTGTGATCAAGCCGGTCTTCTCTTCGGTGACGAATGAAACCAGAGATGTGTCGAAGCGACACTTGAAGCCTTTCAAAGCTGCATGACGAACTAGGACTGGTTCTAAAACCGTCTGCGGCAGATCAAATGGTTGACAAGGGCTGGCCGTTTCATAGTCGCCCTTATAGACTGTTAGTTACGAGCAAGGTGATAAGAGGTAATAGTGGCTGTACGATACCTTTCGTCGTGGATCATTGCCCCAGGAATGAAGTCGTGCATACTCCTCGCCAGCCATACTGTGACACCATCTGGTATGTTGCATGTGGTCTTGGCCGGTAGAACCTAATTTCTCAAGCTCCTCATACAGACCAATATCTCGCAGACATTCTGATGAGGAATGTTAGCATCTCAGCTGCAACTTGACAGTTTCTCGTTACTAACCAAGTGCTGCCATGTTGGTGATATGTGCGCGAGGAGTATTCGCTGTCCCCGGCGCACTGCTAATCATGATTCCCTTGAGTCCTACAACATTCTTTTAGTAAACAAACCCACAAGTTGTCTCGATGCAAGTACTTACCATGAGATCCAAGAAAGCAAGCCAATGAAGCACCCGCCGGCCCTGCACCAACGATGAGGAACTCCGTATCAACAGCATGGCTCTCAACTTCACTCGGCCTTATATTCCTGCTCGTGTCGAAGTTGTTTGAAAGAAAAGGAGCCACTGGTTCTGAGGAGTGTGAATTGATAGCCATCTTAAGTAACAATGCGATTGTTTGAGTTAACCACAACGTGAAGGCAGCTCTTGTCGCTATAAATGCGAATTCCACGTCGGGGTTTTCAGTTCATTCTGCTGAGAAGAATTTGGGCTTGCGGTGTAGCGCAGTCACCGCAGATGGTGGGCCATAGTGGACGCACAGTTGTGCCGAAGATCGTCCGGTCTGGGATCTGCGCTGTCGGGTTATTTTCGCACAGCTCCGTTGCCTAGCCGAGAGAGAGACTAACCAGCACTATGCACATCGATCCCATGATCGACATTATGATCTCTCTGCTTTGGGGGATTGTGGAGAGAATTAGCCCAACGCATCAGTGACAAGATTGCTCAGGCCTCGGAGATTTGTTGAGCAATCGGCAATTCTTTTCGCGCAATTTGCCGACTCCGTCCACCAGTGGCCTCTCGATCAAGCAAATTGTAAATCTAGTTATGTCTTCGATTAGTTAGCTATGTAGGTCAACTGTTATTTCTTGCATCTGCGTGATTTTCTTGGGGACGCGTGCGGACGATGTGAGTTGACACAGCCCGATATACAATCGGCGGGCTTCCCGTCGCATTTTACAACTCACCTACCTTAGGTAGCTACCTAGGAGATCGGATCGGGTATTCCATTCAACCTATTTTCCGTCCACGGGCACTCATGGATTAAATAACCATAAGAACCTATTCGGGTACCTAATTCCATGGCTAGCTGTACTTTATCCTACTCTATGTGGTGTGGCTAGATGGCTTATCTCATTTGAATCCATTATTATACAATCATCTCTTATGCAAAAGTTGTAATGGGAGCTTAGGTAGGTATAAGATCGTTATATTTCGACTAAATGCTCTACTAGACCAGCCTTTAGAGAATCTCAAACGTCGAATCGTGAAAACACATCCCTCTGTGCAATCTCGAATTCCCTCATAATCGTCGCGCGTCGAGCTTCCGACCTGACCTTGATCTCGCAAGGGAAGTCCTTCGCACAAACCAAGAAGCCCTCACTGTACCCAGTCTCGGGGCTATAGTCATATTCAACCGGGTTACCATTCTCATCCAAACCAGGCCCAATTGAAAATCCCCACACCAACTTGGCAATGGCCAAGAAAAGATTCCGTTCAGCCAGGTGGATACCCGGACAGATTCTACGGCCAGCGCCGTAGCCATAGTGGTCACGAGTCTCGTAGTCTGCTGCAGCTGCAAGCTCGGGGGCAAGAGTAGTTCGGCCTTTGTAATGATCGGGGTCAAAGACATCGGGGTTTGGGAAGCGCTTCTCGTCATGGTGCATACCCCAGCCGTTGATGATGACGACGGTGCCTTTGGGGATGAGGTAGCCGTCAATCCAGTCGTCTGTACCATAGTTAGCTTCAATGTCGCTAAACACGGCAACGGAACCAATTTTGCTTACCTTCCGCAGCTGCGTGAGGGAATGCAAGAGGAACAACGGCTCGCCATCTCTGGGCTTCTTTGACGATGGTCGCGACATAAGGGAGTTTGTCATAATCAGACCAGACAGGAGTTCTATCTTCGCCGACCACGCTGTCCATCTCCGCTTGCGCCTTCTTCAACACGTCACCAAATTTGGTCATGGCATGGATGAATGAGATGATGATAGAGCTGCTGGTATCCGAGCCGCCCTCCATCAACACACCACCGAGGAAGTAGAGTTGATGGTTAGTAAGGTTCAACTTATCTTCCTGATCCAGCAGGTTGTCCATAAGTGAGTCTCTCTTGCCCTTCAACTTGCGGCGCTCTCGAACACGATCAAGAGTTCCGCCATATAGCCCGTTCATCTCACTGCCCACATCTTTCGATCTGGACAGCCAGTTGCCAAAGAACTTCTGCGGCACGTAGTGGAGGAATGGGTAGATATCGACGGGAGGGGTAGCACCGGCTTCCATGATCTTGGACCAGTTTTCCTATAACCAAGAGATCTTTAGTGATGCAGTTTGACAGATAGAATGTGATTGTCTTACCATCATGTCGTAAAGACGGGTCATATGGGGAGTATCCACTGAAGGTGTTCTGAAGCCGAAAACTAGATCACAAGTTAGAGACGATGGGACGAAAGCGGCAGGCTGTCGGCCTTGTCGCTGAACAGTCCAAGGGAGTGAACGAACCCAAACTCATGATGATACTATTACTGAACCGCTTGGGGTGATACATATGTTGGTCGGGCCGCGCACACATATCACGAAGCATCTGCACTGCCTCGGCATTCTGGACCTCGATATGATTCTTCTCAACCATAGACTCCATAAAGTGTTGATGGATGATCTTCCGGAACGACCGCCATTGTTGTCCATATTGCATGACCAAGAGGTGATCTCCCTTGGTCATGAGATCGTCCGACACATACGAGTGCGGTCTGTCGCTGTATTTCGCACTCTTCTTGTCGAGCAGCTCTTTGATGATGCGTCGGTCGGTGACGACAACTGCGGTTCCGGTTCCAAGCTTCAGGGAGTAGAGACCTCCATATTTCTTAGCCCATTCCGTGAATCTAGATTGAACAAGTCAAACGATTAGTCTCGATCTGCGGTATAAATGAGTAGTTCATCGCTTACTTCAAGTATGAGCCTTTGCTGGGAATTTGATGAAGGTTACCAAGCACAGGCAAGGTCGGCGGCCCTGAGAAAGAAAGACTGTCAACACGATGTGTCCTTGAGATTAACATGCCAAGATGTTCTTACCTGGAGGCAGGTTCTTTTCTCGTCTCCCTGTGACGAAGAACAGATATAACAGCGCACCAAGGACAATTGGAATAATCACAACAGCGAGCATGGTTGCAAATTGGGAGCTCAACCCTTGTCATTCAGGGGTGGGCCATCGGAAGCCGGGGAAGCCATTGCCTTTTTATGATATTCTGGGGGATTCTGGGGAACCAAGAAGAAAAACGCGGGGGAGCTTGGCCGAAGCTCGTAAAGTTCAAACCTTAAGGCTCCGGAGGAACTTCGCGCGAATTCCGCAACATCCCTGCTGCCTGACAATGCTCTGGGATGACGTCTACCAGTACCACGAGGTCGTCTCCTGACTCTGCATCTTTGAAAAGAGACCGATGTTGACACGGAGGCAATGATCTTCATGATACCACGTGACATGATGATCTGCGCTGATCTGCGCTGATCTGCATAGTGCACTGATCCCGACATAGTGTTCATCCGACGACCAAGTAACCTCTAGCGAGTAGCGACATCAAGATCGAACACTGGAAGGGACTGATCCATGGGGCATGGAGAGTGACCGATGACCCCGATGAGGTTGTTTGAATGTTTGGCGAGTTGTCGGGCGACTCGGGCTATTTAAGGAGGGCGGACCGACCTTGAGAGTCCGACGTCCTGTGCCTGAGGCTGGGTCCCTCAGGTACTCCCTGGGACTCTGGGTCCTGGTCTGGGAACCTGTCGAAGTTCGAAGCCGCAAGACTACTGAGTACATATTGTACTAAGGTTTAAGATTTTACCAAATACTGGAGAAGAGAAATCAAGCAGCAATATTTATCAATTTTAAACTGGGAGTATGTTTCATGAGTGGACTACCTAGAAGATAACTAGGAGTCAGCCTAGTCTAGGACTGGAGAATACCCAGACAAGGACTCATGGGATCTCCTAGAGACAAATATCACAAAAAGAGAACGAAAATATTGAAAAACAAACTCCATATGAGCAAGATCGTTCACGAAATTCATGAAACATCACAAGGTCCTCGCGAAAGAGGACCAAATATCATAGGGGACAGAAACGATTGTGGCAGATGATAGGTAGCACCTCTCACTCAGTATGTATGTAACTCTTAGGTGCTAGTGCTTGTCGCGTATTGACGCCTTGTTTCGAGATATACTATCATACACCACTGGAAATGGTTGAACATGCCGACTCGATTAGTCGGTGTGACGGCTGCTGGGTGAAGCAAAATGGAAAGGCAGATTCTCGTCAGCTGGGGGTGTGGTTCGCTTGAGGATTGGGCCCCCAATAGGACCCCAGGTAACACGAGTTTCCTCCGAGGTCAGACCCCCGTTGTCCTCAAAGGTGAGATTAGCCAGGGGTGAGACGAGGCTAGAGGGCCTATGCGAATTAACATCGTTTGTCGGGCCACGGGTGGTATTCGGCCGTCCAGAACGGACGGGACCCATGCCAAAAGGATCGTTCATTGGAGCGCGGGATGGAGGGAATTCCCTCCTGAGCAAGACGCCACCCTCAGTAGAAGGATTAGAGCTGTGCTGGTGCTCTTGATGGGGCCCAATGGGGCGCCACGCGCGCTCAACAGGCGGGGTACGAACGTGCTCAAAAGCACCTCGCATCTCATCGGCCTCATTATTCGCCCTCCACTCAAAGTGACGATCTGGTGTGCCGTCATCCAGAAGGGACCGGTTGTTGGCGGCTGGGGCAACGGAGGCTGTGCCAAAGGTCGCAGTGGTAAATTTGGTCTCAGTAGGGTCCGAATCATTCTCGCTGGAACCCGTTCCAAAAGGCGGGCTGTTCTCCGAATTCACAGGAAACGAAGAGAACGGCTTCGCGTTGCAAAGATATTGTTCGCCACTGCGCTCGCCAGAGGCGCTGTTCGGAGCCATGTTGGTGGCTGGGTGACGGGCATTGCGCTGATAGGCCTTCCAGTTTCCGGTTGTACCATTGCGGTAACCTCCGCGGTACTGGCCATAGTGAGGCACGTTTGACATTCTTCGGTTGGAGGGACCGCGAGGAGGCGACCTGCCGAGCCTGTCACCCTCGTGAGGATGGATGTTGAGACCTCTGTTGTTACCCCCGAATCCTTCATCCGTAGGAGGCGTCGAGGGTAGCATGGTCGAAGGAGGGTTATTGGCAATAGCAATTGGCTGACGGATTCCACGGTTGAGAAGACTCGGGATGTTGTACTTCTCACGGTACCAGCGAGGGATGTCGCGCAGGCCCAGCCAATTAAGTGTGGGAAGGTCTGTCGGCATTTGGTGCTTGTACATACAACCTGGATGATATAGGGTCAGTCAAGTCTTCACAGGGTCTTGGCCACCAAGTCACTCACCCTGCTGGGAGTAGTCACACTCTCCGTGTCGAAGCCAGTATGAGCAATATTCTTTCTTAGGGGCCTGTTTTAGATCCAAAAGGGTCAGAATTTGATTCTCATCACGCCAACTGCGTACTCGAACTTACGTTTCGATTGCCTGAATGCATGCCCAACTGGCAATTGGGAGCCACGGGCGACATACCGTCGCTGCTAGCAGCGGTGTCACCAGGGGAAATACCCAAGCGGTCGACCTCATAACACAGAATCTGGCGAGCAGAGTTCCGAAGCTCCTCGGGCACATTGGGATTGGTCATCACACTCAACAGGAGCTGCTGTGTATTGCCGTCTTGCTCATGACGAGGCGGCTGGGCGACCCCGTCGACGACCCAGGGTTCAGGTCGTGGGGAAGCCCTTCCGCAGCTTAGCATCCCCTGGGTCTCACGAGCCGTCAGCGTGCGAGGAACACCTCGCACAGTGACCTCAGCCTGTAGCTCATCCACTGCAATGAGTGGGGTTAAAGTGCCATCTGGCCGAGCGCAGAAAAACTGAGGACGACCACGAGTAGGCATGATGACGGAGTAAATTCTGAACAGAGTATCAAACTAGTCAGAAGAAAAGATAGTGTATGATAATAGTTATCCTGTCTGTATGATAACAGAAAGATAATAATATCAGTGGTTGGAAGATGGGACACGACAAAGAAACTGGAGTGGAGATAGTTGGAGAAGAAGAAGAAAAGCGAAGTGAAGGTGGTGGGAGAAGAAGAAGAAGAAGAAAAGTGAAGTGAAGAGGGAGAGAGAAGAAGTGAGAGTTAAGAACGAAGAGTAAAACTACTGTGCTATAAATTAGGACAGAACGAGGGCGGAGAGTCTGAAGGAGATGGAGGAGGAAAAAAGTGAAGTGAGAAGAGATTTGAAGTCATGAGACATGAAGCCTCATGTATGTAGATTATAAGCCTCACCCTGATGAAGCTTAGCAGCATAGCTCAGTCAACTACATATAGCATATCAACCTTCAAGGTATAACCGTTATCAACGTCCACACAAGAGCCAACTCACATGATTAGGTAGGACTACACAATGGGGATTCGCCCACCCAAAGCTTACAGTTGATTATCCGTAGAGACAAGGACATCATTATCTATGGACTCCCGAGATAAAGGCATTGACAAAGGCAAATATCTGAGAGGGAAGGGGTCCGATCTCTTCAGATACGTGAATGAGCCATGTTAGTGTTGAGAATCCATCTATGTTCTAAAGTTTGGGATGCGGTAGAAAGCTCATAGAAGTTTCCATGGATGCCCTTGGTGGGTCTAAGCGGTTACCTGCAGTAGAGGCCTAGTCTAATTGTAAATCTGACCCTCCACGCTATGCTTATATGTGGATTGTCCCTGCCAAGGCGAGACTAAGCTTGTATCCGTGTCACGGTGTCAAGCATATTTAAGCCCTATCTTTGTCTGTTGAGTTGCCACCACAAAGGGGGAGAAGAAAAGAAAGAACTCCAAAGGGCGACTGAAGATTGGAAGCAAAGACTTTCTGTTACATCTGTCGTTACTCGTTCCCCCCCATTCTCCTATCCTGATTCCTGCCATGACCGATGCTCAATGCGGCTAGTCAGATCACGTGCCTTGTCTTGACCTAACTCGACCGGTTCATTGGCTGTAGCATACATCCTCAATACAGTAGTGAATTGTTTGCACACTTTGTCCCGCAAGTCTTGAGTGCATCAAGGGAATGTGAAAGAGTCGTGTAATATGTCCATGGATCAATGGGGTAGATGGAAGATTATGACAGTGCACTTAGTCTGAAGAAAATCATGCGATACGAGATGAGTACCTATCTCCCACATAACTACTCCAGTCTCCCTAGCTAAGTACAAGCTCTACGGTCTACCCGGGCAGGCGTACACAAATCAACAGTTGTTCCATATCACGTAACTAATCTGGGGGTTGATTAGTTACTATCGACCAAAGAAAACTCAAACAAAATTGGGTATCATACATGTACGCTCACAATGCCTCCCCAAAACGCCACTTTCTCAAACCAAAAAACCTCCAACAAGCACATCATGTACAAGAAAAAGAAGAATTAAACAAAATCAAAACCAGAGGGCAAAGACCGAACTCGAGGAGCGAACGTTGATCACGGACAGGACGAAAAACTGGGCATGAGTCTCAGGAGTCATCCACCTCAGTCAAATCAATCACCGAGGCATTGCTGTCACCTCGGATTGAGTCCGAGGTGGGCAGCGACTGAGAGTCAATCCCAGCCACCGGGGCCGCCTTCCTGCGCACAGACAGCCCCGTGGAACTGATGATACCACTAAGATATCTTCTCGCGGCTGAGACGAGGCCTGGAGCCTCTGTGCTCTTGTCCAGCGCCTCCATCATGCGGGTCACCTGCGGTACTGACTGCAGGTGAGGACAGACGCGGCGGAATCCCAGGTGGGCAAGCCCACAGAGGCCGCAAAATTCAACACCGGCATGGCGAAGTGGGCAATTGCCAGGTGTGTGACGATTCTGGCATGCCGCACACAGCAGGAAGGGATCTTGAGCACCGTCGGTGCCAAATGGTGCCATGGGCAACGGGGGCGAATCCACACGGTGGAATGCACGAACTGTTATGCAATCATATATGTTAGCCAGCGTACTGGGAGTTGTTGTTGTTGCTGTTGTTTTTTTTGAGGAGGGGGGGATGGGATGAGGTTTCTTTGGTGATCCTGTTTTTCACGCTGGAATGAGGATTCAAGCAGAGGGGATGGTGTTTGTGATAAGTGGACTAGTCAAAGTGATGACAAGTTGTGCATGTAACCAGACTTTTCCCTACCTTTCAGTTCCTCGGTCAACTCCGTGCTGGGCAAAGTATTTCCACTGGTGTCCATACTGCCCATCAGGCTCGCTGTGTCCGTCGTATGTGCCATACCCCTTTCGATCCTCTCCGCGCCCTGGCTGAGCTGATTTGCCAAGACCCTCATTTCGGACACCAACTGCCTCAGTTTCACGATGATCATGTCTCGCATGAGGTCGTCCGTCGTGCCTGGTAGCTCATCCGCGCCCTGGATGAGCTGATTTGCCAAGTCGGTTAGTTGGGACTCCAACTGCCTCAGGTCCGTGATGATCAGGTTCCGTATGGGATCCGCGTCGGGCGATTCTAATAGGGGGTGGACGTTGCTCATGATATCTGCCATGCGGCTGACCTGATTTGCCGAGACCCTTATTTGGGACGCCACCTCTCTGAGTTTCGTGATGGTCATGTCTCGCATGAGGTTCGCGTCGGACTGCTGCACGGGGTGGATGTGGACCATGATGTCAGTACCTGGAAGCATACTGCTAACCATAAGTGGAATATTGCTTTCGATGCCAGCCGCGCTCTGGCTGAGCTGATTCGCCGAGACCTTTATTAGGGACTCCAACTGCCTGAGCTTCGTGATGATAATGTCTGGCATGCGATCCGCGCCGAACTGCTGTGACGTGGGGTGGAGGTGGCTCATGACGTCCGTGGTGCTCATGGGACTCATGCTGTAAGATTCGGGCTCGGTTTCAGTCGCGTCCGGATCATAAGCTGGGTGCTTGTAAGATTCGGGCTCAGGTTCAGTGGCGTCCGGATCATCAGTTGGGTGCGTGAAGTCAGCATCTAGATCGTCAGCACCCTTGCGAATTTTGGTACGTGGCTGTCCAGTGGGGCTGGGTGCTTCATCATCATCCCATCCTGCAACGGCCATGCTGTAATTGGGTGCACCACGCCTTCGTTTGCCCCTACCAAGGCCCTCAGCTTGCCGAATGGCTTCCTCTTGAGCTTCCCGCTCCCGCTTCTCCAAGATCTGCTCCCATGCTGTGAGATCCTCCGTCGTGTCTTCGGTTTCAGTCACCTCTTCAAAGGTGCCACGGTCTTTTTGCCAGACACGGGCGAAATTGAACTCTGTCCGCTCGTTCGAATCCGAAACCTTCTCGCCAGCTACCTTTGCCTGCTCTGCCTGACTCCGGTCCAGCAACTTGTCGATGGATGGCAAGTCATATACCACATCCGCCGAATTATCATCGTTGAACAACGCCTGGGCACCATGCTTAAGAATCGACTCCAGATCTTCCTCGTCCTCGTTGGCCTTCATGCGATCGATAAGCACATGATCAAGAGCCATTTTCTTTTTCCCTTTCTGCATGATCTTTTCCTCCACGGACGCGCGTACAACTAGGTGAAACACAAGGACAGTATTCTCCTGTCCGATACGGTGGGCACGGGACAAAGCCTGCATATCCTGCTGCGGGTTGAAGTCTGGATCCATGATGATCACAGTATCCGCAGTGGCGAGGTTGATGCCAACCCCACCGGACCGGGTCGAAAGCAAGAAAGCAAAGTAGGGCGAATCGGGGGCGTTGAATTCATCGATTTGCTGCTGCTTATCTCTCGACGATAGCTTGCCGTCCAGGCGACGGTACCGAAGTCCAATGCCCGCGAGGAAGTCTTCGACTATGTCCAGGTTCTCCAAAAACTGACTGAAGATCAGCACACGATGCCCACGCTCCTTCAGCCGCGGTAGCATCAAGTTGAGCAGTTGAAGTTTTCCCGATGCTTCTACTAGCCGCCGATGGGCTACTGAGGCGTCCGAGCCTCGCTCTTCGATGTCCCTGTTGTAGATAAACGGGTGGCAAAGACATTTGCGCAGCTGTATGAGGATATTGTTGAGGTTATGGCGCTCTGCTTTTTTCAGATGGCCAGTACTCTTCTTACAGATGGCATTGATGAGCTGGGGGTTCTTTTCAAGAATTGACCTGTACAACTTCTTTTGCACGATTGACATCGAGATCGGAATAATTGTCTGCACCATTGGAGGAAGATGTGGCAAAACCATTGCCTTGGTCCGTCGCAGTAGACATGGCCGTATCATCTCGTGAAGTTCTCGAATGGCTTCTTTGTCCAGGACTCCTCCGTATTCAACTTCCAATTGCTCGGCTTTTTTCTTCGGGTCAATGAATTGAAGCAAATTGAACAACTCCCGAATATTGTTCTGGAGCGGGGTGCCGGTGAGGAGCACCTTGAAGTCAAACTTCATCCGACAAAGACGTTCATACAGGTTTGTTTTATCATTCTTGAGGCGCTGGCCTTCATCGACAACCAAGCCAGCCCAATGAACCTTTGATAAAGCTCGCTTGGCCTCGTCATCGGCCATACTCTCGTATGACGCAATGACCACATGACAGCACAGTGTTCGGTCCTCGTGAAACATTTCATGTTCTATTGCCATCCGGCGAGCAAACGCACTACCATAATAGGTGACAGCCCGTATCTCCGGCGTCCATTTCTTTATCTCGCGACGCCAGTTTGGCACAGTCGAATTTGGAACCACGACTAAAAATGGAAAGCACTCGAGCTTTTCGATCAGTGCAGAGAATAGCGTGATGACTTGAACCGTCTTGCCAAGACCCATGTCGTCAGCAAGAATGGCATTTCTTTCCTTGAAGAACATGTAAAGAAGCCAGTTGACGCCGTCTAGCTGATAACCCATGAGCTCACCCCCAGTCACCATCTCTGGTTGAGCGTTGAGATGGATGACACTTTTTTCGAACTCCATAGCACGCACGCTTGCGAGACGACTCTGGAGGTCTTTCAAGTTCGGGACACGTATATCTTCGCGGCGCACCCAGTCGATAAGAGCGGCTTGGAAGTCCTCCCAACGAGCAGTGTCGTCTTTGGATGGGGGAATCTCCCATACTGAGTCCTCATAAGACAGGCCTTTGAACTTGACGTAGGCATTCCTGACCATCTCAGGATTTGCTCGATCCGCCTGCGATTGAGGTTCGTTAAAGTACTCAACGTTGAAAACATTGTCAACTCGCAGATTTTCTTCTGGGATAGCCTCTGCGGTTGTCATGGCCGGGTTTGTAGATCTTGGCGACTTGAAGAATGCAATCATCGTCGTTGAAGAAGCCCGAGAGTATACCCAATCCCCCGACACCCATTTGACTTGGAAGTAGGACCTCTCTTTCCACTTGATGAGATATTCTTTGTCAATCTCGGGGATCGAGCCGGCTGATGACGGCGGAAAGTTGGCGTCGGAACCCTTCGGCCTCCATGCGACCACCATGTGAATCGGGTTTGGAGCAAACGAATATTCAGTGCACTCGTGGCATTGCCAATGATCAGGACCGAGTGCGGCATAGTCCTCCTCTGACGAGTTTTGGAGATGCTGGACGTGGAAGGCCCGTTTGCAGCCGTGGGGGCCAAAGCACCTGATAAGAAGATTGCCAACATTGTTGACACGAGACATATCGATCTGGGTTATCGGATCTACGCCATCATTGGCTTCACGCATTTGCTGCTCGGCCTGGGAAGACAGTGCCTTTCGCAAAGGGTGTGACATGGGTCCCGGTTCTCTGCAAACCGAACAATGGCCAAGATGTGGTTTCAGATCATGCTCCTGGTGCTTGATACCTAGACAGTGACTGCACTGGAGGATGAAGTATCCCTCGTCGACCTTGGTGACTAGATGTTTTCGGCTACTTCGTTCGCCAAGGCAAGCCCGATGGTAGGATGCGGTACACCCTTGACAGAATACAAAGACCCCTTTGCCGGGTATACCATCTTCGTTGCCGCATTGGGCGCAGGAACTGCAGTGAGACTGTCTGAATTCATGATTTTTGGGCAACGCGCGGAACTGCTCTCTCGCACCCGAGTATCTCTGCTGTCGGGGCTGCTCGATTTCTCGCTCGGAATATTCATCGTCTTCGAGTCGCTCTCTCATGCTGCGTCGATGAGTCTGTTGGAGACGAGACGATTTCCGCTGGCCTCTCGTTGTTGCATAAGACTCTTCAGAGGATTCACGACGCTGTTGCTTTCGGTCCCCCCGCGCAGGTCCCCTCGGCTGACCACGCCTGGTTGGAGGCTCTTCAGAGTCCTCCTCGTCACTGGTCTGATCAGTTCCAAAGCTGTAATCTTTGGTCTGTCCTGATCTGCCATTCCGATGGGTGTTTGAACCCTCTTCTTGGTCCTCATCTTTGTCGTCACTGCGAAAGAACAGACTGTATGAAACTGAAGGCACACGCCGCTGACGGTTCCGCGCATTGGAAAAGTCTATGTCCGACTCATCTCCAGCACCATCTCCGCCGATGTGAATGCGACTTCCGGTGTCTCCGTCGTCCAGGTCCATCGCCAGGGGATCGGGGCTTTGCGAGCCAGAACTGAAGTTGATGAATTCGCGCAACACAATGCGTCCGTACTTCAGGCTTTTCAGTTGATTGACGGTCATCTATTTGAACAACGAAAAATCACCATCAGTTTACTTGAATGAACATTGGGGCGAATTGACCATTCATATGCACTTACAGGCTGTGATTCGCCGCTTTTCAACCTCACAATGAGCTTTGGCTCTTGCATGTGGACTGCAAGAACACGGTCAGCCTCAAAGTGACCTGGGAGATATTCATAGTCCTCAGGGTTATCAACCACTGGGACGACAATTTCGAAAGGCACGATTGCTCCATCTGGGCTCGGGGTTATCTGATACTCTGGTTCCGGGGAATTGGTCAGGCGTAGAGAACTGGCACTGTCCGCACCGGAAGTCGAGCTTTGCAATTGCTCCAGTGGTTGCGCGACAACTGCAGCAGGGTCATCAGAGTCAGAAGAATCACCTTGGGATCGCGACATGATGATTCTATGATGGTGTGAAAGAGCAATGCGGCAGCGAGGCTCTCAGGCTGCAGGAACTGCACACGCGGCTCCTACAAATGGGTTTGAATATTCAGATCAAGCGACATGAAGGTAAGCAGCCACGATATGAATGTTGGTGATGACGATGAGATGCTACAGAATAGCAAGGCGTGAAGGTTAAGAATGGAGAAAATGAAGCTAACGGGTCGAGGGTTTGGATAAAGAAAGAAGAATGAGAGAAGAGAAGCGAATGCTAAGACAAGCAATCAAGACCGAGGGGCGAGGGCATACAAAAACGATCGCGTCTACTACTCCGTACGCGTGATCGATAACGATAAGAAGGGTAGCGGGTATCGACCAGTTGCGCAAGTTGATAGCGAACTTCTCGGAAGACGGGAGGCAATGGAAAGACCAGGACTTCGCCGCAATGCTAAGTGCTGTATCAAGAACGAGACTGGATAGTCGAATTTCGAGAGTTTTCAGCTCAAGGATATCGGCCACTCGCCATGCATCATTGAATTCAGCAATTGGCCGGGGGATTCGCAGATCTCAGACGGCGGACACTGACAGAGATGATCGTCGTGGCAACGAAACTCGTTTGCCCAGACGTGAAGAGAATTACGGCCAAAGGCAATACGGAGCGCGACAATACGACCGATCAAGTGAAACTAACTTCAGTCCCCGTCGAACATACGGGGCACGACAATACGGAGAACAAAACGTTGAACGGCCAGGCGGTTCTGATCTGAATGACCGAGCATACAACCCCCGAGAGCGACAATACGAAGGCAAGAAATCCGAAATATTTGGTCGCAAAGACCATGACCGTCGACAGTCATCGCCATGGAATGACAATCGTTCCTCATTCCCGAGACAAAGCCGAAAAGAAGAAAAATTCGAATTCGACGCAGATGAATTCATTCGTTCCGGTGATTTCAGAGCCCTCCCCCGTGAACATCAATCCCGGTTCCAATCGCGATTCCAGGCTCGAACGCAAGATAGCCAATTTTCACACCGGGAACGAGAACGGCCCTCCGTGGACGAATCAGGGGAGAAGGATCCTAAAAAGTCTCGGGCTCATCGGGCGACACGCGGCACACCAGAGCGAGTGAAGGAGAACGTCAAAGTCCCGGACACGATACCCTACACTACACCGGCGTCAGAGTTCATTTACGGCACCAGCGCCGTGGAGGCGGCGCTGCGCTGCAGCAGGCGTCAATTATACAAGCTTTATCTCTATCAAAGCATGGATGAAGAGTTGAGCGCAGGAAAGGTCATGATTCGCAAACTGGCGTTGTCAAAGAACATTCCAGTCAAAATGGCATTTGCAGGGTGGTCTAGACTCATGGATAAGATGAGCGCCGGACGACCTCACAATGGGTGCATTTTGGAGGCATCACCTCTGCCCAAATTGCCCGTGCGGGGCCTCCAGGCTGTTCCGTCTATCTCCGAGGAACATTTCCGGGTTGAGCTTGCGCCGCAAACCAAGGAAGAAGCCGCGGTCAATGGTACGGACGATCGTATCCAGATCTATCATCCTACTCCGACTTCACAAGATGAGCAACCACGTCATCGATACCCGGTCCTCCTGCTTATGGATGGCATTGTCGATACCGGTAATATGGGTGCCATCATCCGCTCATCCTATTTCCTGGGAATTGATGCCATTGTCCTAGCTGGCCGCAACTCCGCACCTATGTCCCCCATCACGATCAAATGTTCAGCTGGTGCGGCGGAAAACATGCCTATCCTTCACGTGAAGAACGAGGTTGACTTCATCCAAAGGTCAAAGCAGAACGGATGGCGGTTCTACGCCGCAGATGCACCAGGTCCAGGCTCTGTGTACTTAGACTACATTTCGGCCGGTGACAACCAGAGTAAGACCGAGCTTCCTTTCATGACCGCGCCTAGTGTCTTGATGATGGGCAGTGAGGCTTCTGGACTCAGCTCGCACATCAAGTCCCATGCAGACGCAATTGTCAGTATTCCAGGCGCTCGGCATAGTCCTGTTTTGGGCGTTGAGTCCGATCCCGCCCGCATTGACAGCCTGAATGTGAGCGTTGCTGCTGCATTGCTGATGGAGAAGTTCTTGCGTACTCCACTGGCTGTGGCCGGGGTGGTCAAGAAAGAAAAGAACGTTGCGAAGGAGAAGATGTGGTGATCTACCGTAATAACTACGATGTATGTATTATATCCTACCTAGCATTCACAATCTTGTACACTAGCACAAAAGGAGTTTTTGGTTTATTGGGAATGTGGATTTATTCTTTGGATTTGAAGTCTACAGGCTCTGCCAACTTAGGGCTCGGCTCGGAAGGCCAACAACCTCAATCTTGCGGAGCAGAACACCGGACAAGGGATTCGTCAGAAGACGAGTTTTATTTAGTGACGTTACTGACGTATTATAATTTGTTTGATCGGAGGTTGAGATCTCCATCAAAGTGAAAACTCCACGATAAGTGATCCTCGGTCGACATATACCGAAACTCGTGGCCGAAGTCGCGGGACGGTGGGGAATCCAACCGGGGGGCTTGCGGGGGAAAGCCCCGGGAACGCCCCCATCGGATGTGAATTTGTAGGTCTCTTTAAGAAGATTGAAGTCGCTTTTTCAGAGAGGTAATCTTATAATTGTCGGCTTGTTTACCATCTGTATAGAATCTCTATAATCCTCAACCTCCATCATTCCACCTTTTATACCAAGTGAAGCGCTCTTTTCACCTCACCCCCACAATGATCCCGCAAAAGCAGATCCCAACAACGGCATTCGTCGTTGAGAAGCCAGGAGCACCATTTGTCCTCCAAGATGTTATTCTGGATGAAGTGCGGGCAAATGAAGTCTTGGTTGAGATGAAGTATACCGGTCTTTGCCACACAGTATGTACTATCGACTACTTCGCCATTATCCTCCGGCTACCCCAAAAAGGATCAATCATACTAAACGCACCTAGGATATTGTCGTACAACAAGGCATAATCCCCGTTGGTGATTATCCCGCCGTACTAGGCCACGAAGGCGCCGGGATCGTCCGCCGCGTCGGCAGTGGCGTCAAAGACAAGTCCCTGCAAGAAGGTGACCTCGTCTTTCTAAGCTTCAGCTCCTGCAAAGGACAATCCTGCACACCCTGCCAGGAAGGACGAAGTGGGTTCTGCGGTCAGATCACACCTATCAACTTTGCCGGTGCTCGAGGGCTCAGCGCTACCGAGTCGCCCATCTCTTTCCCTGGTGGAAAGGGCCCCATTCGTGGCCAATTTTTCGGTCAGTCTTCCATGAGCAAGCTGGCTGTGGTCGATGAGCGTTCTGTCGTCAGGTCCCCTTCCGGTTCTGGAATCACTATTGAGGACATGGCTGTGCTTGCCCCTCTCGGCTGTGGATATCTCACCGGTGCTGGCACCGTCTTCAATGTCCTTAAGCCTAAGCCTAGTAGTCGCTTTGCGGTCCTCGGTATGGGTGCTGTTGGTCTCGCGGCCATGATGGCTGCTCGGTCGCTGGGTGTCGAGACTGTTATTGCGGTTGATATTGTTGATGCGAAGCTCGAGCTGGCCAAGTCTCTTGGTGCATCGCATACGTTGAACACGAAGACTGTGTCCGATCTTGCACAGGGACTGTTGGATATGTTCCCCGACGGTGTGGACTGCATTATTGATACGACGGGCGTGGTTCCTTTGCTTGATGCTGCAGTTAAAGCTCTGGCCCATGAAGGCACCCTGGCTGTTGTCGGGGTGGCTCGTGCTGGGTCCATTCTCAGCATTGATCCTTTGGCGCTCATGATGGGCTGCAAACGTGTTGTTGGTGTCATCGAGGGCTGCGCAGATCCCGCTGTGGTGAGTCTCTTTCGTTCGAAATGTGATTCGATGTGACTGACCTTCTCGTTCAGATTGTTCCGCAACTGATTGATCTGTACAAACAAGGGAAATTCCCCGTTGATAAGCTTTCTAAGCTCTATAGTCCGGCTGAGCTTGAGCAAGCTCTGGCTGACTTACATACTGGGACTGTACGTGCTTTAACCCCAAAATCTACTTGCACAAGCTGACATTCATATCTCTTGCAGGTCATCAAGCCGGTTATCAAATGGGAAGACCTATGACCTATCATACGTACAATAGAGCATGCATACGAAGGCGCTTATCACTAGTGATTGTTGGGAATGTTTTAGACAGCTTTATTTCCATTAGATATTCATGCAGTGGCAAAGTCAATGTACGGCCCTTGAACAAGAATGAATGAGTGCACATGACAAGTATGAGATAGACCATCCAAGGAAGCACTGCAGCACAGTAAGTGGTATGATGCTGGCTAACTACTTAGGAGGTGTAGCGAGATTCTGATTCAACTCCTTACGCTGCACAGCACCAAAGCGAAGATTACCGACGTCGAAAACCTAGCAGTGTCAGCAACATCACGGCATTAATCCAGACAAACGTGACTTACTGCATAGATAGCCTTCAAGAAGGTATCACCCAGAATGTCGAAGGTCATATCGCCACGACTTTGGATGCCTCCATAAACATAGCCAGACTTAGCCTCAGCGAATCCCAGATCTTCCTTCTGGACGACAAACTGCTTATCGCCAACAGCAAAGGATACAACAGGCAACTTGTCAGCCGGTGTATCAGAAGGATAGATCCATCCCTGGTTTTGATCATCATACTCCGCCCCGGGAATAGCATCATAGATGGCCTGACAGGTCTCATCATCGACCAGCGCCAAGGTAGTCCCCGTATCAGCAATAGCCTTGTTTCCAGAACGGGCGATAGACTTCCCATTCACCGTCGCAGAAGTAGAGTCGAACATCCAGAATCCCTGGCTATTATCAATAGGCGTGTAGAACATCTCAGACTCGGCAGCTTTGACCGTGTCTTGGTCAATGAATCCAAACGTGTAGAATGACTCGCCCTTATCCGGCTCATCAGTATCTCGCCACGACCCCAACTTTGCCGTGAAGAGCGCGGCCGACTTTGGGATGTCGGATTGCGTGATCATATTCTCCACCGGGGTGCTCACAGGCTGCGGCTTGACGGTGTTGATGTTGCTGAATGCAAGTCCAAGCAGTCCATCCCCGGTACTTTGGACAAATTGGGTGGACAACACATCAGCGACCTCCACGGCCTGGCCTTTGATAACCAGACCGCCGATGTTGACATCGTCGTTGCCAACCGTTCCAGAAGCGGACGAGCCATCCCCATACGAGATCTGCCACGTCGATCCTTCTTTCTCCTTGTAGGTGCTAGACTTGGACGGGTCGAAAACCGTATGGTCCTTGTTCCCAGCCAAGGTCTCAGATGACAGTTCTGTGGACCAGACCTAGACAATTCTCAGCAAACATCACATAACATAGGAAGGATATGCCTACTTACCCACAGATCTGCAGAGCCAGTATCGAAATCCAAATTGAGATTCTGCGCAGGCGTGCCAATCCCAACTTCTGCAAGATACATCGAGTCATTCTGCACATCGTCGGCGCCAACCTGGCCAAATTGATCGCTGTCCACGCTCTTCTTCTGCAGCACCTGCTGCAACCGAGCTTGACCGCCAACCGGCTTGGAAGTGAACGGTCGGCCAGTCTGCTTCATGGTCGTACCGAGGAAGTAGGGGCCACCCTTGGTCGGGCTGAAGCGGTACTTGCGCATGGCATACAAGTACGACTTCGTGCCGGACTTTTGGTAGCGAGGGTTCGCGATAAGTTTGATTCTGGTTGCCATGATGGGTGGTTTGTGAGATGAAGTTTGAGTAAGGATGGCAATGTATGATTTGGTGTCTATTTAAGTTAGCGGACTGATGACATAGGAGGACTTGTTGGGTGACAGGTCTCATCACGGGTTCAGATATCGTGACGCCTACGTAGACCACAGCCTGCTCATTCGCCAGTTCAGTTATTAGAGGCGTCTCAGGCGAGCGTCAAACCTGATCTGTATTGTGATCTCTATTTCGTCATTGTCGAAAATAAGGGGAAGACTGGGGGCAAGTCTTGTTTCAGCGGCATATTGGCGCCAGAAGGTCGTATCGGATCGGCACCGATGCTACGGACTCCGGTTAGGCGTTTCTGCACATGCAGGGGTGACAGGGGAGGGGTGACAGGGGTCTATGACAAGCCTTCAAGCCAAGAAGCCAAGGAAAGAAAACGAAAGCTTTATTTTGAATTATGGAAATACATTGAAGAAGAATAATCTGCTAACGCCGATCCTAATAACCCGCCTTGATACCCGAATCACTGAAACCAAGCAAACTGCGGAGATACACAGCACCTTTCTCAATTCACATGAATTACCTCTTGCGGGACTTGGACTTGGTCGCTGCAGCGCTGGGGGCTCGGGAGCTTGCAGCAGAGGCATTCTTGCTGCCACCCTTGGCGGTCTTAGCCTGTTTGGCCGGCTGTAGATAAGTTAGAATCATAAACAGATGAATATCGAGGTGACAAAACTCACAGCAGCTCCGTTCTTAGCCTTCTTCTTTGCAGGCGGCGCATCCTCGACATCTTCCTCCTCCTCGCGGTCACGACCGCGTCCTTTGCCCTCACCATTGGGCTCAAACTCCTTTGCCACGGTGTTCAGCAAAGTGGTGCAACGACGACCGATTTCCACGGGCGTGCGACTGAGCATGAAGAAATCGAAACGGAACAGAGGCGAGTCACGGATCTCTTCACGGATGTTTTCATACAGATCCTCACCCTCGACTCCATACTTGTCCAGCATGATCAACAAAAAGCGGTCCTCGTCCTCGGTGTAAACCTTCTTGTTGGTGGTGGACACGGTGTAGTTGATCTTGAGCTGTTGAAGCGGCACACGGTACATCTCCAGCTTCTTGCGGAGCATCTTCCGCTGGTGGTCGATCTTCCGCACCTTCTCCTCTCCTTGTTCGATGACTCGAAGGTACTTGGGATAGTCTTGGATCTCTGTGTAACGGCGCCAGAACACTTCGGCATATTCCTTGATCTCGTCGGGCTCCTTGCTGTCCACTTCTCTGGCGATGTTCTTGTAGTCTGTACGACCATACTTTGCAGATCCATTGACAAATTGCTGGAAATCACGTCGATTCCAGGTGGCGAAACCCTCCTCGGACATGCGGGCTTTCTCCGCTTGCTCCTCCTCAGTAAGTGGGACAGCATTGTCGATCATATGTTGCTCAAGATCCCGCTCAGCCTCTCTCTCGCTGAGCTCATCTTCGGGACCTTCGGGCAATTGAGCCTTATACCCAATTTCCTTGTGGAAATAGGCTGTTTCTTTCTCTTGCAGCTCATGCAGCCCAGGTGGGAAGAACTGCCAGTCATGGACAGTGATTTGTTTCGGAGCACGCGGGACCTTGGGTTTCGTGTCGGCAGTTCGGCCTCCAGTGGCCAAGGCCTGGCGGTAGTAGCCGTCGATGGAGTATGCCTGTTCTTTGCGTTCACGCTTGGCAGGGTTGATCCAGCTGATACCGATATCTTTTTTGCGCTCGGTGAAATCCTTGCCATTCCACTCATAGGCACTCTCAGAAGAGAACTTCTGCAAGTCATCAATTCCGAGGGCCTCATACTTCTTGCTAAGCTCTGCAGTTCGTGTTTCACCCTTGCGCAAAATAGTATCAATGTCCTCCTCTTCGAGGGCCTCAGCGGCGTTGCCAGCTTCCTTCTGGTTGAAGACGCTAGCAGCACCGTGTTGGATCATGCCAAGCAACTCATCTTTGGAGGATGATTTGCCGGCATGTTGTCCAGCACGGCCTTGCTGAATGACAAGCTGGTCCAAACGCAGTTTTTGGGCTGCACGCTCGAGAACCTTCTCCTCAATGGCATTCTCCGTGACAAATCGGAAAACTTTAACCTGCTTAGTCTGACCAATGCGATGAGCACGGTCCATGGCCTGCAAGTCAGCCTGGGGGTTCCAGTCGCTGTCGAAGAGAACAACGATATCGGCAGTCGTCAAGTTAATGCCTAGACCACCCGCTCGGGTCGTGAGAAGGAAAACAAACTTGTCGGATCCGGGTTTGTTGTAGTCGTCAATGGCAGCAATACGCTCCTCGTGTGCGGTGGTACCATCGATACGGCAGTAATTGTAGTCCCGGAAGACACAGTAATCTTCCAATATGTCGAGTACACGACTCATCTGGGAAAAGATGAGCACACGACTACCATCCGCTCGCATGCGCTTCAGCAGTTTGTCCAAAATGGCCATCTTGCCAGAGTTGAAGATAAGGTGCTCGTCGGTGGTGTACGGGGGACCCGGTTCAGCGCCTTCGAACAAGTAGGGATGGTTGCAACATTTCCGCAGTTGCATAACGATGTTGAGCAGTCGCGTCTTGGACTCGCGCTTCCCGGCGGCGCCATTGACGGCGTCAATGTCCTTCTCCAGAATCTTCTGGTACCACCTCCTTTGCATTTCAGACATAGGAACGTAGAGATTGAGTTCCTTCTTCGGAAGCAGGCTCTTCTCGACATCACTCTTGACACGTCGGAGCAAGAAAGGACGGAGAACGCGGTGGAGCTGCTGTACCACAGTGTCTTGGTCCGACTCCTGGTTCGAGAACCACTGGTCGAATGCCTCCGAATCGCCGAAGACATCTGGCAAAAGGAAATTGAGCAAAGCCCACAGTTCATGCAAATTGTTCTGCAGTGGAGTACCAGTGATCAGCAACCGGTTGCGGGAGTTAAAGAGACGGATAATTTGCGACAAAGAGGATTCTTCGTTTTTAATCCGATGGGCCTCGTCAATGATAATGTATTCCCAGGCGAACTTCTTCAGGTGTGACTTCTCGCGGAGAATCATTTCATAACTGGTGACGCAAACGTCGAACTTTTCGGTAACCAAACGGTCGTTGATGAGCTGCTGGCGCTCTTCTTTGTTACCTTGGAGCACCAGGACATCAACATCGGGAATCCACTTTGCGAACTCTCTCTTCCAGTTGTCCAGGGTTGACTTCGGCACAACGACGAGATGAGGTCCATTGATATCACAGACAAAACGAAGATAGCCCAGGAATGAGATCGTCTGCAGGGTCTTTCCGAGACCCATCTCATCGGCCAGAATACCGGAGATACCGTTCTCATGTAGCGAAACAAGCCAGTTCAGGCCTGCAACCTGGTAATCACGTAGCTCGCCATGGATGAATGCTGGAGACTCTCGGAAGATGGTGGTAGTCTCGCCGCCATGCTTCTCATCTTGTAGCAGCTCTGCATCCTCTTCCTGTTCGGTTCTGCGGCGTCGCTCGCCACCAGCACCCCCACTGCGCTTGGAGCCCTTCCGGGCCTTCTCCTCGTTTTCCGCATTTTGGCGGTCGATCTCCGCCATGATCTCCTTGATTCTGGGGTTGGGGTTGGTCTCGATAAAGTGGCGGAATAGGTCAGTGAGACCCAGGAGGTACCGGAACCGGCGAATCGAATCATCCTCCTGCGAAGCAAAGATCATCAATACTAAGGTCATCGACTAATCATAAGGAATTATAGATACCTTGGTGTCATCTAGACGCCCATGCTTCTTGCCAAGAATGGATTTCCTCAAGTTGTTGGCCTCAGATCTGCGCCTACGTCCATCGGCCGCGTCGCCCGCAACGCTGCTTGCAGTGGTGTTGGGATTTGTATCGGAATCCTGGATCATAACGTTAGCCATTGTTCCTCGCAAATGCATAGCATCGTAGGCCGTGGTATTTTTACCGTGTAATCCGGAGTGTCTTGATGGCTCTGTATTGTGACGAAGATTAGCATAAACTCAAGGGCTAGTAGATAAGATGCCTCTGCATTGACGATAGAGACATTTCTCATGGGCGAGCAGATATAACTAATTCCACATACCGTCACTTGCGCGTCGGCACTATCGACGGGCACCGAAGGCACCATGTCGTCGTTTGTATCAGTCATGGGTGTATCAGCCTGCGAGACTGGATCGGACGCGAGGGCAGGAGCCATATCCTATCCTTTGCGCACGGATGAAAGGTGTCTTCGCGGTTTAAACACGTCTTTGGGTGTGTGACGAATAATATCGGAAGCTCGCGACTAATGAAATCGCGTGGTGCGGAGAGAGAGAGGTGAGAGAAGTGGTATGTAGAAGTTAAGAGGTGATAGCAATCAAATAATCAGGGAGAAATATACACTCCGAAGTCAATATGATTCATTGAACAAGGCCCATGAATGAAAGGCTATTGAACAATTCTTCGATAGGACCAAAGGCATATTCAAGCGCGTCAAAGAAGAGCAGATGGCAAATGAAGACACCGCCTTCCTATAATAGCTGCAGAACGGACAAACTGTATTTCCGGCGGAAGTGGGCTTCTCGTTACCGGGGGGCCACGGCGGTCATCTGCAACAACCTAGAAAATACCTCCGCTTGGGAAACACTTTTGCTGCCGCTCACTATCGCACACCTCGGGGATCAACGACTCATATACAGCATCAGTCTGTACTGGGTCCTACGTCATCTTGTATTCACTATTACTCCTTCTCCGTGCACTCTTTCACCTCTTGTCAAGCTCTTCTTTTATCGCCATTTGTCCACCAGGGAACGACGCACGGCATCAGAACCTGGGAACACAAACATTTCTTTCTCAAACCCATCTCTCATCACGGGATCATCATCGTTGTCTGCCATGGACTCTATGAGATCTCTCAACACCTCCTTGCCGAGCTCGACCCCCCGCCCGCAACCTCCGGAGCAACTCCTCCAGCAGTTCAAGGCAGCGGCCTTGTCTGTTACAAACTTATATAAGAACGCTGTTTGTGAACAAGCCCAGGCAAGGGCTCTTGGATATCAGGATGCGATAGAGGATTTGCTCCACTTCCTTGATCGTGAGAACCTCGGTCTCGGAGATGGAGAGGGGTGGACTGTTCGACAGTGGGCCACCGAGAAATGTGATGGAACGGGGTCACAAAGCTGCGATGAAGATTCAGAGCACGACAAGCGTGACCGCAGTGCTACACCCGCTACTGTCCGCAAAGAAAATCCTACCCCCGAACCAACGGCTCGTCAGCCCCCCACGTCAGCGCCTCTGGCTGCATCGAAGCTAGAATCGACCACTCCTCCCGCACAGCTTCACGAGACACCGTCTTTCACAACACCTGCCGTCTTCACATTCTCTGCTGGTCCCACATACCCCCAATGCCAAGAGCTGGATATGGATGAGCCATCAGACAATTCATCCGCAGCCCTGCAGGATGGTGCCCCAGTCAGCGTCTCTGTGATGCCTCGAAACAATCGCCCCCTCAACCGCCATAACCACCACGCACGGCCGAATGCACGCGGATCGCCGCGAGAGTCCCCTGCTAGCATTGGGTCTAAGAGAAAATTCACCGTGCCGGATTTCTTCGACATATCAGGACTGCACAATGGACGGGATCTGTCAGGAGGAGGGAAACGAGGCCGCTTTACCTAGGCATAAGCCTTGGTAGAACATATGATGATGACGAAATGACGAATATCTTCTTCTGATTGTCACGCAGTGGCTGGAAGAAATTTCGGGTACGAAGGTGCTTTTCGGGTGCATAACAAGGAAGGGATATTTGCATATGGTTTCTTTTCATTCTTCACTTCTCTTCCTTCGGTTTTCTTTGGATTTTTATCTTCAATACTTTTGCTTTGTCTCTTCTTGTCTCTATTTTTCCCCCTACCCTTGTGATATAGCATATAGACGGATACGCCTATGGTGATACCCGATACCAGGAGTGGCAGTTATCATTACTTGCATTTAAATAACAATCAATATCTTACAAATCTTCCAATCCGCGCTTCATCATTAAACACTCGTTCTGGTGAGACTGGGCCTTGATCACCGACCACATGCTATTGCATACGTGGTTGTACTCAATTGAATGCCCGCCACAGTCCCATCCCCACTAACGTTGCGGAAATTGTGGCAATTCCCAGTTTGCGCGATCCCATTTTGTATTTCGTAGGGCCTTGCATGATGGCCTTCTCTTGTTTTCGTAGATTGGCCATTCCGGTGTAGTAGCTGTAGACTCCGAGACCCATGAAAGCGGCCGATCCTGTTCTGCATGTCAGTATATAACAAAAGTGAGTGGCATCAGGCCGATACAGGCTGAAATCACACATACCGGTGACTCTGCAGGACAAACAATCATCGTACTTGTCCTCGGCCAGAGCCTGCTTGGCATCTTTCAGCTGGGGATCCATAGCGCACTTATCGGGGGAAATGACTTGATCAGAGTATGTTCAATGTCCGGTAGAATGAAAGGAAGCAAAGGCACCGAATCACCAGTCTACGTACTACGAGTTGACGTCTGTTGTCTCCAAAAAGTTATCGGAAGGCGGGGATCGGCGGCAAAACACGAGAGCTATGCAATCTACATGCGCCGACACGAGTGATTTCGACATCAACCAACTGTCACAATGAGCGGCGAGATTGATGCCGTCTACATATATGACGAGCTAAAGTAAGATACCCTGCAGCAATTCGTAAGACCATACTAACGCCGCCTCCCCAGCGTCCCTCTCGTCGAACATGTATATCGTTCCCGCCCGCCCTCGGCCTCCGCCATCCTGCCCCTCTACCTCGCCCATGCCGCTCCACGCCCTTCCTTGCTATACTTTCCAAGCACTTCGCCCCCGGTAACGGTCTTTTCAACCGTCGAGGCGAATCTGTTGTTTCTTGCAATAAGCGAAGTCGATACAGAGCCGCTCCTGGCGCTGGAGTTCCTGCACCGCGTGATCGACGTGCTCGAGGACTTTGTTGGCGCACCGCTCCTATCAACCAAGATCCAAGCCAACTATGACGTCGTGGCGCAGCTTCTCAATGAGATGTGCGATGGGGGTACGGTCTGCAATACCGAACCCAATGCATTGCAGGAGGTTGTCGAGGTTCCTGGGTGGATGGGGAAGCTGTTAGGTGGAATCGGAGTGCCTAGGTGAGTTGTCAGGTGGCTGGCATAGGATATCGACAGGCACTAATGGTTTATCTTGGGGTTTAGTACATCTACGGCAACGTTAGGATCTGCTAATCCTTTGAAGCAATCACTCGCCGCCGCCAAAGTATCACAAGGGCCAGCCATTCCTTGGCGACGGCCAGGTGTACGCCATACTTCTAATGAGCTATATGTCGACATCATTGAATCTCTTTCGGTGACGATGGCTCCTTCGGGGCGGTTACTGTCTGCATTGGTGTCAGGGACTATTGCGTTTACTGCGAAGATATCCGGAGTCCCGGACCTGCTACTCTCGTTATCGGCACCGGGTGGCCAGCATGCGCTAGCCCGCAAGATCGAACTACCGATGTTTCATCCATGTGTTCGACTGACTCGATGGAAGGAACGGCCGGGGGAGCTCAGTTTCATACCACCTGACGGGAGGTTTATATTGGCTGGGTATGAAGTGGATCTCCTGCCCATAGATCCCGATCTAGATGAGTCCCCAAGCCATATGGAAAAGGTCTTTTTACCCGCCATTGTGGATATTCGCAAATCACTGGGGCCGACTGGCTCCGAATTCGAGGTGCGACTGACGTTGAATACAAATTTCCCGGGCCAAAGCTCATCGTCGCGGCCTGGAGCTACACGGAGTGGATCTGGCACATCAACGCCGTCATTCTTAGGTGGTGGTGGAAGCTCTGGGCCTGTACTCGAAGAGGTTGTCGTCAGTGTACCGATCTCTAAGTCTATCCGCCATATCACGGACATGCAGGCCAGCCGCGGTGACGCTCAATTCGCACCGGCAAGCGGGCTCCTTGAGTGGCGCATTCCGACCGGAAAGGATGCTGGATCATTGTCTGGTACTGCAACACTGCGCTGCACTGTATCGGGCTACCCATCAGTCGACGACGACTTGGACGAGAGCTTCGACGACGCCGATGAAGACGCCAATGCCAACCTCCTGCAAGGCTATTACGAGGAACCTACCTCCTACAACGATGCATCCGCGAGCACATCGAAGAAAAGCCGATCCTCCGACCCATCCAAGCGCAAAAAGAAAAAGAAGAAGTCAACAAAGAAATCATCTCGCTCCGCTGCCCTGCAATCCGAGGAGGTAGAAGAAGATCCCGTCGCAACTACCATCTCATCTTCGCATCACTCCAAACCTCAAGCGACCCCACCTGCCCCCCAAACTCAATCTAATGCCCACCTCCCCTCATTCTTCTCCCCCTCATCAACATCCCGCCCCGCACGCAGAACCAGAGCCCAGGTCAACGCAAGCTTGATGCCCAACTCGGCATCAGTATCCTTCTCCGTGCGAGGCTGGCTCCCCTCCGGTATCAAAGTGGACAGTCTTAATATCGATCAGCGCCGCAGTCGCGGGCTGGGCGAGAGCGTCAAGCCGTACAAGGGCGTCAAATATCTGTGCGTAAGCAACCGCGGCGTGGAACGGCGCTGCTGATGTGCATACTATGTATTTGTTTCTCTTTTATCCGCCCATTTGACAGCGTGAATGACGATATGAATTGGATATATCTATTTTACAATTAGCGCTTCTCATGGAAAATCGTAGACTACCTAGGACTTCCATTTTCATAGGTACTTCAGGCTCTACCTACCTACGGTACCTACCGGATCTCGAGAACCCACCAGCGATGAAGTCCACATAACCTCCACACTACTAACAACCTAAGGTAACACAGAACCTTCAAACAACCAAAAAAACTTTATCTCAGTATTAAATCGACTTACAGCGTACAAGCACCCAAATGAACAAAAGCAAGCAAATCCAATTCCAATTTTGTACTTCGTACATAGCAAAAAATTACTTCAAGATACTGTCGTACATACAAGCAGAGACCAGAGAAGATCCCGAAGTCATCACCACAAAGCAGTCCGACACCAAAAAGTCAAGCATCCTTAGTGTCAAGCATCGCCAATCCAAAGAAGAAGCGATCAGCACACCAGAAACTCAAAAGCCCTAAAGCACGGGAAAAGGATGCGAAAGTGTCGAATCAAAACGGGGTATTCCAATTTCATTTCAGGGGCGGGGATCACAGTTTCGAGGATCGGCGTTCGAGGATCTGGAAGATGAAGTAGGCAACTATTACGGTTAGTCTAGGTTCTTTCTTCTTCACAGGTGTTTTCTTTTTGTGACTTTGAAAATTCAAATTTGGATCGGAAGGGGGATGAAGGTGGAGATGGGAAAGGAGGTAATTCATTATGATTCACAGATTAAGCGTGGCTGTCTTCTTCGTCTGGGTAGAGAAGGTAGAGTGTAGAATGTAAATGGGGATAGATGCGAAGGGAAATGGTAAGGAGGGTGGTCCTCATTTGAGGAATGGCAGGATTAAACAGGTACACGAAATGGGGGTATATGAAACAGGAAAGGGTATAGTGTTCTTGGTCGTCTTGACCATATAACAGACAGAGACGATGATGGAAAAGGTGTGGCAAAGGAGTCACCCAGACCTCGGGACTTAATTATCCTCTAGTTCTGGACCTGGAGGACATAAAACGAGGTGCAAAGACTCCACGACCAGACGAGACCGAACATAGCGTAACCAGAATGACAAGCAGATGATGGGCAAGATTAAGGGGAATATATGAAGAGAAAATGGCAGACATATCGGGCAAGATAGGAAAGAGATGTTTTACTCACTGGCAGCGAGAACAGCAGCTCGGCCGGCTCCAGCCTTGGCAGTGCCTCCACCCAAAGTGAAGAGCGCGCGCAGCCAGCCGAGAGTCAGCTTCTTGCCGTTACGGTCAAAGTCGGGATGCAGTGTGCTGGCGGCTTGGAACTTGCTGAGCTTGCCGGCGTACGGTGGGTAACGGATAGACAGGATGGCTTCCAGCCAGCTTGGGCTGGAGGTGACGGGGCGACGGTGCACCCAGACGTCGAAGCTGGAGCGACCGCGGTAGGCACCGTAGCCACTTTCACCGACACCGCCGAAGGGAAGGGTAGGGATGTGCAGCGCGGCGTCGTTGCAGGAAACGCCACCAGAGCGGGTGGAGGACAGAACTGCGACAGACGATTAGAATGTTTGCTTCACTGTGACAGGAAACAAAAAAGTATGCGACTCACCCTTCTCAATATCAGCCTTGTTACCGAAGGGGTAGAGACCCAGCGGCGTGCTCTGAACACCGTTGGCCAGCGCGATAGCCTCGTCAAGGTTCTCCACCGCCAAGATGGGAATGAAAGGACCGAAGCTCTCCTGGGTGCATAGCGAGTCATCAACCGACTCGACCTGGACAACGGTAGGCTCAATGAACAGCTCCTTCTCATCCATAGTGCCACCCATCAGGATCTTGCCATTAGTGTTGTCAAGCATGGACTTAAGACGAGCGAAGGCGCCCGGGTTGACGATGCGAGAGTAATCGGGCGAGTTCTTGGCACCCTGGGGGTAGAACTCCTTATAGGCGATCTTGAACTCCTCCACGACCTTCCCGACGAGCGTCTTATCGACCAGCAAGTAGTTCTGCGAGGTGCAGACCTGACCGGCGTTCATGAGCTTACCCCAGAGCAAGCGACGGGCCACAAGTCTCGGGTTTGCGTTCTTGGACACGATGGCCGGGTTGATACCGCCCAGCTCGAGCACGACGGGGGTCAGGTGCGGAGCTGCGGCTTTGGCGACGATGCGTCCGACTGTAGCACCGCCCGTGAAGAAGATCTTGTCCCACCGTTCGGCGAGCAGGGCCTGTGTCTCGGGAATGCCACCCTGGATGATTGTATAACACGAGGGGTCGAGACTCGCCTCGACGATCTTTTGCATGACAGCGGCGCTGCGGGGGGCATTTTCGCTAGGCTTGATGACTACTGTGTTTCCAGCAGCAATGGCGCCGATGGCGGGACCGAGAGTCAACTGGAAGGGGAAGTTGAAGGCACTAATAGAGGAAATCGTTGTTAGCTTCGGGATACTTCCATGCGGAGGCGCGGGGGTAGGATATGCGCATACCCGATGACCAGCACACAGCCCAGAGGATCCTTTCTAATCTTAGGGTTCATGAACTTGAAGCTAAGGTCAATTTCTGGTGCCTTCTCATCCTTAGCCCACTTGTGCAGGTTGCGGGTTGTGTAGACAATATCGTTCATGATCCATCCGCTCTCCGCAACGGCAGCCTCGAACCGAGGCTTGCGCAAGTCCTGGGCACAGGCCTCGATGATCTCCTCCTCATGATCTTTGATGCTAGAAAGAATTAGTACATTGTAGCAACAAGATCGAGCATGTAGTACTCACGCCCAGTACAACTTGCGCAGCTGAACAAGACGGAACTCGATGTCGCGAGTCTTGTGCTCCATAAAGGCCTTGCGGGCCGTGGAGATGCGCTCAGGGATCTCGTCCAGCGAGGTAAACTTCAACTCAGGTAGTGCGACCATGATGAATATGTTAAAAATTATAGAAATATTATAGAAAAAAAAGAACACAAAGGGGAAAAAAGATTCTGGAGCTCCGAAGGTTCTTTAGTAGTCAAGGCCCGGAATTAAGGTCTCCGCATTCACGCAGCACATGCTCCGAGCTCTCGGCTCATGCTACTTTCGGTTGAACCTCCTTTTTCTTAGTTTATACTGATTTCTTCTTACGTTACTCTGTATTTCAGGAGATTCTTTTCACCATGTATCCTCATCAGTAGACACCGTTCGAGATGCCATTTCTCTCCCGATGTCCCACTACACAGTACCTTCCATGACAATGTCAGAACGAGCCGCGGTTTCACGCGATCTGCGCCCCCCTCCCCGCGATCGACAGTGGCCAATTACACGCGTGGGCGAACCTGACAGCTTATTGATGGGCGCAAGGACGTGCCACCAGAATGGCCATTGTTGGGATACTTGAGAGGTCTGGGGGACAGTTCTGATATTCTGCAACGTCCGATCTATGATAACTATGGACTCCGCAACTACTATGTGTATCACTTTCAGCACAGCGCGTCTCGACAATTCTACAATGTCTCGTCGAGACCAGTAGTGGAAACAAGTACAAGGTACTGCACAGTGCAATACATGTTCAAATAACTTCAAATAGGTTCTAGATTATGTTACTGCAGTATAAATGAATGTACTGTGTACCAACTCGCCAACATTTGTTGATGATTTCTGATCCCTTAATGGTCACGTGGTACCGAGATAAATCCGCTCCCCCAACTTCCAAGTGATCGGCGCTCTTCCCGGATACTCCACCTAAGACAGCTCTACACTGTACAACATCAACATATGAAATAGGTTGGAAACACCACCCAAATGAGATGTGGATACATGTACGGAGCAGTCGAATATTGTTCCTGGCGCTGCTTAAGCTGTAGTTAGGTATGCGGCTATCAGCGGCATCGGAGCCTCAAAATTCGCCTGCCTCGCAATATCAGGGGCGTCATTCCCGCGTCATGTCTATCATGACGTTACAACAATACGACGTAAGCAGATGTTCCCAAAGTTTAAGTTCATCTAAACTTCAAATACAAATGAAGGCGAAGACGAAGACGAATCCGGTCAATTATATTTCGACCTTCGAAATGCAAAGGCAGATTGGAATCAGATGATCAAGGCTCTGTATAGAACAAGGGGGAAAAAGGCGCAAAAACAGAAGGAAACGCCATATACACAAGAACATCATATATAGAGACAGATAGCCGAGACCATCAGGGTATCAACATGAGCAGCACCGAGTTCCAAACAAATCAGTTCTTGAACTGATCCTCAGTAACACCCTTGCCCATAGCGGCCGTGCTGCTCACACCACCAGAAACCATCTTCAACATGTTATCAACGTAGTTAGCGCCCGACCATTTCTGATGAGTGACGACATCGACACCGAGCTCCATCTCGGGCTCCTGAACGAGCTCGCCGTAGGCGCGCATGCCGTTCTGAGAGTAGGCCTTGGCAAACTTGTGGGAGATGAGGGCGGTGGTGTGCAGACCGGCGAGGGTGATGAATTGCCAGGCGTAGCCGAGAGCGCCGAGACGCTTGATGTAGGTCTCCTGGTCGTCGCGGGACATGGCCTTCTTCCAGTTGAAGGAGGGGGAGAGGTTGTAGGCGAGCTTCTGCTCGGGCCAGACGGCGTGGACACCGTCTGCGAACTCCTTGGCCTGCTTGTAGTCGGGCAGCTTGGACTCCATCCAGATGAGATCGGCGAAGGGAGCGTAGGCGATGGCGCGGTTGACGGCGCACTGGGTACCGCCCTGGTAGCGGTAGTAGCCCTCACGGGTGCGGGGGAGTCCCAGTTCCAGTAAATCTCGACACCAGTGAGACCCTTGGCGATGGTGCGGGCCTCGGTGTTGTTCTTGCCCTTGGCGGCGGTGAGGTACTGCTGGATGAGGGCCTGCTTGTTGCTGGAGGCACCGGCGTTGATGGCGTCAATGACGGCTTCGTCGAAGAGCTTGAGACCGGCCTGGGCGGTCCACTGGTCCTCGATGGCCTGGAGCTCGGGACCGTTCTTGCCGGCTTGCTCGGCAGCAACCATCAGGTCGTTGAGAGGCTGGAGCTTGGGGTTGGTGCAACCGACGATGAAAGCGTGATCGCGGTGGTCGATGGTGGAGGTGATGAGAGTGGCAGCCTCGGAATCGGTCCGGGCAATGGCCAGGAGGTCGGAGCCCATGATATCGGCCTGGGCACGGATGGCGACCAGACGGTTGATGTGCTCGCTGATGGGAACAAGGACCTTGCCGGCCATGTGGCCGCACTTCTTGGTGCCAGGAGCCTGATCCTCAATGTGGATACCGGCAGCACCACGCTCGACGAAGAGCTTGGTGAGCTTCATGACGGCGGTCAGACCACCGTGACCGGTGTCAGCATCGGCGATGATGGGGCGCAGGTAGTCGACGTTGGCGACCTTTCCGCGCTGGTCGGCGGGGGTAGTCACACGCTCCTCACGCTGTTTGCGGTCGTGGAAGAGCTGTGCCATGAAAAGCTGGTTGACCTTGCGAGGGACGGTGTCCTATATAGTATACTACGTTAGTTTGCGCCGCAGTAACAAATTCCAATATGTTAACATACCATGGGGTAATCGGCAAGATCAGGGGAGGGCTCGTCGGTGGACGAAGCAGTAGAGGAGCTCTGCCAGCCAGAAACGTAGATAGTATCGAGGAACTTGCACATCTGGGTGATCATGGTAGGCTCGAGACAGCCGTAGGTGTAGCTGGCCTGCTTGTTCTGTTCGTGAAGTCGAATTAGCATCTTGATCGGCAAATGCGGAGAAAATGTTCCAATCAACCTACCTGGAAGTTGGACTCAACAATGCCCCAGAGCTTCTTTGCTTGCACATTGGAAGGGTAGTCGATCTTCAGGTTACCACGCTTGGCCACAATCTGCTCGGCAGTGAAAGGGCGCTTGGTGTAGCGCCACCGAGAGTCCTTCCACCAGTTCTTGACGGCTTCAACCTCAGCCTGGAACTGGCGATCCTCATCTTCGTGCAGACCCATGATGAAAACTTTTGGTATAATACAGAAAAAGGGACAAAGGTGTAGTAGTATGTATGAGGCAAGTGTCTCTTGTCCAAAGCTCCAATATACAATGGAACAAATGTAGAAATATGAGGAGGAGAGAAGCCAAGAGAGAATAGAGCTATAATAAAAAGAAAAAAGAAGAGTCAGATCACAAGCCAGAAATGGCCTGTACTTATTTCACCTTCGAATGCGTCACACCTGAAGGGTCGGTAAACGCTCGGCTCACCGGGAGTACAGCCAATACACTCGATGCCTAGGTACCTTCGCCCTCGAACAAGTCAGGCTCGACCAATGTTTCACGGCCAAAGCCTCCGAAAGACGGAAGGCGGGTACCACTGGCTTCGGAAGAGAGGATCCAGTCTCTGAAGATCCTCGGTCTAATGGGAACATCCCTTCGCCACTGCTGAGTCTTGTTCATGGTCCTTTGGTGTTACAATTATCGGTATGTATCCGGAATGTTGATAGGAATCTTCAAGTGCATTTTCATCTCTTTTGCTTCATGGCTGTTGGCGTTGGAGTGCAATGTTTAATGTTCGAAGCTCGTTGGCAGCATTGCCGGATGACGTCGAAGACACATGCCATTACCGTGACAATACTTGATACCGTAAAACTCACTTTCACGTGCTTCAACTGTTTTCGGAGCATGTTCATCAGTTGGGGATAGTATCAATTTGGAGGATATTCTCCGTAAGATTCTCCTGTACGCTATTCAATCAGCGGCTCCATTTTTCACATTGTTCTCCCCGCGCAATCCAGAAGAACGAACATCCAGACCCAAAGGTTGCCCCGGTCATCCCTCAGACGTTTTGTCATGCCCCGGTATTCGGTGGGTCTCCACCGGGCGAATCCTCATCGTTCTGCAAGCATCGATGCTTTACTTCGTACTTCACTCGGCTTTTCTCGGTTTTCACTCCGTACCTATCAATCAATCGTTTGGCGTCTAGTTATATGTTGACAAACATAAACAGTAACATCGTGGAATCTAGACAGAGCTTCTACAGCCGAGAAGCCAAAATACAGTTCCTCCAGCATACATTAAACGCTCGATCCCATCTGTAGCCTTTTGCCAACCTACAATACACAACCTTGCATCCTCTATTCGGACATAGCGCCGTCCCCAACCCTCACTACGAATTCAACCCGGAAGAGCTGAAACTCACAAGTCACCTGCACATGCCTATATCCAATCGCAGCAGCTCCACCTCTGGTGATCTGAGCAAAAATGACTCAAAGCCGCCCTCGAAATTTGGACCTCGGCTCAACTCACTGCCAGACTAAACCGCATACGGAGCGCCGATAAGGCTGGCAGATCGGGAACTGTAAGATTAGATCGAGTCTAGGAATACAAAACAAGGTACCTGTTGTGTACTCCGTACTAGAGTCGAAATCAAGATAAGAACGTCCATCGAAGTACACCTGGTATTTTACATGACTACACAGAATAAACTCAGGGCTGAGAATCGCGTGCCCTATGGATTCACGGGTCAATCGGACTATCGATAACCTTAACCAAACCTCTACACCACGACATAGACTTAGGAAACAACGAAAGTTGAAGGACAATAAACATTCCAGACACAGCCCATACATACCCCAATACCCCGGTTCCTCAGCCCCAGAGCCCACGAGAACAGCCTCGGGAAAACAAGGGATCTCCACCTCCCCCACCCGTCATATTATCGATGCGATTCTCTGCACAGTAGTTACCATACAAATGACGACTTCGGTATCCCTGTTGCGGACTTTTTCGGTCGGGATTGTACCGAGGCGTCCGCCGGCTTATTTTCGCCTGAGGCTCGGGTTGTGGCCACAATACGTTCCAGACCCCAGAGCGCCAAGCTCATCTTGCGGGGTGATGATTTACCAGGAAGACGGTAGAGCAAGCGGGAGATAATGACTGGCATGCATCATGAAAAAGTGACATTTGGTGTCCGTTGTTTTTAGGTTCTTTTATAGGTCAAGGTGAAAAATGGATTGGGGACAAGTCATAACGAAAACAAAGAACGAAAAGAAGGAAGCAGCGCGTAGACAGTCAACTCTGTCTGATGATATCCAAGTTCGCTCCCTCACACCCCTCTAGATGCATTTTTCTATTTCGTCTCCCGCGTCTCATGTCCGACCCAATCAAAATACATCCTGAGCCACAACCGCCTTGTGGTACGTCTCGTAAGGAGTGATAGTTCCCAAAGAGCGCCTCATGTGGGCATTGAGGATCTCGAGTCCGTAAACATAACTGGCGTTGACCCAACCGAATCTAAGAGCGAGTTAGCATCCAGAGTATTCATTAGACATGATGAAGCAGAAACATACCCTTCACGCGGAGCACCCTTGAAGTCCGTGCCCTGATTGCCATACTCGGCATCGACCCGGTGTGGATCGATAGGTCGGGTGACATCATATTTCTCCACGACAACACCATTGAAGTCAACAAAGGCCTTGGTAATCATGTAAACCCACTTGTACGCAAGTCGCTCCGCCTCCTCCTGGTAGCCGTAGCGCAAGAAGCCCGTCCAGGCAAGCATCTGTTGCGGCGCCCAGCCGTATGGGTAATCCCATTGTCGGTTAGGACGCTCTAAGCCAACTGCGCCGCGCGACTGTTCGGTACCCGAAACCAGACCGCCAAATGCCTCGAACCGGGGCAGGGCCTTTTCAACCATGACAGCAGCCTGAGCGGGAGAAGCGAGACCTGCCCACATCGCCCAGAAGGTCGTGGCAGTTTCGTAGTCTGTGCGCTCCTTCTTGACCGTATCGTAATCAAAGTACATACCCTTCTCTGCGTTCCAGAGGAGCTGGTCCATGCGCTGCTTGCGCTTGCGCGCGCGACGGTCCCAGACTGCCGAGGACTCGGTCTCGATATCCTTTGTGAGGGGTGTACGGAACTCATCCGGAATCGGGAGCTTATCGTTGAAGTGAACGCGGATGATCCGTGCAATGTCAACTTCGTATTTGTAGAGCAGGGAGTTGAGGTCGACGGTGGCGAGATTTCCGCACACTCCCTCAAGACGGTAACTAGTATCGTGACCAGACTCACGGACGGCACGGTCGTGCATGAAGTATTCGTCGAGTTTGGGCTCAACGATCTCGCGGGAGTTGTATGCTGCGACAAACTCCTTGAAGCTCATTCCATGCTTCTCGGCATATGGAGTGAGAATGTGCACGAAGTGAGAAGGCTCGGTCTCTGGAGGTACACCCCAGCCTTCGGGGCGATACCTCGACAGACCAGTCTCTGGATCAAGACGGGGTGCGGTGACCCAAACGCTGTTGTACTCCTTGATGGCAGCGAGGACAGCATTGCGGAGGAACTCTTTCGAATCGGGCTCGGTCTTGATTCTTTCGTAGACACGCAATGCCATGTCGGTTAGGAAGGGCGGCTGCGAGCGGGTGAGGTAGTAAGATCGATTGGCGTTGAGGATCTTGCCATAGTGCTTGATCTCGAAGCAGAAGTTGACAACCATGCCCTTGGCAAGATCGACGCGATCACTGACAAGCAGGCCCAACGACTCCATGTAGCTATCCCAACCGTACAGCTCATTGAAACGACCGCCCGGCACCACGAAGGGCACGCCGACCAATTCGGTCTCATTGGTTGCTTCATTCAACTTCTTCTGCATAGCCAATGCAAGGAGACCGGGCTTGTCGTTTAGTGACATCACATAATCAGGCGTGATCTCCGCGGGCAGCATCTGCACATCCAGACGCAGCTCAGGGTGGTCCTTCGCAATCTTTTCGTAGTATTCAAATTGTGTCTGGGCACCGGGAGGGATGTAAATTCGCGGTCGAGGATCCGAAGTCCAGTCCTTGGGGTCACGGCCCGCGATTTCAATGTTGGAGCCATCGATACGTCTTGTGAGGGCCTTCCAGAATGAATTCTTAATCAATCGGGAGAGACGCGATACTGGGTTCTCGCTCAACCGTGCTTCATCAAGAATGACGTGCTTGCGACCGTAGTCTTTTGCGATCGTAAGCTCTTGAAGGAGGTTGGAGAGCATATATGTGCCCCGCACATCAACTCGGTTATGTCCCGACGATGCCGCAGTTCCGACCGAGAGCACCTGCAGCCGTTAGCAATTGACCTCGGTGATCATCACTATCAAGCGTACCTTAGGACCCATATCCTCGATGGTGATCTGCATATTCTGATCTGTATCTTCCTGCTTCAGAAGAGCATTGAGCGTCTCGTCCACTTCGATAAGGAACTTTCGGGGTTGTCCCGATGCCTCATCTATCCGCCATTGTCAGCCCTGGTACTGAATCGCCACATAGTATTTGTTGTAAGGTAGGCATACCGTGACTGCCGCGTCGAGAAGGCAAGGTTCCAACAAAGCCATTGATGTCTTCACGGCTAACATCTGTCAAACTCTAGATGGAAATAACAGCATATGTTAGCTCGCTGTACCTGCCGCGGGGTACTCATAGATGTGGCTGCTTACCACTGAGAATGCACGTCTTCCCGCTCTGACCTTCCGTAGAGTATCTTCATTGCCATAGTAGACATCTGGGTTTGAATAGGGATCAACGTTGTTTGAACCAGACCTGGTGTGGCCCTTTGACGAGCTCATGGTCTGTATGGGCGGAAGTAGAAGATTCGAGAGCACTGAAAATCGGATGTGCGTTACGCAGAGATGCGTCCACACCGACTATTCCCCGAAGTCAAGAAACTTTAAACGAGCAAGCGCAGCTGATTTAACAGGCCTGATATAAGATTTTTTTCGGCCAATCGTGCGCCGATGGGTGTCCAGGTGATGATTCGATCAAATGAGTCACTGGGATGTCCTTGTCTCGATGATTGAGACAGTCTCAGATCAATTTTGGATGATATGGTGATTCAGGGTTGATGGAATATAGTAAGTGTAGATATAGAGGCTCTGAGATTGGTTAACAGGAGGATGTTATGAACCGGGCAGAGGAAGTGGAAGAAAATGACGGCATTGACGCTGATTACGATGATGTCGCCGCTCCACTTTATGTTGCCGCTGATAGGAGAGATAACGAACATTGTGGACAGCGAGGTCGGAGAAAAATGAACAAAATGAACAAAATGAGCAAAAAACAAATACGGAAGTCCGCAAATAATTTCAGTCAAGTGATCAAACAAAGACGGTTGCGGCTGAGATGTGATGGCCGATCGTGGCCAGCCATGTACAGGAATGTTGACTATTTTGCCCTGACAAGGGTTCAGTGAGTGTGCTACAATACAGTAGATCCGCTCTAGATCATGGGATAATTTTGTGACACCTAAATATGCTTTAGGTATATCTTTGAAGGGTTATCTAAAAACGATATACAGAACGTCGCTCGCAAAATTCTTACAGCTTGGCAGCGATGGCGCTTCCGCCGTCAACTGTGATGGTCGCGCCGTTCACAAATGCACCGGCACGGCTACTCAAGAACAAGCAAGCTCCAGCCACATCCTGCGGGGTGCCGATGCGGCCCAGAGGCACACCGGCCTTAATACTCTCACCGAACTCCTTCAAGGTGGCAGCCATCATTTTACTCTCGAAAGGACCACATGCCAAGGTGTTGGAGCTGCAAATCAGATTAGTTCCAGACAAATTCAAGCCTCGAAGAGAAGCATAATAAGGGACAATGAATATGCTTACGTGACATTGCGTCTGCCCAGGTGGTTGGCAAGCACCCGGCTCAAGTGGTGCAGACCAGCCTTGCTGGAGCTGTATGCGAACGTCTCGAGCGAGGGAACACGGAGCCCATCAATGCTGCCAATGTTGATAATGCGGGCGGGGTCTTCCGGCGTAGACGCCTTCTCCAAAAGTGGTGTGACAAGCTGGGTCAGGTCGAAGACTCGGTGGAGGTTGAGGGTGAGAACACGCGTGAATGCCTCGGAGGGGTATTCATCGTAAGGAGCGCCCCAGTTCGAGCCGGAGTTGTTGACGAGGACGTGGAGCTCTAGGGAAAAGGTTTCTCGGTAAGTTTGATGCAATTGTCTCGGAGGGTGTCATATCTTACTGCCTTCGCGCTTGCCCAATTCCTCCGCCAGCTTCTTCACGTCCTCAAGCTTATAGAAGTTGGCCGGGATGGCGTGGGCCTTGCCCTTGCCGAGAGCATTGAGCTCCTTGACCGCTTGGTCGCAGGCCTTTGCATCACGGGATGAAATGTAGACGGTGGCGCCGTTTGTAACGTAGCCTTCTGAGATCATGCGACCGATGCCTTTAGCTCCGCCGGTGACCAGCACCACTTTGCCCTGCAGGCGCGTTAGGATGGTCGGAGAGATGAGAGTACTAGTGATCTAACCTTGACGTTGAAAAGACTTGCGGAATCCATTGTGAATTTGTAGAATTAGTCTGAATATTTGCAAAAGAGCTTGAGGATCAGAGGTTACTATCTATATTTGTCACTCGCAGTTTCCCCATCGCATCCCATACCCGAAGCCGAGATGACTTGGAAGACCAGCCGAGGCTTTCGGGCCTGGAATATACTTTCACCGAGGTAAGACGCTAGTCTCCTTCGGGGCTTCAGTTAGGGCTGCATCGTCAGGGTTTCGCGGGGTCTCTTGGTCGAGGTGTTTGGCTGTTTTCGTTAGTACGTCCAAAGTAAATAAGCTCGTGTCGATAAATTTGTCAATTTGCTGTTTCATATCACATTCCAACAATGGAGGAACTTTTGTCAAAACATCGCAAAGAGCAAAAAGATCTCCAAGGGCGGATTACGCAGAAGAAAAAGTCCGCCACCAAGAAAACTCGCAAGGGAGTCAACGATGAATGTGAACAATGGCAGCGCGAACTGTCCGAGAGACAACAAGCCGAGATTGCGCAATTAAATGGAACACCCGTGGATGGACTTGAAACCCTCAGTCTGGAGGATGAGCAACGGACAGATGACGAAGATTCAAAAGAAGACAAATCCCCCGAGAAGCCACAACAGACACAACCAGCCCCCGCGTCTACCCCAGAACCGTCGTCCAGGTCGACTCCCAAAAAGCCGAACCGTCAAAAGGCTCGCCTCGCCCGTCGTGCAGCTGAGCAAGCCGCCCAGTCAGCCGCCGCAGCAGAAGAGGCTGCAACGCAGACAAACTACCGAGGCAACGAACAAGGAATTATGGATGCTGCGTTCAAGAAGCTGGGTCTGAAGGAAATAGAAGTGACCCCGGATGGACACTGTCTCTACTCGGCAGTTGCCAAACAGCTCGATGAATCGGGACTCGGCTTGCGTCCGGACCCAAGCCGGATCGTCCTCCAGCCCTCAACACAGGCACGCATTGACACAGTCGCTTCGCCACAACATGATGGTTACCGAGCTGTACGTGCAGTGACGGCAGACTTCATTACAGAACATAAGGAAGACTTCGAGGCCTTCATGGAGGAGCCGCTGGACTCGTACACTCGGAAGATCAAATTGACTGCCGAGTGGGGAGGGCAGCTGGAGCTGCAGGCGATTGCCCGAGCATACGGTGTGGAGATCAACGTTGTACAGAGTGATGGACGGATGGAAAAGATTGAATGTGGTGATGGTGACAGCTTTGACGAGGAGGAGAAGCGCAAGCGCGTTATCTGGCTCGCGTACTACCGCCACACTTACGGACTCGGCGAACATTACAATGCCCTCGTGAAGAACTCATAGGGTACTCAGATCAATATAATTTCATTTTTTGCTCGACCTAAAGGGTGAGCTTGACTGTACATTTGCGAGTCTTTAGCTTGCTCTGTTTTGCCAGGTGCTTCTTCCGCTCTTCGGCAGATCTAGTTACGGCGACGCCAGATGGAGACCCGGTCGTGGATAACCCCGTTCTCTCCCTTGCCTACCTCGTGCGTGCGTTCTGGCGTCCAGTGTGCCACTCTTTCAAGGCCCGCTTCACTTGGTGCCTGAAGAGGATTGTGCTTGACCACACCGTCGACATATCGGACTTCCTCGCCGGGATGGCTCAGGTGCTCCACATATGCTTCCGACGTGGAGGGCCATGGGGGACCCGGAGCTTGAGGATCCTTGTGGCGGGGGAACTCGAGACAAATCAAGTTGCCCGCTGGCGAAGGGGAAAGAAGCTGGGTGTGTCGAAGTGCCCATTTGGGTCGCATTGAGGGATCCAGAGCACAGAAGAACTGCATAACAGTTGTAAGAAACAATGAACATAGATATTTTCGAGGTAGAACACAACAAAAGATAAGAACTCTTATCTCCAGTCGCGTGGCTATTTCCCCGCATTGCCTTGGACGATCTCAGATGGGACAGGAAGATGTATGCATACCGTGTAATCATAAATCACATCAAACCCATTCAATGGCACACCAATTTTCTCTAACCAAGCGTCACTGAAAAAGTCACCCTGGACCCAAGTGACCTTCCCAGCGCCGACAGCCTGGTCCCGGACCCGGTACAGATCGGCAGTTTTCGACTCCTCCTTCTTGCAAGCCTCGATAGCAGAAGCACTGTACTCAAGGCCATAGGCATCAAAGCCAAAGCTCGCAAGCAAGAGGACATCGACACCCCTCCCGCATCCAGGAACAAGAGCCTTCCGCCGATACTCCTTTCCCTGTGCATCGGTCGCAACAGGCGCGCCAATTGTCGGACGCTGCTGGACGAGCGCGTCTTCCAGGGCGGGGTTGGGGAATCCCCGATCCCAGGGCAGGTAATCGCCCTTATCCCATAGGGCAGCCCATCCCTCGACGTATTTGTCGCCTTTGTACTGAGACAGGCGGTCTTGGATCTCCTTTGCGTTGATGTTGGGTTGTGGGACGCTCATTGTGATATGTTCTTCGAATAACTTGGTGTTATTGTTTGCTTGAGTGTGGAGAGAACCGGCAAGTTCAACGTCATTCTGGGGACCATCCCGATTCGAAAGATTAGTAATCACATTGCGCGGCTTTGAATTGAAGGTCAATCGGCGTGCAAAGGATGTTTCTAGATCAATCGGTCGGCAATAACGGCATCGATGTCGAATAAATGTGTCAGAGATTGGGATCCTGGGGTAATTGTTGATCAACCGGTTTGCCAAGCGCATCTCAGGTTGGAATCTGGGGTGACAGGACCCCCAAGTGGATAATGGAATTATGAAGCCTAAAGCTAAGCTGCTAAACTGCTAAAGCCAAGATGAGTTGCGACTATCAAGTACTCTTTGGTTTCTGATCTTCTAGAGGACTTCCAGAGCTGCCTTGGCTGATCATCTCGGGATGGCCCGCGCTCATATTTGCCGACGGAAGACCGGCACCGACTCGACGATGACTGGCTTGTTTTATGAGAGGAAGACAAAACAGAGAGTGGAGTCTTTAGCACTTCACCGGAAAAATATCCGCGTTCAAAGATATGAGGTAGAAGGCTGCGCGTACTGCACATCCCTCGGTCGTCGTCGGTTTTTATCGGTAGCAAAACTCTTCAATTGTTCTCTGGAAGGGCACAAATAAACCCCTGACTCTTTCCTTTCCTACATACTCAACGTCGCTCGAATTTACGCTTGTGCCAATCTAGCGCATTCTGAGGAAGGAGGGATCGACACTCTTGGACGCAACTACGAAACCAAATCTTCAGTCTTCACGGGTCTTCTATCTAGACTTGCCGACTATTTTTGTTTGCCGTTCTTCGTTCTCTACTCGTGTACAGCTTTATAAGAGCTATTCTTCTTATTCAGGGTTTTATTTATGCTTAATTATTGGATCGGGTCAACCCTCTTTTTCCATCTTTTCCATTGGGCGTTGATCACAGACGTGCGCATTCGGCATTCCGAATCAGGATCGAGGTCAACCCGGCATTTAGAGACTCTCTAGTCTTTGGGTCGTGTATTTGAGCCTGAGCTATCGCAACAGTCCAGTTCAATGGCGATGCATTCGTCCAATATGCCCGAGCAAGAGACGTATGGCATCAGGACGTCGTCGTTGGGCAGCGATCGACAATCGACAGACGGGGTTGAAACAAAATCAGAAATCGATTATCATGATGGGGCTTCCAGTAAGCACACGGATGAAGAACACGATGACCCAGAAGACATTCCACCGCGTCTCGAGCGTCAGTCGACGGAGCTTGGTGCTCCCATCAAGGTCGCCCGATTGAAGCGCAGAGGCTTGTTTGGTCAGTTGGCACTGGTGGCAGAGGTTGAGAACCCGAAGACATATCCCCGGAAAACGAAATGGTTTATTACATTCATCGTCGCTCTTGCTGGAGCCACGGCACCCATGGGCAGCTCAATCTTCTTTCGTGAGTTGAACCACACAAACTTTGGTATTCATATCACATCTGACTATCCCATCAGCCGCTCTATCGCAAGTATCCAAGGAGTTGAACACGACGTCCACCACCACCAATCTGTCAATCGCTTTGTACATGCTGGCAATGTCGATATTTCCATTGTGGTGGTCGTCATTCAGTGAGCGATTTGGGCGACGCACCATCTACCTAGCTTCCTTCTCTCTATTTGTCCTCTTCAACTGCCTCTCTGCCATTTCGAGCTCCATCTCCATGTTGATTGTCATGCGAATGCTGAGTGGTGGTGCTTCTGCTTCTGTGCAGGCTGTCGGTGCGGGCACCATAGCCGATCTTTGGGAATCCAGAGAGCGAGGACGCGCCATGGGTATTTTCTATCTCGGTCCCTTGTGTGGTCCTTTATTTGCCCCCATTGTCGGTGGTGTCTTGGCTCAACGCTGGGGATGGCGAAGCACGCTGTGGTTCCTTTCGGCCTTTGGTGCTCTCACTTTGATCTTTATCTTGTTCGCTCTTCCCGAGACGTTGACTGCGCCAAAGCCCATCATGGCTGATTTTGAGGACGGCGAGGATACCAATATCAGCAGGTCGTTGAGTCGAGTCTCGTCCCGGCAGGTCGCCCGGGCTACCACGAGGTGGATCAAGACGTTGAAGATGTTTTTCATTGACCCACTCAAGATCATTCTATACCTGCGCTTTCTCCCCGTTCTTCTCACGGTGTACTACGCGAGTATTGCCTTCGGTTCTCTATATGTTCTCAACATCAGCGTTGAAGAAACTTTCGGAAAAGCGCCATATAACTTCTCGACCATCATTGTCGGTTTGCTTTACATTCCAAACTCGCTCGGCTACATGGTAGCCAGTATCTTCGGTGGCAGATGGATGGACAACATCATGCAACGAGAGGCGAGGAAGGCAAACCGATATGACGAGAAGGGCAGACTTATACTACGACCCGAAGACCGAATGCGTGAGAATGCTTGGGTAGGTGCCTTCCTGTACCCAGCAGGCCTGTTATGGTATGGCTGGGCGGCAGAGAAGGGAGTATACTGGCTTGTCCCTGTAGGTTGATCGTACCCCAGACCTATGTAGACGGCTCGCTGACTTCACATGACAGATGATCGCCAACTTCTTCTTTGGTATGGGCTCCATGCTTATTTTTAGCATGGCGACTACTATGCTCACCGAGTTCATGCCGAAAAAATCTTCAGAGGGAGTAGCTCTCAACAACTTCATGCGAAATATCTGCTCCTGTGTCGGTTCCCTCGTCACAGCCCCTATCATTGGCGGCATCGGCAATGGCTGGCTCTTCACTATTCTCGGCGTTGTCGGTTTCGCAAGCAGCGCCGTTATCTTCTTGATGAGGGTCAATGGCCCCAAATGGAGAAAGACCATGGATGCAAAAATGCATTCATGAGCTGATTGTGGTCTGTTTTATCCTTGCATTTTATCTTTGGCGTTGGAGCATATTGATACCGTGCTTTTCCGCAAAAAGTAGGTCTATATGGCCTACCATGATTCTTGGTGTCAATAACCACCTGTTGTTGTTCTGCACATGCTTCTAACATTCATACCCGGTTGTCTTGTCGTTCATGTTGAGCTGGTCTCCAACGCCCTTCTCTGTTTTGTGTTCATGCTCGTTGAGATTACCTGTTGCCTCTACTCAGGCACGTTCATAATAAAAATGATACCCGTTTCGCAAGGAACTCTAGTAGTAATAGATGTGCAGTGCTGTGTTGGCTAGCGTTTGTCTAGTATACTTTCCACCCAAATGAAAACATCCTAAAGAGTACTAACATCGCTAGGACCAGGAAGAAGACGCGAGTCAGACTGCATGAACTAACCCGTCTGCACGAAATAGCAAGGCCGCCAATCACGGGATCCATATCCTTGTCTAGCCAGCACTTCTAGCGAACATTCGATGCATCTATGAGGGGTGCGCATGATCTTCAACAGACTGAGGGAATTGAGGGCATTATGCGCTGTAGTAGCCGATGTTAATATTTTCATACACGATACGCGTTATACGCCAGGTTTGTGCTTCGTTTTCTTCCGGGACTATTGGATTTCAATACTTTGCTTTTTCCGGGATTTTGCTTTAACACTTCCGATGGATGCCGGCAACATGTCTATACTCTACTCTAAGCGACCAGTCTATCCGCTAGTTGAAATCTCAAATAAGACTCCAAATGAAGATCTGCTATCGCCGACGAGCTGATCTCTGATCGGCACATACCCTCCTCTCTCGATAGATATCAAACAATCAACCTCGGGAACCTGGAATTCAGTGGCGATAATCATGCCCAGTCCATCTACCCATGGAAGTCTAACTGTCTGATATATTCAGTCAACACCCTGAAACCTAAGAATGCTGAGAATAGAAACAAAAGTCACCAGTCTTAGGTACCATTCAAGACATGTACAACTATTCCCGAGATCGCCATCCACCTACAAGTAACACAGCATGGATGACTCGGCCCGCTGCATTCGAGTTGGGTACATAGATCCCAATCTGGTAACCTAGCTGAGCAGTCGTATCAGGAAGTACAACATATTCGGAAATGACACGGAATGCTAGCACTAGCACCGGGGGTTGATCTACTAGAACAGAGCAGATTGGGCTGGGCATGCATGCAGCTGTTTTTAGACTCTGAGTGTTGGCTTGAAACAGATTGATACTTGTGTATACTGAGGGTATACTCTTAGATACATTGGGTTGAACAGACACATACATCGTGTGTCATGATCTGGGTACAACGTACGGGCTGTGTAGAAGAGAGGAAGAGTGAGAGTGGGGAGCGTAGCCGTGAGGTCAGTGGTAACTGGTTTCATCAGCAATTGAAGATGCAGGAATTGGCGGGACGTGGTGATTTAGGAGTGTCTGGTGTTGCGAAGATTTCAAGATTCTAATGATCGACTGGATTAGAATCTCGACCTATCGCGAGGGAGAGAAATGCATTTTTGTCCTTGGAATTTTCTTGACGTTGTCCTGCAGTCTTCGCACATCCAACATCACCTGACCCCCACCACGGTTTTCATTCTTTCTCTCTTGTAAGTTGTCGATGCAGATGAGGTTTTACTGCATATTGACATCAACTAGAATGTTCCCAATCCCCTTACAGTTTACAAGTGACAGAGTCTCACAGAATACTCCGTACAAGATCGGGCAATTGATTTCTGAAGTGTCGGTGTCGAGAGTGGAGATTCGTCTCCATCCGCTTTCTCCGCTCCATACAACTCCCACCCGACTCCATCGACTCCAGCCACCCTGTTTCTCTCTAGTTCTCACAATGAAGAAGGTATGGAAATGAAATGAATGGGAAGTCCTAATAGTCCCAGGCTTCGAGGTTGATGACCCTGGTCTATCCACTTCGCGATAGCCTGTATCCTATTTGCCGCCGTTACCGGGGGACGTTGGGCAGAAATGGGTCTGCATCACTTCTCGCCCTTCGACTTTCCTACTGAAACATTGACACATTGCCTTGGCTCTGTGTACTCCGTACTCTTCGTACATTCACCAATTCCTCCTAATCAATTGATTGCTAACTATATCTCTCTTCCACAAAGCGTGGCTTCGTACCTGATTTCCATTGTATACCTAAACCAGGCCCGAAAATCAAACCAGCACAATCCCAAATTCAATCCATTCGGTGGCCAACCCCACTCAACAGACCCGGTCTCCATACTTCTGCAGCACTACCTTTCCTATCTTGACCGACGTGTTCCCGCATCCCCAATCCCCTCTCACGATTTACTGCTTGGTACTGCAGCTACTCCTGCGGGTGGGGATCGACCTGCTCTCACCCGGCCCTAAGCAAGCACTAAACCACCATGTCGGCCTTGGAGAATGGAGACCCGAGGACCGACGTGGCCCAATGACAAAAAACTCCATCGGGTAGTTCGTGGATGACGTTCAAAGGCCCAAGAATCGTAATGCAGTTTGTTGTCCATCCGACCGCATAGAACGAAGTATTATACGCTGCCTCACCGTGACTGTCCACGGCCTCTGTGTCACCGGAGAAACAAGCATATCCTTCCTTTCCCTTTTGGTCTTCTAATACAGCTGGTACCTCTGCCCAGTCTTACAAGTCCTCAATTTTCCATCTTTTGTATCTTTTGTTCCTCGTTTTCCCTTGCCGCCCCATACTTCCTTGCAGCGAAAAGCCCGACAAGCCGGCTTGTCAATTTTTACCCCTATTGTTCCGAAGCCCGTCACATCACGCGCAACCCGTCCGCCTCGCCCGGCCTCGATATATGATACGTCATTGACCGGGGCACCATGGCGAAGAAAGGGAAGAAGGGAAAGGCCAATAAAGCTAATAACAACAACCGCGCTCCCGTCGGTTCTGCACCACCTCCTGCAACCGATAACAACGTCGACGACCCTGCCCCCGACCCGGCGGCCGCCGCTGTTGAGGATGCCTTTCAAGTATGCTGATGTCCCTCAATACTCATATCAAACTGTTCAACGTCAATACCAAACGTTTGATTATGAGTCTCAATCTTTTCAATTCTACCCTGTTACCTATTCAACGACCGATCTGACCGAGGGCCAAAACCAGGACAACAATGAGCCCGCCGCCGATCCGGAGAAGGAGCCTGCCTCTGAAGAACCCGCTGCCGCTGAGCCAAGTGGCGATGATAGCCCGGCTCCTGAGTCTACAGGTGAGTATTTTCTGTGTATCGTCAAATGTTACCTCTTGTATCTTATCCGGGGTTACTTACATGATGTTCAGATGCCGCAGAGGCTGCACCAGCCGAGCCTCCAGCCGAGGAAGCTGCCCCAGAGGCTAAGGAAGAGGGCAAGGCTGAACCCGTTGCTGGCGATGAGCCTGCACCAGATGCGGAGAATGCCGATGAAGCTCCCAAGGAGGCTCCAGTAGAAGACGGAACTCCTGCGGAGGAGGCGAAGCCTGAAGAGGAATCGAAATCTGAAGGAGAGCCGAAATCTGAAGAGGAGCCGAAGTCTGAAGAGGAGCCGAAGTCTGAAGAGGAGCCGAAGCCTGAAGAGGAGGCGAAGCCTGCTGAAGAGGAATCGAAACCCGAAGAGGAAGCAAAGCCCGACGAAGACCCAAAGCAGGAAGACCCCAAGGAGGAAGACCCAAAGCCTGAAGGGGACCCCAAGCCAGAAGATGACCCCCAAGCTGAAGGGGAATCCAAATCTGACGACGAACCAAAGCCCGAAGAGGAACCGAAGTCTGAAGGCGCAGAAGATGCCCCAGCTGGCGATGACACGAAAAAAGGCGACACTGGCAACAATGGTCAGTATGCAAAGCGGAGTCGGTCTTACAAAGCTGACACTTATTTTGCAGACGAAGAGTTCCCGGAGTTAAGCCTCGATGAAGATCCGGAAACGATCGCAGCAATCGCAGCCGAAAAAGAGGCTGCGGCTCTTGCGGCTGCTGAAGATGCTCTAGAGAATGAGGCAGATGCACCAAAGCCTGATGAGACTCCTGCAGCACCTGAACCACCACCAGAGGAACCGAAGGCGGAGGAGAAGCTGAGCAAGAGCCAGAAGAAGAAGAACAAGAAGAAGGCCAAGGGCGCCAAGGCAGCCGATCCTGAGCCGGCAGCCCAACCAGAACCAGAACCAGAATCGACGCCCAAGCCTGAAGCTGAACCAGCTGCCGACCCAGCGCCAGAAACACCAGCTGAACCTGCACCCGAGTCTGCACCAGAGCCAGTGCCAGAAACGCCAGCTGAACCTGCACCCGAGTCTGCACCAGAGCCAGTGCCAGAAACACCAGCTGAACCTGCACCCGAGTCTGCACCAGAGCCAGTGCCAGAAACGCCAGCTGAACCTGCACCCGAGTCTGCACCAGAGCCAGTGCCAGAACCACCAGCTGAACCTGCGCCAGAGCCTGCACCTGAACCCGAAAAGCCTGCCGACGATGCTGCCGAGGTCCCAGCCGCGGAAGAATCGACACCACCTGAACCGCCCGCGGAGGAGCCCAAGGTGGAGGAGGAGCCGCCGAGCAAGAAGAAGAAAAAGAAGGCTAAGAAGGGCAAGAAGGGAGCCGATCCAGAGCCAGAACCAATTGCAGCGCCAGAACCAGCAGTCGAAACACCACCGGAGCCTGAAGCATCACCTGCAACAGAGGCAGAACCACCAGTCGAAGAGGAAAAGGCTCCCGAAGACCCCGTTAAGGAGCTCGAGCCGGAATTCACGCCAACAGAGGAAGCGCCTGCTCCTGAACCCGAGCCTGTAGCACCTGAGCAAGGCGACGAGGCTCCTAAGGAGACACCGGTCGAAGAGAGCGCCCCGGCTGAACCAGAGTCTGAGCCTGTCGTTGAGCCTGAAGCTCCTGTGGAAGAGCCAGCCCCTGCTGCCGTTGCGGAAACTGCTCCTGTCGAGGAAATTGCTCCTGTCGAGGAACCTGCTGCTGTTGAGGAAAATGCCCCTGTCGAGGAGTCACCCACCGCTGAGCCTGCTCCCGTAGTTGAAGAAGCCCCGGCTGAGATTGTGGAAGAGGCTGCTCCAGTCACTGCTGAGGATCCGGTTCCCGCCGAAGAGGCCGCAACACTTGCGGAAGAGACACCCGCCGCGGTCGAAGAGCCAGTCGAGGAGAAGCAGGCCGAGGAACCGGCTGCGGTGGCCGCCGATGAAGCTCCAGCTGTGGAGACTGCTGAAGCACCTATTGTCGAGGCTGCTCCCGAGGATCTTCCTGTTGAAGAAGCTCCTGCCGAGCCAACCCCCGAGCCTGTTGCCGAGCCTGCTGCCGAGCCTGCTGCCGAGCCTGCTGCCGAGCCTGTGGCCGAACAACCGCCGGTTGAGGACCAGCCCGCCGAAGAGTTCGTGGACGCTCTGGAAGTAGCTCCCGATGATCCGCCAGTCGAGGACCCTGCACTTCCAGTCGAAGAGCCGGCACCTCCAGTCGAAAAGCCTGCGCCTCCTGTCCCAGAATCCGCCGAGCCTGAAGCCCCAGAGCCACCAGCCGATAAGGAAGTGCCTCAAGATGCTGCCGATGCCGCGCCCGTCGTGGAACCCCCCGCTCCAGCCCCGGTGGAAGAGGCGCCAGTCGAAGAAGCCCCTGCTACCGATCCACCTGCAGAAGCTACAGCAGAACCGGAAGTCGTGCCTGAGGAGGCGCCAAGAGCGATTCCAGAGGAAGCACCTGCTCCCGAGCCAACGCACGAAGAACCAGCTCCCGCGGAAGCAGCTCCCCCTGAGGCTCCAGTACCCGACGAATCTCCAGCTGAACCGGCCATTCTGGAAGAGGTTCCACCTGAGACACCAGAACCCAACGAAGCTGCATTGCTAGCTGAGGCTCCAACACCGGAAGAGACAGTGACTGAGACCCCGCCAGCAGACCCCGGCCCAGAGCCAGAAGCTACCAGAGACCTACCCGTAGACGATCCACCAGCAGAGCCAGAGCCAGCTCCCGAGCCAGTCCCTGTCGTTTATGAAGTGGAGCCCGAGGCGCTCGTACCACCACGAGCAGACGCCCCACGCGATGTGGACATGATCTACGCAGAGCCTCGTCCGGACGAGCCCCTGGACGAAGCCGGAGAAGCCACAGCCGCACAACGCAGCTCTCGACGCCGCAGAAAGCGCACCTCCCCAGTCGAGGGCGAACGCCGCCGATCCAAGACATCCTCCGAAGGCCGCCGAGACCAGCTCCAGCGTCAGAAGAGCGACCGAGGCATCATCCTGAACCGCTGGGCGAAAGCTCTCGAAGAAGCGCGACGCCAGCACGACGAGAAAGTCCAAGTCCAACGCCGACAGCGCGCTCTCGTCGAGGAGCGAGAGCGCAGCGGTATCCCGTCAACTGAGAAACTCAAGCGCTCAAGGAGCTCAGCCAAGGAGAAGGAGAGAGAGAAGACCAGGGAGCTGGAACCAGAAGCTGACATTCTCGAATCCAAATCCCGACGCCGAACCTCTGACACACCATCAGGCCAGCCATCCCAGCCAATTGAGCGAGCCCGCTCGACCAGAACCTCCTCGTCAAAGCAGATGGCGACATCGGCGCCGACGCCTCGACCCCGCGCTTTCCTGCGGTACATGACCGAAGGCAAATCCGATACCAACGGTCCTCTGCTCCGTATGAATTCGGCCAAGGCTTCGCCACCCCTCGACCGTCCGCGCCGGTCATCGACTAGCCACAGCAGTGGTAGCCGCCATGAGCGAGGCGAATATGAAGACCGACAGTCGAACGGTCGGTCCAGTGGGTCTAGACGACGTGAGGAGGAGCCTCGGGTTGAGCGTGCTCACTCTCGCCGTGGAGAAGAGCCCCGTGTTGAGCGTGCTCGCTCGCGCCGTGAAGAAGAACCTCGGGCTGAGCGTGCTCGCTCGCGACGTGAAGAAGAGCCCCGGGCTGAGCGTGCTCGCTCGCGACACGAGGAAGAGCCTGCTCGGTTGGAGCGGACTGAGACTAGGAGGTTGCGACGGTCGTCGACCGCTGAGCATGGTCGGGTTAGGGAGGAGAAGAGAGAGAGGGAGAGGGACGGGGAGAGAGAGAGGAAGCCTGAGGGTTCTTCGAGGCGTTCTCGGGAGTCAAGGGAGGTTCGGTCTCGTCGGCATAGGCGGGAGGAGTCGCCGCCGAGAGAGGAGTCGAAATTGAAGGGTCTCTGGAGGGCGATTGCTGCGCATTGATTGTTTTTTGGTCTTATGGATTCCCTTTCTACCTTGTCTTTTTACTCGGGTGGTTTGGGGGTTTAACAGAATGATTGCGTGATGATATGATGAATTTGCATTGGGGAGCGTATCATTGCAGGAGTTGACTTTGTTTATTTGTTTATTAGCCCGATTTGTGCTTTTTACTTAGACAAAGATTTTGGATTGAAGCTCTGAGTTGGTATTCATGCATCGTACATCGTACATGCATTATGCATGCATATCTTGTAGTCGAACAGGACAAAGGGGAAGACCGCATAACACGACCTGAGTACCTAGGATTCGGACGAGAAAGTTCGAGGACCAAGTCCTTTTTCCTGGACATAATGCCCCCAGCCAGATCTCATAACTAGTGCAATCAATATTATGCAATTGACGTTCGAAATCCTTGTCCATCTGACAAGCTTTCCGTGGGTAATAACCGGATAGTGAGTGCTAGTCCAGGGAGCTCACTACACTCAAAAAGATCATCCTGGTCCCCGTACCTAAAGACTTGAGCCTCACAAGTAAATCCCAAACCATATTCTCAATCTCCTCATTTCCCTCTCTGTATCTCCAAGCCAGACGTACCATCGTGGAAGATAATCGAGAAAGCCCAGTAATCAGTGTGTTCTCCACATCCACTCGAGGACCCAGAAACAGCCGTATGAAAATTGTAGTCGCACAGAACGACCTATTGTTCATGTTGTGTGGAGTGTATGCTGTAGATATATCTACGCTGAGAATACTCAGCGATGACAGCATAGTCGGTACATACTGGGTACTGACAGCGTCGAAGAAGTGGAGGACTTCTGATAGACCGTGGCCACAGTCATGAAGAACAAAAGCACCACCTGGTAAGTACCGAATCGAAAAGCAATGCGTCCAAACAAGCCAAATCAAGGCATTGTCTCGCCCTTTGCCGGAATCACCCTAGAACACCACCCACACCAACCACGAGATAACCCCTTCTCCTCTCTGACAAGATAATTGCCCGTCTCCCTCTCATCCTCATACTCAACAACACAAGCCCCAACATTTACCCTCTTCTTAGCCTTCTGCTTCACCACACCCCCTAACCCAATAACCTCCTGCCGGAAATACCCAGCCTCCTCCTCCTCATCATGACTATCCGAGATCCCTGCTCCCTCATCCCCAAACGACGTGGGCACCGCAGAACTCTGCTCAATACTACCAGTATCACTCCCAGAGCCAGAAATAGACCCAGACGCCTCCTCAGTCTCACAGTCAACTTCAAGCTCAATCTCCTGCGCAGCAAGACAGTGCTCGCCGCGACCACACTTGACACCGTGGGAGCCTTCGCCAATTCCAGTGCCCATCCCGCCACCGAGGTAGGTGCTATAGCGCGTGCGCCAGGCCCAGACGCGACGGTAGGTCGTGTCATTGCTGCGCAGTGTCATACCGCACGTCGTGCATAGCCAGACGGCTTCTTCGCAGGTGCAAGGGGTGCGCGCAAACGCTTTAGCTGCGACGCTGTCTTTGTCCCATGGGGCGGCGGTTGGGTCGGAGAGTGTATGGGAGAGGTGGGAGGCGAGCGGAGCTGTGCCGCAAGTATGACAGAGGCGACGGATGCGGTTTTTCAGGGCTGTTTGGTTTGGCGGTTTGATTGTACAGTTCTGCGAGGACTTTAGTGAATGGTCTTGAACTGATTGTTTGGGATCTGGTGGAGTGGAACTTACTCTGCACACGACCTTTGCGCAGCGTCGGCATTCTCCTACCATGTCGCGCGCGCACTTGCTTACTTTGCCGCGGGTCAGGCGGCTCTGCTCGGCGCTTGGACGGCTGAGTAGCCGGATAACTGATTTGACGCTGTCTGGGAGGACGGAGCCGCTGTCTAGCATTTCTGCTAGGGTTTCAATGTATTCGTTTTCGCAGCGGAGGGTTTCTCTCGCTAGTTGATGGCGGAATGGTAATAGGTTCACGTGGAACTGGCGACATGTACTCGAGAGGGCGTAGAGGGTATTTAGATCGATGGCCCGAGCGATTTCCTTGACGATGCTGGGTGGTGAATCATGTTAGTCGCGTCGCGTTTAGCTGTTGGCGATCACATACGGATAACAACTCAATGCCGCCGAGAATCCATTCCTATTTGGACATGGACTCGAACCCTCCGCTTCACGTGTCTCAGATGCAGATGATGGGGCAAGCCCGGCCAGCTCCGACGCGATGGGGTCATCCAAGGGGAATTGCTTCGAGCACGCCGATCCGGCAAATGCATCGTCGAGGTCGACAAACACCACCATACTGCTCCATCAGAGGCCTTTCCCGGTCAACTCATCAGATAAGGGGTCTTTATATGTCCAGCTCAGGAACAGGTCTCCCCGGGATGATGGCGGAACGAGGGGCTCCTCCGAGACCGGAAGCGGTGAGTTGGATATGCTTGGGTTAGTCAGGGAGTCTCTGTCTGATGTCTTTCAATGATCTTCGAATCTTGAGGTGTTTGGGATAGTAATTCAGGTCCTAGGACTCTGATACGCAGTACATAGATAGGATGAGATAACGTCGAGTCCTACGGGTAGTCTCGGCCAAGAAATGCCTAAACACCGGGCTTTTATCCGGAGCAACCCCATTTGACTCCAATTTCTCCAACAAATGGCGGGGTACCTCATTGTATACATACTCCACGTAGTATATCAATCCCCCCACGCTTGATATCCCACACCCTCTCACCTTCCTCAAACATGCCACTCAACGCTAAAGCCGTTTACTCCCGCGCAAATGCGGACTACGCCCCGTTCGCCAGTCGACGGAGTACCGTCCACAGCACCAAGGGCATTGTATCATGCAGTCAGCCGCTAGCTGCTGCGGCAGGTCATCGAATCTTGAGCCAAGGTGGAAATGCAGCAGTACGTTCCTCAGGGGATGGGATGCATTAGACTGGAGCAGATGCTAACTCGATATTCTCATCTAGGATGCCGCTGTGGCAGTGGGTAAGTGTGCCTTGCTTCGAGTTCCATAACAGATGATAGCAGGGACACGACTAATCTCATGCATATAGCCGCCGCACTCAACATGACCGAGCCCTGCTCCACTGGTATCGGAGGTGATATGTTCTGTCTCTTCTACAATGTCAAGACGAAGAAGGTGCATGCACTCAACGGTTCAGGCCGGTATCCCGGCAATGCCACCTTGGAGAAAGTCCGCAAGGACCTTGGTCTGGCTCCCGGTGCACCGGGCGATATCCCCATGCTCAGTGCTCTGTCCGTGACTACGCCTGGAGCCGCGGCCGGGTGGGTCGATACGATTGAGAAATTTGGCAGCGGCAAGCTGTCGCTGGAGCAGATTCTCCAGCCTGCCATTGAGCTCGGCGAAGAGGGATTCCCTGTGTCGGAACTCACGTCGAAGAGTGTATGTACTTACTCATTTATCTGTGATCGCTTGGTGAGCTAACCCATTCGCAGTGGCATAATGCTGAGAATGATATCCGCAACGCATCGCCTAATTTCCGCGAGATGTTGAAGAAAGATGAGTCGGCCAAAGACGGCGTGCGAGCCCCGGGCCCTGGCGAGATCATGAAAAATCCCACTCTAGCCAAGACCTTCCGCGCACTTGCTGCAGAGGGCAAGAAAGGTTTCTACCAAGGTCGCATCGCAGAAGCCATTGTCAAGGTACTTCAAGATCAGGGCGCGTACATGTCACTCGAGGATCTGGCCTATCACGCCGAGACTGGGACACAGGAAGTCGATGCCATCTCCCTCAAATTCACCGGCCAGGATGTCATCCCCAAATCGACCCCCGGCACAGATGGGGAGGCCAACCAGGGCGTCGAGGTCTGGGAACACCCACCCAACGGCCAAGGCATCGTAGCATTGATGGCGCTCGGAATCATGGAAGAGCTCGAGAAATCTGGCAAGATCCCCAAGTTCACCGAAGCCCAGCACAACTCCGCCGAATACCTGCACGCCGTGATCGAGAGTCTGCGCATCGCCTTCGCCGACGCAGCCTGGTGGGTCACCGATCCCGACGTGGAGAAAGTGCCATCGCAAGGCCTGCTCGACCGCGCATACCTTGCCGAGCGAGCGAAGCTCTTCACAGCAGAGCGTGCAACCGACATCATCGACCACGGCAGTCCGGCCCACAACCACTGCGATACAGTGTACTTTGCCGTGACAGACAGCGAAGGCAACGGCATCTCTTTCATTAACAGTAACTACGCCGGGTTCGGGTCATCCATCATTCCCGCTGGATGTGGCTTCACGCTGCAGAACCGTGGTGCCAATTTCTCGCTGCAGGAAGGACACCCTAACGTTCTGGCGCCGCGAAAGCGTCCCTACCACACCATCATCCCGGCTCTGATCACCAATGTTGCCGACGGCTCCTTGCACTCTGTGTATGGTGTTATGGGTGGCTTTATGCAGCCGCAGGGCCATGTGCAGGTGCTGCTCAATATGCTTGCTTTCGGGTATCATCCCCAGGCAGCGCTTGATGCGCCGCGCATCTGTATTGCTGCGCCGACGGACCAGAGTGCCGATGGCACGATCTGGGTTGAGGAGGGTATCAGTGATGCTGCTATTGAGGGACTGCGCGGGCTCGGTCACAAGGTTGAGGTGGTGACTGGCTGGAAACGGGGTAACTTTGGTCGCGGCCAGATCATTCGTTCGTACTATGACGATGGAAAGTTGGTGTATGCGGCAGGCAGTGATCCGCGGGGCGATGGAATGGCGTTCCCTCTGCTGTAGATGCTTTATCAACGATGAGGCACTAGACTTGATGAGGACTTATCTAAGTGGTCCAGCATCGGAAAATACAGAATATTCTCTTTCTTTTCTTCATATGGGGCCATCTTCAGGCCGGTTTGTATGCTTGTGTCTTACTTGGGGTCAAACAGGCCAACAGATGTCCAGCGCCCTTTCGTCATGGAACGTTTGGAGTCCCAGCAGGTTTTGAATGAGCCCTACTCCTTCCCATCCGTTCAGCCGATGGACAATGAAAAACAGACAAGGTTCCAATACTGATTAATGCAACGGCATGGAAACTCGGCGAGTAGAGCACCGAGATGGCACGATAACTATCGGCGAGTCGGCGACATCCATGGATGTTTCCGATAGGAGACATCCATACGACATACTAGGTCAGCACAATTCGATAGTTAGGTAGAGTCTAAGACAACCTCAAACTCCTAACTAACTAGTATACGATACAGCAAAAAGGCCTACTAGCCCAATTACAAGTCCCCATCCAACCAGCCGTAAGTGTAACCAACACCAACACCTACAACAAAACAAAACAAGTACTATATAGGTTGTCAGCATGCAAAGTCCACGCCCCAAAACAGCCACCAGAGCCGCCAAGCGCACATCTTAACCCAAGCAGGCAGGTCTAAAAAGCAAGGGACTTACAGCCTTAGAAAAGAGACCCTGCAAGAGCCTCGTGACACCAAACTAAACCCCTTGATCGACAGCTGCCAGTTCGTACGCCCCACAGACGAGTTTGCGACGGCTGGGGGCAATCAGAGAAAAGCAAAATAAATCAATCAACGCCGTATCCAGTAAAGATCTTCAGAAGACGTGATGTGTAGCGTCGATATCATCATCTGTATCCACTTGTGGGAAAATAATTCCAGCCAAATGAGGAGATGAGGTTGGTTAGTTACATACTATGATACTACAGTAGGACGTGATCTTGGCAGAGAGAGTCGAGACAAATCCAGATCGAGGATTGGATCCACCGGGCGTCAGATCCACTTGGTGATACATAAGAGGGAAAAGTTGAAGATCGTTCTGCTCATGATTCAGGTGGTTTTGCCTTCTAAAGGATCTGTGTGGGACCAGGCTAGTCAGTTGTATGTACGGAAGCACTCCGTACCTACGGAGTTGACAGAAGACAGTACAGTAGTACTATTTCGATAACGTGGTTTTCACTGTAGCAAATGTACATTTGCTCCAGGATTACCTAGTACCCTAGAACGGTCCTTACTCCAGAACCCAGATATATTCTAGTAAGGTAGTAGTTAAACCTCTAGGTACGTACGTATTTACTTCGTGCTTCCAAAAAAACCCATCACCTACTAGGCTACTGTACAATCCGACCCAAACAGGCTTAGCTCGATAAACCAAAGCAAGCCTCGGCGAGTGGATATTGCCACGACTCTGCCACATGGGAACCAAACATGCTCGGCTCAAGGGACAGCACGTGGTCTGTGATTGACATTCCCGCTACAGTGCGCTACTGCTCATCCAGTTTCGTGTCAGACTTTAGTACTAAAGCAATAAATTAAATTAAATAGATGACGTCAGGACGTGAAGTGGAGGAGCTTTGCTAGCTTCGGTCTGTTCCTTTCTCTCGGGACGATGCAGCAAGGATATCGAAGACCGCACAAGAGTTTTTTACGAGAGTCTTATGACACGCTGAAACAGGCTGCGCAAAGTGCCAGGGTTGATCGTTTGAATAGTTCGGGCAGCCGGCGAAATGAATGCCATCCCTAACCCAAACAGCCGCCTGGAGTCTAGGGCATGTAACCTGTTGTGACCCATATCGACAGCCTCCACCAAGTTTCCAGTGTCATAAGACTCTTGTGCGTTCTTCAATATCTTTCCTGACTCCGCCAGTTTCAGAAGAGCGGGTGGTCATGGTCATTCAGAACGCATGTATCTGATATCCCCTGATTCCTGTTCATCTTCATGTAGGAATTGACAGTCCCTGATTCCTGTACACTTGTACTTTCGGCGGCAGCATTGAGTGTCTAAATCCGATACATCCCTCTCGAGAAGGTGAGAATGCAGAGATGCTCCTCGACGTCTTGCGCAGTGACTTTATAACGAGCACTCTGGGCAATAACAAACTCACCGCTCGTGATCTCAGCAGGGGTTAGTCCCAACCCAAGAGTAGTAGCCATATGAGGTTCTCGTCGATGTGGTAACTGTGATGGTTTAGCTGTGAACGAGGCGGCCTGGGTAGCCTCTAGGGGGTTGTGGCACGTGGATGAGAAATTTGTTCTTTTGTGGAAACAACTGAGGAAACTGAGGCAAGCTGAGGTTTGACATTCGATGAACTATCGGAGCCCGGATTAATACATGTTACGGATTGCCAAATGGCGCTAAAATTAGCGGCTCCATTTGGAGGTTCCATGAGCTGACGGCCGAATGGTTTATTTTGTTTTCCGTAGTCGTTCCGCTTTCATAAGCGGAAGGTTTCGGATCATTCTGCGAACCATGGATTTTATTTCCGCCCGAGCCGGAGATCGCTTATCTCGCTAAGGTTTATGAAGGTTGGCCGTTAAGAAACCGAGCCATGGTTGGCGGTGTTTGGGGTTCAATAGAGTTGAAGTTAAATGTTAAAGCTTGAAGTGGAAATAATTTGGAATTTGGATTCCTTGAAATTGAAGACATTGATGGAATGTCGGGGTATTGTAGGAGATATCTCAAAAACGAAGTTGGTACATTTGTACAATGTCCCGCAGGGGTATAGTGAGCCGAACGAACAAAGAGAAAAAGGCAAAAAAAGAAATCATGATCGTCACAAGTTGCAGACAAAGCAAAAAATCAGAACTAGTATCAACTCCTCCCAGACCGAGTACGTCCCACGACCAGAGATTCCAGTAAGGGACCGATATCGGGAAAACGCTTATTATCTCCTCACTTCCAATTGGCGAAGAAAGCCGGATTAACCACCATGTGTCGAACGTGACCGGTGGGTCAAGAGTCCAGACAGCCATGTCTTGGGTGAGAGTGGAGAGTAGCGGAGTGCCGACCTCATGCGTACGGGGTATGTATGAATCCTCCCAAACCCCGGTGCCCCGGTGGCTCTCGGGATTGCCGTTCCTCAGACCCACATCCATTGTCTTTGGCAAGAATTCCAGGTCGACTGGGACAGCCTATTCAGGGTTGTTCGGTGATGGAGTCCGGTTGCGTGTGAAGGCAAAGCGCACGGGAGGGTGTAGTGGCGTGGTCATAAGGTTTGGGCCGTCTATGCTGGACATGGACTAGCCAAAGACCTTTCATGGTCGCTTCACATGTCCCAGCTCACGTGCTGGAATTGGTGCATGGAGTGGATTTGATCCTCGTAGGGAAGACAGTCTGCGCTGGACCACGAGGGAGAAGGGTAGTGACACTGAACAGGCTGGGTGATGTTAGTGAAAAAAAAAATCATATGGAATAGATACGAATAAAAACTCACTGGTTGAATCATGCTCTCCGCCATAGACATAGGAACCATATGCGACGGAGGCATTCCAGCATCTGTGTCCCAGCGGAGAGAGGTGTGCATCTGAAGCGGAGACGAAGTGGTCTCCATTTTCAAGATATGTTTGGGGTACTGGTCAATAACCGAGATCGACGCGGAAGAGATGGAGGAGATGGAGGAGCTCGAGTGGGGGGGGAGGGAGAAAGTCGCATCCGACAAAGGCGAGGCGCAGGTCTCTGCGGGAGAAGAGTAGAAGGGGCTGTCATCCGCAGACTCGGGGAGTTGGCTATGGAATGCCGGTCGGGGCTGCAATGGCAAGTCGACGCCGCTCCACATCAGTGAGCAGTCGTTGGCCAGGTCGGGGTGAATTCCGGGAGCCACCAAAGAGCCGATTGACATGGAGTGGGCGTGCGAGGTTGCGTTCAATTGCATTCCGTGATCCATTGACATACAGCGCGAGACAGAGGGCTCTGTTTTCATGGCTTTCTGGATGTTGGGTGCCCATGAAGACTGTTCTGTTTGCGATTCGAGCTCACTGCAATGAATGTAAGTATGCGCCAGATCACTTCGAGATCTTCGTGGTACTGACTGTCTCTCCATGTGGCGCGCAAGTAGATCCGCGCGGTGGAATGCCTTGTTGCATTCTTGCGTTGTGCAGCGATATGAGGCCTCTGGGTTATGGTTCAATTCATGGCGTCTTCTGTGCTCTGCTCTTGTGAAGACCTGCACTAAGGTCAGTTCATGTTATACGCTTGGATCGTTTGTTGGGTGGTGCCGACCTTTCCACATCCTGGGTACTGGCAGGCATGTACGCGCTTGCCCTTCTTAGCCTTACTGATGCGATGGGTGGTTGGAGTATAGGTGATAGGCACTGCAGCATCGGACTGGGAATCGGAGCGCACGTTGTTCTTTCGGCCCGCCATGTTGGAGTTGGAGGCCAGCTGCTGAGGTTCTGGTGATGGAGAGATGGAAGAGACGGAAGGCGAGTTTAAGACAGCGACGATATGGCTTGGAGTGATGCGCCCTGAAGATGCCCGGGTCATTGCTGTGTATAACGGACAGTGAGAGAAAGAGCAAGTATAGATGGAGGAAGGCGTAGTATTTCACAGTATATCCCCTATATAGTGGCTTGTTTCAAATTGATGAGATAAGATGCAGAGAATCCTGATGGAAAGGAAGAGATGAAGAAGAGCGAAAGGTGGATTGATATAGAGGGAACGATATGCAGACTAACAGGGCTGTTTCCTACAGATCTACGGGACGGATTAATAGACTTTGATTAAATTGGAGGAAATTAATTCGACGACAAAAAAAAAGAAAATAGAAATAAAATTTAGAACCAAATCATCCCAAAATATGCTAAAATGCTAATAATAATTAACACCACAACAAAACCAACATAAGGCTAACTGAGATTAGATCCAACACAGCACGGGCGTGGAGGCGATGATCGCTCTGCGGGATGATCAGAGCATAAGCCGTACTAAATTTACACAGGGGCATTGCTTTAGGGCCAACAAGACTGCGGCTGAGGCGCACATTCCAGTCCGCGTCTGACTGGTCCATAACAGGTAAAAGTGCGGAATAGCCCGTGTCTACTGTCTACCATAGCCCTAGAATGGTTGTTAATTAAGGAACATTTTGATTTTAGTCTGGAGTAGTAAGTTAGATAGGGTGCTCAAAGAGGAAGTTACCCTTAGTACTCGGTAGTCCTAAGCAGTCTTAGCGTACACCCTTAGTATCCTCATTACAAATCCCGCGTGGAGCATTCACATCGTAGTCCAAGCTCCCACGGAACGCAACGGGTTTGCCCCACCGGAGAAAGCTACTTAGACACTTTGGCTGGTTTAGGCAACTCACAGGATCAAGACGCTATACCCAATCTGACATACAAGAGGCTCGCTACAGAGCTACGATTGGATACCGAAAGGGTCTACCCCGTAGATTTATCAAATACAAAGTAGCTAATAGAATTAGCCTCGAAAGATACATGGATTCCACACCTTGTTCTTCCTTCTGTTTCTTCTATCCTCCACCAGCGAGACTCACATGTAAATATCGTCGATACGAAGTATTTGGATCTCAGAACGGGAGATCCGGTCGATCCGGACAAAGCCTCAACTCGAGTTCACGTACGGATTAACTAACGCCAAAAAGGCAGTCCCAAATCACAAAAAGCAAAGGGAAGTCAGCCTAGTGGGGCCTTGGGCTTACTCCTGGCCTACCCTGAACTGGTTAGTCTTGGCATTTGGCCTTTTTACGTTCCTGTTTCAGTGTGCTGATCCTTAACATATGGGGTGAATGCTGCAAACTCCGGTCTCCAGGACGTCAGGGTTCGTCTGGGGAAACAAATGAAAGACAAACGAACTGATTTGGGTTTGTAGATTCCAGTTGGGATATTTCAGTTTATTGATTATTCATCTTATTTCCATGGATCTGATATACTATGCCAATCTATCTACTATGAGAACCACCAATATGAACAAAGATAGCATACATCATACCAATCCGTCCAGTGACTGAATTCCCCTGCAATGCCATGCAATGCATAACCGGAGAATACTAGCTCCCCTGTCCCCCTCGTGGCAGAGCAAGCATCAGGAGCCGAATCCCAGCACAGTGGCAAGCATCTTAGTGCACTGATCTAATAGCCATAATTAGATCCCTAATTTACCACTTTTACTAAAACGCGCTATGCACGATATCCCTGATTCTCTTCGCATTCTGGAAAGTAATCCTTCCACCAGCACCCACGAATCAGACCACCCCAACAAACGAACAAGGGGAAAAAGGAACAATAGACTAGAATAATGCACTGTGACATATCCATTAATATGCAGGGGCACGAAGGATCAATTCCACACTTACCCAATGTCCCGTGCTGACTGACACCCGTCAATATCGCGACCGTTTTTCCTTAGAACCTTGGAAGTGAATAACAGTTACGGAGTAGAACCGGAGTAATTACACAACAACCAGATAGATCACGGACCCGGACGGGGTTGTCTGTGGGTGTGGGGGGAATTGTGGGGTGGGAAACCTTAGGGCAGTTGGAGAACGAGAACCCATAGAAAAATAGGCGCGGATCGGTTCCTCGCACGATCCCCACCATCTACAACTATGATTGCTGCAGATTATGAGGATCCATGATTTGAGTCAGGGTCGGGACTGCAAGGCATACTTGCTGACAAGGGTTTACTCTGAAACATACGCAGTATCCTAGAACTTGGAGATGCTGCAAATGGGAAAGAGAGGAGATATGCAGCACGCGGGAACTACCACAGCCTCTTCCAAATTTAGATACGAATGATGCAGACCCTGCTTTTTGACCCTGTCATATATAGCAGGGATGTGTTGGCTGGGTTCACGTTTGATCGGCTGCTGCGGTTAGAGCAGTGCGGACTAATTCCGACCCGATTTATTTCTTTTTTTTTTTTCCTCCATCTTTCAAGGTTAGGGTCTGACGGGGACCTGACCTGTCTTAATCTCGTTATCAGTTGCCATCATTCGTCCCGTGCATAATCTTGATCTAGGCCATTTGTGGTGTGAAGAGATCATATTACCATTGTTTACTCCCCAGCGCATTGTCTACCCCGTCCTCTTCATAACTCTACGGATAGGGCATAGCTGTTGGTTGTAGTCGACTGTTAGCGTCTGCGCAAGCAGGCTATGGTGTATAGTTGAAGATGCAGGGGCAATGCTGTTGCAAATCAACTCATTCTATTTTCAACCATCGTCTATCGTCAATTTGTAGCGCTGTTGGGACTGTTAGCTCGTCGAATACTGCTGTCGAAAGCATCCATGTTATGGTTGAGGAGGACCTTCGGTAGAATACTACTCCGTACCTACATCTGCAATAGGATGTTGCAGAGAAACCACCAACACGCCGACTGATATCTACCTACTGTTTTCGGTAATACCCAAGGATCTTCCAAGATTAATGGAAACTACCGACTGCAAGTCTATGTTGACTCAAATTCTAATATCTATTAGGATCGTCATCATTGGTTGTAGTGGAGATCACTCCCAATAACAAGTCTATATCTACAACAATCTCCCAACAATGAAGACGTATAAGCCTCGTGCCTAGAATAGCAATGACAGTGCCGATTGTTCACAAAGAAGGTACCTCGATGATGTACATGCAGGTGCTGATCGAGCCGGGCGAATCACAGAGCTCGATTTACTGTTGGTTCTTTTTATAGATGCTTCGTATCTGCAACATTCCGCCCTCATCTGATTTATTCTGCCTGGGTCTTCTAACTAGCAGAAAGTTCGTTTCTCTTGTGATAAATCATTCCTAACCACCTCGTAGTTAGGTGAAACCAGAAATTGGCACGTGTATACACAATCTGTCATTAGTTCCTGATCGACAACAAGACCTGAAAATCAACGTTCATGTGGATTTACGCGTTTTGCAGAAGAATTCAACCTAATAATTCCCAAATTGGAATAGCCTACTTATCATGTAATCTCGGTGAAATCAAATCAAAAAACGTGTGACGATCAAAGCTGACCCCAGCATCTCCCGAGGTCCCGGCCCTTGGGAGTGCTGTGATCGAACATGCCACGATCGACACGGGCGCACCCCAGGGTACTCGTTTGAGACTAAGTGCACATCATCTCACCCCTGACACTTGTCTGTTTTGGATATTAGATGTACTTAGACTTTGACTTCACCTCGACTAGAAACAAGCGAGATAATAGACGTAAAAAGAAGGAAATCAAAGCCGAAAGAATTGCCTCAGACACACGCCGAGCATTCGGGGCCTGCATGCGGTCTTTTCTCTTCCCCTTCTTTTCCCCACCAGCCCCTTAAGCTTCGAAGGAGGCTCTTGACTCCAATTAGTTTCCTTGGTCAAAGAGACAACTGAACCCTCGGGCCTCTTTACTCCGATTCTCCACCCCCAGAAAGATCGGTGAACCTCCGTTTAACTCTGTGGATCATTTTCTGGAGGAAGGTTAAGCATCAAAGACGAGAGTGGCAAATCCGCCGATAAGGCTGAAGTTTCCGATCTGACATGTAATAGCCGTGAATTTTATATACGGGAGCTACATCATCTAGTTACATGTACTTGAAGGTAAGTATAATCTTTATCATTGTTCCATGATAATTCTTAACGAATGCAACGATCTACGTGTGAATCTCACCTCCGACCCGAACCCGTGGCCTCCAACGTGATTGGTGAATAGCTCCTAAACTCCGACGTGCAAGATTGTGTTCGGAAATGCGTACTAATAAGTAGCGGAACCTAGTGGGGTGTGGCTTCAAGCCTTCAGCCTGGCTACATATGCTGAAGATAATGTGAACAGTCCAATAGAATGGCACATATCTGGCTTGGATATTCGGAAATTGATTTCCCCTTGGTTTCGGGTGTTGTACCCGAAGTCCGATGAACATCTATCCCGAAGGTTTAGTGGACGTTGTTTCTTGTGTCCGGGGGTGATTCTTGCGCTCTTGACTTTCTTGTCTCTGACTTCAGTTAGATACATGTTTGATGTATCATGTTGGTACTTACTCTACGATTATCAATATGTACTATATTCACTCTACAATATCTTCTACTGTTGTGTCTGAACCATAATCCAACGGTGTAGAGCAATCACTGAGAAAAGGCCAGACCGTTAGGGTTCTAACGCACCTACCAAATTGAGCTTAGCTGCACGTGGAAAACGGAGCTAAATTTATTAGCGCCAATCCGAAGTTGGGTACATTATACGAATCAGGCTTAGTCTAGGACCCACTTCATGCACTCTGTTTTAGCGGGTACTAAGGGTCTCCTGATAATCATCTCCTTGATCTTGTCTACTCCATACCTCGTCTATGAATGATCTTCTAAGTCGGCATCTTCTAAGACTCCGACTACGTTGTACGTACAATATCGTAGATAGGCTCTTGCCAAGCCTCTCGCGCGAATCGATCTGCACCGGTGGACCAATCCTGTCAGGCACATCATCGCTATCTATGGATGTTTTTGTTCATGAGGAATTGGCTTTGTGGTAGAGACTTTATAAAGCAGGCTCTAGCTGCGCTGGATTTACACGCTTGTAGGAAATAGGAGGCGGACACATTGATCGAACTTGCAACAACACGGGAACTGGTCATCTGCAATGTACAAGGTCCTTCATCCATGTCCCGGGATCTACTATGCCTATCTAGTGCTAACATATCTCATCTGCCAGGATGCACGTACTCGGTATTCAACTTGTAGATCGTCATTTGTTCTGCATCTTGTTTCCTGGGGTAGTTCACCCCCGAATCCGATGACAAAGTAACTTTGCAAGCTAAAAGCCCAAAGCCCGAGCTCTGGTAAAGGTGGAGTGATGGCGCTACAAAGTAACTCTATTCAACTGATAAGAATTCATTTTCTTCATTTTACGGGGATATTTCGGCGAAATAGAAGTCTTTTTTTTTACAGTTCTCTCGATGGACAGGATTTACGCCTTCATACACAGTAGGGTTTATACCAATAGCGTACGACACATGCAGCTCCTGATCTCTTTGTGGCACGTTTCAGATAGACCCGTCAGTCAGGTCCCCCATGACCCATGGGAGGCCTAAGGCAGCCGGACGTTAATGAATGCCATACCGTGGATCAGCTCATGCCATGTGGCCCTGATATTGCAAGGTAACTAGATACCGCTGATTTGCGTAGGCACCGTTTCCTGTATCTAGAAATGATCGCTTCCATCTCGGTTTATCTGTCACCGGGAATGTCTACAGACTACACCGCACTCTGTCCATGTGATGCGGATATGCGTTTATCCGCAAAGGGCTCCATAGTTAGGGAGTATGGCAGAGAATCTACTGTAGTGAGTTGTACTAGGTTGCTCTGTTAGTGGTGTCCTACTGTCCTTGCGAAAAATAGAGAAACCCCGTCCGTCACATAGTATGTCCCGAATGCACCTAACTTCTGCTGCAGACCTTGGAATCAACGACCAATTACCGGCGACAGAATCCAAACAATAAGCGACAATGATATTGACCACATACAACACAATCGAACACTGAATCAACCACGACCCTCCTAATAATTCTCCTAATTTCCTCGATTCGGGCCGGGTGTGCACCCAGGATTCCAATCCCTGTACCCCATGTGGCCACAGGATCAGTGATAGACACAAGCCAACAAATCACTGCAGAGGGCAAGAGATGAGCAGCTAATTTAGGGCAAGTACGGAGTACTTGGGCACACTACTGCAGAGCCGATGCAAGCTGCAGATGAGCGACTAGCCAGTTCCGGCTTTGCATCAACACCCCTTGACTGTTGCCTCGAACTGGGATAGTTCTGATATCCTGTCGACGTGTTTCATCTTTCATCGTGTTGACCCGTGATCCCCCACCCCCATGATGGACTTATGCCAAGTTATGCGAGCTGGTTGGATTAGGAAGGTCATTGCGGTGATCGAGGATAAATTTGGTGACTTTGGACTTATCCATAAACATTGCAAAGAGCAGTAGGAGTATCTGTCTTCAATCCCTGTTGCAGTCTCAGTAGTCATTTCTCATTCCTATTGATGGATCTACACAATTACCCCTTTTTTCTTCAACACACTACGGAGACTTGTATCTTCCGAGGTGCGACGAAGCTAAGAATTCCCTTTTCTTTCCCCTACATTCGCTTCGAGACCACATGGCCAACTGTGGGACCGCAGATCTCCCCAACGCTTCCGGGTTCGCGTTGCCTCTTGCGAGGATTGTATGCTAGAGGCCTCATTACGGAGTAGATTGGGTATGTTCCAGAGTAGCTCTTCCCGACTAATTTGTTATGGCGGCAGTGCAGCTAATTAGGGAACATTTACGTCTTTTGATGACTGTCCAAATAATGGCTAACTATGCGCTCTTCTTACAAAGTCCTAGGACAATCACTACATGACATCATACTCCCGGTATTCTGGGAGACTGGGACTACATCCTCATGTCTGTAGACGCTGTTGGTTTCGCCGGGGCCGTTGATTGGCTCGTTTCATCTGCAGGTAGACAATGGTACCTATAATTGTCCGATTGGGGCCATGACTCGAAATAGGAACTGTTGTATTTGGTTGTTGTATAGCCTTGAGAGATCATGCAATGTACCTACAGATGTATCGACAAGGGTTGATTATCGGGATTTCGGTGGTAATACTTCCGATGTGTACATGGCCCAATGATATTGACAGAGCAATTATGTCTGACAGCTTCAGGCCTACTGCGTAGTGAGACAAACACGTCAGTGACAAATACACAGTAAGATTAGCCTTAATCTCTGACTCGACACCCCGTAGACAAAGATGAGGAACAGCCCATTCAATGGCATTTGGCTCTCGTCTATGCCTCCCCGATCTTGCCTAGTCTCCAGCCAGGGCAAATGTATCAAGCCGGAATTAATGGCCACGATAGAATGGCAAGGTTTTCATCCTTCGAGCAAGGGTAATCTGAAATTGATAACGCCTCATATCCAGATGTAGTAAACGGACGACCAACTAGACTAGCATCCTCCAAATCTCCTTTCCCTCTCCTGCAGATCCATCTATGTTATTGCTAGGCACACTCATGCCAGCTTGGGAAGTCGAGCGGTTTATCCCGCTTAGCCGCTAGTGGTTCATAGTCTTGATCGATTCAGATATGTCGATCTTTGTAGTCTCTGCGGGAGTCGGGCAAAGGCTGGGGTGGTTCGTCACCCGTGAGTTGACCTGTTATTGACGCTGTATTGCGTATAGGCAGCCAACTGGTGGCGAATTGATCCAGGTAACTGGCCAGGTCGCTGCACGTCTGCGTGGCTGATGTCATGGTCCGCTTGGGGGTGAGATATGCCAGGCGTCAGCAGGCAAAATCTGGGGGCATTGTTGCTTGTTTCGTTGAGAGGTGAAAAGGCAAAATGAGTTCCTCGATGCTCGATGTTCGATGCCACCTACGTAGTTGTCTGGCACTCCTGTTTCCGGGTTTTAACATGACGCAGATGGTCACAAAGGCCAAGGGAGTCAAGAAGACTTTCCGGACCGAAGACTTCCTGTTTTCCACTATCCTGTTTTTGCTGACGGGCAGGCTGTCATGGTCTCATGGGTAAGACATTTCCCCTCCTCCGTTTGTCCATGCATGGCTGATCTGGTAGACTAGTACGACACTTGTCATCTGAGGTTAATCTCCCTTACACCCCCCTCCCGCCGTCTTCGACTGATACATCATCAGCAACTCACCAACCCCAGTCCCACTTCCTCACCAGAGCAGTCCCCAATATCAACGACCTCCCCAACAACCGGGCTAACGGCTTCCAAAGCAGCGAGCATACAATCATTAGTCTCGATCATGCGCCGAAGTTGTGCACCCAGATTCAAATGCACGCTGATTAAAGTCGGGCTTGTATGGTGCCCCATCAAGTGGAAGCTGATTGCCACGAGGCTATATATCGAGGTGAGGGCTCCTATCCAGACGAGCAGGACAGAGCCTAACCCGAGCACACGGCTTACCTTCGAGATGGGTAAGTTTCGACTTGCGCTTGGGGTTGGGGGTTCGGGCTTGGAACCTGGTGTCTGCTTCCGTGGTGCTGGCGATGCATTGCGCTTGCGTGGCGTCGTCGGTGGCGATCTTGATATATACTGGGTATGAGAGTCGATGCAGGGGCTTTGTGGTAGTCTTGAAAATACCTCGCTGGTTGCGTCGGTGTTGGGAGCAGTCTTGGGGGTAAGGCGTTGGCAGGGGAGTAGGTAACTATGATTCCCAATATGGGGACTGCAGCGTAGATGAGTATTGCTGCCGATTAACCGCGCAGGTACGGGTGTGCTCACCTGAAGACAACCAACGTAGGAGTGAAGTCAACCAGAAAATCCATGAGACGGCGGGCTTACCTCCGATGCCCAATGCAGCAACCTAGCTACCTAACCTACGAGGTATGGCCCGGAAGGTTTCAAAGCATACGCAGCACATAACTCTGCCCAACCAACATCGAGGTCAATGTACAAGGAAAATCCAGACTGATGTGCATATCCATTTTCACATTAAGTACAGCTGTTTGATCTTGCCTATTTACAGTCACCCATTCGTGAATCAGACCGAACCGGAACGAATTCCATAATGCAAAAAGCTTGTAGGACCGATAGGCAAAGACCCGGGGAGAAACAGGAAAAGAGATCAGAATAAAAGAGTAAAAAGGGAAATCACATAAAAAGAATGATGGCTCAGATAACGAGGGACGTCGAGCACTGCTGGAGCCGAAATGGTAAAAACGCCTTTTCGAACACAAGATCTCTCTATCCACCGAAATGTCATCATCAGTGTAAGATAAATGAGTTCAGTCTCGGTAGAGAAAGCCAGTGCTGCGGATGCCTGTCTCCCCGAGTTAGGCCGTGAGCGGCCAATGGTTGATAGATAGTAACAACGCTGACCGGGATCAAAGTCATCACGGAACCTGTTGACACAGTCCGATAAAAAGATAGGACCGATTGAGGCAGAAATCACCAGCTGTAGACATCGACTCGGACCAAGTCACATGCTGTTCGGATATTAAAACTCCGCTGAATAACCCAAGTGAAAGACAACGACAACAGGACGAAGCTCTCATAAAGTCGACCGAGGTGGGAAGAAGAAAGTTTTCGCTAATACCGAGTGAAGAGAAGAGGGGTGGCGTGAATGATGCGGGACGTATGTATCAGTTTAGCGATCGGGGTTGGTAACCTGGACCATAAAGTCAGTTTCGAAACAATGAGGTTGGGTGCCGCGCATATTCACCTGCAAGATTCGGCGAGAGAAGTCATGGTCATCATCAATGCTGCCATTACTTTGGCGGCGCTGGGCCATGTAGTCACCGTCGAACCGAGAATCGGTCATTGAGGGCGGGCTGGAGTCACGACCATAGCCGCCAATTGGCCCGCTTGCAGCATTGCTCTTGTTCTTCTTGGATCGCCAGTAGAAGAATCCAGCACCACAGAGAGCAGCGAAGCCGACTACGCCGACCACGACACCGGCCGCAATTGCGGCAGTGTTCTTGCTCTTCGAGGTCTTCTCCTCCGTATCTGCAGCGGGACTAGCGCTAGGGTTGGATGTCACAATCTGTGTCTGACCACCAGCCCCGGTCGTGACACCGGTGGCGGCCGAGTCAGTTTTCGTGGTAGACTTGTCGCCAGCGCCGTCCTTAGTCGAATTAGATTTCGAATAAGTAGGGATATCGTCATCCAAGCCTGTGGTATATACGGAGTAGTAGCCATCGCCGCCGCCTGTTTCGAATTACAATCAGCAAGTCGGTTCTCCGGACGGGGTGGGCAATATCGACATACACTTATCTTGGGGCCAGCCGCTGCACGATTTGCTGCACTTGCCCGTGGAGACCTTTTCACTGGATGGTGGTAGAGTGTCGCCGCACACACAGTCGGAGCCTCCTGTCAAAGCAAAGGCCCCATGTTCCTTGGAACAATGATCCTGACACCATCCGGAACTCTGGTACGTGTAGGGCATTGTCTTGCCATACCCAGGAACGCTGCTATAACAGCCGACCAGTGTCGCTGCTAGTGGACCGCGGGGAACTACCTTGAAGTCTTCTGCGACTACTGAGGTGGCAGCGATCAAGACAGTGGCCGCGAGGGCGCCTCGGGTGTTGAAAAACATGATGTATTGGAGAGGATGGATTGGATCGAGTTGTCGAAATCAGCGTCGATAGTAAACACCGCTGGACACTGTCGCAGAGGTGATGAACGAAGAACTGGGAACGGCCTGCGTAACCCTGAAGGACTTCGGTTTGAATGTATGTCGGTAGATGTCGGTCGTTCTCGAACAGTCCACCACGTTTGTTCTCGAAATTATTGGCTCGAAACACTTGTGTCGTATTTGGGACGAGTAAGTCGAGGTGTCGCGGTCGGGATGGAAGAAGGAGGAGCGAAGGAAGAAAGGAAGGTGGTTTCGCGTTCTGTTGACAACCCTGAGTCTATGGTCGGGAGTAGAGGGTTCACCCTCTACGAGTTCGGGGGAAAGTGGGCGACCGTGAACTGAGAGGCGGTTCAGTTGGGTGACCGTCAAACAAAGGGAGTAAACGAGTGATGAGATCGAGTAACGAATGTGTGTTGCGAAGAGGAGAGAATGGGAAGATCAGGAGGAAGGCGAAGTGAGGATCCCTTGGGAAAGGGACTGTTCAAGGGGTCTGTGTTCCCCAGAGAAGGTATGAGGTACTTGAAATACGGGGGGCAAGCCCCAGTGTAGACGAGTACTGGGTACTTGCACGCAAGTCTTTCCTGGCTTGTTTCAATGTTGTTTGCTTTTGTATGGTACAGTATCAAATATACAATGCATCGACCAATGATACTTCAGTATATGGTTAGATAATCAGGCACCGGCTCCGACAACCAGGGGACCGTGGCTGATCGCTATCCCGTTTGGGTCAAACACGGCAGCAAGATGGGACCTTGGGCATGTCGCTAATCTCCTTTGGGTGCCAAGTGGTGGTGATGAGACTGTGTGAATTCGGTCTAATATTCAATATCGCCGATGTATTCTTACATGTATGAATGATCGCCCTTTCCACATGAAGAGAGACCCTTGATGACGACGGTTTTTACCCATTAAAAAAGGGAATATTGTACAATACTCCGTACATCGCACTCCATAACCCTCGGCTAATTACGCCTTTTGACTCAGGATCAGCTTCTATTGATTCGGTCTGGGCATAGATGAGCCGTCACTATACGCCACTGTTCTTGGTGGCTGAGAGGTTGCATCCTTGGCTGACGGTCTCGAGTCTGAAGGGGAACTCAGAGAATCTTCTTTAGCAGTTTCATCCGGGATTCGCCGCAGGAAGAGAAAACGCAAAATTACCAATTACCATTTCATCATGGAGCTCATTTCCCGCCAATTTCCATACGCAGTACTTTGTACTAGTACTACAGTATGTTATTTCCATGCGCTAAGAACCTCCATAGTTATTCAGTACCACAAACACATTCAGCCTTACCACTGCCCTCAGATCCAGTCTTGTCTAACCTCGGAATATTCGTTCTGACTATCTCGTCTCTCTTCCTTTTGTTATCCCGCGCCCCTTTTTCCACGCAAATTGTTCCATGGATAAATGAGCGGCCGCTCCCGGGGTGGATCGTACCAAATTGTGATCTGTTGATTTCCCTGGATCGTTCCTGTAATGAAAAGCCCTGCATCATTTCCACTCGGAGCACATGATACTCACATGTAACTACACAGTACTTATGTACTGGATATTTCCGGGCTTTCCTATTGATGCCGCCGCTATTATGATCGACGAGGTCGCGGTGGGTGCTCAGTTTTACTCGATGATCAAAAAGCGGCAAGAGGTGAGCACTACTAGATAGCAGGGCGAAATGCATCTACCAGTACATAATGTCCACGCAATTTGCATCCTTTGCAATCCATACCACAAACTAGCTTGCTCAGGGCCTACAATGTATAACTCACTGGTGAAGCAAGATTGTATAATTGGCAAGACTGAGATCGATCAGTACCTATACGCAGTACATCGTTGTAAACACGGGTACATGGGTTTTGTACGCAACTAGGACAATGTACGTGGTGTCAACAGCACCGCTCCCTAGGTACTGCGTATGTTGATACTCTGACAGATATCGGAAGTTATTCAATGGGACGCATTACCATCATGCGAGGAACGGTGAGCATTGAAATATTTATCGTCTCTTACTCGTAGATATGCGGGCAACTGCGCTCCGGATGACGAGTGTTGAATCTGATATCGATCGCTACAAAGTAAACTGTACCTTGCAGGTCTAGTCCCTTGCAATGGGCAAATGAGCCGCACCACATGTAGGCTTACATCTAAGCCTTTAAGGTCTCGTACGCACGTTAAACAGACAACCCCGTGGCCTGTGAAGTTGAGAGTCTAACGGCTGGAGTACCTTTCCACATTCGATAGATTTCCTCAATCCACAACATCTCTTCAAGTTGCCTCCTACTAGGCACCATAGCCACAGAAGAACCCCAACAAGGACCTACGGAACCGATCTCCGAAAGTGAGACATACAGCCCAATCTGCATGGACCCGAGATCCGAGCAAGTCTCGCTGGCCAGAGCTGTCAAATATACAGTCAACGCATAAACGATCCTTCATACGGTCTGTACATGAATACATGTACAGAGTACATGACAGTCATGCATCAACAAACACATCTGTCTAGACCTATGCAGACGGGAAGACCGGCTGGGCCACATCTGTAAAGATATTCTTGGACCAGTGGCGTTCACTAGATTAATTGGATTCTCCACCTGCCAAAGAGATCAGTAAAAAGGCATCCCCCTTGCTGGATTATCAATACGCGGCAAGATTCAGCATCAGAAGATAGCGAAAAAGCTATATTTGGTTCGTATTTAATCGAATGTCTCGACCAGAGTAAACATAAGTTCGATTTATCCAAATTGTGGGTAAGGAGACCTTCCGAATCGCATATCAAAGTGAAACTTGCTGACCCACGATGTGTGTTTTCTGTTTTCGACTCGGGTCTGGCCAGAGATGATCGGAGTAATTTCAATGTGCGTATAAAAATTTCAGAGTCTGCCACCTTTTGCAATTCTTCCATCGATCAGATTCTAGACTCCGGTCTGCTGGGTCGATGATTGCTTTGACTCAGCGAGAGATCTCGAAATTCATCTTCTCTTCTCCGGGTCGCTCGGTCCACGTGAAGGTCATGGTAGTCGTTTGTTTACTGCGGAATCTGGCTTAGATGCGGTCTAGTGAGCTGTAGCGGGTTCTTGTAGACTTGCCTTGCCTCCATGTTGCCTAGCATTTGCTTGTTGCTTGTGTGAGATGTGTGGGCTGCTAGGTATGTTGTAGAATGGAAGTTGAAATAGTTAGCACCTAGGTTTCTAGGGAGATATACCTCAACGGTTGAATCGATAATTGTGACGGTAGTCATCGGTAACCCTGAGGTACCTATCTAGTTTAAGGCTTTGGAGATGACATCCATAGTTCAGCAGGTTGCACCTGCACGCTGTCCCGGCTACCTAATACTAAAACCTAGGAGAATCGCATGTGATGGAAGATGCCTCTAATATGTTGGTTTTTTTCAAAAGTATGCGATTTATATCTTTATATCTTACGTAGGAAATATATTGAGTGACTATGATCAATCTATGCAATCGAAATTAATTAATCATCCTCATTTTTTGTGTATCGAGATCATGCTATGCCTTGCAAACAAGCAACGGCCACCTCGATGTTATCTTCAGTTGTCCAAGTTGAAAGAGACAACAGACGCAGGCATTGTTCTTTTCAACTGTAAATGCGCGGCCAAACGTGATTAAGCTCATGGCTTAGGAATGTGTATCGTCTTGCTGACCATCATGCATCCATGCAGAACAAACAGAAGAACAATAGGGTGGAATTCGAAGATGGTACCCTCCGCGAAAAGACCAAGAGGGATGTTCTCGTGAGTCCAGCCTTGAGAGACCCAGTAGGCCATGAAAGCAGCGATCGACAGGGTGGTCGGAATGGGTGTGCCTTCAAAGTACTTGGACTTGCCGGTCTTATCCTTCGGGAGAACGGCAACAGTCACGTTGAACCGGGCGAGGCGAGTCAGACCACAGAGAACAAAGAAAGTGAGGAGGACATGGTCCACCGAGGTCCGGATACCAAGAGCGAATGCGGCAGAGGCGGGAGCGAGGCCAAAGGAAATCTGATTGTAAGGGAAAAATTAGCAGCGGTTTGGTTGGGAGGAATTCCGGAATCATTTACCAAGTCCGCTAGCGAGTCAAGTTCCTGTCCCATGAGAGACGATTTCTTGCGCCACCTGGCCACCTTGCCATCCATGAAGTCGAAGAACAGACCGAAAGGCATGAATGCGAGGGCAGCCCAAAGAGCGCCATACTCAGTTGGCTCTCCGAGGCAGTAACGCATGGACGAGAAGACCGACATGACTGCTCACCAAGTTAGTTACGGGCCGTTAAAACGGTTGGGATTACGAGCTTGCCTCCACAGAAACCTGGGGTAAAAGTCAGTGAATCAATCCACAGCAACTGAGTGTATTATTGAGATCTCTTACCATTCATTTCAGTAATCAAATCAGCCAGATGCATGGCCCTGTAGATTGTTAGGCTCGGCCAAGGTAAAGGAGCGAGGAATAGCACGAGACTGACTTCACGATGCTGAAATGACCATGGTCTTCGGCAAGTAGCATTTTCTGCTTTGCCTGGCCTGGAAACTGTAAGCTAGGTTACCCAGAGACGATCCGACGGAGCTCAAACGCACCTCCATCACCTGAAGGTGGGACATCGCTGCTGGCGCTCGATGGCATGGTCCGACGAGACATGCTCAAATGGTAATCAAATCCAGGAAAAATGTACGACGAAACGATAAAATGCTTCAAAGAAATATCTGAGAGGCAGTCCTGACTCCTGAGGGGTATGATGGAATAAGAATGGCCGCCAATCCTGCTTAAAGTGTTGACAGACGCACAGATTCGCTGGGCGGTCAACGTCATTCCACTGCGACGCAGAGGCGGTGCAACTGCGCCACATCTACACTAGCCACATCTCAACATTTCAACCGAAAGTCCGGCGAATTTAGTATTCGCCAAATTTCTAAGGCGAGCATGATCTGCCATAAATCTAATTTGCGATCGCAACTGCTGGAAAAATATTCGAACAACAGAAACAGTTTTGACTGGTGATATACTACAGCCTGCAGCCAGTTAAGTTGCAATTGCGCAGGATGCACAAGAAGACGGAAAGATATTCCTGAAAAAGCTCCCAGATCCCCCAAACGCCGTAAACAGACAGTACATTGGATCAATAGCCACGACCGCGGAAGCCGCCGCCGCCACGAGGAGCGCCGCGACCACGGGAGAAGCCGCCGCTGCCACCGCGACCACCGAAGCCACCACCACCACGACCACCACCGAAGCCACCACGGCCACGGGGAGCACCACCACGACCGCCACGGGGGGCACCACGGCCACCGAATCCACCGCGACCACGGGGAGCACCACCGCCAGCGCGCTTGGGCTTGGCGGCTCCTGGGGAGGCTTAGGCTTCGGGAGGAACCTGAAGATTAGAGTTAGTCCGAGCGCATACAAAAGATTAGGAATGAATCGTACTTCTCAAGAGGAAGCAGCTTATCTCCACCGATGTAGACCTTGTCGCCGGTCTTGAAGGAAGTAGCGACGATACCGTCCTGGGGCTTGACGGTGAAGTAGACCTGGTTGATGGGGCCGAGGATCTCGTCGACCTTGCCGATTTGAGTCTGTATCAATTGATTAGGATCTGCTTTGCACATTCGATTGTTTGGTGGTGCGGCAGCGTACCTTGTTCTCCAAATAGATAGGAGCGTTGAAGTAAGGAATCTTGGGGTTGATCGACTCGCAGACCATCTCACCCTCGCAAGAGTGCATCACGGAACCCATCTCTATCGGTATGTCAGTGACATGAATCAAATATTGTCGACTTCGAAGGAATAATTACCCAGAACCTGGGCTGGGGGGCCGAAAGACTGCTGGAAACCTCCGCGGCCTGCAACAAAAAAATTTCGTTAGCATTTTTTGACTTCTTGCATCGCATTCACAATGGCAAAATCTCACCTCCACGGCCTCCGCCGAAACCTCCCCGGTTGGCACCGGAAGCATTACCACGACCACGGAAAGACATGTTGTGGTTGTATTGGTGATCGACGGCTTGTACAAAGCTGGAGAAGTTTTCGCTCGGTGGAAACTTGAAGCGGTAAAGTGTCGCTAAGGGCAGTACCAGCACGTGACCAAGGTCTCACCGCCCGCATGAAGAGTCATTTTCCCCTCCATGTGAAGTATAGCACAGTCAGAGTTCTTGTTCACGGCCAATTCCCCTTGTGTTGCTGCTACAAGGGTCTCCAACATGGCATCTGAAGCCCCCAAAGATCTCCCCGTGCGGCCTGCCGCCGAGGCACAGGCCAACGACGCCGCTGCTGCCCCTCCAAAAGCTGCGAATAACAAAAAGCAGGCCCCGCCCACCGATGCCCTCCCAGAGGTCATGATCGAGCGAAACCGGCTCTTCGAGGAGCTCTGGCAACAATACCTGGAAGAGACCAAGAACCGCCCCCACCCTGAGATCACCGTTTCGCTAGACATTGGTGACGGCAACCCCCCTCTTCGATCCCCGCCAAAGCCTTCGAGACCACCCCCGGATCATTCCTGCGCGATGTGCCTAAGGATCTGAGCGCCAACATTGTGATTGCCAAGGTCGACGGAGAACTCTGGGATCTGAACCGGCCTTTGGAGAAGGACTGCAGCGTTCTGCTTTTGCCGTTCAGTAACCCCGAGGCCCGCGAGGTGTTCTGGCACTCCAGCGCTCACACTCTGGGTGAGGCATGTGAATGTGAATATGGGTGTCTGCTATCCCACGGACCCCCTACCCCTCAGGGTTTCTTCTACGACATGGCCATGCCCGACGGGTGCGTTAGTCCTGTTACATGTTCCCCATAATTGCGCCAATGCTAATATCTACGGGGGGAGCAGACGAGTTGTCCGTGAGACTGATTGGAAGGCACTTGACACTCGGGCGGCACGCATTTTCAAGGAGAAACAAAGCTTCGACCGATTGGAGGTTTCCAAGGAGAACCTCAAGAAGATGTTCGCGTACAGCAAATACAAGCTGCACTACATTGATAAGCTCGTCACCGGTGAGAGCAGCACCGTCTACCGCTGCGGTACTCTTGTCGATCTCTGCCGAGGCCCTCACATCCAGAACACCGGCAAGATCAAGACCTTCAAGATCATGCAGGTAAGCGTGGCTGGTTGATAGTTTCGCTGAGGGGTGTACATGCTAACGTGTTTTCCAGAACTCATCTGCCTACTTCCTGGGTGACCAGTCCAACGACTCCCTGCAGCGTATCCGTGGTGTTGCTTTCCCCGATAAGAAGCTCATGGCCGAGCACTTGAAGTTCCTGGAGGAAGCCGAGAAGCGTAACCACCTGAAAATTGGCAGGGAGCAAGAGCTATTCTTCTTCGACGAGGTCTCCCCCGGTTGCCCCTTCCTCCTCCCCAACGGAACCAAGATCCTCAACCAGCTCCAGTCTCTCCTGCGTGCTGAGTATCGCAAGCGTGGCTACCAGGAGGTCCAGACGCCCAACATGTTCGATGTTGGCATCTGGAAGACGTCCGGACACTGGGCTCACTACAAAGATGATATGTTCAAGTTGGATGTCGAGAAGCGTGAGTGGGCCCTCAAGCCCATGAACTGCCCCGGTCACTTCGTTCTCTTCGGTCACCGTGAGCGTAGTTACCGTGAGCTTCCTATGCGTATTGCAGACTTTGGTGTCCTGCACCGCAACGAGGCCTCCGGCGCTTTATCGGGCCTGACCCGAGTGAGGAAATTCCAACAAGACGATGCTCATGTGATCTGTGAGAATTCCCAGATTATGACTGAAGTCGAGGGTCTGTTCGATTTCTTGCAGTCCATCTACGGGCTGTTTGGCTTCACCTTCAAGTTGAAGTTGTCTACCCGCCCCGAGAAGTACATGGGTGCGTTGGAGACCTGGGACTACGCCGAGGATCAGCTCAAGCAGGCCTTGATGAAGTTTAAGGGTAACGATTGGACCATCAACGAGGGTGACGGTGCCTTCTACGGACCCAAGATCGACATTACTATTGCCGATGCTCTCCAACGTGAGTTCCAGTGTGCCACCATCCAGCTGGATTACCAAGCCCCGATCAACTTCAAGCTGGAGTACATGACCAACGAGGGTCAGACCGAACCGGCCAAGGAGGGTGAGACCAAGAGCGACGAGCTCGCGCCCGGCCGTGCCCGCCCCGTCGTCATTCACCGTGCCATCATTGGCAGCTTCGAGCGGTTCCTGGGTATCTTGATTGAGCACTTCGGTGGCAAGTGGCCCTTCTGGATCAGCCCTCGCCAGATCCTCATTGTTCCGGTGATGCCTGCCGTGAACGACTACGTTGAGGAGCTGCAGCAGATCCTGCGGGGTGATAAGCTCAATGTCGATATCGACATTAGCGGCAACACCATGCAGAAGAAGATTCGCACTGGTCAACTGGCTCAGTACAACTTCATCTTCGTTGTCGGTGCCTCGGAGAAGGAGTCTCGCACCGTCAACATCCGCAACCGTGACGATCCTGCGACTCAGAAGCAGGGCGTTATGGTTGAGTTGGAGACGGTCCGGAGCCAGCTGAAGGCTCTGCGCAAGGAGCGTCGTTTGGAGAACATGCTCTGAGGGGTTATAAAAAGGATTGAAGGATTGACGAAGCGGATGTCGCATCAGATTTATGAAATGCATGAATTGACGTTCTCTTGTTATTGGTTGAGAGGTAATTGTAAAGTGAAACCAGGCCAAGACTGGCTAGATGTACGGAGTACGGAGTAGGTGTCCTCGTGAGTCGTACCTTCCTACCTTCCTACCTCTCCAGGCTTGTGCCTTCCCTGGAACCTTGGAAGTCATTGCCCACGTAAGCAAATATAAGCAAACATAAAGCAATCTAGACAAACAAATATGCAAACTTGTAACTTTCTACGTCGCAGTTGTGAAGATCGACGTGTCCTTGAATCTTTGTGTTTCATGTCTTTGACGCGCAAAGTTATAAGTAGAAAGAAGACTCGGCATGAAGTCTATAACTATTATATATACTATTAGTAATTAGTAATTAGATAGGTATAGTTATATCTATGTTATATAAATATCTCCTTAGTCCTTAGACACCTTAAATAGATCTCTTTGATCTCGAGCATCTTGGACCTTGGTAAACGTTAGCGCGGATCACCCGCGGGGACTGCGGGGCTCTTGAATCCCATCACATCTTGGACTTGCACTCGCACTTCCCCTTTCTCTTCGACTTCTCTCTTTTATAACCTCGACTCTCGTTTTCTTGCCCTAACCTGTCACTTTCCCTCCCACTCTCTAACCCTTCGACTCGTCATCCGCATTCGCCATGGCTGATTTACAAGGTCGGAAGGTCTTCAAGGTTTTCAACCAAGACTTCATCGTCAACGAGCAATATAACGTGACAAAAGAGCTCGGTCAGGGAGCCTATGGCATCGTGTGGTAGGTACCTCAAGACTCGATGTCAAGAGTGAAGCCCAAGGTCGGAGGATCATGTGCTGACAGACCAAGCGCCGCGACCAACATCCAGACCGGCGAGGGCGTCGCCATCAAGAAGGTTACCAATGTCTTCAGCAAGAAGATCCTGGCCAAGCGGGCTCTGCGAGAGATCAAGTTGCTGCAGCATTTCCGTGGCCATCGCAATGTAGGCCGCAGCTCATCCTTATCAATGCCTTGGCTAACTCCGCCAGATCACATGCCTGTACGATATGGACATCCCCCGACCGGACAACTTCAACGAAACATATCTTTACGAGGGTAGGTGAATCTGCTCCTACTGGAATCGAGTGGGACTGACGGATCTGCAGAATTGATGGAATGTGATTTGGCTGCCATCATCCGCTCCGGCCAGCCCTTGACCGATGCCCACTTCCAATCGTTCATCTACCAGATCCTCTGCGGTCTCAAGTACATTCACTCCGCCAATGTCCTGCACCGTGATCTCAAGCCCGGTAACTTGCTGGTCAATGCGGACTGTGAGCTGAAGATCTGCGATTTCGGCCTGGCCCGTGGTTTCTCAATCGACCCCGAGGAGAACGCGGGGTACATGACCGAGTACGTCGCCACGCGATGGTATCGTGCACCGGAGATTATGTTGAGCTTCCAGAGCTATACCAAAGCCAGTACGTACCACTAGACATGCGCCTCGCCTTGCATAACGTTGCGCCCCCGCTGACCCCACACCTGCACAGTTGACGTCTGGTCCGTGGGCTGCATTCTAGCGGAGCTCCTCGGCGGCCGACCCTTCTTCAAAGGCCGCGACTACGTCGACCAGCTGAACCAAATCCTGCACTACCTGGGCACCCCCAACGAAGAAACCCTGGCGCGCATTGGATCTCCCCGCGCACAGGAATACGTGCGCAATCTGCCCTTCATGCCCAAGGTAGCCTTCAAGTCGCTCTTCCCGAACGCCAACAACGACGCCTTAGACTTGATGGACAAAATGCTCGCCTTCGACCCGTCCTCGCGTATCTCCGTCGAGGAGGCGCTCGAGCACCCCTACCTGCACATCTGGCACGACGCCTCGGACGAGCCCGTCTGCCCAACAACCTTCGACTTCCACTTCGAGGTCGTCGAGGAAGTAGCCGACATGCGCAAGATGATCCTCGACGAGGTCAGTCGCTTCCGCGCAACGGTCCGTCAGCAGTCGCAGGCGCATACCGCCCAGCAACAGCAGATCGCGCAGCAGACTAATGTCCCGATCCCGGAGAACCATGGCTCTTGGAAGACGGAGGATCCGAGACCTCAGGAGGCTACCGCGGGCGGTGGTTACGGTAATGATTTGGAATCCTCGCTGCAGCGCGGCATGGATGTGCATCACCGATAGTTTCTTGCCTTTGCTCTTCGTTTTTTTTACTTGTTGGTTGTAAGGCGTGTTGAATCTCCGTGTCTATCGCGCCCTGCATGTTGATCTAATTTAAGCCAAGAGATACCATCAGAGAAACAAAAAGACTGGGTCGATATATATGGGTTGTTCTTCTAACACCTGAGGGTGGTTCTGTCTCTGATTCCTTATAACTTGTTGCATTTCTATCATTTCACTCTCGATCTGCGGTATCACTTGGTTCTATGCATATCTTCCCAAATTCAAGTCCCCCATAGATTGCCCGGGTGGTCTATCGACTAGTACCTACCATCTAGGTATCTCTCAAGGCGTCTCCCTGTTTTCTGTCCCGACATCTGTAGATATCACGGGACCTGATAGATACCTTTGACTGAAGAACTACGACCTAGACATTCTGAAACATAGGTAGACATACTATCCATTCAACATGCATATACAGAGTCCAGACATATCACCAGCATCCAACCAGATCAGCAAAAAGAAAAAAGAACTTCATACAAATGCCAAATGCCAAATGCCAAATCCAAATCCAACAAGATCCTCACTTAAACACCAGATAAACCAACCCAGATGAAAAAAACTAATAATAATACCCCCTCCACCAAACAGCCATACAAGCCGAGACCACCAAATCCAACATCTTAATCCCCTCATCCTCAATGACCAATTTCCCCAACTTAGCACTCTTCCCCCTCAACCCACCCCCAGCCGGCTCCCTCGCCAGCGAGAGATCCAACCTCTCCTCATCAGACTCAAACTCCTCCAGATCAGCTCCAGAACTATTACTTCTATCGCGGTAGAACTGGCTCTGGCGCGCGAAGCGGTGGGCGCGCTGGGATGTTCGGCGGAGGAGGTCTGAGGGGTTGAAGTTTATATTCAAGCGCGGGTCTGTGGATGGGGATGAAGATGGGGTTGCAGGGGATGGCTGGGTGAGACCCGGACCCGAGTGTGCGCGGGGACGGGTATAGGTATTTGGGTTTAGGAGTTGGGAGAAGGAGTTGCGTTTTGTGTGGGCGTTGTTAGGGGATTGGTGGAGGGGGTTTGGGGTTATGGTTTCTGGGACGTCGTTGTTGCGGAGAGATTGGAGTTGGCTTTGGGTGAAGGGGGAGAGGTGGGATGGGTGTGGTTTGTGGGAGGCGTGGTGGACGTGGGAGTGCAGGTTTGCGGCTTGGAAGGGGGTGTTGAAGCGGAGTTCGGCGACTGTTACGGCGGGGGACGCTTCTGTTCCGCTGGATGGATCGAAGCCCGGGTTTGGGATTAGGTGTTTGCATTTGAGACTTCGGCCGTTGACGCTGCTGGAGAAGGTGCAGGTGCCGTTCCAGGGGGAGGTGAAGACGTAGTAGCCACTTTTTAGCTTGGATTGGCTGTCTGGGATATGGCTGTTGCTGTGTTCGGTGAGGGGGTCGTCGAAGGGTTTTGATACACAGAGTTGGCGGTGGAATTTGCGTGGGTTGGTTGGTTGCTCTTTTGGTTGGTCGTGGGACAGTAGTGATTGGGGCAGGGCTGAGCTGGGTATGCGGCCTATGCCTAGTGGTAGACTGGCTGCCAGGCTGGATAGTGAAGGCATCTCGTTGGAACCCGCGAATCTGCCGTACCCCGGCGTGGAGATTTCGATATCCACGGTGTTGCAGTCCATACGTGGTGTCGAGATAGTCGCCACGTTCCATTGCGTACCGGATGTGGGATCACGTCGGATAAGTGTCAGATGGAAGCCAGCGTTGCTAGGGGTGTTGCTGTGTGCATTTCTATTCCGGTTGGGAGATTGTCCAGGGCTACCTACCGGTGATGCAGGACGGTTGTGTGAGGAACGAGGCCGCGGCCTGGGAGAATCAAGACTATGGCGGCCAGCCGACAGCGCCTCGTACTTCTCCTTCCAGTTCTCTCCCCTGTTCTGCAGATGTCCAGCAAGCGCACTCCATCGGGATGTCCGCTTAGACGGATCCTCCGTGGCTGCAGAGTTGGCCCATGTCTCTTCGCCAGGAGGCAGGGGAGGTAAAGGTCGTCGCGGGATAGCGCCCTTGACGCCTGGAGTAACCGATACTCCTCCAGACACATTGCTGTCCGGAGGATGCTGCGCATTGGCAACCGGAGTCCCGGAGAAGGACACGTTCTCCGCCGTGACTTGCGGCATAGGCACTGGACGTGGAGGCAAGGCTGGAGGGGCAGCAGCATCCTCCTCTTGAGGGACAGCCGGCACAGGCTCGGCATTTTCATCCCCTCCTCCACCAACAGGCTTACGGCGCACATTATTCAACCGGATGAATTCGCGCTGCGTCGGGTCGTCGACACCCGCTTGTTCGAGGCGCTCCTTGCGCAGACGGGCCTCCTCCTCGCGCTCTTCCTCCACTTGCTGTAGCAGGGTATCGTCTTCGGGAGTTGCGACATGGAGGTAGTATAGAGAGGCGTTTATAGCTTCGGCAGAGACACTGGATTTTGTCGGCGGTTTCAGAGGAGAGAGGAAAATGTCTGTTATGCACAATCAGTTAGTGGGCTTATCTTCCAGATGTTAGAACAAGCCGATAACGATGGACTTCCAGCCAGGCCAAGAGAGAGTAGAGCCATGGACTGGACTGGAAATGGCGCATACCTTTGCTTCCGGGTACGCGCACAATGTACAAAGATAGCGGTTCGTGCTTCTCGTGGGTGGGATTGCGTGGGTAGGCGGGGGGATTTGATGCGATGGCGGTGACTGAGGATAATGAGCGTGCCTCGATAGGACCCTGAGGGACGGTAGACATGGCGGACAAGGCCGCGAGCTACCTGACCCGACTAGAAAGGTAGAAAGGTCGGTGTTATGAAGAGTTTGAGGTTTGTGTAGTTCGTGAGGGCAAAATAGGTAAACAATGGGGCTCTCGGCTGTAGGCGGAGTTGGTCCGGAGTCTTGTCTATTTCTTCTGGCCCCCCTAGAACCTGGGGATCAAGTTGCACAGAAGGACGCAAGGGCTAAGAGCAAGAAATTAAATAAAATGCTGCCTATCGTGGCGGAGTACGTGGCCTGCGCATTGATCTTGGCCTTTACGTATGGTTGGAATCTACAACTGCTCAGGCGCCTATAATGTTGGTATCCAATATATGTTGGTATCTCTCAAAATGACTACACGTTCCAAGTAAAAATAGAGTGTATCTTCGAAACAGAAAGGGGGATAGAAGAGGAGAAGGAGAAAAATCAAGGAATGCAATCCGGAGGTGATACTCCTGGGGGGGTGTCAATAGAAAAAAACAGGACTCCATGCTGTAACGCCAGACATTTTCATTCATGTCCCTGTCCCGAGAAAAGAAGAGCCACGTGTAGACGGATATTAAACAACAGTCTCGGACCGTTCGCCTTCTGCAATGACCGGTACACCCAGCCCGCGATCTGGACTCTGCAAGACGAGCTGTTCATGGCGTCGAGCCCGCAGGAAATCGCTGACCGCACGGATCAGAATAAACCATCCAACAATCATGAGGACATATGAGACCCATTCACTCGTGCTGATACCGGACATAGCGCCATTTCCTCCATCGCCCCCACCCTCGCCAACTGAGTTCGGGTCGAAGTTATGGCTGTTGGGGTCAGGGGGAGGAACGTATTCTGAGCCTCCACCATCAGAGCCTGAACTGTCGCTGCCGCCTTTCATATAGAAACCATATTGAACAAGAGTAAGGCCGAGACCAGCTCGACTGCCGTTCTTTGCGGCATGGGTGGTGTGAAGGAGATAGGTCAGCAAGAAGCCAACGAGCTGGAATGACATTGAGATCATCGCATTCCAGACGAATGAGAAAACGGAGCCCACGGGTAGTCCATCAACGTAAACCTCGTCGGACGAGATACCAGGTGCCACAATGGTGGTCTCCCAATACGGGGGCGTTGCATCGGCGGCGGCTTCTTCATATGACTAGAAGAACATCAGTATTCAAGGCTTGTGAAGAAATCAGGGATATTAAATGACTTACAGGAGGAAGATCCTCACTCTTCCCGCCTCGTTCTGGTTTAGCGGCCAGGTTGGCAAAGACACCATCATTAGATGGAGCGATCTGCCGACTGCCCCCAGAAGACGGAGCTGGGAAAGTTGGTAATACCGTAGGTCGCCTTAGACCACCTGACGGAGATGACCCCATTATATCACCCCTCGCGTCCGATGAGGACGGCGTGGCGATAGGGCTGTTATCCGGCGGCGTCCGGAAGCCGGGGTCAGCACGCATCAAGCGCTGTCTATCATCCGGCTCATTATCATCGTCAGACACGTCTTCGTCCCCGAAGGCATCGGCCAGCGTCCGTTCATCATTACTGTGTAGGGGATCGTCGTGTAATAACCGCCTCGACGACGGGGAGGAAGAGCGGGATCCGGAACGGTAAGAGGGAGTCGTAGAAGGGTTATGTTCGGATCGTGTATTCAGCGGATAGGAATGCGGCCCTTCCTCTTCATCATGGGGATTCACCTATACATGCAAAAGTCAGTATACTATCAAGGAGTCACATCCGGGGATGCATAGGATCCGGGATCAGCGGAGGGGAGGCTTACCCGTGAATAGCGCTGCGAGCTCATGGCGAGCTGAGCGGGAAGTGACCGTGAGAAAAGGAAAATGAGGTATAGGTTGAATGCTAAAAGGATATAACGAGAGTAGGGGGGATGGAGGGAGATGTCGGGGTTAATGGGGGAAGGCAACAGGAATGGGATGTGGCTTAGCCTGCCTGATGCGCCAGGCCAAAATCGACCGTTCCGGATTTGCCTCAACTTTCTTATCCGTTGTTACCTCTACACAGTACACAGTACACAGTACACGATTGTCGATATCTCCTGCCAAACATGTCTAGAACACCGGTGAGTCCATGATCTACCCTTTTCAATCCTAACACCATACGCAAGCCCCCAAATCAGTTCTGGCAGTGTCTAACATCCCCCATTCAGACCCTTAATCCGAGCTCTCTCCAAAGCCGCCTCAACCACCTCCTCAAACACTGGCCTACAGACGCCGTCCGCCCAGCTTCAGTCTCTGTCCAATCCTACATCCAAACCCGCCTTCAACCAGCAGACAAGTCTACCCCAGCGATTTCCGAGGCCTCCGTGAGTGCGCTCGAATCACTGCTGAATAACCGGTACGCGCGCAAGTATCCCATGCCAGAGAAGCTGCGCCGGCCAGCCAGTAACCCAGACCACTATGACAATGTCGTGCGCGAGTTTGCAGAGGCGCCGAACCGCGATTGGTTTGGTCGGTTACGGAAGAGACTGGCTGGTATCATCCGGCTGTCTTAATGGCTCTTGCCTTGTGTAGGCTTTTGGTTGACGTTGGAAAAACTTGGGAAAACTTGATTTATCGTCTCGCTGGGTTTGAGTGGGCATGGGGTTTCTTTGATGGGTTGCATGATATGTACCAATACCTTTTTCGTTTTATGTTTGTATACCTACTATTTCTTCTCAAATCTACCTACGAATCTATAGACAGAGCCTCGTTCTTCAGAAACGTTCTTGATGCATGTCCAGATATCCCTGGGAATGAAATTTGAAACCGTCGAACTCCTAATTGCTATTTACAAAACGCTTTGACAGATTAATATAGTCTGCATATTTACAGCATGGGCTTCAAGTCATCGGCGACCTTGAAGGGGGCATCGGTCTTAGCCTGGACCTCCTCGACGGTGACACCATCGGCGATCTCAATGAGGGTCAAACCGTGAGAGAAGTCGACGTCAAAGACGCAAAGGTCGGTGATGATACGGCTGACGCAAGCAGGGCCGGTCAGAGGGAATTCGCAGTTCTTGACGATCTTGGCGTTGCCCTTCTTATCGGTGTGTTCCATGGTCACGACGACCTTGGTGGCAGCGGGGTTGGAGACCAAGTCCATGGCACCGCCGAAGCCCTTGATCTTACCGGGGAGCATCCCTGTGAGAAAAATGTTAGTTATTGATTCAAGACGGAAGGGAGAGTAGAAGAGAAAACATACAGTTGGCCAAGTCACCCTTGGCGCTGACCTGCATGGCACCCAGGATGGTCAGATCGATACGGCCGGAGCGGATCATGCCGAAGGACTCGTCACTGCCGAAGCAGCTAGCACCGGGCTTAAGAGTGACAGTCTCCTTGCCGGCGTTGATAAGATCGGCATCCTCCTGGCCCTTCTTGGGGTAAGGGCCGAGTCCGAGAATACCGTTCTCGGACTGCAGGGTCACCTCGACGGAGGGGTCGACGAAGCTGGGGGCAAGCATAGGCATACCAATACCGAGGTTGGCGTACATGCCGTTCTTGAACTCCTTAGCGGCACGGCGGACGATACGCTCGCGCTTGTTGGCGGTCTCACCCTTGCCGAGAGCAGAGGTATCGGCACCCTCCTCCTTGGCGAAGGTGTACTTCTCAATGTTCTTGGGGGCAGTGCTCTGGATAACACGCTTAACGTAGATGCCGGGGAGGTGGACGGCAGCAGGGTCGATCTCGCCGGGCTCGACGATGTGCTCGGCCTCGACAATGGTCATCTTGGCGTTACGGCCCATGGCGCCATTGAAGTTGGCGGCGGCGTAGCGGAACTGGCAGTTACCGAGCTTGTCGGCCTTCCAGGCCTTGACGAAGGCGTAGTCACCCTTGATCGCCTCCTCCATGACATAGGACTTGCCATCAAACACCTTGGTGTCGCGGGGCTGGCTGTACTTGGCGACTGTGCCATCGGCGTTGTGTCGGAGAGGCACAGCACCGGTCTGCACCACGGTACCGAAGGCGGCAGGGGTGTAGAAGGCGGGGATACCCGCACCGCCGGAACGGCAACGCTCAGCCAAAGTTCCCTGGGGAGTGAGTTCCAGCTCGATTTCACCGGTCAAGTACATGCGCTCGAAGGTCTTGTTCTCGCCGACGTAAGAAGCGATCATCTTCTTGATCTGCTTGGACTGCAGGAGCAGACCGAGACCGGCTCCGTCCACTCCAGCGTTGTTACTGGCCACAGTCAGGCCAGTGATGGAAGGGTTGTCCAGGACAGCCTTGATCAGTGAGTCGGGCACACCAGATAACCCGAATCCACCGGCCAGCAGGGTCGAGTTGGACTTCATGTCCTTGACGGCCGCGTCGGCGGAGGGAAAGACTTTGTTGATCTCACATCGGCGAACACTGCTGGAGAATGCGCGGGCCATAAAACGTTGGTGCTAGCAAGAGACGAGACATGTCAGTTGCCGTTCACAATCAAATCACGAGGCGAGCGTATGAGCCAGCGGCGAATAACTTACTTGGGCAGGGTTTGCAGAGAACTGGCGCGCGAAGCGCAGACATGTTGCCACTTGAGAAGGCATTGTGAATAACTTCCAATTCAAATATTGGAGGTTGAGATACAAAGGTTCAAACCGCTATATAAAGACCGGAAGAACGAACGTCCAGCGCAAAGCGGCGGCAGCCACTTTTATATTCCGGCGCGGCAATGAGGGCGGAATCGGAACCGAGTGATATTCGTTTACCCCGGAAATGTGGGTTACCGGACCTTTCCGCCTTCGATGAACTACACTGAGTTTTCACTGCTGTTAGTTCCTCCACTTGGTGTTTTACAATTCAAATTCAGTCATGCCCATCTTAACACTGATTTAAGTCTTTTCCCTTTTTTCTGCTACTCAATACCCCCAGAATCCCCGTTCCGGGGCAAGGAGTTCTTTCATTGCCGCTGCCGAAGTTTACAGCCGATCCCCATCCGACCCCCGCGGCTTGGAAATTCGGCACTGCTGAGTCAGCTCGTTCCCGGAGAATCCACTTTGAAGGTTCCTGACTTGAAGAGTGAATAGCCTCAAAGTACATACATTCAAGGCTGAATTTAATAAGAATAACTGTGAAAAGGGCCCTATGGTATCTCCGGTGTATGTACCTGCTGGATTACAAAAACAGATTTCGCACCTCGCAATGCAGGAATATCCACGGGCATGCGGGAATTCAAAGGCAAATCATAGAAAAGTCATGCAATCATGTCCATGCAGTCAAGCTGGGTTTCATAAGGGACGGAACTCAAATCGAATCGGTGTGCTTGACTTCGGCGTCGGGGCTTTTGCGTTTGAGAGGGTTGACAGTGGCCACATCAGCGGGCACGGCGTTTGAGGCTACCAATTTTACTGCGAGTCAGTCGCAGGACGAGGGCCAGGCCAGGTATTGTTCTCCAGATCCGCAGATCCCAGGGTTCCCGTACCTGATGTTCCATTAAGGGAAGCCGCTTCTTCATAGGACGGGGGCGTCAAGTTCGCTTCGGTGGTAGGAGAGGTGGGCCGAACATCCTCCATGGGCGGGGATAGATCGGGGAAAGGCTCGGTCATGGTCTCGTTCACCTCCGTCATATCTAACGGGAGTAGATCGGAAAACTGATCGGCCATGGTCTCATTCACCTCACGGCAGAGCGGACTTGCCAGACGGCTCTTCATGTCGTCATTGACGTAGACCAGGAAGTACGGAGTAGGAGGGTTATTGGTCGAACCGGGCTTGAAGATTTCGTCCACATCCTGGACCTCAGTGACGTACTCGTCATTGTACTTGCGCCAGACCTGTTTGTCGAAATCGAAGATGTAGATGTAGTAATGGCCAAACGAAACGGATCCATGATGCACAAACACGGCGTACAGTCGATAGGCAAGCGTGCGGAAATCGGCAAAGTGACTAGATATCATGGCCTTTGTATCCTTGATTTCTTGGTCCAAAGCTATAAGACGAGTTAACAAAGCTGCCAAAGATGAAAAGAGTGGTGCCAAAATTACCTTGCAGATCATCGTCGACCTTTCGAGCAAGACCTTCAAGTTCGTCCGTGAATTCCGTACCAATATCACAGTCCAGAGAATCAGCGATGGACTCGGGCGTGGACTGGGATGCGGACTCGGCGTCCTTCCCAATAGCGTCCACGTCCAGAAGCACTGTCCTAACTTTGCGGAACAATGTTGCGATATCAACGCTAGCGGCACCCTGCCAGACGTTAGCTACGTAAAGGCAAAAATGTTCATCGTTCAGGTTCCATACCTCCGGCCTGAGAAGCTCTTCCCGGCGAGCCTCAAGCAACTTCAAAGAAGCCTTCCACTCCCAGATTTGGGCGCGCCGGTTCACAATATCTGGATTCTTAGTATCCATGTACCGGTCCATGTAGATGGTTTCAAGCAGCTCGAGATGGTTCGTTGACTTGAACGAAACTTTCTTGATTGGATCGAATTGCACTCGTTGCACCTGGATATGAAGCACTGGTGGGAGCTGACTGATGGAGGCGTATTGCTCGGCCACGGAATTATCCACACTAATATCCTGGACGTCGAATGCTCCATCGATAGCCTCGTAAATGTTGCGGGGTCCATGGGCAACGTCAACCTTGATATCACACCACCGTTCGTCCTTGGACCGTACGCCTTTAGCAGTGGAGATGTAAGAACGGGTTTGCCCGTAGAATAAGCTGGCGAGTGTTAGCATAAGGACATCAATTCCATGATTTGTCATAGCTTACTCTTTAATCTGGTCAATCTGTTCACCGTCACTGCCAATGCCTCGAGGTTTGATAGCACACTGGCTTTGGAACAGAACATTGTTTATGACTTCAGTGACATCCTGTTGAGCGCCAATCTCGACTTCTTCCCTCAATTGCTTCTCGCGATCAAGCTGCGGGAGGTTGCGAGGAGGGACTGGCGGTGGTAGGTTCACCGATGCACCGTTCTCGGAGTTGGTATCCATTTCCACATCGGATCCCGCCTCTGCTTGGTCCGACAGTTGGTCCAAGTCTGGAGGGTTGTTCTCCTTATCGTCCACAAAGAGGCCGAGTGGATCGGCGGTGTTATCATCTTGGACCAATGTTGCCTCACTGCTGGTATCGTTGGTCGTCAAAACCGGAATAGGAGCGGCGTCGGCTTGATCAGAAGACAACTCCTCCATCTGACCGACAGGTAGGGAATGTGGAGGCCCAAGGGGTCCTAAGACAGGAGCACCATTGATTTGGCCAAGAAGGTTTGGGCTCGTAGCAGTAATGGTCGACCGACGACGAATTGCCGCTTCATTGCCGGGGCTGATCAAGGTCAAGCGGGCGAGCTCCTGGCCGGGAGTCACCGAGGTCTGAGATGATGTGATCATGCTACGGAACAGATTCCGAAGCTCTTTCAGGACTGTATCAAGCAAGAGTCAGTTTGGGTGAGATAAAACCATCGGCACACACAAAGAAACTCACATCGCTGAGATCGCTCGACTTCATTTTTGGTCACCTTTCGGGACCCAACTTGCTTATTTGCTAGACCTTCCTCGTCATCGAGGTCAACTTGGAAGCGTTCCAAGTCCAAGACCATCTCGCGGAAAGGACGAATAGAAAAATAAAACTGCAACAGACTGTTAAGATAGCATGTGTTGCCAATGTTCTGCAGTCCAACTGGCCAATCGTTGATGTTTCGATCAGGACCGCTAGAGAGACCGGTCATATCTCTCAGAGAAGAGCTGTCCAACTCCTTGGCAATAATGGCAAGGGCCTGGTTATACCTCTCTGCATCACCAGGGTTCTCATCAACGCAGATTGTGTACGCTGCCATGATCGCGCCATCGTCGGCGGTTCGATCGGGAATTTGTAGTAAGCGATAGGCGTCCCCAATGTCCATTTCACCTGCAAGCGCCTCTCCGGTCTCAACAAAATGAGTCAATGCAGCCGATTTACGGGACTCTGCAATAAGGGCGACTGCGCGTTTCGCCAGCTCTTTCACGAGCGGGTTGTCATTGACCTAAGGTCGAACAATCAGTTGGCGACAAATCCATGGATGAAGCAAAGGGACTCAGTGACTAACCTTCGCAGTGTACATGGTCATGACGAAATCATCTGGGGTCTGATCCTCGACCCCTAGGAAGAAATTTGCCTGCTCGACAGTAGAAACACCTATTTTCGGGATTAGCGTTCAAGTTTAGAACATAGCATGGGATGATCAACGCACGGTCTTCTGCTGCAGACTTGATGGCCTCGCTTGCTGACGAGTCACCAATTCGCCACAGCTGTCGGCGCGCCTCGACATCGTTGTTTGTGGAGTTGACGAAGGCGTAAAATTTGCCAATGATGCTATCATCGGTGAGGTTCGGATCGTCAACGCGGAGACCAAAGTACTGATATGCGGCGTCAATGTCCTCGAGGCAATATTTTCCATCTGCATAAGCTTCGTTGACTGCTGCATCTATGAGCTCCTTGTCTTCGCCGCCGCGCAAGCAGCCGATATCCTTGAGAGCACTCAACCACACTGGGAAATTTCCAGGGTCAACGGTCATCTGTCGCTTGTATGCCTCGATAATTGTCGAGGAGGACATGTCCTCCACCACCCCCAGGTCCTCATAGCAACTGAAGAGATGGCTGTTAGATTTGGGTATTTCATTTCCGGAAGGGAGTACACTAACGGAGAGGAGGGGAAACCAAATTCTTTGAGCTGATTGGCTGTCGGATCTGTAGAAGCAATGAGTATGAGCTCTTCAAGTCGGGGGGCACGTTTTACGAACAATCTTGCGCTTCTAGCGCGCGGAAAAGCATAGTGACTGCAGAGGGAGGAGTAGCGGGAATCTGCATTCCTCTCCTTTCGGAAGCCGGTCGGAGATAGATCAAGGAGAGCAACTCATGAAGCACGTCGTCAAGATATATGCACAAGGTATCTTGGTAAGGTCTCTCAGAGGTCGCAACCGGTTTCGGCGGGTGCCATGCTCCTGTCTCCTATGATCGATTCGTCAGCGCCGAGGTATGCAACGACCAGAATAGGTAACTCAAAAGAAAGCAGAATAGTGTCATTGTAACTTACCGAATTATAAACGAAGTCTAGCGATTCAAGGAGGTCCTTGCAAGCTGCACCTTCCACGCCAAAAGAATGCATGAATCTCTTATTGACCGATGAGATAGGCTTGCTGCGCTGAGGATTCCGCAATGCGTTCGTGATGTATAGGCGTAGATTATCCAGCACATTGACCGGCTGCGGATCACCCATGCCTTCCATGGACTCGGGATATGCTTCAATAGCCTCTCTAGCCCGTTTCCGCAGCAATTCTTGATCAGTCATTAACCGGACAAAATCCGGGCCCAAAATTGGCGACTGAATCCGTAATGACACCATAGCGGGGCATGATATATAGGAACATTGATAATGATATGTCTCTGCAACCTGCCCTCTTTGATTTATCTCGGGGGGTGAAAAGCCATTCTTTTGCCGCCCCGATGTGTAAACCAAATGATGCAGATGGCCTTTAGCGTTCTGATTGAACGAACCCAAGTTATGGGCGTAGTTTACAACCACTTGAAGATGACAGCGGCACTTTGCGCACATAGCCGAGACCTTTGATGATGTGCCTGGCCTCCTCCGGTGCTCTGTCTCTGCCATGAACGACTGATCTTCTTTCAAGACATATTCATGATGACATGCCTTTGGTGAGATGAACGAGAGCGGGCCACTATAGCCTCGTGGGTAGATAGGCGGGGTCTGTGACAAGAGATTGCGAGCTGTATCTGGATCATGCGCTGGGTCATACAGCTTGATATCGAGTAGAAGGCGTGGCGCGGTCTTGCCTATATTGTTGAAGGAGAGACTGTAAGTACACTGCCAGCTACATGTCTTGCGGCTTTGGTAGGCTAGAGTGGGTTTCTTACCAGCCATCTGTGAAGGCGCCATGAGGTACACTGGGCCAGGCCTAAGGCCTCACACAAAGTTAAGATCTTTCGTCTTGACGCTGTGAATAAGATTTAATCGTCGAGGTGCTTTATACCCTATTACACCTCACAAATTCACGCTTTACCAGCTTGATCGCGGTGGATATGCTTGTTGGTGATGGATTTGCGTAGGTGTATGCGGCGCGACAGCGGGGAGCCCACTGCACTTGGCAGCAAGTGGCAGCTGGATGATGTTCTTCCCTCCACGGAAAGGGCGATCGTAGAATGGCTATGCAATGTTGTCAAGCAGAAATAATCTAAAAACGCAGCATGAGTTGTAACCACTTCTGAGGTATGAGGCAAAGGAATTGTCAATCAATAGATGACTCCAATTCTGGGGTATTTAGTTGTTGAGCTCCCAATGATGGTTGGCGAAATACTAGGCGGTCGCGGTTGCGGTCAGTTGGGGCAGAAAGCTGACCCTCAAATCCTACTGCCAACCACAACCCATACCGGAAGCAGTCTGTCCCTGCTAATCTACACACACACACAATGGCGCACCACGAGGAGGACCACAGCTACCACCCCAAAGATGCTATTTCGGCGGCCATGAAGGCTACGGCGCTGACCGGAAGCGTCGGTCTTTTCGCAGCGGCTGTACAGAACACGCTCACCAAACAGAACGTCGGAACTCTGGGAGTCTTCGTCCGCGGCGGTGGTACCATTACTACCTTCGGTACGAGTCCCTCTTGGTCTGAATAAAACAATTGCTCTTCAGTTGCTAATTTTGACATGTGAAAGCCGCCATGGGTGGTACCTATGAGTTCATCAAGACTGCTTCGGCCAACCTGCGCGAGAAGGAGGACCACTACAACGTCGCCATCGGTGGTTTCGTTTCAGGTGCTATTCTCGGTCTCAGAGGTTAGTTACTGTAAAAATGAGGCAATCGCTATGTGTTGGAAGCTAACGTTGCTGTTTACCTCAGTCCGCACCTTCCCCGCTGTGCTGGGTTACGGAGTCGCTCTCTCCACCGCTATGACCGCTTTTGAGTACACCGGAGGCTCTCTGTTTGGATACCAGAAGGACAACTCCGTGGATGAATTCGACCGCCGCACGGCATTGCGCAAGGCTTTCCAGACCCCTGTGGAGCAAAGTGTTGCTGAATTGGGCGAAGGACGTGGTATGTGCTCACTGCCTGATTAGCAATTCCATGCACTGAAACTAACGTTGCTAGGTATCTACGGCGCCAACTATGAGGAGAGACGCGCCGATCGTATCAAGAACGCCTACGGCATTGAGGTTCCCACATCCCCCGTTCGCGCATCATAAGCAATTTTCCCAAATACACCCCTTTCATTGTTTTGTGTAAATTATCCCCCATCACGCCGTCTATCGCTTCTGGCCACCCATGCGATCGGATCTTCCTTAGCCTCCAAGAAATCCAAAACCACACATTTCAAGTTTGGACCATGGGATTGTGCGGTCCTAGACTTCGTGCTGCCGTGCGTTACCGTGCGTACATGTCTACCCAGGGAGATCCAGTAAGACTTCGTAACAGTATATATATACTTTTTTCTTTCATGAAGCGCAACCAGTACTGATCTTAATAGACATGTACGCAGTATAAATTTGGTGCCAAGGTACCTACATCCAAAGGGAGGTATCCCCGGATCATGAGAGCCAATGACAGCGCACGTATATCAAACGATCGCAAAGTCTGGTGTCAGGAAGCACAACTTCCCGGTATTGAATTCCGATGACCTTTCAGATTATGACTTTGCATTTGGTAACTAAATCATAGAAAGACAGGCATGTGGTTATGACCTTGGAATGTCTGGAAGTATCATTGAAAGACGCGGGATATCAGAAACCGCCAAGCCTCTGCATCACCATCACAGTTCTCGAGCCAGGAATTCGAGTGAACGACCACAGGTAGGTAGTACTACAGTTGACTATGCAGGTACTAGAGAAGTGTCCTGTCACACTCGCATCGAATTCAACTACTTTGCTGTTCTCCAAACCAGTTTTCGTATGTGCCAAGCTGGTTCGGTCAGTAGTTGCGATAGGGGACGGAATCAACCTGTTAGACCAAGAGAAGACAAAGTACTCCGTACCAAGGTACGTTTACAAGCCGAACCAGATGAAGACATTCCGAAGCGACCGGCAAGAGGCTCGGTATACACATATGGCCTTGGAAGGAGGCAAATGTTCCAAAAACCTTCGATCTTTTTCTTTTCTTTCCCCAGATGCCGACGTCATGCACTGCTCATGACTCGACTCTCAGGGGGGGGGGGCAAATATTGAAGTGACAACCCCCTTTTTCATGAGCCACAGACCTGCGGTGGATCAGGTTCAGACGATTGACATAATCCATGCCATTAGCTGATTCCAATAGTGTGAGGTCACTGGGGTATGGGTTTGGTCAGGGGAGTAACTCAGCCACTCCCATCGATAGGCAACCGCATTGGCATAAGACACTAGGAGAATATGAGGGTCCTCTTTGCAATTAGTGTGGTCCTGATGCACAATGTACATACTGTAGGTGGTTCGTTAACTACGTTAGTATGCATGTGAGTTGATGTAACTACTAGTAGTATGTACGGAGTACATATTAGGCATGCGAATTTCTCGATCAGGGTGTGGCCGCTTTATGAGGTTGCTCACTCACTGAGTATCTTACAGCACAGGTATTCTTAGTAAGTTCAAAATGAATCCGTGGACCTTATCAGTACCTAGATTGATCCATCAGGTGAATGCTCGACTACCTGTACCTACATGTAGGTGTCAGGTATGCGATGCAGCCTACGAAACCGCGGCTATCTTCACAGCAAGCATCGGTGATATCTGCCCATGCGACTCTCTTGTCGCCGTTATACTGCAGCATCAATATGCGTGAGGATAACAATCTCTTTGGATCTGTTACTCTAGGTTAGCCAGCTAAACTTCAGATGCCTCCCATCTACTTATTGAAGAGCGGCTTTGGAGTCGACGCTATTCATCCCGATGTCATGGAAACACCTCACTTACCATAAGCGAGGAGTACAGCTCAATGTTTTCCGAAGCTGGCGTGGTACGTAGTATTAGTTTCAATCTGAGGCAGATACTGTGGGTCACAAGGGAATTCTCGCGGGTATGATGAGATACTCCGTAAATACAATCTCGGAGTCTCGGTGTCTTCAGATTTCCGCGAAGACTTAGGATGCCGAGGACATTGAACGTGTTGATGGCGCTGATCAAATTGATAGCTGAGAACATAAAGGGAGCTATTATCTAAGAAGAGACTCTGAGAATCTCAGGAGAAATTGAGCACTTGGACAACTTCGAGCCTCGATGATTGACTCGTTCACTCGTTGCACTCCCGGGCCGGTGGAGAAAAAGGCTTCGGGAAGCCCCACTTGACCTCACCCCCGGGCTGCCCCACTATTCAATCATCGCCATGCTGGACTTGATCACAGATTCACAGCTATTGCGTACTACATGGCACTTCCAGCTTCCCTTCATCGCGCTGCCTTTGTCATAAATGCCAAGAAGGTCGATGACACATATTCCCTAATTTCTAAGCCGATCAGCCAGGGTGCGCTACATCCATCGCTACCAGCTCTTTGCTGGTTTTGTCTTATGGCCTTCTCAAAGCATCAATGCTGCCGAAGGTCCATCGTTTGCTGCCAGATATGTAAGTAGTCATCTGGATGACCTTGGACTTCTTTTAAGGTTATTTTTACTGTATGATCATACATCCGTAGTTTCCATATAGTACTCCGTAGATTGCCCTCTGAACGATCATGTGATGCTGAAAAGCGTGCTCAGTTTTACTTAGGGGAGTAAAAAGCGGCAGGAAATGAGTACTAAAGCAGAAAGAGCTAAGCCACGCGGGGTTGAAATCCGATGCTCAAGTTGTAAGTTTCCAGTGCCCCAGTGTACCTCTTCCACCTCTTCCACCTCTCCCTCTCTACTACCTCAGATCGGGCCGTTATCCCGAGGCAGTACGTCAACCATCGTGAATGATAAAACCAATACCACGTTGGCATACCTGAAAGTCTGCCCTGACGCTGAAGAGTATGTAATAACTGATCAATTAAATTTTATTTCCCCTCCCTCTTTCTCCCGATGGTCCCGGTAACCCAGTTCCTCGTCACCATTCGTATCTGGGCATTCTCCTCGTAGACGTCATCATCCATGAGCATCTTCCTTTATTTCCCTTAATTTCAGCTCTCTCTCTGCCTTATCTCGTCCAATTCTGATCTCTTCCGATCTCTTCTGATCTCCTCTGATCTTCTCCTATTTCCCGAAATTTCAGATAGTCTCATGAGTGGGGCCCCAAATCTTGCTTCTCATCCCCCCGCATACAATTGCTCCCCGTTCGCCAGGTAACCAGAAAGACGCCACTTTAGGCTCAGCCTTGGAATATCCTTGATTCTGATTTTCTCTTCACTTTTCGATTTCTTCACTTTCAATTCTTCTATTTCTCATTCCTTTATTTCTCCCGCTCTCGATCTCGACTCGATTTAACTCCTGAACCTGCATAAACCATAAACAAAATCCACGTTCCCGCGAACATGGCGATGGCCGCGCGGCCGCAGACGCCCTCACAGGATGCATACATGATCCCGCACGTCAACAATCCGGCCGCCTTGAGTCGCGGATACGGCCCGCGCTCCGTCTCGCGACCGAGTTCTTTCGCCGGAACCACATCGGCATACCACTACGGCTCCGGTGCTCTGGAGTCGTCGCAGATTCCCCACAACCCTCGGTTCAAGGAGGATTTCGATACCGTCAGCCACCGCAGCTCGGTCCTCGACGCCCCCACTGGAATGCAGCGCTCTTCCTCCACAGCGTCACATGTGCGCTCCACGACTCCGTCCCGTTCGGGAACATTGCAAAAGAAGGCTTCGATGAGCAAGAAGGGAAGCTTGCGGCGCAATGGCAGCCGGAGGAGTATGCGCGCAGGCAGTGTCAGGAGTCTCAGCTTGGGCGATCGTGAAAAGTACAACACGGATGGATCGGAGGATCCCAACAGCGCTTTTATGATTCCAATTCCCACCAACGGTAACCCGACCGAGGTGTTGGCCAATCGGTTTGGAGGTGGGTGCTAACTACGTTTATGCGCGAGTTACTGCGACTTGGACTAACGTTTTATCTAGCTTGGCGCAAGGTGCTCAAGGATCTGATTCTCTTCTTTAAGGAAGTGCAAAAGTCATACGAATCAAGGTCAAAGTTGTTCTTGTCCGCCTCCAATGTCGTCAACAACCAGACCCTCCCGCCTGGGTTGCTCGGGTCCACTGGTTTGGCCGAAGCGACAGATATTCTGCAGGACTTACACAGACAGGGTTACGCGGAGGCCAATAAAGCCGTGGAGGTCGAGGCCGAGGTGATCAGCCAATTGACTGGGCTCCGAAGCGATCTCCAGAAGAAGACCAAGGAGATCAAGAGTCTTTCGGCCGACTTCAGGAACACTGTCGAGAAGGAGCTCGATGGTACCCGCAAGTCTGTGCGCAACCTGCAGGAAGCTCTCGGACTTGTCGACACTGATCCGTCTGCGACATCTGGTAAAGGTGATCCGTTCATCATGCGCCTGCAGGCGGAGAGACAAGTCGAGAAACAGATTGAGGAGGAGAACTACTTGCATCGGGTATGTGCTGTATTTGCTGTATGTGCTATGTGTCTGACTAACGTCTATACTACAGGCATTCTTGAATTTGGAGAACTCGGGCCGTGAACTGGAGGGTATCGTCGTGAGCGAGATTCAGAAAGCATACAATGCCTACGCCAACATTCTTCGCCGCGAAGCCAATGAGTCTCTTGACGCTGTGGAGAAGCTCCAAGCTGGTCCAATCTCCATGCCCCAAGATCATGAGTGGAATGAGTTTGTCGCCAACACCGACGAGCTCGTCGATCCCCGGATCCCTCTTCGGAATGTGGAGAGCATCACCTACCCGGGTAAGGATCATCCGGCAGCTGCCGAAGTTAGGGCTGGTATGTTGGAGCGCAAGAGCAAGTATCTCAAGAGTTATACCCCTGGATGGTGAGTTCCCTTGCTGTCTTTTTGAGATTGACGTCATTGTCTAACAACCCTAGGTACGTGTTGTCGCCGACGCATCTCCACGAGTTCAAGTCCGCGGATCGTATCGCATGGCAAACTCCAGTCATGTCGCTTTATCTGCCCGAGCAGAAGCTTGGCTCCCACTCTCAGGATAACTCAAGCTCTCACAAATTCATGCTGAAGGGCCGACAGACTGGCGCGATGCATCGAGGCCACTCCTGGGTGTTCCGTGCCGAATCTCACGAGACTATGATGTCATGGTATGAAGACATTGAGGGCTTGATCAACATGACGGGCGAAGCCCGAAACGCTTTCGTCCGCAAACATGTCCGCAGCGTGAGTGGTAGGTCAATGAATAGCGAAGTTCTGGAAGATGATGAAGCGGACCGCACCCCATACTCCGCCGGCTCTGTGGTAATGGCCCAAGACAGACCGACGTCCTCTCGCCAGCCCGGAGGTGCGTTCCCCAGCGACGTCCAAATTGACCGACAAGCGCCCTTGTCACCTTCCAGTGGTGACAGCTCCGCGGGCCGAGACATGCTAGGAGCCGGTGGATCCCATCCTGGCGGATCGAGTGCGTTTGAGGACAACTCACGACAAGTACGAAATCACGAAGGAGACGATACTTCCTACCAAGCCTACCGGGCCAATGAGGAGACAGCCGACCAGTCTCGCCCCAAAGTGTCCCAACATGATAGCTACTACGGCGACTGGATTGGGCCGTCTGTGATCGTGGCCAAGCAGAGACAGAGCCAGCAAGCGGAAAACAAGCAATATCAAGACCAACAGGCTCACAATCAGCAACTTAACAACTTGAATTCGGATGATCGCGAAATCCGGTCTGACGGCGACCAGGCTTCCCTCGCCGCCATCGCGGGCGTAGGTATGGCCGATCGTCGCGATCACTCCGCTCCTCCCCAGATGACTCGTCGGGAGAGTGTCTCGACGGCACCTACCAACACCAACGCGACCGAGTCTACCAACAACACCAATGCTACCTCGGTAGATGATACTCAGGACCTTTCCAAGCTCCAGGCGCTTAGCCTCAATAATGGTTCTATTGACCGAGCTCGTGGATCGATCACTGCCAGCAAATTCCCACCCGAGTTACTGCGCCAAAAGACAGACAGCAGTCTCGCCGCAGACATGAAGATTCCAGGTCGTTATCCTCCTACCCATGTGGCGGCATAGGATGTTCACCCTCATTTATCCTGTTTGCCCCATCTAGGTACAAAATTCCCTCCGTCTTTGTCCTCATATCAACATCTTCACAACGTTCATCTTTTTCCCTTTATCTGTACATGTATCCCCTCTTACCCCTTTCACAACTCGTCCTCGTTCGGTCAAGGCGTTTTGGTCCTCTCCTTGGGACTACGGTCCCTTCCCCCCACAGCATACCTATCATGCTGCATCGGCGTTCGTTTTATCGGGTGGGGCGCTGGGATTTTTTTGTTTCATCTATTGATTCCCGGTGTTGATGTCCTCAGCACATATCTTTCGTTTCCAAGTGGATGATCTAGTCGAGTGGTTCTATGAAGGTCATATTGAGATACTGTTTCCCCAGCTGTAAATGTGACTACCTCGGTGTTTGTGGTCTTAGTGAATTGCTGTATTTTTGCCTAAAGACTTAAGACTAAAGAGGTCGAGGGCGTGGCATTTTGTTTGAGTAACTCGAATACCATGTACACTGGTCGGTCAGTCATGTGTGCAGGTGTCCAACAGGTTGATTGTGTTGAGATGTACGATAAGGCGAAGATAAGGACCTGAACCCCGTAGAATGGCGCATGTCCAAGCACATATTGCGCTAGATAGTTGTGTTCTATGTGGAAATAAGGAGATGGGTGTCTTCCCCGGGCTTCCTCAGTCTCGGCATCCCACTCAGTTTCATCTCGTTCGAACTCGTACGTAGATCTAAAGACAAAGACATGATCGACGGTAATTACTAGTTCCCCGGGCGGTGACTCTTATTTTGCCCGAGTCAAGTACATATCAGAATTCTGTATTTTCCTCTCTGAGCTCAATTTCCCCCATCCAACATCGACATCCCGCCAGGAACGAGTTTGCTCGGCGTTTGCTCGTCCTCTTCTATTTCTTCCTCTTCCTCTCTCCCGGCGATTCCTCTCCATCCTCTCTCACCTCCACACCCGTGGAGTTCGCAATCATGGGTAAGTCTATCTCTCCTTTGATTATTACAACTTTTCTTTTTCGTATCTTTGTATTACTTGTTACTACTACTCCTGGCCTCCCTGGTGTATTCAGCTTCCCGGTCAATTGTCCATTCATCCAATCATCGTGTCTTCTCTACACCCCCAAGGTTGAACCTTGACGCCTGATCCTTTTCGATCTGCCTTTCTCCGCCCCCCGGCTTCTTCTCCTTTTCTTTTTACAAAATCCTTTCGCATTGTCTTTCGGGTTCTTGGGGTTTTCCTGCTAATAACGTTTCCTTGCTCAGCCGACGTCTATCGACCATCCCAAGTAAGTCTACTTCGGACTCTTTTTCCTTGTCTACATTTCCCATTCCGCCAATTATACAATCAAGGCGACCGTTGCGCAATATGACCGAAAGTCGATATGTGATCAATGATGGCCAGTGTGGTCAGTGCGGGGGGAAGAACAGAGAGATGTCTGTTCTATCAGATATCCCCCGGGTCTAGAGATTGGAATATCCTTAGAGTGCCACGCATTTTATCCCATCGCTTTATTTTCACTCTTGAAAAAGAAGACAATGTTGCGGTGTGCGCAAAACGTGTGTGCATGGTGGTTTTCATGCTCGAAACTCGGGGTCCCCCAAGACAAACACCCCTCAAACCGGCGGTCACCTGACCTGAGCCGGCCCCCTCGAACTGGAGACCTTCCGTGGTTGCAACTGCCTTCAGATCACTCTCATCGCGCTTTTCCATCTCTTTTTCAATCAAATTTTCGACATCATATCACAACTGCGACTGCCTTTTATACCCATTTAGTTCATGTCTGACCACGTACAGCGTGAGAGGTCTCGCTCACCCCGTCGCCGTTCTCGCAGCCCTTCTCGTCGCGATCGTCGTCCGTACTCCCCGCGCAGCCGCTCCCGCAGCCGTGGTGAGCGTGACGAATACCGTCGCCCCGAGCGTCGTTCCCGATCCCCATTGAGTGCTTCCGGAGCAGCTGGACCCCCCTCCGCTTCTTCTTTTGGTGGACGCAGCGGTTATCCTTCGGCCCGATACGAGGAGCGCGCCGGTTCGAAAGACAATATGATGCAGACCGTTCGCGATTCGTCCCAGCAAGACCGCCGGGTCTACGTGGGCAACCTTTCTTATGATGTCAAGTGGCATCATCTTAAAGATTTTATGAGACAAGGTAAGCCCGGTCGCGCGATTGGGACAGTGATTTGCTGGGGTGTGGAAGCTAATGCAGACTTTGATTCTGTGCTTTATAGCTGGAGAAGTTCTCTTTGCCGACGTGTTGCTTCTTCCTAATGGAATGTCGAAGGTGGGCGTTTCTCATGTAGACGGGCTACTGCCCTTCTACTCCCTTGATTTGTTGTTTTTTGTGGTTCGTGAGGGTTGACGGGTGGACCATGGTGTCCTGATATTGTAGGGATGCGGGTAAGTGATGTCGTTTCTCTGTCCATTCTAGTGCCCCCGCTAATCTGTCTACCAGGATTGTGGAATATGCAACCAGGGACCAAGCACAGAACGCCGTGGAAACTCTCAGTAACCAGAGCCTGATGGGTCGTCTCGTTTATGTTCGCGAGGTATGCGTTCGCGACATCGAATCTCTCACAAGTACGTGAACTGACTGTCGCCAGGACCGTGAATCCGAGCCCCGTTTCGTTGGCGGCCCCCCACGCGGCGACTTCGGACCCGGTGCCCGAGGTGGTTTCGGCGGTGGTGGTTTCGGAGGTCCCCCAGGTGGTGGTGGCCGACAGATCTATGTCTCAAATGTTTGCCTTCCCTTTTACCCCGTTACGCTAAATTCTGGCAGGCTTTGTTGACCGTTCGATGTAGCTTCCTTTCACCGTTGGCTGGCAAGATTTGAAGGATCTGTTCCGACAGGCTGGTAAGTGCAAACTAAACCATTTCAATGGACTTGGGTCTCTACATTTTTTGTCTAGTGCGAGTGCATGGTGAATTGACCCATATTTTTTATTACAGCTCAGCAAGGTACCGTCATCCGTGCCGATGTGCACACTGATCCCTCTGGACGCCCCAAAGGTTCTGGCATCGTTGCTTTCGAGTTCCCTGACGATGCGCGCAATGCCATTGCCCAGTTCAATGGATATGACTGGCAGGGTCGTAACATTGAGGTCCGTGAGGATCGATTTGCTAACGCTGGCCGCGGTGGCTTTGGTGCCGGCTTCGGCGGTCGTGGTGGCTTCGGTGGTATGGGCCCTCCTCGTGGCGGCGGTTTTGCTGGCCGCGGCGGCTTCGGCGGTGGCTTCGGTGGACGTGGAGGCTTTGGCGGTCCTCCCGGCGGCTTTGGCGGTCCTCCCGGCGGCTTTGGTGTTCCCCCCGGTGGATTTGACCACGGAGCTCCTCCGGTCACCGCCGGGCCCCCAAACCCATTTACTGACTACGCTACTTCTAACGGCGAGAGAGGCCCTACGATCTACGTTCGAAACGTGAGTTCAGCCGATCAAAAGGAGGTTGGGATGAAATGCTAACTTGCACACAGTTGCCTTGGTCCACTTGCAACGAGGACCTTGTCGATCTGTTCTCCACCATCGGCAAGGTTGAGCGGGCCGAAATCCAGTATGAACCTCATGGCCGCTCCCGCGGCACCGGTGTTGTTCAGTTCGATACCCCTGAGACTGCTGAAACCGCCATTGGTATGTTTTCGTCCAGGGTACCTACAAAACTTCAAATACTAATGTTCTCACAGCCAAGTTCTCCGGTTACCAGTACGGTGGCCGTCCTCTGGGCATCTCCTTCGTCAAGTACATGAACCCCAGCGGTCCTGGCCCTGAGGAGATGGAAGGACAGGAGGCCACTAGTGGTCTGACCCAGGATCAGATCATGTAAAGCATTTTCGTCCTTTATTTTTCCAACCCGGGCTTTCTGGCAGGGGCGTCTGGCTTCGTTTCGTTTGCTTTACTTTCGATGATTCCCTTACACAGTATTCCCATCCCGTTTCGTTTCTGAGGCATCGGGCCTCTCAAAATGGGACGAGTGCCCGATTGGGCTGATCTGATGCTTTTCGAGTCCGTGGAAAGCTTATCAATATTTTTTGCAATTTGCTTAACTCATAGTTTTTATCATTCAGACTTATTCCCCGTGAGATTTCCGAGCAGTGCTGGTATTGTAGCGGTCTAGACTTTCGTGTGCAATAAAGATAGTCGTTCGTTCCTCCGCGCGATCGGTTATTTTCTCTTTTGTCCTCTTTTTGCTTCATAGTACGGAGTATACATGTGTCGATATTCAGGCCTATTGATCTGCCTCTCACCGCCTAACGCCTTCCTGTCAGCTCACCACCCTACGCAGTCCTATGTAGGTACGGAGGATCACTAGTCACTACGGAGTAATAAGGTTCAGTCACCAACTCTAATCCAAAACGCACAGACCACCTCCAATCTCGATCTCCAACTTCCAACTCCGAACATCCACTTTTCGCCTTTCACCTAACAGTACATTCACCCTCAATTCCAGTCACATCCAACAGCAGGTACAATGGCACACCTAACCCGCACCCTCCCAAAACGACTCTTCCGCCCAATTCCAACACCCTTTATCCACCAAACCAACCAATTGAGCACAACGACCCGGCCAACAACCACCACCACGCACCTCACAACCCCGCGACCAAACACAGTCCCCCACCAAAACCAACGACCCTACCACTCAACCCTGCACGCACGCCTACCCGACCACACCTACACAAACTCGCAAACAGCAATCCTAAGCGCAGCCCTGGACTTCGTGCCCACAACCGGCTTCACACTCGAATCGCTCACGCACGGCGCGCGATCCGCCGGCTTCCTCGACGTCTCTGTGCAACTCCTCCCGCGCCGAGAATTCGACTTAATCCTCTTCTGGCTTGCGAGTCGACGGGGTCTGCTTCGGAGTAAGGTTGAAGACGGTTTGTTTACTCGACTGGCTGCGGAGGCTGGTAAAGAGCTTAGCGTTGATGAGAAGGTTAAGGCGTTGGTTCTTGAGAGGTTGAAGTTGAATAAGGATGTTAAGGGGGTTTGGCAGGATGTGAGTTTTATTTTCTTTTCTTTTACATCCTTGAAGAAAATACAAGGAAAGAAAAGGGAAAAAAAAAGTGTCATATGCTAATGGTTTTGCCCCCGTCCACAGGCACTAGCTCAAATGTCCCTCCTGGCAAATATCCCCCTCTCCCTGACTGAACTGCATGCTCTGTCGTCGGATATTCTCACGCTGGCTGGTGACGACGCTGTCGATGCGTCGTGGTATACGCGGCGACTGGCTGTTGCGGGGATTTATGCTAGTTCCGAGGTTGTTATGACGCGGGATCCGACTGCGGAGCTGGTGGAGACTGCTGCGTTTGTGGAGAGACGGTTTGAGGATTCGAGGGCTGTTAAGGAGAAGATTGGGACTGTTGGGGAGATTGTTGGGTTCGGGTGGAATACTGCTATTGGGTTGGGGAGGAGTTGGGGGATGAAGATTTAAATGCCCCTGCCATGCTCCAACGAGACGTTGTTGAGCGGTTGTAACCATGTGTTGGGTTTGGTTCTATGTACTGTACTTTAATATACTCTATTCTTATCAAGACTACATCCTCATACTATTCCCGTGTAATTTGGACAATGTGTTTATATGATTGAATTCCGTAGTATTCATGCAAAATAAACTACAGAGACATAATCTAACTATCATGCCCCATCTTGTTCTCCCACAGCCACGCCTATGCCCATAACCTGCAAAATGAGCCAGGGCAAAAAGTATATCTACGCAAGAAGCAAGGGAGGCCAAATACACAGTCCAGTCCACTCACTGCAAAGACACATTCTGCACCGCCTCCTCTACACTGAGTGGGCCACCCTTTTCCGCGGCAGCCTCAGGCGGCGAGATCAACAGCGTAGGAGACGTTGGCGAGGACGGGTCCGGTGGAAGACTGCCCTGCTCTTTCTGATCAGACACAGGGGTACATGTATGTTCAGCAATACCAGATTCCGGCTCTTTCGATGGACTGACACTGCTAGCCCCGCTCTCAACCGAGTCACTCGGTCCATGAGCCTTGGCCCGGCCCGACCGCCGCGTTTTCGGCGGCAGCGGAGCCTGTCCGTGCCGGCCTATCCCGGTTGGGATGACTGGCCGGTGATGACTGGAGGCAGGGGTCGTGTGGCTGGAGCGACGCGGGGGCGGGAGGGCTGGGGGAGGGTTTGAAGCGGACCGGCGCGGCTGCGGACTTGGGGGTGCAAGGGTGGCGCTTGAGCCGGGGTCGCGGCGATCGCTGTGTGTTTGGGAAGATGGAGTGGTTGGTGGGAAGGTGGCGGTTGAACAGATTTCCACGCCTTCAGGGATGGTATTGCCGTCACTGCTTGTGGCGGACTGGTGCTCTTCTTCGTCGACGGCTTGACGGCGGCCGCGCCAGCGGCGAGATTTGGGTGGTTCGGGCTTGATCTTTGGGGGTCGGATTATTGGGGTTTCGTCGTTGGGAGGGGCGATGGGGACGTCTCTGCGGCTGGGTGTTAGGATGCCGGGTTTTTCGTGCTGTGCTGCGACGGCCTGGACGCTGAGTGAGGATGCCGTTGCTGAGTCTAGGTTCATGCCGAGTCGGTGGGCTATGCTGTGTTTTCGACTATCTGGTGCGTTGGATGAACCGCGTGAGTCCATTCTTGTTGGCGATGCTGTGTCTGGAGTGCTTGCCATTGTGCTTGCTCGTGAGATTGTACGAGAAATTTCGGGGGATTCGCGGATCTCTGTTGGCGAGGCATGTTGTACAGATTGATCCAGCACGGTTTCGATTGTGGTTGAGGTTATTTGGGTGGGCGTGTCCAGTGTCTCTACTGAATCGGGCTGTTCGACATCGCGCAGCCATTCCACTGACGCGCATCGAGCGACAAGGCGGCGTGTTGTCTCATCGACTTCTTCGAAATGTAGGATCTTCTCGCGCTCTGTGTCGCTTCCGTAGGAAATCTGTCCATGGACAAGGACGTTCAGTAGTCTACGAAGTCCATCACGCTTGTAGTGTGGAGGATTGCGTAGCTGCGTGTGAGCTAGAAGAGGGTATAATACACGCAGGTAGGTATGTCGCAGTGCGGATGCCTCCTCGGGTAGATCGAGCAAGTTTCGGATCAAGATATCAACCAGAACATGCAGATCATTCGTGAAGAAATATTCATATGTGCTAGGGGTGGTGAATATGAGATAGAGAAGCTTCAACGTGAGCAATTGTAGAGACGTCTCGGCTGCACCTGGTCAGTCCTGCTGCCAACTGAACGGGATGATTGCTGTTACCTTCACGATTGATGAGAAGGATGATATTCTCGCCAAAGGTCTTATACAAGCCCCCATATGCAGACAAAGTCTTGATAACCTTGTTAGTTAATTGATCAGATGGCCGGCCATCCACAGGATCATGAGCCGAAATCATGAACTGCTCATTGAGAACCAGCTATACAACGCGGTCAGTCCATTTCAACGCAAATAAACCCAGCCAAAGTACCCACCAACACCCGAATCACCGGGTAATGATATGGATCCGTAACATCATAAGACAGATACTCAATGATATCAAACAGACAGCGAATGAAATCGTCATCCACGAGAACTGCGAACAAGTCCCATATCAGCTACAAGCCCGCAAAGCACCACAGCACCAGCATACGTGTCCCAAGACGCACCCAGATCTTCAATTTTGATCCTCTGGATCCTCGACATCTCATATACAAGATCCATCAACAAGCGATGCAGCCCCGCATCGCCGTCAAGGTCCGCCCTTCGCATAGCCTGTATAAGCTCCAGAAGACGCGCAAACGCGCCCTCTTCGTTCAGCATCTGGAGCACGACTTCATTCTGCCGTCCGTCGAAAAGGATGAATGACGCAAGGAAGTGGAGGGTATCTGGATCGTCATCTTGCAAGAGACCGTAGAGCATCTGACGTCGCACGTAGTCTGCATGGGAGGCGAAGAGACTCGACGTAAATAGCTTGTAGGAGCAGCGTGAGATATCAGTTTCCGACCGAAGGTATTCGTCTAAGGTTGTGTTAGTCGCCGCGGAAGCAAGGTTGACGGGAGCGTAAATATGGCAATGCTTCGGTGTTGTGATCGGAGGAAGGTGGAGGTAATATCTCTCCAATGATAAGGCGCTATTTACCTTTGTATCGAGTCGTTATACCCAGATAAGCTCGGAGGGCGTCGTCGATCTGGTCTTCGGAGTCGCAGGGCTTGGAGACGATCGTTTGGAGTTCTGCGGGACCCGGTCAAATGTGTATAGAGAGTCGAGATTGCAATTCACTTACCATCCCAGAATTCCGTCTCCGAGACCTCAGGCTCCATTTCCTGTCAGAATTGCTCATGCCGGTTACTGCCGGTTGAAGTTGGGGAGTTGGAGAATTGGAGAGTTGAAGGTGAAGTGAAGGTGAAGGCGGGGACGATTCAGTCCCACTGCGGGTCACCCTACGTACTCTACGTACTAGTAGTGAACTACACACTACGTTTACTTCCTTGATAGACCACTTTTATTATACAGAACAAGTCAATTGGTATCAAAATGCAGGGGTCTATGAAATAGGGCGCAAGAATGGATGCGCTTCAGTATTCCTAAAAGAAAGTCAGCTGCTGGTTCCTAAGTCGATCGTTCGTCAGTCACTTACAGAACATATTTATCCAAGTCGACGACATCAGTGTCGCTAAACAAAAGGTAAAAATACTTCAACGTCTCAGCCAGCCAGAATGACTCCATCGTATCCTTATGGATAGGTTTCTGGGCTGTGACATCGTTGATGGCCGCATGGGCCAGCTCAGTGCGGGTATACTTCGTGATGGCCTGGAACATTTGCCATCCCTTACGACGCCAGGATTCGTCGCCAGTCAGACGGTACATGATAAAGACGGACTCAATGGCCTCGGGCCGAAGGTAGTAGTTCGGCGACGGGATACTGATCATCCCTGCTGGGAGATAATCCTTGCCAACTTCGGCGGTCTGAGGCGAAGCGGGTGATAAAGATGAACGAGGTGCGTCTCGGTTCTGCAGCTCAGTTCCACTAGTGGGGGTTGGAATTGAAGCAACGGAAGATGATTTGTATGTTCCTGCAAATCCATCACGCTTGGCGATCACGTCGCTGTCGTGGGGGTTCAACGAGCCGGGCATAGCGATTGGGATCTTCGCTGTGTCCGGCGGTGCCTCGTGGGCATTCAGTTTCACGCGCTCCTCATATGCACTTTGCCCGCTGCGGAACTGAGGGCCTGCACTGGGGTCGACACGCGAGTAGCGTGCCACACCACCCTCAAAGCGGGCTTGATCCCACTCGCAGGCTGAGCCTTTCTCGCAGGGCAAGAGGCGGAACTTTTCAGGCATCATTCCAGTTTGGGTCGACTCGTAAGCCCAAACACAACCGTCGGTCAGTTTAGCTGCAAGTTCCAGATCACCGTCGATGCCAAACGCCTTGGCACCTATGGCAAACATGCCACCGATGAAACATGTGAGGTGAGTTCCTTCGTACTCGAAATCAGTGGAGGTGAGCTCTGCGGCCTTCCCCGGTGTCAATGGCTTAGTGGAGGCCATGAACCGGATGTCACTTCCTCCTTTCACCATGGGCTGGAAGAGAAGGTTCTTGCGGGCTGCGGTGACGGCCTTCATGTACATCTTCTCGTATTGCTCGTTGGCACCACCCAGGAGTAGGTACTCCTTGGGCAAGTATTCATAGGTCGAGTCCGCCATTCCGCCCATAGTGTACACATTATCCCGGGGCGAATTGGGAAGCCCCAAGCCGCCATTGCATAACTCTGCCGGTAGCTGAATTTGCTCGCGGGCCTGCATTACAGATGCACTCGCAACTTGAGTATCATTGACACGTCGGGCGCGTGCTTCCAAATCAGCGTTCGTGTCACGTGGGATTAGGTTCAGATAGCTCTCAATGTCTGTTGGAGCAGCGTAGGCCTTGCTGGTCGTCGTCACGATGCTCTTGGTTGGACTGGCGGGATATTGCCCGCGCTCGGAGGCGCTGTCGCGCGGAGTGCTCTTCGAGTACTTTGGGCATCCCTGTGCATTGACTCGTACAGGCCACAGTCCAGGGATACTTGTTGTATCTTGGATTTTTTCCAATTCGTTGGTAATCCGTGCGATGGCATCGTAATATTTGTCTTCCTTGGTCAACTGAGCCAAGCGAGTAAATTCCAGGGACAGTGATCCAATCTCAGCCAGGCCAGCTCGGGAAGATGCCCGATGCGGTCTCGCGACATGCTCTCTGTGAGGTGTCAGTAACTGTATAGATAGCACAAGAAAACCACGGTTGTCATGACTTACGGGGCCCAGCGATAGTAAAGATGCGGCATGCGGTTAGGTGTGTCAAAAGCGCCAATGAGAACCTCGGCGAGCTCCTCGGCTTTCTCCAAAAGCACCGAGTATCGCTGTCCAGAGATGTCATAGGCCCCAATAAGGCCTCCAAGGTAGCGGATGGTCGTCTCAAACACCGGTATATCCGCTCTCATCGACGTCTTGAAATCGATATTCTTGATCGCATCGACAGCCTCAGAGAACTCATCCTTCAATTGCATAATCCAAAGGGTATCAAGAGAATCAACCAGTGTCGCACCCCATCCATTGAAAGGATCCTCAAATGACTTCGATAGAGGCTTGAGTTCGTCATGTCCCTTCGCGTTGTCCTTATAACCCTGCCAAGCATGTCTGAACTCACCCTTGATAGTGCTAAGGCGCTGTAGACGCTCTTGCTTATCTGAGCTCGACTCATCCTTGAACTTGGCTTGCAGCTTAGGAATCGTCTTCGCCTGTATCTTTGGCAGTTTGATCACCTCCGCTGCGGGGACGGGGAACCGCTGTGGGAACTTCCTCCATTTGGCTGCTGCAATGCCGGACTGAGGGCGCTCCACTGCCTTCCTGCCAGTCCCTCCATTATCAGCCTCCTCCCCAGTCGCACTACCACTAACATCTTCTGTCTTCGGTGGGGATAATGTGACAGCGCTCCCCGCCTTCGCCGCGTCCTTCACGGAGTCCTTTGCAGACTCTTTCCCGGCATCCTCGCTGGTCGCTTTCACCGGCTTATCTGTGTGATCATCTTTGTACCTGGAGGCTTCATTTTTGGCGCTATTGGGCCCCACCGGCGAGTTCGACTTTCCGGTTGAAGGTTGTTGGGTGCCTGAGCCGCGGTTGGGATCGGGAAGCACCCGGTTCTTGCTCGCCTCGATGGCGGCAGCGGCAGCCGGGTTCTGAGGCTTTGTGGTTGCGGGTTGGTTTGTGTTTGGGTTTGCATAGGCAGGATTGGGTGGGTGGATGCCAATGGACTCTTCAACGACTGTATTTGTCCAGTCGCGTGACCGCGCAAAGTGGAAGAATGCGAGGAGGAAAGCCGCCGCGAATACGAATAAAACGCGGTATCGGCGAGCACGAAACATCGCGAGCAAGTCACCCTTCTGCAAGGGTGTTGTTCCTTCTTTTCTCGTCGATTTCCTCCTCGATATGTACAAAAAGGAGGAAAAAGGAAAGCGGAAATAGCCAGGGAGATTGGCCGAGTCTAGATGAATCACGAGACTGCAGCTAAATAATCAGTGTTTGCATAAATCATACATCGATCCACATGCGGAGTTTTGTTCTATTTCTGTTGAATGTTCTTTAGGACCTTCGATCTCTTCTGCTGTGTATACATCTCTAAGGTTGTGCTAAGCTAACCCTCTCTATCTTTTCAATACTTAAGCTTACGAGGATGCACGAATTTACTCTTATAATTCTTTCCACATAAGTCTTTGTATATGAACATAAAGAAACGGCTCTCGCAAACGGAAAGATCGAGTGGAAATGCCAAGACCCACCAAAATCCGGGGCCAATGATCGGCGCTTCAAGTTGCAACTAAACGAGACTAGTGATTTATCGCCCGAAGCGATGCAAGGGGAGATTGCTGTCTGATCGCCTTAAAGCGGCGGCAGCCTATTGTACTGTGTAGATGTACCTTATCTTGATTCTGTGTAGTACTCCGTATAGTATAACTAGGAGCATATACCCCGGCATCACCACCTGGGCATAGAAGACACAATCATTGCAATCAAATCTTCGCTAAGAGACAGAACTCCGCATGAAATGGTCATACATCGTAGTTGAAACATATAATCCAGATCTTCGTTGAACACCCATCTTGAAGAGCAGGAGAAGAGAACGCCTGTTCAAATGCCCACATTGGTACGTCGGCCCTCAGTGTTGGCTTTTTGGAATTGCTGAATCAAGCCCAAAACGCCAGCTCCACCAGCGATATCGTCAATGTTTTCATCATTGCCCTGGTCGGCATCATCCTCGTTTCTGCCGAGGGGGTTCATGCGCCAGGATTCGCCGAGGTTGCTGTCACTAGTGCCGGCGCCCGCACTGGAGGCGCCGGTGCGAGTACCGGACTGCCGGGTGGCTGAGCCACGGCCTTCTTCGGACAGAGGTTCTTCCTCGTCATCGATGGTGTCGGTCGATGGGTGCTGGGAGCGTTTTAGTCGGGAGCGCTGGTGCTGATAAGCCTTGATGCGGGTTGCGGGGCGGAAAGCAGAGGCTGAGGGTTGGTGGTGCGGGTCGAGGAGGATGGATGGGGCAGGAGAGCGATGGTCAACCCCTCCCATTGGCCTTGGTTTAGAGGCACCTAGCAGCGACTGAGGACCGAATGTCCCAGGTCTCATGTGAAGATGGTCATGCCGATCGGGAAGAGCACCAAAGTCGGCTGCAGAGAGCGAACCAAGAGTAGGTAGGGTCGGCGGTGGGTGGAATGGCCGTCGGTTAGTTGGCGGATTGTTGGCGCCGTAATTATCCAAAAAGCCGTAGTAGGAGGCAAGCATTTTGCCGTCTTTGGTTGAAAAGTAATCGGTTCGTGGATCCTGTTTAGTGGGGTCTCGGCGTCCAGGCCCGGCCTGGGAGAGCACGTTTGTGCCCTTCTTGAAGTCGAAGACTGCGAAAGAACAGAGATATCCCACACCATCCACGTGCACTGTGAACTCCCGGAAGAAGTCAATGAGACGGTCACTGCATTTGGGCAAGCTGAACCACAGGACGAAAGGGGTGAAGATCATGCTCAAGATCTCTTCCAAAAATATCATAATCTTCATCTGATAGAGAACAGCAAATTCTTTCCGCACATCATCGCTATGCAGCCGTCCTTTCCATCCGGAAGGAAAGTAATGCGTGAAGTCAATCAGCTCGAGGAGTGCGTATTCGGGATCGAAGACATCGGTCTCTTCAGGGGCCAACCCTCGCGCAAAAGCCCAAACTGTACCGAAAATACCAAGATAGAACAGAACAGTCCGATCAGGCGAGATTTCAAATCCAAGGAAGAGTTCTGGGTCGATCACCGATGCAAGAGCCAACACCGAAGCAAGGGCCCCAGAGATGAAAGCGACAAATCTTGCCACTTGGACGGTCTTATCCTTGGGGAATTGATCAATGTAGCGGCTGGCGAATGGATAAGACATGTTGATCCGACGCTCAAAGAGATGCCAGAGCTCATTGAACTCGCGGAATTTCCATTCGGCTATGGGTGTATATTGGCGAGAGCCAATTTGCCCCGGATTTTTCTTGAACTCGTTGAAGTACCGGAAGAAGTAGTGCATCATGAAGTAGACCACAATGAAGGGGGCTACAAAGATATTCATGACGCCGGCGAAAACAAAACGCCGACGTAAGCCATCACTCAGCGCTCTTCGATGGGTGTCTTTGAGGAATAAAGTCCTCAATTGGCCTTGCTCGTTGAAGACATAGTCCATGACACAAAGGTTGAGATTCCATTCCATGGTTCGGGAGAATAGCTGTCGATTCTTGAGAAAGGGGATAGGAAGAGTTAGGTCCAAAATATCCTTGTTGACCAATGCAATCATATAGTTCTCTTTGCGCATTAGGCGGTTAGCAATGTCGTGAGCGTCCATTCGCTGCTTCGACTGACTACCCAGGAACCTTCGATGCCTGGGAGATACTGCGGCCGCGGTAGATGGATTCGAGTCTCTCAACGCCATCAATCGACTGACTACTTCCTGCCACGAGATCGTTTGGACCTCCGCATCGGAGACCCCAAGCAGATAGAGATAGAAATCATGCAGATGTTTGAGTCTGCGTATGTCTAGAAGGTACTGGAAGAGCTTCCCGATCCAAAAGAAGCTGAATAGCCACAACAGAAAAGTGGAAGACCCGGACATGTTTGCTGTGCACTGGGGTACAAGGACTTCGTCCAAAGCTTTGCTCCGCCGGACCTTGGAGTAATCAATACAGTTGGTCAAAAACGTTGAGAAGCCGACGACGAATGCAAAGGTCCTTGTATTAGGTCAGTCTCTTTAGTGGTCCATAGAAGAGAGCACAAGCATGAACATACAAGAGGTTCAGCACCCGGGTCAGCAGAATAGACCAGATCCCGTTCCCTAGAAAGTAGGTATAGACATCCTTCAAAAAGTTGTCCAAATCCTCCACATTCGCCCATCGCCACATCGCCTTTTCCTTAGGGTCAATATTCGCGAGACCGGGGTGTTGCCCAGCGAACCATCTCCCTAAGCCTAATGGACGGCCGCTTTCGTCGGGTGGACGTGCTGCTGGTTCATTCCGTTGTATTCTGGTGGGATGCGAGAATGCTTCAGGTCTAGGAGATCTATGTCGATCCGGACGATCATGAGTTTGGGGAGGGGGAGGTAACCGTGATCTCAAATCCTCGTGGTGGCCTTCCACTAGCAGTGACTGAGGGACGTCCTCGTCTTGATCATCGAGCTCATAGCCGAGTGTTGATTCTTGTGCCATCCATCGAGGCCGGGAAGCCTTGCGACGGCGGGTGCCAAATTGAGGAGCTCGCTCTTCAGTTGTCTTGCCCGACCGAGTTTTGCCAAGGAGTGCAGTACTGGGGCTGATTATGTCGCTCTCCTGTGCGTCTGCTAGTGCATCCTCCAGCTCTCGGTCGCTAAATGGCTCCTGTTGCTCCTCCATGACTAGCCCCGCACGCTCTTCGACATCAGAGGATTCGGATCCGGCGTCATGCTGGCGAATAGTCTCGTAGACAGATGGCGAGCCCGTCGGGGGCAAAAAGCGTGACAATACGTTAGAGGACATCATTTTGAATTAGACTGAGGGCTGTTGTCAGAACTATTGTCAGATCGGTTATGGCAACGGCTCTACAAGCCCGTCAACGTGATGATTATTGGCCATCCAGTGGATACTTTGATAATGCGGAGATATGAGGATCACTAAGGCTCAACGCTGAACGGTAGATCGTATCGGGCTAGAGGTAGGCTCAAAGTGGGCTGTAGATTGAATGTGTCTGGGTTAGCAAGGCAACCCCGAGATAATAACCAGCAAGAGGTAGGCATCTGACCGCGTTGCTCGTGATAACAGTCACCAGGAGCTGGTGATCATTCCCCAGGGCTAATCGGGGCCAGGGCGGGACCAACGATGACATAATTCCCGGCGGCAGAATAACTAGCTAAGTTAACATAGCCTGAGGCACAAAAAGTGTGACAGTCATGTGCCTCAAAAGTGGGTCCATCATCATGAGTCAAATGCCCATCAACTCCGGGTACGATATCGTTATTGCATGGCAAAATCCTGCGGATTCATCAACAAATGACTTGTCTGCTCTTGTTGAGCCTCTGAAAATCAAGGCCCATATTGAATTCCTTCCCCTTTGGCCCGAGTCCCCGTGCAATTCCAGCTTTGATTCCCATAGGATGATAGGATGATCTTCTTTCAACGCTATGGACAGAATAGGCACTGTGGTCCTCCAAAATGACTCCACTTTCGGGGATTTGGCCTCGACTTGTTCTAGCAGAAGACCTGCTGGTCGAATGACTATCCCAGAGTAAATCATAAGAGATTAAGATACTCCATACCTCTCCACCGTCAAAAGTTTGCATCCTGTACAATATCCCAGTTTGGACCAGGATCTGCGCCCCGGCCACCAGGTTTGGACTCTTGCATGTCGGTTGTGGAGAGCAGACCAGAGGCAAACAGTCCTGTATCGATGTACTGTGTACACAGTAGGCATGGGGCTGATGCGATATGTGAGGGAAACGTTTGATATCAAATGGACACGTTCTAGTCATACACTGTATGTACTATGCACAACTTGCATACAACGGCTTCGAATGGCCGAAGGATTGATCGACATCTCAGTACGGAGTACAAACTCTTCACCTGAGTCAGGATTACAGGCCCCATCGTTACTAGCCCCAGAACCAACTAGTCAAGTGTGCCAACTAGGTCAAAGAACGCCACATTCATGACTTCTAGAAAGCCTTCGGTAGTTTAAGACACAACTAGCTCGGAAGCCTGAGAGAAAAGAACCCCCACACTAGAAATTTGAGGAACTTTGAGTTGTTAGCAGTTAGCACATCGTTATGCTAGCGACGTTCGTAGATCTGTTCAACTTCAGTCTTCTTCACAAGTCTTCCCTTAGTCCGATGATTTCATACTACATATCTCGGTTAAAGGTCGGAAGCTAAAAGACCGTGATTTGAGCTACAATATGTCCAACATGATAGTGATATGATAGTAATATGATAGTAATACGTACCTGGGCAAAGAACCAGCTGAACCTGGGTGAACGGATGTATCTTCACATACTCCGTACATCCAACGAGAATAGGTATGAGGTAGGTACATAAGTAGTCATGTCATCACCTTCTTAGTAGTCTAGAGAACTAATACTAGATGAGCCAATAATAAAACCTGGAGAAAGAGCAAGATACATGTGAGAAAGCTGGAGGGCAAAGTGTCGTTCCTCACTATTTTCCCATACAAACCTCAGCTCCATTACCCACTTCTCCCCTCCCCATCCCCCTCTCCCTTCTCTCCTCTCTGTCTTTCGCGACAATCTTCGGATCATCCCCCAATTTTCCAGCATTTTGGGGAGAAAGATATCTTTTTCTCTTCGAGAAGAACTATCAACCCCGACCAGCCCCCGTCCCCCCTTCCCCCTCAGTCTGCGTCCCAAAGCGGCCTACACTTGCTGGGGGATCTGCAAAACACATATACGCACACAAACACCCTACCGCCCCAAACCTGCAGTCACCATAATCAAATCTTCCAATTTCAAAGGGGACTGATGAAGGTATGTGCGCATTTCTTTATTCCTATCCCTACGCTCTGTTTACCCTCCCTCTTGACTCAATAATAATGATATCACGCCCCTCTCAACTGCCAAGTCCCCTCGCTCCTTCGGACCATCACTGACGTTGACAGCGACAATATCGCTGTCGACTGGGAGAATTGGACGCTCACCGCATTCGCTAGGTTCCCCTGCATCTCTCAGACAAACGACGGTGACCCGCGCCTCCTTTGTCCTGGTATCCCATTGCTTCCCACCCCCTCTCTTCCACCTCGACCGAATGTGCGACTCCGATACCCAACCTCTCAACGGACTCCATGTGGTCTCATAGCAATTTCCTGGACAAAAGCGACTCCCAATTGTACAAGCGCAACCCTGCAGCATATACGTCAAGTGCCAACAAGCTAGATCTCCTCACCGGTTGTTTTGAGGGAGGTGGCGTTGGGCGCAATTAGGGATCGAATTCGTCCTCCCTTTCTCCTTATTTACGGTGTTTATTTTGCTTTCGTATACATCGCATTTTGAGGGTGCCGTTCACTACCAAGCGACATGGAGCCCGCTGACTCCAACGCCTTCAAGCGGAGCTCGATGCACCAAGCGCTATACAGTCGTCCAGTGGAACGACGTGCAAGCAAGAAATCATCATCTAGGGATCGACATGGAATGGTCTATCCCGACAGCTTCCGAGATACTACTATTCGAGCGGTGACACCAGAGTCGCACTCTCCAGCCAACCATTCACCTTTATCCGAACCTGAGCATCTCGCGCTCGGCAATTCGTCCTCACCCCGAAACACCGTGCGGTCACGGCCCGCCGACCTCGAGCGTCGTCGGGATTTCAATATACACTCATCCCACTCAACTTGCGCAGGCGAAGAAGATACTCCGATTGAAGCCAAGAACCAACGGGCGCGATCACGGACAACGGCGGCCGACGAGCAACGCAACGACATCGCCTCCCATACTCTTATAAGTCGAACGCGAGTCGGATCTGTTCACACGACCAGTCCATCTCAGCCAAAGTTGCCAGAAGATCCGTCATCTTCAATTGGGTTTCCGTCGATTGAATCCCCGAAATACAGCAGCCAGACTGTTCCCCGCCCTCTACCTAGCAGAGGTGCCGGGCTGGGTGCGGGAGCGCATCAAGATCCATTCACCTCTCCTCTCTCGAGTACAGAAGCCACCAAAATCCTACAGTTAATGAAAACTACATGTGGCAGAATGCATGGAATCCTGTCATTCCGCACGGCCCCGACCACTTCATGGACATCCGGATATTGCGCGATCAACGTCGCCACTGGAAGTCTAATCTACCAAGCCAAGGGGGAGCCAGCATTGGCGAAAACGTTGATCCCCGATTTGCGTGGCTGTCGAGTTCGAACATTGTTTGACTCTGACATGCAAACCACATATTTGAGCGTTCATACCTTCACTTCTGGGCTTGCAATACAATTACGACCTCACGTGAACGAGACCTTTGATTCCTGGCTTGCTGCCCTCCTCTGCTGGCAGCCCATTCGACCTAAGGGCGTTCAGAACAAGATGACGAAGCCTCAAGAGGTCGTGATTGGAGATCGACGGATTCCCGAACGTCGGCGCAATTCGGAGAGTGCAGCACAAAAGGATGCAACGATCATCAAAGTTGGCAAGATGCTTCTGTGGAATAGGCCATCTGCTTCGGGTGCAATGTCGGCGTCCGGACGCCGCGTGTCCACCTATAGACAAACAAGGGCTCTTTCTTCGTCGTGGCAGAAGGTGAGCTGCACGCTACAAGAGAATGGCTTTTTCAAGCTCTACACAGAAACAGATGTGTCTCTCCTGGCATGTGTGCAGCTGTCCCAACTATCTCGCTGCGCTATTCAGCAGCTACACTCCTCGGTCTTGGATGATGAGTTTTGCATTGCCATCTATCCTCAGTATACGGCACACGCGGTCCCGGATTCCAATGTGCGACCTATATACCTCGCACTCGAGAGCCGTGTTCTTTTCGAGGTTTGGTTTGTGCTTCTCCGCGCCTTCACCATCCCAGAACTTTATGGCCCCGCGTGTCAAGAAGAAGATCCAAACAAGACCCCAGAAGCGGAGGGTTCAGGGCCAAGCCCGACCAAGGATATGTTCCGAATCGAACGGTTCTTGAGCCTGAAAATTGTCGAGGCAAAGTTATTCCGCACCAAAGAGGAGGATAACCCCCGAAGTCGAAAGGCGTCGAGATCTCATGGCCAGCCAGTCCCAACCTCCAGGGTCAGCGACTATTACACGGAGGTGCTCTTGGACGGAGAGATTCGTGGCAAGACTGCTGTCAAGTACCGCACCATGAATCCTTTCTGGCGAGAAGATTTCATCTTCAACGATCTGCCACCGGTGCTTTCCCAAGCCTCTATCCTCGTCAAAACTCTCAATCCGACACAGAGAGACTGGACACTTGTTGCCCACGGAACGTATGCAGCGAACCACGACGTGAACGCTGTCAACATGCTGGATGAGATTGAGATCTCTACAAATGACATCGTCTTCGGACGGGTGGACCTACGTCTCGAAGAATTGGAAGCCGGCGTGAGTACCGAAAAGTGGTGGCCTATTCTGAATGACCAAGATCAGGCGATTGGCGAGATGTTCATGAGAGCTCAAATGGAGGAAACCGTGGTCTTGATGTCCGAGGAGTACTCTGCGGCATCGGAACTGCTCCACTCATTCACCAACGGGCTCACAATCAACATGGCGCAGTTGATGTCATCCGAGCTAAATCACCTAGCTGAGATGCTTCTGAACATCTACCAGGTTTCGGGGTCCACGGTGGAATGGATCTCGGCCCTTGTTGAAGATGAGATCGATGGTATTCATAAAGAATCCACGACCAACCGGCTGAGGTTCACAACGAGGATGCATTCGAACAACTCACCCGAATCTGCTGGCCAAGAGCGCGAGGTTCTTGTCAGAGACATGGGAAGAACCGCCACTGTGGAGGCCAATCTTCTGTTCCGTGGAAACTCTCTCTTAACCAAGGCCCTTGATCTTCACATGCGTCGCCTGGGCAAGCAGTATTTAGAGGATACTATTGCGGAACGACTACGCGACATCGATGAGAGCGATCCGGAGTGCGAAGTCGACCCATCTCGCGTTGCCCGCCACGAGGACCTAGAGCGGAACTGGCGAAACCTCACAGCTCTCACCACAAGCGTTTGGAAATCTATCGCGGGATCTGCATCGCGCTGCCCCCCAGAATTGCGACGCATCTTCCGACATGTCAGGGCCTGTGCAGACGATCGCTATGGCGACTTCCTCCGGTCTGTGACGTACAGCAGTGTCTCCGGTTTTCTCTTCCTGCGTTTCTTCTGCCCGGCTATTCTAAACCCGAAACTTTTCGGGCTGTTGAAAGGTATGTAAATGCCCTAGTCCTTGATTATTCTTTTACTAATTATCACCAGACCATCCTCGTCCTCGTGCACAGCGCACCTTGACCCTCATCGCCAAAGCTTTGCAGGGTCTGGCCAATATGACCACTTTCGGCAACAAGGAACCTTGGATGGAGCCGATGAACAAATTCCTCGTCGGTCATCGCTCGGAGTTCAAAGAATTTGTCGATTCAGTTTGCGCAATTCCCGCCGATCGCCCGGTTCCTATTGTCACACCCTCCTACACCACCCCTATCCAGATCCTTGGACGGTTGCCGCCCACTTCGCGCGAGGGATTCCCCAGCCTTCCGTTCCTCATTGACCATGCCCGCTCTTTCGCGAACTTGATCCGTGTCTGGCTCGATGTATCCCCAGAACGCCTCGACGAGTTGACCGAGCTGGACATCAACCTTTCGAAATTCCAGAAAGAAGCCCTCCGGTTGCAGGCACGCACTGAAGAGTGTCTCACACGGGCCGAGCAAGCTGAGCGACCGAGCGGAAATCTTGAGATCAAATGGGAAGCACTGGTGGATTCGATGGAGCGTGCCGTGACGTTCTACGACGAAACCCCAAGTAAACCAAGTACGCCCGCGCCCGAAACGTCTGGATCTAATTCAGCACCGCCCCAAAACAGCCATCGAAACTCGATCGGCTACTTTGGTCCTCGACCTTCCATGCCTCGCCGTTCCACTGACCACCCTCCCGAGGCCGAGGAGGACACCCCTCCAAGCTCGTCTTCAGCTACCTGGGATCCAAGCCGCATCCCATTCGCCATTCCACGCTGGTCTGATCCACGCGACAGCACCGGAAGCTCCAAGAACTCCTCGACCTACTCCCTCGACTACTCCGAGTCCTCTAAAGCACGCAGGGCCAGCGTCACGAAAGAGTCATCGAGCAAGTACCGCTTCTTCGACTTTGTGCCTGCTCCTTCCCGACGCAAGGCCAAGGACCGTGACCAGTCTCACAACCAATCGCACGAGGATCTATGCAATGATATCTAATGCACGAATGTCTGCTGAACGTTTTCTTTTGACTTTGTCTTTCATCTACCTCTTTTCCATGTGCTCATGATTTCAACGTTCCTCCTATCTCCCTCTATTCCCTCCTCTTCCCTCCTCAGACTTCGTTCTTGTTTGATCTATATGTCTATGTTCTTCTCTAAAGCATGTGTCATGGTGTTGATACCCATTCCCTCCTTTGATTGTGTTTCTCCCACCCCTTATACACATCTCCCAGCCCGGCTCTGTCTACGAAAAAGAAAGCGCTCTCCACAAAAGTACGGATCTGGATTATGGGAAGTGAAAAAGACACGATGATTTGGTTTCTGAATGCCGAGGCTCTTTTGATTATTTTCTGTTTGGTCGGTCATCTGAGAACCGCTTGGGTCTTCTTGTGTGGAGGTGTCCCCGTCGTGTAAATACCTTTTACTCTTCTGATGTTTTTCCCCAATAGATGGAATGGACTGGTGTTCTCATTTTTGAACTGCTGGCACAATATACGAATTGCAATGCCACATCAAGACTTCAGATACTTTTGATGTTGAAATGTCTATGTAGTTACTGTCGGATTGGAGTATGCGATAACATGGAGAGAATGAGCCCAGCAACCGCTCTGAACGGTCTCAAAGACCAAAACACATATTGATACAACTGAGGCATAGACACAGACGTTCACATCCACAAGCACAGCTTGCCACTGGCCGTACCACCAACAACCCAGTTCTTGCTCCGATGGAAAGCAGTTGCAGCAGGAACAGCAGTGATTCCATCGCCACCAAGCTGCGCCAGCTGATCTCCACTGCTACTGTAAACATCAACAAACCGGTTCATATTCCCGATACAGAACCGCTGGATCGAAGATTGAGGGTTAAGCTGCCACTGAGGCCGAAGACTAGAAAAGAAAAGTTAGTTAGGGCTCGATCACACATTGACCAGTCAGAACAAGGGACTGAACAACATACATAGTAACCCAACGACCAGTCTGACAATTATGGCGCACAACCGTATCCGGAGTAAACTCCTTATCAGCAAGCGTATGACCCTGTTCCCACGACTCGAACCCTTTAGCACCGAGATCGTAAATCTTCAAGGTATCATCATACGACGAAGTCGCAATCTGCCCAGCAGCATTAAAAGCAGCATGCGAAACAGACAGCCTGCTCTCATGCTCAGCAACCGGGGTAGGACTATCCACCGAAAGCTTGCGCAAGTCCCACAATCTCATAAACCGGTCCAGACTAGCCGTCGCGAAGTAATGCGGCTGAGTCGGACAAAGCGTGAACCCGCCGATTTTCTTCTCGGACAACCCCCAGCTCGTCACGTTGCTGTCTTTCCGCGCCTCGCGCGTGTCGTACCGGCCGAAGACTCCTTGCAGCGTTGTCCAGTACAGTGTATGTGGGTCCTCGGGAGCCATGTCGACGCCGGAGATGGCCTCGTCGATATTTGTAGACTCTGGCGCGTATGTTTCCGCGGATACCATTTTCTCCAGGTCCAGGGAGCGGATCGAGCTGTCGTAGCTGCCTGTGTATAGATGTGTGGGCTTGGACGGGTTGACCATCATCGCGCTGATGGTACGGGTATGCGGCTTCAGGGTTGTCAGTACTGGGTCTGGGTCGTCGTCTTCTTCTTCCTCGTCGTTTTCGCCGGCCGCGGGCTTCTCTTGTGAGGCATCTAACATGCCCAGATGGCCCATTTTGTCGCCTGCAAAAATGAGTGGCTTGGATTCGGTCGGGTGAAAGGCCATGCTATACACGCGCTCTGGTGTAATCTTGATTCCTGCGATCGGACATGCGTTAGAATTTGCTAGAAGACTTCGATGAATATAGTGAAAAAGGTCCTTACTTTGAGGGTCCCAAGATTCCCACAGTTGAAGACTATTCATCTCCTCACGTAGAGCCTTCAAGTCCTTGTCGGTCGTTTTATCAATGTCATCGGCGCCGAAGGTCCTTTCGTACGGCTTCGCAACGCCCTTGGTTATAACATCGACACTGATCAGGCTGTCCGCGGTGAGCTTTTGACCCGAGACAAACATATCGGCCTGTGTAAATGAATCCGTCCGGCGCATCCTCTTGAGTCTATCCGCCTCGCGCATTGCGTCGTACTCATCCTCGGCCTTGCGCTTCGCGACCTCGCTCTCGGCCGCGATGCCCTTGAGGCGCGATGATGTACGTCGTGGTGCGATAACCTCTTCCTCTACCTTCACCTTGGGTGTTGCGCGCTTCTTTGGCTTCGGCTTTGTTCCATTGCTGGGTGTTTTCGGGCTTGCGAAGAGTCCGGAGGATTGTGACTCGAGGGTCAGCTTCTTCAGAAGTGCATCGCGTTCGGCAATATTTGCCAGACGCTGCTTCTCGAAGTCGGAAATCTCTTTGCCGGACATGGTGGAATCGGTCGTGCTTTGGAGATCAGTCGACTCGGGGACCGGGGGGTACTCGGGGGCGTGGCACGTCGGGAGTGAAACGCGTGGACCGCGGACACGACATCATGTGACTTTAGATAGCGGCGAAAAAAGTGATCTCCGAACTAATTGGCTTGTCCTTTTCTATTCTTTCGGAATTGAAGCTGAATTTGCAGAGGGAGACGTGGAATCAAGAGACATTCTTACTTGGACTCAGCTCGCAATACATTGAACAAGCTGCGCAGTCTGAGCATCTCAGCTATGGCGACGAACATTACCCGATTATGCTTCGTCTCCTCAACCACTAGTTCTTCCGCGCCTTTCCTATATCACACTCGAACACTTGCCTCACTTTCGCCTCCCTTCCGACAACTCGATCGTCGCTTTTCGCGCTCCTATTCTACACAGAACAGCGCCGTCGAGATCAACGAGGCACCAGAGACCAGAACACCTGAGGATAAATCAAGTCGGGATGCTTCTGAAGAGTCAATCATCTCCAGCACGCCGAAGCAAGAAACCCGGAGACCGCGCAGAAGCTTCCTGCACCAACGAGCAACCCACGAAAGACCTTCATACTCCAGAAAACCGAAAGTCACAACCCAAGAACAACAGGTTTTTGGATCGTTGTTAGAGAAACTTGGAATCAAACACGATGGCGAGAGTGCCGAGGTGGACTCAACGATACAAATGAGTGAGGATAAGAAGGCAGAAATGGCCGAGCTCAAGTCCTTATTTGACCCTCTGCTCAAAAACCCTATGCAAAAGCGAGCTGCATTGAGAGCCGAGGCTCGGCGGAAGAGAGAACAACACGAAACATACCGAAGACAGAAGCAGGAAGAGGCAGAAGCAAGGGAACTCCTCCGCGAGGAGGATTACGGTCCAAAGCGAATCAAGCTCCGCGATCTGGGCTACTCCGAGCCGGCCTCGAACACCGGAGTCGAGCCCACCGTCACCCTGAGAGAGGCGACCAACATTGTTGTCAGGACCGAGTTTGAACACATCGAGTTCCTCCTCTTCCAAGCCGTCGAGGACGGCACGGGCGATCTGGGCGTGTGGGAGGTCTGCAAAGAGCGCATCTTCTCCATGCTAAATCATCTGGACGAGAAATCCCTCGAGAAGGCGATAGAGAAATCCCTCGAGGTGGTAGACCCTGACTCGGTTAGTCCAGAAGACCAAGACCGACCCGACACCACGATTAGCGGCAGCGGACCACTCCGAGTCCCGGCCGTCGTGCCCGTCGGCCCCGTCGTGGTCGTGCTGTACCCGAAGTCTCTGCTGGTCGCCTTCCGTCTGCTGAGAACTCACTTCCCGAATTCCCCGCTCATCCCGGAGTTCCGGTCGACTATCAAAGAATACGGACGTGTCTCTGCGTTCCTCGGTGCTTCGTCCGGTCTGTACGATGAACTGATCCACTACTACTGGCGAGTATGCAAGGATCTTCCCGCTGTCGTCTCGATTCTAAGCGATATGAATCAGCTGGGTATCAACCCGGCTTACAAGACCCGTAACCTGCTGATTGATCTTATCATCCAGCAACGCCAGGATGTCAAAGATCAGCAGAGCGTGTCGTTCTGGGATTTGCCGTCCACCAAGGATGCATATGAGCAACTGACTCGTGAGGGCGGATGGATGGATCAGATAGAGGCGCGTACGTTCGAAGACAAGGAACGGTGGTCTAGGGCGAAGTGGCCTCAGACCTGAGCTCTTTTATCTGGACCTTGGGGGTTCAATGTACAATACAGGTTACACACTAAATAATCAACGAAGCTGTTCGCAACTTTTCTTATTCTTCGTCAGCTAGTATATGTCCATGTATGCAAGCAATGCTATAAAAGCCCACCATCAACAGAGAAGCAACAACCACTTTTGAAACTACAAACCCCCATGTCCCCCATACAAGCCCCAGAACTTCTCCGCGCCAAAAGTCCAAGCATTATCATCCTTCCACAAATCATCAAAAGCAGTAAAAAGCACCAAATCCCCCCTCCGATGATCAAAACTCCTCCTCAGACTCTCGATAGCCACCCTCTGCCCATGCTTCGACGGCACGGCAACCCCATTCGCATCCCCAGCATGCGGCCACCCAGACTCCGTAATAACAGTCCTCTTCCCAGCCGCCTTAGAAATACTCCTCGCCTGCTCAAGCACATACTTACCCGCCCCATCCGGCCTCTGCGTGGCATCGAAGAAAGCATGACAATTCGCCGCGCAGTAATCACTCGCCTCACACAACTGCGGGTGATCCAGGAGCACGGAGAAGGTATCGACGGTTACGACGGGACCTTCGTAGCCCTGAGCGCGGAGGACGGAGCGGGCAGTTTGGACAGCGCTTGCGACTTCATCTGGGGAGTTGGTGCCTGCGTTGACGAGCTCGTTGCCGATTGCGATTGTGTGGAAGATTGACCAGTCTTTTTTGCCGGAGGGGTCTGTTATGGCTTCGCTGAAGGCGGAGAGGCTGGAGGGGAAGTCGGTTAGGTCGTAGATACCGGCGAAGACGTGCATGTTGTGGCGTCGGGCTGCGGTTGTTACTGTCTTGGTTTGGTCGCAGTCTGTGCCGTAGATGCGGATGAAGGTGTAGGAGGCGAGGCGGGAGAGGTCTGAGTCTACTTCTTCTTGGTTCTTGCAGGTTCGGTCTGCTTTGTAGGGTGAGTAGGAGATGCCGAATTGGTCGTTTGGGTGTTTGGGGCGTGGATGTGGATGTGGTGGGTGTGGACGATGGGCATGAGCTTGGAGGTGCTTTTCCTTCTGTGTGTCTTTGGCTGGGGCAGGGATATCATTCTGCTCGTTCTGGGGTGTCTTGGACACTGCAGGTGGCGATGCTACTTCCGGCATTGATACTGGAGGTTGTTGCTTGGGTGGGATATCTGGAATCGGCTTTTTTGACAGGGTATATCAACATCAATTGGGTCTCATTCGGATCAATAGTTCAAGTACTAACGTTCTCTGGTGGTGAAAGTGTTGGCTTCATAGCATGGTCTGTATCCAAGTTGATAGGCTCTCCATTCTCATTGACCCAGACAACCACCTCTCGGACCGAGGGTGGTTGCGCGAGAGCTCCATTGCATTGTCTCTCGACTATTTCCCATCAGCGAGGTCCCATGCTAGTATGAACTATGATCGTAGGATATTCTCACCCTGTGCCTCAACGCAGACACCACAAGCAAGCAGCAACCCGACAAGGGCCTGAGTAAGGCGCTTCATTTTCCAACTGAGGTCTCCCTGTGGAAGCTGACTCGTAATCCCTCGAAAGTAGGGTTTCCTGAAGCTAGTACGTGGCGATCATAACAGGAGTTGACTCTCCATGTCCTACAGAAAAGGAAAGCAATCCGCACATGGGTGCCGATCAAGCCCATTATATCCAGAGTGGCAGACTCTGGCAGTATCAGATTCCACCTACGTGGCTCAACTGGCGGGGCAGGCAAGGTAAACACAATGTGCGGCCAAGCATAGCGCCACTTTGTGGGGGTGTTCATCGGGAATGGAATCGGGGAGCTTCTAAGTTTCGACGAAATTCCCTTGGCTGGAATCGGGACGCTTTGTCGTCTGATTTGTTCGTTGAGATGTTGAGATGAAGAAATCGGGGGTGGACTGAGAATGCTTCCTAGTGGCGGAGATTGCATGGAATGCGGGACCCATTCTCAGGGGTTGTTCAGGAAGGGAACTGCGGTGAATGTGAGGCGGAATGTCGGCAATTAACTAAGTGATATCATTTGAAGTGTTTGGGAGATCAAGGAAGGGGCTGTACTAGGGTTAAAGTCCAGCCCTAACACATCTGGCGTCTAGTGAGGGATTGCCGGATCATGAAATGAAGGGCCAAGGGCTAAACATTTCATGTCTTAACCTATGAAGATTTTAGCCGGCTAGCATTTCGTGCAGCTATTATAGAGAAGAGACGAACGCAAGGACTGTTGGCACGAAGCGAGACCGTCCTTTTCATGGTCAAGAATTTTCCGCTTTGAAAGATATGTGAAAGACAGGTCCCTAGAGCAAAGAGCCAAGGACAGAAGGATAGTATTAAACAACTAGAACCATGCACAGGAGTGTTTCCGCACCCAAAAGAGAGAAAATGGCGGTCCTGTGCAAGGCATGCAATAAGAATGTATATCGACAAGGTTAACAATACACGTATTGAAGGGGCATTAGGGCGTAGGTCGATGGAGAAGAATGAAAAGCGAGAGCTACCAATATCGTAGGGGGCGTGAGCAGTCATCGAATGTCTGGTCAGGACCAGAAGAGAAGACAAGGGAAGGCATCACTTCCTCTTGCTCATCACCTTGGTAATGGCATGGCGGATGATTGTTCCTGATTTTTCAATCTCTTTCTTGGTGAGGCCGGTAGTGACGCACACCTTCAGAGCTGGTGGGACAACCTGCTTGGGCTGGAAGTTATCCTCGAGAGTCTTCAACCGTGTGATCAGAACACCATTGGCGAGGCACTATGAGGAAATTAGAATTGGGTTTGTAAAGGAGAGTAAGGAAAATAGAAAGTGCAATGCATACCTCATCAACAACATCCTGGAGCAAGAACTGCTGATCGGTTTCCGTGAGCCGCTTGGAAGCCACAACCTCGGGCTTGATGACCAGGATGAGAACGGGGTTCTCAGGCGCGCTGGTGCAGTAAACCCAGTCACTGCGAGGATCCAACTGGGCCCGCAGAACCTTGGTGGTTTCCCGAAGTTGTGACACCGTCTCGGGACTGTTTTGAAGCATGTTGATAGTAGCACTGGCGGTAGTAGAGAGTAGGGCGGGAAGCGCAGCCGAGAAGGTGTAGGCAGCGGCCGAAATACGCTGATGGTGAACAATCTCCTCTGAACCAGCACAGAAGCCTCCACCAGCAACGAGGGGACCAGCCAGTGATCCCACAATCATATCAACCTCGGCGGCATCGACGTTTTGGTGCTCCGTGATACCACGGCCAGTGCGTCCCAGGACACCGAAAGACCAGGTCTCATCAAGGATGAGACGGAACTTGTATTTAAGTCTGAGTTCGATCTGCGGACATTGTAAGTATGAGCCATTGGCTGTTTCGGTCAATGGGGCCACATACGATCTTGGGCAAATCTGCCATATCACCGTAAGACTCAAATAGACCCTCTGTGATGATAAATCTGCGAGTCAAAGGTTTCCGGGCCTGCTCTTTAGTGATCTTTGCGAGCACACGCTCCAGATCCTCCATGTCATTGTGCTCATACCACCGGACAATGCTTCGAGAGATCTGGATACCCTTGCGAATCGCAAAGCTGACCCCCTTGTCCGCAACGATGATATCTCCACGCTTCGAAAAGGCAGGAATCACACTTGAAATAGTCGAAAAGGCTTGAGAGTAGAGGATACAAGCTGCGGTTCCCAGGAACGCTGCCACGTCATCTTCCGTCTTCATGTGAACATCCTGTGTGCCGTAAAATCCGCGTGGTCCACAAGGGCCAACTCCGTAAGCACGAAGGGTCTGAATTGCCTGTTCCTTGAGGGACTCATTGGTGTTGAAGTTGTAGAAGTTGAGAGATCCGAGGTTCATAACGGTGCGGCCGTTGGCCAATTTCGATTTGGGGCCTACAGGGCTGCAGATCCCAGTGTCATCCGTCAGCAAAAATGTCCGGGGTGTCGGGCAGGAGCCATAGGACAAGAGGGGAGTTTACCCAACAATAACTGTTCGCTTATCAACTTCCATCGCTTCCAAACTCGTGGGTTCCCCAACGAGAGGTTCCGGAGTCCATTCATCCACAAGGTCATCGATCTCATCTTCCGTGAGTGGTACGACACCTGGCTTGGTAGAATATTTCGGGGCTAACAGATATCGCACGGCGAAGAGGAACAGGAAGAGCTCGACGGCAGAGCGAATTGGGTCATCTTGATAACTTGATTTCACGTAGCGGATAAAGATTGCGGAGCCAGGAACGCGGTGGAACAGATCCGCAAGTTCGTGAAGATACTCGGAAAGGAGACGCTGGGTCTCCTGGAGATCCATGGCGGAGGAACGAAAGTAGCGCTGACGCAATTCACCTGGCCAGTGAGATAGAAAGAAAGATTAGGAGAAGCTGCGCCAAAAGCCGGTGCTCGTAAAGAACAAGATGAAGATGAAACCGACTCGGCGGCGGCGTCTAGGAGACTCCGGCCCACGTGACCTGTCATGAGTCCCGACTCCCGAAATGAGTCGGGCTCCACGTTGCAGGAGCTCACTAGAGTCACTACTGCTACTTGCGAACGATTCTAATTCCAGCACTACATAATGTGATGAATTCTATTGATATAATTCTCGAAAGCAATGCAATTTAATTCCAGTAGAAGTGTAAATAAGACAAGCAAAGGAAGCTGGAAACGAAGGTAAACCCCCGAGGATGACTAGACCCTTCATACAAGCGTCATTCCACAAACAATATTTGAAAAGCAACCATTCATTAAGATCAAGTTGTGCGCCGGTGAGGTGAGGAAAATGCAGCGATTTTTTGAAACCGCATAACTTTGTACAAACCATTCTCATGTCATGTCGCCGAGGCGATTAAATAGACCACACTCCAGTACCGTCAGATGGTGCCGGAATGCTGCCCGAAGAGTATCCCTTGGGGATGTTAGAGCCGGTGTACCAAGAGACGGTGTCATTGAGTCCGTGATCAAGTGGCTGCAGGAGACCAATTGAGCTTGTGGAGGCCACACCAAGGCTGTCCCAGATGCCGCCTGACAGGATGCCGTCCAATTGCTTGGTGTTCCGAAGAACGATGGGCGCAGCGATGATGACGACAAAGATGACAAGCATGACGAAGTAGAGAATCGCGAAGCGGACAACGCGTCTCTTTCGAAGCTTGGACTGCTTGAGGGAGTAGATGGGAGGGCGGATTTGTCGGCTAGAAGGAGATGTAGTTAGTGACAAGTCATAGCGGCTAGCAATGGAGAGAGTACGTACCTCGGGCGCAGCCAGAACAGGATGACCGAATGGAACTTGTCAACATAGGGAATGGCAAGGATCGGAAGCATGGCAAACAACAGGATGTGGCCCAGGAAGAAATCGTTGGCGAAGTAACCAAGTTCGGTGATCTTGCAGAGGAACTCACGGCCGGGCTGAGACAGCGAGTGCCATCCCATGTTGTACCATTTTCCAGTCCACCATGCGATATTCGATTGATCGTTCTTGAATTCACGCGTCAATGCAAGGGAAATAATGAGCTTGTAGACAAAGCGCTGGAGGGTCATCGCAGCGATCATGCCAGAGAGAGTCCGAGCCCAGTTAAGGGATTCAAGGAAGAACATGGCCAGGAAAAGAATCAAAAATGCAATGACGGCGATGGCATGGGCAATTGCGGCGAGAACAGCACCGAACTTCTTGCAGCACATGCCGAACAACGGGCCCATACAGCAGGCCATACCGAAGAACATACCTGCGACACCAGCGTTGATAGCAATGGGAGCGAAAGCAACGATCGCCACACGAGCGATGGGGTTCGCAGCCCATTTGGGATCATCAGAGTACATTGTCCGAGAGTTAATGTAGAGGTAGGGGATCAGTGTGGCGCCAACACCAAGCAAAGGCGCGATGATCTCGCTGAAGAAGATGTTGGTAATGCGCGCTCTAGGGACGTCACCAGAGCCCTTCTCCGATGGAACACCAAGAAGCTTGCGTTTGTAACCAGTGATACGAGTACGTGAGAGACGACAGAATCCAATCCAAGAGGAAGCATGAGATCGGGAATTACCGCGGGATAGCCAGCGGATGTAGTCGCGGTAGTCGATGAAGAAGTCGGTCCACGCAAACTGATGGGGGTTGAAGAGGAAAGGCGAGATGCACAGCGCGAGCAGAGATACCCAGAACCAGATCAGAGCTGGAGTCCAGACAGTTGTGGTACTGAACAACAGCATGAGCAGGAGACGAGCACCCAAGTAAATTGAGGGAGCGGCAAATCGGGAGTAGAGGACACCGAATGGAATACGAGCTGTTGCGAAACCACGGCCGGTACCAATGTAACGCGCACCTCCGAAAGACAAGTTCTGGTGGACAGCGTTGGCGTAGATCTGGCAGACGAACACCTCGAACATGAAGGAGAATGAACCAAAGTGCTTGGCCAGACGAGTAGCCATACGCCAAACACCTCTCTCTGTCAATTCCTGGACGGCAAGGGGCACGAACGAGATGAAGAACACGATGAAGATGGAAATAACACAACGATTGACCCAGTTGAGGACGGGAATCAAGTTCACACAAAGAGTGGGCACGAGAGGATCCGTAATGGGCAAGTCAGAGTTGTAGCGGCACATGATGGTCTCATGCTTCAGGGCTCCCAAGTTAATCAACACAAACATGAACATTTGCACCGAAAGCATGATGAACATGTTGTTCAAGTGGAATCCAGGGTGAGCGTAGTAGAAAGAGAGGAAGCGATCGAGAGGCAATTGGGTACCGAGATAGTAGTACTCTCGAGACAACATTTGTTCACCCATACCAGTACCAATCTTTGTGGTGAAGTTCAGAATGGATCCAAAACCTAGATCACGACCTTTACCGCACTGGTAGTACTCGCAGTGCTTGATGCGACCTCCACGGAGAATAGCGTTCATACCAGCGTAAATATCCTCGTTGAGGTGCAGTCCTTTCTGAGCCTTCGACACACCGCCACGAGTCGTCATGAAAGTGGCATTCAGGAAATCAGGGTGACCATAATGCAGCTTACCACCAATCTGTGCAAGTGTACGAGCGAACAGAGTACCGAATGTCTGTTCCTTGGAAGCAGCAACATCACCGAGGACACCAACGCTCTCGGAGAAAATGTATTCACGGGCTCCAAGAATGGCAACGGGGTTCTCGTCAGGGGTGGAAATTCCAGGAGTGTAGGGAGAGACGTTGTCGGTGGTCAATTCCTCGAACTCGGCCAGGACACTGCGAATCTTCAAGCATTCTTCAAGGTAGTTGTCCTGGTTGGCGTCGATAAGCTGAATGTATTCACCGCGGTAGAAGATGATAGCGTGGTTCTGGTTGTCAGACTTTCCGTCTCCGAGAATGGGGTTGCCAGAAAGCTGAATTCTGAACTTAGGCTTGCGCATGTTGTTCTCGAGGAGTTCACAGTGACCGTCAATCAAAGCCGAATAGATGCGGGGTTCCTCGCCTTCAGTTACAGGAGGCTCTTCGTCAAGGTAAGCGATTTGCAGATCAGGATAGGCGCGGAGCAAGAACTCGGTGTTTTCACGTTCGTCCTTGTTGAACTTGGCGTATCGCTGCATGGAGACACAGATACGGAACTTGCGGCGGGCCATGCGCTCGAGCTCACGCTCCAGCTTCTCGGAGTTTCCTCCAAACATCTGGACAACCTCGGGGTTCTCAACACGGTACAGAAGCTTGATGGCGCGGCTGTAGTTCATGAAGCCAGACACGGTTCTGTACAGAGTCTGGGATCGGAGGGAGGCCCAAATTCGTGTGCGGAGGGTATACTCAGGAGCGGCAGACTTGAAACCAATGCAGTAGAAAGGAAGATCATCGATCTTGCTCTTCGCGGCGTCCTTCTCGGGTTTCTCGTAATCACCATTGAACTGCGAGGTCTCATCGGCCAGAATCTTGGTATCTTTGACAAAGCAGTCCCACTCGTGAGGGTGAAGCTGCTTCAGATATTCAAGCAGAGTGACACGCGAGTAAGGCTCATCTTCACGAATGATCTCTCGGAGCGACAGAAGAATCTTCTCACTGTAGTGGGGAATCAGAACGGTGAAAGTGGGCATGTTATCAACGGGCAGAGGCTCGGGCATAGGGGTAGAGAGTGACTGAGCGAAGAAAGAAATACGACGCTCTGCCTCACTGCCCTGGGGGAAGAATTCGGTCTTGAACGATTGATCTTCCTGCGACACGAAGAAAGTAGGGGCGCGGAGAGTGCGCTTGCCTTCCTGCTCAGAGGGAACCTGGTGATACAACAGTTTCTGGACGTGGTCGATGGCCAGCAGATGCTCACGGTACATGGAGATGATGATGGCATTCCAAACCTGAGAGATCAGAACTTTTGGCTTGTATTTGATCTCCATATCAGTGGTAGCGAGGACCTTGGAGTAAATACGCTTCGGGAGCCGGGAGAAGATGTTTCTCCAGGGAGACCAAATTGAGACACCCAGGTAGAATGATCGCGCCACAGAGAAGATTGTGTTGCAAATAATGTACCAAAGGTAACTATCCAGGAAGAAGAGTGTCAAATCCATGAAAGCCATCAGGCCGAGCAGGATCTGGGGCTGGCGGTGGCAGACTGTGTTTCCAATGTACTTGGCACCAGTACACTGGTGAATCTGCATTGGAGACAAGATACGAATGGGATCCTTGAAAGATAGCGTCAGGAAGAAGTAGGACTCAGCCAACTTCGCACCAAAGACGCAGACCCACATACCATACGACATCCACATGTCGTTTCCAGAAAGACGAGGGAAACTGGCTGTGAATGTCTGACTGGCAACGTATTGACGGCCTCCCTTCTTCATGTAGTTGCCGAAGAGTGCGCCAAGCGGCTGAATTGCGAAGAATGCTGCTGTCAGAATTGCAAGGACGAAGTGAACAATTCCAAGAGCGAGGCCAATGCCATCTTCAGTCTTCTTTGACATGCCTAACGAGGGTAGAATGCTGAAAATGACGATACCGGGAGCCAGGTTGATGATGAAGACCGCAAGAAGGAACATGAAGCGCTTCCGCAGGTGCTGAGCACCAGCCCAGCGACGGGGAACATACATCCATTCACAGACGGTAGCAAAGATCTGGATCAAGGAGACAAGAGCACCACCAAACCCAACAGCGGCGAGATACTTGGGGGTCTCGGGTTTGTTGTCGAGCTGTTGTTGGTAGTTGATAGTGTACAGGGTCGGAGCGTTATAGGCAGTGAAGAACCAGAAGGCACCCAGGTGAATAACCCAGATACGGTTGAAGTTTGTCACCATGTGGAACCAGGAGCGAGTTTCTTTATAAGTCTTGAAGAAGGCCTTCTTCCAAACCACGTCCTTCAATTTTGGCCACCTCTCAGCAATGGGAACATCAACCAATCGAGTCTTGTCCTCGAAGCTAATGCGCTCGATTCCCTCGGGGTACCAGAAGAGCTGGTTCATATCGTCATAACCGATGATCTTGTTGTGATCATTCTCACGACGCACGTACTTGCCGTCCATGATCTCATAACCCTGGTCTCTGCAGTAGTGATAGAGAGGAGTAATGATCTCATTGAGGTAGGTGAATTCCTCGACCGGCTCAACGCGGGCCTGGCATTCAGGCGAAGTGTAGTAATCATCGGCACACTTGAAGATGAAGCAGATGCACTCCGGGAGGAAACGAACCTGATTGGCTTCACCCCAGATCAAAAGGTACAAAGCAATTTGGCGGGCGCGATCGTGCTGAGACATGCGGTTCATGCGTGACTTCCACCGGTATTCCGCGGCTTCCAGACTGTTGTCTCCCTCCAAGGCCTCGAGGGTTTCCTCCTCGTTTTCGGGGTTCTTTTTAGCGGCCTTGGCGGCAGCCTTGCGGGCTTTCCGGGTCTTGCGGTCGGCCTTGCCGAGCTTCATGTTTGCGAACCCGACTGCATCGTCCAGATCGAGGTGGGCGGCGAAATACCACCGGCGGTAGTTGGCGTTCTGTCCACCGATGTAGTCGGCGTGGATGGAGAGAAGGGCCTGGTTCGGGGTCATGCGGGAAGCACGTGAATCCAACATAGTCATCATGTGGTCGTACATGTTCCTCATACTGTCACGCTGGAAACCAAACTTGTTGACCAAATCCAAGAAGATATCCTCGAGCTCCTCTTTCGAGAGAGGGATTTGGGCGTCGGAGGTCCAGGCGGGGTAAGGCTCTCGCGAGCGCTGGCCCGCAGGAAGGGCGTTGCCATAGTCCATGCCATAGACAGGGGTTGATGCACCGGATGATCGGTTGCCTCCGTAGGAAACCTGGGAGGATGGAGGACGATAGCCATAGCCACCTTGGCCACCGTACTGGCTGTCTGAGTAGCTGTTATACCGCTCATCTCCGCGACCATAGTAATCCATATCTGCGGCACGAGCAGTCTCGGACCTCATTGTGAAATCGCTGAAAGTCTCGGAATCCTCCTCAGAATCGTGGGCACGGCGACCGCGGCCGTGATCTCCTTGTCCTTGGTCGTAGTACTGGTCACCGCCGTAGTACTGATCTTGGTGACCAGCCTCGTAGTATCCTCCATCGGCGTAGCCGTGGCCTGCGTCCGCGCCATGACCACCATCTGCTGCTCCGTAGTAGCCGTTACTGTGATTGTTGTCAGCCTTCTTCATCAAGAAATTCCGCGTTCTTATCTTTCTCGAAAGGGCTCCTACCCTTGGTCGTAGTAACCATCGGCATATCCTTGGTGATCGTAATACCCCTGGGCATGTTCGTCCTGGTAGTACGAGTCACCGTGGCCATGTGCCTGTCCCTGCTGGGGCATGGCATAGCCATCGTCATAGTGGCCTCCGCCTGCTGCGTAGCCCGACATGACGAGCGAGTCGCGATCGATTTAGTGCTCAGAGCTATCAGACTGATGTTAGCTCCACCTGAAATGGATCGAATGTCTTGGCCCGGCGTATATCCAGATAGGCTAAGATGGGTGTCAATCTCACTTCAACCGCGACCATTCAAATAGTATTTTTAATCGGTGATATGTCGATTTAATGGAGCATCGACGCAGGAATATGGAAGCGATGCGGATGAGAAAATGCGCGAGAAGCCAAGCGAAGGTGTCAGACGAGTCTCAGACTCTGTAAAGAATGGCAGGTGAGGCTTTCCCTGTCTCACGAAAAGGAAGGTGCGATGGAGAAATGATTTTTTTGAGAGCAAAGCAACCTCGCTTCAATCCTTCTCTTCGTCAAAAAGGAAGGTGAAAAAAAGAAACGAAAGGTAGCAAATAGCAGGAAAGATGGAGACAAAAAGCGAATGGAAGGGGGTTGGAGAGGGAAGACACGAAAATGCTTGTTATTTTTGGGATTCGGGGGGAGAGGCTGTCTATCGTGTACTGAACAATTTACCGTCATCATACAGGGACAAAGTGTACGTGTCAGATTGTTGGGTACTGGATACTTTTACCCAGTATGGGCCACCCCTATCTTTCCCAGGTACCCATTACCATCCCTTGGTGTACCATACGTGGCGCCGTTAGTTGCAGCCATTGGCCTTTCCCCATTTTAGCCCAGCCTTTTGTGTCTCTTAGACTGGTATCTTCAAACGGCTACTCCCCTTGGATCTGTTCGTCCAATTCTGAATTACCGTTATTGTCCGACTGTATTTACGCTTGTGTTTCCCTGATCACTTCAATTTCTACTCTCTAATATCCCCCAATTATCCAATGACAATGTCGCCCGGGCACTCGGAATCCAAGGGAGTCTCGACGGCCCCTGAAACTTGCCCCACCGTGACCAGCCAGCGTGTAATCAGGTAACAAATGATGTGGTCGGAGCGTATGGAACTTCTGTACTAAAAATGGCTGCTGATCCGATTATGCCTTGTTATGGCGACCACTTCGGTATGTAGGGATGGCCGTTGCACCGGTATCGACTGTTTTCCATTCCTCGTTACTGTGTACATCGGATTCACTTTCTCTATCACTTAAGGGTTCCAGGTACGCATGCCTTCTGTAGTTCGTATCCATCTTCATCGGTGGCAAGTCACCGTTTCCGATGTGACCAGTATCAATCTAAATTATCCATGGGATTTGAGAACATCCTTATAATCTATTCTAGACCGACTGATGATTGCTTTCAATGTGATTCAACCCTATTTTCGCGGAATTACCCAGGAAACCCACATGAATAGCCGATATCAGATTGAGCTCAAACGGTGAGTGGTCAACATCGTGCATTTTCAGCTCTGATCCATGGCTCTCAACCGAGAACCTTTCCATGGACCACAGCATCACCTCCCCATTTAGAATTCTGTCTTTACTTAATTCGGAGTAGCTGGCAATTCCTGTACGTTGTTTTTATTATTCCTTTCCAAGGTTGTCTCTCCACAATCTCCGTTCTTATTTCCCCTTCCGCCATAGTCTTGATCGATCGGAAACTTTCCTTTCCAACTTTGTTTCTAAATGATTCGCCACTCCAATACAACTGTTACAAGTGTCGTCGATCAGTTCTGTGTGTATTAAAATTTGACTTTTCTCTACCGTTGAGGTCTTCTTCAGGTAGAACGTGGCTGGCAAGCCCTGTCCATACACTGTAGCCGATTGTATCGCACAGTGGGCACCGTGCCACAGGAAAACTTGGAAGTGCTATCCCCTAGGCCCGTTTGGTCTGCCACCGCCACAAGCTGAACTCGCTAATCCTCAGAGGCTCAGAAACTCAATTGCCAAGTCTGGTCTATATTTATCCTGAATTGTCACTGAGCGTCCCTCGGCATAATTTGGGTTGGGCATTCAGTGCTATCGACTATCTAGACTTCATCAATTGCACACCTAGTTGTATATAGTTTGTAGCATAGGCAACATTAATTTACACCACATCAATGCTGGCTATCGAAAGAGCAAACATTCGATCGTGCAACGTACGGCGCAATACACAGTACGCAGTACGCCAAATAGAATACTGTACATGCATACAGCTAGTAAAGCCGCTAAAGCGTATTCGAGAATCTCCACCATTGGACCCAGGAAGTCCTCCTGTTCCACGCACTAACTAAGTGGATCGTAACTTGCTTTTTCTTGTTCTTTCTGAGAGCCTCGACCAAAAGGCTAGCCCATCCGCGGCGAACTGCAGCACGATCAAAGCAACGCTCATCGGGTATGTTGTGGCACCTTGTGGCAGCTACATTATACATAAACAATGTTGTGCTTACATTGCGTACTGTGAAAGTATCCGTTTGCATTAGAGTACTTGCACCTTCATCTCCGCAGATGCAGAAAAGGCAGGAACAGCACATCAGCTGCATCAAGAAGGCCGATCTCCCAAGTCTCAGTATCGCTTGGGTTGTATCTTTCCCATCGACTCCTGTCAGTGCTATTATGTTCCAGGTGTTTACGGCATATGTAATTCAATGAATATGCCCTCTGGAGTTAAGGGTGATCAGAGGGGTGGTGGAGGGCGAAAGTGGAAGCTGTTTTGCTGCATATGAATGGATAGGATTGTGCTAAAGTTGTGGTTTTCCATATAATAGCAAATATGTCGGAACAACATATACTCTGGTTCCATAACTCAGTTGGTTAGAGTGTGATGCTAATAACGTCAAAGTCGAGGGTTCGACCCCCTCTGGAACCACGATTTCTTTTTTTGCCTCTTCTTTGCTTTTTTCTGCTCTATCTGTGCCTTTTAGCTTCCCACAACATTGTTCTTTTGGTTTTTCAGTAATTTGGCTTCTTATTTAAATAAACATCAGAGGTTCAGAGATATACGTCTACGATACTCTGTTGGGAGTATTGATGATTGAATACAGTTTACCGTCCCCAACTCCCCCACTATCCCAGTTATTAAAGCAGGCCCAGGACTCATCGCAGTCACAGCAGGCAACATATATGCTACCCCAATGTGCCTCTCCAGACCTTCAGTCGCCTTCCTCCATCCTCTCAAGGTCATAGTTTAGTAGGCAGTAGTGCGGGGAACACGATATTGTCCTACTTCCCGGAGTAGTACAAACCAGACTCCGAGGACTATGCACGAGTTCAGCTTATGCTCCATCATCCATCCCACACAGGGACGGATTTGTGGCCCATTGATGGGTACACTTCACTGCCATTCCGAGCGCCTTCGCTTACTGTCTACGTGTTCACCATAACTACGAGGCCGACCATTACGGCGACGGGGACGGGCCTAGCGTATCGCGCGGTTCTCGGCATCAGCGACAAGAAAGTCACCGCAGGTTTACGATCTGTCGCAGTCTCTCGAGTACGGTCCCTACAAAGTGTTATGTTTCGGAACCCCTTTTCCTTCCATCGTCGATCTCCATACATACATCGGCGACGGCTATATATACGTTAACATGCAAGCCGGACTCCGCGACCGTGCAAAGCGCCATTCCCTGCATTGCCAGTCACCAATTGTCCCTGGCTCACTTTCTCCAACACCACTTGTTGTAATGACAATAGGTTAATACATCATACTCCGTACAGATGAGATGATAGAAGAAGAAAAGGATGGGTTTGACAGGGGATGGAGTGATAAAATAGTGACTTGGAATATAAGGGCCAATGTGTCAGAATAACATATATTCTGGTTCCATAACTCAGTTGGTTAGAGTGTGATGCTAATAACGTCAAAGTCGAGGGTTCGACCCCCTCTGGAACCACGATTTCTTTTTTTGCCCCTTCTTTGCTTCTTGCTACTCTACATTGTTCTGTTTATTTTGTCGGTATTTTTGCTGCTTAGAAGGTTCAGAGATATGGATGTATCACCAGCTCTTCGCGGCCCAACCTGAATGTCATGTGACATGCATATGCCCGAATGAATGGAAGCTTGTGTTCTTTCTTCCATTGGCTCGCATCCTCTTTGTCAACTCTAGGTAACTGTCACGTACTAGTGACATAGGTTTGCAACCCAGATGAGAAGAAGTCACGCCAAGCCAGTTGCTCTCCCGATCGATTCATGCCATGGACTGGGATGAGCGCGCCCAAGCTACTCACTACGCTGAGTCACTTTCTTGGGCCGGGCGATTTAACAGCACCAAGGGGCCTCCAATCGCGAACTGGGTTTCAACATTTCGAAATAATCAACCTTCAGAGCTTGTCGGCGATAGCTGCGGATCGTTCAATTGGAGTTGCAGAATAAAATTCGATGATGGTGTACAATGGATGGTACGGTTTGCTGTGCCTGGCCGAGTGATGGATGGTGATGAAAAAGTTACCCATGAAGTTGCCACAATGCGGTTTATCAAAGAGAAGACAAACATCCCTGTACCATCTGTTATAGCATGGGGACTCAGTCATGAGAATCCGCTTGGCCTGGGGGCGTTCATCATCATGGACTTCATTGAGGGAGAACCTTTAGACGTGATCATGAGGCAAGGTCCTGGCCGGGAAGAAGTTCACTTTATCCGGCTTGACATTAGTGACGAGGAACTGGAAACAATATACCGCCAGATCGCGAATTTCCTGTTGGACCTTTCGGCACATGATTTTCCGCAAATAGGTTCGCTCTCCGGGAACGCGGATTTCTACAGTGGCATTAATTCGAGGCCATTGACGCTGAAGATGAATGAAATAGAGAGTCACGGCGGCGTTCGCGTTGGAGGTGTGCTCTCCCTTACTCTAATTATTACAAGGCAGCCAGCTGACACTGCGGATATCATAGGCCCTCTTTCCGGCACATACTCGTCAGCTACCAGCTATTTTCAATATGTGGCCAAACAAGACATGCAGCATTTGTGGGACCAACCGAATTCAATTGATGATATAGTAGATGCTCGTCGCAAATATCTCCATAGTAAGATGTTTGCGGCCCTTGTTCCCCGCTTCGTTGCCAACAAGCATGACCATGGCCCGTTCAAGTTAATTTGCGACGATTTCCGGTTTGGGAACATGCTCGTCAACAACGCACAGGATCTGAAGATAGTCGCCGTGCTAGACTGGGAATGGGCGTATACAGCACCATTTCAGATGCTTTACTCACCTCCGCGGTGGCTACTGATGAAGAAACCATATGATTGGGACGATGAGGATGTTTCTAAGTACAATTCCCTGCTCAAGGTATTCACCAACGTGCTGGAGGAGGAGCAGCAAAGAAGGGCCGAAGATTGCTCAATGCCTAGTATGGCAGCCTCCATGCGCGAATCGTTGGAGGACGGAAGATTCTGGTTTCATGAACTAGTATACACCTGCTTCGAATCTCCCGACAGCCGGGCCTGGCTTGCTCTCCGACAGCTTCTACCTTCTATTGATGACCTCGCGACAGTTGCCGGTTCTGAGGTTGAACTGTTCGTGAACAGCAAGATGGAGCAGCTAAGGCAGTATGAGATGGAATGGGCGGCAATGAAAGAGGAGCTCGATAAAAAGGAGGCGGAGTTCCAAGCGCTCAAGGCAAGTGTAGAGGAGGATGCAGTCTAGAAGGGTCAACCACTGAGGTGGCCCCTTATGAAGAATTATCAAAGTTCCTCTTGGTTTCCATCTATGGTGAAACTGAAGGCTGAGTGGCTTGCAAATCGACATATGATTGTGACTTTTGTCTAGTCTTCGCTGTCTGGCTCATAATGCATAACTTTCCCAAAAGCAATTGTAATGGGTTCCATAACTCAGTTGGTTAGAGTGTGATGCTAATAACGTCAAAGTCGAGGGTTCGACCCCCTCTGGAACCACGATTCTTTTACTTTTTTTCTAAGTCTCTCAAGTCTCTTATCCATCTTGAAGATCAATTCAGTTTCTGCTGGCAGCTGGACTGCATAACGGGTAGACGGCAGAACTACCCGCAAGCGGTGAAAGCGAGGCGGACGAATGAGCATACAGGAAAACTGGGCCGACAACGAGACACAATTGATCGCGGGCATCAGGCTCCGATATCCCGCATGCCATATATCTTCCATTTACAGCCACCAAATATTAAGGCCATGAGTATGACCGTGATCCGCAGCCAAGCATCGAAAATGAAAAAGCTAACCGATGGTTGTGTGCTTTCTTCGTTGCAACCTATGTATGTAGTCCCCACCGTGACCATTCATTTGCCGTGATCTGAAATGTTGAGCTTATCCCAGCCGCCAGCGAATTGCTGCATGATGAGGTCGCTTTGCCATTACTGCCTGGAAACCTCGCCTATCTGACGGTGGTGGACACGTCATCTCCCAGTTGGTGGAGTACCTAGTAGAGCAAGGCATACGGGCTGAAGGTGCACATTATATTGGGCCAGTGATTCGATTTGATGCTGGTAGGACATGATGTACTATGCAGCTATGGGTAAGTTTTCCTGTTTATGGTTAGGTTGTGTAGTTTCAAACCCTCGGTTTCGACAATTGATAGCATTCTCCTTCCGCTGGCAACTCTGTCAACCTCCTAAATCCTCAGATCATCGACATGATGCGGCCATTCCACGAAGCCTGCTTCAATCGCGCACATGAGGTTGCTGGTTATATGCTTCACACTTGCGCTAGCAGCGCTACTCGTTCCTGTACTTGGTCATCCGCGGTGCTCCTTTTTCCGTGCTTCTCACATCCCAACGGCGACAAAACAAGCTAGTCTCAGTGAGATTGATACCCTCTAGCATATCGACTAGCGCCACAGCGTGTTGATTCTCATAGCAGCCTTGCTTCCAGAGCTTTGAATCCATTCATCGACTTCACTACCAGAATAATTGCAACCTTTGGTTGGTCGACATTGCTGTGATAGAGATGAAATTGGACAAAATCTTTACTCCCAGGTGACATGCTAAGAGATTGAAGTAGAGGAACATTAGATTTTCATTAGCATAACAATGAGGTCTAGATATATACTTAAATATAGCAGAACCTTGATAAGTGCAAATCGTTGCTAACATCACATGATCTGGTTCCATAACTCAGTTGGTTAGAGTGTGATGCTAATAACGTCAAAGTCGAGGGTTCGACCCCCTCTGGAACCAACTAGCTATTTTTTTTGTTGTAACAGCCAGCCCAGCTTCTTCGAATGGCGTTGTGTGCGGTTCAGCCACGCCATTGAATTGGAAGCCGCCCCAGTTTACTCAAGACCCAGAGTCCCAGACGAACGTCCCGGCAACCTGGAGCAGCACCCCATCATTATCGACGAGGAGAGGGAAGGCGAAGACTGGCCAAGGACATACGGGCATTTCAACGTCTGTTCAGCCGGTTTTTCGAGGCTTCCAGGAACGTCCCGAATCCAGTCACAACGCCCTTGACTGCAGTGACCTCTTCTAGAGACGTCCCGGATCCAGTTACGACAAAGACGCCGTCTTTTACAGAGTATCGCGAAACAGCGAGGATAGCATCCCAGACGTCGTCCGAAATGGCTTCCCCCTTATTCCCAGTCACCACGCTAGAACTCGCCGTGAGACAGCTATCGATGAACCACGGCGACGCATCCACCATGTCTTCCACGACCATTCCCAGCTGGATATTGACGATCCCGCGAGATACACCACTGTCAAGCTCAACGAATGAGGATCCGGCCACGCAGGTCGTCTACTCAAAGAACCAGTGCAAGAGGGACACAGTGTACATCTTGCAGCTAGTACAGGAGATCCAGGACCGACGGTTCACGGATGCAGAAGCAGCGGGTCTGATTTCCGAGTCAGACTACTCAAACGCACGATCGGTCGTCTCCTGCCTGAATAGCGGCCGCCGTCACGAATTCCTGGCAAACGCCCAAGCAGTAATCGCGGATGGAACACATGCTGCCGCGAACACCCAAACCCTGCGACGTTTCCACTTTCCTTGAGCGATTCCGCAACGGTCCTACCCACGAAGCAGACCCGGCCGAAGACGCACCAGCCGGCTCGTTGCTAACGCGGCCGAACACGGCGGGTGTTACGCTAAGGACAGATAAACCAAGACGAGGAAAACCGAGCGACCCGGACAGCTCGTCGTCAGACCTCAACAACTCCCCCTCGCGTCGTAGACGCAGATCCCGTGACCCTGATAGATCCCATTCATCTGCCACTACCACGATCCGGAAACTGAAGCCGGATGACGTCCAGTTAATTGACCCTAAGACCATGTCAGTTACCTCTTTTACGAAGTGCCTGCGGCAGGTGTCCAGGTTCTATGGAGAACAGTCCGTCTTAAACGTCGTTCCCTTATGTCTGCGAGGCGACGCTAGAGATTGGTACACCCACTTGTCTGATGCGACAACGGATGCCATGCAGGAATCTATGCAAACGTGCATACAGAAACTTGAACGGCGGTTCAAGAAAAACCCCTTCGAGGCGCGCACCGAAGCCGAACGTGAAATTCCGCTACGCAAAAGAAAGGCATCAGGACTCAGAGAATAGGTCGAGAGGAGAATCATGCTGCTCAGAGAGGCAAACATCACCGATGAACAGGAGATTGTCACCCGCGTCTGGGAGAAACTAGACCCGGTATTGATTGGTCGTCAGAGTTGCTGGCGTCAGCAGGATTCAATCTCCCCTCCTATGTGGCCACTATCTGCGGTGCCTGTGCTGCGACAATTGCCATTGGTTGCCCAGAAGTTGTAGTCGAGGTTCGATTATATTGGTTCCATGCAAGACGCGCGGGCACTTCTTGAAGGAAAAGACGTTCTGTGAAGGCATCCAGAGACCTTCCCTCCGGGCGAACGACATTCATTAATGCCGGGTCTAGCTTCTCCCAGACGCGGGTGGCAATCTCCTGTTCGTCTGTAATGTTTGCTTCTCTTAGAAGCATGATCTTTTTCTCGACGTATTCTCTCAGCCCTAATTCCTTTTCTTTTGCATAACGGAATTTCAATCGTTCGGCTTCGGTGCGCGCCCCGAAGGGGTTTTTCTTGAACCGCCGTTCAAGTTGCTGTATGCACGTTTGCATAGACTCTTGCATGGCATCCGTTGCCGCATCAGACAAGTGGGTGTACCAATCTCTAGCGTCGCCTCGCAGACATAAGGGAACGACGTTTAAGACGGACTGTTCTCCATAGAACCTGGACACTCACAGTACCTGTCTTGACTCTTGTCCCTTCTAGTAACCTTATCAAGGCTAGTCTACGGACTATCCATATCCTTGCTACCAAAATTGATTGCGGCGCGAAGCGTCGCCTATCAATACCCTTTCAAATATCCTATTTACGTCAAAAAAATAAAAATAAAAAAGTAATTATGGTTCCAGAGGGGGTCGAACCCTCGACTTTGACGTTATTAGCATCACACTCTAACCAACTGAGTTATGGAACCTCAATGTTGTTGGCGGATGAAATTTTTGTATTCTGAACCAAAAGCGAGTAATAAGAGTTGGAACAATCCATAACTAGTTACACAGTATTTCGGCTATCGTTAACTATGGAGGTAATCTTATGCTCCCTGTCAGTAATTGGAGAGATGCAGGTGTCTTTTACATGTAGTAATTACACAGTACTAAGTCTAACTATAAGGAATTGAGTATCTGCTAGAATTCTCCCATTGTCCATAGTCCTTCTCCAGTCTGTTACGGGCCCGAAGGAAAAAGAACAAAAGAGATGGCTAGATTGGACTTGGGCCTGTGCTGGGAACTAAGATAACAGAACTGGAGAAGGGAAGAGGAAAGAAGAAGAGCTGCGCAGAAGAACTCCTTTTGATGTTCACTCTCCGTGCTCGTCCCTTCCCTCTTAGCTATGCTTCGCTCCTCCGTGGTGTATGTGGATCGAGGAGATACTGAGTAGGATACAAAATATAATACAAAGTTCGCCTTCCCTTCACTATCTACATCTCTGGACTCATAGGTCTGCTCCCAACCTTGAGTCTTGAGAGTTGAAATCCCGCAAACAACACAAACAGCTTCGCCAAATTTCGACACTGCGCAGCCCTATGGTCCATAGTCTTTTTCCAGTCACCATGCTCAAGGATCAGCCATTTTTATGGCTAATCTTCTACTCCAGTAGGCTTCTAACAGGGTATGAGCTATCAGTAGCTCTCTCGCTATGCCACATACTCCATCAACTTCTAGTCAACATACAGCACCTCGCTGTCGCATCCGGCCAGGCCACAACTCACACAACATCATCTCACCATTGAGATCACATAGCCAGGCGATACGTTAAGATAAAAGAGACTACAGAGTCACTTTCCGAGGCCACCCAGTAGACTTCATCGTTTCCGAGTACCGCCATCTTGTATCGAGAAGTCCTCCGGCTTCTCTCCTAGGGTTTTGAATCCTCTAGTGCATATAGCAACGCGAGAAAGCGACGTTGCCCGTTTTATAAGCGCATCGGACGTTATACCAATGAAGCCATGCTTTGCTACGTGGATCGGTTCTACGAAGCTATTTTATATAGGGTCCCCTTCTTGAGGATATCAACGCGCTGGGTATATCATAGATGGGTTCCATAACTCAGTTGGTTAGAGTGTGATGCTAATAACGTCAAAGTCGAGGGTTCGACCCCCTCTGGAACCACAATTTCTTTTTTTGATGAGATTTCTGAAGTCGGACGAGCTTTGTTGTACTTACTCAGTCCAAAGAGTGTGGCCGTAATCAATGCTGCAAATGCTATTCAGAAGCTGCTCTCTTTCCAAGCTGTGCTAGTAGGTAGCAAGGACGCTTACCGATAAGGAGTAAGTTGAAGCCGACGGTAAACTGGCTATCCTTGCTAATCCTTGCTAATAAGAGGCACAAAAGGAGTCGCGGAGGCTGCCTCCCAGACTTCGTTCAGAGACATGAGGAATTTACGCAGTAGAATCGAAGAAAAATATTGTAATTGACATTCAATGAAGTTTGAGGGACGAGAGAACCGATAGATGTCTCTCAACTTGTCTCAAGGTACAGTAGGAACTAGGAAGTTAGGAACATCAGCCCCGTCATGTGATTGATGCGCCACTTACTTATTTACCCGCAGATCTGGCACAACCGGAACTCAGACCTCTATTTATCCGAACAATCGCCATATGATAACTTACTCTTCGGCGAATTGACAGTCACTGCCTCATTGTACTTTTTCTCCGGAGGAAGCATTTACTAACTTGAGAATGTAGATCCAAGCGCAAAGTCTCTGGGGAGACTTCCCCAGGATCTGGGCAGGCTGAGAGGCTCAATTGTGTCGCGTGACGTGTTTGCGCTAACTAAGGTACCCCCTACAAGAGAAATGGGGGCACGACAGGTCCAAGTCCACCTCCAACAACAGGAAGGACAAGGAAGAAGCAGTACGAGAGAGAAGACGATGTCATTTGGTGCAAGTTGCATAACACCCTCGGCAATCGTTACACACGCAATTGCCACCTGAACAAGGGTGCTACGTCCTCAAATGCTTATCAGCCCGCTCCATACCCACAACCTCAGGTGTCATATCATTCACCTGAGACCTTGGAAGTTGAGGGTGGTAGGCGATAAGTTGTCCCTTGTTGTCGACTTGGCCTATGATTTGGCCTTGCTGGGGGACTGACACCTGAGGTTGTGGGTATAGAGCGGGCTGATAAACAGCATTTGAGGGCTTGGCTCGAGGGAAAAGGAGGCGACGGTCGAATCAGAGAGGGGGAAAAGAAGTTTAACGAATGAGAAAGGAAGGAAAGTGGAGAGTTAAGTGGAGAAAAGGTTAGTGAATATACATACAAAGATGATGATTACAGATTTCTGAGCGTTAGCGAAGCAATCATGCGCACCATGGATCTCCAACGAGAAGCTTTATTCGACGAGACACATGCTGACGATCCCTAGCCGGGGCCAGCCCGCTGTGCTCGAGGAACGCCGTGGCGATATCGAGTTCCGTGTCGTGAACAATGATAGCTCCCATGACAGCTTTAAGGTCGCGTGGAACGACGATACGGCGGTCCCCGATTAGCGTGGACTGAGTTCTACGGTCCATGTAGTATGATTTGTTTGAATAAATGTTCGATTTTCAAGTTTTCTTGTTCATTCATGCGCTTGGGGGTGGTGTACTTTCTGAAATATGGGGCAGGCTAGACTTTTGACCTTCTAGTGTAGGCCCTGGTGATGGCCTACTGCAACGTAGTGAACCAGCAGCAACGAACAACAGCATGCTCAGAAACAGAGATATACCCTCTCATCACGCCATCGATTGGGCCGCCTAGGCCCCAATTCCAAGACTTGATCGGTCCAGTGCGTGTTTTCTGGTCATAGGCGATGACCACCTTGTCACTTATAGCGAATCCGCGGACATCTTTGCCAACCATGACGATGTCTCCAGCGGCATCAGAGCCGGGGATGACTCGGTCCCTCACCCGATGTGCGTACGTTCCGGTAGCAATGGCAAGGTCTGGGAGGTTCAAGGCCACACTTTAGCCCTTGACGAGGACTTCACCCTTTCCGGCCCATGGTCGGAGCTCTGACATCTTTGCCAGCCATGACAATGTCCCCGGCCGCATCAGAGCCGTTTAAACATACCCAGGATGGCTCGATGTAGGACCCGCTTTGTAATATAGGCTCGACAGCAAGAGGCGGTTGGTCTATCGTTAGACCGGCTATCACAATAATGGGGAGTAGCTCCAGTCATTCGCCATAAGCTTCACCGGGGGCGCCATTGCGTGTTCCATCTGTTGGGTGCTCCCGTGATCTGCGCGCCAATAAGAACTTTATGGCTACTACTGAAAGCAGAAGTGACCCAAACCACGTGGACCATTGCCTGAAGCATGGGCTGGACGCAATGGCACAGAGGCAGAAATAGCTGGGCGTTCACCGATAACTGTCTGACCGGGGGCACTCGTGACGGCACGTGGTCGGGGGACGAGAGAGGTATAAATCCCAGCGTCAATCATCACAGCTTCGATCCATCCCAACTCGAGTCCGTTCCATCCCACTTCTTACCCCTTTGCATTAAATCCATCGGACTTTCATCATGAATAGTGCGGGAACTCATACCGTCCTTCGTCTGACCGACCGTAACTCGTGGAACAGCCTGACCGAATTCCGAGAGCGCCGACCATGTGCCGGAAAGGGTGAAGTCCTCATCAAGGTCCGAAGTGTGGCCTTGAACCACCGAGACCTTGCTATTGCCACCGGAACGTACGCACATCGGGTGAGGGACCGAGTCATCCCCGGCTCTGATGCCGCTGGAGACATCGTCATGGTTGGCAAAGATGTCCGCGGATTCGCTATAAGTGACAAGGTGGTCATCGCCTATGACCAGAAGACACGCACTGGACCGATCAAGTCTTGGAATTGGGGCCTAGGCGGCCCAATCGATGGCGTGATGAGAGAGTATATCTCTGTTTCTGAGCATGCTGTTGCTAAAATCCCCAAAGACTCTCCTCTTTCCTATGCGCGGTGGGCTGGTACCGCCAGCTTTGGTGTCATAGCCTGGAATGCTTTGTACGGCGATGTGCCAATCAAAAGTGGCCAGACGGTTTTGTTTCTTGGTAAGTCACCTCCATCCTGTCGATTGCTTGAAGTCTTGATAGGCCCTAGGCGCTAACGCTCATACAGGTACCGGTGGCCTGTGTCTTTGGGGCCTCATGCTAGCCAAAGCTGCTGGAGCGATTACAATCATCACCTCCTTTGATCCGGACCAATTGAGATACGTCAAAAATGAGTTCGGACCGACGCACGCGATTTTCTGCAATGAGAAGAGAGACTGGGCGGTACAGGCACAGAGGCTCACCTCAGGCCGGGGTGTGGATCACGTATTTGACATTGGCGGTGCTGTGACTATCGAGAAGTCAATCGAAGCTGTTGCCTTTGGCGGTACGATCTCTCTCTTTGATTGCGTGGGCCCAAAACTGGAAGGCAACATGCCCGATGTTGTGCAACTTGCTCTGAGGAAGGGTGTGAAGATGCGCGCTGTTCTGCATGGCTCGAAACAGCACTTGGATGAAGTGATTGCATTCATCGCAGCGCACGAGCTTCGGATGCCCATTGAGAAGATCTTCCACTTTGACCGTGATCAGGTCGTGGCGGCGTACAAGTACCTCGCCGGTGGTCAACCCATCGGAAAGGTTTGTGTTGTTTTTGGGTGGTCTGGATCAGTGTCTTGTTAGATCACATCAATGGATAGGTTAATGACAGTTAATGTGCTGATCACTCCTTACGCCAATCACATATAGATGCAGGACATCTGTCAGGCCGAAGGCAGTGCCCCTTGGGATGAAGGCAGCTGTAGAGAGTATATTGAGGATGAACTGAGCGTAGATATCGATGTGAAGCTCTCGGATCTGATGGCATGTATGATGAGACATGATGCAATAAACTACAACTCAAGTTGATCACCTCTGATGGGTGGATCCTAATATCGGATTATCATTACTCCGTACTCCGATGTTGTTTCAGTTGAAAAGAATACTACTACTGTGACTGGACTGTGTAGTACTGTGTTGTCAACTGGTCACACACACACAACAGTGTTGGGTGTACATACCCGTACGGACTGCCAGGTTCTGGATCAAGGGATCATAAGATCTAAAGTTCGGACGCCACAGCAACAAGGTTCCATAACTCAGTTGGTTAGAGTGTGATGCTAATAACGTCAAAGTCGAGGGTTCGACCCCCTCTGGAACCACTGTTTCTTTTTTTCTTGATTTTTAGTTCTATCATTGCCCGTCAATAATATCTTTATGCAGGAGCGATCTCAGGCTCTGATGTCAGGGGGTTATGAAAGCGACGGTCCACTACATAGTAGTTATACCACCACCGTCTACCGGTCGGCATACATACTCCGTATGTAGGTCATATTCGAGAGCCAATCAAATTATCAAAATCCCTGCTGTTGACATCAAACGTATGTAGGTACGTATGCACCTGCTTGAGACAGCGTAGCTTCCACATCAGTCATTAATCTTACGTCCTCAGGTATTCTATTGGGTCTATTGAATGGTGCTCCACCACACTGTGTAGATGTACAAAAGATCGTGCAGAGCTTCCACCAACGCTACCCCCATAATCCCGACAGGCTGCCCTGTACTGATCCCGACTGTCACGGGCCAGAGCCCGCTCAGGACCACTGCCAAGGCCGTGGATCACATGACCCACAAAAAGGGTACAAGAGCGCAAAAGCCCCCGATGTATTTACTTTTCCTCAAGTTTAACGTATGTGAAGGGCTCGAACCGGATTGTGTCCCCATCGGGTTGGGACTTCTTCGTACGTGATGTAGTGCGTTTCGCCAAGTCACGCATGTCGAGATCGGTGCTGATCTCGTGCAACCGGCGAATGACCTCCTGGAAGGAGCTCGGCACCGTGGCACGCCTCGGTTGCAAAGGGCGTTGAGCATGGTGGCGTTCAGGGCGCCAAGCAGAATCTGGCGTTTCGCCTCATCGTTCCAATCCAGGGCTCCGGCGTCGGCAAACTCACGCTCTAGCTGGGGAAGGAACTTGGCAAAGGCCTGATCGTCACTATGCTCAACGCCCTTTGCAACCGAGGCGTGCCGAGCTCCTTCAGGAGGTCATTCGCCGGTTGCACGAGATCAGCACCGATCTCGACATGCGCGACTTGGCGAAACGCACTACATCACGTACGAAGAAGTCCCAACCCGATGGGGACATGATGGAGTGGGACCCGACGCCCCCCTCGGCCACCAGGATCGCCGCGGTGAGGAACTCAGGAGGCAACCCATCCTCCCGCCCTGAGGACCAGACACTGATTGGGAAGCGTGCCAAGTGGGTCACGAGTGGAGAGCTGGAGGCCCGAAAGAGAGATTACACAAATTTGGTATATGGTTATTTGACATAAGGCGCAGAGTTTACTGGACCAGAGCATATCCAACCACAGACTTAAAGGTCTCAGCTGCGAACCCGTCAAGAACACATTCAGGGCACATTTGACAGGGACCATCAGCCAATCGCATATCCGTCGGATTCAAATCACAGAAACAGCGAAGACAACCATCAATGGCAGGGAAGCAAGGGAGTAAGAGATCTCAACCAGCACGGCGATGGAATGTAAATTGTAAGCGACGTCCATCGGCCGAGTTGTCGATCCAGATACCCGGGATTCCAAGCTCGTATGTACCTGAGGTCCTGAGCACACTGCCAGCCATGAGGTAATTCTTCTTGGATCGAGAAGTTTATCTATCCATATCCGAGTAAGGTTGTGTCACTTGTGTCTACATATCGTATACTATGATGGATGGATACCCGCCAGGCACGAAATTCAATACTGTGGGTCCATGTACCTACATTCCATCCGAGGCGATCTCCCTCGTTTCCCGCTCGTGTGGGCTTGGAGCTTAGACCCTGTCACCTTGCGGCTTGATCTTCGGTGATCTCAGATGGAATGAGGAATCTGACATGATGAGCGGAATGAGATGTACAGTAATGTACTGTGTAGTGATCTGTGAACACGAAAATATCCAGAGTTATCTTCAATCATCATCATTCAATGTGTAACTAGAAGTCTTGTAGGCCTTGTAGGCTTGTAGTTGTATGCCGGGAAAGATCCCTACATAGGCTTCTGTACGTACGGAGTACATCTTCAACATCAGGACAAGGAGCAGATGTTTATATTACATGAATTTTGTCATCTTTCACAACAACAGCCCGGGTGGTCTAGTGGTATGATTCGCGCTTAGGGTATTCAAAACCTGAGCATTATTGCGCGAGGTCCCGCGTTCAATCCGCGGCTCGGGCCTGTTATCTTTTTTTATGTCATTTCTGTGTATTTAGTACTCCGTAGTTACAGAGTACGCTTTTATTGAATGACTTGATTGAATTAATTCTTTTTTTGGTTCTTAACGAAATGGGACTCACAGAGACTGCAGTATGACTGTCAATCAACACTGTGATAGTTACAGAGTATCGGGTCGGTTAGCTGGCGTGGGAGTAACTACTAGATCTATCCTTAAACCATGGAACCACCGAGCTGGATATGCACATGCAAGTGGGAACACAAGTGATTTCCGGAAGCATCAGACCTATAGGCACATATGGATATATGTGATGTCTTTCGAAAATGTCCGAGAAGAGCTGCAAGTCCGAAGTGCTGGTGTAAGTCGCAGCGTTGCCGTGCCAACGGATCCGTTGACAAGTCAGACCTCGACCAACTTCCAACAAAACCACCAAGTCCGACAGCCCAACCCGATCTTTCACCTAAACTCGAGGATACACCTTCTTCGTATCCACCATCCACGGTCTCATTGACCGCCGACCGAACCCCGCGGGATCTGCACCCGTGGCCATCTCCCCGATACCTTCAGAACAACACCGCAACCATGGCAAGGCTCAACACAGCCAACCCCCTAGTCAACAACACCCCTCGCAAAGAGCCCGAGGTCACCAAAAGCTCACCGAGGAATTTTGGCATATATAACGACAGTATTAGAGAACCGTCTTCTAGCCTCAGAAACACAACAAAGCACAGCCCTTCCAAAAAGCCACCGCAACGACAAGGGAAAGGTTCGAGCGGATCATTTGAGATTTTCTCCGACAACGATCTGGCGCCAGATAGTGAAGCCAGACAGAGGTCCATCGGAAAGCAACAAAAGCAAAGGACACTAGGACTTGCCAGAGTGAACTCCTTGCTCCTACCCGCGAAGCGGCGGCCTCGTCCAGCCATACGCAGAGAGACTGAAGATTATGACAAGGAGAACGACGTTCCAGAACATGTCTCGGACGGACATGGAACCCCGGAATCAACACCAACAAGACCAACTGCGTCGCAAGCCCCCGCAAGAAGCAGAATGGGCCGCGTCGCCAGACAACCTGTGGTTGCGCATCAGGAAGAAGTGGAAGAAGAGGATCACGAAGCATTTAGCTTTGAAGAAGATGATAGCTCTGATTCATTAGACGGGTTCATCGTCAGTGACAATGAGGAGCCTAGCTCCTATGAAACATCGGACTCCGAGACAGAGATAGAGAACGAGCCCAGTCCAGTGCCGACCCCTGTCAGATCCCCGCGAAAGAGGCTTATTCGTGGAAGAAGACCAGCGCTCGAGCCAGAGCCAGAACCAGAGCCAGAACCAGAACCAGAACCAGAGCAGGTTCATCTCCCAGACGACGAGCCATCAATCGAAGAAACGACGCTGCATGGAGAGCTGGATCAAGTTATTGAGAAACCCAAGGCGGCCTCCCCCGAGCTTGAGAAATGCATGCCGCATCTTGATTATACGTCTCTTGGTGATGAAACCAACACACCTGCGCCGTATTTTGACCTGGCATATTCTCCTTATGCCAACAAGCACCAACCCAACGACCTTATCAAGCATCTTGAGGATCTTGGTCTGGACAGTGACAGTGACTCTCCATCTCCGCCAAGAGGGTCATACAGGTAAGCGATAGAGTGCGCGTACAAGCACTTTTCCTCTGCCGTCAGGAGTTCTTCATACTAAACACATCTCACAGTTCCGAAACAGAACATGAACCGTCATTACAACCCCACTCTACACGCAGAAAGCCGTCACCCGTGACACCACTTCGAAAAAAACCCCACGATTCCTCACCAGACACAGACGCACCCACCACAGTCAAGGCGCAGAAAAAAGCCGAGGCAGCGCGAAAACGCGAGCTGCGCGCTCAAATAGCCTCTTTCAACGAGAACAAAGTTGCCTTTGCCGAGAACTTCCTCCAACACCTGGAAAGTATGTTCGATAACCAGATCACTCGCATGACGGAAGGCACCGGCGGCATCCAAGTGATCTGGACCAAGAATTTCCGCAACACCGCCGGCCGGGCTACCGTACGATCAGAACGTGTTTTCACAGGTGCCTCCGGCATCGCGGACACCGGAAGACGAATTCACCATGCTACCATTGAACTGTCCGAGAAAGTCCTAGACAGCGAAGACAAGATCCTATGCACCCTGACCCACGAGTACTGCCACCTTCTCGACATGCTAGTGACCGGGAACAGAGGCAAAGGTGCATCGCAGCACGGCGCCAGCTTCAAGCAATGGGGCGCTAAATGTGTCCAGGCACTGGACGACCACCCGGTTTACGGGGGCCGCGTGGCGGTCACGACGAAGCATACCTATGAGATCAACCACAAGTATGTGTGGGCCTGTGAGGCTGACTTTTGTGATTTCAAGGTCGGGCGTCACTCCAAGAGCGTTGATCCCACTCGTCAGTTTTGCGGTCGTTGTAGAGGCACTCTCCGGCAGATCAAGCCTGTGCCTCGGGCTGTTAGGGCTGTTTTGGTCTGATGTGGAGGATCAATGTTGGCTTTACCATCTATGGCTGGTGTTGTGTTTATATATTGGGGCATAGCGCGGTTTAATGATTTAATGTCTGTGTTGAGATGTTCAGAGCAATAGAGTCGCATCAACTAGCATCTTTTATTACTGTACTCCCGTCGCAGACATAGGTATTTGATGTCCAACGTTTCAACTCCCAGCTTAAGCTACGAAGCTTAGCCCAGACAAGCGAAAAAGCAAGTGGATCAAATAAACTACTCCGCTAAAAAACAAGCAACCAATTGAAACAACCCCAACTCTTCAATGTGGGCCAATCACTCACAGTCGCTTGGATAACTTCACTGAGGCAAAACGCCCCCGATCCACTCACCCGAACCAAACAAAGCCCTCGAGATGAGGACCCTCAATTGCGCCAAAAAAAGTGAGGCAAAAAGAAAATCTTCAACGGTAGTCAGGTAGAACAACCATTCCATACCATCCCATACCAACTCCCAAGCGCAAATCATGTCCCAACTCGTATACATCACCACCGAACCCACCCAGACGCACCTAGAAACCAAAACCAACCCAATCTGGATCCACCCACACCTAATCGAAAGCACCGACCCGATCAAAGGCCGCCAATTCCGCGTCTCAGCACCGATTCCCAAGAACACCGTTCTCCTAGTCGACCGCCCATACAGCATAATCCCCGTCGTCGACAACCCAACCGACAACGACGACCTCATCTGCAGCAATCCTGCCTGCAACAGGCGCGCACCGCGCAACACCCGGAAAACATGTCCGAATACCTGTCTGGGAGATGTGGCGTGGTGTGGGAGTGTCTGTCGGGGGAAGGATAGTCTGCGCCATGGGTTTGAATGTGGTTGGTTGAAGAGGTATGCGGTGTCTATAAGGAGCAAGTATGGTGAGTATGATTTTGGGATGTTGTGGATTATTGTGAGGTTGCTTGCTTCGAGGCATTGTCAGCGTTTGGACTTGGATTCAGGCTTGGAATTGGACCCAGGCTTGAAGTGCAATGGCTGGAGGGGAATTGAGTCGCTGTGCGGGTCACAGGAGACTTGGCCTTGTGATATGGTCAAGTCTTGGACGGGGTTTGTGAAGAGGTATTTACTGGATGGGCCACTGTTGCCGCATGGGATGAGTGCGGAGCAGGTTTTGCATGTTATCTGTCAAGAAGAGGCGAATTCTTTTGGTCTTTATCCTCGGGAGACGGGGCGATTCCCTGTTCCATGGCCGGTTGTTGGTCGTGGGGTGCAGTATGCTGGTGCTGTTTATCCTACGGCGTCGATGGCGAATCATTCTTGTTGGCCGAATGTATGTGAGATTTGTATTTCCATATATGAAAGGGGAGAGAGAGTATATGCTGATCTGCTGTGTAGGTTGTTCATAAAGCTGATGAAAATGGACATATGGTCTTCACTGCTTGTCGTGATATATTCCCCGGCGAGGAGTGCTGCATTTCGTATTTTGATCTGGCAGAGTATACGGATTTGACTTCTCGTCGTGAGCGTCTGAGGGAATTGTTTCGGTTTGTTTGTCGGTGTGAGCGATGTGTTGATGAAGAGCCGGAGGAGGTATCAGAATGGATTGACATGGGTGGATTTATGAGTTAGACATAGACATAGACATAGACATAGATATAGATATAGAGCATTATACCATGCATTACTCGGATATACAAGAGAGAACGTGCAGCTATTGAGTTCATTTCTAGTCACCTGGCCAGGTGACATCTACCTACTCTTCCAAATCAAACAAACAACCCCCAATCACAGACCTCCAACCTCCCAACCATCTCCCCAACCGTCTCCTCCGCAACAACCTCCTCTGCCGACAGTCCCATAGCATTCCCACTCTTATCAAACTCCTCATGCGGCACATTGAAGAAAACCAACAAATCTGTCTCCTGGGCCTCAAGCCTAACAAGCAAGTAATGACAACTTGTCCTCGAAACCCTCGGCAAACCCCCCTCAAGACCCGCCGCAGCCCCCTCCGCCGAAGCAGGGATGCGAGCCTCCGCACCCCGCACCGGCGCCGTGAAAGAGACAATCCCGCAGTACGCCGTCACAGGAGAGGGCGTGGAGGCAGCGAGCCGGACATCGACACGCTGCGGCGGCTTGATAACCTGCATGGTATCGCCTTCGTCGCAGAGGTCGTGTAGGTGGTAGAGGGCGGCTGCTTGGTCGATGATTTCTGGTGCGGGGGCGGTGGGTGCTTGGTTGTTGTTAAGTGCAGCGTAGGTTTTTAGGGCTTCGTCTTGGGAGACGCGCTGGTTTATTTCGATGATTAGGCTTGACAGGGTTGTTGGGGAGAGCCAGAGTTCTTGGTGGTCTGGGACTTCGCGGAGAGTGCTGGGGGTTTTGTTAGCTGGTTACTGTTTTTGGGGCTGTTTGGGAGATATGGGGTATAGTTGGATTCGGGGATTGAATGGAGGGAGAGATTGATACATGGGAAAGTGTTATACTGACCTTGAGTCGATCCAGCCTTGCGGCACGATGCCTCGAATGGCCCCGCCGAAGAAAGCTTGCTCGGTGACTTGTGGCATGGTGGATGCGGTGTATTGATTAGACTTGAAAATAAGGCGACTTGACTATTGCTTCTTTTCTTTTTGCGGGGCTGTTGCGCTGATTTATAGCAAGTTGTGCGAATGCGAACTCTTCAAGATGAGCTGCCAAGAGCGGATTGTCTCTCCGGTCCTCTTTGTTCGCTGGGGAAGCTGATGGTGAGACAGAAGAGGATGGAGATGAGATCAGAGAGTGAGACAGACTATGATCTTATATTAATCTCAAGGTCTGATCAGTTCTAGGTTGACGTTCAGCATTGAGGCAACAAAGTGCGGGCGGGTGTTTTCCGCCCAATGACGTTTGGCGGGCTCGGGAATATTTGCTACTAATGTTGCTACTAGTTAACTACAACAATACATACTAGCTACATTGATGAAGGACTTTTGAGTCATGAATTATGTGAGTCAAGGAAGTGACTCATACAAAGTGTTGTTCATTCAGCTACGTGTCGAAATTGGCAAACAAAGAGAGAAATCTGTCATCGTCATCCTCATCTGAAATGACGGATTCATCGATCAAAGAGCTCTTCCACATATGGATCAAGCTCGATCAGCTGAAACTGATCGCCCCACTGATTTCGGAATTCCTTTCTGCGATACGCATAGCTCGTACCCTGAGCGAAGCTGACCAGCTCAACTTTCCACCTGCGTCGTAATGCACGCTCAACCATTTTCATGAAACCGCCGGAAAACTCCGCCGCTGCTGCGTCTCCGGTCGCCAGAACAATCGTTGCTGGCTTGTCCGTGTCAATGAGGCTCTCAAGCATCTTCAGGTGTAGAATTTCGTCTACACCCTGTTCGACCCGTCCAGGGGCGGCGACCGTTTCAGGACCGCCGATTGTCCCCTTGCTAGGGAGGCCATCTTTCCAGACCTTCTCTAGACGAGGTGTGCCGGACTTCTTTTGGACACGCTCAAGGATATTTGTTTCGTAGCCAAGACTCTCCGCTTCGTCGATGGAGGGCAGTCGATCGGAACCGACCAAGACTCTCTTGGCGGTTTGACGACCGCGTTCCATGATTAGCGCCAAATTGGAGAAGGACATGTGGATGCGACGGATACGAGTGGAGAGGGGAATGCTTCGAGAGGCTTTCACAGCGTCGTGGAATCCCACCAGGATCTGAGATGGATTAGCTATGAAGAAAAAGATAAAGGGTAACTCAAACATACGTTTGACATGTCAATAAAAACATGAATTGGAGGGGAGTCAATGCCCTCGCTGGAACCTGTCAAGGTCTCTTTCGAACGAGAAACGATTGTGGCATACTCAGGGAAATCATCAAGGAGTCTGCGCACCAAAGCGACTCTCCGCTCGATGGATGACTTGTACAAAGTAGATCGAACATGAGTGCCTCCAGCAAGGCCTTTGATAGTGTCGGCAGTCAATGTACAGTCCGAATCATCGTATGAAGAAGGCGGAGTATCATAGCGGTTATGCTTCGCTTCAGGGGTGCCCACTTGGGCAGGGATGAATGCGAATGCATCCGTTGTCGCACACATAGGAGGATCAAAAACAAGGCTTGTGTCTGAGTCTACACCGGCACTACCTTCCGAGGAAAACGGATCATTTCGGGAAGTCTTTCCACGGGACCGGCGCTTGGATTTCGCCTTAGGTGTGTCACTTAGATCACCGGCTCCGGCAATCGGTTTAGCGGGTGTTCGTGGAATATCAAGTGGCATATTCACACTGGCATTCTTAGTATTCTCAGCGAGGGGCTTGTGGCCTGGAACGCGCTTCAAAATAGTGATTGATGGAGAAGTTGGCACATGGTTAGTAAGACCAGAAAACGAGGCACCTTTGCTGGACTTCTCAATCAAAGCAGAAGGGACTTCATCAAGTGGTGGTTGAGCCATGTCCAGCTCAGACTTAGTGGTCACTGAAGGTGATGCGACACTGGTGGGAGCAGATTCTCCATGTAAAAGCTCCCAGACTGCGCTGAAGTCACCTAGCCTGGGAAAGCTTCGTTGCGATGAGGGCGACATGATTTCTCGGGTATGGCAAGTAGGATGCTTGGTTTCCTCATCAGGAAACGACGGGGTGGAATCTTCATGGTGGCGAAAAGGTTCGGAGGTGCCCTTGTAGGTGGGCGACCTCAGTAGGTCGTGTACCCCGGAAAAATCCCAGTTAGAGAGTACAGGGGGATCGGATGCAATCATTGCTGGCTATTGGAAAAAGGAATAGTGAGTGTGAAACGGCTTTGTGACGCAGTGTTCGGAATGAGGCAAATAGAAGGAGGAAAGACAGATGTGGGTTTGGTAAGATGATGTCCCGGCTGATGATCATGGAGAATCAGATGATGATGCATGAAGAAGAACAGATCTTATCCACATCGTGAGTCAAACAAGAGGATATGGGTAGGGAGTGAATGAGGTGACTGAAGATGGACTGCCCAATGCCCAGTGCCCGAGGTGACAACAGGCGGTGAGGGGTTCTGCCATGCTTATCTTATCCACTTCGGAACTTAGGCTGATTTGTCACGTGCTATGAGATCTCGGAGTCTAGGACAAATCAATTTAGACTAGACAAAGGACAAGGGTCATGTGATCGAGGAGGTGATTGTTTGTTCGTGCCTGAGGAACATACCTGATGAGCATAAAGGCTCCTCTCAGATGGTTGACTTTCTTTTTCTTTCTCTTTCTCTTTCTCTCTTCGCCTTTAGTTTTCTGAATAACAGCACTCTTTCCACCAAAGACTTGGCTCATAACAGATTTACCTCAGTCCCCTCAGACTACCGCCTTTGATTCTGCTGAATTTATGAAAAATTCTGACACGCTATCCCGGGAAGCTTCATCAGCCTGTACGGAGTAGTCTGAGCTACAGACCCCTCTGTAGATAGTCTGTCCCCTGTTGCCGCTTTTCACACCTCCTCGGTTGTGATCACTGATTTCCAGACACAGTGCTGTGGCATATCTTCAGCTCCGGCGGGAAATCGAACAGCCTGGAGACCCGGGAGATGGACGGGCAGCGACTTCACAGCAGGGAATTCCTCACGAACGAGATCACCGAGTATCTGGAGGGCCGGTACCCGTCAGCTGCCTGTCCTTCCCCGACCTGTGGGATGGATGCAGGGTTTTTGCGCACGCTCGGTGCTGTGTCGTCGCCGTTATGTACCGGCTTGTAGTTGATTACGGGGTGTCGCCCGTTGGATCGCGGCCCGTGGGCCATGGACAACACGTGCAGTTAGCTGAGGGCCTATTTGAGTACAATGCTGCTGCCAAAAGCCGGGGTGACCCCATATATCTGTATCAAGATATGCAGCACTGTGTCTGGAAATCACAATCGAGGAGGTGGGAAAAGTGGCAACATGATGAGGCACCACAGCTCCTTTCCTTTGCCCAACTCTGTTTAGGATGCCATTGCATCTGAATGACAATTTGACAAACGTTACACTGACTGGCAGAGACACTGCTCAGAGTGAGAGTTGAGCTTGGTCCAGGGTCTCAGGCCCAATACATCCATCGTATTCGTATGTAACTAGATCTATGGCACCTGCCAGAGTACCCGCACCTTCCAATGGTGTACACATCGCCTACAACATGGGTTGTACCTGCCAATAAAAGACTCTGTTCACGATAGCAAACAAAGACAACGTCATGTCACCTAGAACTCACCGTGAGACCAAACAGGTCTATATAATCCCTATCCTTTCCCTCTTCATCTCTCTTCCTTCAACAACTTCTACTTCATCCATCAAACCACACAGTTGACTCTACTTTCAACCAAAAACTTCCAAACATCAATCAATATGTCTGACGCCGGTCGCAAGGATTTCTCCACCAGTATGTGACACTGCTTTGCCTGACTGCCAAAAATGGCAAGACGCCGTTGCTAACGATTCCTTCCCACAGAGGCCAAGGAGGAGGCCACCCCTGACTTCACCAAGTCCACCCAGCAAAAGGTCAAGGAGACTGTTACCGACACCGGTGACCGCGTTGCCCGTGGCTTGCAGACTGATGACAGCAAGGGTGCTGGCCAGGAGACTTTTGACAAGACCCAGCGCGCCAGTGACAATGAGGCCCACGGCGGTGCCACCGGCTCCATGTAAGCTATGCTGTTGCCGACAAGTCAGTGCCATATACTAACAATCTTCAGTGGTGACAAGGTCAAGGATGCCCTCGGCTTCGGTGGCAAGTAAGTGGTCAGTCTCCCTTGAAACTGAGTGGTTCCAGCATGGCCATTCTAGAAGTTCGAAGGCAGTGCTACTCTGACGAGACATGAGGTGATGATACAATTTGCTTTTTCATTCCGGGAGAACTCATCCTAGGAAATTGATACTTTTCAATTGAGGGAGCTTGCATCCACCATAAACACAGTAGACATAATGTAGCCTTAAATTGATACTGCAATAGTGTATACAGCTAAGTTTCATGCTTCGGTTCGAGACTTCTCCAAGATTTCTTTGATTATACAAGCTCATTCTCTCCGGACAGCTGAATCACTGGTTGGGAAACGAAGACGATGTCTCACAAGCGCGAAAGAAGAGCAGACATCAGCGTGGCTTGACTATACTGCCGAGCATTGAATCTGCCGCTTCACCCGTGCAAGCTCACGCTCTAGCTCTTTATATCTTGACCGTGCCCCTGGTGTATCCTTGGGTAGATCATGGAAGGCCCTCACGCGGCCCTGCAGCGATTTGACAGTTTCTCGCATGCTGACAACGTCCTCCTCCTCCGCCATCAACTCCTCAATAGTGGGCCCTCGGGGCTGTACTTTTTCCAGCGAAGCAATGCGATCTTGGTACTCGCCGACCTTGATCGCAAGCGTCTTAGAGCCGCGTATCCACTCCGACGTTAAGCTCTGCGTGTCGGCAGATGTCTCGTATGCCACGTCGGTCTTCAACCGCTCAAGCTCGTTTTGAAGTCGCACCAGCTCCTGCTGAAGATATCGATGCAATGCGTCGACCTTTGCAAGTTGTTCCTGGGCCTCGAACTCCTCCACCGTGAGCTCCACAATTGACTGTCCCAGATCCCCCGGGCTCGGATTCAAAGTATTTCCTAGCGCTACTGCAGACTCGGCAAGATCGTCTAGATCACGCCTTCCTGCATCATCTAGACACATCTCTACTTCATCAAGAAGTTGATTCTTTTGTTGTTCGTGGGGATCTTTGCGCTCGAATTCTTCCCGTAATTTGTATGCCTGGATAGCCTCTTCGCGCGCTCGCTGCTGTAGAGCGGCTTCATCATCTGCAGCATCGTTTGCTGCAGCCAGAGTCAGGAGGACGCGGAGAGTATCCTCGTTGCGCTCGAACTTGGGGACCGGCTTGGGCGCATATTGTCGACTAAGCCAGGAGTTGACGTATGCCCAATCCTTGGCTTGAATTGCAGCCTGGCGGGCTTTAGCTGGTGATAGGAGTGGACTGTCCATCTATTCAAGTAGAAATGTATGTCTGGCGAAATGAAACAATTCAGGGGAGGGAAAATAAACAAAGTAATGTTTTGACGATAAGATAACACGAAGGCGGTCGATGCGCCAAGTGTGAGCTTGTCCTCTACTTCCCCCACCGAACTCCCACGGGGTTACTCCAAGGACAATGACCAGCTACTTTCCACCGAGTGGCAGCGCCGGCGATGGTGCCAATGGCCAAACCGTGTCATCGCTATCACCCCCGCCAACGCAGCGCTCGACCGCCCTCACCAACCGGCTGACAACCGTTCTATCGGCATCGTATGCGGACTCGGACATTCGCGATTCCCTCGAGACTTTGAGCTTGAGAGGTATTCATAATTCTGAAGAAACGCATCGGCAGCTACGACTCGATGTTCAAAAAGAAGTTGTTGATTGCAATGCGGAAATTGTTAAAGACTTTGGAAAAGTGGCAGAGGTGAGACCTTCATGGCTCTGGAGATCTCAAGAGGAATTCCAATTACTAACGGCTACAGCAATTGCAACGGATTGGAACGGTGGTTTCAGCCCTGAATCAAACGTGCGACGATATGCGCAAGCGAATCAACCTGGCGAAGCAGGATACCACGCCGGTGCTCGAGGAGGCTAGTGCGCTGATGGCGCAAAAGAAGGAAACCGAGACCAAGCAGCAGCTGCTGGAGGCCTTTTCAAAACACTTCCTGGTTCCGGAGGAGGATATATTGGTGTTAACGTCGGCCGAGGAGCCCGTTGACGAGCGGTTCTTTGACGTGCTAGCTCGCGTTAAGCAAGTGCACCACGATTGCGAAGTCTTGCTCGGCGGTGAGAACCAGCGATTGGGCCTAGAGGTGATGGAACTGAGCACCCGAAGTCTTAATTCGGCATACCAGAAACTCTACCGGTGGATTCAGAAGGAGTTCAGGTCTCTGAATCTCGAAGACCCTCGCATCAGCAGTTCAATCCGCCGCGCTTTGCGAGTGCTGGCAGAACGCCCGAGTCTCTTCCACAACTGCTTAGACTTCTTTGCGGAAGCTCGGGACTATGTCCTGTCTGATGCTTTCCACTATGCATTGACTGATGCTGTTTCTGGGTCAAATGGGCCTAACGTGAGTGATCGTACTGTTAAGCCGATTGAGTTCTCGGCGCATGATCCCCTACGCTATATTGGTGACATGCTTGCGTGGGTGCACTCTACAACGGTGTCGGAGCGAGAGGCCCTTGAATCGCTGTTTGTGGATGAAGGGGATGAGCTCGCCCGGGGAATACAGGCCGGCCTGAGTAGCGAGCCTTGGTCGCGCATTGATGAGGAACAAGAGGTCACCTTTGATGGCCAAAAGGCACTTAGTGATTTGGTCAACCGTGACCTTACAGGAGTGTCTCGATCGCTACGACAAAGAATCGAGCTCGTAATTCAGAGCCATGAAGATCCTGTGACTTGCTTTAAGGTGGTGAACTTGCTGTCCTTCTACCGCACAACCTTCACAAAGCTAGTTGGCGCACAATCTCAATTGGTGGACTTGATGCAGAACTTGGAGAAGTTCACGCTGGGCCACTTTGAGACTTTGATGCGCGACCAAATCAGCGCCTTGGCAGGCGACAATGTTGCCCTAACGCCTCCCGATGACCTCTCACCCCCACAATTCTTGCTAGATGCATTGGAAACCCTGGACGTGCTCCTGAAGACACATGAAGCGTCGGTCGGACCGGAAGATGCAGACTTGGACGAGAACAACGAGAACTCGTTCACCTCTGTGCTCCGGGCCGCCTTCGATCCATTCTTGACACTAGCCCGGTCCTCATCCGACGAACTCAAAGATACAACGGCGCAGGTCATCTACCGCACTAACATACTCCTTGCAGCCCGTGAAGCTGTGTCACCTTTCCCCTTTGCCAGTTCCACGCACGTTCCTCCTCTATCTGCAGCATTATCAAGCCTACGCAACGACCTCCTCGCTACCCAGCACCAATTCCTGCTCGAGCATTCTGGCCTCCAAACGCTCTTGGATGCCCTGAAGCCTTTCTCCAAGACAAACAAGGACCCTGAGACCACCGGTGATGATATTGAGAAGTCAGATCAGCAAAAGCCACACCTGGACGACCTGATCAATCTCCCTGCATTCCAACCAGAGGCCTTGATTACATCCAGCCAGCAGCTAGACGACTTCCTTCCATCTGCACTGATGGACGCAACTGACAATCTCAAGCGTGTGCAAAGCGTCTCTCTTATTCAAAGCGTGACCGAGGATGCAGTCGAGGCATTCTGCCGTGACTTCGAGTTCGTCGAAGGCATGATCATTGCCGCCGATGAGACGAGAGGGTCCAATGCAGCCACTGGCACTGGGGACAGTGGCAGATTGGATGACAAGGCTAATGCGGGCCAGGAGGAAGATCAAGAAGAGGGAGAGGATGAGGAGGATGAACAATGGAGTTTGAGATCGTTGTTCCCCCGGACCACAGGGGAGATCCGGGTGTTGTTGAGTTGATTGGTGATGTCTGTACTTATCTATACCACTATGTATCTCGATCAACAAAGCAAATGAGCTGCAAGTCAGTATTACCAAGATCTCAGCGGCTCTCAAATGAACGTAGACATGGTGCAGAGCCATGAATGCTTGGACATGTGGACCTACTGTGCCACATAAACCCACTTCCCCACCACAAGGGGGTAGTCTGCATCATTCCCACCAATAAGAGGATGGCCTCACCGGAAAATGGGGAAATTAAAAAAAAAGAAAAATGTACTGCGTATTCTCCCTTCATCGAAGATGAAAAGGATTCATCATGAAAAAAGAGAAACAAAAAGAAAGCTCAAATCGAGAACGATCGGAATCGAACCGGACACCAAAGTAGTGGAAGATCTTGGGCACTTCCCTCGTAGTACACATGCGAGCATGTTACCACTAGGCCACCAGGTGATGGGAGCTGGTCATATTGCACTTGGGCTCCTTATCTGTTACTAACATTTACTTCACATGCCATAAAAACACCTGGAATAGTACAAGACTTTAATGCCTAATAGTACATTCAAATAAGCAATCTACAAGCTCCGATTTCGTCACGCGTGATGCATAAGATACTAAAGCTGTGTATTAAAGCTGTGCCACACCCGTTGCACTAATGCACACCAGTGACATCATCATTATAAGTGGATCTGTCCAACCCAGCACCAGCCACCAATAATGATCCACAATCAAATGTCCGAGATCATATGCTTAACCAGAAAGCCTCGGAGAGGACATGATCACTACTACAATCCTATAGAATACCTATAAGTATGTCGAATAAATATGAAACCAGCACCTACGAGATCAAGCCCAAAAAAGAAACAAGTGGAGTACAATTCCAAAATCTACATACTCTATCCACCTCTCTCACCAAATTCTTTCGCCCACTCCTCATATTTCCGTAGCCCATCAGGAGATACACTAGGTCGAATAGAATACAGACTCGCTTCGAAGTCCTGGAAGATAATGGCCCGAATCTGATCCATAGGCGTATGGAGGAGGGCTTCACCAAGGTTGCGCAGAGGACCCATGGCAGCGTCTTTGGCGAGGGCTGTTATATCCGAGCCAGAGAAGCCTGGGATATATTGTTAATCAAAAGAAAACCGAAAAGTTGACAAGCACATACCTTCTGTTACTTGGACCAAAACCTGGATATCGGCATCGCTCAGCTCGTGGTGCTGGTGGCTGATTAGTTTGCGTAGCTGCTGTTCGCGCACATGTTGTTCCGGCAAAGGGATGTACTGGCGACGGACGAAGCGGCGACGTGCGGCCTCGTCGATATCCCAGGGCAGATTGGTGGCAGCTAGGACGAGCACACGGCTTGCGTCGCCTTCCTTTTTCTCGCGGCTGGTTTGTTCGCGGCCGGCGGCTGCGCGCTGGAGGTCGGACCATTGGACGAGGAATTCGGTCTTGGAGCGGCGGGAGGCCTCGTGCTCTGAACCGGATGATCGGGCGGAAAGGAGGGAGTCGATCTCGTCGACGAAGATGATGGACGGGGCGAGGGCTTTGGCGAGCCCGAAGAGGGCACGCACGAGCTTCTCGCTCTCGCCGTGCCATTTTGATGTGAGACTTGATGCGGAGATGGAGAAGAAGGTCGATTTCGATTCGGTCGCTACTGCGCGTGCAAGCATGGTTTTGCCTGTGCCTGGGGGTCCGAAGAGGAGCATTCCCCGGGCTGGTTCGCGAAGGCCTGAGAAGAGATCGGGTCGGAGGAATGGGTAGACCACTGCTTCTTTGAGGGCCTTTTTGGCTCCTTCTAACCCTGCTATATCATCCCAATGTACTTCATCACCGCGCACCACGATATCGTTCAAAATCTGCTTTGCTGACTGGGGATCAATGCCCTTGGGCAATTTCTCCATGATTTTCGCAACGTCACTGTTCTCTTCATCTTCATCCTCTGCATCGCTGTCTATCGTCCGGTGATCCGAGGTCTCTTGCTCGCTGGACGGGGGTGTTTCCCGCCGTGTTATTGGAGTAGGTTTGCGACGTGGTACACTGTCCCCATTCCTCTGAGATATGGCCAACCGGTTCACCCCACGATGGAGATCATCGCCACTAGTACTACTGCCGGCTAGAGGAGAATTGCGCGCGTCTCCATCGATTTTGGGGATCCGAGGCGCAGATCTTATTCGAGGCTTCTCGATTGGTGAATTCTGTTCGACGTCACGCCGGGGGGTCAACGTCCGGGAGGTACCCTCGGACCTAGGAGACTGTATTGGATGATTGGCGCTTGGCGGTTGGTAAGAAGACCGCAAAGCCACAGGCTTCGGTTTAATAGATGGTTTGGGCTGCGGTGCAAAGTCGGCCGGGTTCGGCATGGACAGTGCAGGAGACGGAGGTGGTAGTTTAGGGCTGTCAGCTGGCGGTCGGGGTGCACGGGGAGGCGTTGGCGCCTGGGTAGGCAATGTTTGGGTGGAGGACCTCTTCGGAGACGGACGTAGAGGCTCTCGCCAATGGGCAGCAGGAATTCGATCCCCCGGTAGATCTCGGGATGTACGAGTCCTCGCTGGTGAAGGCGCCTCCCCAAGGCTAGATCGTGGTTCGGGCTCTCGTCGGAAACTGGGGTCATGGGCGGCGGCGCTTTGGCGTGATGAGGCCAAAGCCGTTTCGCTCACAGGCTTTTCACCCGAGGCACCGCGATATATGCTACCCCAAGCCAGACCCGCTGCTCTGGAAGCAGCCGGCTGCTTTGCCTTCTCCTTTTTCGATGTAGCCTTAACTTTCTTGCTACTCTTCTTGCCATCTTTGCTGCGCAGAGTTGTCAACATGGGTTTCCGGCGCTCTTGACTGGATCCCCGCGACTTTGATTTGCTTGAAGAATTTGAGTGCACGCGCAGCGCAGGCGCACCGGCCGCTGATATTGCCGCCGGACTGGCATCTTCGAAGGACGCCGGCGACTCCGTACTGTGTCTCCCTGGCAGCGCTGGGCGGCCGGGGATAGCGGCCGGTTTGGAAAGGTCGGTGTAGTCCACGGCGGGGATTGTTCCATCTCCGATCCAGCCGGGTGAGTTGCTCGAGGATTGTCTCGGTATGCTTGGATGGAATTTACCCTTGACAAGAGTAGCGCTTGCTTTGCTGCTACTTGCATCTCCAGATTCTTTCCTGCTTGCTTGAAGAGCGCCGAGCAGATCGACCCGTTCTCGGCATTGAACCTCCAGCGCTCGGATGGAGTCTTGAAGGGCTTTCTCGGTTTCGGATTTCGGGTGGTAGTTCGAGGGTACGCGGCGGGCATTGTGATGGTAAATAACATCAAGGGCAGATCGCCAGGACCGCAATGCTTCCTCTTCGTTGTTCTGATACAGTGAGTCTTTGGGGAACGGGTGTTCGGGGACTAGCGCACTTACCTGGCCCTCAAAGTACACCGCAGTGGAGCACGCGAGATAGCACTCGTCGTACGTCTTCTGCAAGGAAGACGCAGGCCGTGGGCGCATCATTGGGAATAAACAGGCCCGCCTGCCATTTGAAGTGAAATTGGTGGAGTTGGGTGAAAGCGATGATCTCCCGCAGATGAGGGGGAGGATTTTTCGCGTGACGTCGTCGGTTCGGGAATTACTGCATGCGTCCACATACTACCAGGGACGACAATTCGAAGGGATTGAAAAGGGCTTGTATTTATTGAGACAAGAATTGGCTGGATAGTGAGAGGTGCACGGAGTATAAAGCTACTGTTATCGTTGTCATAATGACTTCCGCCATATCTTCCATAGCCATGTCTTCCTTCATACCACACACAAACCCTCACATCATAACTCTAAACTTCCCGTCTATCAGTACATGCAATGACTAAGAAAAAAAAACAAGGGGTTATCGCCTCAGAGAACCCAGCCCTCTCATCGATATGAACCCGAGATTCCATCCAATATCACACTCGAGTCCAAGTGTCCAAAGGGAAAAGCAAAAAACAAAATGACGCCAAATTTGATCCCCGAGTCGGCTGTGGCCGTGTAAATCCCCGTTTTTCACTGTACATTGCCGCAAACGCTTTTCATAAAAAGCCATAAACATGCAAGAATGAAATCGGGCTCTGACCCGATATGCACCGTGAGTATCGTTGGGCTCCGCCCAAATCCCATCACGGATTGCAGAAAAACACCCACGTCGCCTCCGGAGGTCAGAAAAAAAAGATTATACGATACCTACACAAACATGGTATATCGAACAAGTAGAACAACGTGAATGGGACCCATTTGCAAGTGGTTGAGTGGATCGGTCAATGCTTTTTAGTCGAGGTGCTTCTTGAAGTATGCCTTTGCCATCTCATAAGAGGTCCTGTAAGAAAGTCAATAAATACCCCGAGAGAACAGGTCAGAAAGACACGTACCAGCAAATGGCGGTGCTCGGCATGGTGGAGATAATGCGTGGACGCATGCCACGCAGGAAGCCAGACCAGCCAAATCTGCGCTTGATGATGGCAGCGGCATTGAAAAGACCCTTGGCGGATCGTACCTCTTCGCTCTCAGCAAGACCACGGGTCTGAAGAAGCGTCTTCACGACATCCAGAGGAGTGGTAATACCGGCTGCAAAGGCACCGGCCAGACCACCTGCAATGCAGTGGGTGAAGGGATCGTATTCATTCTTCGGGTTCATGACCTTCGAGATCGACTCGTAGGCAACGAACTGGGTGGCCGTGAAGGGCACGGTCATGCAAAGGGTAGTAGGGTAGGAGACGTAAAAGGCCTGGAGACCTTCAGTACGGTAGAGGGTCTTAGCGCATTCTGCCAGACTTTTATGAACCGAGCCGTGAACCTGCATGCGTTGTTTCATGACTGAAGACTGAGTTAGCTCGTTTCGACTTGCTGCGTTATATGGTCACTTACCATCGAATGGGTTCATCAACGCATCGCTGGCAATAGTAGCGGACGCTCCACTCATAGCTGTACCGAATCCCATCAGTTTATCTTGCACACGAATCGACTGGTTCGAGGATCGTCATAAGAACTTACCAGCAGCCAAGGGGTGATGCCCCGCGTCGACATTGCCACCAGCCATTTCCTTCACGATCTCATATGTGCCAAAGTAAACCGCGTGTGCCGGACCTAACATCAATCAGCCTTTTTTTCCCCAACTTAGGGCTTACTGGTGTATACACACCCGCGCCAACAATCACACTCGAAACTCCCTTCCATAACGTCCGCCAGCCCTCAACCCGATAGATTGTGGAGAACGCGTTGGTCAATCCGGTATATAACCCGCCGGGCGTAGGGGTCAGGATTTGCATGCGAGTCTAGTCATGTCCAAATTGTCAGCGAGGGTTTCTTTCTCATTCCAATGCGGCCTTTTCACCCAGAAACAAAGCATACCTTGAGCAAGTCAACTGGGTACATGACCGAGTGTTCCTTTTATCCGATCAGCACAAATCCTCACAAACCACCTCATGAACGCGTCGACATACCGCGATACCTGCGAAAGCACCGGCTAACATGTTTCGACCAAGGCCATAGTTGGAGGGAGGGCCTCATAGCTAAACCACGGCAAAATCGGATTAGCTCGAGCCACACAATCACATCCCAAAGAGCGTCGGCAAAGCAGTCGAGAGACTTGGTCGGCCGACCAGGACAATCAATCGGTCCTGGATCTCTGAATGACCCCAATAGAGCTCATCTCCCTGTCCCTGAACCACTCCTGGGTTCCTGATGTCCGCTCAATCGCCTGGGGAAAAAAAGTCCGTCGGAGAGCCACCTACTCAAATTCCTCGTTGTCGGAAGCCGCCATGAAGCTTCCGCTAGCTCAAGAGCACAGCTGTTGCAATTGAAGAGACCGAAAAGGGAAAAAAGGAGGTGCGAGACTAGAAGCGAGTTGCTGGAGCCTGGGTGGAAAAGTGAAGATGAGATAAACCGGGGCTTGGGTTTGTCCGTGGAGATCCCGAGCAAAACAGGGTGCCGATGACAGAGCAACAAATCGAGATCGAGCTAAGAAGAGAAGAAGATAAGACAAGAAGCAAGGCTCTAAATGTTTTCCCCGGGAAAATACCAAGGAGGAACTGAAAATCTGGCTGGAGACAAAAAACCAGGGAAATGGCGCTAACACGAAATTATTCACACGCCGACCTTGGCTCTCAGTTAGGTCTACATGAGCTTAACTCCGACTCTTTAGGGCTTTAGGTGGTCTACTTCAATTTATAAGTCTTATAAATAAGACTTATAAGACTACTTTTTATTCTACTCTTCAGCTTCAAGAACCCTTATTCCTTATTTAATGGTCCATATCGAAGACGGCTTATTCAGAAGACACGGCTAGACCTCGGAATTGGCATAATTCGATGTACCTGATGTGGCGTAGTGAATGCTACTAGACTAAGGAATATAGGCACGACCACCGAGTACCTAATCCACAAGCAAATACACCTGGCCTATTCCCCCAGTAATTTAGTATTCATCTATGATCTGTGGCTTGTTTCCGAAGCATCCGATGACGGAGCTTAGGGGACCACATCTTCGGTAAAGTACCGGATAAGTACCTCTATGGTAGTTCAACCGCGGTAAAGGTACTTGAATGGTACAAGTCAACCCTTAAAAATTATCAATCTGATAAGAAACCCCTGGACAAGCCATCTATTCGCCCTTGACCACATTTCGCCTAACTCCGTAGAGTGGAGTGTCCGACTCTCGGCTTTTCTCTTCCGGTCTTCGAGAAGATGTTATTAGCTATCGACAAATCCAACGTATATTGTAGATCATTGACTTTGAACATTCTAGCTGCACTCGGAATTTGAGGCGAAAGTACGGAGTAGAGCATGCGGCTTTTGACCGGAGCAAGCCGAGGCCCGGGAAAGCCGTGGACCGATGCCTCTGCGGACTCCGGAGTGGATATTGCCCGTTGAAGGAATACTACAGTACTTGACATTCAGTTACTAGGCTGTCAAAAAGAAGAAAAAAACTTTATATAAGGACCAAGCTGTGTCCATGTGTCAAGTGCGATGTACATTGTCTGTTAACTATATCGGATCGCATCTCTCGAAACTAACAATGATGCCAGAAAACACCCGCTGCGCCTGACCTCGATGTAAAAATAACAGCTTCAAGGTAGCGACCTTAAAGATGCCCACTTGGACAAAATACGGTAAAAATAGCCCCCAACAAATGGATTCACTGGCCGGAACACATTGGGCATTGGGTGCAAAAGAAAAAAAATGCATCGTTCACGTCGTCAAAAGCTCCTCCGTTAGGAAGAAGAGTTATGGTGGCTGGTGGTTTACCACTCAACGTTGAATGACCACTCTCCTGAAAAGGCACGTTAGCGACTGACCATGGGCCCGAAGTCAGACTTTGTACTTACCACGCTTCAAGTTCTCGGCGGTGTCACTCAGTAAGATAACTCGGCGCTTGTTGCAATAAGCGGTCTTGTCGAGGATATCGACCTTGAGATCTGCAAGCTCACCAACGGGCTTCTCGAACATCTCGCTGAGACTTTCGACAGCCAACTCCAGGTCCTTCTGATTATCTTCGAAAATTTCCGTCAGGTTGTTGCGCGCCAAATAAAATGCAAATGCATATGTCCACTTCAGAGTTTGGCGACACTGCTGCAGTGCCTGCGACGCGGTATCGAGGAATTGCACCTCAATCCACGAGAGACCGGATTGTGACTGGAGGCTGGTCATTTTCCTCTCAGTCTTCAAGTACAAATCCTTGTCAAGCTTGGCAGACTGCTCATGGTTTGCATATCGGTTGTAGTAATGCAAGTAGCGTTCTAGGGACGAACGTGATTTGGCTTGAGCAGAGCGAGCATCTGCACCGGACTTCTCTTCGTACCGATTGCAATTGTACCAGCTGGTGCCATGCTCAGACCACAGGCCCATACACATCCAGCAGAATTCGTATTTGCACTTGCGGCAAGTCATATGGTTACAACCCCCGTTCTTCTCGATGGTCGAATTACACTTTGCACACTCCTTGGTATTGGCAGAGATCCAGTTGGCCGTTTCTGAGTCATCTTCGCACTTCTGCAGCCACATCTTGACCAGCTTGCATGGAGCGGGTTGGTGATCGTTGAGCGAACAGCCGAAACAGAACTCGTGCTTGCAGGCACATTGTACTGTTGGGACAATGCGACGGAGGTCGCGATTCTTCACCCCGCAGTCAATGGCATATTCGCAATTTGGAGCTGGACACCACTTGAGGTTCTCCTTGTCATCGACGTAGGTCCGAGTAAGAAGTTCGCGATATCTGGAGTAAGGGCACGTGTCAGCCAACTTTGCACTCTTGAACTCAAACCCTAGGGCAGCCCCTCCAAAAACACAACACTCACCTTCCTTGTAGATCCGGTGCTACGAGCAAATCCAGCGACTTGTAGTCCACGATGCGATTACAGCCATTGCCTGGACACTGAATCCGAGCAGCCTCTCCTTCCTCCTTGATCTTCTGTCCCAGATATTGCCGATAACAATCGGCGCAGAACCGGTGGCCACAGCGCATGGCGTACGTTTCGAGGTCATCTCCGTCCTCACAGCAGATGTCACAAGTAAAGCCAGGGATAATCTCAGTTTTTGGAGTCCACTCAGAGCCCAACCCAAGACCCGCCTGCTCAAGAGTCTTCTCAGGCTGCTCCATGTATGATTCGATCAACTTCTCCTTATTCCACCGTCCGAATCGCAGCAAGATGGCCGCCGACTCTGGCGGTAGCCCAAGGATGGCGCAAACCTCGTTGACCTGACCAAGCTGCTCATGGTCGATATCGGAGGGGTCAAGGACCTTGTATTCGACTTCGTATGGCTTCTTCCTTTGTTTGAGGAGATCCTTATCGTCCGAAAACCCGGTATCGAGATCATCGAAGTCTGCTCACATGTAAGGAACAACTTGTTAGTCACCGATAACATACCAAGATCCAAGATCCAAGCCGCAAGATCCAAGATCTGACGAAACACATACCTTCACCCAAGCTCTCATCTTCGGATCCCTGGGTACCCAGGAAATCCTCTTGACTGGATACGTCACTCATGCACTCGTCGTCGGAGTCCATGCTGGCAGCCGTAGACGCCGACGTCGCGGAGGGTCTGTCTACTTGACCGTTGAAACTGGCCGTAGGTGATTTGTCAGTCGTCTCTGTCTTAGTTGCTGTCTCGTGGCGTGGCTGTCGATCGGAGAACGCAAGAGTGGCGAGTCGGGAGCCGTGGGCGGCTTTCGGCAGTGGTTCGTCCTTGGCCGTAATCGCCGCCTCAGCCGCCTTTCTCTTTCGTGTTTGGGGAGGCGTGGTGGATGATTAACGGCAGAAATGCCGACAGAAGGGGTCAAACGAGAGGGTGGAAGGGGTTTGGCGCCACAGGCCACTTAATAAACCTGTGACGAGCGACGGATAACTGGTTGGAGGGGGGAGAGTGGGGAAAGATTGAGTGATCGAGCTTCGGGGAGTTCGGTTTGGCTTTGGCCAGCTGGAAGGGCCCCGGGCGGTCGAGGTTCGACTCCCCGCCATGATGATTTTCGGGTGCGAATTCGGGCTCAATTAATTCACTACGCTGAGAGTTTACCTACCGCTTTTCTAGGGTGCGGGGGACTTTTGTTTGATTGTTTCTGTACACCAATAATATCTATGGCCGCATGCTATGATTCTCAGCTTTCTGGAGTCCGTTGACTCATATCTGAGTCATCGACGTTCGTTCGTTAGTTACCTAGCGCCAGCCCTGTTTGTCTTGGTTGGGCTGTAACTAACTAGTTAGCCTGTCGGATTACTAAAGACAAGGAAGATTGAAATGGAAAGAAGGCTTGGATTTTGTTGCAATCACGTGGTATCTACTCATCATCAGATTCTTCCTCGGACTCCTCCTCGCTGCTCTCTTCCTCCTCAGCCTCAGCTAACCAATCAACAAATTGCTTCGTCTGATTGCGAACAGTCCGCATCTCTTCAGTCTGACTAGAGCGTTCGTCATTCCACCACTGATCGTAAGCTTCCTCGTCAACAATCTCAAGCTCGTACAGCGACTTGGCAGTGAACAGGAGGACCATGTCGCCCTTGCTGCGGTGGATAAGGTCCTGTTGGAGAAGTAGTAGCAGATCAATCTGATCCTTCTTTTGTTCCTTGTTGCGGTCGAACAGAGTGCGCTCGACGACTTCCTTGTATGCCGTAAACACGCCCTGGACTGCCTGTCCGGCACTCTTGCCGTTCTCCATAAGCTGCTGGATATGCTTCATAAAGGCTGATACAATAGCGCGGCGGACCTGGGTGTCCGAGGCGTTGGCGGTCATGCGCAGAGTGACTAGCTCCAGCGAGACCACATCTGCCGCGACGCCTTCGCGTAGACTGTCGAACAAGCTGACTGATGCGTCGTGATGGAAGTTATCCGATTCCTCGTCTGCAGAGAAACTACTGCGTTCGGAGTGGGCCCAAGAGGTATTTGAGATCTCGGATGACAGTGTCGAGATGGAGGCGGAAGAAAGTGAAAGATGAGGCATGCGGTACACTGTAGATGGCATCACGTTAGCGACTTGACCTCAAGCCTCGGAAGACACATTGGGCGACAACTTACCAAGTCCTGATGAGGCAACGCTCACATCATCTTCATCATCTTCCTCATCCTCACCATGAACGAATTCATAGCCCTCGCCTTCTTCACCCACCACTTTGGGGTCGTTCTTCCCCACGCTTCCGTCGTTCCGAGTTTTCGTGATGCGCTTTCCGCTCTCCACCGAGATGCCATCTGAAATTTTGACACCATAAGATAAAAGTGCACCTGCCGCAACAGTACAATCTTTGCCAATGACCACACCATCCGCGATGATCGCCCCACGAACGACTGTATTATCACCGATCACGACATCATCCCAAATATATGCGCCATCCAGTTTGACGTTGCGACCGATCTTGCAGTTCCGGCCGAGTACGGAGTTATGAACCTCGGCCCGGTCTCCAATGCTCGTTCCTTTTCCGATAACTGTGCGGCGCCCGACCACGCAAGAGCGTGCCAGGGTCACCCCGGTTTCTTGGTACATGCTGCCCTTGCGGAGGGTGTATGTGTGACCAGGGAGCAAGTTCGTATCCGGGCACAAGGGGTAGGTCCAGCGTGAGAGGATGTCCTTGCTAATGGCATCGTACGCCTTCAGGTTGCGCACGCGGGCGGCGTAGTGGTCCTTGATGATGTATGTGTGTAGCGTCTTGCCGTTCAGCTCGTAATCTTTCAAGACACCGTACAGGTAGTGCTTGCGTGGCGATTGGTAATCGAAACTATCAGACCACAGGCTCAGTACGTCTGGGGTGCAGATATCGATGCTGCAGTCGATTAGGTCTTGGCGAATATCCAGCTCAGGGTTCTTGAGGATGATCTCGGAATCAATGTTCAGGCGAGACAGCTCCTCTCCATCTGCATGGCGGTCGATTTCTTCGTAGTGGAGACAGCGGTCCTTGGTGGGGTCAATGACAAAGACTGGTGAAACCGAAGTGGACTTAGTCCTGTGCTGTAGGCCAGCCTCCCGTAGGACCATGGTCATAATCGCATTCTTATCGGTTTCTCGGCGGGCTCGGTGCTGGGCCAATGCGCCCTCGATGGGAAGGTTGCTGATCACGTCGCCGCTTACGACAATGAAGTCTCCAGTAATGAGATGCTTGCCGTCCAGGTCGCGCATAACGTCGCCGACGGAGGTAGAGGTCGATTTTAAGAAGGTTAGTTGCTTGAATGGAGAAGAGGAAGCCCTCCATTTTGATGCGCTAGCAACATAAAGTCAGCTCTGCCATGCGTGTCAAACGAACTCCCTGGGTCAAGCCTACTTGATGTATTTCTCCAGTTGATCCGAGTGCGCTCCTCCATAGAGAAAGACTTCCTCCACGCCTGCATTGGCCAAAAACTCAAGTGTGTATTCGATCAACGGAGTATTCGCGAGCGGCAGAAGGCACTGTAATAATTTGGTTCGTTATTTCCAAGATCTTGATCATGAGTGCTTCGTTGGGATGGAGGACATACGCGAGGCTTGTCACGGGTAAAAGGCTCGAATCTCGTCTCGAAGGTATCTGCAAGGACCTAAGTGGAAGTAAATATTAGCAAACATGGACAATGAATCGCGAGGACTTCCTCGGAAACAGTCGCGCAACTGTTTGCCAATGAGTGGACATACCACAGCCTGGAAGGTCTCTTCCACTTCCTCCGCCGTATTCTGTTTGGGCTTTTGCCCACCTTTCTGTTTGGGTCCCATTGCTGGAGATATCGTTAGCAGCAAGTTCTTTTCGAGCTGGGGTGGAGCGTTGCGACAACTGATTCTCATGGAGAGAGAGCTCGTAGAAAGCGGCAGGGATTTTTCCTACCTTGGATGTATCAACAACCCGCGGAACAAAGATTGGCGGAAACGAAGTGTGAGAGAGAGGAACCAGAGAGTCTTTCGGAAGAGCTTCTCCAGAAATAGCACCAAAGAAATGCGACAGCCTTGTTATCAGAGAAGAACATAAAAAAGCCGCGGAGTCATCCTGCCCACTTGTTTGCATTGTTTGCAAGTTTGCTCCGGTCGGACTTGATGCCTGAGGCGATAAGAACCATTAGTGGACCCTGCAGATCACATGGTCCCATGAGCTTCTCTACTACTGTAGTAGTCTCTAACGAGTACGAGTACAATTAGTCCCGACTAGTACCACGTACATACTCCATGAGATCATTGCCTTATGCTGCTATCTGTGCTTTCAGCTCACTCGCCCCTCTAGAAGAGCATCAAGTAAGAAACAAATAAATGCCATTAACATCGGAGGTATCATATCGTAACTGAGGCCCAATATCAAACGGTAAACCCGACACCAGGGCCAAATCATGCTAGATCAACAACTAAATCCAAACGAAGCCTTCATATACACAATCCAAGACAGTGCATAGCCAAATCAGACCCCCAAAAAAGAATTAAACAGGCGAATCAATCGTCTGCAGCGGGACATAACCCTCATCACCCCGAACAATCGGCTTCGGTGCTTTACCAGTAACCCACGACCAAAGCGCAGACACAGCACTCCCGATACGCCGACGAACAGGGAGCGGGCTAGTCGACATCATGATAGCAGACGACCACCAGCTGACCTTACGAGCATGGCCACGACCGCGCGTCACGCCAGGCACCAGGATCGCACCGGAGCGAAGCTCCTTCTCAAGACGCTCAGTTTCCATCCAAGCCGGGCGCTGCCAGAACTTCAGAAGCAGACTGCTGACAACGACGGAGACACTCGACAGAGCCATGGCAGCACCGGCGGCCATGGGGGGTAGCATGAAGCCGGTGAAGGGGAGGAAAAGACCCATGGCGAAGGGTAGGCCGAGGACATTGTACATGCAAGCCCAGATGAGGTTCAACTTGATGCGTCTGAAGACTGAGCGTGAGAGGGCGAGGCTGGCTGGTACAGAGAGCAGGTCATCCGGACGCATGAGGACGATGTCGGCAGACTCTACGGCGACGTCTGTGCCGGATGCGAGGGCGATTCCGACGGACGCTGTTGCCAGTGCGGGAGAGTCATTGATGCCGTCGCCGACCATGGCAACGATCTCGCCTTCGGCTTGAAGGGCAGAGACTATTGCTCGCTTCCCGGATGGCGAGATGGAGGCGTGGATTGCGGTGGTTGGGATACCGACTGCTGTGGCGATGGATACCGCTGTTGAGAGAGTGTCGCCTGTTACCATAGATGTTGAGATGCCCATGCGATGAAGAGCCGCGACTGCCGCCGCAGCTGTGTCTTTCACAGTGTCTTGGAGGGAGATGGTTCCAGCGTAGCTGTTGTCGATTGCTACATGGATGCGGGTAATTCCAGATGCTGTGCTACTGGGCTTAGGGACATGGGCTTCTGAGCCACCGGGTACCTCAGAGTCGGGATCTGCATCAGCGGGGACAGTGACGCCTTTGGACTGAAGGAATTTGGCGTTACCAAGCAGCACGTGGTGCCGAATACGCTGGCCGCTGGATGTAGGCTCGACGACGGCGGAGATACCCTTGCCAACTTCATTGTCAAAATCACCCATGACGCCTGGTAGTCCATCTGCTCCGGGATGACCTGATTCGACTAGCGCCGCGGAGAGAATCGCTCGTCCGATGGGATGTTCACTGCCTGTCTCTGCGAGGCCGACGACAAGCCACCAGAGCTGACGGCGCCAGTCGTTCATCGACCATTGAGGTTCAATTCGGGTGTGAGCAACGTTCATCTGACCTGTTGTCAAAGTGCCCGTTTTATCAAAGACTACATGAGTGATTTTTGTGGCGGCCTCAAGAACGGCACCTCCTTTGACGAGGATGCCATGCTCCGCGCCAACTCCAGTACCCACCATGACAGCGGTTGGGGTACTCAGACCTAAGGCGCAGGGGCATGCAAAGACAATGACAGAGATGCACAGCTTCAAGCAAACCATGACCCGACCACCATTGTTGGCCATTTCGAAAATCATGGGCGGATGAGGCAGTACGTGGCTGAGGAACATCCAGCCAAAAAACGTGACCAAACCGAGGCCAATGATGGTGGGCACAAAGTAACCGGCAACAATGTCAGCCATGCGCTGAATCGGAGCACGGCTCGTCTGCGCATCCTGAACCAACTTCACAATCTGGCTCAACTGGGTGTCCTTGCCGGCTCGAATGACTTTGAAATCTATTGAGTTTGTACCGTTCACAGTGCCAGCAATGACCGGGCTGCCTTTCTTTTTGAAAATTGGCAACGCCTCTCCGCTGATCATGCTCTCATCAACATAGCTTTCACCACGAATGACAACGCCATCTGCAGAAACCTTGTCACCGGGATGAAGAATAACGACATCACCGACTTGAATCAGCTCGGTGGGGATGTTCTTCTGAGCCACTGCCATGTCCTCAGACAACGCGGGTTGCTCAGGTGCGCCAGCCGTAGACTTCGAGGTCCAGCGTTCGGCCAGTTTTTCGGCTGCAATGGGATCATCGTATATGGTAGTCATTGATGGGGCCAAAGACATGAGTCGAGACAGAGCAGCAGATGTTTGGCCCTTGGCGCGGTTTTCCAGCCAACGCCCCAGAGTGATGAACGTAATGAGCATCGTGCTGGTATCAAACACGGTGCTGGGACGGCCATGATCCACACTGCAAAGCGCCAAGAGCATGGTAAAGCAACTGTAGAAGAAGGCAGCCGAGGTCCCCAGCATCACCAGAACGTCCATCGTTGGGGACCGATGCTTGAGGGACTTGAAGCTGGTCATGTAAAATCGTCTGCCGATGCCGAACTGCACCGGGATGGTCAGGCAGAGACAGATCAGGTCTCCAAGATACAATCCCCGTATCAATTCGAAGTTTCCGAAGTCAAGCCCAGGCAAGTACATCGGCAGTATCATGCTGATGAGGAAGACAGGGACCGCAAAGGACGCCGCAGTAATGAAGGACCGTTTCCATTCTTGGATTTCCTTCGTTTTGGACAATGATTGTAACTGGGCATTGGTATCATCCGTGTCAACTAGCAAGGCGTTGTAGCCAGCAGCCTCGATCACTTCCACAACAGATCGAATTCCGATGATAGATGGATCGAAAGCAACGGCCATATGAGAGGTAGCCAGTTTTATTGATGCAGAGTGTACGCCTGGTTGCTGTAATATGGTGTCTTCCAATGCAGTAGCAGAAGTGCCGTCCCGGAGACCATGCAGGCTCAAGTTGACATGTTGCGTCTTTTTGGATATTGAAGCTTGTGTCCCCGATGACACGACCGACGCGTCAAAGCCGGCATCTTCAATGAGATCTGTAATTTTGCTGGCGGGGATTGTTGTTGGGTCGTGCACAACCACCGCTCGCTCAGCCAGAAGACTGATGTTGAACTGGATCACTCCCTCCACATTCTCCAGGGCACCTTCAACGCTCGACGTGCAAGCGCCACATGTCATGCCGCCAATTGCGACGGTGGTAACCATGAGTGCGGATTTATTTTCCGGATCGGCCGACGTGGAAGGCTCCTTGGAGCGCAGCAGGGAGGTGTCCAGCACCCGCGCTCCAAAGCCTCGATCTTCAATGATTTCTGCGATCTGTTCCGGTGTGATGATGTCGGCATCATGTTCCACGACTGCGCGCTCGGAAAGTAGTGAAACGTCCACTAGGTGCACACCAGGGACATCGTTCAACCCGCTTTCTACTGCAGATGTACATGCGCCGCATGTCATACCCTCAACTGCCAGATTGGTCACTGATAACCGCGGGGTCGGGAGAGAAGAAGCAGCAGCGTTGGGGGGTTTATTTTCGTTGGTCGACAGTACTACGGCATCGAAGCCACAGTCTTCAATGATTTCTGCGATTTTCGTGGGCTCTATCACTGACGGGTCGTGTTGTACAGCGGCCCTGCCCATGATCAGACTGACGGAAACATCCTGCACACCGTCTACTCTTTGAAATGCGCCCTCAACTGCAGAGGTACATGCCCCGCAGGTCATTCCGTCAACCTTGACAGTGGTGGTCGCCATTGCGACTGGAGTGCTCTCGCCGGCGTTTGGAGTCGGAGATAACATGTCAACGGTGAGCGCGAAGCGGACACGGCGGAAACGACGGATTATAGCATATGGAAGGATTCGATGATCGACGAACTGCCGGCGACGCGATGGCAGAGGGTTATAGCGTGATGGGGGACGGATGCACTCGGATAGCGCAAGATCTACAGATCATTTCCCGGTTGAGCAGACAAAGAGAACTGCAGAAGTCAAAAAGAAATAGTACTGCCCAGAAGGCCACGTCTGTCAGATGCGATCAAAAATGGGCGAAAGACGAAATCAAGGGCAAATGAGAAGGGTGAATCTGCAAGGACGGAGACATCGGATGTGATGTGGTAGATGTGGACCGCTGCCACGCCAGGGAATGTATCAAGTCCGCTCAATAAGCAGCTGATTAAATGGTTGTGTTTCCAATTAATGCCTTCGTTCTCAATAGCCATGTCAGCTCTGGGCGGTCTCTGGCTGAAACAGACTAAGCAAAATATTACAAACAGCTGGGTTTCGGGTGGTTTCAAATATCTACAGAGGTGAACCCGGTTACACTGCCAGGGCTGATTACTGCGCCCGTACAGATCGACCTGGGACCCTGAACATGAGTCTACTTGACAGCTCTTGACACGGAGATTGTCCCGCCTCAAGCGCTGGTAGTCTATGCCTCGAGAGATACTCCGTACACAGAACAATGGTCTATCATCTATGAAGAATAATTAGAAAATAAAATAAAATAATAAAATAAAAAAGCAGCCATAATCTCCTTGAATCAGATAAGGGGTGTTTGCATGGGTTGCAAACAAGCATCTCTCCGCCTGGATTGTGTACGACATTCGATGCTTCGATCTCGACCTCAGGCTTTAGCTACCTCTCCACTTACCTCACATCTCCTCATCTTGTGACACCTTACTCTCGGCATCCTCAACCATTGAATCTCATTTCTATCACCACATACACATTCCAATGGATCAAACCCACACAAAAGCCTCAGAGGCTCTCCAACCATTCATCCACCTGGCCAGCTCCAACAGTGCAAGTTCACCTCGCTTCGTCGCCAATCTTATCACAAATGCCACCTCAAGCCCGCATACCTACGTCTTTGCCGAGCTGCTGGAGCTGCCGACAGTCCAAGCATTACGCTCACCAGATACCCCAGCAGAGTTCAAGGGCTATCTGAAGCTACTAGAGATCTTCGCATGGGGAACATGGCAAGAATATCAAGGTACGAGCATATACCCCGAGCCAAGAGCCCATATGAACCCAAACCCTCCCTCCATCAGAACCCTCCCAAAAAGAATCCATCTATCAGACCCAAAGCTAACACCCCGCACCAGCAACCCCCTCTCTCCCAACCCTAAACACCGAACAAACCCTCAAACTTCGCCTCCTCTCCCTCCTAACCCTCTCAACGACAATCAAACCCCTCACCTATAACGCCCTGATGACCGCCCTCAGCACGCCAACGAAAGCCGAGCTCGAATCCCTCGTGACAACAGCCATCTACGCCTCCCTGATAACCGCCCGTCTCTCCCCAGCATCCAACCCCCCTCCGTGAACGTCACAGCCGTCGCCCCCCTCCGCGACGTCCAGCTCCAGTCCCTTCCCAAAATGATCGCCAACATGACGGAGTGGGAGTCGCGCTGCAAAGAGGTTGCATCGGACCTAGAGGCGGAGATCGTGCGCGTCAAGAGCGAGGCCGCGAAGCGCGCTGCGCGCGAGAAGGCGCACAGCGGTGCCCTTGCGGAGGCTATGGAGAGGAGGCATGCTGCGGAGGCGGGGAAGAAGAGTGGTCGGCGTGTTGGCGGGAGTAAGAGGGATGCGGATGATATTGATGAGGATGATGGGTTCTTCGATGATCGGGAGCAGGGGTCCCGGATGGATATCGATGAGGCGCCTGGTGCTCGTGCGGGGAGTAGTCGGCAACCCAAGAGGGTGTTGGGACGGAAGTCTTGAAGCGTATGCTGAGGCTTGCCTATGAGATACTTCCTTTCGTTTCTCACGGCCATGTGGGCTAGACGATCATACTAGCCGTTCCTTATCATACGAAATGACTTTGTTATGGTTTGGCCTTAACGTGTTCAGACATACAAGGAAGTTGAACAGCAGCAAAATTGCATTCGTAAAGCCCTGAAGGCGCGCTCACAATGAGAACATAGATACAGTACACACAATTATGAAAGTCAAAGGGGGGTATTGATAGAAGAGAAGAAAAGCCACAGCAAAACAACAAGCACAGAAAATATGGACATGACAAAGTAGATGGAACCGCTGATAAGCGGGGTGGTCGGGTTGGAAGAATGAGACCCAAATTCCTTCTTATAGCACCATGCATGAGAATAGGTTGTAGAGCTTAGAGGCTTTGCAGAGATATGGGACGAGCCTCAAGAGTTGGACACGAAGGGGAAAGCGTCTTGAGCATGTCAAACGAGGTGCAGATATGACGACTATTATGAAGGGACGAAATTGCGGTATTTTGAATCGGGCGGAAGCTGGACGTGGCGAAGGGCTCACAGCATGGTACCAGGGACGAAAATGAACAAAATGCTCAACGCTGCCGCTGTTAAGAAGGCAATCATTGCAGTGACGAGAGCACGCTTGTTCAGCAGTTTTCGGACATAGGGCTCGCGAATCGGGGCCCAGTTCATGAACGTATATTCACTGTACCCTAAGAACGCCATGACGGGGTCGATCTTGTACTGGTAGGAGACAATGAAGTAGGCAGCAACAGCGAATGGTAGAATGATCTGTACCAGAGTTAGTGACGACTTCCTGCATTATTCCAATCGAAGTATCAACATACCCAACAGCGAATACTCCGAGGCTTATTCCTCAAGACGACGTAGAACGCAGCCCAGAAGCCTCCCCCGAAACTGATCAGAGCAAAAGCAAGGCGCAGGATTATGCTCAGGGGAACCATGTTTCCAAGAGCCTTGGCCTGCAAAAATCCTGGAAATGCATCACGCTCCATGGCCTGGAACACATAGTCCTTGGCGGGGTCGAACACTTCGGGGTCATCTCGGCCATCGTCTTCGATCAAATTGATGATTGTCGATACCATTGCTTCCGGAAGCATGATCTCACGCTCAGAACCGGGAAGCAGGTAGGTGTACAGGATCTTCTCAGCACTGGCGCGAATGTCGTTGCGAGCCACTGTGGGACCAGGGGAATTGGAGTCGTTATTTCGGGAATCAGGAGTATCGCGACCATCTTCGTGCGAGTTGGTTTGAATTACTGAACCGTTGGAAGATCTCAAGCTTTGTCGGGAAGGTGACGTGGTTGCGCCTTCGGAGCGAAGGAATGCTGAAAGACGCTGGTCGGCGTCTCTTTCTTTCTCGTTCTCGTTGAATCCGTGGCGCAGCCGAGAAGGCCCAGCCTCCGTCAGTGGGATGTCACCCAAGTTCTCCAAGTTGTCTAGCATAGTCGACGATCGTTTACTTCCAGCACGTTCAAGATCCGGGGTCGCAACCAGGACGGAACGACGGAGTTCACGGACATAGTGTCGGCATAGTAGCATATGTTGCGATACATCAAGCCTGTGGAACTTGTTAACCTCGAACTAGCCATTGCACATAGGGCTCAAACTCACCAGAAATCCAAATAGTCCACTGAACGCTGCTGGTCGCGCATGTAAATGTAGAACGAAAAGAGGTCGACCGGTGCAAGGGTTCGGCGGCTCAGCACCTCAAAGAGGGTCGGCAGACGATTACGTGACTCTGCATCGACAAAATCATGGTGAGACATATTGGCAGTCTGTCGAACGTTGGCAACGGTGGAATGACCAGCACCGAGGATTCAAAACGAAGGCGGGGAAGTAATAGGGGGCGGGAGACCAAGATCACGTTGAGAAGTGATCAACGTCAACACAGCCCAAAGGATGCGAGTTGTAACACGTAGCTACGTGCGCCTGTGTGTAAAAGCGAATGATACGATATTGGAAGCGAAAGGAGGGGTCGTTGGAATGAATTGAACTCCACGTCGTGAGGTACGCGATGGGACAGAGGGTATGGACGTGATAGCCCCGAGAGTTGGGATAGCGCAGAAAGTTCAACAATTGCTCAGCAACAGCAAAGAAAGAAAAAGGAACTTGGAGAAACGCAAGCCCAGCGACGAAATGAAGGACCAAGGTAAGGGTGAAGTCGTGAGGCTATTCCAGCCATCGCTATTCCTTTCAACTGAAACAACATCGGAGTAATGATAATCCGATATTAGGATCCACCCGTCAGGGGTGATCAACCTGAGTTGTAGTTTATTGCATCATGTTTCATCATACATGCTTCAGATCCGAGAGCTTCACATCGATATCTACGCTCAGTTCATCCTCAATATACTCTCTACAGCTGCCTTCATCCCAAGGGGCACTGCCTTCGGCCTGACAGATGTCCTGCATCTATATGTGATTGGCGTAAGGAGTGATCAGCACATTAACTGTCATTAACCTATCCATTGATGTGATCTAACAAGACACTGATCCAGACCACCCAAAAACAACACAAACCTTTCCGATGGGTTGACCACCGGCGAGGTACTTGTACGCCGCCACGACCTGATCACGGTCAAAGTGGAAGATCTTCTCAATGGGCATCCGAAGCTCGTGCGCTGCGATGAATGCAATCACTTCATCCAAGTGCTGTTTCGAGCCATGCAGAACAGCGCGCATCTTCACACCCTTCCTCAGAGCAAGTTGCACAACATCGGGCATGTTGCCTTCCAGTTTTGGGCCCACACAATCAAAGAGAGAGATCGTACCGCCAAAGGCAACAGCTTCGATTGACTTCTCGATAGTCACAGCACCGCCAATGTCAAATACGTGATCCACACCCCGGCCTGAGGTGAGCCTCTGTGCCTGTACCGCCCAGTCTCTCTTCTCATTGCAGAAAATCGCGTGCGTCGGTCCGAACTCATTTTTGACGTATCTCAATTGGTCCGGATCAAAGGAGGTGATGATTGTAATCGCTCCAGCAGCTTTGGCTAGCATGAGGCCCCAAAGACACAGGCCACCGGTACCTGTATGAGCGTTAGCGCCTAGGGCCTATCAAGACTTCAAGCAATCGACAGGATGGAGGTGACTTACCAAGAAACAAAACCGTCTGGCCACTTTTGATTGGCACATCGCCGTACAAAGCATTCCAGGCTATGACACCAAAGCTGGCGGTACTAGCCCACCGCGCATAGGAAAGAGGAGAGTCTTTGGGGATTTTAGCAACAGCATGCTCAGAAACAGAGATATACTCTCTCATCACGCCATCGATTGGGCCGCCTAGGCCCCAATTCCAAGACTTGATCGGTCCAGTGCGTGTCATTTGGTCATAGGCGATGACCACCTTGTCACCTATCGCGAATCCGCGGACATCTTTGCCAACCATGACAATGTCTCCTGCCGCATCAGAGCCGGGGATAACTCGGTCCCTCACCGGATGTGCGTACGTTCCAGTGGCAATGGCAAGGTCTCGGTGGTTCAAGGCCACACTTCGGACCTTCACGAGGACTTCACCCTTTCCGGCCCATGGTCGGCGCTCTCGGAATTCGGTCAGGCTGTTCCACGAGTTACGGTCGGTCAGACGAAGGACGGTATGAGTTCCCGCAGTATTCATGATGAAAGTCCGATGAATTTAATGCAAAGGGGTAAGAAGTGGGATGGAACGGACTCGAGTTGGGATGGATCGAAGCTGTGATGATTGACGCTGGGATTTATACCTCTCTCGTCCCCCGACCACGTGCCGCCACGAGTGCCCCCGGTCAGACAACTATCGGTGAACGCTCAGCTATTTCTGCCTCTGTGCCATTGAGCGTCTAGTTCTATGCTTCAGGCAATGGTCCACGTGGTTTGGGTCACTTCTGCTATCAGTAGGAGCCATAAAGTTCTTATTGGCACGCAGATCACGGGAGCACCCAACAGATGGAACACGCAATGGAGCCCCCGGTAAAGCTTATGGCGAATGACTGGAGCTACTCCCCATTATTGTGATGGCCGGTCTAACGGTAGACCAACGGCCTCTTGCTGTCGAGCCTATATTACAAAGCGAGTCCTACCAATGAATTCTTCGGGAACTCATACCGTCCTTCGGCTTACCGACCGTAAATCGCGGAACAGCCTGACCGAATTCCGAGAGCTCCGACCATGGGCCGGAAAGGGTGAAGTCCTCGTCAAGGACCGAAGTGTGGCCTTGAACTTCCCAGACCTTGCCATTGCTACTGGAACGTACGCGCATCCCGTGAAAGATCGAGTCATCCCCGGCTCCGATGCGGCGGGAGACATTGTCATGGTTGGCAAAGATGTCCGCGGATTCGCTATAGGTGACAAGGTGGTCATCGCCTATGACCAGATGACACGCACTGGACCGATCAAGTCTTGCCAACGCAATGCGTTGCTGCTGGTTCACTACGTTGCAGTAGGCCATGCACCAGGGCCTACACTAGAGGGTCAAAGTGTAGCCTTTCCCATATATAAGAAAGTACACCACCCCCAAGCCTATTAATGAACAAAAAACATGAAAATCGAACATTTATTCAAACAAATCATACTACATGTACCGTGGAACTCAGTCCACGCTAATTGGCGACCGCCGGTAGTTCCATACGTTCTGATCACACATGGGAACCCCGGCTCGGTCCGTGACAGTAATGATGTGATAATCTAACAACAGGGTATTCGCACCAAAATCCAACCATGCAAGGCCCCCTTAACGCCCGCCAGGGAAAAAAAGTAAACAAACAAAAACAACGCCCTCGCTCTGCAGTAAACCTAACAAATGTCATGCTATGCCAGAGTTAGTGTTTGCCCTTTCAGATAGGTCCGAGAAGTCAATACATACCGGCTATCCCCAAATCATTCGGATCTGCGGTCCGAATTATTGGCTGTCCGCGAAGTACTGTCAAATTAATGATTGTCGGCAAGATGCTGTAACCCAGGGTTAGCGTTTGTCTGATCAGATATGACTGAAGAAGTGAAGTAAAAACGTACCGACCACTCCGGAATATTCCGAATCTGCTGCCACATAAACTTCTCGAGCTTGTTGGCACTTTTCGCATACGCAGTGGTCTCATTGTTATACCGACGACAATTGTCGAAGATCAACATGGCATCCTTGATGAAGTCCTGGGGAGTGGGATACAGATCCTTCTCGTGTTTCTCCTCCATGGTGGACAAATCCATGGGCTCCTTGATGACTTCGTAATAATCGGGGACTTCGTCACGGTTCACAGGCTGAGTAAATGGCCAGGCCGCACTGTGGTTCTGCATGTCATTGAGTAGGTGCAGCAACTGGTTGTAGTTTGGGCCATGGCGAGGCTGCCGAGCCATTTCATCCATGTCTGGAGACCATCCAGATGCCTTGATGGCAGGGATGCTAAGGGGATCGATTGGAGTCACGCCGTTCTTCCATTCCTTTGGAGGCGGGTGAACAACATGGGAGCGACTGAAGCTACGGATCTTGGCTTCGACGGACTCCTTCTGCTTGGTAAGCATGCGGCCAGCCTCCAGATAGCGGATCTTGGGCAGCATGGAGCACTGCATGAGCGTGCCGCCTTCGTAGTCCTTTATGTAGCCCATCCAAATGGATTTATCGAGCGTAATTTCCTTCGTGAAACCCTGTTTTTTGAAATAACCAATAGCATAGTTGTCCGCGTAGGTGAGGAAATGCATGATTGGAGAAGTCGCTTTGACGTAGTCCTAATGGAAAGTTAGTCAGGTATGCGCTGGGGAACTGGATGATTGTAAACATACCTTCAGATGGGACATCAGATGGGCACCGTATCCCTTGACCTGTTGATCAGACGAAATGGCGCAGAACACAATTTCGGCGAACTTGCGAGTATTGAAAGGACGGTATGTGATTCCTCTGTACTTGATCAGTATCCTATTTCCCAATCTCGCCGAGGCGGACTTTCGACTTACCCAACGACCTCCAGTGGTTCCTTGACAATGGCCATGGAGAGATGAGACCGATCGTAGACAAGACGCGCAATGTAGTCCTTGGGCATCTTGGGGAGCTGTTTCTGGAAGATGTTCTTCAAACCCGTAAGGACCTTAAAGCTGTCATGGGAGCTATCGTTGTTCACGACACGGAACTCGATGTCGCCACGGCGTTCCTCGAGCACAGCGGGCTGGGGAGAGTCAGCATTTGTCCCATCAAATGAAGCTTCTCGTTGGAGATCCATGGTGCGCATGAGAATGAGAGGAAAAGAAAGTTACCTTCTCAGGAAAAGGAACGATGCGAAGAGGACCCTTCGTGGGGTGTTCGTCTTTGCCTTCCTGCACATAACAATAACAGTTAGCGCAAACATGTCACGCGACACAATTGAGCCATAACGATCACTCTTACCTCTTTCGTGGGTGAATCTGCGCGTGGCTTCTTGCTAGCCACCTGCCCAGATCCTGGGGAAGCTATCTCCTCAGAGACTTTGCGCTTGTAACCTGCATTTTCAAGTTAGTAAATGCTTCCTCCAGAGAAAAAGTACAATGAGGCAGTTAGATACAACTTACTTTTTGGCGAATTGACAGTCATTGTTCTGATCTTCAAGCAGCTCGCCTGTACACGGGAGGGTCGATGATATGGGAGGAGACGGATAAATAAAAGTCCGAGTGTCATGGCGGTTGATGGTATGGGGATGAGCCGGAGAAATAGTAAATCCGAGTTCCGGTTGGGTCAGATCTGCGGATAAATAACAAGTGGCGCACCAATCACATGACGGGGCTGATGTTCCTACTAGTTCCTACCTTGAGATGACATCTGTCGGTTCTCCGTCCCTCGAACTTCATTGAATGTCAATTACAATCTTCTTCTTCGATTCTACTGCGTAAATTCCTCATGTCTCTGAACGAAGTCTGGGAGGCAGCCTCCGCGACTCCTTTTGTGCCTCTTATTAGCAAGGATAGCCAGTTTACCGTCGGCTTCAACTTACTCCTTATCGGTAAGCTTCCTACCTACTAGCACAGCTTGGAAAGAGAGCAGCTTCTGAATAGCATTTACAGCATTGATTACGGCCACACTCTTTGGACTGAGTAAGTACAACAAAGCTCGTCCGACTTGAAGATATGGGCCCGCCCTGACAATCAAAACAGATCGGTCTTTCCTCGGTATCGCATCTTTGGGTGTCCCCGCCGCATTGGCTTTTGGGTTAGTAAAGCTTGTGTCCCACCTGGAGATATTTTCCCGCACGACCGACATACTGATTGAATGATCTGGATAGATTTGGAGCTGTGTTCATGATCTGTGCCGCCGGAGTCTACGTTTAACCAACTACCTCTCCTATCGCCTGTTCCTCAAATGTACCATAAGCGCTGGGTTCAGAGGGGCATGTACTACTAGACCATCCAAAGTCATCACGCATTTTCGGACTCGAAACCTTCATTCTGTGCCAGTATCGCGCCTGCATATCTCCAGCTAGCTTCTGCGCGACGAAATGGAGCCCCTATTCACTGCAGTTTCCAGCAACGCCCACCATCTCTACACACTGCTATCCTGCATTGGGTTCGCACACAAGGCCACCGTCCAGATCACGCCGGAGGGAATTCGATTCTCGGTTGAGGAAGGCCGTGTCATCCAAGGACTCGTTTTTCTCGATAAATCGCTTTTCACCAGCTACACGTACAATGCACCGACGGACGCTGAGCCTAACCAACACCAACCCGACCAAGATACCAATGGCTCACAGAATGAATCCTATCCTTATTTCGTTGTCTCAATCTCCGCCATTCTCGAAACCTTGAAGATCTTTGGCATCAACGAGCTCTCAGACTCAAACCGACCCCGTGAATCCAGCATCCTACACACCAACACCGCCTCGTCAAGCGCATTCAACGCCCCCGCATTGCTCATGCACCGCTCCTGTACCCTGCAATACGTCCGGCACGGCGCCCCTCTCAGCATCACCATCACCGAAGCCGGCGTCAAAACAACCTGCGAGTTAGTTACCTACGAGCCCGACGAGAACGGAGGGGACATCCCACTCCAGCGCGACGCTATCATCATGAAAATCATCATGCGCTCCGCGTGGCTGCACAATGCCATCGCCGAACTCAACTCCTCCACCCCCACAATTTTGAAACTCTCCGCATCCGCCAAGCGGGAACCGTACTTTGCTCTCTCCGGTGCGGGCGGCCCATTTAGCGAATCCACCGTCGAGTTTTCGATCGATCAGCATAACGAGATCACCGGTGGCCCGGGTCAGGGACACAAGGTGGTGACTGCCGATGGCTCTAACCGCGCTCGCGCAACTCGGGCCCAGGTTGCGCCTACGGTCACGGAGACTTTCCTTGTGAGTCCGCCGTCTTCTATGGGCGATCGGATTCAACAGAGCTATCGCTTTGGGCTGCTTCGCAAGGCCGCGAGGGCTATGTCAGTTGCTAATAAAGTGAGCATCCGTGGGGATAGGCAGGGAGTGCTGAGTCTGCAGTTCCTTGTTGAGCTCGATGATCATAACACCCCCGTGGGGAGATCTATAGGTGCTGGTGTGAAAGGCCCCAATGGGCCGGTTTCGTTTGTGGACTTCCGCTTTGTGCCATTACTCGACGAAGAGGAGGCTGAGATGATCATGGGTGCAGATGACGACTAGGTAGCTGAGCTTTCGTCTGTCTTGAGATCTTACACATATACCCACGCATAAGCAATCGAACCAAGGTTATACAGACCCTCATAGAATCAAGGCTTTTCTTTCAATGTTGATTGATGGGAACTCCATAGAGCCGTTTAGAGTCAATAAGTTCAAGGCTAAAGCTACCGCGATCACACAGGCGCTGCGCCGGCGATGACGACCAAGAGCAGAACACTCGAAGCAAGAAAAAGATAATGCATCATATACTTCATCACAGGTAGACCAGCAGTATGAAAAACCAATCCGCAAACCAGTCAAGCCCGGAATGCGAAATATGTCCAAGGCCAAATCCCAGAGCGCTTTACAAAACGCCAGAGTCAACAAAAGAACCCCGCCGAGCTCATGCAGGGTCAGGGTTATAACTAGTCTCACCAAGCATACTCTGCCCAGGCGCAGCCGTCGACTCAACCGGTCTCACTTGCGACGAGCTAGGCTCCCCCAACCCAGCGGCCTGACCCTGCGGACGCGCAATCGTAGAAGCCTGCAACCTCCGATCCAACGCCTTGAGCGCAATCGCCCGTCTCCGCTCAGCCTCCTCGCGCTTCGCAGCGCCCCTCGCGCCCGCCCCACGACTATTCAACAACGTCGGCAACCCCGCCTCGCCTCTCGCTAGTACCTGCTCATTGCCGGACGCGATATCGTCCTCGGAGAACGGTGTCAGGATCTTAGTTGCAACCAGCAGGCCGTAGATCTGATCCGCGACGAAGGCGATGGGCGGCTGCATCACGTCGGGGAATAGACAGGCGAAGGCGAAGGTTTCGCTGGCGTCGCCTTTGATCCCGGTGCCGGTGTTCGAGGTGCCGGTTAGATCGGGCTGGCGCTTGTAGAAGCGGAGGTAGGTCCAGCTGGTGAGTATGCCGAGCCAGGAGAGGACGGATGCTGTGTCGGTGCCGAGGAGGAGGCCGCTGAGGGTGTTTAGGAGGAGGAAGAGGGCGGGGAAATGCTTAACGCGCATTTTGATCAGGCCTTTGAAGACTGTTACGGTGTGTTCTGGGACGAGTTGTTTGAAGGCAACGAGGAAGGAGGCTTGGATTGAGACGCCGCCGCAGATTTGGGTGAGTCTGTTTTTTTCGGGGTTATTTAGTGTTTAGTGTTGGGGGAAAAAGGCCCATGGGATTACTTACGTTCTGGTTGAAGAACCTCCGAGGGCTCCCCAGATCAGGTAGATTGGGATGATTGCTATGCAGGGGATCACGGCGATGACAGCGATGAACTTGCTGAACTCGCGCGAGCCCCATGCGCGTTCGAGGTATTTGCCGCCATAGAAGATGGTGGCGGCGTTCAAGAGGACGGTGAATATGTTTTGTTCAACGAAGGTAGCTGTGACGATTGTCCATGGGTAGTAGAAGAAATAAGAAGGGACCAGAGTCAGGTAGGGGACGAGAGGAGAGGTCGTCGGGGTCCCGCCAGTGGTGTCAATCTGTCGCCATCTGGCAATGTTGTAGAGGAGGGAGAGAGTGAGGAGGCTGACGAGACAGAAGCGGGTAGCAGGAGGAATGTTGATTCGGAGCGACATGTTTGGGAGCTCTTGTGGAGCTCTCGCAGGGACCGAATCGCAGGGACCGAAGGCCGTAAAGAGTGAAGGTTGAGGTGGGAAAGCTTAGCGGAGCCGGACCCTTGGGCCTTGGTCTAGTGTAGCACAGCCAGCTACATCACATATCTACATGGGGCCTAGCTTAGTACATGTATCTTTTCTTTTTATGTTTAGATCTATTCTCTTTATTGCTAGCAGGGGATATTGGCTTTTTCCCATTTCCTATTTGTAGCTCCATAATTATAGGATTGGACTCAAAGGGGGCTATGATAACGTATACAGGCCATAGACAGATATACCGTGGCCTTAGATATTTTCAGCCTGCATGTACTCTGTAGTCTGTATGTTTTGTTTGGTAAAAAGTCAAACTGCACGAGGTCGATGTACGGACTACGGAGTACAAGGGCATTCTCTGTAGCTCTGCAGTATGCAGCCAACATCCTGTTGCCCACCATAGCGCTATTAGCACTATGGTGCCTTGTCACTAGATGCAGAAATCTTCACTGATCGAACTTGGCAATTTGTACTGTGTATAAAATAAAATAGGGAGCAAAAAGACAGGGTAGATCTACGCAGTACTGTGTAAGTGCAAATGTATTGGCCCCATGAAAGAAACACATGGAATGCGCCAATCCAAATGTCAAGTCGGTAACCCGCGGCATCACCAGCCACGATCCACCATCTAGGATTGGCCTGCAGGTTCGGGTGGGTGCATTTCAAGAATATGAGGTAACCCAAGTATCCGATCATTCTGATGTTTGAGATAGAAAATATTTCTGTTAGCATATCAGTGGTGACACAGTGAAATGCGTCACTGCGGTACTTCAACTATCGAGAAGTGCTCGTGCTGAAATCCCCCGATATGTGGAGAACCCGTTCCCATTTTTGTGGCTGTTAGAGCTTGACAGGGTTATGGGGGCTCTGGGGGTGGTTACAGAGGGTAGATGTCTCAGGATTAGCAGGTGCTTTAGTTGAACATAGAGTAAAAGAGACAGACAAGAAGAGCAAGAGTTAGAGAGAAGAAAGAGTAAGAGGAAAGAACGATGGAAGTGTGGAGGACGCCACAGGGAGGATCCCATGTGGCTAGTGCTAAACTCTGGACTTCAAACATTCTGGATCCTTTAATCTCAGATCTTCACTTTCCTGGCTCTTCTCTCTCTCTCTTGAGTCTCTTCACTTCTTAATACTCTTTTGGTTTCGGTTCTGATCCTAGCGGAAATCAGTTCCACCCATTGCAGATATTGTGAACACCATACCCCCGGTCTTATCTTCTTCCCTCTCTCTTCTCTTCCCTACCTTCAATTTCTCCCTTGTCTTGGCTTTAGCCTTTCCCTTCAATCTTTAAACCCTCTGGCCCTTTCTGTGCGGAAGATAACCCGACCCCCTTTTTTAATTAATCCAGAACTTCCTTCCCCCTTCCGGCCTCGTGTTCCGCGTTCCTGAAGCTCTGACTCCGCGCATCAAAGCCTCCACTTTGATTTTCGCGAACAGCTCTCTTCCCGCTTTGGCATGTCCGCGGCCCTTAGCTGGTCGCACATGTAATCATGGCACAACCCGACCTCACGTCGCATCATGTTAACTATTTAATTTGGAGGTAAGTGACAATGCGCTCATGCATGCAATACAGAACTAATGTGATTCTGCAGGTATCTCCAAGAAGCAGGTTGGTCCCGTCCCTTGGACTTTACCATTTCTTCTCGTATCTAACTTAATCCAGGTCATGGCGATGCTGCTGTGTCTTTGCAACGCGCATGGTATCCTAATCCACAGACTCTTCCGTTTGCGCCGTATGTTAAAACCCATGCGCTGGTGTCATTGGTGCAGAAGGGCCTCCAATATCATGAGATGGAAGCCTCATTGGACAAGGTATGTCTAATTTCAACGTGCTTCTTACGCGCCAAAGGGGATTCCTTTGGTTGGTTTAGAAATCGCGCTAACTGAAATGTACAGGAGGGCAATCACATCAATATTTCACCCTCTGATTACTTTTTCGGGCCAGAGCCCTTTGAAGCTGGCTCTACAGAAGGTCATGATGAGGCTATCGGCACTGACGCAGATTCGCCGGCCCAGGTTGAGCACGACCGCCCGGTAAATGGCCATGCCGAGCCGGATAGGGATGAAACTGATAGCGATGAGTCCATGGAGGACAAAGCACGGACCGAAAGCCAGCCAGAATCTCCTCGTCGTCTGGACGATGATGGCGATATTAGCATGGCCGAGGAAATTCCCGAGCCCACCCTCGGGAACGGTCACATATCCGGCGTTTCGATCGCCCCCGCCAAGCCCATCGATTTGACGCCCAACACCGCCCTGCTGGATGTGGAGAACCACGTGACTAGCGCTCTATGGCACCCTCGTGATCCCAATATCGTCGTGGGAGCTGGTGAGCTCTTTTGCAGCATATGGAAGTTGTCAACCTCGTCAGACCCACTGCAGAAGAAGATTCTCGACCTCAAGGTGGGAAGCACAAGTGTCTCAACCGTGGCCTGGGATGCCATCGGCGAACAATTGGCCGTGGCGACTTGTACCGATGACCGAGGAACCATCACCATGTACAATGTCAACGGTGACGCAGTGGACCTACTACCCGAAGTGCCGCGGCTTGTTACTGGTCTGCATTGGGCTGAGGACAGCCCGCGACTCGTTGTTGTCGCCTCGAATCATAATGTATCGGAGCTCGCGCTTTGGGACGACACCCAACGACCGGACGTTTTCCCTCCACCTCAAACAATTGAAGATCAGATCAACGAAGTGGCATGGTGTGGACGCAACTTGGTTTTTGCTGCTGGAGACAGCACAATCTACCAATCCGAAGTTGACAACAGCATCCGTCTGGTTAAAACATTCCGTTCCCCCAGTGATGATGCAAGATGGGGGTTGATTCGCTGCATCCAAACTGAATCTCACTCAGTTGCGGTCGCAGCTTCTGAAGACGCCCGTGCGATCTGGATCCCCACCCATGACATCTTTATCCCCAACGCCCACGATGCCAGTATTACCGGCCTTGATATTCGTCCTCAATCACTTGCGCAGCGCATTGACTTTGCCTCTTTCTCGGCGGACGGTAAAGCCAAGGTCTGGCGGGTCGATCTCGACCTCAAGGATTATACATGCATTCATCAGCTTAGCCTAGATCCATCAAGTCCGGCGCTCGCCGGGTCTTTCTCACCCGATGGATACGCCCTGGGCGCGTTCAGCAAAGACCGGCTCTTTATTTGGAACGTGGAGCGTGGCGGTGCACCCATTTCCACCTGGACCGCACCTATACCCGAGGTGAAGAAGGAGGAAGGCGCTCGCCTCACCAACGGACACCATGTTTCGAACGGTCACATAGATTCGGATCTAAGCCGGCCCTTTTCTTGGGATATGGATGGGAAACGACTTGTCTGCGGCTTCGACAAACAGGTACATCCCCTCTTTACTGTTTCAATTGATTAATGCTAACGGATCTTCAAAGCTGGCGATCATTAATTTGCAGCGATGATGGCAAAAGCTCGAATCACCCACACATAACGACTCATGCCCCGCTGAAACTAATCGACACTCCCGGAAAGGCTCCATTTGAAGAGGTATTGCCCTTCATGGACTCTCTGATTTCTTTTTTCCTTTTGCTCTCCATCTTTCGATCTTCTGTGAACATACATTCTGATTTAGAAAATGCATAATGGCATGCATTGCTTGAGGCAGGTTTGGGTAGGCACGGCGAATGACATGGACTGGCGACGGTGGACTCTTTCTTTTGCCTCTTTTTCTCCCCATTACGGTGGGGCTGTGTGATCTTGTACCTCATTGTTATTGTTTGATCAAGAAAATACCCTGTTCCAGTATCAGAAGCTCCTTTATACTCATGTACCACAGTACCTGTAAGGCTGTACCCCCTCTGTACTCCGTACTGCCGCGTCTTATCGATAATGGATGTACCCCTCGACGCTAGTCCATATTAGGGCATATAGATGTTCACAGTCACACTTGTAAGACCGCTAAGCCTTTCAATGTTGCTCGTCTGCAACCATACGAGGGACTTTTCTTGGATATATAGCCTGGAAAAACTCGTATCTCTTTGTTGGGAGGTCCAACAAAGAACGGGTGCGGGCTGGGCTCATTCCAGTCGGACCCGGGCCGTCGATCAAACCCCCCCACAGTGAATCATTTTCCCACCGTCAGATCAATCCTTCCTCTACAGTTCTTCACTCGCATCGTCGATCTCACCCATATCGCAAGATGGCACCTCCTGTAAGTTCGCACATGCTTGGATGGCGCCTTTCCTCACTGGATGCGTGCGCCAGGATTCAGTTTATGCTTATTTACCAATGACTCAGATCGCCACCATCCCGTCCCTCGAGACGGCGCGAGATGTGATCTCGAAGTCGAAGAACTCGGAATTTCCTCCCAACCTACTTCCTGTCACAGCAACAATTGCTGCCGACCTCTTGACCCCGACCTTGGCTTATTTAAAAATTGCAGAGAAGTGAGTCATTGGTCTCTTTCAACATTGGTGGGGCACTGAATGCCGGACGGGATTGCTGACTCGCAGACATAGCTCGCGTTTGTCATTTTTGTATGAAAGTGCCGCCACTACAGAGACGATTGGACGATACAGCTTCGTTGGCGCAGGTGGGTGATCCCAGAAGCTTCGATCCGATCCCATTGCTCACTTGTTTCCACCATGCAGACCCTAGGAAAGTCATCAAGACCGGCGAAGGCCATGGACCCGCAGCAGACCCCCTCCCATACCTCGAGGAGGAGCTCTCCCAGTTCCGCGTCGCGACAGTCCCTGGATTAGTCCTCCCGCCATTGACCGCCGGAGCGATCGGATATGTTGGATACGACTGTGTTAGATATTTCGAGCCTAAGACGGCACGACCCATGAAGGATGTCCTCGGAGTGCCAGAAGCGTTCTTTATGCTTTTCGACACCATTATCGCATTCGATCATTTCTTCCAGGTCGTGAAGGTCATTACCTACGTCCCTATTCCCTCGGCCGATGCCGATCTCGAGGCTTCATACCTCCAGGGCCAGTCCATCATCCAAAAAACCATCAATACCCTCCTCCAGGAACGCACGCCTATGCCCCCACAAGGTCCGATCATTCCGAACCAACAGTATACATCCAACATTGGACAGGAGGGTTATGAAGGCCACGTCCACAAATTGAAGGAGCACATCGCCAAGGGCGATATTTTCCAGACTGTGCCATCACAGAGGTTATCACGACCCACCTCCCTTCACCCATACAACCTCTTCCGTCACCTTCGCACCGTCAATCCCTCTCCTTACCTTTTCTATATCGACTGCCAAGACTTCCAGCTTGTCGGAGCCAGTCCCGAGCTCCTTGTCAAGGAGGAGAATGGCCGAATCATCAGCCACCCCATCGCCGGCACAGTGAAGCGCGGCAAGACCCCAGAGGAGGACGCCGCCCTGGCCGAAGAGCTCCGCAGCAGTCTCAAGGACCGCGCCGAGCACGTCATGCTGGTCGATCTCGCCCGCAACGACGTGAACCGTGTCTGCGACCCCACCACAACGCAGGTCGACCGTCTCATGGTCGTGGAGAGATTCTCACACGTGCAGCACCTGGTATCTCAAGTCTCCGGAGAATTGCGGCCAGGAATGACCCGCTTCGATGCGTTCCGGTCCATCTTCCCCGCTGGCACCGTATCCGGTGCACCCAAGGTGCGCGCCATGCAGCTCATTGCCGAGTTGGAGGGCGAGAAGCGTGGTGTCTACGCTGGCGCTGTTGGATACTTTGGATACAACCGTGCCAATACCGACGGTTCCGCTGAGATGCCCGGTGCCATGGACACCTGTATTGCGCTGCGCACTATGATGGTCAAGGACGGCGTGGCTTACCTCCAGGCCGGTGGTGGTATTGTGTTTGATTCGGATCCCTATGATGAGTATGTCGAGACGCTAAACAAGCTTGGTGCCAACATTTCGTGCATCAAGGGCGCTGAGGAGAAGTATATGAGCATGGAGCAGTAATGCTCGAGGGCTGAAATTTGAAATAATGTAGTTAAACCATGTTGGCACAGATCTGTTGGCGTAGTGCGTTAAGCACAAGCTGGTTCGTTATATTCGGGAACGTCTTTCTGTTGGAGCAAGATTCTTCAGCTTTTGGTCATATATATTGCGTCTCTTCAATTTTTTAACACGCGAACTAAAAGCATTTTGGTGATGCGAGATCATGGCGCTTTCCAACCGGTACTGCACATGCTTCATAGACTTTTTGGGTCGTTCTTTCCAGACTGGGGTTACGGAGATACCTACGATAGAAATGTTTTCAGGAAGTCAGTCACAATAATTGCCCATATCGTAGATCTCCAGTCCTCGTACCTCCAGCTCCTTGATGCGAATTGCGAACACTGGTGTACAAGACTCAAGAGCATGCGACACTCTAATCTGATTGGCCCAACCCTTGTTTGGGCTGTTTGCTTAAACGTGCAGACCTTAAATATCAACCAATCACAGCTGTCAATTAGGACCCCGGGGCATGTTGTCGAAGCTACCAGATGACGTATCGATAATCATCGAACATGGCGAAGTATAAAAGTCGAAACTAGCCTCCCCCATTGCCCCGAACTTCCCCTGAATACCCTCATAGACACTACTTCACCTCAATTCTTGCACAATTAAGAAATACGACAACAAAAAATGACACCAACAGCAAAACCCGTCGTCGCAATCGCCGGCGCAACCGGTCACCTGGGCAAACACATAACAAGCGCCTTCCTCTCCTCGGCCTTCCACGACAAATTCTCCGAGATAATCCTCCTCTCCCGCAAAGAATCAACCCTGTTTTCCCCCACGGAGGTTCGCGCCGGCGTAAAAGTCACAACCCGACGCTACGACACCAGCAACCTCTCACAAGCCCTGCAGGGCGTACACATCCTCGTGAACGCCATCGGGCCCTCAGGTCACGAATTCAAAACCCGCATCGCAGCCACGCTACCACGCACAAACATCCGGCTCTACTTTCCCTCCGAGTTCGGGGTTGACCATTACGGCCACGACTTTGCGCATCTGGAGTGGTACGAGAAGAAGAAACATCTTGCGAATGCGCAGCCTGTTGTTACGGATATGAAGATCTGTCGTGTGTTCTGTGGACTGTTTTTGGAGGATAGTATTGGGCCTTGGTTTGGGCTTGATACGAAGAATGGGAGGTATACGAGTGTTGGACCGCCTACGAAGCCGGTTTCGTTTACGGGGATTGGGGATGTGGGGAAGACGGTTGCGGCGTTGGCGACCATGGAGGTGGACATGGTTCCGGAGATTGTGCATGTTGGGGGTGATACGAGGTCTGTTTTGGAAATTGCGGGGATTATGAGGGATGCTGGGGCTGGGGAGATTGAGGTCAGTGAGGTTCCGTATGAGGAGTATAAGAAGAAGACGACGGGTGGGGAGGCTTCGTGGGATCCGGCGGCTTATTTGAGGTTTTTGATGGCTGATGGGAGTATTGATCATACTGTTAATGGGCTTGGATCGGATAATGAGTTTGTTAATCCGGGGCAGAGGTTATGGAAGTGGAAGACGATGGAGGAACTGGCGAAGGAGACTAAGGGACGGCCTTGGAAGGATACTGTTTGGCCTCCGAAGTAAATGTAGATATTTGCTGGGTATAACTAGAGAATTAGACAGATACTCAAATCTATCAATGATTTGCATCGAGCCAAATCATGTTTCAAGGCTCTGTCAAGTTACAATCTCACCAAGGAATAAAGTATTCTCTCCAATGCTCTTTAGTGTCGGCCTCCTTAAACTTGTCAATACCACCGACAACGCCATCTTCGTCCACCTGCCAATCACCCATTTCCACCCGTTCAGCCCAACTTTCCAAAACTTTGTGTAGATACGAGCTGCGGGAGTCCCAAGGTAAATAGCCACTATAGCCACTGAATGTATCCGACTGGTAAAGTTGATCAGGCCTCTCAGTTTCCGTATCAATAATAAATTTGAATGGAATACCATTGCTACTTCGAGCAAACCCATTCCTGCCGATGCTAAACGGCAGCAAGAGTCGGCTCTGGTTGCCAGATTCCCAGTTAAAGCCTTCGTCGGTGGGTTCCATGTACAAGCCAGAGGGAATATTCTCTGCCTTCCCGTCAGGAAACCATGGCCGAATCCAGGGAGACATGTTCTCTCTCTCCCCTCGGAATAAGAGGAAAGGGAATGAAGATGTCTGCTTGTCGGTACCATAAAAGTCTGGAATCAGAACATTATGGCGGCGGTCAGCAAGTGGCTGGTTTGTAAATTCGATCGGGGTTTGGAGTCGAATGCCAGGGGCAATATGGCGAAATTTGAGGTGGCGGATAGGAAGAGCGGAAAGAAAAGATTTGACAAACCAGTCCGCTTTTATAAAAGACGCCTCCATGACCGATTCCGAGTATGGGAGAGCTATGCCCTCGAAGCTTGGCTGTTTGTTGTCACTGTCGTGTGTTGAATGCGTCGAAATCGATGGGAGTCGAATCTCGATGGCATCAAGAAGACGAGTGAAGGCACTGACAGCCCGCTCAACGTCTACTGCAGTATGTTGGTGAATCTCCCAAGGGAATGCCCTGAAAGAATACTTTTCAGATCCCTTCCGACGATCCGAATATGTTGTTATTTTGCCCTCATCCAACATCTCTAGATAGACTTGCAGAATGTTTTGCAATGGCCTCCATGGCCACCGTTCCCTATCAGACACAATCATATCTTCCCAGTCTGGGACAAAAGCTGCAAGCTCGGTTTTTTGGTCAAATCTTGTTGGCGCGTAAGCATTCGTCTTCACAGGTAGCAAAACTGAAGAATCTCACAATATGCCGACTTCTTCATCACTCTTTGTTCGTGTGGAGGGATACAATCAGACATAACGATCACCCCACCATCTGAGCGAACGGATAGAAGCAAAGATTTCATCTTTTCCATTAAGCGCCATGAGGTAATAGAAGAGATTGAAATCTGAATCAAGGTTAAACATCACGGCTTTTGCCGACCGCAGGAACCTGATCAACTTCGGATTCAGTCGAGATGCGAGATCGAATGGGATAGGCGAGGACTCTTCCCACCAGCTCTTGGACGGGATTGAATCGGCATCTCGTCCGGCTCCAATCCATCCCCGTTCAAGGATCTGGTTGTGGAGGTGCGCTGATAAATCGGGATCAAATACCAATGACATGGCTAAGGCATAGGTCTGGGATTTGGGAGATGCGGGAAGAGAGATGAGTACCACGCAAAGCGGAAGGTGTCGATTCTCGAAGCTAGACCGAAAGCATGAGAACTAGCCCAAAGAGGCAAGTTATATCTCCGCCATTCGCTTTGTCACCACAAACAAACACATAGTTGGCTGGACAGGAGTTATGAGTCTAGGTCTTGATCTTGGGATCAAATATGTATGAACCTAGAGGAAAGACTTGATGCTACCTTGAGGGCGGAGAGGACCATTCGGCCTGCAAGCAAAGGCCTTCTCTTCTTGACTCGAAATGGATTTGCGCCTTGCGATGGACGATATTAGAAAGCAGCTATCGTGATTCGTCTGAGCGAATGCAGGCACACGAAATTAGCGTTTTGCCCTTCGGTCAATGGAACGCAGCATAGTTGGGGACTTGGGGCAGCTCGGCTGAACTGAAGTTCAGAGATCTAAACGTTAACGAGCCGTTCCCCTTCGATAAAATGATTAAATGAAGGACCGATAAACAGCCGGATATTACCAAACTAGCTTGGTGGCCGTCGCAGGAATGTGTAAAATAATCAAGTCAAAACTCTCTACTATAAAAGGCCGATACCATGTGGACCTGGGATCGGAGTGCCAAGAGTGTCATGGACTTTCTAGAAAAAGCAAGATGACGTAGCCTTGTTCCCCGGAAGTTGAGCTATCACGTGAGATCAGATGCATACGAAGTACACAGTTAGTAAGAGTCTTTGCATATCCGATTGAGGTAAATAATAATTCCCCATTGACTGCTGCCTGAGAGCCTTGACCTTACCATGTGTGGCGGTGCCACTGCCGCGGTGGTCAACGTGCCACATATCTTCTTGTAGGAACAATTGCACAATCAGGTGGCTTGGGTATCGTGATCGTGTACTAATCATCTGTAGGGTCTTAGATAGCATATTGTTCTGATCTATTGATGCCCGAGTATGCGGGAAATTAAATCAGAGATGAATACGGTGGTCAGACTAGACTCTAGTCTGACCGTCAGACCACATCCCTGGGCCTGGTGTATGCACTAAGGAGTCTAGGAGTACTGATTACCTCGACTCGAGTAAGAATAGAAGAGATATTTGACCTCGCACAAAGTAGTACATAAAAGTGTAAGTTAATGAAAAGAAACCATCAGAGTGTAGTTAGAGTGTAGATCTCAACAATGCTTCGTAGTTCGGCCGGTACAAACTTGCTTCGTCACTGCCAAGCCTCGGGCCTCTTCCCCCCCCCGTTCTAGCCACAGTACCCCCCTCTCTCTCTCTCTCACTTCTCACTTTTCATCTGTCTTCTTCATTCGCCAACAGTTATCAAGCAACTTCAAACTCAATTCCCCGCCTCCTCACACCTGTTTGTGGACCCGTTCTATTCGAATCGGGAGGTGTACACGTAACGCGCTTAACAACCTTCCCATCTTGGGCCGCGATACGGAGAACGAGGGCTGTGTGCTTGGCAGTCTGATACTGATACTTTGCGATAACCCTTCGCATCCATAAGTCGCTGCTCGCCCGCGATAACGATTTATTCCTCCACAATACCGTGACCGTCGCATCACCGACAACATGTCTAAAGTCGTACGGAGCGTCAAAAACGTCACAAAGGGATATTCCTCGGTGCAAGTCAAGGTTCGAAATGGTATGAGCAGATTCTACTTCATTTCCCCTGCTATTACCAAGTTCGAGGCGCATTGGCAGAGCGGCTTCCGCCCGTGCCTTGCTTCCCCTGTCTTTCGGAGGACCCTTTCTGCATTGCGCTCATGCACTCTACATGGATAATGATGCAGTTGCTAACTGACCTTTCTAGCCACAAGCAATGACCCATGGGGCCCTACGGGCACTGATATGTCCGAGATTGCCGCCATGACATTCGGGAGGTGGGTTGCGGACTCTGATCAAATTGTGTGAACATCGCCTCTGACAATACTTGCACGATAGTCCGAACGAGTTCTACGAGATCATGGACATGCTTGACAAGCGACTCAACGATAAGGGCAAGAACTGGCGCCACGTGCTCAAGTCACTAAAGGTCCTGGATTACTGTCTGCATGAAGGCTCGGAGTTGGTGGTAACGTGGGCCCGCAAAAATGTCTACATTATCAAGACCCTACGGGAGTTTACATACGTTGACGAGGAAGGAAGGGATGTTGGCCAGAATGGTAAGTCATCTGTTGCAGACCGGAACAGTCGCAATTATTGACCAAGTTGGTGTCTTCTAGTCCGCGTGGCAGCAAAGGAATTGACCGCACTCGTACTGGATGAAGATCGCCTGCGCAGCGAACGGTCCGATCGCAAACTTTGGAAGACTCGTGTTAGCGGGCTCGATGAAGGCTATGGAAACTCCGGTGCGGAACCGCCGCGCAAAGACCGACGCCGACGTAATGGAGATGACGAGTCCGACACCGAATACCGCTTAGCTATTGAAGCCAGCAAGGCCGAAGCCGAGGAAGAGCGCCGGCGACGAGCCAAGGAGTCAATGGCAAACGAGGATGATGAGGATCTTGCCAAGGCCATTAAACTGAGCAGAGAGGAGGAGGAACTCCGGAGGCGCGAATTAGAGGAGAGCAACGCCCAATCGCTCTTCGACGACACCCCAGCTCAAGTTCAGCCAACTGGATACAACCAGGGCTACCAACAGCAAGGTGCTGTGGATTGGTTCGGAAACCCGATTAATGCGCAGCAGCCCATGACGACTGGCTATCTGAACAGCCAGTACGCTCAGCCAACAGGATTCCAGAATCAGCCCACCGGCGTGAACAATCCCTACGCCAACGGTTATCCGGCACAGCCTTCGGCATTCGATCAGAACCCCTATGGTCAGCAACAGAACAACTATTTGCAACCCCAGGCCACTCTCCAGCCCCAACAGACCGCGTTCAACCCCAACAACCCTTACGGAGGGGATATCTTTTCGCAGCAGCAACAACAACAGCCCCAGGAAAACTATCAGACAGCAGGAAGCAACAACCCCTGGGCTGGAAACCAGCAGCAGCAGAATCTGCAGCCGGCGGATGCCCTCAAGCCCATGCCGACAGGATCCAACAACCCCTTCGCCCAGCGCCAACAAACACAGTTCAACAACCCTGCACCAACCGGCCCACCCACACTCAATGCTTTGTCAGAGGACCGTGCCACGAACCAGTTCGCCCAGAACAACTCGCAGTACGGCCAAAACTCACTGTTCAGCCAGCCCACTCAGCCCAACCCCATTGCCAACTTCCAAGCCCCGCAACCACCAAAGAGCACTACACCGCAGGACCCTCATCATGCCCGTCTGAACGCCCTTCTGTCAACCGGCGAAGGCCTGGATACATTCGGCAATGTCGGAGATCTCCGAATCCCCGCGCAGCACACAACGCCTGGCACATTCGTCAACTCTGCCGGTCAGGGTTTGGACCGCCTACACGCTACGCCTACCGGAAACCCATTCCTCGGTCAGCAATTCACAGGCATGCCGCAACAGACCGGCTATATGCAGCAGCAACAGCAGCAACAGCCTGCTAACAACAATCCTTGGGGAGGTCAACAGCAGCAACAGCGCGGGGGTAGCTTGATCGATCTGTAATCACTTTTGCAGGACTTATTCCCTTTCCGATTCGTTCCTGACTTCGCTGCCACTTACGCGGATACCATCTCTCTCTATTTTTCTTTTCCCTTTCAGTCTCATGTTCAGTCATTCGGGGCTCGGTCGTCTGGTTCTTTTACCCGGTCTCACTGTTCTTCACTATTCGCTTCTCCCACCTATCGTTACTCGATACTCACCACAGTCTTCTGACATTGATAATCGTGGGTTGTTGATTGCGGCCAATCACTAGCTTTTGTCTTTCTGCGTCGCCTTGACAATCTACATCGATGTTTGAAGTGCTCTTCGCCCTGTCTTGTTCTCTCCTAACTCAAGACGCTTTCTTTTGTTTTGCCATCGTCTGCCATTAGGATATCCTTCTCATTTGAAACACGTTTGACTCTCATACTGCATAGTTCTAGTTCATATGGGTCGCAAGTCTAGTCAACTGATTGATTTCCCATCAAGTTACATGTACTATTCCGTTGTATTCAAAAGGCAAATGCCTCTTCGTTTTGCGCAAACTGGAGGTTAGGTAGGACCGAAAATTATAACTTAATAGTCCAACCCTGACCGGGGTTTCCAAAAGCACGCCTTTTGCTCGTTGAGACTACCCGAGCAAGTGCTTCTTTTTCCCCCGGAAGAAGAACTAGTTCCATCTGAAACGCACCTCAGACAAAATCTAATTCCCTCGCCAAATCATAATCCCATAAGGATCCCGATCAGCATCACTAACAGAAACGTCCACCTCGCCCAGCTCCTTAAGGTCCTTCAGATCCAACACACCAGCCGAAGGCTTCCCATCAGACATATCCAGCTCGCCAATAGCCTCCTCTGACTCCTTCAGAGCCCTCTCCCAGTCCTCCCTAATATGAGCCAACAACAACGGCTGCATAACAGCCCGCAAGTACCCACGCTCGGAATTCGTATGCGACAGCGAAATAACAACAGACCCCTGCTCAGTAGCAGCGAGCGCCTCATGGTGACTCATCTCACCCGTAAGCAAGAGATCAGGCAGCTCACCTTTCATCAGCACGCTCGACCCAGAACCAGGACACATTCCCACCGTGAGAATGGAGATGTCGTCCACAGACTTCCCCTGTGGAATGGCGATGGGAATACCGCCAGGCAATCCGATTCCGGCGGCGATGTTGTCGATGAGGGATGTGAGCGGCTGACGCTCGGAGAAGGAGATTAGTCTTCCTGCACCGGCGGACTCGAAGCCTTCGGGGATCGAGGGGGACGGGTGGATTGTGCTTCTTGTGTGCTGGGGGGTTTCGCGTTGGGTTGAGTTTACGGGAGCGAGCGACAGTGTGGCCGAGTCTGGGTATGTGGGTGCGGAGTACATGGTTGAGGTGCAGGATGGGATTGGTGGGGTTGAGGTTGGTTTGGTCGAGGTGAAGACGCCCGTTACGACGTCGCAGAGCCAGTCGGCCATGCCGTTGGGGACGGTGTCGACTGCTGTGTGGGGGGAGTAGACGCTGATGCCATGTTGGGCTAGTCGGAGGAGGGAGCGTTGTTGGGTGTCAGCTAGGGTGAGGGATTTGAGGCCGCGGAAGATGATGGGGTCTGTTTTTGTGTATTAGATGGGAGCCTTTGCTGGTCATGGAAGGGTTGGGTGGGATGTACGGTATGCGACGATGATTGAGTTGCGGTTTGCAATGGCTTCGTTGGCGACCGCTGTGGTGAGGTCAATGGCTAGGAGAACTGAGTTCTTGTTTGGCCGAGACTTGTCGTAGGGAGCTTCGAGGAGCACTATCGTGTGTTAGTGCCACAGTGAATTTGAGAACAATTCCGATGAAGATCCAAGCTTACATCCGGTGTTATCGAAGCTTTTGTCAGCCAATGCCTCTGGATATCTGCATATAAGATGTCAACCAAAGCTCCATCGAATGCGGGGAGCTTGCAACGAAGCAGTGAGGGGAGAAATTACAGCTTCCTCATCGAGCTAACGACGACATTGGTGAATGGCGAGCATTCCGACAGTTTCAGCGACTCTATTGAAGACATGACAGAGTATCGACGGATAGCAGTACGAAGAAAATTCATAGATAACCTTGCAAGTCCAAAGCGCAAGATCCAAACTTCAACGGAGCGATACGGGGAAGCGAGCGATACCGCGCCACACACGTGCCATTACCAGCCACAGGAGCCGCTCGAATTTGTAATGAGGCCGACAACCTCTCCCATACTTGGCGATAAACCCCGGGCACCTTTATCTCGTTTCTTTTGCTTTTCCTTCCTTCCTTTCTCTGCCTCCCACCATACTTGATGTTCTCCCGCGCCTCTCCGTTGACCGCACTGAGCAGAAGCTGTCGCTATCTCCTCCGCCCGAACAATCAGATCCAGCGGGCTCCGTTTTCGCTTTCCGCGCGCTCGTACGCTGCCATCAACGCCGCTATGGCTGACACATCTGGTATCACTGCGGAGTCGCTGAAGAATAAGTTGACTGAGACGCTGCAGGCGCAGCATGTGGAGGTCGAGGATTTATCAGGTATGGGAAATCCAGAATGGGCGCTATGACGTCGAAAGCAATTCATATCTTCTGCTTATTGTTCTGTGTCTGACGTTGGTTTTTGTTTTGGATTAGGCGGTTGTGGACAGGCTTTCCAGGCTGTGATTGTTTCCCCTCAGTTTGAGAGCAAGAATATGCTTGCGCGTCATCGGCTCGTCAACTCTGCGCTTAAGACTGAGATCGCTGCTATCCATGCTTGGACTCCCAAGTGCTATACCCCCGAGCAGTGGCAGGCTTTGCAGCAGTAAATTGGTCCCGATGAGTGGTGGATTCCTACGGTTTCTTGCCAGAAATATACTTGGAAGAAACGTGGAGTAATCAAGATTGGAAATTTAGACTTGGGTTGGGGATGAAGAGGTAGCCATCGGTTTACATGTTCGACCCATTGTGAACCTTGGAATGTGACTTTTCAACTCTGACATTTTATCAGGCGTTGAAAGGGTTGGCGAGGATGACCTATTTGTATATTAGAGACCTGCACTACGAAGCACCGTGTAGCAGGAATCAGAAGTGAATTTGGGCCTTGGGGCCATGATGCATTATTCTATGTGCGAAACGTACTAAGAACTCTATATAGAGAAGTCTTTAGCCGAGCACCTTCTCAGCGGCGGAGACTGTCAAGTGACATTAGCATATACGAGATCGTGCTCAATAGGAAGGAAGTCTTACCGTTGAGACCAGTGTTGTCAGGCTCGATGAAAGCCTCCTTGACCTTTCCATCCTCGACGAGCAGAACGTAGCGCTTGCTGCGGTCATTACCGAAGATAGCGCTGCTATCAAAGCTGAGGTCGAGCGCCTGGGTGAACTTGCCGGAGGGATCACCGAGGAAGCGAATCTACCAACCCATTAAATTAGCTCATCTGTCATTCAACCCAAGAAACAGACGATACTCACGCCGCTCTTGCCAGAGGGATCGAGGGAATCAGCCCACGCCTTAGTCCTGTATGATAGCTCCGTCAGTAGAATGATCCGGCTAGCTTGCGGGTAACGGGTATGTAGCTTACACGAAGGGGTCATTGACGGAGATGACGAAAGCTTGACCGGCCTCCTTGAGCTTGGGGTGGTTAATGAAGCCGGGGACATGGGTGGATGAGCATGCAGGGCCTGGGAGAATGTCAGTCCCGAAACCGGAGCGGGTTTGCTTTGTTTTGTTTTCTTGGGGACGGTTCACGTACTGAAGGCAGCGGGGGTGCCGATGATGACGGCCTTGTTCTTGATCTCCTTGGCGAGGTTGACCTTGTTGCCGGGGGAGTTCTCGACCAAGCAGTCGAGATCGGGGATGGCGTCGCCCTTTTGCACGAAGGCGGGCGCGGTGGTGTGGAAGAGGGAAGCTTGGGCGCGGACGCGGGGGAGGTTGGTTGCGAGACGGCGGGCGAACATTGTGAATGGATGTGGTTTAGGGATTGGGATATTTAGGTACAATTAGAGAGGTAAGAGGTTGATGGGATTGGATGTTTAGGTGAGTAGAATCGGAGTGGAAGTAAGTACCAAGGACGGGCCGCGGTAGATCGAAAGTCCGTATTTCGTCATGGCCGTTTCGAACTCTGTTTCCACGCAGTTTACTTCGACCTTGGATTATTTCGACGTTGTCGTTTATGTTTTATTCTGCATTGTCATGCAATTTCCAATCGAGATGAATACTCGATCTGGAGATTCTTACAAGGTGAGACTTTACCGCAGGTACCGCGATGAAAATTTAGGGACAGGGCTGAGCGTCCATCTTCGAATCGGATGATATGCAGACGCAATAGATCCCTGTCCGGTCACACAATGGATTGTGGAATTCCTGCTCGAGGATGCAATCGTCTTCTAGTTCAACGTGAGTTTCGGTGCCGACACGAAGTGTTGCCGAACTACGGGTTTGACTGGCGGGATGCAGCTGGTAAACGCTTGAGTCTTGACAATGTGCCACCGAGGAACCTGGACTTGAGTGGGTACTTTGTTGGCATTGGGTCTGGCTTCTAGACCTTGTGTGAGGGACCTACATCTGTAGGCACCACGTTGCATATGGGTATGAAGCTATTGGCCGTTTTCAGGTATAGAAGTAGCATTCGTATGAGTGCACTGGGAGGTACAAGTCGGATCTTTTTGTTTGTACTTCGTAGGGCCGTAGGGCTAGGGTATATTGACGCCACACATTTTTATACCAACATTGATCGTGTTGATATCGGCTCTTCCAAGGTTCTACCTACATGAGTGGGGCTCTAAAACGGTCAAACCCGTTCAATCACCTCAAACCACGATCCCTCGATCACCCAGTAGATTCGAGACCATATCAAGTCTTTATGGAGTAACTTGCTTCCGTTACACAGAAAGACTTGAAGTCGGATATCTCTTTCTTAACCTGATGTAGTAGGTAAAAATCTCTTTCATTTAGATCCACTGGGTCTGCGCTGATCGAATGTCTCACCTTCATGAGTTCATTGGGGGTAATGCATTGCCCCCCCCTCCTCGTGCGCATTGATCGTCTCGACAATGCTGGGCAAATGAGAACCTATTGCGTACTCACTCCTGATCTTTTTCTGGTACTTCCATAGACCATGTGTATACGATACTGAGCCAGGAATTCTCCCCCTCGATGTCCTTGGATCCTGGATTCTAGTTGAAGCTTAGCCTCCTTGCATTGGAATGTCATTGGAATCGAGAGCGAGAGAATATAATAATGTGTATACTGTGCATACTGTGTAGGATCCCTTAATATCTTATCGTCTCTTGTCTTGGTATAAAATCCAAGCGGAGTACTAAGCAAGACCTCCACAGTAACTTTGGTACTTGGCTCTACCGCTCATTTCCCCTCCGTTATTATTTCCCAATTTTTTCCCTTCTCCCATCCTCCGAAAAGAACCGGCCTGTTTCTTCCTGGCCTCATTTCTTCTTTCTGAAAGATATTCGGGTTCCCTTATATTTTTCAAGTCGATCGTTGGGACGAGTCCAGACCTGCTTGTTCGACCGGTCGCGACCCGTCTAGCCCAGCATGGACGGTGGCCAGACCTCTTCCAATTCCGCCCCCGCTGGGAACTCTAGCGACTTTGTTAGTGATGTGATTCTATACCCTGCTCTGATCAATATACTAATGAAAACATGAAATAGGTACGCAAATTGTACAAGTGAGTCCTGCTCTCTGATCGTCAATCATATCCTGCCTTTCTCTACCCCTGGTACCTCACCGGCCCCATTTCGAAGATCTGACCGATGTATCCTATAGAATGCTGGAGGACCCAACCTACGCGTCTATTGTACGCTGGGGAGATGAAGGTGATTCATTTGTGGTGCTGGAGGTAATGCGCCCGTTTCTTTGAACCGCTCGTGTTGGAGCTAACTTGAATCCCCCGACAGTGCGAGAAATTTACCAAGACCATCCTACCAAAACACTTCAAACACAGCAACTTCGCCAGTTTCGTTCGCCAGTTAAACAAATATGACTTCCACAAGGTCCGCCAGAACAATGAAGAAAATGGCCAGTCGCCATACGGACAGAATGTAGGCCCCCTCCCAATCTGCAGGTCGGTCGCGCCGAGGTCTCACGCAGAATCCAACAGGCATGGGAATTCAAACACCCCGAGTTTCGCGCAAATAGTAAAGATTCCCTCGACAATATTCGGCGCAAGGCCCCCGCGCCACGAAAACAAACCCAACCCAGCGATGATTCCGTACCCACCCAACAGATTGATCTACTGAACCAGCAGATTGTCGCCCAACAGCAGCAGATCCAACATTTATCAGATCGCTATGCCCAGCTCACCGTCGATCATTCGCTCATGCTCCAGGAAGTGATGCGCGTGCAGAAGACAGTTTTGAATCACGAGAATGTCATGAACCAAGTGATGACCTATTTGCTCTCGGTGGATGCGCGCCAACGACGGGATAACAAGGGCGTCTCCTTCCAAGGCGGAACTACCATGAGTCCTTCTCAGGCGGGCACAGTGGACGACGAACCCTCATCGCCTCTCCAGCAAGCCTCGAAGCTCCTGAACGACATGAACGCTGAACTCCAATTCAATATGAACGGCAATATGAACGGCGTCGACTCGATGAACGATCCCCAAAAGGCCGTCGTTTCGACCCCTACAATTGATCCGAATGCGCGAAACGGTGCGATCCGTCCCCCGACTGCCGCACCTCAGAACCCCGCAATTGTTTACCCTAAGATGGCCGGCGACCTGGAACAAGTAGTGTATCCTGTGGGCGCCACGAATGGCATCGATCCCATGTACAGCGAGCATATCAACAATGTTCCGTACCCGATGCCTGCCAAGCAAGAAATGGATCCCGCAGATGCTCGTCGGCAATTCCCCGACAACCGAAAGAAAAGCACGAACGTGGACCCCGGTTGGGTGCGCAGCCCGCAGATCCTCTTGGTTGAGGACGATGCTACATGTCGGCAAATTGGTGGGAAATTCCTGTACTCTTTCTCATGTGTTATTGATACTGCGGTAAGTACTCGGTGTTGTATTGACCAGCACAGCCTTGCTAATTTCTCCGTTAGTTCGATGGCTTGGAGGCTGTGAACAAGATTCAGGGTGGCTCAAAATACGACCTCATTCTGATGGATATCATCATGCCCAATTTGGACGGTGTATCGGCATGCCATCTCATCCGCCAGTTCGACCGCACTCCTATCATCGCCATGACCTCGAACATCCGAAGTGACGATATCCAGCTTTACTTCCAACACGGTAAGAAAGACACCCTGATGCCAGAAGGTCTTCCACTAACTCGTCCCAGGAATGGATGACGTGCTTCCGAAACCATTCACTCGCAAGAGTCTTCTTGAGATGCTTGAGAGACATCTGGACCATCTCAAGCTCTCCCCACAAAATCCCGGAATGGAACCAGTACAACCTTCCGCAGCCGCCGTGACCATGGCAGCTGCAGCTCAAAATTCGGCCGCTCAGTCTATCAAAGAAGATAGCTCCCCAGGCCAGTCCCCCGCTGGCTCCATGACCAACTGGCAATCCCCCGGCCAATTCCAGAACATGCAGGCCGTGCCATCAAACATGCCCCCAGTCCAAGGACCATACGTCACCGCTCAACCGGCTGCCTACACTGTTGATCAGAATGGCGTCCAGTACCCAGCACCACCGCCCCCAGTCGGAGTCCCCTCGGCAGGGGCTCCCGTCCGCCCTCCGCATCGCCGTCAGATGTCCGACATGTCCAGCGCCACCGATAACCCCAACATGCCGAAACGGCAGCGCATGTACTCTCAACCTCAACAACCAATGCTTGCTGTGCAAGCTGGTCGACCTGGTTAACCCATATCCGGTCCTTCATTTCGCTTTCATTTTCACACTCATACAACTCCTTTCCGCCTGTCTATTGACTCACGATTCCCACTTGTCTATAATGAGGTTCCAAGTTCTCAAATCGTACATTTTTGCTTTTCCTCTTTCGCGGGCTTGAATCGCGGTTGATTTTCCCGCCTCTTACAGGTTCTGGCGTTGGCGGTGCGGTTTGTTCTATTGACTTACCTGGAGGGGGCGATTTTTGGTGCGACTTATACGTTGTATCTCAGACACCGCTGAAGGGACTTTTACTTTCCTCAGGTAAATATTGAAACATACTTTTCATACCTACATTCTATGTGCCGATGTACAGGGCAAGGGCTGCTAGCTGGTCCACCCGCCATTCCGCATCCGTCTTGTAGGGCTTCTTGTCCGTATCAATAGCACCTGTGCTCCATAATTGATACAAAGTACGTGTAGGTAACATAGGACTCAATCGGATTTACACATAGTATCAAACTATTGTATTGCGCACATAAGATTATGTGCGGAGTAGACCCCTCCGTGCCCACAAAAAAGCAGGCAATATCAGATCCAAGATTGACCCGCCTCCCGAACTCATTCTACACGGGATAGCCCGAGACGAACTGCAGGGGTCGAGAATAAGCCAGTTCTAGACCGGATCCCAGATTTGAGGTTAATTATAGACCCTTGAAAGGAGGCCCAAAAGGGCCCAGACCTTGCGGGGGGAATTCTGGGCCCTTGGCCCTTGGTTGTTTGAGTTGGCCCAGCTGGGGCTTGTGGCTCATGCAGGCTTACGCCACGTCCTAGTGCTTGTTTTTTTGTTTACTTTGTTTGCATCGTCTGCTTCATCGGAGGTGAGAAGCTATGGTCTATGCTCCAGGGCTGAGGGCTCTCATCCCACGATCAACGCCCCCCACATAGCCGACACGGCGACAATCTCTGCGAGAAGCCGAGAGTCCAGAGTCGAGACCACAGGAATCTCTTGGGCCATTGAAAGGCTCATTCATGTTAACCAGGATCAACACGATTCGCCCACAGGATCTGGCCATGTTCTTTTTTGATTTTAGATTTATCCAAAGTACCTTGATCACTGACCAGTCCTGCAGTGATAGCTTGACAGTCCAACAAGTACTCTGTCGATGCTTCTCGAGAGAAACCTGGTCTCCCTGGAAATCTGTTAGACCAGACCATCCGCACTAGTACTTTTCTCTCCACGCATGATGCATCTGGGGAGCCGTTTTCGAAGGCGTAGAAGCATTTCATCGCCTAGACTGCACTCTGATTGCCCCTGGGACTCCTCCCACCTCCGGGAACGCAAGCTGATCTCTTCATCCGCCCATACTTCTCTGCGAGTGGGTGGGATCGTAGCATATTCGCAACCAGACTGGCTTCCAGATACTACAGAAGCCGAGGCTCATGTTGCGCTCTGTGGGGCTCTGGTTATTTGCCGAGAATTCGCTTCTCTTCATCTTCGCTTGCAGCGGGCGTGCCTACGTCTTTGTGGCAAGGTTCGTTTTGTAGTAAGGTTAGCAAGAGGGAGAAAGTTTCACGTGAGACTCCCTTCCATTATGGAAGAGCGGTGTTACCCAACGTTCAATTAGAGTTAAGCGCTGTAGGTCACTCCCATGTAATACTACAGAAACAAACAGTCTGATACTCATACTCGAACCATACTATAGGAGTAAGGACTCCATCCCAAGACTACAGAGAAGAGAAACATTGCAAAATCTCTCGATGAGAGAGTCGATCGATGTAGGTAGGTCGTGACTCATGATGCTAGAAACCAGGATAAGACAAACTGAGAAGAAAATAAGAAGAAACCAAAGCCAAATCGAAGACCATGACCCGCTTATGCATTTCCGGCATCCGACGCTTGGGATAAATCAGCAGTCGATTCAGACTCTGCATTGCCCGCTCCGGTCTCCGTAGAAGCCCCCTCATTCTTAGCTTCCTCGCCTTCATTCGGTTTGTTCTCGGACACGATATCACCATCTTTGCCGGGGGTTGACTCCTCCTTCGTTTCCTCTTGCTCTGTTGCCGCAGTGGCGGCGACTGCAGCCGGGACGTCATTGGCACCATCTGCGCCAAGATCCATCTCTACGCCCTTTCCGTCTTGCAGACCCATGTCTTCCACCCCGAGGCGGATTGGACCACGCGCGTGAGGGACCTCGTCAGATGGCTCTGGTGAGGCTGTAGACATGCCTTCTTCAGTCTCGGGTAGTGGCTGGATCGCTAGGCCTGATTGCTCTTGGGGTTGTATGGGTAGAGTTTCGCCCGGGCCTAGATGTTCATGTCAGTGGAAAGTGCAATGCTGGTTATGTGATCGGAATAAAAGAACCTTCGGCTAGAACGTCAGAATCTCCGTTCGCATCATCGCCGTCGAATGGGACATTGATTAGCCACGGGATAGGAGTAAGTAGTGCACCACCCAAAGACTCATCACTCCCGAAACAGTGGGCATAGTCCGGAGTCACATAAGCCCCACCGTTGCCAGGATGCAGGCCGTTAGATAGGGGGTCTGAAGCAGGCGTTTTGAACGGGAAGATATCCGCAGAGCTTGTTACAGAGACAACGCGATCGACAGCTCGTAGATACGCGGGTAATGTCCTGTAATGCTTGGTGGGGTAGAGAATCAGCTCTGCGAGTCTCTGGATAGTATGTGGGGGTTTCTCCTTGAAAAAGGAATTAATCGAAGAACGAATGGCGCTCAAAAGGAATGCGAGCGCCGGTGGAAGCTGGCTATCTGCACTCGCGCCAGATGACTGGGGCTGGGAGTCTGGCACTCGTTCGCTCGACAGGGAAGAGCTGGGTATCGGTGGAGGCATAAGGTCGGACGAGGAGTTATTGCTGCTCCCGGATGGAGCGGTGTTTGTCTGGGGAGGATGACTGGGAAACGGTTGCTGGCCGATATGCTCGGGGCGCACTTGAGGCATTGGGAACACATTGTAGACGATCTGGAGCTACAGGTCAGAAAGGTTGATCAGGGGGAGCGATGTATAGCGCACGTATTCTAGTCGCTCAATCAGTGGCGCAGCCATGCCATTCCATCTCTCCCTGTATCAGCGCGTTAGCCTCACAAGCGATCATGTATCTTGGCACAGCGTCACGTACGGATCTATTGGGCCGCCATTGGCGGCTATTTGGAGAGCTTCCTCGTCTATAATCTTAGTATTAGCGATGTCCATCGTAGCTCAGACTGCGACTGCAACTGTGGTGATCAACCTACCCAGAGCCATTGTCCAAGTCAAATGTGCATGGAGAAGCAGAGGAATGGAGCTGCGACAAGAGCGCGTATGTCGCTATCGGTGATTGGCCCGAGCTTATCGATAGCAGCACGTGACTCTCCGCGAATTTTCGGGAGTTGGAGGGGCAGAGCGGCGATCCCTCGATTTCAACATATTTCGATCAATTGACTCATTCGCTCGATATCATGTGGAACTCGCCCAAGGTCGGAATTCTCGGCGGTGGCCAGCTTGGCCGCATGCTCGTTGAGTCCGCCAACCGATTGAACATTCAGTGCAACGTCCTGGACGCCGATAACTCTCCGGCCAAGCAAATCAGTGCGCACGACGGCCATGTCACCGGCTCTTTCAAGGAGCCCGATGCTGTCCGCAAGCTAGCAGAGACTTGTGATGTTATTACCGCCGAGATTGAGCACGTCGACACCTACGCTCTGGAGGAAGTTGCGTCGAAAGTACGAGTGGAGCCCAGCTGGCAGGCCATTCGAACAATTCAGAACAAGTTCAACCAGAAGGAACATCTCCGCAAATATGGAATTCCCATGGCCGACCACCGGGAATTGGTCAACAATACCCCGGAGGAACTAGCACAGGTTGGAGAACAATTGGGCTACCCCATGATGTTGAAGTCGAAGACCATGGCATACGACGGACGTGGTGAGTCACTCGATCTCCGAACGGTATACAATTTGTTAACAAGCGCCAAGGAAACTTCCGTGTGAACTCCAAAGAGGATATCCCCGAAGCCCTCGAGGCTCTTAAGGACCGCCCTCTCTATGCCGAGAAATGGGCCTACTTCAAGATGGTGAGTGGCTGAAGCCCGCCATCGAAAACCCACACCTCGCAGCTCCCTCTAATATACATCCCAGGAACTCGCCGTCATGGTCATCAAAACCAAGGACGGGGTCCTCTCCTACCCCACCGTCGAGACAGTCCAAGAGGACTCAATATGCAAGCTGGTGTACGCGCCAGCCCGCAACGTCCCCGAGGCCATCAACCAGCAAGCCCAAGCACTAGCCCGCAAAGCCGTCTCCGCCTTCGAAGGCAAAGGCGCCTTCGGCGTCGAGATGTTCCTACTCGAAGACAACAGCCTAATGCTCTGCGAGCTAGCCAGCCGAATCCACAACTCAGGCCACTGGACAATCGAAGGCTGCGCCCTGTCCCAATTCGACAGCCACATCCGCGCCATCCTCGACCTGCCCATCCCACCCAAGAGCCTCGAACTCCTCCAACCCTCCATCATGCTCAACATCATCGGCGGCGCAACACCAGACTCCCACCTCAAGGCCACAGAAGCCGCCCTCAACATCCCCAACGCCAGCATCCACCTCTACAGCAAGGGCGACGCAAAGCCCGGCCGCAAAATGGGCCACGTTACCGTCGCAGCCGCGACTATGCACGAAGCCGAAACCATGATCCAGCCGCTCATCGATGTCGTCGACAAGATGCGCGCTGAGCGCTCAGATATCAAGACCAAGCCTGCCAAATCTGGCCCATCTAAGCAAGCCCCCTCCGTCGCTGTCATCATGGGCTCCGATTCCGACCTGAAGACCCTCGTCCCGGGTCTTAAGCTCCTGCGTGATTACTTCGGTATCGAGCCCGAGGTCGAGATTACCTCTGCCCACCGCACGCCCGATTATATGGCCGAGTATGCAGGAAAGGCGGCCTCGCGCGGTATCAAGGTGATCATCGCTGCTGCCGGCGGTGCCGCCCACCTGCCCGGTATGGCGGCCGCTCACACTGCCCTCCCCGTTATCGGTGTACCCGTTAAGGGTAGCTCCCTCGACGGCGTTGATAGTTTGTACAGCATTGTTCAAATGCCGCGTGGTACGTTTGATTCTACCAACCCAACCCCCATCTCTTGTCTTTTCTACAGCCCCCGTCTAATCATTATCTGTTTGTCCGAAATAATATCTAACAATCTACCCAGGTGTCCCCGTCGCCACCGTTGGCATCAACAACAGCATCAATGCTGCCCTCCTCGCTGCGCGTGTGCTGGGATCCTTCGACCCCGCCATCCAGCGCAAGGTCGAGACGTATGCTGAAGCTGCCCGTGCCGAGAACATGGAGTTGAAGGGAACTAAGCTACGCGAATTGGGTTGGCAGAAGTACTTTGATCAGATGTGAACGGGCAGGAAGTAGACATCTAGTATTTGAGATTAATGAGTTGAAAATGTTATACGCAGCGGATGCCAAAAAGAAGAGACAGCAATGTGAGGGCAATTTATCCCCCGGGCTTCTTGTATAGTGAAATTCAGTTTACTTTTTTGAATATCTGATCCGGCTTTGTCGCACCTTCTACGTACTCTCAATTAAGCTTCCTCCAATACTCCGGAAGCTCTAGATTTCTCTTACTACAGTCTACAGAGTACTGTGGAATGTGTTCAACGCAAACAGCGGTGGCATTAGGTATTGATTAGGCTACCGACAATCAATAGTAATACTAGAAAGAGCAAGTCGTTGTACACAAGGGGAAATCATAGCAATAAAACACGGAAAAGCCAGAAAACCACACGCATCAATAGCACAGACATAGGAAAGTCACGTTGGGAGGAATGTCATGAAGATTTTGCCCACGGCCGCCCAATTTAGGCGGTGGTTCCAGTGGTGTTGACGGGAGTAGCACCGTTGCCAACGCCGTGGACGCCAGTGACGCCAGTGACCCCGTTTGCACCGCTGACGCCGTTGACTCCATTGACACCGTTCGTGCCGGTCTTAATGGCATTCCCCAGATCCGGGGTCTTGCCATCGACAAAGGCCTTGTCAACCTCATCGGAGAAGCCACGAGCTTGGTATCCCGAGACATTGTTGCCATTGGTCGCGTTGGCAGTACCGGAAGCTGCGGCAGTGGTAGCGCCCGAAACACCTGCAGCGGAGGCAACTCCGGCAGCGCCCGCACCTTGGCTGCTGGCGCCGTGGGGCTTGTTAGTGATGGGGCCCGCAGACGGAATGCCAGTGGACTCGGAGGCATCGCCGATGCTGAAGATAGGAGACTCCCAGCGCTCGCCCTTGGCGGCCAGCTCGGCGTACTCGGTGGCCTTGCTGGAAACACCGCCCGGAAGCTCGATACCTGGGAAGATGGAATCGTGAAGAGTCATAACAGTCTGGACCTTGGTGTCGCGCTTAGCGACAGCCTCCGCCTTCTTGGCCTGGGCCTGGGCGCGAGCCCGGATGGCATCGGCGTAGCGCGAGAAGATTGAGGGGGCGTTCTCGGGATCTTCACGGGCAGCCTCCTGGGCACGGATGGCCTCAGTGTGGATCTCCTTGGCGAAAGCATCGCCCTTCCGGAAGGCCTCACGGATCTGTCCCTCGACCACCTTCTGGAGGGCGGGCCGAACGACACGGAACAGCATGGGCTTGAACGTGTTGAAGAGGATCTTGTGACTAGACTTCTTCAACTTGATATCCATGTTCTTGATGCCCACATTCACCTTGTCCAGCTTGACAAAGTTCTCCTTGTCCTTATCCTGAGCGGTAGACGCAGCGATCTTGATGCTGAGACCTTCTCCGCCGAGGAAGATGTCCATAATACCGCGGTCAGTGATGGCGGGGAAACCTTCCTTCTTCTTGATGTAGTAGCTAACATCCCGCAAATCAGCCTGGATGCCGGACATGGAAATCATGATCTTGTTGTCACGCTTGTTGGCGATCTTCTTGCGGCCCCACCGGAAGTAGTTGTCACTGCCGAACTCCACGACGTTGGGCATCAGGTTGTCGCTCTCGATGGTCAGGTTCTCAACAACGACATCGACCATGGGGTCCGAGACTTCGATACGAGGAATAGGAACGTAGCGAACATTCTCGAAAATGTTAGGGATGATAATATCGCGGAGATCGCGAAGGAGGTCCGGCTTGAAGGTAACTTTTCCTTCGGCGTCGCGGCCCAAGTCCCTGAAGAGTTTCTGGAAAGCCCTAGCAAGAGCCTGATTCTGCGGGTCACTCTCGAATTGGTCGGCCAAAAACTTGACCTCATCGACGACGCGGTCGGAGTGGCCGCGATAACGCTCACGCAGGAGGTAACGGCCCTTGTCATAGAGCTCGTTCCACTGGCGGTTGCACTCATCCTCCATGATGAAGCCTTGCTCACGCAGAGATTTACTAAGATTGATTAGTTTGCGATCCTCAATTTGTTCTTTCGGCTTGAGAGTACATACCGAATCAAGGTGTCGACATTCTTGAACCAGTTGCGGAGTTCGGGGTCCTTCTCAGCATCACGGTAGATGGTGTTCAGCGAGTCGAAGAAGGCATCCAGGGAAGTGTTGTTGGCGAAGCGCTCGATAAGAGTGCGCAAGTTGTACTGAACAGCCTGAACGCTGTCGTTCTTCAAAACGCCACGGGCAGAGCTGCCGCCCTGCTTAGTAGCCTCCTTGGTGTGACCAGCATACTGCTCGGCCATGGTCAACAAGGTCTCGACGGCTTGCTGGTCTGTTTTATTGATTAGCGAGATTTCTCATCAATTGAGTGATTACGTTGTGACTCACAGTCAGCATGGCCCTGGATCTCGATGATCATCTTCTTCAGGCGCCAGACAGTCTGCTCACGACGCTCCTTGGGAATCTTCTCGGACAAGTAGTTCTTGGTCTTGTCGGAGTACTCCTTGGCCTTGCTGTTTGTCGACACACCGGAATCATTCTCGGCGACGGTAGCCTGAGCCTCGTTCTGCGTTGCCTGGACCAGCGTCAGCGGACGAAATCATGAGTGTATCACAGATACATACAGCTTTGTTCTTCTTGGCCTTAGCTTTCAGGTCCTCCTTGGAAATGTTGGGCTTCTCGTGCCACACATTGTCCTCGGCGGGCTGGTCAATCTGCGCAAGGTCCTCCTCAGAGGGGCGAACCTGGTTGGCAGCCTTCTGGGAAGCATCGGCGGCGATGTCCTTGCCAAGAGTCATGGCATCATTCACTGCAGCTCGTTAGGTGTCATCCATGATGCACAGGAGGCATTACTTACGTAGCTTTCTGAACTCTCCATTGGTGATCATAAGTGTGCCCAGAGTCTTCAGACCCTCCAGAGCTCTCTCGGCATCCTGCTGACCGGTCTCCTTATTGAGAGGAACTTGAGGGCGCTTGGCATCACCGGCGGAGATCTTCGTGGCTTGGTAGACAAAGTCCTGGATCAGTTCACCCTCGTTCTTGACCAAGAGCATTTTCTTGGCCTCGTCAATGACATTGCGCAGGTCGGCCACAAGGGTCTTTCCATCCGCTGAGAGTTCACTAGGAGGAGATGTGAGGGCTTTCGAGTTCAAGGCAGTGTTCAAAGCAATGTCGCATTGCTTGTTCTGTGGAGGTGAAACGCGTCAGTATACGGGACAACGGTAAACCACCAAAGTAGACGTACCGATGGAAGCTTGCTGTTCTTGAAGGCTATATAGTACAGATGATTAGCACAGTGACGAGCGATCGGATGACGCGACGGTTGACATACCATGATAGATACCAAACAACTGAAGCTTCGCATTGATATCCTAAGAGAGAACCGTGTCAGTAACTGTGGAGACACCAGTACACGTGAATCATACATACCTTCTCCTTCTGCTTGGGGTTGGTGGGAACGTTGACAGACATGATGGAAGTGCTTGTGTATCAAAGACCAATGATGAAGAGGAGATTGAGGTAAAGAGGAATTATGTATGAACTAAGCAAGGGCGAGTTAGCCAGAGTTTGCATGAATGACAAACAAGGGTGACACACGCAAGAGAATTAACCTGTATAGGCACGAAAACAAGGGGTATCACTGGGGGAATGAGGAAAATATGGGAGGAAAAAGGTCGAGGGAAGGAAGGGAGGTCATATAAAAGGAAAGTCAGATATAGCGCCATTATGATCCAAGAAGCAGGCAAAGATCCCTACCAGAAGGAGCTACCCAGTCGTTCTTTCCCTACTGTGACCTAGAAAAGCTACCACTCAACCAGTCCACTTGCTTCTTTCTGCTCTATACCACGCTAGCCACAGTCGGTGATCATTCTCTGACGTCATCCTGTGGTGGCACCTTGTCTGGCCACTATGCACACGGAAGTTTGCTCCCTTTCCTGTTTGCACCACTTTGATTCTCATGTTGCCTGGAACATTTCAATTGAGAATATTAGAATATAATTATGTAGAATATGGTTGCCATGTACTCAATTGGTACTCTTGTACTCCGTACTCTGTATCTCCATGAACTCCTCAAGCTCCATCGACCCCATCATCTCCATAATGCGGCTATTTTGGCATTAAAGCCATAGCTTCCAACTAAAAGGGCCCAAAATTTCCAAACGATCCACAAAACTTGCCTAGATCGAAGTCTTGGCACACGCGCTTCATCATCATCCATGGTCCACGTCGATGTGGGTCTTTACTATCAGACTCTGCTCAACGTGACGTCAACATTATGGTTTTAGGGTTTTTCAATATGACATATGTCTTAGTTACGATGAAATATTCCTTCGTAGTTGGTCGATAATTTCATGCAAATTCATGCAACCTGTTGATCAATGGGACCCGGCAGTTGTCATGGCTAAGCATGTGAGATCAGTCTAGTTCATTCTGGAAGCTCCAAAGCTCAAGCTCCAATCTCTCAGCCACCATCCTCAGAAAAGGGGGCTTGATCGGGGCCCCATCCACTATTTACTACATTGAGATTAGCGTCTCCATTTTCGTCAGCTTTATCTGAAGTCAGATCGAGATTGGAGCTTGATTGAAAAGTTCAATGAGTTTTCAAATAGTAATTGGCTAATTGCTCAATGGAGGCCATGTCAGACCTGATCGACTCCCCACGGGACACTCTCCTACGCCATATCAATAAGGGTCCTGTGGGCATCCTTTTCCCTAGCTATCCAATTCGTCATACAGCTGCGATGCGGCGATACTGAGTCCTGTTCAACCCCATTTCGAGGAAATGACGTTAAAAGGATAAATACCGTTAACAGGCACTGGCAAAGCAATTGACCCATGCGTCAATATCGCCAAGCTATGGACGACGTCTCTCATCCATATTGATGCAATACCCAGTTACGAGGAATATACCCAACCCTACGCTTCACGGGGATTACCCCAGGAGTTCCTGATACTCCCTGCTCCCCCTACCTACAGATAGTACATCAGTCAGATATCCCCCGCAACCCCACGCACTCGCCCTTCGGGTAACTGGACCCATTGAGCTGTGCTCAGCCTGTGCCGCAGTCTATCCTTGCCTACGCCCGCTTCTGACGCAGGTCCATCCTCACACGGAGCGTTTAGTCCCTGCAACGCCCTCCTCGGAGCAAGATACACCCGCGTGCAGCGCCAGAGGTATTGCCAGTCTGGTCTCTGCGCACGACGGGCGAGCTTGCTTTCGGCATGCCAGCGCGAGAGGGAATTTGAAGGGGAGATGATAGATTAGTCCATTTGAGGCTAACTATTTACTATTGTATGCAGGATCCTTGCAGACGGTCGCTTGTTGTGAGCGCTTCGTGCTTGCGCCTTGTGGCTGGACCGAGGAAGAGTTGACTGTTGGGGAGCCATTAGTGGCGCCAGGGCCCAACGTTGGTACGTTTCAGGGGCCTGCCATCATTGATGCCACCATCTGAGGGGCCAGATCGCTTCTTTTCCGGGGTAGTGTCATGAGTGACAGGGTTTACAGATCATCAGATGGAAGTAGTCAAATGGGGTGGATAAGTATGTGCCCAGGAAGTTGCTTGATCGCATGACAGTGAGGGATCTATCAGTCCTCATCTCTCTTGTCTCTTGTTCTTTTTCCTCTTCCTTCTTCACCTTTGATAATCCAGTTTTTCATCTAAAGTGTGCTGTCATTTATCGTAGCAGGGCCCTAACTTATGCCGAGGATAGTGGCGGTATCAAATGATGCGACGAGAGGTATGAGGACCTGTAACAATCGACTGGTGAAAAACAGAAGAGTATGTGCATTATAATTTATAAATCGAGAGGTGCTATGTACGAAAGGATCGAGAACAAGGTCATTATTTACATATAGGATCGTTAACAGCCGGGTTATTCAAACTCGGACTGTGGGCACTCGGACTGGGGCCAGCGGAGAGACTTTGTCTTAACGGATCAGTGGATGAGCCTTTAGAATACCCTCGTATACGGCTGTGCTCTGAATTCTCTGCGAATATGTCCGTATTCAGCTGTGGCTCGCCATTGTGGTGGAGAGAGAGGTCCACGAAATCGGAAAGGTCCGTGGGGACCGAATTACTACCGCTGGGCCCCTCCGTCATGACCACTAATTTGCCCAAGATCGCATATTCCAGCTTGAGCTTAACACTGTAGACAAATGCCTTGAGGGTGACATGGACGTCGAAGAGGCCGGAGTACTGCACTCCGATGATGGCAGCGTCCATAAGAATCATGACGACGTTCACGATAATGAGTTGGACTAGTGTGCCTCGGTAGTGGCCTCTTGGGCGGAGACTCAGCAGTCGCGCGGCTTCCCAGGCGTAGATGACAGAGAGAATGGTTTCTTGTATGGAGAATCCGATCAACTGGATACGCTCGAAGATGTCGAAGCCTTCGCGAAAGAGGTGATGTTTGTTTGAATGACTGCCGAGTTCGAGGACGGCACCGGGGATGTGTAGGATGATTGCGTTGACAATGATCATAGCGAGAGTGGCATGGAGGACGGTTGTGTTATAGCAGACAAGGTGTAATCGAGACCAGAGGACCAACGACTGGCCAGTTACCATACCCACCCATGCGACTAGCTCCATGGCCACTGGGAACAGATTGGTATAGATATTGAATATGAGGAGGAGATATCCCAGACCAAAAGGGATGATGCTGAAGGAGGCTATGAGGAGACACCAGAAGTAGCACCCGCCATATCGTTTGAAGGTGGTGAAGCACAGAACGATCAATTCCAAGGCGTTGTACCAGGCAATGCCGATGAGACAGGCCACTATGGTACGCTCCGCGAATCCATCACCAATAGAGCGATCAGCAAGGGTGAACTTGCTGCCGGATATGTCGGCATGCGACATGGGGACATTGCCGTGTGTGCTGGGCCGGAAGTGGTGTTGTCGCAGTCATAGAACGACCATCGAGAGGTACGATTAGGAGGTGATGATATGTACGTCGAACATGTATGTGCACGAGGCGTGAAGAGGCCTCTCAAGGGATCAGAAGAGCGATATAGGTAATCATGGGGCTCCCGAGGGAGATAAGAGACTATGAAGCAGGAGGTGGCGAAGAAAGTCGAAGATAAAGTGTGCTGAGATGGCCGCGAGTTACAGTGAACACGATTGGGTCCCGAACGATTAAAATCGGGACCGTTGGAGAAGCCTTGAAGCGCGCCGATTTGGGGACGAGCTGCTGATTGGCCAATTGCCCCACAAGCTCGGCACTACGAAAGGTTATTGGGTCTCCGACCTCGGAGATTTCCCCTTTTCCCCGTTTCGGCGGAGATAAGGGTTGATTTCTAATATCTAAACCGATGGGATATATTGCTCGTACATGGTGTAGGTCACTTGTACGGATTCCCTTTTCTTGTCCTCTCATGTTAGTGGGCATTCACGGCAGTTTAGGAGAGTCAATCTCACTAAATAAACTTCAACTTGAACTCAGACGCGAATTTTTAACTTTCTCACTCCGCCTCGGCGAACCTTGGAACACAACTAAACCAGACAAATTGCCAGCTGGACACGTGTAGTATCTGTCCCTGGGCCTGATGTCTCTCTCCATGGGTTCAGCATTCTTGGTCTCGGCTTGACGGCTTCAATATCGTGACTCTCATTCTTCACCGGCCCTCGCCCAGCTGTTCTGCTTGCGCTGTCTGTTCTTTTGCTTATTTTCTCTCAGAATCCCTGTCCTGTCCCCAATTACTGGCGAAAAGCTAAAGTGAATGAATACTATTCATCTGGGCCCCAAGACAAAACCCCAGTTTCCATCCCTCCAGCGTCCGAGTCACCAACTGTTCCATATCAACCCTTTAGATACTCGTTCAGCAGATCAAGTCTCTCTTCCCAAGCTCGCTCGGAGTTCTCCGCAAGCTCGAATAAGCGCGGATCGATCTTCAGCCAGTGGATCTCATCAAAGGCAAAGCTGCTTGTCGCTGCATACATGATCCAGGAATCTCCACTCTCCAGTTCTACTGCATAGACCTGGAGGGCCGCTGGTCCTCTTTCAACCGGCCTTGTTGGATCGCTCTATCTTCACAACTCTCATTGCTCTGAGGAATGTCTATAGACGATCTAGGCCATCTCATCAGGCATCTGGATTTGGATATTTGTTGAGTTCTGCCGTCCACCCCATCAAATATTTCTCCTTCACTCCTGTTCGCACTCCTGCCTTTCTCTCTTTCATTACTACACAGTAGACACTTCCCTTCTTCTTATTAGTCCCTCTGTCTAATCTTGAGTCATTTTCTTTCGTTCAAGTCTGCTCTTTCCTCTTTGGTGCGGAGCTATGTATGTTCAGCATTACGTCGAAAGTGAAGCTAAGGACAACCTCCTTCACAAAGAAGGCGCAACCACGAACTGTGTAGCAACTCAAGCACTTTAGGAAGGCACCCTAATGACGTGAAAGTATATAAAAACCCCTGTTGCCCCAACGTCCCGTCCTTCTTCCTCTACCCTCACTCATTCATCACTTTCCACCTGCTCATCCTGGCCCTGCCATCATGTGGAAGTAAATAAAAGCCTCCCATGGTGTATCCAATCCATGACTTTTAACTTCCTCGGGTACCCAACCTTACTCTTCGACGTCAATGCTCGAGCATCAGCGCGACATTTCAGGAAAATCTCATTCCCCACCATCTAGGTAAGTCAACGACCACACTCCTAGTCAATGATGCCCAAGAAGTTAATTTATTCGTCGATTAGGAGAGGTGCCTAGGTGCCGAGATCCACCCTTTACTTCCTCATGTCCGTTCCCTGTTCGGCGTCAGAACGGTGTAATAGCATGCGGGAGTTCTTTACAGCGATCGCCGCATGTTTCGCGAACTGTGCGACGGCGGGCTACCTCCGATCATCTACTGCGTGGGGTTTACGTGGAGTGAACAAACGCAGCTGGGACTAGAGGCCCAATTTCGCAACGCCACTGAGCATCTGGAGGGTATACAAGCCTTCAATGACTACTTATTAGCAATTCGAAACGACACACAGCCTGATAGTGCATTAGGGATTTTCTGGCTTCCCTACGAGCAACAGCAGCGTGTTCGTGTCTACCAGTTGCCACAGTCACACGAAGCGGAACAAGAGAGGGCTTATGCCGGCAATGAAGAGCTTGTGAATTCCTCGCTCCTTAGTTTCTTGCAGGTAGTCTGTGGGACGCACCCTGATGTGGACAGCGACTGGAATCCAGCTCATGTGCACTTGGCCTTTGATTTTAGAAAGGTCATTAGGTCAAGGTTATGACCCCGCAAGCCCTTCATTGTCTTGAAGCGATGACAGACAGAAACAATCGCGCATGCTGGCACTATATTCGAGGAAATATCCCCATGCAGGTTTCATGGTAAGTCACCGGCGCTCTCCCAGTTAATGAAGGCCAAGAAGTTAATTTGTCAATAACTAGAGGGGGTTCTGGGTGTGGAGGTCCACTCAGCAGTGAACACTCCTTCATGTTCTTTCCCTGTTCGACGACCGACGTCGGAACGGGGTGATGGCTGATTCGGTCAGCTTTACCTTGATATATGCATATCCGCAGATATGGCATTGCTGGCCCTTTGTGGACAATAAGAGAACCCTCAGTTTTCGGCCCCTGGGCCGCTTTCGGCCGACATCGCGGAGTACCTCGATCCTGAGGGGAATAGTCGGACCCTCAGGATCGTGGGGCCCATGTCGAGTGTTTTCTGGCTGGCTGGACTCGACGGTCTAGTGACTGCAATCAACAGTCCGGACTTTACCGTGCGGGATGAAGTCACGTATATACCTGATAATGCCTCAATCAGGTCGATGCTGCCACTGCTCTCGGAAGAGGGCAAGATCCCTGGGGCAGTATACAGGAACTACTGTGGCCCCGCTCCTGATGTTTCGATGATCGCCTTTCCGCTCCGGGATTTCACCATCCCGGCATCTGTCACTGGCTCCGCCGTCTCTTTCCGTTCCGTCGCCAGCAGAGCTTCCCCCAGCAGGTTCTCTCTGCCCGGTTCTTCAAAAAGCGGCCAAGCCATGCCTGCCGAGACATCGAACGGAGATTCATCAGCTCTTTGGGGAGCAATCTACTCTTCTGCGGCCTATCTCGATCAGCACTCACTTGCGCCATGGCACGGGTCCTGCCCACAATCAATTGGAACCATGCTGACAATAAATTCAGGCCTGGAATCTATACCACGCCGCCTCTTGAGCGGGCCGGTGCACCGCAAGCTCTATGTCAGAGCCGCTGTGAAGGAAAGGCCCAGCTGCACATTGCTCCGCGAATGGACGCTGCGTCATCCCGCCCATATGACTTGAATTACAAAGGCGCTCAAGGGGCGCTGATGGTTTTCCGGAGACCCGACTTCCACCGAGTGAGTGTCTGGGACCCAAGTGGTGATGAGTGGGCAGTCATCGCCGCCTATTGGACAGGGCGCATTCTATCAAATGCGCAGGCGGAGTTCCTGCTGGCCGGGCCAGCGATCTCATCAGGGGTCCGATGTCTCGGTCTGGAGAGGGTCGGGGAGCAGGTCTTGTTTGATGTATATTTAGCTTGGTCACTCAGAAGCTCCGCGAGGCGCGATTTGCCCGCTCCCATTTTGAGTGTCGATGTACCGGCACACAGTGGCAGCCGCAATAAAAAGTGGATGCCTCGTGGCGCCGGTCTTTGTCTGATTGTTACGACTGAAGACATTCCTGATCTCTCGAAAGGTTTCACCTGCGATATCGTGAAGCGGCCCAGCGGCAATGATACGACTGTCAGTTCTACTCAGTGAGCAAAAAGCGGCAAGGGTCTGAGCATTAAAACGGAAGGGGAAAGCCAAGAAGTGGCAGAGGAAATCCGCTACATAGTGAAGCGCGGTTCTCCCACTACAATAGGTAAACATGTGCCAGCCCGAGCACGGCCTACGTTGAACAAACCGATGTCTTTATATATGAAGCTTAATTCAGAAGTCATTTTAGATAGGTCCTTCCACTACATTAATATAGATAATATCATAGACCAAAAAGTAAACGTTAAATGTGGAAGGCGAAGAAGATCTTCAAGGTTTTATGCACAAAAGGCGCCTTTACATGGGATATATACGCCAGAATAATGTATGAAGAGAAGAAAAGGGCCTCAAGGTGCTATCCGTCGCTGCATATCAAGAAGAACACTCTGATCGAAAAGCATCGACCAGAGCGACATCGAACATGTAAGCACTTTACAGGTTCTCAGCGACGGTGGTGAGGATGGCACCGAGAGGGGTGGCGACAGTGGGGAGGCCAAGGCCAGTGACAAGCTCAACGACGTTGGGAGACAGCTTGATGAGGAGGTGCTTGCCGTCCTTGCCAACGATGTGGAGGAGGTCCTCGATAGGCTGGGCGACGTCCTTGACGAGGTCACCGAGGCCAGAGGCCTCAGCGACGATGGAGCCAATGGGGCCGGAGATAGAGGTGAGACCGAGGCCAGCGACGAGGGAGGTAACGGGGGGGGAGAGCTCGATGAGGAGCTGCTTGGCGTTCTGGCCGGTGACGGTCAGGGTGTGCTTGACCTTGGGGGCAACGTCCTGGACGATCTCGCCGCGCTTGAGGTTCTTGCCGAGAGTAGCAACGACGGTACCGACGGGAACACCGACGGCAGGGAGACCGAGACCGGAAACGAGACCGGCAACCTCGGGGGAGAGTTCGATGAGGAGAGCACCAGCGTCAGCGCCGACGACGGTAACGAGCTTGTCAACAACGGGGCCGAGGCCAGTGACGAGCTCACCGAGACCGGAGGCGGAGGCGACAATGGAGCCGAGGGGAGCACCGAGGGCAGGGAGACCGAGACCGCTGACGAGGGAGGTAACCTCGGGGGAGAGCTCGATGAGCAGGACGCTGGCATCGGGGCCAACAACGGTCAGGATGTTGTCGGCCTCGGGGCCGAGGTCCTGGACGAGGTGGCCGCCGTCGGCGGAGGGGACGCCGCTAGCGGAGGGGAGGTCGCTGAAAGAGGGGAAGCCGCTGCCGGAGGTCTTGGAGGGGATCTTGTGGATAACCTGGGTCACCTCACTGATCTTGGAGACAACGGGGAGCTCCTTGAGCTTGAGCTCCTCGGCGATGTTGCCAATCTTGAGGCCCTTGAGGAAGCCATCAAGACCGGTAGCCGGGGTGGGGGCAGCGAAAGCAGAGCCGGCCATAGCGGCAACGGCGGTGATGAAAGAGGCCTTCATTGTGAGATTAATGGGTATATAGAACGTAAAAAGAGTGACTGTTGCTGCTAAAGAATGACTGCAGTGAGATGCTTGGGAGAAAAAGAAACACCGGAAAGCAGAGAAGCGCTGTATTTATACGCCGTGAGTCGATCATGATCTACAGGTACGATCTTGCTTGCTCTTTGCCCCTGGCCGTAAGAAATTTCTGCTTGTGGATGAGACGGCAGTAACCTAATTGGCGGGGTCAGCTCCATAGCTGGTGCTATTCCGAAAGAATCAATATCATGGACATTTACTCCGTAATGATGCACCATGCACAGAGCTAGTAGTAAGGGGATCCCCTATTATCTCCATTAAACATTGACGCCACTGCATCGAAGCACCTGGAACAAGGCTAGTACAGGGCTCTGCCCAGACTCAGAGGTGGGCTGTCTGTCACTTGGATCTTAGAAGTTAAGACAGATTAGCCATCTTGTCGATACCGTAGTTGTAATTCTCGCAGCTGAAGCATTACCCTTGGATTTCCCAACAAGTTTCTTCCCCTTTCCCAAGCTCCAGAAACCTGATTTACCCATGCTTACTCCGTAGACATGGATAGGCGAAAGCCCAATGCCGGGGCCAATGGTGCAATTTCCAAAACCAGAGTGTCAACTCGGCAACAAGCGGATGTGAGGTTCAAATTAAGATCTACAGGCCCATGTTTAGGGTGCATGGAACCAAGAGGTCCCAAAAGCCTTAAATTGGGCCTAGTGCGGGCTACCGTAAGCTTATTTTCCAGGGCTTGGCTCCCCCAAGAAACTCCGCGGCACACAAACTTTTATCATAAATTCTATTTACTCCCGCTTTGGTACAGGAGATATGGTTCCGTTCCTCGTCGGATCCTCTTGTTTACATTTCTATCAACCTCGACAGCCATCAAAAGCTCTGATATTTCTCACCCCACTTTGAATAGGGGATAGCTGTCATGCTAGCAGCTAGGGTCTCCGCCGGCCATTCATTGCCTTGACCTTGCTTTCTGTGCTCTGATGTCATTGTAACGGAAATTGAAGTGGGACTCCACGAGTAACAAAGGATGATCTACAGCCCAACGCACACTCAGGGGAACCAAAACAGTAATAGAGTTTATTATATTTCCCAAAATCAATAGCGTGGGATAATATCCCTGTACCCCACACCGGCAATGAGAGCGTGCCGCCCGTCATTCGTCCTTTGTCCCTGGTGACCACGATAAACTCCTGTGTTGTACAGTTAGGTACACAGTACTCCGTACACCCTTTCCGTTTCCAATACCTCTGGACCATGATCCACTTATTTGTCTCCATTGATCATCCGGAGCATCCATATGGCTGTTGCCACAGGTTTCATTGGCCGATCGACATCGGTTGACCGCCACGATTGTCCGGTGAGAAGACGAGGGCTGAACTCTACTCAACTGAGATTATTCGCTAACTATTGTACGGAGTATGTTGCACGCAGTTCTCCGTACCCGACTATGTCGCCTACTGTCGACAATTAGGATTCGACCTCGTGTTGAGAAAGCTTGGGTGCCACCAAACCACCAAGGGGAGGGAGGGGTCTTGGGGTTCCCCCATTTTGCCGGGACTCTGAGACCATGAATCATGATACGTACTGGTCATAATTTACAGTGATACAGAGTAGTTAACCCAACCTACTCCGTACGTACTTTGGGATAAACATACGAGTACTTATTGAAACATCTCTGCTGATCTTCCCGTTCAGGAATGCTCCGAAACTGTCTAACAGCAAACTTGCATGCTGCGCGGAACATTCTATTTGCCTGCCTATTCGGTCAGAGAAAGTAACTTCCGCAGGATAAGCTCCTGTTGACCCACCGGTGGACTTCGGGCTTGCCCCATTTATTACTCCGTACCGTGGACTAGATTGGATATCGCCTGCTGCTAAGAGGACGATCATTATCATGATTCTTCCCATTCTGCTGTTCGGGCAGGCCGAGACGACATGATGAGGACCCGTTACCTTAATCACCCGGTCATTTGCCGGGCCCCATGTTAGGTTCATTCTTCGAGACACATTCGGTAGATTCTACTGTACGATAGATATGTGCCGAACAACTTGAAGATAGAACTCAGCGAGCAAACAAATAGAATTATCAGGGCCATGTTGGATTTCCATGATTGAGCAGATACTGTAGCTGATGGATACGGAGAAACATCTAGACCTTGGAATGAAAGTTGTGATACTGTAGTTGGTCTCTTTATGTTTGGTCAGTGCTGATCAATTACATACAACATCCACTTGGCCTCCGTGTAGCTTCTTCTTGGCTATGGAGCCTACTGCATCAGGGTGACGCCTTCTGTGAATATCCGCTCCCCTCCCCCACGAGGCACAGTCTTGGCCTCCCCGCTCAGCTTGAACGGGGTCATTTCTCGGACAGATTGGGGTCTAGCCCAATGTCCGTACTCCGTCGGGTACGAGCTGCATCGCTTCAGAGACAGTTGGTCAGGTGCATGTTCAATATACTAGTACGGCAGACCTATTGGTAGTACTACATTTTGCAGAAGACCTTCTTCACGTTGATTTCGATCCAATACTGGGTCAAGCCACATTGATGTTCGACAGATAGTTCAGGTGATCAGGACCTGCAAATGGATCCATAAAACACTCGCTCGTGTTGTACCAAATGGTAGTTCTTTAGCATCAACATACGAGCTTCTCTCCCAACCTGGAAACTCCGCTCTCTCTGCATTTCCGACTTTCGAGGAAATCTAAGGGTTGGAAACAGATCAGGCGGCTTCAGCATACAACGTACAACGTACAGCATAGGCTAAATGCGAAGGTTGGCTGGGGATAATACACACTGCTTAATCCCCCATAGAGTCAGCTCAGTGAGCAGAAGGTTTGGGACGGGATGGATCTGTTCTTCTCCATCGTCGGAATAATGGAGTGGAGCCCAAGGCAAGATTAAACTTCTCCCGAAAAGCAGCTGGCACTTAGGGAAAGCATATTTGGAACTTAACATCACCCTTGGGGGTTGGGATACAGCAATGTGCTCATGTCTGCAATAACTACCGGGTTCGAAGCTGTTGTATTGAATGTTCTGCCCTGGGAGCGCTTTGATAAAGTTGGCTGGGAATGGCCTATGGGGTTCATTATGGAAGATTGCTGGAGTTCCAAGCCCTTAAGTGGATGCTGTACTTTCTATGATCGAAGGTCAACTTCTGTGGTTTCTTCTATCCACACGTCGTCCGTCTGTTCCGTACGGTACAATGGAAGATGAAAGAGTCTAGATGCATTATCCTCATGGGGCCAAAAGTCAGAATGATGGCGCAGGGATTATTGCCATCCCAACCCTACGGTATTGATGGTAGTAGTACGTATGTTGGGACTTGAGAGATTACCTACCTAGCACTCCTGTCTATGGGGGCGCTCAGGGGGTCAAGTACTACAGTAGTAGGTTGGATCCATTCACAGTAAACAGTATTATTCATCATGCCCAGCATGCAGGGGTATTTTCCGAGACGCTCATTGTTTTCCGAAATCCCATGCTAAAATATTACAGAAGTAAGAATCATTTATAACCCAAGCTGGTACCCCGAGTACGTATCGCCGGCCGGCGGCATTCCGGATGACGGGTCATGATTGGAGATCCCCTGGCCCGACATATATCCCTTCGAGCCGTCCATGAGAGTCTGCTCCACAGACGCCGACTCGATCTCGAACTGTTCTATATGCCCGTGCAAGTCCCACTTTCTGACGCAGTACTTGAGCAAGTCGCGGATGTAAGAGAGACAGCGGATGGCGCGGGCATGGCAATTGAACAGGTCTTCATCGGCCAGTACTGGTGGGTCCGGACTCCCGGCGGGGACGGGCGGGGGTGCTGGGACAGTGGTGCTGATGAGCTGGTCGTAGTTCTCGGACAAGACATTGACGAATAATCGACCGACCTGGTGGACACGCTGGATGTCCAGGTATGTCAGGAAGGGCAGAACGCTGGGATTTTCCAGAACCTGGTGAATCTGGCTGATGTAGTCCATGCAGCGGTCGAAGAGGAGGGCTTTGTTGTATTCGTGGAGGACTGGGTATCGGTATGAGGGAGAGAGAAGGATAATGATGGTATATAATAATTCGAGTCGGTACAGGAGTGAGAAATGGTTGGGGGCGTTCTTGGGGCATTGGTGAAACCACTCCCGTGCTCGCCAGCATAAAGTCCAGATGAGAGGCAGGGCCTGCGGGGACGGATCGCGCCCATTGCAATGCATCTCTTGATAGCCCGCAGATAGGATCTGTCGGATCTTGACAATATGCAAAGCAGGTTCTGGACTGCGTAAGAAAATGTGGCTCTGCTCTATGGGCGCCCCCGGCGATGTGGTGATTGATGGCAATGCGACGTTTACAGATCCATCAGAGAACGAGAAGGTTCTCCGCATGGCAGTACTCAATCCTCTGGAAGACGGGTCAGTGAAAGTAAGCGATAAAAAAAAATAATTAAAGACAGAAAGAGAGCGTACCTGTCTAGACAGTAGATGCAATGGAACACACGGCGACGGAGATCAAGACGGTCGACCTCAGTCCCAACCTCGGTAGGAGGGTCCTGATGCAAGCCGAGATCGACGGCAACCTTAACAGCCATTCCGACCAGGTACCACGCCCGAAACCGTGCCGGGTCAACCAAAGAATACTGGGCCAGCAATAGGATCGCTTGGATCCCTGTAATTGAACCGGGGCGAAGGACTTCCTCGGCGTGTGTCAACGCCTCCGTGACGAGAGCCCATGCCCTTTGATGGCTCTTATCATTGTAATGGTATGACACCGATGCGGAAGAGATGGCGAGAACCATGCGCAATATCCAATGGTCGAAAGGTTTGGCGAACCGGCCGCCTGACTGATACACTGCATCTACCGAGGTCCAAAAGCTCGTTTCGACAAAGAACGGTAGCTGCACAAAAACATTATCGAAGTAGTGTTGTAGCAACGGGGTCACCTCGTGTCGCGGAGGTAGTGAATATGAAGAGGATGGTGGCGGCGAATCGGCTAGGGCGACCGAGAGGAGGAGGTTGGCAAAGGAGGTAGTCGAGGAGATACCGTGGAAGTCTCGCGAAGTCGCATTGACCGAGCTAACACAATACCGATTAGCAAGGCCGAATCATGGAGCAGGGGAGGAATACCAACAGGAAACCAAAATCGCCCACCAAGTCATCAATGTCCGAAACCTCTCTGCGGTGTGCAGGACCTAATGGACCTTCGGACGAGGTCGAGGTGATCGACATCTCCCGAGCGATCCCATTCCCCTCGACGGACAGCGAGCTTGACCGGGCACGCGACTCCGCAATCTTCTTTTCCAGCTTCTCGCAGTATCCTTCCAGTGACGCGACATAACTCCGCTCTTTTCCCTTGGCAAATTCGTCGCTCGCGCCGGAGCACGAGCTCGCCTTGTTCACCCTTTCGCAAGCCGAGCATGCGGGGAGCTTGCCGTCACATCTGATCTTCGCGGTGCGACATCTTGAGCAAGCGGCAACCGGTCGGCTCACTTTCAGCAGGGGATTATCTAAGAAACTCGCCGCGATGGACATGGCTGCTCATTATTCTAAGTATGGTCAGCGCGAATTGAGAGTCATGGATGGGGTCCCCCTCTTCTCCCCCGCTGGCTCGGCCAAGATGAAGAGACTTAGTTCCCGACAACCTTGGGGGAAAGGTACTCACATGACTTGAGAGGAAAATAATGTTTCGGAAGGAGCGTGCATGAGCTGGGGAAGGATCAACTAACGGGATCAAGGGATAAGTTCCACCGGCTAAAGCCTAAGACGACAACTCCACAAATTCCGATCAATAGATACTGTGTACGTGAAGTGTACTAATATAAGAGCTATATCAGCAAAGAGAATATGTGAGAGAGATAGAGAGAGAGCTCTTAGGAGAAATTGGGCAGATCCTGGGTGGAACCTGACGTATTAGACGTAGTCCAAATCGCAGTAAAGGCTATTAGGCTCTCCAGATCTCGTTACTATGGGGCATTATCTTTACTGTGTAGATACTTTGCTTCATGACTTCTCTTCTACAAGCCTAAATTCAACAACCCCTCAGCTCTGCCACATCCACTCTCCAATAACTTCCTCTTCAACAAAGCCACCCGTCGCTTCCAAAGGCTTGTGAATCACCTCCATCCAGATCTGGACCGAGGCCCCCTCTCTCATTACCTATCTCGGTGACCCCATTCCGGTGCTACAACAGCTGAGAAGATCCCCCTTGTTAAGGCCCCTGCCCATGAGCCTCAATATCATGTCGATTGTCTTCCAGCTCGTCTCTCTTCGAGCGAAGGTACCCTGGCTATAATTTCTCTATAACGGGGGTCTGAAACAGTTGCATGTGATCGGACCTTCTTTTTGATCTTTCCTGTCTTAGCATCCTCAGCCTCTTGTGCTGTGGCCCACCATGACCTCAAGCCTGGAAGACTCCTCCACAGGGCCGAAGTCGCCAGAATTACACTCTCTAGAACCACCGGATGGTCGCATTGCTCACACATTAACCGCTTGCACCAGGTGTAGACAGGTATGATGCGATTTCGCTCCTTCCCCACCGTCACTTACCCCCGCGATCTCGGAACATTTTGCGGCTTTGCCCCTCTGTCCCTTGGCACCGATTACTTCTTTGGATCTTATCCTCTTTACGGTCTCATCTCCGACTGACCCCACCTTCTCTATAGCGAAAATCCAGATGCGATCCGGGAATTCCGCGATGTGCGCCATGCGAACGAAGTAATGCCAAGTGCGTGTATTATGACTCGGCTCGAGATGCCACCATACCCAGAACCTATATCGTGTCGCTCAGAGAGAAAGCGCGGGCGCTAGAAAGGGAGCTTGTCAAAGCTGAGAAGGAGATACAACATGCGGCCGACGCTGAGTTGATGGTGCGCGGTGCCGGGCGCATCCGATTCAAGGAGAATGATGAGGCGCGATATCTCGGGGCTTCGAGTGGAATCGCGATGACCCGTCTGGTCATGGAGATGGCCAAGCAGAATACCGACTCAAAAAGCATCAAAGATGTGGTTCCCGAGTTTACTGCGCAAGAAATCAAAGAGGCTTTTGCGCAGGAAGATTCGAAGCCGACATCCAAGATCTACCCTATGATAAGCTCGATCCCACAGGAAGACCTACCTCCTCGAGCCCTGACTTATAGACTGATCGACCTCTTCGTGGCTAAAGGTACCTCGATCTCTTTCTTTGGACCCATTCTCCTTTATACCCTTTCGGCTCGGACTAATTTGATATGCAGCACAATCAATGCTTCCGACCCTACACGAACCCACGTTTCGGCAAGAGGTAGAGGAGGTGCTCAATGGCTCTACAGACCCCTGCCAAAATTTCCAGTTGCGAATGGTCATAGCTATCAGCATGCAGAAAATGAGCTCTGAATATGCTGGTCTCGCCGATAGTTATTATCTTGCTGCATTGCCCTTCCTGGAACCTACGCTCAAAAGAATGGATTTAAGAGCTCTCCAATGCCTCGTGCTCATTGCCTCATATTCAATGTTGACGCCCACCCGCACAGCTGCATACTGGGTCGTGGGGACCGCCGCCAAACTATGTCAGGATTTGGGATTGATTGAAGAAGCCACCATTACGAAATCGCCTTGTGGAGAAACTTTGAATCCTTTGGAGATTGACATGCGCCGAAGATTGTTTTGGATCGTATTATCCATGGAGCTCGGACTTTCTCATAGTCTGGGTCGATGCAGCAGTTACTGCGTCAGTCACGATCACATCAATGTGAAGTTTTTTGAACTAGTGGATGACCGGTACATCACCGCTGAGGGAGTCACCCCGGGAGCGAAACCTATCTTGTCAAAATGCCTTGCTGTTCACTTCTTCAAGATGCGATTGCTCCAGTTGGAGCCGAGGAGAGTACTGTATTCAAACAGGCGACCAACTCCAGTGAATGATCAGGATCCATGGTTTGCTCAAATGTTAGCTAAACTCGATCACTGGATGGCCACTACTCCTAAGAATGACGATGGTAGTGGCCTCAGTGTGAAATGGTACGTCGCTGGTTTTCGCTATCGAAATGCGACTCTGCTGACAATGCCCCGATCTGCAGGTTCCAAGGGAGACGCAACACAATTCTTGTTCTAATGTATCGACCATCGCCGCAGATACCCGAGCCAAGCGTTAATGCCGCGAAAATCTGCTATGACGCTGCTGTCTCCAACATTGCCATGCATAAGGAACAGATGATCACCGGTTCTGTCGATCTGACATGGATCTTTGTACAAGCTCTCTTCATGGCTCTCAACACCGTCCTTTGGACCCTATCATATCCTGAAATTCGAAAGGAACATACCATCGAAGAAGTTCAAGGACATTTAGATATGGCCCTCGAAGTGATTGTTTATTCCGCCGAGCGTTGGCCCGGTGTTCAGTCTGCCTTGCTTCTATACAAGCGCCTTGTTGCGGCATGTTTGAAAGCCTACAGAACGGAAGAGTCCTTCGTTGTACACTCGCCCTCGAACCATCCCACACCGGCCTCCTCGCAAGAGGTCGCGACTCCCCAGCGATGTCCAGTCCATCCAACAGTACGACTGCCTCCTTTTATTCCCATACTCACCATGGCCCCAACTCATCCATCGGAGATACTGCCTCCATTGGCACCTACTCCAGAGGACCATCTGCCGATCCTACATTTGGCCAAGAATCAAATCCACCTTCAGTGGCCCCTGGGCCGTGCAAACAACAACAAATGCCACTTAGTTCCTCTCCCTTTGACATGCAGCCGCCACCTACAGGGCAGAATGTGATACCACAGTATTCATCAGAATCCTGCCCGACGCCCACAACGCTCTACCCTGATATGTCGATCGACCCCAACACCCCTTATAACGCGATACCCTCAATTGTACCCGGCCTACAAGGCTGGGACCCCAATTTCTCACTTGCCTCAACGACCGCTGGTCATTTGGCATATGTCGACGCGACTGTCGATCCAATGAACTGGACCACCTCCATCGGAGACCAGTATTCTCAGTTCTTCAATGAGGCATTCCCCGTACCTTCATGGCGGGAGCGCACCCTCAGTCAGCAAGAACAAATCGAGCTTTTGGCCTCCCTGGAAAACAATATACCCGATGTGTCTGCGCAGTTGGGGAACGAGTATAATGCTTATTATCAGTCGTGAGCCCTCGGCCTCTGTCGGCACAGATTATCTGTCCCACCTGCAGTTTCAATGCTATCGTGTCTTGCACTGGGCCATCTTCTGACTTTTTGTAAATGGATTTGTCTAGTTCATTGGCCCGACACCGTTTATCATCTGTCGACTACCTAGTTCCATTCATGACTATAACATAGATTATATCACTGGCTCCTTCTCTCTGATGGGTTCATATTGAATTCTGGTAATGGATAAATCTCAAGGCTCAATTGTAGAGGACAGTAGAGTCCGTGGACTGTGCCTTCCGTATATACTTGTACCTTCCACGGTTCTCGTGCCTTCCATATCTATTTGTTGTCCCTTTCAAAGTTTCCTGGTCGTTCCTTCCCCATCTCCAGGGCCAGACCAGGACAGACATCTCCTACTGAGTGAGTCCGACTCTGAGTGCCCTCATAAAAGCTGCGACTATCTAAGTACGTGGTAGGTAAAGATGGAAGGCGAATAGCCGCTGTGAATCCGCCACTCGGCACTGTGGTTGAAGCTGTAGGATCGCTCCGAGATAACGTTCTTGCCATTCAGTCCAAGGATTGGGTTGAGCTTGTAGTCTCTCAGTAGCTCGTTTCAATCTGATTGTGACATATTGTTCTAATTTAAAAATAAATGCATAATAAAAGAGTCAACAGAGTGAATGAAAGAATGAAAGAATGAAAGAGAAATGTAGTGCAGGCGCCAAGGCCGTCCGGCCAAGACCCGTCACGTGCATATCCCAATTCGCCGTCATCCTCGCCGGCTTTGACCACAGGATCCGATCGTCTTCATCACCCTCCTTCCCCACAGCCACTTTATCCGCCACCCAATTTGCACTACCTCTTGGGATTCAACTTGGTCCCTTGGAATGCAAATGATCGAGGTTGCTCGTTAAAAGACCTGCTCGTCCGCTTGAGCGACCGATCGTGACCGGGAACCCCCCTCTCTACTGGATTCAAAGTTTGCGATTCGGACCCAGAGCCGCTCTGGTCAATACCGTCTCTGCATGCTGAACTCTTCCTTGGGCTCTCATGTCTGATCGCACTCACCCCTCTTTCCAAGCCAGACCTCCCTCGCCTTCCTCACCCGCCGCCGGGTCCCTGAAAGAGAACCATCGGCTGCCCATCTCCTCGGACCACATCCCCCAGACACCGACATCTCCTCCGTTGATGTCGGTCAGCGATCAAAGTCATGCCGACACCTTCATATCCTCACATACGTCACCGAATCAGGCGACGGTCCGACCTCCGAACATCTCCTCCCCTCCATCATCTGCGCCGATGTCTACCCAAGTCTCCCAACACCCAATGAGCAGCACAAATTCATTCCCCACTCCTGCCAGCAGCGTTAGTGGTCATCTTGTGAATGCGACTTCTGCGGGGGATATGGACCACGGTGGGAAATCATTCGATTTGGGGGCACAGGATTCGGCAGAAAACTCGGGAGCAGGTCCCGCTCAACCATCAACACAACACACAGCGGCCGATCCAGATCGGCAGTCTTTCCAAACAGATGGCGCTCACAGTTTTGCCCCAGCGGAGGGTCAGCAGTCGACGAATATCGACGCTATGGACGTGGATCCCCAGCCTACTCGCCGGGCAGATCCCCTTGACCTCAGTTTAGATTCTCTTCAGAAAGAGCTTACATCAGCTTTTCATCTTTGCAGGAGACGTAAGATTCCCCAAAATGAACTATGGCGTTCGCTGTGGGCAGTTGCGTGATCGCACTGATCTTGCACATTTTGGGAATTAAAGTTATTAACATTGTCTTTTACTCCTTCACAGCTTCGGTCGTTACTGGTCCAGATCCTACAGTCGATCTCGTTTCCCTCTATGGGTTAGGACCAATCGCGCACTCGGTAGCCCGCATGGATCCCGTGACAGGAGAGAAGATCAACCGCTTGAGGAAATCATACGAGGGAAAGTTGAAAGGACTGGGACTTGCAGGACGGAACAAGTCCATGAAGCAGGAGATTGGTGCCCCTGGCAGTCTGAGACACATGACTTTATGGCCTGAAGAGGAATGGCAAAATCAGAAGGTGCATGGCAAGGCTATGAAGGTGGCAGATATGGACTCCGCACTACTGGCTCTTCAATCCCGAGCGATGCAGATGGAACCAGGGCCTGTTCCAAACAATGATTTCTGGGAAGATGTCTTGGGCCATGAAAAGCCGGCCAAGCATCAGTCACCGAGCGAGACTGGAAAGAAGGCCGCTCCAGCTCCCGTGGGTCGCACCCAATCCTATGCCGCATCTCCACAACCACAGGAAGCAGAGCGGGTACGTCCTACCAGAGGTCGGAAGCGACACTACGACGATAACAGCTTTGCCGGCTATGGTGAAGGGTTTGTGGATGATGATGATGACCCTGGATTCTACTCGAATGGCGAGGGAACCGGGAAGAAGAAACGCAAGAAGGTATCACTTCCCCGAAGATATTGACCTTCTGTTCATCATCTAATGACATCCTCCAGGACCATGTTGCTAAGGTGTCAACCCCCATGTCTGAAAGAAGCGGTAGCTACGGGGTGGGCATGTTTGGCATAGGGGCCAGATGACGAAATGGGTCTACGATCATTTCAAATCAACCAAAACTGTTTCTGTTACTCTTTTTTTCGATGAAAACCAAATTTGCCCATATCAATCCGGGGAGGATGGGTTCACCCAAGTATTGCTGCTATGCAAGGCTTAGTGCCCTCAATGCCTATCTTGGCTGCCCCCTTTGATATCTTTCTTTACATTCTCAGTACATGTTGCATCACGGTGCTGGATATACCCGGCTTCATCACTCGGACGGCGTTCTGGCAGGTGGGAAACAATGTTATCCAAGATGGATATGATCAAAGCTTTCACTTCGTAAGCTTTGTTTCTCCCCTTGTGCTTTTTTTTTCTTTTTCTTTTTTCTGTCTTCCTATTATCTCGCGCACAGGTATTCGAGATCTTCACTGCGGTAATGGTTGGTCATTTTGCCTTTTTTTTTTCTTTTTTTCTTTTTTTCCCCTGCAGACGGTGTTTCATGCTTTCAACTCGTTTTCATGATTCTTCTACCCCCGTCCAGCTGATCTGGATGGGCTGCTGTGTTCATTCTCAACGATCATAGGGATGTGTGCATGACGCTCCCTTACATTTTTTTTAACATTCATCAGTTGGAGCCTTGATCTTGCAGCGTGGAGATATAATTCTGCGATTGTAAGACAAGGGCGACTGCAGAGTTAGTCAATCCATTCTTGATGATAAGATGTTCCTTTGTAAGGTCGAAGTAGCCGCTGTAGTCTCTTGCAGGTTGTAGTCAATGTACAAACAACTGCATAAATTGAGCGATCTCATCAAGAGATCGGATATTCCATGTTCCAAGAGTGATTATGATACGGGATTTGAATGAGGACTTGTAGGGAGTCGCGTAGTATAGATGTGAGTGGGCATAAGCTGATGATGTTAGAGAAGACGGGAACCTTGGAACGTGGGCTTAGGTTGCACCTGCCCGGGCATCGGCATGGGGTTCGAGGGACAACCGTTCAATATGGGAGAAATTTATCTACCCTGCAGCCCTGCTGCTTCCAGACGGGCGCTGACCCTCATCTTCCTCGATGGTATCTAACCTGGATTTTCTGAGATATTTATATCTTCCCGTCAGAGGTCATGAGTTCAGATTCGTAAGGTATGTGTAGGTAATTGCTCATGCAGCCTGAATTTCAATCACATCTATATATATCGATGCTCGTATTGGCCAGCCTGGTGTGCTAGGTTTCCTTGCATCCATGATCACGAGTAGTAGTTAGTACATGTATATTTAGTGAGGCAAACGGGATGCTAACGTGCAGTTCCTGCAGTACAGGCTGTACAGCCCTGACATTCTGCTAATCTCATTCTATCTTACAGATCTAATTGGCTTAAGGCTGCCCAAAAGCTGATGGCTGCTCGTGAGCCACTCAGAATGCTGACATCTCAGTCATGGGACACGCCCGGGGGTTGCGATCTCATGGCTCGTGCATTCCATGTGCCCCAACAGGCCTGACCTGCATATGCTCTCAATAAATGAAGCTGAACCCGCCCTGATTCTACCAGCATATCCCTCAATGCCACTCACCCTGTGGCTATAGACAGCATGCCTTGCCCTATTCCACAGCCCAAGGGATATCCCGTTATCGGGAACCTCTTTGATATGGACACGGGAAATGTCTGGGCTTCACTGAACAAGCTAGCAGCAGAACACGGCGACGCCGGTATCTTCAAAGTCAAGATTCTCAGCAAGCAACTCGTCTTCATTACGAATGCCGCTCTTCTCGAGGAGATATGTGACGAGAAACGTTTCCGAAAATGCGTCACTGGTCCAATAGTCGAGATCCGTCACCTCGCCCATGACAGTCTCTTCACTGCATTCCACAACGAGGAAAGTTGGGGTATTGCCCATCGCATCATGGCACCCTTCGTTTCACCGGAAGCTATCAGAGAAATGCACAGAGACATACAGCTCACAACAAACGACCTGATCAAGAAATGGACTTCGACAACCGGTAAAGAGCACGTAGATGTTTCCAACGACCTAGACCGTCTCAACCACGCCGCCAACATGCAATGCTTTTTCAGCCAGCACATAGACTGCGTCCTCGGCGAAGAACCCGCCGTCCTCAAAGCAATGACAGCCACAACCTTCGAAGCCGTCCGTCGCCCAACAAGACCCAAACTCCTCACCCGACTCTTCTACCAAAGTACATTCGACAAAGACATCCAAACCATCCGCTCCTACTGCGCCCAGATAATCGCCCACCGACGCAAAAACCCCATCGATAAACGAGATCTCCTCCACGCCTTACTATACTCACAAGACCCCCAAACCGGTGAATCCCTACCAGACAACCGCGTAATCGACGAAATAATCAACATCTTCATCGGCAGCGCAACGACCCCAAACCTCCTCGTCTTCACCATCTACTACCTAACCAAGAACCCCTCAGCCCTAACACGCGCCCGACACGAAATCGACACCCTCCTCGGCACAAATACTACCCTGGAACACTCCCATCTCGCGCACTTACCCTACTGCACTGCGATCCTCCGCGAATCCCTCCGTCTCTGCGCAACGGCACCGGGCTTCAACATCGAGCCTTTACCCGGCAACGGACCCGTACTTCTCGGCGGCGAGTACGAGATCCCCGCTGATCAGCCGCTGATCGCGATCCTGGCGGCTGTGAATAGGGATCCGGCGGTTTTTGAGGAGCCGGAGGCGTTCAAGCCGGAGCGCATGCTTGGTGAGGCTTATGAGAGGCTTCCTGGTGGTGTGAAGAAGGGGTTTGGGAACGGGAAGAGGGCTTGTTTTGGGGAGAGGTATGCGTGGACATGGGCTCTGTATGTGCTTGTTAGGGTTATTAGGGAGGTTGAGTTTGAGTTGGTGGATGGGGGTTATAGTTTTGATATGGAGGGGAGGAATTTTAATGGGGCTTTTAGTGTTAGGCCTTATGGGATGGTTATTACTACGATGAAGAGGGGGAGAAAGCTAGGACGGGAGTGAATTGGATATGTGTTCTATATGTTGTTATATTGTGTTCTTGGTTGGAGCTGGTTGTTGTCGGGTGTAGGTATGTACTTACCTAGGTCTAATTATCCCGATTTCCTATTTCAGAATATCTTTCAAGCAATACCGTATTAGGTTTCGGGATTAAGGTTAGAGTGATTCTTAGACGGCTATCAGGCACTTATAGTGCTGGCCTGGGTGCCTCCATGAAAGCTTCCATTGAATTCCTTAGACACATGATACATCTGCGAATACCTGTACTCCAAGCACCTCCGAGCCGGATCCGAGTGACGGGGTTTCTCCGATAGAATGCTTGGTTTGTTTGATATTTCAAGTCCATGGAGCCCTGACAGTATCGATATGGTGTTCTCATGGAAAGCACCTCACTATTTCCAGTACATAGGTTTAGGTACGAACTTGGTGTAGAGCGTAGTATTTCCGCGTACCTACCTCTGGGTCTTGCATATGGATATGTCGTAGGCCCTTAGGTGCGCTCTACATGGAAGGAATATACTCGCGGACCACAACTTAGGTAGTATTGATCACATCTTCAAACGAGGGAAGACATACCTACACAGTAAGGTTGCTCTTGTTGGTTATACCCGGGCTATAAGGTTACTGCCCGTAAGGTACCTATATCGTGAACCTAGGTTGGAACCCTCATACCTGGTCAGCGTATACACAAGGAGGTATGAGTCATGAACTTGCAAGTTAATAATATATCATGACTCTGTATCGAAGATGACCGATGATGCATAGATAGTCGATCAGATCTAAGAATATAGTCGTGACGAAGCAGAATACGCTACCCTTGCTAAGGGGAAGTCTTCAATGGTCCGGTGGGTTAAGTTCCTCAGTTCCAGGGTTGGAACCAATTAAGCTTTGACCCGAAGCCCTAAGTTGATGATCACCATTGCAGTGCTGAGCTCTTCTTGCTTGAAATTCCATATATGACGATTACCAACTGGGGAATGAACGGCCAAAGATCCTCGGAACTATTTAGTCCCACGCGAACACGAAATAAAAAAGAATTTGACAGACGTCAATGCTTTACGCAGTACGTAACTTTCCGAACACACTAACACACCTCAGATCTACATGTGGTCCGTGGATAGAGATAACCTGTCTTAATCGTCATATTGACATCGCTGCGAAGTCTATTCACTATCTCATCGGAAGGGACAGGGAGGAACCGTAAGCTTCGGAGATTAGCTGGTGAGCTTTCCGATTGGTGCCCATGAGGCTGTCCGCGTCAGAAGCTCAGTGCTATCATTCCATGCCCGTTATGACTTCCTTCTTCAGGACTCTCCTTGATCAGATAGCTTGAGCCAAGTGACGTCGTCCGGAAGGAGCTTCCCCATCTTGACTCGCCAAGCGAAGATGGAAATCGTTGAGGAAGGTAGGTCTATCCTGTCCCACAGTCGAGCTTTTCCTTACAGGCGTTTCCACAGAGACAGGGCCCCCAAATGTTGAGCCAGTCGATCTATCGCGGACCCAAATCAAGGGAATCCATACGCAAGCTATAGCTAAATATATCAAGCTAGGCTCAGGCAACTGCGGAAGCGATCCCCGTAGCCAAAGGTGAGGGAGGGGAGCTATGAGAGCTACGAACATTCCTGAACGCTGAAGCCTCCGAACTGCCCATGACCTTGGGGAGCTCTTCTTCCAATCGCGTGTTTTTAGCAGGCATGTTGAACCAACGTGCGCCCAGTAGAGCTCTTGGGATCGTAGCAAATCAAGATAAAATGTCCGGTGATCACATCATTTGGATCCTCTCTCCCTTCATTCCAACTCCTTAGCTGGTAGCTGTAACCTCGACGGCGGAGCTAAGTCCTGGATAAATGCGAGGAATGCTAGCACGGATTACCCTTCGGAGGATTTAATTTTACCAATTAAATATTTAGTGTTCAAATAAAAAGAGGCTTGACAGCAGCGATGTCTAAGATTCGGAAAATATTCCCAGCTTTGCAATCAGCATGTCGACAAAGATGGCGTCCAAGGTGGTCCTCTCGAACAACACTCACAGCAACTGGATGAAAGATCCAGGATTGCGGCGACTGAACCTTGGGATCGGGTTCATGCTATCTGCATCGGCTACTGCCGGATATTGTGCCAGTATGATCAATGGTCTGCTGGTGCTTCCCGAATGTATGTCCTACATATGCCCCATTCCTTTCAACAACCCAACAGGCTAACAACAAGACAGTTACAAATTTTCTGCATGGCCTCGACACAAATGGAAAGGGCCTGATCATCGCAGCTGTCTCACTTGGCTCTTTTAGCGCATTTATCCCCGCATCCTACATTGCCGATAATCTGGGGCGGAAGATCTGCGTTCTCATCGGATCCTCGCTAGTGATCATCGCCTCGATCATTCAAGTCGCCACACAAAATCACTGGATTTTCTTCGGCGCCCGCGTGCTAGCGGGCATCGGCGTCGGCATTTCACAAACAGCCGCGCCTTTGCTCATTACTGAATCGACACATCCGCGCCAGCGACAGGCCTTTACGGGCCTCTATAACGCACTCTGGTTCATTGGGTCCATTACGTCGGCTACGATTAGTTTTGCAGGACTTGCAATTCTGGGAAGTTGGTCGTGGAAACTGCCTTGTCTAACGCAGGTGTTTTATCCGGTTCTGCAGCTGATTGGACTTTGTCTTGTGCCTGAGAGTCCGAGATGGTTGGTTTCTCGCGGGAGGAAAGAGGAGGGAATGGCCATTTTGGCTAGGTACCATGCAAATGGGGATAAAAACGACGAGCTTGTCCAGGATGAATTCTATCAGATTTGCAAGAGCATTGAAGCCGAATCTGATAAGAGCTGTCGGCAGTGGAGCTCGTTCTTTGCGAATCGCAGCAACATGCATCGTCTGGCGATTTGCGTGCTGTTGGGATTTATGCAAGAATGGTCAGGAAATGGTACGAGATAATATCCCTTCTCTTTCATTCAGAATTCTAACTTTTTTTCATCTAGGTGTCGTTTCTTACTATCTAGCCCCAATTCTGGAATCAGTCGGTATCTACCACGCCTCTCACCAGGCCGCCATCAACATAAGCCTGCAAGTGTGGAACCTGATGTTCGCCGTCGGCGGAGCAATGGCCGCAGAGCGATACGGACGACGAAAACTCTGGCTGATCGCGACAACCCTGATGCTGATCTACCTCTCCGCCGCAACGGCCATGTCAGGCCTCTTCCAAGAGCTCCATGTGCTGGAAGCTGGCATCGCGGTGGTGCCCATGCTCTTCCTCTTCTGCGCCGCATACGACATGGCCTACATGCCGCTATTCATTGCCTACCCAGCTGAAATCTTGCCCTTCCAGCTCCGCGCCAAGGGCCTCGCCATCACCTTGACCACCGACTCGATGGCTTGTTTCTTCAACCAGTACATCAACCCGGTGGCGTTTGCGGCTATCCACTGGAAGTACTTCACTGTTTACCTAGGATGTCTCATTATCTTCCTGGCGACTATCTACCTGCTCTTCCCGGAGACCAAGGGCTTGTCTCTGGAGGAGGTGGCAAGGATCTTCGAAAAGGAGAAGACTTATCAGGTTGAGACGCCTACTTCACATGTTTCGCAGGAGTTGGTGATTTTCCCGAAAAAGAGCAGCACATCGTCATGACTGTGACTGTAATACACAGTATGGCTTTGTGCGGTTGTTGTACTATATAACTACGACAGTGCTGGGTTTCTGAAACAGTACATGTACCTCGCCGGCTCATCCCAGCAGGCCGGATCTCGATGTTATCTAGGTGTCTTTTGTTTTCTTTGTTATTGCTGTTTGTGCGAATAGATAGATATTTCATATGTAGAGATTATCCACCATCTTATGGTGATACTCCGAATTCGAACAAAAAAAGAATGAAAATCATCAACAGTTAGGGCTATTCCATCCTCCAGTCTAACCTCATTTTATACTCATCTCGCCATCCAATCACAACCATCCCGTTATCATCCACACTAACCCACATCCAGCCTAGCCCCAATATTTATCCCAATTCGCATATCAACCGCTTCAACCTAAACAGCTCTCACTTTTCCAGCCCCAATTCAATTTGCTCCCATACCTATCCACACTCTCACCAAACCCCCAACAAACAAAGCAACTCTCCAATCCACACCCAAACTCATAATCAAAATGTCAAAATACCAAACAGCCCTTCAACAAATCGACGCCGCCCACTCCGCCGACCCCCGCCAAACCCGAACCCCCACCGGCCCAATCCCCTACGAACTACACTACGCCCAAAAAATGACCTCCTACCTCGAAATCCTCTACCCACAAGCCCCAGAACTCCTGCGCCTAGCCATCCGTGCCCAACACCTCCGCCGCTGGGAAGTGCCGCGCGACAGCTACCCGGCGACGAAAATCGGGTACCACGCGTGGCGCTCGGGATTGCAGCGGCGCCAGGCTGCGCTGGTCGAGCAGATATGTGTTGAGAGTGGGTATTCGGCGGCGGAGGCGGGGAGGGTGGGCGCGCTAGTGAGGAAGGAGGATTTGAAGGCTGGGGATCCGGATACGCAGGTGTTGGAGGATGTTGCTTGTTTGGTTTTTTTGGATGATCAGTTTGATAAGTTTGAGGCGGAGTTGGCGGATGAGGAGAAGATGGTGGGGATTCTGAGGAAGACTTGGGGGAAGATGTCCGAGAGGGGACGGGAGGAGGCTTTGAAGATTAGGTTGTCGGAGAAGGCGGAGAGGTTGGTTGGGATTGCTTTGAGTGGGTGATCTGGACTATGTGATTATAAGGTGGAAGGTCTTAATGTGAGATGAGCTTTTATTAGAGATGTGTCATGTTGCATACATATGAAGTACATGGCCTCGATGATTTCCCCGAAACGCCCGCTAATGATTGGCCAATGGAGCAAAAGGAAAAGAACAATGTTGCAGAAGTTGCAATGCAAAACGCTCACAACGTAAAGAATCGTCACTGGCATCTCCATCAGTTCGTCATGCCACTGCTCGTGTCAATTAACCGAACCAATCCTATCGCCGCACCAGCAGCTAACCCTCCAACACAACACATCTGTAGTCCTCCCCAGAGCGCAGCCATGACGTTACCCCGACCCGACCAGCCACGCACAACGCATGTCTTCACATATCCGAAGACCAGCAATGTGATAGCCATCACGCCGGCGCTCCAGTACAGAGCGTCCAACACCCGCGCGACGATAAAGTACGGGATGAGCGGAATGAACCCGCCAATGAAATATCCCAGAGCAAGTGTGATGGCCGAGGTCCAGGCCTGGTTGCAGTCGGGAGCAGCCTCGCAATGATGGAAAGCTAGGAGGAACTCGAGGAGTCGATCATGGGATGCGTGCAGATCTCGTGTAATATCCGCCACGGCTGAATCGGACAATCCGTATGGAGCGAAGGTCTCGCGAACCAGGGCGTGGGTTTCTTGCGGGTCTGTTTCAATGAGCTGTTGTGTTTCTCGGACAGTTGCTTGATAAGATTCACTGGAAATGATGTTAGCTTCTAATCTAATCGGCAAGTGAATTGTCTCGATCACTTTGAAACTTACGCTTCACTCTTTGCGCCGACGTATCCTCCAAGACCCATGGAGATGGCTCCGGCTGCCAGTTCTGCGAGGCCGCCCAGAACAACGACTTTCGTGTTTCCTAAAGCAGAGAGACCGGCGCTCAGCGCGAATGGAACGGTAAGACCGTCCGATAGGCCGAGAATCGCATCTGAGACGATGCGCGGGTTGATGCGCGCTCGGGTACAGCTGTTGCTCGTTATCGTTGTTGTGGATTCGTCGTTGCTAGGGCGTCGTCCGAAGGTGTCATACGAGCGAGCGTTCTGGGACTCCAAATCTCTCTCGGAGTCCCCGATGAGAGGCTCGTCATCAGGGATACCTGAGAGAAGCGGTTTGACTGGATTCGGTTGCGTGAGTATGTCACCTCGTTTTGGAATTCGATTCTCGGATTCTGCTTACCTGAGAGAGTTTGGTCTGCCTTCTTGCTTGGGAAGAGCTTTTGTTTGATGAAGAGGAATGCCATTTTGACTTGAGAAGTGAGTTCTCGATGCGAAGTAGAGTTATTGGTGTCGAAGTATATTGTCCTCGTTATCTCCGAGCGTCTTGGTTATCTCCGAGACGAGATGGCCGACACGGCGACGACAACCTTGGAATATATATTCACGTGATTACAGGTCGACGAGGAAGGGAGGTATGAGGCTATATGCAACGAGAAAAGCAATTGCACTTTATTCAGCCGATCAGAATTGACCAAGAAGGGATGTCTAAGATTGAACCTTGACACAAGATGGGTAACAAAGGTCAAAGACTATGAGATGCAATGAAAGAAGAAGAAAAATTTGAGAGAAACCATCTATCAAAGTCGGACGCGTCCACCCCCTTTAAACACCCCAGAGTGCCACAGACTTACACCGGTCTCAGCACCACAGACTCCATCGAGAAGAGCAAAAAACAGACAAAAGCCCACAGTTCATGCAGCCCAAACAGGAAATTATGGCAGATTGATCGCCAGCTGGATCCAATAACATCGTTGTTAAATGTCAGCTTGGCCCGTTCTGAAGGTCAGAAACTGCAAGGCCAGAGCAGCTTTCACCCACTGTTTCCCAGGGTTCCTAAAACAATCAGCTCAGTCACTGCAAATCCAACACTTGCCATTGGCGAGGCATGCGGTGATGACCTTTGGCGATGATGTGATTGGCTGCACGCGGTAATTGACATACTTGGGATCCACTGGGGGTCCGCTTGGTGGTCCACTGTGGCACGTTCGGAGGATACTGGTTGGTTAGTTTGGACTTCCAAGGGATTGGATCGATCGCGGGTCTCCCGTCTATTGTGTACTTCTGGATTAGTGTTTCGGGATATTGGCAGTACCTCCGCTGCTAATAGGTGGTACTTTATGGATATGATTGTAGACAGTGTGGACCGAATAGGTAGTTGACTGCTTGTTCATATTTGAATTAGGAAAAGGACACTTATTTCCGAGAGGATGCTCGGAGGTAGAAATAGGCAGCAAATATCCCGAGATCATTAACTCCGATCGGACCTATGGTCTTTGATACTTCTAGAAAAACGGACTTGCCTATTTGCCACTAGTCGGACCTCAAACTAAAAATGTGAGGTGTCGGGGCGAAATGTGGACTACGCGAGAAAGCTCAATTTCCGAGTTTGTTCATTTCCGTATGGTTGTTCATAAGGTTGCTGTATGGAACATCCACAACCGAGCTTTCTTTCCAATATTGCTTTGAGACAGTTGGGTTAGACCCGGCTTTGAGTACATATATTTCCACAATGAAACAGGCATTTCCTGTTTCTTCTTGATGATATGAACAGCGCGAGTGGCATTGTTCACCGGCCCTCTGCGCGCTCCACCAACTGATCCTCCAGACCCATTGGCTCCCATACCTCCTTGGCCTTCTTATTCTGAACCCACACCACATCTCCTTGAATGAAAGCCACGACTCCTCCCTTGCCTGTAGCACTGGCCGTGATGCGGAACAGCGGCTGGCCATTTTGTGGGTGGGCCTCGCGTAAGGGCAGCATGATAAGTCCCTGCTCCAAACACCAGCCCTCGAGGATGTCTTTGAATCCGACCTCTTCCACGGCCGCGGGCTTGGCCCGGGGTTCGGGGGTAGCTGCGGCGGCGGCAGCAGAGGCTTTCGCCACTTTGTCTTCCCGCGTGGGAAGTGTCGTTCGTGCTGCAGTGGGACGTGGGAGTTCGGCAGCGGCACGATCACCTAGCTCCAAAGCAAGGTTCATCGTCTGCAAGGCCTTGTTCCACTCTTCGTCGACAATGACAAGCTCGTTGACCGTCTCTGGGATCTGAGTGCGCCACCAGGTGTACCAAGCACCGACCTCCTCGTAGTTGGGGTCGTTGGTAAGCCAGATGTAAAGGACTTCGTGCCACTTCGGGAAGAAATCGGAAAGCAGCAATAGTCCCATGACGTTAGGCTTGAAGAATGGTGTCCAGCACAAGACGTCTTTGAATGCTGTGAGATCTTGGTCTTGCGGGTTCACGATGAAGTCCTCGCGAAGATGGCGTGCGAGACGGGGCAGCAGATGGTTTCGTAGACATACGTCGAATTCGGACCCCAGCGCATCCCTCCAGACCTCAATGCGGTCGACCAATCCCTTGCGCAGACTCCACGTGTCGAGTACCGAGCGGAATTTCCTCTTCGCGTCAGACATGAGACCAGTGGGCTGTTTCGGGTCGGTGTGCCGGTCATCCAGATATTGAAGCCATGAGAAAAGCCACCATGGGAACTTTCCGTCTTGCTCAGAACCGGCTTGTCGTCGGCTACTTCGCGGTCTCCAGTTCTTTAGGGCAACGCTGAGCTTGGGAACGATCAACTGGTTGAGAACGTTTGCATAGACAAATGGTGGAACAATCGCCTTCCAGGCCACGACCAGCGCGGTTGCCTTGGACGGATCGTAGACATCCCAATCATTTAAGAGTGCAGAGCGCACACGTGGGAGCCAGAGAGTGTAAATCATCGTTTCGTAAGGTGAGGTAGATGCCCGTTTTCGGGGTTCCTCTGTAACATTTTTATGAGACAGAAGAGGCTGGAGACGGATGAGGTTGGGCACAAGGAACATGGGATCTTGAAGGGGTTCCCATTCATCCATGGCTTGGCGAAAGAGCGGATGTAGAGCCGCGACTGCGGTCTCAGGAAGTCGGTGCTCATCGGCGACATCCTGATATTTCGATGCCATAGCTTCCAGCTTGCTGGTCAATTCGTCGAATTTCGTCGAGATACTTTCGTCATTCTCAAAGATGTCCAGTTCCTCCACTGCGGCGATAAGGCCGGTAAGATGGTTAATACGGGATTGGTATGCATCCAATTCATCCACGACCTGAGCCTCTTCCAGTTCAATGTACTCTTTTCTTTCCTTCAAGCCCTTCCATTCATCCGCAAAGGCTTCAAGGTCATTCCGGGCGCGTTGAGCAATCTTCAACGCCTCTCCTTCTTCCGGAGTGACGAATTGTTGGGTCGATAGAAGGCCAGCAGTGGAAGTGAGAACGCGCTGTTCCTTTCCTGTCGCGTCGACTAGTGATTTGAGAACATTTGGCACTTCCAAGCCTTCCATATCAACCTCAATTTCGCGCGCTGTCCTAAATTTGGGTTTGGCCCGCTGAACCGGTGTGCCCGCGCCGCTCAGAGCCTTGCGCTCCTCCTTCTGCTTTCGCCGTCTGCGTCTTTCATCTTCGGAGCTGTCTTCAAGAATCTCGCCGTTCTGCGCAGCCGCCCGACGCTCTTCCTCGCGAGTTTTCTTCGATTTCTCGCTGACTGCGCCTAGGCCTGCACCCTGGGGGCGCGCCTGTACCTCGATTGGGTTCACGATACCCTGGCCAGAAGTTCCCAGACCCTGTCCCTCCTTGTAGCCCATCTTCGCCATCATACGCGCGGCGAAGCTGTTGGATCCTCTTCCCGCGCCGCCTCCCATGCTTTTCTGGCCCCGCGAAGATCCTCCTCGTGTGGAGCCGGCCATGTTGTTTTGCTTATTGCGCATGCCGCTACCAAGGCCACTCATCACGGGGGGTGATATGGATCGTGAGGCAGCCCGGGTGAATCCCTTGAAGCTGGTAGTCGGACGCGACTCTTCTTCATCAGAGCTCATATTTGCAACCTTGCGCTTCTGCCCAGCATACGAAGGCGAAGCCATCTTTTCAACGGGTCATTGGCAGATCGTACCCAGGATGACTGACCCCTGCAATTTGCAGCAACGAAGACGAAGTGAAGGAGAAGTGTAATCTGAGAAAGAGCACATCAAGCCCAGCAAATTCACGTGGGGAAGGCCCGGGGCAACGGAACAATATATCCCCGGACGAAAACAAGATGACGTTACTGTCGGTTACTTCATAGCTCGGCTGCTCGTCTCCCTCAGCATTTTCTTTCGACACTCACTACCTTTTCTCACATTTGAAGCTCTCTTTGTCAATTCACACCACAAACTAATTTCAAACATACCCTCACAATGGCTGCTCTTCTTAGCAACTCAGCTCGCGTTGCCCTTCGCTCGGGAGCTTCGGCTACCTCCAAGGCCGGAGCTGCGGGCTTGACCTTTGCCCGTGGCAAGGCTACTCTGCCTGACCTTTCCTGTATGTTTTATATTTGATGTAAACTGATCTATACATTGTCCATGGAACACATTGGCTAAGAATGGATACAAGACGACTATGGCGCCCTGGAGCCCTCTATCTCCGGCAAGATCATGGAGATTCACCACAAGAACCACCACAACACTTATGTGACCAACTACAACAACTCCATTGAGCAGCTCCAGGAGGCCCAGGCTCAGGGTAACATTGCTGCCCAGATCGCCCTCAAGCCCGCGATCAACTTCAACGGCGGTGGCCACCTCAACCACACTCTCTTCTGGGAGAACCTTGCCCCCAAGAGTGCCGGCGGCGGTGAGCCTCCTTCCGGTAACCTGTCTAAGGCTATCGACTCTACCTACGGCAGCTTCAACGAGTTCCAGTCCAAGATGAACGCTGCTCTTGCCAGCATCCAGGGCAGCGGCTGGGCTTGGCTCGTGAAGGACAAGCAGACTGGCCAAATTGGCATCCGCACCTACGCTGTAAGTTCGACTGACGCTTTATCGCCTGTTACATGCAATGTCCCTATGTACTGACTCCTTATAGAACCAAGACCCTGTTGTTGGCCAGTTCGAGCCTTTGCTCGGCATTGACGCCTGGGAGCACGCCTACTAGTAAGGAAACTCTTTTCTGATTCTACTCACATATACTAACAATATTTTAGCCTCCAATACCAGAACCGCAAGGTCGAGTACTTCTCCGCCATTTGGGATGTCATCAACTGGAAGGCTGTTGAGAAGCGCTTTGCTTAAATAGGCCTGTTTTGATTTGTATATGCCATGATGGATTGCACTTGATTGCTCCCTGTATTGTAGCATGCGATTTGCACAATAATATCACACATGTTTCAATATAGCCAGTCTCGCGACCCCGAACTTCCCATTTATTCTGGCGTAGATCGCGTTCTAGGCCGGGCCGGGCGGGCCGCGTCATAGAAAAAAGATCACCGCAGACTTCCGAAAATAATCAAACCTGACATTCTCCCTTCGGGCCTTTCAAAATCTTGCATTGCTTCTCACCTCCATTATGGCGGCAGAAAGCCCTGGTCAAAAGAATGGCTTCAAGTCCTTTTTCTCCAATGCATTGCGTCCTAAGAAATCTCGCCAAACCCTGCGCAAGGGCAGTAGGTCAACTACCGACTTGCGGCTGGCCGCACGCTCCAGTATCGACACAGTCCCTCCAATGCCAGAGCTGGCGCCATTGCATGCCCATAGGTTGAAATACAGAGAGTTACATGCGGAAGTGGACTCTCAATTGGGCGAGCGACGGGACTACACCGAGATCATCCATAGTCTGGGCACGCTTGACGTCAACGAGATCAGTGCTCCAACATACGAGCACAATGACACCCGACCCCCAGGCGAAGGCGACATAGCCAGCCTCCCACCAAAGCTCTGGCAGCGAATAGCGACATACCTGAATCCAGCGGAAGCAGCAAGCCTAGCGATCGCCAGCATCACCTTATACCGCCGTCTAGGCCCAAAATACTTCCTAGCTCTCGACCACGCAGACAACCACACCTACAAAACCGAATTTCTAGCTGGCCTAGAAATCTCCCTTCCTCACCATCTCCTCTGCTTCCCCTGCACAAAATACCACCTCCGCACAAGCGAAGGCACCGAACGCCTCCGCCCAAGCCATGTCCTCAACCCGCTCTTCAACTGCCCCAACTCCACAAACACACGAAACCCTCCACCTCGCCACCGCATCACGCATGGCCGCAACCTTCCCTTTACCTTTGTGCAACTGGTAATGCGCGCCCACCGCTTCGGCCCCAAATACGGCCTCCCTGTAGAGGCCCTAGGCCGCCGCTGGGAGCGCGACAACTGGTCGCACACCTCCCGCTTCCACATCCACGCCGGCCGCCTGTTGATGCGCGTTACGAGTCAGACTTTCGCACCGCCAGGTCTCCCGCCCTCCGCGCAGCGGATCCTGCTCTACTCGCGCGAAGACTACTGGCCGTATTTCAGTGCGTGCGCACACTGGCGGGATGGCGAGTTGATGCCCGCTTGCAAGTGTGCGTTGGGACATATCCCGCGACCGCGGAGCACGGGTGGATTGCAGGGTCTTGAGCACAAGGTCAAGGACCGGATTGCGGGGCAGGTGTTTGATCCGAATGCATTGACGACGCTTTGTGGGTTCTGTCGGCCCATGCGGCGGTGTCCCGAATGTCCGACGGAGTACTTGATCGAGGTTAAGTTGACGGAGGACCGAGCGGATGGCAGGTTTAAGCAGGCTATCGTTGTTACGCGGTGGAGTGATCTTGGGGATGGGAGGACGCCTGGGGGGATCGAATGGGCGGCTATTAATGGGGTGGGGGAGGATTATGATTCTTTTATACATTACGCGAAGCGTGGAATTGCGAGTATTTTCGAGGCTGCCTTCACTGCTGATACGCTTCCTGGGCAGCGGGTTGTTTCGTTGAATCCGAAGAAGAAGAAGCTTGGAGAGGAGGGAAATCAGTGGTATTAGGGTTATGGTTCTTCTATTCGGTATGAATCTGGGCGTTTTGATATTGGAAGCAAAGCTGGAGTTTAGGCTAATATGGACTGATTTACAAGAATTCGTCGAATCCGAGTGATGTTGCTTCTCTTCTCCCTTTGATGATATGATAGATGCCGTTGGACAAAGTACTTTCTTTCTCTAATTTGAACAACAAAGGCAAGCAACGTCTTTACTCCGTCTTTTTCTATCTTTACTTTTCGAGTCAATGTCTTTCTGTTCTATTCAAGTCTGAAAGAGACGTTCTATTTCGCAGCAAGGACGACTCAATGCTCGATTGTCGACAGTCCCCTTTATTCCAAGAGACAAAGACAAACCGAAATTGTCCTCAGAGGGAGTCCGAGTATATAAGTCTCGATGAAGTCCAGCTTATCCTTGCCATCAATCCAACCATCCAACCAACCATCTAACCAGCAATCTAACAATCTAACAATCCAGCACTTTCACGGTCCAACCATCTAACACAACAATTCTATAGAAGAATCATCCATACAACCTCAAAATGCCTCGATCCACATTGTCCCTGTCGAAAAACACCTCGCCGAATGAGAGAAGCAGACGCAAAATTTGGGGACCACTTGGTCTTGCCGATGAATCTGGGCCCAATGCTACAGGGATCATGGCAGACCGCACTACTGTCCTAAACCTCCTCCGCACAATCTATGACCCTATACTCGCGCGATTCATTGCACTAACTAATAACCCTCAGCAAGTACTTTTCCACAACAGACGCGCTCCCCGCCAAGTTCAGGTAGCTCTTTTCAATTATTTGGGACACCTGCCAGCTCGTGTCCTAGCCGCTGAGCCTGATCGTTGGGAACTTGTTTATCATCTCTACACTTTGCTCAGATACCTGCGATTTACTGATCGCGCTTGGGATGCTCCTCTGGCCGTCCCTTTGCCTGCGCTTCCTGAATTGCCCGCTCCTGGTGTTCCGTCTCGCACCGTCAATGTCCCGACTGGGTTCCCTGGTAGCAGGACCCCCCAAGGTGGTTGGCCTCCTGGTCCTGTCAATTCTCCCCAGCTGCGCGCCGCTTCCCTCGATCCTCTCCCCGCTCTCCCCGCTCCCGCTGCTCCTGCTCCCGCTGCTCCTGCTCCCGCTGCTCCTGCTCCCGCTGCTCCTGCTCCCGCTGCTCCTGCTCCCGCTGCTCCTGCTCCCGCTGCTCCTGCTCCCGCTGCTCCTGCTCCCGCTGCTCCTGCTCCCGCTGCTCCTGCCCCCGCTGCTCCTGCCCCCGCTGCTCCTTCTCCCGCCGCTCCTTCTCCCGCTGCTCCTTCTCCCGCTGCTCCTTCCCCCGCTGCTCCTTCCCCCGCTGCTCCTACCTTCCTTACTCGTGTCCGCGCTGCTCTTGCCCCCACTGCTCGTGCTCCCGCCGCCCCTGCTCCCGCCGCTCCTGCCCCCACTATGCTTCAATTTGGTCCCCTTCAACCTCCAGGTTCAATCCTTCCTCTCCCCGTTCCTACTGGTATCCCCGGCCATCGCCCCTCTGCTCCTCCTCCCCGTTTTCCTGTCACGAGTATTGCTCCCGAACTTGTTCATGCTCCCATTCCTTCTATTGAATATGATGATACTGCTCATAGTGGTGGTCCTAATTTTCGCCTCCCTTCCATCCGTTCTATCATCCCCGGTCTTCCTACCGCTTCTCGCCCCGGCGCTAGTCCTCGCATCAAAGAGGAGCCTGAGATCAAAGAGGAGCCTGAGAGCAGTCCTCGCATCAAACGGGAGCGTGAAGACGATGACGGTGAGGGCGATGCGCCCCCCGCTAAAAAATGAGTTGCTACTTGTGAGTTTCTTGCGAACTTGACTTGGTTATGCTTACATCTAGATATTCTTATCACTTGACTTTGTTGGCGTTGGTGCTTTAGCCTTATCTAATAGAAATCTACGTATTTCATGCTGTTTGAATTACTTGCTTTGGTAGAGGTCGTCTGGTAGAAGATAGAACGTTCCGTTGTATGTGACTAGAGCCTGAAACTGCCGGTTACAACGTAGAATACGACGTACGATAAGAAATCCGAAACAGGCTACCTTAGTGGTGCTTCCAACTGACTTCATGTCCAAAATGGCCGAGTGATTCAGGTTATGTGTGGTGAAAAGAGCTCATAATTCAGATCGTTAGATGAAGTTTGCGAGGGACATTCGGGGGATGAAAAGACATAGCCATGCTATTGGCATCTCTCGTGGTGTGCAGGGCTGGGTATCACATAATACAAGGGAAGAAAAGTGGGTGTGGAAGTATGAAGGCACAGGGAGTAAATGAATGAAGCGAGAAAAGTAGGGTAGCAACCCGATTTTCTCTTAAGCTTAACCTCGGCGAGCACGGCGGCCCATGTAGCGAGGTCTTCTGGCAAATTCCTCCTGATTAACCGCCGCCTCAGAATAAGGTCTGGCAGCATGGGCCTCCATGGAGTCGGGCGTATCAGCACGGGGCGTTCCAGCCCCGTGGGAAGCAGCCTCATATGCCAGACGAGACGGAGCGCGGTTCTCTTTCGTCGAGTCAGTGGGAGGTTCCGTCCCGCTGACGATCATGGATTCCGGACGTTTGCCCTTCATCCAGCCGAAGATACCGAGTGAGCTGCGCCGCTTGTGTTCCACACCGTGGGATGTAGAAGGGCGGCCTGAGACTGTTGCGGAGCCGGCATGGGCGGCTATGGTCGAGTCTGTGAAGGACTGGGGGAGGTTTCGGAGTTTGAAGGGAATACTTGGTTCTTCGTTGGAGACCGGCTGGGCGGACGGATATGGCTCGGTTGGGTCGGTGATTATTTGGGACATGGGTCTGCGGGGAGCGCCGCCCATTGTTCTGGATTTAGGGATTACTGGTGACGGGGCACCGTCTTCGAAGTCGTCTTCGAAATCGTTGGGGATTGGGGAGGCTTGGAGGCGGCGGGGGATATTTGCTGAGCGGCTGAAGAACGGGGGACGGAAACTGATGCGTCGACGGGGTTCGGGATCCGCGTCGACTTGAGGACCCGGTTGGGGTACCTGGAGTGGCTGTTCCAAGGTATCCAGGGTATTCATATCAAGAGTTGGGATGTCCGGGACATCGCGATGAATTGTCTCCGAGGACATGCTGTTGAAATTGTGAAAGGCGGCTTGGCTGACGACGGTGCGTGGTGAGAGCTCCGTCGGCTGGACACCAGGACGAACGATGCGTGTATATAGCTTGTTGGATGATGGACCTTGCTTGGCAGCAGCAATCCAGTCTTGCGGTGTAAGAGGTGGTGAAGAATCGTCTTCCTCAAACTTAGGCTCCGGGGTCATGGCTTTGGGTGGGCTGCGCACGCGCTTAATGGTTGGGGTTGATAATTGGTTACCCTTCTCTTGAAGCATATCTCCGAATGTCTCGATGACAGGGTTGTCGGGGCTTCCGGGCCCAAGAAGCTCGCTAGCTTTGGAAGAAACAGTGTTGAAAGAGGGTAAGATAGTGCGCGACTCATCAGCTGCCGCTCCTAGACGTGGAGTATCACTGCAGTTGGTGTGCATGCTGTCTGTGATATCACTGCCATTAAAGCTGTGACGACTACTCATCTCTTCGGCAGAGCGTGGGCGATGAACTGATTTTCCAGAGAAGAACAGGTCTTCTTCAGCCCGTGGGCTCCTTCGAGCCGCAATGCTCCCGTTTGAACCATTCGAGCGGTTCGCACCCATAGCATATGCCGTACTCATGGTATCAGGAGTGGGTGGAAGCCTAATACCTCCGAAAAGAGATGCATCGAGTCGCCCCCGTCCACGTGGTTTGGGAGAATACAAGTCTGTCGCAATGCTTGGCATGCTGGCATGTGTGGTGGCATCAGACGATGCTCGTTGCATGCGCCTTTTGATGATAGTCTGGTTGGTATCCTCCCGAGACTCCATCCATCGGTCAATCTGGTCCACTTGGCTTTCCGCCCGCCCGGCTGAGGGAACATAGCTATCCAAGCTGCCTGTGGCCGACGATGATCTCCGCAGAGGAATCTCGAGCTGATCAAAGTCTTCCCATCTCATAGGCGTGTCCGCCGCATTCAGCTCACTGCATTCGCTTAGCACGCTCAGTCTAGGCGACTCCGGTTCAAGGGTCTCGGTCGTCGTGTGGAAGCTCTCTGATTTAGTGAGTTGTGTCGATGCACAGCGCGACAGTTTCTCTTCTTCAGGGGCATACAGACTTCGCAAAGCAGCAGTGCTGTTGTTGTCCTCTCGTAGGAAGGACGGTGCTTTCGAGAGTTTGCGCAACTCAGAGGACGTCTGGCGCTGAGCTACGCCCAGGACGCCCGAGTTTCGCCTCGAAGATGTTCTCTCCGGGATTTCAACCATGATCCGGGCTTTCGGTGTCAGAATTTCGGACCCGTCAGCAGTCTTAGGGCGGGACATGGACATCTTGGATGTTCGCCCGCCATTTTCGAGTAAATCAAGTCTCGTCTCCAACTGACAGATCAGTTCGACGGCCTCGGTAACAGCTAGGTCTCGCTTGTCAAGTTCGCCGCGCAGTTGCTCATTAGATTCGCGGAGGGTTTGATTGTCTCTCTCGGCCGTTCGAAGCTCCTGCACTTCTGCTTCCAACTCATGCATGCGGGCCAGTTCTTCTTCCATCTGCGCCATCCGCTCCAGTTTTTGCTCCATGATGGCCATCTGTTGGGTACGGTGGAATACCTCAAGCTTCAAATCGAAATTGAGCTTGTTCATTTTCGAGACGTACTGCAAAACAATGAGCTAGTGCACATGAGGTGTCGGGTGCCGACTTCGGCACTTTCAAAGACTTACTTGATCCATCTCCCGCATACCCATCTCTTTTGGCCTCCTCTGGCCAGCAGAGAAAACGTCACTCACTTTGCGTGCTTTTTCGGATGCAGTTTCTTCCTGAGTTCGTGTGGTCTCCGGGGTCCTCGGTGCAGTCTCCCCACAGTCCTCTGACGCTGGTCCTCGGGAGCTTCGATGTGCGCGTTGTTCTTTGAGCAAGCCCTGCAAGAGAGCGGAGGCAGGGTTGACCAGTGTAGGGGTGCTGGGTTCGGGGGTTTCTATTCCATCAAGTATCAGTCTCTTGCGGGTTCCTGGAAGCGATGAAGTAACATTCTGAACACCTACCAGATGAACAGTTTGGGGTCTTCGTTCCAGATTTCACTGGTGACTGGTCCTCCAGCCATGAGACCTCTCCGTTGAATCGAGGTGGAGTGAACATATTTTTTCGGCCTTTAACGCGGGAAAGTGACGGGTGTTGAGGACGGGGTAGTGACTCTGGAGAAAAGTCCGATTAGCTCTGATCGGGAAGCTCAGGTTGGACAGTGCAAGGTCACGAGTTACTCACTGGAGGGAGGATCTTTTGGGGACACACTGCGCTTAGGTGCAGACTTGGGATGATATAACGAGCCTCGAGTGTGCGAACAAACAGGCTGACCAGCAGCCGAACTCCTTCGGGTTTTGTCCTCCATGATCGCTGCAGGCATAATGTTCATCTGATGCGCATAATTGACGTGCCAAAAAGCCCCAGTTTCCCAATTCAGACGCAGCACAGCAGCGTCCTGGTCAATCAGTGGAGACCGCGGCAGTAAGTTCCTGCACAATCCACCAGCCTCATCTGGGGATTAATGATAGATCCAGGGATGTTGACGCAGAATAGAGAGGCGCCAGCCAAATGTATTGGATGCCGCGATAGAGGTGGGTAACCAGCGGGCGGCCGGACGCGAGGGATGCAGGTGTGTTGCAGACGGGGAGCAATCAGAGGGCGGTTGACACAAGTTGTGGGGTACCAATGAAGGTTTTAGGATCAATAATAGACCCAAGTCAATGCACTGAGGGATTTCAGATCCAGGAAAGACCGTCAAGGGAGGAGTAAGAGGTCAGGGCTGGCGGGGGAAGTCAAACGAAGCGAGGGGATGTCGCAAACAGATTGTGATGAGTCGATCTTGAAGTGTTCCCAAAGTCTAGGGGTGATCATCGACCCACTTCTCTCCCGCACATGTTGTGATGTATGTTCTCCTGGAGACGGTTGGTATGCGATAAAGAATGGAAGGGGAAGATTCGAAGTCCAAACGAAGCAAACGAAGCAAACGAGGAGATGGAGGCCGTTGTCCTTCATATTTTTCCATATTTTCCCTGTTCACACGGACTTCCCGCGGCTAGATTTCAATAGGCTCTTTTAACGTGACGATCACTTCACTACGAACGCCGTTCCTGACAGACATCGCCAATCGGAAGACGCCCGTGGGGTCTGCCGTCTCAGGTTTCCCTTACGCGGGGTTTCCCGTCTCCTGAGTGGTCAGATGGTTATCTTTTTTATCTTTTTTGGGGGGGCTTTGATTGTGACAGGATCAAGGGACTATGTGATCATTGTGATGAGATCAGTAGAATTTTTTTTTTCTGAATTAGCCTGATTCGGTATCTTCTGTGCATAATCAACCCTACAAGATCGAACTTGCTCTATCAAGAAAGTTAAACAACCTTTGGATCTTCCACGCATCCATGGAATCACGCCAGATGGTTCCGATGACTCCACCATTGCCATTGAGAGTAATGATCGGCAATATGGATATGTCGCATGGTTCACCTGTCAGATCTGACATCCACTTAGATCTGTCCAAGATCCCATCTATTCCCCCGAGGATAAACCTCAACCATAGCCCAAGGGCCAAAGCTAATGGCTACACCTCCAAGTCTTGTAAATTGGATCAGAGATGTCTTCATCGCGTCCGTCAAGTAAAGCCACCAAATCTTGCCTGAATCAACATGTGACTCATGGTTAGAAACAAAAAGACAGTCAAGACTCAAACTCTCAGGCGCGTTGATGCGAAACGAGGGTTTGACGCCCTACGAAGTCCAGTTGCGACTCGCATCAACCGACTACCTACTACCTACTTCCCAAACATGGAGGACGAACTATACCTTTTCCTAGATGTATACCTAGTCTACTACTTTGTCAACAAAACATCGACAACCCCACAGACCCTCCAGTAAATCCTGCGGCTGCCCGAAGCCTCCATAATGCGCAAGCCAAAGCTCATCAGCTACCCACCTGCCAAACAGGATGATTATCTCGCCTTGATAGACTGTCACAGGGAGTCGGGCTAGGAGGTTTGGAATAGTATGCGTGCAACCGCGTAGAACGAAAAATGAGGCTCAAAATCTGATGAATTACAAGACGAAGACTTACAAGGAAGTCCACATTACGGTTTTTCCTGTTGATAACTAAGAGCCGGCCATGGAAGGTGTTCGGAAAGACATTCAACCTACTATGCTGCCCGGGCGTAATTCGAATACTCCGTTGAAACAGCAAACAGCGATTGACCGCACTTTTTGGCAGATGGCCGGGAAATAGGTTGGTGTGACAGGTTTTGGCTTCATTTGTCGTTTGCATTTCGCTTGAATTACTGTCGTAATTCGAGGACTCCGTTCTGACAGTACCTATAACCAGTATGCGGGAATGCAGAATATAATTTACTTCAAGTAAAGCGTCCACCAGTCGGTAATATGGCCAGACTGGTGGATATATATCAGCCGGCAAGGAACCAACATGGGTTTATACGAGCCATTGGCCCTGCAGCGTGTAGAATGTCCTTTGATGCATTCACCGTCGATCAAACGACTCATTGTCCCCTTCGGTCTGCGGCTGCTCTCAGTGCTCTGCTGAGCCATCTTTCAGCTTCTACTTCGGCGTGGATATGGAGGTCAGTACGAAAGATGCATCCCACAACTCAGTGGGACACATTTCACTTTGTCATAACTCATAGTCATGCTTGACTGAAACCATTCCATGGTTCTTGTAGTTGGTCTCAATCGATTAGCAACAGTCAACGCAGGACACTACACAATCCCATGTGTCGTGTAAGTAGATCCGGATTGAAAAGGAAGCAGGTGGGTTGTCCAGACATGAAGACCAATGGGCATGATATTGTGGTGAAGTGTGACTCGCAGCGCAGCCTCACGAAAGCGCAATGTGACACCACCCTCCAATGCGCTCGCCTTGAATGATCTGTTCATGTCCAAGATAGCCGGCGCTTATGTCATTCCAAGGCTGTCCCGTCATATTCAGTGCTCCCCATGGTTGCTGTTGCGGCTTGCGGGTCTCGTGATGTGTCCTCCCGTGGATTGTATTGCCCTCTCTCTCTCCCACTTTATCTTCCCCTTTCGCAACCTATCAATCCCTCACCAACCTCCATCCCCAACCCAAACAATATACCTGCGACAGCGAGCTTCTTGATCGATCTGATGTGCGGAATCGGTCGATGAGGCGCCTCATGACGTCCGAGTAGAGAATAAGGGCCCCAAGCGTGTCCTTCCCTCGGTTGCCTCGCTGCCTCGATGTCGGCGGCCACGCTGCCTCGAGGGGGACTTGGCCCCTCGTCCCACTCTGTAAGTATCCCGCCATCTCTTTCCACCTCCTTTCCTCTCCTTTCATCTCTAGTGTATCACCCTGAGTCTGCAGACCATCTCCATGACGAAAGTCGATACTAACGACTGCAGACCACACGGAGACCGAGGTGGCATCGCTTTCTTTCCGACGTCCCCAATGGAGGTCAACTGAGCGTCGACGGCCATCGGGTTTTGATCTTCTGCCAAATAGTTGGCATGCTCAACATCCTGAGTGAATATATGGAGTACCGTGGGTACAAATACCAACGACTCGATGGAACCATTCCATCGGCTGCCCGTCGCGACGAAGAGGAGCCAGTTCATATAGTGAAACTGACCTTACCGAGACCGAACTATCACGTCCTCCGCCTCGACATGCATCACATGGAGACTCTCTCCCCACCGCAGAACCTCCTGTTGCGTCCGGTGCTCTTCATAGCGCTGTCTCAGATATGCCACCCATCCCCCTTTGAGATCCAGCATCTTGCTCCTGAGCACCGTTGATTCACGGTTGCATCGATGGCGTGGCCATTATCTCGACCACCCTCAATGCTGCCATCAATACGGCGAACGGCATCGTCAATGCTGCTATGGATACCTGCCAAACAAGTACGTATCCTATCCTTGTCTGAGCCAGAAGGAAGTGTCCAAGCTGATCACTGACTTATATTGCTCCCAGGGTAGTCTCCCGTAGGCTTCGCACACACTCACCGTTCGTGGCGTTGTACGGAAGAAATCGAGATGCCCAGCCGATATCTGAAGGGCATTGAAATTGGGAAGCCATTGGGCGCCCCTCGTTGCTGAAGCCCTGCGATATAGCCGACCAAGTGATGTATGGACTCGACTGAACGCCTCCGTAAGTTATTCGTACCCATCCGAACCGTGCGACAACATGAACTGTTTGATGGCTAACGTGTTTGCCCTTTCGATGACAGGTCGCGATAGGTATAACCCGTCGGGTGGAGATGTCAGAGATACAAAGTCACCTCGCCAAGAAGCTGGCGGAAGAAAAAGTCGCGATCGCCGAACTGGAAAAAGCTTATCCGCCACCGAAGCCTGCTTGATATCGGTAATACTGGGTTAGGAGTCCGGCTCTCAGGGAGCTGCAAACGGGTCGACAGTCATGTCCTCCACAGAGAGTCCGTGCAGCAGACTTCAATTCCTCAGTCTCACCAGCCTCTCATAGAGACCAGGCCTCGACCCACGCCGGTGACTCATGCAATACCCGAACCAGAACCAGGCTTTCAATGCTGTCTGATGTGCTCACTCCCCTACCCTTGGGCCTTGACTGCCCAGGCATCTTTGCATAGTCTCGGATAGTCTCCGCGGGCTTGGCAGATCGTGGAGCTGTAGGGTCATCGGATCCATTCTTCAGTATGATCATGGCCTGCCCTCGGCTGACTCGACTTTGATTCCCTCGTCCAGCTTCTTGGGCTAATGCAGGAGGAAGCACCGATGAGCAACGAACGACTGATTTTGGACCCATGCCCACAGAGGCCGACAAGGAGGGCGACCACCATTTGACCGTTTCGTGAATTGTTCCATGTCGGAGCCCCACACGGGACATTCGGACAGCGATCTCAGAGAGCCGAAGCACAAAAATAGTGCCTCGTGCTCGGCTCAGCGGCTGGTGCCATGGTGGTGGGGCGTTTTCGAGCCGCATTATCGTCCATACACGTCATGCACTCTGCCATGCAATGGAGCGCTGCCTGCAGGGGGAGTCGTGGCTTGCTGACAGAGGACGAGTGGATTGTCGGAACTTGGAAAGGTGTTCTCACTTGACTGAGCTGACCCCAAAGAGATAAGGAAGATGGCCGAAGATCTTATTCGGCGCATGACAGAAAATTCTCAGCACACAGACGTTGTGATGTCAGAACAAGTGTATGGACCCGCTTGCCAATTCCAGCAAGCGCAGCCCTTCTACCATACGGTGGTCCATACCCTTCTCATGCGCATTACCCGCCAGATCAGTGAAGGTTCAACCTAAACTGTGTCTTCTGCTGGTTTCTTTTCTATTGTTTTAATCTTCTCGGCATCCCGAGGTAGCCTCGGGATTGATTAGATTCATCCGACTGCCGATGGTCTGCATATAGTTACTGAGATATTCAGCGCAGGTCGTGCCATTGGGTGTATCGAGCCCGGCAAATTCGAGCTCCTTGCATTTGGCCTCGCGGTCAAACAGAGTGAATACCATCATGCTGCCCATGAGGTAGTTGTGAATGGGTTCAGTCTGTATCGCCAGAAGGTGACGATTTGGGCATAAGGGACGAGAACACCGCAGAAGGAAATCATTATCTATTTCCACCGGGAGGCTGCCCGGTGTACGAATGAATGTACATAGTCCTATCCATTCTCCAATTACAGTTCTCGTTGAATTCACTCCCATATTCACGTCCCCGATTATCCCTATTAATCATTACCTACGGCGGTCCTAGAATACATATTGCCTGAGAATGAACCGTGGCTGGCGATAGGTATCGTAGAATCTACATGGTCTGATTGCATCACATTCATCGTCGCAATACCTACCAGTACCCTGTCTATTCCTCATACTTCATGCCTACATACCAGTGATAGCACAGACGAGCATTACTTCAAGTAGGACTAACTAAGCTTAAATACCTACTGTCCTACGTCATATGCAAGTCTGTCGATTCGAAGAATTACTTCCTTTGTCGCACATACTGTATAAACAAGACCCAGAGTGATAACAACCTTACGCAATAAATGGGCGAGCACAGCTCAAAGCCCAACAAAATGTCTCATCATAAAGACTGTTACTTCCGCTTCGCCTCTCCAGCCCAGATGCGCATATCTCTCGCTCGATCATGGGCAGCGCGGAACACTATCGATCCCAGTCGGTCAGTCATCTCATCCTCCGGGGCGATCGGTCACACCTACACTGTCGCTCAGTCTCATCCAGCCTGCGGAGGAAATCAACTCCGTTACCAACCGCACCACGGGAGTTATGTGCGTGGTCGGCAATCTCTGCCGCCCGTTTCTTGAATGTCTGACAGGCTGTTAGTCCCACCCGGCCAACCCACCTGGCCAATGTACTCCTATCACCGGTCACAGGAATAGACAGAGCTACATACATCACTGAGAACATCGACCATCTCTTCCTCCTCGAAGAGCTCGAGGATCCGCTCGCTTAGGTTGTAAAAATGCGGTGCTAATGCGCGTAGGTCAAGGGTGCGGGGATCCGCCTTCAGCGCATTCATCACTCGCTCGGAGAGAGCGTCGGGCATGTCGAGTGTGACGAGACGTGATGTGCCCAATCGTGCGCTGTATCCCCCATATATAACAGGTTAGGTATATAATGTACTTGTCGGCTGCTCTTGTAATAGCATGGGACTGAGCGGGGATCTTACCCGATCGAGAGCATTTCACCTAGCCACAGTGGCAGATCGATCCGGGTGCCAGCTTTGATCTGTGCACGATCAGTAAGTCACGTAGTTGGCTAATTGGGATGATAGAATGGGCTGACATCTTCGCCCGCATTGCCCTCCAGAATACCGAGTCCCGGTACTTCGAGTTCAAATGTACATGGCAGTTTCTAGATCGACGGGTTTAGCTAGCGTTCATATGTGCGGATTGGGGGTTTGAGTGTGTCTTTTGGCTCTACTCACTTGTGCGTCGGTCAATATGGAGTCAATATCGTAGTAGGACATAGTGACGCGTCGAGATATTCATGTTCGGTTGATCGCAACGATGGGAGATCAAAGCGCGTCGACAACGGCGCGCGATCACGTGCTTTCCCAGTGGTAATTTAGAGGCTCAGGCTTGAGCTAACCGGCCCTTACATTTTTTACCAAAATTACAGACCCTCGCACAGCGAGGGTCCGCCACCCAAACATAACCTTCCACACAAACGTAACACTTTTCTCAATTTCGTCATGTTCACTTTAATCTTGAGCCACTCCACCAACCATGCCTAAATCCAATCAAGAAGTAGAGAGTCAGATTCTCAAAGCTCTCGAATCCCTCTCTGAGCAAACAAAACCCAATATCGCGAAAACTGCCCGAGAATTCGCGGTACCTGAGAGCCGCCTCCGTGGACGCTGGAAAGGGAGAAAGTCGCTATTTGCACGACAACCCAATGGACGGAGGCTTAATTCTGCACAAGAGAAGGCTTTATGCGAGTATATTGATTACTTTGATGAGGTCGGGGCCTCAATAAATCGCAGGCAAATTGCGATCGCAGCCAATTCTATCCTCGAGGAAGCCCACCAGGACGCATCGACACCACCACCACAAATCGGAGACCACTGGCTACGGCGCTTCCTTAAACGTAATCCCCAGTACCATGTGCGACGCCGGCGAGCCCTTGATGTTGAGAGAGCTACTGCACTTGATAAATCCGTGGTTGACAGATGGTTTAAAGACTACGAGCGCGTCGTGACTGAGAACGGGATATGTCAGCAAGACATCTACAATTTTGGTGAAACTGGCTTCCAAATTGGTGTCGATCGCGATCAATTTATCATCACAAGGGAACCTAAAAAGAAGCTGTTCAACGGATCTATCACGGATCGCGAATCTGTCACGGTGTTAGAGGCTGTTTCTGCTGATGGTTTTACCTGCCCGCCACTCACCATTCTAAGTGCAAAACAGGCTTTATTACGCTGGTTTGATGCCATCCAAGAAGATGACCACATAGCCGTGACTGATACTGGCTATATCGATGATACAGTCGCATATCAGTGGATTCAGCTGTTCCACAAGTGGACAATTGGTCGTACACTCGGTTCGAAAAGGCTTGTCATATGCGATCGTTTTGAGTCGCATTCAACGCGTCAAGTTGTCCAATTCTGTGAGGAGAAGAATATCATACTCTTCTCCTTACTCTCTCATGCTAGCTATATACTACAGCCTCTCGACGTCGGCGTGTTTAGCGTCTTTAAGCACAGGCACAGTAAGGCCGTAGAGGCCGCGACAGTGTCGGGATGTCGCAAATTCTCGAAGGACGAATTTCTCCACTCCATTGGAGAGATCAGACGAAAGACCTTCCGGCCGCATACAATTAAGCTTGGATTCAGATTGACTGGTCTCTGGCCTATCAATTCCAAGCTTATCACGGATGAATTGGAGTCTTACGACGCATATTCTGAGTACCGGCCCCGCGATACTACGCCCTCAGACACCTCACAAAACACTGAGTTAAGCACCCCAAAAACCGCTGAAGAAGTGAGAAGGCTTAGTTGCCGTCTTAATCAATATACCCCTGATAGTCAGCGGTTCAAAGACGCACTCGCAAAGCTTGCAAAAGGTGCCGAAGAACGCGCTACATTAGTTACCCAGCTGCAGAGGGCCCTCGATGGAACACAAGCTATCAGGGGTGCGCACGGCGCCCGGTATGATGCTTCTCGTCGTCATGTGCGAATCACTGGTACAACCAAGTCATCCCGGGCGAAAGAGATGAAGCGAAAAGTGTATAAATTGAGTGAAAAGGCTGACCAAGAAAAAAGGAAGCGGAAGTGGAAGAAGGTGCTGACCGAGATCAGGAAGCATGGACGAGCCAAGAAACGCAGGGCAAATTGATTTGACTCGATAGTCTACTAGTATATTGATTAGTTCATTTATTGAGGACTTTTAATTAATTAATTTACTATGTGGTGGTGTAGTAAATAGTGTACAATACACGAGGGCGCATAAGCAGCAGAAGATTCATAAGGGTAGAAAATTGAGTCAAAATCTACTATGGGAAAGCACCTGAGGCGCACTCGCTTCTGAAGATCACCATACCCCTGCCTGTCTACATCGAGCTCTTGTAGAAGACACAGGACTTCTGTGAAATTGCTCCCGTCCGAAGCCAATGTGTGCTGGTGCCACTAATCAACGTTAGAATAAGCCATACCAACGTGGTCCAAAACATAACCAGCCTACCTAGAGGTTGTGTAAAAGCTTGAGGAAGCGAAAGTAGCTGTGATCCTCAGGCTCATTACATACACGCCGCAATCCTTCTTCGGGTTGAATTGTCAGAACCAATTCAGCTGGTCTACAACCCATACATCTTCGCAAAAGGATCATCACTAGGATCCTCATGACGAATGTACTCAATCCTATTCGCAATCCTGCTCGCCTCCTCACTGCCAAAGGTCTTCTCAATCCAAGCAAGGGTAACATCGATGCCAGCACTAACACCAGAAGAAGTCCAAACATTGCCATCGACGACCCAACGCGCATGAGGAACCCAATCCACGCTGGTGCTCATTGCGGTAATCTCCGCCCACACCAACTTGTTAGAGGTGGCACGCTTTCCGTCCAGAACACCAGCTCGTGCGGCAAGCCCGGAACCGGTGCATACAGTGATCAGATGACTCAACTGCGGATACACGTCGCGGATGAACGAAATCGCTTCTTCAATCACTGGGTTTGTACTGCGGGTGCCGAGGCCACCGGGGACAAGGAGCAGGTCCAAAGCTGGTGCCGTCGCGAATGTGTGCGTTGGGACGACACTTTGGCTTATCGCATTGGGGAACCCGGGTGACTCTGTGCTCACTGGTTCAAGGGTTGAGGATATAATGGCTAAGGTCATGTCGTGGTTACGTGATAAGACATTCAAGCAGTCCAGGGGTCCGAAGACGTCCAGGGCTTGGAAGCCTGGGAAGAGTATGACTCCCGCTCGGAGCGGGGTAGACTTGGCTAGGGATTCTGGATTCTTGTATGTTGATATTTTTGGATCTTTGAGTCTTGAGGGGGATATACGTACCAGGCATCCTGTATATTCACGTGTCAGGTTGATGATGTGTATGGGAAGTGTTACAAGGATGTAAGTGGACCTCTGAGGGTGCCGGCATCGGTGTCAGATTAGCGCAGATAAGCATCCATTTTCATTCTGGAAGGGAGAGGCTCTTCTATAGATTAACTAGTGGGGGAGATAGTACGCGAGGTCTGGACTCTGGACTCTGGACAATACCCGCTACCTAGAAGACTGATTGGTCCTCTTTTGACATCCATTCGGCTACAACCCAGAATCCTGAAGATCTCCCCAATGGATGCACCGATGCTCAGTCTTAACGCTGTGATCTTTGCGAAGAGGGGTATTGACCACGACATTGTTTCTATGCAAGGCTCTTCTGTTTGACATTGACTTCCCACATTCATATGTGAGTTCATGTAGGCGAGGTCACGCGAGAGTGACGCGACAGAGTCGAGTCTCGAGTCTCGGGCAGCAATCAGTATGCTGTGATTGGATAAATGTAAGCAAGGCGACATGTAGCATAGACGATTTGATAAAGTGAATAATGGACCGGAATTGATTGAGCATGTTTGTCGAGAGTCTGATTGGTCCATGGTCGTCAAAATACATCACTTTACTGAGACCTGGACACCTCAGTATTGCCTATTTGGGTTGCCTTTTCATGCATGTTACCGGGGATGGCTGCAGGTAACGAGGGCGCAAGTTTGAGTGGCGGTAGTCATTGTCATGTACAGAAACAAAGGACTCAACATCAGGGTGAAGGAATACTTCAAGACTAATAAAGCTAAGGCCCAGGGGCCAGAAGTGATAGAAAGATATACAAAATGCCAAGCCCTCTAGAACGGAGCGGAGAGTCAAATCACGCTGGCCCCACTTTGTAGGAGATCTTGATTGGCCTGAGATATTGGGCTACCCCTAAGTAGGCTAACTAGTCGATTTAAATTCCTTGATTTTCACGATTTCGCTGTATTAATAGTTCACTTACATTGTCTTAGTCTCATGGTGCATTCCAGACACTGGACAGTAAATTGTACGCCCAATCCAAAATTAGCCAACTTCCTCGTAACTTCCCCGTCTTTTTCTTTTTCTTGTCCCTGCATCACTTTTGACTACTCCTTTTAATTTGAGTTTTGTTTTCAATTACTGTGTTCTTGGTATCCCGGCTTCTTTCATTACTGTGTTCTTGGTATCCCCGTTCCTTTCATCCTAAACCCTTCCCAATCTGAACTAGTCTGGATGGATAGTTTTCGGTAAGGACTGGAATCATGGCGTACAACGCTGTCGCTCAAATCGACCACGAGGTGGCTTCCAACTCCTCTTCTGCCTCACGCAGCCCCTCGCCCACTCACGGACATGCCTTTGAGCGGCTGCCGCTGGATACTGATCACATTGGAGGAGGGAGCCATCTAGAACCCGCCCAAACCACAGACAAGTCGACTTTCGGCTTGGGCTCGATGATCCGCTCCATCGCTTCCACAAACTACGATGTGGTGGAGGATGATGAATACGACGCTGATCCTGCCCCAGAAGAGCAATCCACCAGCCACCAAATTCCTCCACTCAATACTAGGGTCTCGCGACATTCTTCTCCCGAACCACCTCTCCACAGCGCGTGCAGCGATGTACCCGTACCCCTCAGTCACCCTACCCCGGATCTGCAATCGATACAAGGAGCCTACAAAGGAAATGTGACGCGATTGGAGGAAAGCGCAGAGCAGCTGAGCTTGTGCTCGACAGACATTGAGAGCGAAATCCGTCGCATAGACCGAGAGCAAAAGCGACGCTCGGTCAGCTCGGTGTCAAATTCCATTCACCGGAATGGTGCGTTCTCACCGGCAGTGACCGTTTCCTCCGCCCATGCATCGAACGTATCACCTGCGCGACAGCGCTCCGTGTCGGGGACGTACCTGCCTTATGTCTCGGAGCCGGCGCATGAAGTGGATGAATTCCCCGGTCTTCCCGATCTACCGCCATCGCAACCCATGTTTGACGGTACGCACGATCATTACTATGATCAATACAATCCGCAAGGAATCCCCGAAGAGGCCGCTATGGAGCGCCGGGCCTCGGTCGCATCGAACGATACCTACCAACAGGCGCGGACGCTGTTCACCGATTTCGATGGTGTTCATTTCACACCCCGGGCGGGCATCGAGCCTGGGCGTCAGGTCTCCTTGGACCAGCCCCCGCTTGCTCGCAAGCCGCAACATCACCACCAACCGCAAGAGGGCGAGAATATGGTGTACTATCCCGCTCCGGTACCACGTATGTTGAACCTACCACCAAAGTTGTCACAGAGGTCAAACACAGACCGGGACAGGCGCCGTACACAGCTTGCAGGTGTCATTGCCGCCGAGAATAGAAAATCTGCACTGCTTGGTTCCGATGAACCAAACGTTCGCAACGACAAACGCAAATCTACTGTGCCAGCGCATCTCCGCGCGAGCGTGTTCTTTGATCAACCGAGCACATCTCTCCACGTTGAGGCTAGGCAAGATTCTGCTGTGACTACGCTGGACAGCATTTTGGACGCTTCCGCGAATGCCCCCGTCTCGGCTTTTACCGATCACCCTTACGCCGGACATGTTGGCTCGTACATCTACAACAAATCAAAACGCAAGACTCTGACAAAAGACCCGGCAGCGCAGAAGACGAATCGTCTTTCGCAATTCACAATGGGTCAGCATAACGACAATTTAGACAAGCATGGTGGTCCTTCCCGGGTTCGTCCTGAATTAGAAGCCGGAGAGAACTCAGATCTTATTCATGATGAGCACATCCACGGACGGGGCCATGGCTCGTCAGATGGCAGTGGCACCGAGAGTGCCGAATCCTCTGAAGATGAAGAGGATTCAGAGGGCGAATTGGATTATGTCGGTCCACCCAACACACTGATTGCCGAGTTGGAGCTGCGAAAGATTGAACTGAAGCACCGACGCCGGACGGCGGTGCCTGTACCTTTTCATGGTATGCAGAGCACTCTCTTAGAAATGGACGAGATAGCCCAAAAGCAAAGCGACAAGCGACGCCAGCGCCCCGTCGCCCTCGCGTGGGAAGGGCGAGACGAAGACGAAGATGTTCCTCTTGCTATGCTGTACCCTGAAAAGGTCAGTGCTGACGATGACGATCGGCCATTGGGGTTAATCGAGAAGCAACAACAAGAAGAAAATGAGCCTCTGAGCTCACGTCGGGCCAGGTTACGGGGCGAGCCGGCTCCGAAGCCCGCGCCACGTCCTGCTACAGTGTATACTGTGGAACCCTCGCATGTTCCTGACGTTGCTGCCGAGAGTGACGGGGAGACCGAGGTTGAGACCCTCGCACAGAGAGTTGCGCGATTGAAGGGACACACTCGCTCCGAGAGCCAGTTCGCTGCCGAGCTGATGGCAGAAATTGACACGCGGGCTGGAGTCACGCCTACGGGCGCTCAAGAAGCCCCCGGAACGAACGAAGAAGAGACACTCGCACAGCGACGCAGTCGACTTCAGAAAGAAGCTGCTGCTCAGCGGAAGGACCCGCGAGCCCGTCGCAGCATGGCCGCGCTTACCCAGGGGCGGGGTCGCCCTGCTCAGCTTTCTCGCCAATCGTCGCACGATGTATTTGGACAGCGGCCTGTCATCATGTCCCGATATGGGAACCGCCTGTCGATGCAGCAATTCCCTCCTCAAATGGGATACGGAATGGCCACAGGATACCCTATAGCCCCGCAATACGGGTATCCTGTAGGTTACCCAGCGGGCTATGCCAACCCTGCGATGGGTGGTATGCTTGGTGGTTATGCTTCAAACATGGCCCGACCTACTGGTCCGCTATCCACTGGACCGCTGTCCACCGACGTGATCGATCGCTGGAGGCAGAGCATTCGCTGACAGTGAGATGAAGCTGTTCATCACTCACTTCTGGCTCAATATCTAATGGTTTAAGGCGTTTTTTTCTCTTCTTTCAGCATAGCATATTGTCGTTTGAGCGTGTCCTATCTTGTGTTCTTAATGTTTTTAAGAGATATCCATGTAGCATAGCTGTACTGTTTGATAGAAGTCCTGCATACATTTCCACAATTACTCTTCAGTCTTCAGATATCGACAAAATTGACTTGATTGGCCTAAGTAGGAAGTAGGGGCAAGAATGTGACGCAATATTGTAGACAGGCCTAGACACCGACACGAGGCTGAGTGTAACCCGATATTAGCCGCGCGTTACGATCGGAATTTCTAGTTATAAAAAATACTCCGCAAATTACCTGATCATTCTTTCATCGAAACGAGCTTAGTACGAGATTGACCAAACCTTGACACTCTCACGGAACGCCTAAATAATTGAACTGGCTTCTTACCCCGACGGCTTGTCTCTGGTATGTGAGACACTCTTTGTCGACACCCCTCAGCAGTTGATCAAGACTGCAATGGACCACTTCGATCCCCGTTAATCCTCGTGGCTCAACCTGGCGCTGTGGGGATCTCGAATCAAGTGCCATGCCACCGTCCACCGTCTTCTCTTACTGGCGCCGAGACCATCGGCGTTCGTCCGCGGCTGCTTCCTCGCCCGCACCCTCACCAGCTGCTCCGGGGCTAAATGGCAGTGCAACAAACAGCCCTCCTCAGCTTCCAGAGCTTCCGGATGCGCCAATCCTCACTACCACCTTTGACGATCGCTCACCGCACGATGAGCTCCTCTCGAACGAGTCGCCGATGGTCATCGATACCTCCAAGCTAAACATCAGCTCCTCGACCGCGCCGCTATCCTCCTCCCTCTCTCTTGCGGTCCCGTCGCCAGCATCCGAAAAAGACACTCGTCCACATTCTAGCCCCGGCAACTGCGGGGAAGACATCTTCGCCTCTCCGTCGAACAATTCTCAGCTGTCTGTCACGGGTCTAAGGCCTGACCAAGGGGACGGTGAGACAAATTCGAAACCGAGCTCGCCGTTTCGACGTTCGTTCGGCAAGCAGAAACGTTCGCCAACGGCGGTAGCGGGGTCGGGTCATTTCAGGTTCAGGACTTCGCCGGAAGAATCGCCAGCCGATAAACAAGTCATGTCGCAGAAGGATCTCAAGGTGGATGGTAGCACCATTGTCCGGCGGACTGGAGATCGTGATGTGTCGGTGGAACAAACATATCACAAGCCAGGCAAGGCCATGCTCCATCTTCTGAATCCGATGTCTCTTCTTGCCCGCAGGCGATCCTCGCAGCTAGTCAGTTCCCGGGCAGAAGATGTCAGGATTCAAAGCCGCAATGTCCCTGCTATGCCGGATGATTATGATCCCAGAATTCGTGGCAATATTGTCCATGATTTCTCAGCGCCACGACCTCGCCGTAATGTCTCTGCTATGCCGCAGGATACCAACGCCAATACACAAGATACTTCACCTCCACAAATACCAAACCAATCTCAGGGTGCTCGCTGGAACGATCAGACCAAACGGCACAGTGATCATTCGCCTGTTTTCAAGGAACATTTCGAGGATCAGACTGTTCTACAGGTGGAAAGCAAAGGTTATCTACAATCATCTCTTTTGACGGGTCAACACCAGCCTAATGACAACTCATTGCCGGTTTTCGCCCGAAATCTACCTTCTCATCTACCGGAAGCAGGTCATGAGGTTCTGGAAAAACCCGAGCCAGATGCGATAAAAGCTACACCAAGTCCACCTAGAGCGACCTCACATGCTCATCCACAGCATTCCCAAGATCAAGATACCATCCCGAATGTGCCCTTTAATCCCTCGGCCTTGCCGAAACATCTCAAGAGCAACGCTTCTCGATTCAGTTTTGATATGAGCGGAGTGGAGTCGTCTGCACAAGAAAAAATGCTGGAGGAGAAGCACAAGGCGAAGGAAGCCTCTCGCAAACTGGAAGATGGTTACTTCGATGACTTTGACGAGGATTTTGACGATGACATGATGGATGACCTCGACGGGCTGGAAGAAAAGATTCCTGGCGTCAATACCGATGCTGATGACGAATTCGACGATTTCTCCCCTCGCGATATCAACGAAGTTAAATCCTGGGCCGCCCCTGGGCTGTCACCTGTCATAGCTAGCCCAATTACTTCTGCGCCAGCAGATCTTACAACGAATTCTCACGTCAACTCTCATCTCTCCGAGGTCACACCGTCAGACGATAGCTGCCGCGAGCAACCGCCAGAGGAGGAACCATCGCTGGTAGCCAACCCTCATTCGGCCGTGAGACCTCCTGAGTTTCCACCTGCGAACCAGCCCGAACAGATCCTTGATGATGACGATGATCTTTACTTTGATGACGGTGATTTCGGAGAACTTGATGTTGACAACCAAAACGGAGGATTCGATGAATCTATATTCGACGATGAAACCAGTCATTTGTACGAACGTAAAGTGGTGGGCGCCCCTGCGGCACCTCCACCGGCGGAAAACATATGCGCAGGTGACGACGACTCTTCGTCAGAGAGAGCAAGTCCCATAGCAGAATACGCGGAGCAGGGACTGCAGCACAGGCCTAGTGTGGCCAGTGATTACCAGGCTTCCGGATTGAAGCGTGGGCCGCTCGGCGAGCCAATCCCAAATCTGGGCCCTGCACGCACCCATGGGGGTGTGCTCACAGAACAAAATCTGGATATCTTGCACAACGCGCTAGCTTTCGCAGCCAACGAAACATCTCATAGTGGGCGCTTCGAGCGCACATTCAGCACCAGCGACAGATCCCAGGGGCAAGAAAGTGCGGCCCAAACATCGCAGACAATAGATTCGCAGCCAGGTCTAGTCTCTGACAACAGCCGGCTCACCCAGGCTATGGATAACATGACCTTTGAAGATGTCTTCGATGGCCCGGTATACGATGAGCTAATCTACGATGACATCGATGATTCCTATTTCGACGACGCCATCGTTGCTGCTGCTAACGCCGAAGCTCTCGAGAACGATGATGATGGCTTCTATGGCCAAGAGTTCGGTTTCTACGCATACGCCGATGGTAACGGCACCTCCGAGCTGACCAACGGTGGATACTTTGGTCCGCGACGCGTCGAAGGCATCACGCGCAGCCACAGCAGCCGTGGCAAATTCCAGGAGCCCAGCTTGACCCCTATCACTGAACGAAGTGAGTGGAGCACCCGCAATTCGATGATCTCGGTGAAGGCCCACGGAAGTACCCACCCGAATTCAGCCCTAGCAAGCCCCGGCCTGGCCCAGCTGGTTGATATGGGCAATCTGGATGATGAGATGTCGCTAAGCGCGCTCATGAAGTTACGCCGTGGTGCATGGGGTGGGAGCAATGGTAGCCTACGAAGCAGTGCAAGTAGCCCACCACCACATACTACGCTCTCGCCTTCTCACCGCACAAGCTTCAATGGCGCAGAAGCAAGTCCTACCGTCTCGGACGCGAGACCTTTTAGTCCTGATGAGGGCTCATCCAACTCTGTTGGTTGTTTTTATGACGACAGTCATATGCGCACCGCTTCCCCACTCTCGGGACGCCCGGAGTATGAAGAAATCCCGGTCGGTGGACAGCGACTCAATATGGTGTAATACGGTGGTTTATTTTCTTTCTACTACTAAAATTCTTGCTCTATCTGCATATCGCATATATTCTTTGCACGGCGAAGTCGAAATTTTTACGATCTTACGAAAATCCAGCAATTGTTGAATCGCTAGTTAGATGTTGACATTAATAGTTTTACTGGTCCATATCCAGTCGAGCATTCCAATCTCGCCCAAATCAAACATGTACGCAGTATGTTCGTTGATAGATCTAAACACTTGGCATCCTTCCAATCAAGATATGTATGAATCGGTAGTCGAAATATCCCGCAAAGGGGTCATAAACGCTTAGCCGGTCTGATAGCCGGTCTGTGGAGATAAGAATAACACGAGTGGCAATCTTCGGGTGCATCTGGGGCGCCTCTTACGCCCCATCCGCGGCGTCGGCTGTGACTCGGGCTGAGTAAGCGCACCAGCCCCATTCCCTGCCGTCCTGCGGATGAGACCCGTCGTTTCTCGGGAAGTCGGCAGCTCTCTTCCTTTTACGCTCTTCTTTGCTTCATCTTTCTTCTTTCGCACCCCACACTTTTATCTTTCCATCTAGAGCGGTATAGCTCTCTGATGAGTTCCGATTCCATACAGGTGCTACGGCAACACTAGTCGACACCTGATCTACTATCTCAAATCGTACGTGTTATTACGTCGCTTCCTTTCCTCCGTATTCCGGTTTTCTCGGAATGAGCCCTGCAAAAACAACCTGGCAATATCAGGCTAACATATTGGCTGACAGCAAATCTGACTCTTTTGATCGTCTGATTGAGCTTACAGTCCTACGGATTGCTGTCATACGTTTACCACCCCTTCTAAATCCATACCTTGATTCATTGCTCCCGACGAAAAAATCCCGCAATGTTCAGAAACACTGCCTTGAAGGCCACCAACAGCGGTATGCTGCGTGGTGCGACCTCTTCAGCATGCCGGCGCTCATTCCACCTCACCACAAGTGCTCGTAGCGCCTCAAAACGCTCTGGCTTCAGCGTGGCCGCTCGTCGGCCTCTTGCCGTTGTCGATCGTGCTTTCAACGGCGCCCGTTCCTACGCGGCCGCCGCGGATAGTCCCGCCCAGGGAGTGGTAAGCAACACCTCTTGATCGTCGGTAGCGTTCCGATCCGGATATTCGCGATGAATGAAACGAGAACGAACATTTTGACTAACGCGACGGCGCGACGTCGCCATCGACTGTATAGGATCCCAACGATTCTTTCCTCACTGGTAACGGTGCCAACTACATCGATGAGATGTACCTTGCATGGAAGAAGGATGCCTCGAGTGTTCACATCTCGTGGCAGACCTACTTCAAGAACATGGAAGACGGCAACATGCCCATCTCCCAGGCCTTCACTCCTCCCCCTACCCTCGTCCCCACCCCTACCGGCGGTGTTCCTCAGGACATGCCCGGCCAGGGTCTCACTGCTGGCACTGATGTCACCAACCACTTGAAGGTTCAGTTGCTCGTCCGTGCCTACCAGGCCCGTGGCCACCACAAGGCCAAGATTGATCCTCTCGGAATCCGTGGAGAGGCCGAGGCCTTTGGCTATGATAAGCCCAAGGAGCTCGAGCTGGACCACTACGGTTTCACCGAGAGTGATTTGAACCAGGAGTTCGCCCTTGGACCCGGTATCTTGCCTCGTTTCATCACCGATGAGCGCAAGAAGATGACTCTGCGCGAAATCATCGCCGCCTGTGAGAAGATCTACTGCTCATCTTACGGTGTTGAATACATTCACATTCCCGATCGCAAGCCCTGCGAGTGGATCCGTGACCGCTTCGAGATCCCGCAGCCGTACAACTACTCTGTTGACGACAAGCGCCGCATCCTCGACCGTCTTATCTGGTCTTCCAGCTTCGAGGCCTTCCTGGCTACCAAGTTCCCTAACGACAAGCGTTTCGGTCTGGAGGGTTGCGAGACTCTGGTTCCCGGTATGAAGGCCCTGATCGATCGTTCCGTCGACTATGGCGTCAAGGACATCGTCATTGGTATGCCTCACCGTGGTCGTCTCAACGTTCTGTCCAACGTCGTTCGCAAGCCCAACGAGTCCATCTTCAGTGAGTTTGCTGGCTCTACCGAGCCCTCCGATGAGGGATCCGGTGATGTCAAGTACCACTTGGGTATGAACTTCGAGCGTCCCACCCCCTCCGGTAAGCGGGTGCAGCTGTCTCTGGTTGCTAACCCCTCCCACTTGGAGGCTGAGGACCCCGTCGTCCTCGGAAAGACCCGTGCCATCCAGCATTACAACAATGACGAGACCCACTACGACACCGCCATGGGTGTTTTGCTGCACGGTGACGCTGCCTTCGCTGCCCAGGGTGTCGTCTACGAGACCATGGGATTCCACTCCCTCCCCGCCTACTCGACCGGTGGTACCATCCACCTCGTCGTGAACAACCAGATCGGTTTCACCACTGATCCCCGTTACTCCCGCTCTACCCCCTACTGCTCTGACATTGCCAAGTCCATCGACGCTCCCGTTTTCCACGTGAACGCCGATGATGTCGAGGCTGTCAACTACGTCTGCCAGGTCGCTGCCGACTGGCGTGCCGAGTTCAAGCGTGACGTTGTCATTGACATGGTCTGCTACCGTAAGCAGGGTCACAATGAGACTGATCAGCCTTCGTTCACCCAGCCCCTGATGTACAAGCGCATTGCCGAGCAGAAGGCTCAGCTCGACAAGTACGTCGAGAAGCTGATTGCCGAGGGTACCTTCACCAAGGAGGATATCGATGAGCACAAGAAGTGGGTCTGGGGAATGCTCGGCGACAGCTTCGACCGTAGCAAGGACTATCAGCCTACCGGCAAGGAGTGGCTGACTTCCGCCTGGAACAACTTCAAGTCCCCCAAGGAGTTGGCCACCGAGGTCCTGCCCCACCTGCCCACCGCTGTTGGTCCGAAGTCCCTCCAGCATATTGCCGACAAGATCTCCGGCACTGGTGTTCCCGAGGGCTTTGAGCTCCACCGCAACCTCAAGCGTATCTTGGCAGGCCGCAAGAAGGCCGTCGATGAGGGCAAGAACATCGACTGGGCTACTGCTGAGGCTCTCGCCTTCGGTACCCTCGTTGATGAGGGTTATCACGTCCGTGTCTCCGGTCAGGATGTTGAGCGTGGTACCTTCTCTCAGCGTCACGCCGTTCTGCACGACCAGCAGACCGAGCGCAGTTACACTCCCCTGAAGCACATCAGCGAAAAGCAGGGTAGCTTCGTCATCTCTAACTCCTCCCTCAGCGAGTTCGGATGGTATGTTTCTACCCAGAACTGAACTTTCTTGTGTGGCACTTGTTCTAACCTATATAATCTAGTCTCGGCTTCGAGTACGGTTACTCTCTGACCTCCCCCAACGCCCTGGTTATGTGGGAGGCCCAGTTCGGTGACTTCGCCAACAACGCTCAGTGTATCATTGACCAGTTCATCGCCTCTGGTGAGTCCAAGTGGCTGCAGCGTTCCGGTCTGGTCGTCTCTTTGCCCCACGGCTATGACGGCCAAGGTCCTGAGCACTCTTCCGGCCGCATGGAGCGTTGGCTGCAGCTTTGCAACGAGGAGCCTCGCGTGTTCCCCTCTGCCGACAAGCTCGACCGCCAGCACCAGGACTCCAACATGCAGATTGTCTGCATGACCACTCCTGCCAACTTGTTCCACGTCCTCCGTCGCCAGATCCACCGCCAGTTCCGCAAGCCTTTGGTCATCTTCTTCTCCAAGGCTCTGCTGCGTCACCCCCTTGCCCGCTCTGATATTGAGCAGCTCAGCGGCGAGTCCCACTTCGAGCCCATCATCCCTGACCAGGCTCACGGCAGCTCCATTGACTCTCACGACAAGATTGAGCGCGTCATCATGTGCTCTGGACAGGTCTATGCTGCTTTGGCCAAGCACCGTGAGGCCAACGGTATCCGCAACACTGCTATCACCCGTGTTGAGCAGCTGCACCCTTCCCTTGGGCTCAGCTGAAGGAGAACCTGGATAGCTACCCCAACGCCAAGGACATTGTCTGGTGCCAGGAGGAGCCTCTGAACGCCGGTGCCTGGTCTTACGCCCAGCCCCGTATCGAGACCCTTCTCAACGCTACTGAGCACCACAACCGCCGCCACGTCCTGTACGCCGGTCGCGCTGGCAGTGCCTCCGTCGCCACTGGTCTCAAGGCTGTCCACCTCAAGGAGGAGCAGGAGTTATTGGAGGATGCTTTCTCCGTCCATCAGGATCACCTGAAGGGCGAGTAAATGCTTTCCCAGCGATCTATTTCAACTTCTGATGAGATACTACACTTGCATTGAGTTGTGTATCCCATGTTCATTGCTCTTCCTAGAAGTTAGCGTCTAATTTTTTTTTTTTTTGTTTTCTGTACCACCTCCTTTACTATGCTGATTTCCTTCGTGTGCTATTGACGTGTACTAGGTGCATGGCCCTGTTCTAGAGTCGTTCGGATTTCCTCACATCGGGTCCCCGTCCATACCTAGAATCAGTCCTATACGCAGTGTAAAATACAAAGAAGCGTTGCCTGTTACTGATCCATCCTTGTAGCTATAGTGTCTGGTTCCTGAATCATCCTCTATCATACTCACTACACGTACATTTATATGCAAGGGCTACGCAATGTGACTCAGTACATAGACCTGTTCCTGATATGACGTCGTCACGCGCGTGCTCGAATGACTAAGCAGTTGATGCCTGATTCATGCCGCAGGCGGCAGGCCGCAATCTCACCTGATCCGAGTGCTCTTCTCCGCACTCAAACTTCCCAGCAGCAGCGTCTCCTCCATCGATGCTCTCTACTTTCTACGCGAGGCTTTGACTGTTTCACAAGATCCCAGGTCATTGCTGAATACCATTGTCTCTTTGAAAGTTATTCTTTTCCCCTCAAATCGAGTCAGACTCGCCCCAACCCTCCCCAAGCGCCGCAGCTCCCAGTCCCGACTCTACACTTCACCATGTCCGGCGTCTCGTCGTCAGCCATGAACCCCCCGGGACAGGGAAATCGCCAGTCTGCCCGCCAAACACGTACAAATCCATCTCGAACCTCCAAAACTATCGGACGGTCCTCCTTCGCTTTCGGCCGGGGCTCGACAGCTGAAATTCCTTCCACACCCCCTGTCCCTCACGGCTTTTATCCTGCGCTCACGCATTTCACCGATGCTATAACTGCGCTTCCGCGCGAGTTCCGTCGTCACAACTCCTTATTGAAGGAGGTTGATGCGAAGGCATGGGCTTTGGAGGAAAATTTGCTGCAGTTACTCCAGTTCGCTAACCAGTCGGAGCCCGTCCCTCACCCTCCGCACCCGGCGCCTATAGTCGGGGGTGTGATTCGGGAGGATGCTTTGCCCAAGGTGAGTTCTCTCGAATGGCCCATTCTAGATGTTTACTGACTGTGATTTCTTTGCGCCAGAAGCTATCCCAGTCCCCCGAAACGTCCGAGAGCAAAAGTCGCCGACTACTTTTCGATCGCGTCCGCCAGAACCTCTCGGACCTGATGATGACTGCCGATGAGAAGAATCACGTCATCTCGAACGCGAACGAGGAATTGGACCGTCAGGTTATCCGTTTGGATACGGTGTTCCCGTACATTGCGGGCGAGATCAGCGAAGAAGCTCGTCTGGGCAGTCTGACACACTGGGCATACTCTAATAAAAGTGCCGCAAAGGCAGCGACCAACGAGCGACCGCGTCGGGAAGCGGTAGCACAAAGACAGGACCTGTCGCACGTGCTTCAAGAGGCTGAGGCTGCCAGTCGCAGTGAGGCGCGGCGTGATGCTGTCATGGCGCGTAAGCAACGTCGGGCGCAGGCCGATGCGGACTATGAGGACACGCGCAGCTCCGGCACCCGCAAGAACAATAATGGGAGATCTCGCGGCGGAGACCATGCTGACTCGAGTGCTGCACCCAAGCGCCGGAAGGTGGAACGTCCAGTACCAGTCGAAACTAGCGTTGCGATGGACCGATCTGCCAGTGGTGCGGGGAGTCAGAGAGCAGCAAATAAAGATACCGCGGAGAAGAAGAGGTCTCGCGCTCCCAATGCCAACTCTGCTGCGCGCAAGAAGTACGTTTCATCTTGGTATGGCCAATATGGGCAACTCACTAACTATATCTCAGGGCCAACACTTCCAATGCCGCATCACCTGTTCTGGCGCCTTCACCCTTGGTCGGCACGTTCAATGCCCCACGGGGTGCCGCTAGTCCAGGACCCAGCACAGCAAGGCCACAATCTTCACGAGCCCAGCAGAACACCGGGGCGACAAGCAATTCGCGCGCACGTCCGTCATCATCAGCTTCAAACCTCGCCAACAACAGTATGCCGCTTCAACCACCTTCCCTGGATCCATCCATTAACCACATTCCCCGCGCAGACAAAATCGCCGATTCCAGGTCTGTACCCGGGAAAGGACCCGTCAAGAACGAGTTCCACGGAGACCCCCACCGCGACTACGAGGCCGACACCCACGCCAGGGCATCGGCAGCAGCAAGTTCCAAGCGCGAGGATCGGGAGGGTAAATCCGGATCTGCCGAAGCCGAGACGACCAAGGGCCGCAATTCCAAGACATCAACACCCGTGCTCGCCGCATTCTCAGAACCAAGTTCCCGCGCCCGGCCCACGCGAAGTCAAGACCCGGCGTCTGGCAAGCGCACGCAGAAGAAGCCGATCCCGCAGCCTACTATACCCTCTGACGACGAGTCGCTCCATGAAGGCGATGATGAAGACGAGGAGGGCGAGCCAAGGTACTGCTACTGTAATGAAATCAGTTTCGGTGAGATGGTGGCTTGCGATAATGATGCTTGTCCGCGTGAATGGTTCCATTTGTCGTGTGTGGGCTTGACGAAACCGCCTGGGAAGAATGGTAAGAACTTGTCCTGTCTCTTGTCGAGTTTCTTGCTAACTGTTTTCTAGTCAAATGGTTCTGTAATGAGTGTAAGGAAAATATGAGACGGGGTCGCAATGGGCGGTGATATCCAATCTCATGGTTATAGACTGATGATATGTTTATGTTCGGTGAGGATGTGGCCTTGCTAGTTGACTAGACTGAATATCTAGCGGATATTGGCTGTCTACCATTTTCTCTTTATAGGCCTTTAATAATAGTATGCCTAGTATGCCATCCCCAAGTCCAACTTCATAAATCACCTCAACTCCATAGCAATCTGATCAGCCACAGCTGGATCTCAATTTCTCTCTGCAATACCTATGCCAGATAAGACATTATACTCCAAACATATAAAGAAACCATAATCCAAAAAATCTACCAAGCCCCCCTCAACCTCTCCACAAACCCATCCTCACCCCGTCTCTGCCTCTGCCCCCCATCCCTCCCACCATCCAACCCGGAAGCCTCAGCAGTCTCAGCCGCAACCTCCCCCTCCAACCTCCTCCTGAGATCCTCATACCCACCCCTCTCCTCACCATTCCCCCTCCTCTCCTTCTCCCCAACAACCCAAGCCGGAACCCTAAACCCATTCTCACTGCACGCCAACCCGGGCAACAGTTCCGCACGCCAAGCAATTCCCACAAACCATCCCACCGCGGCCGGAAGAAGCATACCGGGGAACTGCGAGAGAGCCAGCTGTGCCGCGACCAGATATGTGGTTGATTTGTCCGAGAGGAGGAGGGAGAGGGATGGTGGTTCGGGTTTGGGTGCTGTTGCGGTGGAGTCCGCGGTGGTACTGGGTACGGTGGGTATGGTCGGTGCAGAGGTCGTGCCGAGTCTGTAGCGATATGTATGTGGTATGGTGATGTAGTATTGCGCTAGCAGGGCGAAGATCGTTGGGACCGGACCGCAGGGGAGGTAGTTTATTGTGTTGAGGGTTAGGGGCCGGAGGAGGGTTAGGAGGAGGGGGGGGAGGATGGTTGTGTAGGGCAAGATTGTTAGGAGGAAGGTCTGTAAATGTATCTTAGTTATTAATTCTTTTTTTGTCCTTGTGTATACTTGGAAGTAAGAGGAAATGAACTTACCGCCATCTTCCGCTTTCCCCAGGCCCGTTCAATGACACGTAAATGGTAGATCAGCATTGCGGCGAAGAGGGCTTCCGTGGAATTGGTGAAGCCTGCGATCTGCCATACTAGCGCGCGCCAGAATTGGGCGTATGGCCAGAAATGGGGGGATATGTTTATTACTGCGAGGTGTTTTATGTCGAAGAGGGAGAGGGCCACTGATGAGGCGACTGTGTAGATTAGGAGGGATTTTGTGAGGGGTGCGTTTGTTAGGCCGGAGGTGAGCATTTTGATGTCTTTTCCAGTAGTATTGCGGGGTTTATGCTGGGTTGGCAACCCGGGCTCGTTGGAGGTGAAAGTTGTTGAGGGGACAGATGGCCAGAGTGGGTTTCCGAAGTCCGGGGAAGCTCGGCATGCCGATCTATGTATGTACTGGGAGTCGATTTCTTGTACTAGTAGTACTCCGTACGTGACCATTATCTTCTGTATCAAGTATCTCGTATCATACATTCATGGATATTAAGATTGTGCTCCCTTAATATTACTAAACAGCCAATGCCGCTTCTTTGGTTTGTTCGGCCAGTTCTTTCTGGTATCGGGTCGATGCGAGCTCCAGTGCATGGAGCGTAGGACCGAGAAGCTGGTTGACGACCTTCTGGCCTCCCTCCACGCCTTCAAGGTTGATTCTTAACTTACGCCCGGTGCTCTCATACACCTCACGGGCGTGCTGCCTTAACCGATCAACTTCGACCTTCCGCTCGGCCTCAGCATCGTTAGCAACGGCCTGGATACGCTCTGCTGCTCGTCGGAGAGACTCTGCTAGAGACGCAACCTCTCCGGCTCGGTCGGGGTTACCAGAGAGGAACGCCTGCCAGAACTGGTGTAGGAATTCTGTCGTTGTAGCGTGTGTCAAGGTCAATCGGTCGAAGAGTGCTACAGACAGCCCGTAGGTCTCTGATGCTGATCCTTCGCTCATCTGCGTTCGACGCTCGCGCAATGCCTGCAGGATCTGAGAAAATGCGTCATGTAGAGCGGCAGATGATCCGACAGGCCGACCGCTGGCAGGCGCATCTTCCATCTCCTCGTCTTCGTCATCGCCGGGATCCACCAACTTGCCCAATTGGGTATTACCCTGCGACGGGAGATTCTGGTTGATGTCCGATCGCAGAGTTCGGAGAAGTTGATCCGGATCTTGTTTGGCAGGTTGCTTAGTCTGGTCGCCCTCCTGGCCATGGGAGAAGAACCGACTTTGATCACGGATGTTCAAAGTGATGCGACTTTGCTCTTCATCTCCGCGAAGATCCTGAAGCTGGAGCTCTTTCCATGCTTCTTCATTCAGTCCGATCGGGGCACTCATGTCACCGTCGGCTGGTGCCACATTGGCCATGATCTTTTCACTCAGGCTATTCAAAGTCCGGATAATGGGGACCTTGTCGACGCCAGATGGTCTCATATCGAGATCAGGCCGATTTCCGCGGCGCTGGCTGTGGTTTACCTCGTTACCAGCGAGATTCAAAAACTGATGGATATTCGCTTCCCGGTCCGGCTCCGCAGCCTCATCCGTTCGAAGGTACTTGTCCAGCACGGTATCAGTAGCGTCAGCCTCTGTGATACGTTCTCCGCGCAGCTTTTTGAAAAGCCGGCTCTGGAAGAAGCGGGACCAGAACTGCTGCTCGCTGAGTTTCGGCACATTCTCGTCGTACACGCGTTTGACCAGCGGATGTTGTGTGAAAATGAGCTGGATCTGCTCTTTGCTGATGTTCAACCGTGTCACATTATCTTCGACCCGGGGTTTCAGCGTGGAGAGCACATTGTACGAGCCGCGCATTTGCCCCAGTTCGATTGCGTGTGCTCGCAGCAAGTGCAGCCGTGTAGACCAAAACTGCGACACGAACGCCCCAGATAGCAAGGTTTCCGGTTTCGTATGCAATCCCTCGAAGAACATCTTTTGTAGATTTGCATCAGATCGTAGCAACGATTGCTGTAGCTCAGTGTCCGCCCGAAGTCTGTTCTCTTCATCCAAAGGGTTCTTCGATGTCGCTGCGGAGGTGACGGCATTTGCAATCGCCATCGCCGCTGACAGACCTTCGCCTCCCCCACTTGGTCCCGGAGTCTGGGATGGTGTACCCGCCTTCATTGCGTTGACCCGAGCACTCAACGTATCTTTGATGAGATCGGCCTGTGCACGGGCGTCCGCACCAGCCGTGAAGAGGAAAACATATTGATCGGATGCGCTGTTCGGAGGAGCATCGGGGGCTTGGGCAAACACTTTAAGCATCACTTTCGGATTCGTGACTGGGGTCTGCTGCAAATCTGATAGTTGTGAGTTAGCGATCGAATGAATGCACGGGAATAGGCGGCGTACTAGTGATATTCATCACTGGAATGGAGATTTTGGTTCCAACCCCTGCAACTGCAGGAGTCCATGAGACCGACTTCTCATCTGCGGAGATAGCTAGGGTCCCATCTTTCTTCTTGTAAGAGGCCGCTCCGCTCGGAGGTGCCATCGTCGCGTGTCTTGACAGCTTCCACTGCCTTGAGATGCGACAACGAATCCGCCCATCGAGATGAACAATTCCCCGGGCGCAGAGGAGATTGAGGAAGGTCCGGAGCCTTCGTATGAGAGATAGCACGTAGCGGTGAAACTGCGAACGAGAGATGCGGCTCCTCTGCGAATTATCACATGACGAATGCCAAGCGTCACCTGGGATTGCAGCCCTAAGTCGAACGAAGCTGGAACAGCCATGAATGTATTTAGTTATGAGAACAGGTAACTATTTGTAGAGGATTGGATAGGTAACTTTATAACTGAGCTGAAGCTATTGATGGTTCTTTTCTAGACAATCCTATCAAGTGTGTTTCCCGTGCCAGCAGTCATTCGACTACTTGACTATGCTTCCGATTCAAACAGAAAGAGGGTCATACGAAGTTGGTGAATACGGATGCTAGTTGTGAGCGCGGTTCGATCTGTTCAACTGATTCATTATTCGTGAATAGTGATAATTTATGCCCCATCCTTCCGTGGCCGCCAGTAGTAATCCAACGCCATAACGGACAATTTCTCCTCGATTGGCTGCTCAGTAGTGAAAACTTAGGGTCGCCTTCATATATGGAGCTCTTTCAGGTTTCTCGCAGATTGGAAATTTGGAAATGTCCCATGTGACTTGTGGGTTGAAGCAGATTCTTTCAGTGATAATCGTCCGAGCGAGAAGCACGACTTACTGTGTACGTAGGGACGACATCGCATGGCGACGGACGGGATGTGGAGATTCAACGGCCCCGGGGGGAAGAACCTTGGGGCATGGAAGTTTATTGCCGTGTAGTATAAGGTAAGTTGGGAGGAAGGAGCAGGAAAATGGCAAGAACGATGGAGTCAGGGAGTTTCCTATCTAGGAAGGTCTTGTAACTTTGAACGCAAAGCATCAGTGTACTTCCCGAGGTCCTATGGCCTGAAAGAACATGGGGGTATGTACGTAGATTATACCAGAAATGATGTTACTCTTCATATAGGCAGCTATGCGTACTTAGTTTCCTTCGGCAGTTCAGGCACAACTTGGCCTACATCGTATGATTATCAAACAAGTTACAAGTGAAGAAAATGAAGCAAAGTAGAACCGTTCATGAGAAGAGTGGTACACCCAGATAGATCAGCAACGCCCAAGCCCAAGCAATGGAAAGAACCAGACACCGCTGAAGAGATAGAACCCAGATGCTATGCGAATTCAAAAGACAAAACGCAACCGAGAGCACGAACCCGAAAGCCAGGAGCCAGAATGCCGAAATTCGTAAACCATGTTGCGCGCCGCCATGCATAGACCGGATATCATCATTCATGATCGAAAAAAAAAACCAAAAGCACGCAAACCGATATGTGTGGGAGATAATGCAAAGAAAAACCCCCCGCAAGAAATCAAACCGTAAGAATGAGATAGTATATCAGATGTAGGGTATCAGCAAAAGTGATAAGAAGGATCCAGCGAGCACGCTTTTCAAGAACAAAACGCTCAAGTAGATCATTTTTTGAACATGTAATGGCCGTAGAGACCGCCGACTTCGCCGACGGCCACGGGAATCTTGCGCATGCCCCACCAGCGCGCGCCCATTTTCCAGTAGCGAGCACCGTCGTCGGCGGGTTCGTCGGGCATGGAAGATGGGGCACGAACGTACCAGCCGCGACGGCCGAGGTCTCGCACAGTCCAGCCAACGGAGACGCGCTGGGTCTTGGCCCGCTCGCGCAACGGGGTGATGATCTTGTCGCTGAACTCGATGACCTGCAAGGGGTAGCTTTGGGTCGAGAGCAGGAGACAAGTGCTGGTGTTGAAGATGGCTCCGATGGTCATCTGCGGCACCTTGGCAAGGTCCAGGTAGCAGAGAGTGCTGGGGGTATCGATCTCGACTCCAGTGGCCGGGTTGCGGTACCGACCGAAGAACGAGTTCACGTCTGCGACGGAGAGATCAGCGGAGCTGAGACCCAGCTCTTCGAGGTGCTTCGTCAGGGGTACCAAGTCTGGCACATGGTCGGAGGTGATCTTTGCTCCGCCCAGGTTGAGAGATCGCAGAGTACTGGGAAGCTTGGGCAACAAAGCCGAGACATCGGCTTCCTCCAGAAGGCGGAAGCGGGTCGGATCCGTCAAGAGGTTCAAATAGACGAGGGACTCCTTGACGGACGCGTGAGTAGTCAGGAAGTTGACCAGGGCGGATGGTCGGAGGCGCGTGCATCGGGACAAGCTCAGGTGCGAGATGCGGGCGGTCTCGGGGATGGCGGCGAGAGCTGAGTCGTTGACTTGAGTGTGGGTAAGGTCGAGATGCGTCAGGTTGATCAAGCGCGAGAGAAGGAAGTCAAACATGGGAGCGGGAATAGTGCTGCATTCGTGGAGTGAGAGTCGCTTGAGGTTGGGCAAGGTCATGGGCAGTGCAGGTCCCCCGATCAGCGCCTCTTGGAAGACCCCAGAGAATGCCTGTGTCGAGCAACCGGTGAAATCCAGAGCACGCAAGTTTGGCAGCCCCATGAACAGCTTCCGAATCACGTCCACACTGATATCTCCTTCCAAATGTTCCTGCAGCAGGCATTCCTTGAGGTTGGGCAGAAGTTCCAAGCACTGCAGGAGAGTCCGAGAGGTCAAGTTTTGGATCTCGGCATTCATCTGCTTAGTGCGACCCAGTCCGACGGAAGTGAAGTGCGAGAAGTCTAGGCGACGCACCAATGTGCCCAGGGCTGGATACTGCGAGATGTGGTTAAGGGCTTTGTGGAAGATGATAGAGTGCGGGATGGTCATGTTCCTGTACAAGACACCCAAAGTAGCAGCGTGCAACGTGTGGGATGTAAGCAGGCATGACACCAGATCGACGTTTCGAGGAGTGTATCCATTGGGAGGAAGATCGAGCGCCAGGTTTGAGATGATTTGATCTATCAACAGATTAGTATATGGAACCGAAAAGCAATAGGCGCATGTTCTTACCAAGAACCTCTGGCGGGAGCTTCTCCAAAGGCGAGGAACCGGGAGGGGTCTGCAAGATCTCCACCTCGGGAGCCTTGGGTGGAAGAAGCTCCTTAGCTTCGGGTTCCTGGGCTTCCCATGCCCAGCCCTTTGCGTGCTGCATTCCAAGCCCACGGAGATCACTGTAACTGCGGCTCAAACTCTTGCCGCCCAGTCGGATCTGCTTCCATCCCAGAAATCCGCCACAGGGGCAGCAGAAGTCCGGGGCCTTTTGCATCTGGGCGACTAGATCCAGCTTGCGTTGCGCACCCTGCTGGTCTTGGGGCGATGGGGATTCGTGGGTGTCCACAAAGGATTGCGCGATTCCTATATCCAAGACGATCACGTCAGCCTCCATTGTAAATTCGCACATCTTTCACATCATGGTACGTACCGTCCTCTGTATCTTCTTTGACCGAGCCGAACGACGGACGGCGCTGACTGCTCGACCTCGATCCGTCGGGAGTGCTGCAGGGTGAGGGAGATGACTCGCGCGAGTGGTAATGGTCACCACAGGGGATGGAAGAGAGTCGCGGGAATGCCGGCTTGGTGGGAGCAGGAGTAACGGAGGCCATGGTGAGAGGATGAGGCCCTCTATAAAGGGCCCTAGGTGTAGTTTGACTAGTTCGGGGTGGGTACTTTGGAGTCGGTGGAAACAAATAAAAGCTGAAATTTAAAAGTCTTTCACAAGACACGAAAGGGAGAGAAAAGCCCGGTCAATAAGAAAAGGTGTTAAGACCGAGTCGAGTAAGGGCAGGAGGTTTAGGGCTCCCGGAGGGGCGGCGGGGAAAGAAAAAAAATGTGAAGCTGTTAGTCACAGAAAACGGACGAGCCGATGTTGCACAATTTAGGTATTGACACTTGAGCACATTCGATAATTCTGACGAAGAAAAGGCTTCGTGACTTTGAAAAGAGTTTATAAAAGTCGAAGGCTGTAGAGAAGTTGAAAGCACCATGGGTCATGGCCACATGGGGCGAACTTTTTCCTTGTAGAAAAAAAAAGATAATATCGGGGTAACTGATTGATTAGGTGGCGGATCTCTCTTCTTTCCCTAATATTCATTTTCTTTCTAGATCGAAGTACTGGTACATTTAGGTACTGAATATTGAGATTCAATCAGATTTATATTATCTAGTTAATATCCGTCTAGACTTGTCTATATTTGCCTACAACTAAACTGATTAAGTTTATGTTAGTTCCCCAAGCTACCCCTGCAGACTCCATTTGCTTTTTCATCCGCATGCGAAAGAATCACGTCACTCGACGCAAGTAGATATTAAATAACTAGGAGGTGAAATAATTGTAGCCCAAAAGATGTCCGGTACCTTTTTCATGTATACAGTACTGCATAACTTTTGCTTCAGAAGAGTATAGAAAGCGTGGGCTGTTTAAAACCCGTGGACACTCCGATTCTATGACATAACCCGAAACCTTCTTAGCGCCATTCTCCAATCCTTCTCCAGAGCTACTTCGGCTTTCCCCTCAATTTACTTTGCTTTATTTCCCAAGGTTCATGCAGTAAAAGCAATCAAAGCGAATTGACATTGAAGTCAGCAGATCACACTAATTCCGATCTACGGAGTTTACTCCAGACCACCTCAAAGGGATTCTCTTTACCTAAAATTATTATTATCCATGCAACTGCCACGGCGCTCATTCGCCCCCTCAAGTTGATCATGCGGGGACAGACGCGCCGTTACCTAATAAAAATCCCCCAAAAACACCTGGATCCATGGATGTGGAACACGATGTCACCTGACGCTATAATTATCACCTGAGGTCCGTGTCCAAGCCTTTGATCACCCAACTATGACATACTATGTGCAAATAGGCATGCTCAATTCAGAGGAACTTCCTAGAAAAGTTCCCCGTTATTTAGTATCCGTGGATCTCGCGGCATCCCCCTGAAGCATCCAATAACCCCTGACTTAGTCCATGAACTAGCAGGGAAGCCTGGAAGGTACTCAGGCTGGTTGAGCTGTCCAGGGCTGACTCTGCTCTTGTCTCACTCCGCATAGGTTTCCCGCCTATCCCGACTTTCCCGTCCCCAACATGAGCAGCCAAGCCAAGTGATCCGCGGCTTTGAGGTGGATCGCCAAAGCCAAGCCTGTCGCTTCCCTCGCTAATATACCCCACACTTTCCTCCCTCACTGCTGTCTCCTGAACTAAATCGACACTCATTGCTCAGGGGTCCCGTGACATCTGTCCAGCCCCATTCTGCATTCTTGTCACTCTTACGCAGGAGTTGAAGTCGGCCGAATCGCCGACGAACACCGCATCACTGATATGACTTGCCCAACAGGATCGGCGAAGGCTTAGCTCCAGCACTGCATTTGAACAACATGGGAGCAGTGTAACCCAGTTCAAATTGCAAGGCTTGATGGTGTGATGGCCAGTCAGCGTCATTCGAGTCACAGCTCTCGCCGGCCTAGTCCTGATTTGGCCGTGATTTGGTCCTATTGGGGTGAGCACATCGTACAACCTGAGAAGGGGTGGACTGCATGCCAGCCAGGTCCTAGTCCTGGTTGTGATGAAGCTGCACTTCCGCGGAGCAGCGCTCATCGCCAAGGCTGGGCAGGAGGGAGATACAATGTTGATCTGCCTGTCCTTATCTGCTCCTTGCGTTCTCTCCAATTCACCATTCTCAACATTCGAGCCTATGTCTTGGCAGGAAAGAGAGACTGACAAGTGCATCTCCACTAAGCTGTAACCCAAGGGTCAGCTTTGCTAGGAATGTGAGTTGAACCTTTCAATGTTCCCCTTTGAAATTGTTTTGCGAGGATCTTTTGAACTTGCACTTTCCATGATGAATGTTTTTTTTTCAAAGCGATTCCTAGTAAGTCGAGTAAATGGTCCGGCTACTTCCCTTGAGAACTATGTAGCCTATACTTCCAGAAGCGTTATTCTTTGCAGACCTGAGACCGGAATGCCAATCAGGCAAAACAATCGTGGGGAGAGTTTTGCGGGAAAGCCTTCAACTACAAAGTATAGACCAGTTTTGCTGCACTAATATCTCCCTTTCGTAGACGTTTCGGTCCCTTCAGCACACCGTATCAGATCCAACCCCGGCCGGATATCTTCTCTGCCACAACTGGCCTCGACGACAGCTTCAAGAGGTAGGTATAGGTAGGTATATTCGAGTGTACAATCAAACTCCGTAGTGCGAAGGCCAATTGTAGGAGTTTCGTGTCTGATATGTTCGCACGTTTTCGAAGTTGCCCATAAAACTTAAATCGTCATTTCCAACTTCACCTTGATCCAACCTTAGACTGCACGCTTTCTCATCTCTTGCCAATGGCTCCCCTCTTTCACGCTCACTATGGCCGGAATGGAAGTTCTCTTCAAGATGCTTGGTGAAACGATCACTACAGGTTGCTCGAACCCTCCGGATTCTGCTCTTTACCCCCCTCGGGATTGGGTCATCCTGGAAAAGGTAAGTGAGCATCCTGTCTCGATTCCCGCAGAGGATTGCGCCCTGGGCATGGGCCCCCCATACACCGCTGGAAAATATCTTTGTCGCCTTGCGGGAGCCGGGAACGAGAAAGAGCTCGCCTTCATACGCATCTACAAGCAGATTCCTTCGGCTGGCACTGCACTTGACAACTCGAGTGTTAGGAAGGCACAGGCATCCGAGGAACCTGGTCACACGGAGCTAAAAGCCTTGAAGCATCTCACAGAGGGAAAGTACACTGCTACCCCCGAACTCCTTGGATATCGATTCGGCAAGCAAGATGCATACGATCTTGTCCACGGCGGATATATCGTCTACCTTCTATGGAAAAAGGTCGAAGGAGATTCCCTTGATCTTGAGGAGTTCTGGAGACTGCCCTACAATCGGCGACAAAGCATCCGGGACAAGTTCAAGACGACCTACATGTTTGTTACTGAGCATCTTGATTACGACCACGTGCATGTGGCTGACGGGAATTAGGGAAGTTCTGGGTTTTGGGTACAGGCCACGCATGGAGCTCTCGAGCAAGATCATACTCAACAAGTCCACAGATGATGTGTATGTTCTACACTATAGTCTATACTCTATCCCTTGCAATATCACACTCATGACACGCATCAAAATTTCCGGCTTTCGCTGGGCTAGACGCATTGATCCTGTCACGGAATGGGAAGACGAGTACTTCGCTGTGTATTCCCTGGTCCTGGCCATTCCGTGGCACGTTCGGTACCTTTACGGACTGGCGAACGATCCCCACCTTGACGAGAGCACTGGCTGGTGGTGGTGAGAAGGAGGATTGCATACCCAGAAGAAATACGTCGTTAAGACTGCCCTTACTCAGTATGTGAAAGGCTACGATATGTCAGAAGCTAACTAGGAGTTCAAGTCTACTCCCGTCTACAAGCAACTAGGTTTGATATTGAAGAGGGAGAACGAAGGCTGCGTGCTCTCGGGATGATTCAGCTACCACCTAGCATAGCCATCAGACCGGAGGAGCAAAGAGATCGCTTGCGCACAGGCAGTCAAATAAGAGATGTGTAGGAGTGTAGTATTCATATGCTATCTCGCGACTCATAGATAACTAGCGATGTAATCTGGCGAATCCTGGCTTGTCATTCGAAGAACAACGTCACCATATCCCTCAGTGTAAAAAACATCACCTGTAGCCGTAGATACAGGTAAAACACAAGGACGGAAGTTGATAAAGACAGATCTGTGCGGAGTCATATGGGTGCTGGTACCAGAGTCAACCATCCACCTGGAAACGTCATCGTCAGAAGCGAGCAATGCTTCTTTTGACAAAGTGAGTGCTTCCTTCGGCACAGACTGAGCTCCCCCCGATACAATGCAGTGCTCCTGGAACAGAGCATTCGTGAATAAGTTGTTGTACTTAGCAATGGGATCGCCGGAGGGAGGTCTGAACAGCGTCTTGGCATGTTGTTAACAGGAGATCCTTCGGCCAGCAAGGCCAAATGCCAGAAACATTGCTTAACCGAAACACCGGTAATACCATCGCTTTGGAGTTAGGAAAATGATGGATCATTCTATCCTCCACCGTCTGTTGACCTTGACTTGTCTCAGGACGATGGTCTCCTCATAAGTAGAGTGAAACCCGTATGGGATGGGGATCTGACCTGTTGGTCGACCATGTACTCAATCACTTGGCCAAGAGAATCACGCAGCTTTTGCTCATCCAGAAATAGTGCATCGAGACCGTGGTCTTCGACCCATGGGACTTCGAGCTCTCCCACGACTTTGAGGCAACCTTGAACGGCAGACACTGTAACCAGTCACCACAATATGTGACGGCATGGAACGCGGCGGATTTGGTTTTGTTAGGCGCCGCGCAAAGAGTAGGAAGAGGGCTTAATACTGCCTTGCGCGCACGGATTGGTAGTGCCATTATCGCGGGCTGGGACTAAAAGGGGCTTTTATTAGTATGCATTGTAAGCCTCCCATGTGGTAGGTGATGCAACAGTTGGCGTACCGTTTGCCACTGCCCTGATCTGTTGTAAAGCATAGGCAACAAGTTCAAGGGTGGTTATTCTTGTTGCTGGTGCCACACGGGTGTGACCGTGTACACGGGATTATGGCATCGCGGTAGGCGTGCTCAAGCAGGCTTTGGTCCATCGGCCCTTCAATCCTCTGCCGTTTCGCTGAAACTGCCTCATCGATGTCTTCCACAATCAACGGGCGTTGTGTCTTGAGGACTTGAATTGTTGTCGAAGACGAGCGAAAGGACTTCAAGAAGGGTTGAATTTCTCGCTGGAAGGCGTCCTAAGGTATCTTTCCAGTCTGTCTTGCCTCGTTGAGGCCGTCTCGGACACATCGCATGTACTCAAGTTCAGTTCCATTGCGGCGAGTTTCCCCTCAAGAATATCAGATGTTGTCGACTCAATTGACATCTCAGAAAGGCGCGATGCTGCACTCGCAGACCTTTGCTTGTGAGTCCGCAGCGCTGACTGACGAGAAGGCGCCATGAGAGACGATATTCTTTCGGGGATTATGGACAAAGAAGAGGTTACAGGCTGTTAAGGCGTGTGCAGATTGCCCGGGGCGTAGGAGGATATTGATTGTTTGGGTAGGAGCGAAAGGCTCGCCCTGGTATCGACCATCGTGTAATCTGGAAGACCCAGGCTAAGGACTGGCTTTGAATGTCAAGGATTTGGCTGATAGAGATGGGTTGGGATAAGTGGGGAGAGAGAGAGAGAGAGAGAGAGAGAGAGAGAAAGAGTTGATGAACTACAGAAGGCAGGATGCTTGTTTAAGTAGTCGTCTACCTAAAGGGAAGCCTGATCAACAAGGCCCCGAGCATGTGATCTCATATGATATATCACAACAATATGGCAAAAGGTGTTGTGGGAGCAGGTGTTATGCTTGGATTGCACTTTCCGACTATGTCAAGAATATGTCGTTTCCAATACCAAAAGCCCTATCCCAGACACCATAAACCCAATTCAACATCCTAGTCCGAATACAAACCTTCTACAAAAATACTTAAAATACAAGACCCCTGTCCGTATCCCCGTACCTCCACGTGAACCGTACCTTCTCCCTTGAGTAACACCAAGGAAACCACGTGAAACAGTCAGCCCTACAACACCTACCCCGGAAAGCCTGCAGATAACACACCCGAGACAGATATCCCGGAATGCGGCCCGGGCAAGACATGGGTCTGCACAAAGTGCTGACATTGACTCTAGATGCGTGCGTTCGCTACTGTTCTAGAACTTGTCTCATGCCGACATCGACGGGCTCTAGAAACACGATATGCGTTCGCTGATGTTCTAGAGCTTGTTTCTCCCTCACACTCCCTTCCTTTCTTTTTTTGCTCGAACCCGTGTCTCGACATCTACCCGTAACCCGCGTTATTTTGAGAGCCGTTTGCCACTCCGGCGGTTGAATATGGCTGATCTCTCTGTTGGGCTAGAGTTAGGCTATGCAATTGTAGTGGAGATCCAGGCTCTAACTACATAAGAGGACCTGTGACAATTTGCACCTTGGCTGAGCTCTTGGTGAAATGGATTCGGTCCTTCTGATACTTTATTATGGAAAACCCAGTGATATTGTGAGTTCTCGCTGCGGAGAGGTGCCTCAATTAGGCTAACTGGCTCCTTGGAATCATTAGGGTTAGATGATACATCACCATGTCATCAATGATGGGTTGACTGGAAACTCGGTATCAATACGGGGATTTCACCAATCATATGGGATATTCTACTCTGTACGAAGAACTCTGATAACGAGATAGAATGATAAAACTTGTATGGTATTGAAATTGGAATCTGGGGGATATAGCTGCATGCGGAAATGTGTAAGAAAAAACCGAAAAAAACACCCAAAGCTTCTTGGTGTCATGACACATGAGGTGTAGCAAACCAGTCTAAAATTGAGAAAAATAGAAAGTAAATTTCCAGTCATTTCTCAAGTCAATAAATCCAAACTGACGCGACAAAGGATATCAGAAGTCCTAAAGCCAAGAACCCCGAATTTCTAGCATATAATAGCCAGACAATTCACGAGGTGCGTGCAAAAGTGGTGGAAAGCGAAGAGAAGAGGTCTATGGTAGATGACATGATATAGAAAAAAGCGAAAACGCCAGAAGGAAACCTTCTCAAGCCCAGCAGTAACATTGTCTTTTTGAGTTTCGTTTCAGCGTGAGAAGATGGAAGAGATCCGATTGAGCATGTTTCCTTTACTCAATGGCGGAGGCACCCTCACCGTGAGTGACGGGGTTAACCTTGGGATCCCACTTGAGCTTGAAGTCGGCACCAAGCTCCTTAGCAATGGCAGCCTTAACAGCCTCGAGGACGTTGTTGAAGACACCGAAGTTGGCGGGGCTGTTGGGGTCGTTCTCGCCCTCGCCGCCCTGGAACACACCGGTGCGGACCAAACAGGTGTTCCAGCCGTACATGTTTCCACCGATGATATCAGAGGCGGGGTTATCACCGACCATGTAGATGTTCTCGGGCAGACGAGCAACACCGTGGAGCTCCTCCATCCAGGCCTTCATGACCTCGTCGGCATAGGTGTAGGTAGCACGTTCGGGCTTACCGTAGACCACACGCTCGAGATCGACGCCAGTGAGAGCCTTGTACTGAGCCTCAACGGAGATACGGAAGGCACCCTGGGTAAGACGGGGGAGACCCTTGTGCTCGGTGGGCATGAGGAGATCACCCTGGGAGAAGTAGATAGGAATGCGGGTGGCGACGGGGTCCTTGGCCTTGGTCATGATCTTGCCGTCTTCGGCGAGCAGCAGATCCATGATGACCTGGAAATCGGTCTGGTAGTCGCGGGAATCGGCGAAGACCATGATGGCGTCGAACTTCATCTGAGAGAAGTCGCGGGGCTTGGCCTCGGCGCGCTCCTCGTCGGTGAGAGTGGCCCAGGGGGAGATTGTGGGGTCCCAGGCGACCAGATCCTTGGGGTGAACAACGGTCTTGAAGCCGTAGTTCTCGGCGACCTCGCGGATCTTGAAGCCGTCACCGCCGCAAACCAGAACAGTCTCGTAATACTCGGCCAATGCCTGCATGGGAGTGTGGGACTGGATGAACTGGTCGGTGGAGATGGGCTGTTCAAGGATCTCGGTGAGCTGAGCACAGCGGGCCTCCTCGGTCTTGCCACCACCGTTGGTCAGGAGAATGTGGGGAATGCGGATACCGAGCTCGTTGTCGCCGTTGAGAATCTTGAGAGCGATCTTGGCCTCCTCAATGGCGTGGGTTCCGTGTGCCAGCACACCGTCAATATCGAAAGCGAAGGCAAAGTTCTTGGCCTTAGCGGTCTTCTCCTTGTTGAGATCCTGGATCTGGGAGGCCATGATATCCTTGGAGACTGAGGGAGTACCGCGCTGCACAGACGAGAGACGAGACATACGGGGGGAGCGAGGAATGGGGAGCGAGGTGCCGAAAGAGTTGCGCGAGCCACGGCGGTCCTTCATGGAGGGAGCCAAGCTCAGGTTGTGCATGAATTGAGCAGCATCGCTGATGGAGCTGCGGGTAGCGGGGATCTCAACGGTATTGCCGCCAGCGGAGGGGATGGTGAGACCTGAGCCAGCACGCTGGTCCCGAGGAGAGAGAGCACCGTGGGGGTCCTGGGCGCGGGGATCCTGGGCCGCCGCATCGCGGGGGATGAGATCGGAGTCCTCGAAGCGAGGCATGGTGGAGGGTATTGTATGGAGAGTAGAAGGGATGAGGCGGGTCTTCTACTTTGGAGTCACTAGGATCAGGACTCAAAAGGATAAATATTGGAAATAGAGAAGGAAAGAGAAAAATAACAGATAAAGTATGTGAAATGGCGAAGGAGGGAGTTCAGCAGAGTATATATACAGGCTCTCTATCTGATACAGGGCTCAATGGCGGGCACAAACGAAATTGGTATTTTGCCATTGAGGTTACGAGGGGGATCCACACACCGGGTATCATCATTCCTAGGAATTATCGTCATCATTTGGCAAGATATAAAGGTGGATCACTTCTTACACAGAAGAATTGGGTATATGGTACCTGCGTCATTGGTGGCTGATACCGTGTCTTAGTATGTACCCAGTACACGGGAGGCTGCCTTTTTCCCGACGGCCGAGTTGAATGAATATGGTGATTGGGTAGAACCGAATCGACCAGGCCGAGTATGAAGCAACGCAACCATGCCGAGTGGGCAGGAAGAGGCCTGAGACGGGAAGATGATTGGACCAGAGTGAAGTTCACCCGTGGACCGGGTTGAGATCGATGGAGCCGATGACGATCGGCACAAACGCTCAACACCGTTTCGGTTGGTGATGTCATCGCCAGAGCTTTGAAAATTACCAGTGGAAATTTTGCGTCTTTTTTTTCCGTCTTGAATTTCAGTTGGATATCTACTCCGTACAGTAGTTCAATTGGATTTTTCATGTTTCATTCTCTTCAGGCACGATGATCTTCCTACTTCTAACCGGGAATAACGACGAGAGGCAAGTTTTTGATCGACACTGGGATGAGAAGGGAAAGTCGGGCTAAGTTGCAGTATATACGATGCACTGAACTACACAACTGCAATTGCACAAAGTTCAATAGTAAACTTGACTTGATTCTATTAAATAATCCAAATTCCAACATTTATATAATTTCACCCTGTTACCCCTCCACCCCCTCCACCCCTCCAATCCTTCCCAACCCCACTTCAATCGTCATCGCTCACATAGCTTCTTCCCCCCACTCTTCTACTTGCATCCTCCTACAGCTCAAATACCTCTTCTCTCTCTCTACCTTCCTCTATACCAAATACACACTACTATACAAATCATGTCATCTGGAAAGACTTTCACATTGAACAACGGGGTTACCATCCCTGCCGTGGGTTTCGGTACCTTCGCCAGCGAGGGTGCCAAGGGCGAGACCTACGCCGCTGTCACTGCTGCCCTCAACACCGGATACCGTCACCTCGACTGTGCCTGGTTCTATCTCAACGAGGACGAGGTTGGTGATGGTATCCGTGACTTCCTTAAGGCCAACCCCTCCGTCAAGCGTTCCGATATCTTCGTGACCACCAAGGTCTGGAACCACCTGCACCGTTACGATGACGTCCTCTGGTCTATCAACAACTCCCTGGAGCGTATGAAGCTTGATTATGTTGATCTTTTCCTGGTCCACTGGCCCATTGCGGCTGAGAAGGAGACCCAGGAGAAGCCCAAGATTGGCCCTGATGGAAAGGTAAGATCCCCTTGCAATTACCGCGAGAACAGCTCCCATCTAACCAATCATATAGTATGTGATCCTCAAGGACCTGACCGAGAACCACGAGGAGACCTGGCGCGCCATGGAGAAGCTGTATGCCGACGGCAAGGCTAAGGCCATTGGTGTCTCCAACTGGACCATCCCCCAGCTTGAGGCCATGTCCAAGTTTGCCAAGGTCCAGCCCGCGGTCAACCAGATTGAGATCCACCCCTTCCTGCCCAACGACGAGCTGGTCCAGTACTGCTTCTCCAAGAACATCCTGCCCCAGGCCTACTCGCCTCTGGGCTCACAGAACCAGGTTCCCACGACGGGCGAGCGGGTCAGCGAGAACAAGACCCTCAACGCCATTGCCGAGAAGGGCGGCAACACTCTGGCCCAGGTCCTCATCGCCTGGGGTCTGCGTCGTGGCTACAGTGTGCTCCCCAAGAGCTCCAACCCCGCACGCATTGAGTCCAACTTCAAGAGCATTGAACTCAGCGATGCTGACTATGCGGCTGTTAACGAGGTTGCCAAGGGCCGCCACTGCCGCTTCGTCAACATGCGCGATACCTTCGGCTACGACCTCTGGCCCGAGGAGACTGCCAGTGGTCTGTCTTACTAGATCGTCAATTTACAAAAGGCCAATATAATGGGATTTGGGTGGAAATGTGATAACGAATGGACTACGAACTTAGTTAGATGAATTGGACATACCATTTTATCTCTTATGTGTTTCATCTGTGTAGATTGACATTGGACTGTAGGCACTAAGGCACCTAATCTCTCATCTCACACACTGCCACTGTCTACATTCCAATTACCAACAGTAATGTAGGGACATTGGAAACCCCGCCAGGATCCACCGCTCATCAGCGTCTACATCTGCAATAAGGCAACCCAAAGTCCAAACCAGTGATCAAAATTAAAAGACCGAAAATAAGAAAATGAAGACCACAAAATTTGCAAACCAAACACCCTGCATTTGTACAAGATCGTACCAAGGTCTACCTAGTATCCGACCTAAATCCTTCGTACCTACATACATCTCCAGTACAGATACGGATACACCGCAATGATAAACGCAAGCAATCCCAATTGACAGCAAGCCAATGACAATCACATTAATCAAAAAAAAGGGTTACACCCGTTCTCCGTAGGACCGTACCTGAGCGCCCGCACTGCACTCGGACGTAGAGTCGCACCAGCATTGACATCTACCACCTACAGTAGTTAGACTATTTATGTACGGAGTACTGTATGTCCGTATTGTAACTATTGTCCAATTAATTGCATTAGGTAGGCATATTGTAATCCACACACCCAAAATCTCAGACTTTGAAAAGTTATGTCGTAAAAATACAAAAGCAGGAGCAGTGTGCTCCGACACCCTGCAAGGCAGAACGATGTCATCGCGCACAGACCCTGTGGCTCTTCGGAAATGCCCCTGCGCCACTAAGGGGCTTAGCGCTTGCCGCTAGCTGTTTCCGGGTCTAGCGTTGGGCTGACTACTGCTTCCTGCGGGAGATCTCGGGTGGGACTAGAGAAGAGAAATGAGGGTGAAGGTGGGATGTAACGAAGTGCCGGATTAGGGTGTATGTATAGAATTATGTAGGGATAATGGGGGATGGGACTGTGTATTTGGTTTGGTTGAGAGGTGGAAGATGGATGTTAGGCGGTGTTAAGGTTAGACTCTGTATACAGTAGTTACAGGTAACAACATGATTGGTTAAGTTACAAGCGTATAGTAAATAGGGATTTAATGCCTCATTTTCATCCTTTCTTCGAAGGATTGGATTCTCCATTTATGTAGTAGTGAAACATGATTGTCATTAGCCAAGATTTACAACACTCGGTTTGTGTATCTGTCTCCGTATCTTGTATCCAGTAGTATTTTAGCAGCCTGGTGAGGCTTTACCCGGGTGAAAATGTTCGGGATCTAAGATGCCGATGCTGGGGGGATCCCGATTGATGGGCCGAGGGAAGGGAATTATATCGGCGTTTATTGGCAGCAAATAGCAATGGACTTTACGTTCGTTATGTGACGTTTGCAAGGAACGGGGTAGTCTGTATTGCAGGGCTGTATTGCAATATGCCCATCTGTATACAAGACGCTGCGAATTGTAGGTTCGCCTTGGCCATGGACTTTGCAAAATATCAAGGATCAGCATGTACGGAGTAACTCTCGGCTATCCATACGGGTAACAAGCCACCAGACTTCCTGCCCAATCCAGAAAAACCTACTGTACTCCGCAGTGCAAGCCACTGGCATAAGGATCAACTTCAACATCGGCATGAGGGATGTAGTACTGCTCGCTGCTTTCCATATACTGGAATCTAGAGCTTTGTCAAAGCGGCTGGGTGCATAAGCGAGGACTCCCGCACAAGCATTCTTCTCCAGAGCTTGGACATGGATGCATATGCATTGCAGTCAACACTACAGAGAGGAGGGACAACCTTCCAAGGTGGGATGCCCCTCACACGGCCAAGTCCCGAGGGGAAGGAGGGGCGAACGTGGCGCAACGGCACAGACGTCATTCTGCATTGGAACGTGGCAGCTACGCCTTACACGATTCTTATGATCTTATCTTGATCAAGACGAAGGGTGATTCTCATTTGCGTTGGAATATAAACAGAACGAGCAATTGGTATCACAAAACACAACTCCCAGCATATATGTAAAGAGTGAACGAAATAACAACTGGGCCATAGAAAAAGACTAAAAAGGGGTATAAGAATGGTAAAAGTCAATCACAAGCACACTGTCGATGATCAGGATCTCGACCGAACGCGCCGAGCCGTGGGCGTGCACCCTGCGCTCATCTGAAGCATACTCTTGCGCTGCACATCATCTGCAGCGGTGTTGCGGGTAGGGATACCACTGACGAATTGCTGATCCTTGTTCCCAGCGCTCTTAGAGGCCGGTGCGGGGAGCTTGGACAGTCTGGGAGATTTGGGAGCAAGCTTACGGCGGCCCTTGGTTGGCGTGGAGGGGCCTTGAGCCTCGGCAGGTGCCGAGGCTGCGGGAGGCTTGCTTGTGCTGCGGCTTCCAGGTTTCACTGGAGTACCGGAGCCCATGATCCCCGAATCACCCAGACGCCTCACCCGGCGTGAGCGGGGGGCTGCAGCAGTGGCTGCAGCAACCGGCGCGGTCGGGCCCCCATTGTCTGCCTGCTCATCTGCCTTTTGGGTTTGGCTACGGCTGCTGCGCTGGCTAGACTCGTCTTTCTTTGCTGAGCGCTTGCTCTCAGCTGGTCGGCGAGGCGTCGCACCCACGTCATCCGTGCATTGATCGCCCTCCTCTTCAGCTTCTTGATCCTCCATCACTTCGTACTCTTCGTACTCGGCCATGCGCTCCTCGTTCCAAGTCACTTGCTTTCGGGGCTTGGTCAGCCCGCGGAGGCTAGTGCGATTGCGCGAGCTCTCATTCGGTTCACTACTCGATTGGCGGGCTTCCTCGCTCGCTTGTTGAGCCAGAGCTTCAAGAGCGACATTGGGAGCGACAGATTTGCCCTTGTTGAGTCGGGTGTTCCGCTTGGTGGCCAAGGCAATCTGCTGCGCCTCGGTTCGCTGCAAGAAGATGAATTCTGTCCCTTTAGCCCGGCGCAGCGAGATAGTGTTGCGCGCATTAGGGGCACTGGAGTCCTTGGTACGCGAGCTGCGACGGCGTGCAGGGTTTGGAGGAGCTTCTTCTTTGATCTCCTTAGGGATGATCGTCTCCTGGTCGTTAGTGCGCTCGGCACCACGCTCAACATCATATTTACTGGGTGAGATGTGTAGCTTGACAGGCGAAGGGGAATTGGTATTCAGTTCCTCCAACGCGCGGCGTGATCGCGGTGTCGAGCATTCAACTTCCGGCGACTCCTCTGAGCTAGGCGAGCCAGAAGATACATCCATTGCTTCCGCATCTTCGGAGTCCATTGACTTTGCGGCCCGTTTCGCTTTTGCTTTGGACAGGAAATCGTTGAGGAGTTCGGCATCCTCTCCATCCAGAGAGCTTCGGAGCGCCGATCGTACCAGCTTCACCTCCTGCTCTTGCGTCAGGTCCTGCGCGGGCCCCGCGGTTGGTACTACGACCTGGATCAGCCCCTCTGTTGCGTTTGATGTAGCTGACGCATCGTGGCTGGATTGTGTAGACTCCGGATCCTCAGTTGTCTTCGCATCAGGTGTCGTAATATCCACATCGGTGACCGTAGCATCATTGTCGACTAGCATTTCGGGGGTTTGGATCAGGCCAAGCGGCTGGCACAAATTCGTAGACGCATCTGTAACGACATCGGTGGGTTGATTCGCGGTGAAACCAAACATCTCCTGAGACCGATCTTCGTGGATATTGAAATCAAACTCGGGCATTTTACCTATAAAATGTTAGAAAGATCCTACCGAGTCCAAGATCATGCAATGGGACATGCGCTAAACGTACGCTTTTTCCGAGACGCCTGCATCTCCCACTTAGTCTCCAGGAAAGACCAACCACGTTGCTCGGGCTCAGTCTCATGGTTCGCGTCAGCGGGGTCGACACAGCGGCGCTTCACACCACGCTGATAGTCTGAATTTCTAGAGACGCCAATGGCCGTGGCCGCGCCTCCCGTTGCAGTATTCATGCCGGTAAAGGGGAAGCGAATCCGCTTCCACAATTTCCGTGACTTGTCGGCACCGCGGATAGGTGTCGAAGGTTTGCGATCCCACAGTCGCGGCAAGGCTTTCAGGGCCTTGATGGGTGTAAAACTAAAGGAACTTTCGGTAAGAGGGTTGGCACGGTCGCTGTAGGAGACAATCTATGTTAGTGTTGCGACTACTGGGGAGGATTTCAAAACAAAGGGGAAAAGAGCGAACCCCTGAACAAGACACACGGGTGCTCTGCACACGAAGTAGATAATTATGGAATGAAGAAACAAAGAGAATGAGCAAGTCGAAAGACATACCTTGGCTGCGCCTGTGGTGAGGGAGGTTGGTTTTCCATTGTTGACACGCGTGGAATGTGTCAGATTGTCGATGGAATTCGAGTTCGTTGTACACAGTAAGTATGGGTATAATGTAAATAACCCTAACCAAGTGATAAGTACACTATGGATATGTATAAAAAGATGCAGGGAGTGCTCCTCGTTGTCGTGTCTGATTGTCGTGATAGTTGTGAAAGTCACAAAGCGGGAGGTTTTGCTTTGCCCTCCCGTTGCCCCGCCAACGACCGCGTGGGAGTCCCTTTGTTGTTCGACAGTTGATCCTCTTACATTGATTGGTTCATCCATACACTTGCCCTACTCCCTAGAACAACAGTACTTCAATATCTGTTGATTCAAGGAGTTCTTTGCATATATTCCCCTTCTCCCCTAGCCTTGTCCTCGGACGCCATAGACTTAGTAGCATGTCTTGAGTGGCCGGAGCAGCAAGTCTTGGGGCTTAAGAATGAGAGGGACTTGGATGATGAGCATTGTATTCAAATAGCAACAAGCATTACTTATATCGTTATATCCAAGCCTACGTGGCAATGGAATCGTCTTCCATATTTCTCTGCAAAGGAAGCATCCTCGGCGCTGCATGAGCTCAGTATCCCTTCATATCAAATCAGGGTCCCGCAATACGCTCGGGGGCATCGCAAGAGACCCCAATGAGGCCACCATCTGGACTGCGTCTGGAATCGTACAAGTATGAAGACACTGACAGGCTGCTGGGCGTGTCGAATGTGACGTCTCATCCGACGGTGCATCGGGCAAAACCTTCCCGTACTTTTTCCGGGTCAAGCACCTGCACATCGCAGACGTCAGTGTTCTCCTAGGATCAAGATGACAGGTGTGTTTCAAGGGAGGGGTACTATCGGCAGCCATGAGGTCTCGCCGTCACCTCGTGGTAAGCAGCTGGCTTCCAGCCAGGGTGACAGTCTGGGATAAGGCTCTTGATATCCTTTGTCCTCACTCAATATCGGACTCATGAGCATATATGACTGCATAATTGTTAAAGTAGGCATGAGTTAGTTCAACAACTTGATATCCGGATCCGCTACCTATGATGATGCCGGCTGAGCGTATGAAACCAAAGTATAATACCGAAAGAAAGAGAGCCAGAAGAAAGGAACCGTGAATGTACCATCTTTCAAAGGCAGATGCAGAATCAAATCATGTCTCATTATTCATATCGTGTCCTATGTTCTCCAGTGCTGACACCCACCCATCTCCATCTACTTAGTAAAAAACGGCGTCCCCGTCAAGTCTCGCTCATCGAAGGGGTCGCCAAATTCAGCTAAGAATAATCCAGTCAGCACAACCGTACAAAGCCGAAAAGCTACTCCAAGCCAAGCTGCACCAGACGGATATAACGAGCCACATACCTAGACTGAAATCCTTGTCGACAACAAATTCCATAGCGCGTTGGTATTCCTCCTGGGCACGCTTGCTCTGCCACGCCGGGCCAGGCTGTTCCGACGTCTTGTCCGGCTGTCCAGCGCGGTCATCAAGCGCAGTTCCAATATCGCCAATCGATACTGATTCTTGATGTGTCTGAGAGCCGGGAGGAGAAAGCTCCGCTGCATCACCGCCAGCCCCGGAAGCGTGGGCTATGGCTGTAGGAGTGCGCGCGCCGGTTCTATCTTCGTCCGGGCGGATGGAGTCTGCGGAGGAGGTCATTGTCGAGTCGCCGTCTGGGTCTTTGGGGTCTAACAAAGAAGGACTGTTAATGGGTGTATTCCCAGGCCTGCAGTGACAAGGCTAAGAGGTGGGTTCGCAGGTGGCTGATGGAGGTGGGTATGGAGCTTCGCTATCGATATCGCCAGTGCCAGCGGGCCCACCAATTTTGTATGGCTCTTGTGGGAGGTAGAGAAGACGTACCGATGGCCATATTGGAGAATTGACAAAATATTGAAATGGCGGATTTGTAGGTTTCTGGAGACGAACCACTCTAGAGAGAGCAACTGTTTAGTCGTCAGGCGGTGGCCCCCCCCCGCCGGCGCTCACGTTTTTTTCTTCTTCTTCCTTCCCCAACTATATACCACATGAACATACAAACTATTGCTAGCCTTAGTTTTTGGGCTAATTACCTTCAATCGTCTCGGAATTTACGTTCTTTCCATTCAAAATCACGTCTTAAACGCCATTTTTGTGCAATGAGCGCAAACTTACGTTCAGTTCCCGATGCCTGGGAGGATTCGTGGGAGACCCAAGCAGATGTACGTATTGGAGAATATGTATACGATTGGATACAGACGTTCTGCTATTCAAGTTCACCCAGCTATGACATGCTGATAGAAATCATCCACAGCAATTAGATTCTACGCCTACCCCGCCGTCCGAAAAGAAAGTCTCATCGAAAGTGACCAAGGCGCAACGCAGGGCAGAACATGCAGAGTTCAATCGCCAATTATGGGCTCAGGCGTAAGATACCCCTGGACCTGTTGGGGTAGTTCAAGAGACTAAATCGAGTTGCAGCGAGAACACAGAGACGTTCCATTTCGCCGAAGCGCGCGCCGATGTGCCCCTCAAGCAAGACTTCAAGCCAGCAGTCACACTACTAAGCCGGAAACCTCAAGTTATGGGAAGAAATTCCCCATCGAATACAGTCGCTGGTGCAACGGCTGGACTGGGTCGGCTCGGACTCGATGAAGGCGATGATTCGGGCGACGAAAAAGATCCACCCCAGCTAACGGCCGAGGAACGTCATGCTATTGCCCTGAAGAATCGGGAGGAGAAACAGCGGAAATACGAAGAAGTGCGCGAACGCTTATTTGGAACATCATCTGCTACGGGCTCAGGTGCGTCGTCCGGTAGTACGACACCCCCTCGTCAAACCCACACAGGCGAGGGCAGAGCGAGAGGCAAAGGACGTGGCGGAAGAGATCACCAGAAGCGAGACTCATCGTCAACCTCCAACAAGTCAAGACATCTGTACGATCCAATTGCGCCTAAGTCAAGTAGTCCCTTCCCGCCCAGGGGTGGGCGTCAGCAGGTGGAGCGTACCAATTCCGATGGTCAAACTCCGCAGCAGCCTATGCGCAACCCCCGAGGCCCTGATGCAAGTGGAAGAGCTGGTTTTAATTTCAATCGCGGTGCTCGAACTGGCTAATATACATATGGCTATTCATCGTCATTTCGCCCCCCGTCATTGGCCACCAGATCATTTCTTCTGGCACTAAGGAAGGCTACGTCCTGCATTAATGGCATTGGCAACTTGGGATGTGTTTGGACGGTTCTCTGCGACATGTGTTAGCAACAACACCGAAAGAAAGGAAACTCAGGATACGCACCGGCATATCGCTCGTAGCTGTCCAGGTACAGCTCATCCGTGCTAGTTGTCGCCTGAACATGCCGGTCGGTCTCGATCGCATTGATCCAAGACGCCAGCCTGCTTCCCTCCTCGGCATCTGCCCAACCCCGATACGGTTTGAGGACCCGCCGCAGCCGAAGAATCCACGGCGCCGCTTGAACGTCTACAAGGGACATCTGCGGGCCCATGAAGAATGGCCCTTTGGGATGCGCCACCTCGAGCAGCTTCTCCATCGCTTCGCGCAGCTCCTGCGTCTTCTCGATCTGTTTCTGCTGGTCTTGCTCTTGCAGCACCCGATAGAAACTCGGCACAATATGCCGATTGACCTGAATGATTATCAGTCATGACCAACATAAGAGGAAATCTATTTCCTTACATGATCCGCCCACAACCGGCAATGAGCGCGCAACTTTGCGTCTGCCGGAAGCAATGCACCTCCTACATTCAAATCCTCAAGCTGCGAAGAATCAGTTAGTGAGGTGATGAACATTCGACCCTCGGGATCTCCTTACATATTCCAACAACACATTGCTTTCATAGCATCCCCAGTCATCATGTCGCAAAGCTGGAACAAGTCCTCGTGGGTTGACTTCCAAAAGCGATGCAGGCTTCTCGTAAGGATTCACTTCGATGTATTGGTACGGAATGCCTTTCAATTCTAAAGCAATCCACACCCGCTGCACAAAGGGACTTCAAGCATACGAGCAATGTCAATACACGACTTTGTCATAACAGACCAAATCTGGAGATTCTCACCAGAAGCAGCTTCCATATAGCTTGAGATTGACCTCGGCGGAATGTTTGATCGCAGTTTCCGCGGCCAAACCGGTTGCTTTTGTATGGTACGACTTTTGGCCTGGTCGAGACATGACTCGGTCCTATGTACTTGTCAAAAACCGAACAATCAAAAGCTCAAAATATCCAAACGAAGAAAAGCAGTAATTCTTGATCCTTGTTGTAGTAAGATGCAAGAAGGAGGAATGAAGTCAATGTAAGAGCTGTGACGTAGCCGGAAATATGCGGGGATCTTCCAACGGGCCAATGGACATACCGCTCTCGTTCTTTTCTCCTTCTTCTCCTTCAGAGCGTATCGTTGGACACTACTCTTCTTGACACGATCGCTTTCTTCGAGGGTATGTTGATGGCCACCACCCACGCCATCATTTTTCCCATTGGCGCCATTGCCATTCACCCGCTGTATAGTGAAATATCTCCCACCATTCACTCCCGGGTGGTTTGGAGGTAGACCGGTGTTCGGCGGGAGCATACCGAATGGTTGGGCGCTCTGGATCGGGGTCTCTCCATTCAGAGCGAAGGTATACATGCCCGGTAAAATGTTATTCGGTAAAGGTTCGACCGGGTCGGTTGAGTTCGATGTTTCGGACACTGGGAAGTATTCCACAACTTTGATCTTGACATGGCAGAGGTCCCTTTCTCTAGCCGTACGCTTGCGTTTCTTCTTCTCTGGGTCGTCGGATTTCGGGGTCCCCGGGGGTCGGCCTTTGAGTCGACAGTCCCAGTAATGGGAAACGAAGGGTTTGCGCTTGTAGCGCTGAGTTGAGCGGTGGGAGTATACATTGTCAACATGGGGGAAGTATGTTAGGTATCTGTGAAATTACAAGTTAGCCATTGCATGGTCAGGCCCTGGAGACAGCAGCGAAGTAAAGGGGGTTTTGCGTACTCCTCTTCGCTAAGTGTAATCATTTCGTCGACATTGAACAATCTGTCTCTCCAGTATTCCAGGTTCGGAGGATCCGTGACCATTTTGAAACCCTGCAGCTCTCCAGAGCCTGCGAAAGTTGCCGGATCAACAGGTTCCGAATCAAGTTCGATAAGGTCTGGTTGAAAGTGTTGACCTGGAGACTGCATCGTTGCTAAGGCGTTATTTTGAGCTTGGTGCGGGTTGTTTCCCATCGCTAGCTCGTTTGGCGACAGCGACTGGGGAGGCCCCATCTGCCCGGTAGCAGTGCCATGTAATGCCCCCCTCATATGTGCCGCATGATCGACGCCATGGTTGAACTCCTGCGATTGATGTAGGCCGGCGCGATTGGGGGATCGCCCTTGTTGTAAGTGCGAGACGACACCATCTCCGGGATGAGGATGCGACTGGTGCTGTGTGGATTGGGGTGCACTTAAGAAAGTATTCGCCGGTCCGTCTGGTCGTGGAGGACGGATAAAAGCGTGCGGGGCATGTGTCGCGTTCTGCGATACAGCTTCGGTCGGGGGACGGAAGATCCTGAAGGGTTCCGAGTCAAAGCGGCCTAATTGGCGGAAATTAGACTGATCGCCCATAGGTATAGATGATGGCAAGTTGGACGATAGTCGGGACTCGGACTCCATTGTTTACCCAATACTATATAGTCGTAGAGAGGCGTGCTGCTTTTGAGGAAAGGAAAAGCGGTTGAAGCGGCGATGTGGGGTTTAGCTTGGGAGCTCGGATCATTTATGTGCCCCTACAAAGTACCACCAGCATACGGAGTACAACATACGCTTCTTGGACTATGGGCACATCTCATCTCTTACTGAGATGGTATCATTGATTCGCAATATTGAATTTGATGTTAAGGAAGCAGTTTGGTTCCCGAAGGTAGGCTCAAATGGAGACTTTACAACCCCTTGCCATGTTTCCTGGCAGCTACCCTATTCTTGAAGGGATATCCCGTCGTCCTCTTGTCAGCACCTGTACGGCGACTGATCTTGCCGTGGCTGCTAGCGAAGAGCATGCACCAAAGCCCAAGCGCCGCAATAGTAGCGTATCCAACAACACCAACAGCAAAGAGACCCTGCCCACCAGAAACATACCAGGTCCACGCGTAGAAGGCACACGCGCTCTGGAAGATAGAGGTGACAACCAACGTTGGTACAGCGTAAGGTGCCTGGGGATTTGTCTCCTCCTCTGTCGTCACAGGCTCCTTGAGATCAGATACCACGGGGATAACGCCAGTAAGCAGCATGCTCAAGATGGCGATGGTAAAAAGGCTGAATCCGAAGCATCGGCAAAGATAGAGTTCGATTGCTTTGAGATATGAAGTGTTAGCATCGCTTGTCAATACGTGCGCACGGCACTTTCAAACTACCCGGGGAGTTATGGGCGTACGGGTAGAAGGCCGAGTCTCATCCAGCAGCATGGTGATGATCATGCTTGGACCAGCAATCAAAGCAAGACTCTGAATTGATAGCCATGCGGCTGTTGAGTAGACATACAGAAGGAAGACCTGTCGAATTCACTTTTAGCACTGGTTTCAAGGTCCGATTGGGGTGGTGATATGAGGGACGCACATCCATGATGATCTGTTGTCTCTCTATCAAAATCTAGGGGAGAGCCTGGCAATAATGAAGTAGCTGCGTCGAAAGAAAAAGTCAAGATTCTCGTGAGATGCTTGCAGGATGAAGCTTCCTAAGCTTCCTTACGATCCGATCATTTTAAGCCGGAACTACTGCGTATGAGAAGCACATGACGTCACATAAATAGCTACCCAGGCTCCTCGTTTTGACTTGTTTGCAAATGTTCGAGTAAACACAAGTCATGCTACTACATCTACGTAGTAGTCATGTTATTACGTCCGAAAATGAAGCATTGAAGTAAATCAAGATGATATTTATCTAGATGCATGAGACCCAATACTTGAATGCAATGGAGATACGCCTCCCAGAACCACAAACGCCTTAAGACTGGAAGAGCCCACAGAAAATGACCTTTTACTTTTGCATATTGGCCCCACGCAAATACCTGGTGAAGCTGTTGTCTTGGTCTGATGGAGCAGATTGGGAGCCCGCCAAAGCCTGCTTGTAACGCTGGGAGAGACCTTCATCATTGCCCGCACTAGGACCTTCGTAGTCCTCGTACTCGTAGTCACTGTCAGCCTCCCCATCCGCCATGCCACGTTTGATGATTTCGTCTTCTTCATCTTCTGCTTCACTGACTGTCTCGGCCTCCTGTGCAGGTTTCTTTGATCCAGACACATTCATGTCTTTCATTAATTTTCCAAGCTCAAGCTCACGCTGAGCTGCTGTCTGCTCTTCACGCTCTTTTTTCTTGCGCTCCAATTCGGGTTTGTAATCGCGTTCAAACTCTTGTCGCTTGGTCTCCACAGCGTCGAAGAATTCCTCGACGCCATCGCCAGTCATTGAGCTGACGGCAACGATGCTAAGGTGTCGATAAAATTCTTCCAACATGAGACTCATGCTGTTGAGAAGAGAGCCCATGTATCCACTGCCAGAGCCAAACCCTCCAACACCACCTTCAGTTCCAAACGCGCCTGATTCTTCCTCCTCCCGCAAAGCCTGCTGGAATGCATCAAAGTCGGTCATCCACTCCTTGGCAAATTCGGCATCCTTGACATCTGTCTTGTTGAAGACTAAGATCATAGGAAGCTTGGTCTTGTACAAGATACTGCAAGCGTAGAGCATGTTGCTCATAAAGGTGCTTGTAGAGCTTGCACGAGGTGTATCAATAACGTATGCAATGACCGTCGGGAACGATGAGGCCATAGTCTCAAGAAGGATGCTGCCAGACGCACTCCAGACAAAGACTTCGATTTGGCCAGGCGTGTCGACCAAAATGTGTTCGATTGGCTTAACGGAAGGGTTTTCTGGGTTGGGCGCAGTGCGTTTCTCTAAGAGAGAGATAATTTGATCGACCTTGGTGGCGAACAGATTCAAAGATGTCAGGATGCCTCCATTAGGACCCAAGTTATACTGCTTCATGACTTCTTTGTAGTTAATGGAATCACGGATATCGATGTTGCTCTCAAATGGTACTGAGTGCACCGCTGGATCGAGGTTGAGCACATACGGCACGGTCTTCTTTTCGTGCAGATAGGAGTTGATTCTTTGCATAAAGGTGGTCTTGCCTGAGCCTGTTCAATCCACAAAATCCACTATTAGATCACTGCAGATGATTGAGGGGCGATCAGCTATCCTTACCGGCCATGCCCACGCAGACGACGGACACCGGAGAGACCATGATGGAAATGGGATACAGAGAAAGATCTGATCGAAGGCGTCAAAAGAGAGGTATCCCTGTGCTCGAAGTATATGGTGTAAAGGTGAGTGAGGGGTGAAGAAAGATAAGCTTCTGTTTTACGAAGGCGGTTTTTTTTTTGTCGCGGGGAAAGAGGATCTGCGGCTGGAAACCGCCCGGCACTACCAAAACGTCATTCTGCCTTACGTCGGTATTTAGCTCTAGCTCTACCCCCTTCTCACCACCAGCATCATGACATTAGAAGATTTTGAAAAATCATTGGCGGAGGGGAAAGAAGAACGACACGAAAAGAGTGAAGGGCGACATCATCGAGACAGAAATCGCGACCGCGACCGCAGCAGAGAGCGCAGGAGGGAACACCGCCATCGTTCCAACCATCACCACCGGCGCCATTCCTCCCGATCTCGCGATCGTGGTAACGAGCGAGGCCATTCCTCCCGACACGCCGACGATGAAGGCCACCGACACAAGCGGTCACGTCGTTCTGAAGACCACGGAGACGACCATGGTCATAAACGCCAACACAGATCCAGAGATGAGGTGAAGAACTCAACTCCTCCAGTTATCGTGCAGCAGGAGCCCAGTAATCTCAAGCGGGACTCTTGGATGGAAGCGCCATCCGCTCTCGAAGTCGATTATGTTCAGCGACCGAGTTCAACGCGAATCGAGGAAGCACCCAAACCAATAATGCTCGCAGCCGATTACGAGCTCAAGATCCACGAAAAGGAGCTCAACCACCATCTGCGTGATCTTAAAGACGGAACAAATGTCGAGGATATAGAAGATGAGCCTGCTCAGCATGAGGTGGACTACACGTTTGGGGACTCGGGGTCACAATGGAGGATGACAAAGCTCAAAGGGGTCTACAGAGAAGCGAAAGAAAGTGGCAAGCCTCTGGAGGATGTTGCTATTGAGCGTTTTGGAGACCTCCGCTCATTCGACGATGCTCGGGAGGAGGAAACCGAGTTGGATCGCCGCAAGACGTATGGCAAGGACTACGTGGGCAAGGATAAACCTAGCGGGGAGCTATTCCAGGAGAGGAAGCTCCAAAATGAAGACCGAAGAGGTCCACTCGAGCATGTCCGTGACCCAGAGCGAGAACTCAATGCTGAGGGCCAAGGCAAGCAAATGGACGCTGTGCCTCCTCGGAACACAACTCATCACCTCGACTCGACGGCATTGAATCGTCTGAAGGCTCAGATGATGAGAGCGAAGCTCAAAAAATCACCGGATGCCGCCGCTCTTGAAGAGCAGTACAATGCGGCTGTGGCAGAAATGTCAAACCGCAAGGAATCGGACGTTGTGGTTCTTGATGTTATGCATAACCCGATGTTGGCAGGAGCAAGGAATGAAGTCAAGGCCGTCGATACCAAAAGAGGCCGGGAAAGAGGCCTGGTTGAAAGCAACGAAGATATGAGCATCGAGGATATGGTGCGAGAAGAACGGAAAACCCGTGGTCAGGCCGGCGGAGAAGGCCGGCGGTTGGCGGATCAGATTGGCCGCGATGCCAAATTTGAGGTAAGTCCCATTGCTATGTGTTCTTGTTTCGCAACGTCTAACGCATGTGCAGAATGATTTGGAATATATGGACGACAACGCATCCAAATTGGCGAAAAGGGTTCATCGGTCCGAGATTGACCTCAAGAACACAACGGTCAGTGACTTCCACAAGATGAACCGGATATTGGACAACTGCCCCCTTTGCCACAATGAAGACAAGGGCACACCTCCAATTGCCCCCGTCGTGTCCCTCGCGACTAGGGTCTTCCTCACGCTTCCCACCGAACCTGAAATCAGTGAAGGAGGCGCTACCATTGTACCGATCCAACATCGCACTAATCTGATGGAATGCGATGATGACGAGTGGGAAGAAATTCGCAACTTTATGAAGAGTCTCACACGCATGTACCACGACCAAGGTCGAGATGTCATTTTCTACGAGAATGCAGCCCAGCCACAGCGCAAGCGGCATGCATCTATGGAAGTCGTGCCTTTACCCTACAGTCTGGGAGAGACATCTCCTGCATTCTTTAAAGAAGCAATCCTCAGTGCTGAGTCCGAATGGTCGCAGCACCGCAAGCTGATCGATACTCTTGCCAAATCAAAGCAAGGTCTAGGCCGAAATGCCTTCCGTCGGACTCTGGTGAAGGAGATGCCTTATTTCCACGTCTGGTTCGAACTAGACGGCGGTCTTGGGCATATTGTGGAGGACGACAACCGCTGGCCTCGTGGCGATCTCTTTGCCCGAGAGATCATTGGAGGAATGCTAGATGTCGCACCGGATGTCATCAAGCGACAGGGACGCTGGAACCGTGGTGATCGCAGGGTCGATGGGTTCAGAAAGCGTTGGAGGAAGTTTGACTGGACTCGCATTCTAGTTGAGGCGACTTAATGGGTCTAGGACTGGCTCCTCGTACTTGTATTTATTTCAATGGCTCATCAGATACTTGAAGCTAGCGAGTTTCACTTTGCATCGTTCATGAGCCTCATAGCCCAGCGCATATTATCCACGGGAATCACTGATAGGCTATTTCAACAGCCTCTGGGATCATCACTGTATTCATCGTCAACATTGCCGATATATCCTATTGTCGGCAGTCTTTCCGATGATATCTGCTAGTCCTGGTCCTCTTAGGGCGTCATGCGGGGAACTTGCCCGATACCTAAGCCGTAGCGTGGGGCATCTCGGCCCATGTCCGTATAACTGAAGGAGTTCTGACTCTTGCTGGCTTGTTTCCCTCTGGTTCTCTGGTCTTTATTCTCTCTTCCATCTGAATTCGATATATCCCCGCTTTCCAAAGCTTACCACCTTCAGAGAAACTGATGTGGAAACTTACCGGTAAGTTGAAATCAAAGGATGTCATGAGAAGGCGCCTCGGAGTAGTTTGACCCGAGTTGAAAGATGAAATGACTCTTCTGGAATTGACCTTTGCCATCATTTTGCGCCTCTTCGGAGTTCTAACTGTATTCACGTTTTGACAGAGTCTACTACTATCACAATCTCATAATGGGATCTACCAGCCCTATGCCCAAGGTTCTAAAGCTCGGGAATATTGACCAGTGTGTTCACCTCATTACAATTCTGAATCCATATTCCTCTTCAGATATTGACCTCACTCGAACGCAGTGCGCAAGCAGCCTGGACTGCGTTAGGCGAAGTGGCAGAGCTAGTCGAGCCTGCAGCAACCGATCGAGCAGACTTCATCCAGGAGTGCAAAGACGGCAAGCTGGATGGTGTCGTTGCAATATACCGAACAATTGGCTCTCTAGCTCAAACAGGGCTTGTAGATGAAGAGCTCCTGAAAGCCCTGCCGAGCTCACTCCGATACATCGCACACTGTGGTATGTCAAGCTTGAAATTTGAGTATTCAAAAGGAGCTCAATGCTAACTTGATGTGTCCATAGGCGCCGGATACGATCAAATTGACGTTCATGCCTGCAGCGCACGCAACCCTCCGGTCAGGGTATCCAATGTCCCAACTGCAGTGGACGACGCGACTGCGGACGTGAACATGTTCCTGATCCTTGGAGCACTGCGCAACTTCAACACCGGTATGAACGCCCTGCGTAAGGGCCAATGGCGTGGCCTGCCAGCGCCTCCTCTTGGTCATGATCCCCAAGGGAAGGTTCTTGGTATCCTGGGGATGGGCGGTATTGGGCGTAATCTGAAGAAGAAGGCCGAGGTCTTTGGAATGAAGGTCATCTATCACAACCGCCGCAAGCTTAGTGATGAGCTGTCCGGGGGTGCGCAATATGTTTCTTTTGATGAACTCCTGTCTACAAGTGATGTCGTCAGCTTGAATCTGCCATTGAACGTGAGTTATTCCCCCGGTTTCAAAAAAGAGCGGAGACCTAACTGTCTAAAGAAAAACACGCGTCATATCATCGGCAAAGCTGAGTTCGCTAAAATGAAAGACGGCGTGGTAGTCGTTAATACTGCCCGTGGAGCTGTCATGGACGAGGCTGCTTTGGTTGATGCCCTGAATAGGGGGAAGGTGTTTTCAGCTGGTCTTGATGTCTTCGAGAATGAGCCTTACATTCATCCTGGGCTGCTGAAAAACCAGAATGTAATTCTGGTTCCTCATATGGGTACCTGGACTAGTGAAGTGAGTTTTCTACTTTCCACAAAGAAGATATGGGTCTAACTTGTCCAAAGACGATGCTCGCTATGGAGGAATGGGCAATTGATAATATCCGAATGGCTCTTGAAGTTGGGAAGTTGAAGAGCCCCGTTCCAGAACAGGTGGATCTCTAGGGATAGCTGCTACGGCCAGTTCGCCTCCAGCATGGTTCCATTATAGGTACCGGGCTCCAGCTGTAGTGCCCGATGCACCACTCGGACGCCAACCCAGGTTGTAGATATGTAGGTATAGTTGTATCTACCTGGTGGGTGTCATTCGGGCACCGTGTCGGGTCAGTCTGTCAGATTATCAGATACCAGATACTTATAGATGATGGTCTCTCTGGCATTCAGCTTTCATGTCTTTCGTAGTGCCTTTATAACTTCCTTCTACATATAAATGTAGCTTGTAAATCAAATACGACAGGAGCAAGAATCCGAAGTAATATACTAACAAGACCAAAGTCCTTAGGTTGATGGTATGTCGCAGGCTTGAAGCCGAAAGCTTAAAGCGGCGGGGAGTGGGGCTGCTCGTTTGAGCTAGACACTGCCGACTCCGAGCTTCATTTATCAACTTACCCGTATCTCTCGTTCACTCCATCATGGCTGAATACTGGAAATCAGCAGTAAGTACAATCATCCGCTTGTCTAGTCTCGTACTAACCATTCCAAAGCCACGCTATTGGTGCAAACAGTGCAAGATCTTCATCCGCGATACGCCCTTTGAAAAGACCCAGCACGAAGCTAGCCCGAAACATCAAGGCAGCCTGAAGCGTTTCCTCAGACAAATCCACAACGACAATGAACAAAAACAGAGAGATTCACAGCGCGCAAAGAGCGAAGTCGAGCGATTACGACAGGCTGTCGGTGGCGGGTCCTCGACTGACAAAGATGGCGTCGCAAAACGAACCGCGGCCCCAGCCCCTAAAGCTGAAGATCGACCTGTCTCGCTAGAAGAGCGGAAGAAGCAGATGGCACAGCTTGCAGAAATGGGAGTCGCCATTCCCCAGGAATTCCGCGCGGATTTGGCTCTAGCAGGCGAATGGCAGACGACATCGGAGACCAGAATCGAGCCTGTGCAGGGGGGGTTAGAGGGTCCGACAAAGTCGGTCGGAGTACGCAAGCGCAAGCATGAAGGTGAAGGAGAAGAGGAGGATGAACATGCGTCTGAACCTGTTGTCAACAGAGGCTGGGGCTCGAGGATGAGACAATACCCTGGTGCACAAGAGGACGAGAGCCTGGATGACCTGCTTGCAAGCACCAAAGATATTACCAAAAAGAAGACGTTCACTCCGAAGGTTGAACTCAATGAGCAGGAGACAGCCAGCGAACAGCCCACCCCTATCGCAAAGCAAGAGGATGATGAAATCAAGCCCGAGCCCGAGGTTCCAAAGACGAGTGGGTTTGTCGAGGTTAAGACTGAGTTTAAGACAGAAGAGCCCGCTCGGACCTTGGCAGAAGAGACCGTTCAGACCTTGGATCCGGTCGCCGAAGATAAACAGCAGACTGCAGATGCAGCGCCTGACGTTGTCTTCAAAAAGCGCAAGCCGAAGGTGATGAGGAAATAGTAGCACTCTGAGATGTGGTGTCTACGCACCTTCTTTCCCATGCTTCAATTTGAAATACGAGCCCATCCCCCATCTTTGGAAGTGCCAAAAGATTATGGAGCCCTCACAGGTCCAACTTCACACTGTTGACCTGTTGCCCCACAAGTCTGCAATCAGTTGCGCGAAGCCACTGATACAGAATGCAGGACTTCCGCTGTTTCATGTGATATGGACGAGGAATGAAGACCTCGAAGTCTTCGGAAAATGAGACTCATGTGCAAGATCGGGCTCCTACGACGTGCTCGGCGAACCATTCGCAGGGGGATCATGTGCAACGCTGAGCCCTATTCGTTGTGGGAATTGGGTTAGTTGTCTATTCTGATAATTGTCTCTCCGACCTCGTCTACAGGAATACATGCATCTTCCGAAGCATCAGCCCTTGGATATAGGGGGTGGGTGCATCATGCAATCGCCTTGGTCTGGCAAGACAATCTATGTATAGCCGGGCTCCATAGATCTGGACTGAAAAGGCCGAAGTGCAAAACTATGAGCCTTATATTAGTTGATTTGAATGAAGATTATTGACTACCAAACTAGTAAGAGAAAATAAAATCACATCCCAAGTAAATCCGCGTACTGAATTGCAAGTTGATGCCAATGTTGGGGTAGAAAGCGGTGTTGCCACTATGATTTTTTTTCGATCGCAATCAAAGCGGAGAGTTTCCATCGCCGGAAAGGAAAGCTTCCTTTAGCCTCTCTTTTGCGCGTGTCCTGGCCTCCAACCCTCGGATTTGTCCCTTCATTTGTTGATCTTACGTTTTATTTGATCTGATTCTGTTGATTTCCCCGGTAAGTCTGTGAAATTCGAGAAAGTCGTGATCCCCGCAGCCCTGTCAACCCGCCCGGTCCTTGCCATGCGCATCGTCCCCTCGCGCCGGAGCCTCAAACTGCCCTGTACGATACCAAGTCCAATATTCCTGCTGTCAAATGAGGCCACTGAGGACTTCACTCGAACTGGTGTATTCATAGGGGGATGTGGGATCTGCGAACAGTCATGGTTGCAATTTGAGGCTGGGAAACCACTGCGATCGCGACTTGCAAAACCTCAAATGGCCAGCAGCATATCTGAGACTGCTCCGAGCTGTCTATATCCTTGTTATAGGGCTTTGCACAAAGGAATTGTCTTTGCGCCCATTACAACAGCCTAGACTGGGTTGAGCACGCCGGTTGGGTTTAAAGGCGTGGAAATCGAGGACCTGCGCTAGCATGCTTCTTTCCTGCTCATGCTCATGATCGACATCGAGGGCTCTGCTTTTTACCACATCATGTCTTGCTGCGGGCTACTGGAGTCATTTTTGACAGAATACCTTGACTGACGATACTGGATTCTACAGATCACAGGGAATAAATGATTTCTAACTCCCCATCCGTCCGCCCTGGTGTGATTTCTTCGCTCAGCGATAAGCCAGACGACCTTTGACCTTATATTCGAATCCTCGACGTTTATTGAGACTTTGTGCTCGAAGCCTACTTACACGCACCCCACCGATATTCTTATCCCACCGAGACCTTCACTGGGAGGTTGTGAATCCCGATATGGCGGAGCCGACGGACTCGAGCGCCCCGCCTGGCGAATCCACCAACTCTGCGACGGAACCGAATGCGCCAGCTGCTGAGGCAGTCCAACCTTTAGCTCAAAATGAGCCCCCTCCAGTGGAGACAAATCAACCTTCGGCGGAAGTAAATCATGAACCAATACAGCATACAGAGCCTGAACGACCAGCAGAACCAGCGCAACCAATGGAGCCAGGGCAACCGACACAATCGGAAGAGCCAATTGCGCCAGCACAGCCCAAAGAATTCGCGGCGCCAGAACCGCCAGCAGAGCCAAGTCAGGCCGCCACAGGGCCAACACAGGATGCGAGCACATATCAAGCAGACGGAGCTAGCCAGCCAGCACAAGTTCCAGATGTGACACTACCATCTGTTGAATCGTCGCTTCCCGCGATTGAGTCGACCCTCCCACCTATGGACACATCACATACCTTTGATGATGCAGATCTTCACTCCTTCCACGGGTTGCCTTCTTTGGGTTCCTCTGCAGCTCCGGACATGTCGCTCCCTGCAATTGACACAACCCTTCCTTCGCTGGACCATTCCTTGCCAGCAATTGGAACCGATGATATTCCAACAATGGATGGCCATGACTTTGGTGATGGCAGTCATTTGGACCACCACGATTCGAATACTGGCACAGGAGACTCTACGGGGCCTGGGCACGACACGAACCAACACACTGGTGTAAACGGTGCATCTCACTACCATGCGCCAACCAACGGTTCCTACCAATATTCACACAGTCCTACACCCTCGCAGCAACCAGCAAGCCAGCAGTCACCGCAGACACATAACCAGCATCAATTCCAGACACAGCCGCAACATTATCAACAAAACGACATGTATCACAATTCTGGTGCTCAAGCGCAGGCACCTATCGGGTCACCGCTACCGAACAATATGCCACCGATGGCTTCGATGGGACAGTACATGACTGGTTATCCCTCCAATATGGGACAAGGAAATGCGCAAATGCGGTACCAACTGCCAGGAGATCCGAACAAGATGCTATCTGGCAATAGGCATAAGAAAGAAGTGAAGCGACGAACAAAGACTGGTTGTTTGACTTGTCGCAAACGTCGAATCAAGGTGAGTTTGAGTTGTAGTTCGCGGGGCGGGAGTCTCGCTTGTGCCCGCACCCCGCCCTTTTATTTTGTCCGCTTAATATCCACCGTCCCTCGACCTCTTTTTTTTCCCTTGTTGATTCACTTGAATTTACTTGATCAAGCTCTAACTTTCACTTAGTGCGACGAAGCACATCCTGTCTGCAGAAATTGCGTCAAAAGCAAACGTGAATGCTTGGGCTACGATCCTGTGTTTCGAACTCAAGCCTCTACACCATCGGCTATTCAACCAGCTCCTAATCCTCCACCTTCGCTGGTTGTCAATCCACAGGGTCCCTCTACCTCATCAGCACCATCATACCCTTCCTATCCTTCTGCGCCTCCTGGGTATATGCCCGCTTCGTCTCAACCATTCGCACCTTCCCTTCACTCTGAGTCGCCCAGTGCTTCCACGGACCAGCACGAGCACCGAGTTTCCATTGATTCTTCTCTGGCAGCAAGTAATCAACCAAATCATACAGACATGCAGAACACCGCTCCACGCCAACAGGGCTCAGAACCTGCATACAAAGGTGGGTCCAGCTCATAGTTTTGTTTCTTATCTGTGCATGAAGCATATGTCGCTAACAATCTTCCCCACCAGCCAAAAACCTCTACATAAATGACCTCTTCTCTTTGAGGGGGATTGCCCCTCCTCCTCCTCACCCCATCGCAACCCTCCCAGCCGGTCGCCTCGAAGAGATCCAAGCCGTATTCCTGGCTACCTATGCACCTGCGATTGACAAGCTCCTGGAGGTCCGCTGGTATTCAGAGAGTGCTCTCTCATTACTCATGGCTGATGCGCAGCTCATGGCGGATTATTCGGCTTTGATCAACGCGTTCAATGAGTGGAACCTTCAAGACGGCGAAACACTTGCTCGCCTAGAGAGCTTCGAGGCCTCGATTATCTGGAAAAGCATGTCATTATGTCGCCAGGTGCCAGATGGAGAAAACGCACAACAGGGTCGGGACTGGAATCTTTGTGTTGCTTGCGGGCGGTTAAACGTGGTGGAAGCATTGCTCACCTGGAACCACCTGGATTCAAACCCGTTGTCACGGGAGCTAGTCATGGATGCTGCCAACCCCCCGAACACCCCGGATCAGTTCCAGAGCCGCCAATTGGATTTCTGGGATCAGGTCGGAGAATTCCTTACACTTTATGACAACGAGGCAAGCTCTGCCAAGCAGATTGACGACACTCTTGGCCGGTGCCGACAATTGCTGGATACATACGAGAACCGCGACATCATCTATTCCATCTCTGTCGCACGTCATCTTGGACAGCGCTGGGCCGACTTCCCCAACAGCCTGCCCAAGGTGGGCTATACCACGGAGAAAGAGGCGGGAACTCGGCTCTTTGTTGCACAGAAGTTCCTCGAAGAGGAAGCCGAGGGCAAGGGCACAACCCAGATCTACAAGCGGATCTGCTGCATGGCAGTTCGCTCATGGTGGGTTGCTCGCGGGTAAATAACGCTGTGATCAACACACGCCTCGAGCGTATGCATTGCTCCATCCTACTCTCTTATATTCTTTGCATAATGGGTTCCCGTTTAAGAACCATTGCACCTTCTCTCGATCCTGCGTCCTCACAGTATCTTATCTTGTTTCTTTTGCGGTTGACAAACAAAAGCATCATGGGTCAGGCGTCTTGATATTCCTTTTTGCTGTTTTTTGTGGCTCCGGATGATACGGTCTCAATTATCTGCTCGTTTATAACTTACCGTTCATGCTTTCTATTGGGGTTTAGGGGACTGGGCAGTGAGCGAGGCACTATGGCGTTTTGGCCTTTTCTTCCTCCCCAACACGTGGATTCACATCGAGTCCACCTGTCTTTGTGTACATATTGATTAGATCAAATTCTATCACTCGGAACATTTCTTCTTTTCTGCTGTACACAGTAGTGGCTGTAGCCATCGCATGTTGCTGCTTTATTGGTATACTCCTTTATGCTACATAGATCATGCTCGACTATCAACTCCCGTGATCAAACCTGAAGTCTATGCAGGAAAATCCACCCAAGTCAAGGTTGCACCTTCTACTTTAGGAAGATTCGTACCTGCCCTATCAGTTCCCACAATGTCAGCTGATCTCGACTCGAATCCTAATCTCTCCCACTTCACCCTGGAACATGAATCCAATATCCCTCGTCGAATCAACCAGCTCAACCTCCCTGCGCACAAACCGGCTCGTATCAGGACCATCCCGGGCCTCAATCCCAGAGCCAACACCAGGTCTTTCCTCATCCTCACTATCTTCATCCCACTCAACCATGCCATCACCCGCCGCCTTCTCCACAGGATCCCACTCATCCGTCTCCCAAATCAACCGAAACCAAAACGCCGGCAGCCCAAAGAGCCGCGACACTAGCGCCTTAATCTGGTAAGTATCAAATGAGCCAGGGACCTCCTTGACAAGCCTCTTGGGCCCATCGTCGCCCGGTGGTAGATAAAACGCCATCTTAACAAGCCGCGCGGCAACAGACCGCGGATGGATAACTCTCGCCCCGGAGCCATCTGAAATAACGGCTCTTGTGATGGTCGGCTCGGCATAGAGCTCGCACAGCTCCCGGTACCGCGGGTGCGTGTCGAGAATAGCGGGTTCTTCTGCCTCGCTCGTGGCAGAGAGCTCCTTGCCGATGAGGGAGAGGTAGTACATTTCGGCGTTTGAGCGGTCTTGTGGGGAAATGGTGCTGTAGTTTAGGATTGTGAGGGATGGTGGGAAGCGAGAGAGGGTTAGCATGAACGCCTCGTCGACGGTCATTGGTTTGGAGGCTTCTGTGATTGTTGGTGGGAGGGGTGGGAGGTCGAAGAGGGGGTTGCCGGTTATTCGGAGGGTTGTTAGGGCTGGGAAGACGGTTGGAAGTTTGTTGAGGATTGCCCAGGAGGTGATTTTGTTGCGGGATATGTCGAGGGAGCGGAGAGTTGGTGGAAATTGGAAGTCTATGGTGTTGTCTGTTGGGTCTTTGTTCACGGTGGAGAGATTGTTGCCGCGGATGGAGAGGTGTTGGAGGTTGGGGAGTGCGGCGATATGGCGCAGGGCTGATAGTGAGGTTATCTCGTTGTGCTCGAGCGTTAGGGTTGTAATGGTGCTGGGGAGTGGACTGGTTAAGTCTGTGAGCTGGTTGGCGGATGCTGTAAGAGATGTCAAGTCTGGGAATCGAGATGCAATGGCAGTAATCTATGTTCAAAGTTAGGTTTGATCAAGATCATTGGCAATGAATATATGCATACTTCATCCCAGGTAAGTAGCGTGTCATCTAAATGTAGCTCCGTGATTCCATTGAAGGTCAGGTCATCCTCCAAAGGTAGAAATCGGTTTCCACTGGTTTCGAGTCAGCTCAGCCACGAATGTGTTCATAAATCCATAGACTCACTTGAGCTTTAGCCGTCTCAGATGCTTGAGCTGATCGCAGATATCCCAGACATCCCGCCACCGACTCAGCAAGCTGCGACCGAGATCGAGTTCCGTGATCTTGGGACAGGTTTCCCCAATCTTCCGCGCCTCTTCGCCATGCTCCTCCCGAGCCTGGTCATAAGAAGCAAGAACGCCGACAATCAGCAAGCCATCAAGTAAAACAATGCGCAAATCCTGTAGCTCAGCAAGCTGTTTCCGAATCTTCTCGAACCCAACTTCCTCAACGACTTTGCCACTGATCTCAATTGCCTTGGCTCGAGCAGCTGCCGCACCCAGCAAAGCGGCGTCCGCAAAGTCTTGCTCAGACTCAGAAGCATACTTCTCCCGCAGGGCTTCTAAGAAGCTCCGGGGTGGATCTGAAGGCCTGGAGGGGCGGACAAAAGACCCCGCTGTTGGATGTTTACTTTTGCCTGAGACCAAATCAGTAACTATTTCATGTCTATACAATTGAAGATACACTTACAGGAGAAGTATCTGACACTTCTATGTTCTCCTGAGTGCTTGCCTCGTGTTGCTTCGTCCCATTCGACTCCTAACCAGTCGCCGCTGGTTCCTTCAACGGGTCCCACATATCGGATGGTACACAAGTGGCCGTCGAATGACCGACGTTGGCCCACTGCTGGAACGCTCATCGCTCCAGTCAGGCTTAATATGTCGTTTGTCTTAAGTCACAACTCACAAGTGTTCTGGAGATGTTGCTTTGGCTGTGCTTCATAGTGTATGCATTGATTCGGCAGGCGGTGTGTAGAGGCATAAAGATAGATCTTTGCAGTTCAACCATCCAACAGGAAGGCGGTCGACGCCATACCGCCTCCTACATCGAACTCCTACCAGGTCCAGGTAAACCTCAGTCAACTTTCTCAGAGCTGATAAAACCGCCAGCATGGATTACCAGGTACGCAATCCCTCACCCCATCGCTTAAAGCCAAACCCCCTATCCAGCCATCTCCAAAAACTCTAAGACTAACCCAACCCCCCAGAACCGCGCAGGCTCCAAATTCGGCGGCGGCGGCGTCGCCTCCAAATCCGCCACGAACGCCGACAGACGCGAGCGTCTACGCCAACTCGCGCTGGAAACAATCGACATCGAAAAAGACCCCTACATATTCAAAAACCACCTCGGCAGCTTCGAATGCCGCCTCTGCCTAACAGTGCACCAAAACGACGGCTCCTACCTCGCCCACACCCAAGGCCGCAAGCACCAAACCAACCTCGCGCGACGCGCCGCGCGCGACGCCCGCGAAGGCAAAAATCAAGACCAGGCCTCCGCAGCCGTCGCGGGCGTGCAGGTCAAAAAGCAGCTGATTAAGATCGGACGACCGGGTTACAAGATTACCAAGATTCGGGATCCGTTGACGCGGCAGCATGGTTTGCTGTTTCAGTTGCAGTTTCAGGAGATTACGCCCGGCGTGGTGCCGAGAGTGAGGTTTATGTCGGCTTTTGAGCAGAAGGTGGAGAATCCCGATAATAGGTTCCAGTATTTGGTTGTTGCCGCGGAGCCGTATCAGACTTGTGGGTTTAAGTTGCAGGCTAAAGAGATTGATCGACGGGATGAGAGGTATTGGACTTGGTTTGATGAGGATAGTAAGGAGTTTTGGATTCAGATTTTGTTCAAGACGGAGAGGGAGGAGAGGTTTAGTGGTGTGCCCGGTTTGGCGCCCATGAAGAGCTGAGAAAATCAGCAAAGATGACGGTTTTTGTTGTTCATACGTCTGGCTGGCTCTTGTGAGGGTTGGTCTCTACGGTGGGAATCAGGATAGGCGTTTTGGGGGTTACTTTTTGTGCATAATATCTTATCTGATCCTCGAGCGACTCGCTTTTACGACATTTGATACTCAATCTCATGGCAGTGTGCCTAACCCAATGCTCGCAACTTGGTTCATGGGCACTTGGATGTGTGCAATGTGCAATGTACGATGTAGATGGCTGGGTATGTATATAGCCCAGAGAACAGTGAGAATAGCCATGGGCATTGAACACAGCCAAGTGACTGTTCTTCAGCAAGTATCGTATCCAGGTTCTACAGATCTTATATGTCTCATGGGCAGTATACCACTTGGTCGAGAAGAAAGCTGTAGTCGGAAAGAGTTCATTTTTCCTTAGGACGATCCTCGCCATCCTGAGATGTAATCAAAGCTGGAATTGCAACATAGCACACTCCTAATCAGCTAGCTCTCTCCAACCAGGAAAGAATGTTTTCGTTTCGACAGGATGCAAGCGTTAGATACACAAGCCGTATGTATCAACAACCGAAACAAGAAGATGGGTCATAATTTTAGAAAACAACATCGCGCTGATATGCTCAATGATAATGTGGAACAAGATGAAAACAGATCCGAGCTGTTTTCTCGCTGAAAAAAAGTACCATGGCGAAAACACCAAGGCAAGCCCTGCTTGCCTCCATTGTCCCGACGAATCGGCCAGTCTCGGAAACACAACCAAAGCTTAGTTGCTCTGGAAGGCATTGAAGGCCTTATAGGTGTAGCCGATGAAAGGCAAGCTCATCTCGGCTTCCTGCGACTCCGGCATGGCACGAGCCTGGGCACGGTAGATTGCGCTGGTATCCTCCTGGGGAATCTCGTCAATCGGGAAGTACGACACATCAATGTTGGAGCTGAGACGCGGCTCGAAGGGAGCACGGATGCCACGCAGTTGATCCCAAACTACTCCCCTGAAGAAGGGGTGGTTTTTGATCTGGGTGGCGCCGCCGTGTTGGCCGCCTTCGCTGCCAATGCGATGGTCCGGGTCACACAAGAAACTATTGAGTCAGTTAGCGGGTGTCCTCTTCTTGTTCTGTTCTTTCGTGCAGCCGAGGATTAGAACTTACCTCCGGATCAGCCCCTCGGAGTCACGGGAAAGGGTCAGTTCATCGGGGAAGTACAAGCACTCTCTCCAGTTGACGATTTTACGATAAGTGTCATTTGTGTCTTCAGCACAGAACGGAGGCCAGCCTACGAGACACTCGAACATGATAGCACCCACAGACCACCAGTCGCAGAGGTAAGTGTAACCCTGACCATTGAAGATCTCAGGAGCGATATAATCCGGAGTTCCAACGGTGGAATAAGCCATGGCCCGACGGGACTTCCTCCATGTGTTGATCTGACCGCGGTTGGACACCGTCAAATTGATAGCATCGTTGAAGTAGCCAGAGTTGCGATTCCGATCCTTGGAAGTGGAGTTCTTGAGGAGGTTCTGATAATAAGCGTTGTCGTGAGTCTTCTTGCCTCCAGTGGACAGACCGAAGTCAGTAAGCTTGACATGGCCACCACGGTCAAGCAAGATGTTGTCAGGTTTGATATCACTGCGTAAGAGATTGTCAGTATGAGATAATCGTGTGACGACATGGCTGGCACCAATAATTCAGAATTGCTTACCGGTGAAGGAAACCAAGTTTGTGTACGGCTTCAATTGCCATCACGACCTCGGCCATGTAGAACCGAGTGATATCCTCAGAGAAGATCTCATACTTGATCAACATTGTCATCAAATCACCACCAGGCAAGAACTCCATCAGCAGGTAAAGGTACGCAGCGTCCTGGAACGATGCGTGCAGCTTGACCAGCCATGGGTTGTCCTTCGAATCCGCCAAAATATCACGCTCAGCACGGACGTGGGCCAATTGATCCTTCTTGAACATCTCCGTCTTGATCAACGATTTGAGAGCGTAAATCTTGTTGTCGGTCTTGCGCCGCACGAGTTTGACCTCACCGAACGCACCCTTTCCAATAATCTTGATGGTCTGGAAGTTGGATGGTGTCTCCTTCGTGCGTAGGAATCGAAGGAAGTCGGACTCTCTCTTGGAAATCCCCTCAGCATCCTGACGCTTCTTCTCGACGGGAAGGTTGGGGTCAAAGACGATCTTGTCGAGTTCCGCAGAGCTGTACGAGTGAGAATAGTGAGTATGGACACCAGAATATGACCAGGATATGAGCTCAAAATTTCTTAGACTTACCGCACGTTACGGTCACGGGCCCGTTCAATACTATCCTGGAAAAACACAGTCACCACCTCCTTTGCAACCTTTCCTCGCTTGTGTACATTCTCTGAGTACCGATCGGGGAAACGTTGCAACTCTTCATTCTCAGAGGGTGGGCGGGGGCTGCGAGGGACCGGGGGAATTAGGTGTGATTGTTGGCCGGGCGCTTGAGTGGGGGTGCCGCCAGCGGTGCGAGGCCGCTGTGCTGGGGCAGCAGTCCTGTTGTTGTTGTAAAACCCTGCACGGTTTGCATTAAGGTCCTGGTTGGAGAATTGCTGGATCAGACCGTTGGTACCATCGGGGTAACCGGGGCGCGTTTGGTAGGCAGGCTGGGGTGATTGCAATGCTTGCTGTTGCGCGTATTGCTGTTGCTGAGCATACTGTGCCTGCACCTGGGGTGGGTAGTGGCTGGGCAGAAAATAGCCTGGGGCGTAAGCTGGGTTAGAGGGGTCGACATAATCCTGAGCCCCCTGAGTTTGATAGATGGGTTGGGGGAATGCGGAGGGGGTGGTGGGATAGGCGCGGTTGTTGGCATTGTAGTTGCGGTCGTAACCATAATTCATGTTATTACGGTTGTTGTTGTTATTGGGATCCATCTTGTAAGCTTCGTCCCAACTTGTGTGGTGAAGACGGTAAAGAAGTTGAGGCGGAATTTAAGAGGGCGGGGAGTTTAAAGAAGCGGTGGCTCAGGAGGCAATCTAGCCCCAGCCTGACTGGTTGGCTTTTGTTTACGCTTAGCTCGTGAAACACCTCTATGTACACAGTACTCCTAGAGGTCTGTGATTCTTTTTAAGAGCCAATTAATATTTTGAAACTCTTGACTAGAGATTTTATGTGATCACTGTTGTATTGGAGTGTGCTAAGGTCTTGGATGGTCTGATGCGTACTCCAATGTACTCCCAAGTTGATCCTATTCCACATATCCACTCACTCACAGTCACAAGTCACAACACCCAGTGGATCACAGATAGATGTCTGACAGCTTTTTGGGAAAGTGTCTCTGGAATCCAGGGGGAGGGGCACTGTGTATAGGTACCTAAGTACTTTGGCATGTTGCGATAGGTCTCGAATTTCAGTGTGGACTGTCAATGCACGAGAGGCCCTCACGACATAATTGAGTCGTCTTCACCTGACAACTGGTGCTCTTAGAGACTTTGACTGTCTTTCTGTGCGTGTCCTTGAACTATGGGTTCACTAAGGCCGAACTAAAGCCCAATGAAGGGTCTGAAGTTGCATACAGTGTGGCTGGGCAGTACCATCCTGTGTATTTCATCGACATCGTGGAGTTAACCTCGACAAATGCAGAGGCAAAAGAATGGTCCAATGGAGTGATAGAATCAACAGGCTTCATGAGCCCGCAACAGCACTCAAGTCTCAAATCTCATTGAAGTCGACAGGGAAGACATGAATCAGCCGCCATTTATATGATTTCACGTGACTGCGGATTAAGGTTGCCCCGGGTCAACAATTTTCCCCGAACGAGCATGTGTCGGGCGGACTTTATTTGAACATTCAGACCACTTTCACCAGTATACAGCCCAATGGCAGACTCCTCAAGCTCTGCTGCGCCCTCGGGCGCTGCAAAGCCCAAGGCGGCTCCGAAGCCGCCTAACCCTGCCTTCAAGATGATGGGTATGGATGGCGTCGTTGCCCAGATTTATGGCCACAGGATACTAACACCGTTGTTTCAACAGGTCTCCCGAATATGCGCTTCAAACTGCCCTCCCGCAACTGGATGATCTTCCTCACAATCACAGGATCGTTCGCCGGTACTCTTATGTACGACCGTCGCGAGAAACGCCGAGTGCAACAAAAATGGTCGGAGCTCGTGGCTCACATCTCAAAAGAATCTCTGCCGATTGACCAAATGCGCCGGAAACTGACGGTGTATCTGGCTGCGCCCCCCGGAGATGGCCTGCGCGTCGCTCGAGACCATTTCAAGGAATACGTCAAGCCGATACTCGTGGCCGCGGCTTTGGACTACACTGTCGTCGAAGGGCGTCGGGAGGGCGAGGTGAGAGCTAGCACGGCAGAGAGCATCCGTAAGCTGCGCCGGAAGGCCGGCGAGCCCAGCTCAGCCGTCGAAGAAACCGGTGTGGAGGCGGTTGTCGCTGCTACCCGGGCAGGCATGGGAATCCGCGACGAGCCAGGCACAAAGGGCGACTTGGTCATTGGCCGACACACCTGGAAAGAGTATATTCGGGGCTTGCATGAGGGATGGCTTGGTCCTTTGGATGCCCCAGCTCCACCTCAAGAGGAGCTGCCGGTGGATACTCTCGAGACCGCTAGCGCGGAGCAACCCGCTGGTCTCATGAACCCCGAGGTCGCAACCATCGATTCCCCCGAGTTCTCCGAAGACGCAAAACCAGAGACACCCGAGACCGAGGCCGAGGAACCCAAGAAGGAAGAAGAAAAAGAAAAGAAGCCCGCAGGCCCTACTCCCGCATACATCTATCCCTCCGAATACTCGTCCGCCAGCCTCCCCCCTTCTCTCCCCCAGTCCTTCGACAGCTCCATCCCCGTTGAATTCCCCCACCTTCTCGGCTTCCTGAACACTCCCATCCGAATTTACCGCTTCCTCACACAACGATACCTTGCCGAGGACGTCGGCCGCGACGTTGCCGCACTCGTCCTTGCCAATAGCTCCCGTCCATACCGCGATGACGCATTCAGTGCAGACTCCGAACCCACGGCTGCCAGCATCGACTCCACTCCATCTCCCGACAGCTCGTTCGCCGATCTCTCCCCTCGCAACTACGAGCAGCAGACCGTGATGCAGGCTGCCGAGAAGGAGTGGCACAAGTCTGTGCACAAGCGCGAAGAAGACGAGAAGGAGCGCGAGTGGCTCGACGATGTCGTGCTCGATCCGCGCATTGCCTCGCGCATGCAGCGCGCCATTCTCTCTCCGGAAGACGAGGCTCGCTCCCAGCGCCTTGCTCAGCAACAGGAGTACATCCTGGGCGAAGAGCGTCCGGCTCCCGTTCCTTTCTGGAAGCGCATGTGGATTAAGTACGGCAATGGTGAGAGTGAAGAGGACCTGCGACGCAAGCCCATTCTTGGCAACCTTGACGGTGAAGATGGACAGTAAAGCGATATTCCACGGTTTGAAGTTTGAAACATGTTCATTTACTAGAACGCTTACGGGATGGCATTGTTGAGTACGGCATGTGTTCGTCTTTTTCGTTTAGCATATTGTGACTCCCTCCTCGGCTTGTATATTAAAGGCGCTTTTTGATATTTTGATGTCTCCGTTTAGAAATGTACATTGATAACGGTATTTTCCAAGTTTGAAGTTTGATTGTTCTACATGTAGCCCTCTTTTTGGCAGTGAACACTGACACATTATCACCTCTGTATCTCCTGCTTGGCCTCGGCCAATATCAGAGTAGATTCCCCCTCGTCTTTCTCTATATTTTCGTTACAACCCCTCACCCCCAAGATCCGAACTTCTGCAATTGCTTTATATCGCTAGACGGCTAGGCAATTCATGATCGGAGCGGGCATTGGAATGGGAGTCCGCATGACCCCCCATCCATATCAAATCAGTTCAGCACAAAGACGGAAGACTCTGGCCACTTCTTGCTAGCCTTCTCGGCGTATGCAGTCTTTTCGCTGCCCCACTTATCCAAAACATCCAAGCCGGCGATAGCCTCGTCAATGGTAATATCGGACGAATCGAGAGTAGCAAGCAGGTCTTGCTCACATTGCGACTTGGACTCCGGCTTCAGGAGTTGGCGGCCAGACAAGCCGGCGTGCACGTGTGAGACGCTGCCCTTGTTAGCAGAGAGGTAAGACTCGTTCCACTCTTCAAGATTCTGGGATTTCGGGAGCAGCTTGTCGAATTCGGCATTGACTACTTCGGCGACCGGCTCGGGAAGAGGCTCGGAGAGGCTATCGAGAGACTGACGGAAGCGAAGCAATTGAAGGTGTAGAGTGGGGTTGGAGGGATCAATGGAGTGAGCGGCGGCAAGGCACTTGACGGCGAGGAGGTGCTTGTCTATAATCCTATTAGCATAGGTTCCTTGGCAGGAACTACTGAATCAACTTACTTCTCCTAGAGTGGACCTCGAAGCCGAGGCATTGGGCTTCGACGTTCTGGGGGCTGGACTCAAGTAGTGGCGTCAGGAACTTCAAGACATCCTTCATGGGATCCTGGGTCTGGACCAAGTTGTTGCCCATAGGATCGGGATCTTCCGTCTTGGTCTCTCCGTCCGCACTCTTGGCATTGGCGGCAGCCGCCTTCCTTGCTGCACGTTTATCGGCTTCGAGTTTCTCCAAGCGCTGCTGCTCCTTCTTGGCCTTCTTGAGAGCCTTCTTTCTCTGGTTCTCGTCGGTTGAGTCGAGTCCATTGACTCCGCTGGGAATAGGTCCATGCACAAGGTCCGGCTGGTCGTGAAGAAGAAGGTGGGCCTTGACAGCTCCAATGGCCATCCGTGTGTAGAAGGGGTGCTCGCGCAGGCGATCTTCCCAGCGAATCATATCAACGTAGGCTCGGATCATGCCCTTGCGGAGAGAGAAGCCGTGGAAGTCGAACTGGTCTTCTTGCCAAGTGTCGAAAATGTTGTAAACTGAATGGAAGCGCTTCAGGGCGAGACCCAGCTTCTTCTGTCGGAGGAACGCCTCGGCATCCTCAGTCAAGAACCAGGTGCACTGCATCTCGTGAAGATCACCCAAAGTGCCACCGACGGTCTCGTTGCGCGTAAATTTGCTCATGAGGTCCAGAGCCTTCTCGTTATCGTTGTTTCGGAGCGCGTATTTGGCCGCCTTGGTGTTGATGTGGCGATCCTTCTCATCCAGCAGTCGAGCCTTCTCCATCTCCTCTGCTGCCTTTTCGGGGTTTCCGTAGTGCTTCCAGATTCGCGCCTTGGTCATATGATATTCCACGGCCTTTGGTGACAGCTCAATGGCTTTCTCAACATTCTCCATAGCCTTAGAGAGGTTGCGGCTGAGGTGGTAGTTGTAGTGTTGAGCGAGGAAGTAGTATGTGCTTGATAGGAATTCGTTGTGCTTATCATCCCCGTTTGATTCCGCGGACCCGTTCGCTGCCTCCCCGGAAAGATATCCTTCTACCAACCCTTGTACGACGTCACGCTTGGCTGGGTTGACGTAGAGGTTCTTGATATTCACAAATAATGAAGGAACGCCCTTCTTCAGCATGCGCTGCAAGTAGGCGTCGGCGGCCTGCTTGAACTCATCACCTTCAAGGAAATCAAGAGGGATGCGACGAGCGGCATCACAGCGGGGGTTCTTCTCCACCCACTCGTCGTATAGAGTCTTCAATGCCTTGTGGTCGGTCTCAGCAATACCCTTGGCCAGAATCAATCCATTGTAGTAGATGGAGTTATCCGGGTTGCGCTCCAGGAGAGCTGTATATGCCGCCTCCGCGTCGGCCTTGCGGCCTAATCGCAAAAGGTAATCCGCCTTCATCTCCATGACGGCGAGCACATCGGTGCATCGGTATCCAACAGCCTCGAGGTGTTCTAGGGCTCTCTCAATATCTCCAGTCTCCGCGATGATGCTATTCTTGTACAAAGTGGCCTCTGAATTCTCCATATCGGCGACGTGCGGTACCGCACCCTTCAGTGTGTCCTCGTAGGTGGTCAGAACCTTCTCAGCCTCAGCCAAATCTCCGGCCAAGTGATGAGCGATCGCAAGCGCGGTCCAGTTCTGGCGGAATGCCGGCCGAGCCTGCAGCATCGCACTGCGACTCCGGATGTATCCCTGGTAATCCCGCATTTGCATCTGGAGCAGTGCCAGGTCACGCTGAATGGGCTGCGATTCGGGCTCAAGGCGCAGAGCAAATCGGTATGCCTTGATGGCCTCCTCATAGTTCTTCTCCTGGCGCAATAGCAACCCATACACATGCCAGGTGATATGCGACTTCATGTCATTCTGGAGAGCCTTCTTGGCGAGTGCAAAGGCCTCTTCCATTTGTCCAATTTGACTCATATTCAAAGCCTTCATGGCTTGTGTATCGCCATGTTTGGGGTTTTTGCGAAGGACCTGATCTGCTGTCTTGATGCCTATGCAAAAGTAAAACGTGGTTAGACAGGTTTTAGGTTGGGGCGACACCAAACCTACCTTTCTTATACTGTTTCATCTCAAAGTGGTGAACCACTTGACGAAACAAGGATTGGTCCTTGGAGCTCAATGTTTCCGGCATGATGGGCGATGCTGACGTCGACGGACCTGACTTGTGCGAGTGAGGAATCGATGTGTGCGGGGGACGACTTCTCCGAGTCCGATCTTGGCAAGGCTACCGGGCCGATAAGATAGCATCGAACTTCAGGAACACAGGCGATTTTAGGTTTTATACTACGCTGAAGCACTGGAGGGCATTGAATTTAAGGCTGCAGTTGTATGCTCCGGTTATGTATGGCGGTCAAACTACTGCCCCGTGAATGTACATGTGGTGATATAGCGTATCGTATATACTATTTCCAATCCTGCAGAGTAGCAGAGCGACCTTGAAACCTTGGAATGCATATTTTCCTTTCCTATATATTGCTACGGCGTACTGTTACTTTTATAGGCCACTGTTATCTATGTACTTCCCTATAGTGTTGCAGTGATGAAGCTTCATACGCTCAAGAAAATCACGGTAAGCTGTTTAGATGTACATTGGGCAAAGACCCCGGTCTAAAGAAGAGTTGAGTAGTATGTGACGATCCCGTGTCTGTATACAGTGGCATACCCCTACTAGAAAAATTACTTCTGATGAGTGTGCCGCCAGTTATCGAGAGCTTCTTGCCATGAAGAAGGGCCATTGCACTTTTCCGACACCAAACCCCACGTTCGGGCCCGCACGATCTCTTCAATGGTGCGCTCATTGCGAATCAAATTGGCCAATGATTCAGTGCGTGCCTCACGCGGAAAGAAGCGACCAGAATACGGGTCCAAGCGTTCATCGACTACTCGTTCCCGGTCACGGGCGGATTCCGTCTCCCGCAGAATCAAGTCGGGATCTTCGGGATCCGGACTCGTTGCCACACCAGCGCAGTAAGTGAGAGCATCTGATCTTGTTTGCCATGATGGGAACAGCACCTTATCCTTGAAGCTCTGACAGGCCTCCGGCTGGATTGTTCTTCGTGGCCTAGACTCAGTGTGACGCGCGGCTGTTGAAGACGGGTCAAAACCTGCCTGGGCAGGTGTAATCAGAGCATTGAGGTTTTGCGTAATCGAGTCATCGATGGTAGACCGTGAAAGACGAAGAAAGTCTGAGCAACAGACAGGAAAGTCAACATAAGCCGGTTCTGAGACGCCACTTGGAAACATACCTCTGAATAGTCGCTCGTCAAAGCAGAACCGAGGACTCAGCGCCGGCGCCGCCGTTGATGAGGCTTGTGACATCCTCCCACGGGTTTCCTCCCCGATGTCTTGATTCGACTTAGTCCAGAACCACTCCAGTTTGAATGGAAGGCAAGAGTGACGCTGTTGATAGATATTGGCGGCTCGGTGGCGTCGTGTAGAGCTGGAAATGTCAATCGAACAATCAATGGAGCCCAGTTCAATCCTTTATTATTCGCGCAAGAAACCGTATTGGAACTCGTTGGTGAAAACTGTCCAAGCAAAGCATCGGCGAACAGCCCGAGAACCTTCCGAGCCACCGAGGTCGTCATCCTATGGCCATTTTGGGACTAGTCCATCCAATTATCAGCACGTGACAACGCGCGCGTGTTTATCGCGTCGCTGCTTATGCCAGGTTGTCAGACAAAAGCACTCGCATTTGACTCGCATTCATTTGAAGTCATTCTTGCATGTTCTTAGCGCTGCTACTTGATACTACATATCAAAATGCCCGAGTTAGCAGAGATCCACCGCATTGTGCATTTCATTCGTGAGCATCTTGTTGGGAAGACACTCTCGAAAGTACAAGCACAGCATGACGACATTGTATTTGGCAAAGTTGGCACCAGTGCCGCCGAATTTCAGAAGGCAATGCAAGGGAAGAAGGTTGTGGGAGCAGGCCAGCAAGGCAAATACTTCTGGATGACGATGTCTTCACCACCGCACGCCGTGATGCACTTCGGTATGGCTGGCTGGTTGAAAATCAGGGATGCCGACACCTATTATTATCGGTCTGACAAGCCTGGCGATGAGGAATGGCCTCCTAAGTATTGGAAGTTCTTGCTGGAGACAAGTGACGAGGTGAAAACAGAGGCAGCATTTGTGGATGCCCGCAGACTTGCTCGCATTAGGCTGGTGGATTGTCCGGCCGATGAGATTCGAAGCCATACACCCCTGAAGGAGAATGGACCTGATCCAGTCACCGATAAGGACATTGTGAATGAATCATGGCTGACAGAGAAGCTGGGGAAGAAGAAAGTACCGATTAAGGCTTTGCTGCTCGACCAAGCAAATATCAGCGGAATTGGAAATTGGATGGGGTAGGTCATTCGACCAGCCAAACTCGGCAGAGCCACAGACACTAATCTATTTTAGCGATGAGATCCTCTATCATGCCAAGATACACCCAGAGCAATACAGCAATACTCTGAAAGAAGAACAGATCAAGGAGCTACACACCGCCATTCACTATGTCTGCTCGACATCTATCGGTGTACTGGCAGATTCAGAAAAGTTCCCCGAGCACTGGCTTTTCAAACACCGATGGGGCAAAGGGAAGAAGAACCACTTGAATGCCCTTCCCAACGGCGACAAGATCAGTTTCCTTACCGTTGGAGGCCGGACCAGTGCCGTTGTTCCAGCTGTCCAGAAAAAGACTGGCGCTGTCGCCAAGGATATTGAAGAAGATGCTACACCATCCACACCGGCCAATTCGAAACGGAGACGTGTCGCCCCAAAGAAGGAAAGCGAATCGGAAGTGGAGGAGAGTCAGACAAAGAAGCGGGTGACTTCAAAGCAAAAGAAGCCGGTTATGAAGACTGAGGATTCCGATGAGGAGAAGACAAAGCCTGCTGTTGTTGGCAGAAGACGATCTACCCGTATAACAAAGTGATCTGCCCTCATATGTAAGTAGTGACGAGGTTGAGAAACCGTTTATCCACATTGAATTTCCCGATTAATTGGCACATTTACTACAAGTAGTCATGTTGATACGCTATCAAACGATGTTGGCTTTTCAATTTAACTCAGCAACGAATACACTGACTGCTATTGGAGCATCTATACAAACTGCTATCCACAAGTTCTCGAACATCTAACAAGTAGCCTCATCCTTGCTCTCTCCTGTCTACCCGGGTTCATTGGCCGTATCGTCTCGATCCTATCCGTAATATAGTCAGTCACTGTTCCAACTTCCACATTCCATGACACGGACACACCTTGAAGTTGGAGCAATCATCGCAATCCACTACCGTTTTTCGAAGGTTTGAGCCCCCTAACATGCTCTGCTGATTTACACCGCATTCACATATGAAATACCTAAACAGTCCCAACTGTTTCCCGGAGATCAACGAAAACAAAAGCAGACCTGGGAGCCCTAGGCGCTGCTCGCCCCAGTCCCCGGAGTTGGAGGCTCGTCTGGCCCTGGCATGGCCAGACCATGCAGAATTTTCTTGAAAGTTGGGAAATTGACAGGTTTCCTCGCGTCTTTGATGATAAACCAAATCCGCTCAAACCATCCACTGAATTCAGATTCTTGAAGAACTGTTTTCCAACAGTTGGCCACCTCCCGGGGAGGATGGCCATAGGCTCCACATCCCAGGGCCCCGAGAGCCAAGTGGCGGTGACGCATCTGGCCTGCTGCGCGTAGGATGAGTCGCATTTTCTTTCTCATCAAGTCTCTGGTAGCTTCGGATTTGTAGACTCCGTCGGTCAAGGGAGGTTTATACTGCGCTGCCATGCTAACAACACTCACGACCACAAAGTGGTCCATCATTTCATAATTACTCTCCACATTTTTGCGGAAAATAAACACTTGCGGTGAATAGATCCCCTCCATCTCTCCCATCGGGTAGAGCCGTGCTCTCTTTTCCACAAGACTCGCAGAGAGAGTGCTTCGGTAGAAAAGCTGTTCCTCCTGTGCTGATTTACCCTTGAGCCAGCCTCCGCCGGCCGTTTTGGCATTGGCAAAGTTAAGAACACATACCGGCCCGCGATTCTTGCCAGACATCTCGATGGCTCGATCAAACGTGTCTCCCTTCACAACTTGAACAACTGTCTTCAATTTGGGAAATCTCGGGTCTTTGGGGTCCAGGGAAGGCGCGCTTTTCTTGTCTATCTTACAAGCATAAGATGTAAATTGGGTTTTTTGGGGTGTTCGCAATATCCTTCGTTTGACGCATGGTTTCTGCAATCGCATCTGGTGTAGCTCCATAGTCTTCATTGACATTGGATACTTTTGGCGGCTTTTCAGACATGTTTTCTGTCGGCAAGAAGACGTAGATATGGTAGAACAGTCAACAGTGGACAAGAAGTCATGTTGAGACTGACAAGTGTGTGTCAGTCCCTTTATAGCTTATCTCTACACCCGAGGGCTACATTTGGCTACGTAGACGTCGTGGAAGCCAAAGCGGATATTTGGCAGAGCACGAGGATTCGAACGTCGAACAAAAGAAAGTGGAAGTTGAAAGGAGATTGACGCCAGAAATAGTAGACGCTTTGTTCATAGTTCCATTTCGGCCAATCAGATTGGTTGCCACTCGCATAAGGCGGTGGGCTTATCTCCGATCACGCCACCATGACAAAGCGGGCAACGCCGTTGGCTCGCCTTTGGATGAACTATTCTGATCCTTAGCATTCTTTGTCCTACTTCTCGGTAACAGACTCGCCTCTTTGAGCCATACTCGTTCTCTTCATTCAGGGTCGCCCAAAGCAGTACCCACCAAGATGAGCGCGATCCTGTCAGCAGACGACTTGAATGATTTCATCTCGCCGGGGGTCGCGTGTATCAAACCAGTTGAAACACTTCCACAGAAATCGACAGCGAATCAAGAGGTATGTCTGCTACTTATCTCATCTTGAATGCGTGACTTCGATTATCTTTTACTAACTTGCTAATTATAGCACACTTATGAAGTGACAACGGAAGACAAAGTTCAGCCCGAGGATCTACCACCCGCCCAGATTTCTTTAACGGACTGCCTCGCGTGCTCTGGCTGCGTTACCTCTGCCGAAGCAGTGTTGATTTCACTCCAGTCTCACGCAGAGGTTCTCAATGTCCTTGACGCTTACCCAGAAATTCCTTTGACGCATGAGCACCATGGAACGGCAATCAATGAATTCGAAGACTCCGGAGAGAGCAAGATCTTTGTGGCCAGCGTCAGCCCACAAGTCAGAGCAAGTCTGGCAGCAGCCTACGGAATTTCAGAGAAAGAAGCGGGGTACATAGTCGACCAGTTACTCAGTGGTCCGCAGGGCTTGCGAAGTGGAGGCAAACACGGCAGTGGGTTTACCTGGGTTGTAGACACCAATGCTATGCGGGAATCCGTGCTGGTGCTCACCGCAGACGAGGTATCGGACTCTCTCGACTCGCAGGACTCGACGGCAGCGGGCCAGACAGATGACTCTCTTGCCAAACGACCTATATTATCATCAGCATGTCCTGGGTGGATTTGTTACGCTGAAAAGACACACCCTTTCATTCTTCCACACCTTTCTCGACTCAAGTCCCCACAGGCTCTGTCGGGTACATTCCTCAAGACCGTTTTGAGCAAGTCCCTCGGAATTCACCCTTCTCGGATATGGCATTTAGCAGTCATGCCATGCTTCGACAAGAAGCTGGAAGCCAGTCGAGAGGAACTCACAGATGTGTCATGGCGACACGAAGATACATCGGACTCTGCAGCACCGCCAGTTCGCGACGTAGACTGTGTGATTACTGCTCGTGAGCTTCTGACTTTAGCTTCGTCTCGGGGAACCTCGTTGCGAACCCTGCCCTTGCAACCTCTACCCTCATATTTTACCCCACCCTTCCCCGAGAGAAGCCTCGAATCTTTTGTCTCCAAGGTATCTCGCGCAGAACAATCGCTTGCCACAGGTACCTCTGGAGGTTATCTGCACCATGTCCTCATGAACTTCCAAGCTCGCAACCCGGGCAGTGAACTTGTGATCAACCGCGGACGCAACGTCGATGTTGTAGAGTACGTGCTCATGTCCCAAGAGAAGCAACCCATCTTAAAAGCGGCTCGCTACTACGGCTTCCGAAACATCCAGAACCTCGTACGGAAGCTCAAGCCCGCGCGAGTATCGCGGCTTCCCGGCGCAAAACCCACCGTCAGACCCGCCGCAGGTCGGCGCCAGCCGGTGTCCCGCAATGTTGCGTCCACAGGCGGCTCGGGATCGGACTATGCCTATGTGGAAGTCATGGCCTGCCCTGGTGGGTGCACGAACGGCGGTGGCCAGATTCGAGTGGAGGATGCCAGAGAGGTCCTTGGTCCTTCTCAGGGAGAGCCGCTAGATGCGTCTATCAAGCCATCACCACACGAGCAGCGTGCATGGCTTGCTCGTGTTGACGAGGCATACTATTCCATGGAATCTGAGTCCGAGGCTGAGATGGAGCCCGAGACTCGACTTCCATTAGCTAAAAAGGAGGCCAAAATTCACGATGACTTGCAGCGCTGGTCAGACTATATGGATATCCCGCTCTCCAAGCTCGTCTACACTACCTACCGCAAGGTAGAAAGTGATGTTGGCAAGGATCAAACACCGGCCAACGATACTAGTCGCGTTGTGGAGCTTGCAGGCAAGATTGGGGGCGGTTGGTAGATTATCATCATCATCATCTGATTATGTATATTGCGAGATCCAGTCTTCACTGGGTTTCTCGTTGCTGCATTTGCATGGCGCCGGGATTTGATTTTTCTTGCATGTCGCTACGAGATATACCATATTTGCATTTTTTGAAGTCATGACTGTATTTTATCATGGCTTGGAACATAGAAATTAGGCGTGCCGCCCTGAATGAAATATACGAATCTCATTTACAAGCCATCAAAACATAGAAAAAGAGGTTGTAATCTGGGTAGACTCTTCATACTTCCCAATCGGGCCCGGAGGCCAATACGTGCTGACTAATCATTCAGATGTGCAAATGACTAAGCACCTAAAATCGGGCGGTCCGCGCTCTAGAAAGAAAAAGAATCGAAGAACCTCAACCTACAAGCTAAAATACTCCGAACACCACACCTCTTTTCCTCCAACGACCGCGCCCAGCTCAAGCACAACAAGTTACCATCAAAAACCCACCCCGCTACAAACACCCAGCAATGTCTCGCGAAGCCTACCAAGTCCCCGCAACGGGCACCCAGAGCAACTTCGACACCCAGGGCGGAGGTTTCGGCAGCGCCATGGCCATCGACAGTCCGACAGTCACCTACCTGTGCGGCGAATGCTCTGCGCGCGTTCCCCTGAAGCGCGGCGACCAGATTCGCTGCAAGGACTGCGGTCACCGTGTTCTGTACAAGGAGCGGACGAAGCGGTAAGATTTTCCTGGATGAAATAATGCGATACGCGCGGCTTGAACTTGGGGCTGACATGGTCTTTTTGGGGGGTTGTAGTATGGTTCAGTTCCAGGCTCGGTAAATGCTCTTGTTCGTGGCGACGTGAATTAGAACCTATAATCAGGTTGCGATGGAACTGGCGGAGTTGGGGACGGACGAGGCCTGAGGGAGCGGTTTTCTTTGGGTTCGGACTTGATGTCTGGTGATTATTTGACGAATTTGCATACTATGGCGCTTTGGGATTCCAGTTTTCTTTTGAGATCAGTCTGCGAGCATGTGATGTGTTGTGCTGATTGTGTTCTACTGTCCGGATTTGATCTCGGATGAGAGGCTTCGGCTTACTTCAACAATCATATTCTGCTTCCGGGGAATCAAATATCTCTCTTTTTTGGAGTGTAAATCTAGCAACCCGAAATACTTGCACATTCAAATGTACAGAAAGTGCACCAATCACATCAAACGAAAGCACGCATGCTTAAATCAACCGAAAAGCTCCTTGGACCAGACGAGATCAGATCATGACACATCCAATCCATACATACAGTATACCTAGATACTCAACATTTACTCAACATGCTTTTTAGAGCTGGTTAGTCACTTCAACGAATCGCTCCAAGTTCTTCAAAGACTCTCCGCTTTCAATTGCCCAACGTGCGCGGCGCACGCCTTCTTTCCAGCGGCCTCCGCCAGGGCCACGTTCGGTGATGACCTTGCCATCGTCCCCAGGTCCCATGTTGCTGGTCTCGGCCTCACAAATACCGGAGGTGACGAGTAGACCTGCTACGTTCATGAGAACGAACTCCAAAATGGGGTCATCCCGTGGCAGCTCGTTCCGGAGGATGCTCATTAGCTTGGCCGCATTGTCCTTGGGCATCTTGCGTCCACCCACTTCACTGAGAGGATGGCTAGAGAGGCCAAAGTCCGATGGCTGGAGCTGGAATGTGTCGACCTTGACCAATGTCCGGGGGTTGCTGCTGTCGTCCTCATCTGAATCCTCTCCGTCTTGTGACGGCTTGTAATCAGGGTTCGGGTATTCTGAAAGCCTCCAGCAGTTTGTTTTTCCAGCGCAGCTGATCTCGTCCATGTCTTCTAAGCCACATACAATCATGGCTTTCTTCGCTCCACTCTGTTTGAAGGCTTCTGCGAATACCGGACCCAGGCTCTGGTATGCCACACCAATCACACGAGCTTCCAGCGCCCAGTCGACGGGGTTGGCCAAAGGACCCATTAGGTTGAAGATTGTTCGGAGACCGAGACCTCTGCGGACGGGGTTCGAGTGCACCATTCCCGGGTGGAAGTTCGGGGCAAACAAGAACGAATAGTTGGTCTTCTCATAGACCTTTGCGAGGTTCTCAGCCTTTACGGCAGCAATCTTGGGCGGTATGGGCTGAATGGCACTGAGGACGTCGGCGGCTCCCGAGGTCGATGTTTGAGCGCGGTTTCCATGCTTGGCGGTCAACAGAAGGGGCGAGGCGACGATTGAGGAGGTCGTAGAGATGTTGAAGGTTGAGTGAGAATCTCCTCCGGTGCCAACAATATCACACTAGACAAAACGGCCTGTTAACAAAGTTCAATGGCAACATCAACGAGGGCGTTCGTACCAATCCACCCTTATAGTTTCCTTCCGCCATTCCACGAGATTCAATGATCTTGTTGATTGGCTCTTTTTCCACCCGGCAGGCAGCCTCTCGCATGCAGTGAGAGCATTTCGCAATCACGTCCGCCTCTCTGTCCTTGCCGGTCGAGTGAAGCAGTGTGAGGAGAGCAGCGAGCTGGATTTGAGAGAGCCGGTTCTCAAAAATCAAAGCAAAAGCAGAAGCGATCTCCTCTGCACTGACTGCAGGGAGATCTTCTGCGCTCACGCGAATACCTGCTGCCGCGGGGTAGGCAAGGCGTCGAAGTAGTGGAGAGATCGAAATGGTCTCGGGATGCTCAGACGCGGGAGCTGTAGGTGTCGCCATTATTGCGATTTTGGGATAATTATATTTCCACGGGGTCCTGTAAGTGCCGACGAGGGTTGCGACACGAACAATTGCTATAATGCCCTCGAATGACTCAATGGAATGACTCAATCCTTCGAGAACAAAGGGCCCCTCTTGATACGCGGCAAAATAATTCACCGCCATTTGTGGCGCTTTACCCGATTGGGAGTCAAAAAATATCACCGCGCTTCGCATTTCCCGGGGGCTGTCTCGACCTGTATATCACCTTTCCTTGAATTGTTTGGGCCTGGTTAATATTACCACCCGAATAAGCACTTTCACAATGCCTCCCCGGTTAAGACTCTCAGCGCTCCAGCACCAAATCCCCCGATGCCAATATGAACTCCGAATTACCAGGAGCGCATCCACTGCTGCGGCTTCGGCAATCACGCCAGCTGCTCCCATTGAGCAGATGACACGCTCAACAGCCCCGGTATCGAAGTTCCCTCGAGCCCAGCCACCCTCGCACCGCAATCCCGAATACCGCCGGTCGCAACTCCTGCGCTCATACACCTCCCTTCTCCGCACATCTCCTCTCATCGTGCTCTTCCAACATGACAACCTCAAGTCCATGGAATGGGCCGCCATCCGACGAGAACTAGCCATTGCCCTGCGAAAGGTCGACGAGAAGATCGCCGCCGAAGGCCGCACAGCCCCCGCCCTCGCTCCCTACATTAAGCTCCAGACTATCCAGACCAGCATCTTCGAGGTTGCCCTGCGTATTGTCGAGTACTTCCGACCCAGCGAGGCCGCCCTGGCCGCAGGAAAACCCCCAAGCGCAGTCGATCCCGTCACACAGACCTCCGCCGAGCTGCCCCTGCTTTCCGGCTCGAGGGATGACCCGTCTTTGACACACGACTTGTCTCGCACTGTCCACGCCGCAGTGAAGGACATGAAGGGCAAGCACGAACTCTCGCCTCTGCTAGTTGGTCCCGTGGCTATTCTTTCCATCCCCACCGTCTCACCGGAACACATGAAGGCTGCGTTGTCGATCCTCGCTCCCAAGGAAGCCGGCTTCCCGGCCCCCACCCGCAGAGCCAACCCGGAATACCACGAGCCTATCGTTCAGAATGGTCTTCGCAAGATTAACCTGCTCGCTGCTCGTGTAGACAACCAGGTGTTCGATTTGGATCAGACTAAGTGGGTTGGCAGCATTGAGGGCGGCATGGACGGTCTCCGCTCCCAGCTTGTCATGGCTTTGCAGAGCATGAGCTCCAGTGTGGCCACTACTCTGGAGGGAGCTGGCAAGAGTGTTTACTACACCCTGGAGAGCCGACGAACCGTCTTGGAGGAAGAGGCCAAGGGACCGGAGGGCGAGAAGAGCGAATCGTCCTAATCTGGTCATGGTCCTGATTCATTTTGTATAATAGATCATTTCTGCGTTTCGTCCTCAAGGGCTCCAACTTCCTACTTTAGGATTCATGTATACTTGCGAGAAATCAACTTGGGTGCATCATATTCTCCATTGGAACCATAAGTCATCGAGTTTTCCTGTACACAGTATGTAAACCAAAGTAAAGACCGGGCAAAAAACGTGTTTCCTGCCTGTGTATGTCCAACTATATCCAAGATCTACTCCTTCCTCAAGCGCAGCTTAGCATTCATACCGACGATGCTGCGCACAAGATCCCAATCCCCGTCCAAACCAACCCAATCAGTAACAAGAATACCCGTGGAACAGTCCCCATCATGCTCCTTGCCCCTGCGACAGATATAATCAACAATAGCCGGGTTCACCTTGGCAGCAACCTTCTCAGGCCAAGTATCCGTCTTCCAGAAGTTACTAGCACTCAAGAAATTGACGTAAAAGGGGAATGCTTTGGTAGCTCTCAAATCCGGCTGAACACCGAACGGATACCGACAGCAGCCCGCGCGATCAATCTGCTCGCAGACATACTTAATCTTCTTCTCGATATTCATGCTCTCCAGCACCTCATAGAAGTCCTGAATGCAAAGCAAACCACTAGCACACTTCGCATGGGGGGTATTATCCTCCCACGCAGCAGCATCAATACCCCACCCCGTCCCACCATGTTCGCCCTTCAACTTCTGATTCAGATTGAACCGACGCATGAGCACGACCTTTCCGCGCGCCTCGCCCAGAGTCGGGATCTTAGGCCGCACCCACCACCGACCGCCCTTAGCGTAGTGGTCGTGCAAGATGCGCGCGAGCTGCTCGTCTGTCGCATTACCGGTTCCCTCGCGCTTGAGCGAGACGATCAGCGTCTCGGACGGGTTACGGTCGAGGAATCCCTCTATTTCGCGCAGCAGGTCGCGGAAGTACTTGTTTCCCGTCAGGGAGATGGGGAAGGCACTGTGCACGAGGACCAGCTCGTCGCGCGCCGGGTCCTCGGGGTACTGGGGCTGGACACGGATGTCGAAGAAGCGCACTCCGTTCTCGAGCTGCTCTTTGGGGCTGACGGCTTGGCAGCGCACGGAAGGCGGGGCGATGTGGCAGGTTGGCGAGTTGTGGGTGCCTGGGATGGAGAGGGCGGAGAGGAGGGTGTCGTCGCGGAGCTCGCGCATCCAGGCGTTGAGGTTTGAGGAGGAGAAGATTGCCAGGAAGGATTCGGGCGTTATGTAGATGCCTGTGAAGCGGTGCTTGGGTTTGTCGCTTAGGGCTTTCATGGATGCAGATTCGGCTGTAGGCACGGGGACTTGGATTTGGTACTTTTGGCCCTCGGCTTCGAAGATTAGACGGGTGCGCTCCTTGTCGGACTCGATGAAGGAGCGGAGGTCGGTTTTCTTCGTTGTGAAGGGCTCGATGCGGATGTCGACGTTCTTTTCTTCGAAATGGTGGCTGTCTTGTTCGATGCAGGAGACGGCATCGTTGCGGGTTTGGTTGGTCAGGACCTGGGTGAAGTTTCTGGCTACTGTGCTGAAGGCGCTGAATCCTCCCTTCTCCGGTGCCCGGAAGCGCTCAATGCGCTTCAGAACAATTGAGGTGGAGGTGTTGTTGCGGATAGACAGGTGTTCGGCGACCATTGTGACGATTGATGAGGTGAGGTCAATGTCCGTGTCCGAATCTATGAGGGATCTCAAAGTGAAGGTTGCCTGGAGAGATCAAAGTGGGGTTACCCCTCCGGTTGGAGATCGGCGGCCGTGCTTAGAGTTGACACAGCCTACAGGTAGAGCTCATAGCTTGAATATACTACTGTGATCACACCCGTACCTTGACTGTATCTCATATAGGGCTTACTATGGGACTCGTCTAAATGTCTTATCAATTGACAATTCTCCGAACTATGTCCTAGACAAATACCAATCTCCAACTGCATGAGGCTTGTGTGGAGTACTCCACGGCTGGTATTTCACTTATGTTCATACTACGCATAGAATGCCCGATTTCTCATATGACCGTTATGACTGTTATGACACTCCTCAATTGATCCATGACCGTATCCTCGAGCAATTAGGGCTCAGCAATATCGAAAAGAACGATAACCCCCGGGCTGCGGCCCTTCCCCGTCCCTGTCGTGCGGGGAGATCACGTGCGCAGCGGTTAGCATCGGGGCAGGACAGTCGACATTCGAGAGACAAAATAAAGACACAATGCTCCCTTTTTCTTTAAGAATTTCAGAAACGAAACGTCCCTCTACTTGACCATTCTATCTACCACCTTGGCCCATCTATCATGAGTTTCAGGCGCAGCGGGGGACTTACTGCCCGCAACTTCAGACCTTGTCTACCCCAGAATCTCCGCATTCGCTCCACTTTCCCGCCGCTGTTATCCCGGAAGTTCCATGCTAGTTCTCTGCTATGCGCGATCAGATCACAGGTTCTGAAGGATGTCGGAGAGGGTATATACTACTCAATGCCTGTTTATGGTCTGATTTATTTACTTACAATCCCTAGGCATCACTGAGGTTCAGATCATTCAATGGTACGTGGAGGAAGGGGCTCATATCGAGGAATGGAAGCCCTTGTGCCAATATCAGTCGGATAAAGCTGTCGACGATGTGAGTGACGCTTTTCTGTTCCATTTATAGGGTTATTGCTAATGAGCTCAGATTACTTCGAGATACGAGGGTGTGATCAAGAAACTACACTTTGAGACAGACGACACAGTGCCTACAGGAAGGGTGTGTATACCTCAATTCTGTCCTACCAGCCCTCATACTGGGACCTTAGTACTGATTACCTTGCCAGGCACTCTGCGATATCGAAGTCGAAGATGGCAAATACCCCGATGATAACCCGCCTCATGAATCAACAGCAGAGCCAACCCCGGCCTCGGGGGTAACCGCTGCAGTCCAAGCAGCGGAGTCGTCTCTCGTCTCCCCACCGCCAACAAACACCCCCGACGTTGCCGAAGAGGCACCAAAGTCAAAGCACGCATCCCTAGCAGTTCCCGCCGTCCGCGGACTGTTAAAGAACCACGGCGTGGACATCCTCTCCGTGACCGGAACCGGCAAAGACGGACGAGTCACAAAAGACGATGTCATGAAGTTTGTAACAGCTCGTGACACTCCCGCAGCACAAACATCATCCGCCTCGGTCCCCGTATTACCAGATACACGACAAGCCGAGTCAACCGTCAACCTGACGCCGATCCAATCACAGATGTTCAAGGTCATGACCAAATCCCTGAACACACCCCACTTCCTCTATGCCGACGAACTCCAAATCAACGGCCTCAATGCCATTCGCCAAAAGCTCGCCAGTAACAAGCGCGATCCTACTAAAATCACCTTCCTCCCCTTCGTCGTCAAGGCCGTCTCCCAGGCCCTAGCGGACTTCCCGCTTCTCAATGCCAGGGTCGATGTCAGCGACCCCAACAAGCCTAAACTTGTCATGCGCGCCAAGCACAATATTGGTGTTGCAATGGACACGCCGACGGGTCTGATTGTGCCGAATATCAAGGACGTCGCTAATCGGTCTATCGTCGAGATTGCTGCTGAGATTGCGCGGCTCAGCGCTCTTGGAAAGAGTGGCAAGCTGACGCCTGCCGACCTCAGTGGTGGCACTATCACTGTGTCGAATATTGGGAATATTGGTGGTACGTATGTGGCACCGGTGATTGTGCCGACGGAGGTGGCTATTCTCGGGGTGGGCAGGTCTAGGACTGTGCCAGTCTTTGATGAGGCGGGGCAGGTTACACGCGGGGATATGGTTAACTTTAGTTGGAGCGCTGATCACCGTGTTATTGATGGGGCGACGATGGCGAGGATGGGCAATAGGGTACGGGAGTTGATTGAGTCGCCTGAGCTTATGCTTCTTAATCTTAGGTGATTGTCAAGGGCTGTGGAGAAGTGACATAGCTAGATCAATATATGCAATAGAAGCACCTACTTATGGTTCAATAACTGCGTACTTGAATGGGTTGAGATTATAGATGCTTGTCTATCTAGAAAGCATGTCACAGTGTAAAGACGAAGGTGATATAGACAAGTGAATTGGTTCAATTCACCACAATACTGCATAAACAGCGGATATCTCGAAGCCCGTCAAGCCAGACAAGAAAATTTTATCCATAAAGGAAACGCCAGATCTAAAACAGACATGACCGAAGTCGCCAGTCAAAACGCCAAACACCATGAGGAACAACACCAAAACAAGCAACAAAAAATGCTAAAGCCATCAAGATATCCTCCATGCATAGATCATACCCCATTTTCGCATGAACCCGGGTCTCATACCATCGGCAAGGCATCTCACTTGTACTCGGCCAACTTCTCCGTAACAGCCGTAATAACATTCTGCTGCACTTCCTCCATCGGCCCCTCAACATTAATAGTAATAGCATCCCACTCATCATTCGGCTCCTCCAGCACCGCCAACTGAGATTGCACCATCGTGCTCTTCATATAGTGCTCCCGGCGCTGCGAGACCCGCTGCATAAGCACCTTCTCGTCGAGCTTGAGGTAGACAAAGTGGATCTGCACGGCCGGCGAGCCGTACGCGGCAACCCGCATGACGTCCCGGTACTTCTGCTTCAGGGCGGAGCAGGCGACGACCACGCCGGCGGGGGCTGGAAGTCGTTGGCTTCTGATGGGGAGAGGAGGTTGATGGCTGCTTGGCGGAGGGAGATGAGCCAGTCCCAGCGATCTGCGTCTGTGAGGGGGATGCCTTGGCTCATTTTTTCTTTGTTGGTTGGGGGGTGGTACTGGTTTTGTGTTAGTTGTTTATGTTTATTGGATATGTCGCATTCGGGGTAAGAAGGGGGAATTGGGGAAAGGTTGTAGGTAAAAGTGTAACTTACATCGTCGCCTTCTATGAATGGGAGGTTGAGCTTGGTGCGTAGAACATTACCGACAGTGCTCTTTCCGCAGCCTGCTGGGCCGGTCACGACCCAGATATGTTGCATGTGTGTCGAGGGCTTGGAGACTCCGTTAACTCCGTTGGCAAGGTCGGTCATGTCTGCCTTGCTCGCGGGCGTCGAATCTACAGCGTGGCAAGGCTGGGGTCGTTCGCCTGCTGATAGCATGTTGCAGGGAGTGAAAAGTGTTGGGTCTTTTCGGTTTGAGGAGCGGAATGCTGGTCTTATGGGAGTTCCAGTGGGGAATTACCGGTTGGGCCGGAGTTGTGGAGGTATGACGATGCAGTGATACGCGATTTTCTATACAGGTCTGATGACTTTGGTTTCTTCGGTCTGGGACAGGAGATCGAGGAGATCGAAGAGATTTTAGAGGAAATATGGAAAAAGGAGTCGCGCGACAGCTATCTTTTTAAGTATGACGGTGGGTCGGGAGAAAAAAGAATCACAGAGAGTGGGGGGGGTGAAGAGACAGAACGGTTGCTGTGTTTCTTCCTTCCCTTTCTACTAAGTTATGCTGATATAGTCAAGTCCAACTGGCAACGTTGAAGCTATTCACATCTATGTCACCGTCTCTATACTCAATCCATCGAGTTCTCTCCTCCTCAGACCCTTGAGGATGCCCGTCTCTATACATCTCCATGATGTCACGGTATTTGGTATTACACAAACTCACCCCCACGCTAGCAAGTCCACCATCTTCGGCCTAACCTGGGTTACTTGGCTTACTTGACCGTATTTATCCCATTTATCCTCTGGAAATGGTAAATGGATCTACATCAGTTTCATCTACTGTGTAGTATGATCTATCGCTCTGCTAGACTGCTACCCTCTCCATATCGAAGGGCTAAGATCAGATCAAACTGAAGAAAGGCGCTCCCCCACACTTTTAGAGATTTGCAGATCCACCCTGATCCTTGAATGGTCTGGCCGATATGCAGTCCAGTGAATTACCACACAAGAAAGACAACAAAGGTTCCGGTCAATATCATCCTAATCCGATAGGATACAATGAACCTGGGCCACTATACCAAGTGTGGCGGTCTAACCATCGGCTTTTCAAATTAGCCAGAATCCGGGGAAGGGACTTCCTGCGGGGTAAGCGAGTTGCATCCTGACCAGTGGCCAGTACAGGTGGCAGGTGGTTTGGACTAGAGCGGATTCCTTTCTTGGAAGTTGGTGAATATGAAGCGTCCAATTACCGCGTGTGCCGCTCTTATGTTGTAGACCTCGGGATGTTGTCTATCTGTAGGATGTACCTGGATTCTGATCTGTATGTTGGCTGAGTGGCTCCTGTCTGAACATCTCAAGAGGACAGTGAAGACAACGAAGGTAGTCTTCAGGGCCAATCGGGGGAAATGTCAGACCTTTGTACTGGATCTGACATGTCTGAAGACAAAGTCAAGGGTATTTGTAGATCAGTAGTAAGTACTGTCACTTCTGAAGTCGATTCGAAAGAATGTTGTGATTGAACTATATGGATAGAAAGAATCCACGATTAATCAGAAGAATAAAATGACTCCAGTTGGAAGAACATGTCCAAACCCATCGTTTACTCCGTACCTTGAGATGGTCCGAGGCGGGGAGACAATCTTACGTAACCCATCTCCAGGCCACCGCGCGAACAGCTCATCCATCACAGCTCCAACTCATTGGCTCGGGCATCGATAGCTGCCTCAATTACTTCTTCACACCATGGCTTCCCTCTTCTTTTCCACTCCGGTCGACATCGATGTGGTCCTAGAAGATCTCGATGAGCGCCAGACCGTCGACGTCAAGCTCGACAAGGGCCGCCGCGAGCGGGTCCCTCTGTACATGGACGGCGAGTCCGTGAAAGGTGCCGTGACCATCAGACCGAAGGATGGAAAGCGACTGGAACACACGGGAATCAAGGTGCAATTCATCGGCACAATTGGTACGTCGGACCTGTTCTCCACCCTCATCCCAGCCGTCCCTTATCGCCGACTGGCCGCTGACACTGCTTCTGGGAAAATACAGAGATGTTCTACGATCGAGGCAATCACTATGAATTCCTTTCACTAGTCCAGGAGCTTGCCGCGCCCGGCGAGCTGCTGCACCCGCAGACTTTCCCGTTCAACTTCAAAAACGTCGAAAAGCAATACGAGTCCTACAATGGCATCAATGTCAAGCTGCGCTACTTTGTCCGGGTGACCGTCTCACGGCGCATGGCCGACGTCATCCGTGAAAAGGACTTGTGGGTGTACTCGTACCGCATGCCGCCGGAGAATAACAGCCCTATCAAGATGGACGTTGGTATCGAGGACTGCTTGCACATCGAATTTGAATACTCCAAATCCAAGTATCATCTCAAAGATGTGATTGTCGGCCGCATTTACTTTTTACTCGTGCGGCTGAAGATCAAGCATATGGAATTGTCGATCATTCGGCGGGAGACAACTGGATCTCCACCAAATCAATATAACGAGAGTGAGACTTTGGTGCGCTTTGAAGTATGTGGACTTTCCACACTCGGCATTCAATGTCGGGGTGTTATATGCGAGTTGTGGGCAACTGCTGACCGTTTATGTGCAGATTATGGATGGTTCGCCATCGAGAGGTTAGTGAACACCTTCCCAGCTTTTGCCCGGACAACAGCGACAAATCCGCGGCTTTGCCGGCTCTCGCAATGGCCCGCGACACTAGTCTGCTTGAGCATAACTGACTTTTGCACAGGCGAAACCATTCCGATCCGTCTATTCCTTGGTGGATTTGACTTGACGCCGACATTCCGCGACGTCAACAAGAAGTATTCAACGAGATACTATCTCAGTCTCGTATTGATCGACGAAGGTACGTTACACCTAGTCCACCTCCATTTATTCTCCATGACCGCATTGTCCATGACGCGTCCCAAAATGCGGGGATGCAGAGACCCTGGATGCATTTCAAAAGCCGACGGCAATTGAACTTACCGGCAAAGTACATCGGCCCGGAATGCATAATTTCGCTGCCGATTTGCATCCGACCCCGTCTCCCCCCAACCCCAAACACCCCCCACACTAAACCCTATCCGGCATTGTCAAAACTCCACCAATACAACGATTACCATACCTCCTCCCCCATGCCCTGATACATGCACATCATTCATCTACAATTTCCATGTTTCAGGTACAAGATAAACTAACCCATATCAACAGATGCCCGCCGTTATTTCAAGCAGTCCGAAATTGCCCTCTACCGCCAAGCTCCCGAGATCGCCCCGAACGCCCAAATCGCACAGCAGCAACAGATCCAGCAGCAGATGCTCCTCGAGCAACAGCGTCAGCAGCCCGCTCTCCCACCGGGCTCTGCTACCGCTGGACCTGGCAGAGAAACCCCGGCACCGCTTCGGCAGGAGCCTGCGCCCGTTCCCGCGCCTGCACCTGCAGCATAGACTGTTCTATTATCGTTATAGCTTGCGTCGTCCTTGTTTCTGCGGATCTGCTCTTCGATACCCGCTTCGTCTCGATCTCATCTTCCTATGTCTACATAACTCTGACTCTATCCAGTTACTTATTCTCAATACTCCTGTGCTTACTCTCAACTTGGGAAGTCATATCTCTCCGAGATCCGGAGGGTGGTTCACTATTCTACATACTGCCAAGTCTAAAACTAAACACCTCCTGAATTAAGGTATCTCTTAACTAAAACAATACATAAATCACTATACAAAGCACAGCTATAGTTACAGCATGTCCACACAAGAATCCTGGATCTAATCCCCAACCCTCCCAATCCCCTCCAAAACCATCCCCAAAGCCTGCAAAACCCTCCCATCATCCCTCTCCCTGCCAGCAACCTGCACAGCCCTTACAACCAACGGATAAATCCACTCAAGATGTTTCCTATACCTCACACCCCCACCAAACCCAGTCCTCACCTCAGCCGGCTCCGGAATAGCCGACGGCTCACTCCTCAACTCAACCATACGCATCAAAAGATGCAGCAGGTCCTTGCGGGCCGGCGTAGGCTGCGGCATCAGGCCGCGCAGCGGCTGGTCCGCTATATAGGACTTGAGCGAGACCGCGCAGCGGAGGAGGAGGTAAGGTGCGACTGAGCGGGCGAGGAGGGTCTGCGGCGATGCGTCGGCAGTCTCTACAGTTCCTTTTTCAGGAGAAGCTGCGGCTAGCTCGAAGAGCGTGTCGAGGAGGACGTAGGCGATGGCTGGACGTTGGGTTGGGGGTGGGTCAAAGGTCCGGCCTGGACGGATTTTGTGGAGGTTTTGGAGCGGGGATGTTGGTAGGTCTGTGGTTGGGAGGTCGAAGCGGAGGGGGGTGTAGATGAAAGAGGAGTGGAAGAGGGCTAGGGCGAAGTCGCGGCGGATTGGGTCTGGGATTTGTGGGGCGCCGAGGGAGGGGAGGATGAGGGTTTTTAGACGGGTGAAGGCTTCTATGTCGAAGGTTTCTTCGGCGGGGTGTTGGGCCTTTGAGCCATTGGCGGAGACGATTCCGTTGGTTGTTTCGACGATGCGGTGCCAGAAGTCAGAGGTTTCGGGGGAGTTTTTGCTGGTGTATTGTTGTTCCACGTAGGGGACTGAGACTTGGAGGACGTTTAGGGATGCTGTTGTGGCTTTTTGCCAGAGGAATGGTGGGCGGTCTTTGCCTTGCCAGGTGTATTTCTGGGCGATTGGGGCGCTGAGGTGTTTGAGGGTGGTTGCGAGGGCGCCGTTTGTGAAGACGTCTTGCTTGATGCCGAATTCGGAGATGTACCAGCTGATGAGATCGATGGTGCTCTTTGAAAATGCCACGAATGTTGGTCTTCGGGTGTCGCTGCCCGGGCTCCATTTTGTTAGTGCTGAATCGGATAGTTCGGCAAGACACAGGAGAATGGCTGGCTGCGAGTCCTCTTTTTCCAGGCAAAGTGAATTGAGACAGTCGATGACCGAGGCTTGCACGGCTGAGGGTCGATCGACGTCTGGGGAGTACCGCGGGGAGACCGAGTTCCATACAAGCGACCTGAAATGTTGAAGTACCATTTCAATGTGTTCTGTGGTCAATTGGCCTTTGTAAAGACGATACACCTGTTGGAATGTAGACAGATAGGCTAAAGCAGCCTCCTGATTAGATTGATCCAAGTCAAGCATATCTTCGTCGTCGGCAGGGTGCCCATTTCTCCAAAGTAACCATGCACATTCAAGGGCATCGTTGCTGAGCTCACCGGGATTTTGCACCCGGAGGAGAATTGCTGACAGGCTAGAAAATGTTGCTTCACTGAGGCCCAGAACATGTAAGTCCACAAGACCTTGCAAGTACTTCAAAAGTCGCTTCCAGGACTGATCGAACTCTTCATCACGGACAAGGGTTTCGAAGAAATTCGTGACCAGATTCGATAGACCATTAACCATGACCACTGTCGTCTCTACCCACGCCTTGAGGTCATCTGGCTTTGAATCGCTCTGGTTGCTCTTGGCTTGAAGAGTGGCTTCTATTCCTTCAATCATCTTGAAGAGAACCATATTCAGACACAAACGCCACGCCTTGGGAGAGAGCTGTTGCCCGTAGGCATCGAAGATACGCAGAAGCGTGTGCACTGCGCTATTCCGGATCTCGGGTCGACTATCTGTGGTGATATAAACGATGCGAAGCAAGAGCAACAGCCATAAGGAGTTTCGAGACACTGATGGGTCTTCATCGCGAGCCAGGTTCGCCAATTGTTCTTCGGAAACCGATGCATCAACATGGTCAATGGAGATTTGCTCGATCTGGCCCTGGAGGAAGTCGGAAACATTCCAGAAAAATGAGGTGGTGGTGAGAGAGATGTTGAAATCCTGGGATTGCGACGCAAAGCTAGAGAAAGCATTCACTAAGCTCCAGAGACAGGATGCTGGTAGCAGAGAAAGGAAGTCCGAGGCTACGAGATGCAGAGACTTGTAAGCGGCACGTACTAGTCGGGGCCCGGCCGGAAGAGCCGATGTCCTGCGCTCCGCCAGAGTAGAAGATCGATCGCCATTCCCGGCGTCTGAGATAGGTTGGAAAACACCCGAGATCAAATCGAAGACCAGGTGCCATCCATCCACGAAGGTCTCTGCATACTGCTCTAAGATGTTTCTTAGGACTTCCAAGCTCTGTTCGTGGATCTCGATCACGGTGATCGGCAAAGACTTGGATGCATGCATATCCGATGCATAAAGCGGGGCTACTTGGGCTTTCAGCGTCTCAAGATTCCTCATCTGCACTTGATTATAGATGTGCTCGTCGTCTTCTTCTCGTTGTCTCATAGTTGAAAACACCAGTGAGTTCAAAGTTGCGCTTGCCTGCAGGCGAAGGTTTGGGCTGACGGTGGTGTTGGCGGAAGCCGAAATGAGACTCTGGGTCAACAATCCCCACGCTTTGCTGTCATCATCTTCAAGTGAAGACAATCTCCCTAGGTTTGCCTTGGCTAGTTCGTTGCCTTTCTCCAATACGAACTTGAGTTCCTCGTCTTGCATGCGTGATTTTCCAACGGTGTGTGAAACACGCCGGGACCCTTGATGCAAACGTCCAGGTGCTCGGGAGGGCTGCGGCGATTGGGGCATCTCCGATACTTCTTGGGTCTCTTCCTGGCCTCGACGCTGCTCCGTAAACGTCGACAGATTCAACAAGGCAAATAGAAGTTCCTCAAAAGACGCACTTGGAAAATCGCTGGTGCTTTCCAGCATCTTGCTAGAAGCCGCTTGGACTGCAATAACCTCAGTGCCAAGATTAGCAGTCGGCACATCGTTTCCAGGGGTGGTCGGAGCGTCTCCAGTCCCACTAGCGGATTTGACCATTGCGCTTGAGGACATGCCAACCACGACTCCAGTGTATTGGAGCGTCTCAAAAATGATAGACCAGGCCGGCTGATCCAATATCGGCCCCAGGGCGATTCCGAGGTTGAGTAAGGCCCGCATACAAAGTAGATTCCTTGTACTTAAAGACACAGGGGAGCCATCCGCGGCATTTCCAGCAGAATCCAATGATAAGGAGTTCGGATTTGACAGATCCGCACTCTTCCGCTTCTTTTGAAGTATATCACTTTGCTGTGTGCCAGTAGTAGATGCATTTTGTGCCTTGGAACCACCTGCGCTCGCAGGGGTGGCGGCCTTTCCCAGAGTTGTCAAGAAAGCATCTCGGGGCACAGACAATCTTAGAAGACCCGCAACGTGGGCCAACTTCTGGAATGCTCGAACGAGATTATGGTAATACTCATCATCCATAGAAGCCCGCAGAAAGGTGGAGCATGCTGCAAGGACAGCGGGCCAACAGTCCTCGATTATGCCCGCACAAGCCTTGATGGCGGAGTATTGGACATGAGACTGTAGGTCCAAAGGGTTGATGGGAACATGTGCCTTCTTCGTTGGCGAACTTGATTGTACTCGGACAGGCTCTGCTGTAAAATCTTGAGAGGATCTGGCGGAATCGGGTCCTTGGGCTGAGTTCATGAGTCGATTTTTGCGCCTTTGCTTTAGGTCCGGTACCGTCAATGGGAGAATGAATTTCGCAAGACCTTCTGCAAAACTGCTGATGCAGTTGAGAACTAAGCTATAAATGTAAGTCTCGGGCGGTATGGGTGGATCTGCCTTGTCCAGAAGCTCGATATATGGCGTGCGAACCACACTCCACTGTGTGCTGATTCCAGGAACGCTCAATTCACTCGGAGGGACAGTTGATCCAATGACACCAGCAACGCCACCAGTTTCGAGCGTTATCTGGTCCTCTGTTGTCGATCTTGTGTGATCAGCCCGTGAAGGCACTGTTGACTGGTTGCTGACACCAATCAAAGCCGGCTTTTCTGAAGCTAGTCGAACAAGCGCAGCCATATGGTCCCGAAGAATGTTCTTTCTCCCATCCTCACCATCATACAAAGTGTAGATCAGCCGTACGACCCCCGGTTCTGAGTAGAGGCCTTTGAAAACCTCCATGCAAATTAGTCTCTTCCAAGGCGCTGTCCCATCCGGTTCAACGAGATGAGTTATCAAGCTCAGTGCCATCTCGCATTCTGCAGTCAAAAGAGACATGTACCGCTTCAGAAGAAGCAGAAGTATTCGCGCGACTCGGACAGTCTGCGCGAATGAATACCTCTCAGATAAACAACGGACAGTTAGTGGCAGTAGCCGAACACGCAGCACTTGAGAGAGTTCGGGGTGCCCAACAAAAAGCCGGCCACTATTCAGAAGAACACTTTCAATGAGTTCGAGAACGAAAGTCGGGGATAGAGTTCGTGTTCGCAAAAATTGCAGTTGCTCGCCATCAATTAGACGACAAAGGTCATCTAATAGCTGCAGTGCATCGTAAGCAAAGTAGCCGATATCGAGTGACCGGCCATCAACTGTGATCTTTGTGGTAGGTTTCGAGTCGTCAGAAAGTTTGTCTTCACTCGAGACTCGCTCGAATGTAGATACTACCAACTGCTGAAGGGTAGCCGCAGCAGTGCTAGAGACTGCGATCATTTTGCTTGCCTGTAACGTGGCACATATTTCCAATGCGTCCGCAAGCAGCTCTCCGGTCAATTCATTGGAATAGAACTGCAAGAGCGAAGGCAGAGACTGTAGAATTTTCAGTTGGATATCGAGGCCTGGGGAGTGTTAGCGCGATCTGAAAGGTCGGCATTTGGTGCTAGGCCATTTACTTAAGCTCGTCGTCTCCTTCAGGCCCCTGAGGACATCTTTCAGGCGACTTGATGGCAGTGACCGAGATGCAATTAGTCTCTGTAAGCAGATGACACCGATACCTGCGAGCTTCGCATGCCGAGTATGACATGCAATGATGAATGGCTCAACGAAATTCGGCTTGCGAACCAGGTCTGGAAGCATTTTAGTGATTGAAGATAACTTAAGAAGCCATAGCGGAGCTTACCTGCAGCTATCTGGGCCTCTGAAGTTGAAGGTAGTGCTTTGAGCTCATTCAGCGATTGTTCGGCGGCCTGTCTCCCTCCTCGTTAGTGTACACTCATCAATGATCTGCTTGGAGAGCGGTGACCGACATTTCGCAATTCGGAGTTTTTCCTTCGAGACTCATGGATCAAATTGGCGATCTCGGTCTGCAAGAACTGAGAGGACATATTTGATACAGTATTGTCGTATCAGATCATGGCCAGCACTAGGTAGCTAACGTCCGATGGCCCGACGTCAACAATACGGAGAGCTCTTCGGTTGCGGATGAATGAATCGGTATTTGCACACTGAGCTAAGTGCTGATCCAGTGGCTTTTATTCCAAGGTATTAGAAGCAGTAAGAGAGCAATGACTGCGATCCTGCTATGAAAACAATTCCATGATGGATTTCAATAGGCGTGGCATCTCCAACCAACACCGGGGTGCCAAGCTCTCGATAAGCCTTATCGCACGTGATGCTGTTCCGGCCCGACCGCCTAGCGCATTGCCCCTCTTGACGCAAGATCCCACGTCGGCCTTTGTTTACTATTGTTGTCGATAGTATCAGCTTTTGACCCCAATATTTTGTGCTAATTATGGCTGCCAAGATTCCAAGAAATTTTCGACTCCTGGAGGAGCTTGAAAAGGGTGAGAAGGGTCTGAGTGCAGGTACGATTGACTGGTCTCCGACAATGTCCGATCCCAGCTGACTGACGTATTTGCCTATGTCTAGATGCTTGCTCATACGGACTCGCTGATGGCGAGGATATGATGATGAGCAATTGGAACGGGACGATCCTAGGCCCGCCTCACGTTAGTTTCTGAGTCTTTCCATGCCACCTTGACATCATCGCTCATTCATCTCCAGAGCGTCCACGAGAACCGGATATACAGTGTGAACATCCACTGCGGACCTGACTACCCGGATAACCCCCCTACCATTCAATTCGTTTCTCGGGTCAACATCCCCTGCGTTGATCCCGGCTCTGGCAAGGTATGAGGAGGACCAGACATCAATACGCAAGAGCCATTACTGAGTGATCGTACCGCAGGTTGATCCCACAAAGCTTCCAACCCTTGCACAATGGAAACGAGACTACACCATGGAAACTGTCTTGATTGAGTTGAGGAGGTAAGCACAAAACATGGCATTTGCAGACCGGGGTGGATGGGTGATTCTGACTCTTCGTTCAGGTACATGGCCTTGCCCCAACACAAGAAGCTGCCGCAGCCCCCGGAGGGCTCAACTTTCTAGTTCAAGTATGTGAAAGACGGACCGACTAGTATCAAGGTCGGCCTCGTCTGGGTCTTTTGATCTCTTCTATCTTTTTGTGACTCTACGGCGTGTATAGTCTCGGCATGAAGCATCGGTAGGGGTACTACCAAGCTCAGAATCTCGAATTTCGTCCTCCATTAGGTTTCTATTTCCGGGCCCGGGCATTGCGGCAGGCGCATGTTTACCAGCAATAACAAATGATATAGTATTCTTTTATGAAGTAGTGGAATAGACAGGTTCACTGGGTCTAATAATGAACTATGGTAGTGCATGTACAATAGGAGCTCCGCTCGGCCTCGGGGCTCGACCTTGGAACAAGAAGCGACCCGGGCAGCCTCGTAGAGTAGTCCAAACGTGGAACAAATCATGGCCTCGGGAAGCTCAGCTGGAGGTGAAAGATCAGAGGGCAGCGTCATGTAGTCAAGGGGATCAAGTATCAACCCACTACAACAAGTAGAGGGAGCGACTCGAGGTCATGAAAAGCACCATGTCAGTGAGCAACGCGTGTCGATTAGACCTGGTTGAAAGAAAAGCATTTACGATGACTACGTATGTGGGGAGTGATGCATTATCTTCTTCTCCAAGCGCCCGGACAAGCCGAACAGTTGATGAAAAAGTGGTCGCGTCGATCGGGGGCAGTGTAAGCCCGATGACACTGTGCAACGAGGCATGCGCAAGCACAGAGGCCAAGTCGCGGGGTCCAAAAATAGGAATAATCAAAGTGTTTCCAAGACGGAAACTTTCAGAGATTAAACTGAAAAGAACAGATACTACACTTGATCTAAGCCAATAGGCAAAGAGAGCTGAAGAAGAAAGAAAAGAAGAGGAAGTTCCGGGGATCGAGCGAGATTATATAGGCAAAGTGTAGTCACATGACCTGTCCCTTGACCCACAGCTCGGAACAAGGGCGGCCCGCCGTCACCGCTCTCTATTTTGCCACAATATTCCCAACACTAGTATCATTGCGGTAGGCGGAGTGTGACTTTGGATCAGCTCCGCGACATTGAGAAACCCAGAGGGTAGTCGATGCAAGTACAGCCGGACTGGATACCAACCCTATGGCTTCAAGTCGTTGATATTATCACCAAATTTGTCAAGATGCACAAAGTTCTGGTGCTCAAGGATTCTGGAACTCACCGTTTCGCTTGTGAGAGATCACTCCCTACGTTCCCGGCCTTTCTCCGAACTAACATTTTTGTCCTCGGTCTAGGTCTGGCACTTTACCGTGCACTTCTCCGGCAGTGCGGTGCTTCGACTGCAGAGGCCCCGTGGCTCGGAGAATCTAAGCCTCTTATTCAACAGAATTTCCGAAAATTTAGAAAGCTGCAGAGCCCTTCACAAACAGCAAATGCCTTGAAGGCAGGCTACGAGGCTCTGGATCTTCTCTTTTCAGCCCATACTAATCAAAGTGACGCCCACCGGATCACAAGCCTCATCGCTCAAGCCATGTCACAAAGAGAGAAATTCGCTGCATTGCAAAATAGAAGTCGACCAGTACCAACATCCCCTAAACCTCTTACGCCCCGACAGGCGCGGAAAGCAGAGTCAATTCGCTTCCAAGAGGAAACATCTCAGCGACATCCAAATGCCACCTCCATCTTGAACCGACCCCGTCCGTTGGGCGACAAGAAGCGCAAAGTACCAGTACTTGTCAATGCACGAGGTCTGCCTTTTTTGCGATACAAAAAGCCACAACCGAGAAATGTTAGCAGTGTGATACGGACAAAACTCGAGCGTCGCTGGGCGTGGATCGAACGGCGAGACATGCTGAAACTCGATTTGGTCTTCGCCCAGGATGAAGAGGATTGGGATAACCTTACCAATACCAAGACTGAGGAGCATCCTACTTGGACTGAACATTGCAAGACTGCTTTAAGGGATGTCAACACACAAATCTCTCAATTTGATAACAATGCCAAAAACCTTGCAGAGAAAATGTGGGCAATTGTTCTTGCTGAGAAGGCTTTGGCAGAAGAAGAAGAGACAATCCAAAGGCAGCCAACGCAGTGAAATTGAGTCCTGTACCTTGCTCACATGTTTCCCTCTCGACCCAAAACATGGACCCTCAGCTTTGCAGGCACGAAGTTATTGGGTTCAAACCACATTGGGACTATAGTCCGTGGTTCCATGTTTGGTCGTTTCAAAGCCACTCAAGATCATGACTCATGAGCAGAGGTTGCTTACCATCACCTGAGATCGATATATTGATATTGATCAGATGGTTCGAAGCTTCAGAAAGCATGATTTATTACACATTCCACTCTGGACGCTACGTTCCTATATATATTCGGTCTCTGGGTGATATGAGCTGTTAGCCTGTCACTTAGACGGCGTCAGCAAGCAGCTCAAATGAACACCCTATTCCTTCTTCGGGAGGGGAGTTCTGCCCGTTGAGGTCATCTTTTCATGTACCATATTAGTAGACCACATGAACTCTCCTGTATATTATTCACTCATACCCATAGCGCAATGATTGCTTGGTCTAGTTGAAACCACATCAATTCAACAAGGCTTCGTTAACTTCATTTCAGGTACAATGGCAGGATATCAACATTTCGATGGATCAGTTCATGAAGCCACTTTGAGCTTCTCGATTGCTGGCAAGGCATCCTCCTCCTCGTCATCATAATCACCCTTAGCCAATCCTCTCTCCCACAGCTGTCGGCCTGTGAGTTTCTTCTCTTCTTTTGTGGCCTTTTTCTTCTTGTTATCTTCCGATTCCTTCTCTTCACGTAGCCGCAGCTCCTCCTCCTCCATCTCCTTTTTGAACTTGACGCTCCACTCCAAGAATGACTCGACAGTAACCGGTGTGCCATGGAATTTCCGGTTCTCTTCCTCTTCTCTCTTCGCAGCGACCTCCTCCATCTCGGCTTGAACGATGTTTGCTCGTTCGGTGATGAGAGCCTCCGCGCTTTCTTTAAGTGCGCTAACCAATGTGAATACCATGGCCATGCCCATATTTTCTTCGATGGTAGGCTCTAGAGCCTTCATCAGTTGTTCTCGGTCCTCTTGGATATCTAACCGGGGATGCTTCACAGCATTGGGCGGAGATGTGATCGTGAGATTCGGGCCGACATCAGGGTATTCTTCCGGGTAGGAAACCTCAAGACAGATCACGGGCTGTTCGGTTTCATCACCTTCATATTCCTGTGTATCAAGAGTTATGGATACTCGGTATGAGTTTTCGGATATGTCTAGATGTTGGATCTCGTGAGCAAAGATGAAGATGGTACTAAATCCGCCAAGATACCATGTTCTTTACTTACCGGTGATTTCATCGGGGAAGATTGAATCGAGCACCTCACGCTCCTCAATCTGGTCTTCGCGGCCCATGGCTGCAGATCCGCCCGCGGATTGGAGGGGTAATGATGTGAGTGCTTGGGGGCAGTTGCTTTAGGAACCACTGCCTGGGAATAGAGGGTCGTCGCTTGAGCGCAGCAGATCAAAGACGGTCCGAATAATGATCTTAGAGATCGCAATAGGTCTTATGTTGATTTAGAAAGCTCGGAGCGCAAAACGGCGTGGTACCAATATTGCGGTCCCACATGCAAACCCATCAAACAGCCACTCCAAAATTTTGGCGGAGCTTCACTTTTTTTACTTCTCCCAGATACCCTGCAGATTACAATCTGCCAATTGCTCTATTGGACATTCCTACTCGACTCGATATATCTGCCAACCTCATACTCCACGCTTTCTATCGGATTTTGCTATATCCTGTCATGGGAAAGCCCAGACCGCAAAAGAAGAAATCATCAAAACCCCGCGAAAAGTCCGTCCTAGGCCCTGGTGGCTCGATCTCGAAAGGCAAAATGGCTCAAGATCCCTCAGTTCTGCTCGACCAAGCCACTATCCTCCTACAGACTGGCCGAGCCGATGAGGCACTCGTTATTGCCCAGGAAGCTCTGGAATTGACCGCTGAAAACACCACCGCACAGCTCCCCGCCATTAATCTGCTTGGAGAGATCAACGTCGAACTAGGCGACATCGACACTGCCAGAAACTGTTTCCTTCAGGCAGTCCAACTCGACCAGGATGGCTCGATACCGGAAGCGCAGGGTGGAGGTGCCGAGAAGTTCCTTTGGCTCGCACAATTGAGTGAGCAGGGTGGAAAGGACAGCGTCCTCTGGTTCGAGATGGGTGTGAATTCGCTTAGAAAGTCTATCGCGGCTCTCGAGGGCAAAACCTCACCCACGCCAGAGGAGATTGCCGATATCACACAGAAGAAGACCAAGATGTCTAACGCTCTTTGCGCCGTCGCTGAAACGTACATGACTGATCTTTCGTGAGTTCCTTCATATTCTAGGCCACGGGTGGAACCAAATCTAACATTTTCATTCAGCTGGGAAGAGGATGCCGAAGCTCGATGTGAAGCACTTGTTACAGAAGCCCTCCTTGTCACGCCTGAAGCACCGGAGGTACTACAGACCCTCGCCTCCGTCCGAATCTCACAACTGCGCACCGAAGATGCACAAGCCGCACTTACTCGCAGCATGACCTTCTGGAAGGATCTCGCCCCGGAGGATCCCAAGGTTCCCGATTTTGCACTGCGCATCAGTCTTGCGCGACTCCTGATGGAGGTCACTATGGAGTTCGAGGCTCTGGAAGTCCTCGAGCGCCTGATCCTTGAAGATGATCAAAGTGTGGAGGCATGGTACCTCGGAGGCTGGTGTCTCTTCCTGCTGGCAGAAAAGCAAGTGGCACCGAAGGATGTGCCCGCTGAGGAGCTTACCGAGTCACCGCGACAGGCATCACTGGAGGCTAGTCGCGAATGGCTCAAGCAGGCACTCAAGCTCTACGATGCCCTTGAGTATGAGGACGAGCGGCTTCGCGATCATGCCCTGGAACTTGTACAGGAGATGAACAAAGAAATCGGAGAGTATGAGAGTGAAGCCGAAGAAGAGGGAGAAGGAGAGGATGAGGAGGAGTTGGAGATTGAAGCTGACTCCGATGATGAGATGGCGGATTCGTAGATACCAAAAAGTGATGAGCACATGAGATGATGTATATGTTTGTTTGATTTGTCATTTGATACCAATAGAAGTAGTTTCTGTCTTTTTGTTTGTTTTCTTTCTTTCCTTCTTTCCTTCTTCTTTCCCCTGAACCACTAACCAAAAAAGCCTACTTTTGATATCGCCACAGTTCATTCATCGGTTCCGGATTAAATTTTCTCCGGTGAGGCAGATGCCCGATTTTTTTGTGAAAGCAGATTCTAAGCGCGACTGAAAGAGTTGTGTCCGTGACTCCGTGGCTGGCATCTCAAACTCCTGCAAAATGGATTTGGTACCAGCCCCGAAAGGGAGAGGATTCGCTTCAGACCTCCATGTTCGAAGTGGGGTCCGCAGACATGGAGATGGAGGAACAGTACAGACTGGAGGAAGAAGCGTCGTCGCTCGGGCTGCGTCCGATGTCGTCAGATATCGAGTCGGGCTGGGACGATGACGATGCTGATGGATGGGATGATCTGTCTGACTGCGATGGGGAGATTCAGCTCCTACGCGATGAGGAGATCCGCGACGGACTCGGTATGTAACTATATCCACCCGCTTCTTACCCCGGACAATCCCCGCTCAGGGGCGCTCAGCGAGACCAGAGCGAATATAGGCTAACTCGCTCATTATTCCGTGGTCTAGTTCCCGATGCCTGTACACTAGAAGAGGCGACTGCATATCGCCAGCGTCTGCATGAGATTGGCAAAGCGGCATTCGTGGAAGAAACCATCATTCGTGAAACCATCACGGCTAAAAAGCTATGCACCGCGTTCGGAATCGCACCCCCGGCATTCCTTGAGGGTGCGCCCGACGAGGCTTATCATTCTCTTCTGGCGATCGCGCTCTCGCGCGAGTTCTCCCGCAGGCCTAAGCTGCCTCAGTACAACACCATCGACGATGCTGTTCGGCTCCTTCACGAGTCCAAGAACATCATCGTCCTGACAGGCGCAGGGGTATGTGTCTATAATATGGTTATGCATATGACTATTGGCTTAGGAGTGCTAATCTGTCACTCTTTCAGATCTCAACCAGTCTGGGCATCCCGGATTTCCGTTCTAAGGATACTGGGCTGTATTCAAAGCTGGCGCATTTGGGCCTGAGCGATCCTCAGGAAGTCTTTGACATTCATGTGTTCAAGGAGGATCCGAGCATCTTCTTTTCTATTGCAAAGGATATTCTCCCAATGGAAAAGAAGTGGTCGCCCACTCATGGATTTATTCGACTGCTTCAAGACAAGGGGAAGCTTTTGACCAATTACACGCAAAATATTGATAACATCGAGGCAAACGCAGGTGTATCTCCAGAGAAAATTGTACAGTGTCACGGATCTTTTGCAACTGCCACCTGTGTGAAATGTCAGTTCAAAGTGGCTGGCGAGGCGATCTTCGGTGAAGTTCGGGAAGGAAATATCCCCTACTGCACTGCCTGCAAGGATAGAATCGCAGCAGAAGGGCTGAAGTCGCAAGGTCTTAAGCGCAAGCGAAGCTCCAACGGTCAACAAAAGGACCGCAAGGTCTCTGACAGTTCGGATGAGGATGACTATGAAATCCCGACCCCCGGAGTGATGAAGGTCAGTGGCGGTTCAGTGCTATTCTTATGTGTCTTTTTGCTCACAAAATCTGCAGCCTGATATCACATTCTTTGGCGAGGATCTGCCCGATGAGTTTGGTCAACGTCTGCTTCACCACGATCGGGAACTAGCGGACCTGGTCATCGTGATCGGAACTTCGTTGAAGGTAGCCCCTGTGGCAGAAGTGCCAGGGGTTATACCACGCAATGTTCCGCAGATCTACATATCGCGTACTGTAAGTCATGCGACAATTCCCTCTCCCCTTTTCTATGAGACCCTACTGACATGCGCATATAGCCGGTGACACACACCGAGTTCGATATTGATCTCTTAGGTGACTGTGATGTGGTGGTATCAGAACTTTCCCGTCGGGCTGGTTGGGATCTCCAACATCATATGATACCTGACGATGAGAAAGTGGATATCACCCCGGTTGAGGGATATGAATCACGACATGTTTTCAAGGTAGTCGGTGCATAGGGAGCGGAGTTTCGGGCATGTCTTGCTTGTGTCTTATGGGAAGGCGTCTCTTCGGGTTTCTGTTCATAGCTGGATGTAGTCATGTCTCCTCGGTCTTGTGCTTTGTCTTTCTGTTGTCAAATATTGCCTGCATAGGTCAGGCTTTCACGAACTTGAGCTCTCAATCCATTCTACACAAATATTGTTGCTTGTCACTTCACATTTTGCACGGCATTTTGCCAGTCCATTGTAGGGTTTTTGTGAGCAAAGTAGGCCCCGTTACAGAACCTGTACCTACCTATCTACTATCTAGTAGGTTCACTAGGTACCTAGTATGTTAATAATTGAATCCATAATGCCCCGACGATTTCCAATGTGGGGGCTACCTATAAATCTGTAGCTTGACTTGGCTGTTCGTTCCAACCGTGGACGTGGAGTATATTTTTGAGATGGAACCGAAAAAAAAAAATATCGACCCGCAACATCCCCCGCCATCAAGAATTGCAACAACGCATTGCTTGAACAGCCCATCAATAAAGAACGATATCTTCGATATCATAATAAACTGTTGTCTTGCAGCCATGGAATATCTGGTTCGCTTCGCTCAGACGCATGAGACTTTCCGACGGCCGGAAATTCAAGCCTGCGCCGCAGTCGCGGGCGTCGACATTGATATCCTCTCCTACAATGAATTTGTATGAACATCCCCTTCTGTTAAGCATTGAAATGGCACCTCTCAATCCTCTATTCTACCACGCCTTGAATCCGCAAAACTGACATACAAAGTAGTCACCATACTGTGTCGTAAGACTACCAGACGAAGCTGCAGCGCGCGCAGTCGCACAGCGTAGTATTCTGGTCAAAGACATTTTTGAGCTCTGGGGCGAAGGCGCCAACTATGAAGAGCTACATGCAGATGTTCGCCGACGAACCGAGCATCGTTGGAAAGACTATATGAACGTTCCATTCAAATTCATGATTGATTACTTCTCAGGGACGCGGAGTCAAGAGAAGAAGGGAGAGATCATCAAATCATTCTCATACATGGGATTCAAGGGCCCGATCCGTCTTAAGAACCCCGATGAGGAATTCTGGGTTATGGAAGAATACATCGACGACGTTGAAGTCTCGGCACTGGGAGTGTCAAGGGTGGAAGAGCCACGAAAGATTTTCCTCTGTCGTAAGATCGCTGAGAGCTGTCGGGAGGATATTCTCAAATACGATCTCAAGAAACGTCGTTATATCAGCACGACGTCCATGGACGCGGAGTTGAGTCTCATCACGGCAAACATGGCTCTTGCAGCGCCCGGAAAGTTGTTCTTTGATCCGTTCGTCGGAACTGGAAGCTTCATCATCGCTGCTTCCCATTTCGGGGCTCTGACGATGGGCGGAGACATCGATGGTCGCAGCTTCCGTGGCAAGGAGAGTGGGAAGTTGGGGATATACGAGAACTTCGACCAATATGGAATCAAGAGTAAGTTCATCGATACCTTTACTTCGGATCTCACGAATACGCCACTGCGGAGAACCGGCGTCCTCGATGGCATTGTCTGCGATCCGCCGTACGGTGTGCGCGAAGGGCTGCGGGTTCTGGGAAATCGTAAGGGGAAACCCGCGGTCAATGTGATTATTGACGGCGTTCCTGCTCATCTGTATGTCTTCTCGCTGTCACTTGCCCCCGACTGGTTCATAACACTAACCTTGACCACAGCCGACCTGGCTTTATTCCTCCGAAGAAGCCGTATGGCTTCGAGGCTTTGCAGAACGACGTTCTCAACTTCGCGGCGCGTTCGCTGGTTACGAATGGCCGCATGTCAATGTGGATGCCAACGACAAATGATGAGAAACATGAGTTCCCTGTTCCGATGCATGAGAATTTGGAGATCGTCAGCATCTCTGTTCAGCCTTTCCACACTTGTAAGTATTAAATCTTGCGATGAGAATCATGATGGTGAAATAAGTTGGCTAACTTCGAGCTAAAGGGTCTCGCCGGCTTATAACCTACCGCCGTCTACCGGAGGGGCAACTGTCTGATATCTCAAAGGCCCGGAAAAAGATGGACGACCAGGGTCATAGTGCGGATGAGTTGAATGCATTCCGGCGAACGGTACGTCCTGTCCACGGGTTATGGTGATATCCTTGGCTAATTCATTGAAACAGCATATGCTCAGAGGCCATGGGACTCGGGCCAACTAAGGCAAACAAAGCCACAACGCGACAGGGGTTTGATGTGAGAAGGGAGAATGGAAGCCGTTCAGGATACCCAGCAGCTCGGAGCCTAGAAACAGCTGCAAAACAAAAAGTACTACATACAAGAAATGACCCAAAGACGGGTCGGAACAAATGAGCGGATGGAAGCATAGAATAGAGAATAATATGCCCTGCATCACAACTTTCCTCGCTGGCTTTCTGGAACTAAGTCCTGAACCAGATCAACGCCCTCGTCCCTTTGAATGCGTTTGACCTCTTCAACCAACTCGAGTCTCATTTCACGAGCTAAAATCTCAGCTTCGTCATCATCAAGCTCTTCTCTTTGCCCACGACCGAACATAGCAAAGCTTCCTCTCTGATTGGCCCCTGAAGCAGGGCGTGGGATAATGTGGAAATGGACATGAGGCACAACCTGTGCTGCTCTTTCACCTGTTGCCCAGTTAGATAGATTATTCTCGAAACATCCATTTGTACTCCATGGGCAACCCAAAGGAGTGGCCATTGATATTGCATTACCAGTCTAGCAACAAACGGAGTAGGATATCGGTCAGGGGGTTTCCAACCTCCTTGAATGCCACCATCTGTAAAAGCATACAAGGCTGAAAGTAACCCCCCGGAAATAAAGATCCAGAAAATGAAGAAAGCAAGGAGCAAGAAACATACCATTATTCTGCACGACATTCCAATGTCTATCAGGATCATCCCCAAATACAGTCTTCGTTACGACCCTAGACAGAATCGGCAGCCATTTACCCATCTAAGCAAATCAATCCAAAGCAAATTAGCCGAATGATCTTCCTGCATAATCGAATCGAGATCCAGCAGCGGATAGGGCTCGATTTCCCACATACCTCCTGTCCCGCTGCAACGCTCATGTCGCCCAGCGTCTGGTAATGCTTTCTTGGTGCTACGAGCACATGTCCTCGAGTCAATGGCATTATATCCAGGAAGGCTAGGACATGCTCTGTGGAGAGAATGAGATGGGATAATGGCATCATGTCTGGGTCGGACGAGACGGGATTGGACTTGGGGTCGTTGAAGGGGGTGGGGAGGTATGATGAGGCGATGGTGCAGAACGGGCATGGCGGGGATGCGGTGGAGGAGTCCATGATGGGGTGACTATGTAGAGATACTTGGGATGCAAATGGGGATGGAATGGAGGAGAGATCGTGTTGCTTTGACGTTGTTTGCCCGAATATAGTAGTGGCTAATTGAGTCACTGGCTTGGCTGTAGTGTTGTTTGGGATTGATGCCGGTGCAGAGTATCTGTACAGCCGGAATAAAGCCTTGAATCTTGATCTGAGCGTCGATCTGATCTCAGGGGTGGGATGGCAGCAAATAGTAAACGAACGTTGGAAGATGGGGTTGATCGGTCCGGTGGTTGGTTCACCGGGACCAAGGTCCCAACCTCGGTTAAGTATGAGCCTAATTTGACGCATCTACAGCCCTGAAGCCAACACGAAATGATAGAACACCTACAAAGCCAGAAGAAATACGAAAAGCAATTATCTCGGTACACGGGAAATACAAACGCATTTAGCGTCAAAATCAACCTATTTTAGAATAAAAACCGAAGCTGACGGATAAGGGTGGTCACTAATGACCTCCCCGACCGTCCAACTGATATCCAAGTCGCTTGTCTGAAAGACTGAGCTTCGGTAACCAAATGTGTCTTCCGATAGGACAGAGAAACACCCAAGAAACAACAAAAGGGCCATATGGGCACCACCAAAAATCTCTTCATTGCAATGTTATGCAGACATGCAGGCCTTGGGAACTTGCATGAGAAGAGAGAATGAAAAAGATCCAAAAAGGTGACACCGAAGCATCAAACCCTAAGATCAAGACCGAGTAGGGCAAAACAATTTAAGATTGCGATCTGAATGAGAAGAAAGATAGATCCCGACGCCTGCAACACGAATGACGAGAAGTGTAAAAGATAACAGGGCAGGCGGGAGTCAGATGCCCATGCATGAACAAGCAAGCCGAAGTGGGAAAAGGAAGGGGAAGAGAAGAAAACAATAGCACACAGGGCCGAGCGCCGAACACCCCATCACAGAAGGTAAATGCGAGAAGCGCAGAATTTCAATGAAGTCGTCGTAAGAATATGCAAAAGGTAGTCAATACCAGCACAATGAAAAAATGCCAACAAATGAAGGAATTTATTTCCCCACTCATGTCATCGCAAGGGCCTTAGGGAGTCATGAAAGGCATCGACGTTGGCGAGACAAGAGTAGCGTGACATCGTAAAAGGTGCGATTACTGTCCGTCCTTGACATAAGTGCCCTGATCAGAGCTGTCAACGTACAGGTGGTGATACTTCTTGGCCCATTGGCGAGTTAAGATTGAAGCTGAAGCGCTAGTTAGTACGTTATGTGGCGCAGAAAGGGGAAAGGTTTGGAGTTGCGTACCCTTCAGGAACTTCTTGCTAGCATATTTCTTGAAGAAGGCTTCGTGAGAAACGGGGCGGTGGAGATAATCAACCATTAACTGGAAGACGGGATCGATCTCCGCTTCAGTGTAACCAGAGTAGTGAGCGAGAGTGGCATCCTGTTATCAGTTAGTTTAGAGGCGTGAGACAGGAAGAGGGGATAACGACATACCCAGGGTCCGCGCTCGAGAATGAGGCGTGCAAGGTACATGGCAGCAGCAGAAATGTGGCTCTGAGGGTAGCACATGAAGCGGTGATCAAGGAGACTGATCTCCATCAAATACTTGCCCAGCGTGCGGGTTTGGATGTCATAGTTATCGGCCTTGGAGATGCGTCGCAGGAAGTTCATAGGGTTGGGGAAGCTCATGTTGTATTCGAGAGTTGCGAGAACGTGACGCTCAGCATCGAGAATCTCCTTGTCCGAGAAGGTCTCATCAGCCACATGGCTGAAGTTGGCAACGTGAGGAGAGAGAACCTCCTCATACTTGGAGGCAATGAACATGGCGGTGACACCGACGAGCTGAAGACGGTCGAGGGCGACAACTTCAGCAGACAGGAAGCGATCAATGATGTTCACAGCGAGGAACAAGGTCTCAGGAAGGAGACGGAAACGGGTGTGCACCTCGATCAGCCAGTCGACAAGAATGCCACGCATCTTCCATTCAAGGTCAGGCTGATGGTCGATATAATCAGGGTTAGGCATCGTCACGAGCTCCAGGTCCTTGAGATACTCGAAGATTTCAACCACATATTCGGCGGCCATCAGGGGGTCATCCAAGTCCTCAGTGTCCAGGTCCTGCACAGCGTCATTCAAAGCCTCCTTGACGTTGACCTCTGCTTCCTTAACAGCTGCTTCCTTCACAGCTGGTTCCTCAGCAATCTTCTCGATCGTGCGAGTCTTGCGCTCGAGCTCCGTCTTCTTGCGAGGAGGCTCCTCGGCCTGCAGCGATGTGTCCTTGAGTGAGGGCGCTTGGCAGCGGGCTTCTTGTTCGAGTCGCGGGGCTGTAAGGCGGAACGGGTCGCGGTTCGTGAAGAGTTGGTACGGCTGAGCTTCTGAATACCTCCAGCTTGGACGGTCGCCTTTGATGTTAGACCAGCCTTGGCAGCGACCGGCTTCTTTCCAGCCTTCGTCTCAGCACTATCAGTCTTGTTGACATTGCTGACATCACCCAAAGCAGCTCGGGGACGTTGGGCTCCAGTGGACGCGGTCGTAGTTCGCTTGGTCTGTAGGGTCTTCTTGGCTGCAGGGACAGAGACATCGGTGGTGAGGGCGGCGGCCTTGGCTCGCGTCACACGCGCTGACGGACCATTCTCATCGTTCTCGTTCATCGTGGCCCTGGTTCGAAGGCTGCGGGCCTGTAGTGGAGTCAGTGACAGTCCAGTGAGGTTACAGGTTGTGCCAAGTTTTCAGGCTCTAGATCCGATATCCCGAGACAAATAGACCGAACGCGTGTTTTAGAAAGATTAAAGATTGCTCACCTGTGGCATCGTGAAGGAAAGAAGAGAAAAGCGACGCGTAGAAAGGGAAAAGAAGGGACAGGAATATAACAATCCTTGTCTGGGTTAGGAAATCAGGTCAGCATTCCATCCAACATTACCTCAGTGGGGACCTCATACCAGAGGGTCAAGACTGAAGTGCACGTACCACGCGTGAAAATGCGGTAGTTCTGGAGAAACTACAATGCACAGTAGACTGATGTAGTTTTTAGGTAGGTGGTGATATGAGTTGAGGGTTTGGGCTCAAAGAAACAATGTTGATGTGTATCGAACCGCGCAGAACCCGAATTCTGAAGATCGAATGGCGCGCGAATGGGTGAAAAAGGGGTCAAATGATACAGAAAAGATCTGTAAACACTGTAGGAGAAGAAATTGCACGCGATAATTTGTTGGTTTGGGAGTGGGGGGGGAGAAATAGAAGGGTAACTCTAGCTGGAATGATGAGGGAAAAGGAAGACAGCTTGAGGGCAAAAGGCGATGTTTGGCCCTAGTACTGGTGGCTAGCGTGGAACACAAGAAGCCCCACTCGACCAGTCGCGTGGATCACCTAATTGACCTTCGAGCCCTTTTTTGCATAAATTTTGTAAATTGAAGAATTGAATTTAGCAATGAGGAACAGAATAGAAAAAAGAAAAGATGTGCTGAGGTAGGTTCAGGAAAGCAGATCAAGCAATGAAGGGGAATACGCGTGATTGTCGCACTGAGTAAATAAATCAGTTGCTACGGCAACGAGGGCGTTTGCCGTTCTGTAAGTATCGAAGCCGTAAAAAATGATCACGTGCACCACATCTGACATCAATCCGAAATCGTCCCAACCAATGCACGTGATCCTTCTGCTGCCACAGTAGGTGTGGCTGTGAATAAGGCTGTGCAATTACCAGATCACGTGGGAGCCCGAACTTTTTGTTCTTTTGGAGAGTCCGGTGCATAGACAAAAGCAGAGGAGAGGAGTCGTTGAGTCTTTGTCAGTCTACTTCATTGGCCATTGGCTTTCATCCCGGTTCCTTTTCCCTTACAATAGAAACATTGTAAACTGTCTTTTACTCCCTGTCCTTTGGCAGCGATGCTTCAGCCCCGAATTGCCCTACGGGCCATTCGGCTGCCTTTTAGGTGTCTACCCTCTCTGCCTACGCCAGCTCGCGGCTATTCAACTGTCGTCAATGAGATCGAAAAGAACAAGCCGAAGCCTATCGAATCGACACCGAACTCTTTTATCGACCCGAACACCTCATTCGCACCTCCACCAACCCGTGATACCTCTGGCGTTGTGTTGCGCACATACACTCCGCGCACCCCCGGTGTGAGACATTTACGGCGGCCAGTAAATGATCATCTTTGGAAAGGGCGTCCAGTGCACAAATTGACGTTCCCTAAGCGTGGTCAGGCTAAGGGTGGTCGAAACAATTCTGGTCGAGTCACTGTCCGCCATCATGGAGGTGGTGCCAAGCGTCGTATTCGGACCATCGATTTTCTGCGCATGGCCCCAGGGCCGCACACCGTGGAGCGTATCGAGTATGATCCCGGACGCAGTGCACACATTGCTTTGACTGTCAGCAAGGAGACTGGCACATTGAGTTACATTCTCGCGGCCGATGGGATGCGGGCCGGCGATGTGGTTCAGAGTTATATGTCTGGTATTCCTGAGGACCTATGGAGGAGCATGGGAAGCACAGTCGATCCTGGTGTGCTCGCTGCCAGAACCGCTTGGAGAGGAAATTGTCTGCCGTTGCACATGATTCCTGTGGGAACGTTGATCTTCAACTTGGGATTGCGACCCGGAAAGGGTGGTCAATTGTGCCGAAGTGCTGGAACCTACGCCACGGTCGTGGCTAAAGGTAGTGACTCGCGTCAACAGTCTATCCAAGATGAAGAGCCTCAGGCCGAGAAGAAGCCCTTGTCTCAGCGTGAGCAACAGAAGCAGGAGCGTCTTGCCCAGCACATCACTGTCCGTCTCTCAAGCGGCGAGACTCGGCTCATTCACAAGGACTGCTGCGCTACCATTGGTATTGCCAGCAACCCCAATTACCAGTACACTCAACTCGGAAAGGCTGGCCGCTCACGTTGGCGCAACATTCGTCCCACTGTGCGTGGTCTGGCTATGAACGCCATGGACCATCCCCACGGTGGTGGTCGCGGCAAGTCCAAGGGTAACGTCGACCCGAAGAGTCCTTGGGGTATTCCGGTACGTATTCTCTTTATCTTGCAGTTTACATTCGAATTATTGGAACTAACTCTGTCCTTCAGACCAAGTCCGGCTACAAGACCCGCCCCAAGTGGAAGATCAACAAGGCTGTTGTTCACGCGAGACCTCGTAACCAAGGAAAGCGCCGTCGCGGTTACAACTAGAGCTGACGCTGCTTTGCCAACTCTCTTGCTTTGTCTCTGAACAACTTGTACCTCTTCACCCTATACCTCATCCCTACCGCGTGGAGGACCACTGTACGATATCTCTTTCCATCTTATTGTTTGACACATTTAATGTCTCATCTTTTCTCCCACAACGCGTCGTTTTCTCGGTGGTTCTTGTTTTGCGCATCTGTCGTCTAAATGGGAGGCCTATGGACACTGTACAGTACGATGGCTCGAGGCCATATACATTCAAATCGAAAGAAATAGACCCATGAATATCATGTTCTTGCCTACTGTAGATTGTAGTTATATGGGTACATAGATACACATAAAACATATTGTGCTTGGCTTGACCTTGCTCATAGATACCGAGATGTGTGGAACTGACAATTCCCAGGGACACATGAAACAAGAGGGACTTGGCCTATACTCACTGATGGCATCAACCGCATCATGACAGAACCAAAGCTTTTGGCAGGGAACTTGACAGACGAGATCGTCGCAAAGTGTATATTGGAGGTTCTGGAGGCAGTATTGTAGCGTTATACAGGTTCTAGGAAACCCGTTAGGAACGTCGGTGGGTGAAGGGATAGGGTAAGGGTATGTCTGAGTCACTCTGAAGTAGTTGTTGGTGGTTCCTACCAGTTCTCAGTCTCACAACGTGCACGAATGGAAGTAAGATAGGGCTCGCAGAACAAGCTATTATGGTATATTGACGTAAGTAACAGAGGCCTCAACCTCCGCAACTCCCAGGTGCGTGGCCCTCTCCCGAGGTCTGTCGATCGCATTTGTCAACGCTCATGCAGAGGAGTATAAATAAAAATGAAAGAATTTCCTATATTCTTGGAGTCCATTTCCATCAGCAGAAAGAACAGGCATTCAATCTAGCTTCGTACGTTGACAAAGACAAGTCTGGGTGGAGGAACGCTCAGCCACTCCTGATACGAACTCCATCGTCATCCATAGAAACTCTGTCCCTTCTCACATCCCCACCCCGGCAAATCTGGCGATGATCCAGTCGGACGTTCCTGGATAATTGACGCCCTGGGTTGATCCTATACGCGTCTTTTCGCTCGAAGTTCTTCTGCCGGCGAAGCAGAGTTGACGAAGCTCTTCCCGAGGTCATTCACCTGAATTACTCAGCCGCTACATCGTGACATCGACCGCAACTACGCCCGCCATGGGGGCGCTTCCGCAGTCTAACGTTGGGCCCGGATCGTCGCAGTACCCCACAGAACCTGGACCGTCTCAGATGGAATTCATGCCTATGGAGAGCGGCGCCGCTGCCGAAAGCGCTAGCACCGGGGAAAGTAACGTACCCCGCCCCAAGCGCATCGCATGTATCGTCTGTCGGAGGAGGAAACTGAGGTGCGATGGAAGACGACCGAGCTGTGGGACATGTTCGCGACTGGGACATGAATGCGCTTATGATGAAGTGCGCAAAAAGAGTGGCCCTAAGCGCGGTTATGTGAAGCAGCTCGAAGCACGTTTAGGTACGGACAAGTTGAGCATTGTGTGGAAATGCGTGATGTCACTTAGTGTGTCGCTAACATGATTGCGTATCAGCTCAGGTAGAAACGCTCCTCAAAGGCCAGGATTCGGAACCCCAGCGTATCTCTCCATCACAACCATCGGATCCTACTTTCACAGCGCCTATCACCGATGATTCTATACTTTCCTTGCCCGAACTCTCGGATCTGTCAGGACTCGGCCAGTTGGGAGGTCTTGGGGGTGACATGAATAGCTCCTTTTCAGCTCCAACTGGCCCTGACCCACGCGAGCCAAGCCAAATACTATACCCTCCTCCACGACATGCGACTCAGGGCGGCAGCGATCCTCACTGGGACTTGATAAGCTTAGGATTGGAGGAACCCCTCCCTCCACAGGACGCAATTGACGAACTGTATGTTTCCCAGCTGTAGTCCTTGGAGAAGTGGCCTAACATAACGGTACTGTCTAGTGATGCGATGTTTTTTGAGAAAATCTACCCAATGATGCCCATCATCCACCGTCCACGTTACTTTGCAGCTCTGAATCTTGCATCTCATATGCGACCACCGATTTGTCTTCGATACATAATGTGGTGCCATGCCGCATCCGTCAGTGACAAATACTTCTTCCTACATAGCCATTTCTACGAGCGCGCACGTAAGTATGCTGAGCTGGATGAGATGAAAGGCTTTGGAGAAAATATCGTCAACCTTGCGCATTGCCAAACGTGGATCTTGATCGGCACATATGAATTTCGGATGATTTTCTTCCCACGAGCTTGGCTGAGCGTTGGTAAAGCCGCAAGACTCGCACTGATGCTAGGGTTGAATCGACTTGATGGAGCTGGGCTCGATGTCAAACAATCCATACTACCACCAAAAGATTGGACAGAACGCGAAGAACGCAGGAGAGTCTTCTGGGGCGCATTCGCCACAGATAGATATGCCAGTATCGGAACCGGTTGGCCGATTCTTATTGACGAAAATGATGTTCGTATCTTTTGCGTATCTGTCATAGGGAAGAAAGTGATGGGCTGACAACTTTCGACTAGATTATGACGAATCTCCCTGCCTCAGAGGAGTCTTTCGTAAAGAGCAAACCACAACGAACGCTTCGTCTCAACGACATAATGACCGGAGATCATGTTGCAACACTAGATCCCTTTGCATGCGTGATTGTTTTGACAAGTCTATTTGGTCGTAACCTCATTCACATCCATCGTCCTCGGCCCGATGACAACGACCATGATCTCAATGGAGAGTTTTGGAAACGACACAGGTGCCATGACAATATCCTTCTGCATATAGCCCTTTCTTTGCCTGATCATCTTCGGCTCCCAAGCGGAGTGTCAGACGTGAATGTCATTTTCGCCAACATGAGCCTCCATACCTCGACCATCTGCCTCCATCAAGCGGCCATCTTCAAGGCCGAAAAGAACAAAATGTCAAATCAGATCACGACTGAGAGCAAGCGCAGATGCCTCGTGGCTGCAAACCAAATTTCAAGCATCATGAAAATGATCAGCCATGTTGATCTGACAAGCGTGAGTTCTTAACCGGCTTCTACTCCCGAAGTTACATCCATTGACACCTTGCAGTTGAACCCATTCATGTCATTTTGCCTCTACATTGCTGCTCGCGTGTTTGTGCAATATCTTAAATCTCGACCCGAAGATTCGAGTGTGCACTCATCGCTGCAGTTTCTCGTCTCTGCTCTAAATGCCATGAAGAACAAGAACCCTCTGACAGAGTCCTTCCTTGTCCAGTTGGACGTCGATCTCGATGGAACTGGCATTCGCGCTCTCGATGACAGGCAGAAAGCCAACATGTCTGCTGCACAATCAATGGCTGTGTGTCTCCCTGACTAGTTCGCAAAGTGTTCGGCGAAGCTAACTTCACTCTCTTTAGCAATCTTATTGCCACGATACTGCTAACTGCTCTCCTATTTACAACGTTCGTGAAACCCAACGGACCGTAATCGATGAGTCTCAACAATATTGTGCAAACCGCAATGGAAATCTGCAGACCACGCCCGCCAGTTTGGCGGGCCCCCTTCCAACCCGGAACAGGAATGCAGCTTCACAGTCCGCCGGATTATCAACCTTCAATGGCGACGACACGCATCATCTTTTCGGGCCCTCCGCTCAGGAAACAGATCCGAAGATGGACCAAGCCGCACAAACGGGTGTCATTGTTGATATGGAAATGGACTTCCCACCTGACTTCGGCAATCTCAGCGATAGAAATAATCCACCATCAGATCATCCGACCCCGTCGACCCTCAATTCGTCATCAAACACTTCTTACTCAATCATTGGTGCCGACAACCCATCTCCCCCTAACAAGCAACAAAAAACAAACTTGATGTATCCCAACCAGGTGTCAGCTCCGTCGTTGGAGAAAGGCAATCCAAGCGGTCAACCACATGGAGTCACGAATACGCAGGTCACTGACATGTCCTCTTTGGCTGGTCGATACTACCAAAACATATCTGATACCACATCCGTTCCCACAGAAGCGCCGTCCAGCATGTTTTCAATGCCTTCTGCGTGGGACTTCCAAGCCCCAAATCCAGATATGCGCAATGGGGACTTCGGCAACCTAACTATGGAGTCCTTCACTGAATCCCAGTGGGCCCAGATGTTGGGTAGCCAGATTTTGAGTGAAAATGGGAACAACGCTGGCTGGGAGAACTGGCGGCCATCGTGAGTGCAGCACGTCTTGAAACAAATGCTTCTTATGAAGACACCTTTCGTATCGCGTTGCTTGCCCTCGCATGCCAAAGATTTCCCACGATCCAAGACTTTGGACTCGCACTGTTTAGAACGGTCGACAATCTCTAATCAAACGGCGGGCAGGGACGCTGGTCTGCGACCTTACTGCAGGTCGTTACTTCATGGGTGCTTATTCCATTGAGCTTCCTCTAGTCCGAGTCGGAGATTACTATGTGGGCCACCAATCTCCCAGTATAACGGATATAAGGTTCTACCAACCGCGATAACCCAGCACTTGAGGTGAGCCCTTCAGTCTCTTTTTCCCGAGATTGATTTGGCCATCACGGAATTTCACCTACATTTGCGGCTCTCCTCTTGCCATAAGTCTTATTAAAGGCGACTGGCAGCTGGACAACTCGCTGGGGCTTTCCTCTTGAAATGAATTGATGATGAACGAATGAACGGTCTCTATGGATGGGCACTCTCACTCTTGAATACACCGGACTTTACACTATGTCGCTTGGGGCGTTTGGGGCGTTTGGGGCTTCCAATTCATGTTAACTATACCAACTACTACAATACTAGATCAGAGATTCAATATCGTATTGGCATCACTTATTTGTTATGTTACATTCATTCATAAAACTATTAGTTTTTGACAATCTCCTCGATTGTCCACTGAGGGCTTGGAAGAAGCCGCTGAGGAAAAAGTTGGCGTAAGGCCTGTTATTACAAGCCACCGCCAGCAGCACCGACAATCTTCAAACCCCCAGGGTTGGAACTGCCAGGACCATCAGTCGTGGTCGAGTAAGCCAGCCAATACCGTGAAGGATGCCACTCCACAGCCGATACCCCGGCATTGATGCCACCAGGAACAGGAATGGTATGGATACTGTCCCCGGACTCAGCATGGAAGATTTCGAGTCCATTTCCGGCACATGCAAGTTCGTCGCATGCGCCAACAACATAGCGGCCATCGAAACTCCAACTGACGCCGCGTATCGCACCGCCGTTCTCACTAGACAAGGTGCGACGACAGATCCAGTCAGTGGTGTCCCAGAGGGAGATGAGAGCATCACTCCCGCCAACTGCTAGGTATCGCCCTGTCGGGGCCAGCGCAATGGAAAGACAAGCCGAGGTGTGGGCGTTGAGGGTATGCATGATATTGAACGAAGGGTAGGACATGATCTTGACCTTGCCTTCACCAGTCGTCACGAATACTTGCTGCTCCTGACGCTCGGGTGTCGGCATGCACCATGAGAAAGTTGTCGCGTTTGTCTGGACGGGTTGAGGGCGCGGCTCGAGAGCTGTGTATGTAGTCGCGCCGGGAGTGGAGGAAGGGGTGTTAAGGGCGCCAATAGGATCGGGATGGGCGGTCGGGGAGGAGGGGAATTTAACGGAAACAGGGATCAATGTGTCGTCCTGGTTTCATATCATATGTCAGTACCTTTGCCGTTGAAGAGAGATCTGGGAGTCCCAGAGCTAGGCATGCGCATACCTTCTTGCCGACAATCATTGTGCTGCCATCAGCGGACCAGGAGAGCGTGAAGGCTTCGCCACCAACATCAAGACGGCTCACACAGGTCTTAGAGCGCACATCCCAAAAGCGCACTGTACCATCGGCCGAGCAACTGGCCAGCTCGGCGTCGCGGACTGGGTTGAAGAGCACCTTCTCAATGCCAGCTGTGTGGCCGCGCAGTTCCGTTGAGTATCTGACATGAGGGCGATCAGGGTTCCAGATTCTAATGGTGCGATCTGCGGAGCCAGCCGCAATAAGCTGGCCCGTAGGGTTCCAGGCAAGAGTGCGGATGCTGTGTTACCGGATTGTCGTCAGAAGAGGCGCGATCGATGTCCATTGGCAACAGGGAAACTTACGTATGGGAGCCCGGACCCTTGGAGGCAGGGTCATAGTAGCTCTGGGTCTTCACATTTCCAAAGACAAAAGAGAAATGGTCCTTATGGAGGAGCTCGCGACGTGGGGCCGCCATGTCGTCGTCTTCGTCTAGCAAGTCTTGCGAGTCGAAGGTCCACCTGCACCTGCACCTGCTGCCTGCACCAGCGACAAATGCCCTAGTAGAGGTAGAAGGAATGAGACCTAGCGGCTCACAATCAACGCTGTTAGGAGCAGACTCAATAATGGAGAGAGTAAGAGAGTGCTCGGATACCGCCTTTTTGGCGGTCCGATACTGCCTCCCAACTGTTATCGGGTACAATCACAATTTTAGCCTCAGGCATCAATCGTTATCGATACGGTAATCACCACGTGCGCTGAGCGGAAGAAATAGTAGGACATCAGGAGAAATACATCGTTTGTTGCACTTCGGCGGCATCCTTTTTGACTTTATCAATGCGATGGTTACGATCCACTATGTTAACCGAGATGGATGACAAGCTTCATTCGATCATTGAGCTACCAACTATTGCCGATATTGAGGCGTCGACCGATGTTCTTAGTGTACGAACAAATGCCATCAAAGTGGTTCGAGTGAAGGAACGCTTCGCGGTCAAAATGGGGTACCCATTCGATCCCGCCTTTGGAAGCTGAGAACATGAAATTTGTTGCATCCAACAGCAAAGTTCCTGTGCCAAAGGTTCACCCCAACTTCATCGACCCAGAGACCCAGAAACGATATGTTGTTATGGATTACGTCCCTGGTACAGACTTGCAAAAGTTACTGCCGTCGCTCACCTCAACTGAGAAGACAATGATCAGCCAGAGGATCAGACAGGCGATCAATGAACTGCGAACAATACCATCACCCGGCTACTTTGGGAGCTTGAATTACACGCCTTACACCGACGGTGTCCTTTCAACTCCTGATAACAACCCAATCATTTCCGGGCCATTCGCGGATCAGAAGCAGATGAATCAAGGAATACTGGAGAGACTGGGCCAAATGCAGTCTCCACACTACATTCGATTGTTGAAAGAAATGGTCAACTGCACTCTCAAGAACCATCGAATTTGTCTTTACTCATGGAGATCTGCAACCAAAGAACGTAATTGTGGAGCGAAGAGGGGTCTGTGATAATGGAGACGCAGACTTCAAAGTCACTCTGACTGGAATTTGTCAGGCTGGTACAAGCCATAAAGCCATAGGCTCTGCATTTTACATTTTCTTGTACGCGAAATCAACCTCTCGGCCTCTTTTCAACAGCCCAGCCGGAAAGAAGATATCGTTTAAATCAATCTCACAGTGAATCTGCCGCTCATACGGGGGTGTAATGAACTGTAACCTGCAATTATGTAGGTGGATCCCTTAGCTGCAGCCTTGTGGGTCCCCGATAAGCGTTCCACGGAGCTTAATCAAACCTCACCCTTTGACAGAAAAATCAACCCTTCTTCAAGATACCCAATCGTGATAAGCAGACACCATGTTTGACGAAGTGGACGATGCATCGCGTCGGGAAAAGTGTTTCACCACCATAACTCGACTGCCAGCTTTCATTGATCCAAAGCAGATCCCGACCAAGAGATCGCCATTTTCGACAATTCAGAATCACGCATTTGTACACACAGTACGTAGCCATCGGCTTGCCTCGAGATAGGGGTCATTGACAGATAGGATATAGGTTGAGGCAATCCTACCAAGGGAGGTGTACGCACAGATAAAGTCGAGGCTCAAGGACAAAATAGAAAAGCCGCAATATGCACGAGTGTTCATGGCTCCTTCTGCTCTGCTTGAGCATGATTTCTTCAACACATACATTAAGACAGGTATTTATGCCTCTACAAGTACTAGGCACCTTTGGTGTCCATTTCCCTCGACTAGTTGATCTGACTCGGCGCATAGGGAATATCCTGGTGATATCTGAAGGACGCTCGGGGTCCGATAATGTCTTTACCCTCCGGGATGGTTAGTCACTGAAGCTGCACTTGGAAAGGCTGTGCCATCGGGGAACGGAGAAGTGACTCAATTCAATAGGGGTACTTCGCATGGAGCTCGGGAAAGAGATATACGAACGAACAGGCCTCACGGGCAAGCCCATTCGCAGCGGTGGCCGGAAACACGCAAAGGAAAGATTCTGTGCGTATAACAGGAGCAAATGGGTGTTTTCGAACCTTTTACTAATGATGTCGTCAGTGGTGGAACTGAATTTGCGGCTGCCCTCAATGCTGCACGGCAAGAAAGGATTCGAAAGAATCGTGTGGGCATTCGAAAATGTTCTGAATCAACGAATGGCGTGGCTCTTTCACAACCTCGAAAGCAAGCCTGGAGGTGCAGGTGACTAGGCCCCGAAGCTTCAGGAAACAGAACAATGAAACTTACCAAAGAGACTGGACAGGGACCACGCCAATCCAGAAGCTTCACCCACAGTTGATAACATGTGAACCAGAGGAGATCGATAACGAGAAAATCATCACACCGCCATTTTGCCAGAACGAGCAAGCCCTCGAGGAAATGGTAGAGGCAGATCTGCAGGAATACTGTGGCTCCCTGTCAGAATGGATTGCCATGGTTCAGATGAATTCTCCCCGGGTATCCGCGGATGATAACATCGATCCGTACCTGAGTCGCTATGCTGTCCCAGACGCAGATGAAAGCCGGGCTCTCGACCTGGTAAAGTTGAAATGGCATGGGCTGATATCGTCCCAGTGGGTCATGCAGCTGTTCCTCAATTTGCTGTGAGTTCTGATTCACTACCTTGATATGTTGAAGGGCTGGCGAAGGACTGACATGATTCAATGGGCAGGCAAAACACTAAGACCAGCAACTCATCATGGTTTGTACTTGCCGCAGCTGCGCTTGGTAAAGAGGCCGTCGAAGGAAGGGATGGCTTCACGGTTATGGCCATTCCTACATCTACAAGCAGTGAACAGTCCCAGGAAGATGGACAAGCAGCAGAAGATAAAACTGGGTCTAGTGATCGTGTGGTTATGGTGTGGGAATTGTTGGGGGCGACAGTGACTGAACACTGACCTAGCCTTGTGCCCTCTCGACAACCTCACAATGATACCACAGAGCTCTACAATGGAAGATACCAATACTTTGCGTGGCAATGAATCCTATTTGACAGCCAAGAAACTCCAACAGATGCAATGAAATCTAAAACATGTAAGATACTCAGTGCTATGTCCAGAGCATCCAAAGTGTCTCACTAAGTCGCACGCCATAGTACAAACAAAGCACAATGCGACGGTCCGTGACCTAGGAAATAATGTTCCAATTGAGAAATGGTAGGTTAACCCGTCAAGTCATTTACAATGTCTCGTAAGATAGGCCGATTGCCAACCACGTTGGTACCGTTGAACAACTTTGCACCTATCTTCGAAGGCTTCCGAGGACCGGGAGGCGCTTGCCGGGAGCCCAGTGGACTTAGTGGATCACGAGCAGAGCGAGCAGAGAGTGACCCTTTCTTGATGGAAGGGCTCGTCATCTCGGCTTTGCGCTTGCCCTTGGCAGAGCCAGGGGTCGATACCGCACCCGGAGACATGAGTTGCGACTGCGAGGTGCAATCGAAGACATGCTTGTCTATTGCCTGGCTGGGCAAGTTGTAGACCCAGTCTTTGCTTTCCATGAGACGCACATATTTGCAGAGGAGCTCGTTACCATCGCGAAGAGTGGATCTGCTGCCGACGACCAGGAGTTTCGTTTGTGCGCGAGTGAAGGCGACGTTGACACGACGCCAGTCACGTAGGAGTTCGCCGACGTTGTTTTCAGCGTTACTGCGGACGCAGCTCAGTATGACGATCTCTTTGTCACGGCCTTGGAATTTGTCTGTGGTGTGCATTTCAAGGTCTGGAGTGTAGCGTCGCAGACTCTGGCGGAGAAGCGAAAGTTGACTCCGGTAGAAGGTGATCACGCCAATGTTGCGTGCCGGAATACCGCAGGCGATGAAGGACTCCACAAGTTGCGAACAGAGGAAGACCTCCATATGATTCACTACGCGATTTCCCTGTGCTATCTCCAGAGCGGCAGGACCGATGGGATCGGTGTTGACCAGGCGCGTTTTCGCAGATGGCGTCAATAGGTCGCGCAGCCAACATGAGCTGTTATGAGTACCAGGGCAGGGGTCTCGTTGAGACCGTGGCGGAGCTTGGCTCACATCATCGACATGGAATTTCTCGAGCGCGTTCATGTCGGGTATAACCAGAGATCGGCTTGCAACCTGCGGTGTGCCGCATTTTAGACGACCCGAGTATATCAGGGTGTTGGAGAGTAACATGATGTCCTCACACATGCGATACTGGTGCTCTAGGTTGACCACCGAGTCTGGTTGAGCATCCGAGAGCAATTTGAAGAGACTGACGTCTAGTCCTCCTTCCTGGGCCGCTTTATTCTGCACAAGCGGCGGCAGCTGGTAGTGATCACCGACCAGGATAAAAGTCCTTGCCATGCGGATGGGGCCGAGGCAGACAGGGAGTGTGATCTGCGAAGCTTCATCGACAATACAGTAGTCGAAGATGCGCTGATTGAAAATGTTGTGGTTTACTCCGAGGCATGTAGTGGCAACGACCTGGGGCTTCTCATATGAATTCTTCAGTTCTTCAATGGTTGCCTTTGGGATTGCAGCAAGATCGGCGAAGTCCTGGACATCCGGATGGATCTTGGCGGTCGCACCAATACGCAGCACACGAATGTTGTCGTCTCGGATCTTCAGTAGAATGTTGTCAACTGCAGTGTGGGTGTACGATGTGAGAAGAACACTCTTGCCTTGTGCGACCAGCGCACGAATGATATGAGCAATTGTTGTGGTCTTTCCGGTCCCAGGCATTCCGAGGACAAGGGCGTAGTCTTTGGCGCTCATAACCTTGTCGATGGCCTGTTTTTGGTCAACATTGAGACTGCCGGGATCAGAGATCGTGTATGCGGAGGACGGCGACGCCTTAAAGGCGGGCGTTTGACCCTCGACAATGAGCCGTCGAAGCTGCCTCGCTTGGAACAAGTCTTTATCCATCATGCAGATGAGATTGTTTCGCACAATGGCCATGCCGTTGCTGAATTCGTCTTTGTCGATTCGATAAACCAGCTGCTCTTCCGGGTCTTCCAGAGCTGCAGGTTCTTCTTTTCCAACCTCCATGATACCTCTGAAGGACTGATTTGTGACTGCATTGAAGCCGACCGTTTTAGATCGTGCATTGTGAAGTTTTCGATCCACCCCGACTTTGATGTGCGATGGACTAGTATGCACCACGTATCCGTTGGCGAGAGCAAAATGTCCCTTCTCATCGGAAATGACAATTGGCTCACCGACAGATATTTGAGATTCAGCAAACGAGAAGCCAGGAGGCGCTTTTCGTTTGACGAACGTATAATGGTAGCGATTGATCTTTGTCCCAGTGTTTTCCTCGTATACCGATTTCGGATCAATCACAACATCCCCGAAGCATCGGCCCAGAGCCTCTCGTTCGCTGCTCAGCAACGTCCAAAGTTCACGACGGAACTTGACGAGATTGCCTTCCTCTTTGGTCAACAGGTCATCCCATTTCCGGAAGAAGTCCCGATCGCCATTGTCTAGATGACCGACGGCCGCATCAAAGTCCTCGCCAAGTGCGCTGGTTTCTCCATCGCCGTCCTCAGAAAGCTTGTGGTAGATGAGGCAAGGGGTCTTTGCATAACAACGAATACATTGACGCGCTTTCTTCAGCATCGGTGGAAGCTGCTGCCTTTCACGAATATAGCCAGCCAAGTGATTGCGCACCTGAATCATCTGGCGGAGTTCATGTCGAACTCCGCGGATGCTGAGAGTCTTCGTCAATTCGAGGTAATAGAGAAGCCCGAAAGTCACATCAAGATCTATATCATGATTTAGCAGCTGGTCAAAAGGGGTTGGAGCCTCGATAGATGCCCGATCACTTACCATAGCGATCCGACAGAAGTAAAGTGTAAAGAGCCGTTTGAGCTCTGTGTGATTGGTTCGTGTCTCTTCGTCCAGTCTTGAGCTCCAGTGGAACGACCAGGTTCCTCTCGACTTTATCTTCACGACAGGCGACTTGTACAGTCGCATCGATGTTGCCTTTCAGCCCATACATTGGGGACCAAATATGCTCCTCGACTCCGAGCAGCTTATTGATGCTCAAATTTAACTTGGAGCTGTTGCGGTCTTCTACCATAGAATTGGCCTATTCGTCTTGATTAGCAGCTCCCTCGAAAGAAGGGGGACTCTATGGGCCGTGAGACGTACCTGTGGCTTGGGATGTAGGAAAGTGTGTGCCCAGTCGAGGACGGCAGGCATCCTGCTCATGAGATATTCAACAGCTTCAGGGATGCTCATTTGAATCGAGTACAGCTCCTCAACATGTCTGCCCATAACAGTCTCCACCAATGTCTTCAATGAATCCATATCCCATTGGTTCGCTTTGAGAGCTTCTTGGAAAACTTCGTGAAAGAACACACCGAAAGCCTGCGGCCTCTCAAGTGCGCCGATGACTTTGACTCGATCTTGAAGGACAGCTCGTCGCTGGCAGTCGATCGAATCTGCCACAACCGTAGCGGAAATGAGGTGATCAGGGTGGAGGATGATCATGTTGTTTGTATTATCTACAACGCATTGGCCAGCTGCGTTGAAGTCCCCGACCAGGTGGATGTACGAGTCCTTGCTGCAGGGAGTATCGAACCATGTCTCCCGCAGGATGATGTGTTTGCGGTCTCGAGTTTTCTCATCTTCGACAAGCAAGCCCTGTACTTGAAGTCAGCGGACGGACTGTATCCGAGGCAAGGGCAAATTATCTGACCTGTTCTGGCTGAGTACGGCCTTTCGGGGTGACATAGGTGGACTCCTGGATGTCAACGATGTGATAACGCTTGATAGCTTGTCGACCTTTAAGGTTCTATTTGTTTGACTGTCTTAGCATATTTAGTGATATACCAACTAAGAGTGACTAACATAAGCCGGTCCTGCTTCACCTGCTTGCTTCATAGTTTGTTCGATGGCCTCCATATCAAAATCATCATCAAACTCGTCATCAAACTCTTTATCCGACAATCCAATCTCGGCCTTGGCAGTCACGGTAGCTGGGTGTTTGCTATGTAGACTGCCATTGACAGAGGCATTCAGCGCATCTGTCTTCTGCAGATTTAGGCCCATGGAACTCTGGTTTGATGGCTCGGCCGGTCTAGACTGTGTGTCACACTTTGCCAGGAGTTCCTGCAGATTATCGGGCAGGTCGTCATAATCATCGGAATCATCGAATTCATCATCTTTCGTTTCGTTATTCGTATTGTTTGGAGGGAGTGAAGGCTTGCTGTCCAGGATTGAATCCTCTTTGGGGTGGCATGAACGAGACTTATCTGCCGTGAGGACAGCCCAGCCAGAGGATCCCAGAGAAGCAAACTCATTAGAGGGCGTTGGTTCAGTGAAAGGATCCCCCGAGACATCGGCCAAATCCATTAGATCCTGATCAAGATCGTCGTCTCCGAACTCGGATGACGACTCTTCAAGAACAGGCGGCTGCCCAATTCTTCCTTTCTCCAGCGGTGGGCCGCAAGGTGAGTTGGCAGCTTCTTCGAAAATATCGTGGAGCTTACTGTCCTTCATAGGCGAAGATGAGCGACACCTGCGCACATCCACGTGTTGACGCAAAGGGGAAGACCCAGGTGGCCTCGCGTCGGCAGGAGCCATGTGTATACTTCTCTCAATCTTCTCCATAAGATAAGTGATTCTTGAGGATTTGGGATTCCCAGACTCGACATTGCTGCTAGTCCGTTCAAACATGCCACGACCACGAGCATCTAGTCGGTTGACTCGTCGTCGTTTTGTCCGAGAAGTGGGAAATTCAGTAGTGCAACTAATTGCACGCCTAAGCCCCGAAGAGTCTCGGCTTGTTCTGCCCGAAACCGGTGTCTGAGGTGAAGATGAGAGAAGATTTGCGAGTCGCGGTGGTGGAAGCTCTTCTGCTCCATCAACCATGTTTTTGTCAATGTAATTATTCCACAATTCGGCAGCCATGTCATGTTGCGGGGTTTTGAAGAGAGCTTGTATTGACTGGAGATCGAGGGGTTCTTTTTGGCTCTTTTTGTTCTTTCCTTTTGAGGGAGAACCAGCAGGCGAAGAACTGTGCCTGCGCTTCCTTCGACGACTCGCCGTTGTCTGAGACGAAGTATCCGCGTTTGAGCTGGCAGGCACATGCTGCCATATGACATGCTCAACAGGTGTCACCTCCGCAACTGCCGCGGGATCAAAAGAATCTTCAGCATTGCCGATTAAATCGGCCAGAGGTATCCTGTTGCCTGGGGTCTGAGGGCAGTCTTTGGTTGGTCTTGTTTCTTGTATCTCGGGTTCCGGTGCTTGAACGTCATGAGGTAGAGGCTTGCTTTCATTGGAGGATGTCTGCATCAGCTCAGCCTCACGGTTAGAGCCCGGTTCTTGAGATCCTTTGCTCCCACTAGCCGACTTCGTCTCGTCTTTCGAGGTGTCGTGGGGAATTGCTTCGTCTTCTTTAAAGCGAAACGCGTTCAACTTTGTCCGTGAGTTGGAGGAAATCGGATATGCATTGTTTGTGGCCATTGCTTCGACTGGGGAATATCCAATGACGCGTTCAAAATTGGTAAGGATACATTCCGCGAGAAGCTATGTAGAGAAGGACAATGTTAGGAACAAGACACATTAGGGCTTGCAGAACGACACATACCAATTACTTGTGTTGAAGAAGGTATGTACAGGTAAAATTGCATCGACCGTTCAAGTATATGACAGATGAGACAAGTAGCGAATCCAGCACCCGTTTCGGCAGAATTGGCAAGGGCAGGTCAGACGTGATAAGAACGCGTCGCGCGTGGAGTATTGACACCTAGTTTGTAAGGCAGGAGCATGTGTCTGGATTGATGCCTGAATTATCGGGAGCAAAGGCGGAACAAGAAAATTGCCCTAAGTGGACTAGCGCATGACTGGACAGCTTCCCGGCCTTTTACGGCTTCAACATCAACCCGCCGAAGCACCCCTCCACTCTCTTTCAAGAGGCCCCATATCAATTGACACCGTCTCTGCCACCTGAACTGACAGGGAATCTTTGAGCCTCGTGATTTTTCCCCGTACACTCGCACGCCAGTGTATCTTCGATCGGTCCAAACCCTCTTTCACCCCCGTCTTCAAGATGACTCCCCGGTCATTGTCGCACATCCTCCGGGCACGCTGCCTGCTTCGCGCACCCCAGAACAAGCAGGCCTTCTCCACCGGATCTCGCCTCCGTGCCGCGGACCACGGTGATCACTACGATCCTCCTACCGGCTGGCTGTTCGGTGTCAAGCCCGGTCAGAAGTACCAAAAGGAAGGCTGGGAGAACATCTGGTACTACGGATTCATTGGAAGCTTGTTGGTTGCTGGAGTCGCATATGTTTTCAAGCCTGATACTTCGTATGTACTACCCATGGCCCCTGGCCCTTGACCCCTTATCTAGGGGGCTCGGCTCGTCGCACACTAGATTACTGACAATTGCGATAGGATACAAACATGGGCTCTTGAAGAGGCTCGCAGGAGACTGGAGGCCGAGGGCATCCTCGAGGACCCCGATAAGGTCAAGAAATAAACGCCAAATTTGTACGCTGTACATAGAGATCGGAGAGATACTATTTCGATCCATGCCTGTACCACCTGCGACGGCAGACTTGATGTTCCGGTCTTTTCCTTAGGTCTTTTTCTTAGACAGGTTTTCCATTTTTCGCATGCTTATCTATTTCGTTTGTTACTTGTTGTATCACTTTATTCTCTCAAAGCTGCTTTCTTTCATGCTGGTCATAGGTGCTGCTGCAAACTTTTGCTTACAATTCGCACTGAGCACATCATGAGAAGATCCAAACGCCATAAAAGTTGATACTCAATAGACCATTTGAGATGTGTATTAGGGCAGGGAAAGCATGTACACGCATCGGCCTTTCTGCTGCTCGCATGCAGTTTTCAAAACTCAGAATAGATCACTCCTCCGAAAAGCAAGGCCATGCGCCGCCGAATCAATGCATGAAGGTCGAGATCACTGTCTTCGGTTGCAATTTGGCCGTTGGGTTCTTCCCTGCCGGCTTTGCTATCGTAACCCCGTGGGCCGATGATCATGGAATGGCCATGGCTGCGCCTCTTCTCATTATGATAGCCTACCTACCTGCGCAGCTCCAATCACGCATAACTGCGTCTCAATAGTTCTTGCTCGCAGTGTAATAGCTTCAATTTGTCTTGCCCGTTGGAGGAGTGAATGACGAGGGATTTCGATGATCCAGACTCATATCTGGAAAAATGCGAATGTATTATCGAGTATCAGTAACATCCATTTTAAACCAGACGGTGACCAAGGTACTCCGCACCTTAATACTCATATCGAAACATATACTAAGACCAACAACACCCGATATTGCATCAGCTCCGAATGTTTAGTGTTCTGTGCGGTCTTTAAGGTACCGAGGTTGTTAATTGTTTCCCCCTCGTCCTCTTAGCCCCCCTTAGACCTCCCTTCCCAAACCTAGGTTATCATGAGGTGGAGAAGGCCTTGGAGCGCTCGGTCCGACTGAGGCAGAAGGAGAATGATGACCTTAGGTTCTCATTTACTGCGACAAACCCCTCTGTCACTGCGCAGACGACCTCACCAAGTTGAGGCCTATGCGCGTCGGATTACAACCTTTACCCTCGCGGGCAAAACAACTAGTACGCTCACTACCTGTCAGGATATCATAGCCAGTACCTAGTTCCAGATTTTTGGACCTTTGGTGCGACGGATCCCGATAGGTGTCGAACATGAATGTAGCCTCACTTATGTAGGATTAGTGAGCGAGCGGCGAGCCCTTACATACCAGTTACCACGCACCCATGGACGGCCTACATTGTACAATGCGTACAGTACATGGTTGGCCAAGGAATTCCGCCCGGTGATGAGCAAATATACGTGACACGTCAACAACAATATGTGATCCCATGAGAGGAAACAACCATCCAAGGTTTGTTGTAAGTAGCATCCGAATAGCATCGAGCGTATCCATCTAGATATGCACGTGACGAGATGACTTGGTTATCGCGATAAGGGCCAGCGATAACCTTCCAAAGGCCAAGGTTCTTTCTGCCAAGACTCTCACTCGGATCTTTTACAAGACACACAGGTTTCAACGGTCCAGCAACTGCTAGACGACAGAGTCTTATCCTCACAATGAAGAGTTTAAGGAGAGATTTGTCGGCCAACCCGCAAGCCGCAAATGTCACTAGCAAGGTCTACGTGAGGTCCTTGAAAAATGGAAAGGTGCAAAAGATTGTCCGCGAGCTCTATCTGAGAGAAGATATTCCTTGCTCTTCCAAGCTCTGCGGACAATGTCCGACCATCGCGCCGGCTGACGCCAATGGAAACAGTAAGGATACATCTATGAGAGATTCATCAAGCCGGTTCGGTCACTAATGTAAGACAGTTGCGCCGTTCGTCCTATCCGATCGCCCCGCAGGTACGACGGCGTTCCCGCGAGGCCACTACCTTGTCCCCGATACAAATGCGCTACTCAATGGAATGGATCTTTTCGAGCATACTGGTGCTTTCTACGATGTGATTGTTCTTCAAACTGTTCTCGAGGAACTGAAAAACCGATCGCTGCCACTGTACAATCGACTACTGGCGCTAGTCAAGTCCGACGAAAAGCGCTTTTACCTTTTCTTCAACGAGTTTCGCCGAGAGACTCATGTTCGGAGAGGACCGGACGAATCGATCAACGACCGAAATGATCGCGCGGTGCGCCTGGTAGCCAGCTGGTACAGCTCCCACCTGCAACAGTCAATAAGGAAGGGAAAGAAGGAGAAGGCGATTCCAGCGATCGTGGTTATCACTGACGACAAAGAGAACCTTCGAAAATGCAAGGAAGAAAATGTGACAGCTTTGTCGCTATCTGACTACGTCTCTGGCTTGGAGGGGTCGGACATGTTGCTGGATATGATCAGTGAGTCGAAGGATGCACGAGACTCCAAGGAAACAAACCGTGGGGAACTGTTCTATCCCGAATACTATTCCATGTCAAAACTCAAGACTGGCCTAGGAGCAGGGACACTGCACCAAGGAGTCTTCAATGTCTCTCCCTACAACTACTTGGAAGCCTCCGTCAAAACCGCGTCTTTCGATAAGCCGCTGCTCATCCTGGGCCGTGACAACAGCAACCGCGCAATCGCGGGTGATTCTGTTGTGGTCGAAGTACTGCCGCAAGACCAGTGGAAGAGCCCTTCGACTAAGATCATGGACGAGGAGGCAGTGACCCGCAATGACAACCCTGAAACCGAGGAGACCGAAGCTGTGGTGTCAGAAAGAGAACGCAAAGCTCTCCAAGAAGAAGTCAAAAAGGCCCATGGCAAGACCTCGGAAGGAAAGCCACAACCTACCGCCAAGGTTGTAGGTGTGATCAAGCGTGGCTGGCGCCAATACGTTGGCCACGTTGACTCGAACTCCACTGGCGCACAGTCTTCTGGTAGACGGCAACAAAATGTCTTCTTACTGCCCATGGACAAGCGTATTCCTAAGATTCGAGTACGCACGAGACAGGCTGCCAACATCGTTGGTCAGCGCATTCTCGTCACCATCGATGCTTGGGACCGAGATTCTCGATACCCCACCGGTCACTTCATTCGGTCTTTGGGAGAGCTTGAAACCAAGGGAGCTGAAACGGAAGCTCTGCTTCTTGAATATGACGTGCAGTATAAGCCATTCCCCAAGTCAGTCCTGGATTGCCTCCCATCTGAAGGACATGATTGGAAGGTCCCTGTCTCGAAGGAAGACAAGGGTTGGAACGGCCGGAAAGATCTTCGAGACTTGCTTATTTGCAGTATTGATCCCCCCGGCTGTCAGGATATTGACGACGCACTCCATGCTCGTGTCCTACCTAATGGCAACTTTGAGGTCGGTGTTCACATTGCAGACGTGTCGCATTTCGTCAAACCCAACAACCCCATGGATCTCGAGGCCAGTATTCGTGGAACCACTGTTTACTTAGTCGACAAGCGTATCGACATGCTTCCGCATCTTCTTGGTACCGACCTGTGCTCTCTTAAGCCCTACGTTGAACGATATGCCTTCTCCGTTTTGTGGGAGATGACCCCAGATGCTGAGATTGTGTCCTCGAATTTCACCAAATCAGTCATTCGCTCTCGGGAAGCGTTCAGCTACGAACAGGCTCAGTTGCGCATTGACGACAAATCACAAAACGACGAGCTGACCCAGAGCATGCGCACCCTGTTGAAGTTTTCCAAAATCCTCCGTCAGAAGCGCATGGACGCTGGTGCTTTGAACCTTGCTTCCCCGGAAGTCCGCATTGAGGCCGATAGCGACGAAGTTGGTGATCCATTGACGGATGTTAAGACTAAGGCCATGCTTGACACCAACAGCTTGGTCGAAGAGTTCATGCTTCTTGCCAATATCACCGTCGGAACTAAGGTCTACGAGTCCTTCTCTCAGACAGCGTTGCTACGTCGGCACGCCACGCCCCCGCCTCAGAATTTCGAGGAACTCCAAAACCAACTCTCCAAGAAGCGGAATATGGAGCTTGATGTCTCAAGCTCACGAGCACTGGCTGACTCCTTGGACCGTTGTGTCGATCCTAAGAACCCATTCTTCAACACCCTCGTCCGTATCTTGGCAACCCGTTGCATGACATCTGCAGAATATTTCTGTGCTGGTGCCTTTGCCGAGTCTGAGTTCCGCCATTACGGTCTTGCTTCGCCTATCTATACCCACTTCACTTCACCCATCCGACGATACGCCGATCTCATGGTGCACCGGCAATTGGCTTCTGCCATTGGCTATGAAGGAGAGGATGGACATGCGATTAACGAGGGTGTCGCTACCCGCAACAAGCTGGAAGACATCTGCCGTAACATCAACGTCCGTCACCGCAATGCACAACATGCCGGTCGCGCTAGTATCGAGTACTACGTCGGTCAGGCTCTGAAGGCCCGTGGAGAGAAGATGGCGGCCGATGGCGTTGATGCAGGTATCGAAGAAGAAGGTTACGTCATGCGTGTATTCGAGAATGGAGTCGTCATCTTCGTTCCTCGCTTCGGTATTGAAGGTGTCGTTCGTCTGGAAGACTTTGTCCTGCCCGGCGAGTCTGGAGCTCGCTCTGTCGCCGAGAGACGGGAGCTGGTTCCTCACCGTACCACGGACTTCGATAACGAGGAATACACCCTTCGAGTGTCAGAGAAGGGCCATCCAGAAGCTGAACGCAGTGTCACTGTCGAACTATTCCAGAAAGTTCGTGTCAACATCAGCTCCGTCAAGGAAGAGGGTCGCGGCGCCGGCAAGAGAAGGGTACGGATTTTGGTTACGCAGGCATGAGCCAAACGCTACAACTTTGTAGATTAGAACTAGTGTAAGAACGGCGTTCAAATCAATGGGATTACTGATGACAGTCTATCTTAAATATGTTCATCCAAAATTACTTCTGGCTTTTTGCACTATGTACTGTGATTGATATCACATTCAGACTTTCTTCATAGCCACCATTCTGCGAAGCAAGCTGATCGGAGCCCATAGCTGGGTATCCGTACCAGTGGTCTGCGTGGCAGCAGGAAGAGTCGGAGGGTGACCTTGCTTCTCATTTCCGCCAGTGGCTCCAGCCAACGGGCCAGCCTGCACGACGGGGTCACGACGCGCCTCAGCGCACTCCAATGCGCCGACCCTCCAGCCACGGACAAGCCACAGGCATATCGAAGCAGCCAAATACATAAACCCGGTGAATATCTGAACGTGCAGATATGAAGTTCCGCCACCAGCAACGTGGCTGCGAAGCTCAAGGGCAATGGGCTCGGAGACAGTGCAAGGGATTACAAGGACGAGCCAGGTAATGCTCAGACCAGAAGGAAGGTCCCTGATACCAATAATCTCCGCCAGAACCGGAGAGACCGTAGCCCAGTATGTGCCTGCAACAGTGCCAACCAAAACAGCAAAGAAGCACACGACACCCATACTATCAGCAGAAGTCCAGATGGCTAGACAGAACAAACCACAGAGAAAAGAGAGGAAAGTGGCTATATTAATGCGACCCAGCCGATCACTAAACATGCCAACAAACGGCCGACCAAGACCCTGTCCAAGATTGAGCATCGCCGAGACAATACTTCCCTGATGCGAAGAAAGGCCGACGGAAAGTGCAAAGTTCGCAACACTAAACAGCAGCGCCACGTAGCCAAGCATGCTGAAAACACCCCATGCAAGGAAAAGCAAGAATTCCGGACGACGCAGCAGCGGCAAGTGAAAAGCCGTAAATCTACTGCCAACAGCCTTATTGCGGTCTCGGAGGAGGTTGCAGCAGACCAGATTCACGACGCAGGAGACGATACCCAATATGCGGAAAGCCCAGCCCAACCCGTAGCGCGGGATGATGGCGCCCACAGCAAGAGAGTAGATTAGACCGCCGAGACCTGATCCTGCGGCGTTGATGCCCATTGCTACACTGCGGTGTTTGCTGAACCATTGCGGGGTTATGCCGACGCTGCCTACGAAGAGGAAACCCATGCCCCAGCCGAAGCAGACGCCTTGGCTCAGAAAGATGTGCCATTTTACGGTTGCGAAGGAGGAGCCGATCAAAGAGAGGGTTTCGAAGAATACCCCCAGGTTGAGCACTAAGCGTGTGCCCCATTTGTGGATCATGTGCGTTGCTAAGGGTGCTACTAGCAGGGCACAGGAGATACTCAGTCCGCCGGTGAAGGCGTATGATAGGGCCGAGGTATTCGGGAATACATCGTTCGAGAGGTAGTAGCTCAGGAAGACTCCGTAACTCTGGATATGGGACTGGTTAGTCGAGATTCGAGAACACACAGTGTAACTGGAGGTGTGAGGGTGAGTGACTCACGCTGTTGATACCCCAGGTATGCGCATTGATCCAGAATACACAGGCGACACAGACCCAGCCATATCCACCGTCGGGAGGAACATCGCGGTTGTATTTCTCATCTTCGTCGATTTGGGCTTGTGTTTTTGACTGCGGATGCAGTTTCTGCTCCTGCTTTTCGTTTTCTCGTTCCACGTCGTCCTGGTGCGAACGGATTATATCGATTGGCACATTGTCAGCCATGGTCATTTATGACCACAAGTCTAGCTTGTTGATCCATTTAATGTGCAAGTTTTTCGAGCCCTACGGCATCACGTTGACAGTCTTTACCTAATTAGGATAGCGTCTAACTATTTTGATGAAAGTGCGGAGAACCGGCGCACTCCGTACGTGAGGACTGAGGACCCTCGGTGAGTGGCCACTGAGGGCAAATTGGGTGGAGGTTCGGAGTATTATCCGCTGTAGTCGGAAGCTAAGTGGACGCTCGGAGCCTCGGACTGTCGGACATCTTGCCGGCATAAGAACAGGTCGGATTTGGTATGTTTATCCCCGATATGTGCCTCCATTGTCTACCCCAAACAAGATATCAATCCACACTCCTATTCTCTCTAGCGTGTTATTTTTTATCAGTTAGGCCTTTTTACCCCAGACTTCCATGTGAAGAAATTAGCAACTCGGCCGGTTCGGAGCTTGTAGTCGCTTCCATGTTACAGATCAAATCTGCCCCATCCCAGGCGGGTCTTTCCGTACCAATCAGGTCCAGTTGTTGCGGCAAGCTAACATAGGCAAATGGCTTGTCAGATTGTCAGGTTTGGTGCCTTACCACTTACCAGCTCCTACGCAGTAGTAGCAAAGGTATTGGGACAAGCACTATCTTATTCTCCCCACATCTGCCTCGGAGTTACCCCATAGCCATTTTTTGATTCTTGCCATACTTCTTCGCCGCCATCCATTGCCCGAACCATTGCAAGTGTAATATCACTCATGTTCAACGTTCCTGCTAGGTAATGCAAAGCGGTGTTTCCATCCACATCCTTTGCTCTGACATCGATACCTCCCCAATCTAACAAAACACTGATGGTGGCCTGCTGTGCCTGCTGTTGCGCCACTGTCATGGGAATTGGGTTATTTGAGTGGGCAACCTCCTCTGGGGTAGAGAAGTCCATGTGAAGTGGACTAGGCAGCCTATGAGATGTCCATTTTGAATCCAACGTGCGAGCGCAGTGAATGCTCCTTGCTACATCCGGATTGCGAGTCACAATCTGATGGGCTGTCAAAGGAAGTGTAGCGATATGAAGTAAAGTGTGCCCCAGTGACGTGGTACCTGCAGATCCGTATCCACCAGGAATAAAGGCTGCTAGCCAAGATAGGAGCTCTGGATCGTGATGCGCAGTTGCGAAGTGGAGAGGATGGACTCCAAATATTGGCGTGCGTAAATTCGCATCCAACTGAGGGTGGGACAAAAGATCGACCAGACATTTCCGTACCCCAGAATCATTCAAATCGCATCGAGCAATGGCGTAAGATAGCGGTGGAAGAGCGACGGTCGGTGCAGCATACGGGCGATAATTGGGCGAATAACCACAGGTAGAAAGTAGATGTCGAAGCATGGGTTGCTGACCTGCTGCAATGGCCTCGTGAACAGGCGACGATGTAGACAAATATGATATTGACCAATCCGCATCTACAACTTGAAATTGTTTCTCGTCTAACGAGACTTCCTGCATCCATGCGGAGTCATCGGCACCAGCCGCACGTAGCATATCAAGAATTTCTAAACTGCCAGCCCTGGCTGCGGTTTCTAGCCCTGTCAATGCCCTGTTCATCCTCATTCTCTGACCAGGAACATTCGGTTCCGTCCAGAAACGAGGAAAGCCATGAGCCCGTTCATCAAGTTCCTCTTGGGTCAAGGGACATATTTGGTGACTTATCCCCTTCTGCTTCGCATTTGCTAAGACGAAGGCCCGAGGCTTGCACGTTGCAAAGCTATTTATGTCGTCTTTGAAATGCCGGCCGCGGATATACCGGACTGAATAGTCTCTTATATTGAAGAGGTCTATGCCATTTGGATCTGCTCCTGCGTCTAAGAGAAGACGGACATTGTGCGGCACATGGGCGTTGGTGGCAGATATGATCGGCGACAGATAGGCAGGCACGGGCATGACTCCACTTGGCCCTACGTATTGCAGTCGACGGCGTTCCCGCTCGGTCATATCATTTTCTGCACTTACCGCTGCATGACGGACCAAAAGGGCTTCCAGCAGAGCTGAGTCCTGCTTGGCCGCGGCTCGGATGATAGGGGTCTCTTGATCCGGGGAATCGTCGAGATCATCGGTAAGTTGATACATAAGACGAAGAGTCGAAGAGAGACTTACAAAAGAATAACAGTGCTAGCACGTTTCGACTTTCGACACTCGATTTTTTCACAACTCGATTCAAAGGTCGGAAGTTGGCCGAGAGGAGCTACCCCTTGCTTATCGTTGGGAATGCGGCAGAAAGAAAGTCATCCGTGCGTTGAAGGGCCACCGCTTTGTGGAAACATAAATGGATCCATCCAATTTCCACTTTCTCTTCCTTTTTTTCTTTCTTTGGGGACCTCCGAACTGTACTGAGAGAGCAATCATGCTACGCTCCCTCTCACCACCAAGTACACTTCATCGACGTCGAGCCTCAGCCTCCGTCACCATCGAGCATGCCAATCACACCTCGATGCCTTCCTAGCGTGAGAGACGCACCCCCCGCTCAAATCCCACTATTTTCCATCGACCGCCGTCAACCCAATCCTCAACCTTGACACCAACCTGTTGCCATGACTTGAGGGGATCAGAATCGAAACATTCGAGCCAATCCTTGTGACACTTTACGTTACAGACACTCGCGGCCCCTTTTCAGTAAGGTAGTCAGCAACAAGTAGAAACAAGTCGACACCAAAGGCCCAAACAGTGGGGTCAGTCGCAAACTTTTGGAAGAGTAGACGCCTGAGGAGAGGTACTCTCGTTCCACACGAACATAGACCGACAGTCGGTCACGAAACACGCGGTTCCCTTGATACAGGCGCAATCAGCAGCAGACGCAAGTCGGCTTTCCCCGACGGGATCGTCGCAACGAATCGGGACATCAGGGCCTCCTTGCCGGGGGAGGTGGATTTGTCCCACCGGGACTCCGGTTCCTTGACAGCAGGTCACAGTGACCAGCGGGAAAATGCACTACGCCATTTTCCGAGACATTTGCCGGCATCTTGATGATGTCGGTTTTGGGATAGGACCAATGCGACGGGTCTCTTCCTCACGATTCATGCATCCGGTCTGGGAGCTCTGGGTTGAGTGGTTGGTGCGATGACAGTTGGTGGAAATGGTTTGGTCTGAGCAGGATTTAAATACCATTAGCTAGACAGCTCCAGATCTCTTTGGGTCTGCACGTCAATTGAGTTGTTTCGCTAAATCTCTGATCGTTCCTAGGGACTACAGTAGTAGCACGCTTGTCCGTGTAGTACTGGATTTTGGGATGTTTAGTTGTGATACTAGCACATGCCTTCATATTGTTTACTTCGCGAGCACTCAGGCAATGGAGTGACTGGACTATCCAAACATCCACCTCTGCTCCCATTATTAGCCTGGCTGCAGGCGTTCACTTGTGGGTCTCGGCGAGAAGCCGCTGCGGAGAGTCGTTGGAGTTGGATGCGTGGATACTTGAGGAGTTGAGGTTTGGAGACTTATTATGCATAGGGCTGCCGGCTGACTCCTGAAACTTGATTCTGTACTAGTACTGCGTACGCTTCATCGGCAAGATATGCCCAAGGATATTTTGTAACTCTACATCACGCGTCGTAGGTTGTCTGATTTGGGATTGTAGGGTTCAATAGAGTGGACCCTTATCTACCCTGGTCCCTGATAAGAGGATGAGTCATCCGTTGCCTCGCGACGGGGTTTGTTTGGAGGGGAACAACTCAATGACGCTAGCCAGCTCAGACCGTCACGTAGATCGTCACTAGCCTCTTCTCATCTTAGTTCTTCTTAGCCCTTCTTAGTCCTTCTTTGGGCTCCTGCGTCATTCAGCCTGTACCTATTTCAATTCCGTCTTTTCATATCCTTACTATTTTCAATCATGCATAAGTATTCAAGCCAAAGGAAGGTCTCTCCTCCGGGACCGTCCTTCATGTCCAATGATCAAGTCGGTGAGTGGTAATCACTTGGTCGACTCCTCGAATGCTCGAGGGGCCGGAGCTGATACGCATCGACAGCAACATACTTGAAGGACCTACGCGCAAACCGTCCTGCCCGTCCGACAGGATCCCGCCCTTATCCAGGTAGATCAGCCGTATCAACAACCAATCTGCCCGACAACCTTCCTCCAAGGGCATCCTCCGCATTTTCCATGCACGGACCAGTTGAAGATGAAATCGACGATCATCCACGGTCAGGCAGCGCCATGTCCCATCGACGGACGAATTCCTATGCGCCCGGCGGAGGTGGAGTAGGCCGTCCTTTAGCCCAGGAACCACGCACGCACTCAATCCGAAAGAACACATACCCGACACAAATCCACTCGCGCGTAATACCAATCCCAGCATCTCCGGTCCCGTCATATCGGGAGGGCGGTCAACGACGACAAGAAAAGGAAGAGGCACGGGCACTACGGGAGGCATTGCAGAGAATGGATGTACAAGACGACGTCGACCTTCATCGGGCAGCCCAAGATGAGGCAACAGAGCTTGTTTGGATGCACCAAAACCCTGGGAAACAGTTCAAGAATCCTTATGCCCCATACTACAATCCTGACGCCAACGCGGCCAGTCAAAACCGTGTCGGCAAAGGATCTGGCTCACTAACTAATAAATCGGATAAGTCGCCAGGCTCGAGTATCTCCTCCGATGGTAATTCCAGCCCCGAGTCATTGCGAAAGCGATCATCTCTGGCTGGATCTACAAAGAAGAACCTCAAAGTCAATTTCAAGCTACCTGACGAAGAGCCCGAGCGCCCTGCTGGTCCCAGGACGCGCACCGTCAGTGACGATTCCTCCAAAGGGATTTTCAGAAACCCCAACGACAAGATCTATGAAGAAACAACCGATGTCCAGAAGCAACACGATGAAAAGCCTGCTTTTTCCAAGTCTGACCCGTCAGCCTTGAAAAACAAGCCGCGTAACGCTTTGGGGCGCGTTCCTAGGCCGCTGCCTTGGTTGCAGAATAGAGCTCAAAGTACCCCTATCACAGACAAGATATCGCGATTTGAGACCCAGAACGACCCACCCACTCAGCCACGCAATGCCGGCTCTACACGACATGAAAGCGCGACTCCCCCTCCCTCTCAGTCACACAATGCTGGCTATACTCGAAACGAGGGTGCATCTCCCACTCCCCCGCCATCCGAGCAGAAGGACGAAGCCTTCCCTCCCAATGAGGCAAGAGAGAGACGGGGTGACGATATCCGTGCAGCTACCAGTAAAAGACGATCAGACCGCAGTGAAAAACTTCCAATGCCTTCAGCTGTCAGTGATCGAGCCGGACGCCCAATTGTGAGCTTCGACAAAACATGGAAACCAAGTGATCAACCCAAGCCTGAACGTCCAAGCCTACCTGTCATTGAAGTGGCAGCACCGACCATCGAAGTCTCAGCCCCGTCAATTGAAGTCTCCGAGGCTGCTCCCATCCCCGTGATCAATGTCCCAGATATCAAAGTGCCAACTATTTCCGAGATCGAGACAGCTTCCAAGCAGACCAACCAATCAGTGCCCCAGCCAACAAGAAGCAGCCCAACCAAGCAGAACTTCCCGAAACCGCAAGGATCCGAATCGCAGAACCGTTGGCACACTCCCTACACACGATCTGGTGTCCCGACTGCAAGTTGTGAACTATGCTCGCTTCCAATCTCCGGGAAAATTGTCACAGCTGGCGGATGCCGATTCCACCCGGAGTGTTTCACCTGTTTCCACTGCCACACAGCTCTCGAATGTGTGGCTTTCTACCAGGAGCCGGAGTCCAGCAGAAATGAGAGACTGGCAACGGAAGTCGATGACCACGATGCCCGGGTACCACGGTTTTACTGCCACCTGGACTTCCATGAGATGTTTAGCCCCCGCTGCAAGAGTTGCAAGACCCCCATTGAAGGAGAAGTGGTGGTTGCATGTGGTGCCGAATGGCATGTCGGCCACTTCTTCTGCGCAGAATGCGGTGATGTATGTATCGACTTCCCTTCTGAACACCTCTGCTGCTAGACAACTGACATACATCTCTTACCCAGCCTTTCGATTCCCAAACTCCATTTGTTGAGAAAGATGGCTTCGCCTGGTGTTTGCACTGCCATTCGCGCCGCACGGCACCACGCTGCCTAGGCTGCAAACAGCATATCTTGGATGATGTTGTCACCACTGCAATTGGCGGCCAGTGGCACGAGCGTTGCTTCAACTGCCACGAGTGCGGCGAGGGGTTCGGTCCCGAGGGCCGCTTCTTCGTTCGTGAAGGTGAGCCAAAGCGGACAGCTAAAGGTCGCATCATTGGCGGTCCTGTCCAATTGGCCATTTGTGAGAGATGTGAAGGTATCCGTCTGAAGGCGCCTGGGATGTGCTAGATTTCTGCATCGTCTTGGCCCGGAGACTACGATTCACCATGTTCTGACGAGATTACTGCTTTATGATAGATTCACGCATGTCGGTGTTTCATTCTTGCATTACATTTATCGGCGTGTGTTCTGCCCATTTTCAAGCTACATTTCGGGAGTTCGTTCGATTTATGTTGGATTTATCTGTTAGCAAGCGAATTGATTTTGGAGTATCGATATTGGCAATGCATTCTATTAAACGAAACGCCTCAAAAACACATATCGTAGGAATATACCCAATCCAGCTTATCCCATTCAAACAGGCCATTCCGGATCAGCCTTCCTCCTAAAAACAGCCACATACTTATTCCCCTTATTCCTCGTAACCTTCTTCGACTCCTCCGTCTCGTACTTCATAACCCTCACACAAGGATCCGCATCAACCTCCTCCTCCGAAACCCTCTCAAACAAATCCTTACTACTACCCGGCGGCGTGGAACCATCTTCCAGCTCCCCATGCAAGAAATGTCTCAGAACCCAATGATGATACTCCTCGACATCGGTGATGGTGTATAGCAGACCGCCAGGCCGCAGGACGTACGCGTACTCGCTGTTGAGTGTCTCGGAGACGATGCGGGCTTTGTGCTTGCGGGCTTTAAAGTGCGGGTCCGGGAAGCAGATGAAGATCTTGGAGAGTTGGTGGTGGGCGAAGAAATTGGGGAGGAATTTCATCGTGTTGCTGCGGATTGCGGTTATGTTCTCGAAGTTGCCCGGGAAGATCTTGTCGGTGCCGATTTCGTCGTCGTTGGTTGGGCTGGATGGGTCTGTTGATTGTACAGGGGTGGCGATGGGCTCGGTTGAGTCTGTAGGGGTGTTGGTGGATTTGCTTTTTAGGCGTTGTTGTTGGTTGCGCAGGGCGTGGATGCGTGAGCTTAGGTATTCTAGGACTGAGATGCGGATTTCCATGCCTGGTTTTTGGTTGTTAGTGGTTTTGGTTCTTGTAAGGAATTGCAACATGTAGAATTGCACTTGGGATAGCAGGTAGCAGGGCATGGTACTTACCAACCATCAAGGTATCTGGTAGCAACGGTGCCAAACCAACCATCAATCCACCGAAACCACATCCGATATCCACAACCTCGACCTCTTTGGTTAACTTGCGGCCGCCGCTGAGGTTCTTCTTGGATTCATCTGGATCCACGAATGCAGGGAAGTGAGATGACCAGTCCATGTGCGCTGGGCTAATGGGACTAATCGTACTTTGTTAGCTATTTGGTTCATGACGGAGAAACCCCTAGGCATTGTCGCAAGCTGTGACTAATTCATGAGGAAGTAGTAGAAGCGACATACTAGTTCAGCTTGTGATCGGAAAAGGGATTCGCATGCGCGCGCTGACGGAAGAATTTCTTCTGCGGCATCTTAATGACGGAGCCTTCGGGTGCTTCCTGCTGCGCTTGGACATTGCGACGGTATTCCTCGCGCTTGATCCGCTTTGCGGGCGGATTATCGACCTTATCGACCATTGTTGACAGGCCGGGTGTATTGGGTGGAAGTCGAAGTTGTCGAAGTTCAAAATTCAGAAAATCCATTATCCTCCCCGCCGATTGGCCCCACTTTTACTCCAACTCCGACCTTCCGTGACAGTGTCTATCTCAACAACATAAGTGTGCTGCCCGTTTCTACTGCCTAAGCTCTATCTATCCTCCTATAGATCAGATTGACAGATCTCAAGCTCAACATGACAACAACCCCCCCTTCCCCTTCCCCCCAACCTACAACTTCCCCCCATTCTTCACCCCGCAACCAAACACAACAACCCGGCGCGCCCAGCTCGAGAAATGGTCATCCTTAATCCAATCCTGGTGTCGACACCACCGCCAATACCGTCTTTCCCTAATCGAAGCAGTCGAATCACCACTCTTTCACAACACAGCTCTGCGCAAGCGTCTTGACCTGCGCGAAGCCCGCGCCGTCATCGATTGGATGACCAAGAGCGAGGAAGAAGGCGGTGGTGAGCGGCGGGCGGAGTGGATTTCCGACTCTGCAGGCGGTTCATCTCTAGGATTAGGTAGTGCTGGGCCGAAGACTGTTGCGTGGATTTGGTGGAGGAGGCCGGAGGAGTGGGCGGATGTTGTGGCTGAGTGGGTTGAAGGGACTGGGCAGCGCGGGTCTGTTTTAACTGTTTATGAGCTTATTCATGGAGATGCGGCGATGTCGCAGGGTGAGTTCTTTCTTTCTCTCTGGGGATGGTATTTAGGGCTTGTGCTGATTTGGGTGCTACAGAGTTCCATGGCTTGGATACTGATGTTATGCTGCGCTCGCTGAATGTCTTGGTTAAGAGAGGCAAGGCTCAGATCTTTGGTGCTGAGGGCGAGGAAGGTGTTAAGTTCTTTTGAAGGATTTATGAGATGAGATGCTGGGATCTCTCTATGAGATTGAAATCGTGGCTATTCGTGACAAAAACAAAGCGCTTCACAGGTGCAGGTCAAAAGATGAGCCAAACAATGTCGCCGGTACTCCCAATCTATACAGAATCCATATTGCTGGGCTCAAAGCCCTGAATGGATGAGGAGACTTGATACCATTGTCAACCTACTCGTTATTATTCCCAATCATATCCTCGGTCAACTCGTACTTGTTGGCGGAACGTGTCTCCTGCGACATGGCCATGTCAAGAAGCCAATCAACATGAACAATCCGGGGAGTCTTCTTGATATCGAGCGCCAACTGACGGAATCGAGGCCAAATCCGGCTGTGCTTGACTCCGGCGCTGCTGAGAAGAAATAGCTCCTTTCGAGCAGGATTCTCGTCTTCGACCTCGCTTTCTTCCTCGTCACTTTCCTCGCGTCGAGAATGGTTGGCGATGGTCAGACGGCCACGGAACGGCATGCACTCTCCTCCGTTTGTCTCAACGATGGACTTGAATGCATCAAACCCACCGCGGATATCCTCGACGCAGTAGATGCGATAGCCACGCAACATCTGGTTCTTGTTCTTCTTCGCATTCGCTGTAACACAAGACAAATCGAAGTTGTACTTCTTCTCGGCCTCTTTGTCCTTCAGAGGGAAATCGGCGGGATCTAGCAGTTCCCCCTTCTCTAAACAGCTAGTAATAAAATCTGTGCTCACGATGACTGGCGCATATGCAAGTGCGTTGACGAATTTCGTAGTACGTATCATAGATGGCGCAGCTAGGTGAGTGCATCGCCGGGCGTCTTGGACCACCATGATACCGAGGTCTCGAAGGCCTCTCTGTGAAAAGGTCAGTGTCGAACCTCATACTTGCTTAACTTAGAACGAACCTTGTCTGCATCTTCTTTCTTCTCATTGCCTTTACCAACCCACCTCTGATACCCAGTAATCAGTAGATGCATGGCAATTGGCGGACGAGACTTCTTCTGTCGCTTTGTTTCCGCTGCCTGTTCAACGTCACTCTCCACTTCGGCCTCGACTGAGAGACGCTTCTTATTCTCCTTCTTATTCTCCTGCACTCGATCCTCATCTGACTTGCGTCTACCGCCGTAGATAACACCACCCACACGCTTCCTTTCCTTTTCATACAACGCAAGGTCAGGTGCATATTCATGAAGTCGGGCGGTTGCTGCTTCCTTTGACTTGCGACTACTGGTCGATGACGGAGTCTCGTTCTCCTTGCCCTCGGACATGACACAAGCTCGTGCCGGAGTCTGAACAGGCCGACGCTTCCCATTGGCTTGTGGCGTACCGTGAGCGGCGTCTGAGACGTCTTCGTCGATCTTCCGTTTCTTCTCGGCGGGCGGCTGCGCAGAAGCCGTGTTCGTGTTCTGCGGCTTGCTCTGCATTGCGCGCGGGGGGCTTGGAGCTGCAGTCCCTGTAGATGGGAAAAAGACTTGTTCCAAAACGGCGCGGTCTAGTGGGGTCTGGCCTGCGACTTCGCCAAGGTTTGTTCGCAGAGGGAAATGACTGTATCGTGGATTGGAAGCTGGCTGCAGCTTCCATTTCGCATAACCGTCCTCCAGCCACAGGTGGTTGACGACTTCTAGACCCCATTCCTTGGCGGCACTGCATTTTTCGCTTGTCCCATGAGCCGTAATTAAATGGGTGTTTTCTTGCTTCAAGGTTTTGGTGCATTCTGCACCCGACGCTGCGATCAAGTTCTCCAAGTAGATTCGAGCCTCGCCAACATAGTTCGACAAACTGATTTTGAACCCTTCAAAGCCGGGAATAGGGGTGCGAGAAACCGGGTAGTGCAGTAGTCGTCTGAGGGGCGAGGTGTATGTGTTGAAGGTCATAAGACGGTAGAGCCATGCGAGATTTCCAACGTCTATGTTCAGTCGTGAGGCCGTACGATATGCAAAGCCTTCCCGATAACGGCAGATCAACATGTCTGCATCGTCGACATTTGCTGTCATTTTGGCCCCGCCTTGTGCAAGAACAGCCTGAATAGATTCCTGCAGATGCGGGCCAATCTCAAGATCCGGAGATAGCATGATAGTCTTGCCCTCGAAGATGCTGCGATGGCCTGATACATGCGCCGGACTGGATGGCGGAGGGAGCCTAGAAGGATCCGTTGTCGACGCGCCGACCAAATCTTTATTCTCATGCCATTGGATTGGTGTATCAGGACCGACACGCAATATCTCCGGGTCTGGAAGTGTGTATGGACGTTCGTCGATTCTTCGACCAAGTTTAAGACAGTCGTCAAACCTATGCTCGGTCAGCGCATGCCTCTTGATACTTGTGCCGTTCAAACTCACCAGTGCGGTAGTACAATCTTCACATTTAATCGCTTCGCCTTGACGATGCGCGCCTTATCGGAATCGGCCGTGAGATCAACCAGGTGAGTGACCATTTGAGAAACTCTTGGAGCATACAATCCACCCTTCGCAACCACACCACCTATGATGGCATCCTTGTCTCCCTCGGGAATATCACCACATGTAACCACGACATCATTCATGAACAAACGCGGGTCAGGACTGTATTGGCGAGGATTTGCCAGTTTTCTCTTGCTCAATGAGATATTCACCCATTGTGGCTTGACCACGGGAATCAGCGCATCGGAAGCGGTGTCGTAGGCTTCGAAGTCAATCGTCGTCGAGATTAGATGGCTGAATTTGGCCACATCGGGGACTTCAGCACCGGGTTGAACGATGGACGGCTCGCCGCCATTTTGCTCGAGGGTTGTTGCAAGCTAGGCGGGAATTCTATGTCAGTCCTAGGCCAGGCTGCACTAGTGGGCGGGCAAATACATACCTGCTCTGCGTAATCTGATAGGAGATCTTTGGAGCATACTATGCAGATGGAACACTGCTCGAAGAGTTTTGACTCTCCGTTCTCGCTTGCCATGGCCGAAAGATAAGGGTAGAGTATGCGATGCGACCCTGGGTTGGTGAGTGGAAATCTTCGATGTCGCAATCCGCGAGAGGACGCGCTCACGCGTGTCAGGAACGCCGAATCACGTGAACTTCGGCGCGCGGGGACTCGTAGAGTGGAAAAAGATTCAGCACATAAAAGGAGTGCAGTCGAGTATTTCGCATAAATCGTCATTGAAATTCTGAAATGCTAATTTACTCCTCCTGTCCACTGTATGCCGTGGTAACAGCCAACAGCCTACAGGAATAGTCGTCATGGAGATCTCTCCTGTACACACTCGACCTTTCCTAGAGATATGGTCAGACTACATTTATGAGTCGTTTTGACGTGCTAGATACCGATTTTCGCAGATACCACAAGATGAATAGGTACTTATGCTGCGGTATGTATGCATCAACCACTACTTATATACAAATGAATATGTAAACCGGGGAATATCGCCAAGGGTCAGACAGCCACCAAGCTAGATGCAGAAAGGAGAAAAAGGATCAAGCCGCCATCGTCAAAACATAAGAAGTGATACTATCCATACGCTCAGTCGTCAACTTCAAGCTAACAGTCAGCAGCTCACGAGCAATACGCGGCTCCTTCTCCTGCATCACTTTCCACTGTTCCCCAGTCAGACACCAGGCCACGCAATCGCGTTCAGCCTTGACCGTCGCCGTGCGGCGCGTGTCACTGAAGAAAGGTAGCTCGCCACACGGTCGACCAGCGACAATGAGCTCGAAATAGCGGCCCTGTGGGAGGTCATAACCCGCACGCAGCATGCCGGACTCGAGGAGATAGAAGGCGCGCGGGGCGTCACCTTCGTGGTACAGGACTGTACCGGCTGGGTAGTATTCGCGGCAGAAGTAGGGACAGGCGGGGAACCAGAAGTCTTCGTTTTGGGTTGAGAGACCTTGGAACGTTTGGAGTAGAAGAGGGAGGGGTTGGCGCATGGCGGACCAGGCGGGAGTGGCCATCATCGTTGTTTCGTGCGCTTGAATGGTTGAGGTTGCTACTCGCTGTAGGTGTTGACGGCGTGGTGAACTCACGATGCTGTCGGCTAGGGGAGAGGATTGAGGTCCTGAGGGCACGGGGAGGGGGAGAGGAGTGGGCGATTGAAGAGGCGGGGAGTTGGCGGTCGGGTCGATGGGTGTAGAAAGTGCTTCCTGACGGCTGTAGAAGACTTTCAGGTAGTCGTTCTCGCAGAACTCGAGAGCTGAGTTGAGGTCTTCGAATATGGGGACGGCAGACTCTGACTCGAAAAGGCCGACATTGTGTAGAGATTTGCCCACATCACCTTCGATATTCAACCCGGAAATGACTATCTGTACGTTACGTTTCTGTAGAACGCGGTTGATTCGGGTGAAGGCTTCTGCGGCCGAGAAGTCGAGTCCATAGACCCGAGAGAAGTCGAGAATGAGGAATCGAATGGGACGTTGGTCGAAAGCCTCCTCCTCGATCAGGCCGCGCATGGTATTTTCGACATTGACGATAGTGCCGAAGAAAAGATATCCAGCAAGCTTCATTATCTTGGTCTGTTGCCCGGCCTCGCGCAAAAATTGCTGCTGGATAGGAGGGCGTCTAACTGTCGATCCGGCGACTTCACCCGAGTATGTTGCTCGAATAGCGGATTTGCGAGACGTCTGAACGACGAAATTCACGCAGGCCAGAATGATACCAACGAAGATTCCGACCACGAAATCCCAAGCGCCCATGGTAACGACAATAATCACGACGGTTAGATATTCAAGCCGAGTAAGTTTTCCCCAAGTGTCCGCCAAGGCCTCCTGCAGAAGCTCAATGCCCAACAAAAAGATCAAGGCACCAACGACCATAATGGGGATGTAGCCGATTATAACGGGGCCGATCACCATGATTCCTGCCGTGGCCGCGGCCAACATCAGACCGGCTAACCGAGAGGATCCACCACTTGCTATGAAGAGCAGACTGTTGGTATAGACAAGGTAGTTCTGAATGCTTCCCGCGAAGCCTGAAAGCGCATTCGTTACACCGTGTGCCACAAGCTCCCTGTCAACGTTCAGGTTGTCCTCGCCGGTGGAAATGCCGAGAGCGGGCACATTGATAGGCACATGGAGCACACCGAAGAAGGTCAGGGCGAACATGGCGGGGATAGTTTCGCTGAACGCAGTCCAGTTGACAGCCGAGAGATCTATCACAAATCAGTAAGGTATTGCACGAGAGTACCAAAACCAAGCAACTCACCGTAAAGGGTGTAGAAATGATACCAAGGGTTGTTAGAAGAAGGGGCGTCAAAGACCCATCCATTGTGGCGCAAAGCATCCATAGGTATCCCAGCGCTTAGAACGACAATGTAGAATACCACAGCAACGGCAATAAAATAGCCGCCGACGAGGAAGTTCGAGCGGACAAATCGTTTAAGGATAAGAAGACCGATTGCCAGGGACAGGGGAACAATCCAAAGGGGGAAAGTGTCCAGGTGGAAGAGTTTCTTAATCGTAGGAATGTTATACTCAAGACTCCCGGGAAGCCGAGCTGATACTTCCATCCCAGTCTGTAGCAGGAAGTAACCGACTCCACCGATGCACCCAATGAGAATATGGCGAGGGAAGAAGCCAATGAGCGAGCCCAGCCCGCAGACACCCATCAAGAAGAACACCAAGCCAGTGAGAATAGAGCTGACGGAGAAGGCCAGAATGGTGGTCGCAATCACGGACTCCGGGTTGTCCTTGCCAATTGAATTCATGATGGTGAAAGCCATTTGATGGAAGAAAGGTACTACTTCGATCATTTCACTTCCTATCCCTCCTTTGAATATCGAGCCACCACACGAGAATACCACCTGGGAAATGATGGTACTGACATAGAACATGGAAATACCATCGGTTCCTAGATGGGCAAACAGAGGTTCTCCCAGAGGGAACAATATCATTCCATAGGATAAGGCGTCAAGGATATTGAGAAGAAGTCCCAGCAGCACAGCAGGAACCAAACTAGCGGGGTATACCACAGCCTCACGCCATATGACTCGTTTGTCCCATGACTTCGGATTCGATAGGGTCCGAGTGTAGTGAGCCACGGATGAGATTCCCTTAGTTATGATGTTTGGAGACCGTGTGACGGCCATCCTCTGACTCTCGGCGTCGCCCGCAGTTCCATAATGTTGCGTCGATTTGGATCGCGCTTTCGATAACAATAAGGTTCTTTCAGTATCTTCCTCCGGTACAATATAATTCGTTGGTGGCGGCGGAAATGGGACTTCTTCACCGGGTTGCTTGACCTGGTCTTCGACCGTACCCGACAATGGGCGGCGAATCATCTCTGTCAGAGCCGAAGAGGCTGAAGGTGAGGCAGCGCCGACAGAGGCATGTTCCGGCTCGAACGATGCCTTCGCAAGGGCAGTTTGCGAGCTCGTAGCCTCATCCCGGGGTTGGCCTGCAGAACTCTGGCTGCCGTTGAATATATCAAGACTGGGAGGTAAGCCGGAACCGTCTCTTAAGAGTGATTTCTTATTTAGCGAAAGGCCGTAAGTAGCGAGTTCCGCGGTCTGGTCACGCAGACCGTCCGAAGCATAATGGGCGGTATCTGAGACAATTTCTGTGGTCAGTAAAAACGGGGCCCTCAACGGTAATCATGCACAGTGACCCACCCATATTGCTATTGAAAGATCGGTGGTAGAACGAGCGATTTGGTGTTCTTGTCGTTGATCCATTGTAACTGGAAGCTTCCGCCCCCATTGGTCCGGGAGAGCTGCCCAAGTTTGCTTGTTCCACGAGCGACTCTGACGGGGCGTTTCCTTGAATGTCGCGGTCAGACATCAGATTGCGTGACAGCGCCGATGCGCGAGAGTCGCGACGCCCACGAGGTTGTAGAACCCCCATGATCTGCCCAATTGCCAGTTCAACCAGTCAGGCCCAGAGCGAGGTAGTGAAGAGATTCGGAAGATAATCGGGGCCACTAGCGCATTGGCTGGCCGTGGGAACAAACAAATGACGCAACCGAGGCGAGCATGGCTTTGCTGGGCAGGGAGTTTTCAGGAATATATAATTTATGTCAAAGAATCAGGAAGATGTTCACAGCAATATCAATTAGCAAAAGATAGAAGAGCATCCCTGGTCGTATCGGAGGATTTGACTAAAGGTAAAAGGTCTCTTATCTCCTCTCAAGGCTAACGGTTGGGCTAAACCACATCCGGACTGATCCAGAGATAAAAAAAGACAGGGGAACGGCAATTGACTGTCTACACCATACTCCGTACTCCGTACACAATGAATATCAACCATCAGCCAATCTGCTGGTCTCTTTGGACTAACTCTAGATTAACTCAATGCTCACAAATCATGTTACCGTTCAAGTTGATGACCGCAAGCTTCCAACTGAGTTCATCGGATACGATGTTGCATGCTGTACGATCGGCATTGGCACTCATGCAGCCCATGCCAAGTCTTAGTATTTTCTTGCATAACGGCGCCATGGCCCATAACCCAATGACATTGAAGGTCGAAATTGCCGATATGTGCCTAAAATCTGTTGAGCTTCAAGCTGCCTACCTCAATTTTTATGTAATTGCTGCTCGCTCCTTACGAAACAATTGACCAGACACTACCTACGGAGGACTCTGTACCTATGTCTACAGCCGATCTATCAAATGGGCCAGTCTAGAACACATAACCGAGGTAACTAGCGGTTGATCAATGAATCAAAAAAAGAGACTCCATGTCACACCATTGCAATGCAGGAAATGGTCATTTCGGCCGTTAGGTCCAGCCACACTAACGCCCGGGGTATCTCAAAAGTATATGGTCCCTCCACAAAAGCCACCGTAGACGTTCAACGCCAGTTCATGTTCCTTGTACTCCTGTAGGATTTGGAAGAGTCAGGTATCCCCGACTCTACTCAAGTCAATTGCTCCAGAAATCCCTGAGCAATAAGCCGCTCCACATCACCCTGCCGAACATACAGTTGACTGTTCTTTGTCAAGTTGATCACACTGAAAGACCCCCCAATTAGCCACTGCCCGGATCCCTCGACGAAATCAGAAAGCACATACCCGTATTCAGTCTGAATTTCCCCAGCATCCTTCAACACCCGCACATCAATAAACAAGTCCTTCGGCGGTTCCAATGTCCCTGTCAGATCAACATCTGTCCATTGTCCCTTGTACGCAGCCAGCATATCTCCATATTGACGGAAGTACTCTTCTTCCTCGGGACTCAGCGAGCTGTGCCCGCTGAACCCAAGAGCCGTATGCTGAGGCGCCCCACTGTCGTCGGACGGCTGCTGCTGCTCCAGGATATCCACGCCGGTCCAGCACAGCTCTTCTAGCTTCTCGGTGCGCACACGATGGTATGCGAGCAGACAGCGCTTGTTCCGGCGCATGCACAGATGGTCGACTAGCAGAGCGCACGCGATAGCTGGGTCGGCCGAGGGGTTGAACCCCCCCTCGAAGGGTTCGAGAAGGCGGGTGACATCGCGGTCGAGATCGCGGACTTCGCGTGTCACCGCGCGCACAATTTCTGTTTGGTAAGGGGGGAGGTGAGCGAGGGATTGGGTGCGTTTGGCGTGTTGGACCTATCGCGGTGGAGGTGTTGGTCAGCTGGACGGGTCTTCGTCTTCATATTTTGGACTGAGAGGGTGGATTGCTCTGTTTGCTATTTCTGGAGGATCAATAGCAGTATAATTGTCTGCTCTCCACGTACCAATTTATTGCCTAGTTCGCCGTACATCGTGGCCACGCGGTCGGGGTCCTGGTGAGGGACGCGACTATGTTCCATCTCGGCGAGTGCCAAGATCGGCTGTTAGTCAGGTGGGTCGGCGCTAACAGTTTGAAGTATGGAGGTGTATGGTGTAGCTTTTTTGAATTATCTTGGATCTTTGGAAAATAAAGGGACAAGTGACTTGAGAACATAGAAATACATTGGATGTTGTGTGTCTTTGAAGTAGCGAGTAGCACGAGAAATAAACTCTGAGAAACATCTTGGGAAGAAAGGGTAGGAACACGAAGGCTTCCACTCTCCACTGCCATCAGTGAGTGCTTCGTAAGATGACACATTCGCAACAGTGGTCCATTCATTGACATTGCTTTTAATACTACATATAAGCCCTCATTTGGTTGTACTGGGCCAGTGAGCCTGTGGAATCGGCTCGTACTCCACTAGGAGCACCTCCAACACATGGCTGCACGTCCTGCGTCAATTGCTTCTCCCGGTTTAGACGGGTAATGTAGTAGGCGCAGTTGATTGTTATGGCCCGGGTGTGTCTCGGGCAAACGGTTCTCGCCTAGCCCCAGTCTGATAGCAAGCGCTTGTAGGATGTCCCCGCCGATACGGAAACACTTCCAGTAGAAGCGAGACTAAGTCAGTCACGAAAGACGGGGAGACTGTCTTCTGGCAGCTATTGATTAAGCCGGGTGACATTCTCATTGATCCCTATGTCATTCTCCTGTAGCATGTGAGTGCAGCCATTAATATACACGTAAGGTAGAGCAAGTACTGATTGAGGCCTAGGTATGAGCAATCATGGACAGAGGCAACGGTTCTCACTCTGATATCCGCTATCTCCCTCGCCTGATCCACTACTCATAGCCTGTGACACCTTCTCCAGTCCGGGCCAAGGGTACCTACACTCCATGGACCGCCCAACCCTCTGGATAAGGCGTCTCCTCTTGTGGCAGCTTGAAGAACCACTTCGACCAGTCGAATGCCTTGTCTAACATCGACTTCGACAGTGAGTGGTCGACAATGTATAACCCCCGCCCCCATTTTGACAAGCAGCGACGGTCTCCTGCCCGATGTCGGATGCGCGGACTGGACTCCGTACCCCAGCTAGAAAGGTCCACGACAAGGATGTTAGGGGACTGGCAGAAGCCATGACACGTTGGAATTACACTGTAGGGGTGTAACGGCCAGGAAGAAATTTAGTACTGTACTGAAGAAGATGATTGAGACAATGGCTGCCCAGGTGGAGAGAAGAAAAGTACCGATGGAGGTGAGACCCCTCACAACTCAAGACACTGGGTTTTGGATCAGTGGAGGAACAATATTTATGTAATGTTCTTGAGAAGAATACGCATCCTTATGCATTGAAGCGTGCTGTTATTGATGCGAGGGATATCTCGTCTGTACATCGTGTAGGTACTGAGAAATGACCTTGTGACTTTTGCAGGTTGTGCCCAGTCGGGCTGCGACTGGTTGCTAGGGCGAAGACCCCAGTGGGGGATTTGTGACCTACATCATCGCTCTCCGAACTTTGACCTTTTCTAGAACCTCTCAAAACCTCTAATTCAAGATCCACGGAGAGTACATTTGTACTTGGGTACGTATGTCCAATTTCATCTTCAATGATGCCACTCGCGACCGATGAGAGCTAATCTGACTCCTTCGAGTAGTTTGTTGACATCCGAGCCCACCCTCCGATAACGCTCCTGACGACGAAAGGAAGCATGAGAACACCCCAGGATACTGAAATATTCTAAATAAACCGAGATACCGGGTCAATTCCCCAGAACCGACCGATCCAACCCCGCCGCAAACCCCGAGAATGCGAGCTTCCAGGTGGATATGGATTGCAGCCACATTCCTCACTTCGACGGTGCACTCGATAGAGACGGTACCCTTCACCCCCGCCGAAGAAGCCACAGCCGACAAACGAGCCTTTGAAATTTTGCAAATCCTCAAGCGAGCAGACAACAACTGCCCAGGCGGCTTCAATCCCTGTCGGGAACTGGGCAACGCCAACGCCTGCTGTAAGGAAGGCACAAAGTGCTCTGTCGATGCAGCCAACAACATCGCCTGCTGCGCGATTGGCGCAAGCTGCACCGGCAGTCTGACCGGCACCAAGACGACCGGCACGGGTACCAGTTTCATGTTCCCCAACACGGCAACTGCGACCGCCACTACCGATGGCGGAGCTGCGTCCATCACGGGATCGACGCTGGACGGTGCTTACCCATTTGTGGTCGTGCCGACGGCTTTTAGGAGCCCGGAGTCTTGTTCGTCCTACTACTCTCTGTGTCAATCTGAGTACCACCAATGCACGGGGGCCCTCTTGGGCCGCTACGGGGTCACGATTGGCGGTCAGGGAGGGGGCAAGACGGTCCAGGCTGTCACCGCTGCGGCGCAGGCAACTTCAATTTGTTCCAGCTTGAGTGCGGAGGCTTGCCATGGTTTATACTTGGGCTATTGCTCTAGTGTTGCGACCCAGACTGCCGATGCGGATGCTGATGGGAATGATGCCTCGCCTGGGCGGATATCGAGTCTACATGACTTGGTTCTCGGGCTGGCAATTGGGGTAGCAGGATTTGTTATATGATTTACGGTTGGGATGTTAGTTATGTTTGGATGAACTTTTTGTATATTCTTATCTTCCCTGTGCATTTTTCTATCATTTTGAGCGGTCAGAGATGCCTTGGGTCTACAGTCTACTATAAATCTCAGCATAGGTTTGACGCTATGTCTACCTAGGAGATTTCCCAATATAAATTACCTTACCATTTCAGAGCCAAGCCAAGACCAAGACTCGACCGGTCTCCGCTCAAAAGTCAAATCCAATGGCCGGTGGCCGTCGATACGCAACGTCCCAATCCCCATCATCAGTCATGAGTGCGGAGGATACAGTCTGCGCCTGAGCATATTCAACCTTCATCCAGCCAACCTCGCCCAACGTACAGCCGTACACCGGCCCGTGTCCATCGTCTGGCCCCCCTCCTGCAGCCAATTCTGCAGCCAATTCTTCGGGGTCCAACTCTGGGGACCACCTCCCATCGATCAGAATCACAAATCCAGTAGTATTATACTCTTCCAAGTCCTCGGTCGGTATATCCAGCACAGACTGTAACGCCTCCTCGTCAACCATGATACACAGGCGATATCGGGCCGAGTACGCCTTCTCTGCATGTTTGTATGGCACCCCATGCTCCGTCTCGCAAGCCACCCTCGCCCACTCCTTGAAAGCGTCCCGTATTTGATCAGGCGTGGCCCCGTCAAAGCGGCGCGCGTCTTCCATCACAACAGGCCGAAAGGAATCCAACATGTCGAGCCCGTCGTGGCTTTCCAGTTCTGTGCGGACACTGCCCATGAACCGATCGAGGAATTTCGCCCAGTCCGCGTCGCTCTTGTAGGTGGTTCGGTACATGGTAATACCCCAGTAACTGAACCCGTCCGTCTCCAAATTTCCCTCAATGAGGTCAGCCGTGTTTTCCTGCAATCGACGCCATGGGGTTCTCTTGGAGTCTTCGAAGCCCCTCCATGCTGTCGCTGATGTGGATGAAAATGGCCGTAGTGATTCACCCCTGACCCGGGGAAACCGTCGAGTCCTTGGCTTAGTGCCCCGATATGGTATTTTCTCTAACCGTGAAGCGAAGACGGCTTGTCCAGTGCAGCACGTAGACAAAGATGTAATGCTTGAGAGTGTTCTCTTCGCAGGGGTGCTGAACAGGTATGTTGAGCTTCTGAGGAAAACTCGGGAAGAGAATGTGAACGACATTGAATCATCCGTAGCTTGCCGAGGAAATTAAAGAAAGAAATAAATTCAGATACAGAAATGAGAAACCTGGAAATTGCGGTTCACATCCACGCTTGTGCGCTAGCTACTTAGCAGTTAGCACGGTACACAGTAACTAACTAGAGGCCTTTTACTAGTTAACTAGCAACTTAGACCTTCTATCGATCCTATTGGTGCAGCTGCGGGAGAGGTTTGCTTGACATTGACCGAATGTGAAAAGGCATATACTCAGCTCACTGGGTATCTCGAAGCAACAGAGGACGGTCATCGAAGGTTTGGGCAGTTCATGGTTGGGCTGCCATACCCGGCCGGGCCGGCCCATACACGGAATTCCCAACGATGGTTACCATGAGACACATGTCTGTTTTGCGGTCATGTTCTTCAGGTTACCACAGATATACACGAACTGTACCTTTTCTTCCAGATCAAAAAGCCTTGACATATCTCCATCACGCGTGAAGAGTTCTGAAATGGCGGTGTTTGGCTGCCACGCGGGGTGGGGAAACTTGCATTTAACCTCGTCGGTACTCGTCAATAATTAATTAATCGCTTTTGACAGTATGCAGGAGTAAAGGCAAGGTACGGCTCGTTAATCCAGGTGAAAAATAGTATCTGGCAAATCAGAATCCAACAAAATGAGTTTATCCAAATTAAAAACAGGAACAAAACTTATTGGTAGGAAATCGGGGTGGTTGGGTTTTTGGAGAGGCTGGGAGAGACCCTGTGTACTGTTGGCACAACAAACCTGGCGCTTCTCTTTTCTTCTCTCATTCCCCTCCATTCTCTGTCTATTGCATTCCATTGATCTCTTGATCTCTTAAGACCTGAAGAATCTGAGATCTCTGTTTTCCAGTGTTGATTGATCCACAGACACAGATCGCTGAAGTATACAGGGTGAGACAAGAGTCAGACCACTAGTCTGGGGAACTCTGCGACAGTCTAGCAAAACCACCTCACTATTCGACTTGTCTGATCCTACCGTACGGGTTTCAGTGAGCGTTGTGTCGCTCTTTGTCTGCGATGCGGTCTCCATCCGTCTTACCGTTGCTGTTAACACTTGTCTTACTCCTCAACTACTCGCTACATACCACGGCAACCCCGCTCGGATTCGAAACCAACGCCCTCGAAAACCAACTTGAAAAGCGCTGCGAGAATCCATGTGGTTACAACGGTTGGCTTTGCTGTGAGTCTGGTCAAACATGCAGTACCAACAGCGCCCAAGAAGCCGTCTGTGTGGATGGAAGTGGTAGCGGTAGCGGTGGAGGCTATCAATATTATACCACTACCATCGTGGTCACCAACACCGATCTCAAGACCATTACCTCTGTATGGAGCAGCCAAATTCCGGCGGCCACAGGCACAGGTACCTGCAGACTGGACCTTGGCGAGGTCAAGTGCGGCACAACTTGTTGTGAGGCAGCGCAGGAGTGCGTGGAGGGTCAATGTGTTGCTGAAAGCTCTTCAGTCGCGGTGACTGCGACGGGAACAGATGCAGAAGCCACGCCGCCCGTGCGAGGCACGAGCAACGGAGCAAGCACCGTCACAGAAACCTCGGCACCGACCACCACAGAAGGATTCACAGCGCCTGTTGGAACGGACGGCGCAGACTTGATTGGAGCCCACCCCGCACACGGTGGGGGAGGATTGAGCGGCGGCGCTATCGCAGGAATTGTCATTGGCAGTATTGCCGGTGCGTTCTTGTTGTTCCTGCTTTGCGCCTGCATGTGCTTCAAGGGCATCCTGGACACTCTCCTTGCAGCACTCGGTATCGGCGGAAAGCGCCGCAGAAAAGACACAACTTATGTTGAAGAGCGCCATTCCCATCACTCGCACAGTCGGCCTCCACCTCCGGCCCCAGCACGGCGCACGTGGTTCGGAGCCAAGCCAACAGGGGGAGACAGCGAGGTCAGCGAAAAGAAGTCCAAATGGGGATGGGGCACGGTTGCCATCATCCTCGGTGCCCTTGCTCTGTGCTTGGGATTGAAGAGAAAGAGAGAAAGAGAGCATGACGACGACAAGACCGAGTCCTCCTACCCAAGCTCGTATTATTACTATTCCGACTACTACTCAGGCACAGGGAGTACGTTTCGCCCTCATGGATTGTCCCAAATGAAGCATGTTTACTGACTATTGTTCTCTCACAGGTAGCAGAAGCTATGACCGACGAACTCGAGACTCACGACGATCGCGACCACCTCGCAGTCGCTCTCGCCGTGGATGATAGTTAACGCCTGACTTGAGGAGACTTGCTTCGTTTTTTCACGGATTTAATATTCGTTGACGATCACTTCCACTTCAGTATTGCATTTATGGCGCAGGGTTTTTTTTAAATGATTTATGTTTCACTATGATTTGCACGATGATTTTGTTTCGGATTTGATTGACGATATAGGTGTTTTTTCGATGTCGATATGAGATATTTATGGTACTGGCACGTTGTGATGTACATATGAAATTATGAGTACAAACTTGAGATGATATTGATCGATATATGGTTGCTATCCCGGTATTGGCTTCAAGATCTCGAATACCGCTGACCTCGGGCACTGGCATGAGGTGACTTGAGCAGCTGGTTTGCCCATGAATGGGAAACTGCGATAGCGGCAGAAAGCAAACAGTTAACCTTGCAGAATGCAGGAAACAATGTGCTCTGTTCACAATGACCATCTGCAGGTTTGACACTGGAAATCCAGGGGAAATACTGCGTAGAGAGAGAATGTCAGTAAACTGTAGAGCGAAAACCACACAAAGAGGACCGGGCAGACACTCCCCGCCTTCACTTCCGCCTTTTCCCTCCTCCACACTCTCTCTAACTACCCTTCTCCAACACCCAACTCTCCTTGCAAGTCTTTATCATCAATGATTTTAGTCTCGGGATTAAACTCCTGACACTACTCACTTCATCTTAACTTCGTCCCCGTTCCCCCGTTTTCCGTCTCGGTTGCTTCGCCTAGGTTCCAATCCTTCGGAGTATTACGAGTCTCCGAAACGACTCACCACCCACCATGCTTCAAGCGCAGCCTCAGCACGTATTCTCCCACCAGCATCAATACGCCCAGGCAGATCCCTCGTGGATGCAACATCAGCAACAGCAGCAACACCACCAGGCTCAGCAGCACCCGCACCAGTCGCAACAGCAGCACGCTTCCTTGGTCGCCGCCCAACAACATGCCCAAGTACAAGCTGCTGCTGCCGCAGCACAGCAACAACACTATGGCCGCCTCGCCATGAACGGTAATGGTGCTGGAAATCCCGCGCAGGGAGCCGGTGGCGCCGGCGGTATGGTCGGAGATGGTATGCCAAATTCGGGCTCTGCCATGGATGGTGGAATTAGCGAGGAGAATCGCAAGGTCTTCATCTGGGTCGCCGAATTGTTAGACCCAACTCGCAGGGAAGCGGCTCTGATGGAATTAAGCAAAAAGCGGGAACAAGTCCCCGAACTGGCCTTGGTCATCTGGCACTCTTTCGGTATGGTTCCATTCCTGGTATGCGTTGAGCCTGTGTACAATAACTAACGGTCGGGAACTTGCAGGTGTCATGACTGCGCTTCTTCAAGAGATTATCTCGGTATATCCGCTCTTGAATCCTTCCCAGCTCACTGCTGCTGCATCAAATCGAGTCTGCAATGCGCTGGCGCTTTTGCAATGTGTCGCATCCCACAATGAGACCCGCACTCTATTCTTGAACGGTGAGCAAACCATCTACCATCACACACGAACACGGTTGCTAATCTTGTCTTCTCTCTCGTGCAGCTCACATCCCTCTTTTCCTCTACCCCTTCCTCAACACCACCTCCAAGTCTCGTCCCTTCGAATACCTCCGGCTCACGTCGCTAGGCGTTATCGGCGCCTTGGTGAAGAATGATTCGTCCGACGTGATCAACTTCCTCCTGACTACAGAAATCATCCCTCTCTGCCTTCGCATCATGGAGACGGGATCGGAGTTGAGCAAGACCGTTGCTATCTTTATCGTGCAGAAAATTCTTCTCGATGATATTGGCTTAGCCTACATCTGCGCGACATATGAGAGATTCTACGCCGTGGGTACCGTTCTAAGCAACATGGTCAACCAATTAGTAGAGCAACAAACTGTCCGCCTTCTCAAGCATGTTGTGCGCTGCTTCCTTCGGTGAGTTCTCATTCCGATAACCCTCTTTGTGCTATGTCTCTAACTATAGGACAGACTAAGCGACAACAGCCGGGCCCGCGAGGCCTTGCGACAATGTCTCCCCGAACCTCTCCGGGACATTACGTTCAGCTCTGTCCTCCGCGACGATGCAGCCACCAAGCGCTGTTTGGCTCAACTCCTTGTCAACCTATCCGACCCTGCCTCGGAAGGAGTTCCGACAGCCATGTAACATACGAAAAGCATCTGTTTCTTTCTCCCGAAATATTTGAGACCTTATGATACGATATGCATGGGAAAGGGCTTCTGGCGATTAACGGTCACAAGGCGCAATATTGTTGCAGAATTGGATCCATCGAGGTATGTCGTCGATTGAGGGCATCGGGTCCACCTCTGCTTTTTTTTTCTTCATTCATATGGTTTGTTTCTCTCTTTGACTTATTTTATCGGGGTTTCTTGAGGGTTCCGTGATCTGGGAAGGTCTAATGTAGTATTCTTGCCTCTTTTCTTGCTTTGCATCTCGTTTTGAGGGAAATATGCTTCTTTTCTACGTTTGATCTTCTTTTTACCGACAGTCCTCTCTGTCGCATGGCGCGAATCCTGCTTGGCGCTGTCATCTGTGTGCATTTCCTCGTCATCGACGATACCTAACTTCTCCGTGTGAGATAGACCTTTGAGCAAGAGATAGTCAAGGATCCAGGCGTTTGGTCTCTCATTTGTATTTCGTTTCTCTGTGTGTATATGCGATTTGTTTTTGAAGAGCATGAATGTACTTGTCTCCGATTCATGATATTCAGTCTTTGAGTTCCAGGCTTCCAGCTAGCTATTGATCTTATTGTTGGAATCTACTAGGTACTATATGTATTCAGTAGGACACTATTGAAACAATCACCTCCTTCATTCAATTTGGACAAACGACTCACGTGACGTAACTGACGCGCCTTACTGCCGTCTTGCCTCACGACACGAGAAAAAAAGGCTCAGTCCCAACCTTCATTGCTGTCAAGCTCTTTTTCATTTTTCCCTATTCTTCCTTCTCAAAGTTCAATCATCTGTGACACTACTGTTCGCCCAACTTCCGTTTCTCTTATCCTTTGTTAAAACACCTAAGAAACCCGACCTTTACGGTTGTCCCGCCGCGATGGGATCGCGAAAGCGCACCCGCTCGGAGGCCATGCCGATGACCGAGCAACAGACCCCAGAGACCTCAGAGCAGCCTGGTTTGCTCACACAGCTCAGAAACAACTGGGCATTTGCAAGCGTCATGCAGTACATCGCCATCTTTGGCCAGGTCATGAAGATTGACGAGGATTTTGGAATCGAGGTATGTCTATTCGCATTGTCTGGGATGAGTTCAGTGGATGCGCCTTCTGTCGCATTGGTCGCAGAATACGCAAGGACATATTACTTGATTGAACATCCGCTGATGATTATCTTTCCCCCATGCTAGGAGCTCGAAGTCGAATGCCTCAAGCCTGAACCATCTCACAAACTAATGGAGATTGGATTGTGTCTTCTCAAGTGGATTTCATCGCATCGCGGTCTTACGTATGTACAGTTGCGCCTTGTTTCTCCTTATCTTGTGCCGTTCCACTGACATCGCTGCGTTGGCAGGTTCGACAATTTCGATGAGTACACCCGACGCCAGTTCAATGCGAAGGCACCCAATAAACCAAACCCCTTCGGACAAGAGGAAGAACCGAAAAAATTCATTGATTTCGATGTCTTCACCAAGCTACGTGTGTTGCACCAACTGACAACTTGGACATTCTGGAATCCCGACCGCATTCGCGATAAGATGCCGGAAAAGAAGGAAACCGAACAGATAGAATGGGTGAGCTATTTCTCTCTCTCGTTTAGGTTCGGTGCTTGATTGTCACATACTGACCATTCCCAGCGCATTGAAGAGTTCGGATGGGACCGCGAGGGACGTACATACTATGTTCTAGATGATAACCGCCTTTACCGTCGCACCGATCCTCCCCTGCCTCCCCCTACGAAGCGCCCCAAGAAGAAGGCAAAGAGCCGATCCTCCCGAGCATCAAGAACCTCGAAGCGCGTCTCCACGGCAGCGGCGGATGATGCATCCGGGGATGAGAACAAAGAGTTCGACGATGCAAGTGCCGCCGCAGCCTTTGCCGAAGACCCTTTTAAGTGGGAGTGTGTTGCTGTAACACTTCCTGAATACCAGGCTTTCTTGGAGACGATTCAAAGGACGAAAGACGCGGACGAGAAGCAACTTCGCGACAACATCACTGAGCACGTCTTGCCTATTTTGGAAAAGGCAGAGGAAGCGCAACAGCGTAAGCGCCAGAAACGTGAAAAGGAACTTTTGAGCCTGCAACTCGTCGCGGGTGCGAAGCGATCTAGTCGACTTGCCGCAAAGGAGGAGAGGGAGCGACAGGAACGCGAAGCCGCTGAAGCTGCTGAAAAGCATGAACGCGACCTTGCCGAAGCTCGCAAGGAGCAGGCGAAACAGCAACAGCTCGAACGGGATCGCCAGTCACGTATGATGACTCGGGAACAACGCATCAAAGACCGTGAACAGAAGCGTCTGCTGCATGAGGCGGAGCTCGAAAGAATTGCGGAAGAACAAGAACGAATTGAGAGGGGCGAAAGCAGGGTTTCTGCCCGGAACCTGAAGGCCGACCTGGAGAAATCTCAGAAGAATCTGGCAGACCTTAGTCAAGAGGATCAATGGATCTTCGACTGCTCTGGCTGTGGAGTATATGGCGAGAACTTGGTGAGTTTCAGTTTCCAGCCGCGAGATAACCCTCGTCTAACAATTTCATAGGATGATGGAAGTCACAGTGTTGCATGCGAAAAATGCAGTGTGTGGCAACATAGCAAGTGTCTCGGTATTTCACAAGAAGCGGCAGAGAAGGACGACTTCCACTTTGTCTGCCGGGATTGCAAGCAAAAGGTGGAAGACGCCAACAAGCCCAAAATTCCTCCGCTCAAATTCAGAGTCAGCACTTCCGCATCTCCTTCTGATGCTCCACAAGCTGGGAAGAAGCGCAAGATAGAGGATGATGAGAATCATGCTCCGCCCTCGCCTGTGAAGAGATCACACATGGCGCTATCCACTGTTCAAAACGAACCATCACACTCTCAACCTATTCTCCAATCACCCGCTGTCGGCCATGGCAACTTCTACCCTCCTCCGTCTCCTCAGCGCCCAGTCCACCACATGATTAACACACCTCTGCCCTCTTCTAGCCCTCCTCGTCCCCCATTTTCTCCGCCCAAGGGCATGAATGGTCTGCTTCATACCTCTGTAGAGCAGCACCCACGACCTTCCTCCCAGCAGGCTTTGCCGCCTATGCAGCAGGCTCCTCATCTTCCCCCCATCGGGTCCTTCCAGTCTGTGCGGCCTATGTCCTCTCACTCGACTCAAAGTCCCATCCAGAATCAGCCATCGATGTCGCCTACGCAGGGCAACCGCGATGTTGGGCCCCTTGCGGGCTTCCCGCCTGTTGCCCCCAACCATGCACCCTCTCCATGGGGTTCTTTCGAGACTCCGCGCCCACAGTCCGGTCACGGAGGCACGCCCTCGATGTCGAGCAACTACCCGTCTTTCTCCGCCGCAACTCCCAACGGCCATCATTCTTCGCCTCCACAAAGCTCCCACGGCATGGGGATGTCTGGGATTAGTCCAACTAAGCAGTCTCCTCGTCCACCGACTGCCAGTGGCATGGCTGGCGCACCCGTCTTGCCGCCCATCCGCCGTCTCGAGCCGAGCCCGAAGCTCATGGGCCGAAGCTCTCCAGATGCCCCCATTCCCCCTCCTGTCAAGTGCATGACTCCGGAGCAGGAGGAACGTCGGCAGCGAGAGAATGCTTCAATGCTGCACCAGGCCTACCACTACCAGAGCAATGGCCAGCATCCGATGTCGTCGCCATCTCTGAACCGCATCCCTCCGTTGGGCTCAGGGGCTGTTTCGCAGTATCCTGATCCGGTTCCTTCTCCTTATCACGGAAGCAATGGTCAGAGCAATGGTCAGAATCACGGTCAGAATCACGGTCAGAATCACGGTCAGAACCAATAAAATAATGCAGCAGTATGAACGACATGCCCTTTTTGAACATCGCCTCAATCTTACTCCTTCCCTGGAGGAAAGGATAATCTGCCAACATTTGATGACGTTTGGATAAATTCCCAATATCCTTACCTGAATTCGAAATCCGACATTCACTGCATCGTCACCCAATAGCATGTGGCATGTCCTGTCAATAAGTTTCTTGACGTCTGTTTAAACTTCTGCAGCGCATGGACACAGTTTGGACAGAGTGGGCGCAAATGGTATTCCTCCGGAGATGCTTTTCCTGACTATCCGGAGTTATTTTCCCTGACGACATATCATCTCTCGAACATCGGAAGTGCCAAGTGGAGCCTCTTGGCTTCTTGGCCTGGCTTTCGTTCACCCTTCTTGTTTTCTTTTCCCCAAAAGTTCTTCAATCGCAGACGGACGTGGCCTGATCACTATCAATCCCTTTATTGTTGGTGTCAGGCCCCTGTCTCTTGAAAATCTTTCTTTGTGCCTCCCTACAGATGCCTGGCACTGTGGTGGAATGGCCTTTTGAATCCCTTTTGAATTGATTTCTTTCCTGTTTTACAATGCATCAAGATGGATGAGGTCTGGCGTTTTCAGATGGTCAGGGCCTAGATACCAGTCCTGGTGTGCTAGGACATGTGTATTCTAATAGAAATCTTATTTGGTTTCGCTTTCGATTACTTGACATTCAATGTAGTTGTAATCTTAAGATCCATCCCAATATATGGAGGTACGCAGTACTATAGTTTTCTGAGATCTTTCTACTAGTACTGTGAACTGTTTCAATTGAGCCCATAATCTATTACAACCTATCACTAACTCTTTCTCTTACAATGGAAGTACTACTAATCAGATTCCCATACCTCACCGGGCATCTATCAAGATCGGTAGGTCGTCAACACAGAAGTCTTACGCACGGTCCCGATCAAAATCGACCGATACATCGATCGACATATCCCCCTGACAGCAACTGCAATGCCCAACGCAGACCTGCCCAGCTGGACCGCCAACAGCATGCGCATGCGCCATGGAACATACCAAAACAATACCTGCCTACATGTACACAGTACATATAACCCTCTAATTATCCACCTGCGCGCTGTCCGCCGTACGACTACGACAACGAACACATTGTCACTCACAAACGCGGCTCACAGCACCACCACGCTGTCTCCCTAGCGCGATCCCGCGAGAATATGCCATTCCTTATTCGCGGCCTTATTTTCATTTCATTTGCCATAAATACAATAGAACCACATTCATCACGGCAATCAACCAACGACAACGGCCAGAAAAACCAACAGGCTCTTCCCGTCCCGCGCAACGGTTATTGTACCCACTGTAGGGCCAGAACTAGTACACAGATGCCCGATGGGCCGGGCGGGAAAGAGTGTTAGATCACGATAGTGAAGCGCTAAAAAGAGTAGCTTAGTACTGGATAAGTAAAAAGTGCGGCAACTAGGTATCCCGCTCCAATAAACGCTCTCGGCAAAAAGTACAGCCCTCGTTGGGGTCGACCCCAACTCGGGGGTAAAAAGGGTCTAGCTGCTGGCATGCGGCGCAGTCAAGTTACATTGTAGGTAAGGTCGAGATGGACTTGCAAGCGACAAGCCCTGGCGCTACTTGGAGATGATCGATGTAGATCCCGGGCTAACTTGCGTTGTGTTAGGTGCAGACAGCAGGTTCACCTTTTGATCTTTGGGAAGGAATCCCCACTAGGTTAGGCTGTTAGCTTGCCTTGAATTCAGGGAGTCCGATGGGACATTCTGTCATGTAGCTGTCATACTTGAAGGGAAACAGGATAACCGAACTATGCATCAAGACCTCGGGATTTAAACTTGAATCAGGCTTTAAACATAAAATTTAGAATAAAATCTAAAATATTGCAACTACCGAGTTAAACAAAGCATATTTCAACGAAGGCCGATCTCAAACCCGAGCTCCTTTACTAGATGGAGTAAGTCAAATCTCGGAGATACTGGACCTGGTCAAAGCCTCAAAGGGTTCAAATGTAAATGTCATTTCCCCGCCCTAAACAGAGAATGAACCATGGTTCCTTCCCGTCGAACGCTGGAATTTAACTCGTTAACCGTTGATCGTGATATCCCACGTGACCGCATGGCCTTTCGCTAGCTTGCAGAGAGAACGGAGCTAGTTCAATGCATCCATCACACTTCCAAGGCCCGGGTTGGCGTACCCCAACATGTACATACGTCTAGTTAACGATGTACTACTTCGTATTAATTGGACGTGAATTATTGCCGAAGGCAAATAACTCGATTCAGCTCTTAATGGCCAAAAGCACAGATTAAAATCAAGAGCGATGATTAGTCCCTTGAATAGAAAATGAACCCCGATTATCCAATCAGAAAATAGCATTTTCGGAAAACAATCCTGCGAGGATTTTGTGGACATAAGTACACGGAATGGAGTCTCTCCATAGCGCGGCTATGCCACCAAGCTATTAGTTATAGTGGACATGCCTGGACTAAGATGAGGTATACTAGTTAACATATAACTATCAACATCCAATCTTGTACGCAGTACTCTCGTTGTATAGTTAACGACCTGGATTAAGAATTTAAGATCATATTAAGATCATGATCCGAGCTTTTATGCTTCCCCACTTATGCGCTTATGCAGCTCATACACCGCATATCTCTGAAATTCGGCTTTGTGCACCAAAAAAAAGGTTCAAAGTGGGGTCCCGGAACCTGGCCCGGTGAGTGGAGACGGGTCTCCCGTTGAAGTCTGGACTTGGGCTTTTTACCCAGATAGGTGCTGTGTGTCCGGTACTTAAGCAAAATAGCGGCCATTAGACACAAACCCTGATACGATCTGCACGTTGGTCTCCGGATCTTGAATTGCGAACCGAAAGCTAAAAGTATGAAAGTGGAAATCGACAAGTCGGACCCGAGCCCGAGTCAAGTAGTATTTGTCAACGTCAAAACGCCTTAGTCCTTTTAGGTACAACTTAGCCCCAAGGCCACTGACCACTTAGTCCACTTAGTCCCAGACACGCCATACTACAGACGACTAGTTATCCCTCCACTAAGCTACAACAGTGTAGTCCGGTAAAGAGAGAGTAAGACAATTGCATTCGTGGCGATCCCATTCTTTCAACCGAACTACTCCTTGACTCCACCATCGGCTGTCATGCATAGTGCAGGTACAGAGTACAATGGTCCATCCCATCGTGATCGGGATGCAAGATGCGAAGATCAGAAAAGCACAGATGATTATCACCTACTAAGCTGTGGTCATTGCTTCAGGACCCAGACTCCTGCTGCCCTGCATTACTAGCCGAGAACGACCCTTTGCTTGTTTTAGCCCCCTTTCAAATTTCGATTCCCGAACACCTTAGCGAGTTGAAGGTCGGGATTTGGTGTTCAGTTTTGGATGGTAATGCCAATGCTCTGAGACAGATAGCTCTCGAAAACCACCCATTTTATCTAATTTGGCGCGTGTACATAAAAGAAACATGGTAAGTACACAACCCGTGTTCACTCGAAGTGGGGAGGGGTCGCAACGGTCAGGAGACAGCCCACGATCGACGGAAGAGACAGCCGAATCCCGCGTAACAGGCCAGTTGTCACGATCAAAAACGAAATAAATTGTTGTATCAAATTACTAGAATACTAAAGCTGGAGAATAAAAAGAAAGAAAGAAAAAGCGGGGCACGGCCTCAGCTAAAATATCCGCCTGGCAGAATCGCCACTCTCCGCCTAAGCTTAGACCGTCACATTGCCCTCCTCTTCAAGAGGACCTGGCCCACCAGGTCTGTCATACGGCATCAGGTCTATCATCATCAGGATGATCTGGTTCGAATCGATCAGCAAGGGCAGCTTCAGCCCAGGTCTGGAGACGCTTCGGAGGTCCTGGGTGGTCCGGGTGCAAACGGTGGAACTCGAGTAGCTTCTCTGGAGCATTCTTGAAGTTCCTCGCGGGATACCATTCGTCGTCTTCTTCGGTCTGTCCGAGCCACTTCACACGATACTGCAGTTTCTTGTAGCGCAAACGTACTGCAACGATCTTGTCAACTTCCCATTCGTCTTCCTCATTAACCACGACTGGCGGTGGCGGGTCTTGGATCTGTCCTGGCAGAGGCTCTCTGCGTGCAGCGCGACGCAATTTCTCAGCGGCAAAGACCGGATGCACGCGAATCGAATCCGGCAAGCTCAGTTTGTATGCGTTCTGACCGATCTTCTCGATGATCTCATATGGTCCAGCAGCCTGATTAGCAAGCTTCCGCCCTGGCTGGTCAGTCCGCCAATTCTTCGATGTCACGTAGACCATATCTCCCACGCCGAAATCTTCTTCACGCCGGTGCCGATTTGCCTGCTGGCGTTGGCGTTCCTGTGCTTTAGTAGCACGTAGCTGGGTCTCTTCCCAAATCTCCTGTAACCGACTCGTGTAGGTGCGCGCTTCCTGCGTCTGATGATCAGATGAATCAACCTCGCGCGGGGATATCTGGTTCCACCAATCAACGTCCTCTGGTGGCTGCCAGTCAAATGACACCCGTGGTTCGTATCCTCGTTCCACAAAGAACGGTGAAACACCTATTGTCTCTTGCGGTAATGTTGCTGCTGCGAAGTCAATAATTGGCAAGAGTTCGGACCAGTCATCTTGGTAGTAATCGACAAACGGCCTTAATCGTTGGGCCATGTGCTGGTTTGCAATCTCACTCTGTCCGTCAGTCTGAGGGTGAAATGCCGTTGAGAGTTTCCTTTCGATCCCGAGTACTCGACAAAACTCCTTCCAAAACGAGGATATGAATGGGCCTCCCCGGTCAGACACAATAGAGTCTGGCAGCCCTACCCATCTGTACACATTGTCAATGAAAAGACGTGCTGTGGCCTTCGCGTCTGTTTGTTTATGACATGGCACGGATATCGGCCTTTTTGATAGGCGATCCACAAAAACGCATACTGCATCGTACCCTCTCCGGTCCTTCGGAAAGGACCTGAAATCCATGGTGATATGTTGCCAGGGGCGTCCGGGGATTGGGAGTGGTTGTAAGAGTCCGGGCGGTCTATCCCTCCATGCCTTTGTCTGCTTGCAGACACGACAGTTGTCTACATACCGGCGTACATCTTCTGCGAGGCCTGACCAGTAATATCGCGCAGTAGTCATTCTCTTCGTCGTTTCCTGGCCTGGGTGCGCCATTGACGGCGATGGATCTCATCCAGTAAGCGTGTTCGGAGGTCACCGTCTTCCGGCATAACGAGCTTCCCTTCTCGCAGTAGTAAGCCGTCTTGGAGTTGCCATTTCCCTTCGTCATGCCTCGCCTTCTCCCGATACTCCTCAAGACTCTCGTGAGAGCGATTTGCATGCAAGACCCGATCGACAATCGGCGAAACAACAACTGGTGCTAAGATCGGTGTTATGACTGCAGGTGACTCATGCTGATCTTCTTCTTCCTGGTCATCAGGATGCACACCAAACTCAAGTACTCCACGTGGTAACATGATTTGTTCGTCTTTCTGGTTCACTGGTTTATCCTTCCGTGATAGCGCATCGGCTACCACGTTGCCTTTACCTTGGTGGTATCGGATCAGGAAATGGAAACGCGAGAGGTAGTCACACCATCTTGCCTGACGACCATTCAGTCTCTTACTGGTCATAAAGTATTGCAGTGATTGGTGGTCGGTCCAGATTCCAAAACGTTCATCGCGTTGTAATCCTTCTAACTCGGCCCTCCACTCCTCGAGGGATCGGATAATGGCTAGCATTTCCTTGTCATGTGTGTCATGATTTCGTTCCGCCTGGTCCATTGTTTTCGAGAAAAATGCTATTGGGTGCCATTCGGTGTCGGGGCCTTTTTGCGACAGCACGCCTCCAAGGCAACCGTCTGATGCATCGGCCTGGATCTGGGTTTCTGCTGTTGGGTCGTAATGTGCGAGAACCGGTGTGTTCGTCAATAACCGTTTCAGCTCTCTGAACGCTTGGTCACATTCTGGGGTCCATTTGAAGGGTACCTCCTTCTTGGTCAGCCGGTGCAACGGCTTCGCAACTCGACTATAGTTCCGGATAAAGCGTCGGTAGAAGTTACACATTCCCAAAAAAGACTGGACTCCCCTGACGGTGGTGGGCGGCTCCCAAGCGTTGATCGCCTCAATCTTCGCCGGGTCCACTTTGATCCCGTCAGTCCCAATGATGAATCCCAAGAACTTCGTCTCGGTGGTATGAAATTCGCACTTGTGCAGTGCTACCTGAAGACCGGCCTCTCCGAGTCTTTTCAAGACCGAGTCTACATGTTGTTGGTGCTGTTCTAGGGAACCGTCGGTGTAGATCAGGATGTCATCAATGAATGCCGTACAAAAGTCGTCCAAATACTCGCCCAAAGTGTGGTTGATGTACCGTTGAAAGGTTGCGGGTCCGTTTGTTAGTCCGAAGGCAGGACCTTATATTTAAATGCCCCATAGCGGGAAAGGAACGTGGTAAGATCCTCCGATGCGGGATCCATGCGGAGCCTATGGAATCCCTGGTACACGTCAAGCTTTGTGTAGTACTTGGCTTTGCTAACCCGCTGTAGCATCTCATCGATGAGCGGGATAGGATACCGATCCTTTTTCGTCAGTGCATTTAACTTCCGATAATCCACGCAGAACCGGAAACCTCCCCCTGGTTTTCGGGCCATCAAGATCGGAGATTGGTACGGGGTCGTTGACGGGACGATGAATCCCTTGTCCAGATTTCTCATAATGTAATCTTTGGCAAACCGTAGCTCCTCCTCGGTCTGTTTGTACAATGGACAATATCCCAAAGCGGAAGGGTCTCCTTCTAGTTCGATGCGGTGATCGGGCGAGCCTCTAAGGGGTGGCAAGATGTCTGATTCCTGCCGGGAGAAAACCCTTCTTCGGTGGTGGTAACACTTTGGCACCTTGACCTCGAAGTCTTGCTCTTCTCCACGGCTCTTCTCCTCGATGATCCGGTCAATCTGGGCCAGTGAAGTCACGAAGACTTTTGTGCCTTCCCGGAGCATATGCCTATGGAAGCCCACTCCCCCGATGGCTGCGATGTCTAGGCTCTTTCGCGGTGCTCGGTCGGGAACTTTCCGGGGTATCACTGCGATAGATTCACCTTTCAGTGCACGTTGCATCTTCTCTGTGGTGTCCCCCTTATGATCATGCCCGTAGCTTCTCTTCATGGCCTGGGGGGTTTGGTCCGCAACCCGAGGCCGTTTATGGCGATCGGCATGCTCTCCGTGGATCTCTTGTTCCATCAATTTATCACGGCGCTTGACGTCCTTCTGATGGTCGGGATTCAGTTTCGGTCGCCGTAGAATCTTCCGAGGAACAGGACGGATCAGTTGGGTGACGACTTGATCCTTCAGGGAACGATCCTCGGGCCACCACAAGCGGTGATTGGCACAATCAGGTAACACTTTGAATTTCTTGAACCACAACTTTCCCAGAATGAGGTCGTGTTTGCCTAACTCGGTCACCACCATCGGCTGTTTGAGCTGGACTCGACCGTCAATCATCAAAGTTAACTTCACTGCGTGTCGAATACAATTCCGTGAGTCGCCATCGTACGCTTCCACGGGAAATTCCTGGTCTAATCGGCGCGTCCGCAAATTCCAATGGCGAATGAGGGCCTTAACCAAGTTTGTGTTTATAAAAAGGTATCCATTGGCTCCGGTGTCAGCTAGGCAAGAAACTGAAATAGCTTTTCCATTCATAGCTATACGCGCACTAAACGTTAAACTGTTATCGGATAGTAATTGTGTGTGGTCCAGTTTCTTGAGTGACACCCCTTTCACACCTGGGAGGGAGACTTGTCCCAGGCCTACCCGTTTCCCGAATCGGCGTCGGTCTCTGCTTCTTCGATCTCGTCTTTCGTCTTGGTTTTGGCCTTGGCACCCGTCACGGTGGCGGAGGCGACGGCGGTCCTTTTGTTTTTGTTTGTCTTCTTGGGGCAGTTATAAGAGACGTGGCCCTGTTCCCTGCAAATGAAACACTTCCTTTCCTTCATAAGTGTTGCCTTTTCGGCGTCGGTCAAGCGGGTAATCTCCTTTTTGGTGGAAGTCGAACGCGATGCTTCCCCACGGCCGGCAGTGCCGCCGTTGTTGTTGCGGTTCGTATTTCGAGTGGCATTCCGGGCGGCGACTTGCTGAGCGATCAAGCGGGAAGCAATCTGGCATTTGTGAATGAACTGCTCGAGGGAGACTGACTCATCTCCCGAGTGGATCATAACTTGAGTTTGTAAGAGAGGTGGCAATTTCCGATACAAATCCTTCTTCCTGAGGTCCATCGGTTGTTCGGATTCCTCCGCTAGGCGGGTGAAGTCCGCCAGGAAATCAATGAAGTCTTGTTTCGCATCCATTTTGAGGTCCAGGTACTCATCCCGAGCCACCTGCTTTTGGTTGGGATCATAAAAGACGCTTTCCAGATGATCGAAGACGTCCTTGATTGTCTGGTAGGGAGTTGTCGAGTTGTCCTGCATTCGAGGACTAATATGACCATACGCTTTTCCCTCGCATCGACTGCTGACATATGCTAACTGATGTGCCGTTGTGGGGTAATGATCATCATTCAAAAGCAGCTTCCGCTGCATTTCTGCCCTCCATGGTTTGAACTTCACACCCTTTCCGTCACTAAGCACCGGAGGACCTCCTGTGGGTGGTAGGACATCAGCCCAGGAGTTCCATTCCTCCAGTCCATCCTCTTCAAGAAGACCCACCGTAGCAAGGTCGCTTGGAGGCATGGCGGGACTTCGGGAAAGGCGGAAGGAGAGCAATGAATCAATTACAAAGCATCCCAAGAAGACCGCCTTGCCTTGTCTAAGTTCATCAGATCGCCTGCTATCAGACAAAGCTCCAAGTCCCATGGCAGTGGCCATGCGCACTGCTTGACCACTCAACAGCCAGGCCGCGGTCCAATCCTCGAGACCCATGTTAACCAAGGTTAGCAGCAGCAATGCCTGGATATGGCCAAGTTCATAACGCGCTTTCTCCGTGGGAATGAGATTCCGCGAGACAGTATAATATTCTTTTGCCAAGGCGATTGGTTCAGCGGGACCGGCCCGCGAATTTGTTCGTGATTGGGTGATTGTGTAGCTCAAGATTGCCCATAGCGCAGCGTGATCACCGGATCCAGGTGACGTTGTGGTGATAGAGAAAGGAGCGTTGGCGTAGAGGTAAGAGGCGCGGAGGATGTTATGCTTGGCGATCACGGGAAACCATGAATGCGTGACCGCAAAGTATATTTCGAGCAGTTGTGACGTCTGAGGCGGCAACTGCAGCGTACGGGAACTGGTCGTAGCCACAGCCCGACTATCCGACTCTTGCAACAAGCGAGCCCGCTTCACACCCGGCGATGTAGCCAACGCTCCGACCACGCGCGGAGCATCCGGCCCCAGCGGAGTGGACGTGCGTGCTACTCGGAACCCCCATTGGCCGTCCGGTCCATCGTCCTGCGCGTTACGCGATCGCTTGCCTGTCGAGGAACTGGATGCATCAGAGCTGGAGAGCATTTTCTGGCATTTTGGCGGACCTCTTCTGTGCCGGGGACTGATGGTTTCCTTTCACGGTAGGTGCACCTCCTCCCATCATCTTGACCACCGCCAGCAGACTTTCTTTCTCCTTCTGAGCCTGGTCTAACTCATCCCGCATCTGGGCATACTCTGCCTCCATACGCGAATCTCCATCCTCATTTTCGCGGGGGATTTGTTGCGTTAAACGCATAATCCGTTCGTTTAAGTTGTACACCTCCTCCTTATGGGCGTCCTCCATCTCTTTGATTTCCTGCTCCCTCTGTTCCCACTTCTCCTGCCTGTGTATCATGAGCGTGAAGGTGAATTCTGCATTGTCTTTAATCCATTCGACGAAATCCTCGGGGGAGTAGATCTGCTTATCGGCATGTGTTTCATCCCCGGGGATAACCAGCGAGCTGCGTCGCCTGGATTCTAAGGAGCGTGCATGTGGTGTCTTGACAGTCTCACTCTCGTCAGGCCGATCAGTGGGTCCTTCAGCGCCGGGTCGTGCCATAATGACGGTCGGTCCGTCCTATTGGCTTAGGGTTGGGTGGGGCAGTACCTGGTAGCATGAACCTGTACCCGGGTACAGTTCTTCGCTCTTCAGGTGCTGAAAAAGAAAGTTGTAAGATCGGGTGAGCTTTAGTATAATGTCACGATCAAAAACAAAATAAATTGTTGTATCAAATTACTAGAATACTAAAGCTGGAGAATAAAAAGAAAGAAAGAAAAAGCGGGGCACGGCCTCAGCTAAAATATCCGCCTGGCAGAATCGCCACTCTCCGCCTAAGCTTAGATCGTCACACCAGTCATGAAGCGTTAAGATCCGCGGAGGTGGAGTGAACGACTGTGGAGACCAATTAAGCCGCCGTGTGACGGGACGAACCATCTATCACATCCGAAACTCTGATTCCCATTAGAACTCGGTACTCAATTCTTGTTCGAATTTAAATATGAAGGTACGGGATAATTCAGCTCCATAAGTCTCCGAGTCTGGATGTCTGATCCATGGATAGATTCTCGTGCTCAAGATTGACTTCCAAGATTGACTTCCCGTTCTGTGATACGTCGAGCAACTTTGGGTGGTTAGTAATGGTGATCATGTGTGAGATTGATTGAAACTTCCAGGTTGTCTGCTCTAGCTAACCTACCGTCATTTGCTCATTTCGTTTCCATTCACTTCGCCATGAGCGGCCGGAGTTCAGTTCTGTTTCCGCCGCTCACGTAACTTTTGAATTTAAACACGAAGGGTCGAGAAGCGCCAGCTTGCCATTATGCTTTCTTTTTCCCTTCAGACACTTTCTCCAATTTACCCCAACCTCGGGGTCATCCATCTCCTGCAGGAGACACGGTCGAGTATCTTCCAAAATCGGAGATTGGAAGCGATTATCAGACAGATGAGTCTATACGAGATGAATCAAGAACAGCGTCAACACTTTCGGGCACTCCGGGTTCTAAAGCATAACCTATGGCGTTAGAGTTGTGCCCAATTTCGCGCAGATCGACTGTTGGATTTGACGTCTATGCCTTGAATTGACTTTATATGACGATCGACGTTCGTTGACAATACTTCGCAAAGCTAGTGGGGATTGAATAGGGAGAAAACAACACAATAATAATAGTTATCGAACATGAACAGCGAAGAGACGGGGAGGGAAGGAGGGGAGGTGCCAAAACACGTAGACGTGTAGTATTCGCGCCAAAAATGAAAATGATAACACCATCTCTGCATTAACTACAACAGGCTAGGAGCAATAGAACGAAAATGGCGCAAGATGATAGAAACAGACACCGATGACACCTATCCACACTAGCTTCAAGACTTGCAACTACACAGCTCCATCATTCGTGCAAAATATGGCAGCAAACCGTCAAACAGATCAGTCTCGAGACCTTGAGCCAATGGTAATGGCCTGTTACGTGTTGGTTCATAACTCCGTGTCAGGTGACAGGGGGCTGGCGTCCTGCAGGCCTATTGCAAGCTGTCTATTCTCCCTTTTGGAATACAAATGCAGACAACCCTTGTCCATACTGGACTAAGGACTTAATAATGTCAGCCGCTGTTGCGCAGGAGGACTTCCTCGTGGCGGTCTGGGGATTCAACAACACAGGTTATGATCAACCCAAGCCCGTGGTATTCGTGGCGTTGTTTTCCAAGGCTTGTTGATATCTGTCACTGATGGTTCGGGTTTTATAGGATATGGTTCTCTCGTATAGGGCTCGGCAACATTCGTGCAAAAGTCGCCGGTTGATCCGCCGTTTACGCTCGAATTTAGATGGCCTGCCCAGTACTGTTTTGGTGTACTCTGTGCCCTTCGGGTCCTTTTTTTGTGTTTTTGACTAACTCCCCGTCATCACCATGAAGGCCTGACCGCATCGGATTTCGTGGATCGCCGTCGGGTTTGGCAGGCTCAAATGTAGTTGACATCCGGGAGTAGGTACGTGTGAACTTGTTGAGATGGCGGTCTTGGGCGTCCGTGGTTCATTGATCCATCGTGATGATCGACAGCTATTACCCTCGATGTTGATACACCAATGCAGAGCTAATGACTCTTTATCTGTCATTCTTTGCACTCTTCCCTCTTCGGCATGAGCAGATCCAGAGATAACAACACCGGTTGCCACATTCGACTCATTCGGCCGTACCAACCAGGACCCCTGCAAAGGCGCAGGATTATGGGGACGGCAGGGTTCAGGGTACAAGGTACAGGGTGCCGGTGTCCGGAATCTCGGGGACCTGACTTCAAATAAGAATGTAACTAATGGAATTTCGTGGTCCAATCAACTAATCCTTGCTTGATGTTATGTTGATCCCCAACATCGGAGGTGGGTCTCTTTCCCCATGCTGCTGATCAGTACCCCAACCCTCGTTCCAAAGTTCTCTTTCTCACTCCCATGCTGTCAGGTATGAAAATAGCATCAACAATGAGCACAGCCAGAATTGCTCGAGAAGAGGGTATATCTTTAGAAACACATGAAACACGTCTGCTGGAGATCAGGAGTTGAAAGAGAATGCCCGAAATGACAGGCAACGGTTTCGCAGGGAGACAGAGGAGATCTGTGCATATTACGACTTCCTAATGCAGTCGAGTCAGCAGACAACCGGCCGTTAGTGCTCAAGCTTAACCATTTCGGTCCAGCCATCAACCTTCCAGAAGGTCTTGGAAGGAAATACCAAGGGGCTCAAGCGCAGTAATCCTGGCTGTTAATCCGATTCCCACCTTTTAGAGAAGAGTTCCTGGCTTGCCAGCCTGTTACAACGGTGGCTCAGAGGGTCTGAGCATATGGTTCGTAATCGCCATCGATACCTAGTCCTGCGCTCTTCTGGGTCCGGGATTAGGAACTGCTAGAATCCGTGAACACGAGTATTGGTTATTGATACCGATGAGGTTACCGGTGCTATGGGTGCCGCTCTGTTCGTCGCTCATTTTTGGTCCTTGGGATTCAGCTGCTGGGCAACATGCACCTTGACGCACCATCAAGGGTCTGGTATCTAGCTAAGGTACCAGCGAGATCGGTCCGCAGGACAGGGTATCTGGGGTATATTTGGAATCTCCGTGCAGGGTTTGGTGATCCAAACTAACATAGCACGGCATATGTCCTTCTACCGAGTTGGCGGTGGGAGCGATGTTGCACTCTCGTGTTGATTTCTTTGACGACTTTTATTATCTACATAGGATCCTCGAACTGCACTCTGCTCTACCCTGATTCGGCCTGGGAATAAATGCTTACAGAATGTTGTCAAGAGCAACCCTTTTAGGAAAAGCAAAAGATAAGCGCAAAGCGCAGGCTTGATTCGACTCCCCGCTTCCTTTCAACCAGTCAACCACATGGCCATGCATTGCAGGTCTCAGCCCTCTGGATCCCTCGTGGAGAGCACATGGCACCTGCAAGCCCTTCACCATTTAAGCAATCGATTGACATTGCGTGTGTCTCTAGGGGATTTTCGAGCGCCCGGGCGAGGGCAGAGCAAGGGTCAAACAAAGAAAAGCATGCATGGCCAAGATTCACCGCGACGAGGAACCAAAGGCTCCCCGACCAAACAAAAGAAAAACGTGGCTGGCCTGTTCCTGCATCCCAAAGTCCATGACTCCAAGAGCTCTCCCTCAGGAACCATAATTTCTTTCTCAGACAACTGCAGGGCTTGGTTGGTCTCCCGCCGGCCAGAAACAGCCACATCCAAAGGTTGGAAATATTCTGGAAGCCACTGACCTATTTTAGGCCTGACGACGACCCCATCAAAGCAGTTCCCGTTTTGGGGTCGTGTTCGCTAGTCTTCTTATGGATCTTGGTGCTCGGATCAGCACGAACCGGTGTTCATATTCGGAAACAACGCAATGAGGCTTCGGGGACCATGATCGGGGAGACCCTCCGGAGATCTACACGTGGTGATCAATGAAATCAAGGAAATCAATGAGTTCATGGTTTCTTTCTTGTGGCGTTGCATAAACTTGACGCTCAGATGTTCACCGGTTGAGTATGAAAATGGGTGAACCCGAATTCGAATCTCGGCCTTCAAACTCATTTCAAGATTACAAAATGTAGATCGGCGTTGCCGTGCATGGCGAGAGCCCGAAAGTCAAAATTAGTATATACTCCACAATAATTCTACCTATATACAGGCGAAATGGAATGAGCCGCCAGTATCCACAGATGAGAGTTGACCCGGATGTTTGAGGGGAGCAATGAGGGCTCGGTTGGTCACGTAGCCTCCCCGTATTCTTGCCAAGACTTAATCGCTCCAGTTATAGTTCAGGCTTTCGCGGGATACATCACCCTAGAGAATCCCAGCCAATCAGGGATTAGGTGGCGCTCAGGTTGGCTTGAGCTCGAGTCTCTGGTCACAATATCGGCGTCAACCGATCATCCGATGTCATGTCCGCCGTCGATCAGGAGGGCTCCCCTACAACAGCCCCTATACGGGCCCCAGAATGGAGCAAGGAGGACTAGCTTGCATTTGCTAAAAGGGTAAAGGAGTAATAAAGACCTTCTCTCCCCGATGCCCCGACTCCATCTCCGACTCCCCGAATCTCCAGAATTCACGAATCATGATCATTATTGATCACTGTTTAGATCTCGACCCTTTTCCTATTTCTGTGTGGTCATCCATGGTTCAGAGTTGGTTGGGGTATTTGGGGAACATGAGGGGAAATATGATGAGATGAGGAGAAGCAGTCTCATCTTTCGTATGGTCCCGAGAAGATGAAGTTGGTTGTCTTCACTACAGACGGGTTCATGAATCATGAGGCGTTATCGGGATAGGCGATCTAGTCGATCCAGACACTAAGTGGTGTTTTACTCTTGTATTGTCACGATTCAGGTTACGATATAGGTTGTGTTACGAGACTAGTATAACCGTTAGCATGTCTTGCAGGCTTGGCTTCACCCCACTACATTCATACCTATTAAGGTCGCTATTCGGATCCTCCATATAGTAGAATGATAGTATAACATGCACCGCGCTTGACGGGAGTATGTCAAATTATCAATCTCTCTTGTGTAGGCGGTTTTCCTTATTCCACGAAAACTAGCATGTTTATGGATACTTGCATCATGTTAAACAGCCTTATAATTGCTTTTTCTAGAGTGTCAAGTGTCAAATGGATGAGATATGCAAGCCCAATATGATAGTTTAACAAGCATAAAACCCAAAACTATGTATGTATTCTAATATTCCAATATCATTTCCATCTGGCATACTTTGACAGTCCCAGAGCTGCCCCCTTTTCCAATCTCCGTTTTGTTCTGGTCCATGCCATTCCCGGCTATCGGGCGTTGGATGCTCCTACAGGGTCCATGGTTTCCCCAGCTGCAATTATACCATGCTACATCCCATGTCTGCCATGTGGGCACTGTTCCCACTGCAGGGCCGGGGTATTCGGGGGTCCTGTCAGTCTTCCGAACCTTCTTCTTTCTCTAGTTATTTGTGTCTTCTCTCCAAATTTGGCACAAAGACACAGACGTTTGAGCTCTTGCTGTGCTCATACAGACAGATGTAACATATCTGCCACCTCAATCTGTTCTAGTAAGGGTCCTGAAGGCCACACCAATGAGAAAATTGCATTCTAAGCCAATCGTAGATGCATGATCTGAGCAGGACAAAGAAGGTAGTGCACGAACGCCTCCACCAGATTTAGAGTAGGAATAGTAGTAATAGTGAAATGGGGAATAAAGAGAATAATCAAAGGAAATGAGGTTAAAATAATAAAAAACAGAAAATTGAAATGAAAATAAAATGTAAAATACAAAATACAAAATAAAATAAAAAAACAATCCGAAAAGAGACTAACCGGCGACCAAGGGAAATAGATCCACGCCATGCGTATTGTATTCCCAGGTCTTCTTCTTAAGTCAAGAGTTTCAGCCTCTAGCCTATTTGTGTATCTACTACTACAACTCCTATTTACTCTCTCACTCTCTTCTTCTCTTCTTCTCTTCTCCACCTCCTCTATTTAGTCCCGGACCCGCCCATCTTTAATCTCTTCAAGTCTTGTTCTTGTCTCTGAACATACTTCCTTTGACCCACTATCCAATTTACAAGTTCATACCTTCATACTTCTTCACACCTTCATCCTTCACTGCACAATTCCAAGATCCAATTGGATTGTTGCAGCGTTTGTCTCACCCTGCCAACATCGTCCTGCAGACGGTGTTTGAGACTTCTTTCAGGGGAGTTCAACTGCAAGACAAACCCATCTATCGCGTGTGAAAAAAGAATATCTTTATTCCCCTTCTCTTCCACTTCTTTCCTCTTTCTGGAAATTCCTCTTCCTTCTTCTCTCCTCCTCGCGCTGGCTTAGCTTTGCGACTCTGGTCTCTATCAACATATCTTATTCCCTATCTACAAGGGTCTAAAAGATACACTTTCAACCACAACAATGACCTTAGTTGCAAGAGCAATTCCTCCCTCACCTCCAAGCTCTGCAGACGGCCACCATTTGGCTCAAGACTCTTTCGAGCACCCTGGTCTGTACGCAGGTTACAGCACTATCAAGATGCCCGGCGAGGAAACCAACAATGGCAGCCAGCCTGAAGCCATGGTAAGTCCCTTGTCTTCTCTTCCAATTCCTGCCTGCCAAAGACCTTCTCTGACGCATCTCAGCACTATGGTTCCCCTCCATTTTATGCTCCCACCAGCTACTCTCAGAATATGACACCCCAATCCGTAAGTGTAATCCCCATGTTGCTCTGACGCACTGAGACTGACCGGGGACATGAATCTCAGATGATGATGGGTCCCCCTCAAGTCACCACTCCCCCAGCTGGTTATGATGAAAGTCTCGTGCCTATGGGTTCTCCTGCCATGATGTCTCCTTCGCCGCCTTCTTCACGCTCCCCGCGTAGTCGTGGCAAAGGACTTTCCAAGGCAACCGCAACCAAACAGCGACGCAATCGTAACCGCAAAGACACTGATGGCTTCAAGATTGAAGGGGCGATTAGCAAACTCACCGCCTCATTTCACAATACCCCAATCAAAGACATGGATGCCTGGGTGGCTCGATCTCCTCAGGAGCGACGCGAGGAAGTCCGCAAAAAGAATGGCAAGATCTCTCGGCCTATGAACTCTTTCATGCTCTATCGGTCCGCATACGCAGAGCGCACCAAGAGACTGGTTGGTGCAAATAATCATCAAATTGTCTCAAAGGTTGCAGGTATGGGCTGGAAGCATGAACCTGAGGAGATCCGCCGTAAGTACGAAGACCTGGCAAAGGTCGAACGTGACAACCACGCAGCGACACATCCGGAATACAAGTTCTCGCCAAAGAAGGATGGCTCCATCAACAGCCGACGTGATGGTTCCTCGCCTTCATCCTTACCAGCACACCTTCTTGACGATGGGGGTCTATCTGACATGGAAAGTGAATATGGTTCAGCCATGTCAAGTATGGGGCGCCCACAGTCGTTCTCGCACAGCCGGACTCACAGTTTCGAAGACTCATTCTACAATAGCAGCCGCGACTCTTCACCATTCAACGGACACGATCCCACGATGGCTTCCGGCTACGTTCACGGGCGATGGCAAAACACGAGCCACCCCACTGGTATTCACGGCGTGCAGCCGCACTCACTCCAGGGCCCCTCTTCCTACGTCGACGAAGTGCGCTACCGCGCTCCTAGCCCCAACAACCAGGAGGTCGGCTATGGCTCCTCTCTCGCTGGAATTCCCGGTGCCACACACCACGAGCTGCTCCAGCCTCAGCTCGGACACGGTATCCCCATGGTAGATATGGACCCGCGCCTTCTCAGCAACAGCAACGAGTCCGCGGAAGTCATGAACATGGGACCTCCTTCCTACACATCCACCCCTGGCTCATATTCCACCTGGGCTGACGAGAGCCACAATGGATACTTCGCGACCTCTTCGGCGCCGCCTATGCTTGCCAACAATGTCGCATACGCTCACGCCAGCATGGCGTCTACATATCTTCCCAATATGCAAAACGAGGCTCGGGATTCCCAGTGGGACATACAGCGTCCTGCCCATCCCATGGACGACCCAACTCCCGCCGAGTTTGAGATGTGGGTCGAGTCCAGCACAGCACCAAACAACCACTACTAAGTACACACTGTGATGAGGTCAACATCCGTCCATGGCCACCTGAAGAGTCTTGCACGAGTTTACCGGGTTTATGAAAATGAATGAAGGCTGACCAGCTCCTTATTGCTATTACTCCTGGCTGAGAGTGATGACGAGCTGGCCATGCCGCTGGGCTTTCCCTCCAAACAAAAGCTCATGGGAAATGGAGTTTGGGTTTGGGGCCTATGGCGTCTCGGAACTATCTCCTCTGTTCTGTCTTTTACTTCTCCTTCTTTTCCTACTCCACTGTCTTCCTACATTCCACCTTCCTACCAAGTTTCTCGGTAGTTGTTTGATTTCTACATTTCAATTTTCATACGATTGTTAGGGTTATTAGATGTCGGATTTTTCACGCTCGGAAATGATGGAAGGATTGCGATGCTTTTTTGCTGTTAACTATTCTTATTGAATGATCCACTCTAGTTTCTCTCTCTTGTGCCTCAGTAAACATAGGGTAAAGAGTTATGTGTACGGTCAGCCATCTCAGCCATCTCAGTCCACGGCGATGTACGCCTACTGCACACCCTTGTCGTCCTTCCGCACTAAGTGGCAATGATATCCCTGTAGTTAGACTATCGGAAATTTCAAATCATACTATCATCTTGTTTTCTATTCCTCTTTTTCATATTTTATTACACCGCTACTTGCACGGTGTCTGTATTAGATCATGAAAAGATTTTATAGGCTGCATGACTCAGTATCTCTCAATAAAATAGACTAGATACCGGGGTATACAAGGCCTGGTATGAGCCTCCATCCAAACATCATATTCCAGGAATTGTCAGTAAGCACCTTAAAAGGTCCGTGGATTCAGTTTACTTGACCGGAGCTGGGCTCACATCACGCTTGGAAGACTCAAGAGTCAAGACAGACAAGACTGGCATACCGAGTGCCCGTATGGCTTTTCCTTCTATCTTTTACCTAGCTCGAGAAGCTCTAGTTAGCGTCAAGTCATGGGTGATGATGATGATAGATCAACTCTAGAAAAGATGTGTTGTGAATGGCTCAATCTGAACATGGTCCAATATAACCTGGACCACCCTGCTAATAAGACCGTTTCAGATATACAAAATGCACTCTAGTCGTCCAAGTCTTTCCAACACCGTATCCCGGTTTTCTTTCCAACGCAACGAGCCTCTCGTATGTCACTTATCCACCCGAAGCCCTAAGTCGGGCAATATTTGTCTACCGCCCTGTCCCGCCGACCGCCTTCACCTCAAGGACTCGCCGAGCAAGTTGACTGACTCTCTTAGTCGAGACATTGCATAGAGACATCAGTGCGAGACAATTTCAATATAGCCCAATCATTCAATAATTTCTTACCCCTGGGAAGAATACGAAAAGCACTCAGGAGTCCACCAACAAAACAATTTCACTTCCGCCCGTCCTCCTACCCCTCAACAATACGCAAGCTCCGGAAACAATTCACAGCCAAGATGTCGATTCCCAACGAAGCTCTCCAGAAGGTGTGTCTCAGCTGAATACTGGATCCAATACATTTGACTCGGATACCGCGAAGCCAAGGCAAGGGGAACCGGTGCGCCACTTCAATGGTCTAACCTGTCTCCTGTCTGTCGTGATTCCTACTCAAGGATGTCGAACCCAATGTCAAGTCCATATCGATGTGTCGCATGTGTACAGAAGCTAACAACTACTGTGCCTACAGCTCCTCCAAGAGATCGAGACCCGCGCCGTCGCCTCACAGCAACAAATCAGCCTCACCAAGGCCCACATGACAGCTAAGCAGCGCGAGATCCGCATGCTGCAACTTACATCGAAGGAGCTGTCTGAGTTGCCCAGTGAAACGAAGGTTTACGAGGGCGTCGGGAAAATGTGAGCATTACTGTCTTCCCTCATTCTCTCTTGGCTTTTGTTTTTGTTTTGGTCGCTTTTCCTATCTGTCTTCGTTTTATCGATTCCTGTTTTCGGGTTTGTGGCGTGAGACAGACAGTCGGAGGAATTTCCCGTCAACGGCATACTTTGGAAACTGAGACCCATGCTCATGCTTACCCCTGTCTTAGGTTTGTTAATCTTCCTATCGATACTGTCAACAAGCGCCTCACGCGCGAGAGTGGCGAGGCTACAGCTGAGATCGCCAATCTTGAGAAGAAGTTGCAGTATCACGAGACGACGAATCAGAAGAGTCGGGAGAATTTGGAGCAGATTCTCAAATCTGGTGGGAGGGCGTGAATAAATGCTTGAAATGGAATGGGAAGTCGGAAAGATGTTATCTTGGCGTGCTGCCATAGCGGATGCCCTGGTTATGGCATTTTTCACATCACAATTCGGCGATTCGGGTCGATGTGAATAACGCTGGGAGGGAATAGATTGGACCGGCATTGATCTGTCTTGTACCTCTTTGCGTGGACCTGTCACACAATGTCGAAAAGGATGGAGTGGACTGGAGATACCATAACATCGAGACTGGTGAGCACCGTGTCCTATATCTCGCCTCGCAGATGCAGGACGAGTATAAGAATGCTCGCCTTTCTACGTTCGGCCGACCGACTTGCATTCTGGCGACTACATAGACTTGGGTTGCGGGCTGGACTTGGATACCCAGGAGTTATTGTTTGCAAAAAAATATCTTCGTGAACGAACTTATTGATGTCTCGATGTCGTTCTCCGGCCTCCGGGTTTTCTCTATGGGTGGGCAAATCGGGGATCAACACTAACTATATTCGCCGATATCGATTGCGGCCTTGTAGCGAAGTATAGTTAGTCCTTGGCTAGGATAAATGACTCGTGCACTACATTCAAGATCTCTACCGATGCCGTCAAAAGAGCGTAGTGGGTCCGATGGAGCCTAGCGCGCTGCAGCTGTCACGACGCAAGGATCATCAGCTGCAAAGCACGCTTATCGACGTCCTTTTATTGGTGACCTCACGCAGTCAAGAGGAGCGAGAAGAGTGTAGTTTGGCCATAACGGGTCATCTGTCGCTGGGGTCGTAGACCGTAGCGTCAGATAGGGCCCAGATGACCCGGCCAAACTAGGATGGTGGAGGGGACGGTGGTGGAAGCAGCAGAGACAGCGGGGCCGGCGAGCCTGTCTGGAACTGGTGATTGAGCTTGTACAAAACTGACGCGTTCGTCGTGAAATACACCCTGAAAGCCTCTGAGGTCCATCTCCCTAGCATCTGAATCTGGTCGTCGAGTATCCCACTATCGTGCGCATGCTGAGCTGCGCCCTTCCGAAAACTGTGACCCGAGTAGCCCTCTGTCTGTAGTCCAAGCGCTCTTAGCTTAGTAGATAAGGTCGAGAGGAAGTTGTTGCGACTGAATGGCCTTCTGTGGAAGGAGAACAATGGGGCGTCGGGGCCCTTTGGGGTCGAGCAGTAGCAGCTTCTGAAGGGCATCAACCGGGCACGCGCCGTCTCCCGTCTTTGCCAGAATAATTTGCACGCCTCCGTGGCGGCGGTCTGTCTTACTGCGCTTGAGTGTGAGTTGTGCGTGGTCTAACGAGGACGAGAATCTGACATCGGAGCGCGTTAACTTTGTGGCTGAGAAGATAGAACGTGTGCGGAGGTCGTCAGTCTTGTAGGCGAATTCTCCGAGGCGAATGAATCCAGCAAATGCTACCCGGCACGCGGTTGCGGAGTTCAAGTCGTCTAGAATGTTCGCAGACATCTCCGAGGGCCGTGGTGGTAGTGCGGCGAGGCCCGCAGATAGTGTCGTAATAGTGTCACGCGAAATAGGGTTTCTGACCCGTACTTTTGTGACGGGATTGGGTCTTCTCGCGCCGTCTATGAGACGCCGAAAATGCTTGTTATCGAAGAGTTTATCGTCAAGGAAATTATCGATATGGTAGGCTCGGAGAGCGGCTAGGTCGGCGAGTGCGGTGTCAGGTTTGACGGCCTTTTGGTTGGCGTTACCAAGGAGTCGTGAGCTTAGCCATGAGGTCAATGACTGTCTTGAAACTGGCCATGCAGATAAATTTTGTAGCGCGCAGTGCTTTTCGTAGCTGCGCTGAACAGAGAGGTAAACAGAACGCGAACGGCCAGTGAGCAGAAGTCCATCCATAGGTGTTCTCTGAACCGCAAACATAGAAGGGACTGGTGGGACTTGTGGGACTTAATTTCTTTCACCCTCCTCTTGGCTCGCACGAAGTGCTACAGCCAAGGCTAGCTTCGCAAAATATCCCATGTCCCGGGCCTGGTCGAGCAAATATGGCCCATATTTGTATATGCGCATAAACTCGTCTTGTTTAACCAAATGCCTGTCCCCGCTCATATGCTGTATATATTCGTCCGTGTGGACAGCATTGAGGATGTACGGGCCGGGAAAGGGTAGACTTGCGGGAAATCATTAAGAGTTTCCCCAAATCTGTGGAGATATCGATCCCCGTCCTTGGTAAGCACCTTTTTATTGAGCTTGTATTCGTTAAGCTGCTCCTGGCTGAGAGGTAGGAAGAGACAAGGTTCGGAATCGGTCGATTTTGGATCTTCAGGATCGAACCCCTGAACGGAGACTCGAAATTGCGCGAGATCGGTGTGTGCATAGGCAGGCTTAGACCAAGTCTGGAGTGCTAGGATGATAGATCGCGCGGCCTGCTTATACTTGTCTCTCAAGCGAACGGGTTCCTGCGCCGGGCCGCCAGGAGACGGGTCAATCGCGGGAGAAGCCATGGTGAAGAGATTAAGGAGTGAGATTGAGAGACTCTGAGACTGGCAAAACTGTTATAGGCTAACTTCAGAGCTGGGAGTGGGAGGTCATGGCAAACAAGGCAGACCTAGATGAGTTGTTGGAGCCTGCGGTCATGAGACCTGAATGGCTGCCTGATTCATTAGGCTAGGTAGTTATGCCTCTGTTCGTCACTATCTCCTTTCTCTCACTGATTTTCTCTTTTTCTCTCTGTCTCCTCCGGTCCTCCCCAGTCTTTGCTAGCTTGCCAATACAGATCTTTACTCTGCTTCTTGTACTTGTTCGCCAACAATAGTTGACCGTTAGCGACCACGTGCTTGTCCCATATGACGTCGTCAAATATAACTCCGAGACCTTATCTACCTCAGTACTACGTAGTACGGTAGTACCGCATCATCCTACAATCTAAAGGAGCGAAATTTTCCAAACCATGGCAACGGAACTTCAGACGACTTGACCATGGACACTTCAAAATCAAAGAATTGGCAATCCTGAGGGCCTCACCATTTTGTCTCGGCTGAACTCACTCGGAACTGAAATCAAAGACCTCTAAGAGAGAATGGCAAGATCTGAAAGCGAGAACAAAAACATACAACAGTGAGGATTCGCTGGTGGTCACCCACCCAACTACTAACTCACCGGCGTGTGGCTTAAGTACGGCTGAGCGGACGGGAAGCCCTGTTTTCCACACCCTATGGTCGTATGTATTGGATATTACAGCGAGTAAGATTATATTCGACACGGAATTGGATGAGCTGAAGTGTAAGAGGGTGAAGTGCTGTAGGGTTAACCCAGCAGGTATTGATTCGAATCAGCCATAATATTGAAGAAATGATTCAGGGGACACATAGCTCTTCAACTTCTTCTCCTCTCCAAGCTTTTTGTATGTGAACGGCTGAACTCTGAAGTATAATTAATTGAATCAATCCTACTTCAGCCCTTCACGTACGAAAAGCCTGGAGAAGAGAAGGAGCGGAACAAGCAGAAGACCGGTGTCTGAAGACAGATCTGTAGGTTCTTCAGAAGGAGTAGGTGTCTCCTTTTGAGTGTATCGTCGGCCCGACACAGGGTCTCCAAGCTCGATTGAATGCATCCGAATCATCATGATCCGATCGTCTGAAATAACTTCTTCAGCACCTTCCTCCAGCATTTTTGCGTTGTCGCTTATTAGTCTGGTTGGGTAGGCATTGTCCGATTTATTATCAGAAATCTCCCTATTCTCCCAATCTCCGCGGTAGCCTGTAGGCTTGTTTCTGAGACACGACGAAATGCTCCAAGAACTGAATGTCCAGCAGCTTGAGATCAGGTTGATTTGCTAGGTATCTAGTCAACCTGGTTTGGAGAATTTATCGGTTTTTTGATTGCGAGATGATGATAGTGGCAAGTCACACTGTGCATTCTTGGGCAGCATTTCTAACAGGGCTGACTGTGTCTGTCGAAGACTGTCGTCGACATTGAAAGTCGCTCTCTGCTAGTGCTCCAACATGCTCATTTGGCCGATAGCGTCTGCTGGGCACGCTGGCAGCTAAACATCGGAGAAATTGAGGGGGTAGACAAAACCATTCTTGAGCATTGAGCAATTCAATCCTTTATGTACCCCGGACATGGTCAGTTGAACCCAGTATAACCACCACGTGCAACTTGCAGTTGCAAGTATGACCTTCTCACGTGCAAACAGCCAGACTGAGATGTACCATGGCGCCCCTCCCAAAAGCGGCCCCCCAAATCCATGGGTAAGAAAGCCCCACCCGCATAGCTACCATGGATGTATCGAATATCGAAGTTGGATATAGATCGTAGACAAACATGAAACACAGTTGGTGCCCAATCTTGTGATACAGCGAATGGCATTCATTCCTACGATATCCAACACATCTGGTTCAAGTAGGCGGAAAGAGCTGAGAATCTTCTAGCGGCTAAATGCATCCAACCCGAAGCTCGAGTCCAACCAAGTGCAATTTCAGAAGCGCGCGATAATTCTTCAACGGATAAAGATGCAGATCGCAAGATACACTCGCAATAATCCGTTTTCGCGGATGGCTACCTGGATGATTTAAGCATCTCGAGGAAAATTAGCGTTGACGGAGGGCCCGATCGTGACTATTTCAAGTGGCGTGCGATAAGGACAAGGCGTATGCAGCTCACCGCTAAGTGCAGTCTAGAAAAAGTAGGGCTCAAGTGTCCAGTCGTCAGGTCGTCAAGGCGTGTGGATATTAATATCGAGAGTGGACTCGAAGTGGGCCCGCATGATGCCATGTATTCTCGGCCTTGGAGTTCGAGTCTGAGAGGGCGTGCAAGAGGGGTAGAAGAGTACGGAGAGAAAGGAAAGGCGGGAATAGTATATCAAGACTCGGTGAACCGATGGTTAGGGGTGTCTATAAATGAGGTATAAGGCTATGGTCGAATTCAAGTTAATGTGCGCCATGAGGCTGAAATCCAGGCGTCATTGGACAAATAACGCCCACGCCTGAATAAAAAGCTACTTCGCTGGCTTACCTCTTTTCCCTCTTTCTCTTCCTTTCCAGCCCCTCCCCCGCTTTGGCTGACGATAATCGCACAATCCTCGTATACGTATTTTTAGCCCCCATTTTCATATCTTCGGCATATTTTCCTTCTTTCTCTCCTTTTTCCTTGGTGCTCACATTCATCCTATCATCTGCCACCAGCACCTGATAGAATCAACCCCGCTCAGGCCCCCTCTATCAGGGCCTCGAAATCCATTTCTCAACCTCCATACTTTGTCACAACTACCACCAAAATGCCCATCGAGTTCTTCAGCTCGGACGACTCAGATTTCTCCGAGACAGACATCTCCCTCCGCCGCGGAGAATCTCGAAGCCATGTCCGCCGGCGCTCGCACTCGCGCCACCGCCAATATGAGCCAAGAGTGACCCTCGCACCAATCCAATCAACCCGTGTGCACCGGTCGGCCTCGACAGGCGGCAGTCGTCGCCACCAGCGCGACCCAGTAGTACCGAATGTGACTATCATCAACGACGGACACTTAGAGAGCAGGCCGCAGAACCGGCGGGTGCACCAGGAGTTCACCGAACAGCCGCCGAGTCGCAGTCACGACCGCTTCGACGATGTCGTCGTCAATCTGCCGGTTTCTCCTGGCCACCGTGGGCGCGCCACCAGTGTCTCGCGCGACCACTCGCCCTATCACCGCGACCATGAACTTGTCATGGGCCAGTATCACCTGGAGCACGAGAATCTCCGACAAGACATGGATATTCGGCAAGCTCAGCAGGAGATCGAGCGGCTGGAACGCAAGATTCGCAAGAACCGTGAGAAGACGAAGAGTCGTGTTGTCGATCGACATGAGTCGTCGCATGAGACACGCATGACGAAGCATGAGTCTGATCTATACGAGGCGGAGCTTGTTGAGCGGCTGGCGAAGTTGCAGCGGTATGAGAGCAAGTTTGACGCTGAAGAGGCTGAGCGCAAGGCGGAGGAGCGGTATCAGCTTAAGAGACTTGCGGAGGAGAAGAGACTCGCTGCTGAAGAGGAAGAGGTGAAGCATAAGTTGCAGGAGGAGAGGTTGAGGGATATTGCGCGCAGGCAGGATGAGAAGGCGCAGAGGGATAAGCTCATGAAGGAAGAGAAGTGGAAGGAGCTTGCGAGGTTGAAGGAGGAGCAGGAGGAGAGAGACAAGCTGATCAAAGAGGAGAAGTGGAAACAGCTCCAGCGGGAGAAGGAGGAAGAGGAGGAACGAGAGAAGCTCATTAAGGAGATTAAAGATGAGGAAATGCGGAAGGCGAAGGAGGCCGAGGAGAAGAGGAAGAAGGAGATTGCTATGAAGGCTGCTGCTGTTGAGGAGTGGAAGCTTGAACAGGAGCGCATCAAGCAGAGGCAGGCAGAGGAGGCGGCGCGCAAAGCAAAGGAGTTCCGCGATCATCTTCAAAGCCTTGGCTACAGCGAAGCGGAGATTGATGCCATCATCAACAAGAAAAAGGACGAGAAAAAGAAGGAAGAGGAGAAAAAGAAGGAGGAACCAAAGAAACCTGATGAAAAGGATGTCAAGCTCACGTGGATTAAGGTATGGTCTCTTCCCGTATATAGGGCTGCAAATCCTCCAGACTAACATGATGCCAGGTTCATCGCAAGCACTTGCTGCCAGAAACCCTTATTCACTTCAATCTGCCTTGGGATTGGGATGAGGTATGAACTATATCAGACCTTGGATTTATTCAATGCAAATACTAATGCTTCGGTTTCAGGGCGACACCAACTATATTATCATCAAGCGATGGATCACCGAGGAGTTCCAAGAAGAACTTTTTGCCCACACCCGAGCTATTCGCGAGCGCAAGGTCATTGCCGAAACATCCCACTCAAGGACTGAACTGAGGGTCAATGACCGCAACAAGGACAGGTTGTACCTAGTCCGGAGGAAGAGCCCCAGTCGTCGGGTCCGCCTCGGGGCATAAACATCTTTTGGTTTTGCGCTGGATCGATATCGAAGCTTGACTGAAGGCTTCTGATTTACGCACATGAATTACTTGCATCTTTCTTTGAGATCCAGTCTGTTTACCCTTTTTGTCGAAATTTTGCTACGAGTTGGGATTTCACTTCTTTTTACCCTTGCTTTCACAGAGTATGTGATGGGACAGGAATGCGATACGAGTTGATGACTTCTGATTTTCAAATATCTCTGGCTTTTATAGTGTCAATTGTGTTTCTCGCTAGCTTGTTCTTTACATCAAACTCGGCTGTGTTTGTCTATTCTACGACTATACGGGCACGTGGGGTAGTGCCGCCAAGTTGGTAACACGCCCCAGTAAGGGAACTCAATGGAGATCGCAGATCTTTGATAGACGACATATGCAGGTAATGTACATGCATGTGTCAGGCCCCAGCCTTTCAATCGGCTCCATGCATTGGTTTTAGCTCAATGCAAGGTATGCGCATCTGGGCACGGGCCTATGCAGGATCGAAGGTTTCGGGGCATGAACGGACTATAATACAGAAAGTGGAGGGGTATGAGGTGGGAAGCATGATAGCAAGGAGGCCAGGTACAATGCAAATCTAAAGACCGATCTGGTGATTCGTCTCCCACCGCTTCTCAGCGCGTGTGATGAGTTCTTCATACACGGTCCAAGCAAGCGCCGAACTCATAGCTTTGCGAGCCATACGGATACCAAGTCCGCCGAAAAGACTGCGCATGCCATCTTCGTGAATCATCAAGCGTGTAGCGTGCACCATGTTCCTGTACTTGGCAGGCATCAGCTGCAGCCGGGTCTTGACAGCGTCAAAAGGATTGGTGATTGCGGTCGCCATACCGGCAGCCGCTGCACCGGAGACGAAATGTATGGCTGAGGATGACACGCCTATCACTGGTGTCTCGCCATTCACGGAAGGTTTCGTGGCCATCAAGGCGAACCTTCGCTTCAGTTGCTCATAGAAGAGGACATAAAGACCTGCATATGGGGCGTCACGAGCGGCAGTAGCGCCAAATCCTGCGAACAATCCACGGAATCCTTCAGTCCGGATGATGTCGCGGCCTGCGCCTATTAAACTGCGGTATGCGTAAAAGTCCGACTCGTACCGGACCTTGATCACGGTCACTGGCATCATTACGAAGCCTGCAGCGACTCTTGCGACGGCTCCTGTGGCGAGGTTGGCCGTGTTGGAGAGTTTGGGGAGCACAGACGATGACTTTGCGCCTATTGCTGGGCTAGCTAGGACCAGTGGGTTGCTTTGCGCAAGGGCTTGGCGCAATGAATTAAGACTCGTAAAGTATAGCGCTGAGCCAAAGCCAGTACGTAGAGCTGAAGGAAGCGTGCCGCGCCATAACCCGCGGATTGGATTTTGAGAGGAGACAATGGCTTTCAAGGTAGGGAGGAGGGCGGCTCCCTGAGATTGTTGGACTCGAGTTTTGAGGAGATCGGCGGGTTGGAGGAGGATGGAGGAAGTAAGGCCGGAGCAGAGGCCAGCGGCGAAGTGGAAGGGTGTTTTTGAGGCTGCAGAAACAAGATGTCAGTATGAGCAATGGAAAAGAAGTATGACGAGGGTGTTAAAAACGATGCTGCTTACTTGTTGAGTTGCCTGTCTTCACCTGCGGCACTGTGGTTGTTCCATTGGTCGACATCGCCGGATGCGCAGGGCCAAATTGAACCCGCAACTTCGACAGGAGATGTGTTTATTATGAAGATGAAAGATTCGATTCCAGGTCGCGGTCCATCGGCGTGTCGTATGGCGGTCAAGGCAGGCGTCAGATCCACCGGATGCGTAAAAAAATGAAGAAAATGCCAACGGAAGCCGGTCAGACGATCAGAAAACACCAATTTGCATTCCACCAGGGAGAAATTGAGAAGGGCTGAGACTGAAGATATTCCAGGGACAATTCACAAGGTAGAGATTACCGAGGTCAGTCGGGGAAAGAGGTTGAAAATAGTGAAGTCATCGGGATCAGCGACATGGCCCTTATCGATAAGGCTGCCAATCCTGCCAAGCTTGGAGTAAAGGACTGGTTGACTGTTGTATAGTTACAGCTATTGATCTGTATTGTTCTTAGGTAGACAGAATGTACTTGAATTTCAATTGAACTGGTAATATCACTATTCACTCGCTAAGGAGTACAAGTTTACCTCTTATCTCTCATGCGGCTCAACTCTACGAAGTACAATAGGCTGTGCATCTGCATGTCGGTGGCTAGATCAGATTCAGATTGACAGTCGAGAGACCATTAGAGTATGAGATTGAATATATCCATATACCTACAGACTGCAGTACTTGTTAACATATAGTTAACTAGTAGATAGTAGAAGTAGACAAGTAAACAGAACCAGAACCAGCCTGGAGAAGAAACAACCCGCATCCGGCATCTCGCGGAGCCCGGTTAGACCAATCAGAAGCCGTGAAATCGGAGGGCTTGTGTAATCGACGTCATGTGGCATTTGTTGTCGTCCTCCATTTTGCTTCTCTCTTTTATTTTCTTTTCTCTTGATAATTCAGCTTCACAACACACTCAACTTCTCTTCAAAAAGGGGTGTACAGCATGACCTGGTCTTTGCCCTTCTTTCCCTATCCTCCCGCAAAGGATGGATATTGGGAGCCCGTCACCTCCACCTTGAACTGGTGCGAAGAGGTATTCTCCCCCACCACGAAGGCGAAAGTCAAGCGAAGCGAATACACAGAACCCTGCGCTAACATCTCCCTCCGCCTAGGATTACTATGCCACCCCATATGCTGCAGAGATTGTCAACACACTCACCAACCTGCTATTTATGTGGCTTGGAGTCCAGGGCATCCTAAGCTGCCGTCGCAATGGACACGATCAGATCTTCACTGTCGCCCTCCTGGGCTATCTGGTAGTCGGAACCGGGAGCTTCCTATTCCACTCGACTCTAAAGTGCAAGTTGTCCTTCCACCCCTCCGAAAACCGCATGTCTCAGTTGGAACGCGGTTGGACCCTCACCGATGATACCCAAGACAAAACATTCAGAAATGGTCGCGAACACCAATGCTGACCGCTGAATCCTAGAAACAGATCCCATGCAATTAGTAGATGAACTGTCTATGATCTATACGACCTGTCTCATGACATATGCCTCATTCTCCTACTCCCGGACCGTCACCACCCGTGTCATCCTCGCTGTGTCGCTCACAGGACTCGCCGTCTTTATCACCCTCTACTACCACTACCTCCAAGACCCTGTCTTCCACCAGAATGCATATGCGCTCCTGACCACTGTGGTCGTTTTCCGCAGCATGTATACTATGGAAAAGACCCTTAGACCGAAATGGCGTCACTCGACAGAGGCAGATCGCCTAGCGCGCCAGAAGAAGGGACTCCCCGTCCCAACGAAGGAGCGCCAGCACTACGAGAACGTGCGCGACGAGAAGACCCTCAAGACCATGTGGTTCATGGTCATCTACGGACTCAGCATGTTCTTGGGAGGCTTCTTCATCTGGAACCTGGATAATGTCTTCTGTGGCCAGATGCGGCGGATGCGCCGCGCTGTCGGTCTTCCATGGGGTATCTTCTTGGAAGGACATGGCTGGTGGTATGTTTCCAATGTCACGAAAAAGAAGTAAATATCCGCTAACTTCCTGCAGGCACATTATGACCGGCATCGGTGCGTACCTCTACATTACGTGGGGCATCTGGCTCCGCCACTGCCTCAACAACAAGCAAGAAGACTACCACCTGCGCTGGGCGCACTTCTGGCGAATTCCCGAGGTGATCCGCACCTCTGGCGGACCATCCGAGAACGGGGTTGCTCGGGCCAAAAAGTCGACGTGAGAAAGCCGCTCACATTCTTATCCCTTCTGTAACAGCCTGTTCATCACTCGCACTCATCGAATATGGATGGCGCTTGCGAGTGTGATTCAACACATCAGACGAACTAGATACCACGCTTTTTCTTCCTTGTCCTTTGCTGTGACACTTGGGAGCAGAGCACTGTTTTGTTATTCCCTGGCGTTCCTTTCAATCTGTCCCGGAGATGGATATCTCGCTTCGGTCCATAGATATACGATACCTTTTGATCGTTTGGTTTTTACATTGGGGCGCGCGGGCTCGTTGCTATAGAGTGGAGTCCAGCTTGTGCATGCTGGTCGCTTCAGCTCCCTCATACAGGACACGAAATAGAAAAAAACTTAGACGATTCAGACATCCTGTTCTCTATAAACCGTGGAAGTAGATCCTGTCCAGTCTATACTTGATTCTAACGATAGACCCCAACCTCAACCAGGGCCACAAGAAAAGCAGCAACAAAGATGGAACTATAAAAGCCCCCGTCACAAGGTAACAGTGACAAGCTACAACTTCGCCTCCCCATTCTTCGGCCTCCGCGCCGGCGCAGGAACATGCTCCAACCACTCTTGATCAACAGTCATCTTCTCAACCTTCCCCTTCCCATTCCACTCCTTCCAGAAACTCTCCTCCTCATCCCTCCACCTCCTAATCTCGGGCGTAATCCACGCCACCGCCGCCTCAGCACACTCATTCACAGCCTCTTGAGCAAGCAAATGTCCAAAGTCCTCAAGCATAACATCCCTCACCCTCCCCTTCGCCACACCCCCACTCCCACCCAGCCCAACACCCGTATTAGCCAGCTTATCAGCCCGCATGTCCGGCAAACACATATCCGACTTGCCAGCAAAGATATACAGCACACTCGGACGCAGGAACGGAAGTTGCGAGAAGATACGTGCTGGTTCGGGGCGGTAGAAGGGGTGGTTGTGTGGGTGTGCGGCGTCTAGGTCTGGATGGGTCCGGCGATTCACATCCGTGTTGTTTGTGTGAATGTAATTGGGTCGGGAGAAGGTGAAGACTTCTTGGTGCAGAGTGGTGCGGAGTGTTACTGGTGGGTCCTTGGTGGTGTTGGTGACGGCCTTGGTTGGGTGTTGGGGCAGAGGGTGGATGGCTGTTGGTAGATCGCGGAGACCGTGCTCGATCCAGCGGGAGAGGACTCGTGGATCCCAGGCTTGGTAGAAGGGGCTGCGACGGAAGCCTTCTGCGGCGTCTTGGCGGGAGGGCCAGATGTCGCGGCGGTGGGTGGATAGTTGGGTTGTTTTGGCGATTTCGCGCTTGTTGTGTTCGAGGCTTGGGCCGTCGAGTTGGGTTGTTTGTCGTTGGATTACGGGGTCGAGGAGGACGAGGGTGTGGATTAGGCGTGGGTGCATTAGACATAGTTGTGTGCTTGTATTTGTTAGCTGTTAGCTGTTTGCCTTTATTTCTTTTGGGGGTTGTTCTTAGGTATGGAGGACTGGACTCACAGATGAGCACCTCCCATGCTATGTCCGATACCGACAATTGGTCGGGGCATTTCAGCTCGCTTGACGTTGACCAGGTGGAGGAGGTCTCGGGGGTGATCGAACCAGCTAGCTGTAGCAGAGTCAGCATATTTTGTTTCGCTTTTGCTTTTGGAGGTTGAATTCGCATACGATCATTCCCAAGGCTATCTTCATTGATCACGCTGCTCTGGCCCTGATGCGCCACGTCGGCCATCCAGATACCTCGAATGCGGATTCCATTCTGCTTAGATCGAGCATATATTTCCTCCCAAAGCGGCTCGTATAGTTCCTACGAGACAAAAGCATCAATATCTGGGTCTCCGATTCGTATATTGTTGTGTTTGGAGATGCCGTCGCAGCGCTCCCAAAAGTGGGTCCGGCGGTTCTGGACCTCGGCATTTTGTTGGCGTCTCTCTCGTACCTTTGGGAAGCCATTTGCATGGGCAGCGAGAATTGTAACATCTCCCGGTTGGGGATTGGGGTTGTCCAGGGGAATGTACTGTTTCACGGCTAGATTCAAAGCCTCTTCTTGGTCGTTTGCTGTGGCTCCGGGGTATTCCCTGATGTGCTGAGCTGGCACGATGTGCTCGACGATGCGGAATGGAGATGACATGGTGTAAGACAGCCCTGGGGGGAGGAAAGGGAGGGAGAGTTGCTTTTATTCGGGGAGGAGTACGGAGTAGTTATAACATATTGAGGGGATCGCAATGAAATGAGAGAAGAGACCCGGTTTGCGGGGGAGCCGAGGATGTTGGTGGAGTTCGGAGTTTAGGTGTTTGGCGCCTGTTCAACTGCCGATCATCCCTGCACCGTTATGCGTGATTTATATACAGTGTTGTACACAGTATTGGAGTCATTGAAATCAAATGTTGCACATAAACGTAATACTTAATATCGTTAGTTGGCGACTATGTAGTCTTACTCTGCCCGGATAGATCACTCAAGCTATACTCTACCATGTTGATAGAAACCGAATGTCGAGGGCTATTCATTCCTGAGGGAAGAACCCCTTATAGAGGCATACTAATTCGCTAAGAACGAGAGGCAAAACTGCCGCGAGGACGGTTATAAGATCTTCCCGTACATGGAAGCAAAGATGCTACGTTATTCTATGTACTACTCTGCACTCAGAGCAAGGCACGCATCCACAGCCAGACCAACCCTTCAGATGATTAGTTTTTGGCTTGATCAAGTTCAGACAGGAAGTACTCACCTCCCCTCTTTCATCTTGACGACATCGTCGATGACATCCCGATCAAGGTTGGGAAACATGTTCGACAACGTCTCGACAACATTAGTATGTTCCGCACGCTGTATACGACGCGCCTCCGCATCCTCAGCACTAGCCTGGCGCGCAGCGGCATCCTGGGCATCTAGTACGCGGGTGAGATTTTTCTTGGCGGACGTTCCGCTGCCGTGGGCAGAGTGAGAACGCTCATCGCCTGAGCGCCGGCTATCTTCGCTGCTTGCACGTGGTGGTTGGTAGACATTTGGGGTGAGACGGGGAGGAGCGACACTAGGTTGAGGTGTCGGGATGGGTTGAGGGCGGTCTTGTGAAGTGGAGTCTGGGTCGTCGGAGAACATGCGGCCGATGGTGGAGAGAGGTTTTTGGATTGTTCGGAGTAGTCCTGCGACAGGGGCGGAGGTGTCATCGTCGCTGGACTGGGTCGCTTCTTTGCGGCTTGGGCCGGCGTGGGACTGGGATGGTGGTTGGGTCGAGGGTTTTTCTTCGAGGGTTTCGGTTTCCCGGTTTTGCTCTGCGATTGCAGAGACGGCGGCTTCGACGTTGCGTTCGAATTCTTCGTCGCTGACTGTTAGACTGGTTCTGTCGAGGGTCTCGATGAATTGGATGGCTCCGGACTAGGGAATGTTAGTCTTGTGGTCTAGTTCGAGACAACGGGTAAAAGGTCATACCAAGGATGAAATGTAGTATCCTGCTTCGCCGCCGAGCTTATCCTGGTTGCGGAATCGAAGAATATATTGAATGTTGGAGACGAGATGATCCGGGTTTGCATGCAAGACCACGTAGATCAAGAGAGGGATGAAAGAGTCGGCAGATGTGTCGCCCTTCTTAGAATTCTTCAGCAGACCAAAGATGACCTTGCAGCAGTTCAAAATGCAAATGACCTTATCTCGGGGAGCTCGGTAGCCATTGATCTTCGATAATTCTGTCAAAAGTTAGACACACTCCGCAACATACTCGCGGATACATACCTTGCTGCGCCAAATTCAAGAAACGACGGCCGCCATTGCTCACAGTTGGAATGTCAAGATGTGTCTCATTGACCCAGCCGTAAATGCGGATCTTTTGAGCCAGGATATCGTCTCGCTCAATATCCTCCTGGTGCTGGCCACGTCGCCATGGCCCGTGTAGCCTCTCGAGCTCTCTCCGCCGACTCCGACTTGCACTTCTTGGTATAGTCGGTGGAGATGGAATAGCTGGCGAGAAAGTCTGTGAATACAGGCGATTCATAACAAGCTTCTCCATGCCTTCCTTGGCATTATCAAATTCGCTATCCGATACATCTCGCCAGATTTCACACATGGCCATCTTATTTGTGATGAACGTCAAAAAGTCGCTGATAATCTTGACTTGTTCGTGAACCATCCATTGCTTCTTTCCGAACTCCAGGAGGAATGAGCGCAAGAATTTGGCCACGGGGTCAGCGGTGCGGTGACGCAGTTGTTCTAAAAAGCGGTGGAAATCAAAAGGTTGGTCAGGTTCTGGCTCCGGCGGTGGTAGCAGTGTCGAGGTGGACGCTCGCCGATTTGAGACCGGCGAGTCGGGCTTGTGGGGTAATTGGGATACAGGCTGCTTCTGTGGTGATGTAGCAATCGGAGAATCGGCGGATTCAGAGGCTTTCCCGTGGTCTAGGCTGGATTTCCGTGGCGGGTAATATGTTGAACCACCTCTGAATTGCTCAGCGAGCCCAAGCCGTGGAGACATGATCTCCATTTGGTCGGTGCTCCGCGCGGGGTCTTGGAATTGTCCCATGATGCTTTGGATCTCCGGCTGCGAGGGAGTATCATCCCGAGGTCCTCCCGTCTGGTTGTCTCGCTTGGCTTCTGCATCACTGTCGCCAGGCACATCTGGGAGCTCTTTCTCGGGGCTGGGGGCTCGGTTTGTGATGATGGGCGGCAACGTAGGCGTAGAGGTTGTAGGAGCTGCATCGAGATTGAGGTAAACATTGTCCTTTTCGGGCGGAGGGGGTCGAGGAGAAGTATTTGCGCTGGACGGTGGGTCGTTTGGTGTAGTAAGTCCTGAGACGGACAGTCTTTCCATCTGCCCCGCAAGTGGTTGTTGCTCCGCTGATGAGGGGGTGGTTATAGTCGAGGGCATCGGGGCGGAATTTGGCGGTGTTGGATTGCCAGACTGTTCTGTTGTGGCCTGCGCATTCATCTCCGCTGTTTGGTTACTGTCTTTCGGCGAATGGTCGTTCTCTGTTTGTGTTGGGAGGTTGGTTAAAGCGGGCGTCTCAGTGGGTTCATTGGTATGGGCGTCTCTCGTCTCGTGGCCCGGAGAGGACGGAGATTCTGTGGCCGACATGGACTAGGATATTCATGTGCGCCTGGGCAACGATAGATTCAGGGGGTCGTTGTTGAGGCTAGGAGTATGCGCTATATTGCGGCTCATGTTGATGTGCGGATCATCGTTCAACCGAGGCAGTCCGACATCCGCTGTACGGAGTAGACAACATCGCCCTATCTAACAGTAACATAGTTAGGAGATGGATTTCTGGAAGTCATTGGTACAATCGACCTCAGATTCATGCCAACTCGTCTTGAACGAGTAACGACAAAGTCAGAAATGAATTTGCTGCTATGGAGAGTGGCCTCTAATAGGGAACTCTTTGGTTGCTCCTGAGTCCTGACTCCTGACATAGGTATGTTACAAGTTCTACCTACTTCATTGCTTCAAACCCGAATTCAAGACGAGCTGGGGTATTCTTAGGACTTGAGCCAAAGAGCCATATGTCTTGGATATCAACAATCATTCACCGAAGCCCAGATCTAGATGGCATCGCCCTTTCCACCTGCCGGGTCTAACATGACTAAGATCGAGAGCCTCAGGTGTCGATATATCCCAAAAAAACGCTTCCAATCGAGTCGAAAACATCAAACCACACCAATCAGGCTCCTCCACCATGTGTGGGATTTTCTTCTCGCTGAGCACTTCAAAACCCACGCCATCAACGCAAGAGACCTGCGATCTACTGCAGAAGCGAGGGCCAGACAGCTATAAAACCCACACATTGCAAAAGGATATCACCACAGAGGATGGCGTGTCTCCACCACTATCCTATTATCTGACATTCACCTCGACAGTGCTTGCATTGAGAGGAGATCATGTATACACGCAGCCACTCGTAGACCCCGCAACCCAGTCCGTGCTCTGCTGGAACGGAGAAGCGTGGAAGATCGCCGGGGAGCGCGTCCAGGGCAATGATACCGAACGCGTGTTCAACTTGTTCTTACAGGCAGTGGACAATGACCGGACCAAGTCTGTTGAAAAAATGGCTGAAGCTATTGCCAGCCTCTCGGGGCCGTTTGCCTTTGTCTTCTATGATGCAGTCAACTCAAGGCTCTATTACAGCAGGGATAGTCTTGGGAGGCGGTCTCTGCTTCAAGGATTTGACGAAGATGGGAATCTGAAGATTTGCAGTATTTGTGACAGTGCATCGGCGGATTGCTTCAAGGAAGTGGACACCGAGGGCGTTTGTACCATTGACTTGGATCGCTACCAAGGCCCATCCCTATCTGTCAAAGAATTGTGCCAGATCGAGATCATGCCATGGAGCTCCGCTGATTCACCACCAGCTGGTCATATAGTATGTGCCCTTCATCTTTTCTTTTTGAACACAGCAACTGACGCAAAAACGAAGAAAAAATCAATCCAACCCATGACCACATCACTACCAACAGAACAACCACCAGCATTGACAACAGACTCACCCTTCGTCAAAGAGCTCGAGTCAAAACTGCGTCAATCCCTAGAACTCCGGATCCAAGGTATCCCCGAACCCCCAGGCTACATCGCCAGCCAAACAGCAAAAACAGCCGTCCTCTTCTCCGGCGGCCTAGACTGCACTCTCCTAGCCCGACTCGCCCACGACATCCTCCCCCTAGACGAACCAATCGACCTCCTTAATGTAGCCTTCGAAAACCCCCGGGTAGCAGCCGCCGCCGCAAAAGCCAACCAAACCCAATCCACACCATCCCTCTCAATCTACGAAAACTGCCCAGACAGACTAACCGGCCGCTCCGCCCACGCCGAGCTCCAAGAGACCTGTCCAGGCCGCACATGGCACTTCATCGCAGTCGACATCCCCTATACCGAAACCCTCGCCCACAGGGAAAAGGTCAAACGCCTAATGCGCCCCCACAATACAGAAATGGACCTCTCCATTGCCTGCGCATTATACTTCGCCGCCCGCGGCACAGGCACAATCCAAACAACCCCATCCCCCTCCCATCCTGAATCTGAATCTCAACCCCAAATCTACACAACAACCTCCCGCACCCTCCTCTCCGGCCTCGGCGCCGACGAGCTCTTCGCCGGCTACGGCCGCCACAGCGTAGCCTTCACACGCGGCGGCTTCGCCTCCCTAATCGCCGAGATCGATCTCGACGTAAGTCGTCTCGGCTCACGGAATCTCGGCCGCGACGATCGCGTCCTCTCGCACTGGGGTCGTGAAACGCGCTTTCCCTTCCTGGACGAGGAATTCGTCGCTTGGGTGCTGAAAGCGCCGGTGTGGGAGAAGTGCGGGTTTGGTCTGCCTACGCCTGCTTCCGAGGAGACGGCTGGTATTGATGCGGAGAAGTTGGCGTTGAGACTGGTTGCTGTAAGGCTCGGGATGCGGAGGGTTGCGAGGGAGAAGAAGAGGGCTATTCAGTTTGGGGCTAGGACGGCCAAGATGGAGACGGGGAGATCGAGGGGGACGGATGCTTTGGGGTGATTGGTTTGTTGAGTTCGCGTTGGGTTCTGGCTGGTGTGCCCGTATTCTTTCCAACCCCTACACATTCATCTACTCTTTTCTTTTTCTTTTTCTTTCTTGTCTTCATATACCTCTTCTTCGCCCTTCCGACCAGCAATGATGACAAGACATGGAAACAGATACTTCTGAAACCCCCATCTTCCCTCAACCAGCCCTTCTGCTGACATCCACATTCTCCTATCCAAGCCATACAACCCAAATCCCCCACACTATACACCAAGTCCAAACGCCGTGTCTCTGTATCTTCCACCCTGCATTCAGTTAAAGCAACAGCAGTCCCCGGGCGGCGTGTAGCTGCTGCGGAATGAAGTGGGCGAGATGCGTTAGGGGATATCTTGTGCTGTTAGGTACTTTGGGGGTATAGGGGATTTGCGGGGGCTGGATGGGATGTTCGTGGATCGATGAGAAGTTTGTTGGAAGGGAGAGGTGGGTGTTGGTGAGGCACTTTAAAGGCAAGTCTGAGCTGGTTAGATGCACTTTCCTTGGTAAAGCAGGTAGGTAAACAATTATATCCCCTTAACTAAGGCAGTTACGAATCATGAATAGATGTAGAGGAAGGAGCGTTGGGTGGATGGGAGGAGAAGCCATCAACGTGGTTGCTATAGTTTACAGAGCAGTCTACTGAAGTTAAGTTTTTACCAAGGCATGCAGGATGGTGAATATAACACAAATTAATTCAAAAGCAGACCTATTACGATAGCCACGAGTCCATCCTACACAAAAGTAGGAGACAGTCAGAACCGGCCGAATATCAAAACAAAAAAACAGGAGACGAAAGTAGAGTATAACAAGTGACCGCGCAGGAACACAAAATCAAATGATCTCAACCAGTGGCATGAGATATATAAGTCTCAAAAACTTTTAAGAGAACCAACATGGGAGCGAAGGTCGCATCCCATGTGGTCTCGGTGAGACGAGGTGAGGCTTAACCCATCACCCGCGCCCACCACAAAACCCAGAGAGGTCAACAGGAAACCAGAAAATATGACACCAAAGCACAAAACATCAGAAATGACCAGTCGTTATTATCATTGAAGCCCGGAAGTGGATCGTATTTTAAACCCCAAAGTTGGGCACCTTCCTTTACTGGAAGGTGTTTTGGATGGCGAGCTGAGCCTTGAGGTTGGCAATCTCGGCATCGCGATCAGCGATGATCTTCTCGAGATCGGCTATCCGACGCTCAGAGATAGCCTGGCGTTCCATCTTCTTAGCACGCGACTTGCGCGCAGCCTCGGTGTTACGCGCACGCTTGGCAGCGATGGGATCAGATGGATCATACGCGATGGGACTCAGGTTCTTGCGCGAACGCGCATTGACGCCAGAGATGCTCGAGTGCTTGGTATCACCAGTAGCAGGAACAGGCGACGAGGCGACCGATCGCTTTGCGCTGGGGGAGGGAGCAGCGACTGAGTGGGGAGAGACGGGAGCTTGCATCACGGGCTTCTTGGGCTCGATGGAGTAAGCAGCGGCGGCATCCATGGTAGCAAGGTCAAAGGCATTCAGTTCTGATCCGGGGCCGAAGAGCGAGGGCCAGTCTTCGCCGGCGATATCAATGTCGGCGAACATGGGCGAGGTGTTTTGGCTGAAGGTGCCAGGCGACTCGAAGGAAGGAGTACTCAAATCGGTGAATGTTCCAGAAGGAGGAACAGACGCGTCCATCATGAGATCCTTGGGCGAGATAGTGCCTGGGGGACCATCGACGAAGCCATTGGCCAAGCCGAGGTCATTGAACGCGGCAGGAGAATCCATAGTGGCAGGGAAGCCAGCCGAGGGAAGACCGAAAAGATCGTCCTCGTGAGCTAATGCGGGGTTAGCGATCATGTTCCGACCATATATCGAGACGGAAGATAATTTACCTTCCATGAAGTTGGGAGTGGACATGACGCGTCGATAAGATTGCGCTTTCTGGTTGGAAACTTGTTGACCACTGAAAAGTGGGACGGGAGGGCGGTTGGTGTTTGGAGTATTGGAAGGCACGGAACCCGTATTGGGACGACTGTGCTGGAGGGTGGGAGGGGACCAATTAGAGGCAGACCGGGCAAGCTGGGTCACTCTGGGGTCTTGGACAGGAGAGCCAGAGAACTGCTGCTGAAGATGTCGGTGCAACTGCAGACTGAAAGAGTGTCTTCGAAGATTGTTCTGCGCCAGGAAAGGCTGGAGGGCAGAAATTCTATGGGCGTTGGTCGAAGGCACACGCAAGCGGGGCTGCGGGTGTTGAGCTGCTGATGGATAGAGCACGAAGTCCTCGAGTGCACTGTTGTTGTTGCTGTTGTTGTTCTGATTGGAAGCCAAGGGCTGTTGGGGCGGGGGTGAGGGAAGCCATGATTGCTGGTGGTAATCCGTGGTGAACGACGTTAAGTCGATCGGGGTAAAGTTGTTGGGAGAACTTGAGCTACGCGATGCGATGCTAAAGTTCAGAGATCCTGGAACAGGAGACTCTGAAGGGTGAAGAGAGGAGAGAAAAGGTTGGGTTCCGGTTGGAAAAATGATGTCTGTCTCAGTTGAGAAAGACTGGCTTGTGCGAGACGGGGAGCTTATTGGGCACCCATTTTGGCGATGATGAAGTTGAGTGTAGTTTTGGTCAGACGGCTGCAATTTTGCGGTGTGGATTTGTTTATGTGTGGTGTGGTATATAAAGCGCGAGTTATGGAAGAGAAGAAAATCAGGCCGTCGATTGGGGGGAAATCAGGCACTTATTAAAGGGTGTGTGTGCCCTGGCCGATGACCAATCGGGGTGTCGGAGCCGCACTTGGGGAGGGGCTTAGTCAAAGAAGTCACGGGGTGTGAGTCACAGTCTGGTTCCGTGGATCTATTGGCTCTAGTGGACAGGCACCCATCCACTCTGCGGTACCTTCCCTGATACTTGCATATGTACGTGCTTTTGCCTACATTTTCAAGGTATCTCATAGGTACCCTTCTCAACGATCTCCGCTGCTTACTCTGGAATTGGCCAATTGGCATTCTTTGTTTTCTGCAACCTAGGGCATCCTGCATTCGCGAATATTTTACTTTTTTTCTTATCTCCGTATTTGAAAGGTCTTTTGATCTCCCTTTGCCGTCCCATTATTCTCACTTGTTATATCGTATCTCATCCCTCACACATATGCTTCAGACACTTTCTTATTGTTCGTACTCGAGAGATCAACCCTCTTTGGAGAACTCACAGAGTCGGAAATCGACCGGGGAGGTATGAGCATTCTCCATGAGGGATAATGCGTTGAAAACGAGCCCCACCGATCTTTTCCCAATTGTGTCCCCGCGGTAGGCTGTGTCCGTGGCCCGTGTCCTATGAGACACGCGCATCTTCCTTAGTCCTGCCGAAGGGCGTGAAATTGACTTTCAGTTCCAAGGCTCGATGGATTTCTGATTTGAACTGTCGGTGTAGTTTTCAACATGTGCCTGCAGGTACTTTGTCCATATTGCTCCAGTAGGGAGTACTTCGCATACAACTGGTACTAAGTGGAAAAGGGGAGGACAGCACAATGCTGTAGTCCTGGTCTACTTCGTCGGTTCAAGATGAAAGAATTGGAAGATAATTAGCTGGTCCAACCAGAGTGGTCAACCAATCCTGATGCGACATTTAAGAATTTTATGGAGACCTAATTTATTGAACTTTTCTACTTCTGTTTGTTAACCATGGTTCTCATCGTCCCTGAGGGCCGAGGCTCCGAGCCGGTGCCGGAAGAGGATCCCGCTGGGTAACCAGTGGACAGAATAAATCATGTCATCATTTGCACTCGCCAGGATAAGAGTCGAAGCCTCGAAGGTCAACCCGCTATATACCAGGCACCTCTAATAACTAGCGCTAGCATGACATTGACGACATATCAAGGTAGGCGACAATATTCTCTTGAAAGTCCCCATGAGCCCATGAGCCTTCAATCTCCAAGTGGCCCTACACGCTCAGATGGACTACGCATGATAAATGTCTGCCTACATACCAACTAGGTTGTATCCCGTTGAATGGAGGTACCTAGTTACGAAGTCGTCATGCTGAAAGATGTCCAAAATGCACCCCAGATCACCAATGCATCACGATGGAGTCAAATCCTCAACTCTGTCCACCGATCTACGGAGTATTTCTTGCATGACAGCCCTGCAGCGAGTTCCCACTTGACAACGCACAGGACCCATAGATCCACATCAATTCAACGGTCAAGGAGTATCAGGCAACACTCTCCGTACGGAGTACAACGACTACAGGTACTACGCAAGATACTATGGGTCCGTAAAGACAAAAACTGAGAGATTCTATTAAGAATTACCTATCGCAAGGTGTGCCACCTCCACGGACGGAACATAAACCGACCGCAGGCGACACCAACGGTAGACAACATTAGAGGGCCAATTTGGGTTGCGCAAGACAAAGACAAGTCAATAAGGACCAAATCCAAAACCTCGACAACGAACAAAGAGGGCACCCATCCTCCCCACAGGGTATCAAACACAAAATCAAAGAAACCAAAAAAACGGCAGTGGTATCAATCTAGTCGGGCGATAAAACCACGTAACGCGTAAGCACGTCGCGAAGAGGGTCACAAATCGCGGGACGCAGGTCGTAAAGGAATGAACAGCAGCCCAGAGGACTGCGAGCGTTGATGGTGCCAATGATATTAATTTTTTTAGAGGCAAAACAGATTATAAAAAAAACAGCGACAGCGGGTATCTCATTGTCACCGTCCAAGCCCCGGTCCAGAGATTAAGCGGAAGGTGGGGAATTGGAACGGAGACAGTGGCGAGGAAAAAGCAAAGCAATATCGAATATGCAACCTTCAGGCCTCGATGGGACCGTCAGGGACATCGCGAGCGAGCGATGGATAAGACATGTCCCACCATCGCTCAAACTCCACGACACGTCTCCCAGGAGTCGTATTTCATGCGGCAGCCTGGACGGGGGTGGCAGCGGGGACGTTGACGTTGTTGGTCTCCTCGGTGGCAGCCTCAACGGGCTTGGGTGTCTCCTCGACGACGACGGGAGCTTCCTCGGTGGCGGTCTCCTTGGCGGGGACGGCGGGGGCCTCCTCGGCGGCAGCATCGGCCTTGGCCTCAGTCTCAGCGGCGGCAACCTCCTCCTTGTCGAGCTTGACGGCCTTGCTGTTCTTGCGGAAAAGACCGCCGAGCTTGTTGGACTTGGCCTTGGTGTCCTTGGTCTCACCGTCGGTGACCTCGTTATCGGAGGACTCAGCCTTCTTCTCCTTCTTGACAAGGCTACCGAAGAAAGAAGTGCGACGCTTCTCCTTGGGGGTGGTGACAGTCTCAGCGACGGGGGTCTCAGCGGGAGTGGTCTCCTCGGCCGCGGCAGGGGCGGTCACGCTCTCAGGCTCAATGGGCTTGACAGCGGCCTCCTCGACTGGGTTCTCGAGCTGAGGGGCGGTGCTGGAGACAGCAGTCTCCTCAGCAGCAGGGGCGGCGGCCTCCTTCTCGGACTTCTCCTGGGAGGGGCTGGCAACCTTCTGGAAGAAGTTGCCGAAGATGGAAGCACGCTTGGACTTCTTCTCTTCCTTCTTCTCATCCTTGGCATCCTCCTTAGCGGCCTCCTTGGGGGCCTCAGCCGGAGTCTCGGTGGCCTCAGCGGGGGTCTCGGCGGCGGCGGTAGGCTCGGCGACCTCGGCGGGAGCAACGGCAGTCTCGGTGGTCTCGGCGGCAGCGATGGGGGCAGCACCCTCAACAGCAGCCTCGGCGGCGGGCTCCTGGGTGGCAGGAGCCTCCTCCTTCTTCTCCTCGGCGTCCTTCTTTCCGAGGAGAGAACCGAAGATGCTACCGCGCTTGCGGGACTGGGAGCGGCTCTTAGCAGCAGCCTTCTCCTCCTTCTTCTCCTCCTTGGGTTCCTCAGTGGTGGGCTCGGCAGCCTCGGCGGGGGTCTCCTCCTTCTTCTCCTCGGTCTTCTTAACAACAGCGGGGACAGCGACGACGGGCTTGGTCAGCTTCTCGAGCTCAGCCTTGTAGCCCTCGCTGGAGGTGATGGTCTCCTTCTCGGCCTTGGCCTCGGTGGCCTGGGCCTCGATGGCAGCAACCCAGCTGTCGCGCTCAGCGGCGCTGGAGGCCTGGAAGGTGTGCTTCTGGCCACCAACCTTGAAGAGGAACTCGTTGGAGCCCTCCTTGGTCACATCAGAGACCTCGGCCTATTTCACGTTAGTAACTCCCGTATCCCAGAATTGGACCAAAGCACTTACGAGGTTGAAGATGTGAGCCGGGGTGGCCTTGTCCTCAGCGCGCTTGGTGAGGAAAAGGAGGCCCTTGCCGGTCTGGCTGGCCCAGGCGGCGATGGGGTTGGCAGTAGCAGCCTTCTCGTTCTGGTGGAAGACGGTCAACTGCTTGCTCTCAACAGGCTCGGCGCTGAAGTAGAAGAAGCGCTTGGCGAAACGGAAGCCCCTAAATCAACAAATACTCGTTAGTTGCTGTTTCTTTCTCCGGTGATCACAGTCGCAGCTTACTTGACAAGACCAGGGGCCTTGTAGCCGAGGATGCCCTCGGTGGCGAGCTTGACCTCCTCCTCGACGGTCTCAGCAGCCTCGGTGGTCTCAACGGCGGGAGTAGCGGTGGTCTCCGCGGTCTCGGTGGCCTCAGTCTCCTTGGGGGCCTCAACTGCAGGCTCGGTGGCCGCAACCTCAGCAACGGGCTCAGCGGCAGGGACGGCAGGGACGACCGCGGGGGTCTCCTCAACAGTCTTCTGAACGTCGGACATGATTAAAGTTAAGATATTAAACAGACAGGGTATTAGGAAGAAAAGGCGGGTTGGGTATAGGGTATCTTAAAAGAAAAAGCAAAAGAAATTAGAGCACAAGAGCTCGGGTATCACGAAGTACGAAGGGGTATTTTGCTTTGTGGGAGAAAGGAGGGAAGAGAGGAGAGAAAAGGGAGGGAGAAAAAAGAGTCAGAAGGTTGTTGATGGCGCTTTGATCCCAAAGAGGAAGGGAACTGCAGGGAGCCCAGAGCTCAGTGGACCCACTGGCGATTAGCTAATGACGCTTCAGGGGTTAATTGTTTTTTTTCTTTTTTTTATTGTTTTTTAAATGTTTGTTTCTATTTTCTTCTGTTATTTTCGTATTTTTTACTCCGTACATTCTCTCTGTTCTTTGAGATTCTATGTTGCTGATAACCTCCTAAACTTCCTTCAAGTCACTCTATGTTACCTGCAATATGGTTTACAACTGGAGTCGAGTTTCTGTCTGGTGAAACATGAGCAAGTCTTCCCAAAGATATGAGGTACAGTATTACGAGGTCATGAGCCTGATAACATGACCTCGTTCCCAGTTCTTTGTCTAGTCATGACGCTAGACCCAATCTAACTCCTTTAACTCCCTAAATTTGTTGCTCTGGAGGAGAAAATAGGAGAGAGAAAACTCTTCAAACCTTGGCTTTCAGTAAGATGAAACCATCACACCATGGCCACCCGATAGTTAGCTACAATCGGCCATGCAGGTGGAAAATCAATGGGCCCCGGTGCAAAGTCCCCTAATTTACCCGTGCAGTTCGGATCCTCTTACCGATTTGACAGCAAATTAAGGGCATCTCTTGGAACATGCGATAGGCCGATGTCTTTTTTTATCTTGTTTCAAACATCAATTTAGACCTTTCCATACCCAGTAGAAACTGAAAACCACATACGATGTTGTATGTCATGGCGGGGTTTTCTCAGATGGCGTCTGGTCATCAGACCAACCGTCCCAAAGTATGTGTACCAGTTCATACTTCCTAGGGCCCGTAAGGAGGTTTCTGTGACTTGTTCAATCGGCCGCCACACCGTTTCCTCATATTCGTTACACGGTTCAAGGGGCTTTGCTGTCAGAACTGTCGATTAGTTAGAACCTTAGATAGATTCATGTATTAGCAAATCAACTGATTAAGCGTTCCAGTGCTTCTCTCATCACTCTGCATAAGTAGTTAACAACTCAGTTCGACCCTCGGAGGTGTCTCTATCTCACCTACAGAGTACTGTGTACTCCGTACAGAAAAGCCATATCGGCATGCGCCAACCTAAGATATCCCTTTGGCCTGGAGATAACCCCCATCAGAAGGCAACCTAGTTACCATTACTGCGTACATCTGTTGTGATCAATCCAGCCTGAACTTTGTTGATTCGCTTCTCACTCGCATGGCTTTGGTTGGCGCCTGTGTGCCGTACCAGGCATGCATCTTTAGATTCTGTAGAACGGTTGGCTATCACGACTTCTGGTGCAATCTTTAGTCAGGCCCCATGACCTATCTGATATCAAGTCGATGATGGAGTGGCGTGCAAACCCTCGCGGACAGCCAACCAGCAGCGGGATAACCCCTCCTTCCTGGCTCTACGTTTGATGTGCATTCCATCGGCGTACCGCGTATCATCTTTCTGCGACCACGCTGCGGCAAGGGACCCATGATGTTCTGTCCAGCCAATCCACGAAGTTGCACTTAGTCCACGCGATTCCTCATCGTACAGTACGTTCAACGGGTCGCCTCTTTACATGGTCTGTGCATCGTACCATTTGACGATCCTCTCATTCATTCTCCCGCGGACTTTATTGTATGAAGGAATATTCTTGAAACTAAAACCTCGTGGGACCCACATGACCAGGCGTTTCTGGCCACTAATGTCCCTAATCAAGCCCCTTTCTCACTCCCTTCGAGCAGGTTCTTCCAAACTTCCAGGGTCCAGCCCAGTATCCCCACCAGACTATGTCTGCATTTGATTTCGGGTTTTACACAGTAGCGAATAGGGGGCTGGCCAGCCCTACCTGGCACACAGTGACACACCCTGAATCACAGCTCTTTATTTTTGGTCGCTTCCATGGTTCTTCTACGAGTTAGTACCACAATACATACCTAAAGGAGACCCAATAGCGTCGGCGATGGAGAATACTGTGCCATGCGCTTCGTGTTCCCCACTATTCAATATACGACCCTCAATTTCCTACAACCTCCAACTCCAACATAACGCGTCAGGTAGTTATCTACTCTGATCCTGATCTACAAGTACTGTGTACTATCGGGCCGATCACGAGGTCCCAACGTCGGCCGCCAGAATGTGCGACCATCGGAGCATTTTCAGTAATGATAATATGGTGAATCCACTCCCTGCTCGGTAGCCCAGTGCACCCTATCTGAAGCCCCTTTTTCACCCGTTACGAGATAGGGCAGAATAGCGACCATGGCCAGCCCTGGTGTTTTCGCCCTTTTTTCTTTTTCGCGGTCGCCAGAGTCCAAGTATCGCCCATGCCGCTCCTGTCTCCTATGAATGGTCGGGATGTGCCGTTCGTGACGATCACCTACATTGTCCATGTCGCGCTTGTTGATCTTTACTTCTCTCACGTTGCCGCAAAAATTGACACCATGCAAGTGCCATGCTCTGCGGAGCCCGTGAACCTAAGGAACTCCTTCCGTTTCTCGCGGCTTGCATATTACTCCATCTTACGGAGTACTAGCAGTGACTGAAATGCTTAACTACCTAAAAGGTGCAGCCTACTAGCTATTCTGAGCAGTACGTCGTAGACCAACGGTCCAATCTGTGCTCTATATTTGGCTTTGCAATGAAGAAAAGTGATAGGGACATGACTTTTGCTTAGACCATGCAGTTGATTGATCTCAAATTCTCAATACTTGCCACGCGCCGACTTTTCCTTCGGTGTACATAGGGGACGGACTTCCCGTTTGCCTAAGCTCTCCGATGTCCCCCGACCACTCTAGCGCTCACTAGATCGGCCTATAACCATGGCACATTTTGATGAGGATGAGCGTTTGCTTGGTATTACTTTAATATTCTCCAATGCGGGTATTGCCCCCGATTGAATCTTCTCGACGGTTCGCTGAACAAAGGTAATATTCCGACGGGCGATATCCCAATCGAGTTGTGATCTAAAGGTCAGGTCTTGAGTGGTACACAGTACGGAGTACGGAGTACGGACTTGGGAGCCACAATACAAAGTTGTGGAAATAGGGGAAGATCCACACAAGCTCGGACATGGAGTCTGGCTTTTTGGGCGGCATGGTCCCAGTGGTGTAACAATCATGAAGTCGAGCAATTTCAATTATTCGATCCCCAGCATTTCTCTTAACTGTGTATTGTTCTATGCTCAGGGTATTCGATGAATCGATGTATCTAGCGTAAGGATTCAACATTCTTATGTTGTAGAGAAACAAATGCAAGGTACAAAGTGGGCACCTGTATGTACTACAGTACCCACATCCTCCAAAAAAGGAGGGCGGTCGATGAGTCACATCAGAATCACATGAATCTTGGCATTGTCACGAGATCTCGTATATTGACCAATCATACCTCAGAGCCAAACTGCCACCGCTTTCTCTGATGGTATAAATATTTTCCGCTCTCCCGGCCTTTCCTCTTCTTTTTCTTTTCTTCTTCATACTTACCTTGTTTGGGTGACTGCGATCAAGAAGGCGGTTCACCACAGATTGGTCCCTGCATTGCACATCGCGGCGGAACAGTTTGTTCAATGGCTTTCGGGTCATTGACAGGCGTATTCTTTGGCACCCCTCCACTTGTGGAACTCTTTCTTTTCATCAATCTTTGGGCCAGTGGCTCGAGCTTGGAGAAGAGAAGTAGATGTAAATATCGTAAACCTACTCTGTACTGTGTAGACATGCGAAGTCATTCCCATCACACTTTGTCCTCAGTCTACTCCGTTCGCAACTCCTAGTCATCCTGGTGCAGTATTCGGTTATTCACGCACGTCTTGCCCGTCAATACTGTTTCGCTAGCTCTTTCTGTATGGCTAAGGCAAATAAACGTGTTCATCGGCATTGATTTTACGGCCATTTCGCACTCTGTTTCCTTCAACAAGGCCAGATTGCTTTTTCGCCAGTTCCCGGGCCTGTTTTGTTGACATGACGTGTGACTCAACAGCATCGCCACACATGTGGCGATGCGGCTCCAGTTCGGGTCGGCTCAGCACAGCAATAACTCAACCTCACAACATCCCACTACTTAAATTCACAGCAGGTCCGGTTACCTTTTTTACAAACTACACACTTTTCTTGAATATCCACATTTTGACCAAACAATTCCCAAACCTCCATCAAGATGCCTGTCCCCAACGCGGATCTCTATGACAAGCAACAAGACCAACTCAACGGCACACCTTCTGCGGACCCCGCTGTGTGCACTTCCAGCGAGCAGAGCAATACTAGCAGCTACATTGGGTCCAGTCCGCCTGCTGGTGCATCGCAGAATGCTGATGGCGGTCGTACCCTGAGCAAGGAGGAGGCTGATCGTCTGTACGAGGAGCGCATGGAGGAGGAGTATGCTAAGAGAGAGGGTGGTGCTTAGTTGAAGCTGCGGGAAGGCTGGGCATGTCTGTTTTGTGACTTCGTGCTTGTTGACTGGTTCCATGATGGGTACTCGGGCTGGTGTGACAATGCCAACGAACTACCTATGTGTCCTAATTGTACCTACCTTGTCTCTCTCCATGGGGATTGAAGGTTTAGACCAAAAGTTTTAGAGGACTCTACAACCCTGGAAATGCTATATGTCTATGGGGCTGGTGCTAGGTACATAGGTCGCAGGTGCTACCTCTGTGATCAGGCATCTCAAGTTGGTCATATATATAATTGAACACATTTTAGGTTGAAGCCCGTCTCGTAAGAGACACACGTCAAGCTTAACTGGAAAAAGCCTGTATGAATTTTCATTTCAGTAAAACACCATAAGCCAGTACCTACCTAGAGCTTCACTAGGCCATCTTGTGGGTCGCCAGACTATGATGTGGACGGGAACCTAGAATGCAACGCCGTATCCATCCATTGGACTGTGAGTCAGATTCTCCAGAATCTTAGTGTCCCAGACTCCCAAGCTGACATCTGTCTCTTCGAACCTCCCAGTCTGACCATAGCAAGATTTGCCAACATGAGCTTTTTCTCTGATCAAGTTACGACAGTAATCATTCCAGCCGATGTGCAACCCATCCGCACGAGTCGCCTATATCTGCGGCCACTAGCGCCGGGTGACGCCGCAGCCCTCTTTGAGATGCGCAGCCGTCCCGACGTGGCAGAATGGCTGTAAGAACAACCCTCTCCAGCTCCAACGCCAGTGTCAATATACACCAACTGACTTCTTATAACATGTAGCTGGCCCAAAGAGCCTCATAAACACATCTCCGAGTCCGAGGCCATCATCGCCCGAAAGACATTCACAACGCCAGATGCATCAGGAGCCGTTGGACGGCAGTTTTTCTTCACCGTCACGCGTATCGATGATCCATCGCAAAAGGTCATTGGATTTGCGGGAATCAATTCTCTTGTTCCAGCTCCATCCGTCGGCTATAATTTCCACCCCGACTTCTGGGGTAAAGGATATGCCACTGAGGCAGTTGCTGGAATTGTAGATGCGTGGTGGAAGCTCGGAAGAGTGCACTCCAAGGAGGTAGTACTGAAAGAGAAGCTGTTTGCATGTTGCAATATGGCGAATATTGGTAGTGTGAAAGTGCTGCAGAAAGTCGGGTTTACTATATACCGCGAGCAGCCGGCAGAAGGTGATGTTGTCGCGCTTTTCGAGTTGGAGGTTCCTACTAAATAGAGAGTTGAGGCTGTATTTAACATTGAACTGGTGAAACCTTCAATCTCATGTCTATAGGTCGATACCCCTTCTACACAGTAGATAAGCGGCAGCAGCGTCATCGAAGCAAGCGGATGAAGGACGGCAGGTGTTCTTGACTTTGAGACAGATGAATATGACTCCATTACTCGTTAAGCCCAATGTGATATCATAATATATATTGCTCATGTAGATTGTAGTTTCGATCCTAAGGATATCCTCCTGGAGAGCGTATGTATGAGTTGGCGACATCGTTGAGGCCGAGGGACGTCAAAAGCGTTCTGTGTACATACTGTAGTCTGCAAGACATCACGTGGACATCACGTGGCTGGATGCAGCCAGCTTGACAGAGCCACCCGAGAACAAGACCAAGTCAAGCCCCGGACTCCTTGCGACCACAGCGCCGAGGATCTGTGTCCTTCTTTGCAACTATCCATTTACAGTCATTCATTCCAGTATTTCTATACCTTGGCTAAAATACACGGCTCCTGGTAGCCTCCTTACACCATGGCTCCGCGGGACACCTTCTTCCGCTCGGCGGATATGAGCTTGACCCAGCTCTACATTGCCAACGAGATTGGAAGAGAGGTTGTCAGTGCTCTGGGTGAAGTTGGTCAGGTTCAATTCCGAGATGTGAGTGGTGCAGAATGCGTTCTGGTCTGATGCCCGCTGACGTCGATGTTGTTATCTAGCTGAACCCGGACACGAACGCTTTCCAAAGAACCTTTACGAAAGAAATCCGTCGCTTGGATAATGTGGAGAGACAACTTCGCTATTTTCACCAACAAATGGAGAAAGCCGGCATCCCTATGAGATCTTCCTCGGACTTCACCGATACATTGGCTGCCCCCTTGGCGTCGGAGATCGATGAGCTGGCCGATCGCAGCCAGAGTCTTGAACAGCGAATTATGTCGCTCAACGATAGCTATGAGACTCTGAAGAAACGCGAAGTCGAGCTGAGCGAATGGCGGTGGGTGCTGAGAGAGGCCGGTGGATTCTTTGACCGGGTAGGTGACTTCGTGCATATATCTTTCACCGACCGAAAGCTCGAAACGGACTACGTTGCCGAGACTGACTTTACTTAGGCCCACACACAAACAGAAGACATCCGACAGTCTCTCGACAACGATGAAGCTCCCTTGCTCCGTGATGTTGAGCATCATGCCCCTCATCAGAACGGAGATACCCAGGGCCAGCAGAGCTTTTCGGAAATGAATATCGGTTTCGTTGCTGGTGTCATTCCTCGGGATCGCATTGGAGCATTCGAGCGTATCCTTTGGCGCACTCTGCGCGGAAATCTTTATATGAACCAGTCTGAGATCCCAGAGCCCATTATCGACCCGACGACCAACGAGGAGATCCACAAGAATGTTTTCGTTATCTTTGCTCACGGCAAGAATATCCTTGCCAAGATTCGAAAGATTTCGGAGTCGCTTAACGCATCCTTGTACGGTGTCGACGAGAACAGCGAATTGAGAAGGGACCAGATCCACGAGGTGAACACTCGTCTCGGCGACGTCGGAAATGTGCTTCGTAACACCAAGAACACACTCGATGCGGAACTTTCGCAGATCGCGCGTTCACTTGCCGCCTGGATGATCATTGTGAAGAAGGAAAAGGCTGTCTATGACACCCTGAACAAATGCTCATATGATCAGGCGCGCAAGACGTTGATCGCCGAGGCATGGTGTCCGACGAACTCTCTCGCCCTGATTAAGTCCACTCTTCAGGATGTGAATGACCGCGCGGGCCTCACTGTGCCTACAATTGTCAATCAAATCCGAACCAACAAGACCCCTCCAACCTTTATGCGGACCAACAAGTTCACCGAAGGATTCCAAACAATTGTGAACGCTTACGGTATTCCCAAGTACTCGGAAGTCAACCCTGGGCTGTACACGGTCGTCACATTCCCTTTTCTGTTCGCTGTCATGTTCGGTGATTGCGGACACGGTGCACTGATGACTCTGGCTGCCAGCGCCATGATCTTCTGGGAAAAGAAACTGGCGCGCACCAAGTTGGACGAGCTGACTTATATGGCTTTCTACGGACGATACATCATGTTGATGATGGGCCTGTTCTCGATCTATACTGGATTCATCTACAACGATATTTTCTCCAAATCTTTCACTATCTTCCCCAGTCAGTGGCAATGGCCGGCAGACATCAAGGCCGGCAAAATGGTCGAGGCGACTCTGAAAGAAGGTTATCGCTATCCGTTCGGTCTTGACTGGAACTGGCACGAGGCAGACAACTCCTTGCTCTTCTCGAACAGCATGAAGATGAAGATGAGTGTTCTCCTTGGTTGGTGCCACATGACCTACGCCCTTTGCTTGCAGTACATCAATGGACGGCACTTCAAGTCGAAGGTGGATATCTGGGGCAACTTTGTTCCTGGGATGCTTTTCTTCCAGTCTATCTTTGGGTATCTTGTCCTTACCATCCTCTACAAGTGGTCTGTCAACTGGCAGGAGAAAGGAGCGAACCCTCCCGGTCTCCTCAACATGCTCATCTTCATGTTCCTGAGCCCTGGTACTGTTGAAGAACAACTGTACCCTGGCCAGAGCTTGGTCCAGGTTCTGTTGTTGCTCCTTGCCGTAGCTCAAGTACCCGTTATGCTCTTCCTCAAGCCGTTCTGGCTCCGTTATGAACACAACCGTGCACGTGCCCTCGGTTACCGCGGCCTCGGCGAAAACTCCCGTGTGAGCGCCCTCGACGCCGACGATGACCAGGGTCGCGACAGTATGGCTAGTGATGGAGAAGGTGTGGCTATGCTTTCCCAAGACATTGACGAAAGTGAAGAGCACGAAGAATTCGATTTCGGCGACATCATGATCCACCAAGTCATCCACACGATTGAATTCTGTCTGAATTGTATTTCTCACACGGCCTCTTACCTTCGTCTGTGGGCTCTTTCGCTCGCTCACCAGCAGCTCTCGATCGTTCTCTGGACCATGACCATTGGCAGTGCCTTTGATCAGGAATCTCCCGTGGCTCGTGTTATCATGATCGTTGTCAGCTTCTACCTCTGGTTTGTGTTGACGGTCTGTATTCTGTGCGTGATGGAAGGTACTAGTGCCATGTTGCATTCCCTTCGTCTACACTGGGTTGAGGCCATGAGCAAGCACTTTGTCGGCGAGGGTATTCCTTTCCTGCCATTCAGCTTCAAGACCTTGTTGGAGGAGGATCCTGTGGACTAGTGGTATTAGCCTTTTCACTCTTTCTTTTCTTTTTGTACTGTAAAGGGTTAGAACTATACATTATCATCGTCTATATGTCTCAATTCCCCTTTAATTATGTATTGCGTTACTGCGTATACCCTATGGTTCACCGGGGGCAATCGTCCTTCCTACGAGTAGCTTCCTCTTACTACGGAGTAACTATGATGTTCGATTGTTCCATTGATGCAGATCCCTTCTACCCACCGGACTATTATTTTTAGCTGTCGGTAGAGTGGGTAGGCCGTCATAGTCTCATAGTTAGACCCTTTCACCCCCACAGCATTATTAAATCTCAGGATCTTTGCAGGTGCACATGACTGGGAAGTGGGGTAGAAGGAGAAGAACACTGGAAGGGAATACATTCTTCCGTCATCCCGAGGCCGTAGATCGGGATCATCTACATCGATGGAGTTTTTGCATATGGTTTAGACAAGGTATTGAATATTGTAAAAGGATAAAATTAGTATGAGTATATAGCTATTCAAGAGTACTATCAGAGTCTCTCAGTTCAAATGTTAGAATTGCTTGCATCATTCACAATGCCTCATAATAGACATTTTCTCTATATACGGAGAGTATCGGCAAGATCAGGGAAGGTGGGGGAAACCGGGTCACGCGGGGCACGATGACGAAAACGCAGGTCGGAACTGAGGTCACTGCCCCAGCTCTCCAACTACTTCTACCCGGTTTGATCCCTCTGACGTTGTATCTAATTCTACTTATATTCTTGTTTGAGCTTGCCACAGTCTCCTACTTAAAAAATTCTCTAATTGATTCTTTCCTATCTTCATTATACCCCCCCTCTGTATACCAAGATATCCCCGATATTCCCCCAATACCTTCAATATGACTGCACCAGCCCCCGCCGGAGCCGAGAACATTAACACCGATATTGTCACACTCTCCCGTTTCTTGACGGAAGAACAGGTGAAACACCCCGAAGCCTCGGGAGATTTCACTCTCTTGTGCCATGCCCTTCAATTCTCCTTCAAGTCAATTGCCTACTACATCCGTCGTGCCTCTCTTATCAACCTGACTGGATTGGCCGGTTCCTCAAACACAACCGGCGACGACCAGAAGAAGCTAGACGTGATCGGCAATGACATCTTCATCTCCGCCATGCGCGGCTCCGGAAAGTGCCGCATCGTCGTCTCAGAAGAAGAAGAAGAGGTGATCAAGTTCGATGAGCACCCCAACGCCCGCTACGCCGTCGTCTGCGACCCCATCGACGGTTCCTCCAACCTCGACGCCGGTGTCTCAGTCGGCACCATCTTCGGCATCTTCCAGCTCCCCGACGAAATCCTCGGCCCCAACAAGACCGTCGGCCCCGAACACCTCCTCCACCCCGGTACCAGCCTCGTCGCCTCCGGCTTCACCATGTACGGTGCCTCAGCGCAGCTGGTCATCACCATGCGCGGCGGCGGCGTCAACGGCTTCACTCTCGAGAACTCCCTCGGCGAGTTCATCCTCACCCACCCCAACATGCAGATGCCTGCCAAGCGCTCCATCTACTCCGTCAACGAGGGTAACAGCATGTACTGGGACGAGTGGTGCAATGCCTACTTCCACAGCCTCAAGTTCCCCCCTGATGGAGGCAAGCCTTACAGCGCCCGTTACATTGGTTCCATGGTTGCTGATGCTTACCGTACGCTGCTGTACGGCGGTGTTTTCGCCTACCCGGCTGACTCCAAGAGTCCCAAGGGTAAGCTGCGTATTCTGTACGAGTGTGCTCCCATGGCTATGCTGTTCGAGAACGCAGGCGGTCTCGCAGTCAACTCCCGTATGGAGCGGTTGATGGAGGTTGTGCCTGAGCACATTCACGATAAGAGTGGTGTCTTCCTTGGCTCCAAGGATGAGGTCCAGAAGATCATTGACATGTACAACAAGTACAAGAAATGAGCTAGTTGATAGGACATCAGGTAGTTTTGGATTCTTTGTAAGGTTATTTTCTCGTCCTCTTCGTTGGAGGGATTTACCTTGACCTGCCTGGTTGCAGTTTTGTTCTTTTCAGCGTTTTACGATACTTCCACCGCATAGTCGGTCAAAATAAAGGAATCATATTACTGTGGTCTGGGCCATTAACAATGTTAACCAGTAGTAGCTACTTCCTCATTGATCACAATAAGCGGCACAATCCGCTCTGTATATCGAGCACTTGTTGGCAGGTCTACTGCCTGCTTGTCTCGTCGAAGGGTTCCATCTTCGATTCGATAGTCCTGGGGCTCTTCCTTCTCCACGGTGGTCGCTCTACCTCTTTTGAGTTTGAGGCTTACTGGGTACGCCTCAGAGCGTGGGTTGATGTCGGTTTTCGACAAGTATGTTGTCGCTGTATTCCGACATTACCTCTGGATCCTCGCGATGAAGAAGGGCAACAAATTTGGGGGGTATCGGCCTAGTGATAGGTCCGGCGTTAATGCCACCCTCCCGAAGAACCTTCTTCATCGCGAGGATCCAAAGGTAATGCCGGAGTACAGCGACAACTACTTGCTGAAAACCGACATCAACCCACGCTCTGAGGCGTACCCAGTAAGCCTCAAACTCAAAAGAGGAGGTAGAGCGACCACCGTGGAGAAGGAAGAGCCCCAGGACTATGGAATCGAAGATGGAACCCTTCGAACTGCTCCTGGAACACATAGAGGAGTTCGGAGTCATACAGGCCCAAGATGCATAGACCTTTGGTCTGTTCGACCATGTAGGTATTCAGATGCAATTCCTTGGACATTGCAGTGACCTTGACACCCCCACCATTTGGGACTGATGTGTGTCGGGTCGATTTTCATAGGAGAATCCTGGACGAGTTGTTCCCTGGCCATATCGGCACCTGGGCAAACAATGTCCTCTTCGATCGGTTCGTCGTTCGGAGACACCGGATCGAGGTTCTCTCGCGTTGTTGGCATTTTTGTTGTGATGCGTTTGACTGACTCCGCCGGACGTACAATCAAACTGTAGGTACGATAGGTCTTCCGCCGGACAGTCCTAGGTACCTGTTCTTAGCACAGTTCACAGCCACAAGACCTCCGCCGGACGGTAACTTGATGCTATGGGGAAACTGTCTCTTCTGCTTAGCCAATCTGTGATTCTCTGCGAATCACTGATCAGTGTCGGCAGGTCTACTGCCTGCTTGTCTCAGACGAAGGGCAGGTTGTTGCAATTGCTTGCACAGGGATCGGATTCCCATTGCTATGGTGTTTCTTGGTTGTTCTTCTCTGTCTAAGGGGTTCAGGTGGAAGGCTGGGTAGCAGCCTTCCGGCTGACTGCTGACTAAGATACATCACGTGGCTAACTATAGTACAAACAACAGCACTAGTAATAGTGCCCCGTTGCTTCCACTAAAGAGACGCGGCCTTTCGCATGGCATAGAATGACCCTCAGATCATCCAACCTGGTGCACGAGATACACCATGCGACACTCTGAAATCTGAATCACATCTGGTAGCATGTCATGGAAAAATGGCGAACGTGCTCATTGGTGGATAAACACAGCCCTGGAGGTGGATATTCAGGTATGTGTCTATCCTTTATCCTCGGCAGATCGAAGCACAGACGGAATGGTCTATTATGTTAGAGTAGCAGTGTTTCCTTAGATATACAATCTGAGTAAAAAGATCAACCGGAATAGTAGGTAGGATAGTATGATTTGCTATGAGATGGGTATTGATGTGAAGCAAAGCAAATAACTGTGGGTAGCGATGTCCGTGTGTAGATGAGCTGTAAGCGTACACATAGCAAGTCTGAACCTAGAACATGAGATTATAGATTATAACTCATGATGAACCTTAGGCATAGACATTGAGCACCATTGTAATGCAAGATCACGGTAGAAAGCGAATAGAGTGGAGAGTAGGTCAGAGAGGAGAAATCACGGCGAGGATTCGTACCAGACAAATCGCAATGCAATATTTGGACGCCATAACGGAATGCTGGATAAGGGAAGTAAAATAAATGGTCCTGGAGAAGCCTACACGTGGACCGGCCACGGACATCACGTAGGCATATCTGTGGAGGGGAATCGAAAAGGTCAATGAGGGTCGGGTTTTCGATGGAACACGCCAAAGAGAGAACTGAGACGGTGGCGGAGTTTGCCCTTGTTTGCGGGAGCCTCGGGCTGAGGGTCTGGAGAATCCAGCTTCTTCCTGCGAAGGCTCATATGCCGCGTGATGCGGGAAGTTGTAGTTGGGATATCTCGATCTGGTCCTGCTTTGGGTTTGGCAGGTGGATGCTCCGGCTTGGAGTTTGTAGAAGATTTCGCGTTAGGCGGGCTGGCCCGAGGTGTATCTCCCGGTTCAACGGAATTTCGTCGCGTGGAGGGAGGACGGGAGACAACGATCTCGCGGCCGTTCTCGCCCAAGGCGGTGAACATGCTATGTCGGTATAGGCGAGTGCTAAGCCCAGAAGCTGAACGTCGTTTCGCTCGATCCATGAATGCGGCACCAGTGGAATTTGAGCGCTTGGACATGTCACCAAGGCGCACTGCTTCGGCGGGAGCTGTAGTGTTGGAGCGGCAGATATTGGAGATCGACACGCAGCGTTTGCCGCGGTTGGCCTGGTCTTTCACTGGGCTAACCTCATCGCTAGCTAGGAAAGAATCGTTCTGATTCTTGACGCCTGTCGGAGATGAAACATTCGACTTCGCTCCAGAAGTAATCCGGCTGTCGTAGCGGAAGTTATCAGACCACCCCTCACGAAAGGCAACCCAGATTCCGGTGGTGATAATCAAAGTTCGCAGCCCATCATCAAGAGTGACCGAGATCGCGCCGAAAGGTGTCTCGCCATCCGACGCATCGCTCACAACGGACATACCTGAGCTTGGAGTCGCGGGGCCGGTGCCGCCCCGAACCGCCGTAGAATATTCATCATTAACGTCCAACTTGTTTCGGGTCATGGAAGCAAGAACCGGATGGCGGCGGGTGGTAGGATCGATGACGCTAAAGGTGAACCGTTTGCCATCCTCCCGCGACGATGTCTCAGAAGGCGCAGTCATCCGACGACTCCTCCCACTCCGCAAAGCCCACCGCACAACTTGCAGTCCACTGTCTGTCTGAGCGACAAACTCATAAGACCCGTTTGCGAGAGGCGACGCATCCCAAACTGGGCCAAAGTTGAGACATATCTCCGCCATTCCCTTGAGCCGCGCATCTTCTTGTGACTTTTGACATATCGTGGCCACGACTTCGCGGTGGTCTTCGTCCTCGTCTTCCGAGCCGATGTGTCTCTCAGGTATTCTGTCCACGGCGCGTTCATACTGATCACTGATCACAACGATGAGGTCGTACGGACCCAATCCATTTCTGGTTCGATAGATGGCCGGGAATTTGCGAGCTATCAGGGGAATATATGATGTCGATGGCAGGACATCCACCACTGGCAGTGGACGCGGGGTCTGCGATACCTGCTGCAGCTGGATGAGGAGTTTTGGGCGGATTTTGAATCGCTTATGGCGAGCATGGGAGGCAGGGTGGGCAAATTGGTAGGATGTTTTTGGCCGTGACTTGCGAGCTGTGGATGCACGAGCGGGCTGAGGCCTGGCGACAATAGCAGTCGATGCTTCACCCGACTCTGATGCCGACTCAATCGAGGTCATCGTCATCGCAGATACTAACCCTGGACACTCAGTGGAACCATCGGGAAGCTTGTGGCGATTGTATAAAGTGTTCAGCAATGGCAAGGCCGACAGTGAGAATATAGGCGAGCAGAGCGTAGTAGATGCAGAGGGTTGTGTTTCTGGTTTGATAGGTTCATTCGTGTGAGCTGCTACGGCATCCGCTGCGAGACCAAGATTTAACAGCATTCTTGAGCCCTAGCGGAGCCACATCGGTGTGAAGGTCCAGGAAGACGGTGGATTTCATTCGAGGCTGATGTGATCATGAACGCCCGTATCCAAACGCGTCAGGTGCGGGGGAGAGCTCCGGGAATTGGGCGGGGTGGCGGTTGAGCTTGCAGAGTTGAAAATAAGGGACGCGAGGTACGCGAGATTTGAAAGGCAGGTGGCTTGCACCGTCCTTGTTAGGGATGATCGAGATGATGCAAGGGGCTAAGGAGTGGAAGGAGATATATCAAAGTTTCTTTTTTTTAGTGGAAAGAGCAAAACATCTCAGTATGGAAGGGGCAGCCTTATAACTTTCAAATGAGAAAATAAAAACGAGAAAAACGAGAAACAAACCTTCATTATTGAAAATTACAGTGGAACCCTAACTATGGGCAGATGACTCTAAATAAATGTAATAAAAATCTAGTGCACGGCTCACGGCTTTATGCTTTGCCAAAACGGATCGGCGATTCACGGTCTCCGATTCATCCGGGTTCCGAGGTGATCATCTACTAAGAATCGTCATGATGCTGTCTTGCTATGTTCCCCTCTTGGCATCTCCAGGAACCAATGGCTTCATCTACAAAGTAGTATGGACAGACGTTCATACCTAGGACCTACATTTGTAGTATTGTACACGAAATGCATTGTGTTCTGCATCCTACGTTGTAGCTCGTAGACCACTTGCATATAAAGTGGGGGAGGAATCACGTTCCAAGAACAAAATTTGCCGGGAAAACCTGTCCGAGGGATTTTCAAAGGGCCAAGAAAGAGAGCTTGAAAAGTGATGACCTGGTGGGGAATTGAAAGGTTTGCTGTTGGCTTCTATGTACTTGGCAATCATTGTAGGATCGGTGATTCGGTGATGGATAATTGATGGATACTAATCGGAAACACTTGGTGGCGGACTACTAAATATTACTAGTGCCGGTAGTTGTAGGGCTGAGTTGATGTCAAGTTTGATTTACCACGGAGTACGGAGTACATGTACACAATACTCCGTACTTATTCAACCTTTGATCTCTCCAGACACCATTGAGTTTGTCTCACATATTGCCCGAGACATGAACCAAATGCTCGCTTGTAACACCCATCATCCCATGCATATACTGTATTTGACTACAGCACTGTAGATGTAGCTTGCATCTGGGCAACGAAGAAGGTGGATCGGAGTTGTACCTCGGAAGTGAAGTGGTCCCGGAGGAACTAGGGGTTCCAACCTTGGAAATCCCCGACCCGTGGTCCGGTGCAGCTGACTAATTATGCAAATTTATGCATCTGTTGGTACTATACGGCACTATTGCTGGTATGCGAAACGTCGAAGACGAAGGACTACGGCGATTACTGGGCAGAGGGCCTACTCTCGAGGAGGCTCCTGCTCGGTGTAATCTGTGTAGTAATCGTTGTTGTTAAAGCTAAGAATGCAGGCACCGCGAACTACCCCTTAATACACACAGACGCACGCTAGGTCACATGACTCCTTGTTGCCAGTTCCAACAGCATCCATGTCTAGTTAACTTAACTAGTTATAGGGAGACCGAAAAGCTAGGGAAAGAGCGTCAGAAGCAGAAGAAACAGATTAGAAGACCAATCATTGAAGAAGCGAAAGAAGGAGAACGAGTCGAAGAGGCAGAGAAAACTCGAGACGAAGCTTTAGAGGGAAACAACTTCGTCTTGGAAATCCAGATACTCATTTAACACAATATCTCCCCAGAATTCTTCTGAGATATTTTCTTTCTTTGCAAGGAGTATCCGCCGAGGAATTGCCTGGAGGCTAAGGCGATCAATGCATGATATTTGTCCGAACAATATTCCAAGTAGCTGGTTCGGCATCTTGGCTCTCGGCACAATAAGGGCAATAGCTTCAAGGACAGCAGGACAATTTGTCAAAGCTATGTCCACATCAACTTGCACAGACAGGCAATCGTTCGATCGATGTAAGTCGTGAACTGGATCCTTTAAGTATTCTCGGAAAGCAGCAGGGAGAAGTTCTTCGGCCATAATAGTCCGTTGGGCGCCCGTGTCAAATATCATTTCCATCCCTTTGAGCTCACAGATAGGGTCGGACGTGTTGCCATCCAACGCTCGTAAAGTAAGGTTTCCGCGAATTATAGGGAGGCATTTATCTTGTAGTGTTGGCCGCAGTGACACGTACGGATCTGGGAATCCCGTGTCGGCAGCCGCCTCTTTAGCGATTTTACGGAGACGCTCGCGAGTTGCTTCATTCGGAGGCGGGCGGGGTCCCACCTTCCCTAGATCAACCCTTGTTCGAATAGGGCGGCCTAAGACATCTGCCGGATGCGATTCCACCGCTGCCTGCTCCGAGCGTAATTCCGATGCTGCCTGTAGCTGTAGCGCCATCTCCCGAATTGCTCGGCGGTTGCCAGTTCCCCGGGGCATTAGAAGAAAGTCCTCATCAACATCGCTGAGGGCTGCTTCGACAGCTTGTATAGCAGACCTCCAGGTGGTGTGCGCGGGAAGGGTGATAGAAAGTTCGTTGTGCTTGCAATTCATAGAGTCAGCAAGCTGGCGAAGCACATCTCTCGGATGTAGGGTTCTGATTTCGGGAGTGTCCATAGTCAACCTAAGGGACAGGATTCGTTAGTTCTCCATAATATTGTTGTCTATCAGCTTCCGAGTCACTCTGGGTCGGTGGCTGTTCAATGTAGTTGTTCAGAAGGCGAGGACGTTTCGGTTCAACAGTAGCTAGCGTTTAGTATTGGCCATGATAAGATGGGATCAGCGGTCGTGTTTCAAGTGTAGAAGATGGAAAGCTACATACCTTAGGTCGGGATGAATAGACTCGGTTTTTACCCTTCAAAAGCAGAAGTTACGCCTTTCGAGTGCCGACGAGGTAGGAGCAGAATTTATGACAAGATAGTGACGGCTACAAGCTTGTTGTTCTCGGTTAGGAAGGCGCTGCAGAAGGCAAGAAGCTGATGCATGACCGATTTGCCTTAGGATGCTGTCATCATGCTGACCTAAATGATAGATAGAGATAAAACTTATGACCGTCCGATATGGATGGTGTAGTGGATTGCCTGACCAGCGAGCTGAATCAGTTTTTCTCCATCTTCGCTCTCAGGGCTCTTTGACAGCGGGCGTTCCTGTCCCTGGTATGTTCAAAGGCGGAGCCGCGGAGGCATGAATATCATGATCACGTGGATACACGCTGATGACTTCATCGTCGCAGCACCTTCGGACGAGTAGCTCCAACAACTTCAACGAGTCGTGGACGAGCTAAAACGCTATTACCGCTATTACGACATCATACTGTCCAAATGCTCGCTTGTAACACCCATCATCCCATGCATATACCGTATTTGACTACAGCACTGTAGATGTAGCTTGCATCTGGGCAACGAAGAAGGTGGATCGGAGTTGTACCTCGGAAGTGGTTCCGGAGGAACTAGGGGTTCCAGCCTTGGAAATCCCCGACCCGTGGTCCGGTGCAGCTGACTAATTATGCAAATTTATGCATAACTATCTTCACTTCCACAAACGGAGTTCGGTCCATCTGGCGGTAAACAATCCCGATAGTGCGTCGTCGGACTCCCCGACAATCCGTCCCAGGTGTCGTGCCCTAATTGGGAAAGATCTCATTTGAAAACATATCTCTCTTAGTGGCGGCAGCTATCAGAGATCGTGATGACTTCAATTCAACCTACATCAAGACCGCCACCACTGTTCGCCAAGTTATTACGATTGGATAACCCAATTCGAAGCTTGACACTGGCCTTTTGGACCTGGAAGATTTTGTTATACATTGTCGTGACCGCCTGTCCAGGTTTGGGCTATGACACCTCTACCTCCTTGATCTCATATGCTGCCAATCCGACCACGGTGGCTAGTGAGTCCGAGTCCCTTTCGGGATCTCTGAAATTCGCCCGGTGGGATAGTATCTATTTTCTGAATATTGCCCAAAAGGGATACCTGTTCGAGCAAGAATGGGCCTTTGGCTGGGGCTATACTAAGCTTCTGTCTCTTTTTGTCTCCGGTACATTACCATTTCACCATTTCTCTACCTGTCCAGAATGGACATCTCCCTTTGATACTAATTTGTTGAAACAGGGATTCGTCTCTCCGGTGGAAATGATGGACCAGCCAGCACTGCAATGGTGGGTGTAGTCCTCTCTCACGTTGCCCATTACCTGTCTGTACTGGCACTCTATCGTCTGTCGTCCAATATCTTCGGCCATGCCACAGCCCACCAGCATCTCATCTGCTTTCTGTCAGCAGCTCTTCACATCATCTCTCCAGCAGGCGCTTTCCTGTCCGCGCCTTATGGCGAGTCGATCGTGTCTTTCCTGAACATCACTGGCTTTTACCTCTACTCATCGTCACTCATCGCCGAGCGCAATGGGGCCACGCGGCTTCGAGACGTTCGGGTTCTCACATCCGCCGTTCTCTTTGCAGTGGCCACCATGGTCCGCAGTAATGGGGTACTCAGTGGGTTCCTATTCGCCTATGACGCGACGGTTCTAGGGTGGAAGACTTTGACTCGAGGACCAACTCTACATACCTCTGTTCGTCTTGCAGTGATCGTGTTCGGTGGCTGCATTGTAGGATCCGGGATGGTGATCCCTCAGATCCTGGCTTATCGCATGTACTGCATGTCCGAGGGCGATGCTCGGCCATGGTGTAAGTGGGCATTGCCTAGCATCTACGGCTGGGTCCAAGAGCATTATTGGTAAGCATTTGTCTATGGCTAAACACCCGCTTTTACTGACTCCTCCAGGAATGTTGGCTTCCTGCGATATTGGACAGTCTCCAATATACCGCTTTTCCTGTTGGCTGCACCGATGTTAGCTATTATTTGCAGATCCAGCTTGTGGGCACTGCAGAGTCCCTCATCATCATCGACTAGCCCCGGGTCAATGCTCACTCGGCTAGCTGTTCCCCAGGGGCTGCTGGCAGTCATGGCATTTGTCGGCTACCACGTCCAGATCATCAACCGCATTTCGTCGGGGTATCCCTTGTGGTACTGGTACTTGGTCACTAGCGCTGTAGACCTCAGCTCCAGCTCACTTAAACAGAGCCGGACTCTTGCCGTCGCTGTGTACAGCATGGTGGGTTATGCGTTGATCCAGGGAGTTCTTTTTGGTTCTTTCCTACCCCCGGCGTAAAGAGGATAGTCTTGATGGTCGGGCAAAATTTATCCAGAGCCACCTACTGTGTATTTATATTTAGCTGTTTGGGAGGAAAGGAACCATGCTTTGCGGGTGGTAGTAAGATATCTGCTAACTAACAAAAAAATGAAAATGGTGGAACATACGTACCAAGTAGCAAGGCTAAGGCAACCCCATGAAGCTTGAGATTTTCTTGTGATCACTCCGGGGTGATGAGCGAGTGATGAGACAGGGGTCTAGACTGCTGTGAATGGCCAAGAACGCAGCTATCCCGGAGGTGTTGATCGGGTGAGCCGCCTGCGTAAGCCTGTCTGCCTAGACGGGGCCAGATGGCGCAGCTCTGAGCTGTGCCCTCCGGCTCTTGGATTATAAATTTGGAAGATATCAGCAGAAACAGCCAAACCCTCAGATTATCTTCTTGAAAGCATTGAAAGCAGATCTACGAGGTAGATACTTGACTGCATCTACACATCCCCATTGCCCAGGGCCCAAGCTTGCCCGTTACGTAGAATTATGTCATCACAACCTTAACAGTCTCTCCCCTTTGACATCTTCCGGACCTTCAACATCCAGGCATTCTATTACACCAAAGTGAGGCTGAAATACTGGACCTCTCAATTTCGGAAGAAGAGCCTTGCAGTGGAATCTCTCCCGCCTACCAGGTCAAAGTACCTCATGCGAACACAACCGTGTGAAACAAAATCTCCGGTTCTGAATTCCGCGCCTTTCGGACTGGGAGCTTCAAAGTCTCGTTAGAGGTACGTCTTCTCCCTTGTTTCATTGATAGAACTGCGCGGGAAGGAGAAGTCGCTTTCGTGGAACACGGGCGTTGCTGACGTATTGCTTCCAGAGCTCACCCGACTGCAAAGACGACTCCTCCCTCATCCCATCTCCATCTCGAGTCGACCATCCCCTCCCTACCTCTCATTCAACAATGGAAGCCTCCGGCCCCAAGGCAATCCTCACATCCGATAATTTCCACCATGCACAAGAGCTTTCCCGGGCGACCTCACCCGGTGGTGAGCCCGCCGGTGTGAACTGCGAAGGCGAACCAATAGCCCGCGTGCGACCCCGTACCTACCCGTACTTCAAATACCTTCCATATCAACTGGAGGATGAGTCTGAACGGAACCGAAACCTGCGCGAGATTCTGGATCAGCTCTACATTGCGGTGGAGGCCGGCGACTTTAACCCCGGAGCCGTGCACTGGACACGCGAGCTACGGGGTTGGCTCTCGCTGAAGTTCGATCCAACTCGCGCGCAGCGTATAAGCCTGGTGAAACTGTATTATGAACTGGCACTCGCTCCGGGGATCGACCCGTCGGTCGCTGAAAGATTTGCGAGCATGTTCATGTTTCTCACCAAGTGAGTTGGTCGTCATCAGCGTGGTCGTTAGGAATCACGCAACCGCTAACCCAGATTTAGGCGCAAGCATTATCTCAGACCTATTAAAGATCTCGTGTTAGACTGGAAGCCTCTTTACAAAGAACTCAAGGCCTTCGTCCTCCCTACCGAGTCTGGCCTCGTGCACTCAACTAACTTGAAGCGGAATGTCAAGACTCTGACCAAGCTTTGCGCATTCGCCCAATTATTTATCGACCCGTGTGAGCTTCCGGCTATGCTTGAAGAGTTCTTGCCGCATTATACTACATCATTCTCAGAAGGTGCCTTCGTTGTCGCCGGGCTCATTAACTTGCTGCTTCCGACATCTCCACCTCCTGAATCGCGGGCCGATCTTCTCCCGCAGAACTACCTGCCTACACATTTCCACTTGTGGTCGTTGGTTGGTCGGTCGAAGACTTTCGACACAACCTATCTGGACTACTTTTCCCGGTTGGCCCGAGATTCTCTAACGGCCGATCATATACCATTTTCCGAGCATGGTATCTTCACGAAGGAGCAGTCTGGTCTCATCTTCACTGCAGTCCTGAGGTTGTTGGAAATTCCCGTCGGACAGTCAACGTCCCCATACAGTGCACTGGTGGATATCTCATCCGGGTTGGGTATCATGCTTGACAGAGACGGGCGAAAGCACCCGGTTGCTCACCATATCGCCCGATGGGTTGTGATGTCGCTCTCGCCAGCTTGCGTCGATGCTGAAGTTTCGGTCCTCACCCAGCTGGAAGGTCTTATCCAAGCCGTTGAGACCTTCTTCCACCCTTCGAACTCGGGCCACTGGACCAAGACTCTATCGCAACTGGTCTACTACCTAACTGATTTCTTCGTCATGCGCTGGAATCGGGAACAAAGCGGTGAATTGGATACTCCACCCGAGCGACGATTGAATGAGCCTCTGAAGCGGCGATTTGTTCTATGTATCCGTGACGTGATCTTCATGGGTATCTACTCCAAGAGCAGCACCGCAATGACTTTCTCCCTCTCAACCCTGCAAGGTCTGGCCTACTTGGAGCCGCATCTTATTCTTCCCGGGGCGCTCCAGAGGATCTATCCTGCGCTACAAGGTCTGGTTGAGGTACACCGGACCACATCCTCTCTTCGGGCTATGACAGCACTGTCTCGTATCATTTCACGCACTAAGGGCTACCGCTGTCATATGACGACTCTGCTGGGTCTAACACTTCCTGGCATTGATGCCAATGATCTTGAGAAATCGCTTCATGCCCTCTCATTCATCCAATCAGCCTGTTACAACATTCCAATGGTCGACTTGACCAAGGGGCGAGAGGACATTAATAGCAACATGCTTGCTATGCAATGGATCTCAGGTGAAATGGAAAGGATGGAAGACCAAGGGGCAGATGTGCAGCTTGGCTATGATACAGAGTTGGATGATGAGACCGAGGAATTGATCTTGTGCTCTTCAACATGTGGTCTTGGAGATTTCACGATAGCTTTCTTGGGTCGTGTCTTCACGCTATTGGAGAATCTGCCGGACGTCTCTAGAGTACGCAATGGCTCTCCTGAAGAGAACATTGTGAACACTCTTCCTGCCACGCTTATGCCTTTGCTTGCCTCCCTGTCCCCGGAGTATTACGATATTGCTCTGGCAAAGATTGTGGATTTTGTATCTAACCACGTCATCCACCAGGCTCGTGATGCAATGGCTTTCATCTGCAACGCTCTCTGCAAGGTCAGCCCCGAGAAGGCTCTCAAGCGGTTCATCCCGGTTTTGACTGCAGCGATCCGCACTGAGATTGAAGATAATGGTGCTGGATCGACCCGAACCACCGGAACTGATGTTCTGCCGCGTGATCGTGGTCTGGTGTGGAACGTTAGTATGCTCAGCATGTGTGTTGTGCATGTCGGCAGCGCCGTCATCAATCACCGCCAAGAACTGTTTGACATTGCCGTCTACATGCAGCAAAACTGCCGTGGCATTCCAACCGTTCATATCTCCAACTTCATCCATCACCTTCTGCTCAATCTCACTGGGACTTACACCAATGATTTCTCACTCTACGAGCCTTCGGTGATAGCGAACGGCATTGAACCGAAGCTCTGGAGCTACCAAGCTGATGTAAACAACCTCAATATCAACTGGCATGTGCCAACGCGCCAGGAGATCGAGTTTGCTGTCGATGTCTTCAAATGCCAAACAGAGAGGGCTCTGAAGCAATTGTCCGCGCTTACTCATGAGACGTCAAGTGTCAAACGTGATGGAAGCGGCAAGGACTGGTCAGATGAGGTTACTCGGAACCTAGTCCTTCTGCGACTCGTCTTGTCTGGAATCTCTGTCCTCTTCGATCCCAAAGCCGCATCAACCACCACACAAGGACCCCCTGATGGTACTACCGGGGATGTCGAGATGGGGGATGGTCCAGCTGATGTCGAGAAAGACGATGAAGCCGCCTTGGACAGTTCCGACGATGCTACAATCAGACAGGCTTTCACCTATCCTACTGGGTATTCCCTCAAAGAGGATGACCCGTTATACACGACGATCCATGATATCCGTGAGCGAACGGGCTGGATCCTGCATGAAGTCCACCGCTTCTTGAGCGATCATCAAGAGGATGACGTTCCTTGCTTTGGGGCTTTGTACTCTGCCTTCAGATCGTGGTTCGTTGATGTTGGCATTGAGAGGTCTGCTCATGTACTCGACCGGGTGACTCGACTGCTAGCAGCAGATATTCATCCTTACAAGATGAGTGGCATCCGGAAGGATTACCCAAGAGCTCTGCTTGTGCGCAGAGCCAACGTGTATCACCTCCAACGCTTACGACACAACGCTTCTCCGCGCCCTCGTTCTAAGCTTGATGAAGTCCTTCTTCTTGATATCGCCGAATCCTGTGTCTCCCTCTATACAGAAACACGCCGCAATGCCCAAAATGCTGGCGAATCGGCACTCAAGGCGGTCTATGGGGGCAGACTTCTTGTCATCCCGCCTTTGCTCACTGCCCTGCAAAAGGGTGTTAAGGAGAATGACCACGCCCGCATCAAGGGAGCGCTGTACTCCTTGCTTCTGAGCAGCGTGGCCAAAACTGTGGGACGTAATTGGAAGTATACGCCCGCGTTGGTCCGAGCCTTCATTGATGCCAGCGCCGTTGACAAACCTTCTGTCCAAAAGATTTGCTCTGGTGCGGTCTTCCAGGTGATGGACTACGGTCGTGCCATGGAACGTATGGCAATTTTAGACCAAGAGATAGTGGAAGCAATTGCTCCTACAGAAGATGTCAGCGGTGAGATTGAGAAGAAGCGCGCAGTCGTCAACAGCAAGCGCGTTGCTATTGAGAAGAAGAAAGCCGAGCTTGCTGAACAGCTGGTCAACCTGGCACGGGTATCCCATTGGAAAATTGCCAGTCGTGCTGCGACTATCGTTATGACCATGGGTCTCCGCTTCGACTATATCGCCAGCGATAACTTGATCGAATTGATGACGACCGGATCCATTGATGACCACCCTGGCTTGCGAGGCATGTACTCTCAGGCTCTCCTTGCCCTATTCACCATGATCGACGTGCGAGCCATCTGCACCCACGAGTACAAGAACTACATCCTTGGCCACCAGCGGTTCCCCTCCAAGATCAAGGTTGCAACCAAGCCCTTTGAGAAAGGATTCACTCCAGAATACCTCTCAAGCTTTGCGCAGCCAGAGGCGGAGTACTACGTTGATCACGACTTCCCAGGCTGGCTTGTGTGGGGCAAGACCATGCCCGCCTACAGATCCAATGTCGCACGGGACATCGAGTATGACGAGGTCGAGTGGAAGGTTCGCACCAAGATGGGCAAGTTGTTCACTCGCGAGTGGTTCTCCAAGTTCTTTATGTACCTGAAGCAAGAGCCACGTGATCCATCTGCGGATAAGTTCCGCATGTCCTCCGCCATGATGCTCCTTTACGCATTCGAGCTCATGATTCGGGACGGCCTTACGGCTGCCTCGTTTGAAGACATCCAGGAAGAAATCAAGACGGTCTTTGAAGATGGCAGCGACAAACACCAACATCGTGCCACGGCTGAAATCTTAGGAGCTTTGATCTCCTCTGTGACGGATACAGTGGTGGATAAGCGTACGATGATATGGGAGTATGCATTCCCTATCGTACGAAAGATCTTCACCGATGGCCTTACGCCTGAGAACTCCGGCTACTGGACAACATTCCTCCACATGATTCTGCAATGTCGGGACCCTCGACGCGCTTGGCCACTGGTCGATTGGCTGTCCAGCTTCCGACTTGACATGTCGACCAATGCGGCCTTCAAGGAAAGCTCCAAGATCAATCTCTTGCATCAATGCATCATCGATTCAGGCTGGCACTACCAGCTTGAGAAGCCCATCGTGGAAGATTTCCTTGCACACCTCGATCACCCGTACAAGGGCGTACGCGAGGCGATGGGCCAGACCCTTGCGACGATCTATCGTACCAGGCACCACGAGTCTTACCCGGATGTTCAACATCTTCTGGAGGCTCAGAAATCTGCGTCGTCCGTTGGTGCAGTCCCATACCCGCCTACTGAGGATTTTAAGAAGGTAGTTGCTGGTGTCTTTAGTCAAATCGAGGAATGGCGCAAGCTCAGAGAGCCTGGCCAACAGACACCCTCGTCTTATACCTCCGGTAGCAAAACCGTCCTCCTCTGGCTGGACTCCACTTTGTCCTCTCATGAGTGTACTCAGCTGGTCTCGTTCTTCCCTGACGTCTTCACGGCGCACCTTCTGCACATGATGGACGTTAAAGAGGACCCGGAGCTGCAGTCCCTCGCCTACCACGTTTTCCGCCACCTCCCTAACATCCCTTACGCGGCCGAGAAGAACTCAGGGTTCATCCAGTCTCTCATCCGCATCGGACAGACATCCCCATCATGGCACCAGCGCCTGCGCGTCATGATCAACATCCAAATCATCTACTTCCGCCGTCTCTTCCTCCTTGACCCCGCAGACCGCGACAAGCTCTTCGAATGCATCGCCTCGATGCTCGAAGACCCCCAGCACGAAGTCCGTGCCGGCGCCTCGGCCACACTGTCCGGCATGGTCCGATGCTCGCCCATCTTCCTCCGTGACAAGATGGTCAAGCGCTTCCATGAACGCTTCACGAAAACCCTGGCAGACAACCCTCTCCCAAAGAAGCCGAAGAACCTCCGCGCAGGACTCGCCTCCTCCGCCGTGTCCTCTGGCGCTGGCACCCCAACTCCAGAGCACAACCGTCTGATCATCATTCGCCACGGTGCTGTGCTTGGCCTTGGCGCTTTGATCCAGGCCTTCCCGTATAACAGTCCTCCACCTCGGTGGATGCCCGAGGCGTTGACTTCTCTCAGCATCCGCGCGGCCAATGATCCTGGTATCGTTGGGTCGAGCGTGAAGGCGATTATCAGCGAGTTCAAGAAGACTAGACAAGATACTTGGCACATTGATGCAAAGGTTAGTTTGGATCTATCTAGTTCTCTTATCTTAACGTTCGAAACAAGCTAACCATTTTTACTAGGCCTTCACGCCTGATCAACTTGAAGATCTATCTGGCGTGCTATGGAAGAGCTACTTTGCGTAGATGGTGATTTGCTACTCTTCCATGCATGGCATTGTGAATGTGATTGATTGCTGGGTGGCTGTTTGTACATATTTCCTCAAGTTCATGATAGAGTTCTTTTATAGCGAAACCAAAGACACGTGTTTCGTTCGTTCTCACAATGAACTTCCGTCTATTACCCAACTGTTCGTAGGAGATGCAGTCAACACGTAGTGATGACATCGTACCTAGTCTCCGCCGCCATACTTGACTAGAGGATTCAAGATATCATATCTTAGGCTGCTCAACATAGTTCGTTCCTTTACTTCTCCCTTATATATTGACTTTTACATACAGTCAATCTGCTCATTCACCTTTAGCCAACTTGACGTCTATCGTGACTGCATCTACCATAGCTCGTGCCTTACAAGCCAAAGAATGCACCTCACCCTATTACTTCCCCGTCACTTGCTATGAAGCTTCTCGCGAGACACAACGCCCCAGCCGTATTCCGCACCCGGGACTATGCCTACCTATGGGATCGCCGGTGGATATGGTGGCGCCGGCTGGGATACCTCGTCTGCCTTGTCCTCATTCTCCGAACTACTGCTTGTCTCTTTGATCAGCCAGTGACAAGCCTCCATCGGACCCTTTACGAATCTTTACAACGTCCGGAGATCCTCCAGCCCGGTCAGTATCACCCTGTCACTGACATCCCTCCCGAGGAAAGTACGGTAGCAGATGACGTTCTATTCGGGCCCGATAGGATGGGCGTGGTACATGATCGGAGGTGAGTATCTATCTGAAGCTATTTCTGGGTTCATTTGATATAGTAGCATACTGAATCACAGCCCCCGTATCAGAGACAAGCAATTCTACCTCGGTGGCACCTTAACCCTCACCAGCATTAAGTCTACGGACAGTTCCCACCCATCCCCAGTGGTTTATGACCCATACCCAGCCTACAACAGCCCAAAATGGAAGAAGCAGTTCCACGGGAAGTTCCAGCCGTGCCTCGGGCCCCGGGGTCGATATCTCGATCGCAAGTCCCCAGAAGATATGATGCAAGTGTATAAGGGCAAACAAGCTGGATTCCCAGAACCAAAATTTGGATCCTACGAGGCTCTGGATCTAGACGGAGACGTCTGCACAGACCGATACTCCCGACTCGGGGTATATGGGTATGACCAGCATGGCGGGGACGAAGTACCAGGCTTCACGCGGCCTTCTGCGGTGTCCTGGCACGAAGTCGATTGGCACATGCTGCAATCTCACTGTCTAGAAAGGAACGCGGACAGATTCGAGTCGATCGACATGGTGAACTCTTCGAAACAGGATCCCTTGGCTTTTGATCTTCCGCAGGCTCCTGAAAAGATCTCGGAGACGCTGGTCGGTTCTTCAGAGGTGAAGCGGTTCCATCCTCGATCGGCGGTGTTGGTTCGGGCATGGAATGGGCTAAATTGGAATTCTGATCATTGTAGATACCTCCGGGCTTTGATCATGGAGCTTTCCTTGCATTCTGGTGGAGAATATCAGGTCTATCTGCTCATCCATGTCAAGGATGATGAGCTGCCCATCTTCTCTGATATCAAAACCATTAATCGGCTCAGGAGCTCCATCCCCGCGGAATTCCGAAATATGGCTCTATTCTTCAACAATAAGCTTCTGGAAGCTTGGTATCCCAAGATCGAAGAGCACAGGTGAGTCATCCCCATCTCTCTCCCTAGCCCTAACTCAAGATAGCTGGACTGACCCATATGACAGCCCTCTCTTCCAACACCACCAACCCCTCCAGATATTCTCCCAACTCTACCCCCAATTCGACTACTACTGGCAACTAGAGATGGACAGCCGCCACACCGGCCACATCTACCACTTCTTCGACCGAGCCATCTCTTTCGCCCGCGCCCAACCCCGCAAATACATCTGGGAACGCAACGCCTACTTCTACACCCCCGGCCACCACGGCAACTGGACTGAGTTCACATCCACCGTCAACACAACTCTTTCCGACCGCTCCAGCCACACAATTTGGGGCCCAGTCTCCGGCACGGGAATCAGACCTCTAGGCCCCGACCCACCAGTCCCGCACCCAGACCAAGACAACTATACCTGGGGCGTCGGCGAAGAAGCAGACTTCATAACCTTCCTACCCATCTTCAACCCCAAAGACACGAGCTGGACATTCCCGAACTACATCTGGAACTTCCGACACGGCACGGACACACCGCGGCGTGCGGCGGTTATCACGATGGGTCGGTACTCGAAGCGACTGCTGGGCTTGATCCACGAGGCGCAGGCGACGAGGGGATTGGGTCTTGCTTCTGAAATGACGGGTGCCAGCTGGGCGCTTTTTCATGGGTTGAAGGCTGTGTATGTTCCGCATCCGATTTATGCGGATGGACTATGGACGGCCGATGAGCTGGCGAGGATTTATAATCCTGGTCCGCCAGAGAATATTAATGGGGGTGTTGATAGTATTTGGAATTGGGATCATCTCTTTGATCATATTATGTATCGGCTTTCGTATATGTTTACGACGCATAGTGCGGAGGATCTGTATAGGAGGTGGCTTGGATATCGGACGGCGGAACATGAGGGGGGGAGGATGGTGAGTTCTCTTTCCCCCCTGCTGCTAGGTTTGGCTGATGGCTAACGGCTGATATGCAGATACTTGAGGACAAGTATGGGCGACATTGTTTTCCATCGATGTTTCTTCATACTGTCAAGAATACGGCTCCGGCGATGGGACCGGACAAGGCTGTTCCATAATTGCTTGATCTATATTTGATGTGGCTGGACAATTGGGAATCTCTTCTAGATCGGAGCGTTCTGACGATTTGCTTGGCTTAATAGCTTGTTGTATAAGAGGAATCTGAAGCTGTACGATAGTTCCTCTAGAGTCTAGACTAGGAACGAATACACGAAGCGAGCTCGGCTTGGGTTTCAATTGGTAGTCTGATTGAGCTCTATTGAACGTAAACAGATCGTGAACGCTCCATGAAAGAGCAAAGGATCATTACTTGCGTATAAGGAAAGTAAGGTGAAAATGGGCCTCAGGACAGGCCAGAAAAAAAAACCAAGCAACTTATGTACATGAATAAGACCAACTGAGTGAACCAGAGCAAATTAACTCATGACATCGTGGAAAAGAAGGGGGAACATTTATCCCCTGGCATTATACTTCTCATTGAAAGCATTAACCGCTAGAAAAGAGAGGTTAGCTTGACTTATGATCCAGAATCCAGAAGAAGAGGAGCACTAACCAACAGCAATCTGCCTATACAGCCAATTTCGCGAACTCTCATCTTGAACGGGAATGAAAGGCCCGTTAGCACCACCTTTGAGAGTGATACTCATACCTGTGCGCTCCTTGGAGATAGTCTGAATATCCGTGAGACGGATATCCCACTCCGTGTAAAGCTTCTTTGTGCGCACGAGCATGATCCGCGCATAAGTCAACAAGACGAGCATGTCGCGACCGGGGAGTTCAAGATGGGCGATGTAGTCCTCGTTGAAGTATTTGCCATCATCGGTAGTCTTTAGCCAGAACTGTCCGAGAGCTTCGCGCTGAGAGTACGGGCGTACAATGCCATCGGTACCGATGAACCGGGTGAGTCGGACGCGGTCGAGGCCTTCTGCGTCGAAGACGGTGGTGGTGTTGCGGACGCCTTCTGCGAGATCTAGAGAAAAAAAAAGTTAGATGTGGTGACCAGCAGGGAGATAGGAGGAAAAACTTACTGGAGGCAAGATCGAATGCACCGATGGCTGGCTTGGTCGCTAGACCAAGAACACCCTTCCCAACACCTTTGAAGAATCCTTGGATACCTTCTTTCTCGGCACCTTGCAGTGGATGACGTGCCAAGCCACCGATACCACTGGCTAGACTAGTTGCGAATGCATTTCCACCGGCGGTGATACCATATAGCGCATGCTTGGGACGATTGCGCACCTTGGACATGCGGCGCTGGGCCTGGAACTCCTTATCAAGAGTAGCAGCAGCAAGACCCTTGGACATACTTCCAGTGAGCTTGGCCATACTGTCCGATAAACCGAAGACGGATTTCTTGACGAAGCTTGTGGCACCCTTTGCAATGCCAAGGCCCAGCTCCTGGGGACGGTCGGTCATGACCAGACCCTGATATGGCTCGTAGAAGATGGCGGCAACACCAGAGCTGACATTGTTGAACAGGCCGACAGGGTTGCCCAAAAAGTCCGCCGATCCAAGGATGATGTGAATCTGGCGCAGGAATTCTTGGGTGTAATGCGCACGGATATTGCCGACGAGTCGGGGCAGAGAGACACGGGCATTCTCGAGCATCAGGGCATTCAGGCGGACTGGTGCATCGTTGACATTACCCATCGACATTGTCATGACGTTGACGAAGAACATCAACGGATTAGAAGGCTGCATGGCATCTTCTACGTTGACGCGCTCGGTGCGCATGAACGAAATATCCATTTGCATGGGCTGGAGATGGAGGAGCTCGAAGTATACATCCTGGCCATTGTCTGCCTGTTGTGGCTCCGGAATGTTGAGATTTTCATCGCACAGTTTGCCTTCCTGTTCCTCGGTCCACGAGGCACCGGGAATCTTGACAAAGTCAAGCATGGCAAACACGAAGTCCTCGTCTAGTTCGAGCGTCATTTGCTGCAGAAGCAAGGTCGCATACTTGATATAGAGAACACCGTATGAGTCGTCCTTGACCCGTGTGACCATTGCGTGGAAGATCGGGTGTGCTTCCATCTCTTTGCCAGTCTTCGGAACGACACTGGGGTATAGCAAGATGGGGAAAATGCCGCCATAGAGTTGATTGTCGATCTGGATCCACTTGATCGTAGTGTTCAGAGTTTGGTACAACCTGGACTCCCTGAATTTGATCTCAATCTCACGGAACGTGAGATAGAGGAGTTCCTTCAGATTTTGGTTGATCAACGATATTCCAATACCACCAAGGCGGAGCTGGGCCTTGAAGTTGACGTCTGAGTTCATTTCCTTGACCTCGAACCCAGTGCTTGTGCTGGTCTGCGACGATTGTCCTCTTTGTTGCTTGTACATACTCTTTGACGGCTTGAAGTTGGACAGCACAAGTGTCTGGGTGGGACCATCGGCAGCAATGCTGATATCAATAATCTTCTGGTGTCCGCCAGGCTGAGAAGGTGGAATTCGCATCGGGATCAGGTTTCCTATCTCGGCGAGCTTGATGTGGCGCTCTTTGCCCTGGCAGGTCAACACGAGCGACTTGTTCTTTGTCGCCGGGTAGTCCCATGCATACGGCATGATACTCCGCGGTGGAATGCGGTATCGGATTGGTCTCCAGCCGCTGGTCTGGTCCTCATTGTCATCATCCTCCTCCACATTTGGATTGGCTTGGTAGAAAATGAACTCCATGTCACTTTCATTGCGCATGGAGAACGGCCAATTGCGAGACTCAATACTGAAGTGCAAGAAAAGAGTCGCTCCTTCCAGGATGATGTCAACCTTGACCAGCTTTTGTCGCTGATTTGCCTTGGCCAACTTGACGTGCACGGTTCCAACATCTGCAATGCTGAATGGAGAGGACCATTGATTGTTGACACCTGGGAAGCACAGGCACAGCTGTTTCTCCTGCACTTGGCGAAGGAAATGAAGTGGCACCAATTCTCCATTCTGAAGTTGGAGAACGTTAGATGAACCTGGCTCACGCACCAGAAGATCCTCGTTGAGCTTGCTCTTGAGAATGAAACGAGGGGCGAGGGTGACCACCTTGGTCATCTTGTACTTGCCCTCACCTTCAGCAACAGACACCCCAGAATGGAACTCTGAACGGCCTTGGCGATCGGGGAACACGACCTCGAAGGTACTTCCGATTGCCTCGAGACTCTGCGGCTTGCTCCACGCAGAATCGCCGACCTTCAAGATAGAACGGTTTCTTTGATCCTCATTGGCGTAAGAGTACATATACGGGAGTGCACGACCTCCGCCTCTTGGGTCGGCTCTGAGTCCCTGGCCAGCGGCAGTTCTTGCAGATTGCAGGAAGGCTTTGCTTTGAATATCCATGGGAAGGCCAGTCTTGTTCAGGATAAGGTAGGGACTGTAGACAGACACCTTGAAAGCACCACCACTGTTGGGGATGTTGAAGTAGTGAAGCTGCAGCTTCAGTTGGAGACCTCGTTCATCCTTGAGAGCCAAGGTATGCTCTCTGCGGTAGTCTTGGGCATTACCATTGACAATAGCGAACTCGCTCTGGCGGAATACCGTATCTTCCAGATCGATGCTAAGCAACAGCAAGTGAGAGAGCTCCACAACGTGCACGGGGCTGACACCACCCTTCCTCAGGAAGTTTGTCCAATCCTTCTTGGTGTTCTTGTCGTAGATGCGATACTTGAAATCGTAGGGCAAAAGGTTCTGGATCTCTACGGGCGCAAAGATCCGGATCCTCATGTAGGGATATACGCTCGTCAGTGAATCTTTGCTGTCATAAGTGGCGTTGACTTGGAAGTAGAACGGAGGAGACTGTTGTCCGCTTTCACTAACACACTTGACAGTGCGCGTGGGTCGCTTGATGAGGTCCTTCCAGAACAGTTGCTCTTGTGACCAGTCATATCCGAATCCCTGATCTGGGCGAACAACGACAGAATGAAGGAATGCTGATCCAACGGGGGCCGGTCGTGCATCGCCGGGCAAGATCTTCTCGATCTTCAACAAGTGGCCCTCTCCGGGGTTGAAAACGCCCAGTTCCACAGGAATCTGAGTGTTGTTCTCGATGAGGAGTGGCGAACGGAATGTGATGTATTTGACGTTATCCTGGCCCAATGTTACTTCCACGAGTAGCCGATGAAGAACGTTGTCCTGCTTTGGCTTCAGCGCGTAGATTGTTTCGCCTTCACGCACAACAGGAATGCGGCTGATGCTATCGAAGCCACTGCCTTCCAGCTTGACACCAACCACTCCACAGTGGCCTTCAGGTGTTAGTGTCTCACGGACAGCTGTCGAATCTTCAAATCGCCATGGGGCTTCTTCCCCATCGGTGAGCTTTGCAGCTGGCCCTTCCTCTCCTGCACTGACATCGGCCCAAACTCTGAGGTCAAACCCAGTGTAATTGCGGATTCTGTACGGAGCATCAGCGCCTCTCGGCTTGGAAAGAACATCCTCGTCCGTAGAGAGGAACTGGAATGATTTGGATGCGAGTGCGATCGTGGCAGATGTTACGGTAAGCTCCATCGTCTTGTGCGAGTAGACATCGAAAGAGAAGACGTCCGGGTTGACCTCCTTAGCCATGTGAAATCCCAGCTGCCAAGGCTCAATTAAGGGCTCCCATGATGACTTTGAGAAGTTGTACACGTTCACGAACGTCTCAAAGTTGGTGTCGGCATTTAATGTAGATGACCAGTCGCGCACATCAACGTTGAACTTCTTGACACTCCAATCGAGCAAAGGTAGATCATGTAGGTCACCAATGAGAATGACTCTGACTCCATCAATCTTGGCAGACATTTCTTGGCGCTTGAGGAGCACTGAAGTTTGTGGCGCAGATCTCTGGTCCAATTGTTGTTGAACGGATTGACTCAGACGGCGAGCCCTCTTAGCAATAGTAGAAGTTGCCTTGCTGGACGAACGCGCTCTGGTGGTTTTCACGTCTGCGATCCTCTTCGCCTCCCCACTTTCGACCTGCTGGGCATTCTGAGCCCTCATCTCAGCCGCTTTGTTGACGATCTGGATCGCCATCAGAATATCACGTAGAGACAACCTCAGGACCAAAGGCTCAAGGTGCACTTCAATTGAAGTCAAAGCAGATCCCTTGTCTTGCCCTCGGCTATCAATGGACATTTCGAGTGTGAAATCATCCAGAATGCGGAGTCGAGATGTCTCGAACTTATCCATGCGGCACAGGAACATACCAACTTTCTGGATTTGAAGAGTGGACACGTTTTGGTGGGAAATGAGGACTTCCTTGGTACCAAGGACAATTGCCTCAGAGTGGGGAATGGCAGGATTAGCCACCATGATCACTTGGGCATCAACAAGGTTAACCCGGAACGACACGGTCATGGTCGCTCCAGTAGCATTGCCCGTAGAATCCTCGGTTGTAGCTTTGTCGGAAGTAACAGCAGCCGCAGAGTCTGTTTCAGATTCGTCGGCCGTCTCACTCTCTTCCTCGATAACTTCTGTCGGCTCCGCAGAGGCAAATGCAGACTGACTAAATGACTGCAAAGCAGACAAATAATCCAAGGCAAACATAATACGAGGACTGTCAATAGTCAGCATCGCAATGAGATGCTTCTCTGGTCCTCCAGACACAGAGATGCTAGCCATGAACTGCTGCTGGACATCGTTATTGATCAAGGACATGATGTTTCTGAACTTGTTCGAATCCTGCTTGCGGCTATCGCGAATGGAGAACGAATGGATGAGGAGCTCTGATTCCAATGAACCATCCGTCAACATGCGCAGCTTAACTCTGGTGTCATTGAGAGAGAATCTGGACAGGCTCGAGTCCTCCAGACGGCCGACAGGTTGGTCGTCGTTTGCTAGGATAAGCTCTAATCCGACACTGTCGACCTTGAAGATCATATCGAGTCGTACCCAAGTCTCCTTGTTCTCGTTGTCATCGGTGGGCGTTCCTCCCGAGTCATTCTGCGCCTGCACAGCCTTTGAGGTAGCTTCTCTCGTAGGTTCAGTCACGGACGAAGGCAAAGATTCGAGGGCCTCAAGCTCTTGCTGTTCGACATCCGTGACAAAGGCACCCGGTATCGACTTTGACAGCTCCAGCAAGAACTTGAGCTGACTCTGGGAGATTCGAAGGTTGATAGGAGACAGCGAGCCCTCAATTTCCATATCTGGACGTGGGTTGTTGGTTTGGTGCTCCAGATAACAGATACTAAAGTCCAGGTTGACCTTCTGAATCATCTCAAGCTCCTCGGATGTATCATCCTCGAAATGGAATTTCGAGGTAAGGCGGATATTGCGCACACCAGTGGAAATGACATTGACAGCAGGACTGTCCTTTCCTTCGTCCATGGGGACGAATTGGTTCTTAGCGTAGATTTCACCAAGATGAGCTGTGATTGTGTCCCTTGGGCGATCATCCGTCAGAACGCGTGGGAATACCACGATTGGCGTTTTAACGACAATGTCAAGCCGCATGCGCGAAGCATTCTCCTGAAGTTGGTTGGCCTGGTTGGCAGCAGCCTGGCGAGCTGCGTTGAAGATGGCCTGCATCTTGCCAAACTTGACGAGGAAGTTGATGATTTTTCGGTAGGGTTCCTCCAGGAAATTGATTTTGATTGAACCAGACCGCAGATAGACCTCGGAATCATATCCAGGGTATGTGTCACTCTCGGGATCAAAGGTCTCGTACTTGAAGTCGGCGAAGTTATCTCCTTCTATCGTCAGCAGGCGCCGGATATCAGAGTCCTCCGCGGCACCAAGGTTGACGTCGTCGACCAGAGTCAGACTGCCTATCCGAGCCTGGATGAGCATAGAGCTGCCCACCAGGAAAATGCCAACGTCGGCAGTGTTCAGACTCAACGTTGCCAAGCGGACGCCGTCGTTATTGAGAATGAGCGCAATACTTTTAAGATCAGCCCTGATGCGAATCTTCCCAGCTTGCTGAGGGGTTTCTTCCACTTTCTCTGTTCCTTCGATCGCCTTATCCGTTTCCGTACTTGCTTCGACTGGCTGTTGAGGATTGGTGAATGTAAGAAGAATGAAGTCCAGCAGTGTGAGTAGTGTCTTCCTCGTCACGACAAGATTGATGGTCGAGACTGAGATGTCAAGATTCATGGCAACTCCTTCATATGTCGACTCAAATTCAGGAGACTCAGGCTTTACCCGCACCATTTTGAGCTGGAACAGGTCTTTGTCTTCATCCGCATCAAAGCCTTTGGATGAGATAATTCTCTTGAATTCAGGAATTGGATTCTCTTCGATATAATCGTCCACGCTCAACGATTTTAAAATAACTTCCGCAACCATGTCGTACGGACGCATGTAGAAGTCCAGCTGGAACCCTTCAGCAACCAGCTCAACTAGCAAATGATCGCGTTGCGGATCATGAGGGTCAGCGCGAGAAAGAGAGCCACGGAGACGGCCAACAGTGAATTTGAACTCGAAGTCCCGGCGATGGATATTGGTTGGTGTATCTAGGCTCTTCTTTGTTTGTTCGCTGTCTGCTTCAGACTCCTCATCGTCATCAACAACAGGAAGATCACGTTGGGCCGACGGGTTGAAGGATGCTGATCTGGCTCGCGTGGCTATGGCTGCTTCTTCCTTGGCCGCTGCTGCGGCAGCAGGATCAGAAGGCTTTTCCTCGTCAAAGTGCGGAATTGCAATTTCGATCAATTTCATCAAGCCCTTGTACTTGGTGTCTGACATTGATGCATGGAGCTCCGGAAGATGCCCAGAGATACGTGTTCGGGTAAGCTGGGTTACCTTTGGTACAATACACATCTCCAGCGCAAAGTCGACATTGATACGGTCGATGATGTGGAAATTCCTAGACTCAACATCGGTATTGAGTTGGGCTTTAGTTGCCTCCACACCCGGTCCAATGAGGACTTGAGTGGAGTCCAGTTTGATGAGGAATCGATCGTACAACAGATGTTCTAGTTGCTTGTAATCTTCCTCCTCGTACTGCTTGCTCTGCTTGGATTGGAGATCCCGCATCGCTTGGCGGTCGACCAACTCACTGTTGACACTGGCATGGCCTGCATCAAGAATCAAGCAAAGCGAACTGGGTTGTGTGATACTTTCCGGGACAATAATCAAGGGCGCGTGAATATCGAATTGCGCATCAACCTTCTTGTGCTCCTGCAGGGCAAACTCCAGGCCAGCCCGGGTTTGCTGCCGTAGCCCTTCGACAGTGGCTCCGGCGGTGTCAAGAAGAGCACCGATCGATTCCATATGCCTCTCGGGTGGCTCAAAGAATTTGACGATCCCCACAAGGAATCGAGGGTTATAAATAACTTCAATACTCTTCAACTTGACTTTGACTGCCGTATCCGCATCGCTTTCGAGCGGGTTCTTCTCCAACTGCAGATGGAAAAGACTGTCCTCGTCCTCTACGTCATCAGCGCTAGCTTGTGAGGCGAGGTCATCGTCATCCTCACTCGGCTCGCTTTCCTTTGTAGGCTCAGGGAGCGAATCCTTGACCTTGACGATCTGGGGATAAAGAGTCCCGGGGGTGGTGCCGTCATACATCTTCAATCCACCGAGGTCAAGGTCAAGGAGGTAGGAATCAGATCGTTGAAGGGCCTTGGCTCGGAAGTTGTCGAATACTAGCTTCATGACTTGGTTTGCTGCACCATGGGGATCTTGGAGCAAGGTGAAGCTACCGGCTCGAAGACTCCAGTTGACCTGGAGCTTGACCCATTCCCGAGGCACGTCAACACTCTCTGCGATGGCTTTCTTTTCATCCCAGTCAATGGCGTTATACAGCTCTTGTCGCTGCTCTTCGGTCATAGTCTCCTCAGACTCCTCTTTTTTGGCGCCCCAGAACCAGTCGGACCATGATTGTTGTTCCGCGGGCTTTTTAACCCCAACGTTCTCTTTTCGTAGCTGGTTCCGTGCAAGTGAGCGCCAGAATCGGATATCCTCGTAACTGAGCTTGGCTTCCAATCGCTCCATTTCCTTAGATTCTTCGGGAGTGAAGGCCTCTCCCTTCTTCTTCTTTTTGAACAAGGCGATGTATGCGATTCTGTCGTCTCGGCGCTCCTTGATGTAGTCCCAGGTCCAACGTCTGTTACGGTCGTGGATCTTGCTTAGAACAGCTTCTCCGGCGAACCTGAACCATGCCCGGGGATCCTCTTTCGGTGAGGACTTCGGCTGGATTTTCTTATATTCTTGATGGCGAATGAAGTAGTGGAAGAGATCCACCAGCATCAATGCGTCGCGATATTGTTTGTCATCTAGAACGAAGCCGATCTCTTCGAAGAGCAATCTCGCTTTGATTGCGGGGCGATCATGCTTGCCCGACTTATCCATTTCAAGTCCAGCACGGCCACTGACGGGACGCAACATGAATTGATTACCTTCATCGGCATCAATTGCAGTCCTTAGTTTCTCCATCAATTCATCCCGGCTGATTCCTTGGGCCCCTGCGCCTACATCAGAGCCTCGCCCAGTTCCGAGGAGTGTGGCATCTGTATTCCAATAGACCGAGAGCGCGCCGAGAACAGCCAGTTTATGCGTGACACTGGAGTCCGATTGGATGAAAGTCGGATTCCATTCGCCGTCTGTGCTCACTGCACTCAGTTCCTTGAGGGTCACACCGACAGCAAACGGATGTCCAGGCGAAGCGATGGAGTCTTCGTAGCGGAAATGCACATTCTTGATGGAAATCTGCAGGTTGTCTACCACAGCCGTAATCATGCTCTGCGTAAAGCTCTGGTTTCGGCGCTGTTCCTCTTGACTCATGCCCTCCGCATTGCGCTCCCGCAGAAGCTCGGCGCTCTCAACCCGATCCAATTTCAGCGCGTTCGCTCTCCGTTCTTCCTCCTCTGGGTCGTAATCCGCATCTTCTCTGGGTGCCGCGAGCAGGAAGACATCTTCGATATCGACCTTCACCGGTTTGCCTCGTAAGTTCGACCATGGAATGGATAGTGTGAGTTGTCCGAGGTGGCCTTCGACGACGTTCAACGGGAGGTGTAGCTGGTCAAGCGCTTCGCGGCGCAGTTCGAGGTTCTTTAGTTTGACGTCGCCCGACCAAATCCCAATGTTGAGCTGTTTAGCGTCGAAATTTTTGACGTAGATGCCCAGAAACCGGTTGAGCAAATTAGCAACCACTCCCTCCAACATGTTGGCGGCGTGCGGCCGTTGACCGGGCCTGGTGGCTGGGCACTATGGCCGGGGCGGAGATCGCTTCAATGCGTACGTACGTCCGGAATTTGATGATAGCCTGTAATTGGGAGTAGGGTGCAAGTCAGTGGTGATTCAGTTAAGGAGCGAAGCGTAATTCACAGTCGACTGTTTTGTTTGGAAGGGCTGCTTCTACTAACCCAGGTTGACAGGGGACATTCAGACCATCCAGATGAGCGAACTGGGAGCACGCGCGATACCGAGGCGGAACTTTCCCCTCCAAACAGAGCAGAACTCGGTATCTCGAAGTAATTAAACGTTATGTCAGAAATAGAGTGTAGCAAGAAAACACAATGCGCTAAATATTGAGACAGAATGAAGTTGGGTATTCAAGCCAAGCTAAATGACCCTGTTTGCGTGGACCAAGAGAGGTGCTAGTTATCTGTTACGCAAAGGGTATGCGGCGGTACTCGGTACAGATAGGGTACAGCCTCTTACACCTTCCGCATTTCCGCCACTACAGGGGTACTTCAAAGGTACCCGGTACTTAGACTAGGAGATGCTTGGCACTACATGGGATGTTGGGAGGACAGTGATGTGTCCACTAACTATTCTACTGTGTAAGTTATTTGAGGGGTTTACAAGCACGAGGCGATGCCCTGAGAGCCACCCCCCTTAACTGTCGGAAACTGTACCGTACTGGTGGATACACTTGTTTACCCCAGGAGTGACGTAGCCAGGTCCAAGTTAGTCAGCTTAGGGCAGGAACCCCGAACCACTTAGACGCCTCAGGCAACAGTATCACTAGCCTGAGGCAGTAAGTTTCTGCATCTTTGGTCGCTGTGATCCGCCTGAATAGCAGACCACACCTCATCACTCGGTCACTTCATTTCTGGATATTCTTATTTGTTCCCTGCCGGAAGACCTACGCCCTCGACTTCGAGACCAAGTCATTTACGGGTGTATACCCTCAATCTCCACTCTTCCACCTCTCTCCAGCTTCTTTTCAGGTCAATTGGGTGCGTTGGTACTGCTGTCCGGTCATACCCGAGGCTTTTCTCCCGCAACTTGCTAACCCGACAACCTCAAAAAGCTGCATCTCCCCACCATGCTGTACCGCAACGTCGCCGCCCGCTCCGCGCTCCGCGCTATCTCGAGCTCCAATGCCTTCGTGGCTCGCTCCGCTCTGGGCCACCAGATCTGCAAGGCCCAGATGACCTCGTCCGCCCGCAATGTGATCCGTAGCTCCTCTCCGCGCTTCGCGCTTACCGCTCACAAGCCCGTTACCACCGCTCTTGTGCGCTACTCGTCTACTTCGGCCAAGGTAAGAGACCCCACAATGCCTTATCATTTGCCCAAAGCACTCAATGGCTAACCGTCGTTACTATAGGAAGAGGAAGATATTGATGTTATGGCGGGTATGCGATCCGAGGCGGTAAGTATCTCCGCTCACATGTAGGAGTGGTCCGCATTTACTAATTCATGATCTCGAATTTTAGAAAGTCATCAAGGAGACCTTCAGCTTGACCCAGGTCCCCAAGGAGGCCCTTTACCTCGGTATGGCTGGTGTTGTGCCCTACCTGGCCACCTCCCTGCAGACCGTCTTCCTCTCCTACGAGATCAACCGCGCTGCTGCCCTTGGTGATGGTCTGATCTTCTCTGGTCAGTCTGCTGAGCTCATGCTGCACATGCTGGAGCCCATCCAGGTCGGCTACGGTGCCGTTGTAAGTGTTCCGGCTGCTCTCTACTTGAGCAATGAGTCATTAGGTTTTCAAGTTTGCTAATCGCCGTCCCCGGTCTAGATTCTCTCCTTCCTCGGTGCCGTCCACTGGGGTCTTGAGTGGGCTGGCTACGGCGGCAAGTTCGGCTACCGCCGTTACGCCGCTGGTGTGATCGCCCCCGCTGTCGCCTGGCCTACTCTGCTCTTCCCCGTCGAGTACGCCCTGATCAGCCAGTTCCTCGCTTTCACCTTCCTCTACTACAACGATGCTCGCGCCGCTGCCGCTGGCCGCGCTCCCCACTGGTACGGCATGTACCGTTTCGTCCTGACCTTCGTTGTCGGTGCCTCCATCGTTGCTACCTTGATCGGCCGTGAGCAGATTCAGCAGACCCTTACCTCTGAGCACAGCATCAAGGACAAGATCAACGCTCTGATCTTCTTGCAGAAGAAGGAGAAGGAGGAGGCCGATGCCCGCCGTCGCAGCGAGCTCGAGGAGGAGACCGACTAAATTTGCCTTGCGACAAGGCGAGGGGCGTCAACTCCCCGAGATTGATCTCGATGTTTGCATTTCCGTGATTACCTGTAGAATATACACAGAACGCACTAGGGCGGCCACTGAAAGTTTTCTTTTGTTTTTGGAGTGTCAATAATTGTGATGGAGATGTTAAGAGCTCTCGTCCAAGTAACCACAACTCCATGTTCTTTGTTCCGATTCGGCGGGAATCTCGATTCTGCATTGAGTAGATAACCGGGGTGGGTACCATATGTATATGTACAACGTAAAGCCTACGCGACGCAGTACACAGTATCCATGGATATAGGTGGGTTCAGCGTTCACGCGGGAAAATAAATAAAAAGAACCTTCGCGCCAAACACGGATCCGAAAAAGCAAGTGATTCTTGGCATCAAATTTGATCTAGAACTGCAGGAATACCTTCCCAGATTGGGCAGCTATGGAGCTATCTAGAAGGAATGGTAATCGGCATCTTTGTTGGTCACGGGCTGCCGCAGATCGGAGCCGACGAGGCCCCGAGGGGCATCCATTTCCAAAAGTAGTAACAGGGAAGGGTAGGTCGATCCCATTTGAGTCACGGGGTGCCGAAAATATCAACTAGAGATCGATTGTGAAGCTAGTCAATTGAATTGCACCCGCTCTTCAATACCCTCGAAATCTTCCTTGAATGCTGGGTAAACAATAGGGTCTGTCGTTGTACCTAGCACAGTGGTTTTTGGAGCTCCGCTACCAAAGTACTGCGTACGGAATAGGGAAGGTAAAGCGAGGCCTGCATGCGAGGTACACATAGAAACGTCCCGATTGCGAAAGCACGTTGGAATCTCCATAGATCAGCCAATTTCTTAATTTTATTGTTTCTCTCTTCTCTTTGCTTCTTTCCATATCTCCGCGTGATCTACTCCGTACTCCATACTCGCACGTCCCTGTCCCTGACAGGGCTTGACAAAAAGGGTCAGCTACTGTAGGTCTCGACTCTCTTTAGCTGACTAGAGATTGAGGACATCTAATAGGGCAATTAAGCCGGATGACCAAGACCGGGGGATAAGAACCTGGTTATGGAAACGTCATCTCCCGAGATTCGCGATTGGACCATTCTTGATCCATATATCAAAGATGAGATCAGGATATTGATCAATTGGAATGAGTATGATGGAATGAGACTATTATGAGAGAGTGTGAGGTCTGTTCCCCAGGGTGAATGCAATCGAATGTTCTTGGCTCCGACTAGAACCCGTAGGAATGGGTCTCTCTCCATTCTTCTATTTCTTTTCCCGTTGCTTTTTCCCCCTTCCCCATAGGCCATATTGCTTTTAAGAATCAATAATTCTTCCGGATAGTGGAATTTTCTCCATGAATAGGAATGGTTCGTTTTAATCTGCTAAGAAAGTAGGCTAAAAAAAAGGGGAGGGGTTCTAGAACGACTGGAGAGACTGCAGGGGAAAAATGGACCGTGTCATGTGTACGATCGACGGGGCTTGTGGAGTGCCCAGGCTTGAGACAATAGGGTTGGTAAGAGAGAATAGATCCAGATCAATGGGGGGAGTACTATGGTATAGGTAGTCGTCTTTAAGATGAAGAGATAGAGAGATATAGAATGGTCTGACGATATAAAAAGGAGATCAAGGTTAAACCTAATTAAAGATCTCGATCTAACCTTGGAATAACCTTGGAATAATGGATTAACAAGAGAAAGAAGAAATAGTGGGGGAAAGAAGAGGGGAGGTGACGAGGTCTTCTGATCAAAAAAAAAGTGCCCCCTCGAACCGGATTCCTGGTTTTTCCCTCCCCCCCCCCCACCTACAACTTGGTCCACCCCTTTGGATAAAGAGTCTGCCCTGGTTTCTTGCCAACTCGCTGCTCTTCTCTGTTTCTGCTGCCTCTTTTCTTAATTTCCTCCCCCTTTATCAACATACATCAATCGCCCGCCTACAACTCTATACAATATTCTCCTATCCTATCAATTCCTCCCCGCATCGCCTTGGTTACGGTGAAAGAACGCCAAAAGCAACATTCAAGTTTATACCTGACCACTCTGATACGTCACGCTCCACTTTTCTGCCACGGGAGCTGGTCCCCGTATCCATCCTCAACACCGCCACCTCGTAGTTCTTTCCCCTCCTCCGTCATCTTCCTTCTCTAAATTTCGAGGACAGTAAATTGGTCTTCTCACTTAATTTCTTTTCTTTTCACTCATATACACACACATCTTGGAAGATGCGGAACCCATTCGAGTTGGACTTTGAGAGCGTCGATGGCGACTCCGAGCCTCAGGATTTCGAGACTTCCGATGGACATCTGCAGCAGGAGGAGGCAATGAACCAGCACCGTCGGAGTATGGACTACCGACCAAAGCAGAGAAACGATGGAGACCGCTCGCTTCTGCAGGATGAAGAGCACGCAGATGTCGACTTGAAGAATCGGTTCATCGGTACCATTGACCAGGGTACGACAAGTACACGATTTATCATTTTCGATTGCACAGGTGTTCCTGTCGCCAAATACCAAACCGAGTTCCGTCAGATTCATGAACATCCAGGGTAGGTGGTCACTATCTCCTTTCCGTCCCCGAATGAGAACCCCTCCATGTTAATTGCCCCGCACCTACACAGATGGCATGAACACGACCCTTACGAATTGGTTGAATCGGTCTATATCTGTATCGAAGAGGCTATGAATTCATTCTTGGCCCTCGGTCACACCGTCTCCGATATCGAAGCCATTGGCATCACCAGCCAAAGAGAAACCGCGTTGGTTTGGGACTGGGAGACCGGCGAGCCCCTCCACAACGCAATTACTTGGACCGACACACGTACCGTCGATTTGGTACGCGAATTGAAAGAAAAGCCCGGAGCTGATGATCTCGTCAACATTTGCGGTCTACCCCTCTCCACATACCCCTCATCTGTCACCCTACGATGGATGCTCGACAACCTGCCCGATGTCCGGTCAGCATATGATGACGGGCGAGCTGCCTTTGGAACGGTCGACAGTTGGCTCATTTATAACTTGAACGGTGGCCCGCAGAATAAGCGTCTGGTCACGGACGTGACCAATGCCTCGCGCACCATGTTCATGAACCTCGAAACCCTCCAATACGATGACAGACTTTTGAAATTCTTTGACATTGACCGAAACAAACTTCGTCTGCCGGAGATTCTCCCCTCCGCTGATCCCGAGGGCTTCGGTAAGGTGGCCGAAGGGCCACTAGAGGGTGTTCCCATCACCAGTTGTCTGGGTGACCAAGCTTCAGCCTTGGTGGGCCACTGTGCCTTCACCCCGGGAATGGCCAAGAACACATATGGTACTGGATGCTTCCTTCTCTACAACGTGGGTGAAAAACCTGTTATCTCGAAACACGGTTTGCTCGGCACCGTGGGCTTCCAATTAGGACGGGACCGCAAGGCCGTCTATGCACTGGAAGGCAGTGTGGCGGTTGCTGGCAGTGGTGTGTCTTTCCTTATGAACAATCTCGGCTTCTTCCGCGACTCCCGGAAGGTCAGCGATCTGGCTGCCAGTGTACCAGATAATGGAGGCTGCATTTTCGTCACTGCGTTCAGTGGTCTCTTTGCTCCTTACTGGATTGATGATGCCCAGGGTACTATTTGTAAGTGATGATTCCTGCTCTACTCCGCAACGTCCGTTCAGACTAACGTCCACCAAGGGGGAATCACTGCCCACACCCAAAAAGGGCACATTGCCCGCGCAACTATGGAAGCCGCCTGCTTCCAAACGAAAGCCATCCTTGACGCAATGGCGATGGACAGTGGCAAGAGCCTTACCGAACTGGCTGTCGACGGCGGCATGAGTAATTCCGACGTTTGCATGCAGGTATGTTGCAGTGCCTCAATCAGTACTCAGATCGCGACGCTAATCCTATTGTTTTCCCTAGACTCAAGCTGATATCATTCGCATTCCTGTTGAGCGCCCCTCAATGCACGAGACTACTGCTCTGGGTGCCGCGATCGCCGCCGGCTTTGCCGTTGGCATCTGGAAAGACTTCGCCGAACTCAAGCACATGAACCGCGCCAACCGAGCCTCCTTTACCCCTGTGATGTCCGACAAAGAAAGCGCCCGCATGTATAAAAAGTGGTCCAAAGCCGTGGAGATGTCTCGCGGTTGGATGGACAAGGAAGATCGGGGTCATGGCGATGACGAATAAACATTTTTTTATAAATACTTGCAACGACGGTATGCCACGATTTCAAGTCGCCCGAACGACACAACGCATGTGTCCGTCGACCACACGGCCAAGCTTGTGCATCTCATAGCACGCACAACACATACACCCGGGCATGCGATTGAGACACAGAGATAGGGGAGAATCTACATCACGATCATATCAACCGGACATCACACATTTTCTCTCTTGGATACCCGGATTGTTTTTTGAGGGGGGTATTTGGACAGCCTGCGTTCCACATTTACAATATTTAGAGAGAAATTTCCACTGACTAGAGAGTCCGTCCTAATAGGCGTTTCCACACGCCGATGCCCCCTTCATCATGACCGTTATGACGGGAGTCGTGTTTTTGTTTTTCTTTTCGTTATTTTTCTAGAGAAGAGCTGGATTACTTTTCATGTTGTTGTTGGCTTTCATTTCCGTTGGAAACGAAGTCCAACCTGGCATTTGTATATACCGAACATTTTGTGAAACGGAGAAAAAAAATATCAAAATTTACTACATATCCCTATTCCTACCCATCCATATCCAATCCTCAACGTCAACGTCAACGTGAACATGGCCAAAAAAGAAGGAAAAGGAAAACAGCCATGCCCATGCCCAGCCCTGGAGGTGACATCATGCCAAGTGGGGAAGCTAAAGCAGGCTTGGCTTACCCTGGTATGCCCGTGCGCACATCGCAATTACCCAGTGCCAAGCCCTGGGCGATGAAGTCATCCGGCAGGCGCCGGATTTACTTCGTCCCGAGGTCTTGGGTCTCTCGAGTTAGGGTTAGACATTTGGATGTGGCTGCCCTAGTATCCCCCATAGGGCTGAACTATGGGTGCCAACTCCTTCCCTATGTACTAGTACTACTTGATTTCTGAACTGTCAGAAACTAGAAAACCATAGACACCCATGAGCCATGGGATTAACGTCCGCTGGCGCTGGGCGCCATGCCACATGGCAACTGAGTGGAATGAAGCCGCGGACTGGCTCGCGGCAGCCGGAGCTGACACTCTGAATTTATGGGACCACGAGTCCACGACTTCACAACAAGCATACATTAAATTATCTGCAGTCCGCGTTGGAAGAACGTTTCTCTTCTGTTCATTCAGACCTGGAGCTTTAGTGGTATATGACTCACTACCGGGCTAGAATATCGGTATAAAGAAGCTTTGCCACATGTTCACATTGATATGCCCTATACAGAGTTGGAATTGTCAGCGCATGACCAGGCAGCTGAACCTCCAGACTCTTTGTAACCATTGATGATTTCAACCACTGATCCATAGGTGCCGGCTACCATGAAAAAGGTTCCTATAATAATCATGAAGATACTCCAGGTTACCATCAAGTACCAAGTGCGTGTTCGCTCTCCTTTCCAGTTATCATAGAGCCACATACAACCCATGGGCTGGAATGACATGAGTGTGCCTAGCAGTGCACCAATAAGTGATACCAGGCTGTTGAACACAGGAATGGCACTGGCAATAATATATGCGGTGATAGTGGCACCAAATGTGCAGCCGAACCAGGTTATCCAATGGCGGGCAGTGTTCGCAGTCAGATGCTCAGTACCATGAAGTAAGCGAATGAATAGATATTTGCTCGATAACTGATATGAAAACGTTAGTATTTCAATCCAAGAGTTAGAGCAGCAAGAACTCACATGAGACAGAATGATTGTTGATGCAAGGAGGCCAGGAATAGCAATCCCATAGCACACCTTCTTCATGAGAACGCCCGCAGACCCAAGAGCAGGTGATGCTACGTAAGATCCACAGAAGCAATATACGACAACGGCAATGCTCAAGTAAGTTGCAGTCACGAGACTTTGGCATATGGTGAGTGATCTAGCATAGTACTTCGGGTCACGCATCTCGGCCACGATAGCGAAGAACGCGCTGGCGCCTGCGTATGCGAATATCATAGTGGAGATTGCTGTAATAGCCTCCTGGAAAGATGGCTTTTTGAACAATTCATAGTCTGGCTTCCAAGGGCCCACCTGCGGTGCACTTGCGGGTCTGTCCTGGACGCCGACAGCAACAGTCAGGGTGAGGACTAGTGCCATTAGTGGGACGCGACTGGAACAACACACACGGAAAGTCAGGACTCACTAGCGCCCATGGTACTGAACAGACCAACCCAAGCAATCCAACTCATGCGACCCAGGGTGCGGATACTGGTCAGACAAAAGGTGACGATGGCGGCAATGGCCACAAAAGTCGCAGTACAGGTGGCGTGAGTTGAGACTGCATTCAAGGCTATTGAGACACTGAGCATTCCAGATCCAGAGACAAAAATCCAATCTGGCTCGAAGGTTAGTGGTAAGCGACTGAGAGAGGTGGACAGAGTAGTCGATACTCACAGGTGCAGAATATCGCCCCGAAAACCACTCGTCCGGGGACGCCAAACAACATGTAGCCGACGTCATCTATAGCATAAACCTCCGGGTGATTTAGCTTGAACGTTCCAACCACGAACATGGACCAGATATTCATCGTGGCAATGGCCAAGAGACAGATTGTTCCAGGAATGAGACCCAAGACATCGAATGCTGCAGGAATGGACAGAACGCCCAATCCAATCATTGTCTTGGTCATGAGAATCGAAGTAGCGAACCATCCTAGCTAATGTGGTATTAATATTATGACCGGTTGTATCCAGTCCAAATACACTTACTCCACGATAGTTGGGGCCGTCCTCGGTAATCTCTCCAAAAACGGCATCAGTCTGGACGTTGCGGTAGGAGGAGGGTTTTGAAGGGGAGCGATCGAGATACTCCAGGTCCTTGGACTTTATATTGTCAGACATGTTCAATGTAACTAATTGAGTCATGAGCTTTGATAAGGGATATTGGAAGAAGATCTACGCCAGAAACTCCGAAACATCGTCTCGATCATGACATGCCTTTAAGTATCTGTTCAAATTGGTGGGCGACGAGCCGAGGACAAGAAAGACTCCACAACTGATGAGTATCTAGATACAATTTGATATACCTAATTGTCTTTACTAACTGGTTTGTGGCTTTGATTTCCTATTCGGACGGCTACCCGAGCTCACACAACCCCGGACTACCTACCCCGGACTCTGCCTTGCCAAGGATTAGTCAAAATTTGTGCTAGCCTTTTGGTTCGTTCATGTTGGCTCTTCTACTGATACTTCGGATGCCGTATCAATTGTTTTTCGGTAGAGCTCTAGCTGAAAGGTGTGATATGTTTGTACTTCTTGTCCTATCTTGACGATTGGCTTTCTAGGTTTGGCCTTTACCCGAGATACCAATAGACAGTGAAAGAGATGATTGGCCAGGGGTCCGATACGCACATAACAAGGCGCTCATGCATGACCACAGGTATAGCCATAAAGCTCGTGTGGACGCCCAACAAGGCATGTTTGAATAAGGGCGGTAGCCATCCGACGCCACTCGTTGGCTAAATACGACGAATGTGGAGTAGGTGTGGCCCTAACCGACGATCCTTCCGCCTGTGATATAGACGACGAGATGGCTCAGCGTCTCACTAGACTAGTGGAGATAAAAGAGGAGGGGGGGTCGTTGGAATTGCACTCTGGACGTATGGCACTTCAGGATGTGGTGAGAGCTTTCAGCTACCAGGGCAGAAGTCATTAGTTAAGTGCCAAGGCATCAATATTTTTTAATTAATCAGTATTGCAAGCCTGGATTTTCACACTGGGACTTCTCTCGGGATAACGGGATGCCCGTCACCTGTCAAGTATGCCTCTCGCGTCAATCTTCCATAACCACGCTGACGCTGATTTCAAGACATGTACTATATCGCCGTTATCTACGACATAGGTCTGGGATATGAATTGTTTGATTTGTTCCGAGATTGGCCTTCTTCAACTGTCCCGATAATTGACTATGGTTCTAGATTAGGCCAACACATTGAGAGAGGCACCAACGATTCCAAGTCCATTCATTAATACAAAGAGACGTCCTCCAGCTTCTTCCCCCAGCATAACCATAAGGGTTCACAGCTTACTGGGAATAGGCGTTTCTGCAGGCTTCGGTAGCTCGGTCAAATATTCCTGTACGTACTTGGACACCTCCTGACCAAGGCCAAAGCTGAAAGTAAACCCACCGGCTTCCTGTCCATATGCATGTATGACCTTCTGCCCATGAAGAAGCTCCTTTTCGACGCGAATGCCGCCATTCTGGTGCTCAATAATGGGGAACACACCTACATGGTCCGTAATAAAGTCGTAGTCGAGGGGGTTGGGTGACGGGAAAACATCAGGCTGATTATCGTGCTGACGCTGCATGATCTGGGTTATATCTAAGTATAAGCACTCGATTCGGAAATCACGACAAGAGACAAAAGACTAACCGTTTTGCGCTGGTCTTCATACGCAGTGAAATCGAATTCACCAACGGTTTTGATCCCGCCCATATAGATCGTGCCATCACCACGCGCGAATGCCGTGGAATAGTATCCGTCTGGACCACGGCGGATATAACACCTATTGTAGCCCTCTTTGCGGAGTCTGATATTCTGCTGCCGCACGGGCGTGATGCGCTTCTCCTCAACATCGAGCAGCTTCATAGCACCGAACCCAGTGGCGTTGATCAGAACATCGTGTCCCATACCTCTCAAATCCCGCAAAGTCTTGACATAGGTACGCTGGAACTTCACGCCCTGGTTTTCCAGGTGCTGTCGGAACCAGGGAAGGAATGTCGGCGGCGTGATGACGACGGTCTGGAACTTCATGCCAAATTTCGCGCCTTGGGGAAGATCTGAAGGCGCCATGAAGCGGAATCCGGGGACTTTTCCTTGATACCATACTTCCGTCGGGTCTCCGTTGTCCATAATCTCGGTCATTTCAATCTGCCGGATGCCGGATTCGGGGTGTCGCTCTGCAATACGCCATAGCTCGGAAAATGAGTTCAGCTGCATCGACTGTTCCCACGGTGTTGAGTCGTGGACGCCTAGCCAGATGGCACCGGCCCATTGACTGACATAACGCTGGTCCATCGCATCGCCGGGTAGAAAGTCGCCCAGGATTGTAATTTCGGTGTTCTTGGGTAATTGGCTTGCAATTCCCATGCCGGTAATCCTAATGATATGATCGTCAGTGTGTCTTCCTTAATGGAGAGTGCAGTAGATCATACCCAGCACCCAAGATTGTTACTTTCGACATTCTGGCAAGGGTTCCGTCTGAACAGAGTTGAGAACTAGGGGTAAGAACGAGAACGTCCGAAGAGTAGTTTTTATGAGAGGAAAGTTACACCTTAGCGCATGCAGTAGATATTAGTCTTACTTACTGGGGTGAGAGACGCTCTTTATGTGGATGCTCTCCAGATCGCGGGATACTAATACCTAAAGCGCCTTCAATTCCGTGGCGCGCTCAGATTATCATTTCCGATGCAAGAAGTAGGTGGTAAACAAGATGGTGATAGCTTCACTTACAGCTACTGCTATCTGGTGATCTTGGTAGGTGGATTGAGACGCCACCAAAAAGGACTCGAGTGCCCTATACATCTGCTTGCCGCATTGGGAACATAAGCGGGTTGAGTGGAGCTACGGTTTGATATCAGTCCCCCGCGACGGGATCTCGGCAAAGTTCCATTTGGGGGCATGGATGCGATTGTCTAGTGGCTGCGTTTGAAATGTATCTTGGGACACTATATTTCATCCCGACAGCTGCTCCTGCTGCTGTAATGAGCGGACATGCGGAAGACTAAGCCGCTTGATGTGCCCAGGTGAGCTCAGCATGCGTAAGTAATGGTGTCGGGCCCACATTCCTAGTTGTTCGTTTCCTAATCTGAAGTTAAAGCGAGATCGAATGAGAGCTCAATTGTACCGGTACTACCGAAGCCTGACATTTACATAAAGTAGACATATCTTCCTTGGGGATACACTTTCATTCTACCAACTATTGACTGATCTATACCTGGTACGTGATGGACAAACATGCTTCGAATCGATTGCTAATGAGCAAGTAAAGAAATTCTAAATTCCCACAAGCAAAAATCATACTCGCATCATGCCGCATGGCCAAGGAAACGAAACCGGTTCTTCAGAACCCAACACTGTCCCCTACGGTTCCTGGGAATCTTTTCCCGAGCAACCATTTCCCATGTACGCGGGAACAAAGTCGATCATCTACCGGTCCGCTGATGGCAAGGTGGTCGTGGGAATGTTGCGCGAAAAGGGAAAAGACACATTGGTATGGCCGGTGGATGAATTTCTTTTCGTCACCCAAGGAACAATCCATATCGAAGTGCACGGCGGCGAGTCCTTTACACTTGGTAAGGGCGATCTGATGGTGATGAAAAAGGGCCAGACAATTACGTTTGACTGCAGCGAAGACTTTGCGAATGTTGCTGTCTTCATCGACCTGGAAGATAAGGTCACGCTCGTATAAACTGCAGACCGAGCAGTAAACAAACAACAATTGTGTTTTGTATTCATAGAGTGACGTTCATGAAATCCTTTCAGGCAGTATGTTGTAACAAGTTCACCTAGCCAATTCGTAGACGCCACTGTTTGGCCAACATGAGATCTAGCCAGGTCATTTCAACGCCGGAGTCGTGTAAATTCCAGAGCTCTTGAAGCAGCTCAATTACCCACAGCGTTGGCGGAATGCGGTTCGTGGAGTAGACAGCCCGGAGTTGCTCTATCACCCGCTCACGCAGCTCAGTATCCTTTGATTCTAATTCAGCCCCGGCACTTAGCAATGGGAGTGTGTGCAAGTTTACGTATGGCGAGCTAATCGGTGTTACGAACAACATTCCTAGAGTCCGTAACGCCAGCGCTCGGATTGGACATCCGCTGTCGTCTTCTTCGCCGTCCGATCCAGCCTCTACTGCAAGATGAATCTTTCGGCCACATAGGCGGTACAGCATGAGAAGTCCGTGGTTGCGGAAGGCCTCGGCCAGCAGGTGCGCAGATGGGTTCTCTTCAGCGGAAGTGTAGGAGTGCAGGTCGGACTCGAAAGTCGTCTCGCGTACGAAGTCTCGTGGCATACCGTCCGCAACTGCACGACAGTACCGGCCGAGCTGCCCGAGTAAGAAGTAGAGGTCCATGGAGTGAGATGTGATTGTGTGAAAGCGCGAGCGCGAGGCCGTGACGTATGCCGCCAGCAGAGTTCGAGGGGCCTGAGTGTGATGGGCTATGTCGAGACAGAAAGAACAGGCCATATCCCAATAAACATAGAACCCCACTGTGAGATGGAGCAACTCATCATCCACTGTAGCTTGCTGCTCCAGCGTCATATCGACAGAAGCCTGGGCGGCTAGTAGATGCTCCCGCCCATACTCCGTGGGCTGAGTAGTGATCCAGGAGGACGACATACCCAACATGAGAATGATAAGGGAGCGGAGGGCCGAGTCTAAGCTCTCAGATTGCAGTTCCTGGCGAAGGTTCCGTAAAGCCTTGCTCCGCTCCTCCAGACTCAGGGTCATGTGGGAGGGCTGGAAATATTGTTCATGACCGGCACTCACGCACTGAATGACATACACCAGCGAACTCGAGGCAGACAAGTACTTGACAATCGGGAACGACATCGGATTCCGATCCCGATCAAGACTCATGATTTGAGACATGCGCTCAAACCAGTACTGAAGCAGCCGCGAGTTCACATCGACATCGGCATTAATCGGCTGGGTGGGCTGCGAGACGGGGTCTGCTGTACCTAGACACCAGACCTCCGGCTGCCATTGAGAGGCTGGAAGAACGGGCTGGCAGATGGACCCCCGGCGGCGACATCGCAAGCACACTGGAAAGGTCTCGTCGCACTTGACTCGGCGTTGGCGGCAGCCTCGACAGCCCGATCGGGAGCGGGTATGAGTCGGGCTGGATAGGGAAGTATCCGGTACGGCTGTACTTGTCTCATTCTGGCCAGGGAAAGACCGCTGGGGCGCGAAGCGCACTCGAAAAGAAGGCATCAGAACGATCTGTTTGAGAATGTGCAGAACTCAATGACAAAGGGGAAAAATGGGGGAAGGTGAAAAAGCCCAAGAGATTAGCAAAAACTAATAGCAAGGTGAAACCCCAGGCTCAAGGCCTTCGTATGGACTATGGAGTGCGAGATAACCGAAAGTGAAACCCACTTGGGGCCTCATAGCCGGTAAGCCGGGTCACCGGGTGTGGGTGAGACTACCCCCGCTCCCCACAGCCCCCACCTCGCGTTCTGGCCCAAATAGGCAACATATCAGTCCCCGCGATTGATAAAGGACGGTTTGCCGATTGGTGGCAGATCATCTCAGACTTACATCTTATGATCTTAGAGGTGATTTGTTGTTTCACTAGCGTACAGTCGCTTTCCAGCATGTCGGAAGACAGCTGTGGTACTACTACACCTGGTTGGATCCCTTAACTTTCCACATCAGGAGTAGACGCGATGATGAGGCCGAGTATGGGGTTCATTCATTGTCAGTATTGTTATAAGAGAGATACGGGGGGGGGGGAACTCGAACTGTCAGTTCACTATATCCCCTATCGCACTTCATTTTTACACCTGAGACATGTCGGAAACCATTGAGGTCGATGCGTTCGTTGTCGGCGCTGGCGTTGGAGGAATTTACACTACGTACCGCCTGTCGCGTATGGGACTGTCGGTCAAATGTGTGGACATTGCCAGCGACGTCGGTGGCACCTGGTATTGGAATCGATATCCAGGTGCTATGAGTGACACCGAAAGCTACCTTTACCGATATTCATGGGACAAGGAAGATTTGCAAACCTATCCCTGGACTCATCACTACCTCTACCAGCCCGAAATTCTGAAGTACCTCCAGCACATCACCGATAAACACGATCTCCGGAAGTACATGACATTCGAGACCGAGATGACGTCGGCGACATGGAACGAGGACACTCAGAGATGGATGATCACCTGCTCCGGCTCCGAAGAGTCGAACATCAGTGCCCGCTATTTGGTCAACTCTCTCGGATTGCTCTCGAAAGTCCATTACCCGAACATTGCTGGTCTTTTGTCTTTCGCTGGCGACCTGGTTCATACAGCACGCTGGCCCGAAGACTTGAACCTCGAAGGAAAGAAGGTCGGCATCGTTGGGAATGGATCTACAGGAACACAAGTGATGACGGCGATTGCTCCGATCGTCGGAAGTCTGACATCCTTCCAACGCCATCCTCAATATTCGGTCCCGAGTGGCCAGCGCCCTGTTGCAAAAGAATATCGCGACAAGATCAACGCTACTTACGAGCAAATCTGGGACAATGTTTGGTCATCGGTTGTTGGGTTCGGTGTGCCAGAGTCCAAACGCAAGACCATGGACGCTAGCCCCGAGGAGCGGAAGAAGGCTTTCCAGAAGGTCTGGGAGGAAGGAAATGGATTCCGTTTCATGTTCAGCGCCTTTGGAGACATTACAACGAACAAGGATGCCAACGAAGAGGCATGCAACTTCATCCGTGGAAAGATTGATGAAATGGTGAAAGATCCCCGCAGGGCAGCAATCCTAAAGCCAAAGGACCTATACGCCCGCCGACCACTCTGCGACACCGGCTACTATGAGATCTTCAATCGTGAGAATGTTGACGTGATCGATCTCAAGGAAACGCCGATCCACGAGATCGTCCCCGAAGGCATTCAGACAGCGGACGGAAAAACCCATCATCTCGACGTCCTGATATTTGCCACCGGCTTCGATGCTATTGAAGGCAACTACATGCGGGTCAAGATCACAGGACGGAATGGGAAGACAATCCAAGAGCATTGGAAGAACGGCCCTCGAGCTTTTGGCAGCATCGCCTGCGCAGGTTTCCCCAACATGTTCATTGTTGCCGGTCCTCAAGGCCCATTCGCCAATTTCCCTCCTGTCATTGAGAGTGAAATCAATTTCATCATGTCATGTATTGAATATGCCGAGGGGAATGTCACCAACGGCACGACCAATGGCACTACCAACGGCCACTCCAAGGCAAAGCCAAGGATTATGGAAGTGTCCACTGAAGCAGAAACAGGGTGGATCGACTTGTGCAATCAACTCGTCGAAGGGTCTTTGTTCACTACGACGGCAAGCTGGATCTTTGGTCAAAATATTCCGGGGCGAAAAGCAAACACGAATTTCTATTTCGGAGGGCTTAACAGCTACTTGGACTGGGTGAAAGCTCAAACTTCCAATTTCCCTGGATTCCTTAGAGATTAGCTACTATGTATATTTCCTAGATGAATCATTTCCATTTAATGCCGATTCTTTTTTGTTTCCCTATAGATACAGGTCAGAGCATGAAACTCACTAGATTGCCATTGGTCAGAGATATTCGGATATATGCTAGATCTGGCAAGAGAAGGCTGAAGGATCAGCCTCTCGGGATTCATTGTCTACCTATAAATACTTGGTATACAGTATAATCTGAGTAATGACCCTCTGAATCACCCGCACATACTTCTTCCTGTCCCCTTATCTCAACAGACCCCTTCAAAGTCCGTACCCCGAACTTCCCCTTCTATCAGCCCATAACTGACATCAAACAGGAAATGGCACCATCAGTTCCCAACACCACGGGATCAGAATCACCATCCGATGTACCATACGGGCCGTACACCAGTTTCCCCTGGGAACCCCTCCCTGAGTACGGTGGTGAGAAATCCATCATGTTTCGTTCGGCCGACGGGAAAGTCGTCGCGGCAGCCGCAAAGGAAACAGGGACTGCAACATTGACCTATCCGTGTGATGAGTTTTTCTTTGTCACGGACGGTTGGGTCAAACTGAACGTTCATGGTGGGGACCACTTTGTTCTGACCAAGGGGGAGTTCGTGTATTTGAAGAAGGGGACGACGGTTGATTTCACATTTGGCCCTGGTTTTATGAACGTTGCCGTCTTTATGGACAATGAACCTGTAACCCTTCTCTGAGAAGTGCCTGCAGTAGAGCGAAGAGTTGCGATCTTTATGTGACTGATTTTTGCTTATTTCTGAGAAGCTTGCTCTTGATAGTTACCTTTTGCCATACAATTAAATGCCCAGATCAGACGAAGCACGTGTCGCAGTGGGATTATTAGCGCAATTCGTAGGAACATAACCTAGGTTGTCAGTTGGCGGAAGGCTTGCCAGTTGGCGGGAGATCGAGTCTTGGCAAGGATCCCGCCATCTCCTTTCATCTCTTTCAAATCCATCACCCCCCATCATCGGCATCCTGTAGCTGCTGCTGTAGCTTTGTATCACAGCTGTAGGCCCTGACACTGCACATGCAGAGACAGCCTGAACCTGAACATCTTACTTGTAATAGATTCTGCCATACACGTTCCCATTTCTTGCTGCAAGCTTGCCATGTTTTTGTCCGACATCCACACCATCCGCATCATGAACCCTATCTCATAGTTGCGGACCCTGATGCTACAAAGACTGCCTGACTCTTGATATTATACCTGTAACGGAGGCTGCGCTATTCAAGCTGTCTGCCTGCACGAGCCATTACAAAGTTATCATCGCTGATCATTGATATTATAATGCTGCCGTCCGTCACGAAACTTTGTAGACTGATCCCGGTCAAGAACAGTTTTCCCTTGATGAGTTGCATAGGTAGTAGTGCCAGTAGTGGTTCGGAAAAGCGCTGCCTAATCCAGAATGACCCTATTCAGCGCGGCTGGGATCACCTCGCCGGCGCTTGCTCCGGACAACATCCTCAGAGGGCTCTCGCCCAATTCGGCGTCGCCTAAATTGCGGCGGCTGGGGCCTCATGACCGCAGCCATCTCTTTCCCAACGAGGCATGGATATGGTCGAGAGCTGCCGCCGTATTTGTTGGTTCTCATGCACGCGGATGCGTTGCCTAGTCTGGATCAATCGACATAAATAGAGGATCATCCCCAGTCCAATTCTTTTCTTTCTTCTCCTCCTCCCGTACACACCTTTATCATTAGGCATCTTCTGCTCGCCTATCATCCACGAGGAACGGAGCTCCAATTGTTCTCCGTGTGAGCAGCAAAGGATGGAAGTTGGACCATCTACTCGACGGCGATCCAACGGTGGCCGTCGGACGATGAACGGACTCGACTAAACGCCGCAGTAAGTTATCGATACCCATCTGAACTGGAACGACATGAAATCCTTGACGGCTAACGTGTTTGCCCTTTGGTATGACAGGTCCCCATTTATGACCGTCGGCTGAGGATAGTCATCAAGGGCTGCTGCATGCCCTGCGCGTCCCAGTACAGTTCACAAGCCAGGCGGGACCCACCGAGACTCGTCCTGTGAATGGGCTTCTCAATACCGGCCTCGCTCCAAGACCGTTGCCGGATCCCATACAAGTCTCTGACCTTGCTCGCCATGAGTGAGGTTATTGAGTCTTTCTCTGAGATTTTCTCTGGAAGACGTGTGCTGATCAAGCACGAGAGCTTCGCCTACTTTCACCCCGCTGTATTATGTCTCTCGTCTGCTTTGTCATCGATGATGGCCCGATTGTCGCCGAGTTGAGCGTATCATTTCCGCAAGAGCGCACACGAAGCAGGCTATGACAAGTTGACAACATCCTCAGAGCCATGGCCTTCATAAAACTAGCAGGCAATATACGGCGCGGTGGATACCTCATTATACCCTACCGTCGACTGCCTCGGCAATTTGGGGATAGTGTCTCGTGATGGCTGGCGCTGAAACATCTGGATCATTCGTCTGGCGTCAAAGCCCCAGACATGTGCCAAGATCTTGGCGGCTTAGCAAGTCGGGAGCGGACTGCGGATGATGTTGACTCTGATCTTCTGAGATAGAGGATGCTGCTCAGGTTGAGCAAAAACGTCTACTTCAACGGCTGGAAGCGTTGGAGAAGCGAGTTGAGGCTGTTGACTGTGAAGAGGAATGGAATAGTTGGCTGGGTGCCCCGGAGGGCAGTTGAACGTGTGCCTCTCGTGCATTCTATTTGTTAAGGACGAAAACACGAGAAGGAGACACAACGCAACGGAAAAAAGTTCAAAAAACGAGCAATGGGCTTTCAGCACACTCGCGAGTCAGGTCTCAAACCATCGTCACCGAGAAACATGGACTTCAGTATCTGCCAGCTTTCGGCAACCACAATCGCCGGCACCTCAAAAGGCTGGATCAACATAATCGAAACACAAACCATCTGCTACCCGGAGCACCAAACGAAGAACCCTTACAATAACCCACGACCAGACATGGAAATTGAGGGCTCTCTACTCCCATCAATCTTCGAATCTTTGACTCTCCCAAAGTCAGCTCAAGTTCTTGCTGGAGCTGTCAAAGTCGATACCGGGTGGGGTTTCACTTTCAGCACACGCACAAGTCAGGTCTCAAAGGGACTCCGGACGATCGAGAAACACGGAAGACGCTGGGTCAAGAGCAGCTATCGACGTTGACTGTGCACCACATCCAAGGAAATAATGGAACTGTGGCATGGCTGTGGAGCTGGCTTCGCTTCGGATTCATCAATGAGGCCGAAGTTGTGCAATTAAAGGACCACGGGTACACTTTCGCCGTTCTCTGCAGCCTCCATCCGCCCACTTCTGGATTTTCATGTACCGCGTAGCCACCTGGGGACCGGCGGTTGATGAATCCCATGTTGGTTGAAGACTTTCCGAAGACTTCCCGAAGCAGACTGGCGAAGCTCATGTGTGGAGTGTGTGGAGTGGGAAAACGATGATTGGCGGGGGGCCGCAATCGAGGAGTTCGTCAAGGAACGCCAGGATCAAGTCACCGAGATCATCGACCTCCCAACCGCCCAGCACCGCATGCTTAAGCTCGACGTCACTCTGGACATCCCTAAGCAGGGGGGGGGGGGGAGGTCGTGACTTTTGAACCCATCCTGTTCAAGCAGAGTGTTCATTTCCCCACAATATACTTTGTCAAAAGACTCCACCCTAACTCAACGTTCCCAGGGTCCCCTACACCATGGTCAAGTTCGTCGTCTTCGAGAAGGTCTCCGAGGCCATCCTCGCCCGCGTCAACAAGGAGACCCTCTCCGACAGTGGCAAGACCGGTATCAACCTCGGCTCCGGTCTCATCGCCGGTCTCGCCGCCGCCATCATCTCCCAGCCCGCCGACACCATGCTCTCCAAGATCAACAAGACCCAGGGTGCCCCTGGTGAGGGTACTGTCACCCGTCTCATCAAGATCGCCAAGGAGCTCGGTATCCGTGGCTCTTACGGTGGTATTGGTGCCCGTCTCTTCATGGTTGGCTCCATCACTGCCGGTCAGTTCGCCATCTACGGTGACATCAAGCGCATTCTCGGTGCCACTGGCGGTGTTGAGATTGGTAAATAGAGGACTCGAGTCTAATATGCTCGGGAGGATAATAGAGACTACCCTTAGAATTTCTTTTGTTTTACGCCTTGTCCATCCCCCACACATGATGTACAATATTTTGTCTCCTTTTCCTTTCAAGAACAAGCTCGCCTTTTTGTTACATTACAAACATTTCCATTTCCTTGTCTTTGTAGTAGTGTCGCAGCCAAAATTGCAAAAATTGCATTCTTTTGGATATCGATGGTTGCCGCCCTTGTATGCAGGACAGTGCTGCTCCAAGGATATGACTGAATTCATTACCCTCTTTTCATTAGCCAGTTATTTTTCCTGACTTTTTAGCAGGAAATTACCTTAATCAGGAATAGGAAGCGACCGCATACCCTCAAGAAAGAGTGACGAATGGGACAGAGTGGTCCAGTGGCAGCCGCGCTCTGTCGAGGCGAGGCCACCGGCCCAGATCCCGATTGAGTTGACAATCCAGCCTTTCCAGCCTTTCATATGCAATATAAACATACAATTGCACAACCACCTACAAAGCAATGTCCCTGACAGAGAATCCATCCACCCCAAGGCCATCTTCCTTCTCTACTACAAAGGTGTGATAACCAGTATAGTATGCATACCCCTCCACAGAAACTCGTACACCACCAGACCCACACTCTTTAGACTTCAGTGAAGGTAAGTATATGCATTGCTGAATGCACAGCACTCCATGAAGATGGGTCTTCTAAGTTCTGAAGTCTGTGATGTCGATAAAGATGCCGAGTCGACCGGGCAGGTATTGCTCGTCGTCCTTTCTTTAATATTCACAATGCCCACATTGTCCATCAGACGCAGCACGTGTCGCAGTGGGATTATTACCTAGCGCAATTCGTAGGAATAGCCTTACCAGTTGGCGGGAGACTTGCCAGTTGGCGGGAGGCTCGCCAGTTGACGGAAACTTCGCTAAAACACGCGTCTGGAACTTGGCACCCAGTGGATCCTGTCCAACTGGACAGAATACTTTTGTTATTCTATTTACGGAGGTACTGTACACCGGACCTCTGTTTACTTTGTGTATATAGATAACACTTGCACGTACACGCTTCACCTCTTACTTGGGTGATTCATTTCTCGCCGGGGGCAAGAGTCTCGTGCTCACGTATACCTGGGACCATTAAAGAATGGATGTAACATCATATTCAGAAGGCCATGGAAGACTGCGTTGAATTCCTCATATATAGGCTCTATCTGACAGGTCGTAAATTGATCCACAGAAAGCCATGCGTTGGCCGACTGAGATTACAAGCCAGGCACTGGATGGAACATCAGCTCCAATCGGTGGCCTTTTGGTCCAGCGAGGTAAAAGTCGAGCAACTCCATATCGCCGTGGTCATGAATAGATGTAGTAAAATTAGCATAAACAGCAGCGACCAAATATTTCATCGCTACATAACCAGCAGTCGATTAGCATCGTCCTTTGATTTAGGCCCAAAAGACTTACAGTAATATGCAAAATTGGCACCAATACACATCCGTGGCCCACTACTAAATGCCCAAAACCATCGTTTCATATTTGCCAGCTCCTCGGGTGAAGCATCAAGCCAACGCTCGGGCTTCCAGCTGGTGGGGTCTGGGAAAACTTCAGGGGTGCGATGAAGTATGTACGCATATGACTGAACAACGGTGCCAGCTGGAATATCAGAGTACCCCTCAAGAGAACAAATCTTCGGGACCACTCTAGGTTGGCCACCGGGTACTGCAGGCCATAGACGAAGGGTCTCCATGATGATCGCATGGAGAACTGGAAGTGAGTCAATATCTTTTGGCTCGGCGAAGTCATCGACTGTGACCTTTCTATTCAAATCCTCCTGCCGTGGAAGCTTTATACCGCGTAGCTCCTGCCGAAGCTTTGTCTGCCATTCGGGGTTCCGGCACATCTCGTAGAAGATATATGTTTCAGTGTTGCCGCTTGTCTCGAATGCAGCCGAGCTGTGGGCAAACATGTCGCTTGCGATCTGCATCCTTCGTGGGTATTCACCTTTGGCAGCCTTGGGCTCGCTCATTGACCGCAGAGCTTGCTGGAAGACGACAGGCTGATCATCGCTATGAATAGGGTCGGAGCCGACAAGGAGCTGCTGGGCACTATCGCATTTCTGGAGATTCCAGTCTTCGGCAGCGCCAAATTTCGCGTCAACAGATCGAGGAATCAGAAAGATGCCAACCTTGCGAAGGAGATTTGCAAGCCTTGGGAAGTAGTACAGCCAAAAGAGGAACGGGTAAGGGGCGAAAAATCCGTCAATGTATAACCTTCGCTCTTTTTCATCCTCCAGCAGATTGCTACCGAGTGAACGGCCGAATTGCCATTGCACGAAAGTATCCATTGAGTATGAATAATTCATTTCGAGGACCTCGACAGGTTTGCCTTCACTGGCGCTTTTTCGAATTATAGGCAGATATCTTCCAAACAAGACATCGCGAGTGGCTGCACGTGCTGTTGGTGATGACATGATAAAAGATTTGGAGAAAGTGTTGGAGATCATTCTTTTGCGAGCGGAATGTACTGCATTGTCTTTGAATGTGAAGATGTTCTCTGTGCTGTTATGGGGATCAGTATAAATGACATTGGCAGGACTGGAGACTTACTTGTAGATAGCAAACCCATTGAAGTAGAAGGCAGTTTTCGGGAAACCACCCTGGTATATCATCTTTACTCCATCAAATGAGTTGATGCTGAGAAGGTTCGGCCCAAGAAGAACAGCAGCTCCCAACTTCATATGTTTGTCATAAACCGTGCGGTTCTCTTGATTTGTCCATTTCAACCAGTATATCCATATTGAGCAGAAGCGGCACGACCAGTGGGCCGCGGGGACTTTGGAAAGAGGCGAAAAAAGAGCTGGATAAATCAGGAAGTGAAGGAGGGCCATAAAAGCACCGAGAAGAGGTAAGGAAATGTGAAGCTCCATATTGCAGTATAGAACCTATAATGACGAGGTCAAGAGAAAGAAACCGTTTACGAAAAATGGTCATCACTCAGTGTTATACTCTGTAGAGTTCAATATAGCTGAGTAAGTCATGCATGATGCAGGCGTTAGAATTTGTCCAATGTTATCTCTGTACTCCACACCTCTAGGCCGAAATCTTTCCCGATTAGACCGCTAAGCGTGCGCTAACCCGCAAAGTTCAACATGGCTCAATCGTTTGGCTTGATCGTTCCAACTGATAGCGAACAGAACCGACCATATTGGAGAGTCCTACAATAGCATTATAGCTGGGAGATCTGGTCAACCCGAAAAGCTTTCGTCAACAGTAGAGGGAGTATTTTACTACTATTGAATGGACGAAGTGGGTTATTACAGAGTGTAGATGGTTCGGGAGAGGTAGAGCTCGATATCCACTTGGTGATGTCTGTAGATGAATCGTCTATCGTCCCTCACAGCCTCAACCCAAATTTCCAATAGTAACCGACTTGATGTTCCGATATTCGCTGAGGCCGTAACGGCTGCCTTCTCGGCCCACGCCGCTTTCCTTGACGCCACCAAAAGGACTTTCCGCTGCGCTGATCAGACCGGTATTGACGCCAATCATGCCACATTCCAGCTGACGCGCGACGCGGAAGATTCGACTCACGTTCTGACTGAAGAAGTATCCAGCCAGCCCATATTCGCTAGCGTTGGCCTGTATCATCACATCCTCTTCCTTCTCGAATGCAAAAATGGCTGCCAGAGGCCCAAAGGTCTCGTCAGTTGCGACGGCCATGTCATGTGTCACGCCAGTTATGATTGTTGGCTCGAAGAAGAAACCAGACAGGTGGCTAGGTGCCTTCCCGCCTGTCTGCAACTGGCCGCCTTTGGATAGTGCATCCGCAACGTGTGCTTTGACCTTTTCTACGGCTGCAGCGTTGACTAACGGACCTTGAGTCGTTCCGTCGTCGATACCACGGCCGAGCTTGAGGGTGCGCACCTTGGTAGTAAGCTTCTCGACAAAAGGCGCGAGGACTTGTTTATGCACGTAAAGCCGATTCGCACACTTGGACAGAGTTAACACGGCATGGGAAGAATGGAGCGGGTATGCTTACAACACAAGTTTGATCCGATGCACGGAATTTGCAGATCAGCGCTGCATCCACTGCCTGGTCCAGGTCGGCATCCTCGAAGACGACGAAAGGAGCGTTTCCTCCAAGCTCCATGCTCACTTTCTTCATCGTGCCAGATGCCAGTTTGGTCAGCATTTTGCCAACGGCTGTTGACCCGGTGAAGCTGATCTTGCGCACAAGCGGATTGATAGCTAGCTCCAGCGAAGCCTTGCGGTCCTTGGTGGGGATCACATGAATGACCGAGGAGGGAATACCGGCCTTTAATGCCAGTTTGGCGAGTGCAATAGCAGTAAAAGGTGTTTCGCTTGGAGGCTTGATCACCACGGAACAACCAGCCGCAAATGCCGGGGCAATCTTGCGAGTAATCATGGCGGCAGGGAAGTTCCACGGAGTGATAATTCCACACACCCCAACAGGCTCCTTGTAAGTGAGAACGGTCGTATTCACATAAGACGAAGGAATCACATCGCCGTAGTTGCGAACGGCTTCTTCGGCGAACCAGGCGACAAAGGATGCCGCGTAGGCTACTTCTGCTTTGGCTTCGGCCAGAGTCTTCCCATTTTCCAGAGATAAGATTTTGGCCACTGTTGCAAGAGGTTAGCTTTCCATTGTAATTGCAGAGGGGTTTCAAAACAAACAGTCTTCCGAGTTCTCAATTATAAGATCATTCCATCGCCGAAGAAGCTGTGCCCGCTCTTTGGCGGTTGTATCTTTATAAAAGCTCTTGTAGCCAACGTGTGCTGCATTGATTGCTTCGACGAATTCTTCACGTCCAAAGTCCGCACATGGGTAAAGCACACTGGCTGTAGCTGGCTCATAGACAGGAAACGTCTTCAGGTCGATAGCATCCCGCCATTCACCGTTTATCAGCCCCCGAGAGTCTAACAGTGTGGGATCGTTCAAAGAGATTGGGAATTCAGTCATGATAGCCATAATTCTTCCGTGAAAACTTGAACAAGAAATATGATGGTCTGGACGTATTATCAGACGACTTTGTGCTGGGTCATGTACCTTGAGGTAAGATCCCCAAGTGGATGATACCCGAGTTTCCCCAGATGCATGTCATTATTTTCCCACGGAGTCAACACACGCCACGACGGAGATCGCCAACGGCAACGTGCCAAGGAAAGCAAGTAGCCCTTGTCTAGAGGCTCCGTCAATCAGATTGTGGAAAGTAAGAGTTACCCTGATGTATATTGGTCCGTTGTGCCGAAGACCGAAGATGCGGAAGATTCCCTGTTAGTGTGAATCCTTTTCCTTTCCACTTTCGGCTCCTTGGCGAGGATTAGAGACGAAGTATCTCATTGCCGTATGATTCCCTGATATCGATGGTGTAGATCTCCCTTTGTTCCTGCCCATGCACGGAGCTTTGCCAGACCGAACTCCGAAGTTAGTCTAACTCTGGCAGTATCTATGGATCGGTTCAGATAAACACCATACGGAACTAAAAGCACCATGGGAATGTTGTGCAGCGACGATGTGACTGTAGTTGGATATCTGACCATGTCAATATGTAGTGTCATCACTAATATCACTGCTCCCCTCACACTACCTCAGGGTGCTGAACAGGAGAGCATTATAGTACATCTGGTTCTTTCAGGGCTATCCTTACATTGCTCCAGGTCTTGAATCTTCAACGCAAAACACGTTTCCGATATACTACAACATACATGATTGCATCCCAGGCCAAATGGATAGTGACCAATGAACTATCATAGCCGCGGGGTCTGAGTAGCCTGATACCAGGACTCCAGCACTTTGTTCGGGGCGTTCTGTAAGCGATCTGCAGTCTCCTCGAAAACACGTGGCAACCCCGTTTCGTGGAAGGGCACATCGTTTACTACCATGTCTGCCATTCCCTTAGCTGCCAAAAAGATTTGAGGCATGCCGTGACCCGTCCATCCCGCCATGATGAACATTCCTGGCCTTCCTGGTATGGGTCCCAATCTGGGAATTTTATCACGGGAATATCCCATGACTATAAGTGACAAGTGTCAGTCGGTAGACTTCGAGATGAGTAGCCAATCATACTTACTGCCAGTCCATATTTCCGAGACCTCTGCGCCGCTGTTCTCCCATCCACGGAAGTGTCGTTGCATGTATCCGTCAAAGTATCCGCGTGTTTGTTCAATGACGTCGGCATCATTCGCGTTATTATACCACAGGTCTTTGTTGCGAAAGTAGGCTGAGCGAGCCCCTCCCACAACGATGCTGCCATCAGGTCGAGGAATGAGATAGTCAAAATCCCAATCTTTGAATCGGAGGGCATATGTATTGACAAGAAGTGGTGCTGGGCCGGGTGTCTTGATATAGCAGCTCACGGCACGGTATGGAATGATTTGCTCCCAATACTCAGGCAATAAAGCCGGGGTGTAACCGTTTGAGGCAACGATGACCTTGCCGGCCTCGACAGGGCCCCGGTTTGTCTGGATCGTCCAGCCGCTTTGGGAGTTGGCAGCGGGAAGGACAGAAGTCGCACAAGTATTTGTCTGGAGGTTGAGACCGCCATGTTTGAGCGCCTTGGTGAACATGTGGTGAATTAATTTGTACGGCCAGAGATGTGCAGCGGTGTAGCTGATGCATCCCTTGGCCCCTTTCACGCCTGATACCTGGAATCGCGCTCAAGTCAGACAATTGCAAGGCGTTGATAACTGAAATTGGGATGTAGAGGGGAATTCACGCACATTCTCAGCATGGGTCTCCTCCACTTCAGACGCCGTTTTAGCGGCGGCAACTCCCGCTGCTTTGAGCCTACGCAAGCTCTCCTTGATTTTCATATCCTGACCGCTAGAGAAGTGAACATCGCACGCTCTGGTGACGATGAAGTCGCAGTCGACACCTTCAAGTTCGATATACTCCTTCACGGCGTTCAAATTTGCGACTTCGAAATCAGCGACTTCCGCCCCTGCAGCAAGTCCATACTCAGTGGCGATCGCGGACGCATGCAGATATGGATCAGGCTTGATGTGGCCACCTACATTTAGGTATTCCGTCAGTAAATTCTATGTAAGTGAATAGAAGGACTATTACCGTTTCGCCCCGATGCTCCGGAGCATAGCTGACGAGCCTCGAGAACCAAAATTGATGGGTGATTGGGATACTCTCTCTGAATATGTGTGACGAGTGCTGCAGCACTATACCCTCCACCTATGATGACTATGTCGCTTTTGTCCGGAAGGTTGGGCGTGGACCGGAAGTTGTCCAGCTCCTGTGGCTCAAGGCGCCAGAAAGGCACCGTGCCATTGGCTTGTGGGAGTGAGCATGCCATGGCAGTTACAAAGTGTCAGATTGTTGCGAAGTGATGGACTCCAGTATTCGCTCGGAGGATAGAAATGACTGCGAAAAACTTCCGTTATCTACTGTGTAGCTTCGAGAGATATGCCTTGAATGTTAATGATCAATGACCAATGTTCTCGGGGTAATCGAGGCCATGTGGGGCGAGTTTATTTTCGGGGGATGCACGGATCATGTGGAGATCCCAGTCCAATTTCCTGGGGACAGGAAGCGAAGATAACCCGGCACATGCCAAGATGATAAGATCCTGCGTATTTTTCTATTTCCCATTCGACTTCTTTGAAATGGCTTCTGGTCATCTGGTGGGTTAGATTGAATGATGAATCACTTTTTATCTTATTCTACTACAGTGCCGACGGTTCACCTAGCTCGCAGTAGGAGGGCTTCTATCTTATCCGGAACCATACAATGGATAATGGCACGACTCGCACGAGAGAGACTGACAACTAGTGTTGTTCCCCACCAACTTACCCAATATGGACATTAAACGAACGTTGCTCCTCACACTCCAAGGTACTTTCCCCTCATGTGGGGAATATCTCTATGTTGATAATGAGGTTATTCATAGCGATAGTATTCCTGAGCATTATAAATGACGTCTAATAATGGCTTTGTCTTTCAAAGGCCTTCTCGCCGACACCCTCCTCTTCGACACTCTTATACAACCTTCGTTATATTTCCCACCTGAACACCATGACCACACCAAAGAAGATCGTTGTCATTGGCGGCACCGGCATGTATGGCGGCTCGGTCGCTCGTTCACTGAAAGATAATCCCGAGTTCCAAGTTGTATTGACAACGCGTGATGCCAACTCGCCCAAAGCCGACAAGTGTCGCGAGCAGGGATTTCTGTTGGTCAAGGCCGACTCCTGGAACGCCACAGAACTGGATTTGGTGTTTGCCGGTGCCTACGGTGTGTTTCTCAACACGGACTCCGACGACCTAAACTTCAAGAATGAGATCGGACTACCTGAATCCGCCATGGGCAAGATCGTGATCGATGCCGCCATCCGCCAACGTGTGAAATACTTTGTTTTCTCGGGTCTCCCGCAGTCAGAGCGCCTGACGAACGGGGAAGTGTCGATCCTGTCCTTCGACAACAAAAACGCCATTGCCAACTACGGACGAAAGGCTGGGTTTGAGGCCTTTGTTGAGGTCAACGCTGGATGGGCTATGGATGTTTTCTTCATGGAGACGTACGCCAAGGCATTCGGTGGCTTTGCCACCGTTCCCGACTCAGAAGGCTTTCTCAGTCTGAAGATCTTTCCTATGAGCAATGACCCGGAGCTTGTCCCATGGACCTCCGTGAAAGACGATTACGGCGATGCTGTGCATGGTGTCTTCTTGGACCCGTCAAAATATGCCAATCGGATCATCTGGGCTATATCGGAAGCAACTAGCTTTCAGCATGTGGTTGATGTCTACAACCGAATGACCGGTACAGAGGTGGCTCGGTTTGTGCCGCAAACTGAGCCCCTCAAGGCTGGTACCCCGGGCAAAACCAAGGAAGTCAATGGACTGCGCAATTATTGCCACTACGTGCAGGGGAGATACTGCAACGGTCAGGTTACTGATGATGGTTTGCTCGCAGAGATGCGGACACTCAAAGCGCTTGCAAGGAAAGCGCGAGGAAAAGAGCCTGCGTCCACTCAGACCATCGAAGGTTTTCTACGCGACAATGCCCTAGTTAGATTGCAACCATCTATGTCCAAGATTTGAGCAAATGACTATGAAGTTCTTTTTTTCATTTCTCTTTCTTTCGTGAATCGTATGTTCTTATAAATTTGCATAGCACGAAAATAGGCAAAAGAGCAGGTGACCGTTATACCCCTCGTAGGCGGCACAGTCCCTCGGTTAGTTTCGTTAATCAAGCTCTGCTCCATGATATGACGTGAAAACTCGCGTAGATGGCCCAGACTACTCCGTATGATCCACATTCTACGCAAGTACGGCGTATGTGCTAAAGGTTATCTTTCCAGATCTGATTTGCAAGGTGGAGACGCCATACTTCGCCTCGAATCTCAAAGAGGAAGCTCGGTTCATAACTGGCGGGCCTCGTCTGCTTTTCGGAATAGGCAAGTAAGCTACCTCCTCTTCGAATGTGCTTTATGCCTCACACCGAGCCCACTCGAAATGATCCGTACCCATGATTCTAGTCGCCCCGAAGCCCGGACACTGGCCGCACCTAAAAAGGAAGCAATTTCCCGCGCAAGATGCCACAGTGTGGATTATCTTGCGCTATATATTCAAAATGTCCAGTTTGACTCAGACCATCACGGCCCCCAATGGTGTGACCTACCAACAGCCGACTGGTCTCTTCATCAATAATCAATGGGTTGCTTCATCCACTGGTCAAAAACTTCAGTCCATCAACCCTGCGTGAGTAACTCAGCCTAAAATCTCAGATCCTCTGAGTTGACGTGTCATGTCTACAGGACCGAGAAAGAAATCGTCTCAGTTCATGCTGCCACAGCGCAAGATGTTGACAAGGCAGTTCGTGCCGCCCGCGCTGCATTTGAGGGAGAAGAATGGCAAAGCATTGTTGGGACTGCTCGTGGCAAACTGATGCTGAGACTTGCCGACTTGGTTGAAAGCCAGCAACATGTCTTAGCCACTATCGAGGCACTGGACAATGGCAAGCCATACTCCCAGGCGCTGGGTGACCTTGAGGAGGTCTTCTCGGTTTTCCGGTATTACGGCGGCTGGGCCGACAAGGCTTACGGACAGACTATCGAGACTAGTCGCTCCAAGTTTGCCTATACCGTGCGCGAACCTATTGGTGTTTGTGGTCAAATCATTCCGTGAGTTTCCCCTTCAAAGGTGTCTATTGGTGATCGACTTACCCAAGCTGCAAGCTGAGTGCCCACTTGTTTTCATTAAAGAACCTTCCAAAGCTAACGGGTTTTGCTACGCTTCTAGATGGAATTATCCACTCGCGATGGCAGCATGGAAGTTAGGACCTGCGCTAGCTTGTGGTAATACCGTGGTTATCAAAGCAGCCGAGCAAACTCCTCTTTCCATTCTCTATTTCGCAAACATCCTGGTGGAAGCGGGATTCCCGCCGGGAGTGGTCAACATCATCAATGGCTATGGCGTTGAGGCTGGATCAGCCTTAGTCCAGCATTCTGAAGTCGATAAAGTGGCATTCACCGGCAGTACACCGACAGGTAAACAGATCATGCGGATGGCCAGCGATACCATGAAGAATATCACGCTTGAGACTGGAGGCAAAAGCGCTCTCGTCATCTTCGATGATGCCCAAATTCCCAACGCAGTGAAGTGGGCACATTACGGTGTGATGGGCAACATGGGCCAAGTCTGCACGGCAACGTCGAGGATTTTCGTCCACGAGAAGATCTACGATTCCTTCATCCAAAAGTTCAAAGAATACGTTGCAAGTGTCCAAGTCATTGGCTGCCCATTCGACGAGAAGACATACCAAGGCCCGCAAGTCTCCAAGGCCCAATTCGAAAAGATACTCGAATACGGCAGGATTGCCCAGGAGGAAGGTGCCACGATCGTGTCCGGGGGTAAGGTTGCAGAAGGTAGACCCAACGGTAAAGGATTCTTTGTCGAACCTACCATCGTCCGTGATGTGCAACCGCATATGCGGATCTACAAGGAAGAGGTCTTCGGGCCATTTGCGGTTTTCGTCAAATTCTCCAGCGAGGCGGAAGCAATCCGGCTATCGAACGCGACTGAATACGGGCTTGCCGCTGCTGTGTGCACGAGTGATATCACGCGCGCTCACCGTGTGGCTTCTAGATTGAAGGCCGGCATGGTCTGGATAAACTCCAGCAATAATAGTGACTACCGTGTACCCTTTGGTGGTGTCAAGCAGAGCGGTGTTGGGAGGGAACTGGGCCAGGCAGGATTGGAGGCGTACTCGCAACTCAAGTCGGTTCATTTGAACCTGCAGTTGACAAAGCAGATCTAGGATTATGACAAGTCTACCTACTGTTCTTTGGGTTTCATCAATATATCTTCCATAGCTACGATAGGTTTCCCTTTTCAAAACATTCACCACACCGAAATTACAATCCTGGGCGACTTTCTACCCGGCGATGCGATGGACCAGCGTTATGTCAGTCAATGGGCCGGTGCCATCTGGCTAGGCGTCCACGACTCAACACCGTGGGAACAGTCGATGCAGCTGAACTCATTTTCCGAGCTATGGCGTATTGCAGAGCGACACCCGGCAGGAAGCCGGTGGGTTTACTTTCAGCTTTGGCCTTGGTCAGCAGGTGTCAAAGTACGTACAGGAATATTTGACCGAGCTACCGAGGCCCGCAGAAACGCCTATCCCCAGTGAGCTGTGGATGCTCTATGCTGGGTGGAGAAGCTGGAGGACGTCTCTTTGTATTAATGAATGAACTTGAAATCGTTGGCGCCCAATGTGTTGGCCGAATCTAGAACCATTGTTTATGGAGAACGTAGTCAAGGACTCAAGGTATAGATAGAGAGGTTACTTTGCAGTTGATGCACGTGGGATACAGGAAGAATAGTGCTGGATGCATTCAGTTTCACTATGGAGTGGAGATCATCAACCTTGGGAAGTTGACAGACGAAGGCCTAAGCAAATAGATACATAGACATAGACAGGGGCTAGCCAGCTTGAATAGAGATCCCATAACTACCGGCAGCACAGGGATCAGTTCAGCGTTCAGTGGTATTCGTTGCGCATGCAGAACTGCAGCAAGTGTAGAACCATAGTGACTGATTCATCTGCTCGAGACGTGACAAGAGGAAAGATGGTATTTTCAAAGACGCCGGAACGATCCGGATATGCACTATGAGGACAAATAAAAGGCATGTAGGATCAAAAAGCCCAACGCTGGGGAAATGGAAAAAGGGCGAAAGTTACAGAAGAGCAGTGTTTACTCTTGAGTCGGGGATGGTGATACGATCGCCGCGGATTGCAAGGCGTCGGGAAGCTTCATGGGCGCGCTTGGGGAAGAGGTAAGTTTCTGGAGCTTTTCGCCCTTGAGCACCTTCTCCATTTCCTCCTTTGAGAGGGTCTCGTATTCGATGAGCGCCTTGGTTAGGAGTTCCAACTCGTTGCGCTTTTCGGTCAAGATCTTGGTTGCTCGGTCTCGGGCTTCCTCGACTAGACGGCGCACTTCACCCTCGATTTCCTGCTTGGTTTCCGATGACAGGCTATCGTAGTTTGTAGAAAGATCGACGTTGCCGAGCTTCTTAGAGTAACCGAATCGGGTGATCAGTGTGAACGCCGTCTCGGTGGCGCTTTGGATATCCTAAAGAAAGCGTTAGTATACCATGGAACGCGCTTCGGCTCGGACGCTGGCATCTAGGATAGGACGAGAAATGAAACTTACAGCTGAGATGCCACTCGTGACATTGTCGTGACCGAAAACTAGCTCCTCCGCAGCCTTGCCACCCATGGAGACCGCGATATCGGCCAGGTATTCAGTGTAGTTCCTCGAGACAGTGTCCATCTCGGGCAGGAAGTGGGTAATACCGAGAGCCATACCACGGGGAACGATGGTGATCTTGTACAGCGGGGTGGAAGAAGGGGAGAAGTGAGCAACGAGAGCGTGACCAGCCTCGTGGTACGCAGTCAACAGCTTGTCCTTGTCCTGGATGATGCGGCTTCGAGCCTCAGCACCCATCATGATCTTATCCTTGGCCCAATCAAAGTCAAACGAGCCAACGTTAGCCTTGCGGTCACGGCTGGCATGGACTGCCGCTTGGTTGACCAAGTTCTCCAGATCAGCACCAGAGAAACCGGGAGTACCTCGTGCAATGACCCCCACATCAACGTCAGGGCCGAATTGGATGTTCTTCATGTGGTGCCTCAAAATGTCCATCCGGCCGCGAACATCTGGCAAGTCCACAACAACTCTGCGGTCAAATCGACCAGGTCGAGTAAGAGCCTTGTCCAGGAGCTGAGGATAGTTGGTAGCGGCGATAATGATGACGCCGCTGGTTTGCGAGAATCCATCAAGTTCAGTCAGCAGCTGGTTGAGAGTCTGCTTGACATAAGCAGCATCGCGCTCGTTTCGCTTTCCGCCTATCGCATCCAGTTCATCGATGAAGATAATGGCCGGAGACTTGTTGCGGGCCTGAGCGAACAAATCACGAACGCGCTTGGCACCGACACCGACGTACACCTCATCGAATTCGGATCCAGACATGTAGAAGAAGGGGACACCCGCTTCGCCAGCAACAGCACGCGCAAGCAGGGTCTTACCAGTACCGGGAGGGCCCACCAAGAGAACACCCTTGGGCAGTTTACCGCCGAGAGTAGAGAAACGCTCCGGGTTGATAAGGAACTCCACCAGCTCTTGCAACTCATCCTTGGCCTCGTCGCAGCCATGCACATCACTGAAGCGAGCCGTCTGCTGTTCAGCCTGAGCTTCCTTGTCCTGTGCACCCCTGACATTCTTCAACACACCAGTGGTCTCAACCAAGATCGTGACCGTTACCAGAGAGATGTAGGTGAAGAAGCCGAAGATGAGCAAAAACTTGACCCAGCGGAAGACTGTGCTCCCGAGAGATTCATCGACAACGACGTAGAGAGGAGCGTCTTTGGCGCCAGTGCCGTTCTGCTTTCCCATTCCGATTTGACTACCAGTAGCACGAGCAGCAACCGCTTGACCGACAGCCTGGAGCTGTTCGGGGCTCAAGTTGTGAGTTGAGCCGGCGTGAGCTCCAGCGTCGGCGCCACCAATGCTTGCCTGGGCCCGTTGGACCAAGGCTTCAGTTGTGGTATCTCCAGCGAAATAGCCGCTTCGGTGTCGCTCGATAACTATGCTAGGCATGTTCGCACGCAAAAGAGCCGTATAGAAAGCATTCTGGGCGTCTGCATTGTTTGGGCTCTTGTTGGCAATCTTCTCCTTCTGGGCGAGTATTTGATGCCAGGATCCTCCGAACAAGTATCGCTGTTGGTGTGTTTTGGAAAGACCGTTGACCTTCAGGGCCGCGCGTAAGGTGTGGAGGCGGAACGGAGTCAGGGTAGAGTAGGAACGAGCACTAGGGGTAGCGCTAGAAGACGGCGTAAACGATGAGGTCCGAAGTGGATTGCCTATTTTCATGATAAGTCAGGCAAGGCTTCCCCAATGACAGTACTTGTAGCACAACTTACATTGCTTCAGCAACGGTGACCATCCTTGTTGTGCGGCCCGGCCGATGACCTGCGCTCGCAATGCTTCCATGGGGACGCTCCTCAGATACTCAGGTAAGGCTGTATGTTCGGGACCCTGACTTTTATCAGCGTTGGGCGATGCCAAGGATAGAATAGGCCATGTCATACCTTCTCATGTTCTTGTCTGAGAGTATTCCGAGAGTTGCTGGCGTGAGTCGTTGAGACTTGATTGGCCTTCTTCCAAGGAGCGGCCAGGTTTCGAGAGAAAGACGGCCAGAGATCCGAGGTGACGGCGGCAACATCCTGAGAGAAGATGTACAGCGTCAGTTGTAAGGTCTTTCTGCAAATCGCGAAATGGTACTCACAAGCTTGGGGATCGCGACTTGGAACGCCATGGCTGTCCGATGTACAGCGGCACCCGGCCGTGTGCTTCTCTAGATCAGGCTCAGACCAAAAAAGCAAAGATGAATGCAGTTAAGGCCGAGTTGAAATGAATGACATCGCTGTCATGAAATCGAAGGAAGAGGAAGGCGATAGTGTAGTGGTGCTCCGCAAAGGCGGCGAAGCCGCAATGCCACTGAGTCTGACATACGGAGCATCGGAAAAATATCGAACCGACGGCCTCTGGATGCCGCGCCGGAGAAAGCATCGGACCGTTGAGGTATTGGAGATGGGGTCGGAAAAATTATCTGGGCGGTAAGGTATCGGACTAGTGATTGTCCGGTAAAATGACCGCAGAAGGCGCACGTGATACCGGTAATGCTGGCACGTGATGTGGTAACACCTCGTGTGAGTCGTGTCCTCCGCATGCAAACAACCCGGCCACCCCCAAAACACATAGTAAACGCGATATATTATCTCAACAATCATGAATTTATTTCATCTCCTTGATATCCTATTTCATGATAGTCATTGGTAAGAGCAAATAGCGTCCATCAGATATCAAGTTGTACACGGTAATTTTCATCTTTTATTATGTGTTTTCCGGCTCGTTTACCTTCACAGGATTAGCTTAGCCTTCAATTACTTTCATATTCCAAGTGAACGAAAAGCCTGAATGGCTGAAATCTTTCCGCGAGTATCTAAAAGTTGACTGATTCTTATGAGGCTTAGGAGCAGGCCTACCTAGTACACAGTAGACGACCTCGACCCGGTATCTGAGACCATGGTTCGGGCCCCAACCGAAGTTTCATCACAATCGTCCAAAATCGACGTTTCGACTCTCGACTATGTAACCCTCTCTGGAAACTTCACTTATTCCAATGAGGCTCAACTATGTGAACCGTCTCTAGACTTCACTTTTCTCGGTCTGACTTGCGCCCTTTGGACTTGATTCTATGATCCAAACCGCTTGTTCGATGGCATCAAGACGGACCTCTCTGTATACCATCTCTACCCAAGCTACAAGTTCTCTTTGAGCCACAGACCATACAGTCGATTATTTATGTCTCGAAAGAATATATTTTTGGTAGGCGCACCGCTATCGTCAAGCCTGAGTTGGCACGCAGACGAACTTCTGAATACACCTATACCTCCCTTTCATGAAAGCACGAATAGCCCAGGACAAGAGCTGTCGCTGGATCAGCCACCTGTGAGATGGCGACTTCTACGGTCAACCTCAGACAAGCTAGATGAAAATTATGCTGTCTATCAAGGTCACAAGGATACAGAATTTTTCATCTCGTACCAGCTAGCCGCGACAACAAATGCGCTGCCTGAAAACCCGGCAGATTCGATGCTGTCAAAATTCTTCAACCACTCTTTTGCCGTTCACGAAACCTCCGAGGTAAGTAGTCCGGGGGTTTACGTAGCGGATTCAACCCAAGAGAGTAGTTTGGGCGAGGATAGCGCGAAGACCAGCTCTAGGGGGTTGGAAAAAGCAGACATTCCAACAACACCTCGCATGCTCCATTTTGCTGGACCTCTTACCGACTTGCACAACCTCCCCACAGCAAAATACATTCAGTCCATTGCACCGCAGACGATGACGGTGAATTTGATAGTGGGAGTGCTCGCCGTCCACCTCCCACGGCGGATTGTAACACGACAATGGAAAACCGAATTGGACATTATTGAGCTCGTTGTTGGAGACGAGACCAAAGCTGGGTTTGGCGTCAATTTTTGGCTCAAGCCGGAGAAGCCGTCCGCTGCCAAGAACAGTGAAGCGGATCACCTTGGTCGATCCCTCGCGGGCCTCCGACCCCGCGACATCGTCTTACTCCGTAATGTCGGACTCAGTACATTCCAAGATCGAGTTTACGGACAAAGTCTTCGAGGGATGACCACGGTTGAGCTTTTCTATCGACAAGCGGTGGATGTGACGGATGCAGTTGGACTTTATCAGAACAGAATGTTAGATAGCTCACAAGACAATCAGCCAATCCTTAAGACTCGCCGAGTACGAAACTGGATGTTCCGATTTGTGACGGATTCGGTTGGAATGTCTCACCCACGTGGATTGCCCCCGGACACGCAATAGGTTGTGTCGGGGATTTCTATTTTTTGGCCATTGTTGAACCTTGGATCACTTTTTACTTCGAGGATACCCATTTCTGAGTTAAGTTGAACCCAACTTTTCTTTCTACTTAGTGTAACGATGTAGGTTGTACAGGGAGAGGGAAACAGGTTAACCCCCCACATGTTAAGTTTCAGGGGCGATACCTCATGACCAGCCCTGTCCGTGGAAATGAGGCCCTTAGATTTGAGGACGCCATCTGCCGGTCGGAATCATGCGATACCATTGGAATGATTGGATGTATTCGCCGGGATGGGCTGAACTAGAAAACAGATGAGACCTCAGAACGGATTCTTGATTCCGTGGAGAATGTCGAAATGATCCCACCGGATTAGTTAGATGTACACTCAAGAGTCCATCCGTCGATGTAGATGCCCCTTTTTCCCGCAAACAGAGCCCCTCCAATCACTGCCCACTCACGTGCCCCCACCTTGGACGAAAATAAATCAACAGCCAGGTGTTCCCTAAATAACAAGTCTCTCCTTTTGTTTCTCAGCTTCTTTACTCTTTTAACTCTTAACTAATTTTCTATTTTCCACCAATTCATCATGAAGGGTATGTCTCTAGTCAAGCCTTTCCCTTCTCCCGCTAACCTTCTACAGCTCTCATTCTTGTCGGCGGTTTTGGTACCCGTCTGCGTCCTTTGGTAAGTCACCTCCCTATATGGACCCTGGTTATAATTGTATGTTATATGCTTGGCAATGCTAATACTCCAATTATAGACTCTCACCCTTCCTAAGCCCCTGGTGGAGTTCGGAAACCGGCCTATGATCCTACACCAAGTCGAGAGCTTGGCCGCTGCAGGTGTCACCGATATCGTTCTCGCCGTCAACTACCGCCCAGATGTCATGGTCGCAGCCTTGAAGAAGTACGAGGAGCAATATGGAGTCAACATTGAGTTCTCTGTCGAGTCTGAACCGCTAGGCACGGCTGGCCCGCTCAAGCTGGCGGAGAAGATCCTGGGCAAGGACGACTCGCCCTTCTTCGTATTGAACTCGGACGTCATTTGCGATTACCCCTTCAAAGAGCTCGCCGAGTTCCACCAGAAGCACGGAGATGAGGGTACCATCGTCGTCACCAAAGTGGACGAGCCCTCCAAGTACGGTGTCGTTGTTCACAAGCCCAACCACGCCTCGCGCATCGATCGCTTCGTCGAGAAACCCGTCGAATTCGTTGGCAATCGCATCAACGCCGGTATATACATTCTGAACCCCAGTGTTCTCAAGCGGATTGACCTCCGCCCGACATCTATCGAGCAGGAGACCTTCCCCGCCATCTGCAAGGAGGGCCAGCTCCACTCATTCGATCTTGAGGGCTTCTGGATGGACGTCGGCCAGCCCAAGGATTTCCTCACCGGTACTTGTTTGTACCTGACCTCTCTCGCCAAGCGCAACCCCAAGCTCCTTGTCCCCCACACAGAGCCCTACGTGTACGGTGGCAATGTCATGGTTGATCCCTCCGCTAAGATCGGCAAGAACTGCCGCATTGGCCCCAACGTGGTGATCGGTCCCAACGTTGTCGTGGGCGATGGTGTCCGTCTTCAGCGTTGCGTCGTGATGGAGAACTGCAAGGTCAAGGATCACGCTTGGATCAAGTCTACGATTGTTGGCTGGAACAGCTCTGTTGGCCGCTGGGCGCGTCTGGAGAACGTTACTGTACTCGGAGACGATGTGACCATTGCCGACGAGGTATATGTCAACGGTGGCTCCATCCTGCCCCACAAGAGCATCAAGCAGAATATTGATGGTAAGTTGTCTGTTTCTATGAAACTCCACAACTCTTTCGCTAATATCGATATGCAGTTCCCGCGATCATCATGTAAACTTGCCTCTTTCCCCCATCTCCCCTCTACCCCCTTACCCTCCTCCTTCACGTCGCTATGCCCTTCGAAATACTTCTCTTCACCTCTTTCGCCGATACCACCCTCCATTCCGCCTTCCTTGATGCATAGAACCGGAGTCGTTTACTATCTTATCTTCCCTCCCGTGCCGGCCTACCTTTCTTCCATGACGGTTCAACTCGCCCTCTATCCTTCTATTCGTCTTCCGATGATCGATACTCAGAAACCTCGATGGTGAAAGCGTGCGATTTCGGCTGTTTTGCAAGAAATTACCCATTTTAGTCTTGTTTTTCTACGTTTCTTCTGCTTGAAGTTATCCTCGTTTTAGTACTACATATTGAGGGTCTCGAAACTACATCCTCCCTTGCGTTTTGGCCGCCTGTTTTCCTTCCAATCTTTCTTCTTTTTTGATCGCTGCTGGTATTCTGGCCGATGGGGCATCATGCCATATCCGTTTTAATGAGAACATTGGCGTGGGTCGGGTTCTGTTGATGTAAATAATGGGTGGCGGAATCAATACAAAAGATACAAGATTCAATAGCTTTGGTCGAGCTACAGACCTTCAGATTGGTGTGAGCCTTGAACATCCACGAGAGGTACAGATTGTACTGAAGGCGAACTTCCTGAGCAGCGTCGGGGTGTAAGAAATATCACTGAGCAAAGGCAGGAATACCATCTAAAGGGTCCATCATGTTCTACACAGCACGCTGAAGCTGGGACAGCTACAGCCTTTCAGCTTCACTTTGGCGTTCATCTCCGTTCCTCCCCAATAGAGGTATACGCCATAGCGAAGTTGAGCTGCCGAATACCCCCTACTGTGTTACTTCTGCCGTTTACCCCATCTTTTCACTCTCACTTTTGCACTATGTTCATTCCCACGGTAGTACTTCTCGGCCAGTGGCTTCCTGCCGCGCGCTGCTTCCGTCTCTCTGTGTCCATTGACTACATGATCATAGTCTCAGCTGTAATGGGTACCATGGACGCTTTCGGTACTGCATGAGCCGTGCAGCCCCTATGCTTTCTCTGACACGCCTGATACGCACCATCCATCAAAAGCAGCTCATATACGATCCTTCTTCAGCCCTTCACGGACGATAGTGATGATACTCTCAAATTCCTTGATGCCAATTCACAGAGAGTACACAGTAAGGGAAATTCCATGCCCATTCTCCTTGCTCCCTTACTTTGTGTGAATTTGCATCAGAGAATTTGAGAGCATCACCACTATCCTCCGAGGCGACACTTGTATTAGATATCCATCGGTTCCTCTTCATATCCTCCCTTGATGACACCGCACACAAACTCTCCTCTCACGATAAACCGCATACCCAGTCAGTTCAACGCGTCATCGTGGCCCTGGCACCATCTCTACGAGCAAGAACATCAGCCTGTCGATCCGGGACATCACCCAGGCATATGTCCAGTCAACAACTTCGTTGAACCGACTGATCCTGGGTGATGTCCCGGATCGACAGGCTGATGTTCTTTGCTCGTAGAGATGGCGCCAGGGCCACGATGACGCGTTGGCTAGCTCGCTGGATCGTCGGGGACTGGGTGAGAATCATGCTTTTGCCTTCGTCATTGTAGGCCTGGATGACTAGTCGTGACTTCTCAAAAGGTGTACCTGTAGCCTTGCCCTTGATCTCATTGACCAGCCGTGAGTTGAAGATGCGTACTCCAGCATGCTTGTTTGGGTCATATTGTACGAAATCGAACACGCCCTTGGCGATCAAGGGCAAGGCTACAGGTACACCTTTTGAGAAGTCACGACTAGTCATCCAGGCCTACAATGACGAAGGCAAAAGCATGATTCGATCAGTGTTGGCGTCACCAGCTAGGTCCTGTGTACACAGATAATGCGTAGCGCAATAGTAGAAATGGATTCGATTGATATGATTGATGTCTGTCTAGAAGGAAGGTACCCCTGGATCCCAGTGAACACGGTGGTTCTTGGCAGTCACATGACCGGGTTCGTAGCTTGGCGCAGGAACGCGCCAGTAGACATAGATATGTCCCGACAGTTCTGCTTGCTTCATATCTGTCACTAGCCAGGTGGCATAGGTTTGCAACTCAGATAAGAAGAGAACACCTAAGATCTGGGGGGTATTTGGATGATCATGGCGTGGCAGGTCTACATCATCATCATCCACTTGTCTTCTGTTTTCTTTCCACCTTTCATACCAGTCACGATAAAGCACACCCTTAAGAGCGAATGAGAAGGGGTTAAATGTTAAAAAATGGAGTAAAAGTGGAGCGGGAGCGCCCAAGGTAAACTGCGAATATACAGAGTTGAGTGTACGGAGCAATAGGTACTGTGTAGTTAGATGAGGATTTCAATCAGTCTCCGCAATTCCAGCATTCATATCTCTTATTAGGTATTAAATGTATTGGTTGTGGCTCTGGCGCATGTATCCTCCGTATGTATGCAGTCGTTGAAGCTATCTCGCTTCGTATCAACAAGCAGCAGGGAATTAGAAAGATAATAGAGACGACCATATGCGTCTTGTGTATCTTCAGATCATTTGGAACGAGCTTCAGCTTGATCCAAGATCTCATCCCATTGAATCCTCAACTCCTCCATCCTCTTCCAGCACTGGCGTCCAAGCTCCTCGAACTCTTCTCTCTTTTCCTTGGTGAGATCCTCCGCACCTCGCTTACGGCGTCGAAGCCGATCCGCCTCGACAACCGGCGTCCCAACAACGCCTCCATGACCCCAACCGTCAACCTCAGTAGAAACCACGCTCTCAACCCCATTGCGCCCACAAGACGACCCCCATTTCGCTCGACCACCGCCAGCCTTGCGATACGGTTCTTCGGCAGCCTCAAGATCAGCCTGCGAAGCCAGCGCAAGGAACACTGGTGCACAAGCACCAATGTAGGTAGACAACCCATGCCACGGCGACCCAAGCATCCTAGCAATCCAAAACGATGCAATCATCGCCCAGGCCAGCGGCGTAATAAGCGGGATAATAGACGTAGCACAAATACCAGGGTGAGAAAGATACGTGCGCGGAGTCGCAGCAGGTGCATCCACATGAATAGCATGTGTATCCAACTCCGTCTCCGACTGCAAGAAGCTGTCAACAGCCCAAGGCGCCGTACTGGGCAGATTAGAAGTCAACGCCAAGACATCCGTCAGAGCCTTAGAAGACTCGTAGGGCGCACTAGTGCGCAAACCCTGAATATCATCGACATCGAAGAACTTGCACGTTGCTTCAAGGCTGGAAACCCAGACCACGCGCCCTGGGCCATTCGTGCGCGCGCGCTTCAGCAGCGGCGCGACGTTGTGCGCGAGCATGTAGTGGCCGAAGACATTTGCGCAGAAGACCGCGCCTAGTGGCGGCTCGGATTCTGTGGAGGTTTGTTTGCCGGTTAGAACGCCCGTTGGCGCGAGCTTGTAGGCAGGCCAGGTTACGGCGTGCAGCAGGTCGGTGCAGACGTCCCAGATGGCTTGGGGCCAGTTGATGCCTGACCAGCCGCCTATTCCGGCGTTGAGGACTATGGCGTCGAGGCGCGGGAGGGTGTGGATGAGTTTGCGGGAGAGGGCGCGGACTGAGCGTAGGTCGCCGAGGTCGACGCTTTCGGGGACGAAGTGTACGCGTGCTGCGGCGGATGCGGAGGGGGCGTTTGATTTTAGGTAGGATTCTAGTCTGCGGGTGGTTTCCTGGGCTTTGCGCGCGCTTCGCGTGGTGAATAGTATGGTGAGGGATTCGGTTGCTGGGTGGTTGGAGAGGAATTCGTCGGCGAGGCGGCAGCAGATAGAGAATCCGAGGCCGCTGTAGAGGTTTAAGACTTAGTATGAATTGGGCCGTTTGTAAATTGGAGAGCACTCGTACCTATTTGCGCCTGTCACCAAGATGTGAAGCATGTTTTGATCTCCACTAGCAGATTCGGTCTGATCCATTGTTGCTATGAGTTTGTTGACTCGGCACCTTTTTCGATATCGGAGATAGGGGTATGTGATAGAATTGTGCACCAATTGAAGCCGTTCGAAGCTGGTGAGGTAGATACTTGACGCTGCAGAAAATGATAGCAGGACAGAACGCTCCACTGAAATCAAAAGGGTCCTTGAGCGACCACAGACTAGTTGTTGTTGAACTTGCGGAACTGGAAATTGTCACGATACGGATCACGTGGCTACCCCAATTCTTATCCTTATCAGGCAGATGTCGTTCCCCGTCATACTCGCTCCTTGCGCTCCATGGCCGAGAACTACTAATTTCCGAATGCCGTGCAGTCGGCACATGGGAAGTCATGGCAGGAAGACTTGAGCGATTCCTCAACACGACTGGATTTACCTTTTTCGCTCTCATACTCCTCGCCCTCATCGGCCTCACCCCAGTTGACGCTGTCTACCAATGCTACGAAACGCGTCGACTCACCAACATCTTCTTCATCATCGGCGCATATGTCATAACCTTCATAATTGCCGCCCTCATCTATGCGACACGCATCTACACCAATCGGAGTACTCTCTCAGGCATACCGAAGGCCTGGATTCCCGTGGAAAAGGAAGATGTGAGCAAGAGCGTTCGACGCCTAGTGAAAGAGGGCCTCGCCCACAGTGCTATTATCGCATACCAAGCCCGTCCGCGCGATGTCTCTACCGACGAGGACAACTTCCAGCACTACAAACCGCTTCTCATTGACCGAGAACGACCACCCTGGGGCCATATCGAGCACTGCGGCTGGTCTTCGCCTACGTCACCAGACCTGCCGAATCTTCCCTATCGCACGGTCATCCAGGAGCTCCCTAGCTTGATCGAGGCGAAAGCTGTCTCCCTCGCCCCTGCTGATTCATTTGCGCCTCCAGACCCCTTCGGTTCGCCAGGCGATTACACAACGCCCTCCCTCCCGGATACACGCGTGGTGGAAGTACTACAACGACCGGCTTCAATGGGTCTGAGAGAGTACATCCGACATCTGACGTCTCTTGGGGCTATCTATCCGCCAGAATTAGGCGCTGACTTTCTCGCGCTATACGAACGAGCCCGGTTCTCGCGTCACAGTCTACACGAAACAGAGTTCCGTGAGCTCATGCATCTCTTCGCGGAGATCCTCAGAGGAATGACGAGCCTTGCGCCGCCAGTCCTGGAGGAGATTCGTGACAGCGCAAGCTACCGACGAGCCTACAGCCAGTCCGCTATTGGAAATACTGACGAAGAGGGATATACTACAGATACTGTGGAACATTATGGTTACGATGGGGCTTTGGAGCCCATGCGCAGTGACAGCATTCGCCCATCGAATTCGTCTACTTGGGACAGCCAGTCAGGGTATGACACTGCACCGTCAATACAGAGGCCTGTCTCGGAACTGTCAGCGGGCTTCAGCTCATATGCTCCACGAAGTCCTCGAACGCCTTCTATAAGGTCTCTGCGACGCGTGGCATCTGGCCAATCTGGCGCCTCGGGAGGAAGTGTTATTCGTTTGACGCAGCCGCAGGATCCGACAGAGCTGCCGTACACAATTGACTACGCTGGACGTAGGCAGTGAAGTCCCCTAGTCCCATTTTGAACGTGTATAATAGTCATTAATAGAGTAACGTCACTCGGACATTGAATTACGTGCAACGTTAGTGAAAGTGGGCGGGGGGCTGATAATTAGTCAGGGCGGAAACATTCCATTTTCTTGGCAAACTGTGAAAAAGATTGATAAGATCGATACCAAGTAACTACTGTTGACGTCCTGTCATAAGACCAAAAAAGCTGAACAGTAGATTCCTACCTTTCTCACGTGGAAGAACCAATATTTTACCTACTATCATGCATCTCTTCCGCAGGGGCACTGCCTCCCTATTCAACTCCCGCGACTCCTCCATCTCTTCGTCCAGAACCGACATCACCACCGATGCAGTCGGCGACAATGCGCTCGCCCCCGAAGGATTCCGAACAATCCCTTCAAGCGATAAGCTTTTCGCAAATGCCGATCCAGCCGTAGACGGTGAGGACTGCCTGCACGACTGCGCAACGTGCACAGTCAAATACCCCGCCAAGTTCGACATCGACCTCGAAGACGAATTATACGGACAGGTCAATGGCTGGTCGACACACATGCTCGTCGCCACAGGCAAATCAGACTGGGTGCGGGACGTAGCAGACGAGGAAGGCAGCGTCATGGAGGCGATTGAGAAGGGCGGGCTAGAGCCCAGCAACGGGGTATGACAATTTGTCTTGGAGATAGAGCATCCACCTCCAGTGCGCAGAGCTAACAATCTCCATTTCCTAGCGCCTCAAACTCTCAGCATCGAACATGCCCGTCCCAGACGAATACCACACAGCCGAAACAGGCAAGCAGCCGACAAACGTCCTCCTCCTCCCCAGCTTCACGGTAGTCGAGAACGTCACGCCACAGCTAGTCCTCGACCTAATCCAGAATTTCATCAACAAGTCCTTGACAACGACCACGCCCTTAGGCGCCGCACCATCCCTACCAGATCAGGCGACACAGTCACAAACTGACCTCCCCCACCCATCCAAAACCTCCCTCCCAACATCCCTCACCTCCCACCCATGCCCACACGCAGCCGTCATTCTCCTCTGCTCACAGCGCACGCGCGACGCTCGCTGCGGACAATCTGCACCGCTGCTGCGCCGCGAATTCGAGCGCCACCTGCGGCCGCTCGGTCTATACCGCGATATGGATGATCAGCGACCCGGCGGCGTGGGTATCTACTTCATTAGCCATGTTGGGGGACACAAGTATTCTGCCAACGTGATTGTGTATCGTCGTCGGGACTTTGATTGGTACAAGCGAGGGCAGGGGGAGGAGGTTAGGGATGAGGGTGCTGCGCAGGGGATTTGGTTGGCAAGAGTGCGACCGGAGGAGTGTGAGAATATTATTCGGTACACTGTGCTGCAGGGGAAAGTGCTTAAGCCTGGGAAGCAGTTAAGGGCTGGATTTGATCGCGAGCGTGGGTTGACGAGTTGGTGAGTTTGAGTTGGGTTGGTTGGAGTTGCGCAGTGAGGTATTCACTCTGTAGGTAGTGTTGGGTTGTTTATATTTTGTATGAGAGTTCTATATACATTTCATACTCTGTGGGTATTCTGTCGGTCCTGTTATGGTTGGGTTGGTAGTGGCTGGTTTAGAAAATGTAAAGCCACCTTGTCTATTCCCAATTAGGGCAATTCATAGAGAGCCTCAAAGTAGTCGTGGCATATCCAACGTAGCTGCATCAATACCTAACTAACCCAGTGACCAATATCCCTCCCAAACAGAACGGCGGAAGTACAGGTACACATACCACCTAGTTACGAGAACAAGGATAAAGTGCTGAAAGGCTTATAAACGCAGCCGACGTCGTACACCCGAATACCCCTTAACTATCGCGGGTGCCACCGTTAAGACGAATGACGTACATCGTACAGAGGCTGACTCGTATGTTGTGTTTGTGTTTTGATGTTGTACTGCGTATACAGTATGCTGTATGTTCGATTTGCCTGTACAGGATAGCCGGTCTTAGGTAGAATCGAGGCCTCCCGAGGTCTCGTTTAGTATTGCTGCATGGGGGTTAAAGGGCTTGGCTGTTTTGGCCTAGGGCATCGGGATACTTTATTTGGAAAGTATGTAGTCACGAGTACACACAGTAACTATATAGTTGGATGGCTTTCTTGACTAATTGGTATTCGGACTCTTTAGTTTGTGTTTGGATATTTCATGTTGTGTATGTAGCTGGTACATTGCGATTTGATCTGTTCATGGGTGTGGCTGTACTACTCTAGTGGTATAGTGACTAGGATATAAGTGACAGAGGGAAAGGATGGTATAAGACTGAATGAGGATCACGTCTACTGGACTGTAGTCAACTGATGTATAACTACTCCGTACGGACCTCGGTTTCTCAGCGATCACCCGCACCTAACTAGCTCTTACTATTCCAGGCTCATTCTTGTTGTTTCCAGATGTTCTGGAATTGACATGGCAGTCATGGACCAGCACTGATGATGCTGATATCGACATTGTCGAGTCAAAATGAGAAAGTCTACCATCTCTCCACTTATTCTCCCCGAACCAGCACATCCACATCTCCATTCACAATTCATAATCTACACACAACCTCGCTCCAATAACCCGCAGATCACAATGTCCTTCAATGAAATCACTCGCAGCGATCTAGACCAAAGCTCCCCCCAAAGTGGATACAACACCGGGGTTTTTTACCTGGGGATTGGAGGATCAGTTTTCACTTGGTGACACTAGGCCCGGACACTCATGCAAAACAGTGGATATCCGGAGATTTCCAAGCCGAGTCTGGAAAGTATAGTTAGTGGAAATGATATCCTGAGCCAGGCACCAACACACAGATATTACAAGGGTTTGTTGTTAAGTGTGATCGATGATTTAGATCTACCATGTGGAGAGATAAGTCCAAGGGGGGGAAATTGAGAGTGGACATCTTATCTCCACTCAATCGCTAACCGAGCTGTAATTTTGTTTATATTTTTTCCTGTCAAAACGAAAATCAAAGTTTGGGTTCGGCCTGAGCCGCAACGTAGCCCTGGTTTCCATGGATTGGAACTCGAACCAGTTGTCATTGTCATTGCCCTTTGGGGTAACTGTTGTCGATCGCTTGGGAGTTGCCGTGGGTATTCTTCTATGGTTTTGTATTGTGGGGTTAGTTGGCTTGAAACGGGGACAACGCCGCGACCTCAGAATGATCCGAGATGCCTGCCCCATTTTCCACAAAGCTTGTTTCCCTTCTAATGTCTCTGAGTCGGGGAGGAGATCGGTCTAGCCGCAAAGAAAGGATAGTAAGCACTAAGCAGAGATAATGTCAGCATGTTCGGTACGGGATACTCGTGTATTAAAGAATGTTCGAAATGAACTGGGATGGTGCTCCACTTCACTTGCACTGACCAGTCCCGATGTAGACTATGCAGGTCTTGTCGATGGAGTCTCTGGGGACCACTTGAACCAGAAATGCCTTGACAGGTTACATTGTGTGGGGTTTCTCCTGGACCGCTCTCTACAGGCATTCTTTCCATTCACGGAATTATTTTGTATTCTTGGTCTATTTGATATCGAATCTTGGCTCTTAATTAATCTTCATATCTCTATAGTTACAAACATCCAGACCATGACAATACACAGTACATACTTCATCTCCCGGGATCCCAGTGGGCCCCGGGAACGGTCCAGTAGCGCCCTCCGCACTTACAAGTGCATACGCAGTACAATACGAATACAATACAATACCAACAAGCTCCCGTGTTCCCCGAAGCTCCCGACAGGCCCAAGCTCCTTCCAAATCCCACGCTGGTTTGAGTCAAAGAAACATCTTCACTCTTCATGCGGATCATTCGATAGATACTTTTCCTCGTAGTGTGACTTAGAATACATACTATGTAGTTCTAACATGAGAAAAAGATGAGCAATATACAACGATCTCACTCGAATTGCATACCCGATTGGGATTCTAGGTCCCACATGATGGGCCACAATCTATCACCCTAATTCTACAACATCCCCGGCTCCAACGTTAGCAAAGAGTACATAAAAACACTCTAATTCTCCACCCCCGCGCCAACACCGGCTATACTTCGTACACCCCAGGCGTCTAAGACACGATGTCTAGTTTGTTTTTATCACGACCTCGCCATGCTTAGTGTCGTCATTGTTCTAACTAGCACTAAAGACTAGTTCACGTTCTAGTTTCAAAATGCTCCGTCATCTAGACATGGATCATACATTAGTTCGAAGCTGAAAGCGCAAATCGCAATAGATCAACTAGGAACATTTCTCCGCTGGAATGCATTTCTAATCACGTTCTAATCACATCTTTAATCATCAAAGGAAACCTTCTGCGATCCACTCACAATTAACTCTTCCCTCTAATTTCCTCAAGATCGTCGCGGGTTCTCGGCTTCGGTCTCTGCCGCCGATCGCACACAGCTCCAGCCTCCATGAAGGGTTTAACCGATTTATCCCCAAGCGGAAAAAGCTACGTGGGGGAGCTTTCCAGCCTTGCGGGTTTGCCTTTTCCGTTCTTTATCCTATTTCCCTCTGTTCTCCGGTATGGAAATATAGCCAAGATCGCCACGACTCCAGGGGGCTTGGGTTTGGGGGCTGAAAATATATCACTTCCCCCTCAGTGAGATCGAAGCTAATCTCATATCTCCGAGAAATGAGGATTTTGTAGGGGCTTACTCCGTACTTTCAATTCAGACGCCACTGATAGGAAATACGAGTTGGTGAGCAACGCGCAATCGAGTTGCCCAATCCCACCAGCTTTCTACTTCACCGCTCCCTGTTTTTCTACTATAGGTACTACCGTACTAGCTCTATATCGATATGGATACGCCAGCCGATATACGAGCTCGCACCGCCAAGCCGAGGGACCAATATGTGCCTCGTCTGTGCCAGCCGCCAGAAGCGATGAGATACTTTCTAGCCAAGATCAATGCCGCGACGTCAATTGATCTCGTATGGGCGGCTCGACACCCAGGATCCCGGTCGCAGGCGCCACATTGTGAGTTGCACCAGCCATTGGACAGCGATGCGAATAGGATCAAGTCTTGATTAAGAGGGGTATCTCGAAATTGCAAGTGAGATTGGCCAGAACAGACGATTAGATTATCCCCGTTTTCCATATTCTATAGACGGCATTGTGGCATGCCGCATATACACCGTTTGGCGCTTTTTGTGACTTGCATGCGGGGGAGGAGCCCCCGTTTTGCATCTCCCGCTCCTTATTTTCAACCAAGATATGCACATGAGGATCTCATTTCTGCACTCGTGACTCTAGGTAGGTCTAGTCTATTGCATACTGTGATATCGCTAAGGGACATTCCCAGTGCACTGGACTGGAATAGCTGTGCCGTTAGCCTGGGTCTTTCTTCGAGCGCTAGTTAAGTTAACTTATCCTCTTGTTCAAGAGTTTTAAGATGATCAAAATTCGAGAATACCAAGAGTTTCCTCTTTTTGAGCGGGGATCTACCGGCCCTTCATATTCCATCCGCGGCGGGCCAGACTCTCCACACTTTGATACCCCTATCTGGGTCTTTGAGAGGTCGGGAGTAAGTCCAGACTCTTGACTTCAGGTACGGATAGAAATGGATCATTCGAGGGTGGGAGGAAAGAAAACATCGGTAGTTATTCACCTTTTCACAGTGTAAAATTGAAGATCCAAACCAAATCAATCAGGCACAATCTCAGATCAGAGATCAACTAAGTGCATCGGAAATGGTCTCCGCTTCTAGTTCAATGTAACAACCCTCACCCCTTCTGCACGCAAAAACCGGTTCTGGGCTGCAGTTCTAGTTCCAGATGGTTACAATAGTTGACAGGGGGCCTGGAAAAGTGCATAATCTGGTCTTCTATGTATCTCTTGGGATTGCATGGATTTCATGGATTTCATGGAATTGACTAAATAATCAGAAAGCAAGCACCTAAATCCTGAGGAACTCTCCCCGGCTTTCTTTAAAGTAAAGAGCATAGAGCAAACTTACACAATACGCAACACAGTACAGTACACAGTCGACTGTGTACAATAATTGTCCAGACGCGGTGTCTCACAAAGTTATCGCGGGGATATCGGAGATATCGGCGCGAGAAGGCGAAATAGATGCGAAAGAGACAATCCTTCCCCTTGATTGACTGGGGTCGAACGGCTTTACTTCTTACATTTGACGAAGGGGAATGAGAAGAGAGAGCTCGTAATTAAACGAAAACGAGAGACCCATCTGCGCCTTTGTTAGCGAGACAGGGCAGACCCCTGGACTTTGTCTTGGTACGTTGTCTTGGTAGTCTTGGCTGGGAAAAATGGGCTGCGCGTATCGAGAAGTATATCGACTGTGTGGAGTAGGGAGAAGTGAGACGGGAACAATCAGTAATTGAAGGAAAATAATCAATCAATGATGGAAATAAATAAAAATAAAACGCCACGAGCCATGCCATGTGTTTTATCTAGTGGCATTCTCCTAGAGGAGTAGAAGTGATGCCCAGAGAAAGTGTACATCGTAAGATGTCAATCCAGGCGAGAATGGAATAGATTCTAAGAGGCCAATGGGAGTGAAGTTTCCATCGCAGTAATATTCCTGAGAAACACTAGCGTGAAAAGGAAAAGGAGACAAGTGGGATATCTCGTAACATCGTGGGCATTATCGGAACTGAAACAGCAAGTCTTGGTGAAAAAATAGACGATCCAACCCAGAGCGAATATAATCGATAAATTCAGCAAATAAATAGGGAAAAAAAGGGAAAAACATATTCATATCCCACGTTCAGGTATCACACAAAGATCGCCAATGAGAGAAACGCCGGTTGCCTCCGTTTAAAATGACAAGATATGGAAAGAAATAGCATAACATGGCAAGCAAGAGAGGGGAATCCTTAATGAGAGCGCCCAGCGACCTGAAATGGAGCAAGATAGACCCTTGGAAACAAATAAACAAATAATACGCGACATGCCTGAGCTGCAATCGCAAGATGCGCATCCAAGGGAAAAAAAAACAGACGGTCGTAAACGGGCATCAAAACGAGTCACTCGATCTCTATGCGCGATCTTCTCTTAACCTACTCCCAAAAAGCCCCAGTCAGTCCCCTCTGCTTGATTCAGGAGCCGGGAGCCTGGGGGTTTGTACGCATAGTTTGGATGATATGATACCATCATCGGCTGATCGGGCGGCATTTGGTGGCCTTGAAAGGGCGGGTGTGAATATTGCTCGGGGAGGTAGTTTGTGCGTGGGCTCGTGTCGTAGCGCATCATCTGTATATATTGTTGTTGCTGTTGCTGTTGCTGCTGCTGCTGCTGCGGATGTTGATGCGCATGATGTTGCGGGTGTGGCTGATGTGCCATAGGCATCGGAGAAGACACCGGTACATTCTGCGACACGATCGGAGGCGCATTTTCGTGAACTGGCACCGAGCCCATCGGCGCACTCTGCGGCGAGTAAAACTCATGACTGGGGGTCGCCGATTGCGGGTAATAAGGTTGCTGCGCAAGCATGTACTGCTCATTCGGGCTGGAGACTGATACGGGCGTTTGGTGGTAAGAGTGCTCCGAGGTCGTGTCTTCTGACGATGGTCGGGTCATGCTGCCTGGAGGGTGCGAGCGATGTTGGTGTTTGGTGAGAGTGGTCTTGCGACAGAAACTACAGTTTCAACAAGAAAATTAGACAGGTTCGACGCTTCCTACTTCACCACAATACTTACCTCCGTTCGCAGGTCGGCTCGTGGCATATGTAAGGCCGCTTTCCCGTGTGGATTCGGCGATGGCGGGCTAGACTCGACGACTGTGGGAGATATTAGTGGCTGCGCAAATGGTGTCGCATATTTCGAAGTCCCTTACATCGGAGAATGCCTTCTGGCAGCCTTCATGGTCACAGACATGTGGCTTTTCGCCCGTGTGAGTCCTTGAGTGTACGGTCAAGGCACTGCGCTGGATAAAGCTCTTGTTGCAGTCCTTTACAGTACAATGGTACGGCCGCTCATTGGTGTGGATGCGATAATGGCGACAAAGATCTGATTTACGATTGAAGGACTGTTGCAACATATGTCAGAAGGAAAGCCCGGTTGAAATTGGGAGGGAAGCTAAAGCGCTCACCTTTCCACAGTGCTCCCATGAGCAGTTGAAATCGCGTCCGCTGCCTGGAGCCATAGTTTCGCAAAGCTACACGAAACCTTCCCGAATAATAGGGAAAAAATAGCGACTCGGGGGAGACGTAAAAAGGAAAGATCAAGGAAGAGATGCAAGTCCAGAGGACAAACAAAGGGGGAAAGAGGGGGCGAAAGACCGTAAACGCATCCAGACAATAATAGAGGTGTGATAAGTCCGGGATGGGAGGAAAATTAGATCCTGGTCAGGCTGAATGAGTAGCCGGGGGATGATGAGATCTCAGGACATAATATAAAGAGGGGAAAAGATAGAGGAATGATGAGGAGGGGAAAGAGAGAGACGATATACGATAAAGACCAGAAAGAAGAGGGGGGAGCCTCAAGTATATCTGGAGATTTAGAAGGAACACTGAGAAGGGAAAAAAAACGGCGCGATGGCACCGAAGAGCAAATTTATTTTATTTGATTTATTCATTTATTATTCCGTTTTAAGTGGATTATTTTTATATTTATTTGGTACCAGGTACGAGGCTCATTGTACATCTAAATACTTAGCTGCCTACAACAGATTGATCGAGGCGAAAAGAGCCTCTTGGAAAATTGGAATCAAATGATTTGCCTTCACCTTGCTAGGGTTTGCAATTCCCTTGGAACTCCAGCTTTTCCCAGCTTTTCAAGTTATACAAAAGAAAGTGTCTCAATTGCGACTTATTCCCCCAGGGAAGATACCTATGGTCGACAAATACAGTGTACCACCATCGGAAACCCGTGTAATACCTCCCAAGGTAATTTAAATTGACCTTCATTTGCGACGAGCTAGGTAAGATTGAAACCAACTCTTATAAAGATCGAAAGAGATTACGATAGGCCATGAAATGAAAAAGACCAACCCCCACATTACACTACCAGATGACTCCACCGCCCGAATGACAAGACATGCTAGACTGGACCGGGCATGGATTGATACGGTCATAGATTACCGTGTAAAAACAGTCCAATAAAGTTCCTTTGGTTTTTGATTAAACCAGTCCCGGCCTTGTGGATAACGGGGGGACCACTCGTATCCTCCCGATGTCCGTGGAGTAACTCCGTACCTACTCCGTATATAGTAGGAGACAGGATAGACGATTTCCGGTGAGCCAGAACGGGTACAATGGCATGTAGAAAGAGTATTCTGTCGTTAGGAAAAGAGATCGCCTGGTTGCATGTCTGTAGTAGAGCTATGATATCATTAATCTCCCCTCTCGCAGAGCCATTCACGGGGGCTCGGAAAACCAGCCATTCAACGACTCTGAAACTACCACCAGTCAAAGCCAAGACTACTTAGCCGCGACCGAGCATGTCCGATCTACTGCGTATTAGTGGATTCAAGGTGAGATTGAGAGGGTCGCTAACGCTAAAAACGATCTTCTCCGGGAAGATGACGGATTGGCAGTGAACTAAGTAAAAACACGAGTCTGTATATTTTGTATTGTAATTTCCTTATTTATTTTTCAAACCCCGTTGAGACTCCGCTGTCCCCGCAAATCAGGTAAATAGTAAATAAATCAGAAAAAGTCAAATACAAACCTTAGAAGAGAAAGAGGAAAGGCGACATAAGTAGATTCTGCCGTCGAAGTAGAACCGTGAGCAGATAGAGGAATAGCTGTAAGGGATGGGCTTATGACGCGGCATCTGCAATGGCGATTAGCTGGCCCGAACCCGAAAGATGAGGTACTGGTCCATCACACGTTCTCATTCTTTTCTCTACGATATCTTGTAATTCAATTCTCATTCAAGTCCACGGGAACGGCTTGTCCACCCCGAGCAGCCCCAAGGCTCCGGAGTCGTAAGCTTGGTTCCCGTCTTTCCCGGCGAGGTATGTTAGACATATGGATTGTTGTCGAGACAGGAGACGCATATACCATGTACGTTAAATGGTATTACTGGGTAAAATGGTATCAAAGAGGCTGATACACTGGCATGCCGATATACAGCATATAAACCCAGGAACATCGTGTACATGTACAGCAACCCGGGACTGTTATCCGCGGACCAGATCGACATCCTTATGTTTCGAACAGGGGGGCAAAGCCCAGACTATTTTCCCAACCTCTCAGGCTCTCCCTCTCCAATTCTATCTCAAGCAACCAAATCAGGCCGAGAAAAACCAAAATAGAAAGAAAGAACCCGGTGGCAAAACTCGCTTGGCTAGAAGATTGGAAGAATATTCGTTGTGTAGGTTTAATTCATCACAAGGTCTTCGGATACCCTCGGTTGGCCGAGGGAAGTACACAGTAGGCAAGCTTCGGATCTTTGTGCACAGTGTAGCCACCACATATGCCAAGCTGGTTAAATATCCCATATCAGAGGGGCTGAAACACAGTAATAGAAATTGGGGCTCTTTTCTTTTACTTCTTTGGTTTTTAATCCGTCTTTTCTAAGTGGCATGGTCCTGAACGTGGCAGCCCACTCAGGGCCATCTCACCAGCGACGATCGTTGGATTTCACAACCTTATTGTGCGGTAGATATGGAGTTATGGACGCCACAAGAAGCATAAGGCAAAAAGGAATAACTAAAGTGGATCTGAACGATAGACACCTTTTGTGGCTTTGCTTTTTTTATTTGCTCACTTCGCTTTTCGTGATCGACAAGCCATCTTCTCATGTCACAAAGCCCTTGCCCAATCGTTGATTGTTGATCTTTTGGACACTGCCACATCTCAACTTTGATAGATGGGGGAGTATATTCCGTTGTAAGAGATCGATCTCTCGGCATGTGTGATGATGTACGCGGTGTGCGAGGCAGAAGCATGTGCGGGTTCTAGGATCCATACAGATGCACTCTTGGGAGCTATGCGCAGGACATTTCAGCCGTTGAGGTAATCGAGCATAATCTGCGAGCGATAGACCCGAATGCGGAATGGGAATCATCGGGAGTATTTGTCCTGTGTTTCTGATTGATTGTAACACAAATGGAGGTTACTGTATATTGTTTCTGTACTGCGTATGTGTTGAGTCTAACTCACCATCTCAAAAAAGGGACCGTAGGTCCAGATTGGTAAAAACAGTCGAGTCGACATTTCGAAACCTTGGGCTGATGTTCCATCAATGAAGAGCAGCCGATCCCGCCGCCGAGCAGCCTTCAGGCGATAAATTGCGAGGAGCTCCCGCGTGGGCCTAGATACACGCTAGAACGATACTCGGAGCTATGTGGAATGTGTTGCCTGATTGCATCCATACGTAGATTATAGTATGAATACTGCTCTCTTTAGCACACAAACACATATGAATATGAGTCACTATGAATAATTACAGCTTCATAATTAGTATGAGCACAGTCACAGGGATAAGCCAGGAAAGCGTAGAAGGGAAATCCGAAAATCGGAATGCTTTCGGCTAAGGGAAATATCACGAGTTGCGAAGCAATCGAGGGGTGATTCGTGTTATCCAGACCACTGGTATTGCACCATCCAATAGGAGAAATACGTTGTAAAAGCCATCGAAGCACATGTAGCCAAGAGCGTTTTCACGTTGAAGCAATATTGTACATACAATGGCTTTCGGGATAGAGTTGGCGATCTTCCTTTTCCTCGGATCGGAAGCTCTGACTACCCCGCATTCTTTGAAATGACGTTGGTTTTGGTTATTTATGGTATTTAAATACGAGAAATTGCTGACAAATGTCTAAGTCAGCCCTGGAGATTGCATGAGTTTGCTGAGTTTGCACCAATTGGTAAATTGGTAAACATCAGTCACGTTTACGGAGTACTGTGTAGACAATCTCCAACATACTACTAAACTAATGCTCACTTACATCATTTCCAACCCACGACCAATAGTATAATAGTATTCCAGTTACTCTGTTAAGACTGTTATCACGTACAACCTATCAAACACCAAAAACATCTCACACCAACCAGCCACTGAGCCACCACCACCAAATTAATCTCCGAAGCGCGCATGGCGAGCCACAAATGCGACTCGAAGGCGCACTTTCAAACATTAAGACAAGAAATCAAGGAATACATAGTCTTGGACTCCCCTCTGTCGACCCCAACCAATCCAATGCATCTCAGACATGATCACCTCCTTCATGACTGGGATGTACTTCTGAGAACAGCGAAGGGTAGAACCGACGATCCTCGATCATCCTCTAAGGAATCGTGAATGAAATCGTCGACCATACTCATCTTCGTGGTTTGAAGTCGTCGTGAATGAAGTCAATGAAATTGTCGGTCAATACGGAATACTCGGCATCTGCTCTCTCTCAACTAGTGTCCGGGATTTGAACCAAAGTGGATGGAGAATCTAATCCGCCCCTTGCAGCGATAGAGCCGTTGGAGCACTACTCCAACTGCTTTCAGTCATCCAACGGCGCGAGATAGAGAGACAGGGACGGGGTTGGGATCATTCATGTTTCAAACTTAGCCACAAGGCCCCCTAGGTAGGTAACTAACAAGGTTGGTTTTATTTTCTCATTCCCTAGGGCGCAGGTAGACCGGGAATCTCTTGCCCGCCACGGAGTCCATCTCCGAAGTGCCAGGATTAGTATTCACAATGTATCCATTACTATCACGGATATGTCGGCGAAGACGATACAGGCCAAACAAATGAAAAGAAAGCAAAACTGGAAAAGAGTGGCAAAGAGGGTGAAAATCTCTCATCGCAACACGGGATTAATTGGCTTCTCCATTCTGTACAATCGCCGTCCAGGGTGACTTCCACATAAGCCCCTGGTGGAGGCCCAGTGGAGGTCCAGAACCGAACCGAACGAGCCCTAAGACGGGGGGTTTTAAATAGCAGCTGATGGGTAGTAATCGGCTTGCCTTATTTCTTTCACCGTTGCATCCACATGTCCTTGCCAAGTCATGGGTAATGAATGTAACTACATGTCTTTTCTTCACGGGAGAAGGCACCTTAGTTACTTCTGCCGTAGTGGGGGAGAACGTCGCGTGGGAAAGATGGGCTTGGCTTTCGTGATAGCCCATGCAGGAAACCGGGCTGGCCATCGGGTACGCATGCACGCCTTGCTGCAACTAGAGAGGGGGATGGTGGACTGTGTACTCCGTACATGTGGTAGCGTGGCTTTTGGATATGGTTCCAGGATATGTCGAGGGAGTCATGGTCTCCCTTGCTTTGGAGTGGGGGTGCTACCTATGTAGCGGATTTCCTCTGCCACTTCTTGGCTTTCCCCTTCCGTTTTAGTGCTCAGAGCTTGCCGCTTTTTGCTCACTGAGTAGAACTGAGCACGCCTCTAAGCGGCGGCGCGGCCTGACCTGATCAGGGAATAGTTACATAACTCCCTCTTACCTAAAAGAACATCTTGAGCGTAGTTAGTTAATAGGAGGCCTGCGAAGCCTAGCCACAAATGCGAATTGTCGTCTTCTTCACCAAAAGTACCTGAGAAGGACTCTAGCCGACTGGAAGAGGGACGTTTGGTGTGTTTTTGACCACTGAACAGCCTTGAAAAAACTGCTCTTTCTCGAGGTAACGGGGAAAAATGATTCGCAGGACCAAAAGGCCAAAGGAAGGAGCAACCTCGTTTCAGATCGCTATCCGCCCAGCATTCCCGCCAAACTACCTTTAGGAGGTCAACATCCAGAAGATCATACGTATTGGCGGTTGCTTCTATTAGCAAGAACATTATCAAGACGGGTGTAGAGAGGCGCACTCTTGGTAAGAACGTCGAGGAAGCGGACCAGGAGCTTCTTAAGATCTCCGTATCAATGGTTGATTCTCGGTGTCAAGATGTTTCGCCCGTTGCCTTCCTTGCTACTCCATCGGGCGTGACTGCTCCGTAGGAAGTTGCTTTGACGTGGACTTCTTGAATTTGGAATCGGGCGTTTCGTTGACATTCGTGGGTAGCAGTGAGAGACGGCTTACTGCAAGGAGGTCCTCAAGATTGGAGCTTCCGTCCGGGGCAAGCCCACCACAATCATCGAAATCTTTCAAGATTTTGTCGATAGTCTCCGCGCGGCCACTCATGTGCAGAAAGTTTCCGATACAAGCGTGAATTTTGAGAAGGGCGGGATCTGGAAGTTCCCAATTTCCTTTGTGGACTCTGAATCTGATAAGCCGATTGTGGGGTAGATTTTCTATCGCACCGGTGACGGCCTCTGGAAAGCTCTTGACACGATACTGGTTAGCAATCCCGGTCGCTTCAAAAATGACTCTAAATTGCCCGAATTCCTTGTGCAGCACCATGTCCAGCATTAGGACGTTCTTTTCCGAGTTGATTTCTTCGGAAGTAAAGGACAAGTGGCGAAGAACCGGAAAGTAGCGCCTGAGGTTGAGCCAAATCGTTGCATGTCTATGCACTGCCTCGCTGACATTTGATTGAAAGGATCCAAGTGCAAATGGAATGATATGGGCGGCTTCAAGATAAGCGGTGGGTGCGTTCTTTGGGTGGGCGTGACTGCCACTGTACCTCCCCGTTGCGACACATTTGTAACCATCTCTTTCTAAACAGTTGTGCCGGAGTCGTGACTGAGGGCTTCTAGTGATAGGTTCTATGCCCTCGCTCTTAAGATTCTCGATTGAATCTTCAATGCCAGGGCGTGGAGACGGTGTGATGTCACTGGGGGTTTTTCCGCCCTGTGCTTTCAAGGGGACCAGTAGACCAGTTTCGATACTTCGGACTAAATTCCGAAGCTGCTCATCGCCTGAGCACTCGAAAACGTCATTCGCGAGGTGTTCACGTCCCTCAGGAGATAGAACCTTGAAAAAATCACGCAGAAACTCCCTGGTCTTGTCCGTTGGGTTGACTTTGGCGTAACCATTCAGCTTTAGATCTAGCCTCTAGCTTGAATATGAGTCATTGACGACGACAGAAAAACCACTAGAAGACGAGGGAATTCATCGCCTTTGATGATGACGACATTCTGTCAACTACCCAAGTTAGGGCGAGCTTAGGGACAGTCTGGAGGGTCGTAAAAGCAAGCGCCTGTATTAACTGTGAGTCTGTGATACTGTAGTTGAGAAAGATGATGTACTGTAGAATGCTTGGGAGAGGTTGGATGGATAATGAAAGCTTGGGATTGGTCGAAGGAGGAAGTTCGGTGGGGGGCGGCGGGTCAGCCAAGCAAGTCACGTTTCACCGCCTTCTCTATCTAACTATTGCAGGGGAGAACTGCCAGAAGTGATGCCTCAGGCCTCATGCCTATGAAGGTGCAGTACGGGTGTATACAGTTCATCGCACCCCCCCAAAAAACTCGCCTCTTGGGCTGCTCAGTGATCCGGAGTCCGGACTGAAATCTACTCAGTGAGCCTGACTCTGAGCGCCCTCATAAAAGCGGCGGCAGCTTAGCTAGGAAAGAAAGCCCCACCCGGCAGAGGAAATCCGCTACATAGAGTGGCCTATGTACGTCTTCCTTGGTTTTGGGATGCGCGGTGCATGCTGTATGTATCTATGGTGGGAGAGGATCTCCGGTCCATAGTCTGATGAATGAAGAGCGGACTTTTCCGTATCGATGGAGGACGCTCCATAACTTATGCACATAACTTATGTACAGGCGGAATCCACAAGTTGCTCAAGGTGTTGTTGTATGATCTGGTATAGATGCAATGAAGGCTTAAAGACAATATTGATGCAGACTGGAGAGACAAGAGAGACGAGACGAGACAATCCCAAAGATCCTAATCATCCGCAACAGCAACCTCATCCTCCCACTTCTCCTCAGTCCCAGCCTTTTCACGCGCACGCTTGATAACCCTCTCAATCCCATCAAGCCCCATCTTCAAGACCTCCATCTTAGGCCCGTAACTCAAACGCACAAAGTGATGGCAAGGACTATCAAATAGATCCCTGCGCTTCGCCGGATTCAAATCAAAGAAGATGCCAGGCACAACGATGACCTTCTCCCTGAGCAAAGCATCGAAGAAGTTCAACCCATCAGAGATATTAGCCTGCGGAGGAAGCGGCGGGTCAAGCGAGGTCAGATCCAGCCAGATATAGAAGGTCGCGTCTGGAACATCTTGCATCCGGAAGCCGATATCGTACAGGCGCTTCAGCACGTAGTCGCGCTTCTCCTTGAAGTGGCTTTGCAGCGCCTTCATCTCGCGGTGCACGAGCGATGGCTCGAGCATTGGGATCGCAGCTTCTTGGAAGGGCACGTTTGCACCGCCGTCGAGGTAGGAGCCTGCGGAGCTGAGGGATGTGATGAATTCCTTGGGACCGACGACCCAGGCGATGCGCCAGCCGGGGAGTCGGAAGCGCTTGGTCAGACCGTCGATAAGGAGGACGTCTGTGGGGGTTTGGTTAGCTTTGCGGTGCATGATTGCAGGTGGATGGGTTACATACCATCCTTGTCGACATCGATGACGTTGGCAGCACCGCTGATCGTTGATCCATCGCAGTCAGTGGTGTAGTTGTATCCACCGTAGAACTCATCAAGAATGAGAGTCGCGCGGTCACGGCAGAGATCTTGGATTTCCGCCAGCTCCTTCTTCGCCACGAAGTGACCTGTTGGGTTACGGGGGTTCGATGTCAGTAGCACCTGTGTGCCACGGGCGATTTCCTCGGCGACTTTGTCGGGGTGAATTCGATAGTGATCATCCTTCGAGAGCGGGAGCGGAATAGGAGCAATCTGCAACAAGTATCAGCCAGTGTAATCAAACAGCCAAGCTATTCCGCTAACGCACATTCTTGAACAAACTCAACATCTCCGAGTACGCAGAGTAATCGGGAATGGGGAAGGACAGGTACGAATTGCCCAAGATAGCAGCAATGCGAATCAGGCCCGCGCGACCACCGGGCACGATGCAGACATTCTCCCATGTATATTGACTGTCCTTGCCCTGGCGGTAGTGGTCGTTGTACAGACGAGCGACAGCTGCGCGCAACGGCTTGATACCGGCGGTCGGGCCATACTCCCGAGCTGCAGAGCTGATAGGGATTGACGTGGGGCGCGGGAAACTTCCTTCAATCTCGTCGTCGGCCTCTGGAGCTCCCTGGCCTAGATTGGCCCATCCGCTGGGATCTTCGGCGAAGCCATGTTCGGAGGCTCGCTCGGTACACCAGACGACACCGGTGGAGGCACGGGAAGCATCTAGACCGGCGTGGGGTCGGTGACCTTCGTGGGCAGCTCGGAATTGACGATGGGTTTCTGACCGGAGCTCTGCAATTTACATATAAATGTCAGGGCTGTTATATATGTCAGTTGCATATGCACGCACCATTGTCTGACAGGTCCTTAGAGGTGGAGAGGCGGCGGTTGTCGGAGGGGCGCAATAAGCTCAGGCGGCGGCCGGAGAAAGACATTTCTTGGCTTGGAGCTTAGTTGATAACAGGCTGTAGGCTGTAGGGCTGTAGTTCCTGATAACAACAGTATATCACTTTTCCTGAATATTCAAAGTGATGAATAGTTGAATGGGGAGAATGTGAGGGGTAAAGGAAGAAAAGGAAAAAAAACAAGTCATGTTCCTCCCCGGTCAAGCTCACCGAGTTTCTGATAAAATGACGCTTGCCAGCAAATACTGAGCGACCATTCGACCAAATCACCGACTCTGCTCGTAATCCTGTCGGGCGTTGGGTCCACCAGGTGTCCACGAGCTTCACCTAACATACGATAACAGCGCAATTTCCCCAAAGGTCAAATGGTATCTGAGTGTTCTCTTTGTACGCCATTTGAATGGTCCAAGTTCCAACCTCAAACTTCCCATTGCCGAGACTGAAAAGACCTGAGAGCAACTACCTGTCAATGGTGATGCACAAAAGCTTTACACGGCTCCAATGAGCTTGCTGTACTGCGTTATTTGTATCTGGCTCATAGATCTGCCCTGCCAAGGAAATCTCGGCTTTCCGACATTGCCACGGCATCCCGATCGGATACGCAAGTGGATACTAAATGAGACACATGTAGGATCTCACGCTGCACAGAAATCAAGAAAATATGAATATACACCATGTAAAGGGCTTCGTAGTTCGTGGAGATACTAGTAGATCAGTGGGATATAACAAGCGTCCACTCGCGAAAATTTAACACGCAAATTCGGAAACAATGCAAGAGGGAGGTCGTTCGGACTATCCCTTCACCTCGTCACCAGAACATCATGTCATGCCGTAAACAAATCATTATGAAGATGCTCGCGTCGAGACACACAGTCCGACTACATGGTTTGCCACGACCGAGGGGCTCGCTGAAAGGTCACAAAAAAGGGAACATAGAATGGAGGATCTTCCCCGAGAATGGCTGCTCATCAGTACCAAGCCACCAATCGGAAAAGTGAGGGTCAGGATGGGAGACGGAGCGCCATGGGCGATGCAGAGGGGAAAATCGAGGATCAATGAGATCCTCGTGGGGAATAGTGGTATATTAATTCAAGGACAAGCGGTTAGACGGAAAAAAGGAAGCCAAGGATCTAATCGACCACCTGGCAGTAGAGTTGAATCTCTCCCACCAAACCCTTTGCGAGCATCTCGCGATGTTGCTCCCGCCACTCCATGAAAGCGAGCTGGACCGCCTCGTCGCTATCGATCGTGACAAAGTCTCCGTCTTCATCCCGGTAGCGCAGGCGTACAGTCTTGTTTCCAATGGATCGATCAGTGAACCGAGCGAGTTTGGCATCCACGCGATCCGTCAATGAACGGAACAAAATGTTGGTCGCTATGACCAGCGTCACGTAGTTGTCCTCAAAGTTCACCTTGGCCTTGAGTTGAGTGGGCATATAGTCTCCATCCTCTGGCGTTTGCGTCAAGGGCGAGGTGGCATGGTCGGAGATTTGAGCGGAGCTGCGAGTCTCGTTATATTCCGGCTCGTTGAAATGCGTGGTGTGGAGTTGTGGCTGGGCACGAATGGGGAGTTGGCTATTGGTGGGCGAGTTGTTCTGACTGCGGTTGATAGGGGCTTTCATGCTGGCCATGTGGGCAGGAATCGGTGGCACCGGAACGTTATCGACTGTCTGCATGGTGTGCACTCCCATATAACGGCGTGACTCAGAATTGTTATTGTGGTGGTGAATATCAGGGCTACTAGCCGACCGCATGCGCTGGGCCATGCCATTCGCGGAATGGGCCTGGGAGCCGGGGAGCGGAGGCAAGGATGGACGCTGGGCACCTCGTCCATTGGGCTGAGGTGGGAAATATCCCCCAGAGGTGGACCCTTCTCGTGAGGCTACACGAGATAAAGCCGGGGCTGTGTAGCGAACAGATTCTTCATTCCAAACCGACGATGGAGTTGTGGAGTTGGTGTTTTGACGGCTAAATGTGAACCCAGCGGATTGGGAACTCGATCTCGTGGATGGAGTCTCCGTTGGGGAGAAGTAGGAGCTCATGTTTCGATCACTGGGAGACATGTTGCCACTGCCAGAGAACTGAGTGTGTACCGAGAGTGTTGGGTCAGTCCCAGTCCCCGCATAACGCGGTCGGCTGTTGGGATGAGTGGAATTGGTGCTGCCACCGGTGGCAGACCGAGTTCTCAGACTAGTGCTGGATGCGTTGCGGCTCATCGGGAACTCAGAGTGGTATATATCCTTGCCGGGCTCCTCCGTGTCATACTCTTGTTGATAAGGATTGGGCATGTGGGCCATACCCTCCATGTAGGTGAACTCGCTGTCGGATGTACCAGTATTGCGTGCAGTGCGTCGCTCCGCCTGGATCTGCCGTTGAGTATCGATGTCCTTGTACCAATTCCGCATGGTGTCTTCGTTCGCATAACGGATAATGAAATTGTCGACGACGCCAGGATCTCCTTTCCAGAAAATCTGAATACGGTAAAGTCCTGATGGGATGCGTTAGGAAATTGCCAACACAGCGAATCAAGGACACTCACCAGGTTTTTGGAGACAAACGATGTCTGTGAGATTGGCCATGTAGATCCGACCCTTCAATTGGAGACGAGCCTTTCCTTTCGCAGTCAAAGACTGCTTATCTTTCTGCATCATGAGCTTGGTCTTTTGCTTATTGGGGTTGAGATCTTTGCAGCAGAGAAGAATTCGCTCAAAAAGATAGATATGGTACTGACGACTAAGTCAGCGATCATGTGCTCTTCCAGGAACACAGGGGAGAAGTCACATACCTCTCTCTCGCTATCCTTTCCACTGTCCCCCTTAACGACTTGGAACGTGCCAAATCGGAGGAGATCACCGAAAGTTTCCATCTTCAGCGCTTTCCAATCATCCACACGCTCAGAGAGATCAACAACTGCCGCTGCCAGATGTTCTTTGTGAATTGCCTCATTGGCGAAGTCCAACACATTCTGAATGCAGTCGACTGCATGAGTGATGTCGGCATGTAATTGGGGGTCGTCTAGTTGTTTGCGCAACTCCTGCAAAAGCACAAACACATTAGCTCATTGACCTGGGTTTGACTGTTAGGCAGGCTCACCAAAAGCATAAGCGGGTATCGAGTCAAACGCTGGAACGGTTTCACGAAAAATCCATTGAGCGTTTTAGGCTGCGCAACCATCTGTTGCAAGTCTATATGACGTGGCGCATTCTTGATCTTGTCCCACTCCTTCATACAGGCTTCATCACAACGCATTTGGTTGGCAATGAACGGCTCATACTGCCGGAAGCCATCCTCATGAGCGAAGAAAAGTTGACCCCAGTTCTGCATTTCCTCCGGGAGGGCATAGTGCTGTTCCATGCGAATCAAAAAACGTTGCGCGAAGTCAAGCAGGTTGTTTAAGTTGAGGAAGATTTGATGACTTGCGTCGCCTGTCAAAGCGCCTGTTTCCTCCAGTTCCTTCTTCAGCGCCTGGAGATTCTGCAGATGATGAACATAGTCACGCTCCGTCTCCAAAAGCTCCTTCAGAATATGCTCTCGCTTGGTAAGTTTCACGTTGGTTTTTGCGCCTTCGGGGGCCTCCGAGACTTCAGATCGTTTCAACTGGCCCTGCATCTCAAGGATGTCTACCACACGATTGACCATCTTGATCACTTTGATGAATCCCGTTGTGCTGTCGCCATACAGGTCGGTGATCAGGAAGCAATCCTGCTGCGGGAAAGCCAGGTCTTGCAAGCAAGCCTGGAGGAACTTGAATGTCGCCGCTTTAGGACGCTTTGCCTCCGTCACCTTGGCGGGATCGATCTCCAGCTGTTCATCTGGACCAGATGCATTGTAGATGCTGAGGAGCGGATATCCATTGCGAAGGCAGTTCCACAACGAGGCCACCGGATCTGTGTTTCCTCTTATGCGATCATCTTCCTCCATTTCCCGCAGGTATGACTCGAAATTGGGAACCTCGGATAGTCGCTTCCTCAGGTTGACACAGCTTTGATAGATTGATTCTCCACCACGTCGGTTGATGATGTTGTCCTCGGCGATCGGAGCGCCGCTCATGGCTGCAGAGTCAATCATATTTGATTTCCTCAAATGCCAGGTATCGATGAGTTAGACCAGCCAGGCTCAATTTGAATCTGCACAGCAGACCAAGAGGGGGAATATCCGGAGGGATCGACGAGCGTCGGGAGAGCAGAGATTACGATCATGGATTCCCCGGGTGGGTGTGAGCTGCGCGGCGCAGCAAGGTGTGACAACAAATTCGGGGAGGAAACCGAGACGAACTACTATGTGATCGTGTCGGCCGGTGTTATGGTCTATGACTGGGTATTTTCGGGGAACGGAGCTCAGAATCGAAGAGAACAGGTGATCAACATAAAGATGTTGGTTTGTTTGAACCAAGCGCGCGGATCTCGAGTACGATGCACCGTCACTTTGGTGGAAAAAGGAGGGGCTCGAGGAATGTATTCCGACCTGCAGCCGACCCCAATCGATGGGGTGTGGGGGATCCGAGTGTATGGATAAACGCTGCAGCCGGGCAAGCGAGTTAAATGTGGCGAAAGAAAGTTCGAACGAACACCTTCGCGCAAGCCAGTCACTAGGACACAGCGGAGGCAATATCGAGGTCACGAGGAAAAAAGGGGGCGCGACAACGGATAGGGAATAAGGCAAGTAAAACTGCACGAGCGAAGCGGTTCGATGATGAAGCGAAGAAACAAAAAAAGACACGAGCAAAGACAGCGGATAAGGGTTCTGCTGATGAAACAGAGGGATAGTGATCCTTGGAGAGGGTGAGCCGAAGGAGACTGTTCAGTTACCCTAAGTGGTTTAGCGCGTGTTCCATGGGGCGGTGGGATGTGGAGAGGGGCAGTTGGGCTTTTGATACGTCCCAAGGGCCATCCAACTACATTGTCCCTATCCTCGACCCGATCGACGACTTTCCATTGCCTTGGCCCTTGTGTGGATCTTATTGATCTTATTGCTCTTCCGGTTGAGACTAGCTTTGAATGGACTGTCACCGTCCAACAATCCGAACCCATTGATTCCAGCCGATACCTAACCCCATTATCCAAACATGGGGTACGCCGCCTGACCACTGCCATAGCCCTATTCTAGTGGCCCCTACGATCGATATAAGTCACACTGCTTCCGACTAGTTACACGGTTCATCCATATGAAATACATTGCATATCCATAGCAATACAGTGAATGATATTTGAGACAATGGGTATCTGGCCTGCCATTATTGGCTTAGGCTCCATGTGTTGCTGTTCAACCCATGAATGGCCGTGCTGGGCATCCCACTGGATTCACACGGTTCATCCTTGTAAGTACGTGCATATCCATAGCAATACAATGGATGCTATGTGACATTGGGGGGTTGGCTTGTTGTCGTTGGCTTAGGGCTCAGGCTCAGTGTGTTGCTCTTCCACACCTGAATATAGCTGAGTGACTATGACGTCTTGAGCAACTAGCAAGAACATTGGCTAGTACAGCGCGGTCGGGAGCATGGATGGCAGTCGTAGTGAAGTTTGCTTGACAGTTTGGCTTGGCCATTGATGTAATGTTAGGATAACCTACAAAGGTACTACTAACTAGTCTTCATCAAAAGCTGTGATCAAAGGGGAAATCTATTTCCGGGAGCATCGGAGGACGGAGGTTTCCTGCGGGCACTCGGCCCCACCAATCATGTGACTCCATTTTGGCAAACATCAATGTTGTGACCACATTTGTCCTTCAACAAACACTCAGCAAGCTTGGTTTTCTGTTCTTTCGAGAAACAAGTCATTTTGCATTTCGACGACCGCTGCGGCGCTGTCGTGATTAGTTTACTTGGATGCCGAATGCAGCTACACTAAGCCCAGCCAAACTTCTCGCGTCGAGAACCAGGAACCACCTGAGCAACGTTGGACATGCTTCACGCAGGCATGGACACCCTATTGAGCTACTTTCAAGGCTGGAAATGGAATGTATCTTAGTGCAATGGGTCCTTATAAGTAGTGGAGCTGCTGCGCTAGTCTAAAAAAATAGGATCTACGCTGCTTTCATCACTGCTTCCATCTTATTCACTGGCTAGATTCCCCACCTATTCAATGGCACCTGCTATTGAATTGCTCCTGCTGGCTCTTGTCAGTCAGGCCCTTGCCGCACCAGCTTCATGGTCCTCCTCTCTCGGAGCCGTGGTAACGATTCCAGCCATCGAAACGCACGTTCCTCGAGGAACTGAGCCAGGTGCCGCCCCGACACTGGTTAACAGTGCAACCACGGGCATCACAACCCACGGCCCCTATTCGGGGACACCTACTACAACTGGGGCTGAACAAGCGACCGCTACACTGGCTACTGAAATTCTACCGAAGCCGAACCCAACCGCGACTTACTACAACACCAATGGCAAGCTCACTCAGCCCCAGCCGATGCCCTATATGCCGGCCGGTGGTGTCGGTACCAATGGCACCTTGCCGGTGTACATGGTGCAAAGTGACTTTGACTATGAGTCCATTGCCCTGGGTCTCCACCAAGAATACATTGAGCTCGATCTTTTCCACTACGGACTGGAAATTTTCAGCGAACAGGATTTCCTTGATGCGGGGCTTACCGTTGAGGACCGCAACCTGATTCAGTACATGGCTATTCAGGAAGCCGGCCATGCTACACTTTTGACCAACATGCTGGGTGAGACTGCGCCCAAGCAGTGTACCTACGACTACCCATTCACGACTGTGCGTGAGTTCTTGGATTTCAACGTCAAGCTCACCCGCTGGGGTGAGTCCGGTAACTGGGGCTTCATCAGTCACCTCGACTCGAAGGAGGTCGCAACGTTGCTCGTCCAAGCAGAGGCAATTGAAGCCCGGCAGCAGGCCATCTTCCGTCAATTGCTAGGACTTCACCCCATGCCCATTTGGTTTGCTCCAGGTAAGTCACGGTTCAATAGAGAACAGAGTGAGCATGTCACTGATGCATTCAATAGGCATCCCGCAGTCATGGCACTGGACTCTCCTATCACAATATATCAGCTCCTGCCCGAAGAATAATACTCGCCTTGTGTGGCAGAACTTCCCTAATCTGAACGTCGTCAACCAGCCCAACGTCAACCGGTATGTTAATACGAGCCTGTCTCATGCAAATTATGCAAGCTAACCTCAATCACAGAATCAACGCAAACACCACTGAAAAATGGGAGATTGTCGGCGACCGCACCGGCGACCCTAGCGATTCCAGGATCCCTGAAGACGAGTCCTGTGTGCACCAGAACACAACCGGCTACAACTGCGGCCCAGCCATCTCGCGCGACCGTTACAACCCCGTCAGTTTCCCCGGTCGCCAGGTCAATTTGACATGGGACGAGCCCGGCAAAGCCGTTGGACCTAACAACAGCTATGTCACGTCGACAACTGCAGGGGAGCCAGCCTTTGTCGCGTGGGTCTCGCAACTGAACCTGACTTACACTGAGCTGACCGTGACTGGATCTAATTGTGGGTTCACCTACCAACCGGCAACTGAGGTCTTCGAGACTGACCCCGCCGTCAATGGCACTGTCTTCATTGCGCTTACCGATAGTGACATCTATGTTACGCCGTTCAACCTGACAATGATCAACCCGCATGTTCGCGCCCTCGGACTGTACCAGTCTGGCTAGAGGGTGGTGAGGGAGTCTGATACTATCCCACTTGTCGAGGAGCTCTTCAGGCCTTTATGTGCTCCGTTTTGTTAGTGAACCTTCAAATTATAGTTATTGACATCGAACTTCTCAAACTCTCTCAGATGGCTAGGTTGCAATACAAAAAGTATCAAGATAGACCGCTGTCCGCTGTTGCCGAGATAACGAGTTGTAATTTATCGCATTTACTGCGGAGTATGTGTTTTGGGATGGACATGATGGACGGGCCTGTGGAGAGTGGAGACTCCCCGGGTGGCGAGGGGCGCTAAACCTTATCCACTGACTGACAGTGACTGTATTCTAGGCAGTATGCAGGGCACAGTATCATCGAATAGTGTGCAAAACAGTTCACTGTAGTATAAACGTTCCTTTTAGCTAGCTAGATTCGTTATTAGCTCTCGAGTCTTGACCAATGGCTAGTTACATGTAGTAGGTTATTCTGTCTTCCATGCATCTTTGAGGTACTCACCAAGCTGACAAGGTCCGGTATAGAGAAAACCGGTTTTCAGCATTGAAGACAAACAAGAGTCCTGGAAGACGGCCAGGTCGATGATCTATATTATCTTGGCTCATATGAGGTTAATCTTGTTATGACAAACAAACGTTCCTTGCTTTCCCCAGAGTTTCCATGTTCCAGAACTGTCTGTATCCTGCAACCGGCCATCACTTTCCATATTGGTGTGACCGATTTTCACGTCATCAAAGTTGCAGAGAACTTGTATTTGCAATAAGAAGCGTGTGAATGGTTACTCAAGCTGCAAGGATTCCTATTTTCTTTTGTCATTCACCCATGTCCTTCCTGCCATACCCCAAGGCACGCCTACTTAGGCCCAGCTTGAAAAGTTGGAAGACCTTATCCTTTACACTCGTCTCTCCAGCTGGACGTGTCACTCCTCTCTCAACTCTTCAAGCAAACGGAAGGCCTAGCGCTTCTCCCTCCACAGTTTGGCGGAAGTCCAGTGCTCTAGCACAATTACCAACATCGAACCTACCATCCAACCTTCGAACAACGGCGACCATGTCTTCCGATCAACAATACCTCAACACCTCTGGTGGAACGGACCCAGTATGGGTGCATCAAGTCCCATACTCCAAAGTCCCCGTGTTCTCACCCCTCAAGGAAAATCTCGAAGCCGACGTCTGCATCATCGGAGCCGGAATCGCTGGAATCTCGACTGCCTATGAGCTGGTGAACCGTGGATCCAAGGTCGTCCTGCTGGAAGCTAGGAAAATCCTCTCCGGAGAAACCGGGCGCACCAGTGGCCATTTGACCAACGCCCTGGATGATGGTTACACTGAAATCGCGAAGAAACATGGCAAGAAACATGCTCAAGATGCAGCTGATAGCCATACCTGGGCCATCGACCACGTGGGAGAGATAAGCGCCAAGCTGAATATCGATTGCGAGTTTCGTTACCTTCCGGGTTATGAGATCTCCCAATACCCGGTTGGTCATCCGGAGCATCAAAAAGAGATCGATTCTTTGAAGGAAGAGGTCAAAATCGCCCAGGACCTGGGTCTGCCTGTCAGCTTCCGTGATGACCTAGCAGCCAAGGGCTGGGATGGCGATGTGGACCAACGAGGCGGTGCTGTCTTTGAACGGCAGGCGACTTTCCACCCAACAAAGTACCTCGTTGGGGTTCTTGAGTGGCTGAAGAAGCAGCCCAACTTCCAGTGTTTCACCGATACCCGAGTTATGTCAGTCAACGAGGAAGGATCGGGGATCTTGGGCACCAAAAACGAACGAGTGACAGTTCAAACTGTGGATGGCCAGGAAGTCATCGCAAGCCAGGTCGTGCAGGCAACGTGCGTCCCTCTCCAGAAGCTAGCGGTCATTGCCCAGATGGAATACAGCCGCACCTATTGTATCGCAATCCGTGTCCCTAAGGGGTATGTCGAGGACTGCCTGCTTTACGACCAGGCCGAGCAATACAAGTATGTCCGGTTGACCAAATGTGACAATAAGGACGACTATCTTGTCATTGGAGGCTGCGACCACAAGGTCGGCCAGGAAGATACTAGCGGCCGTTTTGAGGAGTTGGAAGAATGGGTCCGAGCCCGATTCACCAAAGCAGGTGCCGTGGACTACAAATGGAGTGGTCAGATCTTCGAGCCGGTGGATTACATGGCCTACATTGGAAAGAATCAGGGATCAAAGAACGTCTACATCATCACCGGCGACAGTGGCGATGGTCTCACGCATGGTACTCTGGCGGGCAAGCTCATTGCTGATGAAATTACTGGAAAGCCGAACCCATGGAGTCAACTGTATGACCCAAGCCGCAAGATCAGCGTTGCCAAGTCTCTTCCATCGATGATCACCCATGATCTGGAGATCAATGCGCAGTACAAGCGTTTCTTGCAGTCAGATATCACGGACATTGAAGATCTAGTGCCCGGCACAGGAGGAGTCTTGAACAAGAGCCTTGGAAACCCTATCGCGGTCTACAAGGACGAGAATGGCCAGGTGCACAAGCGCAGTGCCCTATGCCCGCATATGAAGGGCGTTGTGTGCTGGAACAACACTGAAAAGAGCTGGGATTGTCCGGTGCATGGCAGTCGGTTCGGCAAGGATGGAACCTGTATTGATGGACCGGCAAAGGGTAACTTGCAACCCGTGTGAAGAACAAATCAGCGCTCTCTGCTGGATACCGATCGAGGAGTAGTTAACGGATCAAGGTTCGACGTTCTCTAGTTTCTCTCGTCTGTCGATGCTCTAAGCTGTGCTCTGGTTGATCATCATTGCGAATACGAATAACGAATGAATTTCTAATGACTTAACTGTTCATGTAAACAAGTATTAGGTGACTTGATACTTGTCGCCACTTACCAAGCTACATGTAACCATCTAACTGACCAGTTACTTTCTCCAATGCCTAAGCTAGACGGCAAGATGCGAGACATCCTGCTACACTCAACACCACCAGCTTCAATGACATGCAATGATTAGTCTAGCCCAGTGGCAAACCGCAGCATTAAAAGTTGAAACTCAAACCCCAGCTAAATCATCTTCAGAAATGTAATAGAGGAGAGGCGTTCATGTACAGAAGAATCCCACGCAGCCGATGTATATCCAAGTCACGTGACCTATCGGGAATAAACGTCCATTCCGCACGCCCATAATGTAAACATAATCAGAATTGTCGTCGTTATGATCTCGAAAACAATAGAAACCCCGTTTAGATCTGTATCTGAATTGAAGCATCCTGTATTGATGGTCTGCTCAGTATTTATTACGAGCTATCAGATCGGTGGGTCCTGGTTTGTTACGTGACGTGACATGCATAAGAGTCTCAGACAAACCATCTGCTCAACTTCTCTCACTTCCACCTCTCACTTCCACTTCTCGCCAACCCTCCTCTTCCGCAAAGACACAACTCGTTCTCTTCAAATCCTCCTACCTCAACCATTCGCGACCGACCTCCCGTTACATCTCGTAAACATCCCGCGTAGGCATTGATCAACTCTCGACTCATCGGCACGGCGCAGACCCCTCCTCCGACCCGCATCAATGGAGGGAGAATCTTTGCCCGATGCTCGAACCTCCCCCCGGCGCGACTGCAGACAGCCATCGCTCCTGGCTTGTCCACGCCTTTGTCGCCCACGTTCAAGCTAGATGAAGGCTACTCGGACGACACTCGTAGCCAGGCCGACAAGGATCTGGGATCGGACAATGTTATGGCGCTTCCAAATTGGATTCTCGCCCAGAGCGAGGCTGGCAGAGCCGGTAAGTCTCTCACTGCTCCATTCCTTCCCCGCGGTGATTGTAGCAAAAGGCGCGTCACATGCGCCTCGTCGGTCGACCGTCCTGCTATTTCTCTTACTGACCCGTGATTCTACCCACAACCAGAGCTCGCATACAGCCTTCTTCGGTCCCTACGAACCTCAAGCATCGCGGCAATGGTCGACCGACTGAATCCTATTCTGCACTTGGACCCCGTGGTCAAGCTTCCCCCGAACTTACAAACGAGGTCTTCTCCTATCTCGACCCTCGAACGCTCTTGAATGCCTCGCTTGCCTCACGCTCCTGGCGCGAACGTATCCTAGACTCGGGTTTATGGAAATTCCTTTATCTCAATGAAGGATGGCGCGTGGACTGGGCCGCAGTTCGTGCATTCGAGCAAGAGCATTCTGAGGCCATGTCGCCCCAGAGCAGGAAGTCGCGTTTACGACATTCGGAAAATTCAGACACCGATATCGGGGAGCCCAAGCAAAAGAAGCGCATGCCGCCGGCATGGAACAATCCGCAAAGTACCGATGCGCAGCAGACCACGGTATTCGGACCCATGTCCGCAGTGGCCGATATGGAGGGCGACCACCAGATGACAGATGACGATGATCAGGGTGTACATTCAATTGCCGGCGAGACTGAAATTCTCCCCACGGCAGTCCCCGAATCGCCTGTATCTCCTTCGTCATTCTATCCGCCTCTGCGGCCGTCCCTCCTGTTGCGGGATCCTTACGAAAGCACCAGGCTGAACTGGCTTTACCTCTACAAGCAACGCAGACGGCTTGAAGCGAATTGGCATCATGGCCGGTACACAAATTTTCAGCTTCCTGACCCGTCACACCCAGAGGAGGCTCACAAGGAATGTGTATATGCGATTCAATTTGAAGGACGATGGCTGGTGAGTGGGAGCCGAGACAGGACTGTGAGAATCTGGAATCTCGACACGAGACGGCTACGCCACCCTCCGCTGGAGGGACATAACAAGTCTGTCCTTTGCCTTCAATTTGATCCTAGCCCTGAGGAGGACATCATCATCTCCGGCAGCAGTGACAAGAGCGTAATTGTATGGAAATTCTCCACCGGAGAAATGATCCATCAAATCGACCACGCACATACGGACTCAGTTCTCAACCTCAAGTTCGATAAACGTTACCTTGTGACCTGCTCCAAAGACCGAACTGTCAAGGTGTGGAATCGACGAGATTTGCTTCCCAACCACGAGGATTATCCGCGGGTGTTTCGAGGATCAGATGTCACGTATCCGACCTATATCGTTGATCTCAACTCGATCCCACCAAACGAGTTGGAAGCGCGAATTGCGCACGATCAATACAAAGTCCTCTTACCTTACCAATTGCTTATGACTGTGCGTGGACATGGAGCCGCCGTGAATGCCATGCAGATCCATGGTGATGAGATCGTGACAGCATCTGGAGACCGGACTATAAAGGTCTGGAACATTCGCACTGGTGCTTGCACCAAGACCTTGACGGGCCACGAGAAGGGTATTGCATGCATTGAGTTCGACAGCCGAAGAATCATCAGCGGTAGCAATGATAACACAGTTCGCATTTACGATCATGTCTCCGGAGCTCCGGTGGCATGTCTGCGAGGTCACAGCAATCTCGTGCGCACCCTCCAAGCAGGATTCGGTGATCCTCCAGGGGCCGGTGAGGACCTACGGCGACAAGCACGGGCAGTCGACAATGATTTCTTCGCTGCTCAAGAGGCCGGATTACCCGTTGGCAACGGCCACCAGCCGAACACGGCGGGATCACGGGATCCTCGCGATATCCTTGCCCTGGGAGCAAAGATCCCCCCGGTGGAGGAGGCAGTAGCTGGGCGCGTATCGTGTCGGGATCCTACGACGAGACGATCATGGTCTGGCACAAGGACCGCGAGGGCAAATGGACAGCGGCGTACCAACTGCGCCAGAGCGATGCCGTTGCTAATGCCGCTCGGTCCAGCCTCAGCGAGGTGGCACGAACCACTGTAGCAGCCCAGGCTCAACAGCTACATGCAGCACAGGCGGCGGCACCTCAAGCCGGTCCTGCCAACCCCCTTCTCCAGGCACTGCCGCTACAGGTCGTAAATGCCGCGGCTATGAACGCGCAACCACCTGCCCCACCCGTTGCTCACCACCACCATCACCATGGCCATCCACGCAGACCGGCTCTCACCCCGCAGCCTACTTCGCGCGTCTTCAAACTCCAATTCGACTCTCGGAAGATCATCTGCGCTAGCGTGGATCCTCGCATCGTCGGCTGGGACTTTGCCTGTGATGACGAAGAAATCATCGAGACCTGTCCTTTCTTCCAGCGTCTTTGATCTTTTTTCCCCCACCCATCTATTGATACCAACATACGTTTCTCTTTCCTTCCAATGCATCGTCTCTGCATCGCATCGCATCGTCCGCGCCGGACGCAACTTTCAAACTCTTCACGAAGGGACGCCCGTGCAAATTCGACTGATGACCTCCTAGCATTCATGCTGCATCGTTGTTTTCTCATCTTCATTTTTTACCCTCACTATTCTTCCTATTCTTACCTCCCCCGTCCCATGTCATCTCCTGCCCATCCTCTCAATATCGTGTCCTTTGCAAACGATGGGCCTCTTAACCAAATTAATGATGTATTCCTTACCGATGACTGCATGACAAGAGAAAGGCTACCATATCATCTTTATTGCTTTTTCGGGCCTTTTTCTCTTTTCATCTACTTCCTGATTTTGCTTCTTGCATGGCGTCAACGCGGCGTCAACGCAGATGGTTGCTTTTTTCCCCATGGCATTATTATTAGCATCAAGGAGGTCAATCTGAATAATCTGCAATCAAATTCAAGCTATCAATACACTTTCTTCAATCTTCGTATATCCATCTAGGTATGAATGTAATGGCACTATATCTAAGGTAGGTCCCTCCCCTTGGCCTTAGGGTTACTAGAGAATGGAACGGTACGAACTAGCAGACAAGACGGGTTCAAAGAAAGTACATTAGGAAGGCGTGAACGGTCGTGTTGGTCTAGTATGAACAACGAACCATTTGCCATTTCCAGCTGACAAGAGAGTGTGTGTTTGAGGTTTGTGAGTCGGAGACTCGTATATACAGGATCTATGGAACTAAGAATAAGACAACCCAGTAATTGACCACACGGGAATCCGGAAGTACAATGTGAGAAAGACAGTAGCATGACAGCAAAACACAGTCAGCACGCACACATGAAAAGATTATCCCGTAGCTGGTGTCGAGACAGGTTCCGCGGGGAACACAGTCCCATACACAGACGAGAGCCACGAATGCAGTCTCTGTAAACGAGTGAGCTCAGCACTTCCAGTCTGCGAATCAGCAGGTGAACCAGCAGGTGAATTAGCAGTTGATCCAGCAATTGATCCAGCAGTTGCTCCAGCGGGTGTTCCGGCAGTTGCTCCAGCAGACGATGTTTGACTCTGCGCAGTCGCATAAGTATCCTGCGAGCTACTCTGTCCAATAGAACCAGAAGCATTCCTTTCCTCACAACCTCCTAAGCAACAGCAGCAGAGAAAAGCCTGTGCTTTGACCCAGGAGAACACATCTTCATAGACAGGTGCATCTGCATTCAGAACTTCATCTCCGCCGCGACGGGCAGCCATCGTGGACACAGAACGTAATCGGGAGGGATTGGAAGGATTGTTTCCCGAAGTGCTAGTCCGTTGCGAAGACTCTGCCGGACTATTGAACGGTGGAGCAGGAGCGATTCCGGACAAACGGTCCGAATCAGGCAGATTACGCGACTGAGCATGATTTCCTGCATTGGCTGTTTGATGGTGTGTCACGGCAGCAGCTGCTGGGGGTGGAGGATTATAAGCAATGGGACAACGGGGTGCTGTCCTCTCTCCCATGGACGAGGAACGGGGGCGAAGCTGGACACGTCTGTTCGGACCGCCTTTTGCGGAATCAACTGAAGTAGGATCATGGATTGTATCTGCTCTTTCGGGGCGTGCGATGGCAAGATTTCCATGGAAAGGATGGCTGTGCAGCTGTTGGCCGATATGCATTCCATGTCCACTTTGTCGGTATGGGAACCGACCCTGTACGACTGTTCCGTCTTGGGCTCTGCCTATACCGCGAACGGAGTGCTCGTCACGAACGGAATGCTCGTCCTCACGAGGTGGACGAGGGTAGTTCAATATTCTCATTATGGAGTCACGAAACGAGCTGCTCCGCTGAACACCAGGACTAGCACGATCTAAAGCATCGGGTGCTCGTGTGCGATATTGGTAGTCTGGCATCAGGAATTGGGCCGAGTAGCGCAAAGCCTCTGGTGAGCCGAACGAGGGGACACCGGGGGGTGTAGGCCTTCTCTCTGGTGGCGGGAATAGGGGCTGAACAGGACTTATTGCAGGTCCCAGATTCGCAGCCCAATCGGGGCCGAGACTACAGCTGCTAGTGTCGGAAAGAGCCTTGCGTTGTGAAGGCCGACGGGAGACTGGTGCTGACATTGCCCTGCTCAATGGACGCAGGGTCCTGTGTGTGGCTTGCCAGTGTAGCTCGGCGAATAGGAGTCTGTGTCGTTCGAGGGTTCTTGCCGTTATCTGTCTTCTTTCTGTCAATTCATCGGTGAGAAGCGAGTGGTGGTTTTGTGGTTCTGAAGGAATGGTTCTGGTCGTGTTGACCGCGAGGCTTTGCTCGAGAATGGGCCCATCGCCAAAAGACCCAAAGATGGAATGAAGGTTGGAGTCGACGGGTGTGGGAACTCTTTGAGCGAGGTATATAGACCTTTCATCGCTTTGGGTAGAGACTGATGACCATGGGTTATCGTAAGGTGAATATGAGTCGGAATTGTCGAGTCGTTGCCCACGTAGAGGGCTCTGTGGTGGGGTGGGATATTGCATACGGCTAGTGGACTGATCATGTCTTCCACATGGGGGATTCATCCTGGCAAAAGAGCGAGGCCGGTAAAATATTGGGATAAGACAGGATCGGAAGAATGCCGAAACATGAATATGTGGTTTCCTCGAAGCACCATCGTGCCTGCCGAGATTAAGCCAAAACAAATATTATACAAAGCGATCTATATGTACAATGTAAATGCGCTGAAAACCCCGAAACGTTGGTCATGATCATAATGGAGTACCACCTGGACTGGGCATTGCCTTGCCTGTCGCCTGAGCGTGCTCTTTTCTTAGGGCTCGCAGCAATCCTTCAACTCTGCGACGCTCTTCCTGTTCGGCCTTCGGGGTGTTAGTTGAATCAAAAGGAAGGTGCGATGGAATCAAGAAAGACTCACCCTCAGTATCTTCATGTTCTCATTGCGTGTATCACGCATCATCTTCTTGAACTCATTCTTGAGTACCATGGTAGATGTCGTCTCCGAAGCACCGTCGCGGCCCACAGACGTAGGACTACTCAAGTTCATCCAGCTGATACGTTCCTCGGCCAGTTGGGTCTCTAGTTGCTCGCAACGATCCCGAAGACTGTCAATGAAGCTTTCGAAGCGCTCACGTTCCTTCTCGAATTCGATGCTGGCTTTGGTCATGGCTTCGTAATCGTCGATGGTCTCCCGGAGTTCTTTCTCAAGAGTATCCGCCCGTTGCTGAAGATCGCCACCTCCGCGCTGGCTCTTGAGCATGGCAAGTTCCTCAGTAAGCTCGATATTGCGAGTCACCAGTGCGTCGTTCTCCCGCTGGACACTGGGGTCGGCAGCCACCTCAGCGGCACGCTCGGCTCGGGTACCATAAGCGCCATCCAGCTCTGCCTTGACCATTGTCAGTTCCGTTGTGACCCGTACAATCTCGCCTTCGAGCTCGGTCAGCTCGTTCTGCAGGCGAGTGGCAGTCTGGTCGGATTGGGCGCGCTGCTCCTCTGCTTCCTGCACACGGGTATCGGATTGGAGGCGGATCTGTTGAATGGCGGCTTCGAGTTGGGCCACCTCTTGCTCTGCGCGGTCACGAGCACCCGTGATCTCCTCAAGTCTGGAATCGCTGTCGTTCTGCAGCGTTTCAATGACGCCTTGGAGGCGTTGAACCTCGTTTTCTGACCGACCAAGGGCCTCTTGGATGTCCTCGCCTCTGGTATTGTTGTCATTCTGCAGGGCTTCAATGGCGATCTGCAGACGCTTGACTTCCTCTTCGGCATGATCACGCGCCTCGCTAGCTTCCAGGGCTCTGGTATCGGATTCATGCTGCATAGATACGATGACGGCCTGCAGGCGCTTGGCTTCTTCTTCCGCACGGTCGCGAGCTTCTCTGATCTCTTCACTCTTGGCGTCAGCGCCACTTTGCAACGAATCGATGATGAGCTGCAGACGTTTGGCCTCGCCTTCGGCGCGGTCGCGGGCATCGCTGATTTCAACGACCCTGGCTTCGTTCTCCCTCTCAACCTCTTCGATGTAGTGCTGCAGGCGTTTGACCTCGCCCTCTGCCTGATCTTGCGCATCCCGGGCTTCGCTGACTTCGTTGATCCTGGCATCGGCTTCGCTGTGCAAGGAAGTGACGACACTTTGCAGGCGCGCAACTTCACCTTCCGCCTGGACCAGAGCAGCCTTGGCTTCCTCCTGAGAAGAGCCATTGTGGCGCATTGCATTGAGCTGTTCCATGACAAGAGCCAGCTCGTCGCGGTGGGCGTTGCCTTCACGTTCAGATACTTCAAGATCTCTGCGAACGTGAGTCAACTGTTCTGTCAGGTCTCCAATGTGAGCGTCTCGTTCGGCATCCGACTTGGAGTTGAGCTCGCGCTGCTGCTGGATCTGCGTGGTCAGAATACTCTTCTGTTCAAGTAGTCCATCCACCCGACTGTCCAGACCGTCCACACCAGCTTGAAGGTATGAGAGTTGTTCTTCCAGTCCCTCGCCATGCGAGACATCGGGGGGCGGAGGCAAGGTCGGCGAGCGGGTCAATCCAAACCGATCAACGATGGCCTGAACTCGGTTGTTGATTTCAGCAAGTTGGTGTTTCCAAGCACCCTCAACCTCAGGGATAACCTCTGGCGCACGCACGGAAGAGGCGTCTCGCGCGTGCGAGTCTTCCGTGCGCAAAGCAATATTATTCATGCCATTCGCGATGTAAGCCACATATGCCTCGACCGTTGCAGTGGGATTGACTGGCCCGCCTGACAGCTGCGGAGGTGGGTCGATGAATTCACCGGGGTTGGATCGTATCATCATGTCATGCATGCGCTCGCTCAGCGCCTCCAGTTGTCGTTCTGTGGCTCGCATGGCCTCGGTGTTCATTGCGACAGCCGCATTATTCTCTATCCTCCCATGCACGCCAAACTCATTCAGATCGTCGGTTGTCCGATAGAGGCTGCGATCGTCGAACTTGTCGTGACTGTCCTCCGAGTCGTGAGGAGCAGGGTTCTTGGGGCTCTTCTTCAAACCCTTGTGTGTCATCTGCAAGACGCCCGCAGTGTGCTCCAGCAACCGCTGGTTGATTTTCTGCGACCTCTTCTCCAACTTCCAGAGCTCCTGTGCCAGCTCCTCACATCGCCGCTGGCTGACTGCAAGTTCGGAATCACTTTTGTCGAGGGCCTCAGAGATCCCACTGCGACCAAAAATTCGACTCCTCCGGTTTGGGTTCTGACCATTGGTCCCGTACTCGCCGCTGCTGCGCGGGCTGGGCGGGCTGTAGAGTCTGCCGATAGATTGTGCTGCATCACGCAATTTTGTTTCCAGCGCCAATTTCCGCTTCGTACCCTCGATGCGAGTGGACAGTAATGTAGCTTCCTTCTTCAGTTCTTCCACCTCCTCAAAGGACAAAACTTCATAGTTGGCGCTATCCCCTATCGCGGTCTCCGTCAACAGGTACATGGCCACAGGGTCGTTGGCATTTAAGATAGCCGAGCTTCGGGGGTGGGTGGTATTGAGCTGCAGAAGCAATACCATGGTCAGCTGGGGTGATATGTTTCTTGCGTGGTTGTAGTACTCACCGGGTTGTATCGCGACCGGTCGTCGTGTTGGGGGTCCAACCCATCGCGATACCCATCCACCAGTGTCTTTCCGTGCGGCGGGGCTGGAGCATCGGAGACTGTCATGGTTGAGAGGTACCGCGGGTCCCCGTAGGAGGATTGACTGGATCGCATGCTGATATTCATGGTTCAATGTCGGGGTATCCGGTCAGGTTTGTCAGAGCTTTAGTCTGCGCCGCGCATCATGGGTTCCGGACCCTGGAGTATGTGGGAAGTTGTGGCGGTTCACAGAATAAAGTGCAATAGTTGGAGATAAAATAGAGAAAGGGTTGTTTAAAATGGTGGCGGGGAGAGAAGGGAGAAAACAAACGATCTACGGAGTACGCAGTTCACGATCGGCATCACAGGGTCCGCTCAAGCCGGCCTAGGGACCGACATTGGGATGTGTTCGATTGAAGAAGTGATATGGATTTCATTTGAGACTATATTGATCGAATTCGATGTGTATGCATCTTTACCCCTGAACCCGGACATACGAGGCCCATGGGATCTCATTTCCACATTTTCCTTTGTCTTGGTACGGTCTTGGTAGAGAGCTGATGAAAATATTCACCACTAACGATACACAGTAGAGAATAAATATTCCTACAGCAATAACACAATTAACGTAGGTATACTGTTAATCATGTGAAGAGGCCTTAACCCCGCTGTTTCCAAGGTCGGGGAAGTAGTACCTGAGAGGTACTTGGGAAATGCAACGTCACTGTAAGCCGAACCAAGTACCGCCAAGTATCGTTGCATGGGACTCGGATCCTCTGTGACCGGAGTCGGGGATACGAAGAGAGACTACTCCGTAAAAGGTCCAATGTGACGCTTTGTTCGATTCCACTGCTAGAGGCAGAATGCTCTGCTCTGTCTCTATCACGCTGTGGACATGTCGGATTTTGACTCCCCAGATGCTGAGAGCTCTCGACCTGTCTACAAGGTCTATAAGCGACGCTTTTGGGGTCTAGCTCAACTGGTCTTGTTGAATATCGTCGTGAGCTGGGACGTAGGTCTTTCCTACAGGATAAATCCAATACATCACGTTCCATATCACTGATGACTTACAGTGGCTGACCTTCTCGTCCATCTCGACAACGGCGGCGGAGTATTTCGATGTCTCCGAAAGCGCCATCAACTGGATGAGTACTGGCTATCTCTTCGCTTTCTGTGCTGTTAGTCCGTAAGTTGATATCAGATTCTGAAGAATCAACCCCACTCCAAGAGTCCAATAACTGAGTCCTGACTACCTCCCAGTTTCGTCATCTGGACCCTGAACAAAGGAGGCCCCAAACCAGCTATAATAACCACGGCCTCACTGCTGCTAGTCGGCAACTGGCTGCGATATGCGGGCACAAGAGCAAACGGCGGCATCTTCGGACTGGCCATGTTCGGCCAGATCCTGATAGGCTTCGCGCAGCCCTTCTGCCTCTGCGCGCCAACTAGATATAGCGAGCTCTGGTTCTCGCATCAAGGCCGCACGAGCGCAACAGCCGTCGCCAGTTTAGCGAATCCGCTCGGCGCTGCACTGGGCCAATTAATCGATTCAGAATGGGCGTCCAAACCCTCTGATATCCCCAATATGGTCCTGTATATCTCCATCATCGTACGTATATAACTCCTCCCTCCCCCCTCTCGGTGTATGAATAGCCCACTCACCAGAAACACAGTCAACAGTCGCAGCCCTCCCCTCATTCTTCCTCCCCGCCTTACCCCCAACACCCCCCAGCGCCTCCTGCATAACCCCCCAAATCCCCCTCCGCACCGCAACGCGCCAACTCCTCACAACCCGCGAATTCTGGCAAATCCTCATCCCCTTCTCCGTCTACGTCGGCTTCTTCAACAGCGTCTCCTCCCTCCTCAACCAAATCCTCAGTCCCCACGGCTTCAGCGAGACCGAAGCCGGCATCGCCGGCGCAATCCTCATAGTCGTCGGCCTCGTCACAGCAGCAATCCTCTCCCCAATCACAGACCGCTACAAGCACTACCTCGGCAGCATCCGCGTGCTAGTCCCCGTAGTCGCTATCACGTATATCGGTCTCATCTTCGCCCCGTCCAGTCCGGCCGGGATCGCGCCTTCGTACGTTGTTATGGCGTTGCTGGGCGCTTCGTCGTTTGCTCTGCTGCCGATTGTGCTTGAGTACCTGGCTGAGATTACGTATCCGCTTTCGCCGGAGATAGGCAGCACGATTTGTTGGACGGGGGGCCAGTTGCTGGGTGCTTGTTTTATTCTTATTCAGGATGCGTTGAAGGCTGGGGTGGGTGATGAGCCGCCGTTGAATATGAGGAATGCGTTGGTTTTTGCGGCTGTTGTTGCTGTTGTGGCGGCGCCGTTTCCGCTTACTATTGGGTTGTTTGGGAGGGTGGTGCCGAGGAAGAGGTTGGATGTTGATAGGGGGATTGTGGTGCAGGAGGGTGGAGAGGAGGCTGGGCCGGATGGTGAGGTTGGGAAGGGGAAGTCGGACTCTGATAGTCCTGGTTCGGGTTGACATTGTGGATCATGAAGATGTTCAAGGCTGCTTCGATCATATACGACATTGTTTGTCCCGTCTGTCTCGATGAATCTGATTAGCATAGGTTATCCCCTTTATGTTCTTATGATATTGACTGTGTGATAGTACACAGGATTGGATGCTATACGTTTGGGTTTATATTAGCGAATTGAGCCTACTTCTGTTTCAAATCCATGCTCTGGCCAAGCTGGCAAGTAGGAGGATACTGATGCTGGCCGTCCGCTCAGCCTACCAGGACACAATGCCAATCTAAACAGATGAGATTCGTTTTAAAACAAGAGAATAACAAAAGCACAGTTCGAACAGGCGGAAGACCAGCTATCTGTACACGTAAGGCTGAAAGAGGAGGGCAAAATGGTCTATTATTCATTCATGCTTTCCTCTCAGCCCTCCTCCTCCCCTTGGAAAACACAATATGGGCACACATACGCAAGGAACGAGCAGAAAACATGAATTTAACGTTTCCAGATCGATCCTGCGTTCTCAATCCGAGGCGGCAAGCTACCAGTATATCAGATTGCCTTGGTAGCCATCAAGAAAAATGGGATTGGTTTTTCTTCCGGCGTTTCGGTCCAAGGGATGCCCCCGTATCGATGCGGCGAAGAGCGAAAATTATTCGTGGGCCGAGTCGGTGCGGGGGGTGAACGAAACGCTGGAATCAAGACACAAGGGGTGAGTCGTTTACTTCAGCTCCCTCCAGAGCTTGGGGGCAGCGCAGGCGGTCACGCAGTGGGTGAGGTGGAAGACTGGGGTATGTTAGTCGCATAATCGGGACACGATGGAAGCCCAGTCCACGGATTTGGCAAGACCCATCGTTGGTATCAAATGCACTTACACTCCTCGACGCAGTCCTCCTTAGGGCCCTTGTAGTCCTCATCCTCCTCCTGGCGGGTGACGCGCTCGACGCACTCATCGTAGTGGTGCTTGTAGGGAGCGCAGACGGCGGAGTGGGCGCACTCTAGAGAAACAGTCAGATTCTGATCGAGAAAGCCAGTGAAAATAGATTTGCAGAGCCATTGGCAAGTTAATAACACCGATGCGGATCCTGACACATGAGACCGATTGGTGCGAGGAAGGACTCATATCCGGAGACCGCATGGTGGAGGCGCCAATGGAACACGAATCCATTAAAAAACACGTTCAAAAACATTGACAAAGTCACTCACCCTCCTCGAGCTTGGGCTTGGGGTCCTCGGGCTCCTCTTCCTCCTCCTCTTCTTCTTCCTCTTCCTCCTCGGCCTCCTCTTCTTCAGGAGCCTCCTCCTCGGCGGACTCCTCCCCAGTGGGGGTCTCTCCAGCGGCGGACTCCTCCTCAGAGGACTCGGTCTCGGCGCTCTCGTCGGAGGTGGACTCCTCCTTCTGGGCGGGCTCGTCCTGGGTGGTGTTCTCAGTCTCGGTGTCTTGGGCGGGTGCCTCAGCCTGGGCCTCGGTGAAACCGAAGGAGGAGACAACGTCAGAGAAGAAATCGGAGAGACCCATTGCGACAGAGATCAATTGAATGATGACCGAAGGTCTTGTGTGGGGGGAAAGCGGAAGGGGGTGGTAATTGAGGGAGGTTGTTGGTTTTGCCTAAGAGCTGCTTCTTTCGGACTGGAAAATCGGAAAGGCCCGGCCGCTGAGAGACGCCAATTATGCCGCACGTGATTGGCCAGTGTGCTCCAGCACCCTTGAGGGCTTGACAATGCGCATTTTGTGGGGGTATAAATGTTTTTTTAATCGGTTCTACTGGATCTATAGTTCTGGGATATATACTGACTACTCCTACTTTAGTTGGTTAATGAGAAGGTCGAACATAGCGACTGCTGCATCTTGGTTTCCGAAAACATAAGCACCGCTGTTGTGCCGCTAATTGATGGGTCATAATGTACATGGAGTAGAGAACCAAGGCTAGGAAGATATTGTATGAGATGGTGTTGGTTGAGTTTGGTTCACACCAAGACATTAGCTGCCTCGCCGCAATCTCTCCTCTAGCTCATTGGCTACACTTTGCGACTGGACTTCCTCGTAGCATGGAGGAGGTTCCACGGGATCCGGACCTGCATCAGAGACTCGACGACTCTGCGATCGCTCTGGCGTCTCGCTAGGTCTTACACTAGGTGGAGCTTCGTACGCAGGCAAATCTTCCAGATGGACCGCCGAGAGATCCACGTTCTCTTGGCCCCGAGCACCCTCGCTGGTGTTTTCGACGGCCTGCTCCAGTCGCTCCTTGATGCGCTCAAAGTTGGTGTGAAAATCAAAGGCACCGCCCTCTTTGAAAGTCACCTTCAGCTGAATGGCGGGCAAGGATGGTGAAATTCCACCACCCGATACTGGTTGGATCAAAGCTGTCCAGACATTAGGTCCAAAGAAGGGTGCAGATACATGAGAGTCATGGACATTCAAGAGAGGTGATGAGAAGGACTGGAATTCCGTGCTTCTAGGTGCGGGAAGATAGACGACCTAAGCGTGTTAATAGCGTATACTTTGAAACACGGGATGGGATCCTGACTCTTTGGTTGGTAAGATGGATGGAGCCGGAACTGCTCTGTAGTGAAAGCTCTTCTGTGCCTTTGTATCCCGAGGGTGGTGTCAACGAGACACTGGTGCGGGGAGGAGAGCTGTAAATCAGACGTTCGTTGGGTAGACGGACGAAACCGTCCTGTTCAAGCATTACCCAGCTGCCAGGAGTTAGTACAGATGCATAGACGGTAAGACGGAGTTGAATACTCGAGTGGTTGCATACTTGAGAGACATTATACCACGAGGTCACTCCAAAATCCAGGGTGCATGTGGCCAGTCCAAGGTCAGGGTATGAAGGTTTAGATGGACGTTGGCTGGTTGGTGGCGGATATCGAGATATGATGTTGGAACTTGGAACAGTTGGAAAAGAGAACAAGTACCGCCGAGATAAGAAAGAACTATACCCTCAAAGGAGAGACTAAAAGGTAGTAAACGGTAGTTGTAGTGCAATATCAATATCTCGAAGAATAGTGAAGTGGAAGGGTTTGCGGGGCAGGCGGGGAGAAGCTGCAGGGGAATCTTCTACGTAGTACGGTGAACTTCAAGGCTACAATGGAAACTGAGGACTTAGGCTAATACTCTGGACTAGAGGGATTATTCTAAGACCATGTATATATAATATCGTATACATTCAACATCTTTGGCCTCCGAGTCTAAACATACTGTTAACTGTTTACACCTGACCTGCTGCTTAACTAGTAGCCGCATGCCGCTTTGATCGCCGAATGCCAACTGCATATGCAAAGTGTTGGGATGAACTGATGTCACTTGATCCCTTGATTGGATACAATCCAGACACAAGCCTGGGTATTCTTCCAACGTCTCAGGTATCTCATGGCTTGAACCCTGTTGGCCTGTGCTCCTAAGCTCCTAAGACACACTTCTAGGAAGTGATGGAACTTTCAAGTTTCTGTTTCATATTGGAGACCACAATGAACTGATTTTACTTGTTTTACCTGTTTTACTCGTCAATAAATCTCCGTTGGTGGCAAGTTCAAACCTGAATGACCATCACAACGGCCACATAGCTCCCACGTTCTAGAAGCGTCCGAGCCAAAGCGCGCTAAGGCACAAACAGAATTTCAACTTCAGCGATTTCCCCCTCTTCTTCATCTTCTCATTGTGATCGCGTGCTCTCATTCTTCGTGATTTAATACTTCTCATATATTGATCGCCCGTGATCGGAGCCTCGAGACAGGTGGGTCCCAAGCTCTCCCAGCTTGGTCGTGGTTCTGACATTCCTTATCTTTTAGTGTCCAGAGACTTCATGTCGACACGATCATAAGATCACTCTCACACCTCCCAGCCTTATTTGCCCCTCGCGAATATTAGGGCCTCGGCAGGATGGGAGATAAAGGCGTTTATATCCCACCCCTCGTTGGGTGGATGTACGATTTGGTGCTGTGGACATTCTCCGTGCTCATCGACCTCTTCTTTCGCGAAGTCCATCCCCGAGGATCATGGAAGATCCCCCGCCGCGGTCCCATCATTCTGGTGGCAGCTCCCCATGCGAACCAGGTATGCCGCCCGCTTCCGGCCCGACGCACATATATACACACACAGAGGATGCTAATGGACGATTGTTGGGGTAGTTCGTGGACTCTTTGGTTTTGATGCGCGTCATTCGCAGCGAGGCACACCGTCGCATCTCATGGCTTATCGCAGCGAAGTCTTTTGAACGGAAGTTCATTGGATTTTTGGCGAGAGGAATTGGAACGCTGCCCGTGGCGCGCGCTATGGACAACTTGAAACCCGGAACAGGCACCATATATCTCCCCGATCCGGTCAACGAGCCTACACTACTGCGAGGTATCGGAACAAACTTCGAAGGAAAGGGCTTCGAAAAGGATGGCACCATCGCTTTACCCACCATTAACGGAACGTCACACAGTTCCGCGATTGCGGAGATCAAAGGCCCGGAGGAATTGGTGCTGAAGAAGCCTTTCAAGCACCGCGATGCGCTGATGCAGCTGACTGGACGGCAAGACATTGATCGTGATGGTAATTTCACTGGGGATGCGTCCCAACAGGATCCGGATTTCAAGGGCACAAAATTCAAGGTAGCTCCGCATGTGGATCAGACAGCAGTCTACCAGGCAGTCTTTAGCAGACTGGGCAGTGGAGGCTGTGTCGGTATTTTCCCTGAAGGCGGAAGTCATGACCGTACTACACTACTTCCCTTGAAAGGTGAGCTCTTGGTACCTGAGAGATGTCTACACGTTCCTTACTGATCGTGATATTATAGCTGGTGTTGCATTGATGGCCTTGGGTACCCTCGCTGAAAACCCGGACTGTGGCCTGAAGATCGTTCCATGTGGCATGAACTATTTCCATGCCCACAAGTTCCGCTCTAGAGCCGTCATTGAATTTGGCACTCCTATCGAGGTTCCTCGAGAGTTGGTGGAGCAGTTCAAGCAAGGTGAACGACGTGAGTCTGTCGGTGCTTTGTTAGAAATCATCTACGGAAGTCTCGTCTCGGTCACTGTCACTAGTCCCGACTATGAAACTCTTATGGTAGGCATCCCCTTCCCCGGCCCCCACTGATCCATGAAGTTCCTTCCGCTAACCAAACCGACAGGTCATCCAAGCTGCGCGTCGTCTGTATAACACCAAAGGCAAAAAGCTTCCACTTCCCATGGTGGTGGAACTGAACCGCCGTCTTGTGAAAGGCTATGCTCACTTCAAAGACGATCCCCGCATCGTTGACTTGCGCAATGCCATTGCAGGATACAACAAGCAGCTCCGCATTTTGGGCATTCGAGATCACCAGGTAGCCTACGCGAAATTTTCCATCCTGCAGGTGATAGCCACCTTGATATACCGCCTGGGCAAACTGGCACTTCTGACCATTGGGACACTCCCCGGATTCCTGCTTTTCACTCCCGTTTTCATTGCAACCAAATATCTCTCGGCGAAGAAGTCCAAGGAAGCACTGGCTGCTTCCACAGTGAAGCTTCAAGGCCGCGATGTCATGGCCACATGGAAACTCCTCATTGCGCTTGCATTTGCTCCGGCCCTCTATGCCTTCTACACTGCTGCTTTTACTTACTGGACGTACTGGAACCGGGTCAATGGATTGGTCCCAGCCTGGGTACCGCTTTGGTGGGTGGTGGTTATCGGCATGGTCCTTTTCCCCACAATCACCTTTGCGGCTCTTCGAATTGGTGAGGTGGGCATGGACATCATCAAGTCGCTTCGCCCGCTTGTTCTGTCACTGAACCCATCGTCGGCCAACACGTTGGTGCGACTTCGAGAAAGACGTGCTGCACTGGCACAGCAAGTGACAGATGCGATCAACACCATGGGACCTGAGCTATTCCCCGACTTTGATGCTGCTCGGATTGTCACAGATCCATTCAGCAGAGAACACGCGAGTGAATCCAAGGGCGGTGAAGTACCGGAGATCCGCAGAACCAGCGTATCCTCTGACCATGGCGAGAAAATGCCCTCGTCAGAGCCCCTACCCCGCAACGAGTCCTTCCACAACCTGGCCAACATTGGCTTCTTCTCCACACGGCCTCCTAGTCGTGAGCGCAGCCGCAGTAGCTCTGCCAGTGCCCGACCTGGGTCTCGGCACGGACTAAAGCCGCTCAGCCCTATGACCATGAAAGACCCACTTGAAGACGTCAGCTCTCGAATTCGAGATGCTATGCGGGAGCGTGGAGAGCGTCGTCGGCGTCGAAGCGAAGATGGAAGTTGGGATATGGCCAGCACCGGCCCTGGAACCCCATCCAGCGAAGAGTACCGAAAAGATCTTTGATGAAGCTTTCCTTGATGACCATGTATTTCTTTCTCGCCCCGTCACCGGTGACCACGGTGTTTGGGCGAAGTTGTGTATCTATTTTGTTGTTATATAACCATGCCAGATATCCTCTCTGTTTTAATGATTATGAATTCATCAGACCATGGAGTAGCCAAGAGTAAAGAGGCACATGTATCCTCGTAAACACATCCGACACTCCCCATTCAAGCGGGGGACTAGCCAATCGAGATGTCCAGGCTTTGGCCGACGATCTCTTGGCTGATGCATTGCCGCGGGCCTCGCCACTTCGAGCTGGGGCTAAGGAGAAAAAAAAGCACATGAAAAAGAAAACAGTGTAGCCTAATAGCATCGCCTCAAATTCGACTCCTTTTTTATATTGTCTCATATCGAATGAGAATTCCTTCAAACTGAACACGTCGCCTTTCTGTAGTACCAACTCCGAATCCGCCCAGCCGCTAACCGTCCACCGTTTTTGTCTTTTGCGGAGTGTCCAATTTCTGTCCTCTCCCCACGATTCCTTCAGCGCTGGAGTTCAGGGGGATCAATATCGAATCACAAACACCACCATGCCGGGCTCACTGCACATGTCGCGGCTACGGAACTGGTTCCTCGCCTCTCCCCCGGTCGAGTACGCCATCAACAGCCTTAAGGAGCTGCTGATTGGCGCGCTCCAACAGGGCCCTGTCCCCCAACATGTGGCTTTTGTTATGGATGGGAACAGGCGCTTCGCCCGATCACATGGAATTGAGACAGTGGAGGGACACCATCTGGGGTTCGAAGCTCTGGCAAGGGTGAGTGGCTACACCTTTGAAGCTCCGGCGTTGCACGGCAAGCGACCCTATTCGTTGTGGCTGCCAATACTAACGACTGATAAGATCCTAGAGGTCTGCTACAAGAGTGGAGTGCAGGTAGTCACGATCTACGCGTTCAGTATCGAGAATTTTAAACGTTCCAAATTCGAGGTGGATGCGCTCATGGAAATGGCCAAGGTGAAGCTGTCACAGATGGCTCAGCACGGTGACCTGCTCGATCAATATGGAGCAAAGGTCCGCGTCTTGGGCCGCCTCGATCTTCTCAAACCCGACGTCCTGGAAGCTGTCAACAGAGCTGTCGACCTGACCAGCCGCAACGGAGATCGCGTCCTGAACATCTGCTTCCCTTACACCTCCCGCGACGAAATCACCTCCGCTATCCGTGATACAATCAGTGATTATAGCACACCGATTCAACAATCTCGCTCGGCCGCCGCAGCCTCCCGCACCCCTTTCTCGGAATCCCATATTGTACATCATATACGTACCCAGACGCTCGGCTCGAAGACACACGATTCAAACAGCGATACAGAGTCGACGTCAAGCTCTTCGGCACAGGACGAGGATTCATTTTCTCGAAACGGCCGTTCCAATCGCGTTTACGAGTCTGGATCTTCCTTCTCCTCTTCCACAACCCTCCACCTCGGGGGCCAGCAAGATCCCAAGGACTCTCCGCCGAGACCTGCAAATGAATCCGATAGCCCTGTATATCTCTCTCCCGAAACAATCTCTCGTCAAACACTCGACGACCGCATGTTGACCAAGGACACTCCGCCGCTGGATATCTTGGTTCGCACCTCGGGCGTGGAACGTTTGAGCGACTTCATGCTCTGGCAAGCTCATGAGAATACAGAAATTGTGTTCCTCAATGTCATGTGGCCCGAGTTCGACTTGTGGCACTTCCTGCCCGTGATGCTCGGGTGGCAGAGACGGATTTCCAAGTCCCGGCAAGACCCCAATGCAGAGGGGAACTTTGCCGGCGACGACGAATCCAGCGGGGATGATCTAGAGACGATGCTGCTGCGTCAAGGTGGAAAGCTCAAAGACATCTGAATTGTCTGTTATATATACCCCGTGTCTACTTGCTTTTTGTTCAGCATCAGCGGCGTCTTTCTGTTTCATGGCCGAAGATCTATTGGGCACGCCCGATAGACATCAGCCCATATACGTGCATTGTTAACCACTACATTGTGGAAAATAGAATTCCATGTTCATTGTCCCTCTACAGTCTACATCCATTCGACATGCCCAATTCGTAACTATGCGTCAGGTAAACCCCCCACGCCGATACCGCTCCACGTGATCATGAGTCACGGGCCGGTCCACAGAGAACGAAGTGCGGGACGTTCTCTAGCTGAGATACACTCACCATCTTCTATCATACCAATTGAATCAAAATGGTTAATCAAATTGCCGGTTCCAAGGCCCTCCTTTTGGGCTCAGGCTTCGGTAAGCCTTCCCCTACTCCCAACGCTATCAGATCTCAATGCGTCATACTGCCCCGCATTGAGCTTCTGAAGTCGAATAAGTGGACTAATGCCTGTCTTCATATAGTTACCAAGCCCACTGTTGAGGTTCTCAGCAATGCCGGTGTCGAAGTCACTGTCGGTATGTCAAATCTAGCGAATTGAGCCCTATACCGTCTGTGAACATCGCTGAGGATATAACTAGCTTGCCGTACCCTCGAGAGCGCTAAGGCTCTGGCTGGTGGGTTCAAGAACACCAAGGCTATCTCCCTTGATGTCAACGATGACGCCGCTCTCGATGCCGCCCTCGAGAAGGCCGACGTTGTGATCTCGCTCATTCCCTACACTTTCCACGCCACGGTTATCAAGGGTGCTATCCGCACCAAGGTGAGTGTGGGAACACAAGCAATTCTGGGTACAGCTTGCTGACCTTTTCAGACCAATGTTGTGACTACCTCATATGTCTCACCCGCTATGATGGAGCTTGATGAGGAGTGCAAGAAGGCCGGTATCACGGTCATGAACGAGATTGGTCTCGACCCCGGTATTGACCACCTCTGTAAGTATCACTCCAGTCTACTTATAAGGAAACCCAAGCTTACATGATATAGATGCTGTTAAGACTATTGACGAGGTCCACGCTGCTGGCGGCAAGATTACCGGTTTCGTTTCCTTCTGTGGAGGGTTCGTCTCTTGTCGCCCATGATATTCTTCCGCACGATAACTGACAAACAACAGCTTGCCCGCCCCCGAGTGCTCCAACAACCCCCTCGGATACAAGGTTAGTGAAGCGAATCCTTGATTCTCTCAACAAATAACTAACAATTGTCTCTAGTTCTCTTGGTCTAGGTTAGCAAAAGCCCAATCCCGAATCGTATACTTTAACAACCCACTAACCTACCCAGCCGCGGTGTCCTCCTTGCCCTGCGCAACGCCGCCAAGATCTACCGTGATGGCGAGATCGTCAGCATCGACGGCCCCGACCTGATGGCCACCGCCAAGCCCTTCTTCATCTACCCCGGCTTCGCCTTCGTCGGCTACCCCAACCGCGACTCCACCCCCTTCCGCGAGCGCTACAACATCCCCGAAGCCCAGACCGTGATCCGCGGCACCCTCCGCTACCAAGGCTTCCCGGAGATGATCAAGGTCCTCGTCGACATCGGCTTCCTCGACGACACACCCAACAGCATCTTCGACAAGGCCACTTCCTGGAAGGAGGCCACCAAGCAGGTCCTCGGCGCCACCTCCTCCTCCGAAAAGGATCTGGAGTCCGCCATCGCCTCCAAGACCAAGTTCCCCAGCAACGACGAGCGCGAGCGTCTCATCTCCGGCCTCCGCTGGATCGGTCTCTTCTCCGACGAGCAGACCACCCCCCGCGGAAACGCCCTCGATACCCTCTGCGCTACCCTCGAGCAGAAGATGCAGTACGGCCCTGGCGAGCGCGATCTGGTCATGCTCCAGCACAAGTTCGAGATCGAGAACAAGGATGGCTCGAAGGAGACCCGTACTTCCACCCTGTGCGATTACGGTAACCCTAACGGATACAGCGCAATGGCCCGCACTGTTGGTATTCCTTGCGGTGTTGCTGTTAAGCAGGTTCTTGATGGTACTATCAGCAAGAAGGGTGTTATCGCTCCTATGACTATGGATATCTGCGGTCCTCTTATCAAGGCCCTCAAGGAGGACTATGGTATTGAGCTTATTGAGCGCACTCTGTAAAGCGTGGACTCGGGCTTCAAAAATGAAATAAATATGACGGTGAAAATTTACATAGATGCTGAATGAGAATAAAATTTGCAGTGCTATTGTATCCACCATGCAAGATGTTGATATGTCACCACTAATTTTTCACCCCTGGTCTACCTCCTAGAGCCTTGTAATACTTGGTACCAAGCATGCCATGCCTACTACCTGCCCCTGTTGAACCCCGGTAAAAAAGCAGAATCATCCATAACTTATGTTTTCATTATCATAGACGTAACACCATGCTCTATCGTAGCATCATTGCAAGCAGGTCCACACGGGTGGAAAAGAAAAAGGCGAGATGAACTGACAAAGAAAAAAGCAAGGCACTGTATCTAATTTGCTTGCGCTTTTGCGGTCTTATCTGCCAATTCATGGGGGAAGCGAAGAGGAAAGAAGAAAGTCTTCAGGTGAAAGCATTATCTTGAGCGGTTTTCTCATGCCGATATGAGAGGCAGTCGATCAGAGAATAGTGCCAAACCTATACCGATGAAGAAAACGAGAATTATTAGCAACGGGTTCCAGTGCGAGAATGAAGTTTGAGATCTGTAGACGAGAAGGCCGGATTGGCAAACAGGACCAGGAGAGAGATAGGTTGACAGGTGGTAGGGAAGAAAGGAGATAATACATACCCGAAAGTCTGCTTAATGCCGCGAACATAGTACATGTCCCAATTTTGCTTGGTGACATCCTCCTGACCAACAGGAACGCCAGACCAAGAAACGCGCATTTGAGTAACGCCGTCGGAATCGTTCTGATCGAAGTTGATCTCCTGTGTACTGAAGTGGCCCTGGGGCCACTGCGCAAGACGCCATTTCTGGACAATCTGCTTGGGCTCGTTGAGGGTGACGAACTCGCCAGTCACGTTGCCGTCGAAGATGGCGAATTTGCCGCCGACCTTGGCGCCATCCCACTGGCGCGGTGCGCCGCGGGTGAAGGCTGCGATGCGCTGCGCATCGGTGAAGGTGTTGTAGAGCTCGCTGGCTGTGGTGCGGAACTCGTCTGAGGCTGACACGGTGGTTGTGTTGACGGCGACCTTGCCGGTCTGGGAGGTGGTGGTCTGCGTGGCTGGGGTGGTGGCGCCCTTGGTGTGCGGGTGGACGGTGGCTTTGGCGAAGCCGCTGGAGGGGTTCTCGCCCGGGGCGTGCTGGATGTCCTTGCCGTGCTCGGCGATCAGGGCGGCGGCGAGGCCGGAGAGGTTTTTGCGCAGCTCGGCGACGAGCTTTGTGCGGACCAGGTCTTTTACGGGCTGCTTGGAGTTGGAGTCGTCGTGGTTGTCAATCTCGAACTAAACGGTTTACGGGTTAGTATTACAGATCCGATTGCGATCTTGGGGGGTTTGGGGGCCAAGTTGAACGTACGACGTACTCATCTTCCTCGGTATCGTGGGCTACCTCGGGAATCTTGATTGTGCCGCTGACAGCCTCGTCGTCCTTGGTCTTACCTATGGAAGCGTCTCAGCTGCCAGGTCCAGAAGAAAGAGATAGAAATAAAGCTGAATTGATATTGGACTACAAACCTGAGTATTCTAGCGACAACTTCACATCGAAAAGAGTGATGACCTTGCCCTTGCGCTGGCTGACATCTACGTCGCCATCCATGGACAACACCTTGTCTACTTTGGCGGAAACACCCCCTCCTCAACACTGAGGCCAACGAGGTTCTTTTGCAAGTAGTCCTTGGCCCAGCCAGAGGCATCCTTGTTGACCCAGTGCCAGTTGTTGGGGTTGTGAAGGACCATGATGAATGTTGACTAGGAAGAATGAAAGAAAACTCTGAATCTGGTGGAAGCTAGGTTGCTTCCTTCTTAAAATTGGTTGGTAAGAAAAAAAAATGGAGTGCTAAAGGTTCTGTTGAAAATTCCTGTTAGCATTGATTCTTTCTCGGTTGGTAAGAAAAAAGTTGCATGCAAGGAAAGGCCATAGTCAGGTCTCGGGGCGTATCCCGGACTTGTTAAGCATTGTCCGCAAAAAGATGGAGAAACATCTTTCAGACTGGTGCCAGCTGGAGTCTCTTCATGTGAGGCCAATTGAGTGTCGAGGGGCAGGTTGAAATTTTGCCCACAGCCCTCGTTCACTCAAGGGGATGTGTATTGGGAAGAAGGCAAGTCAATGCGCACTTACAGTTGAAATTATTAAGACGAGAGCAATAATATGAAAGGTGAAATAGAATAAAGAAGAGTTGAGGGGAAAGAAGAGCTATTTGAAGTGTTTGAAGCGCGGACGGAAGACTCTAGAAGGTGCACGTGACTGTGGATCCAGCTAGGCGATTTATCAGTTTCTACAGTTTCCAAATGAAGTCATTTGTTAACTAGTTACTACACAGTACTACTATCGGGTGCGTCTGTGTCCTGGTCCCACGCGCAGTCCAGTGTCCTTGAATGCAAAAGTATATCGCATTCCTCTTCGAATGCAAGCTCTAGTGTCGTGTGCCACTTGCTGTCCGTAACCTTCCCGACTACCGACCCCTTTTCCCTACGGAAACGCCGACTACGCCCTGCCTCGGGAGCGTAAGGTGGACTACCCAGAACATGTTCGGCATCTCATCAAGAACGAGAGCAGGATGGCTGTCGGCATTTCCGTAGGGAAAAAGCGTTGGTAGTCGGGAAGGTTAGGGACAGCACTTTTGCATTCATTCAAGGACCCTGGACTGCGCGTGGGACCAAGACGCAGACACACCCGGGGTTTGACTGGTTCGCCCCAGTCGACGAGTGGGACGGAGAGGACTGGCCGAGCGAGAGACCCCGAGTCCTCACCTACGTGAGGAAAGATCCGACCATCAGGGCCCAGCAGCACCGACCAGTCGCGTCACGGGACATGCTATGACTGACAATCAACGGAAGAAAGGTGTTGAACCTGTACAGGGAGCCCACAACACCTGAAGTCATCGACTACCGTACCCGGGAACAACTGTCTCGTGGGAGGGGACCTTAACGCAAGGCACGACACGTTCGAACCCGGCGCCGCGGGCCTCCATTATTGCCTGGAAAGTCCTCAGGGAACCTAAGGGATCATCTCGCCGCTCCAGGGTGGAGCATTGCCGAGGCGCTCCGCCACGGACCTCCTAGGTACATCAACAATGAACATGATGGGAAACATATGCATGGATGATACTATCATTTTATTGATTTACTCGCTCAAAGAAGCTCAATCAATACATCTTGTATTTGAAGCGCCTCATACATGAGACCAAATCTCAGTTGTCGCCGCTGCCTCGCAGCACTCAATACGTAACGAACGAATGGGTATATCACCGCTGAATTACTTTAAAAACCCAAAAAAGCCACCTCTCCTATTCCTCCAATCGTTCCAAATCCTCCCAACCATCCTCACTGACAAGCTGTTCCTTGACCCGTGCCCTGAGTCCCTCAATCTGGCTCCCCAATGCCTCAGTCCACTGACCCTCAACGGTAGCAACCTTATCCTTAAGATCAGTCGTAAGGGCCAGTTCCTCATCCGCACGAGTCTCCTGCATCTCCCTCCGTACATCCTCCTCCGCCTCTCCACGCTTGATGCGCTGCACCTCCACCAGTTTCTGATTAGCCCGCATAACAGCAGACCGCACCTCGTGCAGAAGACACAGTAGGTTCGTCTGCGACTCAATGAACTGGTAACTTGATTTCTCCGCATGCGACAGCAGAGTATACAGATACTGCAGCGGATGCTCGTGGTAGCTTGGGTTCTCCTCGTATTCGTCCGCGGGAATCTGCACCTGGAAACCGCGCAGGTCTTCAGGCACCTGCTGCACAAGAGCCAGCAGAGACGGGGCAATATCCCAAAATGCGGATAATTGCACCTCGACGCCGCGCATGACGTTCTGCTCGATGACATCCAGGAATGTTTCGAGGCGGGCGTGGGCCTCTTTTTCGTGCTGTACGCGCCGGTTTAGCGCGTCCTGTGTGAAGAATGCTTGTGTTTCGCGTAGCTTGTCCTCGTTCTTGCTCTGCTTGTAGGGTAGCAGTGCGACGGCCTTGTACTTGTCGTCGCGGTCGCTGATCAGGTCGAATGATTCGCGGTGGAGCTGCTCGCGCGCTTCGAATAGCCATTTTAACTGCGTCAGTTTCTCTAGGAGCTCGGGCTTTTCATCGCCTTCTTCTTGGGTTTGGTCGGGTGTCCCGCTTTGTGCGTCGTCGAAGAGCATGCTGCTCAGCTCGTCGATGCAGGCTGTTGCCCGGGCAATCCGGTCAATGAGAATGGCGTTCATCGGCTTGAGCACTGTCTCTTGGTAAGTGTCAAGCTGGCGTTTGAGCATAACTCTTTCCCGTTCGTTCTCCTCGACTATCATCGCGGCCTCCGCCTCTGCTGCCTCGGCAAATGTGAGACTGCCTTCTTGGATCTGGCTTTGGATGTTGGCCCGGAAGTTACGGTGACCTTCATCAACGCATTGCTGGTGCTCTTGAAGCATTCGCTCCACGTCAGCCTTGTATCGATGTCTAGTAGTTTTGATTTCCGTGAGATCGGTGATTGACCGGACAGTGGTTCGATGGGTGACCAAATCAGGATGACTGTTATTCACAGCAGGATGGTGCCGGGGATAAGGTGGGGGCAAGGTGATCAACCGCGAGATGTCCAGATTACGGCTTTCATAGCGGTATCCAGTTCCCGTGGAATTGGCAGGCGAAGACCCGTCATGCCAGCCGACCTTTTCGGGTGGATACTCATCGGAGCCATCCGGATTGCCATAAGTCATGCTCACGTCCTTGGGCTGAGAGGGAGTTAACTCCTGGTCCCACTGCATGGCCTCCCGGGGCAAGCCCATGTATTTTGATTCTCGCTTGGATCGTTGGAGCCTCCTCTCGGCTCCTTCGCCGCTTGAACCAGTCTTAGATTCCCACCAGCGGCTAGGTGCGCGGCCTCGCGAGCTTTCTTCGTTGCTCATATTCAAGCTAGCTATCGGAGACAGGCAAGGCTGGTAGTTGTTCCACCAGGTAGACTCTGGCCGACCCGCTCTATTTTGCGGGATATCCAGTGTTGGCTGAGGTTTAGGCTTCGGTGTTTGCTTGACGGGTAGACTGAAGAGGTTGCGACGTACATCGTCATCTTGGAAAGAATCCCAGACCTTGGAGTATCGCTGGCGACGGATCTGGGATTCAGAAATCATGTAATCTGCGAAGATCTTGAGTGCTTCCAGGTCATCTTCGACACTAGCCTCCTTCTCGATAAAAGCCTTGTGCCGTTGAACGGCATCCTGTAGGAAGGCAGGATCTTGTCTCAAAATAGATTCCATAGACACCTGCATCGGCTGTTGTCCAGGAGTTCGGCGTGGAGACAAAGGTTTCATCATGGAAATGGCATCGTTGGGCATGTGAAGAATATGAGAGAGTGGGCGGTCTTCTGGTCCTTGGGAAGGAGCGCGGGAGCGTGAGCGTGGCCGGACCTCTTTCGCCGAGTTCAAAGGCGGAGTTGGCAGTGCCTTTGGTGGTACTGCTTGACTGGCTTCTTTTGGATATGCCGAAGAGCCCGCTTCATTTGGATTTGGCGAGAAAGGAGGCGTATGTGCGAACGCAGCGGTGGGGCCGGCAGAGCTAGGTTGCTGTCTGGGAGTTCCGTAGGGCGACTGCTCTGGCAAGATACCGTTGGAGGATGCTCGAGAGCGCGTCGGAGCGAACTGTCCTTCTGACCTTGTGCTGCGGGTACTGAGGGGTGTTTGAGCGTGCTTGCCCGACGCCGGATGCCGATCTTGATCTGGACTATTATCTGGCAGAACCAAGTTCGATGGTTTGATTTGCTCGAGAGCTTCGGCCCAAGGATTACACGAAGACACCGCACTAGGAGGTTCGAAGACTAGGCTTTGCCGATTGCGTCGCTCAATTCGCCTTTCACGGATACCCTTAGCACTTGGATCACGGACCGCTGAACTGCGGAAAAGACCACCGCTTCCCGGTGTCCGCTGGTTGTTCGAGCTCTCATCTGGCTCTGGTGCCTTGGCCGCCTTTGCCGTGTCAATGTATAGATTTTCCGTTGGTCGACTGTTTAGATATCCCTCGTCTATCCAGTCGGCAGGTGTAGGTGGGATGCTTCCCAGTCCTGTACCTAGCACCGGAGGCGCCCTCCTCGTCGTCCTGGCCGACCCCTGTGGTGTCCTCATAGATGATTCCGACGAGCCGCTCGCACTGACAGACCTCGCAGCCGGTGGTGGCCCTGGAGGTGGTGGTGGAAGTGGCATTCCAGGCTCCCAGTTGCTATTTGACGGCGACCCAGTTCGTGTCTGACTCGTTGCCCTCGATGATCCCGCACTGCTTACTACCGCACCAGCAGATGCGGCTCTCCGAGACGACGGTGGCCGGGATAAACCCTCGAAGTGGGTACGGGTTGTAGAGGGTTGGTCTGTGAAGCCGTGCACAGGTTGGCCTTGGCCATACTCTGGAAATCTAGGCCTGTGGCTCACTGCGGCGTTGTATTGCGCTGCTTGATCATTATAGGGCATACCGTGGTATTCAACTCGACTTTGAGAAACAGATCTACTCTGCGGGGGAGGAGGAAGAGGAGGCGGGGGCAATGACTGGCGCTGGGCTCCGGGATCAGATGGGTATGCCATAGATGGTGGCCGTGGCCTGTTTGCAGCTCTTTCATACTGAGATATCTCAAATCCACCTTCCCTGTTAGGCGGAGATGGCGTGGCATTATAGTTAGGATTCGTGTGACCAGCAAATTCCCGGGGCATGTGATTTTGATTGCCGGGGGGTGAATATGGCGGGGGAGGTGGTGATACCGGTGCTTCTACTAAGACATCAACAGAAGTTCAAGCGGTCTTTGCTATGGCCCCGGAAGGCATGTCCAGTGGCTATAACTTACCTGGATCATTCCTCTGCGGTACTCGGCGCATAGTCCCTGGCTGAATATACGGCGTCTGCGGTGTCTGCCCCTGGGGCCTGCCAGGAGGACCCCAGTCCTGGGGATTATAAGGAACATTGTATGCGTTTCTGGACGCCATTGAAGACGATGAGACCGATCTGCCGTTGATAGGCGATGGAACACAAGGCGATTGACCGTGAGTGAATGGGCTCGAAAGCGATGTTGATGATAAAGGTGTCGGTGTAAGCCCAAGCCCCTGATACTGCGGAGCAGCCAGTCCTGTCGTCAACAAAGGCGGCTGCACAGCATGCTCTCGACGACCTGGTGATGGCTGATTGCTGGGACTCGCAGCTGTCGACGACCAACCCGAGTAATGATGGTTACTCAGCGGCTGCTCGACACCTGCATGATTTGAACCCAGCCAGCTAGACAGGGACAATCAGTTTGTCGTCCCAGCGTATATTTTCATGGAAAGAATTCCAGACAGGGAGTGGATGGGTCGCACCTATTCATACTGGGCTGTGCATCCGTTTAGGAGGCCCGATACGAAGCCATGGCGACGCGCCTCGATTGAAAGAAGGATCGCAAACTTTACAGACCGAGGGGAAAGCTATTGGCTTTCGTAAAACAGGCGAGACGCTAATTCTTCTATTCTTTGCACCCAACTGCGCGGAGGACGAGCTCGCGTAGACAGAAGTTCAACGCCAACATGCCATATTACTTACTACAGACCCCGGCCGGTGGCATATGCCGGGGGTAAAAGGATCTATATTTGGAACAGAAGGAGAAAGTATGCCTTCAATTAGCCTTGAAACGACAACGAATGAGCCTGGCCGAAGCGGGGATCCTCATGCACCTTGGGAAATTCTCATCACACGCGGGCCCAAGCTCGGCGCGTATCGTTGTTTATGAGAGGCCCAACGCCCTTGTCCCCGCATCAAAGCAGCAAACCACAAGAGGATCTTAGAGAACACGGGAATTTGTGAAGTTAACAAAGGGCCAACGGACAGGGGGCGTCCCGAAAAGTTGCCAAAAAAAGATCAGGGCTTGAGTAGAGGGTTCAAGATGCAGCTACGGACAGCCTTATGTTTTAAACAAGGATTAAAGTGTTTTTGAAGAATTCTTATTGGTTTTTCTCTAGCATAAACTCTTCACTATCTAAACTATTGCCGGTCTTCATGAAGACCAGGATGTGACCCGCCACGTGCCTCGGCCGAAGACCGAGGACGGCTCCGAAAGGATGAGAAGACCTATGTACTGATCGATATTAGTGTCAAGACTAACAAGCGATGGCAAGAAAAATCAAGTGATAAGAGGGATTTCAGATAAATGCCTTGTCACAGGCGGTGGTCGTCAATTTTAAATCCTTACGTTGACCGTCGTGATAAATTGAAGTGAATCATCATAAAAAGGCTGAGAGTGTAAGGCAGGAAACAATTGTCAAACTTACCCAAAGTAGTGAGGCAGAGCGCCAATGGCGTCTGCAAGATTTTAGCTTCGTCAGAAAGATCTGTTCGAGTTTCGTCAGCATCGCATACTGAATGATATTGCAGCAATGCAAGACAGATTCGAGACTGATCAGGCAGGACTTTTCTCGTCTTCGCCAGCAAGCTGACTTGGACATATGCTTGTCTTTGTTTGTGTCGTTTCATCATGTAGAGTCGAGGAATGAGGGAGATAGGATGTACATACACCCACAGTCAAGACAAAGAGGTATTGGAAATTCATGTTGAAAGATATCTAGTCTTCAAAAAAACATTAGCGATAGCCACAGAATTTTGATGAGTGAAGTTTGTGTAGGAATGGATGTCAGAAAGGCATGAATGGTATTAAAAAGATTGTGTCAGCATCGAAAACTCGAATCAGACTCGTCATCTAAAGGGTATCATCATAGAAGGTGGAGGAAAGGACAACAAGACTCAATCGCATACCTTCTACAGTTACAATTGGGTCACAAGCGTCAGGATCAAATAGGTTTCTATTGAAAAAGGGTTAGTGACTGTGTCACGCAACCATCTCACAGGTCCATGAATATATGACATGTCTCAGTGGGCGAGGTTTTCTAGGCCTGCCGCAAAATGGGCGTATCCATCATGACCGGACATTCTTTTGAACGCCGTCGGAGCCCAGTGCCGTTTCATCTTCGGACAGAAGGTGTTGTGGGAAAGGGATCGCTATGGGCTTACCATTTGAGCCAGCAGCGCAGAAACCTAGTGGTCTTTCAAAACATTAGCACATGGCCTGAAAAGATTTTTCAGGAGAGATGTAGAGAAAAATGGAGATCAGAAATAGCCATTAATTTTCATCACCGACCCGAAGGTCTGAGACGGTAATTTCCAGCGTATTTTCATACACATCGCGTTCATCATGATATAAGGTAAAGAGAGAGGGAAAGGGACATGGAAACTCACCATCTGCGCCTGTTGTGGGATGCGGTTTGCAATCGATGAGATTTTTCTGGAATCATTCTGGAAAGGCAAGTTAGCTCAGTCCAACTCGTTACATGTGTGATGGTTCAAAGTAATGAGGTGTGATCAGCCTGACGTGCAATAACATAAGTTTCATTCCCCTGGGGGTCAAAGACTCTAGTTTGTGTGGTTAAAGGTATCATCATGTTGGGAAAGGATGAGGAGGTGGAAAGAATAGACTGGGTAAGGTCTCACCATCGTTGCGGAACCTGCAGAGCAGCTGTTTTTGTTAATTAGAAAGACATTGATCACAATGTTATAACGAGCCAAGCCAAGTGGCAATTAATCTCAGTCTTCGTCCATAATGGATGCATTAACCATGCTGAATGAAGGTGAGCGCAGGATGATGGGAAGAAAAAATGTGAAAGCAGAAATTTGTAGTTTTTTCAAGCTCCGACGGCACGGAATCACCTTCAGCCGAGCCTAGTCTGCATTGGGACTAGCCTCTCATAGGCGAGTTTAGCTTACGTACGCGTCTTCCCCAATAATCGGTTCCCGCCGGAGCCAGCCACCGCTCAGCTCTTCTACAACATTAGGGACGTCCACTACACAGATAGAGGATAGAATATTTTGGATGAACATGTGCATTCTGTCATTAAATCACAGATCAATATCCAATTTGTGTAGCATTAGCATCGCCTTCTCCACATAAATCCCCAGACTCCCCTCAATCCTTACCGCTCAAGCGCAGTAACAACCTTAGGAACATACGGCTCCTCCAGATACTTGATCTCCTCCTGCGACAGCTGAACCTTGATAGCATCAACAGCCTCATCAATGCGCTTAACGCTATGCAGTCCAACGATCGGGTTCACGCCCTTGTGAGTCAAAGACCAGGCAATAGCGATCTGCGCCATGCTCACACCCTTCTTCTTAGCGAGTTCCTCGACGCGGTCAATAATAGCCTTATCGGCCTCTGACTCGCGGCTCCGAACAAACATCTTCAGCGCGCCGTCGCTGTTCTCGCGCACCGATTCACGCGAGCCCCACGGCTTCGCCAGTGCGCCCCGAGCAATCGGGGACCAGGGGATGAGGCCGACTCCAGTGTCCTGGCAGTAGGGAATCATCTCGCGCTCTTCTTCACGGAAGAGCAGGTTGTGGAAATTTTGCATGGAGATGAATTTGTGCCAGCCTTTGCGGTCGGCGATGTTTTGGAGAGTTTGGAATTCCCAGGCTGCCATCTGTAATTCGCCCATCGAATTAGTTTGGTTGTCACGAGGCAAGGGTAGTGCAAAAAGCAATTGAATATGGAAGAGAACGTACCGAACTGGCACCGATGTACCGGACCTTGCCACTCTCAACGACATCGTTCAGCGCTCTCATGATCTCCTCGCGCGGTGTTTCCCGGTCCAAGCGGTGGATTTGCAGCACGTCGATGTATGTGCCCAGACGCTTGACGCTGGCATCGACGGCGTCGAAGATATGCTTCCGTGACAAGCCGACACGGTTGACGATGGGCCCATCATTTGTCGCACATGCCGCGATAGGGGGAAGTCCCCCTCGTCGCTGACGTTGAAGTAGCACTTGGTTAGAATCACCACGCGTTCGCGAGGGATATTGTACTTCTTCAAGGCTTTTCCAACGATTTCTTCAGATCTACCGTGGGAGTATATGTCAGCCTGGTGAGTAAATGTCAGTGAAATAGGCTTAAAGGAACATTGCATATCGTAGTTTACCGTATCCCACGTGTTGATTCCCTGCTTGTAGGCATGTTCAATCAGAGGCAGTGAGTCTTCCTCATCCAGGACCCAATCTTGCCATTGCTTGCTGCCATAGCCCATGGTCCCCAATATAATCTTGGAGATCTTCAGACCCGAGTTTCCAAGGCTATTATTTGGCTGGAATCAGCTATTGTATAGAGGAGCATTTGCTGAAGGGGTATATACCGAACGTATTCCATCTTGCTGTCGGCCATCGCGAATAACTTGTAAATATGTCACAGATCTGGGATAAGTTCTGGTGATGATGAGAATGTCAGTTGGAAAGATATCTATATTTCTATCAGGTTATACAGTTACTCATGACCTATGCCCAGCCTTGGAGGTGATGAAGGTGACGTCAATACTGACAAGGGAGGGAAAGGACTTACTAAAAGCGTGCTAGAGAGAGTCCGAGTTCTGGGTATCGGTAAACAGCAAGGAAATCGCAAAGATTCGAGATTAAATAGTTATAAGAGTCAAAGAAGTTCAAGAAGCATTGGTAATCTACTATCTACTAACCGGCCCTAAGGCCCGTTTAAGGCCGGTTACCCCACCATCTGCCGGGATCGACAAGCGCCGGCGTATTACTAGCCGAGAAATAACCGGGACACGGTTCATCTACCGGTCCGCCACGTTTAATCTGATCGATCGGTCCAGGACATCGGATGCTGGATCCGTACATAAGCATTTGCACATTACCTGATGGCAATATGTGGCACGCCAACATTGTCGCGACAGTCGCACGTTCTCGGGTGATACTGATACTAACTAACTAGATCACAGTAGTTAACTAGTTAGTTAGTTAGTTAGTTAATGGGAGAATCGGACTTAGATGGGAGAGCCGCGGCGGTTACCGCCCGGACTTAAATGGTAGAACCGGATTTACCGGAGAACCGCGCTACCTCCAGAAGTGATGCGTCGGGCGTCGTGCTTAGGTGATGGATACGAAGAAAATGGAAGGGTCGAGACTAAATGTGTAAGTAAGTCACAATTGGGTAGGGAAATGGCTATCTTCCATTCTTCATGACTGATCTCTTATGGAATTGCATATCCCTCCTCGGCCTTCGTACTCCATTTCCGCAGAATGGAGCTCAGAAATCCTCTCCGGATGGAAGGCAGAATGGCGCTGGAATATCTACCATGTGGGTGGAATATGGTAGTCCTCACTGGGGTTGAACAGGTTGGCGCTAAACTACACCAAACCTAGGGGCCGGATCCTGCGATGCCGGCACAAATGGTACCTTTGTACTTCCTATAGTTAACTACAACCTGAACATAAAGTTAAAGATATTCGATTCCTCGTAGCAAGTGGTTATCATAACAAGATTCTCATAGTAGAAAAGGCTGTCAACGCACACATAATGTAAGAGATCCAACAGACCTATCCTTACGCTTTGGCTGATCGCTCACGAGAGTGTGTACCTCCGCCCAGCATGCGTAAAACCTGGCTCATCACACGAAACAGGATATTGCTTGGTGCGGCAAGTACTCGAGTAGCCAACTCGGCCCTCTTTTCCGGCCGTGAGACGGTGGTAGGGGGATGAAGCCAAGGGAATTTATTGGGCACGAAGCCATCTGCAGTGACACCGTTGCCAAAGCTCCCGTACTTCTCAGCGGGGTTTTCAAAATCAAGTTCAAAGTCTTCCCAGCGGATAATTTCGGTTGCTGCATAGTAGTGCAGGACGGTGCCGGGCCATGGAACAATGACTTTTCCATTTGCGTTTTTGTCTGTATGACCGGAAATTAGCGATTGATAACGCGAGGATACAAAGAGCTAGAGTAGGACTGTCGACTCACACCACGAGTTGCATGGTCCTGACCAGACCATATGCGGCATTCGTGACTGGACCCAATGGTTGAATGCAGTCTGTGCTTGTTCTTTCACGGCTACCGAGCGCAGTCTGTCGGTCTGCAGACGGGACAAAACTCGTGTCATGTAGTCGCTTGCTCTCTCGATGCCAGGAATAGCGGAGCCATTAACAGGGCAGATGGGTGGATTGAACACTGTGAGACACTTGTTAGAAATGATCGGCAACGACAACGCATTACCCTGCTCACCAAAGAAATTAGGGAACCCAGCAACCATTGCAGCCATATAGCTCTCGCAAGGTCCCTCTCGATCCCACTCTGCAGTCAGAGATCGTCCAGCACTACCAATAACGGGGAACCGTGGCTGGTATGGCTCGAATCCCGTAGCGTACACTATGATATCACATTCGTACTTATTACCAGACTCGGTGATGAGGCTGTTCTCTGTCAGCTTATTGATTGAGTCTTGCACATACACTGCATTAGGCTGCTGCAGGGCATCCAGATAGTGACTACCAGGCGTGAAGCGACGACAGCCAGCTTCAAATTCCGGCAGGAGCGCATTCAAGAGATCGGGGTTAGCGATCTTAGACTCCATAAATGACTGTGCCAGAGATGTGAATTTGGCTTGGGAATTGGTGCCTTTCCAGAGTCCAGGAAAGCCCGCTGCGAGTTTCTTCTGCAAGGTCACGCAAAAGTCATAGTATTGCGCAGGGCATGACTGGAGAGCTTGTTTCTGCTCAGTTGAGTCTAGATGCAAATTAGCATTCCTGCCATTGCTCATGTACTTCTTGTGTTGGAATGAGACTCACATTGCCGCTGAACAGCACCATCTTCGGAAAATACGTGTGGCAGAATCCAAGTCGGACCTCGAGCAATGTTGATTATCTTCGAAGCAACTGGGAAGCCCAAGTCAGCTTGATTCGTCTTCGAAGTGGTTCAACTCGGCGACTTACCTGGCTGCAAAGCTGCCACACATTGAACAGCACTTGCACCGTTCCCAATCACAATGATTCGTTTGTCTTTTACAGTCAGATCAATAGGCCAATTTGCTGTGTGCACTTGCTTTCCCCGAAAGACATCCTGGCCCGGGACTGTGGGAGACTTGTAGTTGTTAAGGCGTCCGACGGCATAAACAAAGACATCGGCAGAGATAGTCTTCTGTTCGTTGGATACCACATTGCGGAGCACGACTTCCCATTTCGAGGTAGACTCATCCCATCGAGCCAAGTTGCACTCCGTATTGAAAGTCATGAAGCGACGAAGATTGTGCTTGTCAGCCACATTCTCCAAGTATTTATGAATCTCCGAGGCCGGGGGATAGAGCGCTGACCACGATGGGTTCGGCGCCCAGCTAAACTGATAGGTGTGGGAAGGCACATCGCAAGTGCATCTAGTAGGGTCAGCCAAATTTCTCATCATCTCATCATATGGCTGACAGGGAAAACATACCCGGGATAGCGATTCTCATACCAGGTGCCTCCAAGGGTGGGATTTCTGTCGTAGATTTCGAGGTCAACACCTGATAGCGATGTTGTCGCGTCGTGCGCAAACTGAATGCCTGAAATACTACAAAGGGTCAGTCAGAGGTGGCTATTGCTCAAGCTTCAGCATGCACGTACCCAGCCCCGATGACTACGATCTTCAAGGGGCGTGCCAGGAAGGCACTCGGAATGAGGTCGATTGCCATTGCAGGTGGTGTGCAAGAAGAGTGGCACTGCAGGAGGGAAAAGCTGAAAAGACTTCCAGAGTATTGGGAGCATGTCCTTATAGGAAGAGAAGAGCACCTCAGCCCTCTCCCCTACATAGCCCACGTGCTGAGATCGAAAAACAAGATCTATGATAGTCCAATCAGCTAAGGTTGCAATCAAATAATTAAATTTTCTTTATAGTTATTGCGTTTTTATTTTACTTGGGCTCGATCCTGAATACATTGACGTTTTCAGATAAACCTTCGTACTCTCCACGGTCGAGAGAGCGGGAACACACGGCAAGGTACAGCACGAAAGCTTCGTGGGTGGATATAGTGGACAGCCCGATGTGACCCTTTGCAGCTGAACCCAAGCTCCCGGAAATATGATGCGAATGCCAAGTCAATGGATCTCAATGACCCTTGTAAGATCCCTGTCTGGTGCCAACAGGGGTTCGAGCGTGCAAGATTTGCTTTTTATTCAGGTCGATCCCATCTATAGATCGGCAATAGTTCGTGCCCCAAGCTTGGAAATATCTCGTCTGACCCCTAGTGGGGCTGATTTAGGCTTCACTAGTAGGAGATCGGAATCGCCGTTGAGATCTGCAAGATTTGAAGACAGGTCAGATCCATGTACTTTTGTCACGAAGATCTCTCCACATTCGAGCAACACAAAGGGACTGTCTCCATGGTTGAAAAACATGAGAACAAAGCTGGCTGGGTACAATGCAATGGACAAACACGCTAACCCCTGAGAAGCAAACAAGCGAAGAAAGCTCTTCAGATGTCGCCTCGTTTTTCATCCCTACTCCTGCCATCCCTCCCAGTCGTTTCTGCCATGACTATGATGACTTCAGACCTGACCAACCATTTCTCAAGCCAAGATCATTGATCATCCAGCAGTCCTCCCGCCTATCATCGTTCTTCGGTTGTCTGCCTCCCCACCCCCCATGCTGATCACCAGCCTTTGGATTAAGTACTCCAGCCCATGACAATTAATGCCGACAGAAGTACTCACAATAGCCAAAGGACATACTCAGCCCCGAATCGGAGCCATTGCATTTCGTCCTACTGGAAACTCCTATCAGATCTTTCCATGCCAGTCGGGTGAATGCATCCGAGCCATATGCCGGAAACCGGAAGATACCTCTGGTGGTCCCGATGCTCCAAACCGGTGGTGTCCTTAACTATCCACCTCTGAAATAGAGAAACGGCGGTAATAGTAGGATGCAGGTCAAACCCCAGGCATCCCGCTACCATCCTCGAGTCGGGCTACAAAGCCGTTATTTGCTACTCGAAGAAGATGATCTTGATCCCTTAGTCTTACGACCTGACAGAATGTGCTATTTCTTAAAATGCAACCGGCATACACGGCGGGGGCTCTTCATCGGGCGATTGTCCCGTCGCAAATGGCCAACATAAATACCAACCTCACGACGGTCCCGATAGCAATGATGATTGATGACCGATGGTGGGTTGCTGATCTAATCGATCTCTTGGATAGTCAGTTAACTAGCTCTCGTCTCTTCGTCCCTCGTGCTATGCTAATGACCTGGCCGCCCAAGTAGGTCGAGATCTCCAAATTGACAGGTAGTCATAGACATGTCGGGAGGAATAGACTGCCAATCTTGAATGACATGACAACATGGTGAAACACTGGTTATCCACAGAAGGCATGCCAATCTTGATCCCCTCTAAGCTGCTAGAAAGTTTGGAAAGGGTGCAGTACAGAGGTCTCCGAATATTCGGGTCATAACTTGCAAGTAGTAGTTGGAAATGATTTGTTGAGATCGTTGACTTCACCACATCCGCCTTCTTCGATTCTGCCAGTTTGTGCGTTCTGACCGCCACCCCTCCATGAATCAGGCGGTGAATGGCTTGTGGGGAAGGTTCAAGCCAATAAGCACGTCCAATTTCACGAATGGCGGCGAAATCGGACTTAGCCGCCCCTCGGTCTGGGGGGGCAGCCAATTTCTAAAAATGAAGTGACTCATCTTATCTTTTTCCACTCTACAACTTTTTGAAGATAACTGCAACCATGGCTGCAGGAACGGCCTTGCAGGACCGCCTGGAGATATGGGCACAAAGGTTGAGCAACCTGACTGTCTCGCCATTGACCCGCGATTATCCCGATACACAAAAGCCCGAGAGCAAGAGAGCTATTGAAGCTTTCGAGTCTCTCCAGCTCCCCAAGGAGACCCAATTGCAGATTCAAAAGTTTGCAGGGCCCTCTTTTACCGTTTTCCTGACTGCCTTTGTGGTTCTGGTCGCTCGATTGACCGGTGATGAGGACATTGCAGTGGGGACAAGCTCTGATGAGGATGGCCGTCCATTCGTCATCCGGGTCCCCATTGATACCTCGGAGACCTTTTCCCAGCTCTATGCCAAAGTAGACAAGGTATGCTTGTCTCTTTCTATGTGCTGAATTAGCTCACTAATAGCTTTGCAGGCATTCCAAGAGGGTTCTTCCCAAATCGTGCCCTTGGGCAGCCTTCGCTCGTATATCCAAGAGAAGTCCAAGTCCGAACGCACTCCGGTCCTTTTCCGATTCGCTGCATACGATGCCCCTGCTGCCTCACAGGATTACCCTGCGAACACCTTCGATGATACTGATTTGGTGGTCAATGTTGCATCAGCAAAGAAGTCGGAGACGGGGATGGAATTGGGTGCATACTACAATCAGCGCCTCTTTTCGAGCGCCCGCATTGCCTTCATTTTGAAGCAACTCTCGGCCATTGCCAGCAATGCTGCTGCTAACCCAGAGGAGGCCATCGGACGCATCGATCTGATGACCGAAGATCAGCGCGCACTGTTGCCTGACCCGACGTCCGATCTGAACTGGTCTAAGTTCCGCGGTGCTATCCACGACATCTTCTCTGCCAATGCTGAAAATCACCCCGACAAGCTGTGTGTGGTTGAAACTGAATCGAACAACACCCCGCACCGTGAGTTCACCTACCGTCAGATCAACGAAGCTTCGAACATTCTCGGCCACCATCTGGTGCAGTCTGGAATTCAACAAGGAGAGGTCGTTATGGTCTATGCCTACCGTGGTGTGGATTTGGTGGTTGCTGTGATGGGTATTCTGAAGGCCGGTGCGACTTTCTCCGTCATCGATCCTGCCTATCCCCCGGAACGCCAGAACATCTACCTTGACGTTGCTCGCCCTCGTGCCTTGGTGAACATTGCCAAGGCCACAAGAGATTCGGGAGAACTTTCGGATATTGTGCGTACTTTCATCAACGAGAACCTGGAACTCCGCACTGAGATCCCTGCGCTTGCCCTGCTCGACGATGGGACCCTCGTTGGTGGATCTGTCAATGGCCAGGATGTCTTCGTCAATGAAGTCGCACTGAAGTCCAAGCCCACTGGCGTCGTCGTTGGTCCAGATTCCACTCCTACATTGTCTTTCACTTCCGGCTCAGAGGGCCGACCGAAGGGCGTTCGTGGCCGGCATTTCTCCCTGGCTTATTACTTCCCCTGGATGTCTAAGACTTTCAAGCTCACTCCAGACGACAAGTTCACTATGCTGAGCGGCATTGCTCACGACCCTATTCAAAGAGATATCTTCACCCCGTTGTTCTTGGGTGCTCGACTTTTGGTCCCCGCTCGGGAGGATATTCAGAACGAGAAGCTTGCCGAATGGATGAAGACTCACGGTGCCACTGTCACTCACCTTACTCCTGCTATGGGTCAGATTCTTGTCGGTGGTGCCTCTGCTCAATTCCCCTCTCTTCACCATGCGTTCTTCGTGGGTGACATCTTGATCAAGCGGGATTGCCGCTCACTCCAGGGACTTGCGCCTAACGTGAATATTGTCAACATGTACGGAACCACTGAGACCCAGCGCGCTGTCAGCTACTTCGAAATCCCCAGCTACGCCAGTCACGAGGGCTACCTGGATACTATGAAGGATGTGATTCCTGCTGGCCGTGGAATGGTGGATGTGCAAATGCTTGTTGTCAACCGTTATGACCCTACCCGCCTCTGTGCCATTGGCGAGGTCGGCGAGATTTACGTTCGTGCGGCTGGTCTTGCAGAGGGCTACCTGGGTTCCCCCGAGTTGAGCGCGAAGAAATTCCTTGCCAACTGGTTTGTTAAGCCCGAAGTCTGGACCGAAAAGGATAAGGCCGAATCTCAAGGCAAGGACGAGCCTTGGCGTCAATTCTACGTCGGACCGCGGGATCGTCTGTACCGCAGTGGCGATCTGGGTCGGTATACACCATCTGGCGATGTTGAATGCTCTGGCCGCGCCGACGACCAAGTGAAGATCCGTGGTTTCCGTATTGAGCTCGGAGAAATTGATACTCATCTCTCCCGGCACCCTCTGGTCCGTGAGAACGTGACCCTCGTGCGAAGAGATAAGGACGAAGAACCTACCTTGGTCAGCTACTTCGTACCCGATATGAACAAGTGGGCTGCCTGGCTGGAGAGCAAGGGCCTCCAGGATGATGACTCTGCTGAGGGCATGGTCGGCCTCTTGCGGCGATTCCGTCCTCTCCGCGACGATGCCCGTGAGCATCTCCGGAGCAAGCTCCCTACATACGCAGTGCCGACTGTCATTATTCCTCTCAAGCGCATGCCTCTGAACCCCAACGGAAAGATTGATAAGCCTGCACTTCCTTTCCCCGATACCGCGGAGCTGAGCGCTGCCGCACCCCGCCGCCGCTCATCTGCTATGCAGGCTCTCTCCGAGACTGAGCAAACCCTTGCTCAAGTCTGGGCCAAGCTCATTCCCAATGTGACATCTCGCATGATCGGGCCGGATGACTCTTTCTTCGATCTTGGCGGCCACAGTATTCTTGCACAGCAAATGTTCTTCGAGCTCCGTCGCAAATGGCGTGGCATTGATATTAGTATGAATGCTATTTTCCGTAGTCCGTCCCTCAAGGGCTTCGCTAGTGAGATTGATCGCTTGTTGGCTCTAGAGTCATTCGCAACAAGTGACGACAAGACCGTTGCCGGAGCCGTCCAGGCCTCCAATGAACCGGATGACGAATACTCGAAAGATGCCGTCCAGCTTGTCAATGAGCTACCTGAGAGCTTCCCTGAGCGTACCGAGGCTATGCTCACCACTGAGCCTACAGTGTTCCTTACCGGAGCCACTGGCTTCCTAGGCGCACACATCCTGCGGGATCTGCTTACCCGCAAGGCGCCTTCGGCCAAGGTAGTGGCTCTTGTTCGGGCTAAGTCCGAGGAGCAGGCACTTGAGCGTCTTCGCTCCACTTGCCGCGCATACGGTTTCTGGGATGAAACATGGACCTCCAATCTGCAAGCCCTCTGTGGTGACCTTGGAAAGCCCCAATTCGGTCTTTCCCAGCAAGCGTGGGAGGATCTCACCAACCGTGTCGATGCTGTGGTTCACAACGGAGCCCTTGTCCACTGGGTCTACCCCTATGCTACCCTCCGACCAGCTAATGTTATGGGCACCATTGATGCCCTGAAGCTTTGTGCTAGCGGAAAGGCCAAGCAGTTCTCCTTCGTCAGTTCCACCAGTGCTCTGGATAAGGACCACTACGTTCAAGAGTCCGAACGTATCATCGCCGCTGGTGGCAATGGTATCAGTGAAGATGATGATATGGAGGGCAGCAGGGTTGGCCTTGGTACGGGTTACGGTCAGAGCAAGTGGGCTGGAGAATACCTCGTCAAGGAGGCCGGTCGCAGAGGCCTCAGGGGTACCATCGTCCGCTCAGGATATGTCCTGGGTGATTCCACCACTGGAACTACCAACACCGATGACTTCCTTATCCGTATGCTCAAGGGTTGCATCCAGGTCTCGGCTCGGCCTAATATTAACAACACCGTCAATATGGTGCCGGTTGACCACGTTGCCCGCATTGTTATTGCCTCTGCTTTCCACCCGCCGAGCAAGGGTGTCAACGTCGCTCATGTCACCGGCCACCCTCGCCTGCGCTTCAACCAGTTCCTTGGCGCTCTAGAGCTCTATGGATACAATGTTCCTCAGGTTGATTACGTGCCCTGGTCTAATCTCCTGGAGCAGTACGTCAATGATGGCGAGCATAACGATAAGGAGTCTCAGCATGCTCTGTAAGTTCCCTTTCCCGATAGGTTGTCCCCTTTCGATCCGTCAAATGATACTAATATCCCTTACAGCATGCCACTCTACCACTTTGTCACATCAGACCTTCCCTCCAACACCAAGGCTCCGGAGTTGGATGATGTGAACGCAGCCGCGGCCTTGCGGGCTGATGCCGCCTGGTCCGGCGTTGATGTATCCGCCGGTGCTGGCGTAACCGAGGAACTAGTTGGTCTATATGCCTCATACCTGGTGCAAACTGGTTTCCTCCCTGCACCAACCATCTCTGGAGCTCGTCCGCTGCCCGCTGCCCAGATCAGCGAGGAACAGAAGAAGACCCTATTGAGTGTCGGTGGCCGTGGTGGTGCCGCTTAAAAGCGGGGGGAAAAAATGTATATAATTCGATTTTAAGCATATTTTATGAGATAAAGTGAGACTCCGGTCCACTTCAAAAGATAAATGTGGCTTGTAACCTATAGAATCTATATCTGGGCTGGTTCCAAGGTTGAGGCTTTTCGACTCAACGTAAAATGCCCCGTTCCGATCTGCCCCTTACGTTCCCCCCCCCCAAAGACTCACCGTTTTCCCGACCACACCCCCACTGCCCCTCGTGCAAGTTAATACACAGTACATTCATCGCAATACCCTCTCGCTCTTCTTTCTCATATACCTCGCTCTTTCCGTTCTCCAATTACAGCAAAATTCATCATGTCTGAAAGTAAGTGATAGCGGGCACTGTTTTTGCGCGCGTTCTTGGCGAATCCAACTTCGCATCCCATCTTTTCCAACTTCCCCATCAATTTTCCCACTTCCCTGTCTTCATCTCAACCCTCCCCCAGGGTAGCACGTCGATTATACTGTCTGAGTTCTGTGAGAACAATTGTCGCGATTAACTGTCATACCTGACCATCCGTGCAATTCTTCGTTCTCCGGTCTCCCTCAGTCGGCTGCCCCTCAGGTCCCGTCCATTTGTTGTCATCATCCACCCTCTTCTGTCTGTTTCCATGAGTGCTGTGAGAGTCGCCAGCCGGTCCGGTGTCCTTTCGCGGGTATTGGGGGCTTCTTGGAAGTCTTCCGGTCTCGTGCAAGTGACTCGGTCCCGTGTGACGCATAGCCTGCCCAATCCCTCGGCAGCTCGTGCTCAGCCCTTCTCAATGACCACGCCCTTCTCCTGCGCCAATCACACAAGCGCCACCGCAGCTCCTCAATCAAGCACGGAGAAAAGTGCCAATGCCAAGACCCAAACTGACATGGACACCTTGAACTCCGCAGATCGGTACGCGGCAGCCTTGCGCAACAACAAGGAATGGGCTGCCCAGGTAGCCCGCGAACAGCCCGATCTCTTCCCCACCCTCGCAAACGGCCAGAAGCCCCAGATTCTCTGGATCGGATGCTCCGACTCCCGCTGCCCTGAAACCACCTTCTTGGGTTTGAAGCCTGGCGACGTGTTCGTGCACCGTAACATCGCCAACGTCCTCCACCCCGGCGACCTCAGCTCCTCCGCCGTCATCGAATACGCTGTACAGTATCTGCGCGTCCAACACGTTATTGTCTGTGGACACACCGCCTGCGGTGGTGTCGCGGCCGCCATGGGAAACAAGAACCTGGGAATTTTGGACCCGTGGCTGTTGCCCCTTCGTCAGCTGCGCGAGCGCAACCTTGAGCTCCTCCAGTCACTGAGTCCCGAGGATGCCGCGATGAAGCTGGCTGAGCTGAACGTTCGCGAGGGCCTGAACATTGTCAAGCAGAAGAGTGTTGTGTTGAGCGCCATGCAGGAGCGTGGACTTGAGCTGCACGGGTTGATTTATGATGTTGGCTCGGGTGTCCTCAGTGAACTGGACACTCAGGATTCCGAGGAGGCGATCAGGGCTCGTTTGACTGCATTTAAGACGGAATGAGTTAGCTAGCGGCCTTTTAGGTGTTGGGGTTTTTTCTTCGGCCGAAGGCCAACTCAGCATTGCGAATTGTAACTAGCATGGAATTTCGTTGTTCTAGATAGGGACAGCGGGACAGTTGATATTTGATGATTTTATGAGAAGAATTATACAGGGGAAGTTTCTATTTTTCCATTTCTTGTAGGGAATTTCTCTTCCTAAATGTTACCCCTCAAAATCGTATGGCATGATGTGTGGAGCTTGAGGGATCCGCCGCGACCAACGAGCTGTCTCAGAAGAACAGCGCCAATTGAGCGTGAGATACAATTTTATGGCTTGCCACTGAGTTGCCAGGCTTGGACATTTTAGTGTCCAATTCAAGCGTCAAAACTAAAAGACTCAAAACTGTCAAGTGAGTTATGCGGGATAATCTGAGCTTGTGAATCTATGCAATGTGCAACAGGCACGTGGATGCCACGTGACTCAAGACCTTTCTCTTTCTCTACGGAGTACACAAAACCACCAAACTACCAGGCCCCTTACCACTATGGCCACTGGACTTGGACTGAATATTTGCCCTCCGACGTACCGCACGTAGTAGAGAACGACGAGTCAGCGAAGTACGCTTTCCTCGTGAGAAATACGATATGCTACGACGGACTCAAGAGCCTGTCAATTGATCCCATGATTCCCATCGTGCAAAGCAAGCACCTCGAATTTTCCTGGGAAAACACTAGCAGATTATGTGAGAAGGGGAAAACCTTGTGACGTACACAATACTGTGTATAGTGAGGAAAGAGATTCCAAGACAGTGGGATCCCAAAGGATTCAACGCTGACACTAAGCCTGTGCGTCTGTCATATTCCATCTTATGAACCAATTAGGAATGGTTCGGGCAGAGTTAAGCATAGTGTCTGTTTCAAGTTTTCAACGTGCTCTATCTTCTCTCAGTGGCATCTATGACTTAATTTGGATATTTACTGCGTGTGATGTGTTCACAACCTAGCCGAGGCACCACCCGAAACCAAGGAGTGAATTGACGTCTTCGTGCATTGTATTATAGCCGGCACTATCCGAGTACGAAGACGTGGCAGCCGCAGGCAACAACGAAAACCCGGGGGCCGAGAGGTAAGACGTTCTCCTCATTTAAATCAACCAGAACGAGTTAGGATCGGCTCAGCCTTAAGGCCCCCAACGTGAAAGTGCCGTAGGCATAAAAAAAGAAAAACTTCCGGTAAGGTCCGGCCCCCACCCCTGAGCCTGAACCATTGGGAGGACTTGGAGCCAACACCCACATCTTCATATCTGCCCTCAATGCTTTCGAAATTGAATTCATCTCGGTACTCATAAGGCTTGACATGTCGATCTCTTCCCCGGAACGTCGATCGTATCGATCGACAACATTCACATACACATCCAGTCCTCAAACCGTACTGGAAGGGCTCGAGACCCCTGACTCAGGTCGGATGTCGGCGCCATGTCTTGGCTAGTGCAGCCAAAATGCATGGCGCACGATCCGACATTTGAATCCAGAGACGATGTGGCGCCCATGGCCGATGTTGTGGAGACGAGAGCAGTTCAATTTCTTTTCCCTATTTTTCCCTTTTTCTCCTCTTGTCTTCTTCTCCCATTTATCATACAATTCCCCCTTTTATCTTTGTACAGACTCGGTGTATAAGCGGTGGGAATAGTCCGCATTGAAATAATTTCCTCATGGTGGCCACTTTTTGAACGTTGGGCCATGATGAGTGTCGTTCGTTTTCATCATCCGCAGCGCTTGATTTTGTCGGTATTGGTGCTTTCCGGTCTCTGCTCCAAGTTACTTCACATATACCAGCATCGATCGCTTCCATGGTACCTTCTAGCCCTCTATTTTCCAACATTCTTCATTGAGGAGGCTCTCCTATTCGTTGCAGTATGGATTCTCTTGTATACAACCGCCGGTCGGTGGTCAGTGGCTGCCGTCGTTGTTTCGGCGCTCATCTCGTTCGTTCGCCTTTTCTTTTCCTCTTCTTCTCCTATCCCCTTCCCTTGCAATGGCAATAATTGACGAGTTACCCATAGATGCACTGTCCTATTAGCAACGGCGTCACAATTCAGTTTCTATTCTCAGACCGGCAGCGAAATTCGATGGGATGCGGCCCGATCCGTGGGTACCAGTAAGCAGGGAATGAAGTTGATATTGAGCGGGTTGGTGCCTATGGCAGCGACGACAAGCGTGATCGCAGTGGCTTCTTGGCTGTTGGCTCAGGGGATCTGGAATCTCATGAGCCGCTGGTTGTGCTCGCTCTCCGGTCTCGGAGACGCGACATCATACCAGATGCTGCCGGGCCCTTCGGATTTGAGAAAAGTAATGTCCAACAAATGGCGGTTTTGGACAATTGTTGGCACCGGAGTAACGATCGGACTCTGGGCAATCCGCCCAGCTATCCCGTATAACCACATGACAGGGGCTTTGCCCTTCACCATGCTCGGCGAGCACTCTCGGGCCCGTGCAATGGTAACTGATACGTTTCCGCTGCCAGAATTGCTGGCAGATGAACACCACGAGCCGGTCAACGGCCATTATAAGGGGTGGGCACCGACGTTGGATGAATCGGGTCACACTTCTTATGGAGAGAATAAGCCGGCGTGGGCACAGGGCCACCTTCCTCCTGCATTTGAACGATGGATCGTGAATCCTGACGAAATTGACCCGGAGATCAGTTTGGTGCTGAACACGACTGATCCTAAAGATGAGAACACAACAGTCGTGCCTCGCCACTACTTCTACAACCCCGTTCAAGATCCCATGCGGATATCCAACCTTGATCTGGAACCGCTTGCTCCTCTGCAGGAGGCTCTGAAGGACCACGCCATCCCGATCAACCACATTGTCTTCGTGTTTTTAGAAAGCGGTAGAAAAGATCTCTTCCCTCTCACGAACACCTCTCGCTTGTACGACCAAATCCGCGAATCATACGGACCCATTGGACCGGAGGATTTAGCCGATCTTCATGACAAACTATCTCAAGTTACCCCTGTAGCAGAAATGCTCACAGGGGAGGAATCCGGTTTCGGATCACCCCCTAACAGCACCAACAGCGGACTTGGTGGTCTCAGCTTTGACGGGATCCTGTCGGGGAGTACCCTCTCCGCCAAATCGCGTCTTGTCAACTACTGCGGACTTGGCCCGCTCCCGGTGGACTTTATGCATGAAAATGATATCATTCCATACCAGCCGTGTCTGATGCACATCTTGGATCTGTTCAACCAGCGCAAGAATCCTACTGTCGCCGATAAGAATTCCTCTTCCTCTGCAAATTCCACAGTCAGTCACCTTGAACGGCAATGGCAGACCATTTATGCGCAATCTGTCACTGGAGAGTTCCAGTCGCAGACGAAGCTCATCGAGATGCTCGGCTTCAATCAGTCATTGTATTCGGAAGACATTGACGTGGAGGGGGCCAAGTATTTCCACGAGGGGATGGAAAAGATCAACTACTTCGGGTATGTTGTCGAACTCGGCGATCATCCGTACATCTGTACTAACTTCATACAGTTATGCCGAAACTGAGGCCCGCCCCTATATCAAAGACTTGATTGATGAAACACTCCGTCAGAACAAAAGACTCTTCCTGTCCCATTTCACCAGTACCACCCACCACCCCTGGGGTACACCCGAGGGCTTCCCCCGCGAAAAGTATTTCGGCGACGCCAACCACGAGCACATGGATGGTTTCCTGAATGCCAACCGCTTCGTCGACACATGGCTAGGCGATCTGATGAGCATGCTCAGCGAGGCCGGCATTGCCGATGAAACCCTGACCGTCTTTGTGGGAGACCAGTAAGAGCAATCTTCCCACCCCTAACATCCCCAAATCTCCAACCTCTAACCACCAAAAAAAACAGCGGCCAAGCCTTCGAAGAAGACAGCAAAATCACAGGAACCTACCACAACCCCCACATCAGCAATTTCCGCGTCCCCCTCCTCTTCCACCACCCCCTCCTCCCGCGAATGCACCTCAAAGTCGACGGCAGCGCAATCTCCATCCTCCCAACAATCCTCGACCTCCTCGTAAACACCAATTCCCTCAACGCCATCGACAAAGAAATAGCCCTAGACCTGATGAACGAGTACGAAGGCCAATCCCTCATCCGACCCTACCGCACCTCCCAGAACGGCCGCGAAGCCTGGAACATGGGTATCATCAATGCCGGTGGCTCGATGCTGAGCGTTGGGTCGGCTGCCGTTCCCTGGCGTCTCAATCTGCCTCTCAACAATGACTTCGAGTACCGCTTCACGCACCTGGAGAAGGATCCGTATGAGCTTGAGCCCATTACGGGGTGGACTATGGGGGCGCTCGCTGCTGAGGTGTACTCGAGGCATGGGGCGGAGGCATTTGACTGGGCGGAGAAGGCGGAGAAGATTGGGCTTTGGTGGGTTGCTGAGAGGAAGAAGCTTTGGAATTATCGGGATCCTGATCAATAAGGATGTGTTTTTTGATTATTCTGTTGGTTCTTGGAGCGATTTGCATTGGTTGCTGGCTTTGTGACCTGTCTATATTGTGCCATTTCTGGGTCTGTATTATACAACATAGCCGGGTTGGACCTGGCTGTACATAGGCAATATACAATATCTTACACACACGTACTTGGAAAGAGTCATTGACAGAATCACCTATGTTTACAACAAATGGCAGAACGCAGGCGGTAAGTCCATTGTAATGCAGGTCATCCGCCAAGTGCAGTAGCCTTAGTGCAGGAGCAGTCGGGATTCTTATGTTCTTTGGGAGCTGAAGCTATCCTAAGTCCACATGCTATTCAGTCTGTTCGTGCTGATGAGTGATGGCAGTGACCTTCATATCCAGATGATCGTCGCAGAATTCACCATTCCTGTGTTTCAACCCCTTTGGCTGCGTCAGAGGGCCCAATAACGTGGGCCCTCTCCCCTTCAATTGGCCCCACGGGCCCCGACAGTCTTCGATCCGCGAATCTCTTGCCCTGTCTAGATTCCCGGGCGAAAATGAGTCTTTCTTTTCCAACTCCTGACTGATTCCCTATATACGCTCATTGAATAATGCTAGGTTTTGGCGTCTCATTGCTGTTATGGCTGTGCCAAACAGTGTCGGCGCAATATACTAGCGATGACCTGATGTCATTCGTTACAGTCCGTGTCCCAATTTCCCCAATTCCCCAATTCCCTTCCCAAATTGATCCACTGACACGGTGTTCAACAGCTGCCCAATATCCGCGCAGCGAAATTCGACGTCCAATACCATAATCGCGAGCGCGTAAGCCCCGGTTACTGGTTCGTCTCTCCCTACCTCCACATCGGCCCCGATAAGCCCAGTAGCCTGTACGAGCCATACCAGATCGGCCCGCATATCTATGATGGCGAAGGAGTGCGTTTTTGTCCCCCGATGCGATAACATCACCGTAGCTGACAATGTTTCGGCGCAACAGCGTCTCATTTGGACCGGTTCGCAGCTGTTCGATAACCGGAACGTTTTTGATTTCAAGGCCGTTGACAGTCTAGGCCCGGAGCCACGTCTCTCGATGGTCTTGCAATACTCGTGGGATTCGAAAGAAGATACCGGGTATGGGGTGGTCTTGACAAATGATTATAAGGTCGAACGAAAGCTTCCGCTCCGGAGAGACCTTGGTCTTTTCGATATTCACGAATTCAAGATTCGGGAAGATGGAAAGACAGCGCTGGTCACTATCTACCTTTCGCACGAGATTACCTTGGCGGAATTTGGACGTCCGGAGGAGACTACTTGGTTGGAGACCGGTGGATTTGCTGAAATTGATATCAACACGGCCGAGGTCATTCAATGGTGGGACTCTTACAATCACATTACTTTGTCTGAGGGTGTTCATTACCACCCGAATACTCCGCCAGAGGGACATCCCGGCTGGGATTATGTGCATGTCAACTCCGTTGACAAAAACGACGCTGGGGACTACTTGCTCTCCGCCCGGTTCACGAATACCATTTACCTGATCTCCGGCATAAATGGAGACATCATGTGGCGATTGGGTGGAAAATATACCGATTTCGAGCAAGACTTTATGTTTTCAAAGCAACACGACGCGAAATTCATCGAATCAAACGGAACGCACCACATCATATCATTCTTGAACAATGCATCGGACGAGGAATTCAACGAGGAAAACATCTCAGCTTCACTATTTGTCGAATTAGACACAAGTGTGACCCCCAAGACTGCCAGAGTCCTTCATCGCTACAACCGTCCCGATCAACAACTCTCGCGACTCCGCGGCAATACCCAGCTTCTGCCAAACGGCAACGTATTCACCTGCTGGAGCAAGGAGGGCTATATTTCCGAACACGCCGCCGACGGAGAAATCCTGTACACTGCCAACTTCACCTCCCCACGCTATTCATCCTATCGTGGCTACAAATTTGAATTTACCGGAAGGCCCTCCGCCCCACCCGACCTCGTAGCATCCGTCCTCGGCACCGACGAAACCAACATGGTCACCACGTTCTGGGTCAGCTGGAACGGTGCGACGGATGTTGCATGGTGGCATTTCTACGCGCAGGCCTCGGAATTCACCACCCCCGTTCTGATCGGCAAGACCGCGCGCGATGATTTCGAAACCACCTACACCGGCCACGGATATCTGGACTGGGTATCTGCGGAAGCAGTCGACGCCAATGGCACCGTCCTGGGCAGGTCTGAGGTGTATCGCAGCAATCATCCCGACTGGGCAGCTGTCGGATACAAGGGGAAGTCGAACCCGCCTGCGCCTATCGACCCGTCGATTGTCTATGGCGTGGGAGATCACAAGGTCGACGACGCTGGCCACACGTCTTCAGATGCCATCGACACCCAGACTCAGAAGACGATTCAGATCCTTGGCCATGCCTACGACGCGATTCACAATATTAGTGGCTTCTTCTCGTTCCTCTTGTTGCTCGGTTTCTTCGCCGCTGTCGTTGCCGGATATTTGGTTCTCCGTGGCTGGCGGCTACGAGTTTACCAGCGTCTTCCTAGGGAAGATGCGTTTCTGAGTGAGCGGGCGCGTCTGGCATCGCCGCATCAGGATTGAGGCTGTATCTGGGTTGTTGGTCGACGACATTGGGAAGGAGGTTTTGCATTGTTTGCGGGAGTTTTGTATATCATTTGCGATCTTCACTGTATATAGTCAATGCAGCTTGTATGCTTGTCTCCTTGATAAGTGGCGTTGCATAGCGGATTTATACCCAAAAGGAGCATTAGATGGAAACAAAGGGCCCTCAATTCGGGCCCAGGATAAAAGATAGAGAAAACAGAGAAACACAAACATGATTTTGCAACCATCACATTCATTTTTTCGCGGAACCCTCAATCCTTCCAGTTATTCTACCAACCAAAATACGGTATCACTTTTCTGTTCTGTCTGTTATTTACTCTTATTCCCCGTGTCGAATCGCTTGCTTTCATCCTGTTGGAAACACATCTTGCCTTGTCCAACTTTCCCGTACCTCCGACAAGATTTTTGCCGGGCCTGCGGCCCAGCGAGAGATGAACCTGGAATCACTCAAGTAACCCGTGAAGCGCGTACCTGGCCTGTAAGTATTAACAGTATATAGTTAGTACCTTTCTAAGTCTATAGCAATAACAATACTCCGTTCAGTTGTCAGTATCCACTAGGTTGTGGGTGCTGAGTCCCGGACGGCTTAGGGAGCTTCCCGTCAACAGGCAAACCTCGCCAACTGGCAGGCCCCTACGAAATGCCCAATAATCCCTCAGAGACAGCATGTATGTAAAGAACTAAAGATCATCATCATCCCACAGTGACACGTGCTACGTCTGATCTGCTGTTTAATTCTATGGCAGAAGGTAACTATCAATTTTTAGATAGCTTTCATCAAGCTAGATACCTCCAGGTTGATGTGAGCCTTTAAACATCCACCCCAGGTGGGGGGCAAGGGTACAAACCATTCATTGCCAATGTCATGGTCAGACCAAGAGACCGAAGCAGCGCGCGGCAGAAAGTGACTGGTTGAGAGGAACACTATCATTATGTAAATCAATGGTGAAAGGACCATGGAGTATCTAAGTACCATTGACAGAGCCACTATTGACTGTGAGTAAGCGACAGAAATCCATGGTAGCACCGTAGCTTGGGCGTCATCCGACACTCAAAGGAGAAAGTGAGGTTGTGATTCAATACTGACAGCTTTACATGTGTTCAAAGGCTAAAACTCTTAAACTCATGGAAGGGCTTAATTTCGACACTCACTTCCAGAAAGATTTGACAGATATTCTCAAGCCCAAGATATGTCATCTCAATCGAAAGGCCACTCATCCGCCAGCCAAGCAAGATTGGCCGCTCAAATCAAGTCGAGCGAAGAAACACCGCAGGAACTATCAGGAGATACGCTATGGGGTGACAAATTTGGCCCTGAAATCCAGCATGAAAAGGATGGCAACATCAATGCTCTTCAGCGGCATCGATATATCACCTTCCGCAACTACCACGCTTCATCCCAACTCCGTGATGTCTCTGGTAATCTTCTGAACACAGAGGAAGAACTCCGTGAAGTGGTCCAAGAAGAGATAGCCATCAGAGAGGGAGACCACACCTCGAGCGAGAATTCAAAAGACCGTCTTCTGTCTTTGAATGCCAAATACTGGACTTTGTCCCAAGAGTGGTGGCGCTGGCGGTCTGGACTAGCTCACGGTTTCCAATCGCGGGGGTTTGAGTTATGGCGGTCACACCCAAAATGGTATATGCATCGCGACTTGATCGAGGAGTGCGCCGGTCGTCAAGGATGCTGTGCCCGTGCGTGTGGCTGTTGTGTGAATCGCGACATTGATGATTCGCGGACTCTCGGGGCTGGACATTGTACTCTTGAATGTGGATGTTGCGAGAGGGCTCGAGGGTTCAAGGTTTCCAACGAAGAGAAGAAAAGATTGGAAGAGCTCTATAAGATCGATAAACAAGCAGAAGACAAAGGATCAGACTTCCATTCGCTTAGGATCAGCCGACTTTCCATATGGGGCTTGGTCGGAGATAGTCGGAAGGACCCATTTGATATGATCGATGCAAAGCCGAGCTATGAGGAGATGCCGAAAAACAACAAACGTCTGGATCGGCTTCTATGGATACTTTAGGATCAAACTTGGGATTGCTGGTTACTCTTGCCATTTTTCTTGTTCTTGCTACATTTACAGCTTTTGTGACGTATACATGACGAGCGATAGCTAAGAGAAGGAGCAAACGACAACTAAGGGAAGGAGCAAGCATGGCAGAAGAGCATAAAGAGGAGTTCTTCTGCACAGCCCTTCTTCTCTCTTCTTCTCTCTTCTTCCCTTCTCCATCTCACCACAGGATCATCTCCTCTCTTCTGCTCTTTTCTCCTTCTGGCTTGTAACACCCGCATACCAAATGCATTTTTCCTTTTCTTTGATGGTTGTTTTGTCTCTCAGATGGGCAGTAAGTTTCACGCTCTTTTGAACCCCCTTATGAGCCTTTGGGCCATTTTTCAAATCTCCTTTGGATCCATCATCCAAGTCTCCTTTCTTCTCCAGTCCACCTTCCAGGTATCCTTTTGCCGTCTGTTAACTAACATTATAAATAGGGCCACGGCCCACCGGGGATCTCAATGGGCAGCGGAGCTGCTGAAGACGGCCGGGGAGAACCCCCGGTACCAGGCCCAGATACAGGGCCATGCTCTCTGGGCAGTCCTTGCCCTACATACAATGGACTTGGTCTTCTATATAATAAGGACTGAGTACGACCGGTAAGTCGATTGCTCTATATATCCTTAATACGAGTATCAACGGGAAGTTGCTGACGGATTACTTACTTAGTTGGCGAGGTCCAAAGAACCGCAAACGTCACCACAAGAAACGAGGGGGCAAGAAGTCGAATCATACTGCAAAGCAGAAGAGAAGGGCCTTCAAGTTGCCGACGCGCAGGCACACCCGCTAAGGGCAAGGTACGTACAGCTCCATGAGAACGACTGATCACATAAAATCTAGATGCCATGTATTTTGAACATTTAAATATCACGTTGTCAGGTATCCTTTTTGCCATCCGTTTACTAACATCATAAATAGGGACACGGCCCGTCGGAGAGCAGTGGGCAGCAGAACTCGTGAAGACCGGCTGCGAGCACCCCGAGTGGCAGAACAGCATTGAGCTTGGGCTTCTGTGGCTGATTGCCTTACTGGTAGCATTAAAGCTTATAGCTTATATTGCGAAGAACGAATATAAGCGGTAAGTCAATTGTTCTATATATCCTAACTACGAGTATCAACGGAAATTCGCTGACGGATTACTTACTTAGTTGGCGAGGTCCAAAGAACCCTGGCGAGTGAGGAAGGCGGTCCCGCGCCAGCTCCGCCAACTCCCCCGCCGGATCCGCTAGGTCCTGCGCCAGCTCCCAAGACGCCGGCGGAAGCGGTGGCACTGGCGGAAGCGATGTATACTCCGTATGGAGAGAAGGTACGTACAGCTCCATGAGAACGACTGATTTATTTTCAACATTTATATATTATGTTATAAGACCCTTCTTACTTGATTCCAACGGTCCAATCTGAAAATCCGTCGTTTGAATGCTAACTAATATGAATACAGATCGGTCAACAGGCTCTTAGGGGCTATGTAGCGGCAGTAGGGCTCCGCGTGAACTCCCCACCATGGATGGAGTCGAAGGTAGAGCTTGAAAACATCTTGACCATGCAGGGAGTCGGGGGGGGTTCATCACAAGATTAGAATTATCACGAAACACAAAATTATCCATATCATATGTCGGAATTCCAACACAAAATGAACATCAAACACAATTACACAGCATAACACCATCGTAGTATGGAATTATCACGAAACGCAAGATTATCCATAACATATGTCGGAATTCCAACACAAAATGAATATCAAACACAGTTAACACAACATAGGTACCATGTGTCAAAGCCTCTTAACACGTAACAGATCTGCAAAATATACCTGTGAGCACTAAATCGGAAAGGAAAGCCAAGAAATGGCAGAGGAAATCGAGTGGGTTGCAAGGCCAAGGCAACCATTGTCGTGCTCTCGACCTTGATCGCTTATGTATCCATCAGCAGCATAATCCACATAATCAGACCAAACGCATTTATATGGTGCGTTAGGACGGGGAGGAGCGGACTTGGATTGCGAGCTCGCCCTCGTGGTTCGACCGCAAGGCCTGTCGATGGCTCGGCGTCTCCATGCCGGCCGACCAAGATTTTAGGATACTGTAATTTCACTATATGTTTCAAAAATACAGTAATAATACCATAGATCTTCGGTATTAAATATTTGATGGTAATACTATTATATCTTTTGGGATACCTGGGGTCAAAAGATACGGCATGTCAAAAAGATACTGCATTAAAAAGATACCGTCCAGAAAAATCTTAGGGTAAGCATTTTCTAATACCGTATTCTAGTAGTGAAATATGATACGCATATAGTTTCATGAAATTGATACAATTGAACCATATTATTGAAAACAAATTTAAAAAAAACATGTACCTACTATGTAGTGGACGTACTACAGTTGATTTATGGATAGGCGTTAAAGATGTGGCCGCGGACGATGAAGGGGTTGCTACAGCTGGAGATGAAGCGCCGGCCGGCCCAGCCCAGCCGATGGTTATGCCCGAAGCGTCCACTGCGGGTGCGCCTACCTATAAGGTGTTGGGGTAGGACCTACTACCTAGTACCTTCAGCCGACAAAGTGGAATATAGTTATGTTTCGCCCGCGGTGGCCCGGCTGGAGGTAGGCACTAACTAGCCTAGACATAACAAAGCCCAAGGCTAACTACCTAACCTCTGACCTAGTCTCTACTCTCTCCGGGAATCACGTCAACAACTCGGTGAATTCGGCACATCGCGTCGTCGATGCCCGGACGGTGAGTCTCATATCCTATTTGTACATATTCAACTTACGTTCTTCCCGTGTCAACAGTCAACACCACGGCTGGGCACATTGCGTCGTCGACTTCAGACGGTGAGTCTCATACTCCACCTGTACATATTCAAAGCTTACGTTCTTCTCGTGTCACCACCTCGGCAGGTCAGGCACATCGCGTCGCCGGGTCCAGAAGGTGAGTCTCATACTCCATCTGTACATATTCAAGGCTTACGTCCTTCTCGTGTCAACACCACGACAGGGCACATCGCGTCGTCAACGCCCAAATGGTGAGTCTCATACCCCATTTGTACATATTCAACTTACGTTCCTCTCGTGTCAACAGCTTGATCAGGCACATCGCGTCGTCAACGTCCAGACGGTGAGTCTCATCCCCCATTTGTTCATACTCAAGGCTTACGTTCTACGGTTCTTCTCATGTCAATAGCTTGATCAGGCAGATCGCGTCGTCGACGTCCAGACGGTGAGTCTCATCCTACATCCAACTCCTACTGGACCAAGACTAACCTCTCGCACACTCGGCAGGTCAGGCACATCTCGTCGTCGACGTCCAGAGGGTGAGTCTCATACTATGATACTCCTGGATCCAACCCATAGGAGAATTGTATGCATCATCCATGGCACGAGAGAACTGTATACGTAGCTAAGCACGGTATAACACAAAATAACAGAGTATCAAAAGATACTCAAAAAGATACTCAAAAAGATACTCAAAAAGATACTCAAAAAGATACCCAAAAGATACGGTATCATTATTTGAATACTACAATTTTTGGACTATGTATTTATTTAGAATACCGTAAAAATGTAACACTTTTTCGAATACTACAGTGGTGTTCCACAAGTATTTAACCTCCAGTACTTTGGGGGCCAAGGACCCACTTTTAATATTGCCTGGCAGAAACCTCGGGAATTCGAATTCATCCAATAGGTGGGGACGCACGAGGTTTGGCTAGCTGAATAAAGTAGGCGGTCTAGATAGCGGTCAAATTTTAAAGTGGGGGCCTAAGTACTGGAGGTTAAATACTTGTGGAACACCACTGTATATCACACCTAGTACTGTCTTCTGACGGTAATATTACGGTATCCTAAAGTCTTGGTCGGCCGGCATGGCTGCGGCGCGGCACATATCCACGCTGCCCAGCCCAGATTGGGCCGTCGAGACCCGGCACAGTGGGCGGATACACAAATCGCCGAGCCAGAAGAGCCCTGGCGCCTGGCGGTCCTTTTGGCTTAGCGGGGCTAATGAGTCCGAGTGGGATGCCGAAGAGCGGGCTCGGCGGCGGATCCCGGACTATGTTTTGAGCTACACAGTGTGCCCCACTCGTCTATTTTTATTCTGGCGAGCAATTTTGGCCAGGTGATATCGCCGAGCACTTGTATCACAACACCCCGACGCTGAACTACACTCCTATCCAGTCCCAATGGGACCATCTGATGCTGCGCGACTTGAATGACTGAATGAGTGGGAAAGGGGAAGACACATGTACAACTACCGCCGGTTACATGATAAGAACCGGAAATGGCGGCAAGGGATTTCCGATTGACAAATCTCGGGAATAAAATGACCACATTCCCGAGAAAATTATTCCCGTGTATTCTTTCCCGGCCTATTTAGATGTGATTCAAAATTTCGAACCGTTCATATTTTATTTGGTTTCTCTCTTACATTCCTCAGAGCTCAACCTTGGATATCCATCTCGTTTGTTGTATTGAACCAATTGCAGAAGCAGAAGCCTGATATCCCGCCATGCCTTCAACAAGCTTATGCCAAGATGAGGCGTGCCCGCCATACAGCCTTATGGATGACTACAGCGAGGGAGCTCACCCACAAATACTAGAAGCTCTCTTGCGAACAAACTCTACGCAGCAAGTCACATACGGGAATGATGAATACAGTATCGCTGCCCGGCAGTTGATCCGCATCAAAATCGACTGCACCGAAGACGAGGCCGATATCTTCTTCGTTCCCAGCGGAACCTCCGCAAACCTCATTTCAATCGCCAGCTGCCTAAGGCCTTACGAGGCCGTCATTACCCTGGAATCAGGCCACATCGCCTCCAAAGAGGCAGGTGCAATCGAAGCAACCGGCCACAAGCTCATCCTCGTCCCTGCCGTCGATGGCAAGATGACGCCAGCGAACCTCCAAAAAGCAATCCAGCAAAATCAATTCTTCCCCCATATGGCCAAGCCCCGTCTCCTTTATATCTCTAATGCCTCTGAGACTGGCACTGTTTACACAAAGCGCGAGCTGAGCACTCTCTCGGCAATCTGCAAGCAATCGAACCTTCTACTTTTCATGGACGGGGCACGCATGGGCGCAGCTATCTGCTCGAGGAAGAATGACCTCACCCTGCGTGAGATCTTCGATATGACTGATATCTTCTGGATCGGCGGTACCAAAGCCGGTGCTCTGATGGGAGAAGCTATCGTCGTCAAGAAGCAGCTGGCTGACGGCTTCATCTTCCACCTTAAGCAGCACGGCGCTTTGTTGGCAAAGGGTCGGATCCTCGGAGTTCAGTTCACGGAGCTCTTCCGATCTGACTTGTTCTTTGAGCTCGCTACGCATGCCAATCAGATGGCGCAGAAGATCTCGAGTAACTTTGAGAAGTTGGGATATAAGTTGGCTGCGGAGACGGAGACAAACCAGGTGTTTGTGATACTTCCCCAGCAATTGGTTCGGAGACTGCAGGACAGATTCCGGTTTTATGTTTGGGAGCAGCGTGATGATGGGAACTCTGTAATTCGGCTTGTGACGTCTTGGGCTACGGATGATCTGGAGATCGATAAGTTCAATGCGTGGGTGCAACAGTGGACACTGGACACAATTGCTTAGTCTGATGTCCATTATATCCATTATGTGGATAAACTACTATAGAAGGCCCCCAACAATACTATAATAATAAGAATCAAGAATTCCTAAAACATATCAAAATTATAGATCGAGCTGGGTCAGCTGATCGCGCTAACCATTTTCGGACTGTGGGCTGCGATCCGGGTCGGCGAGTCATTGTAACTCTAGTTTCTTCACACGCGTATCGAAATAATTAATTCAATCAAGATGATGGTGGACATGGTGCAATTGCGCTCCTACATTGATCCGATGGCTTGAAATTGAGTTTCGATGCCCCACGACACTTGACAGCCACTTCTTCCTCACTCCAGCCCGCTCTATCGTTGCTAGCGTATTGGCTCGATGCGGCTGTCCATATCATGTGATGCTTGTCGGTGAGCTTAGACCTGCGGTTCAAGGCATATCAGTCATCTAATTGTTTTCTAAACAGACAAGCAAAGGTCAAATGCGTTCATGAAGGGCAACCGCCCTGTCAACGTTGCTTGAAGGCCAAGAACCCAGGATGTAGTTTGACAGACCCGCGCGCCTCGAAGCCAGGGACGCGGAAGGGTTCTGTTCCATTAAGAGCTCCGAGGAAGCGGAAGGCGTCATCTACCTTATCACCGGGGCTTGAAGATGCAGCAAGACGCGTCCCTGATATTGTACCCGTGGCTCGAGAGTGTTCTAAGGATCCTGTGGCAGCCTTATCATCTGCGACAATTATCAGCGCAGTGGAAACCTACAGGAAGAAGTTTCCAATCACCAATTTCCTGCATTATCCATCTTTGATATCCGACATATCGTCCGACGCCCATCTGGTGGACTCTGTTTTCGTCGCCTCGGTTCTCTCTTTGTGCGTGCGATTCATGAGCAGCGATGAACTTGAGGATGAGGATGTTTATGCCGACTATGCACGAAAACACTTGGCTCAACGTGTGCTTGAGGCCCCCTCGCTTTACCTTGCGCAGTCTCTCGTGATGGTCTCATTTTATGAGTGGGGCACTGGGCGACCATACCAAGCATGGATGTATAGCGGTATGTACTGGAAATTCGACTGGCAAGGGAACACTGGCTGATGAATAGCAGGAATGGCGACATATATGATCCAGTCTCTTCTGAAAATGGCAGATGATAGCATGGAACATAATCCTCAAGAATTCCATGCGTCCCAAACACAATACGAACAACTCGTTCGAACTTATTGGTGCTGTTTTGCCCAAGATTGCGAACTAAGCTCTGGGGCTCGTCAGCACTTCGCGCTATCATTCTCTCAAATCTCGGTTCCGCTTCCTATCAGTGATCGGGACTTCACATTTAACCATACGCCGAGCAGCAGGTTGATGCCTGCTGATATGAACAAAGATTGTGCTTCGGCAAGAAACCTTACAATTGAGCATGGTCTCACAATTGTCACTCGGGGATTCGATATATTCATTCGAATTCTGAGATTTGCCAACGAACACCGACGAGCGCTAGCTTCTTTGTCTTCGGACGACTCGGCTACATCGCCACTTCTGGTCATTTGGCAGAATCTCAAGGAGGAACTGGATGAATGGAGGTCTCTTCAGGATGTCACAGTTCGATTCCCAGCGACCAGTGTGCAGTCTCACGTGGCTCTTGGATATGGAGAGCTTTTCGCATACATCAATCTAGTCCACTGCATGAGGTATTGATCCCCCCTTGGCGAATTCTGATAACAATACTGACTTGCTTCTTTAGCATCCTATTCCTCCACCGTGACCACTTCTTATCTAACCTCAAACCACATTCCGACGTTTTCCACGATACAAATGACGATACGCAAGGCGAACCCGACACAATTAAACAGCTCTTCAAAGCCGCTCAACAAATAGGAAGTATCCTCAACGCCCTCGACGCCTCCGGCGCACCCGTCATGTCCCCGTATTCCGGCTTCAGCGTCTTCGTCGCCGCCCACATAAACATGTACGGAACGATCGCCCCACAGCGCTACCCGGGAGGCCTCGAACGAGCCGAAGAAGAGAAAAGCCGCAATCTCGTCTACCTAGAACGACTAAGCAAAATCTGGCCCGTAGGCCGCAGCTGGGTAAGTACTATCCATCCCGTCCGCTCCCTAGCCAGAACAGCCCCAGTTAATAGATAAAACAGTGGCGCACCGTCCAAGAAGCAAACCGCTTCTACGAAACCGTCAAAAACAACCAAGCTCACAGCGGATCCGGAATGCATAGTCCAAGAAGGTTTGCGCTAGCAGGGACCCTGGATGAATACGGCGACATTCGATCTCGTCCGAGTCGAGACGTACACGCGACTAGAGCGGCGACTGCTGAGTCGCGTGAGACGCAGAGCTCCGGTCCGCGGAGAGTGACCTCGTCGTCGCCGGGTCTTGATGGTGGGGGTGGGTTTCTTAGGGAGAGTGCGGCGATCGGCGGACATCATGATGTTGAGACCGATATGTTTCAATGGCCGTTTATTGATGGGTCGTGGTCCCTTGGGTTCGATACGGGGTTGGATGGGTTGTGGTATAACTCTGGTTTGTTTGATCCGAATCCAGGGCTTAGATGAAAGCTGCCATGTCCCGATGTTGTTCCAGTTGGGCCTTGTATTGGTAGGATATGTATCTACAGTCCTAGGTTGTTATGTGGTCTTGTCCGGTAAGGAAGGTCACCGAGGTTGTGATGGATCAAATATATACTACTGTGTACGGGATGGACACGATCATGGAAGCATTAATCGCTATGCTGGGGATTTCTGCCAACCTTACCTAAGACCTTAAAGGGTGAGGCTGCTAGTTATAATCTGTATAAATAATCTAGAGTGTGAGCACATGTCAGTAGAATCTATAAATCACCACCTTGGTTTTGGTTAGTTCCAGCGCGTTCTGTACTACCTAGTATACTGTCCAGATTGTTTATAAGGTGTAAAAGTGCCATATATTTCATCAACCAGCCAAGTGGCCGAGCAGTAACTCAGCCATCTTATCTTCCTTGGTCTAGTGGTGATGATTTCCGCTTGTCATTAACCCCGATAAGCGCGGGAGACCGGGGTTCGATTCCCCGAGGGAGAGATTTCTTTTTGCTTTTATCTTTTAGTTTTGTGGTAATGGTGTCACGTGTGTGTTGAAGCGAAAGCGAGATCCTGGTCCCACCCGTGGGCCGTGACCAAATGATGTTCATTTTGGCTTTGTGTTTATCATTTCTTTTGTTCAGTTTACATCTTTCCACTGCGAGTCTTGAGTCTTCAACGGTCGCCCAGTGGGCTGGCGACCACTATTTCTAGCTGTCGGCAGGCCTGACAGCACTCCGCATAGCAGCATACAGTATTCCAATAGAGCAAGCTAGTTACATCGGGCAAATGAATACATCATCATCATCATTACTTGAGAACAATTACTTCCCTCGTCTAACCTACTATATCTAAACAAAATCCCGGAGTATATACTCAACCTTCCCCGCCATCTCCTCCAACCTCGCCGAAATCTCCCTACACTCCTGCTGCCGCAGATGCCTCTTAAGCGACAAGGCCATCTGATCCAGCTCTCGCTCCATGTTCATAAACACACTCTCGAACGTAGACCTACGCTCACCCTCGCGGTGCCAGTAGGAAGGGTCACGGCTGATAAGTGCGCTGCCCGGTTCATTGGAGATCATACTAAGACCGATTTCCACGATGCGATCTGTGTGTAGGGAGAGGGCTATGACGGCGCGGGAGGCGTCGCTGTTGCGTTCTGTGTGTCGGTGGGCGGGGCGGTGGCGGAGGATGGAGCTTTGTGATTGTAGGTTGTGTTTAAAAGTGGTACATTCTTGGAGGAGGTTGTCTTGCCAGGAGAGGATGGCTGGCATCTTGTCTGGCGGGGAGTAGGTGGAGCTTGTGTGGGGGGAGGGAGGGAGGGTACTGTATTTATGGAGAACTGGGGGAATGGTGAGGACAAAGGAGGAGATAGAGAGGTCAAGGGATTGGTTCTGGGCATTGTTGGTTTGTTGGCATTGAATAAAGGGCATAGATGTTGACAAAGACGAGTGATAAGCCCTAGAATGCAATTGACATTGCACATACTGTGTAGTATTCATCGTCAAGGGTAGAGAGTAGAGACCAGAACCAAATGAGAAGAAGACCGAAAGAAAAGCTTTTATTAATTAATGACAGTGGGGTATAGGGGTATATGATATGAAATATGGAAGACACATGTTAGTGCGACTCAACAGTCTGCGAGACAGCAACCGTCTTCCTGATTCCGTCCTGGTTGAAGAAAGTATCCCCCGGCTCCGGGGCACCGGCAAAGGAAATGAGATGGCTCTGATCGCCAAAGTTGGTCGTGACCTTGTCCCACTCAGAAGCGATCTTGGAGCCGCCTGCGGACTTTCGTTCACTCAATGGGTGAGTCGAGCCTCCGGTCCGGTAGTAGGGGTCCGAGGAGTAATTCTTCTTGTAGTATGCCAACATGACATTGAGGACCGGTAGACAGGCACAGATCAGGCCGACGCCTCCCTCGGCATTACTATCAGACTGTCAGTAAAAGGAACATAGAATGGGAGGATAATGAGACATACCCAGACAAAATGACACATGTAAACATGATACTCTGATCGGTACTACCATTCAACACCAACACCAATCGGTAAAGACTGAAGGCAGTAGCCAGTCCACCGGCACCAAGCAGACCGATAACGCGCAGCTTCTTGTTGCGCGACATTTGCAAAGACCATGTCAACGGCAACGGGAGGACGAGAATGATCAGATCGCTGACGACACTGATCACGGAATCGGCGATCAGGGCGGCATTCTGATCGAGACAGCTTCCTTCGACCGCGTCGCCGAGCCAGTATTTGGGAATAGGGCCGCACATGCGGATCTTGACGATCAGGGCGACGACGTAGTAACAGCATAGACAACCGAGGAAAATGTAGATGAAGAGAACTTTGCTCTTGAAGGGTTTGAAGATGCGGATAAGGATCGAGAGGAGAGCGATCTTGACGAACAGGGCCATGGGGCAGTAAAGGATTGTGGCGATGTAGCAGAACTTTTTGAATTGAATTTGCTCATAGGGACTGAGATCGTTGTAGGGTATACCGCCGCCATGTTTGCCGACTAGAGGGAAGTATGTATGAGTATGGAGTTCCATTTCGGGGGATTGGGAAGTATAGATCTTAGTACTTACTCACGATACTAATTCCACAATATCCCATGAATAGGAGCTGTACACTGTTAGTTTCAGTCGAAGTCTTGTTCTCGACATTTACATACCCATGCGATCAAGCATCCGACTAGGAGAGTTGTTAGCAATTGTCATGAATGGGGGGGGGAATATAGGGCCAACTCACCATCTTCAACTCCCAGGGACTGCTTGAATCGAATTCGAACATAAAAACGCAAAGCCATAAAAAGAGTGACTATCGGTATACACAGACATTGTGTTACGAGATTGATGGTATTCAGCGCACTGCTTGGATTATCGACAGACATGGTGAGGTTGAAGTTGGTCTCCGTGCCAGCACCAAGGACCAGGAAACATAATAAAGGAACAGGATCGTTTGAGTATGAGGTGAAAATGAGGATAGGCAGGCCCAGGAGATCCCATCGGTGGAGCAAATACCTATCGAGCGGCCCAGATGGACCCACGTATGGCGTACACGGCTTATTGATGGCGATGATTGATCGGGGGAGTGTATCTGATCCACCATCGGCTTGTTTTCTGCGATGATCTCCACGACACATCTTTAGCTGAATGGTTCACGACGTTTCTGGAGTATTTCCGTGAGTCCGTGACAATCGATAGACCCTTGTTCGACTCCATTGTATCCATCACGACCCCACTGTGCTTGTCGCTCTTCCAATCACCAAAGACCCAGTTACACACAACCTCGTATTCTAGTCGATTCCAAGAATTTAGTTCTGACACCGTTGTTTTACCAGTGGATTTGCTGGGTCTTGGTTGTCTTGGTTGGGCCCTAAGTGAAGCCGAATCAATGACAGGTTTGACAGAGAACAATCGCGCTGTTTCGAAGATGATCGACATGCCAGGAATAGGGGAAATTATTCCGCTCCAATCTGTCAGATTTTTATTTCTCTAGAACTCCCCCTCGATAATTCACCATAGTTAAAAAGAACACCCCTCCATAGAAGAAAACATGACCATCCAAGATACGACCGGCAAACACTCTGCTCTTTTCCAACCCCTGACTATCTCCAATGGCAACATTACTCTCAACCATCGTGTGATTCATGCGCCCTTGACCCGCAACCGCGGGGAGCCATTGAATCCCATCAGCACCCCGGATCACCCCAATCGTATTTGGATCCCAGGAGATGCGGTTGTGGAGTATTACTCGCAGCGTGCGACCAAGGGTGGCTTGATCATTTCAGAGGGAATCCCCCCATCGCTCGAGGTAAGTGAAATAGCTAAAATCTCCCTTCAATTGTTCCTGTCAATCCAAATTAGGCAATCCGTGTGTCTCATCTCATTTCCCACGAGACCGGACAAACCCGCCTGCCAAGCATCCGCCACTCCTCTATTTTCTATTTTTTTAAATCGAAATTAATCACTTTCTGAGACAGAGCAATGGAATGCCCGGAGTACCCGGTCTATTCACCCCCGAACAAGCCGCCGGCTGGAAACGCGTCGTCGATGCTGTCCACGCAAAGGGAGGTATCATCTTCTGCCAGCTGTGGCACGCAGGCCGTGCCACAATCCCCCAGATGACCGGAATGCCCGCTGTCTCTTCCTCCGCTAGCGCGTGGGACTCCCCGACAGAATGCGTCAGTAGTTCACTTCCATTCCCTCTACTGGTGGGGAATTCTCGTATACTGATACCCGTCCCTAGTACTCCCACCCGCCTGTCGGTGCCACCGAGCCCGTGCCCTATGCGAACCACCCACCTATTGAATTGACTGTGGAACACATCAAGCAGACTATCGATGATTATTGCAAGGCCGCCAAGACGGCCATGGAAATTGGCTTCGACGGTGTCGAAGTCCATGGTGGAAATGGGTATCTGCCGGAGCAATTCTTAAGCTCTAACATTAACAAGCGTCAGGATGCTTACGGCGGGACTCCAGAGAAGCGCTGCCAGTTTGTGTTTGAGCTGATGAATGAGCTGGCTCAGACGATTGGCCAGCAGAACCTGGCTATTAGATTGTCACCGTTTGGTCTGTTTAACCAAGCGCGTGGGGAACAGCGCTTGGAGACCTGGACTCATCTGTGTGAGGGTCTGAAGAAGGATCTTCCATCGCTGTCATATGTCAGCTTTATCGAGCCGGTATGTTTCCCGTTTGTCATTCTTGCTTCTTGTGCATCGTGCTTTCTATCAAATAACTCACTGCTAACCCGTTTACCTAGCGCTTTGAACAAATCTTCGGGCCCGAGGAGAAAGACAAGTTCCTCAAAAGCTGGGGTTTGATGGACGTGACCCTGGATCGCTTCCGCAATATCTTTGGTTCCACTCCTTTCTTCTCCGCTGGCGGCTGGGACGACAAGAACTCCTGGGGAGTGGTGGAATCTGGTAAATACGACGGTCTTCTCTACGGCCGTTACTTTACCAGCAATCCGGATCTGGTACACAGACTGAAGGAGAAGATCCCAATGGCGCCTTACGACCGTACTCGGTTCTACGGGCCGTTTGAGGACAACCACTTCCATTACACTGATTACCCTACTGCGGATCAGCAGTAGAGGGTGTTGCATTGTGATGTACATAGCGTAGCGATGAGAAAGTATATAAGGGATATAGAGATTTGCGGTCATTCGAAGTAACTGCCGGGCTAGTATCTAACTACACGTAACTAACTATTGTCTCCAAGTAACTAGTTATGAAAGCTGGAACAGTGCATGGCGGCCTTCCTACGTCCGCGATTCCCGCGATTTCATATACTAGTACTAGGTAACAGGTCTCCATATAACTAACGCCGGAACTAATGCGCGTCTACATGCATAGATCAATTCTTTTCGCCCCGATAGTCGTCGATCCTTCATAGCCAAAAGAAATAGGAGCTCAGGCCAAATGGTCCCCGAGTCCCCGACTGACCTAACTCGGACCGGGCAGGATCGTCCACTCCGCCCGCGTTTCTGATGTTTTCCAATTTGCATTTGTCGCCTTGGTGTAGCGCAGAAGAGAATCAGCGGGCGACACCAATGGGGATTCAAACCCAGTCAGATATATCGCAAATAAAATTCACAGGCCACTCAATCCATACATGCAACTCAGGTCGAAGGGACTTCCGAATTCCTGTGATGACATGCAGATCCCAGCCGGCCATAAGCCATGAAGACCTCATGAACTTCAGAAGGATACACCAATAAGCAAGGACAATCAGCGAGAGCGGCTCCTTCTCCTCAAGAAGACCGATGAATTCCTGGGGCAGTCGGTATATCCACCCAACGACTGATGGCATCAAGGTGACACCATCTTTCCCAGCGTGTCGATAACGGTATGCTTGCTCAAACATATCGAGCAGATTCTCAATCGCATTGACGTACATGTGACATGCGGAATCCTTGCCAAGTTGCACTTCCACAAATCTCTGAACCCTTAGAATATAACTTCGATGCTCCTGAAGCTCCTCCAATAAGAATGAACTGATACCCTGGACAGCAGGGTCTTTCTGAATCTCCAAGACACCAGTAAATATTTTCTCACGACTCGACCTCAAAATCGACCGCACACCTCTCATGAGAACTAGCCATTCGGCCTTTCCTGTCTCACTGAAAACAAGATATTCACCAGGCCTCGGTCCGTGTCCAAAATAGACAAAACATACCAAAACAGTCGACATATATATTGGCTGACAGTTCCCTTCGTCAAGACTCGACAGAATGGCAGACACAGACTGAATGCCAAACGTGAAGTGGTCATCTGCCTGCATGACATACTGGGTGCGCAGCTCGGGGTGGATATGGCCGAGATGCAGCGCCGCCAGAGCCAGTATGAGATGAAAGATTGACGGCGAGGAGAATCCCCATTGCGGAATATGAGTCTGCCAAACTCGATTGTGGTCGGTTGCTTCGTCGGTTAGAGTGCGGTAGGTCTCTGTGACGAAGTGGTGGAAAAGTCGTAGGTCGGTAAATGATAAAGTGTCATGGCTCTGCAACGGTGGACTGGGAGCATTGTCTTCAGCCACTGTAGTGACTACCTCGGGAACTGGCTGGACTGAATCGTGCTGAGGATTGCACTCAGCAGATCGATATTTGGAAGCCTTGAAACGATACTGTGTCTTCGGAGGCACGGGTGTGGGTGGCCCTGAAGACGACGGAGCTGATGGTGTAGCTGTAGCCGACTGGAAATCGCACTCAATTGCATGGTGGACGCATTTTGAGCATGCTGGCTTCTTTTCATCACACTGTGTTTCGTTAGTAGGGGTTTCATGAAAAGTTTGGTTTCCTGCCCGGAGAAAGTCTCTCCTAAAACAAATCATGGACCGGAGAATGTCCAGTATCCCCAGATGACTGATTCTTCTTCTTTTAGCCGCCCCAATTCAGATGTATCTTGTGGCAGCTGGTGTGGCTTGTGGGCAAAGACTCCAGGTGTTGGAGTTTATGAAAAATATGAAAAAGTGCTCACTTTTATTCGCCTCCTTTTACAGTTACCACAGCCTGAGCGAGATTTATGATGCGATTTTCGCGCTCGGATCGTATTCTGTGTGCCTCCAGCTTTCACCATGATCAGGACGTCTGCACGGAGACTGAGAGTATGTGAGTAGACCGTTGTCGTATTCGTTTTAATTTTGCCGTTTCGGGCTCTGCTTGGGTTAAACCCACGTGATCGTGAAGTATACAACCTACAACCAGGAAATGCAATGAGAAAATGGAATACACATGAGAATTATTAGAGAGGCTGACTGGAAGGGGAAAATGTTTAAATTGGCTAAATATAGGTTTTAGCTCGTGCTTGCATTTACAGTTGTAGCCGATCCTTGGAATCATTACACTTGGACCTTGGTTCTAGTATCTGCCTAGACATAACTATTTGCGTCGATGACTCGATTGTTTGGCTTTTCCATGTTGCCAGGTCGGCATCAGCATGTAGTATGTGATGTTTTGTCTAGGTAGCTCTTTCCCTCCTTTCCATAGCTTAGAATTTGCTGTTTGTTTTGGAAGCCTTCATAGGCAGGAGCTCTAGTAATGAGTAGTAGTCCTGGCTCATGAACTACACCAGGGCAGCTACTAGGATGGTTGTGAATAAACATAATCAATTAATTATATGAACCGTAGTTACCGTACTATCATCCAACTCGATACCCGCTTCCATTTTTGAAACCTCACAGTTATGCCTTCCATCCGATGAGGTCATTTCGAGACACGCGGCGATGCAGGGCTGAGTCAGCACCCTATATTTCAGCCTCAGGCAAGACAACAAAGGAACTGGTATCCCTATCTTGACTCGGAGAACTGATATCAAAGGCTCTATTCAGCTCAGTCGTCGGAGCCGAAGGAGGGAAATTACCTCGACTCGCAAACCTTTGGGGATTTTGTCAATTCGGTCTTCATTTCCATCGGAGATTTTCTCGCCAAGACTGGGTTGACCAAATCCGGAGTCATTCAAGGCGGAGTTTCAGGAGAAGTGCGTTGCCGTTCTCTTTCTTCAAGTTTCGACAGGGCCTCTACACAGGGTCTCCGTTGAATGTGGAAAGATGATTCCTCATAGGAGCACCGCTCTCCTGTCTGTAATTGTTTTCGTCGCGCTTTTGCTTTTCATCTTTTCGGCCTCTCCGGCCCCTGATGTCGCCGGGGACCAAGCAAAAGCCACAGGCCCAGCCAAGTTTGTGCCCACACCAAAATTACCGTCGTTAAGCACGCTTCGCCTACCGTCATTCCGCCCTCCTTCCCACGAGCAGCCCGAGGAACAGAGCAATAGCACGCACGGAGAGTCAAAATGGTACAGCACGCTCGAATGGCTGAACCCGTTCTCCTCGTCCATCACGTTGGATGAGGGTCGCTCGGTCCTTCCTCCCCTTCGCGAACGCAGACCGATTTACACATACTACAACGCCAAATACAATCCCAACAAATCCAATGGCAAGGATCACAAGGAATTGCAAAAAGCCGACGCGGAATTGCTTCTCGCGTGGCGTCGGGCATGGTTTGCGCAAGGGTTCAAGCCTGTAGTATTGACTCCAGGAGATGCAATGAAAAATCCCAGCTATGAGATTGTTCAAAAGTTAAAACTCGCTCCCAAGACGGAGAACGAGGTGTTCGGCTGGCTTGCGTGGGGCCACATGGGAACCGGTTTGCTCGCGGACTTCCACTGTTTCCCCATGGCACGATATGATGACCCCATGCTCTCGTATCTTCGCCGTGGAAGCATCCCAGAGTCAATCACGCGATTCGAAAACCTCAAGAATGCGCTTTATGCGGCTGACAAGACCCGAATCGATGCGGCCATTCAGAGCGCAGTTCTGAAGCTCACCGATCAAACACAGTCCTTTGTTGACCTGATCGAACCGGAAATGTTCAAGGCCGAATCACCGAGCGCTCTGGCCTTCTATAAATCCGGAGCCATCACATCTCGCTACCCCTCCGTACATGAGAAGATAGGCCAGAACCCTGCGAGCGGCCAGCGGGCTCTGGTCCAACTGATCAACTCCCATCTACACAACAACTTCCAAAACTCTTTCCCTGCCGGATTGGCCGTGTTGAAACCATTCCCTCAACATACCACCGCGCTGGTAGAACCTGCGCTCCGGTTGGCAAAGGCCCTCATCCAGTGCCCCGAGTCGCCCATTCCCGAGTCATGTCCACCAAATCTCCCCGAATGCCGCCCATGTGGCTCTGCAAAGCAACCCATGCGTATCAGCCAGCCCTCCACCTACAAGAACACTACCTTCCTATTCACCATTGGCACCCTTCCTCACCCCTACACCCTCATTAGCTTGAAGAAGAGCTCGGAGGAAATCACCACACCACAAGTTCGCCGGGAAACTGGGCGTGACGAATGGCTGTACGAAGTGACCAAGGATGACCTTGGTCCCGAATTAGGCTCTTCGTCCCGGGGAGTCATCTTCAAACAGGTTGTCGCAGGAGAAGATGCAGTTGGCACTTCACTTTGGATGACGGTGGAGTCTCTTCCCGCAGACGCAGGCCAGAGTCTCCCCGCGGAGCTGTTGGACGAGTTTGAATGGCAGTTTGGTTTCAAGATCCCTCGTGGGGGTAAGATAGATCCTGCAACCGAGAACAACAAGGAAACCGCCAAGAGCGCACAGGATCACACTCCTAGCGAGCAAGGAGTCGGTAAAGAGTACGAGCTGATCCGGAAGGCTCGCGAGGTGATCAAGGACAAGACGACAAACCGCATCAACATCAAGGATGTTGTCGAAGCCTGGAACCTCGCTGACACAGAGGTCTGGCGCTTCGTCAAGGCTTACCGGTGAGTTTTGATATATATGATTGTTTTGATGACTTTTGCTAATTTATCTACAGAGCCCGAAGCGTTCTCGAGCGTCAGAAATGGGAACAGGAAGAGAAAGCTTTTGCTGGTTCAAGGCCATGATATCATTTACTATTTCTTCACATGTGTTATAATTTTGTACTGGCATATTTTGGGGTTGGCGCGATTCAGAGGATACATAAAGAGATTCACCTATTATGATCGGACCTTATTGTACCTCCTATGAGTCCTAAATATACCCAGCTTTGTTTGTGGTTGTAGGGACCAATCAGATGCCAAGTCGTGAGTACGGGTGAGTTACGTCGGTCACCCGACTCGCGATCGGGCGGTGGCGATCCCCGCAAGATAACCAGCGGGGGATGGCCACCGGATATCAACCTTGGAGGCATCTTAACTGTTTGTATTTCTCCTCCCTTACGGATTCTTGGATCTTAGGACCTTCGCTTCGTGACTGAAAAAGGTCGCGAACCCCGCATTTCACAACAGAAGCAATATGAACATTTAAAGCTACGGACAACGCTATACTAAAGCTATCTACAAACAATTCTTGCTCTATTATACATCCTACCATCTCCAACAAAATGGCACCAGGAATCCTGAAGACGAACACCCCGGACACAGCTGAGAAGGCTGAGAAGGGGGTAAGCCTGACTGCACTGACTGAGGACTGGGATGACACCATTCGGTTCTACCTCAATGGCACCAAAGTTGCGGTAGACGCAATCAATCCGGAAGTCACTCTGCTTGAATACCTGCGGGGTATTGGGCTGACAGGCACAAAGCTCGGATGCGCCGAGGGCGGATGTGGTGCTTGTACGGTGGTGAGTTTTGGCGATGTTGGGTGCACGCACCTCTAGACTAACTTGGTAAACAGGTCGTATCCCATATCAATCCTACAACGAAGAAGATCTATCATGCCTCTGTAAATGCGTGTATTGCTCCATTGGTCAGCGTCGACGGTAAACACGTTATCACAGTCGAAGGAATTGGCAATGTGAAGGAACCACACGCGATTCAGCAGCGGATCGCTGTCGGCAATGGCAGTCAATGTGGTTTCTGTACTCCTGGAATTGTCATGGTATGTCCCATAGAGCTTTACTTTTGCCTGATTTTGAGTTCAAGTAGCTGACATCTTCAAGTCACTCTATGCCTTGCTGCGAAATAACCCCTCTCCGTCGGAGCACGACGTTGAGGAGGCCTTCGATGGGAACCTTTGCCGCTGCACGGGCTATCGGCCGATCCTCGATGCTGCCCAGAGCTTCAACTCCAGTAACAACTGCGGAAAGGCTTCAGCCAATGGCGGGTCGGGCTGCTGCATGGAGAAGAAAGGCTCAGGTGGCTGCTGTAAAGGGTCTTCTGCAAAAGACGGGGAGATCCAGGCGGTGGATTACACGTTCCCTGCGCCGGACTTCAAGCCATATAGTCCAGACACAGAATTGATCTTCCCGGCTGCTCTGCGGAAACATGAATATCGACCATTGGCATATGGCAACAAGAAGAAGAAATGGTACCGACCAGTGACAGTCGAGCAGCTGCTGCAAATCAAGGACGCTCATCCAGACGCCAAACTGATCGGCGGAAGCACGGAGACACAAATCGAGATCAAGTTCAAGGCTATGCGATATCCGGCATCTGTTTACGTGGGAGACATTCCCGAATTGCGACAATATACCTTGCACGATGATTGTCTGGAGCTTGGCGCAAACGTCTCATTAACTGACCTCGAGCACATTTGCGACGAAGCAGTTCAAAGATACGGTGATGCTCGAGGCCAGCCATTCAAGGCAATCAAGAAGCAGTTGCTTTATTTCGCTGGGCGACAGATTCGAAACGTCGCTTCCCCGGCGGGCAACCTGGCTACTGCATCACCCATCTCCGACCTCAACCCTGTTTTGGTTGCCACCAACACCATCCTAGTGGCCAAGTCTCTCGAAGGCGAGACGGAGATCCCCATGACTGAATTCTTCCAAGGGTACAGGAAGACCGCCCTGGCCCCCAACGCAATCATCGCTAGTCTGCGTATCCCAGTTGCGCAGGCGCAGGGCGAACACATGCGAGCTTACAAGCAAGCCAAGCGGAAGGATGATGATATTGCCATTGTCAATGCTGCGTTGCGCGTGACATTATCTGAGACCAACGATGTGGTCAGCGCGAACCTTGTGTTCGGAGGCATGGCAGCTATGACTGTGTCAGCAAAGAACGCCGAGGCATTCTTGATTGGCAAGAAGTTCACAAACCCTGCCACGCTGGAGGGTGTCATGAGCGCGTTGGAGCAGGACTTCAACTTGCCATTTGGTGTTCCTGGCGGCATGGCTACTTATCGGAAGTCCTTGGCTCTGGGCTTCTACTACAGATTCTACTACGATGTACTTTCAGGACTCGAGGTCAAAGCATCGGACTTGGACGCAGACGTTGTTGATGAGATTGAGAGAGCCATCTCTACAGGAGCGAAGGACCTTGAGTCTTCCGTCGCTTACCAGCAGAAGATCCTTGGACACTCAACTCCACACGTTGCGGCATTGAAGCAGTCCACGGGCCAGGCCCAATACACAGATGACATCCCTGTGCAACAGAATGAGTTGTTTGCTTGTCTGGTCCTCTCCACCAAGGCTCATGCCAAAATCCTGAGCGTCGACGCGTCTGCCGCGTTGGAGATACCGGGCGTCGCAGACTACGTGGACCACAGAGATCTTCCGAGCCCTCAAGCCAATTGGTGGGGGGCTCCCAAATCGGATGAACTTTTCTTTGCAGTTGATGAAGTCAATACAGCTGGGCAACCGATTGGTGTGATCCTAGCAACAAGCGCCAAGATTGCCGAGGAAGGTATGAGGGCCGTCAAGGTCGAGTATGAAGACCTCCCGAGCATCCTTACCATTGAGGAGGCCATTGAGGCCGAGTCTTACTTTGAGCACTTCCGCTTTATCAAGTGTGGTGATACCGAGGAAGCTTTCAAACAAGCTGATCACGTCTTCACTGGAGTCTCACGAATGGGCGGACAAGAACACTTCTATCTGGAAACCAATGCATGCGTGGTTATCCCCAAACCCGAGGATGGCGAGATGGAGGTCTGGAGCAGTACCCAGAACCCAACTGAGACGTGAGTCCAATTACTTCATATGTGTCAGCGCAAAAGCTAATTTTTTATAGACAAGCCTATATTGCCCAGGTGACTGGAGTATCTGCGAACAAGGTTGTCTCTCGTGTGAAGCGACTTGGTGGTGGATTCGGCGGCAAGGAGACGCGGTCCATCCAGCTGGCCGGTATCTGTGCCACTGCCGCAGCAAAGGCGAAACGACCTGTGCGTTGCATGCTGAACCGTGATGAAGATATCTTGACTTCCGGTCAACGTCACCCGTTCCTCTGCCGATGGAAGGTCGGAGTGACCAAGGAAGGAAAGATCCTTGCGCTTGATGCAGACGTGTTCGCCAATGGAGGCCACACGCAGGATTTATCCGGTGCCGTGGTGGAGCGATGCTTGTCGCACATTGATGGTGTATACAAAATTCCCAACGTCCATGTCCGTGGTCGGATCTGCAAGACCAACACCGTATCCAACACTGCGTTCCGTGGATTCGGCGGCCCTCAAGGCTTGTTCTTTGCCGAATGTTATATCTCGGAGGTTGCAGACCACTTGGATATCCCGGTGGAAGAGGTTCGGGCCACCAACATGTACAAGCCGGATGAGACGACGCATTTCAACCAGCCCCTGAAAGATTGGTATGTGCCCTTGATGTACAAACAAGTGATGGAAGAGAGCTCCTACCGCGAGCGTCGAAAGGCCGTTGAGGACTACAATGCGCAGCACAGGTGGTCCAAACGTGGACTGGCCATCGTGCCAACCAAGTTCGGTATCTCATTCACAGCCCTCTTCCTCAACCAAGCAGGGGCTTTGGTCCACATCTACCACGACGGCAGTATCCTTGTCGCACACGGTGGTGTCGAGATGGGACAAGGTCTCCACACAAAGATGACGATGATTGCCGCCGAAGCGCTGCAAGTACCTCAGTCGAGCGTCTTCATCTCAGAGACCGCGACTAACACCGTGGCCAATACCTCCTCAACCGCCGCATCGGCAAGTTCCGACCTCAACGGCTACGCCATCTTCAACGCCTGCAAGCAACTCAACGAACGCCTCCGCCCTTACCGCGAGAAGATGCCCAACGCAACGATGAAAGAACTAGCCCACGCAGCCTACTTCGACCGCGTCAACCTCTCCGCGCAAGGCTACTACCGCACCCCAGACATCGGCTACGTCTGGGGCGAGAACAGCGGCCAAATGTTCTTCTATTTCACCCAGGGCGTCACAGCAGCCGAAGTCCAGATCGACACGTTGACCGGTGACTGGACGCCTCTACGCGCCGACATCAAAATGGACGTGGGTCACTCCATCAATCCTGCAGTCGACTACGGCCAGATCGAAGGCGCCTACGTGCAAGGTCAAGGCCTCTTCACTACCGAGGAGAGTCTTTGGCACCGCGCCTCAGGTCAGATCTTTACCAGAGGCCCCGGTAACTACAAGATCCCTGGGTTCCGCGACATTCCGCAGGTCTTCAATGTGAGCTTACTCAAAGATGTTGAGTGGGAGAATTTGCGCACTATTCAGCGGTCGAGGGGTGTCGGTGAGCCGCCTTTGTTCATGGGCAGTGCGGTGTTCTTTGCTATTCGTGATGCGTTGAAGGCTGCGAGGAAGCAGTGGAATGTGACTGAGGTGCTTTCTTTGGAATCGCCGGCTACACCGGAGCGGATTCGGGTTAGTTGTGCTGATCCGATCATCGAGCGGGTGAGGGTGCAGCCTAAGGATGGGGAGAAGAGCTTTTTTGTTGCTATTTAGCGGGGCTGGTTAACTGTTGATTTGTGTGGGACCAATGGACTATTTGGAGTTTTCGTATGGGAGGTTACCTCAGTAGTTACAGTGTAGGGGAGGAGGCAATAGTATAAAAGATCAAAGGAAATGTAGGTGCAATTTGTGTGGAGAGTGAAGATTTAGATACATGGTCACTGGGTGTTGCTAGTTTTACGCTTTTTTGAGGGTTTTTTTTTGTCGCTGTCAAGGAAAAGTAATAGCGTCGGATGTACGGAGTAGAGGAGCATAGGAAAGGGGTTATTTACGTGAAGGGGTGTCGGACAATGAAGTTGTCATGACCTGAAGGCTCAGGCCAACATTCTGCCCCGGAACGGAGAATCTCAGATGCTACTCTCCGATCTATCTCGGAGCTACGCAAAGCTACGGTTGCACTCTTCTTCCGCTTCCGTTTTCCCACTTCCATTGCTCTGCCGCCTTCATCGGTAAGATGTCTGTTCACATCGTCTATCATGTCTACCGATTTGCCTATAAAGCAGCCTGTCTCTACATAGTTGTAAAACCACTTTGAATACTCTCTTTCACTGTCACCCCGACGACTTGAATACTATCTTTCAATGTCACATCTACTATTGCAATTGAATACGATCTTTCACTCGCAATATCTTCTTTCTCTGTACTATCAGTCGGATACCAGCTTCCAACTGTAGTACTATTCTACTTTCCTCTCAGAAGTGTGGTGTCCTTGCCTTACCCCTCACACCTCCTCCCAGCTCTACTCCTCTCCCATGTATCGGGTACTGTAGAGTCTGAGAACTACGCATTTTGCCGCCACTTCGTATTAACAAACCTTCGCAAGCTTCCGTACTCCGTACCAAAATGGCCAAGTGGTTCGCTCACAACATCACATGATGCATTACGCTTTACTTCCGAAACCAGCACTTCTACCCTAAACCTTCCCGTTTCCCATGTCATCACCATTCTTCAATATTCTTCAACTTTCATCTACCGCCCACTTCTACATCTATCTACCTCCAACCTCCTGCCTCTTCCCTTTCCTTCCTAGTCCGGTGAAACGTACTACTATCTTCGGCAACTTTTGATGGCCGTTCCAGGCCCCTGCAGCTTTCTCGATCTTCGTACCTATCAAGGTACTGTGTACGCCACATACCAAGAAACCTGCTACCAACGAGGTATCCTTCGTCGAGATCAAGACTGGCTCAAATGCTTCGAAGACGGAGTTTTCTTCCAAACAGGCAAAGTACAACGGAGCGTTTTCATGTATCGGCTCCTTTGTGTCCACCACCACCGATCCCGGAGGTTTTAGGCTGTTCCTCCTAAACTTAACAACCTACAATAACGCTCGCAGCAGTCCCCCCGAGCAAAGTCTCCCTTCGTACGTTGACTTTAGAGTCCTCGCTGCGATTCCAAACACGCCTCGATGGAAAGGGTGGTGGAGCATGTTGGCTAAGTATTATTATGATTGGTAACCACCACGCAGAAGATGTAAGTACCTTCGAAGGGGTAGTAGCCCACCCAGTCTCCCGTAACCTGCAATAGTCTACCGGAGTTGGGGGCGCGGAAGAGGTTTATCCATCGAGGCGTGTTTGGAATCGCAGCAAGGACTCTAAAGTCAACGTACGATGGGAGACTTTGCTCGGGGGGACTGCTGCGAGCGTTATTGTAGGTTGTTAAGTTTAGGAGGAACAGCCTAAGACCTCCGGGATCGGTGGTGGTGGACACAAAGGAGCCGATACATGAAAACGCTCCGTTGTACTTTGCCTGTTTGGAAGAAAACTCCGTCTTCGAAGCATTTGAGCCAGTCTTGATCTCGACGAAGGATACCTCGTTGGTAGCAGGTTTCTTGGTATGTGGCGTACACAGTACCTTGATAAGTACGAAGATCGAGAAAGCTGCAGGGGCCTGGAACGGCCATCAAAAGTTGCCGAAGATAGTAGTACGTTTCACCGGACTTGGGAGAAAGTGGATGAACACGACCAATTTGGAAGGCGGTAGTCTGACGTTTGGCCCACTCGTTTCCGCGCCAGACGAAGTAACGGGGGAAATCCTGGTAAAGGTATTTAGAAGGGAATAGCTTCATGGAAAAGCTCGGGGGTGTGTCAGGAAATAGCTCTCATGTGTTATGCGTACTAGGTACCTAAGCATTCTTGCTTAGTCATTGTTGTCTGACCAGATTGTGAAAATCAGACATGAAATCAGACATTGTTGTTTTTAGTTAGTTGGACAAATTGACCATCGTGAATTTCATCATACGTTTTGCCAAGACACATTATTTCTGTTAGTTATGAGCCCGGAATTGCTTCTATTTTGATCTTTTTTTTTCAAATTACTGGAAATCTTGCACTGTGAGCCATAGGCTGCGTGGAGAAAGACCCCGAAACGAGACGACCCCTGAAGCAACCAAAAATCAGAAACGAAAGGCAAAAAAACGTCAAATAACGATGCCGTACAACGACATCCCCGCGAGTCTGCATGCTCGTGTAATACTGAAGGATTCATCGAGTTGGGAGCTATGGCTCTTCGCTATGAAAGCGATTGCCACGTCACATGGCGTCTGGGATTTGTGTAATCCCGAAAAGGAGACCCAACCCGATCTCCCCGAACCACCGATTGAACCAACAACAGAGTGGTTAATGAAGACATATCCGGAAACGTGGGAGAAAATGGTCACCACGAAGAACGCGGATTATGATCGACAGAAGGCGACCTATGATAAAAAGATCGCCGGGGTTCATCAAATGGAGTGGGAAATTCGAAATTCTCTACACTCAAAGTATCAGGTCTTCATAGACCAGGATACGGCATGGGGTTTGATGCGTAATCTGCGTCAGCGACTAGCACCGGAGTGCGACCCTACGTACAAAGCGAGCCTCCGATCACAGTGGAGGAACCTGGATCGAGGTCTGGACAAAGGCACAGACATCGAAGAGTGGCTGAACAATTGGCAGTCGCTGCAGAGGAGATGCGCGAAAGCAGGGATCACCGAAGCCAAAGAGGCTCAGATCCAATTCCTTGAGGCTGTCTCAGTGATGTCGCCCGATTTCCATGCTGTGTGGATAGATTCAGTGGAGAAAAACTCTGCTGACGCAACGAAATCCTCAGCGCAACGTGATGCGGACTTCAACAATCTGATCCGCAGATACAAGGCACACTGGGACATCACCCATGGAAAGTCGAACCTGCAAAAAGGGGTATCCAAAGCCGTGTTCTCAACATGGCAAGGCCACCAAGAGGCTAACCATGGAACTGCGACGCCTAACAAGTCAGCTAGCAAAGCGCCCACAAAGAAACCTTCGTTTTGCGTTCGGGGCTGGGACGCTGTCTGGTTTGTCCTCTGGGTATGGAACCCAGCATTTCCATGGAAAATGTTTCCTTTGGGTGCCGCAGGGACAATGTCGAGTTTCGACCGGTTTCTTTGTGGGCGCTTTGCTAGCTGACTTGTTAGGCGTCGTAGTTCCAGGGTTAGCCTCTTGGTGGCCTTGCCATGTTGAGAACACGTCAAGGATAGATGGTTGATCGATACAGGTGCACAAGTGCACATCTGCAACAACCGGAGTTTGTTTACCGAGTTCAAGAAACAAAAAGCTCAATCCGAGTGGGTGATACAGAGACGATGGTGAGTGGAATCGGCACAGTCCTCATCAACGGGATTAACCCAGGGGATAAAACACCGAGGAAAATGATGCTCTACAGAGTCAAGTACTCGCCGGGGTTTCACACAAATGTGGTCTCCCACGGTCTCATGTTTTCGAAGGCCAGGGCGTTCTTGAATTTTGAAAAAAACTGGATACAACAAGATGGCATCCCAAGATACGCTGTCTACCAGGATCAAAATTTGCCTTGGTTAGTGCAACCACATCAGCCAATGGTTCAGGCTGTGAAAAAGTCTGCAAAAGAGCCCGCATCAGAAGCCCCCATCGAGATTTGGCATCGTCGACTAGGCCACGTCAGTAAAGAGAGGATCCAAAAGCTCTCTGAGATGACTGAAGGTGTCACTATAACTGCTGGAAGTAACCCTGAGAGGAGTCAGTCTTCACCGAACCAGGTATGCGAAGCTTGCCAGCTAACGAGTGCACCGAGACAAATCTCACGACGGAAGATAGACCAAGCCTATGGGGTACTCGGAAGAGTGCACTTTGATCTAGTCCAAAACCAACCGGCATACAACCGACATGTCTGGTTGACCCATTTTTACTTAGATGGGATCAGGTGTCACTTTGTCTTCACGCATGCCAAGAAGTCAGACTGCCAATGGGCGGTTAGAAAGTTCATCGCCTTGATCCGAAACTGGCTGGATGTGAGAGTCAGGGTCTTCCACTACGATAACGAACGCAGTGCTGGAAATGAGATGGAGAATATGATCGAAGCTGAAGGGTGCACTGTGGAGCACTCACCACCTGAGGCACCTGAGATGAACGGTCCAGCAGAGAGGTCTGGAGGCATCATCATCCAAGTCGGAAGGGCATTGATGAACGAAAACCCTGATCTACCGAAGAAACTCTGGCCAGAGACAGTGTATACATCAGCGTACATACTGAACCGCATGCCGACGAAGCTGCCAGATGGCAAATGGATCATACCTTGGATGGAATTGATAAAAAAGGCTGCACCAGATGGGATCAAAGACCAACGAGTCAACCTTTCAAATCTCAGGGTGTACAGCTGCTTGGCTTACTCCAGAATCTTGGATTCAAAGCGTGTTCAGTCCGACAAAATGTCTCCGAGAGCAGAGATCGGATACCTGGTTGGGTATATCTCAAAAAACCTATACAGGATCTGGTTCCCACACAAAGGAGGGCAGCACGGGAGAATCGACATTGTCAGAGATGCTGTTTTCGACGAGACACGACGATATAGCTCGACAAAGAAGCTCGAAACAGAAGAGGCTTTGAGCACGCTGACTAATGTCTTGTACGAAACAGGGAACTGGCCTGCAGTGTTAACTTCAGACCAAGCTCAATCTACTCTGCGCACCTACATGCGTATGCCGTCATCCATATCCCGCATCGTCCTGCAAGATGGTATAGAACATAGTACATACACAGCAGGGTCGCGATCCAAGTCTGCAAGACACGGAGACGCGGGACAGTGACGTGCGAGAGGTGCAAGAGGAAGAAACGCAAAGTGTCAGAGAGCAGACACCGGTTCCCACCCAAAGACCATCTAACGACATACCAATGACCCCTACCTCTATCAGTCCGACGCAGCACATACTGCCTGGATCTTTCCCATCTCCAAAACAGACTCCAAATTCATCAACAGAGGATGAAGGAGATACCGAAATGGCACAGGAGAGTGAACCAGTCCCGCCATCTGACATACAGTCTGCCGAGACTGAGGGGGTGGATGAGACTGAGGTCTCAGAGAGCGAGAGACAACTGCACAATGAGCTCTTGCAGACACAACAGCGCAGAAGATCAAACGGCATTGACACGGCCAATAAGATCCAGGCAGTATGTGCTGCGTCGGACTGATAGAGGTAGGGGTCATTGGTATGTCGTTAGATGGTTTTTGGGTGGGAACCGGTGTCTGCTCTCTGACACTTTGCGTTTCTTCCTCTTGCACCTCTCGCACGTCACTGTCCCGCGTCTCCGTGTCTTGCAGACTTGGATCGCGACCCTGCTGTGTATGTACTATGTCCTATACCATCTTGCAGGACGATGCGGGATATGGATGACGGCATACGCATGTAGGTGCGCAGAGTAGATTGAGCTTGGTCTGAAGTTAACACTGCAGGCCAGTTCCCTGTTTCGTACAAGACATTAGTCAGGTATGCTGCATAGTCTGGGTCTTGCCTTGGTTTCCGCGACCTTGATCCCGAGATGATATTGGCCGTGTCAATGCCGTTTGATCTTCTGCGCTGCTGTGTCTGCAAGAGCTCATTGTGCACACCGTAGAGGGCGCAACGATGGACAGAACAGTGATTGGAGAAGAGGAGGCAGAAAAGAGAGAAAAAGGAAAGCGGTAGAAAAGCCCGCAGAATACAAATCGGAGTATGATTGGTGCAGACAGAAAATTGGGAGTATGATTGGATTAGAAGGGTGGTGGAGCATGTTCGCTAAGTATTAGTTGAAGTTATTGGGAGATGTTAATGTAGATGCGAGCCCTGTGGACCGGTGGACTCTATGATAATTCAGCACCACTAGGTAACTATGCTAGGTTAAACCTATTGCATTCTTGATTTTCAGATCTATCTTTGCAGAATCATTAAACACAAGCAAACCTGTCCCATATAGAAACAAATGCGTCAAAAGGAAAAAACGCTTCAGATGGTACACAAAGGAGGAAACTACCGAGAGCAGCTCTGTCCAAAGACGACGGGACGAACGGAGACAGAAATATATTCCCATCACCGCTTCACGTCGTATTCAACATAGCTACTCCCCCTCAAGTCAGGACCCGAGTCCACTTGCAACGCATTCCCATAATTTCGCTGCCCAGCAAATCCAATCTTCTCATCTGCATACGACGGCTCGCTCCGCACAGGCGCGGAGCTTCCCGCATACTGAGAAGTGTTTCCCGCCATATTCTTCGGAACAGCAGTAAGAGGAACCTCAGTAAAGCCATTCGGATCCAGCGTCGGACCACCACGAGGAACAGGATCAAGCACATGACCCTGTCCTCCCTCTCCGCGATGCTTATCACGGCCCCAGAAAAGCATCATTGCGCGCGTGATACCGATCAGAGCGATGAAGACCCAGAGCAAGAGGATGGCAGTCGCGATGATGGTTTCAATGCGCAGCGCGGCTTCGAGCTTATTGATTACGCCGATGATGACTTCAGTGATTTTGTTGGAAGTCTCGTCGCCTGCATTGGCGAGGAAACTGTCAGAGGGATTTGCGCCGTCATCTATGCTGGATGCGGCGCCGGCGGAGAATGTATCGTTTGGTAGGGTTGGGAGGGAGATGTGTGCGTGCTCGGATACCCAGTTCAGACCCTTTTGCAGGGCCTCGGCTTTGAGGCCGATGAGGCACTCGTAAAGCTCGTAGACGGGTTCTTGGAGGATGGTTCCTTTGAAGGTCTCGTTGAGGGCGGCGGAGGTGTTGTAGATAAAAAAGTTGAGGGTTCCGTTAATGGCGTGCGTGCTGCTGTTGACCCAGCCAAAGACGTTGTGGTTCAGGTCGTTGTCCAGGTTGATGATGGCTTTGTTGGCGTCGGTGGCCCAGTCTGTCGAGGCGGCTTCGAGCGCGCTGACTACTTTGTCTGCGTATTGGCCTACCTCGGCGCTCAGTGCGGGAACGGTTTGCTTGATCGTGTGGAGGAGGATGTACTGGCACAGACAGCTGAAGAGTCCCGCTAGAGCCAGAGCAAGCACGAAAAGAGCAGGGAAAGACGTTGCGTAGGCAATGGCCCATCGCACGAGGATCTGTCGCCGGCTGTTGCTGAAATGACTTGCCGCTTTGATGCCTGCAGCGGCGGTGTATGGTCGGGAGACGATGTAGACGATGTCCATTGGATCGTGGGCTTCCTTACGCACCAGCTGGGAGCGTTCTTTCATTGAGCGCCACCGGCGGATTTCCTGCCATGCAATTGGGATGCACACCAAGATGGCCGCGACGATGAGGACGGCAATGAAGATTTTACGGGCCTTCAATGCCAGCGCGGCAATCTTGTTGAAGAAGTCGTTGATGCCATCGTTGTCGTTGCAGAAGGTCAATTGCTGTTTGGCAGGGACGGGAAGAGCAGACCGGTCGAAGCTGTAGGCGCCTAATGTGCTGTTGACTAGGTCCTTGACTTCTTGGAAGGGTGTTTGAAAGAGTGTTTTGGTGTAGTTCTGAATTTCTTTGAAATTGGGGAGGACGACATTGTCCAAGTCCTCGATCGTCCTGTTGACCGATGATGGCAGAGACAGGTTTTCCATCGCACTGATTGAGCTGTTTAGATTAATCGGACTAGGGTCATCTGAGAACAAGCTAGCCACTTTATTGATTGTCTCAAGAAATGAGTTCAGTTCATCTTGGTACTTGTCAACGGTACTCTCAATGTCGCCGCTGATATTCTTGAGGGTCTTGTCGATCCACTCAGTAGCTTCCTTAACCAGTTCAAGACCGGCGCCCACTGTCCCGCGGACAGCCATCGTGATAAGACAAGCATAGGTGGAGTACATCATGTTGATAACGAACCACAGGATCTCACCAACACCAGTGATGGTCATCAACAGCACGGACTTGAGAGCATTAACAGCTTCGTCAACTGAAGAAGCCACAAGCTCGTTAGTCCCCCTTGATAGGTAGTACGGCATCGAAGCCATCGCGCTACCCATGGACTCCACCGATGTGCAGGCAGAGAGCGCCTCACGCTTGGCGGAATCCATGTTCGATTGTAAGTCGCCAATCGCAATCAAAAGGCGAACGAGCACAAGCAGCAGTAGAATCGTCCATCGATTGATCCATACTTGTGAGAGCCGCGCCCGCAAGCCCAGATAAGGAGTGAGGCCATCGGGATGTAACGGAATGATTCGACCAGTGCTGGAGTCGTGAGCTCCATACGGCGGGAGCAGCGGGAATATCGACCGCTGAGATCTTGAGAATAGCATCGTGGTCCGTTCTTTGCTCAGAAGTAATGATAGTCGGATGTTTCAGCTGTGATCTCGTCCAGCGAGAATCAAGAAGCAATTTGGTTGAAGGCGTAATGAAGTCAAAGGAAGGTATGCAAGGGCTGCATGAAGAAGAAGTAGTCTCGAAGGAAGAGAAAGGAAATGTCTTGGACTAATAGCGGGACATGGTGTATAATATGGTTTATGGGTGCTTAATGAAAGAAAAGGTCAATAGATGAATAGAGCAGGTGGCAGAGGTGAGAACAATAGAATCAGACAAGACAAGGGACAATGAATCGTCAAATATAGTAGCCAGCAACTGTCATCTGGAAACTATCAGGCACCCTGGGCGGCAGCAGACCTCACCAGTTTACAAAAAAGAAGCAGTTCAATGGAGCTTGGCAACCCCGTATAGTTACGACAGGCCAATCAAAGTGAACGATGATCGCGTCGAAACAAAGGAAGCATCAAAATAAAGCCTGAGAACAAGGGATCTGTACAAGGGTTTGTTTCATCAGGCATCGAGGCGTCTCACTGGTCAACAGGGCTGTCAAAAGCGCCAGGGTGGACAATCAGCCAAATATAGCCTCAATGGGCGCTTAGCCGCCCACCAACAGCCAATGGCTGTACGTCTTTCGAACATCACGATTGTATAGTAAGAGGTAGGTAGTCCGATGCCGTGCCAGCTGCCTAAATAGACAGGCGGTGTTGTTTGGAAATCTTTCCAGCGGCAGTCTCCATCTCAGTCGCCAATTATCTCGGTGACTTGGTGTGAATCGAGTCACAAACTTGCCATCACGTGAGCAAAGTAAATGTTTCAGGTGTGTGAAACTTGATCGTATAACGACACGTATTAACATTGATTATTGAAACCTAATCTGACATCTCAATAGATAGTTGACCATGTTCACCGAGGGGCGAGGGGCATCATAAGAGTCCTCGATGCTCATTCGGGCTGAGGTCGCCGGCGCCAAACAAGTCACATCACGTGCGATGAATAAGTCCGTGCATTCACGTTCTACACGTGATATAATCACACCCTAAGAGCTATGGACATCATCGAAATTGGCATGTTTGGATTTCTGATAAATTCGCCAACTTCGAGCTCAACCCTGGGTCCAAATGGTGTTATGAACATGATAGATGGACACCCTAAGAGTTACCGTCATGCGTAAATGGGATACCATACCTTAGGTTTATTCTTTGACACGAGGTGCCTTTACAAGTCAGATCAGTAAACGTTGTAGGAACCAATCGATCTTGAGAACTAATATACGTTGAGATCAACAACCTTATTATTGTCATCTCCAGGGCAGCTTCTTGTTGGTCGCACAGTATGTAATCAGTTCTTGTTGGTGAGGTCAACCGCAGGATCATGATAAGAAGGGTAACTGAGTAGGCCAAATGACTCGTTCTGGGGACCATTAAATTCATGCGGACTTTGAGTCAATCTTTCTGTGGCCGTGTGAGTGACGGGTGAGTCTCATAGATTCAATGTGGTTGTCCACTGCGCTGTCCCAATACGGAAAAATTGGAGCCATCGTATCACGTATCGGTCGTTTGATAGTCAGGTATCGTCGTTTGGAATAGGACGTAAACTGACGAAATCATCGTATCGAGTACTGGGCGGTTTGAGACACAGAAGCTTGCGGATGCCTTCTATTGGAAAGATCCTCTCTAGGCATCAATAAAGCGTCGAGGGTGGTCTTCTGTCCTTCCTGTAATCTTTCACTTTGTAAGAGGCTGTACTTCACGACGACAACATTCGAGTGATTTCTCGTAATATTTGTTTTGCCCATCCCATCAGCGTCACAACTTGATGCGTTAGATTCCCTCACCTTATCTTTCTTCTCCTTCTCAACTTCCAGTCTTACCACAACCATCATCTCTTTTATTCCAAACCTCATACATCAATCGCAGTGGTACAGTTCCACCCATCCGCTCTCGAAAATGCCCACCGTGTTTAGCAAGCCAGTTCAGACCGAGGCTCCGGCCGAGGTCTACCAATCTGATTCCCTCGACCGACTAGACCCAATATCGTCTGAGGATGAGATCACCGAGGCTGGAGACGCCTTTGCAAACCGAGTCTTGAAGCAATGGACCCAGATCCGAACTTATCGCTACATAACTGATAACGAGGGCCAGTTGGCGCTTATGAATGGCCAAATGACCATGGAGATCCATGACTGGCACGGTGATAGCCCGAAATTCATCTTGCGCAACAACCCAACCGGCAACCAGAAGGGCGAGATGAATGTGGTGCTTAGGGAAGGGGGGTTTGTGAGAGTTGACTTCAAGATGCCTCTCGATTACCCCGAGGGAATGGCAGGGTTTGCGGCAGCGCTAGAAGGGTTCTTCGGACCTCAGAGGGAACTCGGCATCGTCAACATCGAGCTCGGCTGTGACAAAGTCAACCAAGAGTCGAGACAATCCAAGAATAGCAAGCACCATATCAAATGGACGAACCCCTGGGATAACTACGGTTGTCGGGTAAACTGGACAAAGCCCAAAGCCAAGTCTAACACTCTGAAGATTAAGATCGTGATCATCAAGAGCGTCAGCCCGGCGGAGCAGATGGTAATGACCATCGACGAGCGTTCCGAGTTTTACAAGGGACTTTCACATGGCGACCCTGTGAGTAAAGTCAGTCACCGCCGATCCGCGGGATATAGCTAACATACCATAGAACCTTTTCGGCAAATGGATAGCGATGCCGGCAAGAGTTTGGCTTCGTACGATGTGGATGGCTTCGCAAATTGGTTCAATAGACAAGAAATTGTTTGGAAAGTTGCCCGTCGACGAGGAAAAGTGTTCTGACGAGAGTGCCCTTTCACCCCCCTCAAAGAAGAGCAAGAAAAAGCACAAGCGCAAGCAGAAGAAGGGAAAGCGCACCTCACCAGGACGTTCCATGCTTGAAGCAAACGAGGAAGAAACCCAACAGGCAACCGAACGACAAGTAACCACTGAAGTGACTGAGATCTCTGAGACACTGGAGCCAGTTGCGGCGTCTGAAGCCCAAAGCCCAACTGAAGAATTGGCAACCGATATCCCAGTTGCCAGCTCGGAAGTTGTGTCCCATCCAGAGCCGGAATCGTTGGACCCGCCGAAAAGGATGGAGTCAGGTGGTGAGCAGGTGGATTTGGTGGTACAAGAGAGTAAACAGAAGGAAGCGTCGGCGTTTGCAGGAGCAAGTGGAGAGGTGCACACACCGCAGTTTACCCGTCGACGTGGCTACTTGCTAAAAGGAGTGCAGACGAACTTCCCTTACAAGGGAGTTCCGACTGAGCAGCAACTTGCGACAGTTGCTGGCCAAAACCCAGTCACTGCATCTCTCTCTCCACGTACACCAAGTTCCTTGCCGATCTCGGCTACATCATTTGGGACGGCCGGATCCAACCTCTCCCCTTCTACACTCCTCCCGTCATCCTCTCCTGCCCAGTTCTTCACGCCCATGGGCAGCCCTGCCGACGAGAGAGAGTGATGATGAGATGAGGGTCCAGCAAAGTGAACGTGAACCGGCAAGCATTCTTGGCGAACTGGGCCCCATCGTGGAGGAGGAGGTGGAAGTTGAGATTCGGTACCCCGTCCCCAACAAGGGGGACGAGCTGTCTTTCTCCGGTAAATTCTCTCGGTTTTGTGAATCTTGTCAATCTGGCAGTTTGCTGACTTTTGAGTTAGACTCTGAAGAGTACACCCGTGATTGTATGGAGGGAGCCAACCTGCCGCCTCGGAGCAGATTTTCCTTCCATGCATTCCCATCGGGTATGTGATAACCTCCTACGATAACTGTTCATTTTCTAATATGTCACAGGGCTTTTCGAGGCTCGGGGAGAGGCAGTCTTGTCTCCCTCGACCGACCCTCCATCGAACCTCGTCCCCTTCGGTGCCCGGGTCACAACAGACGATGCCGAGCTTGGGACTGAGCAGTCCTGTTCCAACCACCCTTCCCACAATTCCAAGCAAGCTCGTGCGGAGTCTGTTGTGGCCCACAACACGAAGGGGCCAACAAAGAAGAAGCAGAAGAAATGGCAAAAGCGAAAGGAAAAGCGGTTTAAGAAGACCCGCGAGTCGCTTGAGCCCAGCCTGCCTGCTTCTTCTTTGGGTCATGGGGTGGAAGGTCGCATTCCGTCTCCCCATGGGACGTCTCGGGATGAAGAAGTACCTCCCGGAGCAATGCAGTTGGGCGGCAGCGGGGCTCCATCCGCCTCTGGCCTGGACCTGCGGACAGTCGGGGTCCGTTGTGCCAAGGTAGACTGCGACGCCGTTTGTGGCTACGCGGATGGAGTCTCCGTTGTCTGCCCTGGATGCGGACCGTTTTCCTACGTCCGCTACTGCGGCAAGCACCATCTCTGGGAGGATGCCAAGGCACATTGGCTGTATTGTGGCACGGCTTCAATGCAGGAAATGTGCATGGCAACTTCGATTCCTTACGACGTTCTCGTGGGTCCACCAATGCTGCCCGGTCGCTATAATTCTGGCTTGCCAGAGCGCCATCGTCAGGCGCTTTGGTTCAGTACCGCCAGTGACCAAGGAGATTACTTCTTATTCACGGACTGGACCGACATTATGGCGGCCGAGGACCAGCCAGAGGTCCACTTGGAGCTGCGATGTTCACCTCGAGTCGCATACACCGTGCGATTCGAGGACGCCGCGGAGAAGGACAGATTCCGTCGGTGCCTAGCAATCTGTCTCTTCGGTGAGTTTCTAATCCCTCGTCTCGCTTTTTCCTCTCCCTTGAGATCACCGTCATCCTTCTCTACGTCTTGCTGACTTCTCTCTTTCTCTCTTTAGCGGCGGTTGAATATCCAGCCCTCGTGGACTATGTGTACCGGCTCATCCGGGACTGGTTGGTTGCCCACAACTTTTGGGCCAGTGACAACAACATGGACAACATGCTGGCCTACCAGCTGGGACTTGAGTTCGGTCACCTGCTCAAGCCCAGTTGCCGGCATGCTTGTGAGACGGAATGGGTTGGGGCCAACCCTCGCGACTGCCAGGATCCAATGTGCGCGAGCGAGCGTCGCCCCACGTCGTCCGATGACTGGTGCATGGGGATGGGGTTCCGGCGCCTGTGTGATTACCTTGAATACAAGCATTGGATCTTGAGGGCACACCGGACCACCCATGCTACCATCAGCGACGTGGTGGCTTGCACGTGCGGGATAGGATTCCCGGGGGTCCTCCAAGCGGACCGGCGGTTTTTCCGCCGTGGCGAGGGTTGGGATGGGGTGGGAGCGGGCCCCATGGAGTTGGAGTGGTGATTTCGGAACGTCGGGTAGGGAGCCGTCCCCTCCCTAGCCCTCCTTTTTGTCGGGGTCCTGGACCTGGGGTGGGTAGTGATTGCGATAACGGTTCTGATTGGTCTAAACCCCCCGGGTCCAGGATGCCCTTGTCGTATCTATGCGTTTGGTGTGGCAGCGGTGAAGAGGGGAAGGGGGAGTTCATCGCCCCCTATGGGCTTTGTTTGATTAGGGAATGAAGAAGACCGGCTGGCGGGTTGCTCTTCGCCGTGCATTTTCCTACACTAGTACACTGTAGGCCAGGGGCCTAGGCCTAGAAAAAGCCCGCGAGCTCACTGCTCCGGCAGGAAACTAGGTTCGGCCCGTATCTCGGTACCCTTGTTCCCTGTGCTGTTCCTTGGCATCCCGGTCTGTTTCTTGGCACGGTGAAATGGCGCCCCAGCCTACTAGTACATACGTTTGAGTTCCTGGGAACATGAATGCTTATAAGTAACAGTGTAATGGCGGCGTAACTAAAGCTCTAGAAATGAAGAGTTGTTATGGAGCATCCATCTTGCATTCTTATATCCAGCTGGTTATTGGCTTCATAACACTTCTATGCATATCGTGCGTCATCTCACATCCATACATACCCGTACATCTTTCTCTACTGGGTGATGTACTTCTTCAAACCTCTCAGACGGTCCTTAGCTGTCTCAAGAACATCATCGTTCTTGCAGACCGCGAAGCGAAGATAATCCTCCGCAATGTGAGCATTGTCGTCAGTGTAGAATTCCGTGGGAGGAATAGCAGCCACACCAACTTCATGAATGAGGAACCAACAGAGCTTGAAGTCCCGAGGACGGCTCGCAACATGGGGTGGGAAAGGATAATCAGCAGGGAGCTTTACAGAGGCCATGTTGGCGAGAACAAAATATCCACCCTCAGGGTCGGAGTACTGTAAAGATTGGTTAGCAAAATCGATCTCCACGGTTAACGCTGATAGGTTAGACCTACCGGAATACCAAGCTCATCAAAGACCTCACAGAACCGCTCAATCTTGCCCTTCATTTCTGTTCGGCTCTCGTCCCAGAAGCCCTCCTTCTCTGCCTGCTCAAAGGCAACGGCGGCAGCTTCCTGCAGGGGAGACACACTGCTGTAGCAGATGCGGGTGTGTGCACCGGCCACATACTTGATCAAGTGCTCAGGGCCGATGAGGTAACCCACGCGCCAGCCGGTGGCGTAGAAGGCTTTGCCGGCGGAGCCCACGGTCAGGGTGCGTTCGTACAGTTCCGGGGACAGAGTGGCGATTCTTGTGTACGGGGTGTAGAAGAGACGGTCGTACACTTCATCAGACAAGATGATGAGATTGTACTTTACACATAATTCGCCGATGCGTTCGAGCTCCTCACGCGAGAAAACTTTGCCGACGGGGTTGTGTCTATAAATTAATGGTTAGTTGAGACGTTATGCATCTCTGAAAATCAAGGCTTACGGAGAGTTCAGGACCTGGTTTCTATTAGCTTGATAATATTCATCAACGTAATGAGGAGTTGTGCTTACAATCATCTTTGTCTTGGGGTTCATGGCTCCCTCAAGTTCCTCGAAGTCAATAGACCACTCAGCTGCAGACGAAGTCTTGGTGGCACCATCCTTGGGAGGGTGGAGAGGCACATATCGGATAATACCGCCAGGCATCTCAATGTTGCTAATATATCTTTCCAGGGGCCTTAGTTAGTACCACTCGATCCTCTCGCGACGTAGAAGTTCCTTACTGGTCAAAGAAAGGCTCGAAGATGATGACCTCATCGCCGGGCTCAATAAAGCCCATGAAGGCACTAAGCATGCCTTTGATATATCAAGTCAGTGCTAGATATACTCATGCAGGGACGATGCCCGATTCTCACCTTCGTTGGCGCCAGTGGTGATCGAGACCTCGGTTTCCGGATTCAGCTTTTTGCCAAAGAAGGGCGAGTAGGCATCCGCAATCGCTTTTCTAAGTCGAGGGCGACCCTAATCCTATATGAGCACTTGTGTGACTATGCGTGGGGCTATCGGCGTTCTCTACCTTCGTGGGGGAGTATTGGTTGCATTCGACTCTATCCAGCGCATCCTTCGCGGCGTCAATGGCAAATTTGGGAGGATTATAACCGCTGTATAACAACATTCCACGTCAATCGAGTCCCTTTAGACATATACACATTGTATGTTTCTCCGCATGGCTGACTCACAAGAAACCCTGGCCCATGTTCACGATCGGCTGGACTGGCGAAGCGGCTGCTGCCTCATTGACGATAGACCTGGAATGCCCATTCAGTATGCCTCTCCCGATATTGTCCTCGAATCTTCCTACCAGACATCCTGGCGCTGTCCTGCCACCCGTCTGGCGGGTCGGAATGGATCGGGTCGCGGAGCTGTGGCCGACATCGCTTTTGCGCCGTAACTTGAGGGTAGCTTTGAAAGGGCGGAGAATACGGTCGGACTGTGAGTCTGGGGTTGGGAGATTATGTATCGGCACGAAGAGCGAAGAAGCATGACCAGAGGAGGGTAGGACAGTCAACCTCGGAATCTGTTGGAGAAGTTGGGATTATTCCCCGCGGCGATGGCGTGCTCCGCGTCTCCGCGTTTGGCGGACAACTTTCCGTCCCACGTTCCACAGAGTCAACTTGTACTGTGGTACAAACCTGTTCTTCTATTTTTACTACTTGAATATTGTGTTCGCATCATTCGGAGATCATACAATATAGTTATCTTATCAATTGACACAGCTTTTCACTATAAAAGCTTGATCTTGACATCTTCCCAGCAAGGCGGACCCTCCTTACTAATTACGCGTTTGTACGCGTCGGTGTCTGTGGACATTATTTTCGCCCAGGTATTTCCTTTCTCAACTCAAAGCTTGAAGCAATTTACTGAATGACCATATCATTCTCCAGTTCACCATGGTTTCCTGCCCAATATGTGAGAAGTCTGTCTCCCAGATGAAGATCAACGCCCACATCGATTCGGGCTGCCAGAGCTTCATCGAAGAACCATCGTCATCTCCAGGCGAACTGTCCTCTCAAAAGGGACCAGTCCCAAGCATGTTTCAGCCTCCTTCTGCGCGAAAAGCTTCCTCCCAGTCAACTGCCCCAAAGGAATCACCATCGCGTCCCACAACCACTCCACGTGCTCTCAATGGCAAGCGATCATTTGTTGGCGACACGGAATCTCCACGAGAACGAGATGGACCTAAACAAAATGGCGATTATAAAGAGCCCCAAGCGAAACGTCCGAAAGTCAACGCTTTCCACAAAGCAGCACCCTTAGCAGAACGCATGCGGCCCAAGACCCTGGAGGAAGTGTGCGGCCAAGAACTTGTCGGACCTAACGGCGTGCTGCGTGGACTCATCGAACAGGACAGAGTACCGAGCATGATATTATGGGGTAGCGCAGGAACTGGCAAAACGACGATCGCCCGAGTCATTGCGTCGCTGGTGGGAAGTCGGTTCGTGGAAATCAACAGTACTAGCAGCGGCGTGGCAGAATGTAAGAAGATATTCGCCGAAGCTCGCAGTGAGCTGGGACTCACTGGGAGGAAAACAATCATTTTCTGTGATGAGATCCACCGATTCTCCAAATCACAACAAGATGTCTTCTTGGGCCCTGTGGAGAGCGGCCAGGTCACCCTCATCGGTGCAACTACGGAGAACCCATCGTTCAAAGTCCAGAATGCGCTTCTCTCACGTTGCCGGACATTCACTCTTGCAAAACTTACCGATGCGGACATTGTTTCGATCCTTCATCGTGCTCTTCGAGTAGAAGGCCCAAATTATTCGCCCTCTGAACTTGTGGACGAGGAGTTGATTCAATATCTCGCCAGATTCTCCGATGGAGATGCTCGTACCTCACTCAACTTGTTGGAGTTAGCCATGGACCTGTCGAAGAGACCTGGAATGGACAAAGAGGATTTGAAACGATCCTTGACCAAGACGCTGGTGTACGATCGTGCTGGCGACCAGCATTATGATACCATCTCCGCCTTTCACAAGTCGATCCGAGGGAGTGATCCAGACGCAGCACTGTACTATCTTGCTCGAATGATTCAATCTGGTGAAGACCCTTTGTATATCTCTCGAAGGCTGATCGTTGTCGCTTCTGAAGACATTGGGCTCGCCGACAATACCATGTTGTCACTCGCCATAGCCACACATTCGGCGGTGGAAAAGATTGGGCTCCCAGAGGCACGGATCAACCTGGCACACGCTACCGTGGCGATGGCGCTGTCGAAGAAGAGCACCCGAGCATACCGTGGCTTGAACAACGTCTTTGCAGCATTGAACGAGCCGGGCATTGCGGGCTTACCGATCCCCGTTCATTTGAGAAACGCGCCAACGAAGCTCATGAAAGAGCTAGGTTATGGCGCGGAGTACAAGTACAATCCAAATTACGTCGATGGCAAGGTCCAACAGGACTATCTGCCGGAGCAACTACTGGGTCGTACCTTCCTAGAGGACTTGGATCTGGGTACGAAAAGAGACCCCGACCTGAACAGCACCTCATATCAATGGGACTGATTGATTTCAGTGTCTGAACATGTTGTCTTTTGCTTATATGCACCGAGCCCGTATCTAATACATGACGGATCTGGCAACATATGTATGCACCCACATGTTACTTCCAATCAACCCCACGGAGATGATCTCAGAGCACACCTGCTGAACCTTGGAACCTTGTCGATGATGCGCTCGGCTGTGGTTGCCTCGCCTCAAAGTGACGACAGTAGGACTATCTGCTGTCTGGGCCTTCAGGTCTGGCTGAGCCTGGCCTTGCTATTACTCTTACAGAGATCCCCGGGAACATTCCTATAAATCCAATTCCATTATGGATACACGGTATGGAAATATCTTAAACTACACCCACTGAACCTTGGAACCTTCCTTGGTACCTTTCTTGGGCAATGCGTTCCATTGTGGTTGCATGAGCTCAGTCGTGGCTGCTTCACCTCGAGTGACGACGACAGGACGCGCCTGCTGTTTGGGCCTTCAGGTCTAGTTGAGCCTGGCCTTGCTGCATTTCTCATGGGTAATTCTTGGGACGTTCTATTACCCCATTCCATATGGATCCACGCTATGGGAATATTCCAAACCCCACCCCCTGAACCCTGAAACCTCCCTTGGAACCTTTCTTGGGCAGTGCGCTTCGGCGTGGTTGCATAAGCTCGGTGGCGGCTTCACCTCGAGTGACGACGACAGGACGTACCTGCTGTTTGGGCCTTCAGATCTAGTTGAACTGGCCTTGCTGCTTTTCTCATGAGAAATTGCGAGTGCATTCATATTTCTCCAATTCCATATGGACCCGCGCTATGAGAATATCTCAGACTGCACCCGCTGAACTTTGGAACCTTCTTTTGGACAATGCGCTTCATTGTGGTTGCATGAGCTCGGTGGCTGCTTCATTTCGAGTGACGACGGTAGGACGTACCTGCCGTGCCGCCTGGGCTTCCGCTCTGGTCGAGCCTGGCCTCGCTGCCATTCATTCGTACATCTCAATTTGGATGTCAGGACACCCCTCGGGAATATCCAAGCCGTCGAGCTGAACCTTGGAACCTTGCCGATCGTTGTGTTTACTCATGGCTCGCAAGTGTGGTTATGGTGCCTCACCTTGAGTGACGACAATAGGATTTATCTGCTGCCTGGGCCTTCAGGTCTGGTAGAGCCCGGCCATGCTGTTACGGGGAATCCCGAGGGCATTCCTATAAATCTAATTCCAATATGGATCCACGGTATGGAAACATCTTTAAACTACACCCGCCGACCCTTGAAACCTTCCTTAGAACGTTACCTGGGCAATACGCTCCATTGTGGTTGCATAAGCTCGGTGGCGGCTTTACTTCGAGTGACGACGACAGGACGTACCTGCTGGTTGGGTCTTTGGATCTAGTTGAGCCTGGCCTTGCTGCTTTTCTCATGAGCAATTCTGGGGCATTCATATTATTCCAATTCCATGTGGATCCACGCTATGGGAATATCTCAGACTACGCCCGCTGAACTTTGGAACTTTCTGTTGAGCAATGCGCTTCATCGTGGTTGCATGAGCTCGGCCGCTGCTTCACCGCGAGTGACGACGATAGGACGTAACTTGCCCTGCCGTCTGAACCTTCAGTTCTGGTCGAGTCGGGCCTCGCTGCTATTCATTCATACGTCTCAATTTGGATGTCAATCCAGCCCCCTGGGTTATCCAAGCCGCTGAACCTTGGAACCTTGTTTATCGTTGTGTTTAATCATGGCTCACACGTGTGAATCTGATGCCTGACCTCGAGTGACGACGATAGTATACACCTACACCTGGCATCTTTGTCTCGTCAAACTTGGCATTACTGCTAGGCTTATGGGTGATTTGAATACCTTTCCTTGTCGTTGCTTCTTCTCAGGTGACGATGTTGGGTGTAGTTGCGCTCTGAGTCCTATGGTCCCCAGAGTATGACCTCGCTGCTCTGTTGAATGGTTCCAGGAGAGTTCATCCCGTCCCTTGGTTCCAAGGTTTTGCTGGCAACTTTCGATGACTGGAAGTAGCGGCGGAGGGTCGCCGAGCAGGGCGACCCCATAATCCAGCCCCAATATATGAAATATGAACTATATCCTACAACGTTGCTCCTTCTCTCATCATTCATTCTTTGCTCTTGCAGAAACTTGACAACTTCTCTTAATCCAGGCGTCTATTTGCTGGTCGTCTCCGCAAGTCCATTCTTTCGCTCTCATTCTTTCTATTCTTGACGATAGCTCGCGGTTTCCTTCATTGCCATAACTCTCTTTTGATCCTGGGACCAGGATGGCAGCCTACACGAGCACTTTCCGATCTCCCTTCACTGTCCCTTACATAGAAGGGCCCTGTAAGCCCGTACAGCATCCAACATTTAACGTAAGTCTGATGTCCTGCCATGTCCTGCCCATCCCCGGCCGCTCGTGCATACGGCTTTCGTCCGGGAGCGGTGTTTGTATAAGAATACTGACCTTCTAGGCGACCGTGAATGATGATGTTTTGTTGACCGAATCTCAACTTGACGAACTGTTCGGCGAGGGATTTGTGCAAGCGGGCAGGCAGCCGATAGCCCCTGACTCCAATGCACCCGACACACCACCCTTCGATCCGAGTATTGTCGATCATTTATTCTCGGGAGATGACAATTTCCAATCCTTCCAATTCGGCCAATCTGGTGAAATCGACCAATTTGATGCAATAAACGGTGCGGTCGGTCTTGACGATTCGATTATGGCCTCACTACTTGCAGAGAACCTGCAAACCTCTCATTTGCAAACACCTCCACCGTCGCCTCCTCTCTCTACTCACCCATCGGGATCCATCATCTCTTCGTCTGTACACACTCAAAATGTACAAAGCAGCATCGGAGCTCAACAGCCTGCTGCGCTACTGCCTCAGTTAACTCCGACGTTCGTCCACTGTTTCCCTCCGGAACCCATTCGAAACAATGGCCCTTCTCACCCTTCCAGAAAGCCGGAAGACCTTACCTTCGTTTTCTACGATCCAAAAGACCCCAACAAGCACGAACCCTGCGAAAAGATACTCCGTAGCCCGGACGAACTGAGCCAACAGCGGGTGGATGCAGCTGCACTCAGGGAAGTCGGTGGCGCATGTGTGTGGTGTCATCGATGCAAGAAAAAATGCGACACGGCCCAACCCTGCGGCATTTGCAAGTCAAAGAATCGACCGTGCTACCGGAAGTCGACCAATTTGGAGCTTATGGGGTTGTGTTGATCCACAACGGATGTCTTTGTGTCTTTGCGTCTCTGTGTCTTCGCGTCTCTGTGTTGTCCATATTTGCAGACTGAGGCTCCCACAGTTTGTGATTCTCTTTGCTTGTTCAGGTTTATATACAGCCTGCTTTCCATAGTCTTATGAATCAGTTGTTTCTCCCTGATTTCCCCATGCCACTAGTTTCGTAGCCTCAACAGGCTGTTTACAACGAATCCTTCCTGTGCATACTGAATTACGATAGTGATGGATGCAGTGGTCACGTGATCATGCTCACCACAGGACCTCCATGATTGCTTCTTCTTCTCCTTCTCTCTTCTCCCCTTCTCTTAGATAGACATCATCAGTTATTATCATTTATCATGAATAGCATTCCATATTCGTTGTCATCTCCTGCATCATAGCCCCCGCCTTCATCAGGTTATGAAGCCCTCTGCTCCAGAGTCCAGACTCAGAGCAAGAAAACCATCATCTTTGACGAATAAAAGGTCCTCGTTGGCTGTAGCACCTCGGCCCGTCCCGCAACGGACCCACTGACCACCCAACAGCATCACGTTCATCGTCAGTTTGCATCAGCTTTCAGCAGCAATTTTCTCCAGTGACTTCGAGAACGAAGTTTCTGCCCACACGAAGGAGCCGGATATCCATCACGGTATCAGGCGTCACCTACGATCGAGGCCCTTCCGCTAAAAGTCTGATTTTCGAGTCCTCGTGGGCCATGTTCTCGGATATATGAAAGGGTTGGGGTGTATGTATGGTTTTCTCTCGAATTATGAAGAAACTATCTTCCTCCGACAACGGCATAACGGTGCGACTTGGGTCGTGGGTTGCTCCCCAGTGATTCTGGCGTCCAATGTCTACACCAAAGGGTCTCCGATGGTGACCGTGGGAGAATACTTTTTGTATATTGCGATTTGCGACCCTGGCGCGCCAATAAGGGAAGGTTCATAACCAACTACCTCAAGAAGCTGGGTGGAATCAATGAGATAGGGCACGAGAAAATTCCGCTTCATTTATGGAGCTGTGAGTAAGCTCCCCTCTCCTACCAATGTAGAGAGGTGCGGGTATCTTTGAAGACAAAACTCCCTATGCGAGTGGATCCCTTTCCTTCGTCGAATGTGTGATCAAATGTCTAGAGGCCTTGACTTAGCGCTTTATTCAGTCTCCAAATAAACTTGTCAACCTACTCAAATTTCCTGCTAGCTTTGGACGTAATTGACTATCTGGTGTAGGGTGGCGAAGTCGGACGACGGCCGTAGACTGTAGATTTGATGCAAGCTTCGAATGTAGTTATAAGTTTACTGTTCACAGTGTGAATGGTCCGCAAACTATCTTCCAAGTCTACGAAGGTTGGTATCAATGTCTAATTAAGCGCCTGAAGAAGCCTGAAGATGTCTGATCTTCTGCTGGCAGAAAATGAAGATACCTGAGAACACAGCGGCTTGCTGGAGGGGTATCAAGTGAGCTTTGAATACGTGGGAATGTAAATTCGGGTCATCGTTAAAAACTGGATTGATCACGAAGTAGAATCTTCCATTGGATGACACTAAACTATTACTCGCACCTCCAAAAGAGGGGAGTTACTCCAATAAGCAGCTCAACATGAGAGATACTCACACGTCAACAAAAGGGGGGAGTATACCTTCGAGGACCACTGAAGCGGTACCTAGAGGCCGATTGTTCTCCCTGCCAGCAATAGAAACCTGCATCACCACTCGCATTCATCAAGGTTCTCACAAACGCCAGATCCGGGTGGGTTGACCAACTCGTAACGGTTTTGAAAGAAGTGAATGGAAATGGACTTTGTGGGTCAATGATCATTTGGTGACAATTGGTTTACACCGTGATACACCATGGTGCACCGTGCCCGAGGCAACACCGCAGTACAGGGGGCATAGTCGACGAGGTTGCCAGCCTTCTGGAGTTTTATCTGGGAATAAAAATTAACAATTTGTGCGTAGGTAGCTTACGATGTTCACAGGGAGAATTCAGAGGCTTTGCCGCTTTCAATCCCAACGGGATTCGTCATCTCTTTACAAGGCGGCCTCTGATTAGCTGTCTGACTCTCGAGTCTCGACCTCTGATAGCTAACAATTTGGCAAGCAGGGGCCCTCAAATTCTTGAGCGAACTGTCTAATAATGATAGCCCATCCTTAATGGCAAATAAAATAATGCAAAAACAAAAACATACAACAGTGAGGATTCGCTGGCGGTCACCCACCCAACTACTAACTCACCGGCGTGTGGCTTCTCTGCGGCCAGTAGTTGGGTGGGTGTCACCCGGGTGAGAAACGGGTGAGCGCCGCTTTACCGTCGCGCGACCAGGGGTGACAAGAGTGAGTGCGCAATAGACAGGGTGAGAACTGAGAACTGGGTGAGAATCCTGTAGGCCGGCGCGGAGCCCGCACAGGCCGCTCAGCCAGGCTATGATAACAGATTATTGGGTATGACCGCTGGCTCTGAAACACTGATCTCTGGGCATCTGCACACAGCCAAGCCAGAGTCTAGAGATTCGTTCATTGGTGACATCTGATTCATTGGGTCATCTTCCGGGATGTCTCTTCATCGTTCAAAATGGCCCTTCGGACTGCGAAGTCGCCACAAGATCGTCCGGTGTATCAATCTACGCGAGAAGGAAGATGCATATTAGAGAGGCTAAGCAGTATTCCATTTTGCACTCAATGATCTATACGCCGTGTTCAGGAACCTACACAGCGTGATTACAACCATCACTATCAATTGATGCTAAGGGGAGACAACCTAATGGCCGAGTACTGACTATTACCGACTGGTTTACCAAAATTGAACACAGCTCTAATTGAACCCTACAGGCATGTTCTGATCACTAGAAGTGTGCATTGATAGACTGGTTACATTCAGATTCAGATCTAGACCCTAATAGCCCCCCCCCCAAAAAAGTGATCTACAATACAATAAAACAGTCTAGGCTATTCCGTCCATTTGAGCATCGAGCAGCCCCTTCTGCATGGTCGTATATTGTGATTAGTATGATGGACATCGGGGGTAAGGCGGAGGGAGATGTTCATCGGCCTCGAAATAGAGTAAGGTCCGTTGATGGAAACTTGTCTTCGAACAGAAACCTGTTATCCCTCTCGTAGCTGCACTTCCATAAGAATTGTTCTCATCTCCCTAGATGCAAGGTCATCTGGTATGACAGGTATACCAATCAGAGACATGGACCGATCTAGAGTTATTCGGTGGTTAGTCTCGACTCGGTGACGAAGCATCTAGCTTCCTTGATCGCTTCGAACAACTGATGGATTAATGAAGCATATCCATCTCACAACATAGGTACTCTGTAAATAGTAACGTTCCTATGGTGGGCGGCAGCATGCGCCCACACCTCATTTCTCAATCCTCTGCATCATCAACACAGCCTCACTGGCTGATGTCTTCAGTTCATCTCCGCTCACAAGCTCAGTGCTACTCAAATACTCAAATCTCTCTCTCCAAAACTGCCATCTCTCCTTCGAGAACCCATATTTCCCTCCCCAAAGCGGACCACCCCTCCCCAAAGCACCATCAAATTCCTCATTCCACTCATAAATCTCTTTCCCGAGAATACTGATCCACGCAACCGCAGCAGGAACCCACGCTTCCAAGCTCTCAGGTGCTATCTCTTCCACTGGCGTCTCCAATGCCTCGCGCAACGTAATCAGCGCAAACCACGAGTACGCAAAAATAGGTTCCTCCGTCGCCATCAAATGCGCGACAAATCTGTCCCGGTTGATAATTTGCGAAACCGCGCTCTGTCGACGGTCCAGTGGGCCTGCTGGAACGTTTTTATTCCATTCGTCGCGGAATTGCCAGCCAAGCGTTGGTAGTTCTTTCCAGACTTGCTTCCCATGACGCAGGATTGGCTCCCCAGTTGATGATTTTGCGTCCGGGAGTTTCGAGAGCTGGACTAGGACTTCGACCAGCTTGTCATGTTGTTCTGGGGATTCGTATGCGCATTTAATGATCAATTTCCAGAGGCTGGTGATGCCTTCTTCTGGTTCTGCTTCGTCTGCCAGCGAGATTGAAGCTAGGTGCTCGGCGGAATTCTGTGCTGAGATGCTGTCGCTGAATAGGTCTTGGAGAATGGCGAGTCGAGGATCGGTGGTTTCATCGGTAGCCATTTTGGAAGACGTGATGTGCAATACGGGAAGAACTGGGACTCGGGGATGTAGTGGGATTGTAGAAGTCTGAATCCGGTTTATGTGTGATTTAATAGTCCCCTTATCAAGCAAACCTTTGGAAACTCCGAAGTTTATCGTCGGACTCCGTGGCCTCTATCTGCTGTTATCATTGGCTATGGTCCATGTTGGTTTCACCAGCTAGGGTCTGTGTACACAGCTAAGTTGACAGAGGTATGCTTCTCGCAATGACATTGTATTCGATGTATTGATTGATGTATACAGTATGTGTATGTCTAGCTAGAAGGCACCCCTGGATCCCAGTGTTGAAGCTACAGGCAGAGGATCGAGGACATATCTCTTTGTATGTTGTATTGATCAGAGAAGCTCTAAGCAGTCGGGGGCTGGAGAGGGTGTTTTGGCCTGTGCACGGAAGAATGATTCCTCCGTGCCGGTCACATGCCGTAGTCCGCAACACAACACCCAGTGGACACGCTGGTCCCTGGCGGTCACATGACCGGTTCGCAGCTTGGCGCAAGTATGCGCACACCAGTACCACGCCGGTAGACATATTCCTCAGAGGCTACATGTGACCTCAAGTTACGAAAAGCCGAATGTAATCTCTCTCTCATATTCCTCGGTCTTAGTCAGACAAATATGTGCCGACAAAATCTCTTCAATTCGCGAAGTGGCGCGGTGCAGCTTCGAGCTTAGGGGATGCAGATCTCGATGGGTCTTCCACTCCACCTTTATTGTCGTTATGCTGTTGAACAGTGACGTGAGCCATGAGGTATTGCAAATATTGAATAGCAGGTGTTTGTAGTTTCAAGAAAGTAGAAACGGCGAATCTTCAAGGTTCAAGGTTGTATGCGCGTATCGGCGAACTGGAAGAGATCGCGAATTAAATCGCGGACAGCTCAGAAGGGAACACCAAGGTCCCGACTTCAAGGCTGAGCAAACACGCCCGTGAAAATTGATTGCTCAGAAGCTGATTGACTGCGGGAGAAAAATTCGAGTGTAGCAGAGTCGGTGGTTGATCAGGTGAAATCTCATGGCAGAGGAGTGAGTCCAACGAGATCGAGACCCATTTCCGTTATGATCTCTCGCAGGGAAGCAATGTCAAACACAAGTCGATCACTGCCCTGTGAGCTTGAGTCAATCGCGCCGTTAAGGAGGTCGTCTTTGGTGAGATACATGGGCTGTTCAAACGGCCCATGAACCGGGAAAATTCGGTTGCTCCATATCATGTGGGCGCTACCTGCGGCATTTCGCCCCCAGAGTTCGATTGCTCCAGCAACACCTTGTCTGCGCCGATAAAATTTCACCAGAAGAACCTTGCGCACACTCGCCCCCACTCCTTCCAACCAAAGTTTGGCATCTTCAACGAGACTTAAATATGTCTGGCTCAGGCCAACCTCAATGACGATCCTTGGTTCATGTAAGCTGGGAGTTCCGCGGCATGAGATGAAGGTATCGGGTTCTTTTTCAGCACCGGTGTATGGCGGGTTGCTGGCAGTAACTCGCGGGCTTGCTTTTACCATAACCTTGAGATGTTCAGCAGGAGTAAGTTGACCGTTGATGTGCCAACGGGTCAGCTGTTGGACAAACCACGCAAGCGGGGCTTCGTGGGTATGATTCGGCATTTTCAGAGTTAGAACTTTTCTCTGGGGGAACAATCCTTTCCGAACACGGGGGTACTTTGCGTCGAGAAGCTTTAACAGATCAATTCCGATGTCGTGTTCCACCGAGGTAAGCACAACAAACGAGTAAACAGACTGGTTGAAGAATCCACTGCCGTGGATTATCGCCAATGCCTCTTCGGCAGAGTCAATTTTGTCAAGGGAGATTTCTTTGTCAAGGGTGTATTCTTCACTGTCGTAAGACTGTTGGGAAATCCCGCTACTGGCTGGCGTGGAATCGAGTGGTGAAGACATGATGTGTAGAAGAAAAGGAGGTGCTTTGTTGAACATGGAAAGTGCAAGTATGGAAGTTGCGAAGTCAAGTACAAATGTGGCACGTGATCAGGGCGGAGAAGCATCAAGATGAGAATGACTTCAATGTCACGGGAATCTTTGATTGGGAGGGTGCATGTACAGTTCCCTGGGGGCCAGCGTATCAAGCATCCCCTTTCCTTGCTCCATTTGAGATGAAATGAAAGGTGCTGATAATTATTAGCCAGTCCATATAATCAGGAATAATATGATACTAACTTACTAAGATATATGCAAGCAAGTGGGGGGCGATATTGTGTATCCAATGAACGAATGATATTCACGTGTGAAGCCACGTGATATTGCACGTGCAAGACGCTCCTGGAGACTGGAGTGCTTTCGGGATATTCTGTTCGGAGAACATATCTTGAGTGGTAAAGAGAACCAACGAAAATCATGGCAGAGTAAGAAACGGGCCTTGGGGCTTGTCTTAAGTATTGTTCTTGGAGCGGGCTTAGAATTCGAATGAGTTGGCCCCTATCACCCATACGGTGAGAATTGTCACCCCGTTCTCACCCCGTTCTCACCTCTCTCACCCTAGTCTCAAAACTTCTCACCCATATCACCCGCACTCACCCTGGAGTGCCGCTTGGGTGCTAGAGGCAAATTGAGTATTGACTGTGCAGAACATGTGGCTTAAGTACGGCTGAGCGGACGGGAAGCCCTGTTTTCCACACCCTATGGTCGTATGTACTGGAGACAGTGGTTAGTATAATCATATTTCGTAAGGCCTTGAATCCATATACGCAGTAGACTGTTAGGGTAAGGTTGAGTCGATGGTGCAACTTGAATGAACAAGGTGCCAAAACTACAACGAAAAGACCCGGGGGCAATTAATGTGGCTACTCATTAGAAGGCCAGCAATACAGGGGTCGTTCAAACAGCGCACAGAAGGAACAGAAAGGACAGGTTAATAATTTTTGTAAACATACCTACTTTTCCACATTTAATCAAAAACAGCCTGTCTAATCGCTTCTTCGTCTTGCTCTTCTTTGCTCCCCTCAATTGCACCGCGTGCACGTAGACGTGACAGAACTGAACTCTTCTCAACTGTGACTTTCTTCCTCGGAAAAAGAGAATCGTAGTGTGTAATTGCATGCCTCAGCCCTTTAGGGACACGTCTTGTCTATTCTCTAATACGCGAGGCCGCGAAGATACTCTGATTTCAGTTTGCTGATTTGGTAAGGAGGCAATGCTACACCCACCTCCTTGAATTACTACAATAACAAGTATTCCTAGGACGGCAAAACGGTGGATATATGGGCAAGGTGCTACAACCTACTTTCAGACACTTTAGTTATCTCCGACGACAGGTTGCGGTGTGTAATTCTCTGGGAGTACCACCTAATCTCAAGTGTGTATTTTAGCCTCTCTATACCTTAATATACGAGATAGGCAGTCTATACACTACATCCATAGATGGCCAAGCTTCAACTTATAGAAAAATAAACTCCATTTTTGATATTCCGAAGTCAGACCTAAGACTTCGCGAAGGCACAGAAACCAGCTTGCGCATCCTCTCTTTGACATGTGACATAACAAAACTTCCTAGCTCCCTGTGCATAACTGGTCTCTCTTCGTCATCAAGATCTCCATACATTCCTCCAATGCCCCTCCATTGCTAGCGACTTCCATGTAAAGGGAGCGGTCCTCTTCCTTCTCGCCGATGCACACAAGAAGACCGCCAAGCTTAAGGAGTATTGAGTTGATGATCAGACGACACATACGTCCATTGCCGTCGATGAAAGGATGAATATTGACAAAGATGTGAGTATATTTCGAAGCAATGGCGATAGGGTCAATCGTTCCTTTAGCAATGACTTCTCTCATGTCAGACTGGAGTTCGCGGACCATTGCTTTCATTTTGTAAGGCACAAGGCTGTGATGAGGAAACGGATGGAGGCCCGCAGTCTCGCAGAAACTTCACCCGTACGATAGACACCACTGTATTCTTCCCAGGGAGTGCTTTCAGCGTCGACTTCGTGCTTAAAAATTTTATGAGTCTGGAGGATGATCTCTTGTCAGGAGCGTAGGGCTCCACCTGGTATCGAAGAGTTTTCATTGTGCTCCGGGCACTTTTGTCGGATCCCTTTCGCTCCGAGGCCAGGGGGATATAAACCCCCCTGAATCCCTCGAATAGATAGTCAGGAATCATATCATGGTTTTCTCATCCCTTCCTTTTCTCTCCTCCATCATGGCAGCCTTTAGCTAGTGCTGCCCTCTGTATCGGTACACAGCCTTTCGCATCGCTGTTGTACCCATTCTTTCACAGCCCCATTTCTAGGCTGTTATCCCTTCACTAAGATCTTTATCATAAACGCAGAGTTGACTAAACCTCATTGGCGATCGACGGGCCAGCAACAACAGGAGAATGACTTCTCGGGAGAACTGAAACGGCGACACGCTCCTCTTGTTGCGGAGGAGTCGGAGTACGAGGCATCTCCACGTTCAGGCAGTCTGTCATTGATGCGTCGCTTTGTGCAGGTGGCGACGCCAGGGACAGGGATTTCATCAACTGACATATAACTGCCAGGAGATTGACCATCCTGCATCGGGATGTCGCAGTCCGGAGAAGGAGCGTCCTGCATTGAGATATCGCTTGGTGAAGACGCATCATCGATCGCGATGTCACTGTCAGCCGAACTCGTGGGCGACCCTTATTCTCCGCAACTTGCGGAGCTTGGGTTGTTGGAGGATTGGATGGAGCCAAAAGCCTATTGATAGTTAGTAATTCTGCATATATGAACTGCAAACGACCATCTCGAGAGAAACAGGAGAAATGGGCTATGAGGTCCGCCGGTATATCTTACCTGAGAGTCCAGGCCTGTACCAGTAGGCATACCCACGATTGTGGCCAAGGTAGTGGTCAACTTCAAGCAGAACGAGAACCCCGAAGGGCCAAAATGAAGAGGGCTTGGCAGAATCTATCATGCCAGGTTGGGGCCAAAATGATATCATGGAGGAGCTCGACAATAGTCATGGTTTGATTTCCAGTACCTGACTGATAAGGCCACCTGCTATGCAAATGTAGAGTCCCCTGGAGAATGTGATAGTTGAAGAAGAAAGAAACTTGTCTACAGGTGAGACCAGCTTTATGTATGCAGGAGGAAGTGAGGTAATGTGATCTCACTGTATGTTGCTTCTAATAACTTTAGGAAAGAGCCAAGGGACCCCTGGTACCTACCTGAGATGGAAAGAGGTATCCACATAGTAATATCACGAGAACGTTCTTTCCCAACACTCTACCTGCCCCTTCTGGATTCCCGACAAAGTGTATTACCTGGCAGTCCTTTGGATAAAAAAGTGTATTCAGACTAGAACATCAACTATGAAGAGGAAAAGAAAAGGGAAAGAAGCTTTTCATCTCCCCTCTCATCACACATACCAGTGACACTGTTACCCAAACGACTGCAATCGTCAATTCTTCCATCTGTCCCGCTAAGTGCATTGGTCTCGATGCCTGGGCTGGAAGGACCAGCTCCCCGTCGTCTATGGGCTGATTGCACTGGTGTCGGTTTTGGACACCGCAACTGTGGAATTACTGTATGTATTGTCCGATTGCTTTCTCTTGCAGTATCCATCGTTCTAACAGATATACGTGTAGAATCCGTGCCCAACGCGCCAGGCAAGGGGACTCTCAGGTGATACCTAACGCCGCATACCTCAAGGAGAGGATGGAGATGGCGAAGAAGACGAAGCCCAGGAGTCCATGGCTGGCAAATTGGTCCGACAAGGTCTGGCCCAGAAGGCCAGAACTGGCGAGTAACTTGAGAAGCGCTTGTGGGAAGTATGGTCTTGGAAAATATACCCATACTGACCAAGAGCGTCTCTCTAGCCAGCAACCAGACGGCCAGGCAGACCACCCAGCACCATCGGCTTCCTCGCCTGACCGTTCTCTGCGACACCGCAGTGGCGGAGGCGCTCGATCAGAACGTCCCGTAGGAGCAGGTGATAGCCACTCCGGCACGGGGGCTCGCATTCGTCGCGCCTCAGGGCCTGCGTGTCATCCACCAGCCCCGCGACGTCAACTCGGGGATAACTGAGGTACCGAAATCTCCAAAGGGGAAAGAGCGGGAGTAAGAGGGCCCGCTGCTGCTCAGAGCGCGGCGGTGGTTGAACAACCGCGTTCTCTGCCTAAAACTGCCTACTTCACTTCATAACTCCGTGCCTTCTCGTCTGCAGACGAACACATGCAGATGTTCTTGGCCGATACTTACGATCGGCCGCAGGCGGCAAGTTTCGGAGGGCTGAAGTTTCAGGTTATGTTGGAGGTTTGACGAGATCGACAGACCTCATTGCTGTACACTGCCAGAGATTCGATTGTTCAACTATAGAACCAAGAACTTAGAAGAATCCAACTATCCAATCGATTTCAATATCTTCTCCAACAAGTAAAATAAAAAAATAAAAATAATTTTGTAACAAGGCCTCAGGTTGTGTCATTCCGCCCGCGTCTGGCGCGTCTCCAGAATCCTCCCACCGCCAAACACTTCAACTCCGCACGCATTCTCAAGGGCCGCGAGCCCTCCACTTTGCTTGATCACTGATTTCGCCATTGAATCAAACCTGACCCAATCTGACTCACGCCATCCATCATGGCCTCGGGCCAACCCTTCGCGTCGCGCTCCTACGCCGGCACAAAACTCCCCGAACGCTCCAACGCGATGCCCTTCAGCGCCTCATCATTCTCACGGCATCGCGGGCTAGGAAATGCCGCCCAAGGTGAATTCAACGGCCCCGAAGGTCAAAAGCAGATGCAGCAGTCTGCACCTGTGCCAGCAACAAACGCACAGTCCCATGGCCCCGCGCAGGACGCGAATCCGCTGAACCGTCTCACGGAAGAGCAGAGGGAAGAGATCAACGAAGCTGTAAGCATCTTTTCCTCGTCCTCGACGAATTACAATTTCCTACATCAAACTGAGAAAGCACAAACCCCGAATCGAACATCCAAATACCCAAAGCAAAAAAAATAAAGCTAACAATCCAACCTACTGTTCCCAGTTCACCCTCTTCGACCTCGATCGCGACCGCCATCTGGACTACCACGAACTCCGCGTCGCCTTCCGCGCCCTCGGCTTCACCCTCAGCAAACAAGAGCTCATCTCCCTTCTAACAACCTACGGCGTCCCCCGTCCTCAGGTCCAACAACAACAGGGAGGCCCAGCTCAACCTAACGCCTCTAACAAAGGCCCCGTCTCGAACCCCCAGCACCCATCCAACCTGCTAATACCGCTCTCATCCTTCCAGGCGGTCACGGCGCTGAAGATACTCGAACGCGACCCGCGCGACGAGATCCTGCGCGCGTTCGAGCTGTTCGATGAGGGCGGGAAGGGGTTTATTGATCTGGAGGATTTGAGGAGGGTTGCCAGGGAGTTGGGGGAGACGGGGCTGGAGGAGGAGGAGCTTAGAGCTATGATTGAGGAGTTTGATCTTGAGGGTGTTGGTGGTGTTACGAGGGAGGCTTTTGTGGGTATTTGTTGGCAGTAGATTTGGATTCTTTTTCGGTGTTGGGCTACAGTTTCTTTCTTATGTCTTGTGTCTTGTGTGTTTCTGTTTCTTGTCTGGGAGTATGTAGCTGTGGTTTGCTGATTCCGCTTGAGAGCTACAATTACATTGCGCCGTTATATCAAATTGAGAATGCAAGCTATCATGTCTCGCCATAGTGGTTTCGATGTACTGGTCAGCAAGATGCGATTACAGACAGCCAATACTAGGTGACAACCTTGGAAGAGAGCCCCTACCCCAGAGCTGTCGTAGCACATGACTCGGGTACCAGTTGGATGAATTATACAGTCTGACTGACAGTGGTAGAAATGGCATTTCCTAACGCCTAACCTAGAGCGCAGATGTTGACCGATCCGCGATGCCGATACCCAAATACCCGCCGCAAATCCCAGAGGGAACCGGATGCAAAGAGAAAATTCCAACCAAGAAAACCAATGAAGTAGATAAAGTAGAAGCAAAGAAAGCGCAATCAAGCGTACCGTGGCGGCGGCCCAGGAGGAGGCCCGGGAGGCGGAATATTCTGCCATCCAGCAGGAGGGGGCATATTCTGATACCCTCCATTGGGTACACCATGCCACTGATCCATAGGCGGGCGAGAAGTGGGCTGAGGCCCATTATAACGACGATATGTGCCAGGGGGGATGGCCTTACGGGCCTTGCGCAACTGTCTACTGCGCTTGCAGCGACTATAAATACAGAAGAAGAGAGCGAGCAAGATGAGCGTGCCGACTCCGACACAGATGCCGATGACCAGCTTTTTGTGCTGGCGGATCCAACCCAGAGCAGATGAGCCCTGGCATTGGCCGGCTCGGCAGCGGCCGCCTGAGTCGCAGGGCGTGCCGTCGAGGTAGTTCTGGTTCATGCTGATGCAGGGGGTTGTTCCAAAGGAGTGTTGGATTGATGGAGCGCCGCAGACGAGCACGCAGGATGGTTCGGTGGTGCCCTCGCAGGCCCATGTGTCGTTGGTGTTCAGGAGGGAGCCGACTACGGTGCGGCATTGGTAGTCGCGGCTGGTGCACTGGCCGCTGGCGCAGGCGAGCCCCTGGTCCTTGGGGCCGCATGAGGTGCCGTCGTCTTTGTATTTGTTTGCAGGGCAGGAGCTCGAGTTGCCGCTGCATGTTTCTTCGAGGTCACAGACGCCGCTGCTGGCGCGACAGACGGTGTCGGCGGGGGCGAACTGGCATTGTGTGCAACAGCTGTCGTTGGCGTCGTCGCAGACGGCGTTGTCTTTGAATTTGCAAGTCTTTGCGTCGCAGCAGGCGTTTTCGGCGCAGCCTTCTTCGCCACCGCAGTCGCAGTCCTCGCCGGCTTCGACGATGCCGTTGCCGCACTGGCTGCCGGTGATGGTGACGACGCCCTTGTTGTCGGAGAGACAGGAGGACTTGATGCTGTTTCTGCCGATGGCCGAACAGATATTACCGATGGTACACTCGGAGAACTTGGTCAATGTGTTTGTGGCAAAGGGGTTCATGATGTACCCTGCGCCGGCATCGCAGGTTGACGAACTCAGCGGACAGCATTGCGAGGAGGCTTCCAGCTTCTTCTTGCATCCGTCCCCATCACAGTCGTGCACTGCTCCAAATGTGTGACCTGACTCATGGGCAAACACTTGCCAGGAAGCGCCGGTGTTACGAACGACGAGGTTCGCACCTGTCACCGAATTGGCGCCAGAGGTGACCAGATCTGACGAGCACAGACGACCCATCCACGCCACTCCAACCTCGCTACCTGAGGGGCAATTCGTCATCAGGGTCCAGTACGCATTGTCATCCGAATGCGAGGCGCGCCACTTGGAGAATTCGTTCAACCGCCAGGAGACATTCCCGCCATTACAGTCAACGTTCCACGGCGTAGCAGAGGAGCCCTCGGAGGAACAGCCTTCATCGGAGATGGTAAGATTGCGCAGACCAATCGAGACGTTGAATGCATCCTCATAGAGACTAGAAGCCGTATTTACCACGTTGATAACCCAGTCCTTGGCCGCTTCTTTTGGTGTAGAGTTGGAAGATGCGAACGATTGGGTGAATTCACAATCCGTCGCGACTCCGATCAAAGCAACCTTCTTGGTCTTGGGACATCCGCTGGTATCGCCGATAGTCGACTTGAGGTTCACACCACCAGTGTTACCCGAAACACCGCCGACATCCGACTGTCGCTTGCCCAGTCCGAACAACGAGTTCAACGAGGTAACACCCCATTGATCGTCGTATCCGGCAATATCGTAGGAAAAAATCGAATTCGATAGATCCGCATTGTAGTCCAGTTGATCTGAGCTGCAGCCCGTGTCCACCGGAAGCGACCGCTTGAGCTCCGAGTGAGTGTAGCGAAACATGTCCGAATCGCGGTAGACAACCATGGATTCCCCGTCCCGTGGTTCGACATCGGCATCGATCGGGCGCTTCATGTCCAAGTAATTCGACTGCAGCTCAATGTGGTGTTTGTCCTCGTTGACACTGAAAGCGCCCTCAAACAGAGGCTCCAGACCATCCCTTTTGACGGTAATTCTTGCCCAACCCACAGGCGTCCATCTTCCCTTTCCGGACCCCACCAAGGCGCGCCCCTGAAAGACTTTGTGCTCATGTCGCCTGATCGGCTCTGAATGTCTTATCGTGCCGTCAATGCCGATATATTGCACATAGGCGTCTTCAGACAGGATATCATGATTTGGCTCGAGTTCTAGCTTTATCCGCTTGTGGTCTCGGTGTAAGTCGAAGGTGAGATCGAAATGCGACAGGTGGTCTACTTCGTGTGATGGGGTTCGAATGATCGCATTATCGATGGCCGTTACCCGTTGAATAGCCTCTGCGGCCTGTGACCGTGCTATTGGAGATTGTCAGGTGGCTATCAGGCAACGGGGCTACCATGTGTCTCGGGTACGTACCATGAGTTTGTTGAAGGAGCGAGGAGAATGCACCAATGAAGGGCAGAATAGTAGAGAATTTCATTGCAATACTTGCAGAGTATGTTGACCTTCCCCGGTGTTGAGGGGATTCGGGGTCTTAGAGGAACTGAGTTTCAAGTTCGAGGGCTCTGACAGGCAACCATTGGGGGGGGGGATCTCAGGGAACGAGGGGAGAGATCCACGCCTCACTTGAAAATATCAGGAACAAAGGAATAATAGAAGGAAAAGAAGATGAAAAGAAGGACTAAACTCGAGTAATTCAAAGGAAAAGATTGGAGTCGGTTGAATCGGTTCAGCCCTGGAACTGAAATGCCAAGTGCTTAGGAATCTCATCACAGCCCCGTGGCTTGGCAAAGTGGACTGAGACAGTCCCAAGTCCCAAATTAATATGGGGATTTTGGTTCTCGATCTATTTGGAGGTTTTACCTGATTCGATAAGTCCTTGAACACTCTGTAAGTATGGAAAGGTCTGCAAGTCTAATACGTACCGAGTAGGGCAAATGATGTACAACACCGCATGCGGACTACATACACTACTCAATGGTGATGACTGTTACAACTTGTCTCCACGACTCCACAATCTTTTCACGAACATTGAGAGAAATTTTCCTTCACGGAGATAAATGATAATGCCCTTCAAGTCTCCCTATATCGGGGATAACTGCGTACGTACGCTGTACACGTAGGTGGCTCTAGGCCAAGGCGCTATGAACAGGGGGTGCGGAAGACCGGCGCTTGGCAGTCAAGGCTGCCGAATAATGGATCTACTGCGTATGTTTATTTGTACACCCAGGTCAAGAATGGTGTATGTTAACAATTACTCGGGTGCAGAATGATACATCTGATGTGCCAGCTGCGCAAAGTGTGGAATTGACACCCCACATATAGGGCACTCCATACCCACGGGTTCGTCGTCACCATCATCCCAGTCATCCTCCAATTGTGGCTGTATCTCGGGGCTTTCGGGTGGCAATCTTGACACTTCAATTGGTGGCGCCTCAACTGGTGGCGAGGATTCGGGTTCATGGACAGTCCACTCCCTGAGTACCGTTTCTTGCTGTCGAAACATCTTCCCGATGTCACGTCCACTGTGTTTTTTCTGATCACCCGCCCTCTCCACCATATTGGTAACTGCAACGTTCAACAGACTGAGATTCCAACCAGACTTCTCCGGATGTAGTTTGCGGAACATGGAAATGAGACTCTCACGGACTAACCGCTCAGCCAAGGCATCAATATTCTCGTCCAAGTTGAAAATAAAGGGCGGCAATGGTGTAGATCGAGAGATGCGGTTGTAACTGTATGTGCGTCCAGTATCTGTGTCTGGCGGAGGTCTTGGCCGGGTCGATAAGCGCAGAGTGCGGGGATGAGCACGCCATTGCCCTTGGGGAACAGTATCATCACTTGTATCAAGCAGATCAGTTCTCATACGGCGTATGAGACTTCGCGTTAATATCTCTAACTCCCGCCGGACACTGTCGAGAGTATCCAGACGGCCATATGAATCCTCGATGCTGATCTGAGTGGGCACATCCCGACCCTCTAGCACTTCAGAATTGTCTACTCCGTGGAGAATGTTCCACATACGCATCCCAATGCCTTTGGGTGAACCTGGCCCGCCTAGGACCTTCTCCAAAAGGGGTGCACCCATACCAGGGAACTGTCGGACATCTCGAACTGTGATAGCCTCGTCGACAGTCTCTTGCCCGATGATGTGGGATTCTAGTTTCTGGGCAATTCGTGACCCAATTCCAGGAATCTTTCTGATCTCATGATCATCTAGGAACAGAGATACGTTGCTTGGAGTTTCTCCGGTGGCCGTGTATGGTGGCAGAAGAGTCGTTTGACCGTTGGGTTTGTGAACGTTTCCGACCAACTTTGCCAGCAATTTGGAGGTTGAGATCCCGCCAGTAGCTGTGAATCCTATTTGATGCTCCAACATACCCCGTAAATGACCCTGTAAATGAGATGCGACAAGCAACCTCATTTCTAGCGAAGACGGATCTGTCGGAGCAATGAGATCTGGCTCGGTTGCGGGAAAGGTTGACCCCTGAAATCGCGTGGCATTGTAGGGAAACCCGACTGTCGGGTCTTTTGGATCAAGATGAAAAAACGAGTTCGACAAGTCATTTGGGTTTAGCACACCAGTGTTGTAGTCTATCATTTCCGTGACGTCCAGAAAGAGCTCGTCAAAGCCTAGCTTCTCGACACGCCCACCCCAAACGATAGAGCGAGCAAATAGATAAAGCTCCTTGGAGGCATTGCGGAATTTGGTTAGGTCTTCCCCCATAACTATGACTACATCTGGACAGATGCGCTTTGCATCTTTGATGAGCTGCAACTTATGCAGACCTCGTCGGCGGGCTTCGTAATTGCAGGTTACCACAATCTGCTTTTGCTGGACTGCCAATGGGAGAGACTTCAATGCAGGCTGTTCCACCTCGAAGACTGAGGCATAGAAACAGTCATAGTCCTGGATAAAATTAGTTCGAAGGTCTTTGACATGCGAACGCGGGGGAGTCACCAAGTGGAGGATGATCCGACTGTCATTCCGCACTAGTGCAGCCATGGCCCCTCAGCTGATGTAGATGTATCATGTGAGGGGTGCCCATGTATGGACTTATTTTGGTGCCTGATTAGACTCCATGGAACAACGGAAGTTGAGATAACTTTTGAACCTCGGTGGGATCAACACCTGTCTGTGGCTGATGTGGCGTTGTGGCTTGTGGCTTCTGCCTGACAATCGAGGTCTTCCTTTTCGTGGGTCAACTACCGATAAGATGTTGGATCCGGTAACTCAATGCCACATCGGCTTTTTCCTCTTCTTCTCTGCCTACAGCTATAAATAGAAGATAACTCTATCTTGTACCATCGAGTTTGCTTCTGATATCCAGCGGAGATTCCACCATGAAATAACTTCAAATGCTTTATGACTCAACTGGAGACTCATCTAGCTACGTGCCATAAGGTCCATGACTCAATCGTGTTCCATGGCTATTGTTCTCAAGTTCCCAGATAATCCTTTATGAGGGTATAATATAAAGAATGAATTATGAGACTCTGTAAAGACCATGTGAGTTTAGATCTACCAAATTTTAGTCAAGGTCTTTGTCGCCACTGGTACGTTGATGTACTTTGTAGATCTCCCCGGAGACCCCACGGGTCCTGTTTCTTTTTATAGTTTAGGCGTCTGTTACTCTACTGATCTTAAATACACACCATATATTAGAGGCAAATAAAAGCGTAAGACAAGGTGAAGAATAAATTAATGAAAATACATAAAAAAGATTAAATTAGAATGGCAACAGAAATGTAGTCTACATATTGGGTGTGGCGTCAATAGTTGCGCATCCACTTGAGTCTGGAATTAGCCTACCAATTTAGTGAGAGCAAAAGAAATCTCTGCTCCTCTACTACCTTACTGTGTAGATCAACGGAGACATCAACTGGATAAGAATGTGTACATTCTGTCTTGTACTCTAAGTTGATCTCTGAGAAAGTGACCGGACTTGCATTTCTCCATCACATCATTGCAAGCGCCAACCTCCTCTATTCTTAGTTCAAAGCCAAAACCCCACCACTTGCATATTTCCCCCTCATAACCACCCTTCATCTTTCTTCTTCTTGGTTTGATGCTTAATGACGGCTGATCCTCCTGATCCTCCACCCTTCGCGCCCACCATGTCGTGTCTATCGCCAGATGCCACAACCACGATAACGTCCCGACCAAAACTGACCCTACAAACCACCTCCCTCCCTCGCACATTCGGCAGTTCAAACACCGGCCTCTCCTTCTCCTTTGCAACGGCTCCAACTGCATCCCCAACCATACGCAACACCTTTAAGAACGCCTACGAAGTCACCTCCCCATCCTCCGCAACCACCTCGCCCTCCAAAGCCGCCCGGTTCAACTCTAAACCCAGCTCTCCCTATCTCCTCCACCCAACCAACAACCTCTTCAACCACCGCAACCCTTACCAACTCCCAATCGGCGTGCGCAGCATCCTCCGCAACTCTCCCCTCGACCACTCAACCCGACGACGTTCAGGCTCCATTTCTGCGGGCGGTAATGGACCGAATGGCGCAGGATCACGCCGCGTCTTCTTCCCAGCCAAAAAGCAAGTCAGCTACCGATGTCCACTGGAAGAAGAGATCAGGACAGAACGCTACACGGCACAACACATCGATCTACTGAGTCCCGAGGCTGTGCAATACGAGAATGACCCCCAAACCCCACCCGAGCCGAGCTGCGCCCACCCCAAAACCGAAGAAGAAACAGAGGACTCGGATTCCAGCCCCTCCTCATTACCAGAGACCAGTGCGTCAGGCGACGATACTAGTGCTGATGAAGGCATCTGTGGTCCCGCGCTCTCCAAGATGGAACGCAAGAAGCGGCGGTCGATGGGTATTGAGCGCCAGGTTCGGGCGGTGGCTTTGCTCGATGGGGTTGAGGCTGATGGATCCTCCACGCCGCAGACCCCACGCGACCATCGTGTCAAGCGTCGCAGGGAGTGGAGGTGGACTTTGGGGCCCATTGATAATGCCTCGGACAATGCGCCTGACGGTGTCTCGTTATTGACACTGGCGAATTCCTCGTCGGAGTCGCTGTCTCTGATATCCACATCTGAACCCGGTCACTGAATACCCTTTTCTTCATGCTTCCATGGCTGATGTCTTCTCATTTTTTAACGTGTATAATGGCGATGCATATATCATTTACGAATCATGTTGTATAGAGGCGTTGTTTGGGTTTCTTCGGTGGCTTTGAGGCGCATTCGCCCTTTTCTTATGGTGGCTTCGCCCCTAGCATTTTATCTTTCATGCATATGCCCTTTCATATCGATAATCACCTAAGGGGCCGCAAAGTCTACCTGAGGTGATGAGCAAAATGCAAGGTTTACGAACTCGATCATTGATTTCCCCAAATCCAGCGACCCTGAGGTCTCTCGCGACACGAGTACGCTCACCATGGACTTCTATGGATGTAACCTCGCAGAGAGAGCCTTTTCATGTTTCAAAGGATATTCCAAGTACTTTGAGGTTTGTGTATTCTTCCTATTCTTTCACTAGGACATATACCAATCCTCTATGGAATTTATACATAAGCTTTCAACCCGTATCATCAAACGTCTACCACTGAGAAGCCCGACATGTCCACTGTTCCACTTCATCACCACCATCCTGTTCACCGTGACCACGACGACGGCGGAAATACCTGCCCCTGTTGTTATCGGACGCCCGCTGCGTCGTAGCTAGCCTTTTAGCGACCTCATTTGCCTCGAAAAGACTGACAAGTCTTCTCTTCGAGGGACTTTGTCGGGCCCTCTCCTGGCAAACACGAAGCATAATCTGAACGCTCTCTTCGCGCTTGTTGGACTCTCGGTAGGCCTCGTCAAAGTATCCAGGCTGTCTCTGAGCGACATTTACCCACGCGGCCGAGGAATCGATTTCGCCACGTTGATTGCGTGCAGATATGGTATGGTTCACCCAGGCATCCACGGCCATTTCCAATGGAGTTGTTCCAGTCGAGTTCTCGCGATAGAGAAGGTCAGGGCGACGGTCAAGGAGTTGGCCCAGGATTTGAGGATAATTTTGCCGAACTGCCATGTGGGCCGGAGTATTGCCTGTTCCATCGAAGAGCTCCAGATGCTTTTGGTTGGTTGGTGCGGCCAAATCGAGAATTGCGTTTGTCATGGACGTCACGATTTCATGATTGGTTTTGACCACAGACTCGTCATTTCCGGATGAGACCCGGTTGCTGTTAGATGACATCCCGTCCTGGGGATGGAATGCGTGGTATGAGTTCAGCCAGTGTGCGAACGGCGTGCGTGCGTCTTCTCCGGCACGTTGAGTCAGGAGTGTGGGAATCAGTTTCTCATCCAACAGACTGACAAGTTCGGTAAATTGCTTGGAGTCTGAACAGGTCGGAAGGTCTTTTGTATCGAGGAGCATGTGGAGGAGGTTGTATGCTTGGCTATCCCGGGTCGCCTGGTTGGCCCCTGCCTCGATCAACATGCGAGCACAGTTGACCCGACGAAGGGTGAAGGCCAAGGCCAGCGGAGTCTTTCCACTCTCAGACTGGGCTTCCAAGCATTCGGGGTGATGGTCGATGAGGTACTGAACTAGGCGCTCCGACTCTTGGTTCGGCTTTGACATGACTGCACAGTGAAGAACGAGATTGTCTGTTGAAATGTTAGTCAAGTCGGCCAATTGTTGCATTGGAGAGGAACTTACTTCTTGTTTGCAGCCAATTCAGAACGGAGGCCTCAAGTCCCAATTTGGACTTAGAAATTCTTTTGACATCCTTATTCTCGGGATGAGAATTCACATACTCCAGGTAATACCGGCCGGGTGCTGTGCCGAGGAAGAACTCTGTGCTGGCAAGATTTCCCTGGAAAGCAGAAATCAAAAGCGGAGTGTTTTTATCAGACGAGGAGCTTGCTGTCTCATGACGACCGGCATTCGCCCAGTCAGAACGCTTTGCTCCGCGGATTGACAGGCCTTGGTAGTACCGAGGCTCCTTCGGCGCTTCGACTCCAGATTCCGAGCTTAACTTAGCCAGTGGAAGACCAGTTGCGCTGTGTTGGATGAGCTTCGTAAGACAATCAACCCGACCAAGGGAGATTGCAAGCTGGAAATCCAGATCTCTGGTGTATTGGGCATTGATTTCGGATGGATCGTCGCGTGTAACATCCGCCTCCATTTCCAGGATGAAATCCAAAAGAGAGAGATCATTTTTGTAAATAGCAAATCTGACAAGACCGACGATATCCTTGGGGGAGACAGGCTGCCCAGAAGGATACGAAAGCATCCTAGAAGTGTCGATTTTGGTTGCTTCTTTGAAAGCCGATGGGTCCAGGAACAGAGAAGCCGTGAAGTTGAATTGCAAAGCTCTGATAGGGCTTACCTTGCTCTCAGTCTTGGTGACGACCTCTCCAACATTGTCATGGGTGAAGGTATCATCAATGGTCTCGCCAACAATATTGAGGTTCTCTTCGTCATCTGACTCGTCATCGGACCCGAGCTCAAATCGGGTTTGGCCACGAGGTTGCTCAGGCATGTACTGTTGACGAAGAATGTCCAGAACCGACTTTGCAACATCGAGATGTCCCCGCATAATCGAGATCGAAAGACATGAAAGACCATGATCACCTGTTACCGCGATCTCAAGGGGCGCTTGATCCCCAGCAGGTCCCCACATACCGAGTGTCAAATATTGGATGGTTTGAAGGTCGCCATTCCAAGCTGCTTCAAAACTGTGATTCGAATGTTAGCATGATCTTGTTCTTCGGTCTCAAGGGGGCATCGTACAGTAGGAAATATCCTTCGCGTTGGATGTCACTGAGGCCAGGCCTGTTGAATTTGAACTCGAGCTTGAAAGCCTTCTTGCGAACTTCCGGGTAGTGAACTTGAGGGTAAACAACGTTGTTTCTGGGATCTTCGGGGTGAAGTTCCGCCCATGTCTTCGCGTCACTGGCCAAAAGCCGGGTTTCAAGCTTCTCATAGTCACGTATCAAATCAGACACGGTCTTCATTTTCGCCTCGACGCCGATAGTGCTCAGACTCGACTCTTCCTTCTCGATTCTCTCTTCGATCTCCCGATTAGCGTTGCGTGCTTCCTCTAGAGAAGCCTTTGCAGCAAACCGTCGGTAACTGTCAGATGGGAACTCAGCCAAATAGAACTCATCGTCGTCAAACAACATCGCGTGCAACTGCCCACGAGATCGGCTGACGGGACTGGCACTCAAACATGCTCGGAGTTGTTCCAGATTGCTCCTGGTAGAGTCCAATAGGCTTTGGCCGTCATTGCCCCATCCTTGCTTGAACGTTGTGTTTGGATTGGCCCCGCGGTCAAGCAGCTCCATTGCGATCAGAGGAAGATCGTTAGTGGTGGCCAGGAAGACTGGCTGCTCCATGGTCTCACTCAGGCGGTCTTCAAGACCATTGAAATAGCGATCGTCGGGATTGGCCATCTTGTAGGCCTTCACCAGCTCGCTGAGCTCAATATCTGGCTTTGCGCCTGCGTTCAATAACTTGAGCGCCATTTCAGGCATCTTCCTCCTCACAGCTTCCATGAGGGGAGATGAAAAGCTTGGGGACCAACTACCTCCACTGACGGCCAAATGGTTGATTGCCCGCTTCACTGCCGGCATATCGTGCTCGAAGTACAACTCGAGCATATCACTTCGCCTCTCTTGGATGCTGTAGTAGAGTGCAGTCTGTTGCTTCAGATCGGCCTGGGCAACTGAGGCACCAAGCTCCAAAAGTGCCCGCGTTGTCTCCATGGCCTTTTCCGATGGAAGGGAGAAAGCGAGAACCAAGTTGAGGATTGCTGCTTCCGGCTTCCTGTTGTAGTCGTTCAGGATTTTGACCGGCAGTAGAACGTCAGCGCCGAAGGATGAGACGAGTTCCTTGACGACATCGATATGGCCGTTGAGCATGGCGAGATGCAAGGGTGAAGCGCGGCTATCCCATGCAACAACATTCACGTCGTAAACATCGGGCTCAAGGTCATTTTCTTCGATTGTGTCGTATGTGACGAGAGGCGGTTCCTTTTCGACCTTGACGTATGAGGCGGATGTGCGAGAGGCATCATCCTCGTCGCTTTCATCAATCTCTTCATCATCTTGATCCGCCGAGGGCTTCGGGTCGATCTCCTTCTTGTTCTTTTTGAGAGCGTCCTGCTTTTGAGCCTCTGCCTCTTCGTTCTCGTTACTCTTCGTGAGCAAAATCCGAATGATCTCGACGTGTCCTCGGGCCGCAGCAAGATGCAGAGCCGTCTTTCCGTCCGCCATGCGTGGGATCATTCGAGCACCATGTCTCAGAAGAGCTTCGACGATCTCTGGAGTCGAAGAGATGCAAGCGAGTTGGAGAGGGGTTCGACCGGTGTAGTCGCGTCGGTTGGGGTCGGATCCTTCCTCTGCGAGGCAAGCTTCCACAGCAGCCAAATCATCGGCGACAATCGCCCTGCACAGCCGCTCAGTGCGGCCAACATATGCCATTTCTGTAACACACGATGTTAGGTCAACCTCTCAAGAAAAAGAATAAACTCGAATCCTTACCGGTCCAATCGGTTTCGGTGATTGGGTTGAAGCTGCCAATCTCCTGGCGACCGGGGTCATCCTTGAGGAAGCTGATATCCCCAGAAACGTAGATCTTGCTCTCTTCTTCGGCAACTTTCCGTTCCTCATCGGTGGCAGGAGTTGGGCAGAAGCCACAGCAATCATGAATGACGTGCTCGGCCTCGCCAAAAAATGCGGGATGCCGGTGAAGATACACATCACGGTCCGTGCCTTGATTCCACTGAGCATTCAAAAGCAAGTCCTTGGTATACAACAGCTTTTCAATCTTTTTGGCATTGAAGTTTCGGCCGTATGGGATCGTCTATGCAGTGGTCAGCAAAGCACAGCTTGGCAGGGCTTGAAGTGGTGGTACGAACAAAGGTGTGATAATCAGACACTTGATCTGCCTCCTGCCATTCAGGAACCTCATCTTCCCAGTCATCCTTGATGTTTCCTTTCAACTCTCGGCCCTGACGACGCCGCATGTAAATGTTGAGGGGAGGACGACCGCGCTCTTGACGCCTCTTCCGCAAATATTCGTCTCTATCGTCCGACTTCGGAAGCCTCTCTAAGACCAAGAGTCGTGCAAGACCCACTGTTCTGTTGAAGCTTCGCTCGAAGATTGTCTGTTACTGTCAGCAAAAGAAACTCCATGCCGCTGTATCTGTATGTGCTCACAGGATCAACTCTGGATCGGGACAACGGATCCCAAAAAACTTCGAATCCACGGTGGGAATACTTGGACAACCGATTTTCATACGATGGTGAGCGACGAGTCAAGTCAATTTGATTGACCTGTGTGGCATATGCGGCAATGGCACGTGGTGAGGCATAGACTTGTCGGCCGTCAAATGCAGTGCACGAAACATCGACGTCGAACCCAGTGAGGATCTCGGCTATCGAACGGTAGATCCGAAGCACAATCTGCACATGACGATTCGGATACTGCGAAGCAATCGTGATCGTATTCTTTGTTCGGATAGTGGTGGTCTCATAAAGAATTGTGTTCTTGATCTTATCCTCGATGTGCTTGATCTTCTCAACTGCTTGTTCCTCATTCAAGCCATACAAGAAAAGGTCCACATCAGATGCCGGAGCGAACTTTTCATGATACCACTGACGAAGACCACGCTTCGAGTTTCGATATTGCTCCGGTACAGGCAACAGAGAGGTGACGACAGCACTACCGGCGACAACCACGTTCGACCAGTCAATTTCGCTCAGACTGCCTTCTGTGAAGAGGGTGAAGTTGTTTTTGAATTCATCGAAAGTGGGGACAATTGCCGGTGATCCATTTGGCTTGCGATCTTTGTCACTCAGGGGTAGAATATACTTCGCCTTCTGCTCTGGTGTTTCAGATGCAAGGTCCCGGGCCCGAATTCGTAGATCGTTGCAGCGGGCCCGGTCATACATTGGTACAATGTTGACGAGATTGTCCTTCACCAGGGGATTCGAGGGTTCCTGGGCAAATGCCTTGCGCAGCAAAGCATCAAATTCATTGTAAGGCTTGACCAAGTCCGCCATCGGCGTGTTTGGTTGAGATTGAACATAGCTCAAGAAGTCATTGTGCTTCACTGGAACAGTGGGTAGAGAAGCGGCCATTGTGTCGGTAAAGTATTATAGTCAAAATATGAGAAATAATTGATTCCACAACTACATCTTTGGCCGGAAAAGAGTGATCTTTATATGTTCGATCTATACGTTCGTCCTAATCAGGCTAGTCTTTGACAGCCAGTCATCCTTAGGCAACAGACCCCACTATCACATCCAGTTAGCCAATCAAATCAGCCTTTAGGTTATCGCCAAGCATCACAGCAGGCATCGAGCGGCCTAACTCCACATCGGCAACGCTTGCTACTCAACTTTGAAACCGCGCACCCTCAGCTGCCTAATATGCGGCGTTTCTGTCGATTACAATTTCGCTTCTGAAGTATCATTCGACAAATTGTCTCCATAAGGCTGGTTAGTGTCCAAAAGCCTGGTTGGGAAATCGTTGAACAGATACCTATCTCGCGTGGCTGTTTAAGCAATTAAGGCTTACATCCAACCTGGAGGTGTGTAAGTAGCTCGATTAGGGCTAACTATTGAATATGTTCACGAATGTGCTTTTACCTAAGGCTACCTATTGATCGCGCTACCTATGTGCCGCTGAATTCGAGGTCGATGAGATTAAGCAGTTTGTGAACCAACGTTGAAAAGCTGATACCTTTTGCCATGGAATTAATCGTCAGATAATTAGACGCGGCACATGCCGCAGTGGGATTATTGGCGCAAGTCGTGGGACATAGCCTTGCCAGTTGGTTGAAGACTCGCCAGTTGGCTGGAGACTTGCCAGTTGGTTGGAGACTTGCCAGTTGGCGGAGAGCTCGCTAATGGAATACGCGTCTGGCACTCGGCATCAACGCCAGGGTATCGGAGAATGTACGTGCTCACTACCTCGGGCTTAGCTTCCCCCTCTTATGAACCAACTACTCTCCATGTATCAAGTGGTTACTGACAACTGGACATAAGATCTTTTGTTGGTATTCTATTTAGAAAGGTACTGTACACATGCCCTGTTCACTTCGACGTTAGATATGGACCAGACACGACACAGTCCTACTTCCTGAATCCGTTGGCTTGTAGCCCACGGGAAAGGGTGGTAGTCATATTCATGATATTTGTATTTTATACAGAACAGCGGTCGCGCGAAAGGACATTGAAACCGCAATAAAGAGAAACCCGAAAACAACGCTCAAAACAATCCATTAAGTCTCAGTCTCGACATCCGGCTCACGACCAGTGAGATCACCCATTCCGATCTTCTTCTTCATCTTCCGAAGCGCAAATTTGGCCTCATCCTTCGCAAAAGCAGCATTCCGAGCAGGACGCCACTGCATCATACCACGCTGCTGTCGCTGCTCGCTGCGTTTATTGGCCTTGTTGATCTCGCTGGTGGACATGCTAGCCTGCGATGAAGGCCCAGATCTATCGCTGCTGGTGACTGTCGAGGGCCCCGCAGACAAGGAGCTGGAGTCCTCATTCTCTGAGTCGGAAGTATCCTCATCTTCCTCTCCATTGTGTTCGTTTTCCAGTTTGGGCGTAGTCGAAGGTTGACTACTCAGCGGGGGCGGAGTGTACGGGTCATGCCGAGGATCATCTCGGCCGGGCTCGGCGACCTTGCGACCACTGGAATCTACGTAGGCACGCGGGTCATGGCCGAAGGCACCGCTCCAGTCGTGGCCCGTGCGGTCGACCCACTTGCGACGCTCAGCGGGTGAGGCTTGTTTCAAGACATCGCGTCCATCGATCAAGGACTTGTCGTGCTTTTCCTGCACCTCTTCGGGGACTTCGATGTCCACAGTGCGGGAGCGGACGCCCTGTGACATGCACGCTTCCCAGGTCTCGAAGGTCTCACGGGAGTCGTTGTCAACGACGAACCGCTCGTGTGACTCGTCAATACCCGGCGAGAACTTGCAGCGGAATTGCAAGCGGCCCACCTCTTTCAGATCCTCCAGTCCAGGTGTCTCCTTGGCTTTCCAGTTCTCCTCGGTAATGTAGTTCTGTGTCAAACGGGTACCCATCTTGGTTGTCCAAATGGGAATGTCGATATCCGTCTCTTCATTATCGACCAGATGCTGGAGCCACAACGTAGCATAAGCTGCTGCTCCTCGCTTGCCCTGGGTGTGGAATTCGAATACAACGGGAGAGCGGTATCGGTGCTTCACGGGCATGCGCAGTGATTCGCGGAAGGATTCGTCAGATGTGTCGTATACTGCATCATCTCCCTGCAACTGGCAGTGGTGCCGGGTGAGCTTGCCAGTGCTGCCACCAGTGCGCAACCTGATCTTCGCCTGTCGACCAAAGTTCTTCGCGGTGATCTGCTGTCCGGCGAATTCGAAGGTGCCGACGTCCCAGCCAAGCATTTGAGGTGGCAGCTTGGTCTCCACGTGGCGGAACAGGAGGGAAACACGGATGCGACCGAAGCCAATACCTCCATCGAGAGGATACCAGCGAGTAACCTGCGAGCTAGTCTGGAGGATATCGGACAGCTTGAGGGGAACGACGCCAAGGATAGGGTCGTGTTCACGGTAGCGCTGATCTCGCACGGTGATGGTAACGATAGCCGAGCGCCAATCGCGTACAAAACGTTCAGTCCCTGCATTGAAGATAGGATTGGAGCTGACAGCCTTTGCACGAGTGCGATATACCTACGATGTACAGTTAGTTTCAGGACGAGGAATGAAGATAGATTGTCGAGAGACTCACCAGTTGGTCATTCAGCAACACCTTGCAGTAACTGGTTGGCAAATCGTCTCCCTGCTCCTCTGTGTTCTCGCCTGATGCCTTCGCTGGTTCCCACTCCTTGCCCTTCCGGTTTCCGTCACTACCCTTGATGTTGGAAATTTGGAGGTTGACAATTTGGTGAACAACGATGTGAACGATACCGCTAGGCCAAATAGGGTCAGGCGGAGTGTGGACCACGGCATCCTCCTCGTCGTTGTTGATGTTACCCTTCTCATCTTCGAAGGTGGGATTGCCCTTGAAGTTCTCAGGAAGGTCTTTCTTCTTGCCATCGGTGCGTAGCTCTGGACGGAGTTTGGGCTTTCCGAAGTACCCAACTTCCCAGTGTAGCTCTCCCGGCATCTCGCTGCCTTCATCCATGCCCTTAAGTTTTGAAACCTGGGGATACATCCGGCTGGGGTGCTGGAGCATTTCGCGGATGGGTATCTCGACCTTGCCGACTATATCATCGGCAGTATTGCGGTCAGAATCCCAGAGCTCAATACTCAGGTTTTCGTCGGCCTTGATCAATTCTGGTGTCACGAGAAGAGCAGCAGTCTCTTCCCAAATGGGGTTGAGGTCATCCGTAATCACACGTGTGCAGTACATGGGCTTGCCGTACTTTGAGAAGGATAGGTTGATGTACGGATCGCTGCCGCCACCCTCGCTACCGCGAGCGTCCTGTTTACTCAAGCCGACTGCACGGTGAATACGGATCCACATAACACCCAGGGCTAATGTGTCTTTGTGAATGTCGTCTCCTGTCAGCATCATACCAAGGTCCATGGTCATTGACTTGGGCGCTGCGAACATGCCACATGCTGTGGCGATGGCGGAGTTGACAAAGTTGGAGATCAATGGTAGATTCAAAATGTTCACTCCCTTTCGGACCATTGGCATGCAACCCGCCTTAACATGAGGAATTCCGACCAAAGTAAAAGTCACGTCCTTCATAAACGGTGCTTCAGGCATCATTTGGAAGCGCATGCGGACTGTTCCAACAAATTCGATCAGCTCGACGAATACGGGGAATGGCACACCGAACAGGCCTCGAACACCAAGATAGAAAACAAGTTGCATGTGCATGTTGCGTGCCTTGGAAGACGCAGTCTGATCTGTTGGCTTTGCATGATAGGCAAAGGCGGCTTCCATATTATAATAGCTTCCACCTTCTTCAGCAGCAGCAGCTTCCTGCGGGTCCTTGTTCTTCATGTTCTCCTCGTGAACATTGTCCTTCAAGTCCTGCACGTGCTCGTCGGGTAGAGCTCGCATGCTCAGAATCCGAAGGGGGTTGTTACCCTGGCTGATTTCGGCGATTCTAACATTCTCGACAACCTTAGGTGCAGATACTTGCATGATATCCTCAATTGTGTCGGCCACAGGTGTAAGCATCTCCGGATTAACGAGGCCCCACAGGACAGCGAGAAAGCTGTTCATCCACTCCACGGATTCAGGGAGGAGGTTGGCAGTGGCCTTGTCGACGGTTAGCTTTTCTTATTGACAACGATAATATGCAAAAGCTCACCATCTGTCCTCGGATATGCTCACTACTCCACTCCACTTCGCGACCACTACGAATCACTTCCTGAGCCCACAACCATACGGCACTCGAGATGCAGAAGGCCAGGGGAATAAGCCCCCAGAGAGATCCTCCAAATGTTCGTCCCAGTACAATAACGGCGACGAGTATACCAATACACAATGCTGTCGCACGTTTCTCCAAAGCCTTAAACATGGGCTGATATGAAACAGTTGGTGTGGGGTGGAAGAGGACATTCGTCTTCTCTCCTCGAATGGGAACGTCGGAGGTTGTGCCCTCGGCGATAGGATCTGGGGGCGCAGTGACATCCTGGCTTTCTTTGTAGTCTCCAAGATCTTGGTTGGCGCTAGTTTGGACGTCCTACGGATAGGTGTCAGCACTGAGTTCTTCGAAAACATAATCCAAATGATAGCCGACTTACTGTCTCTTTTCCAAGATTTGCATTTGGAACGGTCAACTGTAATTGGATTAGTCGCTGCTCACATGGCGCTTTGGCGATATACCACATACCATTGGATTCTTGACAGCGTCCATGGCTGTCTCGTCTTGATCTTCAACTCCAATCTCCTTGCCCGTGGTTGGGTCTGTTACCGTGCGGATCTTGGCCTGCGAGACGTCGCGTGGCTGATGAGTAACAGCCTCTCCATCTTTTTCCTCTGGCTTCTCCTGCTTCTCCTGCTTCTTTCCTGCTTGTCCCTGCGCTTTTTTCTGTGCTGCCTGTTCCTTTTTGGCTCTGTTTTCCTCATCGATCTTGACATCGCGTTCCTTCTTTTGGTCGTCGATATGTTCCATGAAGTGAGAGATGGTTGGAATAGGATTAGCACCGCTCCAGTGCTCCCCGACCCGACGGGACTGAGGCTGCTGACCCGAAGCCATGTTGGGAAGTTGTCCAAGGAAACGAACTAGATGTGTTTCTTCACGTAGGTGAAAAGGGTAATTTGGCTGTACAATAGCGTAAAAAGGTCAAATATACGTTATCAACATCAACACCCTCACCTGTGATGAAGTGATTGAGTGATGAGAAGTTAGGAATGGCAGAGAAGTTTATCATAGAAAGAGATCTCAAAATGGGCGGAGCTAGAAGCTCTCCACGTGGCTACGTCATCGACGTGAACCTGGGAAATGGCGATGACGCTATTCTAAGAGCTCAACCGCCTATCATCGATCTCAGATGCAATTTGCAGCCGATCTCCTGGCTTCCCCACATTTATATTAATCTGTGCCTATTGCTTCCAGGGTGTTTGTCAATCTCAGCGGAATCCCGGTCTTGGCATCGCGAGAAGCCTGACTCTTCTTGTTTGAAACTTAGTATCAGCGGCTTTCACACTGCCAATTCGAGCTCCCAGCATGGAACTCAATTGACTATTAAATTGATTTGTCGATGTAACCGGGATCAAGTCCATTGGGACCAGCCCCTATGTTGTACAGCGTATGAATGTGCGACACATCAATATACAACTTATGACGTCATAGGTGTGACCGATGACTAGCACCTAATGACTTCTATAGATACATCGGGGGTGAGCACATGGGGGAAACCTAATAAGCTTGAAATATAATTTTCCCGCCCTTTGTCTCCGAGAAATGACCAATCCTTCGGTTCTCAGGAGATAAAGTAGGACAAAGACGAACATATTGATAGCCTCTGGTCTGGAAGGCACCGATACCTAAGCGATGAATGTGAGTCGACAACGACAAAGCCGGTGACGATGGCTACTTCGTTGGCCTGGCCTGTGATCTGCACGACCCTTTCAAAGGCTATTCATGTAGGGCTATCAGCGGAGTTCGCGAGGCAATATTGAAGCTCTATTTCGAAGCTAGACCAATGCGGCAAGGATATACGAGTGCCTGAATCGGATCTACATTTCGATTTTCGATCGCTTACATTGACCATTCACATTGGAGATGCATAGTCACGAGTGTGACATATTCATGTAGCTCTATAGATGTCGTCTGCTCAACTTATGGAACCGGGGATTATCAACGACCAGTGCGCCTACACCACGGCTCGCGCCAAATAGGCCAAGTGTGAAATAGAAACTCTCTGGATTGGTCTGGAAAGTGTGGGTCAAATGGACATCTTTCAACTCTTTAGATGAAATTCCATCCGCATAACTAACTATTGATTCTAGGTCATTCTGGTGAATCGCCTGAGGAGGTCGCTTAGACTTATAGCCCCCGGGATCCGTCCCTGCCACCACATTACAATAGCAGTGGTAATCCCGCCAAGAGTCACAGAGGTGAGAGTCAAGTTGCGCACACATTGAACGAGGCACCTTTTGACGAGTTCATCTTTCCGCTCGGCGAAATTTCCTGGAGCATTAGTTCGGGGGAAGGGCTCGTCGGGAACAGGCTTGTCGAGAAACTATCTCTATCATCAGCCATAGTTCTGTGAGAAAATCCAGATTATTTCAAATCATACCTTGCAGAGCGGCTCCCAGCCATCATCGACGGACCACTCAAGCAACCTATCCTTCGGCACCATTCCTCGGACCATGTTGCAGTGGTCGCGATAGACCCACTTTGCGTTTCGCTGGATACCATCTGTGCCAGGCACGCCACGAAACACGCCTGGATATCCATATCTTAAATAAAGACTGTAAAGCCAATAAATCTGCGGGCAGAACCACTGCATCCCCCACAGAGTCCATGATTGACCGATCCCTTGGGCGATGGTTTTGTCGATGCTGCGGTACCAGGCGTCTATATCCGGACGCACGTTGAGTATCACTTTGGCGTCTGGGTAGGCGGCGAAAAGCTCGGGACCGAATAAAACAGACACGGAGTCAACGACGGCCTGGTGATCACCGAGGATAATGTCGAACTCCGCGCTGGTAATCTGCACGTCGCCATCGTGAGCACCGTTGTATTTCCGCCGCACTAGCTCAGTACAGTGCTGCAATTTGCTGCCATCTGTCTCGAACACCACGTCCCAGCCATGATATGTTGGCAGGCCCAGAGTCCGTAAGGCCACGCTTAGGGATTCAGTTCCGGTGCGTGGTAAGCCCAAGCAAAGCACCTCAAGGGGCTTGCTTCGTTTATGCGGAGCCGGTTCGGGAAATCCGTAGAGTAACTGTTGGAGGGCGAACATTGGAGCTCGAAAAATAATTAAAGCTGGCGTAAGCTTGGGAAGAAGGGTCTTCCACATAAGTAGTAGCTACAATGGGTCACATGATTCCCGGCGCGGGCCGATGGGGGGCCTGATTAGGAATGCGGCGGGGCGCCTGAAGTGACAAGTCATTTTCTGGGAATCAAGTTAAGAGGTGTGGAGGTCAATGGAACTTCCTGAATTTCGGAAACTATTGGTGACTGTACTGTAAAACCATTCTTGAAAACAGTGCTCGTGGATCAGCTATCGGGCAATCTAAAGGGACAGGCTTCGCGGTTTCTAATCGCAAGCTCGGGCTTCTGCTCAGCATAACTGTTTTAGCCAAGATTGACACGTATGCTGCGGAATAAGCACTTGGAATTGATCCGCATCAACTCGCATAATGAACGAACAAACAAGCAAATTGAATTGAGAGTAAATGACTATATTTAACTAAAAGGCGATGACTGGAATCAAGGTCAGGCCTGGCGGGTATCGTCGCCCGTCAAGAGTTAAAAGTAAGACTACAAAGATGCAAGGCACTACAAGTGGGGACATCGAAAGGGAGACAAGGTTAAGAAAAGAACAAAGAAAAACAAGAAAATGGCCGGAGATAACGCTAGCCGGCAAGCAGGAAATCACTTCCCGTCGTAGATCTGGTCAGGCGTGAGGGTAAAATTGCCCTTCTCGATCTCCGCGGCGTCAACATGGTCGGGTTTGACATACCGCGCGGTAAGGGCAAACCGCAACTTGTTCTCCGGCACCACCGAGTGCTATATCGGTTAGCTCTGTTGTTTAGCGGTGCCAAAATGGAGGATGGCCACGAACCTCGTAGTACCTCTGAAGGTTTTCACCGTGCATGACTACCAAGTCTCCATGGTGCAACTCCAACTTGATGGCTGGTGGAGCTTGTTTTCCCTTCTGGATGGCAAAGAGAGTTCGTCGAGAGTTGTCATACTCATCTTGGGAGATCTCGCCAGCTCCAAACCTCTCCTTGAGCGCACGACGCTCATCTTCCAACCGGCAGCCTTTCAGCACGGGGTCCTCTTGCAGAACACTCCCAGATACAGCTTTGCCATCGCCGGCGTCCACCCGTCGAGTATGTCCGTTGAAGTGCTTGTACTTCATGCGGATCCACATGGTGGATTTTGCTCCAAGTGAGAGGGTTGCAATTGTAGGGCCTAGAGAGGATTCACCATCGTCATGGTACTAACAAATCTATGCTTTAGTCGAGAGTAGGGCCAATCTCACAGTGTCACTTACTCCTATCTTCATGCCCTCAAAGTACCCCAGCGTCAACAGCTCATTGGGAGGCATGTACATGTCTCCAGCGGAGATGACAGCTTGTTCAGTCGCCCACGAAAGACGACCCAGAGCTCGGAGAATGATCCCAGGGGCTTCGCCAAACGCCTTTGACAGCACCGACACGACATACTTATACGGGCTACCCTGTTTGATTTGGTCAGCAGAGAGGTCAGTAAACATGATGATCGGACGAGCTGACGTACGTGGTTCACCGCGAAGTGAGCGGTAAGTGTGCCCGCGACTGTCCAAAGTAAGAATCCTGAAACTTAAAATTGTGCACCTTGCTCACTTACCTAGACTGGACGAAAGCGGAAAACGTTTTAAACCAAGATCTTCACGCTGAAGACCGATAAACAAGTCGTCGGACCCATTTGGTCGGCTGTTGATTTCGGCGTTCGCGACCAAATGGGTGATAAAGCCGACTCCATCAAGTTTGTAGGTTAGCTTGCGATAGGGTGACAAGCTAACATCATCGATCTCGGGGATCATGAATTTCCTATCGAACACCATTTCTCGTCTCATTGAGGGCTGCTCGGAATCATCGAGTAGAACTTGGCGCGAGATGGGGTTCATTGTCATGAGCCGTTCAAATGAGCAGACGTTACCGCCCGTCTGAGTGCCAGTAGAGTCATCGCTGCACTTCCACCCTCGCCACAATGTCCGTCGAATACATTTGTGACACTCGGGGCACACAATTCCTTTCCACGCACCACGAGATGTGCTGACGTCCGTGGCATCCTCATTCAGTGTCGACAGATGATCGGGGACAAGGCTGCAGTTAGGCCGAATTTCATTGTCGGGACGACTGCGGAAGCTCAAGAAGGCAGGGTTAAAAGTTAGCTCAGGAGGACTGGAAACGTTTCCAATCTTCCAGAACCTGTCACACTCCGGCTGAAGGCACATCCAACCATCCTCATAGACACGGATGCTTTCCTTGGAGCAGCCCTCGCACTTCAGGGTTTGAGGCTTTGTGTCGAAGTCTCTGAGTTCGAGGGGCATTGGAGGAGCAGAGCCCTTTGCTGCCCACCAGCTTTTCTCCGCGAGATCCAATTTCTCAAAACGGACCTTCGCTCCATGGTTCGTACCAATTCTTTCAAACCAAACATTGGTAACCCGAAACCATGCCATGACGTTGTACCGATGTGGAAGGTCCCGATTGAGAATCTTGTGCTTGCTCCCTTTCGTACTTGTCAGCTACAAGCTATACCATGCAATCCGTGATGAATTGGCAACCTACCAATAATTAACCCAACAGGAAGCTTTGAGTTCAGGCTAGCAATGATGCTTCGGGCGAGCGTGCTATCAGCCTCCTGATTCTTTTGGAGGGCCAGGTTTCCCTCTGAGTCTTTGGTGCAGCAACCACCACTAATTGTGTTAATACATGCAGTCCTTAGTTGTAGGATCACACTCACATTCGAGTTATGATGATTTCGTCGTCAATGTAGGTCCGGGTACCACCGTCGGCATCAATCAGAAAGCCCCAGCAAAAGCCCTCACTGTGATACATTGCGCCCTGAGTGCAATGGAACCAAGGAATTGCATCGCATAGCTGCTGGCGATTCTGGGAGGACATTAGGACCTAGCTGAAAAGGACTCGTTATGGGAGTTTCATACCTCAGCCCATGCGGGTGGTTCACCATGGACTTGCTCCAGGACCTGGTCAGTGCTGACCACTTTGATCTGGTCTGATGGAACTATTAGGATCAGCACGACATACATCACGTAACAAAGAACGTAAGTCAACTATCCAAGAAGCCTTTGTTACCTTTGTTTGCCGGCGTCTTTTCACTCTTGCCTTTGGTGACGCGGCCCGATCTCACCACTTGTCCAGCCACATGAGACCGACTAGCAGTCGGACGTGGAGCCATATCGCAGAATTCCAGCGCTTGCAGTCTGGTATGCTATTCCCTGGGTTAGCGTATGTGGTCTTCAGACCTATGGTGGGACTACCGTGGGATGGACTCACAGTACGAACACTCACAGTCACTCACACCCACCGCAGAAGCAAATCGGGGGTTCGATGGTGCTTCAAATGATCGCAGGTGCTTAAACCCAGATCGAAGCCAATGAACGCGGAGTAGAAAGAACGAAGATTGAAGCGCGCCAGGTCAGATTGCTAGGACTCGTTGTGCTGCTTCTAGGAAAGTAGGTGAAGGTCGAGAGGGAGGGAGGACACAGGGCAGGCCTACGACAAGCCTATATACCCACCAGGGCGGTACACAAGTCACGTAAACCTTAGATGGGATGAGTCCTTGACTAAAGAAAACCTCGAACCACCCATCGATGGATGGAGATGTGCTAATTTGGACAGGTTCCAAGGTTTCAAAAGATGGCGCTAAGCTCCCCATGACCTGAATGTTCCAAGCCAGGGAAGCCATTACGTGCTATCTACCGAGTCCATCCACGGGTGACTCAAGGCCAATGACAAAATGGAACGCTACCAACCTTATTTGAATGACCTCGTGTATGCAGCCAACCATGGAATCTGAGCAGAAATACTGCGATTCATATACCTACACTCTGTATGTCGACTGGACATATTTGTCCAAACCTTGACCATGCAGAGTGTGCACGTGCTTGAAAGCAATGTATGAGCTCTCGCATCGAGTTGGTACACTGTAGCAGGACAGTATGACCCTGTCCCAGCATCTCCCACGTTGTATGGCGAGCAATCTGTCGTCTAGGCTATGCAGTGTAGGTATATGAATCTCAGTATCTCTGCTCAGATTCCATGGTTGGCTGCATACACGAGGTCATTCCAATAAGGTTGGCTAGCTTTCCTTTTGTCATCAGCTGTGGGTCACCCGTGGATGGGCACTGTAGATAGCACGTAATGGCTTCCTTGGCTTGGAACATTCAGGTCACGGGCAGCTTCGGCCATCTGTTAAAACCTCGGGACCTTTCCGAATTAGCACATCTCCATCCATCGATGGGTGGGTCGTAGTTTCCGTTAGTCAGGGATTCTGCCATATAAGGTTCAACGTGACTTGTATACCGTCCTGGTAGGTTTTTGTAGGCCTGCCCTGCGCCATCCCTCCCTCTCAACCTTCACTTACCACAACAACGCGTCCTATCAATCTGACCTGGCGCGTTTCAATCCCCCTTCTTTCTACTCCGCGTTCATTGACTTGGATCTGGGTTCAACCACCTGCAATCATTTCAAGCGCCATTGGACTCGCGATTTGCTGCTGTGGTGGCTGTGAGTGACCGTGAGTGTTGTACTGTGAGTCCATCCCGCGATCGGTCTGAAGATGGCATGCGCTAACCCAGGAAATGGCATATCAAACTGAAAACACTGTGATTTTGCGATATGGCTGCACGTCCTATTGCTGGTCGGCCTCATGTGGCTGGACAAGTGGTGAGATCGGGCCGCGTCACCAAAGGCAAGAGTGAAAAGGCGCCGGCAAACAAAGGTAACAAAGGCTTCTTGGATAGTTGACAGTGGTGTATGGCATGCTGATCCTAGTAGTTCCATCAGACCAGATTGAAGCGGCCATCACTGACCAAGTCCTGGAGCCAGTGCATGCTGAACCACCCACGTTGGCTGAGGTATTAAACCCCCATCTCGAGTCCTTCCACCTCGGTTCTAATAACCTTACAGAATTGCCAACAGTTGTGCGATGCAATTCCTTGGCTCCATTGCACTCAGGGTGTGATGGATCACAATGAGCGCCTTTGCTGGGGCTTTCTCGTTGATGCTGACGGTGGTACCCGAACCCATATTGACGAAGAGGTCATTATAACTCGGATGTGAGCGTCATCCTCCAATAGCAACTAAGGACTGCATGTATTAACTGAATCAGTGGTGGTTGCGGTACCAAAGACTCAAAGGGAAACCTGACCCTCCGAAAGAACCAGAAGGCTGATAGCACACTCGCGCGAAGCATCATTTCCAGCCTGAAGTCAAAGCTTCCTGTTGGGTTAATTATTGGTAGGTTGCCAATTCATCACGGATTGTATCGTATAGCTTGTAGCTGACCAATATGAAAGGGAACAAGCACAAGATCCTCAATCGTGACCTGCCACATCGGTACAACGTCATGGCATGGTTTCGGGTTACCAATGTTTGGTTTGAAAGAATTGGTACGAACCATGGAGCGAAGGTCTGTTTTGAAAAATTGGATCTCGCGGAGAAAAGCTGGTGGGCAGCAAAGGGCTCTGCTCCTCCAGTGCCCCTCGAACTCAGAGACTTCGACACAAAGCCTCAAACCCTGAAGTGCGAGGGCTGATCCAAGGAAAGTATCCGTGTGTATGAGGATGGCTGGATGTGCCTTCAGCCGGAGTGTGACAGGTTCTGGAAGATTGGAAACGTTTCCAGTCCTCCTGAGCTAACTTTTAACCCTGCCTTCTTGAGCTTCCGCAGTCGTCCCGACGATGAAATTCGGCCTAACTGCAGCCTTGTCCCCGATCATCTTTCGACACTGAATGAGGATGCCACGGACGTCAGCACATCTCGTGGTGCGTGGAAAGGAATTGTGTGCCCCGAGTGTCACAAGTGTACTCGACGGACATTGTGGCGAGGGTGGAAGTGTAGCGATGACTCTGGCGCCGAGAGGGGTGGTAAGGTCTGCTCATTTGAAGGGCTCATGACAATGAAGCCTATCTCGTGCCGGGTTGTATACGATGATTCCGAGCGGCCCTCAATGAAACGAGGAATGGTCTTCGATAAGAAATTCATGATCCCAGAGATCGATGATGTTAGCTTGTCACCCTATCGCAAGCTCACTTACAAACTTGATGGAGTCGGCTTTATCACCCATTTTGTCGCGAACGCAGAAATCAACAGCCGACCAAATGGGCCCGACGACTTGTTTATCGGTCTTCAGCGTGAAGATCTTGGTTTAAAACGTTTTCCGCTTTCGTCCAGTCTAGGTAAGTGAGCAAAGTGCACAGGATTCTTACTTTGTTGATCCGCATGAGGTACAAGCTCTTCAATGGAAATACTCAACGGGTGGACACCGGCGATGGCAAATCTGTCTCTGGGAGTGCTCTGCAAGACAACCCCGTGCTGAAAGGCTACCGGTTGGAAGATGAGTGTCGTGTGCTCAAGGAGAAGTGTGAAGCTGGCGAGATCTCCCAAGATAAGTATGACAACTCTCGGCGAACTCTCTTTGCCACCCAGAAGGGAAAGTAAGCTCCGCCAGCCAGCAAGTCGGAATTGCACCCTGAAGACATGGTATTCATGCACGGTGAAAACCTCCAGAGATACTACGAGGTTCGTAGCCATCCTCCCTTTTGGCACCGCTGAATGACAGAGCTGACCGGGACCGGTATGGCACTCCGTGGGACCGGAGAACAAGTTGTGGTTTGCTCTTACCGCGCGGTATGTCAAGCCCGACCATGTTAACGCCGGGGAGATCGGGAAGGGCAAATTATTCCTCACGCCTGGCCAGATCTACGATGAGAAGTGATTTCCTGCTTGCCGACTAACGCCATCTCCGTTCATTTTCTTGGTTCTTTTGTTCTTTTTCTTTACCTTTGTCTCCTTTTCAGTGTCTCCACCTGCTATGTCTTACATCATGTCACGTTTAGATGATGAATAATTGATGATTTTACGAGGGGCTTTGGCGTCCGCCGGACGGCCAGCTTCAATTGGTGAGCGTTGATTCTTTTTGGGACCCCCAAGTACTGTAGATATAGATCCCCGGGATCTGATTGGTGGAGGATGTTATTCTGCCAGTTCTCACCGATTAACATCTGAAATTCAGGGACCAAATGACAGTCACGTGACACGCGACCCCCCTATCACATTCACGGATTGCTTCGCTAACCCTCAGCAATCATTTCAGTACCTCCATGGATTTACAGGTACTGGTTACTGGGCTTAGTGGGCTAGATAATAGCAATGCTTTCCTGGTTGATGTTGCTCATTCTGTTCATCTTCTGTAGTTAAGAGCGAGTGCATTCAACAATACTACGTAGTATGTGATGGTCATGTGATTCAATGGAGTGGATCGCTGGCCGGCCCTAGCCGCTAGGTATGGTGGGCCCTGTCCCGTTAGCCTGAGTCGACGGGCTGTGTCCTACGGTCTACCTAGGAGCGGTGGTGTGATAAGTACCCTGTGAAAGCCGGCTGGAAGCCAGGACCTAGCCTACAGTGTTGTTTATTAATTATTTGAAAACTAAATACTGTATCTTCCTGACTCTGATGGACTATGTCCAGAGGTTTATCATAACCTAAGTGGAGCAACTTGGATCGGCCATAGCCGCTAATCATCCAGGTATCGATTTGGCGCTAAACAACTTCGGGACCCCGACACCCTTTTTACTGTTAAGCTGGGACAGATATCCAAAGTCCGCGAAATTCCTGGCATATAACTCATCCCAGTCACCTCTTTCCTCTCTCATTGTTGCCCAAGGCACCGCATCACACACCAAATCGAGATGGCGGCCGTCACTCCCGTTCCTGTGACTCTTTCCAAAGACAAAATTCCGACTAAAAAGAATGTCAGAGACATTATCGGCACATTCCTGACGGAAGAATGGCCATCTGTGGATCCCGAGACCCTAATCGTGTCATACCATGCATCCTTTGCCAACGCCCACTGTCCCGTGGAGCGGCCGAGGCCCGCTACTGGCACATCTACTGAGACCTTGAAGGTGTTCATCAAATTTCACCATGAGGGCCAGGGGAGCCTCGATGTTTTCAAGCCTTTGGCACCAACCAAGCATGGGGAAGCACTTCTCTGCCACGAGTACGGTCGAACCGGATTAGGAGCCAAAGTCTACGGATTCTTCAAGACCCAGGATGGCACACTCGGGAGAATCGACGAGTTCCTAGATGCACGTAACATGGAACCAGAGGACGTTGAGAATCCGATTATCCGAGCGGATGTTGCTAAAGCACTGGCCGTGTTTCATGTCTTGAAGACGCCACTAGAGACAAAGGCAGTGGAATCATACTATGAAGCCATCATCAAAGGACTCAGAAGTTACCACAAAATGGACAAATTGAAGGCACTCGGGAAAGAAGGAGGTGTCAGTATCGACAAATTAGTTGACTACGACTATGGGAGGAGGCTGAAAAATGTGGTGGACAAGCTGGAGTCTATAGGAGGAAAGACAGGATGGTGTATTCATGACATCCAATTCATGAACGTGATGGTTAAGAATAATCCGAAGGATGGGGAGAGCAAAGTCACACTGATTGACTTTGAGTTCGTGATGCAGAACTACCGAGCCTTTGACATCGGAGGGCACTTCATGCAAAAGATGTTCAAATGGTTTGATGAGGAGAGCAGGATAGCAAATTGCAGGAAATATACAGAGGTGGAGAAGAGACACTTCTGTGATGAGTATGCCAGGCAGTGGAATCAACTGACAGGCGATTCAGATACAGCGGATCAGGTGTTCCTTGAATCCGAGTACGGATATCTGTTGGCCATCACTTTTGACATCCATAACATGCTTTGCTTCATGGATGAAGAAGATGACAAGGATCCATTGAACCTGCTCGGACTAAATAAGCTGTTCGATGAATTTGTGGACCAGTATGCTAGACTTAATTTAGAAGATCTATAAGAAAAAGAGAATGCATGCGCTCTCATTCTAGCACAGGCAAGTATTATTATTCATAAATCCCATTTTATGCCGACTTTTGACAGGCCAAGATAAAGTTCATTTCACGGTGCGCACTACATCGTCGATAGCCATCGCAACATATCGAACATTGTGCTCATTCACTGTCCAATGCGGTTAGCAGAGTACGGATCCTACCAACAATTGGGGGACTTACAGCCAGAGATAGAGATTCGGCCAGACTTGAGCATGTAAATGTGATGCTTCTCTGTCATAACTTTGACTTGACTTTCTGTCAATCCAATGTAGGTGAACATGCCAATCTAGATAATATTAGTACCGACCCATAAACAAAGGCCTTTTGGTCTGGAGATTAGAGCGTCATACCTGGTTTATGACATGAGTCCATTCGCCAGGTGTGTTAAGTTTGGACAGCTCATTGAAAAGGGCATGTCTCATCTTCTGGATCCTCTGGCTCATCGTCGTAAGATCTTCCTGCCATTTCTTCCGCAGCTTGTTATTACTCAAAACTGTCTTCACTATCTCGGCGCCGCCTCGTGGGGCCATGGAATACTCCCCACGCACCAGATGGCACAAATTTGAAAAGACCTTCTCCGAAACCACCTCTGTGGCAGTGGAAGTCAAGGCGATATGTAAAGCGCCAACTCGTTGTCCATATAGCCCGAAGTTCTTGGAGAAGGACTGGGCCACGCAGAACTCCACCAGCTCGAGCTCGTGGAAGAAATGCCGAATAGCCCAGGCATCTTTCTTGGCATCACCAGACGCGAATCCTTGGTAGGCGAGGTCAAAGAAGGGGATAATGCCTTTATCTTTGCACAGCCGAGCTAGCATTTTCCATTGCTCTTCTGTTGGATCAGCTCCAGTCGGGTTATGGGCACAAGCATGAAGAATGACGACGTCTTTCTCATTTGCCGACTCGGCTAATGTGCGGAATGTCCCTTCAAAATCGAAAGCTTTGCGACTCGCATCGTAGTACGGATAGCTTTTATGGGGCACTCCTGCCAACTCCCAGATGGCATAGTGATTCGCCCAAGTAGGGTCCGGGATCCAAACACATCTGGGTCGCACATTTCGAGCCAGGAGCTCAGCGCCGAGTCTATTAGCCCCAGTTCCAGAGACTGTCTGAATAGAAACGACTCGTTTCCGTTCCTGTTCAGCCACTGACACTGCAGATCCCTCTTTCTCTCCAAAACCAAAAACAAGGTCCGCAGCGAGATTGAGGAATTCTGGATCTCCTTGGATGGCAGTATATTCATGTCTGTTGATATCGCTTGCTTCGTGGATTTGCTTTTCTGCCTCTTCCACCACACGCAAGGGCCATGGGCTTCCCTCAGAAGTGCGGTAGACTCCTATCCCCAGATTGACCTTGTGCGGACTGCAATCTTTCTTGTATGCTCCATTCACGGAAAATGGTTCGTCAGGCGGCGCTTCCGGGAGCGTCGAGAACAGTGAATATACAGGGCCGTCGACGGGTGATTTCAAAATGGATCCCATAGTGAGAAGGACAGGTGTTCGATGTGTTAAAATAAGGAACGCCTGTCTCATGGTTGAACAAACAATACCCCGGCTTTATAGATCGCGCGGCAGCGCCGCGGCTTGCCTCGGCGCTCACCAATCCGAACCTTCTGAGATATCCGCATGGTAAAATACCCGCCTCCAGCCGCCGGCTGCCGCTTAGTTTGGGTTCCTGCTAAGTTAACAGCTTCTTGGGCTTCCTTCCGCGAAACGATGTGTTATTGGCTACCTAAATAAATAATGCATACCCAGAATAGTTTTCATGACGTCTGTCGTCTATTCCAACCATGAAACTTCAGTAAGGCAGGGTCAATGCCCGCTGATAGACAACTGGCGGTGAGATAACTATCTCATCTCAGTTTAAGCTTAATGCTGGAAAGTTTATCCGCGGATATGGAGAGAGTCAGAGACAGGTTCCCCGGGTTTACTGAAACCCTCCACGTGCAATATTCCGGTGATTGTTGTAGCATGTTCAACAAACCGATTTGTAGTACTGAGTCATAGGTATGGCTTTGTCTCTCGTTGAAAATTCCATCCTCGCGCAGGGTCAATATTTGTACCAGCAACCTGGTGGTGCTGAGATTCAAGTGATATGGAATTCAATGGACGTATATACTGCTGACCAATGCTTCGCCAATGCTGGCCACTTGGCAGAACTCGGACGCAGATTCTCCAATTGCACTCCGTAGTTACAAGAGCCAGATTACATGGATTGCAGTTTGAGCATAAGGTCATCTTGGTGCGGTGATGTCGCCAACGGAACCCCGCAGTTATCGCACCAATCAGCCTTTGGTTTGCCTGTTTGTACTTTGTAGTAATTGATCGGCTTAGATCGCGGGCTACCGTTATGTAGTGCTTTGTATTACCGTAACACTTGGAATGTTGGGCACATGCAATCGAGATAGGACCAGAGGTACAGCACTGCGTAATGCAAGGAGGTTACGATCTACAACCTGAGTCATGCATGGCAGCAAAGCAGCACTCAGCCTCAATCCATCTTGTACTGTGTAATACGCAGTATGTACCTACGCAGTACGGATACGCAATGAGGAATCCAATGGCCTTATGCAGATATGGAGACAGTGTGGAGTGGAGATTAGACTCAAGCACAATGGAATACGAAGATATGGGGCTTACAAGCTCACGACTTTACCTTGGCTTGCCTATCTAGGTCTGGCTTATCTCGAAGGTTGCTAATTCCATGTCTAACTGCTCATTTCAGAAGAGGTAGGATAGTACACAGTAGTCCTCAGATAGACAAGAGGTACCAAAACAAGTTGATCAAACAGATTTCGCCAATCTCCCAATAGTGGGCCTGAGAGGGTCTTTTCTCGGCAGGGTAACCAATACCAAGCAATCCTGGGAGGGGAGTAAAATCCTACCAATCACCGTTGCGGGGTCTCTTGCCAAAACAGTACCCACCGTCGACAGGGGGTTTTCCGCTGTTTTTCCTTTCCGGCGCAGTCTGTCCATCAAGCATAGTGGCTGGTTTGTGCGTTTCCCCATCCTCTACAACGAAGCACTGGCAATGAGTAGCGGGCTGCGAAGTCGCCATGAGCGGAAGGCCATCTCATAATACCTCTTTGCCGTCTCGAACTGACCCCCTAGTCTCTCAAAATGATGAGACGAACGTCTCTATCTATGGCGCGGCGCCCGAGAGCCGGGAAGTCACGCCCCCCACCCCACTTGAGATCGATGCGCTCGGTGCATACGGGGTCAATATACAAGATTCCGGGAGCATATCGCAGGTCATAACGGAGCAGCAAGCGAACCCAAAGGTTGCCATTCCACGACTTGACCTGCCGCTTGGTAGCACCAACGGTCGAGTTAGCCGAGCATGTCACAACTGTCGCAAACAGAAGAACAAGTGTTCTGGTCATCGGCCTTCTTGCCTCCGATGTCAGGAGACCAACGTGTATTGCGTTTACGTCGACGGCAAACGAGAGAGAAATGCTAAGTATCTGATGATTCCTGTAGATCTCGTTGTTGGACTCAATATTGACCCGGGCGTTTAGACAACTCACAATCATATCAAGCCAACTCAAACACTACGAATCTCTCGTGCGTGATATTTACCCAAAGATCGATAGCGAGCTGGCCAGAATTGTCGATCAAGCTCTCGAGAAAGTGCGTCAAAGTCCATGATATCATGGCGACCGTACGAGGCAAGATGATTCCTAATCACTCTTGACATCTCACAGATCTCCGGCCTTTCCTTGCCATCACCGACCGCCCCTAAAGTACCAGACGAGACGGAAGCGCCCGCTCCCATGATCTCTTCCGTGGATCACACCACTGAGGACTTCAACGGGGACACGTCACTACAAGCGAGGGGATTCGTAGGGGAACATTCGCCGATGGCATGGCTATACAGGCTTAGACGCCAGATTGACCAGGCAAGTTCCGACACAGCCGGGCAGTCCGAGCGACCCGGACAACCATCGCTTTCCTCCTGTGGTTTCTTTGTGGATGAGATTGGTCTGCCCTCGACAAACGATTCAGACTACCTCGCATATCCTTCGCAGGTGGTCGCCGATGAACTTGTGGACAGATACTTCCAGGTTGCGCATGCTTCTTTTCCGATCCTCGGCAAAGAAATTTTCCTGAACCAGTGTCGATTGTTCTATAGCAACACCCCGACACATCCCGGAAACAAGTGGATGGCGTTGTTGAACATGGTGTTTGCAATCGCTGCGAGGCATTTTGAGCTTGATGGACATCACCCGCGGCTAGATCATAATAAGCACGCGGTGTATTTTTCACGTGCTCAGCGATTGAATCAGACAGACTGTGCACTCTTAGACCATCCTAATCTGCAACAGACGCAAGCAGAGGCACTGATATCACTCTACATGCTCTCCATCGGACAAATCAATAGGTAGGTCGAACGCCGCGCCTGTGCCATTTTCTCGTTTCTGATTTCGGTATAGGGCGTGGAGAGTATGTGGTGTTGCTATTCAATCGGCAATCTCAATGGGTATCCACCTTCGTAGTGAGAGCAGCAGCATCACACACGTGTCCAAAGAAACCAGATATCGCTTGTGGTGGGCGCTGTATGTGATGGATAGCCTCCTTTGCGGCATGACCGGGCGCATGCCCAGAATGCCCCAGGAACACTGCACCACACCTTTGCCAGTGCCATACAAGGAGGAGGATTTTTGGGATGAGCACGTAGCGAGGCTGATCGTAGACATTCAGTCCCGAGACTCCCTGATGAAATCCCTCCTCTCTTATGATCGTTCGATCAGGTCGAACGAGCAATCAAGATATTCGCCCCCTCAACAGCCGCTACCTGAACCGGTATTGCCCATGCCGGAGCATCAGGCTAATGTCTCGCTGTACTTGCTGTACTCCATCAACCTGTCAGCTGTGATGAGAGATGCAATCGAAATCTTGTACTCTCCCGGCGCCGGGCGCAAGTCGCGACAGGATCTGGAAATGGCAATGATGTCGCTCAACACTGCCGCCGACAACTGGTTTGCTCGACTTCCTCAAACCTATCGTTTCACGGAACCACGTGTTGACAAAGCTTTTGCCCGTCAACGCACGAGTTTGGCTTTCCAGTATTATTCCACCAAACTTGTCATTTCCCATCCCGCCCTGAGTTATCAGCCACGTTGTGAGGGCTCTCCAAATGAGTTTTACCCACACATGGCAGCGATTTGCGTCAAGGCGGCATCCCATATGCTCGATCTGCTACCCAACGAACCAAGTATGGCCTGGCTCATGAGTTGTTCGCCTTGGTGGACGGTTTTGCACTACCTCACGCAAGGTACTGTAGTGCTCGTGAGGCAGTTGCTCACTCAGAGTCAGGCGTGGGCTATTGACTGGGACGAAACATTGGGGAGAGTCCAGAAAGCGCTGCGATGGTTCAGTCAGTGCTCCACCACAGACGCCTCATTCGAGCGGGCTTGGGGTAACTTTGCGGAACTCTTGTCGTCTCAAGGACTGGATTTCGGTGTAAGATAATGTTTCCCTGTTGTCGACCTCCTCTCCTGCACTCCTTGCTTTCGTTGTCAATTTTCTGTTCCGTATTCCAAGTATTACTGATTTCTTTGCGATTCCCTGATGCGTTCTCGTTTGGTTTGGAAACGATAAATCAGTACTATTTTAATGAGCGGGGTGAGATAGCTGTGTATCGGTGGACATCGGACGCGGACAGCAGCTGACAGGTAACCTCGGGGTGTTGGGCAATGAACTGCTTGAAGACTTTGGGTAAGTGTCTTCTGTTGGGTAGCCTTGAAGAGACCTCAAGAGGCTGCAAGCGAAGCACTGCTCGAGACCATCGGGTAATCATTGTCGTAGATAGGTGCCAAGCAGTGTTCTTCCAGTGCGGTACTGAGACTCACATCCTCCACCATCATAAAGCAATAGGAATGCGTAAGGAAGGGACTTTAGTGAGAGATAGTACAGGGAGAGAGAAGAAAAGTAAAATTGAATCCTTTTGAGATGAAACGAACTAGTTAATAGCACATGCAGCCCAAAACGTGACACACCACCGGGGGCGCACATGATCCGCATCTTCGGCCGGCGGCCTTCTGCTCGGCCGAAGACTAGATCTTATGAGTCCATAAATCTGTCACGTGTACATGGTGAGCATAGATCGTAGCTTGCAAAAACTTGCATATGCAGCGTAGTCAATCGCCCATAAGATTGCAATTTTGCTGTGATGTCGGCCTTGAAAAACCTGGTCGTGATATTGAAATGGATCTACAGTTCATCTTCTACCCGTGTGACTTGACAGCTACATCCACGTTTCTCGATGGACATTTCCAAGGTTCAAGTGCACATTTATTTACTTTACATCCAGAATCAGTTCCAGGTTCGCTCGATCCATGCCAAGAACGGTTAGTCAAATGTGTGGGGTAAAACAAGGCTCTCTCATTGGCTGGTCGTCTCATCCGAAGGGTCTCCCCAGGAGTTTGGATTTCTTTCCCTACGTACAGAATGGGAAACTATCTGCATGCTGGCAACAATACTCGGGCAACATAACTATGAATTGCTGCACATAATATTCTACAGGAAAAGAGTCGCAAAATTCCCTCACTGACTGTGGCAATATTCGGGGAAATAGCATACAGAAGCCGAATTATAAGCCGAATATGGGGATAACCTGCTTTATGGGCGAACAGATCGCTATATGGCATTGAAAATTTGTGAACCTTCTAAGAAAACTGGGAATCGGACGCGGCTTCCCCCAATCATTACCATGGGTCGGATCCGAAGAACGCGCCGGGATATTCTCGGTAGGCTCTAAGGCCTTTTAGTACATTTGATTTAACACGAGCATAGTCCATTTTCAACAGAAGCCCCTCCTATCTTTGAAACACCGCGTTAGGGGGAACGATCGATTAATCAATCTTTCCATTATTGCCATTTTGCCGCCCATATATTACCGTGGCTGCGTTATTATCCACCTCTTACGATATGGTGCATTTTGTGAGAAGTGATGTTTTGGGCGGGAAATTTGAAACCCCAAACCGGTGCGCATATAGATGCCTTGGCGCAATCTCGAGTCATGTGCCAGAACTCACATACTGACCTGTCGTGTATATCAGATATTCGGCACCAGAGACGTTGAAGATCGGGGTTTCGGGCATTGTTTGGTTCGTTTTCTCTGCTTGTTCCGGTTATGAAGCCAGAATGCAAGTCACTAACTTGATCATCCAGCTCTTCATGGGATCAAATAGGCCAGCAATATGTTGCGGTGAAAAAGATCATCCAGCCGTTCAATACGCCCGCAACTGCGCAGCATATTTACAGAGAGATCAAATTGTTGAGGCATCTGAAACATGAGAATGTGTGTTAAGTAACCAATCCCTTTTGTCTTAACTCGAGCTGATTGAATGAACAGGTCATCCGTCCGCTTGATATTTTCATCTCACCTAGAGAAGACATGTGAGTTTCGATGTCGTTATCATTTCACGCGCTATTTGCTGATCATTCGCAGCTATCTCGTCACGGAACTCATGCAGACTGATTTGCGAGAACTTTTGGACTCGAAATCTCTTAGCCATGAATTCGTCCAATTCTTTCTATATCAGCTAATGGTTTGTTTCTCTCCGTCGTCTGTCAAACTGTTGCTAACTACATTGCCAGAGGGGATTGAAATACATTCATTCAGCGGGTGTGGTTCACCGCGATCTTGAACCCAAAAATATTCTCATTAATGAGAACTGCGACCTCAAGATCTGTGACTTTGGACTGGCACGAGTCCGGGAACCGCAAATGACAGGCTACCTTTCGACCATATCAAGTAGACTTTACCGGGCTCCGGAAATCATGTTGTTATGCCAGACCTACGGCGAAAAGGTCGACATTTGGAGCGCAGGGTGTATATTCGCCGAAATGCTGCTGGGAAAACCTCTCTTTCCAGGAAAGGACAGCTTCGAGCAGTTCAGCGCCATCACAAAGCTGCTCGGGACGCCCTCCGAGGAGACCTTGGTCAAAATGACTTCACAGAGTGTGAGTTTCATATCCAGTCACATCACAAAAATGTTGGCTGTTGAACAACTGCGTTGAGCGAACACTAACTTTTTTCATTTCTGAAGACTCGGGGCGTTCTTGATACACTCCCCCAGCATGATGGCTTGGGATTGTCCAGCACATTCCCAAACATTGATCCAAGTGGTACGTTCTCTACAGTAATACTGATAGATCAATTGCTCACACCTTGCAGCTCTTCAACTCCTCGAGAAAATGCTGGTTTTCGATCCTGATCATCGAATCTCTGCAGCTGAGGCTCTTACTTCACCGTATCTGGCCTCATATCATGATCCGACAGATGAGCCCGTTGCGGAAGAGCAATTCGATTGGACGTTGAATGGGTCTTTCTGTTCTGATGATGTATGGAAGCAGAAACTGTATGTCTACCCAACCATTTGGCAGGCATGATACTTATTCCTATGTCAGGTATGCCGAGGTACTGGAGTATCACAAGAAAGCAGAGATCAATGAGTCCGTCAAAAAGTGGACTCAGACCTCTTCGACAGTGCAGAAATGATCAAGCGACCATGATAAACCACATGGCCGTCATGAAGTATTTATGGGTTGCGTTAGAGGAATGTTCTTTATTTGCATCATCGGGATATACCCAGTTCCTCGATCGTGTTTTCGGTGTTTTGGTCAACTACGAACCTGTTTTTTGTGATTTCAAATGAGCGCACTTCCATCTTTGTTTAGGTCTTGTTATTAATTTCGAATTTATAGTTAGTTCGGATCATACCTATGCTACTCCTGTGGCGGACTTGCCGCTACAGATCAACACTTACTTGCAGTGTGAGTTTACAACGAACTGAACTGCGCCACGATGAAGACGATTAAGATCGGGTTTCCAGGTACATGTAGGCGGTATGAACCTCCCTCCAATAACATCTCCACCCACTATTCTGGTCCCGGTTTCGGGTTCCATTCAGGTTTCACTACAACTATGACGACATCCGGTTCCCTCGGATCAACCCCAGGAAGCTATTTATATCCTCATACTGTTCTTTTCGCAACTCAACTTCCCACCCTATTCTTCTCACCGAAAATATCACATACCTAACTCATTGATACCTATATACCCGATAAAATGACCTCGAGATATATCGTAACTCACGCCCACCCTTGTCCGTGAACCGCAATTAACAAAAACGGGCAGGTAACATTCAAAGACTCAGCTACTACTGAGCAGATCAACGGTTTCATGAAGCAAATCCAAGAAGATGGTGGAACTATCGTTAATAGATTTCCAGATATGATTTCCAGAGGTTTCTCGTATGTATCATGTCTAGGCTGGAAACTGGATGAATTTGATCACTCATCGATGTTGCAGGGCCGCTATAACAGACTCCGTCTACGAAAAGATTCGTTCAGACCCTCAGATCGATCATATAACACTCGATCAGGCTTACGAGAAATCATCTTCGGTCTCTGCCCCTGGGGTATCTGTATAGTCTCGACTCTCGATATAATATTACGTGTTCTTCGCCCTCTATGTACATCAATGACACGACTCATGGCCGCTAGGATCACTCTCATAAACGTACGGTAACAGACTGGATGTATCTGATTGGAGTATCTTGAAGTATCTATTGATTTCAGTGACCTACGTTATTGCACTTGGGCAGTGGCTCAGCATTGTGTTGCTCTGCCCCGGGTGCCCCACGTGGGACTTCAGCATACTTAGTACTATAACTTGCGGTCTCCCAGCCGCAAGGTACCGTAGCTTATTTAGACTACACTGCACGTCGCGATCCCCACGGTTGCACGATCGCTACACCCGTGGGTGCTAAGCCTCCGGGAACGCTAGCTCTAAGTAGCTAGCGTGAGTCTTGAGAGTGCCTATGTAGTACTACGCAGTTACCCCATACATATTAAAGAAATTTCAAGACTTGAAGCAGTGGCAGGGATGGGTTCCATCCCACAAGGGCTCAGGGGAGATAGCAGATGCGGCTAATCTTGACGCAAGGTGGGAAGTGACAGAATCGGCAGAATACTAAGATCAAGGAAGAGAGAGGTTAACGTAGAAGACGTAGAAGTTCCGGACGGCCTAAGACAAGAATTACATTCATTTTGAACTTCAATGACCGAAGTCTGTCATCATACTGTAGTGCGTTCCTTGGCTGGCCTGATGACGGGACTGCGGCTGGTCTACCGTCTCATAGACATCAGCGGTTCCCTGGAAGGAAATGATTGGCAGAGTGAAAACCCACCCGGGGTAGCGCGGGGAGGATTCTCTGCCGAGTGCCGTCAAATACAGTACCTGGACGCCCGCTGCCTAAAGGCGACAATGGAGCAGTTATGGATTATCAATTTGAGATACAAGGTCCAGCCAATCAACGAGCCAGCGTAGCTCAATGGTAGAGCGTCAGGCTTTTAACCTGAATGTTGCGGGTTCGACCCCCGCCGTTGGCTTACCTTTTGCTTTGCTTTTTGCCCCCCTCTCCTTGTTTTCCAACCTAGTCTTGAGTCCTTGACTAAATAAGAAATGCGGAGAAGCATAATTTCATACTTTTTACATCCACGGATTTACTGCGTAATTCATTCCAGAGCTTATACTTAGAGCGAGCTACATCGGGCAAATGAATTTCTCTCTCTCTCCCCTAATTCATTCCATGGATGACCTCTATAAAAGTCCCCCAGTTAGCGGCGGTATTTTGAATTGTTCACATGAAATTGTCGGAGAAGTATTCAGACGAAGTGCTTCTCTTATTGTACAAGCATCTAGAGGTCAAATGCAAAGTTATCAAGATGGAAGCATCCAATCGGCGGCCCAGTCGGGTCAATGTCCGGTCCGACTCACGGGTGTAAACATTTGTAGAAGCGATTGCATACATTCCGGTACAGGTAATTTATTCCCTTACTGATGCTTATGCTCGCTCCAATGGGCGGTGCTGTTGTGGGTCAAGCGCGTAATCAAAGACGTCGGAGTACGAAGTACGGAGTGCACAGAGCTGAATGATAAGGGATTACCTATGTCCTGAAGAAACTGAAACATAGCTGTTTAAAATCTTGAATTTATAACATACCACCAGATTATGATTGATAGAGTGGAACGTACAGCTGGATCTAGCAAGGATAAGCACCACTTAACTACAGTGGTGTGACTGGTGTCTGATTAGTAATTAACCTCCGGTACTTAGGTCCCCACTTTTACTTTTGACCGCTATCTAGACCGCTTACTTTATCAGCCAATCGGAACTCGCGCGTCACCACCTATTGGATGAATTCGAATCCCCCGAGGTTTCTGCTTGGCAGTATTAAAGTGGGTCCTAGGCCCCCAATGTACCGGAGGTTAAATACTAATCAGACACCACTGTACATATGCACGCTCTGTCATCGTCGTACGACGTAGCCCCCCCTTTACCTCCTTTCTCATATATCCGACCTCCACGACCAACCATCGCCGGTAAAATGATCTCCAGCACTATTGAGATTGATGCGCCGCCTTCTAAAGTGCGCGAACTTGTATGCACGAGCCCTAAGTGAAAAAGCGAGGCGAATCAAGCTAACAAGCGATCGCCCGTAGCTGCTGAATTTCTCAGCATACCCGGAATGGCACACGGAATGGCTTAAAAGCATCAAGGTCCAGGATAGCACCAAGACCTCAAAGGAGCTTGTCTGGGGAGACAAGATTGAGATCAACATTCAGAATTTCAAGTTCGTTGCTGAAATAAGGGTGAGAAGCACCGTCCCATTCAACATCAACTTGAGAGCTGAATTCCGTGCGAGCGCTATAGGAGAATACCGAGAGCCTGTTTTCTTGGCAAGGACCACCCGTATTAACCATTGCTGGTTTGTATAAGTTCCATATGGAACCGGCCAATGGCGGTGCGTCGACTGTTTTCACGCAGACGGAGGATCCTAAGGGTCTCCTTGCGTTTATCATGAGCCCCTCGCTGCTTGGGAACAAAGTCCGTGCTAATTTCGACATATTCCTTCGGGATCTTAAGGCCCGTGCTGAGCAGGCCTAATTTTGGGGCCAAAGTTGCCGCACACGCACTGTTTTCCCTGGTGTGCACGCACATTGTGCTGTGCTTGCGGGGTCGGAACCAAAGTAAAGGCTTCTGGGCATGCACAGTTACTTTCCGGCGAAACAATTTGGTGAATGGAATAGCATCTCATATGAACTTCTCGCTATCGTTGTATGGCAAGGAAAACATCGTGAGGTCTGATGGTACCTGTTGATCCGTGGCATTGATGGCAGCTTCCCATTGAGCTCGAAAGACGTCTTCAACCTGGGCTTTTTCCAACCACAAGACGGACTGGATGCGGGTAAGGATTTCATCAAAGTCAGCCAGTTGTAGAGAAATAGCTATTTCTTGGGCTTTCACGATGAACCACTGGTGGTGAACCGTGCCAACCGAAGCTACCATCCCGACGATGGAAAACCAGACATCGAGGGAATCATAGACACGAGCCGTTGATGCAAGATGTTGAAGTTGCTCCATAAAGCGCATGACAATGGTATTCAGTAGGACGGCATGCGAGTAATATGTTGGCCCCTGGACGATGAACATGTAGAGTATGATTCCATAGCGAATGCATTCTGTCATCGGTGATAATTGTGGTAATGTGGTATCTGGGGCAGAAAGTAGAAGTCGGTGTATGACGTAGCAGGTAAGGTCATGAAGTTGCGTGGCTGGGAAGGGCATGTTGCGCGCTCGTTGAAAGACGTGTCGGAGACGAAGGAAGACATTCTTGACTACGTAGTCAACTCCAATGCTGCCGATATCGAATAACTCATCGTTAAGCGCCGTTGGGTCCAGTTGCCATTCCGGGATCGGGGGTATGCCATCTCCAGTGCCGAAGTCATCTTGGGTCTTGAATTGAGGGTGGCCCATTATGAGCATCGATACCCTTTGCGATGTGTAAGTTTCATGGCTTCTTTTGAAGGACTTTTTGTCTTACCAACTGATCATTCTGGCGGTGAGTGGGCTTGTCTGCCTTACAGCGTTGATGCCACCTCTCATGTCGACCAATTTCTTTAGACCTTCAACATGCATTTCGCCAACTTTTAAGTTGCCTTTGCCAAACTGTGAGGCACTTAATGTCAGTTATCGTTCCATGCAAGAATATAGCAGGGAAAGCGCGAGGCATAGGAGTGTCTCACTTCAATGGTCGCTAATGTTATGACAGAGTTCAAAGTCCCATCCTGCACAGCTAGTGACGTGGACTCAACCTTGCGCCGTACCAGAGCCACAGAGTCAGCCATGAGAAGTTCAGATGTCTGAAAGCCCTTCTGTGCCAACAACTCTTCATCAAGACAGGCCGTCTGGAGCGAGACGTGAAACAGTGCTGGATCTCCTAGGGCAAGTGGCCACCAAGAGATCAGAAATGGGTTTGAAGTTGCGTTCAGATCAAGAGGGTAGTACTGGAAGGCAATCTTGTGGAGGACTGCTTTGGTAAGCTATGCGATCATCTTAAAGTTTCACCACAGGCCCACATACAGCCATAAATCAAACGTTGAACATGCTCCCGAGGTAGTCTAGTCTGTGGGTACGAGTCAAAAGGATCAAGGGCCCCAAATCTGTAGTTGGTCAAAGTGCCAGATCCATCCAATGCGCCTGTTGATGCGCCATTCTGCCGCCCGTGAGTTGCCGGCCCCGTTAAGGGTTCGTTGGCATAAGTGCACTCAACTTGCCGCTTGATGCAGCGGGAGCAGCGCGGTGTGCGGAGATCGCAGCTGGACTTTGATTTGGCACAGGCAGCACAGGACCTGCGGAGAGTTTGTCGCATCCTGGAAGAAGAGTGAAAAAAATGCAAAGAAGGGGGTGTGGTGCGTTAACCCCAGGATTAGATCAAGGTAGGCCCTCCCACCGCTTTCGAGGTCACACTGGGAATGGATTGATAGAAACGCTGCAAACCCAAGTGCCAAAAGGAAATGGGCTGACTGTGAACTTCGAACTTCGAAGTCATCGTTCATGGTGCACGCGGGCCTCGGGCCAATGACCCCGAAGCCAAGCCAAAATAGGACTAGACGCCGCTGCTTGGCATTGGAGTCTAATCCTAATCGGGTAAGGTGTACTCTCGGGCAGTATCATGCTGAGAGAGGATATGCCCTATCTCCCGCCTATTTTAAGGAGAAACAGTATGGCAACATCTCTCTGCCATCAACCAGTGACAACCACCATGGAACCTAATATGGCAGCTGAGGTAGCCAACATCTCCATCGCTCAGCATGATCCCCTACAGATATGGCCTTCCGAGCCTTTCCAGTTCCAAAGCTCCCTGCCGCGTTTCCTGGCCAGCTGGTCTACCTGGCAGTATGTGGTGACAGCTATTCTCGCCGTTGTTGTCTATGACCAATGTGAATATGCTCGATGCTCGCCACAATCATAGGACCAAACTAACGCCATCCTCCAGTCATGTACATCAGACGCAAAGGTTCAATAGCCGGACCACCGCTGAAGATCCCGCTCATGGGTCCATTCATACAAGCCCTACATCCGAAGTTCGAAGGTTACCTTTCGCAGTGGGCGAGCGGCCCACTTAGCTGCGTATCGGTCTTCCACAAGTACGCGTTCACATCAATCACCAACTTCCCCAACTTCGTTAAGCATGTGAGATGTCGAAACTAACGCACTTAATCACAGATTCGTCGTTCTAGCTTCCGACCGAGACATAGCCCACAAAGTGTTCAAGTCGCCGACATACGCGGAGCCCTGCCTAGTGTCAATTGCAAAGGACATTATCGGCCACAAAGCTTGGGTTTTCCTTCAAGGAAAGGACCACGCCGAGTACCGCAGGGGATTGACACCACTGTTTACGAACAGAGCCATTGCCACCTATCTCCCGGTCCAAGAGAGGGTGCTGGCTGATTACTTTGCCAAGTTTGTTGCCGACAGCAAGGAGAATCAGGGCCGGCCAATGGAATTCATGACTAGGTTCCGCGAGATCAATTGCGCACTTTCATGTCGCACATTTTTCGGTGATTATATATCCCAAGCCGCAGTCAAAAAGATTGCCGACGACTTCTACCTTGCAACAGCTGCCCTCGAATTGGTCAACGTGCCTTTGTCGATGTACATCCCGTTCACCAAGACCTGGCTCGGGAAGCGGACGGCTGATGCAGTCCATGCCGAATTTGCGAAATGTGCAGCTGCATGCAAGAAAAACATGGCAACCGGCGCAAAGCCCACCTGTATCGTTGACCACTGGGTACTTCATATGATGGAATCTAAGCGATACCACGAAAGAATCGCAGCAGGGGAGACAGACGCCGAGAAGCCAACGAACATGATTCGCGAGTTTACAAACGAGGAGATCGGACGAACGCTGTTTACTTTCCTTTTCGCCTCCCAGGATGCGTCTAGCAGTGCCACAACTTGGCTCTTCCAAATCCTTGCCCAGCGACCCGATGTACTCGACAAACTGCGAGCAGAAAACCTTGCCGCTCGCGGTGGTGATAGGAAGAAGGCCTTTGATCTTCCCATGCTAGAGTCACTCACCTATACAAAAGCAGTGATCAAAGAGCTCCTGCGCCACCGACCACCTGTGATCATGGTTCCATATCTTGCGACCAGAAATTTCCCTGTCACGGCCGACTACACTGTTCCCAAGGGCGCTATGATCATTCCGTCCTGCTACCCAGCCCTCCATGACCCCAATGTTTATCCAAACCCGGATACCTTCGACCCCGAGCGATGGATCTCTGGGGATGCTGAGTCGAAAACGAAGAATTGGCTAGTGTTCGGCGCGGGAGCACACGATTGCTTGGCAAGAAACTATGTGCCACTGTCTATGGCGGGTATGATTGGGAAAGCAGCGTTAGAGCTTGACTGGGAGCATCATGCTACGGAGAGGTCGGAGGAGATTCGGGTTTTTGCTACACTTTTCCCAATGGTGAGTACCACTACTTTGGAGACATCCTAGACTCTTATTCCGGCTCGTGGCTGGTGCTGACCTTTGGTATAGGATGGGTGTCCGTTGGTGTTCACAGAGCGTCCATGAAACGTGCGCTGCACAACTGTTGAGGATATTCCGCTTATGGCGGCTCCCTTGAAGGTTCTATTTGTATAGTTAATTCATCATGCAGGTGGTATATATACAGGTCCTATCGTACAATTCATATATTCTGCTTTTCCAAATCCAGCAGAAGCTTCATCACCATCTGAGTTATGACTTCGGCTCCTTGGGGGAATTCAGCTCCTTGAGGGACTCAGCCTCCTTCTAGGAACTGGGCTTTTTCGAGATCAAGCTGTTGATCTTATCAACAAGCTCATGAGTCGAGTAAGGCTTATGGATGATATCGTCCATACCAGCACCAAGCATTTCTTCTTGATGTGCCTGTCTGACATTGGCTGTGACCCCCAAGATGGGCACATGTCCACCATCTCGTTTTTCACTATCACGGATGGCCTTCGTCGCACAGCTACCATCCATGACAGGCATCTGCTGATCCATAAGGATGCAGTCAAATGTAGCTTGATTATTCGCGTCAACGGCCTCTCTGCCATTACAGGCCTCGGAGATCTCGTAACCCAGTGCATCCAACCTGCGTGAAATGATTCGCCTGTTGATGAGATTATCTTCGACCAATAAGACACGTTGCCGGCCGACACTGCGTTTCTTCATATCGCGATCGCGCAACGATTCCGAACTCTTTCGTCTCGTCTCATCATTCGAGACTTCGCGGGCTATCTTGTGAGTATTTGCCGCGGCTTCGTCTGTCGGTGCACCAGGCCGCGTCTCCCAGATATTCGCTTCCGGAGGATCCTCTGGAATCTCAGGCTCGTCTGTTGATTGATTGACGCCCTGCATTTCATTGCCCAGCGACTGGATATCAACACAAAGTCGGTCCACTCCGGACATATCAAGGCTACCATGCCCTTCGCTGGTCGTGTCTGTCGTCCGGCGTACTTTGAAAAAGAATCCAAACGTACTTCCTTCTCCTTCTTGGGAGCTCACGCCGATCTCACCCCCGTGCAGGTGACAAAGTTCCCTGCACACATTGAGCCCAAGCCCAGATCCACCGTAGACACTCTCGGTCTTGGGAGTTGCTTGATTGAAGCGTTGAAACAGCCGTTTCTGGGCTTGAGCGGTGATACCAATGCCAGTGTCTTTGACGGCGACCAAGACATAAGCAGTTTCGCCAGCTCCCCATTCAGAAGAGTTGGTTGCGTCCTTGCGGAGGTCAGCCTCATGCGAATCGAAGAAGACGACGTTTGGCGGATATGAAGGGGGTCGCTCTCTCGATGCGCCAATGGAGACTCGTATTGATCGACGACTCTCCGATTTTGCAGTGAACTTGATAGCGTTCGAGAGAATATTGATCAGAACCTGGCCCATGCGATCAAGATCTGCCATGACCCAATCAATGTCACAATGCGAGTAGGAATGATCGACCTTGTATTCAAATTCAATCCTCTGTTTTCGGAGTTCTGGTCGAAATATTGCAAGCGGCGTGGTGAGGTGGCGTTTGGGCTGGACTTTATGCGGCGTTAACGCCAGCATGGACGCGTCAAGTTTCGAGAAAGTCAAGACATCATTGACAATTTTCTTTTGATGCGTGATACAAAGGCTGATCGTCTCCGCTGCTTCGACAATGCCCATGACCGATATTTCATCCGGTTTCTTGTTGTATACTGCCTCCTGGATATCCTCTGTGCAATGTAATATCGCAGAGAGCGGATTGCGAATTTCGTGGCTGATCATATCGATGAAGCGCTCCTGCTGCTTCTTGCGTTCTTGCGCATCTTCCGCCGCCTGCTTCTGTAAGAGCTCGGCCTCCTTCTCCGGGGTAACATCCGCAATCGTGCAAATGAACATCCCGCCTTCGCTTGGCCCAAAGCATTGCACATCCTTGTCGTCCAGTTTATCCAGTGTCATGACACACCACATCGAGTTCGGATCGCGGGTATGGTATTCAAGGCGAAGCGGCCGTTTAAACTTCGCGACATCGAAGTACGCAGAGGATACTCGTTCATAGTCGTCTGGGTGAACCGAGCGCAACCAGCATTTTGAGAAATCGGAGGTGAAGCATGTGATGAGTTCCCGAAATCGGCGGTTCACGGAGACAAGTTCATATTGGTTGGTGAGGATGGCGACGCCATTGGGGAGAATATCGGCCAGCTCCTTGGCCGAGATGTTGCGGCTGAAATTGAACGTCATCTATTTCTCTAGGCGGCTCGATGAGCAGTTCTTCCAATCTCACTGAGAAAGTCGTGCTGAGAGCCTGATATGATGTGGAGACTGTGGTAACCATCCAATTGTTATATGCCCACAAGTCTTCGGCTGGCTCGCATGGCAAAAGGTAGAGGCTGAGCGACAGGCTGAGCGAGAATCTGCGGTGTTGTTTGCAGTGAGGAATGGTATCTTGAGCCAGTTTGTAGTATGTGGAATTGAGGGGTGGTATGATAGATCAAGACTCTGCAGACAATTTGATTCTCTCTGACGAGAGTGCTCTAACGAGAGCATGCGGGGATATGTGTGGTGCCTCCTGACGAAGTGAGATACGTCATCATTGTGGGCATTTTTCTTCGATCTACTTCCAGCAGCACACTGGGGTTGTCATCTCCGGACTTGGTGATTGGCGACCAATAGTTAAACGGTAACCTAATGGAGCTAACCTGGCTGGGTTAGCTTAAGTTAACGAACATGCATGCCATATATTTGAGGCAGGAACATGACGTCACTTTTGGACTGCAGATCAAGGTCTCTGATTGGCTGATTGGACTTTGTGGCAAACCCTGCCGGACTTGTCTGCTCTTCGTTGTTCCTGTGTCCAATCGCTTAATGTGCACTGTGTACTAGGTGTAGCTCCTTATTTGAGATGATGTGGAAAGAGCTAGTGTAGCTTATGTTGACTTCATGCAAAGCCAGCTGCTTGTGGTACATGCAGAGTAACTCGGCCTACAGCCAAGTGCATATGCTCCCATGTGACGAAGACCATTTCTACTCTTTTTCTGAAGATGCGTGTTTCCTGTGGTTCTGGGGTTATTGTAGGATTGAATCCTAATCTATTGTGGGGTTGTGATGAGCGTTATTAGAAGCCTCAATATTTCGCCGTTGTAACGCAACCTATCACAGAAAAACATACGAATCATTGAAGACCTGGAGGACGCTTACAAAATCCAATCGAGGTACTTGGTTACACAGTAACTATACCTACAGACTAGTAACTATACCGATTGAATGTGTAACTAAATTTGGAGCACGTGGGTTCCTGAGATTCATTGTGTGCACGTCCATACTACTACATACATTGATCTGCACATTAGCGAAACTTCCCTGTCAAAGCGCAAGGGTCGAGTACATGACAGTGCGTCACACGTGCGCGAATATGTAGATTTCCCAAGCCGAGATTTACCCAGCAATATGCGGCAAGTGTCAAGATGCTTGTTGATCTTGTGGTCAAAGCTTTTGCTTAAGTGTCGATCAGCTTCGTCCAGCTGAAGATGATGCTTCTACTACCCACATTTGGCTTGGCACAAGTGATCCGAGGGTCCCAAAGTTAGGCCATTACCTAGTAAGTACTGTATGTTGGACATATTCATGGATTTGGCGAGGTAATAGAGGATTTAGAACCCTACATCAAAAGCCACTACTACTACGTACTGTACGTAGGTTCCAGAAGGAGTGGAGCATCGGCGGCAATAGTCCCACCTTAACCAGAGGGTTGTGTGCAGGTTGCTTCAACACAAACCCTGGGAGATGTTGATTGATCGAAAAATTCAATAGCGGAGACGAGAACTGCTCCACTTGTTTTGAAAATTTGGAGCCGTTCACAAAGAGGTCTAGACAGAGTACTTTACGTGAGGAATGTGGGATGAGCTGTCGAAGCGAGTGAGTCAAACTAGGCGTGGCAAATCTTGCCCAGTCTTTGCACACATTACAAAATTCTTTGCCAATACTAGTGACAAGCCTTTAGATTTACTTGTATGGAACCTATTCTGAGCCTTGCATTATGTTGTGGCTTCGGAGGTATCAAGGGCTAACCTACCCGCGTAGCCCTACCGGGATCCCGCAATAACAAAGTTACGGGTCTGGGCTTAGCGTTCGGGCCGATAACCTTCGGCTGTGCAAATTTTTTGATGCCCGAATTTAAACTTACACTACATCTCTGATATTGACTTGGTGCGTTATTGCCTTTGCATTGTAGAGGATTAGACAACACACACACACACACACACACACAGCATGTGGATAGCATTATCCCACATCTTATCCTATAACGCTGTCTGATTAAAGACTTTACCACATGTGCGAGCGGCAGCCCAGGCCCCAGTGGATTTCGCACTCCACTCCTCGTGGGTTCATCGTGGGTCTCTGGGCCTCCTCCATCTCAAAGAGGTAACCCGAAGGAATATTCTCCAGTCTAAAGATCAATGCTTAAAGAAGTAATCCGAAAGACTTCACTCCACTTTTTAAACTGGATCGATTGAAGATTCTGATTTTTCTAACAGTAGTAAATCCTATATTAGTATGAGAGTAGGTGCCAGTGCTCCCTGGAGATCCATTTTCATCTTTCACTCAATCCTCAAACTGACACAATGGGCATTGTTGACTATTTCAGCCGACCGCGTGGCGATCAGGCACATGGTGATGTTGAGACGCCCACCGTGGAAGGCCCAAAAGTCATTGAACCCACTATTATCTCCAGTCCCGAGTCTTCGGGTATGGTCACTCCCGCAAACATGCTCCCTTCCCCGGCTGGGAGCGAGGATCCGCTTATCTTTGAAAAGATCCCACATCAGTTCGGTCGATTGGGGTCTTGGAAAGGATCTTTGATCTTGCTCGTTACATCCGGCTCTCAGTTTCTTGACAATGTCTTTATGACGAGCGCCAATATTGCCTTGTCGTCGATTCAAAAAGACTTTGACGTTTCGAGTACCGATTTGCAATGGATGATTTCTGCGTATACTTTGTCATTTGGTGGTTTCCTTTTACTAGCTGGTGCTTTATCTGACCGGTATGGCTGCCCTCCCTTTTTGTCTTTCATGTTGATGGAAGCCCGATCCTAAGTTTTACAGATATGGACGAAAGAAGATTCTTTGCCTGGGTCTTGCTTGGCTGTCTGTGTGGACACTAGCCATCGGATTTGGGCAGTCCTTCATTCAACTCACGGTATTCCGTGGCATCCAAGGAATTGGAGCCGCTTTGACTGTTCCCTCAGCTATTGGCATCATCAGTTCCTACTTCAGCGGTGTGGATCGCACTCGTGCCCTGTCAATCTATGGAGCTTCTGGTACCTTGGGGTTCTGCACCGGTCTTATCTTCGGTGGATTCCTGACCTCTTCATTGGGCTGGAGATACATCTTCTACCTGATCATCATAATTACTGGAGCGTTGGGTATCTTGGGCTTCATTGTCCTCCCAAGCGATGTTCCTTCCCAGAAGAAACGCGAGAGAATGGATTACATTGGCGCAGTGATGTCCACTGCTGGCCTCATCCTGCTCCAATTTGTGCTATCCAGTGGTGGAACCTACGGCTGGGACCAGCCGTTCATTATTGTGCTGTTGATCCTGGCTGTTGGTCTCCTTGTTGGGTTCACTATCTACGAGAAGTACATCAGCAACCCGATCATGCCGCTGTCTTTGTGGAAGATTCGCAACTTTGCCGGTCTTTGGGTTATTGGTTTCAGTAAGTTGTCCAATTTCCGAGTTCATGCTTTAGGCGGTACTAACTCAGGCACAGCTGGTTATGGAACCTATCAGAACGTCATCTACTATATCGTCCTTATTGCGCAGGAAGTAGATAAGCTAAACGCTGGCGATACAGCTCTTCGCTTTCTGCCAATGGGTGCCATTGGTTTCATTGTCTCACTCGGCACGGGAAAACTGCTTGAGATCATGAATGGAAAGCACCTCCTCATCATCGGTCTGGTTCTGGCTGTAGTCGCTCCTATACCGAGCGCTTTGACTTCGAACTCAGACGCTGGATTGTATGTATTGCCACTTTTGACTTGGGTGAATCTACGCTAACTGTCATAGCTGGCTAAATGTCCTTCCCACGTCCCTCATCAGTATCTCATCCGTGTCTTTCATCTTCGTTACTACGAGCACTGTGGTCCTCACGAGTGTACCGGTCGAGGTCAAGAGCTTGGCTGGCGGAATGGTGAGTCCATGCCCTTTTGTCGCATGTGCCTTTCGATATATTGATCTTCTCTGTAGCTGAATACTGCCTTCCAAATTGGCTCTGGTGTTGCGTTGGCTATCTCAGCGGCTGTTACTGATGCTGTCGATATTCAGCAAGGACACAGTCTAGAACAGCAGTACGCCACGGGTCTTTGGTGCTCTGTCGGTCTTGCTGGACTGGGCCTGGTAATCGGTCTTATTGCTGTTAGGCACAAAGGTATTGGACCTAAAGATAGGTTAGGTGCTGGCCCAGTCGCTATTTAAATATGTGCTATGATTGTTTCGGTTTTGATAGATGGCTGATAGACTTGCTTTTGCTTTTGTGTTTGTTTTTGGCGTTGAGCTTTTATAATGGGCAATGAACGATTTAGTGTGTTGGTATGATGACTGGAAAAGAGGGCCGAATGTAGTAGTTATGAAGAGATTTTAACTTTCATGAATAACCTTATTGATTTGATGTTAAATATTCACTCTGGGTAGTGCACTTAAAATTGGTGTCTTCTTTTACCGTGACTTGAAATACTTGCCAGTTGATTCGATTCAGGAGGGATCGGAAGACACAGACAGACGAAAAGGACGAAAAGAAAAGGAAATTTTCTGATCTTCTGACTGAGATGAAGGAGAGAAAATGGGATTTAGAAATTAACGCTTTGCCTATGAAGCATAAACAATCATAGAATTATAGATTGTCGTAGTTGAAGTAATTAGATATCTCAGAAGGGCTGTGCGGTTGTCCGGAACCTGATGAACAAGGCAACGAACACCCATACGCCGGTAGACCCACATTTTATGTCACGTGCCTATCAGATCCGGATTTGGATGGGACTAAGATCGCGATGCATCAAGGGCCCTGTTTCCGGCATCGAGGAATGTAAAGATGAACATTATGACAGTATGTCTGCTTGCGTAGAGCATAGGGCATCTGGGGAGTTTTGACTCCCGCCCTCCAGAGATCTCGTCATGATTCCATCTTGATCAGCCTAGCGACTGTCAACGCCTTTCACAATGATCGCCAGAGGAAAGGCCCTCCAAATGGCCATAACGGCATTTGCCGCTTATGTTCTCTTTACACTACTTTTCAAAAAATTTGGAGACAAAGCATGGCCCGAGTCACTACCTACTCTCTCTCACAGCTCTATGAGCGATAGCGGCTATGAACATATTCAGAATCGCACTCTTGGGGTCGGTTTCTCCTCCCGTCTTGAAGAATTAACCGCTGACCGCAGAAAAATCTCTAGTTTGAGCATATATATGCCATTAGCATGAAAGAGCGGACGGATAAGCGCGATTTCCTGACCCTGGCAGCTTCAGTGTCGGGCTTCATGGTCGAATGGCTTGATGGAGTGCGACCGGATGAACTACATCCCAAAGCCATGCCCGATGTAAGTACTGCTAATGAACCCAAAACAATTGCCTTCTAATTTCACCTTAGGGATTGAATAACTCATCCGTGAAGCCCACTGCTATCGCATGTTGGCGTGCTCACATGAATGCCTTGGTCAGGTACTAATTCCCGGGGCTTCTTTATTAAAAAGGAATACAAGCTAACTTCTGCATACACACACGCACACAGTGTGGTACGCAACGACTACTCCACAGCTCTGATTCTCGAAGACGACGCAGACTGGGACGTGAACCTCAAGTCCCAACTCCGTGAATTCGCCCGCGGGCTACACGCGTTGAAAGGAATCAACCAAGTATCCAAGGAAGCTCCCTACGGAACCGACTGGGATCTCTTGTGGATAGGCGGATGTGCCTCGGGCCCGAACGCGAACGAAACGAACTTCTACGCTATCCCCATGGATCCCACGGTCCCCAGTGTACACAATCGAGGCACCTGGGGCGGACCCACTGATAAGTGGAAGCAACAATATCCCGAATTGGCCGAGGACTCGACGCGATTTATCTACCAAGCTGAGATGGGCTGTTGCATGTTCGGGTATGCGGTTACCAACAGGGGTGCGAGGAAAATAGTTTCTGCTCTTTCTCTCGATCACTTGGACAGCCCGGTTGACAATGCGCTGAATGATTTGTGTGCGGGAATTAACGGCCGTCGGAAGATCGAGTGCTGGGCGCCGTTTCCCAATTTAATTGGGACTTATCGGAAGGCTGGCTCTTCTGCTCGGGACTCAGATATTGAGAGCTATGATGATACTGATTATCACGGGGAGCAGTCGTGGAATATAGTTTATAGCACCAGGCAGAATATTAGGGAATTGGTTGCTGGGGAGGAGATTGTTTACTCGCAATGGAAAGAGGAGGATGTGCCGTGGTCGGGTAAAGAGATCAAGCATAAGGAGTTTGTCTATCCTGTTGGACATCTTGTCAATTAATTCTCTATTGCTGCGTCTATACTATCATACAAAATATTTGTGCTTTATGTTCTTCCAACTTCAGCTGGCCTTCTAAGGTACGTTTGATTTAGGTTTGCTAGTCTAACGGCGATGCTTGTTAAGATCTGGTTCAACTCGGATAGATCCAGGCCAAACCTTGGGAATCACAGCCGCCATCCGCTCTTGCTTCTATGGTCGCTCTGGGATCTAGTCTCGAGCACTCTGCTTCGATGCCTCGAATAACTTCTCTTGCAATTGCCATTCGCAGAATTGGAATTGGGAATCATCGGTTCCTTGAATACCCGGCTTCTTCGCATTCTCGTTGGGAGCGCTCAAGTTTCCAACTGTCTAGCCCAAGTGTTCAGTTGAATCGGGCATTTAGTGCGGTAGATAATAAGCTTTCAAGGTTTATTCAAATCCCCTTGCTCGGCAAATGAGCTTGTTCTAGGAATTGAAATCTACCTAGATTGGACAGGAACATAATGGGTTAGGTACTACAGTACATCAGTAAATTGTAACCTCATTATAGTATCATTCCATTTGAAATTCCTTCCCCCTTGGCATTCACCTTCAGCCAATAGTGATTGAATACCTTATAGTCATGTGCCTGGAGCCCTTGGATTTAAGTGGTATTTCAGCAGGGCTCAGCCAATTCAAATTTCCGAAGGCTCGGCCCGGTTAGTTTCTGGTCGGAAGACTAGGGCGGGAGGTTAGCGAGGGCATATCATCTATCATGCAGTTTTTAAATTGCCTATTTGAGCACCTTGAAGATATGCTCTAAGCTAATAACCGTAATGTAATATCGGTAGCCTTACTTTGCCCTTCTGTTGCATCTCTTCTCTGAAAACCTCTCAGCAATCAACCGTACAGCATGTAAAAGCTTCAGGTGATGAAATGAAGGTGTCTAGACTCATGTGGGACCTTAGATTAACTCCTTGCATCGGCTCTCGATTACCGTTCACTCCATCCACTATGGGTTTCTTCACCAATCTACCGAGACGTTCCATCTATCATTTCTCTTCGAACCAGCCGTATGAATTTTACCTCCCTTTTGTGCATTCCTGGGTCCCATCCCAAGAATATTCCCTCTTCTGGCTTCCTGCTTCCTTGGAATATTGCCGGTCACCGGGAGCCCTTTGCTCTAGATCGAGTCGGCAAGAATGATCCCAACAGCCTTGCATGTCCTACGCTGGAGCATGTGACTCGAAGTTACTCTCTGAAGTTGAAAGTGACCAGAAAATGATGAACAAAAGAATGCAATGGCAAAAGCCAGACTGTGAACAAGCCGATATAACCGGCCTTCGGCGATTCTCAATTCCTTTAAATCTGGGGAATCTCAGCGAGCTGACAGCTTTTGATAGTCCTTTTTCGCAGAAAGCCTCTTTATACTGCTGATTAGTGTCAATCACGCCGATCTCTCATACATACCCTTATATTTTCCGAGGTGTATACGTATACATGGCACGCTTCATCAACCTCCGAGGCAATAGCCTCAACATCGCAGCTATCCTGGGTGTCCTCATGCCAGGCATCCTGACAACGGGATACAACGCGTCATTACTCGGCGGTGTTCTGACACTCCGGGACTTCGAAGATCAATTCCCCGAGATCGACATCGCTGCTGCCGAAGACAAATCCCGTGCATCGACAATCCAAGGCCTCGTCGTGGCTGCTTACACTATAGGCGGGTTCTTCGGTACACTGTCTTGCGTATGGCTAGGCGACAGGTTAGGCCGCCGACGCACAATAATGGCAGGATCAGTCATCCAAGTCCTTGGAGCGGTCTTGATGGCTAGTGCGAGTGCTCTCAGCCAGCTCATTGCATCGCGTGTAGTTCTTGGCTTTGGAACTGGTGTTTTTCTGGCCACGATCCCGCTGTGGCAATCTGAGATCTCACCTGCAAAGAAGCGTGGCGCCCATGTTGGCATGAAGGGGGTTTTCAGCGGTCTTGGGTGTGCGCTTGCGCTGTTCTTGGACTTTGGGATGTCTTTCACACGAGGCAGCGTTGCTTGGAGGTTTCCTTTCGCTTTTGTCGTGTTGCTTTCTCTCGCTGTTCTGGTTTCCATTATTTACCTACCGGAATCACCCCGCTGGCTGATCCGACAAGGCCGGATTGCTGAGGCTAGTGAGGTCCTAGCTGCTCTCGAGGACACTTCTGTCGGTGATGAGATTGTCGATGCCAAGATAAAGGACGTCCAAACATCCTTGGATTTATCTGGGGAAAAGTCACTGAGACGGATCTTCCATATGGGCCCTCAAAGAACTTTTCACCGAGCTTTGCTTGCTGCTGGGGCGATGCTGTTTCTCCAGCTCACCGGCGCAACCGTCATTACCTTCTACAGTTTGTCTCTCAAAGCACATACTCCCTAAATCCCACATACTGACACGTTTCCCCTATTACAGCAACTGCAATCTTCGAAAATAATCTCTCCCTTGGCAACTCAACATGCACCGTTCTGGCAGCAGTCTACCAACTGGTCGGTCCCCTTGGCGGGGCATTCTGTGTGCTCAAAATCGAAGGACTCGGCCGTCGAGTCTTACTCCTGGGCAGTGCAATCGGAAACACCGTCTGTCTAGCGTTGGTAGCTGGACTCGGAACGCAGACGGATAACCCTCTCGCAATGCGCGGAGCAGTCTTTTTCATTTTCCTCTTTCATTTCAGCTATATCATTGGATTCGGCGCTATACCATATCTCTATGCGACAGAGATCGCACCCTTGCACCTTCGAACAACCATCAACAGCTTCAGTATTAGCATTTCCTGGGCAGTCAGTATCCTGCTCACCAGTGTCACACCCATCGCGTTCAACAGTATGGGACAGACATACTTCGTTATCTTTGCAGGTTGCAATGCGACCATGGTTCCTATTATCTACTATCTCTTTCCTGAAACTGCCGGGCGCAGTCTCGAAGAGATGGATAAGATCTTTGCTCTTTCGAAGAATTCTTTGGATGTTGTCAAGGTAGCAAGACACCTTCCGCATGGAGGATCAGTTGACTTGTCACTCGAGAAGGATCTTGGTCCTAATTTCAAGTGCCCCGAGCTTCAGCTTCGTGAGGTCTATTCACGTTGATGTATATGAACTTGTTTGGAGATACGCAGTTGTGAAAAAGGGCGGAATGTCTTGATGAAATGATCTATGGTCCGGAGATTTTGAAATTAAATGGGCCAAACCAGCGTTTTAAACGTCCAAACCTTGATATATCGAAGCCACGTAGTGCGAAAACCCCCATAGCCTGTTGCAGCCTGTTGGAAAGGTTTCACATCATCTCCGGAAACACCGGAAAGAAACGGCATTGAGCAAGAGAGCAGGAACGAGCAGTCTTGCCCCGGAAATCGCAATTATGACAGTTCCTCAAGACATCAGTGGAAGCTCCATGAAGTCCGTGGGTATCAGGAATTATGAGAAACCGGGTCTTGATGCGGCTGACGAAGTTGCAGTCTCTGCCATCGCGGCGGGCTTCATTGAGTACCGTGTTGGAATAAAGGAATCCCGGACAACGGTGAAGCTGGCTTATCTCGGGTGCCGTCGATGGTATGTTTCAGATGCTGCGTCGGGTCAGACTGCTCCAACCCGAGGAAGCCTGACCACGTCTTACCACGAACACTGAGCCGAGATGCAAATTAAACAGATATAACGAGACACTGAGGAAGCACTGAGCTGGGCTGGGTGACTCCGTCGCTGAACTCAGCTACTCACAACTACACAGTAGTATGTGTAAGATACAGAGAAGCGATCGGTTACGTACGTACAGTACCTTGGTCCTTGAGGAAGTTGAGGTCAATCTTCGCACGTGATTGGTGGAGCCGGGCCAATCAAAACCACCATGGCATCAAGGAAGCGGGTCCTCGGGCCCCAAAAATGCGTTTACTATATTAGGACTAGTGGGGGTGCCAGCAGTCATTCCCATAGTTACTGAAGCCAAACAAGGAGTTTACGATAACTTCCGGTCTACAGAGAAGACCGGTTCATCTAACAATCACAGTCAGGCGCAGAAGTTTTGTTGATAAGTCATCAGATGTCGCATTGAATCGGTTTGATAACCTCAGGGACTGCTTCAGGCCCCTAGTGACTCGTGGTAGCATTCATGGAAGTTCCCTCGATAAAGACGGATAGAAAGTTGGCAAGTCCCGAGAGACATATCATCGATACAGCATAATAAGTGAGGGCAGAGGGGAAGTAGCAATGTAGGAAAAAATGCTAATCCTTCTCCCGTATCTTCAGGCTCCATGCAGCCAAGTACCAGTTTCCATTCTCTCAATCAGAGTCTTTCTTCTAGTTGTCTTCTTCTTCATCCGGTTGAGTAAATGCCTCCAGGATCTTCTTTCCTTCCTCGGCGTCCTCCTCTATGAAAGGTTTCAGGCCGAAGCTGTGCATGAAGGCAGTCCAGCCGCCGTAGGACTTAACAATAGCCCGCTCGGCTGGGGTGAGAGGTGGCTCTGCTATAGTCAGAATTTATTTCACATTCTGAATGTTGCAAGCAGATACGTACGGAGTGCGTCCGTAACAGGCATTTTGGCAGATGATGAAACCCTTCCCTTTATTGCAGCTGGAAACAGTGGGTATCTAGTGCGAATGAACGGGTTAGGGCTTGGAAAGTGTTCAACGAGTCAGATACCATATCAGTGGACTCACGCTAGAGTAGATTAAGGGTCAAGCTTTGCTAAGTCTGAAGATTTATGGGAATTTGAAAGGGAAGAAGATGATCAACATCACAACCCCTTCAAGGTTTCCAAGCGGGGAATCCGGCACAACCACGTGACATCGTATTGATAACGATTAACGATCATAACAGAAGTGAGCTTTCGTGATCTAATCCGGCGCCCATCATGTATACTTCAAGGCAGAAGGAGGGTCAGGAGGCAGAAATGACCTCGGCCTTCTCTGTCACACGTTATCTAGCCAACTCTTATGTTACTGCTTGCCGATAGAATCGAATAAAATTCGGTGATCAGGGTCCAGGGATTAGGGTTTACCGCAATGTCGATAACCTCACCTCTTCTATTCAGCACCTCAACTGCCGAGGTGTATGAGAATAATGAGATAGGTCCTCCAGGAACAGGCTATGTTTCAAAAGCAAAAACATACAACAGTGAGGATTCGCTGGTGGTCACCCACCCAACTACTAACTCACCGGCGTGTGGCTTAAGTACGGCTGAGCGGACGGGAAGCCCTGTTTTCCACACCCTATGGTCGTATGTACTGAACATGATGGTGAGCAGATTTATGTTTAACAAGGAGTTGGATGAGCTAAAGTGGAAGGAATGGTTGAGGATGGAAGAAAGGAGAGAGCTATCTACGTACATAGGAAAGGGAAAAGTGTCCTGTGGCATGGTGAAAATCAACATGAAAAGCTATAAGATCCTTATGGTTTGATGGCTTGAGGCATCCAATCCACGGATGAAGGACAACACTGGAGCATCATTAAGAATGCGCTTCAGTGGATGCTGGCTCAATATGAACTGGTACAGTAAAATCATACTCTGCATCCTGCATGGGAAGCGTATCGATCACTGCTGGTTTTCCCTGTAACGAAAATTCGAAACTCAAGCTCTCAGAGTTGTCCAATGCAATCTTGTAATGTCCTGGGTAAATAACGAGACTTCCATTCTCATCCGCTCTGGCCAGTGAGCCGAGGGTAAGAGGCAAGTCTAATACCTGCTCGTGTCCACTAGTGATATTGTGGAGGCGCAGGTAAGACACCAGGGACTTGTTTGGCCGAGGAGTTGGGCCTGCATCGTCGCTCGAAAGGAACAACAAGCCAACGTAATCGGAAGTTTCATGGCCAACATTCTTGACACCCGCTTTGACGGTGGTGAAGGGCGTGTTGTCGTTGATCGGGCCACTGGTTTTCTTTTGGGCAGAGGCAACAAGCTGCTGAATGTTATACTCATGGTCCAAAGTTTCCTTCCACTCAAACTTGAACTTCGTGTAGTGAAGCCCGTAGCCGAATGGGAGAACAGGCTTTCCAGTGTACCATTTGTAGGTTCGCCCAGGGTATGAACCATTCGGGCGAAGGTCGATGTCGAAAATGCTGACTTCATCGGCGTAGCTGGCTGGATATTGTGTGACCGGTAGTCGGCCAGCCAGTGATCTTTTGCCAAGAAGGACATCAAGCAGAGCAGTGCCGCCACTTTGGCTGGGATAACCGGCCCAAATCAGAGATTGAATTCCTTTGTTCTGCAGGAGGGCGCTGTCATCAACCTGACCGCCACCAAATTGGACAACGATCATGGGGGTAGAGAGCTTCGATAGTTTTGTGATGAGATCGAGTTGGTTTTGTGGCCAAGTGAGAGAAGTTCGGTCAAGCTGTTCGGCCTCCAGGGAATTGTCAATGCCACCGAGGTAGATGATCAAATCAGACTTCTCTGCGGCCTCAAGAGCCGAGCTGAATCCAGTGGTGTTCTGATTGTTGATTGCTGTGCCCAAGGCATAATTCACTTCCCAGCCATCATGTCCCTCGAATGCTTGCAATGGGCTTACTATGTATGGTGCATTGCCTGAGTAGTCACCTTGCATCTGAGTCGTGGCATTTGCAAACGGACCAATCACGGCGATGCTTTTGTATCGATGCGAAGGACCCAGGGGAAGAAGTTTGTCATTCTTGAGAAGCGTCATGCCTTCGACTGCAGCCTCATACGCGAGGGTTTGCGCGGCAGGGGTATCAACGTCCGAGGCATTGAGATCACTATACTTTCCGCCATCGAAGAAGCCGACCGTAAACAATGCCGAATATAGCCTTGTCAGTGCCTGGTCCATCGCTTTGTCCGAGGTCTCGTTGTCGGCAAGAGATTCGTTGAGCTTCAGGTACGAAGAGCCGCACTCCAGATCAACTCCGGCGTTCAAAGCAACGGATGCTGCAGCTTGTTCGGTATCAGTGAAGTTGTGGTATTGCCAGATGTCTGTGACTGCTCCGCAGTCAGACACAACATAGTTGTAATCCGCAGTGAAATTCCAGTGGTCCCTCAGCACCTGCTGAAGAAGGTATTCGCTTGAACAAGCTGGGATGCCGGAAACTGCGTTGTATGAACACATGATGCTTCCTACTTCCGTGTCACGCACGCAGGCCTTGAATGGGGCCAGGAAGTATTCAGCCAGGTCCTGCTGGGTAGGGTTGTAGTTATTTCCGTATCTGCCCGTCTCCAAGTCGTAGACTGCATAGTGCTTGCATGTTGCAATGACTTGCTTGTGCTCAGGGTCATCACCCTGAAGTCCCGGGACAAAGTTGCGGATATAGCTCTGCACAACATGAATATCCTCACCAGGCGTCTCTTGCCCTCTTCCCCACCGAGGATCTCTGAAACCATTGATGTTTGGAGCCCAGAAGTCGAATCCGGCAAAGCCGTTGTTGGCGAACGCTCGTCCTTCCTTTCCGATTACTTTCGCTATTTCACGAACCAGGGCGTCATCGAAGGAGGCCGCTGTCAGGATTGGTGCAGGGAAGCTGGTGGCAGAACTGAAATCGGCTGGCGGCTTGGTGAATTGCACACCTGGTGCACCGCCGACACCGTGTGTTGCTTCACTCCACCACTCGTAGGACGGCAACCCGAGACGGTCAGATCCGGCTGCAGCATCGACAAGATTAAGAATCTTTTCCTCCACCGTCATGGAATCGACAAGTGCGCTCACTCGCTCAGTAATGCTCTTTGAAGTATCGCACATTGGGTGACTGGAGAGAGGTTCCGTTTGACAGGCCGGCACGAACGCGGTGTCCGGTGAGTTCCCTTGCGGATCTAGGATTTGATATAAAGACATCCTATTGGCATATCAGGATCTTGTGATCATATCGTCTTTTACTCTGCATTTGACTTACACATAGTTCCCTCCGCATGAACTAGATGGTTCAGTCGAACATTTGGAGTTGCATTTGCTGTCATCGGTTTTGGTCGCGTCGCTAAAGTCGGGCTCACTCCCACAGAAACATTGCCTTTTTATCAGGTGTTAGTTTAGGTAATTGTACTGTTGCATCCAAAGTGCAGTTAACTTACGTTCCGAAATCAATGCCACCATATTCAAATCCCCGTTTACCACACCAGTTGGCACAGTACTGCGGCGTCATACCAATTGTGCTAATTTTCGCTGCACTCAAGATGGATACGCTGGGATCCAAATAACATCCAAGGTAGGTTGATGATGCATTGTAGGCTTCCGTCGGTGCTGCGCTATTGTCAGAGATAGCTGCCGCATTGACACTCGTTTGTACTCCGATGAGTGACAGTAGTACGTTAGTACTAGCTCGAATGAGCTTGGGAGGCATTGTCATTGTTGGCTCTCCTGTGCCAAGGAATACAAATTCGTTGGTCACTTTATGCTGGACAGACTTGATAAGAGACTTATATAGACTTCATTGTATAGTCGAAGCTGTAGGGCTTCTTGATCGATCACTACCTAGGCTAAATTACCGGCTTAGCACTTAGCAGACACCAGGATGTACTCTCCGCAATTCGCGCAGTTCCGAGATCCCCACAATTGAATGAGGGGAAATGTTCCCCACGGGGATCTACATTGCCCCCAGCTTCAGGTTACATCCTGTGAAGCCACAGTTTCAGACAATACTGACGTAGTAAAGCGTCTTCTACGGAGTAAATAGAGACACTTCTGAGAGATTGTTGATTGCCAAAAGCCAACGCTGGAAAGTAACAACTTGTTGAAAAATCGCGAATATGCAATGTCATTAGCGACCTTCCTAAAAAGTCCCAGGTCGGACTCAATTGTGGAAAATAAATAATGATGAGCTATAGAAGGAAGAAGAGGAGCTACAAAAGAAGAGGCACAGACAACGATATCCCTGAGTGGTGCCCTAACTACTTCGTTGACAATGAAAAACCGGTAAAGCTTCTTTCCCCGCAGAACTCAATGGAAGTTGCCTGGGAGCCTTAGGCACCATCGCCTACATACCCTGTGGCTAGTTTCACCCTAGTAGTTTCCTTTTCCCCTGTAATCAAAGCCGAATACTAGGCGAATATTGTCTGTAATCCCAGTGTAGGTCACAGCGCTGTATATCTTGGTTCTGAGCTGCCTTGCGTAGGAGAGCCATCAATTATCGCTGGGAGGTATTCAGCAGCAGCTAGTAGAACCAATCCGATGCTCAGGCTAAATCACGAAGGATCGAGGATTATTCATTCATGTAATGAAGATCAATTCGATTAGGCTAATTGAGAAATTCACAAATCGAGATCTCATCTACAAATACGGTATTTGGACTAGTCACTAGGGGCTATGAAAGCTTCGGCTTTTAGCCTGAATCTTCAGGAACGCCAATTTAGCAAGACTGCCGGCCAGGCTTTGCTGCATGTCAGGGACTAGTAATCTCATGAGCTCCTGAACTCGTCGCCACGGAGAATTTCCTAAATTGATCAGGACTAGGAAGTTCCCCGCATCTGGACCTCAAATTATGCAGAGTATATAATGATGGCGAATGTCGATCACTGGCAACTCAAGAGAAACAAATCACAAACCGCCATCAATCAGCTCAGACTGGTTTTACTCTCTCAGATCTGATTGAGAAATATGCTCACCAAGATTTTGTTCCTCGGCCTGGTCAGCCTTAGCTGTGCCGTATCGGTCAAGTCTCCTCATAAACCACCACCTCCTCCTCCTCATCCAGCAGCACCACGACCATGGTCGACTTTTGCGGAAAATAATATCTTCCAGCCTGACTCCAACCACAGTATTCTCTATCCGCGACAAGTCGAACTATCAGATGGAAGTCTCCTTGTAACAGCCTCGTATGGGGGGGACAAAACTCCATATTTCCCGATATTCCGAAGTGCAGATGGCGGTGCTACCTGGTCCTGGATCTCAAACATGACAGACCAGGTTAATGGACTGGGGATGTCAGCTCAGCCAGCGCTGACAGAATTACCGTATGCCGTTGGCGACTTCCCAGCCGGCACGGTTCTAGCCAGTGGAAACAGCTGGGGCCCTGAGAGCACGAATATCGACATATACGCTAGTGAAGACAAAGGTTACACCTGGAAGTTCGTCAGCAATGTGGCGAGAGGCAGTGGACCGGATACCACAAATGGGAATCCGTGTATCTGGGAACCATTCATCCAGTGAGCTGCCCTGCCCATTCTCCTCTCTGACCAAGTCGCTAAATGACAGAATTACAGGGTTTTCAACCACACAGTTGGCGTATTTTACTCTGATCAGCGTGACCCTCTGCATGGCCAAAAGCTTGCTCATCAGGAATCGACCGATTTGAAATCCTGGGGCGCTGTGATAGATGATGTGGCATATCTCAACTATACTGACCGTCCTGGAATGACGGTCATTTCCTATATTCCACCTTTGGAGAAGTGGATGCTGGTCCACGAGTTCCCAGGGGGCGATAGCTGGTCTGGGGCAGGCTACCCAGTCTACTATCGACTGGCTGATAGCCCATTCGATTTCCGCTATGCCTTCGGTTATCCAATCGTTGTAGACGGAATCCAGCCAAGCTCGTCTCCTTATGTTGTCTGGTCTCCAGTCGGGGGTGTCAACGGAACCATCATTGTCAGTGACGCTGATTATGCCAGCGTTTTCACCAACAGAGCCAATGGCCAGCCTGATCAGTGGGAAATTCACGCCACACCGCAGCCGGCAGCATACAGCCGCAGCCTCCATGTGTTTTCAAAGAATCCCGATCACTTGATGATACTGGGTGCAGGTGTGTATGCTCAAACAGAGGTTTATCCGCTCTATCTCAGTGTTGTGAGCTTGACGGATACCCTGAAGAAGCCTGCTGGTAATTAGAAAATGGTTTCATTGTATCCTGTTTTATCTAACGGCCAGATGATGCTCAGTGGGCGGCGTTGCTGCGGAGAAAGCCTGTTTTCTTGTTTATGTATCTTGCCTTAGATACCAGTCGATCCTGAAGTGATGAGCGTTGAAGTTGGATCTCTTGATGAATCCTGCATAGTATGTCGATTGGGTCTACCTATGACCTGAGATCTAGGTTAAACCTAGGTATGTGCAAAGAAACACATGTGGATATGGCTCACATTAACCTGGAGCCCGGTGCGTAGCTCGATAGGTTGAAGCTATTGAATATGTTCAACAATATGTTTTTAGCCTCTTGGTCGCCCTATTGCCCTATTGGGTGTGGACCTACCTGGTACCACTGAGTCCTATGTCGATGAGATTAAGCAGTTTGTGAACGATCTTGCCAGTTGGCGGAACCAAGGTTTGCCAGTTGGCTGGAGACTTGCCAGTTGACGGAAAGATCGCTAAACACGCGTCTCGAACTCGGCACCCACAAGTGAATACTGACAACTGGACAGAAGACTTTTCTTGATATTCTATTTAGAAAGGTACTGCACACATGTCCTGTTCACTTTTTGCATATAGTTAACGCGAACAGGTACACGCTTAAAGTACCGGTACCTGGGTGATTTATCTCTCGCCAGGGGTATCTTGGTACCTGCATACAGTGTGGAGTTACTCATCAAGCGGGAGTGTAATTTCATTGGTGACATCCACCGCAGCTCCCCCGTCATAACTTTCTCCTTTTTTGCTTTCACTTTTGCCAGCGAAAATTCTGCACAATGCCGCCTCATGCCGATTTTGTTCCTTTGTGGTTCCAATGTGACTATCCAGATTGCAACGCCAAATATCGGCGCAAAGAGCACCTGAATCGACATCGTAATCATCATGATAAGGATATCAATCTCACCTGCCCTTATTGTGAGAGCGTCCTGACCAGGAAGTGAGTGGTTTCTCCGATCCCGTGGGAAGACATTCAACTCAGAGAGTAATCAGTGACCTATTGCGACGCCATATCCGGACTTACCATCCGCAGAGAGAACTACCGCCATCTCGGAAATCTAGGGCATGTATTGCATGTCATGTACGGAAAGTACGTTGTGATGGCATATTACCGTGCAATGCCTGTAAACATCGCGGCATCTTCTGTGTGCCTAGTGGGGGTGAAACCGTAAGCGAACAACAATTCTCGATCGATGATCGCTGCCCTTTGCCGCCTGTGTCCATGATTAATGATTCCGTTTCTGACGCTCCCCGGTGGATTGCTCATGACCATATCGATATTTACTTTGATACATTCCATCCAAGATGGCCGTTTCTCCATCGCAGTACATTTGACTTCGTCAAGGAACCTTGTGTACTTGTTCAATCCGTTGTCGCAATCGGGCTTTGGGTTAAAGGGACTCAGGAGGCACGAGACGCATCAATACGTCTACATAATAGACTATGTTCCGCATTTTACGCTCAAATGGTGAGAAGAAGAAGCATTATGGCATCAACTGCATATAGAATTGTGTTCTAATATCATCTTTTGCTCTAGGACCAATGGTGCATCTCTAACTCGAGTCCACGCCAACAAACAAATACCTCGTGGCCCATAACATCATTTCAAAGTGTGCTCTTGAATATCATCCTTTCTCTTTTCATTGCAAGAGAGAATGCTAGTACAGATTTGGGCATGCGATGCCGATTACCAGACGACAAATATGACCTCTTGACTGCGCTTGTTCAAAGCTGTCGACGGTGGGGTATTTTCTATTACCCCAAAATGCTTCTGCAACACGAAGCTGATGCACCACTCGCGCTTGTATATGTGAGCGTTGAAGAGATCAAGAGATTTGGACTAGCTCTCTATAAGGTGTGCCGATTGTCCACTCCCACTTCCTTTCATTTGAGCGGAGAATGTTCCAGTAGTGGCAGAAACGATCTTTTGGACTTGGCCGACTTGTCCTTTTGCATGCCAGACAGTGATGAGCTATGGAATGCTCCATTGGGCACGGAGTCAGAGGTGTTAAAAAAGTCTGATTTATCCGCAGTCGGACGCGATGATGGAGATCCGAAAAACTGGATATCTCAAGCGTCTGCTCTCCTACATGACACACGAGTTGGCTTTGATTGGATATAGCAGAAATTATCAGTCTATCTTCACAGCACTACTGAACGACATTTTGGCAGGTTATCCATGTTTTATGTCGAAATTCGCACATTGAATTTTTTTCCTCGAAAACATCAATTGCTCGGCCATTTCAAATACTGTAACCTATGGACGTCCAAACCCGAGAGAATTTGGCTGAACTCCGCTTCGTCAACAAAGCTTTTGTCATAGTGCCTCAATCCGTCTCTTCCGACACATCATAGCCTTAGCCGGATCATTATTATGCCACACGACGCACTTGGCATCTGTAGGGGTAATTGCCAAGACATGCGTCACAGCCACTGATAACTGGGGCTGAATTGCTGAATAAACCCGTGGACATCCCGCCGACTTATTATAAATTTCTCCGTCTACGGGTGGGATGAGCCGAACTTACATTATCAATAGCATGAAAGAGAATTTCTAATGCTTTCAGAAAGGCAATGTATTTAAACCTCTGTTTCCCTTGAACAGAGGGTCTTAGTATTCCATTCTATTGAATCAATTCATAGTATCAAAAGTTTACATCTCCGACTTTCGCTCTTACCTACCGCAGCCATGGCAGCAGCATCCAAACCAACCCTTACAATCACACACATCACCACTGCAACTGCAATTCTCAACATTGATGGAGTCAACTTCCTGACCGATCCCTTCTTCGGGGCCATCGAAGGGACGGAGTATGATACGACCGCGGTCTGGGAGCAAATGGACCTGAAACCGTACGGTCTTGACAGCATCCCCCCACCACCGCACCTTGTCAACAAGCAAGGACCAGCGCTTCAGCTTAATGAGCTGCCGCCTATCGATGCTGTGCTTCTTAGCCATGAGGATCACCTTGACAATTTAGACCCAGAAGGCCGCAAGCTGTTGGATGGTCGAAAGGTGTTTACCACCGTGGACGGTGCCTCCAACCTGCGCCCACGGCCAGGAGTCATTGGCATTTGCCCCTGGGAGACTGTGACTTCTTGTATCGGAGGAAAAACGTACCGAATCACTGGTACCCCTTGCAAGCACTTCCCAATTGGAGAAGTCACAGGGTTCGTCCTAGAGACCGATTCCTTCGGTATTGATTCATCTGGCAAGCCTAATGCAATCTACTTCTCCGGAGACACTGTCTACATTGATGAGCTACGCGCGATTGGAAAGAAATGGCACATTACCGCAGCCATTTTCAACTTGGGTAATGCTACCGTTGACTTCCCAACCGGTCCAATTCAGATTACAATGGACGGTAAACAAGCTGTTCAGCTTGCCAGTGACATTGGCGCTGATTTCATGGTTCCAATTCATTTCGAATCGTGGGACCACTTTAAGGAGGGCGGAGCAGAGTTGCTGGAGGTTTTCAAACAAGAGGGATTTTTGGACAAGGTGTGCTGGACAGTTCCTGGTGTTCCCAAGGTTGTTTTCTGATTGTGAATCTCTCACTATTGCGGGCCTATGGCTCTATTTCTGTTTCAATTCTTTTCTTTGGTTTTCTTTGGTTTTCTTTTGTTTTCTTTTGTTTTCTTTTTACCGTAAGTTGATTTAGACAAATTTCTCAGACCCAAATGTAAGATTTCACGCTTACCAATCCAATTTGTATTTTCCAAAAAGGAACATATCACCAAACCGAAAAAGAACAGAAAAATAGCCCCTCGATAGAAATATGATCTATATAGTACAGTTTAGTACTTGGAAGGTTGCGTAGTGACTACTCCGTACAGGGTACGGGCTATGGCCATTGCGTCAATACAGCTTTAAAGCAGGTAAATTGTCCTATAGGAGATATAGGAGGACAAAAACTAGAAGAAAACATACAACAGTGAGGATTCGCTGGTGGTCACCCACCCAACTACTAACTCACCGGCGTGTGGCTTAAGTACGGCTGAGCGGACGGGAAGCCCTGTTTTCCACACCCTATGGTCGTATGTACTCAAAAAAATACCAATAAGATATATGACATAAAACGCCCTATTTATAGTTATACAGAAAGTAGAATGCAGAATGTTGTTTGCGTTGAAACCAGAGACATTAATGCGACCGTGATAGAGCAAGCTGCGACGACACCCGTTCCGATCTTAGGAATTCGTCCTTTTTCTGCTTGTTCAATCGCCTCAAAATCTTATATCGATCCCAACTCCCAAGATCTTTCAGGTTAATGCCGACTAGCAGCAAAGCAGCAGTCATCTCCGCCATGTCCAGTGCTACTTGGATATCCTTCAGCCGACGGGTTACCGGAACATGGTGGTCGTATACCGGAGAAGAATTCTAGCGAGGACGATCCGGTGAGAATTCGTTCAATCTGACGGGCATGTCTACTAAATATATCAAGCTAACGACAACTACATGGTAGGTACCTAGTACATCGGACCTAAGCCTATCTATCACTGTGTATGATTTAAAACCCAATTGATATGGATATAATTGTCAATGTTCTTTAATGTATCTAGTAGGTCGACCACACCCATCCTCCAGGGCTTCATGTGCCAGGTCATTTGTCCCTGTCCCGTTATCCTGATGTGAAACTACTCGCTTTCCGAATCTGGCACTAAGTATCGAAGAGTCTCCTCGGCAATAGAGACCCAGCCCTCCCGTCTGTTTGGGTCCCATATAACCTCGGGTATGAACCATTTTTGGGTCGCAATCGTCGAGAGCACCTCATCAAAAAGCCGTCCCATTCTCTCATGGGTCCAACACACCTGACGTCATGCAAGGCAGACGAGTGGGTATGGTAGGGTCCCAGGAGGAGCTGCGGAATAGCGGCGCTGACAACATCTCTGGCGCGTTGCTGGCCCATGATGGATGATACTTTCTGGGTTGTTGGTATATTTCCAAAGGATTCCGAAGTCTCACTTACACAGTATGTTGAAAAAGAATTGCTTGAAACAATCTTTACCAAAGAAGCGAGAGCCAAGCGCGCAGAGAGAATGCAGAGAGGGAGCACGTCAGCTACTGTGGACGAAGACCTGTCACAGTGTCACTGGAAGGCGGCCTCCACGTGCCTTCCATTTTGGGCAAAGCTCCGGTCATGACCTCAGAGGTACAAACTCACCTTCCGCAAATCTCACACGTGATATTATTATTCTCGACGAAACCATAGCTGGGGTTGTTGAATGTTTTGCAGGGTATGCATCTATTACGCATAGTTGACGAGCTCTCTCTTTCTTTTTATTTCTCATAGATCCATCCTCCTGGACTTTCATTCTATTTATCTGGGGAGTAAGAAAAAAAAACCCGGGTGTGCAGGGAAGATTTTGCATGTGGCTACAACATACAGCATATACTAGGGTAATGAACAGCATCATGAGAATTGTCCGCGGCCCCGGCACTCCCCAAAGTGAGTCTTATTAAAGTCCGGTACTGCCCATCTCTCCATCCACTCGCATTGTACAATACTCTGCGCAGTTGGCCGATTTTCCGGCTCAAAAGTCAGCATCGACCGCAACATATTCATAACAGCAGCTTTCCCTTCTGCATCAAAACCTGGGATTCCGGCCTGTTGTCGTGGGAGTTGAATGTGCTTTTCAAAGCGGTCTTCCCAAGGCCTCACCTGTCGACCTTGGTTTGGTTTTCCACTTTCATCGAAATATTCATGACGCGCCGCCCATTTCTCCCACCACCGTAGGGGTAAGTTCCCTCGAGTATCAACCTGCTCGGCTATGATATCGTCCGGCGTGGCAAGGATGTCCTCAAATAAGGGGCGCTGGCCGAGTATTATCCATATGGAACATGCGAGTGTCCAAATATCAGCTGAAAAAGAAAGGCCACGTTCCGGTTCAAGTCGGGCTTCAGGAGGCATAAAGGATATAGGGGCGTGCGAGCTATATCGGTACTCTGTAGAGGGTCTGTATGCCTCTCCAAAATCACTGATCAAGATCCTAGATTCCGGAAGGGAGAACTCCTCTGAAGCTTTTCCAAGCCAGATAGGAGGGATGACGGTAGACGGAATACTCGAGTCAAGGGGCTGACCATCAAACCGAATAACTGGTTCTGAAGCAGGCGACCCGTACTTCTCGTATAACTCTTCGATTGAGAGCTGACCAAGATTGGCTGGGAGACATAAAAGGATATTACCCGTATGAAGGTCTGATGTAGTTATTGTGTAAGTGGATTGTTATAATGTTGTGAAGAATGGTGACGAACCTCCATGAACAACTCCTTTACCATGGATATACTCAACGGCTAGTAAAAGTTGCACAATAAGCGAGTGAGCAGTCATGGCCTGAAATATGCGTTTGTATGACCCATCCTTGGCACCAGAGACACTACACCTTGCTAGGGTTGTCACATGGCAAGGGTGGGTGCCATTAGGGCCATGGAGGACGAATCTATCTTTGATTGAGGGTATCATTGCCCTCCCCGGATGATCAAGTGGGGAAGAGTAGCTGAGATAATCCAAGATATCGACTTCACGATCATTTGAATCAGCCGTCCCAACTTTGACTGCCACGTATGTATTAGACTGGTAGTCCCGGCAGAGCCAAGTGGTTGAATAGGCTCCATATCCTAGCTTGTGGGCGACCCGGTATCGGGATTGAAGAATGTCTCCTATCAGAATAGGGTGATATCCGCCAGGCTGGTACTTTTCCAGTCTCTCGACTCCTTCTATCGGCACATATTTGAAGGAGAGTGTACTGGAGTCAGCACTAGATGAAAAGTCCCTGGAAGCCGTAAATGACTTGCATGCGAGTCCACCAAGAGGAATTTTCCAAGAACAAGGGGAAGACGTTGGCCGAATGAACATCTGATATACAGAGCTTTGTCGATGAGCCCGAAGTGAATTTCGTGACCTCATTACGAAGGCCTTTACCGGACGACTTTGGGTTAAGTCAATGATCAGGCGATGAGATTCCGATTAATTATACGCACCACAGGGTCGTCCTCTGAAAAGGACAGTTTACCTGTAGCTTGGCGTATTGATTGCTTGATAGGTGATAGGTTTACGTCTAACTACTAGAGCGCACATTCGGGACCCGTGTTGTCTTAGTCGGTCGCCATAGCAACGGCGCAGATGAGGCGGCTAGGGAAGTCACGGGATGTTTTAGATTCTAGCGGAGCGACGAGTACAACGACTTAACGAAGCTGTTTTTGACACTTTCTCTGATATGCGTTCCGTGGTTACAAAATTAGGAAACGAAGGTTAAAGTGTACTGGGGTTTCCACTTGCACCTTCGCGATCCGCGAATTAAGGTATCCACCCACTACCTTGCGGACCAAGATGAATTTGAATCTCTTTCAGAGATTCGAAAGAATATCCAGCAAGAAGTTAGCCTGTCTAGACAGCAGAAGGCTAGTGTGGAGTAAGTCAGTTTTGGTTTCGAAGACAGGCTACCTTCTTGCTTAATCTGCTGTTTAGATAGGCTACCTTTGCTTGATATTCTTTCGAATCTCTGAAAGAGATTCAAATTCATCTTGGTCCGCAAGGTAGTGGGTGGATACCTTAATTCGCGGATCTGCGAAGGTGCAAGTAGAAACCCCAGTACACTTTAATCTTCATTTCCTAGTCTTGCAACCAAGGAACGGATTAAACGCAACTTTTTCGGTCCCAATTGTAGTGTAGGGGTACTGTATCTTGATAGTTAGTGAAAGCTTAGCATCAGTTTCTGGAGGCACATACTGAAGTAAGCGTATTGTACGGAGTACGCTTCCTGATTTGTGTGTCCCCGCAGGTTGACTACGTATGCATAGCCACCGTCATGTGTTTGGGGATACTAGTCAGGAAGTGAGACGACGTGCTCGATAATTGCAGCCTTCGGGTCGACCATCGCCTGATTTCGCTCGTGTATGACACGAGAATCAGTCTCATCCAGCAAAGAGCGATGTTCATCGCTCCTATCATGAGTCTGTACCAATATTGAGTGATTCATTGAGAGGTGTTTCCCTCCAAGGGGACCAGAACTGGTTAGCCACTGGTTGGTGCTCCATGTTGTCTGCGTAACGCTAAGACGGGATAAAAACAGGGGTGTCTTCCATTTTATATGGCAAGAATGGTTTGTTTTCATCGTTACCATGGCAGTAGTACAGGGATAAATATCAACGAGGGTGGGTCCAGATTTTGGCAAGCAGGGGCCCTCAAATTCTTGAGCGAACTGTCTAATAATGATAGCCCATCCTTAATGGCAAATAAAATAATGCAAAAACAAAAACATACAACAGTGAGGATTCGCTGGTGGTCACCCACCCAACTACTAACTCACCGGCGTGTGGCTTGAGTACGGCTGAGCGGACGGGAAGCCCTATTTTCCACACCCTATGGTCGTATGTACTGGGTAAATAGTGAGCAGAATTATAATTCACAGGTTGGATGAGCTGAACTGCTTAGCTGCTGAAGTGTATTGTGCATATCGGTGGAAAACCACTGAGCCAGCCAATGTCACCCGACGTGAGGGAGGCTGGGAGCTGCTGCTGCCAGCTGCCAGCATATGAATCACATGAGCTATCGACGGGTTTAACTCCGGTTTGCAGTTCCATAGTGGAACGAACCACTGCAGAAATCCTCAATCCATCAGCAATACATATTGAGCTACTAGGAGGAGACTCTATATACGCCAGGCGGCCAGTCACTGAGACTCTGGGTGAGTTAAGCTAGGTTGTTGTACCTATTGTTCCAAAGGTTGCGCGTCAATCAGCCTCAATATGGTGTCCATTGTAGTCGTGCGTCATTTGTTCATGAACGGTTGTCGTCGTGTCGTCGCCGGCGATGCAGAGACCCGGCGCTATATAATATTTTGCTTCCCTTGTGTGTTCATTCCTTTTCACTCATCTCGAACTTCCTTCACATCCATCTCGAGCTTCCCTCTCTTCCATCTCTGCTCTGTTCTTGTAACTTGCTTCCTTGCCTCTTCCCGTTTGGCAGCTCTGACGTCTTGCTTCCAGCAGCATCTGACCAACTAGCCTTTCTCGGTGCTCAGTCTCTTCTCGGGTCTGCGTGGCTCATCCCCTCCAGTCACCACTCATCCCCTCGTCAACAACTCATCCCCTCGCCAACCACTCGGGTAAGTTGACACATCCATCCATTCATCACCACCCTGGTGTTTCGTAGCAGCACTCTCTAACTATGCCGTTATTCATAGTGTGTTGCTGCCTGTAAGCCTGCATGATGGCTGAGGAAGCCGACTCGATTCGCCTTGAGAGGGAAGAACTGAAGAAGAACGAAACGGTCGACTTCCTAATGTTAAGTTGCATGTTCGCCGGTAGTCCAGTTGGCAAGAGATCTCAGATGACCTCGTGTATTCGTCAATGGTTGTGTTCAATTAAGCGGCTTGACAAACTCCCGCCACGGGTTCCGAAATATCTCTTCGACGTTTTGATCCAGTTCACCAGCGCTTATAAGGCGGAAGAGGTCAGAAATATCCAGATACCAGAAACCTTGACGGATGAGGAGACATGGTTGGTGAGGATTCGGGCCCTCATCGACGACAGCGCCGATGAGAGACTGCTATGTCACTTGGAGGCCTTGCCCGAGCGGATCATCACTTGTGATGACCTGTCGCCACGACAGAAAGGTAAGCACACTGTTCAACTCGATGGTCAGTGAGAGACGTTGACCATATGAAACTCGGCAGAGAAAATTGATGACCACCAAGAACAGGGTCGCCAAAGCGAGCGATTTCGAATACACCGAGTTTGAACTCATAATACCGGACACTGCTCCGTACAAGTTGCTTTTTGGACAAAAGCCACTTCATGGAGATCGTCGTCTTCCTCGCGACTGCCCTCGCCGTGCCCAGGATGATGAAAACAAAGTCCGAGTTCCGGCAATTGAGAACACTTCGGATGAGATGGTGATCCAGGAAAACAACAGCATGAATGAGGGAATGGGTTTGACCTTCCCCACCAATTACTCAGGACCGTCAGAGTGCCATATTGGCATGTTGCCTTGGCCAGTGATTCTCGGGGCAATCGCTACCTGTCGGATGAAGTTCTCGATCGTGCTCTCCCTAGGTGGAGATTGATCCTGAATGGTGAAACAGTACCGAACGCAAAAAAGTACCCTGGGATTGCTGGATCTTTCCGTGCGTGGCTGGCCGCCGAGCGGCAAAAGGCCCATCGTCTCGGCAACTCCCACAGTTGAACCGTCTGCATCAAGTGCACAGACAGTAGGCTCGGAGAAACAACCATCTGCCTCTTTTTCTCGTCGCTCCGGTGGTCGTGCCCGCACGTCTTCTGAGATGGAGGATGCTGCCGAGGTCGAAGAGACACGTCTGCTTCAACGGCTGGAGGCGTTGGAAAAGCGAGTTGAGGCTGTTGAGGAGGAGTGGAAGAGTTGGCTGGGTGCCCCGGAGGGCGATTGAACGTGTCTCGTGAATTTCTATTTGTTAAAAAACAAACAAAAGAATATCCCGGCGACAGGTTCATGTTTGAACAGCAACTTCATAAAGTGACTACGGATCACAGTACCATGCGCAGAATATGACTGGTTCTTTTGATAATTGTACACATCATCTTTATGCGCACATCCGCGCCAGCCATATCAAGCGGACAAACCAAAAGGGCACAAGTGACTTCCTCCTCACCAAGTTTAGCTGTTTCAAGTTTGATAATCGATTCTACGGAGAAGCTCTGGGTCTCTGAGACTCTCTTACAACCAACTGGAATTCATCAGTGACCTACAGTTGCAGGCATTGCCTTCTATCTCAAGCGGATAGCCGTGGCTGAGGCCTCTGTTAAATGTTAATCATATACCACAGTAGTTAAAGGTTGTAGGATAAGCGATAACCGTTTAGTAGTAGTGACTACTCCGTACAGGGTACAGGCTATGGGAATTGCGTCAATACAGCTTTAAAGCAGGTAAATTCTCCTATAGGAAGACCAAACCAAAAACAAAAACATACAACAGTGAGGATTCGCTGGTGGTCACCCACCCAACTACTAACTCACCGGCGTGTGGCTTAAGTACGGCTGAGCGGACGGGAAGCCCTGTTTTCCACACCCTATGGTCGTATGTATGAGGTTCAATGTTAAAAGGACTCAAGTAGATATCATAAATGGTGAGTGAACAATGGATATGGTGACCCCCTATTGAAGGCCCTCGATGATTCATTGGTCAAACTGTTCTTTATGTGCTGAGAATGGACCAACACACAATGCGGCATTGAGATAGGTACCAACAGACATATTGTTTAGTCCAAACAAAACGTGACGTCTGTCTGATGGCCAAGGGCCGTAATGTTGCGGGCCTGAGTTCCGAGGCGACTACCTCATTGTCATGTCAATGTCGAAGAAATTGATCAATGGCAGAGGGTCCTATGGGATTACTGTTACACAATAGTCTTGGCCTGAGATTGATTGGAAGTAATCACATAATTTGGTGAAATTTGCGTTAAACACATTTCAGAAGATGAATGGGATATTCATCTGGATATGAACCCTTGGACTATCAATCGCAAATACAACCCAAAGAAGATGGTAAGAAACACACTATCTACTGGGAGACATATGCCAGGCCAGCCTGGTTAAGGGTGTTGCCGCTGAGCAGGTACCGATCAGCAGCCATGAAGTATGAGTAACGAGTGACACCATCCTGCTGGTTCAACCACGGGATGACATCGTTGAGGAAAGCAGTAGTTGTGGCCAAATCGGAAGAGCCATTGACATCAGCATTGAGAGCAAATTCAGTGATCCAGAGCTCATCCAGATTGTACTTGCTGGCAGTGTCCATGGCCTGGGTGACGAAGGACTTGAACTCATCGGCAGTGTTGCCGTACCAGTGAACGGCCAACCCAGTGATATCGCAGCCGCCGCAGCTGCCGATGAAGGACTCGAACCAGCTCAGACCCATGCCGGTGTTGGTGGAGGAGGTCACGGCAGGCGAGATGAGCTTGGCCTGGCCAGCGAAGGGAGTGATGTGGGTCTTGTAGAAGCTGGCAGCGTCACCGGGACTCATGTTGGCCTGCGAGGGCATGTCGGGCTCATTGAATCCTAGGATGTACTGGCTGCCGCTGGAAAGTGCGGTCTCGATGGTGGTGATCCAGCCGCCAAAGTCCTTTGCACCCCAGAGCATAGGAACGAACTCGACGCCCGAGGGCAGGATGCCGAAAATGGAGCCGGCCCAGTCATAGGCCCATGAGATACCGCCGTTGTTGGCGAGGGGATCAACGGCAGCGACATCATTGTAGGCGGCACCACGCTTGTTGGCTGGGGGTGTAGCAAAACGCTTGACCTCCATGGGGGCTGCCATAGCCGAGGTGGCGACTAGGCCGGCGGTGAAAAGCTTGGTGAAAGAGACCATTGTGGACAATTCTGAAAAGACGTGTTTATCCAGGTCACAGGAACAAGATATGGGTATAAGGAGGGAAAAGAGAAACCCGTTCTCGAAGGTAATGAATGTAGAAGCGCGTAGCTTGAAGGAAAGTGAGGCCCAGACCGTGCACGGCACAGGACTAGAAGACCGAAAGAATATGAAAGAATGAAGTAACTGTGACGAGAAGACGAGGAAGAAGAGGAAGAGGTTGGGGGGAGGAAGTATTTAAAACTCCCAGCATCTATGTGTGTGGGTGTGTGTGCCACAGCTACCTAATAGGCAACCCACCTGGCTGGAAAAAGATCCCATTGCTTCACATTCGGTGGAGTACAATGGAAATGACCATTGGATATTCAGGCACCGAGTGAGGCAGTTCTACAATCATAACCATGTCTCTGGTCTGGACAATAATCGCTGCAAGATATCATTGGCACGATGTGTCCAGGGGAAAGTGCTGGATCGGCATGAGCTCCATACTTGGAGGGTTGACAGTGACTAGAAACATGGTGATTGGCTCAAACCGAGCGCCTTTCTTACATTTACGATGGAATTGTTACCCGTTCAGGCGCTAATCGTCGCTAAGTTCTTCAGTACCTTCTGTCAAGGTTTTCATCTAGTCTAACCCCCACAGCCAAGCGCTGTAGACCACTCCACAATAGCCTGGACCGTGATGAGGGTCTGTTACTCCGTACTGCGTACATTGCAACTAGTATGTAGAAATGACTTGCAGCGACTTACGGAGGAAAACACGCGACACGTAAGTTCGGGAGTCTATCTTCAGTAATTGTCTGTAAGGTCGGGCATATCACAATAATTGGTTTACCCCTGGCAGAACATGAAGGTTGCAATAGGGAAAAATGTCACAAGCCTGTGACATGAACTGGCTCCATAAATTGAAGTGCAATACCGTACCATGGATCGAACTGGATAACCCTGGTCAGCCACGCAGTGCACCGCGCGATTCCCTGGCTCCCGGCCAGGGGAGCGGATCTGATAGGTGCACCATAGATACGTCATTGCTGGGCCCAACAGGCGGCCTATCAGATTACAGTTCCATTGAAATTATCCGTAGGAACACCAAGGAAAAACACAAACATTACACTATATTAATTAAACGAGGGAAATCTACTCCGCTGAGACCCTCATCGCGCTGCCTATTTGCATTCAGAAATGTTACATTCATCGCGACAATAGCGGGCATTAACCTATATTACAGTGTAATTCAACCTGCTCAAGATATGATACACCGACCCAGAAAAGAGCGCCACCGCAGTGGGATAGATCGAATCAGCCACTCAGATTCGACTTGGCCCAAAGTACCGATCGACACGACGTTTCACCAAAGACCCAGACAGTCTTTCCCGTTCACCGATCCTATCATCGCATTTCTCCTTGCGTCTGGATCGTCCGAGAGGGGCATTGTTCTAGGGCTAGAAGGAAGAGGGGCGGGTTCGAAACCAACCCCTCTTCAGGAATCAGGCCCCTGCCGATCGCTAGCCGAACGGCCAAGACAAGCCAAGCCGCACAAGCCTTGCCGGACTACACGCCGGTGTTTCTGCCGGCACATCGCCGTTGCACTAGTTATCCAATGCATGGTGAGAGCCCCATTCTCGCAATTGCAAGGTTTTTCTCCAGCCAAGGAGGCGTCCCGATCGCATTCGCCCCTGTCGGGTCCGGATGTCGTCCCGGTAAATTTGTCCTACCTCCTACATATGACGTGGTCGTAATCCTTTGAACGATGACTGGAAATCGAGGCTCTTATTCCCGACCATCCCATAGGTCGTCAAAGTTGCTACCCGATCACAACGTGTACCCTGCAGAATGCGAATGGCATATGGTTTACGCGCCAAGCAGACCCTAGATCTCGTACATGTGGATTGTGATACTACCCTCGGACTTTCAATTGTATTCAATGTCGTACTAACTCAGGAGCTGCCGTAGTTGCCACTTTCGAAAATTGCAAGGCGATGAGATCACAGTTCAGTCGATTGGATCCTGCCTCTGCAGATCAAGCTCCCGGATATAGTTCCGAGGCGAACATTGATGCGTGCATGTCTGCACCTCTATTTCGAGGACTGAGACCAGGGTCTCGATCATGTGAAAGGATTCCTCATCCCCCGGTTTCTTTGTACTGTGTAATCCTGCAAAATAGTCGCGCCTACATCGATGTACATCGATCTACATCGTAAGTTCGTAACTTTACTTCATTGCTCAATTCTATTATTCTAACATTCCTCGGGTCACTTCCCGGAGTATCAATAGGACCGTCCAATGTCAACTATCGGATTTAATAGAAGAAATACGTCAACATCTGGGTTGTCCTGGCCGCATGCCAAGTAACGTGGCACATCCCAGGATTCGCGCGTACCGGGACCAGGAAAGGAAAGCAAAGAAAGCCAAGCCGTTCCGCCTTCCCAATACGTAACGCACTAAACTGGGTCGAGTCAGGCCGCATCTCATCAATCACTAATTGAAACCCTCCAACATCACCATATCGAATGATATACCAGTATTGAGTATTCTAGCTAGGATAAGAGCATCTGGCATGGCCGGGGCTCATAACTCGAAGGTCCCTGAATTCATTGCGTTTATTGTGCAGAAGAAAAGCAGATAAATTATCACGTGACATATTTCCACTCCTTGGAAGCTCCACCAAGGCAGGCAAGTGAGTCACAATGTTAATTATCCACAACCCTTACAACATCCCAGCATGTTAGCTCAGGGGAAGAGCGCCGGGCTCATAACCCGGAGGTCCCTGGATCGAAACCAGGACATGCTATTTCAATTATCTTTTTTGCTTTTCCTGTTTTATTTACTGTCTATTAACTTCATCTTGCTTCTCTACTGTCAACTTATGCAAGCCATTTTCAGCGTCAGAAGGTGGCAGTTTCGGCCGTCCGAGCACTAATGGTTTCTGTTTAGAAGTATAATTTCTAATTCTATTCACCGTTCAGCTCATAAAATAACATCGTAAGCACGCTCTCTAGCAAAACTGCTTTAGCTATTCCCTCCCATCCATCTACACTCTTCAAATACTGCCCAGTCCCACCGAAACAGGTAAGCGGTGAGCACTGATGATGTAAATCATCCTCCCGTCTCCGCATCATCAGCAACCAGGCTAGCTCCAATACCCGAACCTCCAAATCCAACGTCTTCCACCAACCATCGAATACCAGCCAAAATCCAACAATGCTTTCCCGCGCAGCTCCCCGAGCTCTGCTCAACTCCGTGCGTCCAGTCCGCACACCATCCTCAACTTCAACGCTCCTCCGCACCATCCGCCCAAGCTCCGCACCACACTTCGCCCGCTCATTCCAGTCTTCCCCGACAATCCGCAAGGGCATCCACCCGGAATCGTCAAACCCTCCAGCTCCAAACCCACAGTCGGCGCCCGTTGCCGGCGCCTCTGCCCACGTCACTGAGCCGTCGCCGTTGACGCCGGAGCAGTACTACGAATACTCGGAGCATTATTTCAATGTGCTGCAGAGCGAGCTGGAGAAGGCGCAGGAGGAGGGGTCTGATATTGAGGCCGAGTATAGTGTAAGTCTGACATTTCGAACATTTATCTATCTTCCCAGCTCTGCTCTGGGCAGTTCGCTGCTTGCGTTTCTCCGCTCTTGCAGTGAAAAACCTAAAAAGCAATGCTATATGCTGTTTCTGTATTGATGCTAATCATTTGCTGTGCAGGCCGGTGTCTTGAATATCTCCGTCCCTGCACTTGGCACCTTTGTGCTCAACAAGCAGCCTCCCAACAAGCAGATCTGGCTTAGCTCGCCTATCTCTGGGCCGAAGCGGTACGACTGGATTGTTGAGGGTGATTATATGCACGAGAAGCAGGAATCCCGGCCTTTCGTTAGTGGGCAGTGGATTTACTTGCGTGATGGGTCGAACTTGACTGATTTGTTGAATGCTGAGTTGAGCTTGCGTCTGCCGAAGGATATTTACAACGAGGTTGTTGAGTGAATTAGATCAGATTAGATCACCTTGCTTGGCTATCTTTACATAGGAGCAAGAGGAGAGGTTCTTGAGGTTCAGGTCCTATTACGGACGTCACACGTGTCATATATTGTAGTTTAGGGGTTTGGTACTATGATCTGGTTGCATTGAGAGCTGTTGTGTGCTGGTCTTTGGAGAAGTGTAGTATCTTAAGATGAACATGTAGCTGGGAATACGAGCGAGCGTCTTGAGCAGCAATCAATGCTGCATTCCATCGCAATTAGACGAGCATGTCAGAGTTATGTCCTGCCTCTTGGTCCAGCCTTGACATGTACACAGCCAAAAGACAATAACAACGGGCGACGACAATGGAACGGTGTCTCGCCGAGCCAAATAATGCCCCGAGGTAACATCCTACTCGAGGTACAGCCGATGGACCATGCGTCGACGTTCAACACGTCCAGCGAAAAAGACCCGGGTGCCAACACAAGTATGAGAGCGATTCCACCAGTCCGATACCTGTTGGATGTAGCGAGACACTCGGCGAGATGTGATAGACCCCTCCAAAAGTGTGGCACATAGTCGCGCGGTATGCAGTTTGAACTGAAGATGGATCAAAGCTGCGCCAACACCGCAGAAGCCATTCCATATAAAGCCACAGCGGCGTGATACCATCAACGGTATCCAACCTAGAAGTATCCCCGCGATGGTGGCGACTGCGACTCAATGTCCGAAATCGCGAACACAGTCGATCTCTAGGCAGCCGTTTTGAACAAATTTCGAAATATCCTTGAACCAGCGCTCAAGCCTGAACAGCCACTTCACTCGTGCTCGGCGCATCAGCTTTGGGGAGATCGGCCTGTATACCCCGCAAGACGTAGATTAGCATCTGGACACAGGATAGGATAACACCGAGCGTTTTGTCCCGAGAAATGGAAAAACATACCGCATCGAAAATAACCCGAATCATAAGACTGCAGCTCGGACAGACGGCGATTTCTTCGCCGTCGCGCAGATCGTCGATTGCGATCTCGAAGCGGTCGCCGCATGGGCAAGGGTATGTGTAGATCTGGATGTTTGGATCGAAGGTCATGTCTTCGATTTCGATCTCATCGTAGATGTTGAGTGCTTCGTCGGCCATTTTGGATTTTGTTTTGGTATCTGTATTGGAATGGAGATGTGGCGAAGTTGTTTGGAGTAGAGAAAAGTTTAGTTGGTCATGTGATGCGTGGAGTTAAGTCAGGGGGTTCGGATTTAAGATTGAGTCTACAATTACAAAGTAACAAAGTAGGACGAATTTGATCGTTGACGAGTTTACATACACTGAACTCATGTCTAGGTACAAATGCAAGAGCCGACTATATTCTCATCAACCTTCTATACTTCGTCATCTGGAAAATATACGCCGTAGGCAACTTCACACTCACTGCCCACCAATCATCGAACTCGTATCAAACCCATGCACAACCGCCCACAACGAAGCACTCAACGTACAGCAGATAACATCCCAGCTAACACTACTACAAGCCGGATGAGCATAAACAGCATCCAGTAGTCGTCGACCAACCTCGCCGTACTCGACATCCATCCCAACATCCTTCAACATCAAAGCCGTAAAGTAAGCCTGTAGAGCAACAAAAGCCGCCCAAACCCACTGCAAAAAGACAACATAACGACGCGTAGTCCGTTCCCCCTGAGCCACAGCCGTATCCTTCGACCCAGCCCCAGCCCCGGGCCCAAGCAAACAAGGAACAAACACTAAAACATGCGGAAGGAGCAAAAGCGGCATAAACTCCTTCCTACGCGCATAAACCGGCACAGCAAGGGTATCAAGCAGCGACAAAACGACAGGCAAGACCTCAACCAGCAACGGCGGCGCCCACGCAAAGAACACATCCTTCCTATCCGGCCGTGGGGAAACGAGAATAGTCACGAAGAACAGATTTGCCGCGAATGAGACGGCGACGAATTGCGCAAGAAGCATATACACCCAAACACGGGGGATGCGGTATCGTCGACCTGTGATGGCCAGGAATACGCTCCACCCGATCGTCCAGCCGAAGATTTGTCCGCTCCACCAGAAGCGCGTTGGTGTTTCTGAGACTGTTTCCCAGGCTTCTTGGAAGAGGTAGGACTTTTTTAGCCACAGGCCGGCGCGCACGAGGAAATTCATGTCTATGGTTGAGTAGGCGATGCCTTCGGGACTGGTGGCCCAGGTGGTGTATGAGTGGACGAAGACCATGAACATGTAGTACCAAGTTGTGGCGATGCTTAGGGTTGCCAGGCAGGTGAAGAGGAAGAATTGGTTGCGTCGATGGGGTGTTGCCCAGTCATTGTTCTTTTGGCGGGCTTGGTACCGGGTATAGATTGTGTTGCAGCAGATGGCAGTGAGGATTGCTGCGGTTGAGAGGTAACTTGCTAGGACGGCGAGCGATTTGTAATGGATTGGGGGGTTGACCTCTGCCATCTTGACATCTCTTGGGAGCAGACTGTGGGTAGTTGAGCTTTAGGGCCGTGAGGAAGAAGAGGTGAGGTTCGGGTGTTTCTGGGCTCCGATGGTCGCCAAGCGCGGAGGGACTAGGGCCAAGGTTCCCGGTCTGGGAGCTTACAGCTTATCTGTGCAGATCGAAGTTGTGATTGAAGCTGTATAATCTGTTTGATATCTTGCTATGTATGCTCTGTTGGCGTACGTCATTCCTCTAGTGCTATTGCTCTTTTCACTGTTTCCAGCTCTCGAGCCAAATACCCATATTGACGAGCAATTTCGGCGAAAGACCCTTCGTCAACATCGAAATCGGCGATCGGACCTGCATCTACATCGCCATAGGCTCTCAATTCCTCGAGCGCCACCTTCCGCTGGTCCTCCAAGCGTTCTTTCGTCTGCCGAAGGTGTTGCCTGTACCGAGTGAGCGCAGCAATTGTCTCAGGCGTATAAAGCGTAGCCGCAACCTCCAACTTCGTAACTCTGTAGTGAAATTGTTAGAGGCTCGAACACTCGAAGAAAAACAAAACAAAACAAAACAAAAGCACGAAGCGAGAAAAAGGACAAAACATACTCCAACTTCCCCTCCAAATTCTGCGCAACAAGAGCCAAATGCTCCGCCTTAGCCTTCGTCGCCCTCGCCAAAGCCCCATGCTTCGCCCGCTCCAGAGTCACAACCGTGCGCTCCAGTACCCGCGCCCGCATGTCAACCACCTCCGCCGCGGTAGCAGCCATCTTCCGCCTCGCGACCGGCAGGTCAGACAGCTGCATCTGGCGCAGCGCGCGCATGCGAGCCTGCAACTGCGACGAGAGCAGCGGGACAGGCGCCATGGAGGTCCGGACTCGACGGTCGCGGGCTCGGGCGCGCGCATGATGGTTCGAGCGTGCAGCGGGCGCGTCTGCGTCGGGTATTATGGCTGTATCTGTGTCCGCATTTGCGAGAGCGCGTAGGTCCTGGATCGCGGATGAGAGGGTGTTTGAAAAGGCTGAGATGAAGGCTGGGAGGTTGGAGTAGAATGCTTCGATGTCTGGTGCTAGCAGGGAAAGTGCATCGTCTGCTTTCTTGGCTTCGGTGTCTGGGTTCGGGGTGTCGAGTTCGATAGCGTTGGTTGGGGTTTCCAGGTAGAGGGTTATTATGGTGAGGTTGTCATGGTACTATGGGTAGTAGGCTGGTTAAATATGTGGTTTCTCCTCTTGGACAGGGGAAGGGTCGTTCCCCCTGGGGTTGGACTGACCTCCGCGGGCAGGCTGCTGTCTGGAGCGAAAGCTAATTGCCGGAGCATTCGCTCCTTGATCCGCTTCTTGGAACTTTGAATCTGACATTGCTTCAACTCCTGTCAATCGTTGTTAGAGCTTTATTCGTGCAGTCTTTGTCGCGCCAACTCACTTCTCCCACAGCTGTGCGAGCGGAGCTCTTGCTTTGAGCGCGGGTCGAGGCATCTGGATTGAGTATGGATGTGGTAAGGGTCTCATAAAGTCGTTGAAATTGAGGATTGTGGTCGAGAATGGAAGGGTCACAGGGAGGAATCATGTTGATGTTACAGGAAAAGCTGGGGAAGTTCACCGCCGAAGAAGCCTCTCCGCGCTACGGCCAATAGCCAAGAGGCAGACTACGATAAATTGGGAGATATTGGAAGAGTAACCAATTACAACAAGAGGTTTTAATCCTACAAATACATCTTCATTTGCACATCCACGTTTCTTTCGTAATCATACATGTGAAAGCTAGAGACCCAGCTTCAATTCACCGTCTCCCGCAACGGAGAAAAAGAGCAAACTCATCCACCCATCCATCCCATTGCATATCGAAACGGGAAAAAAAGTACACTCAGGGATAGGGGAAAGGAACATTCAAACTGGAAACCTGATTGGCCAATCTTGAGCATGAGGTCCATGGGAACCTTGGCAAATGCAGGGGTATTGGAAATAAAATATGTACAGACAAGGCCAACAGGGATTGCATAATGAGCCATCTGCTGGGGTCCGTCAAAACCGAAGAAAATATTTGGCGAGACATGAAAGAAAAAAAAAAGCACTGGGGAAATCGGACGCTTAGAACGCAAAGGCAGGGTGAAAGACCATTCGTATGAGGAAATGGCGAAAGTGACGAGGAAGAGTATCTACTCTTCTTCGCTCTCTTCCTCGGACGAGTCAGAATCATCATCACTGCTTTCGTTGTGTTCGACCGAGGCCACTGGATCGGGAGAATAGGCGCCACCCTGGAAACGAGAAAGGTTGCTCTGAAGCATGTTGATTTGGGCTTCTTGTTCAAACTTGCTCATCGGCTTATTCTTCTTGGGCTTTGGGGGTGCGACGCTGCTGGCAGGAATATCGTCGTCGTCATCGTCATCCATCATATTGGGGACGTGCTTCTTCACGAAGTTGAGCAGCTTGTGCAAGACATCATTGGGGAGCTCATCGATGTCAAGCTCAATTTCAGCTTCATCAGTTCCCTGCAATTATAGGTTAGACCATGATTCATATATAAGTGAACAGAAAAGAACCGACCTTGAGTTGAGGAACGTTGTTCTGGATGATTTGGAGGGCTTGCTGCATTTTCTTGTCGGGAAGACTACTGATCCCGTTCGAGATGATCTGCTTCTCATTGTAGGTGATGGCACGAACTTTGCCAGGCTGAGAGCTCTTGCTCTTCTTGTCCTTTTTACCACCGAGCTTTTTGGATTCCTTTTTGGCAAGCTTGGTCTTGCCAACTTTCTTGGAAGAAGGCGGGGTCTTCTTCTTCTTGTTGGTGATAGCCTCAACCTGGCGAGACATTTCAGCGATCTGCTTCTGGAGCAAAGTGAGTTTCTCATCATCCTCTTCGCTCTCCTCGGCATCCTCGTCACTATCTTCATCAGAAGAATCGGTGTTCTGTTCGGGATGCGGTTCATGCGCTTCGAGGTAGTCCGATTTCTGAGCCCACTTGGCGTTGAAGATTTCCTCGGCACGTTGGCCACAGATGTAGGTAGGGTCACCAGGAATGTTGAATCGGAAGCAGTTTTTGAAAATTTGGCGAACGTCACCCTCAAACTCCTTGGCGTTCTCATACTGGCCAGTCTTGAGTTTGGACTGAACAGTCGACAGATCCATCGGCTTCTTGATGACGCTGTGATAAGTAGGAATGTTCAGGGCAACGGGGTCCACCGGGTAGTAGAAAGGCATAACCCAGTTGTAATGCTTCTGCTTGTGCATCTCGTCCAAGACCTCCTGGCAGAAGCGTAACTCCCACTGGAACTTCTTTTTCTTGGGCTTGGTCGAGTATGGGAGGTCGCGTTTCGGTGGGTGGATGGAGCGTTTCGGACGACCATCTGGGTTAAATGAATCGCGACGGATGACAGGCAGTCCTTCAGGTCCAAGCGCAAATGTCTGAGACTGAGGGGAAGAAGCCTTAGGCTGGCTGGGAAGGGAAGTCCGTGGCTCCCGGCGAGCAGCGGACGTCTTCTCGGTCTGCTTCTTTGGCTTCTTCTCTTCCACTTGGTCGGCCCTAGGAAGATGTGTCATTTGCTTGTCAAAGACGCCCTTCAGTCTGATTCCCTCTTGGGTCACCAGGTGGTCTGCGCCGTTGAAGATGGTAGTGTTATTGACCATCAGCGCAAAATCATCCGCAACTGCTCCAGGAGAAGTGTACTCGTTGTTCTTAAGCTTCTTTTCCATGGTGCCGAGGTCCATGGGTTGGGTGATAATGGTGTGATACTGAGGAATATTCAACTTGACAGCATCCACAGGTTCCCTATAGAAACGCGCGTCATGCATGCGTTTGAGGCTTGTGAGAGACTTCGAGATAAACTTGTGTTGGAGTTTGGTCAGCCCTGGTGCGTCACCAGTACGAGTTGGTCCAGGTGTTCCGGTCGCTGAAGCTGTGAAACCCTGAGACTTGACGTCGACAGCCGAGTCCTCGCCCTCGACCTTGGCCCGCTTAGCAGATGGTTCTTCGATGCCGATGCTAGAATCACGTTGTCGGGACATCTTGGACGGAGATGGCGGCGGCTCTGATGCATCCGTCATCTGTTGATCGACTGGTTGGGGCGCGGGAAGAGAGATGGGAGCGGAATCCGGGTTAGGATGATGTGGCAGCTCTGTCTTCGGGGCAGCCGAGACATCTTGGGGGGTATCAATAGCCATTGCATCGGATGTGGCAATGGGGCCACTGGTAGATTCGGAAGGTGTTGGATCATGAACCGGAGCCTGGACAGACGGCGCGACATCTCCAGCGGCAGCGTCGGCCGCGACTGGGGTAGCAGAGTCTTGACCCTGTGGAGCGCCGACATTTTTCTCGGTCGGCGGGGCCTCAGCAGGGGGAGCCGAGCCTGAAGCAGAAGGTGTGTCATTTTGGGCCATTTCCGATGGCACCCGATGATCGATAGGCGCAGGGACGGGAGACTTGGGTGGGGAAGTCGCAGTGCTTGTACCGTTGGTGGGGGCGTGACCATTCAGCGCCGGGGGATTCATCTCGGTGTCTGCCGGGCCATCGCTTTGAACAGGGGGGCGACACTTTGAATACTGCGTCAACAGTCAGTTCAGGAGGCACGGTTAATTGCTGGAAAGGAGGTGCTTACCTGGTGGCTGTGAGGTCAGGCGCGGAAAGACCAGTGGGCGTTGGAGGCAACTGGGGCTTGTCCTCCTTCGTGACAGGATGAACCTCAGGAGGCGGCGTCGCCATTGGGTTCGCGTTGGAAAGAATGAGGAGGCAGGATGTAATGAGGGAAGCAAGTGTCGATGAGGTGAGAGCTTTTGAAGATGTTTTGAGAGCTAGTGATCACCTGAGACACCCTCAGATTCGTAAACAAGGACTGTCAACGACCCAAGGCGCGTCGATATGAACTCGTTATTGATGAAAGGTTGTCACGAAATTGAAAAAAAAAGCGCGACAGGGGAAGGGCGGAAAATGAGGTCAGAGATGATCGGGAGATAGGAAGAGTGGAGAATGCGATTGGCGATGGTTGTTTTTATACTGCCAAGAAGGCGGTATGTGCGCAATCACGTGATAGCGAAGTAGATTGAGAAGGCGGGTCTAGATGACTTGAGATCGGTAGGTATGGGGTGAGCTAAGAGTACCCAGAATAGATTGAGTGCCTGAGGCGGGACAAATAGAACGGGAAAGAATTATGAAGAGGGGGGAAATAAATAATAATGAAAAAAGTGATGTGAGCGGATAAAAAGGTGACCGCGACGCGAGACGCGTTTGTTATGGGGGAAGATGTTAGGAGAGGGGGGTTGTATGAGGGCGGTCAGGAGAATAAAAATAGGAGAAACCAGGACGGAAGCAGAAAAATGCTCGGGGGGGATGCCAGAAACCTTTAAGTACAAACGACCGTCTTGCACTCTCCTGGGGCCAGTTCCACCAGCCACACTAGTCCGCATTCTGTCTACCGTTACCCCTTGTTAATTGGTTATCCCTGATGGACATTTTTTATTTTTGCTTTTTTTTCTTCTTTTGTATTCTTTCCTTGTCAAGCTTCGAACATCCTTTTGATTCAAGTTTGCTTTCAATTAGGTTACGTGTCGTATATTAAAGAGACTTCACAAGCCATTTCTTTTTGACTAGTTTTGTCTGCTCCTTTCATACACAGTACATGACGCATGGCCTTCTAGCGTGTTCTGCCCTGGAAGGCCGCGGCTATCTCTGATGACTCAGAGCCCTAGGGTTCCGACCGGATCCGGTTAGATCGTGAACCATTGTGTCACGTCACCACTCGAACTTGCACGTGACTGTCGTGATAGTACAACAATCACATGTCCAGCGCAAGGAACACGCTGGGATATTACAGGTAGACGCTTGATATTTCGAGGGGATAGGCTAAAAAGGATGTACGAAATCATGCCAAGATTCATACCAATTTCCGTCTGTATCGCCAATATCTACATACACCTCGACCCTTACCGATTAGGCAGATGTACGTATGTCACATGACGCGGGTAAGTGCTTTTGGCCTCGAGTGTCCGCCCAATGATGTTTCGAGTGCAGGGAACTATACTTTTAGTGCCTGACGCTTTAGATGGCTCTGTGTACGGATACACGGTACTGTCGTCCACTGTACATCGATCGTCGATGGTGCCTACGGATTATTTAGGTATCTCGAGCACAATGTAAGCCTAACCCAAGCAATGAACCTACCCAAGCGATAAGCATCAGAATTACGTAGGCATAACTAGGTTGTACCTCCAATGTTGTTCTATATTGATAGGTAGCAAGAAGCATCCACGGTCAATATATGTCACTGGCAGTACTTATCTTCGGGCTGTGATATATTTTGGCACAAGATCGCTGTGGTACGTCTTGACAGCTCACAACTATCAACGTGCGGAAATGGAATACACAACTAGAACTGCAGGCTTACAGTAAGAGTACCAAGTGAATGCCATTGAATCAGAGAAACCGACAAAATTGAACAGAAAGGTTCGAAGACTCACCTCACCTATCATTCTATCGTCCAACTGAAGCCGGGCGGGACGGGACGATATGATTAGATAAGGACAGTTGACAAGCTAAGCCCTTTTAGGACTAGACCGTCAAGGCTCTACAGAACTTTTTTTTCCTGTCCGATCAACTGCGAGACCACCAGCCCATTGCCCCCATTTGTTTTCTTAGGGGTGGAGATTAAAAGAGCCATATCGGAATCCTTACTGTCTCTAATTAGGCTCACTCTACTGATACTCACCTCTACACCAACACAACCCTCGACTGCGAGAAAAACCAGGCCAGGAAAAAAGTTATAGTCAAGATGGGAAAGAAGACGACTCGCCCATCCACCAAGGTCACTTCGGCCGCTGCCTCGCCGGCATCTGGGCTGACTTATGCCGGCACCAAGTCGTCCATTTTGCGCTCTGCATTCTCCCCGTCGGAGTACCAATTGGCCCTGTTTGCGTCCGTCATCCAAGGCCTCGATGGCCAGCACATTCGAATTCACGATACACAGACAGGACGCCTACAATGTGAGCACACCCTGGGACCGAAGGAAACAGTGACCTCTTTGGACTGGGGATACTACGGTGGCTCGGGTAAGGGTCGTGACCCGTCGAAAAAGAAGCGCAAGCGTGGTTCCGATGTCAACGGCGCTGTTGATGGCTTGGACCAGGGTGATATAGTGGTCGCGTTCGGCACAAACACATCGGATATCCGCATGTACTCGCCATCCGAAGATAAGGTGGTCGGCACCTTGACCGGCGCACACGAGAAGGGTATCAAGGACTTCAAGTTCACGGTCGATCGGCCCGCCCAGGAGGCCTGGAGCATTGGCGGTGACAACAAGCTCGTCCAGTGGGACTTGCGCACTGGACAAAGCATTAAGTACGTTTGGATATTCCCCTGGTATATCGCAAGCACTCGGACTAACGATGTGTTCCCAGGACAATCCACCTTCCCGCATCCTCAGTGTTCACTGCTCTCTCCCGCCCCGTTCCCTCGAACCCTCCTCTGATCTGCGCATCCCAGACCCCGTACTTAATAGATACCGAGAAGGCTGATGAGCCTATTCAATTCCCTGCCATGCGCAACCCGATTCACACCGTCATTTCGTCCTCTTCCGAGTCCGCTGGCGTCGGTGCATTCCTTGCCTCCGATGGTGACCGCTTTGTCAACGTTTTCGATGCCACCACCCAGAAGCTTGTTCGCAACCTTGTCGCCGATCAGGAAGTTTCCGCAATTGCACTGCAGACCGATGGTGCCATTCCCGAGAAGCAAGTTCTTGCTGCGATCACTGCAGATGGCAGTATCGAACTCTTCACAAAGCCGTTCGTTCAGCCGCAGAGTGCGCCCTCTGCTAGTGCGAAGGCCAGTCGGAAACAGATGACCCAAAAAGCAAACGCAACCCTCAGAATCACCAGCACCAAGTCCGCAAACACCTGCGTTCCTGTTGCCGACATCTCATTCCAGGGCCCCAACCTCGTGGTTGCATACACCGAGGGTGGCGTGATTCCCGTCTTCGAAAAAGTCAAGTTCCTCGATGAGGACACCGACGAGCTCTCCTTCGCTGGAATCAAGACCGTGACAAAGACCAAGTCGGGCTCAGCACTCTCTTCCGTCACGACAAATGGAGTCCGAAACGCAGGCGAGACCCGCGTTGACGAGTCCGGTATGAACGTCGAGCAGGGTAACTTGGTCGATGATGATGTGGAGATGGAGGATACACGACCAGATGCGGAATCCGATTCTGGCAGCGAGGAGGACTCCGATGACGAAGACAAGAAGTCCAAGGTTTCTACCGAGAAGAAGACCAAGCCCATCAAGCAGGTCGCAGTGAATGATGATATTGAGATGCAGAACGCTTCCGACTCCGAGGCGGAAGATAACGAGGAGGAAGAGGGCGCAGAGCCATCATTCGGAGAACTCATGCGCGCAAACGCGGGCCAGGAAGTCGATGTTGAGGCCGAGCTTGATGACGACGTTCTTCTGGGCTCATTGGTCCCCGGCAAGCCCCAGGCTGCAGTGCAACAGATTCCCACCGGCGTCTCGCTTGCAACTGTTCTATCCCAGTCGCTCAAGACTAACGACAACGGTATGCTCGAGTCCTGTTTCCACACTGGTGACACCTCCATCATCCGCACTACGATTCAGCGTCTCGACTCCTCACTGGCCGCAACTCTGCTCCAAAAACTCGCTGAGCGCCTAGCCTCTCGGCCTGGCCGCTACGGCCACCTGCTCGTCTGGGTGCAGTGGACCTGTGTCGCCCACGGCGGCGCCTTGGCTGGACACCCCGATCTTCTCAAGCGCATGGCTTCTCTCTACAAGGTCATGGATCAGCGGTCTTCCAGCCTGCCATCTCTCCTGCTTCTCAAGGGCAAGCTCGATATGCTCGATGCGCAATTGGGACTGCGCCAGTCGCTCCGCGGCGGTGACGAGGGTATGGATAGCGAGGACGAGGACAATGTGATCTACGTCGAAGGCCAGGATGATCTCGAAGACAGTGAGACCGAGGCCAAGACGCCGCGGAAGTCAATACGCGACCAGGCGTATGACGAGGACGAGTCAATGATGAATGGCGTCGACGAGTCCGAAGACGACGAGGATGATGGAAGCGACGATGAGGATGACGACGAAGAGCCTATCTTGGATATCGAGGCTGCTGAGTCCGTCGGTTCTTCTGACGCCGAAGAATCGCTCGAAGAGAACGAGGATGAGGATGAAGATGAGGATAGCGATGGCTCGATGGTTGACTTCATCGCTGATACGGAAGACGACGAGTCCGACGATGGCGCCCAGGCGCCCCCGCCAAAGAAGAGCAAGGCTTCCAGCAAGAAGAGCAAGGGCGGCAAGAAATAAGCGCTCTCTTTGAAGTTGTACGAATTAGAGGAAGAAGGGTAACGGTCTATAAAAGAACATATGTCTATTTTTTTATTTCGATGCATCTGACCGGGAGGTCTGCACTTCATTTTCTTTCTTGTGTTTAACATTTGCTTTCGATATCTTGTGCCCTCTACTGAGCGCCTCTGCGTGTCTCTCAATGTCAATTGGATTATATCTTGGTTCCCTTGTCCTTCCTCTCAGCGTCTGTTACTATATCAGATCGTAACGATCCCATCCTTCCTCTCTACACCAACAACTCCTCCCCCGAACATGGACCCCCATGCAACACCTGATGATCAGGCACCCCTTTCCCCCCGAGGGGTATCAGCAAGGCTGTCGTCGACTCCTGCGAGGGGTACGTAGTGAAGTGACCCAAGGCACTGACATCAGCCGTATCAAGAGCCAGAATGGCACCGTTCTTGCCACCTTCTATCCAAGCCTCGGTCGTCGAGTTGGGCAGGGTGATATGCGCCAGGCCAGAGAGGTAGACCACCCATCTGATGTAGAAAGAGAATTTAGTCGATCAGAATCACGGAAGACATGAGGTACATCGGATACAACATATACAGCCTCACCAAGGGTTCATAAGCCTCCCCTTTACACGGTATTCGATATATCAAGCACATAACTACAACATGCAAAGAACATAACATAGACCAACACCAGTTACCCGCCCAAAGGAATTCAATTAAGATAATCAAGAAAACTCACTGCAAAGCCGGTGCATTATGCAACCCCCCATCAAAACCAGCTGGTAAAACCGTATACGACGCGTTCCGACCAACACCACCTAGATCCAGCGCCGCAGCCCCCGCGGTGCCGGGTGTATTGGAGGTTTCAAAACCCGACGACAGAGCCCAGCATTCTAACGTGGAGCGATTGTCGCGTGCGCCGAGGACGGTCACGTTGAGGGTGGAGCCGAGGGAGAGACCTGGGGGTTGGCTGTTGAGGAGCGTGGAGGGGAGAGGTTGGAGATGCATGGGTAGGTTCAAGGGAATGTGGTCTGATATACGCAGTAGTTGGTATTACAGGGGGAAGTGGGAAGGAGGATGGGATGTAAGATGGATAGGGTGGTATTTATAATTTGCTTCGCTTCGCTCAGCAAAATGAGGTTTATGCTGACAGCGGAGGGCGGGATCGATAAGCACTAGTAGCAGCTTATTGTATGGCTAATGCATGTATGGATGTACGGAGTACTACCTAGATTGGTTGGGGTTATGTAGACTGTGACAGGGCTGGAATGTGGGAATAGGCTGAATAGCATCGATATCCTCAGAATAGCCCGAAGGAATAGTAATGGACTGTGCAGATATCACAAAACGGCAAAAATTAAATACACTCCGGCCTCGTGGCGTAATGGTAACGCGTTCCTCTCCTATAATTGGGTAAACACTGTCCCAAGGAAAGACTGCGAGTTCGAGTCTCGCCGTGGTCATATTTCTTCTTTTTTTTTTCTGCGTGTTTCTTGGAGACTAGCTAGAGGACATGTTCCAAAGAGTTTGTCTGGTGTATAAAACAAAAGCACATCAATTGATTCGTTAAAGAAAGATAGAGAACCTGTCCGAGTTCTCCCTTTGCAGCACTGGAACCCTAAGAATATACACGCTGCTAATGATAGTGATCCCCAGACCAGGAAAGAGAGAAAATTTACCAAACAGCCAAAGGCTAACGAATGACTTCTCCACTAGACTTCTCGATACCCTCCAGGCCCTCCAGGATGTCACTTCCGCCAAAAAGTCCACAGCCAGGGCTCATGCTGGTCTTTCTCCCACCCCAGACTTCGTGGAACTTGATACTTTGATCGCTAGACGCAACGATAATGCATCCCTCCTCCTTTGTCCGGGCGCACCACATCCCACCTTCTTTCTCCTTGGGCGTAACGGTACGAGGTCCAGACTTGCGCCTCCCTGTTGAGCCTCTTTGTTCGGAAGACTGAGCATAACCTGGTGAGCCAATGCGCGAAGACGATTGACTGCCAAAAGGTACACCGAAGGACTTGGGAAGCTTTCCTGGATACCTGACTGCCCACAGTGCTCTACCACAGTCAAAGCCAGGTTGAATTCCGGACCCATCCCAGCTGCTTCCATAGGGACCCCAGGGGATAGCCGCGACCTGTGCGCAGCTGGGCCAGGCAAAGACGGCAATTCGGAATGGGTGCTCTGGCTGTGCATAGCCAAATGTAGCCACAATTTCGCGTTGAGTCTCACTCCAGATCAGACTGGTCACCTGGGCAAATACATTGATGGTCGCGAGGCAGGCTCCGCTGCGAGTGTGGTAAAAGTGTATGGCTCGGTCATTGGTACCTCCTCCGGTTGCGAGCAGTGATGGTTGCCAAGGTGCAAACGCAATTGCTTTGACTGCAGCCGAGTGCACCAAACGATGCTTGTGACTGTCGAATGGAACTAGAATCGTTCGTCCGTCACCGGCAATGAGAGTGCCTGCGTGGTTCATAACTTGGGTTGTAGACGACGGCTTGATCGCGGGAGTAACCCATGATGGGATAATATGGTTTAGAGCGGGTCGCCTACTGAACATCCGTCTTGTTGCAGAACCCAAGGCAAAGTATGGGAAGGCCCCAAGGCTGTAGCTGCTGGGGGTGTCTGGGGACGGAACGGATGAGACTCTGGAATCCGAACGTCGCGGGATAACTTCGGCCAGGTCAAAGAGAAGACAGGCATTGTCATTTCCGCCTGAAGCAAGATATTTCTCATCTGGGGACCAAGCCAGTCCACATATTTGTTGAGTGTGTGCACAGATTTTTGCAATAAGCGTCATGGACCCATTCCATTTCCACTTGGCCTGGTCTTCTTCATTGGTCCACTCGACTGAATAGTACCAGATATTTCCAAGCTCGTCACCGACAACGAGTTCCTCCACATCTACATCGAAGTATCCAAACCGTTCTGAAGGTCTCCGTGAGGTTGTCGGCTTGAATGCCACGGATGTGAGGGTGCACGGATGGCTGATCTCATAGCGCACATGTTTCTCGAAGGTGCTCCACAGAGTCAGTTGACCAGACCGACGTGTCACTGCAAGAATGCTTCTCTCACCATTCTCTGACGAGAACGCGAGAGAGGTCACATAGTTCGACCGGCGCAAACGCGGAAATGGGGGAGAACTCAGCCCACGACCTTCTGACCAAAGGTAGACTTTATGGCCCAAGCCGACTGCCAGAATTCCAGATGTTGTCGAGTAGGCAAGCGTGCTGCAGTAAAAGTCGTCTCGAAGGAAGGGCGCATCAAGGATTCGGAAAGGGTTCGCGGGAACGACCTCCTTTTTGGGAAGTGATGTGGACACTGGGAGAAGAAGGCAGGTCAGCTGGTGCCCCGGGGAAAACTGCGGACACCGCCATCCTCACAATTCCCTTTTCCACAAGTAAGATTGGAATATATGTCATGTATATTGTACCTGTACATAGTTGTTTGTCCCGACAGGTGGACGTCAGCGAAATATGGTACGGTACTTACAACAATCCTTCCAGTCAGTTTTCCAGTCACTTTCCTTCAAGAAAAACGGGGAGAAATGCGCATAATCTGGAGAAGCTGGATTGGTAGGAGCATGCAAATACCGTAGACAAGTCTCTAACTGTCTGGTCGTCGGGTCAATTCCCAAAGCAAGCGCAAGTCTCGACTCGTGTATCTCATCTTCACTGTACTTGGGCTTTTTTGGTAAGAAGCGAGCAACGTAAACCGGGGCAGGTGATCTATTGCTCGAAGTGATCCGAGGGTCATTGGCAGTCGTGACAGGAGAACTTCCGAGGACCGCAGATGTCCCACTCACATTCCACACTGCACCGGAGCTGACTTGTCTCAATGACCCATGTGCAGAGTGGCTTCCCGCAATGATGAGCTCAGTGATTTGACGAGGCCGATGATGTGGAATCTGCCGGAGTCGAATTGGCTGTTGCGGTCCGACAGTGAGACCCCTACTTGGGGTTGTGGGTAGGAATGGATCATCACCAGGAGGAAGTCGTCGAAGAGATTTCTCTTGAGGTGAAAGACGCTGCGGATGTTTGGTGATATGAAATGCGGTCGATGTTGGTTCGAAGTCACGCTTTGGGATGAATCTATCAGGCGAGATCGGGCTTCGGAAGGAGCTCCTCAAGCCCACTGGACTTGTAGCTCTCCTCACCCTTTTACGACCTCGCTGGGGTTGCAGAGTCCGATTTTCCTTACAATGAGGGGCGGGTGTCAGAGTATCCTGGACTCCAGGCTCGTCTGACAATGATGATTGAGAAGTTGTGGTTGTTTCAAAGAATGGCAAACTGATGGTTGCAAACTCAGTAAGTAGAACAGGTCTGCGTTCCTCCGAAGATTGAGATCGAGAATGTGATTCCCATGCATGTTTGCGATTGCCGGTTGGAGGGGCTTCCTCGAAGGAGTGGCGTTGCATATCTACCATTGTGCTGGATGCAGGTCGATAAGCTGTAAGACGTAATAGCCTAAGAGTAAAAGAAAGAACGTATGGGAAGGCCTCTTCTCCACGACATTGTGGCGAGATGAGAGAGGTGAGGAAGTAAAAGCTCTTGACGAAAGTAGAAAGAGTATAAAAGTCACGTGATAGTATATTCAATGGGTGGATTACAGGCCAGTTGGCAGGTGGCGGGCGCCGCCGGGGGGGGGGAAGTTTACGTAACACGATAATGGCAGCCTTAGGCCACAATGTATGCTTTTACCTTAGATCCAACTGTGGCATATGATCACCACGTCGGGACCTAACACTTGTTGCTCATTGCGTGTCACAAGAGACTGTCAGACTGATTAAAAATGCCTACTGTGAGATAAATACTTCGCTGACCATGGTTATCTCGCTCCGGGCTAATTATTGCAATAGCACGGTGTGCCCCGATACAAACCAGTTGAGAAGTCCGCCGAAGCAAGACAGCAGGAGTTGCAGAAGATAGAAAACTACAAGGACCTCGAGCGTTTAGTATCTGAAAAGGTTGGCATACTATATACATATGATCAGACAGAAACTGACATGGGATAGATTGCTGGACATGACTACACAACCGAGACCTTGAAGAAGATCTCGGAGTTGCTGTCTAGCAATCCAGAATACTACACAGTATGGAACTACCGCCGGCAGGTATTGCAGTATCAGTTCTCCCAAGCAGGAGATTCAGGCGATGAGACTGCTGCCAGTTCAATCGCACAATTAATCATAACTGATTTACAATTCTTGATTCCCCTTCTCAAGAGCTTCCCCAAATGTTACTGGATTTGGAACTATCGTCTATGGCTGCTGGATGAGGCTCGTCGTCTATTACCCACTTCCGAGGCCCGACAAATGTGGCAGCAAGAACTTGCTCTTGTGGGCAAGATGTTGACTCTGGATAGCCGGAATTTCCACGGGTGGGGTTACCGGCGCTTCGTGGTTGAGACATTGAAGGAGCTTGGCACCGCGGAAGAAGCAACAAGCATGACGCAGAAGGAGTTCGAATATGCAAAGAAGATGATCGGCGCCAACCTATCAAACTTCTCCGCGTGGCACTACCGGACGAAGCTCATCCAATCGTTACTAGATGAGCAATCTGCCAGTGATGACGACCGGAAAAGAATGTTAGATGAGGGTTGGTCTATTCTGCCTTATTGATGTTTTCCTATAATACTAATTGGCCCCATAGAACTATCGCTCATTCATCAGGCTTTCATTGATCCATATGACCAGTCTCTTTGGTTCTATCACCAAAATTTGATGAGTGTGTTTGACCCGTCCATGGCTGAACGGACTATGGCTCCCAATTTGAGCTCATCCGACCGGTTGGAATACATCAGAAATGAGATCGAAGAGATTAAAGACATGATGGATGGGGCAGAAGACTGCAAATATATCTACCAGGCATTGATCGAGTGTACTCTACTTGCTTCCAAGGTGGAGGGCAGCTTATCTTCTGAGGATCGAGAGCAGATTCTGAGCTGGCTTTCAGAATTAAAGAAGCTGGATCCACTGCGACGAGAACGATGGCTTGATTTTGAAAAGACCCTGTGAAAATTAGCCTTGGAGCTATCACCGAACATGCATGACTGTGTTTGTTTACAAACTCCCTGGCCTCGGCCCCTTTCTAGTTCACGATACCGTGCACAACTAGCGAACTCCATAAGACATTAAATTCTCGCCCTTAGGTATAAGTGAATTAGTGAGTTAGTGAAATACCAGAAATGCATTCTCATCAAAGTATATTAACGTATAAAAATGCACTGAAGTCCATAGCACATGTTGTATGCACGCGCATTCCCCTGTGATCGACAGGTCGGATCCGCATATTGTTGGGGCACCAATCAGCGCCAAGGGTACCTGGGGCAATCGAATCGGTCATTTGAAACGTTCGCCCCAAATCCCTTCCTCATTCTTTCATGCCCTGCGAGATCCCATTCCCTCTGATCTCTTCTGTTTGAGCATTTGCTCTCGTTCTATGGAGCGTTGTGTCTTCTGATTGTGAGGTCACCATCTACAGCTATGGCCGACATGTCGATACATACGAATCAACGCCCTGAACACGAAGGGGTAAGTGGTCAAACTGGATATCTCCCAGGCCATTATTCTGGCCTTTACTGGTATTGGGACTGAACTAAATGCCTGGCTAAATAGGATACTTTCGACGATGCCCTCGAGATAGCCGAAATCCAGGAGAACACTTTGAACGTCGCCATCCCTCAATCTACTTCCACCCGATCGTTGACTGATAGCCCTCCAATCGGCTCACATCCCTCTCCGGACATGACAGAGAAGCCTCCGTTGCCTTCTGTATCGCAGGACGAACAGATGACCGCCACCGCTGAGGAGCAGGACAAGGATGGCGAGGGGCAAAATGGGAACAACGACAAGAAGAATAAAAAGAAGAAAAACAAAAAGAAGGGGAAGACAAAGGATGACGGCGTTGATACCAACGATGAGACCACCTATGAGACCACCTACGAAACGAGCGACGAGGTAAACGATGCGACCGACAAGCCCACAAACGGCGATAAGCCGGAGCACGGGTCTGAGGTTACACAGACAGAGGAGGTAGACAAGCCCGAGCAGGATCGCGGTCAGAGCCCACTGCAGAAGTCGCCTCTACTCACATCGCACCGGTTATCTACAGGATCGCTCGACCAACTCGACGAGGTGAACTTGATGAAAGAAGACGAGCAGTCGGATAAGCCACGAAGCCCAAGGGATAAGATGGAGGCGCCTCCTCTGCCTCCCAAAGACGACGCAACCACACCTGCCAGCGCTGGGTTGATGGGGTTGTCGGGCAGCTTGCCCTCGCTGCCTTGGGGTGCCCCTCCAGTGAACAAGAATCCACCCCCTGTTCCCCCACCGCCCCCTACACGAAAGCCCAGCGGTCCATTTGGATGGTTCTCTCGAAGCTCTAGCTCAACGATTAAGGACGCCAAATCTACGCCTCAATCCAGCCGACGCAATACTGCCACCTCCGTATCCACCCTTGCCAGCAACCTAGAACAGGCCGCTCGTGATGGCGACGACGTTTCGAGCGTCGGTTCCAAGAAACCGAGACGGAACAGTTTGAAGGACCAATTTAAGATGCTGCGCTTGCGCGAGGAGAGCCAGGCACCCGAGCTTGATCAGACGAGTGTACGATCGGGTCAGGCTAGCATTAACCACTCTGGGGCTAGTCCCCCTATCATTCCAGAGGAAGGGGAAGGTGGCATCTTGGCAGCCACAGGAGCAACCTCGCCTACGAATGTTGCTCCCAGAAGATCTGGCTCTGTGGCTGATGCTTCCACCCCAGTAGATTGGGAGTTGTGGCAGCAGCTCGTGAACAATGGACCCCAGGCCTTGGCGGGCTCAGAAGAACTGAACGCTGCCATCAAACGAGGCATCCCTCAGACGATTCGGGGTGTCATTTGGCAGATTTTGGCGGATTCTCAAACTGCTGAGATGGAGGACATCTACCGAGAGCTTGTGGCGCGTGGCACATCACAAGACAAAGAGGGACGGGTCAATGGCACTGAACCTATGTCTTCACGTTCCTCCGTTCGCTCGCACCACTCGGGATCCGGCTCTGGGTCTAGCAGCGCTACACCTAGCCCGTCCCAAGAGGGGGATGTCGATAAGTTGGCCAAGGAACAGACCTTCAACGAAGCCGACCGTGCCAAGAAATTGAAGACTGATGCGGCCGCACTACAGAAACTGGAGAAGGCTATCAGGCGAGATCTGGGGGCTCGCACTAGCTACGCAAAATACTTTGTCTCCCAGGGTAGCCAAGAAGGTCTCTTTGGGCTGTGCAAGGCATATGCATTGTACGATACGGGAGTTGGATACGCACAGGGAATGAATTTCATTGCCATGCCGTTGTTGTTCAATGTGAGTAGATTTCCGGTTGAGCCAATCGAGGTCCTTTTGTTGACAGTATATGCAGATGGATGAGGTCGATGCTTTCGCCATGCTGGTCAAGCTGATGAACAAGTACTCCCTGCGGGATATGTTCATCCAGGATATGCCTGGCCTCCACCGAAGCCTGTACCAATTCGAGCGGCTGTTGGAAGATCTAGAACCTGCTCTTTATTGCCATCTTCGCCGCCGTGGCGTCCCTCCTCAGCTCTACGCCACCCAGTGGTTCTTGACGTTATTCGCCTACCGTTTCCCGCTACAACTAGTGCTTCGAATCTACGACTTGATTTTCGAAGAGGGATTGGAGACCACTATCCTTAAATTCGGTGTTGCTATTATGCGCCGGAATGCAGAGACGCTCCTCGGGATGAAAGATATGAGCGCACTTACTACATTCCTGAAAGAACGCTTGTTCGACGCCTATATTGATAAGCAACCGTCCACCTCGTCGATCCTGGAGTCAGGCTTCTTCGGAAGCTCCGGTGCTGCCGATAAGGAAATCTATCGATCCGACATCCTGGTGCAGGACGCCTGCGCCATTCCTCTAACCCCCGAGATGCTTGCCACCTACACAACTGAGTGGGAGGAGAAGTCTCGAACAGAGAAGGAGCGCGAACTCGAGCTCGAACACTTACGGCACACCGTGAGCACGCAGGGAGCGCGTGTCCGCCTGCTGGAGGAACGTGCCGAAGCCTCGGACAAGGAGCATGTGCAGCTGGCCTCTGAATTGGTGCATGTCAAGGTCGAAAATGAGGAGCTGCGCGACCTCAACGATGCACTAACTCTCCAGGTGGCTGAACTTAAGAATGTGGTCGACAAACAGCCAGCCGAGGTGGAGGAGAAGCTCCGCCTAGAGATGGAACGAATCATGAAGCGGAACATCGAAGTGCAAAATGAGAACCGTGCAATGGAGGAGTCAATGACGGAGATGGAGAAGGAGTTGGTTGCCACGAAGATGAAGTGGGCAGAGGTGAGATATCCACATTTACCGTCTAAATCAAGAACATCGAGGACTAACATATGCACAACACAGATCTCCGAGAACCACGAAAACCTCCGCCAGAAATGGAGCGACCTTCGTCGTGCCCTGGACTGAATACCACCCTACTTGTCGTTACTCCTCTCCTCCCCTCCCCGGATAGCAGTTATCAGGGTCTGTATATTTGCAATACGCAGATATGACAGCGAGGATCTGCGATCACGCCCTATGCTGCACATTCCGGGCCGAATCACATTGCTTTTCTCCTCGATCCCCTTCTCGTACCTGCGTGCTTCTCCTTACGAGCCAATGTTATGACCTGCGCAACCCTTATGACCCTACCCCTACCCTATTTGATCCCTTTCCCCAAACCCCAGCATGCCACTTGGAGCGGCATCATGTTTGATCGCTGTCGCTGTGTGAATTATATCTTTTTGCTTTAGTGTATGTCTACCTCCGATCCTCGGGCAGGGCACTATCAGACGTATGCAATGTACATCATTCAACATCCAATATTCCCAGTCTTATTTTACAAGATATTCTCATAGAACGTCGTCAAAACATCCTCCTTAACCGGCCCCGCAACAGCCTTCAACGCATTATGCGCCTCGCACTCCGTATCATAGTATTTCATATCCTCCATCGACGCAAACGTCGTCTTCACAGAGATATTGTACCCCTTATTCCGCGGATCTGGGATCGTTGCACCGACAGACGCAGAGACAATATATGGCTTTCCGTCCTAGACAGTTCCGGATATCCCGTTTTAGTATGTGTTCGTTCCGATGATTCCCTCTGCTCTGAATGGGGGCATTCCCATATGTACTCGGTACACACAGGCAGCAGTGGCGAATTGAAAGTTGATGCAGGTTCAACGTACCTTGGTAGCTGTCTTCGCGAGAACCTTGTATGCCTCCAGTACGCGGTCCCGATCTGCCTCGTTGGGGATCTTGAAGAGGGTGATGCGCTCGATAGGTGCCATTTTGGAAGGGAGTTCGAAGGGGAATGGTTTGTTGGATTTGTGGGGAGAGCTGAGTTTAAATCTACGGGTCACTACTATGGTCGGTTATGTCGGGATAGCTCGGTGGGGAATTAGGTGGGGAATCTTTGATTGGTAAGTTATTTTCTCCATGTGTACTCCGTAGTTATGGCATATAGGGGGTACTCACTGGGTAGAAGGGGAGTACATTGTCTTTTTTACTTCCGGTTGAAGTCTCTGTATTGATCGCTATGAATTACTGCATAGAGGTGTTTTCTCCATTGGGGATGCATCATCATGCATGAGAGCGGAATTTGGGGGGATGAGAACGGGGGAGTTCCGCGCGGGGAATTTGGGGTAGGGCGGAATGGGATGCGTTACAATGTTTACTGTGTACACATACTGTGTAAGAAGAAGTGGTGACTATGATTATAGACAGCTTGACAGAATCACATATTTCCACTCTCGTAAAGTTCCTTGAACCGAGACTGTTTAGCAAGTAGTGCAGCAGGAGAATCGAACTCGACCACAACCCCGTTATCGAGAAGGGCAACGCGGTCGTAACAATGAATATGTCTAAGACGGTGCATGACCGCGAGGACTGTATGGGATGCGAAGTGACTGTCAATCGTCGCTTGCATAATGTCTTCAGTCTCATCATCGACACTAGCGGAAAGCTAGGTCAGCAATCCTGTATCTGTACGCAATTTGGGCATGGCATGTGAGGTGGACAACGTACCTGCTCATTGCCTCGTCAAGTATCAGCAACTTCCCCTCTTGCACCATTGCTCTAGCGAGACAGAGGAGCTGTCTCTGGCCCTGCGACCATGCGTTCGGTTTCATTTTTCCATCCAGGCCGCCCTCCTGCTTGATACCATCCCACAAGCCAAGGCTCTGTAATGCGCTGATAATCTTCTGGTCGGATGATGTCTGTAATGGATCAATGCTGAAGCGGACATTGCCGTCAATCAGGAACGAGTCCTGTGTCACGACGTTCAATCTCCTGCGGACTTCAGCGTGCGAATGTTCCAGGATATTGATCCCGTCAATTGTGATTGCACCCTGCTGTACTTCGACCATCCCCAGCAGCGCAAGGATAAGGGATGTCTTTCCGCTGCCAGATGGCCCACATATTGCGATATTCTCGCCGGGCTTGATTGCCAGCGAGATGCCTTTTAAGACCGGATCGGATGCAGAGCTTTTTATGGCGTTAGTTGAGATCATCATGGTTTTCGGCCAAGCTAGACTCACGCGTGGCGAACTACGACACCAGACATTTCGAGTCCCCCAGCAGCCGGCCAGTCAATTGGCAGCAACGGCATATTGTCTGTGTCTTCCTCCCTATCCGTTGTGCTCGAATACCCCTTCACGCGAGACACGGCACCAATGGAGGTCTCCATATTGGTCCAGTCCTTGACGAGCTGCATCAACGTATTGTTGAAGGTCATAACCATAACCAAAGCAACACCGACATCACCGGGGTCGAATTTATCGCGCAGGAATACCACCGTCGCGATAAGTGTCACCGCCAAAACGGAGACAAGCATATCCAAAAAGAACCCCAGGCACTGCTGTACACAGTAGAGCAAGTACACTGGACGTTGCGAGACATCAAGAAGAGAAAGACAGGTCTCGTCAAAGCTCCGCTCCCAACCGAACGCGCGAACAGTTGCTGCTCCTCTAACGAGTTCCAGGAAGTGAGTGTATAACGGCGCCTTGGCTTCAATATCGAGGAATCGCAGTTGGCGCGATGTCCGGAGGTAGAACTTTTGCGTGAAATACACCACCGCGGCTGCGAAGGGGACGACAACGGATAGGTATTTGGCGAATACGCACAGGATAATTAGTTTCAGGAGACATGTGCAGCCCCCTAGCATTAGCATCAGCGTTAGTCTGGCCGGTACTCCAGGTTCTATGTTCATGTAGACTCACAAGCAATTACGTTGAAGACTTCAATAGGTAGGCTCATATCAATAAGGTCCATATCTTGGCTGAATCTATTATCATAGTCAGCGCCCGCACCGCAGAGTTAGGAGAGGGCTCTTTACCGATTCGTGATGCTGCCAATATCCACCTGGTGGAAAAAATGGATTGGTGCCCGGAATGTACTGCTGAGCACTTTCTCGTGCAAGTTTAGCGCAGAGGATGATACGATATTGATCATAAGGAGCCTCCACGATGGTTAGTTTATGAAAATAGAAGTATTTGACGCCTGGGTGAACTCCTACCACGAGACAGCAGTCATGAAGACAATACTGGCAATTCCCAGGAAGACATATACCCCCAGGTACATACCAATCCGTGAGTTGGGATGCTCTTCATTGGCTGATGTCCAGATATCAAGCCAGACAGCTTTTCGTCGTTAGTCAGGTACCAGGGCCGTCGAGCAGCGTTATCAGGGTCAAACTCACTTGCAAACTCGCCGCAAAAGGCCCAGATTAGCGCACACGCCACACATAGCACGACAGTAATCCGTCCCGAGGCAGAAGCATAGTAGGCGTAAATGGATAGATCACCCTGTTGACGACTCAAACTCTCGCCTGGGTTTTCACTGTGTGACTCGGCTTCGTCAGTATCGTCGTCATCATGCGGGAACGGAGACACGTTCTTCGTCTCCTGTTGCACATCTATTGTAGAAGAGGCTGGTAAAGCATCGTTCATGTCCTGAACATAGGCGTTTCCGATTTTCAGATTCTGCAGAGTGCCAGTTTCCACAATGCGGCCATGAGCAAGGACAACGATATTATCGGCGTATTGGAGAAGGAGCCCTATCGACTAATCAATACAAGACTCGCTGACATCTCGGAGGTGCAGCATACTCGAATGGGTGGCAAACACAACCGTTGTCTGCATCTTGCGTAGGAGTCCTCCAGGGCCAAACAGCTGACTGGTAACGTGTCCCACAGTCGTAGCATCAATACCGCTGAGCACATCATCCAGCAGCACAATCTTATGACGAGAGTAGACAGCTCTAGCCAATGCCTATTATATACAATCAGTGAGCCCGACATAGGTTGAGGCACCGTCACTTACAATGCGTTGTTTCTGTCCGCCGCTTACGGTGGTTCCATTGCCAGTCACGGACGTCCGGTCACCACGAGGAAGTTTCGCGAGGTCTTTCTCCAGCCCGCAAGCAAATACGACCGTTTGATACCACTCCCGATCCATTGGAGACTCGCCGAGAATGTTCTGGCGGATGCTCTGGCTCCGAAGCCATGACTCTTGAGCACAGTATGCAACACCAGATCGACTCCCCTCATAAGAAGGCCCGAAAGAAATAGTTTCCCCGAGAATGCTGCCTATCAAGGTAGACTTTCCGCTTCCAATAGGCCCAACAACCATAGTGATTGCAGCTTGAGGGATCTGAAGGCTAATATCGTGCAGCACCGCGGGTGCAGCTCGGTCCCATCCAAAACTGTGGCCCTTGAGTTCCTGTATGACACCTCGCTTGGACGAATCGGCAATCCGCCCCAAAGCCATTGATTGATCACCATCAGCTCCCGGAGACGATGAATCGGTATCTTGAGAATCTTGCGTCTCGGTGCAATATTCCTGGATTCTATCAAAGCATCCCAAACACTGTATAACCGCGGGCAGGGCCTGAATGAAAGTCAATACTGGTGTCGTCACCAGGCTAATGAGGGACATCGCAGTAAAGGCTCTGGCCGCAAGAATCGATTGATCATCCCGTACAAGGGCAATAATGGCGTATACCACGAAAGTCGCCATGGGAGCTAGATTTGTCGGCGCATTGGCTGCATGGTAGGATATCTGATTAGTTCAACATTCTACGTAGTATCGGACGGACTGGACTCGGACGACTAACAGAGAACAACGCGCACAATGAGCAGCTTGCGAAACACCGCCGATGCTGCGATCTCGGCTTCCCGAAGACCCCGAATTAGGGACGAAATCTTTTCTGACAAACCCAACATCTTGACCTCTTTGATCCGCTCCAGAGAGAATGAGGTTATCCGGAGTCTGTCCTCGACTTTCTCGACCCAAGCGCGCTGTGAGATGCTGCTAGCTGCGGAGAGCTTCAAGGTAGCACCGACAAAGACTGCCAGCAAGCGTCAGAATCCGGGTCATAACACACAGCCTGACATCCCCTCATGTAATGGCGAAAGGTAAAGTACATACCAAGAACAATCAGGGCAGGGACAATGCAGGCCACCCCGACCTGTCTCTCGAGCAGGTAAATCGCGACGCCGATTTCAATCAAGCTGGCCCACATCTCGTGGATCAATCGAAACCCACCTGCGATCCGCTCCACGTCGGTGCCCATCAGAGTGACGGCCGTATTTCCGCCCAGATCCACCGCTCGGGTCTGGACTGTTTGCCCGTGGATGAGTGAGATCAAGCCACCGCGGAGACGGATTGTGAAGCGAAACGTGAAGTATCCATAAAGCGCATTGCTTGCCTATATTCATGCCTCAGCGGATACTGTTAGCCGCTGATCTATTTCAATGTGAAGAGGAGGGTAAATGAATTCGACGTACGGCTCTTCCGCAGTACACAATTGCAAATGCCCCAATCAGAGCCTTGCCGGGGGCCATGGGCGCATTTGTATCTCCAACCCAGGAAACTGCTGCATTGACAAGGAATGGTTGGCAGAAAGTGAAGCCGGACAGACACAGGCGTGGGATGACAGCCGAGTTGAATGAAGTGCGGTATGCATGCAAACAGGAGCGGAGTAGCGCATGCTTTGCCAGTTTGTCCTCTGGTCGTGTGTTGCATCTAACATCAGATCTGGGCTTTTCACATGTGGCACTTTCGAATGTCATACATACCTTTGTGCAACCAGGCAGCCTGCAGCTTCTGCTCGACATTTCTACTGCTTAGCTGCGGGTCTAGGCCAGGTAAATCGTGCACGGAAAACACCCTCGAGTAGCCCTGGTGGAAGGTCCCAGCCAGCCACGCGAAGCTCGCCTGTTTCCAGAAGCCACTGAAGGGCTCGGGTGTGGCGGGCTTCAGTGCTGTTGAAATTACGGAGGATTCTTTTCCCAGCGATTCCAGCATCATTGAAGAACTGGTGAAAACCAAGCCCAAGGTGAGAACAATCGCTTCGTTGGTTGCAGAGCCAATAAGCCACAGAGTTCTCACCCGGGCAATCGCGAAGAGCAATCTAGCCGAAAGGTACAGGGCGAGAAGCGTCGATGGTCTGATGGAGTGACAGTGATGCATGTAGGACAAGACCGTAGCACTCGCGATGGCGACCACCTCCAGGGCATCAGCAGCAAGCGATGCATTACTGTGGAGAGATGAGGGCCCAATCCTCCGCACGACAAGAAAGATGATCTGGCAGATCCAAAGCGCTAGCAAGGAAACCTAGAGCCGTGCACATGAGCATCATTAGGTAGTCGTCTCCATGAAGAAGCCCCGAAGAACGAAATGAAACGCAACATACCAGCTTCCAACCAAGCAGTTTTGATCGCTTAATGCGATGAGGCTCCTTCCACAATAGCCATAGCGAAACCGGACAACACAGCAAGAATAGCGCAGCGGGCGTGCAAGCGAAGAGTAAATCCTCAAAGTAAACCGTGAAGTCAAAGGTTCGACAGGCAACACTAACACGGGGCCCGAATGCAGCATCGGCAGCAGCCAGACAGGGTAGTGAGCTGGAGGCCATCTCCACGGCATGATGAGGGGAAAGAAAGGAACAAACGGTCAGACAGAGTAAGCCGATGAGTTAAGCCTTTTTCTTATCAGTCAGAGAGACAGAACATTGTTACACTGCAGCGGGACTGGCTGTTATGGGAATAGCCTAACCGGACTCCGAAATGCAACAGGCTCGGGCTTATCACCGTCGAGATGGTCAGAAAGGCTCCAATAGGATGCTTCCCACGACTAGAGATATGATTGGCTCTGATTATCATCCAACCGGGGTCCGGGGTCATACCCCTGCAGCTCCCATACACGCTAGCTTGCGGATTACTATGTGGTTAGAGAATCAGATCGACGCGATCGGCATGTACGGAGTAAGCCATCGAGATATGCTTAAGGTACTGACTGGAAAGTCTACATGTTCCACGACCAGAATCTCTCAATGATAGATCCGACCCGGTCGAACTACTGCGGTCGGAAGACTGCGGCTCTCTCCGATAGCGAAGTTAGCACAGGACGAGTTGGTTGACCTCCTCGAAGTTGAGTCGATAATAGAACTAACCAGCAGTCTGAGCCCGTACTGATGTCTACTCAGTGATCCTAAGCCTGAGCGCCGTCATGCAAGCGGCGGCAGCCTACTGTGTAGGTAGGAAGGCCACACCGGGCAGACTTTATCCTGTCTACCGTGAATATAGGTGCATATAGGAAGAGATGAATAGATCCATCGAAGGGTATCCGCTTGTATGCAAACACGAAGTAGGACTAAATCACCACGAGCTTCATCACAAACACGCTCACCAATTCCCACGTAAAGCCTGCTCCCTCTCAAATGCCTCAAACAAACTCTTGAAATTCCCTGCACCAAACCCATCAAACGAATTCCGTTGAATAACCTCAATGAACACCGTCGGTCGATCCCCAACATGCTTCGAGAAGATCTGAAGCAGATATCCGCGCTCGTCGAAATCAACCAAGACATTCAGCTGCTCAAGTACGTCTATGTCGGCCCCAAGCGTCCATGAGACTTGCGTCAGGCGCTTTCGTAGATCGGCGTAATATGCAGACGGGACATCGAGGAATTGAACACCGCGAGCTTTGAGTCCAGTTACGGCGGCAATGATGTCGTGCGTGCGGAAGGCGATGTGCTGGACCCCGGCGCCGTGGTAGTAGTCGACGAATCTGGGAGAGTCGAGGGTTAGATAATTGATGATCAGTGGTGGACTGGGGCAGCAGGTACGTACTCTTCGATCTGGGATTTCTTCTTGCCGGTTGCTGGCTCATTCATGGGCATTTTGATGGTTTCATTTGGCGAAGCGACGACGATGGATCGCATCGCCGAGTACTCGCTGCACATGTCTTTGTCGTCGACGGTCCAGTAGCGATGAAAGTCGAGACATTCCTCATAACTGAGCATATTCATTAGAGCGGTTATCTCCAATAGAAAAGCTATAGATTCCACTCACTATTGGACAATACTGTCCACTCCTCCCCACGGCTGATTCCCGACGCAGTGGTCAATCTCGAGGAAGTCAATTTGTGATAGAAGCTGCGAAATCGGGTCCTCACTGTCGACGACTCGATACCCCGGCAAGAAAGGTGCATCCGCTGAATACCGCTCACGGTTCACCAGAGAGTGAACTGTATCCCCGTACGCCCCAACAGTAGCAGAGATGAGTGGACCATGCCCGTCGACTGCGACAGTCCGCGGCTCAGCGATAGCTCGGGCACCATTACCAACAGCACGCTTCCATACGGCTTCAATGTCACCCGCGATCCGGAAGGCAACATCCTTGACACCGTCACCATGGATAGTCAGGTGCTCATGGATCTGAGCGAGCGTGACCCGCTCAAGATCGGAAGCCTGGCGCAATAGCCCGTCTTCTGAACCGTCGGAAGGCGGTCCACACACAGGCCCCGTCAACACAAACGTAGCGCCGCCATTGGCAACGACGTAGCTGACAATGTAGGAGGAGCCGGTCTCCGGGCCGCGGTATGCAATGAGACGGAAGCCCATGCGAGTGATCCAGTACGAAGCGGCTTGTTTGGGATTGCCGACGTACCACTGGATATGATCAAAGCCCACATACTCGGGCCCCAGCTTCGCGGGGAAGATATCTTCGTTTTGCCGGACCGTCATAATCGTTGTTTTCGAATGTGGCCGCGCTGGTCTGGATGCAGGTGGGAGCGGAAAGGCACGTCAGCCATCTGGCAGCTCTGGCAGCCGTTGGCTCCAACCTTAGAGTTGCGATCAGTTATTTATGGGGGATTTGCAAGACAGCTGGACTGGTGTTCGGGAAGAAAGATAAAATGCAGGTCGGAAGAAGGGAGGCCATATCCCTGCCCAGAGGTGTCACATTCCGGAGCCGCATCGGATCGATAGAGCGACGGCGATCTGGATAAGCATATGAGGCAATGCTGAAGTCATCTATCAATGCAGACAAGCTATTTCATACTGCCCGAGTTTTGGACGCTCTGCTGTCTGTGCGGGCTGTTTGATGGATTGTCTGCTAAATGAGCTTAGTCCTTCTTTGGTTAACCTTAGTAGGTTCGGATTCAGGCTTACCCCAAGAGCGGAATCGATATTTTTGTAACCAAGTACGAGGCCACTGCCGCACAGACAGCCGTTGTTCTCCGTAGCACAGCAAGTCACTGTCCTGGTCGGCAGGCCATATCGTGGTCTCCCATTCAGTCTTTGCCCTCCAGTATACACATGAGATCCCATATCCCCTGGTCTATGCATTTATCCCAGTGCGAGAAACTCCACCACTCAACCCAGCTTCTAATCACACGTTGGTCACGGGCTCCGGTCGGCTCTTGAAGAAAATCTTGTAGCGCACAATTTCCACAACCTCCAGTTCCTCCTCCTCCGACCCACGGCGTTTCCGCAGCACGGCAATTGGACGTGGAAGCTTCTTGACTTCCCCAGTCATTCGCTGGTATCGGCCGACGTAGAGGTAAGCGCGCTTCATCCATCTTGTGTCATCCGGGTTGTGAATTGAGTAGTCTGGGAACATGAGCTTGCCGATCGGCGTTTCGAAGGTTGAAGCTAGATCGTTGTTTGTAGAGGTACTGTCCATCATGCTGTCCTCATCCTCGTTCCCTGATGAGGGGACATTGATCGTGCCTTGAAGCTCCAGAAGGGCTAGGCCTGAGGGTGTTTGGAGGAGCGTAGGAAGGGGGTTATTCGGTGTGGAGTCGGTCGCAGTTGCTTTTGCTGGACTGGAGCAGTGAGGGTGTAGTTTTATTGTAGGCATGACGAAGTCTCTCGAGGTGGCTAATCAATGGGACAATGGCAGTGCAGTATGGAGGTCTTTGGCTTGATCATCGACAAGATGAACTGGACGCGACACGGTTCGCGTTCTGCGGGCCCCACGCGTCTTATCGCGGTACTATGTACATGGGCAATTTATTCAGGGCTTATCGGGATTTCAACCTGCAAAATGGCTTACCCTTCTTCCGATAGACGTCGGTAGATTGCAACTAGAACGCACCAATGGAAAGTACAAGTATCAAGTAGTAAAGTGAAATGCATTATTTTAGCAAATTCGTCTTAAGCAAAATACGGAGTAGAGTAAGGTATATTCAATCTTTCTCATGAGTGGAACCCCTTTTGAACCCTTTTAAATGTTCTCTGCCACCGGGGCTCGCGGTCCAGCGGGCGAAAGAAGCAATTTGCCAAATGCATAATATAGGTCGGATTGCTTTTTTTGTCCAGCATAAGTTGGAGATCTTCGCTCATCTCCCCTTTCTCTTCCTCGGGGAGCTCGAAACCCCGAAAGCCGATGCAGCACTCGCACTCTACAGTGCAATGGCCTCTGCCTGTCTTCCTTTCAGACAGATGTCTCTGTCTACAACATCCACATTCCCGACTACAACATCCGCCTCGATCGGAACACTCCTGAATCATTTCCTTGCGCATAAACCATTCAGGGTCACGCCTTAAGCTGTGATAGGCGCGTTGCATATTTAAGGGAAGATTGTACTCTGCTAGGAAAAGGGCGTGTGCCTTTCCAGGATATTGCTCTCGAGTCATTTGAAGCTGTTGCTGTACGTTTTCGAGATGGGTCGCATCGGACCTCCCATCACATTCGATAGCCACGGTCTTTTGTAAGGCCATAACCTTGCGGTGTAGCCGCTCCTCGCGCTGCGTGAGTCCACGTAGAGCGTGCTCAGCAAGAAAGAGCTTGGCGAGTAAACACCGACCGACATAGACGTTTCGGCCGCTCAAACAGGTATTGTCACTTTCGACGCGGAAAAAGTCTGTGCCCTGCGGCGCAACTCGCGCAAGTCGGAGGAACTCCATGATCCCGATTCCTACGACGTGTACGCGAAAGAAGCAACTGGCCAAATGGATAGTATAGACCGGATTGGTTTCTTCTTCCAGCATAGCTTGGAGACCTTTGCTCATCTCCTGTTTCACTTCCTCAGAGAGCTCAAAACCTCGAAAGCCGATGCAGCACTCGCACTCTGCAGTGCAATGGCCCCTACCTGTCTTCCTTTCAGACAGATGTCTCTGTCTACAACATCCGCATTCCCGACTACAACAACCGCCTCGGTCAGAACACTCCTGAATCATTTCCTTGCGCATAAACCATTCAGGGTCACGCCTTAAGCTGTGATAGGCATGTTGCATCTCTGGGGGGAATCTGTACTCTACTAGGAAAAGGTCATGCGCCTTTCGAGGATATTGCGCTCGTGCCATTTCAAGCTGTGACTGTGCGTTTTCGAGATGGGTTGCATAAGAATTCCCATCAGATTCGATAGCCACGGCCTTTTGTAATGCTATGACTTTGTGGTGGAGCCGTTCCTCACGCTGCGTGAGTTCACGTAGAGCGTGCTCGGCAAGAAAGAGCTCGGTGAGTAAACTCCGATGGATGTAGTAGAGTAAGCCGTATATCACATAGTCATCGTCATCTCGGTGGCGGAAAAAGACTGTGCCTTGCGCGGCAAGTCGGAGAAACTCCATGATCGTCATTCCTACTGCTTGTAGAAAGTCTCTTATGAAAGTTAGTACTGTGTACATAAGGAAAAAGATGCGGTGGGATGTATCAAGTACCTCTGTGATAGGCCAGACTAGGAATGAAGTATGAATATTCAATAGATGGGCAACGATGTCAAAGCAGAAGAGACGTGAGATGAAGTATAGAAAAGAAGTTCTGGGGGTCCTCAACTTCTCCCTTTATGGCTTTCATGAGTGAATCATGACTACGGCCGCCGCCCAAAAAATATCAAGGTTTGTAGCCGTATGCCTATGGATGTAGTCTCTAATCATGACGCAAGTAGACAACCGAAGGAGAAGTAGACAGTGGAATAAGATGACTTCAACTTTCAAGATTGAATGAAAACACTGGATAGGAAGGGTGGACAATGGGAGGCAGATCAGGAGATATGCGCTGTGAACTTGTGTCACTGTGTCTGTGTGTTCCTCTGAAGGAGGATGAGCGACGTATGAGAGTATGAGATATTATCCGATGTGGAGGCCTGAGGCACAAGGGCATCACTCTTTGCCTCAGGCCTCAATCCTGGCGGTTCTCCCAATGGCTCACGTTAAAACATGTCTGGCACAGATGTGATGAACAGCCTAACCGAGAGAAGCGATACCGGGCATGCTTCTTCACAAGTACCGGTAATCTGACAGGTTGCTATCATAGAATAGATAGAGTGGCAGATACGGAGCAAGTTGAACATGATTGCATCAGACAGCACCTAATAGCCCAAGAGAAGTGCCAGGGCTTGCTGGAGAGATCTGAGATCGGGAACAAAGCGCCTGGAAGGGTTTGGCTGTACACATAAATATATTAGCCGAGCTCTCCGTGCTGCAAATATCAATCACTTACCGTATGGCGTAAGGACTTGTAATCCAACTCCATGCAAATCATAACTGGACACACCGAGGTATCTCAAGAAGTGCTACTCTTATAACAAGCATCTTCAAGATTCTGCAAGCCCTTGATCGCCTCGCTAGCCATATCTTCAGCGGTCCCAGCTGGACCCTGTAACTTGCCGTAGCGGAGATCACTCATGTCACCAACAGTCCTATCGAGCTGAGCTAAGATGCCCGCAGCCTCTTGATCAATCTCAGAAATCTCATTCTCAAGATTAACGCTGGCCGTCTCCATTGCAGCCAGCAGACTCGTCACCGAGTGGTAATCTCCCGGCACAGAACTAGGTGGCTGGCCAAACATATGAAGATCCATGTCCACTTCGCGCTGCTCTTCAAAGTTTGATGTTTCAACTCCACTAGCAAGAATGGCTTTCCGGAGCTCTGCTCTCTGCTTTTTGCCTTGCTTAATCTCATTATCGATGCTCTCATTGACTCGATCCATGTCCTGTTCTCGGACTTGCTGTAGCTCCCGGTAGATGGCCCTGATGTGCGGATGGCCTCTCAATCGCTTTGGAAAAAGCTCTGTGAACTTTTGCAGCGACATGACTGTCGGTAGCGGGGCTGGCGAGAGCAGGAAATTGCTCAGGATAGACTCTTCTGTGGGTGCCATTGTGAATGATCAATTGGTGTCTATTAGACTATTGTTTGATGCCTGCACAGATTGTAGCTCAAAAGGGGCCAGTTTTGGTCTTTGTTATGCGTTGTTGCAGCTGTAGTGGGCTCTTCTGGGTCTGCGTCGCGTGACGCGAACCGAAGTTGACGCGGGAGCCGGGGAGAATGATGGCGATTCACGTGAGCAAAGATGGACCGATTGACCATTGACGGAACAACAGTCAATGTTCTGTATAGAACACTTCAATGAATCGACTGAACCTTTGAATGGTAATTGATTGAGAAATTGAATGAAGACCGACAACAATCACTTGATGGTCAACGAGTTCTGGCGGGTATTTAATCTTCAAGGGGGCCCTCACAACTCACAACTTCTTCCATTTCACTTCTCGACTCTTTCTACTTCACCAACTTCACTCTCGACTCTTTCTTTCTCTCACAACTTTCTTCTTCCTTCAGACTCTATCCAGAGCCGGTCTCTAGACTCTCGTCTGATTTAATCTTGGGGATTCTCCCATCACTGTTTTTAACAAACCCTGACATCTTGTACCCGCACACTGACGTTTCCAACTTCATCATCTTCACCCCTCTCATCTTCATTGAAACCTGCAGGATCTATCTGCAGTGTGCAATTTGGTCATCGGAGTATCCGAAGACCATTTCTGATCATCGTGGCTGTTGCTACCTGGGTTCATCACATCCTTTTCCCGTAAACAAGACGGGACACATCCTCGCTACACCTTTCGAGCTCGAAGGGTCTACGCCTGTCACACCAACTTCAAAACAGCCCTCATCCATTTTCTTCTTTTCTCCGACAAAATGCCTGGTGCTAATTACAACAAGGACGAGAAGGTCCTGTGCTTCCACCACGAGATCCTTTACGATGCCAAGATCTTGGATGTTCGCCTCAAAGATCCCAAGGACAAGAAAAGTGCCTATGAGTACCAAGTCCACTACAAGGGCTGGAAGAACACGTGAGTATATATCTTGTGTCATTTCATTTTCACCCTAACATGTATCTACATCCTGCATCGTTCTGATGTTGCATTGTCGATAATCTTCTTACATGATTGAGCCAATTTGCTAACGCTCGCGCAGCTGGGATGACTGGGTTCCTGAGGATCGTCTTCGCAAGCTCAACGACGTGAACCGGGAACTCGCCAACAACTTGCGCCGAGAGGCTGAGGCTTCGTTCCGTTTGAAGAACGCCAAGCCTACTGGCAAGAAGCGTGCTGCTTCCGACCGTGATGACGTGCGGGACAGCGAAGAGCGTGGCTCCGTTCCTGGCCGTGCCACAAAGCGAGCCCGTGAGATGGACATCGAAAAGGTATGCATTCGCCTCATTCCCACTTAAGACGTTGCTTACATGTTAATGATTCAAAAGGAGGAGACTTACCTGATGCGTCCGTCCGTCCGCATCATGATGCCAGATAACCTGAAGTCCCTCCTCGTTGACGACTGGGAGCAGGTGACCAAGAATCAGTACGTTGTCTCTCTGCCGTCTAAGTACCCCGTCCGCAAGATTCTGCGTGATTGGTACGAGGAGGAGCTGCCAAAGCGGAAAGGATCGTCGGCGGATGAGGACGTTCTAGAGGAAGTGGTCACCGGGCTCCAAGAGTATTTCGACAAGTGCCTCGACAAGATCCTTCTCTACCGCTACGAGCGGGCGCAGTATCGGGGGCTGCGCCGCAAGTTCGAGGCTGCGACTGGGCTGCTGGCCGATAAGGGCCCTGCGGATGTTTACGGCGCGGAGCACCTGATCCGCTTGTTCAGTATGTACTCCCGTCCACCTTACTCCCACTTTACTGTGTGTTCATAGGACTCTTGCTAATCATTTTGTGTTCACAGGCAACATGCCCGAGTTGATTGCTCAGACCAACATGGACGTCCAGGCAACTAACCGCATGCGCGAGGAGATCTCCAAGTTGTCCATGTGGCTGAGCAAGCACTCGGAGAAGTACTTCACCACCAGCTACGTTCTGGCGGAGAGTACTTACTGAGCAAGCGGTGAAAGTGCTTTGCGCCGGGGGAGGACGTGTCATTATTAATGTTTCTTCTGTCTGCTGCGTCGGGGGGTGGGGTGGTGGCCACCCCCTGCGGTATGGGTAGTTATACCCATTTACTTCTGTTTCGGTTCGCGCGGGAGGTGGGAGGGGAGTGGGCCAGAACAGGTATATATACAGACGCTTGCTTTGGCTACGTTCATCTCAAAACAATGTAGCTTAAAGTGTCCTGAGGACATGCCATTGCATCCTTGGAGTTTACAGTCCGAGATGGAAGAGAACATAACAATTCTATCTGGATATCTTGATGAAAATTCAATGTCAACACTCTAAACCAGTAATCTTCCTTTCGAAAGATGCAACACCTCGAACCTAGCCACGGAAAGAAACCACTCAAGCAACCAACTGCCTCGCATCATCAACAGCACACCTCGCCGCACGCTTCAATTCACTCTTCCACTCCGCCTCACGCCACTTATTCCACGCACTCAAACCCTCGGGCGGCTGAATACTCAAAGTATCATACCCCTGCTTGATAATCCTATGAACCTCCCTCGGCGACAAATTCTTCTTCCGAATCGAAGGTAGCGCCACCGCCGCCGGCTCCTCAGGTTTCGGACTAGCAGCCACAGGGACAGCATCCACGCCCTCCGAATGAAACAGCAGGGTGTAGAAGTGGGTTGATACAGATTGGAGGGTGTCGATGGCGGCACAATGGACGTCGGAGATTGCGTCGGGTGCTTTGGAAGGAGTCCCAGGGTTTGGGCGGAAGAAGGGGTAGGCGTTGCGGAATTTGGTGATTACGGGACCTGTTTCGACGAGCTTGTAGAATAGGTCGTCGTAGGAGGCTGGGTCGGGGAGGAAGGTGTCGCCGTTGGAGACGCAGAAGGCGATTAGGTCTGCGAGGGAGGTGGTCAGGGTTTGGATTCTTGGGTTGGGGGTTAGGTCGGTGGCGTAGGTTGCTAGGAAGCGCATGAGGGAGAGGAGGGTGCGCCATAGTTCGGGCCAGTGGTAGGTCAGCCGGATTTTGTTTTTGGAGAGGTAGGTTAGGAGGCGGAGGGTTATTGCGATTGTTTGACTGGGAGATTTGTTAGTTATGATACTATGGCTGGTCGTGGGAGTGTGTATATAGTAGGGAGGGTGTTCGTACCTGTAGATGTTGACGTCGAGGCGTCGACGGAGGTTATGTGTGATGGTATCGATGGCGATGTCGAATATGACGGTTGCCAGGACCCGGTCTCCGTTGACTACGGGGAGATAGGGCTGTTTCTGTCGGCAGATGCGAACCTTTCGCCTGCCATCTTCGCTGCAGATGTGCTTGCAAATTGTTGGGTCTTCAACCAGTATGCGGAGGGTAAATAGGTTGAGTTCGGCATACTGCCCGACCCGCGGGGATCGGTATGCATGTTGAAGAAGATATGAAGTCAAGGAGAGGAAGCTCGAGAACGGTGATTCTGCCTCATTGCTTTCTGGTTTAGAGTGAACCAGGTGGTAGCCGAACAGCTTATTGGCATTTGTAAAATCATAAGTAGCCAATAAAATTGCGGCTTCTTGTGATGGGCTGCCATGCTTGTAAGTCACTAAACATCGATTGTGCGCACGGAGAACTTACAGATCGACGAACATCGCCTTCGCTTCTTCAGCCGAAGGGGGGTGTGCTTTGTCCCTGGTGCCAGGAGCGAGTGCTCGCAGCCCAAAGAACGTCAATGTGTTGGCCAAACTCCAGCCCTCGGGAATGTCATCCTGCACTGCAATGTAGCCGTTGCGCAGGCCACTACAAGCTAGACCGACGCCATTGGTGACCTTTTGGATACTTGACTCGTTGACAAAGTCATCAAGTCGAAGCTGGTAGGGGTTTTGGAATTCAAACTTGTTGTAATTCGCCAAGAGTCCCAGAAGAAGGAAGGGGTCGAACACTTGTTGCGGGGAGTCAGATTCAGAAACATACTTTTGGCAATCGTTAGTTCATCTTGCCCATATAAAGAAGCCTGCAGTGAATCGAACCTTCATAAGCGATGGGAAAAGATCTCTGTGCGTGAGATATGAGACCAAGCTGGTTTTGTATGCTCCGCTGGTCATGGCAATGGCCGTCTTGATAGCCTTGAGCCGTACATCAACTGGTTACGTTAGCATTGACTGCGTCTGACGTTATATAGGCAGATCCAATCTCACAGTCACTGCCATTGCGAATTAATCTGTCCAGGACGGCCACAAGGTCAGCAATGACATGGTCCACTTCGTCAAGCCCAGCAAGGACAGTGATGACATCCGAGCTTGGGTTCGTGTATTTCTTGCTCAAGATACTCGTCAAAAAGACAGTCAATGTCTGTGAAGCAATTAGATTACGATCCGAATACTGATTATTGGGCTCTCACATCTAATGCATAAGAAGCCGCCGGAGCGGACCCAGCTGCCGCCTCACGAATTGCACGAGCAAAGAAACGGCGAGTTTGAGTCTAGAGATTGCGTGAGCTGTTTGGTCTTCTGCCTTATTTTAGATCATGACTTACCTGTAAACTGATTGTCTCGTCCGGACTCAAGTGGTCTAGAATAGCATGCAATTGATTCCGGTCCGGGGGAAGCAAGAAGAATTCTCTCCAGAAGCCCTCTGAGGGATCTGTATCATCTGCTGCCTACCGTTCAGGGGTATGTTAGCATTGTCACCTCAGGCCATGATCTGCCGGTCATACTTTGAAGAGGTTCTCATAGAGCTGGACGATCTTAGGTTTAAAGGAGTCGGGTCGGATCTGCTGGGTGAGGGGTGAGGCATCCATGGTTTAGACAGGAGCAATCATCTGATCACCAGCATTGGAACAAAAGGGCAAGGTCGATCACGATGTTTTCTAAACAAAGTCGTGTCTTTTCAAATCGACGTTCATGAAAAGGGACACCAGCCACTTTGTCAGCGGATCTAGCCACATGTCCTCTACACTTGGCAATGGCGCTGGAGATAAGAGAAATGGATTTATTTACTTCGAAGTAGTATTCTGCTCTGAGTAGACGGTGGATCTATAAGCCCTATCAACCTCTACGATACATTATCCTCTACCTAACTGCATTCGGAGGCGTAGTATCCCCATGAGAAATGGAACCATCCGCGTTGACTCTCCGAAGAACGGAAATCTCCGCGGGCTGAGATGACTCAGCTGCCGAAAAACGCCAGGAGCTTCTCGCTGTAGGATGACCAGTGTGATCTGACCTGAGACCCGAATATGATCAGATTGAGATCTAATGTTCTCTACGGAGTACGGAGTATGGATAACTATAGCAACTATTAGCCTCTTTGCCTGAGAGGCTAAGACGATTATAAACAAAGTCGAAGGCCCGAGACCTTGCGGAATGGCGCCACTGCGGTGTGTAGAAACTACTCGATTCTGATTGGCTGCGTGTGCGTCATGCAATTGCATTACATAACACACCCTGGACGGGGAATCCTCAAAACAGTCAGAGATTCTTGCTTCAACTTCACAACTGATTCCTCCATACTGCTTACCCTACAATTCTATGGTTTTATAGCAATTTTTTGTCGAGGACCATCTACAAATTCACATCCCATTGCTCCTCGACCATGAGCTTCTGCACCGCCATGCAACGTCCTGTGACATCATCCGCCACATTCCTCCGATGGGCAAAGCCCTCGGTAGGACGTCTGCGCACTTTCTCATCATATGGAAACGCTCACCTATCCTCGAAGCGGGACATGCAAACCGCAACCGCCTACCGCCCGCACACCCTCCCATCTTCTTTCCCTCCTCGAAGCTCCGGCGGCGCCGATACCTCCATCTCATCTGAATTCCCTCCTCCCGACTCAACAACAAACCGGAGCACATCACAAAACACATCGCCAAACGTGAGCGTACGGGAAGGCGAAGCACAGAAATCGAAATCGACCTCTGCGGCTCCGGCCACTAAGCCGAAGCCTCGTCGTCCGCTCCGGCCAAGAAAGGCAGCCATGACGATATCCTCTGTGGCCACCGACCAACTTCGGAAATTGATGGACCAGCCCGAACCGAAGTTCATTCGTGTGGGTGTCAAGAACCGCGGCTGTTCAGGCCTCGCTTATCACCTCGAGTACGTGGAGAAGCCCGGAAAATTCGACGAGGTTGTCGAGCAGGATGGCGTGAAGGTCTTGATCGATAGCAAGGCTTTGTTCAGCATTATTGGCAGTGAAATGGACTGGCAGGAAGATAAGCTGAGCAGACGATTTGTGTTCCGCAACCCAAATATCAGTAAGTGGCGCTGTTCAAAATTTGTGTCATATCAATTCCGGTTTACTGACTTTTGACTACAGAGGAAGAATGTGGTTGCGGCGAATCGTTCATGGTTTGAGCACTTGGCTTAGCCTTTCCTTTCGATATGTTTCTTGTACAGAACCCTGGGGCGTCTCATTTATCGGTGCATCGGATGGCGTTTTCACACTGGGGGTAGGGGATCTTACAACCATTCTTTTTGTTTTGAGTACATACGCTTGATATCCAGTCGTTCTTTTTTTGTTGTATTTGGGCTGTTGCGCCCCCGGTTGGATATGGTTACTTGGTCATACAGGCTGCCGGCCATGTCATAGAAACAAGCTAGATTCTCGGCTCAGTGGCTCTTGACATTTCATCTCTCTAGGGCTTTCAAATCAAGCCGCCAGATCGGCCATATGATAATCCAAGATGTATAGACTCGTCCAAGGACGCAGGATGATATATGACAATACATACTTGACAGAAATGACAAACATGACAAGAACCCGAACAAGATTAGTAGCTCCACGCATATCTCTCCATATATCTCTTCTTCCCAATTGATAATCTCATAGAGGTACTGGATAATAGTAGGTAGTTCGCAATCTTGTCCATAATATAGACCCCACTGTCACCTGATCGGACAGGGGGAGGGGAGTAGCCCGAGCTATGGGGCCGCATCTCCACCACCTTGGCACTCATTAGGTCCTTGTAGAACAACCTCACGCTTCAAAAACAAACCTCATTCCACATGAAACCCTAGTATCAACTCCTACAACAAGGCCATGGCATCACCCTTCCTCTCCCCGTACACAGCGGGCGAACCCAGCACCAACCCACTCCTCATAACCGTCCGCTTTTCCGCCTCAATCCCCGACCTCCAACTAGACGTCCCCGAACCAGAAACAACAACAGGCGCAGGTCTAAAACAACTAATCCGAGCCCAACTCCCCCAAACCCTCTCATCCCATCGCCTCCGCCTCATCTACGCCGGCCGCAGTCTAGAAGACACAACCGCCCTATCAACATCCCTCAAACTCCCGTCCACACCAAGCCGAAACCCGTCCCCAGCAGACATAGACTCAGACGACGCGCCAGAAAATGGAAAGGGCAAACGGGCTGTGCGCGATACCCGGCCGCGCACCTATGTCCACTGCTCGATCGGCGATATCGCCCTCTCGGAAGCAGATCTAGCCAGCGAAGCGAGCGTTGCGTCTACAATTCTCCTGCAGCAGAAAAAGAACAAGATATCAGCAAAGGACCGTACATCGCAATCGTCTCACCATACCGCTCCCCAGCCAACGACAACCACGCCCGCTCCCCGCGGCTTCGACCGTCTGCTAGCGGCGGGCTTCACCGCAGCTGAGGTCACGGCCCTGCGGTCACAGTTCCTGGCCGTGCTGTCTGCGTCGCGGACGCCGGATACTATGCCGACTGGCGAGCAGTTAAGGGATCTGGAGGATAGGTGGATGGATGAGGGGTCGACGGGGGCGCAGATGCAGGGGATTGGTGGGGAGGGTGGGGATGATGAGGGTGGTGGGCTTGGGACTGGGTCGAGGGGGGCGATGGATGATATGCTTTGGGGTGCTGTTATGGGGTTCTTTTGGCCTGTTGGGTGTGCAATGTGGTTGAGGAGGGAAGAGGGGGTTTGGAGTTGGAGGAAGGGGGTGGCTGTTTGTATGGGTGTTGTTATTAATGTTGCGTTTGGGGCGATGAGGGTTATGAATTAGGAGGGTCGAGATGAGTGTATGAGTAGAAGAGTGTTTTGTTTTGGCGTTTTGAGATACCCCCCAATTGCATGAAGCTATTTGGTACTTTTGTGATTGAGAGTTGGACTTGGTTACTCGTACTAAGTAGTTGTTGTCAGTTGATCGGGGACTTGGATTAGAGACTGGGAGTCTAACTTCACCAGACACCAGGACCTGGCTGTGTCAAGACTCGGACGCTATCATACAGAAAGGCATAGATGCGACAAAGACAAAGGTCTTGCTTCTAGGACAAAACGGCAAAAAAAGGCAAAGACATGAACATAAGACTGAGTATACAAACGCCCGCACCTCCAACGCTAATGGAACTTGCTGTAAATAACGGCAAAAATCAAAAGAACCAAGACCGTAATGATAGCAATAGTAATCATCCGATTGGTAGCCATCCTACCAAACACCACAGAGGTTAGCGAACCACTCAAGAATCCAAGAACAGAACAGGAGTCAGTACCTACGGGCCATGCCCCTCAACGTCTTGATACTAGTATCGACATAACCCTCGCTCTGCTGCAAGTTATTGCGAGCATTGGTAATCTGTTCTCTCTGCTCATACAGCGTGCCGAGCGTGCCGCGGGCAACATCCTCCGTCTCCAGCGCCATGCGCTGACTCTGCTGCAGGCGCGCAGAGCTGCGCTCTAGCCGGTCTGTACCAGACAGCAACTGCTGTCGTTGTTCGAGGTGCTCATCCTGCGGTTCGTCGGTGTACCGGTCGCCGAATAGGGCTTGTCGGTCGTCTGAGAGGGACTTGAGTTTGCGCTTGATCTCGTCGATGTCGGTTGAGTAGTTGCGGAAACGGATGTTGACTTTTGACCGTGCTGCTGAGGGGATGTTTTGCTTCTCCATGCGCATTTGGTCGAGCTAGATGAGGGGGATTGGTTAGTTTAATGTTTCCTTGTCGGTTGGTTCTTCTTTCCATTGTAGCAAGGGATGGTTGAAGAGGAGGGAGCATGGGGGATTTACCAGCTCTATCGCTTCGTCGAGGACTTGTGTTGCGTTGCTGATTGCTGATTTCCGTTGCTCGCCGCTTGCCTCGGCGATCTGGTCCAGCTTCTGGTTCAGATCGGCTTGCACGAGCTTCAGCTCGTTCTCGTAGCTGGCGAACATCTCCGAGCCCGCATCTGTGTCTAGTGGGTTTGACATGGTGACTGTAGGATGTGTGTTATGCGAGAGGTGGAAGTCAAGATAACTACTGTCCGCGACGGTGGTTGATGTGCTAGTCTTGACTCCACCTTTATCTGGGGCGGGTGACGCTGTTTATTAGTGCTGAGTGGCGGGTCCCTTTGCCAAGGCAACTTCGGTTTCGTAAACAATGTAGAGTGGCTTTGGCAGAGTACTAGGCAAATTCTTTAAGAGGAAAATACTTGAGATATCCTAAGAAGTCGATAGTGTCAAATGTTGGAACAGGAATGGGCGAGGCCGCGAGGGTGCCGTAGGCCCACGTGATTGACTTAAAGCCGGGTTTGCATTTGCGCCAAGGCGATCTTCTACATCTCCATACGCAGTATTACCTTGGAGTTTGTACCTACAATGGATCTGAGAACTGCAAGAATAAATAGGATTGATACATAGCAATAGCTCAAAAACCAGGCCCACACACAAAACAATTCGCCTTTTCAATAAATATCCATACCCCTTTGGTACATCATAAAACCCTCAATTACTTCAAGAAGCTTTCGCTGTCCTGACCAACAATGAGTGCGCTGCGCTTGGCATCTATGAAGAGATCCTCGCACTCGGCAACATCGGCCTCCTCAATTGCACCGGGGCGGCCATTAACGCGCGAGAGAATGCTGGCGGGGGTCAATAGCTGCAAGGCATATCGCAAGCTGACCTTGCTGCCATGCTCGGCGACCTTGTTGAGAGCAGGTTCTGAAATACTGAGATTCTCGATCTTGGCTCGCAAGCGGATGATTGTCTTGATCTCATCGGGAGAGTAGGGGTTGGTGGGGATGATAAGAAGACGGGCAAGAAGATCGGGGGGAATGCCGTGTGCAGCGCTGATATCATTGGTACCGCGGATAACGGCGTGGCCACGGTTGGATGCGAGGATGACAATGGGGGAAATGGTCGATTCGAGGGCACGGTTCAGATACGTGAAGCACTCAATGTCGAGCATGTGAACCTACAGAAGGGATGAGGTTAGCAACGGGAGATTGAAATGCACAGAAAAAGCATATTGCATACCTCGTCGATGAAGAGAACACCGGGAACCAGTTCGGCGACACCCTGGTCGATGTATCGGTTGACAACCTTGTTGATCTCCTGGCGCAGCTTGTCTGTGATTTCCGTCTTCTTGGGCTTCATCAGCTGGCCCATCATGCTCATCACATCTTGCCCACCCTGGGGCCGGGCGTTGGCCATATCCAAGTCGTGAAGCGTCACATCCTGAACAATCTCCTTCTTCTTGTGGACCTCGCCCTTGGGAACAGGCACATACTCCTCTGCCTCGAGATCGAATTCGGTGGCATAGGCGTCGGATCGACCAACTCGCTTGCATGAGCCGGTGTTGGCTTCAATGTAAATGACATCTCCGACGGTGACCCGCTCCTTCTGGATGGCTTCGAAAATGCTGGGGTCCAGGCGCAGCTTCTTGGAGCCCTTGGCGGACTTCAATCCGATAATCAAATGGCTGATTGTGCGCCCATATGTGCCTAGTGGGTTCTCAGCCTCCTCGGGGGTAAGCTCTGTCACCTCTCCCTCATAAACTTCCTTTGTTTCGCGAACACGGAGGCCTGTCGAAAGTTAGCCTGAATTTCCATGCCTGCTCTTCTATATTGCACTGCTCACCAATAGCTCTCCGGAAGTTCTCCATCAACGCTTCGGTCTTCTTGACCTCTGCAGAGTAGATTTCGCTACCAACAATCGGACAGAAAGGAACCTTAGTTCCCAGTTCCTGCGATACAGCAAGAGCCAAAGCAGTCTTTCCGGTACCGGGGCCACCAGCAAGCAGGACAGCTCGTCCGGCCATCTTCTTTGCCTTAATCAAGTCCACCACAACACCACATGCCTGCCAGTAGATTGAAGACGTTAGTTATTGTCACTGCGAATCAGATGGAATCAGCGGTGTTCTCTACTCACCTCGCGGGCAGCTGCTTGTCCCACGAATCCATCAGCAGCGGTTTCCGGAGTTCCATCAGAGCGTAGACCGAGACCCCGAATGTGTGTATGCGCTGCGGTTCTGTTCTCGCGCGAGTTGCCCTTGACTTCACTGATCTGGACCATATTTGAGGAAAGAGTGGCCGTATGGAGCCACAGGTATAGATTAAAAGTAATTCAATGGGTTTTAAAGAGGGAAAAGATCCAAAACCAAAGCTTGAAAGAAACGAAAAAGATAGGAAATGAAAGTAACGCGATGGTTCTCTGCGAGATATGCTTCTGGCCGAAATTCGCGAGCAAGGGATCCGTCAAATGAGAACGCCGCGCCCAAGGCGGTGAGCAGCCCCAAATTCTTTCCCGGATTGACGCCCTCCTCCGCTTGTCTGGACTGTCCGCGCTCTCGAATCTCTGCGAGGATCCGATACCCTCAAACACAATGGCAGGCCTACACGCAAGGTCGGCAATGACTGCCCCATTCTCTTTGGCCGTGGCCTTCCGCAGCCTCTCCATCGCCACACCAAAGCGATCTTTCTCAACGACCCCGGCAACACAATCGATCCCGAAACTACCGGAAAGCGCGCCAGTCTACCCCTACGGACCCTCCAAATGGTACAAGCAGTCTGACAGCGGTCTATACGGAGGCGCCTCTATCCAATTCGGCAACAAGATCTCTAAGGGACGCAACAAGGGCAAGACACGACGAAGCTGGAAGCCCAACGTCCGCCGAAAGAAGATCGAGAGCGAAGCTCTAGGCGAGGAACTGTTCATCAAAGTCACTCGTCGTGCGTTGCGATCGATTTACAAGGCCAAAGGCCTCGACAACTACCTGTTATCTGATCGGCCCACACGTCTCAAGGAGCTCGGTCCGTTTGGATGGAACCTTCGACACCAGATCATGCAGTCACCGACGATCAAGGAGAAGTTCGCAAAGCAGCGCAAGGCTTATGGTGTTCCTGAGCCCCCGACTATCGACCAGTACCTGCAGATGAAAGAGGCGGAAGCGAGCACTAAGATCGAAGAGCTGGACATTGACGCCTTGACCAAGCCTCGCATCAAGCGACGAACCACCCTGGCTTATGGCAAATAGAGCAGCTCGAAAGACTCCTCTGGTATCGTGTGTGTCGAGGTGGATGGACATGCGCTTGTATCAATATCCTGAAGAGCCTGGATGGTTCTTAGGGCACCACAAATCTTGACATCTTCGTGATGACTCTTTCTTACTTGCGTGCTAGGCCTTTTTTTCAAACTTGCATATTGGGTCTTCTTTGTACTTATACTCCAATCTTACTTTATGTTCACTGTTTATCAAGACTACACATTAGATGGCCGCTATGGCCCACCGGCGGTGTTGGTGAATACATACAACATGTAGCCCCAAGATACTTGCGAGAACTTCGGCCTTTTATCCTTCGTTCGGGCACTTGAACGAGCCGTTTTGTAGCCAAGGCTGTCTGCGGAGTGATAGCTGATGTCTTGTTTCATTCTGTAGTATATCCAATCCAAAGCTCGCTCCTTCTGTTCTCAACAATATGCAATCTGTCTCCCTTTCTAGATCAGCTTGGCTGTCAAGACGCCTCTGAGATGTTGAAACATTGGGGTCATTCAACGTGTACACGGAAGATGTCTATGGTTGTTTCCAATCATCCAATCCCCAATGTGGTGGTAGATTGCCTTGGTTTCTCAAAAAAGCTACTCAACTTGCTTATACGGCAAATGGAAGTCTTCTCGCACCTACTTAGAAACCAACCACCTCAACAGCTCCAACTCTCTTGGTTTCGCGAAATGGCATTATGGCACGCTCGAGTAAATCCACGATCAACGTGTGCTTGTGGTAGACCTTTCTAGTCGAAACTTCCTCGATTCAGATATGACAATTACATTCTGCGATCTCTCCGAAGCATCTCTTCTACCCTTGAATGTCGATATGGACCTCGATGACAACGGATACACGACTGGAATATACGGCATTCTTGGGGCAGTTATGTAGGTATGAAGTTGTGAGCAAGAAATGTGAAATCGATCTCTTCAGAGATAAGCTTCCAACTAATGAGCGAGCGTCTTGGCCCCAAGCCCTACCTACTGGTACCTGAACATCGTTTCGTCTTTTCCAATGATTAACCACGAAACAAGGACGAAATTAAAAGACAAGGAGTATTACATGGCAGCTGTTTTTATACTAGCACCTTGAGACCCCCTAAATTAGTGTATGTAACTATCTCTATGTCATCATCATCTGACCGTTGAATGCAGGGCCGGATTCGGACGCCACATCTCGGTTGATCTTCAGACCCGCGTCGATCTTCAAGTTTCCCAATCTTCAACTCATCGTCCATTGACTCTTTTGTCCTATTATGGTTTGATCTAGTCAACATTCCTATCTTCCGATCCATTGAACAGCGTGAGGGGGCAATACCCTTGCCTTGAATCCCTTGATGCAGTTCGCGTTACCTCCGCGGCGAAGCCCGCAACCTCTACCTCTGGCCCGTCCACGAATGTCATCATATCGCAGGAAACAGTTGAAATCTGGCGCCGTTTTTGCATTCGCGGTTTTTTTAATTCTATTTATCCACCATCTCTACGCATCGCCCTTCTACACATCGCCTTTCCTATCCGCCGCGGCTTCGACTAGTACTTCTGGTGTGGTGATCGTCACACTACTGGATCACCAGCTGTTTAGCGATGCCTACCTGAAGAAGATCATCGCAAACCGGGAGCACTATGCCAATTATCATGGTAAGAATTTCCCACACGTATGCAAAGTCATGTACCGTAGATTGTGAATTAACCCTCGCGAATGAGCAGGATACACGAACTTCTTCGCAAGTGTGTCAGACTACGACGAAGCCGTTGGTGATGCGCCACAAAGTTGGGCCGTCGTGCCAGCCGTTCGCCATGCCATGGCCACACATCCTCACGCAGCCTACTTCTTCTACCTCGCCCCTCATGCCTTGATAATGGACCCAACGAAGTCGCTCAAGTCGCATCTTCTGGGGAAAGGCCGTCTCGAAGAGTTGATGATGAGGGATGTGCCCATTGTGCCGCCTGATAGCATCATCAAGACATTCTCCCATCAGACGGAGGAAGATGTGGACCTTATAATCACGCAAGATAAAGAAGATCTGAACCCCTGGAGCTTTGTCTTGAAGAGTGGGGACTTTGCTCGCTTCTTTCTCGATATTTGGTTTGATCCACTTTACCGCAACTATAATTTTGCTAAAGCGGAGACGCATGGACTGGTAAGTGGTCCATTCTACCCATTCCCGTATGATTCTTGACTGAGATTCTGCTAGGATCATATCATGCAGTGGCATCCCACTGTCCTTGCTCGAACGGCTGTGGTACCGCAACGTCTCCTGGCTTCCTTCAGTAGTGGATCACCAGGTGCTTCTTTGGATGGCACATATGAGGATGGTGATTTTGTGGTCCAGTTCCGCGGATGCGATGTTGATAACAGCCGTGACTGTGCTCGCGAGGTGGAGCCTTACTACAAGTTGTGGGAGAAGAAGGTTCAAGGTGATTGAGTTGGATTTGCACCTCGGGATGGGGGATTTTGGATGAACAAGCTTGCAGCGAGGTGTTACTATCTCAATATGGGGGGCTGGCATTTTTCTTGCTGTCTATTTTTCTTTTCTGTATAATGTTCTAGTTCGGTGTACGCTGCGTACGGTCATGGAGACCTCGGCATATGGCGTACTTGGGCTTTCAATTGGCATTGCATGGCTGCAATAGAAAACGATAATTATTCTTTTTTTCTATAATCAATACTGAAATAATACATCTCATAACTATCAGCTATTAGCGGATACTGTCTTAATCATGACGACTGGAAATCCTCGACCATTTGAGACTCCTTCAGGTCCCCAAACACGGCAACACAATGCCTTTCTTTTTCTCGTTCTTCTTCACTCCATTCATCCAATCACTCAGCCCAGTGACATATCATACACGACGATCAATGCGCCACTAAGACCGACTGTTCTACCCCTGCTTAAGCAAGTCCAGGGAAGATAACAGAGCGCTTCTTCTTATACTTGTCACCAAACTCCTTGCGGTAGCGCTTCTCCTTCTTCCAAGCCCAGCTCCACATCTGCAAGCCACCAACAAAGACAAAGAGCAGTACGCTCCAGTTGAGCTGACTGACAAGGAAGATACCCAACCAAGCAAGGATCTCAAAGAAGTAGTTAGGGCAAGTGACAGCACTGAACCCAAATCCAGAAGGAATGCCACGCTCAGTGGTACCAGGACGACGGAGATTACGCAGAATGTAGTGCGCATTCAAGTTGGCAATCTCACCGAAGACGAAGAGCGCCAGACCAGCGTACACAAGAGCCACGTTGGGGTTGGCACTGGCAGCAGCCGAGTCCGGACGGAAGACCCAGTAGGCGATGTTAAACCCGGCCAGCACCCAGTAGTGGGCACTGTTCTTGACGATGTTGCGGGCGGGCATGGTGGCGCTGCTGAAGCGGTGCACGAAGATGGTCTCATACTCGCGCTTCAGGAAGTGCAGGGTCAGCAGACCGCAGACCAGGAGCTGTATGTCGGAGGGTGTGGGGAGGGGCTTGTCGAAGCGGAAGTACAGGAGAGGTCGGAGGGGGAAGAGGAAGAGGGCGGGAATCAGGAGGGGGCCGAGGTATTCAATGATGAAGACGGTGCGCCAGGCGATTTGGGGTCCTGTGGAGGTGAAGAAGTATAGGTTAGTTTAATGTTTCTTTGGGGATCGGTTTTCCGGGCTTTGCTATTCGGATTGTCCGTGATGTTGAGTGGGAAGGACACGCACCAAGATCCTTGACGTAGATCACGCTCGAGTTTAACAGGCCGATGTCGCCGACGGTTGTGTTCTTTGACTTCGGGACCACGCTGTGGTCGCTGCCCTTGGTGATTCTCATCCGGTGGACGGAGCAGCCGGATGCTGCGGAGAGCACGTTGTGCAGTTCTTCGCTAGAGGCATTGGAGGAGATCTCGAGTTCCTTGGGGAGATTTCGAATGGGCTTGCCTGTGTTCCAATTAGCAAGGCTGCTTGATTATAATCTCTGTGGTCTGGCTAAGAGCTTTGGAACAGGAGCTTCGTATACGTACCCCGTGGCTGAACGACGAGTGAGATGGTTTTAGTCGCCATTATTAGAACGCCCTTTTTCAAGCAAGTATAATGCTTTATAATGCTTATTTATTATGATTTTAATCTGAGGCCACTTGAAGAACCCGTTGAGATGCAATTGGCTAAGAATTCTGCATTCCCAACAATAACTATCAGTTGAGCCTCGGTTGATGTCACGTGTGAACACCTGAGGCCAACATCTCATCGCAGCTGGGCAGTTTACAACATCAACTTCCTCCGATGTGCAGGGTTTCCTCGGCGGCTTATTCGGTGCAAGGACATACTGGCCAGATTCCCAATGGAATTCACACCGTCGTTACATCTTGGCGATATAGCGCGTGGCTATGCGTCCAGGGCTGCTGTTCCGGATGACTCCCTGTCTAAACTTACTTGACCCTGGACATTGGTCTGGTCTGTCTGCCAACGGTACAGTTTGTGCAAGACTGTACTATACGGATTCTCCATAGGCCAGCTCGCTAGCATTCACTGCGATGACAAAGGATCTATATCCTTCAGAGTCATCTCCATCATCTGGACCCGGCGTTGTCAGCTGAAGCAACGACCTAGGCCCCCGAAGCTAAAGGCAGACTAACGTGCCTAGACACATTGCATGGATGTACTTTAGCGGGGCAAACAAAGCTGGAAGTCAGGCTGTGCTGAGTACTCCGCACACGCAGCTGAATTGACGAGGAAGAAGAAGAAACCCCCGTAATATCGCAAGGTCAAATCAGAAGCGAGTGATATCGCCCCGCCCAGGTCTCAGCCCCATCTTTCGACGGTCCGCCCGAACGATCTCTCAACGGTGCTAAACCCTAGACGCTCATTTGGCTGACATCTGTGAATTTCTTTTTCTGATTTGTGCCCTGGCTTGGCTATTGCATTAGTATTTACGCCGAAGCCCGGGCACACCGCAGATCTCTCGTGGGTTTAGCCGCTATCATCGCCCCAATCACCCCGTCACTGTAGACGTCTTTTCTTTGTGCGGAAGATGAAACATGCCATTGCATGGGTTAATGAAGCGCATGGCTGCCAATTATGCTAGACTTTCGGATTCCGAGTCATCCGCCACGAGCTGTGCCATGGTAATAGGCCAATGGCATGAATAAAACCTTCGATGTAGGTGACAGCACGCGCGAACTAAAGATGGCTAGTTGCTCGCAGCTAGTGGGGCATTCGTCTTCCCCGTCCAAATGCGCTAAGTATGGCCACCAAAACGCGGCTGGACTTTTGGGATAACAGTTGAAGGTGATAGGGTCAATTCAGCCGTATTTGCTCGGCTGATGGCTCTCGGATTACTCCGTGATTTCTCTCATGGCTTATAATGACCGTCTTATCCCATTTCCGCCGAATTGATCACACGACGATCTATCTCCCAAGGTTCTTTCCCTACTTATCACGTACTCTGTTGCTGCTTCCCTATATACACACACCTTTACGATTTTGCCCAGGGAGGGAAGTTACTGTTCGTGAACCATTCTCATTGCCTGCCACTACACCCTGGAGTGTGATAGATATACGAGTGAGTACCAATCTCTGTAGCCGCCTTTTCCAATTTGGCCCAGTGGGATTTTACTAGGTTTGTATGCATTGGCCATTGCGTCCAGTGGAGCACTTTCCCCAATGGCTCAGATTCTCGAGCCGCAACCTTAAAACCATTCCGGCCATGACGACATCAAAACTAACACGCCAATCACAGTTTGCACTCGAATCGACTCCCTACTCTTCGCTTGTATCATCCCAATTCACCATGGCCGAGAAAGAGTCCAGCTCCAACAGCAACAAGATTGCTCAGATGGAGCAAGTGGTGACCGCAGCCTTACGTCCGTTGCCCACTCAGACTGGCGATGGCACCTATGTGCAACAGCCAACCATGACGGGCCTAGCCAAAGATCTGCTTCACTTTGACTTGCAAGATGCCAAAACGTTGACCGAGCTGGCTAAAACTGCCGTGACTGGCGAGGCTGTGGACGACAGAGAGTATACTATGGAACGAATGATTCAGGTTCGTTCTTCCTGCAGGAGATTAGACATATGCACTTTCTAAGACTAAACAGCTTGCTGCTGGCCTTCCTTCGACGTCTCGAAACGGCAAGGAGCTGACGAATACTTTCCTGACTCAATTGTGGGGTGATCTGGAGCACCCTCCTGTCTCGTGAGTTTATGCACCGTTCAGGCTGATGCCAGGCGGTGGTATGCACAGAGACTATTCAGTTACTAACTTGATACAGTTATCTTGGACGCGAGGCGGCATATCGGAGCGCTGATGGGTCTGGAAATGTAAAAATTTGTCCCCTTGTGACGTGGAGCGTCTCTGATGAACAGCCCTAGAATTATTTCTGGCCTCAAATTGGAGCTGCTAGCACTCCGTACGCACGGTCTGTTCGACCAAAGACCATGCAGCCTGCGAGTCTTCCGGAGCCGGAGGCTCTCTTCGATAGTCTCTTGGCCCGGCAGGGTTTCAAGGAACACCCGAACAAGATTTCCAGCGTGCTATTCTATCTTGCCTCTATCATCATTCACGGTACGTCGCCCGTTTGTCGAGCTCTTAGCCACGGAAGAGATTTGGAGTTATTGGGACTAATTGTTACCAGACCTGTTTCAGACGGATCCTCGGGATCAAACAAGATCATTGACCTCCTCGTATTTGGACTTGTCTCCGCTTTATGGTAACAATCAAAAGGAGCAAGATACTGTCAGAACGTTCAAGGCTGGAATGCTGAAGCCCGATTGCTTTTCCGCCAAGCGGGTCCTGGGATTCCCCCCAGGCGTTGGGGTCCTTCTGGTAATGTTCAACCGTTTCCACAACTCCGTTGCCGCTCAACTGGCAGCCATCAATGAAGGTGGACGTTTTACTAAGCCGGATGAATCAAATGCCCAAGCTTATGCGACCTGGGATAACGACCTTTTCCAGACTGCACGACTGGTCACTTGTGGTCTTTATGTGAACATCATCCTGAAAGATTATGTCCGGACCATTCTCAATGTCAACCGAACTGACAGCATATGGAGCTTGGATCCCCGTGCAGACATTAAAGATGGCTTGCTTGGAGAGGCACCTGCCCAGGCCACTGGAAACCAAGTATCCGCTGAGTTCAATCTTGTTTATCGCTGGCACTCTTGTGTCTCGGCACGAGACGCAAAATGGTCAGAGGAGCTGTATGACGAGCTGTTCAATTGTCACGATCCAAAGCAGATTAGCCTGCAACAATTCACGCAGGGTCTCCGACAGTGGGAATCAAAGCTGCCGGCTGATCCCCAGGAACGTCCTTTCGCGAAATTGCAGCGCCAGCCAGATGGGAAGTTCAACGATGATGATCTGGTAAAGATCTTCCAAGAGGGTGTTGAGGATCCTGCTGGAGCGTTCGGTGCTCTGAATGTGCCGGAGGTCTTCAGAGGAATCGAGGTTCTTGGCATCAAGCAGGCACGCTCTTGGAATCTGGCCACCCTGAACGAGTTCCGTCAATACTTCGGCCTGGCTTCTTACACAACGTTCGAAGAGATCAATCCAGACCCGTACATCGCAAACCAGCTAAAGCATCTCTATGACCATCCTGACCTCGTGGAGTTGTACCCCGGGCTCGTTGTCGAAGAGGCTAAACAGCCGATGACCCCGGGTAGCGGTCTATGCACTAACTTCACGACCTCTAGAGCTATTCTATCGGACGCAGTCGCTTTGGTCCGTGGTGATCGATTTTACACTGTTGACTTCACACCGAAGCATCTCACAAATTGGGCGTTCAATGAGATCAGCGCTGACACCTCTATTGACGGTGGCCAGGTATTCTACAAGCTAGTCCTGAAGGCCTTCCCCAATCACTTCCGTGGTGACTCCGTTTACGCTCACTTCCCGATGGTGGTGCCTGAGGAGAACAAAAAGATATTGACTAGCCTCGGTCGAACTAAAACCTACAGCTTTGACCGACCTTTCCTCAAAGCTCCGACTCTCTTCATCAATTCACACTCTGCCTGCACGAAAATCTTGAATGACCAACCAGGATTCAAGGTAGTCTGGGGCGAGAAGATCCAATTCTTGATGGAGAATAGCGGTCGTCCCTACGGCCGAGACTTCGCCTTGTCGGGCGATCTCCCTGCCAACGCAAGTTCTCGAAAAATGCTTGGGGCTGCCTTGCACCGTGATAAATGGGAGTCCGAAGTGAAAGCCTTCTACGAGGATATCACTTTGAAACTCCTTGAGAGAAACTCTTATAAAGTCGCCGGTGTCAATCAGGTTGATATCGTCCGTGACGTTTCCGTTCTCGCTCAGGTCCATTTCTGTGCCAACGTTTTCTCCTTGTCTCTCAAGACAGAGTCCAATCCGAGAGGCGTATTCAGCGAACAGGAGTTGTACCAGATCATGGCTGTAATCTTCGCTTGCATTTTCTACGACGTGGATGTGTCCAAGTCTTTCCAGCTTTGTCAGACTGCTCGCAGTGCTGCACAACAGCTGGGTGAGCTGACGCTAGCAAACGTCGAGCTGGTGTCTAAAACTGGATTTATTTCCCACTTGGTCAATCGCCTACACCGTCACGATATCTTGAGTGAGTATGGCGTCCACATGATCCAACGCTTGCTTGACAGCCAGTTGCCGGTTAAGGACATTGTGTGGTCGCATCTCCTCCCCACGGCTGGTGCAATGGTTGCCAATCAAGGCCAGCTCTTCTCCCAATGTCTTGATTACTACCTCTCAGAAGAAGCCGCGGAGCATCTGGCTGAGATCCAACGTTTATCCCGGGAGGACACCCCTGAGGCTGACGAGCTTCTTGTGCGATAGTAAGTTCTTCAACCATCTGCTTGTACTCTGATGGGAATACTGACTGTATGCAGCTTCATGGAAGGAGCGAGACTTCGATGCTCCGTGGCATTGCCTCGCTTTGCCACTAAGCCTACAGTGATTGATGACAATGGCGAGAAGATCACTCTGAAGGCTGGCCAGGAAATCCTTTGCAACCTTGTATGTACTATGCTCTCTAGCGCTCTGTTTGAGGGTACTCTCCCTTTATCTGCCGTTGGATACTAATGAATCGTGCGAAACATAGGTTGTTGCCGGCCGCGACCCCATTGCATTCCCCGACCCGGATAAGGTCCGTCTTGATCGTGATATGAGTTTGTACACTCACTTTGGCTTTGGTACTCATCAATGCTTGGGCTTGAAAATGTGTCCGACTGCACTCTCCACCATGCTCAAAGTGCTCGGGCGACTCGATAATATTCGCCGTGCTCCCGGACCACAAGGTCATCTGAAGAGGCTTGATGGCTTGGGAGGAATCGCCATGTATATGGACGCTGAGCACAAGAGCTTCTCCCCGTTCCCCATGACTATGAAAGTCCAGTGGGACGGGGACCTGCCTGCTAGGAGGGGGTAAAACTTGCCCATGGTGGAACTGCCAGGCATTTAAGGCTTCTTTATTCTTCTTTGAAGTATTTCTAAAAGAGGTCTCTACCTAGGTCGGTCATGACCTAGTATTATGGATGTATACATAGGGTGCATGACTTCCCTCTACTGTCTCATCAGTTCGGGTCTATTTCGCTGAGCGCTAATAAACGGAAAACAACTGACGATATGAGATAACACACCTTTTGAGAGAGACGGAAGCCAATATATGAAGCTCATTGTAGTCAACATTTCAGTCAAGTAAAAGTGAACTTAACGATTGCATCATTTGTGTCCGAAAATATCCTGGGAAGTAACGACTCACCGTTCGATGCCTGAGGCCCGGTGGGGGGGAAAACCAGCGAGCCACTCCGCCCTTTCCATCTGCCGGCAAGACCCAGCTCCATTCACGAATCTTCTCGTTGCGTTGCTCTTCCTTCTTCCCTTCACTTCTATCGACCCAACACCTTCTCTCATCTTTTCCTGAAACTCCCTCACTCCCTCCCTCATACCGGTGTCAAAACTTTACGGATAACGACCTGCACTCGTTGTCCACTACTGCTTTGACCAACCACCGATATCTCATCTTTCAGCTCGGCCCTGAGCTTTCTTATCCAACTCTTACGAATTAAATCACATATTCAGTCTAGCATCGCTTTGCTTCGATTCGCATTTCGGTCATTACTATTGCTCAAGTGTTTATCACGTTGAGTCGACTCGGTTTTCGTTGAGGCAAGAAAGCACCCAAAAACGTCATAAGGCATCTACGCGCTTTCTCCGCGATACTGGTCTGGACGACCTCTCCGCTTCGACCTCTCTAGGAGATACCCCTCCTGGAATTAATCAGCTTCCTCATGTTTGTCTGGTCATACCACTCGTAACCATGGGGAGAATTAAGAAGGTCGCCAGCCAAAAGCATGAGGCTACAATCGTAAGTCACCCACCTTCCGGCAGCCTGATGACCACCCAACTAAAAAAATTTTCCTGTCATTATAGTCACCTTTTTTGCAAGAATTCATAACGCGCGCCACGAGCACTCCGACACCAGAACTTCCGTCTCTTCTCAACACATTCCCTAAGCTATGGCCGTTCCCGCGCGGTGATCTCTACCACTGGATCAATGTTCTGGACCGGTTCGACGAGATTCTGGGTTCAGTCGTTGAGAAATATTTCTTGAATACCGGCCCTCAAACCCAGTCCTTTACCCGAAGTGTCCTGGAGGAATCGTACGCGGCTGATGAGAGCAAGAAGCCCACCGAGGGCGTTGATGCCAAGCTAAACGCTCTGGGATATGGCCCAGATGGAGATAGAGAACTTGTGGAGGCAGTACTTGATTTTTCTCGTCTTTTGCTCGAGAAATGTGGCAATCGCAGCTTGTACAGCAGCAGCGATCGTCTGGGCGACCTGCTGAACACCACTTCACTGTCTCTACTCCAGTCTACCTTGCGGTTGTCTCTCTGCTTGGCCCAACGGTACCACTCTCGCCAGCGTGGTACCCATCAGCAGTCCGTATTACAATCCCACTATGCTCTTGATCTCGAGAAGTTGCAGAAGATTGCAGCGGCTTTCCCGCGTCCAGCGATTGCTAGTAAAACGCCATTTGCCGCATCCCCTGCCGTTTCGGCCAAGGGCAAAGAGAGGACAATTCAGACCAAAGTCGATGCCAATGAACTGGCGTCTCTCGTGCGCGACGACGATGGCTGGGAGGAATGGGGTGATGTTCGAATTCTCTACTACCCTTCGGGTTCCGAACAGACGAGAACGACCTCCGAATTTGGTCAGACGGAGCAGGGCTCACACGTTCCGACCACGCCGACTCCATTGCGCCGCAGTGCAACGCATCCTACTCCCCATCTTGCTCGGGGCTCGAATTCAGATGAATCACCAGGCGCCGCTGCCGCAGGTGGGAAGGCCGAAGAAGCCACACGAGGAGGCAAAGTCTTGGAACTTTCCCATTCAAAAGTTTCCGCTGCAAAAGTGGAAGATATCCTTGCGGTTAACTTGCCTCATCTGCCCCTTGAATCAAAATATGAGCTACTGCACAAGCTTCGAATCGCCAAGGCTCTAACAACGTCGCGTGCCACTCGGGAACAGATTCTTTCCATCAGAGCCCTGGCAGTGACCAACCTGGCTCATGTCCAACCGGAGACCACTTTCCAGCAAAAGGTCTTGCAATCTGATCTAGAGCAGCCGAAGCGTCTTCAGCTCGCTTACCAGCTAGCCGAAATAGTTCATCTTGGTGCTAGTGGTGACCTTCAAGTCTCGCGATCGGTTCAAACTTTGGCGATCCAGGCATTGGATGCGTTGGCTAAACACAAGGCTCGTGCTCCTGATGTTTGTGCAGCTCTAAGTGTCAATGTCAACCACGGAATCCTCATGTTCTTGACCCGTAAAATGGTCAACGAACTGGGCCCTGACAATGACGATCCCGATGAGGCTTACTATGATGAGTGGCGGGATGCTCTACTGGCGCTCCTGCGCACGCTCCCAAGCTCAAGCACCCGTACTCCGGAGACACTAGTCGCAGCCGGATTGATACCTATGTTTGTTGACGTCTTGAATCTGCGCACGGAAAAGGCCCGCCGAGTCTACTCTCGCATCATGGAATTCCTTGACACCTTTGTGCATGCAGTTCGGGATGCGCTGGGCACATTGACAACAGCAAAGGGCTTTGACGCCATGTCCGACCTGATCGACTACGAGACCAAGACCGCTTTTGAAAAGGTTAATCGGGGTGAAGGATTCCCTGCCCAATTCAAAAACCCCTCGGTCGATTATCAGATCCCTTACTTCCAACAGCAAACTCTGCGCTGGATGTTCCGTTTTGTCAATCATATTATGCAACATAATGGTGGGGGCTTCGATCGCGTCCTACGGAATTTGATTGATTCCCCTCAGCTGCTGACTTCTCTTCGCCTCGTATTCGAGAATGCTCGTGTGTTCGGTTCTCACGTCTGGAGCAATGCCGTCAACATCCTCATCAGCTTCATTCACAACGAGCCCACTAGCTATGCTATCATCGCTGAGGCTGGCCTTAGCAAGAGCCTTCTTGCTGCCGTCATGGGTCGTGAACTCCAGGTGCGGGAGAAGCCACCGGTCGTGGAGCCCGAAGGCCACGAAACCGAGCAAGAATCTGCTACTCAACCGCCCAGCGCTGCTGCCGCTGCCGAGTCCGAGGAAAAGAAGAAAGACCGCGAATACGCTATTGTCAGACCCCAGAACACGCCTCTCGCACCTGGCATCATGCCCGCAGCTGATGCTCTTGCTTGTATTCCGGGGGCGTTCGGAGCCATCTGCTTGAATTCCTCTGGTCTAGATCTTTTCCAGTCTTCTGATGCCCTGGAAAGCTTCTTCGAGATTTTCGAGAATCCAGAGCATGTCAAGTGCCTGAAAGATGACCCAGAACTGGTTCGCCAATTGGGCACAACCTTTGACGAGCTTGTTCGACACCACCCTGCATTGAAGAACTCTATCATGTCGGCCGTCCTCGTAATGGCCGCCCGAGTCAACATTTTGGGTCGAGTCAAGGCATGGCAGCAAGGCATGGGCACCAAGATGTGGGCCCAAGATCCAGATGGCAAAACAATTCTTTCTGGAGATATATTTTCCTTGTTCCGAGAAATCGGCACGGCGGTTGATGCATCCATCGAGGATCCTGCATCCTTTGGCGCTCCTCAGCTTAATGGAAACCTTCTACCTAATGGCGGCAAGCTTGTCATTGGGCATCTGGACCATGTACTTCCCTCGCCGGGCCCTGACTTCGAACCTATGGATCAAGATGCCCATGGACTCACAGCTACGGATTACTTGTTCCCAGCTCTTCGATTCCTGGGTGCGTTCTTTGAAAACCAGCCAAATTGTACATCTTTCATCTTGGCTGGCGGCGCAGAGTTCTTATTGGATCTCGCCACTCTTCAAAGCTTGGCATTCGATTTCCATAGCACCAACGCCAATCAAGAGATCACTGTGCTTGTTCACATGCTCGCGGAAACCAAGCCCCATCTTGTGGTTCCGTCTCTCGTACGGCGCGCCCAGGCAGCAGTGGATAATCTTTCGGCCTTTTGGACTGCGCCTACTGGGTCGGGATTCTTCACGGAATTAATCCAATCAACTGACTCTAAGAAGCCGGCCACGACTGTTGCTGCTACGTCTGGTACATTTTTTGTGAGGCACTTGAATGCTGTTCTTCTTCTCACCGACGTCCTTCGTGAGGTCTTCGCGTTGCCACTGTATCAGACGCGCCCTGGCCAGTCTACCTCCATCTTCGGTCAGGTCAACCTCGCAGACCACTACTGTGCCCTGGTTTCCTCGTTGACCAACCTTGTTGCTTCTTGCGTGTGGGAAGGGATCTTATTGGAGAAAAACATTCCTGACAAGTGGCTGAAAGCCACACAGGCCACCGCTGAAAAGCATGGGTCTGGGAAGTCCAAGATTGCTCCTGTTCCGGGAACCTCACAAGATCCTTCAGCGACTCCTGGAGCTGTATCTCAGGGTGAAGGCTCGGGTGCCCAAGAGACTGGTCAGGCTCAGCCAGACCAGGATCAGAAAGCAGATGAGACCGAAGTGGACGAGAAACTTCCTGCCTTCCAGAATGCCCGTACGCTTCGCTACCTTCTGAGCGCTCTGCCGACATCCATCACAGGTTTCTTGCACAATCTCGGACTTGGCATTATTGGCAAGAGACGTATTGATCCGCTCCAGAAGCAGAGGCAAAATGCCGGTATGGTCGCGGACGCCATTGCTGAAGGTATCCTTCGCCAGTTGCAGTTCAACCCTGCCAATTCGAGCGATAGCCCCAAGCATCGGTTCGCATATCTGATTGTCATTCTTTCTCATTTCTCCCACCTTCTTTATGAAGTCTCAGTCGAGCGCCCCACTCCGAACTATTTAACTTCGGTTCTCGTATCATTCAAGAAGAAGAACGGCCTCAAGGTGTTGAAAGACATTTGCGAGATCTTCTTGAACGACATCAAGTCCCTTCCGTCTGCACAGTCCATTCCCGACGAGGATAAAGAGCTTGCTGACCGACTTGCATCGGGATATGGTGGTATTAAAATCATTCTCGGATTGTTCGCTGACTTCACTGGTGGGAAAACTATCGTGGAGTCTACCCAGACACAGACCTTAACTACTAGTCACGAACGGGACCGGGGACGCCCTGATTACTTCCAGGTGGGCCAATTTTTGGTTGAACTTCGCATGGAGATTTTGCCCATGGCTCGAGACATGTGGAATTCGGACTTTGCGACTCAGTCATCGAGTCCAATCGTGAGATTGTTGATTGATATCATGCGGTCCTCCTTGGATGGTGAATACGAGACTGGCGCAGTTCGCAAGGCGGACACCCAACCTATCTTGGTAGATAGCCCTAAGAAGCCGTTCGTCATCCACACGGAACGGGCAGCTGCCTTGCTGGATAAAGGATACGCAGATGTTGAATTGAACAAAGAAGCCCTCTACCGTTGCAACAACCTGTTGGTGGCCGCCGAAGAATACTGCATGGCGCAGCGTTGGCTCCGAGCTCCTCCCAGGACTCCCCCAGGTCCAAATGATACCAAGACTGGTTTGCCCGAGCCCCCATCTAGCATCGACTCCCTTGACGACACTGGCCTCGGGGATATCCAGCCTTTCCGTGTCGGCGGTGGGCTTGAACGCTCTGCACTACACATGATCCTCGCCCAAGCTCAAGCGGCTCAAGTAGCTCAAACAGCTGCCGGAGGACTCGTCGGTGACGCTGACGAAGATGAGGATGAGGATGAGGATGAGGATGCTGATATGCACGATGGTTTGGCTAGAGCTCTGGACAACGTTCTCAACGACAATGACGACATGGAGCGCGATGGCCGAGGCGACTCATCGAATCAGAACCAGCCGGAGACTCACAATGCCGGTGCTAGCTCTTCTGAGCCTACTGAGTTATCCCAGGCAGAACCAGTCAGACGTCGTCACATGGTTACAGTCGAAGACTTGGATGCAGAGAGGCAAGACATCCGTTCAAATCTGATCGATAGGGCTTTGGACATCCTAAATGAACACCATGATGTCTCTTTCGAGCTCTCAGATCTGATCAATTCTGCTATCAAAAAGCATGGCGAGCCTGTTAATTTCCGTCGAGACATTGGAGAGACTCTAGTTCAGTCACTAGTCTCCTTGCAGATGGAGGACTTCCAGACCGCTGGCAAAAAGATTGCGGCCTACGCACATATTCTCGCCTTGACCATCCAAGACCGAGACATGTACTTTGCCACCCGTGAGGAGCTCAAGGATTGCTTCTCGACTTTCCTTGGATTTATCAAACTTCCCACACCCGAGAAGGCCGAACAAGAAACTTTCCCTTGGGTTGGACATGTCCTGCTCATTCTCGAGAAGCTACTGTCTGATGACTGTCAGCCCCCTGAGATCTCCTGGACCGCGCCGAGTTTCGATGATCCCAATCCCAGCGGTGACAAGCCAGCCAGTCTTGCGGAACCTCTCATCTCCCTTGATGAGAAAACCCACCTTTTTGAAGCTCTCGTCGAGATTCTACCCCGAGTGGGCAAGGACGACACACTCGCACTCTCCATGTGCCGTGTCCTTGTAACTCTCACCCGTGAGCGTAGCATTGCAGCCCGCTTTGGTGAAAAGCGCAACCTTCAGCGTCTGTTTGTGATGGTTAAGCAGCTTTCCAGTGCTACGAATGACAAGCTACAAAGTGCATTCATGTTGATCCTGCGTCACATCGTCGAGGATGAAAACACTGTCCGGCAGATCATGAGAAGCGAGATTGTTGCCAACTTCGAGTCCAAGACATCTCGCCAGATTGATATCAACAGCTATGTACGACAAATGTATCACCTCGTGCTAAGAGCTCCTGACATCTTTGTGGAGGTGACAAATGAGAAGCTACGCCTGCTCCGATATGACAGTCACTCGCGCTCTCAAAGTCTTGGATTGAAGGCCGACCACTATCGCTTGGAAAAGAAGCGAGGTCGGCTTCCCGCCCATCTCGACGAAAGCAAGCCTGAGTCCTCCGTCACAGGCGAACCCGATGCCTCTGAAAACAATGACAAGAGCAAGGAGGATAAAGGCAAGACTCCAGGCAAGGGCGCTGAACTCAAAGCCCCTATTGTGGAAAACCCTGATGGTGTCATTCACTACCTTCTTTCGGAGCTTCTTTCCTACAAGGACGTTGACGACAAGGAACCTGGCCCTGACTTCTCGGAGACAGGTGACCAATCTGACAATCAAACTGATGTTGAGATGTCTGTGGACGAGCCTAACCCTTCAGTTTCAAGTACTACGGAAGCACATACATCTCGCACTTCTAAGAAGCCCGAAAAGCCCCAATTTAAGGCTGACGAGCACCCTATCTACATTTATCGCTGCTTGCTGCTTCAGTGCTTGACAGAACTGCTTTCCTCATACAACCGGACCAAGATCGAGTTCATCAACTTCTCCCGCAAGGCAGATCCTCTTGCTACGACGCCATCCAAACCCCGCTCTGGCGTCCTCAATTACTTGTTAAACGTGCTTGTTCCCCTCGGCACTATGGAGCACGATGAGACCTTGGTATTCAAAAAGCGCAGCATCACGTCCACGTGGACCATGCAAGTACTCGTTGCGCTTTGCACCAAGACTGGCGAACTTGGCGGTGTCGGCAAGCGTCGCACTGAGCAGAAGTATGATGAAGATGACACTGACCTTTCCTTTGTCCGCCGATTTGTGCTGGAGCACGCTCTTCGGTCCTACAAAGATGCTATGGCCTCTACGGAGCCCCTAGATATCAAATACTCCAAGCTCATGTCTCTGGCCGATCTCTTTGACAAGATGCTCAGCGGGTATTCCTTCACCAACGACGCTGGCTTCCCAACCTCAACCAGGCAGGTTGCGAAGACCATGTTTGAGAAGAACTTCATCCCCGCGCTTACTGCTTCAGTCGCCGATGTCGATTTGAACTTCCCATCGTCCAAGCGTGTCATAAAGTACATTCTTCGTCCGTTAAACAAACTCACCCAGACTGCAGTGATCCTCAGTGAGAACTCAGATGTCAGTATTCAAGGTGACAACGAAGAGGACGAAATCTCGTCCGCAACATCCGTTTCTGACATGGAAGATCAACGCGAAGAAACGCCCGACCTCTTCCGCCATTCCACTCTTGGCATGCTGGAGCCTCGCCACGACGAGGAAGAGAGCAGCACCGAAGAATCGGAGGGCGAAGACGACGAGATGTATGACGATGAGTATGATGAGGAAATGGACTACGATGAGGATATTGCCGAAGACGACGGTGAAGTCGTCAGCGATGAAGATGATGACGGCATGGGTCCCATCGAAGGTCTTTCCGGCGATGCAGTCGAAGTCATCCTCGACGAAGATGAAGATGATGACGAGGAGGATGAAGATGATGAGCACGACCACTCGGACATGCATGATGATATGTACGACGGTGAAATCGGTGGCGACCGGGACAATGAAAGCCTGGAAGATGGTGAAGATGAATGGGAAAGCGAAGAAATGACCGAAGACGAAGAAGAGGTCGAGATGATGAACCAGTTCGAAGACGAAATGGCCGACCTCAGACAATCCAATCGTCACCCAGGTAGCGATCGTCATATTGGCGATATATTCCGGGCCCTTAATGAGGCTACTGGTGTCAACCACGGAGATGGCCTAGGTGGCGACATTCATGAAGAAATTCTTGATGACCTAGACGAAGAAGGTTTGTCCTCCTCCCTGCTCGGCGAGCTACTAAGGCTTCTACGATCGATGCTGACTTCTCGTCCAGGCGAAGACGAAGATGAGATGGACGAACTCGACGAAGACATGGACGACTTCGACGATGAACAAGGGTCTTACGGGGACATGGAAGGTATGTCAAATTTGTCAACCAATCGCTTTGCTGAATCATCACTAATCCGCTTAGAAGAAGATGATTTACTTGAGCCCTGGGGATGGGAAGGCGACGAGGCTGCAATGGCTCGGGCACATCCCCAACCTCGCTTCCGCGGAGGCGCGCCACCCGCGTGGGCTGCCGTCACTGAAATCATGCCAGGTCGCTCCGGCGGCCTTGTTCCCATCCAACATTACCCCCGTGTCCACCGAACGCAAATCCCGACCCGGGGAGCCGACGATGGCACTAATCCTCTTCTTGTCCGCACCGATCGTCCTGATCCCAATGTTCCGTCTCGTGGGAGTGCTACTGATCCTTTCGCGGATTGGGGCCAGTCTATGGACGCTGCAGGTGGCCGGGTCATCGCAATGGACAGCCCTATCAGCTTCATGAACGCCATCATGCAGGCCATCGGCGGTCAGGCGGCGCCAGGATTCGGCGTTGTTACTCGCCCAGATGGTATCCATGTTCATGTCGACCGACGGGCAGTCTTGCCCGGCCGCATCCAGGATATGCTCGGAATCCCCCGAGGATCAGGCCCTCCCGCTCGCACACGCGCTGATGATCCACATACTGCCGTCAAGTTTGGCCTCGCTACCACCAGAAACCGCTGGCAAGAAGAGGCTCGCATTATCTTCAGCAATCAATATGTTGAGCGGACCCAACAAGTGATCAAATCTATCTTGAGACTTCTGGTTCCCCCTGCGATTGAGGAAGAAAAGCAGCGCCAGAAGCAAGCTGAAGAGGACCTCAAGCGCTCTCAGGCTGAAAGGGCCGAGAAGGAACGCCAAGCTGCTGAAGAAAAAGCGCGCGAGCTTAAACAAAAGCAGGAGGAAGAGGCCGCCCGACTACTGGCAGAGAAAGAACGACACGAGGCTGAGCGCCAAGCTGCTGGGGTTGATGAGCCCATGGAAGATGTACAGGCAACCGATGCCGCGGCTGAAGCCGCTGGTCCATCTGCTCAACCCGAAGCCCAGCCTACTGAGCCTACCCGTCGCGTTCATACAAACATCAGGGGCCGCGAACTTGACATCACTGGTCTAGAGATTGATCCTGAGTATCTGGAGGCTCTCCCTGAGGAGCTTCGGGAGGAAGTCATTATGCAACAGCTTTCCGAACAAAGGCACCAAGCTGTTGCCGCAGGCGAGGAGCACACCGAAATCAACCAAGAATTCCTTGAGGCCCTACCCGCCGAGATCCGTGATGAACTGCTTCAACAAGAAGCGGCCGATCGACGCCGGCGCGAACGTGAAGCTGCACGACGACAAGCAGGTCCTGCTGCTGCTACTTCTGGTACTCATCCGGCAGAAGAGATGGACGCTCACAGCTTCCTGGCCACTCTTGATCCCTCTCTCCGCCAGGCTGTTCTGGCAGATCAGCCTGAAGATATTCTCGCAACACTGGGCCCCGAATACATGACCGAAGCCCGCGGGTTGGGTGGTGGCCACCCACGCATTGCCCAGTTTGGCGACATGGCAGCCATTGATCACCGACAGAGAATGGAACCTGCTGCAACCCAATGGCCAAAGAAAGAGCGGAGACGTCAAATCGTGCAAATGCTCGACAAGGCTGGTGTTGCAACTCTTTTACGCCTGATGTTCATGCCCCTCCATGGAAACGCTCGCCATCAATTGAATGATATCCTACACAACGTCTGTGAGAACCGCCAGAACCGGAGTGAAGTCATCAGTCTTCTTCTCTCTGTTCTGCAGGATGGCAGCGTTGATTCCACTGCAATTGAGCGCAGCTTTTCGCATCTTTCCCTGCGCGCTAAGGCACCGGGGGCCCAGAAAACACCCCAGGCCAACAAGCGAAGCGTCGCCCTTCAGACTGCTTCGAGCGTCAGCAGTGAAGTTACTCCGCTTATGGTTATCCAGCAATGTCTAGCCACACTGTCTTTCCTTTCGCAGTTTAATCCTCACGTGGCTTGGTTCTTCCTCACGGAACATGACTCTGCCTCGACTGCCAAACTTAAGTCTCTGCGCAAGGGTAAAGGCAAAGAAAACCGAGCTAACAAATTCGCTCTTAACGCACTGCTTTCTCTTCTGGATCGAAAATTGATCATGGAGAGCCCCAATTGCATGGAGCAACTTTCTACCCTCCTCAGCTCCATCACGCAGCCATTGACTGTTCTCCTTCGTCGTGAGAAGGAGCGACAAGAAGAAGAGAAGGGCAAGCAGCCTGAGCGAGCTCAAGTCGAAGAACCTACCGGACAAGCTGCCGATTCCACCGAGGACACATCCATGACCGATGCTCCTCTGCCTACTGTCGAAACAGCAGGAGCCCCCGGCCAAGAAACAGCAGAGGGCGGAGAGGCTACTTCAGCCGAGGCTGGAAAGCCTGAAGATTCTGACAAACAAGTTGAGGATGAGAAGCGCAAGAAACGTACGATCGAACCTCCTGTCGTCCCTGATCACAATTTCCGACTGGTTGTTCACATCCTTGCGGCTCGTGAGTGCAACGGCAAGACGTTCCGCGATACCCTTTCCACTATCAACAATCTTTCTGCCATCCCAGGAGCGCGAGACGTCATCGGGAACGAGCTGGTTGCCCAAGCGCAGGCCCTGAGTGATACCATCCTTGGTGATTTGGAGGATCTTCTTCCCCATATCCATCAGGCCAAGACTGGCACCGACATGCAGGGACTGGCTCTTGCCAAGTTTTCCCCAGCCAGCTCAGACCAGGCGAAACTGCTACGTATTCTGACAGCACTTGATTATCTGTTTGATCCTACACGAGTGGACAAGACCAAGGGCACTGAGCCCGAATCTGCTCCCAAGGAGGATGTGCTGAAGCGACTCTATGAAAGCGCCACCTTCGGTCCGCTGTGGAACAAGTTGAGCGACTGCTTGACCGTTATTCGTCAGAAGAAGAACATGCTGAACGTGGCTACCATTCTCCTTCCTTTGATCGAAGCATTGATGGTTGTTTGCAAGAACACCACCTTGAAGGACCAGCCGCTGTCCCGCGGCAGCCGTGAACTATCAGTGAACAGCACCCAAGCCGACAATGGCATCAGCATGGAGAATATCTTCTTCAAGTTCACTGAAGAACATCGCAAGATTCTCAACGAGCTTGTCCGCCAAAACCCTCGCCTGATGAGCGGCACTTTCTCTTTGCTGGTCAAGAACCCCAAGGTCCTGGAATTCGACAACAAGCGCAACTATTTCACCCGTCGTGTCCACTCCCGTGGTGCCGAACCTCGCCACCCTCATCCTCCTCTTCAGCTCTCCGTGCGCAGAGCTGAGGTTTTCCTTGACTCTTTCAAGTCCTTGTACTTCAAGAGCGCGGATGAGTTAAAGTACGGCAAACTGAACGTGCGATTCCACGGCGAAGAAGGTGTCGATGCCGGTGGTGTCACAAGAGAATGGTTCCAAGTCCTTGCTCGTGGCATGTTCAACCCCAACTATGCGTTGTTCATTCCTGTCGCTGCCGATCGGACTACATTCCACCCCAACCGCCTCAGTGGTGTCAATTCCGAGCATCACATGTTCTTCAAGTTCATTGGGCGGATCATCGGCAAGGCTTTGTACGAGGGCCGTGTTCTCGACTGTCACTTCAGCCGAGCAGTCTACAAGAACATCCTTGGGCGATCCGTGTCCATCAAGGATATGGAAACGCTTGACCTGGACTACTACAAATCACTGCTGTGGATGCTGCAGAACGATATCACTGATATCATCACCGAGACCTTCTCCATTGAAACTGATGACTTCGGCGAGAAGCAGGTCATCGATCTGAAGCCCAATGGTCACGAAATTCCGGTTACGGAAGAGAACAAGGAGGAGTACGTTCAGCGCGTGGTTGAATATCGCCTGGTTGAGTCAGTTCGCGAACAGCTGGACAATTTCCTCAAGGGATTCCACGAGATCATTCCTCCTGATCTGATTTCCATTTTCAACGAGCAGGAGTTGGAGCTCTTGATTTCGGGTCTTCCTGAGATCGACGTGGACGAGTGGAAGAACAACACCGAGTACCACAACTACTCTGCCTCGTCTCCGCAAATCCAGTGGTTCTGGCGTGCGGTTCGTTCATTCGACAAGGAGGAGCGTGCCAAGCTTCTCCAGTTCGTCACTGGAACCAGTAAGGTTCCTCTCAATGGCTTCAAAGAGCTTGAGGGTATGAACGGTGTGAGCAAATTCAACATCCATCGCGACTATGGCAACAAGGATCGTCTTCCCAGTTCCCATACCTGTTTCAACCGTAAGTTCTTGACCCGCATTCCCCGTCTTCTGCACCAGCACAATTTACTAACTCTACTTTACAGAGCTTGATATTCCCGAGTATGAGAGCTACGAAGATCTTCGCCAGCGTCTTTACACGGCCATGACTGCTGGCAGTGAATACTTCGGCTTCGCCTAAATTGTTTTCCTGTTCTACGGCATGGGGGTTGCTTCTATCAAACTAAAGCATTTCTCTGGCGTTTCTGATCGTTGTGGGATTCCCTTCTTACTGGAAACAGTTTCAGAGACAATTGAAGGCTGGCATTAACCAGCAGGAAAATTTCGTTACTTGCAGATGCTATTGAGGCGGCTGGTAAAGGGTTCGGTTGAAGTGCAGGTCAACCTTAACTTTTCCAGTCTCCCCTTTTATGTACTTAGTTGCTGCATTTATATTGTCTCGTTCTATTTCTCTACCAGTCTGCCTCGTAAATTGTGCATATGTAGTACTTTGACTAGATTGTAATACACAGTATGTCAATAGGAAAGGAAGCAAGTCCTTTGCTATTCCGTGTACGTACCTCGGATCCTCAAGTCTTGGCGGAATTATCTCATCAGGCGGTGAGCTTGTCACGGGACTACATCGAAAAAAGTCATGCGGGGCGCGCGGAGGAAATCGATTTTTTGAGTCGGCAACACGGTCAACGAGACTCTCCCTTCTTAATTAATCCACAGAGCCTTGCATCATGTCGACCAACTCCATCAAGCTGTTGACTGGCAACAGTCACCCGGAGCTTGCCAACCTCGTTGCTGACCGGTATGTGACACCGACTAGCTCAACGCCCGGCAAGCGGCTAATCCAAAGATACTAGGCTCGGCATTGAGTTGACCAAGATTATGGTCCTGCAATACTCCAACCAAGAAACCAGTGTCACAATCGGCGAGAGTGTCCGCGACGAAGATGGTACAAGCATCCCACCTTAATCGTGATAACCAGAGAATCAAAACCCCACTCACATATATGACTCGTCATAGTCTTCATTCTCCAATCCACGAAACCCGACGATATCAACGACGGACTCATGGAGCTCCTGATCATGATCAACGCCTGCAAGACCGCCTCCGCCCGCCGCATCACAGCCGTCATCCCCAACTTCCCATACGCCCGCCAAGATAAGAAGGACAAGAGCCGTGCTCCCATTACCGCCAAACTCATGGCCAACATGCTCCAGACCGCCGGCTGCAACCACGTTATCACCATGGACCTGCACGCCAGTCAGATCCAGGGCTTCTTCAACGTCCCCGTCGACAACCTGTACGCTGAGCCCAGTATGCTCAAGTACATCCGCGAGAACCTCGATGTCAGCAACTGTGTCATCGTCAGCCCGGATGCCGGTGGTGCTAAGCGGTGAGTTTGCGAAAGACATGTGTATCTTTGTATCGGTGCTTTTTCAGTCCGAGGACTAATCTTGGGGTTTCCGTTAGTGCTACTGCTATTGCTGATCGCCTGGACTTGCAATTCGCACTTATTCACAAGGAGCGTGCTCGCCCCAATGAGGTCTCGCGCATGGTTCTTGTCGGTAACGTCAAGGACAAGGTCGCTATTATCGTTGACGATATGGCCGACACTTGCGGTACGCTCGCCAAGGCCGCTGAGACTGTTATGCAGCACGGCGCAACTGAGGTCAACGCCATTGTCGTGCACGGTATTCTCTCCGGCAAGGCTATCGAGAATTTGAACGGTAGCTGTCTGAAGCGGTATGTACAACTTTCCGAGAATCGCCCATGGGTCATGTGCAACGAATTGGCTAACCTTTCAACAGCATCATCGTCAGCAACACCGTCCCGCTGGGCGACAAGATCGAGCGCTGCGATAAGATCAAGACGATTGATATCAGCCCTACATTGGCAGAGGCTTGCCGCCGTACACACAACGGCGAGTCAGTTAGCTTCTTGTTCTCGCACACTGTGGGGTAAAATCAGGCGAAATTGAATCATTACATGAAGTTAACGGATCAATTCTACATTACCTAAGGGGATACTGAATCCTCGTGAGAATGGTCCCGCGAAAACCGTGGGGAGTGTGAGCGGGAAACAAAAAGTACGATTCTTATGACCCTTTTTTATTAGCCCAACGAGGATGTTAGTTCCCGGCTGTTTTATTATTGTTTTACTCTGTTCTTTTTGCCTCTTCTGTTTAAGTGAGAGAGAGGACCGACGTTGAATGTCGGCTTCGTGCTTTATGCGGCTCTCTGGAGACTGGCGGAAGATGGTGTCCCTGGGAGGTTTCTTCGATTGCACTGTGCATCGGTTGTTGTTCATTGCTATGCAGAGTTTCTTGTTCTTATGTCTAGGTTATTCGAGGTCTTGGGGCTGTTTACCTACAAAATAGACATGATTTTGTCCAATTGGGAACTGTTCTTTGGTTGTTTGGTGTAGATCGTAGGTAGGAATATAATGGGGATGTGCGTCCATCGCCCGTGCTCTTTGGTAGGTAACCACTGAGTGGTCTCAGCCTCTGGTCTGTACTGCTGCTACCTATATCTTGACACTTGAGGTGAGATACAATGGAACTCGTATTCATCAACTGCCTAAGTTGTTAAGACCGTAAGACGGGCTGCAACCTAGAAGGGAAATTTCTTAGCGTGGATGGGAGTCGACCTCATCTATATATACACAGACTGTGGACGAGATTCTGGGTTGGATGGACTGAGGAATGTTCCGGTTGCATGCTACATTACACGAGAACTACAATGTAAACGAGCTACTTGATCGTGAAAAAAGCAATTGACAGAACTGAGTATTGAAATTGGCATCCATTCAAGAAAAAAAAAGGGTCATCAAAAAAAGGTAGGTTCAACACAGACGGGCATAGCAACTCCGAAGGCCCGAGATCACCGTAGCCAAACACCCAGGGAGCAACCATCCAGCCTGCTTTGTACGTTTTGAAACCTGTTTCCCGTCTCTTTTCTTGTTTCCTTTTTCTTTTTTATCAGACATGTATCCTCCGCGCCCCTGAGAGTGATTCCTTTTTTGTGAATTCCCCTAACAACATCCCAGAGACGTGAAGCTCCTCGATTAAACCCCATCGCCGCAGAACGAAATCATAAAATCGCGGTGATTGGAAGTTTACTTGCGCATGGAAGAAGCTCTCCGCTTGCGGAGCTCGTCACGCTTGGCCTTCTCCTCGTGGACACGGTTGGCAAGGAGCTTAGCGTAGTCGTTACTGTAGACCTGTTAGTTCTGATATTCCGGATCAAACCACACAAAGCCCATAATCGGAGCAGAAAAAGCGAGGGAATCTTACGCAGCATCACGGGCAGTCTCAGCACGGCGGCGCTTGATGGCAACGCGTTGGCGCTTGCGCTGGAGACGCTGGGGGGTAACCAGACGCTGGATCTTGGGGGCCTTGGTGTAATCCTTCTTGCCCTCCTTGGTGACGGTACGGCGGATGACGAACTTGCGGACGTCGTCCTTCTTGTCGAGGCCGAAGAAGCGACGGATCTTGGTGGCACGCTTGGGACCGAGACGCTTGGGGACAACGGTGTCGGTGAGACCGGGGAGCTCACCCTCACCCTGCTTGACGATGCTCAGGGCAAGAACGGAAAGGTCCAGACCGGTGATGGCACCGCGAACGGACTTGCGCTTGCGCTCACCGGTGCGGCGGGGGCGGTAGCAGCTGTGGCCGTCGGCGAGGAGCAGACGGGTACGGGTGGGGAGGAGAACTGTAGTAAGAAATTCGATGAGTATTCTGGTTGTTTTGTGGCGAATGTATTCCCCTGGAGAAATTGATGGTTTTTGTTCCGTCATTCCCCAGGTTGTTGTGCGGCTGTGTACGTACCACCCTGCTTCATGGGGAAACCTGTAAGTCAAAATTCGTCAGCATTGTGGTTCTTCATGTGTGCGTTGATTCTCATTCTCCATTATCGAGTTGGTTGTTTCGATATTGGATATTGAGGATTGGATTGTATGCGTACCCTGCTTGTCGTTTCCACCGGTGATCTTGAACAAGTAACCCTTGAACTCATCGCCGAGGGAGTCGCCGACAACCTAATCAAAGATAAATTCCTATTAGCCAGTCGTTCTCCATAGTCGTGTGTGCGTGTATTTTCATCATCGATTTGAAGGTCGGATAGGCGGGGAGGGATGGAGGGTAAAAGGGAGTGCTGACTTCGGCGCCCATGCGCTTCTCCATGAAGGGACGGAGCTTGCGCTCATCGTCGATCTCGATAATTTTCTGCGACCCATTGGCCGGGTAGGAGACGTTCAGCTTCATCTTGACGGAGGCGGCGCGGTCAAGACGGTAGCGCGGGTGTTGTCGACTTGTGGGATTGTCGTCGGAGGGATCTGTATTGTGGATTTTTTTAGTCCGCCGGCTTAGCGAGGTGCAAGTCACGTGTCACGTGTGGGAAGTAGGGCTTGAGTTGGCTCAAATAGGATTAGCGCAGGTCATGTGGATCATGTGACCCGACATCCGCACCCTATCAAATTTCTTTTCCTCCAACCAACCATCATGTTTGGCAAGAAGGGTTTACTTTTCTCTTCCAACATATCGCCCAACTCTGTCAACCAGTTCTGGGAGGGACAAATGACAGCCGACGACTAACTGAGGAGTACGACGGCGCATAGCTATCGCTCCTATGTACTTCCTCTCCCCCTGGAACCAACAACCAACACAGTCGCTGCTAGCTTTGCCTAGGGCATATTACATTCCAGATATCCAGCACGACTTTTGAACACGACCGACCCGACTCACTCGCGGGACAATGAATCGATGTTTCGGCTCATGGACAGCCCCGACCGGCTGGACGCCAATATTCATATACCAAGCCTGGACACAGTCTCACAAAGCGACTCATTGATAGCCACCAGTACCTTGTACGACAATGCCAACGCCAACGCAGCCTTTACTAACTTAGTTCGCCTTATTATCCGATTCGGGCCAAGGAGATCATCGTAAAGAAAGGATCCAGAAGCATATTGACGGACTAATCGCGCATCGGGCTACAATTGACTACGTGATGTATTGCTGAACTACCAATCAATTTGCCAATACTCAGTTCTGAACATCCATCTGGAAAATCGCTTTGTAATTTGTAGCCATCATTGTCCATAGTTAGACTGTGATTTCTACCACCTGTCGAAACACGATTCTCACTTGCCTATGCACATTCAACATAGAAATGATGCCTTGCCAGACCCAGAAGACCTGCCTAGGTGGGCCGCTATTTCTAATGAACTATTCCTCAACACATTGACATCATGATGTCTCAAATGACTCCGCTCTAAAGATCTGCATCGTGAAGTATACAATGTCTTGGCACGTCCATCCTCCCATGTACAAGATGGCAGACTGAACCTCGCAAAAAGCATAAGATATTTATGCAGCTGCGATCTTCTCTAACTATAGTTGCAACCTTGGAAAACAGTGCCAGAAATCCAGTCAATACCTGGGACCATGTGTAGAACGCCACCGGATGTGGCCTCGTGTGGTGGGCTTTGTATGAGATGCAACGTTCCAGTGCACCTAGACCCGAGCTGTGGCCACTCACATCCTCTTTGAAGGATCTTCGCTGTAGAAAAATAAGCAAGCTTCAGATAAACTTGAATAAACATTGTCTCGAGGCAGACGCGAAAGTCAAAATTGCCCAGGTGGAAGCACGATCTTAGTCCGTCGGCTTTCTCCGGCCGAACTTTGAGGCTATTCTACGAACACTTGTGATGAAAGAGCTCGGACTTTGCGTTTCCTGTCTAAGGCTGTCTTTTCTAAGTCTTTCAGAACTGTATTCAATTTCTGTCGTCTTTGTATTACTTGTTGTGTTCCTAGAAAACTTGCTACATCACATCAGCATCATCCCTAATATCATCCCTTTGACACCAAGCCACTCTCAAGTGCCAACGCATTCGACAACTGATTAATTTTGTGGAGACTCGTGGAGGGCTAGCCAACCAGACTGACCACACGGCAAGGCGTGGTCGCGCCGGCTTTGTTCAATAGCAAGCTTGGCATCCCGGGGAGGTCAAACGCAGAGAAACAGACATCATGTCTCACCGATATATCCGAAACATGAAGAGATCCTGGCCCAGGCGGCAACGGCAATCTTCAGAGATGCGACTGTCTGCGCCGTGTTAAGCAAACTGGACTCGGCCTGCCAAACTGGCTGTCTTAGGCTCGTGTTGCAGACTTCAAGGGCCAGTTCCGGCAAGGAAGGGGTGTTGAGTCGCATGCTCTTGAGGGTCCCCATGGAAGCTGTCGAGCTCCGCTAGAATTGCGTGATTTACGTAGTGTTTTTAGTCCAGGGCTATGGTTTGGATTTTCATTTACAAGGGACTATGACGCAGCAAGCAAACAGACCTCCATTCGGAGCTATCAAGAGCTTGGACAGGAGTCAGGACAGACTTGAAAGTCATTCTGACGTAGTTGGTCGACGTGACCTTCGTGCCAGGATCGAGTCTGTGGGCGACAAGTACAAGGATACACTGCGGATCTTAGAAGAATGGAACGAGAAGCTACGTAAGGTGTCAAAGGAGTGGGACTGGCGCAATATCTATCTACAAAGGTACCTTTCTAGTATGAATGCTGTTATGACGGAGCTCTACGCAGGCCTTGGAGAGAAGACCGGAGTAGGGAATGGTATGGAGGTTTGGAAGAGTTCGTGGCCCCTTTTGTTAAGAGTGAATTCCATGTCATGATGTCAAAGAAGAAACAGTGTGAGCAGCCAGACAAGTATCTGTGGCATGTCATCCTACTCTCTGGAGAAAATCCGGAGGAAGATCGACAGGTCAAAATGCCTGTCTCGCTGACCGAGACCACATGTCGATTTCAGGAACGAGGTGCATTGGGCGCTTCAATGCCTCAACTCACCGGTTCATAGTAATGGTTGTCTGGATCCGAAGGAAATGTGTCAAGACGCCACAACCGACGGGGGTTTGCAGCTTAGACATTGTCCTGATCAATGAGGTGTCTCTCTCTCTTTTTCTCTCACACAAACAAGTGAACAAAATGAGGGGAGAAAAATAAAGAACAGTGACAAATATGGCGTCTCGCAAGGGGGAGTCTATAGTCTTGAAGTCGGTACCCGAGAAAGTGTCAAACGAAGTGGCCGACTATACTTGATGCGGGTGTGCAATGGCCATGTTCCAGTGAACTGGGCCGGGAGAGAAAGAAAAAAGAAGCATAAAGACAAGTGTGGACTGTGGAGCCTCAGTCCTTGAGGTTGAATGACTTGATTCTCCCGAAAAGGAGAAGGGCACGGTAGTACCGATGTCAAACCAAAGACTGGAACCTGCAGAGGTACTGGGTAGACGGGAAATCCATTAAGACATAAAGCCTGTTACCTGAGACAAGGCTAGGTACATGGTAGAATAAACGGGGGAAAAGAAAAAGGAGAAGAGAAAGGGTGGTATTGTTCTCGAAGTCAAAGCTGTCACTGCAACGCATGGTGGAGTGGGATCGACGAGCATGAGATCATCTTCAGATCCCCGGGTGACAAGCATGTGCTAAGTTAGCTATTCCGCCTGGGCAACCTTTCAATGAACGTGAATAAGAATGATATTCCATTTTTTTTTTTTTTTTGACTTTCCAGTCCAGGTGACAATTGACAATGCCATGAGACAATCAATAGTAAAGTTTAAAAATGAAATCATCCCAGTAAAAAGAAGAAAGGAAGGAGCAAAAATGAAAAGAGGAAGTGCTTATCCAGAAATGTTTGTAACAATTTGAAGTTTGTTTCTTTGTTCGATTTGCCGGGGAACTGATTTAGGAAATCTTCCAGCCAATCAGCATCAGGACTAGTTCGTTGGTGGACCGCCCGACCAAGCGGGTCGCCGCATCCGGAGACAAAGAAAACAATGACTCTGGTGGGCCCTGGAAATGGGGGATCAAGTAGGAATTCAGCAAATTAAATCGAATTAACTAAAAAGTGAGTTCCTTAGCGCCCTGTTTTTTTCTGGGTCTACGATCTGGAAGGTACCGTGTCGTCGGACTTCCTTGGAAGTATAGAGATTAGAGAAGGAGCGTAAAAAATGAAGAAACTGGGAAGGATTACACAGTATAACAAAGAATCACCAATTCCCTTATTTTGGATAACCTCGTTTTCTCCTTCCCTTGATCTCCACCAATTTGCGTATTTATCTCGGTTGGCTCGGTCGGATTAGCAAGTGCAATCTGGAGCTATTGTCAAAGAACAAGCCGCTAGACAGGGATTTGGATGGGGAAGGGAAAGCCCAACCCAAGACAAAGAAACCCGCTCTTTCTAGTTAGGGCTTTTGTTCAAACGCCCATATACTTCGCTTTGTCTAATCCCTGAGGATTCCCTAGTCTTTCAATCTTATCCCAATCCTTATTGGGATTATTTCTCAGTTGCCCCCCATATTGATCATCTTCTTTGTCTTTCACTTCTGGCCCCTCGTCCTGTTGTCTTTCAGGTTACTTCTTACTGGGTCCCTTCCCCCCCTCACCACATTAATTTCTGTCTTCTCTTTCACCCATACTTTGCCCAGACCTTCCCCTTGTGGCCTGTTCTCTCTTTGATTCAAAGTTCGCCTTCGAGCCCTTTCATGGGGGGTAGAAGTATTAAATAAATGTCTTACGATCGAGTTCTCCCCAACCCTATTGCTTTGCGCTATGAGTCTGCCCAAGTCCCTTCTCTCAGACCGAGCAACCTCCTCGATCACAAGATTATGAACGATCTACCCAAGCCTACTATGGTCATGCGACATGCCGATGGAGGCCCAGTGGGAGCCTCTGTCAGATACGCTGATGCTCGACCAACGGGGCTATCACAAACTCATCAGCACATGTCTTCACTGAGGGGAAAAGACTCCCGCAATATGCCTTCGAATGGTCCGGTCAAACCTGGTCCTATGCTGCATACCCAGGAACTACCCGAACACTCGGATCGATCATCATCTTCTTCAGCCGGCAGTACCAGTCCCATCAAGACGAAAGAACATGCTATGCAGTTCTGCCTCTGCCAACCGGATCCGAAAATCCCTCGTCCTCGTAATGGTGAGTCGATGTTATCCACACCGTCATTGGAGCTTGGCAAGTGATTTTTCGATTGTTTGGTTCGATCTTAGCCAGATCTGATCTTTCGAAAACATCGTGGACATAGCTAATACTTTTGCGGCATCTAGCTTTCATTCTGTACCGCCAACATTATCAAGCCATGGTTGTGGCTCACAATCCCGGCTTGGCAAATCCTGAGATTTCCAAGATCATTGGAGAGCAGTGGCGATCTCTTTCGGATGATGACAAGAGCAAATGGAAGGCCCTTGCAGAGGTAATGACTCCATGACACCTCTGACAATCTGTTTCTCAAGACTGACCATTTACCAGGAGGAAAAAGCTCGTCATCAGCAGCAATATCCTGACTACCGCTACCAACCTCGGCGATATGGTCGGGATGGTAGTGCCCGCAATCCCGGCTCTGGTATCGGTCACAACCCATCGGGATCATCACACTGCAATAGATGTGGTGGTCGACTGATGAATGCACCCGCTTCTCCCATGACCCCGTTCACACCGAGCAGTGGGCCAGGGTATCGACCGTCAGGGAGCTTCTCAGTGGCATCACCTCACCCCAATGCAATGCCACCAAGAAGCATGCAAGGCCGCGAGAAGGACCCCAATATGCCCCCAAAGCCAGCAAGGATGGAGCAGTCCGATTCCCGAGCTCGGCAAAGACAGTGGGAGGAGTCCGATGATCGATCTGTTGAGCCCGGTGCTCGGTCTCCGGATAATAAACGCCGCCGCGTTTCTCACGCTCCATTCCATCCATCTCTGCATTCCTCCTATCGAGACCGCAGTCCTGGAAGCGGCGTTCCCGAGTCACCATACCCAATGAGTCCTTGGAGTGCTCGTCCTGACATACCGCCACGTCACCTCCCAATGCTTCAACCACAGCGGCCATACCCAAGTGTCCAGGCCCAGCCACACCCGGATCCAAATCTGAAGCTACCGCCGCTCAAGACAACAAGTACACCTGCGCCCACACCTACAACACCGTTTCCACAAGAAGGATCCAGCGTCGAAGCAACTGTCATGACGATACCCTTCCTCAACAAGATCAAAGTCCTCTCCAGAATCTCCCCACCACTGCGCCCCTCCTTCCGCGGAATTCCTCCACCCCGCGGTCCCGTGATCGCCGTTGACGGCCATGATCCAGATCTCGTCCAAACAGCCGTCGACTTCCTCGAGAAGCTCCTCACAAAGGAACCCAAGTACCACATCCGGGTCTTCGACGGCCCCGAAGTCAAGGCACCCTGCCCCACCTCCGCAGAAGGCCAAATGGGGGATGCTACAGTCGCCTACCTCAACACAATTTCCGCCTGGCACCGCGTATCCGACGAAGTAGTCCGCTTCGTCAAACCCATCTCGAGAGCCGGCTCCGTTGACGCCGGCTCAACAGAAGACGAAGAACCCCCAGCCCCAAACGTTTCCCCGCGCTCCCTCATCCCCAAAACCGAAAACCTCCACATCCACTCCCCGGCTCAGCTGAGCGAAAACGGCTCCGAGGGTAGCGTCGCGACATCAGCCAGTCACCATACCGTGCCGATCGCTCTCGTCCCGCGCTACCAGCTCACTACGGCAGATGCATTTGCCTGTTCCATTCCCATTGGTGACGCGTACGCGCCGCTGGATCACTGGCAGTGGATGGCATCGCTGTGGCGCGCGTGTGTAGGACCTGATATCACTGTTTACATTCGTGAGTGCAGTAAGGAGGAGTTGGAGCGGGTGGGTGGGAATCCTGTTGAGGTGCGGTTGCAGGATGCGCGCACGATTGTGGTGAGAAAGGTTGTTGGGCGGGATTTGGAGGAGAAGGCGTTGAAGCGGATGGGTTTCGAGATTGAGGATTTCCTTACTCAGTGAGCTTTGGTGGACTGGCTCATGATGTATGTAATTTGGTGCATTGTGATGGATTCACTGGTTGGGGAGCGTGGATAGATTAGAGCGTGGTAATCTGATGAATTGGCCTATCGTGCATAGGTTTCCATCATAAACATTCGCTCATCACATAATAGTTAGTAGTACCTACAGTTAACTACTGCATAGTCATATCAAGGTTGATCTGATACGTGAGATGTCGTTCGAGACGCTACGCTCGGACCTCTTCTTATCCACAACCTTGGTTCCACCCCCGGAGCCGCCGGAAAGCGGTCAACTTTCTGCCAATATGTATTTCGAATCACGTTTTGTCCCTTTTTCTTGCCACCATCATGCCAGAAGAGAAGCTTGCCCTCGGCAGCTGGGATAGAGCCCCAGTACCTTTGGAGGACGTACCGCTAGGTCTTCCTAGATACTCAACTCCTCCATCGAGTACTCCCTGTTCAGTGAAACAGGAAGTAGCATTTCAAGATGTGAGATATGCGACAGATGAGGCCCTGGATACTTACATCCCAGTTGGCGTCCTCGGCAAATCTATAGCATCCTCTGCGGCATCCGAGATAGCCCTGCTGGAGAAACTCGGATGGATTAGGACGAATTCTCTTGACCAAAGCGACAATCTACAGATCTTCGTGTTACCAGATGCAGAACGCAGATATGTGCCGCGCCCAATGGGCAAGGCCAAAGCTGCTTTCAAATTCGTTATGTCGAAGATTGACAGCTCCCCAGAGGCGTGGAATAGTTTGATCTATGCCCCTGGTGATCAGGCTGTACTCAATGGCGAAGAGGATGAATCGCTTTGGTATATGTTCAATACGCTGCAGAGCCCCAATCCGACTTTGGATGGCATACAGGAATGGTACTCTAGGGACGCTATGGATGACCTGCTTCATGATTCAGCTCTGGGACTGAACACACAGCTTCATCAGTATCAGCGCAGATCCGCCGCACTGATGGTGCAGCGGGAAGTGCAGCCTGCATTTGTGCTTGATCCGAGGCTACAGGCTTGTCAGGGCCCAACTGGGGTGGAGTACTATTATGATAAGGAGGCTGTGAGCCTTTTTCGTGAAAAGATCTTGTATCCTGAGCCTTGTGGGGGCATTCTGGCCGAGCCCATGGGCTACGGGAAGACGCTCATTAGTCTTGCTGTGATCTTGGCTACCCGTGGACATTTTCCTAAGATCCCTGTGGAGTATCAGACGACAACGAATCCGGTCAGAAAGACGACTGGAACATTGATGCAAATGGCCGCCGCTGCTGCTTGTCATTTCTCTATACCCTGGAAGCAGGAATTTCAGAGACAGGAGATAGAAGGGAAGTTTTACAGGAATTGCATCAAGGCCTGCGAGGCCCACGGTGGCTCTTACGAGATACCGGCTCAACACAAGCACCAAAGCCGGGCTAGCTCATCGTATACTCGTCCGGCCAAGCAGATTCTCCTTTGTTCCGGTACCATCGTTGTTGTCCCGCTGAACTTGGTGAACCACTGGGAAAGTGAGATTGCTACGCACACTAGTGGGCTGAAGGTACTGGTCCTGCGAGATAAGTCGTCCAAAGTGCCTTCGACGGAAGAGCTACTGTCATTCGACATTGTCCTGTTCTCCAAGAACCGGTTCACAGCAGAAGTTCCAAAAAGAACAGCCAAGGACGTATCCAAGTCTCCTATTTTGAACCTTCACTGGTTGCGGGTTATCATCGACGAAGGCCACGATGTTGCCGGTCAAAGAACAGACATGGTTCACTTGCTGCAGCAACTGCACTTTGAGCGCCGTTGGGTCATCTCGGGAACGCCTTCCCGTGGCTTGTACGGGGTGGAATTGAATGGTGCTTCGCAGCGAGGGAACATAAGCGGCACCGAGTCATCCTCCAGCGGGCTCACTGCTGGCATTTTGCAAAGACGGAAAAATACAGGGCCAGCCATCGACGATGAGGTTAAAGATTTGGAGGGCTTGGGTCGCATGGTGGTCGATTTCCTTGACCTCAAGCCCTGGTCTAATGACCGTAGGCTTTGGCCAAGGTACACAAGACTGGTGGGTGAAGATGGCATACGCCGGAAAGCCCCTTCTCTGCGTGCAACACTGCAGAGCTTTGTTGTGCGGCACCCGCTTGATGTAATTCTCGAAGAGGTCACTCTTCCGCCAATGTCTCACGAGGTGGTATATCTCACTCCAACCTTCCATGACCGATTGTCCATCAACCTTTTCCTTTTTTCACTTGCTGTCAATGCCATCACATCGGAGCGTACCGGTCCCGATTACATGTTCGATCCGAAGAACCGAAAAAACCTCGAGGTGCTGATTGGAAATCTACGCCAGGCTGGATTCTGGTGGGTTGGCTCTGGCAAGGATATCGGAGGCACTGTTGACATTGCTTTGGAGTATTTGGAGAAAAACCGAGAAAAGATGTCCCTGGCGGATATCCAGCAATTGAGTCATGGGATCCAAATTGCACAAAAGGCGATGGGTTCATCCGCCTGGAATGAGTTCAACACTTTGCATGAACTCGGGGTCTATGTCCGGGGTTTCCCAGAGCATACTCGCAGCCTGTGGGCCCTTGACCGCACAGCCACAGACCAAGAGCCTCTGCTCATGGGCATCAACCAAGCCCGTCGTGCACAAGAGTTTGTGACGCAACATCTCCGCGCGTCTGATCCTGCCGAAGGTCTCGCAGGACACGGCATCAAAGTTCGCCAGGAACTGGCCAGCCACAGCGAGCAGGTTACTCACATCGGTGCCCCCGAGTCAGCCAGCGTCATCCCACAACCAGTGCAAAAGACCACATCCAAAAAGAGGAAACCAAAACACACTTTCGAGAAGAAACTCTTCCGCACTCTCCCCGACGACTCACCCCTGAGACAAACCGTCCTAGAAGGCGTAACATCCGCCAAACTCCGCTACCTCCTCGACAAAGTGCTCGAGTTCCAACAAACCGAAAAAATAATCATCTTCTTCGAAGACGACAACACAGCCGTCTGGGTCGCCGAAGGACTGGAACTAATCGCCTCCAATTTCCGCATCTACGCCAACAGCAAGTCCCTCAACCCCAAACTCCGCGACAAATACCTCAACCTCTTCCGCGACTCCGACGAAATCCGCGTCCTCCTCATGGACCTCAAACAAGCCGCCTACGGCCTGCACATCTCCGAAGCCTCCCGTGTCTTCATCATAAACCCAATCTGGGAACCTACCATCGAAAGCCAGGCCATTAAACGCGCACACCGGATTGGTCAGACGACGCCCGTGCGCGTTGAGACGCTTGTTTTACAGGGGACTATTGAGGACGCGCTGCTGCGGAGGAGGAAGGAGATGTCTGAGGCGGAGATGCAGAGTGCTAAGACGCCGTTGGATGATATGACTATGAGTGATATTATTCGCAATGCGGGGTTCTTGCCGATGGATGATGAGGGTGTGACTGCTATGGCGCCTCTGGGGAAGTCGATTGGGCTTTTTGATCGACATCCACTGCCTATTCCTGATGACGAGGATGCTTCTGTGCGGAAGGCGTTGGCACAGAGGGTGCTTCCGGTTCTTGGTGGTATTGCTTCTCAAACAAGTTCTGATGATGTTGATAGATGGCAGGCTGAGCGGACTAAGCGTCCTCGCATTGGATTTGTGGAGAATGGACAGGTTCTGAGTGAGATTGAAGGTTCTGCGGGTATGGTTCATCAGCTGCAGCCTGAGTCTGGGTTGGGTCCGTTCTCTGGTGCTGCAGTCCCTGTGTCTGAGGGTCCGATGCACCTTGTGCAGCATGTCGGGATAGATGGGATCTGGGATGGGTCTCTTGACTCTCGTGGGCCGGTGTCATCTATACCAGTGCGTGCTTCGTCCTGTTCTCTCATCAATGACGAGAAACATGTTGAGAGGGGAGTTTCGCTATTTGGGCCATGAGTTCGGTCTACAGTTTGCGTCTAGCTATATTTACTTATTTAGATTCTTGTACTATGATACCCAATGCCAGGACTCAGTTCCTTATATATTTTCATCCCATATCAGCTCTTATCCATAATACATACCTTCAAACGCCATGATCTCTCCCCAAATAAACCCTTATCTATGGGGTTAGTCCGATAAGATAAGATAGATAAGATAAGCTTCAGCCTTCTCCGATAAGGATAACCCCTCCGAACATCATCGAGAAAAGCCAAGCTTCAATCCTCACCTAACAACCCCAAAGCCATCCAGGATGAGCACCTCCAGCTCCCCGGAGAAAGCCATAATAATCGGCATCTCCGGCCCCTCAAGCAGTGGCAAGACAACCCTGGCCCGCCTCCTCCAACAAATCTTCTGCGGGGTAAATCTGCAGTCAGCAAACAAGAACTCCCTAAACACCTTCATGATCCACGAAGATGACTTCTACTTCTCAGACGATAAGTGCGTACTCACCTCCCGTTGGCAAATCCCAAATCCCAAATCCCAAATCCCAAATAACTAATATAATAACCCCCAGAATCCCCTACACAACAACCGCCTCCGGCACCAAAATCCAAGACTGGGACACACCCTCAGCACTAGACCTCCCCTTCCTGTCACAATCACTCCTCTACGTCCGAGAAAACGGCTCTCTTCCGCCACGTTTACGGAGTAAAGAGGATCAGAATTCTGCCACGGACTCCGGTGTTTCAGAGGAGACGGTACAGGAACTACGAAGTCTTGTCGAGGGACGACTGCAAGGGAATGTACTGCAAGGGAATAATGTAAAGCAGTCGACCCCCACCCTCGCCTTTCTTGAAGGTTTCCTTCTCTTCGCACCGCCCAATGATGCGAAGCACATCCTGCGCTCGGTCCATGACGCTATTAACTTGCATTTGTTTTTACCTGCGCCGTATGGAATCGTAAAGGAGAGAAGGGAGGGACGGAGTGGGTATGTTACTGTTGGGCCGGCGCCGGAGCCTCCGAAGGAGACTCCTTCGGAGACTGATGTTAATGTGAATGTGCATTCGGGTGTTGGTGTAGATCTTGATGGGGAAGATGATCGGGAGGCGCAGAACTTTTGGGTTGATCCGCCCGGGTATGTAGATGATGTTGTTTGGCCGAGGTATGTGAGGGATCATGCTTGGTTGTTGGTTCCGGAGGGGGAGGGGCAAGTGGAGGGGGAAGACGAGGCTGAGCTGGTGAGGAGGGTTGGGGAGGGGACGAGGGTGAGGAGGGATGTTGGGGTTGAGGTTGCGCCGGGGGAGGGGAGGGCCGGGATGGACGTTATCTTGAGGTGGGCGGTTGAGGTTATTTTGGGGTATTATTTAGAGAGGATGTAGTCTACTAGATGGTATGGACAGTTAAGTACATAGACCGTGACTTGATATTGGATATCTCTGTTGAATTGGATGATACTGATTAACTAATGATTGATATTGCAGCCATAGCCGCGCTCGGACATGAGTCTTTCGACTCTATTCTCCTCGATGTTCTCCGTAATGATACAAGTCCATTGCTGTGCTCAAACCCTACTCCCGCGCAATTGGCCCTCGCCATCCGAGAAGGTAGTCAAAGCGATCCCTCAGGGTCATTGAGGTGCCGCTGGCAGGAACGGTATTGGCGGATTGCTTCAGTCCAGGGTACTCGAATTCAGATGGATGTGGCATTGGCTGGAACTGAAGCTCGGGCAGACCTGTTTCCGCCCCTTTCACCGACTCGGCGTAGTGAGGGCCTTCTTCATGGCCCATAAGATTGGAGTGAAACGCCGCCGCTTGGTGGTGGGGGCACGGAGGATTCAGAGTCGTAGTGAAATCGCGCCACATGCGATTGGACCAGTACATGTAGATGACGTAGGCAGACATCGCCCATGTGAGGACGTTAAAAAGAATATTGACCAGAGACACCAAGCTTGACAGTACGCTCTCGGCAGGGCGCGGCCTGGATTTGGCGATTAGCATCTCCCCGACTGTAGATGTTAACAATTGAGGTTCTGGGAGCTGAGTTTCCGGAGCCTCAGTTTCTTGGTCCTGAATTTCAGAGACTCGAATTTCTGGAACTTGTCCTGGTGCATACAGATTCGGGGAATGGGGCGTCTCTTTCGTGCCGAGGAGCTGCCACGGTGAGGATGAAGATTCACTGCAGACTGCAGGCCTAGCAAATGCAGGCTTGGTATTCGGATATACGCTGGACAGGTTCCCAGAAATCGTCCCACGTCTGTGGAAGGCTTTATCCGACAAGATTGGTTCTCGAGAATCCATGGCGAGGGGATCGCAGATGCTGGGGGATTCATCTGCGAGAAAAGACGGCATTGGATCTTGAGGTTCCGTGGCCAGAGGACTGAAGAGACTGGGGGTCCCATTTACGGAGTGATACTCTTCGTAATCGGGGAGATCGGGACATGGCGAAAACTCCAGAGCCTCAGGTTCTGCGACTGTAGCCTTGACATCCTTATCCTCACAGCAACAGAGGATTTCATGCTCGGGACAGGGAGCCCTGCGCGAAGGAGGGTCCAAAAAGTCATGACCGTCCATTGGGTCAAGCGACTCGTACTCCCTTCGGAGAGAATCCTCTGCATCAGAGCTCTTGTACGTACCTTTGATCCATGGCAGCCAGGTCAAAGCTTTCTCTCGCGGCAACTTAATATCCCAACACACTTTGAACATGTCCAGAGCTTCGCGGGTGCTAGTTACGTGGATCTTCGAAACACCGATGCGACCACCCGGAGCCAGCTCCAGTCGGATATTATTGAACGGAGGTCTTTCCGCATCCAGGACAGCGTCAAATTCGCCTTCCGGGCCGCCGTGTACGTAGAGATGAAACTTGCACTTCTTGGCCCAGAAGCAACGATTGATGAGATCAATGGAGCAGACGGCATTGTACTTGACCAACCAAGGCAATGGATCTTGTGTCCCTTCGATTTTGGATTTTATGACCGCATTGACTTTGTAGTCCTTGAGATACCCGAAGTCTTCTGCGCTGCATTTGCGCAAAGGGACCACGAGGCCTTTTCCGCTTTCGAATTGGGCCATCAGGCAGCTTTCAATCATGGTATGTCGCTTGAAAGACGAAGTCAAAAACTCCATCCCCTGGCCCGGGGGTGTTCGGAAGTATAAATAGCCAGACTCGAAGTCAGTGAGTCGAGGCAATCCACCGATAATCAACTCCCACCAATCCTTTGAGATCCCCTTCTGCAGGTGGACCTTTAACGAAAGTCCGATCTCATATGTCGCAGGATAGACTGTGGGTGAGGTCTGCAGATAAAGAACTCTATTGTCCATGACCAATGTGGGCTCATTTCTTCCAACGAGGTCAGCGAGTGAGATTTGTGCCCGGGGACAGTGGTGACAACTGTCCTCACTCCCGCTTCGTGAGAAAGCCTTGATAGATTCGAGGGAATTGAGAAGATCGTCTGTTTCATCATCACTTTCCTCGGTATTGGAAAAGCTTCCTTCGCACGCACGTGTAGACAGTCTATCACAGCTCCACTGATCCAGATTCGCTTTGGAGAGCGGCTCGTTGATGCCGAGGCCAATCTCATTGGGAGGAGTTTCCGGGTCGTGCCAGGGCGGAGTGCCTTCATCAGGCACACTTTCAACAGTTGTGCTCTTGAAGTCCGCTGGAAGAGACGCAGATTTAATACCAGGGAAGACTGCCTCTGGACTGGGGGTCGAGCTTCTAACAAACGCGGCATTCTCGGACGTCGCACTGGAACCAGCCAGACTGGCAGTACGTCGAATGCTAACAGGGATGAAGCTGCCCTTTTTTCTATGGCTGCGGGAATTCTTCGACCATGGCTTCGACGGCCTAGTGTTGGGCGTCAAGGGTTTGGATAGGGTGACATTGCACCCGTCATCAGGAGAGATCGAGTCCGGCAAGGAAGCAGTCTTGGCGGATCTCTTGCGAGGATTAGGAGAGTGCTGGCTTTCGGAGTTGCGAGGCTCGGGGATAAGGGAGATAATCATGCTAGGACGAGAAGCACAGTGAGATGAATCGGATGCATCATTCTGGGCCGTGGCATACAACCTGCCAATACAGGGAGTACAAATCGGGCTGTCCTTCCGGGATGCGAGAGGGCCATCCTCTCTAGAACCATTACCCATGGCACACAACCTGCCAATACAGGGAGTACAAATCGGGCTGTCCTTCCGGGATACGAGAGGGCCATCCTCTCTAGAACCATTACCCATGGCACAAATACTCGCATCAACGCGATTTGTGGGAGTGTATATCTCGGTAGCACCGCCATCGAACCCGCTAGACGCACCACTTTCGGGCTCTAGCGGAGTACCTGTGTTGCAGCTGACACAGTCAGGCTTCAACCGGACGATTCGTGTTGGATCTTTGACGACGTTCGGTGACTGGGTACTGAGGATTGGTAACTTGAGGTTGGGACGACCCCAGACCTATATGTTGGGACGACAGTCAGTACTAAGAAACAGGAAGGAGACTTGATGTCCTGATCTCTTGTTTCCTTATTACCTCGATGGAGATTGTTATAGAAACTGGGTCTGCCACATTCCCATTCCAGTCGCACCACACGTCGAGGTTTTTGAAGGGGCTATCATCGGGATTCGTGACTGGCTCCATGGTGGGCTGAGATGGCAACGAAAGAGACTAAAACACAGAGAGGGCGTAGATATGGAGATGAAACAAAATCAGAGATGGAGAGATGGGGGGAGAGAGAGATGGAGAGAGAGAGAGAGAGAAGAGTTCTAGTGTTGAGAGAGCAAGAGCAACCCTAAATTAGGAAGGTACGTTAATATGACAGCCATGGCATTCCCTCCTCATACATCGTCAATTAAAGAAAAAAGAGAAAAAGACAAGCAACACTAAGAGCCAGTGAAACCCGTCGTAAGAAAAAAATTGCTTGTATGTACAAGAAGGGCTTAAAAATAGTCTCACTTTTCTCCCAATCCCATGAAAGAAAGACCTCCCGCCTTTTAGAACCCACCAGCGCCTGTAATAATACCTTTAGCCACCCAGTTAAACCATCATAAAAGATAAACGATAACCCTCCCAGTCTATTAAGACAGAAGAATAAAAAAAGAAAAGGCCAGGCCATCGAGGCCGGCCAAACGATAAGCAAACTATTGAGGCGTTCCACTCGCAGATCCAGGGTGATCAAAGGCTGTTGGGCCGGCCACGGAGCCATATCGATCGCCTTCGTACTTGACCATTTGAGATGGAAGAATAGGGGTATTCGCCTGAGGGGCCTGCTCATAATAAGCTCGCGCAGCCCCATTTGTTCCCTGGGGATAATCGCGATCTCGTTGTAAAGGAGGAAGTATCGTCGAAGTAGCAGGTAATCCGGACCGGGCATAACCCTGCATCATCATCGTGCCAGTCGAATCCGGGGTCTGTCTCGGGTCCAAAAATCCTTAGCTAGGTGTTCCACACTCTTACTGGTTCGCAGAAGGGTGTCGTACAGGGGTGCCAGGCTGATTCATCGCCATTAGTTGTCCAACGGCAGCCTGCTGCTGTTGCTGCTGACTGGATCGGCTTTGGCCGGACGGATCTGGGATCTGGGACATAGGGGTCGCAGATTGCATGCCCGGGTACATCTAACCGCTAACGTTAGCTCAAAGAATATTAGTCACCAAGGAAGGAAACTCAACACGAACCGCAGAATAATCAGCCACCACCTGTCCGGCTGCATATGGCTGCATCGCAGGGGTTTGGTAGGTTCCTGGCTGGCCGGCATACATGGCAGCTGTTGGCTGGCCATAAGGATCCATCTGGCGAGCCATCCGGCTATCCGTATCATAAATGCCCTGCGGCTGTCTGCCATAGTCGATCGAAGTACGATGGCGCTTGATTGGCGGCTGCTGACCGTAGTACGCATACTCCCGAGCAGCCGGCGGGTAGCCTCCGTAGCTAGACGCTGGAGGAATCGGAACCGACTGACGCTCTGGGGATCGAGTAGGGACTGGTTGATGGAACTCTTCCGGTCGACTCGTGCGTTTTCTGGGCCTGTCAGCTTCACGCCGTCAATTTCCCAGAGGTGTCTGGCACTTACAGCGATAATGTGGTCCGAGGCTCCTTGCGAATGCGCAGTTTCACTCCTTGGTCCGCAAATGACCGGGACAGGAATGTCGACTCCATCATTCCAGGAAAGCTCTTGGGAGGGGACACTGCAAACCTGTCAGAACCCGCTAGCTAGCTCACCCGCCGACATAGTCCTTACCTGTGAACCGCTCTGAAATAATGGTCTTCAGGTAGCAGACTTGTTCCCTGTTGGCTCATTGTTAGCTTTCGAGCTCGAGCTCGGCTCTCGACCGTCCCACTCACTTGCGCATCTCGAACAAGGTAAACTTGAGACGAAAGTCGCCCTCAATCTTCACCGAGAGGTCGCCGAAGACAAAGAACCCTCCCTCTACAAAGGCCGTCAGTGAAAGTGCCCAGCAACTGCCAGATCAGCCAGAACTAACCGCTGTTGTCCACATCCTTCAACCGGTGAAGAGACGAAACCAGGGTTCCTGCTAGTGCAGTCGACGGTGCGACGGGTACAGGACGATCTTCCGTTGCATCGTATAGACTGCAGCACATGAAATAGTAAGGGCTTTGCAGGTAGTGCCTATTGCGCCAAGGTCAGCCACTGGCGCAAAGCCACGGAGGGGTCCAACCACACTTACTGCGCAAGGTAGGTGCCCTCCTCACGCACCCGGAGTTGGACGATCGGGGGCGGATCGACGGGTTTGCGCTCTGCAGGCAAGATTAGACTCAATTCGCCTTCTGCGTGATCCCCAGCTGCTTCCCGTCTGTGAACGGAGGACGAGCTGGGGAATTAAAGGAATAGGCAGCTACTACGTACCTTTCTCCTTGCCCCCCGCCACGCGGGCCCGATTGGGCTGCTGGCGAATAATCAAGTCAAAGTCAGAACTGGCGTTGTTCAACATTGTCAGTTGGAATTCCTGGGAGGATGGCGTAAGAGTTGCGACCCTGTCACAGGTAGACACGGGAAGTACGACTCACCCCTGAGCTTCGCGTGAGAGGGAGGGGTCTGCGTATGTCGCTGCACTCATCAAGACGAGCAGTTACGAAGAAGCGGGAAAGGTGGAGTTGAACCTAGTTGAACCCAGGTTCGTAGGGTAGCTTGGAGAGATGACCACCAGACACGGACGTCGATCCTCGGGAGTACAGAAGACCAAGTAAAAGCGATCTGTGGTTTCACAGAACAAAGAGTGGAAGAAGGGAAAGAATGGGTCTTTGGACCGAAGAAAATCCAGTGCTGGTCAGAAGATAAGGACAGGCTCTGGAGGGGGTGGAAAGTGGCAGAACCCTGGACGAGTCACGATGTCGTCGGAGGGGTGGGAGGTGTAGTGGGGTAATGAAGGTTCTTTTTTTCTTTTTTTTCCCGTTCTTCTTGGTAGATTTAAACCATGGAAGAGTAGACAAAATGAAGGACAAAGGTGCGGAAGGTAGTAAAGAGAGGGTATTGAGAAGTGACGAAAACGGAGTGGTGTCGTCAGTTTGCAAGCGGACAGAGCCAACCGAGCACGGTTCCAGACAAAAACCTTAAGCGGTTCACTGATCTGTATGACGGGCCCAGAGATATAGCGTTGATATTCCGAGATGACCGAGAGAGCAATCTAGAGAAGATGTATCAATACAACTCTGAAGAAAATAGAAGAGAAATTCCAAGAAAAAATTTAGAAAAATCCATTGGATCACAGGCTTCCAAATTTCCCAGTCCTGAACAAATCAGATTCAAGAGGTTCGACGCACAAAAAGCAATTGCAAAAGAAACAAACTAACCCAATGAATGATCAAAGATTTTGAATACTTTTTCTCATAGAATGTTTGGAAGAGAAATCAATTTTTTTTAGAAAAAAAAAAGAGAAAAAAATAGAGAGATCCAACTTATGCCACAGTAGCAGTGTCTATGAAGACGAGAGCAGCTGAGGTGGATCTCCGTTAAGAACAAGTGTGACTTCCTTGACCGTTGGAAAAGTTAGAAAAAAGAGGAGCCAGGCCGTAGACGGCGAAAACCGAGGGAAAGAAAAGTGGAAATAGGTTCAGCTGCCCACGGTTGAGGGGGCGAATGATGATCCGGATACGCGGTAGATTTTTGAGCCTTTTTCTTTCTTTGCTTTCTCGTTGGTCCGTCCAAAAAAAAGAGATGGCTAGCCGGCTAGTTCGCTAGTCTGCATCTGATTCTTTGTGATCAGGTTAAGTAATCCACAAGGTTGGCGCCGGTTATGCAGGTGATCAGACCCGGTTTTCTTGTAAAGGAGCTGGTCTAAACGCCAGGTGGACTCGGGCCCTGGTCCGGCGTCTAAGCATTCCAGTCAAGAGTGGAGATTATGCACGATCAAGCCGCATCGCCTATGTCCGGGGGATGCGCCTGTGGCTCCACAATCGATCACTCCTGCAACTGATTAGCTTGCATGTTTCAACAGATCAAAATATAACGTTTTTTGAGGCCATGGGATCTTCATTTTGACGCGGTTATAGTTGCCGCTCGTCAACCAAGGTTCTAAGGTCGGGGGCTTTCCTTATGTCATCCCGACCCAAAGAATGTGCGGGTGCCTGCAGGCCCTAGCCTCCCACAGTCCGCTTGGACACCTTTCCAACAACAAACAAAAAAAGGAGTGGCAAGAAGTACCTTCTCTTTCAAAGTTGATACTTTGGATGATTCCCTCCGTGCTATCGATGAATACTCAAAGACGCCGCGTGATTCTTGTCGATTGCGGGATCGCGCCTATGACTTGAAAATCTGAACCGAGATCGGAGCTCGAAATGAAAAGTCTCAATGCGTATACGTTCGAAGACAATGTCGACACCGTCACAGATTGAGAGATTGGTCAAAGGACGAGATGATCGATACAATGGCGCGCAGTGGCCCGTCACGAAGCCAAAGGGAGCGCTGGTCGAGCACCCTATTCCGAACCGAGACGGCGAAGCAAGGCATGCCGAGTCATGATGGTCATGATGCGATAGTGGAAATAAGACAGAAGAAAAGAAGAAAAATCGAGTCGAATTGAGGAAGCAGGTGGAAATAAGAGCACAGGAGCCAAAGGCGGACAAAGACGTTTAAGGGGGCACAATGCACCTCGATCAACGCGGCACTGAGCGCATGCTTAGTGATGCATCACATTGCCTGAAGGCCGTGCAAGCCCGAGATCTCATGCAGGCTACTGTATGTTGGTAGCTGTTGCGACCAACATCGACTCTGGTTGGCTCGTCAGACGGAAACGGCTCGATCAAACTATGGGGCGATGCAGCTGGTCCTAGCACCTCGCGGTCGGGGGCAGCATGCCTCAGCCCAGAGGAAAGAAGCACAAATCAAATGCAGAGGCTGAAGTGGGGCAGGCCTGCATCATGCAGATCGGACGGACGTTCGTCAAGATAAAAGACCGGGGTTTCTAGGATGGACTACGGGGTCTGCTTTGCGCCACACTCGGCGACCCCCGACTTGCGGCTGAAGGCGTACTTTTTTCTCGCCTCATTTTCAGTCACCTTCCTGATAAGTGTGGCTGCATTGAGTATGGAGATGTGGATCCTTTGTCCTGAGGCATCAGTTGCTGCGGCTTTACCGAGGCATTTGCAGCTGATACCCGTTGGGCATGAAGCAATATGTTGTCGTAGGTTATTTCGCCAAAAGAGCAAGTATCCCAGATCCCAGATCCCAGTTTGCATGCAGATCTTCTGGGGTCCGAGTCAGGGAATCATCATCGTCGGCGATAATCGCTCGCCAACATGTGACACGGAAGTCTGCAGGTGCAGTGAGATATGGCAAGCATACTCCTATCACGGTTCGCAGACCATACGGGACCTATCTCCGCATCGGAGAACCAAAAACCATGATAGCAGCGACGATCATATGCAAAGGTGAGACAATGGAGGTCAATTTTGGTCAGAGGGCGCCGATCAGTCTGACAAAAGTCCCGTGTTCATTATTGACACCTGCAGCGAGAGATGTTGCACTGCCAAGTAACTGGGCCGATGGACCCGGGGGCCGGGTTCTAGGCGCCAGCGCGCAGTTCCCAAGCAAAGCGTCCGCAATATGCCCGAGTGGTCAGTTGAAGACGACTAAAAGGGGTCGTCGAACGAAAATCGGAAAACGTAAGGTGGGGGTGGAAAGCGGAAAAAGATGTCCAGGATACGGGCACTGTTGGCTCGACATGGTCTAATCTGCGGTTCTTGCCCAGTCGACCGTTCTTGGGGTTGGTAGGCCCGAAGAAAGCTCACGGCCCTAGATGCACCTCATTATGCAACAAGCAAGCGGCAGTGTTGGCAGCACGACTCGTCACTTTCTTTTTGACTTCCGGGATTCAGTTCCGATGGTAGGGCAGAAATTCCAAGTCCTCGGCTCTTGGTCATGGCGGGGAAAGCCACCGCTTCTTCTGATAGAGAGTCATGATCTCAGCTATCGAAACTAACATGACTCGTCAGGACTCTGGACAGAATAATAGTGCGAAGTGAGGATGCGGTACGGGTGCTAAGACGTTGGAGAAAGAGAGAAAGAAGAGAAGAAAGTTCGAGTGCGAAAAACGAGAAAAATAAACAGTGACCGCCAAAGAGGAAGCGAAATTTCGAAATTTTTCCCAATGTAAAAGTACAACGCACACCCTGCACCCTGGCCAAAATCCACTGCGGCCCCGGTTGTAAAAAAAAACTGGGAACTGTTAACTAGTGTTAGTGTCGGGTTCGTTTCCTGACTGCAACAATGGTTGGACGAAAGCAAGCTAAAGGAACCAGTAGAGAACAAACCAAGAACTTAATCAAGAGAGCAAGACCCTCGCCTCGGTTCGGCACTACGATAGAACGTCCGAAGGCGAAAAAAAAAGGGAAGAAGCACTAAGTATTACTACATTACTGTACGGGGCGCGGGATAGGGAACTTTTAGACTCAACCGGAGCGAAAAAGTGCGAGATTGAAGAAAAACATCCACGTGCAGTTCAAACCCCAAATGATGAAAATCAATTTACCTGACAGCGGGTATCTCCATCCAGAACCAACGGTTGATAGCTAGCTCGAGCCTCGGGGGCGCAAATTATGTTTATGCTTAAATGTTGGCCCTGTGATGGTTCCATGGTTGTGTTCCCTCCCTGACAGCTGTCCGGTCCGTGTTGGCGCCCTTACCGCCGATCTTTTGTCGATCGGTTCTTTTTCTCGGGACTATGAGTACGTAATTGATTTGGATCAGATGTGTGTTTTGGAGATAACTTGTACTAAGTTATTCTAGGCCTTATGATCTATCTATACGCAGTATGATCTCGTCGCAATGCTGGGAACGTTCTTAATGTCGCTGTGTCCTGCAAGTTTAGGCGCGGACTTCACCCGAAAGTGGGTTGGCTTGGAAACCAGCCGGTAGCTGGTACATAACTACATCAGTGCACTGAAATTATCATGACTTCAATGGTTTTTTCTCATTTATTCCATTGTGTGGACTTTATTATTCAAAGATTGTACAAACTACTACCGAGGTTCATGCCCAAATCGTCCTAATGCATGCCCCTCCCCCTTGATAGAACACCTCAGATGAGCCGCATAGCAAACGCCAGGGACTGAATATGATGTATGACGTGATGCGTACCCAAAGTATATCTTCTTGCGCAGATTGTAGTGTTTCTCTCTACAGTACCAGCTCCTAGGTTACTAACCGGATGCTAACTCCAAGCATCATGCTGCGCGACATGAGAATGCATCGCGTATATCGCATTATCCAGATCTACCCTATGTGCACCAGAGCAAACACTTTAGAGTAGATGATACATTGACACAAGGTATGCTAATCACACACTGTACTGATTCCTCGCAAGATAGGGAAATAAAGAAAGAACGATAGAATTTGAATCCCGAATAAAAACACCAGACACCCCGATCCTTGCTCCTTGCTGGACGAAATCCCTGAAAAGGTGACTAGTACGTCGTAGTAGATAGCCACGGGAGACATCGAGTACCTCCGATGCTCCTCTGGACACCCACGTAGCGTAATGTAGTCTTTGGGCGTGAAAAGAACAAGAAAGAATATTAAATCAAATGGCAGGGGGGACAGGAAAAGGAAAGGATAACAGAAAACCCCAAGAGCAGAAATGATAAAAGGTTATCGTTAAAACAAACGCCCTGTCCACATGCGTAACTGTAGGGGAGAATAATACTTGTTCTCTCCTTCGATCATGAATTTTGGAGAGTACCATCATGTCTGCATCACAACGTCCCCATCCACTTCGTACTCGGCGTCAATCTCGCCGTCCGCATCTGCATCTTCATCCGAACCTGCGCCGATCCCATTGGTATCGGGTACAGCATTTTGGCCGTCGCCCTTATTAGGTGACTTGGTGGTAGACTCGGGTTCAGCAGGAACCATGAAATGCACTTTCTCAACTAAAGCCTTCTTGACCGATCGCGGCGTCTTGGGGTCCTCTTTTGCTGTCCCCGGCGACCGCAAGGTGATATTGGAGTCCTCGGGGGTCTTGGCAGTCGCCTCCTCGGACGCCTCGGCCTCCAGCTCGGTAGTATCGATGCCGTTGGTCTTCGCCGATTCTTCCGGGACAGTGTCACCGTTGGTACCCTCTGGTATTGTTTGGCTTTCGCCTGCAACCTCATCGGACACAGAAGCGACGTTTTCCGCATCTTCAACAACAACAGCTTCTTCCTCGACGGCCCGACTATCATCATCCATTGCAAGACCGTTAGTCTGGTCGGGCGTCGGCTCCGCGGCCGGGGAACCCGTGATAGCGCTTCTACCGCGGCGAGTGCTGCCTCCAGGTGTGAGCGATGTCAACGTAGAGGGTCGGCGAGGACTGTTGCGACTGCCATTGCGCACGGTTGTGGGTGTCATGGACATGCGATTGAGCTTGGTGCTACCAGATGGACGACCAGGCCTGCGTTTTGGCGGTAGGGCGGCAGGAATTGGAGGCCAGAACTCGAAGCGGGAGGGTGGGATACCTTCTGCAGGGTTGGGAACTTTGGGCGATTCGGGTTGATCCGCTGGGGTATGGTGGGAGCCATTAGACTGCAGAGCCATTCTGGAAGGCGGCCCAGCGGAGTCCGCGAGAGCATTCCCGTGAGTCCGATTGCCCATATGGTCATGGCCCTCATAGTCAGGTCCTCTCGCCTCCATCTCGTCTTCATCTTCATCCTCCCGACGAGCGATGGCATGCATGGGAGCACGATCGAAATGTGACTGATTGCTACGACCCATAATATATGGAGTCCAGAGCAGCGCATCTGGGTTGAGCTGGATGTAGCCTTTGCTCTCCCATCCGCTGATGACCTCCTCGTAATATTTGTGATCAAGACGAATGGCGTAGGTCTTGGTGATGGGATCTCGCACGAGAGCTCGTAGTCCTTCCAGAGCAGATACAACGTCATCTGCCGTCATACCAGTGCGGTCAGAGAGTTCTGCAATGCTGACAGGCGTCTTCAAATCACGAAGCTGGTATGACAAAATCAATCGCCAGTAGTTTCGATACGACACCAGACCCATGTCGGAGAGTGGCTTCTCGGGGGAGCCGTTTTTCCCCTCGATTCGTGTGAGTAGATATGAGAAGTCAATGAGGAGGTTACCGTAGCCTTTGCGCTGATGGATGGGTAAGGTGAGAATGCAGGAAACGTTATTCGCTGAGCTTGGGCGTTTTTCCTTGCTGAAGTAGCCGACGAAGTGACAGCCCAGATCGTCAAACTCGGTCATGACATAGAATAAAAATGGCTCAACGTCGTAGTAAAGAGTCTTGGAGCCTAAGAAAAGTTTTGCAAGAAGACAAAGGTTTTGGCAATAGACCGGGTTTTTTCGTCCATCAACCTCGAAGATTGAGATCGATCGGTCTCGGTAGATCTCATCGCCAGGGGGATGCTTAGCAGGGCACTTGAGCTTATGGCGCCAGGCGACGTAATCTGAGTTCATATACTTGAGGCAGAACTCGCAGATGTACAGAACACGATTGCGGCTGTATTCCTCCGGATAAGGCGCTGCGTACCAGGTCTCAATCTCGTAGCCACCAAAGTTGATCGATTTGATTTTTGAAGGAGGACCCGAAACTTTTTGCGATGCATGTGAAGTGCCCTCGCCATTCAGTTCTGCGTCTCTCACTTTCTGCTGCCACTCCTCTTCTGCTTTCAGACGGGCTTGTTCGAATCGGTCGCGGTCGAATTGTGTGGGGAGTGTCCTGGAGGTATCTTGCTCAACTTCAGACAAGATGCCTCCATATGGTTTTGATTTGGCATCATCGCTCTCGAATAAGGTGACGGAGTTGTAGGATACAGGGGGGAGAGGTACAAAGTGCGCCTGGGGCTCTGGGGCGACAGGTGGCGGCTTCGGTGCTTTCTTCTTCTTGCGGCCTGGCCTGATTTGAGGGCCTAGTATCTTGGCCATTCTTGTCTCATCCAGCCGGAACGCCATGATCAATTTTCCAAACTGTCGGGTGACCACGCGGCAGAGCTCCCGATCCACGGCGCGAGTGCGTCGACCGCGGATAGAACGCGTGCGAGCAGGGGAAAGAGTATCGCCATCGGCAAGTCCCTCCCCGCCCTCCACTGTGGCATTTGGGTGATCGGAGCGGAAGGATGATTGTCGGAGCCGTTTGCGAAGAACAGGGGTGTGTTCTTGAGCCTCGATTGACGAGGCCTTGCGTTTTCGTAACGATCTTGAGCTGTTCAGCATCTCCTCGTTGACACCTGTGCCAAAAATGGTATGGAATCCCTCGTCGTGCGTGCCAGCGTGGGCAGGTAGAAGCTCTCTGGGAAGACCAGAAACCTCAGTCCCAGTTTCTGCCGTTGGAGTCGCCAATCTATCGGGCTGCATGTTGTTTTCGACGCAAGTGGGACACCTCCAAGGCTCTGTGTTATTAGAATGTTAGTAGGTGGGATGGTCGAAGAAGTGAGATAGATGTAGATGGAGATTGTTTGCGTACCTTCTGTGTCATCGAATGCCTCTTGTTCACGAGCGCACTGTCTATGAGCTGGGTGTAATAACAAGTCAGCAACTGCGACCAAGTAATCGAGCGAAAGAGCTAAGCTTTATTTGTACTCGGCCTGCGAGGTACTGGGGAACGTACAGTGATCACCACAAACAATGCAAGTGAGCCATTCCTCAAAGTCTTCACTCGGGTCATGTTCCTCGTCTTGACTGCAAAATCTGTGTTTGTCCTTTGTTAGTACCTGCGCGCTCTGGACATGCGCCTAAGGCCAACTCGAGATCTCCGACTTACAAACAATTTGCGCGACTGCGGATATCTGCATCGCCATCCTCTCGATCGTTGCTCTCAGCCTCCCAGTCCTCGGCTCCTGACTCGTGATCAGTGGACTCGGGTTCCGACGCATCACGATCGTTGACTTCAAACCCGGGATCAGCATCCGCGTCAGACTCCGCATATTCTTCTTCTGAACCCGCATCATCGTCAGGAAGCTTAACAGCCCCAACAAATTCAGCCTCGTCATTATCATCATCGTTTCCTCCGTTCAACCCATTTGCGCCAGTGTTCTTTCCATTCCTAGCTTCCTCCGGGCCATCGTCATCGATTTCTCCATTATATGCTCGGTGGACTGCATCTTGAAGCCGTTGGTCCATCTCATACAGGTCGGTTTCATCTTCGCCCTCCGCATCTAGGTCGCTGTCGGCCGGGTCCACAGACGGGTCGAGTTTTCCCCGTTCATCATTTACTGGCGGCACCGTCGCCGCCATAGTGTACGTAACCGCCACCGCCAGGTTGAGCACAGCAGTGCCTGTTATAAGCGCTCAGGCAGACTGATGTATTTCGTTCGTGAATGAAGCCTGGAACCGATACGGTTACAGAAGCACCCCGCTGACGTCGGCGCTGATCCGGGGGTGCATCTGGATCAAACGCAGGCTCGAGGTAGATTGAAGCGGTGTCAGCAAGTTGTATCGATACAACTGTCGTTCGATGAGGGTGAAAGTCCGTAGGCGCAAAGTTTAAGCTAAACAAACAAGAGTTGTCAGTCCCGCCGCTGGTGGCTCGAGGATCGCAAACGCGTCGCAAAACGAAGCGAACCCACCCCAAGGAGAACGAGTGTAATGTTAGATTCAAAGGCGTACCAGACGCGTCAAGACCAATACACCGGGGCCAGTCTCTTTCACACTCGAATGCGATCCGCTGCGGCCTTCCCCCTTGGCCGTGAGTGTCGTTGCAGCGTGCTGACTCAGCGGAGCTAAACCAGTTCGGGTGGGGTGAGACCTCAAGCCCGTCGCTGTACGAACAGACACTCCCCTCCACACTCTCCGCCATTTATCCACTCTCCTCGGTTCGTGAGAGGCTTCACGGTTCTTGATCTTGTTCTCCAGATTCTCTTTGGTTACCTACACATACATACAACCGCACATCATGGGTGTTCCTTTCGAGGCTCTGCTTCCCTATGGGATTATCATCGGCGTACGTACCATTGGTCAATGCCTTAGGGGCTCTAGCTCACAAATTGCTACAGATGTTCGGTGTGACTGGCTACGGCCTCCACTACGTCAAGCGCTTTGCCAACGATGGCAAGAAGGCGCGCTGGAACCGTGATCTTTGGGATAGAGTAAGTCCATGTCGGCTGCGGTCGGAACCTGCATAGAACCCAATTGCTAACAAATTTACAGCAAAGTAAGTGATTGTCGTTTATCGACCGAGACCGAAGCATACGAAGCCAATTCTGCGATACTTACCAAACGCCAACAACAGTGATGGAGCGAGACCAGCGTATCACAGGCTCATTCCGTGGGCAATCCAGCAACCACAAGGCGCCCACCGGGTTCGACGTCAGCAACCCGTGGAAGGTACGAACGCATTCCCTGTTCGCTGGAACTCCGTCTGCGTGCCGAAATGCTGACCCGAGACACAGATCGAGAGCCGGATCTACTAGTTCACATTCACAAAATAGCAACCTTTTCTTTTACGTTCAATGCCTGCGCCTTCCTTGTTTTGTGATACTACATATCCACTGCAATTCTATTTAGAGACGCTGTATCATATCCTTCTTGACTCGCTTTGCTTTCGCGGTATTCTGCTCGGTTGTCTACCTGAGCTCCGAGATCAGTCCTCGAATCCCTTGGATCTCACCCTCGCGGAGGTGCATATCGAAGTATTCTGCCAGGGCCTTAACACGGTCGTCCTCGGTCTCCAGCGTCTGCAAGATCTCCGTTTCCCCGCGCAATCGTTGCTTGACCTCCTTGCCCGACATCACGCATTGGCCAATGATCTCTGTGCCACTTTCATTCAAGATCATCCGCACGCAGACGAAGACCTGAGTAAACCAGCTGGTCCGGCTCTGGCTGACAGAGAAGTTCATAACACGGAAATCCTGGGGTAGGAACTCCACATCGGAAAAGCAGATTTGTGACACCCATTTGCTCTCGGGGTTGTACCTCACTTGGTAGATCCAGATCTTTTGACTTGGATCTGTAAACTCGGCAATACTTTCCCTCACAAGGCGCATTTCCGACGGGGCAATGGCCGTAGCAGTAGCACCCTCTCGAAGTGGTAGTGGAGCAGTGGCACCATTGTTTCCAAAGCCAACATCAACCTGTCCATGTCCATTAGTATGGATCCATGCGCCGTAGTAGATTGCCACCAATTACCATGTACTTCGCTCCTTCAATGATCACAATCAAAATCATATGTCCACTTCACCGAACCACGCATGTCAGCTCATGCGTAGAGACTCAATAATCTACTCCGGGAACTCACATTGCCAAATATAACCCATCATCAACCCCCTTCGCCGCAGCATGACTGACTCTACCCCCGGTGGCATAAACAAGATACCCCAATGACCGCAATACAATGAATAACAGCCCGGTATTCTCCATGCAGTACCCGTCCAGCCGCCGCTCCACCATCTTCTCAAAGAGAGTCTGAGGGTTCAGAGTGATAGTATGATGTTGCGAGTAATGCAGCCCGGAATTACCCCATGGTATGGCAGCGAGATGTCTTCTTTGCAGCTCACATAGTGCAGAGAATGCATCCTTCTCGATATTCTGGCGGAGATGCTGGAGAAGATTGCTCTCGGATTGGGAGGGGTATCCGATACGCTTTAGGTATGCCTCCAATTGTTCGTCGGTGCATGTGGGTTGTTGTGCCATTTTTACTGTGTATATCGATATTGCTGGGGTTATGTGCTTGGAGAGGGATATTTATACATGATGTAGGTGTAGGTGTCGTGAGTCAATGTTGAGGCCTGAGGGCCGGAATTATTTCCATTTCGATGACCAATGGATTCATCCCCACTTCGTTGAGCTGACTGTCTACTTCGTATTGTTCGGTGAGATTAGCGATCAAGTGGTTGTTGACTCATCTTGATATTTAATGGAAATCATGTAGCATCCAGGCTATAATCGGTCACATGGGTACTTGCTGTTGTATAAATTGAGTATTCTCCGTCTTCTCGGCTACCACTAGGTCATCCCGAGGTCCAGGGCTATGAGGAGGTACGACTATAAGAATCTGTAGAGAATTCCATAGAAGTTGAGAATGATAGTGATATGTACTCCGTACTTAGTTATCTCTTAAATAAACACGCTGTGAAACGGAACATCTCATAGATCCCCGCCGATGATGTATTCGTCCGATATCCGGACCTACGGACATGTGCTTTAGTAGTAAGCGAATGAACGCCTCAACGCCTTTCTCTTGGAATTCTTCTTATCTACCTACGTTCTACCCTATAGTTACAGTAGCCCATAATCTAAATCCAACGACATCACATTGCCCCTCTACCGTGAACACCCCTACCGATACAATGGCTACACTAAACGAGCAACTGGAGACATTGATCAAGGAATACTCTCCCTGCGATGTATGTCTACATTTCCTATACATGACAAACCACTGAACGGCAGCACGACGAATCTGACATTGACTCAATCCAGGTCTCAGACGCTCTAATCAAGCTGCAAAAGACGCCCGAAGGCAGCACGGCAAGAGCAGGATATCTCGCAGATCTAGGTAAGATACACAATCCCGATCCACCCAAAAGGAACCACCTACGCAAAGCAAAAGCGCAATCTATACCAGATAAGTGACTTTCATTCAAACAGATATATTAACATATAAACCAGTCCCATTCTCCCCAGTGACAGGCCGCAATGAAACAACACCCAAAATAGCCGCGCCAGCAACGACATTCAAATTCATCCCAAAGAGCTCCAGCCCACCCCCACTCGCAACTGAAAACCCCGAAAAGCACGGCTTCCAACCAGGCAAGCACTGGGTCGACCATGTCGGCTCATACGCAGCCTCGGATCCGTCTGGCGCCGGGTCCATCGTCGTCATCGAGCAGCCGGAGGGCCAGTACTGCGCCGTGACGGGTGGTATTATGGCGACTCGAATGAAAGCGCTCGGTATCAAGGCTACTGTTGTCGGAGGTCGGGTTAGGGATTTGAGAGAATTGCAGGCGACGGGGCTTCCGGTGTGTTCTTATATATCTCCTTGTGCATTGTTCTTACATTTGCTGATCGTGGCGAGGGCAGATATGGGCGCAGGCTACTTCTACTGTGGGGACTAATGCGGAGGCGAAGGCTGGTGCTCGTGATGTGCCGATTTCGATTGGGGGTGTGACTGTTTCTCCGGTATGTTTTTTTGGATTGTGTTCCATTGTGAGTTTTCTTTCTGGTGGAACTGGGAACTAATTGTATAATGTGCCCGCAGGGTGATATCATCTTTTGTGATCCTTTGGAGGGAGTGGTGGCCATTCCTCGCGAGCTCCTTGGCCAGGTGCTTGAACTCATGCCTAAGCTGATTGCTATGGATGATCAGGCTAAGGAAGCTGTCGCTCAGGGGATGAGTGTCACTGATGCTTTCAAGAAGTTCCGCTCATAGGGTTGACGGACTTCTAGCCCGAAGTATATAACTAGTAATGTAACTAACTAGTTACTACTTACTACATGTAGTCAAAAACAAATCTGTCAGAACAGGAGGCCGGTGAAGAATGTACAGTCACATTTATGCAAAGCTAAATATACTTCCAAAGAGAACCATGCAGTAGCTCCAAAAATGTGGTATTCAAAGTATTCAATACATGAAAAGAAATACGTGCATCCAAAAGAAGAGCCGAATGGCCAAAACGCTGCAATTATACAATCGAAACATAAGCTTCGTTTACTCGGAAACCCAGACAGCGGCCATACCCATACCGGTACCGACACACATGCTGGTCACACCAATCTTCTTGTTTGTGCGCTTGAGCTCAGTGAGCAGTGTGCTGACCTGGCGAGAGCCAGTGCAGCCAAGAGGGTGACCGAAAGCAATAGCACCACCCTTGGGGTTGATCTTCTCAGCAGGAATGCCAAGCTCGTTGATGCACCAGACGCACTGAGAGGCGAAGGCCTCGTTGATCTCGTAGATATCGACCTCTTCCTTGGTAATGCCTGCCTTCTCAAGAGCAACGGGGATGGCAGCCCAGGGGCCGATACCCATGAGCAGGGGCTTGACGCCGACGACGCTGGCAGCGACGTACTTGCCGATGATCTTCTGGCCCAGACGCTCGGCGGTGGAGCGCTTCATGAGGAGGACGGCGGCGGCACCGTCGGAGATCTGAGAGGCGTTACCGGCGTGGATGGAGCCGTCCTTGGCGAAGGCGGGGCGGATCTTGCCGAGGGACTCGGCGGTGATGCCCTCACGGACACCATCGTCGGCCTTGACGGTGATGGTCTTCTCCTCGCCGGTCTTGGGGTCGGTCCACTTCACGTCCAGAGGGGCGATCTCCTCGTTGAAGAGACCAGCCTTCTGAGCGGCAAGGGCCTTTTGGTATGAGTGGGCGGCGAAAGCATCCTGGGACGCACGGGTCACGCCACGGTCCTTGGCCATGTTCTCGGACAAGACACCCATGGGGACCTTGCAGTTGGCGGACTCGGGGTGGCTCTCGAGGAGGTCGGAGAACTCGGTGACGGCACCGGGGCTGTATAATTATGTTGTTAGATATTGAGCGAGAGGGAAACGTAGGTGCATCCAAACATACCCGTACTGAGAGGACATGCTCTCGACACCGGCACCGATACCGACTTCGATCATGCCGGACTGGATGGCATTGGCAATATCGGCAATGGCCTGGAGACCGCTAGAGCACTGACGGTTCAAGGCCTTGACAGCGGTGGTCTCGGGGAAGCCGGCCACGAGAGCGGCGGCACGGAACTCAGTGGCACCACCACCGGGGGCAAGGACGGAGCCAACGGCAATATCCTCAACAGCCTTGGGGTCAACACCGCTCTTCTTCAGAACAGCCTGGAAGACACCGGCAAGCAGATCAGCGGCAGCGGTATCCTTGAAGCCACCCTTGCCACCCTTGGTGAGAGCTGTGCGGAGAGCACATGTCACGACAATATCATCGGCGTGCTTCTCGGTGAGAGCGGCAGCTCCCTTCTTGCCGCCAGGGCCGAAGTGGGAGGAGACCTGGTTGAGGCGTTGCTGGGCTATAGATAGACGTTAGTTTGCTGATTCCAATAGTCTGCGAGTCTCCTGGACCCCAGTATTCCGTTGAATAAATAAATGCACGTGCACATACCGTTAGACATGACGTAAATGTGGGAGGATATGGGGGGAATATGGGGTTGAAGAAAAATATCAAGGAGGAGGATAAGGAAGGGATTGAGATCCGGGAAGCTGTTGATTTATAAACTACTTGGGCCGTGGAATCGGTGCTATTTCCCCTTTCGACAGCCGTTGCTGGCCGCTGTCGCATTCTGAAAAAGAGCCTCGGCTCATTAGGGCGCATCATCGTTGATCCGTAACCAGTCACGGGATCGCCGAGTGGATTGACCTGGAGACATGTGAAGCCAATGCATATCACATGCAGATGACCGAACTTGCATTAGACGTCATCTCATCGAGGTGTAGATCCGAGATCGGCTCGGCATGTGTTTGTCACTTTGTGTAAGATTTCCGGGGACTATATATATAGTCTGGTTCGATGTGCGGGAATGAGTCGGGCAAAAGCTGTTACATGGCATAATGGCATTTCAAGGCATTTTTATGCAGAATGAAGAACAACTGCATTATTCAATCTCATGGCGCTGGCATCATAATACTCAAAAGGCTGTCACATTCCAATAATCCCCTGATAGCTCAGCTGGAAGAGCGCAAGACTGTAATTGCTTGGTTCCTTGGAACCTGTCATCTTGAGGTCCCTGGTTCGATCCCGGGTCAGGGGAATTTTTTGTCTTTTTGCCCTTGGTAAATACAGCCATTGATCTATGCAATTATCATTTCTTTCCACAATAGGACCACCTTGATTCAATTTAGCTATGTAGCCAGATGCAATCTATCAAAAAGCTTAAAGAAACATTGAAGTGGGCAAGTGGGTCACATGCACACTCATCAGGTGCTGCCGCGCTAGCCACTCAGCCACGCTGGTCTGTTAAGTACCCCTCTCTTCCCCTTCTTGTGAACCGGCTACTCCTGTGATGTTAGTCGTAGCACACCCGTTCGGGCTCAGTTGTTGCGGAAGCATCGCTACATCCACTATAGAGATGGAGGGGACCATCGTTTGGCAGAACGTCGCCATACTTCCGTTCAAAGCCGTCAAGCGCAGCGCAGTCTTGGAACAGTGTCGCATTCGGCCACGTGAGCTCAGCATATCCTGCCCATCTCACCAGACCTGTCGCCCTTGCCACCTTGTCCGTACAGATTCCTGTTCGAATTCGGACTTGGCTGTAGGCCTGCGCTGAGAATGCCATGTGCCTGCCCCGGTGACTGCCTCGATGCCCCCTGGATGCCAACTGGGTTGATCCAGCTGCCTGTGCCTGATCCTGTCACCCCGGGGTGCCCCCCTCGGGCCATCTTGGATGGAAGGGACGTAATGGGCGCGATAGAGGGCTTCGAAAGACTCTGCAGGAGACGTGGTGTCGGACGCTCCAAGGCTATGTGATTCCTTCATTGATTATTGGGATAAGGACTGGCTCTCTTTCACCCACCACCGAACATCCTTGTTGCAATAATCCATGAAGTACTCGCACAGCCTTCGAACGTTCCTCTCTTCACTATCTACTCCGTACGGTCAGCTGCAAGGAACATCGAAGTCAAGCCACCATCAAATATCACAATTACCAGTCTATCTAACAGTATGTTACTATTCCGAGGGGAACAAAAAGTGGCTCTGTGCTTCCCCGCCATTCCATCATAGTATGGATGTAGTTAAAAAGACAAAAAAATTCCCCTGACCCGGGATCGAACCAGGGACCTCAAGATGACAGGTTCCAAGGAACCAAGCAATTACAGTCTTGCGCTCTTCCAGCTGAGCTATCAGGGGATATGATTGGTTGATTTTTCACACCTAAGCTAGTTAGGATTACAGTACAGATTTCGCATCTGGAATGATAACATCGTTCTAGATACCCCGGAGACTACACGAGCTTGACATCAGCTTGGATGCCCTATGCATGTCAGAGCATGATCTTTCATTGTATAAAGTCTTGCGTATTGGTGGAGCTCTGTGACGAGTTAGGCCCAGCTCGGTAGAAGCCATGCCATTGAATGAGTACTACTCTCATTCAAACCCTAAAGGGCCAAGCTGCCCAGGGCTCTGCTGCCTTTGTTGTGTTGTTGTATTCTCCTTCGGCTTAACATTGATATGTTGCGCTCCAGATCTGACCAGCTACCTATATGCGAGTGGTAGACATTTAGCGCCTCTTCGTTGTCTGAGCTCGAATGACTGTTCATATTCTTGTCAACTTCGCTATGCCGATATCATCATGTTGGTGTTGAACTTGAGACCTAGGATGTGTCTCCCGCAATTGTAGAGACTAACCTAGTCACTCTGTGCGAGATCATTCAACGGGGATATATATCCCAGATTAACGGGGTTGGACCTCTGCGATACCTAACCCACGCTATATAAATCAGAGTTATGCTTTGCTTGCAGTTGCTTCCGTGGAATGGAAGGTTACGTTCCATCTTATTGCTAGTGAGCAACCACGATTCATCCTGTCTTGTATCCCTATTATCTTCTATCATCTCGTCTACTCTACCTGGGATTGTATACAATACTAACATGTTGGTTTTTTAAAGAATGAATCTCTTGTACAGTCCAGCCGGGCTATGCCTCTTGAAACTGCCCTGCAACTAGATTTACGCAGGAAGAATGGATGAACGTTCCAATTATAGATTCAATGTAGTTTCTTGAAAGTACCCAAAAATTCATTAACCAAAAAATAAGCATGGATTTGAGCTCTTACCTACTTTGAACGCATGGTTGCAGGTTGTATGGCAATATGGCAAAATGGCCATATTAAAAAAATTCCTCTGACCCGGGATCGAACCAGGGACCTCAAGATGACAAGTTCCGAGAAACTAAGCAATTACAGTCTTGCGCTCTTCCAGCTGAGCTATCAGAGGATTACATGTCCAAATCTGCCAAATAGCTTTATATGATCAAGCTTTACCCCCCTCAAACCAAACCAAGCCCGACGATCCGCCATCGACCTCCGAATACATTTCCTCCACCCAAAGTTAAACACAAAACCAACAATGTTCAAACCACACCCAATGTTCCGCCGCATAATAACCACAGCCTCACCGGCACGCGCTTCACCCAAAGTACCAGCCATCCTACCAACCCAACCAACATGGCAATCTGTACGTTACACCCCAAGCTCTCTCTCTCTCTCCAATCTCTCCAAGAGGAACCACACACCTCTACCCAGTCTCCAAGCGCAAACCCAAGAACTAACATGAACACCAGAACTCCCGCCTCTTCACAACAACACCACGCCCATCCTTCACATCCACACCAACACAAAAAGACCCCTCCCCCTTCCGTCTCTCCTCAACCAAACCCGAGTCCTCCCCACCCCCAACCTTCGAAGATGTCTACTACAGCCCCTACCAACCAAAGCGCCAATGGCCACCGGATATGTCGAAACTATCAGCTAAACATCAATTCCGACTTGAGCGCAAGTACCGTCGTCGCGCGGCGCTGAAATACGCTCGGCCGAAGTTTATGAAGGCTGTTACGTTGGGACAGTGGGTTGTTATTGGATGTGAGTTTTTGCCTATGAATGGCTCATAGGGGTTTAGGATGGTGATTGCTGACTTGTGATAGTTGTTATTATTTACTCTGTGCTATTCATGGAATGGGAGACGAATGATACGCCGTTCCATGGTGTAAGTGGCTGAATATCCGATTATGTTTGGTTTGTGTGTTGATTACAGTTGGCTAACACTCACGCAGATTCGGGAACAGTTCTTTGCAGGTCTTCGGAGTGTATTTTCCAGTGCGCCGCCTCCTACTCTGAAGAGAGATCAGAAGGATGATACTTCAGAAGGAGCGCAATAGGAGCATCCTGTTACTCTACGTCGATATAGTCTGTACAATATTTTAAGATTCCCAACTCACATTCACAGTTTACTTAGGGTGTACAAAGAAGAGTGAATAGAAGCCAGTGACGATTGATTCAAATTCTCATGTTCATAGAGCATTTCAGAAATCCCGTCGGAAGAACAGGCGTCGCTGTACCATGGAGAGAAAAGGAGGCAAGAACATTGTCCTCTTCTGCTCCGTCGCCTGTGCCAATATTTGGCTTCATTACAATCATGTCCGCAGGACTTCTCTGGACAAGGAAATGCAGTTTCACAACCCAACACCAACAATGCCGACGCCTGTCAGAAAAACAAAAAAAGAACAAAGAAGAGCCCAATAAACTCCAAAAGGTCAAGCGAAACAGAAATACCAAACAAAATAAGGTAGAGGCTGAGGACCAGCCCGAACGCCGAGTCATGATAGTGCGGAGGCCAAAGATGTAGATAAGAAAGAACAAAGGAAGAACAGGAAATTCGTTAGATCAAACCGAGGGGTTGCGTTCCCGGAATTCAGAGCCAGCTGCGCAGGTCGCTCGACGGGGTTGATGGACCAGGAGCTGCGCGGTTATCGAAATCCAGAGCAAGCTCTAGCTTGGGTGGCCGCTCGTCGATCAGACCCTTTCTGGGACTGCCGGGGGCGGACTTCTTGGGGGATTTGTTGGGATCGCCTGCACGAGGCGGGCCTTCGCGCACGAAGGTATAGGGCCAGCCATCGTCGGCAGCGGCAGCGACCCAGGTACGCAAGCAATCGTGTACCGAAGAGTAGAATTTCTCCTTGCAAGTGCGCAGACTACTGCCCATGACTTTCTCGAAACCAGAGGCACGGAGCTCGTCGCGAAGTTGGTTGCGCTCTTCCTGGGTAGGCATGCAGGCGATCAGGCCATTCACGAGATCAAGATGCGCGGCGAGGTAGTTGGTCGCATCCCATTCGACACCTCCAACGTAGGGGGCAGCCGGGACGGGAGGGCGAGGTGGTGGGAAATGACGCTCGCTGTAAGGACGAGTGTCTGTTGCTGGCTTCTCACCGAAGAGATCCTCCGTCTTAGGGAGGGGAATCACGTTGAGGTGATGGAGGAAAATCCAGAACACCTCCTTGGTCACGTTGGTGACCTCCTTGCACCAAACTCTGTATGGTCGTGATTGGTAGATGTTGGCAATGAACGCCAGCGGCTGGTTGTCCGCTGGAGGCGCAGGATCCTTGAGATAACCAAGGATCTTTTTGGCGCATTTGGTGGCCGGTTCTCCGGCAGGAGCAGTGGAGAGCTGTGTGAACAGCAGATTTGCGATGATCCCGCGAGTGGTGAACTCACTGGGGCCCTTCTTTTCCTCGTCAAAGAGCATGTTCAGCAATGCGGGGAAAAGCTCATCCTCGATGGCAGCGAGATGTGCTAGGGCCACAGATGTCGTGCATAGGGCCTTAAGGCAGAGGAGCGCCTCATGCAGAAGGGTATCCTCGTGGTCCTCGCTGTGCAATGAATCAGTTGTTGATCTTAATGAGAAGAGAAAAAGAAAAGAAACGAAATTTACATACCGCCAAGTCATCTTCATAATGCGGTAGAGAAGCTGTACAATCTCATCCATGCCCCCTTCGGTGATAAAGTCGTTGACCCACTGCACGGTTTCGTTACGTAGGAGTAGGCGCAGCTTGTGCACCTTTCCCACTTCAACCATTTCCGGTTTTTGGATCTCTCTCAAGTAATGGACAAAGTCGGAAGGATCCGCTGCAGTATCAACAGCAGCCGCCTCAGCAAGTGAAGCAGTTGAAGCATTGGTAGAGAGAGTCGTGTAGACACCGACAGGCTGGGAAAGATCCACAGACCTCGGACGGCGGCTTGAAGCTTCACTGTCCCGCCGTAATTTTTTGCCAGGGGACGAAGGGCCCTTGAAGGCAAAGCCACGGCTTCTAGATCGTGAGCGAGAGCCTTTACGGTCCTCTGCTTGGCTGCCTTGAGATTCTTTACCACGCCCTCGACGGCTGTCACCGGTTCCACCACTGAGGGGAGTCGCATTCTCTGTCCGATCTTTCTGGATAAAGTCAGCCTTGATATTGGTATCAAGTGAGCGCATCTTGTCTCTCATGTTATGCGGGATGTTTCTCGCATCCTATATATGAGTTAGCTTTGCCATTTGAATTTACTGCGCGATAGGGCCGACTCACCAGCAGCTTCTCAAACTCGCTCTCGAGATTCTTAGAATCCAAATGCTGGTGCACCTCGGAATCCCGCTCCTTTGCATTCAATGCTGAGATAGCAGCCTGCACACGAGAGAGCCGCTTGGGCTGTTCTGTTGCCATGGTAGGAGGAGAGATCTTTCGAGGGCTCGATGGCCCTCGGCTCTTGGAAGAAGCGCCATCCAATCGCACGGGATTTGTTTCTCCCGACGTAGCACGCTGCAATCCAAGCAAATCCTTCACCTTCCGATTTCCTGTGAGAACGTCTGACTTGGGACGAGGCTTGGTATCACTCGATTTGGTGAGGGATGGTTGATGGTAGTCATAGAAGTTGCGTTGCTGGCCTGGCCCGTAGCCCTTTGGTGTATAGAGGGACACTTCCTCGGCCACCGTTCGTCTTATATCGGCGGTGGAGTTTGGCCTCGATCGGCCGATCGGCTCTCGGTGTACTGACACCGAGTCGATTGAGCAGACTGGGGACGGCATGTTATCGATCAACTCGGTTGGGCTGCGGTTCTCTTTATCACGACTCTGTTTGGAGCCATCCTTCCTTCCCCGTTGGGATCTCTTGAGGATGGCCGAGAGACTATTGGACGATTTGGCCTTCTTGGGCGATAGATCCTCACTCTGAGCGGGGATGTCATCTGACCTGCCATCTTTCCGCTCCATATAGCTTCTCAGAGACTTCAGTGAGACAGCGCTCTTTGTCTTCTTATGCAGGGCACCTTTGTTTTCCTTGCTACCTATCTTGGGCGAGGTAACCCCGTTGTCGCCCATATCACGGTTGGGCACAATTTCAGCCAAAGGACGATAAATCTGAGTGGAGCCGGCCTCTCCAAATGGGTAGGAGTTGTTCTCGGTTGGCTTGCTTCTCTGCACTGGCCGCGGGGCAATGGCGTCGTCAGCCGATTGATTTCGTTTATGGGTTCTGGATGACATTATGGCCCGTAACATGGATGGTTTGGTCGATCGGTTCGCATCGTCAAAGATCTTAGGACCTGGGGTACTTGCAGCCATTGCTATCCTCTTTGACCAGCAACTGTCTCTTGTTAGCAGGTGAAGTGGACAAAGATCTAGGGAGGGGGAACGGATAGTTGCAGACTGGACTTACGGGATTTGGGCAAACAAACGCAGACAAGAAATAGTAACGTAATGACGAAAGGGGGTGACAATCAAAGTATAGTCCCCTCGGATTCAAATAAACACAATCTAAGCAAAGTGGGATGAAAGGGCTTGTGGAAAAGGGAAAAGAAGCCAAAAAGGATGGGCAGAGTGAGGAATTTGAAGAACCGACGTGCTGCCAACAGCAACCGTCATCGAGTATCAAGATGTTTGATCCACTCACCTCGACTTAGCGTAGAAGACGATCCTTGGGGTTGGCTGATCGAAGGTGGAGGAGTAAACAACGTGCGGGTAAAGAGGTTGCGAGGGGCAACGCAGCGGTGTACACTGTACACAGTACGGGCTTAGCAGTTATTGGGCTATTGAAGTACCTATGGGAGACGAACATGTCATATTGCATTTGCATATTTATTGCTCTTTGTTTTGGTGTCTGCATATTGTCCTTACAGGTTGAGTCTTTGTTTACTCGTTAGTTGAAGCCTTCACAGCTATATACTGCGTGTTTGGATATGTTAGGTAGGTAGTGCAACTGATTTAACCAGACAACCTGACAAGAAAAAGCAATATGATTACGGAGTAGAGGATTGTTATTCCCATGACCACATTCATATCAATCCATTGTATCTCCGATCGTCTTTGTTTTCTTTTTCCCCTTGACCATACAGAGTACAGCTCAGAGTACGGAGGACTATGCTAATGCCGGCAGGACTGGCCCAATTGAGAATGAACTCGTGTTATGCAGTCAAGTTGAACAAAAGTCCCAAATCACGGGAATTCGATATCTTCTGACCTCCACTTCATGCAAATGGTGATAGTGCCGGACCGATAATCGCTGGAATGCCACTCTACCGTTTGCGACGCTTGTCCGTAGACGGGGAATGAGAAAGATTATTTAGGTCAGCCGATGAGCCGACCATATTGAACCTCAAAAAAATATGCAGAGATGAGCATGAGTAGAGAATTGATCTCATCTGAGACAAGAAGCCCGCTTTTATAGGGTTTGTCGGGCCCAGACTCAACGACATCATTCGGGCACTTTCGGATTCTCCTTATCCAGGATTCCTTGTCAATTCATCGTTCCAACTGCTTTTCTGAAATAGTATAAATATAACAAAGTCTCCCAATACAAGAACCCAAGTGGCCTGCCATGAATTGCCCCTCGCGGACGGACGACACTCTCCAACACCCGACATGGAACCAGAGCCCACCGCCCTTCAGCCCCGACACCACCACCCGCAATGACTTCAGCGGCATCGCCAACGCCAGGGTTCATCGCAGACATGCCAATTCCGCCAATGAAGCGGATGATCCATTATCAATCGGCATACCGAACTCCAGCCAAGATCATGATCCCGGAAAACCAAAAGCAAACGCCACCAGCGGCGAAGTGACCGCTGCAGACTCGGGAGGTGATTCACCCCCGAGGAGCAGCGGATCACCTCGCCGCCCCTTTTTAACTTGTTTGACATCTTCGTCTGTGCAATGCGCGCGGACTCTGGCCAAATTCGGCCGCTTTATCGGTCCTGGCTTCCTCATCGCGGTCGCCTATATTGATCCGGGAAATTATGCCACCGATGTGGCTGCCGGGGCTGACTTTAAGTTCGCCTTGCTGTTTATTGTTCTTCTTTCCAACCTATTTGCGATTCTGTTGCAGTCGCTGTGTATTAAGCTAGGCTCCGTGACGGGTCTGAATTTGGCGGAGAATTGCCGTGAGCACCTTCCCAGATGGCTGGTGTATATCCTCTATTTCATGGCAGAATCGGCCATTGTCGCAACTGATATTGCTGAAGTGAGTGTTGCTGCTTGAATCCTATATGATCGAATACTGACAAACTGAAAAGGTAGTTGGATCCGCGATTGCGTTGAACTTACTCTTGAAGATCCCTCTGGTAGCTGGCTGTGCCATCACATTGGTAGATGTTCTTTTCATTCTTATCTTCTATCGGCCCAATGGGACGATGTGGGGGTTGCGACTGTTTGAATTCTTTGTCATGGGCTTGGTCTTGGGAGTAGTTGTCTGCTTCTGTATACAGCTCTCTCTCATCGAAAACCAGTCCATTGGCGAGGTCTTCCGCGGGTATCTGCCGTCTTCAGCCATTGTTCAGTCGGAAGGGTAAGTGTTGCCGGATTCTGGCCTACGCGAGAATTGCTACTAACGCATATGTAGTCTATATCAAAGCTGTGGAATCCTTGGAGCCACTGTCATGCCACATTCACTATTCCTCGGAAGTGGCGTGGTCCAATCTCGTCTCAAGGAATTCGACGTCAACTCTGGCTATGTCGATACAGCTGTGCCCCTTGGGAATGCAGATGGGGAAATAAAGTATCGCCCGTCAATCCATGCAATCCGCGGCTGCATGAAGTACTCCATCATCGAGTTGGCATTGTCGCTGTTTACCTTTGCCTTGTTCGTGAATAGTGCCATCCTCATCGTCGCCGGTGCTGCTCTGTATGATGTGCCTGGCAAAGACAACGCCGACCTTTTCGGTATTCACAGCCTGCTCTCGGAATCTATCTCACCAGCTGCCGGCTTAGTATTCGCTCTTGCGCTGCTACTGTCCGGCATATCCGCTGGAATCGTCTGCACCATTGCTGGTCAGATGGTGAGCGAGGGAATGCTGAACTGGACCATTCGACCCTGGCTTCGAAGACTCGTTACTCGCTCGATCAGTATCATTCCCAGCATTATCATTGCTGCAGCCGTCGGTAAGGAGGGTCTTGCCAAGACTCTAACTGCAAGCCAGGTTGTTCTGAGCGTCATTCTGCCTTTTGTTTCGGCGCCTCTTATCTGGTTCACCTGCTTCAATCGCTATATGACTGTTCGAACTGAAGAACCTACTGAACGGGAGGGTGAGGTTGTTGTGGTGACAGCTCCAATGCGAAATAATCTCCTCACTTCGGTGGTTGCGGTCGTCGTGTGGCTAATTATAGTCGTGATGAATATGGCCCTGCTGGTACTGGTGGGAATGGGCAAAGCATCTTGATCCCAGTGGTACCTTTTCTCGACAAAAGTCCAAGTATCTGGAATGACAGAAGCGACCTAGTATATACGTCTGTGGTTACAGTGAAAGCATGCCTGGACATATGTATCTCAATAATGCATGAGCTAATCGCTATGGTATGACGCATGAATAAAACTAGATCTTCAAATGCGACATGAGCATAGCGTAGCAGAACCTCGAATAGAACCCCGGTCAACTCCGTTGTGCCTGGCACAGAAGAACACCCTTGAATATTAGCACGCTATGACATAGTCTCATCCAAGTCCACCCGCCGCTTCCTTGACTTTATGTTGCTCAACCGGCTCATCAATAAACTGCGGCGGAGCCACCTCGTCCTGCAAGAAGCTCGGCATCGCACTCTCCCCCATGCTGCTCTCAAACATGGATTCCTCGCCTAGCGCCTCAAGCTCCGCATCCAACTCCGCCTCATCCACATCCTCAGGCACATCATAAGCCCGAGAGATACTTTCTTGAATCTCATTTCCAATCTCCATCAGATCTGCCATCTCGTCCTGCATCTGCTCGATCTTGTCCACGTCGACCTTGCCATATTGTTTCTTCAGCTCCTTGGTGGTGGTTTTCATAGCGTCAACTGTCGTCATGACATTCTTCAAATTATCTTGCATCATGCCCGCCTGTTCCATATTCCATGATTGTTGGGAGAGCTGATCTCGCTGCGCCTCGTATTGTTTGCGTCGCTGTAGGACCTTGAGTGCTTTCTGCCGAAGCGCATTCTTGCCGGGCCCGTCGCGCATCTTGGCGATCTTGGTTTGGTAGGTGGAGAGTTCCGAGTTGAGTGCTGCGAGCTTGACATCTATGCTGGATACTCGTGTGTCAACCTGTCATATGGTTAGTGGGGTAACTTTGAGGGGACGATGGATGCCTTGGATCTGGCTGGGTATCGTACATTGGAGATAGCACTGTCGAGAGTCGGCTTGGGTGCCGTACTCTTTGCACCAAATAATCGGTTCATGATGGATTGTTAGGTGGGGGTATATCGTATATTGGAACGGTGGAAGGTAAGGGCAATAGGCAGCGCGATTCCAGACCAACGCGTGGCCAGTGCTCAATGAAACGATCGGTGGGCCGAGAGGAGCGATAACCCGATATCTTGGACTAGGCGCTTAGCGTAGGGGTTAGGCAGTGTAGAGTAAAGCGTACGAATCAGAAGAATGAATTGTTTGCTACATACAGCTGTGGCCATGCATTTGATCTCAAATGCGGAGCAACGACAACGTCAGTTACTGGCCTCAGGCCAGAGATTACACGTGATTGTCAGTGCTCAGGTGATTTCGATCCCGAGTCTTTAGCCTGTTTCACCTTAAGGTTGGTATTTACAACGTGATTGTTGCAACAGTTGTTGGCTGAATCGTCAAATGATGAACTTATCAGCTGATACGGTTGATACCTGGAGTTTTGTATTGAAAGGTCCATATTATTTGGGCCACGACGTGGGACAAGGCATTCCGGTATTTGATACTTTGTTAGACACCCAAACTTGGCGGGGATGGGATGTACCCTGTACCATGATGGGATGCAGCTGATCCCATGATGAGACAAGATGGAAATTTAAGGATAAGTAAATAGACACAACACATACTGTGTAGTAGAACACAAGAATAAAGAATCATGTACTCCGTACCTTCGTATAACTACTCAAAGATCTATAATTCTTATCTAGCCAGTTTTTATCCCCCGCGGTGATTACATATCTTGTGTCCTTTCCGCCCCTTCTCCAAGGCTCGTGGCCATCAGGAATCGGTAATCAAACAGCACTTCCTGAGCGCGAATTTCCCTTTCACTTCTCTCTCCCACTTGCCTCCTTGATGGACAGTTGAGCTATCCATTTCCCGTGGCGCATTTTGACTCTCCAACTCCACTCCCCCCCAATTTCTTCTTCCCCTCTCCAAACCCACAGGGAGGTTCCGAAAACTCTCTTTATCCGTCACTACCTCGAGATTGAAGGTAAGAGGTACTGAAAGCCCTGTGTCTCACTTCTGCAGCTTCCTCCAATACCATCTGACGAGTCCCCCAACCTCCGTCGATCGAACCCGGTGAAGGCGGCTGGTACACATCGGGACCGCGGGTGAGGCAAATGGCCCACATGAACCTGATCGCTAACAAGATCTCTACTCGCACAGCGCTAGGTCGCTTCGACTTTCGATCAGGCGGGAATCATAGCCTTAGTCTCTATCGGCTGTTGTAATCGAGCTCAACCCCACGTCAATCCGCGCGGCCTTGGGTCTCTCTGTGTGTGTGCGTGTGTGTGTGTGTGTGTGTGGACACCACGCTTACCGGTGTATCGGCCTGTCGCGCAACCTCCCCTGAGAACCCGATTCTGCGACCAGCCCCTTGTACCATAGACTGCCTCATTACGACACCTTCGAGACGAACGCAACGAACCATTTCATGAACCATACCCCTCGGCAATATACTCCATCATGTTCTGGCGCTTTGGGGGATATGCGAGTATCTCCACCATCGATACCCTGCTCGACAAACCCGAGGTCACTCTCGAGGAGCTCCTGGATGAGCCCGAAATTATTCAAGAGTTGAAACAGCACAATACAAAACTGATCGAATACCTGCGCGATGACCATGTCTTGAAACGGCTTATGGATTATGTCACGGCACCGAGCCTGGTGACTGATGACCAAAAAAATGATGATGATTCCAAAGCGAAGGATGATACTTCGAAGGACGGGGATGCTTCCACAGAGCAGACGGACGAGGATAAGGAGAAGGAGGGGGATCCGCTGAAGGATATTCTCGATCCGGATGACCTGGAGAGAGTCGAGAAGAACCGCTTGAAGCATGCTTATATTGCTTGTGAAATTCTCTCATCCGAGACATGGTCCATCCTTGAATCTATGATGGCAAACCCTTCATATTTGCGAGACTTCTGGGGCTTCTTGCGACGTTCCCCACCTCTGGACGCTTCGCAGGCTAGCTACTTCACTAAAGTCAACGAGACCCTGCTTGATAAGAAGACCGAGGAGATGCTAGATATCCTCAAGTCACTCGAAGGAATCGTCCCGGCATTGTTGCAGCATGTTGATAACCCAATGGTCATGGATCTTCTGCTGAAGATTATCAGTCTTGAGAAGGCAGATGGTGGCCAAGGTACCGTCGACTGGCTCAAATCACAGAATCTAATCCCCGGTCTTCTATCTTTCCTGTCGCCCGACCACCCGGCGTCCGTTCAAACCTCAGCAGGTGATTTCCTGAAAGCGATCATCACCATCTCTGCAAATGCAAGTCCAAATGACCAGTCATGTATTGGTCCTAACAGCTTGACACGTCAGCTAGTCTCGGCTCAATGTGTGCAGCAGCTCATTGATGCTATGCTCCAGGGAGGCAATCCGCTGACCGTCGGCGTGGGCATCGTCATTGAAGTCATTCGCAAGAACAACTCTGACTACGACCCCGAGTCTCTTGGCTCGCCCGATCAAATGCTCAGCACGTACGACCCAATCTACCTGGGAACGTTGCTTCGTCTTTTTGCCAAACATATTCCCCAGTTCATGGCTCTCATTCAGAGCTCCAAACACACCATTCATGATGGAAACAAGCTCAAGGTTGTTGAGCGAGGAAAACTGAACTCTGCATGGGGTGGCCAAATTGAGCCGCTTGGCTTTGACCGATTCAAGACTTGCGAGTTGATGGCAGAGCTGCTTCATTGCAGTAACATGGGCCTTCTGAACGAACCAGGCAGTGATGAGTATGTCAGGCAGAGGGACGAGGAGCGTGAGCGGTTGATTCGCGAGGGCGCTTTTGACTTTCACCGAGACGAGCACTCTGGAATGGACTACAATGATACCACCGCCGATTTCGCGAACGATTCAGCCCTCGCTTCCGGCTCTCCAGGAGACACCAAAACAACAGAAGCACAACAGGCGGGTGAAGAAGAAGGCTTTGAGGATGTCGGTGCATCCGGTATCTTAGTGGACGAGAAAGCTGGTGCGACCACGACACCTACTGGAGACGCGCAGCCTATGGAATCAGTCACAGAGCTCCCCTCAACAGATAATGCAGCAGAGCGAAGTCTTTCCGAAGAAGCCACAAATACCCCTCAGAGTCCTGTCGAGGTCGTTGACCCTGCGTCGCCTACTGCTGGTCTAGCTGAACAAGTCAGCAGCATCAATCTTGAGAACACACCACAAAACGATCAGCAAGAGTCCAAAAAGGACACCCAAGGGCCTGAGGCTTCTACTGCCCAAGACGTCCCAGCTCCTCTGTTCGCGCACGAACAAGAATCGGATTCAAATCCGACCCCTGCCGGCCAAACGAAAGAAAACTCCACAGTCAATGAACAGGCTGAGGGAAAACACCCCTTCAACGACGGTGGCGATGAGGACTCGGCGGAGCAGTACATTCAGCTTGATACTGACGGACGACCCGTTGTCGGTGATTATTTGAAGATTCAGTTTGTGGAGAACCAAGTGGTCCCCACGATTCTGGTAAGCATTCCATTTAGAGAAATCAAGATCTCTACTAATCATTCATAGGGCTTCTTCTTCCGTTTCCCATGGAATAATTTCCTCCACAACGTTGTTTACGATGTGATTCAACAAGTCTTCAACGGGCCCATGGAGCGAGGCTACAACCGAGCCCTCGCAGTCAATGTCTTTGACACAGGGCGAATCACCACTGCGATTGTTGAAGGGCAGAAGCGTAGTGACGAGACCCAAAGGACCAAGCAGATCCGCCTCGGGTACATGGGACATCTTACGCTTGTCGCAGAGGAGGTCGTCAAGTTCAGCGAGCGTCATCCGCCAGAATTGCTTTCGCACGCTGTTATGGAGAGCGTCTTGAACCCTGACTGGATTGAGTACGTCGAACAGACTTTGTCCGAGACTCGCGAGCGGGATAATGCCATCCTCGGAGGTGTTCGCCCTGACATGTCATCTCGCCAGGCTAGTCTCAACAACTCCAACAACTCTGGCCAAGGCTTCTCCAATTCCAATGCTTTGTCAGACGCAGGATTGAATGGAGGAATTGGTGGCTCGAGTTTCAATACTTTTGACCTTAGCCATGGAGGTATCTCTGGGGGCGCATTCGGTGCAGGTGGTGGCACCTCTCTTCTGAGCGGGTTTGCTAGCTCCAGTGACGATGAGGATGAAGAGATGGAGGACCAGGAAGACAGAGACACCGGTAATGCCGATCAAGGCGACACTGATGTGGGTAACCCTTTCTTGACGTGATGCCCGATACGTAACCGTTCTTGTCACGTTTCTTTTCGAAGTCTTCCTTCTGAATTAGTTGAATATTCATTTGCTAATTGAGTTCCTTGCAGGTGTCAACAAGTTCAGCCAGCCAACCTATTCCCATCTTGCCCCCGCCGCCTGCCCCATTGAGCCTCGGTCCATCCCGGGCACGCCGTCAATTAGCTGCGCGCCTTGCCGCCCAAAAGCAACAATCGTCCGAAGACGGCGAGGGTGAAGCCAGAGAGACAGAAGGAAGTGCGGACCGAGAGTCAGACTGGCCAAGCAACCCCTTCGTCATTGCCGGGATGGATGATGATGGCGAGGGAGGCAACTCAGCTTTCCCTCATAGTGACTTTGGTTCAGCCAATGCCAAACATTCACCTGCCCTACCCGGGTCAGGATTCAGCCCTCCGGATTCGTTGTCAACCAACTCCTCAGACGAGGAAGGCGGAGGTCGCCTAGAATCTTTCAACCGCGCAGGCCGTTTCCCGCTCGACGTCGAGGAAGACGATGACGACGAAATGGGTGAGATGGTTGGACCGAGCGGTGGCCTAATGGACTCGGACGATGAAGACGAGGCCATCATCAATGAATCATTGGGTTACTCCAACCTCTCGGGTCCCAGACGATACAATAACTTCCCCCGCTCCCGGGCCGTGAGCTCCCATTATGAAGACGACGATCAAAACGACAGTAGCGATGGTGAGGATGACGGGCTCGTGGAGATCAGGGTCCCTGGCCGCAAGTCTTCGACTTCTAATTAAGATCGAGTTTTTTGCATTTGAGTGCGTGGGTCATGACAGTAACGGGAGAAATCATGCCCCTGGGGTTTCTACATGAGATGTGACGGCATGGCGTTTGTATATAGGGTAGCCATGGGGTTCTGCATCTTAATGCTCAAGTTCTGTATGAAGACTTACTTGATCTAACGTTTTGTGTCCTTCGCTGTCCACTCTGGGATTGGCCTACGAGTTGGCTTCTCATTGTCTAATTGATTTGGCATTCGCCTGTGTACGATAATTCTGGTGAAGCGAAACGATGTTTTAGTTTGAGCTGGTATCCTCTGAGATGATGCGTACACAGTAGATGTTTGTAGATGTTTTCATGTTTTTCATCTCACTATGCGATCTCGACGGCGGAGAGGAAAAAGCCCCTAAGCCCCACTATCCCGCATCGATTCTTTTCTGGTCACTCTACCCATACACCAGGTCAAGCTGGTTCTCTTCATATAGTAAAACCTCGGTAGACAGTCTTGATCCAATTAAAGAATAAAGAGGACAAGGCTGCAGGAGCACGATCGGATAAAAGGCCAACCCGGAACATGGCGGCCCTCTCAGAGTAAGTGCTCAGATACGTCATTCCTCGTGCATATAAAACCCCAATCTAACACAAAAACCAGCCAAGTCGACCCAAAACTAGAAGCCCACACAGAGCTAGTAAACTGGGTCATCCAACATGGCGGCGCAGTCTCCAAAACCGTGCGCATCTCACAAGACGCCTCCCGCGGCGTGCACCTGCAAGTGAAAGCAGACCTGCCCTCCGCAATCCCCAAAGAAACGAAGGTAATCAACACCCCAATTTCCGTGTCAATGTCCTGGTACAACGCTGTAGGCTATGAGTCTCCGCACGGCTCATTCCCCAAATACGGCGTTGACTTCCCGCGGTCCTGGATCGATCAGATCGGTCCGGAGGAGACTTCTGCGTTCTTCCTCATGGGACAGTATCTGCGTGGAGAGGAGGGGTTCTGGTATCCGTATTTGAGGACTTTGCCGCAGCCGGGTCAGTTGACCACGCCGTTGTTCTTTGGGGAGGAGGATGTGGATTGGATTCAGGGGACGGGGATTCCGGAGGCTTCGGTTGAGAGGATTAGGATTTGGGAGAGGAAGTTTGACGAGGCGATTACGCTTTTGGAGGAGAGTGGGTTTTTGGATTGTGAGAGGTTTACTTGGTGAGTTGTGGGCTTTTTGTTCATGTTTTTTGTTGGGAGGCACTATGTTGACGCATATAGGGAACTGTATCTTTGGGCTTCGACTATCATTACCTCCAGGGCTTTCTCGGCGAAGGTTCTGTCTGGGGCTGTCCAGCCTGATGATCTCCCTGAAGATGGTATCTCGGTGCTGCTACCGCTAATTGATCTCCCTAACCACCGGCCAATGGCCAAGGTTGAGTGGCGGGCGGGTGACGAGGATATTGGTCTTATTGTGCTTGAGGATGTTGCTCCTGGTGAGGAAGTCTCGAACAATTACGGTCCTCGCAATAACGAACAATGCAAGTATTGCCTTATACTCTTCCGAGTACATAAGAGACTGACTATAAACTAGTGTTCATGAACTATGGATTCTGCATCGCCGGTAACCCAACCGACTACCGCATTGTCCATCTGGGAGTGAAACCCGACAGCCCGCTCGGCCAAGCTAAGGCTCGTCAGCTAGAACTCTTCCCCCAGGCTGCCAAGAATGTCGAGGAACACTACTACATCTTCAACCCTTATTACCCTTTCATGGCTCCCGAAACACCAATGGAGCACTCGATCTTCTCGCCAGCATTATTCAACGCGTTGACGGTGATGGAATCAAACGTACGCGAGCGCAAAATGCTCGAGATCACCGAAGACACCATTCGCATCATCCCGGGATACGGAAATAACCACAGCATCTATGCAGCCCTGGCACAGATCAGCTTCGAGCTCATAGCCCATTCCACGAACCTAAAAGCCAGCGCAGAGGATCTACCGGAACCCACCAATCTAAACCACATCCACTCCCAAATCTACCGCAACGGCCAAATCCTCATAGATGAGTCCGCCCTGATCATAGCCAGCTGGTGCATCGCCCGCGGCCGAGAACACAAGCGCGGCGAAAGCTGGGAGGATACCAAAGCCCTCCTCCACGAACTGATGGAACGATTCCCCGCGGGCCTTCTACCCGACGACGTTCTATCCCGAATCCGAGTCCGCATCCTGGAACGTCCTTCACTGATAACGAAGAACGGTGAGCTATACAGACTGGGCGAGCTTTTCAGCCTCCTCCCGGCTGAAATGCAGCAGCCGAGTCAGACTTGCTTCCAGCACATCCTCGGCGAGGCGAGTCAGAATGTCCCGCCCATGGCGAGTGATCCACAGTCGCTGTTCGCTACGGTTATTTGCTTGTTGATAGCGACTTATAATTCCCCTGAGGCACGGTCGAGATTGCCATCGAGGCTTAGTTGTTGGGTCGCTTTCCTGCTGGAACAATATCCTTTGCCTTCTGATGCTGAGGGTGTGAGTGAGCCGCTTGAACTGTTTCAGGAGTATGCTAAGGCGGTTAACCCGGCTTCGTGGGCCGCTGGTGACGGGGTCGATTGGCTTGCTGAGGATAGTGGGTGGTTGGATGCGAAGTGGCTTCATTGGGCTTGGATTGTTGCTGGTGAGGAAATGGTTATGATTCCACTTGATCCATTTGACATTCTTAAAATGGAGGGGTCATTGTCTATGTTGAAGCAGGCTTGTCTTTATGTGCCGCAGGAATAGGTAATAGGTATAGAGGTGGGAATGCATAGAGTAGCTTCATGCTTCATAGTCTTACTCTTGGATCTGTAACATTATCCACGCCGGGAGAGGGTCATTAACGAATTCCAAGTATCAAGTGCAAGAAACAGTCTCAAACATTTCTGCCAATGAATAATGATAAGCCAACTTTACATACATGCTGCTATGCGGGGATAGCCAGAGCCTGCTCCTTCGACGATTGAAATCAGGTGCATCTCCAGGATACAACTACCCTTTATGCAGGACTCATTTTAATTAAAGTCCCCATCATACCATGTCCCCGAGCCCCCTTTTATCCACATTATGTATCAGTCTCGCGAGTGGGATACATTGTCGTATGCTTATGCTCGACGTATCTAGAGCATACGACAAGCATCCCACGCCGCGAGACTTAACACAGAATGTGGAAAAAAGGGAACTAGAAGCTGGTATCATTGGGAAAAACTTTCCTTCTCGAAGCACCAGGATACGAATGCCGGAAGGAGTTTCAGAGCGGTCGTGGAGAACAGCTGGTCAAGAGAGGAGAAGGGAGAGGGCCCGAGGGGAAAGAGGAGAAGAACCATCACGTGACCCAAATACATACCGACTGTCTGACTCAGCAATTACATCACGTGCAGACCTCCCACCCAATCATATCGACGCCAAAGGCGGATCATTCAGCAAGCGCAGGAATTGCCGTGAGCTCCACGACTCCCTTCCCTCTATTCTCCACGACCCTTTGACCCTCACCACGCATTGTCACCCCCGCCATCATCATGATATCCAGAGCGGCGGCTCCCTCCACCTCCTCCCTTTCCCACCTCTCGACCCGCTCCCTCCGCGCCCCGGGGGCGGCCGCCCGCTCATTCGCAAGCGTGTCGGAGGCACCTCCCGTGAAGCACTATGGCGGACTTCAGGATCAAGATCGGATCTTCACCAACCTTTACTCGCACCATGGAGCGGACTTGAAGTCATCAATGAAATATGGTGACTGGTACCGGACCAAGGATATGCTCTTGAAGGGTGATGATTGGGTGGGTTTGTCGCAAGACTTTGGCGGGCTTGGGAATGACCAATTGCTAATACTATGAGCAGCTCATCTCCGAGATTAAGGCATCTGGCCTCCGTGGTCGTGGTGGTGCTGGTTTCCCCTCGGGATTGAAATACGTAAGTGTCCAATTCAGACGAAACAAGAGTTGGTTTGGGACAGAAGTAACCGGGCTGACCCGCTGCTCGATAGTCGTTCATGAACTTCAAGGATTGGGACAAGGATCCCCGCCCCCGTTATTTGGTTGTCAATGCCGATGAGGGTGAGCCTGGAACCTGCAAGGACCGAGAGATTATGCGCAAGGACCCCCAGAAGCTGATCGAGGGTTGCTTGGTGGTGGGTCGTGCTATGAACGCCAATGCCGCGTACATCTACATCCGTGGCGAGTTCTACCACGAGGCCACTATCCTCCAGCGCGCGATCAACGAGGCCTACGAGGCCGGTCTGATCGGCAAGAACGCCTGTGGTTCCGGATACGACTTCGACGTGTACATTCACCGTGGAATGGGCGCCTACATCTGTGGTGAGGAGACCTCACTCATCGAGTCCATCGAGGGCAAGGCCGGCAAGCCCCGCCTCAAGCCCCCCTTCCCCGCCGCCGTCGGTCTATTCGGCTGCCCCAGCACAGTCACCAACGTCGAGACCGTCGCCGTGACACCGACGATCATGCGTCGCGGCGCCAGCTGGTTCTCCTCCTTCGGTCGTGAGCGCAACGCCGGTACCAAGCTCTTCTGTATCTCCGGCCACGTCAACAACCCCGTCACAGTCGAAGAAGAGATGTCCATCTCGCTCCGCGAGCTGATCGAAAAGCACTGCGGCGGCGTCCGCGGCGGCTGGGACAACCTGCTCGCCGTCATCCCCGGCGGTTCGTCCACCCCCGTCCTTCCCAAGTCCATCGCCGACAACCAAATCATGGACTTCGACGCCCTCAAGGACTCCCAGAGTGGTCTTGGTACAGCCGCCGTCATCGTCATGGACAAGTCCACCGATATCGTCCGCGCCATCTCCCGTCTGTCCACCTTCTACAAGCACGAGTCCTGCGGCCAATGCACCCCCTGCCGCGAGGGCAGCAAGTGGACCATGCAGATGATGCAGCGTCTCGAGACCGGCAACGCCCGCGAGCGCGAAATCGACATGCTCCAGGAACTCACCAAGCAGGTCGAGGGCCACACCATCTGCGCTCTCGGTGAGGCCTTCGCCTGGCCCATCCAGGGTCTCATCCGTCACTTCCGTCCCGAGCTGGAGGCCCGTATCCGTCAGTATGAAAAGGAGCTTGGCGCCGCTCCCTTCGCTGGTGGTTGGCACCCCAACAGCCGTGCTGAGGGCAAGCTGATCTCCCCTGGCATGTAATCGCGTCTTTCACATTTCCCATCTTTTTCCCATTACCCACAATTTTTTTACTCCCTCTCTCTCCCACAAAAAGAAGCAGGAATGGGTCCGGGATGAATTCTCACTTCTAGACCTCTTTTCTTTTCACTCCCCCTTTCCCGGCTGGTAATGTTCTTTTTGTTACCGGTCTGTCTGGTCCGGTCGGGGTGGGTGGGTGTTTTCTCTATTTATTCGCTCTGCTCGATCCCCTCGTGTTCTGTCGCGCCTAGGTCTCCTTTATCTGTACAGTCGGTAGCTATGTAGCAAATTTGATGCATTTGATGTCTTCATTGGTGTTTAGGATGTAGCTGGTAATGACTGGTAAGATTCCTACTAGGCGCGACTAAAGACGAAGTCTACTGCATCGATATGAAAGAGCGACAATCTCCTATTTCCGCTTCAATGGTTTGCGCGAGTATCACCACCTACAACATCTCCCTCAGCGGCGTCAGCCACAGATTCACGAACATCGGTATCCTTCTGTTCACTCTCACCAGACCTTCCCAGGGTCTGTGTTTTAGTTGCCCTCGCCTCCTTTTCCGCATTCTTCCGTTCATTTCTTAAGAATCTCTTCTCCCTCCAGCCCATACCATACACCTGCTCAACCCAGAGCAAACCCAACCCAACAGCCATGACAAGACCCAGGAAAAAGAAACACCAGCCCCATCCCATACCACTCAGCATCTGGCTAATGACCGCAGCACCGACAGCACCAAGACAGCAGCGAACGAGGTTACAAGCTGCTGCTGCTGTGGCGGCACGGTCTGGGAAAAGGTCGGTGAGGAGGGTGTTGAGGCAACCCAGAGATGCAACGAAGCAGAAGCCAATGATGAATTGCAGTACCATTGGGGCTGCTAGATGTACTCTTTGCTGCAGGACCCAGCCGTATGGGATGAAGGCTGCAATGCCGAGAGCCATCACCGGGTAGATTGTTTGCAGACGAGTTTGCTCGATTGGAAATCTGCGTAGATCGTCGTCCTTCTCCCGGTTTACTGGGAGGCCGAGTTTCTGGGCTGTGCGCTTGTAGTTGTAGTCAATGACTTTTCCATATAGAACTGCGCCGAGGCAAGAGCTAACTCCGAGGGGCCTGGTGATGTGTGTGTTGGTCAATGGATACTGGCGTAGAGAAAAGGGAAGAGGCAAATGGATACTCACAGGAAGCATAGACCAATTTCAAGCTCGTTGAACCCGTACAAGGGACCAAAGAGGTTGGGAGTGCTTGTCAACAAGGCAATATTTGCGAACATCACGATCCCAACGTACGAAATGATGATCAAGGCATCCCACTCCAGCAGGATAACGAGAGTCTTGAGGGGATTCGGAAATCGGAGTCTCCCTGTATGTTGCGACTGATATGGAGAGCCCTGTGCAGCAGATTGGCTTTCTTCATCCCGCTGTGCTTGTCTCTTAGACCACCACTGGATGACTGACCTGCGCCACCACTCCCTGGGCACCGTACTGCCGTCACCAACAATCTTGCGCGCTGTCTCTGGCATAGAAATCACATAAAATACCAAGTAGCCACCACTGATAATCACCAGAAACCAGAAGACACTACGCCAGCCAAGAAACTTGGCCAGCAATCCACCGATAACAGGACCTAGCGCAGGCGCAACCATCACCCCAGCTGCCATGGGCCCGATGTATTTCCCGCGCTCCGAAGTTGTCGCGATGTCCGCTATAACGCCGTATCCAAAGGCAACGGTGCCGCTACTCCCCGCGCTCTGGAGACAACGAAGAACCATGAGTGCGGCGAAACTGTTTTGTAGTGCAAGTCCGATGTTGGCGGCGGTATAGATAGCAAATGCAAGAATATAGGCCGGACGTCTGCCGCCGGTGTCGGCGAACGTGCCCATGAAGCTTGGGGCTATGCCTTGAATGATCATGTACACTGCGATGGTGAGGTTGATCAGTTCCGGAGTGAGGTGGTAGTTTCGTACCAAGGTTGGCATGACGGGGTAGTAGATCTGGCCGGAGAGAGGGGAGAAGAAAGAAGCTAGTGATATCATCGCTACAATGAACCACTTTTGGGACTTGCTGAAGGCTGAGAATCGCGACTGGGGAGTGCTTGCTGTTGTTTCTGTGGTGCTCTTCTGCACTGGGTCTGAGGTGCTCCCGGCAGTGGCAGCGAGTGGGTGCCGAATGTCAACAGTGTCGTCGTAGGGACCTTGTGCATCTCCAGAATGACCAGATGATCCAGTCGACCAACCACCATTTCCGCTGTCGACTCTTGCCAAGCTATGGGGTATAGGGGCGTGGCCAAATGGCCCAGGCACTGTGACAGTCTGCTGTTCTCCGGCAGTCCTTTTCGGGATCTGTTGTAGTTCCATATCCGACACCATGTTGGGAAAGGATGAAGCAAGAAAGCCACTAAGAGAATGCGAATGGACAAATGTAGAGAAGAGAAGGGTGAGACGGAGACTCTTGAGTTGAGGTCCGACGTCCGTTCGCTCCTTCCTTGCACTTTCGCACTTTCTCAGACGACAAAGTCAAAACTTGTGTCACGAGGCCATCGAGGCCCCAGTCGAGGCCACAGCTGGGCTGGAATTGTGCTAGATCATGGCCTGTACAACTCTGCCATAACTGGATCTGATAGCGTCTTGCTGGCCATTGATCGGATTATATCGTCATGCATATACTCTCCGAGATTAGTATATTTGTCCGATGCCAATTGTTTACCTCCATCATCAGTAGCAGTCTGAACAAGTCGGAGCAGCAGTACTTACCTTATATAAGCCAGCCCTGATTCACGGACCTACGATATCGACATAGAATAGCACAAGAACGAAATGAAATTGGGAAAATAGTAATTTTCAGCAAAAGGTAGAGTACAGTACAGAGTCATGGGAACCATTTGAGATCATGCAAGGAGCACACCCCAAGACAGGAGAGAATGCGAGAACGGGACAAACAAAAGAAAAAGAAGCAAGACCCAAGTTTGGACATTAAATGAGCTACCATCTCCACTAAATGCACACCTCCGTGATACTTAATGACCACCTGCCATGATAACGCCGTAGTAGCGACGGCTCATCTCCGCAGTCTGCAGAACGCGGGCATCGCCTGTCAAGGGGAGACCAAGGATAGCAGATGATTCAACAGTCTGTGAAAGCAAGTTAGCAATGAACAGGACAATAAGAAAGAGACATAGAAGTGGGCGAAGAACTCACATGAACATCTTCGTGCCTAATCCAGCCGGCGACAGCGCGGCTCATCTCGTTGAATGCAACACGCTCCTCCAGTCCTTCCAAACCGGCGGCTTGGAGACGGTCACCCATTGCCACGAGAGCATTCACTAAGCGGTTCAGGCGAGTGGGGTCACGGCGGCCACTGGGACTGTTGACTAGGCGCAGGAAGTCTTCGTAGACGCCGCCACCGGAAGACCAGCCGCGCATTTTACGCTCGGGGCCGTCACCGAAGCCAGACACCAAAGCTTCAAGAGTACGGTAGTCGCCTTCGATGATGGTGCTTGGGCCGACGATGCGGCAGAAGGTGGCGTGGGCGTCGTTCCAGTGCTTGCCGCGGATGAGGCAGTCTACTTCACGGGCGGCGTCGCCGGTGTCTCGAGCGTAAAGGGCCTTGGCAACCCAGATCCAGGCCTCGGGGAGCTGGAGGTCGGTGATGAGATATTGCCAAGCCGGGTCGGGTGAGCCGTCGGCAGCGAGGGGCTCGGGGAGTTGCGCGGCGAAGCGGGCGAGGGTTTCTTGCACGGCGCGCTTGCGGTCTCCAGCCTGGGAAAGATGCAGGAGGACGAACAAAGCTTGATCGAGTTGTCCGCTTGCACTGAGCTCAGAAGCAAAGTCCCAGACAAGGTGGTCGGTTTGTTGCTGGTCGATTTTGATGGCTTTGCTTTGACCGACTGTCGCAGCGACAACATGGTGCAACTGGAAGGAGAGTCGGTTGGAGAGAGCATCGCCAGAGACGGATTCGGGAAGAAGAGAGGCTGGGAATTCAATCGGCTGGACCTCTTGGCCTTGGGTAGCCGAGAAGGCCTTGAGTAGCACCCAAAGAGGGGATTCGCGACCAAGGGTATCAGAGCCAGGCTGCAAGACTGCGCGGGTACTGACCTCGTGAGAGGGGTGGGGAAATGCAGGTTCTTGACCGGTGGCCAAGTCCTCAATGAACTTGGAGATGGCCGCCTCAATTGGCTCGTCTTCAGAGGTGCAATACCACAGACGAAGACCAAAGGCCTGGAACCAATCCAGGTCAAACCGCTCAGTGAAGCCGAAGGTGGAGGCTCGGTCTTCCAGCGCACCGCCCGATTTGCCTTCGGAGCGGAGAGCATTTCCTGCAACCAGTTCGTAAAGGGCTCGAACGGGTTCAGTCATCTCGGACAGCACATTGTTCTGACGCCAAACATCAATTTGGTTCGCGATGTCGGCCCGTGAGGTAGCATCGCGACCAATCTGTGCAACCACAGTTGCCAGGTGCGGGTTTTGACTCTCAACCAATGTCTTACAAGCTTCCTCCACTCGGTGCGAACAAAGTAGATGCACGGCGCGTTCCACCGGCGAGTGAATTGTATCCAAGCTTTGCGTGTGTTTCTCGCGGATGATGCCTTCCCAGAGACGAGTAAGTCGATCCTTCTTGATCCGGTGCGCAAATTGTTGTCGTAGACGCGGCGGGACACCTGCTGAGATATCGTCTTCAATGTCGTCATTAAACAGGACGTTGAGAAGCTGCCATAGCAGGCGCTCTTCGTCTGTCTGGGAACGGCTAGAAGGAGACATAGGAAACTGTGCCAGGTCGACCTTGGAGATATGAATGAAGGGGGCGCCGTCGACGCGCTGAATAGTGGACTGGAGTCGCTGGACGTCCAGCATATCCTTCACCTGTATCATCATCAGTCGTAATCCTCGATTGACGAGAACAAAGCCATTGGACATACCTCGCCGGATTTATTATTGTAAGTCAGCACGGAAATATCTCGCTCCTCGCTAACGATCGAGAACGATTCTTTCCAAGTTTGATTGACATCCAAGATTGCGCTCTCCATATTGGTTTTCGCACAAACAAGGGAGTCCATGGGACCCCAGCGAGGCTTGAAAGAGTCATGGAACTCAGCATCAGACTCCGTCATTTGTGTTGCATCGCCAGCAAAGGTTTTGGGTTGTTTGTTGTAAGGCCACTGTAAGGAAAATGAAAAGTTTTAGCTCAGGCAATCACATTTGTTTTTAACTATCTTGGGGCAATGTTCAATTTCCTAGATACAAGATGCAATGGAATCTGGGAAAACAAGGCAAATCACAATCAGTGTGAACACAAGAAGGGGGTGCTAACCTCAAAGCCCTTTGTCTTGGGAGCCTTAAGCGGAGACGGGGCAGACTGCTTGCGTGGCTGCTGGAACAAAGAGTTCATAAGATCAATGCTATTCGAGAAGCCTTTCTTGGGAGAAGCGGTGGCAACGTTTGTGGGAGACTCGTCATTCACGAGGTTGCGTTCCATGAAAGCATTAGCTTGCATTTCGCGCAAGGCGTCACGGTTCTGCTTGCGTGGGCTGATGGTACGCTGCAATTGCTCAGCCCAGTCGCCACTGAGGTCAAGCTGGGGCCTCGCAGGACTGCCAAAGGGGTTTGAGATGGGGTGAGTGGTATCCAGGTCACCAATGGTGCTCTGGTAATCATCCTGCTCCACGGTGCGATGAGGAGTGGGAAAGGCACCCGCCATATCCATTTCATCTGCCTCATCTGATCCAACTACCGAATCGCCAGACCGTTGGCTCTCGGTGACGACGTCGTCGTCATTCTCAGTAGTCGAACCCGTGGAGCCTTCCTCTAAAAAAGACTCGGTCTCACCCTCAGAAAAATAATCATCGTTCTCAACAGGCACCGCCTGGTTAGCAAATGAACCAGGAACAGAACCAGGGACGAGCTTGCGCTTCTTGAAGTCAAACGTATCGTCTTCGACACCGATCATAGAGCCAACGAAAGACTCATCAATGGAGAAAGTGGTAGACTGCTCAAAGCTTGCGGGATGATCGAACTCAGCCTTGGAAGTAGCATGGTCAGGGCCCTGGGCACTCATCATGCTCTGATCAAGACTCTCACCTTCCTCTTCGTCGTAATCAAGGCCATAAGTGGTAAAGTGAGGCACCTTGAAAACCCATGTACCAGTCTCGGTCTCGTAGTTGACGAACTCGGTGTCGCCAACTTTCTGCAGACGATCGATGTGCTTGTCGAACAAAGGACCACTAGTCACAGGCGAGTTGCTCTTCTTATCTCTACCGCGAGGCCAGGAATTCTCAATCCGCAGGGTGGATGGCACGTTCAGACCCTTGCCCCTGGCAGGTTTGACCGATTCTTCGGGGTAGACGGTGATCTTGCGAAGACCAATGTCCACAGTCGAGGCGAAGAGGTTGTCCAGATCAACGTTAGTCAGATCGACCGGGCCATTGAAAGTTACCGAGCCACAGTTCTGACGTCCAACAGTGAAGTCGACAACTTGTTTGAGCTGGTCGCGGGTCATTCGGCTAAGCTCGGCACGGCTAGGCTGCATCCAATACTCGCCAGGCCGTGGGTCACCGCCAGGGATAAAGGTGAGACGCTTGACGGTCGCACCGTTGGTGGCTGCCGGAGCATTTTCAGGGACAACAGTGAGGTCTCGACTGACAGATTCCATTTCAGGACGACCTGAAACCTTGGGAGCGTCGATGCCACCAAGGCTACCACTCTTGCGGGTGGAGCGAATGAATCCGAGCTCCTCTGCAGACGGCTCGGAGCTCTCGGTCTCAACACGAACAAGCTCTCCACCAGTGACACCAGGCGAAGTAGAGTCGAAGCTGACCTTTTTCTTCAGCTTATCACCGGCTTGGCCGACATCTTCTCCATTAGCGAGAAGAGGAGTAGGCGAGGAACTAGCACTGCTTGGCTTCGAGAATAGCTCATTCCTCACGTCACGGTTGATCTGGAGGCGCTTGAGGTTGCTGGTACCACGCATGCTGCCGGCCTGTAGGGCACCGGGAGAGAGGATACTGTCGGCCTCTGGATCGAATGTCTTGCGAAGGTTGCTAGTGGAGTAGCTCTTGCTGAAGCTACGGCCGATGCTGCCGCTGACGCTACTGCGAAGAGTGTTGCCGCCGCCACCCAACAAACTGCTGGCAAGACCGGATGGAGTGCCCGTGCTGCTGGCTGGCGAGCCATAGGTGGAATAAGAGAAACCATATCCACGCTTCGGGGGGGTAAAGAGACGATTAGCTGCATTAGGGGTAATCTTGTGGACAGGCAAAGGAGTCCGCTGCTTCTGCTTCATGCTGGAAGACAGCGGCGTGGCAAGGGGACCGGGTGTCGATCCACCAGGAGCGGGAAGGCCCGAAAAGATGGACTGGCTTCCATAGGGGTTTCCGTCGAGTAGCGATGCTTGGAAGCTACCAGGAACAGGCTGGGACTGTTGCCCGGGCTGCGAGGCGCCGAAAGCACTGCCGCCAAAGGGAGAGGCTTGCTGGTTCTGAGCTTGGCTACCTCCGAAGAGCGAAGAGCCGCCAGTCTGCCCGGTAGTAGTTTGTCCCCCGCCGAACAAGCCTCCACCGGCACCTTGACTTCCTCCAAAGAGACCACCAGGCTTCTGCTGTTGTTGATTCTGCGTATTGAATAGGCTACTACCACCAGCAGCTGGCTGGGTTTGGGCGCCACCGAAGCCAGAGAATCCGCCCCCACTGGCAGCTGGGGTGGATCCGAAAAGACCACCCGGCTTCTGTTGCTGCTGATTCTGTGCACCACCAAACAGCGAATTGCCAGTCCCAGCTTGCTGAGTCTGACCACCAAAGAGCGAGCCTCCTCCCTGCTGCTGCTGTGGCTGCTGTTGAGCTCCTCCAAAGAGCGAGCCCCCAGCGGCTGGGGCAGCGCCAGTGCCTCCACCAAGCAAACCTGTGCCAGTTCCTTGTTGTTGGGTACCTGCTCCGAATCCTCCACCACCGAACAATGACTTTGCCTGAGGCTGAGCCTGATTCTGGTTGGCATTACCAAAGCCGCCGCCGAAAGCACTCGTGGTTTGCTGAGTACCGCCACCAAATGGTGAGGCCGTAGCAGTTGCGCCTCCGAACGGGTTCGCGGCAGTGGTTGTTTGAGTGTTACCACCGAACCCACCAAAGGTATTGCCAGTGGTGGCACTGGCGCCAAATGCAGGCTTGTTCTGCTGCGTGTTGGCACCAAAAAGGGATCCGCCGGTATTGCCGAAGGCCCCTCCAGTTCCAGTGCCCGTGTTGCTTCCGAATCCGCCGGCGGTCTGCGTGGTTCCACCGAAAAGGGATCCTGTCGAGGCTGCTGGAGTAGTTCCACCACCAAACAGTGAATTTGCTGGCTTGGCTGCACCGAACAAGGGATTAGAGCCAGTGGAGCCGAATCCACCTGCGGTTTGGGTTGAGCCAAAGCCAGATTGCACACCGGTTGCAGCTCCGCCGAACGGAGTAGCGCTGGAACCGAAGGCGCTAGGGGTAGACGTGTTTTGTTGACCAAACCCACCAGTAGAAGCGTTGCCAAAAGCAGGGGCGCCGAAGCCACCAGCCTGGCCACTGCCATTGCCAAAACGACGGCCTTGTTGATAATCTGCTAGGCGCAGCTCTTCGAAGGACCATTTGTTGTAGGGTTGCATAAAGCAGATGCTTTGGTAGTGATTCGTGGTGCCGGCCGTAGCGGCATCCTTCTCAGTCCAGGGGTTGAAAGGAGTGCTGCCGGTACCTTCGCAGGCAGGCAGGGCGCCCTGGAAGGCAGTGCCTCCACTGCCAAAGCCGGTGCTGGGAGTTGTAGTAGGGGTGGCAGTAGATCCAAACCCACCACTTGTGCCAAATCCGCCAGTTCCTGTTGTAGATGCGCCGAAAGCTGAGGGCTTAGCTGCGCCAAAAAGGCTTCCACCAGTGTTCGAGGCTGTGTTGGCATTGGCGCCAAAGCCGCCAGGAGTGGCAGCAGAGCCGAATCCTCCACCAGTGCCGAAGCCGCCAGTGCCAGCGGTCTGAGTGCCTTGTCCGAACAAACTTCCACTGTTGGAAGTGTTGGTGGTGCCGAATCCACCGGGGCGAGCTCCGCCAAAGAGTGAATTAGGTTGACTTTGCGTGTTGGATCCAAACCCTGTGGAAAGAAACGAGTTAGTAAACATAATCAAACCTTCCACGAAGCAATAAAACAAAAGCAAATCAATGAGACAACGTCCTCGGGCGCATTCCCGGTTAAGGCTCCGCAAGTCGCAGGTGGTGGCGATTCCGATCGAGGACCATGAGGGAATACTCCAGGGAGCCGAAGAGGTATGCCACAGAATCCAGATGCGCGATCAGTGAAGGGGGCCACATAATCGCAAGTCCGTGATACGAAGGGCGACCCCATAAAGGAAAACCGATGGAGCAGCGCAAAGCTCAATGGTTCAGCACGTACCTCCGCCAGTGCCAGTTCCGAAACCAGTAGATGTGTTGGAAGCACCTCCGCCGAAGGCGCTAGTAGCGCCACCGAACGGGGAAGCTGTCGAGCCAAAGCCTAGATGACGGAGGGGATCGCGGTCAGAGAGACTTGGTTTCGAAGAAGCTCTTGCGTTCCTTGTCTTGCTGTGGTGTCGTTGGGGCATCCAAATGGTCCGCGGGTGGTTGTCGGGCGCACGACGAAGGTTGCGATGCTTAGGACATTTTGCCTTGCGCGTGTGTTGCACCATCACGGGTCTGGATCAGGAGCACCGATTGCCGAGACAGGAAACGCCGAGGACATGGACAGGGAGGGATGGGGATGGGCCCCGAAAACACAAGAAAACCATTGACAGGGAGCGAAGAGAGAAGACCTACCTCCAGTAGCGCCGGTGCTAGATCCGAAGCCAGAACCTGTGCCAAAGCCGCTGCTTTGGTTGTTCTGACCAAAGGCTCCAGATCCTCCAGATCCGAATCCGAAGGACATGATGTCGGTTGGAGTTTGTCGGGTATTAAGAAGTCATAAGTTTATTGCGCGCAGTATCGTTGGGATGAAGATCAAAGGGATGCCGAGAGTGGCGAGCAGGAAAGTGCGCGTGGAGATGAAGAAGAGAGGGAGGAGACGCGACAAGAGAAGAAAGTCAAGTTTGCTCCAGGAGGTTCGTGTTAGGTAAGGCCGGGCCACAATAGTCCGTCACGTGATAGCTCACCAAATCGGATGCCTGATTGAAAGCGGCGAGCAAATAGATTTGCCTTTTATTTCTTACTGAACTGACTCACTGGTAATCGGGGCAGTTCGAGGTAGAGGTAGATAACGTGTTGGAGGAGGAATGTCAGTGGGCAAGTGACCCAAGAGTGGCTGTTTGCTACACCTCGATGCGTTGTTTACTCTGTCTAGGTGGGTCTTCGACCTACTGCGTATGATTCACTTTCTTGGATCACACACAGTCACAAACCTACTCTAATGACCGAGTCCCAATGTTTACTGGAGTAAGGTTCTGATAAAGTCTCGCGGACCAATCACCAATGTTAGGGTGTTAGCTTTTCCGTATCCATGACTCAAGACTAGGAGACTGCCATTGATCACAAAGATCGCTGTAGAGTGTAGCCACGTGCAAGTCCTAGCTGGCCCAATAAGATGCATGTAGGCTACATGTAGGTACACCGTATGCATAGGGAAACAAGTGTAGCCTGTCGGACTTGTGTACACCGTAGGCTTCAGCCGCACTACAACCTAGGCTACAAGCCGGTCTAATCCTTCAAATTACAGTCCAGTCTTGATTTGATTTCCGAGCTATCATTTGAACATTATTTGAAGGATTTAATCGAATAGATCAACCGACGCAGTTCGCGCAGAAGGCGCTGAGGCGGTAGATTGTACCACGCTCATTCATGCCAAGGCTGCCCGATACTCTAGATGAGGAAGTGGAAGCCAACACTAGGACTTGCACAATGGCAGTTGAATATTAATGCAACAGGCACAACAGGCACCAGGTGGGTCAGTTGTAGAATGAGATTCCGTCCCTATTGCGAATTACTAGTTTCAACTGCATACCGCAGGCAGTTGGTGGGAAAGAATGATCCAAGCCCCAACAATAAGACGAAAGAACGAAGTATATACGAAATCAAAATAATATTCACATCGCTTCTAAGCGAGACAAGGGAATCTCAAGTACAATATAGTGATTCTGAACACCGCAAAAAGAGAAGAAAAGAAGACCACCCGCCTATCCAAGGCCGGATTGGACCAAAAAAGAAAGTATTTCGCCACGAACCAAAATGGACCGAGGTTGGGAACTTCCAAAAGATGTCACCAGAAAATTTTGCTCTCCGACGTCATTATCATCAAATTCGTAGACTGTCACTTTACTTGCGGGAGGCGTGAACGGTCTCGATGATCTTGTCGACAACGCTGGGGTCCGAAAGCTGTACAGAAGAGATCGTTAGATATTGTTTGGGGTAGCGGACTGGGAGCAACATATTGCCCGGGGAAATCTATGCTTACCGTTGAGGTATCACCAAGGCTGTCTTCCTCACCGCTGAGGATCTTGCGCAGGATACGGCGCATGATCTTGCCACTGCGGGTCTTGGGGAGGTCATCCACGATGAATACGGCCTTGGGTGCGGCGAAGGGACCGATGGACTTGCGGACTTGCATGGTCAGATCTTTGCGGATCTGATCATTCGACTCGTGGCCATCTTTCAGAGATACGAAGGCATTGACAGCCTGGCCAGTCAGCTCATCAGTGATGCCAACGACAGCAGCCTCGGCGACGGCATCTTTTCACAGTTAGCTAGGGCTCAGTACTTCCACGTATCATGTATACACTTACGGTGCTCGATAAGCGCAGCCTCGATCTCGGCGGTGGACAGACGGTGTCCAGAGACGTTGACAACATCGTCGACACGGCCACGGATCCAGTAGTAGCCGTCGTGATCACGACCAGCACCATCTCCAGTGAACTATCTTCGAGTTAGTTTCGATCCTGCAACGTTGGGATTGAGAGGTATCTTACGTAGTAACCCTTGTACACGTTCAAGTAGGTGTCCATGTAACGCTTGTGGGCACCCCACACGGTACGGGCCATGCTGGGCCACGGCTGCTTGAAGGCCAAGACACCCTCAACGTCGTTGCCGAAAATCTCCTCGCCGGAGACGGGGTCAATAATGGCAGGCTCGATACCGAAGAAGGGCAAGGAAGCACTGCCGGGCTTGGTAGGGGTGATACCACCGAGAGGGGTGATGACGTTAGAGCCGGTTTCGGTTTGCCAGTATGTCTATAATATCAACGGTTAGACGCTATACGAAAAAGGGCTGAGGTAAAAGAGATACGAACGTCGCAAATGTGAGCCTCCTCCTTGCCGACAGACTCGAAGTACCACTTCCAGACCTCGGCGGCAATAGGTTCTCCAACCGAGCCAAGGACACGAAGACTGCGCATCTTGTGGTGGATGTGCTCATCTCCAGCACGCTTCAAAAGACGCAAGGCAGTTGGTGCAACGTAGAATTGGGTGACATCGTGCTTGTCAATGACATCCCAGTAGCGGGAGAAGTTGGGGTAGGCGGGAGTACTCTCGAACACGACGGTGGCACAGCCAAGCAAGAGAGGGGCGTACACGACATAGGTGTGACCGGTAATCCAGCCGACATCACCACCACAGAAGTAGCGATCGTCATCGTGGATATCGAACACGTACTTTCCAGTCATGGCAGCACCGAGCAGGTAACCAGCAGTGGTGTGCATGACACCCTTGGGCTTGCCAGTAGAACCAGAGGTGTACAGCAAGAAGAGAGGGTCCTCGGAGTTGACGGACTCGGGAGCGATGTAGTTGGGGTACTTCTCGACCTCCTCGTGCCACCAGATATCACGGCCCTCGGTCATGGGCACCTCGGCACCGGTGCGCTTGTACACCAGCACCGTGTGCACATCGGGACACTGCTTCATGGCCTCGTCGACGATCTTCTTGGTGCCGATGACCTTGCCACCGCGCTTGCCCTCATCAGAGGTAATGACGACCTTGGTGTTGGCGTCCAGAACGCGGTCCCGGAGGGAGTCTGAAGAGAAACCAGCGAAGACGACGGAGTGCACAGCACCAATACGCGAGCAAGCGAGGAAGGCAATCACAGCCTCGGGAATCATGGGCAGGTAGATACCGACTGTGTCACCCTTCTTAACACCGCGCTCCTTCAGAGTCCAGGCAACCCGGGACACCTCGCGCAGAAGCTCTCCGTAGGTAATCTTGCGGCCCTCATTGGGCTCGTCGGCCTCATAAATAATGGCGACCTTGTCTGGGTTCTTAAGAGCATGACGATCGACACAGTTGAAAGATGCGTTCAAGCGACCCTCAACGAACCAGGCGTTGTCGCCATTCTCGAATGAGCCGTGGTGTGTGGTTTCAAAGTCCTTGTCGAATGTGAGGAGCTCGCGGGCCATGCGGGCCCAGAAAGTGTCGGGGCTCTTGATTGATTCATCGTAAAGCTTCTTGTACTCGTCCATATCCTTCAGATGAGTGCCAGTGGGGTGCTTCGCATGGAACGCCTTGGGGACGTGGAAAGTGTCCACCTCGTGTGCCTCGTGAACCTATACCACCAATAGTTAGCCTATGACAATGATCGGGGCTTCCTCCAGTCATCATCAAGACCAAAAGGGAATGATTTCTTACCACTGCGGGCTTAGGAGGCTGAACAGGGCCGTCCGACATGATTGCGGTTTTTCAATGGAATTCAATGCAAAGTTCAGAAGTATTGTATAAGGATTTCTGTGAGAGACCTAATGTTAGAGAAAATGAATTGCGAAGGCCACAATAAGAAGGGAGCAAGGTGGGGTGGGAGCTCTAGAAAGGAGAATAGTGGGGTTGACCGGAAGCGGACTTACTCCGGAGTCAAGGTTCACACGGTTATAAGGGTGTGTTATATTATGAGGGGGATAATAATTGAAGAGGGAAGAAAAATGGAATTAGAGCGCCTCTGACTGGGAAATCTGCGACAATTAGTAGTCCGACTTTCCCGGGTGGAGAGAGACAGAGAGGGAGAGAGAGCAAGTTAAGTGATGTGCCACTCTCCCTGGCCCTTCCATATCCGGAGTGGCCCGTGTGCTTACCATCCAATACGAAAAAATACCACCTGCACTTTCTAACGAAGGCTGCAGACGGCCTACATAGTAGAAGTGGATTATGCACTGACTGCACTTTTACCCCCGAACCCACATCCAATCGAACAACCCGAATTCAATGTGAAAATTACACTAGTACTAGAGTTATCGTATTCATCAAGTTCACTCTACAAGTTTGGATTTCGGCCATGCGGGGGTTTGGCATCTTCCTTCCGTTGCTCCGGGGTAAACTGTCCGGGACCCCTCCAAGATCTTGACTAAGATACATGCTGGCCACCTCATTGGGGCGTTTATATTCGGATGGAAATGTTAAATTCTACCGACCAGAGAGAGCCTAAATGTCTCCCGGTGACGAACCCTTTGTCCGAATCTCAACCCCGCCATGGGACCACTGGCTACTATTACGACGCCATGTACAGTAGTTAGCCAAGGGCCAAGCTCCGGGGTTGCTGGCGGGCCAGGGGGAATAGCGGGACATGAGGGCCCTGCAAGTCTCAGTCTCAAAAGAGACAGATATGCATCTTCGAGCCGCTCGAACTGGGCTAGACCTCCCGTGTATGCCTGTATGCCAGACTCGTATATCTTACTTCAATATGGTCGTGGCTATGTTCTTCCAAAATGCATGGGGCCCCAACTATACTCAATCTTCGTTTGACTTTGATACTATGTCATCCATCGAAGTTATGATGTCAAGGTACCCGTTTTCCGGGCCAATTCTCCCCAATAACTTAACTCAACTGCGTAGTTCGCCATCCTCGAGGCTCGGCGCGTCACAGGACCGGATCGCCGAGACTGCGGGGTCCCGGATGAGTAAGCTCCAATGTCGAATTGGAAGGCTGGAGACAGTCCAAGACTTTTATTTGGTTGATCTGGCGATCGCATACCCTTTGGAACCTAATCATAGGCGTTGAGCATGTGCATGTGGTGGCACATGATCTACAGGTCCCTTGTGGTTTGGATCTTCTACAGTAGCACTTGTTGCTCTTTCGACTATTGAAAGATCCACTGTTCGGTCACAACGAGACTCTCTAGTACGATCTGTGTATTTCTCCATACCTTATTCCGAATAACGCCGGGCTTCGGTTGCCCATGCAATGTTACATGTAAGTATTGTATTGTGGGGAGTAAGAATGGTGGGACAAAAAGGGGGTACAGTGCCTGGCAGGGCTTGTCCTACCTTCCGAGGGGTTTAAAGTTGCATTGTTTATCAAATGTAGCTGGGATTGGATTTGTTGAGAGCTTAATCTCTTCTTGGTTACGTGGTATCTACGATGTACCCGTGGCATCGTAGCCTGCACTAGTGTTTGAATGGGATCTTCGCCCCTCTCTTGTACATCGTACATGATTGCTACCGCACCATAAATCGGATACAAAGTGCAACGCACTTATAAACTAGCTGCAGCAAGATTTTTTTGTGTTTTGAATCCCCATTTTCCCACTTGTTTCCCCAACAAAAAGGCCAAACCGATGCAGCTCAATTAAACCCACCAGCAAGCTTCACCGGAGGATCCGAGCCAGAGACGGTTGAATTTCAGTGGGGAGAGCTCGAGACCATTGCCCGGTGCCCCCCAATGAGCACCAAGAAATTTCCCCAATACTAACACCTCTTGTGGGACTGGCCCTGTGTGAACCAAACTCGAGGTGCCTGCGTTCACAGCAAAGGCCCGAGAAAATGCCGTGTTAACTCCAGGCCATGCTCGCGGGCATGGTTCGGGTGTCAACAATCACCGACCACCACAATTTCATCATTATTGGCCGTTGCTATAACCGAGCAACCTCCCGAGGTCTTCAGGACACCTCGAGGAAAGTACCGAGATCCATGTTGCCGCTTAAGGCTGGCCCGAGAGTGTGTCGTCACCGATGTTCTGGAAATTGTCGCACCCGATCGCGTACCATGAAGACCACGACGCGGTAAAATGCAGCATGCTTCAATTGTTCTAGCAGGCTTCGCTGCTCTCCGAGGACTTTCAGTTTTCCGTTCTGTCCTCGTCGATAATCTCCACCATTGCAGATAAGGGCCAATCCGGGCCTCATCGGTCGCAATAACCACCCCATACGACATTGAACACTCGGCCACCATCTTGTGAAGCGGAGTGTTCTGTTTCTTGAAGAGGTTGGGATGGGCGGAGGAGATCATTAGGTGCCCAGGTGGAATTCATAGAGGGGCGCCGGGGAGGGAGCAGACTTCCCGAAGGACTTCCAGAAGGATTCATGCAGACGTGGATTGAGAGCTAATCCGACTGTAGCTTCCTGCCCTCGCAGCAGTGGTGTCGACGCTACACAAGAATTATATCGGACTGTTCTCCAGCCGTAAGGCCAGCTCCAAAGCGCCCGTTGCAGCGTCGCACATGCATATGACAGGTTTAGAGGCAAGCGTGACATACTCAGATATAGAATGATGAAGTCTAACTCTAGCTTCCTTGATACATGAACCAACCTGATTATTTCTGTCCCTCAGCCTCCGCCCGGAATTGATCATAATGAACGACAGCTTCAAGAAGAGCTTGCGTACCCAGAGCACTATGGCTGTCAGTATCCGAGAGTTCCACAGAAGAAGGCAAGAGACTTACCAATCTTGCGGGCTGCAATATTCAGTCGGGTGGTGGCTGACACCATCCCGGCAAGGGACAAAGATCATGGCAGATGGACAGTGCTTGCTAGTATAGACAGTGTCGTGGCCCGCACCACTAGTCATGAGCATCGATTGATCGCGCCCAACCAGGTAATCTGCCGCAGCTTGAATAGACGCCACACAATTGTCGTCAAACTTCACAGCCGGCGAGTCTGTATCGAGCGTCCAGTCAAAGGACACACCCTTACCGTCTTGTAGTGCAATGGCCTCAAAGGCTTTGAGACACTCATCCTGCACGGCATGTACCACGCTATCCTGCGGGTGTCGAATATCAAGAGTGAAAGTCACCTGGGACGAGACAGTGTTGGTAGATGCGTTAGAAGGGACTCTAATAATACCAGTCGAGGCCAGGGCATCGTGTTTCTTAGCAATGTCGTGCGAAGCGGCAATCATTCTCGAAGATGCAAGCAATGGATCCTGGCGCGCGCTGAACGGTGTCGTTCCAGTGTGAGCATCTTTCCCGTGAACGGTCAAAGTCAGCCATCTGTAACCTTGCGCACCACGAACGACGCCAATTGATCGGCCATTCCCTGGGAGAATCGGGCCCTGTTCAATGTGCAGCTCGAAATGAGCTCCGAGTGGATATCCAGTTTCCGGATTGCTGGAGCAAGCAATGTCGCCCAGATATCCGTGTCTCTCAAGCTCAGAGCGGAGCGTCACATTCGGGTCGTGAATATCGCGCAGGTCCCACGCTTGTTGAATCGGAATTGCTCCCGCCCAGACGCCTGAGGCGCACATTGATTTGGGAAACCGGGCGCCCTCCTCACTATAGATCTGCGGTTAGCAACATTCCCAAACATTAGGGAACAAGTGTTTTCTCTTACTTGGTCCAGTTGACCACTCCAACATTATAGTTAGTCTGGAAACCGCTTTCTTTCATCGTCCGAAGAACTTCAAGCGCGGCCATCATGCCGAGAATGCCATCGTACCGACCGCCACGAGGCTGAGTGTCAAAGTGGCTTCCCATTGCAATCATTGGAGCACTGGACTTCAACCGGCCGGGCTGCTGTGCAAACATGTTGCCCATCTGGTCCACAGAAAGTGAGCAGCCCAATGTCTGGACCTCGGCAGCAAACCATCTGCGCACACGAGCATCATCATCATTGAGAGTTAGACGAGCCATTCCCGTGTCGGTTGGGTTTCTATTGTCCCGTCAGATCGTGCTCGCGGGTAGTGTGGAAAACTGGTACATACTCGCCATAGCGATGCGCAGCACCCCATTCACATGTCTCGTGCAATGTGTTCCACAGACGTTCTGAATTGATCTTAAGGCCCGAGGACGCTGGGAGTCGGGCGGTTGTAGAAAACTGCCGGGCATTAGAATGCAGAGCGCGTATTGCGCTTTTTGTGCCGTACATTTCGCGTACGTAGGACACTGGTCAAACCACTGTTTCTTTAATTTACCGGGCAAATGATTGAATAGACCTGGAGCTATTATTAATATTGGCGATGAGAGGTGAGGGGCTTATGGTGGGGACTGGGGAGCGCCTTCCGGTGACATCTGCAACCCTAAATCTCTGCGGGCATTTCATACTTCGGCCTCCATGAGTGACCCCACTCGATCCGACATGTCGTCGGAAGGCGCCTGTGATATATCCAAAAGGCTCGAGGTATCAACTAACAGACAAGTTGATAAATTCCTGCATCGGTCGCGGACGGTAAAATCAAGAATTTGCCACAAGCACAGAGAGCAACATGTCCTCACGACGATCAATCTACTTCAACCCCGCGGCAGCAAATGAGCGGGCTGCCTCGCCGCGAATTGAAGGCCTTTCAGCATTCCACAAATCCTTTCCCAACTATGCCCCTACTCCGCTAGTGCAGCTACCACAACTTGCAGCGGAACTAGGCGTTCGCGCCATCCTCGTCAAAGATGAGAGCAATCGGTTCGGTTTACCCTCATTCAAAGTTCTGGGCGCATCATGGGGATGTTTTCGAGCGATTGCATCTCACCTCGATCTGCCTCCGTCAGTATCGCTTGATGATATTTCAAGCCGAGCGAGAGATGCCTCGATCGTGCTGACAACGGCCTCGATGGGGAACCATGGACGGGCAGTTGCGTTTATGGCTCGACTCCTCGGCATCGAGGCGAGGATCTTCGTGCCTCGATCTTTGAACCAATGGACCCGTGATCTTATCGCTGGGGAAGGTGCTCAATTGGTTGTTGTTCAGGGTGACTATGACCAAGCAGTGCAGGAGTCTCTGGATGCAGCACGGATCGGGGAGAATGTACTTCTGATCCAGGACACTGCCTTTGACGGGTACGAGGACGTTCCCGCCTGGATAGTGGAGGGATACTCTACCATGATGCATGAAATCCAGGGTGAGCTTGCCCAGCTTGACTTGCCGGGAAGCGTGGTGATAACTCCTGCTGGCGTGGGAAGCCTCGCCCACGCGGTGGCAAAACACTGCAAATCGCAGAGCACGCCCATGTCTGTAGTCGCCGTTGAGCCTGACACGGCTGCATGTCTACATTCCAGCTTGAATGCTGGAAAACTGGTCACTGTACAGACCTCTTCTACGATCATGGATGGAATGGATTGTGGGACTGTATCTTCTACTACGTGGCCTGATCTGAACCGTCTGGTTGATGCCTGCGTTACAGTTTCATCCTATGAAAGTCACCTCGCCGTCCAGTATCTGACCTCTAACTCTGTGGCAACTGGGCCATGCGGGGGCGCATCGTTGGCTGCACTGCGACAGCTAGCTACCTCAAAGCAGGCTGCCTCGCTTCTAAACAAGGATTCCGTGGTTGTTCTTCTCAGCACCGAGGGCGCGCGTGAGTATCCGGTTCCAAGAGACGTCTTCGTTGAAGATGTTGTGGGCTTGACCCAAACTCTCACCCAGATCAACTCCTCCAACCCGACCTTGTCTGCTACCGATGGGGCGGGCGAGACCGAGATTGTGAATTACCTTGCCGCTTGGTTCGCTCATCGTGACATCGAGTATCACTGGATTGAGAAAGCCACAGGACGACCATCCATCGTGGGAGTCTTGCGAGGTAGCGGAGGGGGCAAGTCCCTTATGTTCAACGGCCACACCGATACCGTTAGTCTCTCCAGCTACGAGACAGATCCCCTGTCCGGATCCATTGGGACCAAAAATGGCAAGGAAGTTGTCCTTGGCAGGGGCTGTCTCGATATGAAAGGGGGTCTGGCTGCAGGACTGGCTGCTCTTGCAGCAGCCAAAGCTAGCGGTCATGTCCCCCGAGGAGATGTCATCGTGGCCGCAGTGTCAGACGAGGAGGATGCCTCCCAGGGAACCCGGGATGTGATTGAGGCAGGGTGGCGTGCTGATGCTGCTGTTCTCCCCGAGCCAACACAGGGTGCGATTCTTACTGCGCATAAGGGCTTTGTGTGGGTGGAAGTTGACATATTGGGAGTTGCTGCGCACGGGTCAGACCCGGCAGCAGGACAAGATGCCATTATGTATGCCGGGCCCTTCTTGCAAGCTCTAGAGGATTACCAATCTCAACTGCCAGTTGATGATCTTCTAGGCCAGGGATCGCTGCACTGCGGCTTGATTCGGGGCGGCGAAGAACCCTCCTCATACCCGGGCAAGTGCACTATCACTGTTGAATTCCGTACTGTTCCAGCCCAAACGGAAGAGTCAATTCTGGGAGATATTAGTGCGCTGCTGAAAGGAATTGCCCAGCAGAAACCTCACTTCAGATACGCTGCGCCACGCATAACGATGTTGCGGCCCACACAGAAGGTAGCAGCGGATCATCCATTTGTACAGAAGACGGTTGCTTCTGCTTCTGCCATCTTGGGAACCAAGCCTGTTGTTCAGGCTGGAGCATTCTGGACTGATGCGGCCTTACTCGGTGCTGTCGGTGTCCCCTCCATTGTGTATGGACCAGCAGGAGAGGGCCTCCACGCTAAGGAAGAATGGGTAGAAGTTGAGAGTCTGCAACAGTTTCAGAAGGTGTTTACTCAGCTCGTGCAGGACTTCTGTTATTAGATACCCGTGTGACCATATAACCTAGATGGAATGGATGCAGAAACAGGTGTTCTATTGGAGCCATTCCCTACCCAGGAGAATATCCTGAAGCATCCCAGCGGATCCAATCAAGTGGATGCTTCTTGTTATGCAAGCCGATACCCTGTTAGAGTGACGATGACATCAAAGTGAGCAAGCTTTCAAGTTACAATTCTTGGTCAATTCAAGAATCAAGGATTAAATGGCGACTGAGATGTGTGGTTCCAGTAGATGGTGTACTGCGTAGACGTCGAGATGGAAATGATGTGGCTGGTGCGTAGGCTGGTGTTATCGCCACGAGGCTTTTGTGATCGGCAACATCCAGATCATCACTTAGCCAGACAACATCCCACCAGCAATCGCTGATATCCAGCACACCCATCTTACTTCTCCCCACATCACATTAATCGTACAAACTATCTTCAAGATACACAAAGATGTCGGAGGAATCACCAGCACAACGCTCCGCCCGATTGCGCCGCGAGCGCCGCGAGGCAAAGATCAAGGAAGGAGGCTCAGCGCGCCTGGACAAGATCACCAGTCTCAGCGGGCGCACACCACAAAGCGGTACGAAATGAAGAGCCCATCGCTAGCTTCCCCATGAAGCGGCCCCCTCCCCTCCCCAACTGCAAAAGCCTTGAAGCCACTCCATCATTCAGACCAGCCCGGACACTGCTAACCAAGACCACAACAGAGCGAGAACAGGCCTCCCCATCTCCTCAACCCGCTATCTCCGCATCCCCCTCTCCAGCGCCACCAAACCCCCAATTCCGCCCCTCGGTATCCCCCCAGCCAGACATGCAGTCACCAGAAGCGATCCGCGCCCAGCAGGAAGCATTCTTCTCAATGCTCCGACAGTCCGCACCCCAACAAGGCCAAGGCATGCACCCCGACCCTCAAGCACCAACCAGCATCCAAGCCCAACAGGAAGCATTCCGCGCCATGCTGAGGCAATCCGCACCGGAGCAAGGACAGAGCCAACAGCCAGACGAAGAGGACCCAACCCTCAAACTCCTGTCTTCTCTCATGGGCGCCATTCCCGGTGTTGACCCCAATGCTCCGGCAGGTGCATCCCCAGCAGACGCAGGTAACCAACCTGCACCTGGATTCTCGCCTGCTGCTATCGCGTCGATGCTTGGTGTGCCGCCTTTCATCGCTAATATGCTGGGTGGAGGAGCACAGCCCACAGAAGCGGAACAGAAGCAAGCGCGGGCGTGGAAAACGCTGCATGTTGTTTTTGCTTTGACGGTCTCGGTCTATCTGCTCTTCATCATTGGATCCTCGGTCGCGTTATTCGGAAGTCCCCCGCCCAAGCCGGCGACGGCACAGAACCCCTTTGCCATCTTTGTGACGGGCGAGCTACTTTTGACTGGGAGTAAGGTGTTGCTTGGGACAAAGTCCGGCGGTATGGGGATGGCAGTGCAGTTTTTCAAGGATGTTGTGCGGGATGGCAGTGTTGTGCTGTTCATCTTGGGCATGGGGTCTTGGTATAATCGGGAATGGCAGACTACGGCATACTAGGGTAGCTGCCAGTGCAGTTGTTAGTTTTGTCTACGAACAACGCGATAATTCAACGGTGTATCATGATTCATTCATTTCGTTATTCGTATAGAAGGTGCGCAGCGAAGCATTAGGAAGCTATATTAACAAGTCCCGTTGAGATGGTAAGATGGTGTTGCGTAACATCCCCAACGCATATGGATCCAAACCCCAATCCCCTTCCCATTCAACCATGCGAGATCCCTTCTTGAAATGACTCGCTAGATGCTCCGTGCGAGTTGACCAAGTCAACAGGGAACACCCACAGAACCCACAGCGGCTTTGGACGTTAGCGCCCTCCCCACGCCAGGCTTCGAGGTCCGACACGGGGAGTTTAGTACAACCGTGGAACTTGCGCAAATGCTGCCACAGATAATCCTTCCGACTGAATGATCGCTCTGCAATGGACTTCTCAGCACAGACCTGGAACTCGTGTTCCTCCCAGTGGGCAGGCGTTGGAGAACGCACATCGCAACAGGGGCATTCATGTGGCCGCAGGTCGAACATTCGTTCAACGTGACTGAGATCGGAAGTGCAGACCCAGGACTCAAGGGAGAGATGGACACTTTTCTCATGACGTGCCCAGTCGTGTTTCTTGTTGAAGGACTGCATACAGAATGTGCACTGGTACTGACGATCTGACACTGCTGGCTGTCGGCCTCGGATGCGTTTCGGTTTGCTTCTAGGCAGCGATGAGAATGGCAAGCCTGCGTCTCCTGTAGAATGGTAGCTCCAAGCCGAGGAGGCGCTGTCAGTTGTTGCGGATGCTTTGCTCCCAATGCTTGACGCGGAGGATGCTAGATGTGATGAAGTCTCGTCGAAGTTGAAGAAGTCCACGGCTGAGCCATCCAGTGAGAATGGGTCGATGCTGTTGTCTGACTCTATTGAGCTCGACATGATGGCATTTTGGATGGCCGATTCCGGGATGGCTTCGTCTTCTGGTGGGGAAGCCTGCCATCGCTCCATTGGAGTCATGGAGGACAAGGTGTTGGTAACCATCGGGGAACCCGAACGAGTACGTGAGTTGGAAGATAGCGCTGCGGACTGCATCTTTTGTTTTTGGCGGCGACGGGCATTGGCGAACCAGGTTGATATACGCTTTTGCGAAAAGCCAGTCTCGTGGGCCATGTGGGCTTTCTGTGCTTCTGATGGATAGGGATGTTCTTGGTTCTGGTAGAACCACTCGCGGAGGACTCTGGCTCCTTTTCTGAGAAACTGTTTCGGTTCCTTTGGTTCATCACTATTCTCTACATTCGTAGCTGCCGGAATGTTCCCATCCTCTGGAACACCATGAAGATGACCTAGGACCGGAGAGAACGTTTCAAATTCTGACGGCTGGCGCTTCTCCCCTTTTGCCAAGCTGCATTCTCGGAACAGGGCTACGCAGCTTGAACATGAGGTCTTCGGATTGGGATTGGCAGCTGCCGTGCGGATTACAAGGCATTGAAGTCGATATTTGCGGCAATGGGTGCAGGAAACAGGAGGACGATATGCTCCGTCAAGCCACTGCGAGACATTGGTGAGGTTTCGTTGCGATGAGAATGGGTCCACATATTCCCCTGCTGGAGGTGAAGCAGCGTTGGATAGATGTCCTAGGGTATCCAGATATTCGTGGCCTTGACGTCCAACTTGGCCATTGATCGTTGATATGGGATCCGACTCAAGATTGGTCCATTGGGACCATTCCAGGTCACTGATCTCTGAAGGAAATTGCAGCAGTTCATTATCAACCGGTAGATTCAGCGATGAGCTTTCTCGTGTCCATTGATTTGGTCCATCTACGTCCAGCATGGCCTGCAGCTCTGTGCTAGAGATAGGCTCTGGCGACTGCCATAATGAAGGGTCGCCAGGCTGCTCCTGCTGATTCATGCCATTCAGCAACGAGCATAATCGCCAGCGCGGTGTTGTTAAGAGGTTAGTACAAGCAGTGTGGCTGGAGTCGGTCGCGTTCTTGGCTTGGCCTTATTCGAGGATGTCCGTTAGTACCTCCATACCCTCACTCTCAGACCTCATCACATGATCCACGAATTCTGCCAGATCTTTTTAGCGCGCTAAACCTAATCTGATCACCCCCGGTGAATGGGGAATCCACCGCCCTTTGCTGGGCGCCGGCTGGGGGAACTGCAGGTGAGGTAAGAAAAGTCCGGGTCACATGTGGTTGTCATGCGCTAGTCCCGAATAGGCTGGCGTTAGTGGCGTAAAGTTAGAAACCCCCGCAGCCGAATTCGGTCTCGGAGGACTTCGAGTCAGAGTAAACTTCGACGTTTCAATATTGATTTGTGTGGCTGAGACGTTCCAGAAGTTAATGTAGGTAGACTCTGACCTCTGTCTAGAACTCTATCTACTCCGCAGGCGTACATATTCCGATGCGCTGAAGCCTAATGGTGACTCGATAGATGACCTTGGCTCTCTTGCTGATTTATCCCCATGTGCCATCGGACATCCGTTGATCCCGTGGTTTACTGTCATAACCTAGACAATGATTTGGGACTTGCAAAAATTTTCTCATGGCTAATCATCCTCAAAAGCGATACGGATACTAGAACGCCAATCAGTCATTTTGTTAGCATTCACTAATCACTAGTGCGATGTTTCTTATCGCCGTTGGGTAAACCGTAAGCACCTCTACAGTGTACCTGAATACCATTATACCAAAGTGGGAAATGGCCACTTATATTTCCAGGCGCTACAGCTAGCCAGATTAGGTAGGGGCTAGTTAAGCCTCAACAAATCATCTCGTCCAGATACTACTGCTTATTAGGAATAAGCTCATATTGCGCAATGGCGGGAGCTGGACATTGGACAAAGGAGGCCTCGGGGACTCGGGCCGTGTTTTAGGGGAACCTTAACATAGTAGGAAGGACGTTAACTGAAATCTGGAGATTTTGAGCCACAGTCAAAATTGAGAAGACGAACCGTCGAATTAGAGAACAGATGAAAGTCTACAACATCAATCTCAAGTAACGTGCATGAAGATAGCGCCGGGGTAAATGGATACACACGTGGTTCCATTTCCGGTGATCGGTGATCGGCGGCGGTGAAACTCCCGGAGTTTGCTCACTCCTCCGGAGACCGAGTGGGGCGGCTTTCCAGTTGCCACTCGGGGCCCTGCATGCCGAGAAAAGCTGGGCACCGATCAACCCGAGAACCTAACCTTGCCCGGTGAAGAAACTGAAGAGCTTAGTATTGTTGCAAGAAGCCATAACATACCTGGCCCTACCAAATCTTCGCAATGCATCAATTCTTAACGTCACTTTCCCCCAGACTTCCCCGTAAATTGATTCAAACCTTATCTGAAGAGAGATCGTCAGAAACTTGGAAAGTTATGTGTCAACGATCGCTCAATGTAGCACTGGGGCGGCGGACTGGGGCCAATTTAACTTTGTCGTTGAATTTCTATCACCAAATGTAAATGAGTCAGCGAGCCCACTCCGACGCCGACATTGGCCAGATGTCCGGATTCGGGCTCAATTGAAACGATCATTGGTGGGTTCCTTGGGTTGCATCGAATTTTCTGTGGACCTTCCATTGTGCCCATGGGGGCAAATGCCGGTACGCGTTGGGGAGTTCACAATAAGATGGATGTTTGTCCCCCTCAAATCTCTTTTACTTTTATCGGCGGGCGTTAACCTTCACTCGTGATACCCATCCTTACCCTTTTACCTCACCTTCGACCTCCAACACTCTCCTCCGACTTTCAACACTCTCCTCTGACCTTCAACTTTCTCCTCTGACCTTCAACTCTCTCCTCTGCTTTTCAACACACAGACAAACACAATGGAGGTCAACCCGGCTCCACCTGCTTACGAGCAAGACAAGATTGCAGAGCCTGAGCGCAAGGATGTGGCTCAGTTTGACGAGGAAGGCCAGCTTAAGCCTGGCGAGGTTCGCGATGCCTTTGGTAACGAGGAATACGCTGAGATTAAATACAAAACCCTAAAGTGGTGGTATGTATCATATATGCCCTTTTCAAGTGTGCTTTAAGTAAAGAAGATAGCTAACGTGGTGTCTGCAGGCAATGTGGGTTGCTGATGATTTGCGAGTCTGTTTCACTGGGTGTGCTCTCGCTGCCCTCAGCCGTTGCGACCCTCGGCCTCGTGCCTGGTGTCATTCTGATTGTTGGACTCGGTCTTCTTGCAACATACACTGGCTACAACATTGGCCTTTTCCGCGAACGTTATCCTCACATTCAAAACCTCGGCGATGCAGGTGAGATCTTGCTGGGCAAGTTCGGCCGCGAGCTCTTCGGCCTCGGCCAATTTCTTTTCTGTATCTTCGTCATGGGCAGTCACATCCTGACCTTCCGCGTCATGATGAACACCCTCACCAACCACGGCACCTGCTCTATCGTCTTCAGTGTCGTCGGCATGGTTATCTCTCTCGTTTTGTCCATTCCCCGCACCATGAAGGGCATGACTTGGATTTCTTTTGCATCTTTCCTCAGTATTTTCAGCGCTGTCATGATTACCATGATTTCCGTCGGTGTTGCAGAGCAACCTGAACACGTCATTCAAGCCACGGTCGAGACCAACCTTTACACTGCATTCCAGGCTGTGTCGAACATCGTCTTCGCCTACTGCGCTCACGTCGCTTTCTTCGGTTTGATCGCCGAGATGGAGACCCCCCAGGACTTCAAGAAGTCCCTGTTCATGCTCCAGGGCTTCGAGATTTCCCTCTACTTGACCGCTGCCGTTGTTATCTACTACTATGTCGGAACGGACGTGCATGCACCTGCCCTCACCTCCGCCGGACCGTTGATGAGCAAGATTGCCTACGGCATTGCCATCCCCACCATCGTCGGCGCCGGTGTTGTCAACGGCCACATCGGCCTGAAGTACATCTACTTCCGCCTGTGTGCCAAATCTGACCTGCTGCACCAGCGCAACAAGCGTTCCATCGGTCTTTGGCTCGGTCTCGGTGTCGCCTGCTGGGTCGTCGCGTGGATTATCTCCGAGGCCATCCCCGTCTTCAGCGACCTGAATGGTCTGATCAGTGCTCTTTTCGCTTCCTGGTTCAGCTACGGTCTCTCCGGTATTTACTGGCTGCACCTCAACCACGGCCAGTGGTTCGCTTCTCCTCGCAAGATTTGCATGACTATCCTCAACATTGGTATTGCTTGCTTCGGTCTGGTCCTGTGTGTCCTTGGACTGTATGCTTCTGGCACCGCCATCCACAAGGATGCCAATAGCAACAGCTTCACCTGTGCCAATACCGATACTTGAGTTGCTCAAGTTGGGTACTTACCTTAGCTGGTTAGCTGATTTGCTTGGCTGATTTGCTTTATCAAGATTAATTTGCTCGCATTGTATATACATCGCATATAGATTATGCTTAAGAGTACACTGGTTGGCTCTAGAATATAAATTTAAATTACAATTCTGAAAATTTCCCCTTCCCTCAATTAAACACAAGATTGGAACGAACTGAAATTAGTTCTATTATACAGACTCCCATCCTCGCACGATCATTTGGTGGCCTCAGTCCCGCTCTGGGAATGATTCTGCCTAGGAATAACCACTGAACTTGAGACAGCTCGTATACACGACCATTTTGGCTCTCTGAACTTGATTCTCCCATCCCGGGAATTGAGCCAAGGCTGTCACGACAAGTCGCTCTCCAGTATTGATCTCCGTAATCCACTTGATCGGCTCAGGTCTCGGTGTTCTGTGATCGTAGCGGACCGTTGAAACGGGCACTTCAACCTCTTTCTTCGATTCCGGATCGGTGTCGACGCGGAACGACTGTACGCCGGTTATAGTACACCATGAGACTCGATGCTTGGACCACTCATATTCCGCACGAACATTTCGTAGGATCTCCGGTCCAATGATCCGAGTTGCTCTCCCATGGGACGGACCTGGACTGCATTCGCGGCTGGCGTCAAACCAGGTGTAGGATCCATCGTACTCTCCATCCCCATCCCCACTGCTACTATATCCTTGGTCATGGCTGACTATCTCATACTCGATTCGTCTAACAGGTTGCTGGGTGTTGCCTATCACTGGCGGCGTTCGCAGGTAGACCAATGTTGTGCCATCGAATCTCGTGGCGTACATGTGCTCGCGATGCTCGGTTGTTCTCGCGAGCCAGTATCCAGCGAGATCCATTATGTGTGAAATGAGAGCTTGGGGTAGTCGGTCAGCTGACGCTTTCTTTACATAGAAGTATGCTCGGAACTGATCGACTGGGTTCTCCGGGAGATAACGCCTTACTGTTCCAAGTCCGTCAGGGACTTGAAGGCCTTCCGGGATACTAGCCCCTGCAGCTAGAAGCAGCCTTATCGCTTCCATAGACTCCGATTCTACTGCAAGGGCCAGAGCTGTTCTCCCGTCGGAATCCTTGGCCTCGATGTCGATACCAGACCGAAGAAGAATCTTGATCACCTGCTCAACATTTGCCGCACAGGCAAGATGGAGAGAGGTTTGCTGCTGGCCGTTCTTGGCATTTACCATTGCTCCGCTGTCAAGGAGAAATTGCACAATTTCAGCTTGTCCCCTGTCTGCGGCACCGATGAGAGGTGTGTTCCCTTCCTTATCCCTAGCTTCCAAGGCAGATTGCCCTGTAGAATGGCCGAAGATGACTTTGACTGTCTCAACCGAGCAACTGTAGGCTGCATGATGGAGAGCCGTGAAGTCACGGAAATCTGATTGACACGCCTCAGGATGACCGGCTAGTAACATGGCTGCAACTTTTGGTTGTCCAAAGCTCGCGGCCTGTACCAATGCCCCTGCAAGAGGTCCCGGTTCGCTTGCCATGAGAGCTCCATTGTCCCAATTAAGGAATAGCTCAGTCACCTCCACATGACCATGGATAATGGCCAGTTCCATTGGGACATAGCCCCAGCCATCTGTACTCTTGGCAAACTGGACTCCATATTTAGATTGAAGAAGGACTTCGCAGATGCTCAAATAGCCACCTTGTGCGGCCTCATGGAGTGGATTCCTGCCAAAATCGTCCTCCAACTCCCAGAGGTTTTCATCGAGCTCGTAGCTATCTAGCGCATGTAGAAGGTGGACCATGACATCCTTGTATCCCCAAATAGCTGCAGCACGGAAAGGAGTAGTTGCACCATGTCCTTGGGACAGGAGTGTCTGCATTCCGCTCGGTGTGGCCAGAAGCTTGGGGATGATACTGCTATTTCCGTTCAGGGCTGCCACCAAAAGGGGGGTGTGGTCAAAATGAGAAGTGACCGTAACATCGGGGCTGCCGTATTCCAACAAAATCTCAGCCGATAGATCACGCCTGTGGACCAAGGCTAGGTGCAGTGGCGTGAAAAGGAAATAACCCCTCTGGTTTATGATGTTCGAGGCGGATGATTGATCAAGCAGTAACTTCAAGGTAGTAGGATGCTGGCCAAGAACTGCCCAGTGTAAAACATTCCCGACGAAGTTATCAAAGGAATCATCCATCACTCCCGCCGTGCTAGCGATATAGTCACCCAGCAAAGCATCTAACCCGAAATAGGCCAAGATGTTGATGAGTCTGATGGATCGGTCGTTCTTTGCCAGGTCCTCACCCATCTCGGAACCATCAACTCCAGCAATTCCACTCAACAGAGTCCGCACTGCGAAGATAGACTGGAGCTTGAGATTGAAGAAGGCCTTGATCAGCTCCTCGACGGTAGACTTAGACTCGGGGCTTTCGGCGACTCGTGCATGCAGCCCCCAGTTAAGCGCAGCGTATTTGAGGAATGGGTATTTGGGCACTATTCGAGCAAATTCAATGATGTCGATTTGCCTGGTGTCTTTGCAGAACGTGGACAGCGAGAGATATTGAATGCATGACTTGGTAATCTGCACATCCGCACCGGGGAATCTGGCTGATTTTATTGAATCGACGTATTCTTGCGCAGTGGAGTGAACAAATCTGATGGTTCCGGACAGGTGCTCGACTGTTATCAGGCCGGCACAGGTCGAGATCAACTTCTCCCCGGAAATGAGATCTTCAAGCTCCAGCTCCGTATCCCCTTCCTGCATTGTCAGGATACATTGTAAATCTTTCAGCGTCAATGGCTCTTGCGCATGTGAGATCCACATAATGACCTTCTCTCCAAGTTGGCGATCGTTCCATCGTTGATCCCGAATACGAGAGAATGCCCCTTCATAGGTGTCGGAGATAGCGTTCTCTCCCTCCGGCAGATTTGCTAGGCCATTTCGTATCTCCTTAACGGTATGGGTGGATGCCAATGATTTCATGTGAAGCCGAACAAGCAGGAACCTATATTTCTCTTTGAGCCGATGCCGTCTGACTGGGAATTTGGGTATTTACTCACATTCCGTCTGCTTTCCTGGTAACTGTGTTTCTGATCTCTTGTCTGAGCTTATAATTGTGCTGGACTTTGGAGCGAAGATCCGGCACAGATTCCAGCTGACCATTGATGTAGTCCGTGATGTCCGTTTCTCTCGCACGTATCTCTAATTGAGGCACGGCGTGGAAAGCAGAAGATTTTTCCTTCGGCATACGAGATGTCACAAGGAGATTCTTCTTTGTCGGTAGCTGCGGAAGAAGGTACAACAACGAGTCTCGACTTTCTGTTTGAAGCTCATCAAGAGCATCTACCAAGACAAAGACCCTTGAATATTTGTTCATCTCATCGGAAAGCATTTTTACCAGGGCATCCGTTGTGGGAGCGACTCCTCGATTGAGATAAGTAGTCTCAAGACTTTCACATTCAACCTCACTGAGGACGCGCTTTTGCATCAGCTGGCGCCAGAGAGACAGGAGTATGTTCTCTGCAGTCTGACTAGATCGGTCCTTGTAGTCGCAGAAGGCAAAGAGCACCGCATCATTCTGTTTGAAGAATCTTTCCTGGAGGTAGTTGACTGCAACAGCGAGCAGGATTGTCTTGCCAGCGCCTGGAATTCCGGGACACCAGAGTGTTTGACCTTCAGTGTTTAGCCACCTGCGAAAGCTGTCTGCCTCCAAAAACCACTGGCCCGTCGTCTTATGCCTCGTCGAAAAGACGTCCTTATATCGCGCAGAGAAGTCGAACTTTGCCAAGTAGTTCACGATCTTCTCGTGGCGCTCCTTGTTCTCTATAATCTTCCTCTGTGCGCCGGGGAGATTCAGGTTGAATCTCCGACTTTCGATCAGTGGCTTCCAATTTCGGAACATTTCATTGATCTGTGCCGAGACTCGCAGAAATGATCGATCTTGAGGACCCGCAAACTTGTTGATTTTGAAATGATCGGTATTCAATCGGAACTTGTGAGGCCCTAAGGCTGCCGCGGACCGTTCGTCCACAACCTGAGTGACAATGTTAATCATTGGAGCTGTGATAAAAACATGTCGAAATACATACCAGTTCCTTGAAAATCCCCATGATTCCAATCTTTCTTCCAAAATCCGTCTCCTTGCGTTCAATAAAGGCACAGTATGGAATCGCGTTTCTTTCCAGCAATCTCTGGAAATTATCCACCTTGTCCAGTAGAATCGGATCGTCATAGCGAATATCTCTGATGATTCCTTCGTCAGACCCGGCTTTCTGCAGAGACTGGGTCACCACGACAGCAAGTTGCTGTGCTTTTGAGCCCAGAAAGGGGCAGCCCAAAAATATCAGACCAACCGTAGCTTCAACCAAGTACTTGAACTTAGGCTCAAAATCGGCGTATAAGAGGCCCTATTCAATATGACACTAGAATTAATATCCAGCAGACCAAAGATAAAAAATGTGCTTACATGCTGAATCACATTCCCGCCAAGACTATGTCCAATCATGATAAGTGGTCGGTCTGTCGTTCCTGTACTGTTGCGAAAATCATGGATTTCATTGACCATCTCTTCTGCGCAGGCCTGCAGACGGGTCTTCGGAGCATCTTTGTGCCATCTGGACTCGTAATTGTAAACTAAGATCCTCGTCTTCGGCACGATGTCTGGCAGCATGTTGCTGTCTTTCAACCAGTTGACAAGCCGGGGCTGCCCATTGACTTGGATGGTCTCATCCTTCCAAGTCCATGACCAATCTACCTGAGAGCCAAGCCCATGAACAGCAATTATGCTACCAAAAGTGTTAGATTGTGGCTTTCTTGTGGTTCATCTCCGAACATACTCAACCTCCGCTTCGCCTGTATCAGGAGAACTCCCATCGTACAAAATGTCAATGGGAGGTCTATGTTCCGGTTTCTGTGAATCGATTAGCGACTGGCCTGTCTGGATCATATGCATACAACGAACTGGTATTTTATCTGCGATCGGCTCTTCGGGGATCTTGCTAGGGCGCGTGGCGGACCGCGACCGCGAATATTCGTAGGAAAGCCACACACAAAGAAGAGACGCAGCGCCTGCAAAAGAGATACGCTGAGCGGCAGTTAAGGACATCGCTGCAGCTTAGAGCACATGGGGAGGAAGCCCCTATGGCTATGAAGAGCGCCAGTGGGGAAAGGTGTAAACAGATGGATGCGCATTCCTGCTTCCCCTGTCAGCTTATATTTGAGGCCGCCATCCTCCTTAAAGCTGGGGTGTTGAGGTCTCACTCAGCCGCCTCTATTCTCGTATATTGGGGGCGGACGCGTTTGATAGGGGAAATAAACACGCCATGCCCCATCCAGACGCCAATCAATCCAATCTTCAGTTGTGGCTTGCATATTCGCGAGGCTGGCAGCCAATCCGTGATTAGTGGCGCCAAACACGGGATGAACTTCGCAACTAGCGTCGAGTAAGCTTCAAAATGTTTTTTCAAGAGCCGGAACATGTTCTCTGCAAGTCTCTGAGACTCTGTTAACCTTGACCATGGGTATACAGATGGTTTGTGCTTGGGTGCCAAGAACTTCACTTACCAGGTTGGGCGGGACGGGCCGGAAAGCACCGCGCTTGTTCGTTCCACGGATGCCACAGCGGCGCCTAGCCCAGTCTCAAAAAGGACCATAAACCCAAAAGAGAAGTGAAAGCGTTGGCTCCATCGGCTACTTTGTCCTCCCTTAAGCCCCGCCAGGTAGGCCCTGGGGTGGTCGCTTGTCTTTTGCTCACTGCCAGACTCGAGCGCAACCTAGGCTGCTGCAACCTACCTATGCCCTTCTACTCTCCTTGTTTCCCAGCTGTTTGCTATCTAGAGCCCTTTCGCATCTTGCATCTACTTGTCGGTGTCCATCGTTCCCTCTTGTAGATAATAAGATAGCATAATGCCACACGATACACTTGTGACCTGTCTAGTCTCCGAAAGCCCCCGCTTTTTCCTCTTCCCCGTCGTCGTCAATTTCGGCCCCCATGGCCCCAGCCGCTCCTTGGCTGTGGCCTACCGCCAACGCAGCGACAGCAACATCTCGATGCCACATTTGGCACGTCGTGGCAGGTACCCTCGCAAGTCGCACTGAATCCGGAATCCCTGATCGAAAGCCCGTCTTCTCGGATTCCGCGAACCGCGCGCCGCCCGAGGCAAAGAGAGCGCTTCGCAGACGGCTGGTATCGTCGGTCTCATTGAGGCAACGAGGCCGATAACAGTCAGCGAGATAGCGTTGCAGAAATGCCGTAGCCCCCTCTCGTCGTGCCTGACCGTCTGACGGCCGCTACCGCGGGAGTAGGCGCAACTACAGTCCGAGCTGCCGTGGTATGACGAAAGTTCGCGCTTGAGCAGGCGCCTGGTTTTTTACGCGATGATAGAAACGCGACAGAGTCACGTGCAGCCAGCCTGCCAGTCAGACCTCACCCAGCAACCTCAGCCGTGATGAGCAATGACTGCCACGCTCTTTCATAGTGAAGCAGGTAAAAGATGGCTGGTCTACGAATGCGCCTCACACCCTCATCGTCCCCGCTCTCTTTCATTGTCCGACCATGTTGTTTTCAACCACCTCCCTTGTCCGTCGACTGACTCACACGATGGCAGCACAAATTCAAGCAATCGAAGAGCAGACCCTCCCATTTTATCATAAAAGATATTATTACCCTGTCAAAATTGGCCAGGCTTTCAATAATCGATACCGGATAATTGCGAAGCTTGGCTATGGTGCCTACTCGACTGTTTGGCTTGCGTGGGACGAAAGGTCTTATCCCACTAGAATTGTTTTGATAACAGCGCCTGTTGCTGACTTGAAATATAGAGCGAATGAATATGCTTCGCTGAAGGTTTCTGTGCGGATTGACAGCAATAATGCCGAGCCCTCTCCCGTTCTCAACGAAGTCAACATGCTCCAGCGTTTGAAACAGTTCGCTGATGAGGATCATCCTGGGCTTGACTTTACAAGGCTTGCGCGTGAGATATTCGAAACAGAAAGCCTCGCTGGTCGTCATCACTGCATTGCATATAAGCCCAAGGGCAACAGCATCCGTACATTACAGGAGGCATTTCCCAATGCAATGATCCCTAAGGCTTTAGTGAAATCCTTGATACACCGCCTATTCTTCTCTGTGAACTGGCTACATGCCACATGCGGTGTTGCCCATACTGGTAAGTCCACTTATGGATATCTTAATTATCTACTTACGGAGGAATAGACATTTCACCCATGAATGTCTTAATGGAAATTGATGACGACACTATCCTGCAAGATATTGAGAACCAGGAATCCCAGGATCCAAGTTTGCCGATAACCTCCACCATCTCCGGGGATATGCCGATGGTTGTCTATAAAACTAGACATACCATGTTAGCACTCTCCGGCCACCCTATTCTTACAGACTATGGTCAAATGCGACTGGTCGAAGGATGCGTGAATCGAGACTGGTGGATGTCTGATCTCTACCGCGCTCCCGAAGTGCTCTTGCATCTACCATGGGGATTTCCAGTTGATATATGGTCAATTGGCGTTATGGTGAGTTGAGTTGAGCACGTAATCGTCGGCTATAAGTAAGCAAACTATTAACTAGTTTTCATCGATACAGACCCTCGAACTTTTGGAGGGAAAAAACCTCTTCGATCCGATTGACCGTGTTCATGGCCAGTATGTACTTCCACTGGCTTTAGCACAATATATCGGGTATCTTGGCCCCCCCTCCCCTGAATATTATCCAGAACAGCCCGCTTTTCTCAACCTACTTTGATGCCCAGGGTAAGGCTCACCCTCCTCCGCGGTCACCGCCTATTCTCACTCAAGGCTATGACAGGGAATTGGGCCTCTGAAGTACCAGTACCAAAAACCTCACTCGAGGACTTTGTCACGACAATCCCACCGGGAGAGGAGAAAGACCAGTTTCTGCGTTTTATACGGAAAGTCTTGACCTGGGACCCGGAAGTGAGAGCCACGTCAAACGAAATTATACCAGACGAATGGCTTATGAGGCCGTTTTGAGGAGATGCTATTATGATGACTATCCTTTTACGTTGGTTATTGGGGCTTCCATGGAAGTCGCCATCTCGATCGCAGTTGAGCTCGGCAAGATACACTGTGGATTCTTGCGAAGTTCGCACCGTCCTAGAAAGAAGCATGGCGCCTAGTGACCTCCCTCATTGACGGACGTTGGGTCTTCTCGATAGCAGTCTGCTGGCGCACGGCTCCCATGGAGGAAATTTGGGGCGTTTCTTCCAAAGAGCTTTGCATTCATCACATTCAACCTTGGAACTGCTCGTATGCTACTAATAAACGGGAAGCTTGCATTGGGCCGACGGCCCTGAAGGCCATCATCCTGTTGGTATCCTTTATATGTGTGTACACAATCTCTGTGATTGCCACAATTGGAACATCTCCAAATCACCCAAGTGACACCTTATGGAAGCGTGTACCGGGCTGTGAGTGCTAACTATTGTAGTGGGAGAATTGCGCCATCGTGGTGAAATGAGCGGTGTGCGGATTACCCAGCATTTGTGATATAAAAGGCTTCATCGCATGGATACCTAGGACAATCAGACACACTTCTCCTCTTCTAGACCACCCCTGTGTTCTCCTCTCCTGTAGTCCCACTACTCCCAGTGGCGGACCTGGTTCGCAGACAGGTTCGCGTTTCTCGCTCTTCACTATATACAAAAGTGAACAGGAGATGTGTACAGTACCTTATACTGAAATAAAATATCAGAATAAATCTTCTGTCCAGTTGTCAGTATCCATTTGTGGGTGCAGAGTTCCAGACGCGAGTTTGGCGAGCTTTCTGCCAACTGGCAAGTCTCCTGCCAACTGCAAGTCTCCTGCCAACTGGTAAGTCTTCCGCCAACTGGCAAGGCTATGTCCAAACGGTATGTCAGGTTATCTCAGTGGGCGATTCCGATCAAATTCACTCTCGCTCCCCTCCGTCTCGCTTCCGTCATAGGTCGACGGCAGCATACCCCGCCCGCAAATAGAATATGCTAATTACGAGCGATGGGAATACTGGTCAAGAATGGCAGCAAGCTGGCTATACCTGCAGGCTGACGAAGTTCTTCAGGAACGTCTTCAGAACCTTGTCCACATACTGGAGTACGCCGATGTCATGTTCGAAGAAATCATGACAATGGTCCAGGGTAGTGACCGTGCCGAAAACGCCCTCAACGAGGCTAGAAAGTTCGACAAGATGAGACGTTCGGATTACGACACGGCAAGGGAGTATGTATATCACAGGATACCTGAAGCAGTACCACGTACTAAAAAGATTCGACATTGCTCCTCACCCATTCCATGCTCTATCTCAGGTGCTGTATCAGCTGGAGAAAGAGATCCCAAAGGTCCAATTTATCACCGAAGAAATAGCCAGTATGGAGGCTAAGAAGATTACACGGATCTTCGAACGCAGCCCAACCTCGCCCACCACAACCCCCTCCACCACGGCCACGACCACGGTTCCCACCACAATTGGCAGATTGGGCTGCGTTCGAAGATCCGTCTCGATCAGCGACGATCTGTAAACTTATACAGTAGCCGTCCATCTTCTCGAGCGTGATCTTCTTAGCCTCCATGCTGGATATTTCTTCCGTGATGAATTGCACCTTAGGAATCTCTTTCCCAAGTTGATGCAGCACCTGAGAAAGGGCATGGAATGGATGAGGAGCAATGTCGAATCTTTTCAGTACGTGGTACTGCTTCAGGTATCCTGTGATATACTCCCTTGCCGTGTCGTAATCCGAACGTCTCATCTTGTCGAACTTTCTAGCCTCGTTGAGGGCGTTTTCGGCACGGTCACTACCCTGGACCATTGTCATGATTTCTTCGAACATGACATCGGCGTACTCCAGTATGTGGACAAGGTTCTGAAGACGTTCCTGAAGAACTTCGTCAGCCTGCAGGTATAGCCAGCTTGCTGCCATTCTTGACCAGTATTCCCATCGCTCGTAATTAGCATCTTCTATTTGCGGGCGGGGTATGCTGCTGTCGATGACGGAAGCAAGGCGGAGGAGCGAGAGTGAATTTGATCGGAATCGCCTATCCGCGTGGGTTTCTCGATTCATGGTCGAGAGCTTTCACTGTCTGCATTTTAGCAGAAGCGATTGCAGGTAAGTTGTAACCCTGGTTTTTGGTGCCATCGGAGGCAACCTGGGTGCTTGGATTGTTGATGCCAGCAGGAAAAAAGTGTGACTGAATTGTGGGGTTGTCATCCCCGTGCTCGGTGTCCGCCATGGCGACGGTCGAGCGATTAGCTGATGAAGGGGTTCTTGGATCAAGATCTTATTGGTGAAGAGACCAGTGTGGAGTCTCACCATGATGTCGGTTTTGAAATTAGCTTCGAAAGAAGAGTTGCTAGTGGTCCAACTAGCAAGAGAGGCTCATAACCTCATGGGAATACGATGGATGCAGTGTGAATCAGGATGGGGAAACAATGTATGCAGATCGTATTTGTGAACGTGGACAGAGAGAAAGAGAGAGAGCGAGAGGAAGAGAGAGAGGAAGAGACTATCTATCTAACGATGGGTTCTGGCTCATGTGATGCCTGGAGCAAACGTGTTTGCCTGCCCCAGGCATCCAACAACTTGCTCGCTTGTATCTCGTCGAGCAGTTCGGACGAGAATGTTTCCTTGTTCAAGAAACAAGCTCGCCCTTCAATGTTCTCGATGTACTGGGTCTGGGCCTGTTCAACGCCAATCTGATCCAGAGGAAGCATCACAAGTGTGATAGATTTCGCAAGCAAAAGTGACACTGCTTGCATTATCATGGAATACAGATACAATATGAGATAAATGGAGAAAACAATGTATGTATTCACGTGGACGAAGAGGAGAAAGAGAGAAGGAGAGAGAGAGAGAAACTATGGGGTTCTATCTACACACATGTGATGCCTGGGGCATCAAGGCATCCAACATCCCCCTCATAGAACCTGCATGACATCTCCTATCAAAACCTCCAACTCTGGCATACATAGTAAAACTCTGTATTTTTCATGTGGATTTAGATCATGCCAATGAGCTTAGCAAAGACCTCGAACTGGTCTTTTGCGAGAGCCTTGGTAAATCCGTCTGCGGCATTCTTCTTGGTATCAACACGGTGAATTTCGACATGGCCCTGTGCGACCGCATCTTTGACGAAAAACCACCTCAGCGATAGACCAATCACAACTCAATAAAGTCTGTTCTGTCTGAGTGTCGCCAAAATTCACATATCCCCGGAAGATGATGCGGATCTTGGCTTGAAGATTCCAACCTGGGGTAAGGTCCTTCACTTCCAGGATGTGGACGGTATGCTGGATGCCAAGGATATCCATGATTTTCCCCATGGTGGCGATGTAAGCCGCGATGTTCTCCTCCGCACCGATATCATCATTCTCCCAGCGAATGAGGATGACCACTTTCCGGACGTGAACACTGCCGCGGGATGCTGCACCTTCCTCGGGTCTGCTCTCGGGCCGGGGAGATGATGAACGCGAGACGCCCTCGAAGGAAATGAGGCGCTGATTGAAGGCAGGGCAGAATGGTGAGATGTGGCCCGCGATACTGGATCAGAGGATTGGGAGCAATTTCCGGTGCTTTACCACCAGACGCCATGATAAGACGGAGAAGACCTGTGTCTCTCAGCAGGTTGTCTAACCTCCTGGTCCTCTTGACATCCAGATAAGTAAGTCTTCGATGGTTCAGACATGGTACTAAACAATGTTACCTAGAAAAAGACAGAGATGGATCATTGGATAGTTGGTACTCACGATGTGGATTGTGGGGGAGATGTCGAAGTGATGGAGAAGGGAAGAAGAAAGAAGAAGAGCTGCGCAGAACAACTCATATTTATGTCCTTTCTCCGTGTTTGCTCCTTCCCTCCTAGCTATGCTTCGCCCCTTTCCTTGAAGAGATGTAGCATCAAAGGAAGTATCGTTGGTCATGAACCATAGCGGTTACTCACATGACGCCTGCAGGATCCCTGCCCCCAAAGAGAACTTGATTCTCCCATCCCGGAAACTGAGCCAAGGCATCAACGGTCATATGACAATCCAATCTTGGTCCCTTGGAAACCGCCATGAGAACATGGTTACAACTTACATAGTCTATAGACTAAGATACTTGGCAACTGGGCGCTGCGCAGTCCCATATGCGCTTGGCGACATAATACATTGCTGAGTCCCGGGTGCTGCCGACCCCTGGGCCCTTTGATTGAGTTACCAAAATTCCCTCAGCATCCTTCTGCAAAAGACGATGGATGCCCAACTCCACCGCCTGCTGTTTGAGCGATGCCGACTCGGTATTAAATCAAGGAGTAATCCGGTTAGGTTTAGCGCACCAGAAATCTGGCAGAACTTTTGGATCATGTGATAAGGTCGGAGAGCACTGAGATAACCTTTGATTGGCGTAAGAATGTGGCTTCGAGAAAATTCTAGTGGCAGATTGGCTGAACAAAGTTTAAATGCGCCACCCGGCCGGCCCTGGTTTCATGCACAGGCGCTGCGCCGTCTTATAAATTTGCAAGTGAAGTGCAACCCGATGTCCTCCAACACCGCGATCTTGAAGGAAATACCTTCAATCTGGGGTTGACGTTTGGGGTAAATGGCCCCATGGGCAATTCAATCCATGGCTAAAACCTTGACAAACACTTTTGGTTGTTATCACTAGCGGCCCGATAGTAGACATGGGGGCCGACACGCGGGGGGTTTGCGCCGGCCCGGGTACGCCGGGCCGGAAACATGTGTCGCCGGAGGTACGACGTCTACGGTTGGCTCGCCTCACGCCGAATACCCCACAATTCTTCTCGGGCGTGCCGGTCAAGACACGCTTATGTAACGATCGCCCCTTGTCGCTGGCGAAATGCATGAGCTTGGTTTCAATGCGATCTTGTGCGTCCGATTGGCATATTACCCCAGGGGAACCCCAGAGTGCCTTGGAGACACGAATCGCGATTAAACAAAAGCTCGTCTCCCCACACTGTACTGCGTCACTTATTGTAATACGACGAATAGTACTAGTGCCATATCTGGTAGCGGATATCTCATCAACTATCTGGCGCGCCAAGGAAAAAAAAGTTGGGTCGGCCGTTCTGCTTTTGGCCACCTCCACATCTTATTTTCCTTGCCTTTTCTTCTCGTCTTCGACGCTCTTTTTCTCTTTCACTTCTCAATACTATAATACTATATACTCATCGCGATCATGAGTCTTCCCAACGAACCGCGTCCTATTCAGGAGTATGAACCACACAGCGACTCAACAGACATGGAGAAAAAGGAATACCCCGTAGACCACACGGATGACCCCTTTGGGAATGAAGATTCCGGGGAAGTCAAGTATCGTATCATGCCCTGGTGGTGAGTATCACTTCTGTTCGCTGCTTTCAGCTCTTTGGATGCCCATTTCTGACTCTTATACAGGCAAGCTGGAACGCGTAAGAGCCTTCGATGAGCCCCAGTCAAAAGGAACCCCTTCCTAACATGTTTCGTCTAGTGATGGTCGCGGAAAATATTTCCCTCGGTATTCTGTCCCTTCCATCAGCAGTGGCAACCCTTGGAATTGTCCCGTAAGTTGCATTGTATCCGCGATTTGGGAAGAAAACTGACCTTCTTTCAGCGCATTCATTATTATTATGGGCCTTTCCGGTATCTCATGGTATACTGGATACGTAATGGGCCAATTCAAGCAGCGTTACCCTCAAGTCCACAGCATGGGTGATGCTGGAGAGCTGCTTTTAGGTCCCATCGGACGCGAAATCTGCTTCGTCGGCCAGCTGCTGTTTATCATCTTCCTGATGGCCAGTCACATTCTTACCTTCTCGGTGCTGTTCAACACCATCACGAACCATGGCACCTGCACCATTGTGTTTGGAGTCGTTGGCTTGATCGTCAGCTGCATCGCAGCCCTCCCACGGACGTCAGAGAAAGTCTACTGGATGTCCATCATCTCCGCTCTCAGCATCACCATCGCTACCGTCGTCACCATGGTCGCCATTGGTGTCCAGGCCCCCGATAACGTTCAGAATGATATCACGACCAGCCCGACCTTCCAGGAGGCTTTCCTAGCAGTCACCAACATCGTCTTCGCGTTCGTTGCCCACGTTTCTTTCTTCGGTATCATGTCGGAGATGCAGGACCCTCGCGATTTCCCCAAGTCCCTCGCTATGCTCCAGATTGTCGATACCACTATGTACGTCGTGACCGCCATGGTCATCTACTGCTATGCCGGCCCTGATGTTGCCTCACCGGCTCTCTCCTCGGCTGGACCTGTCATGAAGAAAGTTGCGTACGGTTTGGCTATCCCAACAGTGCGTCATATTTCCACTCGGAACCCATTGGGGACTTCGTTCTAATTGTTTGATAGGTTATCATCGCCGGTGTCATTTTCGGCCATGTCGCATGCAAGTATATCTACGTGCGCATCTTCCGCGGTGATCGCTCCCACCACATGCACCAGAAGACCTTCTTGGCTACGGGCACATGGGTCGCAATTGGTCTCACCACTTGGACTGTTGCCTGGGTTATTGCAGAGTCTATTCCCGTGTTCAATGAGTTGTTGAGTTTGATTGTTAGTTTTCCAACTAGACGTGCTGTCGTTCTGTTACTGACTTCGCTGTGTGCAGAGTTCCCTATTTGGAAGTTGGTTCAGCTGTAAGTCAATCGTGTCGTGTCTTTCTGCTTGATATAAGTTACTAATCAAAACATCGGAAACAGATGGTCTTCCTGCCATTTTCTGGCTCGTGATGAACAAGGGTGTGTGGTTCTCGACACCTCGCAAGATCGCCTTGACGATTCTCAACTTTGTGATTCTCGGAATTGCTTGCGCTATCGTATGTTTCGTCCTCCCTTTGATGTTGTAAGGGTCGAATACATTACTAACGAGACCAGTGTGGATTGGGACTTTACGTCTCGGGCTTGGCTATCAACAAGAGCTCGCAAAAGGCTAGCTGGACTTGTGCCAACAACGCCACCTAAATCTACCTACTGATGGAGGATATGCAGTGTTTTGACTGTTGGCGATGACCCTGACCCCTTTGTTAGAATAGAAGTGTCATCTTATATATGGCGTCCGTTGCTTCCCTTGCTTTGGCGTGCTTGGCCCTTGTAAATATATTGGCGTTCGACTTGAAATTCACATGTTCCTTATTGCTTGCGATTTTCAAAAACGGTGTATTACGCTGTATTCGGATTACAGTGATTTGATTTTCTTTTTTCAAATAATGTATTTACTACCGTAGAGCCAGCAGACCCCAGGCAACGATGATAACCGCTCGGCTGGAACCGGCTTACCCCGGTTTCTCCACAATGTCGGGGGAAAAGGTTTCAAAGTACCTGTGGACACTGTGAAGCCCATGATGTCATATCTACAATGGCACCAATCATTTTAGTGCCCATTCTCCTTCCCACCATGGTTAGGCTTGTCATGTCGCTTTGTCTCAGACAGCCCCAAACATTCAGCCATGTTGAAAAAGATGTCAATGGAGTTATACACTCCGCCAAACAGTTCCTGGCATGGTCCCCGCGCAAAGACCGGCACGTCCGTCAACGAGTGGACCCCTCCCCCTTATCAAGAGGCAATGTTCCATTGACCACAAATCCAGTAACTGCATCCTTGTAGCTGGCGAAGTACCCGTTCTTCTCGTTATCTGCCGCCTCAGCAGGTGTGCGGGGACCCTCGCTGTGGACCTGATAATTTTCCCTTCGATCAGGGAACGCAGTAACACCCGAGTGCAGCGTGTATCTCGGGTCCCAGCGGGCTGGGAAGTGGACACCCTCCGAGTACTGCAAGGAGTTGGGACCAGCGACTGTGTACTGCGATAGACCGGACTTTCCGTAGTATCCAACTGCGTTACGCTTGCTGCGATCGTTGTCCTGGGCGTCCATGTACTTTGTATCCACCGAGCCCGTGACGTCGAAGCCGTGGCCGTGGTCGGCTGTGACGACGATGAGGGTATCTTCTAACTGTCCCAGTCGCTCGAGTTTCTCGATTGTTGCCCGGATGGTGTCATCAAGTTCGAGTAGCTCGCCGAGGGCCCGGTCATAGTCCAGTGTGTGCATCTGCTTGTCGATGCTGGCGGCCTCGGACATGAGGAACCATCCATCCTTTTTGTGGCGCTTGTCGAGGACATCGATGGCCTTGAGGGTCATGTCTCTGAGTCCGGGGAGATCCTCTGCGTCGCGACCGGACCCGTCGGGATAATTGCTCTGGTTGAGCAGGTTGGCTTGGTATACGTTGCGATCGAGCCAAGTTGCGAGATTGGATTTCTGGAAAACACCTAACAGCTTCTCATTGTCTGGGGCACTGTCCAGCGCCGTGTTGTTCCAGGCTATATTATAGCCCTTTTCGGCGAAGAGCTTGTAGTAATCGCGTGTTTTCTCGCTCTCAAGGAAATCCTCTGCGCCACCCCCAAGCAGCACATCGGGGCCATCCCAGTCTGTCCACTCGTGGTCTTTCAGACCTTCATAATAGGCGCCGATGACATGATCATATTCGCCACGGTTGCTGGTGTGTGCAGCCAGTCCCGCAGGGGTAGCATCCGCGAGGAAGGCAGTCGACACGATACCAACACCGCTGTTCGGGTATCGACGGCGGAAAACTTCCGAGATTGTCTCGAATCTCGGGTCGTCGAAGGGATCACTGGAAGAGTCCACATAGACATTCAGAGCATTGACGGTAGTCTTGTGGCCGGAGTAAAGCGCTGTCGCCGAGTTGGCGGAATCTGTGATGAACGAGTCCATGGAGTGCGTCATCTGATGACCCAGCACGGGAAACTTATCCAATGCCATTTTCGTCATATATTTGCCATTGACGCTGCGGTGGGCAATGAGGCGCGCGGCAGTGATCATATTCGTTGTCATTCCGTCCCCGATGAACATGACCACGTTCTTCGCGCGCCGCTTTGGGGGAAGATCGCGGACAAGCCAGTTGGCTACTGTCCTTTGTTCTCCATAGTAACTCAAAGTTGCCTCGTATTCGCCAGGTTCGTACAGGGCGACTCGTCTATAGATCTTGGAGGTGACATTGACGAGGGATGGTTTGCTTGCGTCCTGTGCGAACAGATCTGCTACTGTCAACATGTTGTCCTTGGTAGGTCTCTATCCAAGGAGTCTGTTACCTTCGTACCACGTGAAGTTCCACCTTTCTAGCTTTGGTTCATCGAGGTTGAAGTATAATGTGGCAGGAACCGGCTTCTTGCCCTTCTTGGCGATAGTGAATGTGAAGTTTTCGTCCGGCTCTCCGACGCGCGCCTCGGAACCATTGACGGGTGAGTGCACTTCGAGGCGGATATCGAAGTACTGACCGGCTAGGAAATCCACTCTAAGGAGACACCCATTAGCTGATAGCCAGGTCATCTAGAATTGGAGTCATCCATACTGATCAGGCGGAAATATGCATCCCAAATCAGGACAACCACCCAGCCGCTGGAATGTTTGAGCAGCTGTGCATAAGACGAAACATGCGAGTGCGGAGATTGAGAAAGCTCGCATGTTGATCGGACAGTCAATCGGGATAATAGCACACAATTAGGCCTTTACAGAAACAAGAGCTCCAGCGGGTGTCCCATTATATACCACGATCTTCACGGGCAATTGAGACCTGTCTTACGCCAAGACAACAAATGTGAGTAGAATGACATACATTTCCGACAGTCTGGATGCAATCCTATTCAAGGAAGCATCGTTGTATTCCCTGATAACATAGGGACGAATAGAGGATGATTACCATCTGCACGTGTCGAAGTCATTGACGTCTGGCAGCTCGAAGCTTTTTGCCAAGCTGAGGGGGTGGAACGCCAAGCCAAGCCAAATCAATCGCCAATCTTCCGCCAAGCTTCGAACCTTGGCGAGCTCCTGCACGTGGGATCTTTGCGAGAGGCGACTCGTTACAGGCGGACGAAGGATTTGTTTGTTCCGATTCGCCGTTCCGATCCTTGTCGAGGTATATGCATAGGCTAATAGCAGGCATAGGGACGTTAGAATAAGCTTTCCAACTGAGCCTTTAGTCTCACATCTACCCGGGAGTTACCCCTATTTATGCTTCGCCCTTCGTACCTTCCTGTTCTCTTTGCATGAGAACTCATATGCTTGAGAGCCTCGGTTAAGAGAGTTCACATGGCGTGTGGCATTGAAGAAGGTTATCTTATACCGAGAGTCGGGGCTGGTTGGGAATGCCGCAGAGCGTTGAATATTGGCGTTGCGTTTAGAGCCGATAGCAGAAGAATCATGTGTAGTTCTTCAACACATTTACGCAGTGTTCAATGGGTTTATAAGGCTTATGAATAGCCTACTAAGTCACTTGGTTCTAAGCTCCCAAGTTGTATACTGCTGTAGAGCAACTATGAAGTGATCCAAACAGTCACCAGGACTCCTCGCACTGAAACAAGTCATATATACAGATATGGAGACAGATATACAATCATCATATCACGTAGTGTCCTCCACACGCATCAATACATCTCTTAACTCAGAAGTCCGGCTCAGCACTGATCCTACTGACCCGGCGACCATTGTTCTGAGCTCTGTCAGCAGCAAGAGTCTGAGCAAACTTACTCTTCGCACGAAGTTGCGGTCCCTTCCAATAGAAGATATAGATGGGAGTGACAACAAGACAGGAAAGACAAGCCAAAATAGTGCTTGCATACTGTACATGCCACTTATCGCCGATATTCGTGTACATGGGCGTCGCATACATAGCCGAGATACCAGCGAGCAGATCACGCGCGAAAGCATTACCGCCCGTTGCCGAAGCCGAGTACACACCGTACGAGGCAACCATATAATCGACAGAGGAGAGGTAGATGGCGTAGTTGGCGATACCGACGCAGGCGGAGAAAATCATCGAGCCGATCCAGTGGACGTTGCGCGAGTTACCGAAGGATGTCCAGGCGAAGCCGAAGAGGCCGATTGGTTCAAGCGGCGCGAGGAACAACAGCCACTTCAGGCGGCGCTCTGGTGGAATTGCGGCATCGCCGTGGCGGAGGCGCAGCTTCTGGTCACGGATGAACCACGGGAAGTAGCTGAAGTAGGCAATGAAATAGGCAGCGTTGATGGGGATAATTGCCCAGGCTACGCCGAGGGTGCCGAAGCCCCAGCCTTGCTTGTAGACGATGGCGAAACTCTCCAGGAAAGTGAAGATCAGGGCGTCGGAGAAACCGGAGAGGAGGGACAGACACAGGACGATGGGCTCGCGCAAGAGCATGTAGAAGGGTCGGGCCCAGATCTTGCCGGCTTCTTTAAGGGAGACGCGGGGGGTCTTGAGTTCGTTCGGTCCGTAGATGTTGGGATCTTCGCCGGACTTGCGGCGGCGTCTGGCTTCTCTATCCATAAGAATGGTGGAACGACTTTCGGGCATGAAAAAGATGATTATCTGAGTGACTACTCCGAAGATGAGCTGAATCCAGAAGAACCATTGCCAGTTGAGGACTAGGTCGTGAGCTTCATGTCAGCTAGATGTTGCAGATTGATACAGGGAATCTGAGAGAATAGCATGTGCTTACATCGCGCAATTGGGCCGCCAATCACACCACCAATACTGGTACCGATACAAGAGGACAACACGATAAAAGCGAGAGGAAACTGTTGCGTCTCGGGCTCGTAAATGTCAGCAATAAGACCGAGTGTGACACTACCACCGGCAGTAGAAAGACCACCCTATAGATATTATGTTAATTCACCCAAGTCACCAGTCGCAGAACCGTACGGGAGAGCTAACCAGTGCACGAGCAACGACAAGGCTACCCCAATTGGGAGCAAGGGCCGCAGGAAGTTGCCAGATGTTGATGAGGAACATTGAGAGCTGAAGGATAGGCCAGCGACCAAATTCCTCAGACCAAGGAGCCCACAGTTCACAACCAATGGAGTAGGTCACAAGGTAGGCCATCTGACCCGTGCGAGCGTGCTGCTCGCTGATATGGAAAGCCTCTGAGAGAGGCGTTACGGCGGCAGGGTAGACCGAAGTGTTAAAGTTCATAGAGACCTGCACGAAAGCGACAGCTGCCAGATAGGTCCATTTCTTCCATCGCGGCCAGGAGTAACCGAGGATCTCGTAGCACTCCCCTTCCTTCAGCTCGCGCTTTCCGTCAGCGCGTTCGCTCTTGGTGCTTTGTTTTTCGCCCAATTCATTGGAAAGGTCGATGGGTGTGCTGGAGCCGCTGATCGCGCCATTGATGGATGACGGTCTACTCTCGCTGCGAACAGCTGGAGCTTCTTCAGTCATTGGTTGCTCTGGGTCTGTCATCCTTGCGCTTAGGATGAGAGCAAACGCAACGGGATAGCAATTGAAATACTGTGTAAATAACTAAAAACTATGGGTCTTAGCTGTTTTATGTACTCTGTATGTGCTAGTATCTGCAAACTCTGTTGCACATCAGACAACATGCTCTGAAACCGGATTTTATAGTGGATCTACTGCATACGCACACCGATAAGATAAGTGGAGGCCCTGGGATAATCAAATACATAGAGAGCATCGATAGCTGTTTGGGAGATATCTGAGTCTAATTCTTGTAAGGGTTTCTAGTATTGATGAAGATAGTTGCTTGGTTTTGCAGCTTATTCTGTGCCATAAAATTGAGATGTTCTCGATATTCAAGCCACAATTCATGTGACAAGTGGCAGACATTGATTAGTAGTCTCATAAAAACCTGATGTGAATGATCTGCGTTCCCTTCGGCCCTTCGGCATTCTCCACTTTATCCTGACGTCAAATCTCTTCCAGCAAAATGGCCTATGGTCCATCTCTTTGCTACTCATTATTGCTTTCCTCTGAGTGCGCAGAAAAATCGCACAGCTCGTCCTGGATATGCTATATTAGCTGAGGTTAACCTTTGACGTGCAGTGTATGCACGTTGGAATACAGGAGGTAGTACAACACAACTGCAGAGAGAAATGCGCCCAAGAACATGAACACTCTGACTTGCACATGGGAACAGCCGCATATGAAGTCATTCCTGCATGCCAGCTCGAATAATAAGCGCCTCAGCTAAGACATAAAAAGAGGGGCCCGTCCATATACTAACCAATTAGACTACATCTTCGACGCCGGCGGGAGATCTTCATGAACCGAACTCGGTGAACTGTGATCAGCGACAGAACAGTTCGGGGCCTGGGCGTTCATTTACGAGTTTGAGTTATCCATCACCTTGATGTGCAGCTCTGTATGGCTGCATAAGGTACAGCGTAGTATGCCCCTTCGTATACAGAGGCCATTGGCTTGTACAACACATTGCGAATGCCAATTGAACGAATAGAAACCAACCTCCCCTATATATTAACAACGTCCTGCGGACTCCTGCATACTGAGAAAAACTGATATGACATCCTCACCTGAGCAACCTCATCTTAAAATCCCCACTCGACCTGCATGTGTGCACCTTGTCTAGTCTTTGACCAGGATGTCTCCAATGTACTCTCGCATCATCTCTGGATGAAGCAAAAAGGAAAGAAAGCCAAAAGCTAAAAAAGTATTGACCGACGCAGGGATCGAACCTGCAATCTCTTGATTCGTAGTCAAGCGCCTTGCCATTGGGCCAGCCGGCCTTCTTGAAGAGATGTGCTCCAAATCGTTAGATGGGGCTGCAGATTTTTTTGAGTTGATGCCCCACCCAGATAAGGCCGCTTTCGGTTTAGCGTCCTTGATCTTCGTGCTTATCAACAGAAGAAGAAACTCAGGCGAGTTTCGATGTGGATTAGTGGCTAACTTTGCTTTGATTGGTTCGAGAGATACTCGATGTGGACCCAGGACGGCTACATAGTACATAGTACTGTAGACTGTAGTGGTAGATATTGTGATGACGAAGGCTAAAAAAAAGTGTTCAATTCCTTCTACCTAAGACAACAAGACTAGTTAGAGAGAAAAGAGAAGAGAGGAAGAGAGGAGAAAAAGGGGTAAAGAACAATACAGCCGAATTCCTCCTACGAGGTCTCCCGGCGCCCAATGGTCTTGGGATTTAACTGCGACGCTCAGCTTCGCCTATCCCGTAAAAGGCAGGCGGAAAGTCGAATTGTTTACTTCCATTGGGGGGAATTGCTAAGCGCAATGAATTTGCTGCACCCAAGTGTTTACATTCACATATCATGACCATCTCGCACCCATGGTTTTCAAACAAAGCAAGGACTGGGGTAAAACGATCCAGCAATTGAAAACGAATTGAAGGTCTTTTCTCTAATTGAAATAACTGAATGCGTCTAGTTTCTCTCAACGATATTCAAAGAAACATCCTGATTTGGACGTAGTTTCCCAGGGTATATCCGCCTGCCAAACTTTCCAGAACGATCCGCTCAATACTTGGAAGTGTGCTACTATTTCGCGCAATCAACTTCTGCGATCTTTTCATGTCTCGCAGAGCCATCCTGGCTACCAACAGCTAATGCCACGACCTTGTCTAACTCTTGAGCCCATTTGATGGGACCGGGGGGCAAAGACTTCTCTGGTGAGTCCCAGTTCAAACGCTGCCGGATGTTATTGTCAAGGTCCGGTAACATTCCATGTTTGAAAGAAAGGCCACCGCCAAATATATCCGGGATATTTGCATCATCGATGTGCTCCCGGAGGGATGGCAAAACTTCATTGTTCAGGAGAACAACGATCTTCTCTGCTGTATGAGGATCGATGAAACCTTTGAGGTATTTCCAGATCGTAGTGAAATATGACGGAGCGTTGCATACCTGTGGTACGCGATGTCAGTATAGGTTAAATCGAGGTCTGTACATCGCGCCATGCTGCTTACAATAACGCGTTGGATAGTTTCAGGATAGCAGGTCGATAATAGCCAACTAATTTCCTGGGCAAATGATCTAACGCTCCATCCCTGCTTTAGGCCAAGATTGGATGCGTCCACGAGATAAACGAAGCTTGTTATCGGAGCCAACGAGTTTGGTCGGTCTTTCATCATGGAGCATAATGGAAGCACAAAACGGGTCAGACTATCGTGGAAAATAGAGGCTGACTGTAACATGTCCGGCATTGGTGGCCAATCTTCTTCGGATGGAGAATTTCTCCAGCCTGGCCGTTTCCGAGTCTTCTCCCAGCATGCTAATTCATCTTTACCAAGATAGGCGAGATCAAACATACATATCGGTAGACCATTCTTGTCTCTCCGACCTGTCCAAGTGGGATACTGAATAGTTACGTGAGTGGGTTTGTCTAGGGTAGAAGTAGCTACCACTCACAAATTGCCGAGCCTGTTCAAAATCGCTGATTGGCATTATGTCATATAATTTCAGCACAGACTTCTGCTGGCGAAATTGGAATGCTTCTTTAAATTGCTCGAGCGCGGCCTCGGGATCAAATCGACGGGCAGCCAGGAATCGGCTGTTCATGTCAGCTTTACGACGAAGGCGCAACCCACACGGTAAAAACGTACAGCAGAGTACTTGGATCGGATAATCCATCACACAACTCTCGGGTTCCATGTCCGTCTAGCCGATTCAATAGCGTATGCTCGTCGCATAGCCGAGTCAACGATGCAAGTGAAGCCTCGTATTCGGGAGGGATCTTGAAGTCAAGAATTTGATAGACAGACATGGCGATATCATCCAGAAATTAGATCGTCTGCGGAATACGGGTGACCGAAGGATGGAAAATGTTGAATAAGGTTGGGACGAACCAACTTTCTGATTTTGAGCTGCAGCTTTATGTAACCTCGCAGGTTGGCGTGTGTGAAAGGGATCCATGAGGAGGGGGCATTGAAGCTAACTCACCAGTTGCCGATCCCCAGGCGAGTCGTGCGAACTGTGGGGAATGCGGATCACATCCACCACTGAAATCTCCAGTTGCTGACCTAGAAACCTGGAACAAACCCGTTGTGGGTCCTTGACAGATCTAAATACGCAACATCCCGCGTTTGATCGGGTCACTTTGTTGACATCAAGATCTCGCTTTGCAAGGTACCGGGATTCTGACGTCAGGTTGATTAGTTCTGCATCAGTCGTTCCTCTGATCACCAGGCGCTTGATCACATTGTTTGCTATGATCTTGGAAAAGCAGTCTACTAACAAGTTAAGACCCACTATCAAAAGGATAACACAATCGTTGATGAAGTCATTGTTTTCGATCACTGCTCCGCTTTCCAGAGGTGTTATTAAGGCTGCTGAGACGTCGAAAGGAGGACAAAACAGATTTGGAGTGTACTGAGCAAACCTGCCTGCCATCCACATCAGCAAAGCCGAACACAATGGATTTTGACAATCACCAACAGAATGATGAGACATCATATGTGGTGGAACGACAAACACCTGATATAGATGGTCTGTGTCATGATTACACCCTGCGGCGGCACAAGCATGAGCAGAGAGCGAACGAGGGATCCTTCCGTTGTCGGGCGGATTGGACAAAATACATCGGCCCGATTGAACGTTGGGGGAGTTGCAATCCCTACGAAGGGCACTTCGCATCAGTAGTGCTGCCGCTTTGCAAGCCAGAGAGACTTGAACTCGTCTCGTATATTTTTGAATGTATGGGAATGATTCCTGGTCTTCTTACCATTAGTTCCCGTGAAAGAGGGGAGCTGACTGTTGTATCGACTTTACAGATGCCTTTCTCTACGACAATGTCCTAGAATCAGTATCAAAGGCCCTTGTAAGCAGAGCCCCACCCCACAAGAAAGAAAGTACCGTGATCTGAGGCCAAGCCAGTTGGATGCAGGCACCGATAACCTTGTCCTGAGTGATACCGAGTACTGCAATGTACGATCAGCAACCGGCACAAAGCAAATACAGTCAAAGATGCTACTGGAGCTTTTACACATTGACAAGACTTGTGCAGAAGTTGTGATTAAAGCTTGGAAGGAAATGGTTGCGACGACTGCTTCTCGAGACAAGTCCTGCGTCTTCGATAATATAGAGGACTATGTCGACTATCGAATTGTTGACACCGGGGCGCCGTGAGTTCTGTTTGAGAAGCTGCGGAACATGGATATATTGCAAATGCTAACGCTCGAATTAGGTTCGTGGATACGGTGATGCGGTTCGGCATGGGAATCCTCTTGACCTCCGACGAGGAAGAAATGCTTGCTCCTATAGTTAGACCTTGCTTCGCAGCTCTGGGGCTAGCTAACGACTATTACTCCTTTGACATCGAGTATAAAGAGTTCAAAGAAAGTCAAAGGACAGAGGGGTCGCATAGTATGACCAACGCCGTGTGGTTATATATGAAGTGGAACAATCTTTCCATTGACGACGCAAAGGCAAAAGTCGTACAAGTTGTCCGCGGCTACGAAAAGGATTTCCAACAATCTGCGAATCATTTTATAGCTGACGCAAAGCGCTGCCGCCCCCACTTGCGCGATTACCTGGGGGCTTTGGCCTTCCAGATTCCAGGAAACATTGTCTGGAGCCTTCGGTGTCCTCGTTACCACCCTGAATTATGCTCCGAAGCGTCAACTTTACTCCATCCCGGCAATGAACAAGACTATAATCAAAACAGCCAAGACCAGCTTCTGCCAGCCGCAAAGCAAGGGCTATCCGACGATGAAGATTCCGATACAAACTCTAGCATCAGCTCTTCATCAATTGGGGGAACAAGCAACTCAGTCCCGTCGAGCAGATCCTCGGTAAATTCAAGGGACGATTCGACCGACGAGCCGAAGACACAAAGCCGTGCTCAGCTTGGTTCTGAGGTCTCTCACCCTTTCTAAACAAGATGTCTTCTGTATATGCTGATTCCGTGATTCTTCTAGCATCTGCTTGCCCCTTACGAATACATCAGCTCTCTCCCTTCGAAGGGGTTCCGTGAGGCCTTTATTGATGCCTTGAATGTCTGGCTGGCTCTTCCGGACAGCTCTCTGCAAACTATTAAATTAATATCACAGAAACTACATACTTGTTCACTGATGTAAGTCCGAGTGAGGTGACTGGTGTCATATATGGTGCTAAATTCTACAGGCTGGATGATATCGAGGATTCCTCACCGCTTCGCCGTGGCAAGCCAGCCACTCACACAGTATTCGGCCCGGCTTCCACTATAAACTCTGCAAACTGGATCTTGATTGACGTGATGGGTGATGTGCAGGAGCTTCAAACCCCTCAATGCATGGATATAGTCATAGAGGAGCTTCGCAATCTGTTCGTTGGCCAGAGCTTTGACTTGTACTGGACACAACAGGGCGAATGTCCCACTGAGGAAGAATATCTTGAGATGGTCAGCCAGAGTAAGTTTTCTGCTTTTGTCGAAATATGTCTACCCAAGAGGGTTATCTAATGTTATCTCTGCAGAGACTGGTGGCCTGTTTAATTTGCTCGCGCGGCTGATGAAGCAATGTACCCAGTCGCTGCATCTCAGGTACCCAACTCCAGTCCAATCCGGAGACAAATTCATACAAGGAACTGACAACAATACAGAGCCATATCCCTTGATTTTGTTTCTTTGCTTGGCCAATACTTCCAGATTCGTGATGATTATATGAATTTGATTGACGACGTGGTATGTCTATCGATCTATCTTGGCAGCTATCCTTGCTCGACTGACAATCTTCATGACTTATAGTACACGGAAGGAAAAGGTTTCTGTGAAGACCTCGACGAAGGGAAATTTTCTTTCCCGATTGTTCACGCCTGGCATTGCACACCGCCAGACCTTGTCATGCGCGGTATAATCCGAGAAGGAAAGGCCTCTGGTTCCCTTTCTGTCCCTCATAAGAAAATGATTCTGAGTCATTTGCATGAAGCGGGGAGTATGGAATATACCCTCCAAGCTATGAAAAAGCTGCAGATTCGTATCAACAATGACCTCGAGCATGTTGAGAAGGAGGCTGGTTGCGAGAATTGGGTCATGAGGCTGTTGGTTCATAAGTTGTTCGTATGAAATTTTAGGGAGTGGATTATGGCGTTTCGAAAGGATTATTTACAGCTAAACCAGATATGATCCAATACAGTTTCGGGAAGGGCTGAGAAACAACTCGGATTCTTCTATACTCTGAACCCAAAGAACAAATGCTCTAAATACGGTAGACAAATCAAGGCCTTACCACGGGATAGCCCTCCCGCTCTAGGGGGCTGCCCTAAAGAACCAAGAGGAACTTCAGAGGCTCTTATACTCGCCTAATCAAGAATAGCAACTGAATAGAGATTTTCCAGCCAACTGTCTAATGATAGCCCATTCTTAATGGCAAATTAAATAATGCAAAAACAAAAACATACAACAGTGTGGATTCGCTGGTGGTCACCCACCCAACTACTAACTCACCGGCGTGTGGCTTATGTGCGGCCAGTAGTCGGGTGGGTGTCGCCAGGGTGAGTTTAGGGTGAGCGCCGCTTTGAAGTCGCGCGACCGGGGGTGAGAAGGGTGAGTGCGCTATAGATAGGGTGAGAATCAGGGTGAGAAAAGGGTGAGAATCACCCAAGTCGCGCGACCACTGCACTGACCCCCTCAGCTGAACAATAACAGAATGTCATTGGATCGTACTTTGGCCTCTGAAACGCTCAGCATCTTGGCACCTGCACATAGCCACAATTAGAAGTATCATACGGGAATACTGCCAAGAAAGCTGTTTAGCCGTAGGGTTGATGTCATACTGTAGACATCCAACCCGACTGCCGCGTAGTTCATGTGACGCTATTAGTCACTTATCAAAGAATGAGGCGGCGCGGGCCTCGATCTACGGAGTTTGAATTAGAACCTAAGCGAGTATGCACTAGCGCGTCCATATAGATTTGACAGCGCGTGCCTTTTGTTTAGCTAATTGCATCACAAAATTTCTAATACAAATTCTGTTTAAAAGGTTAGGGGATCAACTACAATGAAATTAAGGTAAAATTAATATTCTACAACAATCATGAAGTTTTCAGGTTTTTGAAAAGGGAAAAAAACTATGTCAACTGAACAGAAGAATGATGTCCCTGGAGAATTTGCACAAAATTGTTGAATCCCTCGGAACAAGCAACCAGAAGAGTATTTCCGTACTCTGAGCTCTAGGCATTGACATTGGCTCCTCGATCTAGCAGCATCTCCCCTATCTTGTCGTGTCCCTCGGAACGAGCAGCCCGTAGTGCATTTCTATATATACTCTCCGCCCTGGGCGTTGACATCAGCTCCTCGATCCAGAAGCATCTGAGCGATCCTATAGTGTCCCCCGGAACAAGTAGCCTAAAGAGCATTTCCAAAGCGACCATACCGGGTCATACCATACGGTACGAAAGATCCGCAATCATCGGAGACCTGGAGGTTCGGGAAATGTACTCTACAACAAAAGTGGTCATGTGCATAGGAAGAGAGATCTTAGGTAGTGGCAGGACAAGTAATCCTGACCACGTCGATGAAGCCAATGTCACGGACAGGATAATGAAACAGGTATTTCCAGGCCCTCCGCCTGGACGCAACGGCTACGAGTCTAGGAGAAGATCTATGTCTCGTCTTCGAGTACTCGGACGACGGCTTCGGATGTTTGCAGACAGGTTCAGCAATAGCAGTCCTGTGATGGTGTCAGTCGGTGACAACTAACATGACGGAACGCACGAGACCTACTTGATATCCTCCGTGGCAATCTTCATCGTCCATTTCAAGATATAGTCACACACAATAGCAAACCTAGTGGTCACAGTGCCGTGCGAAACGGGGAAATTTGGTCCACCGATCATGAAATAATTTGGCATTTGATCAACATGAACACTAAAGAACGCCTCGGGGTCATTCTTCCAATGTTCCTTCAAATCGATTGCATTCTTCCCGATCTGCTTCCAGCGCGGGATGATCGACGTATCAAACCCTGTTGCGTAGACAAGGAGGTCAAAGTCCTCCTCTTCCCTATCTGATGTGCGGATTCCAGTTTCAGTGACCCACTCAATATCTTTCCGGCACATTTCGGTATTATCGGCTGAAAAGGCTTCAAGGTACCCACTGCTAGGTGTAAGGCGGCGGCAGCCAGGTGCAAAGTCAGGGATGATTCTAGCTGCAATCGAAGGATCTAGAGCCTTCAACTTCTCTTGCATCTGCTTCAATGTCTCTTATTTGAGGAAATGCTGGAGGGGGTGATCCTTGAGTGTTGCGTAAGCACCGCCATTGACACTAAAGTCCAGGTGTCAGAGATGCATGCATAAGTTACTAATGGGTTTCAATCTTCGTGATAGTGAAAACTGGACCTATACATACTGATTTTCAAGCTCTTTTCGGAATTCAAAGAATGCTTTTGGGTCATTTTTGAACCGTTCTTGGGCCTCGGGCGTGTATGCAAAGTTATCCCCATTTTTGGTCATTTCGGCATTGATATTAGGGGTGAGCAGAAGGCTTTGTGGTCACAGGCTGGGTTCAAGATAAGCACAGGCAAGTAAAGTCCACTCTAAAACATTTGCATGCAATAGCTAATCCGAGCTTCTGTCAATAGGCACCTTCTGACCAAGCTCAATACACTTAGGGACCAAGGCTCAACCGCTCAACCGCTCAACCAATCAAGTTCACCCCTAGAATACCTACTTCATTGTTGTCAGATTTCTTGCTTTTTGCAGTTTTACCTTCTGCCATCGTTTTCCTTCTTCTTGCGCTCGTACTGTTGATGGCTGTTGATCTTATGGGATGTTTTCAGTCAGAGTTTGAATGCATATCGAATAACTAAATACTTGAAATAAGATCATTCAACTGTGAATGAAACAAGTTTGTATCATAAATTTGAGTCATCTATGGATGTGAACTGCAAGTAATGCTCCTCAGCAGAATATGAGAAAGGGTGTTTGGAATAATAATTACATAACCACAGCACTTAAAACAACAGTGATTGCGAAGGCTAGATAACATGTGATTCATTCATGATTTGCAGGTGGAAGCATAGCCAGCAACCGTGCCTCCACACCAGCTGTGAAAAATCGCTCGTCATCCCTCGAAACTGAGCACTCGCAAGATTCATACTCCCCTTTGAGTATAGAGTCTCGGATCTTCTTTGAATGAATCCTAAAAGGCTCCGTAGTATAGCCGACTCCCGCAATCACATCAAAATGGTACTGTTGATGCTCCACCTTCAAGTAATCTGCAAACTCTCTGAGTTTTAAAATTGGAACATAGTCATAAAGATAGCCCAAAAAGCAGCTTATGTGGCCGCGGAAAAAATGGTGCGCATCTGAAGTATCCAGCCATTTTCTGATGAAGGAATCTAGAAGTTGATGTACTGGTGGAATAAAGGGCCATCTGGCAGTTGTCTGGGGCTGCCAGCTTTTCTGTGTGGCAATGTCTGGAAGCTTGATATCCCAGTCAGAGGCTGCAGTAAGAGCAACCACAGAATCAAAGAGGCCCACACTCTTACATTGTGGTTCGACAAGATAGCAAGTGGCCTCCTCAATATCGATATACCGCGCTTCAAAGTCAGGAGGTGGAGGGTGCCAGCCTCTTTCAATAAGTGCATCTGCTGCTTCCTTGACATCATCCACAACAATGTGTATGTCAAAGACACCAGTGGGCACTCCATAGTATGCTAAAGCATCTTCAGCCCAGAGGTAGCATGATATGCTACTTTCCTTGAGTAGGCGGCACGCTGAATATCGCTCAATAGACCATGGGTCATCACAAGTTTGTTTTGCATATCGTTCAAGGAGCCAGCCCTCAATGGGTGTGACTTCATTATAGGTGGGCGACATCGGTGGGTTATCAGAGAGCTTGGTATTTGTAATCACGTAGCGTCAACGCGAATGGTGGGAATGATCAGAGCATCAAGGGCACTGCGTCGCCATGCTAGCAGCGAAGAGAAATGTAGCAAGCACGAGCAGTCAACGTAGAATGAAGGCCAAACTCGCGGGCCCCACGGTGAGATTCGACTGGCGTGCCACAGCGGTAAGACGGTGGTGGGAGGTGCTAATGGAGGATTGGGACCGGGTGAGTACGGGGTGAGCGCAGGCCTCAGGCGGATTTAGGTGAGGTAAGGCAGGGTGAGTGCCACGGCGACGGAGGAGAAGGAGAAGGAAAAATACAAACAATCGAGCGAACGAGTGAAACAGCGAGGGAGGTCTGGTATTTATGGGCGTGGGTCGCGGGGAAAAGCGGCGAGGGGCGCTAGACCGGATCGGGGCCAGCTGTAATTGGATCTGGGAAGGGTGTTGGAGATAATGGAGGAATCGCGTGGTGGTAAGGTCTCTCATTGTTGGTGTTTCTATATACGTGTCCCCAAAGGGGTTTATATAGCTGAGCCGGTGAGGCGAGGCTAGGCCCAAAATAGTTTGGCTTGGGCGCCCCATCATGTAATCACCTCTGACCAATAAGAACTCTGCAAATACTGGCAGAATCCAACAAAGGGCCGTTTCCCGAAGGGGCGACAGTGAAAGATGAATAACATTATATATTATTTCCTGACCGGTTTGGGCATGTTCGCATGGTATGTCCCAGGATTCCATATATACTACACTGTCGTGCAGCACGCTTTCGTGGTGGTTGATCAGTAGTCTCAACTACTACTCTTTCCGCTTCATTGTTCCTTTGTACACGATCTATTCCCTCTTTAATACTCAAAACACCCTCCTGAGCTATGTATGTACGAGCTCTTCCTTGCTTTCTCTTTTGATTCTCATTTGCAGCCCTCAATTCCTTGTTTTCCTTTGCCAGAATTGCCACACTGTGCATGGCCATTTGACATGCCTTGGCTATCTGATCTAGAGCCTGATTTGTTGGACTGGGTGGACTCTTCGTACGATGTCTGATATATTTCTTAATGGTTTCGGTCTGGCGCTCCAGCTGGGTGACATTTTTGGGTGTCTACAGTACCCAGGAGGCCTGTGAGCCGTGTGAAGACCCAGATGGGGTGGGGGTATGCATCTGAGTATTGAGGTGTGAAAGAACCTGCTCTGGATCGTAGCTCTCTTCTTTCTTCTTCTTACACTTCTTCTTTCCACATCTCTCTTCGGTGACGGTATTAGTATATTTTAAACCTGCCTTGCCTTAATGATCTATGCTGACAGCCAAAAGCATGTCCAGTCCTCGACATAACTGCATGTACGGATGACCAGGGCCTTGCAGAAGATTCCGACAGCGAGATATAAATGATCAACATATCGCCAAAAAGACTGTTTAAGGGGCATGCTGAGCCAAAGTCACCTTCGGCCTCTCCCAAGAAGTCCAATTCCAACTCATCTCTTTCCAGGGCCGCGAAGGAACTGTCCATCGCTTCACATTGAAAGCATTGGCAGAGATCAAGATTCGCTCCAATACAGTGGGAGTGCCAAATCAGCTTTACCCCGGCACGATTGATAACCTTAACAAGAGAAACGTTAAGCACTGGGGCAAGCTGACAGCTACTTTTATCAAGGCCTTGCATCGTCTAGTGCAGGATATCCTTCTAAGAGTATTGGCGAAGCGAACATGGGCAGCCATTTACAATGGCACAGACACAGCATCAGACTCTCATGAAACAGGCATTAGAGACACTAATGGCTTGATGATTCAGCGCACGTGCTACTGTCTAGTTGAAAGTCCGGGGCTATGACATAACGGACGAGAAGTTGATCTCAGACAAAAAGAAGAAAATGTCCCAGGAAGAACTTGGTGCAGATCGTTATGAGGCCTTAAGGCACTGGATATATGTCTGTTCCGGCTCGGGGACTACACAGGCCAGAAAACGCTCTTCATAGATCTATGGAGGTGTATGTGAAGGGGATAGAACGAAATTAGTTTCACAAATTCATTCTTCAACTACTTCTTATCTCTATATTATTTTGTGGGATACCAGACCAACCCGAAGCAAGACTCTTGCTCTTGGTACTTTTCCTTTTCGACAATGCCAGCTAGGCTAGGCCGGATATGGGCAGAAGGCGCGCGCGCGTCTGCGCCGCCTTCGCCTTCTTCACATTTACCTGGTTCTCATCAATATGAGTAAGATCCCTAAAAAGCTATGCGCTCCTCCTCCAAGGAAGCCGGTATATCCTTGTCGTTTTGATTTCCGAACCTGAGAGTTGCATAGACGTCTGAGGTCTCCAAGTAGGCCAGTGTAGACCTGGATTCAGGCCCAAGTTCCGGTTCCGACTGCCATTTCCTTTTCCGAGTCACGCAGTTCGAACGCGGTTCTTCAATTGAGTGTGCGTCAAAGAAGTGGCGACGAAGATTCGTAATGTCCCTATAGTCTTTTCTCTGACAACAAGGATGTGGACAGAAGATATCTGTTGAAACTCTTAAAGCGTCAAGATGTTTGTCAATGTGATTCAGAAGCGTTGCCTTAGTCAGCCACTGTTGAAATCTCTCGTCCGGTTTCTTGTCTTCATCGCCTAGGCAAAATGGACAAAAGCCAGGGGCAACAAGCGTATAACGGAATGTCAACATGCCACATCGAGGGTGAAGATTATCAAGGTGGCTTTGGCAGTGGCCAATCCAGGCTTGCTCATCACAGTACCACAGTACATTTCCGCACAGAGATAGCAGAACTGCACAAAATCCCGTTGAACGCGCCTATGGGCGCGCTTCTCATTCCTATAGCGTTGCTGGTATTGTGGGCCACCTAGGGATCGTCTTCGACACTGCAAGATATGTTTTGCCCTCCCTTGAAATGGTATTCTACTTTCGTTAGTCCGAATCTACAATAAGCGATAGAGGATACGTACTGTGACATAAGCTTGGAACATATTGGGCATTGATTTTCCTCAGGTAAAAGTCCGGGATAGTAAACGACGCGTTCCGTGGATGTACAAAGCGCGACCATATCCTCTAGGCATTGTTGGCCGATAACACTATCCAATGAGGTTTCCGTGAAAAGGGATTCTCTGAGACAAGCGCGTTCTGGTAGATACTTCTTGTATATGTTGAATAGAGGGGTCCTATCACGTTCCGTGAATTCGTTTCCGGAGATGTATTCGTCGTAAGCAGAATGCCACCAATCTTGTATGAATTCCTTCTTCCAAGCTTCTAGGCATTTCGCTTTTCTGCTGTAGAGCTGTGCGCGTTCAACAGTTAGTTGCTCATGGAGCTGGGGCTTCCCAGCAATTTCTGAAGTCAGAGAAGCAATTCTCTGGTTCATGGCCTTGATCTCATCTCTCTTCAAATGCTGTAATAGCAACCGCGTCCAATCTCTGGGGAGCATTAGGATCTCTGTGGTGAGCCATGCTCTGCTCCATGTTACGACACTCATAATCAGGTTCCAAGTCATAGAATAAGGCCTGAATATCTAAAGACTTGAGCACAGATTGGTATTTAATATACGTGTCATGGCTTTGATGGTCAAGAGCCTGGCCACGGGTCGCTTCCGACGCCTTGGCTAAATGAGATCAGCTTGGATTCTGTAAGACTCAAAATGACTTACGGTCAATGCAGTTTGCAACACCAGCACACATTCCGTGTACGTGCAGTCGGTCCTTGAAGCATTCGCGCTGAGCCAGACTCGCAAAATTGTAGCGCATAGAGGAGAAGGACAATGCTTTATTTTGCTGGGGTCCTTCCGGAGTTACCATCCTAAAGAAAGGAAGACCCTTTTTATTGCTGTTCCATTCAAGCGTATATGATTCTCTCCCCTTCGGAGGTCTCACGGCGAGCACGTCGGTCACCGTACTGAGCCCCCTGAAAGCGCCGTCAGCTACACCATGCACTATCACCCAAAAAACAAAGCTCATTCCGAGAATTGAATGTTCTCTGAACCAGTTCTTTGGTCTTTTATCCTTCGAATTAGCGTGCAAACTTCGTTGCGGCTTATCTGCAGACTCACAAGTCTTTATCGTCACGGTTGCGCCATCCTTCCAAAAACTCAGGATCAATCGTCACCCAGCGTTTTAATTGACTCTTAGTGCTGCGTTTTATATTGAAAGTAAGATGCTGTCGGTCTCCTATTAGCTTGACCGGTCACTAGGGCGGGAAGAGGAGGAGATTTGGGATGAAACCAACCCTATAATATAGACATTCATTAGAATCACGATAAGCGCTTGACTCCACCACAGCACCCGCCCTAGCACCCGAGCCAGCAAATAGTGCAAGAGTACTTCCAGTTTGTACCCGTGCTCTCTCGTGCTTGTAATCGTGCCAATCACCGCCGAAAAGGCCACGAAGAAGGTAGTCAATGTCCTTTGCTGTGACCATGAAGCGCTCTCGTGGCTTCGTGGTAAGTTGGTATTTGACTGTCAGGTCCTGCCTAATATACTTCAACTTGTTAGACAATGCCGACGAGATCTAGGTAGACTTACATTCAGAACATCATCCTTGACGTGTTTCGGTAGAGATCGATAAGTCTCTCGCTCCCATCTCGAAGTGAAGTTAATGAAATTCTGACACGCAGACTTCTGCGTGGGTAGATTTTTTCTTGTTGCAATGTAGTCTTCAGCAAACGATTTCAGAAGTTGTGGGGTGGGATCAGGTTCATTTTTTGAAAAATTAGCATTGGTCGCTTCTTTACGGGAAAGCCTCCATCTACTAAAGTGAGTGTCATGATATATACTTATGGATAGTATAACTTACAATGCCCAGTTTGTTGCTGTATCCTCATATTTCTCTAGAGTTGCCGGGGCGAGCTGTTTGAGGCATATAGAGTTGTCTTCGTATTCCCGCTCATTCTGATAGTCGTGGGTGAAACCACGTGACGCAGCACGTGCAATTCTTTCATCAAGTTTCTTCTGGTAGTCCTTTGGGAGCATCTTCTTTCGAATGGCCGAGAGTTAAGAGAATAAGAACAGCAAACAAGACTTGCGCCTAGGACTCATATTTATGGCCCGGACTCAAGTGAAAGTGGGAGAGTGGGTGACCAGGGTGAGAATCCTCGCCCTATTCTCACCCGCTCTCACCCCGTTCTCACCTCTATCACCCCAGTCTCCAAAGTTCTCACCCCTATCACCCACACTCACTTTAAGATCAAATCCGACGCCATTTTAGGGCTCAGGGCGCATTTAGAATTGACCGCGTACTATAATGGGCTTAAGTACGGCTGAGCGGACGGGAAGCCCTGTTTTCCACACCCTATGGTCGTATGTACTCAATCAGATACCAATAAAATATATGACATGAAATTGGATGAGCTGAAGTGTAAGAGCCTAAGAGGAGGGCTGTGGGTTATCCCAGCAGGTATTGATTCGAATCAGCCATAATATTGAAGAAATGATTCATGGGATCCATCCAAGTTTTTCAATGAATTTCTTAATAACATAACTATTTTGGAGCCACGGCCTTGCACGGGAACTCACGGCGTTCGGGGTTCTAGGTAGGTGCTTATGACTTGTTGGTCTTTGGCAAAGTGCTTTCCCGTGATGAAGTGATCCTAGAAGTGATATATATAGACGCAATAATCCTTACTGCGTATCTAACACCTAGCCCAGTGTAGGTAATAAGGTAATCCTAGGTTAACGTAAACAACTAATCCTATGATCGGAACGGGTATCATCGCAGCTACCTTTCAATGTTATGGCCATGGTCGCATCGTCCCGGGGTTTCTACGGACACAACATTCTGCATTCTGCATTATCGAATGTCGAAGAAAGTCTAGATTGGCAGTTTTACACTCCATTCTATAACAAATCCGCTGTCTGCTGATACTAACTGTTCACAGATCTCATCGCCTACCTACCTCCCTTTGGTAGGTACTGAGGCCAAGGGAATTCCTACGGCCAGGTAGGGCTGCTCCCGAGGTCGAGGTAGGTACGAACCTTCGCGGTGGATAGAAGTATCACCGAGGCATCCGATACTACGGGGTAACTGCCATAATTACAGGTTATTTTTTGGCGATTTCCCCCTAATTGATAATAAAGTGATTACTAACGTCTTGGGAGAATCAGGAGTATTGTGGAATGAGCGAGGTCTTACATCATAAGCCAACTTGGTATTGACATCACTTCTGTATTGGACAAGGAACAAATACTTAAGCAGAACAGAACAATTGTCTGTCCCCCCCAAAGATTTACTCACAGAATCACCCTCCGCGATTTATTCAAGTTATCTCGATATCACCATCAACGCGATGCCTATTGTCCGTGCAATGTCACGTCTTACTGTTCGAAACACACCTTGTATGATCGTTGCGTTGGTTATTGGGAAGGCTCTGGCTAATACCATATCTAGGCAAATACCCATTGGCGCCGTTCTATGCCAGAGTCGCCCCATATTCATCTAAAGTGAGCAACCCGGTCGCCAGCTCGCCGGAATCTCAGGACATCAACAAAGCCCGAGGCCTAGAAGGTCGGCACTCCGACACCGCCGATACGCGCTCTACTCAGTCCCCAATTTCCTCCTCGAACAAGACAGAATTGGGCAGCGAAGCTCACGAAGGAGAAGAACAAACATCCACCGATGCACTGATCAAGAATGACCCTAGCAAGTCCCCAGAGGCTAAGAGGGAGAATGTAAAGAAGGCTGGGCAGAAGCCTATGGGGCCTGAGGATCGCTGATAGGCTTTTTTGGTGCTTGGTTGAACGCGGTAGTGCGCGATAAAGTGTTAAGAGATTCACTAGTTCTATAGCAGTCTGACGAATATTGATGCCGTTGTTTGAGATTGTAAATCAACAAGTACAAGTACGAAGTTATTAGTAACGTATATCCTGGCGAATGTGATACAAAGCTTTTACTGGAGTGAGCAGAGTCCTATTCATGAGAATGTCAAGGTTAGAGAAGGGAAAAGGAGGGAGAGGGAGAGAGAATGGCAATAATCTCCCAGGTATTCACATGAGCGTCCCTCCTTCAGCAAGTCACGCGACACCAATACCTTCTGTCAAAAAGACCCAACACATGCTCCCAGTTACCTGATTCCTTTTTGCGAAAAAGAATGGTTGATCAACGAAAGATTTCCAGCCAGAATCAAGTCAAGCACATCCGCGCCAACTGGCAAGTTAGCCCGACGAACTGTCTTCTTGCTTTCTAACCATTCGGGCCAACTGGCAAGCTAATAGCCAACTGCCGGCGACTCCAGACCAGTTATTCCATAATTTGTATCCTGGGTCATCCTTCACTGGGCGCGGAATGCTACTTGTCAACCAACTCGCTTTGTGGGTCGATCTGAGCTCGATTAGAGCTATTGGATATGTATGTTCACAAATATCCATGTTCTAAGGCTATTGCAGCAGTTTGTGAACTAACCTTGAAAAATTAATATCTTCCATCCAAATGCCATAGAATCAAACACGTGTCGCAGTGGCTTCCTGGGGCAATTTGTAGGAATATAGCCTTGCCAGTTGGCGGAAGATTGCCAGTTGGCGGAAGCTTGCCAGTTGACGGGAAGCTTGCTAAACGCGCTGGAACTCGGCACCCACAAGTGGATACTGACAATTGCACAGGTACTGTACACATGTCCTGTTCATCTTCTGTATATAGTTGACACTTACAGGTACCACACGCTTAAAGTGTTACCTACTTGGGTGATTTATCTCGCGCCGGGTCTAGGTTGTGGAAAAGTATGTTTACAAAAATTATTAACCTGTCCTTTCTGTTCCTTCTGTGCGCTGTTTGACATTAATTCCCCCGGGGTCTTTTCGTTGTAATTTTTGGCACCTTGTTCATTCAAGCTGCACCATTGACTCAACCTTACTCTAACAGTCTACTGCGTATGATTCCAGGCCTCATGAAATATGATTATACTCACTACGACGTCCAGTACATACGACCATAGGGTGTGGAAAACAGGGCTTCCCGTCCGCTCAGCCGTACTTAAGCCACACGCCGGTGAGTTAGTAGTTGGGTGGGTGACCACCAGCGAATCCTCACTGTTGTATGTTTTTTTGTTTATGAACCATTTGGTTTGACGTTTAAGGATGGGCTATCATTAGACAGTTGCTATTCTTCGATTAGGCGAGTACATTGTAGTAGTTCCGTCCGGTGCGCCGTCCATTTTTGACATCGAAATAGGAAGTGCTCCACGGTCTCTCTCGCTTGTCCACACGCACACTGGTCTGTGTCTGCTACGTTGATTCGATAGAGATATCCATTGAGTCTTGCCATGCCGGTTCGGAGTTGAGCCAGCACGCTCGCTTATTTCCAAGATAATCGGTCATACAGCTGCCGGGTGTCTTGCCCGACACTCAGCTAGGCGGAAAATTAGTGCTGATAGTTAGCCTTACGGCGACAGTGGATTAGGAAATGCACGTATCTCAGGCGAGGTTGTGGGGCCGAAGCCAATCATATTTAATAAAAATAGGGGATTGATATAGCGACCCCCCCCTTGGATCATTCGACCCCCCCTGCCTGAATTTGGCCTGATTTCCCGCTTACATAAAGGAATTAACTGACCGCTTCTCTCACCGCCTCTTGGTCAAGCATTGGGATTTCACAAGTACTGCACCGGTACCTACACTTACTATGTAAACTACTAGCAAAACTAAGTCACTCTGCAGTCCATAGGGAACGAACAGTTCAATACTGGTTGACCTCCAATTTATTCATCAAATCTGGATTCCAACTTGGTGTTTATCATTCTCAACTCATTTTTCATTGCATCTGTGTCCTCCAAAAGCCTCAATAACATCATGTTGGGCCTTACATCCCTCATGTCGGATTCTGATGTGGAGTTCATCACAATTAGGCGGGCAGAATATAAAGATGCCTTACGGTTAGGGGGAAATCAGGCCAAATTCAGGCAGGAGGGGGGGGGTCGCTATATCAATCCCCTAAAAATAAACACCGTCCTTTTACTGATGGAGATGGTGTTCAACTAGGAAGCTGCCTGCTATGGAGGGTTTTGGACTTCAATGCATTAATTTAATTGATTTAGTCACACTGTTCCTCTGTTGCTCGCGCGAATGTTCAACGGGTGTAATACCCCTTGGGGGGTACCTTGGGAATTTGATTTATTCGATTTAATTTGATGTCTTCGATCACATTTAAGGCATAATGCGATTACTTTCCGATAAAAAACAGATCAACTGACTCTATTAGATGTCATTCAAAAGACAACTATGTTAACGCTTCAACCCATCATTTGATGGAACTGCCGAACTGGGATCAACCACGAGTTTGAGTCATTCCGCTAGCAAACGCTCGCAGAAATCAGGCGCTTGTCTGTTTTGACTGAAGAAAAGGATGCCCCGCCAGTTCGCCTGCTGCTTTTCTCGCATCTGGATGCCAGACAAGCATTCCCTTGGCGAGATCCAGAAACGCTTCCCTCTCCTCTCCCTCAAGGAAGGAAACTGTGTCGTGTAGTTTCCGGTCAGGGATCAGGTCTTCGTAAAGAAAGCGACCTAAGATGTTTCGTGAGTCTGAGAATAATTCGTTCAAGATAGGAAATCTAGTGATACCATTATTGTCAAAGAATGGCCCGCAGAAGTACTCCTCCGCAGTCTCGCATACTCTGTCGTCTTCTCGTCTGACAGGTTCCGGCCACGAGTACTCTCGCATATATTGATACCTTTGTACGACCTCTGGAGGGGGTGGACCGAGTAAAGCTATCATTTCGGCGAGGTGTAGTTTAGCATCGTAGCGATCCTGTTGATCATAAATATGCCGAAATAGCTCTTTTCCTTCGATCATATCCCACAACTGGTCCGGCATTAGTGGGTATAACAACCTTAAAGAAAAGCGGACGTACTAGAACACCAAGATTCCAAATATCCGCAGGCATTTGCCATCCATTACCCAATATCACCTCTGGCGCCCGATAGTGGTCTGGCTGAATAGGCCAGATGCCCCAGTCGTCGTCTTCCTCCAGTCTGGTTGCTAAGCCAAAGTCGACAAGCTGTGGTATACTTCCTAGGCTTTTAAGTGGCCCGAAGTCATTACGGGACTGATACACTGGTCGTCCCGTCGAATCAATCTTGAAAGCCATCGGTTTTTTGAGCTCAGAATTCATGGAATCAGCCAGCACGGTAGGATCCTCGAATGAGACCATGATGTTTTCTAGCTTTAGATCTAGGCCGCCGCCCAGGCTTAGTATCACCGACCGAACGTAAGGCCGAGGATGAACTTACCCGTATAAACTATCCTGCATTCTTTATGAAGATAATCAAGCCCCGTAAGAAGAGCACGAATGTATGTTTTAATGAGGGGTAGTGGCATCTTCCTATCGTCAAAGCGCCGCTGATACATGGACAATGGCTCCCTCATAGGCGGATACACAAGACACGAATAAGAGCCTTCTGGACCTTTAACTTGAAAAGAGTCAAATGATGTTCGGATAAGTTAGCGGCCGCGGTGTGATGGGTCTGCGGTGGAAATGTGCTCTTCAACCCCGCGCTCATGACCAGCGGAACTCGCATTGTTATTGGCGATTTTCAGTGCCACGACGCTCTCTGGCTTTTCGATATGCCTATATGTTTGTTAGAGACAGAGAGATCTTCGAATTGAACAGAAATTATTGAAGGCTACCCTTGCAAATCACGCGCGAGCCATACTGTTGAAGACACGCCCCAGCCAACCTTGACTAGGGTTTGGTATCGATTGGCGAGTACCTCTCCAGGCTTCGCTGGGTAGAAGTACTTGGAGTCGTACACTGGCGAGATCTCTTCATCAACGAGTATGCCGGGCGGTAAAGGTGGCCCCGAAGAAGGCATGGGAAACGGTTTCTTGCGAAGCAAGGCGGACAAACGAGGAGTGGACGGCCTTATAGTGTTCATTCCAGAGTCACTCCTCGTAAGCTGACGGAGAATGTGATGTCAATAGTTGTCGAAGAAGAAGGAGATCAAGGACAAGGAGCCCAAGCACAGCTGGTAAACTTGATCACGTGGACGGTACTCCGAGCCTGTGGCCTTTTGCCGGGGGTGCAATGGCCTATGACGTGACGATAAAAGCGGCTTAAACCCGTATCAACCTACATGTGAGTCATGTCCTCTGCACTTCTCCCCTCCATCTGAAGCCCCTTCCTACCATTATGGACACCAACGCAATCATCGATTCCGTCCACAAGGTCGAGGGCCAGCTGTGGGTTGACAGGATAAACGACGCCTATAGAATGGGCCGTCTCTGCCAGTGGGTGTCAACCTTTCATCCGCAGAGCCTCTCTTGTCAACTCGAGGGCACTTTTCACCACGGAGCATTCAACGCTGGGATGAAATTTGTTTTCGGCGACGGTACTGCCTGGATGGTCCGCTTTCCCCGTGTGGGGATGATTTGCAACCAATTTGTGGACGAAAAGGTGGCCATGGAAGTATCAGCTCTCGGTCTTATCCAGCGCAGTACCACTATCCCAGTCCCAAAAGTTCATGCATGGGGTTTGGCTGCAACCAACCCCCTTGGTCTAGGTCCTTTTATCATAATGGACTTTATAGACGGCGTGAGTCTTATTGATATCTTTCGGGATCCTGAATCTCAACATCCGAGTCGGGTGATAAGGGAAGACATCAGCGACGACGACATTGAAAGTGTCTATAGACAGATGGCAAATTTTCTCCTCCAACTTTTCCGACTTGAGTTTGGCCAGATTGATAGCCTGCCCCCGCCACAGGGTCAATCCCAAGGAAGAGGGCACATGACAAAAGAGGAGTTCATTGCGCGTGCTAGCCTCGCCTAGTTAAGGAATAGCTTTTTGAATAGAGATCAAAGGACAGGCGTGTGCAGCGATGCGTGAAGGTATACATGGAAACGTTTCCGCGCATGGGAAGCGATCATGAGCATCACCCTTTGTATTGGGCAGACTAGCGGTGGGTGATCCAAGCTCGATAGTATGAATGTGCCATGAGACATTGGTGTATATGAAGAATATCATCGCACGTCCATTGTTCGTTCAGTCATGTGTATGGATATCCGTGGTGCCTGTTGATTTTTTGCGTCGCTCCAGGAGGAACGAGTTGCCATCGGCAAGTTGAGTCTGTAGCCCTTTACCCTGAAATGACATCTGCCCTAACCCTTCAGTACTATTTAGATAGCAGCTGTAATATCTTTCACCACTGCCCAAGGACCTGGTCCAATATCTTCCAAAGTTTCTCCGGGACTGAGTGTCGTCGTCGGCGTTGTAGGGAAAACAACCTGAGTATTGCGTCATCTAGCGCAACCTAAATCAGTTCTGACCCGCATTATCTTCTTTTCGTAGGCTTGTACTCACATGATCGCCGTTGGCCTCTGGTTAGTGATTCTCTAGGATTGAACTGCCGGAGCAGTTGGCAAGCCTGAAGATCCGGAGCTCTCAGATTTAGGGAGGGTGGCAAGTTGGGAATGCCAGGCATATGCGCCAGTCGTTGACATCCTACAGCCTGAGCGTTCTTGCGGCGATATCTTGCAGATATCGAACGCCGCCGGTAGATACCTTTTAGTAGTTGATTATGTTTTCCACGTAGCGACTCGGGCCCGCGTGCAATACCAGTAAAATCTGAGAACTCCGGATCTTCAGGCTCGCCAACTGCTCCGGCAGTTCAATCCTAAAGAATCACAACGGTATCTTATCGACTTCTTCTCCCACGATAAGTGCTGGTGTCGGGATAGTCAGTTCGGAAGTTTTTGCTCTTCCAATGGTGACCACGGGATGTAGTTAGCTTTGGACATGATGAGAGCGAGAGGAGAGACGAGCAGGCTGCGATGGAAGGATGCTGATAATTGCGTGATGAGATCAACAAGGAAAGGACAGGGATTTATGTAATTGTTGAACGGCTTGAACTCCTCCTCAAGGGGCACGGGAGGGGACACGGGGTTTAAGACGGTTGGTCTCAGCTTGGATAGGATGTTTTTCGTCTCCGTCGAAATTACACGATTCTACTCGACCACTGCCACGGGGGTTGGCTGTTTGACTGTGTAGTTCGAAATTAGTCTACAAGCCACCAACTCTCCTACGAGTGCTATAATTGCCTGTTCAATAATCAGTTTATGTTGGGGCGTTGGGGCACGGAATTATCCTAGCTCCCAGTAGGGCCGGGAAAGCTGATTTGAACGAAAGTAGCACCGGACATTGTAACATGTCCGGATAGAACAACCAGTCTTGCTTTGCCTAATCGGGCAAAAAGACCATCTCTAACTCTCGTCATCCCTTTCTGTACCGTCCAGCTAGTGACTAGCAGCCTTTATCGGCTAAAGATCGCGATATAGGAGATCGATCCTTGCTTAGTGACTGAGGCACGTCGCGATTGGCCCCAATGTGCCCCAACCGTAACTTATGTGCCTATCTCTTACTGTAGGTAGCTGCGCACTTCTTGCCTCTCAACATTAACTTTGTGATCCGAACGGTATTCATCTATACGGTCACGGTGAAGTCTTGTTATCTCTCGCCTGTCCCCTCCGCAAGTTTGGGGCTCACTCGGTGATTGATGCTACTAAACGGGCCCTCAGCGACCAGGGTGAGACACAGTTCTGTTAACCAACTGAGGCTACCGCTTTGGCGCTGTTGGTGATGGAGTTGCAGCTTCCGGGGTAAGTAGAACCTCTGATCGACATTTCCAGGGGTAATTGAGTAGTCCCTGAGATGAAGCAACGGATTATACACCTCTTGTACAGCCAGACCCTGCTAGGACTAGCGGTTAATCCACAATAGCCAGGTCGACGGAAAGTGCGTGACGTCTGCTATAGCTCAAATATACCGAGAGTAATTTCTCGACTTCCCAATCAGGGGTGTATGGAAATGAAAGCGCATCACCCAATAATAAAAATCTGCTCTTGCTTCCATTCTTAAGCTAAATACGACCAATTAAGACGTACCTCTGTACCCACTCTACTCATTCGCTTCCGCCGAGTCTCCGCCAGGTGATCGCGCTAACTCCATGGAACACAGTCAAATATATGTAAAGGGGTACTAAAACGATGTTTGCCGGGGTCTGGATCTCTGGCGAATCCTTGATCACGAAAGGGCGCGGAATGGAGCAGGGATTGCTCTGGTTCCAGCTTTTGTCACAAGCCTGCTTTGTCCTCGAAATCAAGCTTTCGCTTGCTTGATTTTCCACGTGCGGAGCAATTAACTCGCAGTGATAAGCCGTTGGAATGCGGAAAGAGCAAAAAACAATCCATTTGGCCATGTTTAGGACACACATAATCTCATATCGTAATGTGACTAGATCTGGTATACAAGGAATGTTGAATAGCCAAACAAAAGCGCGCGCTAGGAGTCGTCCCCCTGACCGTAGGTCACGGGAGTAACAAGTGACCGTCACTTAGACTCCTTAGCGATTAGTCTGAATACAGGAATACCCCTTAGGATTTCTTCACTCTAGTTCTAGACCCCTCATTTGGACCCGCCAGTACGCCGGTCCTAACAAGTAAGCGCCCGCTTGCAACGCAAACTGTTTCAGCCTCTAGCTGAGCCTCGGCCCTCGACTATAGCCATGTAGAGCGCGAATTATATCCTATCGTTTTCGAGTTCTTCCGGTCTCCTGAAACCTGAAAAACATGGAGATGGATGGCGGGGAAGGCGGCAATGCAACCGATGTAGTAGGTCAAAGGGGTGTTAGTAGATACGCAAGAACAGCCGTAATACACCTCTGATTCGGAGGCGTCCTCAAAAAACTAAACAATCTTATCCCGCATAAAGGAGGGAACGCGGCGCGGTGGTCGCAACAACGTACAGCCTCTGGACGAAGAGAAGGGACACTCAATCCTAGACGGATCAAGCACCAACTTTCCCTAGACGAGAAAGTGGACGTCGGGCCCTAGACGACCTCGATACGGTCTCTTCCCTGAACAGGAGGGCACGAAAAAATAGTGGAAGAAGGAGGGGACGCGACGCGGTGGTGAGACATAAACATAGCCCAAAGATTTGCTGCGACTTCCATCCCTGGCCCCTCATGGGCAACCCAGTTTGGGTTTCGTTGAGCCCAGAGGCATTTACTACCATAGCATGTCTATATAATTAGTATTCAATCATACTCCTAGTACATACGACCATAGGGTGTGGAAAACAGGGCTTCCCGTCCGCTCAGCCGTACTTAAGCCACACGCCGGTGAGTTAGTAGTTGGGTGGGTGACCACCAGCGAATCCTCACTGTTGTATGTTTTTTTTTGTTTCTGAACCATTTTGTTTGACGGTTAAGGATGGGCTATCATTAGACAGTTGCTATTATTCTTTGATTAGGCGAGTATAAGAGCCTCTGAAGTTCCTCTTGGTTCTTTAGAGCAGCCCCCTAGAGCGGGAGGGCTATCCCGTGGTAAGGCCTTGATTTGTCTACCGTATTTAGAGCATTTGTTCTTTGGGTTCAGAGTATAGAAGAATTCGAGTTGTTTCTCAGCCCTTCCCGAAACTGTATTGGATCATATCTGGTTTAGCTGTGAATAATCCTTTCGAAACGCCATAATCCACTCCCTAAAATTTCATACGAACAACTTATGAACCAACAGCCTCATGACCCAATTCTCGCAACCAGCCTCCTTCTCAACATGCTCGAGGTCATTGTTGATACGCATCTGCAGCTTTTTCATAGCTTGGAGGGTATATTCCATACTCCCCGCTTCATGCAAATGACTCAGAATCATTTTCTTATGAGGGACAGAAAGGGAACCAGAGGCCTTTCCTTCTCGGATTATACCGCGCATGACAAGGTCTGGCGGTGTGCAATGCCAGGCGTGAACAATCGGGAAAGAAAATTTCCCTTCGTCGAGGTCTTCACAGAAACCTTTTCCTTCCGTGTACTATAAGTCATGAAGATTGTCAGTCGAGCAAGGATAGCTGCCAAGATAGATCGATAGACATACCACGTCGTCAATCAAATTCATATAATCATCACGAATCTGGAAGTATTGGCCAAGCAAAGAAACACAATCAAGGGATATGGCTCTGTATTGTTGTCAGTTCCTTGTATGAATTTGTCTCCGGATTGGACTGGAGTTGGGTACCTGAGATGCAGCGACTGGGTACATTGCTTCATCAGCCGCGCGAGCAAATTAAACAGGCCACCAGTCTCTGCAGAGATAACATTAGATAACCCTCTTGGGTAGACATATTTCGACAAAAGCAGAAAACTTACTCTGGCTGACCATCTCAAGATATTCTTCCTCAGTGGGACATTCGCCCTGTTGTGTCCAGTACAAGTCAAAGCTCTGGCCAACGAACAGATTGCGAAGCTCCTCTATGACTATATCCATGCATTGAGGGGTTTGAAGCTCCTGCACATCACCCATCACGTCAATCAAGATCCAGTTTGCAGAGTTTATAGTGGAAGCCGGGCCGAATACTGTGTGAGTGGCTGGCTTGCCACGGCGAAGCGGTGAGGAATCCTCGATATCATCCAGCCTGCAGAATTTAGCACCATATATGACACCAGTCACCTCACTTGGACTTACATCAGTGAGCAAGTATGTAGTTTCTGTGATATTAATTTAATAGTTTGGACAGAGCTGTCGGGAAGAGCTAGCCAGACATTCAAGGCATCAATGAAGGCCTCACGGAACCCCTTCGAAGGGAGAGAGCTGATGTATTCGTAAGGGGCAAGCAGATGCTAGAAGAATCACGGAATCAGCATATACAGAAGGTATCTTGTTTAGAAAGGGTGACAGACCTCAGACCCAAGCTGAGCACGGCTTTGTGTCTTCGGCTCGTCGGTCGAATCGTCCCTTGAATTTACCGAGGATCTGCTCGACGGGACTGGGTTGCTTGTTCCCACAATTGATGAACAGCTGATGCTAGATTTTGTAACGGAATCTTCATCGTCGGATAGCTCTTGCTTTGCAGGTGGAAGACGCTGGTCTTGGCTATTTTGAATATGGTCTTGTTCATTACCGGGACGGAGTAAAGTTGACGCTTCAGAGCATAATTCAGGGTGGTAACGAGGGCATCGAAGGCTCCAGACAATGTTTCCTGGAATCTGGAAGGCCAAAGCCCCCAGGTAATCGCGCAAGTGGGGGCGGCAGCGCTTTGTGTCGGCTATAAAAGCATTCGCAGATTGTTGGAAATTCTTTTCGTAGCCGCGAACAACTTGTACGACTTTTGCCTTTGCCTCGTCAATGGAAAGATTGTTCCACTTCATATATAGCCACACGGCGTTGGTCATACTATGCGACCCCTCTGTCCTTTGACTTTCTTTGAACTCTTTATACTCAATGTCAAAGGAGTAATAGTCGTTAGCTAGCCCCTGAGCCTCGAAGACAGGTCTAACTATAGGAGCAAGCATTTCTTCCTCGTCGGAGGTCAAGAGGATTCCCATGCCGAACCGCATCAACGTATCCACAAAACTAATGCGAGCATTAGCATTCCATTGCAATATATCCATGTTCCACAGCTTTTTCAAACACAACTTACGGCCCCCCGGTGTCAACAATTCGATATTCGACATAGTCTTCTATATTATCGAAGATGCAGGACTTGTCTCGAGAAGCAGTCGCCGCAACCATTTTCTTCCAAGCTTCAATGAGAACTTCTGCACAAGTCTTGTCAATATATAAAAGCTCCAGTAGCATCTTTGACTGTATTTGCTTTGTGCCGATTGCTGATCGTACATTGCAGTACTCGGTATCACTCAGGACAAGGTTATCGGTGCCTGCATCCAACTGGATTGGTCTCAGATCACGGTACTTTCTTTCTTGCGGGGTGCAGCTCTGCTTACAAGGGCCTTTGATACTGATTCTAGGACATTGTCGTAGAGAAAGGCATCTATAAAGTCGATACAACAGTCAGCTCTCCTCTTTCACGGGAACTAATGGTAAGAAGACCAGGAATCATTCCCATACATTCAAGAATATACGAGGCGAGTTCAAGTCTCTCTGGCTTGCAAAGCGGCAGCACTACGGATGCGAAGTGCCCTTCGTAGGGATTGCAACCCCCCAACGTTCAATCGGGCCGATATATTTTGTCCAATCTGCCCGACAGCGAAAGGATCCCTCGTTCGCTCCCTGCTCATGCTTGTGCCGCCGCAGGGTGTAATCATGACACAGACCATCTATATCAGGTGTTTGTCGTTCCACCACATATGATGTCTCATCATTTTGTTGGTGATTGTCAAAATCCATTGAGTTCGGCTTTGCTGATGCGGATGGCAGCTTTGCTCAGTACACTCCAAAACTGTTTTGCCCTTCTTTCGACGTCTCAGCAGCCTTAATAAAACCTCTAGGAAGCGGAGCAGTGATCGAAAACCATGACTTCATCAACGATGTGTTACACAGTATCCTTTTGATAGTGGGTCTTAGCTTGTTACACTGCATTTTCAAAAGCGCGCGAGATGCTCATGATATGTGAATGTAAAAACATGTGAATATATGAACATGTGAATGGTGAATGTAAAAACACTTGGGTGCAGCAAATTGATTGCGCTCAGCAATTCCCCCCCCAATGGAAGTAAACAGTTCGACTTTCCGCCTGCCTTTTACGGGATAGGCGAAGCTGAGCGTCGCAGTTAAATCCCAAGACCATCGGGCGCCGGGAGACCTCTGTCACGGCCCACGGGGTTTCCCTCTTGGGACCCTCACATCACTTAGCGCTCAGACATTGTATGATCGTCCAGCCCCGCACGTCATCGGAGACGTGGACCCCGGATGATCTCGGTTGGGGCCCCAGTTGATCATGCATGTATCTGAATCCTGAGGATTATCGGGCTTCCGTCGGACCGTCATATTAGGGCTCGGACCGTACCTCGGACCCCGCATTATCTTGTTTATCACAGCCGATCTTCAATTGACTATCATGTCATTTGGAAGGTCATCAGATTGTCTATGAGGGATTATCATATTTTATGAGGGATTATCAGATGGTATCAGGGAATTCCCTCTTCATTTTCATTGTGTTGACAAGGAGTCATACTGTTTCTTTGTTGTTAAATACTTCGACTTGGAGAGGGCCATGAGAGCTCTCCAAGAATCAGTCTCTGTTCTACTGTCGAACCTATCAAAAGTCTTCTTCTTCTTCTTTACATCTGTTTCTTCTTACCTAGTTGACAGGTCTTCTCTCCTGTAAACAGTCACCCCTAACAACCTCGTAGGAGGAATCCGGCTGTATTGTTCTTTACCCCTTTTTTCTCCTCTCTTCTTCTCTTTAACTTTTCTTCTCTCTCTATCTAGTCTTGTTGTCTTACCCAAAGGACGCAGCTGACATACAGAAATTTGCGGATAGAGAAGTTTATATAGCGGTGGTGGCTGAAAAAGAAAGGGAAATGGGTCTGACAGAGGGGTACCGTCTACCAACGACCCTACAGGATTCGAGCCGAGAATATCTGGCTATCGCTATGAGGCTGTATCAGAGAGGAATGCCTCGATGGTATGCGAAGGTTATGAAGAGGCTTTCCGAAGGAACCACATGCAGAACCTTACTCACCTCCCTGTGAACCCGAACGGGTTTGGACCATCCGGGCAGCAGATAAGACATGTCATGAGATTCGATGATACAGTCCATATGAGAGAGAACCGAGAGATTTTCTACACCAATGGCAACCTTGTCTGGACTGTTCAAGGTCTTTCAGCACGTTTTGAGTATCTGAATTGAAGAAGCATGGAGACCGATATAGTCATAGGCTAGGACAAGACGGAGGAGCCCAGGATCGATATCCAAGTATCCAAGGTGGACTCAGAAGCAAACGAGCAAACCCATCTGATGTCTACGGCAACTTCCTTGTGAATTACATGACACAACCGTCAGAATATGCGGTCCACCAAAACTTCGATCCCTGAAGATGACATGATTCCAGGGGAGAGAGCCCTTCAACCTACGTGAACGACGAACCATTTACTGTGTACTTTGGCACGGTTCTTCAAGAGTCTCCGTTACGTTCCATACTGCGTACATTGAATTTGCTTTTTATTTCCTTTTTGTTGTTATAACTCACGAGGTGCTGAGTGCTCACGTTTGGGTTGGCACAGACCGCGAACAAAAGATGTCAGGAGTGGCCATGGAATGCGTTCGTCAGTCGTCACCTGGTTTCGAAGGGATATATCGGGGCACAGGCCATACAGATTGTGGCTGGGTAGCGTAACAGTTTGTGGCTTAGTGGAAAGGGTGATTATTCGGGGATAGCGCCTTTGATGAGAATTCAGGTCGGAGAGATCAACCCAACAAGTGTATGCAGTCCAACTGGCCAGATATATTCGAACCGAGCGCTTTTCATGCTTATTGTGACTGGAATCTTTCAACTTAGAATCGTGAGTGACCATGCCAAATGACAGTAAATTCAGTGCTATCTTACTCTTGCATTAACAGAAAAGGTAGGGTAGCTTCTCGGAGATTCCATGCTGCAGCCCTGGAGGCATCATACGAAGCTGGGCGGGTGGGAGTCGAAGTCACACGGCACCCATGGATATAGTGTACTCAGAAAACACGAAGAACACTTCCGTCTGAGGCTGCAAAAATTTATCGAATCAGGTTACCTCGGATCTTGAAGGTGCCCTCATCGCTTCGCATCTCCTCGTTGGCGAGGATAATGGCAAAGCCGAGCTGCGAGGTGAGGTCTCGGTTGTTGGCGAAGGAGCCGTCCACAAAGACGAAGATACGGACCGCGGAGAGGTCCAAAGGAAGGAAGTGTAGGCCTCGTTCCTGGTTCTCCATTTGCCACCTTATGCGCTTGTTGAGCGCCTTCGTATCTCCCTCGGTGGGGTCCTGGTGCTGGGCAGCGCTTGACAAGTCGAAGCAGGCTTCGGGCTGGCAGATTGAGGCGATGTAGGCGCCTCGGGCGCGTTGGTCCACGTACTGTTGCTTCGTGGCAGCAACCTCTAGGCGCTTACCCTGACCCTTTTGCCGGAGGGTCAGGGTTTCTCCTTCCAGGAAGACAATGCCGCCGTTGAACATGAGCGGCTTCCCTTCCTGAACCGCAAGGCCCAACCCCGAAGCAACTTGAGAGCCTGACCAAAATGTACACCGACAACGAGATGCGCTACAGCTTGCCGCTGTACGACGTACTCGAGGCGAAGCTCTTGATCTTCCGGGACTGCGCCTTACGTATCGGAATCGCACAACCCCACTTCGCCGAGGCGCTGCCAATAATGCTCACTGGCCCGGCACTCCCGGGGAACTCCGACTTCACAGAGGTGATCGTAGTAGTACGAGAGTGCCTCACTTCACTTGCCTGGGAAATTTCATTGGCTCAATTTGTAGCATTTCATTTTGATGTTGTCATTTGTATCTCGGGCTGTACCTAGTCGGCGGGCGATATAGTTCGGAACGGTACAACTTATGTCCGAGAACTAGGGTTGAGTTGCTGTTGCCTTAGGCTTTCAATATCTCCAGACAGACTCCAGTCTAACACAAGGAGGTATCAGCGAGTCGCCAGCAAAGGAAGCGAGGGTACCTGTAAGATTTGAATGGTTTATGGTCTTCAATGATCAATAAAGGCTCCAAGGTTGGTCTCTGACGGGTATGTCGCAGCAATGTACTGTAGGTGACGAATTGGCGATATGTATGAACGATAATGAATTATCAAACCTCCTTCCTTTCATACGAGGCTACGGAGTAGACAGGATCCATTACAGGTGCAAAAAGCAGGCAAAAGAGATAGAAGCAAAAAACATACAACAGTGAGGATTCGCTGGTGGTCACCCACCCAACTACTAACTCACCGGCGTGTGGCTTATGTGCAGTCAATAGTCGGGTGGGTGTCGCCTGGGTGAGAAATGGGTGAGCGCCGCTTTACAGTCGCGCGACCGGGGGTGACAAGGGTGAGTGCGCTATAGACAGGGTGAGAATCGGGGTGAGAATCACCCAAGTCGCGCGACTACCGCACTAACCCAGAAATGACGCTCCGCTAAACTCAATCTCAATAATATTGCCCAGGTGGCTTACAGCATGTTATCTAAATTAGCGGGTGATCCAGGTGTCCAGGTGCCCAGGTGCCTGCCGAACCAAAACTGGTGCCCCCGTAAGTCGTAACTAGGTATACTCTCCCCCGCCCCGGGGCCGGAGCAATTGATGACTAAAAATTCCTTGTTCAAACTATGTAACTTTGAACCCCTAACCCCCAGCAACCAGCACATCGAAAAATGCACCTTAGGCGAAAGACCCATGACTCACAGGAAAAGAGAAAAGCGGAAAACGGAAGAAAAGAAAAGAAAAACAGAAGGAAACCGCGAGAAGCTCCACCCGAAGATGCGCGACCATTTGCGAAAATAGCTAAGGTTCCTTGTTCACACGAGGCCCCAGCCCTCAGCAACCAGATCATCAAGAACAGCACTAGTAGCAAAAGAGCCATCACTCAAATGGAAAAAGCCAGCAACACCGCCTGACTCAACCTCAACGATCGGGGCACCGCACACACCATCTGAGACAAAGCCTTCAATATTTCCGAAAATCAACTTGACCAATCTGGTATCCCATTGTGAAAATGGAATCATGGGATGGCCGACTGGACGGATTGGTCGTGATTCAATAATCCCAGTGTTCATCATGCTGAAAAGCCCGGAACTCATACCATCAATTTCGCTCCATGAGCCTTGGCCGATGTGGGCGCTTTCTAAAAGGCGAGTGGGTGGTTCAGCCTGGAAGTAGCAGGTGTTGGTGAAGCTAAAAGAGGCCGCGGGTGTAAGTTTGACGAGAGCTACGTCGAGCTCAGGTCTGGGATCGACCACCTGGCCAATCAGGTCCCCCCCGTTAACCTGGGGGTGGTAGATATCTTTCGAGGACAGAAACCCATGGTTAGCCACGGTCAGCCTTTCTTCTCCTCCGTTATTGCGAATTTTGACCCCACATGTGGTTGCGGCGGTGGTTGGTTGCGATCCTGGGCTTGGTACCTCAAATCCACTTTCGACCCTGCATCCTGGCGTCAGAGCCGATCGTCTGAGGTAGTTTGCGGTATCATGTACTGCAGGACTAAGGGAGGATGCCTTGGATGGCTGAATGATCCGAGGGCGGGTAAGACTCCGCATGGTTTTGAAGAAGGGGATATCCTGGTGGTGATAGAGTGCTGTTCTGCCTCCCACGGTACCGGGTAGTGAGGGTTCTGGGTAGCTGCGGCCATCTCTCCTGTCTCAAGCTCGAAGATTGTCCAGAACGGAAGAAAAATGGCAGCCCGTACATTAGCAAGTCGCGAAATAGCCTCAAGAACAGCTGTTCTCTGACTTTTGGTCGGGTTGACCATTCGCGGCCAGCGAACCCCCGGACACGGATTGGGAAGACGAGGGTTAGGATACGGAGCGGAAGGGATAGGTTCTTCGAACGGGCCTCCAGGAGGTACGAACAGAACTGGCATCGCTCCAAGTGTGAATGGGATTGGCTGTGGTGGAGAGGCGGTCTCGATGCGCATCAGCCATCCATTGTGGCTCAATGTTCCATCCCCGAACTTTCTCCGGATCTAGGCGGACTGCTCACGTGTAGGATGGTGGAACTTGCGGTTGACTTCGTCCCAGAGCGTAAAAGGCGCCGAGTCGTTTATGTGTCTTGCTCCCCAGGCACCGGGGCTTTCCCAGCGTTTCGGCTCGGGGTGAGAGTGAGGGAGAGTTTGCCGTAAAGGTTGGGTGTTTTCTCGGGTTCGAAGCGGAGAAATAGGAGCGTTTGTGTAAATGTCGAGGTAAGGAGAGTTTTGTTGTAGGTTGCTGATTTGTGGGGAAAGGCGGATTGGTGACGGCATTGGTGATGACATGATGTCGAGTTGTGAAGAGCACTTGAGGCAGAAAGGAATATCAACTCAGAATCTTTTTATTGAAGAGTGAAAAGGGAAGACTGGACAGAGGGCTGGACAGTGGACTGGAGTAAAGATGGAGAGAAGATGAAGAGAAGATGGAGAGAAGATGGAGAGCAGATGGAGAGCAGATGGAGAGCAGAGTCAGAGAAGCGTCAAGACTAAGTGAGCCCAAAATAAACCTTGGAAGATATATGTTTCCATGGCTTCAGCCCGATCTATACATACCATATGGGATTTTGGGTCCCGGATACGGAAAAACTATAGTAATTTTCGGTATTCCATGTACCGTAAATCAAAAACTTCTCACTTTCCAGAGTAGATTCTTCTACACAGTACTGTCCAATCTACGGGCTCTATACATTTGGGACAGTCTATTTTACAGGGGCTCAGTAATATACTCGAAGTTTGTAAATATACGGTAAATTTACGCGATAGTAAATTTTTGAAGCAGTATTCTGCGACATGCCAGTCCATAGTTGCCCGCAAGGGAATGGTAGCAGCTCCGACAGACGAACGGCGGATATGATTGATTGGGTACTATGCCATGTGAATCAGGCTTAGGAAGATGACTCGGGATCACGGGTAATGCAACAGCGTGAAGATCTGCTGCTGGACTTCTTGAGCTAGCCTGTGTCTTTCCGCAGCATGTAAATGCAAACACTGCAAACGCGGGGGATCCATGGAGTTTTGGCCTTGACACTCTTCGAACTCAACTGGCGAGAAAGATGCAAACGCTGCAAACACGACCAATGTCGCTTTTGCTGTATCGCACTCGGGGCCGAACCACAGCCGCCTCTGATTGGCCAGAGTGTCGGTCCGTGGGCGCGAAATCCGGCCCCGAAGCAGAATCCGGCCTCGCCATTGGTTGGCTTACACTATGGACGTTCAGTAAGTACGATTTTGGAAGTATATAAGTTAGACTATACCGACACCAATTTTCTTCCTGATCTGTTCAAACACAACTGGCACAAGATGAGCAATATCAGCGACAAGCATTTGAGCGCCCCCGACAGTGAGAAGGAAGCGGGAGACTTGGAGGCGGGCCCAACAACGATCAGCTCAGAGCCGTCCCTCGACGACGCCGACAGAGATTCGAACCTCATTACCTGGGATGGACCAAAGAACCCAAAGAATCCAAAAAACTGGCCTAAAGGCCTGAGATGGAAGAACACCTGGACCATCTCTCTCTTTGTCTTCATCTCGCCCGTGTCGTCTTCGATGGTGGCTCCCGCCATGAACGATCTCGCCAACTCCCTTAGGATGCGCACCGAAATTGAGATCTACTTGTCCTTGAGTATCTTTATTCTCGCCTACGCCATCGGCCCTATCTTCTTTGGTCCGGCATCAGAGCTCTACGGCCGGGTACGCTTACTTCAATTCAGCAACGTGTGGTATCTGGCCTGGAATTTGGGATGCGGTTTTGCGACGACCAAGGGCCAGCTTTTCGCTTTTCGGTTCTTGGCTAGCATTGGTGGTAGTGCACCGCTAGCCATTGGAGGTGGAGCTATAAGGTGAGAGAAGACCTAGAATCATAAACGAGAATACGTGCTGACCGGACTGAAAGCGATATGTGGACGGCGGAGGAGCGTGGTAAGGTCATGGGTGTTTATACTCTAGGACCACTTCTGGGACCCGTGGCTGGTCCAATTGCGGGCGGGTTCATCGCCGAGTATTCAACCTGGCGCTGGGTGTTCTGGTCCACCTCCACCTCCGCGGCCGCCGTTGCAGTGCAGGTTGTTGGATTCTTCTGGCTACAGGAGTGTCACCCAGGTACAATTCTGCGATAGCGACGTGACCGTCTCGCAAAGGAAATAGGCAACGAGAATCTCCACACCGGTGAGAAGGTTGAGACACTGGGCTACAAGCTTCTTCATGCCTTTGAGCGGCCGGTGAAGACGTTCGCAACGCAACCTATCGTCTTCTGCATGGCTATCTACACGGCTTACCTCTTCGGAATCACGTATCTAATGTTTGCAACCTTCCCCAACATTTGAACCGTGGTTTACCACGAAAGTCCCGGAATCGGCGGCCTCAACTATCTCTCGATTGCCATTGGATCCTTTATCGGGCTCTTCTTCAACCTCAAGCTCGTCGACCGCATCTACAAAGATCTTAAAGCGCGGAACGACGACATCGGCAAGCCCGAATTCCGCATGCCGTCGTTGGCCGTGGGCTCCATCATCAGCACTATCGGACTCTTCTGGTACGACTGGAGTATTGGAAACGCGCACTGGATTATGCCCAACATCGGCGCACTGATATTCTCCATGGGAATCATTTCCTGTCTGCAAGTAGCCAAGCATTCTATTTCATAAAATATTATTTCCATACTGCAAATAACGAGGTTGTTATGTAGGGTGGAAATGCGAGTAAAAAACGCGACTTTTTCCGGATTATTGGTAACGCCCGGCGACAATCTGTTATAGTATACGGTCTGCGTAGACCAGCCTGTCGACTAGGTAAAAAGTATTGATGGTATTCCAAAGGATCACAATGTGTATTCATGCAAGAACTAAATCTTGAGGAATTCTAATATCTAGACAGGGGTATCGCCGTGGATCTATCCCAACCCATGCAAATTCCACATCAGCTCTATCTCAGCCCACTCAAAAACACCAACGAAAGCTCGAAGAACATACGTGGCAATCGCTGTAGGCCCGGCAGAGGGCATGTGTGTGGCAGCGTGGGTGGGAGCAAGATCGCTTTGACAGGCCAGGGCTTGCCTCCTCAATGCTTTGAGGTGCAACGTCTTCGCTCTCTTCCACAGGCTCTGAGTGGCTGCTGTGGTACCGTTTGGCTGCTTCCATTGAGGCATCCAACTCCTCACATAGAGAATCGGACGCGATAGCTAATACGGTAGCATCGTGGTCTAGGAGATAGTAACCACCGTTCCTATCGTCCACAGTTCCCAGCGGGTATTGCATTGCCATGTCATTGAGTTGTTCTCGAGTCTCCAAAATTTGGGTCGATTCGGGGATTGGTACGGTGTATCGGGTTGTCGACATTGCTAAAGTGCTGATCACCGAAATGAATAAAGGTCCAATGATGTTTCTCAGTAACATCCCCGAGATCTATCAGATGCTGTTAATAAGTTTTCAAGATCTTGGTATACAGAGAGCGACACACTGGTTGAGGTATAATCTTGGACAATTGTCTTCCCTTCTTCCGATAGCTGATGAGTTTCAAGCTTCCCAGTGAGCTGGGAATATTGTCTTCTTATAGTGTATAAGTGAGAGCAGATTACATGTGATCTGCCATCACTGATAAAACGCCGAACCGATTGCCATGGGTTAGACTCATACTTGGAACTGGCCCTCAACCGGACTCCGAGAAAGAAACATTGTATGGCGAAGATACATGGCCCGAATAGGGATTTGGGTCCGTCTTTGGTCGCCCTAATGCACCAGGGGTCAGTCGGTCACACGCTAGTCTACTACGAGGCACAGACCAAACTAGATCAGGCAAACTTATTTGTTCCCATCTTTGGTCAGATATGGTCTACAAACCAACGAGCAAGATCGCTAATAAGGCGGACCGTAAGGTCCTATGTCAATTTATATCGCTCACTCATTGCCGGCTTTCCAGTATAGTGACCAAAAGGCGCGTTTGCTCAGATTCAGCGGCAAAAGAAATAGATAAAGAAGGCTAGTACTAGTACTTTTGTCTTGTCACAGAGCGTAGTCGCTGAGTCCAATGTAACGTTTTCGAAGCATCCAAGTTCTGAGATGCATTAGCCGGACCTGATTCAATTCAGGCGCAGACACAGTCTGTCACAGAGTGTTTGTTCACTCAACCTATCTAATCTACTCCTTCCAACATTTGTTGTCATAGTTTCACCTAAGTGACTTTTTACACCTCGGTTCGTAATTTATTATTATTATTATCTTACTCTGATAAGGCGGTTTTGCCGCCTCGCCCCTGTGGGCAAGCAGTCCCTCCTCAGTTCGAGTCCAGCTTGTTATGTATATCGTACGGGGCGCATGCGCCCCCGCCCGCAACTCCCATCGTTAACCACAATCCACTGGTGCTAGGCCTCGTCGGGCAGCTTGGTGACAGGTCTTAGTGCATGTCACTAGATTTTTTATTTTTATTTTCTCCTTTCCTCCTCCTCCTTCCCCTATCTTAGCAGTAATAGGGACCCTCCTAGCAGCTGTCTAGCTATAGAGCTACGTCCCTTCGTCGCCTCCTCGGTGTCCCCCCTGTGTGGGTCTCGTGTGGCCACATGTTGCTGCCCTCTAGCTCTCTTGCGAGCCTGTACTCACCCAGTCGTCCCAGGTTGAAGAACCAAGTTGCCAGTCGCTGGGCGGAGCCATCCCGGGAGAGCGCTGCCCTTAGGGAGTGTCCGTCAGGAAGATCCAGGCCAGCCAGGCCCTCTCTTTCTGGCGTGTATCACGGGCAGCGGAGCGTAAGGTGTGCAAACGTCTCCGGGGCGCAGCCCTCTTGACAGAGCGGAGATTCGACATCTGGGACTCGTCTGCGATGAAGGAACGCATTCAACCCGATCGCTCCTGTGCGCGCTTGGGTGAGGAGGGAGCTCTTGGCTTTGGTAAGCCCCGAATGCAACTTGAGAGGGTTGAACATCGGGTCTAGATCGTAGCCATCTGCTGCTTCCCCACCGTGACTTTGTCTCCCCCTCGCGTCGTCGAGTTTCCGTCTTCTCCTGGACTTCCACTCCCGCAGCGTCGGGTCATCTACGTTCATGTCTGTCCACCGCACCAGGTCGGGTGCTTGTGGAGCATACATATCCTCTGTGTCTGGAGCAACCCATTGCTCGGCCCACTCTCGCCTCCGTAAGACGCTCCCTGGTGGAGCGGCGCGGACTGTTCGCCTACCTCGTCGCGCTCTCACCTTCGCTGCTACCCCCGCACATACGGTGCGAAGGAGTGCTGCCATCCCGGTTCGCTCGAGTCGCTGTTCAGCCTTCGCCACCCACCTCGACAGGTAGAGGTCCAACGGGGGGCACCACGCTTCGGACTCAACATTGTGGATAGGTGTCGCCTTATATGCCCCAATGACAGCCCGGAGATATTTGGTCTGAGCCGTGAGCAGGGACTTGGCGGGGCCTCGGGGGTTGCCGTCCTTTGGTGTTGGTGTGTGCCAAGCGCTGGCGCCGTACGCCATCACGCTCTCGGTTCGTAATTTACTTTTCCCCCTATATCTGTTTAAGTACATCGGAATTAATATCCACAACGATATAAAAGTTATAGAGACCATAAAAGCGTAATACAGAAGCTATCTTAATTATAATTACCGCTCCGCAAGAATTCTCGAATTGTTCAAAGTTCGCGAATTTCGGCGAATCGAATCGAATTCGAACCTTGGTTTCGGGGCTTCGAATCTACGACCGATTCGATTCGTTAAGAATTCGAACAAGTTCGCGAACTAATATCTAGCCTTTTTAGTAAAAAGGGTTTGTGGAACGACTTTTCAAGATGCCCGGTCCTTACAAGAATACTTTTGCAACTAAGGTCTAGAATATCAAACACCTATATGCCCAAAAAGGCTATTACTGTATAGCTATTAAGACTTCCAACGTGCAGCATCTACATGTGATCTGCCTTCACTGATAAAACGCCGAACAGATTGCCATGGGTTAGACTTATACTTGGAACTGGCCCTCAACCGGACTCCGAGAAAGAAACATTATATGGCGAAGATTGTTGGATGCCTGGGGCAGGCAAACACGTTTGCTCCAGGCATCGCATGAGACAGAACCCATCATTAGATAGATAGTCTCTTCCTCTCTCTCTTCCTCTCTCTTTCTCTCTTTCTCCTCTTCGTCCACCTGAATACATACATTGTTTTCTCCATTGATCTCACATTGTATCTGTATTCCATGAGGTTATGAGTACCCTATTTGCTAGCAGGACCACTAGCAACTCTTTCTTTTGAAGCTTTTACCTGAACACTGTCGTCGATCTCGACCATCCCGCAGTTTGACCCCACCTGTGCGGCAAAACCCTGCGTGTCCCGACCATTCGACCTATCAGAACCCAGGAAACCTTCGACCCCGCCGGATAAAGCTCCGTTAAGCTTTACATTGTTGATTCGAAAGAATGGCTGACGTCGATAGCGGCAATGAGGACAGTATCCCTCAACCCCTTGACGTGACAGCTGACCCTTTGAATCACAAACCCGCTCTCCGCAACCCAAACACCTCGATCCCGTCTGTTAACCAGCCAATCCGCTTCGCCGACGAAAGCGACAGTGATGATGAAGACGAGAAACCCTCTCATCAGGGACATGGTCTGCCAGAGATCGCGATGATGAAACTGCAGAAGGTGAAGGCACTCGAGCACAACGACGCCGACCCCCGCGCTTGGAAGCAAGCTATCGTTTACCAGCTGATCCCCTACGCTGGGGAGTGGCTGCTTGACAGTGACATTCCCCGCCCAGAAAAGTCGCACCCCTCATACGAGAGATGGAAGTATTGGTCCCGTCTGATTGCCAGTTGGATGTACGGACAGATCAACGCCGTTCTCCAAAGCAAGATTCGCAACCTGTTGAAAACGCCAAAGTACGCCGACAAGATGTAGGACGAACTCATGACGATGACACAAGGAAGCGACAAGCTGCAGACAGCGTTTCTGGAAATGCGGAAGTTCGACAAATTGAAGCGTTCGGACTACAACTCGGCAAGCGAGTATATTGAGGAGTACCAGAAACAGTACCACGTGCTAGCCAGATTCAAAGCAGCACCCCACCCAGCCCATGCTCTGTCACAGGTTCTGCAAAACCTAGAATCGGAAGTAAAAAAGGTCAATTTCATCACGGAGGAGGTTGGCAGCTTAGAGCCCAAGAAGATGACCCTGGAAAAGGTCGAGGAATACTGGCGTGCACTGCAAGCAGCAGCTGACATGGAAGGTGTCACAAGCGCAGCTCACAATGCCGGCCGAGGTGGCCGTGGTGGGAACCGGGGTGGTCGTGGAGGAAACCGAGGTGACCATAGTGGTCACAACAACGGCAACGACAACACCCAGTCCGCCAAAGACATCAATGCTATCGACAGCAACAACAACAAGAAGAAAGGTCTTCGGAGGCAGCCCGCTGACGATAAAGATATTCATGACTACGCTCGTGAGATGCGCAATGGCACACAGCAGGACGACAACAACATGTGCGCTTTCTGCGGATTTGGTCCGCACGCTGCCAAGAAGTGCGCTTATCTCAACGAAAACCCTCCACCTTCATGGGAACCCTCAGGAAACCTCTGGGCTTATTCGAAAGCAATACAGAGAGCTCAGCGAAACACAAAAGGCCAAAGCAACATGGTTGTCGCCGCGGCAAGCTCGGTAGATAGGACAAACGACTGGTTGCTAGATACTGGCTCTAGCAAGACTCTCACACACGATCTAGGGGATTTTCAAACTTACCAGACTGATCACCCTGACCTCGCCTATGTGTACAAAGACTATTCCGGCAAGACGGTAGTCACACTAGGACATGGAGAGATTATCGTGTATGCAGCTCTGCCAAACGGGAAAACCCACTCCTTTATGACGACTGGATACTACAGCCCCGGAGGACATGGGAAGCTCTTCGGCATGCAGATGCTTCTGGACGAACAAGGCATTTCCTGCGACACTCGCACAAAGCATCTGTCAAATGGAAAGGGAGAGGTTGCGGGATACGCGGATACTACTTCTGGCGTCCCATACCTTGTTAGTCCGAAAGAACAAGACCCCGACGAGGTTCTATCTGACTCTGATTCGGACAATGATGATATTGACGTCGTCAACAAGGTGACAGCTTACGAAGTGCATCGACGTCTCGGTCATGCCGGAAAAGCTCGCATTGCGTCTACTCTGCAGCATGCAGAGCAGCTGGGTGATCATGAGCAGTACGGTACAGAGCATTTCGACTGTGACGCCTGTTTTCAAGGCAAGGCATCAAAGGAAAAAGGGCTGAAGCTCTTCGCTCCAGAGCGTGGGGGCAGCTATGATGTGTCAACGTGCGCCCTCTTCCAGATGATATCAAGGAATATTGTGTGCAAGATGTTCAATTTCTACCTAAGCTATGGGTCCAGTACCAGGGGAAGATATCGTCTTTTTGGACTAAAAGGGTTATGATGGAAAGCGCGAATAGAGTGATGCTCTCTCAAACAGCCACATACGATGGAAAGGGAAAAGATAAAGCTCTAGCGCCTGTGGGTTGGTGGTGATTCTACGATTGCTACTATGGTCTTTCCTACCATTTGGTCAGACAAGTTAACCTACATCCATTCTAGTTTCAGTCGAGTCTACTTGATTGAAGTACAAATTGGACACGAATACGTTCTTGTGTGCTGTCTCTGCTCGACATAGTCGTTGTTTTCCTGCTCATGATCGCTAAACAGTTCACCAGCATTTCAGAGTAGAGCGATGAAAGTTGGTGATCAATGCACGCCCCTGCTTTTCATTCAAAAGGATATTGTCACGTCGGAGACCTCCATGGGTTACCGCTAAAGCTTTGATCTCCCTCGATTTGTCAATCTCTCGGTGAAGGCTTGGCGTCGAAGTTATCAAGCCCTTGGCCAGGATCTTCTATATAGGATTGCTAATGCCGCCGAATGAGGGACCTCTCGCCCCGTAAAAAAAACTATTTATTCGGGTTTTGGTCCGGGGAGTACGGGAGTAAATACACTAGCTCGACCCCTTTATCGCAACACATTTGCTCAGCCTTCTCGGAGTAATGAAAGGATATATTTTCTATAACGAGAACGGAGTTAAGCTTGGAATAATGCCCGCAATTCTCTAGAAGTTGTTCGATACCTAAATAGGCGTCCAAACTAAAGAAGACTAACCGATTTATCTAAACCCTATTCGTTCATTGTATCCAGATTCATCGATGTAGACGAGGTGGTACAAGCAAAATCCGCTAAAAGATAGTAGTAATCATCACGTAAATCTGGATTTCGCTCTTTTGCCTTCTGTCGAGCTATCTTCTTAGATCATCCTTTGCGACATACAGTGACACAGCAAATGTTTTAACACCCTTGGACAGACCGCTTTTTGGACCGCCTATCGTAAACTGAAGAGCAAGTTTATATCATCTTACTTTCTCAACATTCTTTCTTAAGTGAGTGCTTTTTATAGAAGACAAGATTCAGTTTAATCCACAACAGTCAGACGCTTCATCAGGAAATCAGTCGGGGGGCTATTGAAAAGTTGGATTTTTGACAGGCAGAATATGAGTAATCGAAGGGGTGTTAACACTATTTCTGCGTCACTGTAGGGCATTGCTAATTGTATGGCATTTCCGAGTAAGATACACAGGGCAGGGTCCCACCCACGTCATGTAAAATACAATGTCTATTCTTGGAAATAATGGATCGACCACTATTCCGAATTTGACCTAGCGTGTTTCAGGTCAGGGTTCGCGAATCAAGTCGCAAGAGTATGAAGTTAAAACTGATTTCGAATTCTACTGTATACCAAGGATGCTGTACAACACGGGGTACCTTGGGGCAGGACCGACTGTAGCAACTGGAAGAAACACATCGGAAATCGATCGAAACTGTATACGGAGGTGGTTGATATCACCTTCGATATATATATTCAGCTGTGGTTGTGTGCCGAGCGGGAACTAACCCCGGACCGACGATGGACCCACCTACGGGAGGGCCCGAACCCCCTCCCACAAACACCCAAGAAACGCCCATCAGCTTCTCGGTGGAAGATTTCCAGCCCAGAGTAAACATCGGATCCCCCGGATCGCCTACCGAAAGCCGTAAGCGAACGCGGAGCGGTGATGCGTTTGCACCATCGGAGAACTCGGGTCGAGTCACCACCAAGGAGGTGTGGAAACTCATAGGGACCCTGAAAGACATTATCCGCCATCAAACCGCGGTCATCGAATCCACTCATAACGAGCTACAGGAGATCAAACACAATCAACATGTTCTGCAAGAACAGAACGAGAAGCTCCATGAGGAAGTGAAAGCGTTACGAGCACAGGTTGAAAGCGCCCCTGCAGTCACCGCGACTAGGACTTGGGCGGCAGTCGCAGCCACTGGCGATAATGCCACACCCTCGCTGAACCACCAGAAACCCGAGAAAGAGCAAAACTGCGTCCGAATCAGCACCCAGAGAGCCTTTGTAGACCCAAGAGATAATGACAACAACGACGGAAACGCTTTTGGGCGATATCTCCCCACAGATACCGTCAACACCCACATCCGCACAGCATTGCAGAGCGACGCTGCAACACAAGACGCCCAAGTGGTTGGAATTGGCACCACCAAAACCGGCTATCTCATTCGATTCAAGAACGTGGAGTCGGCTCAGGTGGCTCGCAACAACACTGAGTGGCTACATAAATTGGGCAACAACACGAAGCTGGTTAAACCACGTTTCGGTGTTGTAGTACACCGCACCCCCACCGAGGAATTCAACCTGGAAACAGGTGCTACCCAGGCAGCAGAGAAAATCATCGAAGACAACGACCTGGCAGAACACGGTTTCCACATCGAAGAACTGGCTTGGATGAAAGCGAAGGACAAGGCCCTAGGGAAATTTGCATCGTTGGGAATCTGGTTCGACTCCGCAGAGGGAGCAGAACATATGCTCCGTAGCGGTTTCGTTGTTAGCCAACACTACATCCCCCAGGTTGAACGACGCGAGATCAAGAAAAAGAGATGTTTCCGGTGTCAACGGTTCGGACACCTAGTATGGTCATGTAAAGAGACCCCGCGGTGCGGACACTGTGCAGGCCAACACGAGCGACAGCGCTGCCCACCAGGAGTCAGGGCCCGGTGCCTCGACTGTGGGAGCGAACACGCTACCGGAAATCGACAATGTCCAACCCCCGCGACCTCTAACCCCAGCCGATGCTAGAGAAGAATCTCCGCATCCTACAGTTGAACATGATGAAATCGGGACCGAGGATGGAGGCGCTGATCAACGATCCCCAGAGCCTAGAGCTGGACGTTCTGCTGATCCAGGAGCCATCTATTACCACCTACCGCACGCATATCAGCCACAGCGCCTGGCGGCTATACCGACCTACAACTCAGACCGATGCCGTTCGGTTTCGCAGCTTGCTCTATGTCAATCGAAGAATCTCTACCTCATCACATTGCCAACTACCGTGCGACCACCCAGATGTCGCGGCCATCAAGATCTGGACAGCCGACTCCCAAACGCTGGTATTTTCCGTCTACATACCTCCAGTACCACTTTTCACGGGCGACGACTCGTCAGCATTACCAGCCCTCACGGCGATACAAAACTCTATCACAACCGCCACACAACATGAGCAGCGCGCGACCAGCATTATTGTTTCCGGTGATTTCAACCGACACCATCCAATGTGGGGCAACAACTATATCGCTCCTAGATTCATTGAAGACGCTAGCGACCTAATCGATTTCTTCCAAGCCCACAACCTCCACAGTTGTCTCCCTCGAGGGACGGCGACTTACTGGGCATTCAACAACCCCGGACAGAACTCGACCATTGACCAGACGGTAACAGATAGCCCGGACTTGCTAGTCAAATGCCATCTGTATCACGAAAACTATGGATCCGACCACCGTGCCACCTACTCAGAATGGAACCTTCAACCCCGGAGCAGGCCAAAGACCAAAGCAAGGAAGGCGTATGAGCGCGCGGACTGGACCAGGATCGGCGAGGAAGTAGCCCGACAGATGAACCCATGGAAGCAGATCAAGACCCGGCCAACACTCGACCGGGTAGTGGAAAACCTTACAGCGGCGACGGCCCAGGCGGTCGACCGGTTCACACCCGACACATGCCCCACGCCATACTCCAAGCGATGGTTCACGCCAGATCTTAAGACCCAACAAGTCGAAGTCAACCAACTACGTAGGAGGTGGCAGGCAAACTGCGCCGAGCTGGGAAGAGAGCACGCTAACACCACGGCTGCCTTCGAAGCTATGCAGCAGAAACGACGAGCGTGGACGAGGACCATCGAGAAAGCCAAGTCCTCGCACTGGAAGCAGTTCCTAGACGAAGCTGGTGAAGGGAAGCTCTGGAAGGCCGCGACATACATGAAGCCCCGAGAGACATGGGATTGCGTCCCAGCACTGCGAGTGGGCTCGGAGGAGTGCACGCAAAACGAAGACAAAGCGAAGGCATTCCTAGATGCGTTCTTCCCCGCCATGAATCCACCCGAGTTCAGCCCACCTACCACACCGGCGACGGAACTCCCGTGGCACCCGATCACAGAATCGGAGATTGAGCGATCACTGAAAGCAGCCAAAGGGAATACAGCGCCCGGGGAAGATACCTTACCGATGCTGGTTTGGAAGAAGCTTTGGAGGCATCTGAAGGCCTTTATTGTTAGCATCTTCACAGCGAGTGTAGAGCTAGGGCACCATCCGAGACAGTGGAGGAGCGCAAAAATCATCGTGTTACGAAAACCAGGCAAGCCTGATTACTCGAAACCTGGTGCGTACCGCCCAATCTCACTTCTCAACACGCTTGGCAAGCTCCTGGAGGCAGTGATGGCCCGACGGTTGTCCTATGTGGCGGAGAAGCACGGCCTGCTACCAAACAGCCAGTTCGGCGGACGGCCGGGTAGGACCACCGAGCAAGCCCTACTAGTGCTGTCCAGTGCGATCGACAAAGCCTGGTACAAGCACAAGGTGGTGACCCTAGTCGCCTTCGACCTCAAAGGTGCCTTCAACGGAGTAAATAAGACAAGCCTGGATGCGTCGCTGCAGGCAAGACGGATCCCTATTGTGGCCAGAAAATGGATTGCAAGCTTCATGAGCGACCGGCACGCCAACATTGGGTTTGACGACTTCCGTACCGAGACACAGTCGCTAGCGAACGCAGGTTTAGCGCAAGGGTCACCACTCTCCCCCATCTTGTTTGCATTCTTCAACGCCGACTTGGTCGACCAGCCCGTCGACTCCCACGGAGGCGCGTCAGCGTTCATTGACGACTACTTCCGATGGCGAGTGGGCCGCTCGGCCGAGGAAAACTTAACCAAGATACAGTCCGACGATGTCCCTCGTATCGAAGAATGGGCGCGGCGAACTGGATCCTGCTTCGCGGCGGAGAAAACCGAGCTTATCCACCTCACCAGAAAGAGGGGAGAGCACATGGAAGGACGAATCATCTTCGATGGGGCCGACGTCAAGCCATCGCCTACAGCCAAATTGCTGGGGGTGGTGTTCGACCAGGGACTTCGCTGGAAGGAGCATGTCCAGCAGGCTATCAAGCGCGCCACCAAAACAGCAATCGCCTTAAGTGGACTACGACACTTGCGCCCAGAGCAGATGCGACAGCTCTACCAAGCATGTGTTGCGCCTATAGTGGACTACGCATCGACGGTCTGGCATGACCCGCTTCGGGACAAAGTTCACATCCGACACTTGAACACAGTCCAGAGAACCGTGCTGATCAGAATCCTGTCGGCGTTCAGGACGGTAGCAACCGCGACCCTAGAGGTTGAAGCCTATATACTTCCCACGCACCTTCGCCTTCGCCACCGAGCGCAGCGCACGATTGCGAGACTGCATACTCTACCTCGCGACCATCCCATTTGGAGTGCTCTGTCAAGAGCCCAGAACCGTAGGAACAATGTCGGATCATACGCCCGCTTCCCATTAGCAGAAGCGCTGAAGACCATGGACGTCGACAGGCTCAATGAGCTGGAAACGATTGACCCACGCCCGCTGCCCCCGTGGCGCCCGGACGCCTTTACGGAAATCGAACTCGAACACGACCGGGAAACAGCCAGAGAAAGAGCAAAGGTTGCAAGGAACACATCGGATATTGTCGTCTACTCGGACGCCTCTGGGCGCGAGGGTCATCTAGGAGCCGCCATTGTCGCACTCAACGACAATGATGAGGTGACGGAATCTCAACAGGTGCAAGTGGGGTCGATGGAACGGTGGTCAGTTCATGTGGCGGAACTCATGGGGATCTTCTACGCGGTCAGCATGGCATTCAAGTTGGCTCACCAACGCTCAGTCGTCGGAAACAATGTACACGCAACAGCAACAATCCTTTGTGATAGCAAATCAGCTTTGCAAGCAATCCAGAACGTGAGAAATAGATCGGGGCAACGAATCATCCATGCGAGCCTCCAAGCAGCCACCGAGGTTCAAGCAAGACACATCACCCTCCGCCTCCAATGGATGCCAGGACATTGTGAAATAGTCGGGAACGAGGCCGCGGATCGACTCGCTAAAGAAGCCGCGCAACCGGGCAAAACCCATCCTTTCCGACCGCTGCTGACGAGAGAAAACGCATTTCTCCGCAGCAGGACCCATGCTCAGTGGGAGCAGGAGTGGAGGTTAAGCACCAAAGGCGCGCATTTGCGGAAAGTGGACGGCGCGCTACCAGCGAGGTACACCAGAAAACTGTACGGGAACTTGCCCAGGAACCGAGCATATTTGCTCACTCAGCTACGCACGGGCCACAACTGGTTATCCACCTACGCCAAGAAATTTGGCTTCCACGACGATGATCGATGTGAGTGCGGCGGGCAGGAGACGGTCAGCCACGTGTTACTGGAATGTCCAAATCTACGAGAGTTGCGGATAGAATTAAGAAGAAATGTTGGGGACGCGTTAAACAGCGTGTCGAGTCTGCTGGGAGGCTCAAACGAAGGTGAGAAAGGTAACCCAGACACCGCCTCAAGGGCGAAGACGGTTCAGGCCGTATTGGACTTCGCCGAGGCGTCACAGCGGTTTCGCAGTCGTGCGCCACAAGGGCAGCCTAACAACGGGAGCGGCAATGGGCCAGGGTAGGCCGTGACGAGGCTCTAAGTTCCTGTCAGAAAGTGGATCAATCTATATGTACATCATCCATGATATATAGTTGTTGTATCCTGCATATCGTTCGCGAGGGGACAGGGTAAATGAATACTACTACTACTACTACTGTATACCAAGTCTATGTACGTCCACGGCTTTGGATGATTAGATGTCACGCAGTCCTTCTGGTGACCTCAAAGAATAAAACAGATACACCTGCATGGTTGGTCCCTCGCCAAGGATAGGCTCTGTGGGTATAAACTTAGAGCTACCATCATTGATAAAAACGGCAACGGCCATTTGCTTAAGCATTCCAGAAAACCAGAGATCGCGAGTTAGCAATTCTCTTCATTATTGACTACAGTAAACAGCGTGATTAAGAAGAGTGGTTAAGAAGAGTGGTTAAGAGTGGTTAAGAGTGGTTAAGAGTGGTTAAGAGTGGTTAAGAGTGGTTAAGAGTGGTTAAGAGTGGTTAAGAGTGGTTAAGAGTGGTTAAGAGTGGTTAAGAGTGGTTAAGAGTGGTTAAGAGTGGTTAAGAGTGGTTAAGAGTGGTTAAGAGTGGTTAGGAAGCGGTTAAGACCTCAGCGAGCGTTGAAGGCTAATCGAGGAGCGTTTAGATGTAAATCTTGGTCATATCCAGCATTTTCTCAACGCATCCGAGAGCACTCTCCCATTGAACGATTTAGCAAACAAACCCCAGGGCGGACTATTTTTCGCCCTAGGCGGTCCACCTTCCAGCGATGAGAAAAGTTGATTGCACCAGCTAGGAATGTTGTCATTGCGAAAACCTCTGTATAAAAGTCCAAGCCAGTACGTGGAAATCTGCGGTGTGTAACTACTCTTCATTCTCACGAGCCCCGCAATGAAAATGTATAGAGTCATGAAACGACAATACTTGCTCTCTCTTTTTCGAACCATTCGCGGATACCGATCATTGGCTGAACAATACCCGACACCCTCCTGTGAATGAACAACCCCCTTCCCTTCAAGGGGAGTAGTACCGGGGGTTGCCTCACGTGACATATACACCGACATTACTGAGGGCTTCTTCCCTCATACAACGGCCTCACAAGAGTCAATTGCTTGCCTCTGGTGGTAGCTCGTCATCTCTCACGCAGTCAAGGCTCGATTTTTTCCCTCCCGCCTTCCCTCTGTATATAGAAACCACTGCAATACAGACACACTGCCTCCCTACAAGAGAGCGCGGATGGGCTCTATCTGACGCTACGGTCTAATGTGTTCCGTATAAGACCGCAGCGACAGGTGACCCGTTACGGCCAAACCATACTATTCTTGTCCCTCTTGACTGCGGGAGGTCATCAATAAAATGATATTTCTGTTTTAGGTGATTCCCTTATTTTTCTCCCACGAGCTCACCTGCCTTGTTCAGATGTCTCCGGGCAGTCTCAACGTCTGATTGACTCATATGATCACAGTGAGTCAATGTTTTGCTGGACCAATACCATTTCATAATTCGTTTCCGTCCATCCTTGTATTCGACGAGAAAGGAAAAGGACCCGATATTTTCGTTTGGGAAGAAGAAGAACCCAGCATAATCGATGAATCTTTTGATATCAAGGAGCCTTTTTGTATGAAGGGAATCTTCCATCATTGCCTAGCAGCATCTGATTAGTACATTTGTGGCAGGGCGATAGGAATAAAAGCCTTACATCTTTTTGCAGTTTCCGAAAACGGCTTTATTTTGGTTTCACTCTTACACCTTCGCTTCCTAGGATGTAGATTTATTTCTTCTCTAGCATATTGAAACTATGTCATAGTAGGACAATGAATTAATCAGAGCCCCAGCCACTTAAGCGCGAAGCCATAGTATATATAACTTTAGAATTGACAACTTTAACATTGTCCGGCTGACTTTTGCAGGGGTCGCAACATGATCACTAAGCGGCCAAATCCAAACATGTCAAATCTTACAATGTAAGGGTGATCATTTACTTATTGATAGTCCAGCGCTTAGAAGATATTTCGGTTCTTAGTGCTAGATCACTATTGCGGGTATTTATATCGTCTCACTGAACTGATCCTACACCATCTTAGTTCTAAAATATTCTTAGCATGCGCAACAAACGCCGAGTCTTCCTTTCGATACAACATCGCAATTCTCTCTCTGTCGGAGAGAACAGGCAGCGGCTGGGCTATGCCGCATACCACTGGGGAATTCTCATTTGCCCCAAAAGGTCAAAGGCGTCAAGTTGCTATTTTTTCGACGTGAGCGACGGAGTGCTCCTCGAAGATTCACCGAACAGAGTCAATCTTAACCCAGAATTCAACTGGCTCTTTCGAGAGAAACAAATCAGTGTTCCTACTACGAGCGCCCGTCTTCTCGGAATGGTCATGATCGGAAAGGTCATGATCGGAAAGGTCCCGAATGAGGTGACCTGGGAGCAAATCCGCGGTCTTCTCGCGGCGGTTCAAGTTCCTAAAAATAATGCTGTGCCGGAGCAAAACTGCGTCAGCTGAGCGAAAGCTGCGGTTTGCAAGCTTCAAGAGAAGGGTCTGACAGCTAAATATAACCTCGACCTCGACTTGCTCATGGACAGATCGCTTGCTTTTGCGGATGAACGCATACGCAATCCGGAGTCTACCCCCATCAGCATCGATTTCATTGATTGATCTATGTCACCTGCAAAACGCCCTAAGTCTTATTATCCCTTAAGAGTCACACATGGTCCAGGGTGGGAATCGTATGCTCGGCCCCTCACCAGACATGCTGTGGCACGTCTACTTTCCGTCAGAGAATTTGTTCCGCCCTGAGCTCGTCATCATATCTATCTATAGCATTTTCCAAATCATTATACCAATCTGGCCGATCTAGCATACCGTCGTGTGCCCTAGTATACTCCTAATATTCCGGGTACTAGCCGCTAAATCATCTGAGCAAGGAATGCGAGCGTAGTTTCATGGGTTTTGAGATTTATGTACATAGTTCCATAGATCAAAACATAGCTTGCAAACAAATAGACCTCGGCAATTGAAACATATAATAAAAACTACACTAGCAAGGTTCGAAGATTTGCTTAGAAAAACAACATTTTCACAGCGTAAGTTCAATAGAAGACGCCTCTTCATAGCTCTGATACTGCGACTTCCCATCAACCAAGTTCACCACCTGCTGATCCGCGATGTAGGTTTCCACCCATCCAAGTTGGGCGACGACACCCTCCTTGCTGATATAAGGCGCTTCGATTGCCTGCAGAGCAATGAAATCTGGGTCGGTGGACACAGTCACCAAGTCCGCGATGCCGCGGAAGTAAAACTCCACGGTCGCGTCGTGGGTGTCGACTGTCCAGCCGTTTTGCAGACGCTCGCACGCGGTGCTCAATACATTCCGCACTGGCGTTGGGGAGAAGTGCTTTTTGCATGTTAGGTTTGACTGCCATTTGGGGGTGGGGGATTATGTTGTAATAGAATGGTGACTTACGTAGCTATAGCCCTGTAACTTATGGCGTTGATGAATCGCCACTGCTTTAGGGATATACACCTCTGTGATGAAGTGGTGGCATTCTTCCTCGGAGGCAGCTGGGTTCCGATGGTGGGCGAGGGTCAGCTTTAGAAGGCGTTGCGGGGCCATGTTGGAATAGACAAGGATGTTCTGGGGGCTTCAAATGGTTTCGTGGCTTTGAAATGATAGGCTCGGGAGGCAAGTCACTCATGTTCTCTTTATTTTATATCCCTCTCAGGTTTAATTTACATCTTATCCAGCTGGTCATACAAGAGGGAGGGCCTTGTAGGCAGAAAGACCTCGCCGGTTCCTGCAGCGCCCGCCGAGTTGTGCCCAGTGCTCAGTGTTAGTTCGCCGATTCGGTGAAGTCAAAAAAATGATTACAGACAGCGCCGATAAAATGCAAAATCTCGCAGTCCTCTCTTCTGTCTAACATAATTCATCGTTCATAACTAGAAAAGTGCCGAGCGCCCCTCCGTTGCTCGCCTAAAATTCGACACGCGCAAATCAACCATGGCAGTATAAACGTCGTGACTGTCTTGGGGATGACGTTGTCTTCTATATATCTATATAGACATTTCCGATTGTATTCGCCATCACCAGCGTTATTCACGCGATTGTCGACCTTTATGGCAACAGCTTTGCAATTGTGCTGCAGCCTGCATTAAGCGGCTTTCGTGTTCCTGGACCGTCTTCATCACCATTTTGATTGCGTTATTCTCGCTGGATGGACTAGACGGTCGACTGGTGTCGATTTCGGCGTTCTCGCTAGATACAAAAGGCGCCGTAAGTTTGTCCACCGAGTCCCCCAGGCTGTCTAGTAGTTGCAAGGCTGACTGGATCACTAACCCAATGTGACTCGCTGGATCATCGACGGAAAACACCCCGATTTGTAGCGAGGGCAGTGGAATGGGCATGCCTTTGGCCAACGCAGCACCGAACTTTTCAGCGGTCTGCGAGAAAGTATTATAATAAGCTTCGATCAGCCGCATGTACGTAGATAAGGCATGCAACAGCGACAGTTGGTCGAGCCTTGTTCCTGGCTGTAGTGATTCCGTATCTGAAGTTCCAGGCGTGCTTTGAGGTGTGGCGATAAGCTGCTGGAACCGCGAGGAAAAGGTAGAGGATGCGGAAAGCGGCATTTGCCAATGCGTATTCTGCACAGCGGGCGACTGAGCTGAGGAATTTCTATTTACTCGCAAAAGCTTGATCAATCGTTGCGTGAGAAGGAAAATGATGTCGATCGTACATTCTGATGACGAAGGGGAATTGGAGCTATCTGGTTCGGTGGTCATCGGGGCTGGGTTATATAGCAGGGGTTTCATCGACGTGAGCCGAATTAAGTCAATGTCGAGCTCCAAAAGATCTTCCATGAATTTTTGTAGAAATTGAGTCTGTGAACCGATCTTGCGATGGGAAGTGGGTCCCAACGATCGCTCCGATTTCTGAGACGACAGTGGCGAGATGTCCGGGCCGATTTTGTTTCCAGACTTGGGCACAGTTGGCCCGGGAAACGATTCGAGTAAAGAGAGTTGATGATCAGTGATTTGAGCGTAATGAGCCGTATTGTGGGCAGGAAAACGTGAGAACATGCTAGATCCCGAAGGTGCTCCGGGAAGATTTAGAGGCGGTGTCAAGCTTTCCGGGAAGGAAATGTCCTGGTCGACGCCCATGCATAGGTTCGACGGCGTCGGCTCGGGGGTCTCCGTACCGGAAATCGGGGTTCTGTCGACGGTGAATGCTTGACGATTATCTTCTGCATATTCCCTTAGCAGCAGACCCCGGTATTAGTGGTCAGACTCCGTGTGTTCTAGGGGGTCAGGGGTACTCAACCTGTTCAGCAAGTCAATATCTCCCAAATGCGCATTCGGTGAATGAGGCATCTGGGACGCCAGTCCCATGGCCAACGGCCTGTCGCTGGTCCATTTGGATATGTGGGAACCGTTACAGCGATCCTGATGGGTGGGCCGACGCCCGCGGTTCGAAGGACTAAACAAGCAATTTGCGCCCGCTCTCACACAGCGGCTACATTCCCCTGACTCGTTGCGGTGACACCGTAGTTTGAGGTCATGACAGCGATCGCAAGCCTGTCGCGATGGTTGTTCGTACATTTCGAGAGCCAAGCTCAAAAAATATTGGGGAGGGGGGTGGATTCGAGTTCAAGGCGGTTAATCCGGGTCGGACCGAAAGCTTGGGCAAAAAAGCGAAGGATTTGGGTACACAAGTACATAAGTACACAAGTACACAAGTACACAAGTACATAAGTACACAAGTACACGAGTAAGTAGAAAATCAATACGCAAATCCGAGGGATGTTAATATATATAGCCTCACCAACATAACACTACTAAAAAGAGTAACCTATTTTGACATGGAAAATGATTTATGGGATATTTGCTGGGGGACGCTGCTAACCCTGAGATTTGGGGTACAGGGTCCCTATGGCTCTACGAAACAGGACGCGCTAAGTTATGCAAGTCTCATCCTGAACGGAGATTGTCGACGTAGACCCTGGATATTGATTGCGATTTCGGAAGCGAAGCGAAAGCGAATTACGTATTCCATAAGTGTTGCCTTCTGTTGATGTCACGTGTATAACGTGATTCATATTATGGCACCAATACCGCTGCCCTACCCGTAAGGCGTCTGTAGATATATGCAATAAATTACATGTATGTATTCGATGCTGCAATTCGTGCACCTGATCGATGTATGGAAAACGTGGCACTCGATCTGTATGCAGCATTGTTCCGGCCGCAACTCCATCTGAAATGCGGGGTCCTATCTCGATATCGACTTTAACCGTTCTCAGCTTCTTTCCCGTGATGGTATATATTATTTGTACACGCTGTCATGCACTGAAGCCACTTTCAGAGTTTTAATGATTACTTCGAGATTGGCGGGCCTACCAGAGTTGCCGCAAAACCGCTAGATCTTCTGCCCGAAGCCAGAGAGCTGGATATGAAAGTAAAGTAATACAAGCAGTGGTACCCAGTACCATTGTGTTTTTACTCGTAGTCCCTGCAGCGCCTCCCTCCTGACCTCATCCGCTTGTACAAAGGCTCAGGTGCTCTGACACCATATTATATGATTAAATATATATCCATAGATGGTTCATGATTTAACCTGGTCGGAAAACCACATACTTTAGTAAGCCTTTAAAGGTGTAAATTAGGAGGCCCCGGGGGCACATCACAACGGTCTTGACTGTTAAGGTGACTGACTGTAGAAGCATATATATGTATGTATGTTTTCACACTACCTAATCATTAAAATATTAGAAAGAAAAATGTACTTCCAAAGTTAGTAAGTAAGACCATCATTAATCGGCTCATTTAGAGAATTCTAAATAACCTATTTTAACGCACATGGATCACTATAGAAAGCGTAAATGTAAATGCAATGCAATAGAAAAAGAGGCTTACTACGACCTCGGAGTTTAATGATTTGCTGCTTCCACCTGGGCATTCCCCTTTGCGTTACCGCGCCCGGGAAGGTTCAGTACTAGGTACAATAGCGCTGCAAGGGTAAGGTATTAGAGCGACCAATCCCACCCTATGTACATACTTATTTTGCAAAATGCTATCGCCGTGACTATGCAAACCCATGCTATCTACAGACATTTCTACGTCCATTATCAATTGCTGATCGTGGTTGATTCTTGAAATGCGTCTACTCGAGATTGATGGTTCTGAAATATTGAGCCCAAAAATGTTGTAGATTTCTCGCGGCAATCTCAAATATGCATGGCGCTGCTAGCTGCGTGCGGTCGGGATCCCTTGGTAAATAGACAAACGGCAGACTAGGGGGTCAATTGATCATCGATATACTATTTCCAGGCCCAGTAGTGTTGTCGAATAAACACTTGGTTGCAGGCTATCAGCGGATGAACTGCTACAAATTCCTTGGAACCCTTTATATTAACAAGCATTAAGAATGAAGCACATCTCAATATCTACACATGTATCCATGGATTGACCCCACAATCTGTAATCAGATCTAGCTTACCAAATATTCGGCGACCTAGGACCAATCACAGGCCAGACCGCTCAATGGGGAAGTTGACATACAATGACCGAACCCATTCGGCATCGGCGATGTTGACAAAGAGACCTCCTATTCTTTGAAATCAGTTTCTGACCATGGCTATTTCCTGCAATCAAAACTTCGATTTCTGGCCTCCGTACTTCTCAATCAACTTTGACTTTGTGCTCCGTACTCAACGTCAACATGTCCAATGCTTCGGACACTAGTACCCAGTCTGTCGAGAAGAAGCAGGGTAGAGGATGGCGCTTCTGGGCAATTTACTTATCACTATGCGTGTCAGTCCTACTAGCTGCGGTCGAGTCAACGGTCACGTCGACCGCGTTGCCGTTCATCGCGGATGAGTTGCATGCAGGCAAGAACTACGTCTGGTTTGTCAACTCCTTCTTCTTGACGAGGTAAGTCACATACCATCTTTCAACCCGAGTCAATGAAGAAAATAAATTAACAATACATTCAATGGCAAGTGCTTGCTTTCAGCCCCTTTTCGGACAGACTGCGAATTTCTTTGGTCGACGATGGTTGATGATCGGCTCGGTGGCCTTGTTCGTCCTCGGCAGCGGCATCAGCGGCGGCGCGATCAATTCTCCCATGATGATTGCTGGGCGATCAATCCAAGGAATTGGGGGTGGCGGTATCAATGTAATGATCGATATGATCGTTAGCGATATGCTTCCATTGCGCGAGCGAGGAAACTTCATGGGTATGATCTTCGCCGTGTTCGCCGTCGGCACCTCCCTTGGTCCATTTATTGGGGGTGTTATTGTACAGCATAGTTCCTGGAGATGGGTTGTAAGTATCTAAGCCCCGTTTATATCTGAGAGAATGGCAAGGCTAACACGGTTTGATCAAAGTTCTATCTCAACCTTCCTATTGGCGGAACGGCGATCATCTGCCTGTTTTTCTTTCTCCATGTCAACTACCAAAAAGAGCCATGGCAAGAAAAAGTCAAGCGGATCGACTATATTGGCAACGCACTTCTCATGACTTCTATCGTCTCTATTCTCCTCGCTCTCACCTGGGGCGGTACTACCTACGCCTGGTCAAACTGGCGGATCATCGTCTGTTTGGTTCTCGGTCTCATTGGTATGATTCTATTCCACGCGTTTGAGGCCAGTCCATGGTGTCGGGAACCTATGATGCCACCACACATATTTCGACACCGTACTTCATTCGTTGCCTTGGTTGTATCCTTTATCCATAATATGCTTACCTTCTGGGTGATCTACTTTGTACCGGTGTACTTCCAGGCTGTGAAGCTTTCTACCTCTACTCGCGCCGGTGTACAATTTCTACCTAGTGTGATTCTCGCTGTGCCGACTGCCATTGTCGCAGGTGGCCTCCTTACTAAATGGGGCCGCTATAAGCCTATCCATATCGTCGCTACGGCTGTGATTCTCCTAGGATTAGGTCTCTTTACTCTCTTCGATGCCGACTCTAGTCCAGCAGAGTGGATCATTTTCCAAATCATCACTGCAATTGGCTTGGGTCTTCTGCTCACAACCACTCTAGCTGCAGTGCAGGCTTCCCTAGAAGAGAAGGATGTTGGACTCGCGACGGCGACATGGGCGTTTATTCGCAGTTACGGTGCTATCTGGGGAATTGCAATTCCAGCTGCTATTTTCAACACCGAGTTCGCGCGCTTGTCGGGCCGTATTTCAGACCCCGCTGTTTCGGCGCAACTTGCGGGTGGAGAAGCTTACTCTCACGTCTCTTCAACTTTTATTAAGTCACTTGCTCCTCAAGTTCAACGGGAGGTAGTCAGTGTGTACACTGATACCCTGAAGCTGGTTTGGTATGTCTCGCTAGCTTTTGCTGCTCTGGGATTCATCATTACCTTCTTTGAGAAGGAGATGACACTACGGACCGAATTGGAGACGGAGTATGGAATCAAGGATGAGAAGGAAGGCAAGGAAAAGGAAACCGCCGCTGAGGTATAGACAAGGGTGTTTGAAGATTGAAGATGAAGGGTTGGATAAATTAGAGAGTGAAGTTTTCGGTACTGGTTCTATATAATCGCAGATCTTGTTTTGAAAGTTCAAATCCCGAGTACAAAGGACACATAATTAAGGAACGGGAAATTTGACTTTATCTGTTTTTTTATCATGTGAAAGTCGTTTCTAGCGAAGACTAAAACCAATGAAGCCCCGGGGCCCTCAAATCCTTGTCGTGAGCTTGGCCTACACCCCCTGTTTATGAGTCTTTACCCACTGCCCTGTTTACCACCAAAAAGTGCCGATTTCAGGCCTATTTTCCTCTACGAATTCAAATAGTAATAAATTTTTTGTATCAGATTAACAAAATATTTGCTTCCGGATCACTTAATATAAATAGCTGTTGAGTGGGAACTATTTAAATTCCAGTTTCTAAATTGAACCTCAATGATATATAGTAGCCCCATAGTTAACTTTTGACAAAAATCAATTCCAAAACTTTAAAAATTAGCAGCTCGATACAAAAAGTACTTGCAGATATAATTTATATATATCTTGCTTTTAGAATTGGCAAATAATTAACATGAAAATAATTTGAAAATAAGTTACTAATAAATATATAGAGGAAAAAGGGCCTGAAATAGGCACTTTTTGGTGGTAAGTAATTCGCCGGCTGTTTTCTTTTTCTACAAAGTCAAAGCGGTCCTCAAATCTTTAAGGGAAAGCGAAATTTGTCTTGTATTGTGAATTTCTGCGAGTAAATATTTTCCCGTGACATTATACAACTATATGCTCCGGTGAATCCCAAATTGCCGATCCAGAAACGCAAAGATCCGATGCTGCGCCAAGCTAAAAGCGCCAACCTTTGCCTGGAGTCCCCCCTCGGCTATCTCCTTGCCAACCCAGAGATGTTTTTGACTCTCGGAAAGATGCTTCAATCGGCTAAAAATCTTGTTTGCACTAGGATCCTCTGTCGCGTAGATAGATGCTGCAGCGCCGGTAATCATGACAGGACACTTGACCTGGTGAAGATACTCACCACCATCGGCGGTTTGTAGCGTAAAGTCCTGCATTCGTCGCATAGCATCTGCTGGAGTTTTCATTCCCATGGCCCACTGTACTTGGTTCAACTCCCATTTAAGCTGAAAGTTGAACCTGGAAAGCAGGCCCAAGGTACCATTGAAGACCCCATCGCTCAGCCAGCCTGACGTCCAGGAATTAATGAAAGGAGCTGGCATGCGGGTAATAGCCACTTCCCACATGGAATAGAACGGGTCCACGGCAATGCAGGCGGAGATTCGTGGGTCGGCTGCGCCTCTCAGCGCATAGTAGCCTCCCAAGGTAGCGCCGTGGAGAGCAACTCGGGTTAGGTCGAGCCCGAGATCAGGATGTTGTGTGGCAAAGGTGTAAAGGAAGTCGAGAACTGGTCCTGTGACGGTTTCCCAGTCAGGTCGCATATATGAATGTGCTTCTCGGCGTAGAACAATGCCTTGGCCGGGTCCTTCAAATATGAGTACCGCGTACCCGAGATCCGGGCCAGATGCTCCGCCAACGAGATAGAGCTCTTCGGCAGTCGAGTCTAAGCCAGCGGTCGTTATGACGATAGGGGCTTTCCCACCCGGTAGACGCTTAGAGGCCGAAGGCAGGTATAGATAACCAGGCAGACGAATGCTCTCGTACGGGATCTCAATCTCGTATACGGGTCCCTTCCGTTGACGTATGCCTTGTTTGAAATTGTGAACCGAGCGCTCCGCAGTATCAAGAATGCGCTTGTCAGGTCGAGAGTTCAGCATAAATTGCGCGGCGCGAAAGTAGTTGGAGGCACGCATCAGAGCTTTATGGCGGGCGACTCGGTTCCCTTGCTGCTCTGCCTCGTGGGCAAGTCTTTCTGCTCGCAACCCTGCCTTCGACCACGCATTATACCAGCTTTCTGGATTTTGTTCTCGAATGTCCGGCAGGGCCTCGAGTGCTTCACCAATTTCACATCCACCAAAGCTTGTGGATCCGAGCAAGCGGATGAGTTCGAAGTTGAAGAAGGCGTCTTTGAAGAATTGATACATTCTGGCGAACAACTCGAAACCGGAATGACAACACTGAGAATGCAGTCAGCGCGCGAGATGTTAAACATATTCCCTCCAGGGCTATATCATTTGATTATATAAGATTCTCATGGTTTTGCACTCGTGTCGACTAATGGATGGGGGCCATTGGCGATTCGGCATCCATCCTCGCTGAATCAATTCGGGTGCATTCATAACATCGCCGAAACTTTTTCTTTTCGAGTGACAGAAAGTGCAAAAGAAAATTCCAGATTAAGATCGGATCGTATGATAATGGCCAGGGACTTCTTAAATAAAACTACGCGCAAGTGTCAGCAGCCCAGTATCCGCAGAACACCCATACTCACTACGCCATGACAATCGAAACCCACAACCTCGGCCTCAATCTCCTGAGATTGGCCCCTTTGGTCCTTTCCACTGCCTCTTTGATGTGCGGCGTCGACCAAGCGAACGCACTCCGGCCTTTCTCGAAGCCTCCTCTCGCCAAAACCGGTGGATCTGTTCTCCCACACTGGTTCTCGGGGTTCTTTGACACCACCATCTACGCCGTGGGTCTCTCGTACCCGCTTGCCTTTGCCACATTTTGCCTCGAGAGGTATCAATGTATTCGATCAGGAGATATCCAACTCCTAGTGACTCTCTCAACGTGCTCTTGTGAACGACATACTCGGACGGGATTGGGTACCCAAGGAACTTTAAAACGTAGCGACGGAAGGATTCGAATAAACGAGAGACGAAAGGCAGATTGTTGAGAGAGGTAAACTAATTCTTAGAAATCAAAGCTGAAGATCTCTCGCGAACCCCAGTTTAGGGTGCAGGATACAGCCTGGAAATTCCACGTCGACACCCAGCCAATGAAGCCTACAGGACCAAACGGAGAGAACTACTGGCTGCCAGTTGTTGACGATGCTACTCGATTGATCGAGGGGATCATGCTAAAGAACAAGAGCGATGCCTCCCATAAGCTCACTGCATTTTGTGAGAGGATCAAGCTGCTTACTGGCAGATACCCTGGCATCTGGAGAATGGACGGCGGCTCAGAATTCAAAGAGTTTATTAAATGGGGTGAGAAGCGAGGAATGACTTTTGAGATCACACCTCCATACACCGCAGAGCCTAACGGCACAGTGGAGCGTTTCGGTGGACACATTAACGACATACAACGTACGATGATTATCGATGCTGACTTGCCGGAAGAGATATGGCCATACGCGACAAACACTGTCACGTCTTAGTGACATAGGTTTACAACTCAGATGAGAAGAGTCCACAGGGCGGATCTCAGGGAAGTGTTCGGATACAGATCACGTAGCATGATTACATCTCCCTCATCTTTTACTTGTCTTCATCCTTCTGTTTCTCTTCCACCTTTGATAATCTAGTTTAAATGCTATACTCTTCTTGTTTGAAACGTTATCGGCATCATCATAACAAACAAAGCTATCTACATCTACAACAGACTGGTTAATCCAAAGACTAAGATCTCCCCGCTCACACACTGGCGCCGGGAGCTTGAAATTCCGAACCCAGAGCCATCTTTGAAGCATCTCAGGCCATGGGGATCGACTGCATACGTGCATATCCCAAAAGCTAAGCGAGTACAGGCTAGGAAAGCAGCCCCTAGAGCCTGGAAAGGAATGCTTGTTGGCTATGAGGGGGATGGCGGTCATGTTTTTAAAGTGTGGGATCCTACCACTAGAAAGATAGTGGTGTCCCGAGATGTGGGCTTCCCACAACCTGGTGACGAAGACGGCATGGGACCAATGCCGGTGCAGCCTACACCCGGTCCTAAGGATCCAGATGATGACAACGACGACACCGTTGGATTCATGCCTGTCTCGCTTAACCACAATGACTCGAAGCCTGACAACAAGCAGCAGCAAATTGTACGCGCGCAACCTGTACAGACGCCTGCTCAGCAGCGAACTGTCCAAACTCCTGTTACGCCGTCTACAGTTCACCTTCCCACGATTCATGGAAGCGTCTCTACATTGCCAGAGACACCGCGTGAGAAAGCACCGCAGCAAAAGGCTATCGTCGCACCCCCGGTGCGACAGCGCAGGCTTTTTCAAACCCAACTACCCATTGCACAAGAAGAACCTCTCATGACTGGAGCAAGGCTAGATATCGCCAAAACCCCCAGAAGAGACCATTCAGCAGGATGCTTCACAGCAAGCTACTCCCATTCAGCAGAGACGGACTGATTTCGAAGAAAGACTTCGCGAAATTACAGCTCAGGTTTCTCAGCTGTCCGAGAGCATGAAGGAAGTTCATGAAGAAGCTGACAACATTGAGAGAACTGCGATCACAGAGCAGAGCTCAGAGACAGCTAGGTCGGATGAAACTACACCTTCCCCGGAGCGTCAGAGAGCGGATTACCAATACCCTTTCTCCTCCCCAATTCAGCAAGCCAGTGTATCGCCGCGTCGTGAGATCATACAGGCAGTAGAGTCAGCAGCAAAGGGTGCAGCTTCAAGCAACGAAAACACGCCTGTCACAGCGAGATCAGAGATGTCACCAAGTCGTGAGATCATCTCTATCCAGTCCTCGCCGGACCCTGCTAGCCCGATTCCCCCACCCCCCCGCCGGTCAAGACGAGACAACATTGGAATTCCTCCTGACCGTTACCATGATCCAAAGCAGAAACACCTCGCCGTCGAGTATGAGAAACGGGACCGTGATATTCAACGAGCTGCTAAGAGAGCACAAGCGAAGGAATCAGGCGGTAACAACATGACGGAGGGTGGAGGACAGGGGTCTGCGGGACCTAGCGGAAATGCAATGGCAATCGCAGAAGACAAGGTTGACATTGACGAACCATTTCTTCATGATGGCAAACCACTCCATGCGAAGGACGTCGATCTACCATCCACATACAAGCAGGCACAGAAGAGCCCTTTTTGGCCCCAGTGGGAAGATGCCATGCAGAAACAGCTTGATGATCTCGCAGCAAAAGGCACATGGAGCCTGATTCTCAAACCACCAAAGGCTAAAATCCTACCAGGCCAATGGAGATTCACAGTCAAAACCAACACCAAAGATGAAGTCTACGGATTTAAAGCACGATGGGTCGTGTGTGGCAATTTCCAGGACAAAAACGACGGAGAAACATACGCTCCTGTCGTCGCTGAATGCATGATCAAAATCGTATTCACACTGATCGCGGTCTACGGTCTGAAATGGGGACAGGTTGATTTCACAGCTGCATATCTTAATGCATCTCGCAAGGATGCTGAGACAGTCTACATGAGACAGCCCACGGGATTCGAACACACCGATGCTTCGGGTGATAAGAATCAATGGGTGTGCACACTGAATCAGGCCCTGTTCGGACTGAGAGACTCGGCCTACTTGTGGAACGAGGAAATGGATGGCAAGCTTCGTCAGATTGGTTTCCATCCACTAGATGATGATCCCTGTGTCTACCTGAAAGGCAAAGGCATGAGCCTAACTATCATGATGATCCACGTCGATGATTTCATTATCGCAGCTCCATCCGACAGTGACGTTCAACACGTCGTTGATGAGCTCAGGAAGTATTATGACATGAAGGATCTCGGTGAACCGAAGCAGTATCTGAACTGCGCTCTTGACAGAGACTACGAGAACAGGACTATCACCATGACGCAGACAGCGTATGTGCAGAAGGTGCTTCGTACTGCTAATGTGTCTGGCTGGAAAGATACACCGCTACCTGCTGCCTGGCGTGAGACACAGGCTGATGCCACAAGTGTACTGGACGACGATGCTTTTGATCAGTATCAGTCTATCGTTGGGATGTTGAACTGGCTGGCTGTCAAGACCAGACCAGACATCCGCTTTGCTGTGACACGATTACAGCATAGGCTTGCAAAGCCTACATTCTCTGATTACGAAACAATGCTGCATGTGGTGAAGTATCTATGCCGTCGTCCAGACATCGGAACTGTACTGGGACGCACCGACGAGCTACGATTTTATGCGCACACAGATGCTTCGCACGCAGACTGGGAAGACAGCAAATCCACCGAGGGATGCATCTGGTATCTCGCTGGATCACCAGTGATGTGGTCGACGAGAAAACAGACGATCACTGCCAATTCGACAACGGTCGCCGAGTGGTGCGCACTGGATCAACCCTGCCGAGATGCAATGTGGTTTAAACAAAGTCACAAGGTCATTCATGCTCCCTGAACACCGCCCGATAGAGATCCACTCGGATAATATCAATTCTCAACTGCTACTTTCGAAGAAGGGAGGCAGATCGGCAAACAGATGGCTTACACTGAGGTGGTTTTTCGTCAAAGATGCGGTCGCACAGGGCCATGTCGAAATCCACCATGTTGATACCAAGAAGAATGCCGCAGACGGATTTACCAAGGCTCTCGCAAAAGACCAGTTCGAGGTATTTGCTAAGCTCATTGGCATGATCTAAACCTACGAAGAAAAATGGAGTTTGACCATGTATGACAGAATCATCTTTTGACATTAAGGCTGTGGAGTGAGTTAGGTTCTGTGAGGGGGATGTTGGATGCCTGGGGCAGGCAAACACGTTTGCTCCAGGCATCACATGAGACAGAACCCATCATCAGATAGATCATGGAAATACGATCTGAATACATTGTTTCTCCATTCTGATCCACACTGTATTACATCGTATTTCCATGAGGTTTTGGCCTACTATGAGGGTGCGTTGAAGCACTTTCAACAACTGAACTGCCGTATGGTTGCGAAGGCATTCATCAAATTTATCGAGCCTCGGAAGTGGGTCCAACACCCTTACAACGGTGGCAAACCACCAGGATCCGTCCCCGGTACTAGTGGTGACCCAGAAAAGACCAAGCCCGAGTGGTGGCCTCTCGGTGTTATGCACAAGGAGCCTGACCACTTGAGAAAAGAGTGTATGATCTCCCTGCGTCCTTGATTGTTGACCTACCTACTTACTTTATTTCCAACAGACCGCATTGGGCTCTTGCTTCACATTATCCGCAAACTCGGTCCTTACGGCATTACTGCCGATAAGCTTAAGGGTGTTGCTGGCGACACTAAGTCGAGCTTGAAGCACCCATCCGATGTCGAGATCATCTACGAGATCCTCCGGGTTCGTAAGATGGAGGAGCGTTTCGAACGAGGTGAAGTCGACGCCAACATAGTCGTCTACATCACGAGCCGCGGCCCTAGCCCTGAGGGTGATAAAGAAGACGACTCCGCCACCTCAGTGGCCACTGAGGGGCCCGAGCACATCAATGTAGGATTAATGAATCCCATCCCATCATTCAAGCGAGCATTTACCTCCTTGAACACACCTACTGACAGTATCCCATTAGCCTGCTCCCTCCCAGGAAGGCTCTCTAAGGCGGAGCCTCTCAACTTCCAGAATCCTGCCCATGACCCCTCCTATGCCAAGCCTCAGCAATACTCCAACTCATCGTCGGAGTCCATGTTCAGCACTCCCATGACAGCGGGGATAATCTGCGCGCACAACGCCTCAGGCTTAGCCTTCGACTACACCGCTCAAATCTACCCAAACTCCACTCCAGGAGTAGCCGGTCACTACGACAGCTGGAGTTAGTCCCTACTCCCCAGTTAGCCCCTACTCCCCAGTATGTCCCTACTGCCCGGTTAGTCCTTACTGCCCAGTAAGTCCCTACTGGCCGGTTGGTCCCTACTCCCCAGTTAGCCCCTACTCCCCAGTATGTCCCTACTGTCCGGTTAGTCCTTACTGCCCAGTAAGTCCCTACTGGCCGGTTGGTCCCTACTGCCCAGTTAGCCCCTACTCCCCAGTATGTCCCTACTGTCCGGTTAGTCCTTACTGCCCAGTAAGTCCCTACTGGCCGGTTGGTCCCTACTGCCCAGTTGGCCCCTACTGCCCGGTTAGTCCTTACTGCCCAGTAAGTCCCTACTGGCCGGTTGGTCCCTACTCCCCAGTTAGCCCCTACTGCCCAGTAAGCCCCTACTCCCCGGTAAGTCCCTAACCCCGGTAAGTCCCTACGCCCCGGTTAGTCCTTACTCCCAGGTTGGTCCCTTCTCCCCAGTTGTTAATGGATACCAACCTCGTTTCTTGCAATAGTCGTCGGTATCAACTATCCAATATCACTCGGTCAGGTATTACATCACTTCTACTAATATGATAGATGGGTGTTTTGCAACATATCATACTATTGTAAAAGCTACTCAAAATTCATCGCTCTTCAATATCTCCTGACCTAGTTCGACTCCCGGTAAGAATAAGTCTGGCAGCCACTGGACCCGTTTATGTCGTATCGCACATGAGGAAATCGGTGATAGTATCAACAGGGAAGCGATCATCAGTCGAAGGAGACCAGGGCATACTCTCATCTTGCTGTTCCTCAGGGACTTCAGTGCTATGGTCACCTGCGGAAAAACCCAGAAATGTCTGTGCGAGAAACTTTTTCAAGTCCTGTAGCACCTCTTCGCGAGCAGAAAGAGCCCCCTGAAGATAATCGTTCAGCTCTCGCTGATACCGGTTTTCTTCAAGAAGTCGTTCGATCTTTTGGCTATTCCGGAAATCATGATGGCTCGAGATCTCATTCAAAGAATGAAGCATTTCATCAATCGCTGGATACAACTCAATGAGACGAGCTTCAAGCTGGTTCGCTTTATTCTTTTGAAGGTTGAGGTTGTTGGACATGATCTGACAAGATTCCACCGCGAATCGCAAAGACGCCTCTTGCTGCGATCGTATATACTCCAAGGCGGTGACTTTCCTCTCGATCTGAAGGCAATAATCCCTCAGTTTTAGATATGTCGAAGAATCCACATCGATTTTAGACTCAAGGTGTCCGTGGTAGCGTCTGGATTCTTGCTCCTGGCGTAATAACTTGTTGATTAGAGAAAAACCGAATTCCTCATGATTGACCGTGGGGACATGTCCCTAGGAAACGGAAACAAGTCAATACTTCTCTGGTATATTATGTTTTACGCTTTCTTCAACCTCGTACGTACCTCAGCAGGGCTGTCCATGGATGGAGTTGCGCCACGTTCTGACATTTCTCTAACGAATAGAAAGGTGACTGGAACTCGCTTTGTCAATGTGGGAGTACCTAATACCAGAGCATATAAAGGTTCAATGGCTTAAACACAAGGATCCGGGAACATGGGTTGCAGCGAAACGAATAAAAGACCCCGCTTTGGCCAGGTATTACGGTAAATGTATGATCGTCTTTGAATTCTCGCGTTCGCCATTGTGCTTGCATTACCCTACCTGCGGCACTGGTTTTGGTAATCCTGTCCAAGTGCGAAACAAGGCACGGCAGCTACCTACTTCCTAACCGCATCTTTGACTTACTAACATAGTACGTATTTTTAGTAGTAGGAGTAGGTACTAGGAAGTAGGGACCGACATGGGATGGGGGGGTGCAAAATGCGCCACACATCTAAGTGTCACAGATACATTTAGAAATATCACGGCCTCCCTTTCGAACAGATTTTCATGCCCCCTTTCCAACCTACACCAAGAAAAAAAGAAAAAAAGAAAATGGACACAAGCGAGAATAGTCTTGGTCACCGAACGAATACCCTCGCGCTTCAAAGACTGCGGTGTTATCAGGGATGCGCAATCATCAAGATACAGCATCTCGTATTTGAATCAAATAGTCTCTCAGGAACCCGAGAGATCGCTGATAAAAATGTGGAGAAACTTCTTAGAATGTTTGAAATCGAAGGCTGCGGCAATCTGGAACCTGAGCACAGAGTTTCTGCGACCATTGAACAGGAGGTTCTGACAAGAGCACTTGAAAAATCAAACGTCACCCGAGAAGCACTTCTGGATCCTACCATACAGCCATATCTCGTATTAGAAGGAGACGATCTCATGACATGTGTATATGGGAAACATCGTTTGAAAGCTGGCGAGAGATTCGGGGAAGTTACATGGCTGGTTGATATCTATTTAGACAGTATGATATCTCAGCAGATGCTGCATTCTTTGAAGGCTAATTGGTATTAGATATCTCGGCTGATGCGCTCGTCCAATTGCGCGAGGAATCGAAGGAAAGTATAAGCTTCACTGTCGGCGAAATATACCGATCCCTCAGGTCATACCAAATTGCACAAAATGCTGCCCTTGAGCAGAAATGGTGGGCTAGACTTGGTTCCGAAGACCGTCGGAAACAGATACGACGCTTGCAAAATGATGCTAGTCGGCGTGACATTCTGGACAAGTTGTTACCGTACGTTGGGCTATGGAAACCTTTGAGATCTTCCCAAATAACAAGGATGTTGGGACTTAAATGCCCAGATGTATGTTTAATACCCGCCTGTTTTATTCATAGCTAACCTCCTAGCTCTTGTATCATTACTTGTGCATGATAAAGGAATCATGGGCACAGTTATTTGGTTCTGGGTACGAGTGGCTTGTTGACTCGGATTCCGTGTACCATATTAAAGCAGGTCCGGCACACAAAATCGTGACTGTTCATCTTACCTTAAGTCCTGAAATACTACACGGTTTGTATCAAAGACGAAAAGATGACCTTCTCGACCTTCCTTCTTCTCGCTAGCCTCTATATATGCGCCGCCCTAGGTGGCACTCTCCAAGTCATCGATTATGACGGCCAATGCGTGATATGGTATTATGATAACCATGGCTGTACGGGACACTCGGCACCTTTTGGTCTCCTTGATGGAGATAGCTGTTCAGGTGAGTGTTAATTCGCAAATATACGACTGGCATTAACGAAGCCCTAGATATAAGCCAGGTTACGCATGGTACACGAAAGGACTACTCCAAATTACATGTGGATATTTGCGGCAAAATAGAAGGTCGGCCTGTTGCATGGATTGAGGTAAACCACAACGGAGTTATTCAAATTTCCAATCAAAATGGAGATGAGACAGGATGCATATTGGAGAACGGATTGAAGGTTGGTAGCTCATGTATTGCTCCCAACATACCTTCTTCGGCATCTTCTCCATCAACATCTTCTCCCCCGCATCGCCTTCATCAAAATCATCTTCCTCGGAATCGACTTCTTCGGAAACGACTTCTTCGGAAACGACTTCTTCGACATCTTCTCCATCACCCGCATCAGCATCGTCAAGTCAAATCTCTAGCTGCACAAGGCCCGAACTAGAGAATCATTAGGGACTGTACAATTCAATGAAGCCCTCCGACTATCATTCATGGTATCTCATCTCCCGCTCCTAGATCGAACGATCACTCTCTCTTTCTCTTCTTACTATACTTGCTCAGATAGAATTGCGTTACACGACCCCATGGTGACCAGATAAAGGTCAGATAGCATTTAAATCTCTTTGGGTATGGTTTTTCCTACCGGGTTTTCCATACCACTAGCGTGAATGCGAAAGAGACTTCCTTACGTTTTGCCGCTCTAAGAATATTACTTTGGGGCCTTATGACCTCGTTCGTAAACCCAGCTTATGATCGAATGTGTACGTGCTTGACTTTTTGTAGACCTGGTTGCGAAGACGTATAGGCGCCAGCTACGAAAATTCAACGGTGAGGAAGACGCCATCATCGTGGCCATGTACACGAACCGTCCCTGCTTTCCACGGACCAAAGTCTTCTGCTTCCTACCTCCCATTCTTGACCACAGACCTAGAGCTTGCTATGGAAATTAGATAAGGTGAAGAAAGATAAATCTTAATTGAAGTCTGTGACAAACTAATAGTTATGCTGTCAATCTAGAATCATTGAATTGTGCAAGAAATGTTCAGTAATGACGAATAGTCTGACGCATAGCAACTTCGTTTCTTGCAATAGTCCGTTTCAACGAGACGATATCACCTGGTCAGTGTTCTGCACATAGTTGTCACCAACACGTATGAACTCCATAAAGAGATCATCTATAGAGCTCATATCCGGATCTTCAAAACTGGTTTGCGGAGTGGTGGAAATATAATCCTCTGGGCTTGGCAATATTTTATCACTCATGATCTCGAAAGTAGTTCCCACTGGCTCTGGCTGAAGCTGCCACTTCCTTTTTCGTTTAACACAATTTGAGCGCGGCTCTTCGATTGAATGTGCATCAAAGAAGTGTCGCCGAAGATGTAAGTTGTCAACATATTTCCTTTCTTCGCAACATGGATGAGGGCAGAACACTGCGGCTGAAGAGTCCGCTGAACCTAAGTGTTCGTCAATATGGTTCAAGAGAGTTGATTTTGTGACCCATTGTTGAAATCTCTCGTCGGGATTCTTGCTTTTGTCGCCTAAGCAGAATGGACAGAAACCAGGGGCAACAAGAGTGGAACGGAAGGTCAGGAGACCACATCGGGGCTTGAGCCCATCGAGATGGCATTTGCAATGATTCTTCCAGGATTTTTCGTTATGGAAAATTTCGGCGCAAAGATAGCAAAATTGAACAAAGCTGCGCTGTACGCGTCGATGGGCGCGCTTCTCGTTCCTGTAGCGCTGCTGGTACTGTGCACCATTTAAAGGATTTTCTTCGACACTGTAGGATATGCTTAGCTCTCCCTTGTGGGGGAATGCTGTCCGTTTATCAGCCTTTTGATCCATAATGCCCTTCAGGTACACTCACTCTAGTATAGACTTCTCGCATATTGGACAACGCCCTCCCTCGGGGGCCATGCCGGGATAGTAAACGGTACGTTCGCTTGACGTGCAAATAGTGACCATGTCTTCCAGGCACTGTCGACCAACTTCACTATCTAGAGATGCCTTCTTCAAGAGATTCTCGCTGAGACGGGAGCGCTCTGGTAGATATTTCTTGTAGATGTCAAAAAGAGATGTTGAGTCGCATTCGGAGAAGTCGTTCCCAGACACATACTCAGCGTATGAAGTATCCCACCAGCTTTTGATGAAATCCTTCTTCCAGGCTAGCAATCTTTTTGCTTTCTTGCTATAAAGACGAGCCCGTTCAAATTGGAGGTGGCTATTTTCTTCCAATCTTCCAGCAATCTCCTGGGTTATGTGGGCAATTCTCTGATTTATCTTCACAATTTCATCGTCAGTTTCGAACTGTGCGATCGTAGCTGCATTGAGATGGAGTGGTACGTTCGGATCTCGGTGATGAGACATGCTTTGTTCCATATCACGGCATTCGTAGTCAGGCTCTAAATCATAGAATAAGGCCTGTATATCTAGTGCCTTGAGTGAAGACTGATATTTCAAATAGGTGTCATGATTCTGGTGATCAAGAGCCTGCCCACGAGTAGCCTGAGAAGCCTTGGCTGAAATTCCTTAGTAATTTTGAGGTATGACGGCACAAATGTACTTACGGTCGATCTTGTTTGCAATGCCTCCTCGAATCCCATGTACACGCAACTGGTCTTTGAACCCGTCGCGCTGGGCCAAGCTGGTGAAGTTGTGCCGCAACGACGAGAAAGTCAATGCTTTCGATGATTTAGGTCCTCCAGAATCAACCATTCTGAAGAATGGGAGATTCTTTACGGTTTCGTCCCATTCTAGGGTCCATGACTCTCTTCCCTTAGGTGGCTTTGCGGCAAGAACCTCTGTTACAGTAGCAAGTCCCTTAAAGGCACCATCCGCCACCCCATGAACGATTACCCAGAAGACAAAACTCATTCCAAGAACTGGATGCTCTCTAAACCAATTCTTTGGCCTGATTCTCTATATTAGCCGTCTTCAATAGGATGATTTTAGCTCGTAAACTTAACAAGGTAGTATCGTCGCGATACCGCCAGCCTTTTATGAATTCGGGATCAATTGTCACCCAGCGTATCAAGCATCCCCTTTCCTTGCTCCATTTGAGATGAAATGAAAGGTGCTGATAATAATTAGCCACTCCATATAATCAAAAATAATATAATCATCAAGATACAAACCCTATAATATAAGCATTGATTTGACTTGCGATAGGCACTTGATTCGACGATAGCGCCTGCTCTTGCACCCGAGCCAGCGAATAAAGAGAGAGAACTTCCCGTCTGCACGCGTACTCTCTCATGTACATAATCGTGAGAGTCATCCACAAACAGGTGTCGAAGCAGGTAATCTATGTCCTTTCCGTTGACCAGGAAGCGCTCTCTGGGCTTTGTAGGGAGCTTATGTTTCACTGTTAATTCGGTTCTAATGAACTATTGTTTTCTTTAATTAGCTGCGAGCTCTAAAAAAAGGATAGTGGTGGCCCCTTACGTTAAGAACATCATTCTTGACTTCCCTGGGAAGGGATCGAGAAGTTTCTCGCTCCCACTTTGACGTAAAGCTGGTGAAGTGACCACAAGCCGAAGTTTGAGACGGAATTCTTTTGCATGATTTGATGTAAAACTCTGCGAGAAGTTTCAGAAGCTCGGGAGTCGGAACAGGCAGGTTTGGAAAATCTGGGTCAGTGGACTCATTACGAGAAATCCTCCATCTGCTGATAATTAGGAAATAATATCGGTGAAATATTAGTCAAACATACAGAGCCCAATTGCTAACCGCATAGTCGTATTTCTCTAGCGTGGCAGGCGCTAGCTCAGGGTGGCAGATAGTATTCCCTCTTTTTCCTTCTCGTCTTGATATTCACGTGTGAAGCCACGTGATATTGCACGTGCAAGACGCTCCTGGAGTGCTTTCGGGATATTCTGTTCGGAGAACATATCTTGAGTGGTAAAGAGAATCAACGAAAATCATGGCAGAGTAAGAAACCGGCCTTAGGGCTGGTCTTAAATATTGTTCTTGGAGCGGGCTTAGGATTCGAATGAGTTGGCCCCTATCACCCATACGGTGAGGATTGTCACCCCGTTCTCACCCCGTTCTCACCTCTCTCACCCTAGTCTCAAAACTTCTCACCCATATCACCCGCACTCACCTTGGAGTGCCGCTTGGGTGCTAGAGGCAAATTGAGTATTGACTGTGCAGAATATGTGGCTTAAGTACGGCTGAGCGGACGGGAAGCCCTGTTTTCCACACCCTATGGTCGTATGTACTAGACTATGATCGAATACTAATTATATAGACATGCCGTGGTAGTAAATGCCTCTGAGCTCAACGAAACCCAAACTGGGTTGCCCATGAGGGGCCAGGGATGGAAGTCGCAGCAAATCTTTGGGCTATGTTTATATTAGAGGTCACGGGACCTCGCTTGCTCCTGCACACATTATTATTAGCTAGCCTCTCATGTACGCATCTCTCCCTAGATAGACGCATATGATATTTATTCAAAGCACTCTTACGTTCACACTTTGCTACTATAGCACATCTGTGATCTGTCCACTTTACTGTGTACACAGACCCTAGCTGGTGTTACCAACAGATACTATCCGCATTTCGAATAGTATGGTATCCCCTACAGGTCGTATTTGGCTCCATTCTGAAGACTTTGCACCGTCGGGCTCCCCCGTCGAGTGATAGTGAAGCGTCCGACACATTGAATTCAACGACTGTAGGTTGTAACGGCTTCTGCTTATTATACTTTGACTCACAGATGCAGGATGATTCGGCTATGATTGCAGGCGAGCAAAATACTTTGTCCCATATTGAGATCATCGAAGTTCGTCGATATCACCCTCCAGGGGTTTCGGAGATCATTGGGCGCGGTGGCGAAAGCTTCATCGGTCTTATCGATGATTCGACGGTTTTGAAATATCCTTGCATCCCTGGAAACCTTGAAGGCATTCATATTGAAGCCAAGCTTCTCGAAGTCCTTGGAAGCCACCCCCGAATTATCGCCTCAAGGGGCCTGACTGAACACGGTCTTATTCTGCAGCGCGCATCGAATGGATCTTTGAGTGACTATATTATATCGCAATCCGTTATTCCTTTCGACAGGCGGTTGCTTTGGTGCAAACAAGCTGCCGAAGCAGTTAGTTATATCCACAGGAAACACGTCATTCACTGCGACATAAATTTGAGAAATTTCCTACTTGACAAGAACCTTGATCTACAGCTTGCAGACTTTCAGGGTATGCTAAAGTCACTCAGCAACGAAACTTTACTGGATGGACTTTCTCGGGAGTGCTCAAAGTCATATTTGCCCCGTGATAATGGGGACTTTGCATGCGTGAAGACTGATATATTCGCGCTCGGTTCCGCTATCTACTTCATAATAACAGGACATGAAGTCTTCCCAGAGCTGGACAGTTTAGAAGACGATGAAGAAATCTCTTCTCGATTCCGGAATGGACTATTCCCCACGGAGAGTCACGCTTGTTCCACTATCACGGAAAAATGTTGGACCCAACAATACTTGTCCGCTGATGACATTGTCCATGATCTTTCTCTGATTGGAGCTGTCAGAGGGCCTATTGAATAACACTGTGCAAGTGATTGTGTTTTTGCCAGTATGGCTTGTTTCTAAATTGATTTTCTAGTTACTCCTTCTATCTCTCTCGCTCCTTAGCCCATATCCGCTCCTGGACATTTGGGTGCGTTTTGCCAGTCGATGATTTGTGAGGGGTGAGCGGAGAGGTCGGAGATAGCGGGAATGGTTCAACTCCCAGATAGAGATTTGGATGGCATCAGCATTCTTCTTGAGCTTGACAAGAATACTGACTTTGACGGATGAGTGTATGCCCTCTAGCTAATGTCGATCGTCAAGGAGTAAGTGGCCGCTCGTCTCCGAGTTTCCGACCTCCATGACGATCGTAGGATTGTTATCAGCGGCCGGGCCCCAGCATCCATCTGGCTCAGCAGAAATGTCCCCAAATGTGTAAAGTGGGGCGAGATTAGACCAAGTTGTGGCCCGATCTATTCCGGCAGCCTGAATGGTATGTTCTCCTTCCAAGTAGATGAAAGGTATTCTTGTCACTGCTCTTCGTCGAGATATTTACGACGGTTCGGGCTTGTCACATCCGAGATAAAGGTGACACCAGGATAGCCAGCAAGATCCGCGAACAGCGCATATGCGCTCTGAAAGATGAGGAAAGTCGAGGTTGTGCTGTAGATCCCGTCGAGTTCTATGGTGTACGCAGGTGGGAGGGTCTCCATCCACGTGAGGAACCTTTGGAGCTGTTCCTGCGTCATGTTTTCGGTGATACGAACCGAAAACACTGCACGCAGAGAAGGGGTGATCGTGCTCGGATGAACCCGCGTGACGCCAGTGAAAGGGAAGCAGACGGATACCCCTAACTTCACTTGATGGGTTGGCTTGACAGCGGGGCTGTTCGCTCGAATAGCCGCCATAACTTCCGAAAATATCACGAAGCGATGGCCATCGCGCTTGCACCGAGCAATCTCGCCCCGCAATTTTCCGGTCAAGGTATTGCGCGGTGGTGCAAAGGCCACGGGAGTGCTGTCATCGCTCGCAGAAAGAACTTCGACCGTGCGAGTCGTGGGATTAGATGCCCGCGTTGCGACATGCGAATAAGAGCAATCCAGGACGAAGATGGTGTCTGTGTCTCCGATATCCATGTCTTCCGATATGCCCTGGATATCCCCCGCCACCGCGGAATCAATGATCCTCTGGAAATTGAGGCTTCGGCGGGACCGGCCTTCAACAGCAAAGAGCTGTCCAGTGTTTACCGCCCCATGCCCAGCATAGTGAATCAGGACAATAGATTTTCCAGGCGCTGTTGCTGCACGTCGGAAGACGCGCCGAATCGCATCGTCCAGTGCCCAGCCTGGGGTCACATCCTGTTCCCCTAGAACCACAACCTCGGCTTGGTCGAGGTTGAGCGTGCTCAGGATGGCCTGAAAATTCTCGGTGTCCACGGCCGCATCTGTGTTGTCCCTTTCCCAACGTACACTCAGCGCGAAAGAGTTGCTATACGTTCGGCTGCGGTTATTCACGACGCGAGTGATTGCGTCCTCAAACTCTACGCGAGTAATTGTGTCGGCTGCCATGGTGGCTGTATGGGGTTGTATTGTAAAAGGACTGGATGTTTGAGTCTGTGTCGAGGGGTTGTTAAAAGATCTGTGGTTTGAGTATGTGTAGATGGTTTGCAAGAAGAGCTGGGCGTGGGCGTGTGGGAAGGAAGGTACTGTGACTCATGGGAAGGTTTGATGGAAGGTCTAGAGCAAGCCTTGTGATGGAACATGGAATGAGGGAAGGACTACATGTCATATGACAGGAAGAACTGGCTGTAGTGCTTTTATTTCTTTCTCCTGTTTCTTTTCTCTTTTCTGTTTCCCCAGTCTTGTTACTTTTGAGCACAGGAATTGCAGCTCTGTTTCCTACTGGCCGTAACACAGTAGTGAGAGCCGTAGTAGCACGTAGTAAGTACAGCTACATTGTTCAGGAACGGTACCAGATTGCCAAATTAGGCTTAGTCAAATAGCTAATCGGATTTCATTTCCATGGTTCAGTCTCATGCATCAAACAGGAGTCGGAGTAACTACGTTTTCAGAAGGCAAGAAGACACTCGTGTTAGCTCGCCAGTTGGCCCGAGTAATTGAAAGGCGGTCGTGTTGGCTCGCCAGTTGACCCGGAGGTCTTCGGCTTCTCTAACCCTCGGCTACCTAAGGGCTCTTGTAATGCAATGATAATGACATCCCATTCATTCCAGTAATCTATCGCATTCCCCATACCAAAAGAGATCAAGGCTAAAACACATCCAATCAGACCCTAGGCAGCCGGACCCGCAAAGCTCTTGGAGACAAAGACGTCGCTCCCCCGTGCGCATCCAACCCAAACTCAAACTCATGAAGCCCAACACTACCATAAACCATAGACTCAAGCAAAATCCATGAAAAGCAAGACCCAAGCATTGGCCCCGCATCTTTCGGGATAGGAAGCGCATATATAACAGCCGAGAACGACATCCGCCCTTCAGCCTGCAATCCACTAGGCTGAAGACGAATAGTCAACGCAGAGCGATCCGCAACGCCCTGCAACGCCATAATACTCCCAATCATATCGACGGAGTCATTAATCCACTCAGAAACCACCAATCCGGGACCCTCATCGGCGGTGATGGTAATCGAGGAATTAACATTAGAATAGGCACTCTCCAGGGCATAGGTGCCCCCAAATCGTTCGAGAGCTTGGTTTTTAGCAATCTCATCAAGTGCAGGAAGCAGAATATCCGCGGTCATCTCGGCGATCGTTGCTGTCAGCTGATGGGAATTGGGGCCGGCAACTAGCACTGTGAACCCGGCATTGTGGTCTGGGGAAAGTGCGAAGGAACTCGAATATAGTCCGATGTCGCCGGCTTTGGTATAGAGATCGACACGGCGGGGGAGAAGATATGAGTAAATTTCCCAAGGGGCGCCGACAGAATTTTGTAGGGAGGAGGTATGCGAGAGCGGCTTTAGCCAGCGTCTTGTTGTGGCGGGGTCGATGAGTGCGTTGGAGAGGATTGCGCGTCCAAATGTGGACATGTCTTTTGCCGAGGAGAAGATGCCTCCGGCGCTGGGCAGTTGTTAGTGGGATTCACATTAACCTGCGAGAGATGGAACTTACGGGGCTTCCTCGCCGATGTCATAGCTGAACCAGCTGTAGGTCTCGTTGTAGGGGACCACGGCCAAGCTCGCGTCTGGGGCATTCAGGTAGGATCGTGTTAGGTTTAGGGGCTCGATAAGACGGCGGAGTAAGAGTTCTTCATAGCCAGTATCTGCTATGGCTTCCAATGCGTAGCCAAGAATTTGGTATCCTGCATTCGAATATATTGGTGTATGAGAGGTGAGAGTCAAAGGATCTGTGTGAATAGAACATTTTAGGTATGTATCAAGTGTTCGCCGCGTTACAAGACTCACGCATATTGAGAAATCCCTTGAAGAATTCTTGATCGTTGTCCGAAGTCAGTAGAATATTCAAATACTAAGACAAGCAGGCATGGGTGACTGACCTTTTCTATCACACTGAATGGTATTCCCACAGGCCAACTCCTCACCATTGAACAAAGGAGGGAATCCCATAGTCTCAAGGTGGCTTGACTGGAACCCAAGGTCTCCAAATGCATCTAACTCCCAAGTCAGCCGCAAATTGAGACCATCAGATGAAGATGCTTCATACAGTCTCTCGCAATACCAGCTTGGTGACTAGCCAATTCACCAATAGTTACCTCACTCCAGGACACATGATCAATATCATTCACCGCTTGTGTTGCGTTATACTTAACCCGCAGTTCAGGCACATAATTCGCCACTGGCTCATGGAAGTATCGCGTTCCATTCAAGGTCATGTATAGGAACATCGTCCACAACTTTGAGACACTCCCAATGCGGAATATAGTATTCTCATCAACCTCCCTGACACCCACAGAACCAGTCTTGACAATCTCGTCCGTAAGGTAGAACCCATAAGCTGCGTCGTCCTCGTCGCCACTGAAGATTTGCGCAGCGGCCGATATAAAAGGCAGCGTTCCATTCTCAATGGCTTCATTGAGCTGCGCGGTCAATTCCTCCGCTTTACTCAGGAACACCGGGTCTTGCGACAATCCTGTAGGTGCAGGGTATGCCGGTCCGAGGATGGGACATCCTATTGGTTTCTGGGCTCTAGCTACGAGAGCCAGTGAGCCTAGTAACATCCAAAACGAGCGCATCGCGACAATCAAGCAGTTACTCAACCGGGAGACGCAGGTGGATGTCTGTATGATATCGCAGATCCCGGGGAAAGGAGATGTTATAAGTATTTTTTTTTTCATCATTCTTCGCGACAGACGTACATCGGCAGCGATCGACCTCCTACCCGTCCGGGGTGGCATTCCAGAGGATGTCTAGGGTTACAATCCGTGGACCGTTATTTACGCCAACGAATGCTCAAATTAATTAAGCTTATAAGAGATCGGGGATGTCACAATCGCATTGGACAGACGTGGGGTCATTGACACGTTGATGGGCGTGCGAACGCCCCAGATCTCGAGAACAAAGAAACGTGCCGCGAGTCCGTGACTGACTGAGATCTGAATGCATCGTTGTCTCTTCCGGGTCCAGGGGGCTTTGGTCGTCTCTCGCCCTCTCAACCCCCTCTCAACTCCTTCTCAACTCTCCCTCTAACCCCTCCCAAGTCCTTCTCAAACCCCTCTCAGACCCCTCTCGTGTTTAAGCTAATGAGGCCAACGCGTCCTCTACAGCCTTGCCAGCGCAAAGATTATTCCCACCGCTTTGCTGCTTCCAATCTCGGTGCGCGACAGTGTGATAGCGTTTGACTATCGCTTAGCTGCATAAGGCTGCTTCTGGTACATGGTACATCGGAGGATGCTCGTTTTCGACGCGCTACTCGTGTCTAGCCGATGCTAGTTTATCTTGGCATGTGAAGTTCTTTGTTTGATGTGGAGGCTGGTGGAGGGGCAGAGATCGGGTGTGATTTTCCAGAGTCCTTGGGATTGTTAAAACAAAGGGGAAAAGCAACGGAAAATTCTACGAGAATTCGATGGCCGAGGGGGAAAAAGCAAAAACAATAACAAGCAATAGTCGAGAAGCCCTAGAAAGGAGGCTCCAATAATCACGTGATGAATATCCCTTTCTTTTTCGGACTTTCACGTGAAGACAACCCGTAGATCAATTAATTCAATGTAAAGGAAAAAAGATGGAGACTCGCCATCTAGTTTATTACTACAGCCACATCAAACACAGTAATGTGAGGTAGACTGAGTGACTGACGTCTAGAAGATACGGCCACTCTTCGCAGCACCGGGGAAGTCGTCCTTGAGCGCCTCCCAGATTGGCTTGCCTCCCTGCTGAAGATCCTTGAATGCAGGGCAGGCGAGGTCGAGCAGAGGCGCCTTCAGGATGTTGGTCACGAATTCCAGCGGCTTAGCCAGGGTTGAGTAGATCCCGCTAAGCGCGTTGGGACTGGCGAATTTCAACACTTCGGTGACGAAGCACAGCAAGTTGTTATCCTTGAGCAGGTCACCCGAGTTCAAAACACCACCCGTCACATCACCGAGGTCAAGTCCGGCAAAGCTGTTGACCTCGCCCGTGTTTCCTCCGATGCTGTATTGAAATCACCATTAGCGAGCTGTATCAATTTGAGAACTTAGCACGACACCCTTACCTTCCAAGCTGAGGATACTTCGAGATAAAGTCAATAGTATCGAGGTTAAGCTGGATGAGTCCATAGTCGACAGGAGTCTTGTACCAGTTCTCAGGAATTCTCTCCCATCCTTCACGGTAGGTCAAATTGCCTTCCTCGCCATAGACTCCGTAGAAGCTCCTCACGATCTCCTTGGCTGAAATGGGGGTTAGCGTGTCTCGATAATATGCACTCATGCCTCGCAAACCGGCCGAGTCAGAGACTTACTCAGAACACCTTCAGGATTCTCGCTAGAGTGGTTGCGGAACAGACGACCGGGGAAAATATAACCAGCATTACGGGCAATGAGACCAGTCACGGGTCCGTAGTAGAAGTCTGGGTTAGTGAACTCGGTCTGCTGGAAACGGATACTGGCACGCTTGGCCATGAGGTCCATGTCGAAAGTGCCGTCCTCGGACATGTTGTACCAGGACATGAACTTGTCCATGTTCATGGTCCAGCTGTTGCCGGTGACGTAGAGGTCATCACGGGTGTTGGAGGAGTCGGATTCGATGAAATTGTGGGAGCCAATCAGTCCCTGGGGCTCGCCTGCGAGAGATATTAGCGGTCGAAATTCATCTACAAGAAAGTTGAGCCGCGCTAACCCAAAACTCCTCCGAGATTGTTCAACAGGTTGTTGACACCAGTGTCGCGGCCACCGATGGAGAAGCTGGGATCGAGGGAGATTGCGTCTCCGGTCCAGACGGTACCCATGAGTGCGAGAATGGTGGCCAGATCGATGCCCATGCCATACACTATGCAGTAAAGATCAGCATATGCTGCATTTGTGACGTCTTGATGTGAAATATAGGTACCTTTGTTGATTGCTGCAATCACTTTCGCAAACTGTATTCACAATTAGCCGGAGAGCTGATGTCTACACTTCTAGCGAATGACGTACCGAGACAACACCCTTGCGGGGAATATATCCGTGGTTTGCGAGCGCATTAAGACCAGGGCATGGACCACGCTGGTCGCCGGCCTCAAAGTTGGGGGGTTGGAATGCATGGACGCCACTGACTATTCCACTTTGTTAGGGCTAAACATGCTGGAAGTAAAAGCTTATCGCTCACCATCAACGGGTTTCTTCATCAAGCTGAACAGGAACCGCTTGTCGAGCAAATTTTCGTCATGGCTCCTGCTGTGGATTTTGGCTTCTGGGACCGTTGTAAAGTACTCATCATCCGCAGCAGCGGCAGCAGCGGCGGCATCGACATCGACAAATGGGCAACGCTTGTGCAAAGCCTGGTGTCCGGAGTGGGCGTTAACGCCAGCGCCGACTCCTGCGCCGGGAAAGGCGGACACGAGGGAAAGAGGCCAGAGCAATAGCCCTGCAGTAAAGATGCGCATTGTAAAAGAATGTATTGAATCCTCCACTAGAATTACCAGAATTCCCCAAAAAGCAAATGATATGTAACGAGCGACTGAACAACAAACTTCCAGAAGAGTGGAATGCTTTCCCTTAGATACATACGTACGGCAATTCTAGGGCTTGGTTTAATCTCCGAGATGGTACCAACGCCGATAAATGAGGGCCCCATGAGTGGCCCCCGTCTAGGTAGATCAGCGTGTAAGGCCATACCCGATTTGCGAATAACGCAAAAGGGAGTAGATGTGCATCTTGAAAAGATAGCAGGATGTGTATGGGAAGTGTATGATATGTATTACAACTGTTGTATACACGATGGATGGGGTACCCTGGTATTCGCTTAAGATAGGGGGACTCCACTCCAGGAAAAATTAGGCACACCGTCGAGACAAGCCCCTTTGTTCGCCAACATAGCCATTCGAGCGGCTCTTGGCTGGAACGTGGTCGTTTAATTCTAAAAGGTTGATCAGGTCCTCATGGAGAATATTCGGGACCCGTGAACGCTCTCGTGGCTGATTCAAGGCTTGCAAAGGAAGGGTGAGGTGGACTCCATGGCTTGCACATGAAACACGCCTTTGTGGAAGAGGTGAATCTTAAAGACGCCTCCGGAGATCAAACCTGAGTTTGCTCCGTACTAAAAGCGCCAAGGGGACTAAACCGAGCCTACGATGGGATCCATATGGCTCGGGATATAAGAGCGATCTTTATCCTAGATAGGCAGGAAGGGAAGTCTGCTTCCCGCTGAACTTCGTCGCTTCGTTCCGCTACATAGGTCTGGACTATTTGCACAATTGCACAATTGCACAATCTGCACTATCCAAACAACGTTTCTGATTCTTTTGGTTCGGAATCATTCCCGCTTCTACCTAAAATTCGAACCATGGAACAAAGCTTTGCTCGACGATTGTAGTTACCGAGGACGGAGAAAATATAGTTAGTGTGAAAGTTGACATTAGCCGAGAATAAGTGGAGAACAACATGTCAAAAGTACCGTAGATCAGCGGCTCATTAAACGCTTGAGCTTGAGAATGGCCGCTCAGGCCGATTTATATGGGGCCCTCTAGAACGTCTAGAGCGTGGACGAGAAACTGGGGAATGACTCGTATAAGCTGCAGATCCTAATTTCTTAATGAATTGACGTGAGGAACTAGCTCGTAAAGGTTATTCATAGTACCCGGTCACATTGTAATACACAGTAGGTGTTTATCACAGTATTGGAGCCATTGGACCCATTGAGTTCACTACCTAAAGCGCAACTGCCGAGACACAACTAGTGCGATTAACATGCAGCTCCATTACCACATCGCCGGGGTCGAGAGAAGACGGGAACGCGTTCTTACCTTGGCAATCTGCGAAGGCACATCAAGATCTACGAAAAATGGCAATCTCCCAACGAGAACGAAATGCGGCACCTTTAACTGGAAAAAAGTGCATGCATGCGCTAACATTCCCAACAGGGAGGTGGATGTACATCAAATTGTTTTTATTTTCTCCCCGGCGAACGGATCGTCGTGGATCTGACAAGATCCAGTTCTCCTGGCTAGCTTGGTCATAATCAGCCCAGATCTCCTTCGTGAATTTCTTGCGACTGCAAACCACATCGCAACTGCCATCATGCGCGTGTTCAAAATTGCAGCCCTCGTGGGCGCCGTGTGTGCGACCACTGTCATAGCAGCTGGACCTGCTGAAATGGCGGCTGTTTTGCCTCAATGCGCTGTATGTGGTGCAATATCTCTGCCCCTCTTTCGGGGGAGATCTCGATAGGAAGATTGGAGAACAAGATACTGACATTGTGAAGATGAAATGCATGATGACTTCGGTGTCGGAATCGTCCTGCGCGCCTACTGACCAGGCGTGTATGTGCAAAGACGCTCATTACACTGCGGTGCTTGAGAAGTGCGTCATGTTGACTTGCAATATTCACGAATCCTTAAGTGAGTTGGAGAGATTCGAACTCCGCCAAACCTCATTGCTAATATGGTCAAGCTACCAAAAATGTCACGTCAACAGCTTGCGGAGCTCCTATCCGGAATCGAACAAAGCTTGTCTCTTATTCCGGCGTGATCGGTGGAGTTCTAGCTCTTATAGCTTTTATTCTTCGAATGATAGCCCGCTTGAATGTCTTTGGTGGTGTGTTCGGTATGGATGATTGGACAATGTTGTTGACAATGGTAATGCCCATTCTGCTTCTCGACTTTGGATCCCCTTCTCACTGAAATTTGACAGATTCTTCTTATTCCACTCTCGGCTCTCTCTGTTGTTTGTATGACTTCCTCTTCTGCTGGTTTCCAAATGCTCGTTAAAACTAACCATTCTATAACAGTGGCCGACACCGGCTTAGGAAGGGATATGTGGACCATTCCCTTCGAAAATATTACCCACGTTCTTTATGTGAGTAATGAGATCGTGCTTTTATTGCAACGCCAAACTAATGATATCAGATTTACTTCTGGGATGAATTGCTCTATCTGAGCATCCTGCCGATGACCAAGATATCAATCTGTTGCTTCTATCTTCGCATCTTCCCCGATAAGAAGTTCAGGCTAGCAACTTATATCACGATTGGTTTGAACGTCGGCTACCTTATTGCTTTCGTTCTGATTTCAGTGTTCCAGTGCAAGCCTCTGCCAGGCGCATGGCACCGCTGGGACAATCCGGAAGCTTACAAGTGCAATGCTATCAATGCACAGGGCTGGGCTGCAGCTGTCATTAACATGGTCCTCGATATCACGGTCATGGTTCTTCCACTGCGCCAGCTATACCACCTGAACCTTTCCGTGAAGCGCAAATCATACGTGATGTGCATGTTCGGTCTGGGTATCTTGTGAGTGTCCTGATGTCCTTTTTGCCATCTATCAAAGACTAACACATCAATCAAGTGTCACACTCGTCAGTATCTTGCGTCTGAATTCACTCATTCACTTTGCCTCTACAACCAATCTGACCTGTGAGTCTTTCCCAATCTTCTGCTCTCCGTGAATACAACTTACTGACAGCTTACAAAGGGGACTACGTGAGCATCGGGTACTGGAGTACCATTGAATGCGACGTTGGAGTTATCTGCGCGTGCTTGCCCGCCATCCGATCCCTACTGCGCCGCGTCGCCCCTGGACTCTTCGGGGACACTCAACACACCAAGTCTGGCTACGGGGTGAACTCCCACTCCCGCGGAAACTCCCGAATGGGCATCGGCAATTCTCAGAGCAAGAATGATTTCTACCCGCTCGATGATGTGGAGCATTCCGATGAAGCCCGTCTCCACCACCCACACCCTGTGTAAGCCAAAAAAGATGACACTGTGCCTTTGAAAGGGGGCAGTCCTTCCATTCTCTTAATACCTCTTCTATATGTATCCATATTTATCTTATTCCCCCAATTTAGGTAGCACTTCTACCAATTCAAACCAATCAACCTATGACACTCGAGATGTACATTTCATATTCACTATTCCGTAAAGCATGAAGGTATCCGAGAAGCACCTGCCAGCCTTCTTCTTACCCCCCGAATATTAGATTGTAATACTAGAGCCCTTCAGGGGCCTCTGTTCAAAGAAGGGAGTTACGGAGTAGGTACACCCGCTAAAATAGTAACTACTGCAACAATAAGGGGCTGGCGGGACGAGAATAGCCATTGTGCCCTCTTTCACAAGCTCCAGCGTAGGATGACTGCCGAGTGGTATTCCGGCTTCAAAATCCCCATTGCCCCACTATGAACATGCAGTCAAATCCACTCCTTTCAACCTATTGCATGGCTGAGCGGGATAGCAAACGCCCCCAAAACGGTCGACCATACTCCGTCCCGTGTTCCCCGTAGCCTCAATGGAAAATACCCAATACAACCCGATTAACCGAAGCTTATGAAAAATAAAATACATAGGGCTAGCTAAACTAGCTCCACCGTTAGAATGGCTTTCATCTAAGGCCTCGTGGGATCGGCATGTCAAGCGGCACATAGCAGACGCTAGACGCTCGGCACGAGGGTCGAGACAAATGCGGAGCTGGTTATTGGTCGAATAGACGGAATAAACCCACAATAACATTGTTTTTGTTTATTGTTTGCTTTTGCCTTTTGCGGCCAGAGATATTCAGATTTGAGAGAGCAAATACGGAGTACGAGGAGTTATTGGAATGGGGGGGGACTATCAATCTTGTGTACTCCGTAGGCTACTGCAGTTATGATGGTCTAGTTGAAAAGCGCTGATTTAGTGGCGTACCGGCAGGATCAGTTATGAGACAAGCTAATTTTGAAGGAGGAAGCTTATGTCGATCACATTCACAGAAAATACACGAAGAAAGATACGATGGAGTCTCGCTAAGGAAAGGGGAGGAGACGGGGAGGGGACAAGGGGAGGCTTAGTGTAGAAGGCCGGAGTGCCGGACTGACGTTTCTAACGGCTTTTAAAATAGAGAAGAAGTACATAGAGGGTCTTTGTTGGTCGAGTCACTCTTTTCATTTGGTTTACTTTCGTTTGCTGTTTTTTTTTCTTTCTTTTTGGAGAATCCTTTGGAGTACGTCTCCGTCCTCTCGTTCGTCATGCGTCTTTCTGCAGTGGTTGGACTACTGTCCACCCTTTCGCTTGCCTTGGCTTCGTAGGTGCCATCCAGTCAATTGCCTAGAGTTCGGAAACTAATGCCAAGGACAGTGATCATAGAGCAACCCACCGTGTTCATGATGCATACAAGCGATCTAATCAGACTACCACTGCCAGCCCCGACTATGACTATGTGGTGGTTGGCTCGGGTCCTGGAGGTGGTCCTCTAGCAGCACGATTGGCCATTGCTGGATTCAAGGTCCTTCTGATTGATGCCGGAGACGACCAGGGAAATGCCACTCAGCAGATGGTTCCTGCTCTGCAGCTTCAGTCTACAGAGTATGAGCCCATGAGATGGGATTACTATGTCAACCACTACCAGAACTTGAGCCGTCAGGAACAAGACTCCAAGATGACCTATCGCAAGCCCGATGGTGAACTTCACGTTGGAAGCAATGCCCCCAATGGCTCTGAGCCTCTGGGAATTCTCTATCCCCGAGCTGGTACTTTGGGTGGATGCTCTGCCCACAATGCTATGATGTAAGTGATAGCTTCCTGGGGACCCCTTGTGATACTGATTTCCGGGCGTGCTGACCAGTCTCCCAATAGCACTATCTACCCCTACGAGAATGACTGGGATCAATTGGCCGGTCTCACAGGCAACGACTCTTGGTCTGCCAAGAACATGCGCAACTACTTCAAGAAGCTCGAGCGCAACCGATATGCGCCCAGCAGCTTAATTGGCCACGGCTTCGACGGCTGGCTTACAACCAGTCTGACAGACTTGCGTCTCGTCATCGAAGACCAGAAGCTCCTGTCCCTGATCTTGGCCGGTGCCACCGCTGCCGGGAAATCGCTGATTGGAAAACTGGTCACTACCGTCGCCGGCCTTGGAGGCATCCTGACGCGTGACCTGAACAACGGCCTCCCCTTGCGCGATCACGAAACAGGTCCCTTCCAGGTGCCTCTAGCCGTGGATGTTCCCGAGTACAAGCGCACCGGTCCCCGCGAGTTCCTAATGAAGACCATCAACGCCGTGAACAAGGACGGCTCGCGCAAATACCACCTCGACCTCCAGCTGGACACTCTCGTCACCAACGTCCGCTTCGACAAGTCTGGCCCCACGCCGCGGGCCACGGGCGTTGACTACCTCACCGGAAAGAGCCTGTACCGCGCCGACCCCCGCGCCTCTCGCACAGAAGCCAATGGAAAGCCCGGAAGCGTCAGCGCCGCCCGCGAAGTCATCCTCTCTGCCGGCACTTTCAACACCCCGCAACTGCTGAAGCTGAGCGGCATCGGTCCCAAAGAGGAGCTCTCCAAATTCAACATCACCACTCTAGTCGACCTCCCCGGTGTCGGACGCAATCTGCAGGACCGCTACGAGTTGGGCACAATCGGCAAGTCGCCCACCGACTTTGTCCTCACCTCCAAGTGCACCTTCATGTACTCCATGCCCGATCCCTGTCTGGACCAGTACAACAACGACCCCATCTTCAAGGGCACGTACACTACCAACGGTATCGCTATCGCCATCATCCGCAAGTCATCTGTCGCGGAGAATGAGCCAGACCTCCTGATCAGTGGCGCGCCTGTCAACTTCCCTGGCTACTACCCCAACTACTCCTACGAGGGTCTGAAGGATGCCCAGCACTGGACCTGGATTACACTCAAGACACGTTCCCGCAACAATGCCGGCACAGTCGAGTTGAAGTCTACCGACCCCCGCGACATGCCCCAGATCAACTTCCACTCGTTCGACGAAGGTGTGACGGAAAATGGCGGTGACAGCAAGGATCTGCAGGCCGTGTACGAGGCTATGGAGTTTTCGCGCACCATCTTCAAAGATCTTATCCCCCTTGACGGTGGATTCGAGGAGGTCTGGCCCGGTCCTAATGTTACTACCGAAAATGACATGAAGGACTTCATTAAGCGAGAGGCTTGGGGTCACCATGCTTGCTGCACGGCTGCTATTGGAGAAGATAATGATCCTATGGCTGTGCTGGATGCGGATTTCCGGGTTCGTGGTGTTGACGGTCTCCGTGTCGTTGATGCTTCTATTTTCCCTAAGATTCCGGGTTACTATGTTGCGTTGCCTATTTATATGATCAGTGAGAAGGCTGCCGATGTCATCATTGCCGATGCTGTATAGTCTGGGGCTGGTACCTTGTCTTTCGTTTATTTCTGTTTTGGAAAGTCTCCCTTGCCATTCTTGTATAACTTCTCGATCGAACATCTTATGGCATCTTGGATGTCGTTCTGATGTTCCTTTGGGTCTCCATATTTGTATAAAGCCTAATAGACCTCAAAAACTACTTTGGAAGCTTTTCTTAAATGTACTATGGTGAAGAATATTGATTTCTCAACTACTTAAGCGAAAACGAAAGAGCCAGCCCTTACATTCAAGCTAAGACATATCACTAATCTAGAGGTATAGAATACAATATATGTAAACCAAATCAGCTATACAGAGTCAAGTACCCGCTTCCGGATTGCTGCCCTCCACGATAAATCCATAAGCTTAGGGTTGGTCAGCTCAAGATCAAACCTCAACTGCGGCACATCACGATGATTCCACACAAAAGCCCTCGCAATCCTCATCGACCCCCTAGGCCAAGCCCCAAGCACAAGACAAGCAACCGCCTTCCCCAGTTTTGTCCCAAGCAGCTCCGCGAAAGGCAAAGTCCCACGCTCAATCTGCACAGGCGGCTTATCAACCGCCTCCCACCACTGCATTCCAATATAATCCGGGAACAGCGTGCCCTGCATCCACTTCCCCGTCTCCATTTCTTCAAGATCAGTGAAAACAATATGTCTCAATGTCTGAATGGGCCAACTGGCCGTATACAGACCCCGCATAACCTCACTAAGATACAGACCGTCGTTCCGAATGGCAAAATCGACGACAATAATCCCCTCGGCCATTCGGCCTTCGAAGTGGTTGTCGGGATATGGTGTCTTTCTTGTACCGGGAGCGCTGCTCTGTGAGACCCTGGCCTTCAAATATGCCCGCTTGGCTTTATCGGACAGTTGCAGTGATTCAGGATCCCCGCCTCTGAGCTGGGACGTCATCGACACGCCCCCCTCGTCGAACGATCCCCACGGTCGGGGGTGCAGCTTTTGCATATCCCGCCAGGTCGTCGTTGCTGGTTTGACTGTGCAGCCTGGTGCTTGTGGGTTCTCGATCCATGTTTGGTAGTGTGCTCCGGCGCTAGCAAATCTTCGCAATTCTAGATAGTAATCTTTTGTCGGATCGTGCAGTGCGGGTCTTACCGAGGACTCACGAGAAGACCGGTCCATGATTATGTCTCGATCAATGTGGTCAATTGCCATCTCCGAGCCTGATCGAACCGAGGACCCATAAGAAGAGTCCATGACTATGTCTGGATCGTCAATTGCCATCGCCGAGCCTGATCGAACCGAGGACCCATGAGATGACCTGTCCATGTCTATGTCTCGAGCAATGTATTCAATTGCCATCGCCGAGCCTGATCGAACCGAGGACCCATAAGAAGACCTGTCCATGTCTATGTCTCGATCAATGTATTCAGTTGCTATCGCCGAGCCTGATCGAACCGAGGACCCATGAGAAGAGTCCATGACTGTGTCTGGATCAGTGTAGTCAGTTGCGCTCTCCGAGCCTGATCGAACCGAGGACCCGTGAGAAGAACTGTCGATAACTACGACTTCATCATTGTCGGGGATAGGTTCAGGAGCAGGTTCGGGAGCAGGTTCATTGTTGGTAATAAGTTCAGGAGCAGGTTCGGGAGCAGCAGGTTCAGGTGAAGGTTGAGCAGCTCTAACACTAACATGTAATTCAATGGTATCATCATCCCGTATACGCTTTGACGCAACGACCCCGCCTAGACTCTCGGGTTTGGATTGACTCACTGGTGGTGTTGATTCAGAGGAACATTCGCCAAGATTGCATTTGCAACCGCCTGGTCGAAGGCAAGCGAGGCTGTGTTTGAACATTTTAACTGCGTCGGTTTTGTAAGTTTGTTTGTTAGTCGACAGGAACTCTGTTTGTGAGGTAGATTGGATGATGCGTTGTTGTTGTTGTTGTTGTTTCTTGCTAGATTGTGAGCTTGAGAAGATGGATTATGCCTACGAATGTCCGGCCTGAGGGGAGATTTATATGCTATCGTCACGGATGAGTGAATGGTCTTCGTTCATGTTATTATTAGTTGGGGGTGAAAGCATCGGGGGGATAGGACAATGTTCTTGAGCGAGTGTGTTATTAAAGAACAAGGATTTGAAACACGGGTGGAGGGTGTAAAAAGTAGAACAAAGAACAGATAAGGGAATGATTCGAGGGACTCGACAGAAATACTATTTCCGACTGAAATAAGACAATGCCATTTAGTTACTGAAAGGGTATGAAGCTGGGCTATATTCGTGCTTTGAAGGTGATGTTGAAGCAATTCCGAATTAGGAACTTGAAGATGCTTCTTGAGAGCTGCGGTATTTTTCTATGTGGCCGAAGAGCTTTTTAGGGTCGCCTTAGCTGAAATAACATAAGATACGATGATAATATTGGATTCCTGATCGAATAATCTCATATATTCCAGACTCAACATAATGCAATTCTAGGGTCATCATAAGACACAGTATATACAGTTTTCAATTCATTCCCCAGCTAAGCATCCTCCCTCTGCTCAATGTCCTTCTTCTCCTCGGTCCGCATATACGCATCGACCTCAGCAGCCTCACCCTGAGGCAAGTGGCGAGCCATGGAAACAATGTCCCACGCAGTGGGCGCATCCCGGAAGACATGGTTAAGAGCCTCCAAGTTGCGGTTCATCGTCTCGGGGTAGAACAAGTACACTGAGATCGGAATGCAGGCAGAGATGACAGCATACACAATATAGTACCTGTATCCGATAGTGTCCAGTGCGACAGGGGTGATCATGACAACGACAAAGTTCCACAACCAATGGTTGGCGGTCGAAACAGAGGCCATGGCAACACGGAGCCGCATGGGCGCAACTTCGGTACAGTAGAGGAAGTTACCACCGAGGAAGCCAACGGGGTAGAACGAGTTGAACAGGAAAATGAAGACGGCCGACACAATGGAGGCTTTTTCGTTTTCACCGAAGCTGGTCGTGATCGCGAGGACGGTCATGCACACGGACATACCAGTTCCACTGATCATGAAGATTTTGCGGCGGCCGAGACGGTCAATGGCGAAGAAGGAGATGAAACTGCAGAAGAACTTCCATGTCATGGCACATGAAGACAGAATGCGGGCCAGGTCGCTGTCCATGTTGAGGTTCTCTTCGAAGATGGTTGACACATATGTTGAGATCAGGTTACCGCCGCACATCTGCTGGAAGAATTGCAGCGCAACGCACAGACAGAACCGGTACATGAGGCGCTCCTCGTCGGGTTTGTTAAAGCTGAAGATATCCTTGAGTGAGGCGCTGTTGACCGTGGCCTCGATCGAGGTCTCGATACCAGCGATTTCGACACGGACGGCCTCGTCATCTTCAGGTATACCCTTGTAAACCGACAGACTGTCAGTGGCTTCTTCAATGCGACCGACTCGCACCAGCCAGCGGGGAGATTCGGGAAGCAAGAAGACCGAAAACAAGACAACGACGGAGAAGAATAAGGAGATGGCTAGCGGGATACGCCATTGTAATGAGCCGGCGACCTTGCTCAAACCGAAATCAATCCAGTTGCACAGAACATAACCCAGACAAATACAGATACCGTCCACGACAACGTGTTGTCCACGATGTCTGGCCGACGTACACTCAGACTGCCAGACGGGGACGGCAACACTGAACTGACCAACACCGAGACCGAGGATAACACGACCGACGATGAATTGTGGCAAGCCATATGCCGCAGTCTGCAGCAACTGGCCAATTATGGTAAGGATAGCACCGAGGAAGATGGTCTTGCGGCGACCGAGCTGGTCGCCGAGGAATGTACACGACAGTGCCCCGACCAGAGCACCGAGCTGGAAGGCGGCGATCACGGTACCCTTTCCGGTGGAGTTCTGGGCGCGCTGAGCACCCTCTGTATTGATCGTGTCGATTTCGGGAAACACCTCTGACCAGCTCTGCAGGGTAGCCAACGGACCCAGGCCAGACTGGTTGTAACCGAAGACGATGAAGGCCGGTGCCACGATGAGTAATGCCTGCGCTACGCGCAGGGCTCTTCCTCTAAATAGCCAACCCATGGTGGAGTGATGTCTAGAATGGTGGTCACCGAGTAATGGCAGAAAGAAGGAGACAAGGGAGGCCAGGGAGCTTGGGCTCTTTATTAGAACTTCTTGCCATCCCCATTCCCTGTCGTGGAGACCCCGCACCACGAAATCTCATGTCTGTGTGATGGAGACACTAATTTTACCGTGGACATGGGTGTCTGTTCAACCGTGCCACTCTGAGAGGGTCTTGTCTCGGGAATGATCGATTGTGACTCGGTCACGTCGCCGACTCCACGGGGTAGGGTTTCGGTTTCCGTGAGGAAGGTCCCCGTCTTTTTATCGCCACTCCCGAACAGACCTCTTGTAGGCACGATATGGGGCCGAACATGGAGCCTCACTGGCCGAGCTGACCAATTGACCCATTGGAGATCTGGGAAGGAGTGCCGAGTGGGACAGGACACGCGACATTTGATCAGTTCCCGGCGTTCTTATTGGCAGGTTGGCTGGAGCACAATGAGATCATAAGGTATGATCCTCAGGTCCTGGATTTCCCTGAGAACAACAATAACATACAAAATCCAGCATAAACGCCCGGAAATGCCCTTGGCATCAGAAATCCCATTTGCTTGGGTGACGTTGAGGAGCAAAGTCGCTCGGTTCCTACTTCGGGCCGATCGCCAACTGGAAAGTTGCCGGTTTAAAAGGCTTGTCCCTGCTTGTTCCTGTTGCCAAGCGCCAAGAATCGCTTGGTATCAGATCTCAGCCAACCACGGGGAATATCATTCAGGGCTTTTATTTTCGACTCCACCAGCTCGGTCACTCCCCGAATACGTCTTTAGGATCTTCAGAGTTCAGACTGTGTCTTGCATACCAGATCTCGGGTAAATTGATGGTACATAGACGCTTGAGTGCTTAAAATTCTTCGGGGCCCTGTGCTCGTCACCAGCAGAGCCACCTACGTTGTACACGCATTTTCCCCTCAAGTTCTGTTAGTGGAAACTGTCACGCTCCGCTCCTAGCTCCGAATTATTTCCGGGATATCGTTGAGATATTCATAAAGCATGGTTTGGAAGTAGGATGAGAAACCATCCGCAGAGATTTCAGTCTTTGCGGGGTGCAGATGTTGATAGACACGCGACCAATAACCATACACGGAAACCAATTGTTGACAACTGGGTACTAGCTCCAGATCGGGCATACGTATCTTGGATCTGGCTTGGGAACCAGGCACGCTAGGTTCGAATGCTACATCCTCGGCTTTCTTTCCTCGTTAGATGATCTTGACACGCTTTGACTAACAGTCTAACACATCAGATGATCAGCCCTACTCGGCCAGATACGATAAGACATCCTGGCGCTAAATGACGGGAATAATATGAATGATGAGTGGGTATGTCAGAGCTACAGTGGCCTTGTCTAGCCCTTTTCCCTTTTGCGGGAAGGAAAAACTCGGGTGCGAAGTGCTTATTGCACATACCTAACGTGCTTGGGCAATTGTATGCTCCAATAGAAGACGCTTGTTTACCATCACCTCTACAATATTGCATCCTTCAGTCAGGGCCTTTCAGCCCAGATGTTTCTCTTGATGATTTGGGTAACATCCTCGCACTGCCAATTCATGATATGAAAAAGGTATGAGTACATCCAGCTAGGTTGCACATTCCCTATGGTACATTGGTACCTGTCTACCTGAGTAGTATCTCCAAACGAGATGCTCACTGTCATCATCTGCTGCGTCCGTGCATACGCAGTAGAAGTCAGGGTCGGCAGATATCGGACCTTGAGCGATGGGAGTCACCGTTCGGATTGAAGCTGAGGTGGGGTAACGAGGCCAGTGCCAACAGTACGGCGATGCGAAGTCTGATATCAGGTACAATGTTAACCCTCATATTCTGTCTGATCCTGCAGCAAGTAGCTAACTACTACCTTCCCATTGTCTCAGGCAACATCACAACAGTACAACACTGTAAACTAGAAAATTGAGATGACTGAACGGGATTATCTATCTGAGAAATCCCCCCTGCTACGTTAGGGTCACAATCAAATGCTTCAGGAGCCCCGCAAGTGTGCATCTCGCGCTGAAGAGGCCGGCCGCTGAAGGTGAACGTGCTGCGTTGTTAGTACGTAGATCAGTCTTTGGATGGACAACTACAGTAGCTCGATCTTTACCGCCTGCAGATCTGCGACTAGCAGAACTGGCAGAATATAAAGGCGGTCTAGGATCGGCGAAATGTAGTTTGCCTGCATGTTGAATGAACTCATACGGTCATACCCGTCCTTGACAGTTGTTTCCTCGCTCATTCCCCCTTGCCACCCGAGATTACGATGTCGCAAGGCACAATGGACACCGAACCTAACGCCGTTCCGACCGAGCCTCTATTCCGCCCAGCAAAGAAGCGCAAGTTCTTGCGGCGACGCCCTGATGATGAGACCGAAAACACCGATAACCAAAATGCCGATTCCGACACGCCACAAGCTTCGGGAAGCAATAATCCACGGCGCCCACGCCCAGTTCGAAAGGGCGGCATAGGATTCACTACGACATCGCGTTTAGGAGATACTCAAGGGCAGCAAGTGGCGCTAGTACCAGCAGGCGGAGACCCTGATGATGAGAAAATACGAGCCATGAATGAACGCTTCACAGGGTATACCGGTCAATCAGTGGATGTTGACAGGCACATGTACGAACCTTTTCCTGCTGCTGATCGTCCGGTCCGTTCGGTTTAGACTAACGAGATAAGGATGGCTTTCATAGATTCCGAGATGGCTAAGCGCAACCAGTCTGTATCAAAGGCAGATATTTCAAATTCCAACAACCCCACCCAAGAGGAAGCTGCTGCTGGAGCAGGCTTACCTGGACATCAAAAACGAGAGCCTGCCACACTAGGCAAACTTCATGAGATCGACCTCGGTCATGAGGCAACGCTGCGAAATATTGCGCGCACGGAAGCTGCGACTCGAAAAATGGCGGAGAAGGGAGACTTACCGACGTCCGCACCCGATGCTACCTCGGAGGCAGGTGGCAAGTCATGGCGGAATCGCAAACAGAGGACACAGGCAGATATCGACAGAGATCGCCTTGTGGAAGAGGTACTGCGGGAGAGTAAATGTGGGTGGCGTCCTAACCTATCTCCGTGTAAAACTTCTACTGACGCATGCTTTATAGTGGATATCTATGACGAACAGGATGAAGAAGCACAGCTCGATGACCAGCAAGCTGCTGATGACCGGGTTGCAGAGCAATTTCGGCGAGACTTCATGGACGCGATGCAGTCTCGGCGTCGGATCCGGCCCGCAGCTAAGCCAGCGACTGCTGCTGAGGGGCCGCGGGGACCGAAGCTGGGTGGTAGTCGCAGTGCAAGGGCTGCAATGCGGGAAAGGGAAACACAAGCAGCGAAGAAATGATTGCATCGCCACAACGGTCAGACTACCGATACGACATCGCTGGGATTGAGTATCCCCAGATATACCTCTTAATGATTCGCATGTGATAGCATAATGAACTTGCGCCAATGCTTCTGGCAACCTCTTATTGAAGCTCTATTCAGATACAATAGGTCGCAATAGGTGATAGGTGCGGGGAAGACTGGTTCTGTTCTTCCTGTTGAGGAATCCTTGGATTAGTAGACGCTGGATTAAATATGAGGAGGCTTAATATGGAGGAACAAACGCCAGTGTCATATTGGGTTTGGATTCACGTATTAATTTCCGATGGAGGCATACTATTTTGGCCTTCTTTGTACTTATGCCACCATCTCCGATGTTCACGGATAGTATTTGAACTAAGATTAGACCCATTTCAATGAGACCCTTGTACTATCCTGCAGCGCTCCAGCTCGGCAGCTCCTTCATCTACGCCGTTGAGTTAGCGAGGCTGCTCGCACGTGACCAAGCATACATTTGAACTTCGCGTTTGAGCGCCAAAGCTACACCCGCAAAAAGACCCGCCCTTCTCCCTTCCAACCAGCCCCTCTGATTGTCCGTCCCATTCGCATGATCACGTTTTGATTTACCTTCAGCGACTTCATACGTCTAATTATTACGCGATCATTGTGACAACTACACTTTTCCGGATATACCTACCCTAGTCTCGCGATGAACCCTTCCAACCCACCTCAAGCTGCCGAGTATGGTGGAGGTACGTGACGCTGATTCCCAATTGCGCCTACCGCGATGAATCCACAAAGGATCAAATATTATACTTGCGCAACATGCTAATTACCTGCTGTTCTAGATGAGGTGTCGGCCATTGTCCTGGACCCAGGATACTCAACCACTCGCGCTGGCTTCGCCGGTGAAGATGCTCCCAAATCACTGATCCCCACCTACTACGGAAAATACAATGCCGACGGGCAGGAGAAGCTCGTATATGGCGACAACATCTTTGTATCCCCGCGACCTGGCCTCTCCATTCACAACCCCATTGGCAGGGATGGGATTGTCGAGGACTGGGATATGGCAGAGAAGGTCTGGGAGCACTCATTTGTGTCGCGCCTCACCGGCACGAAAGCGGGAAACCCCTTTCAAAACGGATTAAACGACGTTGACGAGCTCCCCGTGGAAATGGATGTGGAGTCAGAGGAGAAGCCTTTGTCGGATAGCCCGTTGTTGATGTCAGAGCCTGGTTGGAACCCGGCGAGGGCGCGCGAAAAGACCATCGAAATTGCAATGGAGAAATGGGATACCCCGGCCTTCTATCTCGCACGCACTGGTGTTCTTTCTGCGTACGTGTACCAGGATGATAAATGATGTTCATATCCGCTGACTTCGCCCACATATAGTTTCGCTTCTGGCAAGCCCTCCGCCCTTGTCATTGACATTGGAGCTTCGAACATCTCCATTACACCTGTTCACGACGGCATGATTCTGAAGCGAGGCGTGCAGCACTCCCCGCTGGGCGGTGATTACATCTCATCGCAGATTAACGCACTTTTGAAAGCCAACAACCCGCAACCCATCACAATCACACCGCATTACCTTATCAGCTCGAAGTCGGCTGTTGAGGCGGGCCAACCGCCACAAGCGAACTACAAGACCTTCCCCCCAGACAAGGCACCTGATGCCTCGTACCGTGCTCTCCTCGAGGAGCGCACACTCACCGAATTCAAGGAATGTGTCGTCCAGGTCTGGCCCGGTCCTACCAGGCTCTCAGCACCCGGTCCCACGGGTGTCTCCAACGAAGACATGGCCCGGAATACCCCTGGGCGTCCCTTCGAGTTCCCCGATGGCTATAATCAAGTCTTCGGTGTCGAACGTTTCCGCGTGGTGGAGTCTCTGTTCGATGCCAAGGCTGCTATTCCCGACCCTGACTCGCCTTTCCCTGCCCCAACGCCTGCCCAGACTATCCCAGAGCTTGTCAAAGCTTCTTTGGCCGGCGTTGACGTCGACATCCGCCCCGCCCTACTGGCCAACGTCGTTGTGACTGGTGGATCTAGCTTGCTTTACAACTTCACCGAGCGTCTGAACCAGGAACTCATGCAGATATTCCCTGGCCCGCGAGTGCGCGTCACCGCAGCTGGTAACACATACGAGCGACGCTTCGGCGCCTGGATTGGAGGCAGTATCCTGGCCAGTCTGGGAACCTTCCACCAGATGTGGATCTCCAAGAAGGAATACGAGGAGCATGGACCGAACATTGTGGAGAAGCGTTGCAAATGATTCCTTCGTCTTTCTCGCATTCTTAGTCCTGTCGGGGTTTTATTTGATGTTTACAGGCGTTACTGCGCTATCTTGGCGCTTGAAAGAGGGGTTTGAGCAACTCCGGATCTGGCTTTACAAAACTGATCTTGGATACTTTGTGTACGATTAATGCCACTTCACTTCTCGAATTATCCGAGGATATGTAAAGCATGCGCAGAGTGGTGTAGATCGTCATCCACTGGTTCCATGTCTGTAGCGATGTGTATCGTAGTGGCCCGGGCAGACATTGTTCGGATCTATAAATGTCTTAACACTTCTTATGATTCACTGGTCATCCATGGTAATCCATGCTACCTCATGTGAGTCGACCAGTGGCGGAAAAGTGGCGGAGATGCTTATTTGCCTGCAACGATGCGCTGGCAGCCAACACATCGGTGCAGCCCCGACGGGGTCCGTGTTTCTCTTATTATGCTGGCTAACCCTGCTGGACTTGCTGCCAATTTCCCATACACCTAGCGCCCTGAACCACTGCCAAATTACTTTACTATTCAAACAATGTGAAAAGAAGCGATCAACACATACCAAAACCCGAAGAAAAACGAACGAGCATCAAATGAAGCGCACATGATCATTAACATACATCATCATCATGGGTCCAGGGACCCATGAGCAAACAACAGAAAGACAACATCGTTAACGTCGTTACATCCGAGGCTGCGGGCCAAACACGCTAGAGTCTACGGGATATGAACACAATCAAAATGCAGCACACTCGCATACAAAACAAAAGGGAAAAGGGATATCTTGCGCAAAAATGCAGAACAGGCGCTCCTCATCGACTAGCTCGGGCAATGAGCCAGTGCAGGACGGCATCGAGGTTGGTTTCTTCTTTGGCGCTGATACCATAGCAGCTTACTTCGCGGTGGGTGATGGTTTTCAGATCCATTGCCTCGATGATCTCATCGACGGACAACTTGTCGGGAAGATCAGACTTGTTCCCCAGGACGAGCAGCGGGATACTGTCCAGAGTGGGCTTTTTCATCAAATCATGGAGCTCTTCTGTCGCTACCGGGAGTGCGGCGCGGTCTGCTGCGTCCACGATATAGCTGCAGGTGTCGTGGTTAGTATGGCGGGGAGAGAAAGGGAATGCCGAGAAAGGAAAAGAGGGTAGTTCTTACACGATCGCGTTGACGCCTCGACAATACCGTTCCCACATCGGTCGAAATCGGGGTTGGCCGCCCAGATCCCAGCTGCCGGAGATATTAGCGCCGGTGTGCTATTATGGGAAGAGGAGGATGGGACATACCATTTCAAGGTCACATGGCCTTTTTGGACTTTTTTCGTGTTGAATCCGATTGTCGGGATGGAGCTGTGAGAAAGGAGGTGTTGGGATAAGCTCGATATTGCATGAAATGACCTCAGATGGGATCGAACTACGACTTACTCGACCGTGAACTCTCCACCCTGTTTGGTGCTATCAGCAAGGTGAATATATGACAGGGAATGGGGGAGCTTACCGCTAGCACCCGCAGCAAAGAAGACTTGCCGGCATTCTGAAGCCCGATCATGGTGACATCCATCTCGCTGGCCCTACATGGAGTTTAGCAGGGCTTCATCTGCGGGGGACGGGCCGTGGTCTCCCGAGCAGCTGCATCTATCACGGCCCACTTACCAGAACATCCTCAGAAGCCAGTCATAGATAGCGCGAAAGATGCCGGCCATGATGGAGGTAGTTACGTGGGATATGCAGGTAATGGAAATAAAAGAAGAGACTGTAGAGTAATGAATATAATAAAAAGTAGTAAAATAGTAAATAGTAAAGTAAAAGATCAAGGGAGATTAAGAGACTTGGGGAAGTTGCCTGTGGAAAAGCGCAGGATGACAAAAAGACAAGAGTGGGGTCACTTCAGTAACCGCGCAACTTTTTAGACCTGGGTAGAATATGGGAGTCAACGGTAGATAAGATGAAAAGATAGAAGCAAGAATAGAAAGAAGAAAAGATTCATCAGAAACACCATCAGAAAAAGCAAGTTTCAAAAGCTAGACCCTCTTATTAAAGGGACAGGGCGTCTAAGATAACCGCCTTATGTAGCGCCAGTCTACAGTTATAGGAATGAGACCTATACGGATCTACTCCAATTCGGAGATCGATGTGCACACATGATCCATTCTTCGGCTTAGCCTCTAGCTATCGGTCTCAAGGGGATTTCAACTGTCTGGCATCTTCAACTTAGCCCGTGTGGCGTAGTGACCTATCTCCCGCCTCTCTACTCCATCGGACCATCGGTGTCATAGACTAGAGTCTAGACTAAGACAGACAAGAACCTACTACGATTAAGGGCCCAAGAGCATGTCAGGGAGTGAGACAGGGACTCGAAGATGAAGGTCTGGATGATCTGCACGAGCGAGGAACGAGATAAACGAGATGAACCTCGAACTGGACACCTCAGGCCGCAATGTATATATCACCACGTGAGGATAAGCATCCGGCTCCACCCTCGAAAAATTTCCCCAAGCAGAACAGATTCTCGTTCTCGCGCAGCTGCAATTGTCGGTTCAATTCCTGTGGTCTTGTGGCTTAACATTGGGAGGAGGATACGAACCGATTTGAATTGCGCTATTATCTATTCATTGACGGTCACATATACTTGTGCCGTCCCCAGATTCTTGTTCTTTTATCTTTCTATATACCGCATCCGCCGGCGGTTGAGAGCTGTGAATTTCCACCATGGCGCCCGCAGCCACAGACACGCAGTGGTCAGTCGATTATGACACCCTGCGCCGGGAGAAACTGTTCCAGAACCCTCCCACGGATCACACGGCCTACCCATCTCTGGCCGAGTCAATCCGCCCGCATATCGATTCCTTCAATGCTCTCTTCGAAGATAGCAAGATCCTGGAGGCAGGACTCAGGGATATCGGGACCAAGACCTTCCTCGACGGTGAACTCGAGACCTATGAACAGAAGAAGGCTCGGCAAGCAGAAGGCATTCGCCCACCGAAGCGCAACCGCCTGAACGTTCGCGTGCGTGAAATCTTCCTCGAAAAGCCCACCCTGCCCCCCACAAATAAGTACACCACCCGCAACCGTGAAATCTACCCTTCGGAGTGCCGAGAGCGCCATGCGACCTACCGTGGTAAGCTCCGCGCTCGTCTCGAGTACCAGGTCAACAATGGAGACTGGATGGAGTCTGTCCGCGAGCTGGGTAATGTCCCGATCATGGTGCGCACCAACAGGTGTCATCTCGAAAAGGCGACTCCTGAGGAGCTTGTCCGACACAAGGAAGAATCGGAGGAACTGGGCGGTTTCTTCATCGTTAACGGTAACGAGAAGCTTATCCGTATGCTGATCGTCGGCAAGCGCAACTATCCCATGTCCATTATTCGTGGCTCGTTCGTCAAGCGTGGTCAGACTTATACAAAGTTTGGTGTTCAAATACGCTCGGTCCGTCCCGATCAGACATCGCAGACCAACGTGCTTCACTACCTCTCCGATGGAAACGTCACTTTCCGTTTCTCATGGCGCAAGAATGAATATCTCATTCCCGTCATGATGATCCTCAAGGCGCTCGCCGAGACCAATGACCGCGAAATTTTCGAGGCCATTGTCGGTGGTGCTTCCTCCAAGGGTTTGAAAAATACTTTCGTCACAGACCGTGTCGAGCTTTTGTTGAGAACATACCACGCCTACCAGAAGCACAGCCAGTACGACTGCCGGTCCCACCTGGGCAAGGCTTTCCGACCTGTCCTGGGAGTTCCCGCCGATATGCCGGACGAGGAAGTCGGCACGGAGTTCCTTCGCAAGGTCGTTCTCCCTCATCTGGGAAATGAGAATGTCACCGAGGCCCAAGACTGGGATAAATTCAAGCTGATTACCTTCATGATCCGCAAGCTTTACTCCACGGTCGCAGGAGACTGTGCACCCGACAACCCCGATGCCGTTTCCAACCAGGAAGTCCTGCTTGGTGGTTTCCTCTACGGAATGATTCTCAAGGAACGTATCGAGGAGTGGCTCCGATCGTTCGGCCCCATTGCTAGAGATTGGTCTATCCGCAACAACGGCGCAAAGTTCACCGATGACGCCTTCGAGCGCGACTTCCTCTCCAAGATCGTCAAGCGCTCAAATGAGAACATTGGTAATGCGCTCGAGTACTTCCTCTCCACGGGTAACTTGGTCAGTCCCACTGGTCTTGATTTGCAGCAAACTTCGGGTTACACCGTCATTGCCGAGAAGATCAACTTCTACCGTTTCATCAGTCACTTCCGCATGATTCACCGTGGTAGTTTCTTCGCCCAGCTGAAGACTACCACTGTTCGCAAACTGCTTCCGGAAAGTTGGGGTTTCCTTTGCCCCGTTCACACTCCTGATGGATCGCCTTGCGGTCTGCTCAACCATTTGTCTCACAAGTGTTTGATCGCTACGGATAATCTGGATGTGTCTCACCTGCCTCGGATTTTGGTCCAACTTGGTGTCCGGTCCGAGTCTTCCGTGGCTTTGGATGAGAGTGTGGTCGTCCAGTTAGATGGCAGGATCATTGGTTACTGCTCGCCCAAGCAGGCCCAGAAGATCGCCGATACCATTCGTTACTGGAAGGTGGAGGGCAAGCACAACATCCCTCGCCAACTGGAAGTTGGATACGTTCCCAACTCAAGTGGCGGTCAATACCCCGGTATCTACATGTTCTCCCAGTCAGCGAGAATGTACCGCCCTGTCAAGTATCTGGCGTTGGATAAGCTGGATTACGTCGGACCGTTCGAGCAGCCCTTCATGGAGATTGCCTGTGTCGAGTCTGACCTGATTCCCGGTCTTTCAACACACATCGAATTCACACCGACGAACATCCTTTCCATTGTCGCCAACATGACCCCCTTCTCCGACTACAACCAATCTCCACGTAACATGTACCAGTGCCAGATGAGCAAACAGACCATGGGTACGCCAGGTACCTCGATCGCATACCGTACCGACAACAAGTTGTACCGCATTCAAACCGGTCAAACTCCAATTGTGCGGCCGCCTCTTTACAACGCCTACGGCTTGGATAACTTCCCCAACGGCATGAACGCTGTTGTGGCCATCATCTCCTACACCGGATACGACATGGACGACGCCATGATTATCAACAAATCCGCACACGAGCGTGGCTTCGGTCATGGTACGGTTTACAAAACCAAGGTCCTCAGCTTAGCCGAGAACGATTCCCGCCGCGGCAAGTCCAAGCGCGAGGTCTCCAAGCTGTTTGGATTCGCCCCTGGCGACGAGATTAAGGAGCAAGTGCGCAACACCCTCGACGAAGACGGATTGCCGCACCTGGGTGCTCGCGTCAAGGAGGGTGATAAGATCGCCGCCTGGCACAATGTCCGCTTCGATCCCGCCTCCGACTCTTATGTCAACGTTGACGGAATTACGCACTACCTGAAGTACAAGGACGCGGAAGAAGGCTACGTTGACAGCATTCGCATCATGGGTGCCGAGTCTGGCAACGAGCCCGCCCAGTCGCTGAGCGTCAAGTTCCGTATCCCCCGAAAGCCGGTCATCGGTGACAAGTTCTCCTCTCGTCACGGACAGAAGGGTGTTTTGTCTCAACTGTGGCCTGCAGTCGACATGCCCTTCTCCGAGAGCGGCATGCAGCCTGATCTGATCATTAACCCTCACGCTTTCCCATCTCGTAAGTTTCTCGCCCGTCCTGCATTACATGTACATTATATCTAACATTATTTTCAGGTATGACAATCGCCCAAATGATCGAATCCATGGCCGGCAAAGCCGGTGCCATGCACGGCCTCCCCCAAGACTCCACCCCCTTCCAATTCTCCGAAGAAAACACCGCTACCGACTACTTCGGCGAACAACTCCGCAAAGCCGGCTACAACTATTACGGCAACGAGCCCCTCTACAGCGGCATCACCGGCCGCGAGTTCTCCGCCGACATCTACATGGGTCTCGTCTACTACCAGCGTCTCCGTCACATGGTAAACGACAAGTTCCAAGTGCGTACCACCGGTCCCGTGAACGCCCTAACCGGCCAACCCGTCAAGGGTCGTGCCAAGGGCGGTGGTATCCGTGTCGGAGAAATGGAACGTGATTCCCTCATTGCCCACGGCGCCGCCTTCCTGCTGCAAGATCGTCTCATGAACTGCTCCGACGCCCAGCACACCTGGATCTGTCGTGGCTGTGGCTCGTTCCTGTCGACCCAGGTTGCTGTCTCGGGCTCCTCGCGTTCCCGGACTGCGCTCAACCCTGGTGCGGCTGCGGCAGCTGCTAAGGCGGCTCCGAATCAGCAGAGTAACCATGCTAATGCGGTGGCGGCTGTTGGTGCGGTTGGTGGTGTTAATGGTGTTGTGCGTTGTCGTCGTTGTGCGCGTGAGGCGACCTTTGAGGATTCTAGGGCTGAGATTTGGGAGGATGGGAATGGGCAGCGGTATGTCGGTGGTGATAATGTTACTATCGTGGCTGTGCCTGGTGTGCTGCGGTACTTGGATGTCGAGTTGGCGGCTATGGGTATTCGCATGAAGTTCTGGGTGGATAACTGATATACCGGTTGAGACTGGGCTTAAAATTGTTCGATGTCATTGGTGGCGTATACCTGGTTTAATGATTCATCTGCTTTTTATTTTATTTTGTTTATTTTTTTGCAAAATACATATTCCATTTCGTATATGAACGTACTCTGCCCAGATGTTATACAAAATTCAAAGATCTTGGGCTACTCCCGCTAGGTTTTATGAAGCAAACCTTGGATCACTTAATAGGGGATCAATTGGGTTGTTCCCCGCAGAAACCAAGGGTACCAATGAGTCAGTAGCAGGAATCTCGACTGCCTGGCCTACATTGAATCCAGTACCACTCTCCTGAAGTAATGACGACAGTTTCTCCCGAGTCTCGTTCATCATTTGCACCAGGTGTGCTTGCGCTGATTGGCAATCATGCGAAATCGGAAACTCGTCGTGCTGTCTATATGAAGCTTCAATAACTGGCCACGCCCGCCGAACGGTTTCCACATCACTGCAGGTACTACACTCTGAAATTGCCGTTGAAAGTGCGAGGTATGGTGTGGTGATATACCAGCGAAAACCGCTCCCACGAGGATCGGTGCAGAGCAGCTGTGCTTTTTCGAGATTTCGCAGTGCCAATCGCAACAGAATTGTATCTCCTTCTACTCGCGGTGAAAACACTGAGGCACAGCTGCCTGGTTGGCTACATCGGAATGGTAGCAGCTCTGAGAGACGGATCGCCGATACAATTGATTGTGTACTATGCCAGGTGAACCAGGCATAGGGAGAGGACTCGGGATCACAGTAGTGCAGCAAGGTGAACACTTGCTGTTGGACTTCTCGAGCCAGTTTATGTCTTTCTGCGGCAGTGCTGCACTCGGGTGAGCCAAAGTTGAGGACTCGACCGGCTACTTGTACGTGATATGTCACAAGAGCAAACGTTGTGTCCATGAGCTGCTCCTGTGGAGCGACTGGGTGCTCCGTATCCATATCGAAATCAGAGTCATTGATATGTGCCACATTTGGAATTGCACATGCCGCGCCGCTGTGGGTGATAAGTGGCTCGGATGCTTGCGAAAACGATGTCTGGAGATCGACAAGGCAAACAGTGAGCCACAACCGCAGTCGCATCTGCTGTTGAAAGAAAGACTCCCGAGCACAGGCCTGTTCATTTTCTTGATTCAGCCCCATGGCTCTCGCGAGTCTAACGGCTAGGGCAATGAGTGCCCAGACAGCGGTGTCTTTGTCTTCGGATCGTCTAGCAATCTGCAGTGGATTAGTGGCAGTCGGAAACAGCAGTGTGAAACCATACAAGATACAAAATGAAGGCTTGAAGGACGGTCATATCCCTCGTCGTTAGCAAGCCGGCCTTCTCAAAGGCGCTTTCGCACATTCTGCGATACACAGTCGTGATGCTAGACTTGTTTTGTTGGAATGTGGCCTGGCACTGTGCTTCTGTCATGGTGTTGGCTGCAACATAACAAACAGCAGACGCCAGCGCTCTCACCGAGTTGTTATCCTCGGATGTGCCCAGATACGTTGATGCCCCGTCCAGCATCCATTTGCTGAGGCTTGGCCGGTGAAGGATTTTGATTATTGGATCCACGTTTTGGAGGTACACCCTGCATAACTTGCTTGCGCCAAGCCTGTCACGAGGCAGTGACATGAAGCTGGGGGTCAACGTATTACCAATGCCCAAAAGGCTGAGAGCGCTGAAGCCGTTGCTTACCGTCTCTTTGCGCTGCAATGAGTCTGTCTCTAAACCTCCTTCGCTTGCCTGACTGAAAAGCAGCTCCAAGCCATTTGTTATCCGGGGGTCGTACATCTAGCCAGAGTTGAATAACGCTTCTTCTGACTTACAATCTCGTGTACATGCACTAGGTGCCCTTACCTCATGACCCGTAAGCTCAGTCCAGATGTCATTACCGGATATCTCCGGGCGTCGTGTGGCGGAATTTGGGTTTGGAAGATCGGGAAACGGTTGTGTCCCTAAGCATGGAGTCGGTTGGACTATCTGCAATACCTCGCAGTCCTGTTAGCCGACAATCCTGTCACTTCTTGGTGTAACCCTGGCATTGGGTGCTTTACCATCGTATCGCCACCGGGGTTTTCCGTTTTGTAGACTCCCTTGGGCGTCTGCGTTCCTGCTCATTTCATTGTCCTTGGCTTTATCGAACCCTGACTCTTGCAAGAGGCTCTCAAGCCTCCGGATATGATCCGATAGATCCCTCACGGTGGTTCCGATGTCGTACCCATAGTCCCAGTGACTGGAACTTGGAAGACTTCAATATACTTAATCTTATTGGTTGGAGACGGTCTTGGTGAGACCCACAATATTCGCACGATTCCACGAATATTGGCTTGACGAATGACGATATTTGTCTTGTCTGTGAATCACGAACGCGAATGCGAATGACTCAAAATATGACGAATATGTATTCGTGCCGAGCCCTCTCAGGCAGCAGCAGCAGCAATTCCTTGGACCTTGGGCAGACCACGAAAATACACGGAGGTGTACTCATTAAATTGATGTACTAGAAAAATGATGTAGTTACTACTCTCAAGGCTGTGTGCTCTGAGGCACACGGGTTGATTCAGCAGATACCAGCTAGCATAGACATCGGACCAGAGGTAGCAAAGAGGTTGGGCGCTTGCGCACAAGCAGTCAAAATCGAGATGTGTAGGAGTGTGTTTATCAACTAAAGCTACCTCGCGACTAGTTATTTATCTCCAGCTTAAAACTGCTTACGTAAGGAACGCTCACGTGAAAACCAAAGGAGTGGAAAGGGGAAGCATGCCTGTAGGGGGAGGTCACACCTCCCCACTACAGTAGTAGTTTACTCCGTACCTACGGAGTACTGTCCGTTCTACCGTGTCCACATGCCACTTCAGACCAGAGCTGACCTCGGGACCGCTGCGGATGCTCAGCCAACGAGTCCTTGGTGGCATCCGGAAGCCCCAGGAAGTCCCGTAGTAGAGCGCGTAGAACATCAGTTCCAGGGTCTAAAGACTGGGCCTGAGTGACCTGGCTGTAGCTCTTAAAGAGCTGTAGGGGGTCGAGCTGGTCTTCGGCAAAGTCCAGGGAGTCAGGAGAGATTCGCCGGTCCTGTAGCGTCTTGAAGTCTTCGAGTAGACCGATAGAGACTACCGGGGGCTGGGACCCAGCTGGCGTAATTGCCTTCCAGCGGTCTAAAAACTGGAGGCACCAACCAAGGATCTCAACAGCAATCACGGATCTGACCATCTTCAGACTTCCAACGATTATATATACGAAGTGTCATATTACCCTAAAATTATTTTCAAGTTGCTACGCCTCCTAGAACGCGAGATCTTATGCTTTGAACGCGCTGGTGAGCAAAATTGGCTGTCTTCTGGTATTGGTATTGGTGGCTAGTTCGGTTATCAGGTTCATGAAGCGTGGCGCATGCTCGTAGAGCTCTCAGCTCCTTTCCCACCATTGACATGTTCATGTGCAAACACTACACAGATTACACCGAGAAGGAGACTCCACGAGAGTAGGCCCTCTGCCCAGTAATCGCCGTAGTCTTCGACGTTTCGCAAACTAGCACCTAATATTGCTGTGTAGAACCAACAGTATGCATCCATTCCATCATTATTCCATACTACAAGTCTGCTATATACACCGAGGAGCCTCTCTAAACATTGGAAATCTTCTCCTCGAGCTCACTCTGCACCAGCCCAGTCTTCGCCTGAGGGAACTCCCTGGTCCGTACCTTGTTCTCAAACAAGACATCCAACTCAGCATACGAGCGACCCTTAGGCTCCGGAAGTCTAAAGAACGACCAAGTAAGACAAAGAATGCAAAGCGCACCCCAGAAGAAGCCCGACTTCCCCCTCCAGTTCCAAGCATCGACATTCAGCATATAAGGAATGATAATCCCCGTCACCAGATTGAGGACATTATAAACATTCCTCGCCAACACGACCGACTTAGTCCTCAGTCTCGACGAAGGAATCTCCGAAACAAGCGAGAAACAAACCGGCCCAACAGTCGAATCATAGATAAACGTATAAACCAACAACATCGACCCGGTGGCCCAGGAAATCGCCGGCGTCGAAGGCGCAATCGACACAAACCCAATAACAAGTAACACAAGAGTCAACAAAGCAAGTCCACCAACATACAACGTCCGTCGACCAAAGTAGGTCATCAACACCCACGAGCCAATCGTGCCAACAACACCAATGGCATACTGCACCAAGGACATGGTAAAAGACTGCGACACAGCCAGACCGGCCCGCTGATAAAACACAGTCGAATACCCCATCAACCCAGCACCACACAGACTCTGCGCCGCCCAGACACAGCACGCAATCTCCGTGCGTCGCAGATCAACCCCCTTAAAGCAATCCAGATAAGAAGTGCCCGTCTCCGCCCGCTGCTCCAACGCATTCGTGTACACAATCATCGAAACCGTCTCCTCAGCACTGAACCCGGGCGTCTCCGAGCGCGTCAGTCTCTTCACAGCCCTAATCGCATCCTCCCGTCTATCCTGTCTGACCAGCCACCAAGGACTCTCAGGTGCAAGATAAACCCCAATGAAGATGGGAATCGGCCAGACCCACTGAATCCCAAACGGAATCCGATACGCCCATTCATCCATCCTCCCCGACAAACCCTTCAACACACCAGAGGCAATCAACTGCCCGAAAACCCAGCACAGGTTCACGTAAGTAGTCAGATACGCGCGCAGCGCAACCGGACACACCTCAGACGCATAGGTGACCGTCAGAGTCTGGTAGACGCCGAGCGGGATGCCCATGAGGAGTTCGCCAGCGACGAGACATTGGACGTTGGGTGCGAAGAAGAGGATGAAGATGAAGCCGACTGTGGAGGCCAGACAGGCCATGAGGGTGCGGCGGTAGCCGTAGCGTTCGGAGATGATGCCGTTGATGAAGAGGCCGATGATTTGTCCGCAGCTCATGGCGTTTGTCAATCCGGCTTGCCAGGATGCGGCGAGCCCGTAGTTGCCGTCGGACATTAGTCCGCCGTATTTTTGGTTGAAGGCGGGAAAGGCGAAGAAGGAGCCGATTAGGACTACGTCGTAGCCTTCCATGATTATCGCGCAGGAGAGCAGGAGGGACCAGGCTACGGCTTTGGGGTAGAGCTTTAGGGCTTGGAAGGCGGTCATGTGGTGTTCTTTTTCGATGGCGGCGTGCGCTTCCGTGCTGGTCTGCAGGTCGGAGTCGGAGAGGCCGTAGCCTGGTGGGATGGTGTTCTTCTCGTCATGTTCGACGGTGGGTTGTTTTTCTGATGCCATTGCTGGAATTGGGGCCAATGATTGCCTTGGATATTTCCAGATGGGGTTTCTTCAGTTTGAACTGGGATGCTGGTATTCAAGTGCAGATCGTGTGGGCATCCTTGAGACTTTTATAGAGGATTTTGCTTTTCTCCTTTTGGGCAATGGCCGACGACGAGATGAAGTCCTACACATGCGAGGATTGGGACTGGGATGCCATTGGCTCACTCGGCCGTGAAGTCTTAATCCTTGCGTGATACTTTTTCTTCTTTGCAGATGAGTTCTGGTGGCGGACAACTTTCCCCAGTTTGATTCCCGGGGTAATTGCTGGGATCAGTCCACACTCCCCCGGATTTCGGCGAGGAGATGAATGATTGGACTAATGTCGGGCCGAAGATGGGAATGAGAGAGGCATTTCCTTTCCAGCCACATCTTTTTTTTTTCTTTCTGTTTCACTTTCCGTCGATCCCGCTAGAAACACTGCGGAGATATAAAATGAGGTGATTGGTGAGATGTCGGGCCGACATCGTTTTCCCCCTCTTTTTCAGTTTCGGGCCAAAAGTGAAGTCCGGGGAAAGATCGGCCTGAGGAAGTCTGGCCACATGGCCCACATCAGATGGAATAGAACAGATGGGAACATGTGAAATCCAACCAAATCCTCGTCTGAGAGCAGAGAGTCTGTCACTCTGTCAGTCTGAGACATTGTCAAGGCCAAGATATACACTTTGATGCCAATTTCTGTCGGCCCGACATCCAGGCAATCGGAGAAATGGACTTCCCCCAACCTGAGAAACCTCGCAGAAACCTCGCAGGGAAGGACTTGATCGTCAAGTAGTAGTTGATTATCTAAAGATGGAATCTGAGGCATATATAGCAGATTCTCTTTGCCCTCAGATTTGTGTTCATCTCTTTCTTCTGTTTATCCGTGCAGCAATTCCTATTTCCTCGCATTCACCCAGATGTCTCCAGCTCTAGTAACCGAAAAGTGGTGGAAAAACTCCATAATCTACCAAATATACCCAGCGAGCTTCAAAGACTCCAACGGCGATGGAATCGGCGATATCCCAGGAATCATCTCATCCCTAGACTACATCACAAGTCTAGGAGTCGATGTGATCTGGCTATGTCCCATGTACGACAGTCCCCAAATCGACATGGGCTACGACATCTCCGATTACCAAAGTGTCTATGGACCCTACGGCACCGTCCAGGACATGGAGGACCTGATCTCTGAATGCCACAAGCGTGGACTGCGAATCATCCTGGACCTGGTGGTAAACCACACCTCGGACCAACACAAATGGTTCCAAGAATCCCGCTCCTCCAAGACAAACCCCAAGCGAGACTGGTACATCTGGAAACCAGCCAAGTACGACGCCAACGGCAACCGTCAGCCGCCCAACAATTGGCGCAGCATATTCGGCGGCAGTGCCTGGGAATGGGACGAGAAGACTCAAGAATACTATCTCCACCTGTTCTGCGTCGAACAGCCCGATGTCAACTGGGAGAATGCCGAGACTCGTCAGGCAATCTATGACGAAGCGATGGAATTCTGGCTCCAGAAGGGTGTGGATGGGTTCCGCGTTGACACGGTCAACATGTACAGCAAACATCCCGGATACGCGGACGCGCCTATCCTCGACCCCAAGTCCGAAACACAACCTGCTTTCTCGCTATTCTGCAACGGGCCCCGGATCCACGAGTATCTGAGCGAGATGAACGAGGTACTTTCCAAATACGATGCCATGACCGTCGGCGAACTGCCGAATACACACACTCTGGAAGGCGTCTTGCGCTATGTCTCCGCAGCAGAGAAGCAGCTGAGCATGGTCTTCCAGTTCGACCTGGTGGATCTCGGGCATGGAAAGGACTACAAGTTCCTGACCACGGACCCGGGCTGGACACTCGGCGAACTGAAAGCGGCTGTCAAGAGCACGCAGGATATCATCCGCGGCACTGATGCGTGGACGACCGTTTTCATGGAGAACCACGACCAGGGGCGGTCAGTGAGTCGATTCGGTTCTGACAAGACGCCCGAGTGGCGCGTTCGGTCGGCGAAAATGCTCGCCATGATGCAGAGCACGCTTTCTGGCACGCAGTATATTTACCAGGGTCAGGAGATTGGTATGGTGAATGCGCCGCGGGAGTGGACGATTGATGAATACAAAGATATCGATAGCTCGAATTATTATCGCATGGTCAGCAAAGTGTCGAACAATGACCCTGTCGCACTGGAGACTGCTATGGATGCTCTGCAGCGGCTGGCGAGAGATCATTCCAGACTTCCGATGCAGTGGAGTGATGAGGCTTATGCTGGGTTTTCACCTGCTACGTCGGCGAAGCCTTGGATGCGTCCGCATGATAATTACCCTGAGGTCAATGTGAAGTTGCAGGAGAAGGATGGGGGTTCTGTTCTTGAGTTCTGGAAGAAGATGACTGAGCTGCGCAAGCAATATGCTGATCTCTTGGTCTTTGGGGACTTTGATATTCTTGACGAGGAGAATGAGAGTGTCTTCACGTACACCAAGTCTAGTCGGGATCGGACTGTCTTGGTGATTCTTAACTTCTCGGATAGATCCCAGAAGTTCGAAACGCCGGAGACTTTGAAGGGTGAATGGAAGTTGTTGGCTGGCAATGTTGATGATATTCAAGAGGAATTACAGGCGTTTGAGGGACGGGTCTTTTTGGTTTGAGGCTGGGGTTGATACCTATTAGATAGCTGTCTATACTCAAGGGCTAGTTAATCATGTTTGACTTACTTTCCAGCCTATTTCTGAGACTCTCTTAATTTATATCTGATAGGTATTTTGTGACAGCCCTGGCCCCTGGAGGGCTGATCAGGCTGATCCCCCAGTGACCAGTCTCCCAGTCTCTCCTCAGTTTTACCAAGCTTACAGCGCAGAAATGGCAATTCCTCCGTATCTCACATGTGAATATCCTCAAATACCTCAGTTCCACATCTCGCGGTGATCAGCGTGCCGCTACGGAAAAGTATTAATTGCCAAGCCCTTCATCGAACGCGGGGGAAAAAGAGATCTGCAGATGTACTCCACGTTTCGACATCAACAAACCCCTGACCTAGAACCCTGCCTGCAGTCCACTGTAGACTGCAGTCCAAAGGACTCAAGAGAAAAAAGATGACAAGCCCGACAGGCCCAACTCAATCGCGCGTCCCAAAAGCCTGCGATCCCTGTAATCGCCGCAAAGTCCGCTGCAACGGGCAACAAAGATGTCAGCAATGCCTGCACCTGGATCTCCTCTGCACCTACACCGAGAACCGGCTCTCGCGCTCCAGGAAACACTCTCTACGGCGCGGAGCAGTCATCTCCAAATACAAGAACTCAAGCAACAACGACACCATCTCCAAAACCACACTGACACCACTGCTCTCACCACCACTGGCACCTAAACCCTCACCCTCATCACTCAGTCGCTCATCCACATACTTTGAAAGTCTGCTGCCAGACTACATGTCCTACGTATACCCATTCAGCCCGATAATCACCGACAGCGAAGTACGGCAGTCGATACAGAAAATGGATACCGAGAGAGAACACGCAGCTTTCATCTACGCCTTTACGGCTGTAACACTGGATTTAACGCGATCGTCACATTCAAACTGCGCGAAACCAGCATCAGGACCAACCTCAGCACCAAATTCAACGCAAATAACCGACCTAATGCGCCAATCGGTCGAATCCCAACAACCACTCGTAATCGGCTGTCGACCATCCATTCTCCGCGCAACAACCAGTATCTTCATACAGATGTGCGCAATGAGTCTAGGCCACTACGATCTAGGCTTCTTCTACCTGCGCGAAGCAATAAGCATGATCCACATGCTACGGATAAGCGACAAGACCGCACAAAGCGCTCTTAGTCGCCCCGAGCGCGCCAGACGGCAGCGTCTATACTGGCAATGCTTCATCCACGAGCGATTCATGTCAATTGTGTATTTCACGCCTGTCACGCTACCTCCGCATTCGCAGTACCCGGAAGAAGACGAGACCGTGGAAGCGGGCATCCAGCAGGGATGGACGCAGGTGATTAAGACGTTTTGTATGCTTGATGCGGCGTTTATTAGTCTTTGGATTGGGGATAGGTCGCAGGTGAGCGCGGAGTGGGTGGAGGGGAAACATAAGGAGTTGGATGATGGGGTTTGGGAGGTGGAGGTTTCGGCGTTGTCGGAGTTGCAGCAGGCGGATTTGGTGGTTACGAGGCAGTGGATGAGGACTTTGTTGTGGCAGATGGCTATGTCGAATTGTTTGCTTAGTTCGCATGCGTCTTGTCCTTCGTTGGAGTTGGAGATGCCGTTGAGGTTGTCGGTGCAGTTGAGGAGGTTTTTGACGAAGATTTCGCAGAATGTGATTCGTGTCCATGGCTCGGCTATGATTAGCAAGTTGTTGGAGATTGTTAATACGATTGCTGATGTGGTCATTCATGTGCCGCAGGCTACGGAGGAGGAGATCAGGTGTCGCATTGATGATATTGTGTTTTTGCAGGGGATTGTGTTGTCATTTCATAATTTGCAGGTCATGCCGAAGGATATTCTGTTGGATAAGTTTCGGTTGATTCGGGGCAGGTTTCCGCATATTGAGGTAGCCATGCAGTTGGCTATTTAGAGCAGTGGTGTTGAAACAGACTAGGATGAATAATACCAGAGCACTCAACAGCAGGAACGTGGAGAATCTAAGCATAATCCAATGGCATATCGATATCAATAATACACACACAAATCATTCTAACCCGTCACAGCGTAGAGGTCACGTTGGAGAACTCGCCCTTCTCGAGCTTAGTCTTCCAGAACTCGGGATTCATGTCGTCGAATCCGTGATGCACCCACCCTTCTTCCTTGACGTGGTACAAGTTAATGAAACCACCGGAGTAGGCGTCACGGTGCATGGCAGCCAGAATGGCTCGGCGGCCGAGGGCCAACGCCTCCTCCTCGGACAGGTCGTACCGGTACTCGGCGTCCAGCACACCGTAAGCGAAAGTCTGACCGGATCCAACACAGAACAAGTTACCCGGGAGACGAGTGCCGTCGGAGTCGATGTAGTAAAGGGCGGGTCCTTCTGAGGGTGTCATCTAGAGATTATCATTAGTCCCCATCTGGTATTTGTGAATGGTGCGTATGACATACTCCTGCGAGCATAGTTCCCATGCTCAGTCCGTATCCCTTGTAGGCGTAAGTGAGGTTGGCAAGGATCTTGGATGCGGCCGCAACAGTGATGCGGCGCTTGTGTCGGATTTCTAAACAGAGACTCATCAGCACTGACTCACCACTCCCCAAGACCAAAGCAAGCGGACTTACCGTGCAGAGTGCACTGCTGGCTCAGATAGCGCAACCAATATTGACAATCCTAATTCGCATAACCATCAGCAAACGTCCATCACACTCAGCATCATCGCTGTCGGACAAAACTTACAGCTGCACCACCGGCCATAGTTCCTAGCAAACCTGGCGTCGGCTCATTCGACTTCTTGTCCTCACCCCGACTCAACCGCGATACAGGAATGACCTTCTTGACTGTCTGACTGGCAATCCAGTTGCCGGCTGTTGCTCGAGAATCGGTACACACGATCTAACCCAAAAACTCATCAGCATGTCGTGTCCAGACCCGGCAAAAATATGTAATCAAAATGGAGGAAACATACGATACCGCCCTGGAATCGGAATGCCAGGGTTGTTGTGCCGTGAGCGAGCTTGATGGGACAGCTGGGGTTGGAGTGGTCATCGGTCATGGCACGCAGGAAAGCAGCGCGCTGAACAGAAAAAACGATGTCAGCCTGTCGTTCTTCTTGTATGAATCATAGTATATTCAGGCCGGTGGTTGTCTTGGGCAGAGCTATGATGACGGCGGATCTTGGGTCGACGTCAAGTCGATCGTACGCCATCGAAAAAGCCGCCATCAAGCCCAAAGAAGACCTGCCACGGTATCCGACAGTACTCACATTATCAACGGGAGGAAGGCTGAACTTCAACGAGAGCGGAGGGACGCTGGAGTTGAAGTCCTCTTGCTCTTGCTCTGAGTACATCTCATTATGATGATGAGTGCGCGAGTATTGGGCGACAAGCTTATCCATGATGTGACAAAGTGTGAGTAAGGAAAATGGTAGAAAAAATGATGGTGGAAAGAGGTGAAAGGGATTGGGTGAGATAGTCGATGGTTGAAGCTCCGCTGGAGCTTGGGGTTTCCGCGTCACTCTGGCGCCTGAGGTCACGTGCATGTTATCACTACGCGGTACAACTACGATGATTTTTCAAGAGCTTCCAGTAGAAAGATAATAAAACAACTAGCGGATTAAACTTTACGATACAAAACTTGCATATTTCCCGAGTATCAAAGCCTCGCAAGTTCAGTGCCAACGCCGTTCCCGAAAACGCCTGCAACGGCCAATCTGAGGCGCGAAGAGTTGAGTTTACACGTAACAGCTGCGAGGTGCCTGTAGCAGGCCAGAAAAAGGTCGACTGGGATCCTGGAGAGTTTGCCTCGATTACACAGGCTCAGCCAGCATCTTTGCAGGCGGCGCGCCGGTTCCAACTGGTTCGGTGATACCATTGGCATTGCCCTCAACCAGAGAGCGCTCGTCCATCTCAGACACACGCTCCGAACTCTCATTCAGCCCGTCGACATGACTGGCGCCAATGCCATTGATTCCGGCACCATTGACCTGGGCTCGCGAGTCCTCCTGGTCAGCGGCAGAGGTAATGGGCTCGACACTAGGCTCCCATGAACGGAGGTCGTTCTCCGCATCCTCGAGAATCTGGCGTGCCAGAGGCTCATGGTCATATGCCTGGCGAGCATCACCGGGGACTACAGGGCTGTCGTCGATGTAGTTAAGCAGGCGACGAGCGTGGCGAGCCAGAATGGTCTGCTTCTCGGCGCGCTCGATGACGGCCGCCAGATGGATATCATAGGCCTCCTTAAGCTTTTGACGTGTCTGCAGATGGGATAGACGTTAGCAAGACCAGACTAAAAGCACAACCCCATAAGAATGGAGAATTCTAGAGTTGAAACGTACGATATTAGACAGCTGCGCCTCAGCAACCAAGTTCTGTGCCTCAGCACGGACAAGCTCATGCTCTAGCGTTACCAGACGCTGACTATTTGGGTCCTTGTACTTGAGCTTGGCGATCTCATCAGTGACCTTCTGGCGTTGATCGCGCGACGGCTGAACCGAAGCCTCCATGTTGCGAATCTGCTTCAGGATGTTGCGGTAGTCCTCGAGGTTCTGTGCAAAGACGTCTTCCTGCTCGCCCATCTCGGCGAGCATGACGCCGAGCTTGTCGGAGATGTCGGAGACATTGTCATCTTCAGTGGCCTCTCCCCATTCCGACAATTGAGCGGCGATCGAGGTGCGCTCACGGCCGGCAGCTTCGTGGGCGCCGATAGCGTTGTTCTCACTCTTGATCAGCTTGGTCATCTTTTTGCTCAGCTCGGGTGCTTGCATCCCACGGAAGGTCGAGATGCTGAACCGGTGCCGGCTCGCCGGGGGTTCTCGGCGCGATCGAATTGAGATGTTGCGGTTCCTAGATAAGAGTTAGTGATGATGCATGTCGAGCAGGCGGGTTACATACATCTTGTTGTAAGGTGATACGGTTGATCAATACAGGGTAGAATTATGATGTATGTCGAGATGAAAAGCCGACAGAGAGTAAATCTGGGGGAGGTAGCGCGTGATAAAGTGCGCCTTCCTATAGATGACGATGGTCGAACCCTATTCTTCTCCTCTTTCTTTCCCAGAGGAATTGCAGTCCCGGGCTGACGTCATGACGGGGAGGGGCGGATGTCCAGCAAGTTATCCAACAAGCTGAGTCGCTCATACACCCCATGATATGTCCGATTGCGGAAAAGTCTAGGTTGTTGTAGAGGAAGTGGTGAAGTGGTGAAGGACATTGGTCTTGGTTTAGCTGACAGAGCGGATGATCGTCATTCTCCACCATCGACCATCGGCTTCCCGATATGAAGCCACGAGCTTAAAGGGTTATTCATTTTCTTGATTTAAAACAGACACACGTGACACAGTAGACCCCAATAGAAGGCGAATGGGCCTTTTCAAGTCCATTCTTTGACATATATAGAAGGTTAATGTCTGACAAGTCTTGGGTTTCTCTTTCCGCTTCAGTGCTCACCCCATGCCGCTTTTTGCTCACTGAGTAAAACTGAGCACATCCCTGGGCGTCACTGAGCGTTGCCTCAGTGACCTCAGACCACCGCCTGTTATTCTGCCGAATTTATGAAATTCTGCCACGCTAACCCCGATTGGGAAGAACCACCAAGCCTGCACATGGCAGCTTCATCCGGTCTTGCTTCCTGCCACTCATTCCATCAAGAGCATCCCTAAATTAATGCAGTAACCTGCCGGTGGTTGTGCTAGAGCGAGAAGCAGATGATCGTAATTGCCCCAAAAATATCTCGTATGGATGTGAAAACAATCCACCCAGTGAAGATTTCTTTGGGGAATATATATCCAGGACCACCTATACATTAAAATCCGCCAAGGAATAGACGTGCCTCCGATGAGAAACAATGCCTATCCAGATTGACTCTTCTGACCAAACGGTCCGGCTCTGGGATCTGGTTTACAGGTTCTCTGGACCGAACTCTGATTGGCCACTCGGGCCCAATTTGGTCAGTAGTCTTTTCACCCAGCAGTCTCCTACTGACATCAGGCTCAGACAATCAGGCATTCAGGCTCTGGAATGCAGCAGCAGGCACTTTAGAGGCGACTCTTGAAGGCCATACAAGCTCTGCCTGCTCAGTGACATTCTTACCCAATAACCAGTTACTCGCATCTGGCTCTTGTGATGAAACAGTCCAAATCTGGGATCCAGTAACGAGCTCTCTAGAACAGACTCTCGAGGGTCATTCAGGCCCTGACCCTGTCAGGTCAGTGGCCTGAACCTCTCATGGCCAGTTACTGGCATCTGGATCTCACGACCAGACAGTTCAGCTCTGGAATCCGATAAGAGACGGACAGGAGAAAATAATCAAGGGCCATTCAGGCCCGGTTAACTCAGTAGACTTCTCACCTGATTGGATGGCCAATTACTGGTAACTGGCGTCTGGCTCTTCTGATCAGAAAGTCCGACCCGGCGAAGAGTCTGTTGAACCGGCAGCGGATTCAACTGGGTTTATGAACTGTGGAAAATGCATGGGATTCAATGCCGATGAAGTTTATTGAGGCCATAAAGAAGGTCGAGGCAGACAGGAATCAGGATGGATAAGATGCGGCGCATGGAAGGCTGTTGAAGTGGGCTAGATAGCCTGAATACATCTCGAATGTTTTATAATTCCGTTAAACCGTAATATTGCCACATACGACCATAGGGTGTGGAAAATAGGGCTTCCCGTCCGCTCAGCCGTACTCAAGCCACACGCCGGTGAGTTAGTAGTTGGGTGGGTGACCACCAGCGAATCCTCACTGTTGTATGTTTTTTTCTCCTTCCTTGTGCAGAGAAGTCTGTCCATGACGTCGACTTCTTCACTACTCACTAGTTATCCTTCTTGCTTGCGGTACAATACAAATGATATGATTGATATTCCTTAGAATAATCTTTGATAACTAGGGGTTGCATTATTGGAGCCATCTATCCGTAAAATAGCCTCTGAATGCAAAGACATAGCAATGATTTAGAGATTCCTCATGGCAAGAATTGCGTCACGGACATCAGCTCCAAGCACAGTTCCAGCATCAGCGTCACGAGTGGAAGTATCACCTGAGTCAAACGTCTTGTCTTGAACAAGGGATTCAGGGAGCTCCGATCCTGAAACACAACGGGCTAATGTAACCAGTGTTGACCGATTAAGGTACTCGCCCGCGGAGGGCCAAAAACGCGTGGCTTCAACCTTTTTCGCAACGGCGTCACTGGCTCCTCGGCTCTTTGCGTTCAGGTACGCAATAATGAAACAGAAGTACAAATACCGTCGACGAGGACGATTGTCGGAAACGAACGTCAATGGCTTGTTGTCGATTTCCTGTCATATCATTGGTATAATACTCAACTCTAGCTTTTACAATACTGACCTTCAGTTTCATGTAGGATCCACCCAAGGTACCGATGATGTTCTCCTTCTTTGATTCGTCCAAGACAACACATCTCCATTGAGTTGGACTTTCCATTGGGCCGGGCATAGGTACAATGGCGATGGTACCTTGGTCGAAAAGTAGCTGAATATTATCTGCTAGTGTAATGCCTAATTTATATGTGTCAGTCATTTACTTGACCACAAAGGTACATTCTTACCATTGCGGGGGTCACCAAGAACTCCATCGCTGACTCCGAATAGGTGTGCAACTTCCTTGGATGTCATAGACTTGGGTACAAGATGGGCGGCTTTGATGTTCTTTTGGGGGAGTACAGTGCCCAAGACGTGACACCACCCAAAGCCAGGGAGACAATGTTCATTGACACCGTAATAAGCATAAACCTCTTTCTTGAAGGCGGTTTGGTCAAACTTTGCCCCCTTCTGCTTCGCACTTGCACCCAGCACACGGGAGATTATGGCATCGCGGTAGGCGTGCTCAAGCAGGCTTTGGTCCATCGGCCCTTCAATCCTCTGCCGTTTCGCTGAAACTGCCTCATCGATGTCTTCCACAATCAACGGGCGTTGTGTCTTGAGGACATGAATTGTTGTCGAAGACGAGCGGAAGGACTTCAAGAAGGGTTGAATTTCTCGCTGGAAGGCGTCCTGAGGTATCTTTCCAGTCTGTCTTGCCTCGTTGAGGCCGTCTCGGACACATCGCATGTACTCAAGTTCAGTTTCCATTGCGGCGAGTTTCCCCTCAAGAATATCAGATGTTGTCGACTCAATTGACATCTCAGAAAGGCGCGATGCTGCACTCGCAGACCTTTGCTTGTGAGTCCGCAGCGCTGACTGACGAGAAGGCGCCATGAGAGACGATATTCTTTCGGGGATTACGGGGGGCTCAGCAGGGTTGTTCCGGGCTGACATGTTGGCGGTATAAAGTAATAACAGTGCTTAAGCAGGAAAAAAAAGGCGATAAGCTGATGGAGTGATGAAAAGGAAGAAAGGAAACACGAAGGAAGGTGCCGAGCTGGAGTAACCGCTGCCCAATTCGGATTTGACATGGCAGAGCCGCCAATTGTCGGGTTCCTGGGGAGTCGGAGGGTCTCTCCCATGGGATTGTAAAAGTTTATCTCTCGAACATCCACTATTCTCATCCGCTGTAGGTCCTTCTGCTGTAAGTTCTGTTTTACCAGTGATCATCGGGCTCTGCTCCTTCGCAATCCGACTGCGGCGTATGGAACCTCCCCTCCCACTATCTTCAGTTAGTTTTACATATCAATCAGGGTGCTGGTTTTCCAACAGGCTTATGCTCAATATCAGATCGGGTTCACCCTTCTGTGTTCATTCGTAGAAATGGATAGCTCTCATCTCTTGCGGAAAGCGTACAGATACCACTTCTCCAATCGTCCTTTTTACTTCTCGTATAGCTAACTAGCCCATTTGTTAGATAGGATGTATACCGCACTCGAACATAAAGGGCACGAAGGCAGATTTAGGCAGGAGTAAATGGTTCCTCATTCGTGTAGGTCCAAGGCCTCTCTGTTGAAATCATGTAATCTTCTTGGATTGAGGTTTGGTTGCTCACCTGTTCTGATCGCCAAGTCATTCAAAGGGCAGTTGCCGTCGATATCAAATTGCTTGTTTGCCTCCGACTCTCACCTCGACTACGATCCTCACTTCTCGTCTTTTGCTTGGTTTTGACTATTTCCCGTCCCTACGCTTCTTCGACCCATACACCTAAAACGTGCCGAAAAGGGCCTTAGTATCTACGTGTATCTTCGTGAGTGGTGATTTTCTATATCATAGCACCCCTGTTTCTCTATTTCGTGTACTGAGACTCTCGTGCACTATATTTGTTGTCGTGTTTGCTTGTGTACGGTCATCGTCGTCTCATCGCCCCGGCGAGGCAGGGACGTGACAACTTTGTTGTCTTTTTCTTCCCTTGTCGTGTTTATTCCTCCTCTCTACTCATCTCCTCAAACTTCCTTTTCTTCCATGTCTACCCCCTTCTCATACCTTGCTTTCTTATCTGTTCCTGCTTCGCAGCTCTAACGTGTTGTTCCCAGCAACATTTCACCAGCCAGCAGCACGTTCGTACACAGTCACTTTCCAATTGATCATACCTCCGTCGCGACAACTATTCTCACTCTGACTTTTGCGCTCGTCGCGTCTCTTACATCTGTCAATCGCCCAGGTAAGTCAAAGCATCCATCCTTTCACCATCGCCCTGGTGCCTTGTGGTAGAACTTTCTGACTATGACGTCCCTCATAGTAACCCGCTGGCTGTAAGCACCACACGATGGCTGCAAGCGTTGAGAATCCCACTGTGAGCCCAAATCAACTTGGACTTTCCGACCGCAAGCTGCGCGAGATAATGCGAAGCGGCGATAAAGAGGAAATGAAAAAAAACCGCGATGTCTTCCACGTAACTGGCCTCGTTGCTTGGACAGTCCGACCTCCTTACTGGCGCATTGCCTTAGCCACCAATGCTCAAGGAGACCGCTTTCTGTCTGATGATGAGCTTGATCGTGTTCTCCCCCAATGGAAGCTCATTCTAAAGGGTGAAAGGATCCCGAGCTACAGGTACCCGACGGCTGCCGATTCTTTTAAGGAGTGGCTTGATTCCGAGAGACGGAAGGCCCGTCGTCTCGGAAAGCCATGGATTCAAGCACCTCCCGCCCTCCCACCCTCTCTGTCAACTTCGAAGACAGCAGGCCCAATTAAAAGGTCTTCGTCTTATATGCCTCCACCACGCGCCGGTGGCTATACTGGCACATCTCCTTTCGACGTGGAGGGTACCCACGAGACCGTGGAAATCCGCGTGCTCAGAGAGCTAGTCAAGGAAGTCCGAGACCTGAAGAGGATGTTTGCTGCTGCTATGGAAGGAAGTATGATTCAGTGCATGGCCCCGACTCCCCAGGACATGGATGTTGGAATGGGCTCTTCGGATCATGTTCATGGATCGGCATTTGACTGCCACCATGGTGCATCACCGGAGGCCTGGTATCCTGGGGCGCAGCGATACCCTACAGAGATTCAGCCCCTCTCAGAAACCTCTGGTGCCGATGGCTCGGCAATGCCAAAGTTCATGGAGCAGTATTAAACGAAGCCGCTCCAACACCTCACACCTGCCAGTGTGGAGGAAGAGTGGCAGCAATGGCCGGATGCCTGGGAGGGTTAAACTTGCTTCTCTCATTCCATTATTTTATTGGGAATGGGGCCAGTAAACCTAGTGGCGAGAAATCCAACAGGAAAATGGGGGGCAAAACCTCCTCATGCCGACGCCGACTATGATGCCGAGGAGCAATGTCCAATTTCATTCAGGGGAGAAGAGAAGTGGGAATTGAGAAACATCTAGAAACTAAGGCGGTTTAGCGCCAGGTGCAGCTTCGTAGGTCATCCGACTCATGTATTTTGATGTCGGTTCGGATCTCGGCCGATGACTTTATCCGGACCCACTTTTGTCGATTCCTGGGTCATTTATTGTTGACTCGACGTCTTTTGCAGGGAAAGATATCATTTCGACCTTCCAGAAAGAAATCATGTGAATCTAGTAGCTTTGGATGTACCTGGTTCCATTTGCCTGGAAACCTTTTTTCCAGCTGGCCATTTCCCCTACGTACCGTTTAGTTGACAAAATACCGAACCTGCTCATCTAGTCAACTGGCCAGTTACACTGCAATAACAATTGACATGATGGTGTCACGATCCGGAGCCGAGGAGCTAAGGATAAGGAGATAGGAGCAAGGGCCAAGGAGGTCTCGGACTGACTTGCGGCCGTGTAGTATGCGGAGACAGGATTGCCGAGGAAGGTACCAAGACAAGGCAGAGAACAGAGGAGACAAGAGAGTCAAGACAGATCAAGATAGGATATGGAGGTTCGTAGTAGAGGACAGGAAGGAGGTAAATTGTTGCATGAAGAGGAAAACTATGTACAAAGGGGATGCGTCCTGTATAGCTTTCCTTTGACGCACTGAGTCACCTAGGAAATAGATAAAGGCAGACCGCAGTTGCAACCTTTCATTTCTTGTCTGTTGCCACTTCGCATAATGGCCCGCAGCTTGCGGTCATATTGCTCACGTTGTTTCAACTCCATGGCGAAGCGAAGTGCTATGAGGGTCGTCATAGTCAGAGAGAGTGCTGCCGCGAGACACCAGGGTGATAATGGATGGATGGATGTTTTACTTACCTAAGTGATTAACAGTGAATGGGAGGATGGATGAATGCGACAGTGAAAGAGAGCGTGCGAATCGGAATAGTCGTTGTCAATGGGATATGGTCAATCAGGAGGGACTGTGTATCGAGGTTGAGAGGCTGGTAAAATGCTGCTGCTGGGCACACAACACGTTTGAACCGCAAGAGCAGGAACAGATAAGAAAGTTGTCAGATGAGAGAAGCGATGGAAGAAAGAGAAGTTGAGTAGATGAGAGGAGAAGGGAAGAAAATTACAAGACGGTTGGCACGCCCCAGATGGTTCCTCATTCGTGTATGTTGGAGTGCCCTCTTGAAACCATGTAGTCTTCCTGGAGGATTGGTAGGTACGACAAGGGCCTTCGTACCTACCTGGGTCTTCGTGAATGGTGATTTCCTATATCATAGCGTTCCCGTATCTCGTTTTCATGTCCTCGGAGTCTCGTTTGTTGTCGTGGTTGCTCATTAACGGTCATCGTCATCTCATCGCCTCGACGACCCCGACGCCGAGGCGTGCCAACCGCCTTGTAGTTTTCTTCCCTTGTCGTATTTATTCCTCTCCTCTCCTCATCATCTCAATTTGTCTTTCTTCCATCGCTTCTCCCATCTGACAACTTTCTTATTTGTTCCTGCTCTTGCGGTTTAAACGTGTTGTGTCCAGCAGCATCTTACCAGCCGGTCAACCTCGATACACAGTCCCTTCTCATTGACCATATCTCATTGACAACGGCTGTTCCGATTCTCACGCTCTCTTTCACTGTCGCATTCATCCATCCCCCCATTCACTGTTAATCACTTAGGTAAGTAAAACATCCATCCATCCATTATCACCCTGGTGTCTCGCGGCAGCACTCTCTGACTATGACGGCCCTCATAGCACTTCGCTTCGCCATGGAGTTGAAACAACGTGAGCAATATGACCGCAAGCTGCGGGCCATTATGTGAAGTGGCAACAGACAAGAGATGAAAGAACACAAAGAGGTATTCTTCACACGAGGCGCCTTTCCCTGGACAGTCAAGCCGCCTTACTGGCACGTTGCCTTGGGTACCAATGAAGAAGGCGCCCGCTTCCTAGCGGACGATGACCTCGATCGTGTGCTTCCCGATTGGAGGCTCATCCTCAGCGGTGAAAAGGACCCGGGACGACATTACCCGGAGGCTCGAGGACCCCTCAGGGAGTGGTTTGAAAGTGAGCGACGGAAGGCCCGTCGCCTCGGAATGCCACCATCTCCTCTCGACTTGAACGGTCCCAACGAGACCGAGGAAACCCGCTTGCTCAGGGAGCTAGTCAAGGAAGTCCGAGACCTGAAGAATATGTTTGCTGCTGCTATCGACGGAAATAAGACTCAGCCCATGACTTCGACGCCCCGGGACATGGTTGGTGGAATGGGCCCTTCGGATCAGGTTCATGGATCGGCTTTTGACAGTCACCATGGTGCACCGCCGGAGGCCTGGTATCCGGGAGCGCAGCGATACCCCACAGCGATCCAGCCATTTTCGGAAGTCTCTGGTGCCGATGGCTCGGTAATGTCAGAGCTCATGGAGCAGTATCGACCAAAGCCGCTCCAACACCTCACACCTGCCAGTGTGGAGGAAGAGTGGCAGCAATGGCCTGATGCCTGGGAGTGTTAAACTTGCTTCTCTCATTCCGTTATTATCGGGGCTAGTAAGACTGGTGGCGAGAAATCCAACAGGAAATGGAGGGCAAAACCTCCTCATGCCGACGCCGACGATGACGCCGACTATGATGCTGACGATGATACTGACGATGATGTCGACGATGATGCGGACGACCTGTGTTCAACCTCAGATCTCAGGATGGGGGGAGCTGGCACGGAAAAATCACGAAAAACAGACACAAGGAAAGCTGGGAGCAAGAGAAATTAAAAAAAAAAAGAAAAAGAAAATTGACTAGCTCGGTGTCGCGTTGCACGAAGGTAAGTTGTGTGTTGATACGCTGGCGGCTGGCCACCCACAGAAAGATATCGGAGTTGGCCAGTTGCCGAGGTAGAAAGGATCTGATTCGTTGAGCTTTATCTCATATGCTGGTGTTTTCATTGGCTGGGCTCATTGTAATTCCAAGATCATGTACAACCTTGTTTGAGTCTATTGACTCCACTTTGTCGTTTACTTCTTTGATCAACACAATATCTTTCAGTGGCTCCTCCTTCTCAACTTGTCTTACTAGGCTAAAGGCTTCCCCCAGAGCGAGACATCAGGCCTTTGCAGCTGGAAAATTCCGGTTGGTACGGCGATGTGCATTCTCTTATGAAATCTATGAGACTATAGGTATCGCGTTTGTTGTTGCTTCTCGACCCGGGGCAGGCCGAGGAGGCCTAAGGCCACCTATTACGCGTTCCTTGGGTCATTTAGAACTGACTTTCGCAGTGTGCTCTGGCCAATAGCTATGTGGCGGCGTGAGGGATCCATAGGACTTGTGTGACTTGTACCTAGCTTTAGATTTATCTCTTAGTTCCTACCAGTTGTCTGTTACGTTCTCAGTTCCTACCAAGACAACTGGACAACATCGGTTCATGCGCCATCCCTAAGGGCATTGCGCCTGCCAAGTGTCGGGTACAGGAAACATCTACCTTCTGAATCGGGAGATAGAGGGAAAACAGAGCATACAGAACGACATTGCACATCAATCCATAAGAAAGGAGGGACAGGGCCCCATTATGGTTGTCAAGTATTTTCATAGAAAGTAACTTGGTTTGTAGGTAATTTGGAGCTGCGAGTATTCAGTTAGAACGTTTCGAATAGGTCCTAAGAGACGTAATAGGTAATTGATGTATGGTTATGTGGAGGTATAACTATTGTTTTATGGAAGTGAAAGTAAGGATACAAGATCATATTACCTACTACTGTTTGTATGTCATATGTCAGTACGAAAAGGAGGAGACCGCGCAACGCGCGACACGGCAAGCCTTGTCTACGGTTAGTTACCGCTATAGATAGAATAGATCAGCGTGATTGCCTACGATGAGAGCTTGAATCGAGGAATAGATGGAGAACGGCGTGAAAAGGATCATGTTTCAATCACATAGGTATCTGCCGAGCATAATCTCCGCTTTTTCTAGACTAGGTCTTCGAAATCCCTTATAACTGAACAAGGATTTGCATCAATCAAGAGCACGGTTCACAGCAATTTCAATTGCGGCGAGCTTTACCGATCCGAAAAGGGTCATATCACGGTCGTTGTTCGTTTTGAAGGGTCCGAAGGTTTCCATCCTAAGGAAATCCTCTGCCCAACCCTCGCCGGCGAGATAGCGTTGGTGAGCTTCATTGAACGGCTTGAACGTAAGAAATAAGCCATCACGGCCCTGAGAGATCATCAAGGAATGCCCATTGAAGCAGGCAATACTACTTGATGACTTCAACAGCCATCCAACAAGTTCACATGTTTCCTGCATAACCATTTCTGCGTAACTCGTATGTCGATCCCTCCTCTTAACCTCTAGAATGGCAAAAATGTGATCTAGCCGTGTCCGGCACCGAAGTGCTCCGTCTGTGAATGTTTCATAACCCCCTAGGGCAAACTGTGGGTGGAAGAGTAACCTGTTAAAGACCCACTCAAACGGGGAGGGCGTCAGTTGTGACACCCTCTGCAAAAATGTGAATGAGGCTGCGTTGGCTACCATGTCGTCTTCAGCCTCGGGTAACTGAGAGTCACGGCTGTCTCTTTCGCCCGAGCCCCGTAAAAGTTTCAGCGGGTTTGTAAGTGTCAAAAGACGATCACGGTCGGGCACGCCACCGACGGTTGTTGTCTGCTGCTGTAGCCTAAGAGGCACAATGATTGCTCCAGGCCAATTGTCCTCTCCCTCACGAAGCTCTTCGGCCCGGGTGTTTTTTTGCAATAGCGACGAGATAACTGCGTCATTCATTTGACCCCTTCAGAGTCTCTGCCGCTTTATCAATGAGCCCCTTGTTGAACCAGAACTCCTTCATTCGTGTTGTGAGAGCATAACGGGTATCAGATTCCATAACCGAAGAGACGGCTAGCATCATCAGGTATTGGCTTTGAGATGCTACGGATCCGGAGCCAAACAGTACGGCAGGAAGAGTGTCGATGGATGGTTTGGTAGGATTTGCGGCTAATGTGACGGTTAACGAGTAGAAACAGGAAGGAACGTCGAGAAGGGAAGGAGCAGGGACGCGAGGAAGGGAATTGTTGATTGTTTACCTTCTGTTCTTCTCTTTCTCTTTCTTTTCCCAAATTTAATACCCTGTGTGCAGTACAGTGGCAGCGGCCAATGAACCATCGTCTTTTTGTTTTTTTTTCTTGACCAGCCGACTCATGACCGTAACAGCTAACACGAGTTGATGCCAATCCTCGGACGACGTGGGTATCCAGAAGCCAGGCACCGCGCCTCGCTGGGCTGCGGTCTGTTTCTTAGGATCTTTGACGCTTCGCTGTACTATTGCATTAGCCACGCAGACTGGGCATAGATTTATCCAGTAGAACTCACGTCCTGTGGATCCTCCATGGCGATCAACCCTGATGGTTTGAAAATGAGGTCAACGTAGAGCAACTGTGGCAGGCGTCGGTTGTTATGATTCGGGGTGGAATCAACGCTGCATGAAAACAATGTTGTGGCAAGGATGGTAATAGAGATCGGCCTGCATTTTTGGAAGTCGATCGACGAGCATGACCATGGAGGCAGAGCCTATGAGAGAGAGAGAAAGAGAGAGAGTCCATTCGGTTTTTCGTAACTTAAGGTCACATGTAGCCTTCGCGCTAATTTCAGAGCCTAGGAGTGTAGCGGGTCGTTCCTTCCATTTCGTGGTCTCTGGACTGTGGTCTCCCATGACGTGGTCAAGTCCCGTGTTTAAATCCATAGAACCGTTCATTCGTCTAGTATAAGAACCAAAGTGAAGGCCGGATTTCTGAGGTATTACCCCAAGCCGGTCTAGGTCCAGCAGCCACACGAAAGCTTAACTCGCAACTTTATCTCCCACCAACCTCCGGATCATCAACCCACTACTCTTACCCCACCTCCATCACCTTGTGAAGTCGCCAACCACGTCGCTGCCATGAATTTCCACTATCTGTAGCTTCTTCCTAGGTACACGGGAATTCGAGAGCTCTCCACGCGATGCTGCAGTTGAAGGTGCAAGGCGTTTGTGGAACGAATGCATTCAGCATCCTTCCACGGTTATCGAACGAGCAAATTATTCGGGCCTTCATATCAAATGCTCGGATCTTGGTGGAGATCAGGTAGCTGCGAAATCTCGATTCTTCGCACCCCTTGGGGAGAAAATGTCATTCCCTTGCCCCATCTCGAGGATAAAGACACCCAAAAGAAGCTCGAAATTCAACGCAAATATCGCAGGTCGGTCAGGGAAAACCGTATGGCCCATGATCTCGACGACCAGACACAAGGCCTCGGGAATGGTATCAGGGTGATGTTTCAGGCTATTCTACACGATACGACGCAGATTGCGTCGGGGAAATACCTGTCGTTGCAATCTGCCACCAACGGGAATTGCTAAGGACACCCCAACTTTTTGCTTGCCTCAGTGTCCTCAGACGTCCCGGCTACACCCACCGAGCTACTGGCCGCAAACAAGCCACACAGTACACGCCGGTGAGTTAGTAGTTGGTGGGTGACCACCAGTGAATCTTCAATGTTGTATGTTTTTGTTTTTGTTTTTGTTTTTGCTTTCTATTTTTGACAATTCATTGAGTCCTGGTCATAATTCAGCCAGACAAGCTAAAAGTACCTGTCAAGTAACCATGCCTCTTGAATGGTCTATTACTCTGAGCGGTAACCCTGGTCCGCCTATCCTACAACCCTCCAGAGTCCACACCCTTACAATCCAGTTCACTCAGTCACGTCTTAGATATAATACTGCTCACCATGCTACCCAGTACATACGACCATAGGGTGTGGAAAACAGGGCTTCCCGTCCGCTCAGCCGTACTTAAGCCACACGCCGGTGAGTTAGTAGTTGGGTGGGTGACCACCAGCGAATCCTCACTGTTGTATGTTTTCTCATTTTTTTGCTTTCTTTTAGTTGACGTTCTCGAACGATAGCGATATTTCCTCCGTGCCCCACTCCATCCTTTCCTCGCCCTCGTCTGGATCGCGAGGCTGTCCCCTCTATTATCAAGTACACCGTGTCGCAGAACCAAGATAGAGCCAGGGATACGGTCAGATTTTGCCATTCTCTCCTAAACCGAGTGAGTCCAGTTGATACTAAAGGGTGAGGCCCTCAGGATTTCCGGTTCATGATTTTGAAGTGTCCATGGTCAGGTCGTCTGACTTGACAAGTTTCGTTGCCATGGTTTCGGAATTTTCGCTTCTTTAGGTCGTAGGATGGTGCGGTACTAGTTACGTAGTGCTTAGGTAGATAGGGTCTCGAAGTTATATCTGATGACGACGTATGGGACAAGCACGTGGCCGCTACGGTCAAGTATTGTTGGAGAACGAGTACAAGAAGCAGAGCAAAGATATGTTCGAAGTCAAATCGCTGAGTATTGCAGGCGTGCATACAGCAGCACATTTGAAATGATCAGAATGACAAATCAGAGACTGCTGAAGCTCCATTTGGCCCCACCGGACCGCGTTCCGCAGCAAATTGCATGCACGGGGAAAAGCTTATTTTACCGTTGCCGCGTCTAATAGGAACGCGGTGTGAGGCTGGACTATGTACTGCAGTCTGCGACTCTGCGTATCTCACTCGTTCTTGCCTTTCTTTCACTTGTTGCCTCGAATTTACTTACTACTTACCATGCGAACTTCCATAATGGACTCCCCATGTTCTGTTTTGGCTTCCCGCCCTCACTGTTGTCCTGCCCATGATTCGACTTCCACATCATCTGAACTTGATGAACTCAGTATGCCCTCCCATCTTGCGAACTTCTCGACTGGAAGCAAGAATTTGAAACAAGTCAAAGCCCAAATCATCCGTGGCATTAACGCCGGCTGCACCGAACCTGTTAGGTTCAACCACATTGCTTCCGAGACATTTTCCCAGCTCCAGGACGATCGTTCTCCGACCAAATCCCATTGCAAATACATCTACGATTTCGAGAAAAGAATACTCTGCGTCCGAATTCCAACCGACGCCCATGAAGCCCTTGCATCGATACTTCGCGACCTGATCAATGACCAACTGAGGTCGGCCGGCGTACTTTGGACAAAAGTTGCTTCAAGCGGCTCCCCTAGCATCAAACTAGGAAGCAAAGCGGCGCAGCCTGATGGCTGTTTCATGCCCATTGACAAGAGAGGGAAAACAGTTTGCATCGAGGTTGGGAATTCTCAGACTGAAACGGGACTCATACGAGTTGCTCACCACTGGCTTGAACATCCTGAGTCCACAATCCTGATCTGCCTGCTTGTCAAATTGAGCGCTGATAAAAACGCCATTACGCTCTCAGTCTGGCGGCCAACTGAGCATCATGAGTCTAGCCAGCAGCTTCGATTCCAACGTGTTCACGCAACCATGACTGAGTCGGTGAAAATCATGCGTGCGGATCCAGATCACACTGTGCAGTTCACCAAATGCTCCGATTTGCATCCAAATGAAATACGACTCCCAATCACCGCATTCACTGGTGAACAAACTTCGTCTGCTGCAGTGGAAAATGTCATACTGGATGAACCTGTTTTACGTCAGATTGGACTACGTCTGTGGCTATTCTGTCATGGCTTCGATTAATGGTGGTGGCATGTTCACTTTATTCTTACTTTGTATCTTGCTAACGCTCGCCCTGTATGCCCTAAAGGCTTTGACGTTCAATACTCTTATGAACTAGCTCTAGCATGATTGACGGGTTCCTGTTTGACAACCGACTTTACAGCAGTATGCTCTGTCTAGTTTCAATCTAGAATTTGCCTGAAAGATCAGACAGATCATAGAATCGTCCTAATGTAGCTTTGGGACGTACGTAACCTACCATTGCTTCATCTTCGGTCATGCCACACAGACCATTGGGGCTGAAAGAGTAAATGGCAGAAAATTACGGTCTACAATAAAACATATCTTTGTACAACCTTGGAAATCAAGTGTACACGATTCCATTAGGTTCCATCATCTTTAGGGTTCATCATGACGAGTGGCCTTCGTCAGAATTCGTATAGAACTCGGCCCCAATGCAGAAAACTTCTTTTCACGAACGCATTTAATAGTCTTCATGGCTGAAGGCTTAACTGCGGTGTTGCTATCCCTCGACCGGGCTCGAACACCTCTTGGCACTACTACATCCTTATCCTCGGCAACCCCTAACAATGCCTAAGCGCAAGCGCGAATCATCTCCACCCCCACCGCCCCGCTCCTCAACCCGCCCCCGCCAACTGCGTCGAATCTCTCCGTCCCGTGTATACAGTTCATTGCACCCCAAAGTCACGTTTTTCACGTGAAAAGTGGGCCCCAACCGTAAATTTCTTGGCTTGGTTTGTTTGTACACTACACTAGCTTTGCGTGGAGGCAAAATGTCACTCGCCATTTCCTTAATCTACTATCTTTTTCTGCTCCTTCTCTTTGGATATTTTGTGGTGTATCACTTTCCACAAATGACTTCATCGACATCAGACGCTGCCTCGGCCAACAACCCCGACCCCAACGATCAGGTTGAGGAACTAGATCATCAGAAGTTCTATCATCACCCAGTGTGGTCACAACGCTGGCATCACCCTGAACTCACTGAAGAAGCCTTTGCGGAATATGAGCAAGAGCCATGGTTCAAGAATGCGGCTGATCGTCCTTCCCGTCGGTTCTTAACACCACGGTTCCCATGCAATCTTCCTTGGGGCTTCATTATCTATCGAACAGTCTATACGCCTGAATCTGAAGAGCTGTGGCCAATTGTGCTAGAAAGAATCGCTCAAAGGCTGAAAATGGGGGTCATGGGGGTCATGTCTGAAGCCATCGACAATGAATCCCGCGTTGAACAATTGATGGTTGAATCACACAAAGACGTGATCATTTCTGACCCTCATCGTTGGAATACTGCCAGCATTCCGCAAATCCGCAGTCATTTCGTCGAATATCTGCGTAAGCTCAACCAAACGGGGTGCCCCGATATTCCTCGTTTAGCCTCTTGTCTTGTGATTGATGAGAAATCACTAAAATCGATTGTCGAGGATGAAAAATATGGGTTTCTTGGGGTAATTGATGGGTGGTACAACCCCGAAGTGAAATACGACTACGCTTCTTACCGCGGATTTATGAGGGTGCAACTCATTGCCTTATGGAGTCTCTATTTGGAATTTGATTGGAACCCCATGTGTATGCTTTGCCCGGATTACCCCGATGGATGGATTCCAGTTTACGATGGCGGCTATGGGACGGTTCAGGATGAAGATGGGAATGAATATGTGAAACGCCTCGAGGGATCGGCGGAACGAGGACGAGGACGGGGACATTGGTGAGAAACGAAGTCCTAGCTGTGCGCTCCTTAAGGTCCCATGAGACAATGTAGTAGGTCTTTTGCCTCGGCCTGTGCCTTGGATAAACTTTAGAATGTCGATGGGCAGCGTGGTCTGATAAAGTAAATAAGAACGGAATATCATTTCGTTCCAAGGTTTCAATCATGGAGATTCAGACACATATCTGCGTAGTTAGACTCAACGGAGTCATCCGATTACAACTACGGCAGACATGGAAAAATAAGGATCAAATCTGAGGAGAAATCCTAGGCTCTCTCCTCTACAGTAGATGAAGTGAAACAACCCAAAGTCAAGGGGAGAAAAATAATTCCCATGGCCATTCTTATGATACACAACCAGCTAAAGTGTCATGCTTGAAATTCAAACCCAGAACAGCATAAGATAACCCCCGCAACACCTAAAGCAGATCGACGCAATTGACCCACAGAATCGTTCGTAAAAAAAAAAGACAAGTTCACATGAAAAGGTCTCGAGGCCGACTAGGAAATGTCATCCGTATCAGGGTTATGCGAGTGTTCATTGTCCGATGCGTGGAATGCGTCGCCAAAGGCGGAGTTCTCCAGGTCTGGCAAGTCAAGCCCGTCGTTCTGCTCGCTATAGGCTGCCAAGGCATCACCGGCACTGTCAATGTTGGTGAAGTCAAAGTCTCCACCGACAGGGCCATGGTCTTTGCTCTCATTGTTGACCATCACCCAATCGTTGGCCTGGCCACCGGCACCGTGAAGTTGGCCACCGAGGTCCATGTCGACATCACCGGGGATGTCACCACCAATCGGATGTCCATTGACGGAGACACCGGTGCCTGTGCCAACGCCGGGGCTACCGAATTGGTTGAGTAAGTGAGAATCCTCGTGGTCCATCAGCATATCGTTGGTGAATGACTCCGGCTCGTCTTTGTGTTCGGGTTCGATCTTCTCCAACAAACCCCCCTTCTCGACACAGGACACCTTTGGCTCGGACACGATTTGCTTCTTCCAGGCAGTCTCCACTTCCCGAACAACCTCGTCAACCCGGTATTTGGCCCTGTCTTCGACGTAGTCTAATTGCGGGGTCTCGTCCTCTGTTGGAATGACCACCCGGCCCTCCAGTCGCCAGATCTCTGGGCCCTTGTCAGTTGGGTCAGCGGCCGCCTCTCGAAGGCGCAGCTCGGCATCCTTGAACAATGAGCTTCGGTTGAAACGTTCCATTCGGCGAGCATGTTTTATCTTCAAGTTTTCAATCTCGGCATTCATGTCTGCCACCTTCTTAGTAACACGTTCGGCAAACTCCTCCGCCTTGGCCGGCTCCATCTTGGTGGCTTGCGTGGCGTCAGTCGCCTCCTGGCCGTCACCGGCAGAAGCTCCAATCGGGGCATCAAAGAAACCTGCGGTCAACGACTCGAGCTCTCCCTTCCGACCCAGACCCAAAGAGACTGGCGTGATCTGTGAGATACTGTAAGGCGATGCGAAAATCTCCTCCATCCACTCGTGATGCTGCTGGTATCGCATCTTGCTAATATCGCGGGGAGTCAAAAGATCCAATGCGTCACCACTGGAAACATCTTCGTCCTCCACGGCAAAGTCTGCTGTAGCAGAAGCCAGAGCAGCCGATGGCGCACGGTGTCCGCGTGGGGCTTTCATAGGGACATTAGGCGCAACGGCACCTGGATGACCCTGGGGAGGATAAAGTCCAGGCCCGCGGGGTGCCGCAGCTGGGTAAGCACCGGGTTGCTGGAAGTTCTGAGGGGTCATTTGTGGGAAGTTGATAACTGGCCAGCTATTGCGATCATGAAGCATGAAGTCCTTGCGGGCCAGCTGTCCTTGGCTTTGTAGGAAGCGTCGCTGGGTCATCATTGCCTGAATGGGGGGTGTGACTGAGATTCGGTTTGCAGGCGTATGGTCAGGAGCTGCTGCGCGCGTGTAGTGTACAATCCACAGTGACGGGTCTATCGGAGGAGAATTCGGTCCTTTGGACGAGGCAATGCGGTAACGCTTGCGGCAGTGGGTAGCCACAGTCTCGTTCGGGAGGTGGAAACCGCTTCTGTGAAGGTACATCTCAACAGTCTATATTACTAGAAGTCAGATCCTACTCCACATAGCACAAATAGGGATCACGGGAGAGCATACATAGCCACGGGATTCAAAGGTAAATGCTTGTTCTTGGTCCGCCCAAATATAGCCGTCACTGGCAAAGTTATTACCCAAGTGATTCTGAGGTTGCCACGTGAGCATGACAGTTCCGTCTGGCGGACCATCAAGGAATGTCCAATGCATCGGTTGTGTTTGGCAGATTCGCGGCGCACTGATCAGATACTCAACCGCGGTCTCAGAGGGCATCATATGCATGCTAGGGTACCGATTGCGCGAAACCAGGTGCATGTGGGGGAGCTGCCATAGTAGCGACAAGATTAGCGGGGGAAATAATTCATGGAGCAATGAAGCGCATAGCAATTGTTGGGGTCATACCAGCTGCCCCGGGATGCGTGTGGCCGGGTCATCCATTAGCCCTGGATTGCCAGATGCCATTGATTTGAGGATCAACAATGGGAAGAGACGAATGGGGATTGTTTGAATCACGGGAGGCAATTAGCATATGATGAGGTAGAAAAGGTAAGAACGATGATGGGGGTAGCCCTGGAGGTGTTCAATGAACGCGACACCACAGACGCGGGAGATTTTTGATACGGGAGGCGTCATATGACCAAAGTGCAGAACACCTTAATTTACAGGCATCAGATTTTGAAAGCTTCACCACCATCATGAATTTGATCATTCTGCATGTTTTTCCTTTTTGACCCTTTGCTCTGATTTCCCGAAAGAAAGAAGGAAAAACAGGCGACCAATAACCATCCTTCTAATTTTATGACGAATTGCTATCAAAACACTGTTGTCTGATGCTCAACAATGGTACTCTGCACGGGCATGCTCACCAGCATCAGTCTGCATAGCTTAATCGTCAAATCTTTCACCCCGTACCCATACGACCTTGCATTCACATCAAAACAGTACATAGTGTACGACTCCATCGAAAGTATCAGATCTACGACCCTCATTCCTCAATTTCTTGACAGGCTACAGTATTCAGAATTAGCCTATTCCAGCAGCCAACCTCGGGTTTTCACACATAGTGGCTCCACCTAAGCTTTTGCCAATGCCTCCGCATTCTCCTCTCCGGGGTCTCTCCGTACTCCACTCAGTATTTCGGGGGCCTCGACACAACTCCGATGCGGAGACAGCCAATACAAAGATCGTAAATCCCATGATTCTACAGGCCCATTGGCCCCTGCGAATGGAAGCCGAGCTACGGAGTAGTCGTTGCTCAATGCAGCGCGAATGCGCCGATCCGAACCTGGCCCTTGTTTCCCACCCCGCAAATAAGTAGGCCTCCACAGAACCCCGATGATCGGCCTGGGGTTCTTTTCTCTCTCCCGTGTTCCCTTCACCTCAGTATCCCTTGTCCCCTTTGTCCCCTGTAGGATTATCTGTTCAATATGGGCTTCTTCGGCAAGCAGGAACCGCCTGAGGATGTAATCGAGCCAGCTCCGAACCAAGATGTGGAAAAACGCACCCTTCCCGATCATGAGGAGAAACAGTCTACTCCAATTTCGCCGACTATTGATCCTGAATTAGAGCGCCGGCTTGTAAGGAAGCTGGATTGGCGTGTCCCTACGTTGATGGGATTTTTCTGTATGCCTCGACCTTGACAAGACATGGGAACTGGGTTCATGTGCTTACTACGTCACCCTGTGCTGTCTAGATCTTCTCGCTTTCCTCGACAGATCCAACATCGGGTGAGTTTTTGCGACCGATCTCAGGTCTATTACCAACATAGTGCAACCACTGACTTTCTCGTATATAGCAATGCTAAAATTGCCGGCATGGAAGAGGATCTCAACCTCGATGGAAAGAGTTACGCTTGGCTTTTGACCATCTTTTATATTTCATACACGATCTTTGAGTTTCAAGCACTGATGTGGAAGATTGTCAAGCCGCACCAATGGGCTGCCTTTGTTGTGTTCTCCTGGTATGCGTTCCTTGTTCAATGCTGTCAATCAGCCTTGCAAGCATATGTCGTTTTTAAAATATAGACTGACTCATGATGCAAAGGGGCTTGGTAGCAACGTGCCAGGCCGCGGCTTCCAATTGGCAAGGCATGATGGCCCTTCGGTTCCTGATGGGAATGTTTGAGGCTGGCTTTGGTCCCGGTGTTCCCTACCTGCTCTCATTCTTCTACCGACGTCACGAATTGGGTCTCCGATGCGGTATGTTTTTGTCCGCAGCGCCGCTGGCAAATACATTCGCCGGTGCCTTAGCCTACGGTATTACCTCCGGTAATTCTGCGCTGGCAAACTGGCGACTGCTATTCCTGGTTGAGGGCCTTCCGACTTGCCTGGCCGCCGTGCTGGCTTGGTTCTATGTGCCAGACAGCGCAGTTGATGCTAAGTTCTTGAACGAGGAAGAGAAGGAAATTGCGCGTGCTCGTTCGCTGCAACAATCCGGTGCTCCGGATCGTGCTGGCAAGGTCCAATGGAAGGAATTGGCCATGACGCTTCTCGATGTGAAGGCGTGGCTTACAGCGGTAAGTCCGAACGAACATTTCCAACCCTTCCAATTGTGCTCGAAGGATTGGTGACTGATGTGACACCGTACATAGTTCATGTATTTCAGCTGTAATGTCAGCTTCTCGTCACTGCCTGTGTTCCTGCCCACCATCCTCAAGGAGATGGGATTCACAGCCATCAATGCCCAGGGTCTTACCGCACCTCCATTCTTTACCTCATTTTTGGTGACGATCGCGACCACCTGGGTGGCGGATCGCACCCAACAGCGTGGCTTGATGATTATGGCATTATCACTGATGGGCGGCGTGGGGTACATCCTCTGCGCGACTTGCACATCAGTGGGTGTCCGATATCTTGGTGTTTTCCTGGCAGCGTGTGGGATCTTCCCGTCGATCGCCAATATTTTGCCGTGGGTCTTGAGTGAGTCACACCATTGCCCTATTAAGTTTGTCTGTAACATTGCTAATTGGCCGTTGTACAGATAACCAGGGCTCTGATACCCGCCGTGGTGGAGGCATTATCCTGCTCAACCTCATCGGCCAGTGCGGTCCTTTCCTAGGAACCAATATTTTCCCAGATGAAGAAGCCCCAAGGTTTATTAAGGGCATGTCAATCTGTGCAGCATTCATGTTTTTCACTACCTTGCTTGCCTTTTGTCTGCGTATACTTCTGGTGTGGGAGAACCGGCGCCTTGACAAGAAGTATGGACCCCGCATTCATGACCAGACGAAGTTGGATGGCCCGGTCGCGGAGGATAATTACGGTGCTAACTACCGCTATGTTCTGTGAGGTTCGACCATATTACTGAAACATTTGATTTGAATTGCATTTGCTGGAAATTTCTGTATACTTTGTATACTTCAACAGTGGTGACTAGGTATGATGTCAGGAAGATCTACTGAGGGGGAAATGAGAGGTATGATCGACTGCAGTTCGACAGAGTGTTTTGGATCAATTGAATGTCCTTGACTCCTTCATATCCCCCACCTCGCACTTCTTCCGTGAATCGTACCGAGGAATCTGATTCGCGGGATAGAGTGTCCATGAACATCGGGGCAGAAGGCTCCGAGCCACTCATGAAGCCAGAATACAACCAATTCTCGTAACGTCACTCGTCTGAGATCTGCATTTCATTCGTACAATGTAGTTCACCGGGGAAATGGGCTCACCGAGAACCGGAGAGAGTCGGAGAGATATGACATCTGGACGCGTCGAATGGTGGGGTTGATCGAGTTGCATATAAAGCTAATCCCGACCCCTCATCCTGACTCTTCTTCTTCTCTTCTCTTCATCAATCCAATTGACTTCACATCTCTACTGTAATTATCTACTGCCAACAACTCATCTTCAGTGCTAACCATCATCTAGATCCCAAACGGAAAAGTACATACTGCCCTTCCTTTGGGAGCCATGGACACTCTTTGGCTGGGCAAATTATCCCTCAGGGATCAAGGTATCTCAGGTAACTTCTGGGTGTGAGCCGGTGTTCGTTCCTACGTCGATGGTGAAGCCAGTCGAAATCCACGATCTAGACAGATTTGGTCCATCGGCGTAGGTTCGTTCTGAGATTATACGGCTTTTCACAACTTGATCTGGATAATACCAGCGAAAGGATCATGCCCTCCCCTTCCCCCCCTCCTCCCCAAACCAAGTAGACAAACTAACCAAGACTCCAAGTCATCCCTTCGACTTGATCTCTAAACCATTATGTCTCCTCCCGCTGCCATGTTCGAGCCTGCTACTGTTGCCCCTACCGGTCTCAAGGGCAAGGTCATCGCTCCCGACGCCATGACCACCACCCTGACCGGCGAGGGCCAGTCCAAGCTCTTGGAGCAGTTCGGTAACAAATGGGATGAGTTCAAGTTCGCCCCGATCCGCGAGAGCCAGGTCTCGCGCGCCATGACCCGTCGCTACTTCCAGGATCTGGACAACTACGCCGAGAGCGACGTTGTCATCGTCGGTGCTGGTTCCTGTGGTCTGAGCACTGCCTACGTGCTCGCCAAGGCCCGTCCAGACCTGAAGATCGCCATCCTGGAGGCATCCGTGTCGCCTGGTTAGTCCTTTCTCTTGACGGGAGCAGACTATCTCTCGTAGATGTCCTCAAGCCCCAGTACTAACAACATCCCCTAGGTGGTGGTGCCTGGCTCGGCGGCCAACTCTTCAGCGCAATGGTCCTGCGCCGACCCGCTGACGCCTTCCTGGAGGAGCTCGGCGTGCCCTACGAAGAAGAGCCATCGAACCCCAACTTCGTAGTCGTCAAGCACGCCGCACTCTTCACCTCCACCCTCCTGTCGAAGGTCCTCGCCTTCCCCAACGTGAAGCTCTTCAACGCAACCTGCGTCGAGGACCTGATCACCCGTCCAGACGGCGACAACGTCCGTCTCGCCGGTGTCGTCGTCAACTGGACCCTCGTCACCCTGCACCACGACGACCACTCCTGCATGGACCCCAACACCATCAACGCCCCCATCATCGTCAGCACTACTGGCCACGACGGGCCATTCGGCGCTTTCTGCGCTAAGCGTCTTGTCTCCATGAGCGCAATTGAGAAATTGGGCGGTATGCGTGGTCTTGATATGAATGCTGCCGAGGATGCTATTGTCAAGAACACCCGTGAGGTTGCTAAGGGTCTTATCATCGGTGGTATGGAGTTGTCCGAGATCGATGGCTTCAACCGTATGGGTCCTACTTTCGGCGCTATGGTTATGAGTGGTGTTAAGGCTGCCGAGGAGACTCTGCGTGTCTTTGACACTCGTAAGCGTGAATGTGCTGAGTGAATCTTCGATGACTCACTTGGTTGCCCTCCGCTTGCGCTTCCTGTGCTGGTGGATGTTCATGTTGCTTAATGACGATTGTTTAACAATGCACTCTACGCTCGTTTCGTGCAGATGTTCTTCAAATATGAGTTGTACGTTTGAATTATGCATTAGTCTTGCCACCTAAGGATAAAAGTAGCCACGATAAGTTATTCTACACTTCGTACTTCGTAACAAATATACAAACAAGAGGCAACGGACACAAGACTCAAGCCAAGCCTCCCCACAAAAGCTTGTCGAATGATCAACGATCCTTCTGACTCTCCATTTCCTCTGAAGCAGTTCCAGCAGCTCCAGCATTTCCACTTCTCTCAGCAGCAACAACCAAGCTCCTGGCATTGCTGACCTCCCACTCAAACTCCTTCAAAGCACGCAGCTCACCGGACATGAACAGTCCACCAATTAGACCATCCAATATCCCAGCACCGAAATTGAGCGTACTGACCAGGACCAAGATGAATCCGATGTACGTGCGGCTGCCAATCCACCACACACCAACCATACAACCGATTGAGACCACAATAGACACAACGAAATGTGCTAAACGCCAACGGCGCTGGGATCGTTCACGAAGCACGTAAGTATGGATTATGTCAATGATGTTGTCATATGTATCTGGGGATAAAGCGGCGTTTGGGGAGACAGCTTTTGAGGAGGTTTTATGCAAAGCGGGAGAATTAGGATCGGTCGGGACAGAGTCTGTCAAGTCAGAGCGAGCGTATGTCGATCTAGGAGAGCGAACGATAACAGCCTCAACAGCGAAATGATCACTCAGAGAACAGCGAAGCGTGGGATGTCGCTGTGTCATGGAAACCTGCACAGACTGGACAGACCAGGTAGACGGTGGAAATTCAGGCGGGTAACCGCCGTCGCCGATGAAGATATAATCCAGACGTTTACCACGCGGGTCGGGGGTATCGTTGTCGATGACGATATCCTCACCCTTCTCGAGGCGTTTGCGCATAGCCTCAGTCCAGCGCCAGGTATTGAAAGACCCGTCGCAAGTGGCACCGTTCTCGGTCAGATTGAACTCGGCGGTAGGGATAGGTCGATTCCGTGCTTGCTCGACGGGATCAATTGCCGCGGCGAGTGAAGAGTCTGGGTGAATTTCCCGCCAGGCATCGCGAACGGGGCTCTGGGCGGTGATGAGGCGATGCGCAAAAGATGAAGGCAGCATGTTGAAGTCACCCAGGCCGATGACGAGATGGCCGCGCTCCGCCGCGCCGCGCATTAGCTTGGAGATCTCCCATGCCTGCGCTGTGCGATGGCAGAGGTAGGAGTCGTTTGGTTCGCGCTCGTACGGGGCGTGTAGGTGGGTGCAGAATACCTCTGCGACGTCTGCGGTGCCCGGGCCGAATCGAACGCGTGCGCTGGCGACACCTTTGCCCACGAACCAGTCTCCGCGGAAGAAGGCTGTCGGGCGACCGTTTAGGGGGTAGCCGAACATGCTGCTTTCTTCGATTGGCCATTTTGATAGGATTGCTAATCCTGCGCCGAATATGCCGCCGTAGTAAAATTTCCCGTATGGGAGGATGTGTCGGGTCTGGTCGCGGATGCTCTCAAAGTCCTTCTGTGTCCAACATTCTTGTAAGCCGACAATCTCGGGTGGTGGACTCGCTAGGGCTAGCTGCCGTCCGATCTCTGACATGCGTTCATGGCGGTATTTGGCGATGTATTTGAGCCCCCAGCAGTTGAGAGTGAGGATGCGGATATCGGTTGGAGCTTCGGTGGGGATAGCTGAGGCCATTTGGCCTGTTGGGCGACGAACTCGGGGTTATGCGATAATTCCAAGACTTTCCAATTCGCCAGAAGGTGCTCAAATATATGCTTAAGAAGTATTTAAGAAGTATTGTTCATTCGATCACGTCCACGACTTGTTTAGTATGACGCAGCCAAAAGGAACTGCGGTCCACCGCCTACAATTTGAGTTCACCGCCTTCGTTTTATGCACAACGCGTTCATTGATTTTCATTTCGCGAGTAGTTTGCGATTAGCTTCAGTCAAGGAATCTAGCGTATTTGCATTCGCTGGTCTGGATGCCTTTGTGCGTCCCAAATCCATAATGGATCATCTAACCCCTCAGCCTCGTCGCCGGGACCCTCGCGCCAAATCTCCAAGCGAATCTTCCTCCGATGAGCTCGCCGCAGTGTCCGCCCACGAAGAAGCCGAACGCCGTCGAGCTAGCTGGACTAAGGGAATTACCCCCCAGCGCCCCAAGAAATCAGGACGCCTCTACAGTGGCTCTGAAAGCCCGGATGAATTAGCTGTCGATGCCGACGAGTACTGGCGTTCCTCGCGCACGCGTAACCGTCACCGAAACCAGTCCCCGATCAACCGCACCGACAGCCATGACGATCATTCTCAGGGTGGTGCAGAAGGACACCCTGAAGATGATACAGTCGACACGGATGAGGAGCAGGCTCACGATGCCCATAACTGGTCCGATCGTTCTGCCACCCCTGTTGCTCCCACGCTGCCCCCGAAGCCCGACCATCTCAATTACAAGGAGAAGTTTGTTATGCGTGGCCATTTGCGCGGAGTATCTGCTGTGCAATTCTCACCGGATTGCTCCATGATTGCTAGTGCCGGTATGTCTATGCCCATCGTTTCGATATTGCATAGCTGAATGGGACTAACATTGCATGCATAGGCGCCGACGCAGCGGTCAAGGTCTGGGATACGGCGACTGGTAGACTCATTCACACATTTGAGGGGCATTTGGCTGGTATCTCCACCCTTGTCTGGGCTCCTAATGGAGAATGGATCGCGACTGGGTCGGACGATAAGACGATTCGCTTCTGGAACGTGAATACTGTAGGAATCCCAACCCGCCATTAGATCCCTAGTGGGCTCACACTGACACCGAGATACAGCTCAAAGCACATACTAAGGTCTTCGACGGCCACCACAACTACGTGTATCAAATAGCGTTTACACCGAAAGGTAACATTCTCGTCAGTGGTTCCTACGACGAGGCCGTGTTCATGTGGGATGTGCGCCGAGCACAAGTGATGCGCTCCCTCCCCGCCCACTCGGACCCAGTCGCCGGTATCGATGTCGTGCATGATGGAACCCTCATCGTGTCGTGCGCTCTGGACGGCCTTATCCGTATCTGGGACACCCACAGCGGGCAGTGTCTCCGCACCCTGGTGATGGAAGACAATCCACCAGCGACGTGCGTGAAATTTTCCCCCAACGGAAAGTATGTCCTGGCCTGGACCTTGGACGGCTGCATCCGGATGTGGAGCTACGTCGAGAGCCGCGTTGTGAAGACTTTCCAAGGCCACGTCAATCAGAAGTACAGCTTGTCAGGATGTTTCGGTACCTACGGGCCCCGAGATGTGAACTACCAACCGCCATTATGTTTCGCCGTCAGCGGCAGTGAGGATGGTTCGATTCTCTTCTGGGATATCGTCAGCAAGCAAGTTCTGCAGCGTCTCGATGCCCACTCTGATCCTGTTCTTTGTGTCCACACGGGCACGCTGAATGGCAAGCGCTTGGTTGTAAGCTGTGGGCTTGACAAGACTGTTCGGTTGTGGGAAGAGGCAAGCGAGGATGATGCTGTATCCAATGGTGAGGCCAATGAAGAGGGGCTCGGCGAGGGTGCGAGTACTCCTACCCCTAAGTCGCACTCGCAGGACAATACCCCTGCTCTTGATGCAGATGGTGACGATGCTATGACTGATGCTATGCCCTCTGCCGCTGCTACTCCGGCGGAAGATGTGACGATGACATGAGATGATCTTTGCGATTTTACTCTTAGCGATTTTTTTCTTTGTCTCTGCATGGGCGGTTGCTTTTTGGGAGAGGATACCCTGGTGTCTGGTGTTGTCCTACGGGACGAAATGTGTTTTCCATTTAGCTCTGGGCTTATAGCACTTTTAGTATCATGGCTGGCTTCCATCTGATGGTTGTATTGAAGCCTCCAGATATATCGAGGGAATATGAACTTGACTTTTACATCCACATCAGCGACAAGACGTATAGGGCTATTTTTCTCATCTCACCCCCTAAGTTGCCCTAACTGGTATTGGGCACATTCCAAAAGAAGAACCCAAAAACCACACTCAAAACCGCCATCACACCCGCAAACGCCCCAAAGACAATAGTCATCGACGGATCCTTGAAAGTCGGCGACAGAGCAATACCCAGCACCGAGCTAACAGCCAAAGTCAACATGTAAATCGCCTGCAGGAGAGATTTCATTCCCTCCGGAGCGCTATTATACGCCCACTCAGACCCAGCAATCGAGAAGAAAGTCTCCCCAATCGCCCCAATCACATAAATAGGCACCTGCAACGCCACGCTGACATCGTTAGGCCCCTTCTCCAGTCTCCCGTCGACGACACAGTGCCGCGGGCTGTCGTAGCACGGGCCGGAGTTGTACACGATCTGCTGCACACCGGCTGCGAGGGCCATGCTGGCTGCGACGCAGATAAAGCCCAGAGTCATGCGCACTGTTGGTCTGGGATCGAGCCTGCAGCGCTTCATTGTGGGGTAGACGCATTTTTGGAGGATGGGGATGACGAGGAGGACGGAGATGGGGTTTAGGTTCGTCATCATGTCGTTGGGGATTCCGTAGGTTTGCATGTTGGCGGCTTGGGAGACGAGGTTTGTTTGGTTTTGGTTGAAGCAGAGCCAGACGATGGGGTATATGAGCCTTGGGGTTGGAGATTAGTTTGTCTTTTTGGGAGGATGGTTGTGAGGTGAGGTTGTTCGTCTTACCAGACTCTGCAAGCGATTAGGGCAACTCGGAACTCGGCGATGAAACTATCAGTCCAGGTAACTGTTCGGCCCAGGCTCTCTTGGTGACTGGCTGTGGCATAGCTTAAGCTGAATTTCCCTGGCACGATTGCCAGTCCGAGGACTTTGAATACGCGCATCAAAGTACCTGCCTGGGGTTTATGTTGGACTAGAGAGAGAGGGACATCCAGTTAGTTAGTGCTAGAAGGAATGAGTGAGCGGATGCTCTTACTATATCGACGTCGACCTATAAAGAATGCCACCAAGGACACAGCGAGGGAGCAGAGAGGGAGGAGAAAGGCAGCCCAGAAACCATAGATCTTTTCCAACTCGGTGGTTGCGATTCCTGACAAGCCACCGATGTTAACGCCCCTAATAGGTTGGTCTTAGTATCATGAAGCGAGGGATCTGACATCGACTCACCAGTAGTATATTCCATAGATTTTTCTAATTGTGATCTCCCGGTCAATAACGACCGACTGCCCATTCGGGCGGTCTTCCACTCGAGTCTTAGTCTTCTTCAATTGATCGGCTGTGACGATTAGTGACCTTGAATGACTGATGCTAGGTCCGACAGCCTACCAAGAAAGGGCGCCACAGATGACTTGATTCCTCCTACCCCGACCCCAATCAATATGAAAGCTGCGATCAAACCCCCCAGGCCTGCGTTATGATGGAGGGAAACCGGTAATGAGGTGAGGAAGAGCAATAGAAGGCCGGTGAGATAGAAGCTAGATAATTATTAGTTCCAATGTGTATCTTCTGATTCTTCTCATGAGACCCACACACCAAGAAAACACGCAGATCGTGATAAAAGGCCCAAGATAGCCATCTGCGACTATAGCAGCCGGGATGACAGTTGTATAAGTCAAGACATTCAAGAAACAGATCAGGGCCGTGGCTTTGGATTGACCCAGTCCCAGTGCTCCAGGACGAGAAGTGTCATTGAGTGGATTCTGGATGTAGTTCTCTATCTCACGGTCAGTATACAATGCGTTTGATGGAGTATGGAAGAAACGAACGGAGGGGTCCTGAGAAAGCAAAGTAGGTGAATCTTTCCATAGAGGAAAATATCACCACTAGCCAAGCAGCTGTAGGAATCTTGTCGGCGACATGTTTGAGTGATTCGAGTTGTTCTGAGGATGGCTCAGAGTCTGAAGCTATCAGTTCAGGGCTGTTCTTTTCTTGCATGATTTCGGGCTGTACAGCAATGGATTTTCAGTCTTTTGAACCCCGTCAAAATGTTATAAAGAATGAACGTGAGGGAAGGAAATTATTGCGTGCGATTACTGGATCTGCAAATTACAGCTGCAATACCAGCTAGCACTAGTTACATTGATGTGCATGGGGAGGTAGTATATGAAAAGATACAAGCTAACTAGTTTCTGACTCAGATGAAACAAAAAGACAGGCTTTTTCTATTTCCTATTTGACAGGATGATCCCAGTCACAGGCAAAGGACCCTGCAGATGTCCAAGAATAAAATGGACAGGGCTTCAGACTAAGTGCGCACTTGAAAGTTGAAGCACTCCCACTATGGTCGAGGCAATTCCTAACATGAAAGCCATTCACAGTCGACTATTCATTCCCCAATTCACCCTCGAGTCGGGAACTACCCTATACAACGTCCCTGTTGCCTACTCCACCTATGGCTCATTGAACGCAAAGCGCGACAATGTAATTGTGATATGCCACGGCTTCTCAGCTGGCACACAGGTGATGCACTGGTGGAACGGAATGATAGGCACTCATCGCGCCCTCAACCCCAGCAAATACTTCATCATCTGTCTGAATGCGCTAGGAAGCCCATTTGGATCTGCCAGTCCCCTGACGGCCATCAATGAACAGCCCTCACTAGGTCCTTACGGACCCGCATTCCCTCTGGCAACTATTCGAGACGACGTACGGTGAGATCCACGCAATTCATGCTATCCACTACCACTCACCGACCCCCTACTGACCCTTTAACAGAATCCATAAACAAGTCCTCGACAGAATGGACATCGACCAGATCCAGTGCGTAATTGGGGGCAGTATGGGCGGCATGGCAGCACTGGAATGGGCCTATCTGGGTGCACAAAAGGTCCGCTCCTTTGTGTCAATTGCCGCATCCGCCAGGCTCGGTGCATGGGCGATCAGCTGGAACGAGGTCCAGCGACACTGCATTGCCAGCGACCCAGCTTACAACAATGGCCACTATGACTCGCATGCTCCGCCCATCGCTGGCCTCATGGGTGCCCGAATGGCCGGGCTGTTGACATATCGGTCTCGAAACTCATACGAAGCCCGGTTCGGGCGGGAACTGGCTGCGTATCCTACCCCTCGCTCGTCGCCCTGCTCGACACCGGAGTCTAGTGCAGGCTCGACAGACAGTGAGGTGCTCTCGGAGGAGATGTTCGATGAAACACCTCCGTTTCTCACGCAGACTTACATTCGATACAATGCGGGCAAGTTTTGCGCTACTTTCGATGCAAATTGCTACATTGCGTTGACGCATAAGCTGGATACGCATGATATTACCCGTGGTCGGGTTGGAAGTACTTCTCGCACGCCACTGGCTGATGCTCTGGGTCAATTGATGCAGCCAGGGCTGGTGGTGGGGATCTCGAGTGATATTTTGTATCCGCCGCAAGAACAGAAGGATATTGCCGCAGGTTTGCGTTATGGGGAGTATCGAGTCATTGTGAGCGACGATGGACATGATGGGTTTTTACTTCATACTGAGGAGCTCAATTCGATTCTGATGGAGTTTCTCGATGGGGTGAGAGATCAAAGCACGATTTTGGGATGATTAATATACTAATAGCTAGCGATATGCCAAAGTTCACAAAAATTAGATAGCCATGTCAATTCACGAGACGGCTTACTTCAATAAATTCGTGTATATAATCAATAATTGACACTCCAGGGCTGATTATCTTCCTAATAGCCTTTCATGTACCACGGCAGTCTTTACCACAGGAGGAGCCTTCTCATCCCTTCCACCCTTTTCCTCTGTCTTCTTCACCAGAGTATTGTCTGTCTGCTTCTCTGCAATCCGATTCTTCGGATACATGGCCAAGGTGTGAATTGAACTTAGAGTCTCTTGTTCGGGGTGGATACCGGCAGCAATGGTAGGAGTAGTCTATATCATGATCAGCCTTCTGTATCTTCATTGTATGTAGATTGAAGCATACATACAAGCATTGTTAAGAGTGTTACTTGGCAAAGGCTTGATATCGCTCAGCCCAGTTATAACCGGCAAAATGAAGTATGTGGAAATGTGTTTCTCTTGCACGTTTGGATGTTGCCAGCCTGTCCAAAGCACTGGCACCTCAAGACTGTGGATTGATCTTCTTTAAAAACGGTAGCATGTAAGCCATAGAACCGAAGTACTGTGTACTGTGTATGGGAATTTTACCAGTATCCCTGACCTCTTCGCCTGTACTTTTTGCCAGGAAGTCGCCATTCTAGCCCCATCTACCGTGCATGGACGATCATTTCGAACTTCGTATTGAGACAGAGGAATAAGACAGTGCTGGAGCTGGAGCTGCTGCTGAGCTGACCTCCTATATTGTTGGAGCTAATGCACTGTAACCTCGGTCCCTTCACTTCAGCCGCTCACTACCATCACTTCGTCTCATTCTTGGACACTTCGGGATGCTCTAGACAACTGATCGACCACGACTTTTCAGATATATGCAGGGGTACTGTATCGTGAAATTTGCAATACACAGTACAGTAGACTATAGGTAGTGCTGAGTCGTAACCTGCAGGTTATATGGAGAACATGTCTGTTAGGGCTCCATCGAGAAGCATCCGTGCTAGTGGCAAGTGTAGGAGAGAACATCATTCGATTAAACCGAACTATTGTTGTAGCAGCGGCAAATTACCTCTCATCCCTGAATTAGAATCATTAGAGAGATTCGGCTTCGTTTATCTGACTCGCAATTCCCTCAGTATTGTCAAGACACATATCCACGAAGCTTTCCAGTCTCTCATAATGACTCAGACCGAGACCTCTCAGGTGGAGGATGTTATCCTCGAGCTCCTCGAACTGATTGAAAAGTTATCTACCTTCTCCTCCTTTTCCCCCTCCCCCGAATTGGACGATGTGCTGGGACGCATCTCCCACATCTGTCACCAGACTCAGGTCTCTGGCGCCCAAGAGGACGAGGTATGTCATCAATGACCACTCCAATGATTAGCATATCTGATTGTTTCAACAAGATATTGAGCGACCCTCGTATCGTCCAGTCCATTCCCACATTGCGGACACTATGGGCTGAAGCCGCGGGAGCTTTAGAGGACGACTGGGCCCGGAAAATCCTCACAGCCAAAGACACAGATGAAGGTGCTTAAAAACTTCCAGCAATTATCAAAGGGTGTTCAACCCATACTAACCGAAAATCCAAGCCAAATCCCTTCTCGCCACCTACCCTCGCATCCAAAACTACAAAACCACCATTCCCATCGAGCTAGGCGTCATCAGCATCGTTCTCCAGCGCTTCCCCAAAAAGGTGGCCATGTTAGGCAGTGGACCACTGCCCCTAACCTCTCTCAGCATCAAAAACCATGCTATCGAGAAGAATCACGCATTGGATGTACTCAACGTGGACATTGTCCCCGAGCGAATCGCAGCTTCTAAGCAGATCTTCAAGTTACTAGGCTCTGAGTACGACGCCATTTTGCACTTTGTGTCTGATGCCTCGGGTACCTCGCTGCCGGATTTGAAGGACTCGGATGCTGTCTACCTGGCCTCGTTGATTGGAGTGTCTAACGAGGATAAGGTCAATGTCATTGCCAATGTGGCCCGGCGGATGAGCAAGGACTCGGTGATCGTTATTCGAAGTAGTAGTGGGTTGAGTCGGTTGTTGTGGCCGGTAAGTTTGTTTGGGTCTTTGTTTTGGTCTTCCTATCAACAGGGGGAAAGAAATTGGTCGAGTGGCTAACGCTGGGAATCACCGATAGAATCTCGAGATGAAGGATTTCTCACGCATTAGTGACCTTGTGGAGCCTGCGCTTGCTGCGCAGCCGTTGAGCGGTCCTACGAAACACTCGGTTGTTGTATTGCGGGTGGTTGGCTGATGTGGAATTTTATGGTGTCGACAGGGGTTCAGTATATGCATAAGGTGGTCAGATCACGCCATCTGACTAAAAAAAGGGAAATCGAATGTCTTCATCTCATGCAGGTTTATTCTTCTCTACTTGAATATGAGTACAGCTGAACAACTCCAAGGTCACTGTTCGAGTGATGAGAATAGTATAAGTCAGCATTTCCCAAATTCACCCGAGTCATCGCTCGTTATAGCGCTTCCTGCCTTTCAAGCTAAGGGGAATCCCAAATAGCCCTAATAGCAGAACAAAGAAATCTTGCATCTACCTCGGTGCAATATCCCTCACTGTATGCCCCCACCCGTTTGAGACCGGAGCCCGTATGGAAGTCCGACACACCCCTGCACAGTTATTATAAGTATTTATTCCCTGCCTATGTCTTCGATCTTCAGTCACTGTTGGCTTCGGATCCACCCCCAAGTTCGAAACACATCTACTATCCTACGTACTCGCTTCATCTACCCCCATCAGCACTAGAGCAGCCCGCCTGAAGAAAACGGACCCTTTACCAACTCTGGCAATCATCTGGTTGATCATTGCACCATGCTCTCCACCCGCGGAGGAACTTTTGCAAAGGCTGGTCTGGCCGATGGCTACCTAGGCCCCCCGCGGACACCTTTCGACAAGAACACGAAACAAGGCGTAGTGTCATTCAACAATGCAGAAAATGTACTACCTCCCTACGGGCCCTGCCGCCTTACCCCCCACCGGGCACCGGCCCGCCCACCACCCCCCCACATGGAGCCTCCACGCCAAGATCATCCCGCACTTGCATATGCTGACAGCCGAGCCACTAGTTCCTCATGCAAGACGTGATGCTTGAATACATGCGCAAGGTGAATAAGCCTCGGCCTATCCACCTGCTCTCTCTACTGTGTATACTCCGTATACGCAGCCAAGAAAGCCATTAAACCAAAAAAATCCCCACACTAACACGTAAAATACCAGACAGCATCAACCCTCGACCAAACAAATCTAACCTACCACGAAGGCCCCTTCGGCTCAACACGTCTCCGAACAGCAACAGCCAATCTACTCACAACCCACTTCCATCCCAGTACGCCAGTCTCACCTTCACAGATCGTCTTCGCAAATGGCGTGACAAGCCTCAACGCCATCTGCGCCCTCAGCCTAACAGACCCCACAGACGGCATCCTACTCTCTCAGCCCATCTACGGCTCCTTCTCGGGAGATCTCCGCGTCCCATCCAGCTGCCAATTAATCTACACTCCCTTCCACGGAGATGACCCGTTCGGTCTAGCCGCTGTAGCCCGGTACGAAGAGAGCTACTTGCGGGCACGGGACGAGGGTGTGAAGATCCGTGCCTTGCTAATCTGCAACCCGCACAATCCGCTCGGTCGATGCTACTCGAGAGAGACCCTGCAGGCGCTACTGCAGCTCTGTCAGAAGTATCAGATCCATCTTGTCAGCGATGAGGTGTACGCTTTGTCTGTTTACGGGGATGATCCCGCTGGTGGGTTTGTATCCGTTTTGTCGATCGATCCTGTCTCGCTCGGGGTGGATCCGGACCTCGTTCATGTGTTGTATGGTATGTCGAAGGATTTTGCGGCTGCGGGGTTAAGGCTGGGTTGCTTGATTAGTCGGAATCAGAGGCTCTTGCAGGCGGCTTTGTCGTTGAGGTGAGTTGGGATTTGTCTCGATTGGTCGTTGCTTTTCCTTGTTGGCTTACTGTGGGTGCTGTGGTAGTCGGTTTCATTGGCCTTCGCATGTCTCTTGCAGTATTGCAACGGCTATTCTTGAGGATGAAGAATTTGTGGATTCGTTCCTGAAGGAAAGTCGCCGTGTGCTTCGTGAACATCGGGATCTGGCTGTGTCTGCCTTGGAACAGGCAGGGATTCCTTTTGCACGGGGCAGGTAAGTACCTTTCCCACCTTGCAATTTTGCAGAATGGTAAGCGTATGGAGCTAATTATTGGTTCTGTAGCATTGCGGGATTTTTCCTCTGGATTGACTTGTCCAAGTGTCTGGATGCTACGATCGTCACTAGTCAAGATGGATGGGCTGCAGAGTTGGATTTGTCTCGCAGACTGCAGCAGATTGGTGTGGTAATGTCGTCAGGACTAGCCTATCACAACGAGACTCCAGGGTGGTTCCGAGTCATCTTTTCTGTGGAGGCAGAGATGCTGAACGAGGGTCTCTCAAGGTAAATTGTCTGAATCCAGGTTAAGGAGTGTTGAGTTACTAACAAAGATGACTGTAGGATCGTCAAGTTCTATCACAGCTCGGCGGATTCAGCTTAGAGCAATGGTAAGGATCATAATTAGGGACCGCGTAGGTATATCTGAGAAAGACATGTGTATTACTCGTGAAAGAAACCATTTTTTCCAATATCCGACGGGAACAACCTCAAATTACAACCCCCTGTAGCCCCCTCGCAAGGAAAAGGCCTCCACGCCCTTGGCACGTAAGATGCTAGCTCCAATTCTGCTCACAGACCCATCGTAGCAAATCAGTAGCACTCGGTTGGTCTTGATGATGGAATTGTGTTGAGACAGAAGCCCATCCAACTCTTCCCACTGCTGCTTCAGGATCTTCGGGTTTTTCCAGGGGCTTTCAGTCTTGCTCGATAAAGTCTGCAGAGAAATATTGATCGACTGCTCGATGTGCGATTCATCATAATCTGAGCCCGCTCGGAGATCAATGATGGTTGTAGGGGAGAAAGCGCTCAGTTCTCTGACAGTTTTAGCAGCCCCCTTCTGTTCTGGATATCCTGCCGAATCGTTGCTTTGGGAATCGGTGGTTTCAATTTCAAGAAGAGTGGGTAGGTCCGACGGAAGAACTTCCCAGACACTTTCATAGGAGTAAGTGTCAACGTCCAGGAGGAACTGATTTCATCAATTAGTATAATCAAGCATGTCGGCAGGCTGTTTGTCGCCTACCTCGTTCTCTATTGCTGGAAAATGTTCCGTCCCAAGTCTGTCAAAGTACTCGTCGAGGTACTGGTAGGGCAGATCGCAGGCAAGAAAGACACAGTGTGTCAGACCATCGGGGCCTTGTAGGGATTGCAGACTTTGGGAGGAGAGTTTCTCTTTGAGGAAACGTAATAGCGCTGTTCATGCATTTATCTTAGCTTCAATTCTAGGCTTTGTGGACGTGCTCATTTCGTCTCTTTTTTCCCAATGGAGCAATGGAGATGATGTATAGGGATGTCCAAACTCACCTGTATACTGCATCCCAGAAGAAGGCCCACAAACAATTCCTTCCCGTGATAACTTCACCGAGTTTGCAAATGCATCGGCGGCATTAACCTCTTCGACAGCGTCCACGATGTGTCGCCACGGGAAAGGAATCTGTTGGATCATCGAGTACATTCGCGGCCCCGGAATTTCATTGCCAGGGGCAATGCATACACTGTCAGGTGTCAACGACGAGAACCAGTTTTCAATATGCGCGGGTACCATCTAGGAAGGGTACACTTACCCTAAGCAGAAGACCGAAGGCTTCTCGCCTTTCAAATACGTACCCAATCCGCTCATGGTCCCAGTGGTCCCCATTGCAGCACAAAGCAAATTGATTTGCGGCAACTGCTTGAGTATCTGCGGACCAGTCCAGAGAGTGTGCGACTTCCAGTTCTTGCCAGCCATTGTTAGATTTGCTAGTTTTCAAATTTCTCGCAGGGAAGCCAGGACATACCGCGTCATTCTTGTATTGATTTGGATTCAGAATATTACCACTTTCGCGAGCTTCCTCTTCGGCCGCATACACGCCACCATATTCATCATTTGCATCGGGCGTCGAAGGGCCTCCGAACAATTTTCTGTTGGGTTATCAGCAAGCGACGGAATGTTAATGCTAGAGTGGAGCATGACTTACACTTTCAGTCCGAAAAACTGCATCAATCGAAGCTTGGTCAGATGGGTCTTATTGCTGAGGTACGCCCGTGTATCCTGGATGCCATAATGAACGCGTGACAAGATTCCCAGGGATATAACAGTCGATCCAGAGCTGTATTCAATGACTGTGTCGGTCTTGGAACCGACCCCGGCGCGGAGAAGGTTGAGTGCTGGGAGGGCTTTGACGTTGTGAGCTGGCAGTGCGGTCATTATCTTCGCGTAGATTCGGACTCCATTGTCATAGTATGGGTTCAGACAAGGAGAGAGCTCTACTAGAGGAAGAGGAGGGCTGGAGTCTGGATTGTGGTACTCTCGAAGACTGTTGAGACCGGTATAGATGTTCAAAGGATTGGGCGACATGGCTTCTTTGGTCATGATTGCAGTTTGACATACGTGGTGCTGGTATCAGTTTCGAATTCGCAAAGTCAATAGTATCTAAAGCTGGGTTTTCCTGTCGTGAGGTATAAGTCTCCAGTGCAGCTCGAGAGCTTGGGTTGCTCCGAGGAGCGATCCCAGTGTCGTATGCTCGAGGGCCGAGGCCCAGGCGAGACCAGGAAGTACCCGCAAAATTACGATATTCGAACATCCTGAAATACCGCTTGCAATTTGCAATTCGCATTTCGGAGCTTGCAGGGGTATAGTGAATCCGGGTACTAGTGGAGTCAACCATATGACCCTGCATGTAAGCCGGGTATACCGCGGGCGTATCCTGCATGCTTCGATGTAGAAAACCGATTGGACAATTTGCACAAGGCTCCAGGCTCCAGGCAGAGTGAGCTTCTGCAGATAGTCGGGCGATCAAACTTACAAATCCCCAAGGAACTTGGTGGGGTGATTGAAGCGTCGTTGGGAGTCTAAGGTTGCTTCAAGCTTGTTCAACTTTTTGCGTGGTCGGTACCAGGTCAATCACTTCGAATCATGCCCAGTGCCCTGCAGCCAGTATTCCAGGGGGAGAATGTCTATTTTATGAATAGGAAGATCAAGCTCACTGGGAATTGGGACTCGAGACGAACTGAGAAGTCGGAGTCATTTGAGATTGTCACTGTTCCAGTCCAAATTGAAGAGTATCACTCTGATGCTCCACTAGAAAGTGAGACGATCGAAGAGTACGTCAAGTTCATCCACCTCCAAGGCAAACACAGTATGCAGTACCTGACTCTATACTACAGTGGACTTGGACCGTTGGGCACACTGGTGGAGGAGTATCTGACTGATCCGCAGCAAAATAGCATCGCAACCTTGCAGCTCGTTGTTCCCCTTCGAAAAGGCTTTGGAGCTCGAGGAAATGCATTCCGCGACCAGCTGGACGTCTACAAGCCACAGTTGCGATACCTAGATCATTCTGAATTTGCCAAAGAGTACCTTCCGCCGACCAAGCAAGCAACGGCTTCTCTTGCAGACATTATCCCTTTTAGTGTCTGCACGATTGTGTCGCAACCAAGTCTCACCAATAATTCAGACATCCAATTGGATTTGCGCAAAATACTTTCCTTCCCATGGCTTTTGCAGGAACAGCCGCAATGGAAAGTATGCGCACTGGTTCACGGCCGCGACGCCATCGAGGCTTTCCGGCCAATTGCCGAGACAGCCCACGACCTGGGAATCAAGCTGATTGTACTGGATCGCCCCAGCCATTGGCTACTCACAGACCCCAAGTATAAAACACTATACGAAGAGTTCGGGCCAATTGACATGACCATCGATGAGGATTTCCCAGGGCGAATTGCAAAAGCCGTTCAGGCGGTAGCCACACGCAGGGGACACATTGATGGCATCTGCACCGTGTCTGACCGCTGTCTCCTGCCTGTTGCCAAAGCTGCCACCGCACTTAACCTTCCCACCGAGCCGCCTCACGCGTTCGCGACTGCCATCGACAAAGCGGCTAGCCGCCAGCTCTGCGCGGACGAAGGCATCTCATTCCTCGCCGTCCAGCATCGCGCCGAAATCAAGGCTCGCCTCAAGGACGGCACATTCCACGCACAATACCCGCTCATTGTCAAGCCATCAACTGGATGGAGCTCCGAGCACGTTTTCAGAGTGAAAAACGAGGAAGAGCTCTGTCTGGCAGCAGAACGGGTCGCAACAAGACGCAACACCAAGATACTCATCGAGCCATTTGTTGACGGGCCTGAGGTGGACGCTAATTTCGTGCTTTGTGATGGGGACCTTCTTTTCTTTGAGACATCAGATGACTTTCCGAGTCCTGCAGATGGTCCCGGGGCAGGAATGGACTCGAACTTCTTTGAGAACGCCAATGTACTCCCATCGGGGTTGCCGCAGGTTGAGGTTGACCTGATCCGTACCCGACTTCATCAGCTTCTGCTCAACGTGGGCTTCCGAACGGGCGTTTTCCATCTCGAGGCTCGGATCATGGACTCATCGATGGAATACGCTGAAGATGAAGCTGGCATCCTTGATCTTCGGCCTCGTCTTCCTTCTACTGGGGAAAAGAGTAGCAATGGTTCAAGTAATGCAAAATGCTTCTTGATCGAAATTAACCCCCGACCGCCTGGTTTCCCGTGTGTGTACTCCACGCGCCTGACATACGGGATCGACTACTTTGCTTTGCACCTCCTCGGGGCGATTGGAGATAAAGCGCGGATTAGGGGTCTCGGACACTCTTTTTGGGATCGCGTGCCAGTCTTCTCTCCATCGGCCGAGGGAGGACGATTATGGAGCAGCATCGCATTTATTGCTACCGATAAAGCCGGTGGCATCTGTGACTCCGAAGATCCAGTTGAGGATCTGCTCACGCGCTGCCCATCGTTGAGGCCGTATGTGCCGCTGGGTATCTCACTTTACCACAAGAGAGATAAAGTCCCCCATGCGACACCGGAACAATTGGTGTTTTTGGGTTTCTTCTTGGTGCTGTCGAGGTCATCGCGTGAGGATGTGGTAGATGTGACGCGACGGATTCAGAAGGAGTTTCGATTGAGGCTGACTTGAAACTCTTGGCCCATAGGTACCTAAGGGATATAGGTATACACATATAAAAAGTGAACAGGGCAGCTGTACAGCACCTTTTTAAATAAAATATCAACACAAATATTCTGTCCATTTGTCAGTATCCAGTTGTGGGTGCCAAGTTCCTGACAGGTGTTAAGCGACTCAGTTTCCCGTCAACTGGCAAGCCTCCAGCCAACTGGCAAGACCCCAGCCAACTGGCAAACCTTCCGCCAACTGGCAAGTCTATGTCCCTACGACTTTCCCCAATAATTCCACAGCGACAGCATGTAAAGCGAGATAAATCGGGTTAATGAGATCATCATCATCATCATCATCATCATCACACAGCGACACGTGCCGCGTCTGACCTGGTGTTTAATTATTGATCAGTACATAGTTGATGATTTCGATTGGTGAATGCCAAGACGGATAGTCAGGCGCTTCATGCCCCTTGGCCCTGCCGCCCTCCAATCTTGAGCTCCCCTACAGCTGAAATTGGAAAATGAGACCATCAGTTTGATATCCTATAATGCTCCAAGTCTGGCGGCGGTTGGGAGTCTCTTCGTCAATCCAGCATTGTCGATTCCGTGTCCCATTTCGAACATTATTCGACATGGGAAACAACAGCGCATCTTCGCCTACCTGGTCCGACAGCACATCCCCAGGAACAGATTTGCAAGAACTGACTCGTCGTCAGTAGCATACACTCACCGGCAATCGGCATTGATCAACAAGTTAATATGTATTGTAGGACATGATCCGCATTCGGATACCGATGGAAGATGGCTCAATCGGGACGAGCTCCAGCGAAACTCTCGCCACATTATGTTTGACTTCTCAGCCCTGTGTGAGCGGGCTGTTCACATATGTCCGGGAGCCACCAAAGTTGTCAAATATGAGAAGCGAGAAGGTGGATTCAACAGAGTCTTCCTTTTAACAATGGACAATGGACCGTGTGTTGTGGCAAGGATACCTACCGGTATTGCTGGCCCGCCAAGGTTAACGACCAACTCTGAAGTTGCAACGATGACTTATTGTAAGGCTAAGCCGCATCCCCTGTCGAGGGTATGGCTGACATGCTCACTAATTTATGTCTGTATAGTACAATCCAAGCTCTCGCTTCCGATACCGAAGATTCTCAACTGGAATGATGACCCTTCCAATCCAACTGGAACTGAATATATCATCCAGGAGCATGTGGCGGGTGTTCAATTGCATCAAGAGTGGCACAAAATGAACTCCAAACAACATATGCTGTGCACCAAAGCGCTTTCATATACAATGAAAAGGATGGCTTCCCTAGACTTTCCGGCCTATGGCAGTCTATACTTCGCAGATGCGCCTCTAAACTCGGACTCAAAGATTCCCTTTGAGCAGGGCTTCTGTGTGGGACCACATTGCAGTCCAGTTTTCTGGAACCGAGATCCAGGTGAACATGAACTCTACCGTGGCCCAAGCCCCAACTGCGGACCTTGGAGAGATCTCGCAAGTTATTGTCGAGGTTTGATAGATACCGGTTTCTCCCGTTTGCCCAAACAAGAAGTCAATGATTGCAAGCTTCTGCCATATCAAGGATCAATCCAAGATCACATCCGTCTATTGAAAACAAGTCGAGAGGTGATACAAAAGTTGATTGAAGATAAACGCATTGCGGATGCTGCTACGCTAGCTCTGCTTCACCCGGATTTTCACAAGAGGAATATCTACGTCTCTGCCGAAGATCCAACAGTTATCACTGGCCTAATAGATTGGCAATCAACCAGCATTGAGCCCGCGTTTATTTATGCCAACAAGACACCTGATTTCGCTGAACTCCCAAGGGTCCCCGTGGAAGATCTACTCGAGAACGAACAAAATGAAAGGGAACTTTCTAAAGAACAGGAACGAGACTTAAAAGACGCATCCATCTGCCATCAAACATATGATGTGATCATGACAGGCATCACTCCAAAGCTTCGTCCTGCAAGATTACTTGATCCGACTCTTTTTCGACTCTTCCACTACTGTCACACATCTTGGAGAGACTCCGCTGCCGCTGTCCGCCAAGAGTTGATTGAGCTTTCAGCTCGCTGGGCGGAACTGGGGCTAGAGGGTTCATGTCCATATTCTCCCACAGAAGCGGAATTGAAACAGCATTCTCGAGACTATGAAGATTTTGAGGCTGTTCAGGCACTCAAGTCATGGCTGAGAGAGAACCTTGGTACGAATTCTGACGGGTGGATCCCGCATGATGCGTGGGATGCTGCGAAGGTTGCTAATCGCGCAGCGTATGATGACTGGATAGAGACTGCCAAAGAAGCCGAGTCCCGTGGCGAAAACATGACAGTAGCAAAGGCGGACAAGATGTGGCCATTCGATGCTAGATAGGAACCAGGAATAGGTAGTTAATGAAAGAGATGCCGAAGTGTTTGAGTTACTAGAGAGAGAGAGATATTCATTTGCCCGATGTAACTCGCTCTAAGTATAAGCTGCTATGCGGGATTGCTGTCAGGCCTGCCGACAGCTGGAAAGTATGGGTGCCAGCCCACTGGACGACTCTTGGAAACTGGCTTTGCGCAATTCCGACCAGTCGCCCTCGAACGGGAAAGTAGAGGGGCATCCGACCGCCTTCCAGGCCTGCGCCTCCATTGGTGTCCATCCAGCCTAGTCTCTCTCTTCGGCCGGTCGGCGTCGTAGCATCAGTGGTGGGACAGCGAATACTGGTCCTGTTCGAAGTCGCAGGGCCGTTTCTTTCACCAATCGGCTCATGTGAACAGAGATAGGCGGTAGGTGGAGCTCTGTGTTCAGAGCCTCTGCTGCTGTCGTTCTGAAGGCTCCGCTAACCATGGATGCTGCTTGCTTCTGTATATTGTGCGCGCCTTGAGCTTGCTGATGAGCATGGGTTGGTACCACACGGACACCCCAAAGAGCATCTGGGGGATTATCACTGATGCCCTCCTTCCGAGCCAGGAAATCGGCAAATTCCTTCTGTTTACCATCATCTCTCTTTTCAGGGATGGTGACAGGGAGATCGTTAACACGAGCCGGCAAGCCCTTGTGAAAATACTCCACTTCAGCACTGATAAAAAGGTGGTTGCGTTCGATCCTTCTGTAAAGGGGAGTTCGGCCTCTAAAACCTTTACAGAAGGATCAGACACTTACTCGACACGCAACCACCTTTTTGTCAGTGCTGAACTGGAGTAGTTTCTTAAGGGCTTGCCGGCTCGTGTTAACTATCTCCCGATCCGTCGCGCTGCTGAACACGCTCGGGAAGTTTCTGGAGGTAGTTGTAAGGATTCCAGCTCAATTCGTTCTGTTGGCTAGATAGAGTATGTAGACAAAGGGTTCGTTGGAAAAAGGAAGGGGAATTCTACTGTGTAGGGGGCTGGTGTTTTGTGTGTCTTGTGGGTCAGGGTCACATGGAGTTAGCGCGAATGCTAACTATCGTACAACTAATACCAAAGAGCCGAAGGATCTCTAACAGTAGTGGTCGCGCGATGGATCAGCTATGCAGCCGAGGTTTTGAGTTACTAATCGATATTGTTGATATATATGAACATCGAAAGAAACAAGAGACACCTGTAAGGTTTGGATATCCTCTGTTCGACGGTGAATTGGCAACAAAAATCGGCCACAATACCAATGGCTTCAAGTCGGCAATCGTGTGCGGATTCTAGTTCCAGGACTTATTGCCAGCAATGATACCCGGCAGAATAAAGTCTTCCTCGTCATCCTCGTCATCCTCAATGTGATTGCAGGATGTTGGGCGAAAGATTGGTCGACAAGTCGACGGCCCCTAAACGAACCAAAAAAAGCCGAACCCTGGGGGATATTTCTCAACAAGCCCTTCAATCGCTAGCTGTTCGACTCACAGTCGCAGATGTAGGTTCCGACCCGCTGGGTGCCATATCAGACCCAACGTCACCCTCCCAGCCAGCAGGTGGTGTCTCAAAAGACTGGGCAGATTGAGTCCCCTCAATCTGTTTCACATTTCCTTTTCCAGCGGAAGACCGAGGGCTCTGCGCTTTCCGTAGCCCATCACTGTTTAAAAACCGACGAAGAGAGTCCTTCCCAACTTTGTAATCCACCACCGCAAGCAGGTCATCGTATGCGATTCCCGGATTCGCATGGAAGGCCTCGCGGATCCGGGCTTTGTCTTCTTCCTTCAGCTTTGACGGTCGACCGGAGCGGGCTTGGGAGTGGTTATTAACTCGATTACTTTCTCGGAGGATGGTCGACTTGATCGTCGAGAGCGGGATATGCGGATATTCATTCTGAATCTGCTTGTAGGTCCATTTGGCTGTGGTTCTGAGCACACAGAGCCTGGTGCGCATGAATGGATCGAGTTCAGCCCCACGTCGCCGGGATCTTTTCTCGGGCGTATCGGGGTTTGCGGGCTTCTCGAGCCCCTCGGGCCCCATGATAGCGAGCCTGTGTTCGGAGAGAGGAGTGGTCAGGGGCCATCACGGGGTCAAGTCTAAGGGGTCTAGATGCAATATGGTAGGCGGTGTAGCATGCACATTTTCTGTCGGGTGCTCGGCTACAATTGGAGTTCGGAATTGGGGAATCATCCTTTGCGCTGCTTATCTGAATTATGTAGAGCGTTTACCAGAAGGCTAGAAGCTCAATCCTGGGGATATGTGTCGCTTGTCACCAAGTGGCAAGAACTCTTTCTCGTTGGGGTTCCTGGTTCCTTTGTCTTTGAGTGGGCCTTCACAGGATGCGGGATCAAGGCCCCTATTTACTCCATAGGTTGTTTTTGATTGCTCCATCTAATTTTACCTCGATAAATTGGTCTAAAAATGGATTCATCGATAGCAATCAACATGAAACTATGCGATGAGTATTTGAAGGCCAAATCATCATGTAGGGTCCTCGCTGCTTCCCAGTCAAGCGTAAGCTGCCCAGGGGGATATAGATTCCACCGAGTATAGGTATAAACTCACTTGTAAGCGCTGTGTATACGCCGTGGGAGGCCATAGCTGTGCTCACCACAATGACCGAGAATGCATGGACCATGACCTGTCAGAAGAGGGTTGAGACAAGAATAACTTTCTGTGATATCGAATGGCTCCCAGCGCTTGGCGATGTCACATCTTGATGATGGAGCGGATCATTGGAGGAACCCACACACGACCAAATTTTTATCTGTTACAGATTCACACAGCTGTCAGATGTGATTCTTACTCTTCTGCACTCGATTGGTCGCATGCATCGTGATAGATTTTTCAACAGAAACATTATGTGTCCCACGGGAAACCTGTAAGGACGGTCCACTGGGAGAAGTCTAGATTTTGATTCCATGAGGAATCGAGGATCTTTGATCGGCATACAGTTGCTCCAGTCGTGTATCATCGCTGCAGTCTGGTCCTCCCTAGAGGCTGTATGTGCGTTTTGCCCCGCGAGGGGCAAACGTCATACAGAAAAGGATAGGGATCTTCAATGCGTGCCTGAAGAAGCGGACCAAGGACGCGTAGGTTTCAGGCTTGCAGGTACAAACTTGGTTTAGTTTGAGTAAATTGAGTTGATTTAAATGGTCGAATCTTTGTTCAATTGGCGCTAGAGAAGGCTCGTTCTTCTCTGTGGCTGGTGTGGCGTTTGTTATCAATTTACTCCGTACACAGTACGGAGTACTGGGATCCCTCAGAGGCCAAGTGTGGGCAAGAATGCGTTTCCATGGGTGGGCGACCGGGAGAAAGCCTTAGCGCGATTTCTTTAGGCTGTGATTTAGGCCTGAACCTTGGTAACCTGAAGGGGAAATCTTGGGTCCGGTAGTCTAAAGGGAGCTTTAATCTGAGCTTCAACTGCTTATTTTCGCTCCTTTTCACTCAGATAGAAGAAGTGATTTTGATGATTTAGTAAATAAAGGCTAGAACAGTGGAACTGAGATATAAATAAGAAGTCTAATGGAAATAGTAACATACCGAGAGGCCTAGACTCTGAAACGGGGTCAGGGCCAATCAGTCCCAAATTCAGGGGTGGCGCCCAAGTCAAGACTGATTTGCGAAGTCGTAACCCTACGGTCGAGACTACTCTCTCTTTCCTTTTGCTCATTGATCACATTCTTGTGAGAGGAGGATTTCACTCGCTATTCTTCAATCACTTCCTCTCTAACTATCTCACCCATTGCCGCTCGCTCATTTCTTTACAGCTCCTGGGGCTGGAAAACCAGTGTCTCACAACAAACCCACCAATTCGTCCTAACAACCTCCCTTTCGGCCAATTTGTTATTATTCTTCGATTTATATTCTATCGCAGGTTGATCCTGCCTTTATCCCTTTCAATTTTCATAGCCACACCCACCCCAGTCGTCGTTACCCCCCGTCCGATCATCGCGTCAATCGATCCCAACATCCTGGATTAATATACGCACCTCCTCGGCTTGAACTATCAGTCTTGGATTGGTATACAACATCAGTCACCAATTGAGCTTGGCCAATATGCGGAACTTCAATTGGGCTCTGCTAGGCCTGGCCATTGTGCCCCAAGCCCTAGCAGGCGATACCCTGTCCACGAGCGGATTCAACCTGTGCATGACCGACTCGGCAATCAACGTCCAAAAGCTTGATGTCACCTACACTCGTTCCACCGGAATTGTTGTCTTCGATGTGGCTGGTACCAATGAGAAGGAACAGAATGTGCAGGCCGCCATCACGGTGACGGCCTATGGAAACGAACTTTACAGCAAAGAATTCGATCCCTGCGGCGACGAGGTTCATGTTCCACAACTGTGCCCTGTTCCCAAAGGCACTTTCAAGGCCAGTGGGTCTATGGAGATTCCCGCGGAATATGCTAAGGAAATCCCTGGCATTGCATTCAAGATCCCTGACTTGGATGGTGAGGCAAAGCTTGTCCTCAAATCCAAGGACAGCAAGAAGAGTGTCGCATGCATTCAATCCGGCCTGACCAACGGCCACTCTGCCAGCCATCCAGCAGTCAAATATGTATCTGCTGGTATTGCGGCAGGCGCTCTGGCGATGAGCGGTGTTTCCGCCGCTGGCTCGGCGGGTACCGCAGGAACACCTTCAGCAAGCCCTGGACTTGGCGATGTAATGGGCGCGTTCCATACCATCGCCACCAGCGGTATGCTCAGTGTCTCTTATCCTCCCATCTATCGCAGCTTTTCCTCGAACTTCATGTGGAGTACCGGTTTGATTCCTTGGGCTGGTATGCAGCAATCTATCGACAACTTCCGAAAGGCCACTGGTGGTAACTTGACGACCGAGAGTTATGAATACCTAAGAAACGCCTCCTTGGCGCAAAGAGGCTCCTCCGGTGACACAGCGAAGCGCAGCTGGGATTACACCATGGAATTTGGTCGAATGGTTGCTCGTTCGGATGACAGTTCAGACAGCGAGGAAACCGACAACAGAAGCACCGTGGAGAAGGCGAAGGATTTTGGTCAGGAGCTTATGGTTCCTTCGGCCAATGTCTTCATGACTGTTCTCTTGATCTTTGCCATCGTCATCGCCGTGGTTGTCGTCGGAATCCTGTTAGTCAAGGTTGTTCTGGAAGTGTGGGCGCTGTATGGAAGCTTCCCCAATAAGCTGTCCGACTTCCGAAAAGATTACTGGGGCCTCATGGCTCGGACAATCACCAACATGATCCTCGTGCTCTACAGCATCTGGGTGCTGTATTGTGTTTATCAACTCAAGAAGGGTGACTCGTGGGCAGCAAAACTGCTGGCTGCCATTACCCTTTCGATCTTCACCGCAGTTCTTCTGTTCTTCGCTATTCGCATCGTCTACATGGCCCGCAAGTACAAGCGAGCGGAGGGAGACATTGACAGCCTGTACGAGGACAAGGAAACCTGGAAAAAGTACAGTCTCTTCTACGATAACTACAAGAAGGACTTCTGGTGGCTCTTCATCCCCGTCATCGTGTACGCATTGGTCAAGGGCTGCATCATTGCCGGCGGCGAGGGCCACGGCCTGTTCCAAAGCGCCGGTCAGCTCGCCTGCGAGATTCTTCTTCTTGGTCTTTTGGTATGGAGTCGCCCGTACGCCACCAAGGCCTCAATGGGCATCAACATTGCCGTCCAAGTTGTCCGCGTACTGTCCATTGCTTGCGTCCTGGTCTTCGTTGAAGAACTTGGTTTCTCCTCAACCACGAAGACCGTCACTGGAACCGTTCTCATCGCTGTGCAGTCTACTCTCACAGCAGTTCTTGCCATCCTCATCGCAGTCAACGCCATCATCAACTGCTGCCGTGAGAACCCTCATGAGAAGCGGAGGAGAGAAGCTGGTAAGTCAATGCATTATTTTGATTCGAATTCTATCCAAACATGTGCACATGCTAACAAACACCTTATAGAAAAAGCAAACCGTGATCTCGATGACCTCACCCCCTTGGACGCCCGAGACTCCCTTCTCATGGACCACCCACCGCGCGAGAAATACTCGGATATGAGCAACTTCAACTTCACCGGTCCCTACGAGCCATACCGAGACCATGCCGGGCGGCCCGACTCAGCCGGCAGCAACGATCGCCAAAACCTAGTCCGGAACGACTATGGAGTGGCACACGGACGTAGCTCAAGTCCCGACAGCCAGCATTCACGAAGCTCAATTGAGGGCCGCAAGCCCACAACTGCGGGCTACGGGATGGCATATTAAGAACGACAAAAGAAAACAAAAACACAATTCTTTCTCACCTTCGACCTTCTACCCTTGACATTCTTAGATCGGGCACGCATTGGGAGTTTTTGATGATTTTTAGCGTGCTTGAAAATGGTGGTTGGGGCATTTTTGATCTACTTGCCTATGCATCTTCTTGTCTTATAACACTCACATTCTTTTCTTTCGTTATTGTCGATACATACGTTCTTTTACTACTTGATCCTCTATCGTTTATATTACAGCCTGCAAGTGATGGGCATTTCTTCTACACCGAGTCTCTTTTTTAACTAGCCATACGCCTTGTTCGTGTAGTTCTTATAATCCTGTGGGATTGTAGCTTTGCCGCTAGTTCTTGGATTCGTCTAACCTACGCCCTACAAATACTCGTAGTACCTACAGGTAACAATGGCCATGGCTCATGAGCCCAGGGTCAAATGAAGGCTTTCAATTCTGAGGCTAAAATCGCGGTAAAAAGAGTACCACCAGGCCAGATTCGCAGTCAGATTTTTTTCGCCCATTTTCACAGAAAATTTCCGGAGTCCTGATCCTCGATCCCCGATCGACGTCCATCGTGCCCACCCACGAAAGATCAAATCAGAGAGAGTGAAAACACAGGGTCAAAACCGTCAATACAACCCGCTCACAAGTTTCCCCTTCGCATTTGTAGTAGCCAAACAGCTATTGATCCTCTAGGCCCAAAGTCGCCGGCCCTAGGTGTGAAGGGAAAAAAGACCTTAAAAACACATGAAAGAAATGAATTTGTACCGAAGCGCCAAAAATATCCAAACGAGGTGACTAGCGCTGGTAGGGGTGGAAGCCGCGGTGGCCTCCGCCGCGGCCGCCGCCACGGTAATTCGCACCAGGCTTGCCGGCGTTACGCGGTCCGGTGGGAGCGTTAGCAGGGGCGGCGCTCTGGGGCTGTGGGGTTCCTGTAGAAGATTAGGTTAGTTATTCGAACACATGGTTAGGATGAAAGGAGGCAAATATGCGGAGACTCGTAAGAATCACATACGAGAACCAGAACTTCCATAGCGTCTCATACCTGCGGGTCCATTGTGAGGCTGAGGGACCTCATCATACATGCCCTCCCACGAAGTCGGTCCTCCCTGCTGCTGGTAGGGCGAGAATCCACGAGGGTCCATCGAGCGGCGCTGCTGCTGCTCGTACTTCTGTTGCTCAAAGGCGATCTGCTCGGTGGCGTTGTAACCAGGTCCGGTCTGACCTCTGGCTGCATTTCCGGCTCCGTTGGCGTAGTTAGCAGCCATGGCGGCAGCGTTGGGACCGGGGCTGGCGCTATCGCTTCCTGGACCACGAGGACCAGGGCCCGCTTGGTTAGGCTGCATCATAGCGGGGTTCATCATGTTAGGCATGACCTGCTGAGATCCGGGGCTTTGGGGCCCGGGGCTCATGGCGCCTTGCTGCTGGCCAGCCATTTGCTGCTGTTGCTGGCGCATCTGCATTTGCTGCATTTGCTGCATCTGTGCCATCATCGCAGGGTTCATGCCCATAGCAGGGTTCATGTTCATGCCAGGCATTCCTTGGCCGGCGGCCATGGACTGCTGCATCATAGCAAAGTACTGCTGCATGCGCTGCCAGTATTGAGCCATCATCTGAGGAGTCATGGAGTTGCCTTGTCCCTGCTGGGGCGCCTGCTGGTGGCCATCGTGCTGGTTGTGATCGCGGTATCCTCCGGGGCGATGTCCGCCGCGTTGGTCGTTGTTATCGCGCAGGTTACCACGAGGCTGGGCCTTCTTGACCTCAATTGGCTTGCCCAAAATTTCGAGGGGACGGGATAGCGCCTTCTCAACGGCAGCATCGCCATCGAATGTGACGAAACCAAATCCACGGGGACGTCCAGTGTCCTTATCCATCATGAGGGTAGCATCCACCACACGACCAAACTGCACAAAGAATTGCTTGAAATCTTGCTCAGTCGCCTCCTGGCTAACACCGCCAACGAAGATCTTAGAGGTCTTCTCCTGTTCGTCGCGGGGAATAGCACGCTTAGGATCAATCTTTCTGAGATGTTAGTTTAGGATTCTTCCGACGAACGACAGCCAAGGATTTCCATACAATCTTTCCATCGAGATAATGCTCCTTCACCATAACAGTATTAACAGTCTTAGGGTCACGGAAAGTCAAGAAGCCGAAGCCGCGAGAGCGGCCCGTGGTACTGTCACGCATGACGGTGCATTCCTGGACTTCGCCAAACTGAGAGAAATAGTCGCGAAGAGACTCTGTCCGGGAGAAAACACCACGTTAGAAAGGTGACGTGTGGTAGTTACGCAGCCGGTATCTACTTACCGTCGGTAGTTTCCCAATTCAAACCACCAATGAACATCTTTCTGTTATCCACACAGTCGTTAGCTATGCTTCAGCTATAACCAATCAGAAAAAGGCGGGGGGTATGCAGGCAAGTATATGCTTGATTCGGACACGACGGAGAGGGGATGATGAAAGCATGGTGATTCGGATATGCTCTGGCTATGGGCTGCATCAAAAATGCTTTGCTTGCTGGAAGGCAAAGCGTCAGACAAGCCACTCGGATATGGAATTTGCGCCTCATGGTCCGGGCCAATGTACACTTGGGTATCCTTGGGCATCCTTGAGTGGGAAAGCCATGACCGGGGTTTAATGTCGAGCCCATTGGTTTACATGAGCTGGGTGTAGATTGATCCATGTCCTCCTCTTTTTGTATTGCTCAAGCCTGAGACAGGCGAGATGATGGATGTGCAAGTATTTCAGTCGTAAAAAGTGAATTGTCACTGTCTGTTTTGTCTGATCGGAAAACCTTTGCCTTGTCTAACACAGAGTCCCAAGCTAGATAGCTACTTCTTGCTCGGGCCTATCAAGGTATATCGACAGGAAACTATATAGTATCGGATGTACTATATATGAATCGTTCGTGATGAAAGTCCGGCGATTGCTGCACAGTTGGGTTGTGCGAATATTTGTCTGGACCACGGGGCAGAAGAATGGGTCTCTGTCTGTCCATAATACCGTGGGGAAATTGCCAAGTGTCCCGGGATATGATATGACGATCAGTCGCGCGGCATGTCCATGGACGTTCTTCGTTTGCTGGCATCGTTTGCTTGCTCGAGGATATATGTTGAGTGATCTCGTCGAGCCTGCGATTTGTGTCCCTTCCTTCGACGACGCAAGTGCGAGCAGACAACCGGCGAATTTATCCTTAAACAGCCAATAGTCCATATTTATTCAACCCCAGCCAGAATACACCTTCCAGCATCCAGAGTTGTAGTCAAAGCCTGACAGCATATTGACGACGCCACCCAGGCGTGTACCAGCAAGCAAAAGCCCAGCGCCATATGAAGACATGGGATGGGGGCAGGATGACAAAGAATTCAAAGCAATTGAGGACGCTCGAGGGGAAGAAAAAAATATTAGTGGACTTACCCGTCTTCCTTGATGCCTGTTCCATGAGACCCGGTCTCCGCAGGAGGTGCTTGGGCAGGGGCAGGGGTACCATAACCATTTCCTGTACCATTCTGATAGCCCGAGTCATATTCCGAGGACTGGACAATGCCTTGCGACTCGTAATTGCTAGTAGGAGGTACGGTGTAATCTTGGTTGCCAACATCCCCTGCAGGCGCTTGGTCGGTTGCGCCTTGGTCAGGCTTTGGCGCCTCAACAGCTGCAGTTGTACGATTTGTAGATTCATCGGCATCATACCTAGTGTAGATATATGATTAGAATGGATCATGTGATGTACAATCGCATAGAATACATACAAATCAGCGAAGATATCATCTCCATCCTCAGGTTCAGCCATGATGAAAATAACCGGTTAATAGATAATAGAATAAAGATAGGTCTCGACAATCACATCTAGTATCAACGAAGCCACGTGAGATGGAAGAAAGTTGACGCGAAGAGGAGGCGAGGAGCGGCAGTTGAGAGAGTTGGAAGGTCGGATGGAAAGAAGTTCTGAAGTTCACAGGACCGGAGCGGGTCCTCAGGTGAGCGGAGTGATTACATAAACGGTTGTTCGCTTGATGAATTGCGCCTGTAACTAACTACCACACGTGTCTAATCAATTCCCCAGGTGCCTCCCAAAATTATGTCAGTACTTAAATGGTCAGACCCCTGATTTACGAGAGGCTTTGGCGTCCGCTGGACGCCCAGCTTCAATTGCTGAGCGTTGATTCTTTTTGGAACCCCCACGTACATGTAGATATAGATCCCCGGGATCTGATTGGTGGATGATAGTATTCTGCCAATTTTCACCGATTGGCATCTGAAATTAAGGAGCAACATGATATGCCAAGTGATAGTCACGCGACCCGCGACCCCCTTACTGTTACAGATTGCTGAGCGTTAACGTTAGTTCTCCGTAACTAGTGAAGAGCGAGAAACGCGAACCTGTCTGCGAACCAGGTCCGCCACTGGGAGTAGTGGGACTACAGGAGAGGAGAACACAGGGGTGGTCTAGAAGAGGAGAAGTGTGTCTGTGTCTCTGTCTGTCCTATCTGCGCGATGAAGCCTTTTACCCGTAGTTAGCGAAGCAATGACATTGCAGTGGACTTTTGGTGACGGATCAAATTACATGGTGATTGACCCCAGTTTTCTCAGTCTATATATGTGTCACATGATCCAAAAATTCCGCTGAACTTTTGACGCGCTAAACCTAATCGGATAGCTCGCTGGCATATATGGTTACTTCTTCATACGACCCCTGCCTGCTAATCGCGCCTTCGGAGAGCGACAAATTCGCCATGGTGGGAATGCAGACTGATGACACGATCGGCTTAACGACCCTTGTTTTCTCCCAACGTGAGGACGAGAAGCTGGCAGAGGTCGCCTTCAAGGCCAAGCCCAAGGAGGTCCTAGGTGAAATGAAGCCTCTCATGTTCAACGGCGCGGCCCGAATCTTCGTCTTTGTGGACGGCTCCTTCGCCAACAACCGAGATCTTACCTCGCAGCTCGGCTTTGCCATCATCCTCGGTAGGATCCTGGTGTTCCGCGGAGAGGTCCGAAGGAAGGAAGTGTAGGCCACGGTCCTGGTTCTCCATTTGCCACTTGATGCGCTTGTTGAGTGCCTTGGTATCTTGCGCTTACCCTGGCCCTTTTGCTGGAGGGTCAGGGTTTCTCCTTCCAGAGAGACAAAGCCGCCGTTGAACATGAGAGGCTTCATTCCCCTTAGGACCTCCTTGGGCTTGGCCTTGCGGTGGATAGCCAAGTCCACCGCCTTTTATAGGGGGCCGGCTGATGGTGATGCCATGGATTAAGCTACCTGAGGCCCTCTCAACACAAATTAACCAGATCATATGACGTATGGCTGGATGTAGTTAAGGGAAGGAGCGAACCATACCTAGGAGGGAAGGAGCGAGCACGGAAGAACATAAAAAGGAATTCTTCTGTCCACCTCTTCTTCTTCCTTCCTCTTCCCTTCTCCAGTTCTGTTACCTTCTCAGCACAGGAACAAGTTATCTCTTTTGTTCTTTTGACACGAGACCTCTTACTCCAGCCCCTCCCCGATTTCAACAACAGGCTGAGGCAGCAGCCCCCGCCCGAGCAAGAGTCGCGCCTTGCACCCCGTTCGTTTCATCGAAGTTCTACACAATCATGGGCAAGTCCAAGTCGGACGTCATGAACAAGCCGTGATCGCCGAGGAGGTTCTCCCAAAGTCGAGCCATAAGTTCTTCCGCAAGTTAGCATCCTCGGTCCGCAAATTCCTCGACAAGAAGATCGGGGAAAAGCAGCTCAAGACCGCAACTGACCAGCTTGAGACTCGACTTGATCACCACGACAGCATCGCTGTCCCGGGCCTGACCCTGAAGCAGGTAGAAAGCTCTCTCCTGCTGGACTTCGATAGCCATGACGTTGAGATGGAGCATGTTGAGCCCTGCGACCTACCCCCCTACCTCGGTATGTGGCGTTAGAAATAGAGTAGCAGGGACACACAGCTAATCCATTATAGTCACCACCATAGATCTCATTGAACAGGCGTTCGGTCGCTCGCCGTCCACCGAAGCTAAGACTCGGTGGTTGATCGACGCTTTCATCCTCCACGCATACGCGGCTGTCACTTCTGATCTCACCAATGCGCAACCTTTGAATGTTCAATGCGAGAGGGGCTATTCTTTCGGCCCGGTCAAACTCAATGGTAAGCGGGTTATTTTCTCCGGAAGAATGGATTACAGTATTTGGTATGGTGAGACCGAGCTCCTGTGCCTGAACGTCCTCGTTGTTGAGGCTAAGGGTGGACCCAAGTCCGGTCATGCACTCCCCCAACTCCTGGGATATATGGGTATGTATCTCGCTATATGTGTCTTTTGGGACACTTAATGCTCAGACCTGGAGCCAAGAACAGCTCGACTCCCAGATAACAGGACCTGCTGCCGGCTCTGTCGACGAGGAGCAGGTCTTCGTCTCCAACGAACGAGGAGTGCAAGGCAGGCTGGAAGGATGAGGTGACCTATCTGGGCGCCGCTTCGACAAAAACAGCAGCAGGACCTTGTGATGGGAGACCTCCGGGGTTCCTTGCCGCCGTATCGTGGCTACTCGGGCCGACAAAGCGAAGGAAACCTTCGTCTACATGAGCTGTTCCCCGTGGTTCAACCTGCAGACTCGTCAGGGAAGAAAGTCGGCACTATGCCACCACTCAATATGGCCCCAAGCATCACACATTCCTTGCCGAAGAATGTGTCGGAGTGGACAGCGGCAGCTGAAAAAGAAGGAGTCCTGGACAAGACCCTCAGCGCCTTTGACGCGCTGCCTTCGCCCTCCAAAATGACCATCAAGGAATACCTGGCGATGCGAGTGCTGCGTCCTAGCCGTAAGAAGGCGGACAAGATACCAGTTAACAAAGCCCTCGAAGATCGCACCCAGGACATGCTGAGTGGTTTCCACGCCTTCGACCACTACATCGCGCATATCGCCGAGGCCAAGAAGAGTCTGGGCAAAGGAGACGGGAATATCGGGGCGTTCCAGCTGGCAAGAGACTCACAGCTTCAAGCCTTGGGACACAAGGCTAACGCTAGTGATCTGGCTCGAACAGCTCCTCCGATTTTCCGACCGCGATCCAGTCAGGATCCATCATCGCAGCCCGACTCGCGGAGTCAGCCAGCAGTGGGATCGAGTACTCATCTAGCTGTTTCTGGAGCTAGAGAGGCACCGAGTCCCGCCGCAGCGGCCCTTTCACCGTCCTCGTTTGCTCTCAGCGCCAGTGGTCTGTCGGGGACCGCCACGACCTATGCGTCATGGATCGTCCCATCGAGGTCCAAGGATGAACAGATTGTGAACGAGGCGCTCACGGAACTACTAAGGGCTCTTACCCTCAACATTCCTGATATAGCCTGCCGATGGACCTCCGCTCGAAGACCGTTCGCAACTCTACAGTTTGGACAAGTCGAATTGACGGCTTGCACGGATGGCTATCTTGAAGGGATTGGTGTTGATGAAACGTTCGCCATTGTTGAGGCAAAAGCGGCGGGTCGAGACCGAAGGCGTCAGTCTTTAGTCCTCTGGCAAGAAGCTGCCGAAATGGTCGCATGGATCATGACGGATACGAATTCCCGCCAATGTCCACTTGACAAGTAAGCAAGCCCTCCTTCCGCTGCACTGCTATTCCATATGCCTTAGGTACTGACAAAAGAAGACGTCTGTTGGTATCGCAGGATGCAGGAGAGATTTATTTGACGTTGGCCGAATATAAGCAGGCATACATAGAGTATCTCCAAGCAACAGACGGCGGGGACCACGAGCCCGATTCGTTTCTCAAAATGCGAGAATACGGGCCCTGACGTATCGATAACGCCCAGGACATGAGACATTTCGCCAGAGTCATGGTAAACTTCTGCCTTTTATACAGCGACAAGGTTGTCAAGGAGCGCAGAAGAGTCCATGCGTCATGAGAAGCAAGGGGGATTTAAAGCAAACAGGGGTGCGTGGCCATTTCTAATCGGAGTTGAATAAACGGGCTTGTAACGAGTATGTCGAGGGCGATCTAGGTAGCGGGGTCGGGATGAGGGGAGGAGGGTCTTGAAAGACCCCGGAAGAGAGGGCGGACGGGGCATCTTATAGGCGCTCTGAGTAAGATGGAGGGGGCCCTGGGTTGGGATGCAGAGGGAGCCAGCCAGTGGAAACAGGGGGAACAATCGTTGAAGTCGAGCGTCAACAGCAGGACAAGAGGATGATGACTAGCAGTGCTGGTTGGTTGCAGAATAGGGGGCAGTATACATTGGAGCGGGCGGTCAAACAACAGCTCGCCGTCCAAAGTTACGGGTGGAAAGGCGGCCTATATTCTAGTTGAGATCTATAGAATCTTTAACTTCTATCCTTCTCCTTTTAATTCGCCTATAGCTTTCGATCTAGCTATCCAATTATGCCTCGTTGAGATTCCCTTTCGTCCCTACTTGGCCTGGCTGGAGGATAGACGGTACTCAGATCATTACAGTGCCACCCCGCACATCTATCACGACTCCCGCATGAGATCACACCTTTCCGACTCCCATAAGATGGCCAACAAAAAAGGACAGCAGGTATATTCATTGCGCTAGTCGAAAGGCATCTTGGTTTTGTTCCATCTTGTGCAATAAGCTAATACTATAACCAGGAAATGGTCCAGGTCGGTTCGTGTCTTTTGCCTCCCCTTACATTTTAATCGCAGCTATAGCTCACCATTGCCTTCTGAACTATTTTACAGACAATTCAGAGTGAGTTACAAGCTTTATTTGTCTTATTTACAGCTATGAGACCAGCTGCAAGGCCTTCTTCATGCTAATATTCTCTTAAGACGCGCCGAATCTCCTTTCTGGGCGGGCCGAAGTACGTCCCTTAACCAGGGACCCTCCAAGTTCTATGGCTCGAATACTGTTGTCGGGGCATCATACTCACATGCCAGCATTGTACCGTACGTCATGACAAGCTCTACAAATCCAGCCTCCGATTGGAAAATTGGCGACTAACATCCAATTCTCGGTAGATCTACTTCCTCCCACTCACGCCCAAGGACACCGCCGAAGACCTCAGCTACGCATGCCGTAACAAACTTGAGTCGCCGGCCAGGGAACCTGGTCGTATCACCTCCTCGGCAACCATACCCCGGCATTATGACTGAGGGGGTGGACGAGTGGAGTCGTGACCCCACCGAAGAGGAGGATGAAGATGATGAGGACGAGATTGTGTACGACGATGATGAAGACGAATTCGGACTTCCTAGTCTTGCCAGTATGCGGAGGAAGACTTCCGCGCCGCCAAAGGCTAAGAATACAGCAGGCAACCCCGCAACTCTTGGGTATGGGTTAGCAGCGAACAACAGACAACGTGCGAATAGTTCGGACATTGCAGAAGAGCGTGGTGCCCCGATGTACCCGACTGCTCGCAAGGGGGAAGGGAAGATTCTGCGGCCTCAATACAAGGATATTTTGCAAGGTATGTACGAAACGTCGCGCCAGGGGCAGAATGATGCTAACCCTCTCAGATCCGGCCAATGCTCTGAACCTCATAGATCACTCCGCGCCTCCTACAGATGCATCACCTAAAGAGAGGGATGTCCACACCAGTCGCATCACACGAATCAACAAATTCAAGCGCATTCTGCAAGCAAGTACAGTATCCCTCACCGAGCTGCGGGATCTCGCGTGGTCAGGTGTTCCGGAAGAAGTGCGGCCGATGACTTGGCAACTTCTACTTGGATATCTTCCAACAAATAGCGAGAGACGCATCTCCACCTTGGAGCGAAAGCGCAAGGAATACCTAGATGGAGTCCGACAGGCCTTTGAACGCGGTAGTGGGCAAAGCTCGTCCAATCCCCCCGCTTCAGCTAAGGGCCGCGGCAGAGGACTAGATGAGGCTGTGTGGCATCAGATAAGCATTGATGTACCGCGCACCAGCCCTCACATCCCGTTGTACGGGTATGAAGCTACTCAACGGTCGCTGGAACGCATCCTTTATGTCTGGGCCATCCGACACCCAGCAAGTGGTTACGTTCAAGGTATCAATGATTTGGTTACGCCATTTTGGCAGGTCTTTCTCGGGGTTTACATAACCGATTTGAACGTCGAAGAAGGCATGGATCCGGGCCAGTTGCCCCGGAGTGTATTGGATGCAGTGGAAGCCGATACTTTCTGGTGTCTTACAAAGCTGCTAGACGGCATCCAAGATAATTACATATATGCTCAACCAGGCATTCACCGACAAGTCAGAGCTCTACGGGACTTGACGGTGCGCATCGACGCAGCACTCGCGAAGCACCTGGAGCAAGAAGGTGTGGAATTCATGCAATTTAGTTTCCGATGGATGAACTGCTTGCTCATGCGGGAAATGAGCATCAAAAACACGATACGCATGTGGGACACGTATATGGTAAGCTCTCATCCAAGTCATTGCTCTTGCTCCGTACTGATCGATATTCTAGGCTGAGGAGCAGGGCTTCTCTCGGTTCCACCTTTATGTTTGCGCCGCATTTCTGGTCAAGTGGACGGATCAGTTGGTTAAGATGGATTTCCAGGTGCGTATATCTTATCAAATGTTGCCCCAATACATCTCAAACTGACATCCTCACAGGAAGTGATGATGTTCTTGCAAGCATTGCCGACGAAGGGCTGGACAGAGAAAGACATTGAGCTCTTACTCAGCGAGGCGTTTATCTGGCAAAGCTTGTTTCAAGACTCAAGAGCTCATCTCCGGCCTGCTGGCGATGAACCTCCTGGAAATGGTATCTTTTATTGATAGTAATCATAATTCATCATCCGGACTTCCAACTACTATATGCGGATGTCTTTTTTCCCGAGGCAGAAAGATTCTTTCTCACTCAGTTGAAATGAATGCCCCTCTGATTGAAGGCCCAAAGCAGCTTCAAGAAATCATTCTCATCACACATTCTCGCACGCCTCTCTCCGAGGTTGGTGTCTTCCTCCAAGACCTGGCGCACCTTCTCACGAACAAGCTCTGTAACTTTGCCGCGCTTCTTGCGCAAGGCTCCGTTCTTGAGTGCCGCTTCGAGGCGGGCGTTGGTCTCCACCTTGAAGAAATCAGGAACATCGTCATCGTCCATGTCCATGACCTCATCGGCTGGCTCATCCGCGGCCTGCTCCTGCTCTTCCTCATCGCCCATATCCATTGCCATAGCATCGTCATTGGCAACTTCGGCAGGGCCATCCTCCACAGGAATGTCGTTTTGCGCACACCATGTTCGATAGTTTGCTTCTAGCAGTTCCATTATGCTTGTTGTACCAATGAAACTGGATCGAAGGGTCTTGTTTTTCCGCACGAACACAATTCTCAAGAGACCATCCCACTCTTCGTAGTTGATCTGAGGCCGGGGGTTCTTGGGGACCATGCGAATGACGCTTGATTCAACCTGTGGTGGCGGCTTGAAGTTGTTCTTGCCAACCTTCATGATGTGATCGATCTTCGCCCACATTTGAGCATTTACCGAAAGTCGACTGTAGAGTTTGTCGCCAGGCTTGGCAAATAACCGCAGAGCGAATTCACGTTGGAACCTGTAGAGGTTCATCATATGTAAGTTTCATACACACCATAAGGCTGGGGAGTTGTGCTGTCGCTGGTAAGAACATACATGAGAATGCAGGACCGAGGGGCCGGCGATGTAGCCAGGAGTTTGAAGGTGAGAGGAGAGGAGATCTAGACCCTATTAGACTTGATGATAATCCAAGATACCATAGCTGTACGTACCTGGTAGGGAGTATTACTGATACAGACGTCGAAATATGGGAGCTCTGTCTTCATCACATCTCCAAGAATGACATCCAAGCGCTTTTGGTATGGAGTAGACTGGAAACGTTTGGTGACCTCTGCAGCCATACGAGGATCCAATTCCACAGCTATGCATTTCTTCGCTTTCTCCAGGATCTTAGCGGTCAAGTTACCAGTACCGGGACCAATCTCGAGGACAATCTGAGTGCCATAGCGTTAGTCTTGGTAAATTCGATCAATTTGTTATACAACTCACATCGCTTTGCTTGAGCTCGGCCTTTTCCACAATTGCAGCTAGTATCTATACGTTAGCCATGAGAATCATATAGAGAAGACTATGAGGTCCTTCATACCAGCAATACCAGGGTTCTTCAAAACGTGCTGGCCAATATCAGTGTTCATCTTGAAGATGCTGTGCGCTGCTTTGGTCTTGGCAGCAGCATCTGACAAGCCCTGCGAAGCGCTATTATTGCGCTTTGGCTTGATAACTTTGGGCATATTGGAGAAACTGTCGAGAATTCGACGACTAGAAAAAAAGAGAAAGTATAGACAAGTCACAAGACAAACGCCGAGAGAGCGTAGCGTGTTTGCTCGATTTGAAGTGGGCGGAGACTTTTTTCTTTGCGATAAGATTGTCGGAGTCGGAGTATCTTACACCCGATCCGCAATCGCCTTAAGCCCGCCAACCTTGAGCTATGAATCCCTCTTTAATTGTTGACGACACCATTATGGCGTCTGGACGAAAGGATTTCCTTAGCCAGGCTGCGCCTGAGAATTATGTCGCCGGCTTAGGTCGCGGTGCCACGGGCTTCACCACCCGCTCCGATCTAGGTCCGGCGCGCGAGGGACCTACGCCCGAACAAATCCAAGCTGCTTTAACCAAAAGAGCTCAACTTTTAGGAGCTGCTGCGCCCACTGCCTACGGCGCTACCTCACGCGAAAAAGGCGCAAAGGAAGATGATAAGGACGAAGACGATGAACGGTTCCAGGACCCCGATGACGAACACGGACTATTCGCATACGGACAATACGACCAAGAAGACGATGAGGCCGATCGCATCTACCAGGCGGTGGATGAGAAGATGGACAGGCGCCGCAAACGTCGCAGGTAAGTTCTATTGCCCCCATTACTCCGTGCGACGTTTGTTTACCGGGCTAGCCCCGGTTGTTTGGACAGAATACCAACCTGAATCGCCATCTACAGGGAAGCTCGCGAAAAGGCCGAACGCGAAGAGTACGAACGAAACAACCCGAAGATTCAACACCAGTTTGCGGATCTAAAGCGCACACTCGCATCTGTGACTGAGGATGAGTGGGCCAATCTTCCGGAGGTCGGTGATTTGACAGGCAGGAACCGTCGAGAGAAGCAAAACGCGCGTCAACGATTCTATGCCGTTCCGGACAGCGTCATCGCTAGCGCACGAGACTCGACTCAATACGACACATCCGTGGCCGAAGATGGCACGCAAACGACCGCCGGCGAAGGAGAGACCGACGGGACCATGACGAACTTCGCAGATATCGGAGCCGCACGTGATAAAGTCCTCAAGGTTCGACTTGACCAGGCTGCGTCAGGCTCGAGTGGCGACGCTTCCGGAACTTCTACGAGTGTCGATCCCAAGGGCTATCTGACCAGCTTGACGCAATCAGAAGCCAAGGCTGGCGAAGTGGAGGTTGGCGATATCAAGCGAGTTCGGACCCTGTTGGAATCTGTCACCAAAACCAATCCCAAGCATGCCCCTGGTTGGATTGCTTTAGCTCGTCTAGAAGAGCTTGCTGGACGGATCGTCGCTGCTCGTAATCTTATGGCTAAAGGATGTGACCTCTGCCCTAAGAGCGAGGATGCGTGGCTTGAGAATATTCGACTTAATGAAGGTCACAATGCAAAGATCATTGCAGCTAACGCTATCAAACATAACGACCGTTCCACGAGACTCTGGACGGAGGCTATGAGGTTAGAAACGGACACCCGAGCCAAGAAGAACGTTCTCCGACAGGCTATTTTGCACATTCCGACATCGGTACAGATCTGGAAAGAATATGTCAACCTCGAAGACGATCCCGCCGATGCGCGCCTGTTATTGGCAAAGGCTGTTGAATTCATTCCTCTGTCAGTGGAGTTGTGGCTTGCTCTTGCTCGCCTCGAAAGCCCAGAGAATGCACAGAAGGTTTTAAACGCTGCTCGCAAAGCAGTTCCTACCAGTTACGAAGTCTGGATTGCTGCAGCACGCCTTCAGGAGCAGATGGGAACATTCGCGAAGGTCAATGTCATGAAACGTGCTGTCCAATCTCTCGCCCGAGAGAACGCCATGTTGAAGAGAGAAGAATGGATCACCGAAGCAGAGAAATGCGAAGCCGAAGGAGCTGTGCTTACTTGCGGCAGTATCATCCAAGAGACCCTCGGATGGGGCCTGGATGAGGACGATGACCGAAAGGACATCTGGATGGACGACGCAAAGGCCAGCATCGCCCGCGGTAAATACGAAACCGCTCGTGCCATCTACGCCTACGCCCTACGCGTCTTTGTCAACCGCCGCTCAATCTGGCTCGCAGCAGCGGACCTAGAGCGCAACCACGGCACCAAAGAAGCTCTCTGGCAGGTGCTCGAGAAGGCAGTCGAAGCCTGTCCCCAGAGCGAAGAGCTCTGGCTCCTGCTCGCCAAAGAGAAATGGCAATCCGGCGATATCGACGACGCCCGCCGAGTCCTCGGCCGCGCCTTCAATCAAAATCCCAACAACGAAGACATCTGGCTAGCCGCCGTCAAACTGGAAGCCGACGCCGGAAAAGCCGACCAAGCCCGCGAACTCCTATCCACAGCCCGCAACGAAGCCGGCACAGACCGCGTCTGGACCAAGTCCGTCGCCTTCGAACGCCAACTCGGCAACATCGACGACGCCCTCGATCTCGTCGTCCAAGGCCTCCAGCTCTTCCCGAAAGCCGACAAACTCTGGATGATCAAGGGCCAACTCTACGAATCCCTAAACAAATTCCCTCAAGCCCGAGAGGCATACAACACCGGCACCCGCGCCTGCCCCAAATCCGTGGCTTTATGGCTCCTCGCCTCCCGCTTAGAAGAGAAAGCCGGCGCCGTCGTCCGCGCCCGCTCCGTTCTCGACCGTGCCCGTCTGGCCGTTCCCAAGAGTCCCGAGCTCTGGACCGAGAGTGTGCGCGTCGAACGTCGCGCTAACAATATCTCCCAGGCCAAGGTGCTCATGGCGCGCGCTATCCAGGAAGTGCCCAATTCGGGTCTTTTGTGGAGTGAAAATATCTGGCATCTTGAGCCTCGCTCGCAGCGCAAGGCGCGCAGTCTGGAGGCTATTAAGAAGGTCGAGAATGACCCGATTCTGTTTATTACTGTGGCGCGGATTTTCTGGGGCGAGCGTCGGCTGGAAAAGGCTATGACTTGGTTCGAGAAGGCTATTGTTGCGGACAGTGATTATGGTGATGGCTGGGCTTGGTATTACAAGTTCCTGATGCAGCACGGTACTGAGGTAAGTAATCTTTTCCCTTTCCCTATCGTGTTTGTGTGTCATTATCGGAATGGTTTAGCTGACGTTTGTATATAGGAAAAACGCTCAGACGTTGTTTCAAAGTGTGTTGCTATGGAACCCAAGCACGGCGAGATTTGGCAGTCCATTGCCAAGGACCCGGCCAATGCGACCAAGACCACCGAGGAAATCTTGAAGCTGGTCGCCAATGCTATCAACTAGATAGCATGTTTCACAACTTAACTCGCTACTGCCATCAGGCATGTCTGCGATGTGTACTCTACAGGCGTTTCGGAGAGAGGCCCATGTATTTGAATCTTTGACGGGGGATCTGAAGCTAAATCGGTCTATCATGTTGGCTTAGTTTAGCAGGCTAGTATCTCCTACCGTAATGCCACGACATGAACAATTCTTTGAGATTCAAACTAAGATGTAATTGAATTCATGGGTATCGAACAAGCTTGACCTCTTCTTCCATGGGGCCACGGTCATTGCTCTTTGGTAGCCTTTTGCTTGTTCAGTCCCGACCACGTGTGTTCCCTCTGGTAAGTGATACTATACATTAGGTCATTCGAAGCATAACCGGGGTGGCAATGAGGGAGAACAGGAGGGGACCGAACATAGGAGGACAAGACAGGTGATTGAGAAAGGATAGCTAAGACATCGTCAAACTCCGAATCCATATGCAAATCATGCTGCCAAATGACAGCATCCCTTGGTACCCAGACGCCGTGAGCCATCCATCCAAAACCGAGAAAAAAAGAAAAGACTAAGAGCAGACAGGAAGTGAAAAAGTGAAAGCGGCAGCATATACTGCGTATGAAAACGATAAAACAGGAAAGGCAGGGGGGTATAATAATTTTCATGCAGCCATAGACAGACACTCGTCAAGCAATGAGCTCAACTGGCCTCTATCATCGACTGTTGCACCTTCCCAGTCAAGCAGAGACTCGTCTTCATCCTCATCCAGGTCCATAGCATCCTCATCAGCTTTGACCTGATGTGGCTCGCCATTCTCCAACCGATCCGGTCTTTCGGTCTCGAGTTCATCTTCAAAGTACCCGCCCATGATCTGGTCTACTATCAACGGCATGTGGCCGAGTACACCGCCGCCCAGCTCCAGGGTTAAGCGCAGGTCTCTAACGCCCAATGGTCTTCGGATGCTGGCCTCTTTTGCTTCGACGGGGAGTAAGCCGGTGGCGGAATCCTTCACAATCTCTCCACGTGTATATGCAAGCTCCTCGACTTCAAGTTGGTGTCGATACTTGCGCATCATCATGTTGTTGATTGTGCCTGAGGGTCCATTCGAGCGGGTGCGCGAGAATACCGCGGACAAGACTTCCTTTACGAATGTTTCTGTGGCGATTGCCATGAACTCTGCGCAGGGGAAGCCAGCACCGCTGGTTAGAGACTCTTCGTAGCATATTGGAACCATGCGGGCGTAGATAGATTCGGCATCGGGGAATTCGCCGGTTTCTGCGGCGAGAGGTTGGGCGTAGCGTTTTCGGATTTCCAATTCCCAATCTGCGAGAAGGATGGTTAGCACTCGTAACCCAAATCATAATCCACCTGAGCTCGAGGTGTCGTCTTACTAGTTTTGTTCAGTCCTCCTGCACTCGCAGGAACCTGACTGGGTAACTTGATCTGCTTAGCCAAATGGCTTAATTCAAGCTCCGTGGGCACTGGCTCGTTTGGATCTCGCTGGTGATTGTTAGCGACCTGTCTCCCGGGGTGCGAAAGTGCTCATCTTTTACGATGACATACCTCTGGAATACCCTTGATGCGCCTCCGGTCCCTCGGAGGCAATTTCATAACCTCCGTCTTCAATCTTTGTTCGGCCGCATCGCCGGAGACGGGTTTCGAGACCGTCGATGGTTTATCGTTGGCCGATACCCAGTTTGCGACGCCATGGTCGGGGAGGTCTCGCGTCAGGTTTCCGATGAGCGCGCATACAAAATTGTTATGTAGATGTTCGTTTTTCGGATCGGCGCACAAGAAGTAATCGACTCGTGAGGCATATTCGTTTTGGTTGTAATGTCCTAGAATCGGGCAAGAGGTCAGGAGACGAACGAACCGAGGTTGATGCGAAGGAAGGATGGAAGGAAGGAAGAAGACAGGCCGGAGCTCAAGCAATTGGACTCTACTCAATAACCCCGTGCGCAGTATTGCATACCTAGTAAGAAAAGAGCCGTGGCCTCCTTATATTCCGCCCACTTGTCTCCGATGGCGGCCTTCAGGTCCGTGTAGGCATGCTCCAACTCCAGTCGCGGGACTGATATCAAAGCCCTGGAGGTCTTCGCGGTTGTCGAGCCATTGGGCGCGGCGCCTTTTGGATTTGAGATGGAGTCGCTCCGACTTAAAGCGGCTGGATCGATCTGCATGGTTGCTGGACTCGCGAAAGCGCGACGGGCAAGGCCGAAGGGCAGGGAATGTCGGCACCTACGCCTTCATCAAGGATGCAAGGGCTCAGACCAGAGATAATGTAAGATGTGATGGTTTCATAAGAAAACCTGATATGTTGAAGATGAGGATCGATGAAGTGAGGGAGTTGGCGATGGCTCTGAGGTTGAAAGGGAGGTTCCGACTTGCGGTTCCCCGCCAGAAACGGATACATCGTGCGCTTCAGTACGGCAGCGGTGACTTAACTACAACTCATTTCACCAGTTGTTCTTTTGGCCTTCTTAATTGTATTGGCTAGAGCTATGTTTTCAGGCTAACTGCACTATGTCTTCACTTAATACCCCAAAGAGCTGTCCGATCTCCGCGATGATCTCTGTGATCTCATTTGATAATTGGCCAGTTACAAGGACTGAGGAAGGTCAGTACTGCACAACTTGAGTTAAAAGATTTACTCACTGTAGGCATAAAGTAAAGCCAAGTCTTCATCGGTAGTGTGTGGAGAAGCTTCACGGTCCAGTCGATAGCGATGGATACGGGCAAGTAAGCGGTCTCTGGCATGCTCAATGCTGGGAAGCACATCACTCAAGGGGTATTCTAGTTTCATTGATGAGGCAATCACTGGAAGGTCGTCAGCATAAGAAAGATCTATGTTGACTAGGGAACCGACCTGATAGTAGATGGCTCACGCGGGCAGACAGCTGCTGCCGCTCCACTGCTGTGTAGTGGAGGAGACTAATTTCACCCTCGGTTGCAAGATCATTCTTCATCAGCTCAATGTTCATGGTATGGAATGAGTTCACCATATTGCGTGTACGGCGGATAATGTTGGTGTAGGAGGCATCAGGGAAGGCACTCTTCAATCCAAATTCGGAGCGTGCCGCAACCTGGAGGGCTTCCAGTCGGGACAAGAATCGCTCAATCTCGAGCTTCTCTCGAGGAGTCATGTACACCACAGTCTTCTCATCTTTGGCCAAGAGAGATAAAGGGTCACGCTTCCAGATAAGACTCAAGTGTAGCCAAAGAAGACTCAGACTATCCTTCAACCTGCGTCTTGCACTAATGGGCCAAATTACGCGCGTGATGATGATACCCCAAATGCAACCGGACAACACAGCAACAACTCGGTGGAGCACAATCTCACTCATGATTGGATTGACACCACCTTCATCCTCGTCCAGGGCTGCCTCCTTCTGGGTGAGAGAATAGGCGTATAACACAGAAAGATTGTAAGTGAGCATAATGAACCGACCCATTGGGCCGTTGCCACGAACAATAGTGATGTATCCAGTCCACATGGCCATGAGCCATCCCAAAAATGCCAAGCCGTACACATTTCCAGCCGTCACGTTCCATGCTAGGATAGCAGCGACTGCACCCAAACAGGTACCTAGAAAACGAGCATACCCCGTTGTGTTCGAGGCACCGATTGTCATCGAGCAAACCAGCATGTAGGATAACAGACCCCATTCACCTCGCCAATGTGCATAGAACGGACGGGTGGAAGGTAGGAACGCAGGCAAGGCGTAGAGTGCAGCTCCGGCCCCGACTTTGATGGCGTATTTTGTATCATCTCGTCGGAAGACACCTAAGCACTTCCATAGACGGTACCCAAGTCTTTGCTTTGCCGTTCCTTTCGACAAAGGGGTTCTTGGGGTTTTGATATTGACAGGCAGTCTGTCATCTGCAATCAAGCCATCTGATGCATGTCGAGCATGCCTTTGGGAATTATGCTTGACAGTGGACGCACTGGAAGCTCTGGAAACCGTTTCTATAGGGCAATTAGCATCCCGTCTTAGTCGCAGGCACCAGGATTGTCTACACGTACCAGTATCGGTCTTAGCGGGCTCTGCATTCTGTGACCATCGCCAGAACTTGAGCCATGACCAAGATCGCCCATTAGGCCGCTCTTCAACTTCGAGCTGCAGTTCGTCTAAAATGGCAAGCATTTCTTGCAGCTGTTCTCCGAATTCCAGGAGAGAGAAACTGAAATGACCACAACTGGCTGCCACTTCCTCAAGATCGGCTTCAGCTTCTCGGGTCTTGATGTTCATGTATTCCTGCTGCTGATATAAGGATGCGAGTGTCCTTTCGCGCGATTGCTTGTATAGGTCAAGGGCCCGGTCAAGACTTATCCTTAGTCGGCCATTGACTGAGACTCTGTAGTTTGGCGCAGGTCCGAATGGAATCTCTTTGAAGATCTCTTTCAACGTAAAGGCCAACGATCGCATTGACGGGCCCAAATGAGAGATAAAAATATTGAAAACATCTGTTGGAAGAAGTGCAGGTACGGGTGACGCCTCAGCACTTCCATTGCGATGGGACCGAATGGAACCGCGCTGAGAAATTTCCTCTTCAGGTTGCTCAACAATAGGCTCCAGGTAAGACCCCTCTGGAAACGACCATGATCGCTCGAGAGGTGTAAAATAGTCCATTGGATTCGGGGCTTCCTCGTGATCTTCTGAAGAAGCAGACTCACGCGCGATAGACTCACGGATCAGACTGAATTGAAGAGCAGCTGCATTACGCAGACCTCCCATGTTATGAGTAATGTCTTGCACCCAACGGACCAGATTCTTTTCGAGTCTGTACTCCCTTTCAGTGCCTGCCACATAGTGCTCCAATTTAGCTTCTCGGACGAGCCTGTCGAGCTGGCCGTACGCTGTGCGATGCCGTGCCTCTGCATCGACAAATTCAGCGGAGAGAAGCTCCTCCTCAGACCCGCTTAGGAAGCTTTCCGTGATAAGCGCCATCATGGTAGCCAATGTATCAGTGACGGTGATAAGATTCTTGCGCAGCTGTTTACGCGCAGATATGGGGAAGACGAGGAAGGAAATAGCCATAACAGCCAGTACGCCCATGAACACCATCTTCAAGACTTGGAAGATCTTCACGAGAGATAAATCGCCGTCTTGCACAGCGCCCTCCTTGGTCAAAACGGTAATCGTAGAAAGAGCCGTGAGTGAACAGGCGACATTCACCAAGGGATCCCCCAGTCTTTGCTTGGTCCAACCGACAAACCCAAGACCACCGCCACAGAAGACTAGCAGAACGACTGCATGGCCGAGCGCAGGTAGTTCCAACGTATCCTGGAAGAACATCTCCACAAACATGCTGGTGATGGTCAAGAACGCGGAATAGCAGAACGCCAGGAACGCACAGATCAAAGCTTTGAACATCCCTCCCTGAGACCTGGCAGGATGGAAGTAGACCGTGACCGTAGCCACCATGTGTTTCCCATCCTGATGGCCCAGTATGGCGGCGATTGCGGGAATAAACGTTGCCAGAGACCCAACCAAATACGCAAGACTGTACTTCAAGACGCCGATGCCTTGATCTGACCTAACCAACTGATTCGTCTGATCCCATTTTTCTCTGCCATGGCGAGCAAGTGCCTCGAAGTAGCCCTCATATTGTATTTCGTTTGTGAGGAGACCGCGTCTTTCGTCGTCACCGTCATCGGCGACGGGGATGGGATTTCGGAGGTTGACCAGCCCTTTCAGGCGCTGACCTGTTCTCGGGAGGACGAATGTAGCCTGGCGGAGCTTCACCGACGATTAGTATGGTATTTTGGATGGTTTGGGTAGAGATTGCGAGCACATACCGTTGGGCGCGAGCGGCGGGAGCTACTTGGAGTTCCAGAAGGCATATTTCGAGTTTGCGTCACGTTCTTGTGATTTCACTTGGGCATTGTACAAGCCCCATGGCATAAACTCGACGACTCGCCCTTGGCGCAGACTTGATCGGGACGTCAGAGGTTGTGCGGAGGTGCAGAGAGCTATGCACGTTCGTTTGTTGGCTGGCGGCGACTGGGAATGTTTACAACCACGGAGCGATTAGAATGGCCACGCACCTTGTTTGCTTTTTGTCTACAAACAGGGGGACATGGGTAACACTGAGTCTGTTACCTGGTACTTGTTTCAAATCTACTGAAAGAGTCTAGATTTAGAAATGGTCTCGTCTTTGTAAATACTTCGTAAAGTCCAATTGCAACACGTCTATTTCAGTCCTTCCACTTTCCACACCTTCACCGCTGCATCAGCACCGGCTGAGATGATCTTGGAGCCTCCTGCAACCCATCCGACACCATGAACACCCTCTTTGTGGGCGTTCTGAAGCTCAATCCAGTCGCCGGGTTTCGCCAAGCTCCAAACGAAGATGTTTGTGTCTAGCGATCCGCTGACAACGTGTGTGCCAGCCTCGTTCCAGGCAAGCGAAGTGATCCGTGCTGTATGCGCCGTCCAGCGGTCAGTCACTAGGCTGCCATCCGAAACTTTGAAAACAAGGACACGGCCCCGCAAGTCGCCTACGGCCAAGTGAGAGGCGTCTGGAGAGAAGGCAAGGGATGAGATCGGGTTGCGAGACGCGTTGATATCTGCCCGGGGAGAAAGCCTAGAGCTGGTGATGGCACAGATCTGGACGGACCCGTTTTCTCCTCCGATTGCAGCCTGGGAACCGTGCGCAGCTACGGTTGTGGCCGCAAAGTCAGTCTTGAATTCCCCGATTTTCTTGCCATCCTGGAAAATCTCAATGGTTTCAGCTTCGCCGACAAGCACTGTCGTATTACCAGCCGCAACGCCCTTCGGCTGCCCACTGAGTTTAGAAGCGCTGCCAGTATAAGTCTTAGCCGCGGCATCGACAGAGCGGAGGGTGTCGTCCCAGCCGACACTGTATATTCTACCGCTGCCCTCCGATGTCGTTGCGAGCCCGGCGACGTAGCCGGGGTGGGCGTCGCCCTCGATCTCATCAGCCTCACCTGTAGCTACATCCCAGCTACAGACTCTGCCGTCGAAGCTACCTGTCCACAGAGTTTCCTTGTTGTCCAAAGTCGTCTGGTTCAAGGACGTGATGCTCTTCTGGTGGCCGGAGACTACCTGGCGAGGCTTGGGCGTGCCCTCAACCAAGTAATTCAAGTCTCCGCTGAGAGACAAACTGATGAGCAGGTCATCGCTCCTTCCAGGGGGCCAGACCACGCCGACCTGGTGATCGCGAACAGCCATAGCACCCTCCTCTCCCAGAGTCCAGCTTTGGGTGGCTTTGCCAGCTTCCACATCCCAGATCTTGACAGTCCGATCCGCACTGGCAGTCACGAATTTTCGCGAGTCCTTCGCCCAGGACACTCCGAAAATGCTGCCCTTGTGCTCGCCTTCGCCGATCTGGCCCTTGGTCTCGCCTGTCTTGCCATCGTAAAGCCAGATCTTCCGGTCCGCGCCAACACTGACCAAGTTTGACCCATCCGGGCTGAACCCAAGACCATAAATGTAGTTCGAGTGCTTGTCTGCAATTCCATTGTTGAATTTGAATGGCGCTCCGTGGTAGAAGACCGTCTTCATGTCGTCACCAGCAGTGGCGGCGCGCAGAGGGCGCTGCTGCCTAATTGATACAGCATTGAGCTGTTTCGTGTGGCCGTGAATCTCGCCAACGGTGTTTCCACTGTCCCAGGTGATGCAGTGTCCATATCGCTGCTTGCCATCACCAACGGCAATAATGCGCTGGGAGTCACCGTCCCAGGCCAAGTCGTTGATTCGGCCGTTGACGATGCTGTATTCTCCCTTGGTGATTCCTTCGCCAACGCAATCCCAAACTCTCACAATACCGGCAGCGTCACCACTTGCAACGTAGAAACCAGAGGGGGCGAAGCGGGCAACTGTTGTCTGCGCTTTGTGTTCGGTGTACTGTCTAGCAACTGCTGGGTCGTCAATCGAACGTAGGAAGATAGATTTGTTGGACTGTAATTCTGTTAAAAGGAGAAAGCGGCATTGTAGTCGGAGTTACGAACCGCATAGGCCAATCGCTCGCCTTTGGCATCGGAAGAAAGCTGAGTGGGCTGTCCGCGGGTGGTCGAGGGGCTAGCAGCCCAAATGGATTCTTTTGGATACGTCAGGACAACGAAACATGATATGAGGCTGACAAGTTCTCACCATTCGTAAGTGACATTTTAGGTGTGCACACTCAAGCTGAGGAGTTGGGAAAAGGAGAGGTAAGTTCCAGGTTGTTTACTGACGTAGGCCGTACTCGGGCCACAATAGCGGGGAACTCAGCCACCTGTGGAGGCCTTGTCAGGGCATTGAATATGGGCTTAAGGGGAGAACAACGAAGCAACTACATGTATCTGTACATCACAGTCACAGATTTAGGGGATCCGGTCAGGTATAGATACGATGGAAGATGAAAGGGTAGTCCAAATAAAATCAATGCATAGCGCTAAGAATAATGATACACGAAGTCATGCCCTTCTATCAGGCACCAATCTGTACTTGTACAAGAAAATATCCCATCAATGCATGGCCTAAGCCCCAAAACCGTTCAATTCGAAGGTTATTCCCTGCTTAGAAACCACCGGGGCCCTCCATCCGTGACCGCATCTCGGATGCGAGGATTTCGGGGTGTCGGTGGACACTAGGCATAAGACCAATGCCAATGGCTCTGCGAAGGGCCTTAGCAATCTTGCGCTGGTTGACAGGACGCAGGCCGGTTTCGGATCGGTGTCTGATACGGCCCATGCTGGTCATATATTCGGACATGACGGAAAAGTTCTATATTGACAGGCCAAACGGTTAGCGACTGTCCTGGGAAGGTCGTATGGAATAGAAGGGCCTGTAAGCTGAAGAGCGCCATACCTTGTACAAATCCATCGGCTTCAAGTTCAATGCATCAAGGGCGTCTGTGCGAGGGGCCTGACGCTTTCCCCATTTCTTCATCTCGGTCGGGCTAAGATCGTGAGGGGCATAGACATCACCGGCCTTGAAATCACGGGTCTGATATCTCTCAAGGGCTCGGCTCTCGCCTTGCGCCTTCTGGTCCTCGAGGAATTTGAGGCGACTCGGTAACCGGCGGCGCTGGACGACTTGGGAGTCTATTGCAATGTGTTAGTGGTTTGTAACACTCAATTGCAGTTTCCTCGTGTCAAATAAATTCGACTGCCAATAGATGATGCCAGAATTCAGGGTCCGTCACATACTCTGTGAGCTGTTGGCGCGCTGGCCAGTGAAGGCACTCATGGCAGCGGTCGAGCTCCAGCGACAGAGCGACAGGCCAACAGTAGCCGTAGTCGTGGCATTGCGCAGCAATGCTGGTGAGGAAAATAGAGACATCGTAGTTCTTGAGCCTCCGAGTCTAGTCGTGCTGAAGACGGTGATAGGAGGCCGGGCAACGCGGAGATGAGATCTTTTTTTGCCAAGACTTCTTCCGCCTACCTCCAGTCTCTCCGCGTCGACCCCCATTTTCAAGTCCACGCATATCGCAAGTCAGCTTCACAGCTCCCATCTCTAATATTTCTTGCTCCGTCCGAGCTACAAGCTCACTCAACACCGACAATGCAATCTCATCTAACGAGACGGGTCTTCCGGGCAATTATCAACAACGAACCACTTCGCTATTCGCAATGCCACCGAACCCGCCTACTACACACAATTACACCTGCGCGTGTACGAACTGCCATCCCTGGCCTTCCTTATACCTCGCGGCGCAACATCTTTGTCTTTACCTCAGACCCTGAGCGCACACCAACCACTTTGCCCTCCGAAAAGGGCCTGAAACCAATGGCAGATCTCATGAGGGCACTTAAAGATAGAAGCCGAACTCCCCCGGCAGATATTCTCGCGAAAGCATTCCAAACTTTCTTTACAATGCGGCTGGAAAACCCGATGCTCATCAGCCATTTCCAAGCTCGCGCGTTGATCGTCACCTTCAAGCATTTAAGGTCCCAGCAGGACGAGATGGAGGAAAGTGACTGGCAGAATGTCTTCTCGACCGAGAATCTTGAAAAAGTCCTGGATGTGCTCTCTGAGTCTGAGTGTGCCCCGCAGGCTCGTGAAGTTGTTATGAACCTGGCTCGATACGCATATCAAGAACTTAACCTTGATCACGGATTCGGTCCAGGGAAGATCAGCCGGCCAGCGCTCAGTCTATATATCAATATCTTGGCTATGAATGGCAACCCGGAGGATGCCAGACATACGTTGTTGAAGTTTTGGGGCCAAATGAGCAAGGTTACCCCGTCGCCATGGCTCACGATTTTGAAAGGATTTGCCATGAAGAACGACCTGCGACAGGTACGGAAGATTGTGGATGAGTGGGGCAATCATGGCAACAAGTTCGACCAAGCCTCGCATGAAGAGCTAGTGAAATTCCTCATCGATCACAATCAGTTGAAGGCGGCTCAAACCGTCTACGACTACCCAATCGCTGATGGCTCGCAGCCCTCCATGGCCGCGAGTGAGGCTCTCATCAAACATTATCTGTTGAACTCTCGCTTGGAGTCGGCTGAGGGAATCTTTAACTCTCTCCCGGACGAACCCAACGAAGAAACCGCTAGTATTATTTTGCTCATGGCTGCCGCCAAGGGTAGCAACGCATCTGCTCTTGCGCAAAAGGTTGATTCATGGACTGCAAAGAATCCTCAGATCAAGGAAGCCATCACCATTGACATCGTCAACGATCTTCTTCAGTACGCCAATGCCTTGCAAAATCCGCAGCTGGCTTCTGATTTCATGACGCTGGCAGACCAATGGGGTCTCATCCCAGATAGCCAAACCTACATCTTGCAATTAGAGTCTCGTATTCAAGCCGGCGATGTCGAACAGACACTGAAGGTTCTTGAAGAAGATGTCGACGCCACTTCCCTCACAAGCGACAATCTGCCAGTCGCAAATAAGCTCATTGCAATGCTCTGTCGATCCGAGGAAAAGGACGCCTTATTCAACCAGATCTCCTCCCTCCTCGACCCCCTTTTCCAAGACAACGTGCACCTGGAATCAGCCACCATCGCCGCATTAACCCACATGCTCCTCTACCGCCACGACCTCGAGGCCGTCTCCGAGCTCCTCCGTCCCCGACTAGGCAGCTACAGCGACGAAGAAAAGATCCCAATCCGCGACGCCCTCGCCGAATTCATCACCGACAAAACCCAATCCGACACAGACGCCTGGAACGCCTACGAGCTCCTGAAAATCGCCTTCCCAGAGACCCCCGTCTCAATCCGCACAAAAATCATGACCTCCTTCTTCAACCGCCACCGCAGCGACCTCGCCGTCCTAGTCTTCGGCCACATGCGCCAAGCCGACGAACCCTCTCGCCGTCCTAGACAAGACACCTACGCGCGCTGTTTCCAGGGCCTGGCGCGCACAGCAGATGCCACAAACCTGGAGCTTGTGCACAACATGCTGAAGCTGGATCTCGAAGTCGATCTCAACACGAGGATTCAGAATGGTCTGATGATGGCGTATGCCGCCTGCGAAATGCCGGAAAAATCCATGGAGATCTTCCGCCAGATCCTGCAGTCGGAGGAAGGTCCCTGTCACAAGACTATTACTATTTTCTTCAAGGCGTGCCAGAAACATCATAATGGTGCTCAGGAGGCTATTAAGATGATGTCCAAGGTGAAGAAGCTGGAGATCACGATGAATCGTCCTCTTTACTCGGCGTATATGGAGGCGTTGGCCGCGCAGTGCGAGTTCGATTTGGCTGTTGAGGCTATCCGGAATATGGAGGCGGAGACTGGAATGGCTCCTACGAGTAATACGTGAGTTTATACTTCTTTTTTTTTACTGCTCTACTTTATGTTTTCTGTTCTGCTTTAGGGTCATCACTAACATTGGATCTAGTATTGGGTTGTTCTATAACGCTATTCCGTATCAGTACTGGAAAGATGAGGTCGAGAAGTGGGCAAGCCAGACTTATCCTGAGCATTGGGATCATCTGATGAAAATGAAGCGCGTTGAGCGCGAGGAGGGACTTGAATTCGAGGGCATCTCGAATGATGTGTCAGTGTAATAATATCTGTATCTATCAAGGCGATTAGCCAGGAAGAAACCTATATATAGGTTGTACTACGGATTTCTCTGTCATGAAGAACTAATACCCTAGTTATGTAGGCAGCTCGGTACGAGGATGGTAGGTAAGATGGTAGGTATTTGAGATCCGTTATCATTTCGTGCTGCATATATAACATGCTATGTAACGCTAAACAAAGGATATCATCGTACAATTATATATGCTCATATACAAAACCCCAGCAGAGAATCCTACAAACTGAAAATCCCACTCCTCTTCTTCCCATGCGGATAAACAATCAACGCCGATATAAACAACCCAACCGAAATGCCAATAGCCGTCTGAATCATGCCATAACCCAACGAGGTAAGCGAGCTATTAGACGTCGCCCCAGCATTACTCACATTCCCCGTCGCAACAGCCTGGGCATACTCCAGTCCCGAGATGATGGAGCCACTGGACGCAAGACCCGACGGGACGAGTGTGAAAATGCCAGGAATAATCGCCGCCGCCGCATGACCATGCCAGAGACGACTATACAAATTCGCCAGCAGGCCGATGGTGAACGCGCCGACGGTATTAGCGACCTGATTCGCGCCGAGCTTCTTGGTACTGAAGTAATTCGTGACGTAGCCACAGACGCCCATGACGATGGTGACGGGCAGCTGTTTGGGCTTGGACTGGTTGATCAGTGCGGCGAAGAGACAGAATAGCGCGACGAAGGGGAAGCGTTGGATATACTCGTTTCCCCAGACTTCGAGGCCGGAACAGGTCGATTCTAGTGTGGCGTTGCGGTCGAGGAGGCCGTAGATGGTTGTGCCTACAGTGACGCCGTAGCCGAGGAAGAGGGAGTAGATGATTGTGAAGACGAGGCGGATGGAGCCGGCGTTCATTTGGTGGGACTGGAGTTCGAGACTGCTGCTGAGTACGGCGAAGCCGGGGAGGATCATTGCGATGGAGGACTGGGCCATGGCGGAGAAGCAGAAGAGACGGGTGCCGTTGTGTGTGATGCTGCCGAAGGCGCGGGCGAGGAAGGAGGTGAGGATTGCGGCGGAGACTTCGAGGACGTTGGAGTATGTTGCTGAACGGGGGGCTAGGATGTGCTGCATGAAGCCGACTAGACAGCCCAGCATGAAGATTATGGGGAGGTCGATTGGGCGGGCGCTGAAGGAGTAGGGCCCGACTGCGACGCTGGCGCAGCCGGTTAGGAAGACGAGGAGCCAGCGGTTGTAGCGGGGGTTGCGCTGCATGATCTGGTCCAGGTCTTGGGTTGCTTGTTCGACGCCGACAAGGTCGTGCACGACGTTTTTGTAGACGTTGTGCGTTTCGGCCAGGCGGGAGAGGTCCAGGCCTTGGATTACGCGGATGATTTTTACCTCTGCGGTGTGGGTTAGGGGGTCGTCGAAGGACATGAACATGCAGCCGGGGATGTAGAGGAATTGCGCTTTGACTTCTAGCACGTTCGAGGTCATCACCATGTATTCTTCTAGTCGGTGGGTTGGGGCGCCGTACTTCATCAATGCGCGGCATAGCTGCATGATGTATTGCTGGCGGGCTAGGAGGGCTGCGATGTGCACGGTGAGCTGGACTTTCTTCTTTCTCTTGCGCTTCTGCTTCTTTTGTTCTTTGGGATTCAAGGATGGGGGTCCCATGGCTCCGGGCACCCCGACCCGACCCAGATCCATGGATGCATTGACGAGGGAGGAAGTATAGCTGTGGGTTGGTCTGTTCGGGGGGCTGCCGTTCTTATACCACTTCAGCTTGTCTTTCTTCCCCCCGGTGTCGTCGTGCCGGATGGCGGTATGCTTTCTATATCGAGATCCGTCTCGGATGAAGTAGAGACGACACTCATGCGGCTTGCGGCGGGGAGGTTGCTGGCATAGGCTCGGAGTAGCTGTGAAAGCAGACCTCCTGGTGGACCGCCGGGCGTTGATGTGCCCTGTGAATCTGGGGATCCCGGGGTAGAGGCACCAGAACGGGGTTCTTCAATGCGTGGCCGTCGTGGCCCAGCCTGTAACCCGAATCGGTCCACTAGGAGTCGGGCTTGTGCATCATAGTCGGTTCCTGGAAGGCGAGATTCTTCGTCGCGTGCTCGGCGAGCCTCGTGACTTTGAATATCGTCCGTTGCTCCATAATAATCCGGTAACATCGGTGCATCCAAGCCATCGGCTGCACTTTCGTGGGGTCGTCCCAGTCTCTCGGCTATCGTCGCAGCGCGTCTCCGAACCCGCTGACTTGCAGTCCGCCATCGTTGGGATGCCGATGTACTTGGCTGTACGTTGTCGCTCTGGTCGAGTTTTTCTGTGTTGGTGGTATCGTCGGCATTGTGATCGGTACTCTCCCGTCGGTCACTCTCGGCATCCTCCATGGTAGGATGGGGAGAGATTGGCTGGAATTTCTGCTGTGGCTCCGACATGTGCAAGTGGGACAGTGGAATTCTTCTTCCGTAGAGGCCGGGATATTTAGTCTCGATTAAAAGAATCAGGGGAATAGGTCTGATTTTAGGTCCCGGCCTTGCACAGTAGACAGCTCAATGTGCAAGACCAACGAGATATGAAACTTCATAACTCTGCGGGGGAAAAGAAAGAAAGGAACATTCTGGATCGGACCTGGGGTGGGGACTGAAACGGGAAAGGCCAAAGGGAAACCGGCAGGAAGTCCGAGACCAAGTTTAGGTGCAGATGGAGGTCTACGTCTACACGTACGTCAATGGGAGGAGAATCATTTGACGATCTTCCTGAAGAAACAAGCTTCTTTCCCCGTCACTAGTTAACTTTCCCCTCTCTGGGGCTGATCTCGGCAGGTGACACGTCCGGCTTAACATCGGCTATAGTCTATACTACTAAGCTCATACCGCTTGGGATGTTACAATCAACTCTTTCTAGACTGATTCCTCTTTCACTTGACCATGTAGACTCTCTTTGGTCTGGATTCCTTTGGTCTGGATTGCGCTTCAATCTTTTCTCTTTATTGCCGAGGGTGGGTCATGGTCCCACTCATGAGTTGGAACAATCACCTTGATCATTTCAAGGTTGGCATTAGATGCATAGAGGGAAGAAACTAGACTGATACACAGTCTAGATCAATTTGAATTGGTTGTGGCTCTGCATGTTTACTCTGTGTTGTTTAGCCCGCTTGAAACTTGAAACTTAAACAGCCTCGCTCCGGCAAAGTGTATATCCGTTTATATCCGCTGTACACAATAACCACAGAGAAGTTGTATCACATAGAATACCTAGATGGACGAATGATCCTAATCTGGCTCCTGAATGATATATGTAGGCTACTCGTAAATCAGAAGGCTATATATGAGTCAACAGTCAATGAGTTGAGTGCAGTATCACAAGCCAACTCCTCGTTGTACTGGTCACCTCCAATCCACGAAGCGACCTGACCCCACCAGCTGCTCTTTCCAAATCTCCGTGCAGTCGTGAAATCCCAGTATTCGGGGTACCAGCCAGCAGATTCCCAATCCAGAAAAGCCGATAAATGTCCATCATCTCCGACGAGAATATTATGAGCCTTGAAGTCACCATGAGTGAAAGTAATTCGATGAGAGTATTTGCGAATCTCATTTGCTTGCGCCAATGCCTGAATGTAATCCGCAGTCGAATTGAAGCCGTGTCCAGACGCAGGACTCAGGAGATAATCGTGGAGCTCGTCTTCGTCTCTGAACGGACCCATTATATGACCAGGCACTCTTGAACTCCGTAACGAGGTACCCAGAACCGAGCAAATACCTCCCGCATGAGGTGATGACCAAGTGCGCATGGAGGTGACACATTTCTTCAGCTCGAAAAGCCACGGCTCCTCCAGTTCAACGTGTAAAGGGTCGTATGAGTTCTCAAGTGCGGTACCGGGCAGTCTCGTCATCAGTATCGAGAAAACGCGGTTGAAGGGCGCATTGGGGTGCTCTCCGCAAGATAAAATTTTTGGAACGGGCATTCCGGCAGCTCATGCCATTTGCATTGCGGCGGCCTCCTCTATGCTCGTTCGATCTGTCCACTTTAGGACCAATCCGAACGGTAATTGGACGATATTGACGTCGAAAGGTATGTTGCACCATGAGCAGTACCAGCCTGATAATCGGTACAATGCTTTATGGAATATACCGTAGGCTCTGCGTTTTAACTTGCCTGGAATAGACGGCAATTTAGGTGTGGCTTCGCATATTGTTGACTGCATCGGTCGGGGCCAGGTGAAATCCGGCCGCAGAATAGACGGCATCCATGATCTGTCCATTGGCATTTAGCGCAACAAGGGAAACTCGATGCTAGCGTATATCACAATCCTAGTCTGGGTCCTTCTAGGCTTCTCGTAGGAGGAGGTATTTGAATGCTGTGAGTGTGACGGCCTACATTGGTTACTCTTGTTTGAAGCAGATAGATGACAACCAATCACATGACTATCGGCCCATCGGGGCTCGGCAGAGTGGATCCAACCTTATCCAAACTGGAGCTATTTTAGGGATCAACAGGTCTTGGCGCAAGACCGTACAGTACATACTGTGTACATAATTGAGAGTCCAGACTCCGCAGCTCACTGTCATTACTTGTTGGCCATATCTATCCATCCAAACTGGAGCTATCTGGGGATCAAGAAGTCTGAAACTCGCGCAGTAGCCTTAGGGTACCGCTGCAACCATTCCTTCTTGGTGTATCGTTGCCCCTTGGTAGACAGAAAAGCGGTAATCTTTGCATTCAGTTCTTTGTGTGATCGTCAGCCGGTGCTCAGTAGGTACTATTTGCTGGTATCAAAGGTTGATGTTACCTTCCACTGTCATCTCCACTCGAGCTTGCAATGAGAAATGGTCACCAAATTCATGGACGAGAATGAGATCGTCGGGCAATAGGGCGTCTGTACAAATTTCAAGTCAATAAAGATGGTGCCTTCAAAGACTTCGGGGAACGAACCTGCCGGAACCGCGTAAATGTAAACAGTAAACGCTGGAGAGTCCCTGGAAGTGCGAACCAGATTCTGCTGTTTCGTAGTGTTGGGGCGCATGGAGGCACCGTTTGGAACTGGATGAATGAGCGATGATGAGTAGCTATCTCGGCCCCATCAATAACTTACATTCATAAGAAGCCGGGTTGAGGGCCTTTGGTTGGACTTTCCCTGCAGTTGTGAGAAGGTCGAAATTGCGCAGCGGCCGCACAGGGCCCGGATGAGCCCGGAGTCGAACGGAGGCGCCGTAATTCACTCGGAACAGCTCATTGGGAAATCGAGTAAAAGATTGGATATATCTATTTTTCGACATGACGAGAACTCGCAGGAAACCAAGATGAGGGTCCGAGATATTGGATATTGAATGCCTTTCAGTCGAGGACACTTGAGGTGATCAGGTGACATTCCAATTTGGCCGATCAGAAGAGGCACTGAGCAGATAGGCAACCGTGGTCTGTAGGACCTTTGTGCCTTATGGCAGAATGTCATGGGAAGACATTGTGGTACATGGCAAGTCTGTAAAAAGGATAGAGTCCATTCAACGAAAGTAACACAAGAGAAGAAAAGGGAGAGAAGAGAAGAAAGACAATAAACAGAACAACAATCCTCTCAGCCATGTGACTAGGTCCTAAGCATGAGCATCACAGACATACTGTGTAGGTCCTAGCAAAAACAGGCTGCATTAATTCGTAGCTAAACTATACAAGGCCATTGTACTTCCCCCCAATCTCCAAGCTATCCGGCACCTCCGACCCGACCCCACACACCCCCACATCATGATTCATCTACTCCGTACACATCTCCAGCTACCACCACCCCCTCCATACACTCCAATCCCACACAATCCAATGCCAAAACACATCCCCCCTCACACCCCCCGCAACACCCCTAGCCCTGCAACCCCACCACCTCCTCTCCCCACCCCCAGACCGTCTAACAGACACCGCAACAACCCTAACAATAACCAACGTCCAAGAGTCAGACGACCCTCCAAACACCACCTGCACCTCAATAATAAACCACATCCACACCCACGAACCCCCAGACAGCCCAAACCGCCAAACCCCGCTCTTCACCGTCAACAGCAAGCAATGGCCAAACACCACCCGTATAATCTGCGCGGTCGACGGCACGCCCTTACTCGTCCTGCGAAGAATCTGGTTATCCAGCGTCAGGAAATGGGTTCTTCGACTCCCTGAGGCGACAGAAACACAAACAGAAACACAAACACCCAGAAAGAAAGAAAAGACGAAACCAGACCTCCTGGCAGCTTCTATACCCTGGTCTAGTGAAGGGCATGGCAAGATCGGTCTTGGACATGGGCATAAGCTGGATGTGAAATTTATCAATGCGTTCCGTCCTGAGGGATCATCATCTTTATCACGATCTATCTCTGTCTCGAATCTGAGGTCAAGGCCAGACGATCCGCAACCGCCGCCCTATACTGCCAGCGTCGACACTCCTGTCAGTCAAGAAGCTGTACCGCGCGGGAAACAAACCCCAATCCCATTTTCCAATTCAAATACAACGGATACTTCTGTCCAAGCAAGACCAAGACCAACACCAACAATACCCACACCTATATACGATCCAATCCCGCCCTCTGCTACTCCGATATCTCCATCCCCAGCAATGCTTCCAACCTACGACTCCGTCCGCCGAAACACAGTCCCACTAAATACATTCCGCGATCTACTGGATGCAATCGAGCCACCACAGGAACCAGCAGCGCTAATTCAACTCCCGACGAATTCCAGTGCCGACGGCGACGATGCTGGTTCCGGGTTGAACATCGAGTTGAAGGTTATGCAGCATGCTGCTGTGGGGATGGGTGTTATGATGGGGAATGATATGATTGTTCGGATTACGAAGGGTTGTTCTGTGGATTATAGTAGGTCTAAGCCGAGGACGAGGGTTAGGTGGGAGGTTGAGGTTGCGGAGGGGGTTGATTTGTTATTGGTGAGTTCTAGTCCAGTGCAATGCGAGTCGTTGGGATATGGAGAGTGAGAGGTGTGTTGGCGTGTGAAGGATGTATACTGACGTCTATGCTGACCTAGGCCGTGGGTATTGTGCTGATTATTGCTGAGGCTTTTTCGAACCGGAAATGAAGGAATGGGATGAGGAGGGTAGGGCCGTATGGGGAGAGTGTAAAATGTAATACTACTGTGTATATAAGGGTGTTCTACAAGGTTGTCATGCTACAAAAGGCATTGAAGTTCTTGAAAGGGATAACATTTTGATTCTAAGATCCAATGTTAAAAGCAAAGTCCGGATTGGCCTCTCGCCAAAACTTTTCTAAACCGTTCATTCGTCAAAGGGAACAGGTCCGTTGCGTTCCATATTAGATATTTCGTCGACCCGTAGAGTCTTTCTCGTGAATAAAAACCAAAAGCATGCGCAAAAGAAAGAAAAAAGTAACGTCTAATTCCAAAGCTTATGCCTTAATCTGAGCTAGACGCTTGGTCATGAAGTCGAAGAAGGAGAACTGGCTGGGCTGGTTACCGTATTCGTAGACGAAGCGGCTGGCCAGATAACTGCCGAAGATGGCGCGGAGGTAGTTCTCGGGGACCTGAAGGGTATCATTAGTAAAAGCTCCAAAAAATGAGATATTAAGGGAGAACATACACGTTCCAAGATAGTCTCCAGACCAATCTTGTCCAACAGACGACGCGGCAAAGCATCACCCAGAACAGAGCGACGCAGGGCAACGTTGTCCCACAGCTCGGTCATCTGGAGCTCTTCGTCAAGCTTGGTAATGGCCAAGCTGAGACGATCACTGAGAGAACTGCGCAGGATACCGGTCTGCTCGTGTTCGCGCCAGATGGCCTCGAACTCGAGAGCAGCGTTGGACTGGATGATCTGTTGCACTTCCTTGACGTAGGCCTGGTAGAAGTCGGGGACGGTGCCGTCCTCGCGGATGCACATGTGCTCGACGAATTCCTCGTCGTTGAAGGAGAGAGAGGCGAGGACCTCCAGGGAGGAGGAGGTCACACCACCCTTGTTGGCGGAGGCGTCCTTGTACAGGATGCAGCCCGCCTTCTCGAGACGCAGCTTGGCGTCCTGGGTGATGAACAGGTTGGCACCCTCGACAATGTAGGGGATGATGCTCTTGTTGTCGCGGATGAGCTTGTTGACGGTAGACAGGTCGATGGACTCGGGGCGACCACCGCAAGGCACGAAGACGTCGAACTTCTCCTGCGAGCGGAGGTGGTATGTGTTACGGAAGATCATTCCGTTGTGAACGACCTCGCCGCTGGGGAGCTTGACGTTCTTCTCGTCGACCAGGACACGGTAGCCCTCGGGGGAGAGCTTGGACATGTCGAACTCGGAGATCATGGCGCGCTTCTTGGCCAGGCGGAGGAGCTCTTCGTGGTTCAGACCGTTGGGGTCGTAGATCACACCGGACCCGTCGACAATGGCTCCGTACTTCTCGTTGGAGAGCAGGATTTCGTTGGATCCCAGATCACCATCGGGACCACCGGTCTGCAGCTTGAGCTGTGTGGAGGGGTCGATGTTCAGCTTGCGCTGGATGCCAAGCACATACTGGCGGACCGAGAGGGTGGTCATGCCGTACGCGTCGTGGGGAATACCACCCAGCTTGGGGCTCTTGCCGGTGAAGAATGACTTCCACCAGGGAGCGCCACGGCCGCGAGCGTGCTCGGTGGCCCAGTTGACAAGCTCGGCGGTGTTCTCATCAGGTCCCATGAAGAGAATCTCGTCCTTGCCGTGCAGATCGACGATGGGGTCCTTGATACCAGGGCTGACAGGGGGGAGGAGCAAATCGAGGATACTGTCGATGTACTTCTCGAAGGCGACCCGCGCCTTGTCCTGGTGATCGGCATCCAAGAGAATGACACCCTTGGCACCGCCTTCGGGAATATCCTTGTTCTTGCGCTGTTGGGTGTTGGCCAAGTTGTAGTTCTCATCGAACAACGAACGAGCGTTGATGTTGTATGCTTCTCCGTTTCGACTCTTGACGATACGAATACCACCACGGGCGATGTCACGGAAACGCAGGTGGAAACCGCGGAACTCGGAGCTGATGACCAAGAACATGCCGTACAGGGGTTGAGGGTATTCGTGCTCGGGCAAGAAGTCCGGCTTCAAGCGGAAGCTAAGAGCGACCTTGGTGGGGGTGAAGAAGTTGGTCTTGAGGATCGAAGAGTTGAACACGCGGAAGGAGTTCATGACCATCTCGTCATGCTCGTTGACAGCGGTGCCGCGGATCAGCTGCTTCAGCTTGGCGCCGTCGAGGACCTCGTCGACCTGGAGACGCAGGTAGCTGAGGGTAGGGAGGAAGTCATCGCCGGTCTCCCGGGTCTGAACGTAGTGGGTGTTGGCGAAGTCAAGGTAGAGCTTGTGAATCAGCTCGGGGTATTTGTTGATAATCTCGAAGATGTAATCCGCTGTGAAGGTTTCAGTGCGCAGACGCTTCTTGATCTTGGAAAGCAGCTCCGCGTGGACACTGTTGTTGCTGTCCAAGAGAGCAGCCAGCGAAGTGTATTCTGAGCCCAGACGGTTGAGGAACTGCTGGACGAACACCCACGCGCAGTGAGCGTAGATGGTTTCTTGCAAGCTCAGACGGCCAGAGGCGAAGTGGCCCTGGAAGCGGTTCTGGGGGATACAGTACAGAAGTGAGACCTCCTTCATAATCTGGTGGATCGCAGCCTCGATGGGAGGGTACTTGGCGGAGATCTCGGTGTTGTCAGAGGGACGCAGGTAGAGCGAAATGACAGTGATACCGTTGGAGAAGTTCTCCAGGTACTTGCGCGAGCTGGTCAAGCGGTAGTAGTGGTACAGATCGGACAGAGCACTGAAAAGGCCCATAGCGGAACCCTGGCGGTAGGCAATGACCATACGCTTCTCACGGCTGCCCTCGATCTCGAACATCTCGATCACGGGACCGGAGCGGCCAACGGCCGTGGTGATAATTTCTTGGTAGATGGCCTTGGTGTTGGGGGTGGCCTTTTGCAGGAAGCGCTTTTCACCGATGATATCGATGTTGGTCTCGTTCGGGGAAGGGTTAGGGTTGGCGAACTGGCACTTGTACACGAAGTAGCAGCGGAGCTGCTGACCGTTGTCGCCCGGGAGGGTGGTAGGCGAGCGGAAGGTCTCCACACGGTAGCTGTTGGCACCCTTGGAGTGGTTGACATACTTCTCGTCGATGCGCTGCTCGTAGCGCGGGCCATCCATGGTGGAGATACCGGGCTTGCTGGTATCAATGTAGACCGCGTGGTCCTCGGCCTCCTTGTCCAAACGGATCTCCAGCTGCTTATCATCGCGGGCGTAGGCGGCGACCTTGGCGGCGTAGAGGGAGAGGATCTGGGTCACAATGGCATCCACCGACTCGGTCTGGAAGTAGGTGTCGTCAATGCCGAGCATGTTATAGAACCAGGTGGTTTCGGAGATCACAAAGTCACTAGGGAAGAAGCCCTTCTGTTCCAATTGATCCATGACTGCTAGGAATTAGCTTCTGCTCTCCATCCCACAATCATCAATTGCACTGACCTTGTTCCATTTGCTTTTGCTTGCCCTCAAATTTAGCCGCAATGTAGCCCGGGTCCTCCTCGGAGAGCACCCGGTGCGGGGTACCAGGGATGCCCAAGTGTGTAGGCTGCGGGGAGGGTTGTCGCAGAGCAGCGCCCACGGCATGATCCAAGTGCTTGTTGTGAGGAGGGAAGCGCTGGAAGCCAATGGGAGTACCGGCGCCGGAGCTGCCTTCCTGGCTCGAGTAGAGCTTAGGCTGGGGACGAGTTGGCAAGCTCGAGCCTGTGCCATTGGGAGTGTCCGGCAGAGGAGTAGTTACAGGAGACGACATGATGTGGTATGTGAAGGGAACCTCTAAAACGTAAGAGCAAGAAGATGAAAGAAGCTATAAGGTCAAGGGCATTAGTTGGGATGAATCATCGAGTGCACGTGGGTCAAAGATAAGGCAACACAAAGAATGTTCTTATCTCGCCCAAATGGCATTGAGATAACGAAGTAAGGAGATTGGAAGTTCTACTTACTGGTAATAATCACCGATCGTCGCCATGGACTGAAGTGAGATATTGAATGAGAAGGTGGATGTGGGATGAGAAAATCCGGGGAACCCTGGTCTTTTTATAGCAAACTGTTGGCGTTGCTATGGAACGAATTAATTGCCTCTTTTTTTCATTCCACCATAACTAGTCTGTAACTTGATCTATTATTATTACATATGCTGTCGTAACCCTTGGCCAGTCATAACCGATGCTATGCGGAGGTTCAACCGTGTAGGGCCTCGAAGCCCATATGAGATCCGCTTGACTCCACTTCCAACGATCATTTTCTGCCCACTTTGACTAACAGCCGGCGATGCTTTGCATTCTCATTGGTACATAACGCCCCTCCTTCCGACCTCAAGCCGAACCCAACAGAAGGGAGAAAAATCCCGCCTGCGTCATGCGGGCCGATTTGAGAAATGAAAAAGATAAAATAGAATAATTGCCTCAGGTCTGGAACGTGGCTGAGGCTTTAACTAGAACAGGAACGAACAGGTACAGGCAAAAAAACGGTGCGTGACTTGACAGAGACTGTTGAACTGAAAATAGAGAGGGAAAATCATCCAGTAGATCACCTGAGCTCGTGTCTTAGGGCCATGAACAGGAATGATGCGATCTGTGTCGAACATCGTGGAATGCAATGTGTCATGGTAAATCCACTCACAACGTCAATCGTACAAACATTCATAATGAAAATTCTGACTGCATCGTGAGAAGGTCCTATCCCCCATGTTCCCGGTCTAAATGCCTCATTCCTTGTGGAAATCGCGTCCCCAGGATCATATCGTGATGGAGTAGCTATGTATGTACCCTTCATCTTAGATCCACAACTGGTGGCTGTTGCTCTGTCTGGGGGCGAGATTCGCCACAAAGGGCAAGTTTGATGTGTTTGACTCCTTTGAACCAAGGACCATTTGGCACTAAATTCTTGGAAGGAAAATTCTTTTTGTTCTTTGCTTATCGCCGGCCCGGTGACAAGGAAGAAAAATTCTCCTGTCTCCAGATCGCCCGGCCATCTCCAGGGCTGGTACCTGGATGATTTGACTCTGCGGGGTAACATCTCCATTGCATATTCCCCTCGATCAACCACGTTTTCTTCATCGCCATTCGTTAGAAATAACGCATTGGGACCTCTTTACCCCAACACATCCTCACAATTTTCACGCAAACCACAAATTTTAGAATGACCGGCGGAACCCTTTACGTGATAACGGACTCTCGGCGGGTTTGTCATTGGAAGGGCCCGCCGCCGAGAAAAAAAATAGAAAAAGAGAACGAAGTAATTGGTGTTCCCCCTACCGGAAGAAGGGGAAAGGATTCTCCGATCCACCTGTGACGTAAACCGGAAAATGGAACCATGGCTGGAGACAGTCAGGTGCCTCAGGCCATATCTCCCAAGTCTGGGGAAAGAGGCTCCCGCTCGGTGGCCCTCCGATCCCCCAGAGTGGCTTATTTCCCTTGCTTCACAGTACGGGGAGACAAGCACCTGACAGCACTTCCCAAGGTTTGTGCCTTTTGGTGTTACCATCTGACATGAGCTTGCATGGTTAGAGATCAGGTGCTCGCCACGTTCACAGCTGTCAGCGTGCGACTTGGGTCGGGTATCTACTATCGTGAGGTGTTGGCCATCGGGGAGATGCTGGTGGAGTCAAGTCCCAAGAGAGGACACGGGCATCGGTGTAGGCACCAGCAGGTCAGAAGATCACCTTGACGATAGTTAGGTCACGCTATCCACGTTCTCTGCAAGATTGTAAGGAGTGGCGTAGATCAGGTTTGTAGATAGGGCTCTCGTTTCTTGAAAGATCGTGGGTACGAGCCATCAAGGGATATTATTCTTATATATTGGGAGACGGAGTAGCACCGGCCTCTGCCCAAATACATAGAACGCGATGCCAAATCCGACATACTTTGATGCCAACCCATAGATCGTACACCTTTTCAACAACGCAGAGGGTCGATACTCTGGTCTCGACTGGGAGATATCCCCGGCGGCGCTCGAGTTGGGTGCCCAACTTGAAGCTATCAAACAGGTTGATGACTATGCCCAGGAGCAAATTCTCCCATCTTCTCTGGCACGGTCTGGCGCCTACAAGGATGACTTGTTTGCTGATAACACAGACGAGCGGAAATCCTGACGTGTGTCGGGTAGACTGACATCGGCCTTATCTCCAAGCAGGCTGAATAGCTATCAGCAACCCATCAGCGGACAGTCATGGTTGCGACTTGCGAGTCATCAGCTTATGTTCGTCATAACTCATGGGATTGTGTTGTACGTCTTGTACCTGAAGGCTGACGAATCCATCCCACAACTGGCGCAATAGCTAGAAATACACCCGGTCAGCTCGGGTAGCCAAAATAATAAAGTACGGCCAGCTCATCATTGTCCTTGGCCTATCTCTGAACGAGCGGTGAACGAGACCAGTCATTGGATGTCGAGCCTTATCTTATGTGATCAGACTATCTACACCGTCTTCACGAGGTACTTGGATGACCTCGATCTGCAAGTACACAGGACATCGCACGACAATCCACTAGTGGCTATGTGGTTACTTCCAAGTTGTACTAATGTCGATGTTATTTGTCCCTAATTTTTGTCACAGACTACAGTATGTGATATAAGAAAATCCTTATAAATACATTGTAGCCCTGGATATACCCGGGGTCCGGGGAAGTGCATCCGCGATCAAGGGAGGTCCCCAAATTTTGGAGGAATGCGCCTAAATCTACTCCCGGAGACCCGGCAGCCAGGTAATCCGAAAATGCGGAGATTGGAATGGGCATTCTGGATCCCTTATGCCCCATACAGTGCAGTATATTGCTGATAGTGTCTACAATACACATGTAGGTGACTAGGCGGTGCATTGCACAGATATTGGAAATAGTAGAACATCAAGTTCAGCCCCTCAGCCCCTTGAATCTGGGGGAGAAGAATTGTGGAGTTTCCTATTTGGACGTCGATCCACGGCACAGCTCAAGGGGAACTCTCGTACTTTTGTCTCAACGTTGACCCCTGAATTTAGTCAAGGAGATCTTGAATTAGGTGGGAACGTTGAGATAGCTCTAGATCGTATCCCTGTATAAACCCTTATTTGCTATTGCCCTACAACACAGAGGATTTAGTAGTTATTGCTCCAGACTTGTCTCGGCCCCTGGCATGGGTCCATTAGCTCCCCGATGAGATGTAGCTACGAGGACACCAACAGTTTGGTCCACTAGTCGATTAAGTGATGTGCTATGTACTATGGCGCGGACCTTGCTCCGGCTTACGATTGTAGATGAACGATCTTTAGTTATAGATTGGTCTCAAGTTTGAGGAGATCTCTCAATTAGCCATGAATCTCGCAATCTACAGACTACCATGTCAATGAAGAAGCCCGTTCCTGATTTGAGCGTATGTTGTAACGGTGAAGCGGACCAAGCCGATCTCCTACACCGCAAAAACCCCGGCCCCAATCCTTCTCGGAGGAGGATCGCCGTATCCGCTCTGCCGTTAAAGCGAGATTTCTCCGGGGTCACGCTAGAAGGCGTAGAATCGCAGAATTGGCACTAACGGGAGTAGTTTACAGCCTAATAAGTTAATACATTGAAATCCAATAACTGCGACCTTCCCTCTCTGATCCCTTTCCCCCACACTAACGCGTCTCCTTTGTCTAATCCTCCCGGGTTGGGCTCCCGTAGTTCCGGGAATGTCTCCCTACGGCTTTGGGTTTAGAATGAGGCGATTGGGGGTCAAGCGCTGGGTCTAGCCCCAGGTATGCGTGTACTGTATGTACTGGGTACTTTGGACCTTCCCCAGGGAATGTACTCCTCCACACTTTTTAGGCTTGTTTTGGGGAGTATTTGATTTATCTTGTTTTATCTTTTTTCTTGTCTCATATCTTATTAATTCTAGGGGAAATATAAACTGTCCATTGATCCTCTCTGGCTTTGGTTCTAGTTCTTCCATTCATCTGCGTACTTTTCTACCATTCGCTTTGATATCATATCCCTCTCGACCACCATCACAACAACCCACACCCACCATCTCGAAAAACATCCGGACCTCTTCCTTTATTCCATGTGAGTTTCTGATTTCATCTCCCGTCAGTACTTGCCTCATCTCCCCGATCCGATCCCCCGAGACAGGGTCCTCGGGCAACTTCGGAGTATCCACCCCTAACTACACACATACAAGTAAACATCCTACACAGCAAACTGACTTCAATCTCAGCTCCAAGCAAAAACCAAAAGTCATACGTCAACCCCCAGCCTCGGCTGTCGATCAACCCATCCTCTTCTTCTATCTTTTTAAGAGCATCAACCACCATCACCCACTCTCCAACAACCATCATCTCCATCAATCCAAAATCCAAAAACATCAAATCCTCTTCAATACTTCTCTGATACTCCTCTATCAATCCAAAAACAATCAAAATGGCCACCGTCTCAACCAAACCCGCAACCGCAATCTCCCCCTCCTTCAACACAATGTCCCAGGACATCTCCCGCGCTATCATGTCAGCCTCCTCGCAAACGCAGAAAACGCGCTCAACCCTCATCGACGGCATGCCTCCAGCGCCGCCTCCCTCCCCGGTCACCTTCGCCAAGAAGGGCGCTTACGAGCATATTCCCAGTTTCAATCTGGAGTGAATCTCGACGGATTCGATTCGGCTTCTCGGTTTAATCCGAGATTTGTACTACCATCGACTATTGCTTGTTCTCTGCTACTTGGCCTGGTCTGTTCTTTCGCGGTGCTTAGCCTTCTTCTCTTTCTCTCTTTGCTTGTGCTGAATTAGCGTTGCATGGCGGCGCGGATACTCTTTCGGTTCTGGTGGGTTCAAAATGGGATTCATTCGGTGCTATTAATTGCTTAATGAGCTTTGGGTTAAAAATTGATTCATTTGTGACCTCTACATTCCAATTTTCTCCTATTGTGGCATGATAAATATGATATGGATTTTCTAGTACTATCCTTGTATTGCGACCAGGCAGCAACCTTTGTCTGCATATATCAATCAGATGGCTGCCTACCTCGGCTACCTACCATACCTACCTATTTCCTATTGTAGCATGTTGGATTGGAATACATTGTGTACACACTCCCGTCCAACCTCGGAAGTCGGATAGATATCAACGGATACGGCAAATAGACATGATTCACACTACACAATTCTAGGTACTTTAGTCCAAACTACACAGCTCAAGTATCTACATATTCCGAAAATCAGGACCATCCAAGCCGACGGGATCACAGAACGAACAATATCCTTGGCATGTGAGGAATACGCCGATCCCGACGTCACCCGTCACGAATCGCAGTAGATGAGTTCGCACAACCTGATAAAACTGAAGTCTCAGGTGCCGAGACGAGACCGGTCCGAGGTCGCGCAAATGTAACTTCTGTATATCCAAGCGAAAAGTCGACTACATTATGTCTGCGTTATATCATAAGGTGCGTGATATCAGGAAATCCGAACGAGAACAAGGATGTCATCCCGACACTGAGTTTGTACATGACGTTACACTGTAGATCTGGGGCTAAATTGATTTCATTGTACAGAGTACTATGTAGCGGGTAGCCATAGCGCGGTGTTAAACTCTAGCAGGATCCAACCGATATCACTTCGTGTCGCTGGGTCGTGTGCGGAAGTATCCGTTTCGGTGATTTCTCAGTCAGGGCAAGTGAACAATCCACGACAGCTTGTCAATGTTGCCTTGCCCGATCACCGTTGGGTCGCCGCTTGCTGCCCCATGAGAGCTGGTCTGAGCCGGATGAATCAGGTCTCCCCCCAATTTCTCGTCTTTATCGACTTGTACAAACTGCTTGTTTGCAGCGTTTGTCGCTATGTCCTGATGGGTAACGACCCATTAACCCACATCTTCGCCCATGACCCTACCCTTAGGGGTAATACCGCTATGCTTGACTATCTGAGGAGCGTCATCGCACAGCGTTTACCGATCGAGGATACTTATAGGGCTATCCAGCTCGCGAGCCCTATCGATCCTCTCCCTGGCCTTGCTACCCCTTTTGTTGGACGCCGATGTAAATTCGACGGCTGTGCCTCTGTTTTTGCTAGTCACCCCTCCATCGAAAAGCATCTACGCGAGATCCTCAAAGTCCACGGTACCTCGGCGGAGCTCGGCGCCTACATCGGGAAGCCCTTCATCCAAGGTCTCCAGAAGAACCGGTTCTTCGAAGTCCTTCAAGTCCAAGCAGCTACGCCGGCCTTGAACCCAATCCTCGGGTCCCAGCGTCCACTGCCAGATACCGAGAGCTCCCTTTCCCACCCAACTGCTATATTAGCCGGTCCCAGGGCCGATCAGTCGCTTTGAGCTAGGAGGCTTTCATACCCTCTCGAGATACCCCGGTTTTATTACCCCCTTCGATCTGACAGCTCGAAGCGACTGATCGGGCCCAGGTATGAGGCTGCCGCCTGAGATGTCGCTTGAGATGTTGCCTGAGATGCCTTGAGATGCCTCAACCCAACACTTACCATCCGAATTTGAGATCCGCGAGCAGCGGATGGAAGATGGAAACCGAGGATTGGTTTAAAGGCCGGCGTAGCTGCTTGGACTTGAGGGACTTCGAAGAAAAACCGGTTCTTTTGGAAACCCTGGATGAAGGTGTTAGGACCGGCGTACTGGCGGGTCCAAATGAGGGGTTTAGGACTTGAGTGAAGAAATCCAAAGGGGTGTTTCTGTATTCAGACTAATCGCTAAGGAGTCTTAAGTCCTACGGGCAGTTTCTGTTGTGGAGAGCCCGAGCGGGGTCACGTGGCTTGGCAGAGTCCAGGTCCAAGTCCTCTGTGAGGCACTCTTTGGTAGAGGGACGTAACAGAAGGGCTTCTCGATGTAGGCGCTGAGCTCCGCCGAGGTACCGTGGACTTTGTGGATCTCGCGTAGTTTACATCGGCGTCCAACAAAAGGGGTAGCAAGGCCAGGGAGAGGATCGAGTATGCTGATAGGACTGGGTACTGAAGCGCTCATCGTTGTAACAGCAACGAATATTCTTTTCGGAATTGAGACCATGTGATGGATATCATCCCTTTCATAACGATTCAACGAGGACTGCCTCCGGGGTAAATCGTACATCGCATCGTATAACATACATATATGTCTTCGTGGGAGTCCTCGGTTCGCGGCACCTGGCGCGCGTTCACGCGACAGCAGGCGCGACCAATTTGTTTACTGCATGTCCTCATCGATCGTGACCAAATTCGATGGTAGGCCGAGAAAACACAACGACAGAGCTGGATGGTTGATTGGTTCAAGCGCACGGGGTCTAGACCCGGGTTTTAAGCCAGTGTCATGACCCCGGTTTATGATCGGCGCTTCGACATTCAAGCGATGAGATCATCACTTTGAGACGCGAGGTCAGAGTCCAAGTCAGAATCAGACTCCGGCTCCGACTCAGGAGCATTGGACTCTTGGTTGAGCTCCTGGATCAACAACTCAAGGATGGCCTGCGCCTCTGTATCTCCTCTCGCAGCACGTTCATTTAACCGCTCAATCTCAGCAAGCTGCGCCTCAGTGCGAGCCCAGCCCTGCAACCTGTCTATATTGACGTGGCGTTTGGTGCTCATGATGGTGCGAACGGTGTCAGTCTCTCCCTTGGCAGCCTTGATCTGCTGCAGCTTGTTGAGAAACTGCGCCTGGTGCGATGGGGCGTTGGGACGACGGGGCGCCTCAGAGCCAAAAGCCGGGGTTTCGGCGGTTGATGCTGTGGCTGACGTCCCAGTGTTCGGGTCTTGCACCGGACCAGGTCCGGTGTTTGGGGCGAGCTGTGCCTTGCGACCGAGGATCTTGACGCTGTTGGCGGCCAAGAGTTCGTAGGAGGGTCCGCTATGTAGGGGTGGAGTGGTGTTCTCGTTCTCGTCCGTTTTGGGTGCAGTGTCTGGACTGGCGAAGACTAGCTCAGTGCCAATCTGATCAGCCCAGGTGCAACTAAACAGTTGATTGTAGTATGATATGATTGGGTTGGTGGTGTGGAGATCGAGAATCTGGATCCGTTCGTTCGGAAGGCTGCCCGTCTCGGCGCTCTCGATTGGGGGAGAAGCTTCGTCTTCGCGATGAAGGCCTCGGCTATTATCATTATTGTCATCTCCATCATTATGAGGGTCTTCTAAAGCTGCCTTTTGTCCTGGGCGACGTCGTGGTGGGCGCACTGCACCATGGTGGGCGGTCAAGTCCAGGTTGAGGTAGAAGCTCTGTCCGGTGGGTTAGTCGCATTCTAGTAGAACGATTAGATCAATGGTGGTCACCTCAGTCTCTGTGTTACTGTATTCATATTCATACTCTCCGTCGGAGTCTGCGTCCAGCATTGTAGTATCCATGGTAGAGCTGGGACAAGGGTTGAAGAGTTGGAGATGAATCGGGATTTGTCCGGAGATAAGATAAACCTGAGTCAGCTCTTTTCTGCAGTCCAGGTAGGAGCGGTGAAAGAGATAAAGTGAGCGGTGAGATGAGAGTCAAGGTTCCCCTCTCTTTCCAGAGATCGTTGAGATCGACAAATAACAACAGTCGATGGCCCTTGGGGGTGGCAAAACATGTGTCCTGGTCATAATGTTTCAGGTCAGACTTATTGAGGGGTTTTTCAAAAGGCTGCGTACACTGCGTATGCAATCGATGATTCTTCATTTCTGAAATCCTCTCCTCATCCTACAGTATCTGGGTAACTAGTACAACTCTAGACTACACATAGATAGATCCAGTCATAGATCCAGTCAATGTGCCCTCCTTCAGCCTTGTGGAGTATCTTCACCGCAATCCCTAGGACCAACAATGGGATGATGACCCATCTCCTCGTAAGCGCCGTTGTCCCGTCTCTTCCGCTCCGGCTCTGTCGGATAGATCATAGCCCTATGCATTCGTAAGTTTGGGAACAATGGCATCCGGCTTGGCTATCTTTCTGCATATCCGCACGATCCCGGTCTCGCTTTTCGAGAGATTTCCCTTTTTGTTTTATTTCTTTATCGGGATATGCTAGCTAGACTCGGGCTCGCTAACAAAACTATTACTCAGTAGTTTATATAGGGCACCCCTCCTGTTGTGTGCCCTGCTCGTCTCAACTCTCGCTATCCCTCGTCCCACCATAATCCTGGCCCAACTGCTGCAGCCCTGCTCGACTCCAACTGCATTGAACCCTAGGCCTCGACTGGAATCTCCGGACTCACAGTCTATGATTATTTACCGAGTTTCCCGGCCTTGTCAGTCTATGTCGACTCGCTCCAGCAGATGACCCGGAAGGCCAAGGCAACAATTGCCGTGCTCACGACTCTGATCGCTTATGTGTCGGTCAACAGTATAATCCGCGCAACCCGGCCGACCGCCTTCATATGGTACGCGGAGGATCGGGAGGAGAGGAGCTGGATCGCGAGCTCGCGCTCCTGGTTCGATCGTAAGGCATGTCGGTGGCTTGGCATCTGCGGTGCGGCTCATTTCCAGACCGCACACGGCCAATTCGGACATCGCGACCCGGCGAAGTGGGCGGATGCGCCAGAGGTCGATCCAGAAGAGCCCTGGCGGTCGTTTTGGTTTAGCGGGGCTGGCGAGGCCGAGTGGGATGCCGAGGAGCGGGCTCGGCGGCTGATCCCGGACTATGTTTTCCACTATGCCCCACTCGTCCATCTTTATTCTGGCGAGCAATTCTGGCCTGGGGATATCGCCGAACATTTGTTTCATACTACTCCGGCCTTGAATTACACGCCAATTCAGGCCCAATGGGATCACCCGACGCTGGGAGATCTGAGCGAGTTGAACGAGTGGGAAAGGGGCAGGCATGTTTTCTTGACCAGCAATGACGATGTTCAGACGCGTCCACCATGGCTAGAGGGCGAGAGGAATATCCCACAAGCAGATGGTGACATCAAGGAAGAATCATGGGCTGATTGGGATGGTCGAGTTGATGAGGATATTCCCGGTGATACAGAGGAAGACCGCACCAAGTGGTATGATTTCCACCAATTGCAAGAGGAGGAAGCTTCTACACAAGAACCCGACCCGGACGACTATTTACAAGTGCAAGAAGTCCTCAAGAATGAGATTCGCAATATTCGCAAGCGGTATGGAGGAAAAGAGATCCACGACGAGGGTGCCGGCGGTCGGAGTGACGCCCCTGCAATCTTGGTAGTCATGGACAAAGGCAACGGAATCGTCGATGCGTTCTGGTTCTATTTTTACAGCTTCAATCTCGGCAACACGGTAGTCAACGTCCGGTTTGGAAACCACGTCGGTGATTGGGAGCATTGCCTGGTGCGCTTCCACCGGGGTGAACCCAAGGCACTATTCTTCAGTGCCCACCAAGGCGGAGAAGCCTATAGCTATGAAGCCGTTGAGAAAATCGGACAACGGGTAAGTATCACGTAACATAAGCATCAGATATCAATGTATTGACTCTGCCATACCAGCCCGTCATCTACTCTGCCGCTGGCAGCCATGCAATGTACGCCACGGCTGGGGAGCACGAATACATCCTTCCCTGGGGACTGCTGCACGACGTAACGGACCGCGGTCCACTATGGGATCCGGTCCTCAATTCCAAATCCTACATCTATGATTTCAATAATCAGGATCTGCGGGCATCGACCTCCAGTCCCTCGGCCCCAACAGAATGGTTCCATTTCAGGGGTCACTGGGGCGACAAGTTCTATCCATTAGGCGATTCCCGCCAGTACCGTTTCGGAGGCCAGTACCACTATGTTAATGGGCCCCTTGGTCCGAAATTCAAACACCTCAACCGTCACAAGGTTTGCCAGGGCCCCGATCGTGCTCCCTGTGTGATCAAGAATTATATTGAACAAGGGAAGCGAGCTCGGCGATGGGGTCCAAGTGGGCCTGGAGAGTAGGTTTCCATGCCACATCCCTTTCGTCTCGTCCCCGTGATTGAACTCGATCAAATCTACACCCCGAACTGCAGCAAAACATCCCGGAGAAGTTTCTTGCTACGTTCTTTCTTTCTTTTTCTCTAGACTCTTCCTCCTCTCTTCCTCTTCGCCCCTGATACCCTTTTGTTACCGAATTTCCTTGTCCAAGGACAACAGTTCTGTCCCTCCCATAAATGATACCAATGACGCTGATTTGATTTGACATGAATTGCATGTACCCTGGCGCGGTTTTATCTTTCTTCTTCCGTTTTCGTGAAACCTCGGCGTTCCGCGTACTTGTCTCTGCTCGCTAGAAAGCTATGAAGACTCTCAAAACAATAAACTGACATGAAAACACAAATACGCTTGCATGGACGACAGGGTAAAGTTACTTTCCTCTTTTCTTACTGCCAGCCCAGTAGGAACGGATAGGTCGACGGATGCCCTGATATTAGGTGGTCAGTTCGTCTGGTTCGCAGAGTGAGTTGATATCGCGAACCTTTAGCCCTAAGTAATCCAAAACCTTGGAAAGACCACGAGCTGGAACGAGCTACACACACAAGCTTATACATAAGCATGGGCTACCATTTGATGCAATAGACAAGAAAACATATATATATTGTATTTGAAAATTGTACATCTACCCCCGAATCTCCCACATACGGATCGCGCCCTGCTCATTACCAACAGCCAACTGCTCCGAGTTAGGAGAAATAGCCACGGAAGAGATGCGACCCAACGGCGTATTAGAAGTAGGCCAGTTGCGGTATACAGTGCAAGTAGGCAAGTGAACTAAGAATCAACGGTTAGCTCGAGCACAAAAATGAGAATCGCACCAAGAATAAAAAGACCAGGAATAAAAAAAACATACCAAGACGCAAAGCATCACGCTTCCACCGACTCGCCATAACCATCATCTGCCCATCAGGCGCAAACACCAAGTGACTGATAGGCGTAGTGAGTTGGTCCAAAACCCTTACAGGGTCCGGGTTACGCGGAATACCCGCCTGAGCAGGGGAATCCCTCTCCGACGCAGAAGCATTAGCATACGCAGCAGCCCACACGCGTCGGTCATACACGTTGACAATACCACTCGAAGAACCAATCGCAACCCAACGATCACCGCCAAGTTGCGTCCGGCCCGAGCGTCCACCAAGACTGAGAACCGTCGTGCCGACGGCACCGGCATCGACCCAGCGCGCGACAACGCGGCGCATACGTCCGTCCCATTCGGATACCTCACCGTTCTTCGATACGACTGTCATGCCCTCGCCGTCGGACCACCAGGCAAAGTCTGCGACACCGCCGCGGCCGTCGACGCGCACCTGCGCGATCCACTGCGCGGTATTGGCGTCCAGGACGTTGATGAGGCCGCCGCCCTTGCGGGATGTGCCGACGAGGCCGATGAAGCGGCCGCAGGGGGAGAGCTTGAAGCGCTCCATGGATTTCTGTTCTTCCTTTCTGTCGGCGGAGCCGTTGACTTTGTCGACCTTGCCTGTGTCCAAGTCCCAGATGTGGAAGTAGCGCCGACGGCCGGAGGCGAAGATCTTGTTGCCGGATGGTGCGGCGAAGGCGGAGGTGTGGATGGGAGTGCGCTTGATGTGCAGGGAGGTGAGGAGGGGGTTGGGGGCTGGCGCGGAGGGGGAGATGTGGTGCAGGAAGAGGGTTGAGGCTGGTCCGGAGGAGAGCAGGAGCGGGTAGTGCGGGTGGAAGGTCAGGGAGTCGACGGAGGACGGTTGGGATTTGCCGATGTCCTTCAGGCGCTGGATGTCGATGACTTCCTGGCGCAGCTTGCGCTTGCCGCGGGCGTTGTCTTCGATGCGGGTTAGGTCGGAGGCGTTTCGGAGGAGCTTGGCTAGTGGCTGCATGGATAGGTGCTCGTTCTCGTCGTCCGAGTCGATCTCTTCGCCGCTGCCGGCGTCTGAGTCGGAGTCCGTCTTGCGGCGCTTGAGTTCCGGGGTGGCCCATTCGGGCGTGGGGTGCAGGCGTGTGAATTGTCGGCGCAGACGGCGGATGTATTCCTTGCCGTTGACTACGTCTTCGTCTTCAGTGTTGCGCAGTTTGCGGAGCCGGGCTTGGCTTGCTAGGGACACGGCGAGGCGGTCGTCGTCGCTGTCGTACCACAATGCGGGTTCTTCTTCTTCTTCCTCGTCGTTTTCGGCATCCGATAGAGTTTCCGATGGGGTTATATCAGTGGTGGGAGGAGCGCCAGAGTCAAGGAAGAAAAGCTATACAAAAGTAAACTGGTTAGATTGGAGTTCTGAAGTTCGGGGAAAGTATTGAGGTTTGGTGTCGCATACGTCTGAATCAGCCATAGCAGCCAGATCCTCGCCTTCGTCCTCATCTGCACTTTCACCGGCACTCTCCTCATCACTTTGCAAAGTGAGAGCCATTTCGGCTTCGCGGTCCTGCTGCTTCTTCAATGCGCCCATGAACCCCTCATCGTCGCCAAAGAGCATGCGCTCCAGCTTCAATTCGGCCTCATCTTTCTCGGGGATGTCCTCCTCGTCCGAGCTGGTATCGTCGTCCATTTCGATGTCTGAATCTTCTGGGCGGAGATTGGTCGTAGTGTTCTCAAGCGGAGACCGGGTGGTTGTCCGCTTGGTCTTCACCTTCAGCCCTGTTGTAGGCATGATGGCTGGTGTGAAATGGTCTGCAAATTAAGCGCTTATACTTGCAGACTCGATCACAAAAGTTATATGGAGAGAAAATTATGCGATTGTAAGCCGCTTATGTTCCTCAGGCGGAGCTGGAATATTTTTCTTCTTTGATTTTTCCAGAGCCGGCAGATGAGGGCGGTGTGTAAGGCGGCATGCTTGGCCTTGGGGTTTACCGTTTAGGGCACTGACTTTACTCTAGGTCTACGCAGTGGTAGTTATGTTATGTACTGTGTAAATTCATTTGATTTTCACCTGGTCAATTTTTGGATTATTTAGAATCAGAAGTGAGAAGACTGAAGACGCCTGCCGCCTGGTTCATAAGAAATCTGCAAAAGGGGCTGTTTTAACACAACAACCAACGCTGTCTTGCGAAGCCTTCGATCCATGACCTGAGTTGCAAGAGCTTTTCGAGTAGTCAGTAGGTATATACTGCGTAGTAGTTGATAAGATGTTGCACGCTTCCAATAGGTAAAAATATTCATATGCGATAGCAGAATAATCATATATACACGTTAGAATTCATAAATGACCCAAAACAAGCAACTTGTGATTCCCAGAGCAATGTTTAGTGATGTGTTGCATGTCCGTCACGACTGCTGCTTGAGCTTGGAGGTTCATATGGAGGAACAGGGTTATGATCCTCGGGAAGCAAGTTCTCCGACTCCTGGAGCGCATCTGCAGTAGCCTTCGGCTGGGAGGTAACTCTCGGAGATTTCCTGGGTGTTTCATCGTCAGAGTCAGTTGAATATGATTCGTCCAGACCATCGAGAAGCGCTTCCCGATGGTAAGAATCCTCATGTTCCACGACATCTCCAGCCGTGTCGCCTTCCGTATATTGCGACGAGATTTGCTTTTTGATGAAGATATCGATGATGTAATACTGTATCGCGTTCATGATGACCGGGAAAAGAAGCATAACAAAAATGATCTGAAGAGCGGTGTTGCCTTCCGTCCATCGTAGAGACCAGTCGCCAGCCTTGACAATGAAAGGGAAGAGCTGGATGATGAAGAAGACTGATACTTTCATGCCGAGCAATCCCATGAAGTATACGATAGACTGTTTGAGCCACCATGTTACACGTGGGGGCTGGCCATAGTTGCCTGACTCGATCGATTCTGAGGGGTTCGCGAGAGGGGTATAGAATGCGATGTAGTTGAGAACGCGCAAAAGAAGGATTAGGATCGGGATACCGAGTGTAGTCTGTTAAGTCCGATGGTGGTCAGCCTATAATCTTGCAAATAGATCAGAGTATCAAGAGGCACTTACATCGATTCCCAAGTTCAGCATGTAGAACGAGCATGGATTCGGCTTGTATGACTGCCGAATCTCCAGTTGGCCCGCAGCAAACATTGACATGAGTAGATTTAGCAGGTGCAGCATCACAGATCCGAAAACTTGTTTCGAGACGTCAAAGGCCCAGACCTTCAGCGGGCGCTGGGGTCGCTCTCTCCATCTCTTGTAGACAAGAGATAATAATGCGAGACTGCCGAGGGCAACTTGCACAAACACAGAAAACGGACCTAGTAACTTGCATTCTCCTCCATCGTCATTTGGATCCGGATCTGGGCTGGAAGAGGATGTTCCTTGATAGGATGCGTCTGACGTTGGATGAGCCGTGCTAGCATAGGAGGCGAGGGTGCCAGTAGCAGCGATGAGAGTGGTCGTTGCTAACGAAGCTAACGAGCCAGTTGCGTCCATCTTTCTTAGGTCTGGTATGACCAGAAAGAGACGAAAGGAAAATCTCAGAAGGAGCGCGACATGTGCAAGTAAGCCTAGAAACCAGGAAGTGGGCGTTTATCAAAGGCGGAGACAGTCGGACGTCATCCGCGTGATATTCAGACGGGAATGCAGTTGAATCAGATCAGCAAGACCCAAACAAGAGTCAAGACCCTGCCAGAAAGCAGCTGTCTCTGCTATGAAAGAAACAGTGTAGCGGGCCAGGGTTCAATATTTGAGTTAGAATAAGGTCAAGGTGGGTTTATGAGTTTGAAGTTGCAACTGGGCAGTGCTCTGGCCCTCTGGGCGGTGTCAGGGCGTCCCCGCAACAGGATCGACAAGGTTGTTTTTCTCCCCTGGGATGGCAGTATCCGGCTATTTTAAGGGTCCTTGTCTTGGCATGTGCTTTTTACTACGGAGTACACACAGTACGAGAGTGAGTTCATCTAATCATCTTAAGGCTCTACTCTCCGTATACAGGTCGGTATTGCCATGTCGATTTTTTAAGTCCCCAGCTGCCTGCATAAAGGTGGGTACTAATGCCCCAGTGATGCGACAGCCTGACGTCTCCTGCAAGGCTGCAATACGCTGACTGAGCTATAGATCCAACAGATCAAAAGCTCTGCAACAGCTCAGATCATACCTATTAAGGCGCTTCCAATACACAGGTAAAGAAGCATGTGCATGATCCGTGGGTCCAGCTATAACGCTAGAAACGTTGCATGGAGCAAAGTGGAGAGTCGATTCGACGAAGAGAGTAAGACTAGTGTTTAAGGTTATGTATCTTGATATAAGAAACGCAGTAAAATCTCGCCGAGCGTGTTTGCGTGATCATTTCTGGGTCATGCCTGACGACCAGAACCAGCCCCGTCAACCATCGAACCCTCTGAAATAAGAATAAAAGACACCCAGGGAATAATAACGCCCGAAACCCCTCAACCAAACCGTGATTGAATAGTAGAGCCCTGCAATATCGTCCATAGTCGAATGATAGCAGAGGACATCATGAGAAAGAGAATTCGTCACGTCATTCTATCCCGTGTTGCCGTTTCAGCCGTTCTAAGTTCTCCTGTCTTTCCGAGATATCCTCTTTCGTGCGAACCATCTTCTCTGGCTGGTGGAACAAAACTAGAAAACCCAGAGTCAGCATGTGCACTCTCCAAAAGTCATTTGATCGATGTGCGATACATACCGACCAAGTATCTGTTCTGGAAGTTGAAACCGTTCAACTTATCGCATGCCTGTTTGGCGTCGTTGACGTCCTCGTAGACGACAAATGCAGTTCCCTTGGAGTTGTTGGCAATGCCCTGGCGAATTTGGCTGCAAAGTGGTGTTAGGTGGAGCTCTGAACCGAGGTGATGAGTGACTATTACCGGATAGGACCAAATTTCCCGAACAAGTCAAACAGTTGCTCTGCTGTTACGTTGTAGCTATTAACAGAATGTCAGCGATCCGCTGGCGATGTGTAAAGACGAGCGGGGAAGCAAGCCGGAGCAAAGCGACGAGTGATCAGGTACGTACTTGAGGTTCTTGACGAAGAGAATCCTTGAAAACGGGAAAATAGTATGTTAGCGCTAGTCATTTCTATTGAATCAAGATCCGCTGGGCCCAACAATCCCGCAGTTGATGGAATCATGGCACTTCTGTCGACGATCGGGGGAGGGGCATGGAAAAAGTATGTTCACATACCGATTGGCTTCGGGGGCGAGCTTTCGGCTCATCCTCAGAGGCGAGATGGTCCTGGAATATGTTGAATTAAGGTGGGAACAAGAAAGATACACAAGGTATCAGTGGCTGGTTGGAATATCGAAGAGGCAGAAGACGAGAGTTAAGGCGCAAGAACATCCACGAGGTTTGTCTTGGCATTGCGCTTACTGATCTCGGATTAGTGCTGTTGCTTCCTGAACCGTATGTGACATAATCACGTGACTTTCTCAAGCGTGAAGGTTGGCCAGATACAGCACGTGACCGTATTAAGATCGTACCGGTTCGTATCATCAGGGCGGACGCTCTCGACGCCGCCAGCTTCCTTTGAACTACAGGACTCAAGTGAGTCGGGGGTCATTTTTAAGTAAACACAATCGCATATTACAGTCAATACTCCTGATATAGCAACCGATGCAATCCATTTAGATCCTCGGGTAAACATTCATAATGGTGTGTAGCGTAATGTAGGAGCCCGCAGCTGTGCCGTGTACATACCTTCAGAAGGTTGCTGCTAGTCGACTCCCGCTTCCTCCTTCGCCCAACACACCGCGCTCATCCGTTTCTCCCTCTCTCTCCCGGCGCTTCATCCATTCGTATTCACTTTACATCCAGTTGACAGGAGCTCATTTCCTGGCTACTGGGTTTCATTCAATCTCCTTCATTACCTGCCCGCAGGTTGCGGCGCGACTCTCGGCGCCTTTGTCCTCCCGCCGCTCGATACAACCCCCTCAACGCAACGCTCCGCGACTCCCCGTCCACCACTCACTACGCTCACAATCTTCCATCGAATATCAATCATACACTTGCAGTTTGCTCTGCGCATGTCTTTTTGCCGGGAATGACATCCCCTTCTCCTGCGCCGGCCTCTCGCTAGCCTGTGTGGTCCAGTATCCCCGCTTTGCAGCCGCCTACCGCAAGCGCATCTTTTTGCACCTCCGACCTTTCATCTTCGAATTTACCTAGTTTTATCCTTCACTGATTCGCGAAAATGATGAGCGCGGCATCATTCGCGAATCCCATCGGCGGCCGTCCGCCGCAATACCGTACTCCTTCCCCTCCTCTACGCGCCATCGAACCTATCACTCCATCCACAACCTCCGAGTTTTCTTCCTCCTGGTCCGCCCGCGGTCCTCCTCGAGCTCCTAGTCTTGATAACGAGCAGGTTCCGCCCAATCATAGACGAAATGTCGCTGCAGAAGGTGGTTCACACCAGCGATCGGGCCATGGCCGCTCAAACTCGACCATCGACACGCTTGCGACAATCGCCCTCGCAACCAGCCCCACCTTCGCGCCGCTACCTCACAACCCGCCCTCCCCTAGTCTTCCGTCAGCTATTCCCTTGTTCTATTCCGACTCCGCGGACGTTGAACGTCCGGCTAAGCGAGCTCGGTCGGCGAGGAACCCGTCGCCCTACCGCCCGCGGCCAGGAATGTTGACCGACAACCCACACGGAACGGGGCTGGAAAGCATGACAACTGATGCAGAGCTTCTACTCAACCTGGCACGGCCCACCCATTTCCAACCGGGTAACCACACGAAAAGAGTGAGCATCGACGAGTCCTACCATCACCACGCAGGCGATGCCATTCGTCAAGCTCGAGTCGGCTTTGCTACTGGAATCTCAGGCCAGAGCGATCTCAAAATGAACCATAATCCTGAAAGTCTTCCTTATGCGCGCGTGCGCTCTCGCTCTGACGGGTCGGCCTTCATGTCGCGTCCTACGGTGCGTGGGACCCGTCCTACCACTAGCGCTAGCACTCTCCCGCCAATTGTTTGGGATGAGGAACGTGACCAGAAAGCTCGCAACGCGCCAGCTGGCACTTCTCATCATGCTACGTTTGGACCTCATGCCTCGGCCGATTTGCAGGGACCTCAATTCCCACTAAAGCCCCTAGCAGTTCCACCAAAAGTGGAAGAGGAAGAGAGCGATGCCAATCAAGCAAGCTGCGGGGCATGCCATCTAGTTCGTATCCCAGTTGAGACTGAGGAACAGGACGAAGACACGTGGATCAATTGCGATGGATGCAAACAGTGGTTTCATATTGTCTGCGCCGGCTTCAAGAATGATCGCGAGGTTCGCACAGTTGATAAGTATATATGCCGGTCATGTCGACCAGCCTATGGTCAAACGACCTTTGTGCGCAAGTCCTCGCGTGCTCGGACAGCCATTGACTACGCAGGTTTGAACCAAGGCGTCGTCAAAGCTGCCACTGACTCACTGGAGCATCATTATCTTGAGCCCATCCGTCAAGGCAAGATCCGATTCCAGCCTGAGAATTTCCCTCGAATGAAGCCTGAATTGGTCACCGCGGAATACTTCGAACGGGGAAATGGATGGACGGAACCCATCGTGATACCTGCCTGCTGGAACAGCTGCGAGCCCGTCAATCCAGAAATTCCAGAGATCACAGCTCTAGCTCAGGAGGCACCATCTCAAGAGATGTTTGACGAAATCCTCGATCATCTCCCTGAACAACAGACCCACGTCGAAGAAACGATTGATTGTGGGCAAGATCTCTTGGGTATGGTCATCCCTAAGGGTCTCTCCGTCCGTGCTGTGGCGGAGCTTTACGGACCCGGAGAAAGGGTCGAGGTCATCGATGTGAAGTCCCAGCAAGGAGAGGACAAGAGATGGACCATGCAGAAATGGGCCGATTACTATGAAAGCACCGAGGTGAACAAGCCCGTCAGGAATGTCATCAGTTTAGAGGTATCGCAGAGCAAATTGGGCAGACTCATCCGACGACCGAAGGTTGTTCGTGACTTGGATCTGCAAGATGCTGTGTGGCCCGAGGAATTGAAGGCAATTGGCGAGTACCCCAAGGTTCAGTTCTACTGCCTCATGTCTGTCGCCGACTGCTATACCGACTTCCATATCGACTTTGGCGGTTCTTCGGTGTACTACCACATCCTGAAGGGCAAGAAAACTTTCTTCTTCATTCCCCCCAAAGATAAGCACCTCAAGAAGTACGAAGAGTGGTGCAACTCTCCCGCCCAGGACTCGATGTTCCTTGGGGATCAGACCAAGGAGTGCTATCGTGTGGATCTCTCCGAGGGAGACACGATGTTGATCCCGTCTGGTTGGATTCACGCGGTTTGGACCCCAGAAAACAGCTTGGTCATTGGCGGCAACTTCCTGACTAAACTCAATTATGGGATGCAAATCAAGGTGCTCAACATTGAAAAGGATACCAAGGTCCCCAAGAAGTTCCGATATCCGTTCTTCCAGAAGATCCAGTGGTACACGGCTTTGAGGTATCTGGAGGATGACCCCATTCCGCAAAAGGTGATTGATGCATTCATGCAAGATGAGAACTATCGGTTCCACCGTCAATATCCTATATACTATGAGTTTGGAGAACGTGCCAATCAGGAACCTCGGGGTTCCCCCCATCACAATGCGCGGTTTTATTCGCAGGCCGAGTTAGAGGGTCTACTTGAACTGACCAAGTATCTGCTGCGGACTGCACTCATTGCTGGTGGCTATACTGTGGATGGAGTCGTCTCCATGGACGTTCGAAATGCCGTCAGACGCTCCATTCCTAAGGGTGCCGGGGATCCGGTGGATATGATTCGAAGGTTTGGAATCTGGGTCGCGTGGAAGCGTGGCAATGAAAAGGCGCCCCCTGGACTCGACCTGGCGTTATCGAAAGCAACCACAAAGTTTCCATCGCAGAGAAGAAACCCGCAGGGCGACCAAGCCGTCGATGTGAACGCAACCTCGATAATCAGCGTACGTATGCCGAGAGGCAAGCAGTCCAGTGGCCTTCAGAGGAGCTCCCTGCAACTCCGAATCCGCCAGCCAACAATTTCGCCTATGCGCAGTCCGATGAAAGCGCAACACCGGTGCCATTCAATGTTGTCTCGGACAACGGCATCAAAGAAGTTATCACTCCCAAGCCTCGAGCTGTGCAGCGAGCTTCGGGCCTTGGTCCCAAGCGAGTGGCCTGTGATGCCTGTCGCAAACGACGTATCCGTTGCCGACACAAGGATGAGCCCGGCGATTCAGTGCTGAATGGACAAGTTCCGGCCAATGCCTTCACACCTGGCTCTGGCGTGAGCACTCCATCTTCCTTAGCACAAGACGCTGTCTCTGCGCTGAACTCTCTTGCGGCCATCGCATCTCAAGGGTTCCAGACCAACGGGCATCTTGCTGATCTGGAACGATTTGAGAGCTCGGCAAGGTTCCAATCCGCGGTCATGGGTAATTCCACAGTAGCTGCCAATCGCCTCATCGACATGAGCCCCGATGGAGCCAACGGGGGCAAAAGGGGCGCAGCAAAGCGTGCGATGATTGTCGGAAGAGTAAGGTTAGTGATTGCCAGGTTGCCTGATCCTATTGATCTTTCCATTTTTACTGACTCAAACCCAGCGTCGTTGCATACACGATGAGTACGGCCGGATAGATCCTATCAAAGCCCAGGAGCGTTCCAAACCTCGTGCGAATGCTTCCGTCAAACGAGCACGCCCTGCTGAGGATGAAGACATACGTGCCACAGCCAAGAAAACGAAACAGGAAAGCACATCGCCCATGACACAGCCTGCCATATTCTTCGGCCATCATGGTGATGAGCTAATGGCACGAGCCGATTTGATGGACGGTTATGATCATGAACGAACCGTTCACGTTCAGCCCAGCCAGCACATGCCTGTGGCGGAGGAAGCACCTCCAAAACAAGCTACGTATGCCTCACCACCTGCTTTTCTGGCCGAATCCGCAGAAGCGAAGGACATGAACACTACGTCAGTCTCTTCGTCTAAGCCAGCCACCTCCTTGGTGTCACCGCCTACGTCGCTGGCCGACGAGATGGACGGGACCCAAGAGGGGGATGCTGTACAGTCTGTGGAGGGGGATGTGTCAACTGCTCTTCACACTCCCAACTCTAGCTCTCGACACTCATCCCGTCAACCTCGACATGTCGATCGGTTCGCGCCCGACACAGCTGCTCCGCGGGCTCCAAAGGCCCCAGCACGAGCGGCGTCCGCACGCAAGACAACTCCTGCTCCACCCTCTTCGGCAAGGAAGCCTTCTTCACGCCCCTCGTCTTCACATGCAAAGAAGAGCTCTCCGATGTATGAGAAGCACTTCACCCGCCACGGCCCTACATCACTATCTCCGCGCCAGCACAAACACACCCAACACATGACTGGAGATGAGGCAGCAGATGAGGAAAGTCTTCGTTTGATACGAGAGCTTCAGGAGCAGGAATTTGGCCTGCGAAAACGGTCGACGCGAGTTTAATTGCATAACCGTGAGGTTAAGGCTTGAGCCTTGGTGAGCGCGTCCAGACCGGACATATAACTCTTTCTTTTCTTTTTTTTTTGGTTATTCGGGGTATCAAATCATCAATGGTTCGGGAGGGAGATCCGGTGTTGAAGGTTTCTGCTTTTTTCTATATTTCCTCTGGCGTTATCTGAGTCTGGGAAGGGGCGTTCTGGCTTTTATATGAGTTCTCAACGGGGTTCTCTTTGTTTCCTGTTTTCTTTCGTCAATCTGGCCTTTGAAGCCATTGCCTGGTCTTCTTTTTTCTCCTCTAGTCCATCCTTCATCCTATATTCCAGTTTTTTCTTCTCCGGCTTTGTTTTCACTGGGTCTTACTCTACCACCAACACTTTGCTTGCTAATCGTTGGGCCTTCTTTTCTTTTTCCCTCCGGCTGGCGTACAGCAGGAACATTTTAAGCAAACCAAATATTCGTATGTGTACTTGTTTTGTCTGAGATACTCTTTCATTTACCCTCATATATCAGCCACGGAGGTTATGTAGCAATTTTTTGAATCTATGTTCTTTCCATACTGTCACAGGTACCCACCATTCTCTAGTACCACTGTACCTACGCAGTAGTACTTCATTTTTGGTACTTCATTGATCAATAATCACATTGGTATATACTACCTAGGGTTACCACCAACGCTTTTCACTATTCACGGTGCCCTAAGGAGTGACATGTAGAAACCAAGATATAGTCAAATCCTTCAGATCAAGTAAAAACCAAACACAAACACCAGGTCCATCACATATGAGTTGCCATGTATACAAGACCAGACCAGACCGTTTAGACCAAAGTCTTCATGTCCGCCTCGTTACGGACACCGACCAAATTACCAGCCTTGACCCGCTTCAGAGTCAGGGCAGCAATCAAGGCAGCACCGACACCGGAACCATCCTCAGCAGCCATGATAGTAACCTTATCCTTCTCATTGGGAGCCCAGTCGAGAATCTCGCGCAGGGCGACAGCACCACGCTTCTGGAAGTGAGGGTACTTAGTGAAAACCGAGCCGTCGGCACCGACGTGGCAGGACTCGATATTCTTCTTGGTGCAGATGGCAGCAACACCGCAGGCCGACAGACGAGCAGCGCGAGTACCGATAAGCTCGGCAAGACGACGGACGAGTTCCAACTCTGGCTGGGTCGGGCGGATGCCCAATGTGCGCTCGAAGAGATCCGAAGTCGTAGACAGGTTCTCGTAAGGGTCCTCCTCGATGGCGGCGAGGAAGGAGGCGTCGAGGAAGTAGGGCTTGCGCAGTTTGGAGACGTCTTGACCGTTGAAAATCAACCCCGGTTGGTTGTCGACCAGGTCGATCAGCGCAAGACGGAAGATCTCGCCGAGGTACAGACCGGCGGTCATCTTCTCGAAGGCCTGCTGGCCGGGGCGGGGGGAGTCGCGGTCGATGATGTCATCGTATTTGGTGAGGGGGAGCACGATATGCTCGTTATCGAAAGCGCCGTATTCGCAGTTAATGGCTACGGGCGTATCGGGGGGCAGGTTCATGTGGGCGAGCTTGGGTATCGAGCCTGCGTTCTCCATATATGCGGCATTGACGCCGGTGCCGAAGATGCAGCCGATCTTCATCTCCGGGTCGGTGTATGCGGAAGCGATAAGAGTTCCCGTGGTGTCGTTAATCAGGGCAGCGATTTTAATGGGAAGACCCTGTAGAGATTTTGTCAGTTATCTGGTCGCGTATGAAGATGATGAATTATCCCCAAGGGACGCGACATACACGCTTCTTAAGAATTGCTTCCAGAGGGGGAACAACGTCCTGGCCCTCGACACCATCGATATCGAAGCCCTTAGTCCAGCGCTGCAGGATGCCGTGATCGATATACTCTTGGGTAGCCGGGTAGGAGAAGGTGAAGCCAAGAGGCAACTTGGAGAGGTTTCCGTCCGCGTGATGAGTCTCGACAAACTGCTGCAAGCAGTCGGCGATGTACTCCCATAATTCCTCGGCGGTGCCAGTTCGCAGCTCTTCCGGCATCTTATACTTGGATTGTGTGATATCAAAGGCGCCCTTCTCCTCGGTCAGGGTAATTTCGCAAACACGCAGGTTGGTGCCGCCCATATCGAGGGCCAGGTAGGTTCCTTGTTCGTTGCCATCGGGGAAGCTTAGGACCCAGGTGACGTTCATGGGCTATTCATTTCAAGGTCAGTTTATAGGTCAATTGGTCTCTGGGGAGGGTATTGGGTTCTCACAATGTTACCGCCCTCGACAGTCAAGCCTATTTGTTGGATCTGTTAGCTGGTCGACGCGGAGCGGGCAGCGGGAAAGCGAATCACACGCACCCTTCTCGAGCTCCTTAACGAAGTGGTTCACGATTTGCTTGAGCTTGGCTCCATCTACCGTGAAGGCCTCCTCGAAGGTCTTGATTGTTCCCAGCAGGTTCTGGGGCAGGTCGTGCAGAGATCCTGTACCGCATGGTTAGCCTGTGATTGATCAGGACAGGGAGTTTGAAGAGGCTCACCCTTGCGGGAGGGGGGAAGTTTAGGTCCAAGTCCAACCATGATGAGTTAATTGAAGTAGGTTATAGGGAAGAAGAGAGGAGGAAGAGGAAGAAAGGCAGATCAGAGGGGGAAGAAGACGAGAATGACGATGTTGATCTCAGACGTGGGGCAACCTTAAGATCAGCCTTGTTTTGGTGGGAACGAGCTTCAATTGGAACAATTGGATGAATTCACTGTAGGTAAGAGAGAATATTCGAGAATACAAGATAGAAGATACGAGAAGATCAGTCTTTATGTCTATTTAAATGATTGTGTACGCAGCGTACTGTGTAAAGAGAATTGACCTCAGAACGACTTCAATGATCGGCGGTCAAACAGGATCAGCCTCGTCTTGGCGCTCGCGTTGACTTGCAGTAGATACGCTACATCTAAGTACACAGTACTCCATATAGTTATATGGGAGATTCGAGTCATTCGAGGTATCATATTTTCATTCAGAATTAACCTATTTCCCTTCCCTAAGATAAAGTACCCCAGACATCTCATTCATGAAAAATCATAACTCTTATTACTCTTAATGTGACGGCTTACGCGCCAAATGAGGGAAAACATGGGCGAGACCGCTACCAGACTGGCGGTGTGCCTCTTCCTCTCCCTCGTGTATCTCCAGTTTGTCGCGTACTTTGTTCTGGTATGCATCTGTCAACGCTAGACTGCGATCGATCTCCTCGGTCAGCCGGTCCACTTCCTCCTGCAGGCGTTCATCCCGGGTTAACGGGGGAGCATCTTCCTCCGCCCTTGCTTTGGGGTCGGGGTTTGTTTCTTCCCACACTGCCTCCAGTTCCTCTGCCCATCCCATGGCCTCGGCGAATTTGCGGACACCAGCATCACAATCACCAAGGACCAAAACATCGTCCTTTCGTGACCCGAGACCCCCGACACGCTCCATATTGATGAGCACACGAGGCACGCCCGGGCGAATGCCCTGGGGCAGGCTAGCAAACGGCTGGACGCATAGACTAGTCCCCATGACAATGCAGAGATCCGCCTCTTCGAGCAGATGGCGGTTCTCGAAGAAGTCCGACGGGAGAGCTTCGCCAAAGAACACAATGTCGGGTTTCACGAGGCCATTGCACTTGACGCAGTGAGGGACCTCGGACTCGGAAACCATTTTGTGCATCTCATCGTCCGGGAAGGGTTCCCTGCAATCAATGCAGCGCTGTGTCGCAAAGCTGCCATGAGCCTCGACGATTTTGTTGCCTGGCACACCGGCCTGGCGCTCGAGGCAGTCGATATTCTGGGTAAAGTGCTTCAAGAGCATCCCCTTGTCGTAGATCAATTTGATGAGTGAGTGCGCGATGGTAGGGCGATAGCGCCCTGGGTACAGCTCGTGCGCCAACGCATAGAAAGGTTTGGGGTTCTCCCGGAAGAAACCGATTTCAAAAACTGCTTCAGGATATGGCAGGTCCAGTGCGGCCAAATTGGCGTAGATTCCTGTGTCAGGGGAGCGGAAATCCGGAATGCCTGCTGAAGTGCTGATGCCGGCTCCCACCTAGATGTTATTAGTGATGGAGCTCGTCAACGTATGGAGTGTCCGCTTACCATCAACACGACTTTTTTCACGTTATGCTCTTTGATGTACTTGGCAACTCCCTCCACGCTACGCGCCTCCAACACCGACGGCGCCGCCTTGTCGTCCACCATGGTCGACTCTTCGTTGCCCATGCTCAGCAGTTTTTGGTACTCGGATTGGCGGGTGATGACAGTTGAGGGCTCGGCAGAGAGCAAATTGTCAAGCCTGACGGAGTATCAAACTATGCGACAAAGTGAGGAAGTTCTGCAATGAAAACAGAAGCTCGACAAATTTATATGAAGAAAGCGTGGGGTGGGAAATGACGTCGGCTTGATTCACAAAGACCAGAGACAAACAAAATAACAAGAAAAGAAAAACAAAAGATCAAAGAAGAAAGAAGAAAGAGACAGTTGCATAGACAAAGCTCTTTTTGTTCCGATCAGACAACCCCAAACAAACCCTATCGCACCGTAGCCCAGCTGTGTACTTAGCTGTACTCCGTGAAGCTGTCAAAAATCCCCCTCACCGCCCGCGCCTCCCTACAACTGGCGTATTTGGCAACAAAGCAAACAACCATTGCGACCAATGGCACCCAGAATGGCTACAACAGCCAATGGGCATAATGGCACACTCCAAAGCCCCCAAGGTCAGAATGTCCCACCCACAGAGACCTCCCCACAACCCGACGTATTCAACGCCAGCTCCGTCGCCGAGATCAAAGCCACGCTGTCCCACCTCCACACCCAAGAAGCGTCAGTGACAGCTCGTCTCGATGCCCTAGTGACATCCCAGAAAGACCTCTCCCGCGAGCTGGGTCGACTAGATCTAATGCGCGTCAACATCGGTGCTCATGCCAGCACCACCCGCTCCATCAGCCACGGGATGCTCTCCGAAGCCGCCGGCACCGCCGAGCGGATCTCCAGCGCCGTCCGCCGGCTGGATCTCGAGCAAGCCCGCGTGAAGGCCACCCTGGAGGTCGTCGAGCAAGTGGCCGAACTCAAGGCGTGTGCGCTAGGCGTGGCGGGGTCAATGGGTGCGCCCCAGGACTGGGAGAAAGCCGCCAGCTACCTGCACCGCGCGGCGCAAGTTCCGGCCTCGGTTGCCAATAGCGCCTTTGCTGCGGAGATGGTTCCTACGGCTGAGGTTCCTGACCCGCCAAGTGTGACTCTGGATAACGCTGCGGAGTCGCTGTGCGGGCTGTTCCTGCGTGAGTTCGAGAAAGCGGTTAAGGAGAACGATGGCGCCAAGATTACCCGCTTCTTCAAGCTTTTCCCGCTCATTGGCCGGTCTGAGGTTGGGCTCGATGTCTATGGAAGATATGTGTGCCAGGGCGTGGCTGCGAAGGCGCGCGCTAATCTTAATGGGGCCACTGGTGGTGCTCAGGCTAAGGATGGGTTCTTCTACGCTAATGCACTTACCAAGCTGTTTGAGCATATTGCGCAGATTATCGATGGCCATGGCGGGCTGGTTGAGCATCACTATGGCCCGAGGAAGATGGGTCGGGTCATTGAACGGCTGCAGGTCGAGGCTGATGTACAGGGTGGTATCATTCTGGATACCTGGGGCGATGAGCGACATGTGGACCGCAAATTGATGGATATCAAATCCTACGCCTTCACTTTCTTGGTCCAGAGCTTTTTGCCCGCGCAGCGACCAGGACCGCCCTCGCAGGCACCTGCCATGGCAGGTGCTGCGGTCGACGAGGAGGGTGTCGATATGAAAGAAATCGACGGTATCTTGAACGAAATGGCTATCATGCTAGGCCGGTGGTCGCTGTACTGTCGGTTCTTGGCTGACACATGCAATGTGAGTAACAATCCTCGGCCTTCTCCTTAAATCCTCTTGCCTTCTTGGAACCAACACCTAACAACTTCTCTTAGTCTACGGAGGATGGTGCAGACGATGAGAAGCGATTCGAGCTCCCGGCCTTCTTGCGCGAGTCACCTCTTGCCCAGAAGATCAACGACCGCCTGGTGTCCCCCTTCAACGCAATGACAACCTTCTTCTTCCGACGCTCCGTCGAAAAAGCCTTCCAACTAGACGAACCCCCATCAGGCCTAACACTGAACCTCCAACGTCCCCTAAAAGCCGACCCCCCACACATAACCTCAGCCGTGGACGACATCATGTACATCGTCAACAAAGTGATCCAGCAATCCTTGGCCACATCCCAAGCCTCCGTCCTAACAAACGTGGTCCCCACCCTCTCCCGCGTCCTCGGCTCCGACTTCATCGGCATGACCCAACGCAAAATGCGCGACGAATGCTACCCCCGACCCGCCGTGCAAGGCGGCCTCCCCCCGGAATCCACCACCATCTCCTTCCTAGTCCAAATCAACAACCTCGACCTAGCCGTCGACTACATCCGCCGAATCGTCCAAAACAACACTGGCTCCAAAACCCTCCCAACATCCGACTCCCAAAACCCACCAGCTCCAACCCCTCATCTCCTCTCAATCTTCCCATCCCCGCAAACCGCGACAACCATATCCCAAACCCTACACACCCTCCACACAACCTTCGAATCAAAAGTCACCGACCTCCTAAACGACGGCATCCAAGTAATCTTCAACAACACAATCAAACCCCGTCTCCGTCCGCTTTTAGCAGACGCCTTCCGTGACGTCGAATACATCCCCTCGTCCGCAGATGACTACTCAGACAAAGAAACAGTCAAGCCCCGCTTCGCGGCCCTCTGGAACGACCTCTGCACTCCTTTCGCCCGTATCCTCACCCCAGCAGCGTTCGACCGCGTCCTCGGCGTGACCATCGCGTATCTGGCTCGGTTGCTGGAGAAGAGGCTTTGGTCGTACCATTCCAGGATTAATGCGCTTGGCGCTGCGAGGTTGGAAAGAGATGTTGCGGGGATTGTGGGGGCGGCGGTTGATGTGGGGTCGGGTGCGGGCAGGTATAAGCATAGGGAATGTTTTGCGAGGTGTGTGCAGATGACGCTGGTTATGGGTATGGATGAGGAGGAGTGGGAGGAGGTTAGGAGGGGGGGTGATGCGGCGGAGGTTGTGGGCAGGCTTTCTAAGGAGGAGGTTGGGAGGGTTAGGGGGATGGTTAGGAGGTGATTTGTATAGATTCAGTCTGTTTATTCTTTTTGGTTTATTTTTTCTATTCTTGTGAGACTTCTTATATTGCATTCTAGACCTCAAATGAACATTAGGTACGTGCATATTCTTTATCTACACTCTATGCATGTAAATATCATGGATAAAAATAAGTAATAAATGTCTAGATCAATTGTCTCGCTCTATACAGCAAGCAAAATACAAACAGAAGAAGCAAGCCAATTCTCGCGACATTGCGCAATTTGTGTGCATCCAAAATGAACCCGGAATGACCCCGGGAATATCTCCGTGGGCCATTCCAAGACCCCAAAATCACAGCAAAGATGGAGCGCCAGGCCAAATCAGATCATAATTCAAGTTGCTTTTCCGGGTCGAGAGTGAATGGGTTTTGCGAGTGAGGAATATGTTTGTTCAAGGATGAGATGTAGATGAGGATATGATGAAGGGTTGGAGAGCTGGAGAGAGATGTAGTATGTAGAGTGCGGGTGTAGGTGTCGAGAAAGGTCAAGTCGGAGAGAATTGGTTGGGAGGTATATCAAAAGCCCCAGGCTTTTATTGTTGCAAAGAAAAGAAAACACGCTCAAGGGATATCGAGATGGATCGAAAACGCAGAGAAAAACTGGCTGGAACAGAATGGCAAGAGATGCTGTGAAAAGGAGGAAGAGAAAGATTAGTCCTCCGTCTTCTCGTTGACCGGTTTCAGTACAACAGGCTCGGCGCCCTGCTGTGTGTTGGGCGGATGTTGCTCAGCAACCTGGCGAGGAGCAGGGGCCATCTTAATTTCGTGCATGGCCATGTCACCTTCGCTGCCGCCGCGACTGCTCCGGCCGACCTCGCCGTTGGGTGGTGAGTGGCCCTCGAGCATCATTTCGCGCGGCGGGCTGCCGAGCATCATCTCGCTGTGCTCGCCGATACCGTAGCGCTGCGCGGCAGGGACTTGGTGGCCGTCTTCGAGCTGGTCGTGGTTCTGTGGGGTCCAGGCGAGGTAGTCGCGACGGACCTCGACGTAGTCGTAGGCGAACTCGCCGAGCTGGTCGTCGTCCATGCCGAGGAGTTCGGCTTCCTCGGAGGCACGCAGTTGCAATCCCGGGATGGCATTGATGGCATAGGCGATAATGGCGGACATGACGAAGGTGTAAGAGGCGGTGGCCACGATATAGGCGATTTGAATGTACAGCTGCTTGTAGTTGTGGATCACCCAGCCGCCGACGCCAGCGCCGGTGTTGACACCGTCCAGGCCAACGATGGCGTCGTCGCCAAAGAGCGCGTTGAAGATCAGACCGATGATACCGGCGATACCGTGCTCTGCCAACACATCCATAGAGTCGTCAATCCGGATCCAGTACTTGATCTTGGTGGAGTAATTGCAAACAACGCCGGTCACAATGCCGAGGATCACGCTAGCCCAGGGAGAGATGAAACCGGAAGCCGGGGTCGCAGCGACAAGTCCTGAAATGGTACCGGAACACCAGCCGACCATCGACCACTTGCGCGCCAGGCGCCAATCGAGCAGAACCCAAGTGATGGCCGCGAAAGCCGCGGTCAAGTTAGTGTTCCAGCAGGCCATGGTTGCCCGCAGGTTGGCTCCGAACGCGGAACCACCGTTGAATGCGAGCCAGCCGAACCAGAGGAAGACGGTACCGAGGAGGATGAGGGAGACGTTGTGTGGACGGAAGTTCAGCATCATGCGTTCTTGTCGGCGACCAAGGACCATCGAGTAGGCGAGGGCTGTAAAACCGGATCCGATTTCGACGGGACCACCACCGGCGTAATCCATAACACCGTATTGGAATGCCCAGCCGTTACTGTTCCAGATCCAGCAGCTCAGCGGGCAGTAGACGATAGTAGCCCAGATGAAAGTGAAGACCATGGCAGGAAGAAGTCGACCGCGCTCGGCGACAGCTCCCATAACAATAGCTGCTGTGACGCCACAAAATTGCATCTAGAAAACAGCATCAGCACCAGTCTCAATCACACGGGGATATATCGTTAGATCCTACCTCATAGAAAGCAAAGAGCAAACCAGGGATCAGTGGAGAACCGGGGCTTGGATCAGCCAAGGTCTTCATTAACCCGAAGTTGCGCAAGTTGCCGATATAACCATTGGTAGCAGTCGTCGAGAAAGCAAGTGAGTAACCCCAGAAATACCACTGGAAAGTCACAACAGAGAAGGAAGCCATACAGGCCCAGATCATGCTGAGAGCGGACTTTCGACGAGCCAATCCCGAGTACAAGAAGCCGAGACCGGGAATCATGACCATGACCATGGCCGAGGCCACGATAATGTAGGCCTGGTCGCCGGATTGGAACCATTTATTCACATTTTCGGTGCCTGGGTGGAAGAACGTTAGAGCTTGATACAGGCAGGCAGACCGCAGGGGCAATGCGTACGGGAATCGCCGCCCAAGTCTGAGTTGGTCGCGAGTTCGAAGTTGGCGGGTGCTCCAATCCAGTTGTAGGAAGCATAGTCCGGGGCGTACGGGGCTTTCCCGTTGAACGCCATGGTGTTACTGAACGAGCTCGAAGCTCGGGTGTCTAGGAGCTGGAAGGTGCGTAAGACGGAGAGTTTGGATCAAGGAGTCAATGCAGCGGGTGAAGAGAGAAGAGGGAAGAAAGGTCCCCAGGAATGCAAGTCAAAGAGTCTAGAAGAGAATTTGCCACGGGGCCCAGTAAAATATAAAGAGGAATCTGATCTCTTAGCGTGGAGACTGGAGAGAGCCAAAGGTCCAAAGATAAGTCAGATCGACGCGGTGGGTCCGTGGAATTGGTCAAACCCAAGGGCAATAGTAAGCAAAAAAAGCAATCCCACACGATTAGAAGCCAAGTGTAAGAGAATTGAATGGAAATCGCCAATTGGAATATCCCAGGAATAAATCAAGGGAAGGCGCGGTTAGAAGGAGAAAATCGGGGGGGAAGAAGATAGAGATGTGGGCAAAAGTGGTTAGGTCGGAGATTGTGACAATAGCAATGGGATAATTTGGTTCCCTATAGCTGTAGACCCTGTCTTGGCTCGTTCCCCCATATTCAGTGCATTGGCATTGGCATATATAACCTAAAATAAAGAGGTAAAATAGGAAGAGATTAATGACGATTCGATCATCATGAATCTCGTATGATCCTAATAGCAGACGATAACTCGTGAACCAGCTCCGGGGAATATTTCCAGATCTTCCCAGGGAAATAGATTCCATGTCTGCACTGGGTGTCTACACTTATATAGAACTTCTTCATCTTTAAATATCTAGATCCCCCCCAGATAGCTTATCAGCCTTGAAATCCTGCAGGTACCCCGTTTGTGCCTGTTTATATGGGGTACAATGGAGAGCATCTCGAGTCTCTCAGGGTAAGAGAAGGAGCTTATCTCGCGAGACATTTCGAGAGCATCGGATTCTCCATCAAATTCCTATCCGCCACCAGCAATTGGGTAGATGAAGCTGGCTTCCGCGCCATCTTATTGGCTACAGATAAAGCCCAGTTGCCACTGGCGCTAAGTGGGTCCAAGCCGCATGCCAAGCCTTTCTATTTCCAGGTTAGCGTGTCGATATGGGAGAAAGTCACCATTGGCGACAGATAAGCTACCTTTGCCGCCTCCTATATTCCGTGTTTTCCCGATCCGGGTCGGGCAGGGATCTTGCTTTTGAGGCCCAGGTGCCCGTGTTCGGGTCGGGTACGAAACCACCGATGCCGGAGGAACTACCTTTCGATAACTATACGAAGTTTACATGTAAGGAGTACTGTACTCCGCGAAGACCATATATTCACCATACGAGGGGGACAGGGCAGTCCAGTGTGCCTTGTATGATGTATCATCTCTCCGTTGAACAAAATCACATTTCTCAAATGGAAACATGGAAGCGTCGATGAAGATTCTTCTGCAGTAGTGTCAGTTTTAGGGACCAGCGCTAGTGTCCACTTCCGCGGGCCTGGGTCTTCACTCTTCAGCCTCGGTCATCTGGGCCGAGAACAATTCTAGAGGCCTTATGGACAATACGTTCATAGATCTCCGAATCTCTCACAGGGACAACAAGCCTCTGCATATTCTAAACTTGATCTGGGGAACTCCAATGATGTTGTACACTTGTGGGTTTGATGTTTGATATCCAAGACCTTGGCAAGCCATCTCCATCCTTCTAACCAAGATTCACGATACCCGGCCCAGTCACCTTATATGAACCGACCCCAACGCACCAGAGTAGGAGGAGCTATTCTTATTGAATGTGGGTATCCTTCTGTGTCAGACAATGACTAGGATGTTCAACGGCGAACTTTACTCCCGATGAGCCTAAAATCCCGCATCCAAGGTGGGTCTTTGTATTCTCCACTCATAATACATTTTCAGCCCGAAATTGACAAGTAGGCCGGCTGGCCCAATGGCAAGGCGCTTGACTACGAATCAAGAGATTGCAGGTTCGATCCCTGCGTCGGTCAATTTTTTGGTTCTTCTAGAACATCTAGCTACTACTACTAGCTAGATATTCTAATGTTGAATTTTTTTGTGCTACTTATATACTCATGCAAGTTGCTATGTCGTACATCAGCAGGTAGATCAATCCTTTTATATGCGTAAAAGTGGAGTGGTGGGAACCTGCTGTGTGTTCGTCCACTGCCCCCCGGAGGAAGGATATATACATAGCTGCCTCGACCGATCTGAGGTAACCTGGAGACCTTCCATGGAAAATCAACATTCCGAGGGAAAATGGACAGGTATCAAACTCGTGACTCTCGTCGGCGCAGACCTAGGCGGAACCTAGAAAATAAACTACTGGCCGGGCTGTACTCGATGACGAACTATGGAAGGTCCATTGCAAATGTAATCCATCCAATGCCGCCTTAACCAGCCAGAGTATGTGAATGCCTCAATCTTCTCGGTATGTCTATGACCTATAATGGCCTATGCTCTCACGGAATAGCGCCAATCATGCTTATATATACTTATGCCTTGCTCTTTGGGCCAACTTGGCCAAGAAATGGCCGCATCCTGCAGGTTAAACTTGACAATTCTGGCACCGTGAATGTCTGGTCATCCCCAATTTACAAATTCGTGGACAGCAATGACCAATGCGTTGAACCTTTTCGTCTGTTACAACAATGGCAAACGCCGACAGGGAAGAGACTAAGAGAGCTCAGCCTCTCCCTGCAGGCAGTCATTGCGACGCACCCGACTGTGGACATCTCAGTGACTGCCACTGACTGGAAACCAGCGTGATACCCAGAGCATGAATCACATGGTGCTGAGGTGTGAATACATCAGGATTCGATCACGTGGCTGAGAGGATAAGAGGATTGCTGTTGGCTTTTATTTTCTTTCTTCTTCTCTTTTCTTCTATTCTTCAGCTTTGTTATTTTTGTCAACTGCGCTCTGTTCTTTTTACAGACTTGCCATGTCTCACACCCGGCTCGAGTGCACTTAACCTTTGATTTCTCAAAGGTCCAAAAGGACAAGCACAACGGAAAGCTCCACCCAGACGTTTTAGCCCGCCTTGCCAGGTATACGGCTTCCTAGAGCAAAATGCAACGAAACCTCGACGGCACATGCCAATCGCCATCGTTAGGTTCCCCAGAATTGTCCGGTGCATTTGACATCAGTATGATTAGTGCTAGCGGTTACCAGAGACTCGAAACGAGGTCTCTCTCAGATCCGAAAACAGAAGTCTTTGCGACGTTCGAGATCAACATTTCTAAACCAGGCTATTGTGGAAGCGGAAGCTCAGAGGCGCTCAAAGCATGAACCAAGAGTCTCTTGGCAGGAGACTACAGAAATGATCACGGCATTATCGAGTGACTCAGATGATTCATTGAGCACCCGCAGAAGAGCCTCCCAAAAGATAGGTAAGCTTATCCATGCTACTATGTTCTAGTTCTATTTCAATAACCAACTGATTAGGGTGACGCTCTTTTCCCAGAATGGGCCGAGATGTATCATGTATCATCATATCCATGGACGGGTACATCCAGCATATGCATGGGTACGACTCAGACACGGTCGTCAAGCAGGATGGATCTGTGCGCATACACAAATATGGGCCATAGGCCGCGGGCCCGCGGCTACAACATGCCTGCCAATGATGTCTACACCCGCGAATTTGGCCAACAACTTGCTGGGCTATTCACAGTGCTAGAACGTGTCGGTCGACTCGCATACCGGCTCGACTTACCTTCATCCTGGAGAATCCGACAGTCCGCCGCGCCGTGCATCCCCCCAGGTCAGACTGACCCCACCAATGCCGAGCAGTGGGGTCCCCATCCCAAAGCGAGCTGCAGTTGATCAGCCTGAGGAGCGCAGCAGCCAACAGCCACGCAGGCCTCATAGGGCGATGCGCGAGTTCGATCGCCAGGACCACGACCAGACCCAACCCTCCATGACATTCAAGCAGGCACAGCATTCGATGGCACGAGAAGAAGGGTTTTTGGGCCAGCTGGTGCACCACTGGCAGAATCGGTGTCTGCTATGTCTCAGGGCCGGCAGGCCCCACGAGCACCAGTTGTGGGATTGCGCCGACCCCCGAGCACTCAACATGCGTGGTGATTCCCGATCAGTGACATGATTGGAGCAAGCCACCCGCATCTATTGGCAATTGACGGGAAGCGGCGCAGCTGAAATTGCCCGCCACGATGTCGGAACAGTCGGAGGGTCAGTCAGTTCTGTCGGATGATGGTCGAAATGTCCATTTTTTTCGACAGTTCAACGGATGATATGCCGGGTGGGGTATTTCAAAATGGCACCATACGCGAAGACATGGATGACCTATGTGCGCAAGAATATTGGCAACCACTATGCCAAGTATTGTGGTTGTTACCAGTGTGGGCAGCCGCGGCGTTTGTGCCAGGTGTGTATGCAGGGGCCTGGGTCTTAAGTGTCCCTATCGCGGCGTCTGCTCATTCGCAATGGAACACCAATTATTCATCAGTCGCCATGATGGCATTTGGACCGCGAGAGCCCAACAGCCCGGCGGATCAAGTCCGAAAGGCGTGGGCACGGCGTCTGCATGGGTTCGGCGTCGAGATGGAGGACAGAGACGCCCTACTCAGGTACCTCGGCTCGAAACATGGCAACGAGGAGGTTTACAAGCTGGCGGTGGAGTTCCTCTGGCTGCAGCGGGCTTGGTGAGCGGCGGAAGACCACCGCAATCTCTAGTCACCGCGCGGTGATAGGTTCGTTTCAGTAGATAGGAATGGCAATCCACTGCGAATTGACCAGGCACTTCAGCACCAGAGGATCCAAATACAGACCCTTACACGGAGTATGAGACCAACTTCGGTGAGACAAGCAGAGAGCAGGCGTACTCCAAATAGTTATCACTCTCAGTAATTCTTAGTTCTTTCTCTTCTCTCATCACCACCACTTCCATCAGGTATGGCCATTGGCCAACTTCCACCAGGTATGGTCAGCTTCCACTAGATATGGCCAACTTCCACCAGGTATGGCCAACTTCCACCAGGTATGGCCAGCTTCCACCAGGTATGGCCAGTCCCCCCTATTCCTACTTTTAATCATTCCTTTATCAGTTTTAGCATCTTCGAGACGTCATATTGCTAATCTGCCGATTCACCCAGTCACCAGTGTGCAACACCTTGAACCAGCACCCTCCCCTGACCCATTTGAACTTGATCCATAAGGAAGACATACGTGGAGACTGGAGTATTTTGCCAAGCTAGCCTTAACTGTGGCACTTCAGGCAGGCGAAGAGGAGGCGGAAGGGTATGAGGCCCACCAGTTCTCTTCGCCGTCTGCCGGGCCGGGAGATCTTGCCGGCGTGGAGAATGTTCTTCCAATTCTGGGAAATACCTTGATATGGGACTCTTATGTTCCAAAGTACGTATAGGCTATAGCCGCCTACCTTGGCAGTAAGTAGTTTTGACTGCTAGTATCCATGATACAAAAAGGCATTGGAAATGCACAAGGCATATGCCGAAAATCGACAGTTCTATTATGTATATAGGGATCTCACCCAAATATGATAAACTACAAATGTCTGTCACTGGAAACCTCTAAAATCGTAACAGGCCATCCAAACCCTGCAATCACAGCATCGGTCGATCAAACATTGACACTATACCCAGACCCCACACCACGCCGACGACGCATCGCCTGCAGATACTTGCGAAGCTCATCGGCCCAGAACACAGAGCTAGCGATGCAGACCAGCTTGACCAAGGAGCCAAACGTGAGAGGCTCTGTCTGGAAGATGCGTTGCAGGAAGGGCAGGTAGATGACACAGGCTTGGCCGGCCAAGGAGCCGAGAACGGCGTAGTTGAACATCTTGTTTCCGAAGAGGGGCATTTCGCCGCGGAGGATGGACTTGCCCTCGCTGCGGCAGGTTAACGCATTGAACATGTCGAACAGGACGAAGCAGGTGAATGTCATGGTGGTGTCGTGGGCGGTGACGACGCGGGAGCGCTTTGCGATGGGGGTGCCGTCGGTGCTGTCGCCCATTTCATGAATGTAGATTGCCAGTGTTCCGGCCATGATAATCGCGGCTGAGGTGAGCACCCGCTGGATGAGAGGTCTTGTTAGGACCCGGGCTGTTTTGGGGCGGGGTGGGCGGTTCATGATGGTCGGGTCGACGGGCTCGACGCCGAGGGATTGGGCGGGCGGGCCGTCCATGAGAATGTCTGTGAGCCGAGTTAGGAGAATTCAGGAGGGAAAACATCGTATGTATGGTCACTCACTTATCCACAAGATCTGCATAGCATTCAGCGGGTTCTTGAAGCCAAGCATGGTGCTCAGTAGCACAAGAGAGAGTGCAGCTACACTTGTGCTGAGCTGGAACGTGATGAAGTTCTGAATGTTGTAGAAGATACCCTTGCCCTGTTCAATCGCCCGCAAAATAGTCGAGAAATCGTCGTCCGTCAAAATCATGTCCGCTGCCTCCTTGGCAACGTCAGTGCCGAGCTTGCCCATAGCAATACCGATGTCGGCCTTCTTCAGAGCGGGTGCGTCGTTGACACCGTCGCCGGTCATGGCGACCACATCACCGCGTGCTTGAAGTGCTTTCACAATCTTCATCTTGTGATCTGGACTGGTACGGGCGAAGATCGAGACCGTGGAGATCGCTTGAGCAAGTTCAGCCGCAGTCATCCGGTCGAGTTCATCGCCTCGGATAACAGAACGTGCACTCGGTGAATCACTAACTGGCATCCCAAGCTTCTTCGCAATGGCAACAGCTGTTGTCTCAGCATCACCGGTAATCATGATGATTCTGACTCCACCAGACATCAATCGTCGAATAGATTTGTGCACATCTTTACGCGGCGGGTCGTTCATACCGACAAGCCCAGCAAAGACCAAACCATTGTACCTCTCGTCCCCATCGCCCTGAGTAAGTCTCGGGGACCGGCTGCCAAAGCCTCTGCTACCCCTGGACGTATCCCGAATCGCCCCGCTGGCGAAAGCGAGGACCCTCAGACCCTCCGATGCCATCCGTTCAGCCGCTTCTCGAATCACGGTACGGCGGGGTTCATCTAAAATAACCTCGCGACCGTCCTTGGTGAGGTAGGTGTCGGATCGTGCTAGAACCTGTTCGACAGCACCCTTGATATAAGCGACATGAGAACCTCCATGTGAACCAGAGCTGCCGATAACAACACCCATCCACTTCCGCTCCGAGCTGAACGGAGTCTCATGAACGCGAGCGCTGATACGATCACGCACATCATCTTCCCCCAAAGTATCGAGTAGATCCAAGATGGCCACATCGGTTGGTTGGCCCACCCACCGGCTCTTGGCAGCAGCCGAATCGCTGTTGACGGTCGAGGAGAGTACTGCCGCAGAAGATGCGCTGGCTGGCGAATTTGCGTGAATCCGTGATAGACGAGAGTTGTTGGCAATATTACCGACACGAAGGATTGTCTGCGCTGCGGGACCAGGCGCAATCACGGAGGTCATGTCTCTTTGCACCTCGAAAGGTTCGGCGCAGTCGAAATGCCACATTTTGGTGACTGTCATATGGTTGAGGGTGAGGGTGCCGGTCTTGTCCGAGCAGACAACATTGACAGATCCGAGAGTCTCCACGCTAGGTAGTCTTCGCATGATTGCGCCCCTCTTAGCCATGCGTAGAACACCGAGAGCAAGCGTGACGGTCACGATGATAGGTAAACCTTCTGGAATTGCAGCAACAGCCAGGGACACGCCAATTGTGAACATCTCCAGAATTTTGCGACCTTGAATAAGACCGATTACCACGATCAGTCCGATGACACCGAATGACATGTAGCTAAGTTCCTGGCCCAAGCGATCCATGGACAGCTGCAACGGTGTTCGGGGGCTCTCAATTTCTTGCAGCGAAACTGATATAGCGCCGAACTCCGTCTTTGCGCCAGTCGAGATAACGATACCCTGGCCGTAACCAGACCGGACAAGGGTACCCATGAATGCAATGTTGTGCTGCTCGTTCAACCGAATATCAGCGCCAACAGCACCAGTAGCCGGTGCATCGTAAAACGGGGACCTGGGTGGTTCTATCCCCTTTTGCGCTAAAGTAGTTCCGCTAGCTGTGCTGCGAAGAGCTTCCGCATACTTCGCCACAGGCTCATTTTCTCCGGTCAGATTGGATTCGTCAATGCTGAGATCTGTTGCAGCAGTGATGCGAATATCGGCGGGGATACGATCTCCAGTCGTAAAGAGAACCAAGTCTCCAGGGACGAGTTCGTTCGCGGGGACGGTCGACGAAGCCTTGACCGCGGCAGAGGCAGAGCCTGGGCTTCTGCTCCGGATCTCCTCCATCTCAACGCCGGAATCGAGTGGCGGTGTACCGCCATTCTCAGCTGCCATAGAAGAAGCCATTGGGACATCACGGATCAAATGGGCGTAATGGGGTACAAGGCGGCTCAATGCTTCTAGCGATTTCTCCGACCGGTACTCCTGAACAAAGCCGACGGTTACAACAATTGTCACTGCCAGAGTAATGCTGAGGGCATCGTCGTAATTCCCCATGATAAATGAGATCCCAGCGGAGCCGAGGAGAAGGAGAATGAGCGACTCCTTGAACTGTTTGAGAAATCGCAGCCACAGAGGCTCCGGCTCTTCGTGAGGGAGCTCGTTCGGTCCATCTCTTGCTAAGCGTACCTCGGCCTCCGCGGGTGTCAAGCCGTGTAAAAGGGACGTTCGTAGTCGCTCGGCAGTTTCATGAGGCTCAAGCCACGAATATGTTGCGGTCGATGTCTGGCAGAACACAAGAACTTGCGTCAGAAACCCATTGATTGACGAGGCCAAGAGGTGGAGGGAGACGAGTTGGGATACTTCAATAGAGTATACTCACCGATGATGGAGCATTTGGCCGTCCGGGTATAGGTGTTGTGGAGGGGGGCCGCAGCAGAGAGTCCGTGTTTGATGCATTATGCAAAGGCAATGAAGGTGTTGCTGACCTTGACATTGCTCATTCTTTGGAGGATGGATTATAGACGAGAGAATGAAATGGTGAATATGTTGAAAAGTGTTCTCATCCCGCCTCGATGATCACTGACTACGCTGCGACAAAACCCGTTAGATGCGATCTGGCAGCAGCTTGAGACGGGGGCCAGACCAATTGCTGGATTGTGAAGTTGGCGCGAATCGTTCAACGGCAGAAATCTGATCTAACAGATGAATCAAGACTAAAATCCAATGCGCTCACAGGAGAGCTTTGCTTTAATCCAAAATGCAAAATAATTCCTGTTCACCGCGTCGAGTCCGCTTTGAACAAGCCAAGTCCCATGATGATGCTTTACCCGTTGCGGCTTAGTGATTCCGGGTAGGGAGTTAATCCGAACGACGCATCGAGCCTAGCGCAAATTGTCACGTGTAGGGCAATAGAACTGATACAGTCGTCTTTACATGGTCTAGTGTGTATAGTATGTACAATTTTACTATATCTTTGACCTGATTTCCATAACGATCAAAAGCCCGTAGACTATATGTAGGACAATATTATGCTATGAGTAAAATTAAATCAGTATGGTCGTTGTTGTCCCGACTCCCGGTTCAACGGTCGTACTCCGCACGTGACTACATTCCCAGCCCCCTCAATTACGTGAGCAAAAATCTGCCCGGGCGACCAACTGGCGCCTGATATTCCCACCGACGCGCATCTTCCGTTCCTCTTTGGTTTCTCTGCCAACTCCAAAGTATCCCTATCCCTCGCGCGCATACCCCTCTCCATCATCTTCGATGTCTTGATTTCGCGCGGGCTAAGTGATAATATTTTATTTTATCCTTTTGATAACAGCTTTACCTCTCTTTGCATACGATACTGAGTGCGAGTCATCGCCCGAGTCTTTGTTTTCCCGGTTTCAGCGCGTCGCCTTCGACACCTCATCCCCGCGCCGGGCGGGTCCCTTACATCTACTGAATTTGTAGAAGGACCTTTCACTTTTGTACAATATACTGTTGCGACAAAGACACCATGTTCTATTCCGAGACCCTCCTATCGAAAACCGGGCCGCTGGCTCGCGTTTGGTTGTCGGCCAATATCGAGCGCAAACTCTCGAAGTCGCACATTCTGCAATCCGATATCGAGAGCAGTGTCAATGCAATTGTTGACCAGGGCCAAGCTCCCATGGCTCTACGACTGAGTGGTCAATTGCTGCTCGGTGTGGTTCGAATTTATAGCCGCAAGGCTCGCTACCTTCTTGACGACTGCAATGAAGCTCTAATGAAGATCAAAATGGTAAGCACTGCTTTGAAGCAATCATGACTCAATCTGGTCTAATCATATATCAGGCCTTCCGTCTCACAAACAACAATGACTTGGCGTCGACTGTCGTCGCCCCAGGGGGAATCACGCTCCCCGACGTGCTTACTGAATCTGATCTCTTCACCAATCTTGATACGTCTCTACTTTTCCCTCAAACTCTCGACCTGGAGCCTGCTTCTAAGCTGCCTGGCGGCATGGAATTTGGCAGCCAGTTCCTTCCGGACAGCAGCTTCCGCCGCTCTGTCTCTCAGGAACCTGCACGTCTTGAAGACCCCTCCCTTGTTGACCTTGACTTGGGTGAGGATGAATTGCCCCTTGGAAACTACTCAGCTATGGAAGTTGGTCGAGACGCACCTGCCCCTCGTCCCGCGGAGGAGGATCTGTTCAGTGATGCCGGAAAATTCAACGACGGCGATGATCTGGAATTAGATTTGGGAGATGACGATGCCCTCGACAAGATGGACCTCGCAGAAGATGGCCATGACAATTTGAATGATATCCTTCCCGATGCTCCTATGGACTTTGGCAATGATGAGGACTTTGCTGGTGGCGAGACCCCCCGCGCCGCTGACAACCGATTTGAACGTGACTCTGAAAGCCCCCTCTCCGATGCTGAATCCGATCAGATGAACCAGCTTGAGGAGGAATTCAATCGCGAGGTATCTGCGACCCCGGATGCCGTTGGCGCCAAGCAGGGACAGCGCGCCAAACGCCAGAAGCTTATGAAGTTTATGGAACTCGACAAGGAAATCGCAATCTCTAGCTCTACGATCAGGGAACAGCAGAATGATCGTTCTTCGATCTTGCAGCCCGCCTCTTTCTTGCCCCGCAATCCCGTTCTGCTCACTCTTATGACCCGTCAGCAAAATGGCGACTTTGTGTCTGGCGTGTTTGGCGAGGACCGTGGCCGCGGATGGGCCCCAGAGCTGCGCGGCATGCTCTCTTTCGATTCTATCAAAAAGGCCGGTGAACTGAAGCGCAAGCGCGACAGTGGCATTTCTGACATGGATGTGGCAGCCGCCGATGTCCCCGCCCTGGAACTTGGTGACGAGGAAGCCATTGTCCCGCTTGACGAGGGCATTGCTCTCGATACGACTATCAACAATCGCTCTGAGATTGAATTCCCCGGCGATGAGGACGAGCACAACCTGCACCTGAGCGATGACGACGGCATGCCCCAGCCCATGGACGAACTGGATGATACCATTGTGCACCCCGTGGATGCCGAGGCTGTCTCAATGGGCACGAAGCACGCTGTACACATCCTCCGCGAGCAGCTTGGAGACTCTGCCACGCAGCAGAAGAAGAGCGTCTTGTTCCAGGATCTTCTTCCGGAGCAGCGGTCTAGCAAGGCCGATGCCACCAAGATGTTCTTCGAAGTTTTGGTGCTGGCTACGAAAGATGCTGTCCAGGTTGACCAGGGCGCCAAGACCATTGGTGGTCCCCTCAAGATCACTGGCAAGCAGGCACTCTGGGGCGCTTGGGCCGAGGAGAACGCGGCCGGCGCCATGAGCCAGCTTAGCCAGGCTCTGTAGAGGATGTCCTCTCGACCAAAAGTATCTGGGATCTATTGGCGCATCTTTCTCTTCTTGTACAGCTCGCTTTTGGGATGGTTCCATGGATTATCTCAATCGGGAGATCCGGTGTTTGCTCTTTTTCTGGGATAGCATTGAATGACTATCAGGTGTTTGGGGCTTGGAGGAACAGGACGATGGTTACTACTTTTTGTTGGGTTTTTGTCTGGTACCTCATGGTTCGTTTGAACCAAAGTTGGAGTTTCTTGGCTGTTGCCCTGATCGTAGTTTTAGCTATAGCTTAATTGAACATACCATTAAACTCAAAGACATGTTATTAGCTCCTCCTGTACGGAGTACGGAGTACATCATTGTATTGTTGTATTGTTGACCTTCTGATCTAGATATCGGAAATTTTCCGGCACTGATAGCCGTTAGGTATCAACGTTGCCACGCGAGATGTGCATATCTTGGCACTGGAGTCATCTACTCCGTACAAGCTTCGATATTGAATAGAATTGGCCTTGGCTGGGTATATATGAGGTCGATATGGCACATTGAGACAAGAGTAAAATAGCCCGACCCGGATCAACTATTCAACGCCACAGTGAATGCATTTGCCGACTCGTCATACCGAAGGCTATCACTCGGCTTCCGAGAATGGAAAATCCCCAAAACCTTGTAATCGGAGTTAGATCCCCGTAACGGTTTAACCCCGAGAGTGGCCCAATTGATTGATCAGCTCGGTCTTCGCAGCACGGATTTTAGACAGAATTCTCTCATCTTCCTTCGTAAAGCTATTGCCAGTCAAGCATATTTGCCAGTCAGTAGCTCCAACCTACATGTTCCTTGTGTTGACCTATATTGACTTCACCGCTAACACTACGATAACGCCACAGATGAGATCGCAAGCTTGATCTGACAATTCACCCATTTGACCATGTCTCCGCGATCAAGCACAGACATATCTCACCCAAACCTCGAAAAGGAGAACCCGGACAACCCCATGATTCCCGAAACAACTAATAAAAGCAACAATGAAATCGACCGCACAGAATCCGAAGATGTAACTTACGCCCCAATAAACTCTCCTCTCGCCCACGACAATCGCGAACCGCTTCAAAAACAGCATTCTAATGCATCTAGATCAGTTGCGTCCAGGTCTCTGGAGCGCAGCTGGTCTTTAAACGACGGCGTCAGTATTTGCGGCCATGAAATCGCCGACGAGGCTGCGGTGGCGACTGAGGACACAGCATACACTGTGAGCTGGGAGGAGAAAGATCCCATGAACCCGCGCAATATGAGTAAGCCGCGGCGCTGGTTAATTGTTTGCATTGTCTCTATGGGTTCGCTTTGTGTGTGAGTAATTAGCGGGTTTTAGTCTTGGGCTCTTTTCTCTGTTGATGGCTCCCAAGCGGATTGCTGATATGCTGCTAGGACTTGTACTTCGTCGATGTATACCACGACTTACAGTCAAATCATGGAAGAATTTGGGTGTTCGCAGATAGTTGCGACTTTGGGGTTGTCTTTTTTCATTTGGGGTCTTGGTGAGTGCTTTTGTTTTCCGTTGGTTTAGCCTGTTTTATATCGATATTGACGGGGTTGATCATAGGAATTGGCCCACTCGTCTTGAGTCCTTTGTCTGAGGTTTGTTTGAATCTGCCAAGTACTTGTGTGTTGATGTTTGGGTCACTAATCTGCTGCTTAGTTCTATGGCCGAAGAAACATTTACATCGTTTCTTTTTCGCTTTTTCTCATATGGCTTATTCCATGTGCTGTGGCCAAGAACACTCAAACCATGCTCGTTTCTCGGTTCTTCAATGGGTTGGCTGGAAGTGCCTTTTTGAGCGTAGCTGGAGGCACTGTTGGAGATATCTTTGACCGCCATGAGCTTGCCCTTCCCATGATGCTCTACACTGCGAGTCCATTCGTGGGGCCCGAAGTTGGCCCTCTGTAGGTTGTGCCTGTTATTCTGCCCTCTGACATTGCTGACGATGAAACATCAGGGTCGGTGGCTTCATCAATGCCTTTACAACATGGTAAGCTCTTATGTCGAAACAGCCTTAACGCGGAGGCTAACATAACTCACAGGCGCTGGACGTTCTATGTACTCCTCATTTGGACTGGAGTGCTGCTCGTCTCAATTATATTATTTGTCCCAGAGACCTATCACCCAGTGTATGTCCACCCACATCCTGGAATAATAGCAAGCGGCTAAACATTGTCTAGACTCTTGAGGCGCAAGGCTGAGAAACTCCGCAAGGACACTGGGGATAATCGATGGGTAGCTCCGATCGAGAAGATGGAGCACACAGTGGCCCAAACGGTGACAAGATCAATGTGGAGACCCCTCCTTCTCTTGGCATTGGAGCCAATGTGTCTATGCCTTTGCCTTTTCTCGGCCATTTTATTAGGCATTCTGTACCTCTTCTTCGGTGCCTTCCAGCTCGTCTTCTCTGAGGTGTATGGGATGGTTATCTGGCAGCGTGGCCTTTGCTTCCTCGGTCTATTTGTTGGAATGGTCATCGCCATCCTGTCAGATCCGCTCTGGCGCCGAAACTATATCCGTCTGGAGCGCAACCATGAGCAAGCGACGAACAAGTTCGATGATTTCCAGCCCGAGTGGCGACTGCCTCAAGGTTGGTTGCGAAGTAAATTCTTCAGAAGGGATAATGGCTGACTTTGATGAAACAGCAATTTTGGGAGGACCCTTGGTCACAATAGGCCTTTTCATATTTTCATGGACGATCTACCCCCATGTACATTGGATTGTGCCTATCATTGGTAGTGGTCTATTTGGTGCAGGGTAAGACCAACTTTGTTTCACCAGCTGACCAGCTTGTTGCTTTAATTGCGTTATAATACTAATACCTCGTGTTACTGCTAGAACAATCCTGGTGTTCTCAGGCGTCTTCACCTTCCTAGTCGATGCATATCCCACATATGCCGCCAGTGCACTGGCAGCGAACAGTTTCAGTCGCTCTTCGTTTGGAGGCATCTTCCCATTATTTGGAATTCAAAGTAAGTTTTTCTACACTGCTTTCATCTTGCAACAAGAGTTGGGAAACCTGCCCCCGTGCGTCGTGCCTGTGCTTTGCATAAAGCACATATCACCAGCTGCGGGTCGATGCATGTACCTCGAACAAACCCATATGTGGCTCTTGTTCAATGCTTGACACCTATAATCTTGCCTGCACACAGTCGAAACGTAACCATCATGGCTAACGGTTATGCAGTGTACAACAACTTAGGATTTCACTGGGCGACATCGTTGCTTGCGTTCCTGACCCTCGTCATGACCCCTTTCCCGTAAGTGTCGCTTTCATTTCTCTGTGCTCCGACCCATCCAACCTCCCTACATCTTGACCTCAAGCAAGGTGCTAAGAACCCGAAACTCTGATGTCCCAATTGCATGTTGCTCGGGCACTAAATGACCTCACCGAAGTTGTTCCTGCTACCGAGAGTTGACTAACATCGGAATAGTTATCTCTTCTATCGATACGGAAGCTGGATTCGAACCAAGAGTCGGTTTGCGAAATCGCAGAGGTGATTGTTTAAACCGTGCACATATCATACTTCCTACAAGCTTTAATAATAGGCGGGGATGCTAGCGGCATAGCTCTTTTACGAGACTACCACAGGTTGATCCCAAGGGGTCATTGCATCCCAACATTTTATCAACAACTCTCGTTCGAACACGGCATCCCATGATCACACGTTGGGAGCATGCTGGGCTGAAACGTTTGGCTGGGGATGACAGGGCCAGCACCTGGTCTGCACCCATAGATCAAGACTTAACGTCTCAAGCTGCTGTGCTGGTTGCAGTTGAAAAGCTAATACAGAAGAAGCAGAAGACCTAATAATACGCATGCCAACAAGGATATACGTTTGATGGCCAACTCTCTTTGTATTCATTTGTACATGCGTATTCCCTCCTAGCGACAAGCAAGCTATGAAGGCTTCGATACCTACTACTTGCACACTTGAAACGCCATTGAAAAGAACTGCTCCATGGATGGAGAATGGACGGACCTGGTCCGGGCTCAAATTCTCCGACGGCAACCCCAGTCTGACCAGGCCAGTTGGAAAGCATACGAGCGTCATGTGGTGTTGAATTCCAATCACAGGCAACCATCCCCAACCAACCCCCGACAGGCTACAGGCTACAGCAGGCTCAAGAATACTTCATGTGTATATTGACAGTCATAGCTGAGGGATATAGTTGTGTACGTCGGATCTAGCCTCGGCAGAGGATGCTCGACCAGCCTCGGAACAAAACGGGGCGGAGCACTACTCCGAGAACTGTGAAAAGTCTTTCTAGAGCGGGGTGGATCCGGTTTTGGGTAAAGAGTAGCATGTGGCACAATTAGATATTTGCATACAGTGTCTAGAGAAGGTTATTTCAAGAGCTTGCCGGGGGAGTTGAGGCGGATATATCATTCTTGTAGTGGCCGCACGTGCGCAATTGCCCCAGCCGCGGGGTGAAATGAACATCCGGTAATGCGCTGAACCCGATCGTACTGGATTTTATTTTCGGCCAATTAGAGGTTCTAGACGTGCCAAGATTACAAGTACTTCTCGATGAAAGTGGTAACAATCGGTATTGCCTGCAAATTCCAATGTCGGCCTCCAGTGGCCGTTAGCCTGAACGTCAGCATGTGAGTATCGAGATCTGATGCGATGTTAGCGCTTTCCAAGTTTCTTCTGGTGCTCGAGCTGGACAAACTCCCATTTTTCATAGTAAATGATCGCGTTTTTCTTAAGATACGTGAAATTACGTTGGGTAGCAAGAGAAATTTCCACTTTCATTAGGTAAAAAATGTGGCTGAATGTTTTACAGACGAAGTACGGAGTATATCCCATCCTAAGGGAAGTTTCAGAGACGAAGCACCAGCGCCAAATACAAAGTAACTCAGAATGAATTAAAAAAGATGAAAATGTAGAAATACAAATATAATACTCACACAAGTCTACTTGAACCCTTTGCAATTGGACTGTGTCGTGTTGAAAGTCCTACGTTGATGCTTGACACGAGTCACGGGAACAGTCCCATCGAGCCCTTCAGAGTCATCCACACTTCTTCCAAGGTTCCCCGCGGATATTTTGCCTCGAACCTTTTCTCCTCATCTTTCCCCAGCTTCTTAGTCGACCTCACATCGGTGTCGTCCTTGCACTTGTGACTTGGAGCAACATCCACGCCTTCCCCGCAGCCGGACGCAGTCCTCCTCTCCACTCCAAATTCAGCGGCCCCCGAACAATTGCGGCATTTTTCTGTTGTCAGCTTCGCGCAAATTTTGACCTCTCTACAACCCACATTGAAGCCCTTCAATGTGTCAGATTATCGTACATCCGTCGCATTTTCAGTCGATTGTCCCTCGTTACACCCGTGACTCGACTCGCCGTATTGTCCGATTCCGGTTCCCCACCAGCTGTCGCAAACGCGCATTATAGGAATCTAGTACCGGAGACACTGCCGACCTTTCGAGGCGTGATTGTGGGAGGATTTGAGAATTCAACAGAGACGGTCAACAAATCGCGATCGATCTTTCTCTCTTCGCCTTCACAAACTGGACAGAATTTGGTCTCGCGCACGTGAACATCCGCTCGCCCGCCGAGATCGAAGTGCTGATGGTATCATTGGTATTGTCGCCACCACGCTCTGTTTCTTTAGATCAACGCAGTAAGGCACGGAAGTAGCCTACGGACATTGAAACCCCCGGTTTACACGTGGACGTGTGCATAATTTACCCGATCCCGGGATACATGCCGAAATGAAATTGGAAGCCAAGAAAGGCTCGCCTGTTCCTGCAGGAGACCTCAGTGGGGATCGTGACTCCGCCGACATCACGGAACACGAACAAATGGACCCAAAATCCAAAAATGGCGATAGCAAGGCGGATCGCAAAGCAGCCAACGCCAAGGACCCCTCGCGACCGCGACGGAAGAAGGCTCGACGAGCTTGCTTTGCCTGCCAGCGAGCTCATTTGACTTGCGGTATGATGATAGAATGATTCCAGTGCCCATTAGGGTAGTTTACTAATATACAAGGGCTTCTAGGCGACGAGAGACCGTGTCAACGTTGCATCAAACGCGGTCTTCAAGACGCGTGCCATGATGGTGTTCGTAAAAAGGCCAAGTACCTTCACGATGCTCCCGATGGCGCATTGATGCCAGCTGTTAGCGGCAACAACGGCAACCTATACAGCAACACGCTCCGCAATAACATGCCTATGTCTAGAAATGGCGCAAACGGTGTTACCTCCAGCAACCAGCAACAAGCTCCACAGCACAACCAACATAACCAACAACCGTCGAATGCCAACAATAACAACTTTTACCCTACGCCGCAGACACAGTCAGGATCTTACAACCCATATCAAGAATCTCCCATCAGTCAAAGCTCTTTTACTGCGCAATCACCCGTCTCACCTACTTTCAACATGAAAAACGGTCGAAATCCGAGTCTTTCATCGACTATGAATCCGCAGCTCGCGTCGAGTACTGCTCTCTCTGGGGATACTAGTCAGTCTCAGAATCCGTTTGCAGGACCATTTTTTGATCCCAGTGATCCAGCGCTCTTCAACTTCGATCTATCCAGCATGAACTTCGAGAATAGATACGGTGCCTTGGAATTCGGCATGCTCGGTCATATGGCCACCGGGGCAGGTGACTCTCCCACTGATTCTGCAGGGCAGCGCGGGTCGATCGGCCGGAGTGGATCCGCCCAGTTCTCCACACCAGCTGGGTTTGGGGAAAGCCCTGGGAATCAACCTTTCTTGTTTGGCGATCCTCTCCTCAACGAGTGGCCCACCGGCCCGACCGGTCAGCATGTGAATGTCGGAGGTGTGTATGGCCAGAACGGTATGCTTCCAGAACACATGAAAACGAACGCGCCACATGCATTTGCGATTGAGAGTGGACCGGGGAACTTCACTAGTCCTCCTTCTACTACAAGTCCGCACATACCAACGGCTACGTTTGACGACGGTACATTCAATGTCGGCTCTGCTTCGAAGTCCAACAGCCTGGTGTCGAATGGGCAACGCCAGGTAAATACAGCACTTCTGAAGAACCAGAATATGCAAGTTGGTCCCAAACGGCGTCATCGCAACCCTTCCTCAATATACGAAAGCGTGAAGGAGCCGTATGCTTACACTAGTGGTTTCCACAACCTCACTGCTTTCATCCAACGTCGCTTCACACCACAAAAGACCGTCCGCATTGCCAAAGCGCTTGCTTCTATCCGACCATCTTTCATCGCAACCACTAAGACCCTCAATCGCGATGACCTCATCTTCATGGAGAAGTGCTTCCAACGAACTCTTTGGGAGTATGAAGACTTCATCAATGCATGCGGCACTCCGACCATAGTCTGCCGACGCACCGGCGAGATCGCCGCCGTGGGCAAGGAATTCAGCATCCTGACCGGATGGAAGAAAGACGTGCTCCTGGGAAAGGAAGCAAACCTTAACGTCAACACCGGCGGATCAGGCGTGCCTCAATCTGGCACAACGTCACGCGGCAGTTTCACACCGCGCAGCTCAACATTAGAGAACAACAGCGGTGGACGTCCGCAGCCGGTGTTTTTGGCTGAGCTCCTTGACGATGACAGCGTTGTAGAGTTCTATGAAGACTTTGCGCGTTTGGCATTTGGGGACTCCCGTGGTAGTGTCATGACACGCTGCAAACTTCTGAAATACAAGACGAAGGAAGACATGGAAGTTGGAAAGACCGATGATCATGGAAAGTGGAACAGTCATCTTCGCAAGGGTGGAATTGCCGGCGAGGCTGGCATGAACCAGCTTGGTTTCAAGGATGGAAAGGTTGAATGCGCGTACTGCTGGACAGTTAAACGTGATGTATTCGACATTCCGATGCTCATTGTGATGAATGTAAGTTTTCAATCATATCTGCAAGAGTTGACTTCGGACTAACATATCTTCTAGTTCTTGCCATGCATCTGATCTTTATCTTTCTCCATCTTCTCATGTTTCCAATTTTTTTCCCATATCCATTTTCCTGCTCTTGTTCCAAACTTCACTTTCATACCCTCGACAAGGCTATCACATTGTGCCTGTCTCCATGTCTTCTGCTCTGCTACCCTGGTACATATTTCCTGGTTCTGGGAACTATATAATTTCCCTATGATCCTCATTTATGAGGGAAATTTTTCTTTCATGTTTTCTTCCATGTCTGTTCTCGTACATACGTTATGTTCCATGGTCTTCGGAAGCGCTTCCAGGCTTGTCGATATGCTTCTTATGTTTTGCTATTTTTCTCTTTCTGCGGCGCTGAAATGGGACAAACAGATGATATCTCTGGGACGGAATCGTTACTTGTATGCAGGATAATGGCATGATATTGAGTGGGTCGCTTCCGACCCTGTTGAGCCCTAGATCGTCCGAACGTAAACCAAAGAAATAAGCTTATTTCAACGTTGCCGTGCCTATCGAGTCCCGGTAAGTCCCGGCCGACAGTAGCCGCGTCACCGGTGACTAGGTTCTTATTGGTCTGGCGGAAGTTGTGTATCCGTCTCCCCTTCCATTGTCAAGTTAGGATCTCGCGTATCGCTGTCCTAGATCTCGGAGTATGTGTGATTAACATGGCTCGTCCTGAAGTGTGCTCTAGTTTTCCGTAATCGGCCACGTGTCGATGACCTCTTATACGGTAACCACATGCGCCGTGATGTCTCATGTGCCCAGTCTCACTTCTACAATATGGGTCATGATCTAGAGGCTAGGAGTGTAACTGAGTCCTACTAAGATGTAACCGAGTTCAGCTCTTAACTGTATCATGAATTGGCCGTGCATCAGCAGAGAATCGACTAAATGGTCCTTGAACTTGAATTGTACCTCGAACGTAAGGCCACGGGCCCACGATGGCCACAGGCGCACTAAAACACGGTAGACTAAGCTTAAGCTTAAACCTATCAACCTTCTTTCAAGTTTCAACCTTGGGATTATTTGTGAGAATCGACGCCTGATACTTCAGGTGTCGATATACGGATGCACGCTTATCGCGATAAACCCCACCACCGAGGATCGGTCATCATAACCAGTCGCATTCAACACCAGCATTGAGCCAAACAATTGCCAAATCACACAACAGCTTACATACCAAACGAGAGGCCTCCATCAACAGACCCATACCTGTCACCATCAACGCCTCGCCAGACAGAATTCGCCATGCGCACCGACAAACCACGCGACCCGGTAGCCGGGCCCGACGCAGGTCCGGAAGCTCCCTACCCCGTGCGATTATCAGGACCAGTGATCAAAGGATTTGGCCGCGGCAGCAAAGATGTATGTCAATTACCCAACAGCGCTCAGACTTGCTGCTGTAGTCGGCACCACCGAAAGGGGGCTGTAATGGACCTCGGCTGACTGGCTCTCTCGCATGACTGCAGTTAGGAATCCCAACCGCCAACATCCCCGCCGATGACCTGTCAGAGAAGCACCCGGAGCTGGCAACTGGCGTCTACTACGGTGTTGTGGCGCTCGACCCGAAAACATACCAACATGAGACGGCCCAGAGCAGTTCATCTGAAGCAGTGGTCTTGCCTGCGGTGCTGAGTATCGGATATAACCCTTTTTATAAGAATACTGTGCGATCAGTGGTATGTGATGTATCTAAATCCATAATTCCGGACACAAACTGTCAAAGATATTCGGAGCTGCGTCGATGGGAGACTGACGCGGTTGCTCAACAGGAAATCCACATCATGCCCGCTCTCACAGAACCATCGCCCACGGCCACGGGACAAGAAGGTCAGACCAAGTTCAATCGTCTACCGGATTTCTATCAAACGAGACTTAACCTGCTTATTCTGGGTTACATCCGACCTGAGTTCGACTATGTCTCGATGGAGGCACTGATTGAGGATATTCGCGTGGATTGTGAGGTTGCGCGGGAAAGTCTGTCGCGAGAGGCCTATAAGTGCTATCTTATTGATGAGGGCAAGTCATCCGAGAAGGTCCGTGAGGATCATCGGTGGTTGGTGAGCTTTAGTTAGGTGGGGCGAGGGGGAGATCATCCAGCCTTACCAGCCTTATGGCTTTTCTTTTCATAGCGCACATATTTTCTCATAGATTTCGAAGAGGATCGGTCGATATGTGTCTCATATCAGGTCTCAAATACAATGCAAATACAATGCACAGCTACATTTCTCTTTTGGTAACCAATGCGGTCCGTCCATCTTATCGCAGTGGAATGTGACATCGACGACGTCACTCCAAGGCACCCTAAGCATTGGCATTTGCTCGGCGTCCATCTTCATGTCTTGACATATGTAATACCAAGAAATCGCATTCCGAGCTGCCCGAACATATGAAACATCATTCTCATTCCTGAGGGCAAGGCTACTTCTCTTCCCTATCATAGTTTACTACTCTTCAACCAACCCGCAGCTGGTCCAAGATGGTCAACATATTCCAACGCTTCGCACGACACCGAGCGCAAAGCTCTGGCAATAGCCCACCAGAACATGGAGCAGATTCCAATGTACCCAATACCGCAGAATCTCATCCCCATGGAGCACAACGCTCGCTCAGCATAAGCTCCGGCACTCGTGGCAGGCGATACGAAGTTCCAACTCCGCGACACCTCATTATAGTTTCTGATACAGCAGACTTCGACACTCATGTCGTCCACCGCTTCCAGGCAGAAGGCTTCGACGTGAGCTACTTGCCCTTCCTCGGCAGTGGGGACGATGACAAAGACCGCAAAGCTATAGAGCATGCAGTCCACGAGAAAGAGGACGAGCTCGAGACGGGTGAGCGGTATGCGATAGTCGGTAGGTCCGCATCCTCCTTTTTGTTTATCTCACGGATCAGGGAGAAAATACCTCAGCCCACTGCAAGATATAGTCCAAGCCAAAACCGAGGCTTTGTCTACATCTGCTAACCATCCGCAACAGCATACCACCGCCCTGCCTACCTCCTCCTAGCCGCACACCACCTAGCAAACACCAAAACAAACCCATTCCCCCGTCTATGCGCCCTGATAGCCTACTATCCTCTCTCGTCGACAGACCAGTACACCTACAAACAAAATGACGACTGCGCGCCGCCTGGCTGCTCAGATACAAGTTGCATCTTCGACCCAATGCCCAAGTCAACCTTCCTCCCAATCCAAATCCATCTACCCGGACCAAGAGTCCAGCCTTGCGCAGTGTGGCCGTGGATATCCCTCAGCATCACAGAAGGCGACGTGACCTACAAGAAGAGACACCGGTGTCATGTCTACGCATATCCAGGGGCCAAGGCCGGGTTTGGAGAGCGAGCAGTCCCCGAAGAGAAGATAGGCGAGATAGACGAGAATCTGAATGCAGACGACGAACTCACCTCGCAGCTGGCGTGGAGTCGGGCACTGGGATGTCTAAAACGCGCGTTTAATATTGGGAGCCATTGGGCGGTTGTCGATATCGAGACTGTCTGGGAAGAGTACTGGGACCGCGTGCTCGGGCAGCTAGAGAAGCGGAAACAGAATCATAGTCAAGACTATGAGTCTGTGGTCGATACGTTGACTGGACATGGTCATTACGGGGAGCTTGGGTGTCCTGCCGGTGAAGTATACATTAATTGTGTTCCTACGAAGGCGGAAGGTGAGCTACTAGACGTTCTCTTTTCCCTCTTTTGCTTCTTCATCTTGACTTGAGACCTGGGCTGACCGAGTATGAACCAGCTAATAACATCTCCACGCTGAGAGATTTCTTCGATCATGTATTCATCCCCTTCGGACCCGACGATCAAGACGTCCGGCTGTTATCTCGCACCATAGGTACGGATCGCATCGTGGATGAGATGTTGTTCACTTGTCGACACACTGCTGAGATTCCGTGGCTGTTACCTGGGGTTACGCCGACGGAGCGCAATATCAAGGTCGTCGTGATTGTAGTGGCGAGCTTCTGCGCGGGCCAGATTACACGCCAGAGTCTGTACTGGGATCAGGCGAGTGTACTTGTTCAGGTTGGATTGTTGGATCCGGCCTTGGTGCCTTCTGCACAGCCTGTTACATAGTTTAATCTGAGGCTCTCTGTTCCATTGACATATCTGTATTGAGGTGGAGATGGGACTATCAGGACGATCTACCATTTATCAAATTTCATAGTTCGCTAGTCGACGCCAGTCAGGAAAGCCGTAGATCAGGGAAAAAGTTCAAGCAATCAGGAAACACCCTATGTACATATCAGGTACTTAAATGCAAAGATCTTGGCCAGCGTCAAAGCCCTAATGAGCCCCGCATCTCAACAAGCCCCTTACTCACACCCCCAGCGCTAGCCAGTGTTTTCCGGCTCGCCTCCTGTGCAATAGGAATGATATCCTCAACGCGCACAGAAGAATCCTTAGCCAAGCCCGCCACCAAAACGCCGAGCAGCGTATCACCCGCCCCATTGACACTGACGATATCATCCGCAGCCATAGCAGTGCCAGGCGCAAAGAGACGCATGTACACACCACCAAAAGGCACACCAGAATCAATCGGCGCACGGGCAAGAATGTACTTCGCCGACGCCTTATCCGTCAGACGCGGATCCCCAGGCGGCAGAAGCTGAGTGAGAAGAGCCCCGGCGGCACCCAACTTAGTCACGATACAGGGGATGAACGGTAAGAGCTGAACAGTCTGCTGCGGCAGACCCTCATCAACGAGCGCCAGCGACGTCATGGAGATCAGACGCTCGCGGGAACCCGTCGGGGAAAGATTCATCGAGTTGATAATTTCCCACCAACCCGGCGACTCGAAGAGAAGCGATTCCCGCGCGGCAGCGAACATAGCCGACAGCTCGAGACGGTTCGGACAGGCGAGACTGATAGCGTTATTCGGCACGGTGTTATCCTGGGTGATTGTTGCGCCGGTGCTGTGAGAATCGCTGCCGAAGAGACGGCGGGATTTGGCGACTGAGACGGGCTCGAAAGCTACGCGGGCGCCGTGGATGCGTGCTAAGGTGGCCCATTTGGCGATTATCTCTGGGCGCCAGTTGGCGTCGATGACGAGCCATTTGGGTTTTGTTTGGGAGAGGAGGGGGTCCCAGAAGTCGGCGAAGTTGAGGTGGGATTCTGGGAGCTCGACGATGCCCATGTCGGCCATGGCTACTACCAGGTCTTTCTTGATGTCGTTTATCGCGATGTATTGGGCGGTGCGCGTGCCTGGTGTTGCTGGTAGGACTTGGATGCCGGCTGTGCTGAGGCCTTCTTTTTCGAGGGCTGAGAGTGCCGCAAGGCCGCTTAGATCGTCGGCGACAACGCTGCAGAAGAGGACGGAGCTGCCGATGTAGCTGGCGGCCACGGCGACGTTGTGGCCGACGCCGCCTAGGCTTTGGCCGATCACGGCTGGGTTGGAGGTATGTGGTATTGGTGCGACCTGTGTGAGTTCGGATCCGAAGGGGGTGAAGTCGCAGGAGAGATCGATGGCTAGAGAGCCGGCGACCACGATATCTGCTTTTGGTGGTGGTGTGATGGGCTCCTCTGTAGTGGCTGGCTCTGGGGTATCTTGGACTTGCGAGGCGGCTTGACTTAACGAAGCTACATCCGGGATTGCTGGCATGTGTCTATAGGGAAGAAGATCTCCGAACTTAGCATGGATTGCGAGTCATATCTCGTATCTAGAAACTAAACTCACCGAGAGCCGGTTCCAAGATCAGCCTGTTCAAGCTTGGCAAGTTCCACAGCTACTAGGGTTGCCCGCTTGACATTCGACTCAATCAGAGCCCGGTTGGCGATTACGCTCTTTCCGCCACTCAGTTCCTTGATCTTAGCAAGCACAAACGGCGTGTTGTCACTGCCGTGGAAACCCTCTACATGGGAAAGGCGGACGGCCTCTTCAATCACGCTATCCATCTCATCTTTGGGGACGGAGTACTCCAAGGGAACAGGGTTGGCGAAGTGGATACCAGAGGATACAGGAAGCTTTGATTGCGCATCTGGAAATTTGTCAACAGGGCTGTAAGTTCGAACAAATTGAGCGAACTTACAAACTATGGCTGCGGCTTCGGCTTCATTTTGAATGACTCGGGGGCTGCGAATGCCACTTTCCCGTGTAAAGAAAGCGGGGAAGTCGACGGGGCCATCCCGGCCATCAGCGAAGGTGCCCACACATACACCTTCCGTCTCGAGGTATTCAAGGGTCCGCGGAATATCCAAGAAGCTCTTGCACCCAGAGCTAATGACCGTCACAGGGGTACGCCCGAGTTCAGTAAGGTCAGCTATGAAAGTGGTCAATGGTTGGTCAACGCTCCACTTGGGTTGTTTTCAAGTCCTTACCAGAGATGTCCATCGAGTTTTCTCCTCCACGATGCACACCACCTAAAGCAAGTCAGAGGACGCTCATAGTCAGCGAGGGTTTTGGCCTCAATTTACCGAGTCCACCGGTACCAAATATCTTGATACCAGCTAGTTCTGAGAGAATCATAGTGCCGGAAATTGTGGTTCCGCCATGCATTGGCTTCCCAACCAAGCCCTGATATGTGTTAGATTTGATTCAGCCAAATCAAGAAGTAAACTCACCATGCCACATATGTATCCAAGGTCCCGACGAGACACTTTCAAAGCGCTCTTCTTCTCAGCTGTCGAGGCCAGCTCGACAAGCTCTTCGGTACTTAGACCAACCTTGGCCACACCATTCACAATCCCTATAGTAGCAGGGACACCACCGTTGGCTCTTACAACAGACTCTAGCAGTGCGGCGAGAGCAATGTTATCGGGGTATGGGAAACCTACAGTCGATCAGTCTTGGCTTCCCCGCCTTGTTCAATACTCCATAACTCAACACAGAAAGACTTACCGTGGGTATAGATGGTTGTCTCAAGTGAGACGACTGGCTTCCCTGTAGCAACTGCATCACGCACTTCTTCTGATACTTTGAAGAACTTGCTCTGAGCAAGGCCATGGTAACGGCGAGCGGATGACAGCTGAGCTCCCCTCAAGCCAGACCTTAGGGCAGCTCGGGAGGCGAACATAGTGTGTGACAACATGATGATCTAAGGCCTTTGAGAAGACGTTCAGCAGCAGCTATTATGCTATAGCCCTTACCTGACCCAAGCCTGCAAATCAATGCAAGTCAAGTACAAGAATGCAAGACTCAGTAAGAGTAAAGTCACTGCAACCCAAGATGAGGAGAAGCTGTTATCGATAAGCCGGAGTGCGCAATGTGGCCGCTTGGGCCACCCTAGCATACAATGGGGACCACGTATCATCAGCTACGCAAGCTTCCCAAAGCTCGACCTGACACTTCCACATCTCGAATTCCTGAGCATTTTGAACCTAGGAGAAATTGTGTCCTCCAGGTAGTCAGGATGAGGTTTTTCACCGCCACGGTGCTCGGGCTGCTGGCGCCCAGCCTGTGCGCCGCAACCAACCTTACCACCCCCAGTCGATTGGATCTCCCATCTGGTTTCAAGCCCCCGCAGGTCTTCAAAAACACGAATCTTGTCCGGAATACAAATTTGGAGAAGAGCTATGTGCGGGAAACTATCAATGTTGTGGTGGAGAATGTCGACAATCAGCCTCAGAACGAATACTACGTCCCCTTCCCGGCGGAGGTATTTGACCGTATTGCAGGCTTCGAAGTGAGAGATAAGAAGGCCCCTAATAAGGGACGCTTCCATGTGGATGCCACTGAAGCTGTGCCAACCAGGTGAGTACTAATTGGGTGGCCAATGGCACGCCAGCGGACCATCTAGCTATGGAGGCACTCGCCGTAACGCCAATACTAATGTCAACAAAACAGTGGCAACCAATACTTTGTTATTCACCTTCCCGAGCCCCTCGAGCCGAAGTCGCAGATTACACTTAGAATCTCCTACCAAGTGCTATCCGCTCTCAGCCCGCTACCTGCGACCATCACGCAGGATGACAAGCAATACCTCACCTACTCCTTCTCCGCTTTCATGCCATCTGCCTACGTGACGGATACGCAAAAGACCAAGTTGAAGTTCCCCAGCGCCATTGTGTCGGATTACACGACCACCGACGGTCTTAAGTCCGGCTCCGATCCCGAGCGGATGGGCGCCACATACACCTACGGCCCGTACGACACGGCCAAGGTGGCCCCGGGTACTGAGCACCCGATAACCGTTCGTTACGAGTTCACCAAGCCCGTGATCACAGTCAACCTTTTAGAGCGTGACTTGGAAGTATCACACTGGGGCGGCAACCTTGCTACCGAGGAGCGATACTGGCTGCGCAACAATGCTTCGCAGCTGGCCAACCATTTCTCTCGTGTTAAGTGGACCTACACCAACTTCCAGAAGGCTCCCACTTCAGCGGTCCGCGAGCTTACATATCCGCTTGTGCCTGGGTCTGTCGACCCCTACTTTATCGACGATATCGGCAATGTCTCCACCAGCCGCTACCGTCCCAGCGTGGGTAAGAAAGCTGGACACCTGGAGTTGAAACCCCGCTACCCGGTCTTCGGAGGTTGGAACTACAGCTTCCGTATTGGATGGAACAATGAGCTTTCCTCGTTCCTGCGACGTGCTGCAGGTGTCAACTCCGACTCTCACATCCTCAAGGTCCCGTTCCTCGAGGGCCCCAAGATGGCTGAGGGAGTGCAGTATGAGCGTGTGGTTGTGCGCGTTATTCTTCCCGAAGGTGCTCACAATGTCCGCTTCGAGACAGTTGAGGGTATCAACAGCAATGGACTTCCTGGCGCGAACAGCATCTACGCTCGCTTGAACTCGATGAAGACTTACATGGATACCCTCGGCCGGACTACGTTGACCCTGGAGGTCGACAGTCTGACTGACGAGGCTCGCGATGCCATGATGGTGGTATGTACCTATATCTATGCCCGTTGTTCCTCATCTTCATTTCTCAATGTGCTAACCCTTCATTAGGTTACCTACGACCACAGCATGATGGATGCTTTGCGCAAGCCTTTTACCATCTTCGCTGGTCTACTCACACTCTTCATCGCTGCTTGGGGCATTGGAAAGATCGATGTCAGCATCAAGAAGAGGTGAGGGTGAGACGACATCATATTACCTTCTTCTCATTTTCTATAGTCGTGTCTCAGTTTCAATCGATACCTTGTATGTTTATCGTGCCTTCCTCCGTGGGCTATTCTCCGGTCTGGGTTGCTCTTGCCTACTTCTCTGCGCCTTCCACTGTAGTCGTAGAAACAGACTAAATTGTCCACACCAGCTCCTCTTCCTTGATCTCTTCCTTTGCCTCTTCCTTCACCTCTTCCTTCACCTCTTCCTTCACCTCTTCCTTCACCTCTTCATTCAGTTAAGATCTCCCTTTACATCTCTCTCCAACGTGACTTCGCCTTCCACCATTTTCTGCTCATACCCGCACACGGTGCCGAAGCCCTCATCTCGAGCTCCCATCAAGATGTTCTCACGCCAGTCACCATCGCCGGACAGAGCTCCCAAACCCAACAAGGAACTCATCAAAATCAAGCCCCCTCCCGGCATCCCCGGCCCAGTGGTCGTCTTCATCGCCCGCGCCGACAACCCCAACGACCACGGCTACCCCAACGCAAAGCTAACCTCAGCCCAGATGCATGAACATCTGCGCGCCCTCCTAGTCATCACCGCCGCCGAGCACCGCGAACGCTTCGGCGTCCTAGGCACCAGACCCCCCAAGATGCAAACCATCGTCCAGCCCGCCAACAAGTGCATCGCACCACTCAGCAGCGTCGTCCGAAACTTGGCGGCCGCGCTGGAGGAAGCGCGCCAGAACCAAATCCGGTGCATCTTCGTGCTTCGGGGGTGGGATGCGTTGACAACGGAGACAACCACCATCGCCCAGCTGTGCGATGATTTCCAGGATGTGTGCTTCTTCTTGCATGTTTATGCACATCGGGGGAACCCGCTCGACTTCTATCAGGTCAACGCGCATATGGTGAATGCGTACTTGAAGGGTGTGGTTTCCTTGACTGATGAGGTCGTTGTGAGAGACCATTCGACTGCGCTGTTCATCAGGATATTGGAGGCGTTGCCGGCTTTGCGGCCTGGTTTTGGTCCTTCAGTTTCCGGGCAGGAGAAGGCCGCGCTTAGCCGGTATGATAATCGGTTCGGTGTCCGAGGAGGACAATTGAAATAAGCCTAGAGTCTGCTGAGCAGGGCTGCTTCTAGTCTGCCGAGCAGAACCCGAATAATCCCAGGCTTTGTAGAATGGAAGTAAATAGAGTCGGATGTCGGACTAGGCGTAATACCTACGAGACTTCGTCTCACCTTCTGACTCTTCCTTTCACCTCTTAACACTTTGTTCATTTGCTCTAACATCTCCAACCCAGGACTCTTCCTACAATGTTCTCTTTCTTCCACTTCCTGATTCTTCAACCTTCTTCCAACAATGTCATCCTCACCCGAGTAAACCCACTCGATGGTTCCACCAAGGGACTGACCCTAACACAATCATCACCCACGACCAACCTGTCCCTTCGCGGCCCATGGTGTTGGTGGTGGTAGTTTGGCGATGGTCTGTTGATGTAAGCCCTCTCTTTCGCTACCATCACGTCTTCAACGAGTATTGCCCGAGCCTGAGGCCCTCTCAGTACAAATTAACCAGATCATATGACGTATGGCTGGATGTAGTTAAGGGAAGGAGCGAACCATACCTAGGAGGGAAGGAGCGAGCACGGAAGAACATAAAAAGGAATTCTTCTGTCCACCTCTTCTTCTTCTTTCCTCTTCCCTTCTTCAGTTCTGTTACCTTCTCAGCACAGGAACAAGTTATCTCTTTTGTTCCTTTGACACGCCACCTCTTACTTCGGCGTATACGGGATGGTGTACAATGAGGAGGTTTGGCATTTCTTGAAGATTAGCCACGACTCGAAGGTGAGCTAGCTTATATCAGAATAATCAGCCAGAACACAACGTCAAGAACTAGGAATTTTAACATCTACTAGTGGTCGGAATTAGCTGTTGGCGGTAATGCTCTGGAGCGGTCCTTTGGATTGCTGGTGCCAACCCCATCGATCTCCGTTACCGCACCGATGGATTTTGATCTTTCGCTTGACGCCTGGCACAACCTGCGAAGCATCTGTGTAACCCGAGCCCATGTAAAGCCTGTGAGGTAACGGTACGGTTGCGAGATCGTTCGAGGTGTCTACCTGGCACAAGGCTGCAAGGACGTGGGCAAGCTATGATAAGGCTACACCGACCACTCAGCCACGATCGCCATTGCAGGGTCGCTGAGAACGGTAGCAACTAGCAACAGAGCGCCTCAATCTACGGCTGGTACGGGCAGCGATGTTCATTCAAACCTATCGGATCAAAGTCTTCCATAGGCCAGGGAAGACGAACAGGATAGCCGACGCCCTATCCAGACTCCCCGCAACGAACCCGATCAGGCCGCATGACAATGACGACTTGGAAGCCCTATTCGCCTATACTTACCCAACGAGCAATGAGCACAACAGCAACGAAAACCCACAGGCCTACGCCTACCTGACGTCAGTGATGCATCTCAGCGACGGTTTCAAAGAGAAAATCTTGCAAAGTTACGACTTGGACACCCGATGGCGCCTAGTGCGCGAGGGATTACAAGCTAATGATGCCGACTCCACACCAGCGAAACTCCCTCCAATTTCAACACCAGCCCCCGCCGTACCAAGAGCCACGCCTTGCACCCCATTCGTTTCGTCGACGTTCTACACAACCATGGGCAAGCTTCAGGTCGGATGTCATGAACACTTAATGCTCAGACCTGGAGCCAAGAACATATCGACTCCCGGATAACAGGACCTGCTGCCGGCTCTGTCGACGAGGAGCAGGCTTTCGTCTCCAACTAACGAGGGGTTCAAGGCAGGCGACGCAGCTTGGTGGTTTTCAAACTCGAACGGAGCTATCAAGGTCGTGATCATTGTGGCTATTAGCCCAAAGAAGGCGGAGAAATAGAGAGAGGAGAAGATGCGGATGGTCACCTTTGAGACGGTTATCTTCGACTCAACCAACCCCCTACGACCCTTGGCACAGGCACGCCGGCGACGGAGGATTAGTCGACTCATTTGGGCGCCGCTTCCAAAAATTAAAAACCAGCAGCAAGTCATGTTAGGTGGCCCATAGGGTGCTTTGCCGCCAGCCGCCGTATCCTGGCTACTCGGGACAACCCGACTTTGTCATGAAGATGAGTTCGGACGTAGCGAAGATAGTGGGAGAGGGCAAGGCACATCTTATCCTTCCCTTCCGCCTTTGATTACCGAGTTCAAATGTGAAACTCTTCTTGTTTGAAGCGTCCTGAGCATCGTCGTAACTGCTGCCGACGATGACAACCTAACCCTTTCGGCACCAACTAGGTAAGACTTACGCCACCATGCTTTATTCTCGTGCTCACACATAGGTATATAGGCCGGATCGTCAAATATATGTTCGACATGCGTCTCAAGTATGGGTTAATGACAACATACAGACAAACAATGTTCCTGGTGCACCTGATGAGATATGTGATACGAATACAAGTACTTCAATGTTTCAGCGAATGACCACATAGGGCTCGTAGAATTAGACAGAGCTAGTAGTTGTACAGAATAGGAAGATGTTGTGGTCATGACGCGAAAGAAAAGCAAACCACCTAGTGCCACCCATTGACCGTCCCCGCCGTCCCAGCAACAAGTTCATCAAGTTCATCTTTCCGGCTCTTATACAAATCCTGAGCCTCCCGCTCACGCCGCAGGACAAACGAAACAGCCTCACGGAGTTTCTCAAGTCGTCGGGGCAGAGCAGCCTCCTCCGAAATCTGAAGTGTACGGAAAGCATCCAACTCATTAACAACCGAAGGCAAAGCAGCACCAGCCTCCAAGATCTTCGACCGCAGCGTCTTAGCACGGTTCTGGTATCCGCCATAGTGCAGCGACAGCTTCTTCTCAAGCTTATTTCCACGGTCAGCAGTTGCAAAGAGCGAGGTCTGGACAGTATCAAAAGCCCCGATCATGCGTTGTTCTTCCTGGAATGGATCCTGCTCGTCGTCCTCGTAATTCTCGAGACCAGGAAGTGATTTAGCGCGAGCTGATGACCAGCCTTCGTCGAATTTCTCTTGCCATTCTGATTGCTGTGCTTGACTGGATGCAACCTCGGCGGCGATAGATGCTCGTGCTGCATCCATGTACCGGTCATGCAATGGGGTCAGCTTTGGTGCTTTGCCCTGGACTTGTGCGCCGGAGATGGGGAATTTGCGAGAGTCGTTTGCGATTAGAAGTGCGGCTTCTTTGGCGATGAGGCCTTCGATAGTGTCGGTGACGTGGGATGCACGTTCTAACAGTGCGTCCAGATCGAGTGTTGCAGGACGAGGTAGACCGCGCTGGTATACTTGTGATTGACGCTTGAATTCGGCCTTAGCGGCCTTCTCTCGTGCCTCTTGGTTGCGGCGATCACGCTCCGCTGCGTCCTCCTCACTGATCTCCATAGATGTGGTGGGCTCGGCGGATTCAGACGGGATATCTTCCAAGTCGAAATCGGTGGCCTTGGGCTTGGGAAGTGAGGCTAATTTGCTGCGCATCTGTTGGCGGATGAAGTTCTCGTGCATTTTGATGTCTCGGGGTGTGCTGCCAATGAGCTGGCCGCCCTGATCCCGGTTTAGGGCTAGATGGTCTCGCGGTGTTCGCAATGGCGTAGCACCGGGACCAGGCAGTGGTGTTGCACCCACGCCATTAGCCTGGCGGAATGGGGTGGCCATGGGGTTGGGAGTGACGATATCCTGCCTTCGGGGAGCAATTCCTTCAAATCCAGTGGATGAACCGCCCTCGTGAAGAGGGGTGTTGTCTCCTCCCAAAAGAGAAGACTGAGTTTCGGTCAAAGCTCGAATATTCCTGATTTCGTTGGCAATGTGATCGTCCTCCGGGGCGGCGCGGGGAGTCCTGATAGGAGCTCCTCCGACAAGAGTCGAGTAATCTCCAACGAAACCTTGGTTATCTTCCTCGTCTCCCAATTGATTGACTCTTTCTCCGGCCATTCCCATCTTGATGATATCTTCCATTTCGCCTTCGCTGATCTGCGGTGCCGGCAAGTTCAGACCCCGACGCTTGCTGCTTTGTTCAGCCTCGCGAATCTTCTGCATCTGGCCCGCTCGTGCAGCAGCAGCAGAAGCGGCGCTGGCGCTAGGTTTATCGTTCTTGCGCTTCTTGCGCTCCGCATCATCGTCTTGATCGCCTTTTCTCTTGTTTGCGAGTTGCTGCTTTCGCGGATCGAAAGCTTCCCGTTGCCGCTCATTTTGGTTCTGCTCTTCGATTGTGTCGTAGAACCCAGGAGCAGCTGGCTTCTCAAATGGAATATCTGCATTGTAATCCATCTGGCCGGGCTTCCGGGTGACAACCTTGACGTTGATACCGGCATTCTTGAGTTCGCGACGTTTCTGAAGAACCGCCAGTCGACGCGATTCTTCTAGTTGGCGTTCTCGGGCCTTGCGCTTGGCCTTCTTACCCTGTGTGTTAGCAAGACGAGCACGCGCTTCGCTCAGCATTTCTTTTTCGTCTTCATCGAGATCTATTGTGTCGGGACGGGCGGGCTTAGACTCTGGATCGGGATCGAGTTCACCGGGTCTATAACCTGTCAGTAACATGAACTTTGGAATTGTGGTTGGATTACATACCGTAGACGGCGGACGTCATCCGCACTGGGAGCGGCGCTCTCCTCGCCAGGGCCCCCAAGGCCAAGCTCATCATTTTCACGAGATTCAGCTTCATCCAAGAGCTTTTGGTAACGTTCGAGACATTGGGTGGCAGTGCGCCCGACGATGGGGGCAATGGTGCGCCATTGCGTTGGCATCAGCTTCGCGAGGTGCAGAAGCTTCTCATCCTCCTCTCGTGACCACTCGGTCTTGCGAATACCAGGGTCCAACCATTCGACCCAACGCGCTTTGCATTGCTTTGGTGTTTTGCGTGCGAGGAGGGAGGAGACTCGAGCCCACTGATTGAGACCATATTTGGATACCTGTGATCGAGTTAGTCTTCGTCCCAAATCGTTGGCAGGGAGTATTCTTAGTATATAGAAGTATCACGTACAGCTGCCCGAAGCACTTCATCCTCGATGTTGGTCCTGAAATAGCGTTAGCGACGAAAGCTCGTCGGCGGGTTCCACCGGGGGTCACTGGTCACTTACCAGACACCTCCTTTGACGATAGGCATGGTGTGGAATCGCGCTCAGCGCAGTGTCAATCCTCCGGTAAACAATAATTCAAGATCAGAAGCACTGCCAGAAAGATGGAAGATGAAACTCACTGGCGTTTGGAGTAGTTCACGCGCCACAAGTGGATGACAGCTTGGAACGGAAGAAAAGCGAGTTCGCTGCCAAGCGCGCTAAACATGATAAGCGCAATCACCGCCCCCGCGTGCTGAGATAAGCAGACCCAGATTTTTTCCGAGAAAAAAAGATAAGACAATATTTTCATACTATCAATTATCAACGTCGACTCTCTGTCACTGTTGATTTCCACAATGTCGACTTCCGTGGCTGCCCCCAGCCAATACAAGCAACCTTCCCGCAAGGGCAAGAAGGCGTGGCGCAAGAATGTCGATGTCACCGAAGTGCAGGAGGGTCTGCGTGATCTGAAGGAGGCCGAGATCGTTGGGTAGGCCTATCTTTTTACCTTCTCTTGGCCAGTTACTCTTGAAAGGAAATTCTAACCCTCTACTTCTTCTGCTAGTGGACTTGTGTCAGAAAAGCCTTCCGATGAGCTTTTCGTTATCGATACTACCGGTAATGATGAGGTGCGCAAGTCTCTCGGCAAAAAGCGCAAGCCCCTCAAGTCAGACGAGATCCTTGCCCAACGGTCAAAGATCCCCGCTCTGGACGGACGCAAGCGTGGAAGTCAGAATGTCACCGATGGAGTCATTGAGCCTAAGACGAAGAAGCCCAAGAGCGATTGGGTCAGCCGCAAGGAATATCTGCGCTTGAAACAAGTAGCCCGTGAAGCCAACCCTCTGGGCAAGAAGACCGGCGATGAGTTCTACGATCCTTGGGCGGAAGATGCCGAACCTGCAACCACATATGACGATCCCCGTTTTGATTTCTTGCCGAAGCCCAAGCCCAAGGTCGAGCCCGTCACGTTAAAGAAAGCCCCGGTCTCGCTTGCTGCCAATGGAAAGCCTGTCCCGTCTGTTAAGAAGCCACACGCTGGTACCAGTTACAACCCCGTGTTCGAAGAGTGGGACAAACTATTGGAGACACACGGCGCCAAGGCGGTAGAGGAGGAGAAGAAGCGCTTGGAGGAAGAGGCCAAGGAAGCTGAGAGGCAACGCTTGATTGAGGAGGCCCGCAATGACGACGGCGAGATCAAGTCGGACGACGAGAGTGCCTGGGAGGGCTTTGAGAGTGAATATGAGAAGCCCGAATGGCTGACCAAGAAGCGTCCGGAGCGGAAATCCAAGACACAGCGCAACAAGGTCATCCGACGCAAGGCCGCAGAGGGCAAAGCGAAGTGGGAGGCCAAGATGAAGCAAAGAGATGCGCAGGCGGAGCACATTCTCAAGATCGCCGAGGAGGTCAAGCAACGCGAGCTTGAGCGTGCCAACCAGTCAGATGCTGATGATTCCGATGAGGGCGATGACACTGAACTTCGCCGGAAGACCTTTGGTAGCAAGAAAGGGTACGTTTATTCTATTAACCGATCTCTGTTCCTTTGACTAACAAGCTATTACAGTGTACCCAAGCAACGGTTGGAGCTGGTGCTTCCTGATGAATTGCAGGATTCGCTACGTCTTTTGAAGCCGGAAGGCAACCTCTTGGATGATCGATTCCGAACGTTGATCGTGCAGGGTAAGCTCGAGGCCCGCACACCAATTGTCCAGGCCCGCAAGGCCAGAAGAAAGATTACGGAGAAGTGGTCTGCGAAGGATTTCAAGACTGGATTCGAATGATTTGCTGCATATTCCCTCTAAAAGCGCGTGCATTTTGTTATTTGGACATATAATGTGGTTCTATACAATAAACAGGATCAGGTTTCATCTCAATTTCTAGTCACTCCTATCTATATCTTCAGACAAAATGTAGTTACTATCACAGTACTGTGTAGATAGGAATCAGTCAGGTCGCTACTGTACCCAGTACCTGATCAACTTATCCGGCATAAGAAATAAAAGTGGGGCTCCCGAAAATTTACTAGCTTATCTTTTTTATCTCTCACATCCTCCTACACCAACAGATTCATCATGGACAAAACAGCGCTTTCCAGTAATTGGAAGAAGCTGCAGGCGACCCTCAAGAAAGACACTGCCAAGCGCAAGTCCTCCGATCGCGACTCCGGAGATGCTACGAAGAAACGCAAGTTGAGCGAGAAGCAAAAGCCATATACCCACGCCAAACCAACTCTCAAGCGCAAGAGAATGTCCGACAAGACCGAGGCCGGCGATGAAGCGCCCAAAGTTGAGTCACGCTACAAGGAGAACGAAGGTCGTTCACCGACGTAAGTTTTGCTACCTGCCACCCGCCCTGTTCGGGACAATTCTTATCCTACTCAGCTAACTAACACCCACTCCAGCGCCGAGATAGGACGCTACATCGCGATGGATTGTGAAATGGTTGGCGTCGGACCAAACCCAGACAACGACTCAGCCCTTGCCCGTGTCAGTGTGGTAAACTTCAACGGCGACCAAGTATACGACTCGTACGTGCGGCCGAAGGAAATGGTCACAGACTGGCGCACGCATGTGAGCGGCATTGCTCCGAAACACATGGTTGAGGCACGGAGCCTGGAGGAAGTCCAGAAGGACATTGCAGAGATCATGAAGGACCGGGTCCTGGTCGGTCATGCTGTCAGTAATGATCTCGACGCTCTTCTGCTCGGCCATCCCAAGCGCGATATCCGGGATACGAGCAAGCACCCGCCATATCGGAGGATTGCGGGCGGTGGCTCGCCGCGGCTGAAGGTGTTAGCTGAGGAGTTCTTGGGGATCAAGATTCAGGAGGGGGCGCATTCTAGTGTGGAGGATGCGAGGGCTACGATGGCTCTGTTTCGTCGGGAGAAGGACGCGTTTGAGAGGGAACATTTGAAGAAATGGCCGGCGAGGATGATGGCTGATACTAGGGAGAAGGGGGAGGGGCAGAAAAAGAAGAAGAAGAAGAAGACGACTCGCAAGCGTTGAATATTCGTTATGTAGATAGAGAGACATGCTTTGATACTCTGTACTTGTATACCCCGATCATTGCCAATTGAATTATTTTGCATTACATGGTACACATACTGTGTAGAGGACTGTATTGTAAATACAAACAAAAAGAAAAAGACATCTTCAAGTACACAGTACTGTGTATGTGGAGGGTGCTGTTGCTTGTAATTCTCGGCCTACCTGTAGATCCGGCTCGAATTTCCACTTAACGCGGAGAACGCGTCGCGCCTCACCTCCAACCTTTACAAGAATCCAACACCACAAAGACCAGAGACCACAGCTCCAATCCCACAATTAAGACAACACGAATAATTTCAGCAACCAATTGACCTAAACAAGATACGAAGTTACACTCCTGCACCGCTTGCTAAAACCCACATCCACCGCGATTCCCACCGCCACAATGCCCGACATGTACGCCTTCCAGCCGAGCTCAAAAGCCCCCTCACAATCCGAGAAGAACGACGCAAGCCTGCAATACACACCAAATATCATCCCATGTCGGGTCCACCACGACGGACCCGTAGAGTCTGTCGAGCGGTATTGGACACCAGTGGCAGACAAAGGTACACGAGAACAACCTAGGCTGGACACGCTATATAGCCCAGTTTTATTCACATATAGCTCATGAGTACAAAAGCTGATGTCTTTATGTCCAGATAATACACAAACGGCGTATTTCCGCGGCCGCAAACTTCGTGGTCGGCGCGTTGCCCTCCCGGATGGTTATCGAGGTGTTGTTGCGACGCCTACGGACCGTGTGTTACCGAGTCAGCAGGCAGACCGGGATGCCGTTGAGGATGCCGAGCCTGAAGAACCGGTCAAGGTATTGGAGACGCATGGTACTTTCGATGAGATTGTAGTGTGGGGTCATGAGGCCTTGCCTGCGGCGGATGATATGTTTGTCAAGGGTGTGGAGGAGTGGTTGCAGTTTGCAGATGCGGTATGTTTAACTCGTCCTTCGCTATGCTGATTGGTGTCTTATCTTGTTTTTTTGACTGGCAGATGCATACTACCCCTATGCCAGCGACTAGTGGTGCAAAGGAGTCTGTTGCTGCATGAGGAAGGGTCATTTGCTTGGGAGAGGTGATGGGGGGACTCTATATGTGATTCTGCCTGTACACAGGATATGTGAACATCAGGCATCATAATCCGATGAGACGAATATCCAGATCTTACTGAATGTTTAGTTTAACCATGCCGGCCGACCAAGATTTTAGGATACTGTAATTTAACTATATGTTTCAAAAATACAGTAATAATACCATAGATCTTCGGTATTAAATATTATTTGATGGTAATACTATTAACTATATCTTTTGGGATACCTGTGGTCAAGCCGCCCCTTGAAATGAACAACTTCCCCATTGACACCACAACACAGATCGCAGACGACACTAAACGTCAATGCCATTCCTTGATCTGCCACATGAAATCCTTCAGCAGATTATCTCATATCTGCTTTCCAACGGCGATGTAGCCGCTCTTTCAATCCAATGCCGCAAACTCCACGTTATGTGCGACATGCGAGTGCGCCAGAAATATGAACATATTATTGTGTACTGCGAAGAAGGACATATTGACAATGTCTTTGAATTGCTCATGAACATTCTGAAATCTCCTATTTTGGGCCAGTACGTGCGGCGTATCGAATGTTCGGTACCAGAAACCACGGATGTGGTTTACAAAGAGGTCAAATACCAACGAGACCTGAGCAACGAGGAGATGGATCTCGTGCGGAAAACAGTCAGAAAGGCCGGATTTATTGGACCAAAAGAGGAGCAAATCGTCAATATGCTCATGCAGAGGATTACGAAGGAGGGACGTTATCTGGATGGAGTCTGGCCTCGAATATTTCGACGAGTTTTAACCCGAGAAACAGACAGCGCAACCGTCTCGGTACATTTATCTGTCAAGCTTTGACTATCATGTTGATTGTGGTATCACCGAACCTCACGTCGATAGCCTTTCCATCTTTCACTTACCATGACTGGAAGTTCCCGCTTGCGCAGTTTCTCACCGAGGCCAACGCTAGTCCCGAGAACAAGCCATATCTCCGCCTTCTCCGCGATATTGATCTGATCTACCAAAAAAGGTGGTACTGGTGGAATGGCCAGTGGTTTTTCATGCAAATGGACTTGTTCGACTCTTTGAGTTACCTGGATAACCTCTTGTCCATTGAATCTGTCAACGCTGATATCGTGGATGACGATACATTCACCGAGCATGATTTCAGAGTTGGATACTCTAATATCAGCAGAATGGCCATTGATTATTCGGACCTTGAATCTCTATCGCTTGCGGTCCTGATATCTTCGTTCAAGGTTCTCAGGGAATTCATATATTATGCTGGCAGACTAAGTTGTGACACACCGTTCAATCCCAAGACATTTTTCAAAGCGATGTGCCGGCACAAAGACACACTTGAAATCCTGGACGTTGACGTCGCATGCCAATTTAATCTACTTAACATCAGATACGCGCATGACAGGGAATACGCCATGGACGTAAGTGAAAGGGATTATGGCCACTATCCAAACAAGGAACGTGACAAATTTCTTTCGCTAGTACAAAGCCACAAAGACACCCTGAAAGACTTTGTGGCCTTGAAAAGGTTAAGCATGGGAATAGATATGCTCTTGTACTTCGCCAAGGGCAATACCTCCTACTACCGGTGGCAACCTCCTGGGGGGCCTAAGAAAATACACTTGATACATTGTTTGCCAGATTCGCTTGAATATTTGTGCGTGCGGGGATACTGCAAGGGCGAGAACAGAGAACACGATGTACATATGGATGGGTTGTTAGCCCTTTTCAAGTCTGGGTCATCTTCACTGAAGGAGGTCAAGGGAATTGAAGAAACCATTCCATTTGTCTGCAGGGGAGATGAAGTCCAACACGACCCCCGGGTGTGGGCCTTGGGCCCTGGAAGCGATAGTGAAAGTGAGAGTGGGGTTCAGAGCGGATTTGAGAGTGAGATTGTGAGCGGGGCTGAGAGTGAGGTTGAGAGTGAGGTTGAGAGTGAGGTTGAGAGTGCGAGTGAGAGTGACTAGTCAATGCAAGACAGACTGGAGATTCAAAGATTTTCACGTGGTATGGTTTACGAGAGAAGAGCACGAGAGACCGGTGCCCATCTTCTAAAAACAGCTCTGATTGAGACCGACTAGATCTACGGAAAGCTATGACTGGGCTCCGGATATTGCCGTCATGGCTGTTATCGTATCATTATCCCGCTTCATTCTTGTGGCCCAATTCGTATGCTGAGGCTGGATAGGTATCAGGTATTTTCTTTTCCGAAATGTGCGGATTACCGAGTTTCCTCACAAAGCTCAACATTCCAACTCTTCAAATCACAAATGATACCCATAGTATTCTCAGCCTCGGTAGTAAACCCAGTAATACGACGACCTTGAATAACAGGCTTTCCTGTCTCACGATCAATGATATTGGCAAGCATAGCTGGACCGTGACAAACAGAACCAACAACACCACCACTGGCCCAGACCTGCTCAGCGACCTTCTGAAAGTCGCAGTCCTGTAATCAATCAGGGCGGCGTGGCCAGTGGAGGCATAGAAAATGCCATACTGCGATGCGTTCAGGTCGGCAGCTTTGGTCATATTATCCAGCTTCTTGCGGATTACGTTACTACAGATGGAAGGCACCCAGAGTGAAAACACCCCATGTGACGAGAGCACATGGAACCAGGACTGTCACATGATGGGAGGAACTGGCTGTGGTGCTTATTATCTCTTTCTTCCTCCTGTTTCTTTTCTCTTTTCTTTTCTCCCCAGTGGGCCCAGTCTTGTTGTTTTAGTCAAAGGAATCCATTTGCTTCTGTTTACCTTCGTAACACACAGAGCGATCACATTATCTCCATCATTCAACCTTCGACCTTTCACGCAGGACTTCATTGAATCAGAACCTCCTTTACGTGCCAAATTCTCCTTCGATCCAAAAACAAATATCCTTACCGTGAAGATGCTCTTCCAGTGCACGAGGCAGCCATACGCACTTTTGAAGGGTGGATGCAAGTGGCCTTTGAGCAAATGGGCCTATGGACAGGAACGACATCTCTGTCTGCCCAATAAGGCAGTCGCTCCTCTTACTCCCATAGATCCATCTATATACACGGTGGTTGGTACACCACGTGGCATGGGATTCAACTTCGACGAGGGGTCAATTTTGATCATCGTTTGATGAGCTGGTCTGCTGGAGACGTGCACTCAGGCGCCGCGCACGCTGTGGGCCGGTCCCCTGTGGAATAATACAATGTGGGTTGGCAGTTCAATTCCAAGTCTGTCACGTGACTAACATCTCTCACTCAGCTCGCACTCCGCACCCATCTCCACTTGTGGGTCTTCTGACGCGGGAGCTAAACCAGAATAGGAACGCTCACTCTTTCTACATTAAGCTCCGATCGCCGGGCTCTTCCTCAAGCTCTCTCAGACTCTTCCACAATGCCTCGTCGATTTGCTATCGGATCGTCAAAGCTCCGCCGCTTGATTGAAACGCTACAACATGCAGAACATGATGATTCCTCGGGATCCCTTGCCCCTAGCCCAGGAGTGTAGCTTAGTTTATCACAATTCACAACCATCAGTTATAGCTCGTGGCGCTCATCCAGCCGGTCCCTACTCGCCTGATCAGCTCGACAATACCATGGAGAATCCAGGCATCGGCAACTTTACACAGGAAGACCAGATGCTCGTCGACACAATTGAACCGATACTGGAGTCACTGGAGTGTGAGGGAGAATCCGAGGACCTGGCGAGTATTGCTTCCGAGAACGAAGAATTCGAGGAACTGGAAACTGAACCAGAAGATGACAATGAAAATGACAATGTGCCTTCTCATGAAGATATCGTACAAACGGTTGAAAGTGTTATGGCTGAGCTCTTTCCTTTGTTATGGTCTACATTTTTCTATTCTGGGGGCGACCGGCTCGGAAATGCGCAAAGCGAGTTTCCAACAGTCGTCCAGTGGGCTGGCGCCCACACTTTCCAGCTGTCAGTAGGCCTGATAGCAACCCCGCATAGCAGCTTATACTTAGAGCAAGCTACATCGGGCCAATGAATTTCTCTCCCTATGGCTGAGCTCGAGCTCCCAGAGCCATCTCCCGAGGAGGAGGATGACTTTCCTGAAAGCCGTGGCACACCAGGGACCGTGAGTGTTCCTACCGTTCGGTCCACTAGTATGCCACCGCTAAGTCTGTTCCGGCCCCGAGAATACCCAGGATATGAAGTGCCACAACACATTACCTACGAGAAGATACGAACCGCACAATCCCGTTCAATAATACATCCGTTCCACCGTAACCTTGCATTATGGTGTATTTCATCTGGTATATCTCGTCAAGATTATGCTGGACTTCTGGGGGTTCTACAGGATGATCTTCTTGGAAGTGGAGGCACTACTGGAGATATCATGCATTCGCTCCCGTTGAAACTAGGGAATCTGAAACAGGCTTTGTACAGCCAGCTGGACTCCCTCGAGTTACTCCGTCGCAAAATTCCGGTCATATCAGCTAAACAGCCGACTGGGCTATCTCAGTCCGTGTTGCGTCACATCTATATCGCAGATCCAATTCCCCTCGTCATCAGGCTCCTCCAATCCCCAAAGTTCAAAGAAAGATCACATTTTGGTCTTGCCCAGTTCGTGGACCGCCCGTCCGAGCTCTGGCAATCTTTGTCGTGGGGAGGTTCGATTCGCGCCACATCGGGCCAGTTTGCTACATATCCCGATGGATCTGACATGCCAATTTTCCCCTCTGATATTGTGACATTCTGGTGTCTCCAAAACTGCGACATAGGCAATGGAGACTGTGATGGGCCCAGGGCATATGGGCCGCGTTCTTTGTGTAGGCACAGACATCGATAGTGCTGGACACTCAGAGCCCGAATTACTCGTTCGAATTCAGAGATTACTGCAGTTCAAGGAGGCCAGTACTACCCAGCGTGAGAATTTGCAGCGCTATGGTCCGGATATCGCAGAGCATGAGCTTGTCATACTCAATGATCACTCTGAGACACGTCGACCAGATGAGATACGCTATCGTTCTGAGCTGGTTTGGCGCTCGTATAAGTACACACTGCCGAAAGACCCCAAGAAGATGTCAAGGAGACATAAGATTCCCCGTGTGTTCCCATACCCCCTGACTATTTGTCGCGTACTTCGCGATGACGGCAGGGTATTTGCAGTTAGCCACTCAACACCAATTCGAGGAGAACTTGAAGTGAGCCACTTTACCCGTGATCATCTTGTGGCTAATCTCCATAGAAAACGGTGCATTACGCTACCTTATCTTCTCTTCTCAGATGGACTTAGTCTCTACCTAAATATTGTTCGATTCATTGCCAATAGAATACATTTGAAAGTCCAATGCGTCAACAATGCAGTCCATCTCCCGCCCCTAAGCAACATTTCTCACTGCTTGATCTGAATTATGGAATTCCTCCCAACATGGCCCTTTCAAACACAGCGGAAGATCACCACACTCCTTACAGCCATGCCTCCCACGTGGCGGCGGGCCTCCTTTGCCTTTCACTCTGTTGAATTGACACCAAGCACAAGAATATCGCTTATCTAGGTCAATTCGCGTGTGGGATGTAACCTCGATCTGCTGGTTTGGCCGTGCAGCCTCTTTTCCAGATTGGCAAAGCTCCTTGGCAAGGTTCTCGCGGAACTTGGCTTGGGTAAGCTTATGTTTAAGATCACCCTGCTGCTTTTTGGCGTTACAGTGAATGCGCCATGCATCAGCAATAGCAGCATTGAGGAAGGGGAAACCCAACGAGAACCGGTTCCTATACCCTGGCTGGGGTTGATGCGAGCTACTTGGTGGATGATGGATGTGCAGAAGGCGCTTGATCTGCTCAAAGCGCGTTAGGCGCATATGGTAGCGGCATCCATAGGTTACAACGGGTTTCCATTGCTCTTCATCTTCGAAGTAGTCGCACACAAGTGGCATAGGGCAGACACCCATATATATCAGAAGACCCACAAAGACCTTCATTTCTGCTGCTGTGGTATCCCTCCAGTAGCGGAGATCGCTAGGTGAAGTCACAGGGCTTGTAGTCACAGGGCTTGTAGTCACAGGGCTTGCAGTCCAAGTCCCAGCGCTTGTATGCCAAGTGCTTGGATCCCAAGTGCTTGCAGTCTCAGGGGCTCTCCTAGGAATTTTACTCTCAGGGTTCTCGCTCTCAGGGTTCTCGCTCTCAGGGTTCTCGCTCTCAGGGTTCTCGCTCTCAGGGTTCTCGCTCTCAGGGTTCTCGCTCTCAGGGTTCTCGCTCTCAGGGTTCTCGCTCTCAGGGTTCTCGCTCTCAGGGTTCTCGCTCTCAGGGTTCTCGCTCTCAGGGTTCTCGCTCTCAGGGTTCTCGCTCTCAGGGTTCCCGCTCTCGGGGTTCTCGCTCTCGGGGTTCTCGCTCCTGGGTCTCTTGCTATCAGGAATCTTGTGTGATGAATCACATGACCAATCTTTTCGTGTAGTCCTTTTCACCTCTTGTTTGTTTTCTTTCTTCTTTTCTTTTCTTCCCCAACCTTGTTGTTTTTAGATCAAAGGGAATCGAATTTTATTTCGAAGGAACTTCCTCATCACATTACAACAAGGTTCCCACCAATTCATTTTTTTCTACATCTTGCTCTCATCGGCCTTTTGCTTCAGTTTCAACTGGTAGCATTCATTTGTTGACTGGCTGAGAGATTCCCAAGTATCCTCGCCAAGAAACAGAGCAAAAATCGCAGATGGGCTATCGAAATCGAGCCCACTAGGTAGCTGAGAATGCGGTGGTTTCGGGTACGAGGGTGAAATCAAGAGCTCAATTCGCGCATCCAGGTCCTCTCGAGGGTGGAATTCCGCGATATATGCATTAAGCAAACACATCCGTTCTTTGTCATCCATAGTGAATTGGCAGTGGGTAGGTGGGTAGGTAACGAATTGGCAGTAAGTAGGTAGGTAGTGAAGTGGCAGTTTGGAAGATTAGGTGTGAGAGACGCGCTCAAATGGCTCTATAAACAACGCGTTGAAGCTGTGGGGCAGCTGTCCAAGACCGATACAGTAAGTGGCATAGTAGATCACCGCCTACCAAATAGCCTACATCACCGCCTCGATAGTTCAGGCAGTACCGCATAAATCCCCACCAAAAGCGATAAGCCTGACCGCCCATCAGTCCGAAAGCTCACAGTACACAGTACACAGTACACAGTAGACCAATATCAAACAAAACAACCATCTCCAAACTCTGCTCGTCCTGCCAAACGCAGGATCTCAAAATGGCCGACTCCCAAGATACCAACAGACCGACCCCAGAGTCCCTAATCTCCCAGTTTCAAATAACGAAGCTCCTCAAACAAGGTACTCCTCAACCCACCCCGCCAACATAACACAATCTAAAACCCCAAAACAGACCAAAATGGCCGCCGCATCGCCCTCCTCGGCACAATAAACAACGAACAAGGCATCCTAACCGCCGAGCGCACCGCAATCCCAACAGAATCCCTCGAAGTCCTACAGTCCTTCCAAGCCGCAATCTCCCGCATAACCAACCTAGGCGACAACGACATCTACCGCTGGTACCTCGCCTCATCCACCTCACCCACCTCACCAACCAGCGAAATCCACCCAGATCTAAAATTAAACCTGATCTACCCCTGCGACACCCAGCACATAAAGAAATACTCCTCCCAAAACCTGCGGATGGTGACAGAGACACCGACAATCTACCGCAATCACATCCAACCCTACATCCAGCGCAAGCGCGACCAAGGCCGCTTGAACTGGGTATTCAATATCCTGGAAGGCCGGACAGAGCAGGAAGATGTTGTTTTGCGTGTGGAGTCCGGATCTGGTGGGGTGAATGATGGGTTCCTGATGTTGCCGGATTTGAACTGGGATCGGAAGAGTATGGGGTCTTTGCATTTGCTTGCGCTTGTGCAGAGGAGGGATCTTTGGTCTTTGAGGGATTTGAGGAAGAGGGATGTTGCGTTCTTGAGGGGGTTGAGGGCCAGGGTGCTTGAGGGGGTGAGGGAGGTTTATGGGTTGGAGGCGGATCAGTTGAAGCTTTATGTTCATTGTGAGTTTTCGGTTCGATTTATTTTGGGTTGCTGGGCTAATTGGTGTTGGCAGATCAACCTACTTACTATCATTTCCATGTTCATGTGGTGAATGTTGGGCTTGAGGCGGGAGCGACGCAGGCTACGGGAAAGGCTTTTGGGCTTGAGAATCTGATTTCTTGGCTTGAGGGGTTGAATGGGGGCGAGGATGCGGGTTTGGCGGATGTTGATTTGACCTATTTCTTGGGGGAGGAGAGTGAGCTCTGGACCGATATTTTTGGGCCATTGAAGAGGGGGGAGAAGGCGGCTGATAGAGTGTAATTGCCTTGTGGTATATTCAAATGGTTTCATCACTCAATGGGGTGAACTATGCCCGGTACTGCCTTGGCCGGGATGTGTTCAGTCCCAGCAGACTCGTACATCGGTAGGTGATGCATAAAACGCCTAAAGACAAAGAACATTCAGTGACCGAGACATTAGTATACATTTTTGAAACCATCTATATACACGACTAAACATGTTCTCTAACATCCCTAAGCTCAACGTCCTGGGTATCGGTCGTAGTCTGTGTAACCTCGAACGTACGATGAATCCCCAACCCCATATCACCCGGCACACGAGGCCTCGACCGATCCATAGTCAATCTCTCCTCACTGCTGGTAGGGCTCGACGACACATCATCGTAGATGTCATGAGGATCCCTCCTCTGGCCCTTGATGGTCGTGACAGTGACAGCGAGCTTGTCAGGTCGCAGGCGAGACTGCATGCTTTCATCCATGGAGCCTAGTGGGAATGGACCGCCCAGCTTGCGCGAGGCGGACGGTGACTGAGGGCCCGGGAAACCGGAGGAGTAGTCTTGGCTGGAGGTGGAGCCCATTATGACGCGGAGGAGGGGACGAAGAGTCGCGAGACTGCCGGCTGTGATGCCGAGGCCGGCCTCGACGTTGGACCAAATGGCGATGTGGACGGTTGCATCTGTCGGGGAGAATGGTTAGTCTTCATTTCCTGGTTCATTGCTTCATCTGTGCAGAGAAGGAAGACATACAGAGGAAATCAGGATCAGCGAAGGTGCTGACAAAAGGAATACGGACGATGACTGCCGCAGAAGCACTAGATGACCTGGTTAGCACGTGGAAAGAATATAGAACCCTGGAGGAGAGAAACATACATGCAAGCCATGCTCAGAATTCCCATGACAGCGATCTTGGTCTGGCGCTTCATGTGCAGCTTGTGCACGAGGAAGATGGGCATGATGCCGACGGTGAAATCACACAATGCAGCGAAAGCACTGTACACATAAGTCATGTTGATAATGATGTTGATATCAATACAGTAACCCTGAATAGTAGGGTCGCCCGCCGTCCTAGTCCAGAAGTACTCCAGCGGCTTGCACTGCAGCAGCATGAGGAACATGAAAATGATACCGGCGAGGACAGTCAAGGCCATAACGATATACAGAATCCAGTGATGGACGCGCTTGATAGTAATGCGCATCAAGAATAGACAAATGGAGATCTTGCACCCGATCGAGGCAAAACAGTAGGCGATCTCGCACAGCCACCAGTATTTCATCGCAGTTACCCGCGCGTCAGGCTCGAGGTTTTCGAACTTGTAGCCTGTGCCGTATATTGAGCCTCCGATCATGGTTCCAGAGAACATTGCGTAGAACAGCTGTGCATAATGTAGTTAGCACGAATCCTGCCAGATCGGGCTCTCCACATGATGTGCGATGAGCAGTCGGAAGGAACCGAAGGATCGAAATCCTGGGAAGATCAGAGATCACGTACCAATGCAACCACCATAGACCCATCATCCCATCCGAATGCCTTGACAACCCACCCGCGCACATAGACGCGCAGCATTACCGTGATCGCGGCGATGGGCAAGAAGGTCGCGGCGACGGTCTGCACCGCGATGCTTCTTTGCTTTTCGTCCATCCTAGCGGTACATGGGTGTGACAGTCCAAGATTGGAGATGTGGGGGGAGCAGGGTCTCTTAACAAGACACTATTGCCCCTGTCAGGCTGTCAGGGCTTGCAGAAATCCCGAAGAGAGGACTAGATCGTTTTGAGTTTTGGTGGTTTTTTGGGGGGCGTTTTTAGTCGACCGAAGAATCAGCGCTAAACTAACGACCAAGTGATCGACAATGTGACAGGTTTGGCTCACAAGATTCGGGATAGAGATCACCGATCACCGATCACCAGAGATCCAGTCAAGTATTACAAGAATGTCCATATAGCTTTGAAATAATCTATGGATAAGGCACGAACTGCCACGTTTCTTCCCAGGTTAAGTGCCGAGGAGATAGGTCCAGTCCATGTGGAATCAAATGCCAAGTCAACACAGAGTTTTACCCGTCGCTGTGTAACGAGCTAGTTTTCCAAGTTCGACAATCTCGGCAGGGGCTGGCGAGCATGGCTAGTTATCGGGGGCGCCGGGGCCTTGGCCCTTAGCTTGATTTGCACCTACGCCAGTCCCACTCACGGTGATGCACCCGAAATAGCCACAAGGTCCGCGGTGAATGCTATTTCTTTTTCAGTAGGGGCAGTGGCGATCAGGTTGGTCTTAAGTGAAAATATCTCCGTGCTTTGCCTTGGCCCTTGGAAAAGTCAGTGCCGGCTTTTCTCAATAATTCTCATTTTATGTACATAAATAACTACCGCGTCCATACGGCGGACTCCGGAGTTGGCCCCGTCTGCGGATCAAGTTCGGTGATGAGCAGGGGTTCTCCTTTTAGGAGTGAACTTGGGGATCTGGATCGATGTGGATGGGAGTCAATGCAGGATGATCCGGGTTGATCCAGAGTACAACCGTTAGAGCAATCGGGATTATGCTGTAGGTTGTACGGAGTACTATTCCTTTCGACCGTTATTGGTACAATGTTATTGTTGATCTGGTTCCAAGGTTCCGGCCATGTGTGAACAATGGTGCAAACACGGCAAATAGAGGTGGGTCTGTCTTGGCTTGGTTTCTCGGGCTTATGCCAAGAGATTCCAGAAGCAACATGGAAGGAAACAAGTTTGCAATAATGTACTGCGGATGGTAGAGAGTAGAGACTAGAGAGCAATTTCAATTTTCAGGACAGGTTTCGATGAACATTTTGCTTCCTATCTAAACTACATCGTGAAAAATACCCCTCGATAAACGCATATGAAAAAAAAGAAAAGATGAATCACATGTACGAAGGACAGTGTACATACATCGCGACACTACGTACTATCCTTCGGGGGTTTCACAGCGCATTTCTCAGCGACAACCAAGCCCCTTGGCTGGCAAACTAGTCTCATTAGCGCCGTTTTTCTGCCGAATCCCATGTGCCAGGCTAAGATGCCAGTGCCGTTATGCAGTCGAATCAAATCCATGCCCTCAACCCCGCACTCCAACCAGACTCCAACTCACTCTCCAACCTCAAAATCAAACAACCAAACAAGCTTAATCCAACCTCTACACAACACTCAGCATCAAATCCAACCATAAAAATGTCGCACACCGACGTCGACGTCCCAACAACCCAAAAGGCCTTCGTGCCCCTAGGTCCGCCCTCCCTCTCCCCCATGACCCCATCTCCCTCAAACCCCCCACTAAACCACAACCAGAAAACAACCCAGAAGTAATGTCCCACCTAATCCACCAACTCGGCCTCCCCCCAACCCTCGGCTTCACGGACGTCTTCTCAATCGACGACGCCGACCTCCTAGCCTTCGTCCCGCGCCCCTCCTACGCCCTCCTCCTCGTCTTCCCCATCTCCGCAACCTACGAAGCCTCCCGCGAAACCGAAGACGCCCAAAAAGAACCCTACACCGGCTCCGGGCCCTCCGAGCCCGTAATGTGGTTTAAACAAACAATCCGCAACGCCTGCGGACTAATCGGGCTCCTGCACGCCGTGTCGAACGGCGAGGCGCGGAAACAGATCATCCCGGGCTCGGATCTGGACGTTCTTCTCCGGGATGCGGAAGGCTTGCAGCCGGTGCAAAGGGCGGATCTGCTGTACGAGAGTAAGGCGTTGGAGAGCGCGCATGCGGATGCGGCGAAATTGGGGGATACGGCTGCGCCGGAGGCGGAGGATAATGTGGATTTGCATTTTGTGGCGTTTGTCAAGGGGGTGGATGGGAGGCTTTGGGAGCTTGATGGGCGCCGGAAGGGGCCGATTGCTAGGGGGAGCTTGGGGAGGGGGAGGATGCGCTTTGTGAGAGGGCTTTGGAGATGGGGGTTAGGAGATTTTTGAAGGTTGAGGCTCAGGGAGGCAATCCGGATTTGAGGTTTAGTCTTGTTAGTTTAGGGCCGTTGTTTGATTAGGGGTTTGGATCGTGGCGTTTATGGGATGGTTGCTTGGCTGCTGCTTTAACTAAGTACGTTGGGTGATGTTATGCGTCTTTCGAGGACGTTAGATTGGGAGCATGATAATAATATCACTCAAACCGGGCTACTGTGGTTTATTTTAGACATCGGACTCAACCCAGCATTCACGCGCATTAAACCGAAGCACTTCATTACCAACCCCCGACCATCCAGCAGTCAGGTTGCGCGCGAACACCTCAAGCGCCGAATACGAACAAAGCTCTCCGGAATCAGTGAAAAACACCTCCTCAAAAACAGCCTTCAAGTTCGGTTTTCTCGAATGCAGATCTGGAACAGCAGCAATAACCCTTCTCCTGGTGACAGCCTCACTCAAACGCATCAAATCATCCTCAGACATCAACGGCGCCTCAATCTCCAGATCAGGACCGTCATCCTTGGTCCCAATAACAAGGATCTCATACGGTTTCCGCCACAGACCATCCAGCGCTGAAATAGGCTCTCCGTTCCACGTAGTCTTAACCCAGACCCATTCCTCGCGTATACACAACCCCGCGCCGATCAGCGCCTCGTATGCCGCGCGACGCGATTTCTCGGCATTCGTGATCCAGATCGCGGCTATAGACTGCTGGCTTTGGAACGGGGATTCGGATGTGCTGTGTACCTGGTATGTTGTCCCGAGCAGGTGTGCGCGTAGTATATCCCTTAGTCCGGTGGTGAGCGCGTCCATCTCGGAATAGTGGTGTGTCTGGTAGTGCCCGCTGCGGCGGACGGATCTGTTTGGCCAGGGGGGATCCATGAGGATGAGGTTGAATTTCTGGTGCGTGGAGAGTCCTGGGATGGGATAGTTTGGAGTAGATAGACGGTGGTGGAGTTTTGTTTGGAAGAGAGGTAGTGTGCCGAGTATGAAGCTTGACATGGGAGGAATTATATATTCAGAACCAGTCGAAGCACCGGCTCTGATGATTGCTGTCTCTGGCGATGGATTCTTGACGACTGTCAAATCAGATAATGCCGCAAAACGATTCACTGAGCTCGTGGATAATATCATCGGTGGCTCCTGACTCAAAATATCAACGGGATCACCAGGTGCAGACCGTTGGAACGTAGACTCATTCACATCCTCTCTCCGCCTCTTCCGCGGACCTTCATTCCACGATTGACTACCCGCATCTTCATTAGGCACAGCCCGAGGAAAACACCATCGCCGCTCACTCGGAAAGCCCGCGCTGATAGTTTTCAGCGCGTCCCTCACGAGCGGCACTATCAATTCTGCGAACCGCCGCTCTGAGACAGGGATGCTCTCAAGAACCCTGGCGAGAGCAGCGGGCTTTTTGGGCTCGGTTGAGGGGAAAGACTCCTTCATCGGCGTACATGACAGGAGTTTTGGTATCTTCCGCGGGCTATGGTTTGTTCTCGAACCCGGTTCTCGGGGTGCTGGCCAGCCTTGCGCGAGTGCAATTGAATGCGGTATGTCGAGGAGTATTGCGTTTTCTGCCTGGAAGAGAATTGCGCTCTCTTCCTGGGTCGGAGGGTTCATCTTCGACCTTGGGCGTGGCACGCCATAGTAGGTTACCGGTAGAAATGAGGAGTTGGGCGACGGGTAGATGTGGAGGTTGCGGGCCTCATGCCAATTCAATGGACTCGCTACTAGAAGCGGGTATTCAATCATAGAAGGGCGACGAGAAGCCTCCCCTTGTGCTTCTATAATATACGAATATCTACGAAGTTCGATGCTCACAACGACCATTTCACTAGATAGTATGCTCCCTAAGCCAATCCCCCGATCTTAAAATAATAGAAGAGAAAAAGTCCCATCGTAAGATCAGAAGATACAAGGTCATTCAAAATCGCTGAAGAAGATACGAAAACTAAGCCTCCACCCAGAGACAAGACTTTTCACTACCGCATCCCCATGCGTATCCAGTTCTCCTTCCGGGTCCAATTAACCCCCTGCCGGCGGTCCAGCGTCCGATCAGGGCGAAGAGATAGGACAGTGAAATCAACGTAGCCAGATAAACCCGCTTGGTCATGAGGAACTTCAAAATGGAAAGATAAAAAAAAGAAGAGAAGATGATCAACAAGTTTATACATGTAGATGGCAGGAAGATCGATTAAAAAAATCATACGTGACGGTAGATCAACGCTGGGCGCAAAAACACGTTAGTATTCTCGGTCTAGACAAATTAGGGTCGATCCGAGATTGAACTCACTCGTCCACGTCGGCCTCCGCCGGACTGCCCCTGCACAGGCTGTGCCTGGGGGTAGTATTGCGGAGGATATGGGTACATCTGGGCGGGGTTAACGACGGGGCTGAACTGCGGGTAGTTGTTCTGGCCGAGCATCGGGCTAGGACTCATCTGGCCCGGTCCGGAGAGCGGGGAGGTCTGCTGTGGCAGCGATCGCAGGTTATCCATGGCTGGTGAGCCAGCTGGATAACCATAATTGGCTGCCGGCATACCTGGGTAGCCCTGGGGAACACCACGAGCCTGGGCGGCGAGATAGGCTTGGTATTGGAGCTGTTGCTGGCTCAAAGGTTCCTGCGGATAACCAGCTGCACCGGGCATACCGTTGAGATGGCCTCCAAGCCCGTTGCTTGAGTAAGGGTCGAGAGATGCGGGGTTGACCTGGTCAGACGTCATTGGGCGAGAATCGGGGCTCTGTCCAAAGTTGTTGGGAGCATATTGTCCATTGTACTGTCTGTCCATAGATGGCTGGGCTGGATATCCCGAGCTTCCATGGCGGGAAGATTGGCGGTGTTGCGATTTCTCAGGAGTGGAATGGCCAGCTCCGTCGCGGCCATGGTGATGCTCCCGACCGCTGCCTCGCGAGGAGAGACCAACTTCATCCATCAAACGCTTATAGCCTTGGCTGGGGGAAGCCTTGAGCTTTGTGAGAACCTTAGACACGTTCTTCACGACTTCAGTCCGCATGGACTCATCAAAGAATGGGGTGGTCAGGACCTTGAAGATCAGGGTTGCACCAGATGTCTGATCGCTCAGGATCTTTTCCAAAACTTCATCACCGGGACTGAAGAAAAGTGCCTTCAGCACAATGTCGCGAGCTTCCGGCTCGTTGCGCTGGTTGATCACCTTAAGGACAGTCAAGTATGCAACCTTGTGGGTGCAGAGGTGAACAAGATGGGGCACGAGTCTGGGAGCCAGGACTGTCCGACGGCGAGGGAATGTGCAAGTATCAAGGAACCAAGTGAGCAAAAGAGCGCCATTCGCGTTAGTAGCCAATTGCACACTGTGAAGAGCGATAGCAGATGCGAGCATTCGCTGTTGGTCTTTGGTGGAATGGTGGCTTTCCAAACAAGCCCGCATCGCTCGGGCACCGAAACGTCCCTGGGCGATTTCCCACATGCGGCTGAGCATAGACTCAAAGATAAAGCTGTTGAAGGGACTGGCAAATCGCAGACAGCATTGCAGGACATAGTTGCCGTATTGATCCAAGAAAAGAGGAACAGTATAAGGGCGGAGAGCGTCAACAATTAGCTGCATCTGTGTAGGAGTCTTGGCGACATCGATGATCTTCTGTGCAGCCCAAGTTCCATTCTTGTGGACACCGATCTCGGCAAGATGGGGTGCAATTTGAGACAGCATCTGCTCTTTGGTAACTTCGGAGCAGAATTCGAACAATTTTTGAACGACGGTGTTGCCCAAATAATCGGATGCCAACTCTGCAATCTCGGGAAGCATAGCCTCGGCCGTCTCCTCAATCTCTTGGATGGAGCATGCACCGTTGTCAATACGCTTACGGATGTCACGAAGACGAGGGGCATCGAACATGCGGGACTGGCTCGGCTCCTGAACCGAGGGGATTTCATCCTCGAAAGCTTGGAAGGCGATGGAGGTTTGGATGCTATTGGTGATGTTTTGCAAGTCGTCTTCACTGGCACCGAATTCCTGTACTATTTGCATCATCTCAGGCAACAGATCCGCCAAAGCCGGGATCTGAGGGACAACGTTAGCCTGGTCAGTCCTATCCGAGCCATCTGCTGCCACGAGATTAGAGCCAAAGTTCGGGTCGGGTGTTGGCGAGGACTGAATGCCGTTTGCACCGGGAGTACCTGTAGCCGATGCCCCAGGCACTTTGGCATAACCAATTCTGACAGGTCCTGCCCCAGGGAAGATCTCCTTGCCATTAAGTAACGACTTGGCCTGCACAGCGCTGTCGACACGGTCGAAGTTGACAAAGCCACAGTTCTTGTGGGTCAGAACACGCGTCGACTCAATCTTTCCGTACATGCCGAAAATGGCCTCCAAAGATGTGACAGTAGTTGAGACAGGAATGCTACCAATCCAAAGTGCCCGGGTGGGGCCATCCTGGTTGTTCTCATCTGCCATCTCGCCGGCTTGTCGGCCCGCCATAGCTGGAATAGCAGGACCTCCTCCTCCAAGGTGCATGAGTTGAACTGCCTCGGACAATTCGTCATACTCACCGTTCTCGGCAATCTGCAAGTCAGAAGCACTGAAGCTGTTGTCGAGACGGGAAGGAGTGGCAAGGTAGTTGCGGATGGAAGATCGCTGAGGAGGTGCCTCCAAAATACCAGCAGTTCGTGCTCGGGGCCTGCTGACGGAGGCATGGCTGGCAAAAGCTTGAACTGCGAGGTTGTGCTGGTGAATTTGCGCTTGTGTAGCGGCCAATTGAGCGGCGGTTGCAGCAGCATTTGGAGTCAGGTTGCCAGTAGGAAGTTGAGAGTAACGATTTTCATATTCGAGATCCTCGTCGTCGGCGTACTTCTCCTTAGCATTGACAGAGTAAGACCGGAACCGATTATTGCTTTTCATCATTGCCAACTCAGCCAGGAGTGGCGGTAGCGCGGAGGCTTGTTGTTGTTGCTGCTGCTGTTGCATCAATGCCTCCATCGAAGGACGTGCCAGAGAAGCCCTTGCTTGCTGAGGGGTCTCAGCAAGCCCCAGGTAGTCCAGTGTCTTCACATCGGTATCCGCGAGTCCATCCCTGGAGTACGAAGAGTGGCTGGGTGATGTCGGCCCTTCGGATGATCGGATGCTGGTCAAAGTCGTAGCTCTGTCACGTCCCGCGGACCAATTGGTTGAAAACAACGACGGACCGAAGGGGCCACCACCTCCCAAAAAGTCGCTCCTCTGCGGCATCGAACCGGCTCGAAGGCGAGAAAGCGAGGTCGGATTGGAACCAGCAGCTGAGGTCGCAATCTTTGGACCTGTATCTATCCCAGAAACGCCAGGAGGCCTAAACGGGCTGGTGGATGGTGTTGGTCGTGATGTCTGCGAAATGTATGGTGGCTGGAGACCCATCTCATTTAATGTGCCCATCGGAGGAAATCGAGATGGTACCGTTCCTGCGCGAGCTCGGCGCCCTGGACTATCGATGGAGCCACTAGAGGCTGTGATGAGATCGGGGAAGCTATCTTGACTCGGCGATTCAGGAATGTTCTCGCGAAGTGGGGTAGAATGGCCGCTGGTAGGGGGACCCCAAATGCTAGGAGAAACGCCTTCTTGCGCTTGGATTTCACGAGCTCTGTAAAAATAAAAAATGCGTTAGCTGGATATCGCAACCTGTCTCCGGAGGAATGATCATACCGCTTAGAGTACAGACGTGACGCCAAATCATGAGAAGGGGATCCAGCCCTCGGTCTTGAGCTGCCGATGGACCCTGGAGAAGGACCAAACGGCATTCTTGTGTTTCCAGGCCCAGTCACATCACTCGGGGAGCTGCGCCCCGTCGAGGTCCCTGACAAGGGTTGGGTAGTGGGGATGTAATTAAAATTCATCTGAGCGTCAGGTCGCGAAACCGGCATCATTATGGATTATCACTTCTCGTCTTCAAAGCAATGCCCAAATTCCTTCCAAAGTACGACCTCTGCGCGGCTGCCAATGTGCAGTGACGTCGAAGCTGAAATCTAGGATTGTCGTTCAAAAATGCGGGACATGCACCATGGGGTCAGGATAAAGTGATAGACGGATCTCGAAGACAGGTGGAGAAGGACCGAGGAGAGGCTGTAGATGGGGGTTGAAGTTAGTCGTTTGTCGGAATGAAGTCTTCTGCCACGGAGCCGTCGCAAGGTGGGAGGGGTCGACAAACCGATTCCCAAAAAGTCGCAATCAAACGTGGGATACTTCGTGCCAAATCCGATTCGTTCCAAATGCAAACACCAGTGTGCAGTGTCGAGGGTCTTTGATCTGACCGTTTGCTTCGGGGCGTATCTGCGGGAGTCCCAAAGCAATCGTTGGGAGAGAAAAAAATAAGAACTGTCCCTTTCTAATGGTCGTCAAAGGCTCAAAATCACGGCGAATGCACAATAGTGTGGCAGGTAGCGCGTCCAATAAGAATAAACGAGAGATGAAAAGGATGATCCGGCTCCAAAGGGATCGAGGTGGCTGGAAGTGGGTTAGTTGCGGAGAAGGAGAAGAGAGAAAGTCAGACGCACTGAAAGTTGAATTCACCGTAAGAATGCAAAAAAGACCAAGAAGAAAGAAAAAAGAGTCGTGAGACAGAAGTCAAGGGAGGATGAAGGGGAGAGGAAAAGAAGGAGAAGAGATGTTGGGGAGCTGGCCGGATGCCCGAGGAAGTTGGCTGTGGTTGGTGGAGAGTGGCCCTCTTCAGCTTCACCCACAACAAGTTGTTGACTTGGGGTCAAATTTGGTTGGATTAGGCAAGAGGTCACTGGATGTTTTCTGCCATACTCTGAAGTGGTTTGCATTCTCTATTCTCACGTTTCTGCGGGATATCCTAGGTGCATACATAGCTCACATCTATAAGTGGCACTTTATACACAGTCCATCCAAACAAGGACAAACATCGGGAGTCGGCAGGGCCTCAATGATTATTTGAAGATGAGAAGTCCCGATGTCATCAATATCTCGCCCGAGACTGCATTTCTCGGATGTTGTTTGGAAATGGTTGAGGCATCAACGTCGCGTCCTCGATCTATACACCACCTAAACCTAGAAAGCAGGGGTATCTCTTCACCCCGACATTCCCAGTCAAAAACTTCAATTCAAGGTTTTGGTTCGGAAGAAAAGTCTCATGGTATGGGTAAGACCACGGTGAGAAGAGAGACAAGTGTGGACACGCAGGAAAAGGCCCCGCATTCCACTGCGTCATGGCCTCAACGTTCCCAATGTGTGACTCCATAGTCCATACCATCGTGGATGTAGACCACGAGTGCGAATATAAGATGTTGTTTTGCTCTTGGGATATGATGCAATCAGTCATGCAAGGAGAATCTCCATCTGTGATACTAAAGCCGCAAGAGATGGTGTTTTAAGTACGCGCAAGGGATATGGATCCAGGTACGTGGCGTCGTCCTTGTTCCTACACAGTAAGGACTGTCTTCCCAGGTGGGATGGCCCATTCACATTTGTTGCACGGAGTAAAAGAGACTGGAGTCCAAGTAGCCAGGCTGTTGGCTGTTTGAGGGATTGTTGAGGTTCATTCTGGCTCTTCCGGGTGTTCACCGAGCTTCCAGGAGCATTCGGCACGGAAGAACCGGGAGGTTCGTGGCATTGCTGTGGGATGGATACTTGAGGATCTAGGCAGGTGAATTGTAATCAATTGAAAATTGTATGACATCTGAAGAATATCCACCACTATCAAATGGCCAGGTGTAGGTAGCTGCTAGCAGAGAATTATCCGTGGGATCCATGTCGTTCTAAGGTGGATGGACGGGACGTAAACACGTTGACTAAGTTAAGGCTGAAATATTTCTGCCTAAGGAATCAACTTTTATCCCGCGCCACTACTTTCAAGCCACGCTCTTGAGAACTTGCCTATCTTTCCATCACTTCAACATCTCAGGTTGAATTATGTCCTCATTTCCATAACTCAAAAACAACCCTCAAATACCGACACCTGATCATTGGCACGTGACTCGATCATAATTTGTCGCGCACGCGTCACCATTTCGCGTTCGATGTTCAACCGACCACCTTAAAGCGCCTACCCTCACATCACCCCCATGGCCGACATTATGGAAGAAGACCCATCATCGGGGCTTCCTTCTTCAGCGGAAGAACAGGAGTTGCCCGTGGAGTCCCTGGTCAAAGGGCGCGCGAAACGAAGTACCGCGGGACGGCACATGTCCGCCCTCCTTGAAGCCGCCGCCGACGATGATCTGGCACTTTTGTTTGAGGAAGTCGAAGATGACAATGAATTTGCGGATGAGGTGGACCCAGACGCGGAGGACGAGGTGCTCGAATCGTCGGACGAAGATGAGGACCAAGGACCGGACGCGCAGAACGATTACGAGGGCGAGCAGAAGCTACAGAAAGAAGAGCGCAGGAAGCGCAAGACCCAGAATGACCTTCGATTCCAGACCTTACGCAAACGAGTCAAGATCGATCCGACCGCCCCATCCACCATGCCCGCCGCCCCTCGCCCGAAGAAAAAGTCAGAGCGCATCTCATGGATTCCCACCGTGGAGGATGGGCCGACTCGACAGTCCTCCCGTCGACAAACCATGGTGAACAAGGAGCTTACGCACGCCCGTCTCAAGGACAGCCAGGAAAAGCGAGTTCGCATTATCGCTACTATGAAGGAGGCAGAGAAGCGGAAGGCCCATTTGAAGCCGAAACAGATGACACAGGAAGACCATCTTGCGGAGGCCGCGAGAGTGGAACGACTCAACAGCAAAAGTTTGAACCGCTGGGAGCTGTCGGAGAAAAGAAAAGCGGACGAAAGACGAGCAAGAATCGAAGCCCTACAAAATCGCCGTCTGGACGGTCCGGTAATTTCCTACTGGAGTGGTGTGGCCACATGGACCAATGGGCGCCTCACACGGGTGGGCAAAATTGAAATCAAACCGAAGCCAGATAAGGAAGAGTCGAAGAAGAAAAAGAAGGAGAAGGAAGATAAAGACAAGGCCGCCGCAGGGCTACAGTTCGGCCCTGCTAACATCGCCGGACACGCCCGTGCCATACCATCAAGTACCTTTGCAGTCGAGGTCAGGTCACCACCGGACTTGGCCCTACCTGATTCCACCAAAGCATTGGGTCAAAAGCCACTTGAGGACAAGCCGTCTGCAGAGAATGCTGCAGCACCGACCAGTGTACAAAATACAAATACATCGAGCGCCAACCAACCGGATGCGGGTGCCCCAGAGACGAATACAACCGCGGCGAATATTGTTGAGCAGGACACGGACAACGTCGTAGAAAGGACTATTCCAGAGGTTGTCACGAGTACATTACCGCCACCCTCCGAAGAAGACAAGACCACGGCCAAAGCCGATGACAGGCAACCTTCCTCTCCACGCAAGAGCTTGGAGAGGAAGATGGTCGCCGTGGAAATCCCTTCTCCCCGAGTCCGTCACTTGTCAGTCTCTGCGGGCACTGGCGCTTCCAAAATATTGCCTGATTCATCGCCCACCAAGAACGACGATGCCATGGACGTGGATCAGCAACCAGCGGTTGCAGAATCTGCCGATGCTGCCAAACCGAATGGCCAGGAAGCTCTGGCTAGTCCGAACGTTGCCCAACTACCTTCAGCAGAGGCCCCCAAACCAGATGCTGGCGGGCCAACTGTACAAGAAGCGCAAGCAGTACAAGCAGTGAGCGACTCTCGACCAGCTGAAACAGCCACGCCTGTCGCTCCTGGTATCACACAGGATCCTCAGGTCCTTCCGACAACTACAACACCTAATCAAGCCGCGGTAGCCGCAAACCCCCTCCCGAATCTAAACCCATCGTCCACATTGCAGTCCGAATCACAAACTTCGAATGCGGTGAAGGGAGCAGCACTACCAGAGATCCCACAACCCCCTCCGGTGATTGAGCACACAGGTCGTTCACTTACGATTCTGGAGAACTTTGATTATGCGACCGCGAACAACCGCAAATACAGCATGTACTTCAACTCCAAGAAACCTGCTCGTCTGACCAGTACGTACCATATCACGTTCCCCATTCCAATCGATGGGCATTGCTAACTTCAAATCAGAAATCTCGTCATCGCTTTGCGTCATTACTTCATTGCCATCGCGTTACCGCGACCCAGAAACCGGCCTCCCTTACGCCAACTCCTACGCATATGGTCAAATCCGCCGTATGCTATCGGAGGGGTACATCTGGAGCTCGATGCTCGGGTGCTTCGTCGGCCCGGCCGAGGCTGCCCGCGGCGTGCCCGAGCGGTTCACAGGCAAGCCGGGCCCAGGCACGGTCAGACATCTGATCGATCAGGATGACGACCAGGCCGAGTCCATTACAGGGAAGAGCATCAGCGGTGCAACCAATGTCGAGGCTCCTTCCACACCCACCCCGGCCGCTCCTCAGGCGCCTCCAGCGGATGCCGAGGTTACCCAAGCATGAGGCATTAATATTATTTGTACGATATTCTTCAGTAGATACCCAATGTAAACAAATCGAGCCAAATACCAAATCGAGATCTGTGAGCCCCAACATCAAGCTCACACCTTCTCCACTTTTAATCATCGACTCTTGTCTTTATTCTCTAGCCCTAAACCCTGACAGGATTTTTTCACCATTTGACTCCTAATGTTCTCATGTATTACGTTTCTGTTGACAGATGCCCGTCATGACCTGACCCACCATGGAAAAATCAAATCAAACTCGCCCTGTGAGATCTCAACCCCAACATCGCCAATCCAAGGATCCCACTCGGTACCCGGCGGAAGGCAGTGAAAAGAACGAGATCGAATATCACAACCATACTACAATGAATTGAGACATCTGATGTAAACATAACAGACTCCGACTAGGCATCCATTCTCGAATACTCTGATTTTCCCCATAGGCCCGCAACAGACCCGCGGAAGATCGACGATTAGCACCGGAGTCTGGAACAATGGAATCCACCTGACAAGGCCATTGCAGTGTATCATCAAGCCGATCATTGGGAGACGTGGCAGTGTGTTGCATTTCATTTATTCTACCCCACAAAGGGTTTCTGGAATCGCCGATCTGGGTTTTGTCGGCGTGGGCGGTTATTATGATTTTCTCCATAACTACCTCTATGGATCATCGGGAATATCCGTACATTGAAAATACGCAGTTGTAGTGGGTTACAATGTATCGATACCCGTCTGTTTACGCCATCCGGAACAGTTCATTGAAATCCTTGAACTGGTCGAGGCATTTATGGCGTCATTTGGGCATAGGCTGGTGTCTGCCTGTTACTGCGTACTGTGGTATGTAGAACGTTGTTTAGGTCCAAGACATCTCTATACTGAAAGTAATTGGTATCTGTTGTGAAGAGTACAGCCCTAACCTAGGATAAGGATCCGATCCCCTCCGGAGATATGCTCCCTGCACTACTGCATCTTTATCTGCAGGAATACTTGGAAGTGTGCAGAAAGCCGTGCGTTTCAGGTGGACCCTGAGGTCCGAGGCTTTGAAAGATTCGTACCTTTTTGTGTGTTTACAGCTGTAATGATTTGCATGAGGTAGCTGAGTATGTGATTTGTGCTGCGTAGATCGAGAACAATGACAACAGAAAGCCCTAAAAGAAAGGGAAAAAAAGGATAAATTTAGAAAGATCGGATGAGTCAGCTGGGTCTAGATGCTCGCGATTGCGTGGACCGCGGGGAGCTGCCAACTTACTGCGTAGTCAATGGGCTCCACAACAACTCAACGTAAGTCTAGACGTGATCGTCTCATCTTAGCACGTTTCGATTTTTGATTCTTCTCTCTCTTTCTCTCTGTATTTATACCCAGTGTCTTTCTTCATTTCATCTCTTCTTTGTATAACCATTCTCAACCTCTCATATTAGACCTAACATAGACCCCTTTTACTCTCTGGTATGTATGTCCTAATTCCCCTTATCTTCACCCTTATCTCCCCCCACTCAGAGGCTAAAGATAGCCCTCCCCCCGTTGCATCGGATCGGGATGTGTGTCACATGAAACTGTTATAGCAAGACCACAACTAACCACCTTATCAGCATTCTCTCCTACTCTCCCACGTTGCTGGTGAACATACATACTTCGGTGTCTCTTCTCTTTCAAACATTTTGTATCCCCAAAATTATTTCCCGGCCCGGTCCATTCCACGATAAACTGGGAACAAAATCCCTCATTGTACTTCCTCAACCCTTGTACTCCACTCTGGAGTCTCGGCGATACTCCTGTCGGCTCTTCAGATAAGGGAGATAGTGAGGCATTTGCAGCTTCACCGCCACATCATGACTCAATCAGCCCCCTTTCATCGCCGCTCCCCTTCCTCTCCTCATGCCTCCAAGTCTAAAACCACTCGTCCGGCCATACACCGACGAGGCAACTCTCACGCCAGCACCTCAATATCGAAACTAGGCTCGGGACAAAGGGGAGCGTGCAAGCCGACGACCTCGGACGATACCGAGTTCGACATGGCCAGCTTCTTGAACTTTTGGTATGTTCCTAGCACCAACCCTAAATACTCTTATCTATGGATCCCTGCAGAGATCCTTCTCACATGCTTGTTGCCGTCATTTGTGTACCTCACACCGGTCTTTTCTCGGACATAAAGCTGACCCAAAGTCCAGTGCTATGTGTGAGAACCAGATCACCGTCCCCAACAACACCTTGCTATATTGTAGCGAAAGGTACGTAACCGGCCTCGGATCTATATCTACCGCCATTGATTCCTCTCCTCAATCCTTCGTTGGCTCCTGCCTACTTCATACCTTGTACCACACATACTTATATACTTCAACTACAGCTGCCGCCGCAAAGACTCGCGCAAACCTCTCTCCGCATCCCTCCCATCTATGTCCGCAATGTCCACAATGTCCACAATGTCCTCAACAACACCCCCAACATCACCTCCTCTCTCTCCACGCACCATCGTCGCCCCAATGATCCCAACTCGCATCCCAAGTACCAACACATCCCTCCCATCCACCCAAATATTCTCCCACACCCACTCCGCCAAATCAGATCTCGACCCCACAGAGTGGAAGCCCGTATTATCCCGCGCCTCGTCCCTCGCTTCCTCCGAAGCCTGGACCTACCTCTCTCAGTTCCACCGGGGCTCCAGCGATCCCCTCGTCCGCCCCACCGTCTACCGCAGCAGTTCCAGCCTGCCTGCCCTGGCCGCCGGCGCATCCCACAACAACACCATGCCAGCCCTGACCAGCGCCCCATCCACTGTCGCCTCGTCCTACAGCAGCACTGCCTCCGATTACCTGGGCATGTACGAGTCTTCGCGCCCACTGCCCCCGCGCCACAACCCTTACTCCGGTACTAGCGCGACCAAGGGCGTGGAGCTCGTTGTCCCGCATATCGTCTCTGAACATGAGGATCTTGATCCCGTTTCGGACCGTGGGTCGATTTTGCCGGCTAGCAGTGCCGTGTGGGAAACTTCCTATAAGAAATCTGCGCCTATCAATATGGGGGGAATGGGTGGTCGTCGCGCTGAGTGTGTGAAGAACTGATTGGAAACACGATAGATGAGATTGGAATTTGCTCTGAATTTCCTTTGTGCTTTCGGTGTTTGGGCTTCTTCGTAGGGTTTCAGATCTCTTCAGGCCCCAGTGTGATGTGACTGGAACATATGATGTGATGTGATGGATTTAGCTGCTTATTTTATTCCCTACCTATGAGCGAATCACCTATAGACTCTTTCTTAATGCGGGCATCGGTATCTACAAAGATAGAATGAAGCTTTGGAACTTGCACATGTATTTCAGTGTAGAATATGTGCCCATGACCCAAGGGCCAGAATACATATAAAATTCATAAGGTATATTTTCTATCTACCCACAGCTGTATAGTCCCAATGAGCATCTTCATTCGCATAGGTAACTAGAAACCCTTGGACAAGACAAACGACAGCCAAGGGTGGTATACTGTCTCATCATCGACCGGGTCCAAAATAGTTGGCAGGTATCTCATATTCCATTCTTCATCCAGGTCTTCATCAAAATATTCCGGATTTGGCCTGACGCGACGCGCCTTGCAATACTCCCAGTAAGCAGGATACCACCCTGCCTGGCCCCAATCAATGATGGCAGCTACTACTGGATTCGGCCCGGGCGATAAAAGGATATTTGGGGGCACAATGTCGTCATGCGTGAAGACCACGGGCACCTCCCCATCAATTTCGATATCGCAGCCATTCTGAAATTTCTGGACGGCGTCTGCACCGTGGAATGGGCCAGCCAAATCCCGGTGACCGGAAAGAAATATGTCATTTAGAGGTTGATTATCTAGGCCACCTAACTACTTTAGCATAGTTCTGCCTAGCTACGGCAATGAATTCAGATCACTTACCTACGTAAAGGGCTTGGCCGGGCTGTTCTAACGATCTCCAGGCCTTGACCATGCCGTTGAGTTCTTTACAGATAGCCTCTCTCTCTTCATCGTTCAAAGCACCCCATCTTTGCTCCAAGGGTTCGCCCCCTATCAAAGACATGTAGATAAATGCTTGGCCACCGTCTTCGCTCCACCCAAACACCTCAGGAATTGGTACTTTGCCCTTCAACTGCTTGTATACCATATTTTGGGTCTCTGCCTCTGTAACGGTTGTGTCGGCTCCATATTTGACAATCAGGCCCAACGACGGAAACTTGACAGGCGGGGGTCGGTTGAACCTTGTACCACGGATGTTGCCTGACTTCTCGTTGATGGCTCTCACCTCAGCCGGGGTAGAAAGCGTAGACGCCCGATGCTCCCTGAGAAAGCTAGAGTCGGAAATGATCCTTGTTGTGTTGTGGCTTGAATCGTGGAGGCCGGCCTCGCCTTCAACCCCCTCGGGCGTCATCTTCGAGATAACACAGGTGAAGCAGGGTCGGGGCAGTGGGCGGTGAAGGGGCGGCTGGACATCCAAAGTTACGGGTGGAAAGGAAGCCGTTTTTGGCGTCAAAAGTGGTCATTTTCGGCGTCATTTTCACAGGTCCTCATATTCTATATGTAATCTAGGTAGATTCTCCCTTTGTGAGGTCAGCATAGCATAAGGTAGGCTGACGCGAGGTGAGAGATGATATAGCACGCTGCACAAGCCAAGAAGGTACACGAATTGGGAAGAGAATAGAATAGAGAAGAGAGAGAAAGAAAGACGGAGACAGATATCTACGCAGTACAATCAGTGGTCCTGTCTAGTGTCTAGGGATGTGAGTACCACTGTACCTGATAATTGATGACAGAGATTCTTCGACATACACCCATTCATGTGAGAGAAGCCGAAAAAGACATTCAATTGAAGAAATAATAACAGAGAATTTCTTCTCCAAAAAGATAAAAAGGGCGACGAATCTGACGATGCTTGATTGATCTAACTCTACTCGTGTTTAACAATGAAATCCCTTCTCCTCCCTCAAGAGTATATGGAATACAGTCAAGACTCAAGATGCCCTTTCAATCTTCAGACTTTACCACTGTCGCTGCCTTCGGTCGACGAATGCTTCGGAGTCCACATGCGGCATGCCTGGTTTGCAGCGAGCATGGGGTCGTGTGTGTATTGTGTGTCTTCGGCTCTAGTTTCCAGTGCGAGGATCAGTAATTGGAGACCGAGGAGAGTCAGCACCTCAGCCTCACTGACTCTATCGGTAGGCGGAAGAGCAAGCGTAAAGTCCTCCTGAACGGCGTCGTCCAGATCGAAGAGCAATTTATCAGTGCCGTCCAGTCGGCGGCTTGTTTGGGATAGGCCCGGATAGCGACTTCTCCATGACCCCATCCACCGTCTGGTATTCGTTTTCTTCCCTTTTTACCCCCGAACTCGCTGTTGGCATCAGAAGCCCCGGAAAGTAAATCTGACATGGTCAGTGAGTCAGTGAAACGGCTGGCCCGTGGATGGGACGAATAAGACGATGGTTGGCAAGGGGGGAATGATGAGATGATCCGCGAAGGTGGTCCTTGAGGAGAAGACGGGATTCGCTGGGCAGAAGACGCCGCACTGTTGATGTAGGTGTTACTGTCGAAAGCTAAAAAGGAAAAAGAAATCAAGAAGGAGATCGATCCTATGCTGTACTGCACACAATGTAACAAGTCTGAGAGAAAGAAAGAAGAAGAAGAAGAAGAAGAACAGGAGGTAAACAATAAATACACTCTTCCCCGCGATCCCTGCTCCTTCCCTTCCTGATTGCCCACTGGCTCACATGACTTGTTCCTGTCCACCGCCACAGTAGGTCTCCAGTTCCTCTGCCTGTTCATCGTATGGTTGCTGGATGTTCCAATCAGCGTCAGGAGTCTGCCAGGAGTCTATCACCATCTGGAACCACCACTCTTCAGTACGATCTTGAAGCTTCCCCCTTAGAGTCGGGGAGAGGGAATGAGACTTCCAGTGATAGATGAAGAGATGCAGGGACTATTGGGATAGCCAGGTTAGCAAAGTAAGATCTTATGGAAAGAATGAGCAGCGCACGAACCTTGGATTCAGTGGATGCAATGAGACGGTCCTGGCTCGGTGGAACTTCTGGTATCGCATGGACGGCTTCTCGTGTCCAATGAATCAGCCAGGATAGCGTAGTGACTCTAAAAGACCGAGAGTCAGGATGGTTGATGATACCCTAGTGAGTAGTGACACCCGGTCTGCGGTCATGTCGGCCTTGTACTCTCGGACAGCTTGAGATGGAAGCTAAGGTGAAAGGCCTGTTGGGGGTGGATTCTTCCATCCGGCAGGCATCCTCCTACCCCACCGCCAACCCAAACAAGCCGCGTTACCTTGGTCGTCTGCTATCCCTCGGAGTCGGGATACAGATTGATTCCCTTGTCCGCAGGGGCGAGGCGACTATCCGCCTAGACAGTTGTAAGAAAGGTTGATGTAGAATTCGCATCGAGGCCGTCTGCGACAGAGAGAGCATCAGTCGGATCCTTGTTGACCTGCTCTGCGCTCCCCTCTTGGAGTCATAGGCTGAGGCGCGTCTGGCGCGACAGCTCGGTAATCGGCATTCTCTTGCTGGAGGCGAGCAATGGTCTCCTGCTTATTTGCAGTGCAACCTCCAGCCGTTCCCGCCGACCGTTGGTCTGTATCTGGGCGGCAAGTTGCCGCCAAGATCAGAGTGTTGCCGGCGGCAACACTCTGCATTGGTCTTGCGCCGGCTCGCTCTTCCGGGACGTCGACAACAAAGAGTCATGACATCTTTATCGTATCGACTACCTTCTCTTTGGGCATGCATTACTGTGTTTCCTCAGATGAGGAGCGCTATTCGCACTCCTGTACTCTTCTCCACTGTTGTATGGCGAGCTAGCAGTAACTTGTCTCTCTCTCGGTGGGCAACCCCAGTCGGTGGTGGGCAGTGGGCACCATAGATCCGTCGACTCACCTCACTCAGTCTGAGTCCGATCTGGCACTGCTCGCAAGTGATGATTAGGGCTTGGATCTGGTGAAAAGTTGGTTGTCCATGTTGTCTGTTGGGACTTTCCATCTCTTGAGACCGGACCGTGGGAAGTCCCAGTCTCCCCTTTTAGAGCTCATGGTATGAAGGGGCTTTCGATGAAGGGATGTTGTGAGGGAGACGAAGGAGATTAGGTCGAGTGGAACGATGGTACGACCCGAAAATCAGTTTCTCTGATAACTATAGTGTGGATCATGTTAGTTCGTAAAGTATGGAGGGTGGTTCCATTTTACTTACGCATCAAGAAGCTGGGGGTGGATGGGAAAGAGGATAAGAAGGTAGTTGGGAAGTGTGGAAGAAGAAGAAGAAGAAGAAGAAGAAGAGAAGGACAGAGAGTCAATTTAACCTAGAGACGTCTGATCTAAACAAGACTACAGTCACAGGACCTGCCTGAGAGGACTGTTAACAAATATCACACGAACTGCAGTAGTTCACCGTACACGTTTGACATTCATTCCTCCTCTATCTTCCTATAATCCTCTCCCACTTCTTTGCTTCTTACCATACCGTTACAAAGACGCCTTGACTAACCTAAGGGAGCCATGGCTGTTCTGAACGATGTCGAAGTCGAGTACAAATTCCGACGTCACCCTTTGAAACTTACCTAGCCCATTTATTGATCGCCGAGCCCCTTATACCTAGCAGACCTTACATTAACTACCTATTACCTACCTACATTGTGGGTGACCTATCTATATAGGAACCATGCGCTGTCGAGACTTGATCAGAAGGTTGACCCGGTACCGAATTCTTAAAGACAAACCAGAAGACGATATCTCAGTAACAACACTGACAAGCTTCGATGCAAACCTCGAAGCCAAGCCGAAGGACGTTCAGAGAGAAAAGCAAAGATCCTGGAACCTCAGCAGCAACACCCTCATAGGCACTTCCGCTCCTCATAACCCCGAGCGTCGCTATGATATTAACTCGCTTGATGAGAGTATCGTTGCCGAAATATGCGAAAATCTCGGCCTAGTTGATCAAGTCTGTTTTGCTCTTACCTGCAAATACCTCTTGACGACATATAGGGGGATTGTCAAAGATAAAGCAATACCTCCTCCACAGCCGACTATACATCATCTTCCTCTCTCATTTGTCAACAGCGACGACAAGCTACGAGCCAAACTCCTTGTGCAGCTTGAGAATTCCCGGTGGGCATATTGCGCCGAATGCTTTCTGCTCAAACCTCGAAGAATGTTTGCGCCAGATACGCTCGCGGTCTCGCCTCTGAAGAGACATTGTAAGCGCTACCATGGGGTCATAAAACTGTGCCCATGTCTTTACCTTACTCGTCGAGATCGAAACAACGTGCGCGCTCTTCTCCGACCCTCGCTTACGCACCCTCTGACGGGCAATTATGGCTGTTTTGGCCTTCAGTCTGATGGATGGAGGCGCAAAAATCATATCTGCCCATATCACTCAAACAATGATCAACAACTGCAGATTTCTGTGGCAATAGCTAGTTCTAGTATGGGCACGATGGAATTGTTCGCTTGGTACTCCCTTCCTCTACCAGTATCTCCATTTTCGGGGGATCAGGCCGGGCTTGCCGACCCTATCTGGATATGTCCTCACCTGAATCTCTTGGACTTGGTATACACGACTGGAAATCGAACTGACTGCAGAATTTGTAATGCTGCTGTCCGGAGAGGGCCAGAATCACAAAACGATGGTACAGTGACTTTTACCGCACGCAGGAATCTTGGGTATGTCGATGAACCAGACGATCCAGGTTGGCTTCTTCACTGCTACAACCCCGAGGGTGAAACTCAGTATGTTACCCCTAGCCTATATCTACATTTGAACTTCCACGCTGACTATTTTGAGGTGTTTGTCTCATGATCTGAGGAGTGGGTCAAAGATTTGGCATCGTTGGGAGCCCGACTCACTGATGTCACTATTGATAAGTAGGACTACTCCTGAAGCAGACGCACCACTTGCTGTACGAGGCGCTTTGCATTCGTAGTATACGTTACAGTCTATCTAATCAGCTACTTCTGTCGTGACCGCTCCCCGAAACGCCTCCTATTATCTATAAACTGTCTCTTGCGTATCTTTCTAGGTTCGTCAGGTTGTCAGGTTTGGCGCCTTACCAGTTCCATGCTCCTGGTACATATGCCTAGGGGATTCCCACTTCCTAAAGGTCGAAAGGTGAATGTTTTGTAGAGAAAGAGGATGAAAACAACCAAAACGATGAATTCGAATGTGCAAAATGCGAGCTAGAGAATGAATCTAGGTGCAGGAAGGACCTGCAGGATGCAGAGAGAGATGAGAGAGTTGTATGTTGGAAACTCTGCTCGGTCGACAACAAACAAACAAAGATGGCGGTAAACACCCACCAAGGATCAGGCTGAGCGATCTGATCTTTGTTGACGACGGTGAGATGACAATCGCATTCGCCGGAGGGAATGCCAGTGATACCGAGACTGCTTGTCACCCATTACATACCCAGCAATACCTAGATCGGAAGCTAATCAGCTATTCACAGTGCCGCAGTGCGTAAACAGGCAATTCTCCTGACTGGCGGGGAGGAGGTGTGGTGAAGCTTGGTTAGGCCAAGGTCCCGAGTAATCGTAATAGGCGGGTGGGGTGTTTATCTTAGGGCTTCTTCACAAACAACCAATCAGAGCGAGGGACTTCTGCCACATGAGAATTTCGATCGTGATAGGCGACGCGTCGCAATGGAACAACCATCACTTTGATACCCTCGACCATACCCAGCCGTCTACATCATATGATCATGGCATTCATTATGTTGACATACGCAGTACATAGGATATCTTGTCATGTGCCTCTGTGCTTGCAGCCTGAGGCTCTCATCCATCGTTTGTCCTCTTTGTTTATGCAAGCTTAAATACCTAGTTACAGCTTGCTTTCCATATCTAGTTCATGGATCACTTTCTTCTTCTCTCTTCCCATGCCACTAGTTTCGGGCGTAGCATCAACAATCATCACACCTCCGCTAATCTGCCAATCCAACCACCTATCGGCCCCCGGCCCTCACTGACACAATGCCAACCTTCACTCCAACAAAGGAGACTACCTGCCGCGAGCTACTCACAGAGCTGGAGCAGTTACCGGCCTCCGACCGCCGTTCTTTCGAGTCAATTACCCTTCCTCGGGACCTAATGTTCTCTAACGATGACGAAGATCGCTGGGCCCGCGGATTAGGATTGGCCTCCAGATCAGAATTGACCTCCGGATTAGAATTGGCCTCCTTCCTCTTGGCCTGGAAAGAATTGCAAGTCATCACAATAGCAATGCCCGACGACCTGCGTGCCTCCTCCACACGCAACGGCGATCACAATTCCTGGTCATGGGACCTCCATAGTCCCCTCCTAGCCGCCTTCATGCAAGGCCGCTGGCGCGAACTGCGGCTGCTCCATCCCGACCGCTGTCAGGACATGTCCGTCTTTGACTTCTATAACATGAAATCCGTTACGAAGTGGATCCTTCCCATCGGAGCACGCCGCCAATTGCAATGCCTCGAATCTCTTGAAGCAGCTTATGTGTCTGACGAGGACGTGTCTGAGGAGGATGTGTCTGAGGAGGACCGCAACGCCCGCCGAGACAGGGCTTTCCAGCAGTCCGTGGCCAAACAACATGCTGACCGTGAGAAGATATGGGCGTCGCGGGGGATCATCTGCCAGCGAGAGGATCCTCCAAACGAGTCCGGCACCGTCATAGCAATCCGATGGAGGGAACCCTGGATGCAAGAAGAACGCCGCAAAGCAGCGCAGGCAAATCCAACAGACCCACTGGATCAGATCCATGGCATTTCCTGGAAGTTTTGGATCCCGTACGAATTACCACCATTCCTCGAAGTGCTATACCGTTACGCCGTGGTCCTCTGCAAGAAGCACGGGAGCTGTTTTGCCGAGGATACCCTTATCCTCCACTTAATTCAACACCATGGTGTTGATGAGAATGATGCTCGACTCGTCACTTCGCACAAACTTGTGGCCTATGACTCGGCGAAAACCTGGGACAAGGTGGTCCATCCTCAGGATAACATCAAGGCTATTCCTGATCTTCCGGTAATCGAGGCTTACGCCTGCTCCGAGGCTTCTTGTTCGTATCACACGGTGTTCTTCCGTGACTTTATGGCTCATTCTAAGAAATCGAACCATGACAATTATGAAACGCGCGAGGAGTGTTTCCAAACCTTATCCACTGATCCCGACAAACTGGGGTTGTTTAAGGTGTCTTCGCCGGATGACTTCTCATTCCCTCTCCCGGAGGTCGAGTTGAGGGGACAGAAGGGACACAAGGGCCACAAGGGACACAAGGGACACGATGGACACAAGAAACACGATGGACACAACAAACACGATGGACACAAGAAACACGATGGACACAAGAAACACGATGGACACAAGAAACACAAGGGACACAAGGAACAGAAGGGACATGATGTTAAGCGTCGGCGGGTCGGAGACTGAATCAGCAAATCATTATGGGTACCCTAATTTCCCTCTGTCTGCATGGTCATTACGGTACTCGGTAGGCTCCAACAGGTCGATAGTGCTTTGAAGTTAACAAGCAATAAAGGTTATTTGGTACTAAAGCGTCCGGCATCCTCAAATCCTAGATTCAAGCCCAATCACCAAATCGAGGGGAACCTCACATGAACATTGGACAAAAGAGAAATTAATCTCTGCATTCTGTTGCTTTGCGCCTGGCTAGTAGAGATCTATGCCATCAACACTGAAGCGCTCAGGTGAGACACGTACTGTGTAAGGCAAGCCATGTGCCAATCCTCTGTGTGAACGAGCAGCTAATTTGGTGGGTTATGCATGGATTTGCAGACTACCCGAGCACTTAGCCTCTATAAAACAAAGTCTGTTCCTTTCACATTAAAACAGCCATTTACATAGATGATCGTAGAAAGTATTCAATTGCTACTTTCTTAAAACTTCACACGCCAAACCGGGGTATCATATGGTCACCTGTCAAAGCAGCTAGAACCAGCCAACTCCAACCAAAGTCGAAAGAGAAGAAAAGAGACTGGTCGATGGCTAGTGGATCCTCCCTGCACGCCATGAACGCCAGCATCCAGTACACATAGAGGAAGGAACCCAAGTGAGGGAAAAAGACAAGTGAAATCGAAGATAAAGAAGAGAGAGAGAGAGAGAGAGTCGTCAAGTGGTCGTCGCGAGAGTCAATCGATATCAGCCTCTCACCTAAGCTGCAGTGATGGGTGTATTGCGGCTGCCTGGAATAGTCCCAGTATCGATCTCGCCATTTGCGTCAACGGACGAGTCGATATCGTTGGCGACGGATGAGAAAAGGAGACCGCCGAATAAAGGCTGACTGTCGTCATTAGAGAAGAGGCCGCCGCCGCTGCGGACACCCATGGCATGTGACATTTGCTCTTTGATGCGGACATATCGGTACTTTGACTTGGTAGTGATGAGGGGATGGCGGACAAGAGGTTGGGGAGCTGAGCGGGCGATAGCAGCCATAACGGCATCTCTTTCTTCGTCTGAGTCGATGGGGCCGGTATTCTCGATGTCTTCTTGTAAGGGGGCATTGGCGTCGATGGCAGCCTCTGTGGTTCAAATCAGTCAATGACACATTCCAAACACAAAATAATAGAACGACCAACGTACTCTGCTGACGAGCCTGATTCTTCTTCTGATACTGCTGAAGCAACATATCATACGGCAGCGTACGACCAGGGACGGACCGCTTCGCACCCATAGAATGACTCTTGCAAGTCAAGGAACGAGCGCACTGCGCTCCATTAGGAAGCGTAACACCGCACTGTTTCTCGACATCGACAGGACCCTTGGGCTTAGCCGTTTTATGCTTTGGCTCGTCCTTCTTTTTCTTCTTCTTCGACTCCTTGCCATCGTCATCATCAGCCTTCCGCTTCTTTCCCTTCCTGTTATCGTCGCCCGTCGTCGCCTTCTTAGCACTCTTCTGGCCCATGGTTTCGCCGTCGGCTCTGTCGGGCTCATCGTCGCGATCGTCGCCGGCCTTGAGTCTATTGGCGGCGTCCCGGGCTTCCTTCTTCTTACGTGCCTTTTCCTGCTTGGCTTTTAGACAGCTGCGGACGTGCTCTGCTGCTGTTTGCTTGAGGGTGGGACGCTTGCAGTGTTTGCATATTACGGTTTCGAGGAGGTCGTTTTCGCGCGGCTTGCCGGTCGGGAATACGGAGACGACTTTGCTGTCGAGAACGGGGAGGGGTGAGGCGGTTGGGGATGTGTCGATAGGGCCGTCTTTGGCTTCTGTTGCTTTTGTTAATGACCGTTATGGTTCGTGGGAGGAATGTCCGGGCTGTACCATCTGCCTTCTTCTTGGTTGACGCCTTGGATGTCTTCTTCACCTTGATCTTGCCGGGTTTGGTATCCTTGTCTGTGAACGTGTACCCGGATGCATCGATAAGACTTCCCGATCCTGTTGGTTATGGAGTTAGCCTAGATCTTATATAGAACTCAGATACTCCGAGCCTATGCTGAAGCATCCTAGAAGCTCTGCGCTTTCAATGGAGATTGGGGTTTTCCTACCTCGACCGGGAGCACCATGGTTCGCCATGGTGAGGGCAAACTGAAAGTAAAGTGAGAGGCAGAATACTTGCTTGTCACTCAGAAGCCTTCGAAATGGCGTGGTTGGTTATCAAGGAATGAATTTGGTCTTGTACGGAGTCAAAGGTCGGGCTGGGCTCCGCATTTGGATGGATCACGTGTTGATTGAAGGGCCTACAGTCCTACTGCAAGTATACGGAGTAGAATCTATCGGCCTTTGCGTCTTGATCAAATCAATTTGTGCAAGGCAGCAAGAGATTGTCAATAGTCTATGCTTTGATTGCTTTCATTGTTCTTTCAAAGTGTCGGAATTGGAAATTGTTAGTCAACAGGCCAATACTCAGACATCATTCACAGCAGACCAGCGCCTGCCAAGCATCTGGCCCTACATACTACAAGTAATGTACAGTGAAACAAACACACAATGTTTCATAGAAACCAAGGATTATGAGTATTTTGCAAAGCAAAGACTGCTGTTAGTCCCACCAAAGCCAAAGCTATTCGTCAAGGCGACATCAATTTGGCGAGACTGAGGCTCATTCGGCGCATAATTGCAATCGAAGCCATCAGCCAAGCGGTCCAGGTTGATAGTAGGGGGCATGGTATTCTGTATCGATTAGCATAATCGTAGCACAGTCATCCTTTACTATATCCGACTAACCTCATGGACTGCAAGCACACTGATCAAGGCCTCTACAGCACCAGCACCGCCAAGAAGATGACCAAGAGCACCCTTTGTGCTGCTAACGTTCACATCAGCAGCCATAAGCTTACCCTCAGGACCAAGCAGCAGCGACTTGATAGCGGCATTCTCAGCAGCATCGCCAACGATAGTTGATGTCGCATGTGCATTGATGTAGTCGACTGCAGAAGGGCGTAGTCGGGCTTGCTTGAGCGCCTTCTTCATGGCCATGAAGGCGCCCTCGCCGTTCTCTTTGGGTGAGGTCATATGATGTGCGTCGCTGGAACAGCCATATCCTTTCAGTTCTGCATAGATCCGGGCTCCTCTTGCGAGGGCATGTTCTAGCTCCTGTATCTCGGAAATCAGTAAATTGTAACCGGCGTAACTCATACTCGGATCCAAGACTTACCTCTAGAATCAACACGGCTGCGCCTTCACCGACCACGAAGCCCCCGCGGTCCGCATCGAATGGTCGTGACGCCTTCTCTGGGGTATCATTGTATGCTGTTGCTAGACTCCTTGCGCGGGCGAAGCCACCAATAGCCAGAGGGTGAATACAGGACTCAGCACCACCGGCGACCATCACGTCAGCGTCGCCACAGGCGATGAACCGAGCTGCGTCACCGACGGAATGTGCCCCGGTTGTGCACGCTGTGGTAGCTGCGTGACTGGGACCCATGAAGCCGTACTTCATGGAAATATGCCCAGCGCCTAGGTTAATCAGCAGCTTTGGCACGAACAATGGATTGACCTTTTTGTAGCCCTGCACGACACGTCAGTCACTGTCCCCCAGACGAAGCCATGAGGAGGCTCACCCCCTTGTCATAAGCTATCGTCGTGTTGTACATCTCATCAAAGTTCCCAATGCCCGATCCTAGACACACTCCCTATCCACTTTGTCAGTGAGGTTATCAACACAGCCCGTCTCCCATACATACCGTAGCTTCCCTTTGCTCAAACAGCTCTGGTTTCCACTCAGCGTCTTGAAGAGCCTCCTCCGTCGCCGCCATGGCATACTGTGCGAACTTGGCCATCTTTCGCTCTTCCTATCGGCAGTATCAGCAATGACTTGCAAATACAACATCGCAGGTTGAACGTGTCTGTAAACATACACCTCTCCCTAACCATTCCGAGGCAGTCCAACCTCCCTCTTCCCTCATGCCCTGCGGCACAACAGCCGCAACTTGACAGGGTTGCTCTGCGAAACGTTCATCACGATCTTTCACATTCACAATGCCGCAATGGCCATCTAGCAGACGTTTCCATGAACGTCGAACCCCTGCCACGAGACGTGTCAGTCACCATTCCCGAGCATCAGTAAACCAAAGTATTCGCCAACAAAAGCCCCGTCCTCATGTACAACGGCGCGTATATACGCATGTATACAATGCACCGTTATCTTTCAAGTGTCCCGCAGCGGTCCGCATCCCCCTCCGTCATTGGCTGTCACAACCTTCCCCTTCTGGAATACGAAGTGGGGACGCAAGAGGGTAGCTCGAGAACTCCCGAGTCCGGGGATATCGGCCATGCATCATTCTCCGGACTTTAGTCCGTGACAGAGAGGTCGCAAGGACTTGCTTTGCATGCTTTGCAGACGGAATTGCGGTGAGCAATGGCGGGCAGAATATCCCGGGATGAGCTTCGTAGAGGAGCTATCGTAGCTATCGCCAAAACAAGAAAACCACATGAACTCACCTACTCCCAGCGGCGTTACCGCTCCAAGGCCTGTTACAACGACGCGTCGCATGGCATAGTAGATAGTACAAAGTCGTCAACCTGTGTACACAGTATATACTCTGCACAGTATGTTGGAGGAGAAGAAAACCGAAAAGCGGGCCGAGAGCCAAGAAGGGAAAGTCTCCACGACCGAGTGGCGGGGGAACTCTTATCTGCTCGTCTTTCCTTTTACAACGGAATACAGTCATGTAGAAAGGAAAAGAAAAAGATACATAATTTATACCTCCCCATTTCCTTTCCTCTTTTCCCTCAATCACCCCCGGCACCTACAATGCCTACCTGGAAAACCCTCCTCACGCTGGCTCTAGCCGGCACCGCAGCCTCATGCTCCCACCACAACGACGCCGAAGTCGTACCCGAGCATGAGCGAGCAGAACTACTCAAGAAGTGGGATCAGGAGGTAAGCAACCACACACCCCTACCCTCCGCAAGCCACAATAGTAACTGTAACTAACATGAACAGTGGTCCTTCTCCGGCATCGCCAGCTTCGCCCACCTCAAACCCGTAAAATGCCTAATCGAACCCGACGAACACTACGACATCGCCATAATCGGCGCCCCCTTCGACACAGCCGTCAGCTACCGCCCAGGCGCCCGGTTCGGGCCACGAGCCATCCGCGCCGCCAGCGCACGCCAAATGGCCGGTACTAGCTACAACACGCGGGCAGGGATAAACCCGTACCAATCCTGGGCGAAGATCACCGACTGCGGCGACATCCCCATAACGCCCTTCGACAACGGCCTCGCCGAGCGACAGATGTACGAAGCCTTCCTCGAGCTAGGCTCGAGGCGGATCGTCAACAAAGCGCCCAACGCCAAGGGCATCGGCGCCTCGCACCCGAAGCTCGTCACGCTGGGCGGTGACCACAGCGTTGCATTGCCGGCGTTGCGGGCTTTGCATAAGATCTACCAGAAACCAATTACGGTTCTGCACTTCGATGCGCACCTCGATACGTGGAATCCGGTTCGGTACAGTGCTTACTGGCAGTCTGAGCAGACGCAGTTTAACCACGGGTCGTTTTTCCATAAGGCGAGTCGCGAGGGACTGATTTGTAATTCTACTTCTGCGCATGCGGGTTTGCGGACCAGACTTACAGGTGTTGATGCGGGGGATTATTTGAATCCCGGGCCGGAGCAGGGTTTCACGCGCATTCATGCGGATGATATTGATGAGTTGGGGCCTATGGGGGTTGTGGAGGCTATTATTGCTAGGACGGGGCTTGATCCCGAGCAGCCGGTTTATCTTTCTGTTGATATTGATGTGTTGGATCCGGCTACGGCGCCTGGAACGGGCACCCCGGAGCCCGGTGGTTGGACTACCAGGGAGTTTATTCGCATTCTGAGGGGGTTGGAGAAGTTGAATCTGGTTGGCGCGGATATTGTGGAGGTTTCGCCGGCTTATGATAATAAGGGGGAGACTACGGCACTTGCGGCCGCGCAGGTTGCTTTTGAGATTATTACTAGTATTGTTAAGTCGGGGGTTGATGAGGAGATTGGGGGGTGGTATCCTTGGATAGAGGTTGAGGCGAAGAAGAAGGAGGCTAAGGATGAGCTTTGAGGGTTTAGATATATGAGATGAATGAAGTGACGATTGATCATCCTACAATCCGTTTACCAGGAGGTGCATTCTGGCAGACAAACCTGCAGCCTGAGGCACCAAGGCCTCAACAATTTTCATGACGAAGCTTCCCAATCGGGTTAGCGTGGCAGAATTTCATAAATTTGGCAGAATCAAAGGCGGTAGTCTGAGGGGACTGCGGTAAATTTTTCGCCGTACCATGAAAGCGCTGTACAACCTCCGGATACACCACATTCTCGGTTTTATCCGAGCCCTCTGCAAGTAGGACGGACAGATTGGCCACATCTGTTACCCTCAAGGCCACATACAGCTGCCGGGAGAACGCTGGCACCCGAAGATTCACACCCACCATTTTCAAGGACTGCCCCTGACTCTTGTTGATGGTCATCGCGAAGCAGAGACGGATTGGAAACGGTCCGCAGAACAATACTTCAGCGGTCGACCGGGAATACGGGGAATCAACCGGTCGTTGTACGCCGTCGCCGCGTCGTTACGGATAATGCACTCTTTCTCACAGACGTCAATGCGGAGTACGCGCAATATCTATCTACGATCTCCGAGGACTTGCAGGGCACGATCAAACTACCCCCTTATATCCCCCGGTCTGACGGGGTAGATGGCATCACAGAGCTCTTCCAGGTATCAGACCGGGGGATATAAGGGGGTAGTTCGATCGTGCCCTGCAAGTCCTCCCGATAGGACATCGTAGATAGATAGTGCGCGTACTCGGCATTGACGCCTGTTGGCGGAAGACGCATATTCCGACGCAGTTGGCGGATGGTCAATTGTAGCCAGATCGAAGAACCGTTGTAAGCACGCAGCTACCGACCCAGTTCGGGTAGACGGGACCACTATTGGCAAGGTCTGCGCAAAATCACCGCCCATCGAGACAAGACTGGGAGACCCCCAAAGAGGCAGTCGTCCTGTAGGATAAGATCGACCAACTCCACCGCATGCCGCTCCTGCATTGGCACCTCATCCCAGATGGATCAAGGACGTCGTCTGTAGGCGGCGGAATTTCTCCGATCTGGGCCGTTCGAGTAAGGTCCTTATCGACTTTGAAGGTCCGATACTGTTGATTGATATGTCAAGCGTCGGTGTTCGTAGGTAGGTAGTATTAGACTACATCCATCACATTCCAGTGTATCTAGATCTGATTGATCATTCTCCAGGACTAACAGTAACGGTTCAAGTTGAGCAAATACTTTCGTTGAGAGCGCGGCTTTGCCAGAGTCCTGGATAGCCTGAGACGGTGCTTGATGTCGTGGCTACTTCTAGCATGGCTGTCCTTCCGGATCATTAATCCGCTGCCCGTCTCCAAGAATCACTATCGTTGTCGATATCGTAGTCATCGACTCATCCCATAATAATCTTCTTCGTCCAGCGGCCAGCGTGGTGGCCTCCATTTCCAATACAAGGTCCGACACCGCTTTTCCACTGGCTTCACCACCTCGAGTATCCAACCAAGACTTTCCATTTTCTTTCTAATATCCAGGCTGGGACCTTCCTCGTACACCTCGACAACAATCTTCTGAAGAGATGCAATAGTTCTGAAATGAGCAGCAACCAAACCAAGGGCCTTGTCACAGACTTTACTGTCAAATGACTCGAGCTCAGCTTCCATCTGATAGGTAGTTTCGGCGAGTGTTGTAAGCGTCCGAAGATTGGTGCATTTTGCCTGGATTATTTCAAGCATACGAAGGCTTGCATCGTGCAGACTGACTTCGTCTCCAATCTTGCAGACTTCGGGGAAGTCAATATAGATATTCCAGAGGTGAGATGCGTTGATAGAACCAATATCATCAATAAAGTAGGGGAGGGCCAACCGAGAACTGTCCGGGCCAAAGCGAAAGCAGTTGTATCCATAGAGTAGCGGCCTACCCTCCACAAGAAAGAGCTTGTTCGTGGAGAGAATATTAGGCTCTAGCCCATGAAGCCCGAGGTTCCACAAGTTCACGACCTCAATAGGCTCTCTTTGCACTAGGAGATATTTGAATATCTCAATACGGAGCTCGCTGGGGAGGCTAAGCAAGCTGATCGGTGCCATAGTTGTGAATGTTTAATGGAATATCTAGGTACCTAGAATGTGTCAAATGGCTGAGTTTATATACCATAGCTATGCCTAGTGCTAGGAGTGTTTGACCAACTGCACTCATTTGTGTACTACGTAGTGATTTTGCAGTCGAGCTGCAGTGCTCATAGTGCAAGATTGTTCCAGAATCACTTCCAAACGGGTCGCTTCGAGGATTAGTTGTCTAATCACATCCAGACTAGTAGAACTGATTGAATTGGAGTTCACTATCTGCGACTTTCTAAGACCCAGAGATATTGCTCTTCAGTGAGACATGACTCGAAACAAGTAGATCAAACGAAAGCACAAAATGTTTGCATCAAGATCGCATAAGGAGTAAATGGCGGGAATAGATCAGAGAGTAAAACAAGGGTAAAGTCACGCGGCCAAAACGAGTAAAAGAACGCAAAGAAGCCGAATCTGCGAGGGAAGGGGTACAACGTGCTCAAATCCAGAGTCTGCATAAGCATGTCAGTCGAGACCGAAAAGGACAGGAGCATATGGGATATGGGATATGGGGGGTGACGGAAACGATTCAGCTATAAGCACGAGCTCCCGACGTCCAACGCCGAGAGAGACGATCCAAAGGTGAAAGCGCGGGCTGCAGAGAAGGTGAGAGGTGGGATGTATGAAAGTGTAGCCGACGCGAGGACAGGGAGAAGATCAGAATTGCTGTCGGTTTCATGAAAGAGAGGAGGGGCGAGTGACGGATGAGGGAATGGGGAGAGAAATACGAATACCAAAGGTAACGCCAGAGGCCGTTGAAGACGGCAGACGCAGCCAGGCGAAGCAAGAACAGAAGCGCGCAAAACTTAGAAAGCAGAGAAGGGATACAGCAAGTTAGAGAGGCTAGAGCTGGGACCGGGATATGCGACAAAAAAGGGAGGCATCAAGGACAGGTAGGAAGCCATTTTGAACTGGAGAAACGTGGATAGGTAACGATTCAAATAGCATGGCCCTACAAGTCCCTCCCCCCACCCTTTTCTTTGTCGCTGATTATGTTATCCCAGCAACCAGCCCAATCAGGAATATTCGGCGCCCAGTAGAACGCGTAAGTGTAGGGAAAAAGAGAAATCAACAAGTTCATTTCATCGTAACTGCTTCGAGGCGCGCGTCAACCGGGCATCAACACAAGTGCAAAACATCTCCGCACTTGGCCAAAAATCTTGCGGTAAGTCCATAAGGAACGAAGATCACAGCAAGCGGCAGCCTCTTGACTTCTTCTTAGGCGCCGGCTCAAGCGCCGCAACAATGGCCTAGGAAAGAAAACGAGTTAGTGGCGGTGTGGAGATTGCAGGCAGCCAAAGCAACCAGCAAGAAAAAAAGCATCGGCGTACCTCATCGAATACGTCTTTCAGCTTGTACTGAGTCAGAGCTGAACATTCGACGTACTTCACAGCCCCGAGTTCCTTGGCCATCCGATCGCCGTCCTCTTTGCGGATGGGTTGCATCTTTTGCCGCGCCAGCTTATCCCGCACGCCCGCATCGTCGCGCAAATCGGTCTGAGTGCCGACGATCAGACAGGGAACTCCGGGACAATGGTGGTGGACTTCCGGGAACCACTTTTCACGGACGTTTTCGAACGAGGCGGGTGAAGTGACGGAGAAGCAGACCAAGAAGACATCGGTCTGCGGGTACGAGAGCGGGCGCAGACGGTCGTAATCCTCTTGACCTGCAGTATCGAATAGCCCCAGGGTGTATGGTTCATCGCCGATCCTGAATGAGAGAGAGCGATCGGTCAGAGATAGTTTTTTGCTTTGGGGAGTTGGAGTTGAGGTAGGGTGATATTTTTTGGGGGGCTTGAAGGGGGGTGTGGAGGATGACTTACATGACAGTCACGGCGTAGTTGTCAAAGACGGTGGGGACATATTCGGAAGGGAATTTGTTCGTTGTGTATGAGATGAGCAGACAAGTCTTTCCGACAGCACCATCCCCCACTACGACACACCTGTGTTGAGGTTAGCGATGAGGAGATCAGGGGGTGAGGGGGAGGGAGGGGAAGAGTGGTGATATGACATACTTGATAGTAGCGACAACCATTTTGTGAATAATATTGATGATGTAGGTGGAAGAGAGAGGAGTGTGGGAGACAAAAAGGGAGGAAGCTGTGGTCTGGATTGAATGGGGCAACCCGCAGTCTGGAGTCTAGACGGGTGCTAGTGTCAGTACCCTCGCTTCAGGGAATTAGGGGTCACTTAGCTACGTACTGGTACACTGTACACTGTAACTATTAACTTGAACCTCTCTCTACATTTATCTCTCTAATTACTAATATACGATAACCATAACTACTTCACCTGACTTCATCTCCTATCTTGATAGATAAGTCATCGATTCAGAACTATCCCAGTGACCATACACTATACAGTTAAAGGAATCAAAAAAATCTAAGTATTTCTGGACTCGACTCTTTCACTCTCTCCTCAGAAGAAGCTACTCCGTACAGAGAAAAAAGAAACAAAGGCCAAATTTCACTCCCCTTTCCCGCCTTTATGAGATCGCCCCCAACTCCAAATAAAATACATCTTAGCATAGCCTACACGGTATTGATCTGATACTCTCATATACTACCTTTGAAGCAGCAGATTTCTAGGTATATCAATCATGTCTTAATTCACAGCTATCTCTCACCAGATACTAGCACTCAACAACTGACATGTATACACCCAAACAGCTGGCATCCGTGTGGAGATTACATAGAGTCAAGTACCTACACACTCCACAACACATCAGAGCCCCAGCTGTAACCTCGTGCACTAGCAGCACTACCCAAGCCCCCACGGTATCTGGTATACATGCATGCATAGATATTATGCAGGTACATGCACCAATATATTAGGTACGTAGTATCTGCTTTGATTAAATCAAAGTACTCGTTCGGAAATCCTCGATACGACTTAACAAAATGTTATCTCCGGCAGGAAATGAGGACCCACTACCGTCTGGTCTGAGACCCAGCTGTGACAGCCCGAGGGGACTAGAGCGGCAAGCCGGCCGGATGGGAATTATTCCTTTGGTTTCGACGAAGTCGTGGCCAGGTCTAGAGATAGTACGTGGTCAATCAACCTACAATCACTGTGGAAATCAAGGTTCAGTATATTTTGTCCATTCTGAACTGTCAAAAGATCTACCCGAAAACATCGACATATATGATCGAGACAAATAAGGACGCCAAATGCAAATGATGGAGCCCGGCGGGACAAGATATGCTGAAGACGTGTGGCATTTTAATCAAACCCAGAACGCCGGTGATTGGTCTGTATCGGAATGCAGAAGAGCAAAAGTCATGCAGAAAAGTTCAATGTTCACTTCGTAAGTTCGTAATGGTCGTATGTGGCGATGAATGGATGCTGGGTTTATGTTCGTTTAGAGTGTCGGTTATCCGAGCTCGGCTCTATCTCATCGGGAATTATCTCGCTCTGGGAATCAGGGCTACCGTAGCCCATCTGTATTCGGATCAGAGAGGGTCACCGCATACTATTGAATTACAACTCACCTTGTCGAGTTTGTAGTCCACCATGAGAAGACTCAACGGGATGAGGGGAAGGGTGGCGAGGACTGCCAGCGCCAACAGCCGGCTCATGGTCTCCTGATATGCCCGATTAATGGCAATGCGAGTCGGAGATCCCATTGGGTATGACAGGGCAGTGGTCAGTTTGCCGAAGATCTCGGCGGCTTGTCCTTTGCTTTCTTCGGGGAGGTATTTGAGAAGCTTGTGTGGGATGGCAGACGACCACACGGCTCCTGAGATAGCGGCGCCAACTGCACCGCCCATCTCCATGGAAGTCAGGAACATCGCAGTGGCTGCTGCGACTTCCTGGTGACTGGCGGAGGCTTGAACGCCTAGTTGGACTGGCACATTGACCAGACCGCCACCGATGCCGATGATGACTTGTGTGCCCAGGACTTGGAAGTGAGGTGCCCCTTCGCCTCGGCATAGAAGCATCAGAGACAGTCCGGCCATGTAGACAACACAACCGGCGGTGACGTAAATGCGGTACCGGCGGGTGTACTTGATGAGAAGGGATACGCTGAAGGCGGAGATAGTTGAGGTGAAGGCGAAGGTCTGGGTGACGCGCCCGGCAGTGGCAACGTCATACCCTTGTACGACCTGGAGGTAGGAATAGAGATAAGGCTGGACGGAAAAGTAAAAGGCCACTGACGGATGTTAGCGACAACGCTCGCGCGCCGAAGACGGGACAAGGACTTACTGAAGTACCAGAATGCCAATGCACAACCCGCAAGAGCCGTCCTTTGCTTGAGGAGATGTAAAGAGAGCAAAGGCTTGGGAGCCAATCTTCGTGAAGACTCCCAGAGCGGTAGCAGACATAGGCACACAACACCGAGCGCGATCATGACTAAGATACTGATATTCTTCCACCCGTTCTTCGAGGTGGATGCAAGAGTCAAGGGAACGAGGATGAGTGTCACGGCAGCAGACAGAAGAGCCAGTCCGCCCACATCAAGATCGTACCAGGTCTGACGCAAGATGCTGGTAAGATCTCCTTGTCTTCGGGGCCGCCTTTTGATCAAATTCAATCTCTGGGCCTTGCGCTGGTTTAACAGCAATGTGAGGGCGAGTGGCAGGAAAGACGCAGGCAGGATGATAGCCCACATTCCATAACCCCATCGCCATGACGTAGTACTCAGCACCGCACCCGCAATGGTCGGGCCGAGCCAGACCGTAACTAAAAATGGGAATTCGGGCAGAAGTGCGAGGAAGGCACGGTTGAGCAAGTCACTGCTGTCGGCGATGAAAACTTGTTGGAGGATTTGCAAACCCGTTGAGCCTGCGGAGTAGAATATTTGAGCCGAGGCGTATGTCTGAACATTGGTGGAGGCAGCCATCTGGATGTATCCCAGCATGTAGATCAAGATGCTCAAACAGAAAGCTTCGAAGCGACCGAATACATCGGCGATCTTAGCCATGGGAGGTTTGATGACAGCTAGAGCGGGAGTCAAGGGTTAGCAGTAGCTCACTTGACGCGGGCTAGGTAGATTCTCACCATTGACCACATTCTGGATAACCAGGACGGTCGAGATCAACGAGTGCTTGCTGAAAGCACTCGTCGCATACGCCGACAGTGACATAACAGTTTGACCCTCGAGAGATGTGCAGAATGCCATGAGGAATATACTTTGCATCAAGTCAGCAGGTGTTTAAGTACGGGGGACTGTAAGCCACACGAACCTGACGTAGGCCACCATCAAAGATTTGGTTGTCCAAGTCAGATTGATCGCTTCAATCTTCCGGACTCCCTCCTGCACTCCATCCAATGTAGAGACTTCGTCGGACTGATCCTCAACCTCGTAGCCATCCTGCAATAACTGGTCCCTTTCGGTATCCATTTCGGCGTTTTCGTACTCGATCGTGCCGTACGACGGTCCTGGGGGTGGATCAAGAAGTGGCATCTCCGTGAATGACACCACTACCAGAAAATCGAACGCGCTCAATAAGGAGGATACTCCAAGAGACAGCGTCCATGTAAGAATATTCGGCGGCGGAGTTCGGTCTAGGATCGGAGGAAACCATGAATGACGGGTGGTGATCTTGACAATAACGATGAAGCGGAATATAGATCCTCACGATAATATCAATAGCAGACTTCGTGTGGTATAAGGCAGGCGTCTGGCATAAGAGAGATGAAGGTCTGCTCTAATAAGCGAGTACTTTATGGCGCTCGTTAGTTGAGAAGTCCGCGTCAGCCCGGTCACCGGAAAATATGAACGACAACACGAGACGCCGAGAGCGAATCGGAGACTGGGTCGGGACACAAGGCAAGAAAATATGGGGCGCGGTGTATAAAAGTTTGTCGAAGCGCGCTTGTCTGAGGGGTAGACCCATGAAGGGCTATTATGTGACAAGCAGGATGCGGTAGGCAGCTATGCACGGGGCAGATTGGCGAATGGGTAGATCCGCCGTGCGTCGGAGGACACGTCCAAATGGAAGGGAAGACAGGCTTTGAGAAAAGAGTTTATGCCTGAGACTTTTGGGGTTTTTGCAGCGCCAAATGGCGAGCCCGATCGTCGGTCGCACTTATGCACGCTGATGGGGGTCTGTGGTGGCTGATCGTGAGGTGAGAGGCTGTCCAATCTCAGCCCATGTCCAGCATTCGGTGCTGCGCTAAGATAGTTAAGAAGAAACAGTCGCTTTTTGAGTCATTAGGAGATATATCGAAGTGGAATTTGCAAGATGTGAGGGATATGTTAAAGGAGGAAACAAGTGTGGAGTGGTCAGGCACTTCGAAGTGGGTTGCCGTCATCCGGAGGGGCACCCTGGAACTCGAATTGCCAAGTCCGAGACCTTTTGCTGGTTCTCATCAGATAAGATGAAACTTTGATTACTTTGTGCCATCCGAAAATAAAATCACCCCTGGAGCCTGGAGGCTACCTATTACTTCCTTCATAGGAATTTGTTGGTAAAATATATGTGACTAAACTAACCTTGGAAGTGCCTCCACTTTCTGGCAGCAAGATGCATTGCTACTTGACTCCGATCTAAGGAGGTCATGTCATTGCCGGAATGACGGAGCCGAGTCAGTTGACCGGGCTAATCATTTTCCCTTCTCTACATTATGTTGCACACAGAAATCAACCCTACGATGAATGCGTTTCTTCCCTATGTCATACAGTCATATAAACACGCGGCTGGTGTAGTGTGACCTCGGCATCTTAACTGGGGCCTGTCTGTCGCACATTCCCGGCTCTCGGGATTACACCGCACCAATGGACGATCAGATAAGCCCGGTTTAGGAAGGTACCTGAACGGGATGAAATACTGTGTAAGCGACGCAAAAAGCTGACACTACAGATATGATTTCCTGAGGCCTGGTATACTCCCTATATGCTTAGATCTCTTCAGAGATCAAAGATATCTGGACCCTGGTACTGATTGAGAGCATTTGCTACTAAAGTCACGACCTAATTACTTCGCACGTTTCACAAGTACAACGCTGAGCCTGGCAAGTGCTGGTAGACGTTTCAATTTATTATTTATCGCTCTACCACATGCTGGCCCTGGATAACCGCGATGAAAAGCCTATATATGGTCGAAAAGGGTTTCCCTTACTCCCTTCTAGGGTGACTCGAATTCGTCATGAGATATTAACCTTTCCGCCGTGTCCTCGCCATATACTAACTAGAAAAGACATTCGCCGACAGCATCGCCTTATTTAATCCTGGTCTATAATCAAATGACCAAAGTTGACATCTAACTCCCCACCCTCACTGGACGGCCGAGCAGCATAGACACCGACCCAAAAGTCCTTCACATTCTCCTCCTCAAACACCCAAGTGACCTCCCGCACAGGCGACTTCTGCAAACCCTCCACAAGATAGATCCACAGACTGTTATCCTGCTCTTTGACCAGTTCAAGAGTTGCTGCACCACCACCTGACGGCACGGGTAGCAAGCTCCAATCTGCCCAGTTGTCCTTGGCGACAACGCTAAGATGGGGCTTGCCATGAGTGAGCTCAATGCCACTCTTTACCCATTTCTTACTGCCATCGGCGGCGTTGAGAACAAGAATGATTCCACCCTGATCGTATTTCTGCTGCCAGAGGGCATTGAAGGCGACTCGGACTCGCTTGAATGACTTCAGTGGCACCGATTGGTATAGAATTGGGGCGGAGAAGCGTGTGGTGGAGGGGGGCTTGGCCCAGATGTCTGTAGAGGCTGGCGCTTTGATGGTGAACTCGGGGGAGGGGTACCATTGCCCGGTACTTTGGCGTCCGAGTTGGCGAATTGGAATGTCGACATGGTGGGATGCGGAATGCGGGGAGATAGTGGTATGGCGATAGATGAGATGGCACGCGCAGATGATTGATCTGGTCTATATGCTTGAGGATGCAGAGGAATGATCGGAGAGATTGAGATTTGAGTGAAAGAGACCAGGAGTAAGCAGAAGGACTAACTTAGGCCCGGGAATAGTATGATTTCATCCGGAAAGAGATACAGCTGGTCACCGGCGGGCCGACTACGTCACGTCAGACCCGAATTGCAAATTTGCAACCGGAAACTTGTTTACTTATCTCTGCAAATTACCAATTGACGGGACTGGCATTTGTATAAATTGTAAATAAGTATCCAGGCTATTTACATTAGCTACTCAGCTACCAATTAATTCCTTAAAGCCCAACATTCGTGAATTCATGACTACATACTAGCATCTCCACGTGATCAGATTGATGATGTAAGGTGTCCCACGGGGCCCCACGGAAAACGCCAACCCATTTTCCGTTTAGGCTGTTGATAACAGTAATGGCTGTAAATTGCCATTTTACTATCGGAACAATACTCACCTGAAGAAAGTCCCAAGGGTGTATACCCAATTGGTGACGCTATCCACCATGACTGCGCGATTGCTTCATCCCGATGAGTGGGAACTGGCCTCACGATCATCAGTGGACTCTCAGGGGACGTTCAACCTCGACGAGGACGATTTCGAATCCCAGATCCCTACATCCGCGAAATTCGGCCAACGTCGACTGCCTTGGCTATCCCGAATCTATACTGCCGCGTCAGCGGGTTATCGCCGCTTGAATAATAAGTCTAGACCGGCCCTCGCAGGGACTCCACGACCGAGCTGCTCTCGACGTTTCATCATCCGCCGCTTTTGCTACATCCACGTCCTTGCCGGCATCATTTTTACTCTAGTACTGCTCACCTCCATGTTCTTCCCGTCCTATACCCACCTGCCGGCGCATTACTCAGCATTCCGCGAATCGGTGCTCGAGAGCTCGTATCCTGGACGAGGCAATCCTCGCCAGGAGAAAGTCTTCATCGCAGCAAGTCTATATGACAGCGGGGGCAAACTCGCCCAGGGGCAATGGGGAACACAGCTTCTGCAGCTGATTGACCTGCTCGGGCCTGACAATGTATTCCTGAGCATCTATGAGAATGACAGCGGCGAGGAGGGAGAGCGTGCGCTGCGCGCATTAGAGGAACAAGTGCCATGCCAGAAGTCTATCGTCATCGATAAGCATTTGGATCCGAAGAGTATCCCCACCGTAACCATTCCCGGCGGAAGCAAGCGCGTCAAGCGCATTGAATATCTGGCCCAGGTACGGAACCGAGCGCTGCAGCCATTGACGGACCACCCGGATATGAAATTCGACAAACTCCTCTATCTGAACGACATCCTATTCCATCCTATGGAGACCCTCCACCTCCTTTTCTCCACCAACGCCAATGCGGACGGCGTTGCGCAATACCGCGCAGCCTGTGCCGTCGACTTCGACAATCCCATCAAATTCTACGACACATATGCGACCCGTGATCTGGAAGGATACAGCATGGGTCTTCCCTTCTATCCATGGTTCACCACATCCGGCAAAGGCGAAAGCCGAAGCGATGTGCTGGCCGGGAAAGACGCTGTGCGAGTGCGCAGCTGCTGGGGTGGAATGGTGGCCTTCGATGCCAAATACTTCCAAGCCAGTGTGCCACCTACGAGTCCTAATCCGGTCCGCTTCCGTGCCGGGAAGGATCTCTTCTGGGAGGCATCTGAATGCTGTCTCATTCACGCGGACATCCAAGACCGGCAAACTAAACCCGACGAGATCACCGATACAGGCATCTACATGAACCCGTTCGTACGGACCGCTTATGACCACCGCACTCTCTCGTGGTTAGGTATTACCCGACGCTTTGAGGGGTTGTACTCGTTCCTGCACAATTTGGGCAATCACCTCGTTGGTCTGCCTTGGCACAACCCCCGTCGTGCGGAAATTCCTGGTCAAACTGTGCAGGAGAAGGTGTGGGTTTCAGATGGTACGAAGGAGGGTGGTGGCTCTTTCCAGGTCGTTGACCGGATCGCGGGCAATGATGGTTATTGTGGCCGTCGTGGCCTTCAGGTCATTGTTGAAGACCGCAAGCCTGGACAGAAAGGATTTGAGAATATTCCTGTTCCGTCATAAGGTTTAGCGGTTTGATCTGATCCGTTTCGGTTGAATTTGCATTTGGCTTGGCGTTTTCTGGTGTATGTCTAGCCTTTGTGCCTTTGGGGGGATTGGTTGAATGTACACAATATTTTCCCCTTCTACATAATGGAATAAATTAGATGAGACTGACAAAGGCAAGGAAGCATCTGCAATACCCGCAGGTAGTATTGGAAAATGCCGTTTGTATGGTCATTTCTTTGTCCGATATGCCCGTAGGTACATATATGAAGCCTACCATTCTGCATTTCTCTTTCTTGTCATTATCATCCCATCTTTCGTCGATTCCAATGTCTTTCCCTGCTCGCTGACAGTGTTATTATCGGTTTTGTCTCCCAAGGGAGATAATATCAGGCCTGTTCTATCTCAAGGGCCATGTCTTCCAGTCAGAATTCTAGACTCGGCCTTTGCTGCAGAGAACAGTAGAAGATGTGCCCGACAAAGCTTCAGCAACGAACCCTTGAAGCTGAAATCTGGGACACACTGAGCCCAGGCTCGAGCATAGGAAAAACGCTGTACGCTTCGAGCTCGGTGATTCGCTCAGGATACGTAGTTATATGGCCTTTCTCAACATGAGAATGCAGCAGTTGTCCTTCGCACATGGTGATGGTTGGTTAGGTACTTGCTGATATACGTATATCGGCTTCAACCTTGGAAGATAGAGAGTGTTAAGGTCTCAATATAAGCCAGATGCATGAGTTCCTTCTGGCTACGATCTGCAGTGAGTCGTTGATACCTAGCCATTAGTCGTTGATCGTATGTATGCCCCAGGAAGCAATCATGGGGGATATCAAAGGCCTTTCTGCATGAGGTCACTCACCAGTGAGTGTTTATAGTTGGGCTGGACAGGGAGAGCTGTGCCTTAGGCCATATGCAGCACTCAATGGCTATATAAGGAAGGAACATCACGGGATAGTATGCGTTCTTATGGGTCGTGCCTGCTCTTCTCGGGTGCCAGTTGTTCTTTCCCTAGGTTCAAAGCCTCAATACGTCAACCTCTGAGAAATGTTCTCGGCGTTTTTCTCTTTCTCCTTTTCATTCTCGGCGTTGTTGTTCTCTTCGTTCTCGGCGTTTTTGTCTTCACTTTGAATCTCACGATGGCACTGACGATGGCACTCTCGATGGGACTCGCCTATCCTATGCAAACCCGCGATGCGATGGATATCGCCGCAACAACAGGTGATAAACGTCGCGCACTCCTGAGCCGCGATGGCTATCGCCTAAGCAACTGGAGACAAATGTTGCGCGAGAGTCAAACGGCCCAAACGGTGCGCGAGATGCTACATAATAATTCCGGTATGTCATCCTCTTCTTCCTCTTCTTCGTCTTCTCCCTCTCATCCGGCGATCAAGTCTCCATCATGGCGCCTTACGGTACCAGATCTCGTACTGACCTTTCGCCCGCTCGCGTGCCCTCTGAAGTCCTCGACGACTACGAGGTCACCCCCAAGTACGACATGTACGGCCTCGAGAAGATCGATACTCCGGTCGTATTCCGTAAAGTTGCTCCGGCAATTCGCGCCTCAGCTAACGACAACGACACCAAGATGCAGATTGACATTATGACTGTGGTTCTCGCTCAAACTGGTGGCGAGGCTTCTTCTGCTGCCGAGACAACCACCTTGACTTCGTCGACTGGTTCTTGCGCGTCCTCAAAGGAGAACAAACAGGTATGTCGCGACTTCTGCTGCCCTACACCGTACACACACTCTTGTTGTTCCAAGCTCACAAAAACATTTACAGAATGTTGTTGCTACTGATGTCGTTCATGCGAACGAGAAATCTACCACCACCTTCACTGGCAAGAAATCTGGCATCGATCCTCGTGCCAAGCCGTTCTTCCCTCGTGCCGGTTCTGGTGGTCTTGTTCTTGGTAATCGTCTTCGTAGTGCTACTGTCAAGATCACGAAACCTAATGGCGAGGAATTGATCTTGCCCCCTCGTCGCTATGCATCTGCTGGTGCTGAGCCTGTTGCTCCCACCGTTGATCTGCTGATCAGTCCCTCCTCCAAAGCTGCTGCCGCGCCCAAGGAGAGCCTCGCTGCAGCTACCGCTGAGCTGGAGGATTCTGATTTTGACTGGGATGACAAGCCCGGTAACCAGCCAGCTAAGGAAGCTGAGTCTAGCAACAACAAGGAGTCGGCTCCCGCCGACAAGCCCGTTCGAGGTCTTACGTCTCCGAAAGACTTCATGAAACAAGTTCGCCTGATCCACGAGATGAAGTTGCAGGCATCCAAGGCCGCTGCGGTGGGACGACCCCGTCGCATCATCTTTGGAAATATTCCTGATTGGGCCACCAAGGCCGACATCCTGCAGCTCGTCCACGGTGGCGCTGTCGAGAACGCTTGGAACGGAGACGGTGAAGTCACTGTTCAGTTCGTGAATCAGGAGGCCTGCATTGCGTACTACGAGGCCCATGGGGGTGGAATTACTTTGGGCAACGCTGACGAGGAGCTTACCATCTCCGTTACTATGCCTGAGGACGGTCAGCCTGACCACCCCGAGCTGCGGGAGCGGGCTTCGAAGGGTGGTTCGCGTGTCGTTTGTCTCTCGGGTCTCCGGCCTGGTTTGAAGGGTAGCAATGGCGAGGACATCCTGGGAATTGTCTCTGCTCCTACCTGGGAAGGCAAGGAATTCGACCACGTCGTGATCAGACCGGGCACGGTAAGTTTTCAAACCAGCGATTCGTTCAAGCCGAGTGCCTAAATACTAACATGTCTTTTTCAGCTCGGACTCGACGTTTACGTCTTCTTCTATGATCTTCACGTTGGCTGGGACTTCCTGCACAGCATCCAAGACGGAGACTACGAATGTGCTGCCAGGTTTGAAGCTGACCCGTACGTGGCTTGTTCGCTATATGGAGACATGGCTTTTGCTGACTCGTTCGATCACAGTTGCACTCTGGACAGCTTCCACTTCGTTGACGAGCCGAACCGCATGTTCACCGTTTACGATGCGGGCGTCGGCGCCAACTAGTTCATTTATCCATCGATGACCATGGGCGACCAACAAGCCTGTGACTGGCAATAGCTACCATAGCATTGCATCTTAGGACAGATACGGTGGATTTCGAATACCCCCACGAGGGATTCTCCTTTTCTTGCTTCTATGATGGGTCTTCATATGTTAGGAACATGGTTGATAGTTCTATCTAGCATAGCCCTCAAATGGAAAAGCATGTTATCAACCAATTGCGCATTGCGCTTCTATCTCAGCTTTATACGTATGTGGCAGCTGCTACAGTTTCACCCTAGATATGCATAGTCCGTACGACCAAGATACCTGGTAAGCGCATCCCTCGCACATCATTAATTCCCTTGATCGCACCAACCCACGAAGTTCGAACCCAGAGCAACATACTGTGTACTCATACATGCATGATGCACGCTACAAGGAATATAAACAAGGGACCGGACATCATTGGTCGATGACCTGCAGGCGCCCCTCCTACCCTTTTGATACTAGTGCTGATTATATTCGACAGCCAAGTGGGAATTGTGGGGTTGATGATTGGAGCTGGCGGGGGTTCATGCTTTAGTGCGAACTGTTAGTGTTATGGTCATTTAACGTCCTTAGTACCGGACTGCCGGGGATGTTGGATGTGGATTGTGGGCGTTATTTATTTAGCCTATGTATTCGGTCTTACGGGTTACTTCGGGTCCGAGATGATCCTTTACAGATGTTGTAACGTATTCGGTGAGCGAGTTGCGCACTGCGCAATCCAAAACACATTGACATACACAATAGAAAATGCGATTAATTACAACTTGATATCCCAACGACGGTGTCTGGTGTCTCCTAGCATCCGTCAGTACATGAGTCACCATACACCTGAGTGCTACTCATGACCTGTCCCATGACTCAGAGAAAATGGAATGATACATGTGCTCCTTCGGTAGGCGCGAAATAGATATCGTTTGGATATTCAATCGTCTGCCTGCTGCCAGCAGTCGATGTCCATTCGACTGGTTGCGACGCGGCAACTGCCATCACGCCGGATACAGAGGTCCCGGGATGTTGGAGCACGGATCTCTAATTCATCAAGTGTTGCGGCTACAGTCTCGTGCCCTCGACATCTGCCTGCCATCTGGGATGTGGCGATTCTGTGGCAGTTGCCAGTTGGTTGGTTGGAGCGAGCTTTCACTGCTCTCCAACGTCGATTAGCGATTTCCATTGCTCCGTACCGTAAGTCTTGAATATACTAGGCGCCGCAAGGCCAGTGAGTAGATTATGAAAGATATGGTAAAGATCCTTAACTTATCGGTAGTCGCGTCCACAATATCTCTCGCCATGGATTCCCGGCCGCCTGCAGCCTGAGGTTGCAGGCTGCTGGTAGCCACGTGACAAAAGCATAGGGAAGATTGGAGTATCTGTTCGTGGGCTCGATATTGGGGCTGGCACTTCTGCTAAGTGGCTAAGGTCAAAGGTGTAAGGACGGCCAAGTCTCCGAAGAGTCAGTGTCAGTACCTTTAACAGACGTAAACACTATCACGAAGTTCGAACTGTAAGAGAGAGGGAGGGAGTTGGGGATCCACATCCCCACTGAGGTCACAGTTCACCGCCTGGGTAAATACCGGTAATCCCTGTCTTGTCAGCACTATAATTGACATTCTGCTGTGTCTGATAAATACCCCAAAAGTACCCTCCACCTTCACCTCCTCCCCGAGATCTTCAACAGTAACATCGGCAATGACACTACGCGCGACTATTAATTCAATTGCAGATCAATCCTGATCACAATCACCGAGCAGATAGCATACACATGCTAAGTCTAGACTCTTGGTCTTGACTCGCATTTCCTATCCAAAGCTCCCCGCCCCACATCCCAAAAGCAGTCTAACGACAACACAGCTAGTACGCAATTGAACAGCTGTCTACATAGCTACCCCAACTACGTTCTAAAACGAAAACGAATTCTCTTCATGCAAATCTCCGGGCCCCGGGACCACTTCCCCGAGCCGGACGCTAAAAAGGCCTCTAACGGGGCCCCATTTGCACGTCGCTTGTATTTCGTGGTCGATCATGAGTACTTTTGTTCTGGTCGGTTAAACTAGTAGCTATGTTGTAGTGGATTCGCGGAAATTTGCGGAAATACTTATCCCGTGCCTAGTCTCTAGGCGCGTCTACCGACCATGGTCCACATGTGACATGAATAACCAGGTGTATGATCATCGGAGGCAATTGGATATCCGGTTATTTGGTAATTCCTTGGACTTGCTTATAGTCATCTTTGGCCTTTTAGAGGAGACGTTGTATCAATGTGTAGCATCGATGTTGTTGTTCTGCTTGCGTATTCTCGTTTAGACAAACGGAGTAGCTGGAGGGACGGAGGAGAGGAAAGTGGGACCGCAGAAAGCAGTAGTTAGTAGGTAGTTGACACCTGTCAAGTGTTACATAGTTGCTGGATGGTGAGCCCTCTCTCAAAGATTGTACAGTTGATTAACCGGTCTGAGTAGGCGTTTCCGGTGAGCTTCTTGTTTTGTGCTTCTTGTTTTGTTTTCAAGAGTAATGTTCTTTTGCTAAGGTATTGCTAGTCAGTAGTATTATACTTGTATCCTTGTAAGTGCCTATTCTGCAGCAAATTGCGTGTTACATTGCCAAGTGCAAGCGCGGCTGGCTGAGATCGGTGAATACGCCACTGCATATTAAACAGCTTCCATGATCGGCACATGAAGGATATGCTCGGTACGTGTATGTGAGCCGATTGGAGAAAGCAAGGGAATGGCCTGGGAATGCCGTGCAATTCTGAATGCACGATGTTCCTCGACTGCAGAGATATGTACGATTCGTCATACCGAGCACAAGAAACACAGGAAAAAAATAGATTCAATCTCAAATCTATTGTATTTGTATCTGAATCTAGATTCAACCCGTGGCATGATTCAACACCGCTTGACATGGATTGCTCCACACAACGTATAGGAAATTATATCACACCCAGCAGACAAAATGTGTAGAAAGTGAAAGTGATGTAGGAAGACATCAAGAAAGGGAAAGACAGGAACCCAAGCCAAAAGTCTGTGGACCGTCTGGTATAACGAGAGAAAGATTGAAGACGGAAAAGGACAACAGACCTCCCACGCTGGAAAAAAGAAGACCAAGGTATCTCAAAAGGACAAAGACCGACCCACGCAAAGACCAACAAAGACAAACAGATAAAAAACAAATCTGAACCTCCCAACATCAACATTAGCATCACGAAAAAACAAATCACATCTTCCTCTGCGGCATATCAACCTCCTTCCTCATCCATGGATACCAAACATTACTGTACTGCCTAACCCCAAACTTATGTCCCCTCGACTGATTCGGCAACGAAGCACCCCCTCCCTCAAAAACTCCCCATCCCTCATCCGCCTCTGTTCCCGCAACGTCGGGCACTTCTTCTCCTTGATAAACCGATAGAACTTGCACTGGATCCCCTGGAACCCACGTCTCTGCCTCGCCGAAAACTGCCGATTGAAAGCCTCGCGCACCTCCTTCCACTCCTGGCACAGGTCAACGCGGTGGTACCAGATGAAGTACATTTCCTCTTCCTCGTACTTTGGGCGAGGAGGCCGGCGGCGGTCACCGACTTCACCTGCTGAGGAGCTGCTCGAGACGCTGGGGAAGCGCTGGGAGCGGTACATATCTGGCGAGCAGGGTGCTGAGTGGCTGGACTTTTGGTTGAGGGTCATGGTGCTGTGGGGTTGCGGGTTGCGGTAGGTGAGGAACATTTGGTGCTGGTTTGGATTTGAGCCGTGGATGGGGAGTGTTTGGTTTGGGCTGCCTGGGCTGGAGTACCAGTAGTCTCCCGGGCTTGCGGGCAGACTGGGGAGTGGTTGTTGGGGGTAGTTGAGGCGGGTTGTCGTTGTCGTTGGTGAGGTTGGGTGAGAGGGTGGAGAGGGGGGCTGAGAGTCGCCTGGGTTGAGGAGAGCGTCGATTTTCATTTTGCTTTGGCGGACTGATGGTAGTGTTGCGTGTGGTTCTGCGTGGGGTTCGATATTGCAGAGGGAAGGCATGGAGTTGATGTATATGGTTTGCCGCGACGGTGTGTTGTTTGGGAAGACTTATAGATCGGCTCTGATCTATAAGATAGACGGCCGAGCGTTTGAATCACCTGGTCATAGGTGATATGCGTAATGATCAGACTAAGTCTTGGTAGGTCCTGATAGTGAGATACAGGTATAGATTGTATAGAGACCTGCCAATGGAAGTGAAGTACACAAGTAAGGGAGAGGATGTTGGGGTAATGGGGAAGGTTTTATAGATCTTGCTCTAGAAGAAAAGAAGATCAGAGCAGTTCGCTCTTAAATGAGAAAGAATGATTCAAAAAGAATAAAATAAATAAAGGCTGTTGGGTTCACTGGACCGACTGCCTAATTCTGTTCCTTTTGGCCCCCTGTATAGTTGCTGTACGGATACACAGATTCCTTGGGCTAACTAACAGGGGTCTTTTTTAAGAGGTTGGGTTCCACCCCCAGAGAGACAAAAAAAAATAAAATAAATTTAATAGAACGGTGAACCGGATAGATTGCTCCGTGTCCAATAGTGGAGAGCACTCTCTTTCTTTTATTTCTTTTTCTTGCTTTTCTCTCTTGCCACTATCTAGAGATGTGGCAATAGCTTCAATCGGGCTACTCCGAATTCATTTGCACTCTAGCTTTTCCAAGTCGATCTTTTTCTTTGTCTGGTGAGTTTCGCGGCAATTTGGTTAAACTTGTCGACGATGACACAATCTGGGCGATCTCGATTATCTTTTTTTTGAAGAAAAACCTTCTTTACATCTGTTGGTATGTATGTATGCGTTTACATGTACGAAAAAAACGGGGGCTACGCGGTAATCAATACAATTTACCTTTAGTCTTTTGCAGTCTTAGCGCCAAGGCGATGTTGATGAATGACAAATTGCGGGTTTGCCGTTTAGAGTAATATAAAAGCAGTTGCCCGACGAATTCGAGCTGATGATGTGTGAAATAGATATAGACAGAGGTCGGGGAGATAAAGAAGATGGCAGTCAGGCAATCATCTAAAATGAAGCACAACGGATCAACAGTGGAAAGATAATCATCTACTCCGTATTCCTCTACGACGTGGGAGTTGGTGGCACATCTGCAGCCCTGCCACTACATGAGCGGTTAGGTGATAAGCTCGATTGAGAAGAATCAGTTAGGGACACATGTGAGTTGGGGAGAAAATATGAATAAAAAATAGAAGACATTGCTTGTATCCTCTAGGCTCCCTTAGTGTCGCAGTGTTTCATTGCTTTGTCCTTCATTGCTTTGTCCAACACTGGCTAGGTATCCATTCTTCATGTGAATGGACAACGAACTAGGACAGATGTGAACTACTTTCTGCCCCTCGCTTCTTCGAGGTCATGGAAATAATGTGCAGAAATTGAAAGAGATTAGAAGCGAAATGAAAAAAAAGAAAGAAAAGAAAACCAACACAAACGCGCGGCGTCTATTGGTAGACGCAACAGTCATCTGTTGCGACGTACGCCATGGCCTTGGTATGTCGGAACGAATGAGCGTCGCGAGCTAACGCAAGCTCAATTTGGCACTGCCAGTGCCAGCACACCGGTCTCCGCACTATGAGGCAAGAGAAAAACATCCTTGACGGCCGTGACACACACTTCCACACACTTCCCTGCTCTCACTTCCCTGCTCTCCTTCATTCCTTTCAAGGATGTCTACGGATAGGGCTTGCGGAATCAGCCTTGCTTTGCCTCGAAATCGTCATATTCGATCTTCAATATACCAGTGGCCTGATGACAAACACCCGTAATATCGCGAACCACGGTTTGCTTCTATCAGTTCCAAACACTAGACATGGGGGAAGCCTTCGGGGGTTTCCCTTCCAGACCAGAACTCCATCACTCGGCAGCAGCCGACGTCGTTGAAGCGCAGTCAACTCGCATTGAGAGAATCGCCTAGCCATATCTCCACTCTCGGATCACCCAGCCTGTTTAATCCACGGACCACATCTGTGATATTACTCGCGTGATAACAATCTTCCACCCCTTATGCGCCATTTTCCCTCGATCTGCGCCTTGACCAGGTCGATCGTCAGTCATCTGCAGCCGCCAACGGTTGGTTTCCTTAAATTTTCTTCACCCCCGGTTCTAGTTTGGGGCAAGTCTACTTTCGACAGTCGGTGTCACGGGCAAGTACAAGCGGGACCCCGAATGAAAGAGACCCCCCACATTTGAGAATCTGGAAGCCCGGAGACATTTCCAAGGTCCGGAGACATATCCATGCAAATTGCTCAAATATCAGACCGAAAGCAATAAAAGAGAAAGAGTAAAAAAACGAAACCAACACCAAAACGGAAAAAGGCAGAAGTTATGAATCATGATCATATCTCTGCGGCGCAGTCAACTTGCGCAAGCGCCAAAATCATCGTCATTTAGGGCATCTTCCTCCCCTTCTGTATGGCCCGTTGCTTCCGAGGCCCATTAGCCTCTAGCTCCTCGCAGGTACAACAATACTAGTTCCTGAAAGCCCCCGATTCCGTGCAGATCGGATCAACATGGGTGGCCCTCCGAGGCTAAAAGCGGCTTTTTCTCGCCCTCTCCCCCTCCCCGCTCTGATTTTCTTTGTCCGCCGCTCTCCACCGAGTCCAATCAAGATGGTTCTGACGTGCGGCAGTCGCGTAGCCGCAGCTCGATTCAGTCACGTGAGAGTATAGCGGTAAGATTGTCTTACCAGCAGCTGCTGAATTTAGCTATATTACGCTTTAGATACACATTTCTGCACGTTATGAAGTATCGAATTCGAGACATTCCTGAATTCTTATTATCTAAGTAGACCAGGCGTTGCACATGCAGATTGTATGCACCGCGCTTGACCCCGCTGTGACCCAGATATTCGACTCCTTCCTGAATAGACAATCGCGGCGCGCTGCTCTAGGGTTGCAGTTGGTTGCAGGTGAAAAACCAACAAAATTTAGATAATTGAGGAAGAGGAAATTTTTTTAGGGCCAATCTCCTTAGATTATCGTCACATCGCGCGAGTCATGCAATGCATAATTGGCATGTCACCCTGGTACTCTTAACGGCCGACCATCAGCTAGGGCGGCAAAATAAAAAGCAACGACAAAACGACACAGAAGATACATTTCTGGTAATTTTTAATTTCATTGAGTTTTCAGGCTAAACGTGGGCAGATTGGTCCGAAATTCATATTCTCTCGACCAATTATCTTATTCCGTCGCTTAACATTGGATGAATTAATTTTCTTTTTGATTCTATTTTTCCTCTTTGTCTGAGCCGCGCAGATCCCTGGGATGTGCCGGAATCGCTCGTTTTAGGTTCAATGTTGGTTTCTTCTCTCTACGCTTCTTCTCCTTTGTTTGTAGCCTGCTTAATAATGAGGTTGAAAAAAGACCTAGATGTATGCAGGGTTAGATTTCAAATAAGTCTACATACTCGATTCTGCAGCTGACCCAAGTAGTCAGCCAAGGACGCCATGTCCTGTGCGAGACGTTAGCGATAGCCGCCGAGTGCCCCACGAGCGCAATGAGGTAAGTTCTAGAAGATAACGTATGTTGTATACAAGATAGAGAGATAGAAGCCCGGATGGAACGAATTCAGTGGCCAGCACCAGGATCAATCTACAAATTCTTCAGCTCAGATCTGCACCTTATCCCTCAGCATTCTCCCAATTTGAAACGGGCTTCTCCGTCGACGAACAAGGAAGAGAACCGAAAAAAAATGACTCGTTTGAGACGCAGAAACCCGCTTCGCTCCAGAGAGCTCATCCGCCATGTGTTGGATAGACCCTGGACCCCGAGACGCGAAGTCACTGCGCAACACTGCGAATATCCACTGTGGGAACCCAGTACCGTTGCCTACTTGCGAGCAGACAAAGAGAACGGGGCACGAATCCTCTTCCCCACAACGGGCCATCAAAGGTCAATCTGTGATTACCACATACTACTGTGTACAACGTAGGTGATCTGTCCTCTCCGGGTTACGATTCATGTCCGTTTGGTTGGTAGCTGCAAGGTTGGATACCTCCCCCGGTCCCAACTCAGGTACTCTCAGCGCCAAACCATGGAACCATGGCTGAGGCTCTCGGCGTTTTGGCGAACCCTGGATCGTAGGCGATCCCCCGAACTACGCCGAACTTGCCAAATCAAATATGCGTAGTAGAATGCAGAACGGTGCTTTTGTTTAGTAGGGTAATATCCAGATGTGTGTCGGTGTGTCGGTGTGGTCTAGATAGATTGGTTGCAACATCAAGTACGTACACAGTTCGTAAACCAACAAATAGAACTGTTAGACCAACTGTTGGAAATCTAAATCTAAGCCAGCGCACTAAGCACCATGCATTGGCGCAACACCTGACGGTGTCCGTCTGCATGCAAGAAGCAAGCGCATTACAAAAACCCCGGTAAATCCGGTGTGGCTGCAAAAAGCCAGAGAGTCAGTGTTGCAACATCAGATCATGGGTCTGGACGGGTAATCTCCCCAGCCTGGGAACCTTTTACCGATTGGCGTATTGGGGGTTTGAATAATGTCGGAGGACGGAGAAATCAACCCCCTAATGTCTCCGTTCGAGGATCATTGCACCAAAATAGAAGCGATAAATTGGAAAAAATTCTAAATTATCAGATCCCGCCTGGTCCCTTCTACGGAGTACGTACTCGGATCCGACCCAAATCAGCTTAGCTGGTTAGCTACTGGAAAGCACACGCCCTCTGCCCTCGGCTGGCTCGGCTATGGCTATGTTTCAGCCGCATGGAAATGTGATGCGAATTGCACTAGACACGACTTCTTGCAGTAGATAGCAGTGAGTTGCTGCGCAGTGTCGGATTTTGATATATGTATGTTGGGATGTTGGCGACTAGTTATTCAGGGTATGTTGTACAGAAATAGTTGGTCCTGATCGATCTAAGCGCACTAGATCCAAATTTAATGCGCAAACCTCTCGGAAGGATTCAAACGCACGTATCGTATCGACTCCGCTCCTTGGCCCCACGTCTTTGCTGCGCACTAGACGGTAGCCGGGAGGCGAAGCGGCCATGGACTTGATTGGGATGGCTACCTTGGTAAGGCTACTCTTATGTTGCTGAATCTGATTCTGTGACTTGAGATTGGGGCACAATGAAGTAGATATCTGTATGTTGTAAAACGCCAAGACCCTCAATACAGCCCCCATCTCCCTTTTTCCCGTATCTAGCCTAGGGCGAGCTCGGTAGTTAACTAGCGCTGTCCGTTACCTTTGAAAGAACTTGGCTTTCGGCTTTTGTGGAGGTAGTTTTCGTAAGGGCGAAGGGCAAAAGCCACCGCAAAACCCGTGTAAAACTCGACTTTGTATTCCGCCACGCTTCTGGAATCGATCAATGACAAAGACTTGATAAGCGATGGAGCGTCGGGATGGCTTCGTCTACTACGTAGGACCGACTACATACAGCATACCTACGGAGTACAGCCTCTCATACTACAGGGCTGTGTATTAGCAATGGGTATTTTATGTACTCAGTATCCGTACACCTGTCCTGAAAATAGGAATCACATGTCCTACACAAGGCCGCGGAAATACTCAGCGATACAGAGATTTGAGGACATCTACGATGTAACTATATTGTTCTCAATGGCCCGGCAATAAGAGATACCCTCCATGCTCACAATATACTACCTACCTAGATAGGAACATGTCAGCATTAGGTACTTCACACATCCATACCTACCAACGGCAACATGGAAGTAATATCCAGTGATCCACAACCATCTAGAAAACCCAAATCTCACACCATTCCTATTGAAAGATAAGAAAAAGTATATATGACATCCCACCCCGCTATTGGACCTCTATCATTTTCGGCGATCTTCTTCACGATATCTGTGGATTCCAAAGTTTACTGCTTTCTCTGGCACAGTGGCTCTCTAGGTTCAATAAAAATGGATATATTGTGGGAATCCCCCAACTATATATTGTCTTGTAAGTTCCATTCTGATCCTTCCACAGCCACAATCCACCCTGAAGCCAAGAGCCCGAACCCTTCAACCGTGGAGACCACGAGAGGCTCCTTCTGTCAGCACTAGAGACACGTGGGATTTCGTGACGAACCGAGGGAGTCGTGCTTATTTCTTACGTTGGCAGCCATACCTGTGGCTTTGGCTTACTTGCACCCTGAATGCCAAGGTTTCCGGGGTTTGTATGGTGAGATAGATTTTCAGGCCCCTCGTGCGGAGAAGAAAGGCATTGTCAGATTCCAGATTCGGCATATCTGCCCGTGTGCAGAGTATCACGTTGTCTCGAGAATACCTACCTATTCAAGTCTCACTGCTCAGATGTAAGCTGTCTACGGCGGGGTATATACAATGGAAAGAACTCGCATAGAATCCCGCAGATATCGCATCTCAATCCGATTTTGACCCCTGACAGCCTTCGTTACACTGCAGCCGATTGAAGACTGGGCGGTGGAAGCATCAAGCAAGGCAATGTCGCCATACCCGCACCTAATAATTCCGCGCAGCAAGATTTACACTGTAAGGCGAGAATAGCCGTCGATGTGGTGGATCTAGAAGAAAGATGGCGGTGGCAGGTGTTCTATGCTGTGTCTGGATCGCACCTCCAGCTGCAAGCTTGATCCTTCAGGAAAATGGGGAAAAAAAAGCGCTAACCCCAGAATCAAAGACAAACTCCGCGGCGATGACATCTTTCTTCTGACTGACCTATGCTCCACGCGATCGCGACGGTCGTAGAAGCATACTCCGTAATTCATCTCACAATCTCCCAAAGCAAAGCCATTATAACTATCGGTGAAGGTCCAAATGAGTCAATGACAGCCTCAGGTTGAATTCTCACACGTGCGTATTAGCCACACCAATCAGCCCCCGGGAATTGACGACAAGGCGAAATGCTGCCATCATCACACCGAAGCCACAGACCTGGGTCACTAGCTCCGGGATCGGGCCTTCTGGCGTGAGCTATTTCTGCACTGCAGTGTTTCAGCTGATTGGTAAGTTCTGCGAGTTTTAATCTTTTCTGGCAGGGGACTTGGCGTGCATATTCCAGCACTATTCCTAATTGAGTAGGTGTATAACACACCAATCTTCAACCTCGATTATCTCCTTTCTTCACGGTGATTTTCTCCGACGGCCGAATGAATGAGAAGTGAGAAACTATAATCTTGCGCAACAGCCAACATCATTCGACTCCATTTTCTACCTCTGTCTGTCAAAGTATAATCGCGACACTATTGTATGACTTTGAGCCTTGGCGGTGATCTTCAGCATTTCTGCAGATGAGGATCCTTCATGGATGTCATTGTTAACTGTGTCCTCCGTACTCCGAAACTAGATGGCGCATTCTGATATCCACGAAGACAGACGCATTCTCTTCTCGCCGTGTTCTCCGCATGAGATACGGCGTCCAGCCTGCGCGGACCCTCCCCGTCACATGAACTGAATCAGTTTCGCACTCGCACATCTTGACTCGGTTTGGCAACAGCCTTGTTCGTGTTCTTCCATTGGACTGCAGGGATAGCCTTGGTTATCGGATCACACTTGACGTCAATCTACTCTTTTACCCTCCTTGTTTTTTTCTAGATTTTATAAAAATTTTGCTTTGCAAGACAGCTTCTTCACCGATGAACATCGATCTCGGTAAATCAGTAAATCAGGAGCTGAAGGATTCGTCCGAACTTTGATGTTGACGTATGGTAAAATGTGAACCGTGCAGATACGGTGTATTATTATATCTGTAATTTTGAAGCTAGATTACTGTAATTTTCACTTTGATGCGTACTTTATTCTTATCTTTATGTTTCACTTCCCCTCGCAGAGCCGCACCTTCTTCACCAACTCGCTTATTACATCCGGCCAACCAGCATCGAGATATTACATCCTATGTATATCAAGGACCCATGGAACCGACCCGTGGAACCGAATCAAAGCTAGATGTACTCCGTACTTCACTTCGGGGTACCCGAACGTCAATCATGTCCGTTAGTAGTTATTACTGTGGATATAACGGAGACACAACGGAGATGGCACACAGAAGCGGTATGGCGAGAATAATCCATACGGATTTATTCCACAAAATAGTAAATTCCCCATGTCAAAGTGTGAAGATTACGGGTACACAGAATAATATCCGGGGCACGGGGCAGAATCCATCGGATCTGCCCGCTCATGACGAATGACATCTACAAGGGTTTTTGCATGAGACTTCACATGTGCCTACCACAGTGCAATGTCCTAGTTGGTTATATTCCCGGACTAACTATGAGTCAGTCAGTACAACAGTACATGTACATTTGTAGCTAGCTTGCCGCATATCAGACCGTTGAAAATAGCTGGGAGCTGTTGCGCGATTGCCGCATCTGGTAAGAGCCTTAGCGGCTTCCACACGGACCAGTAGGTCACCGCTACAGGATCTCCTGCATTATGCAGAGCGTACTGTTTTTGGGGGCTATGCGGGTGGCCTATTTCGTAACTGTTTTAGGTATGAGTGATAACTGATAAGTGTCCAGTCAACATCCCATGTTATATGGAGTTGTTGTATAGATACGGGGGTGTTCCGCCGCCGTGGGCTTTGATTCTTTCTGTCTTCATAGGCTATAGCCTAGATAATTACCTACCCAGGAGTATATAGCATGAAAATGTACGTAACTACCTGGACCAGGTTATGGTACCTCCCTAGATCGACACACCGCTTGTAATATCCAGTCCAACACCTGACCAAAACCAACAGCATCCTGCATCTCTCATTGACCACACTGTTTAAGTACAACCAACTCAAACTGTCCCCCTGCACAAATCTCCTAAAATGACTTCATCTGCATACTCTACCCAGGTACGCAGTACGCAGTACAAGTATCTACGATAGTTAGAAGATGGACGGCCTGTCCTTCTCTACCCCGCATGAATCCCCGCCTCAACCCCCCACCCTCTTCATCTCTGCTTGATCACCTTCCCTACAGGGAGGTTCTCCGGTTGTCTTTCTGGGCTGGGGCTTTGCTGGTGAGGGGCTGATCTGATCTCGGGATGGAAGTTGGAAGTTGGGGAAGATTGGTGGGTGGCGGTGAAGTTCATTGGTTGGATTCTCGTTCGTGTTGGTTGCTGTTACTGCAGGTGGTTGCAATGGGGCTTCGTTTTGTGAAGAAGGAACTCGCTAGTTGCGAACGGGTGGTATGGTGCCAGTTGTATGGGTAGTCATAGTCGTATAGTGTGCAGTAGTTTCGTTTCGGGATCCGGGCTCTAGGGTATGATCAGCGAGAGGTGATGAGTATCGTTCGGCTTGATTGCACCTATGATGTTACTAGGGGTTTTGGGCCGAGTTAGGTCGTGGTGGATGGCAACTGAAGATGATGGACATGCTGAATATGGAGCTTACGTGGGATTACCCGAGGGGCCGAGAAGAGTGTGAACTTGGAGAAGATCCAGCCTCATCTTTTGTACTGGAGCATGATCAGGCGTACAGGACACGAGCTCTTGCTTCATCTGGAAAGAAGCGCCTGCATAGCAATTACGATACTAGTTAGGTTCCAGCAGGTTAACACATCCTTGATTGATTGATTAATCATGGCATGTTGTTCCAGGTGTAGATTTACGACATCCCATCCGTGGATGCAACATACGCTTGCCTGCATCCCTACTTGATCATGTTACTCATTATTTGGGTTAACTAGTTGATGATCGGTATGACCCCAGTGTTGCTGCCTATCCCAGCCATATGAGCAGGAAAAGCAAACAGAACGTGAGCTGCAAAAGAATTTGTGATATTGGGAAATCCGAGCTAAACAGAGTAAACACCCAGCCAACAAATTTAGTAAAAAGTCAGGATCAGTACTCCTCATCAGAGTCCACGTTCCCACGATAGCGTGACATATACCCAATCCCGCCATCCTCACTCGCCGAGTCGTCAAAGTCGAAGTCATCATCGTCATCCGACGAGTCTTCTTCATCTGGGTAGTCATTGGCAGGGTTGTTTTCGGCTGAAAGGGTAGAACGTCAGTGGATTTCTATGAGAATATGACACGGGAGTAAAAAAGCGAACAGAAGGGAAACCGTCAACATACCATTAGAGTCCGCATCCTCACTATCCCACTCCTCCTCGTCATCCTCAACAAAGTGCTCCCAGTACTCCTCATCCTCAGCCGTGATAACAATGACACCAACTCCAGGTTGAGCCTTGGCGATATCCTTCTGCTGCTGATCGGACTCAAATTCGGCAAGAGGGTTCTTCAGCATCCCAGCCTCTGAGAGCGGACGCCTAACGTAAACATCGTAGACATAGTCGTCCTCGTCATCTTCTTCCACAGCCTGTTCATCCTTCGCCGAAGGCTGCGGTGGTACTGGCGCAACTCTGGGTTGCTTTGGCTGGCGCGGCTGGTGTTTCAACGGAGGTTTCGGAGCCGAGCTGAAAGCATGCTGCAATGAGACAGGTGCAGGAGGGGGAGCATCGACGCCCATATCCTGATCCCGGTCTTGATCTCGCTCAAGCTCCAGCGCGATCTGCTCAAATTCACGGGCGAGACGTTCGGACCCGTCATCCCAACCGGGTTGCTGTGTGCGAGCGGACTTCTCCAAAGTATCAGAGATATTCTGCTTCGCAGCCGAGATGGCGCCCTTGCGCTCCTCCCGCCACCGTTTCTCAGCCTGGTTGACAATGGGTCGTTTACGCAGTTTCACCGGTGACGGGGGTGTAGCGTCATGGACAACTTCCTTGGGCTTGATGGAGAGAGACCGCGCCTCCGCAACTAGATCCGAGACCATGGACGCCTTGCGTGAATGCGGGTTTTGCTGCAGCTGCTCGACCAGCACGGCAACACCAGGCGCAGGTCCGCCAGCCCGGCGCTTCTGAACGCCACCACCAGGACCGCTCATGGAAGCCAGATTCGCGCGCGAGATCTGGAACCGACGCAGGGCCTGTGCATGGCCAGCGGATGATTCTACTGATCCCGGGGTGCTAAGCCCCGTTGCAGGTTGGGGGACGACATCAGAAGCCTTCGCAGAGCTGGGATGCGGCTCTGAGAATGGGGAAGGTCCAGAGTAGACGGCGCGCTGGTGCTTTTCCTCGGCGTCTTTGCGTGCAGCTGCAATGCGCTGCGCTTCGCGGAATTCCGCTCCTGGGGAAGTGGCCCGCACCGTGGGCACGCCTGTCGAGGAGGCTGGTGCTCGGCGGTTTACATGTAGACTACTTACTGAGCGTGGGCTGCGCAGGAGGCGCTGCGAAGCTAGCGGTGTTGGTGGGCTTGGAGATGCATCGGCGCTTCCCTGCCCGCTAGCTTTCAGGGTGACTCTGTGAAAAACGAAGTCGGTGAAGCGGCGCTTAGTTTGGTGGAGTGCGGATTGAATGACTGGAAGTTGAGTTAGCAACCTGTGAGAACATTCTCTGAGTGCTCATATTGGGGCAGTCCCATTTTCAAGCCAGGAATCTTCCTGGAGGGGTCTACATCGCGGGGGCAAAAAACAAGGATTGCCTCTCTTACATAGGGTCTCCACAGGCTCTTCCTCGCGCCGACGCTTGATGTTAATTTGCTCTGGTGGAAGTGCCATGATGCAAAGCTAGAGTTGAATTTCCGATGACTTACTTGTCTGGGGATGTGGAAGTGAGAGAACAGAGATCGTTTGAGGCATCCAATTTGATGTGTCCGATCCTTACCCGATTTGGTTTGAGTCATCACGTGACCAGATATCTACAGACCACGCGAGCAAAAACCAAATGAACTCAGAACGAGGACAATTGTATGATTTACATTAGTTACGACTAGAGAGTTGGTTTATTACTTTGCTATAAGGTGCTTCATCTACTCATGTCATTCTTTCCCCGGGAAATTCCCACTAATTACACATCTGCAGGCTCAGCCCAACCTGCCTCAACCAAAACTTCCCAGTAGAGCAGAAGCTGGGAATCCACTGGACTATGCCACCGAACAAAGCCTAACCAAAGGCATGAAAGGGAGAATCACCGAGGCCAAAGAAAATATCAACCAGGAGCGGAGTGGCTGGTAATAGCGACAACCATCGTCGTACTGTAGTCACCGCTCATACCTCTCCATGGTCATCGTCCAGCGAAACATGCGGTGTAGTCACAACCCTCAGTCAAAATAAAGAGAAAACTCAAAGGTGAAAAGAAGGAAGAGACTCGAAGCCAACTAGCAATACAAGAGAATAAGAGAAGGGGAAAGTGCCATGAAAGGATTAATAGGGGAATAAAAAGTCACTGCGAACGAAATATGTCCGGAACAAAAGGTAGAAATTCAAAAGGCCAAAAGAAAGGTAAGGAAAAGGTGTTCCGACAGTGAATGGCAAAGAGTGAAGTTCAAAAAAAAGAGATTATGACCAATACAAGAACAGAATCAGAATCAAAATGTGGGGAAGACATGACAATCAAGAAGGGACTATATGTAAGAACATAGATTAATATGGCAGTAGATTCGCCGAGGACAGTGACTCAAATGATGTATCCTTCGGAACGTATGCAAATGATTATTTAGCGCCAATCTCCTCCTCAGCCCACCCAGGGAGCGAGTTCTCGTTCTGAATGGCCAGGCCAAATCCAGAGTGGTTCAGTCCACCGAGGGCGGAGAAGCTGGAGAAGCTGCTTTGGGGGTGGTGGGCTGCACCTGCGCGGCTGTGGCTAGGCTGGCTAGAAACTGGTCCAAAGGGCTCCTGGGAGAACGACGGCAAGCTGACAGCCCGCGAGTGAGAAGCACGCGGCACGCTGAGACTGCTGGTACTTGCGTGGTGACCGTGCCCTGAGCCATTAGCCACACTCAAGTAGCTGTTGTTCGAGGGCTTGTGCTGGTGCATCGACTCCATGCTTCCAGTGGAAAGATCGCCGTTGCTGGTGCCGTTGTACAGAGACTGCTGCTGCGATGCCTCGGACTGTGTCTGGAAGCCAGCAAGGGACATAGGGTCGTGGAGGTGGTTTTGGTTGTGGTTGTGGTTTTCCTGGTCCTGTGCCTGCTGAGCGGACATCTGGTTCAGGTACATGGTCAAGGGATTGTTCGAGCCGACGTTCAGAACACCGGAGGGAGAGGACACGTTCTGCAGTGGGTGACGGTGCTGACCATTCTGGGAGCCGGTGGAGCCCGGTGCGGGGGAAAGGGCAGGGCGAGTCGGGCTGGACTGAGAGCCGGACTGGCTGAGGTTCTGCTGGAAGCCGTTCAGAGCAGGCGATGGCGACTGAGGGCCTTCCAAGCCGGATCCATTGCGGTTCTGCTGGTTGTTTCCGGCCTGGCGCGGAGGGTTTCCGCAGCGGTCCTTGCCAAAGTTGATCTTGAATCGGCGGTAGTCTTCCCGGTTGCGCATTCCCTCGATCGCTTTGATGGCGTTGGCGATGTTCGTGAAGTTCACAAAGGCACAGCTCTTCTCACGCAGTGTGTTGACCAGCTCGATCTCACCATACTCGGAGAAGTCCTGGCGAAGGCGTTCCTCGGTCCAGGCCTCGTCCAAGTTCCCCACGTAGACATTGCGAGATGCGCCACCACTGACCGCCAGCGCAATAGCGGGCGGAAGAGGGCCGGAGTGCTTACCCCATCCAATCTTCAGGCGTCTGTTGTGGATCATCAAGCCCTGCAGGTTGCTCAAGGCGTAGAAGGAGGCGGCGGAAGTAGGGTCGATGAAGGTCACGAAGCAAATGTGCTTATCGGGAATGTATCGGACATGGTGCAGCAAGCCTCCACGGACGACATTGCAGATCTCTTCGATAGTCGTTTCAGGGTGAATGTTTCCAAGATAGATGGTGCGGTTGCCGAGGTTGTTGACACCGCCCGCCGTCGTTGCCACGGCGGCCGCAGCAACGGACTGCTGCGCAAGCGCATTGGAGATCAGATCACGATCCGCCGTGTTCAGCACATGCGCATATCCTGGAGCGATTCCAAGGAACTGTGCAGCATTCTGCTGCTGGGTCTTCGACACATATGCACACCGGTCCTTGCCGTAGAACACTCGCTTAGGCGCTTGCCATTGCTGCTCCTGGGGGAGCTGGGTGACGGCCTTCATGGCATTACTGATCGACAGGAAATGGACGAAACCAATCGCCTTCTCCTTGACAATCTTGACGGTATCGATGGGCCCAAACTTGCCCAATTCTTCCCGCAGCTCCTCCTCCACCGTTTCCTCGGGCAAATTTCCGAGGTATACATTGCGCGACGCACCAGACTGTTGGACCGCAAGGGCGACTGAGGTGGGGACCTGGGAAGGCTTGCCCCAGCCGACCTTGATATCATTTCCCTTGATGGCCAATTTCTTCAAGATGGCATCTGAGTGGAAATGAGTGGCAGAGCTGCTATCCAAAAAGGAAATGAACGCGCAGTTCTTATCCGGGAGCAGGCGCACCGACTCTATCTGACCGCTGCGCACGTGGTTGAGGATCTCTTCGGCAGATGTCTCAGCCGGAATATTTCCAAGGTACACAGTGCGACTCGTCCCAGATAGCATACCAGGGGCAACTGAGGCTTGAGGGCTGCCCAGAGCCGCACTGCCCATACCTCCCAGACCGTTGATTGGTGACTGAGGTCCTCCCATCATCTGAGAGCCACCCATGCCATCGGGCGACATCATTCCATATAGCCCCTGGTGATTCTGCAGCCCTTGAGTTGGGCTGTGCATATGATTCTGGTTGTTTTGAGCGTGTCCATTGCCATTGGCCTGGGGGAAGCCACCGAAATTGGCAAATTGAGGCGAAGCAAAAGCGGAGGGAGTTCCAGGTTGGAAGGGACTGCCCACCAGCAGCTGGGAGGGGAGCAGGGGGGTATAGTTCATGTCGAATCCGGGGGCCATGTCGGAGTGTTGGCCGGCGGCGGTGTTTATAGCGGGTATATTGGGGCGACGAGCGTTCCGATCCGAGAAGCCTTGGATAGAATTGGGATGGTTGTTGTGGTAAGCTCCGTGGGAAAAGCCAGTGTCGTGCAGCGTGTATTTAGACCGGGGAGCAATTAGACGCGAATTATTCGGGATGCTGGATACATCCGAGGCTTGCATGGCGAGGTCCCAACACTTGGTCAGACAAAAACCTAGTCTCAGCTGTCGGGGATTAAGATGCCCTGACTACCAGACTAGGAGGCTCTGGGAAGGTAAAAATAAAGAATAGAGGGACAAGGATTATCAGATCACCATTCAGGAGATGTCTCCACAGCCAAGATCACAGGGAACAAAAGGGAGGATTCGGGTGGAGAAGGAAGACGCAGACAATATGACCACCCAAAACACAGTCAAATGGAGACGTGTCTAGATGGCAAGTCAATTGGAATGTTCATCAATCAATCAGGGTAAAAATGGGGAATGGGGATGGAGACACACCTGTCTTATGTTCAGTGTTAGAGAATGTCACTTATATAAAGGTCAACAGCCATGCAGGCCAATTCCCAGCTTCCACAGATGCAAAGAGGGGGAAAACAGAGAAGAGGAGAAGAGAATAAGAATCAAAGACTATGACAGACAGAAGTCATTAGCTTAAAGAGGTTAGAGAAAGATCCAAAAGGGAAAAAAGCCCTGAAGAAAAAAAAAGGGGGTAAGATTGGAGGGAAGATGGGGGGAAGATGGGGGGGATAAGTTTACAATTAACAAAGAAAACAATAATTTACTCAAGTCCCTCTTCAAAAACAAAACAGAACGAGAGAAACAAAAAGGGTTAAGAAAGAGCGGGGAGAAAAGGAATGAAAAGTAAGGAAGTGAATCCAGGTAAGGTATGGAGAAGAGAAAAAAACATAAAAGGGGGAGAAGTTGGAGAACGTCAATAGGAGTGGGTTTGCAAAAGGGGTCCGAATCTCCGACTCTATCTGTGTTTACTGTTTTATAGTATTGAGTTAATTACTGAGCTTAATCTCAGGTACAAGATAATCATAGCTACTCGGGTGTAAGTAGAAGTATTCATATGCTTTTTTGGTTTTCCCCAGCTGTTCCGTGGCTCCTGCAGAACTGGATCAGGCCCCATCAGCCACAATTTCCTACCCCTTGGATATAAATTAAGTCTTGGTACAAGTGACACAACGTTAGATGGAATAGAAGGGATAACCTATCTTTAGGGAAACGGGACCTCCATACATATAGGCTACAGCCACATAGACTACAACCTCCAGGATATGACAGCTATGCCATTAAACGGGACCAACCAAGTAAAGTGCTGACTCGACTCGTGGATGAGTTTAAATTGTCCGCCTTCGGATGGAGGCAATCTCCCTTCAAATGTTGTATGTTCGATGCTATTGTGCACAAACGGGATACTGGACCTGACTCCGATCTGTCTAGATGAGTGGATAGCTCAGGAAGAAAGTATGGTGAAACCGCATATTGGCTTAAGCCCATCTCAAAGCTGCACAAGCAATTCCCCTATGATGTACATATACTATGTGTAGGTGTAATTAGCAGGACCTTCGAAGTTTACTTCGTGTGTATATACTCCGTCCTCCGTCCTCCGAACGATATCCGAGATATACAGATTGCAGCCTCAGGCATCAGTGGGGAATCATCTATCGGAAATTTACCCCTCCAAACTCTCAATGTGCGATTCTCCTTTGCGGACAACTTGCAATTGGGAATAGACGAGTTCCAATCTCGCATATCAGGTAAGTCGACTATCTCTCACATTCCAATCTGCCCCAATTATTTTTCAGCCCTATGTTGTACAGTGTATGACTCACTGCCCTATCTTGTACACTCCGTGGCTCACATATTGATCCCTTCATTAACTATCCCTCAGAACTCTCCCGCCACAACCAGATAAACGAGGCAACCATGGCTTCCCCCACTATCTACATCGACGAAGACGTCGGTAGAGACGAGCCCTCCGCCACCGGCTCCGAGACCGCCCCCTACAAAACCCTCGTTCACGCCTACGTTCAGCACCCTCCCACCACCGAAGGCATCAAGTACTTGACGCGCAAGTCCCAGACCGATGCCGCCGGTGAGGATGTCGATCCCGCTCGTAAATTGGAGTGGTTGCCCGCCACCAAGTCTGCTATGAAGAAGGCCAACAACCTCTGGGAGCAGCGCAAAAAGAAGGCCGCCAAGGAGCAAGAGCTGGCCATTCGCGAAAAGTCCGAGGCCGATAAGCGCCAGAAGGTTCTCGACGAGGCCAAGAAGGTCGTCATCAAGGAGGATCCCTCATTGCCCAAGCCCGTCCGCATTCGCTTGGACGTCACCGACCCGGCCATCGTCACGCTGAAAACCCCCGAGTCCAAGGAGCCCGGCACCCGCGTCCGCGTGCTAGGCCGCGTTCACCGCGCCCGCGCCCAGAAGGAATACGTCTTCCTCACTCTCACCGACGGCTATGGCTACTTGCAGTGCGTCCTGACCGGTGACCTGGTCAAGACCTACGATATTATGACCCTGACCCTCGAAACCTCTATGTCAATTCATGGTGAGATGCGCGCTGTGCCCCCCAACCAGCACGCCCCCAACGACCGCGAGCTGCACGCAGACTACTTCGAGATCATCGGCAAGGCCGCTGGTGACAAGGAGGCTATTACCACGCGAGTGGCGCCGGACGCCGACCCGCAGACTCTGTACGACAACCGCCACCTGGTCCTGCGCGGCGAGACCTCTTCCTCCGTCATGAAGGTGCGCTCCGCTGTTCTGCGCGCCTTCCGCAAGACCTTCGAGGAGACCCGCATGCTGGAGGTGACTCCTCCCGCCATGGTGCAGACCCAAGTCGAGGGCGGCAGCACCTTGTTCGGTTTCGACTACTACGGGGAGAACGCCTACCTGACGCAGTCCTCGCAGCTGTACCTCGAGACTTGTCTTCCTTCTCTCGGTGACGTGTACTGCGTGTGCCCGTCTTTCCGTGCCGAGAAGTCCCTGACCCGCCGCCACTTGTCGGAGTACACACACATCGAAGCCGAGCTGGACTTCATCACTTTCACCGATCTGCTGGACCACCTTGAGGAGGTGATCTGCCGCGTGATCAACTACACTCTGGCCGAGCCTGAGACCGCTGCATACATCAAGAAGCTCAACCCCGACTTCAAGCCCCCGTCGCGTCCCTTCCGCCGCATGAAGTACGACGATGCTATTGCGTGGTTGATCGAGCATGATATCCCCAACGAAGAGGGCCAGCCTCATAAGTTCGGTGACGATATCGCCGAGGCCGCTGAGCGTCGCATGACCGATATCATCAACCAGCCCATCTTCCTGACCCACTTCCCTGCCGAGATCAAGGCCTTCTACATGAAGAAGGATCCCCAGGACCGCCGTGTGACGGAGAGTGTCGACGTGCTCATGCCCGGTGTTGGCGAGATCGTCGGTGGTAGTATGAGAATGGACGACTGGAATGAGCTTATGGCTGCCTACAAGCACGAGGGCATGGATCCCAGTCCCTACTACTGGTACACTGACCAGCGCAAGTAAGTTGACTCTGTTCTATCTTGTCTTCTTTCAACTGATACTAACTTTCCAACAGGTACGGTACCTCCCCGCACGGCGGTTACGGTCTCGGTCTCGAGCGTTTCCTCGCCTGGTTGTGCGCTCGCTACACCGTCCGCGACTGCTCTCTGTATCCCCGTTTCACTGGCCGTTGCACTCCTTAGATGTAGTAGCAAAAGCAAAAAATAATAAGTATGGTCATGATGGGTGTTTCATATAAATCTCAATTTCAAAACGGGTTCTTCTCCTACGTACATCCATGTATACCTATCGAATGGTCTGTCCTTACCTATCAGAGTAGGTATAGACTTATACCAGCTATATTGCTGCGTACATATACCTAATTACAATGTTGTGTTCTTCTCGATCCCTAACCCAAACACACTACGTTCTCATATCCGATAATACACTTTTGAATCCTACATAACCCATTCCATCCATATACTACCTACTACAGCACCCAGCCACCTGGGATTACAATCCCGCCTACAACGGTTAGAAGCATATACACAGTTAAAGCGGAATCACGATCGTGACGGTCGTATTGTGATTCCAGCCAGTCTTTGCTTGTAGTTTTGATTTGAGGGGTTTGGGGCTGGACATGCATACAGCTAGCCCCTTGTCCTATTCGAGATATGGTGCCTCCATGGTGATGCCCGCCGGGCCGGTAACCTGACTATTTGCTCGGCGACTTGATGCTGCTGCTGATGATGTATTCATTTGCCCGATGTCGCTCGCTCTAAGTATATTCCATCTGCTATGGGAGAGTAGGTGTGACTTCGACATCCGCATACCTCTGGAACAAAGTCAATGCAGAAGCAGGGTCATTCGCAGCGTGTCTGTCTGTAATCGTGTAGGGGCTTGGATTGATCCGGTCCCCGGAGGGCTTGCTTGGCGAGACTCGGCGCGGTCTAGCATTTCTCAATCGGCGTTGTGTGCTGTTATGGCTCCGCGCGGATTGGGTTTAACCAGGGGGTTCATGGTTCATGCGATGTGTTGTAACAGTTGTTAGTTCTGCTTCCTTGGTGGTTTAGTGTGCTTTGAAGTTGGACGGGGTCTCTGGTTGAGTCTGGCAGTTCGGATGAGAGAGTAAGAGGAAGGGCCCAAGGGGAATGGGAGGGCTCTGCGGTCCTATCGAATGAGAAAAGGCAGGCTCAATCCTGACTTCTTTTCCGGCCAAGATGTCAAGATGGAAATGTCCAGTCTTGCGCGAATGTGCAGAATAAGGAGAAACTCCGAGTACACAAAAAGAAGCGCGTAGCGCAAGGGTGATCCACTATCAACGCGGCAAACGCGGGCTTCTATTGCTCCAACGCACCCGGAGATAGAATCCGTGTAGCCCACAGGATCCCCATTCCACTCGCCTTTGAGAGACACTACCCAGTACGGGTAACGCGGCTCTTAGTGTCATGTTCAGTACGGGATCTGCCGGGATCTGCCCTTGGCACAGGAATCCTCTTGACGTGAAGGACTGAAGGTAAAGTTTTCCTAGCCCAGTGGGTAGGATATTCCTCGGAGTGAGCTGACACGCGACGACGGACGTGGGACATCCATATGCACATGTTAGTTCTCCTGCTCTCATTGTCCACTACCAGCGACCAGGTGTCCAGGTCCCTAGCAAGCAGATCCTATTACCAGACGCGGCACAAACCCCATTGGTGATTCCCCGTTTTGCTGTGTAATTGCATCAAGCGCCCCAACACACCTTCCGCGTCGATTTCGTGATTTCATTTTTTCCACTGCGTTCTCTTCTTCGTTTCATTCATCGACATGACGTTCTTTCCCATGCATCAAGGGGGCCTTGCGGGGAGATCCACAGGTGGCAGACTACTTCTGGTTGTGGTCTGTATTTTCGGTTTTTTCTTGTAGGTATTCCCTCCATTGGACATCAACATCACTTCCACAGTGATGGAAACTCACCATCATAGCCAGGGTGTATATGTGGTAAAGTCCTCCACTTTTCTTTGGACTCTTTCCAACGTGTTCAAGATTCCTTCTTTGCCGCGACCACCTGGTTCGTGCATATCCTAGACAGTACTAGGATGAATGTATGATTCGCGCAAAACGCAATACCTCGGATCTACCTCTTTGTGGACCATCGACCCGAGAAAGAAGATGAATATGAATGAAGATCGATGTCCCATAAAAGGGGAATGACATGAGCTTATCGTCTACCAGTCGACATACAGCATTTGTTGGTCTTCTGTCCTGTTCCTTCTTTCAGGTATTGCCAAAATAAACACAGCGCAGTGTGATGCGTGAAGACGGAATAAATGGGCAGGATCAGTTCTCCTCCTTGACGCGTTCGAGTGCGACCAGAATCTCCTCGTCCGATGCACCGGAGCGGATCAAAGCGACGAGGTCAGCGACAGACTCGCTTTGTGCATCGCGCATGAAGCCGACCAAATCTTCCAGGAATTTGCGGTAGTAGTTCAGGCGAAGTTCCTGTTGGCGGATCTGCTCTCGGCGCTCAGGTGAGTCGTGGGTATTTTCGCTGGTATTCGGACTGCTGTGAGTCATGGGTTCTCAGCGCTTCAATCATGTTGCAGAGTTTGGGCTTACGCGGATGGCAAAGAGTGCAAGTCAATGGGAAAGGGGGTCCAGAGTGATAGGGAAGGATGGAGGTCTGTTTGCAAGTCGGGCGAACGGGTTGATGCTTCCGTACTTACCTCCCTGTGCTCTCGCTGCCTGCTGACCTGGTCTGGGGCTGGCCGTTATGGTCGTCTGTGGCTCCCTGGCCGGCAGAGACGCCGTTGGTTGGGGCACTTTCTGACATGTTCGATGGACTAGGTCGAGCCGTCTGGTTCTTATGTCGTGGCAGGATGGGGCTTGGGATTGAGGCTGGCTATGATGCCCAACGCCGTGCAATCGAGGGTTCGCTTCGTATCTGAGTGCCTGTATCTACCTCTAGGAGGTCTTGTCTTGATGGCATTTGGTCAGCAGCCAAGCTAGAAGCATGTTGGTCAAGTCAAGTCTGGGGAGAAAGCATGGACACATAGTTTCAAGGGTGAAGTATGAACGAGAGGATTATGAGGGGTTGGAGCAGGACAGAGCGGTCGGCCGTACGTTTGTTTATAGTCAAATGGTCCTCCAGATGAGAATGTTCATATACACGGAAATCCCAGGATGTCGTAACCCGTAGGATGAGGAAGTAGAACCTAAGAGGATGCTGAAACGAGGGTTGGAAGTAGGTGGGACCATCACAGGTCAAGAATACACTGGGCACATTTGGGGTCGCTCACTCTCCATTCACATAGCCAAGACTAATATGGAGCCCTAGACACCCTTTGCCTCGTTAGATCTTCGTTGACAACCTCTGCTTCTCGTGCAATAACACTGCATATGAGCTTTCATAAATTAGACAGTGAAAACCTCTACTATTCACGGTTGTAGCTCATATCGGCTGCGGGTATGACTGCCAGCCAATCCCAGTCGGGATAGCGTTCTCCACGATGATCATAGCGGCAATAGATATTGCCCTCAACCAACTAACATCCATAGACTGCATCACCTGTCAGCCAGCCTCTCTCTCTCTCTTTGGAGATATGTGATTGGAGAATGATAGGGTCCCTGGGTCAACTGGAGGATACCCGAATCCAACTTGTATGCTCGACTCTCTCAGAGCATTTCAGTTCTCATTTGCTGTTCTGTGCTTTCTGCTTGACTGGACTGGAAATGCCGTCTGGCCCTTGCTATCTGCCAGTGCAGAGTATGCAAAATACTGATAAGATAAATCAACCAGATAATTCGTGGCTGGACCTTGCATAGCTGCAGGAAACCGATGAGGTCTCGTGAGTTCCACAGTCAGTCACTTCCCCTTCCAGGTTGGGCGCTCCTGGAATTCTACCTTCCACACAAAGGTAACAACGTTAGGGTCAAGCGTCATATGCCTTTGCATCTAGGAATTCAGTTGCCGGACGAGACAGAAACAAAGCTGACCTGCCATTCCTGTAGTCATCGTCAACGCCTCGCTTATCCGTCCGAAGTTCGTCCTTCCTGTCCCAGTACCACATTGTTGAATCAGACCCTCCCTTCCTGTACTGCGTACTTATACCTGTCGTCGACCTCACTTTCCACAATGAACACGGTTTCCATTTTCGCCAGACCTCCTCGATCCACGATTCCGACCATCTCGTTCCTTGGTACCACGCTCACTGTTTGTCGCGTTTGAAGAACTCGCCCTGAATCAGCTCGTTACGCGACAGGGGAAACGATCGATACTCCAACCACATCCTGCAACGTCACGTCTGAAACACCAAGCTGGATGCCACACTCTGCGAGAGTTATCTCGACATAATACACTGTTCTCACCACGTTGTGACTTCAAATAGGCCAACTTGGGCGATGGACGAGGCTGGAGGCACTGGCCAATTCATCGACAACACTGTTCCTGACACCAGCGATCGCTGGGTATCGGATAGCCATCACTATTTGAGAGCCTGTGGCCAGACCATTGCTCTGCGAGGAGCAGTTCAGACTTCGCGTCGGTGCTGGGTATCACAAGCAGATTGGAAGTCGAGGGCCCGTCATCTCCCAGCACAGCGTGCCGTGATCTCCTAGGCCAGGCGCATTAATGGAGTTTATAATCATTTACTTGGGATTCTGTCGTGCACCGCTTTGATGTCGCCCAGTCTTCGCCGCTTCGGCGGGGTCGTGACAGGCGATTGGTATCGCCGTTGACTTCATTACAGTGTGGCGAAGACATCTCTAAGCTGACGATTGTCATCGCGTTCCAATCCATTTCCGCGGGTCAGAAAGCGCTGCCATCATCTGCTCCAGCTGGAGGGAGATAAAATCTGTGTGGTTCTATGCCAGCCATGACACAGTACAGCCGGTCAGGTTTCGCATGGTCAGTCCAAAGCATGCCCTGGGCGGTCCGTTCATATGCTCTCTGTTGGGGATTAGTATGGAGCCCTATTTGCAGGGACAGTGATACCTCATGGCAGTATAGATCTGGCACTCCAGTGAGAAGCAAGTTCGAGAATCTGCCTACGTCTGAAGCATACGTCGACATTTGAGTCTTGACCCCTTGGACCCGGCCACAAGCCTCTGTCGCCCAGACTCCAGTGGTACAGTGGTACTGGCCAACTTTGAGAGTCTCCTCTCAAGAGTACATTTGGGATTTTTCCAAATTCCCTTCGCCATCGCTCCGTCACAGACTCACAGGACACAAGTGACTACCCGAAGATAGGTCTGCAGTTTCTGCTTCTAAGGGTAATGAAGAAAAACATTGCGATTAAGTTCAGAGCCCTATCCGGCGGACTGCGCCAATTGGATCGCCCGTCATGGGGAAAATAGTTCCTGGCGGAACTAATTGGAGGGCTCCACCGGCGCCAACCGTGGAAAACGGAGCAACGAGTGTCAACCTTTCGTTGTCCTCTTCTCTTTAGGAAATTGCATCCGGACGATGTTCCTCGATATACTGAAAGATAGCTTTGTCGAACGGGAATCCTTACGGCTGAAGCTCTGAGGGAGAAACTGTGAGACAACCACATCGACCCGGATGTGGTTCAAACAACACGGTCCTCTTCAGGGCCCGAAGTTCAATATCGAGCCAACTGGTACATCGGCTGAAATGAAGGCCAACGACAGTATCTGTGGACGAAATAAGCAATGAAACATGTTACGCTTAGTCTCGTACGGTTGTAGGTGCAGTCCTTGTGGATTCACATATCACTTTCGAGGCTCCAGGTCAAGCCGCAATCTGCCGATTACCGCCAAGGTCCTGTTGACTCGGCTTCTTTCGATGACCTTGTTCCTTGCGGGTAGCATGGCTGTTTTGCGCCTGTACCTCGACCTTTGCCGCTCGGTTTAACCAGGAAAATGAATACAAAGTACACCTCAAGTGATCAACGCTAACATGCAGAACGTTCTTACTACTCGCAACTTCAAAAGCACACAGTGGACACTCTGCACCTTGCTCGAGTCTCAAGTTCTGAGAAAAAGCAGGACTGTGATTACTCTAAGTCACTGGCTCTTCCACTGGCTTCTTAACAGCCATGGCCATCTCATTTCCAGTGGCTTATGGTGAATATGACCCTCTTAGTCTCTCCCCGCGGACTTTCGAAATGTCAATAACTGTTTGTCTTCTGCGGTGCGTTAACATCCAGCATTATGTACTTCGTGGCCATGACCATCGAAATTGATTTGAAGTATATTGTACTGTGGATGATTGTGGACATTCAATATTTGCTAGTTATAGGTACGGGTGGATTATATTCAGCCAACGCTGTACTCCCTACAGTATATGTATGTGTTACCTATATTATATGAACTACAACCACCTAATGACCTTTGTCTATATCCATGGATTGACTTTGTAGGTAGGTACCTACTTAGTTCACTCTGACATTTTGGCCTCAATCCATTCTGTCAAACCAACCACAGCATACCCTGGAATCTAACCTCCTGTGCTGCTGATCAGCCTTCTCCCGCGGGCCGCGAATGTCGGTATGCAGACGCCATGAGCCATCTGTAGGTACACATCTCCGCGAGTCGAACACAAGAGCAAGAACACCATTACCTGCTAGAAAGATCCAATGGACTACTAGCTGAAATCGATTTCTACACCACAATCGCTACCCATCCCTGGTTTATAGAATTGTGTTGTGATGCAGCCAATGTCTATGTGTACAAAGGCCACATTCCACACACCTGCTCCCCTCCCGAAAAATGTCACCGGCTAAACACGACCCTCCCTTGCTCGAGGGGACTACTATGTACTCTGATTACGCGTGAAATACTAATATAAGCGGAACGGCCCCAGCGCATTGAATGAACTTTGACTTCCGACAACGCTCCATCTCGACAACCACGACACCCAACGCCATATCGCCAAAAACAGGGCGCTATAAAACAAAGCAAGGACCAGCGAGGAGAAGCTAGTAGCCAGTTCCAACATGCACTTCTCCCTCCTTATCCTAGGCGCTTCCGTCGCCTCGGCTCAGTATGCCCGACAATTCGGCCCAGCCCAAGCCCAACTCGACTACCTGAAACAACTCAACGGAGTCTCCCACGATGACCAGGACCAAAACCAGAATCAGAACCAAGACCAGAACGAAGGTCACAACGGAAACTACAACTATGGAAACTATGATGGAGAGGACTACGACGGCGAAGACAATGACGGCTATCAAAATGATGTCCCAAGTCACCACGAACCGTCCCTTGTCCAGTATCCTTCCCCGGCGCCTATGACCCACAGCACATTCGTCGTGCGCCCTTCCCCGGCACCGATTGCTTCGCCGCATGCTCAGACTCCGGCTTCTGGATATGCCTACAACTATCCAAGCCCTGATGCTTCCGAGCCAGTCGCACACCTCCATGCTCCCACTGCTACTACAGCTGTCATCCAGGCACCGCCAACTCAAGCGCCTACTGCTCAGGCCCCTGTTCATCACGCTCCTGCTCCTCAGCATCCTCACCAGGGGGCTCCAGCGCACCATGCTCCAGCCCAGCCGGCTCCAGCTCCAGCCCCTGAAACCAAGGGACCGGCCGCACCCGTCGATGAGCATAACGAGTCGGTGCAAGCACCGGCACCTCATCCCAAGGTAGCACCGGCACCCCAGCAGCACCCTGTGGACCCGGGACTCGTCCCAGATGACGTGCCCGTCGGCGCATCCGGAAATCTCGCCCCCATTGACCCGTTGGAGCCTGGCTCGAATGTTGCGCCTGTGCTTTTCTCCGATAAGCCGAAGTATGGCAAGGATGAGGGCAACACTTTCTGCACCGGACTGTGCTTTGCTAATGAGAGTGATGCGCACTGCGAAAAGCCTTATGTGAGTTTTTTTCTTCTTTTGTCTTCTTTTTTATCCCAGAAAAGAATTCTCTTGCTAACGCTCTTTTTCTTATAGGCTGCTCCCGTTTACAAGTCGGCTAAGGGGTGCTACATGTGCTGCTTTACTTCTGACTTCTAGATCCTATTATGGCTTGATGAATGGATGGAGAGTGGTTTTATATGAGAGGAGATGAGATCTCAGTTCGGTTATATTCCATGTTTTATCTTTCTTCTTCGATGCTGTCAGATCAGAAGGATTTAGTCACGTCCGGACAACCCATTGTTCTAACTTCTGCTTCTTACCTTCTTTGGGGGTGGTCGTCTTCGTCCACTCTGTTACTTCAGAACTGTTTATTCGAGAATCATTCCTTTGTCTTTCATGCTGTCCAATTGTACGCTGAAGCATGTAGCTTGGGTTCTATCCGCAGCTGGGCCATTAGCCGGGTCCATAGACCGTAGCCCTAATCCCAAGCCATCCAAAAGCAAGCGTGACTTGTGGGTTGCACCTCGTACATGCAGGTAAATCCACCTTACTCACGACTAGGCCGGTCTGCAGACACTATGGCATAGATACATTCTCACATACTATTCCAGCTAGGTCACAATGATGATAATGTAAAAAAAAGCTCTTTTTGCCCAGACTTTGTTATATCTCGCTGACCAAAGGCCGTGAGGCTCCAGAAATTAGTTCAAACTCTTTCTCGCTACTGACTCTATCTTTTGATCATATTTTTATAGGATTCGAAGATGGTCGTCGCCGATGTTGAGGGAAAACCAGGTTCACCCCCTGAAACTGGGTTCAGATGTTCCCAAAAAGACTCGCAACCACTTCGACAACATGAGCGAGCTCGCTCGTGAGGCCAGAGCAGTGCTTGCGAGCATGGAAAACGACAGATTTGGTGCGAGATACCCCCGTTAACTTCATCAAACTCGTCAAAACGTATGCACTAAATGCCCCTAAGGGCCCCAATCGCCGGCCATGGAGAAAGTGCATTAGTGCAACAGGCACTTGAACACCTCGACCAGCGAATGGAGAGCATTGGGAAGGCGTCGAAGAAGACGCCACCAACACTAACCAATAATGCATACGACCCGGCAGCTTTCTGGGCACATCTGCAGAAATGGGGTCAGGGTACTGCCCTCAGGTCTCCTTCCCTCCCGAAAAACAACGGAATGCCCGCGACCGACGTCGCACAGGTAGACCTCCGCGATAGAGAGGATCACCATCAAGGTAAGGGATAACGACACATGCGAATAGGATTCGCGCCCTATTCGCGTGTGTCGTTGTCCCTGACCTTGAGGATGATCTCCAATAAGAGATCGTAGAAACGTCTGCATCAAGGAGTTAGCACAATGACAATGCTGAACAACAGCCCCGGAAACGATCGAGATTACGTGATACTTGCCTGAGGCATCAGGACATCTCTCATTCCACTCGCCGATCACCCATTGTCTTCAAGACCTGACAGCATGAGCCAGCGAATTATACTCTGATCCTTGGGTGACTCTTTTTACTTTGTCAGAAGCTACCTGCAGCTGATAAGCATCTGGGACCTGTTGTCGCGATTGCGGGCGCGCGCCCTTCGCATTCGGTATCACTCCACCGAGCTCTCCGAGCCTTATTGACCCCAGCTCGAACCACTCCCTTTTGAGACTTCAAAAACTTCAGCTCTTTCCAAACTCATCATTGAGCGTGTATTCTGATCAACCCCGCTGTCTCGACCCTCCGTTTTCCCATCATGAGTCACGCCGTCCCCGATCTAGACTCGATTGGTATCAAAGCCGAGCATGATCTCGCTGATCAGTTTCGCCGCGAAGTCGCCACTCTTCTGGGGCGCAACAACATCAACTTCCCCGGCGCACAACCAGTCAGCTTCTCGGCGCGACATCTGACGGAGCTGCAACGGGAGGACTACTTCGTCTGCGAAAAGACCGATGGTATCCGCTGTCTGATGTACTTTGCGCGCGGGGATCCCAACTCAGACACGCCTGAAATCCACTACCTGATCGATCGCAAGAACGACTACCGCTACGTACCGGGTCTACACTTTCCCTTGCCGAACGACGACACTTTCCAGAGCTACCACGTCGACACCCTGGTCGACGGCGAGCTCGTCAACGACACCTACGACGATGGAACCACGCAGCTGAAATATTTGGTCTTTGATTGTCTGGTGTTGGATGGACAGAGCTTAATGCACCGTACCCTGGATAAGCGGCTGGCCTACTTCAAGGAGAAGGTTCTCAGGCCGTACAATAGCATGTACCGCAAATACCCGGAGGAAAAGGCCCACCGTGCCTTCGCGGTGGAGGACAAATCCACCCAGTTCAGTTACGGCATTGAAATGATGTTCCGCGAAATTATCCCCAAGGTCAAGCGCATCCACGGTAACGACGGTCTCATCTTTACTTGCCGGAGTACTCCGTACCGCATTGGCACCGACGAGCACATTCTGAAATGGAAACCGCCCCAAGAGAACACGATCGATTTCCGTATGCGACTCGAGTTTCCGACACTCGAGCCAGATTCCGAGGATGAGGCGGACGGTGTTACTCAGCCCTACGTGGACTACGACGCTATTCCGATCTGCCACCTGTTCGTCATGCTCAATGCCGGCGAGTACCGTCATTTCGCGGAGATGTTCGTGGAGCCGGAGGAGTGGGAGAAGCTCAAGGCTATGGGCGTTCCACTCGATGACACTATTGTCGAGTGTGCGAAAGATGCGGAAGGACGCTGGCGCTTTCATCGTATCCGCGACGACAAGAATGATGCAAACCACATCTCCACTGTTGAGAAGGTTCTTGAGAGTATCGAGGACCGCGTTACTGAAGAAGATCTCATCCGTCTTGCTCCTGTCATCAAGGCGGCCTGGAAACAGCGCCAGCATAATATGGCTGCTGCGGATGAGGAGAAGAAGCGAAGAGCCCAGGTCATGCCTCCATCTGCAGCCCCAAACGGTATTAAGCGGAAGTTCGAGGCATAATGAAATTATGGGGATATAGATGACTTACTCTTCTTACTCTTCAGGTTCATTGCAAGGCGCTTGGCGTTTGGTTTGGGACTTTGTACTTTATAATGTGGCATGGCAATATGGAGGAAAGCAATGAGAACAGCAACTGTGCATCCTTTTCAGTAATATATCCATAACAATATGTACTGGTAACTCAAGTTTGACGAGGTTCAACGTCTGAAGTACATCCCTATGCGGAAGGATTACCTAAGGATTTTCCAGTTTGCTCCCTTCCAACCGCATCATCTTTCTCATCATCAGACGATCAATAGTTCCTGTTCTCTTTCATCATCTTCCCATCTCTAATATTGCTTCAGTCATCACCATCAGTCCGACACGATGGGCGGCCACGGTGAGGCGACGGGGACGCCCGATCCCGTCGACAAAGGGTTCGCCACGCTCAATACCATCAGGTAAGTCGCTCCTTTTGCCTGAAATAATTATCTCCAGGCTTCTTAAACCTACTTTTATCGGTCGCGAATGCTAACTGGCATCACAGAATCGGTGTGAAGGCCATGGTGCAGAAGGTTCGTTTTTGACCCTGTCGTCGCAAATTCTGGTGATCGCCTCACGTGACTTTCTGTGGTTGAGTCCAATTTGGGTTTTATATTGACTGTTCTTTGTAGGATGGAGAACTGCGAAAGGCTGAAATTCTGTCTATTAGGCAGCGGAAGGATGGTCCTTCATTCTAGTATGTTCTCTCTGTTCATTTCCTTTGTGCCTTGGATTGCTAATATCAAGTCCAGCGTACATTATGTCGACTTCAACAAGCGTCTTGATGGTATGTACTGCAAATATTGCATTGCTTGAAACCGAACTATCCTAACATCTGATCTCAGAATGGGTTGCATCTTCGCGCATCGATCTCTCCCACGAGGTTGAATGGCCCCAGCCAGAAAAGGCTGATAAGAAGAAGACCGGCGCTGCTAGCAAGGCGGCGCCCAGCAAAGCTGCAAGTGCCAATAAGCGTGTCCGGGCGGACAGCCGGGATCCGTCTCAGACGCCCGATATCTTAAGCGGCAAGAATGTCAACGTCGGCAAAGCATCACGACCCCCGAAGGCCGGGGGCAAAGAAAACCTCGGCACCGAAACACCTGGTGAGACCTCGGCGTTCCCATCTGCGGCCGTCTCGTCAGTCGGGACGCCCAAGGCCACCGAGTCCGACGACTTTGAGATGGCGGATGCCGCAGCAGAGGGCAAATCAGGCAACCCAGATGAAGTCTACATGGCGTCTGGCGAGGTGATCTCGCGTGGCGAGGAAATCGAGCGACTCCGCACAGGCGGTAGTATGACCCAGAATCCGACGGAGATTCATCGTGTACGAAACCTGACCCGTCTCCAAATGGGCAAATACGACATCGAGCCGTGGTATTTCTCCCCGTATCCGGATTCATTCTCGGACGTCGACCTGGTCTACATTGACGAGTTCTGCCTAAGTTACTTTGACAACAAACGTGCTTTCGAGCGCCACCGCTCAAAGTGCACCCTGGTGCACCCACCCGGTAATGAGATCTACCGCGACGACTACATTTCCTTCTTCGAAGTCGACGGCCGTCGCCAGCGGACCTGGTGCCGAAATCTGTGTCTACTCAGCAAGCTCTTCCTCGACCACAAAACGCTATACTATGACGTCGACCCATTCCTGTTTTACTGCATGTGCACCCGCGACGAGACAGGCTGCCATTTCGTTGGCTACTTCTCCAAAGAAAAGGATTCCGCCGAGGGATACAACCTGGCCTGTATCATGACTTTGCCGCAATATCAACGTCGTGGCTTTGGTCGTCTGCTCATCTCCTTCAGTTACGAGCTCAGCAAGCGCGAAGGCAAGCTCGGCTCGCCCGAGAAGCCGCTCAGTGATCTGGGTCTACTCGGGTATCGACAGTACTGGCGCGAGACGCTCGTGGAATTACTTATCGAGCCCAATCGAGAAGCTATGAGCGAGAACGAGCTCGCTGTGCTCACCTCCATGACTGAGAAGGACGTCCACGAGACTCTGGTAGTCTTCAACATGCTCCGGTACCACGTAAGTATTGAACTCAAAGCTGCAGCCCCATCAACCCCCATATCATCTGCTAACTCTCCGCAGAAAGGAAACTGGGTCATCGTACTCACAGACCATGTCGTTGAGGAACATGAAAAGCGCCTCAAAAAGGAGGCTATCAAGGGGGCGCGCAAGATCGATCCCGCCCGTCTCCAGTGGAAGCCTCCTGTCTTCGCTGCTTCCAGCCGGACCTGGAACTGGTGAGAATGGGTGTGTTTTGTTTTACGTTCCGCGAATTGCTTATCATATGGAGGCTATCTAATGTATGCTCATGCTTGTTTGGGGCGTTAATGGACGCCGAACTAAGGATCAGATTTGGAGATGCGGCGCCTCAGTGCTGTCAGGCCTCTGATTCGATTATTTCGACGTCGCGGTTATTCTGTCGGCGTATCATAGGGGGGCAAGGCGTTTATTTGGGGCCTTTCAGAGGACTCCATCGGTTGATACCTATCGTTTCTTGTGTACTATTGGTGACTCAGGGTGGCTCAGTTGGCTGCTCAGGCTGCTCACTGAGCGACCCTTTCATTCCTAATCTTGTTATCTAGTCTTTTACCACCTTTTACCTGCTCCGATGGTAACCGCGCTGGCTAGTCCCAGAACTGTAGTCACGCCTACTTTCCTAACGTCGATTGACTCTATTTCTTCGATCCTGCCTAAGAATGTGGAAATATACCTCGTCCCTACGTTCTCTTCCGCTTACCCTATAATGCTAGCCCGAATGAACAAACACTGTGAAGTCCTCGCGGTCCGCACAAGAGTACAAAACAGCCTTTGGCAGACCGATCAAACTCGCTGGCTTGTCAAATGATACTCGAATTCGGCGATACTGGATTATGAAGATGGCATTGAGGACGGGTCGATTGGACGAATGTCACGGTTGAATGTGGAGGGCAATGCTCAGTTCTCAGTGCAAGGAGATATCCACCGACGCCTGGCTCCTGCTCGTTTCTGGAGGTGAGCCGAGGCTGAACACTTGGGGAAGTCGAGAATCCAGACCGGTCAAGGTCGGCCATGGCCCATGGTGTTGGTGGGAGTTTGGTGATGGTGCGTTGATGTAAGCCCTCTCTCGCTAGGTATGATCAGGTCTTCAGCGAGTATTGCCTGAGCCTGAGGCCCTCTCAACACAAATTACCCAGATCATATGACGTATGGCTGGATGTAGTTAAGGGAAGGAGCGAACCATACCTAGGAGGGAAGGAGCGAGCACGGAAGAACATAAAAAGGAGTTCTTCTGTCCACCTCTTCTTCTTCTTTCCTCTTCCCTTCTCCAGTTCTGTTACCTTCTCAACACAGGAACAAGTTATCTCTTTTGTTCTTTTGACACGCCACCTCTTACTCCAGCCCCTCCCCAATCTCAACATCAGCCCCCGCCGTACCAAGAGCCATGCCTTGTACCCCATTCGTTTCGTCGAAGTTCTACACAACCATGGGCAAGCTTCAGGTCGGATGTCATGAACACTTAATGCTCAGACCTGGAGCCAAAAACATCTCGACTCCCGGATAACAGGACCTGCTGGCGGCTCTGTCGACGAGGAGCAGGTCTTCGTCTCCAGCGAACGAGGAGTCCAAGATAGGCTGGAAGGACGAGATGAGCTATTTTGGGCGCCGCTTCGAAAAAAAACAGCAGCGGGACCTTGTGATGGGAGCGAACCGTGGGAGTATCTTGCCATCGCACTTGTCGAGTCGTCGTCACTAAGCATTGACGAGATCCGTGATAAAATATATGGTTTAGTTAAACTCAAGGATGGAGCGCAACGTTTTCTCGCCACAATGCCACTTGCCGAGGCGATAATGAAAAATGACAATGTGGCTAGACATCGCCATAGGTTCTTTGAAACTGCTAGAAGGTTTCGCAATCGCTTGGGATCGTTGTCCCCTAGAGGAGACCTCCGGGGTGTCTTGCCGCCATATCGTGGCTACTCGGGACAATCCGACTTTGTCATGAAGACGAGTTCGGACGTAGCCAAGATAGTGGGAGAGGGCAAGACGCCTTGGATCGACGAGCATGACCTGTCGGCACCCGGATGATAAGCAACTCTTTCAACAAACCCCCTAAGCCTGGTCCGACTGCACCAGATGAGCAACGCCGTGCCAACGCGTCGCTTCACAATCGTTTCTGCTCATAGGTATATGCCGATTGCCGAGAACACCTTTGCGCGCATAAAGACACGGCTGTCACGGCTCTCACCGTCTGACGGTATTGACAACCCGGTCAGCACATGATGTCTGCAGCTAGCCGGATATTCTGAGGTAAAGAGCTTCCTTGCCGACCTACTAGTTTTATGCCATATTACTAGTGGGGCTCCGGCACGAGGCACCGAGATCGCCCAGGTTCTAAGGGCTTCATCGGCCGTCGCTGGCCGAAACCTCTTCTTGGACCCCCAGCGCGGTCTGTTCCTGATACGGCTCACCTACTCGAAGACCTTCTCGACGACGAATATCGAGCAGAGGGTGGTACGGGTCCTACCACCCTCCCTGAGCTACCTACTACTGGTTTACCTGGTAGTTGTGTGCCCATTCAGGGTGTTTCTTTGCGAGGTTAAGCAAGCCGAGGCCGTTTGTTACAGGTCGTGGAGGACTTGGGGCTATGAGGCATGTGACTTGAGGGAGACGGACACGTAACAAATCTAACAATAAGGGAGGGGCACGTGCTGCTGATCGGACAGGATATCAGCACGTCCTGGCGGAGATGTTTTCCTTCCTTCCTTCTGTCCTCATGCTTGGTTGCTTTGTTTAATGTCACTACATTGGTCGATCTTGATCATTCGTAACTGGGCGCAACACCGTTGAACTCATCCAGGGCATCCGTTTCATAAAGCCGGACTTTGCGCTAGCAGCCAAAGTGAGGTGTTCATATCTTCGGCAGGAAGATGAGAACGGGCTCAGCAAGCGAGACTCCGATCTTGAGGACGCAGTCTTCTGGGCTGAAATGCCGATATTTCAAGCCACGCTTGAAGGCCCTGATTGGTGTCACTCCTGGCAATGCACGTGATATTCGCTTAGCCCCAGGAAGGGGTGCATTCGAAGTCATTTCACTGTGCCATGTCATACATCAAACATCAACTTCACCGATCTAATCCAATCTCCGCACCAGCATGTCGATACTGGGTCCCAAAGGCCTTCTCTTTGACCAAGAGTGTAGGGCTTTCGTCGACTATTGCAACGGGGTCTCCCTCTTCGTCATGGGCAATGCAAACTTGTCTGTCTCCCAGCTCGCCGGCTTCATTATGGAGCTCCAGATCCGTCTGCAGTGTTTCTGGACGGCGCTACCGACGATGACGAACTCTTTCGGCACCAACTAGGTAAGACTTACGCCACCATGCTTTATTCTCATGCTCACACATATATAGGCCAGATAGCACAGTACATGTTTGACATGAATTGGAAATATGGATTCATGACAACGTACAAACAGACAATGTTCCTACGTAAGGTTGACATTGGTCGGGTATGGGGACTGCACGGAATACTCCCCTGTCAATGATCACGACGAGGTAGGGAGTAATACGGGGCAACAGGTGTCCCTTTGCCAGAGCTTTCTTCATGTCAGGTTGGCCCTAGCAAATCGGAATTTGGTATGGGTATGGGCTTGCGGACGCGGACGCAGTGGACAGAGAGATTCTCTTGAGAGGCTAGAGTCTAGACTCTTTCATCAAGCAAGTCTGCAATATCGATCATCAATTATCTCTCTCCTTGACCAGTCTGGAAGATGTGACCCTCAGTCAGAGCTCGACGTGGAACATAATGCCCATCTTTGTAGAATCGGAGTAAATAGAGTCGGCAGTCGGACTAGACGTAATACCTACGAGACTTCGTCTCACCTTCTGACTCTCCCTTTCACCTCTTAACTCTTTATTCATTTGCTCTAACATCTCCAACCCAGGACTCTTCCTACAATGTTCTCATTCTTCAACTTCCAGATTCTTCAACCTTCTTAATGTCATCCTCACCTGAGCCACGCACTCCATGGTTCCACCAAGGAACCGACCCTATCACAATCATCACCCTCGACCAACCCATCCCTTCACGGTGGAAGATCCTCTCGAAGCTCAACGAGCATGACCACCAAGGCACCGAAGAAACGCGTGGTCGCCACGACCACTACTCCTACGCTACACTCAAACTCCTCTGCTGCGATCCAAAGAAGCCCTCCAATCAAGCCTTCATGCGAATATATCTCCAGGTTCCTACCAGAAACACCGAGATGCAAGGTCCGCAGACCCGATCCCGCCAGGCCACAAAATTCACGCCCCCAGAGTTAACTGCCTACCAGGAGCTGACTCGGCAGGATTTCAGACATGTACCAAAGCTGCTAGGATACAAGGTCAGCACTCAAGACAAGTCAGGGCTGGTACCTGGCGGATATGCGATCTGGCTGGTGTGGGAAAAGGTCCCTGGTCTACGTCTCGCTGAGTCGAGTAACAGGCTTGCGAATCATGCATACTGGACTCTGTCCGCTGTCGAGAGAGAACGTATCCGTCAGGCCTTTATAGAGGTTCTTCCGTATGTGTGATTCTGCCCCGTTTTTGCGTGCAGGCTAATGATAAGGTTTACTTTAGTCTGGCCTACGTGAATGGGTATAAGCCCTGGGCGCCTGGTCTCTCGAACCTAGTCTGGCATAGTGAATCAGGAACCCTGTATGGTTATCATTGTGTTTTTTCATGTCAAATGATGAGTGGGCTAACATTTTGTTCCATTCTTTAGTTACTTCATCGGTATCCACGGCCTGATGGAGAAACGTACAGACCGGAGCAAGTTCAGGGTCGGTCCTCAGATGCTGGCGTGCTTTGGCCTTGTGAAACCTTCTTCAAAAGCATGGCTTCAGAATGATTGGAACGGGGATACTACAGGCTGGGAAAGGTAGCTCATATAGAGCTAAGAGGAGGGGGGAGGCGGGGGGTGTCCATCTAATACTAGCACATCCCTTTCTAGCTTCATTGGGTCTTGATAAGAGCACTTTCTTGGAAACAAAGTGAATATGCTTGCCCAGTACCGGTAGGGACTATTGCGTAGAAGACAATGCCTTTCCTCAGTTGCGGGACCCTGATGACGCCGTCGATAATACTCGCTGCGGACTCGCTAGGTTTGAAGTAGGATAGGTACCTAGATCACTAGCAACCCTCCATGACTCCCGTCTCCCTGAGTGCTCGGGCAGTGAGTATATATACCAAGGGTCTGTCGAATCTCGTGCATTATGGCGACTGAGATTCGTCGTAAAATTGACTCAATGCCTTATTTGGGCTAGGTTCTAGTCGGCGCCTGGTCGGAGGGTAGGTTGAGGAAGTTAAGGTTAGAGGGAGGGTCTGAAATACACGCTGGAATGAAGTTTGGAGATGAAGCTCAACGGCGGTAGAAGTAGTAGTACGGGGGCAGTAGTAGATCGCGGAGACATGTCATAGAGACATAACTATGGTAGTGTCTGAAGGATTGTTAGTCTACATACAGAGGCGACTCTTCTCTATGTTACAAGCGTCCTACGTCTACGTGACTGGACCGGGAAAGAGACTGCTCAATAATGGATTCATGTCGCGACTATCAGTATGTGTGAGACTTAGCTACTCGGCAACAATTGGGCATTGTGGTACTGCTAGGTCGGAACTAGCATGCAGCCACATAATCGCGCATGCAGGACGTTGATCGGGAGATGTTGGTCATCCACACATTAAAAGCCATTAAAGGCTACCGTCCTGAATCACATTGGGGGGATTTGATATCGAAAGATTGAAAGAGAAAGAGCACTGGAGAAACGCAAATCGCGTGATGGGTAGAGAGGATATGGATCATGGGGCGCAAGGCCCAGCTCTAAGAAAGAGCAAAGATGTTCATCGAGAATTAGCGAAAACGGACACAAAGTCCTCGCTGCAGTAGAAATCCATGTGTCGAGAGAAGAACCGGAAACGCTAGCAAAACCGTATGCATGTGAGGCCGAACCTGCCTACCAACCGTACGTTTCGGCAGGCTTCTTCTGGTTACGACGCCAAGGCTGACGGGGCTTGTTACCCGTTCCGTCATGGGGTCCAGCGGCATGGTTATGAGTGTTGTTTCGAGGTCTGGAATTGCCGTATCCAGCATTGCGGTTTCGAGGCGGGCCGGTGCCGGTCTTCCGCGGGAGGATGACAGTCTTTGGCTCGGCAGACCCAGGCAGAGAGACAGTGACACAGGTGTTGCCATTGCTGTCACGGTCATCGCGCCCGACGTCGAACATAGGGATCCTTTGGGCTTGGACCTGCTTTGGGGCTCGGCCACGCGATCGTTCTGACGGGCGGGTGGCATCCCAAGAGTTCTGGGGTGCCATGTCGGGCACACGGACAGCGGGCAAAGATCCAGGTTCGCGATCCTCAAACATTTCATCCTGTTCGGTCACTTGTCGGGCGGCGTGATCGCCTCCACCATTCTGAGAACGTGCGTTACCATTAGGGAAGGAGACCGAGACAGCATCGGCCTGGACAGAGAGAGGCTCCTTGCTCGCAGATGTCACTGCCAAGGCACCCTTCTTCTGGACCGTTCCCTGGCTCTTCAACAGAGTGTTGAACCTTTCCTGCCATGACTGGCTAGTCGAAGGAACAAGTCCTGAATTGCGGGGCGCGGCCGCCGCCATCGACGCAAATGTAGGGGCGGGCGCCGGGGCGGGCGGCGGAGCAGGGAGGGCCTTCGGAGGCAACTTGACAATGGGCTTCGTCTTGGGCAGGTTCACGAGTGGGTGGTCGGCATCCCCAGAGTAAGCAGGGTGCTTGAAGACCTCCTCGGGGGGAGGGGGGAAGGGCTGTTGCGCTCTTTCTCCGCCAGGCGCTTTACCTGCTCGGTGGCGGATGGGAAGAACCTAGAACTGCGAACAGGGACACTGCCAGATGAGCGACCACCTGAGTCAGGAGCCACCAATCCCTCTCCAGGGGCATCAAGACTTGTCAGCGGGTTCGCGTTGAGTCTAGCCTTTGCCTCGGCGATTTGTTCGTCGTTGTTAACGACCTTCTCGTGACCCTTCTTCAAAACGCGTCGGCCGTCTTCATTCCTCTCCACCTTTTTCCAGGTCTCCTCGTACGAGACAGGGGCGGGTGGACGCTTGTGTCGCTCGGCAAACTGGGCCATGAAATTCTTTGAATCTTGTGCTTCCTTCTCAGCTGTGATCTGATGGAAGCTCTGCCAGGCTTCGAGAGCCCGCTTGCGATCGACGCCCGGCGGTCCGATGGGGCCGGGCCGTCCAATCGGCCTCATGGCGCCAAATGAGGGCTGACGTGCCTCGGGGGATGGCAGAGAGCCAGCTGGCTCTTGAGAATTGGGAAACTTAGGAGCAGACATAGTTGCGGCGTCCAACCCGAGTGTACGTAGTGGGTTTTCGCGTGGGGGGAAACTCCCAAGAGGTTGGTCAAAGATACCGTTACCGAGTGTAAGAGTGTGATCTGGGCCAAATGGCTTCCACGGGTTTTTGACTGATGGAGAAGTCGTCACAATGTTCGGATGAGACCACGGGGAAGTGGAAACGTTCAGATTGCCTTGCCACTGTGAATCGTGCTGCTCATCCAACTTTGCGTCAGATGACTTGCTCTGGGTGGGAGAATGAGGTGCAGTCTTCAGGTTGGAGGAAGGTGGAGGGGCAGGGTGGGTGTCAAAAGGAGGAGAAGAAATGCGTCTGTTGGGATGTTTGGAATCAACGTCCGTGAATTTCTTCACAGTAGCTGGATGATGAACTTTCATCAGACCGTACTGTTTGGGAGCACCAGTGAGTTCTGGGACAGGTGGTTTGGGAGGTGAAGAGATAGAAGGATTGGGTAGTTGAGAAAGTTGAGAGGGAGGTGGTGGAGGAGGATGAGTTTGAGGATGAGATTGTGGGGGGGCATTGTTGCGACTCTCAGTTTTCTTTTCAGGTGCAGGTCCCATTGCCGCGAGTCGTTGCCTAATCCTCTCTTTCTTAGCTGCTTCCTCTTTCTCCTCTTGTTCAATCCGCCGCTGCCTAGCCTCTAATCGCTTTTCCTTCATGATACGCTCTTGCAAAGCAACAGGGTCCTCTTGAGGTACTTGCGCAACTTGAGGAACCGCTGCCTGTGTCTCCTGCGGAGGCGCGCCTACATCAATAGCGGGACGCACAGTGCCGTTTGGCCCAGACAGGGGCATCTCATCTTTTCCATGGCGCTGTTCGTGGCCCGTTAGTGCTGGATCACCCAGACCATTCACTTGAGAGCCTCGTCGATGGTCATTATATCTCGGAGCGGCGTCAAACCGGCCAACCGACATCCTACGGCCAAATCCTCCGCTTCCTCCGCTCACATTGGAAGATGCACGTCGACGATTGCCCCAGCCTGTACCTTCTTGGTGGCTTGACCTATGTGTTTGGAATGCAGCAGATGGTTCCGCCGGTCCAGTTGGATGATCGTTGGGCCTCTGCAAGACTGCAGGAGCTCGATGGTGCTGATCATGGCGCCAAGGCCCTCTTCTGGTCTCTTCCACCGGCTCGTACTGGGAGGATCGAGGATTGAAAAGCTCACGAGGCAAATCTGACTGAGGCTCCTTCCACGCGCGGTTGAAATCATCCGCTGCAATCTCCTTAGGTGGCATTGGCATTGGCGCATGGTGGCCGTCATCCCTCGGGTGATATCTCCCAGGCATGCGCTGTTGATGAGGCTGCACTGGGGCACTGACGGGGGATACTCTTTCGACCGGAGGTAAAGCAGCCCAAGGAGACTTGGATGGCGGTGCCGGGCTTGTGGAGCTGGATGGTACTTTGTCATTTGTACCTTTAGAAGAAGCACTCGCAGTTCTTGCTTGTCGTTCAGCCCCTAGGCCAACTTTGAATACAACGGCGTTGGGTCCCACTGAAGCAGTCGGCTTGGGCGCAGGTTTGGAAGCTTCCTTCGTAGCCTTCGGCTCCACAGGCGGTAGTTCTTTGGGCTCCCGATGGCTGGGAGGCGGTGGAGGGTCATTATGCGGTTGAGTAAGGTTGACCTTGGTTCCGTCCGTCCACTCAATCGTCTCAGGCGCCCAGTCATCCTCATCGTCGTCGATATCCGCCCACTTTGCTTCCGAGCTGACAGCGCCATCTTCTTGAATCCGAGAAGTCATATGGATTCCATACTGCTGCTTTAGTTCTTCGTCTGTCAGGTGCTTTTGCGGAGCGGGCGCAACAGCTACACAGATATGAAGGTCAGTATGAATCCTTCGGGCATGATTGTATTGACATATACATACGTCGATTTTTATTCCAGACTTGACTCGGATCAGGCCCCGAACCACCAGGCTTGCCTGCGCCTGCTCCACCCTTCGAAAACGAATCGCGCATGCCGAGTGTAGTCTTTGCGACTAAGCGCGGTCTGGAGCTTGGTTGTGGAGTACCAAGGGGCGTCGTAGTCGTGGATGGCACTATGCACGTTAGATCTGTGAGATATCGTTCACTTGCACTTCAAAAATACCTTTCTCCGGCACCTTTGGTGGTGCTTGTACTCCCGCCACCTTATTCACCGAGAACTTCGCAAACGAGACGGGTTTGAACGCAGCTGGTTTCTTGACCGAGCCACTACGCACATGGGATTTGCTGTCTGATCGGCTGGCATCCGACTCCGAGCCACCTTGCGATGCAGTGTCATCTCCGCCGTCCGATGCTGAGGTCACTCCGTTGAGTTCGAGTACTCTGGTCGCAACGATTCCAACGCCCGGTTTAGAAGTATCCTGCGACTGGATTAGCGGGTACCTTTGGGCACATCCATGCGTGATGCTCACCGTCGTTGAGCCTTGGGTATTATTGTCACCAGCAGTTCCTTCTCCCCGTGAACCAAGCGTCTTCGTCTCCTCATGGTCCTGCTTATCCTTCAAGTCTGAGTTGTTCGAAGTAGCGGTAGTCATTGCGATATGTTCAGTCTTCCCTGCGTCCCCTCTAGCAGATATATTGTCGTTGGTGCTCGCAGGAACGTCGGAAGGCGAAGGCTCGCCGCCCGACAGGGTCTGATCTACCACATCGCGGTTGCTCTGCTCTGCCATAACAATTCTCGATTCTGTTCCAACAATAGTCGCGACCATGTAAGCCAAAGTGCCCTGGCGCTGGGAAGATAGATCCGGGGAGGCAACAGGACGCAGATCGAACATGCCAGGTACCCGGGTAGGCTTACCTATCGTCAGATATCAAGGATCGCCACAGTTGCACTGGTTCCTTGACTGGTTGCACCCTGAATGTATGGGATCTCACAACCAGGGATAGGGTCGGCGAACTCTTTAGACAGTTGATGGTAAAGTCCGGCGTGTCAAGTTGGGCTCGATGTGGAGAGCACGATCGCGGAATCGGTAGGCGCGTAAGTCTCGGGATATCCGCGGCCCAAGAGGTCCCAGAAAAGGGAGAAGGGTAAAGAGGGAAGGGTTCTGCGTAAGGACGGTTGATGATACAAAGATAGGGAGGATGATACGGAATTCAAGAGCCAACTCGGGTTGAAGCTGAGGGTCGCTGTTTCCGGTTTAGCGTGGCCCGGACGAAAGTTGTGAGGTCTGCCCACCTCACCTTGCTTGATCTCTCGAACGCCCTAATCGTGACTGACGAAAGTCGTTTTTTTGAAATTAGTTGATTTGCTCTGGATGGTATTGAACACCAGTCGAGAGGGATTTTTACGTATTTAGGAATCTAAGGTTAATGTGCGTGTGCTGCGATGAGTGATCCCCGTGGAAAGAACTCAATACTTCGTACTCGTTGTTCGTCACTTGACGTTCTCTACGTATTTTACTATGTACCTCTACCTCGTCGATCATTGCTACGGAAAAGGATGAAGGACAGCAGATCTTATATTGAAATACAGTGAGGCCTAAAAACCCCGCTAGAACCACAGGCTTCCCTTGCACCGAGTGGGAGGATCCAGTATATACATCAATCCTCCCACCATTTCGTAGAAAGAAAAAGCTTAGTGGGGGTGGTTCTTGTGGTGACCTGTGGGAGAGACGAAGTTAGTCATGCATTGCCCATTGGAATAAGTGAATAGAGGTATAAAAGATCTGGAGAACGTACGCAGGTGGAAGTAGTACTCCATGCTGTAACCCAGGATCAGGATACCGGCAATAGCGTGGACAAGGGCTGCACCAGTTAGCGCTCCATTCAATACCAACTGGCATTTGAAAATACATACGAGCACCGGAAGCGTTCTTGCCGCTGAAGTAGCGGGCCTGGTAGCGACCGATGAGGCCGGTAGGCTTGGCAGCAGCGGCAGGGCCACGGGGAAGACCAGCGTAGAAGGTCACAACACGCTCCATACGGGCGGCATCTTGGGCGGCACCGATGGCCTGTATCGAAGATATGTCAGTTATGTAGGCGAGGAGAAAGGCGGCATTCGAATCATATCGCAGGCTTCACGAAAATCGACTTCGGAGCAGGACGGGTGTGGAAGGGGTGCATGAAGTCGAAGATGGCAGCGCATGGGAAACTCACGTTAGGAGAGGCAACCTAGAATGAGAATTAATATCGTTTGCGAAAGCGAGGAACCCACATTAGTCATGGGGGTGAGGGTATTCTTACCTTGGGGGGGATCAAGGTCGAGAGACCTCGGCGGGCAATGTAGCTCATCTTGTCTAGGCTGAAGGGTGTCAGAAATCGGTCGCATTCGATAGAGCGACTCTCATTGAGCATTCGCAGGGTGACAGAGACGTGGACTTACGTTGATTCGCAGCGCAAGTGAACCAAAGAAAGCTGATGGAGGAGGAAGGAGGAACAAACCGAGCGCTGCGGGTGTTCGGCTTGCCAAGCCCGGCTAAACCCGATTCGGTGGTGTCGTGACCTGCCTGTAAATCGCAACCAAACCACACTTCAAGGGAGTCCTCATTGGCAACGACCATTCCCAGCGTCAAAAAAGACACGATGTCGCTTTTCAGAATTGGCGGTGCTAGCCTTCGGGTCAGCAGAATTGCTGCACCTGTCAATGCTCGTTTTGTCTCCAGTGCCCCCACGGGCATCCCCTCCGTGAAGACCGACACTTCAGATGCTCCCACCACCCCTCGCAAGGACAGCTCCCTGATCAGCCATGAGACTCCCTCCGAGGCCATGACCCGTCACCAGCCGGATTATGACGCTACCATTGACCACGGCACCTCGTACGATATTCCCACCTGATCCCGTCGCAGATTCTTCCGCTAACCCTTCGACCTCAATCAAGGCAATTCTCCCCGGTGCCCAAGCGCGTGATGGATGGTAGCGAGCCCGGCGACACTCTAGCTGCGGCCGTTCTCTCCGGAGCTCCTACTGATCTGCAGGCCCGCACTGCCCGGTACGTTGTGCAAATCTCGAGCCGTATATCGCCTGGTTCCCACGCACTGACTCATGACTTTCGCAGCATCTACCGCCCCAGCAAGGCCGCAACACAGTCGGGTACCTGGCACCAGCACCATTGGCGCATGGACTGGGATATCCTGCAACGTGGTCACCGTTGGGAGAACCCGCTCATGGGGTGGCAATCGTCCGCCGATAATCTGCAGGGAACACACCTGAAGTTCAAGTCAAAGGAAGACGCCATCGCGTTCGCTCAGAAGCAGGGCTATGAATACTTTGTTCAGGAACCTAACGAGCGCCGTTTCGTGCCCAAGTCCTACGCCAACAACTTCGTTCACGAGCCCAAGAAGCTCAAGCACATCAAGACCAAATGATTTGGCTTCGCTGTATTGTACATATTTCCTATTTTACCACTCGAAATCAGTTTCGCACAATTCAAGATCTCGTCTTTCGATGTGTTATCGTTTTTGCATGCTTTAACTTCCACGGGTCAGGGCATAGCAGGACCAGCTTCAAGCTTTCATCTTTTGGCAACCTGACGACTGGGACATTGACGGCGACCTCGGGAACGTGATGGATTCTTGAAAATCCTAGGTACCTGAGTATAGGTAACTAGACATGAATCTTTCTTGGGCCGTGTTGGTTGCCACGGGCATCTTATGTACGGAGTAGCCACATGGAACTAACCAGGACCACCACCGCCCACCTCGTCAATTTTATGCTTACGATGTACTATTTGCATAACATACCGTCGGTCCGTCTCCAAATACTTCAACATGGGAATCAGTCAAGAATACCTAGTTACGTTGGGAGGTAGCTTTAATTTCGATGATGGGGAACAGAACATTCCAGTCAGAGAGTCGATAGGGAACTATACACTTCCTTGAAGCAATATCTTTAAGGTATACGCCGTACTGTCTAGGTTACAATACTATCATGTCCATATAAGACAGGCCCAGGTAAACGAAGCTACGTATACGTTAAGGGGGTGTTCTATCAAGTCCAGCACCCAAAGTCTGTGTTTCATTTGGCAGTGATAGTACTTCGTATAGGACAGAGGCTTGAATTCTTGCGGCACTGGTAGAACGTATGATAGTTCATAAATCTCCCAGATGAGGTTGAGATTGCAAAGAAACAATCTGCGACACTGAAAGTGACGAAGACCATGATGCACAGCTAAAGGCCGAACGGGCCCCGCCACCCCCCACTCTAAAAATTGATAAGATCAAAAAGATTAACAACTTTTCTTTTCCACCTCTATACTCCCCGTTCTAATCGCATCCCCAAAAATGGTTTCCGAAGCAGATAATACCGTCCCTGCTCTCCGCAAGGTCCTGGTCTCTGAATCTGAGCCTCTTGCTCGCCGTTTCCGCGCTCTTTTCTCTCTCAAGCACTTGGCCTGCCTACACCCTACCACAGACCAGACCCTCCCCGCCATCGAAGCAATCGCCGCGGGTTTTGCCTCACCCTCAGCTCTGCTCAAGCACGAGCTTGCCTACTGCCTTGGCCAAACCAAGAATTTTGAGTCAGTCGCATACCTACAACATGTGGTGAAGGACACCGAGGAGGATGCGATGTGCCGCCATGAGGCCGCTGAGGCGCTGGGCGCCCTCGGATATGCCGACAGCTTGGACATCCTCAAAAAATTGAGAGATGACACAAATGAACTGGATATTATTCGGGAGACTTGCGATATTGCTGTCGACCGAATTGTGTGGGAGAACTCGGAGGAGCGAAAGGCTGAGAAATTAAAGCCTAGGTACATACGAATTGCGCACAAGAATGCATATTGCGAAGAGTCATGCTGACACTGATATCCTTAATTTACAGTGATTTTACCTCTATCGACCCTGCTCCACCCATGCCCCTGGAGGCCAGCGCCGAACCCTGCATCCCCGACCTAGAGAAGAGACTTCTAGACACAAAGCTTCCTCTTTTCCAAAGATACCGTGCGATGTTCGGTTTGCGCGATCTTGCCTCGCCTCCGGATCTTCCAACAGCAGTTGACGCTGTCAATGCGCTGGCCAAGGGTCTTAAGGACCCCTCTGCTCTCTTCCGCCATGAGGTAGCTTTTGTGTTTGGACAACTATGCCACCCTGCCTCGATCCCCAGTCTCACAGCCGCACTGAGTGACCTGTCAGAAGTAGGAATGGTGCGACATGAGGCGGCGGAGGCTCTTGGCAGCTTGGGCGATGAAGAGGGTGTGGAGGAGACATTGAAGAAGTTCTTGAATGACCCCGATCAGGTGGTCAGGGACAGTGTCATTGTTGCTCTCGACATGGCGGAGTTTGAGAAGAATGGTGAAACTCAATATGCGTTGATCCCAGATAATGCTGCGCCTGTTGCTGCTGCATGATGGATTTTGCAAAAAGAAAAAAGTCTCGTGACGTCGTGATTTTGACACTCTTGTCCCGCTAGTGATACAGACTTGCCCCAGAAATAGACCAGTTCCCACATACTTTGTACAATATGTCTTCCCAGAAATTAATTGTTGGAGGTTTCCCTATTGGAGATATTAGCATTTGCCCGGCAAGCATACAAGTTTGGAGCAGGGTGACTGACTTGAATCCGCAGACACATCTATAAAACACAGTACTGCCTTCGTCGGCACTGCGCAGCTGTACCGTGGTGTAGAACATTTCCTTCCTCCCACATTCATTACACGTACGATCAATGACAGCCTCAGTCTTGCGATCTTCTGCTGAAAGTGTCTGGACTGCCGATCGTTTCGCTCTCAGTGCTGAGGGGAATGCGGAGGGCTTGGACTCGGACACGGTTGTTTGGGGAATTGTGTCTAAATACAAGGGTTAGTAATGAGCATACAGGCAGTTTGAGCAATGGCTGGATGTATCTTCATTCACTCACCTTTATTCCGAGCGCCGCAGACATCACAGTGCAAAATCGCATTCGCATCACCGGTAGATTCTCGTAGGAGATTACCGCAATCTGTGCAGAAGATCAAGGAACCAATAGCGGACATATTGACGGGTGCACGATGAATGTCACGGCTTAGGAGCTGCGAAAATTAACGAGGGACAAAGAGAAAACGAATTGAACGGGCCTTAATGCAGTAACGGTTAATCTATGCAACTTTTTTTTTGGACGCACGTTCCACCCCGATAAGGCGGTCACACGCGGCATTAGAGGTGCCGTCACCCATACGGAGTTCATGAACTCATTTGACCGTAGCTCAAACAGCTCTCTCTTCAGATTTCCATTTTCTATGATATAAATGAGTTAGGGATGTCCTAAGGCGCCTGCCTCTTTCTCTGCCATGTCTCCACTGCGAGCATGTCAATTTTGTGATCCGCGCCTACCTCTTTCGACGTAACCGTGATCATGGACCAAAATGGACGCCCGGCCTCTCAGATGGTCCTCAATGGCAATGATCAAATGGCGCACTATGGCTCCCATATGCAGTATCAGAATCAGCCGCGACCGCTGTCTGTGGATGAAGCACTGCAGTACTCATCCATGTCCAGCGCGCCGGTATTTGGACTAGGTTGGTTTACCCGCTTTGCCTTCAGTCCTGCTCATGTTACTGATCAAATGCACAGACTGCATCCTACGCCCTGATGTTGGCCGGCCCTCGAACACTACTTCCATAAACCACGTCCTGCAAGAAGGCCGCAAAACGCTCGGTGAACTTGACGCGGAGATGCATGCTGGACCGGACGAATCTAGCCGCTTGGAGACGTCGCGAGAATACATCCAACAGTTACTGGATGGAGACCAGTTGACAGAATTGTAAGAGATTATGGAGTCATAGATTCGCACTCAACTCATCTTGATACTATAGTAAATTCAAACTTCCTCGTGTTCCAACCCGAAGTCAGCAATTACGTCCAGATGACCCCAATGGCGCCTCTTCCGGTCGCAATAGCCTTGGCTCTTTTGCACGAATGATGCTTGAGTCTACGGACATCGCATTCAGATGTAAGTGCTGAGATGCTAGGAATACATGACATAGTCAATCGACTGACCAAGTACAGACCCGGAAGCACACCCAGAAACCGAACCCAAGAAGGAAGACCTCACATCGAAGACTGCTGCCACGTTGAATCAGCGCGCACACGCTGCGAACAAATCGACCCCGGCCTCTTTCTCGGCTTCCTTGGAGCAAGATCGCCCCCCAACACCGAGTCAGTTACCGCCGGTTGTTCCAGTCAAACCCATACCTTCACATGAAAACCACGCAAACGCGAAGAAGCCCGAGGTGAAATCTCAGGCTCAGGACGTCGAGGCAGGGGTGCGATTGAAGGACCAAAAAGCAGAAGCAGATTCAGCCTTGCAAAAGCTTCAGGATCTTCTACACGAGATTTTCGAAGCAGAAGACCAGATTGAACCTGAAACTTCAATTCCTGCGGCCTCCGACACCCCAAATCCCGTCTTCGTGAACCTCACTTCGTCAGAGGTGCATGGGCTGGTGCTATCTTCTGACGCTCACACTCGTCTTCAGAACGCTCTTCGAAAAGTTGCAGTGTTTGACAGACTCCAGGACATACCGTCCGATTATCTCAATCGCATCCAGAAATTGTGTGAAAAGTCAATAATGGCCGCACAGTCTCCCGATATAGGCCTAGGTGACTCCCTCGGTGAGCATGAATCCCAAGAGTGGCTAGGTAAAATTGAGGATGTCCTGAACGCATTATTTGCGATTGGAACATTGCTGCGAACGATGTCTGGGCGCCAGACGGAGCGAGAACTTTGCCCAGAAGATCTCATTGAGGCTATTCCTACTGTCCTCAATCAACTATTTGACCATTGCGTAATTCCCGCAGTCGAATCGCGCCCCGGTGGAAAGGATGGCCAGCACTTTCAGTTCTTCTCCGCTCAGAGGAGGATCATCGGGAACCTTGTTCATCAGAGCAAGAAAGTTCTAACCCTCTTTGCAGACTTTTTATCTCGCATTGAGGTTTCCGAGGGGACCATCACAGCCGCAGAGTTCTTTGCTGCGAAGCTGATATTTGTGGAAAGTGCTCATAATGAGAAAGACTCCGCTTTGGGCTGCCAGAAGTACGAGCCCGCGAGACGAGCCGCTATGGATGTGCTTGCAAAGGTGTTTTCTAAATATCCAGAGCAGCGACCATTCATTCTGGATGAAATACTGGTCTCATTGGAGAAGCTTCCGACCACACGTCAGAATGCCAGACAATTCAAAGTTGCAGATGGGAAGAACATCCAACTCCTCACCGCACTCGTCTTGCAGTTGGTTCAAACAACTGCATTGGAAACACCCACCCAATCGAAAGCAAAACGTCAAATCAAAACACAAGAAAATGATGACGACGATGAGCTTATGGGCGATGGCGAGGATCATGTTGATGGCGAGTCTGATGACAACGAATCAGATGAATCATTGGAACGTCTAGCGAGCAAGGCCAACCGACTCTATGACAACGCCATGCGCTCCGCGCAATACATTGTGAACTTCATCGTTCAGCGTGCTATGAATTCGACAAAAACAGGCGATCAGCCTTACAGGAACATCCTCGACCTTTTCACTCAAGATCTGATCAATGTACTTGGATCGGCTGATTGGCCGGCCGCGGAACTGCTTCTTCGGATCTTGGCGCTGCGCATGATTCAAATCACCGACCAAGACAAGAGCGCGGCGACTGCGAAGAGCATGGCACTCGAGCTCCTGGGATGGATGGGGTCCGCTATCTCAGACCTGATAGCAACTGCCCAACACATGCTTCCAGCCCTGGAGGACTCTGAGGGCGAGTTGACGGAATATCTCAAACAGCAATTCGAGGAATTCTCTTCCGGGTCGCTACATTATCAAGATCTAATCACCCCAACGGGTTCCTATAGAATTGCACTAGAGCATCTTTTGCAAGACCAGAAGTCCGACAATTGGCAACTGACCAGCGCACGGGGTTACTACTTAGCCCAGTGGGCCAAATCCGCTTGTGCCCTTTACTACAACTCGGAAAACCAGGAAGAAATTGCACATGATGATATGACTGATGGTCTGGTTACTCTTTTAACAAGGTCCTTCTCAGATCCGCGCTGGTTGGAGACCCATAAGGAATTCGACAACATCCCGAACGTCCATGGAAAATTCGCCTACATTTTGACAGTGTTGAACTCCAATTTTGGTAAAGCATTTGATACCATCCTCAAAGTCCTATTGGCATCCTTCCTAGGAGACTCCGCCAAGGTTCGCAGCCGCAGTCTGAAAAGTGTCATCTACATGCTTGAGAAAGATCCGAATCTTCTTGACAGGGATCCCTCCGTCCTGCGCGTTATACATCGGTGTACAACAGATGCCTCGCCCATGGTCCGAGACTCTGCGCTACAGTTGATCGGGCAATGCATTGCTTTGAAGCCTAAGCTCGAAGAAGAGGGGTGTAAAAGCATTCTAGCCTGCGCGGCCGACCAAACTGCTGGGGTTAGGAAACGCTGCATAGGGCTCTTGAAGGATCTGTACCACAAAACGCCTCGAAAAGTGTTGAAACTGGCCATTCTTGATAGCTTTCTGCAACGCACAAGCGACCTTGAAGAAAGTGTGGCTTCTCTGGCTCGCCAAACCTTTGAAGAAATCTGGCTTGTGCCATTTCACGAATTGATTGATTCCTCGACCGAAGGTCCAAAACTCAAAATTGCCCTCGGGGAACAGGTGGACCTCATCGTCGGCCTGATCGAGCGCAGCGAAACTGCATTGGAGTCTCTCGGCGTTTGTTTGAAAGCATTGCTTTCGGACAAATCCAAGTCAGCAGCGTTGAACTTCAGAGTTTGTAAGGCCATGGTCGCTACTATGTTCCAGAAGCTGGTAGAGGATTCAGATGGGTCCAGCAAGGATTTCCAGCAAGCCCTTCTACTGACCATCACTGTCTTTGCCAAATCAAATGCGAAGCTGTTCAGCCCAGATCAGCTGGAAGCCCTCCACCCTTACATTGGACATCTTTCTACCGCAGACGATCTTTTCATATTCCGGTCTGTTGTCGTCATCTATCGCTGCGTCTTGCCGTTCTTGTCCTCATCGCATAATACACTTCTGAAGGAAGTGCAGAATGACCTCTTCAAAAGCGTCGCCAAGCTTGCCCGCTCTGAATTGAATGAGGTCATGGCGTGTTTGTGGACCATCAACGGTGTTCTACAGAACACGAACAGACTGGTGAAGCTGACAGTCTCAGTACTGAAACCATTGCAACAATATAAGAGTGTTGACCTCTCTTCGACCGCACAAGCTGCAGTTCTGGCTCGTGCCAAGAGCTATATCCGTATTGCGGGGTCTGTTGGGCGGCATTGCGATCTTGAAAAGTATGCATCTCATTTCAAAAAGGAGTTCCCCACCTGGACCGGTGGCTCAGTTGCGGCGTTGATGGTTGATTCCATCATTCCATTCACCGGATCGAAGTCACCTGTTGATCTGCGGGTTATGGCCCTTGAAAGCTTGGGATCTATCTGCCAGTCTTGGCCTGGTCAATTCGGCAGAGAATGTTCACGGCAGACCTTTGCCCAGACGTTTAAGGAAGATGCCCCCAGTCTGCAGAACATTGTCCTCCGGTCATTTGCGGACTTCTTTGCCATCCATGAAGGCAAGTCCGAAAAGGCTGTCATGTCGGCTACCCAAGATTCTGCCCAGGAGAGTACCACGCGATTGGGCGGCTCTTTGAAAGCCAGCGACAATGATGGCGCTGCTGCGTTGATCGCCCAGCACTTCCTTTCAAACATGGTTCAGGTGGCGCAATCACGCCAGGACACCTATTCCCTGACTGCCATTGAACTCATTGCGAGTATAAACAGACAGGGTTTGGTGCATCCAAAGGAATGCGCGGGTGTCCTTGTCTCTCTCGAGACTTCCACAGTCCCTGCAATCGCGAAGATCGCGTTTGATACCCACAAGATGCTTCATCAACAATACGAATCAATGTTCGAGCGAGAGTACATGCGGGCTGTGCAAGAAGCATTTTATTACCAGCGAGATATTGTTGGCGACCCTAGCGGCGCTACACCCCGGCCTTACGCACCAAAGCTCGCACCCTTGTTTGAAATCATCAAAATCAGCAACAGCCGTTACCAGAAAAAGTTCCTTGCGAATCTTTGCTCCAAGATCAACTTTGAACTAAAGAAATTGGATACAACGGGTAATCCTCCTGAACATCTCTTACTAGCACGCTTTATATCACAAAACTTGGCCTATTTCGACTACAGTCAATTGGCCGAAGTGGTGCCTACCATCGCGTGTATGGAGCGCATTGTCTCTTCGACTGGCACCATAGTCGCACATGCGATTGAGACAGACATATCCCCCACTCCAATTGGCCCGCCTCAGTTAGATGCTTCAGGCATGCCAGGGTTTGCGCCTGATATAGCCTCATCGACGATCACACCGCGGCCAGCAAATCCTGAGACTTTGCGGTCATTAGCTACTGCAGCTGCATCGTTGTCAATGCTCTGGGAAGCTCGAACCCATCTTCGACGCCTTTACGGAGTGAATTCTCATAGTAAGAATAAAGAGGGAAAGCCCGCCACGAAGGAACTCAACAAAGCTGCCACCAAGGTCCACGGAGTGACAGGCGACAAGTTCTGGGAAGCCATTGCGAGGAACATGGCAGCCTTAGACACCGAGGAGGCCATGCACCAAAAGTGCCGTGAGTTCGCAACACTACTCTCCATTGACGAGGAGTTCAGGGTGGATGCAGATGAGGATGCAGAAGGGGATAGTCTGGAAGCTGCTGGAGATCTCGACGGGATAATGGCTCCTCGGCCCATGAAGCGCAAGAGCTCCGTCTCCAGCTCGAATCTCAGCAAGCGACCCAAGAGCCGGAAGAGCTCCGTCGGAAGGAAGAAGTCTACTGAGCCGGACGAAGACCAGGATTAGGACTGATTTTACGCATTCACATCATCATACAGTGTCGATATTTTACATATGCATGTCATGCGAGGTCGGGCGTTTACTTAGTTCTAGAGACACTTGCAAGATTCTACGGGGACTGACATTTCATCTTTCTATTCGAGGCTGAAATCGGTGATTGCTACCTTACGTTTATGCTGTATTTCATAGTTACTGTGTACTACATGCTCTAAGCTTTTGAGGCTTTCCTTAGACTGCCGATATCCGATGCCATCATCTATGAGTATAAAGAATCCGGGCTAGACATATCAAGTGGTGTCAAGCAGAGTCGGGTGGCTTTCCTAGATCTAGTTACCGGTGAGTATTCGGAGTCCAAGCCAGTTAGGTCTCGGTTGGGATGCCGCATTCCCGGGTGGACCGTTGACACGTGACCGCCTAATGATGACGTCGGTTGTTGTTGGCATGGTTCGTTGTCCCGGTCTGAGTTCATATCTTTTTGTTTTCTACAGTTATCATAGCTTGCTTTACTTTTCTTACTTTCTTTCAGATTACTCCGTTGTCGCTCGTCATTTGAGTGCATACCGATAGATCATGAGCTGCTTCATCTGTGTTTTCCATCACTGAACCACTTTTACTCAAGGTCTCCTTTAGCCGTCGCAATGCTACACGCGATGCTGCGCCGGAGCTGCGCGGACAGCATCGCTCTCAAGTCAACCCGCTCACTGTCAGCTCCAATGCATGCCTCGAAGGCATCGTCATTACTCCGCCAACCTCTATCCCGCTCCATACATACCCTTTACCGGCGACCAGTCCCTCAATGGCGCACCTGGACACCGGCCTCGACGCCGATCCGTCTCAAATCTGAGATCGCCGCCAATGTCGAACCCGGACGACGCTCTCGTGTTTTGAACGTTATGCGCAAGGTGTTCACATACTGTGGATTTTTCATTGTCTCCACTGGTACCTTGATTGTCGCCTTCTTCATCTACGACGCTAGTACATACCGCGACACTACTACTGGGGTAGACATCCCAGTCTCTGAATTGGCACTCAACCCTAGACATGGAGGTCCAAAGAACTTGCCCATTGCCGATGTGCTGGTGGGTGACTATGACTCGGAGGCTATGCTTCAACAGAAGGATAAGCCTCGTCTGGTTATTCTTGGAACGGGCTGGGGTAGCATTTCGCTCCTCAAGAGCTTGAACCCTGGGGATTATCATGTCACTGTTGTCTCTCCCACTAACTATTTCCTGTTTACTCCTATGTTGCCCTCCGCGACCGTGGGCACTTTGGGTCTTCGCTCTCTGGTTGAGCCCGTTCGACGTATCATTGACCGCTTGAATGGTCACTTCCTCAAGGCTTCGGCGACAGATGTTGATTTCTCCGCAAAACTGGTCGAAGTATCCCAGGTTGGCCAGGATGGCCAGACGAAAAACTTTTATCTTCCCTACGACAAGCTTGTTATCGGTGTTGGTACGTTGCACCCAGGAATAATGCGCTGAATCCCGAAGATATTGACCGTACCTCTTAGGATGCGTCACGAACCCACACGGCGTCAAAGGCCTTGAAAACTGTAACTTCCTGAAGACCATTGATGATGCTCGCCAAATCAAGAATAAGGTGCTGGAAAACATGGAGCAGGCTTGTCTCCCCACCACCACTGACGAAGAGCGCAAGCGCCTGCTGTCCTTTGTGGTATGTGGAGGTGGTCCCACCGGTGTTGAGTTCGCCGCGGAGCTGTTCGATCTTCTGAATGAGGATCTGCTTCACTCTTTCCCTCGCATCGTTCGAAACGAGATATCCGTCCACATCATCCAAAGTCGATCCCACATCCTGAACACTTACGACGAGGCACTTTCCCAGTACGCCGAGGTATGTCTTTATCGCCTCCTCAATATTGATGAAATCACCCTGATATTAACAAATTATAGAATCGATTCACTCGCGATGGCGTTGAGGTTCTGACCAACGCCCGTGTCAAGGAAGTGCGCCCTGACCGGGTCCTGTTTTCCCAGGTGGAAGACGGCAAGACCATAGTAAAAGAGATCCCAACTGGATTCTGCTTATGGTCCACAGGAGTCGGTTAGTATATACTCACACCAGTGCCCAGCCTAAAGCGCCACTAACATCTCTCTAGCCCGAGCCGAGATCTCAGAAACCATATCTAACAAACTGGAAAGCCAAAACAACAAGCACGCCCTCGAAACCGACTCTCACCTACGCTTAATCGGCGCTCCTCTAGGCGACGTCTACGCCATCGGCGACTGCGCAACAGTCCAAAACAACGTGGCCGACCACATCATCCGGTTCCTCCGCACAATCGCCTGGGAGAAAGGCCGCGACCCAGAGAAAGTCCAGCTCACCTTCTCCGAATGGAAAGATTTCGCCGCCCGCGTGAAGAAACGCTTCCCGCAAGCCTCAGCCCACCTCCGCCGCCTCGACCGCCTCTTCGAACAGTACGATAAAGACCAATCCGGCACCCTCGACTACGGCGAGCTCTCCGAGCTCCTGCACCAAATTGACACGAAGCTCACCTCCTTGCCTGCCACCGCGCAGCGCGCCAACCAACAGGGCGTGTACCTCGGCCGCAAACTATCCAAGATTGCAGCCGCCCTCCCCGGTCTCCGGGCTAACGAGATCGACTACGGTGACCTTGACGAGGCCGTTTACAAGGCTTTCAAGTATAAGCACCTTGGAAGCTTGGCGTACATCAGCAATGCTGCCATCTTTGATATCGGTGGTATGAGCTTCAGTGGCGGTGTCCTTGCTGTGTATCTCTGGCGGAGTATCTACTTCGCTGAGAGCGTCAGCTTCCGCACGCGCTGTATGCTGGCTATGGACTGGGGCAAGAGAGCGCTCTTTGGAAGAGGTATGTTTCTAAGTCTTCGAATTGGTCTCAATGTTTTCTTGTTTTGCTAATATCTTTTCGTTTCGCAGATCTCATGAGTTTCTGAGATATTTAGCGTCCATCGATTTCACAGCTACTTGATCTAGACATATCCTCGGTTCTGTTTCCAGTATTCCGCAGGCAGAGAATCTGGAGCAATCTTGTTTGTGAGAGATGTCCATAGACCTTGCTCGGGTTGTTTTGGGATTTTTTTCATAACCAAGCTTGTTACTTTATTTCGGTCATCCAATGGGTTGTTTAGCTTGTCTTCAGTGCTGCTCTGGGTGTTGCTGCATAATGGCATTATTGGTACTTCACCGCAAAGTCTTGTCAAATTAAAGATCTATTCAAGTCATGCTATGAGACTTGTGTTGTGTCATGGTTTGACCATGTGTAAAATGTGTAGTCATGAATGGAAAGCCAGTTGTATTGTAAGTGTCATTTGGAAGTCCATAGAGCAGCAAATAACCATCGCCTGAACACCGCGCTAGAAGAGCAGAATGGAGAAAAAAATTCTGGTATGGGAACCGGAAGGATCGGACCAATATTCAAGGCCAGCTTGAGAATAGCTTGATCAACCGATCATAGGGTCCAAATCGCTGTTATTGGACATCAGAGTGTCACGGATATTAGTAGCGAGGTCATCATTACGGTTACTGTTTTCGTGAGCATTGCCAGCCAAGCCAATGTCAAGAGTATCTGGGATGTCCCTCTTGGCCTCTCGTGCCTTCTGCTCAGCATATGCACGCGTCTTCACGAGACTGCGGAGCCGGGCCTCTTTACGAGCGCCCTGGTTCTGCAAAATTGCCTCGTTGACTTGTGTAGCAATCTCTTTACGGAGCGCAGGATCCAGAAGTGAGGCAAGCGAGGGAGCCAGTTTATCACTGGGGAAAATCAAAAGAGCAAGGGTCCGCTCAAGATCTGCCAGGAACTGAGGCTTTGTAGGAGCACGGGGTGCAAGCTCGGCCGTTGCAAAGTCCAGGACGGGAGTAATATCGCTACCGGGGGTGTCCATGCAAGTGCGGATGAGTTCGACCAACTGCAAGCGCAAGAGAGCAAAGTGCAAAGATGGATCTTCGTCAAGGATCTATTGAAGTCTTGTTAGCCATGGCACTTGACATGAAATGTGTCGTTATGCTAATAAGGTTCAATATTCTGTAGTTGCTCATACTGAGGACTGAAGATGTTTGTTTTTCTGCAAATGTCCCCGAAGGGAGTTTAAGAGTGGTGCATGAAACTTGGTATAATCATAGCAAGAAAATGGGGAGAGGAGTGTGTAGTAGACTAAAGGGGCATAGTCTTACCTGAGGGTTTAGCTCGTTGATCTTTTCGACCGCCGCCTGGATATCACCAGAGTGAATTGCAGTACGGATGTCTACCCGCTCCTGGATGGGTTCGAAATCCGTTCTGACTTGGATATTGGCCTCCACTGCGAATTTCTTCGCAGCAGCGGGATAGCCATTGGTAAGGAGGTAGTCCATGACCAGGTAATTTATATCACTGCATGCAATCATTAGCAACCATTGATACAACGGATTGATGAAATATTTGCAGTGGTGACGTGAATCAGAAGGACAAGTCAATTGTTTCTCCTCACATGTTTTCAGAGAGATTCCCAACTTGATTTTCAAGAGCATCATGTCACGGGGTGGGGCAAGGGGAGAAAGGGACGAGGTAAACTCACGTTCTGGATGGCTTGACCTCCTCAAGCTTCCTCTCGAAGAGAAGCCAAGAAGGCGTCGCAGTCGAGGGAGTGCGAGACATCTGCATAGTGTTAAAAGGCCAGCAGCCACGGGTGTCAAGCCGAGAAGCATACAGGATTAGCAGACATTCTGAGATCTAGTCTTGATTTGATCTGAAGCTATCCGTAGAATTGGAAGGCGACCCGAGAGACGAAGGCCATGGGGAAAGGCAAATCGCTGTGTGGGAAGAGACCGGGTTGGATGAAGAAGAAAAAGAGAAAATGAAAAGCTCGCAGCGGAAGAAGTAGCTTAAGCGAAACTTCGCACTAGGCCGAAAAGGACGATTACATAATGCCGAGTTCGCAGCACGTGAGGCGCTAGAGCAAACTTGGAAATTTAACTACACTAAGCCGCATTGGGATGAGATGTTAGGTAACTGGGTCCACATCCTCAAAAGGGCCAAGGCCATCACTCTCGATTTCAAAGAGGGGCCGAGGGGGTCCAAGATACCTACTTCGTGCAGCGTTGTAGGTGACCCCAGTAGACATGGAGTCAATCTCGCCTTTTTATTCTATGTCTACCGAGGTGCGATATGCTCCACCATGGCAAGACTTGAGCATCATTGGGATCGCTGGTAGTTCTGGCTCCGGCAAGACTTCCGTGGCAATGGAGATCGTCAAGTCTTTAGACTTGCCGTGGGTGGTGATCCTTGTAATGGTACAGCCTCTGAACTCCGAGACTGACAAATTTGATAGCCTTTTGTTCTAATGTGGTACTCGCAGGACTCGTTCTATAAGACATTGACTCCCGAACAACACCACAAGGCTCATGCAAACGAATATGACTTCGACTGCCCGGATTCGCTTGATTTCGATGTTTTGGTCGATACTCTCCGGGATCTTAAGAAAGGGTAAACATATTGCTCTTGCTGGGTTCTGTTTATTTGACCTAACTTGAAGCGATACAGAAAGAAAGCGAACATCCCAGTCTATTCATTTGCCGATCACCAGCGGCAGTCTCATACGACCACCTTGTACTCACCTCGCGTGATTATTCTCGAGGGAATTCTAGCCTTGCATGATCCTAGAATTGTGGAGATGCTGGATGTGAAGGTATAGTAATTCCACCGCTACTCCTTTGCTTATCGGTGCTAATTTTGTCATGCAGATCTTCGTTGAAGCGGATATGGATGTGTGCTTAGGTCGTAGAAGTGAGATGCCTCAATTTAGATTACATGAATTGCAATCGACGCCACGTGGAAACACCACTAACGAATGTTCTTACAGTCCTGCGTGACGTCCGCGAGCGAGGGCGCGACATTGAAGGCATCATCAAACAGTGGTTCAATTATGTGAAGCCATCTTACACCAAATTCGTCGAGCCTCAACGCTCCGTCTCAGGTTGGTCTTTGTGTAAGCCTGTAAAGTTCAAAGATTTGCTAACCTCGATCTCTAGACATCATCATTCCCCGTGGCATTGAGAACAAGACCGCTATTGGTATGCGACTTCCCGGAACTTCTGTCTCAAGAACCACACACTAAAAGACCCAGACATGGTTGTTAAGCACATTCAGCGCAAGCTGCAGGAGAAATCCGTCAAGCACAGCGAAGAACTTCATAAATTGGGTTTGATTGCGGCGGAAGTCGACCTGCCTGCGAATGTGCATGTGCTGCCCCCAACGCCGCAGTTTCTCGGCATGAACACTATCCTACAAAACCCGGAAACCGAGCAGGAGGATTTTGTTTTCTACTTTGATCGGCTGGCATCGATCTTAATTGAGAAGTACTGGCCACCATTTCGCAGTGCAACCTTGTGGCTGCTTTTCTAACATCAATAACAGATCCTTGGATATGACATCCTATGTTTCTGCGAATGTGGAAACCCCACAAGGAGAACAATACCTCGGTTTGCACCTCCAGGGTACTGTGTCAGCTGTGGTTATTTTACGCGGAGGCTCATGCATGGAGACCGCTCTTAAGCGATCCATTCCCGACTGTATCACTGGTCGCGTGCTTATCCAAACGAACGAGAGCAATGACGAGCCAGAGCTACATTACTTGAAACTTCCGCCGCAGATTGATGAGCATGCAACCGTCATTCTTATGGACTCTCAAATGTCGAGTGGCGGTGCTGCACTCATGGCTGTCCGCGTCTTGCTTGATTACGGGGTCAAACAATCGAGCATTGTTTTCGTAACCTGCGCTGCGGGTGAACTGGGTCTGAAAAGGCTGACTGCCGTGTATCCCAACATCAATGTGATTGTTGGACGGATTGAGGACGAGGGAGAACCACGCTGGATAGAAAAGCGGTACTTCGGATGTTGACAAGTTCATACCATCTGCGATCATCTATCAAATATCCCTATTGTGGCGCATACATACGTTCCAGCAGATACCTCAGCATATTTATATACGCATACAAGCCAGGATTTGGCGATGTCCACCTACATATCAGATGTTTCAATTAGTGAATCAGCTTATTGCACTCTGTAGTCAGCCCCCCGCAGAATACCTATGGACCTAGTGGTGCGGGCTTTCGCATTCCATTCCATGGAAGTGCCAGTTCCCGCTGCGCCCGGCTTTAGGTAGGTATCAGGTTTATATATTGTCAGTGCGGATCTTAGTTGTAAAGGCATGGATCTGCCTTGGACCTGACAAAGCCGTGTTTCATCAGCTCGAAGCATTTTTCGACCTCAGCTTGAGCGAATTGTTGAAACTCCGTTGTCCGGCTGGGGGACTTGCCGATTTGATAGTGCACCTCCTTGACCGCCCTATCTTCAGCCGGCAGAAAAAAGAAATAATTTGCCGGTCTCGACTATTTTCACTTGCTGAACTCGACGATCTCAATTGAGCTCCCTTCCTTGCGCACCATTTTTTTTTTGCTTGACCTCTGTGTGCCAAGACTTACCACAAGGCATTCACAATGGCAGGCCCAGACAAGAAAAAATCCAAGGCAGGCAAGCCTAAAGGCCAATCAGGTCCAGTGATCAGTAAGTACAGTGAAGACTCAAGGCTTGTCCTAAGCAGAACAAAGGGCCATGAATGCTGACTCTTTCATTTTTGCTCTTATAGCGGATCCGCGATTTGAGAACATCCAGACCGACCCACGCTACCGGCTCCCCAGCAAACGCCAGACTCATGTCAAACTCGATAAGCGCTTTGCGCAGATTCTAGATGATAAGGATTTCTCTAGCAACGCTGCTGTCGATCGCTATGGACGAAAGCTGAAGAAAGACGATACCAAGGAAAAGTTGAAGAAATTCTACCAGGTTGATGAGGATGAGGATGAGGACAGCGTCGACGACGACGAAGATGTCCAGAAAGAATTGAAACGAGTCAACGCCGCCTCATATGATCCTGCCCGGGATGGTGGCTTTGGGTCCTCTTCATCCGACGAAAGCTCCAGCGAAGAGGAAGATGAGGTGGAAGAGGAGGAAGATGAGCTCGAGTACCCGGACAAGCAACAGTCTGATGTGCCACTCGGCGAAGTGACGACTCGGATAGCAGTCGTCAACCTTGATTGGGAAAACATTCGTGCCGAAGATTTAATGGCAGTCTTTTCTAGTTTCCTTCCCACCGGAGGGAGGGTGTTGAACGTCACAGTCTACCCCAGTGAATTTGGAAAGGAACGGATGGAGCGGGAGGAGATCGAAGGCCCCCCGAAAGAGATCTTCGCCTCGAAGAAGTCAAAAAGCGAGGATTCGGAGGAGGAAGAACTTGACTCTGACGAGGAAGAGGAGCAAATTAAGAAGTCAATCCTCAAGGCCGACGACGGCGAAGAATTCGACTCTACACAGCTACGGCGGTACCAGCTTGAGCGATTGCGCTATTACTATGCCATTGTCGAATTTTCATCGAAAGACGTTGCGAAGCATGTGTACGATTTGGTCGATGGCGCCGAATACCTCTTCAGTGCCAACTTCTTCGATCTTCGCTTCGTGCCGGACGAGACCGACTTCTCTGACGACAAGGCTCGGGACGAGTGTTCCCGGATTCCTGACGGTTACAAGCCTACCGAATTTGTAACGGATGCTTTGCAACACAGCAAGGTCAAATTGACATGGGATGCGGACGACAAATCAAGGAAAGAAGCTCAGGCACGTGCTTTCCGGGGCTCGCGCCAGGACATTGATGAGAATGACCTGAAAGCGTACCTCGGCAGCGATAGCTCAGAGAGCGAAGACGAAGATGACGAGGACGGAGGTGTCGAAGTAGTCGATAATACCGCAGGAGACGCTTCGACCACAAAGCTATCCAAGAAAGAGGCCGAGAGACAACGCATGCGTGCATTGTTGGGTCTGAGCGCCGAGCCTACCCGCACCAAGCCGGATGGCCCCGTCGGTGAGATGGAGGTTACTTTCACATCAGGCTTGGCTGGTGGCCACGGCAAGGATACAATCTTCGAAAATGAACCGGAGATTGAGGAAAGTACAATTGACAAATACGTGCGGAAGGAGCGCGAGCGCAAGAAGCGCCGAAAGGAGAAACTGAAGGCCAAGCGAGGCGATGAGGATGCGCCTAAGGAGGAGGAAGAACAAAAAGCCGCCCCCGTTCAGGCGCCACAGCCTGAAGAAGAAGAGTTAGGATTTAACGATCCCTTCTTTGACGACCCTGATGGAAAACTCACAGCAGGTGCTCGACGCAAGGAGGAGAGGCGCAAGAAGCGCGAGGAACGTGCGGCCGAGGAAGCCGCATCAGCTGCCCAACGGGCTGAACTGGAGCTCCTGATGGTGGACGACCAAAAGGCCAACGTCAAACACTTTGATATGAACGAGATCGAAAAGGCCGAGAAACAGGCTCGGAAGAAGGGCAAGGGCAAGAAGAGCAAAAAGGTGGAACCCGCTCCGGCAGATGACTTCAAAGTCAAAGTCGACGATCCACGTTTCACACGCTTGTATGACACTCCTGATTTTGCCATCGATCCAACCAACCCCCGCTTCAAGCCAACTTCCGGCATGAAGGCACTATTGGATGAGGGCCGTAAGCGCCGGCGTACTGGTGATGACGCCGATGCCGAGGCTCCGACGGAAGATCGAGAAGCCAAGAAGAAGCAAAAGAAGGCATCTAAAGAGTCCAGCTCTGACGAGTTGAAGCGGTTGGTGGCCAAGGTCAAGCGTTCTCACTGAGAGAATACGATGGAGGAGACTACAATGATTTGGAAGTTAATATACACAGTACAGTGGGCTCCTCTAGCGGAACCAAATGTGAAATATGATATGATTTGTTAAAACCCGTGCTTTCACATTATCAATCTACATGGAACATGTTGACTAGTGTTGAATAGCAGAGCTGACAACCGACGTCTCGTGGTCACGGGCATACTCCGAGTCTCCGATGCCCGGGACTGGGAGATGTGCTGGCTGAAAGGCAGAACCACGTGGTCCGTAGCAGTGTGGGGTGAGTGGCCAACGTGAAATATGTCCCATTCCCTTTTCCACTCAGATCTCGGCGTCGGGGGACACAACCTTGGAAAGGCCGGGCATGTCGAGAGGGTGGTATCTGAGTTACAGGCATAATGCCTGTCTTACACGAGGTGGGATTGACGGTGTAGAGATGGCATGTGCTCACCGCGAGTACGCAGTAATATCTTGGGAAGAGCAAAGCGATCTCATCCAATCCCAAATTCTGACCGTCCAAAATCACACAAATCAGCGCTATCCGAGTGACACTAGTTCCTTGCAAAGCCGACTATATACGGTGACACCATGACGGTAGTTGTTAGCGGCAAGGTGGTCAGCGATGAGAATTCACATGGTTAATTCCTGTATAATTTGTAGAGCGGGCTATATCCAACAGTCTCGGCAATGATACTAGTCCCCATGCTGTCTTTCAGACTGTATAGTTGGCCCCCGAGGCCTGGGTCTTGCTAGAATGCTATCTGATCTGAAGAAGATGACCAGAAGGCCGCTGTCGTCAGTCGTAGACCGCCAGACTGAGATCATGTGACTTTACTCACCGCCCTTTCGCAGACGCTCTCCACTGATCCCCCGGAATGGTCTCTCGTGCAAGTGACTGGGTCCCATAAGAAGCCCTGGGATTTATCTTATTCGATCTCCTGAGGGTTGACTGAATTCTGAGCATACTGTGGAGTTCTCGTTGGTCTAAACCCCATTGCCAATTGCTGATCCAAGCCCCACTGCTGCACCTCATCCCACCTTCTACTCCTCCCCTCCCTCTCTCTCCACAATCCTGGACTATTCTCAATTCTTTCGTCATCTGATGATGATTCCTGCTTCGTTGAATTAAGCTATGGGTGGACGCAGCCTAGTCATTCCTAGCTGTCTGATACCCATCGTTACACCGCGTTAAATCTACCGGCCCGTTTTCTTTTCCCTGCGTCCCTAAGTACTTATCATCTCTGCCGGCTTCCCCGTTGTTATTCACCATGCTCGGCCGACTATTGAGTACCGCCGCGTCGACTCTGAACCCGACAGCGTACTCGGCACGACAGAATGGAACACCTCTCGAATCCGTGACCGAGGAGGAACATACCTCCGGTCTTCTTTTTCCCGATGCCAGCCTCCTACGGCGTTCCAATACCCACGCCTACCCCTTACAAACGACCTTCAATTCTCCGAATGCCTCCGCTGCTGGCGCTTATGATGATCGTGGTGGAATGGAATTGGATGCAATCAAGGATTTCCGTGTGATTGTTGCACAAAATGCATTGGGCGACCGAGATGCATGTGTCTTACTTGACACTCGTGCATCCGATTCATCCACCGCCGGCCTTGGGATCGACCCCCAAGGCAACGACCAGTCCGGCCCTCGACATACTCGTGCAGTTTCTAGTCTTTCTCGTGGGACACGTCGCAACCTCCTCGCTCAGTCTTCCCTCGCCGAACCGAGTCCTCTCTCCGCAGCTGCAGATGCACGCAGGTTGTCACCCGCCAGTCCAGGTGCATTCTCCCGAGCTCGGGGCCGTAGTTCCACACTGGCACCATCTGGAGCATGGCATGAGCCTGGCCCATCGAGACACCCTTCCGACGCCAATGATACGGGCCTCTTAAATTGCATCTTCGGCAGCAGCGCCTTCAGCTACCGGGGCTCGTCCACAAAAATGCACATCATCTCCGCCGATGATGACTCGACAATCGGGGCCAGTGCGTCTCCTGCTGCTCGCAGTCCGCTTTCACGGGCGTACACGACAGGGAGTACCTCTAGTCCAATAGGGCCAGCCCGAGGAGAGCACGACAAGCCTCCTGCCAAAGTCACGGTTCTCTTGACTCGCATGTTCAGCGTGAATCTCCCCGAAGGAGCGGAAGCATCAGCGGAGCGACATGACTATGCCAGTGCTCTCTATCAGGAATCATTGCCCGAGATGGAGTTCCCATTCCCGGATGTTTCTAAACGCAAGAAAATCAAGGAGAAGAAAACGCCCATGTATGCAGTTGCAATTACGATTCAGATCCCCTTGCTCGCACGAAACTCTGGGCGCCCTGTGTCAAGGTTTAGCACGCCAGGCCCAGACTCTCCCAGGCCAGGGTTCTCGAGCTCGCTTGATTCAGACCACCGATGGCCGGGAGGATTCTTTGATGATAGTTTATCCTCGGCTTCTCCTCCGGCTAGCTTGGATGAACGCTTGGACTTGCTAGTTGACCATTGGGACGTCATCACTCGCACACTCTCGCACCTCGAGCGACTTGTTCGCAACGAAATCCTCTTTCTGTTGAAGAAGGTGGACTCTTTGTCTGGGCCTCACCCAAAGCCCGCGAAACCTCCCAATATGCAACGCACCAACCAGACCATTGTACATTTGCCTGCGAATATTCTATCCGTCAATTCAAAGCTCAAAGAAGAAGCTATTCGCAGCTCTCGCCGAATAAGCCTGGCTCTTCAAACCCCATACGTAGTCACTGGTCAAAGTCGATGGGGCGTCTGGCGAGAGGAAGGTCGCTCCATCGTCCGCGGCCTAGGTGACAAAGAGCAGAACTTCTTCTTCCTGGTGGTCCTAACGGCGTTCTTGGGCAATCATACCGAGTGGCTCAACACCCTTGGCCCAGAATGGTATCGTCGCCGCCATAATCAGCAACACAGATTCCAGCAAGATGGAGAGCCCATTCTTGCAAACAGAACAGTCATCGTATGTCCGGACAAAATGACCGCTCGGCGTCTCGTGTTCTTACTTTCCGCCTTCTTGCCCTCCAAACAGCGCTTGGAGGTTTTGCCCTCCCCGCTTCGACCTGGTACTTCGGCTTCCATGCGTGCTATCTCCCACAGCCCGCCAAGTGTGCCTGTGCTCCGTCAGGAGTCGCTTCGCAGGGCGATTGAACGACGAGCCCGTGCTCAACGAATGATCATCGGTGATAATGATCGTCATCGACGATCAGTTAGCGCTTCGTCTCAGGACACAGCTCAACGGTCATTTGATGGAGCTGAAACTACGACCTTAGCAGAACAATCTTCAGCTTCGGCCCGCAGAGGGTCTGATGCTCGTTCAATCAGACCTTCAGCCGGAGCTATTCACCCGAAGGATGTTCGGGCTATGAATACCAGTGGAGCAACTACATCCATGACAACTCAAAGCAGCACCGTCCCTGTCCCCCATTTTACTTCTCAGCCAAGCCAGTCCGCCCAGGCTAGAACAGAACGCAACACAACGGAGGGCAGCGATAGTCTCGCATCAGAGACTCTGTTGAAGAGCCTCCAGCGAAGTGACAGCTCTGTGCTGAGCACAAATGGCAGTATTCCATCAGCTGGAGGCCGCTGGGGTGGTATTTTCTCCGGGCTTTGGAGTTCCCGCCAGGAATCATCGACTGATAGCGGTGGATCGTACTCCCCATCTGAAGCTCGCAGACGCTCTGCCTCTACTATTGTTGGCTCTGCTAGGCGTGGGTCTAGCACTTTGATCCAAATGGTCAAGGAAGTCACAGAGGAGGATGAGCACCGTCCCGAAACTGCCCCAAGTGGAAATATCTCGATCCCGGCTACTTCTACGGCCGTTCCTCACAACGGTGAAACTGCCTCGCCAGAGCCGTCATCACTCAATAGCCAAGTCCGTGAGTCGCCTTTGAAGATGTCGGTCAGAGCGGAGGAAGGCGTAGTGGATGTTGATCTTCCACTTCCGGGTTTCATGTCACTTTCCTCCTCTGGGGATTCCACCGTTGCCTCGCCAAGGAAAACTCGAACGTCTATCACCAGTGTGGATGCGCTTGCTTCCACGCACAGCAGTGGATCTGGGTTCCACGGTGCCATGAAGGATAGCGATGGCCCGACTGCCCATGTTGCTGGTTGGTTGAAATCTTTCCATGAAGATTTTGCCCTTCAGGCCGTCCGACCCTATGCTTCCCTCGAAGCGGAGATCAAACGGGCAATGCGGGCTGAACCCTCCCCATATATTCCCTCCACACCCGATGTAGACGGATCAGAGAGGTGGGTGGACGTCGCAACAACTTTGATTGCAGACACCAGGGCTTCTACGGTGAAGCGACTCCGGTTGCGACGCAAGATCACAGTTGGGTGCCACTCTGGCTCAGTACATACGCCTCCCTTGCACGCCAACGGTTACCCCCGTCAATCTGCTGGAAGTAACTCGACCTCGCAGTTTGCCAGCTTTTTCTCTGTACACGACAAAGCGCCTCGTGGGCCGACCGCCGATGAACAGCACCAGAGCTTTGTCGAAGAGCGGTTCATTGAGGAGCCTGTGATGGACCTGGATGGAGTTCTGGTCGACGCTCTCGAGCGTGTTTTGGGACAGAGCGGCTACTCGTCCATGGCACAGTCGCGTGCTCCTTCTCCTAATCGAGCTCGCCGAGCCGAAGAAAAGGCCAACTCTTCTCGGCCTGATGAAGCTGCTCCTGCCGAAGTCCCCCGTGGCGAATGTGGCAAGATGGTGCTTGGGGCCCTCGAGGAAGTTGTCCGTGTTGTAACCGCCGAACACTGCCGTGAAGACGAAGAGGCCGAGAGCCCAGCGGCGCTTGCCGACCGCGAGCGCAGAAGAGCGCTCTCAGGGGCTGACAATACTCTGCGTGAAGGAATCCGGAAATGGCTCCTTGACGTCGAAGAAGCCTGGTGATCATACTTTGCCGGCTGACACTTCCTTCTACTTCTACTTATTGCATACCCATGTTTATTGACATTCTGCATGTTTCTCTTTTACGCCGCCCAATCCCTCTTGTTCTTCATTCGCTCGTTAGGGTGTTGGATCTGGGCGCGGTGAGTTTTCCATTGCTGTTGAATTACCTCTCGGCATTTCCTTTCTCTTTGCATTTTGTCCTTCCAGCTTTGCCTTGTCCATTGCGATTTGTTTGATTATGATACCCACCCAACTTCATACTGAAGTTTAGTTCTGTTTGTGGCATTCCCCTACATTTTTACCTAATATGACAGTTGACCAATTTTAATGACATCAAGTTCCATGCGTTCATTCTCTATGTTCTTTGGATCTAAGCAGCATAGACGATCTTCACATCATGGCCCCTTGCTTCAACCTTCCCATCTGCAGTCGGAGAAAGCTGGACGGTTTTCAAAATCTCGTCTGTTTGCACTGAGTTGACAATCTCAACCGTAACCTCACCTCGCAGGCGCCCATTGATCAACAGCTCAATTCCAGACAGGGCATCGTCCTCAGGAGCCTTGATGGTGGGATTGGTGACTGTAACCGAACCAGGACGAATCAAAAGAGGCAAAGTATCAAAGCCATGAGTCTCAGTGTACCAACGACCAGACTCATAACTCTTAGAATGATCAAACCACGACACCCACTTCCCTGCCACATCATCATCAGACCGAGGGACATAGAAAGTAACCTCCCCCTCCTCCGAGAACACCGGCGCAACCAGCAAATTCGGCCCAAACATATACTGCGTATCAACAGCATACGTATTCAAATCTTCCGGGAACTCCAAAAACATAGCCCTCATAAGCGGCGTCCCATCCCTGTGGCCCCTAAGCGCCTCCTGCAAGATATACGGCGTAAGCAAGATCTTCCCTCTTCACACACTCCCGCAGAACATGCGAGCAATCCTCGCCATAAATCCACGGCACCCTGAACGAAGACGACCCATGCAGCCGCGAATGCGTCGACAACAGCCCAAACTGCACCCATCGCTTGTACAGCGCCGGCGGCGGCGTACCCTCAAACCCGCCAATATCAGACGCCCAGAAGATATACCCAGACACCATCAGACTCAGTCCGCCGCGCAGCGACTCCGCCATTGCCTCGAACGTGCTCTCGCAGTCGCCACCCCAGTGCACCGGGTATGCCTGTCCGCCCGGTGCGGTGCTGCGTGCGAATAGCAAAGCCTGGTTGTGGCCGATGCGGTTGCTCATCGTAGTGTAGACAATCTTGTTGTATAGCAGGGCGTAGTAGTTGTGCATTCGTTCTGGGTCAGCGCCGTTGTGGTATTGGATGCCTTTGACGGGAATGCGCTCGGCGAAGTCGGTTTTGAAGCTGTCGACGCCCATCGACATTAGTCGCTCCAGGTGGTTGTTGTACCATTCTGTTGCCGCGGGATTCGTGAAGTCTACTACTGCCATCCCGGCTTGCCAGAGATCCCATTGCCAGACTGAGCCGTTGGTGCGCTGTGAGATGTTAGGAAGGCGGAGACTTTACCTGGCTTTGGGTGTTTCGGTGGTTGTGTCACAACATACCTTGATGAAGTATCCGTTCTTCTTGCCTACTTCGAATAGTGGTGATGCTTGCGCTACGTACGGATTGATCCAGATGCTGATCCGCAGACCGCGCACCTTCAGACGCTTGAGGTAGCCCAGGGCATCGGGGAACATGTCCGCGTCGAAATCGAAGTCGCACCACTGGTATGACTTCATCCAGAAGCAGTCGAAATGGAAGACACCGAGCGGGATATCGCGGTCTCGGAAACCATCAAGGAAGCCAGTAACGGTCTTCTCGTCATAGTTGGTTGTAAAGCCTTGCGACAACGAAAAAGGGTCAGCCCTTCTCCATCTAGCCAGAGACAACCAACACCGCAAACTCACTCGTAGTTAGCCAGAGATTATAACTCCACGACGGAACCAAAGCCGGCCTTCCAGTCAATGAAGTGTACCGATTAAGAATCTCCTTCGGCGTAGCCCCATAAACAACAAAATACTCAATCTCCTCCCCAGGCACAGAGATATTGACCCGAGTCGTACGCTCAGACTGAACCTCCAAACTGACACGTCCAGGATGATTAACAAAAACCCCGTACCCCTGGGAACTGATATAGAACGGGATATTCTTGTACGCCAACTCAGACGAGGTGCCACCGTCCTCATTCCAGATATCGACTGTCTGCCCGTTCTTCGCCAGAGGCCCGAACCGCTCGCCGAGCCCGTAGACTTTCTCGCCAACGCTTAGGTCTAGGCCGGCGAGCATATATCCCTGTCGCTCGGCGTACATGCCGTCTTCGTAGCGGAATTTCTCAGTGCGCTGGTCGCGCACATATCCGATTGATCGGAAGGATTGGCCGGTTAATTTCTTGCCGCTTGGAGAGCGGAAGTCTAGTTTCAGCTCGTTGGTGGAGGTGTTCACAGCCAGGCTGAGTGGTCCGCTTGTGTAGTTTAGTTCATTGGTGTCCTTGTTATGCTGGATATTGGTGTGTTTGGTGGATTGGTTGAGGTGGTAATGAGGACCGCTGTCGGCTTGGCCTGCCCTTGTATGGAGTTAGTATGTATTCTGTGTACGTGTTGTCGACTGTCTTACCAGTGTACAAGTTTAACCCCAATGATTCCCTCCAATGGCGATGTGATTCGCGCAGAAACAGTTGCTTCAGATCTTTGTTAGCTTTGGCGTTGTAAATGGAGAGATTTGGGAACACACGCGAGTTGAGGGTATCTCCACGGTGTCTCTGGAGTTTATTGAGCAGCAGATTGACTGTTTCACCCTCGACTGAAAGTCGCTCTACGTTGCTCATCCATTCGATGTTAACGCCCTCCTAGACAATCCCCCGCATGTCAGTAGCTATTCATTTGGCAATGTGCACCAAAGACCGGGTCAAGGCAATATACCTGCAGGCACCACATCCCCGAGGTGAACTTCATCTTGGGTTATAGTGGGTGGGCGTCTCAATTGAGGTTCTTGTCTTTGTTTTCGTCCTGTATCTGCTGTCAAGAAGCTACATCGGATATCTTTAATAGCTGGTCTCGAACATCGACTACAACAAAGTGCAGAAGCTGGAGTTAATGGAGGAATGAATGCATAGGTCATACGTTTTTCCACCAGTAAGTAAGCTGACAGACGGACCAGCCTGCTTCATTTGACGCGGAGTATCGTCCGCCATCGCCTGATTCCGAATAGTGCATTTGCTGGCAGAGAGATCTGCTGCTGTTAGCTTGGGGTAGCACATGCGGGGAAATCCTCCGGAGTTATGAAATGCGCAGTTCGGTTTAATGTCAATCGACCTTCCATGCTCACATGGTGGTCGGCTGAATTGGAGATATCCGGCTAAAAGACGGGATAAGTAAAGACGTTGTGTGCTATTGGTTAAGACTGGAGAGTATCAATCCTGCGACATCACAGTAAATGAGGATTTCTATAGGATATGTGAATAAAAATCAATGGATAGTTCAGATCAGCTTTTGCTGTACAAAGATCAGAAATGTAAGAAATATCGCCCGTGGCTTGGGTACAAAATCATCAGGACGTGAATGGGTATCTTCGAATGTTTACATCAAGGGTCGTAGGCCACCACTTCTAGGACTAGCATTGTAACTGAGGCTTTCCGCCCGAGTCCTAGCGCGCGTAGCTTCCGACGACATCAGTCCCTCGCGCGACTCATTGCTAATCCGCGACGGATATCCCGCCGGCGGCGAGTAGGGATGAGGGACGACACTGGCAGGTAGCTCAAGAGACGGAATGGACGCGTCCATTACGTGCGTGGTAGTTGACTCCACCTTCGTGGATGACGGACGAACATGGGATTCCGAGTAGAACTGCTCCAGCTGGGCTGCATCACTGCAGAACTCAACAAGGCCGGCCAAGATGTGCTCCGGGGCGCGATATAGATTTGCAGAATCAATGCTGGATGAGGATAGAGTGAGCGGGCTGCCGATGCTGCTCATGTCAAGAGCTGGCCGGGTGATGGGAGACAGGCGGGGCGAGACGCGGTCAAGTCCATCGTGGTTCGCTGTTCGGCCGCGGAAGTCGGATCGGTTGTGCTCGAAGCGGCCTGCGTCCCGGCTTGCGGTGCCGCGTGTGCTCACTAACCGGTTGGCGAGGAGGAGGAAGTCGCCTTCGTCGGTAATCTGGGCGATGATGCTTCCTGTTCGGTGGATGAATTGCGGGTACTTGTAGTCGGGCTTGCCCCAGGAATATGACACTTCAACGTCTGCTGGGAATGCAGTGCAGGCTTCGAAGTCGAGGACGAAATCAAATTTTCGTAGGATGGCCTTTTGGTAGAAGAGTCGGTCGGGCGGGCCAGGCTGGGCGAATGACGCATTGTTGAACACTGTGTGAAGTGGGCCTTTAGGTGGTGGCACCTTGAGGGTGATCTTGTAGGGTTTTCGGAATGGCTGCGTCTTGTCGATGGCGGCGCCCTCGGCAATAGGTACCTGTACCAGTTTGAGCCCGAATTTATCGGCGGTCGCGGCCCAAGAAAGGACGGTGTCCTCAATCAATTTTGGGGTCGTGCTCATCCAGCTCAGTTCAATGTGGAAGCAGTTCTCCGGATTATGCAGGCGGTCCCAGTGAAGGTCAACTACCTCTGGCCGGTTCGAACGCTTGCGTGGATCGACGTCAAATTTCATGGATTTGGATAGCATAATGGCAACTTTGTTCTTCGACTTGGAAGGAGTAGTGGGTGTCTGCGGCATGCGCTCGTCGATGCTATCCGATCGAGCTTTGAGGCTGATAGGTGAGTCCTTCGAGGTGCCGATGGCGGGCGTCGAAGGCATCGATTTGTCTGTTCGGAGCTGAGGGAACCAGCTACCTCGAGACTCGGGGCGATTGACACGATACTCAGCACAAACTTGATAGAAATAGTTGCCATCTCGGAAATTGTGTCTTTTCTCCACGTGTTGAAACAAGCCATGGTCGATCAGTTCGTTGCCAAATTTGACGGCTTGTTCGCGGGTGTCGATGTCGCGTATATTCTGCAATAACCAGGTGGTGAATTCGAAACCGATGAAGCAGTTGTAGTGTAACCTCCAATGCCACCGTCGATCCATCATTCGTACACCCTTTTCACCTTGGATTATCTGCGCCAGTGTCGAAAGGCTAATGCTGGATCTATCCAGCAATTCCGACTCGGGCAGAAGCTGAGCAGGAGCATTGTCAAGCCCTGGGTCAGTGAGCAACAACCGGTCTAGCTCTGCTGTAACAACTTCCGATGGGTTGCGTGTCTGATACATGATATTCAGAGGATTCTGGTCTCGCTTGGGATTTGACGTCTCGAACAGTTTCTCTTCAGGCGAGACGTATCTATGCTTTTGCCAGATATGGGTCAATTGGCTGATTCCGAGTAAATGAATTTCTTCCTCGTTATCCTCGTGGGAAGTCTGCATGTTCCGCCGCGAATTGCCCTGAAGTTGGAGCGGAATCAAGACATAGCGGACTCTCCAGAAATGCAACTGCTGCGCCGGGTTCTGGAGATAGTCTCGGTGACCGGCCACATAATTGTCGGCATAGTTCCAGTTGTACTCCTCGGCAGTAGAATCCAGCTTGATCTCCTTCACATCATATTCCGGGCTCAATATTGTCTTCATGGCTGGTCGGTAGATAGTGGAGTTTGGCTGCTTGGGAGACATGAGCACCGCAGAATTCTGGTGCGTGAAACGGGTCACTTCAATTTCGCCACCTTGGATGCAAACAAGTCGGTGGATCGTGTTGCCCTTGGAAAGGAACATTGTGAGCCCATCGCGCTCGAGACCTTGGTGATCAAAGACATTCAATGTTTCAAGTGCGGGTTGCGCGGACACTTCGGCCACATGTTTTCCAACAATAATCTGGAAGCCATGTGACAGGCGTAGCGAGATCATTTCTCGTAGAAGTACTCCACGCGTCTTCGGGGCTTCAATGCCTTCGGAATCTTCATTGGGGAAGACACGATATGGCGTTTGGAGGTAGTCCGAGGAAAGCTCACTAGCGGTCGGGAATTCTTCGGTCGTCAATGGAAGCACCGCGGGAGACTTCAGACTTTTCCACTTTACTACGGCCACATGTGGAGGGCGAGGATACGCATGTTGCCAGCGCCCAAACCAACTGGTATCCCGCAGCACGTCTTTCGGGGTATTGCATGGGTTAACCGATCTGACCCACGGGGACAGGGCTTTGCTCGGAGAATGCCGCGTTTGCGACTCGCGTGGACTGGGATTGAGCGTGAATTTAATATTGGGGCTGTTCGGAGCATCTGCCCCCTGGCTCCCAACGATAACATTCCCTGTTGCCCCCGCGGGGAATGATCCGCCAGCAACCGCATGTTCTGTTTGCTCCGGTTCCGTTGGTGGATTTTTGGGTGGTGCCTTGATGGATATTGGTTTGGACGGAGTCTGGGAAGCCTTGGTGGGCGTAGAAGGCGTCGAGATTACCTCTAAAACAGTTGTAGTCGATGCTGATTCTGAGGGGCTCAAAGAAGTGATACTCCTTGCATCAGATATCGAACCGGCAGGGGTTGTCTGTTTCGTCATTGGCAAAGCACTAGCATGTTCCACATTGACTCCTGTGCTTGCCAAGGCCCTTGGAGGAGTAGCACTCAGACCTCGAAGAGCGAAGTTGATGGTCCTAGAAATCCGAGAGGGCTTGGGGGCGGGCGCCTTTTTCAAAGCTGGCTTCATGGGAGACGTGCTCTGGACCGAGCTTGGGCTTCTTGGTGTGGTCATATTTGAATCAATTCTTCGAGGCCCATAGTGCAAAGAATCTTTCTCGTCTGCCGGATTGGTTTCATGATGGCGCAGGCGCGTGATGGAGCGGGCAGATAGCCTTTCGTGAACTCCAGCACCAGCGGCCTGGACTTCCGATTCGCTAGGTCTTTTTGGCTTTAAGGCTCTGTGGACCTGCTTCTTTGGGGATACGCTGAAGACGTGTTCGTCGTATTGATCCATCCATGCCATCACCTCATTGGGTGAGCTCCGCACATCTTTAGTCTGCGAGTCATGCTGCTCTGCGGCCTTTTGAATGAAAGATCTCGGGCGCGGACTATCACTGCCTTGTGCCTTATAAGATGAAGATTCCGCGAACCGGGCTTTAGGGGCAGCACGAGTAGCTGGAGTATATCCAGGCCAAGAACGCGCTCTTGCCCCGCCGCGCCATTCAGTAAGATAGGGGATTGAAATATTGGCTTGTTCACTCTCCATGACTCCCATCATTTGGATCTCATACATGCGCACGCGGGGCGTGAATGCTTTGGCTGGCCGGGTAACAGTAAGAGAGATAGGCGCATTCGGACCTTTCTTCAAGATTCGCCGGTTTTCTCGGTAGGCGTCTGGATTCCAATAAGAAATGTCGAGCCAATGAGGAATTCCAAAGCTCCAGTCTTTGGCTTGGGGCGTCGCTCGTTCCCTCATCCTCGTAGCGGACAAATATGAGCTCGGCGAGAGATATGACGATTTGCTAACGAGGCTTGACATGGAGTGGTGTATTTCGGGAGACATCCTGCCCCTGTGAGCTTCACCCGGTCCAGTCCCTCCTTGATCCCCAGATTGCTGCTTCACTGGCTCCCGGTATTTGAATAGTGGTACAGAATGGAGAGGCATTGGGCTCAAACAGACCAAGTCAATTGCGATGCCTCGATTCGCGAGTGCTTCTGTTGTAGAAGCCAACGACTCGTAAGAGACCTCAAAAACACCGCTACCTGGGGTGATAACGATGATTGAGGTGTTGGTGTGGACCATGTCTCGGTCGATGTGGTCATAAGCTAGGTGAGCAGAGGCAAGATGAATAGCCTCGAGAATGTTTCCACGAAGAGCCGAACTGGGGTGCCCGGAAATGGTCGCCATGTTCGGCTTGGAAGAGGTTGCACTGCCAGGTGCAAGATCAAGATCATCCATTTTGGAAATCGAGACATCTCGCAGGAAAGTCCGAAACTCCCTTTTCAGCTCGTCTAAAATAGTTGTCCAATGGCCGCTGGCCATATCATTCACGACCACCCGATAAAAGTCTCGTGTTGGGACTTTGTTTGGGCCAGATGTGCTGTTGAAGTTCCCAGTACCGAGATTTGAGTGAGTAGGCTGGTGAGACATATCATATTCAACACGTGTAAACAGCACGATGGTCACCAGATGTTTTGCATCGGAGTTGGCCCATCTCTTGAACAGCTCTGGGAGGAAGCCGTTGATAACACGACTGAAAAGAATGTCGCCAGTCCCTTCAGAATCAAAAGCCCACATCTCTTTTGACATTTGAATGAAAAGGACGTATTTGGCGGACTCGCTTCGAAAAATCGGGATAGTGCGTGGAGAAAAATACCCTGAGAGGCATTTCTTTTCCCGGATAAAGATGTTCTTGACAGTGGCTTTAAGGCTCCCCATGAATGTGATTTTCTGACCTTTGTAGATGATTTTATCTGAAAGTTCAGACATGACTAGTCTCCACATGTCGGATCGGACCATAAATTGGTCACGAAACGCGATGTCGACATGGGAGGCCGCGCATTGTTCTCGATCCACAATGGATAATACCACTTGCGTTCTGTTCTTGAAACCGAAGATGCTTGCAATGTTGTTGGTCACTGAGATTTCTAGCTGAGGATGACGAGCCTTGATATCCGGGGGGAGGGCCTTCACCACAAATAGACAGCGGTTCTGAAGCGGGGTCTTGAATTTCGAGGTGCTGTCCACCTGGGTGGCCGCATTTATTTCGCCATGGCTCTCACGAGCTGCCTCTGGCTTCAGATTTGAATAGCCGGTGTCGCCGGACGCCCTTGCGGGCAGAATCTCGACAACATCCCCAACTCGCACACCACTCTCGCCGAAAGCCGCCGGATTTAGCAAGATCTCTTCACGTGAAAACATCTCATCGTGCACCCAGAGCGCACATTGCTGCCGGGTCCAGCTTGACGAAGACATTCTGGCAGTCCGCTCATCTGTAGATTGATCGCGATCATGGTCGCGATTTGATGTCTCCAATGAGTGGGTGGAGCTGCTGTCCAAGCTCGCCGCACTCACTTGCCTCAGATGCGAACGCCGCATGGGCCCCCGCAAAGACATTCTTGTATCCCTTTATCCCGTCAATTCATCGAAATCAGTTGATTTCAACATCTGATATCAGAATGTGTCCATGAGTTCTTGCGAGAGGTAGCTTCCGCAAAGGGGCGATGCCGCGATACGATGATCACGTGGACTCGAGATCACGTGATACTCTTGTCCTTTCCGTCCAACTACTTGCAATGGACATTTATTGTAACGGACAAACAGTACTTACAATAAATATTTAACATAGAAGCTGTGATTTTGGCCAAAAATCTAGCGTCAAGAAAAGCAAACATGATTTCATTCTGACGAAGTACGGAGCACTCAAGGTACGCGTCGCTGAGAGCTCACGCTACGAAGATTGACTGAGACAGCAATCATATAGGTACATCGGTCGGGTTATCGACTGAATAAAGGAGGTCAAGATAAATTTATGGTCATGGATCAGGTATCTCTTCATAACTATTACTTGTGTGTTTTGTCGGATTTACTAAATTACTTCGGGCACGTAAGCCACGTCTGTGATCCCAACAAAAATCCAGACCAAATAGGGAGAGAAATTTGTCGTAGTCAAGACAGCAAGGAGAGGAGGCGAGATAATGGGTAGATTGCGGCAATGCCAAGTGACAGAGTCGCACTGGTATGTTCTGTTTTCCGTCAGGTTAGCTGTTCATCATTCTGGACTCCGGGTCTTCCATGACAAGGCCAATTCATTAGCCCATTTCGATTCAACCATCGAACTATCCCAGGCCATTGGATTTGCGTTGAAAATCCCACGCACTGACACGCACTTAACGGAGGCGGAGAGGCTAGAGCCAATTTGGCACTAGCATGACCTGAGAGGCAGATCTCGTCGCGACTTCATTATTTGCTGTTTGGTATGGAGTATGGACTTCCATTGGCGACGGAAAACAATGGAAGGCGATCATGCTGTCAGTTCCAATGTCCGTGCTCAATGCCAGATCAAGCTCGAGGATGAAGTTGGTCATTCCATATTATGACCAGATTGATAATCATTAATCAAGAATTTGGCGAATTTTGAAGGCGGAGAACCGACATAATCTCGAGGCCTGGGGGTTCTCGAGGGCCCAAGGAAGGCTAATTGGTTTGATGCCGTCCGGAGTTGTTTTCTGGGAAGATCTGAGATGTCCTCAACCCAATCTGGACGTCACCTCTTTTGTTTTCTTTTTCTTTGTGTTCCCTCCCTTCACAGACCATCCTTTCTCCAGCCACGATTGACTCGTCATGGAGTTAATTTTCGAAAAGTACTATCAGAAGCTGGTCTGCTTGTTCTTGGATCACTAACAGAAGATGTGAGCATCGGGCGCGGTTGTGAAAGTCCAACCCTCTCTTCTCACCTGCCACCTTGAAGCGTGGAAATCATCGTTTTCCATGATTGTTCAGAGTGTCCTGGCCACGTGTCAAACCACATGCATGTAGCCATGAGGCCAGTCTTCCGGAGCCTAGCGGCTTTGGCTGAGTCCTTGTCGTGGCAACTGACCGTACTGCGAGACCGCGGATACTGCTCCCGGTAAAGTCCGATGCCTCAAAAGCAAGCACAAACCAAAGAAATGCGACCGGTCATTCCCATGACCCTCTGGGCAAAATGTCCCTTTCATGTTCACCAATACCTGTGGCTGGAAGCACAGTTTGCAGTCAAATTCGAGAACTGTCGGTTCACCTCACGGCATTCGTTTTCAATGTTGCAGCATCAAACTCAAATTGTTGAGTTTTGTTGCGGATGCCAACACGGATGGGATCTTTCGTTGCTCCATCTGTACAGTGCGAGGTCCTCCTTCCATTCAGTTTTCGTGAATAGAGGTCAAGTTATGTGTGCTGCTGATGATGATGACAACTCTATTAACCCAATGCAGCCCAGCTAGTGCGCAGTGGCTATGTAGGCGCTGCCTCCGGCGGAAGCAAAGAGCTAACCGAACGCCCTCCAGGATAACGGATAATCAATGCAAAGGAAAGCGGTGTTCTGCCGAACCAGTGCACCTCACAACGAACCCAATGCAACCGAACACCCGCTACCGCCGCTTCCCCAAACCAATGCGCCTCACAGTCAACCCGATATAACCGAACGCCGGCTACAAAGATACCCCACTGATCTTTTCCCTCGGATTGCCCTCCGTATCCCCCACGCATCTGTATCAACATCTTCCGTCTGCGGCAGCGTTGTAGCTGCTTGCGCCTTTTGATTGGTGTGTTTCCTGGCCATGCAAACTAGCCAAATATTCCAAAATTGGCCAGTTGGAGTGGCGTGTTCAGTTGTAGTCGTCCCAGAACGTCTCGGGTTGAACTGGGGTTTGGCGGTTATATTGCACATCGTCTTCGCCGCCTATTTCCCTGCCAGATTCGCTGTCTCTCGCGGTTGTTTCGTTGTCTTCTGGCTCTGACTCGACTTTTGCTAGCGGAATTGGTCCAGGAGACCTGTTTGCAACATGATGGTTATGTGTGCTGTGTTTCCTCCCTGTTTCGCGTCGAGACTGGCTCGTGTTTCGAGTGGATGAATCTCTGGTGCGAAGGGCAGATCTAAGATACCGGGGAAGATGTTCTGAAATCGAGTCCTCGAAGGTCTGCGAAGACTTCATAACGTTGCGGTGGGATTCACATGCCAAACACGGACCGAGCCACTGAGGTATTTACAAAACATGACCGGGTCTTCTGTGACCCCGGCGCGAGTCGATGCCTATTGTTTCTTATTGCTGATGCTGTCAATTACCACAGGATCCCCATCATGATATTTCGGGGGGAAACTAACCGCGCGGCGTTACCAATCCATGAAGAGTGGTCTACGTGATAGAATCGGATCTCCCAGATTGGAGACGAACTGGACCCCTCGACCACATGGTCACCGAGTTAAAACTTCGAAGGGGTTAACCGGGCAACAGACTTTCCTCTGCAGAACAGTCATTCGCTGAACAGTGAGCTTGTGTGCAGAACAATACGCGTGAACTTCAAGTTGGCAAAAGTTGGGGGCGTGGAGGATATGCGCGGCTTCCCCGTCTCGATGGCACATGATGGTCGGATCCAAATGAGGCATGTCGAACGGCATGAAGACAATGTGGTTGGAAGAAAACTCTGAACATTTGACTCAGACATGCTTGCTAAGTCAGAAGCCCCAGTGCTTCTAGTGTTTGAAACAGACAGAAACAACTCCCCTCGCGCTTTACGACGGGTGTTGAAGAAAGAGAAGGCTTAAGTGTTGGAAAGAATATTCCACGCCGAACTCGGGTTGGCAGTTTGATCTGCAAACCAGTTTTGTTCCATGAACGGAATTATCTCGGGCTCCTGAGCCTGTCTTAATCAAAGGCCAGATCGTCGAAGGTCAATGATCTGAAAGCCACATCATGATCCAGGGCTAGGATATCTGATTCTCGCGGTTCAAAAGATGCAAAGTGCAGTGTCTCCGACGGGTCTGTCCTCGGTACAGGAATACTCGTTTCCAAGCTGCCTCTCAGTTTTCAGAGATGCTACTAGATCGGTGCTTAAGTCTTCAATTCTGAGGCGAAGGGAACACCTGAATGGCTTTTTCAACTTATACAGACTACAGACAGCATTGACTAGGCCCAGTCATCGCTGTTCACTGTGTATAAAACACAACACAACGCTATCCCTGCTGCTGCATGACCAGTCATTTCGCAAACGCAAACCTGAGATCGAAACTGAAAACAAAAGCATTCTATCAGCCATAAGTTGCATCTTCATCTTCGTCCCTTGGGCAATAGATGGTTCGGGGACAGTTCTAAATCCAAAAATACCAAAACGTGAAGCCGAAAGGTTGGTTAAGACTTACCGCTTTGTCGGTGGCGAAGCAACCGGCAAAGAGCTCCAGCATACCACAGGGCGCCATTTGGGTCATAGTGAACTTGGGAATATCCACACTAGAGTACTAAGCGCTAATAACCCTTTCATTTTATTCTGCTCCGGCAGCTCCCCTCAAATCGTGCCAAGGGGGTATTTTCTTCCTTTCTTGGTGGTGGCTGTCACTTACATTGTGGCTGATGATCGATGTTCCGCTAGCGTCTCACCAAGTTCCCTGTTTTCATGCTCATATCCTCCTTTTGAATGAATATCTGGCAACGATATGAGTGGGAACTTCGGTAGCCCCGCGCATTCCGAATACCCGAACCCGGAAAATGAATCGGCATTCAATTATGACTGGGCCGTACCTGCTCAACCACAACCTTCTCCCTTCGAATTCACAGTCAATGCTCAAGCTATCCCTGTTCCTGGTGACCCCTTGGCGACCAGCATAGGCAGCGTGAATGCCAAGGTTCCCATTCCCCGCAGCGCACAAGCCAGTAGCTGGATTAGCAGCGGTCGAGTTAGTCGAGCTTGTGAAAACTGCCGTGATCAGAAAATCAAATGTAGCGGTCATCGCCCGGCCTGTCATCGGTGCCAGGATGCCGGGGTCAGCTGCTCATATGGCGACCGGAAGAAGGAGAAGATGTTGAAGTGGGTAAAACTCTTCCCAGTTCAAAATATTCGGTCTAACGGAAGGTGATATAGGCAACTGCAGGAACTCACTGCCCGAGTTGAAACCCTTGATGCTTTGCTGCGCAATCTCTATCCCAGGCTCGATGCCTCATCAGCCCAACAAGTGGACCAAACACTGAGCGAGCTGGGCCCAAACACTGAGCTCGGTAAAGGCAACACCCCTGCTTTACTTACCACCCCATCAACCAATATACCTTACTTAAGGATTCTCTCTTCTCGTGCAAATCCTAGCCCGGGGGCACTCTTTCCCGGGATTGGAGATTGCTCCGAGGAGGATTTCGATGGCGATAAGAAAGTGCAGGCGATGGGATTTGTGGGCGAACACTCGGAGATGTCATGGCTGTATAGGCTCAAACGCGGTCTTGATGATGACAGTTCAAAAGCAACCAAACAGACACCTATGCGACCTTCAATGTCTTCCGTGAACTACTTCCAGGACGATTCGGATATTTTAGCTCTGGGCGATATCGATATTGACCTCACATGCCGACCTCCACAACACATCGCCAACAGACTTGTGGATGCTTACTTTCAATTCGTTAATCCTACGTTTCCGATAATTGGGAAGGCCATTTTTCTGAATCAGTACCGGTCCTTTTATGCGAATCCGAACGTGCGGCCTGGCAAGCGATGGATTGCAGTGCTAAATCTGGTGTTTGCCATTGCGACGAGACACTCACTTTTGATTGATCAGCCCCAGCCAGACTGCGATGATCATCGGACCTACTTTGCGCGGGCATGCAAGCTCAGTGTTGAAACTTCCCTGCTAGGTCAACCGGACTTGCAACAGGCCCAGGTGGAGGGCTTAGCTGGTTTTTATCTTTTGTCGGTTGGACAAGTCAACAAGTCAGTTTCCAACCTCCCACCGCTCTTTCGCTTGCTATTTCATTTGTATTCTAACATGTCCGATTGCCTATTTAGATCATGGAGAATTGTTGGAACTGCGATACGGTCAGCGGTGACCATGGGTCTACATATTCGAAGCGAGAGCGACAGCATCACACACCTTGCGAAGGAGCTTCGGTATAGGATTTGGTGGGCGCTGTTCATGCTGGACATTGTGTTGTGTGAGATGACAGGTCGCCCACCTAGCACAGAGGACATTTTCTGCACCACGCCCCTTCCCGTGCCCTTCCCGGAAGAAGACTTTTGGGATGAGCGTGTCGTGCAACTTATTAGCGATCAAGAGACTCGAAGTGCTTTGTTCACATCTTTGCTTTTTGACATCCCAGCTTCGCCAAAAGAGAACCCGACTCTCAAAAGCTCCGCAAGAGATGAACCAGGCAAGGGCAAAGAAGAAGACACGCGTAATCAGACAAGGACTGCTATTCCGACGCCTAACACGTCCTTGTACTTTTTGTACGTACTGGATCTAGCCTGTCTCTTACGGGAGGCCATTAATATCATATATGCCCCGGGATCAACACGGCAATCATGGCACGAGGTCGAAGCCGCCATTTCCACATTAAACAATCATGCTGACAACTGGTTGTCTCGCCTCCCCCCGAGCTTCCATTTCACAACGCTCGGCACAACTCAGCCATTTTTACAGCAACGTGCCAACCTGGCCTTCCGGTTTTACTCCACAAAGCTGATAATCCTACAGCCCTGTGTGCGTCGTCTCTTCCAACTGCGACAAGAAGTATCATCCCCAGGGACGGTGTGCGACCAAATGGCAGCCATTTGCGTTCACGTGGCAGGTCAAATGCTCAACTTACTGCCCGGAGAGACAGACTTTACATGGCTGTACGGTGTGGCTCCGTGGTGGTGCATCGTGCACAACATCATGCAGTCTATTACCATTCTCCTCACTGAACTGTCCACACGCGCTCATCCGAGCACCACCCCGGTCGCTGATATCACATATCAAATCAGTAAAGGAATTCGCTGGTTGAAAGATATTTCTTCCAAAGACCCTTGCTCCCAGCGAGCCTGGCATGTGTGCATGGGAATCATCTCACGGCACGGCTCGAAGTTCGAGTTCTACGACCCCGTACTCTAGGTACTGGATAACACCCGTTTTCTGCAATGCGTTTTGTGTAGCAGTGGGAATTTGTCTATACCACCCGGATTGATTGGTGGGAATGTCTTTTAAGCGAAGCATTTGTTTTCTTCTCCCTGCTGTGTTTGGCGACATAGAGAATTCTCATCCTTTTATCCTTTATCTCATAGATTTTCCGCTTTCATGTGTTTGGACATCTCTTTTATCGGATCTTTCAATCCCAGTCTCGCTTTATAGATGTCAATACAAATACTGAGCGGATTATGCCTCCATTCAGCAGCTTCGCTGTCTGTCAGGTCATGAAAATATTCCCCCGCCCGCGCTGCCTCTAGGCATCAATCAGAATTCGTGACATGTGTACAGATTCTCCGCCTCATTGAAGAACGTATCAACAGGATGCAACAGCCCGAGATCAATATCCGACTGTGCCAGGAAATCCTGCATAGTTGGCTCCAAAAACGCCATTTCCGTCGTGTAGCCGCCAACAGCCTCCCTCGACGGATAGACATACGCATCAATTCCATGGCCGTGAGTCTGGGCAGATGTAGCTGCAGAAGTGATCATATCATTCGTCGCCGACATCACCGCGGGGATAGAAGCAGGCGCCGATGCAGACAAGTTCAGCGACATGGTATTCACAGGCGTATCAGTTACATTTATGACTTCCGGCGACGACCCTCGCAGAGCTCCTGCTCCAACGGAAGCATTGTCATTTGCATTCGCTGTAGTATGACAAGCAACGCCCCCACCAGCACCAGTCCCGTCGCTCGTCCTCGCCGCCCGGTACGCATCTAGACAAACCTTCACCTGCTCGAGATTATGGTAGAATTCCGCAGCAGCCAGATTGCCATTTTCAGTCATGGATCGCAGCAGATCCAGCCCGGAATCGAAGCCTGTCATGTCGGTTGGACTGCCGATGGGGACGAAGCTGGACATGGCCAGGATGAGCGCTGAGGAGAAGAGATAGTGGGCGTGGAAATAGCCGAAGGTCGGCATGGAGCCGTTGATCCATCTTGTCAGGATCATGGAGTGGGAGTGTCGCGCTGCGTGGATGCATGCTTCGCTTAGTGTTAGAACCGGTTGCGATACGGATAGGGATTCGGGCTCGGTCTCGGCGCCGCTGGTAGTATTCAGGTTCGTGTGGGTTTTGTTCGATTTACTCAGTGTCATCAGGAGGTGTAGCAGCGTTGGGCGTGTAGTCAGGATCACGCATTGATTGAAGGCCATGTGCAGGGAGACGACGGGTTTCTTGCTCGATTCCAGCTCTTCCATGTTCAGTCGGAGGGATTCGGGGAGCGTTTCTACCCAGTTTTTCAGGGCTTTGAGGAGTTTCTGCACGCGTTGCAGGAAGGTTTCTTGGTATTTCCGTCGGCTGTATAGTTTTGTGATTGTTTCGCCGACTATACGTGCCAGCTTGATGTTGGCGGTCATGTACTCCGTATCGGAAAGTTCTTCTTCGTGGCGCCGGCGTGGGGAGATGGTTGATGGCATGTCGACGTGGATATCTTCATCGAGGATTTGCATCGGGAGACCCATTTTGGATCCCCACATTCGGTCGAAGATGTAGATTGTCCACCATATTTGGATGCGGTGTTGGCGCTCAACAGGGTCAATGAGCTGGGACTCCGGGATATTGTGGTTCAATCCGATTGTCAGGCCCATTCGCATAGCATTCCCGATTAAAATGTATGCGGAGTGACGTCGGTTTAGATAGTAAGAAAAGAGAGACTGGGAGTATGGTCAGCATTGCGATGTCGATCGATCATACATTCTGAGCTACATACCAACAACAGCAATGTTTCCAAGTGTGTGACGCTCGTTCTCTCCGGCAAGATCTGCACTAACCCCATTGCTCGAGCAAAGTACGACGTGCCAGGTACTCGGGAGCCAGAATTGGGCTCCGATCGAATTGAGTACGCCTGTCCAAAGGCGAACAGAGCGAAGAATTTGCACTTATTAGCCGTGTTGTCAAAATCTTGCGTCTGGTAGATCTCTTCCAGTTTATCTAGCGTGGATTTGCGCATCATGAGGTGGTACAGATGTCCGATCTGGTGAATTGCTATCCGGACCAACAACCGAGCATGATGAAGGCTCGGCCATTGGATATCGGCTTCGTTCGCTGCTGCAATCGTCTCTTCGCGTTCGTACTGTGTTCGGGGAATATGTGGCATTGCGCTATTTCCCGATAAGAAACGCCGAAAGCGCGTTGCGAATGCCGAACATGCTGCTTCGCCGATGTAGATGGGTGGCGAGGAAGGATCATATCGATGGAACCAGGCTCGATCTCCAATCAGCGGGTTCTGTATGCCGGTTCCGTCAGAGGAATCGGGTTGCCGTGAAGGGCCTCTATTTTCCAACTGTCAGTATGTTTGGCGTTGGCGGGGGTGTCAATGATCACCTTTGCACGGTGTCGCTGATCTCGGCAACTTGAGCCGAGGCGATCGACCGTTCCTTCAGCAATTGATTTTCTGCAAGAAGTTGATCGAGATAGCTGATTGACAAAGATTAGCTTTTGACTAACATGCGCGATCGACAAGCTTTTTCAAGGCATTGGCACAATGGTGGCCCAACTTGTGGAGTTGTGGCTTGCTTACTTTTCGCTGACCTTCACCTGGCGATCCCGAGTAGCATAGGCGCATTCAGCTGCGACGCCCACCGCACGGCATTTGATACATGGCTGGTCTCCGGAACATTTAATTTTATGTGAGTGGCATCTCTGACAGCTGGTGTTTCTGCGTGTCAGTGCTCGGTGCTTTCGGCCGGAGGGGTTTCTGGGACACGCACGCGACGAATTTCCTTCTTTGTGATTCCTGTCCTTGTTGCTCTGGTTCTTGTGTAAGAGCACGTTTTCGGGCTCGTGGCATCTTAACAAGCCCTCTTTATGTTCGGGTTTTCGCGTCGGGCAAAGAATCGCAGATCTTTTGGTGGTTTTGCGGCTTGTCCTGAGGGTTCGGCGATATTGAGGTTGTCACCGAGCCCAATTTGACTAATCGGTTGCTGCCCCAGGCAGGATACCTCACTCGACGCAAAAGTAATAATAGTGAGGATTTGCTGGTGACCACCTAACTACATATAGGACTCGGCCTCTCGATCTTCTTCTTCCCAGTCGAATTCAATATCGGACAAAAACACATCGCTCTCACTCTTCTGGTTTTGTATTCTACGAAGCTATCCCCGCGTCAACTTAGGTCACGTGCCTGGATATCATTCAACTCTTCAGCAAGTTCAGCTATGCGAAAGCCTAGTGGTACAGAGAAAAATATGGCCCAGGTGGATGTTCTGACGATATGCATCAAATCGTGCAGATAGGTGGATATGCAAAGTATCTGGACCGGCACTACCAAATACCAATGCCCCGTTTCAGTTGTGACGGACATTAAGGGGCCCGTGGGGAACCCCGAAGAGGGGGAAGGACCCCTTCCAATATCTCTGCAACCCTGCATTTTTCCACGAGTAGGAAAAACGGCAACGTTTGAGACGTGCAGCAAGGTCTACTAGTCATCATTCAGTGGCCTTTACCCCATAAAACTTCAATCCCATGTGCAGTTGGCAGTCGGACCGACCGACTCGGATGGGTGCCGGCTGAGTGGGGAAGGTGAGCCCCGGAGGCCGGAGCTGAGTCCTGATCAGTGATAAGGGCCAATTTAGCTTCTTGATATCACATTGCAGAGCGGGGAAGTGTTGTTGCACGGTAATTGAGACCGATTACTGAGCTCTACATCTTAGGTGTTTGGCGATGCCTTCGGACCTGCGTTCACGAGGGAAGCTCCCCGGAAAAGGCTGCCAGCTTCGCCTGGACTATCACCCAATCTCAAAGACACGCTGGACCGTGTTTACCGACTTCCTCTACTTTCATATACTCGATCTTGTCCTTCTATCATAACCCGAAGTTATATCAAAGTCAGTCGGGAGAGAGCTGGAGGCCGGGGTGATGTAACCCTGTAAGGCTGTTTCCACGAATGGTGGCTAGTTGATCAATAGCCGACTCCTGCATGAAATTTAGAACGTTTCGACAATGCAACTCCACCAATTAATTTACCTAATGCACCTAACTACACTGTGCTTGTTTCAACTACTTACGGAGGAATTGTTCCCTACTGCAGAAAGACTTCTCACGGTAGCATTTGCCTAAGATCATGCTACTACGGTTCTATTCCCTTTTATGGAAAGACCACGAAGATCTCCAACATGTTGCTACCACCTGTCCAATGAGCTCCATTGGCACATCGGTATGTTGTGCTCAGGTCCATTGCTTCCCTAGGCGCAGGCGAAGTCCTGGGAGGTCCAATCTTCTATAAAAGGCCGTCAATCCGCTGTAAATTGGCCACATCAACAATCAGCTCTCCACCTTCTACCAAGATGTTCAGCAAACTCAACTCAGCAGCGCTGCTGGCCCTCGGCCTTACAGCCCAGGCTTCCCAAATCTTCAGCAACACCGGCACAACTTCCGGCTGGGACTCCACCAACAAAGAACACTCCGGCACTGTGCAACAAGTGACGAACGTTGCCTACGAAGGCTCAACCGCCCTGAAGATGACCCAAATATACGACTCCAGCTACACAGGCCGGTATCACTCCGAAGTGGTCAAAAACAACGTCTACAAACGCGGCGACACGGGCTTCTACGGCTTCGCCTTCCGTCTGCAGGACGACTGGCAATTCTCCCCAGCTCAATCATACAACATTGCCCAATTCATCGCCGACTTCGGCGATACCGGCTGCGACGATTTCATGCCATCTAGCATGGTATGGCTTGTCGGTGACCAGCTCTACACCCGTGTGAAGCAGGGTAGTATCTGCGCGCAGAAGACTAAGACTTTCTCTAACCTGGCCACTGTCAGTGCGGGCGAGTGGCACAAGGTCGAGATTCAGGCTACTTGGGCGTCAGATGGCACTGGTCAATACAAGTTGTGGTTGGATGGAAACAAGGTGTTGGATGAGAGGGACCTTGCGACTACCATTGACGATGATCGGGCTTTCCAGTTCCGCGTTGGCATTTATGCCAATGGCTGGCATGATGATGGCGGCATGAAGGGCACGCAGGGAACTAGGCAGATCTGGTATGATGAGATCGCTGCTGGAACTACGTTTGCCGATGCGGATCCCGATCAGTGGTGATTGTGATTGACTCGGGTGGGAAGTGGAGAGTTGACTCTGTCTGTTTTCTTCATGTTATCCATTGGACCATGCTGGATCCAAGGAATGGCAGTGGTAGCATCGTTTTGTTATCCGGAATCGAATGATGTCTAGGTAGTTTTACAGAAGATCACCAATATCGCCACCGACGTTACCCACACTGAAAGAATAATGCAAGAATGCAACATCAAACCTTCTTCCGCCAATATCAAAGACTGCCCCAATTACAAATTTCATGCAGCGGGATAGGTAGTCGTCAAAAGGAAGGTCTTCCTGACTGGGCGAACAAGAGTAAATAGACTTTGGCTTTCCTATGAATACACGGGATGAACAAAGCCATCTGCAGGCACTTGCAGTGTGTTATGATTGGTTTGTTTGTGTTGGGTTCTAACTGACCTCGACAGCTCAATTCGAGCTGGGTTAAGGTAGTTACCTAAACTAGTGACTAGTGATATGCTGATTCGTATGCCTGAAGCACCTCCTTCGCTGAAGAAAACTTTCCCCTCCAACAGGCTAGAATGATATCACCGCCGTAGATTTGAGTCACTGCAGGAAACACGCGTTTTTGAAACCGTCTCCCAACTTCTCTGTCTGCGTCATCTTTCCGCTGGAGTCGTGCACGTACAATGGCGGGGTCGTGAGATTGGGCAATTTCCTTTGGCTCGACTGGGTAGAGTTCAGCGAAGGGGACTTTGCCAGTAACAAGCTCAAATAAAGTGGAGCCCAGGGCGAAGATATCAGACATCATCGTATTAGGTTCTTCGGTGTCCCTTGGCAAGCAATGTGTTGCTTGTTCGTACCCAAGCGCGGGATGCCCAGGATATTGGGATGCGGTAAAATCGCCAAGGTGAAGATTTAGCCCATCATCAACGAAAAATTGTCGTAATACAAGATCAGAGTGAATCACTCCATATTGGTGAATCGCCACGACAGCCTCGATTATTTGTTGGAACCATCTTGATTGTAGTTCCGCTGAGGCCTTATATCTCTGGGAAAATTCAAGAAGATGACCATTGGGATAGTGCTCGGCCTCAACGAGGTCCATCCGTCCTCGGGAGATGCACCGGGCGATACGAGGATGGTCTTCCAAAATTCTGTAGATAATTGCCTCGCGAAGGACCGGGTGCGCTTCATCGTCGATTGGGCCAAGACTAAGAGGTATCTTTCTGATAGTCACACCATTGACTAGATAAACTTTGACAAAGATATCAATCATAATGAGCTCTTCATTGCTCTGGTCTTAGGCAGTAGGGTCATGTTTATTGGGTGTGGTACGATGTTGTTGGTGCTATAAGCTGGTCAGAGAAAGGTTTCAGCAGGCTTGAGTTCGGAGAGGAGACTTACGCCATTAGATCTCTCGACGCGAAATGGAAACATCTCTGGACACCAAGAGCAATGCCCAAAGGATGAGAACACAGGAGAAGAGTAGAGGATGGATTGAGAGACAGTAAGAGGTAGTTTTTTAAAGCAGAGTCCTGCCCAAGTAAGTAAAATAGCTGCACATGTGACTTCGCGTGATATTTCTTGACAGATGACATCACGGAGGAGTCCACGATGCGTACGCGTCCCTAGTGGTAAGGTAACTGGTATTTGGTAACTGGTTGGGAACCTCGTCTCGAGCTCCAGGTCTAGAAGCAACAATCCTCCATCGACTGGCTAACGATGAAAGAGATCACGGGCACAAGTTGCAATAATCCCTGGTCAACTGGCGAGCTAATAATATGTCATCGGTCCAAGGCTCATTCGACCATGATCTAGGGATACAAAAGACAGATAATATCACCAGCCATATATATCTATAAGCCCGACTAGATCAAATCATGGGTCCAAGACAAAGCTTTCAGCTTCCGGTTACGGCAAGCTGTGATGAACACGGGCATCCATGGAACTAGGACTGGGAGGGTCGTCACATGATGGGAGGAACTGACTGTGGTGCTACTTATCTCTTTCTTCCTCCTGTTTCTTTTCTCTTTTCTTTTCTCTCCAGTCTTGTTGTTCTAGCAAAAGGAATCGATTTATTTCTGATAACCTTGATCATAACACAAGCAGCCCAACCACGTCAACAAGTCCGACTGACTCTATACCTTCGATTTCGTCCGTCCCATCCCTCTGGATCATCTGTTTGGAGAGGGAAAACTTCCAGCATCGATATACGATCCGTACTTTTTTGGATACAATCAGCCGTCTCTTGCTGGTCGAGATGGCTGTCGTTAATACCTCGCCTACTTTCGTGCCAGGCCAGGGGCGAGCAGTATACCCAAGAATCCTTCGACGGTGTTGTGCGAGTTCTCTCTGCAACGTTGACAAAGGGCAAGGTCACAATTTCTGGTCATTGGACAGTTTTAAAGTCCGGACATGTCTACACCTACTCCTACCTGCTCAAGTCCGCTAGTATCGAGGATATCACCAACAAACAGTGGAATGAGGACTCACGTTATCTCCAAAAATGGCATCGAATACTATATCATCCAAAAGACAAGACAGCGTCTGGAGCTCATGAAACAGCTGCCCGTGGCCACCTGCTGTGAGCTCAAACTGCGGGAGCTCGAAGCAAAGCAGAAGGAACGCCAGTGAGTCTATGCAGTGCCCAGGCTATTCTATTTATAACTGATCCAATTTTTGCTACCTAGGAAGTGGATGAAGGAGAACCCTGGACTGCCTTGGCCCGTGGCTAAACGCCTTCACGGGCTGCGGGAGATCCAGGAAGCGCTTGCGACGGGACTGGGCCGGTATCCGAAGGAGTCCAGTGATGGGGACAAGGCCAAGCACGGATCATGTATCGAGTAGGACTTGGCGAGCGATCCTTCTTGCGACGGCAACTTCCAGCGATATGTGGAATGGCGGGGATGGGGGAGAAGCTGCCGGGAAAGAAGCTGCCTCAGGATATGGCAGCTTCAGAAGAGGTGCCATGAGCAATTGACGGCTCGGTATTCGCAGCTTCAGTCAGTCGGTGGACTGTAGGCTCGAGTAGGCAGATCGAGCCTGTTCTCTCGGCTGTGTGCACAGTACAGGGATTGAACATCTGCCGAGTATTGCACCGAGAAAACTTGTCGGCAACGGCTGGTGGGACATTTGTGAAACGTATGTACTTCACCACGTCGGTTGTGACTTGGTTGTCTCTGATAGTCTTCCGCACGGCATTCTCCGTCAACCCGGTGGCTTGGGCTGTGTCGTTGGGCAGCGCCGCGAAGCACTCGATGTCTGCGTGCTCGACGTCCGAGGTGCCCGAGTCATCATACATTGTTGGAAGTTTGGTCTTTGGGGCCGACGTGAAATTTTTTGAAATTTTTTTGAAAGGGAATTCTCGAGGAGAGAAGGTGCAGGCATCCACGATCCCGGCGGCCAAAACTACCACAGTATACCTATCATCTTAAGCTACATGAATCGGATAACATGTTGTACTAAGGAGTGGCATCTCTGATAAGCGGAATCTCCCAGAGTCCCCTCCGCTCCTTCCTTATTTCACTGGGCAAGAAATGTCACGGGCTAGGCACCTTCCTCATCAGACCTCTCTTTCCCTTATATTTCCCCTCCCCTCTCTCTTCTTTCTTTTTCTCGTGTCCCTTCCCGCTCATCTCTTCGTTCTTCTTCTCGTATCCCTTCCCACTCATCTCCTCTTTCACTCTTCTAAACAGTATTGCCTTCATCCAATTGATAAGGTAAGGATGACTGATTACTCCAAACCTTAACTATCCGAAACTTACTAAGCCCATATACACAGTAACTAAGGGCATGACTGCAAGGTGAATGTTTTCTTCACCATATCCGGTTTGGCCCTGTGGAGCGCGACGCCTCTAGTTGAACCCCTGCTAATCAATATTCAGTTGCTATGTCCACCGACTCAGAGAAGATCACTGCGTGCGTCAACGCTTTGCGCGATGTCATTCGCACGAACTTTATTCTCGTAGGCGGCGCTGCCGCCAACATGCAAGGCCACGACCGAGTCACACAAGATGTCGACATTCTGATCCGCGACCCGGCAATTCTACACGATCTCAAAGATTTCGGCGGCTTCAAGTTGGTTGAGGGAAAGTTGCATTATGCTACGGTTCCAATTGATTTTCTGACCACCGTTGTCGGAACGCTCTCCTATGACGAGGTTGAGCAAGCCGAGGCAGTTGAATCCATCCAGGGCATCCGTTACCTAAAGCCGGACTTTGCGCTAGCAGCCAAAGTGAGGTGTGCATATCTTCGGCAGGAAGATGAGAACGGGCTCAGCAAGCGACACTCTGATCTTGAGGACGCAGTCTTCTGAGCTGAGAAGCTTGAAGAAGCCGGCCAACAAATTTCTGACGCCTGCGCCAAACTCCTGCCGGTCAGCTACTATCAAGTGATCATGGTAAGGACGTATATGGAACCCGAAGATTTTCAGAAGCTGGTGCACGTAGGCCTTAGGAAGCTCCTCCTCCCATGGGAAGAGAACTCGGCAGAGCTACGTGAATATTATTTGTGCTTTGCTGCAAAATCGACCGATCCTTTTACGGTGGAGTTGGAGGATGAGGAGGATGAGGAGGATGAGGAGGATGAGGAGGATGAGGATGACGATAATGATAAATCTGCTTAATGAAGATGCTACGTGTGCTTGTCAACAAGGCATGGTTCGTGTGAGGGCATGGAGATGGGAGAGGGAATAAACAGATATTCCGGAAGAAAAGATTGGCGCCGGCAGTTAAAGACACCGCCGGGAGAGACGCCGCCTTCCAAAATACTTGAGTAGTCGTTACCACTTTAGTTTTTAGAGAACACGAAGAATCGTACCCATCATTGCTTTTCCATCGCTACATCGTTTTTCTTTCATCAAGAATCGAGCAGTAATTCGCCTAGAGAGAAGATCGTAGCTGAGTGGCGAGCCGAGCACCGCCCAGAGGATTCTACCAGGTCCGAAGGCGACTGGACACTCCACTCTCTTCTTTCTTTTCCTCCTCAGTCCATCAGTTAGCATCAATACAACTGTATTTGCTGCATCCTTCCTGCCTCCTCCGCTGGCAAACCCCAACGAGCTCAAAGCTCTCCAATCCCGTTTCCGATATCATCCCCACCAGATATGGCAAATGGCTGATTACGTCGCCGATCGACCTCTTCAAGAAACCTCCGCATGGCCCCTTTATCACATATCGGAATCTCTCGAGGAGCAGAGAATCAGACACTGTATCACTGGCGATGTTATCATTGGGACCCTAGGCTATCCCTTAGTCATTTGCGAATTTTATCTTGCGGTTGCAGACGAACAACTTGAAGATGCCCGCTCTGTCGTTCTTCAGCAAGGATTCCGAGCATCCCTAGGCCGTGACATATATGTGGATAAGCATGCTAGGGTTTCCCCTCTAGGCTGGCCAGGATACAGACTGGTGATGCCTTCCGCATCTCCCGTCTTCCCGGGGGTTATGCTTGTTCCCGCGAGTTTCTGGCATATGGATCTCTCAGAATCGAGTCTATCGACGAACACATTCCTACATGATTCTTCACGATGCCGATTTCCAAAGCGGCTATTTTATTTGGATGGTAAGCGTTATAGCATGGATGCCTCTTTCAACTTTGTCTTGGCTTCAGTCTTTGTTAGTCCTGGTCGTGTACTGATCTTCTCTTAAATTCCTAGCTCTGATCGATGTTATTGTCGAAGACGCATTGAAACCGGGCGGCAACCAACGCATATCGAGGTATTTTAGAATGCAGTATCGCTATCTAGTCGGCTGCATCTCTCCGGATATTCTTCAAAATCTGCCGCCGGAGGACAAATTCTTTGTGGACTTATATGGTAAACCGCTTCCGCCAAAAACCCGGGAAAGAGTCTCCTTAAATCGGCAGCGGATTCGACAGGGTCTGATAAATGTTGAAGAGGCATGGAAGTCAATCCCAAAAAAGCTCTGCGGTTTGAAGAGATACACCGTAGAGCTCTGAATCATCGGAACCTAGGGTTGTAAACTTCAATACATCAGTCTCTATCAGAGATAATCTGTTATTAACCTATATTTAGCCAACTCTAGCTTCATATTGTTGATTGTTATTAATTCCTATTAGATTAAGGGAATACAGAAGAAACTATAGATGTGGGCTTCTTTCTATATAGCCTGATTGTCCCTTTCTTAGTCTTTTATTGCCTTATGAATATAGCGTCTTTTCAAGGTAAGTTAAGCATAGCCTAAAGATTTGCTGCGACTTGGATCTCTGGCCACTCACGGGGCAACCTAGATTGGGTTTGTGTGAGCCCAGGGGCATTTACTAATACGGCATGTCTATATAATTGTATCCGGCTATCATTACTATGTTGTTCACGAAAGCTGCCATCATGTCGATCATCTACTTCTTACCAATTTCGTTGGCGGCATATATCTCGCCTTTATCAATCGAGGGCCAGTCCGTACCGGACAGATGGTTCCACATGATTCTTGATGAGCCCGTGGCAAACACCAGCCTCAGTGTGAGTGAGACTCGCTCTGATCTTGAGAAGCGGACCCCCATCACGGCATGCGGAGCCCTTCAAGTGACCACCAACTGCCTTGTTATTGCCAACATTGTTCTTCCACTTGTCAAAAGTATTGCTGGCGGCATCAAGGAACTCTCCAACCAGCATGACTGCAGAGTGATGAGCGGCCCCATCGATGGAATCAGCTGGTCTTACCACTCTACGGGTGCACATTGCGATACCACCGCGCAGCTTGATACTATTTCCGGTGCTATCAAGAAGTATCCTGACAAGTCCGAACACTACAAGGTGTGCGGTACCCAATGCTTATGTCTAGACCATGGTGGCACCTGGAATGGATGGTTGAAGTTTGGTCCTGCCGAGGGTTTCAACAAAAATGCCTACTGCGGACCGGGGCTGTCATTCAGCGGTTGTATTTCTGGTGGCAACAACGACATCTAAACTAGTGAGTTTCAAGTCCAATGGGATGTGCCAAGTTGTCCGCGTATGTTTGGTGATACATGATGCTGATCTATGGTTTTCTTGTAACTGTAGCCTGTGCGGTGAACTTTGAAGAGTTGTAGTTGCAACAGAAACTCAAACCTAGTTCTCGGACACAAGTTGTACCGTTCCGAACTATATCGCATGCCAACTACAGCCCGAGATACAAATGACAACATCAAAATGAAAGGCGACAAATTGAGCTTATGAGATTTTTCAGGCATGTGAACTGTAGTACTGGCATCGTCACACCTGTGACCGCGGGAGGTCGAGGGTCGAATTTCAAGCCTGTCTCTTAAGCACAGGGTACTTAAGTCGGACGTATGCGCACCAGCCGAGTGGTTTCGGTTTACTCTTACTGTGGTTGCAAGGAACGCCGGAAATATGTTGTATCATTCATAGACTCGGAACAAATACATGGAAAGATAGTATCTCTATCTCTGAATTGAGGGGTTTTGAGTAGCCCACCCCTTCTGAAAATCAAAGTTTCAACTCTCAAGTGTTGCTGTGTCCACGCGCCTAGGTAGTCAAGCAGAAATAGCAATATACCAGGTCATTCAGGTTCTTTTAGAGACTCAATTTAATTGAGAGTCCGTTTGTGACTCGAAAAATGCATTTGATATTGGTCAATAGGTCAATAGTCTATTACCCCAGTGAGAACCGGTACGTTTCATTTGGTCTATGTCTCTACTTTGTCCATTGTTTCCATCTTATTGTTCACTTTCATCCGTTTGAATAGGATTATTTCACAAGCCCATTTGACCATAGTACATATTGACTATTCAAACTCTGTTGTTGTGGTCCTTGTTCAATGCCAGCCATATAGCCTCATATCACGGCACCACAATAGACTCGATATCCTATACTTATGCATTGATCTGAATAGCCTCGCAATTGCAGTCACACCATAGCAGCCTAGACCTCCAGGTAGGTATAAAAATACCCAAGTTTGCGCTTCATCGAATCCTTTTCCATCTCACTCTATTTTATTCCTCATACCACTTCTCTATTGCTTACCTCTCAAAACTTCTCTCGTTTCGTCGCAATTGCTATCTTGCTGGTCGAGATGGCTTTGGCTAATACCAACCTCCCGAGCTTTCGGGTGCTCTTCTCGAGCCGCGCGGACTGGCTCGCGGAACTTGCCGTTCTCGCACCTGTGGAGCCCTTCAGGTGCGAGCCATTCAACCTGACAGTCTTGGAAGGCCTCCGCTGGCTGGCACGGGGTGATGCCGTTCGTGGCGGTACAGCGCTCAGAGCGGCTGCCGCTTCTCCCCCGGCCGCTTCTCCCTCTGCCTCTTCTTGTACCCCGGCCGCGTCTTCTACTTTGGCTGCTTCTACCCCGGCTGCTTCTACCCCGGCTGCTCCTACCCCGGCCGCTTCTCCCTCGGTCGCTTCTCCCTCGGCCTCTTCTCCTTCGGCCTCTTCTCCTTCGGCCTCTTCTCCTTCGGCCTCTTCTCCTTCGGCCTCTTCTCCTTCGGCCCCTTCTCCTTGGGCCTCTTCTCCTTCGGCCCCTTCTCCCCAGGTCTCTCCTCCCCCGGCCCACGCAAGTCCGCAGAGGGCTGGATGTCGCCGTTTCAGGGCGGATGGGTGGGAGAGCCCGCCAAGGAAGAGAGTCCGTCAAAACTGGCGTATTGACGGACATGATTGGGAAGCTGACAATTACCCAATTCGGGATTGCTCACCCGCGAGTCCGGCCGACAGTAACATCTCGATCGCCGATGCGTCCCCACCTAGCCCTAGCGATATGTCAATGCAGGATGCTCCTTCTCCGGACAATGACATCCAGATGCAGGATGGCTCTTCCCCTGGGAGTCACATGTCCATTGATGATGTCCCATCCCCTGCTGCTTCCTTGCTGCAAAGCTCCCCTGCTGCTTCCTCGCTGCAAAGCGAGATTTCAATGACCGACTGCGCGGCCCATCAAATCGACAGTCAGGATGTGGAGATGTCACGTACGCCAACCCCTCCGCAACAAGAGAAGCCCGTCGTCGCCAGTGTTCTTCCGAGACGTCCTTCTCCCGTCGTTGCTGGCCCGTCTACCACCAAGGAGGTCGTACCATCTGTGGTGGCGGCCCCTGGCCAGGGCGTTGCCGGCTACCAGGACATGGCAGCCCCAGTTGAAAGCACGGACGCCAAGAACAAGGGCAACGGCAAGGGCAAGGAGAGGGACCCTGGGGACGACACGATGGCGGATGGACCATCGACCAACGCCAATAAGGACGGGCAGGCAAGCACTTCGGCCTCCCAGGAAATGTCTACCAGCAGCGAGCAACAGGCTGCGTGGTATGGGCAGCTTGAGGGTGCAATCTCTCAAGCTGCCAACCATTTCCTGATGGAGGCCCACGACGATGGCCATCTCACAGATCACTCTCTCAAGAGGATCAGAGAGGATCGTCGTGCCAGAAGGTTGCCTGCCCTGACCGACTTCCGCTACGACCAGCTTGGCCAGTACCAGTTGGTGTTCGACAATTTCAGCAAGCTGTACGGAAGCTTCGGCCGTACCACTGTTGGTTCGGGTTTCGTCCTGGCTGCCTGGCGCAAGCTAGGCACAGAGATTTGTGCCAGGAACTTCGCCAATTCCGATAGAGTGGTAAAGCAGCATGTTGACGATGCTGTGAAGATTCTTGCCTTGCTGAGAGCAGAGAAGTCGGCGATCAGGTCGATCTCCGAGCTCCGCGACAGCGTTCGAGAAGTCCTGGAGAAAGGCGGTGGTTCGTAACCGATTCTCTCACTCTCTCGTGTTGCTCTCGTTCTGTCTCTCTTGTTTCTTTCTGTTTTGTTTTTTAGTTTCTCAGAATCTGATTCACTCCTGAAGATTCCTTCGTTTTCACTGAAGCCACATGTAGACCTTAGATCCTCTCCTGGTTTAGGGTATAGACAATATTGTATGCATGGCTTGAGATTTCGACTCTTCTGATGGCGAAAAACTTCCTAGATCAGATCTCCGAACGTACTCTCCACGGGAGAAGCAGAAGGTCGTGACAAAGCAGGGCTGCAGGACGTTAGTCAGGTCGGGACCTCATGTGATATTGCTCGCTGATTTATATGTAGACTCCTAAGATAAACTGGTCAGTATGATGCGAGGTGGTACCTAAGTGCTCTTATTCGCTTGAGTTGCTGGTATTTTGTTCAATGATTAAGTGACCGAGAACATATTCTGTAGTTACTAGATTGATGCTACATTTTGCTAGTTATAGAATCAAGCAATACTCGTCGTAATGCGAAGGGCCAGACCTACCTACCAAAGTCTGTATAAAACCATGGAAGGTTTCATAGACGTTAATAATATTGGCATTGATATTCTTGCGGATCAGTTAAAGCAACATTTACTTTCTTGGCCATCCAATGCAACCTAGCTAGCCAAATATTGTAGATTGGTCAGTTGGCGTGGCGTCTTCAGTGGTACTCGTCCCAGAACGTCTTCGGTTGAAATGGGGTTTGGTGGTCATATTGCAAATCGTCTTCGCCGCCTGTTCCCTTGCCAGATTTGCTGTCTCTGGAGGTTATTTCGTCGTCGTCTTCTGGCTTTGGCTCGGCTTCTTTTTGCTGGAATTGGGATCGCGTCGTAATTAGTTAGCGGTCGCGCCAAGATCTGTCCGTATTGTCTTTATAATTAGGTTCAATCAAGACTCCAGTACATACGACCATAGGGTGTGGAAAACAGGGCTTCCCGTCCGCTCAGCCGTACTTAAGCCACACGCCGGTGAGTTAGTAGTTGGGTGGGTGACCACCAGCGAATCCTCACTGTTGTATGTTTTTATTTTTGCGTTCTACACAGTATCTCTCAATCGTTCGATCGACACTCTCTATGTTCGCCATTGAACCTCGTCTCAGTCATACTTCAGTTAGTGTAGACCTCAATAGACAGCAGCAGGGAAGCAACTATTATAATAGTTGAGGTGGGCCAATCATAACGCAGTACAAGCGAAATAGAACCAAACTTCACAAAACGGTATATGTTGGCTATGTCTACTCTGAATATTAGGTGACTTCTCCCAGCATGTAAAATCTTGATCTAATTATAGACAAGACTTTGCTCTGTCTTACTTCTAGAAGTACACGCCTAGATGAATTATCTTGGACACAGTAGATACGGCATCAGATGTAAACAGCCCGAAGACTCAGAGAATATTAGATCAGGCAATCCGCTATCAGACCAGTGCCTGGACCTTCAAGAATCTCTGGCCGTCCGCAACACGAAGCATTGTCCCATTATGAATGTACAATCTCTCGCAGGCTGGCTCATTACAAGCTTTTGCAGCCTCGGGAAATGCCAATGCACTCGGGGTTTTTCGAATGGGACAGTCAGGACGGTGAACCTGAAAACTGCACCACCCACATCCACCTATACCCATACTGCCACCAGCAGTAACCCTCACCTCTCCTTCTACCGGAAATTCATCACGAACGGATTAGCTACAAGCCAAACCACGATGCCTCCAATCGACTACTCAAAATGGGACAATATCGACACGGACTCAGACTCGGAGCCTGAGACAACCTCGGTTCCGCGTCCTCAACCGTCCAGACCAGCCGCATCTCTGCCGTCCAGACCAGCTGCACCCCAGCCGTCCACCCCAGCTGCACCCCAGCCGTCCACCTCCACCGCCCCTCAAGCGTCCACCCCAGCCGCACCCGCCAACCAAACGCCCTCCAAAAAGGACCTTATCAAGGCAGTGATGGTTCGATACAAGGGCGACCCCGGGCCCGTCTGGTCGCAAATTACCATCCCCTCAGACCACCCCGTCTTCAGAAACCGCGTCCCTCCCGTGCCAGCCCTTCTCGAGTTCCCTATCATCATCCACCGGGTCGGGACTTTTGACACTGGGGCATTTGGTTGCCTCGATAATCAGCCCATCACATACCTAAACATCGAACCGCACAACGGTTTTGCGCCCCCGGAGTGGCAACGAGGGGTTGGGAGTTGCATTGTAGCCAACAAGAATAAGAAGGATTTCACGAGAGAGCAGTTTGAGGCGATCTTCATGTACTGTGATCGGATCCTTGATTACTTTGGCGAATCTATACCACCACCTCCCCACTTCTTCACCAGAAAGGAGTTCGAGCGGTGGTACGAACAGTATGATCACAATTGCAGGCTGAATGATCGGAATGACTGGACTCCGGGTCCGTCGTTGTATGACGTGTGAACCAGATCTCTTATGCCATTTTGCGGCCGATGTTCGTCGGGAGCTTCAGCCAGTGGCGCTAAAATGGAAATCTGCGATCGCAGTCTGGGGAGCAGTTCAATGGTGACACGGTTATCATAGATATTTTGCGACACTTGGATCGTCAGGCGATGAATCTTTCCATATCAAATTCTTGCTCAATGCAACTCGATATCAAAGTAATCTCACTATTTAGTAGATCTTAAGAGTTTTATCCTTATTACCTTCAAGGGTATTCCGGGAAGGAAGCTAGAGGATGTGTGAACACAACTGAGCTGGTTCTTCACTGTAAAGTCCTTTCAGCTGCGCTCGATTCAGCGTCTCAACCGGGCAGTTACCTCACCCATGGGAGGATGATGAGCAACCGGTGATAGTCGGTCATCTAAGATCTACCGGGCCTATTGAAGAGATATATCACTCGACTCACTGTTGGGCAACGATGTCACTGGTTGAAGATGATACTAGTATATTCCGTCTCATAAGTCACAACCGCCAATCTATATGTAGTAATCTATTAATCTACTCTATCGATGCAGGCATTTCATATCGCCTCAAAACAAGGATGCATGGAAATGCAAGTGTGAAAGCAAAAGACAAAGAGAAGAAAAGAAAAGAAAAGCGTAATGTCGTTGTCGCGTTCAAGGCCTCACATCGAGCCCGAATCTCCTTTCCGACCATCGTTGCATATCAATACCCCATCTCGTGATGGCGAGCACAAGGAACCCACTTATTAAAATGAGAAAAACACCTAAACAGACTGTCAGACAAGTCGCAGCACCGAGCCGACCTCAAAAACAAAACTCACAGATCGTAAACGTCCATCCAACCCCGATGGCATCAATCACCGGCTCAACAACCGCCATTGCTATAGCAGCAAAAATGTATTGCACAACGTATTTCCCGCTGATAACTTCCGAACGAACATGTGGCATCACCTCTATAGAATTGAAGAGGCGATTAGTTGCGAACTAGTGCCAGTGTTTGGGATAGACCGAACTCACCAGCAGTGTATGTGTTCAACCCATTGAAAGCACCTAAAAGACCCACGCCGGCAAAGAATGCGGCGATGATCGGTACGACCATACCACCCACTTCTTCTTCCAGTGTCCAGCAGTAGATGAGCGTTGCAGCCGGGAGCACTGCGAGTAGCATGGCAAGACCACTGTTCAGTCGGTCTTGGGGTAGACGCACACCGTTACGTTTTATGATCCATTTCTTCACGGCGCGGTCGGAGAGCTTGCCGCCGACGACGCTGCCTATCAAGAAGCCGATTCCTGGGGACAGGTAGAATAGACCGCTGACGAGCGGGGAGGTCAGATTGAATCGTGGGTTGAAGATTGAGCCGGCGGATGTCAGGAGGGCATATTGGAATGTGGAGAGGAGGCCGCATGATAGACACTGGTCGAGGGTCAGTTATCAATGGTAGATAGAAGTTATAGCCAGAGGGTAATAGTATAACATACCGCGAGGAAAACATTGAGATACAAGAATTGGCGGAAAATACGTAAAGGATTGAACATGCCCAGTATACGAAGCATGCAGGGTCCATTGAAGTCCATGCCCTGGTTACCTTTTTGAAGACTCGGCACGAAAAGCCAGGATAAGACGAGTCCGAGTAGAGTCATTGCCAATTGTAGCCAGTAGATGATTCGCCATTGAGCGAATGTGACGATAATGCCGCCGATACAGGGTCCTAACTCAATCAGTTTTCCCATCCACTTCCAACGACTGCGTTAATCAAAATGCTTGGAACATACCAATCGCAGGTCCACTAACAGACCCAACCATAAAGAATCCAACTGCAGTTCCACGCACAGTCTATACAGACTCGAGCATCAGCAAAACTGCAACCAACAACCCCAAGTAGAACAGGGAACCGAACATACCGGCTCAAATATATCCGCGATAATAGTCTGCCCGGCAACCATAAAGAAAGTCCCCGTAAAACCTCCCAAAATGCGCATCGCGATGAACATATTGAGATTCACCGCCGCGGCCGTACCGGCCGAGCAAGCACTAAGCACGAGGATCGCTGCATTGTACGCATTTCGACGGCCGAACAGGTTGGCAATGGGGCCCCATATGAAAGACGAGAAGCCCATGGCAATCAGCACGCCGGCATTGGTGACATTGAGGATCTCGGGGGTGGTGGAGAACTCGGCTGCGATCTCCGGTGTTGCGGGGAGTAGTGAAGTGCTGGAGAAAGTGACGGCTAGAGTCATCCAGCTGACGACGAAGAGGATGAGACATTTGCGCCATGTTGGGATGCCGTAGGCGTTTGAGGGCTGCGGCTTTAGGGCTAGTTCGTCTTCTTCTGAGGAGTGGTAGGGACTCGGAGGTTCGGCTTGGGGCTGTGTAGTTGGTTTTTGGGACTCGAGATCTGGTTCGTTTGCCATTTTAGGGGGATTAGGTGGTGTGGAGATGGGAAATGAGGCTGATTGCGGTTTTTAGCATGTCTAGAATAAACTTAATCCATGTTATATAGTGACAGGATTGACAGGATTGAGTGTCCATTTTGTATGAAGGTCTCTCGGTATTTTGGAGCTGTCGCCGAAGTTGTTTTCTGCGTGGATCGGTCTGGGAGACCGATCGGCGTAGGTGCCCGACCGTTGAGAACGATTGTTTCAACGCCCAGTGATAACAGTGATCATATCGAAAGATAAATCGAGAAGAAGCTGCACTTCTGCTAATTACTAGCTTCGGTCTGGCCTTGGTGTCTAGATTATCAGGCCGTAGTGTCCTTGTACTCCACTCCGATATCCGATTTGACTTGGCAGACATCGATTTTAGCTGCTTAGTCTCACGACGATCCACTCGTCTTATGGGAAAATCACAATGAGCGCGATGTTAGAACGATATACAATGTGCGTACAATGTACAACAGCACTTTCATCGAACTCCGTGCTCCGAGTGCTCCTGGATAAAACGCGAATTATGATCGACATGAACCCCACCGACGACCAATTTGACACGTCCACGCGCTCTCCGCGTAAGAGGCGCTCTCGGCAAAAGAGCTTGTACAGGCTTGGCGACCTTACAGCTTCAATGTTCGGATTCAGCCTACCAAGATACATTGTATCCCCTGACTTCAACGCCAGGCACGAAAAACCCACCTCGGAGCAACGAGGAAAATACGGACTGGCTGACAAAACATTGACAACGCCCAATGACCAGCTATGGATGACAAAGCCAGACCACAGGATATTAAGGAGTCTCCTTCACTCTCGCCCGAGGAGGAGAACCACATATCCCATGTTGTACTGATCCCTCAACCAAGTACTCACCCCCGGGACCCCCTGGTACGCCGAAATGACCCTTGCGACCCTTGCGACCCCCGTATTCTGCACCCGTGTTAACCCCAACCCTCTAGAATTGGCCTCTCAGTCGCAAGCATGTAATACTGGCGGTATTATGCCTAGCATCCTTTTCCGGCGCCATCGCGCCTTTATCAGGACAGCTCAACCTAGCCGACCAGGAGAAATTATACCATAAGACAAAATTGGAGGAGTCCTACGCGGTATGTCTATACAAGTAACGACTAACATGCCCAACCTCCCTCCAACTACACATTTCAACCAAACGAAATCCAAGCATAACCCCAATGATCAATCTAACGATCTTCCAGAACTCCGCCGCGTTAGCAGGCATGGCCGCCGGCCCATTCTTCTTCGCCCCGATATCCCACATCCTCGGCCGCAGCTCCGTAATCTTCTGGTGTGTGCTCTGCACACTAGTATGTCAAATCTGGGGCGCCGTAATGACACGTCCGGACGACTATATCCCGTACGTGATCTCGCGGCTATTCGCCGGCTTTTTCGGCGCCGTGCCGACGGTGCTAGGCCCGCGCATCGTGACGGATTTGTTCTTCTTGCATCAGCGTGGTCGCGCGTTTACGGCGCTTCACATGGCGTTTATGTTCGGGACGATTGCCGGTCCGACATTTTCGGGATTCGTGTCGGCACGTTCTTTCTTTCCGGTCGAGTTCTGGTGGACGGTGGGTTTGCTGGGGGTTACGCTTGTGTGTTGCTTTTGGTTTCTTGAGGAAACGGGGTTCGATCGTGAATGCCTTGAACGGAATCCGTCTATGCCGGATGGGTTTTTGGCGAATCGATTTGCTACTTTCTTCTTCGGCACTGCGGTCGTTTTGCCGACGAGTTGGAAGGAAACGGTATGCTTGGCTGAATCCGCGTTTGTATTGTGGCCATTCTGATGTATTGTTCATAGGCTAAAGTCGGACTCGCACCCTTTCTCATCGGCCTTTGTCCGGTGACTATCATCATGGGTATCTTCACGCTGATCTCCTTCGGGTTCTATGTCGGCGTCAACGCGCTCACACCAGTGTGGCTCCAGAAACCCGTTTCAGAAGGCGGATACGGGTTCTCGCTGGAACAGAACGCGGCGTTCACCTTCTGTCACTGGATCGGTATTATCCTCGTGCATTTCTACGGCCACTATCTCAATGACCGGCTGCCGCTTGCACTGGCACGGCGATTCAACGGCGGTGTCTGGAAACCAGAGTATCGACTGCATGTCCTTTGGCTTCCCAGTCTTGTGATCAACCCCATCGGCTTGGGGATTTTCGGAGCTGCTTTACAGTATCATCTGCACTATATGGTTTTGGCACTGGGGGTTTTCCTCGTGACTATTGGGTCGCTGGCTAGTGTTCCGGTCACGGTGAATTATGTCGTGGAGTGTTTTACGCGGTACCCGGCTGAGACGGGGATTGTCGTTGGTGCTTATCGGATTGTCTATGGACTGACTATTAGCTTTTATATCAATCCTTGGGTCGAGGCCGTTGAGGTTGGGTGGGTGTATGGTATGATGGCTTTCTTTGCGGTTTTCTCGTTCTTTTTTGTCATGTTGCTTATGTGGAAGGGGAACGCTATTCGCAATATTCAATTTGCGAGTCTTGGGTCTAGTGAGGAGGGCGAAAGGTTGATGGATTGATGGTATCTGGTGTTTTCACTCAGTTCAGGCATGTTTCATTGCCTATACCCTCGTGATGCTTGATTTGTATGTTGGCTCGGGGTATACTTCCTACGACTCATCTACGGGGCTGTGCTGCACTGTCTTGGTATCCCGGTCAAAGGCTGATATGCAAAAATCGTGACAAAATGGAATTACTCAGTATGAGCTGAGATTGCGACAACCCACTTGCCTACTGTACACAGTATCTTCGCTTTCCTTTATCAAACTCTACCTCTGATCACCATGGCAAGTGGCCCCCGAGTACGCAGTCCATCAGAGCCTCGGAGCCACAAACGATCTCCCGCTCCACCTTTAGGGCTGGGAAAGTTCCCCCCGATGTTCTCTTCTAACGTCGTCTGATATTGGAAAATGTAGTACGAAGTATGTTCCATTCGGAATATTTCAATTAATCACAATTCACAACGTACATTGTAAATTAAACTCATAAAACTCAATTCACACATGCAAAATTCTCGGTACTCCTTATGTCCAACACTCGAAAAACATTAACGGCGAGGTATGGGACACCTGCGTTTCTTATAATATATCACTTAGAAAGCCTGATCCCCTTGGGGCGAAATCCATTTGTACATGTAGGTAATTTCGTCTATCATCTATCTATAAAAACATCGCTCGCAGACGCAGGTAGAAACTTTTACCGCAAAATCAAACGCTTTAATCCAGGTACTTGGGAAGTGTCTTCAAGACGCCATCCCGCGTAATGTCCTCCATGGCCTTAGCGGTCTCATCGAGGAATCGCTTATCACCGCGCAAATCGTCACCGAAAAGGTTCTTCATCTGGAGCAGTTCAAGGGGGTTGGTGCCGCCAGCGTGAGCGCGAGTCTGAAGCTCTTCAACCAACGGGTCGTTGACTTCGAACTTGTTACCGCTGTCGTCGACACCCTTGACGTAACAGAACCAAGCGGCTGCGACAAAGCACAGACGGCGGAACGGGCCAGTCACCCAGATTGCCTCAGCAATCGAGGGCATGATGAATTGAGGGATCTTGCCAGAAGCGTTGAGACAGATGCGAGGCAGCTGGTCCATGATTGTGGGGTTGGAGAAACGGCCCATGAGCGTCTCGCAGTAATCGTCGATGTTGACGCCCGGAATATCAGGCAACAAGGGCTTAACTTCGTCCTGCATCATTTGCCACACCAACTTGCGGAACAGCGGGTTCTCCATCACCTCGTGAACGTATTTGAAGCCGGCCATCTGACCGGGGTAGCCGATGGCGGAGTGACTGCCATTGAGCAGACGGAGCTTGTGCTTCTCAAACTGCTCGACATCGTGCACGTTCTTGACAACCTGGACACCAACCTTCTCAAATGGTGGGCGACCGTCGGAAAACTGGTCTTCGATGACCCATTGCATAAAGGGCTCTGTGACGACTGGCCATGCATCCTCGATGCTGAAGTCCTTAGCCAGCGCCGTTTTGTCGGCGGCTGATGTCTGAGGGGTAATACGGTCGACCATGGCGTTGGGGAAAGCGCCCTGCTCGTAAATCCACTTGGCAACCTCGGGATCGCGCAGGAGAGCGAAGGAGTGAAGCATGTGACGTGTGATGGAACCGTTCTTCTGCATATTATCGCACGACATGACGGTGAAGGGCTTGAGGCCTGCCTTGTGACGGCGGGCAAGGGCGGCGTAGAGGAAGCCGAATGTGGTGCGGGGGGTCTTCTCGTTGGCGGGGTCGATATCGAACTGAATATCGGGGTGTTCACTAATCAACTCGTGTGTGTTTTCGTTGTAATAGTAGCCGCTCTCGGTGATGGTGAGGGAGACAATATGGGTATCAGGGTGTGCCATCTTGGCGATGACGGCTTCGCGGTCATCGGGTGCGAAGAGGTAGGAGTTAATGCAGCCAACAATGTGAGCAAAGCTGCCCTTTGCCGAACGCTCAATCACAGTGTAAAGGTGGTCTTGTTCTCTCAACACGTCGCGCATGGTAGCGTCGAAGGGTTGCAAGCCGACACCGCAGATGGCGTAGTCAGTCACACCGTGCTTCTGCATCAATTGATCGACGTAAACTGCCAGGTGAGCTCGGTGGAAGCCACCGACACCGACGTGCACGATTCCCTCCTTGACAGCGCCATCGCGCTTGTAAGTAGGGACCTGGACATTTCCATCGCCCGCGGTGGCAATTTGGGGTAGGTTCTTGCTGTTTAGCTTGAGGGGTGCCATTGCGAATAAAGGGGTATCGAATGAATGACAGAAAGAGATGAGAGAAGAAAGATGTACAACGAAAAAATCATCAGAGCAGGGGACACCGCTGGTTTTGACCGCTGATCCGGAAAATCGATTAGGGAGGGTATATTACATCATGTGGGCTTGAAACGCCACCTTCTGATTTTCACCCCACTGCAAACACTCAGAACATTCTTTGTCTCCCGATTAGCCCCTCGTGGAAGTTGTGGGGAATCATTTTCTGATTGAATTTGTTCCCGGGAAGCTTTTAGTAGATGTTTGGTCGGGTTTAATTTTAGCACAACCCTTGCGTCCGCGTCCGCTTCCGAGCCGAGAACTTTTATTCTTATCTTTTTCGCCGATATTACAGCCGCATTCGTTTCTCAGCTTTTGAGGTTGCCATATGGTCAAAACAAGGGGGATAATTCATTGTGAAATAGGAAGACAGAGCTCCGAACTGCAATATTGCCCCGGGTTCCCACTGAAATCATAGAAAGCGGGCTTGGAAAGGAAGGCCCCACCCGAAGGAATCCGGTCTGAAGTTGCCTCCTTTCGAGTTTCCAAGGTTGAGTATGGTCTTTACTGCGTATAATGACTGCAGGTGGATAATAATTCCTGACCAGCACAAATGAACATGAATTGGTAAGATGGCCGAGTTGGTCTAAGGCGCCAGGTTAAGGTACACCTTGACTCCAAACTAGCAATAGTTTCCTGGTCTCGCAAGAGGCGTGGGTTCGAATCCCACTCTTATCAATATTCTTTGTCTTTTTGGTCCATATCTTGGATATCGCCATATTTGCTTTTTTTGGTTTCTTTTGTGGAAGGGGAAAAAAAAAACAAACAAACAACTCACAAATACATTTACTCTAGCCTTTACCCCGGAAAGACCTAGTTGTTGTGGTTGATTTCCGCATCTATCCATGTGGAATGCTCAAACCAATCCGGGGTAATGTACACAGTAGGAACAGCCGGAAACGCTCGGAGAGATAAGAGCATGCCGCAGGAATTCACATCGAAGCAATAAAACTAGGAGACAGGGATGATGCGTCTGCAAGAACGGTATCTTGCATATTGTGGCGCAGAATCCGGGTTCCCCGAGCTCTTCATGCACAAACTATCCCTTTTAACGCACGCCACACGGCGATAAGGCGCACCCCTGAGAGAGAACTAGTAGTACATAAGTTTCTGAGATGGCGCGAGACAAATTGCGGGAAAATCTTGACGGTCATCTGACAGACTTTTTTTGTTGGGCCGGTTAAGGCGCAAATTAGGAGTCTGGGCTGAGTCCAGACCTGGCCCAAGATAGTTTAAGCTTTTGAAGATATACGTACACACATGGAGTAGACCTGACCCGGAAATGTTGACGGACATAGTCACGAGGTCGATCTAGTTTTCTCTTCTTGCAGGGGCGGATAGGTAGTCAGGGACACTCAGGGTTCAGGGCAGTTTTTTCAGGCAACGCTTCCCCTTAACAACGTTCTTGAAGCCATTGTAACTAGTTGCTTCCCTACTGCTGTCTATTGAGGTCTACACAGACTACACTAGCTGAAGTATGACCGAGACGAGAACTCGGGTTAAATGTCGAACATAGAGAGTGGCGATCGAACAATAGAGAGATAGAACGCAAAAAAATAAAAACATACAACAGTGAGGATTCGCTGGTGGTCACCCACCCAACTACTAACTCACCGGCGTGTGGCTTAAGTACGGCTGAGCGGACGGGAAGCCCTGTTTTCCACACCCTATGGTCGTATGTACCAGGACTACGTTCCAATACTATTATATAGACGTGTGGTAGTGGTAAATGCCGGTGCACTGACCCTGGGCTCGACCTGGACAGAGTAAATACCGATCTAAGGAATACATGTGGTTTCAGTGAAAACGAAGGAATCTTCAAACAGTGAATCAGATTCTGAGAAACTAAAAAACAAAACAGAAAGAAACAAAACAGAAAGAAACAAGAGAGACAGAACGAGAGCAACACGAGAGAGTGAGAGAATCGGTTACGAACCACCGCCTTTCTCCAGGACTTCTCGAACGCTGTCGCGGAGCTCGGAGATCGACCTGATCGCCGACTTCTCTGCTCTCAGCAAGGCAAGAATCTTCACAGCATCGTCAACATGCTGCTTTACCACTCTATCGGAATTGGCGAAGTTCCTGGCACAAATCTCTGTGCCTAGCTTGCGCCAGGCAGCCAGGACGAAACTCGAACCAACAGTGGTACGGCCGAAGCTTCCGTACAGCTTGCTGAAATTGTCGAACACCAACTGGTACTGGCCAAGCTGGTCGTAGCGGAAGTCGGTCAGGGCAGGCAACCTTCTGGCACGACGATCCTCTCTGATCCTCTTGAGAGAGTGATCTGTGAGATGGCCATCGTCGTGGGCCTCCATCAGGAAATGGTTGGCAGCTTGAGAGATTGCACCCTCAAGCTGCCCATACCACGCAGCCTGTTGCTCGCTGCTGGTAGACATTTCCTGGGAGGCCGAAGTGCTTGCCTGCCCGTCCTTAATGGCGTTGGTTGATGCTCCATCCGCCATCGTGTCGTCCCCAGGGTCCCTCTCCTTGCCCTTGCCGTTGCCCTTGTTCTTGGCGTCCGTGCTTTCAACTGGGGCTGCCATGTCCTGGTAGCCGGCAACGCCCTGGCCAGGGGCCGCCACCACAGATGGTACGATCTCCTTGGTGGTAGACGGGCCAGCAACAACGGGAGAAGGACGTCTCGGAAGAACACTGGCGGCGACGGGCTTCTCTTGTTGCGGAGGGGTTGGCGTACGAGACATCTCCACATCCTGACTGTCGATTTGATGGGCCGCGCAGTCGGTCATTGAAATCTCGCTTTGCAGCGAGGAAGCAGCAGGGGATGGGACGTCATCAATGGACATGTGACTCCCAGGGGAAGAGCCAACCTGCATCTGGATTTCATTGTCTGGAGAAGGGGCATCCCGCATTGAGATATCGCTAGGGCTAGGTGGGGACGCATCGGCGATCGAGATGTCAGTGTCGGCCGGACTCGCGGGTGAGCAATCCCGAATTGGATAGTTGTCAGCTTCCCAATCATGCCCGTCAATCCGCCAGTTTTGACGGACTCTCTTCCTTGGCGGGCTCTCCCACCCATCCGCCCTGAAACGGCGACATCCAGCCCTCTGCGGACTTGCGCGGGCCTGGGGAGAAGGGGCCGAAGGAGAAGACGCCGAAGGAGAAGACGCCGAAGGAGAAGACGCCGAAGGAGAAGACGCCGAAGGAGAAGCGGCCGAAGGAGAAGCGGCCGAAGGAGAAGCGGCCGAAGGAGAAGCGGCCGGGGTAGGAGCAGCCGGAGTAGAAGACGCGGCCGGGGTACAAGAAGAGGCAGAGGGAGAAGAGGCAGAGGGAGAAGAGGCAAAGGGGGAAGAGACAGAGGGAGAAGAGGCAGAGGGAGAAGGGGCCGAGGGAGAAGCGGCCGGGGTAGGAGCAGCCGGGGTAGAAGCAGCCGAAGTAGATGACGCGGCCGGGATACAAGAAGAGGCAGAGGGAGAAGAGGCAGAGGGAGAAGAGGCAGAGGGGGAAGAGGCAGAGGGAGAAGAGGCAGAGGGAGAAGGGGCCGAGGGAGAAGCGGCCGGGGTAGGAGCAGCCGGGGTAGAAGCAGCCGAAGTAGATGACGCGGCCGGGATACAAGAAGAGGCAGAGGGAGAAGCGGCCGGGGGAGAAGAGGCCGGGGGAGAAGCGGCAGCCGCTCTGCGCGCTGTACCGCCACGAACGGCATCACCCCGTGCCAGCCAGCGGAGGCCTTCCAAGACTGTCAGGTCGAATGCGTCGCGCCTGAAGGGCTCCACAGGTGCGAGAACGGCAAGTTCCGCGAGCCAGTCCGCGCGGCTCGAGAAGAGCACCCGAAAGCTCGGGAGGTTGGTATTAGCCAAAGCCATCTCGACCAGCAAGATAGCAATTGCGACGAAACGAAGGAAGTAAGAAATTGGGAAGTGGTATGAGGAATAAAGTAGTGTGAGATGGAAAAGGATTCGATGAAGCGCAAACTTGGGTGTTTTTATACATAGCTGGAGGTCTAGGCTGCTATGTTGTGACTGCAATTGCGAGGCTATTCAGATCGATGCATAAGTATAGAATATAGAGTCTATTGTGGTGCCGTGATATGAGGTTATATATGGCTGGCATTGAACAAGGACTACAATAACAGAGTTTGAACGGTCAATAGGTACAATAGTCAAACGGGTTTCTGGAATAACCCTATTCAAACGGATGAAAGTGAACAATAAGATGGAAACAATGGACAAAGTAGAGACATAGACCAAATGAAACGTACCGGTTCTCACTGGGGTAATTGACTGTTGGCCTATTGACCAATATCAAATGCGTTTTTCGAGTCACAGATGGACTCTCAATTGAAATGTCTAAAAGCATCTACTCGACCTGGTATATTCCTAATTCTGCCTAACTACCTAGGTGTGTGGAGACAGCAGCACAGTAACACTTGAGACTTTGCTTTTCAGAAGGAGTGAGCTATTCAGAACCCCTCAATTCAGAAATGGAAATACAGGAATACCCCTTAGGATTTCTTCACTCTAGTTCTAAACCCCTCATTTGGACCCGCCAGTACGCCGGTCCTAAGTCTAACAAACTCGCAACGAGCTCTGGCTTGGGGATGGCATCCAGTTCAGCAACCATAATAATTCCCTAAATGAGAACGATACCACTGAAGCGTCAGTTTGACTGATACTTATGGACCCAAACACATAAGAGTTATCAGCGAAGTTGAACAGTTTCAAAGGTATTTCGCTCATATCATATAGAGCCACTAGATTTATGAGGATGGTGGTGTCATTCATAGTATTTCTGTCTCAAACTTGTCGTCAATTTACTGCGTTCCTTCGTCATCCTTCTGCTGAGCAGCTTTGTTTATGCTTTGTTGGTTCAGCATCTCCGACTGTCTGTTGTCTGTCTTGTTCTGCCCATATGGCATCCTCCTGGGCGCACAATTTCTCCAACCCTTCTTTCTCACGCTCCCTTTCTACTTTGTATTCCTTTTCCGCTTGCTCCCTTAGCCTCTCACGCTCTCGGTCGTCCAGCCTCGCTTTTGCTTGATCTATAGTTTCTCCTTCACGGACCACCCATGTTCCACCACACGTGAATGCCTTTCCATCATATAACAGTTTCGACACCATGCACTTCTCGACTCCCCTCCAAAATGAGATTAGGGTATCAGTCATGATGCTTGCTGGGTCCATCCAAAACCAGTCTTTCTCGAATAGATAGGGGTTTTCAACAGCCCGGGGATCATCCTTGTGTAGTCCACAAAATATCGCAAATTCCAGGCGGAGTCCAAGCTGGATGCCCTTCTCGATAAAAGCCTCTATATTGAGTTGATCAGCTGAGGTCTTCCTATCGCACGAATTGAAAAACACTCACTATGAGTCTCTTCAACCTCATCGTGGTCATCATGCATTCCTTGAATGAAAATATCCAACATTTTCTCAACCTTAGGGAATATGATCTCAGTGTAGCCAGTCCGGTGATACTTCTCGGCATATCCACAGCTGGGTCCTTGATAATCTGGGTATAGCTGGTTGAACTTCTGTTCTACCTCTATTATCTTCTCGTCAGATAGTCCCGCCCATCTCAAACATTCACGCGCATCAGCAGGATCTGGTAGGCTCATGCCAGGTCGGTACTTGAAAATACGAAAGCCGTTGTGCTCTTCAATAGGACCGAGAGATGGATGTATCGCGCCGCGAGAGCTTCCAATATTCACAAGCTCAGGAGTCCATTTGAAGTTGATTGCTTTGCTCTCCTCAGTAGCACCTTCAGGGTGGTCCTCGCGTTCGGGGTCGGCATCACTCATATTGAAACACGAGCAGGTAAAAGTGGATATGGTAAAATGGCAGTCAAGCCGAAGTGTAGAATGACTTTGGACTTGTGGGAGCAAAGGGAGGTTGGTATGGTGCGGGGCACAGTGAGGATGTTCCAAGGTTGCGTGACACCGGCACGGCGCTTCCAGAAGAGACGAGGAACTGAGAAACACGGACTAGTAAATGAAAACGGGAGACAAAAGGACAAAGGAATAGTGATATTTCCAAACAGCATCAACTCTTTCTCAAAATTGTTTTGAAATACCTTTATTCTCTCGTCAAATATTCCCAGATTGTAATAGGGAACTCGCTGTAAATTGGCTTAATTTCTACCATATCAGTCAATGCCAAAGAGATACACCGTTTCATACGGAGCTATGTGGTAGACAGGAATCACAGGATACAATTGCAAAAAGCAGGCAAAAGCTGAAAATAAAAACATACAACAGTGAGGATTCGCTGGTGGTCACCCACCCAACTACTAACTCACCGGCGTGTGGCTTAAGTACGGCTGAGCGGACGGGAAGCCCTGTTTTCCACACCCTATGGTCGTATGTGCTAGATATAGTGATGAGCACGCTTATATCTCAGTTTAATTACAGCGGGCTAGTTAGATGATGGGCGTGCTGGTCAAAAGGAAGAAGAGAAGAGACGCCACTTTGGTGAACATTTTCTAGTGCACAGTGCACTGTAGAAGTATACACAAGTGGACTTCTATTACCAACCCGAGTGTGTATTGCTGGAACTGGGAAAAGCCCCGACGACCTAGAGGTAATAATATGGGCAAGGACCAGGTTTTAGATTGGAGGGCCAAGGGCTCCGCCACTTTCCTAGAAAGGCCATCGTCACATCGTGTTCGAGAGTCCTAGGGCGGATGGGAATGATCAAGCGCTCGCTTTCGTCCTCTTTCTGGAGGCTGTTACTGTCGTCTCTACCAGCAGCGATGAAAATCTTCTGGGCGCAGACATTTCTGTCCAATTTGCCGATACCATTTGAGTTGTTAGCGCACATGCAGCTTGCAAGGTATCTGTGCCTTTGAGCTTCCCACACCCTCCGAATAGGGGTGGGTAAGCAGAAAGGCACAGATAGTGGATCTCGGGCAATCTGCAGGTATCCTGTCAGCCTCAAGCAAGATCTATGTCTGAGTTGATTGAGATGTTGAGTTCCTGCCCATTTCCCGTCCAATAGAGACGAGATAACAGGCGTGATATCATTCTGAATGCTGAGGCCATTGATAAGCCAGGGAGTGGTGGTTCTGCGTTTCGTTAAGACGTCCAAGGTACATTCAGGTACTCGACGGTGGAGAGTATTCTGAGCCTGCAGGATACCCCGATAACCTTCACATTCTCTCATTCAGCGTCAGACTATCCGTAAGAGTGAACAATATGCGGGAGAATAATCCTCCGCGAACATCCTTAACTCGGCCAATGATATGATTGTCACCGGGCAGTGGAGTCTAACCTACTCCGTATTGTTTGTGGGGATAAGATTTCTTGGTATTCAGGGGCTTGGAACTGCACTAACCTCCATTGAAATGGTAGGAACGAGTGCAGGTTTACAAGTGTGCATACGAAATATATAAGAGGTGCATGGATGCCATGGAATCAGGTCTGTATCGACCAAATAGGTTGAAGGCATCTCCAGACTCCGTCTCCCGTATATATACATGCCAATATGTCACTATATAGACAGGATAAAGTCTGCCGGGTGGGGCCTTTCCTACCTGGGCTGCCGCCGCTTTATGAGGGCGCTCAGGCTCAGGATCAGTGAGTAGATGTCAGCACGGGCTCAGACTCAGTGAGCATGCTCAAGTTCGGTCACGTGTACGATGACTAATCCGCGACGTGCTCAGTGACTGCTCAGTGACCACTTGGGTATGCTCAGTGCGTGCTCCGAGATCGCTCAGTGCGTGCTCCGAGATCGCTCAGTGAGTGCTCAGTGAGTGCTCAGTGATACCTTAGAAACGCTCAGTGAGCACCCCTGATTTGTGTAACTCAGTCTAGACCTTACCCAATAGAGACAGGCCCCACAGAGCTATTTATTCTGTGATGGTTAGTGCGTTGACGATATTTGGGCTGCCCTCGTTTTCTGGAGGATCCCTTGCCCCCAAAATAACGCGTCATGTCTATCAGGCAGAAATAAGATGGCGAAGGCCATCCGATTAGGGATAGTCCAATCAAACTTCCCTGTCTTTTTTCAGTACGGCGGCCGACTTGAGCTCGAAGCCTCAGCTATATAAGGACAACATGTCCCCATGAACCAGCTCTCTCATCATCTCATCCAAATCATTTCATTTTACTACCTAACCGCTTCTACAGCTAGCATCCGAGCAAGGTTCATTACTATGGAGCGAATGGACTTCTTCGCCAGACGCGATGAGATAACCAAGGAAAGGTGCCGTCTACTACGAGAAAAGAATGGATACGTCCCCGGGGCCCATAGGGAGGAAGACAGCATCCGAAATAAAGACAAGAAGCTCGACAAGACCAAGAAAATACACCAAGAGAAGCTGGACCTCTGGCTCGAGTACGTTGACGGACCCGCGAGCTCTTGGAGGAAGCTGACTTCTCTCCTAGCTTCACAGCAGATCCAAGCAATAAGTTCAAACATTACAAAACTGTTCCCGGATGTTCCCCTCCGAGCCATGATGTGGTTAAGGAATTCATTCGCTGGTGTGTGAGTTCTGCTACAGGCAGACTCAGCGAAGGCAAACAGCCAACTGTTAGAACTGTCAAAGCGTGGGCGGAACGATTCTTTGGGGGATTCAAAGAGAGCACCAAAACGGAGGTACCCCAGAAGGATAGAAAAGAAGTATATGATGTGGGTTCTTTATTTCTCTGTCAACAACACATCACTAACTCTACTCTTCCATGAAATGCAGTGGATAAAAAATACATTGACAGCAGAGGGCATTGTCGTGGACCAGAAAAAGCAGAAGTACAACTTCAAGAGGGATGACTTTTTGAAAGTTGTCGCCTCAATTTGGCAAGCTGATCATCAAAAGTTTATTCCCGGGCTGACAAAGGTCCTCATACTATTTGCTCTTCAATTATACCTTTTCACGGGGGCAAGAGTCGGAACTTTTATGCCTTCTGATGAGGATAAACACTACAAAGGCCTTCGACACGAAGTATGTATGAACCGTCTCTGAAGTTCATTTTGTTCTAATTTTTGAACCAGGACATCAAGTTGGTTCTATTTCCTTCATCCACCGCTCCATGGGAGGTTGGATGGAGAGTCAACCAGAAATGGCTCAAGAATAATCGTGATGAAAAGTACACAGTGTAAGGATTCAAAAATATTGGTTCTTTCTTTCCAGTTCTATTAACATGTTCTCAGGTTCGGAATCGGTATCCGTGACAGCAACAAACCTCAATTCGCATCTGGCCAACTTCTCCTCGCACTCGCACTTGCACATGGCGCGCTTTTTGGTATAGAGACTGTTTCAGATTTGGAAGAATTTGATCTATCGAATGGAGAGATCCCATTAGAATGGAAGGAAAGTTTTAAGACGAAACCGATTTTCCGGAATGTCACAGCCGACGGGCCTCAAGAAATTCCTCTTACGAACAAAGAGTTTTCCTCCTACCTACACCAGATCTTTGATGCAGCTGGCTACAGTGAACATCCGACAATACACTTTTTGCGAAGGAACCTGGCCAAGGAGGTCGAAGGTAAGCAAAAATGAACATCAATACAACTGAGCATGATCCGGTGGTTGACGCCCAATACAGCAAGGTATGGCTCTGCGCCCGTCTCACAAATCCTGGCGCATCGGGATCCAAAAACATTCCCAGATCACTATCAAGCCCATTGCTCCTCTATAGACACAGTCTCGGCCGTTCTTGATGAGAAAGGTGAAACGAAACACATTGAGTACTTCCAGGGCTACACTCAATTTTGTGTGCCTGGTCTTCCTGTTAATTTGCCTGCTCACATCGAGGAAAGCATTTTGATGCTACCTGAAATGGTGGAACTGAGAAGCCGCATCGGAGATCTCAGAAAGTGCAATAATCAGACGGATCTTCGGGACGCGAAGCTGCGTTACAGGAACGCATTGGTTCGGCAACGCCGGTTTAAACTCAAAAGGTATCAAACTTCTTGGGTACAGGCGAGAAGGGATCAAAAAATCCTCAACCGTGGCAAAGAGCAGCCGGTCTCAGTGACAAATGATGTTTGTATACGTGCTCAGAGTTTGATCATGCCTGAAATTGCGCGAATCGCAACAGCGATGTCCCGAACCACTGAGTTGTCCTTCGAAGAGAAAATCATGTTCGTCAAAGACTTACAGACTCAATGCTTCCGCGATTTTGATGTGGTCTACCTTCCCAATGAAAGTCCAATTCATAGTGCCTGTCCGGCGAAAGCCTGCCAGGTCATCATTACAAGGTAAGTGGATCTTCGGCCGTGATTATGCAGCCTCTGACAGATTCAATCAGCTTAAAAAAAAAAGTGAACGAAGCACTCACATCCATGCATGCGTTCGAAGCGAGAAGGCAGCTGGTTTCCAAGTCTCGGAGTCACAAATGCGCTTTTGTTACGAATGTATGGAGTGGTGCTTGTTAAGTGAATGGCGAGATCACTGCAATGCTCATCTCCAGTCGTGGGAAACTCAACACTGTGAAGTTATTATATATCGTCACACAGTAATCCGCCCCGGCTACTGTCCCTTGTGCCTCTGGAATGCGTATCTTCCCGCGGAAGAACGATTGGATTATTGGCTGAAAAGTGGCAACCTGAGGCAACACATCGAAGAACAGCACATGTGTCGGCTCCAGTGGCCTACAACAAAGCCAGTATGCGGTTGTGCCCAAGAATTCGACAATGAGCGTGACCTTCGACATCATTTGCACGACATCCACGGGCTCAACAAAGCTATTTGGTCTAGTCCAAAGCTTCCGAGGAAGAGAAAGCGTGCCTTCAAGACGGAGCTGGAAGCACAAAGATCTTCGACAGAGCTAGAGGAGGAGCGACCCAAAAGGTTGCGCTTTTACCCTCATCCGCCTCCGCGTCACGAACAGCAGCCAGACCAGATATTTGTGCCCATTTCTGCATCGCTTTCGTACGTTGAGGAACATCCCGAACGATATTACTGTTCGGAACTCAGTGATACTCCAAGTGAAAGCAGTAGAAGTAGCGCAGCTGCATCATACTTTCCCGCAGCAGATTCTTCACTCAGCTCCCCGCCAACAACTCCCGGTCTTGAAGTCATTGACCCTCGGATCCTCAAGCCAATTGAACTTCGCATGGGAGATGATTGCGAGCCTTACAACCAAGCAACTGTTCAGCTGGACCCGCCCGATCTCTCTATGGACGAGCTGGCGGCAAAGAACGAACCCTACACTTGCCAAAAGCTGTCTAAACGATCTAGCAAAGATTGTGCTGGCAAAGAAGCAAATGAAAGGCCAGGCAAGGCTTTACGACCAGATTCTCTCATCTCCCCCAGCAATCAAAGGCCGAAGCTTAGGCGTGAGGAGTACCATCATATGCAGGCAGAATCCGACGACAAAACCCTTTCTGGTAATCAAGCCTGTGTCTCGCTCACTCGAGTCAAGCCAAGATCACAGTCACCGCTCAATAATCTGGGTGATCTGAGTACTCGCAAGCTCCGTCAGAAGCTTAATACAAGAGAAAAATGAAAGCTGCTAGAGCTCAAGGCCAAAAATCTGACCTTGAGGCAGATTGGGCTCCACTTTGTAGACATAGATACGGCCTTTCTGCGACAGGCTTGGAAGGATTTAGAACTTCCTCAGCGATGCACCAGATCAGGGTCTAATCGGATGGTCCGTCGGAGATATGCTCGCTAATTGGTTTATGTAACTCGAGCACTACGCTGTGTGTCAATTGTAGTCTATTTGTACATAATTTACTTTTCATAAATAATAGAGACTCAACTCTTCAACATACCTCTGTCTTCTAAGGTCACAATGTCAGTACCCAAGACTCCAGCGAAAGGTATTTGTCGCTAGCGAAAACCAAAAAAATGAAAGATCTTTGTTACATCCTCCAGAGTCAGAATTACTGGGAATACCTTCTGTCAGACAGTAAGCCGTCATTCGTGCTAGACTTAAAGCTGAAGATGTTCGCTGCGTAAAATCGTTATGATAGTGAGTGTGAACACAGCGTGTTCTGGCGAAAACCGATTACAGCGGGCATATCACAAATCAAAACACCGTTACATTACTAGTACATCGTTGCACCGCCACACTTGACATGGCTTGGCTCATGAAGTATTTTATCCAATGTAAGGTAACGTAACTGTTATGTTTTCGTTTGTATGATACAAAATAATCTAAGGCGTGATCTACTTACTGCCATCGAGCTTTTCATATTCTTGATATTCTTCCGAGACCACGAAAAAAATCGAATTGTCGTCGTTATCATTACTTCGATATTAATAGAATCAGAGGAGCTAGAGGAAAGTTTCTTATCCAAGATCCGACAAAAGCATATCGGTCAGTGCCAGCCTGTCCCGAATATTCTTTCATACATTGAGAGCAGGTTAATTATAGGTGCCCAATGAAAGGTGCTTTAAATATTTCCTATTGGGGCTATCCAAGGGTCGGTTCCTGGGAGCAAGCGATGACCCATTTTGCCTGTGTGACGGTTCATGGATGCTTGGGTTTTACCACTACGCCATCTGGCCAAAAAGGCACAATGTTTGGTCAGCGACCAAACAGCCAAGCTACTATATATGCTCGATCTCTGACAGCCTGTTCATGAGCTCCTGGAAGCACCCTTGGTTTGTTCCTAGGAATGATCATAGCCCATGAAGCGCGTTCAGTGGAAGCAGGGTTGGAAACTTGGCTGCACATCGTGCGTATTACTCCTAGGACGAATTGCATGCATTCTGGGGCATGTGCATCAACCTGGTGATCCTGGGAGCGCTGTATGCTCCCTTCTCTACAAGACTGGCTGTTGTTAGGACTATTCCATCGGACACATCGGACAGCAGTTCCAAAGATGAGCTATAAGTACTGGTTGAATTTCCATAAAATATCAGGTTATCAGAACCGGAGAAAAACCACCATCACAACAAGTCGGCTTTCCTTTTGCTCTCGCTGAGTCCTCAAGCTCATTCTACACTCTTTTTCAATATTGAGACATCGAAATGTTTCTCCAGGCTCTCGATTCAGCGGGCGAAAGACACGGGTCGCAACGCAAATCCACTGAGTCCTGCCAATAACTCTTCCGAGAGTCTGACTTCCATAACGGGTATAAATGTGCTGGTAAGGTCAAAGTCCTTCACCAGAAGTACGTCGACCTATGGATCGAGTGAGTGGCCGCGAAATGCTATTTCAGCTTCCCTGTTTGTTGACTTACAAGGTTTCTTGATGTAGGCGGGATGGCTCTACAAAGCTATGAGCTGGAGAAGGAATCTGCCGCCCCAACACTGTTCTGATCAAAAGATTTATCTGGTGGTACACGCTTTCTACGAGAGGCCGGCTTCAACCTGATAGAAGGCCCACGGTGACCACTACTTTGACGTGTGCTACGAGGTTTTCAGGGGCTTTGTGACAGCAACGGGAAGCGCGATTGCTGCAAAGGACTGTTCGGAAACTTACAGGGTCAGTATAGTCCATTTTGCCAAGGCTTTTGATGTTGAAGCCCGCCTTCTCATAGTGGATCAGATTTGATCTGTATGGTCGCGGGACTTATAGGAGAGATCACTAATGAGGCAGGCACAAGACTTAATTTGCTTATTGTGTCTCTGCAAAAGTGGTGCTTTATTTACTGGCCATGATTCTTCTAACTATTGAGCAACGCTGAAAATCAAAGGACAAACTGGCTCAAAATTGCCACTACATTGTTGGGTGAATGGGCCAACTGATCTCATTCAAGTTTCCACCCTCAATTTGACACCCGCCGTTTTCCAGAAGTCACTTTGGTCCATATGATTTTAGAAGACGGTTGTTTTAATAGAAGCTGCCCAAGGTGCATGGGTAACACGCCTCAGTTGACAAAATACACAGAGATAAAATCAGAACAAAAGCATGGCTAGCTTCTTCTCTGGTCAAGAATGTGACCAGGAAGCCGGAAAATATAATTTTTGATAGGAAAATGCGGAGGGCTGGAATTACACAATTCATGTTAGTCTTGGGATTTGAGGTCACCACGACCAACAATGGGCAGGAAGCCCTTGACGCGTGGAAGCACGATTCATTTGACTGCATTCTCATGGATCAGGAAATGCCTGTTACGACGGAAGTTCAGCGGCGCGAGAGATTCGGGCACTGGAAAAGGACAAGGGAACGTATACCCCTATATCGCATATGATTTATCAAGCCGGACTGTCTACGGTAATGAGAAAGGACCCAACGAAATATTAGGTCAGCGGAGAAGAACCCCTACACTATAGTAGATGGAGAAATTGTGATCTTGCTTCAGAACACTGTCTTCGGCCAGAGTGCCCTTAGCTAGCGTAGGTCTGATTGGCTGAAATTGGTAGTCTTGATGTGAGCAAGGTTAAACTGCCCTAGGCAGTGTCAGTTTTGTGAACGAACTTTTAGTCTGATTTATTCAGATAATTCTCTCGCTGCTTACTGAGATACAATCGGAGTGCCATACTTAGTGCACTCTGAACTGCAATGACTCCTTCTTATGCTACTAGAGTCTAAATGCACACGGGGGACGTTCGGCCAAGTTTACCCGCGGCTAATTCTATTCTGATCCGCTATTTAGGCCAGGCGGGTAGCAGTCAACAGTAGACTTCTCCTGGGTATTTAGAGATCAATCTGCGGGGGTTTACGACCTCCGAGCAAATATTTCACATACGTTAAATTATCGCCAGCGGACAAAGATAGATCGTAAACTGCAATACCCTAGTATTCAGGTAGAGGCGGTCTTTTAGGTGTCGAGACGTCGAAGTAGCTAGTGCTTAACAGACCGCGGGGAATTTAAACGGCCGCTGAAAGCTCCTTTGTGCTGTGTAAGTCGACAATAAACGCGAGCGATGAAGAATTATTGGTCACCGAATAATCTTGTGATATAATTGGGGACAGGATGGTGACGTACAATTAGTGCTGAGTAACCCCGGCAAAGTCTGCGAACAGATAATAGCAAAACTAGCATAGTGGGTGAAAAGTGAGGTTGCTTTACTTATTCAGCCGAGTATGTTCACTTTGGCAGAGAGTGAGTGCATAGAAAAACTAAATATTGAGACACAAACTTCATATTCTGACGGACACTTGAACGAACAATCTTGAACGAACAGTCTTGAACGAACAGTCTTGAACGAACAGTCTTGAACGAACAGTCTTGAACGAACAGTCTTGAACGAACACTATATTGACCTTCATAATCTGACGGACACTTGAACGAACACTATCTTAAACTTCATAATCTGACTAACACTTGAACGGACACTGTCTTGAACGAACAGTATCTTAAAACGAACATTATAACAGTATCATGAACGAACAGTATCATGAACGAACAGTATCATGAACGAACATTACCATGATTTGCTTTTAGTATTTAGTGGAGCCACTAATTAATCAAAGCCTTGTCTGCAATTCGCTCGGCCTACAGGCTGGGGAAAGTCTTTATTACCACAGTTAAATAAACATAATTTGACCCATGTTTCCATTGAGGATAAGACTAACACGATCCGCGCCTGCGTGTATTTTTGCCGTAGGGGGATTCTTTAACAGAAATCAAAGGTGTAAATGATATGGTCAAACAAACGATAAAGTTTTGGCTACTTATAGAATGGCCATTTTGAACAGGTTCTAGGTTGAGCTAACCTGATCTGAGCTAAACAGATTTGAGTTAAACAGGTTTGAATTAAACAGCTTAAAGCTCGAGCAACTGAATGAATGTGTAGCCTCAAAGTTACGTGATCTTATACTTTGACTATACTGGCTTGGATATCGCGTAGGCGAGATTATATCTTGTCGTTCTGCGATGATTATTTGCCTCTTTCAGGTATCCTATGCCATTTAAAGGCGGTGTCAATTGCGCGGACACAGGGTGTTTGGACAATGTTGACAGTTTGAGATTTTGAATAGTTCTTGCCAGTTCCACGGACTGTGTAAAATGCCGTGTAAAAATTGAGGACAGATCTTGGCTTCCTCGGCTCAGGTTAAAGCCGAGTAGTAGTCTCCAGCACCGCGAAGAGGTGTCTGTCATTTGCTGGAGGGCGGGCAAGAGAAATCTCATCGCAACCCGACCTGGTACTTGATCCAGGGTTTGTGCATGGCCAACGGTCTGCGTGTGGAACTGAATCCGACCTGAGCCGTAAAGGGACATAGCTCAGGATTTCGTACCTGGTACTTGATCCAGGATTTGTGCAAGACCAGCGGTCTGCGTATGGAACTGAATCCGACCTGAGCCGTAAAGGGACATAGCTCAGGATTTCTTACCTGGTACTTGGTCCAGGATTTGGGTTCGTACTACAGTGGGTTTAACGTTTGCCATAGCCTCGACCTCGATGGGTGGGCTCACAGCAGAAGGCCACTAGTAGCCACATTCAAACGAGGGGCTAAAAGGAGAAGAGGAAACAACGGTGGAGGGCTTGCCTCTATGCTGGACCCTATGGGGCCCTGTACATGCCAATAACGCAAAATGGGACTTTAACCCCAGCGCTGGCATCCAGCTCCCAATCGGCAGGTCCTAGAACTACGCATCAACGCGCAGTTAACTGAGAGCGCCGTTTTATCCGGAAATTTGTATTGTCCTGACAAATGGGCTAACCAAACATGAACTACATGGCTTAAGCCACAATAATGATTCGTCGATGATGTGGCGCTGGGCTAAGCGAAGAGTGATTTGGGCTGTGTGATCGACGCTTGCTGGGGCTGGCCTCTTTTTCGACCACAAGGCCCGCTTTCGCAGGTACAACACTGTGACCCAAATAGTGCATTATGGCGAAGAAACAGCAGAAACGTAGCTATACGGAATTTGTGTCATCTTGGGTAAGAATCGTGAACGAGTCTTCTGTTAGTCGTGTGTGAAATAACCATAGCAACGGGTCTGTCTGGAATCTCTGTCTCTCTCTCTCTCCCTCAAGACAAATTTGTCTAGCGATTATTTCAAACATGCCGGTCGTTGACATGCTGAAAGCCTGGCGAGATTGCCTCGTGCGGTACCCATAAGTCACTTACATAGGACAGGGCCGTCATTTCCCTAGCACGGGCAGAATCCACCAGTGGACGGCGGCCTCGTTCCTTATCCCTTTGGCTTCATGGATACATTGCTTGGGGAGATGTTGGAAACTCTATTCTCAGTAGCGGACCACAGCCGAAGCATTCAAGGGCGGCATGGGTGCTGTTTATTTATCAGGTGTATATAAAATACAGTAACAGGCCGAGCCGCCAAACAAAATACACAAACCTTGTTTTGTCCATTTCCGGATCGACCGTGCCGGGGCCCACACCCGCCGGAACGTGCGGATTCTCCACTATCTCCACTATGTGTCTCAGCCTTAGGCTCGGACATTCGATGAATATCAATTTCCGATCAGTGGGACATTTTCATCTGAGACATTCTGATTCTCTATTTTGGAGACCTCTTATGACAACCGCGAGATGCATCTTGAAACCTGGGAAAACATTGACAACATGAAAGGCCTGGCATACTTCGCAGTCATTGCCTCGGTGCAGGCTTCAAAATTTGCGCACCAGTCCCTCCATCGTGGGGCTACCAGTAGTCCGAGCTGTAACACCTACACAGTGAAGGATGGAGATACTTGTGCAAAAATTGGCAAGTCGAGTGGAGCCACATGGGCGCAGTTGCTCTCATGGAACCCCGATATCAACCGCGAGTGCTCGTATGTGATCTCAGGGACATCATGATTGATGATAGAATGCAGCTCAACGCATGATTTTCTAGGAACCTCGGTGACTTCTCTGGTAAGGATATTTGCATCAGCAATCCTGCGGGAGACTATGCAATTCCTGTCCCTAGTTCCACAACCTCAAGCAGTGCAACCGGCTCGCAGAGCATTATCACCACGACTGCGTATGTCGTCTGAGTTATTACAAATCCTCTAGCGTTGTGCAAATAGCGACCTATCACACCATCCCGTCTTAGATAAAGCTTCAAGAAAGTTCTCAGTCAATATTGTGTCGCCTGTGGGCGCCGTTGGTGACTCCACCGGTGATCTATTAGAGCTCGGGACCACATAGTTTGAACTAAATGTACGGTGATATATGCTCTGCCTAGTCGACCCCTTTGTGACGAGCCCTGATCTAGCTAGTGGAGCATGGGGCCAAAAATTGATGGTAAACAACCCCGCAATTGGAGGTGGTCCTTTACGCGCCGTTGGTGATGGGGCTACGTGATCACTGTCGTTCTTCCAGCCTAGTCCAGGCAACTTTGCTCCAATCTCAAAGGTAAATATTTGCATAATCCCAATCCCGTTGTAGCGGAATACCTCCCTACCGTTGGTCAGGTATCTATGCTGCGTCCAACAGCGATCAGACCCTTCGAACGCAAATGAATCGACCCACGTCGCTACCATCGGCCCCGGAACCTCCCTGGCGACCTCGACATCGAGCTATATAATTCAGGCAACAGAGCAATGTCACACGGTATTTGTCCGACTATTCGGACAGGTGGCCACCTGACCATAGGCGGATTGGGTCCGACAGCGCGTCAGTGGGGTCTGGCGCTCGACCATGTCGAGGAAGTCGAGGTTGTGTTGGCGAACTCGAGTATTGTGCGGGCATCGGATACTCAGAACCAGGATATTTTCTTCGCTATCAAAGGTGCTGCTGCTAGCTTCGGGATCGTCACGGAGTTCAAAGTGCGCACGGAGGAGGCACCCGGGCTCGCTGTTCAGTATTCGTTCACGTTCAACCTGGGAACTCCCCATGAGAAGGCGAAGCTCGTCAAAGATTGGCAGGCGTTCATAGCCCAGGAGAACCTCACCTGGCAGTTTTACTCCAATTTGATCATCTTCGACGGCCAGATTATCCTTGAGGGTATTTTCTTCGGCTCGAAAGAGCAGTACGACGCGCTCGAGCTTGAGAAGAAATTCCCCACAAGCGAGCCCGGTACCGTGCTAGTCTTGACGGACTGGCTGGGTATGATTGGTCATGGACTAGAAGATACCATTCTGAGACTGGTCGGAGACTCGCCGACCTGGTTCTATGCCAAATCCCTCGGATTCACCCCGGACACGCTCGTTCCTGATTCCGCTATCGAGGAATTCTTTGATTACATCCACAAGACCAACGCCGGCACTTTGGCCTGGTTTGTCACGCTCAGTCTGGAGGGTGGAGCCATCAACGCCGTGCCTGAGGATGCCACGGCCTATGGTCACCGCGATGTGCTTTTCTGGGTCCACCTCTTCGTAGCCAACCCGCTTGGACCGATATCCCAGACCACATATAAATTCACCGATGGTCTTTATGATATTCTAGCTCAGGCTGTGCCAGAAAGCGCGGAACGCGCATATCTCGGTTGCCCAGATCCTAGGATGCCCGATGCCCAGCATGCATACTGGCGTAGCAATCTTCCAAGATTGGAAGAGCTGAAGGAGGAATTAGATCCCAAGGACATATTCCATAATCCGCAAGGTATTCAGGTTGCCTCCTGATATGCCATTGGTTGGAATTTGTATATATAATGTTTAATAGTAATGGAGGAAGACCGCGTGCACATGTGACTTTTCGAAAAGAGCTTTCAGGATGCAAGTACTCACCACGTATTTACAAAGACCGACAGTGGAGCGGTGAAGATAAGATATCCCAAGTGGAAACAGGAACCCCTCGTTCACGTTCACGACGAATAACAACCGTCCACTGGACACAGGCAGGAATAGGTTGTGACGTGATTGCTACTGCACCTCATCCCATTAAACTCTAACCTACGTTACCAATCATCCGCACTACCTACACCTCCGGCCAGAATTCATCAATTTTCTCCCAAGACATGCACATCTCGTCACCAGCGCACATCATCCATAGATCGTAACGTCAAGCCTCCCAGCGTATCAGGGAAGTCTTCTCTCATCATCTCGGTCTTGTCGGATTTCTCACGACAACATGTAATCACGATGACCCACGAATTCGAGTAGGTACACCCGCCTGCAGATCTAGAATAGACTTATACTAATCATTTCAGATGTCCATATGCTGTCGGCAGTGTGATCAAGATTCACTTAAAGACACCAGGTGGATTGGAGGCAATAGCAGACGCTCATATCACTAAAGTCTTCGAGCCATTCACTCTTTCCTCTGTGATGCTTATTCGGATGGCCTGCTCCTCTTTAAGATTGGAAGGCGACATGATTTTGAAGCTTTTTGATCGGCGATTTGCAACGCAGCTTCGGGATTACGAAAAGATTCGGCCCTGGACCCCAGGCCTAGAGACTGAGTACCATCAATTCATCCTTGATGGTGGCGCATCGGAGTTTGTTGCTCAGCTCAACGACGGTGAAACACCTGAAGGCAGTACGTGGAGTGCAGCTATGGACGAAACTTATCTTCATGATCACATGTTGGATCTGTACAAGACAGAGGTCCAGGTATACAGCAACCTGAAAGAGATTCAAGGCACCGACGTACCGAATCTCCTTGCATCCGCTATTATGCCTATTCCCTACCCAGATCAAGCGAGCAGCGAATATACCGATATTCCTGGGATCCTTTTGCAATATATCGACGGCTTCCCATTGACCGATATTGAGGAATATATACCAAGGGAAAGCTGGCAGGCCATCTGTGAAGACACCATTCGAGTTATTGATCGTATCGGTGATCTGGGAATACTTAATGAGGATGTTCAAACGAGGAGTTTCATTGTGCGTGAGGACGCGGGGAATGGATTCAAGGTGACCATGATCGATTTTGCACTATGCAAATTCCGTCAAGACTATAAAGATGTCTATGACTGGGATAAATGGAAATCGATACAGGACGAAGAGGGGGCAGTGGGGTATGTCATGCAGAGGCGTTTAAAAGGTGGATTTTCTTACCATCGATCTGCTCGATACGAAAAGCTTGATGAGGAATTCAGAATGGGTCAATGAGCTTTAACCAGCGGAGGGTCGGGGTTAGGGGTTGTCGATACTAGTAATGGCCTTCTTAAAAAAGCATAGTTAACTAGTGAAGAGGGGAAGGCTCAAGGCTGTGTGCTCTGAGGCACACGGGTCGATTCAGCAGATACCACCTAGCGTAGACTTCAGACCAGATGTAGCAAAGAGGTTGGGCGCTTGCGTACAAGCAGTCAAATATGAGAGGTGTAGGAGTGTGTATTGCTACTAAAGGCTACCTCGCGACTATATCTGCAGCTCAAAACTGCTGACGTAAGGAACGCTCACGTGAAAACAAAGGGGGAAGCATGCCTGTAGGGGGAGCCTGGAGTTCACACCTCCCCACTACACTAGGTACTACCTCAGAAAAGGTAGTAGTGTAGTGGGGAGGTCACGGAGGTGTGACCTCCCCCTACAGACATGCTTCCCCGAGGCAGCTTTAGTTGAATAACACACTCCTACACATCTCTTATTTAGTCTGCTTGTGCGCAAGCGCCCAACCTCTTTGCTTCCCTCTGGTCTGATGGCTATGCTAGGTGGTAGCTGCTGAATCGACCCGTGTACGGTGTGTCTCAGAGCACACAGCCTTGAGCGTTCCCCTCTTCATTAGCTAACTAGGTCGTGGAGTGGAGCTAACTACGGAGTAGCGTCGTAGCGGAGCAATCTCTGTAGTACTACGTAGTTACTAGTACACAGTACTGGTTTGTTGCAGCCTCTTGCAGGGGCCAGCAGCAGGGCACGGACTGTCTTTCTAGAACCCAGACGGACTTATCGCCCAACGTCTCACCAGGAGATCTTTGTGCGCTTTTTCAAACTCACAGTGAGTTGCTGAGCCGGGGGTGTTTTTGATTTAATAGTTATGGCAAGAATGGTTCGTTTACATTTACCATGGCAGAACAGGGATAAATACCAACGGAGGTGGGTCCAGCTTGACAAAAAGAAAACCCACCTTTCACATGACAGCACGTGACTTTGGGTGCAGTGGGTTTAGGGCGGGGTGTACGTTTATCGTTATCGCTCCATCTTTTAATCTTCTCCCAAAATTATCCCTCTCTAGTTCCATATTCCATACACCATACATATGGATCAATTCAAATTCAAAATCAATGATCGTTTCTCCATTGATCAATCCGACTGGTACAAACAAGATAAAACCCCAACCATCCGCGCCGCGGGGAAAGCCGATCCTGCATTTCTGGAAGCCATTTTGGCTTATTATGCAAGATATGGCAACGATGAAAGCCTGCATGGTACAAAACGCCATCAAATAGAGACACTCTCACCAAATTATACGATATCGGGAGCAATTAATGGTCTCTGGGAGTCTCCATTGACAGCTGCTATTCGCGCCAATCTGCCACACAATGTTCGACTTCTTCTGGATGCGGGCGCAGATCCGAACGGTATTCAGCTAAGGGATATGGAGGACTATTCAGTCCGGTTCATTCGTGGTCGCCATTTCCAAGACGATGTATCTAGCTTTTCTATGTGCGCTCGTCGTGCTCTTGTTTTAGAACAAGCACAAGCGAAAGGCATCAGTCAACAGCTCTGCCCTTTGACCCAGACGGAGCTCGATGAACGGCGCCGTGGGTTTCCTCGTTTCTGGACGGAACCAAATCTCCCCGGTCAAAGACTTAGGATGGACCGGGCTTTGACAGGATTAGAGGTTGCTGCGAAGATAGGCAGTCCTGAAATATTTGGCATCCTTCGTGCCGCTGGAGCAGATGAGTCTGCGTGGGTGAAACCCACGTCAGACAATGAAGCAGACCAAGTGCAGGAAGGAAGCTACTCGGTATCAGCTCTTTCCAGATCTTCGCCTGTTCATGAGGCTATTGAGGCTGGCAATCAATCTATGTTCCGGTACCTTCTCTCCTCCTGCGGGTATTCTCCTAACTATCTGCCTCGAGCGGCTTCAACCATCTGTCTCCCACCACTGTCATACATCATCGCCTGTTGTGATTTAACCAATAGCGGCGTGCAGCGCTGTCTGGTAGATCTACTATCCCACCCTCAGCTCGAGCCCAATCTGCGCACACCTGTTTTTAACGTGCATGTCCTCCACTTTGCAACCGCACATCATGATCCAGACCTTCTTTTATGGTTGGCAGCTTCCATCCCTGGTGGACTTGGTAGTGCGGGGACAACGGCTCTAGGACATACGCTACTTCACATTGCTTCGTTGCCTCTCACTTCCAATCAAACTGCACTTTATAATCCAGATGTCGCGGAGAGTATACATTGTGCCCGCACGCTTGATTCTAAGTGGTTTTTTCATATACTGCCAAGCCCTCTACATATCCAGTTCCCAAAGCCACAGGAAGGCCCCCGAAAACCACAACCACTGACGGATTCCCAACGACAGGCACAAAATGCAACCATTCAGCTTTTATTGCAATGGGGAGGGATTGATGTCAGGGCAGAGGATGTCGACGGCAATACCGCTTTACATTACTTAGCTGGGACTATCAATGTTAGTGAGGATATTGTTGAGATGGTTCGACAGGCGGATGGAGGTGAAGAAACGTGGGAGAACGCGACAAACTGCCATGGCATTACTCCACGACAGATGTGGTGTAAGTGAAATGCAAGGCAAAGATGACAAGGGAAGGAATATTAGTTTCAGCCTTCAATTTCATGCCTTGTCATCGCAGAGGATGTCCTAGTACCTCTTCTTTCCGTCATACTGGCTTGATTGCTTGAGGCTCGAATTCTATGATTAAGCTCCTATATTTATGTTGCATACTGAGATAGGAAGTGTATTAGTCCCCGCATGTGCTGCGTCTCATTCTAGATATTGTAAAAGGGGAGCGCCCAAGGCTGTGTGCTCTAAAGAACAAGGGTCCATTCAGCAGCTACCGCCCAGCATAAATATCAGACCAGTGGGAGCAAAGAGGGCGCACAAACGAGAAATCAAAGGAGTGGACAGGGCCACAGGGGAAGCACGCCAGGCTGTAACCTGTAGGGGGAGCCTGGGAGGTCACACCTCCCCACTACAATATCAAAAGTATCGCCTAGTCTGGAGAGGCTAGTGGATGATATGTCAATGTGGAGAAACTGTGTGAATCTGCTATCATTGACTAGCTACTCAAAAGTGGTGGACTGAGGAGAGAAAGAGAGAAGGAGGAGGAAGAGAGGAGAAAAGGTGCTACCTAACAAGGGGGGTGCATTCTGATTTCTGGCAGACAAACATGCAGCCTGAGGCACCAACGCCTCAACAGTTGAGGGCATCATAACTATCAAAAAGGAAAGTTAATTCGCTGCTGCCATGGCCCATATACGACCTACAATCTAGTTTGAGTCTCAGTGCCTCAATTCCAATCATGCTATTGGTAGCACTAGCACGTCCCTCGGACCTTCATATTGAATCATAAGAAACACAATTGCCCATCTTTATCATCAATTATCAAGTCCCAAATCCCAATGCACTCCGACGGAGCCATTCCTTCTCGACGACTCCCTGTAAATATGAAAAGCAATCAAAAATGCAAACATTGGAATGTGACGAAGGTCACTGAACATGATATTGTTCAAGATGAAGCCGTCGTCCAACTCAGAGTAGGAACAACACAGTAGGCGCTTCCAATCACCAATGCCGTTGAACAATTGGAGCCCGATAAGGACGGGTTGAGCTGAAGGAAGAGCGCAGAGGTGATTGACTCCTCAACGCAAATCGTAGCGCAATTTTCGCCATGCGAGAAAACATGCCATCTCCCGCATTCCAGTGTAGAACCTTCCGCCACAGTGGCGTTGGATGGAGCGTCTACAGCAGTCCGTGCGTAGCCTGTAGTTTTTCCTGGGCCCAGAGTTACTCCAGGAATTGGAGCTGTTGCTGTGTGGTTTCCACCTTCAACACCAAGGCATAATATGCGACCAAATGATTGCGTCGAGCTCTGAAGGTTAGAGCAGTCGAATTCAACCCAGGAGTTATACCGCCGCACATCGCCAGGAGACAGTATATTGGCAGATTCAATCGACTTGCAAGTATCGTTATTTTGCATGAGGTACGTGCTCGCACAAGTGGTGGGCAGGCAAAGGTTCATACTTGAAGGTAGTTCGTCGCATATCATGAGCTGGCGGGAGTTTGCCATTACCAAAGCAGCAGAGGACACACCATACTTCAATGCAATAGAGTCGCATGTGTCACCAGAAACGGTTGTGTGGAAAGCACCAGACACACAAACAGGCTCAGGCGGGAACTGCGGGGGAGCATCCAAAGACGGCGGCATTGTTGTGGGCCCTGAGAGGCCACATTGAGCATGAACAACTTCCAAATCCACTTGGAAGTATTTATCATAGACTGAATAAGACGAGTTTTGCATCATCTCCAGCCTCTTGACAAAGCAGAAGGAGCAGAGTTCACTTTCAGGCATGTCCTTGGTATAAATGACCTCACTAAAACCATCGATCACGTCTAGGAGTCATATGATAAGCTTCGTCATCTTCCAGGATATCTAGGTAGGTTCGTAGAGAATCTCTCACCGTTACAGTAATCCCCCGTCGCCGGATCTTTCAGACAGGTCTCATTCCACCCAGACCAGATCTGTCCTCCGTATTTGGTAGGAGCCGAGCCAGAGACGTTGTATCCAATACAAGTAGTCTGCACACTGTCAAACCAACTCTTCAACGATGCTCCACAAGTTCCATCGCAAATTGAATCTGTAAGGGTGTCATTGTTCAGACTGCCCCGGTACGTATCCCGAAGGAACATCTTCGCCCACGGGTCACACTTGATTTTCTGTGAGAGAGACGTCTTGCATGCAGAAGGAAGAGAGGACAGAGTCTCTGTGTCGGCACTCCACACTGTAAAACCTGGGAACTCTCGACTTCCAATGATGTCTTTGGATTTCCTGACCCAAGCCAGCAGAGACGATAAGAATCCATTTTTGTTGGCAGCGGCGTAAGTTGGAGTTTCGCCCGCTGGGCTCACCATCTCACGGATAGCCTTGGTGACCAGGTTATAGACCCAGATATCGAAGCTCTCCTCGATTTCGAAAGCCCGATCTTGACAGAGGTCGTTATCCACGCATGTCTGTGAATAATCAGAGAACCAGCTATAGAGTCCTGGAAACAGTCAACATTGGGTGTGAACATATATGAAACTGGGCAGACTTACCAGCGCCAAGAAGATACACTGAAGATGAATCAATGATTCGCAAGGCCCAGGAGACAGGGCATGTGGTTGAAGCGGCAGTACAATCTGTAAAATCGGGATCGGCTGGGAAATGACCGACTATGAACGGCTGCGGGGCCCGGGGGACAGGCTGGTAGTATGGAGACTCGGTTTGAATCATGCCCATAACGATATCTTTGGCTTGATAGAGTTCGTACTGATAGAGAGCATGGTGCTCAGAAGATGTGCCATATAACCATGTGGGACCCTGGCTTTCAATCAGAATTCCACGGGCGGCGTAGATGTCAATCTGATCTTGGGAGACTTTGTCAAGGTCGTGGTCTGCAGTCCATACCCAAACATTTTCGAGGTACGCAGAGGAGCTACGTGTCATTCGCAGAATGAGAGCGGCTGCGATGCAATCCTTTTTCACAATTCCGCTTTCCTTGGGGCAATCACTGGTCTGCAAATTGGAACCCATAGCGCCTCCAACACGGAAATGAGAGTCTTGATTCATAAGAAGTTAGAAAAGTCATGCCGGATAAACATCAAAAAAGGCCAACGGATATATATAGAAGCCGGAGCTGGGGTCATCTTACCCCATAGTCCAGCCGAGCCTTGTGTCGATTCGTGAAGGTTCCACTCCATGAGGATAGCTCCGGCTGTAGGACCGGAGACTGTGAACAAAAGGTCTTGTATCTCAACAATACCAACGTCCATCTCCTGTCCCACTCTGATAGCAACGTGCGGACTGCTCATATCTTGGAATTTGGGACCAGTAGCCATGATCTGGGACCAGGCTTGTCCAATAATTCGGGAGTTTTTTGGAATCTTCAGAGTATCCTTGATGACATAGATACCATGAGGGAAATAGACAATGGAAGACATGTTTGACCCGAGCGAAAGGATACTGTTCAAAACGGTCGTGTCGTCAGTGACACCATCACCTTTGGCTCCCAGTGCCTTAACATCCAAGACTTGAGTATTTCCAAGATCAGCGTATTTTGGCCTGCGGCGAGTAAAGAAGTTGGGTTTGACGTTGTAGATGTTACTGCCAACAAGAGAAGCAGTCCGATTCATTGCCAAGAGGTTTTCTCCAGAAGCAAAACGTGAACCGCTTGGGTCATTTACCATTCCGAATCCCCAGGAATCGAGTACAGTGGAATCACCACCGGGGACAAGGGCCTTCTGTGCGTTGTCATCATATATGGAGTTTTGGGTGTTGTAGAAGCCAACATTCTGCAGAAGCAATGCGGTGGAGTTCTCGTTGAACAGAGTAGTCTTGATTCCAGTGGGAGTATTGGCGATGACAGCATCAATCAGAGCGAATGAACCAACCCCTTGACCGGTACTAAATGGACCACCAGCCTAGATTCAATGATTAGAATTCAGAATGCATCGCGTTTGTCAATGCGACAATAGGTGTGTCACTTACTCCACCGACAATGATAACACCGGTGCCGCAACTCTCAACGACGACATCTTGCATAGTCCATGCCCAGTCCCAATGAATTTGGAGCGCTGTATTGCAGTTTACAAATACCAAATGACTAGTAGTAAACTGCTGGTTACCTAGGTAAGCACTGATCAAACAGTCAGTCAGTATGTGATCCATCTTCATGAAGCCAATCATGCTCACCCAAAGTTTCCACCAACGAAAGTCAGATCGCTCATGAATCCACCACTTCCATTCTCCATGTATATTCCTTGTTGGGTCGTGTTTGCATCTTGGGTCATGTATATTTCAAGGTTCTCAAGCGATGTTCCTTGCGCGACCTGCCAATGAATGGCGCAAATATATGCCTGTTGATCTGTTCGGGTGATGTCGATTTTGAAATTACGGACGCTGCGGAAGAAATTGTTTGTGTTGAGATACCATTCGTCTTGGTCCCCAACATAAACATTTGAAGTCACAACACCGAGACCTACAAAGCTGGATGCCGCAAGAATGGTAGGAAGCTCTAGAGGCTATTCAGTACATTAGTATGAGGTACACATACGAACATATGGTAGGACCGTAGGACGGTAGAACGGGAAGAAATTACTCACATCACCAACCAACTGAGTGTTGTAATACTGGATGATCGAAGTGCTGACCAAGTAGTTCCCTGGTGGAAAATATACAACAGCTGGATAAATTGTGCTGGAGCCACAGTTGGCTCCGCAACGACCACCGTCGGAGATAGCAAGATTGATAGCATCTGGGAATGGTTAGCGTGTTGCCGCACTAGTGATTATTATAGGTTTGATAGGTCACAAACCAGTGTCGTCAGTAACGCCGTCGCCTAGAAACGGTTAGATGCTTCATTCCATGAGCCCATTAGGTCAATAACTTAGTAGGCTCACCTTTAGCGCCATAGTCTTTCACATTTCTCCAAACCTTGAAATATAATTTAGCATCCGGAACAACGCCCATATATGTTGAATGTTCCATGGTTGTAATTACCTTATATCCAGAAGGAGCGTAGGGGCTGCTTCCGCGTTGCGTCATGGTTGCCATCCACCAAGTTGCTGCCGCTCGGCTTTTCAAACTTCCATCACCGGTATAGCCAGGGACAGGTGCAGACTCATTGGTATCTGCCACATATTCAGACAGTCCATCTTGCGCCCGCAAGACCTGCTGTGGGATCAACGTATCTTTGGCCTTACTTCCATACTTTGCGCGCATCTCAGCAGCAACGGCGCTGTGGTTACCGGTGGATGGAGAAGGAGGCTCTGACTCGGCAATGATTCTAGCGGCCGTTCTGAGCTCCACAGGAATCGAATATCCATATTGCGTAGTTGCGTTAGAATCTCTCCGATTGAGAGTTTTCCGTGTGCTTTCCATTTGATCAATGGCCTCCTCGCTATAGTCAAGTTCAGACGAAGCGGAGTCATTGGAGCGAAGACTACTTGGAGTGCCAAGTTCGTATTTGTTGTATTGAACATTGTCCAAGCGAAGTTTGTTTCTCAAACTCAAGACTTTCAACGCTCTGGAGACAGCCTCGGCTGAATCTGAAGTGCTCTTGGAGAAAGATGTAGCACTCGTCGTCGTTGCGTGAACCTTGACCAAGGAGGAAGAGATTTCCCGTCTGGACAGGTCGTGAGCCCTTACATGGATATCATCGTGATGATGATCATGGTGATGATGAGAGCTCTGCGCAAGAACACCCAGCTGGATCACGAGCAAAAGAGCTTGCCAAACCCGCATGGTGCAATGAAGGAGATGTTGCACCTACTCGCTGAAATGGTTTATTTACGGAGAAAGAGCAACGCGACCATGCCTAGAGTTTTCTGGTTTTTTGTCCTCGCTTCCTCTTGCTATTTATTCGAATTTGGTGCACTATCTATTGGCCAAGAGTTACCAGTCGGTTAGCTTCATCTGCGAAGCCTACGGGGAGTATTTCCTTCCAGTTTTTGGGTCATTTCGTCCAAGGGATACTACCTTGACCGGGATTCCCAAGGACGGAACCTACTTCAACCAAAAATGGAATTGGCGGAGGAGTCGGGAGGACCCCGAAGAAATTTGTGGGATGGCCTAGTGACAGGTCTAGCCGAGTTAGTCTCACCCTAATAGTCCCAACCAAGGCCGAAAAGACTGCTCGTGTACTCCGTACTGCGTATCACCAGACTCCAGAGCATATCCACCGGACCACCTCTCCACCTCGCTTAGATCTGAATTATCCCTGAGGTTACCTAACTAACCCCTAGACTACTAACTAGTTGACTACTGAGCGATAATTGCGTTTCCTTTTCGGAAAAAGTATCAATCCTACTAGCGCTGTCTCAGATTTGGAACGCGACTAGCCTTGAACTAAAGACAATGTAAATGGAGTAGCCGGAACAAATGATAAGGAGGGAAGCAGATACTTACTCTTGGCGTGCTGTTGCTTCTCGGAAATCAAATCAAGTACTAGTTAGGTATTCAACTTATGTACTAGAAATATAATAATAATAACTACTAAGTAATTTCTTCATCTTTGGCGGGTGACATTTTCTTTTCATGATAAAACCGGTTACGGCTATCTTCCTCTTTCCGTTCTTCGCTTTTGCATAGAAGAGAAGAAATTCACAAGTCCTTCCTGATCATGGCGCCAATGAACAAGTCCGTCTCGTTGGTGTCTGCCGTGTTCTTTTTCATGCTGTTATTGGGAATTGTTGTACCTGTGTTAGCCCAGAATTGTAGCAAAAATAATCCATGTGCAACTGGATGCTGCTCAAAAGACGGCTGGTGTGGGACAGGTGAAGACCATTGTGGGGATGGCAATTGTGTTGACACCTGCGACTTCAAGCTCCAATGTGATGCAAATACTCCCTGCGAAACAGGATGCTGGTACGAATCCAATTGGAACTTTTGCCTCCTCTCACTGCTGACGATTTCAATGGCACAATGAAGCTCAAATGCAGGATACTGTGGACTTGGCCCTGACTATTGTGATCCTAAAGTGTGCGTCTCTGGCTGTGATGCCAAAGCCGAATGCGATCCGGGCTTTGGCTTGGACTGGGCAGAAAAATCAAAATGTCCTCTAAATGTCTGCTGTTCTGATTTTGTACGTCAATACAATCTGATATTGGACCTCTTGTACCATCTTCGGTGGAGACTCATTTACTAATGGTCACTTTCTTTCTCGTGTATAGGGTTTCTGTGGAACGACTAAGGAATTTGTGAGTAGCCTTTCGACACCTTCAGGGTTGCTTCAACTAATGCTAGGCAGTGCGGAAATAGAACCTTCTCCCATTCAACTTGCGACAAGAAGACTTCTACGTTGGATCGTGTTGTTGGGTACTATGAGGCGTGGTCGGCTCGCCGTTCGTGCAACGCCTTCTGGCCAGAACAGATTCCCATGGGGGTTTACACACACATCAACTTTGCTTTCGCGGCCATTGATCCTGTCACCTTTGAAGTGCGCCCCGACCAGACCCAAGATCTTGCACTACTCAAGCGAGTGACAGATTTGAAGACCCTGGATCCTGATCTCAAAGTCTTGATCGCTCTTGGCGGATGGACTTTCAATGATCCTGGGCCAACGCAAACAACATTTTCTGATATTGCACGGTCAAAGAAAAACCAGCAGAAATTCTTCAAATCGCTTCTCAATTTCTTGTCTACTTACAACTTGGATGGTGTTGATCTGGACTGGGAATATCCCGAGGCTGATGATCGTAATGGCCGTCCTGAAGACTTTGCAAACTTTCCAACCTTCATGGCCAACTTGAAGAGTGCCTTGGATGGCTCTGGAGGACGAAATGAGCTTTCAATTACGCTCCCTGCATCTTATTGGTACCTTCAACATTTTGATATTGTGAAGCTTGAACCTCACGTGAGCTTCTTCAATATCATGTCTTACGATTTGCACGGAAAATGGGATCTTGGGAACCAATGGACTGGTGAGTATCTCAATGCGCACACCAACCTCACGGAGATTGATAAGGCAATGGAGCTGCTATGGCGCAACAAAATTGATTCCTCCAAGGTTGTTATGGGTCTTGCATTCTACGCCCGCGCATATACCCTTGTTGACTCAGGTTGTGTCAAGCCAGGCTGCCTTTTTGCATCAGGCGCAAATGAGGGAAATTGCAGTCGTGAAGTGGGAATCTTGTTGAATAGTGAGATTGACACAATTGTCAATGACAAGGATCTCACCCCTACATTCTACGAAGATGCTGCCGTCGAGGTGCTCCATTGGGATGACCAGTGGTTATCTTACGATGACTCTAAGACCCTTAAGCTCAAGGTTGACTACGCACGTGAACAATGCCTGGGAGGTGTCATGGTTTGGGCTATAAGCCACGATACAAAAGATGCGAAGTACTCTAAAGCACTGGGAGGGGTTTCTGAACGAACCCAAAAGACACTACCAGGCATCTTCCAAGAGGAATATGCGGATATTGAACCTGAAGACCCCTACATGACCAAAGTGGAGAACCACGCCCAGTGCAGGTGGTCCAATTGTGGCGATTACTGTCCTGCAGGATGGTTAATGATGACTCGTGATGATGATTGGAGCACCACCGCCAACGAAATCATGCTTGATGATACTGCTTGCACATCTCCGCATGCTCGAAGACTTTGCTGCCCACCCGGCGAAAAGGCCCCAAAGTGCGGGTTCTATTCCTTCAGAGGCGGAAAATGCGACGGCAGTTGTCCCTCCGGTTACCGTGAGGTTGGGTCACTCACGAGAGGTTGTCGACGTGGTTACCAGGCAGCTTGTTGTACCATGGAAGATGATACCAAAAAGTTGTTAAACGCTACGAGGCTCTACGACAATTGTGACTGGGCTACAAGTCCAGAATGCAATAGTGGAAAATGCACCTTTGGCGGCTCAGCATGGCCCACGGAATTCGTCACTTCTACCACTGGTAGTGGCGCCGATTTCTGTGATATAGACTACGACAAATCCTACTGGGACGACGATATTTCCTTTTGGAGGTATGTGTTTCAAAAGCGCAAATACTGCTGTGATATATCTGATAAAAACTCCACCTGGGGCACATGCACCTGGAGAGATGATATTGAAACCTACGGCACAACTGGAAAGACGTGTATGTCCGGCTGCAAATCGAACGAGATCAAAGTTGCACTGGAAGGAGGCGAAGAGTGCATTGGCAATGGTGGCGGAGCAAAAGCATATTGCTGTACAGGGACCTATAAAGCCTCACAAAAAGTTCTCGTTCCCTCGCTGGCAGAATATGAGAATGACCTTGCTGCTTGGGTGAAGGATCCTGTTTGCGGTGCTTCCGGTGGTCTTAGCAAGAGACAACAGAGCGTCCTCAAAGATACGCACTGGCTCGCAGTTCTCCATATTGCGCAAAAGCTGATCCGAGGCGGCGCAACGGGGAGTGACACCAAAACAATGACCTACACAAAAGATATGTGGGACAAGTATCTAACGGATAAATGGGAGAATTTGTCAAGTGATAACATCATTGCCTGGACCAATGACGAGGACAGAAACCCTGATGCACATGAATATAGCCCGCAGGAATGGGCATCTGAAATCATGTGCTCTTTGGATGAATACAATGGGATACTTGCGGACGATTACATGGACCCTGGGAAAGTCTGTGTGCTTGCTTGTCCGGTGGCCAACAACAAGCGATCAGTCCGTTCTAAAGATGGTCTGGTAATACGCAATATCAGGCAGTCTGCGGCCGTGTTATCATCCACCGAAACAGCTGAGGGACAGCCAAACTGGGGTAAGCTAATCACTCCAATCTCGCGCACTCTGGTACTGACTTTAAAAAGGATTTATTGTGGAAAGAATTATCGATGGTTCGATGCCATTTTTCTATGAAATGGTCATATATACTAACAGAGGAGAAAACATTATTGAGAGTACGTATCCCACCAAATGTATAGCAAGTTCACAACTAATACTCGACAGTGGTCTGGGAACTTCCTGGTGAGGAATACCGTGAATATCAGGACGATAGATGGGCAGTCTTCCATTTTCATTTCGAACATCTGGCAGACCGTGATGGTATCATGAGACCAGGAATATACGCCATCAACGCTTTTCATGCCCAGGCATTCGAAAATGAACATCCACGCGCTCGCGTGGATGGCAACAGACGGCAAACTCTCAACACGCGCGCCGAAATTCTAAGATGTGAAACTCAGAACGAGAGTAATGCCGAAACGCTATTCTGGTATCCGGGAGACATTCCCAACGCATCCATGCCAGACGATCTCCCTACCTGGGCCCAGCGACTGACTCGGTTTGGAAATTACTTGTGGGATGAGGATATGATCACTGCTGAGGCGTTTACTGCGGCAAACAGGGGTCAATTGACTACTTCTGAGTATGAGACGGGAGATCCTACGTGTCCATTGCGCGAGGAGTTTGGTTGGAATGGTTACGACAGAAGCCAACCCTTTACGCCCGATGGGCAAATCCTAACGCAACCCAATAACTAGGGCTCGCGGGATGATGTATCTCTTTTCCTGAACTTTGTTGTCAATGTGTTTCTCGTGTCATTGCCCGGACAAACGCTATGTCCATGACATTCTCAAATTTCTTTCAACCCTGGAACATGGATGTTGGACTGGTGTCCTCTGTCTAATCTACCCTATATATTTGGTACACATCACCGCAACCAGGTACCTACCTGAAGTGGAACATTAGGGCTAGTAGATTGTACCTTGAAAATTCAGCATTTAGCCTCAACATCACAATACTTCCGTACTAATACTAATAAAGATCATGAATGTTTCAATTGGGGCGGGAGTGAAGTGATGATTTTTAGCGACTCGGGATGTTCTTTATATAAAGGGAAGCGAAGCTCTGGTGGTACGTAGCCTTGAAAATTCGCCCAGTTTGGCGAAAGGTGGGGACTGGGGTTTGGACCCCTCACGGGAGCTATTTTGATTTATCTTGGTGGTACCAGAGTGCTGGGCCTGACTTAAAATGGGATGAAGAAGAAAGAACCTAGATGGAAGCAAAGACAAGCGAGATAATAGATTTATGGACCGATGAGTTCCGACGCCCAGCTCTGACTCTATGGCCCGATCCCGAATTAGGCTTGATCAATTTCAACATGGTTTCGTAGTTGTAGTCTACTAGTTTTCTTACTGGCCTGCGTAGTATGTATTATGAGCTAAACCTCGAGGAGCCGTGCTGGAATGTTGTGAGATTAACATTGTCCAAAATCCAAATTGCCGAAGATTGGCAAAAAGCAATAAGTCATGCTGGTACGAAGATGGAATAGCGGACAGGCATTGATGACCAATATTTGGCCTGATTTTGGCCTCGATGTACTATGGCTCGTTTCCCCTGTTCTCTTGATACCTAATCAACTTCCTTCATCAAGATATTCACACCGACACTTCATATTTGTTCGACATCATACACGTTCGACATACCTTCTGATTTCGTCTTGTCGCTTTCGTCAAATGAATCCACGTCTGCCCTTCGATGATGCTGCCTGGGAAAAAAGCGACCAGAACGAAGAATTCTGGCTAGATCTTCTCTTTGATGGAGACATCTACAATAAGATTGGAATTTTCCTCGCTGAACATCATTCCCCTCGCCAATGGGCCGATTTCAAAATTTTCAACTGCGGCGGTTTCAACGCTAGCTTCCTCATGACATTCACCGATACCGATGCTGGCGCTCTTTTAAGACTCCCACTGCCTGGCGTTCATATGTTTCCTGAGGAAAAAGTTCGTAATGAGGTCTCTATCATGCAATTCATCACCGAAAGAACTTCACAAACAATGCCGATTCCAGTTCCTATGGTCTCCCGCTGGGGAGGGAGAAACGACAGTCCATCAAATTTGGGTCCCTTTATAATCACGGACTATATTGACCACGAGAGAAGCATGTCTGATCTTCTCGAGACGCCGGGACGCCAACCAGAACAACGTCCAGAACTTAATCCGGATATTAGCGCCACAAAGCTAAAAGCTGCCTATAGAGAACTAGCCAATATTGTCTTTTCTCTCTCTACACTATCTTTGAACCGGATTGGGTCTCTGAAACAAACCGGCAAATCGGCGTGGGAAGTGGCATATCGGCCATTATCCATGTCTATGAATGAAATTGTGCGTCTAGGGACGCTACCTCGATCGAAACTCCCCACCGTGACGTACGACAGAGCGTCGTTGTACTTTGAAGCCCTAGCAAAGCTACACATCTCACACCTCGAACACCAAAGGAACGATGCTATAGACTCGGCCGACGACTGCCGGCGTAAGTTTGTTGCTAGATTCTTATTTCGGAAAGTTGTCCGAGATCGGGAGCTTAGGGACAAGTGGATGTCCCATGAGCATGGCCCATTTCCAGTTTTGTGCGACGACTTTCGACCACAGAATGTCATGGTCGATAAAGCTGAAAAAGTCGTTGGGGTGGTGGATTGGGAGTTCACGTATACCGCCCCAGTTGAGTTTACGCATGCTCCACCCTGGTAGCTTCTTCTCGAAAAGCCGGAATATTGGACCAAAGGCCTTGATGACTGGTGTGCACAGTATGAGAAACGGCTTCAGATCTTCCTTCAGGCAATGATGGATTGCGAAGAGGACGCGTACCAGACTCGGAACGAACGACACGAAGAAAGCGAGCGACTCTCTAGTCGGATGCGACATAGCTGGGAGAGCGGAGACTTTTGGATCATGTATGCTGCAAGGAACAATTTCGCCTTTGACGCCATATATTGGAACAAGATCGATCGGCGATTCTTCGGGTCCAGTACCTCTGACGACAACATATGCGATGTATGGAAGAAAAGACTTCATCTCTTGGAACCTGAAGAAAAGGAAATCATGGATAAATATGTGGATTTGAAGCTTCAGGAGAATGAGACAAGGCTTCTCTCTTGGGACCCAGATCAGTATACCCTGGAATATATGGCCAAGATGGGAGCTTGATCGCTCTTGTGCCAGGTGGTTACCTAAGTATGGTACTTCCCTCTAACTACTTAGACCGCTCAAAGCCACAACAGCAGATCAGAGACTGGATGGAATGCATTGTCTAGTGTTGGCATTGTAAACAGGCCTCGACCAATAATTACCTACACTAATACCAACAGCAATAGCATGGTAGAGGGCATCTGGAGATAATTCCGTCTGGGCGGTCACGGCGTGATGGCTTTCTGATGTTCTGATGGATTCAACCTTGAAATCTCGCCATGGAATGCACCTCCAATCAAATATGGCCATTCTCACGATCATCAAATTGGGCCTCGCCCGGGATGGACGCGGTTGAGATCACTCTGATCCACTTCCAGCTCCATCTGCACTCTCTTGCCTCCACATATCTTGAGCGGCCCAGTCGACCGGGGCTTCTTGCAGGGGCTTCCCGATCCTACCCGTACGTCTGAACTGCGCGCCTTTTGTTTCGTGAACAGATCACGCCGCCAATCAATCAGCTCGTCTTCAAGAAGTGTGTATCGTGCGTATTTGTCGATTGGGGCTCGGAGGGGCAGCTGCACGGTAGTCCAATGGGACTCGGTGAAAAGTTGACGAATCCAATTCTCACTCACTTTCATCATATCAAAATCCAATGCGGCGCTTTCGATGCATAAACCACGCATATTTGCCAAGGAATTCTCAGGCTGACAGACCGGGTAAACCCGGCCTCCAAATGCACGAATTCCCCAAGCAGTACCAGCCTCGCGGCACGTTAAGCCAGCAGGGGCTTCAAAAGGCTGACCATCAGACCGTAGTCGACCGGCCCTGATGCTGCGAAACTCTAAAACGTGGGCCAATCCGTGAGCGAGTAGGACTGCTAGAAAGGCTAGACCCGCCATTTTCTGACTATCACTCGAAGCCGAATCCTTAAGCAGTCGGATAAGATTGTAGTCCACGATGATGAGATCCGACGGCCGGTCTGGCAACAAGGTCGTCGTTGCAAACGAGGAAGAATTCGAGTCCATATCGGGGTCAAAGTCGATATCGGGGATAGTGCGCTGGATGCATAGAGTGATCTCTTCCTTTGAGAGTTCGAGCTCGGCATCAGCCCCAAGCCATGCGTCCGGGGAGCCTGGGTGTTGACGGCGGACAAAGAGGGCAAATGACTGAGAGTATTGTGTTATTATTCGAGACGTAAGAAGGAGGGCTGGTCGTAGCAGCGCATATGCTTCGTGCGAGGCAGGAGTATCCCTCTCACGGAACATTGGAAACTTGGACCTGGGAAAGAGATTCTCGTTTTCCAAGCTGCAAAAAGTGGAAGGGTAGTTGTCATAATTCTCAACAGCAAAGTCATTATCAGCAAAGCCCTGGGGGCAGTCATGGTGCGTGGTGGTAGCCATCTCAAGTTTGCCTGCGCTCATCGAAGCGCGATATTTCGGAGGTTGTAGACGGAACTCACGGAAGGAGGAGTGACGGAAAGGGGGTTGGCAACTAGATAGCGAAGGTGGTGATGTAAGGCAGAAACGTTCGAAGGCGGCATCATTACATCAAACCTATATAGATAATAGGCTATAATGTTATTGTTCTACTTCTATCGGTGAAGGACTGAAGCCAAAACTGATTCATTTTGGCTGGGCCAGATGCAATCTATCAGAAGCCTGAACAAACATGAAAGTAGGCACAGGGAGGGAGCGGTGCAAAGTGTGCAAACAAGTATTGGGTCACATGCTCACGTGACCCTAATCCGGCGCGGGCCGCACGGCAGTTACCCTATCCCTTTGACCAAATCTGGGCTGTTACGCTGTATGGATAGAAAAGCTCGGATACTGACTATGATCTCTTGGTAGTAGTCGGAGCCGTAGCAACATTTTTCCGGAGGTTATAGACATGATCAAGGGAATATCGAAGATAGGACGTCACCTGGTAATTAGGTCGAGGGTATTCGACCTTTTGAGGCGGTATCGCGCTGTTCCCCTTTCCCCAAAATGGGACGTGGGAATAGCCTCGTCTCCCATTGCTATGAAAGTCGGTGACCAAAGGCCCGTGACTAAAGGCTCGTGACCGATCGTCCCGCCTCTTTCAAAGCTACTTAACCCTCTGTCCTGGTGCCTCTTCGCCTTTCATTCTTGACCTTTCCAACCACCGTTGTTCATCGCTTTGGCCATCCTTTCTCTCGCGTTTTATCGTTTTTCTTATCTTCTTTGGCATTATCCATCTTGTGCTTCTCTTTACCAGAAGGTCGGAAGCACGCGTCAATCAACAAACCTCGCCGCCTCCATCCAACATACCTGTCTTGCCATGTCCCACACTGGCCTGGCTGACAACGATCTTGTGCAGAAGCCACCAGAGGTGCCAAAGGGATGCGGCACCGACAAGTGACCTGCCCGCTATGATGCAGCAGTATCTTCCATCCAAGCTGCCGTTGTGCCCAAGAAGCAAACACCATCCCTCGTGCTTCAAGCTTCGGCGTGAAATGTAAGACAGAGAATTACATGGGATCCACTCTTCCCCATCTCCACGCCTCTTCACTTGGGAGTTAAGACTGACATATCCAGATCAATTCCGGAAACATGAGTACCACGTCGGTGTTCGCACGATCTTCCTGCTCCGCGCTGAGTTCAAGCCCTTCTGTCGCCTTCCTAGGGAGGCGAGACAACCTGTGTCAGCCCCATGAGCGAGTAACACCTTCTTCACGTACGACGTCAACGTCTATCAGAGCGCCCATGGTGGCAGGCTCGTTGATCGTGACCCTCTTACCGAGAACGAAGGCTGCGACCAGCGTCAGGTCCATGAACAGCACATCGTGTTTGATACTATCAGCAAGCGTGGATCACACAGCCGAAATCACTCTTCGCTTAGCCCAGCGCCACATCATCGACGAATCATTATTGTGGCTTAAGCCATGTAGTTCATGTTTGGTTAGCCCATTTGTCAGGACAATACAAATTTCCGGATAAAACGGCGCTCTCAGTTAACTGCGCGTTGATGCGTAGTTCTAGGACCTGCCGATTGGGAGCTGGAGGCCAGCGCTGGGGTTAAAGCCCCATTTTGCGTTATTGGCATGTACAGGGCCCCATAGGGCCCAGCATAAAGGCAAGCCCTCCACCGTTGTTTCCTCTTCTCCTTTTAGCCCCTCGTTTGAATGTGGCTACTAGTGGCCTTCTGCTGTGAGCCCACCCATCGAGGTCGAGGGTATGGCAAACGGTAAACCCACTGTAGTACGAACCCAAATCCTGGACCAAGTACCAGGTAAGAAATCCTGGGCTATGTCCCTTTACGGCTCAGGTCGGATTCAGTTCCATACGCAGACCGTTGGCCATGCACAAACCCTGGATCAAGTACCAGGTACGAAATCCTGAGCTATGTCCCTTTACGGCTCAGGTCGGATTCAGTTCCACACGCAGACCGTTGGCCATGCACAAACCCTGGATCAAGTACCAGGTCGGGTTGCGATGAGATTTCTCTTGCCCGCCCTCCAGCAAATGACAGACACCTCTTCGCGGTGCTGGAGACTACTACTCGGCTTTAACCTGAGCCGAGGAAGCCAAGATCTGTCCTCAATTTTTACACGGCATTTTACACAGTCCGTGGAACTGGCAAGAACTATTCAAAATCTCAAACTGTCAACATTGTCCAAACACCCTGTGTCCGCGCAATTGACACCGCCTTTAAATGGCATAGGATACCTGAAAGAGGCAAATAATCATCGCAGAACGACAAGATATAATCTCGCCTACGCGATATCCAAGCCAGTATAGTCAAAGTATAAGATCACGTAACTTTGAGGCTACACATTCATTCAGTTGCTCGAGCTTTAAGCTGTTTAATTCAAACCTGTTTAACTCAAATCTGTTTAGCTCAGATCAGGTTAGCTCAACCTAGAACCTGTTCAAAATGGCCATTCTATAAGTAGCCAAAACTTTATCGTTTGTTTGACCATATCATTTACACCTTTGATTTCTGTTAAAGAATCCCCCTACGGCAAAAATACACGCAGGCGCGGATCGTGTTAGTCTTATCCTCAATGGAAACATGGGTCAAATTATGTTTATTTAACTGTGGTAATAAAGACTTTCCCCAGCCTGTAGGCCGAGCGAATTGCAGACAAGGCTTTGATTAATTAGTGGCTCCACTAAATACTAAAAGCAAATCATGGTAATGTTCGTTCATGATACTGTTCGTTCATGATACTGTTCGTTCATGATACTGTTATAATGTTCGTTTTAAGATACTGTTCGTTCAAGACAGTGTCCGTTCAAGTGTTAGTCAGATTATGAAGTTTAAGATAGTGTTCGTTCAAGTGTCCGTCAGATTATGAAGGTCAATATAGTGTTCGTTCAAGACTGTTCGTTCAAGACTGTTCGTTCAAGACTGTTCGTTCAAGACTGTTCGTTCAAGACTGTTCGTTCAAGACTGTTCGTTCAAGACTGTTCGTTCAAGATTGTTCGTTCAAGTGTCCGTCAGAATATGAAGTTTGTGTCTCAATATTTAGTTTTTCTATGCACTCACTCTCTGCCAAAGTGAACATACTCGGCTGAATAAGTAAAGCAACCTCACTTTTCACCCACTATGCTAGTTTTGCTATTATCTGTTCGCAGACTTTGCCGGGGTTACTCAGCACTAATTGTACGTCACCATCCTGTCCCCAATTATATCACAAGATTATTCGGTGACCAATAATTCTTCATCGCTCGCGTTTATTGTCGACTTACACAGCACAAAGGAGCTTTCAGCGGCCGTTTAAATTCCCCGCGGTCTGTTAAGCACTAGCTACTTCGACGTCTCGACACCTAAAAGACCGCCTCTACCTGAATACTAGGGTATTGCAGTTTACGATCTATCTTTGTCCGCTGGCGATAATTTAACGTATGTGAAATATTTGCTCGGAGGTCGTAAACCCCCGCAGATTGATCTCTAAATACCCAGGAGAAGTCTACTGTTGACTGCTACCCGCCTGGCCTAAATAGCGGATCAGAATAGAATTAGCCGCGGGTAAACTTGGCCGAACGTCCCCCGTGTGCATTTAGACTCTAGTAGCATAAGAAGGAGTCATTGCAGTTCAGAGTGCACTAAGTATGGCACTCCGATTGTATCTCAGTAAGCAGCGAGAGAATTATCTGAATAAATCAGACTAAAAGTTCGTTCACAAAACTGACACTGCCTAGGGCAGTTTAACCTTGCTCACATCAAGACTACCAATTTCAGCCAATCAGACCTACGCTAGCTAAGGGCACTCTGGCCGAAGACAGTGTTCTGAAGCAAGATCACAATTTCTCCATCTACTATAGTGTAGGGGTTCTTCTCCGCTGACCTAATATTTCGTTGGGTCCTTTCTCATTACCGTAGACAGTCCGGCTTGATAAATCATATGCGATATAGGGGTATACGTTCCCTTGTCCTTTTCCAGTGCCCGAATCTCTCGCGCCGCTGAACTTCCGTCGTAACAGGCATTTCCTGATCCATGAGAATGCAGTCAAATGAATCGTGCTTCCACGCGTCAAGGGCTTCCTGCCCATTGTTGGTCGTGGTGACCTCAAATCCCAAGACTAACATGAATTGTGTAATTCCAGCCCTCCGCATTTTCCTATCAAAAATTATATTTTCCGGCTTCCTGGTCACATTCTTGACCAGAGAAGAAGCTAGCCATGCTTTTGTTCTGATTTTATCTCTGTGTATTTTGTCAACTGAGGCGTGTTACCCATGCACCTTGGGCAGCTTCTATTAAAACAACCGTCTTCTAAAATCATATGGACCAAAGTGACTTCTGGAAAACGGCGGGTGTCAAATTGAGGGTGGAAACTTGAATGAGATCAGTTGGCCCATTCACCCAACAATGTAGTGGCAATTTTGAGCCAGTTTGTCCTTTGATTTTCAGCGTTGCTCAATAGTTAGAAGAATCATGGCCAGTAAATAAAGCACCACTTTTGCAGAGACACAATAAGCAAATTAAGTCTTGTGCCTGCCTCATTAGTGATCTCTCCTATAAGTCCCGCGACCATACAGATCAAATCTGATCCACTATGAGAAGGCGGGCTTCAACATCAAAAGCCTTGGCAAAATGGACTATACTGACCCTGTAAGTTTCCGAACAGTCCTTTGCAGCAATCGCGCTTCCCGTTGCTGTCACAAAGCCCCTGAAAACCTCGTAGCACACGTCAAAGTAGTGGTCACCGTGGGCCTTCTATCAGGTTGAAGCCGGCCTCTCGTAGAAAGCGTGTACCACCAGATAAATCTTTTGATCAGAACAGTGTTGGGGCGGCAGATTCCTTCTCCAGCTCATAGCTTTGTAGAGCCATCCCGCCTACATCAAGAAACCTTGTAAGTCAACAAACAGGGAAGCTGAAATAGCATTTCGCGGCCACTCACTCGATCCATAGGTCGACGTACTTCTGGTGAAGGACTTTGACCTTACCAGCACATTTATACCCGTTATGGAAGTCAGACTCTCGGAAGAGTTATTGGCAGGACTCAGTGGATTTGCGTTGCGACCCGTGTCTTTCGCCCGCTGAATCGAGAGCCTGGAGAAACATTTCGATGTCTCAATATTGAAAAAGAGTGTAGAATGAGCTTGAGGACTCAGCGAGAGCAAAAGGAAAGCCGACTTGTTGTGATGGTGGTTTTTCTCCGGTTCTGATAACCTGATATTTTATGGAAATTCAACCAGTACTTATAGCTCATCTTTGGAACTGCTGTCCGATGTGTCCGATGGAATAGTCCTAACAACAGCCAGTCTTGTAGAGAAGGGAGCATACAGCGCTCCCAGGATCACCAGGTTGATGCACATGCCCCAGAATGCATGCAATTCGTCCTAGGAGTAATACGCACGATGTGCAGCCAAGTTTCCAACCCTGCTTCCACTGAACGCGCTTCATGGGCTATGATCATTCCTAGGAACAAACCAAGGGTGCTTCCAGGAGCTCATGAACAGGCTGTCAGAGATCGAGCATATATAGTAGCTTGGCTGTTTGGTCGCTGACCAAACATTGTGCCTTTTTGGCCAGATGGCGTAGTGGTAAAACCCAAGCATCCATGAACCGTCACACAGGCAAAATGGGTCATCGCTTGCTCCCAGGAACCGACCCTTGGATAGCCCCAATAGGAAATATTTAAAGCACCTTTCATTGGGCACCTATAATTAACCTGCTCTCAATGTATGAAAGAATATTCGGGACAGGCTGGCACTGACCGATATGCTTTTGTCGGATCTTGGATAAGAAACTTTCCTCTAGCTCCTCTGATTCTATTAATATCGAAGTAATGATAACGACGACAATTCGATTTTTTTCGTGGTCTCGGAAGAATATCAAGAATATGAAAAGCTCGATGGCAGTAAGTAGATCACGCCTTAGATTATTTTGTATCATACAAACGAAAACATAACAGTTACGTTACCTTACATTGGATAAAATACTTCATGAGCCAAGCCATGTCAAGTGTGGCGGTGCAACGATGTACTAGTAATGTAACGGTGTTTTGATTTGTGATATGCCCGCTGTAATCGGTTTTCGCCAGAACACGCTGTGTTCACACTCACTATCATAACGATTTTACGCAGCGAACATCTTCAGCTTTAAGTCTAGCACGAATGACGGCTTACTGTCTGACAGAAGGTATTCCCAGTAATTCTGACTCTGGAGGATGTAACAAAGATCTTTCATTTTTTTGGTTTTCGCTAGCGACAAATACCTTTCGCTGGAGTCTTGGGTACTGACATTGTGACCTTAGAAGACAGAGGTATGTTGAAGAGTTGAGTCTCTATTATTTATGAAAAGTAAATTATGTACAAATAGACTACAATTGACACACAGCGTAGTGCTCGAGTTACATAAACCAATTAGCGAGCATATCTCCGACGGACCATCCGATTAGACCCTGATCTGGTGCATCGCTGAGGAAGTTCTAAATCCTTCCAAGCCTGTCGCAGAAAGGCCGTATCTATGTCTACAAAGTGGAGCCCAATCTGCCTCAAGGTCAGATTTTTGGCCTTGAGCTCTAGCAGCTTTCATTTTTCTCTTGTATTAAGCTTCTGACGGAGCTTGCGAGTACTCAGATCACCCAGATTATTGAGCGGTGACTGTGATCTTGGCTTGACTCGAGTGAGCGAGACACAGGCTTGATTACCAGAAAGGGTTTTGTCGTCGGATTCTGCCTGCATATGATGGTACTCCTCACGCCTAAGCTTCGGCCTTTGATTGCTGGGGGAGATGAGAGAATCTGGTCGTAAAGCCTTGCCTGGCCTTTCATTTGCTTCTTTGCCAGCACAATCTTTGCTAGATCGTTTAGACAGCTTTTGGCAAGTGTAGGGTTCGTTCTTTGCCGCCAGCTCGTCCATAGAGAGATCGGGCGGGTCCAGCTGAACAGTTGCTTGGTTGTAAGGCTCGCAATCATCTCCCATGCGAAGTTCAATTGGCTTGAGGATCCGAGGGTCAATGACTTCAAGACCGGGAGTTGTTGGCGGGGAGCTGAGTGAAGAATCTGCTGCGGGAAAGTATGATGCAGCTGCGCTACTTCTACTGCTTTCACTTGGAGTATCACTGAGTTCCGAACAGTAATATCGTTCGGGATGTTCCTCAACGTACGAAAGCGATGCAGAAATGGGCACAAATATCTGGTCTGGCTGCTGTTCGTGACGCGGAGGCGGATGAGGGTAAAAGCGCAACCTTTTGGGTCGCTCCTCCTCTAGCTCTGTCGAAGATCTTTGTGCTTCCAGCTCCGTCTTGAAGGCACGCTTTCTCTTCCTCGGAAGCTTTGGACTAGACCAAATAGCTTTGTTGAGCCCGTGGATGTCGTGCAAATGATGTCGAAGGTCACGCTCATTGTCGAATTCTTGGGCACAACCGCATACTGGCTTTGTTGTAGGCCACTGGAGCCGACACATGTGCTGTTCTTCGATGTGTTGCCTCAGGTTGCCACTTTTCAGCCAATAATCCAATCGTTCTTCCGCGGGAAGATACGCATTCCACAGGCACAAGGGACAGTAGCCGGGGCGGATTACTGTGTGACGATATATAATAACTTCACAGTGTTGAGTTTCCCACGACTGGAGATGAGCATTGCAGTGATCTCGCCATTCACTTAACAAGCACCACTCCATACATTCGTAACAAAAGCGCATTTGTGACTCCGAGACTTGGAAATCAGCTGCCTTCTCGCTTCGAACGCATGCATGGATGTGAGTGCTTCGTTCACTTTTTTTTAAGCTGATTGAATCTGTCAGAGGCTGCATAATCACGGCCGAAGATCCACTTACCTTGTAATGATGACCTGGCAGGCTTTCGCCGGACAGGCACTATGAATTGGACTTTCATTGGGAAGGTAGACCACATCAAAATCGCGGAAGCATTGAGTCTGTAAGTCTTTGACGAACATGATTTTCTCTTCAAAGGACAACTCAGTGGTTCGGGACATCGCTGTTGCGATTCGCGCAATTTCAGGCATGATCAAACTCTGAGCACGTATACAAACATCATTTGTCACTGAGACCGGCTGCTCTTTGCCACGGTTGAGAATTTTTTGATCCCTTCTCGCCTGTACCCAAGAAGTTTGATACCTTTTGAGTTCAAACCGGCGTTGCCGAACCAATGCGTTCCTGTAACGCAGCTTCGCGTCCCGAAGATCCGTCTGATTATTGCACTTTCTGAGATCTCCGATGCGGCTTCTCAGTTCCACCATTTCAGGTAGCATCAAAATGCTTTCCTCGATGTGAGCAGGCAAATTAACAGGAAGACCAGGCACACAAAATTGAGTGTAGCCCTGGAAGTACTCAATGTGTTTCGTTTCACCTTTCTCATCAAGAACAGCCGAGACTGTGTCTATAGAGGAGCAATGGGCTTGATAGTGATCTGGAAATGTTTTTGGATCCCGATGCGCCAGGATTTGTGAGACGGGCGCAGAGCCATACCTTGCTGTATTGGGCGTCAACCACCGGATCATGCTCAGTTGTATTGATGTTCATTTTTGCTTACCTTCGACCTCCTTGGCCAGGTTCCTTCGCAAACAGTGTATTGTCGGGTGTTCACTGTAGCCAGCTGCATCAAAGATCTGGTGTAGGTAGGAGGAAAACTCTTTGTTCGTAAGAGGAATTTCTTGAGGCCCGTCGGCTGTGACATTCCGGAAAATCGGTTTCGTCTTAAAACTTTCCTTCCATTCTAATGGGATCTCTCCATTCGATAGATCAAATTCTTCCAAATCTGAAACAGTCTCTATACCAAAAAGCGCGCCATGTGCAAGTGCGAGTGCGAGGAGAAGTTGGCCAGATGCGAATTGAGGTTTGTTGCTGTCACGGATACCGATTCCGAACCTGAGAACATGTTAATAGAACTGGAAAGAAAGAACCAATATTTTTGAATCCTTACACTGTGTACTTTTCACCACGATTATTCTTGAGCCATTTCTGGTTGACTCTCCATCCAACCTCCCATGGAGCGGTGGATGAAGGAAATAGAACCAACTTGATGTCCAGGTTACAAAATTAGAACAAAATGAACTTCAGAGACGGTTCATACATACTTCGTATCGAAGGCCTTTGTAGTGTTTATCCTCATCAGAAGGCATAAAAGTTCCGACTCTTGCCCCCGTGAAAAGGTATAATTGAAGAGCAAATAGTATGAGGACCTTTGTCAGCCCGGGAATAAACTTTTGATGATCAGCTTGCCAAATTGAGGCGACAACTTTCAAAAAGTCATCCCTCTTGAAGTTGTACTTCTGCTTTTTCTGGTCCACGACAATGCCCTCTGCTGTCAATGTATTTTTTATCCACTGCATTTCATGGAAGAGTAGAGTTAGTGATGTGTTGTTGACAGAGAAATAAAGAACCCACATCATATACTTCTTTTCTATCCTTCTGGGGTACCTCCGTTTTGGTGCTCTCTTTGAATCCCCCAAAGAATCGTTCCGCCCACGCTTTGACAGTTCTAACAGTTGGCTGTTTGCCTTCGCTGAGTCTGCCTGTAGCAGAACTCACACACCAGCGAATGAATTCCTTAACCACATCATGGCTCGGAGGGGAACATCCGGGAACAGCTTTGTAATGTTTGAACTTATTGCTTGGATCTGCTGTGAAGCTAGGAGAGAAGTCAGCTTCCTCCAAGAACTCGCGGGTCCGTCAACGTACTCGAGCCAGAGGTCCAGCTTCTCTTGGTGTATTTTCTTGGTCTTGTCGAGCTTCTTGTCTTTATTTCGGATGCTGTCTTCCTCCCTATGGGCCCCGGGGACGTATCCATTCTTTTCTCGTAGTAGACGGCACCTTTCCTTGGTTATCTCATCGCGTCTGGCGAAGAAGTCCATTCGCTCCATAGTAATGAACCTTGCTCGGATGCTAGCTGTAGAAGCGGTTAGGTAGTGAAATGAAATGATTTGGATGAGATGATGAGAGAGCTGGTTCATGGGGACATGTTGTCCTTATATAGCTGAGGCTTCGAGCTCAAGTCGGCCGCCGTACTGAAAAAAGACAGGGAAGTTTGATTGGACTATCCCTAATCGGATGGCCTTCGCCATCTTATTTCTGCCTGATAGACATGACGCGTTATTTTGGGGGCAAGGGATCCTCCAGAAAACGAGGGCAGCCCAAATATCGTCAACGCACTAACCATCACAGAATAAATGGCTCTGTGGGGCCTGTCTCTATTGGGTAAGGTCTAGACTGAGTTACACAAATCAGGGGTGCTCACTGAGCGTTTCTAAGGTATCACTGAGCACTCACTGAGCACTCACTGGGCGATCTCGGAGCACGCACTGAGCATACCCAAGTGGTCACTGAGCACTCACTGAGCACGTCGCGGATTAGTCATCGTACACGTGACCGAACTTGAGCATGCTCACTGAGTCTGAGCCCGTGCTGACATCTACTCACTGATCCTGAGCCTGAGCGCCCTCATAAAGCGGCGGCAGCCCAGATAGGAAAGGCCCCACCCGGCAGACTTTATCCTGTCTATATAGGGACATATTACACTACATACTTCCGTGCTGCAGGTAGCCGTAGGAAAGTAACACGGTTCCATGATTGGTATAATATAGATACTGATAGGAGGCTCTGAAACGCGAAAAGAGATGTCCACGTAGGTTGATCTATACAACTATCTCTCTATGGAAGGTCTAATTGAAAGAAGGTTCAAATGTAAATCCGCCCTTCGAAAGGCTCTAGGGTCTCCAAAGATGAACTGGGATAGTTGCCCACAAGCAACTTCATACCCGCAGTCTTGTCCGCTTGTGTGAAAGTCTGGGGGTTAGTAGTGAAGTTCAGCACGATCAATGCCCGCTTCTCACCCCTTGATTTCACAAAGCAGAATGTCTCTTGGTTCTCATAGTCAAGGACTTCGAATGCACCGTGGATGAACAAGTCACGGTGGTCTTTCCTCAGTCGCAAAACATCTTTCCAGAACGACAGCACACTCGACGACTCATTCTCTTGCTTCTTCACGTTGATCTCATTGTAAAGATCATGAGCACGCATCCATGGTTTTCCCGTAGTGAATCCAGCGTGGGCAGAGTCATCCCATTGCATAGGCAGCCTGGAATGATCACGAGCCAATGTCCGAAGACCGTCCATGATACGATCTTTGCGTGTAGGGTCAACACCGCTAGCAACCCGTCGCTCTGCCTCTCGGTAGTACCCTAGTCCTTCGATGTCCTTGTATTCCTCGATTGGCCATTCACGAGGGGCGTTGATCATACCAATTTCCTGGCCCTGGTATATGAACAGAGTTCCAGTCATGCTAACCATCATCAGAGCGAGCATTTTGGCAGATATCTCTCGGAACTCAGGTGCATCCGAACCAAAGCGGGAGACAGAACGTCCGTTGTCATGATTCTCGCAAAAGGCTGTGGTCCAGCCATCGGTTCCTTCAATGAAAGATTGCCATTTCTCCACAATGGATTTCATCTTTGTCAGCTTCCACGGCGTAAAGATGTATTTCTCCTCCAGACTGGGCCCCATGCCAATGTGTCCAATATCCAGATGGAAGACCATGCTCAGCTCCTTGGCCGAGGCGCCCACATACTCGAGCACATTCTTCGGGTCTGGCGTATTGGCCAGTTCGCCAACGGTCATCACATCCCCGTAAGGAGCAAATGATTCATCGTACATCTCACGGATGAACTCGTGGATCCGGGGTCCATTGCACCACATTTCGATGGCGGGCTGAATGTAGCTTTTTGGATCTGTGATGGGGGCGTCGGGGAAGTCCGTGTGTTTGCTGTACTTGTTCACTGTGTCGACTCGGAAACCATCCACCCCTTTGTCCAACCAGAACCGAACCGCACTGTTATAGATAGCTTCACGCGTGGCTTTGTTGTCCCAATTGAGATCAGGCTGCTCTTTGGCGTAAAGATGTAGATAGTATTCTTCTGTTGTCTCGTCCCAAGTCCCTACAACAAAGTCTCATTAGGTCAAAGCATCTGGCCGTGGGGATATAGCAACTTACACGTGCTTCCGGCAAAATAACCCCTATAGTTACTAGGCGGCATCCTGTTTCCATCCTCGTCATATCGGGGCGGGCGCCAGAAGTACCAGTCGCGCTTTGGGTTGTCTTTGCTGCTCCGACTCTCCTGGAACCAAGCGTGCTGGTCACTGGTGTGGTTGACCACAAGATCGAGAATAAGTTTCATGCCTCGCGAATGACAAGCTTCAACCAGATTCTCTACATCTTGTACAGTTCCATATGCAGGCAGTACCTTCTCATAGTCGGAGATGTCATAACCCATGTCGTGCATTGGAGAGTCGTACATCGGCGACAGCCACACAACATCAACACCTAGCGACTGGAGATAGGGGACCTTCTCGACCACACCTGGGATATCACCCCAGCCATCGCCGTTGGAGTCGTAAAATGAAGCCGGGTATACCTACATTCCCAATACTTCAGTGATTTATTCAGGAAAGTGTTTGAGTTCCTGAACTAACCTGATACACAGTGGCCTCTTTCCACCAGTTATTCGTCCCCGTCGGAACTGATTTGTCTTGAATCGCGTGTGGTGACATGGTGGCTTGACAACCTTTGAACCTTTTCTTTTCAGCTGCCGACGCCCCTCTTATACCTTCTCATTATGTCCGGGACCAAGTCGGTCGGCAAATGCGGGGATATGCTGGGGACAGCTCCTGACCCGCCAAGCCTCCGAACTGCAGCCCCGACTAGCGACCGACTAACGACCGGCTTGCCGCCGGGGACTCGTTTCAGACTTGCTGATTGGCCAATTTGGTCGTAGTTAGACCCCACAATCTAATTTCCCCAGTTTTCTCCAAATTCTCGGGTGCAAGTTGACAGCGCGTGTGCATTTCCCCGGATCAGCCATGTACCTGGACCGGGTTATGCCTTTTTGTCGCTTTGAGGACTTTCGTGTATAAATGCCGCGTCTTCCCCGAGTTCAACAGCTTCATAATGCCTCAATATCGGATTGCCAAAGGCCTATTACTATCACATTGATCAGGTCTCAATTCAAGATTCTCTTTTGCTACGAATCATCCATACCTGCAACTTTATACCCCTCGAAGAATACATCCCGGTCATCCAAATGGTGTCAATCGATGACAGCACCGGAATGGATGCCAAACAATCCCCCGTCCTGACCGAGGGCAAACGGGCTGCTAAGAAGGAGCAGTCCATGACCCTTTGGCAGGCCCTTCGACTATACCCGAAAGCCGTCGGTTGGTCAGTGTTGCTCTCATCCACCTTGATTATGGAAGGATACGATCTCGCGCTACTGAGCTCAATGTACGCATCGCCTGCTTTCAACCAAAAGTTCGGAGTGGAGACAGCTCCGGGAAAATGGGCTGTTCCAGCATCCTGGCAATCCGGCCTTTCCAACGGCGCACGCTGCGGTGAAGTCATCGGACTTCTGATCAACGGTCTGGTCTCCGAACGTCTGGGATATCGGCGGACAATGATCTGTTCCCTGGTCGCGATCACAGCGGTCATCTTTATCTTTTTCTTCGCCGTTAATGTGCAAATGTTGCTGGCAGCGGAGATTCTCGCAGGTATCCCGTGGGGTATCTTTCAGACTTTACCGGCTGCCTATGCCTCCGAAGTCTGTCCGGTCGTCCTGCGGCCATACCTAACAACATTTATCAACATGTGCTGGGTGTTTGGCCAATTCGTGGCTGTTGGCGTCAACCGCGGCTCGATCTCCCGCGATGATCAATGGGCCTGGCGCATTCCATTTGGTGTGCAGTGGGTGTGGCCTATTCCAATCATGATCGGTTGTCTGTTTGCACCCGAGTCGCCTTGGTGGCATGTGCGCCAGGGTAATGTACAAGGAGCGCGACGAGCGCTACAGCGCTTGACGTCGTCTCATGACCCCAACTTCGACCCCGATGAAACGATTGCCATGATTCAACATACAAATGAGCTGGAGAAGTCACTTTCTAGTGGAACCACATACTGGGATTGCTTCAAGGGAACGAATCTTCGTCGAACAGAGGTGGTCTGTGTCGTCTGGTTAGTGCAGACTCTGTGCGGTCAGAACCTGATGGGGTACTTTGCCTACTTTTGCGTCCAGGCTGGTTTACCTACTGTGCAATCCTTCAATCTGTCTCTAGGACAATATGGCCTGGGCGTCATAGGTACAATTGGATCATGGTTCTTGATGACCTATGCAGGCCGGCGAACCATCCACGTCTCAGGTCTTGCTTGTCTATTCCTACTCCTCATCATCACGGGCTCTTTGTCCTTTGCTCCGGGAGACAACAACTCAGCAAAGTGGGCCATCGGAGTGATGCTCATTATTTTCACATTTTGCTATGACTTCACTGTCGGCCCGATCACATACTCCCTCGTCACTGAGCTATCATCAACGCGCCTCAAGGCGAAGACTATCGTTCTCGCGCGCTCTCTGTACAATATTAGCAACATTGTCGTCAACATTCTGACCAACTACCAGCTCAACTCCACGGCTTGGAACTGGGGTGCACGGTGCGCATACTTCTGGGCTGGAACATGTCTCGCCTCGTTGGTTTGGGCATTCTTCCGTCTTCCTGAGCCGAAGGGCCGCACGTACGAGGAACTGGATCTGCTCTTTGAGCGTGGGGTTCCGGCTCGAAAATTCGCAACAACAATGGTGGATCCATACGAGGGAGACGCTACGGAAGTGCATGAGGCGCATGTAGACAAGGATTAATGATTACTGGAGGTCAAGTGACAGAGCATGTAATTTTTCGCCAAATCAAACCTCTGTGTTGATATTCCTACACACTTGTACCATTGCACATAACAATCTAAGATCCCAGTACTTAGCCTCGATAATATCCCACCTACTGATGTCCTCATATGAATGTAGGCTACGTCGAATATTACAGACTGGAAAATAATAGTCGAATGACATCGTCATGGACGAACCTCCGAAGAAAACATTGCAATTCACTAGCTGCAAAGAAGAAGCAACAGGGCAAAATAAGACCAATCCTCACCCGGCTCTTCAGTTCCCTTCGGTGGAAGGTCCTTGCCACTATTGGGGCGTCTCGTATGGATTTTCAGGCTGGTGCTGCCAAGGGGGCTTGGGCACGGCGCCAGCCTGCCTGATCTGGTTCTCCAGTTATGACACCCGGCCCGTCAGCGCCTCTATGTGCGCATCCATCGCCTCTATTCCTCCCTCGTGGCGGACGAGGGTCTCTTGGAGCAGTTGCCTGATAAAGCTCGTCGGGACAGCGAGGAACTCGCTGCCTGCCGCGGGGACCTCGGTGCCCTCAGCGGGGTTGACATTGTTGGTTGCGGGGGCCGTGGCACTGATTGCGGCTGGAGCTGCTGGTGTTGGTACCTGCGCCCGCGCAGCTCGCGAGCGACGCGGTTTGGCTTCCGACAGACCCCACTGCCCGGGAAAGGCACCGCAAAGGGCACGATAGAGGTCATAGAGGCCGTATGTGGCCCCCTCCTTCGGCTGCTGTTGGAGTTGGATTGGCAGCATTCCGAAGTCGTCGCTCATCTGCTCTCTGAGCATCTTCGGGGCATTGGACCGCTTCAGCAACGCGTCGGCGGGGACACCCTTGTTGACGACGGCAGGCTGCACACGGTCGTGGATCCGTTGGATCCACTGCACAACTTCGACTTTCGTGCCATCATCATTGATTTGGAGATTGCGCCAATACCCATCGACGGCTTGGAGCTTCATGTTCGCCTTTTGTCCCTTCGTCATATACCGGACTACCTCCCAGAAAGTCTGTTTCTACCTGTGGCTTTGAGAAACAGGATACATCGAGCTAGCAGTTGGCTATTGGCAAGCAGTGCTGGCATCTGTCGTGTTCTGACTCCTGGTCAAAATGTTCTGGTCCACATATGACGCGCAGTTCAGCGGGAAGGCAGCAGAAGGGCTTGAACTCAGCCCGGAGCTGGAAGATCGTGTGGGCGTCGATGTGGTACTCCCATTTCCCGTGGTTGGTCTAGATATGTCAGTCTTAACTCCCAAGTGAAGAGGCGTGGAGATGGGGAAGAGTGGATTCCATGTAATTCGCTGTCTTACATTTCACACTGGAGGTAGGTATGTTGAATAAATGCGGTGAGTTTGGTTGAGTGACGCGTGCTTCCAACCTTCTGCGGGGACAAAATTGGAATGAGCGCCTCACTGTCAAAAGACTCTGTAGAGAGTTTCATCTGCAAGCCACAAGAACAGGGAAGAAGATGGATGGTGCCAATGAAGATAAAACGCTAGAAAATGGGAGAAAGGATGGCCAAAGAGAGAACCAACGATGGTTGGAAAGTTCAAGAATGAAAGGAGAAGAGGCGCCAGGACAGAGAGTTAAATAGCTTCGAGCGACGATCGGTCACGATCCTTTGATCACGTTCGGTCATGAGCCTTTGATCACGTTGGGTCACGAGCCTCCATAGCAATGGAAAACGAGGCTATTCGCACGTCCATTTTGGGGAAAGGGCGATGGCTGTGGGATTGATTGATAAAACAGCGCGATACTGCCTCAAAAGGTCGAATACTCTCGAACTCATTACCAGGTGACATCTTATCTTCAATCTATTCCATTGATCATGTCTAACCTCCAGAAGAATGTGGCTATGGCTCGACTAGACGACTACTAACGAGAGATCATACAGCCCAGGTTTGGTCGAAGGGATAGTGTAACTGCCAACTGGTGAGTGGTGGCGGATTAGGGTCACGTGGTGCATGTGACCCAATACTTGTTTGAACATGTTATGATGTTGCACCGCAGCCCGCTCCCTGCACCCTCATGTTTGATGTTTCCTCCAGCTTCTGAATGATTGCATCTGTCCCGGCTGAATTGAATCAGATTTGGCTTCAATCATTCACAGATATAACATTGGCTGTTTGCTGGAATGAATGCATTCTCCTAAATGGACTAGTTCACGTCGGCATAGAATTCGAGCTTTCAGTGGCGCAATTCGCCGGTTGTAGGCTGTTCTTTGGACATTCATACAAAGACAGGCTGTTTCCCAAGGCTGGTTTGGTTTCCAAAGTGTCTCGCCAGAGGCACTGGCTTCTCTTGATGTAGCTCCATTCCTGCATTCCTCCGTTTACACATAGGCCCGGGGCAAACGTGGCAGTGTCCGAGCACGAAGTGACGGCGGTCTAGTCGAGATATCAGCGGGTGCAAATGGGGTTATTTCTTTCCTACTCCTCTATGGACAGGTCGGAAAGTCTTGTTTCTAATGTGTACAGAGTATAATAAGGCAAAAGGAGGACGGATGTTTGGATGATCAGCTTCGATTCTACACTTTCGGGCAGTCATCCTGTTAGGGGTATCATCATCGTGTCCTCAAATCTCGAATCTATGAACAGCTTCACTATCGTTGGATTAGGCAATATACTCAGTTTGGGTAGGCCTTCGGATCATTTCGTATGCTCATGGAGTCATGGTATCTAGGGGAGGCGAGTACGGCGTTAGATTCACAAATCGAACAAGAAAGTCAAAGGCCACGGGGATAATACATGGAAGAACTTAGGCGAGACAATGTCCTTTGGAATGAAGAGCTTGGGTCTACATATGCTTCGACATCACCGAGTCATTATGTGAGCCGGGCTGCCGAACTTGAGGCTTTACCAATAATACCCTTATGAAAGCATTGCAAAGGATCATTCATTCAATAAGCTAAAACCTATACAAACGCGAAAAGACAATACTGTGCGGGGACAAAAGGCTGAGTGGCCCTCATCGAGACCAAATTGTCCCACCGTAAAACTCTCTTTGAACAAATAGAAATAAGCATCAAGAGCATTCCCATCCTCAAATGTTCATATCTTGCGAGTACTGGAAAATTGAACACCCGCTATAAGATTCTGGGGCAATGACCCCCCCACAGAATGATAGGGAACACGATTCGTTGTCCAGTTGTGTCCGGCCATGACTCAAACCCACCACTGCTGCCCTGTGACGCTCTCCGCAAGGGTTGTTCCCGATACGATATCGGCGAACTTCCGTGTCGTGCCGCAAGAGTCGCATCAATATTGACACCTGTGAAAAAGGTTGAATTCATTTTTTGGGCCAGAAGACAGGAGCCCTTACCTGGCTGGGCGATGCTGCTGGCCGAATGGATGTCGAAATCAAAGGGAGATTGTCGGTGTGGTATGCAGGACGGTGCAGCCAACGGCTGTGTCGTGCCGGAAGAGTAGCGTTTCTTCGAGACCCAGAAAACGCCTACCTGCTCAGATGACCGAGTGCTACCCTGTTGGGGGATGCAGAGCCAAGTGTGCACCGCACAGTCATGACTCCTCAGCCTTGGCATCAAGGAGGCCCGCTATCATACCGATGACCCTCGCGTTACCGGGTATGGAAACGGTCCAGGGAGGATCTTGTCACCATTCTGGATTTCCGGGGAGGGGGAGGGAGCAGCTGCAGGCATAAAGAGGGGAAAGTCTGAGCTTGAATGTCGAAGTCAAAGGGGGATTTTCGGTGCGATACGCAGGACCACATGTGGTGGCGTCGGTGACTTGGAGGGGTCGAGTGTTCTCTTTGTGCCGATGGAGGTGTCGAGGAGCGTGTTGCTTTATGTGACTTGGCCGGAGCTGCTTTGGGCTTCTTAGATATTGAAGCAAAAGAGCAGACTACGGCGATACAGGCTGGTTCTGTTGAGGGATGCAAGGCTAAGGGTGCACCGCTCGCTCATCAGCATCTGCATCAAGGAGATCCGCTGTCATACCGATGGTCCTGGTGCTGCTGGCCGAGTGACGCAGCTTACGCCGCAGCCTTGGGGCGACAGTCTTTCTGTTAGGAATGGATTTCTTCAATCCTACCAAAGAATCGCTGGTATGGAATAGCTGCAGACAGTCAGTATTGCGGCTTGAAGAACACTGGAAAGGCATTTGTTGATCGTACCTTTTCAGCAGGAAGGCGGCAGCAGGGATTGAACTCAGCCCGGAGCTGAAAGATCGTGTGGGCATCGATGTGGTACTCCTATGATGGCCGACGGATGAGCAACTGGCGCAGGAGCAGCAGCAGGTGCTGGAATTCCCCGTGGTTGGTCTGGATATGTCAGTCTTAACTCCCAAGGGAAGACGCGTGGAGATGGGGAGGAGTGAATTCCATGTAATTCGATGTCTTACATTTCACACTGGAGGCAGGTATGTTGAATGAACGCGGTTAGTTTGTAGTGACGCGTGCTTCCAACCTTCTATGAACAGGGAAGAAGATGGATGGTGTCAATGATGGTGTCAATGAAGATAAAACGCGAGAAAACGCGAGAAAGGATGGCCAAAGAGAGAACCAAAGATGGTTGGAAAGATCAGGAATGAAAGGAGAAGAGGCACCAGGACAAAGAGTTAAATAGCTTCGATAGACGATCGGTCACGAGCCTTTGATCACGTTCGGTCACGAGCCTCTATATCAATGCAAAACGAGGCCTATTCGCACGTCCATTGTGGGGAAAGAGCGATGGCTGTGGGATTGATTGATAAAACAGCGCGATACTGCCTCAAAAGGTCGAATACCCTCGAACTCATTACCAGGTGACATCTTATCTTCGATCTATTCCCTTGATCATGTTTAACCTCCAGAAGAATGTGGCTATGGCTCGACTACTAACAAGAGATCATACAGCCCAGGCTTGGTCGGAATAGTGTAACTGCCAACTGGTGAGTGGTGGCGGATTAGGGTCACGTGGTGCATGTGACCCAATACATACTTGTTTGAACATGTTGCCGCTCCCTGCACCCTCATGTTTCTTCAAGCTTCTGAAAAATTGCATCTGGCCCGGCCGAATTGAACCAGGCTTGGCTTCAATCATCCACAGATATAACATTGGCTCAATGGCCCAAGTATGGATAATGCGCAGTGCTAAGACAAGCTGAGGATGACTATCTGTGGAATCCTATTCATTATCAGCATTGATCTTTGGCATTACAGGGATCGTCAACGACTCAACTGAAACTCAAGCAGGCTCAGAGGCCAGATAATGCAATATCATCTGTGAAAGTGAGAGGTATGCAGAATTGCAGATGGAAGAAATTTTGGAAGTGAATAACGCCTCTTAACCCCATGGGTGTCAAGTGCGCTAGCAGTGGCGCTATTCTATTTATGAACTACCGTAAACGCCTATTCGCACGTGTAACTACCACGTGGTTAGATATCCTAACCACGTGCAAATAGACATCTACGCTAGTCCATAAGCCTAATAGCGCCACTGCTAGCGCTATTGACACCCATCGTATTGTTTAGAGGCCTTCTTCACTTCCAAAATTCCATGCATCTGCATACCTCCGACTTTTACTGCATTATACCTACACATCATTGCGTTATCTACCCTCCGGGTCTGCTCGATTTGACAATCCATATACTGCCAAAGATCATTGTTGACAATGAAAGAGTTTACAAAGTTAACCATCCCCATCCCCAGCTTGTCGATCGTCCATATGCAAAGGAAGTTGATGAAGGGGCTTGCTGTTGCCTCTTGCGGCGTGGGCCACCGCCACCGCGACTGGTACCATTCCATGTAATCCTCCCGTCCCACCTACGATTGACTGCCGCAGAAACACCAACCTTCAACAATGCTTCATACCTATATATTCACGCCCGAATGTCGATGAGTGACTTACCTACGCGACAGCAGGTACGATTTCCTGTTCAGTAAAAATGGCGAGGGGTGGTATTGGGGTTGGTGGCGGCTTCGCGAAGTGGAAGGGGCGCAGCTGGGTGAGAAGGGAATTGGCGTCGGGCTTGTCGTTGCCTGCTGCTCCGTGGGCCAAGGCCAACGCGACAGGTACCATTCCACGAACTCTGGCCACGATTCACTGCCGCAGAAACATTGACAACGATGCTTTATATATATTCACCAATGTTGATGAGTGATTTACTGGACAGCAGGGAAGACTTCCTCGTCAGCGGAAGCCTCCAGACGCGAAGGCTGTGAGGCTTTTGTCGAGTCAAGCAAAACCACATCCGCAGACGGGGAGCCTTGGGTTGAGGCGGCCCCCTGCGAACGCACATGGGATTGTTCGGCCATGATGTCTAGTGAAACAAGATCACTAGGTGAATCCGGCGGTATGAAAATGAGAATGATGGAAAAAAAATACGGAAAGGACAGAGACAAAGAACAGAGACATCAAGGAAAAAGGAATATGCACGAAAAGGAAAGAAGATCTTTGAAGATCTTGCAGAAGCACGATGAACAGTCAGTCTCCAGGAGCCAGTGGTATGCATTCCCAATACCAGTGGAGCGAGCCCTTGGTACCTAGTAGCGGACAGCCTCCGCAAGTCGTCGGCGGCATCCACCTGGGTGCTACATGTGCAATGTATCTCCGCAAGTGCCGTTGCTCACATCCAACATCGCCGACGGCGTCGACTTGATATCCGACAATGTCCAATCGATTATGTCGCCCGTTGCGGCGCCGTCGTCGCCGTCGTCGGCCACAAGCCGTTTGTTCATTATTGTCAAGATCTCTGTGCTTCTGCAAGATCTTCTTTCCTTTTCATCCTCTTCTCTCGTGTATCTTCCTTGTTCCTTCATCTCTCTGTCCTTTGTGTCTGTCCGTTCCGCTTTTTTTTCATCATTTCCATTTTCATAACGTCGGATTTACCTAGTGATCTTGTTTCACTAGAGATCATGGCCGACCAATCCCATGTGCGTTCGCAAGGGGGCGCCTCAACCCAAGGCTCGCCGTCTGCGGATGTGGTTTTGCTTGACTCGACAAAAGCCTCACAGCCTTCGCGTCTGGAGGCTTCCGCTGACGAGGAAGTCTTCCCTGGTGTCGAGTAAGTCACTCATCAACATTGGTGAACCTATATAAAGCATCGTTGTTAATTTTTCTGCGGCAGTGAATCGTGGCCGGATTTCATGGAACGGTACCTGTCGCGGTGGCCTTGGCCCACGGAGCAGCAGGCAATGACAAGCCCGACGCCAATTCCCTTCTCACCCGGCTGCGCCCCTGTGAGGGTTCACCACAGCAACAGCAGTGGGGTTGAGACTTTGCCGACCATCAGTGAGGAGGACACGGTGGACTCCAAGGGGCGGACAATCAGCCTCGAACGAATCTTGCATGGAATCGACCAACGTACCACGGTCAGTTAACTCCCTTCCTCTATTATATGACAACATCTCACATAATGCATCGTCACAGATCATGATTCAGAACATTCCGAGATTCCTTGATTGCGTAAGTCAGATCCGATCTCTGTCAGATCTTGTGGATGCTAATACAATCCCCCCATAGAACCAAGTGATCGAAGTCTTGAATCTAACTAGTCGTGGAGCATACGATTTCTTGTTCTTGCGTATAGGCAAGTGAACACTCCTTGAACGATTCATTTGAATTGGAAACTAATCTTTAGCAGGAAGGCGATCGCGCCTCAAGTAAGCTTCGTGTTCCCAACGATCTCTTGCGAATACTCACTCTTCTAGTTTCGGTTACGCATTTGTCAACTTCGTGGATGTAAGTATTCATTCGATTCGATCCCATTTGTTCCCATTTGATCCCCTCTCTTTGCCACCATCTCTGCCGATCCTCCGATTTTGTGTCTTTTCAATCCCAATATTGCCTTTTCACGACCATTAACTAACGCGATTCATAGCCGTTGCACATTATTCGCGTGAGTTATCCTCTGCCTAGGTTGTGATACCTTGACATCTCGCTGACCGGTTCCCCTTAGCTCCACCTTGCGCTAGAGGGCAAAAAATGGTATCTTTCTCTTGCATTTAGCAGTGACATACCCGCTTGTTAACCATTATAGGCCCGGCTGTCAATCTGCGGAGGAGTCAGTGAAATTCTGCTATGCCGGTACGTGCCCCCAGTCGTGATAATCAGGTATGGGTATCTGATAGGATTCAACAGTGGTTCAAGGAAAGGAAGATCTGGTGAACTCATGCCACCAGAACTCAGTTATGACCCGACCTCCTGAGGAGCAACCCAAGGTACGATCAACGAATGCCTCTCTAGTCCCCTTCAAGCGGCAATACTGACTGACTGCAGGTGTTCTTTACTAGCGGTCGCTTTGCAGGATCGCAGGCACCTTTTCCTCGCCCAGACGCCGCCAGGTCCCTGCGTGGCGCCCTCACCAGCACCACCCAGCAAGGTAAGAGCTCCTGTCTCTTGGCCCAAAAAATGGATCTGACCTTTTTCACAGGTGTGGATAACAATGAATCTCAAAGCCAAGATACAGTTGCGCCACCACACACCTGGAACCGGTCGAATGTGCACCACTCATCTCAGATGATCCTTCCTCGCGCATCTGATCGTATTGCCCGTTATCCCGCTGCAGGATCATTGCCCCAGAGTATCACAGCGGATTTCTCCACAACCAGGGAGGGCAATCCAACCATGCGCCCCTCTGTGGGACGATCTTTGCCTGGGCACATCCGTTTTGATCCCCCATTGGCTGGAGCGGAGCGCGATCCGCTCCCCTCTACGGCCCAGTCATTGTTCCAGAACGTTGCTTCTGCGTCCCAGACCGTTGCTCCTGCCTCCCCCTCAGGGAGGTTGGCCGCACGCTTAGGCTACCGCTCTTGGGGACGACACATTCGCTCTTGGGCCCAGAGACGACGCGCCCAGCGGTCTTCTTCGACCGAAAAGGACACTCAGTCTACGCGGGAGGGCAAATAGGCATTTGCAGCTTTTCAATTTTTCAACTTTTCCGTTTTTCAGTTTTCCAAAGGGAATTTACCAAGGGAGATTTGATCTCCTTGAGGATCACTCAGCCTCCTGTCCCTGTGTTTCTTTTTGTGTTTATCTCTTACCTTGGAGAAATGAAATGGACCTTTGCAATGCTTTCATAAGGGTATAGTATTGGTAAAAGCCTCAAGTTCGGCAGCCCGGCTCGCATCATGATTCGATGATCCAGGGAGCCCATTTCTGCCTGAACAGGCGGCCATACTTATCCGATATCAAAGTCCACCATGGCCCATGGGCGCCTATTCGCGTGATATTCAATTATCCAATAGACTTCCCCTTAATAAGCTCCTAAACGATGGAAGTATATACAGCCGTAGAGTGTAGGGATTAGAGCTTCCATCCGGTCATATTTCCACTACCGGGCTTCCATGATACTTCTTCCAATGTTGTAACCCAAAGCCACCAAATCTTGCATGAACATGTGACTCATCCTTAGAAACAACAAGACAGTCAAGAGTCAGACTCTTGACTGTCTTATCTATGATAGCAGAATAGAGTCTACAATGGAGCACTTCATAAAGCAGTAGATTAATCCGATACTAGCAAAACAGACGGGCGAAGGAATAAGAAGAGGAGAGCAAGCAAAGAAGGGAGCTATCTAGTCTGCTCCGGATCAGCTGGCCACTACCCGTATCCCCATGGAACCGTAGGTACGTTGACCAAGTTTAGCAAATAATCAAAGAGTAAAGCTTTCTCTGGAAGCAATTCCAGCGGCGAGTTTCCAAACATTATTCACCATCGAAGTATTCATCTAAAGAGCTCTCACCTTCAGAAAAGTCTTGCCAGATATACTCATCATCGATTGAGTCGAACTCAAGGGGCTCATCCGAGTCATTTGCAGCCTCTTTCAGCCTCTGATAATGTATTCTCCTGTCCAACTTCCGTCTAAGAGAAGACCCAGCCGGGATGAGTGACTCGGCAGATTGTTGAGCTCGATCGGATTGCGTGGATGGCTCTTGCGGTCGTGTCGATGGCACAATCATGGCCTCCTTCAATACATAAACCAATAAACTGAAGGCTTTTTCTAGATCCGCCTGAGAATCGAGTGTTGAGGTGACAAACTAGATTGCATTAGAACAAGCACCTTCAATCAAGAGACACTTATTGAATAAGCATACCGAGGATTCATCATCTAGTCTAACAAAGTGAAAGACTCGCGAGTCTGTTGCAACCCCATACAACGGGCAATTTTCCTTGTTTGCATTTTTGCGATGGTGATAAATGAAACCTTCGACCAAGTTAGCTTGAAAGCAGTCTAGTATGATACGTGATATAGCATACTCACCCAAATATCCTAGTACTTCTAGAAATAGAATTCCCTTTTCGGACGCCCTAAACCTCTGATTTTGGGCCACGATAACATTCGAAGCGGCTTCCTCTTCGTCTCCGTACCACAGGGCGTAAGATGGGTATCCTGATAACTTAACGGCCTCGCCCTTGTATTTAACGGGCCCGAATCAGATTGACGCCTCCGAAACCAAGTTTCCGACGGTTGCTATCACCACGTTGAGTGTGGAGGACGTTCAACGATCCCTCCAGTTTGAACTAGATGTTGAGGACGGCGAGATGCAAGGCGTGCAGCTGCTCCTCCTTCCTCCCCTCCTCGGTATACAGCCCAAGACATGGATTAGAAGGGAAATGTAGCTAATTGAATACAGTGAGTACCCTTGGCCTAATCAAAGAGGCCAAGCGCAGATCATCCACCATGGACGATTGTTGCGGAGAGGTTCGTTCGCGAAACAAAGCCGTGAACATCTTGATTCACTTCCATGCAGTCCCTTGCCGGTGTCGAATGGGCTTTCAGCACTCTCACGAGTCAGGTCTCAAAAGTCAAAGGGACTCCGAGCCATCGAGAAACAAAAAAGATCATCGCATCCAGTCTGTAGTCACCTGGGGTTCATAAATCCCATGTTGGTGAAGACTTCCCGAAGACTTCCACCAAGCTCATGTGTGGAGCGTGTGGGGTGGGAAAACGACGATTGGCGGGGGGTCTTGACTTTTGACCCCTAACGAGGGGAAGTTGGAATAGTCTGACTGAGACGGGCTCGTTCCTTCAGCCGAGTCCTTGCCATGGCTGCCTGTCGATTCCTGGAAGGAGACCGCGTTCCAAGCATAAGGCTTTGTATGCCTATGGCTTGGTCAATGAGAAGAATGCGCTATGAGTCAGACTCAACTGGAGTCCATCATATTTGCCGTCGATAGTGCCAGCAAGAAAGTGATTGTTAGGCGTGACTCAGTTTATACGTGCTCACAAGCTTTTAAGTTCTCCGCCTTATACTGTGTATAGACTAAATGCTCTCCATGTATAACTAGAGATTTCCCAAGACCTTGGACACGGAGGGCGCTACCTAGTCCCATCTCCGAAAAGCGGAAGTGGGTCGTTCCAGCGAGGCGCGACCGCGCGACGCGCGACGCGTCGGTCGGGATCTCCCTACGTCATCCAAGAAACAAATGTTGACACTACGAAAGACCGCTGAAAATCTTCATGCTATATACGGAGTAGGAACAAGAACCTGAACAATAGGCTGGTAACGAGCCACAAAGATCCCTTCTCCGATCCCGTGCCACTGGCTCGAGGAATTGATGAAAAGATGGGCCCCTGCTAGGGGAAGTGCCGCTCACCTCACAATGTAGGTCCAGTTGACAGCCTTACGGCTCCCAAAAATCGGGATGATTATCCGGAACCGCGAGGGTGGATACGAGTGTGGCCCCTTACCGGGAATCGGTGGCCCATTCGACACAGCAACCGCGTTCTTCGAGGCATGGGCCGATACCATGAAGTTTAAGTGGGACAAAGAGACGATCACAAGCATGATGCAGAGAGGTCCAATCTCAGCGGAACAGATGATTGCAATTATCGAGAACTTGCCTTCGCAGGTCAAAGCGATAGCTAGCCGGCTGTCCGTGTGCAGTGAAGGGCCATTCCCTCTGGCACATGATGACTTTTATCATAGTAACATCATGGTCAATGAGAATAGCTTCGAGGTAACGGGAATCATTGACTGGGAAGGCGCATTTACGGTTCCCTATGAGCTCATCATGTTCCCCGAAATCCTTGCATTCATGCCCGTCTCCTTCGGCCTCCCTGAGACCTAAATATGACCGAGATGGGCAGCCGTTGGATGAGGAACTACGAGAAAAGTGGCGTGAGCGAGAAGCGTATATCGAAATGGTAAGATCGGTCGAGCGTGAAGATAGCCTGCTCTCAACTTGTCTCAGCAGTGAGAGGTGCCAGGCTATGGCTTATTTGTATGGGGCGTACGTTGGTATTGGAAAGTTGGGTTATTGTGATCCAGTTATGGAAGAGTTAGAGATGGTCCAGAGGGACCTGGAGCCAGGAGGGTCGTTTTATTGCTAGGCAGAAAATTAGTAATATGCAATATCATCTCACTATAGTTAACTATAGTGATGTACTCTCATTTGTAGTAGATAGATCACTACCTACCTACTCATCAGTAATAACTGCTTAGCTTCACCATAAACCTAGGCTCCGTACTATGACAGCCTAAACCGGGGCTGTGAAAGAATGGGTACAACAGCGAAATGGGGCTGTGTAATGATACCAAGGACAGCAGAACAGAGAACTAAAGACTGTCCAGGCTAGAAGATCAATCCAATGAATGAGAATAACGACACTGATTCTTGCTATCTAACGAAAAGGGATTCAGGGCCCCAGGGGGCCGGGGCCAGGGCCAGGGGTTTGGGTGCCGACACCACACGGAGAAGAGTTGATCCGCCGAGGGGTGGAGCACAAACGCCAGGCACCAGATGGAATCATGGAATCCTCCATTCCTGACAGAACTGCATTCGCGGATTCTTTTAATTCCTTCTTCTACCTCGGATACCAGGCGAATAGCTTCGCCCAGAAATCACGAAAATCCCGCTTGAAGGATCTGGCAACCACCCCCCTTCACCCGCGGCCTGATAGGCGTGGGTCGAGGCCTAGTAGTTTGCACCTCCGCAACACAGTACACTCAAGGTGCGATGGTACGTCTCACCAAGAGAGCACGAAAGGATTGCTCGAAGCAGAGCAACTGCAGCTTGCCAGCTTCAAGTTCTTTTGGTGTGTGATCACACGCCACCTCATCTCACGGAGGACATGTGTTAACCCCACTTGACGAGAATGACGACAGAGCCGGACAGCCAAGCGATGATGCAGCCGATGCAGACGAAGCAAAGAGGAACCCCAGGGTATTTCAAGAACCAAGGGCGCTGCAATACCTACAGAGCACTATCAGCCAGAAAACCCAAAAAAAAAAAAAAAAAAACCAAAAACAGCAAGGCTAGGCCTGTTGGGGGCCTTGGGGCGTAATTAGCCGGGATAAGTCTCGTCGTCGACCGGGTCGTGTTCGAGGCCATTCAGGCCGAACAGGGTCTCGAACTGGGCTACCCGGTGCTCCCGTGCCTCCAGTACCTCCACCCGGCGCTCCAATTCCTCCTCCCATCGCTCTCGTTTCTCCTCCCAGCGCTCCAGCGCATCCAGCCGCCTCTCAATACTCAGAAGAGTCTGAGTCAACGCCTGGCCCACATGGGCCGCGCTGGGAGAGGTGATCATTGCTGCTCATTGTTCAGGCCATGACGCCTTCTCGTTACGAGTGGCGGACGAAAATAAACCGGGTCTCCGAAAACACCCCTTGATAAACGCATACCATCTGGGGTCGACCGGGTCGTCCGGGAACATGATCGGACGGTCGGAGCAATTTCGCAGCTATATAACCGGAGCAATGTTAGTCATTCAGCTTGATACCAGCGGAAATCGAAGAAGAAGGTATCAAAGTATATGCAGAAAGCAAGAACAGTCCGAAAACAGACGAAAGGCCACACTTACATTTCGATTCGCCGCGGGATTGGAACGAGGGTCTCAGCATGGCAAACCACTGAATCCCGCGAAGCTCCGTCGGTTAAGACAATACATTTGCATTATAGCCGTAGCTGTTGGTGGCCTTCTTGTTGTTGGTGGCCTTCTTGACCCGGCATGTGCGATTACATACACACTCAAAAGTTAGCAGGTATCCAGCTTCGACTTGACAGCGATACATACGCGTGTGAGGACGCAGCGACGCAAGAACATCCGGAAGCAAGTCAGTAGCCCAGTTCATGGTTCCCCCAATGAGGGAAGGGAACCGAAAGCATCTCACGCACAGGACGAGGTCGGAGCCCACAGGGTATGCGAAGGAAGGTCCAGCTGAGAAACGGCGAAAGACAACCTCGTCACAACTCTGGAGAAGAAAAGTCAGTCCGAGCCGAAGGCCGTTACCGATGACCGCAAAGAATTGAACATACCGAAAGGTCACGATCAAGACTGGCGGACTGTTAGGGCATAACCCGCTTTCCACAAGCAGAAAAGATTGAATGTGTGCCGATCAGAGATCTATGAAGCCGCCTGGCGGCTCACTGATCCCTGCCACCCCGACCGCCCCATTCTCCCGCGAAATTGAGCTCTCCGATATGCCCTTCGATGTTCAAGCGGGTACATCTCCGAAGGATGGTCGTTCTCCTTCTCCGGCAAAAATTATGCCTATCGTCGGTTGCCCGCGACCAGATAGTCCCCACGCGATGTGCAATGCGTGAGGACCATTCGTGATGCCTGTCTTCGTAGTCACAGACACCAAGGCATGGTAAACACCAACGAAGGTGAAGAAGAAGAAGAAGAAGAAGAAGAAGAAGAAAGAGGATGGAGACGAAGGTGATATTTATCGACGAGGTCACGCGACATCCCTACAGTTCTGAGCCTCTGAGCCGTACCCGACGCGTGCTTTCCTAATGATAATTGCCTAGGTATACGGCTGGAAGGAGCGAGCTGTGCAAAGTTGTTTGTGTACCTCTACTGAATGAAGTCGCGCTCAAAGACACAGAGGCAATAGGCATACGTGATGAAAATCTCTTCTCCAATCCCGTGCCATTGGCTCGATGATTGATGAAAAGATGGGTCCCTGATTTGGGAAGTGCCCGGGGGAAGTGCCAAAAATTATGCCTATCGTCGGTTGACCCGCGACCAGATGGTCTTCTCACGAAGTGCAATGCGAGATGACCATCTGTGGTGCCTGTCTTGGTGATCACAGACACCAAGGCTCGATAGCAATTAAACACTGAGGAGAAGGAGAAGGAGAAGAAGAAGAAGAAGAAGAAAGAGGATGGAGAGGAAGGCGATATTTATCGACGAGGTCACGCGACATCCCTACAGACATAGTTATGAGCTGTCCACGTGGACATATTTGTCTCCGGTGCTATGTGTAGAAGGAGCCTGAGTTGTCTTCGTTCCTTCCCTAACCACATTGCCGGTTTTCGAGGTGCTAGGATGCTCTCACGGCAGGGTGCCACGCTGCCCAGGTGGGTGCTCGTAAATACCGCTTTCGGGGTCAGACAGTATCAGCACCATCAACCTTGAAAGGCACCCATAAGGATAATGACAGGGAGCCTGGGGCTGGTCGCATGCTGGTATAGGGTTATAGGGCTTGGGGTTCTTGGTTGCACAACGTTTCGGCCGATATCTTTGAAATCCGACTGGGACTGTCGGTTTGAACATGTACCCTGTTCGCTTTCTCAATTTCTCAGGTTATGCATTCTCTGCATCTCAATGTCTCATATTGTTTGTACCGCTTGCTGGGCTGGCTCTGTGTCCATCTTGATAGCTTTGGAGCCTCAAACCCATATGGCGGCGGCAGCGGCGCAATGAGGTGTTTGAATTACCGACAGAGTTGGGATACCTGCAGAGATGGAAGCATGGTGATTGTATAAGAGCTTGCTCTAGAAGCCCGGAGGAGCCGAAAATCACTTTGGACCGCCGTTATCGACATCTACGGGCACCACCCTTGTAGTCCACGCGCAGGTTGATTTACAGGTTTGTAGTACAGGTAGGACAGGTTAAATGTCTGGCCAGATAGACAAATTCCTCTAACGTTGAGCTCTTTGTCTAGCTCGTAAGACCAGAGTGATAGAAGTGTACCTATGGTATATATTAGGTTCTAGATGAGCACACCCACGCCCAGAAAAAAGCACAAAGGTTCCGTCATGGTGTTCTGTAGTTGCCGGGCTGGGATACGACAAATCTACAACAACATTGGGTTTAATGAGACGAAATGTGAGTTACCTATTAAACCAGGACCCAGCACGTCAAAGCTTGCGTTTGAGTTCAACTACATAACGACACGTACGGACATGATCATGACATGTGTGTATCAGAGTCTCGGCTGGTTGCCATGCACTACACGCGCAATCGAAATGAGCTTGGTGACACGATCAGTAGAGAGTGCTCACAAGTACCACGCAGAGATACCATATCACACAGTAATATTCTCTAAACTCTAGTCCCATGGGCCATTGGATATGGGAAGGATGGAGATGACGAAGTGTTTGGAAAAGACTCCTAGAAGTGAGAAGAACGATTGGAATGTGTGAAGTGAATCAACAAAGTTGGCCACTCGGGGCGAGAATTCTTGAGCAGATCAGTCGCACGAATTGTGCGCGTAAAGATTTGCTAGATGAGACTCTGCTAGACATCGGGATAGAAAGTGAACTTCCTGTCCAGCATCGTAACCTAACCAGCTTTTGCGCGCATAGCTTGTGCTATTGATCTGCCCACACCTTCTCCCCTTGAGACGACATCGCCGCCGTCATCGCCATCTGCTTCGTTTGTTTTTTTTCATATGGCTCAATCATTCACTTGACTTCTTGGAGTCTCTTCCAAACACTTTTCATCTCTTCATCTTCATTCATCCATCAAGGTCGTGTTCTCTTCTCCCCTGAAAAACGTCGCTGTCCAAGGAATGGATGGCCGTTCTGTCTCTGTCTCGGATGCATGGAAGTGGTAAACCAAATTATCATCCCTGGTAAGACACTGACATCCTATAACGACGAAACCACGTTGCTGATTTGCTAACCTGTTGGATGTAGGCGTTCCGAGGGAGTGAGGCTTCCAGATCAGATGACCAATCCGAAACCCGGCATGGCGTTCTGTTGAACTGGGTCTCATTCTGCAAGCCGTTCACCTCGACGGTACAGCTCAGAGAATCCTCTTTGAGCTGTGGGGCAACACCCTTCTTCACCAACATCATCCCGACAGGCCCTGGCGTAGCGATTCTATGAATCGTTGTTCAAGGAATGGATGGCCGATCTGTCCCTGCCAGGCATGCATGTGGTGACGGCATTTGGCAAATGCCGGATCGCAAACAGCAGATGCATCTGGGACATATGGCTTGGAGCCTGTCGAGAAGCAAATCATGGTCCCTGGTAAGAGACATAACGACGAAGCCACGTTGGTGATCCTGTTGAATCCAGGCGTGCCGAGGGAGTGAGGCTCCCAGAATCAGATGCCCAATCGAAAACCCGGCATGGCTTTCTCGAAACAGTAACGGCGGACGCCATACCCATGAGGCATACATCCGCCGACCCTGCCGAGATGATTCACCCACAAGCCCTCACCGACATCGCCGTGGCCATGACAGCCACTCGTCAGCCCCGAGCGAAATCCACCAAATAGTGCAGCAGGGCACTGAACCTGCCCAAATTCAGCTCATTGGCCATCGCCCAGTCCTCGAACCGCTCCCGCATATCCTGGCTGCTTAATGTGAACGAACTTCGACCGATGTGTACCCCGTAATCAGGTATGGAACTTGTGCCAGCCACGCACGGGGCGAGATCGTCTTGATCCGCTTTCTGTCTGTCGCTCACTGCGGCCCCTGTGAGCGGCCGCATTGAAGAGTGCGTCCTGGGAAATGTCCCGACCCCTCTGCATTTTGCGCTGGTCTAGGGAGATACCGATGGAAATTGGATCATCCAAATCGAACAGCGACTCGAGCGACTTTGCCAGTGCTGCGTTGGAAGGTGGTGATAGGTGGCGTCGCTCGCGGTATCTATGGGTGCTTGGATGATCTCTGTATCCACGGGCAGAGTCATTCGATGACACGTCGGAGGCAGCTGGCCTCTCAGCTGAGCCTGGACTCCCCGGGCCGCGGAGAATATCCTGCATTCCCCGGGAAAAGAGCAGGAAGGACTCAGCCGGGCCTTTCCACAGTTCACACCAAAGTTTCTTCTCCGCCTCCATAGGGAGGAGAGCGCGGCAGCGCCCACCGTGTTCGTGACCGCGCTACCTGGTATGGTCTTCCTCGGAGCTGTCCGTCTTCGATATCAAATTTCGTGAACGGAATTTGAAGATATTCCATCAGACCAAGTGAAACGCATACACTGGGAATAATGATTTGAAGGAACGCCCCTGGAAGGGCTGATGAATACGGAGGCTCTTTTGTTTTTTTGGGCTTGGTATTGGTCGCGATGGAGGGATTCACTGTTCAGAATAACCTTAGCCAGCCAAATTACTGATGCTTGTGAATGAGCTCCAGATTGCACAGTAATTGAATCATTAACACACCTTAAAATCGCCCTGGATACGCGGACACAGTATGCATGTAACTGTTCTGGAAGTAGGCCGGGCCTGACCGGAGGTCGTTAGCCTCGAACTTGTATGCTGAATTATTATCAGGGAATGAATATACAGAATGTGTAGAGATGGGTGGGCTAAGTGGGCATCGATAAGTAATTATTCTGTCTGTCGCCATTGCCATGCGTGCAAGTCATACGACTTAGCAGATGGCGTAATCCCACGTGCCAGTGTGTAGGCAAGACACACAATATGCCCTCGCCTCTGCTTTGTCTCTACCATTCTCAATTAATTCATTCATCCGCTTTGGATTGATTGCCTTGGCATCTCTGGGCTCCATCAAAGGGCACAAAACCATACTGTGATCACAAAGCTTCACATTAATCTAACCACCGATTATCCCCTCTGCACCCGAAGTACTGAAGCACCAATAGAGCAAAGGGGTAGACTTTGTTGCTATCTTGGCCATTCAAAGAAATACCTCCATGCCGGATTGCCATCTCGCCCATGGACGGATCGGCTGATAGTCCACCGTTGTGGTGTAGGAATACATAGGTTATCTTCAGGCCTCATCCCTGGTAGGCACTAGGCAGTGCTGCCAGTGCATTAGTCTAGTTACTTTCATGGGAGGTGAAAGCTGGAAGCCTGGAACGCAAAACGCCAATGGAAGAAGCCGGAGAAATGCCTCCGCCTGTTGCTCACTGCCGCATTGGTGCGTAGGGGCGGTGCGGTGTGTGAGTCCAAGGGGGTGTTAAAACTTAAGCCTACTTGTCTAGTCAATGTAAGATAGACTACACGATGTACGGAGCCCTTAGGTTAGGGTTAATGAGGATATCATCATATTCTAACCACGTGGTACACGTGCAAATAGACATCTACGCTAGTCCATAGACGGAATAGCGCCACTGCTAGCGCTATTTACACCCATCGTATTATTTAGAGGCCTTCTTCACTTCCAAAATTCCTTCCATCTGCATACTTTCGACTTTTACTGCATTACACACATTATGGCATTATCTACCCTCCGAGTCTGCTCGAGTTGACCATCCCTCTACTGCCACAGATCATTGCTGACAATGAAAATGTTTACAAAGCTAGCCATCCCCAGCTTGTCTATCGTCCATATGCAATGGAAGTTGATGACAGCGCCCGCTGTTGCCTCTTTCGGCGTGCGTTGATCAATTTCATGTAGGATTCGTTCGAGGCTGATTATCCGATCATTGTAATCAACTGTGTCCTCACTGATCGTCGGCAAAGTCTCCACCCCACCGCTGTTGCCTTGGTGAACGCGGGTGAACCCTCACAGGACTTTGTTGGCTAACGTTGGGGGGCAAGGATGGAGACGAACTTCAAACGCTCAGGTTGGCCGGAGGAGGGTGGGAGATGGCCATGATCACTAAGTGGTGAAAATGGCAAGTGGTGGTATTGGGGTTGGTGGCGGCTTCGCGAAGTGGAAGGGGCGCAGCCGGGTGAGAATGGAATTGGCGTCGGGCTTGTCGTTGCCTGCTGCTCCGTGGGCCAAGGCCACCGTGACAGGTACCATTCCATGAAATCCGGCCACGATTCACTGCCGCAGAAACATTAACAACGATGCTTTATATCGGTTCACCAATGTTGATGAGTGACTTACTCAACAGCAGGGAAGACTTCCGCTTAATTTTTCTCCGCCAGTGAACCGTGGCCAGAAGTCATGGCCTGGTACCTGTCGCGGTGGCCTTGGCCCACGGAGCAGCAGGCAACGACAAGCCCGACGCCAATTCCCTTCTCACCCGGCTGCGCCCCTTCCACTTCGCGAAGCCACCACCAACCCCAATACCACCACTTGCCATTTTCACCACTTAGTGACCATGGCCGTCTCCGGCCCAATCTCGCCCCGAGGGCCCCGACCCAGGGAACGATGGGCAGTTTCCAACACCCTCCTCCGGCCACCCTGAGCGTTTGGAGTTCGTCTCCATCCTTGCCCACCAACTTTGGCCAACAAAGTCCTGTGAGTCTTCACCAAGGCAACAGCGGTGGGGTGGAGACTTTGCCGACGATCAGTGAGGACACAGTTGATTACAATGATGGGATAATCAGCCTCGAACGAATCCTACATGGATCCGATCAACGCACCACGGTCAGTTAACCCCCTTCCTCTATTATATGACAGCATCTAACATAATGCATCGTCACAGATCATGACTCGGAACATTCCGAGATTTCTTAATTGCGTAAGTCAGATCCCATCTCTGTCAGATCTTGTGGGTGCTAATACAATCCCACATAGAACCAAGTGATCGAAGTCTTGAATCGAACTAGTCGTGGAGCATACGATTTCTTGTTCGTGCGTATAGCCAAGTGAACACTCCTTGAACGATTCATTTGAATTGGAAACTAATCTTTAGCAGGAAGGCCATCGCGCCTCAAGTAAGTTTCGTGTTCCCAAAGGTCTCATGTGAATACTCACTCTTCTAGTTTCGGTTACGCATTTGTCAACTTTGTGGATGTAAGTATTCTTTCGATTTGATCCCATTTGATCCCATTTCCTCTCCTGTCTTTGTCATCATGTCTTCCGCTTCTCCGATTTTGTGTCTTTTCAGTCCCAATATTGCTTTCTTTTCGACCTTTCACTAACACGATTCATAGCCTTTGCATATTATTCGCGTGAGTTACCCTCTGTCCAGGTTGTGATACCTTGACAGCTCGCTGACCGGTTCCTTTTAGCTTCACCTTGAGCTGCAGGGCAAAAAATGGCATCTTTCTCCTGAATTTAGCAGTTACATACCCGCTTGCTAACCATTATAGGCCTGGCTGTCAATCTGCGGAGGAGCCAGTGAAATTCTGCCATGCCGGTACGTTCCCTCAGTCATGATAATCAGGAATGGGTATCTGATAGGATTCAACAGTGGTTCAAGGAAAGAAAGATCTGGTGAACTCATGCCACCAGAGCTCAGTTATGACCCGACCTCCTGAGGAGCAACCCAAGGTACGATCAACGAATGCCTCTCTAGTCCCCTTCAAGCGGCAATACTGACTGACTGCAGGTGTTCTTTACTAGCGGTCGCTTTGCAGGATCGCAGGCACCTTTTCCTCGCCCAGACGCCGCCAGGTCCCTGCGTGGCGCCCTCACCAGCACCACCCAGCAAGGTAAGAGCTCCTGTCTCTTGGCCCAAAAAATGGATCTGACCTTTTTCACAGGTGTGGGTAACAATGGGCCTTAAGGCCAAGATACGGTTGCGCCAGGACGACACACCCGGAACCGGTTGAACGTGCACCAGTCATCTCAAATGATCCTTTCTCGCGCATCTGATCGTATTCCCCGTTATCCCGCTGCAGGATCATTGCCCCAGAGTATCACAGCGGATTTCTCCACAACCAGGGAGGGCAATGCAACAATGCGCCCGTCTGTGGGACGATCTTTGCCTGGGCACACCCGTTTTGATCCCCCATTGGCTGGAGCGGAGCGCGATCCGCTCCCCTCTACGGCCCAGTCATTGTTCCAGAACGGTGCTTCTGCGTCCCAGACCGTTGCTCCTGCCTCCCCCTCAGGGGGGCTGGTCGCACTCGCACGCTTAGGCTACCGCTCTTGGGGACGACACATTCGCTCTTGGGCCCAGAGACGCCGCGCCCAGCGGTCTTCTTCGACCGAAAAGGACACTCCGTCTACGCGGGAGGGCAAATAGGCATTTGTAGCTTTTCAGTTTTTCAAAGGGAATTTACCAAGGGAGATTTGATCTCCTTGAGGATCACTCAGCCTCCTGTCCCTGTGTTTCTTTTTGTGTTTATCTTTTAGCTTGTTGAAATGGATTTGGCCTTTGCAATGCTTTTATATTTTATAAGGGTTAAAGGGTATATTACTGGTAAAAGCCTCAAGTTCGGCAGCCTGGCTCGCATCATGATTCGATGATGTGAGCCCATTTCTCCCTGAACAGGCGGCCATACTGATCCGATATCATTCTGGAGCGTCCAAGACTATCACTGGGTATCGTGAAGACTTTTATGAGAACAAACTCTACAAGCCAGGTGAGCAGGCATACGCCGTAACGCCTACACAAACGCCAAGGATGCAATGCTGAGATCCTAGGCAAGGTCAGGGAGATCCTTTGGAGGAAAGGTGTGGAAACTGGAAATGCGTTGGGAAGTATCTACACGTGAGGATAGCTAATGTTTGGAGCGAGGCCACGTGACCGCCAGCAATATCCAAATGCTGGATGACCACCCTGGCCCAGCCTCTGTCATGGATGTAAATCTTAAAGACTTAAATTCTTAATTAGTTGGGATAGTTAAGGATAGAGCTTAGTTAATCTCCAGGTCACAAGCCCATAGTCACGGGCGCATATGAGATGAACCAGAAACCGATAACTAGAGCTCGGATAGGGCTGTACAGTGGAGATGCGGGGGTCATGCGGGGAACCCCCGCCGGCCCCACCAGGCCGGGGAGAGTCCGCCGTCAACGCGTCCCTGGGCTTTAGCCTTAAGGTTTGTCGGAGACTCGGGGAAATAGCTTCCAGAGGTTTCACCGACATAGGAGTTCGCGTAGAAAGATTGGACCGGTATACTTATATGTAATGGCGGCCTACTCCATTCGCTCAGCATAGATGTTACAGACATAGATTTCTTTCTTTCTTGGAATTGGTTCTTTTTCAAATTGTTCAACATGCCAGAGACATTCGATGTAGAGCATGTTCTAGCGAACATCAGCGAGCAGGACAAGATCGCCCTTTTATCAGGTAAGGCATAGCCTTTGATCTTTGGGGACGTTATCCGCTAACGAGAGCAGGAACGGATTTCTGGCACACGCATCCCATCCCCGAATTCAACGTCCCTTCGATTCGCGCCACCGACGGCCCCAATGGTATCCGGGGCACAAAATTCTTCGCCGGCATCCCCGCTGCATGTTTGCCCTGTGGCACAGCTCTGGGCGCCACCTGGGACCGAGATCTGGTAAACCAAGCGGGGAAGCTGTTGGGCGACGAGTGCATCGCCAAAGGCGCGCATTGTTGGCTAGGCCCAACAATCAACATGCAGCGCGCTCCCATCGGTGGTCGCGGGTTCGAATCGTTTGCGGAAGACCCGCATCTCTCGGGCATTTTGGCCAAATCAATCATCGTGGGATGCGAAAGCAAAGGGATCATCTCGGCGGTAAAGCATTTCGTGGGCAACGACCAGGAACATGAGCGACGGGCGGTGGATGTCCTCGTCACCCAGCGTGCCTTGCGCGAGATCTACCTTCGACCCTTCCAGATTGTGGCGAGAGATGCAAGGCCCGGCGCGCTCATGACCTCGTATAATAAGATCAATGGGAAGCATGTGGTGGAAGATGCGCGCATGCTCAATCTGATCCGCGAGGAGTGGAAGTGGAATCCACTGGTCATGAGCGACTGGTTAGGGACCTACACAACCATTGACTCGATGAATGCTGGCCTTGATCTGGAAATGCCCGGACCATCCAGATACCGGGGAAAATTCATCGAGTCCGCCGTGCAGGCTCGACTGATCAAACAATCGACTATCGATGCACGAGCGCGAAGAGTGTTGGAGTTCGTCAAGCAAGCGAGTCAGGTCCAAGTGTCAGAAGTGGAGCGAGGACGGGATTTCCCAGAGGATAGAGCGTTGAATCGCAAGATCTGTGCGAACAGCATGGTCCTCCTCAAGAATGAGGGCATCTTGCCCCTTCCGAGGGAGATCAAGAAAATCGCCCTGATTGGATCTCATATGAAGACGCCCGCAATATCTGGGGGTGGTAGTGCGTCGCTTGAGCCATACTACTCAGTCTCATTATACGACGCGTGCAGGGAAGCATTTCCCAACGCTGAGATACTCTACGAGGCGGGCGCATATGCCCACAGGATGCTCCCTGTGATTGAGCGTCTGCTGAACAATGCTGTCATTCACTTCTACAACGAGCCGATGGGCAAGGAACGATCTTTGATCAGCACTGAGCCTGTCTCGACGACAGCTTTCCAGTTCATGGACTACTACGCCCCCGGCCTCAACCGAGGACTCTTCTGGGCCACACTGATCGGCGACTTCACGCCCGACGCCTCCGGTCTCTGGGACTTTGGCCTGAGTGTCTTTGGTACCGCGAATCTCTACATTGACGACGAGCTCGTAATCGATAACACCACGAATCAGACGCGTGGGACGGCATTCTTCGGCAAAGGCACCATTGAGGAGCTGGGATCGAAGGAATTAGTGGCCGGGACTACATACAAAATTCGCATCGAGTTCGGGTCTGCCAACACTACCACAATGAAAACGGTGGGAATGGTCAATTTCGGTGGCGGCGCCGCCAATCTGGGTGCCTGTCTACGGATGAACCGAGATGAGATGATCGAGAATGCCGTGAAAGCTGCTACTGAGGCCGACTACACCATTCTCTGCACCGGACTCAACAGGGACTGGGAATCTGAAGGATTCGATCGCACGCATATGGATCTGCCACCGGGAGTTGACCGGCTGATCTGGAAGGTGTTGGAGGCTGCCGCGGACAAGACCGTCATAGTGAATCAGTCCGGTACCCCAGTTACCATGCCGTGGGTGGATCAGGCTCAGTGCATCGTGCAGGCCTGGTACGGAGGTAACGAGATTGGTCATGGAATTGCTGATATCCTCATCGGAGAGGTCAATCCATGCGCAAAGCTGCCCTTATCCTGGCCGGTAGATGTCAAGCACAATCCGGCCTACCTGAACTTCGCCAGTGTAGGTGGCCGAGTGCTGTACGGCGAGGACATCTATGCGGGTTATCGATTCTACGAGAAGACTGGACGAGAAGTCCTCTTTCCATTTGGGTGAGTTGGTTCCGTCTAGTCTCATGTTCAACAGAGCCGCGTCTAACCGCATTATAGTCACGGCTTGTCATATACGACCTTCCAGGTCTCACCGAGTGTTACCGTCGCCCCGGAGATCTTCACCATGGACAGTCCTCCAGTCGCCACTGTACAAATCAGAAATACAGGCAAATTGGCGGGCGCTCAGGTTCTCCAACTCTACATTTCTGCCCCCGAATCCCCAACCGCGCGTCCAATCAAGGAACTGCACGGTTTCGAAAAAGTGTTCCTGCAGCCTGGGGAGGAAAAAACAATTGACATTCAGCTGGACCGATATGCGACCAGCTTCTGGGACGAGATTGAGGACATGTGGAAGATCGAGGGAGGGACGTATGAAGTGCTGATTGGAACCTCTAGTCAGGAAGTGGTAGCCCGGGGAAAATTCCAAGTGGATCGCACGATTCATTGGCGGGGACTTTGATTCAATTCATTCAGCTTCTAAGTTTCTTGTCCGGCTAAATGATGGCTGTTTGGCTTGATTGGACCAATTCAGCCACCGTTTCGCTTAGCCCATCACCAATCACCGACCCTAACCGACGTCGTTTTTTCTCTTGGCCTTTTACCCACATATCTCTCTCTGACCCCATGTTCTACCCCATATTCGTACCCATGTCCGACTGCAGAGCCCCACCAACAACATGGACCCTTCGTCGACTGCGCGACGGAAGAATACTCGGGTGCTCACCGCATGCGACGCCTGCCGTATAAGCAAGACTCGATGCGACTCCGCACGGCCAGTGTGTGCCAAATGTGTCCAGCGGGGTGTAACTTGCGAGTATCCGGAGACGGATGCCCTCTCAGTGTCGGTCCCCATAGAGCTTCTTTCCATTAGGGCATCTAATAACCACCAATTTCATCTAAAGACTAGATACATGGGGCGCAAAAATCCTAGAGGCAGTAGAACGTCAAGAGCGTCTTCTATCAGAAAGCCTCTCTATGAATAGGGGGCATCCTCCTCAGGCTCCTCTTTTCTCGCAGCAGGCGTCGCCATCCCCAGTGGACGAAGTAGATCCCGAATCAATCTCGCGAAACGATGCACTCAAAACGCCGATCACCGGGTCCGACATGATTCTCAGCTGGCCGATTTTCCCGCAAGATAGGCCCGTGTCGACATTTCCAATGGCAGCGTATTCCGAGAAGCCAGATCAGTTTCAGCCAGGTATAGTCTTCTCGTCGCAGAATGCGGCATCGAATACTAACGGGCGGTTCCAGGCCTACCCCGTCTAGACCCCCAAAGGCTCCTCGAACTGCGCGACATATTCATGACCAAAATCTGGACCAAGAACCCGATCGTTGACCCGGAGCAGCTGGACTTTTATATCGCCCAAGTGCTGGAAAACGGCATTGACTGGTGCGCCTCGTCATGCTTGGTGCTGCTCATCTTTGCGCTTGCGGCTATCTGGGGGAATTACCCCGACGAGGAAGCTCGCGAGGTCTCGTACAATGAGCCATCATTCAGTCCACCGGTCACTTACGTGACCATGTCCGTTCCAGAGCACCGAATGAAGGAATCTTTGACCTTCCTCTCCATGGCGCGTAAGCGCATCTCTACTGCGCACCTTGACGATTCCTTACTGGGAGTGCAATGTCTCTGTATATTCGGGTGAGCACGCCTTCTCTCAGCTGCTTCGAGATGCAAGTCTCTAACTCATGCAGAATTTGGTATCAGTATAATATGGAGCCGATTCCAGGATGGAAAATGTTCCGGACAGCATCCATGCTATGGCAGACGTATCGCCTGAAACACCGCGAGGGAAAGACAATCAGGAGTGCGCAGGAAGAGAGTGGGTGATTTGATCTTTCCGTTGTGGATATGTCTAACTCGCCCCCAGGCCTGGAGCAGCGACTCTACTGGACATGCCTGAAATCCGAATGGTACAGCATACACCCACCGATCGCGAATGCCCACACAGACGGCTGACATACACATAGTGAGGTTCGATACGAACTGACAGATCTCCCGCCCTGCGATCTCAGCCTCTCCGACTTTCCTTACTCTCTCCCGAGCTTCCCCACGCGACAACCATCCCATGACAGTCCTGGATGGATGTCCAGTCCCTCCTCGACAGACCTCGAAGCATCGTCTTCCTACTACTATCTAGCCGAGATATTCCTGCGCCGGCTTCTCAACCGGGCCCGCAATGCAGTCCGCGTTCTCTCCCCAGACATCGATCTGCCGAGCATCAAGAATCTAGCAGAAACCCTGACGCAGCTGGAAGGTCAACTACAGCAATGGGTGGACTGTCTCCCGCCTGCCCTCCAGTTCAACATGCCCCTCGAATCAGCCCCAGCACCGAAGGAGGCCGAACTCATGAAGCTAAGCCGTGAGCGATATGTCGAGGTACGCGAGCTGCTCTGTCGCGCATATCTATACCTGTGTATCCATGTCCCACTGGACCCAGGGATGGCGGCGTCGTATGGGGTCAAAGCGAGCGAGGCGCTCCAGTTGGCGATTTACCGTATCCAGACCGAGGTGCCATTCTTCCGGCATCCGGGGTCATGGGGAGCTTGTCGGGTCCGATTTAACCATGCGCTTTGTCTGATTGCGGGATTCCGGGCAAAGATTACGCAACGCCCCTCGACTGAACATGTGAGCATTCCACCTAACTGGGCGGACTGTGTACGGGTGGTCATTGAGCGTCTGAAGATTTGGGGTGAAGAGGGCGGCGGGATCAAGGAGTTGAGTGTGCTTTTGGAGTGGCTGGTGCATGACAGTATGGAATTGTAGAACAAATTGAACGCAAGACGTTGGACGTCGTACCATTTCGAGTTCTGTTCCAGTACTGGAGCAATCAACCAAATGAGGCAATACCGTAAGTGAAGAACCATCATGGGATATTACTGTTGAGAGTGTTCCATAGCCTAAGAAGCTAGTATTGGCGTATCCACCCTATGTACCCATGGCCATTCGGGAGCCATGCAGAGTCCAGACCATGAATCAGCAAACCTTCACGGGGGAAAAGACAACTTCCCTCGACAGTTTAACCGGATGAATTCTTACAGGAGAGGAGCTGCCATATCCCCACACTAGCACTAGCGGCGACAGTCGTCTTACTCTTGGCGGAAGGCTTTTCAAGGATCGGGGAGACTCCGCGAAGTGTCTGCAGCATTTGTTTGAGTTTAAGTTCAAGTGCCAAGACTACGCCAAGATTCTCGTGGAATTGCCGTACAACAACCACCTGACATGAGCCTAAGTTTGCATGCGTATCGCATGCCACCTGTGACCTGACCAGAATGCCGGCCTCCTTCTCCCCCACTCCCCCGCCTCCAGCTACCCCGTGGGGTTGAGGAACTCTAATTCCTCCAGCGGGGATCTTACCCGGAATGTCTTCATCGAGACGATAGAATGAAGCCAGCTCGTCTAAGAATTACCTTAAGGGTTAGAGTTATCTTGGCTTTCGGGGCTGGGCCAAGGCCGGGGGCTTCTCCGCGCTGGAAAAAAGATTACAGATGGGACAGGATATATAAGCGTTATCCCATCCGGGGAAGTTTTCACAGGGTCCACAAGATCAGCACTGTTGTGAGCATCTAAACAACAGCCTTCAACATGGTCGTGGTGGGAAAACAGCGCGAGGAAGACCTTGCCGAGCCGGTGCTGGCTAACTTGCTGAGCGAGGACCGTATTCCTTGGTACAAGAAGCGGAATCTGAGAAACCTGTATTTTGTCTTGTTCCCGGCATGCATGGGCATCGAGATCACCTCGGGATTCGACTCGCAGATCATCAACACGGTCCAGATTGTGTATACTTGGAACAAATGCATGTCGCCTCCGATCTACGATCAGCTCTGCAGGAAGCTAACTGTGCGTATTAGATTTTGGCAAGCCAACGGGTGATTTTGTCAATGGACTCCCCGAATACGCGATCGAAGAGAACCTCAAGGGCTTCCTGGGTGCTGCGTACTCCCTCGGAGCTATTCTCTCCCTGCCTTTTGTCCCATACGTCAACCAAAAAATCGGACGACGATGGACGATCATGTTTGGTTCCTGCATAAGCTTAATCGGAGCCATCATCCAGGGCTTCGCCAACGGATGTATGTACCCCCCTTGTCTTATCCTTCCGTGCCATGCCTGACGGTTCTTAGTGGCCATGTACCTTGTCGCACGTATTCTTCTAGGGTTCGGAATTCCGTTCTGTATTGTCGCCGGGTCCTCTTTAATCGGAGAACTGGGTTACCCCAAGGAACGACCGATTCTCACCTCGCTGTTCAACTCCTCATACTTCATCGGTCAGGTCATCGCGGCATCCGTGGGTCTGGGCACGGTAACCATTGCGTCCAACTGGGCATGGCGAATCCCATCTCTGCTTCAGATTGCGCCTGCCATGATCCAGGTCGTGACGGTGATGTAAGATGCTGCCCCCGGTGATGTCCCAGCTGCTCCCCACTAACACACGCCTAGGTTCCTCCCTGAAAGTCCCCGATACCTGATCAGCAAAGACCGCCACGATGAGGCCTACGAAATTCTCACCAAGTACCATGCAGAGGGCGACCGCAACTCGGTCATTGTCAAGGCGGAACTGGCGCAGATTGAAAGTACCATCAAGTTGGAGCGCGAAGCTTCGAAGCAAACCTGGGCAGACATGTTCCGCACCGCCGGTATGCGTCGTCGACTGTTCATCTCCGCGTTCCTCGGCCTATTCACGCAGTGGTCTGGCAACACGCTCATTTCGTAAGTCATCCGCCTGTAGAATCTGGCCCGATATGCCCTTTGCTTCTCGCTAATCCATGTGAATAGGTACTATCTAAGCGACCTCCTGACCATGGTCGGAATCACCGACGGCGTAGTCAAATCCAAGATCAACATCGGCATCGCCTGTTGGGGTCTGGTCTGTGGCACTGCCCTGGCGCTGACGGCCCCTCGCTTCAAGCGTCGACCGGCGTATCTCGCCTGCGCAAGTGCCATGTTGTGCGTCTACATCGGATGGACAATCTCCATGGAACGCTCCCTTAGCACGGGGGCTCAACCCGCAGCCATCCTAACCATCTTCTTCATCTTCGCGTACTCGCCCGCCTACAACCTCGGCTACAATGCCCTGACCTACAGTGCGTGCCCCTTCCATCCCATACTGTGTGCGTTTATATACTGACTTGAACAAGCGTATCTGATCGAGATTTTCCCTTACATGAATCGGTCACGCGGTCTCTCGTGGTTCCAGTTTTATGGTCGCGGCGCAAACTTCTTCGCCACCTACGTGAACCCCGTTGGTCTGAAAAGAATCTCCTGGAGGTGGCTCCTGGTTTATTGCTGCTGGTTGGCGTTTGAGTTGGTGTTCATCTACTTCTTCTTCCCCGAAACTTCCGGCCGCACTCTTGAAGAGCTGTCATTCAGTAAGTTGTTTTCCTGGTTCTTATTCACGAGACAGAGCTAACGTGAACAGTGTTCGAGGGCAAAGAAAAGGCCAATGAGGTCGCTGCTGCCGTCCACAAACAGCTCGATGCTGATGACGAGAAGAATCAGGAAACGGCACATGTCGAGGTTCGAGACACCAAGAATGTTGTTTGATGTGGTCATATTGGCTCTTGTATGCGGATGGTAGGATGAATTGGACGTCTGGGGCATAGGTATCTGATTCTGCTAGGTAGTCTATATGTTAATTTACCTCGTTCTTGATGCAAGTCCTCCATTCTCTAGGTGCATCCACTATCCAAATATTTCTCTACCGGGTAGAGTCAATGTCTTCCAAGGTCCATTGTGGCGGATTACGTGCCATCTATGACATCGCTTGGTGTATCACTCCCTCAACTTTAACTACTTCTGCTGTGACCAGGGAAAATCTGGTTTATTCACCCGGGAGATGGGGTCGGGTGCCGCTATCCTCTATTTAGGCAGATACTAGCGAAGTGGACAATTACCAATTGTGGATTAGAGAAGATGAAGCCCGAGCACCCCGATAATGATACAAAAGAGCCTGAAGTCAGGACTCTAGTCTCCAGACACGAGACAGACAAAGATAACGCCCCCCCCAGATCTAATAATGTACATGTTTCATCCATCTATTTCCTCATGTGTTTGCGAATCTCAGCACAAATTCATATACCCCAAGCGTGATAACAGCCGAGGGCAAAGACCTAAGCATATGGGGTGCCAAGCCACCATATAATCCCGCCATACCTTCCTCCTTGGCGATAGTACGGAAACATTGCACCAAACCGGTATACTTCGGCTTGCCATGTTCCAAGGGCGCCTGACGCAGTCTTGTCCGAGCAACCTAGACACAGACATGTGAGTATGAGACCAATCTCAAGAACAGATAAGAGCGCACCTCATGTGGATATGTCGTCAACCCCGCAGCCAACTTCGCCGAAGACGCAGCACCACTGGTACTAACCCAATGAGAGAATTCATCCCAAAGCGGAGTTCCCTTCCCCTCTGTAGGTTCCAACCACCGACGGAGCCCGACCTTCAGCCGCTCATAGAGCACGAGGTGCAGTGCCGTCTCAATCGAGCCAAGATAGCTTGCGCTCATCCCCCTGTAAAATCCAGCCACGCCCTCGGTCCGGAGAACCTGCCGGACACAATCAATGCTATTTCGATATCGCCGAGTCGAAGGATCACCCGCCGTCGACGCCTTATCAAGTTGCAGCCGCGTCTTGACTAGCCATATAGGATTCGTCGCCGTTGACGACGCAAGTCCCGCACATATAGCAGCCTGTGCATGAACTAGCGGCGAGTCTTCCGCGTGTCCCATTATGTTCGCTGCGATATTCTTGCAGTTCCCGTAAACGTAGAACTTGATCGCCGCCGCCGGGACAACACCAGCCATGCTCGGCCCAAGGCCGCGAAAAAAGGCTCGCCAGCCTTCGGCGCGGTATATTGAGCTGACGATGCGCATTGTCTTGTGATTCGATGCATGGCCGGACTGTGCTAGTTGGGAAGGTCGGGTGGATTGTAGGGCGTCGGGACCTTTGCTCGGCGTTCGGTAGAAGTCAGATTGGAGACGTGTTCGGAGCACGTCTAGTGGTGAGGTCACTATCGCTGTGGCTAGGCCGCCGCTCCTATTGAGATGTCAGATTGATCGAGAAGGATGTCTGTGGAAGACTCACGCGCCTGCAAGGAGATGCACCCAAGATGCGACATTTTTCTTGGTTACAACGGGCGCGGAGCTAATTAGACCTGTCTCCTCGGCACTCACAGCCTTGGAACTACCATTGATGCTCATAGTGCGTCCTCTGCAAGCTCCGCGCAGACCGGATGATAAGATTGCGGAAGGCGGATATCAGCACTTTTTCCGGCAGTATGTTTTTTTTGTTGAAGGCGGTGACACGTGAACATGTGATCGTGTGTGCATAACTTGAAGATTCTCCATTCGGGCCTTGTCGGTCTAAACCTGTTACCTCTAAGGAGTCCTTACTCAGGCCTAAGGTCCTCTCTCATTTGAGTCATTTCTCTCAAATGTCACCTGATAACCCATTCTGTCTCATTGGCAGGTTTGCTCGACTCAAATCAGAAGCTTCTTCGGGTTTCCGGTCCGCGCGGGCCGACGGGCGATCCCCGATTCCCCGAAGCTTTTGGATGAGTGTCCAATGACATGACCACATACTCCGTAACTGTTTCCTGCCTATTTCTACTCTACCCGTTTCAATCCCACATTCTCTGTGATTCTCATCACTTTTCATCACTTTTCATCGCTGTTCATCGTGAACATAGCCTATACGCCTTCCCTACCTCCTCGACTTTCGTCCTTATCGTTGCTGACGCTCAGACGCTGCTAGGGCCTGGATCCGGATGCGATCTTTGCGAGTGATAGCGGCATATGTCTCTGTTATTCATGTATGATGATGTCGGTGTTGGTACTGTGCCGGAGTCTCCATGAATGGCGAGACCACTCCGTCGTCATGGGTGTAGACCAACTTGTCTGTTCGCTTCAGGGGACCGCCGTCCGGGCACGGGCGCGAGTCGGAAGCTCAGCTTCGCAGCGAACTCCTTCACGGCCCGGGCGATGTTCTTGTCGGCCAACTCTGTTCCATCATCGAGGAACTGAATTGTCGCGGCCAACCAGTCATCCTCAGGTACGCCTCGAACAAGGGTCATAGTGGCCACACGGGCGTTCCAGAGCGGTCGGTCTTGACTCATGTTGGCTGGAGAGTCCTCGGCCATGTCCGGCCGGGCCCGGCGGTCCTCTGAAGCGAACAGACAAGTTGATCTACACCCTGACGACAGAGTAGTCTCGCCATTCGTGAAGGCACCGTTCTGCGCGATGACGGTTGATTTCAGCTACGAATCATGAGATCCTGGGTCTTGATACCCACACCCAAGGACGAGATTTTCCCACAATCATGAGCCGTCGTCGGCATCTACCTATGCTGCTCAACGAGGGATTGAGCTAGTATATAAGAAAGATGAGATCGAGAATGCCCTCCTGTCCGTATGGGCGGTGTCTTGGGCTTGCATTGCCTTGGCAAATTGGACATCGTTTGACATATTCCTTGACTTCGTCGTGGATGTTTCGCCAGTAGTACTTGCGGCTGACCATATCGACTGTTCGGGCTCTGCGGAAATGTCCACCTGTAATTGGATCGTCATGCTGTAAGCGCAATATCTCTGATTTGAGCTTCTCGCCGGAGGGGATGTAGTATCTCTCTTTGAAGAGTACAATGCCCTGTACTGTGTAGTGATCATATGGAAACGGGAATGTCGCACCCCAGAGCCATTTGATACCCTTGTGAAGAACAGAATGATACTGTCTTTCTACCCTGTAGATATGTGGTTTTGTACACGGTCCTAACTATCTCGCTTGGCAATTGTGCCCGCCCTGCTTCCTGTCAAACCAGATCATTGTTGTTTTGCGCGCAATAAGAATAAGGTATCGGCTATCGGGCCTCGGGATATTCAGGCGTTTAGGCGGAAACTTAATAAGTGGGCCTTGTCCTCGGGCGTCATTGAGTCATTGCCCACTTCAACCTTCCATCCATCAACTATCCAAGCTCTGAATCTTCCTTCAAACTCTCCAAGCTCACTCAGCTATTCAACATCACTCCACCACCACCATCATGGCTACCAATATCCTCAAACCCCAAACCCAAGCGATCCCAATTACCCCGCCTCCCGAGGTCTCAGCGGAAGCCCCAACAGTCTCCTTCTTAAGCTCAACTTCGACAACGGCCTCAGTCGACCTCGATGCCAAGGCCCCCTTCCACGCCATCCAATCTCTCTTCGACCACCTCAACGCTCACCCGGAAGACATAAGCAAGCTCAACGCAACCTACCCACGCCGCGGCGTCATCAAGACAGCCGCTCTCCACAAAACCGAGTCCGATCATCGACCTCTCACCAACCCGTAACGCCCGGATCCCGGATTCTCTGCACAAAGCTCTGGATCCTCACGGTCTATCCGAAGTCCTCCACTTCTTCGACACCGTCAGTACCCAATATGTCCCGACTATCCTGTCCTCGGTGAGTATTCTCGCCGGCGTGGATCTGTCCACAGCACACAGTTCATACAACATGAACTACCGTCTGTGTGACTACAATCCTTACACGGCTGCTCCTGAGTCTTCCAATGGATGTGGAGAACACACTGATTACGGGACTTTCTCGATTATCTTCCAGGATGGTACGTCTGGCTTGGAGATTGAGGAGACACCTGGTGTTTGGGTTCCGGTTCCAGGTGATGCTATCGTTGTTCTGGCTGGTTGGTGTGCGGTTATCTTGAGTGGTGGCAGGGTTGCTGCTGCGAGACACCGGGTTCGTCGTACCCCCGGCGTGCGTCGGTTGAGTGCTGTGCTGTTCGTTGCTCCGGATTTGGAGGTGAAGTTGAAGCCGCTTGGTGAGAGTCAGCCGGCGAAGGCCTTTTCCGAGACTATTATGAATGGGGAATTGGATGTTGAGACATTCAAGGATGTTATGGGGAAGAGATGGAGGTATAGAGAGGGAAATGAGGAGATTGAGAATGGAAAGTCTCTCTCCCAGGATAACGAGATTGAGAATATGGTTTGGGGTTAATTGTGAGATTCAGGCCTTTACTTATGGGGACCAGGATGATTTTCTTTTTTCATCTGAGTCTGGTGACCTCCAAGCCTGGACTAGTACAATGTAACTATCTGGTTATTACCCACGGGAGCTTTGTATGCCCGATAGACAAATTGGATTTCAGACGGCGTGAATTGCACTATGAAGTATCTGGCCAGGGCGCCACTCCCATACACCTAAGCTTTCACCCAGGCAGGATAGTCTGGGTCAATGACATACCCCACTGGGGCTTCAGAGTCATCGTCGGATTCTCCGTCCAGATCCTCGTCACGCAGCATCGAAGCACAAAGATGAATAAAGGCCAGAAGTTCGAGAATCTGCTGGAGATCGTTGGAATACGTCAAATGCAGCCGCGACCACTGGCAAAGTAACAGTCAGCATACTCCACACCATCAGATAAATTGCAAACAGGCATCCACGTACGTTGAGTCCGCTGTCAATCTCCAGAAAATGGAAGTCCTCTCCATCCGTGCATAGACCGAAGATCCTATGCCGCTTCTTCTTCTCCACCGCACGTCGGGACTGGATCATGCTCATGTACGCCAGACATTCCGGCACACCAAATTCAGCATAGCCTTCCTTCATCGTGACGGCGACGGCACAGAGCTTCAAGCCTTGCTGGGGCTGGCGGCCGTACCACAGCGAGCCCTCAGTCGAGGCACGCAGACTGTACTGCTTCCCCTCGTGGATGAACGGCTCATACCTGCCCTTGGTTCCTCCGAATAAGGGAACGGGCGGTTTGCTAGGATAGCATAGATCTGGGGGCAAACAATGGACAGCGAGAAAAAGTCTGTCCAGCCGGCTCCGTAAGGCGTTGGGGTCGCCGTTGGCATGTTCAATGGTGTACTGGTTGAGGAGGTGACCTAAGTATATAGTGACTAGTGAGTTTATTTGGTTCACGTTTGTATGGAATTTGTGGGGTTGGCTTACGGCAGTGGGGACAGATTGTGATCTTAGTCCAGAACCCTTCGAAGATTTCGTTGGTGTATTCTGTAAGATGGAAGCCTTTATTGACCTGGGAGATGGTGAGATCGTAGGCATCAAGAGGTGTCAGAGGTTTGGGTGTTATCAGTGCCTCTATGTCCTCGACAGTGGTTTTGGCCCTTTGGGTAGACTTGGACTTGGGAGACTTGGCCTTGAGAGTGCCCTTGACTTTGGAGAGACTGTTGCCCATTTTGTGATTGTTGGATGGTAATCACGAGGAGGGAGATGAGGCGCCTGAAATATAAGGCGACGACCTGATATTGTGGCCTGATCCATACTGTGTAGGTAGGCATTGGATGTGAGGATGTCATATGATGAAGCTCTACTGTGTATGGAGATCTTTGTGGAGGGAGGGAGCCGAGTCACCATGTGATGAAGTAGGAAAACATGACCCAGTCTAGTCTCAGCACTCCGAAATTTTGAATCAGTGACTGCCCGTCTCTGAGATCTTATACATGCACTAATATGACACTTATATAATATATTGTGAATGCCATTGTGTCTTTTTATGGGTTGCTACTCAGGTCCTGTTGGTTATGCGGTCTTCCCCTTCGGGAGGTTGGTAGAAATACCTCAAGCTCCCACCTACTTTGTTGGAATTGGAATATCACTTTGAACGATTTCTGAATGGGCTCTTATTATTTGACTCTTTGAGCTGATTGTAGAGGCTTGTGAATTAGATATTGGTTCTACGTAGTTTCCATGGCCCGTGAGGTGGGAATGCTCAATGCCCGGAAGGTATATATCCCTGTGGGGATAGGGCATCTCGTCCAACCTAGTGGATGTTGGTGCATAATATCTGGGCATCGGATAACCACGGGCATCTACCTAAGTACCGGGCTACTGAGAACAAAGACAGAGCTACCTACCTGTCAAAGCATACCTATGGTATATGTGAGAGAACTTCCATAAACCTAGGTAGTCAAGACGGACACGGGTGATGGAACACCCCAGCGTACATAATACTAGCCTGATGGCAAGACCGAAACACTGGCGTAGAAGTATATAGTTGAACTGTATCAGTGTGGCCACTGAGGTACTACCTAAGTACCTATACAAACAGGGCAGTGGAGTGTATACCCACCGTCGAAACGCTGTCCACCTGAGAGAACCACTACATGGCATGCACAGTACAACATATAAACAGAATTCTAGCATGAACACAAGGAAAACGCCCATCAACCAAACAAAACCATACCACCAGCCTACACCACAGCCAACCCCTAAGCCGCCTTCCCCGTAAACGAAACCAAAGCATGATAAGACTCCGTCAACGGCCACAAACCCCGAGCGAAGCCAACCGCCCCGGCAACCAGTAGCAAATAATAAGCCACCGTCCACCCAATCCCCAAAGTCCCACCCGCAACCTCAACACCAGCATCAGAGTCTTCCTTACTCCGAGTGACAGGGGGCCCAATAGGCTCACCAGCCTCCACCCGTCCCCAAAACCGAGGCAGTCCACACCAATTACAGAAACTGTGGATGAGAACCACAGCCAGCAATGAGCCAGTTCGCAAAAACACAAAAGTCGCATACCAGCCGAAGACAGTCGTGTACCCGAATTGGAACAGCGACCGCAGCAGCGCGGCGAAAGCCGGTGTGTCCGGGTGCGTCAGACGGAACTCGTAGAAGTGGTGCACGTGCGCGATGCCGAAGTACAGTGGTGCGATGAAGACAATTCGGCTGGGCGATGTGTGTGCTAGTAAGTGCAGCGGCACGATCGCCGAGCGGAAGAGAACTTCTTCTGTGAAGGGGCCCTGTTGGGGGTGTTAGTATTGGCAGATTCGAGGGATAATAATGGACATAGTAGCAATAACACGGCAAAAAAAAAATATCCGAAATGAAGGTAAGTAAGGAGAGAGAGCTGCTTACAGCGACATAATTCCTCCAGCCAATCCAGCCACCGAGACTCTCTGAGAGTTTAGAACGGCGGAACCAAAATTTCCATTCACCCTCGACAATGCCGCGCTCGAATAGCGGACCCGTGAAGAGGATGGCTGTTAGGAGGAGACCGCGCATGGTCTCGAGTAGGCCGACGGGCCACCAGCCCAACTGTCTGGCTCCCGCGCCGAGAGAGGAACCGCCCTCTTGGACGATGAGGTAGAGCACGATGATGCAGCTGGCAATACAGGAGCCTGTCACTGCGCGGATGCGGGCGCGAATGACGGATGGGGCATCACGGCTGAGACTTGGGGAAGGGCGAGTTGTTGGGGAGAGATAGAATGGCACCACGTAGAGTAGGGTGAGTAGAACCTGAATGGATGTTAGATAGCTTTTTCTTTTGTCTTTTCTTGCATTTGGTCTTTTTCACTGATATTTTGGTGGTTCTAGGTGGTTTACATACAGACAAAATAGCGACCGTCCTCTCCGACAGTGCAGGTTCATCTGGGAGGATTGTTAGCTGACAGCTGGCTCTATGAGTTCTGTAGTCATACCCTGCTTCGAGTACAAACTCTTGAGACGACTCATTATCCCAACTGGCGCCATGATCTCCGTTGGGTGGAGGGATTTTATTTATGGAAAAGTCCATCTTCAACGGTCCAGACGTTGAGGTTCTTTGTTACCCGTACTGTACAGGAGGAGGAATGGTGATTAGCTGGGGATAGTACAATACAGTATGGTACTGTCAGATTAAGCCATGGATGAGTTCAGGGACATGAATGTTAAAGACATGTGATTGTTCTTTATTTTTATTTTTTATTTTCTTCTTTTCTTCTTTGTTCTCTCTACACAACTTATACACAGTACAGCTTATACACAGTACTGTGTTAAGTTGGCTTCATTGCAACAGTTCAAACGAACTGCCAGTGGATCACAGTTAAGAACAACTGGTGGACCGTGCTGACTCAGAATGTGAGCTCTCACATCCCTTGAATATGGCCTCATTTTAAATCTGAATCAACGTGAGGGGATCGTGGACAGAAATTCTCCGCACACGAGTTGGTGCACAGTTCATGCAGGAGTCAAACATTGAATGATTTATTGGCAATGAGCATCTTATTATTGTTCTTCGCTTCTGCCAGGAGACTGACAGGCGCTACCCACAGACTAGTTCTAGTTTCACGGACAACGCACAGGATCCACTTGGCCGTCAGATTCTTTACCCCGAGTATTCTACAACTTCGGTACGGACTACGGAGTAGACTCTGGGTCAAATCTGGGGATGGGAGTATATTGGTATACTACTAGTACTGTATACTAGAATGAATAAAGCCGGGACTACAACAGATAACCCATAGTTATTATGTACTATTAGACACTACACTTAACGTTATACTCCCTTAACAGCGACCAATGGCGTGGTTCCTGCATCCCCCTTGATCATCTCACCTGCTTAGACGCTCACCGCTGGGCAACTGGAAATTCCTCTTCCCCCCTTCCCTCAATTGTCTCATCTTGCGCTTTCGTTGTTTTTGTGTTTTGTTTATTTTTATTTTGCGTTTTAATGATTGTTTTTCTGCTGCTTCTCTCTTAATGGCCTTGATGTTTGAAACGACCACTTTCTGACGACTTCTGCACGTCCACCCACGCTCTTTTTTCGACGAACATCAGCCTATAGACCTACCTGGTCGAACTCGACTGGATCAAGGTAGACCACATTCTTTACATCGCAAGCCAGGAACAACGACATTCTTCAATCACGCTCTTTCGATCCGATCTTGTTTATCGCCCCACTTTCACTCCAGTTTTTGACAATCAGCTTCGCCATTGCTTTTATACGAAACGCCTTCTTTTCCAGATGTTCTAAGTCTCTCTCTGTGTCGAAATAATGTCCTTTCCTGCTCGCTCTACTTCGCCGCGTGCCCGGCGGGCATTGCACGAGCGTAGCCCGTCTCACACAAATGAAAGGTCCCCAACCCGGTCATTGCGCATTGTGGCCGATGAAGAGGTTGATATGTATACCGCAACGCCATTCCCGACCAAACCCGAGCAGATCTTGTTGCCCATGCCCGGCAGACAGCAGCAGTATATCTCAGACACAGGTTTCAGCTATTCAGATCACCAGCTAGGCCCGTCCACGTCAACGTATTCTTCACCGACCTTCAGCTCGGCAGCCCCAAACAGTCCACGAGATCACTCAATTGGCGAGAGCTGGGATGTATCGTCCACCGTGGATACCGGCCACTCGCCGCCGCAGATGTGGGATGACGATCCGTCATCCAGCAAGTCCTCGCTGCCAGAGATCGGATCTGGCAAGGCGAGAGATGATCAATTCGATAGTTCGGAACCCGAGTTTTCAGACGACGAAATGATCGTCTTGCCAACGGCCACACCAACTATCAAAGCCGTGCTATCCGAGCCACCCACGTCGCCAAAGTCATCTGTAGGCTCAGATTCAGTGGCAGGCTACTCCAGCCCGAATCTCGAACAAATTGGTGCCCCATCAAGTCCTAATTTTGTAATGCTGGATAATTCGAGCATGAACTTCCGTCCTGCAACGGCATCTTCCGAGTCAGACCCCCGAACGAATTCGCTTTCGTCGTATCACTCGCGAGGAACTGTTGTCAGACACGCCGGCGCTGCACCCTGGTTCCAGAACGCTTTCCAACCAGCCTCCTCTGACCAGTCTGGAAGCTACCAGTCCTCACCTTTCCATTCCAGCCCACCTGCTCAATCCATCGCCTCATTTCAATCGTCTTCTAGACATCCATCAGGCAGCCATTCACGATCCGCGACTTCTTCCTCACGCAGCCTCCGCTCTGTTTCTGACTTGCAGGCAGCCATCGACAGTGGTGTGCCTATCCAGTACCCCCGCATTCGCGCACCATCGTCCTCCAGCTCCCGCGCCGGCACTTCAGTTACCCCAGAGCGCGATTTCACCCCAGGCCCCGCCTCAGGTCGCTGCAACCCCGTCCTAGCATCCGGCCGTTGGAACCCACATCTATCAACCGTGCCATCCATCTGGTCTTCCGACGACCTGAGCAATCTCGCCGCACACGCAGACACCGACTCAGACCGCGAGATGGCCGAGCCAACCCAACCACCCGCCGCAGTCCTGCAGGCCGAAACGTCCAGATCCTCCGTCTGGCTCGTCGACTCCTCCAACGACAGCGACTCCGAACGCCTCGACAGCCTCACCAAACTCCCCACCCGCCCAATCTTCACCCAAAGCGTCTCCTCCGGCTCAAAACGCAGCAACAGCACCCGCTCCCTGCAACGCCCAGGCACGGGATCAAGCACCATCCTCAACATCCTCCCCACCTGGGCAAAAGTCTACTACCTCCGCGAACCAATGGGTCTCAACTCAACTCTCTCCATGATAGACGGTAGTCGTCCCCCTCCGCCAGACCAGGCACCTCAAACTCAAGCGTCTTCAATCTCGTCCCCGGCCCTCTAAACGTCCCCCGTCCCCACTCCCCAGAACGTCCCCCCTCCCCCGAACGTCCACGAACCCAGCAACGCCGTCTGGAAAGCGACCCGCGGGATCCACGCGCACACTGGGTCCCATCCCCCCAGCCGGACGACGGCGCCTTCACATCCCATCTACACCGTCTACACCACAGCTGGTCCCCGCACCTGATGCCAGATAGACGGACACTCCCGCACTCGGGCAGTCGCTGGCGTGCGCCATCCCTGGACTCGCGAAATGAACCTTTCTTCGGACGGAGAAATATCCAGGTCTACTCCTTCTGCTTTGGGTTTATTTTCCCTCTTGCCTGGCTGGTGGCGGGATTCCTGCCGCTGCCGCCGAAGCCGAAGCAGAAGATGATGGAGTATGAGTCTGTTTCGGATGTGGGCGTAGCGCTTGAGGCGCAGTGCGTGGATTTCCAGTTGCGGAGGTATGAGAATGCGCGTTGGTGGAGGAATCTTAATCGGTGGATGATTTCTTTTGGGGTTGTCGTTGTCGTTGTTATTATTACGCTGGCTGTTATTGGGACTACTACCGGGTTCTAGCTTTCATCTCTTTACGCTCTTACGACTTGTTTCTTCAATCACTGGACTATTCCCATTCACATCTTCATCTTTTCTTATCCTTTTCTTTTTTATCTTATCTCGGCGGTTTCCACGTCGACTGGTTTTATTTCCCTCCTTGCCGTCGATCACTGATCCTGCAGAGTCTCATCTCCTTACTGTGTCGACATTTCTTGACTATTGACTATTCAAACCACTTTCTCTTCTCTTCTCTTTCTCTTCTTCCTTGCCCTTCTTTTTCTCTTCTTCAATTCCATGCACATTTACCCACGACTCCACGATTCCAACGCACATAATATCCCCTTCTGTTTAACATTTTTCTCTACCCCGGCGTCCTCAGACATAGTGTCTGCTGGCTTTCATGTGTTGGTGCGTCCTATGCATTGCGACTGACGGGCTTTGTTTCGTTGCTTTCCATGCCATACGCGTGTAATGGATATACATGTTCTTTCTCTGTTCTTATTTGACTGCATATTGAATATCATTCTTATCCTTCATGCTGAATTGGCCTTTTCTTTCTGTGTGTTGTATCATATACTCAATTTGACATACGCAGACTGGTTACCTGCTATTACCTGTATCAATGGTCTGGAATAAGAGATTAATGCACCGAGACAATAGCTATAAATGCACATAAAGTCGAAACCAACCAGTCGAGAGATAATCAGGCATAGGTCGATCCAATTCGACTCTTTCCCCTTCAATACAATACCACGAGTCCTACAACTTCCGCCCAATCTTCTGCTCAACAGCAACCTTCAAATCCTCCCCAGTAGGCATCTTAACCGTACTCCCCCGTCTAGCCCTTGACTCAATCTCGGCCTTGACCTCCGCAACGACTTCATCAAAGTCACGCTCAGGATCATTCGGCAGACCGAGATCAGGCGGGTGGTGCACAGATTCCGTGCTAGCAGTGCGGCCCACCTGTGGCCTGCTGCGGCTTTTCAGCTGGGCAATGAGGTATTTCCTGAGTGGGGAGAAGGAGGCAAAGGCGAGGAGGGAGACGGCGCAGTTGATGATGCCGTAGAAGTAGATGCGGGACCAGACGGTTACGGAGTCTTGGAAGTTGAGGATTATGAAGGGAGCGACGGCGAAGTTTAGAGTTAGTTGCGTTGCTAGCCAGCTGAGGATGTCGTAGTAGCGCTTGTTTGGGGTGGGTTTTGTGCCGTCGGGTGTCAGGAAGAAGGGGCGGACGTAGCGGCGGAAATCTGGGGATGTTAGTTTCTTGCTTGCAAAATGGAGGGAATGAGAGGGTACTGACTCTTTGCTACAGTCTGGATAAATGAGCCCAGGACAAAGGTCATGTAGTAGCCTGGGTAGAACCCGTGCCAGAGGGCACTGGTGGCGAAGGTAGCCATGCTTGCGCGGAAACCCGGTTTCTTGCCCTTGGGTGTCACGCGGAGGTAGATGTAGTTGCGCAACCAGTGGTTGGTGTTCTTGTTCCAGTTACCGAGGTAGGCGTGCGAGTTCTGCGCCGTCTCCATGGCCCACGGGTCGACGTTCTCCAGTCGGTCCCAGAAGACCTTCCCTGTCTTCGGATCGAAGCCGTTGTATCCCATGCCGGAGAGAATACAGGCACCCTCAGTCAGGGCCCAGACACCGTAGTACTTTGTGCGAGCGGTGAAAGCAAGCATGTGCACAACAAAAATGCGACGCAGGAAAGAGAACTGCAGGAACTTGTCGGAGAGCACAAACTCGGCGTTGAAGTACGAGTTCAGTTTGATGAAGGCGAGGATCCAGAGCAATCCAACGACAGCCTTCTTCGCAGCAGGTCGTCCGCTACGAGGAATCTTGCGCTTCTTCCGGGTGGGTGGCACCTTAGACGGGTCGGTGCCAGGAGGCACGTCGAAGAGCGTGGTGTCGATCCAACGGCGGTAGTCCACATATTCAAACGAGGGTCCGGCAAAGAGCGAAGGGAAGAACATGACGTAGCCCATGTAATCGACAATGCCCGGGAACTGTGTGATGGCAGAGTACTTTTGCGGGTCCGTTAGTCCGTCCTTGGACTGACGACCGTCGTGAATATTCCAACAGAACGAGGTGAGTTTCATAACGAGCACCATCTGGGCTCCGGTAATGTCGACGGCCGAGCTGTCGTCCGCCATTTGTCGTTCAATGTGGTTGACCGACATGTGGCTCATGAGGAAAAGGAACCCAATCCACGGCATCAGGGAGCCATCCACATAGTAGGCGATGGCATAAATGCCAGCGGCACTGTATATAAGCGTACGGAGACCATCCCAGAGGTCGAAGAGTCCGACAACATAGAACAACGAGACGCCGACGATGAAAACATTCTTTTTCCAGGGTTGTCCATCGGGAATTCGTTTGAGGAGGGCGGCGAGGGGATATGAGAGGAGGAACGATCCGATCAGCTTCACTGGAGCTGGAGGTCAGCAACTGCTAGCAATGTCGGAGATTATAGGGCTGGAAGGTCGTACGTTCGTCAATGGATGCACCCGTGAGCCGAGCTGGCAGCTCAAATACTGCGGGGAGAAGTTAGAGGAGCTTCCATAGAGAGAGCAAGGGACATACTCTGATCTACATAAGGCAACATTGTTGACCTTAAGCAGGTGAAACAAAACGAAAAGAAAAGTCCAAGATCAGAGCATGAAGAGTAGAAGAGTAGAAGAGTAAACAGGGAAACGGAAGAAAAACAGCATGTCATGTCACATGCGGCGCAGCGGCATGCGGGAAGGAAACTCCCCAACCAACTTGCCGGCCTCTCCACATTCAACCAACCCCTCGGTCTTCAACTATTCAGCTTCAGACCTCGGATTCCCACTTCTCTTGATTATTCGCCGGTGTCACACCGTGTCCCACCATGGACGTCGTCGCGGCCGCCTCGGGGTACATCTCCAAGATGGTTACCGTGGGCGAGTCGGTAGGAGCTTCGTCATCGAAGATGAAGATCCTCCTTCTTGATAGCGAGACAGTGGGTGATTGACCCTGCTGACGATATGCTGATCACGATCGTTAATCCCTGACTATAGGTTGCTATCGTCTCAACCGCCATGACCCAGTCCGCCCTCCTTAATCACGAGGTTTACCTCATCGACCGCCTCGACAATAGCGCGCGCGAGAGAATGCGACATCTGCGATGCCTGTGCTTTGTGCGCCCATCACCGACTTCTATCCAGTTCTTGATCGACGAGCTTCGGGACCCTAAATACGGCGAATACTACATTTACCTCAGCAACATCATCCGCAAATCCTCCCTGGAGCGACTAGCGGAAGCGGACAGTCACGAGGTCGTCCAGTCGGTACAGGAACAATTCGCCGACTTTCTCGTCATAAACCCGGATCTCTGCTCTTTGGGGTTGGGCTTCCCCTTGCAAAAGATATGGAGCAATTCGCCGGATTTGTGGAACCCGGATTCACTACAAAGAGCCACGGAGGGTGTGCTGGCGCTGCTTCTCGCGCTAAAGAAGAACCCCCTCATTCGCTATGAGAAGAACAGTCTATTAGCACGGAAATTGGCGACCGAGGTCCGATATCACATCACGCAGGAGGAGCAGCTGTTTAATTTCCGCCGGACGGATACACCGCCTATCTTGCTGGTTCTCGACCGTCGCGATGATCCTATCACTCCTCTGCTCACGCAGTGGACGTACCAGGCGATGGTGCATGAAATGCTCGGCATCAATAATGGCCGTGTAGATCTACAGGATGTGCCGGAGATTCGACCGGAGTTGAAGGAGATTATCCTGGCTCAGGATCAGGATCCGTTCTTCAAGAAGAACATGTACCAGAACTTCGGCGACTTGGGCCAGAACATCAAAGAATATGTGGAGCAGTACCAGACCAAAACGCAAAGCACGGCGAATATTGAGTCCATTGCGGATATGAAACGGTTTGTGGAAGATTATCCTGAGTTCCGCAAGCTTGCGGGCAATGTGAGCAAACACGTCACCCTGGTGGGCGAACTCAGTCGGCGCGTTGGCGAGGATAACCTCCTCGACGTGAGTGAGTTGGAGCAGAGCTTGGCATGCAATGATAACCACTCCAATGATCTTCGTGTATGTATCGTAGACTGGATATGCTTCGGCCATTTACTCACCTTTCTCTAGTCACTACAACGGATTATCCCATTGCCAACGGTTCCCGCCGAGAATAAGCTGCGTCTGGTAGCTCTCTACGCCCTGCGCTACGAGAAGCAGGCCAACAATGCACTGCCGATTCTTCTCGATCTCCTCGTCACAGCAGGCGAAGTCCCATCCCACCGCGTGAACATCATCCCCAAGCTCCTCACCTACCACCACTCCCTCCAAGCGCCCCCAGTGGCAGGCGGCTTCACCGACCTATTCGAATCAACCTCCTTCTTCTCCGGCGCAAGAGACCGCTTCAAGGGCCTCAAAGGTGTCGAAAACGTCTACACACAGCATTCTCCCCGACTGGAGGTGACTATCCAAAATCTCATCAAAGGCCGCCTAAAGGAGCTGCAGTATCCGTTCCTCGAGGGTAGTGGACACACGCGGGACAAGCCGCAGGACATCATAATTTTCATGGTTGGCGGCACCACGTACGAAGAGGCCAAGATGGTGGCGCAGGTCAATGCCAGCTCCCCGGGTATTCGAGTTGTGCTTGGTGGCACCTCGATTCATAACAGTACAACATTCTTGGAAGAGGTTGACGATGCAGTGGGCAGCTGGCCCGAACCCGGACCCTCAACGGCTGCAGGACGGCTACGACGGGAAGTAGGGCGATAATCATATGTCATTTATTATATTGGTAATGGAACCACATTTATATCGGTAGCCCGGCAATATCGAGCAGTTATAGAATTAATTCACGTTCGTCACTAATTCCCACCGTAATGAAAAAGGTGGGCCATCCCCAGATCCAAATGCGGAGAGCTTCATTTTCCCTCTCCCCTCATTAGACCTCCAACACATCATGGAGCACATATCCCCAAGAGGGGGTCCATCCTCCCCAACCTCACGCGAAACAAGTCTCCATCTCCCGTCGACAACCGATCCACCCGGCCCTCAGAACCCCCCGAAACCCCTCGTATGGCTGGTATCAACCCCTCCACTCCGCAACGAACCCCCAGCTCAACCCAACTAACACGTATTCTACCAGATCTTCGGCGCAACCGGCCACATGGGCCGCTCCATCGTGAAAACCGCCCTAGCAAACAACGACCTCGTCGCCGCAGTCGGCCGCACCTACGAAAACACGCCCGCAGCAATGAAAGAGCTCGAATCCACCAGCTGCATCGGGCTACTCTGCGACGTACGCGCACGTGAAACCGTCAAACGCGCCATCGACGACACAATCGCCCGCTTCGGCCGCATAGACGTAATAGCCAATTGCTCCGGGTACGGCGTAATCGGGGCCTGCGAAGACCAAGACGAGTACGACATCCGCAACCAATTCGAAACAAACTTCACCGGAACACTGAACATGATCCAGCTGTCTCTGCCGCATTTCCGGCAGCGGCGCGCGGGTCGATATCTGATTTTCAGCTCGACGTCTGGTGCTCTAGGTGTTCCGGGACTCGGGCCTTACTGTGCGTCTAAGTATGCGGTTGAGGGACTCATGGAGAGTATGCTTTACGAGGTTGATAGTTTTAATATTAAGGGGACGCTCGTTGAACCAGGTCATATGCGCAGGGATGATGTTGGGGATTTGGTTTCGTCGGGTTTGGACGATAGGCATACTGAGCATCATCTTTCGGCGCCGTTGCCGCTTTATGGGCATTTTTTGGTTAAGAAGCCCAGTGAGCCGTATAATACTTCGACCTCGCCGGCGGCCCATGCGAGACGGATGCTTATGTGGTTGGGGGATAAGCAGCCGGCTAGTGCGGTTAAGGCGGCGCATTTGGTTTGGGAGTTGGGGCATTGTGCTTATCCGCCGTTGAGGTTGATTTTGGGGACTTATGCGGTCGAGAGTATTAGGGATCGCTTGAAGTGTATTATTGAGGAGATTGAGGATTGGAAGTATCTTAGCTTTCCGACGGGGGAGATGCAGCCTGCTCGTGAGAAGTCTTCTGTTCCTGAGGAGGGTGGGGAGGGGAGGGGTGAGAGAGGGAATGGGTGATTTGGTCTGTGTTTGGTGATGTTTTATAGGACATCAATCATATCATGAGAGGCGTTGGTGGACACATTCTGAATTGGAGCCTTTTCTGCTCTGTGCTTTGCTGTCTGGGATACGCCCTCCCCGGATGATTCTCAGCGGAGCTTCTCGGTACAAAGCTTCTTCCGAACAAGGCCTGCACTCTTCGTTGCACGTCTTGTCCTCGAATCTCGTGGCGAAGGGGAGGCTGTTTCGCTATACATCGAAATGCGAGCTTTGCATCTTGCCCCTCCGCATATGCTATACTTCAAGAGCAGAGATACTCTCACCGTATACGAAGTATGCGGTGGTGGTCTAAGTTCACAACTTCCACCATCGTATACCGAGTGACAATGTCGATACTTCTTCCAGGGTTTTCTCATACGAGTGAACAATAGACTAGAATCATGATCAGAAGGCGAGTTCCATGAAATGCAAATAATGTACAAGTCTATAGTAATACAGTTCCCACACGGAAAAGCTCAAAACACAACATTCACAAGTTTCCCCTTGACAACAATAACCCGTCGTCTCTTCTCCCAATCATTCTTCTCACAAAGCCACGACCTGCCCTCAGCAGTCTCCAGCACCCGACTAACAATCCACTCCTGTTCTTCCTTCGGCGATGTAGCCGCCTCTATGCGCGGAATCGTAACCGCACAGCGGAGCTTCCCATTAATCTGAACGGCGATAGTTTGGCCGCTGCGAGATGAGAGGGTCTCAGCTTGCTCCGGGGTAAGGAGGTTGTTGGGCCAGGGGAATGAGAGGATGGAAGGCACCGGTGACGTTGTGGTGTGCAGAAGCTCCCATGATTCCGAGGCAAGAGCCGGGGCGATGGGGGCTAGCAGACGGAGGAGAGATGAGAGGGTTAGGTATAGGATGAGAGGGGATGTGGCGGGGGCTGAGGCCAGGGCGTTGGTCAGCTTGATTAGGTCTGAAATGACGGTGTTCAGGGCATATGGGTTGCTTTCGATGCAGGTGGTAACGGATGCGATGGTGTTGTGGGTGGCCAGGATGGCGTCGGCATCGGAGTTGCTTAGGTCCTGGAGGGATGCAGGGAGGGGAGCGGCGTGGGTGGTGGGGGAGTTTAGATCTTCTGCTGAGATGGAGAATGATGTCTCTGACAGGGATTGCTGGGTGTCTTGGACTAATTTCCAGAGTCGACCGAACCAGCGTTCTACGCCGACGATTTTGGTTTCATCCCATTCTAACACTTCGCTGACTGGAGCGGAGAAGAGGATGTGCGCGCGAGTGGCATCGGCACCGTATTTGGATGTGGTAAGCGTAGGGTCCACGCCGTTGTACTTGCTCTTTGACATTTTCTCGAAGGAAACATTCGGTGTGACTTTGGTTCCCTTGATCAAAGGCTTCTCTGGATTGGTCAGATCGACTTCTGACGGGAGAAGGAAGCGACCGGTTGAGGGCTCGCTGAGGGTTTTTCCGTGTACCATTCCCTGGCTGAGTAGCACTTTGAATGGTTCTGATATGGCAGCAGAGTCGGCTGGTGACAGCTCAGACTGAGAGAGGAACTTGTAGATGAATCGAGCGTAGAGGAGATGCAAAATGGCATGCTCGACGCCACCAATATAGACATCTACCGGCTGCATCACTGCAGGGGAGAACGGCGCTTTTTTATTAGCAGGGTCTAAGAAACGCAAGAAATACCAGGATGAATCAACAAAAGTATCCATGGTATCCGTGTCGCGTCGGGCAGGACCATTGCAACTGGGGCATTGTGTGTGGAGCCATTCCTCCGAGGACTCCAGAGGATTACCCTTCTTTCCCTTGAGCCAGTCTCCCTCGATCTTCGGCAGTGTGACTGGAAGATCCTCGGTGGGTACCGGCACAGGCCCACAGTCCCCGCAGTGAATGATGGGAATTGGCGTGCCCCAGTATCGCTGGCGACTGATCAACCAATCCCGTAGACGCCAGCTCTCGACGAATTCAGCCTGGCCAACCTGTCCCAGGTCATTCACGATGCGTTTGGATGCCTCTTTGGAGTGCAGCCCTTGATACTTCCCGCAGCGCGAGGTCAAGAAGCCCTCTTGAGTGAAAGCCTTTGTTTCTGGCGTCGGGACAGCACTGCTGTCTTCCTCTTTTCCTGTTGGCTTGGCCTCGATCACAATAGGGATTGAGTCAGAGTCAACGTTCTCCTTGAAGAACGACATGTCCCTGGTGTCATGGCCCGGGACGCCCATCACCGCACCCTCGCCATAGTCGCTGAGAACGTAGGGTGCCGCAAAGACAGGAAGCTTCCTCTGCAAATGGCTGGTTTCTGTGTCGATCTTGCATAACGGGTGAGATACTTCAACACCGGACAGCCGATATCCAGCTTTGGAATCCGGGGCAAACGATGAAGCATCACTCAGGAATTTGCGAAGTGACTCGTCCTTTTCGGCAGCCTTTAGCACGATAGGATGATTCAGGGAGAGTGCCAGATACTCCACGCCATATAAAGTGTCTGGCCGGGTAGTGAACACATTCACATCGAATTGTGCATCTTCTGCGCCTTTGATAGTAACCGGGAATGTGACTTTCGCACCATATGATTTTCCCAGCCAATTCCGTTGCATCATCAGTACACGTTCCGGCCATCCTCCAGCAAGAGAATCGAGGTCTTTCAGAAGCGCCTCCTTGAATTCAGTGATCTTAAAGAACCACTGTTTCAGATTCAATTTCTCGACTTTAGCGCCAGACCTCCATGAGAATCCATTGGCATCAACCTGCACGCAATCAGCTTCGATCAATAAGTACCCTCTGATCCCGACTAACCTGCTCATTTGCCAAGACCGTCTTATCGATGGGATCATAATTGACCAGCGCTTCAGCCTGGTACGCCAGGCCCTTTTGGTACAACATCAGAAAGATGCGCTGAGTATGTTCATAGAACTGCGGCGAACATGTAGCCAATTCCTACCCCGTATCCATTAGCCATCCCATACCAAATCAAACCTCCCGGATAATGCAACATCCACATACGCGATCCCAATCAAACTCCGCCGAGATACACCTCAATTGCTCCTTCATTTTCTTAATATTCTCTTGCGTCCAAACCGCAGGGTCTACACCCCTCTCAATCGCCGCATTCTCCGCCGGTAGTCCAAAGGCATCCCACCCCATAGGATGGAGCACATCATGTCCGCGCATTTTGTAAAATCGCGAGATGACATCTGAAATCGTGTATACACGTAGGTGACCCATGTGCAGCGTGCCAGACGGGTAAGGGAACATGGACAGAATGTAGGACTTGGGGTTCTGTGTCGGTTCGGGTGTTAGACGCTGCACGGCTTTGTCGCTTTCCCATTTCGCGTGCCATTTTTTGTCAAGGGCTGGGAGATCGAGCTTGCGTGTTGAGGTGCTTGCGAGGCGGGTTAGGGTGTGGACTGGTGAGAGGGCTCGGAGGGCAGGACGCGTGTGGAATCGCCCAGGCGCGATGCCGCTGGTTAATCGGAGGCGTGAGAGAGACTGCATGGTGGCTAAGATGTTCGTTATATGTCCATTTTCATTCAAATATTGGAGTAATTGGAGTGGCGGCCACCTCCACTGGTAGTTTGAACGTTGGATTTTTTTGAGGCGCATCTTCAAAACTTCCCCGGAGCCCGGATAGCTTCAACCCCGATTTGGACTAGCGCACAATAATGGACCTTCCACACCTTGTTCGATCAAGCACATCAACGGTACCTAGTACTACTACTAGTAGGTACTAGTACATGTAGGATGTCTTCAATATGTCTTCACCGCCCATATCCGTCTACGTACTACCGTTCGGCTGCCGGTTTCTGATTGTTCCTGTGTAAATTCCCCCAAGGATCCCCATACTATGCATGGCCGTAGGGGCGGTGCGGTGTGTCCAAGGGGGTGTTAGAACTTAAGCCTACTTGTCTAGTCAATGTAAGATAGCCTACATGATGTACGGAGGCCTTAGGTTACGGTTAATGAGGATATCATCAATCATATCCTAACCACGTGGTACGCGCGCAAATAGACATCTACGCTAGTCCATAGACAGAATAGCGTCACTGCTAGCGTTATTGACACCCATCGTATTATTTAGAGGCCTTCTTCACTTCCAAATTCCTTGCATCTGCATACCTCCGACTTTCACAGATGATATTTCATTATATCTACCCTCTGAGCCTGCTTGAGTTGACTATCCCTGTTATCTGTAATACCAAAGATCAATGCTGACAATGAATAGGTTTACAAAGATAGTCATTCCCACTTGTCTTAGTGTCAGACTGGGATACACTGGGATAAGGCCTCCCTAGGCCATAAACACGAACCTTGGTTTGTAAACGTGGCAAGCTGCCCAGGGAGCGAGCTTTGTGTTGAGGAGCCATCCTGCGAAGGCGCAGAAGGCTGTTGTTTCATGGTGTTTGGTTAGATAGAGCCACACGGTGAATATGATGGGTATGAAAGAATATCTTACAGAGGCACGATCATCGATGAGACTCCAGGAGCCACTGGTATGCATTGCCAATGCCAGTGGAGCCCTTGGTAGCAGCGGACGGCCTCCGCAAGTTGTCGACGGCATCCTGGGTGCTATATTTGCAATGTATCTCTGCAACAGCATATACTCACGTCCAACGTCGCCGACGGCGTCGACTTGACATCCGACAATGTCGAATCGATTATGTCGCCCGTTGCGGTGTCGCCGTCGTCGCCCGTTGCGTCGTCGCTGTTGTCGCCGTCATCGCCGTCGCCGGCCACAAGCCGTTTGTTTATTATTGTCAAGATCTCCGTGCTTCTGCGATATCTTTCCTTTTTATCTTTTCATCCTTTCATCCTTTTCATCCTCCTGTCTCTTCATTTTCTCTCATTTCTCCGTCCTTTGTCCCCGGCTTTTTTCATCATCAATTTTCCCGCTTCATACCCATCAAATTCACCGTGTGGCTCGGTCTAACCACACACCATGATACAACAGCCCGCTGCACCTTCGCAGGATGGCTCCGCAACGCAAAGCTCGCTCTCTGGGCAGATTGCCGCGTTTACCCCAACGAGGGCTTTACGGCCTTTCTATGCGGATGCTGCTATTGAACAGGAACTAGTTCCTGCTGCGAGGTAAGTCACTCATCAACATTGTAACATTGGTGAATATATATAAAGCATGGTTGTTGATATTTCCGCAGCAGCGATTCATTCGCCGCTTGGCTGAATAGGTGCCACTCGCGGCTGACCAGGCTCATGTCGCAGGAGGCAACGGCAAGCCAGACTCCTGGTGTCTATCCCCGCGACGTCTCTTTGAGAAGCCGGAACCAATGGCAGCCGTCGCCATTTTCAACCCCTAATGAGCAGGGCAATTCCCAGACAAACCTCGCCCCGATCCAGGGCACGACTGGCAATGTGCAACAACCTCTGGCGACTCTTGGGCAGGAAGCGTATGAAGCCAGCCTGGTCCCAGCTTTTCTATTGAATTTGTTCCCGAGCTATCCTACCGCCGAAGATGCAGAGGGCTTGACGTCTCGACCGCAAGAGCTAGGCGATGATCAACCTACTCCAAGCTTTATCGTGTCATCGGTCGATCTAAAAACGACCCAGCTCTACGTCCTTGAGGTACTCTCTGTAAGTTGCAGTATGAACACGATCATGGAAGGGTGTTTAAGCTGACTATGTCAAGATCAAGGAGTATCACACCCTCGAACTTATTTGCTTGAAGTATATCAAGGATAGAAGAATGTTTGCTCTCGCCTTTGCGGACACTCGCGAGGCCGTTGACGCAAGGAGAAAGATTCAGGAGAGTCATTCTGAATGGCAGATCACACCAGTGACTACCCAAGAGATCGCAGTTATGACTGGATTTTCATTTTTCATCAGAGAGTCTCCGCAAGGCGTATTTCTTCTGACTGTCCATGTGCCTCAACGACTGCGTGGCCCCTGCAATGATGATTTCATCGAGGGCCTAATCGGTAGTTTTGGCAAGGTGAAACAATTTTTGCTGCTTGAGAGGAGTCCCAACCTGGCCAGGTACCGGGTTCAGTATGTCAACGTCCGTCGTGGAGGCTCTGCTTTCACCTGTCTCGATGGATTTTTGTATCATGTATTGATCCCCTCCCTTGATCTTTTTGATATAATGAGACGCTTACATTTCCATATAGGATTTCTATTTCGAGGTCTCCCTTGAAGGGAGTTCGTCTCTATCCTTGCCCCCGGACTTTGGCCAACAAAGTCCTGTGACGCCTCCCCCGGGCAACAGTGGTGGGTTTGAGTCTTCGCCGAATATAGGTGAAGGCAAGATTGATTTTAATGAGCAGAGAATCAGCCTCACTCGAATTCAACTTGGACTGGATGATCGCACCTCGGTCAGTTAACCCCCCCCCCCATCTATTATATCACAACATCTCACCTAATGCATCGTCACAGGTCATGATCCGAAAGATTCCAAAATCTCTTGTTTCTGTAAGCCGGATCCCGTCTCTGTTAGATCTTGCGAATGCTAATACAATCCTCCCCCCAAAGGACCAAGTGACGGAGGTCTTGAATCAAACTAGTCGTGGAGCATACGACTTCTTTTATTTGCGCATAGGCAAGTGAACCCTCCCTGAACGATTCATTTGAATTGGAAACTAATCTTTAGCAGATTGGCAATCGGGCAGCAAGTAAGTTCCGTGCTCTCAACGATCTCTTGCGAATACTTACTCTTCTAGTTTCGGTTACGCGTTTGTCAACTTCGTGGACGTAAGTATTCTTTCGATTTGGTCCCATTTGATCCGTCTTGATCCCTTTTGATCCCTTTTGATCCCTTTTGATCCCTTTTGATCCCTTTTGATCCCTTTTAATCCCTTTTGATCCCTTTTGATCCCTTTTGATCCCTTTTGATCCCTTTTGATCCCTTTTGGTCCCATTTGGTCCCATTTCCTCTCCTCCCTTTTGCCCTCATCTCTTGCGCTCCTCCGAATTTGTGTCCTTTCATTCTTAATATTGCTTTTGCTCGACTTTCCACTAACGTGATTCATAGCCATTGAACATCATCCCCGTGAGTTATTCTCTGTTTATGTTGTGATACCTTCACATATCGCTGACCGGTTCCCCTTAGCTCTACCTTGCGCTAGTGGGCAGAAAATGGTATCTTTCTCTTGCATTTAGCAGTTATATACCCGCTAGCTAACCATTATAGGCCCAACTGTCAATCTGCGGAGAAGCCAGTGCAACTCTGCTATTCCAGTACGCGCTCCCAATCATGAATAATGAAAAATGGATAACTGACAGGATTCAACAGTGATGCAAGGAACAGATAATCGCCAGCACTGGTTCCGTAAGAGGTTTGGTATGACCCGGCCTCCTGAGGAGCGGCCCAAGGTACGATCAACAAATGCCTTTCCGGTCCCCTTCAAGCGGTAATACTGACTGACTGCAGCTATTCCATACAAGCGGTCCTTTGTTAGGATTGGAGAAGTCCATTCCTAACAGAAACACTGTCCGTCGAAGGCTGCGGCGTAAGCTGCGACACTCGACCAGCAGCACCGCCCAGCTAGGTAAGGGCTTCTGTCTTCTGGCCCATCGTATGGGTGGATCTTTGCCTCAGAACCTCCTAGAGGATTCGTCCTTCACCCAGCAGGGCAATCAAACCACGCGCCAACTCGAGTGGCGAACTCCGCCTCAGAATCTCTCTTTGGCTTCTCCGTCGGCTCCAACGGAGCGCGATGCACTCCACTCCAGGCCACAGTACATGCCACAGACTTTGTCTTCGGCTTCCTCCGCGACCAGGCAGGGCAACCAAACCATGCGAGAACTCGAGTCGCGAACTCAGAACATGCCTTTTGGTTTATCATCGGCTCCAATGGAGCGTGATCCGCGCCACTCCAGGCCACAGTACATGCCACAGACTTTGTTTTCGGCTTCCTCCGCGACCCGGCAGGGCAACCAAACCATGCCAGAACTCGAGTGGCAAACTCCTCAGAACATGCCTTTTGGTTTATCATCGGCTCCAATGGAACGTGATCCGTGGCATGCCAGAAAGCAATCAATGCAACCGAACTTCCCTTCGGGTGCCTCTTTCACTCGACAGGGCAACCAAACCATGCGAGAACTCGAGTGGCGACGTCCGGCCCAAAATTTCCTCTTGGATTCTCCATGGGCTCCAACGGAGCGTGACCCGAGCCACTCTAGAGGGCAATCAATGCAACCGAACTTCCCTTCTGATTCTTCTTTGACTCGGCATGGCAATAAAACCATGCGCCAACTCGAGTGGCGGACTCCGCCTCAGAATCTCCCTTTGGGTTCTCCATCGGCTGGAATGGAGCGCGATCAGAGCCACTTCAGGGCACAGTCAATGCAACAACACTTCCCTTCAGGTTCATCCATGACCCAGCAGGGCAATCAAACCATGCGCCAACTCGAGTGGCCAACTCCGCGTCCGGACAACCTTTTCGGTTCTCCATCAGCTCCAACGGAGCGCGATCCGCACCACTCTAGGGGATAATCATTGTCCCAGAACGTTGATCCTATCTCCCTCACAGGGATGTTGGTCGAACGCCCAGTCCACCGCTCTTGGGTACAACAGTAACCGCGCCCAGCAACCTTCTTCGACCAACAGGATTCTACGTTTGTGCGGGAGAGCAAGTAAGCGTTTCCAGTTTTTCAGTTTTGTCACATTTTTAGTACACACAAACGACCACTTGAGGATAGCAATGCTCTTGCTGTCTTCACGTTTCTATTTGTGTTTGTCTTTAGCTTCTTCAAATGGAATGAATCCTTGCCAATGTTTTCAGAAGGGTATATCATTGATAAAAGCCTCAAGTGCGACAGCCCGGCTCGCATCATGATTCGGTGATGTCGAAGCATATGTAGACCCAAGCTCTTCATTCCAAAGGACATTGTCTCGCCTAAGTTCTTCCATGTGTTATCCCCGTGGACTTGGACTTTCTTGTTCGATTTGTGAATCTAACGCCCTACTCGCCTCCCCTAGATACCATGGGCATACGAAATTATTCGAAGGCCTACCCAGACCGAGTATATCGCCTAATCTAACGATAGTGAAGCTATTCATAGATTCGAGATTCGAGGACACGATGATGATACCCCTAGCAGGATGACTGCCCGAAACTGCAGAATCGAAGCTGATCATTCAAACATCCTCCTTTTGCCTTATTATACTCTGTACACATTAGAAAGAAGACTTTCCGACCTGTCCATAGAGGAATAGGAAAGAAATAAACCCATTTTGCACCCGCTGATATCTCGGCTAGACCGTCTTCCCTTCGTGGTCGGACACTGCCACGTTTGCCCCGGGCCTATGTGTAAACGGAGGAATGCGGGAATGGAGCTACATCAAGAGAAGCCAGTGCCTTTAGCGAGACACTTTGGAAACCAAAGCAGCCTTGGGAAACAGCCTGTCTTTGTATGCAGTATGAAGGTCCAAAGAACAGCCTACAAGCGGCGAATTGCGCCACTGGAAGCTCGAATTCTTTGCCGACGTGATTCACGTGAACTAGTCCATTTAGGAGAATGCATTCATTCCAGCAAACAGCCAATGTTATATCTGTGAATGATTGAAGCCAAACCTGATCCAATTCAGCCGGGCCAGATGCAATCTTTCAGAAGCTTGAAGAAACATGAGGGTGCAGGGAGCGGCAACATGTTCAAACAAGTATTGGGTCACATGCACCACGTGACCCTAATCCAGACACCACTCACCAGTTGGCAGTTACACTATCCCTTCGACCAAGCCTGGGCTGTATGATCTCTTGTTAGTAGTCGAGCCATAGCAACATTCTTCTGGCGGTTATAGATAATAATAGACATGATTCAGGGAATAGTTTGAAGACCAGACGCCACCTGGTGATTAGTTCGAGGGTATTCGACCTTTTGAGGCAGCGCCGTTGCCCATTCCCCAAAATGGACGTGGGAATAGCCTCGCGTTCCATTGCTATGGAAGGCTCGTGACCGAACGTGACCAAAGGCCCGTGACCGGTCGACGATCGTGATCAAAGGCTCGTGACCGATCGTCTCTCAAAGCTATTTAACTCTCTGTCCTGGTGCCTCTTCTCCTTTCATTCTTGAACTTTCCAACCATCGTTGGTTCTCTCTTTGGCCATCCTTTCTCGCATTTTCTAGCGTTTTATCTTCATTGGCACCATCCATCTTCTTCCCTGTTCTTGTGGCTTGCAGATGAAACCCTCTACTGAGTCTTTTGACAGTGAGGCACTCATTCCAATTTTGTCCCCGCAGAAGGTTGGAAGCACGCGTCACTCAACCAAGCTCATAGCGTTCATTCAACATATTTACGTCCAGTGTGAAATGTAAGACAGCGAATTACATGGAGTCCACACTTCCCCTCTCCACGCGTCTTCACTTGGGAGTTAAGACTGACATATCCAGACCAACCACGGGAAATTCCAGCACCTGCTGCTGCTCCTGCGCCAGTTGCTCATCCATCGGCCATCATAGGAGTACCACATCGATGCCCATACGATCTTTCAGCTCCGGGCTGAGTCAGCAAGGCTTGAAGCTTTGTGCCGTTGCCCTCGCGATGGATGAAGGCACTGCTGAATTTGGTGTGGCGGAATGTCCGGCGTACATGAGTATGATCCAGTCCCGATGTGCGGTGGACTCCTTGGAGAAGAGGAAGCGGCATAGAATCTTCGGTCTGTGCACGGATGGAGAGGACTTTCATTGTCTGGAGATTGACAGCGGACTTAACGTACGTGGATGCCTGTTTGCAAATTATGTGATGGTGTGGAGTATACTGACTGTTATTTTGCCAGTGGTCGCGACTGCATCTCACTTATTCCAATGATCTCCAGCAGATTCTCGAAATGCTCGCCTTCATCCATTTTTGCGTCAGCTGCCGCCTTCCTGCTGAAAAGGTACGACCAACAAATGCCTTTCCAGTGCCCTTCAAGCCGCAATACTGACTGACTGCAGCTATTCCATACCAGCGATCCTTTGGTAGGATTGGAGAAATCCATTCCTAACAGAAAGACTGTTGCCCGAAGGCTGCGGCGTAAGCTGCGTCACTCGGCCAGCAGCACCGGGACCATCGGTATGACGGCGGATCTTCTTGATGCAGATGCTGATGAGCGAGCGGTGCGCCCTTAGCCTTGCATCCCTCAACAGAACCAGCCTGCATCGCCGTAGTCTGCTCTTTTGCTTCAATATCTAAGAAGCCCAAAGCAGCTCCGGCCAAGTCACATAAAGCAACACGCTCCTCGACACCTCCATCGGCACAAAGAGAACACTCGACCCCTCCAAGTCACCGACGCCACCACATGTCTTCTCCGGAAATCCAGAATGGTCTCAAGATCCTCCCTGGACCGTTTTCAGACCCGGTATCGCGAGGGTCATCGGAATGACAGCGGGTCTCCTTGATGCCAATGCTGATGAGTGTGCGGTGCAGACTTGGCTCCGCATCCCTCAACAGTCTAGCACTCGGTCATCTGAACAAGTAGGCGTTTTCTGGGTCTCGAAGAAACGCTACTCTTCCGGCACGACACAGCCGTGGGCTGCGCAGTCCTGCATACGACACCGACAAAGACCATTCGATTTCGATATTCCTGCGTCATTCGGCCAGTAGCATCGCCCAGCCAGGTAAGGGCTCCTGTCTTCTGGCCTACAAAATGAATCTGACCTTTCTCACAGGTGTCAATGGTGATGCAACTCTTCCGGCACCGACACGGAAGTTCGCAGATATCGTATCGGGAACAACCCTAGTGGAGAGCGCCACAGGGCAACAATGGTGGGTTTGAGTCATGGCCGGACACAACTGGACAACGAATCGTGTTACCCATCATTCTGTGGGAGGGTCATTGCCCCAGAATCTCATAGCGGGTTTTCAATTTTTCAGTACTCGCAAGATAGGAACATTTGAGGATGGGAATGCTCTTGCTGCCTTTATTTCTATTTGTTCAAAGGGAGTTTTACCGAGGGAGAATTTGGTCGCGATGAGGGCCACTCAGACTGGACTCGGGTTGCCTACAGCGCTCGGATATTGCCGGAGACATTCTTGACTAGGTAGCATCAAGCTCTCGGAGAGGTGCGTTTGGCATTTGGATATTCAGCTCCCCCGAGCATCTTTGTCTTCAACCAATCCTGTCACGTGAGGAAAGTCTGTCATGCGGCTCATGCCGGTCCCCAAATCACAGAAAAGTTAGCATCACGTGGAATTGTTAATGTCACGTGCCCCCAGGTGCCCCTCCTGTCGTGTCGTCCATATCTCCTTCTCCTACCCCGTATTCCGTACGATTTAAATAAACAATAAAGACGTCGCAGAGGAATGGGGCATCCCTTGCCCGCTCCACAGGGTTGCCCCGACTGGGGTGGCGGCCTATCTCATCCAAGGCAGAACCTTACACAACATGTTCCGGCTGCCACTGACTCTCGCTTCGTTCTATCTGCCTCTAACGCAGTCGGCACTGCAGGGTCCGCAGACAGAGCTCCAGGATCTCAGGTATCTGATCATTGATGAGAAATCGATGATCAGTCTTGACGTGCTATACTGGGTCGATCAGCGGTGCCGCCAGATCGTCGTCCATGAGCGAGAGTTGCCGTTTGGGGGGCTCAACGTTGTCCTTGCAGGTGACTTTTACCATCTTACTTCGGTAGCGGCCAAGCCGTTGTTCTTCACTGGGACATCGTGGAGGCCTGAGCTGATGCAAGCCCGCGAGCTCTACCTTCAGGTCAATCAGACGGTCGAGCTGGATGAGGTTGTCCGCCAGCAAGGGGACCGGAGAAGGCATTCCGTAGCAAGCGCTGGGTAACCTTCGGGTGAATGAGATCACGGTGGAGGACTGGCGACTGTTCGCTTCTCGATTAGCCCCCGTTATCCCAGACGAGGTAGCGCGGTTGGTAATCGCCCTGCGGCTCTACTTCACAAGGGAGGCTACGGCGGCGCTAAATCATCGTCGCCTGCGAGATCTAGGCGTCCCTCTACTTCCGATTGATTCAGACAATGCTGGATCGCGCGCGCACGAGGCTCCGACAGCCTCGGCCCGTGTCCGTAGACGGTAGAAGCCAATTTGATCAAGTTCAGTCTGAGCCTTCTTAAAAATTAAAATACGTAATCAAAATACCTACGGACTAAGACTGGCGTTCAAAAGATTTGGATAAAGCTAACGCTGCGCAATTGAGGCTGGGGGTCCGGGGGGCGCTAAAGCTGCCCGGTACCCCTAGCAGGATGACTGCCCGAAACTTTTCTTTTGGCGACGGGATGACCCTTCGATGCTTGGCAGTTCGATGAAGCATTTCTAACAGTTGATATAGAAACAAAATGTCAAAATGAATGATATTTTCAATGTTTCCTACACTCTAGAAGCCATTCATACTATGTTTCATACCCTGTTATACACCCATTTATGTCCAGAGAGCAAATCTATATCCTCAAAATGTCACCACTTTGATCGACCCCACCCCGAAAATGGTCCGTAACCACTCTCCCACCGAGAATAGTCTCCTCAACAAGCCCCTCGACATGCTTGGGCTCAATGCGGCCATACCAAATGCCCTTACCCGCCAGCGGGTGAGGCTCCGAGGAATCCCCCAGCGTCATCTTCGGTGGCACATAGATGATGACATTGCCTGCGTATTTATGTCCCCCAACATGGCTAATCAGGCCAATGTTGGCATGCTTAGGGCCATCCACTGTGGTCCCCTCACTGCCCACAGAAGTGTATCCTCGCGCGCGCAGCACGCGCTGGAACTCGCTTTCCAAGGCGGGCGCCATGACTCCACAGCGCATGTCGCGCCCTCCATGCCCGCAGATCAATACCGTCGGCGAGTGATTAATGTCTATCACTCCTGGAAAGTTCGATGCTAGGTCCGGCGACCGGGTCATGTCTTCTTGTTTGTCTGCAGGAAGAGAAGAATGCATGTCGTGCAGCCGTTCCGGGAGAAGATATGCGCGGACAAAGGTCACCAGGTTGGATAGTTGGTCGGGGGATGACGCGTCTGTCACTGATATTGAAGGGATGTACTTGAAGCCGGGGAAGAGGAAGGCGGATGCGGAGGTGGTTCCAGAGCTCGCAGCGGGCGTAAAGGACGAATTCGTGATCAGAACATTGTTGAATGGCTAGACCGACAGGACCTTGAGTCAGCAAAAGGTTCACGCATTCAGAGACAGGGTATGGAAATTAGCATACGTCAAGATATGGCCCACCACGACCAAGAAGGCTCTTCAGACCCCTCACAAGATGACCCCAGCCTTCGTTCTTGCCGTCATCCTCAATGCGACTTGTCCAGTCTGGCTGGCCTGTGCACACTAGAAGCTGCTGCGCATAGGCAGCCATTGTCCCATTCAAGGCTTGTTCATGGTCAATGGGTAACCCCTCAGGTAGAGCGGGTGTAGCTGGGCAGTTGCAGCTTGGCTCGGGGCATGATTTTGTGACGGGGAAGGGAGGGGGGATCTCTAGGCGCGTGCGGAGTCCGCTGCCGCGCTGAGGGGTATTTGATAATAGGCGGATGTTTCGACATTCTCGAATGGGGGTTCGTCGGCTTAAGTCGCGCGTGAGCGACTGTGTGAGAATCGGTACTCGCATCGGAAGTTATAAGGTGAAATGAAGATAAATGATGGAAAAGGAAGAGATTGCTCAAACAAAATACTCAGAGTTGCGGGAATCATTGGGAGTGAATGTGGATCTCCGATCTCCGAGAATTCGGAGATTCGGGGATTAGCAATCTCCGGCCCGTTCCTGATTTGCCGAGTCAGGAACGCCAACCGTCAACGTCAACCCTGGAACCTCTAAGAGCTTATTTGAATGCCATACACTAGAGGTTAGCCTTTACGACTATGGGACTCGTTTCTGGACAGTTGAGAGTCAGAGACGGTTTTTCGGCCGAAAAGCAGCAAAAGCTGCTCTGTTCAAACTTTTGGCCGCGTCGCTCGCAGTCCTTCTGTCAGGGTGCAGGCTCAGGCAGGAATATGTATGAACAGTAACGACGATGTGAGTGTACGTATCAGGACTACAAACAAGACGTAGCTCGAAGAGCTACAACAGGATCAAGTTCCGGAACCCCTCTGAACCCGTCTAAACCCCCGGAACCCCCAATGGATCTGGCAGTGCGCCACCCTCCCCCCAGGCAGAGAATATCAAGTTCGCAGAGGATATCAAGTTCCGCCTGCCCCTGTCCATCAGGATAAAAATCATGCTTGGAGGACCAATCCAAATGAGAAGCATGACAATTCCCGTGGAAATCAAAAGGAATGCTCGGACTGGCCTCTACCAGCTGTCCACACCAAGTCCGATCGTACTTACTAGCCCTGCTGAGACCAACGATCTGACTTGGTGTGGACAGCTGATAGAAGCCATTCCTTTTGATTTCCACGGGAATAGTCATGCTTCTCATTTAAATTGGGCCTCCACGCATGACTTTTATCCTGATGGACAGGGGCAGGCGGAACTTGATATCCTCTGCGAACTTGATATTCTCTGCCTGGGGGGAGAGTGGCGCACCGTGACACCTTCTGCTGTTCTAGGTCCTTCTCCGGGCATGGTCTCTTGAGGATTTGCATAGGAATTGGCCGTGTCAGCAGGTTCGCTACCTCTTCCTTCATAGCTGTATCTTTTGAGTTTTGTTTCGGAGTCCTTGGCGCTGGCCACATTACTCGAGAGTTCTGACAGTCCAGCAGTACGTCCTGCTTTGCGCACCAGAGTCTGCCAAGGGTCATGTTTTGATGACGAGGTCGTTTATCATCATAGTGGCAAGAGGCCGTCGGTGATTCTTCACAATCAGGGACATCCTGACTATGGGTGGCTCGCAGAGGGTCGGAGGGCCGGCCATCGAATATATTGAGCGGCTGTGTCAATCCTTGAGCCTCGTCGTGCGAAGGCCATACCGGCCTAGCTTCTCCACTAGTGGTGAATCATGATGTAAACATCCTGCTCCACAATCTACTAGTGCGTTGACTTGAAAAAACAACGAATTGATTGAACCCTGCGTTCTTATCAAGAACCTCTCAGCTGAGAGCAATTTCGAAAGGTCAATATCACTAGCTGATTGTTGGGAAACGCCCAGGCAGGAGACATGTCCTAGGCGTACTCTTTTCCCTGTTCACTGTCGGATCCTTCGCAATAAAGTCAGGTAAGCTTCGCGCCACCATCGACAGCAACGAGCATGCACCACGCCTTGGGGTTTCGGGTGAGAGCTTTCCTTCACGTCTCGAGTTCCACAACCCGAGGGTTCAGTCTGCTTCCTTCGGCTCACAGTGGAGGTGGCAGCTGCAGCGGTGGAGGCCGGCTTAGTCTTCTGGGGCATCATGGCTGATATGCCCTGCTTCCTTGCAGTAGAAGCATTTTCCTTCTGCAATCAAGGCCTCTCGCTCTGCGTCGGTCATCCGCGCCGGGATAGACCCCCCCTTCCCGTTTCACACGTGAGGTGGTGGTTTACCGGGCAAAATTCGCCATGCTCGAACCAGCGTGAGCGGTGGATGCGCCTCCACGGGGAGTTTTGGTGTTTTGACCGAAGAAGCCCGTGCGCGAGTTCTGCTGGAGTGAAATTTCGTGGGAAATGCTTTGACACTGCTCAGTAATGTCATCGAAGGTGACCCGGGACTGGTTCACAGCGAGCATCATGTGTGTTTGCAGTAGGTTGGGCAGTCACCTCGCTGTTTATTTCGTCGATCGTCTCGATCACCTCTCCGATGACCGTTCTCTTGTTTGTACTCCCTGTGTTCCCGGCAACGCACTTCGTCTGTCGATTTGACGAGTTTGTCGTCGCCTCGGTGTCTTTTTTCGTCAGCGTCGCGATTGGGTCGGGAGCCATTAGCCTTTCGATCGAACTTCCTCCAGTCGGATTTCCGGTCGGATTTCCTCGAGTTTTCGTCTCTGGTGCGACTCACTTTTCTTTCGTAGGCCTGGTACCACAGGTAAAGGCCCCGGAGATTTTCGCGGACCACACAGGCCCCTTCGGCGAGTTGAAGGAATCCGGCGAGGAAGTCACTAAAGCTATCCCGAGGCTTCATTGTCAACTGGTGGTACGCAGAGTACGCCTCGGCCTTCCGATTCGGGTTAGCAAAAAGACTCTTGAGGTGCTTCAAGATGTCCTCTGCGTCTCCGTACGGGCGGGAGGAGGAAGCCCCGACGCCCCCATGTTCAGTGACGGCAGGGAAGTCCGTTACGAGACCTGGGAACTCATTATCCGGCATGCAATTCTGAAAAGATGAACAGAGCCCTATTCGAGAAAATATCGAAGCTAGGGAAGATTGAAGAAAGGAAAAGAAAGAAGGGAAGAGAGGAGATGAGAGACAGAAGATTTAGGAACAACCACAACGTGACACGGTGACAACGATCTCTCGACCACATGACTGTCAGTGTCAGAACAAGTCAGAACAACAACAACAACAACCTTTAGACCCAACCATCCACGCGACTCGCGAGTCCTGTCATGTCATGTGATCCATCACAGAGCCTCGGGGTGGATACATATTGACGGGCGGAAGTAGGCGGAAGCGGCCCGGCTTACCTGCAGCGCCGATCTCCGCTCCCGCCCCTGCCAAGGTAAATGCTTCCCTAGTAGTATGTACTACGAGTGGCTTAAGACTTTACCGCTACCATTGAACGATTGATTGCAATGGAATCAAACGTCATGCTAACGGAACTGAATCAAGTCTGGTCGCAATATATGAAGGAGATATGTCAAGGAAAATGGTCGGATGCAGTTCGCCTTTCCGAACTCACAATCACGTGATTTGAAGTGCCCTCAAGATGCATGTGATTCGGAGCTTATCTCCTCATCTTAGTGTAACTCACTCTCCAATGTCCAACATGGATCAATAGCTCAAGTCGTGTTTCTGTCAATCATGTTCAGACAGGGTTGTTCACGAAGTCTTTTTCCAGATCATACTCCATAGATGCAGACATCGGCAAGTGGGTCCGGAACAGGAACGGAAGAGTGTTCCTGATCCGTGATCCTTCGAAAGCGCCAACAAAACTCCTCGTCGGTGAGATTAGAGTCGGATTAGCTTCAAATACGCTCCACCTGATGTGGGGAAGAAGGGTTCAAAGAATCCGGGGTGTCTTTCATGTCATTTGATGTGAAACCAGACGAGATATAGACTATCCATACATAGGGCCATAAAATGTCTACCTACAAGGACTGTCCTCCCTCAAAACTTGCATAAAGAATCAATGCGTAAGTAACTCCGATAAGTAACTCCGAGTCTAGAATCCTTCTCAAAACACTACCTTTCTTACATCTTTCGCTTATTCCTTCACGCAGCCTCACGCTGTCCGATATCTCGCTTTCCGCGGAATAGTGGGGCCATGCCCAGCGAGCAGAGATTTTTCCGAATCTGAGAGTCATACAAAACCACAAACACGATACTCGATGAGTCAACTTCTACTTGGAACCAACCCTTGACAACATCACCATGGATCGAGATAACACCAACATGGAGAAAGACATGGAAAAGGACCTAGAAAAGGTCAAGGAGGATCTCCTCGATCCAGCGAAGCTACAAGACCCTTTCGCTGCTGGAGAAGTCGCAGGTGGAGTGCGTTATAGGAGTATGAAGTGGTGGTAAGTTTGTACCTGATTCGCAGTCCTTAACGCAGAAAGCTGACTTTGTTTAGGAATTGTGCAATTCGTACATAACCCCCAAATGAATCTCATCATAGACCCCAGCTAAGCAACCAATAGTGATGATTGCCCAGTCCGTCTCATTGGGAGTCTTGTCCCTCCCGTCATCAATGGCAGTCTTGGGTTTAGTCCCGTACGTCTGATAGGGAATTATTCTACTCATGTGAACCTTGCTAATCTTGGTAGTGGCTGTATCATCATTGTTGGTATCGGAGCTTTGACGACTTATACTGGATACGTCGTTGGACAGTTCAAATTGCGATACCCTCAAGTCCATAACATGGCAGATGCCGCAGAGATCTTATTCGGCGCTTGGGGTCGCGAGATCACCTCAGTCGCCCAGGTTATCTGTTTCATTTTCCTGATGGGCGCTCACATCCTCACATTTTCCATCATGATGAACACTCTCTCTAACCACGGTGCTTGTACCATCATTTTCTGCTTGGTTGGAGCCATCCTCTGCTTTGTCCTGACACTCTCAAGACGCCTAGAGGAAGTTTCATACCTAGGCATAATTTGTATGCTAACTCCTTTCCACTGCTTCAAACCAAACTAACATACTGCTAGCCTCACTATCAATCTTCACAGCAGTGATGATCATCATGATCGCTATTGGAATCGAACGTCCCGATCCCAGAACGTACGCTATAACCAACCCGACTCTGATGGACGGTTTCTCTGCGACTCTCAACATCGTCCTCGCTTATTCCGGCCACATGTCCTTCTTCAGCTTCCAGTCGGAGCTAGCAGATCCACATGACTATCCCAAGGCTCTGATGGTCTTCCAAGCCACAGATACATCGCTGTACCTCGTCACTGCCCTTGTGATCTACCGATATGCCGGACCGAACGTCCTCAGTCCCGCCCTGCTCAGCGCAAGCGAAGTCGTCTCCAAAGTCGCATTCGGTATCTCCATCGGCACGATCGTTATCGCGGGAGTGGTCATCTGCCACGTCGGCGCTAAATGCATTTACGTGCGTTTGTACAGGGGCACGACTAAGATGACCGAGAGGTCTTTCCGTTCGTACGGCACTTGGGTGCTGATCACGTTCGTGATGTGGGCTATTGCGTGGTTGATTGCCAATGCGATCCCTGTGTTCAATGATCTACTCAATATGATTGCAGCGGCATTCTGCAGTTGGTTTTCGTTTGGTCTCGAGGGTCTGTTTTGGTTGAAGATGAATCGTGGACAGTACTCTGCCAGCAAGCGGAAGATGGCCTTGACTGCACTCAACATCTTCCTTGTTCTGCTGTGTTGTCTGATTGTGAGTTTACATCTTTGAGTTGCATTGCTCTGATACTAACGAATTAGTGTGGAATGGGCCTTTGGGCTACGGGAACTAGCATTCGCATCAATGCGCAACATGCCCACAAGGCTTTCTCCTGCGCATCCAACGCCTAAATGGCTTTTGGCATATCGGTCTTCACAATTGTATAGATAAATGGATGCAGTATGGCTTTACTTTTCACCAAATAAGAATCACAGCCCTTGCATATCCCATACCCCAGTTCCAATTTCTACCAGATCCTGTTTTTGTAATCGGATATCAGTCTCTCGAGGAATGGAAGGAGGTCGTCCTAGGAGCAGGTTGAATGGGATGGTTAGAGCGTGCTTCGAGACGGTGATATTGTCGCCAGTCTTCTCTATCACACAGGACTGCGTGACATGAGGCCGCTGGGAATCGGAATCCCATTCCCACGTCTGGATTGTGATCATGGGCTTCTGGCGGTTGACTTTGATCGTGATGGCCATGCTTGCTTCCCCTCTGGTAGGATCTACCCACATCATTGCGTCGTTGCGCAATTTTGCTTCAGGGCCTGAAAGGCTAGCCTCCAGGACTACCGATGGCCGGTTCGCAACACCACGAGGACGCCGCCTGGGGCCCCAACCCCAATCCGGCTGTTTCGTGTTTCCACCGCCGACATTGATGCTTGCACCTCCATATCTGTGGATTGCTGCTTTATTGAGCCCCATAGGCCGCAAAGCTTCCATAACCGCATCGTGAAATATCCCGGCAACCTCAGAATGCTCGGGCAAAGTCATTCTCAAAATCAAGACTTGAAGTGTCGAGTTATAGAATTGACGTACTCCGACATTTAGCTTAAGGGAAAAGTCTCTCCGGAATGAGGCCGGGTCGATGATTATAACAAAGTATTCTGATATGTCGGAGTTATCCAATGGTTCAGACTGGGGATTGCGTAACGAGTGTTCTAGGCGGTGATATTCAAGTCTTGCGATTTCCTCAAATTTTTCTTTCCCTTCGTAGGTATACCTGTTCGTGGAAGGAGGCAGGTCGTCCAGAAAGCCTTCCACGTCTCCATATCTGACGCGTTTGGACCCATTCATTGTTTCGAGGTATTCTTGCTTCCTATTGGAACAGATGACTTGAGATGCGTAAAAGACTGGAGGTAGCTACTCAAGAGTCAGGTGGTGTGGTTGAGTTACCTCATAATGTGTAACTTTCCCGCTTTCCTTGGGTTGCAGCCTGTAAGGTTCAGGTTGATCAAGTAGATTCATCTTACCTATTCATTTCCATCCCTCATCAATCATCCATCAATACAATCTTGTCATCTCTGAGCTTCCACACTGTACCGTTTGGAAGTGATTCTGGAACCATCTTGAACTATGAGCACTGCAGCTTGACTGCAGAATCACTAGTACACAAAGAAATGATTGCAGTTAGTCAAACACTCCTAGCACACCTGGGCATAGCTATGGTATATAAACTCCTCAGCCATTTGACACATTCCTTGTACCTAGATATTCCCTTAAACGTTCACAGCTATGGCACCGAGCTTGCTTAGCCTCCCCAGTGAGCTCCGTATTGAGATATTCAAATATCTCCTCGTGCAAAGAGAGCCTATTGTTATCAGGCAGCGCCCGTTTCATGAGCTAGAGCCTAATATTCTCTCCACGAACAAGCTCTTTCTTGTGGAGGGTAGGCCGCTACTCTATGGTTACAACTGCTTTAGCTTTGGCCCGTACAGTTCTGATATGGCCCTCCCCCACTTTATTGATGTTATTGGTTCTATCAACGCATCTCACCTCTGGAATATCTATATTGACTTCCCGAACGTCTGCAAGATTGAAGACGAAGTCAGCCTGCGCGATGAAAGCCTTCATATGCTCAAAATGATCCAGGAAAAATGCACCAATCTTCAGAAGCTTACAACAGCTGCCGAAACAACCTATGAGATGGAAGCCAAGCTCGAGTCATTTGACAGCCCTAAACTCTATGACAAGGCCCTTGGTTTGGTTGCTGCTCATTTCAGGACTATTCCATCTCTCCAGAAGGTCGTTGTTGAGGTGTACGAGGAGGGTACCAGTCTGGATATCAGAAAGAAAATGGAAAATCTTGGTTGGATACCCGAGGTGGTGAAGCCAATGGAAAAGGCGGAGTGGGACTTTGAATGGGACATGGAAGAGCGCTGGTCGCCCGACATGCTGGATGATGACGACGATGATGATTACGACGATGATTACGATATCGACAACGATAGTGACTTTTGGAGACGGGCAGCGGATTAAGGATCCAGAAGGACAGCCATGCTAGAAGTAGCCACGACATGAGGCACCGTCTCAGGCTATCCAGGACTCTGGCAAAGCCGCGCTCTCAACGAAATATTTGCTCAACTTGAACTGTCGCTGTTAGTCCTTGAGAATGATCAATCGATACACTGGAATGTGATGCATGTAGTCTAATACCTACGAACACCGACGCTTGACATATCAATCAACAGTATCGGAAATCATTGCAAATATGCAATCTGGTTGTTAATGTCTTGCTGCACATCTAGGAGCTGAACTAGACTATATGGCTAAGACGTAGAAAGTAGAAAGTGGGCTGTAAATCTTACGGGGGATATTAGAAACAACCTAACCTAAGTAATATTCGCAAGAGAAATCGGTGTAGGTTTGGCCACAGTTGACAGTGATTATATGGGTCCAGGGTAGGTGACTATCGAGATGAAAGAGTCCATTGGATATTCTGTTAATGATCTTGCATCGGCTGGTATGTCCAGACAAATCAACAATATTGCAAAGGGGCTTTCGGTTCGATGACAATGTCCGCCGCCCAACTCCTCCGTCTATGCCTGTGTGCACAAGGGACATGAGGCCGAGTGATCCTCTATGAGATCGATTCTTCCTCGGCTTGATTCCCTAAAAGACAAACGCGAAAAGACAATACTGTGCGGGGACAAAAGGCTTAGTGGTCCTCATCGAGACCAAATTCTCCGTCGGTAAATTCCCTTTGAACAAGTGAAGATTGCAAGAGCATTCCCATTCTCAAATGTTCATATCTTGCGAGTACTGGAAAATTGAAAACCCGCTATGAGATTCTGGGGCAATGACCCTCCCACAGAATGATGGGTAACACGATTCGTTGTCCAGTTGTGTCCCTTACATCTGACACAAATTCCTGCATCCAGGGCTGCCTGTCGTGCTGTGGCACCTTTGCATGATTCAATATCAGGGTCCGCACCAGCTCGGGCAAGCAACTTTACGGCTTCCCTATTGCCAATTCTGATTGCCTTCATCAAGGCGGTCTCCCCTTCGCTATTTTGCTGGCACCCACCACTGCTGCCCTGTGACGCTCTCCGCAAGGGTTGTTCCCGATACGATATCGGCGAACTTCCGTGTCGTTCCGGAAGAGTCGCATCAATATTGACATCTGTGAAAAAGGTCGAATTCATTTTTTCAGCCAGAAGACAGGAGCCCTTACCTAGCTGGGCAGTGCTGCTGGCCGAAAGAATGTCGAAATCAAACGGCGATTGTCGGTGTGGTATTCAGGACGGCGCAGCCAACGGCTGTGTCGTGCCGGAAGAGTAGCGTTTCTTCGAGACCCAGAAAACACCTACCTGCTCAGATGACCGAGTGCTACCCTGTTGAGGGATGCAGAGCCAAGTGTGCACCGCACACTCATGAGTCATCAGCCTTGGCATCAAAGAGGCCCGCTATCATACCGATGACCCTCGCGTTACCGGGTATGAAAACGGTCCAGGGAGGATCTTGTCATCATTCTGGATTTCCGGGGAGGGGGATGGAGCAGCTGCAGGCATAGGGAGGGGAAAGTCTGAGCTTGAATGTCGAAGTCAAAGGGGGATTTTAGGTGCGATACGCAGGACCACATGTGGTGGCGTCGGTGACTTGGAGTGGTCGAGTGTTCTCTTGGTGCCGATGGGTCCCAGTTCTGCTGGCCGAGTGACGCAGCTTACGCCGCAGCCTTCGGGCAACAGTCTTTCTGTTAGGAATGGATTTCTCCAATCCTACCAAGGAATCGCTGGTATGGAATAGCTGCAGTCAGTCAGTATTGCGGCTTGAAGGGCACTGGAAAGGCATTTGTTGGTCGTACCTTTTCAGCAGGAAGGCGGCAGCTGACGCAAAAATGGATGAAGGCGAGCATTTTGAGAATCTGCTGGAGATCATTGGAGTAAGTGAGATGCAGTCGCGACCACTGGCAAAGTAACAGTCAGTATACTCCACACCATCACATAAATTGCAAACAGGCATCCACGTACGTTAAGTCCGCTGTCAATCTCCAGACAACGGAAGTCCTCTCCATCCGTGCACAGACCAAAGATCCTATGCCGCTTCTTCTTCTCCAAGGAGTCCACCGCACATCGGGACTGGATCATACTCATGTACGCCAGACATTCCGCCACATCAAATTCAGCAGTGCCTTCATCCATCGCGAGGGCAACGGCACAAAGCTTCAAGCCTTGCTGACTCAGCCCGGAGCTAGAAGATCGTGTGGGCATCGATGTGGTACTCCTATTTCCCGTGGTTGGTCTGGATATGTCAGTCTTAACTCCCAAGTGAAGACGCGTGGAGAGGGGAAGTGTGGACTCCATGTAATTTGCTGTCTTACATTTCACACTGGACGCAGGTATGTTGAATGAACGCGGTGAGCTTGGTTGAGTGACGCGTGCTTCCAACCTTCTGCGGGGACAGAATTGGAATGAGTGCCTCACTGTCAAAAGACTCAGTAGAGGGTTTCATCTGCAAGCCACAAGAACAGGGAAGAAGATGGATGGTGCCAATGAAGATAAAACGCTAGAAAATGCGAGTAAGGATGGCCAAAGAGAGAACCAACGATGGTTGGAAAGTTCAAGAATGAAAGGAGAAGAGGCACCAGGACAGAGAGTTAAATAGCTTCGAGAGACGATCGGTCACGGGCCTTTGATCACGTTCGGTCATGAGCCTTTGATCACGTTGGGTCACGAGCCTCCATAGCAATGGAAAACGAGGCTATTCGCACGTCCATTTTTGGGAATGGGCAACGGCGCTGCCACACAAGGTCGAATACCCTCGAACTAATTACCAGGTGACATCTTATCTTCAATATATTCCCTTGATCATGTCTAACCTCCAGAAGGATGTGGCTATGGCTCGACTACTAACAAGAGATCATACAGCCCAGGCTTGGTCGAAGGGATAGTGTAACTGCCAACTGGTGAGTGGTGTCTGGATTAGGGTCACGTGGTGCATGTGACCCAATACTTGTTTGAACATGTTGCCGCTCCCTGCACCCTCATGTTTCTTCAAGCTTCTGAAAGATTGCATCTGGCCCGGCTGAATTGGATCAGGTTTGGCTTCAATCATTCACAGATATAACATTGGCTGTTTGCTGGAATGAATGCATTCTCCTAAATGGACTAGTTCACGTGAATCACGTCGGCAAAGAATTCGAGCTTCCAGTGGCGCAATTCGCCGGTTGTAGGCTGTTCTTTGGACATTCATACAAAGACAGCCTGTTTCCCAAGGCTGATTTGGTTTCCAAAATGTCTCGCTAAAGGCACTGGCCTCGCTTGATGTAGCTCCATTCCCGCATTCCTCCGTTTACACATAGGCCCGGGGCAAACCTGGCAGTCTCCAAGCACGGAGTGAAGGCGGTCTAGCCGAGATATCAGCGGGTGCAAAATGGGCTTATTTCGTTCCTATTCCTCTATGGACAGGTCGGAAAGTCTTCTTTCTAATGTGTACAGAGTATAATAAGGGAAAAGGAGGATGGATGTTTGGATGATCAGCTTCGGTTCTACAGATTCCTATGTAGCCATACGAAGGCCTGAGTTAAACCAAGTTGGCCCACACCTAACATCATTCCATAGTACGCAAAAATCACAACAGAAAGACACCCTTAACTCGTCTCCATAGGAATCGACACAGCAGGCAAAGGCGGCGTCTTCTCATCTTCCACAAAAGCAGCCCTGTCCAAAGCGTCATAGAACATCCGTTCAACGTATTAAGAAAATGGCACCGAAAGCGTAGCCGTGCGAATAATTAACGTGCTTGGGCTGGGACATGGGTTGCTTTTATTTGACGGCTGGAATGTCTCGGCAATTCAAAGATGGAGCCAACGCGTCCTTCAATCTGATTTTAGTTTTGGTAGTCAGAAAGATACAGGAGTCAGTCGTTGTCTGAGATTATGGCATTACGGAACAGGTCAGAATCCAAAAATAAAGTAACACGCCGCATTCTCCTAGGTGATACTCTATCCACACCCCTCCACGGCCACTGAACCTATATACTCAGGCATCAAGTGTGATAGATGCCCCAAAGAACTGACTGGCTCTTGATGTTACCATTGCACTGCATGGTTCCACTTGCTCCAACCTTGCCTTCCCACTTGAACCGCTTGATTGCCTCATTGATAAGATCAATGGCATCTTGCCCACCGACAGTAAAATCCGCATTGCCATCGACCTTGGTCGCCTCCACACCAATGGCGCAAGTCCCATACTTGCCAAGCTCGCGTTGTGGCTTGCCAGCAACAATGGTCTGCCAGCTTGTCCCACCGTCGCCTTCCCAGTTCTTGATAATGACAAGACAGTCGTCAGCGAGAGGTGATGCACTGGTGGTGTCATTCTCGAAGGTCGAGTCTCCACAAGTGTCCTTGCCCGGCGGGATGTCGCAGGGGTAATTGGGGCTGGAGCCCGCCTTGGTCGTGTCCCAGGACTTGTAGGCGCGCTCGGGGCTGCAGACGGGGATCCGCATGTATCCAGGCGTTGTGACGTCCGCGTCCATCATGTTATCGATTGTCTCCTCATCGGTGGGATCAGGGGTTTTGCCGCCGTTTTCTTTTCCATTCTTGATCCATGTGCGGACGGATCCCTTGATCAGATCGTCCTTTCTGATGCCACCGTAGCTTGTGTCGGTGAGGGAGCTGAGACCTGGAGGCGGCGAGAACTTGGCATTGGTGCACTCCGTCTGGCAGTGTCGGTCAGAACAGGTTTCTGTGCAATCTTCGGAATCACCCTTTGGATATACGAGGTAGTACTGCTTGCCGTCGACGCAGGAACCTGTGGCATCCATGGTGTCGTCAGTGAGGTACTCGGTGAGTTCTTTGCTTCCACAATCATGACCCGCGTCCAGGACAAATGGGTAGGATTTCGAAGCCCGCCAGAGAGCGGGGATGGTAAACCCGAAGAAGCACTTTTTAATGCTGGCCACCAGGCTGTTGTAATCCTGCTTTTCATCCGGTTCGTCGGAAGACAACACGGATTTCCCCTTGCCGAGCTTTCCGTTGGAGATGAGCTCGCCAATGCGCTCGATTGAATCATCGCTTCCATCGAAAGTTGTCTCAAGTGTCCAGGAGGTCATGTTCTTCCAGCCAGTGACGACCTGCGCCATATACGTTGAGAATTCAGCCTGTGACTCCGGTGTCCATGGGGATTCATCGCTCGGGATCAAGTCCTTAGCGATGGTTGTACCCTGTCCAATCAAGGTCATGGAGGTATCCTTATAATTATCGAGATGGCTTGGTTTCTCGAGGAAATAAGGGAGTCTCTTGATTACCGTGTTGAAGAGCGGTCCTGCCGTGCCAAGAGTTCCAACAGTGAGAAGATCAATAATCAGCAGTAGCCAGGTGTCGTCCTCCTCTGTTGGGATTGGCGCAAACTTATTCTCCAGATCTTGGAGCGACAGGGCACCCTCATTTTCGGCTTCTCCGAGAAGTGTGTGGTAGTCCTTGTAGATGAGATGAAGCTCTACCAAAGAATTCCAGATCAGCGCCGCCGCCGGGCCAGATTTCGGGCCGTTCGCGCCAGCTGGACACGCCTGTACAACGCAGCTGTCCTGCAAAAGAGTCCCGCAATTGGATCCCTCCACCATAGTCAGGGTTTGTGCGACCGAGTCAATGAACTTGATGCCGTTCTTGCTGTCCGTGTCTTTGAAGATTCGAACAACATCTTTCCAAGCTTCGTCCGCTTGGAAAGCTTCCCACTTCTCAGAAGGCGTGTATTGATTTGCATCGACAATCATTTCGTGCATGCAATCCATGTCGGTCCAGTTGCCAGTTCGCGTGTGATCCACCTTGGGGTCCTCCCCGTTGTCGATGTGCTTGTGGACGTCGTCCCAAGTCTTTGCCGGATGAGGGGGATCATTGTAGTCCTGAAGGTCCGTGGCCCAGTCAGTGAGGCCTCCCAGACCCCATGATGAATAGAGAGTAGCACGCATTGCCTTGATAGCAGGGCCCATGTAGGACACGTACTCCGTGCCATCATAGATGAGGATGTCACTGTTGCTGATAGGATCGACAAATGATTCGGTAACTGCTCGCTTTGGACTGTTCAAGATCTCGTTGATCTCGGCGTTGGAGATGTATCCAGCTGTGTTCGTGCATCTGCCCGGCTTTGCCTGTGAACCCAGCCGGTCACCGACGTACGTACAGTCTGGACCGTAGCATCCTTCTTCGGCCATCTTGAAGCTTCGTCCGTAGCTGGTCACACCGACGATGACCTTGTTTCCGGGAACTCCTGCCTTGGTAATCATCGCCAATGACTGCTTAGTCTCTGTGAGGTTGACCTGACTGCGCAGACAATTGCCGTCGTCGCATCCCTCCTGAGAATAGCCGTTGTTTGCATCCCACTGACCGTGGAGATCATAGGTCATATAGACGATATAATCCACAAGCTTGCCGATCTGCGCAATGGGAAACTGTTTCAGATACCAGTACGAGGCGGGTGCCGCGATGGAGACGGTTTTGCCGGGCAACAGGTTCTTGAGAACGGCAAGGAAAGCGAGGTAATTGGGACCATCTTCCTTGGTTCCCGGATCGAAATCTGGGAGATCAGGAGCGCCAGGATACTCCCAGTCAATGTCGACTCCGTCAAGGTTATTGTCCTTGATGAAAGCTGCAATCTTCTGGGCCATTACCAGCCGGTTGGCGGGCTTGACTCCGTTGCGGAAGATCTGGTAGGTTTCAGGCATGGTAGAGAAGTCCCAGCCACCAAATGACAGAATCCTCTTTGCGCCTTTGATCTTCTTGAATTCACCAAAGTTGTAGGTAGAACGTATATCACCCGTCTCGACATCAAAGGAAGGTGTCAACGTGCCAAAGCCAAAGTGAATGTGTGTAAACTTTGAGGTGTCGATCTGAAGGGCATCCTGGAACAAACACTTTCGTCCCGAGTTGTATCCTTCGTAGTAGCCAATACTGATGGCACCGGTTCCGCTGCCTTTCACAATGTCGGTTCCACAGTTGGATATGCAGCCGTTGGTGTTCTTCTTCGCAGTTCCTGGGGCACCGGTGTTGGTGTCGATACAAAAGTCATTGGTGATCCCGCATTGCCCCCAAATGTTGCAGCAAGCATTCAGCGGACAGGGGTTGAGTTCAGTGATGTTGGAGCCATCGGTTGGCGGCATTGAGCCTGGCTTCTGTGGACCACATTGTGCGTTTGCGATCTCGGCAGGGAACGGCGGAGTTCCTTTGCTGAGGCAAATGATTGCCTTCGCGTAGACAGGATCACAACCGCTCCAACCCCAGGTGTTTTTGTTGAATTCTTGGAGCTTTTCCTTTGTGATGCTATATTCTGCAGCGAGATTGTCGCAGTTGTCCTCCTCTTTGACCTCGTACGAAAAGCATGAACCATCGGCGTTTTGTTTAGGGCTGAAATCGGGAAGGGTTCCCGCGGAACAGCAAACGTGCTGCTTGGGCTTCAAGTCTGAACAGAAGGTATCCCCTGGGTTGTATTTTGTAAAGTCTGCCGGAGAAATACCGCACTTGACAGCCAGCTCAGGACAGCCGGTGCCAAATTCAGCCTGAATCGTGCGGCATTCAGCACGGGCACGGAGTTTTGTGACCACAGAGGTTGGGCTGATTTTGAAGCTGGAAATGGTGCGATTTGACTGTATAAGTGGTGTGGTGAAGGTAGCTGAGCCAGGAAGTCTTATAGAGTCCTCGAACGACAAGCACGTTCCATTCGCCCAAGATTGGAGACGATTCTGGATAGAAGTAAACTTTCCACCACTAGAACCAATGATGCCGAAGATGTGGGCGCTGTCGTAGTGTTTCTCACAGAGCTGCATGGCCAAAGTCGGAGATATGTCGGTAAAATTTCCCAGGTTGTCTTCAAACATCTTCATGGCCGATCGCGAGAGGTCTTGGTTCAGCAGACCCTGGCCAATATAGAGACCAATAGTAGCCTGGCCAGACTGGCCATAGATGATGAAGGGCCTATCAGTGGCCCCATGCCCATTCCCAGCATAATGGCGAATCTGCTTGACGAGGGACCGGAGCCCCGAAGTTGCAAGGCCAAACCCTTCCTGCCACCAGCCCACCTCAAACTCAACATCGATGGCTTGCCCGGAAGCAACCTGCACTTTCGAAGCGGGGAGTTTCGAGAAGTCAGGACCAAAGGACGAGCAAGCATGAATCTTGTGCTTCATATCCCGGTCATCAACGGGGTCGTAGAGACTGAAGCTGTAGAACATGGCCTCTTTGCATTTCTTGATCTGCCGGAAGTCGGGATAAACAGACCAGTTTCCTTGGTTTGGGCCGGAGATGGCACATCGCTCAGGGCAGGGATCGTAGCCAGAGCTTGGCCTGGCGGAACTTTTGAAGCCTGGTGAGGCCACGGCGCCATTGACAGCTAGCAGGAGCACAAGAGTGCTCACTGCCGCGGTGAAGGACAAAGTCACCATATCTTCCCCACAACAAAGGAAGAAATCAATAGAGAAAAAGTGAAACAAGTATCGGACGAGTGACTATAATCAACGTAAATAGATCTCATCAATGGATGAGCATGGAATGTATGTTTGACTGAACGATCTCCTTGACAATGACTTTGTTAGCTTTATACACCTCGGGATGTCTAGATATCTTTCCCACCTTCTCGCCACGGATATCAATTCTCAATTCCCAAACCCTGGAGGCCCTAGTATCAAGACTTGGTATATTTGGCTTGGACCCCGGGTTGCATCCGCTCATTTCACAGATCACGCTGGTTCAGCCAAATGTCGTCCGGTACTAGTATTTGGCCCCCGTTTTGTGCTCATACAAAGCCCTTACAAGGGCCGTAGAGTCACTCGCCACCATGAAGATGCCTAGTCAGGGTAGCTGGAAATGTGGAGATTTGATGAGAACGTGATGCCTGGTCTTGCTCGGTCAGATTCCGCACTTCCCTGCGCGCTCGAAAGTAAGCCCGGGAACCTATGAGTGCGGATATGACCATCGACGAGGAATCATGCGGTTCTTTCTAGTACTAGTATAACCACAAGCCTAGGTCAAGATTAGGGCCCTGGTATCTTTTATATCGTATAAATACTATGCCCAGCAGCAGCAGCTAATGTAGAGCGATAAGGATCTCGGGAACTACCTAGACAGTGAACAAATTTTGGTAGCCGTGGGTGGCGGAGTGAAGCTGTATTGGTATATGTTGGTATTTTCTGACAAGAAGCAGCCAAGCTGCTAGTATTAACTAGCCTCCCCTATAAGGCGTCCATAAGCCATGGTCTCCACACCGGAACTGATCTTTTGCTCCCGCGGGCCAGATCGTGTGGCCTCTTGACTCTTGAGGCTCTGCTATTTCGGTACACGGTTGGGATTACCGTGTCTAGTCCTGGTATACCCCCGGTTTGCTATGGAAAGACGCTTCGCATTTTTTAGTCATCAGGCGTCCAATCTTGATATGGACACTGATTAGGTCGTGTAGCCGTCTTGGGTAACATTGCGGAGGAACTAGGACAATGCCAAGAGCTGCTTGTCATCCCGGCAATTACGGATTTGCAGCCAAGAGGTGCTTGATGTAGCTTGTAGGGCAATGTTCCTTGGTTCCGAGTTGAAGTATTAGCGCTGGATGAGAGGCTACCCGCTACTAGTATACAGGCGAAGGACGTGCGCCAACGTTACAGGCTTTGAGATACGGATCATGTGGATCAATGGCAACGCCTGGGTATTGAATTGAATATTATGAAGTAGTGGTATATGAACAGTATGGACAAAAGAATGCACACGGACAATCAAGATATTAAGACTCTGCAGCAGGAGTAGGGAATCAATCATTAGAAGAGAGTTGCTTATTCACACAAGAAAGAAACCCAACGCCCCAGTAAGGCCTAGCAAGCAGGAGAGACCCGCCACCGCCAATGGTTGTGCGGCACTCTTCTTATCCGGGCACTCGGCTGGCTCGTTGAAGTGTAGATCGCAGTAACTAGCCAATTTAGAGGCCTCCATGCTGGCGAGAGTATTATTGTCAATTTGAGTCCGACAGGGATTCGTAGAAGGAGTCGGGGAGGCTGCCACAACCGCGCATGTATGGTTGGTGTATTTGCCGCCCTCCCACTGTGCGATGCCGATGGACTTGGTTTTGTCGGTCACATTGATCGCCACGCCTGGTTGCCCGGTACATGTCTTGTTGGCTGTAGCAGCAACGGGGTCCAGCTTTGGGGCAGAATTGCTGGTGGTGAACACGGTTGACATGGTGGTGGTGTTGCTGATCACCTCGTTGCCATATTCGGGTGATTCCACGTTGCAGCTATCCCAGCCTAGGGTCCAGAGTACTCTCCAACGACCCTCGGTCCTGAAGGCACTGCTGTATTTGAAGGCAAAATAGGTTTCCTGGTCTGTCCAGTTTACCCAGTGGAGTTCATGCCACAGGCTGTAGACTGTGTCCCCATCCTCGTCCCTTAAACTGTAACTGAGTGAGGGGTTTAGGTATCTCGCGCGCTCGGAATTCTTGAACGCAAAGACAACTGGGAACGTGTCGTTGGGCGCATATGTTTCATTGCGCGGAAAAACCAGATTCACTTCCAGTATATCAGAAGCGTTGATCACACTCCCCAGACAGGCAGCGAGCATCCAGATCGTCGTTGAAATGTGCATGATGAGGGCAAGTCAGACCTTCGAATGTGATGGAAAGATGGGAACGAGAAAAGAAACTCCGCAGATTCAAGACAATCTGCAAGACCATGTGAGACCTTCAATCCTTGCCCGCATACAAGGGCTTGGCAGTTCATGGTCCTATCAACAAGGCTAAAGACACTGGAAGTTTGCCTCTGCAGTGCACCGGGCACCGCGGATTTGGGGCTGTCCCCTGCCAAGCCCTTGGCTTTCGGCCTCCGTGTACTCCGTGGCCAGTTGCAGCGTTATGCCTAGTTCGAGTAGTTTGTCAACGCTAACTGGCAAATACACAGACTCCATACGCTCCTGTACGACTCTTCCTGACATGGATTCCGCGGCTCTCTTCGGACAATTTATCAGTGATACCGAATATGATAATTGGTAGTGTGAAAGGGGAGCTACAGCGGAAGTGCACACGCGATGGAATCTAGAGAAGCCAAGGGAAATCAATCTGAAATCATAGTGAAATGAATGGATGACAGGATGAATTGATTAAGGACTCGAAGGAGACCCCTCGGGAATGAGACGCTGTGTGTCTTGCTTACCGAGTGGTGAACAACTCAACATGCGCTACGGCATATCTACACTAGCGTATGTTCGTGATCATGGCCTACTATTCTCGACAGGTAGTACTAGGTAATAGTACTATTGTGAAAATACCTATTTCCAGGGGCTTTAGGACTTCAGCTAGCTGGAAAGTAACTAACTAGTAACTGACTAACTAGTTAGTTAGATATGCTTAGGTGAGATGGATGAGCCCAGGCAGTGTCCTCGGAACTGGTAGGACCTCAAACTACCATACTAGGCTATAACTATTATTTATTGTTCTTACGCTGTTTAGGCGGGTGGCCGCCTCGCCCCTGTGGGCAAGCAGTCCCTCCTCGGTTCGAATCCAGCTTTTATCAGGCTATAACTAGAGACCCGTACTTGTATGTTAAACATTCATGCATCCGGGTTGGCTCGAAGTCTATAAGTATGCAGCCCTGGGATTTCCCAGCGAGAAACTTTCACTGACACTTTCTTTCTCCACAAAACCCAAATTCAAGCCTCGCACAATGCATCTCACAGCTCTTCTCGTCGTCGGAGCAGTCCGAGCAATGGGTGCAGCCCTGGCTCCCCGCGCTGTCAACTGCGACTTCGCAACCACTGCTGATGCCGGCGCTACATGCGCTAGCTTTTCCAGCAGCTGGGCACTGTCAGTGACTGACTTGCAGAAGTTGAACCCTGGCATCACCTGCCCGAATCTCGATACCAGCAAGTCTTACTGCGTGGTCGGTACCGCCACGGATGAACCAACCCGATCCACGAGTACAACGACCACCGCCACCCAGCCAACAGCTACGGATGAACCAATCCCATCCACGAGCACAACGACCACCGCCACCCAGCCAACAACCACCGATTCCGCTCCCAGCAACTCTCCCACTATGCCCGGCATTGCATCCAACTGTGATGGCTTCCACAAGGTCTCATCCGGAGACCAGTGTGATACCATTGCCAAGGAGTATAGTATCACCGAAGCCCAGTTCAAGAGCTGGAACAGCCAGGTCGACGCCAGTAGGTCCTTCCTTTTCTCCATGGCTTTCGTGGACATGGGGCTGCTACAAAGATCATAACCTAACAGCCTGTGCAGAATGCTCAAACCTTTGGTTCGACTATTTTGTCTGCGTGCATGTTCCCGGCGCAGTCACCACCTCGGCTCCCCAGCCAACCGCCCCTGCGGGCCCAACACCCCAGATGCCTGGTATTGTCAGCAACTGCAACAAGTACCACCTGATCGAGGATGGTGAGAGCTGCTGGTCCATCTACACGGAGGCGGGTATTACCTTGGCACAGCTCCGTAAGTGGAACTCGGAGGTAGATGCCTCGTGCAGCAACCTTTGGCTGGGCTACTATATCTGCACTGGTGTTTGAGCGGGTTTTAGCATCGCAGGTTAAGGTGCTGGGTGATTGAGAGGGTAGATCTTTGCAGCCTAAGTCAGCTGGTCCTCCAGCTTGACTATGTTGAAAAATTTCATAGCAGCCTCCAGAACCCTATTCATATCTGTTAATCCAACATTACACAATGCTCAAATCATATTGCTGCCTGGACCAGGAAAGGCCATATGGCTCTCACCTCGTCCGCGCGTTTCTCCCAGCAACGCTTCAATGCGAAGATTTTCTCCATATGAAGATCGGTATGCCATAGAGTAGGCTGGGAAGCTTCTCCTTTCAATAATTCGTTCGAGTCTGAAAGTGCCATGACACTTTCTGCTGCGTGTAGGAGTTCAGTTTGGTCTTCGGTATGTCCTTTATAAAAGGAGCCTTAATCTTGCTGACCGTTCCTTGATATTCGTAGCAATTCGCGCCGATGTTGTAAAATAAACCTCAAGGGTTCAAATTGAATCCCCTATAAACAGTTAGTATATAAACTGTCAAATACGCAGGGGGCTCAGATGGTCCTTTGTCAAAGTCCAGACTTCGTATTTGATTCACCTACCACCTACTTCTCTGCACAAAGCCTTCGTGGCCTTTGTCCATCTCGTAACCGTCCGTTTGCCTGACTGGGTAAACAAGGCGGCAAAGGGATGTCCTAAGGCCTAGATCCTTGGCCTTTGCGCTTGTTCGGCCACAACTGTCCGCGGCAGTTGGCTTCACCACATAGGCAAGGCACCGCGTCAGGGTCAACTTCTGCGGGGGTTGTCTGCTCGTCTCCTTGGGTGTAGTCGAAGGTCAACTCGGTGCCAGGTGCGATATCCCGGATTGCGAAGAATGCAAGATTGTACAGGTATTCATCGACGTGATTGGTGGTGGAAACAGGGACGATCTTGCAATTAGGGTTGCAAGAGTGATTGATGAAACGGGTTGCGGAGCCGAACTTGCGGCCGTCGACGACTTTCATGTTCCGGTCTTCGTCCTCGTCGTCCTTTACGTTCCAGTCCAAAGAGAAAAGATAGGATTGCGTATGTGAGCCGTCGGTGAGGTTCTCGCGTTCCTCGGCTTCAGCTTTAATGATCACTTCGCCGAGATAAAGGTCAATGTATTGTCCTCGATGGAGGAAGTCGGGAGATCGGAGACCTAAGAACAACTCTAATCAGTAGAGCGAGGGGACCAAGGTGAACTTGAACATACCCAAGCCCCGAGGGCCAGTGTCGAAGATCTCCAACCTGACAGACCTTCCCTGTTGAACGACGTGATTCCAGCATCGATCACCACTGCAGCCGCAACGTGAGTTGCACTCGTAGATTATGGCCTTGCGTCTAAGGAAGTCCTTTTTCGCAACAATCAGCTTAGGATTGCTTTCGCAGATTTGATATGGCACAATCCTATCATCTGAATCCTCTTCTATGCTGAGACAGTCACAGATAGAAGGATCGCACCCATTCTCATTGGCATTGCATGGGCAGCCGATGTTGAACTCAGAGTCATCGGGGATCCGCTCAACTCCCGCACCATACTCGTAACTGTTGACGAACTCGAAGTTGTCCGCCAGCCTGGCGAGAAGCTTTGGGCAGTCGATGTTCGCAGTGACTGCAGGGCCGGCGATACGACTTAGCTTCTCATTCAAGGTGTGGCGGAGCTTCGTAAGATGGTTCCTTTCTAGGGTCCCATCTACGACGTGTTTCAGCTGTGTTAGGAGACTCTCTAGCTTGGGTGTAAGATGATAACCAAAAGGAGGACTGAACGAGGACGCGACTGAATGACGATCGATGGGATCCCGTGCGATAGGATGAGTGCCCTTGGCAATTACCTCATCGTCTTCTGTTGTATGACAGCAGCCATGATTTTGCTGGAGCCGGTCAGTGAGAAGCCGGGCGAGGTTATGGATGCAATCGGCAGACTTGGCTGCAGGTAACTCTGATTGGTCGGGTACTAAGCCCACGACCCTGTCGGTCGCTTGGAGGGGGGTTTCAGCTGTCTCTGGTATGGAGCCGGCTTGGTTGATCCCACTTCGTGCATGTCCTGGCGAGTTGTGTGTAGCAAGCTCTTGGGTGAGGCTTTCAACTGCCTCTGGTATGAGGCCGGCTTGGTTAATCTCACTTCGTGCAGCTTTTGGCGAGGTGTGTGTAGCAGGCTCTCGGATGTGTCTTTCAGCTGTCTCTGGTATGGAGCCTGCTGGGTTGATCTCCCTTGGTGCATTTTCTGGCGAGTTGTGTGTAGCAAGCTCTTGGATGAGGCTTTCAACTGTCTCTGGTATGAGGCCGGCTTGGTTGGTCTCACTTAGTGCGGTTTCGGGTGAGTTGTGTGTAGCAGGCTCATTGCTCACATCAGGCATAGATTCTAGCGGCAGCTCATCGTTCACGGGTGGAAGTTCCAAAGTAGACGGCTCCCATGGCTCAATGCGAGGGTTAAGGGGTGGTAGAAGTTGCTCGACCTCAGTGGTGATAGAGAGTCGTCCTGGGGGAAGTAGCTTGGTGGGAATTCGCTAATTCCAGTGGACAAAGGCACTGCCGGGGAATGGTAGTGGACGAATGTCAGAGGTGGGGGTAGTGCAGCCGCTGCGGCCGCTTTAGCGTCGCGTGCAGCCTGGCGCCGTGTCCGCTGTAGGGCAGTCTGCGCCGCTTTTTTTCTTCAACAGAGGCATATTTTCGGGGTCGACCTCCCTGTCCCTTAGGACGATCAATGGATTGTTGCTCCATGACGAAGTAATGACTAGTGGCTTACTCAGTTAATAGAACGGTTCGTTGGTGGGGAATGACTGCTGGAACTGCCGCTAGTCGTAATAGTAACCGCATTTTTTCTGCTGTCGAGGAAAGTGGACAACGAAGCAGGTTGTACTCCGTACACAGTACTGAGTACTCAATATACACAGTAGGCGGTTGAATTTGCCTGGCAAAAGAATTAGCGCGATCACGTGGATAAAAGCCTTCAGGAATTCCCATAGTAGACAAATTGCGCTTACCGTATTAAGGCTAGCGGGAGTGGAAAGCACAGGGGACCGTCCCTGACTACTGTGTACTTGGAACGGAATCCTGTTGGACACAATACCTATAATATCACAATAATTTGGGCTCAGGCGGCCTAAGCCAGTAGCTATAGGTCGGCAGGGTCTCGAGTCTCGACATCGCCCACCACCATGGTGGACCAGTCATTGCACATCATACCAATAGACAGCCGAGGACGATCCACGGAGGTTCTCCATTGGCAGACCCGCAGTGCAAAGGGAGTTATACAGTCTCTAGAAGTAGATGCTGATGCGGATGAACGGCATCACTCTCCATGATTCATCGGCTGTATATTGAAGAACTGCGCATCAAACTGAGCGATGGTCTTCTCATGAAAGTAGGACTTGGTGGCGTTCGTGTTGCCATAAAGGGTTACCTCGGGGTGGTAGAAATTATCAACATTGAAACGATCTGGAGGAACCTTCTTGGAAATGTGATTAGGGGTTTTAACAGTTCTCGGAGTTTGCAGGGGCTACCGCACCCGCCCGGAAAGCGACAGGCGCTTATATCGACTCGTGCTGAAGATACTGAGGAGCTGTGAGAATGCAATATGATTGTTGAGGTGTTAATTGGGGATCGAGGGAAATATGTTCATTAAATACTATTTTTTACATTGTCTTCGTGGTATACTTGTCATTTCGTTGAGGCTTGCCGCTTGGATCGGTCTGGGGCCATATCAGCTAAGCTGATATCCCACCGAAAAGTTCCAATTCCAACATACCGAACTCCACACTTTGCACGGATTCTCTAAGTCTAGGCTGGATCCTGCGGCAATTAAGTTCCAAAGTACTCTTCATAGTGAGTGGCGTGTCTGGAGAGGATGGGCTTGTAGTAGATTCTTTGACTTATTGAGCTACCTGAAGTTTGTTATGTAGGCACAGGTCTCCTGAGAGTAGAAACACCGAAAGAAAGAGACGTGGGGGGAAAGAAGGCACCCGCAGACGAAAACACCTCGGCGATCCTGGAACAGAGCATCCGTATGAACAAGTGAGCGATGGGACCCGATGAAGGTCACTTTCATTGCTGGTTTGACCGTGATGAGTTGATATGTAGACGGTGGTGGACCACGCGCTTCGTGAGACCATATCAGGTGGCAAGTTGCATGGAGCAACAGACCTGTGATCCGAGGACACGATTCATCCGTGAGAGTTGTAGCGTGGTGGTTAATTGCGGGTGGCTGCCATGACGCACGGAGGCAGGGCGCAGGGCGGATGGTAGGTAGTCTGTAGACCACAGGGCATGTCCTCAGAATGATGATCAACACGTGGCTAACCATTGAGAGATGGTGCGGAGACCAAAACAAGGAGGATCAAATGTTTTCCGCGAGACTATTCCTGCCACAAGGATCTCACAGCGGAGACCAAAACAAGGGGGATCAAACGTTTTATCTGGATGGCGTTGACCAAGCCGCAAAGGCGAAAATGGAAAGGTCAAAGATCCATAATGATAGACGGGTTGCATGGTCAATGGTGGTTGGTGGTCAAGATGAAGCAGAGACACGGAACCAAGGAGCCATTGCTGGGCGTGGTAGAGATGTTTTGACTGGTCATCGGAATGTAGAGATTCTTTGGTGGCAGCACAACCAATCTTGGCTGGCGGCTAGAATGCAGTGGGCTCTCAGGAGGAGGAGGATGCTTCTTTATGGTTCTTCGCAGGTGGTCAGGATAATAAGAAGATTGAACCTTGTTTAACGGTGCGAATTACTCGCAGTCCATCCGGATGCCAGAAGGCTTGTTGGTCAATGACTTTGGTAGTGAGTGGTCAGAAAGGCTAAGTCGAAAAGGTTCGTAGGTGGATAAGACGTGGTCGTTCAATGGTTGGTGGTGAATGGTAGGGGGATGGTGATACGCCTGTTGATGAACAGGCCAAGAGGGAATTTCCATTTTGAGAACAGGGTGGGTGGTTTAACGCTCGAGTGGACAGGCTCGTTGGTTGCGATGCTGAGTTGTAGATGATAATCATGAGGGCCATGACCGAATGTGTCGACTGCAATATCAAGTTTCTGATGGATAAAGGTAGGTAGATGGAGGATCCAGGATGGAAAGGTAGATGGAAGTTAGTTTCAGTAGCGCATGGTGATAGATAATGAGGCCTGAACGGCTGGTTGTGGGACGGTGGTCAATGACGGTTGGTTGAAGACGAAGGATATGGCAAGATGGCTATGATAGGAGGCATGGAAGACAGCATGTGGAGAAAATCGATATGATGGTGTGTGTAAGAGCCAATATGGGAAGGTCAATTGATGAATAGGCGGATTGCAATTAGTGACAGATGGTCGCGGATACGATATTGGTGTTAAGGCGAAATTGGAGGGACCGTAGAGTAAGAATAAGATTGCAAGAGGTTTCATGCGGAGGCATAGCGGGCAGTGGAAATGGTTGTTCATTGTCGATGAGAAGATGGAGACAGTTGACTGTTTCTGGAAAGGCTAAGAGGGTCTGAAGGCCTTGCGGAGGATACTCTTGATGGAAGGTGGAACTGAAAGTCGAGGGGGTTGATGGTCGATGGCAGCGCGGCATTGGGAAGGCCTCAGTAGTGGCAGTGGACTGAGTGAAGCAGGTTTCCCTATCCAGCCTTCCGATTGCCCTGAAGCCAAAGAGGCCCGCCACGGCAAGGCTGGATATAGGGGAATGGAGGTGGTCAAGCGGATGTGGTGGAGTAGTGGCGGTTGCTATACCCAGTCTCCCGATTGTCCTGAAGCCACGAGGCCCGCCACGGTGAGACTGAACATAGGTGGTTGGAGGTAATGGAGTGGAGAGCTGGGCGGTTGCCGTTGCTATATCCAGTCTCCCGACTGTCCTGAAGCCATGAGGCCCGCCACGGTGAGACTGAACATAGGTGGGTGGATGTAGTCGCGGTTTGGTGGTTGCGGTTGCTATATTCAGTCTCCCGATTGTCCTAAGGCAGAAGCCCGCCACGGTGAGACTGAATATGGTTGAGTGAAAGCAACTTGAAGGTGTGGGACAACGAAAAGTTGAGTCGAAGGAGGAGGGTCGCACGCACAGACAGGAGACAGAGAGAGGAGAGAGGAGAGAGGAGAGAGCAGAGGGGGGAGGAGAAGTGGGGGATGAGAAGAGGGAGGATGAGAAGAGGGAGGAGACAAGCAGTGTGGACGAAAGGAAGAGAGGTGGAGAAGAGAAGAGGAACAGGAAGAGAAGGAGAGGAGGAGATATTTATACCCTGAGGATGGGTATTGTGAATTTGAGGACCTATCCAAGTCACACTTGCTCAGTCACAGGACTTGTGTTCATTTGCTGTCTTGGGGGTTCTTCTTGCTAGTTCCAGTCCTGACTTCCTACGAGTACTACGAGTCACTCAGCAATACATCCAGTTTCGAGCTTGTACGCAGTCTTCCTCCACTCCGTATATTTACACAAGGACAAGCTCTACTATGGAAAGTATAATATCACATACCTATCATGTCAGAGACACGTGTCGTAGTGGGAGTATTGGGGCAATTTGTAAGAATAGCCTTGCCAGTTGGCGTGAGACTTGCCAGTGGGCTGGAGGCCTGCCAGTTGGCGGGAAGCTCACTAAACGCGTTTTGAACTCGACACCCACGCCAGGGTATTGGATAGTGTACATGCTCTCTAGCTTCTCCCTCTTTGAACCAACTGCTCTCCATGTATATAGCATTTTGTCCGTCCGTAAGGACTGTGGCTCGGAGGGCCCTTATTCGGGTATCATACCAATACCTTCATCTCAGAAGCCCACATGCATACCGTACCCTACTTGTTATTGACATATCACAGTCGCATTCAGTCTCGAACAAAACTCTCTGGGACTGAACGAGCAGACAATTCCTCTTAATCTCAAGGCCAGTACATGAAAGATCGGCTCGGGACGAACGTACAACTCCGTGTCCCCGTCACATCTTGGCTTCGAAAACATCAACAATCTCCTGCACTGCAGCAGCCACTTCATGTGGTCGCGACAAGAAAGGGCTGTGGCCTGATCCTTCTAGGGTGTGGACTACCCACTTTTCCAGGCCACCTGCACCGGCCACCATATCATCCTGCAGTTGAATTGGAATAACAAGATCAGCGGTGCACCTAATGTACCCCAACCTGCCAACATAAGAGTCATCCTCCCAGGCCTGCGGAGGCACAATACCCATATTCGCAGCCATACTCTGAGGCCTCAGCCGCGGCATTGCCCAATTGACTTCATCCGCCGCCACATCAGGAGGATAAAAGAAACTGCGCGGATCATTGACGAGGAAAAGACCTTCACTCGGCACATCCCACGTCGCATATGGTAAACCACCCATATCCCGAATGACAGCGCCTTGATCCATGCCCCCGGGAAAGACATAGGCACACAAAGCAATCAAACCCAGCACACCTTGATCTGCCAAACCCTTGATCGCCGCGCTCGCAATCGGTCCTCCGTAGGAGTGCGCCAGGACCACGACACGCTCATCCGCAGATAAATGGGATTTTACGACGGAGCGTACGTAGGCTGCGTCGTCGAATTGCGTTGTGCCTGCTATACCGCTGGTGCAGGGTAAGTCTACGGCTTCTACTGCGTAGCCGAGAGCCTCGAGGGCGGGGATCTGGAATTTCCAGCACCATGCGCCGTGCCATGCGCCATGCACGAGGATGATGGTTGGTTTGGGGGGTGACATGGGATCAGTGGTGCTGGTGTAGTTGTGGTAGGGTGATATATGTTGGTTGTAAACGGCGGACCTGTGAATTACTGTATCGGGTTAGTTTTGTCGTTTTGGGTTTAGCGTCTCAATACGTCGTCACGTAACCTCCGCTCAATGCTCCCGACTTAAAGACCCAATCTCACCCACTTTCCTTTCTCCATCCCCTCTATCTTGCACCCATCGCCGCCCCCTTTCTTTCTTTCTTTCTTTCTCGCCTCCGCCGACCACTACGCATTGGCATTTAGCCCGACGCACTGCCCCTTTCATTTTACCGAAAATGCCGCTCCATCCGACGCCCAGCTCGTTCTGGCCGGCATGGGCTGCCATACCAGGAGCAGAACCCCTGGGATGATTCAGCCCGCAGCCGCATCGTTCGGTTTTGTGTCGATGCTCCCTCCTACTCTTTTCCAAGGGTGTGACAGTACACCGTGCCACGAAGCTATCTAGGTCGCCTTCTCTGCTAGAGCGCCTTGCTCGTTGAGCGTCACTCATTCCACCAGCCTCCATTGCATCTGCAAAGTTCCGGCATACTATCTTCGATGCCGCATGCCCCGCTCCACCCGCCCCATCTGAGGTTACATTTGCACAGCCCCTGATGTCGCAGAACGACTGTCCGTTGCCTTGTCGCGAATCCCGTGGCGCCCAGTTGTCGTCATCGTCGGTCTCTCCGGTCTCTCTGAACCCAGACGACGAGTTTTCGCACGCACGTCTCGGTGATGCGGACCAATAGCGAAAACACCGCACGCGAAAGACCCGGCTTGCCCTGTCTCTCCACCCCTTCCTTGCACTCGTCGCTGCGCATCTGAAATTTCGCTGGTCAATCCGGCCTCACCGTACACCCCAATCGTCTCACTATTTTCCTCTCGGTCGGGAATGTGGCTGAAACCCTGTTGCCTCGCTTTCAGCTCGTGAAATCAGTATTATTTGGCCTCTGCACAACATGTGCCATGAAGAGGACGTTGGGTTCTTGGGGAGCATTTTCTGAGCGATGTGGAGTCAACTACTTTCTCACTGAGTGCTGACCCAATGCAGTGCGCTCGTTCTACAAGTGCCCGAATTGCTCGATGCCTCTTTCTCTTGAATGGCTTTATTCGAGTATTTGATTGGTGATTTACTAACTCATGTGAGCGCAGGTGCTGCGCCCTCTTGCAACTGTCCAATGACAAAAGTCCTGCACTGATGATCTTCTTAGGCTCATACTTGAGCCTGGTGGCCTAGAACCCGCAGCCTGGGCGCAACCTCAGAGTGGGCCGAACGAGTCGCGGCGTGTGGAGTCGGGTCCATGAGCACCCAATTGTCGCCATCGGTCTATCCAGTCCTCTTCCACTATGCATATTTAGGGCTAGCACGCAGTGACATCGGCTAATGGTGGAAATACCGCAGTCATCGTGCGAAAGGGGGGGGTTCAATAATGTTGTCTCCTCAACGACACTGTCAAAAATTAAACTAGTTACTGATGTAGACTTCTTCTCGTCTCCCTACCAATGACAACAACCTCCGACCTTACTAGGTAGCGCAGTGCTGGATTTCACGTGTGCGGATTTTGGTTGATTCTGAGAAGCTGTGATGGTGCTGAAGGGGACGGGCGAAATGGGGTTCAAAACGACAGCATGGGTTATTACAGTATAGCCAAACCATGACCGATGCTTTTGTTGTAGTTCCTGGTGCTATTGAGGGCATCCAATTAACATGATTGAACGGATCGAACTGCATCTACCAAAGATTTCTGTATTCGCGCACCTGTAGGTTCCCTAGGAATTATGGATTTGATCTCTTAGGAGCGACCAAGAGCGTGCCTAGGAATCATGGTATGGATCCTGGGGCCGGATATGATCCTAGGAACGTCTCACTCGCGTGATAATAAGCGGGATCTAAAACGCAGGCAATAATTCGCGGGCGGCAAAAAGATGAGGTGATTAAATCGGGCAAAGAGTATAATGCAAAGACACTGGTTGGAGAAAGCATGAAGTTTAACGGACAAGAACAGATTTGCAGCCGGTGATCAAAAAATTAGTTGTCGCAGAAATGTCAAGCTTAGCCACCGTTCATTGCTTGTGGTGATATTTTCCTGCAAATATATGCGCGAACATGTGTAGCAAATGGTCTTACTATACGGCGGCCTGTCAATGCAGGTCGTGTACCCAAAAGAACCGATACGACCTTGGGATTCTTACTGAGGAGATGTCTCAATATCAAGATGAAAAAAAAGCAAAGATTCGGATATTTGACCAATAACTCAAAACCAAGTGGGCCGTCAAATTCGAAGGCATAAAAAAACGCTCCAGCAAACCCGCACCGCCAATCCAACTTCTAGGAGGTAAAATCGTGGTTTTAATCTACTCTATAAATTTTATTGAAATATCTGAGTATATAAAAAACTATAATATATACAATACAACTTGCAATAAATCCCTTATCGAAATATACTATGTTGTGTGGTATTTTTATTAACTTATCAAATAATGCTGTAACAGTTTGAAGATATATGTTTAAGTCAGTGGTATATGCCTGCCAATTTTCTATAAGTAAAATTCTACTCATATATTCTGCTTTATCTCTCGTTTAGGTATAATTCTCATAGGTAGATCGAAAGATTATAACTCTTATTCTACCAGCTTATATCACTAAATACCGTCTATTTGTTACGCGGTGCCTACTGGTCACTGTGAGTAGAGCTGCCTTAGGGCTATACTTGCCTAGTTCCACTGCGGATCCCAAGAGTATCTCGCAACCGTACCGCTGCTGTGCTAAGCCTTACACGGGCTCGGGTTCTATTGAGTATCTTGCAGGACGTGCCAGTAGTGCGCGCCAAGTAAGTCAGTCACTAAGTGTTACCACAGAGTGAGCTCCCCTACTTGTAGGTTGGGTTGTCTTAAAGGTGAACTGTGAAGTGTGCAAAGTACTGAAGGTAGTAACCAAGTAACAATGTATGATTGATCGCGAAGAACTAAGTACATGGTGGTAAATGAGTGTCCTTATATATCCAGTCCTCCGTGGTGTGGTCTACAGTTGGGAATGGCGGGTGGTATACTGGACTAGTTAGTTGTTCCCGTAGTCCATGTGATATACCCAACTGTATACCCCGAGGTCACGTGCGGTGGCGGCCCTTGTCTGCATCGCGTTAACCGGCCCATCATATAGACGAGTATTGTTTGGGACGGTCAGTTGCAGGCCGCTTCTGGCTCCTTTGTTGGAGTGGTCTTCTTGGGGCCCTCCCGGGCATGCCCAAGTATACCGGAACGCATGTGATGACGCTAGTGCCTGGCGTCCGGGGAATGATTGGCTCTCGGTGGCCCCTCAAATATCGGCGGCCCCCGCGCTCCCTCGAGGTCCGTAACACTATTCTACCACTAAAAGACTTATATTATTATTCTGGGAGTTTTAAATCCTTCGATTGTAACTTGAGATGCCCATGGACAAAAGACCCTTATAGCCAGTGTACATGCGGAGAGCGCCTGGAAGGACTTATATCGGCCCGAATGAAAATTTCTTTGATCCTTCGGGGCGAGACTGTGTACGACCTTACTCAGGAGAGAATCGATGGTGGCTTTTGGGTGAAGGACAGTGACAATATCCTTGCACCTCGATTTCGATGTGCGAAAGAATCTCAAAAACAACAAGTCACTTCGAAAAGGCTTTGTGAACATCTTCCAACTTTCCGTGGAGTGTCTCAAGGCAAACAGGGTTCCCACCGCAGAAAATCACTAACACGATATTTATGACATTCGGCGACGATCTGGCACCCCCCATCTGGGCAGCCCCATTGACAACTACAAGGCCACTCCCTTCTGCACCAGCACTCTGTCCTATAGCCATCGCGCTCCGGGCTGCAATATTTCCGATCCAACTATGAGCGGCAGCGGCTGCAGAACCTATACTTCGTAAAGAATGGTCGTTCAAGCTTCGGGGCGCGGGAAACAGAACTGATTCTGTTGATTTCTCTTGCAATATTACACATACCTGCCTGGATGCCGCCTATTGTGAAACCCATACTCGATAGAACTGGGGCTGTTACGAGGCCAGGGACAGCGAGAACAACGGCACCAGTGGTGCCGACAACCGCGCAGGTAGCTATAATAGGGTTTTGAGCGCCCCAGTTGGCTGCCTGCCGTATTTCAGCGATAGAAGTTAGACCCTTTTCGGCTAGCGCGTACAGTAAATACTACGTTCCAGTCAGTATGAAGAAAACTGAACAGTCATTTACATAGACTAGTTCGCTGCTTGTTGTAGTGTGAGGCCTGCCAGTTCCGGTAAATTCTGCCTTAGGCTCCCAAAGAGATGCAAACCCTGCAAAGCGCTCTTGCTCTTGGTCACAAGGCGGGGAGCGACCCATCACGTGAACAAACCGCTCGCTTCTCCTGCCTGCCACCACTAATCTATTTCCTACAACTGTCCGTGTAAAAAGGTTCTCTTATCATGGCAGCTCACAGACGAAATGGAATGTTGTCATCATGCGAGCCATGCCGCATATCTAAACTGCGGTGCGACCACTCTACCCCGGTGTGTAGCCGATGCACTGCGCGTCATCGAGCGGACCAATGTATCTACCACCCCGCTCCTCTCACCAAAAGTCGAACAACGGGTAGACAGGCAAAGAGTAGGGAAACCTCTGCTAATTCATTATCGTCCCATGAGCTTCTCGACTGGGTTCCCTTGTCGCCTTCAGTCTCTCGTCGTGGGGTTGGATCTCAAACTACGGCAAGAGGCACCGATTCATTCGCGCGGCCAAGGTTTTTGGCTCCGACAAGCCATTTTGAGTATTTCCATGAAAATAAGCTAAGCCCTGGACCGCGGGTTGGTTCTTTCTGTGGGTCGACTGCTGAAACACTTGACCCGAAACAGGTGGAAATAGGAGCTCAAATCTTGTCATTGCTAGACGGGCTTCCCTTTTTTGCACAGGTACTTGAGAGACGCTTTTCTCTTTATGAGGGGTGGATATTTGGTCCACAAATCACCCGAGAAACCCTAAAGACGTTGGCAACGTCTTATCATCACGCTATTCAAAGTGCGACCACTGAGGACAGGCATGCCCGTCTATTAGAGTGGTCAAAGGTTATATTTCGAAATACCGCTACAACCGTCGAGACCCAGGCGGTGATGAACTTGCAGGAGTATATCTCAATTATAGCTCCAAGATGGGACACTATTGGACTCATATTTGCCTTGCTGGGCACGGCAACCTATCACATTCACTCCGATGACGCCGTCTTCAGGGGGGACGAACTGCCAGGAAAAGACAAAAGAGAACTGCGAACGATTACAGTGGCGGTCAGTGATATGTGTCTGCAATTCTGCAGTAGCGCAAGTGCGATTAGTGATCCTCTTTGTTGGGCAACAATGCAGCATATTTCTTTCATGCTAGAGATGCACGGCTCTACTGGTAAGTGTTTTATATGCTCATCTCCGAAACTTGTAACTCACCGCGTTGAAGACCATAGGATATGGCAGAGATTAGGAGATGTTACAACGTTAGTATTCGCCCTTGGTCTTCACCAGCGTGAAGTCGACGAACGAGCCCCATTCTTTCTGTCCGAGATTCGCAAGAGAACCATGGTAGCAGCGTACTCCATGGATAAAGAACTGGCAACTTTCCTGGGTCGGCCGCCTCGGATCTGCCGGCGGTATTGCAATTTCCATATCCCTCTAGATATCGGCTGGGAGGATCTCCTAGCCGATGCCTCTACTCGAGATGCTGTGGTTCAGCGGCTCGACGCTAATGGCTGGGATAGTCGGGGCGGCTCCGAGGGTGCAAAGCCCCGTGTCTCTATGCTTTCAAACATCTATCGAGAGATGATTCTGGAATTGTCTTTCAGTCGTGAGATGGACAATTTGATGCATAAGATCGAGTCTGTTTTCCACTCTGTACTTTGCAACAACTCTATCATCTGACTTTCCTCGACTGCGCAGGGAGATCCGTCATGAGTCGAATCATATGCGCCTCGGCCTACCAATTTTCCTGCGTTGGTCTCCCGAAAACGAACATCCCTCGGCGGCTTCTCTGCATCTTGAGTTTTTGTATCAAGATTTTCTCCTTTGTCAGATGCTTGTGGAACGCGCAGGAGACGGATCCAACTCGCTGATCGAAAAATCCCTTGAAATCCTAGTGCTGTTACTGGACATAGTCTCTAAGCAAACTCGGGCAGGGAATGTGAGCCATTTCACCATCTTTGATGTTAGTGGTCCATTTAATGTTTGGGACGTGGTCCTGTATTTCCGCTGACTCCCGTTATCCTAGCTATGCTACATCGGTCTACCAGCTGCTGGCGTCTTATCGAAAGAACTACTCCGCCATTCGCAAGAATCTGGGGGCGGACACCCGAGAGAATCAAACTTCGCCCGCTCCGAAATTATCCAACGGCTCAGTGTTTTCGCTGCACAATTAGAAACTTTCTTCCCAAGTAGAGAAGGGGACTACGACACATGCATGAAAGGGTTAGCATTCATTCGGCAGGTCCTTGACATTGTCCTTACGCCTAATACAACTGATTCGAGCATGCTTGGGTGCGACGTTGCTAGGGAAGAAGAAAACGATTTGTTGGCGGGTCCATGTACAGACGATATAGAGCTATTGGCTTTGATGGAAGATTTTGACTGGGAACAGGAGATGCGCCCTTTCTCTAGTTGAATGACTCATCGAACCGATTCAAAGCACCTAGTCGAGAATGAATACCGCTGACGCTATCCAAATTTGAGGGTCAAATGGTTCTAAGGGGGTGGCGACACGTCTTGACCTCACATTGCGGTTGGTGCTGTAGGTGAACACGTCTTTTGGAAACTTGTTCAAAATCCAGCTGTTTGCGTTCTTGATCGCAAAAGGATGCGAAGTCCGGTCAAAGCTTAGTGTGCTTTCATGTCTTCTCGTGCGTGCGAGTGGCGATTGACGGTTCTATCTTATCATGACGTAGAGCCCCGGTCAAAGGGGTCGTGTCTCAAGTTGAAACCCCGTAATAGGATATATCATTTTGTGATCATCGCAACACCTTTATGACAATGGAAATGAAGCGTTTTTACCTCTTGAAACTTTTTCATGCTTACCTCCAGGGGTCTTAAAGGGGGATTCAGGGCGCCATTGGTTTAGCCCCTCAAGTTGGGGTGTACTCATTATATATATCCTTGGGTCGACAGGTGAGAATCTGCCATCTCTGTTGCAGCCCCAACCGAGTTTGCACGCGGGACATCCATGATGATCCATCCCATCGAGCCATAACGACGCCAATCAATTGTATTCCAAACAATCAAGGTTTTTTGTGAATTTGGTGCCCAAAGCTCAAGACGAACAACGTCGGACATTCTACCTCGCGCTTACTACGTCCATTTCAACACAAGACAAATGCCAACCGCTGGATAGGGACAAAGTAGAGCATGCATTATGCAGGATAGTAAACATGTTCATTTGATACCCATATAGATGAAGACTTTCACATGCCCAAAAATCCATATCTTTCGATCAACTTCCCTAGGCTGTCAACAGAAACAACGTCTCTCGCAACATAACGCAGTCATATGCGCTTGAATGACTCGAGATAGATAAGCAGTCTTGTTAGCCGCGTTCACCAGCATCTTCAGTTCGGTCCCTATTGAATTGCCCCCAGAATTGCTCTGATTGGTCAGCGCGATCCGGAAAGGACTAGGCGGTCAAAACTCGCGTAACGGCTCTTCCGGTGGACTGCATGCACCTTTTGGGTCTTCAGGCAGATCCTTGGCGTTGGCACTCTATGATTACTGTGGAGGGTCCTTGATGACCAGCCTTGCCACAACCTCAGCCAAAGCGAACAGGCTCAGTGTGGCCGCGTCCATCTTTGCTGCATCGATCTGGCAACTACGCTCCACTTCCCACTGTGAAACGACTGCCGTCATTTTGTGCCCATGCGGCCAAACAGCTACTTTCAGGGCTTCCCACCCATCGATCTTAAACACTTTGAGTAACAAGATGTCCGCACCTAAGGCAGCGAGTGCTCTTCCGCGACTTCCCAGATATTAAATTCCTTCAAGGTACTATTAGGCATGAGCGCCACTCGCTTTCTCTTTGCTGACCCTGAGGCAAGCACTTATCGGCCGAACAATCGCTACAACTACCCCCTCAGTGATAATGAACCTCGATGCGAGGGTGTAACTAACCGAGAGCTCTACTGGCTCCCAGACCAAAAACATTTGACCCTCCCAACAGTAGCACCCCGTCAGACCCAGAAAATGGCACGAGAGAACCGACAGATAATTTCCAACAGTGGCTCGACCGACGGGAACTGCTGCTTCACTTAAGTGAATATTGACGAGCACCACTTTGCTTTCTGTGTGCCGGACGAGAAAGATGGACTGTCCTTGGAAATCGCCACCACTATCGCCTCATACGACGGCCATGGATTCTGGAGCAGCGCTTGAATTTGCCAACTTGGAATTGATCTTTCGGCTGTACTGGATCGGAAAGAGTCAAAGTAGAAGGGACTATTGCTGGATTAGGCTGGGATACGGACGATGGTTCAGAAGGACGAGGGGTTCTTTTTGAAAGTGGACCCTCGAACCGCGCATGGACAGGTTTGACATACTGGCGGGTCACTGGGACTTTGGCGAGGTCTAAGCATACCCCCAGTGTACTTACCTGCTCTGGTAAGCTTACCTCCAGGTGCAAAGCCTACCTGCTCTGGTAAGCTTACCAGACCCGGTAAGCTTACCTCCTGAGATCTTATTCATAGGTGCCACGTCTCCCCCACCAGGAAATGGGTTCCTCTTTGACACAAGAATCTCAAAGTAAATGAGATCAAGATCGTCGCAAGATAGAAGAAGAGGATGTTAGTAGCTGACGCTGGGCTTTGAATTTACACCTAAGCTAACATGCGATATTATCACCTAAAGTTGGTGATACTAGTGATCTTTTAGATTCAAATCGTCTTGAAGGACTTTTTTTGCGATTGAACATGAAATTGACGGACAGAATGAAGCCTGAGGCTTTTTGCCGTTATACAAATGCCGGCCCGGTCGAGCAATCGTTTGCGCAAGGTCGCTTGTGGTTCCTGAACCGATTATACCCCGACTCGACGTGGTATCTCGTTCCACTTGCGTTGCGCATGCAAGGACCACTTCAGCTCGCTGCCTTGAATGCCGCGTTGCTTGCCTTGGAAGAGCGCCACGAGTCGCTCCGTACGACTTTCGATCAATTAGCTGGCGTGGATGTACAGCTAGTGCAGCCACCAAAGGCACAACACCTTCACGCCACCACCATACCCATCAACGATGAAACAAGCCTTTTCCAGGCCTTACATCGAGATTGGGCAACTCCCTTCAATCTGGCAGACCAGCCAGGATGGAGGGTCTCGATCTACCAACTCGGCGAAGAAGAACACGTGCTCTCTATCGTTATGCATCACATCATCTCGGATGGCTGGTCGCTTGACATCCTGCGGCGTGAATTGGCAACGTTCTACTCCGCAGCAATCCGAGGGCAGGATCCTCTGTCGACAATTGATCCCCTGCCGATCCAGTACCGGGATTTTTCTGTTTGGCAAAAGCAACAGGAGCAGACGGAGGAGCATCAGCGCCAGCTGGAGTATTGGGTTAAGCAGCTACAGGGAAGCCGCCCGGCCGAACTTTTGTGTGATAACCCGCGACCGACAATACTATCCGGAAAAGGAGACGTGCAGGAGATAGCCATACAAGGCAGTCTGTACCAAAGCCTGCATCATTTCTGTAAGGCCCACCAGGTGACCCCCTTTGTCACTCTCCTAGCGGCATTTAGAGCAGCATTCTACCGTATGACGGGTGTCGAGGATGCGACGATTGGCACCCTCATCGCGAATCGAAACCGACAAGAGCTTGAAGGCCTTATTGGCTTTTTTGTGAATCTGCAGTGCATCCGATCCACAGTGCAAGGGGATTCATTTGGAAGCCTGGTGCAGCAGATCCGGTCGACCGTTGCAGATGCACATGCCAATCAGGATGTCCCCTTTGAAAGGATTGTTGCGGACCTGCAGTCGGAAGCCAGGGACGCCTCGCGAAACCCAGTGGTCCAGACGGTGTTCAGTGTACACTCTGAAGGAAATTCTAACAACTTTACTTTAGAGGATCTGGAAGTAGAGCGAATGCCTTTCGTGCCGACATCGCGGTTTGACCTTGAGTTCCACCTATTTCAGGGAGAGGATAAACTGGATGGAAGCATTCTCTTTGCGACAGAGCTCTATGAGCCAGCAACAATCAACTCGCTGGTCTCAACCTTCTATGAGTTACTAGAGCGGGGCCTAAAGGAGCCTCAGACGCCGATTGCCTCATTGGCTCTTAGCAATGGCCACTCGATGCTTCACGAGATGGGGCTCGTTGAAGTTGAACGGACAGACTATCCGCGCGACTCGAGTGTCGTCGATGTTTTCCGTAGCCAGGCCGTCATTTCTTCTAGCAAGGTAGCCGTCAAGGACTCGACCACTGAGCTAACATATGCCCAGCTACACGAGAAGTCCGACGAGCTGGCTAGCTGGCTAGCTGGTTAAGACGGCGGAGACTCGCCCCCGAGAGCCTTGTCGGCGTGTTTGCGCCTCGGTCATGCGAGACGGTTGTTGCCTTCCTTGGGATCCTCAAGGCAAATCTAGCCTACCTACCACTCGATGTCAAGGTGCCAAAGGCCCGCAACGAGACGATCTTATCTTCTATTACAGGCCGCAAGTTGGTCCTGACTGGATGTGATATACCGACCGCAGCAATTCAGTTTGAGGATGTCGATTTCGTTCCAATTGCTGAGGCTTTGGGCCAGTTTACAGAGACTGTGGAACCGGCAAACGACGCGATCGTTGCGACCGATGGACCTTCTGCGACCAGCCTGGCGTATGTGATGTTCACGTCCGGGTCTACGGGTCGGCCGAAAGGAGTCATGATCGAGCACCGCGGCATCGTACGGCTGGTCAAGCATAGCAATGTTGTGGCAGATCAAGATTTGACTGCTCCTGTGGCGCATATTTCCAATATTGCATTTGACGCATCCACTTGGGAGGTCTATAGCTCTTTACTCAATGGAGGAACCTTGGTATGCATAGATACCATGACGATGCTGGACATCGTCGCTTTGGAAAAAGTGTTTTGTCAAGAGAACATTCGAGCTGCTCTATTTACTCCAGCCTTTTTGAAGCAATGCCTGGCTAGTACACCTGCTATTTTCAGTCAACTGAATTTCCTTTTTTCTGCTGGGGATCGCCTAAGTATGCAAGATGCAATCAAGGCAGCTCGGCTTGTGAGAGGCAGTCTTATCAACGCATATGGCCCGACTGAGAATACCAGCTTGAGTACCATCTACCGCATACCTCGAAACGGCAGCTCCCCCAATGGCATCCCGATCGGTCGGGCAGTCAGTAACTCGGGAGCATATGTCATGGATCCGCATCAACGCCTCGTCCCGTTGGGGGTTATAGGAGAGTTGGTCGTTACAGGAGATGGCGTGGCACGGGGATACACCGACCCAGAGAGAAACCGCAACCGCTTCATCCAAGTAACCATCAATGGGCAGTCGATGAAGGCCTACCGGACCGGTGACTATGCGCGATATCGCCCAGTAGATGGCCAGCTCGAGTTCTTTGGCCGCATGGATTTCCAGGTCAAGATTCGAGGCCATCGTGTCGAACTGCCTGAAGTGGAACATGCGCTGCTTGCGGATGAGTCCGTAAGCGATGCGGTGGTACTGGTCCGGGAGTCAGAGGGTGAGGACCCGGAGCTTGTCAGCTTCGTCACGATCTTCGGGAACCAGAGTGCTAGTGAGACAGGCCAGCTAGGAAGCGACGGGGATGAAAGTCAAGCCCACAGAAACGGGCACGCAGAGCTATATGACACTGACCCGCCCTTGGATACTAGACACTCGCTAGTGGCGGGCAAGCTTCGCCAACAATTGCAGTCCAAGCTGCCGTCCTACATGGTCCCGTCGGTCATCCGCATTCTTGACAAGATGCCAATCAACGCCAATGGAAAGGTTGATCGCCAAGTCCTTACAGAGAACTCCCATATGCTTGCGCATGGTAGAAAAACGTCTACCCTCCATGTTCCTCCGCGAAATGATGTGGAGCGGATCATTTGCGAAGAGTTTGGAAGCATGCTTGGGACTGACGTGGGGATTACAGATAGCTTCTTCGATCTAGGCGGCCATTCTTTGTTGGCCGCAGGGCTTGTATTTCGACTCAACAAGCGGTTAACCCACAAGATCTGGGTCTATGATTTGATGCAGTCGCCTACGCCAGCTAGTCTCAGCGAGATAATCGCGACAAGAAGTAACTCCGCTCAAAACGCTCCTGCACATCTGGAAACACACTCCCGACCGAACAGCCGATTGACTTTGGTGTTGGTTCACGGCCTCTGGGGTCAGGGCAGCATTTTCTTACCTTTGGTCGAGACATTGGACAAAGCTCTTGACGTCCTCCTTCTTCACGATCCATTCTTCGGAAAACCCGACTGCCCCAACTCTGTGATTGAATGGGCAGAGTTCTATCTACAAGATGTGCTCAAACAGATTCCCGAGGGCCACGCAGTGATTTTCGGTGGTTATTCATTTGGTGGTCTGATAGCATTTGAGATGGCTTCCCTGTGGCGGCGCCGATATGGGATCAACCCTGCCTCTCTGATCCTTTTAGACGCCGCCATTTACACTCCCGTGAAGATCTCGGCTTTTGATAAAGAAAACGAGAATGAAGTGGCGTACGCCATGCAACTATTTGGACAAAACGAAGAAGACTTCGTTCTCAATCATTTCAACAAGGTGGCGCCGCTGATGTATAGCTCTATTCAATCACCCAAACACCACGGCGCATGTCTCTATCTCATCACACCTGAAGCCGCTGTGGCTGGTGCGGCAAACTGGTGGGCTGCCCGCTGTCCTAAGCTTCACACACATTCTCTCCCTTGTTCCCATCAAGCTGTTTTGGGGGATGCCATGGTAGGACGGGTAAGCGCGCTCATTAATGAGCACTGCCGCTGGGTTGTTGAAAGTCTTGATTCTTATGCTTCTTGACCGAGCTCTTCATGAATGGGCGTAAGCGCTGAGTTTATCCAAGAAGAATTAGTAGCAATCGATATTGATTTCATTCTTCACAATAATGAAACTGTAGCTCGGGAAACCCTGTCAAGGATATGCATGAGACGTACATGGGAAATAAAGAGGAGGTTCCCCTGAATGCGAGGAAGCCGCCTTTGAGTGGCTCGACGTGCATTATACATACTCGCAAGATGAAGCTCGGTGAGGAAGCATCAATTTGCTACGAAATTGCTTGGCCAAGCAAAAACAAATACTTGGGCTAAACCATCCGAACACCTTGTCTAATTCTCGAACACTACTGGAATGGGAAACAGAGAAGCTTAAGATCGATGCGTACTACGACATGGTATTTCTGGGAGCCCGTGCACTCCCAGAAACCATACCTTCATTCCCAGGTAACTAGCAGCCTTTAGCCGTTGGTAAAAGTGGACATGGCTATAAAAGTGCGTAAAGGACGAGTTTCTGCGACTATAGTAGCTGGGCCTTTCATAGGTTGTATAAGTATTATCACTCTTGCTCCGTCTCCTGTCTTTGCAATAATAACCCGAACCCCCTCGAGGCGGCGGTCCGTCTTACTCCGTTTGAGTGTGAGCTGCGCATGGATTAACTGGGACGGGAATATGACGCCGGAGCGCGCGTGCTTTGTCACGAAAAGACAGAACGCGATGAAGCCTATCGTGCCTCCCGGCTCGGTCAGCTTGAAAGCTCTGTCCTCCTGATTGGCTCGGTGACTGACTTCTCTTCGAAGCGTACGAGTTCGGTCGTCTTCAACTTCCATCAATAGACGCGGGCAAGAAGTGCAAGGGGACACCCGAAATATGTCGATAAATGGTTTTAAGTCAATGGGCGGCTCTCGGTTTTCCTCGAGGATATCTTCATCTTGCAGGTCATGCGAAGTCTCATTCGGCGGTGGCCGATCTCTTGCGTCCATTTCAGCATGTCTGGTCCATTCTCTCTGTATTTATCCTAGCCAGCTGGCACGGTCTGCCGCGCTCATTGTTTCCCAAATGTGGGCTTGGGGCCGTGCCGAGTTGAGTGGGACAGGCGTGACATTGCTAGACTGGCCGAGCGTCATGGCGGGGAGAGTGATAAAGGCTTATTGGTGTTGTTGTCGTAGGCAAAGGACCTAAACAAAATGAGATTTGACTACGTGAGAGATGACAAGCTACTGACGGAGACGAGCAATTGACTCCCGTGAGACAGTTGCGGGGGAAGCTCCTCCAGTAGGCTCAGTGTGGCCATCACGTGGAACAATCCCAATAGAAACTAATTTTAGGATGTATTGCTCTATGTCTCTTGCTTATACTAACATCTCGTTCTTTTTGACACTGCTGCATGGCATAATGGTCTGCTTTGGCACAAGTGCACGTAGATAAATTTTCGTTTTAGCTTTTGGTGAATGGATATGGCTTTGGACAGCGACTTCAAGGGGAGCCTGTGTATAGCACTACTTAGTCTCCCTTCCCTGAGTCTGCTCACACTCGCTGCCCGTGGAGCAGATTTTCATTGTCGTCCTCGTTCCTTCATCCTGCTATCCCCCCAAATTTTCTGGCTCGTAACCCACACCCTTCATCACAGTCAAGTGTATCCGCCCGCGAAATTGGTTTCTCATTCTCTCGCGACGATATCAAAAAGTTCGACATTTCATAGATCCACCTGAAATCTTGAATCCAAACGGATTTTGGCCCCATATTTGACCAAAAAAACAGAGAAAGGCGCAAATGCAATAGCAATGAATGCCAGAAGACTGTTACCCCAACCTAGTCCCAACCGAGCATAGAGTGGATTTCCAGCGAGAGGGATTAATGCCCCGAACAATGACCGAACCACAGTATTAGCAGCGATTGCACTGGTAGCATAGATGGGGAATGCATCAATTAGATAAATCTGAATCGGAAGGAAAACAAACTCCATCCCGATGGCTAAAAATCCTGTGCCGACTATTGGGATCATCCAGTGGGACTGGGCTTGAGCCGACCAGCCGTACCATAGGAGACCAACGGGAACTAGACAGGAACCTAAAAGTAACGGAGGCAGGCGGTCTTCTGGCTGAGTTGATCCATAGATCTTCTGTTTCTTCCTCACGTACCAGTCTGAAAAAGGGCCGACGGAGAACTGGCCGAAGCAGTATCCAACACCGAATCCTAGGTAAGCTAACCCTGCTTCACCTGAATTGAAGCCATATAGGCTCTCCAGAACTTCAGTGAAGGTTGTTAACAACAGGTACATGTAGCTGTAAATGACCGCGAGGTAGAGAGACAGGATAAGCACAATAGGAGATTGTGTCAACATTTTCGTTGGCCTCGCAATGGAGGTTACGATCAGCTGCCTCCCAGTTTGGCCCTTGTCGAATTTCGTCTGTATATTGCGACCGGTTTCTTGTCGTAGTCTCCTCGCTTTCATGTGAAGAATAGTTGGCGCATATGTCTCTCTCATAAGGCAGTAGCATGCGATCGTGGCTAAACCTTGCTGATTCAACATTAGCACACAAAGATACAGAATAGCCTTGGTCATGTAATACAAGAATTGCTACTAGCCAAAATGTCCATCTCCATCCCGAACGGAGTGCCATATACCCTCCGATAACCGGACCTGCGAGTCTATTGTCAGCTTCGAGCAAGGTAAAAATGCCAAAATTGACATAGTCGTACCGACTGCTGGACCCTGATCAAGCTTGTTAAACATGCTCTAAAAATATTGACAAACGACGAGTCATACCAATAGAGGCCCTACGGCCCAGATTGTGAGGGCTGTACCCCTTCTCTCAACCGACATGAGATCTGCAATAATACCCCCCCCCAGGGTGACTGGCACACAGCCAGAAAGTCCCATGAGCAATCGGAACACGATTAGCATCGGTACATCCACTGATACTGCACAGATAACTGTCGCGATTAAGAAACTGATATTTGACACATGGGTGATTGGAAGCCTCCCATAGATTTCGCTGGTCGGTGAAAATATCAGAGGTCCAATAACAAACCCAACGATGTAAACTGACACCACAAATGTGGAGAGTTGAGAGTTTGTATTGTTAAAGTTGCGCAGCATTTGCGGAACTCCTGGGGTGAAAATGCTCGCTGCCATTGATCTATTTTGAAATTTCAGTTACTACACTTTGGATGTACAATTCATAATTGGAGAGCATACACATTAAATGTATTAAACGATACCAAGGCTATGATTGACCATTTTCGAGCATCAGGCCAGTTCATTGGATTGGAGAGATCGTCTGGTCCATCCCAGTCGATGCAGTTGCTGGTCTCGTCGTCTCCTGGAACTGAATATTCAATTGAAGGCCGTGCATCCTCGCCATGTGCTTCGAACTCGGGTTCAGGTATTCCTTTATTCATGTTCAAGAGAACGTTGATGGAGAATAAAATTGACAAACAAATTGATGGGACTGTGCAGTGGCATGTATCACTAATGGGCTTTCAAAATTGCCACCAAGAAGATGGATACTTCGTATAAATATCCATAAGCTATCGGAGCTCGGAGCTGACAACTCAATTCACCGAATGTAGGCGCTTTGAGGTAGCTGATCTGCTTGCTAGGTACCACGCTGATAGAATGTACATCCATCGGAGCTCGGAGCTCGGAGCTCGGATTTCGGAGCTCGGATTTCGGAGCTCGGAATAGACAAGCACGCGAGAGCAGATGCATTCGCTTCAGCGTAGCTCTGATTTCGTCTCATCATTGGTCGCAGATAGCGAGCTCAAGCGTGAAGGCATATTGCTTTGACTGCAGGTCAACCAAAAGAATTGTATGCGGTCCCATAGTTCTCCCCTTTGCTTCCTGGTATTCTCTTTGCCTAAGCCTAGTCCGGCCGAAAAAAATGTTCATTGTGGCCAATTATGATTTATAATATAATAGCTAACGCATGAACTTGTGCAGCCCCGGAGCGCTCGCTACGAGACTAGGGGTCAGGCAACTCTTGCGCCCGATGAATTTTTCACTCAGTGAGGGAATAATGTAAAGCCACCGGATTCAGTGCAAATCAGTACATATGGTATCGTTCAAGGAGCAATTCTGGTCAGAATTTGGAACTTGAAAGGCTCCAGTGACTCTGCAAACACGACTAACGACCGGTCGAGTATCCCTTTCAGGCGTCGATACATTGTATCTATAGTCAACGGCTAGGAAATTCTGAACGTGGTCACTTTTAATGAATTTCAACCAATCCCCATAGGCTTGCGAGCTCCTAATTTCTGCCGTGTTTGGCTAAGAGCCCGGTATGGGTATTAATTCTTCGGGAAGAGCGCTCTTACAGCATCATTCACCCGATAATGAGGTCCGGCTACTTGAATGTCGATAGCTTACGTGTTAGCTACCATTGTAGGAAGCACGGATGTGTTACTCGAATGATGACACCTTCTGGGGCATGCTCATATTACCAACAATTGCCTAAGAAGGCGACTATTGATTCCTTCTTGATGTACGTTGGTCTGGCGACACAAAGAAAGTGCCTTTTAAGATGAGTTGACATTACAATGAGATATCTTTACCGCCAATAAGGATACCACCACTTGGAGAATCCAGCCTGTTTCAAGCAACGCTATCAGGTGGTTCGAAGTCTTGGCTCTACGCACGTGAATAATAAGGCCCGGAGCTCATTGGAAAAACCGAGACAGGGATTGTAAATTCTTGGTGATCACTTTCTACTTCATGACAGACTAGCTAGCTCATATACAGGAATGATATCGGGTTGGTAATTTAAAGGGCTTGAACACCAATCTCCAGCCTACCAGGATTATTAATCGGTTTCAGGCCCAAATCACGCTGTGTCATGCTGCATCATTTGCCATTCGAGATCTTTACTTGTGGTTATTCCGATAAGCTTTGAAATTGAGTCATTTTTCGAACGATTCCAATTCCGAATTATAGAAATGTTTCGTTCAATATTTGAATGATCCGACCTTGACAATGTGCTAATATGATACGCAGGCAATAATTTTACATGGGTCGATCAGGTTTTGATCGTAAACAACACCGAGAACTCCGGGCCGCTCGTGTGCCAAAACAAGCTTTGATATGAATGACAGCTAAGCGGAAGACCAGACCTAAAATGGGAATCCTTGAAAAGAGATAAATGTTTCCATCCTACAACGATAAAACCTGATTCGGTTACATGAAGTAGCAAGACTTAATTCCGCAATCCTCTAGGTGCCAGGAAATGGACGAAAAATGCCCATCAAAACGGCTTTTCAGGGCAGTCAAAAAATGAGTGTTCTCCCCACGGTGCCAATCACAGTGCCAATCAAAGTTGAGAAAGCCACATGGCTACACCGGCCAGGAGAGTTCCTATCCCAAGTATGACATACATCCAAGTCAATCTTGGATCCATTGTCAAAGGTAACACAGCCATCGCGACGAATATTCCCAAAGAAACAGTTGACAGATAGATAGCCATTATCGATGATCTCATCGACTTCGGTGCTTTTGCATACGCATACTCAATTCCTGCTACCGATGCAAGAATTTCGGAGATAGCGACCAAGATATATGCAGGAGCCTGGAAGAAAACAGATACCTTGTTAGGCAGCTTTCCATCCATACAATCTAGTGCTCGCGGATGATCATAGCAAGGAGGGGCTGCGTAGATCATTTCTTGGATCAAGGCAGCATATAGCATGGAAAGACCACAGATAATGAACCCCCCTGTAATCCTATGGATATGGGAAACGGGAAATCCAAGCCTTCGTAGGAGGGGGAAGACAATGCGATCCAGAATCGGTAGCAGTATGAGGGTTGTGACAGGATCTATGTATGTCATTATATCGTTCGGGATCCCATGAGTCTCCATTGTACCCCCTTGGGAAACGAAGTTTGTGAGGAATTGTGAAAACGCAGCCCAGTAAAACGGATATAGTAAAAATACCCTGCACGCAGACAATGCCATTTTGAGATCATCAATGAATGCATCATCCCACGGAAGTCTTTGAGGTGAGTCTTGTTCCGCTTGAAAGGCCGGTCGTGCATAGTTGATATTGCCTTTCTTCTTGATAATAATCCACAGAGCTCGGCAAACGTTCAATATTATCGATCCATCGGGCGGGTTGCTGAGGTAATGGTCTTGAGTTGCCCAAATTATTGCGAAACCAACGAGAAAAATCGCCGTTGGTAGAGCAAATGCCGCTGAAAATCCATAATTTTGTTCGAGCGCGCTTGAGGCCAAAGCAGCAAAAGAGCCTATATTGATAAACAAAAAGAAAGTGGTGAATATTCTTATACCCATGTCAGTTCTTGCATACTCTTTTTTATTGGAAGCGTCGAACCTTTGGATTGTCAGGTCTTTATCGATGACAACTTTCTCCCCATTCTTAAGCACACGTATGACTCCATTGGGCCCCTTGTATTGCTCTGCGATCAACGAGCTAACGTTTGCCTTGATTCCACCGGTACCAATACCTATCATGAACAAAGATGACAGCAAAGCTAGCAGTGAGAAACCCCTGTCTTGAGCAAAAGGCAGGGAGGATATGAACAACGTCACCAATCCGCAGCTGTAAATGAAGGATGAATATATTATGGTTTTCACGCGTCCAATATATTGTTCAGCAACAATCGCACCCATTATCGGGGTAATGAAACACCAAAGCATGAAGCTCTGGTTGAACAATGTAGCATAAGCTTGCCCAAGCCCTACTTGCGTCAGAATATATAGCAAATGGAAACCTTCGCTTACGTACCAATTCCACCGGGGCGCAAGGGATCACTCCTGGGGATCTGAATGTAATTTTGCATCGGCCCGACAATTCCAAAGTAGGCAAATCTTTCGCAAAGCTCGATTGTAGCGATGTACCAGATAGAGATTGGGAAAGAGTCTGAGACTTTTCTCAGATTATCATGATCACTTGTGATCAGTGGCGATGCAGAGGTCCCATCTGACCTGGCAGACAGGAGTGGAGTGCTAGCGGTCGCAACTCTTGCATCTGTAGGGACCCTACTGGACATCATGCGCAAGTAAACCCTTGAAAGAAATCGATTCTCAGCGGTAAAGCTCTGATGAACCCGGCTGTATGGAGTAGTGCAAGAATGATTGTAGAGAATGTGTCTAGCTCTACCGAAAGAAAAGTCGCTCCCAAAATCATGTGATTTTGCCGCTAGACTAAAAGGATGCACACAACCTTCTTAGAAATAACTATTTCTGTCTGATTAGTTAACTAACTAGAAAGTTTCCGGTCTTATATAAGCGGACCTACAAGGGATCACAGGTGGGGCAATGGGACGAGCCGAGGGGACGAGCCGAGTGAAGGTTTTCCACGAGTCAGTGGGCCTGTGAATTGTACGGTAGTAACACTCGTATACGAGTTCCGAGCAAATTTAAAGAAGCTAGGTTGGGGGCCTTCCTACTGTGACCACTCGTGATTTGATTGTTAAGGTCTGTTCATGCTACGGGACACATATATATATATATATATGTATATATCCATATATACCAATGTGCGTATACGTACTGTTACCGCTTCCACCATCTTGGCACGCGAGTAATGAACAAGTCCAACTCTCCCGCCATCGAGCGTGTCGCCCACCTTCTCCCGGGGCTCTCGTCACGGTTCCCTTTTCTCATGATTCCTCTCTCTCATCAACTTACTCAAACAAAGTTCCGCCAGTTCGTTGTGCTTTAAAACTCGCCCGCGTGTTTATAAGCTGGTGCCGAAGGTGTGTATTTGGAGACAAGATTCCAAGGGAAATGCCAATTTCGAGTAAAGAAATAGATTTCTCAATGAGGTGCTCCCCTTGGCTGCACAGCTGTATTCTTTGGCCTTGAATGATTGCGTGTGATTGTTGGAGTCCCTCGACATCCAGCTTGAAAGATACGATTAGCTCATAATATAGAAGAGTATAGGGGGTATTTCCGTACATGTTCGAAGGTCTTTGAGCAACTATCGGAGTTGTTTCTGCCTGTAGATGCAAAATGCTCGTCGTGTTCTTTTTCTCCACTGAATGACGCATCCTGGTTGGAAACCATTTCACCTTCAACTTGAATCGGAGAAAATGTATTGTCATTTGCCAAAGCACTCAAGTCCTTCGAAAGACAACTTCAATTTTTCTCCTCCTTGTAATTTGGATTGACAACTAACCGGAAACCCAATGATTTCTGCTGTTCTATTCCTCTGCAGCTGCGAACGGCGCGTTTCTGGTACCAATACTTCATTGGGCGGCGTGTCGTGTTCACACTGCAGAAGCCCGGCTTCAGATAATTGATGCAGCTGAATTTGGGGCGCTTGTACTGTCGGCATATAAGAGGGCAATTCGAGCCGTGACTCATCAGATCCGCACCACGCCGTGGGTGGACATTCCCCATTCTGTGATATGTGGGTGAACGATACTGATGCCGAACGAGATCGGTACTCTCTGTCGTCCCCGTTTGTTGCCATTGGGCTTTCCTGTTGCGAGCTGCTGGTCACTTGTTTCCGCCTTTTCGCCCTCTCACCTAATTCGAGTCAAACGGAAGTTATCAAGGCGTGTATTTGCACTTACGAAATTTTCGTTGCGCAACCCGGTTTTGGGACTTCCTTCGCTGAGCATATTCTAGCTCGCTTTCAAGGCTGTTGCATTTCGAACTCGCAAATTCTTCCATGAGGTAAGGTAAACTTGAATCATGCTTCTGTCAAGGACAGGATTGCAGTTGTGTTGCGTTGCTATGACTGGTCGAAGTATGGCTATTCAAGATGTAGGGCGGGTGGATTTCAGTTTGTTCAAGTAAGTGCACAAAATCCCAATTTCCGGCTCCCCAAACAAAGCAAGTCAGGGATCTACTGATGTACTAGTGACGACAGGGCGCAAAACGCAGAGAAATGTTATCAAGCGCCCAGGGTGTGATGCAGGAAATTGCGGCGGAGACATGACCCTTTCCCAACATGGTGTCTACGTGGGTCGGGCTGACGTTGACATGAAATTATCCATGTCCTACGTTACACTATTTTAGCCGAAAGTGTTCTTACTACTTCACCTACCGTATGTAGAGCGCGATGTGTGCTGATTGGGGCCAGTTGAGCCTTTTCGTGTGCACTTTTGATATGGATAATAGTTCTCGTGCCTCGGCTGCCTATGATTTTTCGAACTGGTTGGTTTGTATATTGTCTGCCTCTGTGACTAAAAGACGCATGAAACCAATGGATTATGATTGGCTCGTGTGTCTAGTCTGTTTCCCATGTTCATGGGTTGTAGGGGCTGAAAGTGATTCCTGAATCCCAACGGGTGCGCCTCATGGACAATACGCTAAGATCCCTGCAGCCGCCAACGAGTCATGAGTCGCGACATCACATCCCAAAACTTACCCCACACCCAACTAAAAGTTGGGAGAAGAGGGAGTATTTGTCTTAGGTACGGCGGAGAGTCAGTGCACATGCTACTATACGTGCCGAATTCAGGCAAGTTCATTTACCCTTTGACCGTCGGCGACATCATTTCTCAAATGTGAAAGTTACTTTACGCTTGTCCTCATCTTATACAGCGTATGCGGCATACAAGAGTCTAGAGCATCTCGGGGGACTAGCCCTAGCTGACGACTTAACGCTCGCGATAGCTCGGTTCAACATCGGAGTTCACTGCGCCACGACTGAGCTCTCCAATGAGCAGTGGGGCAAATAGACCAATCCGTAAATCATTGCGTTTCCTGCTCGCTCCATTATATGACGTGCCACTGTCGGTTATTAGGTGGGCAATGTAACGTGAGACAGGGATATTTTTGTCGATCGGGCCACGGATAAAGCCACTTGACCGTTAGAAAGGATGTTTCATAAGGCGAGTTACAGGTGTCCACCGGGTTCCTGAGCTGCGATTTTCGCGTGTTGATTCACAATTTCATTTCCGATTACTCCTTGATGGGCAGGGACCCACCTGAATTATGTTGGGATGCCTCTGTCTGCCGGCCGCCGAATCAGGTCGATACAGCCTACCAGGTAGAGCTGCCCGACGGCATCCGCGGCCGACTGAGTGCTTTAAGTGCCGCTTGACTGCATATGAAGACAATCACTCCGTTCTTCGCTTGCCCAGCCCATGGCCAGTGCCATATCAAAGGCTCGAAGCTCGGCTGCATACATGGTAGCCGTACTATTGTCACCCATCCGTCTATGACCGCGCGTTGGTCCTCTAGGTTCGGTGTTGGTGAGCACAAATCTGGCGCACTTTCGTGTTGGCACGCATAGAAATTCACCTGAGAGAGACCTGCTTGTATTGTTCCTGAAAGAAAAGGTTCTGCGAATGCCGGTAGTCAGAACGCCTTTTCAATGAAGATGCTGACGTAATAACTTTGATCGGCTGCGTTTATGCTGCTTTGTCCCTCCCAATCACTAGTTCGCAAAGACGACATTGTGCCAAATCGCAAGAATTGGGACGAAAAATAGGATATTACTTTACTAGGCTATAGTCGTCTAGGACCACCTTTTCCAACTCGATCAACACGGAACCGCGACTCCGCCCAAAAGCCCACCTTGTTCGCGCTGAGTTTGGCGAGCGCGCAATCATACGCCTGGGGGAGGCGTTAGATGCGTATATCCCGACGCCAGTCGATGTGAAGTCTCGCCCATTCTTTATGCCGGTGGAAGATGGGTTCTCGATCGCAGGTCGTGGCACAGTAGCCACGGGCCGTGTGGAGCGTGGCACGATCCGGGTCGGCGACACAGTCGAGGTCGTGGGTATGGGCTCAACGGCCCAGACGATATGCATTGGCGTGGAGATGTTCAAGAAGCAGCTAGACCTGGCCTGGGCAGGCGAAAACGTAGGTATCCTGCTGCGTGGGCTCAAGCGTGGGGACGTGGGGCGCGGTCATGTGCTGGCGATGCCAGGCACTACCTATTGGCATACGGATTTCAGAGCAGAGGTGTACGTCCTCTGTACTTGATCTCAGTTTATGAAGTCCCGCATCAATTCAAATTGTTTGAAGAGATACCAAGTTACAAAGTCTTTCGCGCCGTCCAGAGGTTCCTTTCGATTCTGAACTGGCGTTGGAAAGTAGGGACCCTATTCAAAATCTAGAATCAGCACGCTTTCGGTGCATACAAGTTGAGGACGAAGAAAGGACCAAAAATTTCCCATCTCTACTTTGTTTGCCGCGGGGGAGATCATTGTGGCGGAAGTCTCGCGACACCCTTTTGGTTTTCGCTGTTGCGATTGAGGGTCCCTTTAGTCATCTTCCTGGAAGCCAATCAACAACCTAATGTAACGAGCCTCACCTAACTAGTTAGTCTGACTATTCAGGAAGCTGACTAAATACACAGGTACCTCCAGATTCGGGAATTGATCTGAGAATTATGTTTAGCCCAATTGCCATCCTATCATTCCTTAAACGTTTTCGCTTGACCACCATAGGTCATTACTTATTTTGTGACCTGCTAAGGGAGAGATAATAGGTGAAGGCTAAATTCATTGCATAACTGGGAAGCGATGTACGATCTATTGAGACGTCCTGGATTGCACTCGAATATACAGACATAAATAGACCGAGTCCACGAATCACAGGGCTCGTAATCGCTTTGACCGACGTAGTGTAGGTTTGATCATGGAAGATTTCAATTCGCCCGACAGCCCCTTTCCCCTCAGTTCTCCCCAAGGCAGCTCTTCTGGGGGGCGCCCGCGTTTTCGAGGTGAGCGCGTCCCATGCAGTGATGAAGACCCCAGCTTAGGATCAGGTTCTCGATTTGCCGCTTTTGCTGCTCCCCTCGTCACTCGCCCGCTAAGAATCTCCGCCAAGTTTGAACCGGTGCTCGTCATTGGACATCCAGCAGAGGCGAGAAATTCATTGCTAGGAGGGCAGGTTGATGGCTTCATGGCGGTGATAGGACCCGGTTCCATCAATCGAGGGTCTATATTTGCCATATCAAAATCAAGAGAGGAGGCGGGAGTTTCGGTGCCCTGCCGAGTCTCCGGCTCCGTAGACGCGTCTCTGGAGGAACCGTCGCTAGGGTTAAACTGTGGCATTCTGGGGAGGTGACACAATTTGATCTTGATATCGTACATGTGCTCAATGTTGGCGTGGGCCAAAAATTCGGTGATTTTGGCAAACGTCGGAAGATTGCGACAGGCCTCCCAGGTGCAGCTGATTCCGTCGTGAGCATCAACACGGTTGCCTCGCCTGCTGGGCTCGCAAAGCCTCAGGAGCGCGACCATGTCCTTGGTTACCTGGATGCGACGCGCGAGCAGCTTGTCCTCGTCATAATTCTCCGCTTCAGGTCCGTAAAAGTTCTCCACGAGGCGAGCCCATTCAAGGAAAACGTACGTCGGGGTAGGCAACTCCCAGTCCTCATCGTCAGAACTGCCCGCATCGCATGATTCAGTATCAGGATCGCCAAGAAGCTGTTTGATCTGTCGGTCGACTTCGAGTACAGGTGCGTTACGGAAATAATCCTTTCTGGCGGTCTCTCGAGTATCGGTTGCCAAAGTCTTGCGAAGCTTGGTCATTTCTCTGTCGACAGCTTTGTGATGTTGATAAAGGTGTGGAAAGGGCTTTTCGGCATTCTTCACAGTGCCAGCCAGAGATCGCATCTCCGCCATAAGCTGTCTCTTTTCTCGTTTCAACTCAAGCATTTCCGGATGTCGGCGAATAGCACGTTTATGTGTGTCGGTAAGCTCGGACGGCGCTCACGGGTCCCTCTTCCTAAGCATACTGCCAGCGACGCGCAATAAACCCTCCTGAGGCGGCCGGAGGAGAACAACATGTTGGAGATCACGTGCAATGAACTGTGACTGGTAGTGTCTTTCGAAGACCGCGTCACCCGACTGGCCAAGCACTCTCTGCCGCTCCTGGCTAGCGAAATTCCCTGTCCGCGACTAGTCAGACCTATTACGAACTCTGTAGAATGATGGTAAAGTTCCGGAGATTTGGCACGGGAGTGACTCACGATTGACTTCATTTGCGACCCAACGGCGAAAATTGTAATGTCCAATATCGTTTTCGAATCGAGCATATCGACCTAACTCTTGAAGCGCCCGTCGACTAGACTCATAAGTCATCGGCAACGACGGGTGAAGCCCATAGCCACACGTCGTGCGATTAAACCGCCGAAGGAGAGGCATGTTAAGAACCTCTGGCTTCCAATGGAGCGGGAGGGAGGAACTACGTTTTGGGACTCGGAGCCGCCAAATGAGCTCCGGTGTGAGTTCGGCATTAACAAATGCTCCATCTCGAAAAGCGAAAGAAATGATTTGAGTGATCGGACAATATGCCAGTTGTTAATCGCCATGTATGAAAAATTTGGTTCTGGCGGTGACTGTCAGTAGTGAATCCGATGCTCCAGCATTTGAGACTATAACCACGCTTACTCATCAGCACCTTCCGGCCGACCTTTCAGGTTACGAAACTCTATGACCGCACAGAGAACGTCACGTTTGCTCTGGGGGTCGCGTAGATAAAAGAGCTCAATGTCGCGATAGCAGACCGAGTCTGGAAGGTCTGTCACGGGGATATGTTTCGGAAGATCACTCTGAAAAGTGGGATATTGTTTGCGCTTGCTCAGGGAGGAGTCGCCGGGTAGAGAGGTGTTCTGTGGAAGCAAGACGCCAGGTCGGGCCCCGGTAATGGCGGACCAGAGTTGGATGGTAGCGAATTGGACGATCATACTTCCGTGACGAAAAAACCGCGAATTGACCAGTGATGCCGATAGATCACACAAAAGACATCCACATCTAGAGTATTCTTGCCCTTTGTTCGTCTGGAAATTTTGCGCTCAGCCGGAAATACGCCATTAAGAAACTATACTCTAGTTAGCCCAATCCCCTTCAGAACAGAAGAAGCAACCGTACGCGTCGCATCTGCGTATGAACATCATCATTAACACTACGACGGGCGAATAGTTGGAAGTATTGACAAAGGCGGCGCCAGTATTCGTCGTACGATTGAAGTGCTTTCTCTCGTGATGTTTTGAACATCCAGTCGAAAAAGTTCATGTAAATAGCTTGATCTTCCAGCAGAAGGTAGTTCATGTAGTCCTGGTTCGATTGAATGCAAAATCTATTTCAGTGTTATTCCCCAGCCGCAAGGTTTATTTCATCAGGGTCAACTCACTTCGGCCAGTACCGTTCGACCGTGGCGATTCCTATCAGCGTTCTTGGCTTGAAGTTTGGAGGAAGCCATCCAAGGCTCCGGAAATGTTTCAGTCTGGCTCGAGTTTCCTCGCAAAAGATGGGGTCGGTCCAGTACTGGTGCTCATCAACTTGAGCTGGAGGTATGGACACAGGCGCCATGAGGAGAAGTGGGATAAATGGCCAGGGATCGGGTTGTGCGATAGGAGTTTTGGGAGTCAAATATGTCAAGGTCGATCAAGGCAACGGAGTTGAGACGAGAGGAGGGCGTTGAAAGACCCCCCAGAAGAGAGGGCGGACGAAGCATCTTATGAGCGCTCGACCAGGCTGGGCAAAATGGAGGGGGCATTTGGTTTGGAGGCAGAAGGGAGCCATTTTCGGCATCGTTTGGTCGCCAGTGGAAACGAGGGGAACAATCGTTGAAGTCAAGCGCCAACAACAGGACGAGAGGAGGATGACTAACAGTCCTGGTTGGGTGCAGAATAGGGAGCTGTACAGGGCAGCGGGCGGTCAAGCGGCAGCTGGCCGTCCAAAGTTACGGATGGAAAGGCGGCCGTTTCTGGCGCCAGAGGCTGTCATTGTAGGCGTCGATTTCACAGGTCCCTATATTCTAGGTGTAATTTGTAGGCTTAGGTACTGTGGGCCGTGGGGAGTAGGTTGGGCCCCATGACAATAGAGATGGAAATACCCCGCACGAACTGAGGCTGAGAATGACCGTCTTTCATTTACTTGCAAAACAAACGGTTGACAAGATAATAGAATGAGGGAAATACGATATTTCTGGGGGCCGAACTGGTGTTCGGGTCGGCCTTTGCGGTGATTTCCACCAGAGTGTGAGACTGATGGGACATGGTCGAGATAGTATGTAGACCTGTCGCGTCTATTTAAAGCTCTTGCATTCATTTTTTCATTGACAGTTGCGAATCTCCAATCTCCACCTAGCCCCACTGATCAGCGACGTCATTGGCTCGTTGCATGCCTCATTGATGACCTGCTGAACAGGTGCAGAGCCCCTGTACTGTGATACTGTGGTATCTATCCATGGCAATGAGATTATTGGAAGGAGCTCACGATGCAAGAAGGAACGACTGGGCTTAACAGGTGTAGACCTCGAAACCAATAAATGGCGGTGGCATGCGGCTCCCCCTGGCCATCCTCTCAAACCAGCCTGTTTTCCCCTTATCCCCCATCACCTCTCAATTGCTCAGATGCCTCAGCAGAAGATATCCCCGCTCAAGACCTATTTTGACGAGTTAGAAGAGACCAACGGCGATGACGAATGCAGGGCCTGGTTAGATAAACTTTTTGACTCCAAAGCTGAACTGGCGGTTTTTGTCGCTGGACGAAAAGGAGGGGGAACTGGGGCATACGTTGGTTTTCTCAAGGGTTCCTTCAACATCAGCTTCCGCTTCAGCTTCGACGATGGACGCCCGGATGTCATTATCCGGTTTCCGAAGCCCGGACATACCGCTACGGCTTATAGGGACGAAAAAGTTGTGAATGAGGTCCGGATCATGGAATACCTCCAGCAGAGCACTGATATCCCGATTCCTCGTGTTCACAGCTGGGGCTTAACTTCCGAGAGTCCATTACACCTTGGTCCATTCATCATCATGGATTATGTCAACGGTACACTTCTATCGACTATCTTGAAACAACCCGATCAAGTAATGGTTCTGAACCCGAACATCGACAACACAGCGTTAGACAAGATCTATCATCAAATCGCCTATTATATGTTCCAGCTTTCTCAACTTAAGTTTGCTCGTATTGGGGCCATCTCGAGGGACCATGCTTCAGGTGCATGGCACGTTACCGGGAGACCCCTGACGTACAATATGAACGAGTTAGCCACTGTCGCCGGCTACCCAGATGATCAATTTCCAACCGCGCCGTTTGACCGTGCAAGCGATTATCTGAGGTCGGTCGCGAACGAGCACTTGACTCACCTTTGGACCCAGCGCAACCTTGCCGACGATGCGGAAATCGCCCGGGAGCGCTTCATTGCCCGTCATCGGTTCGCACAGCTGGTTTCAAAGTACTATCCTGAGGACACCGGGCTATCTATACCCTTCTGCGACGACATGCGTCCCTCGAATATGCTTATAGACCCAGAAACACTCCAGATCACTGCCATTCTCGACCTCGAGTTCACGAATGCCATGCCAGCTGAGTTCACGTATGACCCGCCCTGGTGGCTCTTGCTATCTGGACCGGAAATGTGGCTTGAACGCTGCGCGATGGATGAATTTCTGACTCTCTATGAGCCTAGAATGGAGCAATTTTTGCGAGCTTTAGGGCGAGTGGAAACTGAAATGGCATTGGAGGGCAAACGATCCGATGGGCCGTCTCTCTCCACCCGAATGCGCGATTCATGGAGGACTGGGCGATTTTGGTTCGACTATGCGGCAAGAAAGAGCTTTGATGTAGACACCGTCTATTGGGCTGCATTACATAACGACGGTCCGGGTGTTGAGTTGCTTGATGAGAAGGCACGCGCAGAGATGGAGCCATTCACGCAGGTTAAGATGGAGCAGTTGAAGGCATATAAAGAGGAGTGTACTACTCGGTTTTCTTCAGAGGTATAGATGGAAGATACGGAGCGTCTTGTCTAATTTTCCATCCATCGATGCCCATTTTTCTCCTACATCCATCAAAAATCATGTATGGTGATGTGGTCCCAGGGCTAGGATCACAACTTCCAGGGCGACTGCCAGATCCAGACCACTAGGGATATTTTCATCGTCGAGCACCGCTCCCCATAAGTAACCCATTCTGCGGTTTCATTGACAATGTTGGAGCAGTGACGAATCGCATCGATCGGCTATACAGTTGGTCATACGACATCACTAATATGCACCGAAGCCCCAAATCTCATGTTTATGGCCAGCGCATCATAAATGTAACTTCTGGCGGAGCTTCAGAGGACTGTTCTGGTGGCTGGTCCATTGGATGTCTCGAGATCCGGGTAGGGAGATCTGGGATCGACGGATCGACGGTGGTCAGGAAAGAGAAAGCGGCGAAAAATGAATCAGGTCCAAAAACCGGCCTATTTCCCAGTTTCAGTGCAGTGTCAGATCAGGGTTCAGTCAGTGCTGAGGTCGATAGATCTCTTCCCTTCGTCATTGTTCATGTCGTTTGTCGATATTTCAGTTGGAGTTATTAATTGTGCGCGACCCCGCCTGATCAAATATGCACTGGCAATGATGTCAACCATAAACATGCATGATGGTTATCCCAATTGATGTGCAGCAAACGATTGCGCAGTTAGAAAAAAACAAACATGCTGAAAGTAGAAAATCCGTGTACACCAAGGTCAGTCCAAAGAAAAGAAAAATTCAGCCGAGGGCAATCTGGACATGCTCTGGATAACCTGTCTGATTCTGTCAATAGAACCTGCATCGGGTCAGTGGACCCGATCCGGACCGTTCTCCAAGCTCTCCTCATCAGTGAGGGCAATGTCCGGTATGGGCAGCGGTAGCAGGGAGTTGGAGAAGGTAGCACAAGGGCCGACTTCGGCAGAATAGACGGAGATTGTTCGGCCTGGTCTCGGAGGAGGGTGATGGGATGGGGGGAGGGATTGGGGACCCTGGAGTGTTTTAGTACTTTGGGAGATATGTTCCCGATGATTCAGCTATTTGGAGATGACGATCTAGATAGCTCCAGGTGGATTTGATGGTATAGTTGTAGGATTTCCAATTGTCGCGAACGGGCATTACCCCTCATTATGTCAGCGGATGAGACTACCCCGCTGCGGAGAAGACCCCTGCTTCTGTCCTGGTGGGCTGATGTGATGCTACGCTTTTTTGCAGGGGTGATTCGAGGGTGAATATATTATTAGAATTCATGAGGTGTTGCATTACGAATACAAATCTGGGGAGATATTCAGGTAATATGTCATGTTAAGTTGAATTTAGCTATCTTTTATGACTTACTAGCATTGAAAAGTATCCCCGCACGTTCCTCCGATTGATCCGTCAACCTAATTTCTAAGCTTCAGCTTTACTCCATACTTTGGAGCGAACCCATTTCTTATGCCAAACAATATATCCATGTAGGTACAAGTGGGTACATTGCAAGGTTTATGCTTTATGCAAGAAATCCAAAATGATAGGCCACCAAACCTACGTCGAAACAATGCGTACTTTCCCCCTCCCCCTCTGTCCCTCGTGCGGAGAGAGCATGATCCCCGAGTGGATGCGCCGATCCATCCGGCTTTGCTCTCGCCGGCTCTATGCGTCCCACATCCCAGTCACTCTGAGGGGTGCACAATGTCCTGTTCCCAGTGTTTGTTAAAGATATTGAGAGGGGCTGGTTCAGGTTGGTCGTCTATATAATGAGCTCCATTTGCTGCTGAAATCTCATTATTTTTCTACTTCCATCCCATCGCCTTCATCACTCTACCACCACACTTCACTGTAAGTAAATGACTTCACCTATTATCTCCTTCTTATACTTGCCCTCTATACCCTGTCAGGTATCAAGCCTGGCCCTTGGCCTGCAAGAGTCTCCACTCTCTCCGCTTCTCATCCGGTTTTTCTCCAACGCCGTTTTGGGACATTGACTTCATCACCTTCGTATAAAATGAAGCTAATCCCTCCTCTCTAGTTTGAAATATTTCCTTCAAGACATCTTGAATAATATTCTAAAAATCATTCACAATGGTATTTATTCGCTCCCTATCCCGTCAACTGAGACGGCCTTTTCTCTCAACTGGCTGCCTTAAGCCCTCTGTGGCCCCTGGTTCTTTCGCTTGGGCTTCACCTTTGGCTGGCTCCATTTCCGGTGCACGCATGCTAACCACATCTGCCAATCTACAGGGCAAAGTTCTTTTGGTTCTCTACGATGTAAGTCAATTCCAGCTGTCTTGCATGTTTCAATCGCTAATATAGCAATAGGGTGGTGAGCACTCCAAGCAGCAGCCTAAGCTGCTCGGTACCACTGAGAACGAGCTCGGCATTCGCAAGTGGCTCGAGGAGCAAGGTCACACCCTGGTGACCACCTCCGACAAGGAGGGCGAGAACTCCACTTTCGACAAGGAGCTCGTTGATGCCGAAGTTATCATCACCACTCCGTTCGTTCTATCTAGTACCACCAGTGTTGCTAGAACCCCAGCTAATCGCAATACAGCTTCCACCCCGGTTACCTCACCGCTGAGCGCCTGGCCAAGGCCAAGAAGCTCAAGCTCGCCGTCACTGCCGGTATCGGTTCTGACCACGTTGACCTGAACGCCGCCAACACCACCAACGGCGGTATCACCGTCGCCGAGGTCACTGGCTCCAACGTCGTCTCCGTCGCTGAGCACGTCGTCATGACCATCCTCCTTCTCGTCCGCAACTTCGTCCCTGCCCACGAGCAGATCAAGAACGGTGACTGGAACGTCGCCGCCGTTGCCAAGAACGAGTACGACCTCGAGGGCAAGGTCGTCGGTACCGTCGCCGTCGGCCGTATCGGTGAGCGTGTCCTCCGCCGCCTCAAGCCCTTCGACTGCAAGGAGCTCCTCTACTACGATTACCAGCCCCTCTCCCCCGAGACCGAGAAGGAGATCGGTTGCCGTCGTGTCGATGACCTTGAGGAGATGCTCGCCCAGTGTGACGTTGTCACCATCAACTGCCCCTTGCACGAGAAGACCCGCGGTCTCTTCAACAAGGACCTCATCTCCAAGATGAAGCCCGGTGCTTGGCTCGTCAACACTGCCCGTGGCGCCATCGTCGTCAAGGAGGATGTCGCCGAGGCCCTCAAGTCTGGCCACCTCCGTGGCTACGGTGGTGATGTCTGGTTCCCCCAGCCCGCTCCTAAGGACCACCCTCTCCGCTACGCCGAGCACCCCTGGGGTGGCGGTAACGGTATGGTTCCCCACATGTCCGGTACCTCCATCGATGCTCAGGTCCGCTATGCCAATGGCACCAAGAACATCCTTGAGAGCTACTTCTCTGGCCGTGAGGACTACCGCCCTGAGGACTTGATTGTCCACAAGGGTAAGTATGCTACCAAGGCCTACGGTCAGCGCAAGTAGATTGTCCTGATGTGACGGTGAAAAAGTCTCTTGGCTGTGACTCGTCTTTTTCTTGATTTTCCATGTTTATAGTCTGAGTAGCATCTCTTACGATACCAATGAATAATTTCTCTATTTCGATTTTTCCCACCTTGACTATTTCCCACATTGACTACAATGTAGAAGCAGTTCTGCAACATAGAGTGGCTTCTCCAAGTCGATGGGCGGAGCAAATATGATTTTGTACCTTTATTCAACATCCTCATGGACATATAACAATGAAAGCAAAACGCAACGCTATGTTGTATTGACAGTAATCAAGTCTGCAATCCAGAGACAGACCTTCTATCCCAAACACCAAACCCCAAGAAATGCAGATGTAGACAAAATGCCCTAGCTCAATGCAATACCCTCTCATCACCCCCACGCCCTCCATCCCTACGCCCCCCGCTCTCCTCGTCACTATCATCCATAAATCCCTCTTCCAACTCCCGACTCAATCGAATCTCCGCTTCAGCCAGGGAATCCCGTCTCCGCTCTAGCGCACCTCGCCTCGCTGAATCCGCGTTCATCCCGGTCAGGACCTCCCCTTCTTCGTCGTCAATGCTGACGTTGTCGTGGTCATTAATCCGTGCACCCCATCGCCACCGTGATGGAAGGAAGAAATACATCACTTGGTCAGCTATGCGATCGCGTAAAGACCGTGTGTGTGCGGAGATAGAGTGTAGTGGGAGGTACTGCGAGTAGCGCTGGTGGTAGCGGCGGAAGATGGGAATTAAGATGCATGAGAGGAGGATGTAGATTGATAGGGCGATCGCAGCGGGGATGAGGATTGTCTGTGAGGTTTGATCAGATTGGTTTCACTTTGGTCGGATCTAAGGAATGAGGGTTGCATGTCAGACAGAATAGGGGGTTATGCGCGCACCTTGGCAAAGACACCCGATGACCCCATTCTGGATATATTTTTGAAGCCCAAGATAGAAATGGGTAGAGAGTATGTGTTGAGTGTTGACTCTTGAGAGTCTAGGTTAAGGAAGATTGCGGAGGACGGAGGTCGGAGGCCGATCGGCAAATGTCTGGGGGAAACAACACGCGGTAGGATCGGCAGATCGACAACGAACTGATTGCTTTATCGCACGTGTTATCACTTTGTCTTGGATTTTATTCTACAGGTATGATTTAAACATTGCGTAGAGAGGTTTTATCAAAATATTCTACCGGCTATTCTACTGGCTATTCTACCGGCTAGGTGCAGGTGGTTTACAGCCTGGCAACTTTAAGATATATAGCCCCGCCATCGACAGAGCCTTACACAGTATTGATGTGAGACTTGTCACCGGTAGAGTGCAGCTCTGAAAACAACAGTCACCAGGGCCGTAAACTGTTCGATACTTTGATCTGCACCTAGGCGCTGGCATCTAATATGTCAGGATATAATCTACTGAGTATGCCAACCCAGACATGCATCAGTTCAGGACGGCAGGGTACATAGACTCAGTATTGTCTTCTTGATTATGTCTGACTGGACCCTGACATTGCCCGGGCACTACAACCTAAGCCCATGGAAGAATACCTACTCCGTAAAGAATCGGACTATTCATAGAGCTTTCTGGTTCTTTCATTTTGCGTATCCGGTCCATAACCGTATGACCAAAGACAGCGGACAGCCACGCTATCACTGGCACTTGAGCCCCCCGTAATAGTCTTTGTCTCTGCATTGTAGGGTAGGTAGGTCTGAGGTTCTTCTTCCCGAATCAGCTTCGGTGTAAACTCATTCTGATCATCTATAGGAGACCAAGCCGTGACGGATATATTTCCTCACTCACCTGAGTCACCTCCATCGGATGTCATTCCCGACTTGCCAATACAGCTCACCATAAACCTTGGAATCATGCCATTCATATCGTGTTATGGATTCCCTTTCATCATAATTCCGTGACCTGAATGTCCAAGAAAGTCCACGTAGTACGAATATGGGCCATGTTGTACTCAGTTTCTCCTTATGACCTCTTCATGGACCACACGATGAGTGAGGCAGATATGTAGTCATTCATTGATTCAATGCATGTAGCAGTCTAGACTGATCTGACTGGACCACGAGATCAAGCCAGTTCATATCGATTCATTGTTGTCATAAAGACCGCTCATTCGAAGTGCATGGGTCGTCTTAAAATACAGACACGTGATCACCATCACGTGCACGGTCGGGGAGTTTCTCCGGACCCAAAGCCCCCTAATAATATCAATAGACCCGATTAGAAGACGCTCGGGCTTTGATCCTGGCGTCAAACTGGACTTGACATCTGCAAACAGGTTGCAGGTTAATTTCCTGTTCTCTCATTTAATCTCTGTGGGGTGAGTGTCCTGACCCCTTACCCCTCGTCCCCTCGTCCCCTCGTGTCGCGACACTCCGCTGGAGCGGGTATACTAACTAGCCAGGGAGGGACAACAGATGCCACTTTCGCCCATTTTGAATGTTAATTGTTTTCGCCCACACCTTTGCGATCCACGGCGCTTTACCGCGAAACAAACGCTTCCATATTTAAATACCGTCTGAGAGTGCTGAACGGGCCCATATGCTGCGCCCTGCCTCATCTCAGTGACGCTCGCCAAAATGCCAGCCAGTTCACAAAACGACAAGTCTAGACAAGCATCGACTGGGAAATCCTTCTTCGGACGCAAGTTGTACAAAGAGAAGCCGGCAGAAGATCGACACGATAACTATGCTGGTTCCTACGACAGCTTGGCACCTCCGGGGAGCGCTGCCGGTTCACGCTCGTCCCGCTATTCGAAGCGCTCTTCGATCCAGTCTGTGGACCTGACCCATGATTTGGACCCAAGCAGTATCGCATCTACTGCGGGAGTTATCACATCTATCCCATTCGAAAGCCTTCCTTCCGATACCAGAACCCCGATTCCGATCGATAGCATGTCCCGCCCAAGTTCGTCGCGCCACGAGGCTTCGCCCAACCACCTCGGCAAGACAGGGGGGACTATCATCAGTATCCGACGTGGACCTCTACATCTGCGCCGAATGGGTCCCCCTCACATCCCTCTGGTCCTCGACCGCCTCCGCATACCTCACACAACAACATAGCTAATAGCAATTCCGTTGATCGAGGAGCCAGACAACAATGGGCACGCCCAGGCAGCTCCGCAGCGAACAATGGACCCAACTACAATGGCTCCTCTATCGATTCATCCTCCAACTCCCGCATCTCCCTCGACCAAACCAGCATCTACTCTTCCGTTTCTTCTAACACGCGCGGTTCGAGCTACTTCTCCTCGGACAACTCCTCTCGCACTCTTACAACCTCACATTCTGGTGATCGCAATACCATGTTTCCCAGCTCCAGTTCAGGCCGCTTGTCAAATTCAGGGTCTAATCACCAAATCTCCGCACCGGCCGCTGTCCCCCGGCCGCAAGATACCTATCTCACTCGACCGAGAGATGACCGCATAGTCGACCAGCTCTTTCTGGAACTGATGCAAAAGCGAGGGTGGCAAAATCTGCCCGAACAGGCCAAGCGGCAGATGCTGTCCTATCCGGCGTCAAAGAAGTGGACCTTGGTACACCAGGATCGTCTGACAGAGCTACAAGGAGAGCATAAGAGACGGCAAAATGCGCGACAAACGCATGGCCACGATGGCCTGTCCGGGCTGCTTGAACGTGCCGATGAAGAGGGTAGCCCTGAGTGGTATGTGAAGAAGGTGATGGATGACACCATCACATCCAAGCAGCTCGCGAGTTTGAGTGTCAGTTTGCGGACACAGCCCATCAGGTATGATTCTCTATTTCAGATTGGTATATTTCATTTCACTAATCACGGCACACAGCTGGGTGAAAGCCTTTGTTGAAGCGCAGGGTCAAATAGCTTTGACCAATGTCCTCTTGAAGATCAACCGAAGAAAAGCCTCTGGTCCTGTTCCGGCTCCGCCAACGGGGGATAGGGATCTAGACCGGGAATATGACATTGCCAAATGTCTGAAAGGCCTGATCAATAACAAGTACGGTGCAGACGATGCCCTCGAGCATCAAAACGTGCTAGTTGCGCTTGTCAGCTCGTTGTCATCCCCACGTCTGAATACCCGGAAACTAGTCAGCGAGATTCTCACTTTCCTCTGTCACTGGGGCGATGGCCAGGGTCACCAAAAGGTGCTGCAAGCCATGGATAAGGTCAAGCATGATCACAACGAAACTGGTCGCTTCGATGCTTGGATGCGCATTGTTGAGGTTACCATCGATGGCCGCGGAAAGATGGGAAGTCTGGTCGGTGCCAGCGACGAGTACCGCAGCGGAGGCATCGGCATGGAGAACACACTCATGGAGTACGCGGTTTCTACCATGATCCTCGTGAACATGTTGGTGGATGGCGCGGAAACAGATCTGCAGCTGCGTTGCCACATTCGCGCGCAATTCACATCATGTGGCATCAAGCGGTTGTTAACGAAGATGGAGGGATTCCAGTATGATGTTATCGACAAGCAAATCGAGCGATTCCGAGAAAATGAGGCCATTGATTATGAGGATCTTCTCCAGCGGGAGAGTAGCAGCATGAAGGACAGCGTCGAGGGCGATGTCAAGGACATGAACGATCCCATGCAAATTGTGGATGCAATCTCGTCCAAGATTGATGGAAGCCGGTCCCACGATTACTTCCTCTCGGCTATGCAGCATATGCTGCTAATCCGGGAGAACTCTGGCGAGGAAAGCCTGCGTATGTTCCAGCTGGTCGATGCCATGCTGAGTTACGTCGCCATGGATCGGAGGCTACCCGATCTGGATCTCCGTCAAGGTCTGACCTTCACTGTGCAGAGCTTGCTAGACCGACTGCACACTGATGCTGAGGCAAGGCGGGTTTACGATGAGTCTCTCGAGGCCCGACAGATTGCCGAGGCAGCCATTGCGGAGCGCGATGAGATGAAAGCGCAGATCGAGCTTGGCGCAGAGGGCTTAGTCTTGAAGCTGCAAAAGCAAATTGACGAGCAGGCTGGTATCATTGAGTTACAGCAACGGCAGAATGAATCTTTCAAGGCTGAAATTGCCGAAGTACAACGACTGCGAGCTCAGGAGTTACAGCGCAATGAGCTGGAAACTCGCGAACTATACCTCATGCTCCGAGATGCCCAGGATATTGCTGCGGCCAATGCTCGCAAGGCCAATAATCCTGAGACCGCGGAGGGCGCAGATCCAGCTCAGATGCCTGGGATTATGGACAGGGAACGACTTATGGAACGTTTGGAGCGTCAGCTCGAGCGAACCAAGACCCAGTTCAAGCTGGAAGGTAAGGTCTGGGGCCAGCATGGACCCTCTGATCGCCTCCGCGAGCTCCGCGAGAAGATGGATGGTGAAGCAGATGACAGCGAAGAGTTTGCCGAGAAGACCCGTCGAACCCTGGATCCTAGTTCTTTGGGATCTGTCTACCGGAAGCGCAGCCATCACCCTGGAATGGACTCGTCCTTGGAAGAGGAAGTCCAAACATCAGTGGATGAGAATGGCGAGCCAATCTATGAGCAGCCTCGCTTGGTGGAGATGCATCGTCCTCGTTTGGATCCTGCCCAGGCTTCTGGTTTACTAGGGGAGCTTGCTTCTAAGGTTCCTAAGTTTGATGCTGAAGATCTGGATGCAATTGAAGAAGACCCGGTGCTCGATCCAGTAGATGCAGACGCCGATGCAAAGGCCATGCCTCCTCCTCCCCCTCCACCCCCCCCAGGGGGCGCCATCACTCCTCCCCCTCCACCCCCACCCGGCGGTATGGCTGTTCCCCCACCACCACCCCCTCCAGGAGGGAAGATCCTTCCACCTCCTCCTCCCCCGGGTGGAAAGGTTGGTTTGCCCCCTCCACCGCCGCCTGGAGGAATGGCTTTACCGCCGCCTCCTCCGCCCGGTGGTGCCAAGGGCATTCCTGGGCTGCCGCCCCCACCTCCGCCTCCCGGTGGGAGAGTTGGACTGCCTCCGCCGCCACCTCCAGGTGGTGGTGGAATTGCTCCTCCGCCCCCTCCCCCTATGGCTGGCGCCAGGGGACTAATGATTCCGCCGCCGCCGCCGCCCAGCGCTCCTTTGGGCGCAGGGTGGAGACCGGCATACATGGTTGGGGATGTTTCACCGTCTACAATTCACATGCCGTCCATCCGACCTAAGAAGAAGCTCAAGGCCCTGCACTGGGACAAGGTCGACACTCCTCAAGTGACTGTTTGGGCTGGTCATGCACCGACCGCTGAACAGAAGGAAGAGAAATACACCGAGCTTGCTAAGAAGGGTGTATTAGATGAAGTTGAGCGACTGTTCCTGGCCAAGGAAACGAAGATCTTCGGAGCTAGTACTGCTGCAAAGCAGCGCACAGCGAAGAAACAGATCATCTCGAACGATTTGTCCAAGAATTTCCAAATTGCTCTGTCTAAATTCTCCCAATACCCGGCCGAGGAAGTGACCCGAATGATCATTCAGTGCGACAAGGACATCCTGGACAACGTCGTTGTCATGGACTTTTTGCAAAGAGAAGAAATGTGCAATATACCAGAGAATGTCGTCAAACTTATGGCGCCTTATAGCAAGGATTGGACGGGGCCTGGCGCTGCCAATTCCGAGCGTGAACAGGATCCATCTGAGCTCACTCGCGAAGATCAGATCTATCTCTACACTGCCTTCGAGCTCAATCACTACTGGAAAGCAAGGAACAGAGCTCTTGCACTGACGCGCTCCTACGAACCGGAGTACGAGCACATATCCGCGAAGCTGAAAGAAGTTGCGAAAGTCAGCGACTCCTTGCGGGACTCTGTTTCATTGATGAACGTGCTGGGTCTAATTCTTGACATTGGAAATTTCATGAACGATGCCAACAAGCAAGCTCAAGGCTTCAAGCTGAGCTCCTTGGCCCGTCTAGGCATGGTCAAAGACGACAAGAATGAGACTACCTTTGCCGATCTGGTCGAGCGTATCGTGCGCAACCAGTACCCGGAGTGGGAGGGCTTCCTCGATGAGATCAGCGGTGTCATCGGCCTGCAGAAGGTCAATGTCGATCAGCTTCGCACTGACGCCATGAAGTACATCAGCAACATTAAGAATGTGCAGTCGAGCTTGGACGCTGGTAACCTGAGTGATCCCAAGAGGTTCCACCCTCAGGATCGTGTCAGCCAGATCGTCCAGCGGTCCATGAAGGACGCCAGACGGAAGGCTGAGCAATTGCAGCTCTACCTTGAGGAGATGGTCAAAGCTTATGATGATATCATGGTCTTCTACGGCGAAGATAACGCAGACGAGAATGCCAGACGCGACTTCTTCGCTAAGTTGAGCTCATTCCTGGTCGAATGGAAGAAATCCAGAGAGAAGAACATAGCTCTCGAAGAGTCAAGGAAGCGCACAGAAGCATCTCTCGCCCGCAAGCGACTCAACGTCAATCCCGCAAACCCCGCCCAGGCCACAGACGCCGCCCAATCGCCCGCCACGAGTGGTGCCATGGACTCGCTGCTCGAGAAATTGCGTGCTGCAGCTCCCCAAGCCAAGGACCAACGGGACCGCCGCCGCCGTGCTCGCTTGAAGGAGCGACACAACGTCCGCGTGGCTTCAGGCTCGAAGCCGCCTGAGGATGCGGCTGAAGAAGGCGAGGCTGGAGCCGACAAGCCGTCCAATGGCGTAGCCGATGACGAGCACGGCCTTCTCAGCCCTCCGGACGCTGATGATGAGGGTAAGGAGGGTAACAAAGAGGAAGGCCGAGTGTCCGAAGGCGAAGACGTCGCCGAGCGTGCTGCGAATCTGCTCCTCGGTCTGAGGAGTAATTCCGATGCAGGGGGCGGCGAGCGCCAAAGACGCAGAAGAGAGAGTGCGGATGAAGAGCGTCGAAGTCGCCGCATGAGACGCCGCAATCCCGCGACAAACGGAAGCAAGGATAGTGCCGATGGCTCTGGTGGTCTTGCTACCGTTCAAGAGCCTGGTTCTCCTTCGCAAAGAGACTCCTCCCTCACCGATGAGCACCAACTTCCCAGTCCACCCGATGATAGTCAACCTCCGCCTTCTATAGTTGTGTCAGAGCAAGACGACTCATTCTCACAGGACCACTCAATTGAGGGATCACCTCCACCCAAAGCGACCGACCCGTCGGATTGAGTCCGTCCCAAACATCGATTCTCACGATGACGCTATGGTTTCAGACCTGATATCCATCGCCATCACCACTACTCCTTACTTTTACAACCTTGATTGTATAATACCCATTTCCTACTTACACTACCTTTTCCGCTGCCTTGATTTGACGAGCCGAGCATGGTGTGACGATACCATTTCTATATTTCTCTGTTTCTTTGGACTGTATCGATTCATGTGCAATCTTTCTCATTTCCTTTTTCGTCCCATCTCGCATACCCTGACAACAACACCCTGTCCCTGTCTCTCCTTGTACATAATCTCTTTTTACCCTCTTCATCTCACGCTATCTGCCATGGAAATGCTGCCATGACTGGAGGGCGTGTCGAATTGCATCTTGAGCCCTGTTCCCTGTTGCCTCTACAGTGTGTTTATATGCTGCTTCGCAGCGCAGGCGTGGTGAAGTCATATGTATGCTGTGTATCCCCAAATAGAGATGCATTAGATGCTCTGATTTGTTTCTTGGATGAGGATCCAATCCCTGTAGGACATCCCATATTGTCGGTTTGTAGTTGTAGAAGTCTCGAATATGGCGTCGCAAAGACGTACACTTGAAAAGTTGGAAGTTGGGGATGTTCTGATGCATCTTCTAATAGTCTACGCCACGTCACTCTGAGCTTAGCTTGTCTTCCTTTACCACTTGAGCTTGACGTATTTCCTCCACTCTCATACAAATGGTCTGATCTCAAGGTCTTATCGGTATAGTTCTTATCAGTCACGTGTCGACCTTATCGCCCGATCTCCGTAAATAAGGTTGAGCCCCGATTCAGACATTCTCGACAACCAATTTACCTTTGGTCAACTGTTGCGCATGCGAGCTTCTCGCCGAGTATTGCGCTGGGTTCCTCCCTCCAGCCTCGCAGCTAGTCGGACATGGCAAGCGATACCGAATAGATTCTGCACAGGCCGTCATGACCTTCCCTCTAAATCGCCAGTCCTGCAAAGGACGGCCGGACAAGCTAGACCGTTCTCCTCGACTAGCCCGGTCAAATTCATGCTATATGGAGACTCCACGATATACGCGCTCTCGACTGCAACGGGACGAGCAGCCATTGCAGTTGTGCGCATATCCGGTCCAGCCTGTACTTCAGTACGTTATTGAAGCCAACCACTTTACTCCGTACAAGCCAGACTAATAAACTAATAATGAATACAGATATACAAAAAGCTTTGTCCAAATACTCCCCTCCCAAAACCCCGCTACGCAGCCCTCCGCACCCTCTACGACCCAACCCACCCACCAACCAAAAACACAATCCTCGACGCCGGCGCCTTAGTCCTCTACTTCCCCGCACCACGAACAGCAACAGGCGAAGACATCCTCGAACTACACATCCACGGCGGGCCAGCAATAACAAAAGCCGTTCTGTCCGCAATCTCCCAAACAAACACCCAGACGCATACAGTTCGCTACGCCGAACCAGGCGAATTCACCCGTCGCGCCTTCATGAACGACCGTCTCAGCCTCCCGCAAATCGAAGCTCTAGGTGACACCCTCTCCGCGGACACAGAACAGCAGCGTCGACTAGCGGTGCGCGGCTCAAGCGACGCGCTGATAAAGCGGTATGAAAGCTGGCGACAGGATCTACTGTATGCGCGCGGCGAGCTGGAAGCGCTGATTGATTTTGCCGAGGACCAGCATTTCGACGAGTCGACGACGGAGCTGGTTGAGTCTGTTGCCGGGCAGGTGAGGGCGCTGTGTGTGCAGATTGGGTTTCATGTTGCTAATGCGTCGCGTGGGGAGTTGTTGAGGAATGGGATAAGGGTTGCGCTGCTGGGTGCTCCGAATGCGGGGAAGAGCTCGTTGCTTAATCGGGTTGTTGGGAAGGAGGCGGCGATTGTTAGTACTGAGCGGGGGACGACGAGGGATATTGTTGATGTTGGGGTGGATTTGGGGGGTTGGTTTTGTAAGCTGGGGGATATGGCGGGGATAAGGGCGGAGGGGGTTATTGGGGCTGTTGAGATGGAGGGGATTAGGAGGGCTAGGGCTAGGGCTTTGGAGTCGGATGTTGTTATTGTGGTTGTTTCGTTGGAGGATACTGCGGATGGAGTGAGGTTGGCTGTTGAGCCGGAGGTTCTGGATGCAGTTAATGACTGTGTGGAGGCGGGGAATTGTCTCGTTGTTGCGATTAACAAGTGCGACAAGCTGCCTGCTGGTTTGGGAAGTGGTGTGCCGAAGTCATTGTCTGATACGATTCAGGATATCTTCCCAGCGGTTCCTGCAGACCGTGTATTTGCCATTTCCTGTGAAGAAGCTCAGGGAGCGTTGTCGGAGACCACTGCAGACCCGGGGCATTTGCAGGCCTTTCTACGTGGTCTGATATCGACCTTTGAACAGATTGCCTCGCCTTTAGGGGACGGAGTGGAGGGTCAATATGATCTTTCATATTGGGAAGATTCTCTAGGTGTCACGCACCGCCAAAGCTCTAATTTACAAAAATGTCTCGATCATCTCGGTGATTTCCTGTCCCAGGCTGCGCCTGCATCCCCCGAGTCCACGCAGGAAGAGCGCGGTTCTCTTGCCGATGAGTGTGAAGTCGACATCGTCACTGCTGCAGAACACCTGCGCTTTGCGGCAGATATGTTGGCCAAGATCACAGGAAAGGGCGAGAGCGGTGATGTTGAGGATGTGTTGGGTGTTGTCTTTGAGAAGTGAGTATTGGTCTTTTCTGATTTGGATGGTAGACTGACTGTCGCAGGTTCTGTGTTGGCAAGTAGCACATGTGGATGAGACTATCTGCTCTCCCCTTGATCGGTGGGAGTCGTGTTCCAGCCATGCAATTGCTTGCTGAGAGTGTATTGCTTGTCATGCGCAATGCTGGACATCCTAATCCCGGCCGCGCAATAGACGATTCGGGCGATTAGCAGGGGCATTGTATCCCCCTCGACCCATTACAGGATGCGTCTTGAATAGATATGAGCGAAAAATTGGTGTGAAGTGTATGAAGTGTCGGTAATAAACGATGCAATTGTATGAATAGCAGCTCGATAGACCATAGACTAATAATGTACTGATCAACCCTCCTTGTCGGTCCATACTTATAAGGAACCCTCCAACCCTAAGTCAAAAGTCTGCCTCGCCCCCATTCAACCTCACCAAAATCTGACGAACCACCTCCGAAACAAAGTATAGTCTGAAATTAGCCCTCTCATTGTCCATGTCCAACCTGTCAAACATGAACAATAAATCTGAGTCAGGGTACGCTCTTCAAAGTACCCTCAACTGAGTCCACTCCTAGGCTTTCCGCGTGTTTCAGGCGGATGTACCGATTACCGAGACCCTGGCTCTGAGCTACAATGCAGAAGGAGGGTATTTCTGTTCTCATGGACGAATGGATGTTACGGTGGTATAGATGGGGATATCAGCAGCTGAGCCCCAGTTTGTGCAAAGATGAGTTTGAGGTTGAAACATGCTGGGGGAACTGGGATGGACTGGGACTGGGACTGGGATTTGAAGGTGATAGTACTACATTTAGATAGGATTATTCTTCTGACTTCTTCTATTGAATTGTGTATTTATTAATGGACTAAGATATTGTCGGCTTTGTATGCTAAACCTCATGTCAGATCTAAGAATAGCGGATAGATGCATGGAATGTCTGTTTCCTTCTAGAAGCATTGAAAGAGAGAAGAAAGTATTAGAAAAAGAAAATAAGAAACTCACGTTTACAACCTGTAGAACTCATTCTATCGGGGCTGACAAGTACCTTGCAGGCTTGCAGGCTTGGATGGAATTAAAACTGGACCCTGGTGACCCTGATGGAGGAAATAGAAGCGAAAGGTCACTATTGTCCGATATATTACAGAAGATAGTAGGGCATACTGCGTGAAGAATACCTAACCACCGATATTGGTAGCGCAGGCTGTGCTATGAATAGCTTCGTCCCTGTCCCATGACTCCCATCCCTGTTTCTCCATGTGGCTGCGTCCTGTATCTATTCGACTTCATTCTTCCAATCACCCGTGAGGCTTTGAACTTGTTTTGTCTTTTGCCATATTTCTTTGAGCTTCACCTCGATGCATTACATCTCCTGAGAATACAGGGAGTAATAGACTACAGAAAGAAGTCCAATAGAATGTCTCATTTGGGGCTAAGTAGACCTATCCTACCCAGATTGCAGATCAAAACAAGCCACAATGCCTCCCCTCACCACATCGTAGCCCAATTCCTCTCCACAAGCACGAATAATGAATAGTGTTACCTTCGGATAGTCATTCTCCATCCTCTGATAACCATAATCCCCGAATCTCCCTCACTGCACCAAGCCACCCACAATCATGTTGGCAAGCGGGTAAGGTCATATCAAAGACTCTAAGACTGAGTAAAGTCCATGCCAGGACAATCGTAGTAATTGATGTAGAAAGCACGCAGCCTACCCAGACATTCATCCGCGTTGAGCAGGTGCGAGCAGGCCGGGACTTTCTCGGCATGTTGGAAGAGCCAAGAGACCTCTGGGAAGTGATTCCCACAGTTAAAGCAGAAGAATGCATTTGTGTGTCTGGGCTTGGTGCCGTAGAGGCCGCGTTGCGGACCCTCGAAGGCGAGCGTGCGGATGCGGTAGCGCTTCACGCAGAAGCCTTGCTCTAGGTGGTAGAGAAGAGCTGAGAAGCCGAGACATTTCAATGGGCAGAACCAGCATTCGTAGGTTTGGAGGCCCACGGGATTCTCTGCTGTTACGAGCTCGTCGGATCGCCAGGTGGTAGGCTGCGTCGAGGCTGCCGAGGAAGGCATGATGGGTTGAGGGGGGTTTGATGGAACCTTGATGGATGATGAGGGGAGAGTAGGATAAAGAGAAGGGTTTAGAATAAGGAGAAGTGAGAGTGTTTGCTTTCTTATATCTCAACATACGAGGGAGGTTCCTTCTCTGTTTGGGAGTAGGGTTATGGCCTATGGGCACCTTCCAAGTTGGGTATTTCAAACTGTATACTATACACATGTGACATGAGCTCTTACCTTGGTAATATTAGGTACCTGGACCCTGGTACCACTTACCAGGCATGTTATGATGTTCATGCCCAGTGTCTATTTGTTGTCCCTTATCATTTATGAAGGTCTTCTCTACATCTCATCGATCTATATACTTCACAAACATTGCAAACACAGGCCGATCACGTCATTAGCACGTGACTTATTTCAATCTGGCCGATGTCGGCTCATTCTTCTCACCTTTGCTTTTTTGCTTCTTCTCTGCATACCATACGGCGTACAGACTGCAGTATCAGACAGAGCAGTTGGATCACCAGCCATAGAGAAGAAAGACGACTTCTAGCTTGAACTGGCTATGTCAATCGAGGTTATCAAGATTGCATCTACACCAACTCGTTGACCCCACCAGATAAGATGATCACTAGTTACGGAGTTGTCATGACCATAGATATTCTATGTACGACCACAGAAGTATGTGGTAGATCTCCATTACATCGGGTTATCAATCATTATATAAGAAGTACAGTCTTTCCAAGTACTGTAGTCAATGGACGTCAGTGACTCACTCAAGATAGCCATATGAATTGACTCTTACCCCGCCATTGCTACAAGTACAATCGATTGTCAATGGGATATACGTAGACCCAATTGAACACGGGCAGTCAGAAAAATATTCCAAATTCATAATCGACTCTAAACCCTCTTCACAAACGTGGTATAGATCCACTGCGGTCCACACTTGACTCGGAGCTTTTTCTCTCCCGCTTCACTTTTTCTTCCCTACTCCATACATCACCCACCTCACCAAAATGCCCTCCCGTCAAGAAGTCTCCTACTTCGGAGCCGGCCCAGCTCCCCTCCCGACCCCCGTCGTCGAAGCCGGCGCAAAAGCCTTCGTCAACTTCAACGAGGCTGGACTCGGCCTCGGCGAGATTTCGCACCGCTCCCCGACAGCCAACAAGATCCTCGACGACGCCAAAGCCAACCTCTCCGCTCTCCTCGATATCCCCGATAACTATGAAATCCTCTTCATGCAGGCCGGTGGCAGTGGCGAGTTCAGCGCCGTCGTGCAGAACCTTGTCCCCGTTTGGATCGAGCGTCGGCGTCGCAGGGCTGAGGCCGATATTAAGAAATCCCAGCCTGATGCTGAACAGGCCCAGGTGGATGAATTGGTCTTTCAGAGACTTCAGAAGGAGGTTGACGAAGAGCTGAAGCTGGATTACCTCGTGACTGGATCTTGGTCGCTCAAGGCTTCCCAGGAAGCGAGTAGACTGATTGGTTCGAAATATGTGAATGTGGCTGTCGATGCTCGCAAGGCAAATGGTGGGAAGTTTGGGAAGATTCCTGCTGAGGAGACCTGGTCGTTGACTCCTACTAAGAAGGAGGGCGGAAAGGGCTCTGCTTTCGTCTATTTCTGTGATAATGAGACTGTTGATGGTGTGGAGTTCCCGCAGTTCCCCAAGTCTTTGGAGGCTCAGGGTCAGGATGCTGAGGATGAGCGCCTGGTTGTGGCTGATATGAGTTCCAACTTCATCAGCCGGAAGGTCGATGTTAGCAAATACGCTGTTATCTTCGTGAGTAGCTCATATCTGCGTGGTAGCTTCATATCTGCGGTGAGAGCAATGCGCTAACGTTATATACAGGGTGGCGCACAGAAGAATATCGGTGTTACCGGTATCACCATTGCCATCGTTCGCAAGGACCTCCTCCCTCCCCAGACCGCCACTCCTCCCCCTGCTCTCCTCCACCGATTGAACATCGGCGGTCTTCCGGGCCCTATCGTCCTCGACTACGCAACCATCGCAAAGAACAACTCCCTCTATAACACTCTCCCCATCTTCAACCTCTGGATCGCCGGTCAGGTCATGGCCGATCTGATGGCCGAGTTCAGCACGCAGAAGGTCAGCGGGCAAGAGGAAGTCGCCAACAAGAAGGCGCAGCTCATCTACGGGGCTCTGGACAAGTACCCGGCAGTGTACCAGGTTGTTCCCGACGTCAGCGTCCGCAGCCGCATGAACATCTGCTTCCGCGTTTGCGGCGGTGATGATGCAAAGGAGAAGGCGTTCATCGCCGGCGCTGAGAAGCGTCTTCTCCAGGGTCTTAAGGGCCACCGCAGTGTAGGCGGCATGCGTGCCAGTAACTACAATGCGGTTCCGCTGGAGAATGTGCAGAAGCTGGTGAAGTACCTCGAGGACTTTGCTGTTGGGTTGTAGATTGCATTTCATGTTTGAGCGAATTCAAGGAGCTTTGGGCCAGGAACGTGTGATGGGTCACGAAAAAGGACCAGGACAGCGATTTTATTCAACATAACTCCCAGTATATCCATGCTATATGCTATAATGACAAAAGGTTTTGGTACAAAGTACAAGTTGTTAGGAGAAAGCTCATAGCTTCCATACACCCCATCCCTTGAGATCGAGTTGCTTGATAACTCCATTCAAAGGGCCTTGGAGCTCCTGTCCTTGTGCCCACAGTTTAGGCCCGGCCATGTAACTGATGAATCCCTCCGGACCGGAAACCAGAATCAACTTGTTGGCTTCTTCTGAGGCTGGCTCAATAGCCTTTCGAATAGCCTCCTTGGTAATGAACGTGTTCTCCTCGTCCACGTAGTAATCCACAGTGACTTGTCCCGGATACTGAGACTTTAGCGCCTCCAGCTCGCGCACAATGACAGAAGAGGGTTCTTGCTCCACGGCCGGCGCATCCCAGACAGTATCCCGACTCGGAGACGAGCCAAACCACCCAGAGAACCAGCCCCGACGTGGTTGCGGCTTCAACGAGTCACTGTGACCACCCGCGCAGTCATCCTTCAATCGGTTCGCCCACAGGATATGGATCTTCGGCCGATGATCCGCGCTCGTGCGGGACAGAAGAGAATACCCAGCCTGCAGAGCAGGCGCAATACCAGTCCCACCGGCAATAAAGAGAATATCCTTCGTGTCTTTCGGTATCGTGCACTCGATCTTGGGTCCGCGCATCTCGACTTCAGCGCCTACGGCGATGGTATGCAGGTAGCGCGAGACTTCCCCGAAAGGGTCCTTTCGAATGAAGAATCGCAAGCAGCCTTCGTTCTCGTCGTCGACGCTTAGGGTTGTTGCCGCCGTTGTCGGCAAGGGGGTGTAGTCTCGTCCGATCTGGAGTTGTGGCTGCTTGAACATTACACTCCAGACGCCGGTCTGCCATGCTTCCTCGTAGACATCGTAGTTGCTGTCGCTGGGCTGGCGGGGTCGCAGTGTGAATAGGCTGCTGGTTGCTGATACGGGTTCGCGGGATACGAGGCTGTATTTGGTGAATGTGTCTGGGTTCAGGGTTGCGGAGGAGGTGTTTTGGGATCGGATGTAGGCGCCTGCGCCGGCTGCTGTTGCGCCGACGAAGGCGATGCTTAGCCAGCGGCGGGAGTTGGATTTAGGTGACGGGGTGGAGGTTGAGGCATAGCGCACAGGCTGAGCTGCAGCTCTTAGGCTGCTTCTACAGCGTATAGAAGAAAAGGTGTTCATGAGGGCAGTTGGAGAAGAAATCGCGGGGGAAGATGGAAGGTTGAGCGAACCCACGAGAGCCGATTGGGTGTGATCGACACTCTAACAACCCCTTGGCGGTCACTTTCTTTTCCACTTCACAACGGACGTTCACCTGCAAATATCTAGGGGAAGATTCTTCCTACGATCTCGACATTCTCGTTCTTACGGAAAATGGAGAGTCTTGGCCACTGACGACATCTACGACATACCTCTCCCTCTAATAACCACACAGTCCGTACGGAGTAGACACAAAGAATCATGTCGCATTCATACTCCCAAACCAGAAATGACAGTCTCACCGCACCCCGAGACTCACTAGAACTCGCCTCCCTCGCCTCCTCCTCCCCCGTCTCCATAGCCGGGTCCACACGCTCCTCCTCCGACGGCATCTCCTCATCCCGCAAGCTCTCCCTCGAAGACGAAGACCCGCTCGGCGAGTCGCACGGAGACGGCGAGCTCGAGACCGGCCGTCGCCACAGAGCCCTCAGCACATATTCCATATCCTCCGCTTTCGATTTCGGGCGCACTCTTTTCCCGCTGTCGCAAACACAAGGTGGCTATGCGCCCCTAGGCACCCCGTCCGCAGAGACACCGGGCTTGGATGGATCGCTGGAGCGGAATAAGACATTGACGTACCTCAATGGGCTGTCGCTTATCGTTGGCTTGATTATTGGTTCTGGGATCTTCTCGTCGCCGAGTCAGGTCAATGCTAACGCGGGGTCACCGGGGGCTTCGCTCATTGTTTGGGCGGTGGCTGGTCTGCTTGCCTGGACGGGTGCGGCGAGCTATGCGGAGTTGGGAGGTGCGATTCCGTTGAATGGGGGCTCGCAGGTGTATCTGTCTAAGATCTTTGGAGAGTTGACGGGGTTTCTCTTTGCTTGGTGTGCTGTGTTGGTGTTGAAGCCTGGGTCTGCTGCGATTATCTCGCTCATCTTCGGCGAGTATCTCGTTCGGGCGTTTGTGGGTGCGGACGTGGGTGATCTAAGCCCGTGGATTAACAAGGGCGTTGCGCTTGGAGGGCTACTGGCCGTGACTCTGCTCAATTGCATATCGACCAAGTTCGCTACCCGCATTGGGGACTTTTTCTTGTTCTTCAAGTTCATTGCTCTGCTGGGAGTTACCGTTATAGGTATCATTGTTGCTGTGACTGGCTTTTCGTCGAAAGGAAGCGCAAATGAAGAATGGAAGAATACCGGCTGGTTCGAGGGAACCAACACCGAGATCTCGGATTTCGCAGTGGCATTGTATGCCGGTCTCTGGGCATTTGACGGCTGGGACAATGTGAGTTGAACCCTACTGCTTCTAAACATACCTCCTACTCACACATCCAGACCAACTACGTGACAGGCGAGTTCAAGAACCCGAATCGCGATCTGCCGCGGGTGATTCACACAGCAATGCCCCTGGTCATCTTGTCCTATCTGCTCGCCAATGTCTCATACTTCCTCGTCCTGCCTCACTCCGTCATTGAGGCCAGCAACACTGTCGCCGTGCAGTTCGGCGCAAAGGTATTCGGCCCCGTCGGAGCTCTAGTCCTAGCCCTAGTCGTTTCAGCCAGTTGCTTCGGCGCTCTCAACGCAACCACCTTTACAAGCGGCCGACTGGTCTACGCCGCCGGCAAGGAAGGATATCTCCCTTCTATCTTCGGCCGCATCGGCCTCCACGCCTCTGCCACAGGTCCTCCCCCAGGTAGCCGACTCCGCCACCGCTCCTGGGCGCGCAAATCCCTCTCTCGTCTGGTCGGCGATGAATCCAGACTCGGCTTCACGCCTATATATGCCATGGCCTTCCACAGCGCTCTGACAGTTATCTACATTGTTGTTGGCGAGTTCGGCACCCTCGTCACTTTCTACGGTGTCGCCGGTTACACCTTCTACTTCCTCACCGTTCTCGGTCTGATTGTTCTCCGGATCCGTGAACCACACTTGGAACGACCATATCGCACTTGGGTTACTACGCCGATTATCTTCTGCTGTGTTAGTCTGTTCCTCCTCAGTCGGGCTGTCATCTCTGAGCCTTTGCAGACTCTCATTGTCGTCGCTTTCATCATTACTGGTGTGCCGGTCTACTACTGGCGTATTCACCAGCGAGATGGACACATTGATCTTCCTAATTGGAAGTTCTGGAAGCGTAACCCATAAGACTGGTGCTCTTTCTTTTGGTCTGTTTTGCTTATGATTTTTATACCCGTGCATATATAGCTGGTATGGTTACAGTGAGATCTGGGTGTGGATGCCTTTGGGCGACGATGTGATGATATAGGTGCATTTTAATAGTTGCTGGATTCTCCAGGTCTGATTCTACCTTGTTTTATTACTGAAATCTAGTGATATAAAGCAGATTACACATAATCTTCATAATTGCTCTGCAGTCTCTGTTTCTATATGCCTAGTAGTTTATTCCACAGGGACCTTATGTAGACATATTCACACCCAATCCATCCCAAATATCAGCCCTCACAAGAACAGCCGCTGGCCCATCGTCCGTCTTTACATCCTCAGCAAAGAACAACGGTCCAAAACAACGGTCTGTGTCGTAAATCCGGGTCGAGATCACCGTCCTCTCATTAACGAATACCTCCAACACACTCGAATCAAAGAAAGCGTGTACTCGGAGCATCTCTTCTTCCTCGCCGCCCTCGTTCAAGGATGTAAACAGCGTATGCGGAGCACTTTCATAGCCGTGATTGATTTCGTCGTCGACTGCTGGTCGATGGATGGTGAAGGTCTCGCTTTGTGGATTCCAGGCGAGAATTGTGCAGCTTTGGCCATCTACAAGATTCAAGAATGACTATTAGTATATTGTTTTCATAGGGGTATAATTGGAATTGGTATAATGGACTTGGTCTTACCAGCTGTGTGTGGTATCTTAATACCCACGCTTGTGCAAGTCTGGCTGACAGAGAATTCGGCATATAGCTCCCATCTTGTCGTCAACGGCACAGCAGTCTCCAGCGGTGAAGACAGTGGTATATTTGCGAGACGGGTCTCTCGGGCGTTGCATCGTAACCGTGTGAGTCGGCTATCCGGTGTGATTCTCATCGTGTGGATAGTGAAGGTTCCGCCAGAGGGAATGATCTCGATTGAAGTGATCGAGTTCAATGGCGAGTGACGAGCCTTCTTCACGTTCTCAATGGTCAATAGTCCCACCACACGAGGCAGCGAGATCACACCGCTGAACCCTTGACGATGGCGCAGAGAATCAGATAGGTCCTCGTCCGTGATCCAGCCGTATACGATGTTCTGCGAGGTTTGAGGATCGTAGAAGGAATTGGCTGCATAGAAGCAGCCGTGGTCGAAGATACCAGAGAAGGAATATGAAGCCAGAGGGCTATCTGTGGAAGTGGTGTCTGTTCTTTTGGATTTGATACACATCCAGAGTTGGCCTCGGGGTACTCGTCTCTGGCGTGCGTGAGCTTCGTCTTGCTTTGGGCTTGCACAGCCCTCAGCTCCCATGATGATGAAATCTCGAGTTGTGCTTCCATTGCTCAGAGTCAGAAGACTAGCCACTTCCCAGTTGACGCCGTGGTCTCCAGACCAGCGAGATGGTTGGAGGTTCAGGCCTACATCAACCAATGGGCCGATGAATTCCCACTTCCGAAGGTCCGTTGCTTGGACAGTGTATACAAAGACCGTTGGAGTTTGTTTGGGGATTCCTCCGGAGATAAAGCCATATAATGTTGACGCATCTTTGGAAAGAGGACCCTCAGCCCAGGTTGTGACGAAAGGATCTCGCCAGCCCGTCACATTGAGATGTGAAGGGGGACCGGGGAGGATTGGATTGCAGTCCTGGCGTGTCCAGTTCTTGCCGCCGTCTTTGGAAACAGCTAGACTGAGAGTCTCGCTTCCGTACGTGTAGGGTAGTGTATGATGAATGGGAAGATGGCTGACAGACGTGTACAGGATTGTAAGAGCACCTGGATGTCCCTGAACGTCGGTTGGTCGTAGACATCCTGTGAATATACCGTGACGGTCGTACTCAGCTGAAGGTGTCAGGATCGGAGTGTTGGATGTCGTCCATGATACTAGATCGGGGGATGTTGCATGGCCCCAGGACATATTGCCCCAGTCATTCCCGTGGGGATTCCATTGGAAGCAGAGATGATATAGCCCTGTTGTAGGGTCGTAGCCCAGGCCACATGGGTCATTCAACCATCCTGGAGCAGTGATATGGAATGAAGGTCTCCATGATTTCTTCTCTTCGCGAGACGAGTCTATCACTCGGGATTCGACGGAATGTCCGGACTTGTGTAGTGTCTGGAAGGCTGGGATGTCCAGACCAGGTGCAGGGGTGATTATAGACATTGTGTTGAAGAAGGGTGAAAGCACTCGGGACGAGCAGGTTGAGATATACTCTTGGGCCACTTTCTCATTTTCCCCGAACCAAGTCCAGTCCAGTCCAATAACTAATCAGAGGTTGAATTATCCTGATCTAGGTTCTTCATTGATTTCCCCGAATCTCCGAAGTTGATCGGAATTCCACTGCAGTTCAGTTCTAACGTCTGACGGAGGATCCTCGGCGAATCTTCTCTCAACGGTGGAGATCACCAAAAGTCTATGTTTAAACGCGAATCCTCCTCCTTTCTCCAAGATCGGCATCCGAACCGACAAACTGGGAAATCTCGGAGAAATTCACAGTCCGGGGATAGCAGGATCCAAGGACCAAGGTTGGAGAGATCTGGGGAAACGGGGGCTCAGTCTCCTTTTACAACATGTCTGACTCTGCGTCTATATAATATCCCCATGGAATGCTGTCGGGTGGACTCACTTCTCCACTGGAAGATCCGCACCATGTCTTCCGAGAAGTGTGACCCGACTGAGATTCACCATGTCGACTACTCGAACACGCCTCGAAAGGCTGTTATCAATGCCCAATTGATATTCGCCTGTACAGTCTTCGGAGCCGCCTCATTCTTATTTGGGTTCGATGACAAGATCATCTCCCCTGTCGCTGCTTTGGTGCCCTTTGTAAGTGCTACCACATTGTTTAAACAACGGCAAGCTGACTTCAAATAGGTCAAGAAGTTCCAGGGACCAAACCCGGTCACTGGCAAGTTCGTCCTGACAGCTCGCAACCAGAATCTGGTCTTCTCCCTTCCATTAGTAGGCTCCGTGATCGGTGGTCTGGTTGCTTCACCGATGAATTATCACCTCGGACGTAAATGGCCGCTCATGGCTGCATATGTTATCTCCGTGGGTGGCGGATTGCTGCAGGTCTTTGCGCCCAATCTGGGGGCGTTTGTGGGAGGGCGTTCGATCAATGGAATTGCATTGGGAATTGCGAACGCAACTGCACCCTTGTATATCTCCGAGGTAAGTAAGGATTCAACTCATTATTTGACCTAAGCTGAGACAAATAGGTCGTTCCCGCCTCTATTCGCGGCCGATGTGTGGCTTCCATGAACATCTTGAACCTGATAGCCGGAGTGGTATCCACTGTGGTGGTTTTCAGAACTGAAAAGATGGACGGGATCCAGTCGTATCAGATTCCGTTAGCTGTTCAGTGTGCCTTGCCCGTTCTTCTTCTCTTCCTCACAATACCCATTCCAGAGAGTCCGCAATGGCTAGCTGGGAAAGGCAAGCTGAAGAAAGCCCGAGACAACCTGCGGAAACTACGTGGTTTTAGCGACGCAGAAGTCGAAGATGAACTTCGTCTGGTGGTACTGTCCGAGCAGAATTCATGTGAGCTACGGGCTCAGACGAAGTTCTGGGATATATTCCAACGTCACCATCTCAAGCGAACCCTAACTGCAGCCTCCTTCTTCTCCTTGAATCAGATCTCAGGCGTCATCCTGTCAACCACCTACACGACTGTCTTCCTAACAGAACTGGGCATTGCAGATCCATTCTCGCTGACAATTATCGCATCCTGTTGTACACTGGCCGGTACAATTGCCGCCCCCTTCGTCGTCGACCGTGCTGGTCGACGTCCCACGGCATTCGTCGGGATGTCCATTCTATTCGTGATTGACGCCGTGGCCGGTGGTCTAGCCTTCAGCAGAGACAAGCAGTCCACTTTGGCCATCGCCATCTTATCCTTTGTGTTCAACTTCTTCTGGGCTTCTTCCTTCTACTCGTTGTCGAGTCTCATGCCATCCGAGATGGCGACTCCCAAACTCCGCCACCACACCATGTCCTATACAATTGCTTGTGCCCAAACCACGGCCGTTATTACCACACTTGTCGTTCCGCAGTTGACCTCGGCGGATGCGGCCAATCTTGGCGCAAAGACCTATCTCATCTTCGCTGGCTGCATGGCTGTCATTCTTGTATGCTTCTACTTCTTGCTGCCGGAGACTCGTGGCCGAACTTTTGCGGAGATTGATGAGATGTATGCGGCCAAGGTCCCTATGTGGAAGTGGAGGTCTTATGAGACCTCATTGGAGGTAAGGCCGAGTGAGGCAAAGGGGTGACCTGGCATTGACCAGCATTGCAGCCGGAGGTATCGATATATGGCAGAGTGCTCAGGTCTTCACATTTAGTGCAAATAACAAATCTCTTTCCTCCATGACTTGAGAACAAGCGATTCGTACTCAAACACGTTCCTGTACAGACAGCCTTCATCATAGTAAACAATAGTAGAAGTCGTACACAAAATTGCTCTTTGGTCCCTCGCCAACACGAAGTCTGTGCCCATCTGCCTCAATTGCTGCGGCCACTGCCTCGGCTACATGATCTGGAGCGAGCGCAGGTGATCTCGATACTTTTCCAAGTAAGGATGATTGCCCCCACGGAAACTGGTCATCAGTAACAAGAAATCTTCTGCAAGACTTTGAGGCGTGGAGGTTGAACTTCCGCGTATCACCTCGTGGTCGAGCCAACAAGCATCCCCATAGGGTGGTCTCATGTTGCATAGTATGTTTGTTGCACAAGTTGCGATATCGTACAATTTCTCGGCCTATATAAGTTGTTAGCATATAGAACCAAATGAGTGCACTGATCTGCAGATAGCTGTGCCGAGGTACATACCAGGCCGATGCCATGAGCTTCCATAGAGCTAAGCCGTAAGGACTTGCACAGCTGTAGAGTAGATTCGGCGATGGTCACAGCATATCGAAAGTTCAGCTCAGCGGGTTCCGCATCGGTCTTTATAATCTCGTGAGATGAACAGAGGAGCCAGACACGGTTCTGCAGCCATTTCTGAGTGATGAAGACGTCCGCTGCCTGGGTTTCTCGCAGACCCATGGCGGGTGTTACATGGCTGGTTTCACTGCCTCCTTTGGCACGTTCAAACCAGTCGTAGCCCCGGTAGCGTTCGGCCTGATCAACTCGACTGAGATTTTGGTGGATGGATAGGGCCTTTTCTTTCGTAAGCCTCTTGCAGCTATCGTCGCTATTGAGAGGGCATCGAAGGTTCCAGCAGTCGATGACTTCCTCGTCGATGGCGTCGAATAACTCCATCATCCGTGCGAGACCCATCATGCCCTCGGCATCTTTCTCATTATGGACTATAATCCCAGAGATGACGCTGTGCGTGGCACTGTGGATGAAGTCATGCACAGAACGTATGCTGAATCCCGGCTTGCCCCAAAAGGTAATTGGGTGACGCCGTTGCAGAGCATAGGCTCTGTATTTCTGTCAGTGACTCGTCCTTGACTCAGTCAAGTTGACTTACCTTTCTGTGATAGAAAGCACCAGATACGTTCGTAGTCGTTGACCTTTTTCTTCCCCAGACAGATGGCGATATGATTCGGGATCATTCAATCGCAGCGTGGCGGCAAGGTCCAGCGCCTCCCGTAGTCGGAGCCATGCCGCATTATGCTGGTTAGTTCCAAACAAACAGCCAAAGAGAAAGAAACTGGTCAGCACCGCTTCAATGGTTGGGTTCTCGCCAAAGTCCGAACAGCTGCGCATTTTGGTGGCTTCCTGCATCATAGCCCGCGCCTGGCTAGCTCGAGATGAGGTTGTCGGTCGTTCATCGATCTCAATTGGCTGTGTGAGCGAGAATGCACATAAGGACAAGAGCATCGCCCCGAACTGGGGGTTCCTGCGATGTTCTTGGGTGAGCATTGAAGTGTACAGGGCCGACCGGTTGAGGACGGGGATAGTTGGATGTAAGCGATCAAAGTAGACGTCAATCCAAGGGATCATATTTGCTTCGTTAATCGCGACTGGCCAAACTATTGGAGTCCCTTGGGTCTCTGAGTGGGAGCCCACGGGTGAAAATGGCATATTTTGAGCATGTTGGGGCATTCCCATCGATATATCAGGAACTGGTTGAATGATAGAGGGAAGAGACGGCTTGAGATAGAAATTGCTGCCTGGGAATCCAAAGACCGGGACTTGCGAGTCCAGATTATCTGGAAGCCAGTACTCGACCTCATGTCGGTCATCCAGACCCATGGGGAAATTGGGCGGAACGTAAATAGATTCGGTGTATGCACCCCAGGCTGCTGGCATTGCAGGTGGTGGACCTGTATTTGGTAGTTCTTCAGGTTCATGAGACATTGTAGAGTCACGAGTTGGTGTCCAAGGGGCTCCAGGCAGAGAAGCTACTTGGCCGGACTCCATCGTTGGAGGCTGGAATTGGAAGGCATCTGGACTGGATGCCTGGGGAGTTGCCAGAGTTTGCTGCTGTCGAATCTGTGACACGCGACTTGGCGCTGGTCAGGGATATCGTTGGTATGCATATTCGAGTACTCACTGTCCAGTTGGTCCGCGCTTCTTTTGCGGTTGGATAAAAGTACATTCAAAGCCCATCGACTGACAAGATTTGCATGGTTGTGACAGACTACACTATTAGCTAGTCAGTGACCAATATCTCTTGGTGTGGGGGGAGTATCTTACCTTGATCTTGCGGAATTTGCATTGATCACAGGCGCGCTTAGCAATGGAGATTCTATCCCGCGTATCTCTGCGAATTACACTGGAGCTACCAGTTGATGTATTTTCGGGATCCATTATGTACAGGAGTTGATGGTTGAGCTCAAGATGAAGAGCAAAGCGCATAAATTATGGGGAAGGTTTGACCCACATGATCTTCCCCTCCCTTCCTGCCCCAGTGCCCCTGGGATGCGCTCAAATTTGATCTATCGTGAAATACTCTAACTAGTTACTGGTGAACATGATTGAACTAGCTTCGTATGCAGCCTGGCATCTGCTTCCAGAGTCACTTGACAAAACGCCGTGAAATATGCAACAAAATCAATCCTTTTTTCCTCAAGCCTTGGGAGGCTCGAACAGCTCCGGCTTCATGTTAATCTTGCACAGCTTCGCCACACAGCCACTGAGTTGTAGCAATGACTGCACACCATCCAGGATACGCATATGCGTGAATCCAATCTCTCGAATGAACTCCAGCTTAGAATGTTCGGACAAAGTGGGTATCGTTTTGGTGACTCGGAACATAGTACTGATGATATCGTGAGAGGAGTATCCCAGGGTCCTGTATAGACTGGTTAGAAAACACCGAAGAGCCCAATACCAACACATGTCAACATACCATAGTTCGTTCAAACCTTCCAACGCCACATCAACCTTGCCTTCCCAGCAAGCCTTGATCATGGCCTGGACTTTGACTGGGTGTGGACTGTCGACTACTCGGAAGACATTGTCTCCGTTGACGAAACCGAAGCCGGACCAGGTACTCTGCAAGTTGTTGATGGCTTGACGCATATCACCCTCTGCACTGAAAACCAGTGCAGCGATTCCATCCTCTGAGTGCTTGACCTTCTCTGCCTCGATAATCTGCATCAACCGCTTCACAACTTGGGCATCGGTCAACCGGGCATAACGAAGAATAGCACAGCGGGATTGAAGAGGTTCGATGATCTTGTTCGACTGGTTGCAAGCAAAGGCGAAGCGGGTGGTGGACGAATAGATTTCCATGGTACGTCGCAGGGCTTGTTGGGCACCGGCGGTCATGCTGCAGGAAGATATGAGTCCAATGGCCGAATCAAGACATGGAAGAGTACGGACCTGTCTGCTTCATCGAGGATGACCAGCTTATGGCGTCCTGGAGGCAAAGTAACCTTCTTTTGGGCAAAGCCCTTGATGCGATTGCGCACCACATCGATACCTATATCAGTTAGCTTTTGACGGCGCCAGCCATAAGATCCGTTCAGAACTAACCTCTCTCGTCACTAGCATTCAGCTCCAAAACTGCCTCCTTGTATGCATCTCCTAGCATTTGACGCGCCAAACATAGAACTGAGGTGGTCTTTCCAATACCCGGCATGCCGGAGATGATAACGTGGGGCATATTGCCATCTTTGGCAATGATCTTTAATCGTTCCACTGTTTCTGTGTTGCCGACAACATCATCGAGGAAGACTGGGCGATATTTCTCGACCCTATGGCAAGGTTAGCTCCGCCTGATATTGTTCGAGAAGCAAAACCCACCAAGGAAGCTCATAGTCAGCAGGGGCACCGGCGGTGTTCACCTTGGCATGGCGAGAAGCACTTGAGGAGGATTCACCTTGAACCATTGTGAGCTTGAGTTTACGTAGATGAAGAGAGTTGAAGGAAGACGCGAAAGAACGCGTGGGAGACGATAACGGGCTTATCAGCTGGCCTGTGCACTTAAGTGGAAGTCTTCAATTGGACTATCGAAGTAGAAGATACTACTATTCCAAAACAATTAGGGGAATTACATGCTGATGATGCTGTAACCTGTTGGCTATAGATTTGTTGATTCCTACATTCGTGGTAGTCAAGCTCATCCCACCTACCACCCACTCCATTCCGCGCCCATTCTTTGTTTTTACCGCCAACACTTATTCTTACTATTCTTAATACCTAAGATCTTTCTGGAATGACTTCGCTTTTCCCACTGTACAGACCCTGACATACTCAGCTGGATAATCCATTCCTCGATACACCTGCGCTTGCGAATCGCACAGCTCCAACATCTCAACCTCAGACCAACCGCTTGTGCGCGCGCGCAAAAGATCCAAAATGAATCAGAACTCCGTTCGCCGCAACCTCTTCCACGGAAATCTCAGTCGCCGACCTGCCTCCGCTGGACCTCCCAATGGCAACGTCCCTCAGAACACCAACGGCCTGTCCAACCGTCCCTCGCACCGATTGAAAACTACGGCCTCGGATTCAGCGGCACCTCGAGCATTCAAGAGTCTGGAGAATAGAGATATTGTGGTCCGGGACAAAAGTGGCAGCTACAAGCTTGAAATTCCAACCTTACCAAGTGCTCTGATTGGGGAGGATGGGGAGGAGTTGGAACAGGCTGAGGATGGGGGGTTCCATGCTGAACTCACTGGGACTGACAAGGAGAGTATGTGACATGTCTTTGATATCGCTTGGGTTTGTGGATTGTATGTTGATATGGGTACAGAGTTCGAGGCGGCTGTTGTTGAGATGATGATTCGACACCGGAACAGACAAACAAATGGTGAAGATGGTGAGTCTTTTACTTGGTTAGATCGCTGTGAGCATCGCTGACTGGACGCAGAGATTCTGGGAATGGTGCATGAGAGTCTACGCAGAAAAGCCGCGTCATTGGATGATGACAATTGGATGTTTGAGCCTGAGAAGGACACGTTCACTGACTAATTGTACTCGCTGCATGCTTCTTGACTTCATTACACTATGAGTTGATTATTCACTGCCAAAAGCCTCCCTTAATCGAGCTCCATGCTTGACGGAGGTGCCTCGACCTTCTTAGCAGGTTTTTGTGCCTTGTTCTGACCTCCAAACAACATACCGCTCATCATATCCATCAAAGGGTTTCCTTGCCGCGGGATCTTGATGGCGAAGTACTGCTCGCCAATTTGGGCCAGAGCATCATCCCAAATACCAACTTCTTTGATTTGTGCTGCATAGTGTGCCGTGAGCTGCCGGAACAGATCCGCACTCCCGCGCTGGATCGTCAACAGCAGCAAGCTGATGAAATTCAGCAGAGGCAGAGCGGGGAATACTCGGGCGTCCGCACTGGCGCTGCTGATATCCTGCACACCGAGCTGGGGATTGGCGGCCGAAAGGCGCGAAGTGAAGATGAGCAGAGCTTTGTTGGCGCTGCGGAGATTTCCGGTGAGGAGGTAGGGGAAGACTGCGCGCGACGCATAGATCGCTGCAGTGTGCGGCTCGTCGCTAGTGTACCACTCATACTCGAGCTTTGCGAGGGTCTCGGCCGATTCAGATGTTCCAAGAATGAGATGTTTCTCGGCCTCGTATGGCTCGTTATCTGAGACGTTAGATTAGAATGCGATTGTGAAATTGCGCGCCGGCATCACCAACCTTCAGCGTATACTGAGCCCACGGCATGGTGTAGTTCCGCATCTCCTCTTTCCAGTGGTCCGAACTTCGCACTCCACCCGATAATTTCTTGAATGTAACGCTTTCTCGTAGGTTCGTCCGATGGGAATTCCCGCAGCAGCTCGATCAAACGCTCTAATTGAAAGTACGCGTTAGCCTGTAACTCTGTGGCAATGCGAGCTCTTTTCGCATCTGGAGTTGACCACTGCAGCAGCTATGATCGACTCCAGGAGAGAACACTTTATAGACTCACTTTTCCGAGCCCGACCCTCAGCATCATCACCACCCGAGATCTCCCACTCAGCTTTGTTGTACACCTCCATAACCAACATGATGGCCAAATCTCCACCACTTGCCGACGCACCCTGCTGAGATCCAGCCTTCAATAGCTCCTTCGCGCCACCAGCCAGAATCTCCGCCGCAGCATCATAGTTGGATTGCTTGATATACCGGGCAGCAATGACTCGTAGTTGTTGGTGAGCCTCGTAGTAGGCACCATCGGCGATCCTATTTGTGACAGTCAGAATCGAGTCGTATGTGTCGGCCTGGGATTCTCACTTTTCTCGCTGGCGAGCGATGACCTTATCAATACGGGATGACATTGCTGGATAAAAGCAGCCCGCTGGTAATAGAAGAAAGAAATAGATTCAAGGTATAGCAGTGAAGTGGTAGCAGTGCAAGACTGTCGCGGGGAGTTGGTTGAGGTTTGGTGGGGACGCGGGAGTTCGTCCGAGAACATCTTCTCCGTCATCTCCCCAGTACCTTGCTTCGTACTTAGTTCTTGCGACTTATTCTCTCGCCTTCACAGTTCCTGTTGATGCCATTCATTATTTCACGTCCGTCTCTGGCGATAATACAATAATACGACAGCCATTGCGCGCGCCCTAGCGACTAGTATACAGCTTAAAACTAAGTCGCGGCGATCTATATCGGGTGCATTGAGCTCTATATCTCTCCCTCGATCATGCGCATACACATAATAGCGTGACAAACCCATCATGAACCGATCTACTTTCAATATCCAGCCCTTGAACCGCTTCGGCGGCGCGAATACCTCCATCCGGAGGCCAAGGGTATGCTGAACTCCTGGCGCAATGTCAAGAACTGAAGAATCGCTCACCTCTTATTAGGAAATTGCTTGCTTTTCCTATGATGAGCAGCGTCGCTTCTCCCTTGGAGATTCATCCATGGCTTACTATTACACGCCAGCTCTGCCTGCGGACCTGAACAAGGGTTACGACACATTCCAGAAGCTGGATGATGTCCCAGATGAGCACTTGGATGCTTTACTTGATACCCTTATTGCACATGAGAGAGAAACAGAGAAGAAGTGTGAAGTAGACATCGTCACATGGAGAGGAATGATGACCAAGGTGTGTGTATTGGCATCTGGGGCTACCTGCCACTAACTAATCTGCGCGTCTTGGTAGATTCTAACAGCTCCTTTTGATAATATGAATGGGTTCGTCGCTCTTACTCTGGTCCAAGTATGGTATCTCTAACTCCTATATCTAGCTTCGAGATGAATGCAACGTTTTACCAGGTACGATATGAGTGGAAAACTTCCCGGATATGATCTAACACTTTCTACTAGGGCACAATGTGTGTAGACTCAGGTTATAAAGCTCGTCAACTCAAAGGCTGACGTGTTCCAGATTCATCGAGGAAAACAATGACTACAAGAACCAACAGAAAGAGATCCAACGGAAGCGAGGATCACCACCTGGGATGGCTCCACAGGAGCTCATGATGTATTGGGGTATGACAAAAGACCCATGCGCCATAGGTCCCAGCTAACAATCATAGGCTACAAATTCGAGAAGCTCGCTGTACTCTCGAAGACATGGGACGAATCAACCCGTGAGGAGATCGAAGGCCGCGAGAATGAAGTGGTCAATAATGCAGCACAGTACTGTTCGGTTGTCCGTACCGGAATCGGCAACGTGCGTATGATTCTGGGCGGAGAGGTCGATGCTAGTAGGTTCATTCCATCTCAAGACTTTAACCAATGCTAACTTCACTAGTCTGGGATAGCAAGCCATCACGGAAAGAAAGCCCCATAAACTGGGTTGAGTTGAAGACATCGGCTCAGATTCGCAACGAGCGTGATATGCTCAAGTATGAGCGGAAGTTGCTCAAGTTCTGGGCGCAGTCATTCCTCCTCGGTGTGCCGAAGATCATCGTGGGATTCCGCGATGAAAATGGGATTTGTCATAGTCTGGAAGAGCTGGAGACAGCCAGTATTCCTGGGAAAGTGATGACCGTTGGCCGCCGTTCGTGGGATGGAAACGTTTGCATCAACTTTACTGGTGCATTCTTGGGGTGTAAGTGTACTTCTCGGTGCTTGAAGTCAGCTCTGACACTTCTTCTAGGGCTCAAAGAGACTATCAATCGGGAGGGAGTATGGAGAATCCGGAGGAAGGACAAGTCTCCGGTCATTGAGGTGTACCAGGTCGAGGAACAAGGCCATGGCGATATAATTTCCCCGGCTTTTAAAGCCTGGCGATCGTCCACAGCCTGTGCGGAGCCATGAATGGAAAGGGTATAATCGACACTCTTGAGATGGTCTTTCTTGTCTCTTCCTATTATTCCGTGGAGCCGGAATTTCCACGTGATAGATTCTCTCTCATGCAACACGGTCTTGGGTATCCTCTATCTAATGTAATCTAATTTGATGCTGTACCAATGGATGAGTCTGGTTCTGACCTAGGAGTTGGTTCAGGCCCAGGAGTTGCTTCAATCTCAGGAGCTGGTTCAGTAGTCTGGCTTTTCTGCGCTTCCAGTTCCTTCTTCCGGAAATATTCATCGCGCTGTGTCCTCTTGAGCGCAGACTTGAGTCCCCTTTTATGCTGATGACTGTTCAGATGAATATGCCACTGGTCCTCGGTTGCCATAGTTTTCTGGCAAACGTCACAGGTATAACACTTCCCAATGGGATCTGTCTGTAGACGCTTTTTGGCCTGGGCCTCCTTCGCGCCAAACTCCGTCTCCGCCAATTTAGAAAGCGACTTGGGGTCCGGAGTCGGCTCGTTCTTCAGCATCTGCTGTACAATGCTTTCAGACGGCTCGGTGACGCACTTGTTCCAGTCGCTGACATTGGAGCTATCCAGAAGGTAGAGACGACGTGTCTCCCCGGCTTCTGAGAGTGCGCGCCACAGTTTATTGCGAATCCATTTGACCTGTGATGTTCCGTACTGCCGTGTTGCAATTCGGATCAATTCAAGAGAATGTACTTTGAGATCTTCGATCTCTTTCTCGCTTGCTGTCCCTTCCCGGAGAGCCTGGAAGTATGGTGCTAGTTCCTTGAATCCGATTGACACCCAGACGCCCCGTGTTTGGTCCACTTCAACCCCTTGCGCAGCTTTTTCCTGCAAATAATCGGACATCTTGTGCGCCTCGGCCAACAGGCCCTGTTTGACCATGTCGTCCACGCGTGCATCCAGGCGCGCGTTGAGAACCTCCTTATCGGCATGTACCCAAAATACCAACGTATTTTCGAACCGCAGTAATCCTTCCTCCTCGTCCATTGCCTTTCTCTTTTGGGAGAATTGCTCTTTATAGATTTCTGACGCCGGCCGCCCGGTCTGAAAGTAGATTTCCAAAGACCGCCGAATTTTCCGCCCATCCCTTGGATGCCATCGTGCAGCCATGAGAGGATCTACCTCGCGCAGTTTCTCCAAAAGTACTTCTGGCGATGAGTCCAGGATCGGCCATTTCTTAGAACTTGAGCTGAACTCTGTGAGTTGTTCACGCTCTGCTTCATCGTCCACTCCCTCGCCCACAAGCTGGTCTTTGAACAGCACCGCTTGAGTATAGTAGTGTGTACCTCCGACCATAATTGGGGTCTTCCCACGCGAGCGAATCTCATCGATGATGCGCAGGGCTTCTCGCTTGAACAACCCTATGCGCCATGCTTCGGTGTCGAGGTCGATACAACTGAGAAGGTGGTGGGGGATGCCGTTTCGTTCTTCGATTGGGATTTGGTTTGTTATAATTGGCAGGCCGCGATACATTTGCATTGCATCGCCATTGATGATTTCACCATTGAATCGAGAGGCTAAATCCACTGCAAGCTGTCTACAGCTATCAGTCATTGCGATCGAGGGCAGTGAGGGGGGTTCATTACCTTTGATTTGCCTGTGCCTGTGGCACCCACGACGGCGATGAGAGGGTTCATAATACTTTGTCGATGCCAGATAGAACGAAGAGCAGAGAGCATAGCCTCAGCATGCAAAGTTCATCGTCACGGAGGAAGAAAAAGATGTTATCGTTATCGCGGGGAACGGGAATCGGGTCCGATAACGCCGATTTACCTCAAGTGGCACTTTGTGTTGTCTTCAACGTCATCTAGATGAATCTCGACTTGATTGTTCTGATTCTTTAACTTGTACTTCTATTTCCTCAAGGCTCAATCCTCTTTAACCAGTTGTTGTCGGTCTACTTCCCACCGTCATGGAACCGGTCACAACCCCATCCATTGAGGTGCAAAACCTCACGTACAAGTTCCAAGATGGCACCAATGGTCTGGAAGACGTAAATATAAAACTGCCCTCTGGCAGCCGGACCCTGCTAATTGGCGGTAAGTCACTATCATATTCCAAAGCCCTGATGTCCCACTAATTGCAAACAGCAAATGGAGCGGGGAAAACCACTCTCCTCCGCCTGCTCTCAGGCAAACGTCTTGCCCCCAATAACACCATTTCAGTGGGTGGCAAGGACCCCTTCAAGGACAGCTTAGATGGCGTGACCTACCTAGGAGTTGAGTGGGTGCTGAACAGCATCGTCCGCACAGACATCGATGTACCCACCCTGCTCGCTTCCGTAGGCGGAAACGCCTACCCAGAACGTCGGGATGAGCTGATCGACATCCTCGATATCGATCTCCGCTGGCGCATGCATGCTGTCTCTGACGGTGAACGTCGCCGCGTGCAGCTGGCAATGGGCTTGGTACGGCCTTGGCAGGTTCTGCTTCTCGACGAAATCACTGTCGACTTGGATCTTCTGTCCAGGAGTAATTTCCTGGCTTTCCTCAAGCGGGAGACAGAGACTCGGGCGTGCACTATCGTTTATGCTACGCATATCCTGGATAATCTTGCTCAGTGGCCTACTCATCTGGTTCACATGCACTTGGGTCAGGTTAAGGCGCTGGGGTCGACCGAGTCGTTCCATGCACAGGTCCCGGAGTGGACTTCGGAGAACAGCCGTTTGGGAGAGCTGGTTCTCAAGTGGCTCAAGGAGGATATGCAGGCCAGAGGTCCTCGAAATGGTCGTGGTAATGAGGCGAAGACTTACCAGTCGCTTGAAGGCATTGGGGGTTATGGACTGGAAAAGCACGACTAGAATCTTGCACGTCTGATATCGCTCGTTTATCTGTTTTTATTCTTGTATTTTCTGCATGTGCGCATCGATGCCAGGGGCATTTCAATGTGCCATTCAACATTTTATTCAACCAAAGGCATTGATGGGGCGGGTTCGGAATCTGCATTTAGGGGGGCCATATTCAACACTTGGGAGTTTTCAACCATCATGACTCATAAAGGCGGGAGCCCTGAAACTAGCTACTTTATCGTTTAAGTACAAATCAGAACATGTTTGAGATAGCATATATACGTGTGGACGTATCTTCGCTTGCCACGGCCAATTCAAACCGATCCCGGACACCTGCCTCAGCAGCCGACACTGGTCGCCACGCCAATCGAGTAATTGTCTTGGAGGGCGAGACCGCTTTGTCGACGGTCACAATGTGCTGTGCTTCGAGGGTGCTCACAGATACTCGGTGAATAGAAATGACACCGTTGTCCTCGCCAACAGCGAGAATGTAGGAGTCTTTGTATGTGGTGGGTAAAAAGCCAATGGCTGAGACCGCAGAGGTTAGCGCCACGGTCGTTTTGCAGACGAACGTGTCTTCGGATTTCTGCCAGATCTTCACAGATTTGTCACGACCTGCCGTGGCAAAGATATAGTCTGCTGTGGCTGGGGCCCAGGCTGCGCCAAGGATCATCCGAGAGTGACCCTTGGGGTTCGAGGCGAAGTTGGTGAATGTAGTTGAGTCCGCCTCACTGCGCTGGAAGACAGCCCACTGGCGATCTCGTCCAACGCTGAGAATATAGCGATCATCACTCGAGAATGAAAGGTCCGTAATTGTCAAAGAATGAGCAGTCAATGAAGGTTTGATCTCATGCCAATCCGATGTATCATAGAGCCGAATGACCGCATGGTCAATCGAGCTGGCTTTACAGGCAGTGGCAATGAGCTTGCGATCATGGCTCACTGCCGCTGCTGAGATCTCATAGCCATGACCATAGAGCTTCTCATGCTCTGGCCACAATGTGTAACGCGACAACTGGTCCTCCAATGGCGGGTGATCGGCAGCCAGTGAGATCGAAGGGTTTACGGTTTCAGTTGGGGCTTTCTCCTCCCCCTCTTCCACTGGTGCCTCGTCACCAAGTGCCTTATTTGATAGACCCAGCACCGGAATTTCAGCTGTATCTGGAAGTTCTTGCTCATTCGATTGCTTGAACCCAGTCAGTCTCTCGAGCAACTGAGCAATCTGTTTGGGCTCGTTAAACACACGCAAGAGCTTTTCCTCTGCGCCAGTCACAAATTGTAGAGGACCCAGAGTATCGACACAGTTCAGATCGTAACCATGAATCTGAGGGCGAGAGAATTCATGCCATGAGCTTGTGTTGTCCCGCAACCAATTTGCATGAAGCCGGGTGGTCTGGTCTGAACTGGTAGATAGCAGGTAGCCTCCAGTAGGCTCCCATTGCACGCCATTCGCCGAGCGTACATGACCAGATACACCGAACTTCTGTACCCAAAGATCCATGTCTGAATTGTGTTGCCAGACTCTCCAGCTACCGGTCCGGCCGAGGCACACCACCTGCTTCCCATCTGGTGACCAGAGTCCGATCCAGAAGCCACCTGCACTGCCGGTTGCAGTGGTAGATCCTTTCTGCACACTGATCTCTCCCATTCTCTCTACAGACATCCAGACACCTGATGCCTGGTCTTGTTCCCAAATCGTGATGGTATTATCGGCAGATGCCGATAGGAGCTGCTGCCGCTTGGGATCGGGATTCCACACCGTCGTATAAATCCAGTCTTCATGTCCAAATAGAAGTGCTTCAAACGTAATGGAGTACTTCGAACCCGCAGCCTCCAACTCGTGGGCTTTATTCGATAGTGTAGGTTCCATGCCTCCAAGCAGAGGATCTGAGTCATCTATCGGAGCGGGCACACTTGCTTCGCCCCGACTCAATCGCCAAAGACGGATGTACTTGTCTTGACTTGCAGATGCTAACAAGATATCACCTCCCTTGCTCTGCTTGTCCTGGGTGAACGAGAGTGCCCTGATCCAGGCTTCATGACCCGAGAGCACAGCGCAGCGCTTGAATTCCGGTTTGGCGATTGATGTCTCTGAGACGTATATGTGAACCTTGGTCGTCGTACCCGCAACGGCCAATACCAGCGGCTTATCCGAGTCCGCTTCGAGTCCCTGCAACGACAAACACAGAGGGAAGAACCGAGGCGTCATGGTTATCGTTTCGAGCAGCTCACACTTAGACTCGTTTTGTGCATTCATTCTCCAAATCCGAACCGTGCCATCAGCTGCTCCAGATGCGATAATGTCTGTTCCATTGGCGACAGCAATTGCGTTCACTGATCCCCTATGGCCCTCGAGTGTAGATGCAAGGACATAGCTGCGAGGATCGGTACCATCTTGGCGCCAAACTTTTAGTGTGCGGTCGACGGAACCGGTGACGATGAATCTCGTTCCTGACGTGGGGCATGTATAGAATCGGACCGCGCTGACTTTGTCCGTGTGGCCAACAAGCAAAGCATATATACCCTTATCGGTCTTGTCCTTGAATATGTGTCAGCACTCCTTGTCATGTAGATTCCTCTCAATGGACGTACTAGAGCATCCCATAGGGCGACATTGTTGTCCGCACCGAAGGCGAGCACGCCTGTCTGCACATCCCAATCCGCAGCACCGGGATGTCGGTTACCCCCCACACTTATGTAGTCTGTTGTAACGGCAACCATGGAGTACTTTGAAGGTCTAAGAGCCTTTTGATCGGTCTTGCTGTGTCAAGAACCAATTGGAGAGGCGCAAAGAAATTGCGAGACTGGGGCTTATCGATAAGAAATTCTGCCTCCGCCCTAGCCCCTCCATCTTCACTTGATTGTGATCGCTCTGCATCAATCTCTTGGGAGTCGAGATTAGTGCTACAGCCTTGGTCTCTTTACTGTGCGCTATGACTGAATCTTCAAATGCGAGCCAGGGGGAATTCCCCATCCCCATAACCGTTGAGTTTACGTGCGTCAAAGACTTACCTCGATTGCTGAAACTATTGCTAACAATCGGTCTGAATAGTGGCGGGTTAGAATTGCTATTCGGGAATGAGCGCAAACACAAGGTTGTTCTGCCTGCTCGCTTAGAAGATGGCAACAGACCAAACATCTCATACCTGCTCAAATACCTTGTTGAGAACCTCATGAAGGATCAGAGGAAGGACATGTTCATCATGGAGGATAATGTGTATGGGAATATACCCTCTTCTCTTCACTAGATACGGACTAACAAATTTCACAGACGACCAGGCATTCTTGTCCTCATCAATGATGCCGATTGGGAACTCGAAGGCGAAGAAACATATGAGCTCCAACAGGGAGATACCATTGTGTTTGTCTCAACTCTACACGGAGGTTAAACTTGATGGAAGTGGTTGATGTGATCACAAGACACAGAATAACTTGATTCGAGATGTGGTTGTAGGTTTCCGAGAACAAAAAGTACCGGGTGAAATGTTGCCAGGCGAAGCGAGTTTGTATGGAATCTCGCCTAGACATCTCGCCTAGACATCTCGCCTAGACCACGTCTTCAACATGCTGCTGTGAGATCCTTTCAGGCTCACGCGGTGTTCGGATTCCACTCGGGGTTCGATGACCACTCTGCGGAGTAGCTTGGCCTTCGGGGCTACCGAGTCCTTGCATTGGTGATACCACTCCGCTTGGGGGCACCGGGATCTTCAAGTCCTGTGGCGAGCCCGGGATAATCTCTTCAGGAAGGTCCGGGATATGGATCCGCTGTGCCTCGTTCTGGTAGCTTTCGGGGACAATCTGAGGCAGTGTTAATAATGTATAAGGATCAGTCAGATTCAAGGTTCGAGTTACCTCAATAATTTCGTCACGAGGGAATTCGAGGAATGGAATATCCGCAGCATTGCAGGCCATGAGATAGCCGTACAACACCCTCAAAACACTTTCATGGGCAATAATGAGCAAGTCGGTTTGTTCCCTCTCCAGTTCCAGAATGATCGGCTCGAGTCGAACAGCCAAGTCATGATATGACTAGTTGAAAGCATCAGTTGCTGCTCGCTGTACGTCAAGTAGGCCAGCACTTACCTCTGCGCGGGGATAACGGTGGTGGTAGGGATCTAACTCGTGCTTGGCAACCTCGTCCCCAAACTCTGCTCGGATGCGACTCTCGGACATTTGCTCACAAACACCAGGATGCAGCTGACTCAACTGAGGCCTTTGTCGGATCTTGTAGCCGTATTCATGGAGATATTTGGCGGTCTCCACTGTTCTGCGTCGGGTAGAAGTCCAAACTTTCAGAGGCCTTGACTCATAGCCAGTCTCTCCCCGTTCAATCATGGCTTGCTTTTCTTCTTCTCTGTGAGCTAGTAGACGCGCTGTCATCTTTTTGGCATAGTCTTCTCCCTGCTCCGAGAGCGAAGCATCTGCTTTATAGGAGTCTGCTTCCAACGAAACGCCAGCCTAGATGATATGTTAGTTCTTTGCATTGTGGCAGCATGGACACGAAGCTGGAAAATGACCTACCCTAACAAAGTAGGTTCGTCTCGATTTGATGTGGAGGTTGAGAAGATAGAAGACTATACGGTTAGAGAGGTAGCCGAAGCTTCGGTTGTTGACAATAAGCCTCTCGCCGGCATTGATCATCTATACCCTGTAAGTGATTGCCATGCAAAAAAACCGCATCATGCCTACCTTGATGTAGTTCAAGTCCTTTTCCTCCATAGTCTGGAATTGAGGAATGCGAGAAGAGATCCGGTTCAAGTAATGCTTCACAGCATCTTCTGATTTCCACGAGACGTACTAACCACATTGTTAGTTTCTTGGTTATGCGAAAGGGGAAGAAACAGCGGAATAGAGCAGACTCGAAACATACATCAGGGGAGGAGATCTTCACTCTGCGAACATTTTCCTCAATGATGCGTTCATCGTCACACCAAGACTCGATAAATAGTGTCTTATGAACAGATCAGTGAATGTCAGAGGTCAAAAGATCCGATCCGGCTTACCTCAATATCGTGCTTCGCAAATTCCTTGGCAAGTGAACGTCGTCCTGATGCTAGGGGGTTCACTGCATCGTAGATTGCAATTTGGCCATTCTCGTGGTTCAAAAAGTGATATATGTCTTCTCGACATTTCCTCACAATTTTTTGGCGCAGAAGAACGGACTTTGCGGTTGCTGGAGAGATTGATTAGTATTGCATTCGGGTAGATCAGGACGCCATATTTACCGTTGACATAGAAATAATCATCTGGCATGTCCTCGCCGAACGGGATCGTGGCACGGCGGTAATCGCCCAGATGAAAGATTCTAGTTTTGACACCAAGCCTATCGAGTGTCAGTATGACCTTGGTGATGTGCAAATCAATAGGAACAATGCATACCATCGCAGGTATCGTGCCAAAGCTACAGAGATGTGCCTGTCATAAGTTTGAAATCAGCAATAGGTCATCTCGACATGAACACCTGAAATTTCTTGAGCATACGTTTTGCCTCTCGCAGGCAAGCCAACCGTGATGATCACGATACGGCCCGAATGAAACAGTCGGCCGGACTCGGTGCTGTACAGCTGGGCCGGAGCTAGATCGGCCTTTTCCGGCAAGTCGTGAATTGCATCGACGAAGATCGATGATTTGCGTCGAAATCGTGGAGAGTTAGCCACGATCTCGGCAGTGCTATATGATGTCAGTTCAACCCTCGGTCTTTCCGTAAATGCCAGACAGGCTTGTGGTTTATGTACTGAATTCCCAGTGTGGTGGAGATGTGAAGGTCACATTAAATGCCTCTCACCTGAGACGACATGGGGACTATAGACGTCAAGAGCGCGGCAAACTTACAGTAGAGTGTCCATGGTGGGATGTCGAGGTGGCGTAACCTTGAACTTTGAGACAATCCACACCTAAGCTTGTGAGTATAATAGCTACCCAGAATAACTCTTATGCAGATATTCTGATATGTAATCTGAACGTCTTGAAGGTGGCCACAGGGCAAGTGAAGCATGGAAGGAAGGAAGGATAGGAGGCGGTATAGGTAATCGATCAAGGCCCAGATAGTTATCAGGTGGATCCCGGTGAGTGTACACTATGTTTAGATGCCTTGTTTTGGAGGCTGCAAACAACGTAGTCCTAATTGAAAGCCGACGCACAAGCACTAGAGAAGAACTAAGAAAGATATCATATGATTCATATGATCATATCAAAATCGATCTATTCACAATCTTCTATTCGATCTTTCTCAACGTTCTCTTTTATCACCGGGAAAGTCCGGCTTATGTAACACCCCGGCGAACGGCAGCAACCAAAGACGCCGAGGCAGGTGACTAGCATTTTTCACAGCTTGGAAAGTCTTGAACTGCTTCCCCTACACTCCTGAGCGCATCATATACAGCCTTTTTTTCACTATTTCATCAAGGTCATCTGAGACGTTTATTCGTTGCAGATCCTCGGGCTGGTCTCAATTCCTTTTCTTCCCAATTATTTGTATTTTCACCCGAGTCTCAACGGAGGCCGATTCACACGCGTGACGACACCTAATTATTCGTCGATTATCAGATTACAACAAAAATGGCCGAGATCCTATCATCCTTGTCCTTTCTCACAGAGAACCCTGCCGCGGCAGCTATCAACGATGCATACAACCAGTTCGCTGTCCGAAGGGCATTGCTGAACCTTCCTAACCCCGGCACTGTCGATAACCTCGCCAGGGAAGTGCAGAAGGATGTCCTCTTAACCAACTTCATGTTCTCCGGCCTCCGGGCGGACCTCACCAAGGTTTTCAGCATGGCTCCTCTCTTCCGTGTGTCGCATGCCTTCTCCATGGGTTCCACCGGCAACCTGCCTCCGTACGCTTTCTCCGCCATGTACGGAAGCCCCAAGGTAAGGAAAACCATCAAACAATCTCTCTGCCGGAAAACGCGACCTTCTGTGTCTAACGTCTTATTCTATAATAGTGGTTTTTGCAAGGCAACTACGGCAGCGATGGTGCCCTTGCCGCCGTCGCCAACTACCGCTGGAACCAGTCCCTCGTCACTAAGACCAATGCTCAGATCATGAACGGCGGTACCCAGGGATTGGTCCAAATCGATAACGACTACACTGGCCGCGATTTCTCCGCCTCCATCAAGGCCTTCAACCCCTCTTGCCTCGAAGGTGGTCTCACCGGAATCTTTGTCGGTAGCTACCTTCAATCTATCACCCCCGGCTTGGCTCTTGGTTTCGAGGCCATTTGGCAACGACAGGGCATCACCGCCCGCCCCGAGACTGCTCTCTCTTACTCCGCCAAGTACAAGGGTGAAGATTGGATTGGTACCGCTCAGCTGCAAGCCCAGGGCACTTTCAATGCCACCTACTGGCGCAAGCTGTCCGAGCGTGTAGAGGCCGGCATTGATATGAACCTTCAGCTCACTCCCTCCCCTGCTACTCTCATGATGGGTGGTCCCGCTCGTGATGGTACCACTGCCATTGGTGCCAAGTACGACTTCCGTGCTTCTTCCTTCCGAGCCCAGGTTGACAGCACCGGTAAGGTCAGCTGTCTCCTCGAGAAGCGCATTGCTATGCCCATTTCTCTCTCCTTCGCTGGTGAGATTGACCAGGCCAAGGTAAGCCACATCCTATTTGCGCCGTTCTATTGGTTGCAGGCAGAATACTGATCATTGTCTTCTTCGTAGCAAACGGCCAAGCTCGGTCTTGCCGTTTCCCTCGAGCTTGCCGGCGAGGATGTGATGGAGCAGCAGGAGAAGATCGACCCCGCTGCCATGACTCCTCCTCCTTTCTAAGCTCTCCCTCTCGCATCCTCTTCCGAGATAATAACCCATCTTTCGCCCCCCCTGTTTTAGTAGTTCTTCCCTCTCCGTGTCTGGAATGACATATCTTGTCTCTCCCTCAGTATAACCTCTCGATTTTGGGTTGCTGGTACAGATGGCAGTTGTTTGGCGCCATGGAGATTCCACCTTTTTTTCTTGTATAGATCCACTCCGTTTCTTTGATTTCCCTCTCATGACAACCTGAAGCTGTATCTCTGACTGTTTGGCCTGTGGTCTGATCTTCTCTTCTCTTTGCTATCTTGTCCCACCCATTTCTTTGCGTGGCCATGTTTTGGGTCTACAGGATTACGAGATCCGGGATGCATGGCTGCGCCTGCAGATAGCTCTGGTTATGTTTCGCATCATAGACGGGCCAATGTAAAACATGTTTTGATTGTTTGATTACCATTGTCTGATGTAGACTGGATAGGTTCCCGAGAATCCCGACACTAAGACAGGTACGTGGTACATACCAATTACCCTTTCATTCTAGAAATTGGTTCGGAGACAAGGATATGGGCAATCCATGGATCTATCAAGATCTGTTTCAAGTTTATCCAGGCACCCAGAGCGGAGACGGTATAATGCCAGCATTATATGTAGAGCGGTGACCGGGATAAATGATCGGTGTCCGCACCCAGCGAACAAATCAAAGCCTCTCAAGCCATCTACTACTCCACTTTAGTGGGTTAGTGGGAACTGGAGAAACTCCTCCAAGTAGGAAACTCCGAATCATAGCCTTATGCACCTAACCTGCGAAAATCTGCACAAGTTTCTCGGTAAAGTGGATTAGTCGTTTATTTGGGAATTGAGCATTCCACGTTTCACTCTCGAAAACATGAAACGGAGTGCTATGAAAGTGGAAAATTGAAGTCGAGTTGTATTTTCTATTGCTATGTCACATCTACCTCCGCAATAGGCATGACTCTCAGCCACTTACTCCATATACTCCGTACTTCGTACATCGTAGTCAGAGCCTGACGGCTACCTAAGTCCTTTTAAGAAGGTTCCCTGTATCGACACAACTCAGTGACATCATATTCACACCAATTGTCCATAAATTAGCCCTAGAGATGCAACTTATGGGGAATAATGTCGATGGACACTGGACAGAAATGGCTGTGAATGAGGGAAATTACACTTTGGGGGTCCGAGTGGCCTCGGTCCAATCAGCTTGACCTCGTTCTTGGCTATGAATTTGGCTCCACCGGCGTACTCTGTTTTTGTATCGGTATCTTTCTCATGGTGTACCGTGTATTTGTATGTGATATAGACTATCGTTCTAGAGTACAATGCACATATGCATCATTCCCCTTACTGTCAACAATCTTATATCAGCCCCAGAAGTCAGATGTGAATGGAACTCCAGGTCGCTTATGCGACTCCATACTCCATATGCATATCTCGCATAAACGCGATGCTTTTGTATAAGATCCGTCAACGGTACATTTGGATCGTCATGAACAGGGCAGATCAGTCGTCGCGTGGAGAACCAATTTTGAACTAACGGAATCTCGGACCCAGTCTCGAGGACCAATACTAACCCCGAAGATGATTTGCATATTTGCTTGGTGCATTCCCGGATTCCTCAGGTACGAGACATCAATGCATAGCTTATGTGGAGCGTAATTCCAATCTAGGAAGAACGTCAACAACAGCTATCCTAGCCCGATAACGACCGCTTGGGTGCGTATCTCTTTGATTTGCTCACAATCTTCAAACCTCAACAGCTTGCTGGCCCACGTGTCTGACAGAGACCGCAGGACGGAATGCCGTTCCTTGCTTCCATGCTTTGCGATCCGTACATGCCGATGGTGTGCTATTGGGCTGGACATTCCGCCGAGGTTTTGCCCAACGTGCATATATCGACCTGTTGAACATCATGTCAGAGCCAGCTGCGACAGCGTTGCTTGCTTTTGCCAGGAACACATCCGGCACCTCATCCCGGGTTCGTGGAACTATAGTGCTACCGGTAGACATTGTAGACATTGTAGAGGCCGGCAGACGGATGCATTCTCATTTCAGATGGGGTTCAAAAACACCGACGTTGTATGTTGTCTGTTGAGGGACCTAAAGTTGACATCTGGTAGTAAATAACTAGGGATCCGCACTCCGATTCATGTCTCCCAGGAATTCAGATTAGTATCGAGTCAACCGACTGGTTAGACAGATTGCACCAGATTGCCGAGACCCGAGTCATGGACGCTTCGGAATCCCGATCGTACATGCGTAGTCATGGTTGTACCGGTGCATGGTTCTGGAGATGACATTGATAATCTCTTCATTTGCTGGAAGTTGACGGCGTCATACCCCTGTTAAAGGAGCGACATAATACATTTTTGATTTTATTAAAATCTTGTTCTCGTGAGTGATTTCTGGAGTAGAGGGGAAATTATACGCAGTATATTGTACGTCGTATGTCGCATGACAAGGTTAAAGCGAAGTGTGGCGATTTCGATGCCACAGCCCCTCTCAGCCATGGTCACCTGCTCGTGATCTGTCAGACGTTGATCTGGTGACGTCGGTCAGATCATAAGGGGTAGCTGAGCTCGATCTGGATTGCTTCTAGTTGAATCCAGAAGACAGAGTGAATGCTCCCCTAGTTTCCAATTGTCTAGGTACACGGTTCAACTTGAGAGACCCATCTGTCTAATCTTGTTATGTACTCCGTACACAGAGTGCATTTATTTCCATATGCCTTTACAGATACCGTAATGGTTATGTAAATACAATACACAATACATACGTCAAATGCACGGCCTCAAGTGCAATGCAGCGTGTCCACGCCCAGTGAGGTAGCTCGGTAGCTCCTCAACGTTAACCTTTTGAGCCAGGTGCATCCCTACTGCGCAGGGGCCAAGTTCAGAAGGAACGGCCGGGCCGCAGTGCTAAGTTCATCTTTTCGTTCAAGGTACCTGAGTCGTCAGGAACCGAAACATTCCTGAGGATAAAGAGGCAAAAATCGGGTTCCTTTTCCACTCGATTGCTCATTTGAATCAGGCCTTCCTCTCTTTTTCCATTGGACCGCGTTCCTGATGCATCTGGATGTTCTGTAGTGGATGCCGAGTCGGGGCTCGTCTGCCGGTCCAGTTCTCTGGTACGAGACTGCATGAGCGGGACTACGGCTGGAATCCTAATGATTGTCCCGAGCTGGGTATCGGCGCAGATAGCTTCGACTTACATGCCAAGGAACTCCCTGCGAAGCTGCAATGGTCTCGACCTTTGGTTTGAAGATGCTCGAAAGAATGGAAGAACAGGTGGAACGAGAAACCCCTTTCAATTCCGAAAGATGAGTCTCCCCTGAACCCGTCTCTGACATCTCTGACATGCTTGGACATCCGTATGTTAGATCTCAATCTTTGAAGAGCTCGGCCTGGTTCTTAATTACCGGTGTGTCATTCCCCTTTTTACTTTTGACTTTTAGTTTTTCGGAATGCCGCTTGACCTGAGAACACCGACTATTAAGATTAGATAAAGTCAGCAGACCAGATTTCGACAGACGACATGAATAGCATCACCGTGGATCTAGAATAACATATCTAATAATGGTCGAGATACTGGATAATAACAGTCAAATAATCAATATTAACTTGGACCCAGTCCAGGTCCAGTTGCAGCATTGACCATTTCCCGGCCCAAGCTTCTTTTTTTCCTCTTCACTTTTTTTTCGAGTCAGCTGAACGTCTCGTGACAGATGTCATGGAAGATTACAGTACATACCGGTTCAACCAATGATAGCGGTTCCAGAAAAAATCACCGTTGGTCACCCGACGTCTATTTCGTTAACTCGCCTATTTTTGGGAGAGAGGAAGGTATAGACATGAGTTTAGGGAAAGAGCTATCGACAGCTATCTCGATATGGATGCTATGTATAGCTCTATCTAGTCTATAATTTCCCCTACCCCGGAGACTCCGCTTTCTCCAAAGTCTTTTTTTGGTTTCTTGACGCGGATTCCAAGGGTACACACAGTACTGGGGATTACTGAAATAACGCCCGCACTTATGATATCATCTCCCAAGTGATGGTAAATGACGGTTAGTGACAGTACCTCTTTGGTATTGTAAATATGGCCATTCTTGAGACGGAACTTAATGAGATGTTATTCTCTAAGTCTATACAGATATTGAAAGATAGATAGATGCATATATAGTAACTAGATCGTAGCCAGTAAGTGTAAAAAGGAAAAAAAAGAAGAAGAAAAGAAGACAAAAAAGAAGGTAAAAAGAAAGCAATACCTTAAACAGCAAGTGCCTGAGAGAAGTTGGATATTGAACTTGAACGTGTAGCTCCCGCCCCTCACTTTTTCCTCTTTCCCCCTCCCCTTCCCGAATTGCCCACCCGTAAGACATTGGCTCTCATCTTCATTATTTCCATCTATTTCCTTACTATCCTTTTTTTTTGTTCCTTGGACTCTTCCAAAAAAACAACAAAAAAACCACAAAAAAACAGAAACTAGAAATCACTTCTTCATCTGTTTTTTTATTATTTTTTTTCTTTTTTTCCAAAGAAGAAAGAAGATAGAGTGGGGGAATACCATTCCATCAACGTCACGCCCCAATTTTACCTAAACCTCTAACCTTCCCAGTCTAACCCGTCTTATTCCTCCATCCCAGATTCGACTTTATTGGTTGAACATTCTCCTGCCATTTGCCCACCTTCTCCTTCTCATTCTTCTTCTTCTTCCCTACCTTACCAACATACATTCTTGGCTGTCTTCGTCCTTTCCCGCCCCTCCCTACTCCACCCCGGTTCAAACAGCCCTGACTTGACACTTCGAATTCTCCCTATACCTCCAGTGCCTTCGTGATGTCACAAAATCGACCCGGGTTGTTTCCGAGTTTGCGCATGGGTGGTAAGATATATTTCTCGAATTACAATTGCGGTGATGCTGATCTGTCTCAGAGGTCATTCGGGAGAAGGTCCAGGATGGACTGACCGGCGAGTCCAAGGAGATCTCCTACACCCAGTGTAAGATCGTGGGCAATGGTTCATTCGGCGTCGTGTTTCAAACCAAGATGGCTCCCAGTGGCGAAGACGCTGCTATCAAACGAGTCCTTCAGGATAAGCGGTTCAAGGTAAGAGGGATCGCCTTGATGGAATATGTGTGTGCGTGCGGTGTCACTGACCCTTGGCATCTTCAGAATCGTGAGCTGCAGATTATGCGGATTGTGCGCCATCCGAATATTGTCGAACTTAAAGCCTTTTACTACTCCAACGGCGACAGGGTATGTGTTTCCTGGGTGTCCCGCCCGCTTGTCTTTCCGTCTCCCCGTTCCCGTGGGCTGACCGGGCGCGCCTCCGCTGTGCCCCTCAATAGAAAGATGAAGTCTACCTCAACCTTGTGCTCGAGTATGTCCCAGAAACGGTGTACCGCGCATCGCGTTACTTCAACAAACTCAAGACCACGATGCCTATGCTAGAGGTCAAGCTCTACATCTACCAGCTCTTCCGGTCGCTCGCCTACATCCACTCACAGGGCATATGCCACCGTGATATCAAGCCCCAAAATCTTCTTCTAGATCCCGCTACTGGTATCTTGAAGCTGTGCGATTTCGGTTCCGCCAAGATCCTCATCGAAAATGAGCCCAATGTGTCGTACATCTGCTCTCGCTACTACCGGGCGCCTGAATTGATTTTCGGCGCAACCAACTACACAACAAAGATTGGTACGTAACCCTTTCCCTGTTGAAGAGAATCACAATCAGTCCTAACCTAGTTTCTTTTCTATCTTTAGACATTTGGTCAACAGGTTGTGTGATGGCCGAATTGATGCTCGGGCAACCCCTCTTCCCCGGTGAATCAGGCATTGACCAGCTAGTCGAGATCATCAAGGTGTTGGGCACCCCGACTCGGGAACAAATTCGCACCATGAATCCGAACTACATGGAACACAAGTTCCCTCAGATCAAGCCTCATCCCTTCAACAAGGTAATTTTCCATCCGTTTCCTGGTTTGTGCGATCGTACTAACCGACCTAGGTCTTCCGTAAGGCACCACCGGAGGCTATTGACCTCATCTCCGCCCTTCTGGAATACACTCCGACACAACGATTGTCCGCTGTCGAGGCAATGTGCCACCCTTTCTTCGATGAGCTCCGCGACCCGAACACCCGGCTACCGGATTCGCGCCATCACAACAGCCCCTCCAAGGATCTCCCCACCCTTTTCGATTTCTCACGACATGGTAAATCTTGCATAGTGACCTTGATCAAGAAGTCTGGCTAACCACATGGTCTATAGAACTTTCGATTGCCCCTGAACTCAACGACCAGCTGATTCCCCCCATGCTCGCCCTGCCCTCGAAGCTCGCGGCCTCGGCCTTGACACCTTCAAACCTCTTGCCAAGGAGGAGATGATTGCACACCTCGACTGAGTCGACCAGCGTGTGTCCTCCACGAGGGATACTTCTATTTGTTGTGCCGCCGTATGCACTGTTTGGAGAGGATTCAATGACCTGCCAACTAAGTTCCGTCATGGTCTCGAGCAAGGACTGATTTGAGAGCGTACTACCCTGCCATTCCTCTTTTCTCTTTTTTTTCTTTTTGGCTCGGTCTGTGCGTTCCAAACCCGGACGTGGTGGAATTTTTGAAACTGGCGAATGAGCAGGGAATGTTATGAAGTGTGAAAAGTGCATTCTTAACGGCTGAGTGGCGGAACCCATGTTTCTTCGGGGTGGTAGGGGGATGATGGTTTCCGTGCAATGGGAGGTCATGGCTTGGAGTTTATTTTGAGTTGTCTGGGACAACTCCTGAGAGGAAAAAGTGATACCCTTTCTGTGCACGTCTGCCTTTGAGGGTCGGAGACTGCATAGTTTCATCGGTCGAGGGGAAGAACCCTCCAGGCGCAGCAAGCCGATTTCGACCCCCCGGATGAAGGAGTGAAATTCCCATCAATGGAGCGGAGATCTTGAAGATTTCTTTGAATACACGTTGAGGGAGGACCCTTCTTCTGTTATGGTCTTATCTCTCGTCTTGCGGCGCTAGACCCCGTTCGTTCTTCCCTTTGCGTCCTTGCTTTCTTTTGCTTTCTGTTCGCAATATCCTTGTATGAGATCCATCGGGCTCGGCTGGTTATCCGGTCCCTCCGACTTACCGGCCATGAGCTACATGTCATTCCCCAGTTCTCAAGCAGACGAATTTCTTTTATTTTCATTATACCTGGAGGTAATGCGTAAATGAGAATGAGAATCGGTCATTAGAACTGCGTAAAACACAGGTCTAGAGATCCTTATATTTATTGATAGGTAAGCGAACTATGTTACTCCCCTTCACCAAGTTCCCGGGTTGTCATTAGAGTACAGTCAGCTCAAGATGCCTCAGTAACCTCGGACTAAATGGTTTTTCCCTCGTATGCAGACTGAAGCCAGTAGAACACCAGTAGTTAGAACATTGGTAGGTACCTACAAGTCTGGGCGTCCGCAAGGACACCGGGTCCGGAACTTCAATTTCCCACTTCCGAGCTCCCATCTACCTCAAGCTCCCCAAGTCATCCTTCTACATCCCCAGAATCCCAGTCTTTACGATATCTGATATCATATTGGCTTATCGGATTCAATTCAAAACAAAATGACCGAACACGATCGCCGAAATCAAGGCTACAGGGGTGGGCGCAAACGCCGCTACAGAGGTAAGAGACGCGCATTTGACAAGCTCCCCCGACAACCCGCTAACTCTCTTTCCGATTATAGATGACGATGACTTCGATCGCCGCCCTCAGCGGCGCAGATATGAGGAGCCGTTGTTCGTCCAGGTTCGACGCCAGTTGTTGACTATCGCGGAATCGGTACGGGTCTTGTTTTTTTCTACACTTTCTCCGCCGCGCGCATTGCGCATGGCAATGAAGAGATGGAACTAACGTTCATGTCTTAATCGTTAGGCTGCTCGTAGAGCAGAGGATGACGTTCAGAGTATTGCGAAGACCGTCTCCGAGAACTACGAGGATGAAGAAATCCGTCGCGACTTTGTCAACATCGCCCTGGATCTGTACGTGCCGGTATACTCAATTCGACTTGGAACTGTGCTAATTGAAGCTATGCAGTGTGCTCGAACAACCCTTGAAAATCCCCTTTATTGCCGGCACGGTCCTGGTCGCGCATAATCTCAAGCCCGAGCTTGGTTCGGAGGTTCTGGGCAAGGCTGCTGAGGCCTTGCAGAAGTACATTAATATTGGTGCATGGCGTGAAGTGAAGCTACTTATTCGCTTTTTGGGTATTCTTCAGCCGGTCTATGAGGGTGATGGCATCTTCCCTCTCTTGGAAGAGCTGTTCGCTCGTGCCGTCGATCTCCAGACTGCGTCTTCGGAAGATGTAAGTCCGAGCATTGCTCTCTGATTGTGAATCTCATCTAACCGCTGTGTTCAGCTTCTTGGTCTCGAATTAGTGAAGATCATCCAATTCACCATTCCATATGTGATGCTGTCCCCCGCTTCAGGCCTTGAGGCCCAGGCCTCCGCCCTGATGGAAAAGACCGACATTATTGCATCTACACCGCATGCTCTCGTCGACCTGGTGAACACATTCAGCCCCGAGGAGAACGCGGAGGCAGCTGGTCAAAGTGTCATCAGTCTGATGCAGACTCAGCTCCAAGATGAGGCCAACCACGGCTGGGAGCTCAAATGTCTGCCTCGTCCCTGGAAAGACGTCCGGGACGCTGAAACGGAAGATCCCACGTCCTTCGAATCGCTTACCAAGGTTCCCTTCCCTCAGGTCACAGTGCCTAATCCCGTGCCGAACGGCGCCCGTCCTCTTTTCCCAGAGGTCTATCTGTCGGTGTACGCCAACCAAGAATTCGACACAGTCCCTTCAACTAAAGATATTGCCTCGTCGCTGATTCGGGACGCACTGGTTGATACCATCAACCTCCTTGATTTCAACCGTGTTGCTACAGCCAAGTTCCTGATCGATATCGACTGCTATTTCACCCCTCACACTTTCGTAAAGCGCGCTACTCCATTTGACCGCATGCGCGACTTCGAACTGGGCGTTCAGGCCTGGAAACCCGAGGACGTGGCAGTGGATGCAGTGTTCTCGCAACTATTCCAACTACCGGCGCCCGAGCACAAGCTCGTTTACTATCACTCCGTTCTCACCGAGTGCTGCAAGATTGCCCCGGCGGCCATTGCGCCAAGCTTGGGCCGTGCAATCCGATTCCTGTACAACAGCTTGGAGACAATGGATCTGGAGCTCAGCAACCGTTTCTTGGATTGGTTCGCTCACCACTTGAGCAACTTCGGGTTCACATGGAAATGGAGCGAGTGGTAAGTTCAAAATGCCAGCTTCGATTCGTCTTTGTCGGTTATCTAACTAGAATACCAGGACCCATGATCTTGATCTGCCCGCCATTGACCCGAGAATGGCGTTTATCACCGGTGCTTTGGACAAGGAGATTCGGTTGAGCTTCGCTCAGCGCATTAAGGGAACTCTTCCGGATCCTTACCCCAAATTGATCACAGCAGACAAAGAGAAAGATACACCCGACTTCAAGTACTCGTCCGAGCGTAAGTTCACCCGTGAATTCCTGGCAGAGAATAGCTACTGACTTCGAATTCCAGTGGCCCCTTACGCTAAAGAAGGGCAAGAACTCATGCAACTTATTCGGAAGAAAGCCAGCGACGAAGAAATCCAGCTCGTGATCACAGCAATTGAGGACCAGGCCAAGAGCCAGGGCGTCGACGATCCCAAGATCCCCTCGACAGATGCATTCGTAACCTCGCTTTGCTACGTCGGCTCCAAATCACTCTCTCATGTCCTGTCCTGCATCGAACGGAGCAAAGATCGACTCCTGGCCATTGGCGCGGAATCTCAACGTGCCCGCTGCCAAATTATCACATCCGTCATGGAGTACTGGGTCGACCAGCCCGGCGTTGCCATCAACATCATCGACAAGCTGCTCAACTACACCATTCTCAGCCCCCTCTCCGTCCTCGAGTGGGCTCTCTCTGAACAAGTCGCAGCAGGAACCATTCTTTCCAAGCCTCACGTGTTTGAGATGATCTCCGCCACTGTTGGCAAGGTCACCAATCGCATGCGTCAGATCGTTACCGCCCGCACGCAGCCTGGTCTCTACGAGCCCCAGCTTAGCGTCATCGACGAGACCCTCGCTCGTGAGCGCGCCGACATGCAGGTTCTCTTCAAGTTCATCGAGGACTCCATCGTCTCCGTCGCTGCAGGAAGCAACGACGAGCTGATGGAGCGCGGTGATGGTAGCGGCAATCTCCCCGAAGACGCCATCATCCGCCAATGGGGCCGTCGCTGGCTCCGCGTGTTCCGGCGCAAGGCAGCCGTCGAGGAATCGTACATCTCTGATGCCCTGGCTAATGCCACTCCTCTCGGCACACAGGCGCCGCCTGTTTCTCAAGGCCCGGCGGAAGGGGATTTGGATATTGCGGATGCGGACGCGGACGCGGACGCGCAATAGAAATGCCGCATACGTGGAGAAACGTATCGGACCTGTGTTCTTGCTCTGATATCCTTGAAGTGTTTTTATTGTTGAACGATTTATGTCCTGGAGAGACGTTTTCTTTCTTTCTGCTCAATTTTTCTCTCTGTATTGTATACTTATCTCCGGGTCTTTGAATAATAAGCGGTAAGCCCACTGACAGAAATTTCAAGATGCTCTCTCATTGTGCTACCAAGTAGTTTAACGAGTAATATCATTGTCGATCATACACGTACCTAGTGTATTGGCTGAACCCAATGGCACACTCTCTAAAACTATGGATCTTACATGCGATCCGACCTAGGAAATCGACCTACGTTACTATATGAACGAGACCTATATGCTTTCCGAGATCCTATTGCTTCGGAATTGGTTCAATTCATGCATGGGAATATCTCGAGAGGAGCTAAGGCAAATGTAGGAATGACATTGTTAATCATAGCTCTTGAATAATTCTAAAAGCAAAGAGCAGGCAGAGAGGAATAGAAGCGAAATACAACAAGAACGACTGGGAAGTGACCAGTGTGCGGTATGTGTCTTCTGCGTGCGCCAGAGGAAATAGAGGTATATCAGGAAGGGAAAGGCATGAGAAGTCACAATGGGAATCACAAAACAGGAGAAAATCAATGGGGGATATCAAAGGGGTGTGCAGAGGAATACAGAGTCGAGCAAAATAGAGAACATCGGATCAAGGCCCATGGCTGTGGTCATGGCCGTGGGCGTGAGTCGCGTGACCGTGTCCATGAACATGGCCGTGGCCATGACCATGAGCCCTGCGGTCAATATAATACGGCTCTCCATCATCGCCATCACTGCTAGAGGCATTGTACACGGAGAAACCATCTTCGTAGCTGCCGCGGCGTATCTGCATCTGCATCTTTGAAGCGCCCTCCTCGGACTCCACAGACTGTGTTCGATCCATGGAGTTGCAGCTACTGTGCCCATCGGGTCGTTTCGTCGTTGAGATCCGCCGATCCTTGCCCCGGCCTTTGATGCCCTTGTTGCTATTCTTGTATAATCCCGCGAAGTATAGCCACAGCTCGCGATCTGCTGCGTTCATATTCATCAGTCCGCTTTCGCCGATCTGCGAGAAGCGGACTGTCAGGTCGTGTAGTGTTGCCGCGTGAAATTTATTTTGGTGGGACTGTCATGGAAGGAGAGAGGTCAGCTTCTGATTTGATCTTGTTTATGCAGGTGAATGTAAATAGGCGGAGAGGGTGCTTTTCTTACCTTCAAGTTGCCCAGTTGAGTGAACTGCTTGCCACATTCATCTAGGCGGCAATCAAAGCGCTTAGATTGGTCATGGGTGAGCTTGTGAGCGCGGACGTTGCCTCGCTGGGCAAATCGCTTGTGGCAGATATCACACTGGAAGGGCTTCTCGCCCGTGTGACGTCGCTGATGGGTCTAGGTTGGAGAACGCATGTTAGTTTCCTGCCTTGTGAGTCGCCATCCAATGACGCGGCTTTTAGAGCAATGGTAGTGGTGCTTACCTTGAGGTTGCCTTGCTGCGAGAAGCGTTGCCCGCACGAGGGCTCCTTGCAGATCTGCCGAATCAATGATTAGTGTCGCTGATCACACCACCTGATTTGGCTGCGCAGCTACCCCTCTGGGTTTCACTTACAAATGGCTTGTCGCCTGTGTGTGCCCTAATGTGGATATCCAGGTGTGTTTTCTGAGCAAAGCTCTTGCCACAGTCGGGGAGACTGCAGTTGTACTTGCGCTTCTTGCCCGAGCGCGAGAGTTGACCTTCATTCGAGGAATAGTAACGCGGGGGCGGGGGCGATGCAGCTGCATAGGATGAGACTGGGTACGTCTGCGGTGCCGGTGGCGCCAGATGCTGAAGTGGTGGTAGCGACTGCTGCTGGGTTGATGCAGCGTGCTTGGCCTGAATTGTCTTCATCAGGACATCCACGTTGGTGGAAAAGGCAATGTCAGCAGGATTTTGCTTCGTCTCGCTTGCAGCCCCGTCTGGGGGTCTGCGGTCAGTCGACATCTGTACCCGCGGACCATAGTCAGGAGTAGCCTTTGCTGTTTGGCCGATGGCATTCTTTGCCGGGCGAATCTCTGGAAGAGGCTGCAACGGCTGTTCCGTTGTGAAGCGCTGTGGTTGCGGCTGTATCGGATGCTGACTGGGCACAAAGTACTGCTGATAGGGATTTGAGTGCACATGTGTGTGACCCACAGAGTGACCGAAGTTGTAAGGTAAGCTACTTGGGGCCTGGTAAGACAGCGAGTATGGCGCCCCCGTTTGATGCGAATAGAAGGGGAAGTTTTGACTCAGGGTTGAGTCCATCGGGCGCCTGTGTGTAAACCCACCCATGGCATGGCCTGGGAAGTCGTAAGACGCAGGCTCCGCAGTCTCCATCTTGCACAGTTGGCGGTCTTCTCTCTCTCGGTTTCTGTCGAAAAAAGCAAGGATGTCTTCTCCCTCCGGATCTCCCACGAGACACCAATGTATCTCAATGTATATCTGTGCTCGGAACGTCCTGGCTTCTCTCAGTGGTCTTTGACCCTTGAGTCCCGAATCCCAATACCCAGTATGATTTGGGTTCTGGCTGACAGCGAGTTGCTTTTCGAGAAGAAGCAAGATCAGGAAAATAGACAAACAGGCCGGCCAAAGCGCAATCAGTCTCTAGATCTGGATCTATATATACAGATTGACTGGAAAGAAAATAGCAAACAATATGCGGGTCATGCCATGAAGAGTGAGGATATAAGGATTGACAACTAGCGATGATCATCCGCATCGACCGTGGCGTCTCCCGATCTAGATATACCAGGACCCAATGCAATGGCGGGGGGAGGACAGGGGCTTGAGGGGAGTCAGCCGGTGAGAAGAGTCAAAATGCCCCATTTTGATTGCCTGTATGACGTTTGGAATTGACAAAACACCAATAATAATAAAAAAAGGGGGGAGGGTGAGGTGAGCAGTTCAAGGCCAGAGATACCATGCAATGTACTGTACACCAGGTGTTTGATTCGACGATTTCCGTGGGCCGGGGATCCTGGGTGATGGAGACGACCTGACTCCACCAAGAAAAATAGCGTCAAAAGGAGTATCAGATCAATTGGGACGAACTGGAGTTCCTCGAGGCGCTGAGGGCCTTGGGAGACAGAGCCCTAGAGCATACAGGTGCATTGCATATTCCATGAGCTGCCCTTGTTTTGGACGCATCAATTCCCGTACCACGAGGAAAATTGTAGTCATTAGTGGTAATGTATTTCGACACATTCGGTGTGAAAAGTGTGCCAGTCACACAGGAAATACTCGCAGCCGCGACTGGCGACGAGGGCGTTCAGCTCCAATTTTTCTCCCCTGACCCTCTCGATACATACGTTCACCGTCTACTTCTGTAAATGCTGAAGAGACTGACATCTGTCAGACTTGAGATCTCCAGAAAAGGGGAAAAAGAAAAGAAAAGTAACACGCACCCAAACCCATCGTGCTGTGCATCTTCCCTCGAGGAGACGGGCCGGGCCTTCAAATCGCAGAATTGCAAAGTGGGCCGTGATTGACCTGCAGTCGACATGTAGATTATTCAGTCGATCTCGGAGTCACCAATCTCCCAATGGCCAGCTGGGCCGTAATTACGAGTATCAGGATGCGCCATCCCGATAGTCGCCAATAGTGTCCGATCTCAGCCCATCGAATATCCCAGTTAGCCGCCCAAGACTTTGGGGAATCTATGGTGACCGGGTGATCGGGTGATCTCAGTCTCCTCTTCGGGGGAGAGACCAATCAAATGGTCATCCTTCTCTTGCAATGCGATCTGTCTTGTCTCTATTGCGAGAAACTGGGGGGAAATGGGAATTGGGCAAATTCGGCCCCCCTCAGGAAGGAGCCAGTCAGCACGGACTTTTTCTTTGATCTGGCCTCGTTCCCTCAAACAGCACCAATGACTTGTCTGATGGGGGGCAATGGACGTCGATCATCGCCCGGAGTAGCCTTAGCTGCATACTGGGACGATCCGAGAAGTGACAGCCATGGAAGAACGCTGACACGAGTGGCAACCCTGCACGTCCTGCGTCGAGATGAGGTATCGGGGGCCTCGAGAATGGTTCCTGCAGGGATGCGACTAGTCTTCATGAACTACTTCCTGAACGGGTGAAGACACCTCAACTATGCATATACACAGTACGCCTCGTCAAAGCCCCAGAGTCCAGATCGGTGAGCTGTGACAAGATGGTTAGCATAGAGTTGGAAATTGTTTCTCTTCTCCCTAAACATATTCTCCAGGTATATAGGTTTGAATTTGATGTAGTAGAAAGCCTTGATCATGCGGAGGCTCTGTAGTGATTCAGACGGACAGGGATGGAGTTGTTGGGATTGATTCTCTTGGAACTTCAGCTCGTTCCAGATTGGCGGTCCCCAGGCCTGTGTAACTTACACTTACTAATGAACTACAAATTACCTACATGGTATGGGTATGGACACATCAATTGCAATTTTGGAAGGGGGATGTTTAAATATACACCGAAGTGTACTAATAAAAGTTGAAAAAAAACGACTTCGAGACAAGATATAAAAAGATCAAAGCCCAAAAAAACGAATCCAAGCAAAAACATCATATTGCGCCAAAGGCATCGGTATCAAACCTTTCATCGTCCATTGTACTGCGAGTATCTGGTAGGAAGTCAGCTAACAATTCTGAAACACAAAGAAAAAGAAAAAAACCACTCACCTCCAGATTCGTGCACGCATGTCTCCACTGCCGGTCGCGAACAAGTTGCCAGTGGGACTGGGCGCAACCGAGATAACTATTCAAGGTGGAAAGCACGGGTTAGTAAACGAGAGCTGGAGAAAGGGTGATATGATTGGGAACTCACCAGAGTTCTTGTGGCCTTGAAGCATCATCTGGGCATTTCCAGTGATCGGATCCCAGAACTGAACACCGCGGTCCTTGGAACCGCTCATCACCCAGGCACCATCCGGTGTCAGACACACGCTGAGAACAAAGTCCTATCGGGTCAAAGTTAGCTTCCGTGCATATAGAATGAAGTCTAGTCTGGGCTGGTCCCTACCTTGTGGCCCTCGAATGTACGAATGCACTTGCCGCCCTTGACAGCAGAGTGAGGGTGCAAGCCTCGGGGGACAGTAAGCTCCCAAAGCTTGATAGTCTTATCCAAACTGCCACTGACGAGGTCACGACCATTGGGTGCGAATGCGACTGAGTACACGCTGTCCTTGTGGCCATCGGGGTTCTCTAGACGCTCCACCAGGTATCCAGTTGTAGTATCCCAGACGCGCACACTCTTATCCAATGAGCCAGCAGCCACGTAGCGGCCATCTGGAGACATGGCCACAGTGGTGACGCCATCCTCGATACTAAGGGTGTAGACAAGCTTGCCGTCGAGAATGTCCCAAAGACGAACGGTCTTATCTCCACTGCCAGAGGCGATGAATCGGCCATTGCCGGCGAAATCCAAAGAGTAAATATCCTGTTCATGTCCACTGAAGATATGCTTGATGGTGCGCTGGTTGATGTCCCAAACCTGATATCAATCGCATTCAGTCAGTCATATATTCGCGCATACTGCTGGTTCCTTGAGGACTCACTCGAATCTGCTTATCCTCAGCGCCAGTCGCGAGGTACTTGCCGTCGGGACTGAAGCAGACACTGCGGATGTAGAGGTCGCCGTCCTTGTCAACGTTCTCATCCTGAAGGGTGGCCACATTCTGACCGGTGGTCACATCGAAAATTTGAGCGGAGCGGTTGCAACCGGTAGCCAGGTACTTGCCATCGCGGCTGAAACGCACACAGCAAACCACGCTGTCGTGATTCAGGTGATGCACCAGCTCCACATCCAGGACACGCTGAACTTCGGGGTTGAACACAGCGTACCAATCAGAGCCCTCACGCTTTTGGGAAGGGGGCAAATCATCTGGGTTCCAATTTGCCAGCATGTTGCCCGGGCGCTCGGCTGTACGACCGCCGATAGGCGGATTCGGAGGGGTAGGGCGAGGGATCTGAGGAGATGCGCGAGGATCCGGGTAGGCAATGTGAGTTTGCTGGGGGGTGGCCGGTCCCGGGGGAGCACGGCCTCGGCCTTTGCCCGGCCCTGGGGATGCGGTAGGAGGCGGCGGCCCGTAACCTATAGAAATCAAAGTTCCAACGCATCAGCGACTGGGATTTGGAGGTCATAAATACAACGACATACCGTTCACAGCAGCGCCAGCCTGATATCCTCCAAAAGAGCTCTGCTGTGGTTGCGGCGCGCCGGGCTGGGCGACCGAGGCAGACTGTTGAAGGGCATGCTGGGGAGGCTGCTGATCCTGGGGAGGGGGAGGGGCAAGACCGGGGCCACTACCTGGTGCGTTGGTCATGATACCACCAAACAGATTGCTGGGACCGTGGCCCAATGCAGGTGGGGGAGCCTGGGAAGGAGCCGTGTGAGCCGCAGGGGGTCCACCGATGTGGGAGGGAATAGTTTGCACGCCGCGCGACTCGAGTTCGTGTCGCAGCATTCGGATTTCGTTTTCGTAACTTAATACCCGAAGAAATGCGAGGTCAGCTATGGGGGTTGGAGCTTCCCAAGGAGGTGAGGACGAACTCTTGCTTGATCTTGATCTGAGCCTGCTCCAATTGATAGACTTTCTGACGAATCATCTCCATCTCTTGGAGCTGACCAGTCACTGCATGATCTGTCAGTTAGATAACATTTCAGCGAATGTCGGGACCTCTATAGCTAGTATCGTCGGGAGAGATGGACGCTGACAGCCGTTTGTATGGACCGATGGGGCAGGGGGAGGACCACGGCGCAACGATCCCAGGCATGAATCGAGGAAGTCGGAAAGGGTAAAAAGTAGAAGGAACAGGGTACATACACTGATGCTCAAATTCACCGGTGTTTCGCGACTGGCTCTCAAACTCCTGGCGCAGTTGATCCAGCAACTCCGTTAGGCGGGAGTTGGGGGCGGGCACCATGCCGCGATGAGCGTTATACATGGCTATATGTTACTCGTGATCGTTCACGGTTCAGGGACAGAAAAAAGGAGGAGGTCCAGATGGCAGCTCTGGATGGAGATCTGCGACTGGGGTTTCGCAACCAAGTTTCAACCTGGACTTAATGATCTCGATCACAGGCTTCAATGCTTGGTGGATAGCACCACGCAGCTAGCCACAGCGATTAGTGGGCGATACAAGATAAGCTAGAAGATGAGTATGGGAGGTGTAGCGGTAAGAGGGGAAGAGGCTGGCAGATGACACTTTGAAGCGGGAAGGTTTGAGTTTGGGGGGAAGGCGGCAGCGGTTGACGCGAGAAGCGAGGTCATAGGCGAGAAGCGCCCGCTACCGTAGACTATGGAAGTCTAAACGTCTCCGTACTCCGTACCAGAAAAAAAGAGTTCCACTTTATGAAAGGAACGATCAGACCATGAAAAAGGATTACATGTATGCAGTACCATGAACAATGAGACGAGTATGTACCGGTTGCAGACATTAGTGAGAGAGCAAGCCCTCAGTAATTTTCATAGTCAGCTTTTTTTTTAAACTACACAGTATAACTACACGTGTTCTTTACTGGTACATGGTCGAGATTGAGGTTCTAAGGTTCCCAAAGGTCCTAATCGACGGGCTTTCCCTTTCCACTTAATTCCGTGAAGATACCCAAATTTCCACGGAATACTTGGATCTACGCCAGTGCGGGCAGTGGAGGTACCTGTGAGCACGGGTAGCCAAAGTGGAACTGGTCAATGCAGTACCACAATTTTACTGTACAGGCCTACAGGGTAACTTGTGGAATGTTGGAACCCACTTGATGTGATGCCATATTTATTAGGCTACAGTGTGGCAAAGCTAGTAATCAGCCATCCAGGCATCAAGGCATGAACTGTGGCAACCAGGGGTCAAGATTCCTGCATCTCGCCCTTTTAGTAATTTATTTTTCTTTTTTTAATACGACGATGGAGGATTAAGGTCAAGATAAATAAGCAAATTAAGCATCAAGAGACGACTGTATCTATATAGATAAATAAATGAGAACTCCTGCTTCAAATCATATACCTAGTCTACCTAGATTCCCTTCAATACGTACATCAGACCATTTTCTACCCCTGGATCAATTGGCTTATTAAGAAAAAAAAAAGGTGGCATCGCAACGGCTGTGGTGGTTCCGCGCTGGTGTGACTGTTTTTATTCGCCGCAATCTCCTTTTTCCTTTGCTCCTACACAGTACAACTCTCACCTCCCCTTTCTCCCTAACTATAGGTTATTCTGTGAACCTCATTGATCATGGATATCGTTCTCGAACTATGGGACACCTTTATTGGTGATCGCCTTTATTCGACCCTTCTCCCCGCGTCACTATCCTCCTCCGTCTCATTGCCGTCCTTCGTCAATGCGGCTGCCAACACTTCAATGGCCCTGTTTGGGCCTGCGGAACCATTTGTCTATGAACAGGCCACACAGATGATCTACCTGGAGCCCTCGAAATATGCATACCTGAGTGCCTGGCCCAGAAACAACATCTACCGTCAATTCACGAGCTTTTTCCTGATCACCTGGTAATGCGCCAATCCCTCCGAGATTTTTACGGCAATTTACTGCAATATGAGAACTAACTTCCAGTCAGGCTGTTTGGTTTGCTGGTCTACTTTTTGGTCGCAACGCTCTCGTACATCTTCATCTGGGATAAAACAACCTACAAACACCCCAAGTTCCTCAAGAACCAGATTGGCCTTGAAATCCGACAGGCCATGTCCGCAATGCCTCCGATGTCTCTGTTGACAGCTCCTTTCTTCGTTCTCGAGGTTCGTGGCTTCGCCAAACTCTACGATACCACCGCCGAGGAGCCCTTTCCGTACTACAGCTTGCTCCAAATTCCCTTCTTCATCTGCTTTACCGATTTCTTCATCTACTGGATCCATCGTGGCCTGCACCACCCCAGCGTCTATAAGACTCTACACAAGCCTCACCACAAGTGGATCATGCCTAGCCCTTACGCCTCGCATGCTTTCCACCCCCTCGACGGCTGGTCCCAGAGTGTCCCGTACCACGTCTTCCCCTTCCTTTTTCCTCTTCAGAAGGTCGCCTACGTGTTCCTGTTCGGCTTCATCAACCTCTGGACCGTCTTCATTCATGACGGCGAGTACGTCGCCAATAGTCCTGTCGTGAATGGCGCTGCTTGCCACACCATGCACCACCTGTACTTCAACTACAACTACGGACAGTTCACCACTTTGTGGGATCGTCTGGGTGGCAGCTACCGCAAGCCCAATGAGGAACTGTTCCGTCGGGAGACCAAGATGGGCGACCAAGAGTGGAAACGACAGGCCAAGGAGATGGAGTCCATCCTTAAGGACGTCGAGGGCGAAGACGACCGCAGTTACTCTTCCGACAAGAAGAAGAATCTTTGAAACGACCGCTGCATTATCACGTTCACGACTTCGCGCAATGCTTACTGGTTCAAGGCTGTAATTGAGCCAATTAACCCCCGTTGCTCTCTCGGCCGGGGGTTCTGGGTTTGGAGTTCTTCGCATTGCTTTTGTTCCCCGAGCCATTCTTCTCTTTCTAATTCAAGTACATTAATTCGCCCTGGGCTCTTCTTACCTGTTCTAATATTTTGAGATTGACTGCCCCGTGGCGCCTGGCAGTCGTCCCCATTCTGTACATAATGCTATTACCCTGTCATAGACGGTCAGACTGCATTTGCCAGGCTTTTTCGACGCCGTTCTCTCTATGATTCTTCTATTTATCTTTCGATATATTGACAAATCCATGTGGCTATGTGAAAAGGGCCAGAAATGCATGCTTCTGTTAACAATGCCTTCGTATCCATGAATAAGCACTACCACTTACAAGGCCCTCGCCATGCAAAAGACGAAAAGCAAAGGTCACCCCTCAGGGTAATCGATGTATGATGACACCACGCGATCCATCAGTCGCATGAAACCCATTCATAGCCAGATCCCTTTCTTGACTTGGCCAGACCTCTGCTCTGAACTGAACTGATTGTCCAGAGACGAGTCGCCTATGGAGAGCAACGACTCGATTGGCTTGGAGAATGTCCCCACATTCCAGCACCGTAATCTTGGCCTTGAACTTCAAGGCCACAGCGAGGATCCGGTGATAGAATACATCCTCGGGCCTGCAATCTTCCTCCCGAGAACCCGATGGCGGAGGAACAAGTGCCAGTTTGGGCTCGAAGCGCCGCACACTGCGCGAAGTGGTGCCGTTGCGAAACTCCGTTTGGGATATGTAGGGCGGGTTGGAAATCAAAAGATCACACACGGTATCTTGGTCTGGCGAGGTGGTGCTCAGCTTTGCTTGCAGTAAAGAGTCAACGGATGGGATCGACTTGTCGCTCCCATGCCCGAGGACATCGGCGCGGTGAAGGCCTATATCTGTGGTTGCGCTGGGCGCCAAGTGACCCAGTTGTAGATTATGTATGAGGTTCCTCTGAGCTAGGGCTAAGGCTATGGGGCTGATGTCAATCGCTGTGATTTCCAATTGGTGGAAATGGGGAGCAAGTAAAGCGTGCAGAAGAAGTGATATGCAGCCTGTGCCAGTGCAAAGGTCAATGACGCGCACGGGTCTCGCCTGATCAGAAGACTTGAACTTCTCTGCACGATCAAGAGCCATTTGACGCACTAATCTTGCTGCTTCATATGTATATGATTCAGTCTCTGGTCTGGGACGAGTTGTCAGTGGGGGATCTTGTTAAGAGACCCAAGGGGGCAGACCTAGGTATCAAAACGCCTCTTCGGCAGAGAATTTCCAAATCGCCGAATGGTTGATCTCCAAGGATATATTGAAGGGGATAGCCTTTCGAACGCAAACGGCACATAGATACCAGTCGACTCTTCCACTCTATCCTTGATGTTGAGAGTGGGCTATCGCGGACAGCCCGCTCGCGTAGCCAACGAAGCTCGTTGCGGGCAGATTCGATTGTACGACATTCTTTAAGAAGTATAGGGAGCAGAGTATCTTCTCGTTGAGCTTGTCGGATCACAGAAAACGGGATTCGAGGCATTATGTGGAAATTGGAGGGAGTCAACATGGCAAGGAGTCGCAACCCAATTTCGCCAAGAGATCCATCCGGCAATGACCAAGCCGATGTATGAACGCTCTACACATTGACTGCCATACATCTCGATATAGAATTGTATAGAATGAAATGTTCAATTACTTAAATATGTGCAAAAATGTCCAACAGGATAGAGGAAACTCCCGGCATAGCCTTCCCAGACTCCAAATACACCACAGCATGCAGGATCTGATGTATAAACATAAGAATGAAAAGGTATGCAACCATCTGCAGATATACTTATAGAGCAAGAAGGGCTCCCGCTCCAAAACTGAGGGCCAGGTGCTTTGACATAGCGGTTGCCCTGGGCATGGCCATGTTCCCAGTGCTGGAGGCAGGGCCAAAGATGCCAGATCCTCCATGCGGTCCTCCAATACGAGCAGCAGCCCCACCAATCGGTGCAGTAGTCACCGGGTTTGAGACTGCAGTGGCGCCGGGGACAGAATCGGTCCCTGTCCCGATCTCTAAGATATCGTTCTCGGTGGAATTGAAATTGGTGTTGGCGAGAGATATCTCGTTGTTGTCAAGATCGTACACCACGTAGGCACTGCGAAGGAATGTATCGCCCAGGACAGCCGTGCTGCTTCCTGCTGGGGCAATTCCAAAAATGCAGGCTCGCTTGCCCTTGCTGAAGAACAGGCCGCCTACGTCAATGGTCAACTCTCTGATGTCCACATTAATTTTCGCGGATGAAAATGTGAAGCTGATAGCGATGCCCTTTCCTGCCAGGCTACATTCAATATAGCCAGTTCCAGTTTCTGGATCAAACACAACCCCGAGTTCATCATAGATTTCCTGGACAAGAGTGTTCGGGAGGTAGGTGAGAGAACTTCCCGAATCCAGCAATACACCCGCCGGGATCGAACTCGGGGAAAGGGTTTTTGTTTGTGAGGAAGTGGTTATGGCGACTTCTGTGAGGGCGATGATAAACTCCGAAAAGATTCCGCCAACCTTCTGGATGGGGATTGTCTGCAGGGTGCCATGAAATTTCTTGGTGTTGACTCCACCGAATAGAATGGAGCCCGTGTTTGCATCCAAATCGTTCAGCCAGAGACTATAGGCATTGGACTTAATAATGCCTTTTTCAACCATTGCCTTGGGCAGATTGGCATACGGCGAGCCACCATTCCTGCCAGCTTGAACCTCATTCACAGCATACCCTATGCCCAACACACCCTCTAACACACAGCCACGTCTATTAGCTCTGCAGCAATGGTCCGATTTAGCACAGATCCCTCACCTGCGGATGTAGACGAGAATCCGACACCAAATTGGAAGTCTTGGAGGGTTGTGCCTCCTATAGTCAGAGTGTCGGTAACATAGTCTCCGACGGCGTTGGACCCATCAGCGTAGGTGATATTGAAGTCAGAATTCACAAAAGATAATGAAGAGGAGAGACTCGGGTCGAAAGTGCCGGACACACTACAGGGATCTTGGGTAGATTCACAGATAGAGGAGTTCGGCGTGTTGCACCATAAATCACTACTTCCAGTGTCAAGCACCAGACGCACGCTCTGTTTTGGGGTACCCAAGGTGACATTGCAGAGGTAGAGAGTTTCCTAGGCAGAGTAATTCTTAAGATCAATCTCGGAGTTTCTAACGACTCGTATGTATATAGTGTAGAGACATCATCATACGTACTTCATTGTCCAATGCCTGATTGACCGTCGAAGTGCGTTTCCTCCTCACTCTATCTCTCGCGACAGGATCGAGGATATCTCTGCGTTGAATGTCCATTACCACCACTGCGGGAGCCTCTCTTCGATGAAGTGTCAACCCCCAGCCAGGCAACACCAGGCCGGTGGCTAATAGGATCAATGCATTTCTCATGATAGCTTCAATCGTCCTCCCGGAGTTCAGATCCGGGAAGTGAGAGGAATATCGTCTTGACAGCTACGTGTCCCGGGTAATTCAACCGAAACTCGAACTGGTGAGTTAGCAAACTAAAGGCTGAAGCTAGTCAATGCGATGGTTGAATTGAAGCAAAAGAGCAAATCGGGGGCAGAGAAGAGGATAAATATATAAATAGTAAGGAGGATTACTGAAGCTCTGTCTCCATCAATGTACAAATGCAGTAAATGCGGCCTAAGGTCAACGGGTAATCTCTTAAGTGCTGTCGTCACCAAGCATACGCAATACAATGGAGGTACGTATCGAACTCCGTAGTCTCCGGGTACTACCTGTCTTCTATTAATTATTGTGTAGGAAGCATAGCACAAGCTATCTGTTGAGAGCCTGAGAAATGATAATCATAACTTCAGTTCATAGTCTCCTTTTATACATAGATGAGGTTCAATATTCACGATCGATGGCACTCCACTGTGGCTTTCTTTGGGTTTACATTACTTCCGTACGTCACCTGCATTTCGTAATTACATATGTACTGTGGATGTATTTGAATTAAAATTACAGAATATATTACGCAAAAGTCTGTAGGCAACCACATTTCTTTTTATAACTGCCGTAGTTAGAGAACTGCGCCACCTAACTACTCCGTATTGCGTATTTTCTTACCCTTCACTATGTATACATCGTAGCTTTAGTGACATCTGTACAGTTGGCTCCTTATAGACCCATTGCATCCCGAATTTGCTGCATAGTCACCCGAGCGTTGGCGCGGGCTGCCTCGGCTCCCTCTTCAGCCACCGAATCCAAATACCCTGTCTGATCCTGCATTATCTCGATATACCGATCTCGCGTTGGTTCCAAATGATGGGCGATTCGGTCTGCAACGTGCTCCTTGAGTGATCGGAGACTTGCGCTGTGGAATTCAGATGCAATCGTCTCGCATGAAACACCTTCCAGATGGCTGAGAATCTCAATCAGATTTGACACACCCGGTCGACGAGTCGGGTCGTAGGTGATGCTCGGTTCTGAGTCCGTCAGGGCCACCTTAACTTTCTGACGAATCTCAGTCGGCGAATCCGTGAGGATGATCCTGGATTTCGCATCGGCATGCGACTTGGACATCTTTGAGCGGGGCTCCTTCAAAGACATCACTCGTTTGGCAGGGGCTGGTCAATTGAGAGTTAGAGTCGGTCCCGTCTGGCATGGGCGGAGAAACGTCTTACATATCAGTGCCTCTGGAATGGGGAAGATGGGCCCGTAGAGGTGATTGAAACTGTTTGCCGTGTATCTGGAGAACTCCAGATGCTGTCTCTGGTCTTCGCCAACTGGGACATGAGTAGCTCTGATGATCATCAGTAAGGAACTGTCCCCGGTACGCTGGGTTAGCAACAAACCTATGCACAAGGATATCGGCAGCTTGAAGTACTGGATAAGAGAAAAGACCCAGTCGCAGCTGTGCTCGTGCTGCCGAATCATCAAGTGTGGCATCGTCCGGCAGCTGGAGTTTACTCTGGGGAATGTCAGCTAATTTCCAGCATATGTACAACTGTAGGGGTGCTCACCTTCCACTGGGTCATGCGCGACAGATAACCCATAGAAGCCACCGTACTGAGAATCCACATCAGCTCAGTGTGAGCTGCGACCTGATATTTGTTTTTATGTCAATATTCAGTTCTCAGCGGATTTGCTCGCAGTCGGGTACATAATGAAACATACACTGGACTGGTAAAATATGGTAGAGCGCTTGGGATCCAGACCCACAGCAAGCAAAGTTGCAAATGCTTCCCTTCTCCATCTCCTCAACTGCCCTGGATCTTGTGGCACTGTTAAGGCGTGAAGATCGACAATGGAGAAAAACAGCTTGGTTCCTTCGGTTGCATCTTGTTGAAGCTTCACCCATTGATGCAGAGCTCCCAGATAGTTACCCAGATGTGGCACGCCGGTTGGCTGTATTCCTGAGAATATGACAGGATCTTGTGCTGGTCCTTCGGTGTTCGAGCTATTCCATCGACGGCAGCTCTTTGGAAGGAAGAGCCGGCTTGAACGGTTATGCAGGAGTCTCCCACCCAATGACCTCAGTGAGGTCAATTCATACCTAATTCGGTTGACAGACATCTCTCGCCCTCGATCGGCGTGATAACGAATAGATGTCAAGTGCAATCACGTCGTCCGTATAGTGTGCGATAAACCCGAGGAATCTTGAACGCGATGTCTATCACGTGACCTATCTTGCGTTGCCGATGCCACCGGCCCGATGGTTTTTTACACAGTACGGAGTAACAATGTGGCTTTCTCTACCCAAGTCCTAACTTGCAGGGGCTACTGTCCTAGCATACCTAGGCATCTACCTGGAACCCGGCTAAGATGAAGAACCTCTATGAACATTTCGACACCCATCCTTTTGAACTTAAATGAGGATAATAAAACAGTAGAATACATATGACCTAGATCAAGGCCTTTGGACACAAAATACATAGCACAGCAATGACACCAAGCCCAGATATTCACGGGTATACAAGTTCAGCAGTAGTCCACCATTCCATCTATAGACTCTTGCGCTCTGTGAATCGCTCATTGTTCAAAGTATCGAATATTGTGCCAGGGGCTGTGTTGTCTTTCCGCTGACCGAATTGAGCAAGCTCTGGACGAAGGGATTCTTCCACTTCGGCAACAGATGCGTCCATGGCCTTGCCAGCATCTGTTATACAATCGATGGTCAGTGACTCGATCATTGAAGACGCCATCCGGATGGAGATCGTAACCATACCTAGACTATCATGCTCCCAGACATTTGCCTTCATACCAACTCCATAGAACGCGTGCTTCCGGAGGAACGCAAGCCAAGCCTGCACCGCTTGTGGGTTTCCATCTTTGATCTGAATTAGCCGGCGAAGTGTGATTCGTTCGAAATTTTCCTGGCTCTTCTTGTGCACGAAATTACTCCGGGGTACAGTCCAGCGTTCGACAATGCGAGGGAGAGGCACGGGTCCGGACACAGGGAGGTTGAGATAATAAGCGGCACGGATGGCGAAGTCCGCGAAGAACTCCACATTACGGACGCTGTAAGATCGCAACTGAAGATCACAAACGGGAAGGCCATATTCCGCCTTCCTCCGCAAGGGCCGTAGGTATATGGCTTGCACACTTCGCGGCAATCGGTTCTTGTCGCCGAATGCTCCTAACCGTTCGGACCTAGCCAAATCGTAAGCAGTGGTCTAGGGACCGTTTTGTGGTATTGATCCAATTGCCTCGTATACGCACCATTCTTTCACGGCAAGGTCGGATGGTTGTTCCGCTTCCGTCGACCTGAATTCTCTCAATCAGCCATGGATCAGAATCACACTCAACTTCGAGGGCATCTTACCCCACGGGAACGGTCGACGCAGGGGTGGTGGCAGCTGGGGTCGGGGTCACAGAGGCAGCTTCTGTGGAAACGATTGGTGTAGGTTCCGGTGTTGGATCTTGAATGGGTGTCTTCTCTTGCTCCGGCGGAGTTGGCTGGGATGGGGTTGATAGAGAGCGGAATGGCACAGGCACCTGAATGGAACATTTAGCATGAGAATTCGCGAGTTCTCAAGATAACATACCCCAAGGCGCTTGCTCGCTCCAATCAAGGAGCGTGTGTATGAAAACATGGTTAATTGTGAGTTAGGGAAAGATCCGTTGTTGTTGGATGGGTTTTTTCGGGGTGTGCCCAGGGCGGTGAGGGAAGATCAATATATCTCGGAAATGAACAGTACAATTGGGGTCATGTAATACCCTAGCTTGTGCCCTATAGTTAGTTAGAACTTAGGATTCAAGTCAGATTTTGATTAATTTCGTTATCCGAGGAGTATCACGTGTAAGATTGACCCAGTCATAACACCTTCATGTCTAGATACATGTAGAAGTTAGAACCCCGTGGTGTTACTCATGAACTGTTTCTATATATATCTCCTCGTCTATCGATGTTATACTTACTTTCAAGCGTGGACTATCCTAACCAAATGCCAGACAACAAGTATCTAGAGTATACCTACATATCATCAGATATCTGATTCTGTCATTACTGTGTTAAACTGTTAATCGGGTCTTTCGAGCCCCGCCAAACTAGCCAATGGCATGTGACTCCGCACTTACAAAAGGTCGCCTTTTATTCCTTTCTACTGCTCTCCACTTGCTTTCAATCCTTTCCAATTGAATATAGAGAATCAGTACCCAAATTGATATATCAAAGCAAAGATGACAAAGACAGAGCTGACGGCGTTTCAGCGAGCCAACGAAGCCGTTTCTTATCTCAGAGCTAGCTTGCCAGAAAGCCTGCAAAAACCCCAGGTCGCAATCGTATGTGGCTCAGGACTAGGAGGGCTTGCAGATACGATTCAATCCGACTCACGAATTGAATTCGACTATGCATCTATCCCCCATTTTCCTCGTTCAACGGGTTGGTCGTCTTCTTCAGATCAGCGGAAGAGGTGCTAACATTCATTCCATAGTCGCTGGGCATGCTGGAAAGCTGGTCTTTGGCTTCCTCGGCCAGAATATCCCTGCAGTATTGATGGTTGGCCGTGCTCAGTGAGCCTAGCCCTTGTTCGGCTTCCTAATATCGCAGCTGACCCTGGCTTAGTTACTACGAGGGACACTCAATCGACCAAGTGGCATTCCCAATCCGAGTCTTCAAACAGTTGGCTGTGAACACGGTTGTCTGTACGTACTACGCTACTACGCTACTATCACTGGAACGGCAAGTATTAATGATGGCTTTAGTGACCAATGCGGCCGGAGGATTGAATTCTGAATACGCTGTAGGGGATCTCGTCCTATTGAACGACGCAAGTAGAACCCCAGCGGAACTATCGAGTGCGATTGCTAACACTGACCCGCAGCACCTCTTCTTGGCCGGGCTAGCAGGAACTCATCCATTGCGGGGGGCCAATGAAGAAGAGTTTGGAGTGCGATTCCCGCCCCTGTCTGATGCATACGACCTTGAGCTCCGTCGCCACGTGCATCAAGCATGGAAGACTGTCATGTCACCGGAAAGCGACAGAAAGTTGCACGAAGGTGTATATGCATTTGTCGCAGGTCCTACGTGAGTAGGCGGAATCCTCTCTTCGAAATGCAGTGCTAACGATACCAAGATACGAGACAAGAGCTGAAAGCCGAATGCTTCGAATGCTCGGTGCCGATGTGGTTGGCATGTCCACAGTGCCGGAGATAGTCACTGCCAGACATTGTGGGCTCCGAGTGCTTGCCTTCAGTTTGGTCACCAACCAGGCCGTGTTGTCCCCTGTCCCACGGGGCGACGAGGACTTGCTCCAAAACAAAGCCGCAGGTGAATTGAGCGCCATCCTGGAGGAGGGCAAGGCGACACACGAAGAGGTTCTCGAAGCTGGCCGCGCGGCAGCCATTGACATGCAGGTAAGATCCGTGCTCCAATTCCCGGAGAACCAAACGCTGACATCAACACCAGAAATTGGTTATCCAAACCCTCGTGAATGTCTTCGATCGCGCCTAAGACTGTGCTTAGTACGCATGAGTGTGTGTGATGATCTTGGCTGGTGAAGATCTGGGCGAGGCTCATTGGGATCCTAGCAGGGGCGATCGGGTTGACATCGTCCCGAAGTTGGACATGACCTGCATGGGGTCGCCGCCACTCCTGGCATACTTTTAACGAGAATAACTGCCAATTCTTCACTTGTTCTTCCGGCTTCTCTTTGCCTGCAGGTCCTTGTAGAAAGACTTCTTTCCACTTGACTTCTTGGCTTGTATGTCCCTGTACTTGGACTGGAAACGCTTGGTGTCACGCTCAAGAGCCAACGTTTCTTCAACGAAGTTCTTCTTGCGATCCTTCTTAGTGATGCGGTTGCTGAAGAACTCGGTGGGACCCTGAATGATGGTTCCGACCTGGGAGTATTCGGGAGGTTTGGCCTTCCCATTCTCTTTCTTGTAGTGACGCTTAGGATCCAGTACGGAGCGCATCCGGATGAGCTGTAGATCTCTTTTAAGTTCTGGCGTCATGACTGTCTTCGGCAGGTTGAACCACTCAGGTCCAGCGGTAGGCTTTTCCTATCAAAGGTGATAATTGTCAGCAATTAGCTACACATCGCATGTCGAGAAGATGTAGTGATAGAGATAAATGCTCAGAGTAACTATGAATAAAAGAACTCTCATTGGTGCAGCACAGCCCAAAACGGACTGGTGACGCTGCATCAAGCGCTTCGCGTTGGGAATATTTTCCTCATAGCATTGTGGAAAAGGGGCAAGAAATAGAAGACGATAAATAAGAACTTACTGTATCCTCTTTCTTATTACCAACCGACCGAAGAGAGTTGGACAACTCCTTCTGTTTTTGGTCAGTGATCTTCGCAGCATCGACAATAGCAACACCATCTTCCTGATGGACGTAAGGTTCCAGCGAAGACCCAGGAGTCAATTTTGGAATCCTGGTAGTGGTTAGCTTGACCTCCTATGAATAATTCTGAATTCTCATACCTAAGTGATGCATCTTCAGTTGTGGTGCTCAGCGCGTTAGAATCTCGCAGTCGAGTCTCTGCTTCAAGGAGGAGCTGCTGGATCTGATCATCAGTCAGATCCTCCTGAGCATCCACACATGTTGAGTCAGCCATCCCTGCTGAATAGGGAAAATAGCAAAAGCTCAAGAGATTTTGGGTGGGTGGAGAGAATTTATATTTTTCGAGCTTCTCTTGTTGCTTCCCGGAGCCGGACAAACATTTATGAGAAATTTCTGCCGAATGAGACGGTGTCATGTGACCACGCTACTTGACCTGCCAGCCCGTGATACCGCAATAGCCTGTCCATGGAGTCGCAAGAGGTGGTACAATTCAATGGCGCAGTGCATGTATTGAGGGTCAAAAGGCCTTTCACTGCTTATGTACAATGTACATCTATGTCAAACTATAGGGTTAGATATCCCCAGGCTGCTCTGTACGATGTAACTATGTCTTCGCGAAGTTATTGATATAGAACAGATGTAAATGCACATTTCTTCTATATAAAATATGACCAGATTCTATATATAAGAGACAATATAGTGGTGACGATTTCTACATAACGTCCATAGATATATTGTACGGAGTACTGTGTACGGAGTACATTACTGCGTACAATAGGAGCTCGGAGGGGCGGCCCCGGGAACGTCAGACAGCTGAGCACCTCCGAGCTTGGCACCCAACGCGTCTTAACCTGGATCACAACAGCTCCAAGTAGTCTTGGTCGTGTTGAAGTCTGCTATTCCTCTGATTCTTACTTTTGGGTAGTGTCAATTCATCTTTCGTTTCCAGTCTGCTCAACGCAGTCCCACCTTCGCACGTCTCCGGTCGCGTCGCATCCTCTGACCACTACCTGCCCGACACAATTCAAGAAACCGAAAGAGCTTTATCGCAAGCAGGATGGAGCAATCTCCCCAAGGAACTGCGCAGCAGGGTAGACAGCAGCCGCAGCCTGTCTATGATGTCAGGAATGGAGGTCATTACGGTAATAGCGCCCTAGTTTCACTTTGCGCCAAAGCTGTCGATGTTCATGAAAGAACAACTCTGATGAGCTTGGTCGCTATTCCTTGGTTATGAAATCAGATCGAATAGGGACTAACAGCATTCCATGGTTTATAGGTGCTAGTGCAGCGGTATGTCTTTTATGAGGAACGGCGCAAGTCTTGGACTTGCTTGACAGTGATGATGCCACACAAATGGGGACTAATCGAAAGTGGACCAATCTAGCTCTCAGCACAAGGCTACGCACCAGTTGCCGAACTGTACACAGGTACTTGGGCCAATGTAAGCCCCTTGACATGACTAGATACATCTGCAACCCCGCGACTTACCCGGAATAGGTGAACCAAGGCCTCCAAGGAACCGCCCGCGATATCTTGACGACTTATTGGCAGCATGTTATCAACCACTTAGAATCAGATAATCATGACTACAAGATCCATCAGTTGCCATTGGCTCGGATCAAGAAGGTGATGAAGGCCGATCCGGAGGTCAAGATGATCTCCGCAGAGGCGCCCATCTTGTTTGCTAAGGGTTGTGATATATTCATCACCGAGTTGACTATGCGTGCATGGATTCATGCCGAAGACAACAAGCGCCGTACCCTGCAGAGATCTGACATTGCCGCCGCTCTGTCTAAATCAGACATGTTTGACTTCCTGATCGATATAGTCCCCCGGGAAGAGGCAACTTCCCATGCCAAGCGGTCAAGTCAGGCCGCAGGTGCTGCCCCGGGTCCATCTGCTGCGCCCAGTCAGATGCCCCCTGCTCCGCATGGAGTTCAGCCACATCAGCACATGGGCCCTGCTGATTATGGATCTCTTGGCCAGCATGGCATGCCCCAAGACCAGGAGTACCGTCCGCAGCCCGCCATGTACTCCGGAGCCGTTCAACCAGATCCGAATGCAGCATATGGCCAGCCACAGCCTCAAATGTTTGAGGGGATGTATGCCTACCCGCATCTTCCCCCGCAGCAGGTATGTGACCGTTGACTCATTTCCTTAATCAAGCTAATCCGAGTCACAAAGTGAACGCATTGCCATTGATTCCAGTCCATTGACCTTTTCTTATGCGTGTTTCAAGGCGAATTTTGGTCTTTAACGATATTATTGCGTGTTGCTGTATTTATCTTCGCGCACAGGGCAAATGCAGTGCCGAGGTGGTAGTTGAACGATCCCCGATTCTTCGAACCCTTCAATATGCGGAATTGGTGTATATATTTGTATGCTTTCCGTATTCGACCTTTTCATGATCATTTTCTTTTGGAGCAGCGCCACGTATACATATCCCTACATTGATTGTATTGAGAAGCCCGACATCACATGCGGTATTTAGAGCGAGGGCTCAACTTTGTCTATTGTCGAAGCAAGCCTCCTGTACGGATTCGCGAGAGTGTGATACTTGTGAGATATCGTGTGATACGACAAGGGACGTCCACAAACATTTCTAGGGGCTCTCAGGGGATATTCATTCACTTTCGAGCATGTTACTTAAACACTGCATACGGGACATATTAATGATAGATTTAGTGGATTCATCCAGTTTTCTTGAAGCGCGAAGAGAGAGTTGTAAACTTGTCCACCTTGGTGGGAGCTTGAACAGTGCGTGTAAGCCTAGGGAGTCACAACCAGTCAGTAAGTATTCGACAACAATCAAGGGGAGGTATGAACCATACTTTTCAAGCAAAATGGGCCCTTGCAGAGCGTCGACTCGTCCATATTTCTTATTCCTCGTGGAAATGTCGTAAAATTCATCTGCGCTATCCGCTTGCATCAACTGCACTGTTTGCTGTAACTCATCAAGGTTCTCTCGAAGAATCGGTACGTTCAAACTGTCCACAAATTGGGCAAGATATTCGACATCCTTTGCCAACGCCATCACACCATTGGGGTTGATCTTCTTCACATCCGGAGAGAGCGGTTGCGCCTAATCGTCCTTTAGTAAGCCTTCATTCAATAAGGGAGCACCAGAAGAAAACTCACCAGAATCATGTTAGCAGCATGGCTGAGGGCATCGAAGTAAATGAGCTCTTTGATTTCTGTAGGTAAACCCAGCAATGTGGAGTTCATGATATTGGACAAGAATCGAGTTAAAGTTTGCATGTAATTGCTGGGCTCTGTAGGAGGTGTGGGAGACATCCACTCGTACTCCGCTGTCTCAATAAGGTCATCGATCTTCGAGTTGACCACCTCGAAAATACGCTTCTCGGCTGCCTTTTTATTGCTCCTGAATTTCTCAGTAGCCCTCAACGCGATCGACGTGCCGATAGAATTTTGTGAACGGGCTGCTGCCAGCAAGAGTTCCAGCTCGCGGCAAGCCAGCTCGAAGTGTTCCAGATTGATAAGGATCTGGACAATCTGACCCAAGTATTGGGAGGAAAGACGCTCCACTAAGGTGTCACAGACCTCTTGTGAGAGAAGGTCATCCAGATCCTGCAAAATTAGTACCTCGTATACACAGGACATTTGGCCATTGGAAGCGTGGTGTTCTTCAGACTCACATTTTTCAGTGTCTCATCAATCACATTTGTATTGGCAAAACCGTCATTTGCAAAAAAGTAGAATTGGTTCAGGAAATTCCTGATATCAATGCAACACAAAGGATACATTCGGGAGAATGGTAATATGCATGGAAACCTGAGCCAACGATCAGTCATGCGTGAATACATAGTCTACATGGCATAGGGTTGGTCGATACTTACATCTGCTCCTCGCGAGGCTTTTCGGGGTTGTACCAGCTCACGTTGAGTACTTTGTCATGCTCCTCTCGGGTTTGTATGGGCATGGGCATATAATCATCCGTTGTTACAATCTGGCAATGTCAGAATTTCGGATAACCGGTAGAAGGGGTAGACCCTTACCTCATGGAAATCGTCACTGAATCTCTTCTTGAGAAGTTCCGCGTATTTCCCAAAGAGTGTCAACAAGAAGTCATCAAAAATCCGCACGGGGAAGTTCCAAGTCTATTGTACAGATGTCAGCCACTTGAGCCCAGATTGAGAGAAGTAAGCCCACCCACGTTCATCGTTTGCATGAAAAGAGCGATCAGGTTCTTGATGTTGAGAATACTTTCCGCGTTATCGACTTCATGGAGGGCTTTCGATATCAATACCACGGCCGATTGGCACATTGAATCCCACAGCTCATCAATCTGTTTGCAAGCACTGGTCAGATTACTCCTAGAAGCCTCCTCGTTGACAAGAGACCAGAGTTGCGGGGGCAGGGTTCTTACGTCGACAGATGACCTAAGGTCAGGAGCCCTTTTCATAGTGGCTCGTTCAACAATAGCAAATCCGGCCATCTCTTCCAAGAGATTGTGCAAGCTGGAACCATCTTCATCAATCAAGGTGATGGAAGACGGGAGCAAGAGCTCTTTTTGTCTTCGGCGGGTGGTGGCGTACTCGATCCTAAATTTATCCATATGTCCCAGGGATTGATGAATGTGCAAGCACTCGAACAGCGGCGTGAAATCAACTTGAAGGTCGTCATTATGAAGCAGATCATACTCTTCATCTTCATCCGACACCAATTCAATCGCAGAGTTCAAGTTAAAATGCTCGAGATATGGGGTTTTCTCTGCCCTTTGCTTTTGTCGTGATTTCCGTTGATCTGTGTGGAAGAGTGCGATCTCGCCGAGGTATTGAGACATTTCTCGGATACGATAGAGCCAGGTGTTGAGATCCGACATAACTGCTTCTGCGATAGCCCTCTGCGTCGCGGGAACCGAGCGTTGAATCATGATCGCAATCTTGTATTGCGTCACACCCTTCAAGTGGACATTTTGTAGTTCTTCCAAGGCGCGCAGCGCTGCGTAGTGGTTCTTCTTTGCCAACAGGTCATGGACTTGATTGGCTAAGCGCAACACCTCCAAGCAATCCTGAATAGCGCGACTGGTCTCGTCGATGTTCTGCCGGTGGCCACGCGATTCCACCAGTGCCTTCTTCTGCTCGGCTAGGCGCTCTGTGCTGGTCTGAATAGATTGGTTCAAATCCAGAATCTCCGCTGTCAGTTGCACTGTCCCTTCTCGAATCCGAAGCAGTGAGTTCACAGATGAGACAAATTCCTGATGATTTGTGTTGCATATGCTTTCGATCTCGGACTCCTTGTCGCTCGCGAACCGGGACAGTGACTGTAGGAGTTGGGGAGTCCGGTTCCCAATGCTGTAATCTCGAATTGAAGGAATTAGTTGGTCAAGGTAGTCTGTATCTGAGGGTGAGATGATAATCTAGGCCAAGGAAGTCAGTTTCTGGCACCTGTACATTGTTTGACATGTACGATAACTGTTTACTCACTTGGTTCAAAACATGTGGCTCATTAAGCGTTGGAGCCATGAGCGGCATGATGTCTCGGCTTCATAGCCACTTGGAACAGTAAGCGATACTCAAAGCTCGCACTTGTCTGATCTGAGAAACTGATTCCGAAATGGGTGGTCCTTCCAACAATCCATACATGTATGTAGCTCTCATTGACGTCGCCTCAGGGCGGTCAGACGTTGCCCGTCAACGTTGGATCTGCCACAAATCTATTGACCGCTTTTAACCCGCTCAGTGCAATGGGGGTCATTCGTGGAATCGTGATTGTCAAAGGACTCGATGCGTGCTTTCTGGTTATCCTATAAACCCATGGATATTAGTTAATTGCTCTACTTATGCTTATGTGAAACGTATAAATCTGTCAGGCCTGTGGCCTGCCGACAGCTGGAAAGAGTGGTCGCCAGTCCACTGGACTGTTGGAAACTCGCTTTGCCAATTTCCGATCGACCTCGAATGGAATTTCCAGATGTAAACTGATCAAAGATCAAAAGAAATGATAAACACAAAGCCAAAATGAACGTCATTCTACTCTCATTCTACTCCTGATCGGGGGGATCAGAGTCCCGCCTCAACACACACCATTCCAACACCCTCTTCGCTCCAGCCGCCCAATCTTGTCGGCTACCGCTTGTGTGTTTGCGTGAATCAAGCGAGTACAATGGACCTGGCACTGCACTCCTAATGGGTGCCATCCTTCTTCTTCCGTCACACTGTTCAAGGGATCGTTATCTCCGCTCTTTTATCATCCCCTTCTTCCTCGTCTAGAGCCGTAGGATCGACTTGTCTGGAATTGACCCCGAAGACCAGTCTTGACCATGAATTCGGCCACAATCGTGCGGGCCTCCAGCCGTGTCAGGGGTTCGTCTCAATGGAGAGCGATTCCTTTGTCGGAGAGAGCGCGTCTCATCCAGTCTCATTCGTTCCGGTGCAGGGGACTCTCCAGCAGGACGTGTGCTACTGTTTGGCTGCCAAGATCGTAATCACACCGCGCGTCGGATGATACGATGCAGGTAAGCCCCTAGGCCGATTCGCCTAGCTCTGAGCTGCATCAGAATCGATGCCGTCGCTTTGCGCACGCCCGACCGGTATTCCAGCGTCTTCTTTGTCGGTATCTCAGTTAGGTATTTCGTCGGTCGACTGGTCATCTCCTTCGCCCACATCATATCCCACTCCAGCTTCGCTTCGCTGCGAATTCGCACGACTTACAGTACCCCTGGGCCCTAACTAACTACCATAATCAGAAAGGGGAACAAATTCAATAGCACACTCAATACGTATTCCCCACCGATACGTACCTATCGAGAAAATCAACGGTAGTAGCACATGTAGGATGTCTTAAATATAATTTTCACCGCCCATATCCGTGTACTGTACGGCTACCATTTTCTGATTTTTGTGTACATTCCCCCAAGGACCCCCATATGGCTGTAGGGGCGGTGCGGCGGGTAAGTGAAAGTCCAAGGGCGGTGTTAAAACTTATGTCTAGTCAATGTGACTGTAAGATACCGGGCCTACAGGATGTACGCAGGCCTTAGGGCTTAGGAGCCATGTACATTGGGTGAATGAGGACATCATCATCATGTCCTAACCACGTGCAAATAGACATTCACGCTAGTCCATGAACAGAATAGCATCCACTGCTAGCGTTATAGAGACCCATCGGATTAGAGGCTTATAATCACTTCCAAAATTCCTTGTACATGCATACCTCCGACATTAGCAAAAGATGTTGCATTATATCTACCCTCCAGGCCTGCTTGAGTTGACTATCCCTATTACCTGTAACACCAAAGACCAATGCTGACAATGAATAGGTTTACAGACAGTCATCCCCAGCTTGTCTTAGCACTGCGCATTATCCATGCCTATGGCCGCCTAGGGCTGCATATGGACGATTGGGATGGCTATCGCCGCAATGGAAAGGACTGAGGAATGAAATGAAAAGGAAGATACATGAGGATGAAGCTGAAAGAAGATCTTACAGAGGCACGATCGTCAATCAGTCTCCAGGAGCCACTGGTATGCATTGCCGATGCCAGTGGAGCCCTTGTTAGTAGCGGACAGCCTCCGCAAGTCGTCGACGGCATCCTGGGTGCTATATTTGCAATGTATCTCTGCAACAGCATATACTCACATCCAACATCGCCGACAGTGTCGACTTGACATCCGACAATGTCGAATCGATTATGTCGCTCGTTGCGGCGTCGTCGCCGTCGTCGCCGTCGGCCACAAGCCGTTTGTTTATTGTTGTCAACGTCTCTGTGCTTCTGCAAGATCTTCTTTCCATCTGATACTTTTCTTCCTCGTGTATCTTCCTTTTAGCTTAATTTCTCTGTCCCCTTATCTCTGTCCTTTTTCTCTGTCCCTTTCCCTTTTCATCAATTTTCCTGCTTCATACCCATCATATGCACCGAGTGATCCTGTCTAACTAGACACCATGACTCAACAGCCTCCTGCGCCTTCGCAGGATGGCTCCTCAACCCAAAGCTCGCTCCCTGGGCAGCTTGCCGCGTTTATCCAAATGAGGGCTTCACAGCGTTCGCATGCGGATGCTTCTATTCAACAGGAACTAGTTCCTGCTGCGAGGTAAGTCACTCGTCAACATTGGTGAATATATATAAAGCATGGTTGTTAATGTGTCTGCAGCAGCGATTCCTTCGCCGGTTGGCTGAGTAGGTACCACTCGCGGATGCTGGAGGAGGCAAGCCCGACTCCTGGTGTCTACTCACCCGACTACTCCTGTTCGCCTTTGCGAAGCCGGAACCAATGGCAGCCATCGCCATTCTCCCCCCTTGGTGATAATGGCCGTCTCCAGACCAACCTCGCCCCAACCCAGGGAGCGACTGGCAATATCCAACACACTCCTCCGGAAGCTCTCGACCATGGAGCCTATGAATCCAGCCTGGTCCCAGTTTTTGTTTCTAGTCTGCTTCCTAGCTACCCTACCCCCCAAGGCGCCGAGGGTTTGACGGATGGACCGCAAGAGGCAAGCGAGGATGTGCCGACTCGAGGCTTTATCGTGTCATTGGTCGATGCCGAAACACCCCACCGTTACATCCTTGATGTACTCTGTGTAAGTTGCATTATGAACACGGTCATGCAAGGCGTTTAAGCTGACTATGTCAAGATCAAGGAGTATCGCTCTCTTGAGCTTATTTGCCTAAAGTATATCAAGGATAACCAAAAGTTTGCTCTCGCCTTTGCGGACGTTCGGGAGGCCATCAATGCGAGAAAGGTGTTTAAGGACAGTCATCCTGAATGGCGCATTGCATCAGCGACTGCCCAAGAGATCGCAGGTATCACTGGAGTTGTGGAATTCATCAAAGAGTCCCCGCAAGGCGTGTTTCTTCTGACCGTCCATGTGCCTCTTCAACGATTGCGCGACCCAAACAACGAGGATTTCATCAAGGGCCTAACCCTTAACTTCGGCCAGGTGGAGCAATTCGTGGTGATTCAGAGGAGCGCCAGGCTGCTAAGGTGCCAGGTGCAATACTATAACGTCCGTCGTGGGGCCTGTGCCTTCACCTGTCTCGATGGATTATTGTATCATGTATTGATTCCTGATCTTTTTGATATAAGGAGACGTTAACATTTCCATATAGGATTTCCGTTTTGAGGTCTCCCCTGAAGGGAGTTCGTCTCTACCCTTGCCCCCCTACGTTGGCCAACAAAGTCCTGTGACGCCTCACCAGGGCAACAGTGGTGGGTTTGGGTCTTCGTCGAATATGGGTTTGGGCAAGGTTGATTGCAATGAGCGGATAACCAGCCTCGCTCGAATTCGAGATGGACAGGATGTTCGCACCACGGTCAGTTAACCCCCTTCATCTATTATATGACAACATCTCACATAACGCATCGTCACAGATTATAATTCGACATATTCCGAAATTTCTTGATTGCGTAAGTCAGATCTCATCTCTGTTAGACCTTGTGGATGCTAATTCAAACCTCCCCCATAGGATCAAGTGATGGAGGCCTTGAATCGAATTAGTCATGGAGCATACGACTTCTTGTATTTGCCTATAGGCAAGTGAACCCTCCTTGAACGATTCATTTGAATTGGAAACTAATCTTTAGCAGAATGGCGATCAGGCACCAAGTAAGTTTCGTGCTCTCAACGATCTCTTGCGAATACTCACCCTTCTAGTTTCGGTTACGCATTTGTCAACTTCGGCGATGTAAGTATTCATTCGATTCGATCCCATTCGATCCCTTTTGATCCCATCTTTTCGCCCCATCTCTTCCGCTCCTCCGATTTTGTGTCCTTTCAGTTCCAATATTGCTTTTCTCGAGTTTTCACTAACGCGATTCATAGCGATTGGACATTATTACCGTGAGTCATCCTCTGTCTAGGTTGTGATACCTTGACATCTCGCTGACCGGCTCCCCTTAGCTCTACCTTGCGCTAGAGGGCAAAAAATGGTATCTTTCTCTTGCATTTAGCAGTTACATACCCGCTTGCTAATCATTATAGGCCCGACTGCCAAACTGCGGAGGACCCAGTGAGAATCAGCTATGCCAGTACGTGCCCCCAATCATGATAACCAGGAATGGGTATCTGACAGGATTCAACAGTGGTTCAGGGAAAGGACAATTTGGTGAACAGGTTCCGCAACAGTAACGTTATGACCCGACCTCGTGAGGAGCGACCCAAAGTACGTTTAACAGATGCTTTTCTAGTCCCCTCAAGCGGCAATACTGACTGACTGCAGTTGTTCTTCACGAGCGGTCCTTTTGCAGGATTGGAGGCACCCTTCCCTCTGCCAAATGACGCCGGGAGGCTGCACCCTCATCTATCGAACCGTGTTAACCGTTATCCTGCGGGAGGGTCATTGCCCCATGACATCCCTTTGAGTTCTCCATCAGCCCGAACGGAGCGTGATCCGCGCCACTCTAGGGGGCAATCATTGCAGCAGAACTTCCCTTCGGGTGCCTCTTCCACTCGGCAGGGCAATCAAACCATGCGAGAGCTTGAGTGGCGTCGTGCGCCTCAGAATCTCCCCTTGAATTCTCTATGGGCTCCAACGGAGCGTGATCCGGGCCACTCTAGGGGACAATCATTGCAGCAGAACTTCCCTTCCGGTTCCTCCTTCACCCGGCAGGGCAATCAAAACATGCGCCAACTCGAATGGCGAACTCAGCCTACACCTCAGGATAACCCTGAAAACACTTCCTTGGCATTGCATGGCAATCAAACCATGCGCCCCTCTGTGAGACAATGCCTGCCTCAGAACAGCCCTTTGGCTTCTTCATTGGCTCGAACGGAGCGCGGTCTGCGTCACTCTAGGGGACAATCAGTGTTCCAGAACGTTGCTCCGGCCTCCCCCTCAGCGGCGTTCGAGGCACAGTCAGTCCACCGCTCCTGGGGACCACAGAGTCGCTCTTGGGGACAACAGTATCGTGCCCAACAACCTTCAGCCGAAAAAGCTTTTCCGTTTACGCGGGAGAGCAAGTAAGCGTTTCCAGTTTTTCAGTTTTTCAGTTTTGTCACATTTTTAGTACAGACAAACGAACACTTGAGGGCAATGCTCATTATGCTCTGAATAGGGCTCGCTGCCTTCCATTTGTTCAAAGGGAATCTACCGAGGGAGATTTGATCTCGTTGAGGATCACTCAGCCTCTTGTCCCTTGTTTGTTATGTTTCGGAAAAATTAGAAAAAATAATAAAAAGGAGAAAGATTCTATCAATAGTACATGGTAAATACTAGTAGTACATAGTAGTTTGTAGGTGGTTGTCGTATATACACAAGGCCAGTACCTTACCACGAGGTGAGTAGTCAGCGAAAGTCAAAATATCCGGAATCAAACTCTTTTGCATCTTTTGCTTCTTTTGCTTCTCCAACCTCCAACCATGGATTCCAAAGAAATCCTGGCAGTTCACTCAGTGCTCCATTTGATCTATCATCGAAATAAGAACCAACATCACCGAGCAAAATGGTGGAAATGGTTATCTATCTTGAAGCGCGCCACATTGAATCTCATCCGATCGGAGGAATCCCAGCATCTGGCTCAGATCATCCCCAGATGTTACATGTAGTATGCCCTTCCTCGGATATGTTTCGAAAAGCTGATCGGTATCCAGAGCATTTTCAACTGTCGTCGCTGATAATCAATTTTCCACTCTTGGGGTGGTGCTTCTATCTGCATTGGCGCGACTGTCCAGGCTCACTGGCATCAGCCACCAGATGAAAATGAAGAGCAACTCCAAGAAAGTTACCCCTGTCACTGCAAAAGTGGACATAGGAGAACGCGTTCGCCGGGTCGATGTGCCGGTCGGTGTGAAGGTTCCCGAGAAGGCCGAGAAGTCGGAAAAAGATGCCTCAAAAGCTACGAAAAAGAAGAAAAAGAAGAAAAAGAAGAACGCCATCGACGATTTGTTTAGCGGTTTATTTTGACTGGTCTTATACCCCCTCCAGTGGTTTTTGGTCCTTTTTCAAGTGTTACAAAAAGAAAATTGAAAAGGTATCTCTAAATTACAAGTGAACTATCGATACGACATGGAAATGTAGACGAGATCAAGTAAACACGGCCTCCATCAGTAAATTCACAGCGTGCATGGCAGTAGCCCACGCCATGCTGTAAAGATATTTGGGGGAGAACACGGTCCAGATGAACAGATGGGTCCGAAGCGCAGTACAGGCAGCCATGACAGAGACCAGGGACATGGCGACTTGGAAGGTCAGCAATGACGAGACATCCTCTTTCGCGAAGTTCTTGGGTCGAAGGCGATGACTTTGTGAAGCCCACCAAATAGGCCCTGTCCAGTTGCTCGCGAAGGTGAGAATCCCCACTAGCAGTGCGTTGTAGCTGTCGACGCCGTTATATCCACTGGCGAGGTCTACAGAGGAGATTGAGTTGGAGCCGCCAAATGCAAAGAAGGTCATATACTGGAAGATTAAGGTGGTGATCGTCACTTCAATCCCTGCGAGGTCCATGGAGGAGAGAATGTCGACCTGGACTCGAAATATCAGAAACAAGGGGACATTGGTGGCACGCGACTGTGTCATCAAGAAGATATGTAAAGCTTGGTGGATAGTCTCACTCGGTGCTAGAGATGCGGATCAGTATCAGCTCAAAGACATGGAGGGTGTGAGCTCACCTCGAGCAACTCTCGACCGTTTTCCGACAAAGAGTGCTAGTAGGACAATGACAGCAAGCCCATAAAATACTAGTCTAGCATGCAAAACCAGTGATAGACTATAGGGCCATTTCTTCACAATTGGGGCGATAAACGTCTCCTCGAACAATTCAGGAGACTCCGATGCCACAAAGTGCAATTTGAATGTAAAAGCCAACACAACAGGGACCAAGACTCCCAGCCTCATTATTCCAGATATACTTCTGACCAGATAGCGCCCAGCATCCAAGTATGTGAGAATAAGAAGAACCCAGAAGATATCCGGATGGCGTGCAAAAAAGGTGCGAGCAATATCGGGCTCAGCTGCAAACTTCTGACCTGTTTGGTTCCACCGTCGCAAGAGTCGTTGGGATATGGCAAGCACGACAGACCAAGAAGCCAACGATCCAAAGCGTTTATTGGGAATCATCTTAGCAGATGAGACCGATTTGATATGCAAGAAGAAGATCCACCCCGAACAGATCCAATACCAGAACTGCTGTTCCTCTTCCACGTAGCTGCTGGCAAACGTCATTATCCCATAGATGATCACCACAAGCATCAAAAACAACCCAGAAGGTCTGTGGCGGGCGCATTCCTTGTACGTGGCCGGGGAGACAAGGAGCCCTGCAATGCCCGTGATCAACAAGCCCAAAACAAGTCTGGAAACATCGTAGTTACTAGCAGTACGACTCATTGCTTCCTGTGCGATTCTCAAAAACTGCAACATAGCGGGACCGGCGGTAGAGTAGAGTTCCTCAGGTTCGGCCCTGATGGAGAGAAGCCGCTGGACTCGAGCCCAGGCACATTGTGCACCTTCGATTCCAGATGTAGCTTCAGAGGCACACGATGTAGTGCTGTCGAACGTCGAGCCAGGGAATGTTGTTTTTAACGAGTTTAGCAGCTGTTCTGCATTCTGAGACAACATCCGAAGTTTATGGGAACCTGCTTTGGGATCAGTTTTTAGATTCTCCCGGGCTCTTTTGCAAGTAGATGGCGCACTTACCATGAGTCCACATCCCTAAGAAGTCGGGGATGAATACACCAAGACTGTTCAGAGGGATAGGGACGCCAAGCAGTCCCGCTAGTGTCGGCGCGATGTCCGCTTGGTTAACTGTCTGGTAGTACTGCATATCACCCAATGATTCCACGGGGCTTTCTCTCCCACCCAAGTCTTCAAACTTAGGTGAAATGAAAAGCAAAGCAGGTGATGTTTCACCAGCAGAAGATCCACCATGATTTCCAGCCTCGTTCATGCCATGGTCTCCGCACAGAACGAAAAGTGTCGATTGGAGATGGTCTTTCTGTCGCATTGCCGTATAGATGTCCGCCACCACAGAGTCCATCTCGCGCTGTTTTGGTATCATGAAGGGACTAGAAAGGTTAGAGGCCGACCAAGAACGGGGCAAAAGAGTCATAAATACCTCTTAGGACCAGCCTTATGTCCTATGTGGTCCAGTCCCAGATAATGCATGATCAACGCAGACCAGTCATCCTGGGCAAGCTCTTTGGGAACGTGTCGAGTCACATTATGATCTACTTCCGTGAAGTCCTGCGAAAACACAAACTCAGTTCCAATGCTAGCTCTGCGGACACACAGGCTCCTAGAGTATAACTAACCGACACGAAGAAGCTTGTAGTTCCCTCGGCTCGGTCGAACATCCCCGGAAAGAGCTTAAGCCAGGTATCATCCCCATACATTGCAAGCCGTCCTCCTGTAGCCTTTATTTGTGCCAACCACGTGTCTTGATAAGCCAGTGTTGAGGTAGTATCTGATTCCGCAATGTTTAGAATAACATCCAAGAACGATGGAACCGAACCGGTCGTGATAGCCTTTAATCGAGGCATCGTAACTGTTGGAGAGCTCGCATAGGCAGTGAATGGTAACGCGGCACCAGATCGGATCAAGCTAGTATTGTCTTAATACAGGCTAACTGTATCTGCTGCTGAGAGCGGTGCTTACCTCTGCGTGAATATGAAGCCCGAGTCATTCGAATATACAAAGTCACTGCGCAATGACTCGTTAGTGCACCATCTAGCACGGGGCAGACCGCTCCAATCATACCTTCGTAGCGCATCAACCACCATGAAGATGACTTTATCAAAGGCCGCAGGTACGGCATTCTCCCTTGTGTCATCGAAAGTTGCTAGTCCAGGGATTAACGGTTTATAAGGAAAGAAGCCTGAAGAGAACGTGAGTATGCCTAGGATAACCAACAGATTGGCGATAACCATCACCCAGCCGTGGAAGCCCGCCATTCTGTTCGTGTTGGCAGCTGCACGACTTGTAAAGAGTCCTCAGATCAGCACATCTCGAGCTGTCGAACTATTGCGGAGTCCGGAGATCGAAAGGGAGGCAGAATCGTGTTGACGATCGACCCGCTTCTCCACACACCGCCCTCCTACTTTACTCCGGAGACTGTCAGAGACTCAGAGCTGACGAGTCACGGGCGAAACTTTCCTTAACCCAGTGGTCAGGTAGCTAATTGCTGTATGAGGAAAGGATAATGGCTTCGTCTGCATCTGACAACCTAGGTATCCATAGAAATGTTGATCTGGAGTAATCTATATCAGCTCTTTCATAACACCAGACAAGCTATTTCTCCTAGACTTGGTTCCAGGTTAACGAATCAAAGTGTTTCAACAATTCAACAATAGGTGTGGTATATCAGCCTCAATATCAGGCACAGACTATGAAACATATGTACGTGAATCGCAGGTGTAACTGTGGACTCCTAAACGCCTTTTTTTTCATCTCCCCCGCCTCGTCACCATCTCCGTGGCCTATTCTCTGCTTCCTCATAACACGCCTCACTTCTTCTTGGACCCCTTCTTGGTGGAGGAAGGGCGCTTCTGGAAAACAATTGAGTTGCGGGGCTTCTGGTTGCGCTTTTGCACACGTGCGGGCTTCTTCTTGGAACTCTTGATTGTGTCGATATCCATTTCTGTGGTGCACTTAGTATTCTGCGCTTCTCAAGATCGGACTATTCCAAGGACTGGGTCGTAGACTAACCTTCCTCGCCGGTTTGGGATTTGGTTTTTTGGTCTGATAGAGAAAGTGAGATAAGCCAGGATCCCCGAAGAAGACGAAGAAGCAAGTGTACATACCAGCCTCATCCTCAACTATATCCATCTTGGATTTCTGAGGAGCCTCAGGTCGTGGCTGTGATGCAATCTCTTGTAGTTTGGCTGCTAATCTCTCGGTTCTGGCATCGACGATTGGGCCAAACACATTCTTGCGCAGGTTGGCTCTGTTGCGCTTGGAAACGCTGGCTCGGACACTTTTTGCCATTGTGAATAAAGAAATATGAAATACCGGAAAGTGAGGTCGATGAGGTAAAGTTGATGTTGCAGGGAAGGACTCGAAACTGATAACACAATCAACATTTTTTTTTTCCCATGTTGATAGCGTATTATGTCATCCGGAGACTGCGCCTGGAACACTCCCCGTCTCCGAAGTATCAGTCTGACTCAACCTCATCCTTTTATGACTCGGGATTGTGGCCTTTTTCATACATTTCGTGGTCAAGAGATGTATCGATGCAAATCCCTTACAATTGGCCTGGCTGAATCGGACCCTTGTCGAGGAACCTTGGACCGCTTTCTCACTCTTATCTGAAATTCAATCGAATATGGCGACCTCAAGCCTGTCGTCAGAGGTTACAACGCTCATATCCTTCATCAAGACCCTCACAAATCCACAGCTCAAAGTTTTGTTGAGGTATGAGGGCCTCCCGGTGTCTGGGTTGAAAGCAACCCTTCAGTTTCGTATCATTCAACGTTTGTCAACCCCCTCCGCCAGGTTTTGTGGACCATGCTTCCACTCAACTTTTATATGCATACTTCACTTTCAGGTTCATCTATCCTCACGGATCATACTGACTAATGGAATAGGACTCCAATACCTCTCTGAATCTGACAGTGTCGGTTTCGATACCCTAGCCAGGCGTATTCGCGCTACTACATTTCCAAACACTGTATCATATCAATCACCCACTGGGCTGTATCAGCCAGCGCCTGTCTCTCAATCTCCTGCGCAGGGACGATCTACGGCCCATGGAATCTCCATGTCACCCCTCTCATACACTTCTGGTCCGAGTGCTCCTCTCATGAACCCTCCTGCGGCCGCTCATAAGTCTCCAGGTCCTTTGGTCTTCAAGGATAGCCCATTTTACACAATTCTGGAGCCTTTGACTCCGGTAGTGGAATGCAAAGGTATGTCGCCATGGACACTCCGAGGCTTGCTGGACATCCAAGGTCTAATCTTGTCCAGTTCGTGAACAAACAAGGGACAGCGTGGAACTGAAGGTCATGCTATCACAGCAGGTTGCCTATAGGCTGCAAACAGACCCTAATATCCGAATCATGGTCTATTGCGCCGGTGATTCCGGCCTTACACAATACACCAAGTCGGACATTGCGTTTCCCCATCAAGTGGAGCTCAAAGTGAATCTTGATGAAGTGAAGGCCAATCTCAGGGGCTTGAAAAATAGGCCAGGAACTACGCAACCTGCCGACATCACTGACTGGATCCGCAAGAAGCCCAATTACCCGAATAATATCGTTATGACTTATGCATTGACGCAAAAGGTGGGACTCGCTCCATCTCTACCAATCCGCCAAAGGATTGATACACGCGCATGGTCGGCTAACCTGCATGGACACAGAAATTCTTCACAATTGCCAATCTCGTGAAGCGGCATCCGATTGATGATCTCGTGTCGCAATTGAAATTGCGGAAACTCATATCGAAGGAGCAGGTTATCCGCGAAAGTAAGAGAAATGCCTGTCTTCCAGATCGCTCTTCTAATCTAGTTTCTTTTTCACAGTGCAAAACCGCGCGAACGACTCCGAAATCGTTGCGACATCAAGTGTCATGTCCCTGAAGTGCCCCTTATCTACCCTCCGCATCCAGGTGCCTTGCCGCTCCATCATTTGCACTCACAACCAGTGCTTTGATGCATCTTCGTTCCTTGAGCTCCAGAAACAAGCACCGACTTGGACGTGTCCTGTCTGTTCCAAGTCAACTAGCTTTGAGTCCCTACAGGTGGACCAGTAAGTCCACCTCCCAATCGATCAATATATTAGCATGGTATGATCTGACTAATTGCGTAGGTACGTTGATGATATTCTTCAATCAACCTCTTCAGATATCGATCAAGTCACTGTTGAACCAGACGGTGTATGGTCAACCCCCATTGATTCCGACGCTGGGAAGTTGGGCGGAATGACCCCCACGTCAGAAGATGAGGACGACTTGATCGAGATCAGCGAACCAGGAAATCTCGCTGTAAAACAGGAACCAAGTGCCCCGAATGGCACGTTAGAACGTACACCGGCGCAGTCACAGTCACGCGAGGCATCCACTCCGTCTTCTGTGATGCGTATGTCCAGCAAAAAACGACCCATCTCTCAAGTTATTGATCTTACTGAGAGCGGAGACGAAGAAGATGAGTCCCCTGCGCCACCTACCAAACGAACAGCCCTAAATCTACCACCACGGCCATTTCCCCGGCAGGAGTATCATATCCCACCTGCCCGCAGCCCTCTGAATGGTTCATACCCGCCATAAAGTGCGCTTTTTCTTTTTTGTTCCAGCCTAAGTACAAGGTCTTGAACTATTTTATGCATATTTCCACGGAGTTTTTGGCGTGGGGGGAGTGCTGGAAAGTCTTCAAGATATCTCACGAGTGGCTATCATAGGTATTAAGGGGGGATTCTTATCCTTCGAGATTTGACAGGTTAGTTAGAACATAATAACTGGGGAATCATGATAATATATGTATGCTCTTCAAGATATTGATCATACTGAGCGTAAACCGTATGTATAACTACACAGTACGTAGTTATAGTACAGTACAGGTGATAATCTTCTACGCAGTATGGAAAGTGGGTTCAGATTGCGGACTAGCTTTAAACCACCTCCCCGGAAAACGGGCCTCCTTCTTCCACCCACGTCCCTGTTCTCTACATCACGTCGTTTTTCTTTGTGAACCTCTACCACTTTAGTACGGCGACCTTTCTCTTCGAAGAATGTCTTTCGATTCGACCTCTTTACCACTCAGTACCGCAGATCCAAATGCCCGCGTCTTCAGCTCCTCATGTTTCGACTTCCTTCTTATAGAATTGGTGCCTATGGCCGAACGTATGGCCAAGGAATTTGTGGCCGAAGGGAAAGAGATCGAAGACGAGGAAGTCAGAGAGACGACGTTTTTTCGTCTAGAGTCTCTGGGTTATCGCGTCGGACAAGGCCTTGCGGAGCGGTCAGCAACGATTGTCCCTTCTCACCCCGGTCTCTAGTCACTTGCTAACCTGTATGTAATCTCTACAGCTTCGCCCGAGACCGCCCTCGCTTTACCGACAACCTGGACGTGATCAAGTTTCTCTGCAAGGATCTGTGGACGGTCTTGTTCAAAAAACAGGTGGATAATTTGAAAACAAACCACCGGGTATGTCACAGAAGACAGTGTCAGGAAGGGTTGACATCCACTTACTCGTGTTTATGAAACTCATGCTGGCGATAAAATAGGGTGTATATGTTTTGACCGATAGCGCGTTTCGGCCATTCGGCAGGATGAGCATGGCAGTTCGGAGCGAAGCAATATCCATGGCACAAGCAGTAAGCAACGGGTTATCGACCATTGAATGGGACATTCGGGCTTACGGATTGACACAGTACCTCTGGTTTCCCTGCGGTATCATCCGGGGTGCGTTAGCAAATTTGGGCATCAACACGACGGTGCAGGCCGAGACCTCGGATTTACCAGGGGCAACTTTCCAGATCAAAACGCTTCAACCTCGGCCTTGAGGAAATGGTTGTACCCGGGTTCTGGGCTGGTCCTATACTCAACATTCTTTTACGATCTTATGACTCGAGTCCTCGGTACCTTTTTGTGGCTCTTTTTTTCATTTGCTACATGACGATACTGAAGACGTAAAGCAAATTTGAATAAGAAATTTTGGTATTTCTTTCCATTGAAGGTCGGTTGCTAATTATGTTCCGAACCCTATGCCTATCTGATCAAGGTCCGTACACAGCTCGTGTCTGCTTGTTTCATAATCTCGTGGTCCACATTTAAAGCCTATCTTTCCGCGAGAAGATTGATTAGCAACGTTCTGCCAATTCCCATTGTCATCACAGCCGTGGGGAAGAAGCAAATGGCGAGGTATGAATGCACAAAAGAGTCACCGGGATATATACACCGGTAGAATTACCAACGAGGGCAGGAGTCCTTACTTTGGTGCGGAAGTCTTGGCAAACTCGATGCCTTTTTCGATGTTGCCCTTGAGGCCGCTGATGCAAGTCTCCAGGAGCTTCTTCTCCTGCTCGGTTACACCGTCAAGGATGTTAATGGCCTTCTCGGCACCGTTAGGCTATATTGAGTCATGTCAGTTAATCGTCCTATCGAAGACTGAAAATTCTGGAGAGACTTACGCCGAGTTCCACGGGAATCGAGAAGAACTCAAGACCGGTGGCCTTGGCAATCTCATCACCTCCAGTGACACCGGGCAGGTAGACGAAAGTAGGCTCAACAACACCCTTCTCGCCCTTCGAAGCCTTGATGACAGCCTCGGCGAATCTTTGTATTTGTCAGTCCCGGTGGTAGCTCCGGATAAGCGGGTGAAACTTACCTGAAACCAGCAAAGGCCATGGAGAGGGTAGCAGAGCCAGCGCCGTCCTTGGCCTTGACAACCTCATCACCACCGAACTGGACACCTGTAAACTGTTAGCAAGGGGAACACTCCCACTGGAATAGACGTCAACGACATACGGTTGACAAGAGCATCATAACGGTCAGCAGGGATCTGGAAGCTGGGGGAAACCTTGCTGAACAGAGGAACAATAGTCTCGCCGGAGTGGCCACCAATGACAGGGACGGTGACATCGGAGGCGTTCTTCGCGCCGGAGAACTCCTGCGTGAAAGTCTCAGCACGAACGACGTCCAGGGTGGTGACACCGAAGAGACGCTTGGGGTCGAAGACACCGGCAGCCTTGAGGACCTCGGCAGCGATGGGGACGGTGGAGTTCACGGGGTTGGAGATGATGAGAGTGAAGGCCTTGGGGGCGAACTCGGCGATGCCCTCGACGAGACCCTTCACAATACCGGCATTGACCTTGAAAAGATCGTCACGGGTCATACCAGGCTTGCCTGCAGGCCATGAAACTCATTAGCAAAAGGATCAATGCGATATTCGTGTCGAATTCACTCACGGGGGATACCAGCGGGGATGACAACAACATCGGCACCGGTCAAGGCAAGCTTCAATCCATCATCCTTGGGCAGGTAGCCAGTAATTTTCTGGTCAATTGTTAGCGTGCTGAGTGATGCCCTCACACTAAAGGATGAAACATACGGCGACTGAGGAGATGTGAGAGAGATCTGCAGCCACACCGGGGGTGTTGACAACATCGTAGAGGGCAAGCTCATCAATGAGAGGAGAAGCCTTCAACAAAAGGGAGAGAGGCTATCAATAGTTTAGCTGATAATTGAAGACCAAGGAGCTGGGGGAAGGGAACTGACCTGGCCAATGCCACCAGAAGCTCCGAGAACAACTACCAATGGATTAGTGGATAAATAGAAAAATAAGCTATAAACATACCAGCTTTAACCATGATGTGAAATTGTTTGGTGATGGGGAAATGAGATGGAGAATGAGGGCTTCAAGAAAGGAGGGGGGGGTGCAATTTATAAGAGGGGCAGGTGGGAGGGGCAACCCCGGAAAACGCCAGAGTTGCTTTTGAGTCTGATGACATGTGAATGGGTATGACGATTGTATAGATTCTCTTACTATTATCTTAACCATACACATCTATATATCTCTATGTCAATTGTATATATTCCCTAAGATTCATGTATAATTGCTAAGAGCTATACTTTATGATCGATGAATTCAAAAACTACCCTAGCGCCATACATTCATACTTCCAAATCAACTACAACCCTTACAACATAACATAGATTCTTCTTCCCTTACCCTGTTCTGCTAGGTTATTCAGGTTTCCGGCAATTTTCGTGCTTTCTATATCTTTGTCCCAAAGTTTCCCGGGCCACCGGGTCATTTCGATCGGGAAAAGGCGGATCATTCTCACAGCGTTATAGCTCGGGCCGACCAGTCGGTTATGGATGAAATCATATCATTCCAAGGTTACATTTCAGACTGTATATAAGTGCTGGGCTGATATATCTCTTCGGTTGAAAATGGGGAGATTGTCTCTCTCTCTTGAATAGGTCGGACAGGACAATGTTTCTTTTCTTGTTTTCTGCCCTGAGACCAAGATTGCTAGATTACATGGTTTTTCCAAGTCCAGCACGGCATTTCACATACGCCTATCAGGTCTCCTCTCCTCAATCCCGACCCATCATGGCCCACAAATCAGACTCATATTTCAGAGACCTGATTTACTCTGACTCCTCAGCAGCCTTGCGGGCCTGGACACCACGGAGCTTCTTGGCAGGGGCATCCTTCTTGGGGAGCTGCGAGCGACGAACGGCGCTAACGCGGGCGACAGCCTCCTCACGAAGGTCAGCACGGTAGCCGTTCTTGGCGGTCTTGTCGGCGACACCCTTGAAGATCCTATGCAAGAAGTAATAATCAGCACTGCTTACAAAAACAACGTACACCAAGTAATCTGCATAGAACTTAGGGTTCACTTACTTGCGGTTGGAGGAGCTAGGGCCGTAGGTGACAGTGACCAAGTTCTGAGCGGGCTGCTGGGGGTTGCTGGGCTTCTTGGTGATCACGACGACACCGTTCTCAGTACCCTGGACACCGATGGCCTGGAGGTAAAAAAAAAGATGTTAGCACCATGAATTGATTTCCCCTTCTTCTGTACGGAAGACAAGGGGAATTTATTGTAAGACCAAAAGAGGCAGGCAGTGTGATGCTTATTTACCTTGTTGTTAGAGTAACCGGCATACTGTCACGCGTCAAAAGAAACCGCTGTCAGCTATTCATTTCCCTGAAACCTGACCAACTCAACTGGTCACCATACGAGGCCCATACCTTGAAAGAGTGCTTGTTCAGCAGGTTCAAGGGATCCCGGGAGAACTGGGAGCCACCGCCGGAGTTGCGGTTGACCAGGAAGGCATTCTGGCGGCCTGTTCCAAAGAATGAGCTAGAGTCCGAGTGCTTCCAGAAAGCTTCGATATGTATAGGGAATTCATAGAATCCCCAAAAGCATAAGTGCGGAGGGTCGGAACGTACGGGTGATCTGCCAGACCAGGTCGTTGGAGATGTTTGTGGACATTGTGATAGGAGGGGATATTGAGTTGGGGAATTGAAAGATCGAAATCGCTATCAAAACCGTCTTCACCTCAATCAAGTTGTGTGTGTCAAATGCCAAGACCTCAGACTGGACGGGGTCTCGCTAAGGCGGCTACTTTAGGAATAGGCTTAATGCCTTGGAGCCTTAAGGCCTCGTTGCCTTGTTGCCAGTCCACTAAGGCTACCAATTGGACAGCTTCCGGCGACCTCGGGACCTTCCAGGCAACCAACTGGGAATCTTCCAAGGGAGGAGCTGACGCTATATATATGCCTTTCCAACCTTAACAACTCCCAAGAAGACTTGTTCTTGATGCTCAACTGATTCTCCCATGCCTTTTATATTGATGGCCTCCTGCCTCACGGGACAGAACATCTCTTGAGTACTCCCTTCAACCTTGATTGAGAGCGCCAACTTCAGCATACTCCGTACACAATATCGCAAAGATCTATCATCTGACACCACCTGAAATACTTCGAAACCCACTCACCATCATGACATACACTCTCTTTTATTTCCTATTGTTCTCAGTTATCTGTGGTGGGACAGGTAGGTCGATAATTCTTATCACCCCGAAGGTGAAGCGAGAATAATGAATGAGTCTCAACGTTCTAACCGCTCTATAGCACTGTACCTCACTCGGTCACGATGGGCACCACTAGTCCAAGTGCCTGATTACCTCTATCACCGTCTTCCCTCCAGTTTCACTGCCGATTTAGAGGCTGGCCTGAACTCATCACAATTCGACATCTCTGCCAATATCGCAGATGGGGATTCACGAGCTGGCTTGGACCCACAAGCAAAGACCGAAGTGAGAAAAATTATGAAGAGTCGAAAGGTCAATTTTGACGAAGCACGTCGGATTTACACGGAGCAACGATTCGCAAAGAACAACATCGGACCTGACGGCCGGCCGAGAGACCCTAAGTTTGTCTCATTTTCTTGATTAACCAACAGTCGTATCCAGCGCAGCATGTCCATTCTTTTGTCCTTTTCCCTTGCCCTATTGTCTCACATTCTTCCCTCTTCTTTGCTGTTATTAGTGTCAGAGCCGACAATTCGCTAGCAGAATCCTTACAATCAGGGTTCAGGGCATTTACCTTGTATTCCTGAGCCCTCGATCCTCGATCCCAATTGACTCTGATCAAACTGACATGTCATCAGAGTATCGCCGGGCAACCCGTTTGCCGCTCTTGAATAGACAACTAAGATTCGCATAACTATGACAATCATATCTAAGAGCCAACAGGCACTAGTTCCCGATTTGGGGCAACACCTCCATATCAGCTTGTTCTCAGGGTAATTAAGCAAAAGGCCATAAAGAACTTGTCGAAGCAGTTTGATTATCGAGTCATCATTTCATATCAAAGGAACCATCTCCCCTGGGTTACAGTGGCAGAGTTTTATGGAAAATGGCTCTTAGTATAAAGCCGCTGGACATCACCGAGTGCCTCCATATCCGGGCTGTTGAAAGCCTGGTGGCAATGCAGGGGGAATACCGGCTGGGGGTCCATATCCAGGCGGGCCAAAACCAGGTGGAGGTGCAGCCTGTGGGGCGAAGGGCGGTTGCCCAGCGCCGTTGAATCCAGTTGGTAAAAACGACTGTGGGCCTCCGTAGCCAGCTTGGGAAGGCGGGGGTCGTGCAGGGAGTCCAGGAGGTGGGGTATTAAGTGGTGAAGAGACTGGGGGTGGAACAGGTCGACTCGGAGGGGGAACATTCTGGTAGGTCATAGCTGGTGGCATACCCCGGCCAATGGCTAGATCGGGCGTTTGCAATGGTATTGTCCCCAAGGCCCGAGAACTGTCCGTGTTCGACATGACAGGCGGTGTTGCTGCTACCGGGCCAGCGCCGGGGAACTGCGTAGATTGCTGGGTTGGTGGCTGCACATTATGTTTGCGCGCCTGGGCTGCCAGCATTCGCTCCGCTTCGTCGCCATGTCTTTCGCCTTTGCCATCCTTCTTGTATGCGTATTGTACCGAAACCTGCTTGTTCATCAGGTACTGACCATTCATGTTGGCAATGGCCGCGTCTGAGGATTCGAAATCGGCGAAGGAAACAAATCCATATCCCTTGGAGAGATTGTTGTCGTCACGAGCAATCTGTGTTTGGTAGAAAAAGAGGATCTTGTCAATGGTGCACATCAGGTTGTTGTCTGAGAGGATCTTACTTTGGGTAAATTGACTAGATTGCCAAAGCGGCTGAATGTATCATAGAGCACCTGTTCGGTAACCATAGGATCAAGGTTGCCGACGAAAAGCTCTGCGCCAATTTCAACCGTCTTTTGTTTATCGGCCGAAGCCTTGTTCACACGAATGGGTTTTCCGTAGATGCGGATCCCATTCATGATCTTCGCTGCATATTCGGCATCTTCCTCACTGATGAATTCGACAAATCCATATCCTTGATGTAATTGGGTGACTCGATCTTTAGGAAGATGGACGTTAACAATGCGCCCGGCCTGCAGCATCAGTTCCCATACTAGGCTGTCTGATGCCCGCTCATCAAGGTTCCCGATGTAGACTGTTGCCTCTTTATCTTGTTCCCTGGGTTTAATTAGCATTATGACTCCTGTAGCAAGGATTGAGGGCCTCACCAATGCCTTGCGCCGGACATGACGGCGGTGTACTAATTGCGAAGACCAACTAAAACAAGCAACGGAAGTGACCTTGGACTAAAATTCGATGAAACGAATACAGCGACACGGTCCCAGAAGGTAGGAGAAAAATGGAAGGGAATGAGTTGACGGGGGTGGAGAAGTGTGAGGTGAAGAAAGCTGGAGCTCTGCGGTCAGTGACTTTTCCGAAAACCTTTTGATTCCGCGTCCTCCCTGTTTCCACTCCCTCTACTAGCCACATCTCCCAATATCTTCTCGAATCGCTGAACCCATCTGATCTGTTTCTTCTTTCTTTTTGATCTCTTCAATTTCACAACTTTGCTTCTCAACACTCACGATGGTTCAATTTTCCGAGGAAACCAAGGTAAGTCGCAACCCTGGCAATCCTTTGACCTCGGGTTTCTAAGTCTTTCTTTTAATCTGTCCAGGAGCGTGCCTCAAAGGTCATTGATATTTCTCGAGTTGCTATTCACTAGTAAGTCCCCTGTGAGGCAGCCGGCCTTTCCAAACTGACGATAATCATCTAGTGGATACTTGCCTCTGATTATCTATCTGGGTATGTCTTTATGCCTCCCGGGTATGCTCAAGACAACCAATTAACATACCTACAGGCTACACCTATAGCACCCCTAAGCCGTCTCTGTTCAGGTACATTGCTGCAATTCCGGGTTGGACTCCTGCTCTCATGACTAACGCGATAACTAGATTGTTCTCCCCTCTTGCCTAAACGTCGACACATGGAGAAATGAATGCCGGGCGTATGATGGAGATCTTCCGATAGTCAAATGAGCCCTCGGCCATTCCCTACACTGGATGGCGAGTTCAAAATATCTGGATATCCTCATCAAAGCTTGTCAGAGCTCTGGGGCATTTTGTATTTTTAAGGCTTTTTTTCTCTCTCTCTCGCCGAATACGGGTTTACTTTGGATACAAGCTCATGTAATTTGAAGTACAAGCAACTGGATCTAGTAGGAATTACTTTTGCTTCAGAAATAATCACGAAATCTCCATCTCGAGATGTACTCGGGTCTCGGAGCGCGCTGATATCTTCTCCCGGGCTATCTTTATCTCTTATCTAAGAATCTAAGATTCCTCTGCCTTGCGTCTGATCTTTTCTCCTCCCAACCCAAAGCCCCTCCCCCCACACAGACTTCATCTTCTTGTCTCCATTTAAAGCGGGTTCATGACTATTCAAGATGGCCTCTCGCCGTCCTTTGTGGAGACCCTAGCGGGATTCACAGCAGGAATTGTGTCGACTCTGTCGTTGCATCCTCTTGACATGATCAAGACTAGGTTACAGGGCAAGCCTCGCTATTCCCTTGGAAGATATATTGACTAATTCCTTTATATATAGTTGATCGATCAGTCTCCCGGCTCGGTGGTTCTCTTCGGATCATCCGCAAAATCTTCTATCAAGAGGGCGGCTACGCCGCTTTTTACCGAGGACTTACTCCCAATCTGATCGGAAATTCCACGAGCTGGGGTCTGTATTTCCTATGCTACAGCAGTTTGAAGGATACAATTCGATTTCATCGCGAGGAGAGAAGGCAGATTCTCACATCGTTCGATTATCTTCTCGCATCTGGGAGTGCAGGTATGCGCTAATCACCATCTGGGCACCGATTCTCTCTTTTCAACTGACCTGTGGAGCTGCGTAGGCGCTATTACGTCGGTGCTCACAAATCCAATCTGGGTGATCAAAACTCGCATGTTATCAACAGGACCCCATGCTCCGGGGGCATATTCGTCGTTCGTGTCTGGGGCAAGACAAATATACCACGCGGAGGGGATACCTGGCTTCTACCGAGGTCTCATACCGGCGCTCTTTGGTGTCAGCCATGGGGCGCTCCAGTTTATGGCGTATGAGCAGTTGAAGATTTTCAGATCCCATTCCGTGAACCCCAATGGCTCTCTGGAGAAAACCCCTTCGGGTGCTGAAAAGGTGCTGGGTAATCTTGATTTTTTCGCCATCTCCAGCCTATCAAAAGTATTTGCTGGCAGCGTAACCTATCCTTACCAAGTGATCCGGTCACGCTTGCAGACTTATGATGCCCATCTGCTATATCGGGGGCCCATTGATGTCTTCTCTCGGATCTGGGCTCAAGAGGGGATTGCAGGCTTCTACAAGGGACTTGGCCCAAATATCTTCCGGGTACTTCCAAGCACATGGGTCACTTTTCTGGCCTACGAGAATACCAAGGTGTATCTGTCTTCTTTGGCGCAAATATCATGAGATAATGCGAACTGATACCACTGCTAGTTTATATATACATACTATGATGCATAGAGCTGTAGAGGTTTACGGTTTCAGGTGTAATACCTGTAAATCAGGAAAGATACGAGGTCTCCCGGCGCCCGATGGTCTTGGGAATTAACTGCGACGCTCAGCTTCGCCTAGCCCTATGCCGTGAAAGGCAGGCGGAAAGTCACCGGAGAGGCAAAATCCGTGAGTCGAAGGACAACCAATCAGAGGGAAAGAATTCTCAGCCGAACAACCAATCGGAGGGACAGACTTCCAGCCGAATTATCTCCGAGGTCGTTTTGGCCGTAAGTAAGGCGACGCAAGCGTTGCAACAAGCGTCGCAATGAGATAGATTCAGGCAAAGAAGGCAAAACGGGTTGTATTCTTTATTGTCCCAAGACTGACTGCCTGGACCAGGAGGGATCCCAGGGGGCCGGGAATAGGCAGAGTACCAGCATCCCGCCTAGGTATATGAGAAACTCCGTAGTCGATTCATGAATCATGCCGTGTTAGATATAAATGCCAACTAACGTAATTCACCACCGAGCTGGCCACCCGAAAACACATACTGTAACTAGTAAAAGAGATAAATTACAACTCAGTGTCTCAATATATCTGTACCAGGGGGCTCTAGCGCCCCGGACCCCCAGCTTCTGGCCCCAGATGATATCCCGGATAATGCCAATCGAGCCATTGACGAGTCCATTGGCGGTCCAGATATTCCCAAGCAGCATTACTCGAGCACCAACCACAACTTCATTCTGCGTAGCGAGGTTCCCAGCCTGGTCTTCCGAAGCTGTATGCTCCCGCAGGGTCCCAGTATGGCTTGCATGAACCTGAAGTACTGGGGCCGGTAGATCTTGCAGGCGGTCATGATTTAGATCCCACAGGCTGGCACAGCAGGCCTTGTGGGGTAGATACGGAAGGCCCCTCAGAAGCGGGGGAACTGGTCTGGGATAACAAGGCCTGCTCGAGAAGCGAGCAGTCTCCAGTCATCTACTGTGACCGTATCTTTCTGAAGGTTATCGAGCGCTAGACGAAGTCCCTTCTCCGAGTCCCGCTGCTGGCGGACAATGCCACCCAGCTCGACTGGCCGGTTAAAGAGAAACTAGAGCTGGCGGCCCTGCGCATTCCCATGCCTATGAACTTCCCCCGTAAAGACCAAAGGCTTTCCAAAGACCGGAGGGAGCTGATCAAAGTCCCCTGCCAGGTTGATGTTTAGCCCCCCAAACGATGAGTCTCGCTGATGGACAAAGATCTCGCGGCAGCGTTCATCCCCCCCAGTATAGCTGGTAAAAGCTGATCATAGACTTCTCATGCACCATTAGATAGCGGAGATCCGGAACTGTGTATGTGGACTCTGAAGTATACATAGCTATGAGCTGCTAATGAGCTGCTAGTAATCGGAAGCCGGAACATCGGGTCATGTAAGACGGTAAGGTCACGCCATTGATAAGAACGGCCGCAACCCTTCGAACCGGGTAAGGCCTCTGCCATGCAGGCGCAATGTCTTGCAAAGTTCTAGAGAGAAGCATGGCTGCATGATCTCAGCCCGTAGCTTTGAAACCATACAGTAACATCTTCTCCGTCACCTCTGTCCTCCGCTCCCCGGTAGACCGTAGAACTAGCCCTGCGCTGAAGGATGCCTACAGTCAACCGTCGCAAACCGAGCGCTAGTACTATCAAGTGGAAGACCTAGGAGAATATGGGAGGCCTCCTGGGCAGACCAGTCTCGCTCGCCAATCAACGAATTCAGGAGCTTCGTCGCAGCAGAAAGCAAGGGGTTGTGAGACGAGACATGCTCGAGAACCCAAGTCATGATATTTCGGTAAAGGCGCCATTTGAATCTCGGACCTTGAAGCATACTTTGATGAGATATACGTCAAATGAGCGGCAGAGCCGATGTTCCCCGTACATACCTTAATGTCGACATTTGCAAGCCAAGTTGGGACCATGGTCAGACTATACGCATTATCATGGGATTGTTATTAGTTACGGGCCAGGAAAAGAGTAAAGTACCTTGATCCTGGATGCTTGGCCAGGATCGAAGTCTCACGACACTCCATGGGAAAATGGAAGTGGCATACCGTCTCTCCTGTCACCTTGCTTTTCCGCATACAGTATGTGTTACTGCAGCTATGGGACTGGACCCGGCGGACGAGCGTGGCAAGGTGGTCGATATCATTCTGGACTCTGGAGCTCGGCGCAGGAAAATTAGATCACTGGACAATCCGATCGGCTTGTGTCAGACTCTGCGGTATCCTGTGACGTAGGATAGAGTCCTGCCGAGTTGCCTAAAACAAGTGATAAAACACACACTTAGCGCAGTCAGCATAGGAGAGAGAAGTATGAGGAGGCCGAAGTTTCGCTACACAAGAAGAAGAAGAAGAAGAAGAAGAGGAAGAAGAGGAAGAAGAAGACGTCAGGTGAAAGAGATCTGAAAAGCGAAGAAGCAGATCTCAGATGGATCTAGGTCTATATTGGTGTCATCGACAGTGATATGGGGTGCATGCTCCCGTAGGTGTCACGGGGTATACCAATCAGAGGGTGACAGGTCACTGATCCTTTGAAGTGTTGACCTTTGATGTTTCATGTGTTATATCAATCAAAGGGGACATGTCACTGATCCTTTGAAGTGCTGACGTGAGCTAACATGTGATGATTTGAAATCATGTGTTGATATCTTTGTTGGTTCATGTTCTCTTTATTTGTTCATCACCTTTGGTGTGACTGAGCATCATGGGGTTAGAGGTCATGTATCTATAAATCTACTGATCGAGCCGGCCTGGGAAAGGCAAGAATCAGTCTCTGTTCTACTGTCAAACCTATCAAGTCTTCTTCTTCTTTACATCCAATCTCTTCTTACCTAGTTGACAGGTTTTCTGTCCTGTAAACAGTTCCCCTTAACAATTCTGATTCTTCTTCAACTACCTAAGAAGAAAGGATGTCTATGCGACAAACTCGCCAAACCACCCGTCGCCTTGCGACAACTACCCGATCTCCTTCTCAAAGTCCCACGACCACAAGTTCTCCGGAAATGTCTTCGAACGCGCCGACTAGTACCCATACCGAAGAACACCATCGGTCTCCTCTCGAACTTGTCCTTGAGCGAGTTGCTATCCTTGAGAAGCAACTTGACGCCGAAAGAATCGCAAATCTCGAAAGACAACTCGAGCTCACGCGACAAGCGAACACCCATTCAACTACGAGAACGCCTCGTGCAACACTGGCAGGCTGCAAACGAAACAATGGCCAAATATCACAACGCCAAACGGAAGCCGATGCAGTTTAACTGGAACCAACTTGTTGCATTATCTACCCGCAATCTCCGGATCAAAACCTCCCGCAAGTTGTCTCCAAGATGGATTGGCCCCTTCAAGGTACTCAAACCCATTGGCAGTCAGGCTTACCAACTTGCATTACCTGAGAAGTACTCCCGTCTTCACAATGTCTTTCATGTTTCCTTGTTGGAACCCTGGCACGAAAGCCACAAACGAGACGGCGACAACTCACTGCCATTGCCTGACCTTGAGGATGAGGAAGATTATGAGGTCGAGGAAGTCAAGGACGAACACAAGTTCGACGGCCAAACGCACTTCCTCGTCAAATGGCAAGGTTGGCCCTCCGAGTACAACGAATGGGTCCCTGACTACAACATGGAATCCGCGAAAGACGCCATCGCGGACTATCGGCAAAAGGCCAAGGAGAAGAAGAAGAAGAAGAAGAAGACATCGACACGACGAGGCAACAAGAAAAAATCTTGATGTTGCCATTTCCCCAACTCTAACCTGGTCACTCTCTACATCGTCTTTCCTGACCGAGGACAGTCAGCTCGAAAGGGAGTGCAGTTTACAGGACAGAAAACCTGTCAACTAGGTAAGAAGAGATTGGATGTAAAGAAGAAGAAGACTTGATAGGTTTGACAGTAGAACAGAGACTGATTCTTGCCTTTCCCAGGCCGGCTCGATCAGTAGATTTATAGATACATGACCTCTAACCCCATGATGCTCAGTCACACCAAAGGTGATGAACAAATAAAGAGAACATGAACCAACAAAGATATCAACACATGATTTCAAATCATCACATGTTAGCTCACGTCAGCACTTCAAAGGATCAGTGACATGTCCCCTTTGATTGATATAACACATGAAACATCAAAGGTCAACACTTCAAAGGATCAGTGACCTGTCACCCTCTGATTGGTATAACACATGAAACATCAAAGGCCAACACTTCAAAGGATCAGTGACCTGTCACCCTCTGATTGGTATACCCCGTGACAGTAGGTGCTTGATGACTTCAGCTCCCACGTGCCCTAGGCGTCGGTGCCATAGATCAGATAAACCCTTTGATCTTTTCGGTTCGTAGGATGAGAGGGCAACTTTCCCGAAGTCGTGGATCAGAGATGAGATGATAGACACTTCGTATGCTGGGCACATGCCTGACACCTGATTTGCCATATGGATGCATGGACTTTCAGGCATACCATCAGGGGTTTGGTGATCCCACCTGCTGAGGTAAACTCCTGATTTCCGGTTCAGGTGGCAGATGTGAAGGGCTGGAGCAAAACTTGAATGCAATTTCACTAAGCCAGATACAATCCGAACCCCTTCCTGGACACATCCAGAACTATTTTGTTACGAACCCCACTAGCGTGGACTTGCCAGAAGACAGGAAGTCCAATCAACTTGGATACGTCATGCGGGAAAGATAACGTGACTGGCGAGGCACGCTCCAACAGCAGCTGAGGCAACCACCAGTCACATGACGCATCATAGCCCTGGCTATGATACAACAGAGCTCAGGATATGATCGGATCATACCCTCAGATATGACCCGATCAGAACTCAGGATATGAAGAACTTGATATATAAGGACGCTCATTCACCGACATGTATTTAGTTCTTCGCGATCAATCATACATTGTTACTTGGTTACTACCTATTGGACTTTGCACTCTACGGTTCACCCTTAAGACAACCCAACCTACAAGTAGGGGAGCTCATCTTGTGGTAACACTTGGTGACTGACTTACTTGGCGCGCACTACTGGCACATCCTGCAAGATACTCAACAGGACCCGAGTCCGTGTAAGGCTTAGCACAGCAACGGTACGGTTGCGAGATACTCTTGGGATTCGAAGTGGAACTAGGCGAGTACAACCCGGAAGCAGCTCTACTCACAGTGACCAGCAGGCACCGCGTAACATATTTCTCATTTCCGAATTTCCGAATTTCCGAACCTCTCTTCTCTTCCTAGAACGACCTTCAAGGTCATACCAAGTGTCTCTTTTCTCTTCTCTTACCGAAACACCACCACCGAAATGGAGCACCAGGAAGCCGCACCCCCTAGCTACGAGGCTGCGCAGCCTCCCGCGTGGCTGGCTCAACCAACTGATTGAACACATGGCCAACCAGAGCCAGCAGCAGGATGCGCTAGGGGGTGCGGCTTCGTGGTGCTCCATTTCGGTGGTGGTGTTTCGGTAAGAGAAGAGAGGTGTTACGGGGTCCTACCCTAGGACCCCTCACATCTCATGACAGCGTTATCTCTCATGGCTCGGTGTTACAGGTTTCCCATCTTGGGACCCTCACATCACTTAGCGCTCAGACCTTGTATGATCGTCCGGCCCCACACGTCATCGGTGGCGTGGACTTTGGATGATCTTGGACGGGACTCCGGATTATCATGGATCTGAGTCCTGATGATTATCGGGTTTCCGCCATCTTGGGACTCGGACCCCGCATTATCTTGTTTGATCTCGGAAGATCCTAAAGGATCCTGGATGGCCTTGCATGGCTTTGGATTACCTCAGGAGATCTCAGACGATCGTTGGATAAGTCTGTGAAAGACTGCGATGTTGTACGAGGGAGTTTTCCCCTCTTCTTCTCCACTTTGTTGTGCCAATGAGCATTGAGCATTTGTCATTACACTCATGTTAAATACTTCGACTTGGAGAGTGCCATGAGGGCTCTCCAAGATTCAGTCTCGTTACCGAATGGACTATGCTCATGTCTGAGCCTGCTCGTATCAGAGCCCTACATCTTGCTGTCTTCTTACCTAGTCAATAGTCTTCTGTTTCTATCTACCCCTTAACAAGAGGTCCGGAAAACCTGAAAATCGGAAATGAGAGATAGTTCTGGATGTGTCCAGGAAGGGGTTCGGTGTTCAGTACGTTCAGTAACGTAGCCTTCTTCACTTCATTGGGCCAGCCCATGGCTCCCGCATCGGCAAATTCTCGTTCCAGAGCCGGTAGGAATTGTGGAAAGGGGACATCCTCGCCTTGGCGGAGGTTCTGCAGGCGTTGGGCAGCACGGGCAGTCATATTGGTATCGCCGTAGATACGCTCGAGGTAAAGGATCAAGTCATGTGGGCCGCGTGAGTTGTGGCCCTCTCGTACATACGTGTTGACATTTTTCAATGCGTTCTTCCCCAGTCGAGTGAACACGTAACGGAACTGAGACTGAGCGTGTCCGATGGCAGCTCCGTCGTCTGTGAGCTTATTCTCAATCAATCATAACCCTCCACGAAGGCCAATCGGAGTGCTGGCCTCCGAAGAGCGGCGGGCCGGGCAAAATTGCACAAGTTTTGCTTCAGCCCTTCACAGCAGATCTGGGTTTCGTCAGATTCCAGGAGGTCCTACCATCAAGAAATATCCCCGCATCTGTTGCTCGATCCGCCGATAGTAAGTTCAGATGAAAACCAGGTGCAAAGGCCACATTTTTCAGAGGAAAAGGATGTGCCATCGATGCTATCAGTGGGCCCACACGTAGGGTTCCGAACCCAAGGATCGTAGTCTCAGTGTTCCCTACTTGAACTGAGGAAACTGCTGGTCGATAGGATGAAAAGTGTGAAGGGCTGGAGCGAAACTTGATGTAATTTCACTAAGCCAGATGCTAGGTATCTACAAAATCTTGGAGAAAACATGAAGGTGCACGTGCCCTGCGACCTACTTGTACCGCGTTCCTGTTCGCACCTTCATGTTTTCTCCAAGATGTTGATAGATTGCATCTGGCTTAGTGAAATATGGACGTGGAAAATGCAGTCCTATCCTTTCTTTCGGTCTGATCCGTGGATTTCTGGAATTCCTCTAAAGCTTTTGTGTAAGCTTTATTGAACTTAGGCGATTTTGATGCTCGTTTGAACCGCTCGTTTGCCTCCTTGTCCGCCTTCTACCCCGCTGGCTTGATAGCGGGGTTGATATAGGGGCATTCAGAGAAGGGATTATCCCCCTCATTCGGGCCGTTCTCGCATGGGCATTGGTTCTGCCTACTACCCTTACCCCCCGCATCGCGACCCTGTATTTGGAAGGTAGTGGCATGCGCAAGTCTGTGATGGTGCCGGGGTGCGATAATACAAATGTGCTCAGAGTAGCGATTGAGAAGCGAGGGGAAGTCAGGGTCTCAGGGATATCCGCCTCTTTTTTCCCACACTCGTATGTAACGGGTCAGACCCGCTTCTCACTATGGCCCCGCCATGTATCTATGCTTTCCCCGCACGCTTCCGTTCTGCCACCGCCTTCCCCGCTACTTCGTGACAAAAGGGTGGGCACTGGGCAGGTCCAATCATCTTCAGCATAGACTCGAGTGCGTTTCGACGCCGAGCCCAGTATGGACGCGTTCCTGGCACAAGATTCGCCAAGCGAGAGGCTTGGAGAGTAGGGTACGGCTCTCTAGCTGATCATTAATAAAGAGGTCCTGGAGCTCCTCAGTTGTGATATCCGGTCTGTCAGCCTGACATCGGACATAAAATCCCTGCACTCTTCGCCGCCTAATAATCAGGATAATGCTGTAAGGAGGGAGTCCCAAGATACTGGATGGAGTAGTGGACGACCCAATAGCAAAGGACTAAGGTCAGGTAGAAGATGGTGAATCGATGAGATAAGAGGATGAGTGGTAATACTGGGAGTTTGTAGCCGAAGGCAATAGAGTAGACGATACGAATCAAAATATCTTAGTGTGGGTAGAAACATCAATTGATTCTTGAGGATCTAACAAGAACCCGAAGTGTCTGGGTCTTTTATCCTCAAGCCTCTCTCACTATCTAACGTAGTACACCAGTCAAGCGGGGACGATCCAGATCGGCCCGCCCGGATAGTCCGGGGAGGCAAACCAAACACTAATACAGATAAGGTTCACATGACATAAGTCATGACACGCGTCATGACACGCTTGACAGTGGGTGGAAAGCAATGTCGGAGTACCGGAGACCTGTCAGGGTCTCCCGCACGCCCCAGCCAAGGCCAATGGGCCTGGTAACAAGGAGTCAAAATACTCAAAGACAATTTCCCATCACAGCATCCATCGTATTTCCATGATTAATACGTTCATTGGTATTATCTTCATCGTGGGATTTCAAATTTTTAGAACAATCATATGTGTTACGAAGAAGGTAAACAGAAGCAAATCGATTCCTTTGTCTAAAACAACAAGACTTGTGACGGTAGGCAATTCTTGAAAAAGAGTCCAATTCGACAAGATAACTAGTCTAAGGAAAGGAAGAAGAAAGAAAGAAAAGAAAGAAAACGAAAGAGGTGCGCAACAAAACAAGTCCCTCGTCTCTCCTCCTCCTGTCACATGACCTGAATCGACTCACCGCCTGGACAGGCCTGGCAGAACCCACCTGCAGTGTCACAACAGAGAGGGAAGGAAAGAAAAGAGAAAGAGACAGGAGGAAGAAGATATAACACTACAGCCAAACTACAGCCAGTTCCTCCCATCATGTGCCAGTCCTTCCCTCACAGTCCTAATTCTATGTGCTCTCGT